ACAATGTTATGCGTGCCCATTTGCTTGTGGGACTGGACCGCATCGAAGACCATCTAGATCAACGACATCAACAGTATTTTTGGGAAAGAGGGATCACCAAGACAGGCATTCGCAAGTGCATAGCCATTTACTGCTTTGACGTGACCTATTAGTTGGCTAGATCACGGGTATAAATTATAATTTGATGAATCCGTCAGAAGAATGGGAATGCTCAGAGGAAGGCGATATTTTCTACATGCATTTGAGTAGATCTGCATTATTAGAAATCAATTGTGGCTTAACCATGTGCACTGCTAGGCGACAATGATTGTACTCCCTATTGAAGTAACAGATTATTGCTGGATCATGATAGCTACCGAAGATGAAATGATCACCATAGCAACTCAGCTTGAAATTCCACGGTCAGCACCAACAGGTTGGGCATCCCATTGCAGGTCTACCCAAGATTATTAGCCCCGATGACATCAAAACGAATAAAATATGATCATTCAGGCAGCTACCATGTTTCAAGTCTCAACATCAATGCCCATGGATCCACTAGGTTAATACTTGTCAAGACGACGGTGGCAGAGATCCTATCAGTTTCCTGCATAGCCCGCACGCGGTTTATGCAGCCATCATTGATCGTGTACCAAATGTAGCAACGAGGATGGACTGAGTTGATGGCTTTACTGCGTAGGAACCGAAGGCTTGACCGACTGTTGCGGGTTTGAGGTTTCAGGAGACATTCGGATGTCCCGCTAGTCTACTAACCTCTCTAGGTAGGTCGAAACTTCCTAGGGCCGTCTCAGAAGAAGGAACCAGTTTCGACACAAAAAGAAACCTGTCAACGTAGCATATTCGTACCAAATAGAGATTTAAACCCTCATGAAACACTGTTCCATTCTATTTGTAAACTATAAAATGCTATCTTTTCATGACTTCAGCATGCAACAATTATTGTTTTTTTTTTTTTTTTTTTCAACTAGAAAGAAAGAAACCGGTCAGGTGCCATGGTTGCTAGCAGCTCGAGATAGTGGAACGCCCCTGACCAGGGCCGAATTGGCTGCCCAATTGGAGTAAGAGGAAAATAATACTATTCGACCACAGCTTGGCTGGAGCACCAGATAGCACACCTGGTCCCCTTGGACGAATGCAGAATGCAAGATTGCAAGGTGGTGTCTGCATGCAAGGGCGAAAGAGAGTCCATGCTGGACCTAGCTGAGGCGGATTCTCGCTTTCTCTACTCCGTACCTTACTTGGAAGAAAAGCATGAAATGTGAATCCTTGATATAAATAGAAGTTATGCCTACTTATGTCCGTAGCTCCAGGGGAGTTGCATGCAAAATGCAACATTAATGTTTTATGCGCAGAATTATCTAGGCCCTAGGTAGCTTGCCGTTGACCTACCTAGTTATACCTACATATATTCCAGAATGTGTTCGAGTCAGTTTGATTAGGATGGCACGGGAAACGGACGGGTTCGGATCCATTCAAGACGGCTCAGCTAGTACAGAGTGTAATTGGGTCAAATCGACCCTAGCTGTTACCGTTGCAACAGATTCCATGCTCGAAGTGAACCTTCATACGCCAATTGAATCATCAGAGATGAAATAAATCGAAACGAAACAAAACAAAATGAGACCATGCAGCGCCTCTAGGCCTAGTAGGTATAGTAGTTCCGGGCAACTTTTTGACCTTGCCTAGGTACGCACCCCCACGTGGGAGAACGGGATATTAAAGTGGATGTGCTGTTGTTTTCCTAATCAATCTACTTTGCTCCTAAGCTAGTGCACTGCACACATGCCTCGCCTTCTCCATGTCCCTATCAAACGGGCTGCTTCTAGAAGACTTCGAACATTTTCTAGTATATCATCTGCAGGCTAAATGTTCACTATTCGATTTTCTGTCTAGCTTCCCCTTCTCCCTTCACCCCTAAAGTAAGAACGTGCCAAGTATTCAGTACCCCCTAGTCTCTATGGGTGATAGTCACTCACAAGAGTCGCTTTGGGGATTGGAGGAATCCATGTTGGCTCGTGGAACGTATCCGCCATGGACCGGCCCGGCATCTGGCTATCGACGGGATTATTCCGGTAGGGACTGACTCCCTAGAGAGGAGTTGCTTTGTGCTGTTTGCTTATTAGCGGCAAGATTTGACAATAGGCGACTACATTAATATTTATACGGGCAATTCAGTTTTATATCTCTCGTATCCAGAGTAAAAATAAAAAATAAAAATAAAGGAGTATCACCGATGCTGATTGGCGCTACGAGCATTACAATAGGGGGTATGGAGGTACACCCCCACTGTGAACAAGGATCGTTCGGTCAACCATGTACGAGATTCTTGCTAAGCACTGACGGGGCGGCATAATTTTTCACATGGTGATGTTAAAGAAGGCCAGCGCTGGAAGCCAACTTAATAAGAAAGAATGCGAGATTAAAGGGGTTTTTTTTTTGGTAATTAATCAAGAAAGTGTGTTACTATCGTCTAAGATTTTATCAGCCACCACTTAAAATGAATATTATCGCGGGTTGGTTAGGTGAATCGCTGACAGACGGTCGACTCACATCAGCATCCATGAATTTATTTCAGCCCCCAAGAGGAAAACCGTATGCAGCTTACGCCATCCAGCACCTGGGGAAATAGGAATTCCGAACATGAGGAAGATGTCTGGGCCAGTCATTAGGGGCTACGGAATATTCCATTCTGCTTCCCCGTTGGCCTTCCTGGTGGGAAAAATGGGGACTAAGAGGATGGTGCTGCACTGGTAACATCCTAATGTGGGTAAAGGTGGAATCGTAGACTGGTTAGGTAGTACGGAGTACAGAGGAAAGAAGCAGCTAATAATTAGCTACATGTTATTTGGTCACTATCAGCCACAAAAGATAGGTATCGTAGCCTAGGTAGGCTGAGAGTTGCACTGATGGACAGTCATGGAATGGATTCCAATGTTCACGATCACCTGCTGGCCATGTACCAGATTAACCAGATCCCCCTATGACGGCTAGCATGCTAGGACAATCGAACCTTGGGACTGACCCGAATTGGCGCAAAGGCAAATCCAATCGTAATGGGCAGTCTGTGGAGAGTAGCTCTGAACCTACAGAGTAGTGTTTCCACCCAGTTCGTGTCTACCCGAAACCATCTACCAAGACCTCTCTTCATGGACAGTATTTTAAATTGAAATAAAAATACTGAGAGCATGCGTGAAAAATAATAATGAAAATGGAATCAACCCAATCTCCAGTATATAACGATGGACCTGCAATGCTAGGTAGCTACCGAAGTGACATAGGGATCGGGAGGATTGATACCGGGTCAGAAATAGGTACGATATTATACTGGAAGTAATGAATGGTATGCAGTTTCATCAGGTAGTAGTCAACAGGAGGAGGTGGAATGACGATCTCGTGCGATGGTGATCGATGTAGTTTTCAATTAAACTTTCTATAAGTAAACCGACTGTATATCTGCAGTTTCAGACTATTGGGATATAGCAAGGAAGGAAGGAGGAGGGAGAACATAATAACAGGGTCTCCAAAGCGACATGCTGGTGAGAAGGTTTGTAGGGGATTTAAGGGTAGGTTAGGGACTATAGTAGTAAGTTAGGAACTACCTTTCCTTCCATTAAAATACACCCTAAAATCGAGCTAGATAAAGACGGCTGTTGGTCTACAACAGGGATCGTCTCCGCTACTTCTTTTCATCTTTTTCTATTACGGAGCATATTATTCTGACTTTTTTTTTTTTTTTTTTTTTTTTTTTTTTTTTTTTTCAGAATAGTAATCTTCTCTCTTTTGCCCCCTCCTCTATGGTTCTAATTTTTTTTTTTCATTTATTTTTTGTTTTATTTTGATTTCGATTGTTCGCTGTCTCTCTTTTCCATTTCTTTCCAGCCTTTTCGCCCTTCTTACTGATTTATCATTATATTTTTTAGTATCTTTGGTCCCCTGATACTTTTCTACCTTAACCCCCTTCTTCTCCTCCCCTGATATCCATCCGACACTGATTGATTTTCCTCCTTGGGAGCCCCAAACTGTTTTGGTTTTGCCCCTCCTCGTCGTTTCTTTCTAGCCAAGCCTTCTTTTACCTTACCTCCTTGGTCCGGTTCCTCTTCCTCTTCCCCTCCCCCTCCTTGTTCAACTAGATAAGCGCAGGCGAAGTCTAATAAGGTACTTCATACAAGAAGCTCCCTCAATTCTCTGGCCCCCCAACGCCATCCATACTCGTCATCATAGTATCTGATTTTACCTACCACTCTACATATTACTTAATTAACATACAGACATCTCTGCGGGCGATAGTTCTCCCGGACTTAATCTTTCTTTTACGTCCACCTCCCGTGGCGGAAACAGCTTTAGGCAAAGTCCTCCGTGTGTCTTACTGGATATTTGGCAACAATCTGTCATCTTATTTTCTTCACAGCCTTTTCATTCTATTTTCCTCCCTACTCCTTGCTGCTTAGTACCCTCATTGATAATTTTGGTGGTTGTACTATCCTGCAGCTGTTGGTGGCCGCTTTATCCACTACGACGGTCGAGTCCGAATCAGGAGGAAATTCCCTCGAATAGCATCCCGAAAGCAGCTTATTCCTGTTGGATTTCTCCACCTCCAAAAGTCGGCTTCAGAGTTCGTAGGTATGTTATTTTTCTTTCTTTCCTTTTTTCCCGTAAAAAATCTTGTTTCCACTTTTCAATTTGAAGCCAAACGGAGAAAACAACCAGAACCATCGCCGTTTTGAGGGGCTTGTGCTAGGACGGCGGTCTGAAGCAACGACGACTATTCCGGTGGCTAATCGCGCTCACTACCAAAATAGCCGTTCTCTTGGGTCCCAGCGTCTCGCAGCATTCCGTTCCCGTGTCCGTGCTCGAGCATCCCATACATTGCTCTTTTCACACTTATTTTTTTTATTACCCTCTTTTCCCTCCACGCCGCGCACTCTTCCATCCTCCATCTAATACGCTCCGCCCAAATTAAGGACTCCAATCGCCCGCTACCTTTGTGTTTTATAGTCACCATGTCGGGAAAAATGACATTGTACAAATTGGTGGTGCTGGGAGATGGTGGTGTGGGCAAGACAGCGCTCACGATTCAGGTTAGCACTTCACTTCTCCACTTCTGATAATGTCTCAGTGACTGAGCTTTGGACACCCTGTCCCCTTCGTGCAATAGTTGTGCTTGAATCATTTCGTTGAAACGTACGACCCGACAATCGAAGACTCCTACCGAAAACAGGTGGTGATTGATCAGCAATCATGCATGTTGGAAGTGCTAGATACTGCGGGCCAGGAAGAGTACACGGCACTGAGAGACCAGTGGATCCGTGACGGCGAGGGATTCGTACTCGTCTACAGCATTACCTCGCGGGCCTCTTTCTCTCGGATACAGAAGTTTTACAACCAGATCAAGATGGTCAAGGAATCCACCAATTCCGGGTCACCCTCCGGCGCCAGCTACTTAGGATCTCCAATGCATGCTTCTCCAGGGTCTTCGCTTCCCGTTCCGGTGATGTTGGTTGGTAACAAAAGTGACAAAGCGGTCGAGAGGGCCGTGTCGGCACAAGAAGGACAGGCGTTGGCGAAAGATTTGGGGTGCGAATTTGTCGAAGCCTCTGCGAAGAATTGTATCAATGTCGAAAAGGTGTTCTACGATGTCGTTCGCATGCTTCGGCAGCAACGTCAACAACAAGGAGGGCGATCCCAGGATCGGCGACCGACCGGCTTGGGCGCCATGCGCGACCGTGATGCTGGCCCAGAATATCCAAAGTCTTTCCGACCGGACCGCACACGGCATCGCAGCTCGCTTAAGTGCACCATCCTTTAAGCTGGTCCGACTGGCCATTATACGGTGGGAGTAGAGATACTTTCACGGCCCTGTTTCGAGCAATCCATTCGATATTTAATCATTGAGAGTTCTCCTGAGACTGTTTCATGACAGTAACTTCTCTTGTCTATATTGACATCCACGCAGCTTGGCGGTCCTTCGGTTCTGCACCCAGCGCTTCCCTTTATTTTTTTATTTTTAGCTTTCTTTTTCGCAACGACTATTTCCTGCCCCCTATATCTTCCGGATCTGCCGGAGTATAACGGCGGGGAATCTCATATGCTTGATGCATTTTCTTTTTATTCGTCCTTTTTTTTTTTTTTTTTTTTTTTTCTCATTTGGGAGGCGATCTCAAATCCATGGCAGGGTGTTTCGGCTACCGGAGAATTGTCACGTTTTATGGGGCTGGAGACCCAGGATCTGCTGGGGCCATAGAATGTTCTTTCTTTACGTCTGAATTCTTTCTATATTGCTCTACATTCAACCCCACCGAATGGTTCCTAATCGTCTGGATTTTCTCCTCCACTAACCCCTTGGAGTTACAGCAGGACTGATAGTGGGAAGAGGATGAAAGTCGCGACTGACGTTGTCATACTGAGAAGGGAGCATCGGCTCAGGATCATAGCGATGAGGAGGACGATGCAGGGAGTCTGGAGATGGGAGATATTTTGGGAAAGAGGGCGGTGGTGGTGGTTGTGGAAGAGGACTGTAATTCTGGTTTCAACGAAGCCCAAGGATGGCAGTCAACAGTTTAGCAGGCATTGCGATATGATACCCTACGGCTGAGCTTTGTGTTCTGGTTCTGGTTTTTAATGCATTTGCGAGTAAATCAAAAGAATAAGAGAGGTCGAATCGATTAATAGAGTACAATGACAATATTTCCAAAAAAAAAAAAAAAAATAAAAAATAAAAAAATAAAAAAAAGGAGAGGGAGAAGAAGAGATGACAAGGGGAGTATTTTTCCGATTTCTGATTACGTGGTTTTCTAACAGCATTGACACGAGTGAACTGTTACTCTTAGCTAACGTAGCTACTGCTACTGCGTACTACCGACCGCCATACACCCTCTTGGTGGGTTCCAACTGTCATATGTCTCTCCGTCGAGGGCAGTGGAGGCAAGTCGATAACTTGATAGGTGAATTCTTTTGCCATCAAGCCATGGATGGGACTCTCTGGTCCATGCGTCGTGCGGGGAAAGCTCCGATCGTTGCGGATTGCTAATTATCTCTTAACCTCGGCCACTGTCTATCTCTCTCGCCATCTCCACCGAGTTAACTGTCCTGGCATTCTCGCCCTTTGTGCCCCCGCAATGACCCTTGTCACTTGTCCCTTTAGTTTTGCTTCATGTGCGTTGCCCCTCCTGCTTCTGGTCTCCCGCGGATATTTTTTGGTACTTTTTCATACGTCGCTTTTCCTCTTTCCCTCTCTTTCCCCCCTGGGTAGCTCGGGAGTAGTCTAGAACTAGCTGAACGGAATTGAATTGGATTGGACCGTTGTGTTCGCCTGTAGGGTAAATTGGTTTCCCCCCTTTTTTTTTTCTCTTCTTCTTCTTCTTCTTCTTCTTCTTCTTTTTTTTTTTTTCTGCGACAGCACACCGTCGTTCTGTTCCCCAATGGCTATCGTGTCCATTGTCTAGCGAAGAAAGATCATACGTATCTGGAATGCCAACCACCTGACCTCCAATCCCAGGAGAGTGTTTGTTTTGACTAGTTTTATAGATTAAGTTTCATGATGTCACCCCATTCACAGCAGCAAGTGCACCAGTCCTCTATTCAGGATCTGGAAGCCTTTTGGTCCCACCACGCCAGGGATCTGGACTGGCATCGGAACCCATCACGTGCTATCACTCGAACGACCAAGACTCTCCCTAGCGGTGCCAGCCACGATCATTGGGCCTGGTTTCCAGATGGCCAGATCTCCACGACATATAACTGCGTCGACCGGCATGTAAAAAATGGCAACGGGGACAATGTTGCCATTGTTTGGGACTCCCCCGTAACGGGAACCAAAGAAAAGTATACGTACTGTCAGCTGTTGGAGGAGGTGGAAGTGTTGGCTGGCGTATTGCGCGAGGAAGGTGTGCAGAAGGGTGATGTGATCATCATTTACAGTATGTTTCTATCTTTCTTGATTCCCGTTCAAGACCTGTCGAAATCGTATTCTCACAAGATACGGTCAGTGCCTATGATCCCCGCCGCTCTTGTCGCAGCACTGGCAATTGCACGGTTAGGGGCCATTCATGCCGCCGTGTTCGGTGGGTTCGCGCCAAAGTCACTGGCGCAACGCATCGAAGCGGCTAAACCACGGGCCATCATGACGGCATCATGTGGCGTTGAAGGACCCAAGGGCCCCATTGCCTACCGGCCGCTAGTTGAAGGGGCAATTGAGCTGAGCAGTTTTAAGCCCGAGAAGGTGCTTGTGTGGCAGAGGGACCAGCTGCGGTGGAACCAGCCAGACAAGCGGAATGGACAGCGGAACTGGCAGCGGTTAGTTAAAAGCGCGCGTATGCGTGGTATTAGGGCCGGCCCGGTGCCGGTGGACAGCACAGACGCGCTGTACATCATCTATACCAGTGGTACGATCCTTGGATGGATACAGTTCGACAAAAGATGACTGACTCTAGAGCCTAGGGACCACTGGGCTGCCTAAGGGAGTAGTCCGAGAAGCAGGTGGCCACGCGGTTGGGCTTCAGTTATCGATTAAATACCTGTTCAACATCCAAGGACCAGGCGATGTCATGTTCTGTGCCTCCGACATAGGCTGGGTGGTCGGCCATTCGTACATCCTGTACGCTCCTCTCCTAGTTGGGGCGACAACCGTCCTCTTTGAAGGAAAACCTGTTGGAACGCCGAACGCGGGAACTTTCTGGCGCATTGTGGAGGAGCATAAGGCCAATGCACTGTTCACGGCACCTACGGCGATGCGTGCGATTCAAAAAGATGATCCTGATAATCTATTCATCGAGGAAGTCGGCCGACGTGGCGGCCTCAAACACCTGCGGGCTCTTTTTCTCGCCGGCGAGAGAAGCGAGCCTAGTATTGTCCTTGCGTATCAAGCCCTCTTGACTCGACATGCAGCTCCTGGGGCCATGGTTGTGGACAATTGGTGGTCGTCAGAATCGGGTTCGCCCATCTGTGGCGTCGCCCTGAAGAGTGCAATGGGACTGATGCGGCAAGGAGAGACTAACTCGACGCCGTTGCCGATTCGACCCGGGTCGGCCGGGCTACCGATGCCGGGATTTGATGTTCGGATTGTCGATGATGAGGGCCATGAGGTCCCCAGGGGTACGATGGGAAACATTGTTCTCGCCCCACCACTGGCGCCCACTGCCTTCACTCGACTGTTCAACGATGACGAGAGATTCTACCGGGGGTACCTCAAACGGTTTGCGGGTCAATGGGTCGACACAGGGGATGCGGGTGTTATTGATGCCGATGGATATGTTCATGTAATGGCACGATCGGACGACATTATCAATGTAGCTGCTCATCGGTTCAGCACAGGTTCGTCTTCTCCCCTTCTTATTGTTTACAGCACGAGACTTAACGTTAGAACAGGTGCTATCGAACAAGCGATACTCTCGCACCCCGAGATCGGCGAGGCCAGCGTTGTGGGAATACCCGACCCTCTGAAAGGTCATCTACCTTTTGCATTTGTTCAGCTGCGCACAGCGACGGGAGAGTTGCCCGCGACACCGCGACGCGAGCTCTTTGACGAAGTCAACAGGCTGGTGCGGCGAGAGATTGGGGCTATTGCGTCGCTTGGGGGGATGATCCAGGGACACGGGATGATCCCGAAGACGCGCAGCGGCAAGACATTGCGACGAGTGCTGCGGGAGCTGGTGGAACATGGGGTGCAGGGAGATTACAATGCGACAGTCAGCGTTCCACCTACCGTGGAAGACGCCGAAGTTGTGGAGGTGGCCCGGGGAAAAGTGCAGGAATATTTCGAACAGAAGCGGAAAAAGGAGTCGAAGCTGTAGTTTGATAGTGCAATATCCAGTGTTCACGAAGCATTAAAATCAAAGCGATAGGTAGATATATGGCATTCTGTCCTACAACCTAGGCAAAGACGAGACATCTGAAGCATTAATGAAACGAAGATTATTCATACACAAGAAATAATATGAACATGGACAGGGCCACAATGCTAATCGAATCAATGTAACCCCAGGATAGGAACAGAAGGCGTAAGATATCCGAGAAAGTTAGAAGAAAAATGAGATGTATGGTATCGGTCGTAGCACCCAAGGGGAAAGCGAAAAATCCAAGAAAATAAGATAGGCCGGCACAACCTACTCCAACCCCAATCTTCTTTGCGGTGATTTGCTATAGTACCTAGGTATCGTACATACAAACGCAAATAAACCGTTAGGTCAGACGCACACAGGATACTCTGTGATCAGAAGATGGAGGGCCATTGCACCGACAAAAAGAAGAATGAATCACATGGCCTAAATCGAAATGGAAATCAAAGGATTTACAAGAGGTAGGCGACTAGACCGAAGACAGTAGCCAGACCAGCGCCAGCACCGACGGCAGCGCGCGAGGCACCGGCAGTGAAGAGGGGAGTGGCGGGGGTGGTGGCCGAGCCAGAAGGAGAAACGCCCGAAGGAACAGGAACAGAGCCGCTGGGGATCAGCGGCGTCGAGGAGACGGGGCTGCTGGAGGGAATGACCACGGAGCCGCTGGGGTTGGGGCTGACTGCGGTTGGCACGGGGATGACGGGGACACTAGTGGAGCTATAACAATTAATATCAACAAATAAAATAATAGCAGTAGACAGAACATACCACTTCTCGCAGTGAGTGACTGTGGAGGTGATCAGAGGACGAGAGATCGAGTAAGTGACTCCGTTGGATACGGTGATGGCGGGCTGGATCTCATTAGTCATATATCTGGGTCCATGGAAAATACATCACATACCGCTGTGGGAATACCAGAGGGCAGAGAGGTGGCCTGGCAGATGGTGGCATATTCAGTGACGTAGACGGTTTGTTCCACCTCGGTAGCAACGGCACCGACAGCCAGGGTAGCCAAGACAGCAGCGAAAGAGATACGCATTTTGATTGATTGAAATAGACGTGGATGTATATTTAGAAATTTCTGGTTTGGTGCAAAAATTAAATCGGGCGTGAAGGTGAAAAAGAGCGACTGAATGGTATATTGAAAGAATGTACTCGGTCAGACCGGGATTAGATATCAAGTGAGTAGACTGACGGGAGAAAGAAGGGAAAAGAGAGAAAGAGAGAAGAAAAAGGAGGAAGAAATGAGTAAGAGGCTAGTTATATGGATTCTCCTCTCCATAGCAAATAATCCCCATCAGGACGGCAACAGCGGGACATGCGACGCGACTAATGAAGTAGCCAGTGCGTCTAGTGACTTTTAGGTTTAGCTGTCTGGATTCTCCATTCTACGAGCCCTCGTTCGCAAATGATTTAATGGGATTTGATACTCCCACGGCCCATGCTTATTACCACCGCAGTCCCCCTTTTTTCCAGGACCATTGTGCTTCTTCTCCCCCGTTCATCCGTCCTTTTATCTATATATATACTTCATCAGTTCTTTTCCTTTTAGTATGACTATAGTCTACAGCTAGTTATGTGTATGTCTGTCTTCGTATTTCTTCCTATTTTTTTGCTTTCTTTCTTGGTCAATTAATCCCATTTATGCACCACCTGATGATCCTTGCCGGGTTCAGAAGGCTCTTATTTTGGGGCCAACTTTATCGCCTATTACTCTTTGGTGGAAGTTAAGTCCGTCGTATTAATATTAAATTAGTGTCCACAACCAAGGTCGGGGCTTCTAGACAAATTATGCCCGACCTTTCATTTCTCTTTTGTTTGTCTGGACTGGTGTACTGTTCCTGGTTCCTGTTGTTCAGGAACACGTAGAATCCCCACCGATGGAATAATCCGTTGTACAGTAGTACTCAGTCGATCCTCATTTCTTCAAGGCTGACCACCCCAGAACCTAAAGGATCTCATCTACTTCGTATTGGGTAATGCTAATCCCATCAACCATGGATGATTTACCTAGCTGTGATCTGAAACGAAGCCAAATACTGGGCGTACGCAGTATTCCATGGATAGATTCATAAATAGATGGACTTAACTACAATGATTCTATCAATAATTATCTAAGCCAAGGAATTCTTCATTTGATAAAAAAAAAAATAAAAAAAAAAAGTATATATAAAGCATGTATAAAACAGATCACACAACCTCCAATCCGATCGTTCATTGCCCCAGTATGGATGGTGAGAGGCGGGGACATCTCAGCAGCGCCCGGGAGAAGCCAGCGCAAGGCCGTCCGCTCCACGAGTGCTGTCCAGCAAAACGCCATTTCTTCATCTTGGATGTAGTTGTGTGATGAAGAAAGAAAGCGTGCGAAATGCCAGACTCGCAGAAATAAAATAAGCGAGCGGGACGGAAAATCTTTCATTCGACCCTCGGAGATGCTAGTCCAAGAGAGGTCTAGCGCAGACTGCTTTCCGCGGGCAACGCCGGTCATCGCATCAACGCAAGGTTGTCCGATGATAGGACTGACCCAGTTTTCTTCTTTTATCTAGGTCCTGTATGCTCATTTTTTCCATTTTCCTTCTACCTTCTCCAGGCTGATATCGAGAAAAAGAATCAGGAAAAGACGAAAGCGACGAAACCATGTTGAGTCGTTGCGGCCGCCAGGCCTTATGCCTAATTCCGCGTGCTGGAAGCTCCTCCCAAGCTATCGTCACCTCCCAGCTCCGACCTACCTCATGCCTCGTTAGATCAACTGCTCAACGGCGAGGTGTCTCGTCTTCCACTCGTGACGGACAGCAGAGTGTACGTGTCCATTGATTGGCTTTGATTATTCCTGTCCTTCAAGACTGGATGCTAACGTCAATTCCTACGGTTTAGCTCCTCTCCGCACATCTCCAGGAAGAGGACCCCGCTATCTACAATATTCTCCAAAAGGTGACTTCCCTCTACTCCCTAGTTGATTCCCGTCATACTCATGCATCTACAGGAGAAAAAACGTCAGAAGCATTTTATCAATTTGATCCCCTCGGAGAACTTCACTTCACAAGCAGTCCTCGATGCCCTCGGCAGCGTGATGCAGAGTCTGTACCCCACTGTTGTCGATCTCCAAAATTGGCGCCCTTTGTTTCTGACTGAGAACAGATAAATACTCCGAGGGATATCCCGGCGCTAGATACTATGGAGGCAACGAATTCATCGACGAGTCGGAGCGACTCTGTCAGAAACGTGCTTTGGAGACCTTCCGGCTTAACCCCGAAGAATGGGGGGTGAACGTGCAACGTGGGTAATTCAATCCGGCGTTTGAGAAATATGAAACTAAGCTGCGTATAGCTCTCTCCGGCTCTCCCGCCAACCTGTACGCTATTTCCGCTCTTCTTAACACCCATGAGCGTCTGATGGGGCTGGACCTCCCCCATGGTGGCCATCTTTCGCACGGCTATCAGACCCCAACCAAGAAGATATCTTTCATCTCCAAGTACTTTGAAACGTTCCCCTACCGTCTCGATGAGTCGACCGGCCTAATCGACTACGATGCTCTCGAGAAGTCGGCCCTCTTATATCGTCCCAAGCTCATCATTGCCGGAACATCGGCTTACAGCCGACTGATCGACTACTCCCGCATGCGTCAGATCGCTGATGCGGCCGGTGCTTACCTCCTGAGCGACATGGCTCACATCTCGGGCCTGGTCGCCGCGGGCGTGCTCCCATCTCCGTTCGTGCACTCTGACGTGGTAACCACCACCACGCACAAGTCGCTTCGGGGTCCCCGCGGCGCTATGATCTTCTATCGCAAGGGGGTCCGCCGGACGGACAAGAAAGGAAACCCTGAGATGTACGATTTGGAGAACGCGATTAATGCATCCGTCTTCCCAGGTCACCAGGGCGGTCCCCACAACCATACCATCACCGCCCTCGCGGTCGCCTTGAAACAGGCGCAGACGACGGAGTTCAAAACCTACCAGGAGACCGTGCTGGCCAACGCAAAAGCCCTGGCAGAGCGATTGGGCAATCCTCTCAACAACAGTGGCTTGGGATACAACATTGTGTCGGGAGGAACCGACAACCACCTGGTCCTGGTAGACCTGAAGAACCGCGGTGTCGATGGTGCCCGCGTGGAGCGCGTGCTGGAACTCTGCGGGGTTGCCAGCAACAAGAACACCGTTCCCGGTGACAAGTCTGCCCTGAAGCCTGGTGGCCTGCGTTTGGGCTCTCCAGCCATGACCACGCGCGGTTTCCAACCGGAAGATTTCCGCCGCGTGGCTGACATCGTCGACCGAGCGGTCATCATCACGCAAAAGTTAGACAAGGCGGCCAAGGAGAGCGCGACGGCCAAGGGGGTTAAGAGCCCGAATACCGTCAAGGCGTTCCTCGAATACGTGAAGGACGGTGAGGAGATCCCCGAGATTGTGCTTCTGAGACAGGAGGTTGAGGACTGGGTAGGAACTTTTAGCCTCCCCTGGGCGCAGGACGAGTAGACGTCATTATTCCCAATTATTTGCGACCGGCTTGAGGAGTTCTGTAGGTTTTTTTTTTTTTTTATTATTATTATTTTTGGTGTATATGTATGTACAAATGTTCAACACATCTACGTTAGAATCAATGATTTCTGGAACTGCAATGGAGTGCTACCCTTGTACAGTATGTGCATAGCTATGACTATGTAGATAAAGATTCCGACAACGGAAGCTTATCGGTCTCCGCATTCCCCAGACTCTTTTGTTTTCGGTTTCTTTTATTCCCTTCCCTTGTATTGATTCTTCCCTACATTCTTCGACCAACCTCTCGGCTGGGACATATTTAAAGTGGAGGATCTTCTCGGCGTCGGTGACTCACTCCCTTGTTTTGACTTGACTTGACTCTTGGAGTCACTACTGCGTAGCGTCAGCGCCTCACTCCCAGTCCATCGAGACAGGAGACATCCTTCGCTCATCATGAAAATTACGCAGGTAGCTAGCGATTCCTTCAAAAGTGTTTACTCCAGCGTCTAATGTGACTGACTTATCTCTCAGCTCTACACGTACCCGATTAAATCGTTGCGAGGCGTCGCCCTCCCTGCGGCTTTGCTCACGAGGACCGGATTCGAGTATGACCGTCGATTCATGCTCCTGAAGGTCAACGCAAGCGACGATGGTACCGAGTCCCTGAAAAAACATGCACGTGCCCCATTTTCCTGAAATGTGCCGTTTCCTGACCGACATCGTGTTCCCGACGGAGGGAAGCAACAACGGCAAGGTGATTGTCACATACCAGCCCACCGGCGTCGACGGCCACCGAATCAAGACCCTGGAAATTCCTTTGGTACCGGACGTGCGGGGGCTGGAAGAATTAGGGATTATGATGCACCAGAGCCCGACCAAAGGTTACAACATGGGAAGTCAGTATAATGATTGGTTCAGCGAGTGTTTTGGATATCGGGTTGTCCTGGCGTACTTGGGACCTCACTGGAGACCGGTGCTGGGGAGTTTTCCCCCCGGGGAAGAGTGCGGCGCACCGAAAGCCAGCCACCACGCCGCTTGTTTCAACGCGGTCCGTGGCAACCCTGGCGGCGTTGACCCTGCTCCTGAATGCTATCGGGGTGCCTATGGTGCGAGAGACCACCGGGTCGTCGTTGTTGCCCAGCCTAGCGGCCACAGCGGTCGCTGTGATCCTGTCGGTTGCTCTGGGCCGCCGCGACTGGTCGCGAGGAGGGAAGCGGAATGAGGAAAAGATCACCTTTGCCGACGTGGCGCCATACTTGGTAGTGTCGGAGACATCCGTGCAGGACCTGTCGACGCGTCTGGCCGGTGACGTGGAGATGGACGTGACCAAGTTCCGACCCAACATTGTTGTGGCAGGAGCTGCAACGGCCTACGAAGAGGACTTCTGGGCAGAGCTAGCGGTGGGCGAGAATGAATCCCGGCTTCTTATCACGGCGAACTGTGTACGGTGCCAGAGCATCAACGTCGACTATGACACGGGCAAGATGGCCCGGGGGGAGGCGGGCAACGCGCTGAAGAGACTGATGAAGGATCGGAGGGTGGACAAGGGGGCAAAATACAGCCCAGTATTTGGGAGATATACATTTTTGGACCGAGAATCGGAGAATACCCCGATTCGAGTGGGAGACGAGGTAATTGTGACGAAGATGATGGATGAACGGTCGGTAATCGGTGAGTTTCCTGAACTTCTATGACTGAAGGATGGACATTAACTATTTCTAGATTGGCCAGGTCTTAGTTGAGAGAATGCGTCGTAAAGATATACCTAGGTACTGCTAAATACAATGTTTTATAGAAAGTTAAGGATGCAGGTGACTGCCAAGACTTGCCATCATCATAGTATTTAGTGTAGTCTAGTAATTCAGCAACACCGCTCACATCATCCTACCGCATCACCACCGTGGATGTAGACAGTATGAGTGAATTCCCTCCATCTAGCCTTCGACCTCTGATTGCCGAGGTCTTTGATCTGCTTCGATCCCGTGAAGAATCGGTGTCCGTTGCTGAGACTGTATGTCATCTGCTGCATAATTGACCATACTGTACTGAATGCACTCCCTTTAGGCAGCTGGTGGGCTCCTCTCAGCATGTTTACTGTCGATGCCTGGCGCATCGTCCATCTACAGAGGGGGGTTGACTGTGTGTATCCCTGATCCGTCACGTTGCGGAGAGGATGGATAGATGATTATAATAGATAACTCTAATCTACATCACAGGTATACACTCTGGAATCGCGCATCGCCTTCGCTGGATGGACGAAAGAACACCTGGACCAGTACAAGGGACCTACTCCCGAGATTGTGGCCGGACTCGCAGACCATGTGCGTGAGAAGCTCGAAAGCACCTATACGATCGGTGAGAGCGGAACCGCCGGACCGACCGGTGGGACGACAAGAAATCGCATTCCGTAGGCACTTTCTTGTCTTGATTTGTCTATATTGGAAAGATGGAAAGAATAACAGTCGCAGGGGTTACGTAGCAGTCGCAGTGTCTACAGCGCATGGAACGTATACTCGCGAGAAGGAGACAGGGACAAACGATCGCGAGAGAAACATGGTGGCGTTTGCAGAGGAGGGATTGAAGTTATTGCGGGATGTGATGTTGGGGAAGGCTGTGTTATGATGCTTTCTAGGGACTCTGGAACTGTGCCTGACCCATCCATGGTACCTTTTTGTCATGGTGGGTCAATCTTTGAAGAGATAGATGATGTTGAATACATATGGGTCTGTAACTATTCCGATGTACTGCACCGCCTCGATGACGCAGAGAAAGCGCCACAAAAGAGAATCATGGTTTCACTTGCCCACCTCTGACTGGCTCTTGTTTCTTCATCTTCTTTCTTTCTTTCTTTCTTTCTTTCTTTCTTTCTTTCATCCTTTTTTCTTCTTTTTTCTTCCATTCGTCTTCTTCTTCTTCTTTTACCCCTCGAAACAATCATTTCTAAGTCATCCTACACTTCGCACCTGACCAGCCATTAATCCTCAATTGCCGTTATTAGGCCGCCACTTTCCCCTCCCAGGGTATTCTCCCCCAGGGAATAATCCCTCGACCATCCACATCATGGATGCCGTCAATCTTCGTCGCAAGGATACCACCAAGGGTCCTCCCTTGAGGATCCTGTCCCTTGGTGTGTTGTCTTTTTATTCTGCCACAGATCGAGAACCCAACTAACAATATTCAGATGGCGGGGGTGTTCGAGGATACTCCATGCTCATCATCCTCCAGGAATTAATGTACCGAATTTACGTCGAATGCGAAGGCAAGGCCCCCGCGACGCGATCAAATCCCCAAACCCTGCGACCATTTCGACCTCATCGCTGGCACCGGCACCGGCGGCTTGATTGCGCTCATGTTAGGTCGCCTACGCCTCGACCTGGAAACATGCAAGGAAGTCTACGTGCGCATGACCCGTCGGGTCTTCGAAACAGACAAGACGATCGCCGGCATTCCCTATCGCTCTACGCTGTTCAAGGCTTCGAAACTGGAACAGGCCATCCGCGAGTGTGTCCGAGAACACACGGTCTTCGAGGCCGAGGGCAACGACATGTCCCCTGGCGCCGGCGCCCGCACTTCGATTGCCAGTGCCCCGTTCAGTCCCAGTCCCATTCCCCAGCGGTCGGGAAGCCGCGCCAGCTTCAGCACCAGTACGTCCCATTCCTCCACCGCCGCCAGCCAGCGGAATTCAACATTTATTAACGGCCTCCGGTGGGGAAATCCGGATGCGCTATTGTATGATAATCGGGAGTATCGGACCAAGACGTAGGTGGTTTTTTCCCGCTTTTTTTTTGATCTCTATGTGGTTGTCCCCCGGCCCAGCTAACGGAATAGTGCGGTTACGGCATTATACAAAGGCACAACCCGCCAGGGGTCTGCCGTGCTCCTACGATCCTACGACTCTCGCAAAGAACCGCCCCCCGAGTTCAACTGTACGATCTGGCAAGCCGGTCGGGCGACGTCGGCGACCGGGCTCGCGTTCAAACCCATCCAGATCGGCCAACACGTCTTCATCGACGAAGGGGTCGGAACGTACAATCCGGCGCCGCAAATTCTCGACGAAGCCACCGTCAACGAGTGGCCTGGAAGGGAGGTCGGGGCGTTCATCAGCGTGGGGACGGGCCGGCGTCCATCCGGCACGAATAACCGGCAGCATGAGTGGTGGGAGGATTTCTTCGGGGATTCACTGGGCACCTTCGCGGAAGCCCGACGGCGACTGATCGCCAAGATCGAAGGGTGTGAGGAGATTCACAAGGACATGCTGCGCGATCATCTGGCCCGGCGCAATGTGAACAAGGACAATTACTACCGGTTGAATGTCGAGGTCGGCGTGGGCGAGTTTGGCATGAACGAATGGAATCGGCTGGCCGACATCAGCACCAACACCCGTCGCTACCTGACCCGACCGGAGGTGAAGAAACAGATCCTCGATGCGGGCGTCAAGTTCGCCAAGATCGAGCGCATGCACCAGCGATTGGCGGCGCACGAGGCGGCGGGACACGACCTGGCCGTATTTCAAGACGATGACAGTTCCATATATATCCAGAGTCCCCAGCTATCGGTGCCTCCGCCGTCGAAACCGTTCGCGGTGGAATTACCCGCCGAACTCCCTACCGACTTTCCCATGCGACCGCCATCAGGGCCTCCTCCTCCTCTGCCCACTGACACTGTCATGCCGTCACCCGCGCGGGGATCCGGTAGCGATCTGGGCAGCTTCAGCCCCAGCGAGGTGAGCCGACCGGGATCGCAGCAGTATGGATCGCCACGACAGAGCCTGGACCAGGTTGTCGAACACGGACCGCCACCGGTGCCGCCCAAGACGCCAATCCCCTATCCCATGGACCAGGTGAGCGAGCTGGGAGGGATCCCGATGCCCATGCCGTTGATGGGGTCGCACAGTCCGGGGCGAAATGGCAAAGTGCGACCGCCGTATCCGGTGGATGAACCTCCGGTGGTGAACAAGCAGCGGAAGCCCAGTTATCATCTGCGGTGATTATTCTGTATATTGTTGGTGGATGGAAGGATACCCGGATTTAAATTAATGAATGAATAATGAATGAATGATCAGTAAAATTAATTCAGAAAATTAAGGGGAAATACTGAATCAGCCCGCGATCCGTTTCCCCGCCCAGCCTTTTCTTTTCTTCTTTCATTTTTCTCAACTTTTCTCTCTCTTTTTCTTCTTCCTTTTTTCAATTGTTCTTGTTATTTCTCTCCCTAATTCGTCTCTTTGCTCCAAGGCGCCTAAAATTGTGACTTTCGATTTGCCGCCGTGAACCGTCAATCCCATGGATTAGTCGGATTATCTACTATAAATATATCTCTCTCCCTCGATCCCGATCGCCTCCCGATCGCTTCTCGATACCACTGCTGGCAGTGTACGATGGAATTCTCTCTCGAACCCCGATCGGACGGCCGACCGGCCTCGTACAAAGCAATCGGTGTTTCGCTGGCCGTCGCCTCGGGTCTCTTCATCGGAGTGTCCTTTGTCCTGAAGAAAGTCGGCCTGTTAAAAGCCAACGTCGAATACAACGAGGAGGCCGGCGAGGGATACGGATACCTGAAAAATGTCTGGTGGTGGAGCGGCATGACGTTGATGATCGTGGGGGAAATCTGCAACTTCGTGGCATATGCCTTTGTCGATGCCATCCTCGTCACCCCGTTGGGCGCCCTCTCTGTCGTCGTCACCACCATCCTGTCGGCGATCTTCCTCAAGGAGCGGTTGAGTTTCGTCGGCAAGGTGGGCTGTTTCACCTGTATCCTGGGATCCGTCGTCATCGCCCTGAATGCACCACAGCAGTCGTCTGTCAACAACATCCAGGACATGAAGCACTACGTCATCACCCCAGGCTTCCTGTCCTACGCCGGCGTCATCCTCGTGGGTAGTCTCATCATCGCCGTGTGGGCGGGCCCGCGCTATGGGAAGAAAAGCATGTTCGTCTACATCAGCATCTGCAGCACCATCGGCGGTTTGAGTGTCGTAGCCACTCAGGGGCTGGGGGCCGCCATCCTGGCCCAGATCCGTGGTGAGTCCCAGTTCAAGGAGTGGTTCCTGTATGCGTTGTTGGTATTTGTGGTGGCGACGTTGCTGACCGAGATTATCTACTTGAATGTATGTCCTCTTCCTTCCCAGGTCTCTTCCCTGGTCTGATACTCACCCTCGCAGAAAGCACTGAACATCTTCAATGCGGCCCTGGTCACCCCCACGTACTACGTCTGTTTCACTAGCGCCACCATCATTACCTCCGCCATTCTCTTCCAGGGCTTTAAAGGATCAGGCATGCAGATCGCCACCGTCGTCCTGGGATTCCTGCAGATTTGCTCCGGGGTAATCCTACTGCAGCTCTCAAAGTCCGCCAAGGACGTGCCCGATGGAGCCATCTTCAAGGGCGATCTGGATCAGATCCGCGAGGTAGCCACGCAGCAGGAGCCCGAGACCGAGCCCAAGGCCGACTCCATCCGCGGCACGGCAGCCATCATCCGCCGGCTGTCGACGCCGCGTCGCGCGATTGAAACGGAGGAAGTGCGTCGTTATCTCCGCGAGCGACAGGAGGACCAGCGACCGGCTGCGACGGAGAATGAGATCATTGAATGGGATGGCTTGCGCCGACGCAGGACCGTCCTAGGTGAGGGGCCCACGATGACGCGGGGACGCACTCCGTCGATGAAGAAACTGCCGCTGCCACCCTGGGGCATGTCCCGGTTTCCCGAGGAAGAGGAGGAGCATCAACATCGGCAGCAACGGGGGCCGTCGTTCCTCGATGAGATCCGGTCCAACCAGGGCTCCTCGTGGCAACCGATTCCAGAGGAGAACGAACCGGCGTCGTTGTTGGCCATGTCGGGTCCTCGCCCGGTCGACACGAGTTATGCCGGTTCCCTTCGACCGGTCGAAGTGGACGAAGGGATTCAACTAGCGAAACGGCAGTTTTCATTTTATATGTTCCCGCGCGGAAAGACCGATGCGCCGCACAGATCGCCGCGGAGTATTCTGCGACACGGTTCCCATGAGGCGAAGACGACGGAGGAGGAGCGACTGGGACTGGTGCAGGGCGATTCCACGGTGAACCACGAACCGACGGAACTGGCGCGGACGGAGTCCAACGACAGCGCGGACGAATTACCGTCTGGCCATGCCTACGCCCATCCACACGAGCATGATGATTACCGACGGGGATCAGGGGGGTCATTGTCGTCCGGACGAAGTCGAGGAGGGGGATGGCGAAGGGGGGCTTTTTTATGATGATTATGATATGATTATGATATATAATGATGTATGGTTATGAGTGTATGACTGTACTTATTTGATTAACCTAGTCCTCCATCTGTATTCTATAGTCTCTAAGAATGAATCTCGAGATAACCCTAATAGACTCTATCTTTCAACTCTAGACTCTAGCTACTATCGTAGTATATTCGTACTGACAAAGACTACTCAATCAAATCCCAGACATCTACCATTACCCCTTTCATCCGTCACTACTCCTGACCTCGTCGTCCATCCTTGTCACCATAACTCACCGTACAGAATCTCCGCCAGGTATTTGACACGCTAATGGTGACATATAATAAATAGACAGTGGACGAAATATATATTGTATCATTCTGATGATAAACAAATGCAGATTGGAAGATTACTTCTCGAATGGAGAGTACCAGCCAATGGATCATATGGATTCGGGCAAGAATCAGTCTATATCGACAGATAAGATAAAAGCATCCTAGAGTTATCTACGTATATCATATACGTGGCTTCTTGATAACTATGGTATTCTATACATCTACTCCCTCTCTGTGCGAGAGAGAAAGAGACAGTATTCACTACATTCCACCAAGCAAAGCACTCCATACCATTGGATATTGGATATTGGATATACCTACAAAGAATGGGGTTTCTCCATTATATACTCAGAATATAGTGTAAGTGAATCGATATGAAATGGATACCACTGCTCATAGTGAAGAAAATCATGGATATCTCCAATCGGCGAGCAGAATTAATGGCGAGGTCCATAGAATAGATGTCAAATGCATTTAGTATGTTTCAATTCGAGAGGTATAAATACCTCATTATTCTTCTAGATTATTATTATCATCATCCTCTCTATCCTCTTTATCCTAACCTTTTCATTCCATCCTTTTTATGTCTTTATCTTTATTATCGTTTAAAAACAAAAAAAAGGAAGATACAGTTTACCATCAATACACAAATCACAACACAACCAACAATGTCCAGTATGGGCTTCCATCATGAACTCCACATCGCCTCCTTGGCCGTCCAACGCGCCAGCATCGTGACCAAACACATGCAATCCGTCCAGGACAAAGGATCCCGCGACAAAGAGGACGCATCGCCCGTGACTGTGGCTGATTTCGCGGCGCAGGCGATCCTGATCGGGATCGTGAAGCACCATTTCCCGAATGACCATGTCATCGGCGAGGAGTCTGCTTCAGCTCTGCGCCAGGATCCGGGTCTCATTAAGCGAGTTTGGGAACTCGTTACTCTTGGTCTTGATGGAGTCGACGACCAGAAGGAACACGATGAGATTCTTCAGACCATGCCTTCTTCTCCGGATGAAATGCTCGAAATGATCGACCTGGGTGGAGCTGGTGGGCACGAGGATGATATGACTCGTGCTTGGATTTTGGATCCTATCGATGGTACGAAGACCTTCGTCCGTGGACAACAGTATGCTGTGTCTCTTGCGTTGGTGGAAGATGGAGAGCAGAAGTTGGGCGTGGTCGGGTATCCGAACATGGCGTATAGCGATGCCACTTCTGCGGAACGGCTGATGATGACGGAGGACGGTGTCGATGTCACCGGGTATGGGACCCTGTTGTCCGCCGTCAAAGGTCAAGGGGCATTCCAGCGTCCTATGACGGGTGGTATGTGTCTTCACATGGCGGAACCGCTCATCCAGTCTAGCGTCAACAAGACCGAGCTGGTGTTTGTCGAGGCCACTGCTAGTCCCTACATCGCTCAGGACAAACATGCCGCCATCCGTGCCCAGTTGCAGGCCACCGCTCCCTTCGTCGACCTGTGGTCCATGCAGACTAAGTATGGCGCTCTCAGTGTCGGCGCCGGTAATGCCATGGTGCGTATCCCCCGTGAGAAGGACTACTGTCCCTGGGTGTGGGATCACGCTGGTGGTATGTTGGTCTACGAGGAATCCGGCGGGAAGCTCACCGATCTCGATGGACGTCCCTTTAACTATGCCCGTGGACGACGCCTGATGGACAACTTCGGCGTCGTGGCTACCTTGCCTCAATTCCATGACCGCCTGTTGGAGGTGGCTCGTCAGTTCTTGGACTAAACATCCATGTATTTGGAGTTGGCTACAAAGAAAGGATTGGGAGATTGTATTGGAGGATAGGAATTGGATAAGGATTAGACGATTGGGAGACTTCTTTTGGAGGATGATTTCAATGATTGCACGTAGAGTATAAAGCTACGGAATGGGAGGAATGGGAGAATGCCCGACATGTCGTCAAATGTCATATTTTGTTTGAATGCCCATACACCATAGAAAAGACAAAAAAAAGAAAAGAAAAGACAAACCCCCTCAATGCAGGGGATTGAAGCCATAACAATATAAGAAACTCACGTAATAGGAAATTCGTCACATCATGGTCGTAAATATAGCCTCGCGGAAAAGCACATACCACAAGATGACTGACCAAAAGCACCATAACGCTGCCCATCCCTCAATCCAAGATGTAAAAATGTAAAAGCCTGGATCATGCCCCAACGCTTTTTCCAGGAACATTCCAAACCACGGTAGATTATAATAATGATCGTAGCCCGGCTTTCCACACCGGGTAGACACTCTCACCATAGAGGTGATGGTGCCAATGCTCCATCCCGTCTAGTCTTGATTCAACAGACAGCCCCAGAAAGAAGACAAGAAATGAAAAACAAAACCCTCCGAGACTCAAGGAAGAACATAGCGGCGGAGAATACCGATGTCGTCCACCATGATGCCATCACATCCCAGTCATGCGGAGGCAGTCTATGGGAAGCATGTAGAAAGCAAGGAAATTTTGTAATTCACTCCAACGAAGGGAATCATGACCCATCCATACAATAGGTCACCCTTTTATCCCGACTTTTTTGTTCGATTTGTGATTTTGGTCTTTTTTTATATTTTTTTTTTTTTTGCAAACGCTTTTAATTTCGTAGACCCAACCATGTATTAGGCTTCCAGACGACCACGATTAGCGACGGCGAGACACCACGCCCCCAGCTTTCATGGGCTGTAATCCAAGAGGTACACCCGCAACTGGCCCACCAACCTCAGTCAATGTCTTTCGGCGTTTGCTCTCATACTCGCCCCCACGGCTGTCGGGCCGAACAATGCGGTCTAGATCATCCTCCTCTCGCAAACGTTTGCCGGATCCCAGAGACCCATTCATCCCCGCCGAGTAGCCAGGAGCGGAGTTGGACGCCACCGAGTAATTTTCAGCCTGTCCACCGTTGGCCGGCGTGCCCCGGGTGTCGCTAACAATGTTGTAAAGACTGCTAGCGGCAGCGGCGGGTCGGGGCGGCGTGCTGTAACCGGATGACCATTGTGGAGGACCCCCACTGGTACGAGGAGTCATCCGCCCGGAGCCATTTTGCTGTGAAGGTGAGCCCGTAATGTCGGGAGTCAGCTGCGAATGATCACCCGTCAGGCTCCCAACAGATGGGTTCGTGGTATACGTGTATGAACCCCGGCTAGTGCTGTAGCCGCCATTATCATGCTGCACGTATTCCGACTCATGCTCCGGGACGTGTTCACCTTGTCCGTTGCCGACATGGCCATTGCTGTGAGAATAACGCTCCGACTTAACATCGGCAGTCTCACCCTCTGGCGGCCCGCCAGGGGTCCGAACCGAAGGAGGACCCATGTCATTTTTCATATATGTACCGTAAGGAGCCATGCCTGGCTGGCTCAGGGATTGTTGCGGAGCATAGTGGGCATGCGACGCAGGGGCGGTCGAATAGTACGGTTTCGAGCTGTCGTATCCGGACTGGCCCTGGTACGATTGCATTCCCTGCAGATTACTTCCCGGGGGGGTAGTAGCTGGCGTAGTGGGCAGTGACCGTGCATTGCTCAAAGCAGTGTCTATTGACAAGGGCTGCGAGTGTGGCACACCCGAGTTCATCCCTTGGCTTCCCCATTCATAAGAGGGGCCTTGATTTGCTATGCCCATGAGACTGGAGGCGCTGGCCGGTGGTGTCGGGAAAGCGGGCGCTCGATCAAGTCCTGGCCGACCCTGTGAGCCAATCGTTGAAGGCTGGGGCATATGGGAAGGAACGGGAGTTTGCAAAGAGTGGTGATGATGCAGTGCAGGAGGCTGAGTCCCTTGTGAAGTTCGCCCTGCTTGTGGGCCCTCTAACCGTCGCTGTTGCGACTCTTGAACCACCAGGTTTGTACGTGTTTGATTAGTGGGATGGTACAAAAGACCGCCAATATTGTGCACAAACAGAGGGTACAGAAGGTCTGTGATCTTCTCCTTGTTTGCAAATTCCAATGCACGTTCAAAAGGAATCCTGTACGAAAATGAAATATATCAGTTCAAATCTTCAACTGAACCATCGGAAACACCATACCACACGCCCTTGAGATGCATGGGGCCGATTTTCACCACGTGGCGGATTTTTTCACTCTTGAGAATTCCATCCCGACGACCTCTGGTCATTCCAGCAACATTGAGCAGCTTTGTCCCATTGATCATGTGGTTGTCTGGAGTGCAAATCAACACGATAATCCTGACAGCCAGAATGAGATGCTTACCTTCTCTTCGGGCGACGCACACGCCCTTCGCTTCCACCTGGTAGCAAAGACTGCCTTCGTCTTCCCACAGGGTTGCTGTCACCCGTGGTTTGGCCCCAGGAGGTGCGATTTGCCCGGTGGCATCGTAGACGTACCCTTGCAAAGGCGTCCCAGTAGTGTTTCCATAACCTGGGGGCGTAACAGTGTGGTTTGTAACTATTCATACAGACTTATCAACAATGGTCAAAGGAGATGCTAAATAAACCTTGATGAGAACTCACCGGGTAATGGCAGCAATTGAGCCGGAACTTGAGCACTCATCGAGGTCGATGGCGGTTGTGGCCCTCCTTGCGACGAGGCGACACCACTAGGATATGTATATTGCGAATATGAGCTTGCTGGTCCATAGGTAGTCGACGCCGGTTGCAACACCGGTGGCTGCTGGTGGTACTGATAATGGGCTATGCCACCGGCCGTAGCTGCCTGAGGAGCATACGGCTGCGCCGATGACAGATGCGAGTGGACATCCATGTACGGTTGAGTTTGGCTCATACTGCTAATGGAAGTTGGATGTGGATAGTACCCGTCGCTCACCGGTTGTTGGGCGATTGAGTAATCCTGAGGAGCAGATGAATCCAAAGACAGCCGGCCCTGGCCACCAGCCGCTAGGTCTGAAGGCGGTGGCGGGCTTCTGGCTTCGTTGACGATAGGTGTAGACCCTGATAGACTTGTCCGTGCACTCACGTTGTTAGATGCCGGGGCCGACGGGTCTTCGTAGCTAGTCCGGTAGGACTGGCCCGAGATGGGCGGCTGCGAGGCCGTTGGTAAACTAAGAGCCGGCAGTTTGTCGCCAGACAACAAAGGTCTCTCGGCGGCGTGATGATTATACCAAGGAATATCAACAGGACCTCTGGTGTGGACCTGCGAAATCGACGGTAGCTCCAGCTTTTCGGTTGGCGGGGGTAATGGCTCTAAGAATTCAATGGAATTGTAGGTGATGGACGTTGGACTCGAAAACGTCCAACGAACCGCAATATATGGTCAATTGCTCTTTTCGGGGGGACAGCCTTTCTGTCTTTTGTTTTCGTTTTTCTTAGCCCTCTGGCCAGGTCCCAACACTGATAGGTTTCCAAATGAACATGCAATGATACTGTCAGCTTTTATCGTTAATGACAAAAGAAAAGCCAAGATATTAGCACTGTATCAAAGAGTAATGCAGATATCCTGAGATAAAAAAAGAGAAATAAAATCAAAAAAAAAAGTGGATCGACAACGAAATGCAGAAAATGCTAGCTGTGCAATCGTAGGATCGTGGCGAGTCGTAACCGTAAAACACCTGAAGATCGCTGGCGCAACTGGATGGAGAGAATCGCTATGCAGGTTATGCGCTGAGAGAAATCTAGCTCCAGAAACTTAAGGAGATCCCAGTCGTCACAAGCAAAACATGGAAGTTCGAGGAACAACAGATCGCTTGCAGATGATCAACACAACTCGCTCAGCCAAATCAGAAGCACGAAATCATGGGTCTCGTTTCAAGTCGTTAAAAAGGGCCGGAGAAGGGGAGGGAGGAGGGAGACGACGTGATAGTCCAGCATCAAACGTCGATCTTGGAGGATGCGTTTCTGCACACTACTGCACCCGAGGGAAGGATGAAACCGAAAACGCGCAAAGACGAGCAACGAGCAGTGTATATCAAACTGGTGGCGATTCGTAACAGGTCGTAGCAGGTCGTCGAGCAAGTGGTGGCGTGCTGCTGCGCAGAGAGAAGTACAGGACTCGCGAGCAGTCTGTATGTAACAAGCGAAACAGGAGTAAGCAGGGCGTTCAGGTCATCAACATGATCATGCAGAATGAGAAGCAGAAGCAAAAGGCGGGCCAAGTGAGTGGTCGAGGTTAAAAAAAAGAAAAGGAATTCCAGACGGGAAGCAGTATGTATGTATAAGAAAATGTCAAACGGAAGGGATGCTACACTGACGGGGCAGACAAGGGGGAAGGGTAGGAACGGCGGAAATCTAAAGTCGAAATCCAGGCTCACGAATAAAGAGGGGGGGGCAGTAAATTGGAGAAAATAAAATAGGTAGAAAATGATCTGGGACACTTCAGCCGTCGATGATCATAGCAGACAGACTTCCCAATGAGAATAAGAAAGACGAGAAAAACAAGAAATAATAATAGAACAAATCATAAAAAAATAAAAAAATAATAAATGCCAGACGAAGACAAGCAGGCGGTGGAGTGCAGAGAGGGTAAAAGAAAATGATTGCTGTGCCGCAGGAGGAGCAGCAGATCATACACGAAAAGTGGAGGAGGCTGGGGGCGCAGAGCAAACGCAGGCCCCAAGGCTAAGCCTAATTATTCTCTGCAGCAGCTGGGCGGGTTGGTGTTTCTGGACCACGCCCCGAAGGAACTCCCTTCTCTTAAAACGAAACTATGGAGGCGGGGAGAGGGAGGACAATAACAATATTGAATGATGATGGGTGTGGTGGTAGTGTGGATGACGGGGGGAAGTGGGAGGAAGGGGGAGAAGGGGAAGGAAATAAAAACCGAGAGAAGGGAGATAGATGTACCAAGTAGGTAGGTATTTTTTTTTGTTCATTAATTTCTCTTTTTTTGGTATCTTCCCCCTTGTTGGCAAGTAAAGTAGTAGATAACTAGGCAGGAAGGAATTAAAGCTGGAGGGGTGTGTGGGATCAGAAGAAGCTCTCATCCATGGATGGCGAATGAGTGGTTGACGGATGGGCCGAGGAGGGGAAGGTTGGGAGCGAGGATTGGGTTTAGTCGGTTGGGAGGGGAAATCGAGTGGAATTAATGGGCCAGGGAAAAGGGAGAAGAGGCACTCTGACCGACCCAGAGATGAAGAGAAGGGGTCTCTTCCGTTCAGCTTTGGTTCCTTTTCCGCCTTTCAGTGGGAGAGTGAGGTTGGTTTGATTTGGTTTTGGCAATGAAAGGGAGAGTGGAAAAAAAAAAAAAAAAAAAAGCCTGCAGCAACAGTGCTCCCATTGAAAGAAAAGGGCCCATTTCCAGCACAATTATGGGGAATAAACCAATTCCAGAAAAATCTCCTTGTCAGATACTAGATCTTGAATGCACAATCATCCGCAATCGAACAAACCTAGTATCCTCATTCAAAGAAGGCTGCTCATGGTGGTTGGTTTTATGAGCGCACGGGGTATACCGGTGGCAGCAAGGAAGTATAGAGGAACCTCTTGAGGTCCACGAAGGGAAAGAACCAAAAAAATAAAATAAATATATATATAAAAATAAAATAAAAATAAAAATAAAAATAACATACCGGCACGTGTGTACTTTGCGACTTTCTGAATCACCAGTTTCTTTTGAGACCTGCTGCGCGGGAATGTAACAGAAGCTGCAAGGCAATAATTGCTGGATGCCAAAATGATTCTGGGTGCTTGTTTATAGCTCGAGTTGAGCTGGTCGGTTTCCTGGGTCCCGCTTTATCTATGGAAGGCCTCGGCTAGGTCCGTTTCTTGGTCCCGTTTAGATTCGGCGCTGAAGAAAAGGGAGTTTAGAGAGAAATTGGAGTATTGGAATGGGAGAAGTAGCCAGTGGATCACTCGACCATCCGTCTCTATAACTAAGTAGTATTCGGGAGTAAGTACCAAGTGGGAGTCTAAGATGAAGAGAGTTAAAAAAGAAAATTTTTTTTTAAAAAAAAGAATAAAATGAAATCTTCAATGAATAAAAAAAATAAAAAAAATACATAAATTAAAAAAAAAAAAAAACTGTCAGCAACCCAGGGCCAAGAGAGGGATTATTAAAAAAAATAATAATATATTTTCCTCTCAGATGTGGATCCACAACTCAAAAAGAAAAATAAATTAAACAAGAATTATAAAAACGAGGAAAGGAGTTGGATTTTCTGGGAAGACAACGACCGTGCGTCTTGCCTGCGGAAAGCGGAGATACGCCATCAGTACGTAGTAGGTCTGGTCTGCTGCTGCTTTCTCAGCCTTCTCTTCCTCTTTGGCAGGGTCCAGAAGCCTGGTGTCAAGCTCCGACAGCGAGATTCTCGCAGAACCGCCACGAAGCAAGGGCCACCGGTCGGATAAGCTAAACAAGACGCCAGACAGGAACCACCATTTGGGCTAGGACCGCGATGATCCAGTCGAACCGCAGCTGGCTGAGATTGGCTGGTCGAAAAGGAGAGGGGTCACGGTGAGAGAGACGGATGGATGAGAGAGAGGGGTGTGTGGATTGGAAGATGAGTACACTAAAAAAAAAAAAAAGGACAGGAATCCTTGACCTCTTCACGTACCTGTATATAGGAGGATTACTACGAACCGCAGTAAAGTTGAACAGAGGCACTGGTAGTTGGTTTTGGAGCGACAATGCTGATGGCACCCAAAAAAAAAAAGTATGTCGTCGGATTCTGCAGGGTTGAGCCACCATTAAGACACTATTTACATCGAGGGAAGGCCTGAGGCAAATTACCGTCCACCACGAAAGACCAATCCGATGAGGAGAAAGTAATCTGGAATAAATGAAGATTTTCCGAGCCACCTTTTTTTTTTAATTTTTTTTCTTTCTTTTTCCCCTCCTGACTATTTGCTGGGTACCCTACAAACATTTCGAGGAATTGCGCAAAACAGAAAAGAGGGGAAGAATTAAAAAATAGTTAGTTAATTAAATATAGTTAGTTAACGCAGGAGGTAAAAATGAATAAGACCAGGGTAGTAAAAATTAAATAAATTACTCAACAAGACATTCTAACTATGTGCTTCAAATTGACCGCGATTGTCGGTAGCCACTGTGAAATGTTGGGATAGATTGTGTTGCTGTAAGTCATTCGATCGTCCTGCGCTGCTGGGATAATGCTGGATCATCCTAGAAGGATGATCGTAAGTCTACTGGCTAGTAGCCTGAGAAGATGGAATTGTTATTAATACTGATATTTATTGTTAGTTACTAGTCCTCCGTACTCCGTATTTATTTATGATCATTATTTCTCATAGATTCTGCCCAGTATATCTTTTTCCCCCTTCAATTCAGTTCACGGGGCAATAGATGGTATATTGAACACTATCTATCCATTGATGAAATTATTAGGCGAATCGTAGGGAGAGTCTCCTCGTATGAGCAATTGAAATCCAATTCCGTCAATGACAATCAGTATGATGGAAACCATCCATACTCGAGACCACCTAGCAAGAAGGAAAATAAAAATTCGACAGGCATGTCTGAACTGATAGGCTCAGAAAACAGCCCGGAGCTAGAGCGAAACGAAATGACGGATGAGATGACAGGCGTGTTCCAGGATCGAACAGTACATTGTCTCCACGATGGAACACACGGGTCCCCACTACACGAACCAAGGACCCAGCCGCAAGCTTTTCCACGGAATCTCTGAGACCTTTGGTAATAATAATACAAAGTTACATGATGGAGCTCCAGAGCGAAATATTGAGGTTCGAGCTACAGGTCTGGAGGTCTATACCAGGGGTCCAGATTAGGCCTATTTATCGGCCATTCTTCTTGCGCTTGGGTCGGTAAGCTCCAATGTTCAGTCTGTTGTTTGCTCAGAAGAGCAGAAATCGGGTCAATTACCACTAGCTATGTTGCAATATCACTATTGGTGCAAATCAAATCCTCAATCAGGAGAGAAAAATCAATGCCTATAAGGGCCATAACCACGGGGAAAATAAGAGTATGCTTTATTCATAGTATAAAGGAAAGATTAATTTAGATAAATAAATCCAGCGAATGCAAGATTTGCGCAGTCTAAACGGTGTGGATCATTATGTAATATATGATATACCTAGCTACTCATTCAACACAGACCAACAACCTAAATCGGCTCAGAAGGTCAATCCCTATATGATACGGGATACCCCATTCAACCCAGGAAAGAAATGGAGCCCTGGATGCTATGACCTGGCAGAGGAAGGGGCAAAAATGGTTGAAGGTGAGCGGGTGGAAAATCCACAAGGGGTAAATAGCGACAAGATAATACAGATCAACTTCCCCTCGAAATGATAGTTCTCGAGGACCAAATTCGTATCCTCTTTCTTTTTTAAGGTTGATTTTATTTCGTACTCTCCCAGAGTATGCCGTGGCAAATATCAATTGTAGGGATTTCCGCAAACGATCCACTAGGCTTTAGTCCATTCTGCCCTGTCTGTTTTGGCAGACCGAATGATCCAACATTATTAATTACATCGGCTACCACTATCTACGCCCGTACGGAGCACTAAATAATAATACGAGATCTTTGCTAGGCGCCATCCCCGAGCAGACTAGAGAACGCCAGCGACCAATAGCCTCCAAACCAAGTGGCAACTCTTTCCGGCGGACCCATTGGACATGGCCCTGGCTTCCTGGTAGTGTGTGCGATACGTACATAATTTAAGGCTTTCGGGTCGATCTGGAGGGCGTTAGAGCGCGGGCCCCGCCAAATACCAACCCAAAGACCGCTGACAAGTCACCACGATCGGATGATGAATGAATGAGAGTGACTGGTCATCTATGGTAACGAGTATAATTCCCTTTTTGGCTTTAATAAGTGTTCTCGAAACTATCCTAATCATTCCACGGAGTTTATTTTATATTTTATTCCTATTTTAAAGAAAGATAAATCTGTAAGGGAGTGTTGTATTTGCCTCTAATTACTTTCACTTTTGTCACCCGTCCAAGTAAGCCGAAGGAGCCGGGGGGGAATAAAAAAGAACATACTAGACTGTAGAGTGGAAAGGAAAAGATGAAAATAGGTGTATGTATGCAAGCAAGCGAGTACAACCATGTCACACAAGTCGTCGCAGAAGAAGAAACAAAACTGGAAGAGAATAGCCTGGCAGGGGTTCGTGCAGCTGGCAGGGATGAATCACTGGATGAGAGAGCACCACGGAAGTCAAGGTGGCGTGCGGGCAACAGTCGATCAAGCTCAGTGTCTGGTCGGTCAGATTTATGGTACTCTGTATGGATCATAGTCAGAGAAAGTAATTTTAGAGCCTTCGTTGAGGCACATTATTAGGTAGTCGGTCAGGTTAGGTCAGGTCAGGTAGGTAGGTATGTATGTACGTCATACCTCCAAGTAGTCCATACTCCCTATCGATGTTGTCCGTTTCAACTCCATCCAGGGAACAGAACCTTACCAGACTGTTTCGGCTCTAGTCGCCCTCTCACTTCGCCCTCTTCAGGATCCAGACAAGATATATTGTAAAGTCATGGCTACCTGGTCGCAACCTCTATCGCTCTCCCCCTCCTTGGTCTACTATTCGATCACTAGTCTCAGTTGCAATACCAATCTCTCCTCACTCCCCTACCACCCACCACGTATCGATGTATGTACCATGACTACTCCGTAGTAGTAGGCTCTATTCCAGATGAGATCGTGCCGCTGGATACATCTAAGTCCCCAGTACAGAGTAGAGTCGGTCAAGAAGCCCATGCCTCATGTTTCTGGGCACCAACCCTTGTGGGTTCGCTAACAATTCTCCGTCTACAATGGCCTCCAGAATTCAAGTTCCTACTACGTGGGTCCATGCTATCGAGTGACTTGTGTCTCACGAGAACTATCAGAAGGGCATTGTACTAGGTTACAAACTGATTCATGCCAAGCAGGCTTCCATGATTGCGATGAATATGAAGCAAATTACCTTTTCGACTAAGAGCACAAATTAACTTGCGCTGGGATTTTCTGTTGATCGAATCGTGTCATTGAATCTGCTAATGCGACGCCATTTGACCTTGTCTTGATTACTACTACTTTACTACTAGTTAACTGGTGTCCGTGGAAGGGTACCTTCTTGCAAGCAGTAATCATCGGTGGCACAGTGGCAACTATCCACTTATTGGCTTGTCTCTGGTCCTTAAGCTGCACATACATACAGACGGAAGTATTCCGTACTTAGCTAAGGTAGTTTATTTACTAAAGAACGTACGGGTCCTGGCGGATATCAAATTCAAAGCAGATCCAAATAGACTAGGACGTCGCACTAAAATGGAGACTCGTGATGGCTGCGTTTTGTCCTGTACGGAGTACATACGTACATCCGAGCTTAGTACGGTGAAGGCCCCGACCACGACCCTTGTGTACATTTTCGTTTTTGGAGCTTTTTTCACTTTCTCGGAGTGCAAATGGTTCGGTGGAGGGCTCGTCCCAGGCGCAAGGGCAAAAAGTCTGTACACTATGAAACAGAGATGCACAGACATCAGGGTCTCACCGCTTGTTCTTCAGAGGCGAAGAACTATATTCAATAGACAGAACAGGGAGGGAAGAGAAGGGAGAGTGTAAAAAAAAAAAAAAAAAAAAAAGAAAAGAAAAAAGTCATTTGACTGACAAACCCTACCATTCCAGTTGTGCTTTTGCTCGGCTGATGGAGAATCAGGGAAAACAATAGGCCCAGGAAGCTTCCTCTCGCAGCACCTCCTCGCGACCCCTTGCGTGAGGTGGAGCGGGCTAATGACACACTACCCCACTACTATGATTGCCTAACCCCACTGCTGTCTGGACGGACCACGGAGTACTCAACAGTATCAGAGATACGGGGTGGTAACTGGTGGCGTTGGAATGATCCCATATTCCACTGTATGTACGGACGTATTGTGGTTGTCTTCGGCCGAATTATCTTGTATGTAAAGTATATACTACCTTGCTATGAATTGTTTGGGATCTTGACAAATCACTGAACAATGTCTCGATCGCTGTCGTTCCCGTAAATTTCACTCTCGAGTAACGCTGATGGATGATACAACTACGCTGGCCCCCCTCCAGTTGACCATATTAGGTATTCCGTCGAACCCTGGCTAGTCTCTTCTGTAGAGAGCAGAGTCGTATCTCGGAGATAGCACGGAGTAGCGTGTCCCAAGTATCGACACGTTCTGGAGTTGATTCCACAGTAGAAAGGCTGCAGTCAGACGGGGTATTCGTTGCGAGAGATATTTCTCAATGTTTATCCAAAAGTCACAATATTACCACATGCTTTTAAAAGTATACCACCCCCACAGAATACATACTTCGGTACTCCGTAGGGCAGCGTTCCATTGCTTCTACTTGCTATGTTATGCATGTATGTATGTACATAGGCCGGCTTATGAAGAATGACTACTGTACTCCGTATTCTAAGTAAGCTGTTATCCATGCAAGTTTAAATGCGCAGACGACAGGCCGGTTTAATGCACATCTGCATATCAATCCCGTCGACATCTACATAAGCATAGGTTTGGCAAAGCACAATGCACAAGAAGGTCCGTGTCTGCTCATCTGCGTCAAGTCTAACAGACAAAAGAAGTCTACTACTGTAGGAGCTAGAGAGGATCGACTAAAATACCTCCTAGTGCTCTGTAGTAACTCTAGTGACAGTCATTGCAACACTAGTTAGCTGCACCACATCAACCCCAACATGCGGCGCAGTCAAATTAGATTAGGATCTACAGTTGACCCGGAATTATCTTGGTCAGTATTATTTCTAATGCGATTCTCAGTCATTATAATTCTTCAAGCAACAGGCTAAGGTATGCAGTCCCGCAACGAATCAACAAAACAAAAAGACCAACAAGTAACCCCATTTTCAAGTTGAGATATAAGTCCCGAGTCACGCAGGATGACCAGTCCGCTACGGACGGGCCGACACCCGCAGCCGTCCGTACATACAGCAGATCTTGCGGGGCGACTCCCCATTCCAGTTAATAACGGAACGGTCCATCCATTCCATCTGGTCATGGACATTTATTCTAAAGAGCAGAATACTATCTTCGGATGACGGACCGATAGAGAGGATGGAACAATAAAATAAAAACTCGGAACTAAGACAGACGATAGTACCTTCCAGGGTACACAAAATGTCAGACACGCGAAATGAAAACGAGGGCTGTCACTTCATCCTCATGGGAGACTAAAAAATGCACTAAGAACCTAGGTAGCATCGTCTACTGCACAGGGACTAGACTGAGTCCTGACATTGCTCCTGCCCCACCGCTAAATTAGTCCCTTCGCTAGTTTGACTTTGACGGCTGATAGACAGAAGCAACCATGGTCCAGGCTGAGGGATGGATTGCTGGTCCAGCCTCATGCGCTAAGGTTAGGCTGTCGGAGCCAACCGTCACTCGGCAAGAGGACCAGTCGTATTGGATATCTTAGTGTCAGGCGCTAGCTGAGACGGTGGGAAGTATGTTCCATGTTGGTATGGTGGATTTAAGCGGCAATTCGGCTTGATTGTCTGCGTGTCTATTTCCAACCTTGGGATAGATAGAGTGGTTAATTTTCCCAGATCCCCGAGACGAAGAGAGTCGGAGAGGGTTAATTTGGTTGCGATGTGCCCGACATCCATAGTTAGTTCATTTTTAATTTCTTTTTACCGTTTTCGTTTTCTTTTCCTTTTTTTTTAAGTTTTTGTTTTGTTTTTTGTTTTGGTGGCATTTCCCTTAAAGTCACATGCGCTAATCCCAGGAGTGGGGCGTAGCTGAAATGTCGCAGGAATTCATGTCCTGTCCCGTAGAGCCTTTTTTCTCTCCCTTTTTCCCCCCAATACTATTTAAGTTCTCTGGGGAAACAATTTATATGTATAATATCAACAAAATATACCCAGGATGTGGCACAAGCAAAGAAGGATAATCCAGCGACAAACAGTGTACCTGCAGCTGGGCATGCAAGGAAAACCAACCGCTTCCAACCGCCGCTCCCAAGAACACTAAAGCAGTGTCAGCCAACGGAACGGCTGCTAGAGTACCGAGGAAGTAGGCGTCTCTTCAGCGCTGCCTACATTGCAGTAGCTTTCCACTCCTAAGCAGGTACCAGTTAGAAGCAGCTCGTCAGTCGGAGGATTCCTCCGTTGGTGTCGACGCTACCGTGTTTAGACCAACCGCTACGTGACTAACTACCTGGCTGACCCCTGACAGAGGCTGAGACGCTGGCCCCATTTGACGAGAAACGTAAGAGTAAATGAAATTCGGCACGTCCTGCTGTACTCCGTACGACTTAAAAACCCCATCGGCATGATCCTAGTCAATGATCCGATAGTTTTAGTTTTCCCTTGAGCTGAAATTCTCGGCAGTAGGAACACTTTTGCTCGACAGACAGGGCTGGGACACAACTGGGAAAGATTACAGCCATCCAAATTTAGTAAAAGAATGGTTTAGAGACCTCTGGAATAAGAGCTTTACGAACCCTGGTCTGCGTTTTCACTAAATTCGAATTTCGACTGTAATATGCCATTTATTTAGACAGTATCACTAGTGTTACTTGCGTAAATATATAAAAGTTAGTCCTCGGAATTGGGGGCTGATAACACTGAGACTACTGTTTGGATATAGCTATAATCCGTAGCATATAGTGACTTAATAATGTATAAAAATGTGGCTGTATGTACAATACATAGAATTCTTCACTGTATTGCTACCGAGGGTAGCACATGACATACCATGCTGCTTTCTAGAAAAGCAACGCAGCCAGAAGCGCATCACATTAAAACAATAATACATGATACCATCTTGTACCACCAATACCTCTTCCGTCCATACCATAAATTTCCCACAAGGAAGTACTTACTGCATATTGTTGCCTCGTGAGACCTGAAACCCACCAAGAAACATGGATAGGAACCATTGATCAGTTGGCCATGAAATCCTCCATCTGGCAAATTCGACGAGGAAAGGGGCCAAAGTGACATGGTTAATGAATTCCGGTCAATCTTGGGGGTAGTAACTTGGGTCTAATCGTAGTACGGAGTACAGCTGAATACCTACTATGATGACCACTGGGTCCGTCTTGACCTGAGAAATACTACCTTTTCCTCCGACTGACTATGGCCCGTTCATCCGAGGATGCTCCGTTGTCGCTAGGTAAATTGGGGGCCAATCACTCGAGCGGAGATCATGCTAATTGATCACGAGAATCGGGACGGCTTAGCTAGCTCTCTGGAGTCTGGTCATATTTTGGCTGCTATCGCTGCACGCAGGTAATTAACCTTACATTGCATGTTCCGTAGTTACCCGTGCACAAGAGATCGACTGCACGATTGGTGTCGACAGCATTGATTGGCTCTGGGGAGGTTCTCCTTTAACTGCTACTTATGATGATGAGCCATGGTCAACACACTAAATATAGCAGTCGTGTCGAGGGTCATGCTCTATACAACCTGACCTTTTCCTGGTAACCTGTTTCGATCAGAACTGAGGCTGCATGGGTTCTCTATCTCTTTCCATAAAAGAATACAGTCTACATATGATACCTTTGAAAGGGACACTATCCAGAGAATAAGGATAGTCTCTGTAGCATTGTGCTTTTTTCAGGCAATTCCCCTCCCAAATGAACCGCTCATCTTCGGTCCGGATCAATCGACTGGGATGCCAGTGTAACACCACACATCCCGGTCACCACGGGTCCATTCTCATCATAATCATCATCATCATCATCATCATCATCATTCGCAAGGATTACAGCCTATCAGTGACGGACCTGGAGCGATGATCAGTCGCGAGTGAGAGTTAAGACGAGACCTGATCCCCGCTTTGTTACCAAGACGGATGAGGACAAACCGCCAAGAACGGTCTCCATCCCGGCGCATCGCCCACGGACCTCTGGAATCAAGGAAGAGATTGGTGGAGGCCTCATTCTGCACAGGCCGGGTGGATTAGCTGGTGGGGGGATCGACTGGCTGTGGGAGCGACCACGTATGTAGGGACTTCGTTGGTTGACTAAATCGTTAGTCGGTGGACACGGGCACCGTTGACGCCGCGAACCGTCAGCTTTGGACGATTTGACATGATGGTTATTATTATGACGATGACGAGCTGTGTGGTTTTCCCTTTCCCTCCTCCCGACTCAAGTGTAAGGATCATAAATCCTCCTTCGTTTCATTTTTATTTTTTTTTTTTTATTTATCTTTTCTTTTTAATTTTATCATTGTGACATTTGTGCTGACTATCCTATCACCCCTAGTTATTGTCATCCTCGACCAATATGAAGAAGTATAATCTTCGGTCTGACCGCAACCTTCCACTTCCCAACCTTCTTTGGCCCCTTCCCCTCCCCTCCTTGCTGACTGCTGGATCATCCTGTAGGGTCTGGCCCGTTTGATCTTAGTTGAGAGGATGGCGACGGGATCCAGGTTTCAGCTGCAACAACCCGTGGTGCATATGCGAGTGCCGACCAGGATCTTCTGACGGAGGTGCTGGGTGGATATGCGAAATCCCTATCCCACACTCAAAAGAGGCGATGTCGAGGCTGGACAAAAAAAGCCGTCTGGAAAGTTGCAATACTCGATCTCTTTTCAGCCAGCGGATAGGAATACAAACTTCCTATCGAAGGGGCCAGAGACCATGGCTCCGACAATGTCATCCTCCCACTCACCATGGACCGACCAGTCCCACAGGGACCCGCGATCTCCCATGCAGCCGAGCCAAGGTCTACTCGACGTGTTGGTCACTAGTCGGTCTGTTCGGAAGGCAGGTGTGTTTAAACTTCTCTTACGTACAGAGTACATCGGCCAATGTATGTACGAAAGGAATAGACCATGCAGTCTATATATAGTGAAGTTCCTTTACTTTGTATAGGTCTTAGTGGTGGTGGTGAAATTAGTGGATGATGCAGGACAACGACGTCGCCAGAGAGGCGACAAATGATAAAACAACATTTCCAAAGTATCCGCATGAAACTATTAAGTGTATCATCGATAGTAGTTGAACAACAACCATGACCATGGCTCAATATCCATGGCTTCGTGCAGTGATTAAATTCGTTGAGCTTCGATCTAGCCAGCCACGTTTCACCGCTTTCTCGTCGTCTTTCCGTACGGAGTACTCCGTTGTTCCATCGTTTTTAGATGTTTATTATTATTATTATTATTTTGGACTTATCGGTACTACGCCAGTTTATTTTTCTTCTCCATCCGAGAATAAATCATCTTTTGCACCCCCTGATCTGGCGTCGTGCGTGGAATGTTGTGTCACCCGAGTTCGTCATGTGCATTCTTCTTTAGGGTCGATTCCACGGGTCCAGCAGAGATCAATCTAGGGATGGAGGGAAAGGAAAGGGCAATACGGCTGAGTTGTCGACCAGCTTGACTAGCCTGTTAGACGTCGCAAGAACCTAGTTTCGTGTTATAAAAACTCTATCTATCTATGTAGTGTTTTCGTGTCTATACCTGTACGGAGTACTGTATGTATGTATATATATTCATACCTATATATCTGTATCAATCTTTCTTCAGGGATATATGCATAAACATATATAGAGATACAACATACCTAAAAGTCCCATAGGTAGACAGGGTGGTAGGCTGCATCAACAGCTGCAGTCATCCAATGCAGTCAACACCACATTCACTGATGTATGAATGTACTTAATATGAATCTCATTGTTGGACAAGAACTTGTCGAGTCGACCGGACCGATCGGTTACATAGACGGCAGCGGACCTGTTCCTGCGTCGTATATAGATTTCCGCCTCATACAAGAGTATTCTATCCTTGCTTGCTGGTAGCAAGATGTCTAGATGGAATCATATGTATACAGTAATAAGGATGTAATATATAACCATGTCAGGGGATTCGACTTCCAGATTAAAAGTATATATGCGGATATAGAGGGTACTTGCAAGGGTCACATGAAATCAGGAGAACTTCAGCGTAAATACAGTGTGGGCATTTCATTTCCTCCGTGTTGAACTGCAGAACTCTAGGTGGTGAACTCTATTATTGTCCTTTTTCTACATGTACCTGGGGCTCTATTGCTAATTATTATTACATAGCCTATTTGAGAAATGCGTCCAGTGGAGAATCATAGTTAATGTCGAATCATTCTTCCCTATATGATCGAGTCCATGACACCCCATGCTGAGTGCAATAGCATGTCTAGTATCTACAAGAAAAAGATATGTATCTTCAACAAGAGGGAACAACAAGGGAATAACAAACACCCAATCATTCCACCATATCCCGACAATCCAAATTCCAACACCAAATCCTCCAAAATGAACACGATTTCATGAGTTGCGTTTCCCCGCCTGCGAGAATATCTGATTCCAAATATCAATCCACTGCTGCTGCTTGTATGATAGCACCTTTTGTGGATCGCGGAAGGTTCCAGACAGAATGTCTCGCACGCGAGCACTGAGCACCTTCAGCGCTAGCATCGACTTCCAGTCTCGAACTGCAAACCGGATTCGGTTGGCATCGATTGAAATCACACCGGAGTACATCTGTAGAAGGAGAGAAGTTAGTCAGCTTTTCTTTATTCGTTTCTTTCTGCTTCCATTCCGATTCGGCTGGAACTTACCTTGAACTCAGCCTCGCCGCACAAAAGAGCAATAGCAAAGTCGTCCACAGCGTTCGTTTCAAATGCATTGTAATTTCGGTTTCGTCCTTGCATGATGTGATAATATGAGAGCCACTTGATGGCAGGGTCGCACTGTTTGTTCACGGACGTGGGATGCAGTGTCACGGACTGGTTGTTAGCCACGTTTCGCCAACCTTTTCCTTCTCGGGTGAGTAATTTAGGATAAAAACTCCAAGCAATGACGGAGTTGACAATGACATCGTTATTGCTATTCAGGTCATACTCCTCAGGAATAGTGAAGAGTTGTCGTTGCCTACCACCATACCGCGCCCTGTGCTTATGTTAGCATCATATTGGAGACGGACTTCGGATAGAACACAGGTCAACGATAGAACGTGAGTGGCCTACCTGCTCAATGCAGCTTTTTGGGATGAATTCAAATTCAGAAGCCCTGCATCTGCAATGGACACAATAAGTTGCATCTTGATGTCTTCAATGTTCAACAGTGTCTGTGGACTGAGGAAATTCTTCCGGCAGAACGCGTATTCACTGACACCTAAGGTGTTTTTTGTGCGCTTCCAGGCGCAGTATGCATTGTATACAGTCAGAAGGTCCGAGTCGCCTGTCACAATTAGCTTACATAGAATATAACGTGGATCTTGAGCGGCTATCAGGTATAACCTTTTTTGAACGAGAGTCTTGAAAGATCCTTCTTGGTGTTCGAGCCTATAGTGTTAATAAAAGGTGACTTGGAAGAAAGGATAGCAGCGATGCTAATAGCTGCATCCAAGCACTTGAAAAACGAGCCATGGATGATCAATTTCCCGAGAAAGACATCCAAAGGCAACTTAGCAAGCTGCGTTCCCAAGGGGGTGAGATTTTCCGCATTTGTTAGGGCTTTGACCTCCTTCAAGGCGTCGATTGCACGACGGATATTTTTCGAAGAAGGCGGGTCGAGAGCTTCAAGTAGAGTCTGTTCTACCTCCCCTAGCTTGCAGATCTTCACTCGCAAGACCAGATCCTGCAGAGATAACCGAAGCATTTCGGGCGTTTGCTGTTCAGCGAGCTACGGCCAGTCAGTACTCATGTTACTCTGTATGTTGAAATAAAACGGGCCATACCGAATTTTCATGTCTGTACTTGGTGAACAAATGGAAGCAGACTCCACTCTGAACGCGACCGGCTCGTCCCCGTCTCTGCTTCGCATTGGCCCGCGAGATGAACGCCTCGACTAGCCTGGAAAGCTGTCGTCTCTCGTCGAACCTGATCATTTGTTAATAATAGACCTTCTCTGTGGCTATTGGGTCTTTCATTTACCGCATGGTCTTTTCCTTACCCGCATCAATGACAGCAGTTATATCCGGGATCGTAATACCTAGGGGGTGTTAAAATCCAATACTTCCAGCAGTGTGGAAGACATACCTGTCTCTGCAATGTTCGTGGCGATTACAATCTTTCTCAGTCCCTGTGGTGGCACCGCAAACGCTTTCTCCTGATCTTCACTTGCGATAGACGAGTGAAGTGCATGAACAATCCACCCTTGCTGGAAGGCAGGCTCCGATAGAATCTCATCGTTCAGGCGTCGAATTTCCGCCATACCAGGCATGAAAATTAAAATAGCTTTACTGTAGTGTTCCAACTCCGGACTTGAAGCGAGTTTGATTAATAACTTCTTGATTAGCTGGTAATCAAGACGGTATTCATCAACATTGAGGATGGTCTCTCGGGTTTGCTTTGAGTATCCGTCAAGCGTTGCCAGCAGCCCTCCAGTCGTATCTCCCTGGGAATTCTCGGGTGCTATTTCGTCGGTGTCTTCATCGACCAGGGCGTTCGAATCATTTTCTGATAAGCGATAATTTGTCATCTCGACAGCATCCTCTAAGAATTTCACCTCCACAGGAAAAGTCCTCCCCGGTATATTTAGCACCGGGACACCCCCAAGATAGTTAGAGAAGCGTTGGGCCTCGAGGGTAGCCGACATCAGGATTAGCTTCAAGTCTGGCCTTTTCTGCATCAGCCGGCGAAGGACAATTAACAGGAAATCACTATCGATAGAGCGTTCATGAACCTCATCCAGCACAACGTGGGTAATATCTTGAAAGTCTTCCGGACGCTCTAGCATCCGTACTACAACTCCAGTTGTCCTGCCCAGTATCAGCTTGTTTGATAGAGTCATTAAGGAGAAATGAAGAGACGTACGCAAAGACTAGTCTCGTGGATTGGCTCACTTTGCTCTCGAGCCTAACGGCAAATCCAATGAGAGAGCGGGATGTACCCACATCATTCTTGCTTTCTCCCAATTCTTCGCTAACTCTTCTAGCCAAAGATATAGCGGAGATCCTTCGGGGTTCTGTGACGAATATCTTGCAAGGACGACCTTGCTGCATCTCATGTTCAAGGATAAAAGATGGGATCTGCGTGCTCTTTCCACTGCCCGTTTCACTACAGATGATAAGCGCATGGTGAGTATCAAGCGTTTTGAGTATTTCGTCTTTGAAGTTCCATATCGGTAGTTTCATCCTGTCTTGGATCATCTGATGGAAAAGAGGAGTCGAAGACTTTTCTGCCCAGATATTCTGCAGTTGAGACTCAGGGTTTGATGTTTCCCTTACGCTTGGAGCTTTTGTGGGAGAATTCTGCCTGCTCGGAGTTCCATTTCTCCTACGGAAATTGTCTAACAGGACAATGTCATCCTCAAAGCTCCCGTGATTCTCTTGTATCAACTTCTTCAAACTCTTGACAGTTTTCTTCTCTTCCTCGTCTTCTTGGAGTTTTTTTGCAGTTGCAAATTCAGCCCATAGATCCCTCCACACTGCTGGGAGGCGTAAATATGATTTCCCTTCCTTTGAATTCTGTGGGAATAGGATGAAAATTGCAAGCGTCGAGACGAAGGCCTCTGCTTGTTGGGCAGTTGGCGTTGCCATGTTATCCATTGCGACAAAGGTGGCCCATGGACTTGACTTGTGTGTGACTGCATCCCATTCAAAGGGAAATGGTACATCCTGAGGTTTGGACCACCTTACTTCGACCGCCTTACGATTAGAGTGCGTCGAAGAGGAGAAGTCTTTGTAGGTAATTGTACTCCCGGAATCCCTAGATGATAAACATTGTTGTCAGGTGGAACTGTCTAATAGATGTTCAAGAATGCCACATAGCCATCCATACCTTGCTTTGCAAGTCTCCTCTAACACTCGTCGAGGATTTAGACCAGACCATTTCCCAAAGTCACGGAGTTGTATGGTAACCTTATTCAGCTCCTCGGTGATCACTTCTGTCTCCAAAATCGGCTCCTCATCCTGGAACATATCGCCTAGAAGGCCAGTAGCTTCGCCAACATCATCACTCGGTGGCGAGGTTTCCTCCTCCTTGTTCTCCGATTGCTCTTTGTTTTCACCTGGGCCTGCTGACAGTTTCTCATCGAGAGTACTTTGCCGGACGAATGCGGCCTCTTTCCGGAGGTCATCAAGCTTTTCTTTCCACCGGTATTCGGCCTCTGCACAGTCAAAAAGAACATCATTTTCAATGCCAGCAATTTTACGTTGCAGTTTTATTACTTGAGGGTTTTCAGTGCTAGATCCAGAGGCTTGGCGGCCTGCTTTCTTTGCTCTCTTGGGCTTGTCGAAAAGCTCAGGCCGGAGGCCATATAGCTTAGTTTGCAATTCCAAAAATTTTGGCAACAGGGTGTCAGGATCCAAGGAACTATCCGAGTCATAGGGACTCGGAGAGATCGATCCCTTTACATCAACCTTTGTCTTTTTGGGCTCGTTGCCATCCTGTATTCCTTTGGTGGCCGGGGATTGTACTGGCTCACGATCTAATGCTGATTAGCTATTCCTAATCCATGGACGACACTAGGCACCTAGGTTTACCGGATATCCACGAGATATTCTTTTCGTCTTTGCATAACTGGAGATTATTTGTCTGCATGTAGGACGGTAGTTCTTCGAGACTGCAGTGCATGGCGAGCCAATCCAGGGCCTCGTCTAGATTACACACCATTTCCCTATTAGTTTGGACAAAATTACCAGAGAAATAAAGTAAAAGATGCTTTAATGACTCTTCTACTTTTCCTTCGGGAAAACCGAGTCTAAGGAGGACCTCCCGTAGGGTCCAGAGTCTCATATACAGCTCTTCTTCCGTGGCAGACTTTTTCAGACCGTTCTGGTCCCGACCCGGTAAGGGACTTAGCTCGCGCTCCTCAGTCTCCGCGAGAGTCAGGATCGAGCTCAGGATATTCTTGGGAAGCCATTCTAGTAGGTTTAATAGCACGGCCTGTTGCCGGAGAACTCTTCGCTCGGTTTCCAATCTGGAGACCTGGCGGGATGCATCATTCTTGCACTTGAGTGCGTATTTATCCACCAATATCTGTAACTCCGCCTCCTCTAGGTGTCTCTCTAAATCCTCTGGGGAGTAGTTCTGTAGCGAAGGGGGTTCGTGCGTCGCTGTCGCCGGCAGGGTTCTCTCCGCGGGAGTAGGCAGGTCACTCTCCGAGAGGGACTTGGACTCTGCTGGAGTCGTGCGACCTGTTGAGTCAGTAGTCGCCGTGGATTTTGGTTTCGAGGGCATTGAGACTGTCGCAAACCCCCGAGCCGGGTTGGATGCGAGTTTCTTCCTTTTCTTATTGTTTGAGGGCATTGCGGTGGATGAATCACAATGAGTCAGTCACTACCAGTACAACAGTCGCGAACGTCCCAACCAAGGGGATATTTTAAAATGAAGATAGGATGAAAAATAAAATAAAATAAAATAGGTGAGGAAACTTCAAGCAGCAGGTCCATTGAGGAAGTGCAAAGAAACAGTGAAAGTTGGACGATGGAGGTGGATTATTGGGCGGCGAGCTCTCCCCACAACGTCGAAAACTCTTATGACAACATTCAAGTCTCTTCTCCATCCCGACATGCTCCAGGCCACCCAAACATGGACGACTTTCCATGGGATCAGGTGAAAGCAGGGGATCTGGAGAGCCTGCATGTCGTTCTCTTGTCGAGTTCGACTTCTCGCAGAATTCGTGCTCTCCAGGAACTCCGCGATCGAATTGGTAAGGCAGCCATCTCCAACCCCTCCTCTAATGTCCTCTCTCTCGCTCTCATTCCATTGCTCATATGTCGCTGTCTTTTCAGTCTCGGATCTTCCTCAACAAACCCGTCAGCCTCTTATTGACGTTCTCTTCAAGACCTATCCTTTATATATCGACCGTGCATCCCGACAGGCCGTCCAGCAATGTATTCGCTCTCTTCTGGCGACTCCCGTCCCGACCGACGATCTCAAGTTCCTCACGCAGAAGCTGCAGATCGAGGCCTCCAAACCCGGATTGGCTCCTAGTTCTGCCTTCGTGCTTCTGGAATGGTGTTCGATTTTGCTCCAGAAATTCAAAGATGACTCGGAGACACCCCTTTCCATCATTGTGGACCTCATGGCGGTGGACGCAAAGGTCCTGGAAATCTGTCTGTCGGCCAATCCTAAGCCAGCCGTGAAGATGTCCGCGCTCAGGGTCACTAGACGCGCTTTGCGGGCTGTTTTCTCATCGCCCATTCGAGGTGATGACGCGGTTCGTCAGTCCGTCCATCGGTTAACCAGAGACGCGAACGTAGGTCAGAGGAATGCTCCTTTCCTCGGTGTGATTTCTGGGGTTTGCGCTCGTCTGCCGGGCAAGAAGGCCGTGTTGGAGGGAGAGAAGAAAGTGATCATAGCATTTTACGTCAAGGAACTTGTCGGAGCAAAGGCTGCGCCGCCGAGTCACCTTACCGATGTCCTGTTCGACTTCTTCGTCTCCTTCGTAACTGAAGAAGACCTGGTGTCCGAGATTATACCACCTTTGGAGAAGGCTATTTTGCGGGCTCCCGAGGTAATTTTCAGCGGATTGGTGCCTTCGCTTTGCGCCTCGCTGCCGGCTACCATTGACCTGTCGGAGGTTCTGCAGTCCCGGCTGCTGAAGCATCTTCTATCAAGCATGAAATCGAACAGTCCTGCCGTCCGACAAGGTGCAGTCAACTCTTTCGAATCATTGCTCTTCAAATCCAAGGTCGAGACCTTGGTTCTCAAGACCATAGGTGAGGTTATCGCTCCTCTCAAGACTCAGAAAATCACGAATCCGGACCACCGTGCGGCGTATGCTCGAATACTCTCTTCTGCCTTGCAGTCGGTGAGCATTTCAAAGGAGGTGGTTCAGGGCCTTGTTCCTGTGTTTTTGCGGGAGTCCAACGAGGCTGCCTTGGAACAAGAAATCAAAGCGTTCTGTACACATCTAGGGGTCCTTGTCCGGTCAAAGGTGAAGGTCAGCGATGATGTTGTCAACACCATTGTTAAAGGTTCTGCAGAAAAGCGAATTCCATTTCGAAAGCTTTGGCAACTCAACGTTGGGGGAGTTTTTTGGGATGCGGATGCTACAAACTTAGTTAACCCTGATGTTGAGCCTCTTGTGACTAAATTTCTCAGTAAGATGAAGGAGCTGTTCATGGAAGTCTCTTCTAATCCCTTGCCATCGGCCCAGAGCGGCTCTCTATCAACAGCATATATCTTTGTGGCGCTCGCTGAACGGTTAGCTGCCGTGCAGGGCTTTGACCAGGCAACCTGGGAAACTGTAGTAGCCCAGTCTTTGGCTCTTCGTCCGAAGCCGTCTTTCCTTGTGAACCCCAAAGCCTACTCGAAATTGACATCTCAAGATGAGATTGAGTGGGTTGTTAGGGCGCTTTCGGCTATTACGACGAGCCCAAAGTTTGAGAATTCTGAAGAATCCACTATGGTTGCCTGGGGACAAGCATATATCTTTGCAATAACTGCGCCGGGACTCCACACAGACTTTCGCGAAAGGTCCGCGTATGCATTGTCGGAGGTTCATCTTATGAACTTCGGCCTAATCAGTCGTGTCATAATTAGGTCTCTATGGACTTGGATACTTTCCTTTAGGACTGCTGAGAAAGAATCCGCACCAGTTTCAGCGGGGCAGGAAAGCGAAAGATACCTCCATCTAATTGCAAAGGCCATCTGCCCCTCTTCCTCTGCCATACCTGAGCCGGAGATGATTTCTTCTAATTTGAAGAGTCAGCTTGTCAGCCTTCTTGTCCTTTGCCGGCCAGAACTGATCCCCAATGCGTCATGGATTGCTTTGTGCCTGCGGACTGGAACAGATCCCGGCCTTCTTGTTCGTGAATTTCCCGATCAATGCATGGAACAGTTGACACGGATCCAGGAGGTATGTCTTGTCTCCAGTCGGAATCATCAGCCACTAAAATTCTACAGGACCCCATTCAATCCAAACTCCCACAAGTCGAAGCGGCTATGCGGGCCGCAGCGGGAGACCTGGCCTTTGTAGCCCCTGACACAATGGTGCCTCAGCTTGTTGGCCAGATTACAGATGACCTGAATGTCTCCCGACTATCTAGGTTTACTCCGACCGATGCTGCTATCGCCCGTACCCCAGAAGGTACCATGTTCGTTGATGTTCTCAGCACCAAGTCGAAACAGCCTGCCTTTGACAAGAACACCAAAGACTACGATACCCTCAAGTGGGAGGAGGAATTACGTGCACAATTGGCAGAGAAGAAGGGCGAGAAACAGAAGAAACTTACCGCAGATGAGCAGTCTAAAGTGAAGGCGCAGCTCGCGAAAGAGGCTAAGATCCGTGAGGAGGTTCTCCAAGAAGTGAGGAGGATTGAAAGAGGTGCCGAGATCATCCAAGGTCTCGCAGATGGGCCCGCCGTTGACGCGGACGGCTGGATCAATTCCGCCGTGGGTTCTTTGCTATCCATCTCGCAAGCTGGCGCTGATATGTTTGTCGGTGATGCCATTTCCAAAGCATATATCAAATGCTCGGAGAAGGTATCTAGCCGTTTGGGCCCCCTGCGTCGTTTCGTCGGTATCGCCACTCTGCGGGCGCTTGGTAAAAGCTATCTTTCCCCGGAGATGGAAACGGAACCTCTGGGGCAGCTCGTAACTAGGATCCTTTACCGTTTGCGATTTGCATCAGAACAGCGCCCCCTCGACATCTCGTCCTTGGCTTACGTTCTTCCTTTAATCTTTGCCGTCCTCAGTCAAAACGGGGTTGACCAGAAGAAAGGAGAAGAAGGAGAGCAAGTGCTACTCGCCCTTGAATTTTTGTCCTTCCATTCGAGTTCATTCACGGATGATCGTCTTCCTCGTGTCAAGGTTCTGGACCACCTGCTCACATCGATGCAGAAGTATACTCCCCACTACAAACTGATCAAAGATACTTTGTTTGATTTGTGCAGATGCATTTCGTCAAGTATAAGCAAAGACGAGCTCGATATTCTCCTCAAAGGCACCATCGTCCCGGATACGTCTGTTCGGACATCGGTCTTGCAGGCTATTGAGGCTGAGATTGACTTGACCGATCTCGACTTCTCCGAGCACATCTGGCTGGAATGTCACGACAGCGTGGAGGAGAATGCTGATGTTGCAGAAACTATATGGGAAGAGAATGCCCTGGAGGTCGATGACTCTGCTTATGGAAAAATTATTCCCTATCTTGCTTCCAAGGATTCGCAGCTCCGTGGTGGTGCTGCCCGCGCGTTGGCACACGCCATTGAATTCAAATCGTCCATGTTTGGGGATGTTGTTTCGGAACTGCAGTCCAAGTTTGAGAGCGAGGCCAGACCCAAGGTACCAGAGAAAGACGCGTACGGAATGCCCAAGAAAATGGACATGACGGATCACTGGGAATTCCGCAGTGGCATTGCTCTCGCCTTTAGCGCAATGACTTTTGGATTTGAAGGAGACCAGATCGTCTCATTCCTCAGATTCTTGATTGAAAGAGGCCCTCTGATCGATCGTAGCGGCGTTGTTAGGGCTCAGATGGCTGATAGTGGTAGATCTGTCATTGCTGCGCGTGGTCAGCAGAAAGTTGAAGAATTGATGGGGCTATTGGAGACGACATTAAAGACATCAGACAAGGGCAGTGAAACTTCGGATCTTCTCAATGAAGCCGTGGTCGTCTTGTACGGATCCCTTGCCCAGCATCTCAAGGCGGATGATCCCCGTTTGCAGACTGTTATCCAAAGACTCCTCGCTACCCTTCCAACGCCCTCAGAAACAGTGCAGTCGGCAGTTTCTGGGTGCCTTCCCCCTCTCATCCGGCTTTCCGACTCCCGGAGCTCAGGGTATGTTCAGGAGATGCTAGACCAGCTTCTACAGTCAAAGAAATATGCCACCCAACGTGGCGCGGCTTATGGACTTGCTGGTATAGTCAGCGGCAAGGGTATTTCCACGTTGCGTGAGTTCCAGGTCTTGGCTCATCTCCGTGCGGCAATGGAGAACAAGAAAGAGCCACATCAGAGGCAAGGCGCCCTGTTGGCTTACGAACTTTTTGCGACAATCCTTGGACGCATCTTCGAGCCATATGTGATCCAAATCGTCCCGCAACTCCTAGCTGGCTTCGGTGACCCCAACACTGATGTTCGTGACGCCTGCCTCGACGCAGCGAAAGCTTGCTTTTCCAGTCTCAGTTCCTATGGTGTCAAGAAGATTCTACCCACCCTTCTTGACGGTCTCGATGACACGCAATGGCGAAGTCAAAAGGGTGCCTGTGACCTCCTGGGAGCCATGGCGTATCTGGATCCGCAGCAACTAGCGGCAAGCTTGCCAGATATCATTCCTCCACTCACAGTTGTTCTGAATAATACTCACAAGGAGGTGCGCAATGCTGCGAACCGAAGTCTTCAGCGTTTCGGGGAGGTAATTAGCAACCCTGAAGTGAAGGGTTTGGTTGACGTGCTCTTGAAAGCTCTGAGTGACCCGACGAAATACACGGACGAGGCCCTGGATGCTCTCATCAAGGTTTCCTTTGTTCATTATCTGGATGCCCCCTCCTTGGCCTTGGTTGTTCGCATTCTTGAGCGTGGCCTTGGGGATAGGTCGACGACCAAGCGGAAATCTGCTCAAATCATCGGTAGCTTGGCTCATCTTTCTGAGCGCAAAGATCTCATTACACACTTGCCAATCATTGTTTCTGGCCTGCAGCTAGCCATCGTTGACCCCGTCCCCACTACCCGTGCCACCGCGTCCAAGGCCCTTGGATCCCTAATTGAGAAGCTCGGAGAGGATGCCCTTCCCGACCTTATTCCGAATCTCATGTCTACGCTTAAATCGGATACCGGCGCCGGTGACAGGCTTGGATCTGCTCAAGCCCTTTCGGAGGTTCTGGCAGGTCTGGGAACGACAAGACTCGAGGAGACCCTCCCTACCATCTTACAGAACGTGTCCAGCGCGAAGCCAGCTGTTCGTGAAGGATTTATGACCCTCTTTATCTTCCTTCCGGCCTGTTTCGGAAACAGCTTCGCTACTTACCTCAGCAAGATTATCCCGCCTATCCTTGCAGGTCTCGCAGATGACATCGAGTCGATTCGCGAGACTTCTCTTAGAGCGGGTCGTCTGCTGGTCAAGAACTTTTCTTCGAAGGCCATCGACCTTCTTCTTCCAGAACTGGAACGCGGCCTGGCGGATGACAGTTATCGCATCAGATTGAGCTCCGTTGAATTGGTTGGCGATCTTCTCTTCAGCATTACCGGTATCACGGCTAAGGCCGATGCCGAGGAAGAGGCTGAGGAAGTCACTCAGGCTGGACAGTCTCTACTTGAGGTTCTTGGAGAAGAGAGAAGAAACAAGGTCTTGTCCGCTTTGTTCATTTGCCGCTGCGATACCTCGGGTCTTGTCAAGAGTGCAGCCATGGGCGTATGGAAGTCACTTGTTGCTTCTCCCAAGACTCTTAAGGATATGGTGGGCACCCTGTCCCAGTTGATCATACGACGCCTTGGTTCCTCAAACATGGAGCAAAAGGTCATTGCCAGCAATGCACTTGGAGATTTGATCAAAAAATCTGGAGAATCTGTTCTCTCAACTCTGCTTCCTACTCTCGAGGAAAGCCTGCAGACATCGCCCGATGTGGATGTCAAACAAGGTATCTGCATTGCTCTCCGGGAGCTCATTACTTCTGCGTCAGCCGATGCTCTTGAGGATTACGAGAAAGTCCTCATTTCTACCGTCCGCGTGGCTTTGGTGGACCACGATGAGGATGTGCGTGAAGCTGCTGCGGAGGCTTTCGATGCACTGCAGCAAATCTTGGGCAAGAAGGCTGTCGACCAAGTCCTGCCTCATCTTCTGCTCCTGTTGAGAAATAATGAGGATGCCGAGCAGGCGCTATCAGCACTCTTGACACTTCTTACCGAACAGACCCGTGCCAACATTATCCTTCCCAACCTCATCCCGACGTTGCTCACTCATCCCATCTCGTCATTCAACGCCAAGGCTTTGGCATCCCTGGCTGAGGTTGCCGGCTCCGCAATGACACGCAGACTGCCGACAATTTTAAGCTCATTGATGGACGACATCATATCAACCACGGATGATGGCCTTCGTGAAGAATTGAGCAGTGCATTTGACACTGTCTTGGTGTCTGTTGATGAATTTGACGGGCTTAACGTTGTTATGAATGTCATGCTCACACTTCTGAAACACGATGACCATCGCCGCCGCGCCAGAGCGGCGATCCATCTGAATAAGTTCTTTTCTGATGCATCAATTGACTATTCCAGATACTACCCAGACTTGATCCGCGTGCTGCTCATCTCTTTCGATGACAGCGACAAGGATGTCGTCAAGGCTGCATGGACTGCCCTGAGTGGACTGACTTCTCACATGCGGAAGGAGGAGATGGAAGTGTTGGTGATACCTGTTCGTCAGGTTCTACGGGGAGTGGGTGTCCCCGGAGCCAATCTCCCCGGCTTCAGCTTGCCAAAGGGCATTACCGCTATCTTGCCGATTTTCTTGCAGGGTCTTCTCAACGGAACTGTCGATCAGCGTACGCAGGCAGCACTTGCCATCGGTGACATTGTCGATCGTACCGGTGCCGATTCCTTGAAGTTATTCGTGACCCAGATTACCGGTCCACTTATTCGAGTCGTGTCTGAACGATCAGTGGATATTAAATGTAATGTATTTGCCTCTTCTGTTGATTTCACCACACTAATCGGTTGCAGGCGCAATCTTCTTCACCCTAAATAAACTCCTGGAAAAGATCCCGCTGGCGGTCAAACCGTTCTTGCCTCAGCTTCAGCGAACATTCGCCCGTGGTCTGGCAGACTCAACAAGTGAGACCTTGCGCAACCGGGCAGCCAAGGGTCTTGGGATCTTGATTACGTTGACCCCCAGAGTCGACCCACTAATTGCAGGTAGGGCAAAATTTGTGCGTTATGGAGATGAATTGTGTGTGTATTAATCTGGCTCTACAGAACTCATTACGGGAACGAAGACAGCAGCAGACGTTGGTGTCAAGAACGCCATGATGAAGGCCCTCCAAGAAGTGGTTGGCAAGGCTGGTGGCAATATGAACGAGACCTCCAAGAATTCCATCCTTGCTCTTATTGACGACGATACCAGTGACCAGACCGGTAGGTCGATTGGGCCATAAAATATTCGATCTATTTTTCTAACTGCTCAACAGATACTGTGGCCATTACAAACGCCAAATTGCTCGGGGCCCTCGTGAAGGTTCTCCCTGCTGCCATCGCAGGCCCTCTTATCAAGTACGTGCGGTATCAATATATGCATTAGAATGATCACTAACCGGCTGGACTCCAAGGAGCCGTGTGCTCACAGCGCACATTACACATGCGTCGGTGCTGGGGCTTAATGCGTTACTCGTTGAATCTCCCACATCGCTAACTGAGCATTTTGCCGCCGAGACGCACTCAGTTATCTGCCAGGGTGTCTCGAATAAGGATGTAAGTTGTAGTTGCTGCCGCGTCAGATCGAATACAACTAACTTAGACCAGCCCTTCATTGCCGATAACAGCGTCCTTGCCGCGGGCAAGTACTTGTTGGTGGAATATGAGCATCGCAACTTCGAGAGCAACAAGGCTATCTTCGAAGCATTGGCTCCCTGCATCCAGCCAGGTACACCTTCGGACACGCGCCGGCTGGCTCTGGTGGTTATCCGTACCGTGACTAGGCTTCACCCGGAGCTGACTCGACCCCATCTCGCCCTGCTAGCACCGCCCGTCTTCGCCAGCGTTCGCGATGTCGTGATCCCTGTCAAGCTGGCTGCGGAGTCCGCGTTCCTAGGCCTTTTCTCAGTTGTGGAGTCCGAAAGCACCGTGTTTGACAAATATATGGTGGGACCTGGAGCAGAGCTTCCGCCGGGACCGAAGCGGAGCATGTCCGACTACTTCAAGCGTGTTGCACTTCGCCTTGGTGGACAAGCCCGAGAACGTAGAGAAGCGGAGGGTGGACAAGGGGGACTGGGACTCTCCAATGACGAGGTTGAAGATGAAAGGGAAGTGTGGAGCATTGGGAAGGTGGATCTTGGGGAGGCTTCCTTTGAAGAGTGATTCGGGTTTTGTTGCTCCAGCGTGCATGAGTTAGATCTATATACCCCTTTGTTCCATCAAGGGAAAGATGTTTTCTTGTCTATATTGAACAAAAGTTTCCGTCGGACCTGTAGTTCTAATCATTGGGATTCCGTCCAGCTGCCATGTGACTTGAATTCATCGGTCACTTTTCTCTCTGATGTTTAGGGTATTTAAGAAGCGATTCGTATGTTTACTTCCTGTCAAATAAGTTGGTGGTAATAGTGACGTAAACAAGGTCATAAAAGAGGGGTAAAACGAACTCCCCTACACCTAGCAGAAGAAGCAACCTAATGATCCATAATAATAATCACAAGAATGATCATATCTTGATCAATACAATCAAGAAACCATCTAAAGCAATCATTTTAAGCACCTTTTCAAGAATAGTGTCTACCTTCCTATTCGGTATTAGCCGAATATCGGATACTTCCTGATCTCTAGTCACGTGATACTTAATCAGCAGGACACCTGCGGGAGGGACACTTGACCTCTCAGAAAAAGAGCTGATAGCTAATCTCGGATAAATCGAGAACAGTGACTTGCCAAGGAGTGAGCACTGAGCAGAGCCAGTATTGATGATGGACAACTCATCACGACTCATTCTGACTCCCCTCAATCCAATCCAATCCTGGTGATGATTGCCCAGTCCGTCTCCCCGGTATGGGGCACAAACCCTAAAGTGGAGCACTCGCTTAGCGACACAGTGGCTTAGCTAATCCGCCGCCCGAGTCTCAAACTCCTCAGCCGTGGGAATTCTCCCCGTCGACGAGTGCAACGAACATCATCCGCCAACGACCGTCGATACGCCGACTTCAAGATGTGAGTTTCATCTCCAGCCTCTGGATTCTGTCCCTAATGGGGAACTATTGCCCGTGAATGGCACCAGCTCCCATGTTCCGCCTCTTCTCCCGCTCTCATGGGGCTACACTTCATCATCCCTGAAAGGATCTCCTGCTGACCGACTGCCCCTACGATACAGGGTCAACCTTCGCACCCAGAAGCGCCTCGCCGCCTCCGTGGTGGGCTGCGGCAAGCGCAAGATTTGGCTCGATCCCAGTGAGGTGAACGAGATTTCCAACGCCAACTCCCGTCAGACCATCCGCAAGCTTGTCAGCGATGGCCTCATCATCCGCAAGCCCGTCACCATGCACTCCCGCGCCCGTGCTCGTGAGCTCAACTTGGCCCGCAGAATCGGCAGACACCGTGGCCTGGGTAAGCGCAAGGGTACTAAAGACGCTCGTATGCCTAGGTATGCATATATCGAATACCTCGTTCTGTCACCATCTCTTTTTTCAAAAATTTGCGCCATGGATGGGGACGAAGAGTCTATTTGGTGGTCGCCTGTAATGGGTGTGGGGGATTAGTTCGCAACCTAGGTGGCCAAAACAAAAAAAAAAAAAAAAAGATGATGTGTGATTGCTGAGTGATGGGACGTTCGCTTTTGCTAACGGGTTTTCGGAATATAGCCAGATCCTCTGGATGCGCCGTATGCGTGTTCTCCGTCGCCTCCTTGTCCGTTACCGTGCCTCCGGCAAGATCGACAAGCACCTGTACCACGAGCTCTACCACCTGAGCAAGGGTAACACCTTCAAGCACAAGCGCGCTCTCATCGAGCACGTAAGTTCCGCCTGACCCAGTTCATGCTTTACCCCGACAGAAACAGCATTGCCTCTCCCCCACAGGCCGTTTTATTGGGAGTATTGTCTGGCTAACCATTTTCCCCTCAATAGATCCAAAAGGCCAAGGCTGAGCGGCACCGTGAGCGTGTCCTCAAGGAGGAGATGGACGCCAAGCGTGCTCGCAACAAGGCTCTCCGTGAGAGACGGGCGGAACGCCAGGAGGCCAAGCGTAACGCTCTGGTCGGCGAAGCCCAGGAGTAAATTTCCTTTGTCGAAGTTTCACGGCGGTGCGGAGGTTGAAGCAGGAAGGAAGTGGGAGTTCGGCCAGCCAACGGAATCCGGTCGACCCGTTTCCGCTGTTTTGGCTCGATGGTTTGATGCATCCGGGACGTTTTTTTTTTTGTCATGTGGAGAAATCTGGATTGGGGGAGGGGTTCGTTCGGGAAAGCATATAAGAGAAGAAGGGAATGCAAATACTTTTTTTGTGTTTCGTATTCTCAGATTGATGACCACAAACCCAAATCCGGAGAGACGAAGAACTACGGATGCCCAGCAAAAGAAAAGAGAAAAAAAAAATATATCCCCATCCTACTAAATCAAAACAAATGGCATGGCGCTTTGTGTGATATGAAATCTCGAATTTTTATTTACCCGCATTTTTTTTCACTGGGCCACTTCCTTTTTTCTCTCCTTAGTTTCCTTTCCTCCAATCGACCCCCTTTCTTGTCCTCACACTGAGCAAGCTCCGATGCCTTCAAGTCCACCCCCTCCGTTATTCCTTCTCTTCATCTTCAAGCTCTCGTCCCCCGTTCCATCCAGTCAGTCTCCGTCTTAGTCCTAATGCTGTAACGTCTCGGATATTATGGATATTATTTGAAAGTAAAAATATGGTCAATTGTAAAAAGAGGTGTTCAGCCAAATCGGTCATTGAGTTAATTTCATGGATGTCTTGACGGACGCCTACCCATAGTTGATGATCAACATTGAACGTTAGTCAGACTGGGTCGTATTTAAATTATCTCTGGTTTACGTTGGCATCAGTCATAGATCTTGTTTATGCTCCTTGTGCTCAGATGTTGTCTTGTCAGTATGAAACTTTGGTGACGTGGAATATAGTATGTATTTCTGTGAGAATATGTATATATATTTGAATGCCTACAACAGATACGAACTGCTCCACAGAACCAAACCAGAAATAGTATTATGATCACAATTAGTGTCTCAAATAAAAGAAAGAAAAATCATCCATAAAATATTTACAATGAAAGTTATCCCAACATGACACGCTAAACATCAAACGCTAGTATACACCGATGTTACAATACTCACATAATGCCTGCAATAAAAAGTAGAATACAAATAAAGCCACATGCCTGCATCCCTTCATGCAACAATTTTCTGACCTTCATGGCTCATATTTCGTATACCTCGTGTACGTCCGGTTAATGAAGAACCACCCTGCCACGCACGGATTTGGTCCTGTTGCTTTTCACTGGTTTCTATCGACTACCTCGTCAGGCTCTTAGGTTATACATTGGCCCGTGGCAGAATAGTAAAGCTGTGTCGCTCCATCGCCCTCGCAGGGACTTCCAAGTCAAAAGGGTCGCTCCGAGTGCTGACTCTAGTCACCGATTCATTTGGGCTACTCAATCCCAATTCTGCCGCCGAAATGTGACGGCTGAATTGTTGGAGGCTACTTCCAGAGCTGCTTCGCCCGGGAAGAATAATGGTACTGCCCAAACTGCGGTCACTGCTGCGGATCGACCTCTCGTCCAGCACAAATGGCATCCCAGGTCGCTGCATATTTCCAGATTGGTTTGTGAATAAAGGAACGGAGGCGGGTCTTCGAGGGAAGTGTGCCTGCTGTGAAATCTGATTATTATCGACTGGGTTGGCGAATGGGTTCTGGACCGGAGAGTCTACGTTTGGGGTGCTTCCTTGCATTGCCCGAGTTATCTCTGCCGAATCGGTAAAAGGGTTGGAATGGCAGGCGTGCTCCTGACTAGGGTTATGATGACCATCGTGGTCGGAATTCACTAACGTATTTGGTTCGAAATTGTATAGTGAAGCAGAAGCGCCAGATGCATTCGATACACCGGAGCCGTATCCATGGTACAACCCGGCTGATGAATCTGCCGATTCTCGGCCACCACGCAGTAGGTTTTCTCTCCCTCCAATACCTCTATCATTTATCTGCTTCCGTCGCCTGTGGCGGAAAAGCAGGAAACATATTAGAAGTACTAGGGCTACAAAAGCGGAAGCGCCCAAGATGCTACCCAGTAGTATACGGAGAGAAGCATTGCCACTAGTGTCATCAGACGAACCGGAATGGCTTTGAAGAGACTCAGAGGGCACGCTTTCAGTAGCTGTTGAGGCGAATGAATAGGGGTTGGTGGTATCGATCGTAGGCGTTGCTGGAGGGGTAGCAGTTGCCGCGATCGACGAACGAGTAGACAAATCCCATTCCACCGGCAGCGGCACCGTATCCTCACCTATTGTATCATTCGAAGATGATAGACCTTGGGCTTCCGAGTCTTCTTTGGTCTTTGAAAGAGGCTTGGTGGAAGTTGCCAACAGTGTGGTTGTACTAACTGCAGGTGCGGCAATCACCTCGACATCATATGGTGTCTGTGATGCCTGCGTAGTATTTGTATCTGCGTGGGTCGAATGGGCGGCTGACCCAGCGGCAGTTGTATCTGCAGCAATCGTACCAGAAGCAGTTGAATCTGCAGTAGTCGTTCCCGTAGCAGTCTGGTGCACAGCAATCGTATCAGTAGCAGTTGAGTCCGCAGCAATTGATTCAATGGCTGTTGGATGTGCAGCAGTTAGCTCAGTAGTAGCCTGAGATGCAGTTTTATGGGACTTTCTTAAAGTGGAAAAGGCGGCGATGAATAACGTAGGTTGTAAGGTCACATCCGACGCGTTGGACGTAGTTGGGGTGAACGAAGATGTTGGGGTAGAAGAGGAGGTTACAGGTGTCGCTACTGCAGCCGAGTTCCTTGGGACTTTAGTACATCGTAACCCGCGATGAAAGATCACCGAAGGACTTGACATCGACATGTCGCCTAGCCCCGGGGGCTATTTGGACGCAAGAATAGCGTTGCTAAAACTGGAGAAGAAAGAAAGTTGAAGAAATGGTGCTGCATGGGATTTAGGACTAGTTAATGAACGGGAGCCTCACGCGTGAGCAGAATAATCAAGGAATGACTGGAAGGACTTAATGAATGATAAAGAAAAGGAAACCCCAATAGTCAAAGGAAAATGTGAACATGAAGGATCTTTCTCATTGTCTTTTCTCTCTACAGAAAGTCACAAGGAAAGCCATGACAATAGGCTTCAGAGGCGTCAGCCCAGTGAACCGTGCCGTTTCAGGAACCAGATAGCAAAGCAGAGAGAGACAAGCGCGGCACACCACGTTGACAGGGTATATAGCTAGTAGACACAGGGGAAAGAGAAACACAGAACAAATCAAAACAAAAACAAAAGAAGCAGCCTGGTGGACGATCGGAGCGTAAGGCAAATCGCTGGGCGCTCGCAATCAGGCAGGGCGCTTGTGGTCGAGTATGGAGAGATAAACTGGAAAGCATCATTCGACAAAATCTTAAGCAGGGGGGTGAGCGAGAGGAACCCCTCGGAGGAATAGATGAAACAAAACTTATCAAGGGTATCCAATCCCTTGTGCAGAGAGGTGGTGTTAGGTTGGCCCCCTCGCGCCCCCAATTGGGAGGGGGGTCAGCCATGGTGGACGCCGTCCAGGGAGGCACAGATGGAGACATGCACCCATCACATTTTACCGTTGGAGATTATGGCAGAAGATAAGTTGGAAAAGAAGAATAAAAGACGAGGGTGAAATGACGCCGTAGTGGGCTGCCTATTTGGGAAAGAAGCAGGTGCTTTGACCCAGCGCTGTCGACTAGTCCTAAATTAGACTAGTGACTATTCCTCTGACCATGTGATGTCATGTGGTGTGCTGACTCATTGCTACCACGGGCCGACTCTTCCGCTTTGGGATTCATAAAACCGGCATAATAACATCTTGGAGTCTATTAGACATTACGGATATGGGAAAAGAAACCTATTCAGATGGAATCATAAATAGGGCAGGAAAAATTACCCAGTCAAACGTACGGCATGACCGATATCGCTGTAAATAAAATATTACTAGTAGGAGACATTCAGTCGATCAATCCAACGAGTCAGGTAGTAATTTCCCACTCTACAGAGAGTCCAATTGGATCAATGTTCCTCTACTATCGGAGAACTGCATACTCCGTAGTACCTATCCTGTACGTACTTTCGACGTAGTTAGTTCCCCACATCTTCCACAATTGACACATTTCTGAAGTCAAATAAAGGCGATGGCCTGACTATCACCAGGGATCCCTCAAGGCCTGGCTAGGAGCTCATCTCCGCGGCTTAATGGTTGCAGGTTTGTTGAGGGAGTTCGTTAGTATCATGGTGCCTAGTGCATCGTCATGACATTCCAATATCCAACTGTCTACCTAGCCTTAACGGTCCCCATATTCAAGCGTGGACACTAGGACCGGCTAATCCACATACTAACAAGATGCCAAGTGGTAAAGAGCTAATGGCTCATCGCTCTCCTTTCCCTCATTCCCCCTCCACATATCTATTTCAGATCATCCCTCTTCTTCCAATCCTTAGTAACTATTCGCTTTTCCCTTCGGAGCTCATTTTGGTGGCACCGGTTACCCATTCGGGGCCCGTTTCACTGACTTAGCTTGGTATTACCATTTTTGAGCCGGACCAACAACCCCGGTTATGTTGAAACCCCGCCGCCACCTGATTTCCCCCAACCCTGAATCACCATCAGCGGCACCAGATTCGAGATTATTGACAGTTGGGCAACCCATGTGATTGCGCCGTCTCCTTCATTCCTTCTGTATCGCTGCTGAACGTAACAGCTTCACTGTCTCATGATTAATTCCCTCGCATTGTCTTCCCCTTTCTGGCATTAAGTAGACTTCACCTTTCATTAGAGCCCATATCATGTTCGGGTGGTGCGGTGGACTGGGTATGGCTTCCCTTCTCCTTACGAGCAAATGACCCCCCCAGCTATGCTTCCCCAATGCTCGGTTAACTCGATTCACGATAATTGCAATTGAAGTCACGACGCGGGCCATGTTGCAAAGCAATGTCTCCCACAACTGCATTCTTCATAAGCCTGTCATCGGTATAGACCTCTGGATTGGCCACCACTATCTCCTGTGAAGAACTTCATAGCTCTTAGGATTCGGAGTATAGCTCACCCGGTCTCCATCCTCTGGAGTCTTTTGTTTGGTGGACCAACTGTCAATGGCAACTACTTATCCAGACAACCATTATTACGCGCTTCTTCTTCTTCTTCTTTTCGAATCCTTATGTATTCCCACTAACGATTGACGTAGGCATCGCCACAGTGGGATTGGACCCCGAGCAAGAACGGCGGCCCCCGTCTGCGCCTACGAATCTGGACTTCCCACTTCACAAGGGCTTGGATGCCACAGGAAGCGAATCGGAATCCTCTTTGAGGCAAATAGGCGACCTCCTAGCTTCCATTAAAAGACCGCAGGATATCTCGTCCGAAAGGTTCAAAGCTTTCAATCTGAAAGTAGAGCTCAATATTCCTGCCACCTGCATTGTCCGACGGGATAGCACAAGTCGTTCACCCTTACTACCTTGGGAAGACAGCTCATCAAACCCGTCGCCGTCTTTAGATGATGGCTCTCCAGTCTTGCTCGAGAATGGGGATTCGTATCCGCCAAAGGAGAGATTCGAGGTATTAAAAGACGAACTTCTTATGGACAATGACGACGTATTCCGCGAAGTGGGCAGGTTACCTCCCCGCGAAGGCCGCCAAAGGGTTCGGGTAACTCAGACGAGAAAATTCTGGACGGGTTTGGAACGAATGTCCCAATACTGGGACTCCAGCTTGGATCACTACTACGAGCGTCCTGCAACACCACAACAACAGGGTCCAGCAGGCGATTCTGGGGGCAAGATGCAGACAGACAACGGAACACAGCCGGTCTCCCCGAATGAAACGGAGGTATCGATGGACCTTGAAGCTCCCGCCAAGACCAATGACCAGGTGCGCGAACAATCAGAATGTGTGACAATGTATAAAGGACGGCGTACCGGCTGTGGAAGTGAGATGCCAGAAGACATTCGCGAAGAGACCATTCGCGCATTGGCGGAAATGGCGGCCTGGCCCTTCGGGTGCCAAGTGGCTCTTCCCATTATGCCTCCAAGGCTCACAGTAAAGACTCTGCTTTTCCCTGTACGACAGACGTTCACGGTGGCTCGATCCCCCAAGGATCGACAACTGGCACGAAGCGGTGTTATGGAAGGACCCCTTCTTGTTGCTCAATGTCGACCCGAAACCTCTTTCCGAGTATCTCACGAAGCTCCTGGGTCCGGCACCGCAGAGATATGCGATTTGTTCCGGGAGGTTGGGGGCATGCTCCTGACTGCTCAAGAACGGTTGCGCCAGGGAACTGCCGAAGTCAGACCTGGCGAGGGGAAGTGGTGGACGACTTCGCCCCGGTGGGGTGGTGCTCCCAATGACGCTGTGGGTGATAGTGGCAATTGTAATGATATACCGCCAACACCGGAGTCTGGCAATGCTCGCAAACGATCTAAATATGAGCATCCTTTCTTGGCCTCCCGGAGACCAGCCGGTTCACGCAAACTAAGCAACAGCGAGCGGTGGAAGCTCGTTCAGCCAGGCCCTAGTCTCTGGGACCGGCGGATGAGGTATATTCAGATCGGGAAGGGCATGGAAAGCCCATTTGATGATGTATATGACCATATGGGATTTGCTTGTTATAGTAACATGACTAAGTGCGGTATAGATTTACATGTTATCCTCCATCAACCACCATCTTGCCATTCTCCATCTCCAGGTCCATCGGAGATACATTGAAATCTTGACGACGGGAGACAGTGACTTCCCCCCCGACACCGACACACCGGATCAACCATGGTACGTGCTAAAGCTACGGAGAACCAAATGGTATGATTTATTCGATCCCCAGGAGCGCCTGGAAGTATTCAAAGGAATATGGAATATATTGCATCATCTTCTTCGGCGCCCTTGAGCAGAACATTTGTTATACCCTTTTAGGTTGATTATGACTGCTAGTTTGAAAGGCCGACATACAGAGATTGCGTAGTTCTGTCCACTTGTGTATCTATAAACTGACTCATTCATTGGCCTGCGGAAGGAATGCTCAACATTGCACTGTATAAAATGTCATTCTCCAGCAGAGCTAGACCGCCATAGCGATACCCCTTCTTTAAGGTTTTATATGCCTAGTGTCATGATTACTTGCTAGCCAATGTTTTAGAGTTAGATAGTTTTCTGCAAGAGAATGAATAAAATATTCGATATGGGCTTCCCTACATCTCTCTGTGATACAATGCAAACGCTGAACCTCGCGTGCTATATCTATCAACATCTTCTGCTTCCAGGGTGGGAAGCATTGATTGGCATATTTCATAATCAGCTTCGATTAATATTATCTGTCTGCTTATTCCCACACCATCCCTTCTAAGTATAAGAGAAGTAGATGAGTCAATCAGTTTGGGTTTTGTATATCCAGTATACGTACAATGCCCCTGATCATCTTGCTTCGCAAGCAGCTACTTCTCGAAACAGATCTATGAATCCGATGCTGCGTATTATTGACAGTTTCCAGGAAGTATGTCCCCGGCGCATAGGATATGATCCAATACCTCCAGCTCTTAATGCATATCATACAGTACCAGCCGCCAAAGCCGATGGGGAAATAATGCCCACTCCTGCATGGAGTACGTACATATATGGATGCATACAGTACATTAAGACATGCGTTTGCATTGCCGTCTCCTCGACGCAGTAAGTATTCAGTACACCATATGAGACCTATTTTCGCAACAACTTCCTGTTCTGTATTAGACACTGTGAAGTGTCATCTAATTCTGGTATTTTTGGAGGCCTTTTTTTTTTTTTTTTTTTTTTTTTTCCTTTTTATTTCCTGTAGACATGGCTTTGGTTGTCATCATCTGGCTACGGCCGCAACAGACTGGTTATGTCATGTAGGAAGGGAAGGGAAGGGGAAGATCAAGGCCAATAACATCCGCTGTACTCCGTATTCCGTGCGCAGGTGATAAGACAGAGCTACCCAGCGAACAAGCCTTTGGTTCAGCCAGTCAGAACTCTCTAAGTAGTGAGGCTCCCTAAGGTTTTGATCATCCTACACCCATCAGATGCTAGGTATGTCTGTGCGCGTGGGTAGACACTATGGCTATGAGGATTCGTGGAGATGATATCCCATCCATATACGGAGTACTCCATATGAGGTAGTGAAGTGCGGAGTAAAGTGAAAAATAAATATGAGGCGAAATAAACTTATCAGTTTTTCTATATAAAAGGCACCCCTATGATGAAGACCAGCAAACCGCGGTGACTACTATACAGAAATAGATATATGAAGGGCCCAGCTGATCGGTATTGCTGATCGGGGGAAGCGGACGGTCCGTAAAGACAGGAGAGTACTTTTGTAGTTGATGATTCCAAAGGGAGTAAATGCGAGACTGCACTCTGATTGGTTGGTCTGGTAGACTCGTACCTAACCACGATGATAATTGCTTCTTTCTCTTCTTCAGCTGCGTATTCCAGACCATCTATGGACTAAAGAGAACCTAGAACAGGTATGCATATCTGCATATTTTATCATGAGGTGTTTCAACATTTGTACCCAGTCCTACTCCGTATATTCCAAACCAGCCATGGTCCAGGTCAGTCTGATTGGTAGTCTAAATGCCATATTTCTTGTCTGCACGGTTGGTCACTAGGCAATCAAGTGCGGTGCAGGTGGTATTGCAATGTCCACTAGTCATGGAAAGGCTCGGGACGCTTTAGTTAGGTGCCGATCCCTTCATACCTTTACTCTTTAGTATACCTATTGCAGGTTTATTGGGCCATATCAATAGTACTTATTGAACCCATAGGGTTTCCTTTTTAGACTTGCTGCATGTCTAAGTATCACTATAGGTGTCGTTCTACCCCGTACCAGGCAAAATTATCCCATATAACTAGACTAGTCACAATCTTCTAACTGTGTACTTCGTACACATGATGTGTACCACTTATTTATTTATCTATCTCGCTCTAAATGTAAAATATATTATGTATGAACAGAGGTCTAATTTTGTTGTACATACTCCGTACGTAAAATAAAAAATATATAAAAAGAGAGAGAGATTATGGGGACTTCGACAACTACATTGCATATGACATGAGAACCATCAATTCAAAAAGCAGATGTATATTAAGATGGAGTGAACATCTCTCCACCCTCACACCATTTCGAGGATCTTCGGTGTGCTAGAGAGGATGATCTCTGGAAAGGGAGGGGGAAAAGGAGATTAATGAGGTTCCAGATCAGTGGAAATATGATACGTCCAGTGGCGTCCAGTACAACGCTCGCCACGGACTTGCCCTCACATTGGTAACATCGCGGGCAAATTGTCATGCATTTACCTCAGTAAAAGCATGTTCGCCATGCAACCATAATAATGGAGTACAGAGTAAAAGACTTGACTAGGTAGCTGACGAGACTGACTGGTTCGCGTGGTCAGGTCAAACAGCTCAATTTGCCCCCACACGGCTGCCTGCCTGGAAGCATACCGAAAGCTTCCCGGGCCCACCAACCAGGCCCATGGAACGGACAGCGTGGTACCCTGTGGCTGAAATTCTATCTGAGTCATTAACTTTCTGGCTGTTGAAAAATTACTACTTCATCCACAAGTTCAATAACCATTGTCAATGTGAAGAACTCTGTATATCTCTGAGAAAATGTAGGTAAATAAAATCTGCTCATCTGGGGATGCCAAGAATTAAGGGAACATTTAACAAAGTGAGCGGAGAAAAAAAAAAGCTACACATCTCATTTCTGGGTGCATACTCTCTGGCGACTATTTGGATACATAGGGCTTCTGTCTATCTTCCATCATGTCTATTTCAGTAAGGAGACCGTTTAATCACCCCAGTGGCCTTCCTATAAGAAGTACGGGGTAAAAAGCAGAAGAAAAACAATAATAAAAGGTCAACTTTAATCCTAGTCGGAGTTGCACTCTAGAAGTCCCTATGCATAAACAGTTAAATTAAGGTGCGTAAGTCAGCTCTGTAGACATTGAAATGCCTCCATATCACTGGTGATTACATGTATGTACTCTGCAGGTACGGAGGATCCATAGAAATCTACTCCGGATAGGTTACTCAAATCTGCAGCCAACAATATACGAAGAAAGATATCTGGTAAGCCTACTCCATACTTAACAACACCTGTTTTATAATATATGTCAGTATCCACTTGATGGTTTGAGTTCTTTGGACGTTTACTACATGTTCTATGAGTCATAATCTTCTTGGCGTAAGACACAGATGATGGAGTACTACGCTGCAGGAATTATGTTCTGTTGTATACTGGCAGCGTAGTGAGAATGTGTTACTGCACAAGATAATTACAGGGGCACAGAATACACCTTAAGGCTCTAATAAACAATCCAGAAATATATTACTATTATATAGAAGCAAACAGCTTTGCTTCTTACCCTCAAGAGATCAGGCATCATCCGACCGGTTGGTATGGGAAGTTTAAGTCGGCAAGGAGTCAACCCAAGGGTGGGACATCGGCTTAGCGGTTTAAATTTGATAGCAAGCATGTAATTAAGCAGTAATTGTAGCTCGTGGATTTGTACATTTTCGGCAGTATTCATCTATAAAAAGCCCACAAGTAATACTTTAAATTTGAATGCGAGGAGAGGTCAGCAGATTGACAAATCCATGTTGGAATATAACCATGAGTCTATCAAATTAATTGTTGATATGATGCCTACTGCAGGGAACATAGATTTATACATTGCCGATATATTGTGGTATGAAATACCTGAACTACTGTATGTACAGAGTAGATCACTATAATAAGCAATTCTCCAGCCTGACTAACATACCTACCAAACGTTGGATTGATATTTCCAATCCCAGAGCTTTTAACTAATAACAAAATAATAAATTAAGCAATAATAATAATATACAGACCCTAAGTAGGCAGAAATTATAGAATATACGTTAGGCATAAACCAGAAATCTCAACAGTGCTCCAAATCGTTATCTTTCCGGAAAATGAATCTTGCCTTGCATGTGGAACATGTGGAGTGCCACTCAGATAAACAAGGCAGCTGCCTAATCTATTTCGTCACAGTAAGTCAGTGTCTTTGGCAGGATCCTCTAAGTGGATTCCTTTGAGCATCTTCCTAAGTTATTGGTTGGATTCATCCAATGTAATCGCAATGTATTTATGACTGTAATTGTAATCAACTGAACAGAATACTTCATTGATTAAAACGAAAATGCCCAGAATTTTATAGCTTCCCGTCCTTTGGCGTACTGATTTGGATCCGCCCACGAACCGCTGCCTCGGAGCCATAAGGCGGGAGGTCCCGTTGCCAGATCTCACAGAATATGGAGATTATCAGGGGCTCAGTTTTGTGACTATTGGCTCACAACCGATGATAATGTACCTGGATGGTTGGGGTTGAGTCTAGGTTATGTATAACGTTACAGAGTATAGTACAGAGTATAGAGTAGAGGGGTAGAGCAGAATTACAAATCTCCACCTAACTGTGGTTCTGAAACTTGGATTTGATCTGCGTTGTCCTCGTGATGACTGCATTCCAATCAGTAGAACGGAGACCTGTAGCATCAGTAATTGGATCCTTTGCTGAGCTATGTACTTGGCCTTTAACGAACCATATCGCACCGTCTCTGTCCATCATCGGAGTAGTGGGATTCGGATGCCCAACAGTTACATTACCACTGACCCTGAACTGCCAATGGCCGTAAACTTTATAGGCTTGTAGAGAAGAGGCTGTTCTCTTGTTTAGGCTGTGTTGGGTGTTTTATCTCGATGACAAAGCCGAAGTTTGAGAGGGGAATAGAATAAAAACTCTGAGTCAAGCATAGTTCAAGATCTCCAATTCCATTTTTTGTCTATTCTGTACCAGAGAGACTGCTGATTGTAACAGTACTCTGTATACTATTAGTAGTACCCATGTACGAGGAAGAAATGCCTTGTAAATTTGCTCACTTTTTATACCCATGCGACACATACAGGGTAGTTAAAAATGGTGACTAGTGAGCCTGTTTAACCATAGACGGGGGAAATGAATTCTGTCAGACTATTGTATCACTTCAACCACCAGAGTAGTCACATACTCTGCCTTGTACTCATACTGGTTAGTCAGTAATCAAATCTACAGGAAATTTTGACATAGTAACCTACCATACCAGGACTCACCCAGGGAGTATTGAGTATAGTTAAAGTATAAAGTTGTCCGTAGTATTATTGCTATGCCTATTTAGTTGTGTAGCTACTCAAATATATAAGTTAAAATACGCTGAGATTCTAGGACCTTAGGGAAGCATTAAACCTAATTGGACTCAGAACTCTACATATACCACTGTTTAGGACTAGGAAATTTAAGAGTCTGCCAATATAGAGGATGTTCCAAGGGTCGACATAGCTAACATATCGGCCAACAAAAGAAGGTTAATGAGAGCTTGCGAATAGTGCCCTAAACGTGTATAAATCTATATAGCATGATATATTTTCTAGGGCTTTAGAGATAGTAGGTTATCTGGAACAGTTCTTAACCTATTAAAATACATATTGTCATCGACTCATCAATTGTCCCGCCTTTTCCCCGATACCAAGAAGATACTAGCCAAACTTTTGGGTCTACCAACTCCGTATTGTTAACCGCCAGAGTATGTTACTATAGATCCTGTAATTTTGTGCTAAACCCACTCATGACGTATACTTTGAGAAATAACTCTACTACGTTTAGCATTCCTCTCATCTTATTGCTCTATACTAGGCACTATTCCGAGGCTCTCAGTACCCACTACCTGAAATTATACTTATAGGAGATACTAGACAAGGTAGGTTGTACTACATTCAATCCATACTACCTAAGCTCCAGGCACTGCGCTTAAGCTACTAGGGTATTCCGGAGTCGGGATGTACCAGGCTGAAAGAAGATTGACACATACGGAGTACTCTTCAATAAGTAGCTGCATTTATGTTATGTCACATGATTAATAGTATAGCATTGCAATTTAGATACGGACTGAAGCTCAGCAAACCGAGGCCCGCACATCTCTTTGGCTCCATAAAGTTGTGTGTGCTACATAGATGTAGTTAAAATGTTGCCACCCGAAAGAGACGGTATCTACGAAGAAAATAATAGTAGGTAGCAAGATCCTTGGCATTAGACCCAATAATTCGTCACTCTCGACTCCATTCCTAGTATCTCCTTCCCCCCTATATTACTACTTCGGAATACGGTAAATATTAGTATTAATAACACTCTTATTTTGTAACAGTGATGCCACCCAACCTCAGTTGTTGGAAATGTATGTACTACCAAGAATCCTTCCCGGAGCTTTCCTTGGTTTGACTTACCATGGGTTGACCGACGGGAGTCCCTGAATAGTGAATACTACCCAGGCGTGAGTAAATCTGGAACCAGGGAACAGCTGGCGGCTTGTGGAGTTTGGATGCATGTCACAGTGTACGTGTACATGTATGTATGTCCTTAAGTGACAGGGATGTTTAAATACATGACCTCATCTTGTGCACCTAACTAGTGATGGTTTGATCACCCTTCTTTAGAGACACTATTAAAAGCGATCTACGGAATACCTTACTACCTAGTTGGACCTAGATAGGGAGAAGGATGGTACCAAGGTATTAAATATTAAATACCTGTAAGATTTCGCAACGTTATATAGGAGCAATCTGCTTTTAAATAGGGTTTTTATTCAACTCTTTTTTAATCTCTAAAGAAGCTATCTATAGACATACAAAGTACAGACACAGTAAGTATATACCAAGTACTCCGTATTTGTTGTATGGATACTTATGTAGGTCTAGTGTTGGAGGCGGTTGGTACACTTCGATTATACCAATTACGACAGGATTCTCACCGTCTTCTGATCTCTTGTGGGGCTGTTATTTAGTATGCCTGCTCATACATGCCTCTTATTGTACACCCATTCACCCCTCCCTATTCCAATTTTTTCATACTTTAATGTCTGCACCTCTACTATGTGATATCTGTCCTTAATATTAAACCCGTAGATTTAACTGAACAACTGACCATAGACTTTGATAGATTATACCATGTAAATGTCTCTTGGGTAGCCCTGTATTTTATCGAGTTTGGCTTTTTTGACTAAGAAGAGGGGGGGAACCTTGCTGGAACAGATATTAGCAATAGTCACGGAACTAACACCCCTTGTTAACAATCAGCGGGATCAGGCTGGGTCTCAACGCAAATGGGCGCCCAACCAATCCAGAAAACATTTCTAAGAGGCTGAATGTGTGGACAGCAACAATTGTGAGTATGTAAATATCCGCACCACTGTCTATATGTTTATACACAGAGGCAAATTAAAGCTCTTTTACTGGTCGTTTTTATTCTCTCTTTAGGTACTATGAAGCGAGGGAATGAGCCGAAACCTTGACATTTCTATTATCGATTTGATTGAGTAGTCAATTCCTTGTTCTTTTGCCTTGTGGTATCCTACTACTTAGTCGCTTACTTCGATCCGACCTACTCCGTATATACTTGACCATCAAATACTTACCCCTCCTGATTTTGGGCATCGACCACTCCCTGATCAATCTAACATATCCTATATTAGAGAACATCCAGGGCCCAACGACGACATAAGATGCTATCGTCCAACGGTGCGTGGATGGTACCAGATGGTTTAATTTTGAGTGACGTCTTTCCTTTTCCCAAGATAACCTATGTGGCTTCGAAAAATCGAAGGATGGAACAAATTGCGGGTCTCACTTGACAGGATTGAAAATTGGAGACAGTACTCGGTACGGAGTATTAATACAACAAATTTCCCAGAATTGCTCTTCCCTCTTTTTTTCTACTTATTTCTCTCGACCCACCTCATCCTTAAGGCGCTCTGGGTTTTGGATTCTCATATCTCATCCTGGCGGTGTCGGACGGCTCGAATTGCGGCTCCACCTTCTTTCCTTTTCTTTTCTTTTCCTTTTTTTTTTTTTTAAAAAAAAAAAAAGAAAAAGAAAGAGAGAGATGGATGAAAAACGATCTGTCAATTTGTGGCTTGGGCTAACTGCTGCAAACCAAAATCCCAGTTCAGAGTTACAGGTTTCAGTCTATCAATCAATCCAGCAGAAAGAGGCGCGCGTTAAAAAAAAAAAAAAAAAAGAAAAGAAAAGAAAAAAGGGTAGAGAGATAGGGTGTATGAATAGATCAAGAGATAGAGCAAGAAATAGGAGAGATATACTGATCATAAATGATACTATTAACATTGCTTCCCTATGTAATTGTTTTTCTTGTTATTAGCTATTTCTGTACTCCGTACCATCACTTACACACATTCGACTGTAAGAGAATGACAGAAGATCAATCATTCTATGGCAAACTAGTATTAAGTCGGGTACAACATCCTCCCTCTATATGCATTATTATTGTTCTGCTTCCTATAGCTAGATTCCTCAACCAGCCTTTTTTTTCCCTTTTTTTATTTAAAAAAAAAAAAAAAAAAAAAAAAAAAAAAGAAGAGAGAGGGAGAGAGCATGAGGGACAGAGTCAGAGAGGGGCACAGGCATTCATCGTCTACCATCAAATCAATAATTATCACAATCACACTCCTACTTCTGTTTGTTGTCTGTGTGTGTCTCTGTTCTTTACCCCTTCCTCCATCTCTTTGGTCAACTTCCTCTGTTATGGTCTACACCATCCTTCATCCTCCTTGATACCTTCCCATCATCTAACCACCCCCGCCTTCTTCAGACAAGTACCAAACCAATTCAATATCCCGCTCCCGCACCATTTTCACCTGCCTAGTCTACTTCGTACATCTAGAGTCTTTACCACTCCTACATACTCTGTACTTACCAGACATACGCGAATTTTTTCCTTCTTTTCTTCCTTTTCCCCTCCTTTCACGCGATAGCAAACCTCGAATCTCTCTTACTTATTCTGAGTTAATCCGCCAGCTCCTGTCTCTCTATCATTCCCATCTTGTTTGGAGCTGTCTCCATTTCACCCGTGGATTCTCGACTTTTCTCTAATATACCGACCAAATCCTTTGGCTTTCCCACCGTTCGATCTACCTTTTGCACCAGGCGACCCGACAGCTTGGCTTAACTATCTCCCGATTGATCGGTGAGCAGAGTGCCAATCGCACATCGTATTTTATTATTATTACCCTTTTTTTTTCCCTGGCACCACTGTCGCAGAGTACGTACAACTCTATTTCATCATTATCATCGTCATTACTGCCTATTGCACAATACTGCCGGAGGGTTTTTTTTATTTTTATTTTTTTTTTTACCGTAACCTTATTATCAACGCTTCGCTTTACCCCCAGTTTGATTCACAGGAGCTGGTTCTAAATTGCTACCCCTCCCTTCTTAACTTTTGGTTCGGTTTGGTTTACCGTGTGCTTATCCTTTTTGGTGTTTCAAGAAGAGGGAAGGAAGGACAAAAAAAAAAAAAAACCGTCCTGGGCAGAAAGGTTTCCCTACGGAGTAGTACCATTAACACTAGGGTCAGCGCGTCCACTCCAAGGCGTTTAGTGTACCTGCGCGGATCTTCTGCTCTGGTTCTCGCCTCCCTAGGCACATCCTTCTCCGTATGGTATCTACTGCCTTGCCCACCTTTGCCTACTAGTGCTCCGAGCTTCGTTCTGATACCCGCTCTAATATTACTCTGTACCATCGCCTTGGGTTTTCATTTGCATTAGTTTTCTCCTTTATTTCCGCTACCGCCACCATCCCCTCTTCTACTCATCCCATCTTGTCTATGGTTTTGTACTTTTAGCTGGGGATCGCTCCGTCTGCGCCAGCCTATGTTGATTCCTATCAACGACACCCAGGCTAATTATTGAAAAGCTTCCGCGCTCTCCTCTCTCACAGACACACTTCCTGACCGGTCTTTCTCCCCCCCGTGCGTCGCACAAGAACGTCTTACACCTATTCTTGTCCACTCGGAGACGATAATAGAAGGGGAAAAAAGGACGAAGAAAGAAGAGTTTTTTTTTAAGAAAGGGGGGAATAGGCCAGGAACAGAGGATTAATTGCCGAGTGACTCGCATCCCCCCACTCCAGGCTACCTACAGCCTGGTACCAGAAGTTTACCACTTTGGGAATTTCTGTTGAACTCTTGTCGCGGTCGCACAATCGGGACCGCTTACCGCGCTCGCCTATTGCATCAATATGTCCTCATGACCCTATGACTATATTACTGAATTGACGTGTACTGCGGAATTGCAGCGAGCTGGAGTGCCTTGCCCTAGCTGCGGGCGCCCTTCGACCATGGAAATCAATGCACCGGACGAGAAGCCGACACCACTTCCCGCATATTCCGGCTCTGCGCCTCCAATGCACCGTATGCCCCCTCCGGAGGGCGGACATGGCCTACCAAGTGGCCCGGGAATATATGAACCTTCGTGGCGCCCCTATCCACCCCCATTCGATGGTCACACTGCAGAACAACGCCGAACCTCCAATGCCCCTCAGCCTTCATTGCCATCTCACGGATATCCTGTCATTCCCAACCGAGAGCTACCGCAGCTTCCCCCTGAGGGTCCATATGGCCGACAAGGAAGCTTGCCAAGTGCGTCCCACACGCCCTCAGACACCCACCCACCGCATTCCAACTTTCGTCCCATGAATGGAACACCGCATGATACAACATCCCATCCTGCACCTCCAGAATATCGACCTCGGATGTCTTTCCCGCCGCAAGAAGCACATAGCAATGGGGATCCTTCGCACTCACTCCCTCCAGCCCAATATCCCACCACTGCCTCTCACATGTCCCATACCCCCGCTCCTTACGACGCCGGATATTATCAGAGTCAAGCCTATGGGATTCGTCAGCGCAAGGCTGCCCGAGCTCAACAGGTAACCATTCACCTGTTCAGACCAGCAACTATTGTGGTGTTTCTCATAGAGGACAATGGCTGACATTTGTTTTATATTCTCGCTCCGATTGAAGGCATGCGATCAATGTCGCGCAAGAAAGGCGAAATGTGATGAAGGCCGACCGGCATGTAGTCACTGCAAGGAAAACAATTTATTTTGTATTTATAAAGAAGTCCCTCCGCACAAGTCTGTGATCCAAATCCATGCTCATTCTTCTGATAATTACTAACAATTTGTGCAGACAAGAAAAGGCTACCCAGCTCATTCTGGATAAACTACAGCTAGTTCAAGATTGGCTTGACGAGAAGGTGTCCAACCTTCACAAAGTCCAGGTTGACCATGGGAATTATTTAGCGCAGCAAGGGTTGCAGTTGAAGCAAATTGCCGAATCAGTAACTTTGAAGCCCAAGGCCAAACTTACCCACGAACCTCACAAGCAATCAGTCCAACGTCTACTGAAGCAGGATAACTTCGACCCTTTGCAGGACTCGAAGACCAAGGATGAGAATATTCCTGTAACTGCAGGACAAGAGTTAAACCCAGACGAACCTGCCACAATTCCGGCCCCTGGCGAGGAAACTCTGGAGCCTGGGGAGGATGGTGAGCTTTCGATCCCAGTGGAGCACACAACGGCGGCACACAAGTTATTGATGTGGCCGTCCATCAGGAGACTCCTGCTGCCTAAAGAATATGACGAAGACTATGTAATGAAGCTTGAGGAGAAGCGAGGTTTGATTCGTGTGTACGGGCGGGGAGAAGGTGACGATACGAGTGATGATGTGGGAATGCCAACAGCGTCAGTGACACCAAATCCTGGCCCAGATGACAATTATACACACACTTCCTCACCCAACGGACCTTGGGGAGTGGGTGCAGCCTCTACTCAACAGAAACTTCTGGACAATGGCCTCGATGAAAGTGGTACCCTGACTACAGACGCGGAAACAGTTCGCCGATATCACCAGAGTTATATGGAGCACATCCATAGACTCCATCCATTTCTCGACCAGAAAGACTTGGATAAGAAGATTGATCTTTTCATTAAGATGTACTGTCCACAATCCACGTCGGATTCTCCGTCTATATCGAACAGCAATAACACAGGAGATTTGCCACGGGGAGCAAAACGGAAACGTTCTTGCGAAAATCTACAGGGCACAGCATGTGACCTGCAGTCCCCTATTGGCAACAAGTCTGAACGCACGAGCAGCCGTCGTATTGAGAGATCTGTTGGAAACGCCATTATTCTTTTAGTTCTCGCGGTTGGCAGTATATGTGAAGTTCGCATCGTTCCTGGACCTGTCACAGATACCCCTGTGGACTTCCGAAAGGAACGTATCCCGGGTCCTACAACTCGTAGTGGTTTATCACCAGCAGGTTCCGATTCTGTTTACCAGATGCAAAGCAGCTTGTATGCACAAAGGAGTCGTACGTTTCCCTCATTGTCCCTAATCGACGGGCGACAAAATGTGTCAGGTCACTCATCAGCTTCAGACGATCGACACCTCAGGAATCTGGATGTTATTCCTGGCCTAGCCTACTACGCTTATGCTACCCAAATTATTGGAAGCCTTCAAGGTGCGAATGGACTGCCTCACGTCCAAGCTGCTCTGTTAGCAGGGCTCTATGCTGGTCAACTGGCGCATCCTTTCCAGAGTCACGGATGGCTCTACCAGGCTGCTAGAGCCTGCCAAGTGCTAGTTCGATCGTATGTTTGATCCTCCAAAGACAATACAGGACTTATCTGATTGGCACATTCAGGAAGCGGTATGAGCAAATGAATGACGGTCCCCTGAAAGATCTTTATAATTTTGCGTATTGGACTTGCTTGCAATTGGAAAGGTACGTTACATGAATTTATAAAGCCTGTCTGGTGCAGAATAATATACTAAGACTAAATCCATTGGCCAGTGATATATTGGCAGAACTCGACCTTCCGGCAAGTGGTATATCGCGCTCTGAGGCCCGCATCAAACTACCGAAGGGCCTATTTACCCTTTCACTCCCTAATGAAATTTCTGCCCCAAGCACTATGATGATGTTCTTTTACTCCGCGCAGATCCATCTCAGAAAAGTTCTTAATTGTGTTCACACCGATCTATATAAGGTTGAGAGTAAGATATTCTTGCTGACTTATTTGGCAATGTGGAGATGGCTAATATTTTGTTTGTAGAACAAGGCCAGAACCGCTGGTCCTCCAATGTGCTAGAAATTCTAAGCATGAATCTTGAACTCTGGCGAAGCAGCCTTCCGGACATAATGAAATGGAAAGATGCTGACCCACCATCTAAAGACATCAATATCGCTCGCATGAGAGCCAAGTACTATGGTGCCCGGTACATCATCCACCGGCCTCTTTTGTACCATGCGCTTCATTTTGCCGGGCATGCTGATGCCAGTGCAACGTCGGTGGATTCACCTGGGTCTGCTTTGTCCGGCTCCAAGTCCCAGCAGGTCTCACCGTCAATGACGCACAGTCAGCGTGCTACAAATATGGTGCGCTTGTCAAGCGATATAGGTCCAATTGGCCGCAGTTTATCTTCCTCGGGACAGACCGAAGGGATGCCGTATCGTGATCTACCCAACAAGTTGCGAAGAGCCTGTAAAGTTTGCATTGATGCTGCCATTTTGAGTACGGAGGCCTTTGATGGAATTGACGGCCGTCCAGTGGTAACAAACATCTTTGGAACAGCTCATGCGTATGTTTATAGTCCAAAGCGTATTCCTAGTTCTTGCTAATTGCTTTTTGTGGCAGACAATTTGGAAATATGTTAGTACTATCTGCAACCTACATGTCAAGCCTCTCCGAACTGGTGGAGCGAAATGATCTTGAGCGACTTCTCAAGCGGACAATCAGATTTCTTTTGCAGAGTCGCTTTATTTCTCCTAGTCTGCGCGCTGATGCCCAAATACTTACTGAGATATACGAAAAAATTTTCGGCGAGCCAGCAGGAAGCTTTTCATCGAGTCACTATTAGAGAGATCTTTATCACAACGATACCATGCACTATACTATGTCTACAATTGCTTTAGAGTGTGCTAATACCGGCCACCGAAAAAAAAAAAAAAATAAAATAAAATACAGGGACTCAAGCTATTATTACTGGCCTGGATTTGCACAACCCTTTTCCATCAAGCGTTGGTATATTTTCTGCAGTTTCTGGACTCTTTATTTAACAGGTATCTATCTACCTTTGCATGCTCATTTCTTGCATTCCGACTTAAATCTTGCCTGCATCTTTTGGCGATTACATATCCGGTCGTTACTTTGTGTATAAGGGAATGGTGGCTATTCTTTTTAAATCTCCTTTTCCTTATTACCTCAACTTCGTGCCTCTCTCTGTATCTCCTTCTCTCCCCCCTCCTTTTTTCTCTCTCTCTCTTCCCCCCCCCCTATTTTTGTTTTGATTGCGTGAAATAATTGTCTTTATCGCTGGATTCGGTGCTTTGTTGGCGTTCAATCTACCCTGCTTTTCAAGCAGAAATTGGGCATGGGAGGAAATCTTTCGTTGCATTTACAGTGGGCCACGGAGACTGATCTAGTACATTCTTGAGGAGTTTAAAGGGGTGGCTTTGCTGAATGATTTAGTACCACTATTTACCTCAGCATTAGCTGGCGAACGCAATGAACTAGTTATATTGTATATGTTGGACTTGTGAAAATTGGGTGGTTGATGCGTCTTTCTTAGGCTATTTCCACACCAGCCAACCTCGGCTGCATAGCCAAGCCTTTCCCCGCAATTTGGTCGGGTTGAGGCTGACATGTGGTCACTACATCTACTGGTTAAGTGTTAGGAGACAGTATCTAACTATCATTCCCACCATCCATGTATACGTGGAACAATAATGTTATCTCGAACACTTTATTTTTCGCGTGAAGGTATCGCCCCGTTACATGAACGAACTGCGCCTGATGGAAGCCTCGTCCATTAACCGTTGCGTTACAGGGTTTACTGCTGATGTTTTCGGTAAACTGATCCAGCAAATTTTCCTCAACCCTTGGGAGAGTATTACCGCTGGTCCTGGTAGCATACTGTACCGCGAAGGGCAAGCAGACTACGCAGCGCTATCCGCGAACCTTCCAGTGGCTCCAGATCCTTGCTTCTCTTGCCATTCTCCGCCGTACAAACTCATGGGCCAACCGCCGTGCATTGGATAATGGCACTTCCGACTGTTACGATTGGACTCGTGAAGTGGTTGTGTTAACGGGTGGCAGCAATGGGATTGGTAAGCAGATTGCGATCTTGCTGGGAAACCGCGGCATCAAGGTCGCCGTCCTTGACATTCAACCACCCCAGGATGAGCTTCCACCGACGGTTCGCTACTGCAAGTGCGATATCACGTACCCGGCCGAGGTCTCTGAAGTTGCGGCGAACATCCGTGCCACCATGGGGGGGAGCCAACTGTCCTGATCAACAACGCTGGTCTCTGTAGCAGCAGGACCATTCTGAGTGGCACGGAAGCTCAGACCCGGCTCCAGTTCGAAGTTAACACTCTCTCGCATTACTGGCTCTCTCGGGAATATTTACCATCCATGATCCAGCGTAACCACGGCATGGTCGTCACTGTAGCATCCCAGGCTGGCTACGTTACCACTCCTAACATGGTGGATTACTCCGCTACCAAAGCAGCAGCCATATCATTCCATGAAGGCCTGGGAGCGGAGCTGGTGTCAAGATACAATGCTCCTCGAGTCCGCACAGTGCTGGTGACCCAGGGATTTACTCAGACGGCGCTCATCAGCGAGCTGACCCCTGAAGATACATGGTTCAATCCACTACTGCTTCCAGAGACGGTGGCAGAGGCAATTGTAAAGCAAGTTCTAACGGGCTCAAGTGGCCATGTTCTGGTCCCTGGGTCAACGGGCTGGCTGGCGAAGATTTTCCGGGGGTTTCCTTTGTGGTATCAGCATAAGCTTCGAGTGAGATTGGAGAGATTAATGCGTGCTTCTTAAATTCCGCCTTGCTTTATGTCGCAGTTCTTTTTTTGGTATAGGGAGTATATATATTGCGAAGTCCCCTCTCCCCGGGTATTTTGTATGAATGGATGGATAAGAAGGGTTTCATAATACGGCTCTATAGTTAACGATCACAATGTCAAGAAGCTTTGTATTTATCTCTTCTAATCCGTAATTAAATGGATATGTTCGATGGTCGAGAAGCTAAGGCAGCTCCAGGCTTGGAAGCGAGCCTAAGGCCACCAACCTATTCGCGCAGCTGGTGGGACTCGACAAGCTGGTCTTGTTGAGCCACATCATTCACAACGCACTAAAGAGCCAATCGGCATCACGTCAGTTCGGGGTAATGGAAGAGGCTGGAGCTGAGGTCGGCACCATTGCCCAAGAAAAAAAAAGGACCTTAGTGGCCATCCAGCCTCGCTCTTTTTGTTTGTTTGGAGATGACCGCACGTGCGGCCCCACTGCCTCACCGCGATTTCGTCCTCGTCTTCAAATCTTCCGCACCTCATCGTCATTTTCCTCAAGGTTTCGATCAGGAATTAATTCCATCCCCTATCTGATCGGGGATCTTCTCCTGCATCATCGTCGGATTGTGCTCCATCCCTAGACAGCATTTACCCCGCAGTCTTCATACTGGATTTCTTCCCCTCCCTCGCCCATCCATCTATCTTTGCCACGCAGACCTCGTTCCACGGACCCCGTCCTTGCCTAAGGCGCTAAAAGTCGCTGGATCGCCTTAGTGGCCGATTGTCTAGAGCAACCAGACTAACCGTCTCCGCTAAAAAGTTGGGGCCTCCGATTCCGAGAACCACGGTTCACTTGTTTACTGCAGTTCCTGTTGCAAAAACAACTCCGCTGATTCTATCAATCGGCTCTTGTTTTTCACCTTTTCATACGTTGTGTCCTTGAATTGGCGTTGCGATTTTCTTTTCCTGTCTAATTATAGTTCCTTTCCATTTTCTTATTTTTTATCTTTTGGTCTTGTGGCCGCCCGCCTTGATCTACTTGCCTTGGATACCCCGATTCACATTCCACATGTTCGTCTGAATCGTTAGCGCATTGCTCGGATTGCTCTTTGCCCACAATGTTCAAGGCCCTCATGGGCGGTGGTCGCTCCTCCGATACGCGCAGCAACTCGAGCTCCAAAGCCAAAAGTCGCCGCGGAGCTGACTCAAAGGCCTCCTCAACAGTGAGCCGTAAGTCATCACGGGGTGACGACCGTGACCGTGGCTTGGGCGATCTGTCAGCCTACTCAACCTCTGGCGGCCATAGCAGGCGCTATGCATCCAGTGCAGCAGGGGACTCGGTCGCTTCAAGTTATGCGACGGCGGAGCCTGCTGTCTCCGTAGAACCCGAGCGCATCGTTATCGAACGAACGCCTAAGCGCCGAAATGCCTACGACTCCGAACGCCGTGGGCGCGACCGAGGCAATATTGACGAGGTTGGTTCACGCAGGCGCGATCGACCTCGATCGTCGAGTCGGGATCGTGAACACTTTAGGTCAAGCCGGGAGAGTGGAGTGGATGATGCTGGTACTCGAGACCGTGAGAGCCGTCGCCGACGAACCCGGTCAGGCGATGCGTATCTGCCTGCGGCATCTAGTGGTGATCAAGGTGCCTCTGGGAGGCCACGTTCTGATATACCCCAATTTCCTCCCGAATTCCACAATACGCTCCCAGGTACCTCCGCACCCGAATCTCCCAACACAGCCTACGATCCTCATGTCCAGCAACAGTTTCCTGGTCAGTTTCCAGCATTTGTTGCCGAGCCCTACCGACCGCCAAACCCCGCAGGTGAAGCGTCTGAATACTACGGGGATCAAGGACAGTCTGTCGCAGAACAACCGGGTGTCCGACCTAAGCCTCAGGCCGTCATCCCCCATCACCAAGCGCACTTAATGACGGCTTCGCCGAGTGCCAACCCACCCCCGGAGCCAAGCAGCATGGGGCAAGTTGGTGCAGCAGCGGACTATTACACAGACGATATTCAGGACGAGCCACCACCCGAGCAATCGGGACATTCTCCGCCCGTGCCGGCGCCAAAACCGCCGAAACCATCTGCACAGCCATCTGGATCGACAGTTACAGCGGCGGCCGCCGCTTATGGTGTAGAAGAGAGCATTCAGGAGAATGCTGTTTCTAATTTGTCTCCTGCACCTGTTGAGTCTCCGGCTATAACTCAGGCTCCTAATTCCCATAGTGTTGACGCATCTATTGGAGTTGCAGTAGCGGGTACAGCAGCCGGCTACATGATAGGTCACCATCAGCAAACCTCAAGCGTTGATCACTCTCAGCAGAACACTGTGCAGAACTACGAGGAAATATCCCAGAATGGCCTTGTGCACACAGGGCCATCAATATACCTCCCTACTTCTAATGCACCACTCTATACTCCTGGGGATGGGGTTCCAGTAGGGTACGCCGCCCATCCGTCGCATCCCCATCATGCCGCCCTCTACCATGGCTCCCCATTTCAGGCCGGAGGATTGGCTTTTCAGCAGCCCCAGCGCGGGCCACTGGATAAGTTCATAGATTTTTGGCGTGATCCTGAGGGCGTGGGCATGTTCGAAGATTACACGGAAGCAATCGGAATCTGCAAGTATTGCTTTGAACCCGGCACCACCTCTCGGGATGCACCTCGCAAGCACAATCATAAACCTCACCGTCGCTCCGGTGATCGATACAGTAGCGGTTCCAGAGTTGACAAGCTAGGTCGCTATGCATCCTCCGAAGACGAAAGTCGACGCCGCAAGAAATCATCGAGAAATTCATGGCTGCCTGGCATGCTTGCCGGTTATACAGTAATGTCGCTTTTCAACAACAAGGGTTTTGATGATACCTATAGTGTTCGGTCTGGTCAAGTAAAAGGCTCGTCATATGACAGTGACAATGGTTCGATCGAGCGGAAAAGTCAAACCTCACGCGGTGTTTATAGGCGTTCGCCTCGTAGTCGATCTCGGGATAGCTTCCGCCGTAACCATTATACGGACAAAAGATTGGGAATAAATGAGGGATCTAGAATGCGCTCTCACTCGCGCTCTCGTTCCTCATCAAGGACAGAAAGCCATTTTCTTAGAGATGCCGCGCTGGGCGCGGCAGTCGGCGCCACCGCCATGTCAGGGTCCAAAGCTCGCGACAGAAGCTGTAGCCCGAACCAATCTCAACGGGCACGGACGAAAAGCAGAAAATCCTCCTCTTCAGATTCTTCTGTTGTGGACGTTTCCAGGTCTTCTCGGAAATCTCTGGGCGGAGGACTAAGTTCTTTTTTCACCGCATCGTCCGAGAATCGCAGGAAGCGACGTACTAAGAAGCGAAGCGGGCTATTTTCCTTTAACAATTCGTCTTCCTCGTCCCTAGACGCTGATTTGGCTTTTGGAAATGGTTACGCGAAACGATCTGGTAAACTGAAGAAAAGGGGCAGCAAGAAAAATCGAGCGGATGTGGATGCAACCTTGCTGGGTTTGGGTGCAGCTGCCACTGCACTTGCTGCAAAATCCCATCACAAAAACCGACGGGCAGGAGAGATTCTTGCCGGCAAAGATTCTCGTTCTGGTCGCTCAGACTATTCTTCTGCTACTAACGATGAAGGATGGGAAGACTTGGACTCAGGTGATCAGTCGCCCTCCAGTATCAGCTCAGCCCTTGCCTTTGGCGGTGACGATTCCCAATCCTCTGATTCCGGAACATCGCTTTGGGGCTGGAGATGGGGAAATAGGAAAAATAAGAAGAAAAAGTCCAGTTTAGTTGCGGCTGTGGGTGCTGGTGCTCTCGGGGCAACCGTATTGGCTTCTGACTATTATCGGGATGGCAAGTCGACTAGCCAGGACGGCGTAAGCAGTACTGGGAGTCTTCAGCATGTGGCTCCAGTGTCAACAAACGACCCTTCGCGCTTTGATGCTATCAGAGAATCTTCGTTGCCTTCTTCCCAGCCCGCATTCATCCGCCCAGGACCTATTCCCCTTCGACAACCTCAGCCAGTGACGCCGGTTTCTCAAGCGGTATATACAACTCAAGGCGAGTCCGTTCTTGCGTACAGTGCACCACCAACCGGGGCTCCACTCTTTGGCGGAGAGACGTACTACCCTTATCGAACCCGGGTCTCGGAGTCAAGAGACAAACCATGGGCTCATCCCGAACGCAAAAATGTGGCAAGTAGGCCACCGGGGCGGAGTGGTGCTTCCCCTGTGTTTCCTACAGAGTCTCTGGAAGGGAGTCGAATATCCGGTCCGCAGCGTCGATCTACCATGAAAGACCAAGCATCGGTTCAATTTGACCTGACCGAAGAGCAAGAAGATAAGGAGCGGCGTGCTGACCGACTGGAGAGACTAAGAAGCAATGCTGAATACGAGAACGGTGTGCAACTTATTGATCGAGAAAATGAACCAAGATCTCGGGATGCAGGTCGTCTGTCAACTCGATACAGAGATCGAGATCATGAGAAAATTCGAGTGGACGACAACAATGAAGAGCAGAGAGGCTATCGGCAAGAGCCCCGTAAGGAATCGAGTCCTTCGTGGATTGGTGCAGCGGCCGCCGGTACGATAGGTGCCGCAGCCGCAGCGACAGTGCTTTCTAGTAAAACTTCTAATGATGGCACCTCCGAACCTGGTCAACATTACCATGATGAACGACGGGAGAAACGCCGAGCAGAAAGACGCCGCTTTGCCGAGTCTGAGCCTACAGTTTTAGCTTCAATGTCGGGTGTTGATGAAGGGCGGTCGTACTCTGCGCGTGGACCAGAGCATGTCAAGACATCTGCATTCCGAGACATCTCCCGTAAGAAGCCAGTCTATGATGACTACGCACAATTTTTCGCACCTGAGGTGCAACGTTACAGCCCCGATACTTATACACGCCGCGAGCCTACTTCGATGCCTCCGATTATTGAAGCAGAACCCGCAGGCAAGGATACACGGACGTTGAATGAGGAACCGCATCCTGATTATGGCGGCTTGCCCTGGCCAGTACCTGTGCTTAAAGTCATCGAGCCTACTCCTCCACAAAGCCTGAGCGGCTCGGTTAGAGATATTTCGTCGCCGATTATGTCAACTCCGGATATAGTCCAGGAAGATAGCAAGCCCAAACGGCAGACATCTGGCTCTCGAGTTTCTTGGGGTGAACATGAGCTGCACGAATATGAAGTTCCTTCTACGTCTTCCGAGGTTGAGTCTGTCGATCACGATGTGACAGACCAAAGTAAGCAGAAAGAGAAAGGTAAGAATGTTCGAGAGGACCGTGAAATTTCGACGAAGAACGATTCCAGTGCTTTCGAACACGATATTGAATTCGCGGCGACTGTGGCTGCAGCCACTGCAGCAGCAGGCTTTGATCCGTCTCTCGTTACGGACGATCCGGCATACCATAGACGATCATCGTCTCCTGGATCCGAGTCCCGTGAAAATTTCGTTTCGCCTTGGGCTGAAGTTCGCTTTGATTCTAGACAACCTTATGGCTTTGTTGAAGGTGAGGCGGAGACCGCAGATAATATGGACGAGAGCCAGTCGGTGCCACGACGATTTGTCGACAACGGACCTCTTTATTCGGAGCCTGAGACTGTTGTCCGGCAAACAGAGACGGGTCATGAATCCCGGGCACCAGCCACAATTGCGCAGGAGGTCATCGAACAGCTCGGTGGAAGAAGAGATATTGAAGTCAATGAAATTTCTAAAGAATCTGTCAACCCTACTGACGACACTCAGCGGAATGCGGGCTGGAGTGAAAGCAGCGGTAGACCTCAGTCACCTCACGAGGAGGTCTACGCCATGCCAGGTGGATTCGAACAAGACTCTCCTGGTATGCTCAAGGACGGTGATTCGCGATCGGCTGTTTCAGCTCCTGTTTCTGGGGAGTTCGCCTCTTCGTTAGTACCAAAGTCGAGGACGAGTGCAGATGGATCGAATCAGATGGATGATGCCGCTGCATCTACTGTTGAAGATGGTGGCGCCGAAGGTAAAAGGAAGCGACGGAAGAGGCGTTCCAAGCGTGACAGTGATGGGATTGAGGAAACAGTTTCTGTTGCATCTTCTCCAGCTAGGATTGGCAAAATACGTGGCCAACACATGGTCGTGGATGAGAAGGCAGAGACGAGATCTGGTGGCTTTCTAAGCGGTATCTTTGGCTCAATGGTATCTGAGCCAGTAGATAGCAAGAGATCTTCATCTGCAGAGAGACGCTCGTCTCGTGAAGTCCAATCGGAGATCGGAACTCGGGTGTCAGAGGAGTCAAGGAATCGACGGAAAGAGAGGTCATCCAGGCGCCGCAGCAATAGTGGGAGAGACCCGTTAGAAGATGACTCTGCCCCAGAGGATGGTATGGCTGCGGAGAAGGAGAATATTAACATTGAAGGCTACAAATCTAGCAGACAGCGAAGGGAAGAACGACGGCGGCAAAGATACGAAGGAATCCTGGAAGCGGGTAAAGATACGGAGTATGAGAAGGTATAGTTTTGGAGTTTTTCATTATCTGTAAACTGTGGGGTTTTCTCTGATCTATTCCCGGAAACCATTGCGATCATGTTGTTATGATACATATACTAAATGATTTCTTGCTCCTTTTTTTCTATGTACAGGCTCGGGATTCACCTCAAAACTACGACGATGGACAATACTTTTTAGCAGAGGGTTCTGAATTGCCGGTCAAGGTAGACGACGGCGATCACAGTTTTGTTTCAGAACAGTCATCCTCGACCGATGCAGAAGCTAGAAGGTTGGGATTAGAACTTCTAGAGCAGCGGCCAAGAAGTCGCTCGGCCTCACCCCCTTCATCGGCAAAGGCCTTCGATATGGAGCCCAAATCCCAGAGTAGACCCACCTCTCCTGAGATGGCCCGAAGACACGAAGAGGGTAGGGATTGGGGTATGTCGCCTCCGTCTATGATGCGGTCGATGGAGTCTCCTACTGCTGTCCCATTGCATTTTCGCCGGCCTCCTACCTCACCGGGAGTCCAGCGTTCACCGTCAGCTATCTCTCCTGTACCCCCTTCACCCAACTCACCAACTCAAGCGCGCCCTCGTCGGCCGGCCTCCACTGAGTTCAAGAGTTCGCGTGAAATCCGACCCTTGTGGCTTGTAGAGCGGCACGGGTCCAGCAAGGCGGATGACCAGCCTCACGAACCCTTGCCTTCCCTCCCGTCGAGCAAAACCTCATCAGCAACTGCATCTGTGGAGGATCTTACAGTTCTTCCAGATGAAACGAGCTGGGAGATGCTCGACCTCAGCCACTACGTTCACAATGCACCGCAGCCTAGAGGTACTGATATCGCGTTCACCCGACGCTATAGTGATAACAGCCAGTGTGATATCCTTGATTCCCAGCAAGGAACGCCGACTGCAAAAACTTTTGGCCAAGTCAATGCTCCCTCTTCATCCAGGAAAGACAAGCCAAAGTATGAGTTTCATTCCCCTTCGGAGCTTCTACAGGACCCCAGTGCGTATGCCGACTTGCCTCCTTCCTCCACGATGGAAGCGCTCCCTTCCGCTGAAAGCTCCGTAGTTGGGGTCCAGGAGAATGTTGAGACACAGGGCTCGTTACCACATCCATACGACCGGGCCTCTACTCCAGAGGGCAAATCTATTGAGGCCTCAGTGACTGCAGACTCAACCCCCACTCAAACAAAGTCAGCCCTTATAGTGGATGCTTCGAAGATTCCCAAGGAAGTGGGATTTGCTAGTGCCGTCGACGCAGCAGTTGCTGCAGCAGTGGGTGCAGGGATGGCTATCTCATCAGACATGTCAGACACAGAAGCCAAGGATATGAGTAAATCGGCTGGTGTCCCATTTGCAAATGACGAAGATACTCCAGCTGCCATTGACAAGGATGATATTCTACGCAATCTCTCGCTCAAAGACTCACTGTTCGCAGAAAAAGACGTTGAGGCATTTCCACCTACATCGAATACCAAGATTGATTTAACTCCGGTAGACTCGGTCTCCGCGGTCTCTATCGATGAAAAGTACGAAGATGCGAATGAGACGGTACTAGCCGAACGGGCTAATGAGCCAAGAAATGAAGATTTTGCTCCGGAAATTAAACCAGTCGATGAATTCTTAGATAATGAAGAGGGGACAAACGCCGGCGCTACTGGTGAAGATGTCTTGGAAGTAGGCATGGGAGTAGCGGAATCTGAAGCAGGTACCGTTCCAGTCCTAATCGAAGATTCTTCTTATGAGCCCTGGAAAGAGGAAATCTATGTAGTTGAAACCCCAGCATCTGGAAAATGCACGGAAGCGGCACCCGAAGGTGAATCCCAGGCAGAGGAAAAATCTGTCGAAGTTGTTGCCCCAGTATCCTCTAAGAAGAAGAAAAAAGACCGGAAGCGCAAAAACAAGGGAATGAACCCTGATACTCCGGAAAGCACTCTAACTACCGGAGACTCAACGGCTACAGCACCGCAGGAAAGTGGGCAATCACAAGAGCTGCTGTCTCAGGAACCGGTCCTGGGAGCAAGTCCTGAAGAGCTTGAATCTGGTACCCAAGCAGAACCCGAAACATCACTGGCTTTGGGTGTTGAGGAGACACATATCGACATCGCGACGTCTTCCAAGAAAATCAAACGTGATAAGAAGAGAAAGAAAAGCAAGGGCTCTGTTCCGGTCGAGGCTTCAGAGGAACCCAGTAGCATTGAAAGTGCACAACTAACAGCGGAAACCACCGCGGATGAAAAGGACGCGAAGCCGATTGCAGAGACTACGAGCCCTAAAGCGGAAGAGGCGCCATCCGAAGAAGCTTTTAAAGAGACACAGGAAGTCCTTTCCTCTACAACTCAGGAGCTGGTAGAACCTAGTCCGGAAATCGCTGAAAATCTCAGCCGTGACATGCCAGCTCTACCAGAGAATACGCTACGAGAAGTGACACCAGCAGAGGTCAAAGGCGGAGATAAAAAATTTCTGGAGCCTGTTGACGCCCTACAAGGATCGGCTGGAGAGTTTAACTTCGGCCAAGAGGAATCTCCAGAATCTACTCAAGTGAATGAAGATCTTAACCCACCGGCCGCTTCGATTTCGGAAGAGGGTGTTACAGTGTTCGCTATGGATGATGACGCTAATGACACACCCCCAGCCGATGTGCAGGGGCAGATGGATGCTACTGGATCTGAATGTGTTGACTCTCACCCTCAGCCAACAGAGCTAGTGGAGAAGGATCGGAAAGAGATAGTTGGCGACGGAGAAACAACAGCCCTTGAAGATTCAGTCTTAGACACTGCCTCCACTGCACAGAAGGAAGGTATCCAAGGTGTTCCCGGAGCGGATAGCCCATCTATTTCTACCGACCATGGCAAAACTGTGCTAGATTCCGACGTTCACAGTCAGGAGGCTGAGGCCATTCCAGAAAACGAAGCTACATTATCACGCAAAAGCAGTAAGAAGAAAAAGAAGAATAAAGATAAAAGTGGTATAGCGCTATCAACAGAGGGCGAATCAGAGGGTATCGCGCCACATACGCTTTCAGGTGAAACCGTGCCTGAGGCAGAATTTGAGCCCGCAGCCCCAGGTGAGAGTGAGGTTCAGTCAACGCAAACAGAGGAGACTTATAAACAAGACGAAACATCCCTCCAGGTTTCCTCAAAAGTTGACGGGTCAGCTCCTGAAGCTACAACTTCGGCCACCGACTCTACTGTAGTTACTTCAGCAGAAACACATCAGGAAGTCGTCACAGAAGAATCGTGGGAAGTGCAACCAAAAAAGACTGGCAAAAAGAGTAAAAAGGACCCCAAGTCCATGACGTCTCTGCACGAACCTCAAATGGAGCCCGAGGCCAAGGCCAAACCAGAAGAGTCCGTCGTGGAAGATGCTGCTGAAACCCCGCTTCCTCAAATTAGCGGTGAGGTGCATCCCACAGATGACAGAGAGGTTCTCAACAAGCAATTCTCTGGAGCAGGGGAGGTTGAAGCCACACCCCTAACAGCAGAAAATGAGTCAAATCCTGTGGAGAACGGCGAAGCCAATGACGTTGTACCACATGTATCGGACCAAGCGCCAAAATCTCTGTCTGGGCCTGACGTAGGAGAAACCGCATCGACAAAGAAGAGCAAGAAAAAGAAGTCGAAGAAACAGAGCACCTCATCTATTGCTAATGACAGTTCGATAACTGCTGAGTCTTCTCTGGACAACAGCACTGTGAGTTTGGATGCGACTGCGCCCCCTCTCCATGAAGAAACAGCTACCGAGGAACCCCAGGAATTTAAGGAAGAGGAATTAATTGAAAGCGAGCCACCAGCTCCACAGGACAGAGTGTCACCAGAACCAGCACTCATAATGACCGCTACTCAAAAGAAGAAGGCAAGGAAAGAGAAGAAGAAACAGCGCCAACCTTCTTCCCTAGACAAGACAGTGATTCCCACTCCACCATCTGAAAAAACATCGACCGATGGACCTAAAGAGGATCTCCCGCATTCTACAACAGAAGTACCAATTGCTCAAGAACCAGAGAAGACTCAAATAACAGCAGATGCAGAACACGAGGAAGAGCAGTCAAAGGAGGAGGCGACAGTAGCAACGGAATCTAGCATCGCAGCAGAAAAACCTGTCGGTCATGGAGAGCCTGAGCAGCAAGGAGCCGGAGATATCATCGAAGATACTACTGCCGTGGATGAGCAACCTGGAGTTGAGTCTGAGCGTGAACAACCAGCAGATGAAACGTCTCACGGGGTGAGCACTACTTCTATTCCCGAGGAGCCGCTGGAGATCGATACCCAGCTGGTTCATGAGGGGCTCAAAGACGTAACGACTCAGGAACCATTGCAAGAGCCAGTGCAGGAGCAGTCAATACAGGAGCCGACCCAAGTCACAACCCCAGATGATCCGGTTAATACCGAAGAAATGCCAGAAAAGCAACCAGACGAGGAACGTACAACTGCTGAAGATTCTGCGCAACACCCACTCGAAGAGTCCAAACCTGATGCTTCTGCAAAGTCCAAGAAACAGAAAAAGAAAAAGAAGAAAAGGCAATCTGAACAGACTACTCCTGCAACAGAAGGAGCCTCTGAATCACCCTCTGCGAATGTAGAGTTTTTTGAAGCATCTGAGGACCAACGTGACTGGGTGACACACAAGCACCTGAAGAACGTCTGTGATACACAAGCACCTGGAGAACGAACAGTTCCAGAAGAACCGATCCAGGAGCCATTGCTAGAAGCAGAGCAGACAGCAGAACCAGCAGAACCAGCAGAACCAGCAGAACCAGCAGAACCAGCAGAACCAGCAGAACCAGCAGAACCAGCAGAACCAGCAGAACCAGCAGAACCAGCAGAACCAGCAGAACCAGCAGAACCAGCAGAACCAGCAGAAGCAATAGAGCCAACAGGACCAGTGGAGCTAGCGGAAGCACCTCAAAGCGTAACTTCCAAAAAGAAGGCTAAGAAAAAGAAAAAGCGCCAATCTCTTTCAATAGACGAAGTTCAATCCCTCGTTGCGACCGAGTCTACCGAAATTTCTTCTGTTGATCCTCTGAACGCCGAACATATCCCGGAATCTATACAGAGCCCGTCTATTGCGGATGCGGCAAACTTTGAGAAACAAGTAATTCCTGTGCAAGAAGAGAAGGAAGAGGAGGCAAAACATGCGGAGGCTACGGAGACAACTGAGACTTTAGAGGCTGCAGAAGAACCACAAATAACCGTTTCCAAAAAGGCAAAGAAGAAACGCAAGTCGGTTACTTTTGCGGCAGAGGATTCATCAGCGCAATTCTCTGAACAGCCACTCGAACTAAAAGAAGTGAATTCTACGGACTCTTCACAACAACTAGATGAGCAAAAGAATGAGGGCACACAGACATGTGTAAACCAGGAAAGCCGTGTTGGTATATCTTTCGATGAAGTTCAGCATTCGGAATCGCTGCCTGCTAAGCCTTCCCAAGACACTCTCAGTTCTGCACTTGACATAGACACCAAGCCCACAGATGAATCCGATCTACAGGAGGACGAGCTCACCCGGCTACAACCTGAAGTTTTAACTGAAGAGCCAAGAGATACCACAGAGGCTTCTCAATCCCTAGTTCAGTCTCCTAAGGAAGAGAAAGAACCCGAAGTGGAGAACCTAGCTGTTGCAGCAAAGGATGATACTCTCAGTGATACTCCTGAATCATTCAAACAGGTGGAAGAGCCAAGCCAAAACACTCAAAATCCCGAAGAATTTCAGAAAGAAGCCGGCTGTGAAATTACTGTTGAGCCTGATACGTCCGAAATACGGCCTCAAGTTGTCAATTACACCGGCGAACAGGAGGCAGGCCCTTTAGAATTCAAAAATGAGAAGCCCGAAGCCCCAAGATCAAATGAAGAGGTGGCCATGCACAAATCTGAGCCCGTCCATAAGAAAGCTACTGGAGATGCACTTAATACTACGGCACCCGAAATAAAGGATTCTGAAGAGACCACGACTCAGTCCGAAAAGTCAAAGGATGAAGGAAATGCAGTTCTGTCAGCAAAAGAGAAGAGAAAGGCAAAAAAGAAGGAGAAAAAACGCCAATCCCAAAATCTAAATATTGGACATGGTACCTCAATCATAACAGAAACGGCTCCAAATTCATTGGAACGAACGCTTCGTGATTCCTCGGCACCAGAGGGGACCACTTCTACTGAGAATGTCCCCCACGCTACAAACGAAGCCGAAACGCCTGCCAATGCTAAATCTCCGGGCCTATCACTCGAGACGGAAGTTGCACCTGCTGAAGATGACGGTAAAGACAATCAGTCCCACGACACCGGAATACACGGCATGAACGATAAAGATCTGATTTGGACTGATGACATAGTATCTTCGCAGGTAGAGCAACGGCAAACGACTTTATCCGCCTATCCTCCCCTACCCGTATCTGAACATGGAGAAAATCCATTAGCTGCTATCTCTGGCCAGGAAGAAAGAACAATTGGTCAAGTTGCTGTGGGGGGAGAAAGCCAGTTGCAAACTGTCAACGAGCCAGGGGAATCTAGCGAGGCAGACAAGGAACCGATCACAACGCCCGCCGAAAGCATTGAGGAAGTATGTGATGATGTGGCAAGTGTGACGGCGCCAATGCAGGAAGGAGATGAAGCGATGAGCGAGCGCGTACGTGCGATGTCCGAAGATGAAGAGAAGTTGGAAATGCCAGAACCGGTTTCGACAATTGAGGAACTCGCCAGGGGTGATGGGGAGAATACGGCCGAAACTCCATCCAGCAGGGATTTAATTAATGCTCTACCGTTGGAAGGTGAAGAAAATCTACCAGATTCCATCAAAAGAAACGCAATGGGTGAGCTGCCAGAGGAAAGTGAAGAAGTCATACCGGACACCGAAGAGTTTGGATTGGCAGCACTGTCAAGTAAAATGAGTAAGAAGGGACGGAAGAAGCTTCGAAAGGCGCAAAAGGCTGTACGTCTTTCTCAGAATCAAGGTCTGGAGGATTCTTCCGAAAGTAAAGGTGAGGAAACGCACCCAGCTGCTTCGGAGCAGCCAACAGACTCCACAACTCATACGGCCAATCAAGAAACGCTTGTAGCGCCTGAGGACTCCGTGCAGGAAGCAAAAGAAGATCTTGAGTCGCAGGAGTCTATTGCACAGCTTCCTGTTTCAACGGTGGACGAAAATGAAGTGGAAACAACTGTAAAAGGGCCTTACGAGACCAACACAAGCGAAGCTTCTTTAGGCTCAAACATACCTATTGCCACTGAAGACCCTCGTGCAGATACTGTAGGAGAGACTTTAGCCCCGGGGATTACAGAAAGAGACAAAAGCAGCAAGGATGAGATCGAAATTGAGAAATCTAGTCTTAGCACCTCGAAATGGAAGGATGAGGCCATGCAAGAAGAAAAGACGAAGGGGCTTCTCGGATTAGAAGAATTGCCGGCAACAATTGACGTCGCCATTGACAGTGGAGAACCCATAGATAAAGAACGATCTGCCGAAAGTTCGCAACCACCAGAGGTAGCTCATGGGCCGCTTTCCAAGAACAAAGAATTCTCTGAGGGCGATTTGCGGCCTGCGCTTGAAGAGGTTCTTAGTCAGAAGACCCAAGACGTGAGCCAAGAAACTCACGAAAAAGCCTCTTCGGAGCCATTAAGTCGCAAAGAGTCTAAGGGAAAGAAGAAAGCAAAGAAGAATGTCAAAAGACAGTCGGATGCGTCTCCTGGTCCTGATCCTACCGAGGTTGAGATCAGGCAAGATATCATTGCGGACCTCGCTCCAGAAGCAGACTTTGCATCCGGTCTGCCTGCTGAAGAATCAAAATGGTCACCTGGAGACGTGCATTCAACCATCGAACATATAAACGCCGAACACGCCGAATCATATCCAATTATGGACCCATTAGTACGTAAGGATACAGATCAGCTGGCGTCTATGGACAATCCTAGCCAGAGCAGTCAGGAAATACTTGAAGAGAAGCAAGAGGAGCCGAGAGCAGACGAGGAGATGGCAATAGCCGAGGACTCTGTCGGCGGCGACCTCGTAGAGCTCGATGCTACAGTCCCAGTGTCAAGAAAGCAGTCGAGAAAAGAAAAGAAGAAGGCCAAAAAGAAGGGGAAGCAAGAGACCATCCAGGTAGCACAGGAGCCAGAGCCAGAGTCAACCCTGGAGTTGTCCAAAGACCATACCGAAGACCAGCATTCTGCCACAAAAGAGCCAATGGAGGACTCGAGACTACAGATAGTTGAGGGGGCCAGGATGGATGAGGGTCATCTTTCAAGGGCATCTTTCCAAGAGGAGGCGATGAAAGAGGATGGCGAAGATGTTAAAGCTATGGATGTTGAAGCTCCTACTGAGCCGAGGATCTCCTCCGAAGAGCCATTTTATGCACAAGAGGAACCCATGGCCTTGGGAGGAAAACGTTATTCCCATGGTGGTGACTCTTTGCCTTCAATAGATTGGGAGAAAGGTAAGATCGACTCCAACGGACCATCTCCCCAGTCATCGCCTGAGGCTTGCCCAGTCCCATTTGAGCCAGGCATTGCTGAATTCGATGAATCTGCTATTCCAGAAGGTCTAACGATACGAATAGACAAGCTGGCTGCTGAAAGGAAGGCATTGGAAAGCGCCATGACAGACAAATCTACTCTGGAGATTCCACAAAATGTGTCGGGGGCTTTGGATTCCAGTGTCGAGCCACCCGCGGAAGCAACCAGGCAGGTGGAACATGAACCATATCTAGACCCTGCTCTTCATGTCGTGCATGAGACTGAGAGCGCCAAACCTCCAAGGCGAAGAGATGACAAGCTCGATGGGTTGTCGCACAAGCAAAGTAAAGTTGCCAGCGTGTTCCCCAACCTCGCGCGGGGATCATTTCGACTCCCCGTTCCAGTTCAATCGACCCAGTCGGTAAAAGATGGGGCCGAGGATGAGACTCTTGATCATCAAGAGGTCTCGGAGGCGCCCATTCCCACTGCTGACAGTCAGGTTAGCAGGCTCTCGCAGGAAGATACTGGCTTCCAAGGAGAACAAATTACATCTACGAACCGCAATCTATCAGAGGAGACTACTGCAAATTATTCTCAATCAATTCACCCTGAGGGTATTCCTGTTGATGCCGGAGCAGAAGACGTAAACAACCAGCCGAAAGAGCGCTCTCGCTCCGTCGGGCCACAATCGGAGAATGAAAAAAATCTCAGGGCCATGGAATCCAACCAGGCCGAGCAAGTCATTCCAGAGCTGTTCACTGGCAACGAGACCCCTTCGTTATATGCACCGAAACCCATACATAAGCGAGCCTCTACTCTTTACCGTGCCACTAATATGGACCGGCCGTCAAGCCCTGACTCCTACGGGCTTCGACACAACCCATCAATTCACGGACGGCATAATCACCCTCTGCAGCCATGGTCTCTAGAAGACCCTGCACCGATCGCACAGCCAAGAACGTTGTCACCGTTAGGTTTCGTTGATGGACAGCAGTCGGGGCCTAGCAAGGAGGCAGTTTCACCGCCACGAACACCGTTACAGACGATTACGGAAGATGGTCCAAGAGACCGTGGATCTGGAACCCGCGGCACGCCATGTCTGGAGATGAAACCAGAACATATACTCCCACGTCCCGAGACGCCCGTAAGGAAGTTCACCGACAACGCGTTAGCGCGCCAATCTTGGCCGACGCCTGAGCGAGACCATATCGCAGACGAAGATGAGGATATCGGATTGAAAAAGCATCGACGCACAGTGGACAGCAAATGGCCGATGGAAATCCAGACACCTGAACAAGGGATGCCGATCCTGAGACCGACGGGCAGCGCGAGCAGCATCCGAAGTTTACAGAGCGTGCAGAGCGCCCGATCGCTGCGCCGAATGGGACGCTCGACAAGTGGTGATTTGCGGGCGGCAGCGGCCAGCCAACCACCCGGTTCCCAGCCTCCTCCTCATTCCCCTCTTCCCACCGATCTGAACATCGAGCGCATTGCTTCCTCCTCTTCCTACGACCCCGTCACGGACAAGGGCAAACGCCCCCTACGAGCCATGACGGATGTCTATGTAAGTTGATAATTTTGGGATTCCCCTATTCTGCATCCCCCGCTCTCTGCTGACGGTTTGTTTGTTGTCATTAGGAGGGTTGGGGGGAGACGCCAAGCTCACCCCGGTCGCCTAGCCGACCACCCAGTATCCGCCATCGCCGCAGTATGCAACACCTCCAAGAACTGGAATCTCGTCTCGACCAACTCATCTCTGAAAATCGTCTTCTCATCGCCTCGCGGGACGCCGCGGAGGAAAAATTACGGAGCACCAGCGTTGCCCGACGCAAGAGCGACCATGCCCTTAATACTAGCGACGCCAACTTGCGGGACAGGGAAGCGGAAGTAGAACAACTCAAGAGCTCGGTGGACTGGCTCCAGAAAGAAGTGGCCCGATTGACCGAAGAAAACGAAGGTCTAACCACCGCGAATTCTAACTTGACTGTCGCCCATGCAACCGCAATCCAAACGGTGCGCGAATCATCCACCCGCGAACTTAATGACTTGCGCCTACAAAACCACCAGCTGGCGTCGAACGTGCAAGACCAGATACGACAAGAGGTAGACGCCGCGTTGTCTCAGAAAAATCTAGAACTGCGCCGGCTACGGGAGGAACTTGAGAACGCTCGAGACAAAGTGAAAGAGCTGCAGCAGCAAATCACAACTTCGATGAACGACAACGTCCTCGTCTTCCGCGACGAGGACTATTTCGATGCTGCCTGTCAGAAGTTATGTGGCCATGTGCAGCAGTGGGTGTTACGATTCTCCAAACACTCCGACCACCATCGTTGCCGCAAACTGGGCGACCTACAGGATGAGAAGGTCGCCGACCGGTTTGACAACGCTATTCTAGATGGCTCCGATGCCGACACGTACCTTGCGGATCGGGTCCATCGACGTGACGTATTCATGTCGGTTGTGATGACAATGGTGTGGGAGTACATCTTCACGCGGTATCTATTTGGTATGGACCGCGAACAGCGGCAAAAGCTCAAGTCCCTCGAGAAACAACTGGCCGAGGTAGGCCAGCGCAACGCCATCCATCGATGGCGTGCCACTACCTTGACCATGCTGTCGAAGCGTCCCACTTTCTCCCGCCAACGCGACGCCGACACCGAAGCCGTTGCATTGGAGATTTTCGAAACCCTGTCGCGCCTCCTACCGCCACCCACCCACGTTGAATCTCAGCTCCTCGACTCTCTGCGCAGGGTGCTCCGGGTTGCAGTCAGCCTGTCGGTAGAGATGCGTACACAGCTAGCGGAATACATTATGCTGCCTCCGCTGCAGCCCGAATACGACACCAATGGCGACCTTGCCCGTCAAGTCCACTTTAATGCATCACTTATGAACGAGCGCAGCGGCGAGACCACTTCGAATGAAGAGCTGGAATTACAACAGGCAGTGGTTCGGGTTGTCCTGTTCCCACTGGTGGTGAAGAAGGGCAATGATATGGGCGAGGGAGAGGACGAAGTGGTCGTCTGCCCGGCTCAGGTGCTTGTTGCACGCCCTTTCAAAGATAAAAGGGTGGTGAAAATGCTCAGTGGCGACCGTATGTCCTTCGATGCCAACAAATCCGTTCACAGTGTGGCTCCGTCATCCACTATGGACATGAGTAACGTGATCTGAGGCGTCACACTCGGTCAGTGCGTGTCTGTGGATCCACACTGACAGCTGTTGTTGGCTCTTTTTTAAAAGAAAGAAAACAAAAAGAAAACTAAATAAGACACAAACCAGCGATATTATTTTCCTTGCTGCGATGGTCAAAGCAATGGCAAAATTCCGATCGGGTAAATAGTACAAGGGTAATGAATAATTCTCGAAGGGGGTGGTTTAAACTATATCTTTCCTGTTTCTCTCGACAATGATAATGATGATGATGCCAATATCTCCCTTAGAACTGATGATATAACGGCTCTCCTTTTCTTCCTTTTTTTGACTGAACTATGTACATGTTTTTCTTTTTTCTCTACCATTTTTGGAGGAATGGCGTGGAAAGGCTGTCAATGATTTCTCTCCTTGTATGTAGATGTATCTATATATATTATTTTATTTGATCAAAGCCCCTTCTCTCTCTCTCTCTCTATATATGTATACTTGTGCTAACTTCTGGCTTGGGCTGATGCTGACCTCAGCTGGTGCCTCAGGCCCCCACCACACATGACCCGTCCACTCCGCCGGCACTTTGATCGTTGCATCATCCAGTCCAAGGTTGACGGACTTGACTGGATTTCTGCAGCTGTCCATCCGCTTGCTTCCTCACTAACTTGGCTTCCTTTACGGTATATTCTTCCATGTATCTTGTTGGTGCCTTCATGCTCAATCACAACCTGGCACACGCATTGTTCAAGCCAGTTGCAATTCCCCCACCCTGCGTCTCCATGAGCTGTCCATGACCATGCTAAAGTCGGCTATTTTCAACCTCCTGCAGCTACCTGAACCCTAGGATCATCCCCCGTCTTCCTGGTTCCCTTTTTCTATTTTTCTTTGGGCAGTCACCAGCAAGCAGAGTGCTTGGATTGTGGAACAAGCTATTTGGACCCCTTTCCAACCACCAATCACTGTGCATGTTATCAACTCTGCATATACAAATCACAGATAGAGAAATATGCTACGCTCTCCGTCTTCTTCACATCAAATTCCCTCGACCTCTGGGAGATCCTCTCCATCCAATGGTCACTCTACGAGGTCACGGCCTTCAACTATCCGTGGCTCAGCCAACTACGGGAATGGGAATCCGGAGAGGAAACAGGATATGGAAACGGAGCCCACTTTGAACCCGGCCAAACCCCCCAGGCGAAAGAAAAACCGTCATCGGAAGCGTCGTAATCGCCGACCGTCCTTTCTTGGTGTCGAAGAACCTCATCCGGTGCCAGCTCCAACTTCAGTTCCCGAAGCGGAGGGTTTTGCTACGATGGAACCGGATCAGACAAAACCCCGGCCAGCGCTTCCGTTTTACAAACTCGGTAGAGATTTGAGTAGCACAAGTCTTGAGAGTGAGGCTCTGCTGGATCATCGGTACGTCTCTTGAATTCATGCTGTTCAATTTAATGGGGCTGCGTGACTAATTCAGAGCCTGGGGCAACAGGGATCAGCCTTCGATGCGACCTCGCAGAGAGAGTCGACTGGCCCAGTCTTTTCGTCCTGGATCTTTGTTGTCGTCCATCCGCCCTAGCGATACAGGCTCCCGTATTCCTCCCTCAAGCACTCTTCGCCGAGCAGAAGACAGTGACGGCGTTGAGGGGGTCGATGATCGAACTCCATTGATAAGGCCTTCCTCGGGTTACAGGCCTAGTCAGTCCCGTTATGGGACAGAGTCGAAATCGAGTCCGTTGTCTCTTAGTCGGCGGCGGACATCGGTGGATACGAGTTCATCCCGGTGCTCACCCCGGGCCATTGCGAGTCCATCATTCCCGGAGCCGGATCGTGACTATGACATCAATAACCCCCCGTCAATACCAACTACCCCGAAGCTGGGGCCAGATATGGGGTACGATGATGCGATGGTGACAGGAACCGAGTTCGACTTCTCCCTAGCCAAATCCATTGATCACCGGGGTCGATCCCGTGACATAGTCATTGATGTGGATGATACCGGTCGGAATAGACCATCTTCCCCGTCGTCTCTCTCGCCACGTCAGACTCCCCATGAAGGACTGCGCCGTCGACGAACCCTTCCTGTTGAAGAAGACGTTTGCTTCCCTACCGAGGAAGTGTCAGAGTTGGCGGAGGAAGATGTACCGAGGCTACATCGGGGGGATGAGCGTCGAAGGCGACGGCAGAGAGAATGGCCGGATCTATCAGTTCTAGAGGAATGGAGTCGCGAGGAGAAAGAGGAACGCACAGGTGACTTCAGAACAAAAAAAATCAGCGAGCCTATGCTTATCGAGGGCCGTCTGCGCCCCCAGTACCGACTCTGGAAGCGCGAGGAGGACGAAGTTCCGTACCGTTTCACCTACTTTAACGAGGAGTTCCAGAGTACAATACACGCCCAGACCATCTCCGAGCTGGTGCAACCGGGAGGTAGCTTCCGAGAACTTTTCATCCCCGACCCACCGGAACTGGAAGACTCTTCCGATGAGGAAGATAGAGAATCCGACAATCACGCTGGAGGAAGCACCACTGGAAATAGTGGTGCTACTAATAGCGAAGGAGACCGAGCAGCGGCCACCAATGACAACAACCACGAGAATTTGACCGATCGTAAGCAGCGGCCTCGGCCATCTGTCATCAGCGAGGTCGTATCGGAAGCTCGTACTTCGGCAGATGCGTCTCCTTCGCGACGACTGCTGCCGCTTTCCAAACCAAAGCGCTATGGTCCTCGGCCAACATTTTGGCTTGATGTTCTTTCTCCAACGGACGCAGAAATGCGGGTGATTGCCAAGGCGTTCGGGATCCACGCTCTCACGGCTGAAGATATCATGATGCAGGAAGCGCGTGAAAAAGTTGAATTGTTCCGGAACTATTACTTTGTCAACTACCGCACGTTTGAACAGGATGTTAACAGTGAGAATTATCTTCAGCCGGTGAATATGTACGTGGTTGTGTTCCGGGATGGGATCATTTCTTTCCACTTCTCCCAGACACCCCACCCGGCGAATGTACGGCGGCGGATCCGACAGTTAATGGATTATTTGATTCTCAGCTCCGACTGGATCTCATATGCTCTGATTGACGATATCACCGACGTGTTTGGGCCGTTAATTCAGTCCATCGAAGACGAGGTCGATGAGATCGACGAGATGATCATGAAGATGCATTCACCGGAGCACGGGGTTGAGGCCGGTAATAAGGAAGCCACTAGCGATAATAGTTCGGAAACCATTGCCCCCGGTGAAATGCTGCGACGAGTAGGGGTGTGCCGGAAGAAAGTAATGGGGATGTATCGGTTGCTGAGCAATAAAGCAGATGTTGTAAAGGGCTTTGCGAAGCGGTGCAACGAACAGTGGGAAGTCGCCCCTAAATCGGAGATTGGTCTCTACTTGGGTGATATCCAGGATCACATCATGACGATGACTAGCAGCTTGACCTACTACGAAACGTACGTTCGACACGAACGGACTTGATATCTAGCCCTCCGCTAACTAATCTCTAGTCTTCTATCACGCGCGCACTCTAACTACCTGGCACAGATTAACATTCTCATGAATGAGCGTCAGGAACAGACGGCGGATGTGCTGGGGAAGTTGACGGTTCTTGGAACCATTGTACTGCCGCTGAACATCATCTGCGGCATGTGGGGGATGAACGTCAAGGTTCCAGGCCAGGAAGTGGACAGTTTGTGGTGGTTTTGGTCCAGTAAGTTGTTCTCTTTATTATGTTGATGGGTATCAGATTAACGGGGGATGTAGTTACGGCCGGGTTGGTGCTTTTCGCCATTGCGTCGGTTCTGATTGCGAAACGAGTCTACAAGATTGTATAAATTACTGTGGGTCATGGCTGCGCGCCTACAACAATGATTATTACGACGATTATATACCCCCCACCCCCCAAATCTCTTTTTGATGCTTGGATTTGCTTCGTGTGTGTTGGAAGCGATTCGATTTATTTGGGACGGAAAGGACAGCTTGGTTATCATTATGATGTTCATAGCTTGGATATTGCTTTTTGGCTAGTATATTGCGGGCATTGGGATTTTTGGAATTGGGGTTCTACATGGGACTTAAAAATGAACTAGATAGAGCAATGAATATTTTTCCGACTGGAATCCTAAAGTAGGAGAAGGAGCATGGATGAGGTCACCATGATGCTGCGTACGGAGGGTATCACTGTGACCAGGGCTACCCACCGTTTCGGCAGGTAATATTACGCAGACCGTTACGGATGGTATCCTCGGACCGTTCCTTCAAGGCATGCATTCTCTCTCGCTAATTTCTCATCACCACCTTCTTCTTCATCGTCTTCTCCTTCCTCCTCCACTTCGCTCGCTGCCATCCATCCGACCCCCCATATAATCGCTATTCGCTCCCTGTTTTGGCAGCTCTGCATCATCTTTCTGTTTCCAGAGTTTGTTGCCTGAGCCAGCGAGAGGCCCGACATCCCACCCAACTGTGCGCCCCAGATCGTGCTGGGCCTCCTTGACGTGGGCCGCTATCATTGGGTCTTGGACTCCCCTCCCCTGAGCACTACTGGTAAACTACGAGATGCTACTTCGACTTGACCGCCGTTGACAGTCGAATCCTCCGTCTAATCCCCTTCTGGTTTTGATTTCTTGATACTTTCCTTGTGTCTGGCTCTTGCCTCTTGGAGACTTGGGAGTACCCGCGCCGCCAATTGTTCCCCGGACAAGTATTAGCTACTAGTTCCGTTACCCCTACGACCGTCGTACAATCGCGTTCGGATCGACAGCACTCCTCCCGGTTGGCTAATCGGTGTTGGGCGTGTGTGTTCTAGACGTTCCATCTTGCGCGTCTTGTCTTCTGATCAAGTTATGTCCACCATTGTGTCCGTCTCTCTGGCTTCGGTCAACCTGGATTCTTGTTCGGATCCCTGAGCGCTACGGTCAATTCAATTCACTCTGTTTGTCTCCTCCTGCAGACCGTTTCTTCCCATCGTCTCCTCCCTTGATATCTTTCCAGCATGTGGCTGTCGTCTATTCGCTCTCTGAATCTCTCATCTGTGTAACGTTGTGCAACGGATGATCCTCTTTTTTTTTTTTTGTTGGTCCCAACTGTCCAGGATTCTCTTGACGGCCTATTTTCTTCCCTTTTTCCCCTGCTTCCTTCTGGCCTGGCCCTCTGGTGTTCTTCTCCGCCTTATCTTTTCCTTCCCTTTTTTTTTTTTTTTTTTTTTTTTTTTTTTTTTTAATTGGGCAACTAGGGACTGTCCCTCTCATTCTTTCATTCTGGTTCCCTCTCGGATCTCCTGACTTCTCCTTTAAGTCCGGTCAGCGAGACCTGACTCGACCGAGACCATGGCAGCGGAGTCCGAGAGGTCGCCTTACTCCAATGGTCATTCTGTTGGATCCAAAATGGCCCTTAACGATGAGGTTGCCTCGCCTGCATCCCGGCGATCTGCTAATGACAGTGACATGAGAGAGTTGCCACGTTCGACCGTCAACCCCCAGATACAAGCCACCATCTCATCTCAGTTGCCTAAATTATCCCCTGGCGTTTCCACGCCCGCTTCAACCACAAATTCGACTTTCTCATCCCGCGAATCCTCCCCCGTTCGCTCCACACGTCGCCCACAGAGCTCAACCTCAAAATCCCGTGTCTCCTCGCGTTCACGTAAAGGCAGCCTAAATCAAAGTCCAGCTCGGTCCGTCCCAGCTCAAGACCCTGGCCCGGGCGCTCCTCCCTCTGAGGCTGCTATACAAAAGGCGCTTTCTAAGCCCCTTGCCCTTAATCCTTCTCCCAATGTCGAACCGCCTGCCGATGTTCTCGATCCTGAAAACCCCAACATGTCTTTATGGACCGCCTCCCGGCGATCAGAGCAAGAAATATATCTTGCCAATACCTCGAGCAAGCGATCAATGGCCCTACCTGATGATCCGGCTGCCAAACCAGATCGAAGTGCACCTCGCGCCGTGAACCGAAATGGGTCCGTCTCCGCACTTGAAACCGTTCAGGAAATGGCTAGTGACCAATCAACTCCGTCAACGGACACTATATTAAATCAACCTCCCTCGGATGAGTCCCGACTACAAAGAATTGATGAAGACCCCACCCCGAAGGCCGCCAAGCAGACTGTTGAGAGTGGCAGCGAGAGTGGGGGGAACAAAAGCTCGGAGCCTATGGGAGAGAACCGCCGGCGTACATCATCTGGACCTAAAGGGCCTGATACTATCATTCCAAAACGGTCGACTACCTCTCTGAGTGGCGCTCGTAGCAAACCGGCGGATGGATCTGTTCGCAACATGATCGTCGAGACCGAAACTGTCAGCTCCATCCCCCAAGTCTCCTTGGGCGTGGTGACGGGGGACCGAGGTAGTTCGAGCCGTGTCGATCCGGGTACTCTCCGAATGAAGCTCAGCACTGAAACAATTCGCCCCAAGAAGGAAAAAAGAAGGGCTCGCAAACCGGCCGCTCTAACGAGTGGGGCAGCGTCATCCAAAGCCGACATTTTTGAAGCGAAAGTCGCCAGCGCTGTCGATGAAGCCGATGTGTCTGACTCAGATGAAACGTTTGTTTACGAGTCCAACCCTCCGGATCCATACCCTGCCCGGCAGAATCGGTATCATTCTCGTACCCCTAGCGCAACGTCTATGGCGAGTCAAGTCGACCAGCTGGCGGGTCGGAGTCGTCCAGGTATGAGAGAAGGGAACCACAGCGTTACCGGGAAACGGAGCATGAAATTCACCAACAATGTTTACGCGGATGGAGATGCTGGCGAGGAAAGCGGCCGCAGTCACTCCAGAATTGATGGCAGTGGAGCTCATACCTCTCGTCACCACCATATTGGACGATTTGGACGGAACAATATACATCCGTCTCTCTTTGATAGCGATTCACCGTTTCCTCAATCCCACACCCACAACAAATCCCCTCGCCACTATATGGGAAGCGGCTTGCGACAGCCGAGGCATGCCAACTCCCGCACAGCTCTCAACCATCGTTCAATCAACAGCGCCAAAAAGGCAGGAGAGATTTACGGCTACGATTTCGACGCCGAAGGTGCCGATGATGAACGGACCCCCTTGATAGGGTCTCCCCGCTTAGCGCGGAGCCGTCATGGTAACCGACGACCCAACAGTACCAGTCTGCGTCAGATGGAATACATGCAGCAACGTCGACGAAACTGTTTCTCGCGGTACGGCGCATGTGTCATTATCAGTCTCTTACTTTTGGTGGTAATCGGAGGCGCTACCTCGTTTATTGTTGCTGTTACCAAGTCGCTTCTCGACGTTCAGATCCTCGCCATTCAAAACGTGCTCGCATCTGAGCAGGAAATCATGCTTGACCTCAGTGTGCAAGCGGCTAACCCAAATCTTTTCCCTGTGGTTGTCGACGACGTGGACATTAACATCTTTGCCAAAAGTCGTTATGTGGGCACGGACAAATTGTGGCGTGATCACGTCTCGGAGTCGACTCATTTTCCTCGGGTTGAAGGTAGTAGGAAGCGAGCTGAGCTGACTCGCCTGGCACGCTGTACAGGTGGTACAGCAGATTGTTTGACTAATGAACTTCCTTCCAATCAATCAGTGTCCATCCGCGATGATGTTGACAAGGGAACCGATCCCATCCCAACAGATCCAGCAGGGGATCCCCAAACAATGCTGTTGGGCCGTGTATTCCACTTTGACTCTCCTTTGACCTTCGAGCCTTCTCCCTGGAACCATCTAATATCCGTCTCGAAAGGGCAGATTCGCCTCGCCCGGCCAGGGAATAAGACGGAAGAAGGCGGCACGGAACGGTGGGAGCGCGTTCTACAGCATCAGTTCGATTTGATTGTGCGCGGGGTCGTCAAGTACCAGCTTCCTTTGACTTCGAAACTTCATTCGGCATCTGTCAGCTCTACTGTCAAAGTAACACCGGATGGCGATGGCGATGGCGATGATGATAACTCGGGGGATGGTGATCCGAACCGAACTCCTGGCAGGAACGAAACAGCTAGGATTTCTTTGACGAGACTCTATCGCCGCAAAATCTCAGCCCCTGATCAATCGGTTGTCGGACGCTCAAGAATAGAATCTGCACGAGAAACGCTTAGAAGGGGCGGACGAGCCTTCGCAGCTTGACAGGAGATCTCAGCCACCGTCCTTGACTGAATTCCGAATTGTATCTTTGCCCTTTCTTTTTTGGTAGTACTCTTTGACTCGATCTTTTCCTTGCGTCTGCCCCTTAATTTCCATTCGCGACACTTACCCTTGCACATTATTTTCCCGTCATTGTCCAGACGTTTGGATAGTGCGGTTGTATACTGAAAATTGTTATATTATCTTTATTTATGTTTTTTCTATGTGATTCTCATTTGGATCTTTCTCACGCCTAGTGAGGGTTAGTCATCCAAGATCACACAACAGCCATTCCTTTTGAGATATCACCTCATTTTTAATTTTCTCTGTCCTTTTTTTTCCCTCTTGGAGCAAAATTTCTTCTGAATGACGTGACGAAAATTTGATATATTTCTCATGAAACAGCAGCAAAAGACATGGAGAAACGGCACATTAAATGAGAATTGGTTATGTATGCATCAGCATGGCGCTTATTATACAAGTTTTTTGGGGGTGCTCGAAGGATTTTGATTTGCGTCGTTCTGAAAATTGTTTGTTTAGACACAGCACTGGAAACAAGAGGCAGCAAATGACCCTAATGGACGATTGATTGTTCTACATCATCTCAGGAGTTTTTTGTATTATGCCTTGCTGGATTGACTCCATACTTTTCTTTATGTATCTCTCTGTACATAATTTACATCCATTATCAGTGGACAGGATGTGCTACTCTATATTTATTTTATATTAGACATATTTCTGCCTTTCCTATCACTTTTGTCTAGAATTATTGCATTATGTATAGAAAGAATACATTCAGTTCAATATATTGACTAATGTACTAATATTAACTTGGGTCGTATCACGTCCATCATCAAAACACAAATCATAACCAAGAAATTATTCCTAACATATCCAACAGCATATCGTGAAATCATAAATCTTGTAAATACAGAACCAAAAAGACAGAAAACCACCCGTAAAAGTGACGATAGATTGATTACCTTCAAAAAGAGAAACAAATTAGGCATAATCTCTACCAAATCTCTTAAGCATATCTTCAAAATGATCTGCTAATGGATCATCTCCACGCTGGGGTAGAATTCGACCTTGAGAATCAAAGCGATTGGGTAGCTCGATTGTTGAATCAGAGTCGGGTTCTTGTTCATGTTCATGCTCACGACTGCTGGATTGCATTTTCTCTCCTGTGGAGCCATGTTCCCGGCTTGGTCTGGGCCCGGGTCTTAAGGGATGAGGTGCAGAAGAGGAATGACGGCGACGATGGAAACTACGGCGGCGTTGGCGATGACTACTCCCACTTGACGAGTCAATGGTCGAATCGCTATCATCTGATTCGTAGCCAGGATCTATCGGACGGCCGCGTCCAGGAGGACTAAGATTAAAGGCAACTGATTTGGGCTGGTCTGGCTTGCTGGTGGTACGCGACCTCCGTTTTTCTGCACGTGGAGTCCTCGATGGAGAATACGGCTTTAGACCTGAACAACCGGGGTTAGCCATACGCTGGACTGATCGGTGCTCTTCCCTGAACCCACCATCGCATGTGTATTGGGCAGTAGAAGGGGGAGAGTTCCATGTAGCACTCACATTCTCATCTGCCCTTCGTGGTCGAGGGGCGTACGGCTCTGGTCCCGGTGGAGTCGGATAATTGTACGGTTGGGAAGATGGAACGGCACCAGGAGGGGGATAGTCGGCTTGATTGTATGGGGTAGCATACTCAGCCTGCCGGGGTGCTGGACCCGGTGGTGGAGGGAAAAAGTTGCTGTTAGGGTAGTATTGATTTTCTATCTGCTGGGGTGCAGCTGAAGAAGGGGAGTACGCCTCATCATACGGGTCCCGCCCATCATATTCTAATTTTTCCACATGTATCAGTACTGATCTTGGAAATAATATGGTTGAGAGGGAAGAGGTATACTCTGTCTATCCCTATCCTGCTCCGCTTTTTTGCGATCCTTATGCTGCGAGTACTTGTGAGCTGCATACCCAGCACCGGTGGCAGCAAGAGCAGCTTCGGCTAGGCCACGAGATCGGCTGCGAGGCTTGCTACGGTCCCTTCTCCGCCTCCTGCGACCACTCTTGTCGGAATCAGAGGAGCTGCTGTTGTATCGCCCGAGACTTCGACTCCGGCTACGACCACGGCCACGGTGTCTTGAGCCAAAACCTGCTGCTCCGCTGGCGACTGGGTCGGAAGCATCAGAGTAATAACCCTGCGGAGTCATTGATCGGCCATAGTAATTGGCAGCAGGAATGCTTCCATGCACAGGATCTTCGCCGTACTCAATCAAGTCAGCCGAGTCTCTTGCAGGGTCGGGATAGAAGTCCGACGGAGCCCTGCTGCGAGATCTGGAGCGTCGTCGTTCTCTATATCTTGACTCATCCTTGGTCTCTTCTTTCTTGTCTTTGTGCTTCTCGTAAAGCCCTGTGGCAGCGGCCGTTCCTAAGCCAGCTGCTACGACCGGCAGAGCTTTCCTTAATGTGCTGTGGGATCGGGATCGTGCACGTCGACCAGAGCGCGAATGACTGCGCGCCCTCTCCACAAGACCTGCCACTGCAGCACCAGCCAGTCCAGCGCCAGTCATATGCTTCTTCCGTTGCGATTCGCTGCGCTTTTCAAAGTCGGGGTCCCCCTTAGACCTCACAGAAGCTGAGCGACGGTGTCGGGACCGACTACGTCTCCCGTCCTTATCCTTTTTCGAGTGGTGTCGCGCGAGCGCGACCGCACCGGCAATAGCCGCAGCACCAAGCCCAATTTCCGCGAACGTTTTTGCACGGGAACGAGAATGGGAGCGGCTGCGACTACGGCGAGAGTGGCTGTGGCTGTGATGATGGTGGCGATGATGAGAACGGGAACTCCGGTCGTCGTCGAAGGAATGGGAGCGATGACGGCTTTTGCTGCGGTAGTAGTCTTTAACTCGCGAAGCCGCATTCACCGCAACGGCGCCCAGAGCACCAGCGCCGACATCACGGCCGAGACGGCCCATACCACTCGACACTTCTCCTCCATCCTTCTTCCGGCGGCTACGGAGCAATTCTGCAGCACCAACGCCGACCAGAGCGCCTTCGGCCATATGACGATGGTGATGCGGATGGTCATCATACTCGCGTGTCTCTTTGCGAATGTACACCATGCTGTCATCGCTACTGTAGTCTTGACCATCGCGCCGACGGGTGGCTTGGGAGACCGAGTCACTAGGGCTGAGCTCCCGCCGGAAGCGACGGTCATCATCATACTCACGAACACGACGATGATATAAGTAACCAGGGTCACGGTCTACCTCTGACCGGTGGACAATCTCATAGTCGGACTCTCGGGTTCGAGCTGTAGTAATCGTTAGGCACTTATTCCTACCAGTGACAACCGGGACAGAGTATAGGGACTCACGCTCGTAGTAGTCTCTTTCGGAACGATAGTCGTATCCGCCGCGCGAGTCATAGTCGACTTCGCGCTCATAACGTTGAACCATAATGGGATCTTCGCGGTCAGTAGACCGCCGAACGACCAGCTCTCGATCACCTGAAACTAGATCTTCGCGTCGATAAAGAACGTCTCGCTCTCGGCCTCGATCGTCCTCGGGGGGGATGACGTAACGTTTGATAGTGACAGGCGACGACCGGGATTCATCCCAATCTCGATCTCGTTCACGCTCTCTGTAAATGTATGACATGAGGATGGTTGAATTAAATATGGATGGGTGAGAAGGTAATCAGGATTGAGGGATGGTTGGTAGAGAGCAAAGTAAACTGAAAAATAAATTTGCAAGGGAGGGGGGGGGGGGAAGATGATAGGAAGTGGGGTAGAGCAAGCAAGGCTGAGGCAGTGAAGAAGACAATGAGCAAAATGATCGGGTGCAGGCGGCACAATTGTGGGGAGGCGAGAAACGAGACAACAGGATAAGAGGGACGTTGGATAAGAGGAGAAATAAGAATGAGAATAGTTATAATAACAATAACAAATAAGGAGTATAGGCAATACACAGCAGTTGTAGGTAGAGAGTTAGAGAAAGAGAGAGAAAGAGATGACAAGGGAAAAAATAACCCACGTGAAGCCTCGTGATAAACTCTTCTGTGGATTGAATTAATTAGATTGATTCGAATTGCGTCTAGGCACGGAGTAGACGTCCAAGTAATCTGGAACAATATATCCGGTCGACAAGAGGTTGACACAGACCTAGCTATTTGCTACCCCCTACTGCATTTACTCATGCTTGACTGCATTACTCAGTAATTACTCTACCTAAGAATGACTTCACATACAGAATGGGGCCGGTGCGACGCCCCGTTTGCCCTTTTTTGTCTGCCTGAACTCTATCGGTCATGTCGGGCACTACTAGCGACTTTGTTGATGTTGGCATTGCCAGTGGTCCGTTTGGAACATGTGGGGGCAATTTAAAAGAGCCTTCCATGGAATTCGGTCGCCTTGTCGGGAGTCGACCAAGGATGAGAAACAGAAAATTCCAGCCAGATTGATAAAGCATTTACTTAGGTAGAGCAATTACTTATTAGGTAGATACTCCCCGACATAGCCTAATTATCTACAATACTCTATTCTGTAATCTTTTAGTATCGATTATTTACAGTAGTACCATACCGGACAGGTACTGTACATACCAATACATCGAGACCTGCATGATATGTGGCATATTTTGTGGCTCACTCTGTAGAAGATCTTCTTTTCTATTCTCAAAAGCTTGGATCTGCCCCTCTCTATTATCAAACTGAGCCATTGTTAACTTAATCAGCTGTCTTCTTCTCCATAATATAATGCTGTTGATTTGCCCGCTATTTTCATGTCCTCAAAGACGCGCTTCTTTCACCATCATTAAAGGCAACAATTATTGGATTCCTTGGTTCTTCCCATACTAGATATTGACATCACTGTCTTGATGTTGGCCCATTGTGTCAATTATACATACGGGAAAGTCAACTGAAATATCAAATGCTACTATCTTATTACTGCTGCTCTGTGTCTTGCAATATTATCAACAACCTCTACCAGAATTGGGGGTAAAGATCATATGTTTATCATCATTCGATTCAAGTATGTATTATATCAATATATCATCAGTGTCTAGAGTTTCAAATTCACCCCTCCCTCGTCAGCATCACTCCACCTGCTGAGCGCGAGGCTTGACAACATCTCCATCATCATCATCGACTCCCGCATCCATTCTGTCCGGTACAATGACCTTATCCCCAAAAGAGGCCGCGATCTCCTCAAGCGTTTTCCGTTTCGTCTCACTAAACCCCATTAGTTTCAACAATAAAGCGGATCAGACCATCCACATACGGGAAATAAAAGTAGGCCACAATGAAAAAGAAAAGCGAGCAGGCCACAAAGACATAGTAATAATTCTCATGGATATTGGCAAAGGCACTAGGCCCAGCCTCGGTGACTATCATCAATCAGTTCATGCTTTTAAATGTCATTTTTATAGCTTTTTATAGTATAATATAATGTTCGAAAACAAGAAAGACATACTAGCCACATTCACAATAAAATGCGACGCGGCGGCCAGTCCCATGACCTTGCTTCGCAGCGCAACCGGCAGGACTTCGGCACCATACAGCCACGTTGTGCTATTAAGCATACCATCTGTATACAGATCATCACGTTAGCTAAGAGAAGGACATCAGAGTTCAGAGGGTGTTATTCTACAGTAAGCGACAACGAATAAGTAAATTCCAAGGATTGCAAAGCCTTTCCCAACTCGATTGTCGGTATTTTGGAACTCGTGCTGCATGACGGCGGCGTAAATTTCAATGACCACGATCCCGGCAAGACCTGAAAGAATCATTCTGAAAGAGTCAATTTTCTGGTCAACCGATGTTTCTACGCTTGGGTATACTGGTTGGATAATGGCTTACTTTCGACGACCCCATTGGTCAGTGAGGTATTTTGTGGTGAGGCTGTTGACAAGAAACGCTATGCTACCATAGACTGCAGCTAGGCCCAGGATAGTGTGCGAGTTTATACCTAGGGACTCGTATAGGATTGCTGCGGTACCGGTTACTTGTTGGGTGCAGTGCAATACTAGACATGGAACATACTTTGATAGTACTAGTTTATGTTAGTGTATATTCGCAGTCTCTAAATGGAAATCCCTACCTGGATAACATTCACGCCGGTAAGGCTGGTCATTGTCTGTACGGCGATAGACCTACACAGACAAGTTATTAGATCTGACCTCTTCTCTGCCATACTTATACATCACCGAGAACTCACACTAGAACACGATGTCTGAATAACTTAAAGATCTCCAGGTAGGACGTAATCTCGCGCTCCTTTTCATACTCAATCTGCGCCAACATGAGAGAAAACTCTCGGTGCACATCATCGGAATGCAAATCTCGCCGAATCCGCGTAAACTCTCTGCGTGCTTGTTCGACCTTTCCATTGCGGATCAGATAACGCGGCGAATTAGGCATAAAGCTAATTAAGCCACAGAACATGATGATACCCCAAGGGATCTGTATTCCCAGGGGAAGTCTCCATTGTACCGGACCGTAAGGAGCAAAGCTACAGGCGTATCCTACCCAATTGGAGGCCATGGTGCCAAACGAGATGCCGCAGCCAGAGATGCCTCCAATCAAGCCGCGATGTCGAGGATCGGAGATTTCGCTAAGATAGATGGGTACAGTAGATACCATTCCTCTAGGATGAAGACCTTAGTTGCGTCTGTTTCTCAGCAGTTAAAGCAGCCAATTCGGTCTTACTCACCCGACAGCGTAACCGGCCAGCACACGGCCAGCGAGGAACATGCCAATGTTAACTGCAGCAGTCTGGATGACAGTTCCAACCGTGACAACAACACACATCAGCTCCATAAAATGCAGCCGACCCAGTCTATCACCAATCAGTGTTTGTGTTAATGCCCCGACTGCCTCGCCGGAAATATAAACAGCAACAACCTGCTATAGTTAGACAGGTCTTCCATGACTCAATATTCTGTTCTGACCTACAGCTCCTGTCAATCCCTTGGAGGGATGGCCCATATAATCGATCCAGCTTTGATGGGCAATGGCTAACGACGTATATTAGATAGCTAAATCTAGTCAAGAAGAGTAGGAGACATCCTCAAACCACATACTTGTCGTCGCGATCCCTGTATCAAATCCCTATGATTCACCGTTAGGATGCGAACTGTTTCCGCCACAACGCTATGATGATCAAGCTATCTTACAAAAAGGAATGTGCCGATTGCGGCGAAGAGCGCAACGCCATAAGAATACCAACTGGTCATGGTGAGAGTTGCAAATAGGGTCACATCGGGCTATCTTGTCTTTAGAAATGGCTAAGAGGTCAAGTAACCGATACTTGTCGCAGTATATATGGATATCCGCAAATACATAAAGGTATTAGGATCCAAATGTTGAGGACGCAATAGGCAATCAATCTGCGGGATCTGTCCGACAAACAAGCCGAGGATATATAATGAGGAGCATGTCACTCGGAGAACTGCCGACCCTAGTCCAGGTGCCCATGGGGTAGGGGATTAAAAGACGACGATCTGGGGAAATCATTCATTCCCCCCCTAGCTTGAAAGAGGTCGGAGGAATACCCACCGAAACTGCAGTGAGGGAGGTCATCTTCTGGTTACCCCGCATCGCGGTTGTTCCGCCTCTCGTATTAACAAAAAGAGGAGATTCTTAGATGAGCACCAGGATTGGAATGATTTACTTGTTTGGAATTAAGATGGCATGGTCAGATGATAGGTTCTATATATATTTAATATAGCTTCGTTAGTACCGACACCAGGAATGCCGAGTAAGGGAATAGAAGGTCCACTTAAAGGAATAGAAAATGTTCCATGATCTAAATACGCAATAAAGCAGCATACCAGGTTCTCTCTCCGAATTATTCGATTTGCTCACAGCCTGGATCGTATCCCAACAATACCCGGCAGTAATTCCCATGATGCTGTTACATATCTACATTATATATAGGCTAACAAATGTAACTAGATTAAAGATAACTATCAGTTTTTATCAGTATAGACTTTACTCTTGCCAATACTTCTCCCTGAATGAGATTCAAGACCCATATGAGATGGACTAGATGATAGGTGCAGGCAATTTTGTATCTCACACGGTGACTACATAGTCCAGACTATAACAGGCGACGAAAGTCATGACAAAGACCAATACGAGGTATCGGAGAAGCATCCGATATGCATCAAATTCCGCAGATATGTGAGCCATTTATCAAGACAAACCATTCGACCAACAGAAAACTCGGGCTCTTAGTGAGCCACAATGGTGAGTCAAGTCATATGAAGCTTCAACACCATATCTTTAACAGAGACAGGTACAAAGCTTGAGGTCCAGTGCCAGTTTCAGTTTAACTTGGCTCCTATATTAAGATATGATGAAGGTTGTCCCTAGACATACAAAGTCACAGGACCATGGAAGCTCTACTCATTCAAACTGGGAATAAATTCGTGAAGAGACTCATAAACTAGGAGTCATATAATCTTTCTTTGTTTTTTTCTTGAATATGAAATCCTATTCCATTTATCCATTGCCAAAGTCGTATGCCCTCTGCCGGAGTAGCGGTCTGTGCAACGGGAAACCCAGAGCCGAACAAGAAAATCACAAACTTAGAACACAAGAGCAGCACCCTTGGTCTTCTTGTCACCACTGTAGAAGCGTTTCCGTTAGTATGCGTCGCTGGAGTATAGACATATATCCTTGTAAGTAAACGTACCCCAATTCAAAGTGCTTGCAACGCTTCAGAGCGAGCTGCTTCTTGGCCTTGCAGACAGTGCACTCGAGACGCAAGACGATCTTCTTGGTAGTCTTCGCCTTCTTGTGGAAGACGGGCTTGGTCTGACCACCGTAACCGCTCTGCTTCCGGTCATAACGACGCTTACCCTGGGCAAAGAGAGAGGCCTGTATATCACATTATGAGCATGCGTCGAGGAGCCAGTGTTCGGGGATGTCGGGCGCATTCACCTTTCCAGCCTTGTACTGGGTGACCTTGTGCTGGGTGTGCTTGTGGCAGTCCTTGGACTTGCAGTACGTCCGGCGGGTTTTCGGAACGTTGACCTGGTTGCGAGAACGTATCAGCATTCTGCTGTCAAAAACTTCGTGTATGCGTTTGCAGCCAATTTCTGGTTTCCTGTCCCATCGGAGAAATGTCGTTTGCATGTTGGATTGCCGAAATGAATTATTCCAGGACAAAAAAAAAAGTAAACAAGGAGAATCCTGAAGTCATAGAGTTCGAGGTACTGGAAAATCTTCGTGTTCGGTCGCACTTTGCTAGTCGCCTCTCGTCGAAAGATCGTATGAAAATCTCACGCTTCTTTCTTCTATTCCACGCCATCACATCTCTTCAATTTCAAGCGACTTCGTGCCTGGCCGATCCGTGGCATTTGCAACTTCCGATATCCCTCTCGCCACAGTTGTTGTCGACTGGAACGAACATCTCTTCCCCAATTGCATCATCCATTGTCCAACCACGTTTCACCAGGGCCCAGGATTCCAATAAAAAAGCTGCAAGCAAAGATGACAACAAGAATCAGTTTCTTACCATTTTGACTGACTTGGCCGGATCGCGGAGGGTGCTGGTCGTTGGGTGTCTCTTGTCGAGAAGAGCAAGTCGGCTGACCGTGGGTTGTGGGATTTCGTTCGCTTAGGCCCTATTTCGGTGTGCGCTAACCCGATATGGGCACATGCCAAGACCAGCTATTCCATGCTCATAGCCGAATTTTCAAGCAATGGAGAGAGATAGATAGTACATTAATTCGTTAGCTAAATTTCAAGATGTCTAAAATTATTGTCCTCTGTAGGTTACTGAAATCCTCTCCCGACAAACACCTTCTCTCCTCCCCCGTACCATGACACCCCCTTCTGCAGTTCCAGTCCTTCCCCCTGTCCAACTAGCCATTCTCCCTTCGAAGACATGCCTCCATCCTGCCGCGGCCAGTACTTCTCCCGCAATTCTTCATTAATCTGCTCGATTTTCTCCACCAGTGCCGCTACACACTCATGGTTGACAGTATGGTCACCATCCTTGCTCGAACCATCAAGCAGAAACCCATCCTGAGTAATAAACCGTGCAATGGTAATATGAGCTGAAGGGGCAATATATCTCGGTTTCAGCTCAACGCCTGTCGCCGTCACCTGGTCAAAGAGGTCTCGTCGCAGGTGGTGATAGGTATAATTGTTGTCACCTGTGACATACATTCTGGCTGTGTTTCCCTCACCAGCGGCAGGAACGAAACTCAGGCCCATTGCGGTGGCATCGTAGCTGACTATGGGTTTTATCAACCGCGTCCGCTTATGGAAGGTGTAGTCCGCAAGGTCCGGAAGAACACCACTCCCCTTGATAGTAGCCACAATGTCCTCGATTTCTTTTGGGGTGCGTGCCGCGGCTATTTCCAGCGTGGTTATATGCAGAAAATGCGACGGTGCAAACCACATTGCTAGTATAAGCATTAGTAACCGAGGTCTTTCATATGAGTTGTTTCAAATATCAATCAAGAATAGTTAGAGGCAAGGCAAAGGAATCAGCGAAGACACAAGGATGACTAACTCTGGGCAACATCACGAATACCCTGCTGTATCTCTGCGACTAATTCCTGAATATGTTGTGGTGGCCGAGCGACAAATGAAAGATTGTTTCGAGTATCTACGAAAGGAGTGTCGTTGTTGTCGGTGCTTGCCTTTGTGGCTTGAACATACAACTTTCGTAGGATCTCGTCGGCTTCCCATCCTGCGAAGTCCAGGCTGAGGAGTTCGGCTTTGAACCGTTTGTTTCTGTCGGACCGATGAGTTTCGTACCGATTTTGGATTTGAGTCTGCAACAGTTTTGAGGCTTAATTTGGAGTCTGTGCCGTATCGCCAGAGGAGAAATACCGGGTTATTCTGGCAGTCCACAATCAATTGGTCGAATGGGTTGGCTGCTTGTGCTGTATTAGAGGTGACTTTTGTCATATTGAAAGGAGAAATGATAATCAGCGAGTAGTATATATAACTTCTAAGTTACCTCGAAGTACATAATATACATAGGTGTTCGCGTGTTGTGGATGGGTAAGATTCAGGTACTTCCGAAGTAACCACCCAGAAACATATATTTAGGCGACTAAGCAGACCCTCGCAGGACATCCAGTAGATACCAAGACATAGCAAATATTACCAACATATAATTCATAAAGTTTATCATTCCATGGCTGCCTGCCATTATATCTGTTGCCTGAGGGCATCTACTCCATAAGTCATGTAGTTGGAATAGATCGATACTGCTGCGCTCCAGGGACTACGAGGAAGGAAGAGGCCGCCCCACCAAACCCCGCCATGGCAAAGCTTCAGTCACCGTTCCAGCTTACTCCCAACTGACCTGTCCTAAACTCTCCGCAATACAGCCTGGATACTCCAGTATAGTGTCATATCAGTGACAGCTAATCAAGATGTTGATCAAGTGAGTTGTATATGCTGTTTATCGGTTCTAGAAGTCGCAACTAACTAGATTTCCACAACGTCGCAGAGTTCGCACCCTTACCGGCAAGGAGATTGAGCTGGATATTGAGCCCGACTACAAGGTACTTTCCCACCACGCTCTGGAACCCGACTGTCTATCTTGTGTTCTTGATCCGTTTCGCATGCCTGGATATGCAAGACCGTTCTAGAATATCGAGCTGAACATTTACTAGGTGTCCAGGATAAAGGAACGCGTTGAGGAGAAAGAGGGTATCCCTCCAGTTCAGCAACGACTGATTTTCGGTGGAAAGCAAATGTATGTGACGTGGCTTACCACGAGAGTGTCTCTTTCTCCACATCCAACTCGCGCTTACTCGTTTTCCGTGGATAATAGGGCCGACGACAAGACTGCTTCAGAGTATAACCTGGAAGGTGGTGCGACACTACATCTTGTCCTTGCGCTCCGTGGTGGCGCTCATGCCTTGTGATTAACCCGCGCAGCACCTAGAGTCTGTGTGGCACTAGAAATAATGAAGGGGTTGGGATAACATCAATGAACAAGATGATCTTTTGAAGCGGACACTCGAAGTCTCCTGGGAATAATAGCAGTGGACTCAGCCATAGAGTGTTTGGCGCAGTATACCCTATTAGCTGCCGGTGCAGGTGAACGTGCCTTATATTTTGACTTTCAGGCTGATATCCTGACCGTTTGTTTTCAAGCATACATTATGCCGCATGTCTCTTACTGGTACGACTTGTACCATGCCAACGCAGTAACGACAAATTTTATACCGAAGAAACTCTAAGAAATTATGTTAGCAAAAAAGTGGATAAAATTATCATTATGTAAATAGCCTACCATGGCTACAAATTGAGTTGTACAAATAGACCCTCAAACTTGCGCCTGCCAAGCTTCTAAACCAATACAGATGAATGAATCGTGCCCATTTGAAATATAAGCTTCAAGAATAAATGTAATATTGAAATAGATCAAGAGTAAAGAAAATACCTATATTCGTTTATCAAAGCACCCTTGACATATGCTTCAAACAAAGAACGCCGTAAAATGCTGCAAACGTAGATGCACTGTGTACTTGAAATAGAGAGCAAACAAGAGCCTGCTCCAACTAACATCATCAATACATATACTGAGTAAGCTAGCTCTCGCCAATCCTGATATCTAACCTCCTACGCATCGAGATAAACTGAAATATAGCGATAGTGTAGCAAAACGTTAAAAGGATGAAGCAATATATGATATCAAGATACTCTCTTTCGCTTTGGTTGGATTAATGGATTCGGAGGCGGTCGTTTTCGAATAGTTGCAGTGCGTGGTCCTTGTTCTGGAGAAGTCCGGGACTGGCCGGGAAAAGAGCCAGCTCCAAGTCCGATAGATTTATAAGCATCAGAGTAGGAAGTTTGTTCTCTGGCTAGACTTTTTGCCTCCATATTGGGTCCGGACCCTCTTATGAGCGTGGCTCTTGTGTCATTTGCAGAGCATGGACTAGTAGAAGATGCATCTGTTTCTGCTCTTGACAGAGCAGGAGACGTTGAAGAATGCGCTGCCAATCTCTGCCCTGAGGTGATTGCCCGCAGCCTCCTTTCTTTTTCTTGCAATGCCGGAGTGGCGACATAATTAACTACCCCTATTTCATGAGGGTTTGATCGACCCGGCGCTCTTAGCGCTGGGGTTGAGTAGTCTTTTCGTCGAGGCGCTGTCGGTTCTACAGGTCGTCTATGCTCCTCAATCAATGAGCGTGGGGCTTGTTTGACTTGAGAGGCTCTGTTATTTAGTTGCTTGGTTGGGACGGTAAGAATAGCATTCCGTTTGGCTGAAGCGAATATGCTACTCTTCTTCTTTGTCTCGGGCCGAGGGAGCGGTGGCCGCTCGAAGGACCAAAGAGGTGTCCCTAATGGATCTGAAGATCCAAGAGGAGTCCGCGAAGAGGCAAATACAGGTCTGATGCCGCCCATTTTTCGATCGAATGAAGCATACCGTTGCTTAGTTGTCGGCCTTTCTTGGGGGAGTCGAAGGTGCTTTCGGTCAACGAATTTGGCGCTGTGCTTGGCACGCTCTGAATTGATTCCATCTAGGGCCATCTTCATCCTCTCTGCATCTTCATCCACGGATTTTTGCACACGTTCTCGGAGGTCGCAATATACTTCATACGAACAATTAGACAGCCCAGGCAGTTCATATTGGTCCCAATTTGGTATGTCCCTCTTTATGAATTCAAACCAAAGCTCGCCATCTTCATCGATAATATGTGAGGATTGGGTCTCTATAGATCTCTAGTATCAGAGTTAGCTGGGATGATAGACGATGCAAGTCTGGCGAAGCGACGAACTAATTTCTCGGGACTTTCGATTTTGATGAGGAATGGTCGAGCGAGTATATATGGAATGTTGCCAATATCATTTAAATCTGAGAAAAAAATATAGAGTAAGTGTCATGTGTCGAGGGCAAGTTAAGTAACGGGTGTTTGCCTACACTTCACGTTCCTAATAGCAGTCGCCGTGCAGAGCTGTCGGAGCGACGGCGGTGGCATTGTCGAGACTCGAAATATAGACCAAAGACTACCAAGATGACAGAAATAATCTAGTGTAACATTTCGAGACCGTAGATGTAGGTGAATTCTGAGTTGGAAACATGTAGCATAGCCGCCAACGCTTTTAGACAAGCCCATAAACTCGAGTAGGGATGATAATGCGCGGTATTTATGAATCCCCGGAATGACCTAAGAAAGGCCGAAGGCGGATGACGCCCATCACATGATTTCAGTGGCTGACAAGGTTTGGAATGCTGGTAGTGAACTTAACAATCGAATAATATTTTTCTCAGTGATGATAAGAAATTAAGAAGGATGTATATACTACTGCAGAGCTGGTTGAATTCTCTCACTATAGTGTACTGAAGCATCTACACTCTTTAACTTACTACTTGATATATTGCAACTAGTTAGTTAATTGAGAGGAGTTATATAAGAAGAGCGCAACAAGAGCAGTTATACCAAGAGAATCAAAGATATCTAAAAGACAAATAAAATTCTCTTTCGAACACATTCAAATCATTTTGAATGCATATCATGAAGGCGTTTTGTTGGACCGTTGGCCACCATCTACATGACTCTCAGGCGGCATTTGAACCAGCCACGAGGGGGGACTGATCCCAGTCTGATCATGAATTGTACTAAAAAGGGGTGGAAGGCTCCTCATGATGTTTTGAATCGGTTTAACTGCATCGCTAGAGTTGTCTTCTTTGCCCATGGACAGATATTAGAAAGGTCTGACGATAATGGACAGGCTGGTTAATGCACAGAGATGGGAATGCCTACCTCCAGTACTCCAGGTAGTGATTTTGGGCTGAAGGCCTTGGATCGCATTGCCATTTGCCTTGGCTAACTTCTCATAAGTACCGTTCTGCATCATCTGGAATTGCAAAAAGGCCTGAGGGCCGCCTAGAACATTAACCAGGGCGCCGTAAGCTTTTGACATTTCAAGAATCCCTTCAGCTTCACGCTTCTGGCGGTAGAACGCAGCGTCTGCTTCTTTGCTTTGGCGGTAATCTAAGGGAGGCCAGTCAGCCAAAGCCTTGATCCTGTCGGTTTAACGAAAGTGCAACATACAGGTAGCGTCTGCCTCCATTTTTTGCTTGTACAATTGTGCATCTGCTGCTTTCTGTTCAGTGTACAATGCAGCATCTGCATTTTCTTGAGCAGATTCACGCTCAACTTTGCTTCTTGTCACTTGATCAGCTCTGAGACGCTCTAATTCTGTCTGGGCACGCATGCTTTCAACTTTCTTCTTCAAATCTGCATCCCTCATTTCCGTCTCACGCTGGGCTATAATCTCGGCAAGTTGAACACTCGAATCTAGCTCTGTCTGACGAGTTTTGAGATCGGAGTCCGCTTTTGCCTTTTCAGCTTTACGTTTTGTTTCTAGGACCGCGGTATCGGCATCGATTTTGGAGATTTCCTGTTTTGTCCTTCCTTTCTTTTCTGCTTCTCCTATCTCACCTCTCATCCGTGCCTCGGCGACATCGATTTTAGCCTGGTTGAGTGCCCCTTCATGAGCCTTCCTGCTCAGAAACGCAAAGTACTCACTGCCAGGTGTATCCTGGAGTTCTTTGACGTTGGCATTGTAGCTATGACTTTTGTGAGCATAGGATCCATCATTCATATTGCTCTATAGCCTTACATTTTCAGACCAAATTGGTTCAGCTCTTTTTGAACATTGACAACCACTGTCCAGGAAATAAATAGTCAGTTTTTTATTTATTTATTTTTTTTCGAAGAATGAATAGGCAGACCTTTTTCCTTGAAGACCTGCCTATCCTTGAATATTTCTTCCATTGTCATGCTGGAAACTATGACGCGGGTTTCGCCCTCGATAATTCCTTTCACAATATCCTGGACATGGTCTCTCCTTTCCCGATCAGTCACATCCCCCTGTTTGGCAAAATCGACCTGTTCTGTACTCCCAGAAAGAAGCAGAGCATATTTCCTGAGGGAATCATTCCCTTCATGATCAGGCCCGATCGTGAAGACCGCCGGTAGTGCGAATTGTAGTTTTTCAGTAGTCATCGCCTGAAGATTGAGTGAGAAGTCAAACGGTGCCACCGAGATCCTCGCACACTATAGAAGTAAACATAATTAGTAGGCAAAAACTTATCCATACTCCCAGCGTTTTATATTGTATGAATTGGCGAACGACGGAGTATACATACCCGTTGCCATGGCATTACAAAGGCCTTTTTGCATAGGCGTATATCTTCTATCCCGGCTCCTGTGAGCACGAGATACTCGCTGGGTCGAGAGATGGCATACCTGATCAAAGAATTAATTAGTACTACCAGATGTATAAAGCCACATAGGGTATCATACCGCATCGTGGCTTACTGTGTCACAAATAATGTAAACTCTCATAAAAACAAACAGATGACTATCAGAGGCACAGAAGCAGAAGCAGAAGCAGAAGCCCTTTGCAATCTTGTATTCTTATACCTCGGATCAGAGCCTCAGGGATCCAATACAATAATTAGATACTCCGTATGACTTACAAGTTCCTGAAACACTGTGGCAGTGTCATTATGGTCGAAAGTCTAAAGCCGAGACTACCCAGGTAAGATGTATAAGGCCAGCAATTCATTTGCCTATTTACTTCCGGGCAACGCCTTGGAAGTGAGGCAACGGGGCAATGCTGACGGTGTTGGGACTACTTCCCATGACACCCAAGGCAAAGTGCACGGTAACAAGGCTGAAGAGGATGTATTTCAATGCAGCCGATATATATGAACGGCTTGCTTGTTAGCATAGCATCGTAGTATCTCTGTCATGCGATATTTTCAGAAGGGCTAGAATGTAGAAATCTGCCTATAATTTTTATCGAACATGTTTAGCGCTCTACAGTCCTAGAGATCTCTTAAATAATTTAACATTTGCTTCTTTACTTCATACTTTGCAATATACTGAATTGGAATATGCGAGACGCAGGATTGAAGGGACAAAATTTAATTTCTGCTACTAAAGATAAACATGAAAGAGATAAGAACCTAGGCTAGATACCTACAAATAATGTACGAAAGAAACAACGCCTAAGTACTGCAGGCCAAAAAGGGAGATACTAATCACGTGGCAGTAGCCCCTCTAAACAAACATTGCAAAGTAGCTTCTTTCGGATAGCAGCATCATCATTGCGATTGTTTGTTGAGTGGCTGTAGTGCTTGGAAGCATTTTCAATCGACGGTTTTGCCAGAATTTTAACAAAGTCAACTTCTACTCTTTCCAATACCTCCGCTCATCAGTTTTGAGCCCCGATATTCAGGTACTATCTCCGGTATGTATAGGGCATCAATATCCACATATCACTTCAAAGTACATGCTCCTGGCTGGATTGTGGACCAAGACTGCATAACACGATCGACAAGTGTCTTTTTCTTGATATTCTTAGTTGCCATTCTTTATACATTTAAACCAGGTCCAAAAACCGCCCAAAATACCATGCTAATTGTTGTGCTATGGCGTTGACCTCTTTATCCCGATTTCTATTTATACATGACATCATCCTTTCGGCCTCTCCTTCTGCTTCATCACGATAGATACTGATCGTATCCCGAGACAGAAACCACCATGGCACCGCTCTCTCATTTGGAGATTGCCACGCAGTCCGTCCTGCGTCTCGTCAAGGAAGAGGCGTCCTACCATCGCGAGCTTAAGGAACAGACCGAACGGGTTCAGCGACTTGAAGCTCAACAGAACACCGATGACGAAAATAGCGAATACACCCTGAAACAAGAGGTATGTGGGGGATTGGCTGGATAGATATGTAATTTTGTTGCAACCGATTGCTTACTAGTCGACAGCGTCTTGCCCTGGATGAGACCAAGAGAGTCCTGCCTACACTCAAGCAGAAGATCGAAGATGCCATAGCGAAGCTTCAGAGTCTATTGGTAAGTTGGATATAGCTGTGTATGTGTTCCTATTGACTGACGATGCTCTAGACCGAAGAGGGCCAGAAGGGCACTGAGAGCAACGTCGAGCATATCAATGCCGCAAAGGATGCTATTTCGAAAGCCAGAACAGCTGAGAGGGAGATTGCTTGAGATATGACAATTCACATTCACACTTTATGAAGATGTATTCGTTACTATGAGACCACAATAAATAGATTCAAAAAGTGCTACCTCCAGCACCAATGCCATGAAACCAAACTCCTCGCTTTATGGATAGTAAATGTGCCAAAGTTTCGCTGATCAAGTAGTATCCATTTTATCAGCTGTGCGGTCGTCTGGGACTTCCTCCCCTTCCTCCAATTCATCAGATTGATCGGCGTTCTCGCCCCCGGTTATTTCACCTTCATCCACCATATTAGCATCTTCTTTGTCGGGAGAGGGTTTGTTCTCATCGTCGGCGGCAATGACTTTTCGCAATGGCGATGCCGCTCCAGTTGTGGACAATTTTTCTGCATGTAGACCGGCCGGTGATCGTCCAGCCTCATCCTGGCTTTGCTGAGAGGGAGTGACACTCTCGCCATCAGGCCGAGGGGTATTGGCGCCGCTAGATTTTCCTTTCGAAGGGATGTCCGCGTCATCTCCATCCTCACCTTCCTGCATGCCTTCTCTACGTTCCACCTCTTCCTTCTCATCTCGAATGAGTCGTCGTAGTTGCATTCCCTCTTCCACAATGCGACCAAATTGCTCCCTCCGTTCAGCCCATGTAGTGGCGTAGTCCCTGCTTTCCTTTTCTAACTCAGTGATCTCCGTCTGTAGCTTCTGTAAATTGGCCTGCTGATCTTCTCTCGGCTTCAAAAGGCGATTACTTGTAATTTTGTCGGCCAGGTCATCGTAACTTTTCCGCAAAGCTAGCAGACGCTGTGCCTCATCTAGCTGGACCCGCAGTTCTGCCGTGTTTTCGCGCACGGATTGCATGGTGGAGAGAATCCGAAGCTTCTCGGCTGCATAGCGCTCACGCTCCTTCTCGTTACTTGTGAAAAGAAATTGAATGCGCGCAATGCTGCCTTCAAAAGCAGCAAAGTCCAGCGCCGCGTCTTCGCGGAATTGACGCCATTCCTCCAGTCTTTTTTGCTTCTCGGCCTCTACGGTGGCCGCCGCATTTTCATCAGTCGCGTCGGGTGGAGGGGTCGGAGGGAGGGTCGAATTCGAAAGAACCACAGATTCCGGGTGCAAAAGACGTTTGGAAATCCGCTTGAAGGGCTTTTCTTCGACGTTCAAAAGGCGCGACTTATGGAGAGCATCTGGAAGAAGTTAGTGAGGTGAGACGAGGAGGATCGGGCATAAGAGCCACGGTGACCTTCTTCTGGTTGATCGAGGAGCCCATAGGATGCCATGTTGCGTATGTACAAGGCAGCAGAATATTTCACAGTCAACTCCGATTGTCGCGAGGAGAATGACAAGTCGTCAGTGTCCACTTCGGTCGCCGAGAGAAGAACGTTGCTTTTGAAAAATGGCCGATCCGAGCGGTCTGGGGGGTTCCGCGCTAAGCGGAAACATCTGCCTAACGCCGCTTTGCTGGCCGGTGCGTATTTTTATTGACGTCGTCAGTGCTAAGTCTTTGGTTCCCTATTGCTGCAGTCGTCTGTCTCCTTGGAACACCCCAATCAACAACGCACCGCACATTCCCTCGGAGGGTCATTCATCTTTTGGCTATTAGACCCTGCTTTCAGTCGTTGCACCACACCAGCGATGCCAATTGCTTCTTTTTCCCCTGTATGTTTGGGCGGCGTATTCTTCCAACTCAGCTCTGAGATAGTGAGCTATTGCACGCAGATTACGCCAAGCCTATTTGCGATTTTGGCAGTTGCGCAACTTGCCAGTTTCTACCAGTGATTAACTATGATTTACTGATGGCATTTTCACCCATAATCTCCTCGCTTTTGTCCTCGTTCGCGGTGCTGTTCCTCCTGCCATGGCGGAAATGTACTCGGGGCTCCATGTGGGCCAGCGGTTCGTCTCTTTGGAGGAGTTCAAGGCGTTGGTGCGAAGTATATCGGTCAGGCAGCACTGGGAGCTCCGAGTGGCGCGGAGCAATAAAAAGAGTGTAGTGATAGGCTGCCGGTCCTCGAGCAATTGCTTCTTCCGCGTTGTGTGCCGGGCGAACAAAAATGCGACCTATATTAGCAGCCTCCAGGACAGTCATAGCTGTCGGCGGAACGCATCTTCCACCCCTAAAACACCAGTGCGCTCGGAGGTATCCCATGTACGCTTTCTCCTCACCGAAATACCAAAGCTGTTCGATATGAGAAACAACATCAAGGCCCAGGAGGTCGTCGATGCCGTCAAGCGCTACCATGGGTACGAGATTTCAATGAGACAGGCCCAGAGGGCTCTCATTCGATTAGAACAGCAGCAATCGCAAGCCCAGGGTGAGAGAGCCGACACCCTCGACTCCAGTGGAGATGACCAGCAGGACATCCAACTACCTGCGCCGGAGGAACAGGCCGAGGGTTCAACATACAGCGGTCTATCTGGGCAAAGATGGATCCCGGAGGCTATCCAAAATAGCCTTATTGGCAGCAGTAATCCGGACCTCCAAGCGTCGCAGCTCCACGGGGAGAATTTGCAGCCGCATCCTCAGTTGCAACATCAGCCTCAGGTACAACCTCCACCAGAGATCCACTCACAGGGGCATCCATCGCCAACCTACCCTGTCCATCACCAGGCTACCTCGCATCAGCCTGCGTATGGGGTGCCGACACCAAATCCACGATCCACACCTCAGACTACGCAGCCTAAGCCTCAGAGACGATTCTCAAGTAGCGGCCATCCTTCGGCTTCTCAACTGATCCTTACTAACTTCAAGATTGAGTTCACCTGTACTACATGCGGGGCTTTAAACCAAAGCTTCTTCCCGAATCACGGCAATATCACGGGCGGGAACTATCTGCCTCAGCACGCTGTGCCTACCCCAGCCGCTGCCACAGACATGGGAGAACCCTCAACCCAACCCGTTCAAGGGACTGCGCAGCACAATCGGGTTGACGATGCTCATGGTTTTGGAGGGGATGCTACGGGTGCAACACGTGGAGTGCAATCTCCTTGGGTGTCCGGTGCATTGGACGTTTCGATGCCGTCTGCTCACAGCTAATTTGCGTATATTCATTTGATATTATTTGTCACCGGTTGAGGGGTGCCTATTAGGGAGGCATGACACTGGTGCATTCCCTCCGGCAGCTATATTCATAATATGGAGAGTTGAGTTCTGGAAATGTATCTTGTTGGGAAATTTGGCTGCTCGGGATTTATAAGTTCAGCCAATGGTATTGGCCCTGACCTCTTGTATCAGATTACCCCAATGGAACCCAGAAATTAAAACGTGTTCAAGCCCAACACCCTCTTACTACTATGACCCTGGCTAGCATTCTTCCATGTATACGTAGCAATGGTGGCTGTCAATCCAATCATGGCCACGGTTACAGGCTCTGTCAGACGTCCGATATCGATCACCAACATTAGGAACCCGAACTCCGAAAGGAGAATTTGGTTTTATTCCTTATTGGAAGTCTTGTCAGATCAGGCCAGCTGATTAATGCCACGCACCTTTCGAGTGTTGAGTATGGTCTCTATCGCTCCAACGAGACAAAATATCTTTCTTCAAACCAGTTCACGAGACTAGCAGAGACAAACTTGGTTGATGAACTTGTATATGCTTGATTTTTGCAAGTATCTTGATATCCTGATCAGTCTAGATCTATATGTACTACATGACCTCAGCCGGATGAAACTTCGGTCCATGGCACCAACGTGGAGGGATCAATCCAGCTTAAGGTACTGGTAGAAGGTACAAATCCTATAACTTGCAGCTCCATCAACTGAGTGGTGATTGATCCCTACGACTCTAGGTCCGAGATTATGAGAATAGTGCTTGAAATACTCTCGATATCCAATTCGCATACTAAATAGCACCGGACTATTATCACACACGAATACCTAACAAGGTATTGGATAGCATCAGGCCTCCAATAATCGCGGAGGATCCCGGACCCGGACAGATTTATTAATGTAGCACATGTTTCCTGCCACTAGCACTCCAACGATTCTGCACTGTACGTCTCATTATCGATTCACGAAGTGTTGGCATACAAGAGTTCAATCCATCAGCATAAGCATCTCGGTGTATATGCGTCTATTCCCGAGGCTAGAATCATCCGCCGTTATTGTTATAGACTGGATGAAGGCTATCTACTCTCGGAGACCGAGTGCGGAATCGGTGTAACAATAGCCTCAGCCATGGGGAGGCTGGGAAAAGCATGGTCGTCATCATCTAACGAAGGAACAGGGGATTTGTTTGGTCCGCTGGCCTCCATTTAGGCGTTGCGTTGCTAGTCATCAAAAAAACTGACGGTGGCGTATTACCGTCAGGTGGGTTCTTAGCGCTGTATGCAAGCTGTGATGGTTTATCTGTGAGCGAACAAATTGTTTATTTTCATATGAAGACAATGGTTTATTCTACTTAAATAATCATATTTAGATTATAGCTCCCAATCACAGTAATTTTCTATGCTAATTGCATAAATTTGTATATCGCTCTGCTGAAGTATGAGTATACATTCTAAAACTGGCTCGAAGAGTTTTTAATGTAACATACTATAAACCTGACTATATAGATGATTATGACAACAGAAACTATAAAAATGAAAATAAAACAGTCTTCCCTGCGCCCCCAATAATCATTCAATTTCTAATGCCGGTTCTTGTGCTGGCAGAATGGCACGGAGGACTAGTCCACCGTGGTGTGGTTTCCTTATCTTTATATCTGACGATAGGCGCGAGCACTCTCAGATCTTTTCCATATACAATGTCGTTGAAGTGTACAAAATACTTTTCGTTGCTCACAAGATCTGTAGATTTATTCCATGCCTCCACGATCTCGTAATAGAGCTCGATGACCTGAACATCGCTTGTGATCGGAGGGAACTTGAATGACTCTTGGATCTTTGCCACAATTTCGGGCTGTACAAACCCACCCATTCCTCCACGGATGTGGCTTGGAATGTTCCTAGGCCGCACTTCCATGCCAGGAACCTCCAATCGTCGTTGCCCAGTCTCGCAGCATTATCATGATATCCAGTGCCGCAAGAACACCGGTTAGCATGTCAGCGGTGGGAAGGCTAAGAAGGACAGAGTGACCTTCCGACAGGTCAAATAGTTGCCCATCACATAGCTGCACCCCGCAGCCGCATCAGCAATCTGCTACCAGCCAGGACGCTCGGCCATATATCCGTCTAACCCGTAATAATTGTCATTGATGTAGACAATTCGCTTGCACACGTGCAGTGGCTATTTCCAGAGCTGCATCGAGACCAATGCCACGACTTTCCAGAGATTGGTAGCGATAGCCACTAAGGACCATGTCGGCATTTTCGATGAGTTTACCAGACGTGCACGATCTTCTTGCTTGCCCACGTCAAGATCATAAGTCGTTTTACCTGCCATGAGACGCAATTGAGAAGGCTGATTCAGAATGACTTGCGTTAGCCAAAGGAACTCTTTTCTCTCTATTTTTCTTTCTCCCCGATTGTCACTGCTTACCGTCAAATCAACCATCCGCTTGGCCTGAACACGCACCACCTCAGGCTTATGGACTCCAGGATTATCTCACAAGCTGGCGCAGCAATGATGCACGCTAACTAGACAACTTTAATGCCAGCAAGGGGCCGTTTATACGACACACGATGTGTGAGGAGCATAGGTTATTTGTTTACAATTGACCAGAGTGTGTTGTGCCAGATGCCGTCCCTCTGTGTCTTCCGCCACTCTTCTGGGGTGTAGCAGATGGAGCCGCAGAGCCGATGCTCCAACATCAGCATATCCAAGCCATATGGGGAGAACTGCACTGTCGTCTGCTTGGTCGCCTCGTAGGCTTCATCGTACGAGGCGAGCTTGAGATGGCGGCCCAGGCCAAGTAGCTGCAAAACCGGGTCTCCAAATGTGGATCCATGGAATTGGTACCATCACTGGGGTCTTTAGTGGGATAGATCGCGGTGACCCTAACTTCCAGGGACTTTCCAGGTGTCCATCGGTGAAGCTGGGCAAGTGCGAGCTGTACAAGACTGATCTTCTAGTGTTTATCGCTCAACTGGCGAATAGACCGAGTAACAAAATTTTACAGATCCAGCTGTGCTGGACACCAAGCTGGTTGAACACCAGGCCGGTGCAGCAGGCAAGGGAATTGGTTCTTCGAGCGCAAGAGACTGGCAAACCATCACGCGTATTGATACAGACAGCGTCCGCAACGAGGCGGCATGAAGCCAAATCAGATGTGGTGTTATAAGCTGGAGCCTTTTGAATCTAGACTTCGTACAGCTTATTTACAGTACTGGAAACCTTCCAGCGTAGATTTTATTAATAAAACAATAATTCGTGGTTTTGGGGCGCTCTCATTATATATTTAAGATGCCAAATAAGCCAATTAAGCAAGGACATAACGTATTCAGTAAGCGAACGTTCCACGTAAGCGAGCGTTCCAGTCCAATACTCTGCGATAGATTTCAGTCTTATATCACAACAACCCAATTCTGGTATTACAGTTATACTTTTATTCATGGTATAGGAGAGGTATATATAGCAGTTAGGATTAGTATAAAAAGATTGTTTACAGTTAGTACCAACAAAACATAAATTGCATTGTATTTTATGTATTTTATTAAAAAAGAAGCCCAAGCTCCTTATATTCTGGCTGAGCTCTCTTATAATGTATTAGGTTGCTATATATAACCGCATCTTAGAGTTTGATGTCATTGTCTAAGCTGGTTGTGGAGATATAGGATTGAAATCTACCGCATTTACTACGAGTATTGGACTGGAACGCTCGCTTACGTGGAACGTTCGCTTACTGAATACGTTAAGCTCTTTGCTATTGCTAATCAAGGCTATATACTTAGTTATTGGATATGGGCAAGCCGTCACAAGTCTCTTGTGGAGGTTAAAAAAAGTAATAGCTTAACTCTTACTGGGTCTATGGTTATTCAACTAGCACAAAATGCTTACCATCTCAACGCAATACCTATACAATTTATATGGATAACTACTTCTCTACTATTCCACTATTTAATTATCTTCAACAGCGAGGGATTGGCGCCTGTGAAACCACCAGACCGAATATATTTAATGTTGGAATTCAGGATGCCCAAGGCACCTTCGGACATCCTAGACCGCAGCTACCTGATATATCATATTCAGGGTGTTACGGATATGTTGATATAAGGAGGCGAAACACTTCTCATCCTGTATATACACACAACTCACCATGCGATAGTAGATCGTACGATAGTTTAATACTATCCAGTCACCGTAATCCTAGCACCTCACGACATACCTCCTTCCCCTAGAGACTTCAACATTTAAGAAGTTATTTCTAAAGGCTCTTTATATGCTAAAAGATTTAAAAAAGCTTTAACAGTGGAATATTTTATATGCAGCCCCTGCAAGTGCTGATTCTGATATTAATTTTATACTTTGTATTGCATGGCAAGATAGTAATCTTATTACAGCATTATTAACTGTAAATGCTGTACATAAGCCAATTGATTCGATTCCTTTCTTGCGTTAATGCCCTGCGAAGGCCTTAACCAGTGCAAAATTTGCCCGTAAGCCATTTAGTGATCAGCCTACCAAGGCATTTCCAATACCTCGGATTATTAATGGTTATAACAATTATATAAGAGGGGTGGATCATGCAAATTAATTGCGAGCAAGTTATAAGACTTATTACAAATCTTTACTATTGCATTGTTAAAATTGCCGCAGCAGGGAATGAAGGAAATTACTTATCTTGATCCTTTGAATTTTAAAAGGCTCTTATAAAAAGCTTATTAAGCAAGGCCAGGAGGAATCCCCAATGTCCTACAGAACCAAAGAAAAGGGGCCGGGATCTTTAAGATTCAGGTTAATCAGCACATAATAGTGGCCAACTAGCTATTCGAATTTAATCCTGCAAATGCTGCTACTGGTGTAAAGCTCAAGGTAAAGAGACAAAAACTCAAAGCCAGCCTCTCCCAAGGATATTTTAAACCGGCTATAGTTGCAAGGCTTGCAATATTCCTTTATGCAGGCAGGACTTCTTAAGGTCATATTGGGCTAAATTTCACTGTCCAAGGGTTCTACTTGGAGCACGAGATGTAAATTGTATATAGAATACAGATATCCTTGAGGTCACTTCATATAAAACTAGTAGTATAATAAAAAGTAGCTTTTGGCTCAGTGCGTGGTGATAGTGCAAGCAAGCGGCAGAAAAATGGCGCTAATGAGACTAGCGTCTTGCTAGGAAAAGATACTTACGGAGTCCCGAATCCTGTTCAGAAGTTCCGTCGGGGCAGGCTCCGATGCGTAAAGTATCAAAAAATATTGCATTTCCTACAGGATGAGTCTCCCTATTTATACGATTCTTTTTCTCTGCAGTGCCTTATGATTCTTTATCGTGGGCACCATTGACCTGGGAGACCTATTATTTAGTCCCGTTGCTGCTCTCGCTTCATTGACCGTCCCTCTCAGGACCTTTAGAGCAACTTCTTGTGCTACATTCAGCTACAATACCGAGGTCATTGCTCAGATTAGAATAGGATGAACCGGCAGCAAGCTGCAGAGAAGGCATTACATGACCAGTCAAATATTCTTCCAATCAGTCAACTACTGATTGTGTTCACGGGTCTAGCGGTCTCCTTGCTTATCACTTTTGTGGACCAAAATGGCATCAGCGTTACTCTACCCACAATAGCCAAGGATCTCCATGCCCGAAACACTATCTCTTGGGCAGGGACATCATCGCTTATAGCAAATACTATGTTTACGGTGCTGTATGGCCGCCTCTCGGACATATTTGGCCGGAAGATAGTATACCTATTCGCGTTGGCTCTCCTCTGTATTGCCGATTTGCTGTGTGGGCTATCCCAAAATGCCCCTATGTTTTATGTCTTTCGAGGGTTAGCTGGTGTGGCTGGAGGCGGCGTGACGTCTCTGACAATGATAATTGTATCTGATGTCGTCTCTCTCAGAGAACGAGGCAAGTATCAAGGCATTTTGGGCGCATCATTGGGGCTTGGAAATGTGCTAGGCCCGTTCATAGGAGCTGCATTCGTCATGATGTCAACATGGAGAGGTTTCTTCTGGCTTCTTTCTCCATTATCAGCTTGCTCCATAGTGGTGGGCTATTTCCTCATTCCGAACAATGCTCAAAAAAATAGCTTCCGCGAGAACATAAGCCGCATTGATTTCTTCGGGATCATTGCATCATCCGTCGGTATAATCTTCTTGCTTATCCCTATATCTGGCGGTGGATCCTATTTCGAATGGGATTCTCCCTTGGTTATCAGCATGCTCGCCATCGGTGCTTGCTCTTTGATAACGTTCATATTCATCGAATGGAAAGTGGCCACGCTGCCGATGCTTCCTGGTACGTCGTGAACTCACATCGCCTTTGTACGATTGAAACTAATATTTAGGCAGTGGCGTTCTTCAAGAATAAGGTGATTTGTACACTCTTCCTGCAAAGTTTCCTCCTAGGAGCTGTGTATCAATCCTATCTCTACTATTTGCCACTCTATTACCAGAACGCTCGAGAGTGGTCTCCACTTGTATCTGCAGCATTCACTGCGCCCATGGTCGTGTGCCAGTCGTTGGCTTCCATCTTGTCGGGACAGTACATCTCCCGGCGCAGACGTTACGGAGAGGTAATTTGGACCGGATTTGGTCTTTGGACTCTGTAAGCTCTCATTTAGTGCATGAATCTGGATACATGCCGCAGCATCTAATGAAGGCGATTATCTAGGGGCGCTGGTTTGGTCCTTTTATTTGAGCTCGACACTAGTCCAGGTGTTATCGTGGCCGTCGTCGCTATTATCGGTATAGGAGTGGGCGGAACCTTCCAGCCTACCCTCGTAGCCTTCCAGGCTCATTGTACCAAGTCCCAACGTGCTGTCGTTATCTCAGACCGTAACTTTTTCCGCTGTCTCGGTGGTGCATGCGGACTAGCCGTTTCGGCTGCTCTGTTGCAGGCGACCCTCAGGTCCAGCCTACCTGATGGATACCAGTATCTCGCCCATTCTTCTTATTCTTTGCCTTCACGTTCAAATGTTTCGAACGCAGATTGGTCGCAGATTGTCACTGCGTACGCTAAGGCATCGAGGAGCGTGTTTATCCTGCAGGTGCCGTTGATCGGCGTAGCATTTATTGCTTGTCTCTTGATCCGGGATAGGGGGCTAGAAAGGCTAAAGGAGCCGGGAGAGGAGGAAGAGAAAAATGAGACACAGCCTGGCTGTGATAATCAGCAAGGGAGTGCTCATGGCTAGGACGAGCGGTGTTTCCAATAACGAAGTAGACCATAAACAGAGTTCCGTAAGCTCTGATTTGACAGGACGCTCGCATCAAGGCAAGTCCAGCGCATGATCTAGAATACAGTAAAATATTCAATATAAAGCGTACTTGGATCTAAGTATGCTATAGGATTCGTTCTATAGAAATATCAATAGTTCACAGTAGATGTGACTGTCCCCGCACGTTATCGATAAGACCCGTTCGATGCAGCTTGGCGTGTGCCCCATTTCGTCCATCCATTCCCTTCCATCTCCATTTCATTTGCACATGTTCCTCATCACTTTCCTCCAGCCTTGCCGAAATAATGGATACATAGAGACTCCAGTGCCATGGATATCCCTAAGCCAACGCTCCAAGCAAGTTCTTCTTCCCCTTCTCGAGACTACAACCCCCGAAAGCGTGGGAGGACTGCATGCACACGCTGCAGAACGAGGAAGCAGAAGGTTAGTCTCCTCTAGGTAAAGTCTATTGGGTTGCTTCTAACATTTTGTGTAGTGTGACAATGAATACCCAGTATGTTCCAATTGCCACAAGGCTGGCGCCGTGTGTGACAAAGCCTCTGTGAGGAATGACGGCGATCAGCAAAATGAGTGAGTTTTTTTTAACTTCTTATGTATTCGACCTATAAGTATTAATCTTCCAAGGTATACGCGAGCGCTGGAAGAGCGCGTCAATTATCTCGAGTCACAATTGAATAGTGCTGCTAGTAATAATAATAGCAACAACATCGCCCATCCAGGGGCTACACTTTACTCGCCTCGGAGCCAAGACACTGTTCAGGCTGCTCCAACTATTGGAATTGATCACAATGCCGTGGGGGAACTAGTAGGATTTCTTGCTGTGAACTCATCCGAAGCACCTGCATATGTAGGCTCGAGTTCGGGTCTATCTTTGGCAGCAAATCTCGGCGAAATGGTCCAGGCAACAGTGTGGAATCAGATTCTGATCCCATCACGAGGTCAGCAGAATACCTCAAATCCTGGAGGTGCACCATCCGCAGCCAATCCTCCACCGCCAGGTGCAAGAGGGGCTTGTAGTCATTCTCGATTATTGAGAATGGAAGAGATACTAGCAAAAAGCACCATCGAACCACCGAATGACAAAATGGGGTCACGGATGCTTCAGGCCTATCTAACCAGATTACATCTTCGCTATATGTTCCTTGATAGACAGGAGCTGTGGCGGCTTCATGAGGGTCGCTTCCGGTTGGCAAGAGCCAAGAGCGAGGAGCTATCCCAGGCAGAAAGATACGGTATTTTCAAGCTGTACATGGTGTATGCGATTGGGGCAACAGCCATTGAGCTAAGTGAGAAAGATACGTATATTGCACCCGAGGTGAGAGTGCTCATTGTATTCCTTTTCTAGGGTGATCTAACGCCTGTAGCGATTCTACATGACTGCGCTTCAACAAGTCCCAGCTATGTGTGAAGCACGATCTATCGAGAATATAGAAGCCATGACACTCCTGGTATTATATCATCTCCGCTCAGCCTCCAGCCAGGGCGTCTGGTACATGGTTGGACTTGCCATGCGTACTGCGATTGATCTCGGCCTGCATCGAAAGGCAAACGAGATTCACCTTGATCCCATAGCCGCGCAGATGAGACGACGATTATTCTGGACAGTCTACTATGTAGAGCGAGTTGTTTCCATGTCCCTCGGCCGGCCCTTCAGTATCGCGGACAGACATATTGACCTTCCTCTACCCGTGGATGTCGACGATGACATTCGAGATCCAGCGTTGCTGACTGAATCTCCGCCCATGGGCCGAATAACCACCATGACTTTCGCCATATACCTGATTCAACTGCGTCGGATTGACTCCAAGATCCAGCATAAAATCTACCGGGCCGACCGCTCGCTTCACTCCCTGCGCTCGAAAATGGACAGTCTTTTTCTCGAGCTGGAAGAATGGAAGCGATCAGCCCTTTTACGATTCAGTGGGTCCGACCTCGACTATCCCATCTTGCACTATAACCGGGCCCTAAGGCTCCTTCTCCAGCCATTTCTACCCTCCCTCCCCCTCACCGACCCCTATTACCATATCTGCCTCCGAGCAGCCGGCGATATCTGCCAAACCCACAAACGACTGCACCAGACGCTCGAATACGGGCATTCCTTCCTAGCTGTGCAGACCGTCTTCATGGCAGGAATCACACTGCTGTACGCGTTATGGACACACACAAACGAAGTCTGGTCCGTGCAGATGAGCAACGACATCCGCGCCTGCTCCACAGTGTTATTCGTCATGGGCGAACGCGCTGTCTGGGTCAAAAAATACCGTGACGCATTCGAACTCCTCGTCAACGCAGCTATGGAGAAACTCGAAGCCAACAATGACAACACAGGCAGGAAGATTGGAATGGCCGAATTAATGACGGCCCAACACCCGGGAATTATCAATCCCCACTCTTCTTCCTATCCTTCCTCATCTGCTGCGAACCCTGGTATGTTCAAAGTCTACCCGAATCACGCCGCCGGTCCGGCAGGAACGGCTGCTCCGGACGTTCATTCGACCTTTGATACAGACCTCTCTCATAGCCATGGAGTGCGCATGGCTCTGCAACTTGCTCCGTGGATCGATCTCGAAGAAGATAGTCCGTTCTGGATGCCTGATTTCGAGACTCTTGAGAATTTCTCGGGGAATTTATGGAGCGGTGAAGCGCCGGTCCCTTTTGATCCTTTGTAACGTGACTTTATATATTAGTTTCTATTTTTTCTTGCATATACTCTAGAACACGCTTCAACTATGGTTAATACAGTATCCGAAAGGAGCATACAATATCAACTTTATGTGTATGATTTCATCAAATAGGTGTATATTGCCAAGGGCTGAACCCGTAGGACCTATAGAATGGGCTACGTCCAGAAAGGAATCGTTGAAGGGGGGGGAAAGAAAGAAAGAGGAAAACGAGAGGTAAACAAATAAGGTGTAGTCACGTGATATGGATCGAGGGTCTGTCAAATAAGTTGGTGGTAATAGTGACGTAAACAAGGTCATAAAACAGGGGTAAAACGAACTCCCCTACACCTAGCAGAAGAAGCAACCTAATGATCCATAATAATAATCACAAGAATGATCATATGTTGATCAATATAATCAAGAAACCATCTAAGACAATCATTTTAAGCACCTTTTCAAGAATAGTGTCTACCTTCCTATTCGGTATTAGCCGAATATTGAACAGGGTCAATGGGGCCAAAAGGGCGCGTAGGGGCCGTAGGGGCAATAGGGACAATAGGCCCGAGAAGTCAAACGGGCCCCAGCCCTTTACATATATACTGCAATCAGATGCCAGCTAACTACAGGCCGAGTCGAAACCGGTGTCATCCCCTCATACTTTGATTGTTTTTCGGACCCTATTACCAAGTGACGCTAGACTGCACTGTAGGAAGCTCTACAGAACGGCTTGTAAAAAACAATATGTTGCGTAAATATTGTTGAGGAAACTTAATCGGAAAAGTGAGTGATCGGCTTGAGCCAAAATCCTGAGGCCTCTGAGTCACCATATTCAACATGCGGCTACCGAATCACCAAACAAAGGGTTTCACAGCGTGAAATTAGTTATTTATATGGCTACATGGCTTTCTAATTAAAAATGCAGTATTTAAATTTTGCAAGGTTTTATACAGTTTAGAGAGACTTAGGATTTGGGTACAAGTATGGGTTAAAGTTGCCTTTAGATAGTAATAGGTTCTCTGATTATTAAATTAAGTAATTAGATCCTTAATATTCAGCTTCATAGTTAACACAGTCTGATGTTCAATCAAAATATCTTCTCATAACCTTTCTACTTCAATATATAACCCATTTAAATGAGGTGTGGCTCCATGGCCCGCAGTAGAATTACACTCGGTGCGGATTCGGTGCGGTTTGTATAATCCGCTCAGCACTTGGGGAATCATATCCTTACTAATCCTCAATTGGGCTGAAAATTATTATGTTTTATATAACAAATAACTTTAACTTAAGAAGTATATAAAAAAGGAGCCTTTAGTGTGGTTGGAGAGAAAACAGTGTTCAGCATATTACTGGGGAAAATACACCACATGTATACATGTGTATGTATGTGTGGATAGTAATTCTAAATAGTCAGAGATATAATAAGGAGTTGCTGATCTAATAAGAAAAAGCACTTAAAAAGATAAAACAAACTATATAACTATTTAATCTAGCTACGGTTAGATTAATATTGCAATCTCGCTCATCACATGGCCGATTAGGTAGGTACTATGTCCTATGACTTACGAAACAGAGTGGAAATGAAATCAAACCAACTCTATTCGGTGCCTGCAATGACAATATATCACCTCCTTCCACCGTGTCCAGCTGCCTCACCCCCGTCGTTAAGCAGAGCGGACAAACAAAAACTGCAAACCGGGTTCGCCTCCAAAAGCCGCCCTCGTTGCCAACGAAATGAATAAACAAACGATGCAAACTGGCTTCACGCAGGTTCTCACACTATGTATGGATCGTAGAAGCTATTAAATATTAGGACTCCTTGGGGGCCGCCATCAGGATAACAGTCCTAGGGAGAAGAACTATCAGAGTTGGTATATGTCTTAACTAGATTAATTACAAAGCTGTCTGTTTATTTCCAGTATACTATGCTAGTTAGTAGACCACCATTTATCTCCTACAAGCAAAGAATATATAGGATGCGTAGGGATGTAATAAGGGAGTGTCGGTAATAAATTTTTTTTTTTTTTTTTTTAAATTGTAGTACGCGTTATCACATATCGGATTTTTCAGACTTGCGGATTCGGTGGAAACCGCAGAATCCGTTCGGATTCCCGTAGTTTCTGCGGATCTTGTCTTTAGAAACTGCAACCGCATGCGGCTTCCCTGTCTAGGGGCCGGATCCGTACCGATTCGGTGGCGGTTTTTGCAGTTCCTTCGTGCAACTCTAGCCCGCAGTCAAGCAGTTGACTGAGCTTATTTTGATCACATGTATATAAACCGCAATAATTTTAGTGCACAGTGCATAAACAGTACTTCTTAAGTCAGAAACAACCTTTTTAATTCCTTAAGAAAATACTTGGAAAGTTTCATCTAGATTGTTTTTCAATATTTTCGCTTCCTTTATCGACGCCAAGATGGGAAACCTTACAAAGGAACTTCGTATCGCGATTGATGATGGCAACGTTGACAATGTTACTGGGTTAGTAGATGAGTGAGCACCATGATCACTGAGCATTCTTCTTACAACACAACTGAAGTTTTATAATATTCTTGAATTGTTCCTTAATTACTATTGAGATATAGATGCTGACTTTGATGCTTGGACACTATCACTGTGTAAGTTTAACCGGATACCTTAATAACACCTCCAAATAGCTAATATACCGTAGGTATACTTTTGACGATATAACACTTCTTATATAGCTTTTAAAGCATGGCGCCGATCCAAATGAAAGATCTCACATCCGCAATTATACTCTATTATCCTATGCAGTCGCAGAGGCTCTATTTGAAGCTATTGCGATACACTTTCGTTACGGGGATTAACTATCCAAGATGCGTGAATGTACAGACAGGCATATTGGCAGTCCTAAAATATATACACAACAAAACCCAGGTGCAAATGCCATGAATATCAAACAAATTGCTGGACCAGGATTGTCCGGGGAACTTCCAGGTGAATTTTAGGGCCGGACTTGCACCCACTTCATTATGCCGCACTGGCTGGATTGTTGGATTCTGCGAAATTTCTGGTATAGAATGGAAGAGGGGTCTTGGATACTTATCGTTGAACAGCGTTGGGGTTGGTAATCTATCCTAACTATGAGCAAGTGGCACAGTTTTTAAATGGGCTTGGAAACTCTATAATGTCCAAAAGGATCTAATAGTATCAGTATAACTGCCTGAGCTCCGAGAGTTTGTTGTATTGAATTATACAGAATATATTGGTTTCATTTCTATTTAGCGGCTCCGCAATTCGGGATGAAAATGATTAGGAATACTGCCTTTTATTGTATTTAATTTTAATGTCAATGAATCAAAACTGCATTTACCGTGGGCACCAATCCTTTATATTAATTAAAGAGTATGAGGAACGATACTGTTTTCGACTCAGCTTTTACATTATTAGAATTGATTCTAAAGTAACTAATCTTCCTGCAATGAGTGTATATACTTCGTACCCAAAATTTAACCCAAATTTATCATCATTATTACCAATTATAGCATATCTTAAACATGTGAGATTACAAGCCAGGAATCGCAGTTTTCAATCCCTTTGCTATTCTCTTTATCTGCCCTGAATAATAAGCCTGTTCAAACAAGACATGTCAGTAAACCCTCTGTTTCAACAATGTAGTTAAAACTCAAAAAAGAACTAAAAAGATAGAGAGAGGAGAGAGGCATACGGTTTCCAATCCCGCCCCCACCCCTTTCACCGGAACAAGCCTTGTATAAAACGGAGCAGGGACCTTCCCTAACTGCATCTGTGCCTCTTCATCTTGCAGGCTCTCATCCAGCAACAACTGTGGAAAACGGGTGTCAATAGCCGCCGGACGTCCGATGCCGACCAGGTCGCATGCGTCCTGGGCGATTGCAGCTTCGGCTCCTGCGCGCGTGCGGAACCCCCCTGTGAGCATGAGGACGAGAGAGGGGAATCGTTTACGAGTTTCCGTGGCGAATTCAAGGAAGAAGGCTTCTCTGGCTGCAGTGCGGGCGGATTTCTTCTCTGGTGTTTGTGTTGTTGGGGTTGAGTGGTTGCCCATCATCTGGAAGTAGTATTAAGTTAAGATGGAAGGGACAGGCCACGTAGAAAGAAAGAATATGCTGCTTACTCTGGGATCCTTGTAGTTCCCTCCGCTGACCTCGAGGAAGTCGATACCTGCGTCTACGAGAAGGCCGATCTGAGTCATGGTGTCTTCGAATGAGGCGGAGTTGTGATCGGCTGAGTTGAGCTTGGCGCCGATGCAGAAACTAGACGAGACGGTTTCGCGGATCGCAGCGATGATGTCCAGGATGAATTTGGCGCGCTTCTCAGCCGATCCGCCGTAAGCGTCGGTTCGATGGTTTGTCTGTGGAATTCAATTCGATAAGTAATAGGTTTCTTATAGAAAGCAGAATGAAAAAGTTATCGTACCTTGGGATTCAAAAATTGATCTGGTTAAGATTGCAGGTTTAGTATTAGCTATTCAAGCCCTTATGATATGGACAGTGACAGAATTACCGATTAAATACCCATGTGCACCATGCAATTGCACCCCCGAGAAACCACTATCAGCCATCAACCGAGCGGTATCGACAAACAGTCGCGTCACGGAGTCAATATCCGCCTGTGTCATCTCTCGCGGCGGCGGGAAAGTAATCCAACTGATAATTCGCTCGATCAGACCATCGCCCATTACTAGAGGAACGGCACTGGGGGCAATTGTGGAAGCGAAAATGCCTCGATTGCCAGCGATTCGAAACGACTGTCGGCCTGGATGGCAGATCTGAACAATGGATGGGGTTCCATGCTGTTGACAGGCATGGGCAATCTTGCTCCAAGCTTCCACCAGTGTCGCATTGTTCTCTACCCCGGTATATTCGGCGGGGAGGGCAGGGTCGAATGGGGTTCCTAGATGGTTGACATCGACTTGGACGTTACCTGTTGCCGCGTAATCAGTATATCCGTTGTTTCCCCTTTCTTTCCATTTTTCTCTTCCTGTTCGCATGATTCAGTCAGGGGACGAACCGGTCAGAACACCTCCCCATCCCCCTTGACCCCACTGGTTATACACTTCGGTCAAATCCGGATTGGGCGTATGCTGGCATCCGGCTAACAATTCCGCCATTGCAGCCTACAAGAGTCATTAGAGAATAGCTTCTTGTTCCGTCCGGTAAACTTCACCTTCACTAGACGGTTTGAAAAGACTACTCCGCAAGGGAGCTTCACTGGTTCACTCAGAGAAGACGGCATTGTGAGTATGTCGATGAAGATGGAGATGGAAACTTATCCAGGATCCAAAAGCATCGGACTCCGTTTTTATATCTTTTTATATGTATCTGTTGAGCCGAGGTTTCGGCCTTCCCTGCGGTGGTTGTGGATAAGGACCGCCGCCATTAAGTACTACTAGTAGTAGTAAGTTTGAGGACGATGAAGTGAATGGTGCTCTTAAAAAGACGGGAAAAGGCAAGGATTGGCTGCTGGACGCGCAGGCGCCACGCGTGCGGGTTCTGCCTCAGGCTAAGCGCCGGCGTGCGATTCCCAATGCGACAGTCGTTGCGAGCTGCAGAACCACCGTGAAGAATAAACTAAGTTAGTCGGGGATTTGAGTCTATCCGCCTGCTCCACTTACTCGGGGAAATTACTAATTCCCCACGACTTAGTTGGAGAGGGGAATCTAGGAGATCTCCTGCCTAGTACCGTGGATCAATCAAATCTACGACACATGTACCGCCAAAATGGTCAATCCGAAATGTTCATAGATTCATCTAATTTGCTATTCCAATATGGGAACGCAATCTAAAACAGGGAACCAAACCCAAGTCTGCATCAGTGCAAGAGTGAAATTGCTATGAGGAGTAATGCAAGAAGCCGAAAGAACGGGGTATAACAAGGAACAAGGTGCTTTCTTCCAACAAGTCCAGTAACACGCTTGAAATGAAACTCAAATTATCCTGGCAAAGCTATCATTCAAACTATGGACGACGAGGCGCCCATGGAACATGCCATCGAGACGACAAGGGTGGAGACAGAGGGAGAAGAAGGAAGAAGAGTGCTGGTAATTACAGCTTAGCATTCTTGTCGGCTTCCTCGTTTGAGAGTCCGTTCAAAGGCAGCGAGCCCGGGCCCAGATTTGACAACAGAGCACCCACTTCCCTCTCCAAGGCCAGCACTTCGGAGTGAGGGTCATACATGCGGGACTTGATCCACGCATCCAGGGCGGCATCGTCCATCGTGCGCAGAGTTGCCTCCCGGTCTACTTTTGCCTCCTGGGCGGCTCGGATGACTTTGCGAGCCACCACCACGCTGACCGAGCGGATGCGAGTTAGGTCGGGATACAAGAGACCCCGGTCGATCTCCTCTGCGGTGAGCGCCTGGGAAAGCGCGTCACCCGAGGCGTAGATCATGCTGTCGGTGACCTTGACCGCCTTGGAGAGAATAGTACCCAGACCAATACCCGGGAAGACGTACATGTTATTGCCTTGTCCCGGGTAGTAGGTGCGAGTCTCACCTTCCGAGTTGGTGAAGGAGAAGGGCTGGAAAGGGGAGCCTGATGCAAAGAGGACACGGCCATCTGTGTGGGTAACGGCGGTTTCGTAGTCACATTCCGACTTCGAGGAAGGGTTGGAAAGAGGGAAGACGATGGGGTGTTTGTTCCACTCCGCAACCTTGCGCAGGATATCGGGGGTGAAGACACCGCCCAGGGTAGACAGACCCATCAAGATGGTCGGCTTCACATGGTCGATAACTTCCTCCAGAGTCTTCCACTGCTGGCCTTGGTTGTCCGTCCGCGCGAAGTACACCTTGTGGTCGGCGAGCTTGTCACCACGGTCCAGGGTGACGAGACCCTTGGTGTCGACCAGGTAGAAGCACGAGCGGGCCTCATCCTCGGTCATACCCTCCCGCACGAAGAAATCCACAATCTGTTTCGCAACACCCACGCCGGCACTTCCCGCTCCAAAAAACACGGCGCGATGATCCTTGCAGGGAACGCCGGAGCGCTTCACGGCGTTGATGACGCCACCGAGAATGACAGCTCCCGTCCCTTGAATGTCATCATTGAAGCATGTGTAAACATCGCGGTAGCGCTCCAGGGCGGGGAACGGATTCTTGAAGTCTTCGAATTGGATGACGATGCTGCAGGGCGTGGTCCGCTCCGTTAGTGTCCGGCCTTTTCGGAAGATGTTGGGACGATCGGGGAGGAGGGGGGTGAGTCACTTACCCAGGCCATTGCTCGGTGAGAGCAGCCATCAACTCATCCATGAACTCCCGCTCCTGCTCCGGGGTGATCTTGTCATGTCGGCTACCCATGTACAGCGGGTCTTCCCGGAGAGCCTTATTGCTAGTCCCCAGATCCAATGTCAAGGGAAGGGTGGCCTCGGGACGAATCCCCGCACATGCAGTGTAAAGAGCTAGCTTGCCAATGGGGATGCCCATCCCGTTGATGCCAAGATCACCTAGACCGAGAATTCGGGAGCCATCGGTGATGCATGTGATCTCCACATTGGGCTGGGGCCAGTTGGCTATGACGGCGGCCAGATTGCCGCGATCTTCCCAGCTCAGGTACATGCCTAGGCAGGGGTCGTTAACATGCCGGATTTGAATCGTCGCAGGAGCTGTAACTTACCTTCCGGCTGCTGGTAGATCTCGGACCATCGTTGGCATGCTTCACCCACGACTGGGGTATAGATCAGTGGGGTCAATTCCTGTCCAAATATTAGCACTACTGATGATCACGAAAATGACACTTCTGAAAGAACTGCAGAATGCCTCGGTATTTTTTTATTAATTTTTTTACAAAAAAAAAAAAAAAAAAAAAAAAAAAACCACAAATACCAAAAAAACCAAAAAAAAAGTCTCAGAGCGTACCCTCAAATGATCCGTCACAAGACGGTAAAATAGATGCACGTTATTCTTGCGAATTGTGCTTAGGTAGAGGAATTTATCGATCGGCGAGCTCTTCAGGGCCAATTGGGCCAGGCCTATCGAGTTATTAATCTCCAGACTAAGAATAACGAACGTGAAATGTGCGGTTGCGAAGTGTACATACAGCGTGTTTTCTGGACTTCGTAGGACTCCGCACGCGGGGGAGTCAGACCGTAGGTGCGGAGATATTTGCGAATGTATGCAGGGTTCGCGGTGTCGTAATTGGTCTCTCTAGGTGGGAAGAATTGGGTAAGTAACCTCATATACCAAGTCCTCATGCCATCTCGAACATCCAATTTTTTTTTTTGGTTTTCTTTTTATTGACTTTTTCGTAAATCGAGGGACACGTACGTTGGAACTGCATGGACCGGCCGGTTTTGTTGCGCAGGATAACGAGCCATGGGGGCGATCTGAGTCACGGTGAAACCAGCCTTAGAACGAGGACAGGTAGGAGAGGTGGAAAAGTAGGAAACAGAGGTGGAATGGATGGGGGAAGCAGAAGTGAAGAGTAGTAGTGATTGAGATGATGAGGCCACAGGTGGCAGTCTGATTTTATGTAGGCGCACTAACATTGAACCCCCCTGAGCACGAATCCACCACATTCCGATGGTCAGGATGCAGCGGCGGTGGTGATCTCCAACGAAGACGTCGCGAGAAAGAAGAAACAGGGCTGTGGCCGGTGTTGACGAAGTCTCTGGCTCAGGAGTCGGGAAGAGCCGGGGACGAGGGAGCCAGTCAGGAGGGTCGGGATCGAGACGGTGGATATCGGGAGCAGTGGTTGCATGGCAGCGAACCGTTTCGACCGCGTCACAGGAGCTGGTGGGAAATGGCGATACGAAGCTTTTGGGAAATTGGGGGAAGGGTGGAAACGTGAGACGAATTGGGAACGGCTGTGGAGAAAACGGGAAGAGACTCCGAAAACGACCAAGTGCGGAGAAAAAGACACAAAGACAGAATAGAGGATAGGCAAATGAGAAGGCGAAAGGGAAGGGGATCGAGAGAATGGGTGAGGCAATTCTAGATGCCAGGACGATAACTACCGTGTAGTACGGAGTACAGTCGAGGAGAATATGCTGATTTGTTAAGGCTCTCGAGAAACGGACCTGATATGTCCAGTGGGGGATTTTTTTAGTTTTTCTTACTTTCCTATTTAATATTATATTATGTTTATTTTAAACTTTCAATACTATTTCATTACTATTTTTTATTTTTTTGTTGAGAATGTACCTTCACGTCCATTACTATTCCGTTCCCCCTGGTTGGATTTTTGTTGGGCCTCTGGAGTAAGCGAAATCGATCGATTGGACTTTCCCTTTGGACAGATCCATTGACTTTCGTGATGCCAGGGAATCTCGAGAATTACTCCGTACTCCGTTTCTCGTCGTACTTGGACAGAGCTTGCATCGACAGGAATGGCAAGTCTCCGCCTTCAGATGCAGGCGGCATCCGGAATGGCATCCCGATGACTTGATGTCCTGTTTCTTACATTCTCTCTATCTCCCTGTTTCCATCTGTTTTTCTTTCTAGTTTTTCTAATTTCTTTGTTTTTATTTTAGTTTAGTTTTTTCGTAGTGGAGTAGAACCAAACATCCATCATCCAGACAACGAAAGATTTGACCTCACTAAATACTCCAGTGGAGCCGGTCTCATGTGGCAGCAATTAGGCTTGGACGACACTAATATAGACCACCATCACCTAGTAGTGGACTAGACGCTCTATCGCCAACAAGACTAACTGCGAGAGGAAGGGTTCCAGACTGGAGCTACTGTGTGATTCTTCATCGCTAGGGTTGAGTCCCCCATCACGGCCCGGACGCTGGCCGAGTTCGGCTTCTTGAGTCAGCGTCCATATTGCCGTTATTAATGAGTCCTGCAGACGAAGACAGACAGACATACGGAGTAACGGAATAATATACTCGATCGAGATTCTCCGTCACCTGTACCTTTTCCTTTCTGATTTCGCTTCGTCATGCGAAACATGTCGCATGTTCTAACCACCACATATAATGTGACTTATGACTTACATGCATCTATCTCCCTACAGCGTACTTCAACCCAGAAATTAAGTTGAGATTTCCTTGGTTTTTTTGTTGTCAGTCCTTGAAACTCTCCAAACAGCTACCAAGTCCATCAGCTCTGTCTAATCCACCGAGACTCGGCTCCGATCGGCCCCGACCGATGGAGACGTCGGATGGAGCACAACTCCTAGCTTTTCTCCTCAACCAACGCCCAGCCAAAGTCCTCTCCAGTCCTATGTCCACTTAGGGTTCGCCCGGGAAGACTATGGATAAAGTATCAGAGCATTCGAGCCTTCGAGGCCCATGTCGCCCTCGTAGTACTGACGTGCAGAAGTACCAACTCTGTACTTCATACATTTCATCTGTCCTAGTTAGTTACACCCTAGTTAGTTAATAGCTAACTAACTAGGTAACTAGCTAGTTATCCCTCACTCTACTTGTCGGCCCAAGTACTTGTCAACAGTGAGTCTTTTTTGCCATACACCCGATGCATCGAGTACAGCTAATCTTCCCCTTGCTTTTCTTTCTTTCCTTTCTTTTATTAAATACTCCATAATAAGGGAATGCTGGGTCCATTGATCATCTACTCCTGACATGTTGACATCGTATCGTTTAGAGTCTAGCCTACTTCAGTTACCCACATTTACCTGGTGTTTTTAACTTCCCCCGGATTCATTGGACAGCTTGCATGAATCACAAAAGCTTGGTTCGTTGCTGATCATCCCCATACGCAGAGCCTTGCTCGTAGTCCATCATTCCGTTGGGCACGATCCCGTGCAGCTAAACCCCTGCAGGAAGTGGCTATGTCCAGTACTCAGAGTACGGAGTACTTCATAGAACGTGATTCAAATCCCTCATGTCCATGTCTCTCGGATCGAACTTGTGTCATCCCCAGCGGAAACACGTTGCGGCTGTATTGTACATACATACTCTGTACTTCGTACTGCAGGTCTAAGCTGTTTTTGTCTGGAGCAATCTATTCCAGTTTAAGGGTAACACGGGGTGATTAACCACACCCTCACCCGGCTGGGGGTGGCGGTGGCAAGAGATCAAACATGTTACTCTGTGGCACTGTGCTTTAACTGCCGATCTACTGCGTACTCCGTAGCCATACTATGCTACGTTAGGCCAGTGAAAGGGAGACAGATTAGATAGACTTGCTATGAGCTTTTTGAGTACTCTAGAGCAAAGGTTCAAAGGCTTTACGATCGTTGTCTCTGCATCATCCTCGGGTTAAACCTCCCATCGTAATAGTCAACCGTAGCCATTCAGTTATCAGAAGAACGCAGAGGTAGCTAGACTAAGCAGGGGGAAGTTCGTATTCTTGCTATTTCCTAGTCTCTCGTCAGGCAACCAGCGGCCTTTCTACAAAGACTGACATATTCCGATGGTCTCACTTTCTGTCCCCACCGTACGGGAATTCTTTCCTCTTCCACGAAGGATCTGTAGAGCATTCTGATCTCCATGTTGATGTGCGCTATACCGTTTCTGGCAATCTTGACAGCCAGATTTCCAAAATGGATGCCTGAGGCCCGCTGACATACCATACCGGCCACCGAACTCGCCTCTGTATCGCCTATAAAATAACACTTTTATTGACCTTAATATTTTAACAACAACATAGAGTTATGATAAAAATAGAAGTATTCCTTGATATGTAAATAATTCAGAATGCCTATACAATTTAATTAGAGTTTGTAAGATTTTCATTGACTTATAATACAGGATTATTTTAAATACCACTGTATTTAAAAGTATTTTTTTGAATTATAATGAACTAGAAATCCTACAAGAACATAGGGTTAGTATTTATATATGTGCCATTGCACTATTATACATAACAGATTTTAGGCCCTCTTGGCATGTTGTTGTTAAGACACTAGGCATATAAAATATACAATACAGAAGCGCGTAGCTCGGTGGCCCGCGCAGTTCGGTGTTCGCCGACGGAGTTTTCTAAACACATAGAATTTGGATTGTGCTCGAGGATGGGAATAGGTTGATTGTCGTATGACTTCGACCGCGAAGGTGCCTCTGAGGACTACCTACTCACCTGCCTCATCACATCGAGAATGTGTACTTGTACCATCGCTCGATGTATGCCGTCACCTGACTGGGTAAAAGCGGCGGACAGTGACGCAACAAAGAATGAAGCTAGCTGAGATACCAATAACAACCTGGAAGTAGTTAGCCGCCCTGCATCCTGGTCAGACATTGAGCCTTTACCTCCGCTTTGCTGATCCTTGGATTCCCGCGGAGTCCTCCGGTCTGCTTGCAATCCATCATCGGTTATCTCCTAGTCCAGCCTGATCGAGATCCCATCATTGTGACGACGGTGTCGGCCATCCTCCGCTATGCCGCACGGAGAGACAGAGCCCCTTCTTCCTCGCTACGAGGAGGAGACGCCCCTCCGGCGTCGCTTGCATCAGAAGCTACACTCCTATCAGATGCTCCACGCTCTGTCGGAAGGTTACATGCCCTCGACGGACCAGCTCATCGCCAACCTTAGCTCCCTACTGGCTTCGGACATTTTCAACCCCCGTACTCAAGAGATCGGCACTGTAGGCCGCCAGTTGATCCGGGACTGCCGTCTCTGTCTCCAGGTGTTTATCGACTTTCTGCGGGACAAAAACAGTGATGACCAACTACAAGACTTTTTATGGCATCTTTCCCGATCGAGGGCCTCACTGCGCCCCAGCCATATCTCGCAGCATGCTTCTCAGGTGAAGGCAAGGGCAGACTCTAAAGCTGGTATTGGCCTCCCGGGCAGACGGCGTCTGTTGCGATCACCCGGCTAACGGTGTAGTGATAGCGTATGATAGTCTTCGTACCGTGGGACAGCTTCTTTTAACCAATGCCGACTTTCGACTCTTCGTCGATGACTTAACGACAATCGGTCGCCGGATCTTCTCAGACACCACGGTTACTTTATCAGCCACCTCACAAGAAGCAGGCGAACAGCTGAAACCGTCTGCAGAGGATGTCCATGAGGTGAACGGTGCGAGTGCGGATGAGGACCGCGCTCCATCAAATGAGGAGTTACGCCAGGAGATTACAGATGTGGCGGAGTCTGCAGGCAATGAGATGGCTCATACAGGCCGGGAGGCAGTTGAGAGTGTAAAGGAACACCTAGGAGGGCAGCAAGGGGAGACTCTGTTTTATCGGTTGAAACAAAGCATCTTGAAACTCCGAGAGCGTCCCGATTACTCGAATTCGGTTGCGACGCTGGCGCAGCTGGTTCGTCGATATGCTACGATCTACGCTAATGCAACGCCTGATATTGCGGCAGCAGCTGAGGACATTGACAACAACGCAGACCTCAAAGAGGCAATGCAAAAGCTCTGGGCCCTGCTTCAATCATTCGGTGATCCTATGGAATGGAGCATCCTGGAACAGAACTTCAGACAACTGCTGCGGCATGCCAACAACGACCCTGAATTTGAACGGCTGATGTCGGAGATAGGCTCCTCCATCCAGGAGATGCTGACCAGTCCCGATTTCTTTGACTCTGCCCCCGAGAAGATCAAGGAACTGGAAACCAAATCCAAGCAAGTAGACGTTGGATCCAACCTGCGTCAGGATGTAGACGCCTTTCTGGTTCAGGCCAAACGGGCCATATGGACAGTCCCTGAAGACTCGGCGGTATCTAAACTGATCGACGCCACGGAGAAAACCTACAGAAATGCCTGGGTGGGGTACTACGATCAGAAAGAGCGATTGCCGCTTGACTTACTAGAAGTGCTATTCCCTCTCTTTCTCCGATGCATCCATTACATTCCAATCCCACGGCTGGAGATCTCCGCGCCGGAACTCGACCTTCTGCTGGAAAACTTGATCCTGGAGCCTGGCCACGCAGCCCAGTTTTCCTCATTCCTTCCATGCCGGATACACATCACGACACGCAATGACATTGATATTATAAAACGGCATTCGAAAAGAACCGAAACCGATCTCAAGACTACATTCACCGCCACAATCATGGGACTGAACATCAGCGCCTCTGAGTTCGGATACTGGCTCCGCACCCACTCGGGTCCATTCTGCCTATTCAAAGACGAAGGCATCGCCAGCTTCTTCCTCGACCGACGCGGCATCGACATCATCCTGGATGTCGAAGTCGGCCGAGACCGTCTCGAACAAATCTTCACCCTGCGCGGCGTCCGCGTGGTCATCCACAAACTCGACTACCAAGTCCACAGCAGCAAATGGAGATTCCTTCTGTGGTTGATGAAGCCTTTGCTCAAACACCTGCTCCGTCGCGTTGTGGAGAAGAAAATCGCTGAGCAGATCGTCCAGGTCGCGTTCGCTCTGAATCGCGAACTGGTATTCGCGCGGGAACGACTGCATGCTGTACGAATCGCCAATCCGCACGATCTCGTCAGCTTCGTTCACGCCATCCTGGCTCGACTGTCCCCCACGTCGTCGCTATCTACTCGAATCGGTATTGACGTGCCGGGAAAGAGTGTTTTCAAGGGTGTTTATGCCCCTGAGAGTCTTGTCAAGGTGTGGCATGAGGAGGCAATCCGAGCTCAAGAAGCCATTGAAGAGGGGGATGAAAGTCACCGGTTAATTCACACTTGGCGGAATGATATATTTGATGTGCCTACATCTAGATCACATCTGGGACGCTAATGTAGCCGGTAGGCTGGTTATTTTTACTATGATGATGATTTGTTTATTTTTCTTTCTTTTTCTCCTTTCCTTGTCTGTTAGTTGTCTGGACCCCAAATACGCCAGTAGCAAGTAGTATAATGGCAAGCGCCCTAATCACAAGCGTTCATTGGTTGCTGAAACTCTTATATGAATATCTAAGGCCGGGTTTTATTAATCGAATGGTTTATCTTGAAATTGATCATGGGAATCCACTATTAGCATTTGTATTTCAAGACAGGAAGTCGGATGTACTCTTCAATATTGTTGACTTCATATAGCTCGGCAATAGCAATTTCAATGCTAAAAGAAGACTTGTATATTACTATGGTGTATTATTTTAAGGACCTTAATGGCAAGACGATCTAATGTATACCAGTTTTGAATACACCTCTAGGTGTAGTAGACTAGGAGGCCCAAAAGAGTCAGGAAATTATTAATCTGATAAATAACGGCTGCCGACTCATTGCTATAGTTACAGACGGCAGAGAAGATATTGACGGGTTGGAAACGGTGGACGTCGACATTGTGGTAGAATGTGTTAGGTATGTCATTCTATATTTGTGAATGAAATTTGTTTGATAGTCTTATTGTAGAAAAAGCATGGAATATGTTTGATAGTTTTATTGTGGAGAAATATCTACTCCGTAGTGGACTGTTGTAGATTATCTTGCATAACCTTCCAACCAGGTAGGCGCCAGCTTCGTTTCGCACCCAAATCTCTGTTATATTAGCCATCAATGTTGTTACCATCTTCAGATTGTTGTCATGACATGATTCATGAACTTAATTACTTATCATAGTCCATTTTATTGGCCGGTGTAATCATGTTACAAATCTGCTGTATATAGTACTTAGTATTCACTATTTACTGAACTGGTCAATCTATTAAAACTACCTGCTTAAACAACTGAAGATTACCTCTATTAAGAGGTGTATAAGAATATGGGATTAACGTATTGTCTAATCTAATGATCTAGTAATATACAAACCCCACCCCCCTGGATATTTGGAACATATCTGGAATTCAATTGAGATATTATAACTCATCCTTCGGTGGAGGTGGAGGCATCGGCCGACCATTTTCCTTGTCTAATCCCACCCCCTTCTTCTTGCGCCATTTCTCCCACAACGCGAAGAACTCTTTCTCCATGCCACTTTCCATCTGATCCGGGAGAATAACCGTATACTCAACGTACAGATTGCCTGGTTCTCTATCTTGGTCGTGGTTTTCGTGGAGATGTCCTTCTGAATAGAACGGCATGCCTTCGCCCTTGACCGTCTCCACGGATAACGGCTGCACGACCTCGCCGCGCTTGCGTCCCAACTGCACCACATGTCCGTCCAGATGGGTGACATTGCGCGTCCACTCGCCCATCCACGCTTCCCGCAACGAGAGGGCCTCTTTCCAGAATAGATCCCTGCCCTTCCGACGGAAAAACGTGCCGTCGTTTCGGTGTTTGTCCGTCGTGCTCAGCTCCGGTTCCTTCTCCTCCAGGATCAGGACCAGATCACCGGCAACCCAGTCAGGACTCTCGTCGGCTTCGTTCTCAAACACAATCCGGTGTCCCTTGTCCATTCCCGGTTCGACGGTGAACACCGTCTCCACATCTCTTCGGACGACGCGGTGTCCGTGACAGACCGGACACGGCTTCTTGATCGTCTTCCCCTTTCCACCGCATTTGTCACATTGCATCTGCACCTGCTGGAACATCCCCGGAGCCAGCATGTGTTTCTGTATGAACACTCCGCGGCCCGAACACTTATCACAGGTGACAACCTCGCGATCCGCTGAACCCGTCCCTTCACAAGCGTCACAGATCTGCTGCTTCTCCAATACGATCTCTGCCTCCCTGCCATTGTAGAAATCACGCAGTGGAATACCAATCCGGAATTCCATATCTGGCCCCTTCCGATGTCCCGGGGCATGGCCGAAATGCCCTCCGCCGCCGAAGAAGCGAGAAAACAAGTCGAAGGGGTCGTGTGCCTGTCGTCCGGCCGATCCACCCTGGCGATGCTGATTCACTCCCTCGTGTCCATACTGATCATAGATCTTACGTGTAGTAGGTGTAGATAGGACATCATATGCTTCGGCTATCTCGACGAATTTCTCTCGCGCGGTTTCATCGCCACTAGACAGACGTTAGAACCAGCGGTGCTCTCGTTGAACGATGGAAAATACCAGGCAGTACTCACGGGTTCTTATCAGGATGGTACTTTTTGCTCAACGTCCGATACGCCCTCTTGATATCCCTCTCGGACGCCGACTTGTCCAAGCCAAGAGTCTTGTAGTAGTCCTCGACAGCCAATACCACGTGTAACAGACACAATGCAATGGCCAGAAAAAGACAGATTAGACGCATGCTGAATGATATTCTCCCCAAGCTGCACCGCAGCTTGTGCGCCGCAAACAAAAAGCCCGTTCAGAGACGGCGGTTCAGCCAACGCAGATAAGACGAAACAGTGGAATGTCGTTGTCTATTTATTGAAGCAAATATGAAATGCGACGCCTAGTCAGCCATCCAGAGGAAATCGCTTGGAGACTCGAGATCAGTCAAGATCCCAAGATTGTGGTGAAATTTGTGTTGCCGTGTATACTTTTGGTCGTAAACGATAGCTGTCGATTCCCGAATGGACTAGGTGGCCGCAATACGGGTGATGGTTATTCCGACCGGAATCACGTGAAACATACTGTCGGCTATTTGAGAGTGAATTGATGCATAATGTAGATAAAAGAATTGCATGCATATCAATCTGATAATATCCAGTTCGCATTCCCTGGATGTATGTACGATAGATAAATACTGCGACGCACAAGGTAGAATTTGTACATCCGATGGCCCTATGTAGGCGGAGGCCTAGTTTGTCCCGTTTGCACCAATACCGCCGGCAAAACCACACCGCTATTACAATTTTATCTCAGCATTATTTTCAAGCCTTACGAAACCCCCTCACGCATCATACCAAATAACCCCATTCAAAATGGTCCGTCAACTCAAATACCACGAGAAGAAGCAAGTTCTGCCCTGTCTCCCTCACACCCTGACAAGACCAACTAACTAACAGCGTATAGACTTCTCCGAAAACACAACTTCGAAGAATACAAATCCGACGGCGGACATCGCGAAGCCTCCATCCGCCAACGATACTACCTCCCCGACGCGCTTGAATATAAAAAATACAACACGATATGCGGCTCGCTGCGCCAGCTATCGCATAAGCTGACGCAGCTGGATCCGAGCGACCCCGTGCGCAAGAAGATCGAGAGCGAAATGCTCGATAAACTATGGCGAATGGGGATCCTCAAGCAGAGCCGTGAACAAGGTGCCGGGTTATCTCGTGTCGAGCGAGAGGTCACCGTTTCGGCTTTCTGTAGGAGGAGATTAGGCGTTGTTATGGCTAGGTCGGGGATGGTGGAGAATGTTAAAACGGTTAGTTCTCTCTCTTTCTCTCTTCCCTTATATCGGGAGCGGGGTTTGGTTGTGTATTAATATAATCTGATGAAATGTAGGCTGTCACGTTCATCGAACAGGGCCATGTGCGAGTGGGAACGGAGGTGGTCACTGATCCTGCATACATGGTGACGCGAAATATGGAGGACTACGTCACCTGGGTGGATAGCAGCAAGATCAAGCGCAACATCATGCGCTACCGCGACAAGCTGGACGACTTCGATCTGCTGTAGATGGTGTGATTGTGGTGATTCTGCCCTGGTCGATATACCCTTCATTTATTTACGTTCCTGTTACTTTTGCTCTAATGGTATTGCATGGCGTTTATTACTACGGACAGACTTCCTAGTTGAACTACAAAGAATAGAGAGGGAAGTCGGTGTAAAATAAAGAATGATAGAATTCGGTCCAATCTATTGCATCTCTGAATGGGTATCATAACTTCAAATCTCCAATCCGCACAAAGAATAGGAACCAGTAGTGTGCTCAACACACCTTGATTTCTACTCAGGTTTAGCCGTCTCTGGTCAAGCTAACCGCTATATGGAGACGTCTAAAAGCGCCAGGCTTCATGAATACTATCCTCACCGGCGCCAGACGGCCATTACGGTTTGTGGGTGACACCAGTTCACCGCCGACCCCAGTGTCGCTTCCGATGCAAAGTTCACGCAGAACCACTTCTCCGCCGAGTTCCAATCCTTCCCACTACCAGCTTTCTTTTTAGCTTCAATCCTACTTTATTCTCGGTAACTGGCTCGTCCGGGAGATCCATGCGAAATCTCCGTACACTCCCCTCGTAATTCCCTTTGCCGTCTTTCCCCTCTTCGAAGAACGGAGTGCGATTGTCTCTAGACTGGCACCATCGGGGAGCGACCCGGCGCCAGAATCCTCGCATACCGCTGCTGGCTCGGTCGATCTTCTCGTACTCACGTCGCCGGGTTGACGGCGAGGTCCAGTCGATTACTGTGGCGGAGGATTGTATCGGTAAAATTGGATCCCCACCGTGAGCATCGCTGAAGACGGAGCATACCCGGACCGGAGAGTTACAGTCGATGAGTTGGCCGCTGAGGACGGGAGAAAGCGGAGGCGTACTGATATTTGAATACGTGTGAACGGTACGTGGAGGTGTATGAGTGCCAGCGGAGGACGAGGGGGGCTCGTTGTGCTCGTTGAAACGAGACAGTCTGTTATTTTGAAACAGTCGACAAGATTCCCGATGCAAAGACAAAAGGTCCTGACGTCGGATCTCTTCGTCATCCAAACTGGGAGCCAGGGACGGTGTAAGCGAAGAAACAGTTGCTGCGCGATGGTGCGAAGAAAACGAGCTGTGGCGACTACTAGGAGGTACACACCGTCGAGTGCTGCGAGAAGCTGAACGCAAACACTGTGGGGGCGTATTCAAGGAGGGAGATGGAGGGGAACCTGTCCGCTTTCGCTTTGGAGTCCGACGGCTGTCAGGAGCTGATGATGATGTACCGGCCATCTTTGGAGCGGTCGAGTGGCTCTTCTCCGTCGAAGGCTCATTGCAAATCCGACCCGATTGAGGACGTGAGTCACATGAATCGACGGGGATTTCGGCGACTCTGAGCATGTCCTTCTGGGAGGCCATAGTGCTCAGACGCGGTGAGATCGGACAAGACTTATATTCGACAAAAGGGTTCGTCACCAAACAAGACGAGACATCCCCAAGGCTTGTAGTGAGTGGAGAAGATGCAAGGGTAGGGGGTACTATGTACAGCGGGCGGTTAGGGCTGCTATTATTATGACCACATTCATGCAAAATACTGTCACAGTAGGCGCCGTGAAGATTAAATCGGCAGCATGTGGAGGCAACAGCCATCAGGTGCCGAAGAACTGTGGCTAACAGAGACGAGGGGATGATCTACCACAACTTCACATGCTCGGATGCTAATTTGCACCAGTCAGGAGCAATATGGGAAAGGAGATCAGCCGACCAAGAAGGCAATCCGTCCAAATACTAATAAGAGCGACGGCGACTGTAATAGTGTCTGGTTTGTCACAGCTAGAGGGGAGAAACGAAAATCCACGGTCTTGACAGACGATCAGATTAGGAAGGGAATAGAATAGAAATAAACCCCCGCTTATAGGGCAAAACTAAAAGAAACTCCAAAAATCCACGATCAATCCAACCCAGAGCGTTGAACCGCTCCGGGATTTAAAGACGAGGCATTTCTTGTCGAACAAGGGGGAGGGTGGAAAGAAAAACAGGAGGAAGGACCGAATGTGGGAGTGAATGCAGAATGACAGGTCAGGGGACGAAGGAATCCATCCTGATGAGTTAAGTACTAACAAAGTGCGAATACTCCATAGGAAAAATACGATGCATGTAGGAATGTCCGATGGTGCTATGCCCACACTTCAAATCAAATTAAATCCTTCGTCTCACCGACTAGGCACATGTTTTACTAGGTACTGGGGAAACCGGGCCGTCGAGGGTCTACACTAAGTACACCGCACCAGCACAGGGGATAGAAATGGAGATTGGAGCCGGTTTAGTTCCAAATCCCTGCGTTCTAGCCGGGTCTGATTCCGCAATGATTCTCCCATTTTGTCAGGATCTAATATGAACCCGTGACAGGTGTTCCCTGTATCTAGTCTAGATCGACGGTGCCTGCGTCGGGGTCAGGCACCGTCCAGTTCCATCCATTCAGCCTTACATTCTGCAAAACAATGAGAGGGTAAGAACCTTAGATAAGGCTGATGTAAATAGGACCTGAGAAGTGAGTACTCCCCCAAGGCCTGGTTTTCGATCGTTGTTGAATACTCCGTACTACAGACTCTTCCAATAACACATCTTGGGGGTCTGCCCTCCATTTGCCCCACCATCCAGTTCTTCGCCCCGCTTTGCTCCAGCAGTGCCGGGTTTCGCCACCCATCATTGGCCGATGTCGCTGACCGCCAGTTTTCTCGTGGGCAGGCGGTAAGTCCCGCCCGAGATTTATTTAGTCTTTGCATTGGCAGCTTGGCTAAGGCGGTAGGGTAGGTAAAATAGTAGTTACCCGACAGGAACTATTCCGGAGGTCGGGGGCCGCTGCTTCCCTTGAAAATGACCTCACCTGTTGGTAGTATGGCCATACAGCAGTATTTGAGGCCTTGGATGTGTCACAGTAGATTTAACCAATACCATCTCTCTGGGGCTCAGATAACGATGGGTGTATGACAGACCAACGGTCCGTTGGTTTATCTCGCATGCAGGCCTAAACTACGTGGTTCTGAGTAGCAGATTGTTCGAACTGGTCCCGTCCCCGGGGGAAAGTTCAGGCCAAACGAGAAAGTCAATTCCCTACTTCATCATTGCATCGTAAGAAGATTTTTCACAGAGGTAATATGCGGAGGACCAATCCGCCCAATCAGCACATCCACAATCAGGAACAGCGACGGGTTTCTATTCCCTGATATACTATAACTGCGACCATCCATGGCTGTATCGACTAGCGTTACGGCCCAACAGCCCCGTCAGATCTACAGAGTATGTACTGGAATTTTATGTGGTTCGCATTGAATTTCTCAACGGCCGCACGTGGTAATGGTAACGTCTTCTGTCGATCTCACTCTTTGGAAGTCACTTCTGGAGATCCTATTCTATTGGTCTTTATCATATCTTAAGCTGGCCTCACAGTGACTGTAGATAGTATTGCTTGGTAATACCTGAAATAAGAAAGAGCAGGTCCTGAATAATCTGCTAGAGATATCTTTGCCTAATTCACCTGTCCAGACCACGAATATAATGGAGATCATTGCATTTAATCTCTCAATAAACTTTTCTGTTATAACTTCCATAGAATGTAATCTGGACCAACAATGGTATATGCTAGATTTCTGGCGTTTCCCCGCTTGCATGAATCGTCTGAAGCAATACTATCGCTATTAGCCGATCATTGTATTTAGAATCCCTTCCAGAATAGTGAATCCGTCCTTTAGTAACCAAGGAGGTTTTGACACTGGCTTGATCAGCACAAATTCCCTCAACCAAACGGCTTCCATAGCTCTCCCCATCGTCACACGTAGTCAATGTCGATTCTATGCTCTTCAGAGCGAAATCATATTTCGAAATCCTATCTGGAATGCAGAATCCATCCAGTACAAACCAACGAACTCATTCTTACTCTCTCTTTGGGAAATAATGCCCCCGCAGCCAAACCATCTCCCATGGTGCATCGAGACAACGTCCACCACCTTCCTCTACCTCCTATTCCCATCCAAGTGAATGTATTCTGACTTCACCGCCCACCCCAACGAACTATCAATTTGGCAATGTTGAATTCCACACATCATGATTTGATCAGGGCTAGGGGCTGGGTATAAAATCCCCCTTCCTTTCTCCTCTGAGCTCTTTTTCTCTTTCCCTCCTACATCTCTCCTCTCGCGGCCAGCGAGGGAGACTGCTCTGAGACTTGTCTCAACTTATCAACTTTTCCTTCTCTTCTTATTTCTTTATATACTGCCATCTACTTGATCTTTTCCCCTCTGTACTTGTTTACCTTTTCTTCTTTCTTTTATATACCGCCATTTATTTCATCCTTTCCCCCTTATATTTGTTTATATTTTATTGAGCTTTCTTGTCTTTTCCACTTTCTCTCCTGTCGTGGCTAGCGACGGAGAGTGCACTGAGACCTCTGGGGTCTCAGTTGGTCGACTTTCCCTCCTCTCGTGGCCAGCGAGAGAGTGAACTGGAGCTCTGTCTCAGTTTCTCAACTTTTATTTCTTTCTTATTTCTTTCTTATATTGCCATTTACTTCATGTACTTGTTATCTTTTCTTATTTTTACCCTTATCAATCAATCGGGAGGGTGGTAGATATACTTTTGAGGGGGAAAAAACAAAAGGAAAAACAGAGAATAAAAGAGAGAAAAAAAACGGGGTCTACAAAAACAGAACAAGAAACCAAGAAAAAAGAAAGAAAGGAAAAATGAAAGAAAAAACTCGCTCGATTATACTATATGACCGGGTCCTGGTTGGGTGGCTGGGACGGGCCTGGGTTATCAGATGTGGGTGGGTGGTGTGAAACTGGTGAGTCTTCTACTTCTTGTATAAGTCCTTTGGTTGTTCTCTGATGGCTAAGTTCTCTACAACGTGTAGGGGGGAGGCAGTGCGAATGACGAAAGAGAGAATGGTGTAAGTAAAAATTCTATCCAGAAGTAAAACTTGCTCTTCTTTGTAGGTTACTTTACTCGATCATGTCATGTAACCTGGTCCTGACGCGCGGACGGGATGGACCTGGATTATCAGATACTCTATGTATGTTTGTGAACTTGGTGAGTCCTTCTCTTCTACAGATGATTGGCTGTTTTGTGATGGCTTGTCACAGGCTGAACCTGTAACATACTATATAGGGCGCTAGATGCGACTGATCGAAGATCAGTCGTCTTGTACCTTTTTATATGGTCAAGTAGTTTTATCTCTACTAGCGCAGAGACAACCAAACCATCACATGGCTAACTTCTATGATACTCTATTCTATCGTGCAACGAGGTCCAGGTGGGCGCACGGGACGGGCCGTGTCATCAGATATTAGATATACTGGTTTGAAACTGGTGGGTTCTTCTCTTCTTATATAGATAATTTAGCTGTTCTGTGAAACTAACTTCACTACAATGTGGAGGTGATAGTTGATATGCATCAGTAAGAACGAGAGTAATAAATGTATTAATGCCATGTAAGTAATCATTCAATATAATGTCTAGGCATACTACTGATTCATTTCCTATGTCCATATATATTCCCTTACAAGTTCTCCAATAGGACAGTGCAAGCATCATCTGGAATACTACTCATTCATAAGACTCATATACCTCATAGTAGTAACCAAAGTCATGCTACGCCATATCACAATGAATAGATAAAGTCGTGATTTTCCCGATCCGTCAAGTCCATGAATCTAGAGTAAAGTTAACAAAAGACACTCGTCATCGGCATTCAATACTCACTCCTGATTCTCCAATCGCGTATAGTTAGGGCCTGCGCGGATTCGCTCCTTTTTTGTATTCTCCTTTCTGTACCACCACCAAATGAATACCAGCAAAAAGAGGCAGACTCCCCAGCAGACAACAATGGCAATCTCGGCGGGGACATATCGGGGTGCATCTCCGGGGAGGAAGATCTGAGGGCCTAGGCAGAAAGAAGAGACGTTAGACTCAGTGATACCAAGAGCCAGGGATTATCGATACTTACCTATGATGTTCCCCACGCAATAGCCAATCAAATAGAACGCTGCCACTGTCGTCTTCTTGGTGTAGCCAGCTACGTTCGACGAAATCATTGACAGCAGCGCGACAAACGGCGTTGGACTCGCCTGTGTCATATAATAGCCGAGCAGACGGCCTATTTTATTGCCTAGTGGGAGGGCAATAATGAGGACCATGCCGACAATAGCTGTAGCCAAACCACCAAGGCTACAAAGGAGCCGTTGATTGGTGATATGCCCCATATACCCATTCAAAAGGAGAGCGACAACCTCAACTGCGCCGCCAGGTGTACCGTATAGAAGACTTTCGTTTTGCGTGTAGCCAAAGCTAGTGATCTGATGGATAGTTAGGGCTGCAAACGTGAAATCAGGATGAAAGAAAACTCTAACCAGCTGGTTGAAGAAGTTGCTGATGCCACCATTCGGGATGTTGGAGAGGATCGCGAAAAAGAAAAATGCCCAGGTCATTGGATCTAGAAGTGTCTCCTTAAGCTGATACAGTTTAAAGTGCTTGTTCCCGATCCCCTGCTGATTTATCCTAACACGCGCGACGGCCAGAACACGGTCTTCCTTCTTCAGCCAACGGCAATTTAATTGGTTATCAGGTACTACCCAGAGAAAGATGAACCCAAATGCCAGCGTCAGTAGACCTGTGACGAGGAAGACAATCTTCCATGGCTGGATGGCCGATCCGTGTTTCTGAGTACCTTCGGCAATACCATATGCCACGAGACCCCCCAAGATCTGGCCCCAGCCGTTAAAGCTGAACCATATGTTGACACGGCTGCCTTGTTCTTTCTTCGTGTACCACTGAGGGGATATCATCAGTAAAAACCGAAATACTAAGGCCAGACACCTACCTGCGAGGTTAAAAGGGCAAATCCTGGCGTGACAGACGCTTCGAAGACACCCAAGAAGAAACTATTCAATCGAAATCAATATAGACCTCTTTGAGATACCGAGGATATGCTAAAGCCCACCGAATTGCGACAGCGCCGGGGAAGTTGTGAACTGCGGCAAACAAGCAAAGGATAGCCCCCCATATAACGACACATGCTCCGGAGTACCTTGCAATAGGAAGAAGCTGAAGTAGTCGACTAGTCGGATATTCCCATGCCAAATAACCTTTGGGTTAGCATCGTTAGTATACTAGCCATATCTGTACTCCAGGAAATACGACTGACCGAAATAAAACAAACTACCCAGCCACTGGTACTCATTGCCTTTCAATCCTAGATCCGTTTTAAGCCCCATAACACTGGCATAGGATAATGTTGTTTCTGCCCAAAGTTAGCGAAAAGTCTTCAGGAACCTCCCCCTCCTTCAAACCCCGCATATGACTGAAGAAAGGCATACTGTCCAAATAATTCATCCCATAAACCACACACATGATCGGCATAATATGCCAGTCGATAATTCGTAACAGCCTTCTATTAGTTGCCTCATCGAGAGTGATGGTTTCGCCTTGAAGCTCTTGGAAGGCTACCATCGCCTCGTCGGCATCATGGGAGTGTTTTTCCAGCGATGGGTCGACATTCTTCCTCCCACCAGTTTCCATTTCTATCGGAGTAAGTGGGGAGTTATTTACTTCTGCCATTATTTAGGACCTGGTGTATAGGGTGTCCGTAGTGCGAGAGACAAAGCCTGGGGAACACGAATAAGGAAGGGGCTGGTATTTAGCATGTTTCCCGCCCACTTCTGGCGTTGGAGGAGATGGCTATGGGACTAGCAGCGATAAGCACACAATATCTGGGGTAATAAGCACTAAGGTAGCAAGCTTATCAACTGGGGCCAATGTTGTGGGCGTTCTGGTCTGGAGACCCACCGTACGGTGAAGTGCCATAAGGAGAAGCCATGTCAGCACAGAGAAGATAGCCGAGTTAGTCCTATCTCGGCAGCCGACAAAATTTGGTGAGTGGAAGGTACGTGGATCAGTCAACCGCGGGGAAGAGGTGAATAGGTTGTTCCTCACAAAAGGAGACACCTCGGCCGCAGATGTGCCTCCGATGTAGTACAATATGTACCCACGAAGGTGTTTACTGTCTAATTTGTTGGAACGAGATATCATCGCTTATCGCTATCTCTCGGTTGATGATCGTCTTATCAGTTGACTAACGTAGTGATTGGTGCTTACAATCTGAGAGCCGAAGTGCCGCTGTTGTCAATTTGCAGCATCCAGAAACTTCCCGAATGCCATTCTTGATTTTTTCCCAAATCCCAGGCGTCCCTAACATCTATCATTATACTTAGATTCTACATAAGTCCATCTCACAATCGTAACCTACCGTTAGCCATCCCACTCATATGCAAGCCAATTCTTCGCTTATTTCTATCGAACGCGCGCCAAATACGCCTTCCAACCCTCCTGCTGATAACGCTGTACTGCCTCCACCGGGTCTGGCGCCGCATAAATCCCCCTCCCGGCGATGATAAAGTCCGCACCGCGCCCAATTGCCGATTCGGGAGTTTGATACTGCTGACCCAGCTTGTCTCCCTTCGAGGACAGATTCACACCTGTCGTAAACACCACAAAATCCTCCTCCTCAGAAGGAGAGGTAGTCTCCGATACCACTTCACCCAGGGACCGCGTGGACACAAACCCCATGACGAAATCCTTGTACTTCCGGGCATAGTCCACCGATGCTGTCGTGTAGGGCCCTGTAGCCAATGATCCCTTAGAGGTCATCTCCGCGAGGATCAAAAGGCCTCGTTCCGAATAGGGGAAGTCCTTGGACGAGGCGGTTTGGGCAAGAGCTTCGACGATTCCCTCGCCGGGAAGAATGCTGCAGTTGATGATGTGTGCCCATTCGGAGATCTGCAGGGCTCCACCGTGATACTGCTTCTGCACTGTGTTGCCGATGTCGATGAACTTGCGGTCTTCGAAGATGAGGAAGTTATGCTTTTCGGCTAACGCCTTTAGGCCGATGATGGTGTCATTGCTGAAATCTGACAGGATGTCGATATGGGTTTTAATCACAGCAATGTGGGGGCCGAGACCTGCAAGAATACACATTTATGAGAGAGCCATAACATCATTTTCGAGAGAGCGGCGTACGGTCAGCGAGATCCAGAAGCTCCTTGGTGGTAGTCACGTCGGCTGAAACAGTCACATTGGTTTTCTTGGCCTCAGCGATCTCGAAAAGCTTCTTCGCAAGGGAATTGGGGTGGTTGCTGGCCCGAGCACTGTAGGTCAATTGCGACTTGGAAGACATGCTGAAGGACGGAGGGGTAATGTGGGGTGGGTGAGATGATTGGAATGGACCTGGAAGACAATTGTATGTTTGTAGTTATTTCTTCATCCAACTGGCCCAAATATCAGCGAGTGGAGTTTCCAATAAAAATAGTGCCGACCGAGCCTATTCCATGCGTTGTAATTGTATCCTTTTCGGCAAAAAAAAAGTCCCTTGTAAAGTAAATGTCCGGTTCTGCTCCAGCCACACGGCGTTAGATTCCTCCATGCCGCTGTGGTTCAGCCACAGCATCGTTGGAAGTATCTGTGGCGCAGCTACTGACAAATGATCTGGTTAACAACAACATACGTAGTGCTATATTGTTTCAACCCCACATACAGATTAGCTAAAAAAAAAAAGAAAAAAAGATCGCCAAGTTTCACATGCGTCGAGCAATCAGATAGATAGCTGGTCGGCGAAAGCCACTAAATTGAGACTGTCCTCCGTATGATGTTGCATCTACTTGCGAGCATGTGAAAACAGGTCGTATACAGGCATAAACCCAGTAGGTACTCCGTAGTACTCCACTAAATGGAAAACAAATCCCGTCCAACACCAAATACACTCAGTCCCATTAGAATCCACTGCACAGGCCAGAACCACGAACCGATGTATCGTCCTCGTCCCTGTGGCTTGCCCGAGTATACATACCCGTAGAGGAAAAGCGCTCGGGCCACGCACCAGGCGACTCCAAGGCCAGCCGCCAACTGGGGATATTTCAGTCCTGAGACCAGAATGCTAAGCGTTGTATGGGGTGAATTTTCAAGGAAATTGGCGTGGGCGCGTTGTGCACAATTGAATTGTTCAGCCTTGGCCTGTGTTTTTGATCATTGGATAGTCAGTATACATGAAGGACTTTGTCATGGTATATAAAAATGACCACTTCAATCAGCAGGAGTCTCACATTCTCTCTGCATTGCTCTACGGTCGCGTAGTTGTGGGGATACGGAACTTTGGCCACTTTGCGGAGACCCGTGGTGATAATGCCGTGGATAAAACCCAAAAAGGGGATAGCTCCAAGCGAGACAGCGATGACAGGGCTGGGATTCATTAGACACGAAGATTCTATGGACCTAAGGTAACTAACCCATAGTTTTCAGGGAGGTTCAACACGACCATTGTGGGAAGCAGCTGTCTGGTAAATCCCAGAAACGGGGTTGTATAGTAAAAGCAATAGCTAATTCTTGTTGAAGCAAGGCAAAGGCCGTGACGTTAAGTAATAATATAAGTAGGTGGCGAATAGGCTCCAATATGAACATCAGCTTCCGTCATCCCGTTGCTCGGAATTCGGCTCTATAGTTCCCAGCCGGAACAGCTGCACACCCGACCCCGATATCATTCTCAGTTCTTCTTGAAGGTTCTGCACTTGCCTAGGAATAATAGGGTTGTGTCGACCATTTTGGATGTAGGCTGGGCTTCGTGTACTGAACAGGTTTCATTCCCAACTCGTATAATTGGTTACGTTCTACCTAATTGATATCTGTCGACCATAAAAATACGCGTACCCGCAAGTATCGATCCTCCATAGACTGAGGTCTCTGATTCAACTAAACTACCAAAAATTCTCGCTTTATAAAGGCGAGGTAAACAGACGAAGAATGCAAACCAACTAATATAGGAAATATAAGCGATCCGATGATGTGGTATCATCAACAACATTTGACTGAGAAAGGTGCCGAATAATCAATATTACCATAACTAATTGTCGACAATATCTAATCATACGAGTTGGAAGCCATTAAATATACCTACTATCTCTACTCCGTCACTATAGATTAAATTTGGTATCGTTATGAAAGCAACGCGATCCCTCATAAAATTCAAGTCTATATCATAGAGCCAATCCAGTTGTGCCTGTAGGCTCACATCTTGCTCACACTGCCATACTTTGCTTGCCATGCAAAGAAATACAATAATGCTCCCAGGGGCTGTCCTACGACGCAGAAACTCACCCAAAAGATGGAGTTCCCAACTACTTTGCCCGAGGGATCCTTCATCTTCTCCAGCGGAGCCGTGATGGCGATTAATGGTAGTTGGAACAACATCCCAACAAGTGCAACTCCTAGGCATCGGTCAGCGTACGTCGTACACCTCTTGATGGGAAAGCATGGGTTCCACATACCAATGACATTGTGTGTGGGAATTCCCACAAGCAACTCATGCAGGAGAGCAGAAATTATGAAGACTACTGTGCTCGCCGCCAAGGGGCTGTAACCCCGTCCGACCATGGGGGAAAACACGTGCCTTTTCATGAAAAGATACACTGGCCGGTTCCATGACCGCCAATATGCACCCAGGCTCGAGCTGTTCCACCAATCCGTATAGAACTCGCGATCGCCGAATCGCATTACCTCGGCCAGGCCATTCAAATACGACTGGAAAATAGCGAAGAACCCGGCAAGCCAGATGATGAGGGAGATCGTGGACAGCTTCATTATTCGCTCGAGAATTGACGCAATGTCCATAACGGCGATCTTGTCGATTGAATTCCGTAGAACTGGAGCAGCGTATTGGGCGGAGAGAAGCCAGATAAAGACGGAGAGGCCTACGAACTCGAGCAGACGTTTTGCAACAAATGACCATCGAATCCGCGGTGAGCGGGGATAAACAGGCTGATAGACTAGGGTCGGCGCCAGCCAAAAGTACGTTAGATTCCCGAGAGTGATGTTCCTGGGGTAAGAAAGGGACGAGTATAGTTCAGGAATGGCCGACTCTGCAGAAGGATTGAGCATTGCTTCACGCAAGTCGCGGTTCGTGAACGCATATGACCAGTTTTTGAGCGCGACGATGATCGCATGAACTTCACAGATAGTACCGATTCCAGGATGGTGGATGTAATAGTAAACGACGAAGCTCGTCACTGCGAGAGTTAAGAGTGTGTTCAGAATATGAAAGGATAACGTAAACCGCCAGATAGTGCGAAAAGCGCGCTCTTCGCGCTCGCCTTCGTCGACAGATCTGTCCTTTTTCTTTCGACCGACTGCGGACTTGGCCCATCCTGCTGCAGCCAATTCAAGGATGTATGCCACGAACAATTGGCATGGAACCAAGAAGAAGAGCATAGTGCCAAGAACGACATCCTGCTTCCGATAGTCATGGCATCTGATGCAAATAAGGACCCCATACTACTCCAGAACTGGCATTAGTGGAACAAATCTCTAACATCCGCTATCACCCGTAAGACTCACTTTCATGTAATTTTCAATGATCAGCCGGAGGTTCATCGCCACTGGTTTCCAAACCGGAGGTATTAGCTCTGCCTGCACCCAAAAATAAAATAAAAAATAAAAATAAAATTCTACGAGAATAAACCTTCTTACCTAGAACGATCACCATGAGATTCCGAAACCCCAGGAAACTCGTGTTGGCATTGGAATCGCGACTTAAACTGGAATGACGCAACTGAGAATGATAGGCTGCGACATGGCGATACTTGCTCCTTTTTCTTCCCTTTCCCCCCAAAGATTTGGAAGTAGCAGACGAAGTGTTGGTGTGAGAGGAAGAAGTGCCATCCATGGCCTTTGAACCCGAGTACGAAGCCCCGCTGCTAGAAGCAACAATAGCTTTCTGGGAAGGGGACCCCATTCCTGAAACAGCCATCGCAATGTTAGGTCTCCCGTGGTTCTGCCGTGAGCACAATCATAGAATGACCCGGGAGAAAGCCAAGACAAGTCGATAAGCTGGACGAAAGTACTGGGCCGATAGTCGACTCAATTGCGGAGATAGCTCGGAACATAGGATAAATCCCAAGGGCGGGGTCTGGATCTGATCAGTCATGACAAGACAAGACAACCTGAAGAAAAACGAAGGGAAGGGACGAGGTAATTATAGCATCGAGAGCCAACAGGAGGACCACAGCGGGGTTAGCGAGCAGCTCATTGCAACGGCAATGGAGCAAAGGCCTCGAAAGTGACCAGGGGGAGGGGGTTGTTGATGACCCTCAGGGCCCTTTAGAGCCGTTTAGCACTAGCCGTCATTGGACAAAGCACCACCGCCCGCGCGGCCAAAAGTCAGTCTCGTACAAACTAACGGTCGTCCTACTGCATGCACGCCATGACACCTCCATTCTAGCTAATTACCGCTTCTCCTGCCTCATTGAGGTTTTCATTCCTATCATTATCGTCCTTCGGCTATTCATTTGGCGACCCTCCCCTGTCATGGTCGTGAATGTTACCGAGTTCCCTATCAGCCAGCTTATTTCCCTCCCTTGTAACTGACTAGCTCGGCTTTGTTGCGATGGCCTTTTACGATGAATCCGGCGATGCCCTGCCATTTGGGCGGCCTCAAAAGTCCTATGAAGCTGGAATAATTGGACTGCGAAGACCGAGTACGTTATTCTTTTAAGCCATTTTATTTTTTTTTATTCCCCCTCCCCTCCCCGATGGGCAAGGATATGTTCTGGCTCTGGCACAGTCCCAGAAGACAGAGAGCTAACAGGCCTCTTCAGGACTGGTCACTGATTATGGATCGTCGCTCGTACAGTGGATGCGCACACGGCGACCGCGCTATCAAGGAGGCCATAGAATGGAGGTGGAACGGCCCAGTGCCAGCTATGTAGTGGATGTAAGTTCCCATCTCATGCCTTGCGCTGGGGTTGACTAACCAGCTTTATTGTTTGATTAGATGCTCCCACCACTGGCACGCGTGCATTCTCCAGCAGACACCATTCCTGTTCGACACCTTCATCAGTCAATTGGAAAGTCGAAAAAGCCGATCACTGTTGTACGGTGGACTCCGGAGGGCAGACGTCTATTGACGGGTGGGCACACTGGAGAGTTCATGTTGTGGAACGGGACGGCCTTCAATTTTGAGACAGTAATGGATGTGGGTTTCCCAGTTCTTTTCTGAAGCACTTATATTTGTCCCTACTTAAATTAGCCTTGGTGACTGACTTTGCTAATGGTGGAATAGGCTCATTATGATCAATTACAAGCTGGAGTGACTTCGTTGTCGTGGTCGCACAGCCATGATTGGTTGATTTCTGGGGGACAGAAGGGTGATGTGAAATACTGGCGACCTAATTTCAACAATGTGGAGACAATTGATGATGCGCATCATGATGCTGTTCGAGACCTTGCATGGGCCCCTAGCGATACCAAATTCCTCACGGCGTCCGACGATACAACTCTGAAAATTTTCGATTTCACGTCTCGAACGGCTGACACCGTCCTTACCGGTCATAACTGGGATGTCAAGACTTGCGACTGGCACCCAACGAAGGGTCTATTGGTTTCAGGGTCCAAGGACCATCAGGTCAAGTTCTGGGATCCTCGCACTGCAAGATGCTTGACAACGCTTCACAGCCACAAGAACACCGTTACTGCTACACGATTCTCTCCTGTCAACAGCAACCTTCTGGCGACATCTTCGCGTGATCAGACAGCGAGAATTTTCGATCTACGGATGATGCGAGATATCTGTATCCTTCGGGGTCACGAGAAGCCGGTTTCATCTCTCACATGGCACCCTATTCACACTACGCTTGTATCGACAGGCGGCGAGGATGGATCACTATACCATTATTTGCTTGACGAACCTAATATGCCTTCGGGACAGATCCCCACCGTTGCCCCGTACGACAGTCCCGACCCTGCAAATACGCCAGCACAGGTGATCTACCCTGCTCACAAGATCCAGTATGCGCATAGTGCAACGATTTGGTCGTTGGACTGGCATCCTCTCGGACACATACTGGCCTCTGGTTCTAAAGATAATTTCACTCGGTTTTGGTCTCGGGCTAGACCAGGCGAGACTAGCTACTTGAAAGACAGATTCCACATTGGAGAAGACGCTGCCGAGGCTCAAGGAACCTGGAACCGGGGCTTTGGAAGGCGACAGATGCGTGAAGAAGAAGAACAAGAGCTGCAAGACGAGGCAGAGAGTTTGGTCGATCAGAAGAACCCCACTGGGTCATTCCTTCCGGGTATACAGACCGCACCTCCCGGCAGTATACCTCAACAGAACGGGTCTGCGTCACAGATATTACCTGGAATTGGCGCTCCCCAGCCACCACCTCAGAGTGGGGTCCCGGCTTCCATGCCTCAAATGGACCCTGCCCGTCTTGCGGCCCTTCTGTCTACCCAACCGCCACCCCAAGCAAACACTTTCCCCCCAAACACGGGATTGCCTAGCTTTAGCATGCCTCCTGCTATGTCGGGGACGCCCCCGATGAACGTTGACCTTGCAGAGTTACAGAAGCAGCTTCTCGCGCAAGGCATATCTCTCCCCCAAAATTTCCCCCCGCCGGGTTTCGGTTCAATGTCTGGGCCCATGGGTCCCGGGGGTCTACCAGGTCTGCAAGGTGGTCGTACGCCGGACAATGGTTATGGAAGGTGATTGTTTCGAGTTTGCACATTTGCCTGGAGATTTGGCGTAATATATGTAGCTTGTTTGGGGAGTTTGAGGGCATTCATGTGTGTTGCGAGGTCGGCCATTCCACTGGATGTATTATAATCGGGTATTTCGAGAAACATTTAGTCCATACTATGGTGAAAACAAAAGCTGTGCTTATGTCGACTGATTCTGTAAGACATTGTCCTGAAAATTAAGGCGATATGACAGATAGCGAACATTTCGATCGTTGCCTTGTGTTATTTATAGCCCACCTTGCATTGGAAAGCTCGACAGTATAAGGACTAACACACTAATCCCGCTCCAGATTATAGGAACCCACGTTGACATTCTAAAGTTGCCAGCTTCGTAGACACTACCTAGACTATTTGCTCGCTATGTTAGTTCCCATCGCCCGTAGATATCGTATGGTGGAACGGACAGTCACTCACAGAAGGCCAATAATGCTTCCGGATATAAGTGCCTCCAAACCAGCGATGGTAATATAAATTAGCGGAATAGTTATGCAGAGTCGCCAACTTCGGCATTGAGTAACCAGGGCGCAGGCCGCGACCGCTAGGTGAGTAGCGGCATAGAAGATCAAGGTCCAGTACAGTGTGAATCGCCAAATATCGTGAGTATAGTAAAGGTAGAAGGCGATACCATTACGTCTGGGAAAAGGATTGTAGAGTGATGGGAAGGGAGGGGTTTCGTAATTAATAGGCACACGGTTATTGGCCATTAGCCCTTGAAAAAGGCTTTATAACTGGCCTTTTCAACTTGATTATACAAGACGAAACAGGAAATCATGATACCCAGAGCTAGGGACGATGGTGCTGAGTGGATCTAGCAAAAACGAGGACTGTTAAATATGTAAGACCGTCTTAGGACAGAGCTATATGTTTGCAATGTTTGCTTAAGCCCCGTCATGCGGTAACCTCGGCAGGTGGTCTGGGGTTCTCCGCGATAGTCAACCCACTACTTCGACCCGATCCCCTTCCTAGGGTCTACCGATTGCTTTCCATGTCCCGTGGTTTAAGCCCCTGTCTTAAGATTTTGCCTTAGAGATGGCAACCGAACGCTCTTTGGGTGCATTGTTGCGGTCACTCCAGTCGCCATCCGACCTCCAGGATGCCATTGCGTGAGCCAATGTGTAACTTGAAGTCCAACTACTCCGACTGACGCTCATACATCAGATTACTTCCAACCGCGACTGGTCTGCTATACACCCTTGCGAATCCCTTGAACCTTAGCCTTCTCTCATCGCAACTGCTCTCAGCACCCGCGATATGGGAACATCCACTCGACCTCCACGCTTGCCGGAAGATTCTCAGCATCTTCAACACGGCTGCCATTGCATTTGTACGGAGTGAAACCTCAGACAGTCCACGAATCCCCTATGTGAAACCTAAAAAGATTGAGCGCGAAGCCTGGGTTAAAGCCGTTGTCAGTGGAGCCGATGACAAGTCACCTCGCTGGCGGCATTTGCTTCTGATCGGGGGTCTCTTGCTAGGGTTTGAAGGCCAAAACAGACAGGGATTACCGTGGAATGTTCGCAAGAAACTTGAGTCAGCACTTGTGACGGCTGCACAGCTCGCATTCGAGGAATTGAACCCCCATAATGAAATCGAAGGTCTTTGCGTCTCCATGGTTCTGAATTATTCCTTTGAACTGCTATCTGATCATGAAAGGACGATGCTCAACTATGATCGTTTGCTGCCGATATTAGTCCACGGAGCTTTTTCATCCCGAGAAGGCTTTGAGGGGGGATACTTTCTTGGAACTGTGGATAAAGATATCGTTGAGGGGTCCGGGAAACGTTTCCAATGGCCGCAGCAGTCCCACACTTTCTGTCGTGTAGCCGCAATTTCCTCCAGCCCCCTTGTGTCTGCGTTAGGCCCACTTTCTCGACTTATTGCACATGCAATTGAGAATGTCAATGATCCAGGGCTAGTGGCACGGTCTGTGGATCATCTCGCGAACTTTGCCCGTACCCTCATGGTGCAGTGGCGCCAAAACAAGTTGTCGGAAGTTGATCCAGCGGAGGAGGCAGAGTTTTTGGATCCAGAATCTCTAAATAACACAATACCGAGTTTATGGAAGCTCCTTCGTAATTGCCTATACTCTATTGTGATTGTTCTGCGAGCTGTTCTTGGGCGGGTGATCAATGACCATGTTTTGGCTGCTAACAGAAGTAAGTGCCTGCAAACTCAAAACTAGAACGCCTGCTAAATTGGCTTAGGTGCACCCTTCTTAGCGATGCAGGCCCTACATATTCTACGGAGCATGTACTTTGTTTCATCGCGGATTGGTCGGAATGCATCTTCTCAGCATATGTTTGTGACCCTGGCCGCTGTGGATATTCTTGCGCAATATCCAGATCTTGCAGAAAACCTTTTGAGAAGCATCAAGCCCAATGAACTGGGCCAGATCCCTGCTCATCCTCTAGAAAGATGCCTCGATTTATATTTTCTCAACACGGCAGAGCTCTTTACCCTTGTCCTGTCACCGAAGTGTTGCGAGGAACTCCTTATTGCTGCCTCAATCCCGTATCTCCCTGCAGGTGGAAACAATCACCTTCTACAGATCTTTGAAGCCGCTCATAGCGTGCTTTTGGCCGTCTTTGCAATCCCAGATAATGCGAACATAACAGCCAAACATCTCCCATTTTACGTAGACAACCTCTTTGCCGTACGTTGCTTCCTCCCCGAATCTATCATCTCCTAACCATTCGTATAGGTGTTCCCTGATAACTTGTCTATTCGCCAATTCCGCTTGGCGTTCAAGACTGTGCTACAGGTTACTGCCCCTCCATCCCCCATTGCAAATAAACAACCTCTTCTACCATCTATTTTACTCGAAGTCATCTATGACCGGGCTCTACACGCGTCCGATAAAGTCATAGTGCAGCCTTCGCCCGTCGGGGATGGCACTGGGATGGACCAACCGCAGCGCCCACTATCGGAGCAAGCGGCTCTAGCTCTTTCTTTAATTGATGGCCTGTGCTTTCTTCGGGTGGAAGTTCTCGAAGAATGGCTGTCCTTGACGGCCAATCTCATCAATGTCATCCGGGACCCAGATATGCGGGCCGCCTGCGTTGAGCGCTTTTGGGACACCCTGAGTAACGGCGAGATGGACGTTGAGCGAGCCCATTACTGTGTCACTTGGTGGAGCACCAAGGGTGGACGCGAGCTAGTCCTGTTCGGATCTGATCCCGGAACAGAAGCGGAGCCCAATAGTTCTCAGGGCCCATATATGAGCGGTGCAATCGGGGGAGTTGCCCCTGAAAGCAAACTATGAGATTTGGAAACTTCGTGTTCTCTGTTTGGCATGCTTAGCATTGGGTTACTATAGCGCTTAGGCGTAGAGTGTGTTATTTGCTTGCGATACCATGAGTGATTTGATGAATGTACAGTACATTGGTATAGTGGTTATATTGATGACACAGGAAGAACAATAGATCCGAATCTAGATGTTCATGTACATACTAATGAATGGACGCGTTTACTGTTCATACATCAGCGGATGCCAGGGATTCCTACGGACGACCTGCTCCTGTACCCGACATACTCCTCGCCAAAGAAAGCGACCAAAAACCGTTCCTCCCCTGCAAGAGTCAGTATGGATATACCTCCGGGAAAAGGGAGAAACCTACTCAAGATCCGTTTATTAAAAAAATTCCATAAGACGGCCAAATACCCCAGAAAACAAACCACATTACCCAGCAGCAGCTGGGTCCCTAGGCTCCACCAAAAAAAACCAAAGTAACTTGGATGACGTAGAATCGCATACACCCCATGCGTGACCAGAGTATGACCTTCCTTCCGCTCGACCTGCACCGTGTGATTGAAATTACTACCCGCCTGCACCATGGCCAGCGTCCGCGTTGTCTGTCCCACAACCATCAGAAGAATACCCAGCACGAGCTGCACCTTGACACCGTGTATGGGACCCGTCCATTCGAAATAACTCTCCCGCGGCCAGAAAAGATACCCGAGAAGACACTCCACCGCAGCGGATATATGCGCCAGATTATACGCCCAGCCATTGGAAGAAAGCAGGAAGGCAGATATAGACGCAGACCGGGTATTGTATGCAGCTGTGACGTAGTATTCGAGGAAATGGAAGAGACACAACGAGGCGAGGAAAAACGGTAAGCGCCAGAGCGGAGTCGAGGAGATGCAGCGTAGAATGAGGACAAGGGAAATGGAGATGCCGAGCGTCGTGCCGATGAGGAATGCACGGAGGGAGATCCCCGCTAGAGACTTTTTGCCGCCCGGGTAATTGGATAGATCGAGGCCGGGAGATGATTTGGTGACCATGGGGGCTGCTGGTGGTGGTGGTCGGGCTGGTCGCCAGGTTGGTTCGGAGGCGTGTTCTGTCGATGACGAGGATGAGAGTGAGAACGAGGGGGTGGAGAAGTTGGGATCTGTATCGGGGGATATGTTGTTTTCTTGGGCCATTTCGAATATCCTTGTCATGATTGTTGTTGCTGATTCTTGTCTATTGCAGTTTTTCTTTTCTATTGGACTGGGAGTGAAATATTCATTTAACCTGAAGAGAGAAAAAAGAGAGAATAAGAAAACGAAGAAGAATTAGTTGGTGTTAGGAATGCATCACTGTGGTATTAATAGAAATGAAAATTCAGAGCGGAACATGAAATCTACACTGTGGGCAGGAACAATAGGATGCTGAGAGCAATGAATCCATGGAATAAATCTATGGGTCCATTGTTGCTGGAATATCACGGGATTGCTCCAGGCTATTACTCATCCCCCGCATTGTTGCAGACAATCGATCACAGTAAGCAAATGTTGGTGACACATAACCTAAATGGGGTCTAACGTGGTCGCGACCATGTCCGAGAGGGACAAGATGCTCCGTGGGGAGATGTACCGTGCCTTTACTCCGGATCTAATCGCTGCTCGGGCTCGCTGCACCCGTGCATGCCACCGGTTTAACAATGCGTGCAACGTTCCTCGACGACGGCTCGTTGAGCTTTGGAAAGAGTGAGTGTGAGGCTGATGGTAAGCGAGGGAAGCCCTCTCTTGCGCATATACATAGAGACCCTCACTTGTCTCCTTTAATCTGGGATCCGTCCCTACTAACATGGTGACAGTATTGTGGAAGATAAGAGCCCCATCCCGCCCTCCAAGGAGGATCCAACAGAAGACGATGCGCTCTTTGCGCGTTACCCTTGGATCGAGGCACCCATTCGAATGGACTATGGGTTTAACGTGAGGGTGGGCGAAGGTGCCTTTATTAATATGAACTGCGTTATTCTTGATACATGCCTGGTTACGATTGGGGCGCGGACCTTATTTGGACCCAATGTACATGTGTATAGTGGAACGCATCCTCTAGACCCGGAGCTGCGCAATGGAACCCAGGGCCCTGAATTTGGGAAAGAGGTTCATATCGGCGATGATTGTTGGATCGCGGGCAATGTGACTATCCTCCCCGGAGTGACGATTGGTAAAGGCGCTGTAGTCGGAGCTGGAAGCGTGGTCACGAAGGTACAGCATCCCACGTATACCCTGGGTGTACCTTGTTAATTTACATGGCTTCTGACTATGGTGGATCCAGAATGTTCCCGCTTTTCATGTGGCCGCAGGAAACCCTGCGAGGATTATTCGCAAAATCGAAACGGCTATGGCAGAATAGGCTTACAGGGTTTCTGATGTCCGTGGAAAGAGCTGGGGGCACCATAGCTCCATTGGCTAGTATATTTCTCTGGGATATGCTTTTTTTTATTTATTTTTTTTTTTTTTTTTTTGGATATTCTCTCGAATATCAGAAGCCATCACAGTATATAAAAGACGGTCTAATTTAATAGATAGAGTAACATATTGATATGCCCAGGCTGTGTGCTATGAAGTAAAACTTGTGAAGATCGAAATCGGGATTAAGCACAGACCTGAGGCAAAAGTGGGGTGCATACAGAGTGTACTAATTACACCTTATCCTTATCTTTCCTAAAAAAACTGAAACTTTGATTTTGCAAGCTTTCATCTATATATATATAGTCTTCCATTTGCTTCGTCTATAAACGCGGAAACCGGGTACATACCTTAGTAGGCTGTAGGAGGAAAGCCTGAGATCCATACACACGTACATACATACGGGTTACATACATACGATGCATCATGGATGATGCATACAATGACCTGCACGAACATGCTAGAGGGCTTGGAAGGTTGGTTTTGGGCGGTGTTCGGGGAGTTTGAAGTTGGAGGGGAACAATTCCGGAAGGGGATAAATGATAGTTATCTACTCCGTAGCGTAGGCAGGCATTATGTCATTGTTGCTGGTCTAGAATGAATGCTGCCTGGAATGCGAACCACTGCGCGTTGTCTGTATGCTCATACCTAGCCAGGTACTTCGGTCGGTCGGGTTTTTAGTATGTACCATTTGGTACTCTGTACAGGGGATAATCAAGGTGGGGATAAATAGGAGATTGGTTATGGAGGGAAGATTAAATTTGTCGGAGTATTTAGTGCACTATAAAGATTTTCTTAAATTTTCTATTTTAATTTATTGACCATGGTAGTGTGTTATGTTGATTAAGAAGTTGCTAGTTGAGGATCTAGTATTCCATAGGACCTCATGATGACGACGACATCCGTAGTATTACTTCCAATAGAATCAGAGGGGGACATGCCACGGAGTATTCTGGAGTAATGTCCTATTTGTTCGTCAGTATAATTTGTTTTGTTTGTTTTATAGTCTTTGAATACAATCCATGACCCACCAAAAAAAATCTAAGATATAAGCAACAGAAGGATCATCCAGAAGAATCAAACTAACTCCTACAGTTGATCGCATCATTCTGTAATGATCTCCTTGTTGTGCAATACACAGCAACCGAGACTATCTATACTGAACCTAGCATCATAGATTAGTGCCCAGGGCATTCACCAACCAACGCCTGGCTATTGGTCCACCGCAACGTCAGAGCTTCTCTCGCTCTAAGGGTCTGCTTTCCTCTCTCACCCAAAGTGTCAACTCAGCAGGCCAACCGTCCATTCATCCCCCCGCCCTTTTCAGCTGTCCAACGACCCTCGCTGGCAGGTCTCACTCGCGACGTGACGACCCTCCGTGCCTCTTCCCAGGTACCTGACCTCACCTCGCCTCCTCCGTCCAATCCCCTCCGGAGTCTAGACTCACCGACTGTGGATGACAGACACAGAAGATAGAGAGAGATACCTACCTGGTAGTTGCAGCTGCCTGCTCCGACTTGTCCCCACAAATAACATACTCTCAACTTTTTTCTCTATTCTTTATTTTTACTTTCCCTTGCCCCTTCCAAAATTATTCGTCCCCTTCTCCCTTTCCTCACCCACCCTTCTCTTTCCCTTTGCATCGCCGTTGCTACTAACTGGCGTTTCTGGCAGTCCGGGCGGCTGGTCTTTCCCGTCACTGTTTCCCAGAGTTAATCGTCCACTTGCCCTTTCTTCGCTTTCCTTCTTTCTTCTTCTTTTTTTTTTTTTTTTTTTTTTTTTTTTTTTTTTTTCTTTCACGTCTCACTCGCCCTATACTACTAATAATACCTACTGGTGCCAACCCCCGGAGGAAAGGACTAGGGATAAAAATATAAAAAGAAAAAAGAAAATGTCATGGCCGCTGCCCCGCTAGAGAGCTCTAGCACCACCCCGCCTGACGTTAGATCGACCGACCCGACGCGTTTTCCCGGCGATCTCATGGAAGAAAGCGACCCTCAGACTACAAGGAAACGTCCTCGTCTCGATAGTGGAAGTGGTGTTCGGGAGACCTGGTCGACTGGTGAGGCCTCAGCTTCTCCAACAGACGAGCAGGCGCCGGATGATCGTACAGCCAGTGATCACGAAGCTCTTGCGTCGAACCGTCCTGCTAGCAGAGTCACTATCAACGTGAAATCCCCTACTACTCCCACTATGACCTCCGAAAATATGACGTCTGCTCCCGAAGGCCCTCCTACCGTGCAACCGGAGTCGGGTGCCCCCCCCAATGATGAGGACGGGACCGGAACCCACGCCTCCAACGCAATATCCTTATCATCATCGCCCGTTCAAAGTCCGGAGATTGAGGTGGCTGAACTAGAGGATATGGATCAGGATCCTAGCACGTCGAATTGGAAGCCGCTGGGTGAAGCGCTGGGAGATCCGGATGTAGTCCAGTTGCAGGACCAGCCTCCTCTGACGGATACATTCCCCAAGCTTCGCAGGGACTTTGAATTACGGGATAACTTGGAGGAGATCTGTGCCGTTATTGAGAAAGGTAAGGATGCCTATGTTTTGGTTCCCAAACAATGTATATTGAATTCCACTGAACGAACTCGCAGGACCTCCCAATAATGTGGCTGTTTTTCTGGCGACGAAGAATTGGCTCGAGGACGTTGCGAATAATTTAGAACAGCTTACGTACGAGGTGATAACAATAGATCGGGACTTCTGGGAGGAGCTCCCTGCCTTGGTGGAAAGCTTGCTGCGCAGAACGTAAGTGTCCTGGTGAGGGATATTGTTCCTCAGTTGCGGGCTCTCTCGGAACCGCTAATTTGTCACCTTTAGGCATGATCTTCAACCCGATGAAGGCCAAGAGCTTTGGACCTGTCTGGAGGAGTTCTTTCTCAGTTATGCCCATATGGCGCTTCACATGATTGACATGGATACTTTGGTACTAACCAGGGCCATCGAGGAGGACGCTGACGTTCAGGTGGCATCGGACTTGATATCAAGAACCTACATGTCAGCTCTTGGTTGGATGCTCCAAATTAACCAAATCCCCTTCTATCGTGCCATGGAGAGAATTTATGGCCCGGAGGTTTCGAACTTAGTAGCTCGCCTTAACGACCAGATTGCGTCTCCGCCCTTGGACTATTTCCAGCATCTACTCGAATACACTTCCTGCATCTTGTCCTTAATTCCTCGTTGGCCCCAACTTGCACCCCACTTAGCGTCAGTCACCACCCTTGTACATGTTATTGTGGAGTCTTGGAGCGAGCGGAAAGAGTTCAAAGCGGAAGAAGCTTTGGTCGATTCTCGTGTTAGTCCGGGTGTCATGAAGGCGGCTTCTGGCTTGGTCCGAGCTATCGATGAAAAATATCAGGAGAGCATAACCAAAAAGTTACCGTGGGTCACCAGTGATGTCAGTGATTTGATGCTGCGCAACGTTTCGTGGACATATTTCGCCCTATCCCTACGGAACTCGGATCTTGCAGAGCAGATTATCACGGACCTTGCACTTGACTTGCCGGGCGGCATAACGGCGGAGGAACGTGCGTTCCTCATTCATTATGCTTGGAAATTCTCTATCCTCAAAAAACATATCATCGATGGTCGTATGGAGCTGAGGGTCCACGGCATGGAGACAATGCAATTGGACCTCGTCCAAGCGTGGAGGCAGTATATTCAACACGATCCCGATGGGATAGAGCACCCCGTTGTCCAATTTCTGGTGAGATTTCTGAGGGAGAATAGGATAGTCGAGTACATAGTTGGCATCGATTCCCACCCTCAACTAATCAGCAGGAGCGGCAATATAGTCGGCTTTTTAATAGCCACATCTACGTATACTGCCGCTGATACGGATACAATTTGGGAGGCTGTTACAGAAAGCCCTGATCCCCGAGCTGTGTCGGATATCTTGACCATGCTCTCACGAACGTTCCACATGCACCTGGCAACTTCCCCGGCACTACTTTATTTGTGCTCCAAGCTCCTGGAGCTTCCGCTAGCTCGCTTCGATACGCAGATGCTTCTCTTTTGTGAAGAGCTGTTCCGTCAGATACGCGATAAACATGAGGAGAGACACCAATTGTTGGATACGCCGCATGTGGATGCGATCCCATTGCGTCTGTGCGTGCGCCTCATCCGTGAGAGTGCTGCGGCGGACGATTTGCCTGATGAGCAGAAAGCTCAGTTGCAAAAGTTTGCCAGCTGGCAGCTTAGCTTGTTTATGACTGTCGGGTTAAGTGAGTCGGATAAACTGGATACATATGAGCGATGCGTCCAGGATATTTCTGAGATGAATCGGTTCGCTGTGGGAAGCATGCAGGCTTTGACAGCCATTCTCACTCCTTACGACTCCCAGCAGATCCATAAACTTGCCTCGGAATTTGACCTGACACGCCTGGTGGTTCACGAGATAGCCCATGCGGTCGATAAAAACCACGCGGACTCCCAGGATTCATTCTCGGAAACCGCATTTCTTTCCCGTGTCGTCCTATTAACACGGATTATCGACAAGGTCCCGGAATCTGTCACTGCGGATCTTTCTGACTTGTTGTGGCATAAGGTCTTCATGTCGACGAAACTCACTCAACAGGGGAGAAAGGCCCTCTGGGAAATGTTATGTGATATTATGAAACAAAGCGTCAGGTCGAATCCTTTCATTGACCGGTGTATCCACGAATATCTTCCAGAATTGTCACCTACTGAGGGCTACTTTCCCGAGGTTCTCTCGTTTGCAAAACAGACTATCACTTACGAAGCTCGCCTCAATCCGCCATCCATTGCAGGCGAGAATGAGGTCGTCTCAATCCCCGGTATGGAGCGCATGTGGGATATCATCCTAACTGCTCCACCTGGGTCTATTGAAACCGAAGCGACCGCCTTCGCGATCGACGTCTACCTCGATCATAATATAATTCGCCGATCTCCGCGATCGGCGGCCGAGGCTACTCATATTGCATTGGTGGACCGTTGTGTTGACCAACTCAAGTCTGCCGCATCCAAACTGAAGCCATCCTCGGGCGACGTTGCCAATGAGTCGGGTGAGACTCTAACTGTGGAGCTGTCTGAATCTAAAGTCCAGGCCGAAGAGCTCAGATTCAGCCGTTCACTGTTGTTTCTCCGTCAATTTCTGCAGGGACTGCGGAGTCGACCTCAATATAGCCCACCGCAACACTCGCCCCCCGGGCTGCCTGGCGCACCGGTGAAGGGTGACTTAATCAGTCTCCGATATCAGACATTCGATGGTAGCGCACAATCAGCGGTTCGCATCTTGCAGATTGGAGACCTCTCGACTGCGTCGGAGCTTGTCGACAGGTTCGTGCAACTCACAGGCTTTTCCAAGATGAATATTATCTTCAGCGGACGAAGAATCGACCTTCTCGAGAAGCCTAATCAGACCATCCGGGATCTCAAACTAAATACGGCGCTGTTACTTCTTCACAGGCATCCGGACAGCCGTGAGGTGAGCTCTACTGGCCGCCGGCAGTCTCTGACGCCCGTAGATTCAGAAGTGCTCAAACACTTCGACGATCTCTACGATCTGCTCAGTCTAGAGGATCACCTGTCTCGGGAAATATTTGACTTTCTTGTTGTGTTTCCTCCACAAGATAGGGTGTTGCAGTTGGTGAAGTCGACGACCAGCACTGAACAGGAGTTGTTTCCTATGGATAAACCATATGTTCTCCTCTACTCGGTGAATGCGTTTATGATATGTTTGAGGGAGGTAGTGGAGGTACGTCGGTAATTCTTCTGTGTTAGACTTTATTTGTGCTGAAAAGATTTAGCCTCCACCAAGCCAGGCCTTTGTCTCTCACAGTGTCAATGTCTTGGTAGCCGCCATAACACGTCCTGAGATGTCCAAGTCTCTCACAGATCAACCTACAAGGCTTATGTTTGCCACAAGTCTGGTTGAGTGTCTTCTTCATGCACTTTTAGGTAAGTTCTATTTTCCCGCAAAACAGTGAAAACGATCTGGTAATAACATCTTCTAGTGAGGCCACCGCCATCAGATAACTCCATGTCAATTCCAAATTCGGAAAGTTTAGTCAAGCAGGTGCTCCATTTTATAGACGCTGGGCAACACCTATTGGCTTCCCAGATGCTAGAAGATGATGTCAAGAAACTAATATGCCACTCTTTTGCTATTCTGACCGAAGGTTCGGTCCGTGATCAAAAGTTTTGGAGCATGGTCAAGCAACATGTGCAGTTCCCTCAACTCATGTTCTCGCTCCTCCTGGAAGAGAGTCTCCCAGCAATTCGAAAAGGCATCTCAGAAAATATAGCTACTGTTTGCAGTCCTTCAAGATTCTTGAAGAAGGGAGGTAAATGCGTGGACACTGAAGGCCCAGAAATGCGGGAAGATTCAATCCCTGAGCACCCTGCGAGGATCGATATCCTTGCAACTATTTGGGACGCTTTTGTGCAGAACTTTACCCACACTTTGGGATACGTGCGGCAGTCCCAGGAGTTCTTCGAAATTGCTCACCTCGTGTTTCGCTCAGTCGCTGAGAGATCTCCACACGACCTGATATTTAACGAATATCTCAAACAGTGGAGCGGTATCATGTTCAGACATCGAAGTGAAGAGTTTGTTGGACGTGAGCCTATGGACCCTTTGATTCTGGGATTCTGTCGCCTTTTGAAATCGTGCCTTGATCTCGCTAGCTCAAGCAACACAGCCGTAGATACGTTTGACCTGACCGAAAACCTATTCGACAAATACCTATTCCCTGATCTGTCCGCGCCGTCGTCTGATACCATTGTCCCCCAAATACCTGTTTTGCACAGTCAAACCCGGCAAGAACTTTACACCGTGATCAGTTTGCTTTGCAAGTATAATGCGAATTACTCGAAAGTCGTGGAACGCCTGGATGATATCATTCCTCAGGGCTATACATACTCACCTGCTTGGTGTTTTGACCGTCACAGGATGATTCGATCACCAGAAGGCTATGCTGGGCTTAAGAACCTATCCAACACCTGTTATTTGAACTCCTTGTTAACCCAGCTTTTCATGAACGTTGGTTTCCGCGACTTTATTCTGCAGCTCCATCTCATAGACCCAGAATCATCTCAGAGGCTGCTGGACGAGACGAAGAAGGTCTTTGGCTACATGCAAGAGACGTGGCTCAAGTGTGTCGACCCCCAGGGGTTAGTGGACTCAATTCGGACGTACGACAACGAACCAGTTGATGTTACGGTGCAGATGGATGTCGATGAATTTTACAACCTGCTATTCGACCGATGGGAAGCACAGATATCAGGCTCGCAAGATAAGAAAAAATTCCGGTCATTCTACGGCGGGCAGCTGGTGCAGCAAATCAAGTCCAAGGAATGTCCCCATATCTCTGAACGCCTAGAACCGTTCTCCGCCATCCAGTGCGACATCAAGGGCAAAGCGAGCCTTGAGGAGAGTCTCCAGGCCTACGTCGAAGGAGAGATCATGCAAGGAGATAACAAGTACTCGTGTACCTCCTGTGGGCGTCACGTCGATGCTGTCAAGAGGGCATGCTTGAAAGAAGTGCCAGATAGTCTCATTTTCCACTTGAAACGGTTTGATTTTGACATGGTTACTATGACGCGCAGCAAAATCAACGACGAATTCCAGTTCCCCGAGCGCATTGATATGAGCCCCTTCAAAGTTGAATACCTCTCTGAGCAAAACACAGACATTCAAGAGGACAGTTTTGAACTAGTCGGTGTCTTGGTACATAGCGGTACAGCTGAATCTGGCCACTACTACTCCTATATACGTGAACGTCCTTCTTCTAGTACTACACGGTCATGGGTAGAATTCAATGACTCAGATGTTAGTCGGTTTGAGCCCTCCAAGATTGCAGACCAATGCTTCGGGGGTTACAACGACAACCCGAACCCCGCCGCCATGGGTCAAGTCCGATACACCAAGGCTTGGAACGCCTACATGTTATTCTATGAACGGGTCTCGACAATGGAATCGGCCAAATCAATCTATAATCCTCCGACGGAGCACTACCCTGTGCGTGTACAGCTCCCCGTGCCTCTTGCAAATCACATTGCAATGGAAAATGAAGTGTTCATTAGGGCATACTGCCTATTGGACCCATACCACGCCCTCTTTGTCCGATATATACTGGGCCAGCTTCTTGAGATGAAACACGCCGAGGATGGGGAGAATTCCAGGCTCAATAAACAGATCATCTTTATCGTGATGGATACTCTGGAGCAATTGGTTTCGAGAGCGAGCAATCCTCTGGGATTGGATGTGATCGTCGCAGAGCTTGTTCGAGCAATTGACGAGACTCCGAAAGCAGCCTACAGAGTCCTTCAATGGGTGGAGCATAAGCCAGCCAGTATTCGCAACCTAGTTTTGAAGAGCCCCCAACCTTCCGTTCGCAACAGCTCCATCAGGATCTTTGTGTGTGCTCTTTCCAAGCTCCTGGAACTTCGCAATGAAGCGGACGAAGGGAGCCTTGAGAGGGAGAAGTGGCAAATGCGGTATTTGGAAGGCTTTGAAAATGTGGTGGCCACACTTGAAGGTCTCTGGTCCACACTCCATACAGTGGGTCGGTCTTGGGACGACTATTTTGAGTTCTTGTTGTTGCTTGCAAGTTTTGGGACCGAAGAAGCAGGAATGGTCTTAAACTATGGATTCTTGCTCAAATGCTTGGAAGTCTTATGGGTGGATCGGGATGACGCTAAGAGGCTAAGACGCCAATATCTTGCTTATTGCAAACTTGTTGAGAAGGGCAGAAGATTCTCCCACAGGAAACTTACAGAGCTGTTGTCAGTGCTGCTGGCAAATATAGATTTTTCTGCGCCTCCTACAGCCGATGACGAGCGACGGGTTCTACCTACTGGCCGATATTCTCTCACAACATCAGAGAGCGACTTAATTCGACCTCTTGGGAGAAACGATGAGTTATTTGTATTGAGGAGGATCCTTCAGCAGTACAGTAGTCCGCAAGCGTGCAGGAACATAGTCAGTGTACTTTTGGATGCGGAGCCCGAGGCTGGCCTCTTGGATCCGATCTGCAAGGTCCTAGAAGATGGACTTCGAGTGGCCCCTGCCGATCTTTGTGCTCCATTTCTGGATGCAACGATAATATTTTGTCGACGCGGCCCGGACGAAGAACGAATTGCCGCCATGCTTGATTATGTTGCGAAGGGTGTTGACTCTATTAATGATAGTGGTGGGAAGGAGCATCTTGCCTTCTTCACAAATGTTATGTCGTGCCATAACGACCGTCTTGGCCTTAGCGAGATATGGTTCCTCTCTCAGCTTATAGACAGGATCCCAGATTGGGTCCCGACGTTACTCATGTTTCCGGACAGGACTATTAGAAACATGACCATGGAGATTCTACGCCGCATCCTGTTCACTGGGGAGACTGGGGATATAGGCGAAGACTGGCAGTCACGCCATGCCCAGGTTGCCCGGGAATTAGTCTATGCCAGTATAGACAAACTGAGGAAGCTGTACCTCTCTGTCCCGGAGAACACTCTTGAGGCTAAAACGGTGGAAACGATAAAAACTGTTATCGACCACTGCGTGGACGCATATTTTGATGACAGTGAACAGGATCAGGATATCGCTCGCCAAGCCCACGGTATGTTCCGACGCTAAGTATCACTCGCATCAGTATCACTAATATCAAATGCCTCATCTAGCGGTAATCGGGGCCGTCGAAGAAGTGGCGGTTGATGTTCGTGAGGATCTGGGATCCGGTATGTATTCATTTTCATTACATCCGTTTTCACCGTCTAATTCCCGGGCCCCTCAGAATCTGATGTACATTCTCCAGAGGAATGGGACGATAATTCCGTGGTGAGCGACTCGGAAATGGGAATGGCGGGCTCTCCCTAGATACAACCAACCTACCGGTACATCTCCTACGAAACGCCGATTCTATCACATATGAGAAATGACTTGATGAGAAAATATTCCCCCTTCCCCTCTTGTTTATTGGCTGTGCTCCATGCCTTGCATCTGTCGGCGTTTCCTTTGCCTTATCTGGTATTTAGACATGGTAGTGGTTCTGCACAAGGATCTAGTATTGAACTGGTTCTTTTTTCTTCTTCTTTCTTCAGTTCTGTATGACAAGCTATTGCAAGAGAATTGTGTCACGGATGTGCAGGAGCTTACTGCACTTTTTCTTTCTTTTGACTGGGGAGGCCTCCTTGGGTTTCAGCATGTTATTGAGTGAAACAGGCCGACTTCCTCTGGGTATAGAACCGTAGTAGCTCAGCTGGGCTTTTATGCAATAGACTGATTGATTTCCCTTAGGACATTTCATTTTTCATAGAGATATAATACAAAATGGAAGTTTACCTGAAATTTTAACACCTGCGAATTCAGAAAGGATAATTGGGTTGGGCCAAAAAAACACCTGTCTATTGAAACACGCCCATGCCGATTTCTCTTATAATAGGACTCGACTCTCAGCATACATGCGGCGCCAGCACCGCCCTAGACATGCGGGAAAGTCGTTTTACGCACTGATAAAGACAAGGTTCCCCTTCAAACATCCTCGAACTCCTCTTCATCCTCATCTGACTCTTCTTTCTTGATGTCGGGTTCCACCTTGATCCTTTTCGCTGCGAGGCCCTCATCGGCCGCAGTGGACGGAGTCGCTGTGGAGGTCTGAGGCTCACTGGTACCAGAGTCTGCTTCCAGTTCACGCTTGATCCCAGACAACATCGCAGATGCTGGAGCACTGGTAGGACCATCGTTGGCGCCGACGGTAGGGGACGTAGTATCACTCGCCGAAACACCGCCCACATCTTCAAATTCATCAAACTCATCCGAGTCTTCATCCGCACTGCTAACATCCTCCTGGGCTTGGAGAGCTCTCTCCCGCTCCATTTCGGCGTAGTAAGCGGCGAGTTTGTCGTCTAGAGCGTCGATCACAGGCTTCTGATCCTCCTCCTCCTCCTTTATTTCCGGCTTGACTCTGATGCCCGGTTCGTTCTTGATGCGATTGAGATTACCAGCCGTTGTGGAAACTGTCGAGTGGGTGTGCCACACGGGCAGAGCGTTCTGCTTCTCCAAGGCGGCCTTTCGTGCCGCCTCCTCTGCCTGTTCGGCGGCACTCTTCTCCTCCGTGGACGTAAGGGAGATCTCGAGGGCGGCGGTGTCGGTTTTGATGTTGCCACGGACGGCTTCCTGTTGTTTGGATGGAACCACGATAGCAGCCCTGGTTGGGTTGATCGCCTGATTCCGAACGACGTCAACCTTATGGTCCCAGGCGGTGTCAAAATCATTCGGAGGGATTTCAACGGAGTCGATCTGCTTGAGTAGTTTCAACATCGTGTCCAGCTGGGCCATGAGCTTGCTGTTTTTCTCGTGGCCTGTGCGGTCGATCCCCTCGGTTCCTTTCACATCTTCAGTGCGTTCCAGGATAGCGCCACAGTTCTGGCATTCGAACCCTTCGTCCGAGTACAGACTTAGAACATCCAGCTCCGTCCACTCCGCTCCACATCGCAGGCAGATATACTCCTTTCTCTCCTCGCTGGGGGTATATTGGGCTTTGATCGTTGATGTTAACCTGGAGACTTTGAACTTGATGGCGTCGATAACGGGATGTAGAGGGACGTAATAGTATTCGCGGTTGACGGGACGAGTCGATCCATCTCGAATCTCGGCTCGGGTATTTCTGCATTGTATACCAGTTAGACTGACTGTTCTCTGGTAGCAAACACTCCTGGAGGAAAGAAATTACACCGAGATCAGGCGATCCTCGCGCAACTTGGCGCATAACTTTCGGAGGTCTTTCTGTTGCATTCCCAAGAGGAAAGCGAGGTCTTCGGCGTGGAGACTGGAGACGATGTGTCATTAGAACTGGCAATTCTCTATTTCGTAGCCATCTCGTCTGCGACGAATCGTTCGAGCTCAGAATAGAAATACATACACGGAGTGGATAAAAAGCGCATCCACGACCAGGATGTGGCGTGTCTCATAGAAGGCGCGCGCTACGGTGCGGATCAGAGTATTCGCGAGATCCATGGTTATCGTCACGTCGGCAATATCTGGGGTGTAAGATATTGGGGAAAGCTATTAGAGTGTTTGCGTAGTCGGTGCAAGAAAAGCGTCCTTGTTATCTCCGATGCTGAGCTCGACTTTAGCAAAGCCACATGCTAGTTATCTTGTGGATCTCTAACCACTGCTGGACGGGGGCAAGGAAAGAGGGATCTGTCACGGAAATGTCCGACTCCACCCTCATAGGTATAAGATGTAATCTGGAATCTGACTCAGGAGTGGAAGAAGATGAAATCTCGCGATGAAGAAAGAACCGAAAGCAAAGGACGAGCGGACTCGGCGCCTGAGGCACAGCTTGTTCGGGGATAGCGTGGTTATATATCAGCTAGTCCATATATGGACTAGTGCATCCGGACTTACGCCCAAAAAAAAAAAAAAAAAAAAAAAAAAAAAAAAAAAAAAAAAAAACCAATATTAAACCAAAGCGGAGTACAGATAAACGACGATTCCCTGCACTGTCTAGCTTGCTTCATGCACCCATCTGTCTCCGTGAGTCAACAGTTGGCCGGGATTTACACGTCCTGTAGACTTCCAGTCCTACTGAATCGAACCTTTTGCATTCCAACCCTTTCGCAAGGACATCGTCTCACATTGCGACGCTATTACTGGCTGCAAACCCCTCGATTACCATGGACAATAACGAAGGAAGAGCTGGAGGATCCGAAGAAACTGGAGGAAAGCGTAAGAAGAGGAATATGGGAAGGGCAGAGTGGAGGTATGTTTAATGGGTTTTTCTCAGAAATCCATTAATTGAGACTGCTAACCAAGCAAGCCGACAAAATATAGACAAGAGAGCGCGGAACGAAAAACAGCTCGAAGCTAAACGCCGGAAGATCGAGAATGGAGAGCAAGTGGCCGCCCCGGTATACGCGACGCATTTCTCGCAGGAGGACATCGAGAACGAACAGCGACGTCCGAAAAAGAAGGTCGCCGTATTGCTGGGGTATTCGGGGACCGGATATAAGGGAATGCAATTGTACGATAATAGTATTATATGGGTTGGTGGAGCACTGATAATGATGTGTTTAATTTAGGAGCGAAACCGAAAAGACCATCGAGGGAGAGCTCTTCGCCGCGTTTGTGGCTGCCGGCGCTATCTCCAAAGCCAATGCAACGGACCCGAAGAAATCATCGCTCGTCCGATGCGCACGTACCGACAAGGGAGTCCACGCTGCGGGAAACATCGTCTCCTTGAAATTGATCGTGGAGGATCCAGGCATCGTCCAGAAGATCAACGAGAAGCTCAGTTCGCAGATTCGCATCTGGGACATCTTAGTCGCCAATAAGTCGTTTAGCAGTTACCAGATGTGCGACTCTCGTATCTACGAATATCTCATTCCGTCCTATTGTTTCCTTCCGCCGCATCCCAGTACTTATCTGGGGAAGAAGATTGCGGAACTTGCCGAGAGAGAAGGCGACCTGGAAGGATTGAACTCCCGACAGACGGAAGTTGCTGATTACTGGGCCGACATTGATGACAAATTCGTCCGGCCTATCCTCGAAACTGTCCCCGAAGATATCAGGCAGATCGTGCAGAAGGCGCTGTATTTCGACGAGGAGAGATCCGCGGATACCGAGTCCGACAACAAAGGGGAATCGTCGGCCGATACGTCAGTCGAGCACGAGGATAGTAAACCTGCAGCGGAAGAAACCTCGCAGGAAAAGGCCGAAGTTGATACGGCGCAAGAGGCTCGCCGCAGGCAGATTTACGAGTCTGTGAAAGCTGTGAAGGCGGCATACAATACTGCCAAGCGAGAATATCGCATTCCTGCCGCTCGTCTGTCCCGTTTACAAGAAACTCTGGACAAGTACCTGGGGACGAAAAACTTCTACAACTACACCATCCAGAAGATGTATAAGGATCCGTCTGCGAAACGACACATCAAGTCGTTCAAGGTAGACACGAACCCGATCATCATCAACGGCACCGAATGGCTCAGTCTGAAAGTGCACGGACAAAGCTTCATGATGCACCAGATCCGCAAGATGGTGGCCATGGCAACGTTGGTAGTGCGATGCGGATGTGATCCACAGCGCATCGTGGACAGTTACGGCGCTACGAAGATCCCAATCCCGAAAGCTCCGGGTCTGGGTCTTTTACTGGAACGTCCGGTGTTCGACGGGTACAATAAGAAGGCCAACGAGACGGGCAAAAAGCCGATCAATTTCGACAACTATGTCAAGGAGATCAACGAATTCAAGCAACGCGAGATTTATGATCGAATCTTCCGTGAAGAGGAGCAAACCAATGCGTAAGTCCTTCTGTCTTGACGTTTATCTAAGTTAAGCTAATTAATCGACAGGTTCTCATCATTCTTCAATCACATCGATCACTTCCCCCAGGAAGAATTCCTGTATATCACATCCGGTGGAATCAGGGCTTCAAAGCGCGTGCCGCAGCCCACGGAACCCAAGCAAGAGGGCGGACAGAAGGGGAGGAAATCTGAGCGGGAGGCTTTGTGCCTTGTGGAGTCGGAATCCGATACTGAAGCTAATCTTCCTGATGGGGGTGAGGAGGGAGGTTGATCTAATTGATCTGCATAGAATGCACATTATGATAATCCGTGATTGTAGGGTGTATACATTAAGAATCCTACATGTAATACTTAGCTCCCAGGAACTTAATACATCTCCGATTACCCTAGGATCACTGAAAATTCCAACTCCCTTCCAACTCTGGATCACCTGCATGTGCACTTTGCGACGGAAACCTACAGTGACGTCTTCGACGCAGGACACCCAACTCCGACCGATCCTCGACATACTTAACACCATGCATCGTATCATGGGGAGCCTCCCGTTTCACCCGATCAACCAACGCCGCCAGCATATTCCATTCCCTGTCGAACGGGACGCTGGAAGCAGATACTGACCCAATTGCATGAGATCATAGGCCCCCCGACCCGCCTCCGCAATGCGCCATACCAGGGACAGGACACGAAAGTACGAAAGAAGCGTCCAGATCTTCCGTGATCATATCCATGGCACAAGAGAGTTGGATATAGTATCGAACTGTGACGTAGATGTTCATGGCTTTCCCACATGGAGACAGGGAAAGACGAATGCTTATATTTTATGTTTTGGTAATTATTGATTGTAGACTATTATTTCTGGGTTTAGAAGAGGAACAAATATGATAATCAAATAATACATGGTAGTACGCGTAGTAATTTTACATTCTTACACGACTCGCATAATTTGACGGGAGCGATGTAGAAGACTAATATATAATCATAGTAGAAGTCTTATTCTATATTCTAGGCAGTAACGCTATTTGATTGGATGAAAGTAAGCTGACCATTGATTTTTATCAAGACAGCCCAAACTGTATTTTGTTAATCTATTTTGGGTTAATGATCTGCCAATCTGGGTAGCGCTTACTACCAGCCATAATCACTCGTAGTAGAGCAGTTAGCGTTATCAAACACATCACTTGTCTGGGCTAATAATCGACCCGGCCTTCCGATAATCTGACGGCTTCCAGTGTAGTAGAGCATTGCAATTAGTGTGACTTAATGGGTTTCAGTGACAATACTAGGAATAATACTAAGAATAATACTCCATCAGTCAGTATTCGCGCTAGTAAAGGACACAATAATTATCGATTAGTTATCATTTTTAAGCCTACATCAATCTTGGATCGAGAGTCTCGGTTTAAGTGCCTAAACGAGATCTAGTATTAACTAAGAAGCTCAAAGAAACGCCTATGTTAAAATATAGCACAGCCCGTTGTCTGTTCTAGTTTTCGGACTTTCTTTCTCGCCCCCATTGCCGTTGAGTGGTATCATCTCTCCCTGGAAATTTCTAGCTCCTGTGCGCTTGCTATTGCCTATTCGGGTCTTTGATTTCCAACACCTCACTCACCAATTTAATACACAGTTTCATCTTCAATACACGTTCAGGATGAGCCGACCTTTCGACATCTCGCCCGAGAAGGAGGCCAGCACCAGCCAGTACCTCTACCGCCAGCTGTTTGTGACGCCCGCGGTCTTGTCCAAGAAGGAATTCAATCTCACTGGAAAAACGGCCATTGTAACTGGCTCCAACATTGGTCTTGACCTTGAGTGTGCGCGTCAGCTTTTGGATCTCGGATTAAGCAAGTTGATTCTGGCTGTACGTGATGAATCGAAGGGTGAAACAGCACGTAAGGAACTCTCTATATGCAGGAGTCTTGCCCCGGGCGCAATTGAGGTCTGGAAAGTAGACCTCTCCTCTTATAACTCTATTATTAAGTTTGCAGAGCGCGCCCACAGCCTTGAATACCTTGACATTGCTGTGTTGAATGCGGGTGTATACAAGGTGAACCTTACCTTCAACCCTGCAACTGGCTTTGAAGAAGATGTGTAGGTTAACTATCTCTCTACGGCTCTTTTAACTACCCTGCTACTCCCTATCGTTAAGGCCAAGAAGTCTGGCATAACACCTAGCCGGATTATAATTGTCTCCTCTGACACCGCAGCCTGGGCCAAGTTCAATGAGAGGATAGTAAATCCTCTCCTCCCCGCCTTCAAGGCTATCCCAAGTAAATGGGACATGCAGGAGCGCTATTCCACCTCAAAATTACTGGGCCAGCTGCTTTTTGTCCGAGCTAGCTAAACAGGTTCCCCCCTCTGTGGCGACTATCAATTGCGCTAACCCAGGTTTCTGCTATGGATCTGGTCTCCAGCGTGATGGTGCTGGTACCCTCTTGGGACTTGTTATTGGTATTATTACACGCATCATTGGTCGGCCGTGCAATGTGGGAGCTCGCCCTCTCACTGCCGCCGCTGTGAAATTTGGAGACGAGGTGCATGGGCAATATGTCGAAGACAACAAGATTCGCCCGTAAGTGCTTTTTGATTGCGAGAAAGATAAGGAACATGACTAACTGTTTACTAGAATGGCACCTATTATTTACAAGCCTGAAGGCCAACGCATAGCCAAGAAGCTGTGGCAGGAGTTGTTGGATGAGCTTTCCTTTGCAGGCGTTCGTGATGTTCTTAAGGGGCTTAAGAAGTAGACTTTATTCTTATTTTTTTCATGAGCTTGTCATTTTTTCATTCGGATTTGTGTTCTCGTCGCGTGTTAATCAGGCTCGGAATGCCCTGCTATCTGTCTATCTATATCTATCTGTGTTGATCTGTTGGTATCTCAGGGTTGTTCTGTACATAGCCATTTAAGTACTTATGCCTAAACATGCATCTGCTCCGCCTTCCAGGAGCAGTTGTACCATCGCAATGTCTCCTCCCATCGTAGCTATATGTAGAGGTAGCTCTCCTGCCGTATGGTGATTTTCTCGTCCTGTAGGCCGTGGTAAATGAAGAGTTCTCCGCCCCAGTCGCCAAACAGCAATAGATTCATTGGCTAAGTTTAGATCACTGATGGGATTTGTAGATCTGCGAGGAGCGCGTCGTGGATGGTGAAGTAGATGGTGTTCCAGTCTGGGGTGTAGATTACATTTTGGAAACATTCTGTGAGTATTCATTAGTATGTGATATAGAATGGTATGTTCATGCGGATATATACCTCGGAATAGTTAGATGGCGCACCGCGGTATAGTTCCTGCGCCGCTTTAACTTCACTGCCGGGCTGCATACCAGAAAAGATCATCCGTCCATCCTGATCGCGGAGAGGACTATAAATCCGCAGCACCGTCTCGAACTGAATGGGACTCGGACAATCATCTGTGGATACCTCTTGCGGCCTGAGCATCGGAGACACCCGGTTGGAACTCGCACCGCGAAGGGTCCTCGATAATACCGTCTTCGATGCTGTCGGGACCATCTCACTGACGGAGAACCTCATGGTGGATTAGTTCCGTCCACTGCTGTGCGGAGACGAAGCCTGGTGTGAGTCTGGAGTGCCCGTGGTCGGGAAGAAGCTGGCTCGCCAGGAGACGAGATTGCTTAAGTCGATGACAGGAGCGCCGGCGATGATGCCGTCGAAGTCATGCGGGAAGACATCCGCAGAGTGAATGCCCTGTCGATCGCTGTAGGAGCATCCGAAGGAGTAGGATTTCGTGTGTGAGTGGCCGTAGAATGTGTGGGTGAGGTCTTGCCAATGGTGAAGCTGGTATGGAGGCGGAATCACGGATAGGGACATGTATATGCAGGATAAAAGGTCGGAAAAGATAGCTGTTGCGAAGTCTTGCATCAACTTTACAGTTGACAGCATTAAAAATGAGACACGACATTTGGTTCGCGCAATCAAAATATGCGAATCCAAGTTGAAGGGTGCATACTAAAGTAGGTCTGTGTTCACCCCATGGGCATACCAATATCGTGTGCCACTAATCAAATCTTTAGCCTCGAGCTTAGCCACCTGGATGGACTCAATGTTGGCCCCCGATGATAATTTTAGGCTGTGTCAATTTGCCTATGAAAATCTGAATATATGTCCAGCCTAATGAAGCAAGCTCGAAAGGAAGAGGGAAAGATAGTACCACAAGTCAAAATAGCATCTTTTTCCCAGGCTAGACATTACCTTGGGCGGCTGGCTCACCACGTTCGGGCACCTCTGCAGCTCGTCGAGGATGCTGGTCAATTGAGCCACCTGCTTGAAACATTTCCAGGGTCGCCAGTGGCCAAAGGGGCTCAGTCAACATACACCGCAAACCACAAATCGATCAACACGCCTCCGTCGTTAAGCCAGATGCACAAGTTCTGGTGGTCCCCAGGCGCCAGTTGGCCACCATATAAACTTGCTCCAGAAATATATATCTCCCACAACCCTTGACTGCCGCACACATTATGTATCTTCAAAGCCCACTTTGTTCGATCGTTTTTAGCCCCATTTCAAAGCTCTGTTTGCCCGCCGATTTGCTCCCAGCATGACCGCCCAGACTACTTCCGGACTCATAGCTCTCCCTGACATTTTAAAACCGTTCAGTCGATGTGTACCCGCTTGTCGGTTGAAGTCTCGGTTCGAATCGTGGACGGAAACGAGGCGCCGAATTCGACTACCTTGTATTGAAAATTATCAGATCTCCTGGCCTCCCTCTCAGCATAGCTATGTAGTGAACAGAAGTAACCACATTCATAGATTGGGACTCTATTCGGTAGTTCGCTTAACGGATGCCAGCAGGTTTATTGTTTCTGGATTATTGTGCCGCGAGTCATAGGAAAGTAGTGTTTGGCCTTCAGTGTCCATTTCCCCGAGATCGATTGAAGACGAATTCAGGATTAGCATCTTGATTGCTTCAAGATCACCATGCTCAACCGCATATGATAATGGTGTTCGTCCCTTGTAATCCTTTGAATTATGATTTGCTTGAGCACCTTGTGTCAATAATAGACAAACAATCTCTCGATACCCATACTCTGCAGCCACAGACAGAGAATTCCGCTTGCGTTCCTTGGTTTGGGATGCTAGGTTTACCTTTCCTGTCCCTAACAGAAATGAAACTATATCTGTATACCCTTCACTTGAGGCTATAGTAAGTGGAGTCTCTCCAGTACTAGTAGCACTGTCTGGATCAGCTCCTGCTTCATATAGCAGTTTCATGATAGATAGATTGCCATTAAATGCAGAAAAAAATAGAGGAGAGCAATTCTGGTGATCTCTAGGGTCTGGGTTTACCCCCTTTGCAAGTAGAAGCTGCACAATAACCTCTGAATTAACAGAAACTGCAAGATGCAAAGCGGTCTTTCCATTGCCACATTGATGGTCTGTATTAATATTAGGTGCTTTAAGCAATAGCTTCACTTTCTCTATAAATCCCCTGTTAACAGAGAACATCAGGGCGGTCCACACTCTTTCAACATGTAATTAGTAGCTATCACAGCATTAACATCAATGTTCTGTCGAGATAGGAATTGAGACATGGCTGCTTCCGATCCGTAACTAGCAGTCCAGGAAAGTGGTGTACGGCCATGGAGATCTTTTAGATCTAGATCTATGCTTGGTGTGGCAAGCAGCTGCTTGACCACAGCATCTTGGCCACTAAACCCAGCATATGTAATAGGCGGTCGTCCCATCTAATCTCCTAAGTTAGGGTTGATATCTTTTGTTGAGAGTAGCAGTTCAACCATATCCACATGCCCTGCTTGGGCTGCTCTTGCTAAAAATGTTATGCAAGATGTATCTTCGTCACCCTTGTACTGAAAATTAGGATTGATCCCTTCTTGGCATAGAAGAATCCTCGCAATACTTGTGTGCCCCGCTTGTATGGCTATTGAGAGTGCATGGTAGAATATCCCAAGTTTATTATTTAAAGTCCTGAAACTAGCATTCAGCGCGTACTGGGCGGTCTTGGATATCCCATGATCTGCAGCCCACAGGAGTGCGGACATCTGCCCATGCATTGCATTGAATTGATACAAAAAAGCGTTAGTTGTATTGTACAGGTGGCGGTTTGTCCTGGTTAATGAGTTTATATCTTGCTCTAGGGTTAAATAGCCTGCAATGCAGTATAAAATCTCGTTTGGTAGGTCCAGCAACTGTGGCATAACGAACTTCCTCGATCAATTATATTAGAGGTTGGGCGTTGAATTCGGATAACGTAGGTGGAAAGGAAGGTCACAATAATCTGAAAGAGATCTTCGGCATTTCCCCTGCTTAAGACGTACCGTGTTTATGTTATTGTTCGAGTTTTGAGGAGGTCTAAATTGATCGTATTCAGAAGGACGTTCAGTCCAACCCCTCTATGAGAGATATTGGGTATGTATACATATCTGTTGAATAGTATGGCCTTTGGTGGACCGGAATCAGGTGACTAGATCGGGGTAAAGCTTAAAGCCCCGCGGAGCACACAACAAAAATCAATTCGTTCAAATAAGACCTTTTTATCAATCGTACTCTATTTCCTCTTCGTGACTAGCTGAATATCTGACAATTTCATATGAGGTCCCGATATGGACTAGCCTATTCTGACGGTTATCAAGCCCCTCCCTTCTATCCCACAGCCAACACCTGATTCTCATACTACGCTACGCGGTATCCTCAACCGAATGCTGGGGGCCAAATGACCCAATACATAACAGACAACATGTGCTAATGCTTATGAGTACGTTCTTCCTGGTTCGACTGAGCGCATCTACTTAGGCCTACCATGTAGTGCATCATATTGGCAACTGCTACGAAACCGCCCTTGCCTTGAACATTCCCGCATAAATCACTTGCGAATGTAGTAGATCATGACAATCGCACCTTAGTTCCATCTAGGCTACACATTGTCAACCTTATCTTTCCATTCCACTCCTGGCCCCCACAATCCTCAATCTCTGTAAACGTTTGCACAAGCCGGACAATTGTATATTCTGCCACGGTTAAGGCATATTGTTGTCCAGCACAGATCCGCGGCCCGCCATTAAAGGGTAAATAGCCCCATCCGGGCCGGATCGTGTGCCAGCGGTCGGGGTTAAACTCCTCAGCGTCAGGCCCGAAAATATCTTCGCGGCGGTGCATGGCGTATACAGTGTAGGCAACACGCGCACCCCGTGGAATGAATATTGGGCTTTTCCCGTCTGGCCCGCCGCCAACAGGGAGGATGGTATCTCTGAGAGATTCTCGACCATTACCGGGAATGACAGGGTGAAGGCGAAGTGCTTCATGAGCCTCATTAACTTTGGTTCGCGTATGACTCATGGTGGACGACACGTAGAGCAGCAGCGATGGTGGAATGAAGGAGCGGATAACTTACATTCGTTGAGTAAATGACGAAGGAAGCTAAGCCCTCTGAGCGTATCGTATGTTGGGCGTTTTCCCTGGAGACCTTGCACCTCCTCCTGGAGCCTTTTCCACAGGTCGGGCCGCTTAGACAGTATCACGAACAGGTTGCTCAGTAGACTGGCAGTCGTGTCTCTGCCTGCTAGCAAAATATTCATCAGTTCGTTACGGAGGACCAAAGGATCGTCGGTCTCTTTGGCCAGCTCATCTAAAAACACGTAGGAAACGTTATTCTCTTTCTCCGCATCAAGTGTGCCCCTTTGGCGTCGGTCCAGCGCCCGTTTCACATATTGATCCACGTAGCTATGACAGAAACGACAAGCCTGTGAGAATAGCTTGTTTCGGTAGAGCCCTCGCAATGGGCCTAACCGGAAGCGCGTGGTCAGTCCATCTTGCGCCAAATCGAACTGAGTCCCAAAGTCATCCGACTTGGTTTGAACGTCCGTGCCGAGGCTGTTCACGGATTCGCCTAGGAGGAATTCAGTCACCGAGTCGATGGTTAGCTGGAAGAAAAGAGGCTGTAAGTCGACAGTGGTCTTTCGCGGGATGTGGGAAATCAGATGTTGCACATGCGTCTCAATGAGGCTGAGGTCAAGCAACTGGGCTTTCTTGAAGGTGGGTCGGATCATCGCCCGGGAATGCTTGGGGATATTAGCTAGGGTTGTGACATGAACTGGACGTATGTACTTCCTCACCTGCCACTGACTCCCGTCTGTAGTGAAAATGCCACTCCCTAGCAATGGCCCAAAAGCTTTCAGTCGCGATCCCAGAATATAGTCTTCAAAATGAGTCGACAGAACAGCCTTCACATTCTCGGGCTCAATAGTGAGGTAGATTGTTGACCCCATCGTCGAGACCGAATACGTATTGCCATATTGCTTGTACCGGTTCAATCCATCCTGTAGAAGGCGATCGCTTTTGGCAACTTGAATACGCTTGAGGAAGTATTGGATGCCGATCACATTTTCCCACTGCTTATATTGAGCTGGTGGGAGGCATCCGTGTGCTTTCTTGGTCTTTGACCGGGTCAGATGGAGGCGGAGGCGGGAATAGAGATAGAGCAGTGTACTTGCCAGAAGCAAGTGTGCCAATGCAAGGACGATAGATTCGGGACCCATGAAGACAATGTAGAACTAGGTTGACTGCCTAAGCCTGCAGTTCTGTTCGGGGTAAGTATCTGACGACGAGTATATGAAACACTGACACGGTATATGCACCCGGTAGTCCATGCTTGTGGTCAGCAGTCATTCTCAGATGCTGGGTCTTATGCTGACAGTCTGATATCTGGGGCATCTCTTCCCGAAGTTGTCAGATTAACCCAAGGTCCACCAGGCAGCAGCGTCACCCATTTTTGTCTGTGGGATTATTTCTGACCTCGGTATTCGCATACACCTTCATTCCAACGGGGGTGGATATTGAATTGAAGGCTAAGAAAGCCAGGTCATCTTCTAGTGGTCATGATATAGGGATGTAAAATATAAATTAGACAACAAATGAAGAAGGTAGAAAATAGAGAGAGAGAGGGAAAAAAAAAAAAAGGAAAGAAGAAAAATAAAAAAAATATTTATAAGGACTACCGATATTGAGATTAGGCGATAGCAAAATGACAGAACAAGATCCCTACATCCTCCAACGAGACTTCCAAGCCTCCTGCCGGTTTGTTCACTGTGCCCCGTCTACTGAGCCTCTGCTGATTCCAATAGCCTCAACCTTCAATCTTATTTATGGAAGGACTCCTTGGGATATATCATCCATCCCACTATCCCGCCACTTCCAGCAAATGGCCATGTGGCTGATGTAGGCACAGGAACGGGGTTTGTATATGTGACACAAGAGAGCTCCGATAAGTTATATATAATAATTTAATCTTACCGAAACAGGCTTTGGCTTGCTCAACTGCACTCTGAGCAGCAAAAAGAGTCCATCCGCATGGACGGGTTTGATATCGACATTACCCAATGCCCGCCGGCAGGATGGGTGACCGATAACATCCATTTTCGGCGGTGGAATGCCATCGAGCCACCACCTTCGGAGCTGCGTGGGCAATTTGATTTGGTGCATTTGCGGCTGGTCATGATTGGCATCAACAATGAGGATGTACCAGCCTTGGTTGAGAACTTGTCACTGCTGCTGAGTATGTGTTCCTTGCTTTAGGCCATTTCGCTGAATTTCGAGATAGTTTCTGACGGGTCTGCGCTCAACAAATAGAGCCAGGTGGCTGGCTCCAGTGGGAAGAGATGAACAATTTTGATAACAATATCGTAACTGTGGACGAATCGACCCCGAAAACTGCAATCGCAGAACTCCTGCAGTGGATGACCATCGGACCGAAGGAGCGCCGAAAGGGGAACGAGTACATGCTTCACTTCCCAATCGAATTTTGGAGATCCATGAACTGCTAACAGCATCTGCTGCAGATGGCGCTTAACGATTCCAGGTGTCCTTGAACAGCATGGATTCACAAATGTGAGGGTGGAAAATCACTCGGACCCACCGTACATGAGGAGGTGGATGACAGAGGTGTAGGTGCTCGATTGATTGAGAGATGACTGGTACTGACAATAGAAGCACATTCCAAACGTTGACGGAATTTGCCAGCAAGCAATTTTCTCGAGACTCTAAAGAAGCCACTTGGCTGGCGCGGACTTTGGCGGACGCCCACGAGGAATGTAAGAAAGGGGCAGCAATTCACATGGGAAAGTTAATCTGTTTGGCTCAAAAGGTTGGAGGCCTCTGAAGCATCGAAGGGAAAGGCTGCTGGATATCACACCACCTGTGGTCAGACAGATGACCGTGCAGTAGCGTCATCGCACATTCAGATGTAGATCAGTTCCCGTCACAGTGAGTGTGCGGATATATCCATTCCATGATAAAGAGAAGACAATGAAAACATTTAAAGTGCCACTCGAGATCGCATGTCCACCCCTCGCTGCAACAACAAGCGTACGACCTCTTCATGGCCACCCAGAACCGCCAAATGAAGACCATTATGCCCAGTGCTGTCACGGATATTGGCATCGGCACCATATTGCAAGAGGACTCGAACTGTGCGGGTATCACCGCTCATCGCAGCATAATGTAATGGTGTACGTCCCCATTGATCACACAAATCAGGACCGGCCTCATGCTCCAACAACATATGCACCAGGACTTGGTTCCCACTCGTGGTAGCTAGATGGAGTGGCGAACGCCCGTCCGTGTCCTTAGAATCAGGATCAAGGCCAGATCCAAGTAGTAACCGGACTATTGAGACATGATCCGAACGCACGGCCAAATGCAAGCTTGTGGATCCACTTGCGGTGCAGAGCTCACCCGTATCGAGTGGGTTGGACGTCCCCCGCACCGCAGCCGACTTCCTATGCTCGACCGAGACTTTCGCGTAGTGCTTGTCATCGACCTTATTTGATATCGATTGAGCGGTGATCTGCTCAGAGTGGGCCCGGCCACAACAGTTGCACAGGTCGAGCGGATAATGTCTAAGAGACAAGGGCCGCTGGGCGGCGGCTTCAGAAGTAACTGGGAGACAAAGACCGTCAACCTCATGTCTCGCATTCGGCTCTTGCGCCTCCGGCAGACACGTAACCTGGTGCGTCTGGGATTTCTCGCATCCTTCTGTCTCGCTCGAACGCGACATTCTGGTTTCTCCGACGGGTGGTAACCTGCCCTTATGGGCATTAAATGCATCGTAGTATTTTAGACCCATGAGTTCGGTTACATCGTCTATGCTGGCTTGGTGACTCAGCAGAAAGTCATCAGGCCACAAAGTTTCTGGGTCCAGCTGGTCCATAAGTGTCGCCGGAGTCCGTGGTTGATCGTCGAGGGCTGAGGTTGAGTGGGCAGCAACGTTCTCCGCGCAACCCATATCAGCCTCCAGCTGCAGCGACGTGCTTGAATCTTGGACAGCATTCTCCGCACCAGCCATGGTTGGTGGCTCCGATTCAACCTGCTGCTGGGTTGCTTTTTCCTTCTGCACTACCCGGGCTTGCATCAGAGCAGAGATGCACAAGGGTTTGACGGGAGACTTACACCTACGTCGTCTTCGCTGCGACAGTCGGTTCTGAATCCGTCGACGAGAAGCGCGGTCGGACAGATGAGACCAATCATCATCACCCACAATTCCCTCCCTGGGAGACTTATCCATCGGCGCGGCTCACTCTTGATGTAGTCCACAAGGCACTGCTTCCGATCTAGCCACGTGGTGCAGCAAAGCGGCTCTCGCATTACATCTATATATAAAAGACTACTCAGACCATGCTCACCGTGCAGATATTCCTTGTCGTACCTGTCCTTCCTAATTTCTTCTTTGGCCCTGTAAAGGATTAGGCTAATCTGAGGCCATATTCTGACGCTGGTGGATCCATGAATTAGTCAGAACCAGTCCCAGAAGCAGTAGATATGAAGAGGGGCGTGCAGTCCTTATTCTTCTAGGATAACCAAGAATAAGGAATCCTATCAGATCGTCGAATATATCGCCATTCTCTAAGCTCCTCTGACCTATATGATGGTTGGCGTGTAGACGATACACCAGTACCGCAGCTTTCCTATAGCGAGACATGTAAAAGCTCTTCCCCCCGAGTCCTTACAGGGTTCCTCCAAGTCAACCGAAGGAAGGGTAAATTACCTGTCAGGTTGGCTCTACCCATTGGACTCGGACTCGGAGTTGCCTTACGCAACTCCGCAAGCTCTGATCCCTGAGCGAGGCACCTCTTCGTGAGAGTTTTTTGTCGATTGGCCAGAAATCAGAAACGACTGCCTTCGGGCAGGGTGGTAGGTGTGATCGCTCACCTCTGGCCTTCGGGCGATTGAAACACCTTTGGGTGGGGTAGCACGGTGGATGATACCTGAAACATTTTGCTGCGCATGACCGCTTTCGGGTAGATGTTAAGCCAATCGTCCCGTTGCATCTCTCTCCTATACACTAGAGTAGTCCCTGGTATGTGCACACTCATGAGCCAGCCTTGGTCAGCATGTACAAAGGGGAAGCTTGGGCTGAGCTCCCTTTGACGGAACAATGGAACCTTGATAGCCAATGGCGTTGTGACTGATGACGCAAGGGTGGCTATGAAGGGATCAAAAGTTAACGAGTTTGATTGGTGGTTTTTTTACCGACAAGAGAAGAGAGGAAGTAGGCAACAATCCACGCGAGGTTATCAAACAGGGGGGTGGATCCCTCGGCCCGTTAGGGCTGGCTCCTGCCGGTCGTCGGTGCGTGACAGAGTCCGCCAATGAAAACGAGGGTTGGTACCCACAGATCCAATGATAGCCGCTGGCAGTCCACTGTCAGACTGTTGTCAGACTGTCAGACACCTCCCTTCCCCTCCTCCAGTGTCCCTTTTGGTAGGATAAGGGGCTCATTGGGGGCAGTGTCTTACCATCGTGAGTCTTCACGTGGTAGGGTATGAGAAGATCATTCCGGGAACAATCAGACCATTCTGGCAAGGGTACCGTAGCTCGTATCAGATTCGCGTACGATTTTATTGCAATTTTTGGTTCCTAGTGGCTGGTCCATAGAGCAGTTACACCACGTGGTTGCATAATCCAGGAATTGGGGCGTTTCAGTTTTTTTCTTTCGTTTTCTTTTCAGGGGGCGTATCTATTTACCCGCGTATGCCTAGAATACTTAGCTTGCTTGAATTGCTTTAGTTGCTTGGCCTGTACCCTTACATACCCGCCTAGATACCTGAGAATCCGTAGATTCTGTAAATTCTAAAACCGTCCATCTACTTAAATTGCTGAATCCTCAGCGAGGCAAGGTCTGCATGCCCTCGGGTCCCTTAGGGGCAACCCTAACGCAGCACGACTGGTACAATTCCTAGGAGCACAAATATACAAACACGCCCACCACAGGAAGATCAGGGAGGGCCTCAGTGTCTGATTGGCGAAACTTTTGTTCCAACGGACTCCTGTAGCTTGGCAAGGCTTAATCCAGCTTGACTTATCGGATGCAATCCGTTCGGCATCTCCGTAGCAGGAAATGGGGGCGAAATCTCAAATATCCTGCGTCAATACATGGTCGTGATCGACTTCCAACTCGTACTGGACTGCAGGCAATACGATGGTGATACCGGGGCGCGAGGTGGTCCGTCTTCTGTCACCCAAGGTTGCGTGTGTGTGAGGCTGACAATGGGCGCCTGCATTCTGCCATCCTTCTCATTTTTCCTGATACATACCAGAGCGGGAGCGGGGGACAGGGCGGCTGAACCAGTGGATGGGGAGCTTGTCAATAACCAGATAGGCGGAGGAATAATTCTGGTACGTAATATCTATCCCTCGGGCTTTTTGATGAACCCCACTCGCCCCCTCCACGATCTGACAGGGAGCGTTACCATATGTGTGCTCGGTCCCCAAGCTGACCAGGACGCACCTTGCTCAGAAGTCCTGCCAATTAACGATGGCATATGGCTCATATCTTGCACTAAAATAGGCACTGCGAGCTGTTTACTCAAAATGGTAAACCGAGCGACTAACGTCATCTGTTGCGCTAAAATGCGCGCTGGAGCGAGTGTTAAAACCCGCCATTTCTAATGAGGCCCGGCTTGCGGATTGTGTCTTTCCTGAACATCGCCGAGGAACAACCATGGCGTTACGGTACAGTCATTCCCACCCTCCCTCCTACAAGTCCGTGGATCTGAGTAGCCGCGTCGAAATCACCGATTCCGACTCCGAGCCCGGGTCTGAATCAGAGCGGTCCCCGCCTGATGCGGGATCGGCGGTTGATACATTCCTTCATGCGCACCCTCAGCCGGCCATCAGGGTCGCCGCCCCGCCTCAACTGCCCTACCCTGTGGTGATCCCTCAGCGGCGACCGGGCAACAAGGAAAGGGGGTTCGTCAAGGCATATGCGCCCGTTCTGGAGCAGTATGGCATCAGCCACGATGCCTTTCTCGACTTGATCCGCGCGTGTAATAAGGCCATTCAAGCATCCAAATGGCTCGTCGCGATTCAGGTCGCGGCGGCGGGGACGGGCTTTATCCCAAATAATATAGCCATAGGGGTCTCGATGGCCGTGCAGGTAATTGCTGGCGTGATCGCCCAGGCGGAGATCAAGTGGAAGTACGTTGACCCGCTCTGTGGCATGATGGACAGCGTGAATTTCTCCGTCTAACACCGTGGTGCCATCCGCAGAACCAACTCGTTCTTGGAGCGGGTGAACAATGAGTTCTTCCGGCCTCGCGGACTATGCTGCCTCCTCATGGCCTACAACCCAGTCGCAGCAGACCAAAAGGACAAGGTCGATGATACGCAGATTGTATCCAAATCCGTTCCCCCTTCCAGTGGCCGGGGGTTTGCTGCACGAGCCAAGAGAAATTTGCGCGACCCAGTGGCCGGAACCGCTGAGGGCGAAGAGAATCTCCCCGCGACGGTGGCTCCGTTAGTCTATCCGGACTATTATGACAAGAACCGATCGCCAGGAGAACAGGAAAAGAAAAGAAATAAAATTACCCGACTGAATGATTACTTCGACCGACGTGCTCAGGCACGCTATGTAAGTGTTGCGCTTTGTAGTATTGTTTTCGGCAGCCGGTAACGACTCTAGGCCACGGAGAGCAAAGAAGACGTTCTATCCACTCCCTTCCAGCCCTTCAAGAACCGATACCTGGACCCCAACCACCCCGCCAATAACGGCGGCTTGCTTGGTCTCCTCTCTGGGGGGCATCTCACCCCCAACCCGGAAAAGACCAAAGGACGCATGCAAACTGCCCTTGCCGCACAAGAGAAGGCCGTGAGAGAACAACAGGCCTTGGGCATGGCCCAGCTGCACCAGCAGCTACAGATGATGAATCTTTCCCCGGAACGGCAACGGGACTATGTACAAAAGTATCAGGATGCCTATGACCTGCAGTTGCAGCAGATTCAGCGGCAAGCAGAGTGGGTGGCGCAAGGGCAGCGTCGGATTACTCAGGTATACCGCATCATCCTGCCTCCGATCTGGGATATCGACTAAGGTTCAAAACAGAATATCCTCTACTTAATGATCGTCAATATGCCATCCGAAGCAGAGATGGCTGCAGCCCGCGAACAGCTCAATGTGGTGGGTCAGGATCAGCCCGTAAATAATATGACCGTCACAACGGTGAATGTATAGGTAGACTCTTCCTTTACTATCATGTGCCAGTGTGTTAGACGCTGCAGGAGCATATTCTATCGTAGTGTGGTGGAGAAATTGGTGTGGGAACTATTCAGATGTATGTAACGCTACACGGTGCTCCTACGCGCAGCGCCTGGAGTCAACGACCTGGCAACTACGGTTTACCTGCGATGGGGAGGCACAACGAAGAGGAACATCCACGGCATTCTAAAAATTACGTAAAGAAACCCCCTGAGATCGCAGATCACTTCATGGGAACTTTTGACGCAGTACTCTTCATGGCACTACCCCATAGCATGCAGTAGTCTGACATCCTTGAAGCTAGCAGGGTTCCAGGGCTGGGTGTCAGACCGCTAACAAGACAGTGTTGCCTAAAACCAAGGTTCATTGTTGATACTGTTAGCCCTTTCAATTGCTGCCTGTTGGTGCGGACGCTAGGTGGCTGTAAAAAAGCCCTAGGGATTTTCCTGTGGTCAAGAGACACGGTCATTCATATAGCTTTGCCTCCTTCGACCACCAATTCTGCCCGCTACTCGAGTATCCTATCAATACCCACCATGCTCACCGAACACAGTAAAGCTAGTATTGCCCAGATAGTTTTCTGGGTACCTGCTGTGATTCCCGCACTCATACTTCTCTTCCATCGTCATGGAGCACCGCGAGTGCCATGGGTGATTCTATTGCTGTTCTCGATCAGTTAGTCCCCCACACTGCTTTATACAACGGATCTGCTAATCCACCTAGTCCGTATAACCTGTGGAATTGTCGTGATTATCTTACAGAATAATCCAAGTGATGTGGGTCTGATTATTGCTGCACGTGTTCTCCTGAACGCTGGTGTTTTCCCACTGATTGCAGCGACCTTTGGCCTTCTACTGATCGTGTATATCTCTCCCGCTTACTCTCCCGGTCATCAGCATCGACAGGACATTAACAAGATTGTCAGGGTAATCCGAGACTTTCAAGGCGACAAGAAGATCCGCAATGCCTTCATCTTTCTCCGAGTGCTCTTTATCACGGGAATCGCCCTCGTAATTGCCGGTGGCTCCCTTGAGGGAAATTACTGGGATCCTCACGATGTATCCTTGGGATTTAAACTAACGAAGGCGGGGTACATCCTTGTCACCATCTTCGAAGCGGGTCTGATATACTTTCAGTGGTATTGTTGGAGGAAACGCGAGAGCATATCGTCTGCTAGCTGCACGGTAAATATCTTGCCTCCTTGGACATCATTGATGGACCGCATCATCTCTAACCTGTTCTGGTCTGCTCTAGGCACTTCAGGGAATGTTTGCTGCGATCCCTTTCCTCGTCGTCCGAATTGCCTACTTGTATCTTCCCGTGTTCCGGGCGTCCGATCCGAAGTGGAACCAGCTGACCGGATCGATTGCGCCGTATGTGGTTATGGGGCTGTTAATGGAATACATTGTGTTTATGATTTTCCTGGCGACAGGATTTTTGATCCCACCTATCAAAGTGGTCAATGCGTGACCGGTACCAATGGAGAAAGGACTATACAGGGCCAGTTTGGTTTACATGGTTGGAGCTGGTGCTGCGCATCGGTTGGCGGACAACTTTGGAATATCTTAGATTACGTATCGAACTCTTTCCACTACAACAGTGGCATATGACGGACAGCGTGTCATTTTCCCGTGGCTATCCTACTAAACTGTATTTGTCGCATTGGATCTAGGGCTTGGGACTGTGCTACCCGCTGGCGTTGGGTATTAGAGCTCTACTCCATTTCCAAGCACAAACCACGAGTTACCAGGCCCTGTTCCACAGAGAATACAAATCCACAGTTCTAAGCAGGGCCATCTTATCCTTCGTTCCTTTTTCCTGCATTTCTTCCCTTCTTTCCTTCTTAATCTTTCTCGGTCTCCCAACGAGGAGATTATTTCCTCTCTCATCTCATTGGTCGTCCATATCCTCATTGCATAATCTATCCGCATGCTCATTCTTCTCCCTCGGAATCCAGATATATTTCACGTCTCCCACCTCATCCAACCTATCATCAAGATCGGAAGCTTCCTCAAGAAGATCTCGATTCGCAACCTCGTTGCCCGCAGCATTGGTCCATCCGTTTCTGGTCCACTTGTAAATCCAGTTTGTCATACACCCGATCGCATATCTGGAATCCGAATAGATCGTGACATTTAGATATGGCTGTGTGTCTAGCTCTTCCAGCTTTTCCAGGGCTAGCTCCAGTGCAAGGATGATGGCTGTGATTTCGGCCCGCTGGTTTGTGGGTGCGGGATATAGGGGTAGGGATCTTGTCCAAGAATCGTATCTCCCATTTCTTTTCTTGATAATGGCGGCAGCAGCGCCTATTGCTCCTGGTCGTCCGTTGCCTCTACAGCCACCGTCGGTATAGATTTCCATGATGTAAACCATGCTGGCGAGGTGGGCTAGACTCGAAGAGAATGCGATGGTTCGGTGTCATGCACAAGTATGTACGGTCTGGAGGTTTAACCAGCTTTCGTAGGAGCATACTGAGTATATATGTTCTATGGGGCCATACTTACATATACGTGAATATTTCTTTCACTTGGGTCTTTGGTGCTTCTACTCACCTCCACTGTTGATGCTTTAATGTCGATTTGAGCTTCCTGGAGGTTATGGTAGGGGAAGGAGAGAGTTGGAGCGAAGTATTGACTTAGAAGTTAAGTTGCTTAGAATAAATGTTAATAGAGCTTTGTCAAAGTCCTTATAACACGATAGGTGGTTGTACAAGCAAACTGAGGTACGAGGATCTGTTGGGTAGCTCATCCAATATTAGGTGTTCCCCTGGACTAGAATGCCAAGTGTGGAGACGTTGATCACGCCCGAGTGGGGCATGGGTTTGAGTCACGTGATGCACCAACGAGCTGAAGGTATGATGCGCTTAGAGCCCTAACACTTGTGTGTATGAAGCATTGAGTGAGCCGTCAATTAGCTGTAAGATGGATCCGATGAAACATGATACTCCAAAGGATAAGGCAGAGAGACTGGAGGAAATATGGCTCCTTTCTCAGATTAAAACCTAGAGCTGTCCTCACATTAAGCGGAGCAGATCCCTGCCTGTAGTAAAATTCAGAATGTCAGGAGTAAGTCGTATCAGGTAAGGTGCGAATAGGCTTCACAGATAAGGCAATGATGTTTCTTGACAGACTTTATTAGAGGGCAAGGGCACTCTAGAGGGCCATGGTGTGGCTGTACTAGCTGGTGCCAGTTTACTAATTAGTCTAGGTGTGCTATAGAGAGATGCAGTCTTGTAAATAGGTTTAGATAATTATTATCAGGCTGAGTTTAGGCACATGCGAAATAATTTACATTGAACGTTGTAACCTGATATCGAATAGCTAAGTCTTGCTTCCATAAAAGTATATGGAAGAACAAGTAAACGCAAACCAAAGCCACAGCGTCGAAATACATCAAAAGGTCGGGCTGGACAATGCGGTACCATAAAAGAGGAGATTGAGAACTATCAGATTCAGGCAAATTTAAGGAACCTGCCACAACTATGAAGTATGCATGAAGTTAAAGAGGAACCTTGGGTCTGAAAATGTCTAAGGCCGGAGCAGAGGCAAATTTGAAGGCACATATCATTCATTTATATCAAAGATCCGAGCAAATTTATTATGTCAGACTGTGATCCAACAACAAATCTCTGGCAACTATTCGATCTATAGGAATACTAACAATCTCTAAATGAGCCCTGTGTGATCACCAATGAATGGAACAAAGACTCCTCTATAACCCATTCAAGTCAGAAAATTATACTAGCACCTAAATTGAACAATACGCACTAGCGGCTTGTAGAAAAGGGGTTTCAGAAGATTCCACGAGAGCTTTACAGTTATCAAAAGAAAAGCAACTATAGGTATGGCTTTCACTTGTTCAATGGACATTGTCCTGGGTGTAGTAAATTGGTTGACTCAAACAAACGAACAAATAAGGGGGTTACTGAAGACACCTGTCATATTTCAATACCTTAAATATGATATGACTCTACCCGTTTGGCCACTCAATTCAAATTAACTGTCGGTGAGAGCTATTTCTGAACAGAATCTTCACCGAGCCATGTAGTACAAGCAAGTTGTTGAGATTCTTGGCGATCTTCTTGGGATAAACAAGGCTCTTCTCGACGACGAGCTGCAAAGTCTGGAGGGAATATGGAAGCACACTGTAAGATGAGATTTTGCAAATGTGCTGCGCCATCCGTGTTAAGCACTTCTCCTTAATTCCTGAACCTGGGCTGGGGGGTAAATAAGCGTAATCGCTATACACACCCCTGCCCTATATTCTACTGCTTACTCTCAACTGTAAACGCCCCATATGACCCTTATCTAAAGAGATATATATCCACAGCGAATGTAGGAGAAAATTGCAAGTGGTCATAACTGCACCACTGGGTGCATTCGCAATAGTCTGAAGCACGTCTGGGAAGTCTTTCTGTAGCTGAGTGCCAGAAATCTTGGATTTGGCCAACCTAAAAATTTGAATCTACACTGGCAAACTGGTATGTAAGCTTCCACTGGCTCGGTGGACTTATTATTGACTGTTGAATAGTGAGACGGCATTCGATGGGCCAGTTCTTGCAATACTCCTTTAGTCTCTTGTGACCACTATCCTCTGACTGCAATCAGGCATTTTATTCGAGAACGACTATCGTTGGTAAAATGCAGTTGAAGCCGACAGAGCTATAGGGTGCTCTCGTACTATGAGATATTGCTATCGCAAGCTAAGTGGAGTTTTGCCAGGAACTATAAAGGACAAGCCGTATAACTCATATCTGGCTACTTGGTGGTCGAACTAAATACACATCCAGGCTGCAGGATAGAGACAAGAAGGCTTGGCAATGGGCACCACAATGTTGCTGAGAGATGGGAAGCTGTCTGGAAGCTGCCCACAGCTTCAATTTTACCCGCTGTGTACCATGTCAGATAGCATGTCAGATAGCATGTCAGATAGCATGTCAGATTCTGACACATCGTATGATACGGCGATGATTGCCTCTTCTGGGTAGATGGTGCCTACACTACTACGCCACAGCCTCTTTGGACCTTGCAGCTATCATTGCTAAATGCAATTGGATAGCCTCTCTCATCCTAGGCGCAGAACGAGTAGCAGAACGAGTAGTGTTCTGAAGCATAGCATCGCCTTATCTCTGGGAAAATGCGGCTTTTCCTTACGGCGATTTTGCCTACAGCCGTCACTGCAAAGTTGCAGTGTCACTGCCAGCCTTCTGATCCATGCTGGCCGTCTCTTGCGGCCTGGAATCGGTTGAATACTTCGGTTGATGGAAACCTGCAAAAATTGAGGCCAATTGCAGCCATCTGTCACGACCCGGACTACAATGAAAGTGCCTGCCGTTATTTGCAGTCTCAGAGCAGTAATTCGTCGTACCTGTCAAACCAGCCAAGTACTGTCCCGTATCAAAGCAGAAGAACGCATGACTTACTGGTTACTAGGTGCGCTGCAGTGGGAGAATTGGTCAGCATGGCCTACTCACGATGAAGAATGCTACCTGGAGACACCCAGACAAACACCCTGTAGCCAAGGGCGCATCTCTCCCTACGCTGTGATCGCGCAGTCAGCTGCTCACGTCCAGGCTGCTGTGCGATTTGCCGCGCAGCATAACATCAAAATTACAATTCGCAACACTGGACACAGTTTCATGGGGCGATCAAGTGCGCCAAACTCACTACAGATCAACGTCCATAACCTCGACAACATTCAGATTCAGGACTCCTTCGTGCCTCAGGTGCCTGAAGACATTGATCCTCCGTCAGGGATTCCCGCAGCTACAGTTGCCGCCGGGGTTCAAATGCATAGTGCTTATACGGCTTTGAACGCTAAGGGAGTAACTATCCCAGGAGGATCATCCAGCACAGTTGGCGTGGTTGGAGGGTTTCTTCAAGGAGGTGGACATGGAATTCTGGGATACAAGGCCGGGATGGCCTCTGATAATGCTATAGAGTTCACGGTCGTGACAGCAAATGTAAGTCCGTAACTCGAACCCTTATTAGCGATTTACCTCAGGCTAACACTTGGCGAATAGGGCTCCATCATCACTGCCAATGCACATCAACATCAAGATCTGTTCTGGGCTCTCCGCGGAGGAGGAGGGGGTACTTGGGGTGTCATTCTCAATGCCACTATTCGCACATATCCAGATTATCCAGTCACCGTGGCGGTCATAGAATACAACACGACATCCCCAGATCCTCGGTTTTGGGCTGGCGTGGAAGCCTGTCACCGGCATGTTGTGGGAATCAATGAGCAAGGCGCGACTGGGTACTATTATATTACCCCGTATGCTAGTGTATCATCGTCCGCTAGCAACAGTACCATTGCTTCGTTCCGATTGTACCTTTACTTTGTCGGCCAGAAAGACGCACAAGTTGTTCAACGCACTATCAGCGATATGCTGGGCGATATCCGGAATGCCACGGCTGTTCCACTTGCTGTGAAGGTGATCCCTGTACCTAGCATTACCGGGCTTCTTTTATACACGTTCTCAGGCGCGGACAGTGATGGCGCTTTGGTCCTCCTTGGATCCCGACTGTTGTCTCGCTCATTCTTTGCCCAGCCACATCCTGCGGCAGCCAGACTCTCCCATACCTTGTCGCAGCTGCGGCTCGAACAGGATGAGTACATTATGGGCAACATAGTGGCAGGAGGCCAAGCGACCAAAAACAGAAACCGCACCAGCAGTGCCCTGAACCCTGCCTGGCGCGATACAGCTATACACTTGCTTTTCACCCGCTTATTGTCAGCCAGCGACAGTCTCGCTAACCAGCAAACCGTTTCCCGCAAACTAACTTTGGAGGACATGCCGCTGCTAGAATCGCTTGAGCCCGGGCCAATGGCGGCATATTGCAATGAGGCAAATGCCTATCAACCAGGGTTCCAGAGCGCGTTTTGGGGCAAGAACTATAAGAGGCTACTGGAAATCAAACAGCTAGTAGACCCGGATAATCTGTTTGTGTCGAGGCTGGGAGTTGGCAGTGAGATGTGGGATGAGAACGGAATCTGTCCGATATAGCATTGGGTTCCTGGGAACACAAGTGTCCATGGGATACTGTATGTATATAAGTTTCTGGCACTCTACAGACTTAGAAGCAGGTATGAGAATACTCGCTTGCCATAGAGCTAGCTCCTTTTTAATATTCACGACCTAATTCGTAGCAACCCATTGACATGCCATGAATGGTAACAGAGAGCCCAGGCCATAATCATCATTGAATTGGAACACTGCTACTTATGGATCTTGTACTCATTTACTCGGCTTATCAGATCTTCCAAATCCTCTTCGGTCCTCCCAGCCAATACCAACGACGTTAGGCTAAACCGAAACATTCCCAGAGGCCCTCCTCGACTCTCACACCAGCCGCAGACGACAATCCTTCCAGCCAGGAGCTCATCTGCGAACTGTTCCTCAAACGTCTCACGGTTGCACGTCAACCCTAACGGAAAGTATAGTACTGCCTCGCTGAATCCCAATCGCTCGTAAAAATGCCTCTTCAGCAATGGTAACTGATAGCTTGCCGTGACTCTTGGGTTCAGATCAATGACAAGCTGCTGTCCATCGTTGGCCTGGATCACATCAATGCCGCATGGACCGAAGTACCCACGCTCGTGTAGGGCCCGCGCAACGGTCTCGACTATCGATGCATGTTTCCTTCCCGCTTCAACTTGATCGGCATACGAGATGCGGCTGCCGTACCATTGGTGCTTCTCGCTCATTTGTTGTCGGCCGACGCCCAGGAAGACTGGTCTTCCAGACTTGGTCACAAAGAAATTGACACCCTCGCAAGTGTCAGTCGGTATATGTTCCTGTATTATAATGCCATTTGTTGCAAGGGATGGATTGGACTCTGTGAGCTGAAGGATCAATTTCTCGATCTCAGGACGGAGGACGCTGACTGTCTTCTCGAGGTCCACCTTATCTTGCACGATGAAAACACCTTGTCCGGCGAAAGCTTGAGGAAACTTGAGGACAAATGGTAACTCATGCTGTTGGATTACGTCCAACATACGGTCCACTTCCCGGCGAACCAAATCGGGGTTTCCAAGCTTACTGGGATGCAACTGTGTTTTCACAATCTCGGTGCGTGGTGTAGGAACGCCCTCCAACATAGCAAGTCCCACCTTGGATTGTAAATCATAGTGCTGATAGGGGTCGACAGTGTGTGGCAAGTGGAGCAGACCATCCATGGGATGCAGGACTACGAATTGTTTGTCGTCCCCGCGCACCGTAATATCGGCTGGTCCGCGCACAAACGAGAGCTGCGGTCGCTGGGCCGGAGACAGGGCATTGAAAACCCTTGCTGCGGCGTCGTGATAGCTTGGGCAGGACTTAGCCTGTGGTGTGTCGATGTCGAACAATATCAGTGGCGAGTTCCCAGTCACGAACCCGTACGACTCTGGGCCGACTAGGAGGCAACTTCGGGCTGCCACGTCGAGACTAATGAAGGTGGCCAGAGGGCCCTGGATGGGGAAGGTTTTCGATTGGGGAAGAGCTTCCGTCAATGGTCCATGGGGGGAAGGAATTGCATAGACGAAGACTAAGTCGCCAACATTAGGATTGTCAATGGCATAAAGATCGCGGAGTGTATAGTCCAGGGTTACAACTGGGGCGCTGATCGAGCCCATGATGTAGTAGCAGGAATTTCAGCACCGCTAAGGTAGTCAGAAGATTGTAGGTTTGTGACAGTGTCATAAGTAGTTACAGCCCCATTGGTACACCAGGAGTGGTCCAATATATGGACACCAAGTTGCTTTCCACGCGGTCATCCGGTTGTGACTAACAAGGTGCTGTCTGACAATCTGACATATTTAAGCTACCCAGATCTCTATCTCCTCAGATACCATTTCACTATTTTCTTTGTACATACCATCCCATACGGTCTTTTTTTTTTTTTTGCCAGCAGCAACTATGGTAGCCATCACCACTTTACCGTCCGCGCAACGTGCCCTAACGGCAGGCCCCAACGGAGAGTTCATTCTCTCCCACAATGCACCAGTAGCAGAGCTTGATCCCGACTCGGTCATCATTAAAACGTCAGCTGTCGCTCTTAACCCGGTAGATACTAAGATGATTGGCGACTTTGTTACACCTGGGGCAATCTTTGGGTTTGACTGTGCCGGGAGAGTTGTCGCCGTTGGAGCCAACATTTCTCATCTCGCTGTCGGTGACTTAGTCTGTGGCAGCGCAGATGGTATGAACCGGGCCAATCCACGAGGCGGTGCTTTCGCAGAGTATGTCTCATTGCTTGGAGACATGACGCTGCGAATTCCGGAGTTCACTCTACCGCTCGAAAATGCGGCTTGTCTTGGGACCGCGCTGGCTTCCGGATGTATGGCTCTCTTCCATAGCCTGGGTATTTCGCCCCTACTACTGGAAAAGCCAGCTGTAGAGCCTTTCCCAGTGCTTATCTATGGAGGAAGTACGAGCACCGGCACCATGGCCATCCAATTAGTTAAGCTGTGCGTTTGAGCCCCCCCTTCTCTTCACGACTATTTAATTAACAACAATCCAGCTGCGGGCTACACCCTATCACTACTTGCTCCCCCCAGCGCTTTGAGTTCGTCAAGTCCTACGGTGCTGAAGCAGCCTTCGATTATAAGTCACCCACTTGTGGGGAAGAGATCCGCCGCTACACGGGGAACACACTTGCCTATGCGATGGACTGCATTACCCAAGAACAGTCCACTAGGATCTGCTACGCTGCCATAGGTCGTGCAGGTGGCCGCTATGTCGCCTTGGACCCCTACCCCGAACGCGCTGCAACACGCAAGGTCGTTAAGCCCGACTGGATCCTCGCCACTGCTATCACTGGCCGCGGATGTTCGTGGCCGGCGCCGTACGGAAGAGAGGGTGATTCTACGCTACGCGACTTTGGAAGGCCAATTTTTCTGGGGCTCCAGAAATTACTACATGAGGGGAAAATTCGATCTCATCCACCAAAGATTTGCGACGGTGGGCTGAAGGCCATCTCTGACGGGGTTAGTTTGATCAGACGAGGCGAGGTGCGAGGAGAGAAATTAGTTTACCGAGTATAGGTACAGTTAAAAATCAAATATACAATCTGTCTAAAGCCTAAGTCACTTTCACGCTCATTACTCATGTTCCTCATTCGATGGTTATGTAGACCTGGGACCCGATGAATGTAGGAATGTGCGTGTCTGACGGACGCAGCTGACATGCTGACATTAAGCTCTTACCACGGACAAAAAGACTATAGTTGCATTGCCTTACCCATCAGTTTGCCCCTGCCAGTCAGAGCGGTGGGAAAAAAAAGTCATTCATTATGAGATTTACTCCGTTTCAACGTATTTTGGTTCTTGCAGCGGTGGAATCCTATGGTTTGCTGCGTCTACTACCGCCATCCTCACGCTTTCCGGCAAGCTATCTCACAACATACATTGCCCTCTGGGTCCTGTGCGCTTTTCTCGCATTATGTTACCACGTTTTGGTTTATCACCGATGGTTTTCACCGTTAAGACATCTTCCCGGTCCCGAGGTACCCTCCCCCCCCTTTTTTTTTTTTTTTTCTCTCCCCTGCAGCCTAGGACAAGAGCTGAGTATCGACGATCCAGAGGGGTAGCTGGTGGAACGGGCAGGCCAAACGCATCTACACCGAGGGCAATGGTTTCCCAGCGAGTGACTGGTACGTCATACCTAGAGCGCACAATCTCGACAGCATGAAAAGCTGACAAAGTGTCCGATGCATCCAGGCTCAACTCAACCCCCCACAAGCATATGTTCCGGTACTTGGGTATCCTCAACAGCGAGCGGATTGTAGTCACCTCACCGGAAGCCCTGGCCGAAGTTTGTACCAGGAACTATGACTTTCCGAAATCTCGGCAAGCCGCGCTCGTGGCTGGCGACCTGCTGGGGCGCGGCCTCGTTCTGACGGACGGTGACGAACACAAACACCAGCGAAAGATGCTTCTCCCCTCCTTTTCGAGCAAGAACATTCGGGCCTTGTATCCCGTGTTTTGGAGTAAGGCGCAAGAGGTCACAGCGGCACTCACTGCGGTCAACAGCACTCTGGCCGATGGGGAGGAAGGAGTGGAGATTGGGGAATGGGCCTCTCGCGCTGCCCTCGACGTCATTACGCTTGCAGCCCTGGGCTTAGATTTTGGCGCCATCCGTGACCCGAATACCCCCTTAAACAGGGCTTACCGCCAGGTCTTTGAGCCTACTCGTCTCTTCCAGTTCTTCTCACTCCTGAAGCTCGTCATCCCTGCCTGGGTGGTTCGGCGCATCCCCATCCAACAGAACCGTGAGATTATGCGTGCCGTGGACCGCGTGCGAGAGACCTGTCGCCAGCTCGTTCACGCCCAGCGCGAAGAGATCGCGCGCAAGGATACCTCGCGGACGGACTTGTTGAGTCATATTCTCCGCCGAAGCGGCGCCGCACTCGATGAAGCGGCCGCAGTCGACCAGATGATGACATTCCTCGCCGCGGGTCACGAAACCGTCTCTGTGGCCATCACTTGGGCGATCTATATGTTATGCCGGTATCCAGAATACCAAATCCGCCTCCGCGCCGAAATCCGCGAGCTCCTGCCCGGGGGGTTGGATGGCGACGCGGGGGAGACCAGCAACCTCGCCATGGCAGAGACGCTTCTCGATCGCGCCGTGTGGTTGACCGTCTTCTGTAACGAAGTCCTTCGCTACTGGCCTCCGATTCCGCTGACCGCGCGCGAGGCCGCTCATGATACCACCCTGCAAGGCCAGTTCATCCCGCACGGCACCAAGATTATTTTGACCATTGTTGGGACCAACCGCGACGAGCGGCTTTGGGGTGCTGATGCTCGTGACTTCCGCCCGGAGCGATGGCTATCATCCTCGCCTACGGAAAAGGACGGGAAGAAACTCCATCTGGATGCCACGGGTGGTGCGTGCAGTAAATACGCCAATATGAGCTTTAATCATGGGCCCCGGATGTGCATCGGGGGGGAGTTTGCGCGTGCCGAGATGGCGTTGATGGTGGCAGCCTTGGTAGGACGATTCGAGTTTGCCTTGGTTAACGAGGCCATGCAGGACGAGAAGTCTATCAAGCTGTCTGGGGGAGGGTTTTCTGTCAAACCAGTGGACGGTTTGCACGTCACGATGAGGAGAGTCGATGGATGGTAAATTTTCGAGCACACGGTGCCTACTACTCCGTTTTATGGCGGCCTCATCCTGTCCCCGTTCCCTGTTCTGGCATGTTTGGACAACACCACCTGTGAGATACCTTGTATAGAATTATTCTACGGAGGGGATGGGATAATCATCTGCCCTTGTATAGAATGTTGATGTCAAAAAAATCACCGATATTCTCGGATTCAGCCACCAACTGCTGTTCTTTGTATGAGATTTTATATGGCCCGATACCAGATCTAATTGGCTTGGCAGCATATTTGGTGGCTAATTGACGGAACTACTGAGTATCTTGGCTAAGAGAACCTTCCCATCTATGCCAAATGATCTCGACCCGTGGAGAAGCCGATCAAAGCATCGGATCTGTTTCGGCCTATAAAGACGGAGTACATTCATTAGATTCGGAGAATCAGGCCTGTTGCCCATATCGTTGCGGACCATCTAGTCCTAGGGACATTACCATTAGAACGATTTCCCGCACCTTCAATAGTTGAAAATTGTTTGTCATACCCCTCTGCATCAGAAACTCTGACATAGACTATTCCTTGGCCTCTGGTTGTTCTCCTATACGCTATCGTGACGCACCCTGATAAAGAACAGCCGTTCCTTTATTTCCCCGTCTTTACAGATCACTACTTAGCGGAAAGAACATCTTCGCTATGGTTAGGGACATTTGCTCTTTTATCTTGTGGGTCCTCCAAATGATACCTCCGGCATCTCTTGGATGGGCTACCAGGTATATATATATTTGCACGAGCTATATGATCGTTTGGTAGAAGTCACCCACCACAACGATAAGTCCTTGCTTACAGAGGCAAAGTTGAGCATCATTAATCTCATTTTACCACGTTTATTCCAATCCCTGCTGGAGATATCCAGTTCATTGAATCTTCGAGATAAAGCAGAGAATCCAGTAACGTTCAACCCCTAGCTAGGGCTTCGGCGTTTTGCGTGACCGCCTTCATTGATTCTGCCCTTCGGGTGTGTAGAATGGGCAGGCGGTCAGTGCCCATTCTCGTAAATTTCATTTTCGCGACTTGCAACATCGGTCTCATCGGTCTCGTAGTTCCGAGCGGACGTGATATAATTACCTACGTTGTCATCTCTCCGAAGCAGGCACAGATCCTTCATAAGTGTAAAGGACTCGTAGGAAGAGCTTTTACATGTTTCGGTATAGGAAAGCTGCGATACAGGTGTGTCGACTAGTACACGCCAACCATCATGTAGATCAGAGGAGCTTAGAACGACGATATACTCGACTATCAATAGGTTTCGTTATTCTTGATTATCCGAGGAGAATAGGGACTGCAAGCCCCTATTAGTATCCCCGGCTTCTGGGGTTGATTCTGACCAATTCATGGATCCACCAGCGTCAGAATATGGCCTCTGATTGGCTTAATCCTTTATATTAAGTATTAATCTTCCTGTTGTGAATCCAGGGAAAGTGAGCATTTGAAAGGAAACAAGTGCTAAATTGAGCGGAACTTGTCTGAATAGTTACAAGAAAAGAAGTCTCAGGGGGTAAAAACCCTGAGACTTGCCAAGGCGCTAGCTATGTGATACCTTTTAACACTCTCATAAGATGACCGCTGATGACAGTTACATTCTGCACCCTGGATATATTTGGCCCCCGCGTGGTCTTCTGCTGTCAGATCGTCTGACAAGGGCAATCTGACGCAGGTCGGAATGTTGCCACAAATGATATGCATATTCTGTGCTGGGTCATGTAGGGTCTGCATAATGCCGTGCGCCTGCATCCCTATGGTTTGCTTGGTCCGTCATCTGTAGCCCTATGCTCATGCCTTGACCTTGCGAGACCAATATCTTTTTATGGGCTGCAGAATCCACAGCTATCTCCGTGAAGAGAGACCACTTGATATACTGAACCGACATGCCCCGTTCAAATGAACCGATTGCCATCGTGGGCAGTGCTTGTCGCTTTGCAGGCAATGCAACCTCGCCATCCAGACTCTGGGAACTGCTGCGACAGCCGCGAGACGTCCTGAAAAAGATTGATCGATTTGGAGCCGATGGCCATTATCACGTCGATGGCCATCATCATGGAGCGAGCAATGTGCGACACGCCTACTTGCTGGACGAGGATCCCCGGGGCTTCGATGCTCCTTTCTTTAACATCGCTGCCTCCGAAGCGGATGCAATCGACCCCCAGCAGCGGCTGTTGCTGGAAACTGTCTACGAGTCCATTGAATCGGCGGGCTTGAGACTGGAGGACCTCCAGGGCTCCGCCACGGCCGTGTATGTGGGCACCATGACCGACGACTATGCGGAGCTCTCGCACTATGACCCGGAGAACATCCCAACCTACGCCGCCACCGGAAGCGCTCGCAGTATTCTCGCCAACCGCATCTCATACTACTTCGACTGGCGTGGGCCATCAATGTCCATCGACACTGCCTGCTCATCCAGTCTGGTGGCTGTCCACCACGCAGTGCAGTCACTTCGTGCAGGCGAATCTGCGATGGCCGTGGCAGCAGGGTCAAATCTGATCTTCGGCCCCAAGATGTTCATAGCGGAGAGTAACCTGAACATGCTCTCCCCGAACGGGCGGTCGCGGATGTGGGATGCAGATGCAGATGGTTATGCCCGTGGTGAGGGTCTCGCAGCCGTTGTGCTGAAACCGTTAGCCGAGGCTGTCGCCGCTGGGGACCACATTGAGTGTATTATCCGAGAAACCGGTCTGAACCAGGATGGCCGGACGCCGGGTATCACCATGCCCAGCTCAACTGCCCAGACCGATCTCATCCGCGAGACGTATGCTCGCGCTGGTCTGGACCTCCACACATATTCCGACCGGCCGCAATATTTTGAGGCACATGGGACTGGTACGAAGGCGGGTGACCCGCGTGAAGCCGGGGCGATCTTCGAGGCGTTTTGCCGGGATATCGACGAGGCCGTTGACAGAGGGCACCCGCTCTATGTAGGTTCGATTAAGACCATTGTTGGCCACACGGAAGGGACCGCGGGTGTAGCAGGTCTCCTGAAGGCCTCCCTCGCCTTGCAAAACAAGACGATCCCTCCCAATATGCTATTTGCCAATTTGAATCCTGATATCAAGCCATTCTACGGGAGAATCCAGATTCCGACCGAGGCAAAGCCATGGCCCATTCTCCCGGCTGGCGTGCCACGGCGAGCGAGTGTCAACAGCTTTGGCTTCGGAGGTGCGAATGCCCACGCTATCCTCGAGAGCTACGAGCCCGAAGAATACCAGCCTGGGAGGACTCGCCGCGAGGCCGTCATCCCACTGACATTTTCGGCCATGTCCCAACGTTCGTTGAATGCTATGTTGCGGACATATTCCTCTTTCCTCGCCGCGAACCCCAGTATTGACATGCGTACCCTGTCCACTTCGCTGTTTCGGAGATCCGCTTTACCCATCCGCATCACATTCCCTCCGGCACAGAACGCAAAGAGCCTACACGAAGCGATTGATGCTTGTTTAGAGGAGAAAACAACTGGGACCAGAGCGGCTGCGGCCAAGACACGCGCCGTCCTGGGCGTATTTACTGGCCAAGGTGCACAGTGGCCGGCAATGGGTCGTGAGTTAATCGTCGTGTCTCCACTGGCGAGGCAGATCCTAAATCGCCTGGAAAACTCATTGGGCGGTCTTCCAGCTGCCGACCGTCCACAATGGTCACTTGTTGAGGAGCTGATGGCAACAGCCGACACGTCGCGGGTTTCCGAGGGAACGATCTCTCAGCCGTTGTGCACTGCTGTCCAGGTCATGCTCATCGACCTGTTACAGAGCACAGGAGTGCAATTTGAGGCAGTAGTGGGTCATTCGAGTGGCGAAATTGCTGCGGCTTATGCTGCCGGCTTTATAAGTGCCCGAGACGCAGTCCGTATAGCGTACTACCGCGGACGATACACCACACTTGCGGGTGGTCCACAGGGACAGCAAGGTCGCATGCTGGCAGCAGGAACCTCCATGGAGGACGCTGAGGAGCTCTGCCAACTGCCAACATTCAAAGGCCGCTTGTCCGTTGCCGCCTGCAACTCATCCGCCAGTGTGACCTTGTCCGGTGATGCAGATGCCGTGGAGGAGGCCCGTTTTATCTTGGAAGATGAGCAGAAATTTGCTCGTGTTCTGAAGGTGGATACTGCCTATCACTCCCACCATATGATCCCATGTGTAGATGCCTATTTAGCATCATTGCAGGCGTGCCACATTGAAATCCAGCAACCGGCACCGTCGGCTCCGAAGTGGTACTCCTCTGTCCGAGATGGCTTGTTGGTTGATTCCCAAATAGCCCAAGACTTAGCATCCAGCTACTGGAATGATAATATGCTGCAGCCGGTCCTGTTCTCCCAGGCGCTGCAGGCAGCCCTGGGGACTACAGGACCTTCACTGGCCATCGTACTTGAGATTGGCCCACATCCAGCCCTCAAGGGTCCGGCTGGCCTCACCATTCAGGAAGCCCACGGGACTGACATCCCCTATTCTGGTGTCCTAAGTCGCGGGTACAACGACCTCCAAGCTTTTGCGAGCGCCCTGGGGTTTATTTGGACGCACTTGGGCCCCAATGTGACTGACCTGTCCGTATTCGACAAGGCGTGCCACGAACAACGTCTTCCCTCCCCTCTAAAAGGCCTCCCCTCCTACGCATGGGACCATGAGCGACAGTTCTGGAGCGAGTCGCGTGCATCTAGGATCAACCGCACGCGGACAACGCCTACCCATGAACTGCTCGGCGTGAAGTTGACCGACGACCGGGAAGGAGAGCACACCTGGAGAAACTATCTCAAACTGGCAGAGTTACCGTGGCTGCGCGGGCACCAGATCCAAGAACAGGTCCTTTTCCCGGCAGCTGGCTATGTCGTAAGTGGGTTGGAGGCCCTCCGCACGTTGGTTCCTGCCGATGAGGATGCCCGCCTCTTTGAGGCACACGAGGCGGTGATCCACCACGCTCTGTCTATCCCTGATGATGCCTCCGGCGTGGAGATAATGATCAAGCTTGCGAGAGTCCACACCACGCAGCTGGATGATTCGAAGACTATCACTGCTGAATTCTCCTTCTCCGCATGTCTGAACAAAGAGACTGGGACCTTCACCGTTATGGCCACGGGCATCGTCCAAGCTGCTCTTGGAGAACCTTCCTTAGCTACACTTCCTCAGCGGCCCCCGCCTGTTGCGAACATGACCGATTTGGACGTTGACTATTTCTACTCTTCTCTGTGGGACCTTGGGTACAATTATCGCGATATGTTCAAGGGCATCACCAGCTTGCATCGGACTACAGATGCAGCATGTGGCACGCTTCAAATCTCAGGTGAAACGAACCCACCGTCTACCTGCTTGTTTCATCCTTCAACCCTGGATGTGTCGTTCCAAACCCTGTTTGCGGCGATTGGTGTACCCGGCAGGCTGTGGTCACTACATGTGCCACTGAAACTGGGGCGACTGCGAATCAACCCGTTCGCGTGCCCGGATCACGCAGCTCTGGGCGTAAACCTGTCCTTCGACGCGAACCTGCGGGAATTCTCCATTTCGAATGGCATGTATGGGGATGTGGATATTTATGACCAGAGCGGCTATCCCGTTCTTCAGCTCGAAGGAATGCATATAACCCCAGTTTCGCCAGCCTCTAGTCAGGATGATCAAGAAATCTTCGCAAGGACAGTCTGGGGTGGCTTAGAACCTGATGCGGACGAAGGCTTCATTACCCCAATCCCTCATGACGAAGTTTCCGCACATTCAGCTCTTCTGGATCTCGTCGCGCTAAGATATCTTAAGATGCTGACAAAGTCGGTGGATATTCAGGCTTTGAGTGACCGTTGGAATGAGCATCAAAAGAACATGTGGGTCTGGATGAAGGAAGTAGAGGAACGTATCGCACTGGGACAGCATCCAACGTGCCGTCCGGAGTGCCTGGAGCCTTCGGAAGAGAGAATAGAAGTGGAACGTAGTCGGTAAGGCCATATATTCCAAGTAGCCCGCACTGAACGTCCTTGAGTCATTCCTTGCTGACCGTTGATTTAGGGTACCACATTCGCAGGCTATTGAGACAGTACAATCAATGGGCGAGCGCTTGGTGCAATACATGCAATGTGGTGATGCTAAGAGAGACGAGCCTGAACCAACGAGTATTCATGCACTGCATGCGTTTGATGCCGCTATGCCGGGTCGATCCGCGTACATCAACCAGTTGGCCCATGTGGTAGGTCAGATGGCGCATCGCTATCCGCATATGAACGTACTGGAGGTGGCTACCGGCCTCGAGGGCGTGGCCGAGCCTATAATAGAAAATTTGAGCCAGTTATACCTGTCGTATACGGTGGCTGGGAATGTTGCTGACCCGTTCCCTGACACGGTGGGCCAGCCAAAGCCCAGGGCACTCTTCCGAAAACCGTTCAATGTGCAACGGGACCCCTTGGAGCAAGACTTTGTGGAACAGAGCTACGATTTGGTCTTGGTACCGAACACTCTTTGCGCTACGAAATCTGTGTCGAAGTCTTTGCACCATATTCGGCGGTTGGTACGGCCGGGAGGCTACATTATCCTGCTAGAACCCATAGGTCAGCCCGAGTTCGCACGTCAGCTGGTGTCTGCCGCTTCTAGGACCATCTGGGCCGCTGATGATGGGATGGATGGAGAGCTAGATTTCCCGTCCCTGGTCCGCTGGGACTCCCTTCTTCGCGAGACTGGATTTTCTGGTGTAGACACCTCGACGTCAATACCGTTAACTCTTCGTACGGGCTTCTCCTTAGTGGTCAGTCAGGCGGTCGACTCTCAAATCAGCCTGCTACGGGAACCTTTGACGGAGACTGACTTATCCCCCTTCATCGATGACTTATTCATTCTTGGTGGGAAGACGCTGAAAACACTGCGACTTGTGAAAGAGTTGCGTGAAATTTTGGCACCCTTCTGCCGGAACGTGCATGTGGCCACCGGCTTGGAGACCCTGGAACGTTCTATTATTCCACCAAGAGCTTGCGTTCTTAGCGTATTAGAGTTGGATGAGCCAGTCTTTCATAATCTGACACCAATTAAGCTCGAGACATGTCAGGCCCTGTTGGATATGACTCGGACCATTCTTTGGGTGACCAGTGGCACGGAGGGCGAGCAGCCATTTGCAAATATGATGTTAGCAGTGTCTCGCTGTCTTGCTCATGAAATGCCTGACCTGCAGTGGCAATCCCTTGACATTGGTAAAGAGAAACCCTCTGCGCGAGTCCTTGCCGAGGCGATGATGAGGGTCTATATCCTGGGTGCCTGGAAAGTCAGAGAAGCCGACAACATGCAGCGTCTCTGGACATTTGAGCGAGAAATGGCTATTGTTGGAGGGAAGATCATGGTCCCCCGCTATACCTCTCATGATGATGCAAATTATCGCTTCAACTCCTTCAAGCGCGTGGTGCGAAAGGAGGTCGCCCCCACGAAGTCCACTGTGGCCCTGGTCCTGGACAAGGAGAAGTCCTATGATTTGCACCTCTGTAGACAACAGCCGCTGCCACAGGGAAGATACATCCAAGTGGAAGTTGTCCGATCGGTGCTGCTCGCTATGAAGGTTGGCACAGCCGGGGATGTTTACTTGATTGATGGTATGGATGTGAAGACGCAGACTCGAGTTTTGGCCTTCTCACCGTACCAGCGATCGAGTATCCTCGTGCCGCAAGCATGGACGATTCCCTGTCCACTGCCACCAGACACGGATATTATGCGCCTGCTCCTGGCTATGTCAAATAACTTACTTTCGAGCTGGATAGTCGCAGACGTTCCACCTAGCAACCATATTCTTGTCCACGGAGCCACTCCAGAGCTGAAATCAGCGCTACTGCAACTTGGAAAAGAACGAGGTGTGCAAATCATGATGACCACGTCAGTTCATCGTGCGGATCTGGGCTTTGTTTATTTACATCCATTGGCTCCGGATCGCGACATCAAGTCCTCTCTGCCTGATAACGTGTCCGTGTTCGTCGATTTGTCCGACGATCAGCAGCCATCCGCTTTGGGTCCTCGTCTGGATTCTTGCCTTGATTCTTCATGCGTTCGCAAGCATGTTGCCCAATTTGTCAGACCCGAAAGCTTTGTCAGTGTGGAGACTTGCATAGGAGAAGTGGCAGAGTATCTCAAAAATTCGTACACAAGAGCGTTGGTCGAAATATCGCAGCCTGACCTCTATAACTCGAGTGAGGAGCTAGCTCTAAGGACGGCCATTGGCCAACCTATGCAACTTCATCATGATGCTAGAATCTTGAACTGGCAAGCCTCTGTAACTGTTCCAGTGCGTCTTCGGTGCGCAGCGGAGGATGTTCATTTCCGGAATGACAGAACATACTTCCTAGTTGGCATGACAGGCGAACTCGGGCTGTCTCTGACGCGATGGATGGTCAGTCGAGGCGCTCGGTGGTTTGCATTGTCAAGTCGAAACCCCCGCGTCAGTCCCGAATGGATTGAGCAGATGGAGGCTAAAGGAGCCGTCATAAAGACCTTTGCAATGTATATCATACGACCCCTGATTCTCGCTTACCACTAACCCACTGCTAGGGACGTCACAAACCGAGAATCTGTTTTGTCGACATATCAGGAGATTTGTCGGTCTATGCCTCGCATTGCTGGTGTGACTAATGCAGCAATGGTGATCGCAGATGGCATTTTCACGAACGTCTCGTACATGACAATGACCCAGTCTATTGCGCCAAAGGTACAGGGCAGCTTATACCTGGACGAACTATTCCGTGACAGTGAGCTTGACTTCTTCATCCTCTTTTCTTCCATCACGTCAATTACCGGTAACGTCGGTCAAAGTAGCTATGCCGCTGCAAACGCCTTCATGACAGCCCTAGCGAAGGCACGTAGGAGCCGCGGACTTGTGGGCAGTGTGATGAATCTCGCTGGTATCTTTGGCCTCGGCTACGTCACGAGAGCAGAGAAAGGTGTCCTTGATCGCTTGATCGCCTTGGGATTCTCCAACATCTGCGAATGGGACTTTCACCAGAATTTTGCGGAGGCGGTCATCGCTGGCCATCCGCAATCTGGGCGTGATCCTGAAGTGTCCGCAGGACTGGCCAAATACGATATTGACAAGGAACAGGATCTACCACTTTGGCTGCAGCAGCCCAAGTTTGCAAGGTATAGGCTTATCAGGGCTGATGGGGGGTCCCAGAATAATAGTTCTAGCGAAGCCCAGGTGTCCGTCATAGCACAGCTGAAGGAGCAGACAACAAAGGATGGTGTCCGGGCGGTGCTTATAGGTAAGTATCCTAAGTAGATCTCTCCATTTTACCTCCCTCCCTCTCTCTCTATTTTGCCCGTTTCTCCTTTCTCCCTACTGACCGTGGACTAGATGGATTATTGTCGATGCTGCGTGGCACGTTGCACATGGCTGAGGAAGACGCAATCTCACCGGATTCAACTATCGTGGAGCTGGGTGTTGACTCACTGGTGGCGGTGCAAATGAAATCGTGGTTCTCTAATGAACTGGATTTAGATATGCCGGTTCTCAAACTTCTAGGTGGCGCCACAATCTCTGATCTTGTCGACGACGCTGTCGACCGCCTGTCTCCTTCTCTTATCCCTAGCGTTGACTCCGACGCTGTAAACAATCGGGCTGAAGCATCCTTGGATACACAGATAGTCGTATCTTCCAGTGAGGACTCTACATCCACGGAGGATGACACTGGGTCTTCTGGAGATTCTTCGCAGACCTCGGCTGACGATGAAGACGTTGAGGGGTTGAAGGATGGCCATGTCGGTGACTCTAAATTCACATATCAACGCACTGCGCAAATGGGTTACGCTTCAACACGCTTCTGGTTCCTACAGCAGTATCTCAACGATCGGAGCACGTTCAACGTTGTCTTCAAGTTTACTCTGACAGGTCGCATTCGTGAGGCAGATGCTGAGCGTGCGATCAAAACCGTCGGAGAAAGACACGAAGCGTTCAGGACGGCCTTTTTTGCCCAAGGCGAGATGGGCGAACCTACTCAGGGAGTTCGTGCGGATTCCTCACTGCATCTGGAAAGGAAGAAGATCACCGATGCATCGGAGGTAGCCCGGGAATACGATGCCCTCACACGGTACAGCTTTGATCTCGAGAATGGAGAAACTGCCCGGGTCCTTCTACTATCCCTGAACCCCTGGAAGCATTTCCTGATCTTCTGCTATCACCATATAGTCATGGACGGCTTTAGCTTTAACATCCTTCTTGATGAGCTAAATAAGCTGTACGCAGGAAAGCTTCTTCCTCCAGTCAAGCTACAGTTCACGGATTTCGTGGAGCGACAGAGAGCTCAGGTCAAGGGTGGGGTGTTCGACAAGGACCTTCAATTCTGGCGAGACAAGCTCTCGAAGTTTCCTGAAGTACTTCCGCTCTTCCCTGTAGCCAAGGTGACCTCGCGGCCGCCTCTCATGGCTTACAGCTTCGAAGAAGCAGTAGAGACACTAGACTCTGCGACTGCCAGTCTGATCCGAGACCGATCCCGCCGACATAAATCTACACCGTTCCACTTCTTCCTCGCCGTGCTGAAAATCTTCGTGTTCCGGTTCCTTGACGTGGAAAATTTATGTATTGGGGTCGCAGATGCCGGCCGAGGGCAGCTGGATACTGAAGGGACCATTGGCCTCCTCTTAAACGTCCTTCCACTCCGTTTTGAGCAAGGCCATGCTGACCAGAGCTTCGGTGATGCTATTGCAGAGGCTCGCAGCACGGCGTATGCAGCAATCCAACACTCAAGTCTTCCCTTCGATGTACTGCTTGAGGAGTTACAAATCCCTCGTTCCTCTACACACAGTCCTGTCTTCCAGATCTTCATGGATTACCGGCAGATTGCAGTTCAGAGCCCCAAAATGCTCGGAACCAAAGCAGATGCAACAGCTTCTCCTGGTCGTACTGCATATGACTTGATTCTAGATGTTAGAGATATTGCTGCGGGCGAGATGACTGTTAGTTTTAGAGGGCAACAGTCGCTCTACTCCCAGACAGCCACAAGGTTGCTCTTTGAGAGCTACATGCGGTTGGTCAGGTTCTTTGCTTCGAATCCATCGGCGATAATCAGCACGGCGCCGCTATTTGACCAGGCCGATATTGCTGCCGCCATCGAGCTTGGGCAAGGTATATGTCCTAAGGTGCATTCCCTCTTGCTGTCTTCACCACTACTAACATGTTTGAAGGTCCAACCTTAACATCGTCATGGCCATCCACTATCTCAGAACGGATTGAGATTGTCTGTCACCAGAGCCCGAGCGCTCTTGCTGTTAAAGATGGTCTGCAGCCACCGCTAACATACGGGGAACTGGCAGCGAGAGTCAATGCCATTAGCGCTAGCTTGATATCTACTGGGGCAACGCAGGGTAGCAGAGTAGCAGTCTTCCAGGAACCTTCCTCTGACTGGGTACCGACCATGTTAGCCATCTGGAAGATTGGAAGCACCTACATCCCCCTCGAGTTGACAAACTCGCTTCCCCGCCTAGCCGCAATTGTGAAAGACAGCTCGCCAGCGGTTGTCGTCTACCATAACAAGACGGCCACTGATGTCGTTTCCCTTACGGCTGAAACATCAACGCGAACATTGAACCTTGCTGACATCGTCCAACTGCCAGACAATGTGCAAACCCCGAGTCTCGCAAATCCAGACAGCCCGGCCGTGGTACTCTACACGAGCGGGTCGACAGGCACTCCCAAGGGTATTATCCTGAAGCATTCCAGCATCCGGAACGAGATTGAAGGGTACAGTCAACAGTGGGGTATTGGGCAAGAAACCGTACTCCAGCAGAGCGCGTATTCATTCGACTTTTCGCTTGATCAAATGCTTTCGGGTTTGGCAAACGGCGGTACTATTTTCGTGGTGTCCAAGAATGACCGGCGGGACCCGGCCAGGATTGCAGAACTGATCTTCAAAGAGAAAATTACATATACAAAGGCGACACCTTCCGAATACGATAGCTGGATCGAGCATGGATCCACCTCTCTAGCTCAGGCGACATCGTGGAGATTTGCATTCGGGGGTGGTGAGCCACTAACAAACAGAACCAAGGGTCAATTCCGGTCTCTTGGTCTGCTCAGCCTCCGACTTCACAACAGCTACGGGCCTGGTGAAATCACGATCTCTTGCACAAAAGGTGCTGTTCCCTATCTCAACGAAGAAGATTATACAGAGCGACCGGTTCCTCTTGGAAAGCCACTGCCCAATTATGCACTCTACATTGTCGACCATAATATGGAAATCCTGCCACAAGGAGTCAGCGGCGAAATTGTCATTGCAGGATTGGGCCCAGCCGCTGGATACCTGAACACTGAAGATGCCACCCGGAGCAAATTCCTTCCCGATGTCTATTCTCCTGCACGTCGCATGTCTGAAGGATGGACTACTGTGTACAAGAGTGGCGACGTGGGTCGCCTGCTGCCAGACGGATCCTTCACGTTTGAGAAACGTGTCGACGGTGACACCCAGGTCAAGATCCGAGGCCTCCGCATTGAGTTGGAAGACATCGAAAGCACAATCATCAAGATGGCTAGTGGCCAGGTGTCTCGTGCGGTTTGCTCCGTCCGTGGTGACCCTCAATTCATAGTGGCTCACGTTCAGCTCATTGAGGCATTCCCACAAGGTGAGGAATTACAGTACTTGAGGGTTCTGAAGAATCGTTTACCTCTCCCTCAGCACATGCGACCAGCTGTGATAGTTCCCGTGCCCCAGATCCCCCTCAACAATCATTCCAAGCTAGATAGGCTAGCCGCAAAGAAGCTTCCGCTACTCCAAGAGAGTGATAGGGAACCATCTGACGATGACCTCACTGGTGCTGAGTTAGCACTCAAGGAGGTATGGGTCTCTGTCCTCCCACCTGACATTGCCTGCCTCGGTGACGTCCATAGCGAGTCCACCTTCTTCGACTTGGGAGGCAACTCGCTTTTACTGGTCAGGTTGCAAGCAGCCATTCGGCAGGCATTTGATGTAGTTATGCCGTTGGTCACGCTCCTCGAGTCAAGCACGCTTCGAGACATGGCGGCCGCGATTAACGAGCAGTCCTCCGTGAGAACCATTGATTGGGGTGAAGAGACTGCACTACCTGCAGGATTAAGCCTTTCCGAGCCAGTGCCAGTGGACATAGAGAGCGTCAAACCCAGTCATCCGGTGACTGTCCTTCTCACCGGAGCCACTGGTTTCCTTGGACGACATATCCTGCAATCGCTCGTCGATGACGAGCGCATAGGCAGGATCCACTGCGTCGCCATTCGTCCGTTGCCCGGAAGCGACAGCCTTCGCCAACCTGTCGACTCGCCTAAGGTGGTTTACCATGGCGGCAATCTAGCAGCTACTCTCCTTGGTCTCTCACAAGAAACCTTTACCGAGCTATCCGGTGAGGTCGACGCCATCATTCACAGTGGGGCGAATCGCGCCTTCTGGGACTACTATCAGCATCTCCGCGGCTCAAACGTGTCTGCCACGAAAACCATAATTCAGCTAGCACACAAGCGCCAAATTCCTGTCCATTTTATCTCCAGTGGAGGTATTTGTCAATGGACTGGCAATAACGCAAACAATGCTGAGTCGGCAGCCTCAATCAAGCCACCTGCCGATGGATCCATGGGCTACCTTGCCACCAAATGGGCCAGCGAAGTCTGCTTGGAGAACGCATCTAAGGCATTGAACCTCCCCGTTTACATCCACCGTGTCACCACGCCCAACAATCCCGGGGATGCCAATGTCCCTACGGAAGTGGTGGAGGAATTTTCCCGCCTAGCACTGGAAACAAAATCAATCCCCATATCCTCTAACTGGCGCGGCACATTTGACGTGATTCCTGTCCGTCCTTTGGCGGAGGAGATCCGCGATACGGCACTCCAGAGCGTGGTTTCCAGCCCACCTGACGTATCTTATGTTCATCATCCCAGCGAGTTTACGGTCAACATGGACAGTGTCAGAGACTATATTAATAGTCAAGTCGACGACAAGACAAGAGCTACCCTCGAGCAGGTCTTGCCGCATAAATGGGCAGGCCGTGTAAAAGCCCTGGGCACGAAGTATCAGTTTGCGTCGCAGGATCTGACTTTAGGGAACGCCGTGTCAGGAGACGGTGAGAAAGGAGAATTGCAGTTGAGACGATAGCATAGCTTCTGTGCGTTTTTTAATACTTTTTCCAAGATATCAAAATTTGGAAATGTACTCCGTAGTTCAGTCAATCTGAACCCGCTTCACCCTTGTATACCACGTGTATCTTTCTGTTATAATCATTCGCTCAGGGGAAGGGACGGCTAGCAGAAGAACACTATGCCAGCTACACGCCGGTAGCCTACTAAGGATCTGGAGGATAATAATATCCACTATATTGACTGCTTGCTCAGCTACCCTCTCACTTAATTCCTATCCAAAGGAACAGAAGCGATTCAGGGGGATGACGCTTAACGCTCGCCGACGCTAGGAGTAATCGGATACCGAATCCCGGATATTTCTCTATCACTTTGTAACATAATGGCGTATGTCCGGAGTACTAGATAATGTAGATTTTGTATGATAGGTATTCCTTCCCCCGTGTAGACTGGCTAGGCCTCGGCAGACCCGCGGGCCATATATAGACTGAAGGCTAATATAATAGCGCCTATGGGCTCTTAGCAAGCACCCGTGGATAATTAAATAGAATAAATATAAAGATTTGCGGGCTGAGGCCCTTTAGTTGCTCTGCCACGTGATAACCACGCGCGTATCTTGACGCGTCTCTGGTCTCTGATTCTCATTTTTTTCCCTCTCTTCCAACGAATTCTCTTGTTTAGGTTAGTGTCAGGATCTCCATAGGACATTCTGCCCTCTGTCACCGCTTAAGTGCATTCTGCTGTCCCTGACCGCCTACTTTCCCCATATCTTCCCCCGCAACTAGTTATGTAGGTGTCAAATAATATGGCCGTTGGTGGACCAGAATCATGTGACTAGATCGGGGTAAAACCCCCGCGGAGCACACAACAAAATAATCAATCAAGAATAGCCAAGAAGAATAATCAAGAGCAACCAGCTCAATTCATTCAAATAAGACCTTTTACCCAATCGTACTCTATTTCCTCTTCAGGACTAGCTGTATATCTGACGGTAGGGCGCGTTTTCTTCCTAGAGAACCGGTCATGTAGTCATGCGAGAGATGAGCTGAGTTGGCCTGTACCTGTATTCATATTGAACTATCTACGCAGTACATGCTAGTAAGGCACCTACATGGATTGATATAGATAGTCCTCTACTTATATACAGATTTATATACGGTTATAATTCTGTGAAGGAATCTCTTACATAATCTCAGGCAACCATGTTCTGTTAGCTGACGTCACTATTATTTATTTATTGTTGTCAGGATTGTCGCTTCATTCCCCCTTGTTTACTCTTGATCTAACTACTTTACCACCATGCCAGGACGTTTCGGCCAGAAAATCCTCCAGACGTTCGGCCTGGAGCATCAGCAACAACAACCTCAGGCATACCAACTAGTCGGGAATCGGTTCCTCAACGACGATGAGCGCCATATCTCCCCAACCCCCCGCGGCACATACCCCCGTCTAGCTCGCTTGGGCGATGGCTCGCTGCTAGGCTCCTTCACTCGATTCGAAGGCAATACGCGGGTCCTATGCGTCTCCCGGAGTGTCGACGGCGGACGGACCTTTGAAGACATCGGCGAGGTGACGCGGGGCGACGGAGACGTCGACAACATGTTTCTCCTGGAGATAGCCCCCTCGACTATCCTGGCAGCCTTTCGCAACCACAGTCTGGGCCCAGAGGGCCCAACTCATTTCCGCATCACCGTCTGTCGATCCACGGACGGCGGCCGACAATGGCACTTCCTCTCGCAGGCCGCAGAGAAAGGGGCCCCAATGGGTCTCTGGGAGCCGTTCATGCGTCTAGGGCGCCAGGGCGAGGTGCAACTCACCTACTCGCAGGAATTTGCGCACAACAACCAATGCACGATGATGGTGCGGTCGTTCGATGGCGGCGCAACGTGGTCGCCCCCGCAGTGTCTCCACGGTGACCAGGACCTGCTGCGGGACGGCATGAATGGGATCGCGCCGACGTACGACAACGGACGCGAGGCTCTCGTCATGGTGTTCGAGACTACCACCTTCGGCACGTTCTGTATCGAGGCGCTCATCTCCTACGACGACGGAATCACCTGGGGCTATCGACACCGGGTATTCTGTCCGCCGCAAGGCCACAACGCCGGATCACCGCAGATCGCCTCGTTCGGCGACGGGTCTCTGGCCGTGATCTTTATGACGGATGAGGATTCGTCCGAGGTGCAGTGGACGAAAAATGCCGCTATCAAGGTGGTGTATGCGGCGCCGCCGTGCCACGGTCGGATGGCGTGGTCGCGTCCGATGGTGATCTGTCCGGATGACAGTCACTGGCCGGGCATTATGGCCCTAGATCATCAGACGTTGGTGGCGACATATGAGTGTGGAGGGGCACCTCGAGCGAAGAATATTTCTTTGCAGATGTAATGATCTAGTTAATCTATCTTTTTGTATCTACTTTTGGATATGTAGTTAGCGGTAGAATAGAGTAGATACAGAAGAGATATGGGACATGATCACTCCAGCAACTCCTCAACACTCTTCATTTCCTTGTCATTATTCTCCCCCACATCCAGCGCGACCAACACGCGACTGACACAGTTATACGCCGCGATTCCCGTGGTCAACTCGACGATCTCACGATCGGAGAACCCCCCGTCGGTTTGGAGCGCAGCGAAAGTCGAATCCCGGACACGCACTGTCAGGGTCATCTCGTCTGCATACCGCACCACAGCTTGCTGGCGTCTCGTCAGAGCACTTTCCTGCAACGCCACGATCTCACGGTCGGATCCCGTCGCTAACGATGATAGCGTGCGCACCGCATGGAGTTCCTCGGGTAGTACCCCCGCGCGTAGGGCCAACGGCGCGTGGGCATTCCATTCGTACACGGCATGGGTGAGCACCGCGACGCGACAGACGGCTAGTTCAAGGAGTCCTGCGTCGACGAGCGTGGCGGTGCGGATGGCGCCGAGAAAACTGTTCCATCCGTCGGCGACAGGAGGGGAATGCAAGAGGGATCGATCGAGGGGGATGAGAGGTCGGGGATGACGTCGGGCGGCGATGCGGGCGTAGATATCCGCGGAGGGAGACGAGGAGGGCACAGAGGATGGGGCGTAGGGAAGGCGCATTCTGTCTGTGTCTGTATCTCTAGTATACAATATGTAATTATGTAGAATTGAACTGAATGATGGTGATTGTGGATGAAGATGGATATCTGTTTATCCGTTGATCCAATCATTCCCGAGTCAACTACCGAGCTATCCTTAGCATTCACTTAGAACTATATTCTACTACAGGGTGTGAAAACCATCAACCAGGCAAAATAAATTGACAAGACCGGAATTCGAACTATCCTAATTCCTTATACCTCGAATATTTCTACCTTATACTAATGTCCTGCCTGACTAATCGCTTTCGGAAATGCACCCTTTTGCGATGACATCAAGAGAATATATACAAGACCTCAGAACAGGAAGATTTCTGATAGAATCCACCGTTATCCATTTCATGCCTCAAGATATGGGTGATGGCCCCGACAGAGCTGGTTGGACCCTCCCCGGAGGCCGCGAGGCATGGACTAGTCGTCTTGGTTCGTCACTGATGATGTTCCCTTCGTTTGGCTTCCAAACGGCTGTGGGTTCCATCCAGGACTACATCAGCAACTAACAGCTCTCGCACTACAGTGTGCGCGATATCGGCTGGATCACCGCCGTGCTGGTCTTCCTGATTTATTCCTGGGCATGCAGATAGGCCCGCTCTTCGATCGATATGGTCCCCGAGTTCTTGGATCCGCCGTCATCACCACAGTCTCCGTGGCCGTGCTTAGCGATTGGTTTCACTGACGTCGCGCCCTCGCTTCGCTTCAGGTATATGCATGGGAGGATCTCAATCGGTGGCGCCATCATTCCCCTGATCCTGCGCACGCTCTTCTCCAATACGGCTGGACCTGGACCATTTGCGTCCATCGCCTTCATGTCGTTTGCTACGTGGTTGGCAACATCGCCATAAATGACGATTCCCGTCGGCAACAGCAATCAGGGCCGATCAAACGTCGATTGAGAGCATTCTGATAATCTCGTCTCTGTTCCTGGCGGGAGCCGTCTTCTCCTTCGAGTGGATGACTCTCCTCGGAAATGTCCTCCCAGGCTTCGTCACCTATCTAGTCGTCCGACTCAACATCTTACTATCCCTCGTCGTCGTGGCCCAGATTATCATGGCAGCAGTCTGGCTACCTCTTGGATCCCGCGACGTCGCGGCGTTGTATGCCGTGGTGGCTTTCTTCGGGTTCAGCTCGGGCGGATGGTTTTCCCTGGCGCCTGTTTGTGCAGGCCAGCTATGTCACGCGGAGGAGTACGGACTTTTCTATGGGACTGTGTACTGCGTTGCTGCGTTTGGGGTGTTGCTTATCGTGCCGGTGGTGGAGAGCAATTGCAGCCTACGACACCACAGATGCTGGTCGGGTTTTATTCACGGTGTTGTTGAATTGACCTGCGTGGCTTTGTTGAGATTGGCTTTATTGAATTGGAATTGGAAATGGAAGGTCAAAGTTTGATATAACTACTTCTTTATGGCTTATACAGTTCTGTCTCTACAGGTAGGTCAAATGGTATCCTTATTCTATACATGATAGGCGGCAAAGCCAGTTATGGCGGTCTATTTCGTCTGGGTAGATATTATTATGGACTATTATGGACTATTATGGAAAGTTCCACGGAGGTTGAGGGTGAATCCGTTTATACTGACAATGGATCGTGTATATAAAGGATGAATTCATATTTCGATACCAAATCATAGTAGCTGCCATTAAAATCTGATGACTCTAATATAAGTAGGACTTCAACGCCCCCACCCACAAATCCTACATCCAACTCTCCAACTCCCACTTCTCATAATCTAACGCCATACTCTAGCCTCATGCCAACCCAACTCCACCTAACAAACCAAACCAACGAACAAAAAAAAAAACCAACCCCAACAATCAAAATGTCTATCCCAGCCGAGACCTACAACTTGCAGCGCAAGATCCGCCTCCAAGAGGCAGGTCTAGACCTCAACCACCCAAGATCCACGAGGCTTCTAACGACGTGATCCTGTACTTCAACGTGTGCTCGACAACACCAACCTGAACAAACTGAACGACATTGCGCCGCTATGTTCATTTCAATGCAACATGCGTCTTGGGTTCGAAAAGTACGAGAACCCAAAGGGTCCTTTCCCTGACGACGCCGTACATATCAAGGTAACCATGCGCAACCGTAGGATCTTTTTGGGTGGCGAAAGTGGATGGGGAAGACTTCTGAGAAGGCTGATCAGGATCAGTGATTTATTTTGACTGATCATTGACTTGACCTTTTGTGTTATTTCCATGCTAAATTGATTCCTGGGCTGATTGTTGTCAAGATATTGGGTGCTTTCTTTATTTCCTTCTCTTGCATTGGGATAGATTGAATAAGGAACTTGTCGGATTGATTCAATAACACAATGCAAGAAAGACAAAAAAAGGGAAAATAGAAAGAGAAAAAAATATAAAAAAAAGCAAATACAAAATACATGGCATTCAGGCATGAAATAGTCTCCCATTCCTGTCCTTGTAAGACATAATTAGTTCGATTAACAGCCTAAGCACTAGGTTCATTTCTTTGTAGTCTTTATGCTAGTCTCACTGTAGTCTGGTGGACGCACTAATTATGGAATACCAGCTTCTATATATCCAGAAAATTTAAACAGAGATCAAATTATTCTGGATTAGAGATTACATTCTAAAAATATGTGCAGTCAATCAATGTGCATTGAGCGATATCGGCCCTTGGCAGATCTGTCCTGAGTCCAGACTCCAGCAGATTCTTCACGATCGTTTCAGAATCAATGGCTACTTGTGAACATGAAAAATCACAATCGGCCACTACATAGGAGAGACTTAATCGACACTACTCCCTGAAGCATTGATGATTATGGTTGGGGGTGACCATGGGCGGACTCTCTGAAATCCTGGTCCAGTCCTTCCCTCAATCCTCGACAGAAGAGGCTAAACTGTCCTTCCAGTTCAGCAAGGAGGAACACTCCCAGCGCTTCTGGGATGCGATGCGATGCCATTGGCCTGCCATTACATGGGGGCTGTTCATGAACCTGGTATAGAGAAGGCCTGTCTGAAAAAGACCATAACCAGAAGACAATCACTGATAGTATGATACAACCATAGGCCACCATTCTCAAGGGCATTGATGGCGGCGTCGTCAAAGGCCTCGTTGGGCTGGACGCCTTCAAGGAAACCTACGGATACCGCTATCAAGGTAGCTACATGATCTCAGCCCCATGGCTGTCAGCCTTCCAGTACGCCAACCTACTCGGGGCCATCGTGGGTGCCCTTGGCTCGGGGTTCGCCTACGACCGCTTTGGGCCGCGGGTGATGCTCGCTACATGCTCGGGGCTCTCGATCGCGTCCGTCTTCCTCCAGTTCTTCAGCCACACGCCCGCCCAGCTCTTCGTCGGCCAACTCGTCAACGGCGCCATCATCGCCTTCTACCCGATTTGCGCCTCCGCCTATGTCGGAGAAGTCACTCCCCTCGTCCTGCGCGGCTTCGCGGCCACCATGACGAATCTGGCCTTCTGCGTTGGCTCGCTGATCGCCTCAGGTATCCTCAAGAGCACCGCGTCCATGAACAGCGTTTGGTCCTTCAAGATCCCCATCGCCACGCAGTGGGCCTTACCCTGCGTCATCCTGCTACTGGTCGGCTTCTGTCCCGACCCGCCGTATTGGCTCTGTCGCAAGGGCCGACATGACGACGCGGCCGCCTCTCTGCGACGTCTCGCCACGCCGGGGGTCGATGTGTCGCGCAGGCTGGCTCACATCCAGGAGACGCTACGACTCGAGCAGAGCTTCCAAGAGGACCGGCCACAGTACGTCGAATGTTTCCGCGGGCCCAATCTGCGTCGACTTCTGATCTGTGTCATGGCGTACAGCATGCAGGCATTCACCGGCAACGTCTGTTTCATCAACTACGCCGTGCATTTCATGGAAGTGGCGGGTCTCGTCTCGTCGGATGCCTTCTCCATGAACCTGGGTCTCACTGCCATCGGGTTCGTGGGGACGTGCGTCTCCTGGCTGTTACTGTCCTACGTGGGCCGTCGCACCATATATCTCTTCGGATGCTCGACGCTGGCCGTCCTCTTGTTCATCATCGGAGTGGTGGACCTCGCCCCGCGACATTCGCCGACAGCGTGGGCGCAGTGCGGCATCATACTGCTCTGTACATTAGTGTACGACATGAGTCTGGGCCCCTTCTGCTACGTGCTCTTGACAGAGGTGGCGTCGGCGCGTCTGCGCAGCTTGACGATTGCGCTGGCCACGGTCACCTGCTTTCTCTGGTCGGTGGTGTTTTCCGTGGTGATTCCGTATGCCATGAATGAAGACCAGGGAGACTGGAAGGGGAAGGTGGGCTTTCTGTTCTCCGGGACTAGTTTTTTGTGCTTGGTGTATTGCTACTGGTGTCTTCCTGAGACAAAAGGCCGGACCTTTGAAGAATTAGATATCTTGTTTGAGCAGAAGGTGCCCAGTCGACAGTTCAAGTCGTACAAGATCGGTTTGGATAGAAGTAGATAGATTAGTGAATAGATTACATATTATTAATGACTATTCCCAGTTGTTTTCTCTTGATATACTCATACGGAGTCCACCTACTTTCCTTACCTCCTCTTTCTCTTATCCTCATCCTCATCGTCATCGTCATCGTCATCCTCCTCCTCATCCTCCTCGTCCTCATCTTCATCCTCATCCTCGTCCTCGTCCTCATCCCCCTTTTTCTGGTTCGCATCCTTGTCGCCGTCCTTCTCCTTCTCATCGTCGTCCTCATCTTCATTCTTCTTCTCACCCTTCACTGAAACCCGAGAATCACCCTCATCTCCTCCCTTACCATTCTCACCCTCGAGGGCCTTCACCTTCTTACACGCAACTTCATCATGATCCAAGTTACATTCATGATCTACCAAGTCAGTCAGTCAATCAATCAGTCAATCAATCAATCACAATCCAACAGACTTACAGATATTATTGCAGAAATCACTCTCCCCTGCAGCCCCATCACGACACCCCTCTGGACACTCCCAGATCGCCATGGCACTATAACGAGGGTAAGTCGCGTCCGTCGGATTGGTCTCATAGCAGCGGTACAGCCCATCGGGATTGAATGCACCGCTCACTTTACGCAGTTAGTCCCAAATGCTCAGGATATGTTACGATATAATTTGGGTGCTCACTTCTGCCCTGTAAAGCGCGTCCACAATAGGCTTTTCCATTTATGCAGCTGGCAAAACTACCCTGGAACAGGGCAAATGCCAGAGCAGCAAATTCGATCTTCATTTTGAAGGATAAGAGAGGATTGATCCTTGAGATGGTCAGGGAATAGGTGGTAACTAGTAAGTTGTAAAGACAGATGTTAGGTTAAGGCAGAAGTCAAGACAGGATGAATACTCACTTTTATAGACAAGCTCATCATCATTAGTATAGTGAATACTGAATAGGTATACATATTGACAAAAGAAGAAGCTTGAATGGAGATTTGTATCTCCCTCCTTGCATTATATGAACCATAAATATGATGAAAATGATAGGTATCATATAATACTATTTCTATATCTATTTTTCCCTCACAAATCATAGTCCCTCCGTCGATTACGTATACCTACATGACTGGTCATATCGATGATTGTCGCACGGAACCGGGAATCACCACGTCAAGAACCAATAAACCACCTATATTTCTCATCACACACGCAGGTACATCACACTCCATATTTCTAGCTGTTCTCCATGAGAAGACACTAGTGAGATCGTCAACCACATACCCGACTATCGTGTACCACTAAACACAGCCTTCTAGGTACAGTACAACACATCTGGAGTCATATATACTTCCTATAAAAAGCTATACACCAAGTACTGAAACAGCAATCAACAGTAAATTTGGATGACAGTGCATGCTAGATATGTTGAGAATCTGTACCTTAAAGGAAAGGGTTGCACATTACCTTGGTGAACCACCAAGGGATGGCCAATGCCCAGTGTTTAACTGAGATTGCCAGGTTTGTTACAAGACCCAAATAGCTATATCCAGTAAGCCAATACCAGCAGTTTTGGTATACAACATCGCCCTAAGCATATTCTACAATGCAGAAGAAAGTCACTGGACGCTGCACCGTACCAGCAACAGTACAAAAATGGAAAAAGAGCACATCGACGAACCAACAGACTTTCCTTGAGTGGTGATATTTGTGTGCCAAGTGGTTTTTCGCTATACACTGGTAGCTCCTGGGTTCTGTCCCTTCTGTCTAGGGGACAGGATTCAGAAACCCGAACAACGATTCCAACAATGGAAGAAAAGTCCACCCTGATAAATCACATTGATAACAAACATTTGGCGGGGGACGACAAGAAAGAGCCTATTTAGTGCTGTTATCCTTGTTATGAGAATAAATGCTACAGCACCACCATGGATCGTCGACGCCATTATTATAATGCTCATTCAATTGAGGAACCACGCAGCAACTGCGTTCAAGGAAACGTAAAAAGCTTTGAAAATTTCTCCAAATTCCACTTCGAATCCTCCCCTGGGCGGGTCTGGGCTGGTCCTTCTTGTCTCATACCTAAGGGTGTTAAATGTACTGATACGCTCGTACGGTTCAGCCTCGCCAAAATGAGCAGAAGCTTGGATCGGAACAAGCTGGAATTCATTAATTATCATCGTTAAGTATTTCATCCCTGTGAGCCACTCACTGCGTGGGTAACAAATCCGTCTTTGTGGTACTCTGTGCCACTAGCTCGGGGCCAGAGAAGAGGCACTAAGGTACTTGTTTAGCGTCAGGGAAGAATGTTGCCCAGACGGCACGTTATTAAGGCCCCATAGGTTTTCCTCCAAATCATTAAGTTCCTTTAAAGGCGCGGATATAGCCTCCATGTCGCGTAACAACACAAGTCCAGAAGACAATGCTCCAGTGATGCCCCTGTCGTCTTTTTCATCAGTATCGACGAAAAGATCTCACTCCTCACGCCGTCGCAAACCGAGCGATTCAACATATCACACGCGAATGCTTTTCATGCTACAGTATGCTTGGATGTGGAAGCTCCTAGACACACCCAAGGCCGAATTGAGAATATTCTAGGAGCGGGACTTTTGTCAAAAGGAACAGCATGCTTGGCATCTAAGTTGCACCGAGAATCTCTTGAAATAGCGGGAACACAGGCAAGAGAAGCCGAATAGACTGACAATATACATGGACTTCTCAACGAGCTGAAGCCATAAGAGCTGCTGTCTGTTAGAAATAGAGGAAACTTACTTCTTACAATGACACTTGCATATCGCTGATTATCTGTCGTGGAGACTGGTTTAGTGACATCAAACCGGAAGTTCATCAACCCACACTTCCATTACATTCCATTGTTTATATTTATCTGGAGGTCTACATGCCAATCCCAGATCATATCAACAGCTTGCAAAATTCGGGTGTTGAGAGCAGACAAATCTCTGGCTGCACAGCTAATAAGTCATTCGGCTGGACTGCCGGCATAGCTGATAGCGCATTAGACATTACTGGATCGACACTTGGTTTATACTTCCATCAAGAGAGCCTGTTTGGAAAACTCCCTGGATGCCCGGTGGGAAATTTTCAAATCGAGAACGTTTTTCCACACATAGTGTACTAACAACCGTACTCTTTCAAGATTTTTACATACACATTATTCACGCCGCTATCAGTCTGTCCGATAAAGTTATCGCGCGTCATCTCGACATTATTCTCGGTGGTTTCGTGCAAAGCAAGGTCGTATCGACGCAGCAGCGTCCCAAGCACGAGATTCATCCATGCTGAATTCATACTGTTTTTGTCAGTCATATCGGGGTGAATCAAATAGTATTGGCGCAACCTACTTCTGTCCCAAGCAGCCCAGGGTTCCTTTCGAGGCTGGAACCAGATATCTCTGCAGTCTCTGCAGGTCCTCGGGGTCAAGCAGCCAGCGCTCGGGAATGAATTTGGTGGGTTCGGGGAAGATGTCCGGGTCTCTGAGGATGAAATATGTCGACATGCTTACTGGTGTCTGTGGCTTATTAGCGATGCTTGCAGTAATACAGGCGGAGCACAGTAAAGGCTACATACACCGGCGGGAATCTGCCATTTCTGATACTGTAGAACCTCATCGGGGGCAATGCGGGGAAGACGGGTCGTCACGATGGAAGACAGACGAAGGCCCTCTTTGATGGTTGCATTCTACAGAGTTAGCCTAGCGGTTGGGGTTGGAGCAGCAGTGTGTTAGGTACCAGATATGGAAGCTTTTCTAGGAGCTCCAGAGTAGGCGTGGAGGTCACATCGGAGACGTTCGCGAACAGTTCTGCCTTGAGCTTCTGGTGGACGGCAGGGTTGTTCAGAATATGGAAGATGGTGATGGCGATGGCCTGCGACGGGGCGTCTGTGCCCGCCATCATGAGAAATATGGCGTCGTCCTCCAGACGCGGGGAGATCTTCTCGCTCGGAGGCACGTCCGGGTCCGCCAGGATAGCGGGATAGATAGCTGTTGGCGCCCTCGTGAGATATCCGTTCTTGCTGTCGGCGCGTCTATGCTGTTCGATTGCGCGGCGGACTCGACCTCTCACGTCCTAGTCATGCCATTTGTTATCTATCCAAGTCCGCGGTAAGGAAGCCAACGGTATGGGACTCAGCTTACCTGCTCAAATTCAAGCACATGCCCGTATGAAGGCACTAGCCACGCCACTGGACCTGGGAAAATGCGTGCAAAGGACGACAAGATGGGAATCTGTCTGTTGAGCCGGCAAAAATTAAACATGCTATTGATTCGCGCCTTCCAGGTCGCCGGTAACGTGGGCTGGTGCAGGTAGTGAGAGCCCTCCTGCCTACCGAAGCAGTATTGAGACAGCGTATCGCAGACGAAACACTGAAAGGCGGCGTGTAGCTCCAAAGGCTGGTTGCTGCTTGACAGGGCTGAGAAGTGACGGCACAGCGATTGCACATTGGCGCGGATAGCCGGCTCAAACTGTAAGATGGCGCCCTTCTTGAAGAACTGGCCCAGAACCCTTCTGCGGTCGCGATGGAGCGCATACCCCTCAGTGGAAAAAATCGACTGGGGGTAGGAGATGAAGCTAAACCAAGGATCTTTGTTGCGGTGTTTGCCTGGGCCGGCGTAGAGCGTGTTGTAGTAATCTGGGTCTTTGATGTGCAGCTCATCCGGCTTGATCCGAATGATCGGGCTATTATACTCTCCATGGAGACGATCGATTTCCCATGTGAATACGCCCCCTTTGACCAGTTGGAAATATGCCTCGTACAGACCTGTCGCGGCTGCGAGACGAGGACCAGGGAACTTAGCCAGAGGGCTTAGGAACAGACGGTAAAAAACAACGGCCCCGACATAAACGATGGCGCATAAAGCGGTATAGAATCCATAGCACAGGCCACTGTACAAATAGTCCTTGATTGTGGGGTCCATCGTTTTTGGCAGGCGACACAAAAGCACAAGATAACGCTGCATTTCGCTCCTCGTGTGGATCGCTGGTTGTCTGAATTTTTTGCAGCTTCAATGAGGGTTAATTAAGGGGTTCTATGAAAGGGGGATCGAAGCAGCAAGGGATGGATAGGAGCGGTGTGCGAGCCATATATGAGATGCGCCTTGTCATACACATCGACGTGTCTCCCCATTCCATGCCGTCCAAGGAGCACTTGCATTTATTATTGCCAATTGTTATGCTCCGGAACGTAGCATACCTGTTATTCGATATGGGGAACTGTTGCTGTATTACTCCGTATACAACAGCCGTATACATGACTCTGCATATTCTGCAGTAAAAATTTCTATTCCTACCTCTGCGATCGTTTCTCTTCTAAAGCTTGCTGCTGAAGCATCTGTTCTCGCATCCGTTCTTGCATTTCTAGCTAAGCGCGCTGTCGTTGATTTAGTCTGCTGTATAGCAGCGTGCTTGGGTGGTCGCTGAGAGATGATTTATATAGCCTTGATTCTGCCCCAATAATGCTTAGAGTCAGCTCTCCAGGCGCCTTCCGCCGGTCCGTGTCAGTCCCCCACCGATAGCAAGTGAGCTCAACAAACCGTGAGCGGCTCGACCAGGGCACCTTGCTAAATTCAAAGATGCACGTTTGCAATAATGACTCCATCGGTGACAGTATGAATATGGGCTATATTCTCTCCATCTCCATCACTGGGGTAACACGAACGAAGCAGTGTAAGAGGTATGTGAGAAACGTAGCCGACATGTCCCCTTAAACGGATCAGTGGCAGCAACAGCAGCAGCATCAATTTCACTCTCGCCTGCCCGATTGGGAACAGTACATTTAATAAGTCTCTCTGGAAGAATTGCAAGGGTTGTCAAGGTGTATTCGTCAAATGTTTGTTAATTTGATGGCTGATATTTATATTTGTCAAAATATTTTGCTTTTGCATTCCTGGTCACCACTGTTCTCAATGAAAAGTAGTGCAACTTAGATTCACCTTAATTAAATCCAAGTTAACAAAAGAAATGTGGCTCACAGGAGTGCGTGCTAGTGCCAGGCTATAGGGCAGTATCAGGATGGCTAAAGAATGATATACCAGCGCCGTATATAATTAATATCTGGAGGTAGGGTACATCATACGGCGAACTAACCAACATTGTGAAACATTTATATAAGAAACAAATTCCGCACACTATTAATTAATCAGCAATCTGACGTTCACATTGTATATAAGTGTTAAGTTCTCCAACCAGAGTAATAACAGTCAATATACCTCTAATCTACAGCACCCAAGATAAGAAGAGCGAGAAGAGAAAAACATGCCGGCGAATTTCGCCATATAATAGTAAAGGTCATCTCTAAGAGACGCACTAACTGTTCCAGGTGATCATGCATGCAGCAACATTTTCCCATTGATCAGCGCTAGTTAAAATAGCCACCTTGAGAATTAGAGTTCCCAAATGCGCCCAACTGAGTCCAAGCAAATCACATTCTGGTCCAATCCGGATGTCTGGCTATCAGCAAGTGAAAGGCAGCAATCGATCGGCCGGTCACTCATTATTGGGCTCTGAGCCTTGAGAAATACTTCTATGTGTCAGGGGCTGAGCCTGTAGAACCTATAGGATAGGCACAAAAAGGAATTGTTAAAAGAATGAGGGGAAGGACGGGTAAACAAATATGATGTAGATCACGTGATATGGGGCTTCAGCCAACGGGGGCACCAGGGACAACAGACGATAGGCCCGAGAAGTTAAACGGGCCACAGCCCTTTACACTAAGACTTTTGTTGCCACAGCCCCGAAACATAATAGCCTAATAATGCTAGGGGTATTTGATATGACAAGGTTATATAGTATAGTAATGCAATCATTGTGACTCCGCTAGGATAGTATTGTATGGTGGTGTGCCCGTCGAACTGCCTAATCGAGACATCAAACCAATCTTTGGACATGATTTCTACTCCGTACAAGTCAATCCACGACGTTTAATAGATTAGCTTAAACAGGCAAAATACTCTCCTTTCATTCATTACCTGTCTTGTAGACAGGTGCCATACTTTTACAGAATAAAAGTTGGGAAATGTAGGGCTGGACTGATCACGTGATTAGCATCATTTACATTACGAATATTGGTAAATATTTACAACGAACCTATCATTCTCTTGTCTATGGAACTTTGTGGAGTGCCCCTGAGATATAGCCAAGTACTACTAACAGGGTATATGTATGAACTGCGTAAAAAAAAAAAAAAGGTCCATTAGTGGTCCCAGAGGGGGTAAGGTCTCTGACCGTTGTAATAAGCGCCTGGTGGATTCGCAGGGATTAATTTAATTTGATTGAACAACCAAGGAAGGCAGACTAATGCATCAGATAAGACAAGAGATGCAATCTCAATCTCCCTATCCTTCTTTGTTCCGGGTCGTTCCACTATTTCGCTCGCGACCTTATACAAAACAGAAAGTTCCTCATGGTCTCGCTTCTCATTCACTTCCTATCATTCCACCATCAGAAAACAATTAAAGAAAGCAGCACCAAAGAAAGAAAGAAAGAAAGAAGTTTAACCATGTCGGTATCGGGAAAACACACTGCCATCGACGCAGCCTCGCCACCTGTTGCTGCCGGAAAAAACACCACCACTACCACCACTACCACCACTGGTCAGCAGCAAGAACGACTCAACGCTTTACGCGAAGAACATGGAGTAAATTGAGCCGATTAGATAACCCTCTTGCATTCTAACAGTCCCCTAGGCCACGTGGGATTCCCCCGAGGACCCTCATGATCCCTATAACTGGTCGTCCGGCCGCAAGATCTTGGTTGCACTGATAGTCTCCTTGGGTCAACTGGTCACGCTGATGTCCACCAGCATGATGGCTGCTGCATTGACCACGATCGGGGTCGACATCCACCTGGGCAGCTCTGCCACCCAGATCGCCTTCTCCATATTCATCCTCGGCCTGGCCTTTGCCCCGTTCTTGATCGCAGCCCTGTCCGAAATGTACGGGAGGCGACCTATCTGGATTGCCAGTAATCTGTGGTATATCCTGTGGAACGCCCTGTGTCCGGTCGGTCACTCGGCAGGGCTGATGATTGTCGGCCGATTTATGGCTGGATCAGGAGCCAGTGCCGGGATTACCGTAATGACCTATTTTCCTCTCCGCCATCTTGCTGCGAGGTGCAACTTTATACTCACTGACCCCCCGTGCGGACATAATAGTTGACCGGCCCCATTCTGGCTGACATGTACCGCGCCGAATACCGTGGCCGCTCTCTCGCCGTGGCAACCTTTATACCCTATCTGGGACCGGCCCTGGGTCCGATCCTGGGCGGTGTAATCGCTCAGCACCTGCAATGGGGGTGGCTATTCTGGATCCTGTCCATGTTCGATGCTGTCATCCTCGTGGTGGGGTGCTTCTTGCTGCCCGAATGCTATACTCCCCCTCTCCTCCGTCACAAGGCTGCGGTCGAACACCAAATCTCAACCTCCGCCCTGAGCAACACCTTCTACCGGGATCTGGCCAGCCAGCTCGGTCCCAGCCTGATCCGGCCGCTGCGGCTGTTAGTGTACCGGCCGGCCATCCAGGTGATAGCGATCGTGATGGCGTTCAACTTTGCCATCTACTGCCTGATGCTCTCGACCTACGCCGATCTGTGGAGGAAACAGTACGGCGAATCACCCACGATCAGTAGTCTCAATTATATCGCTATCGCTATCGGCACAGTCGGGGCGTCGCAGGTGGGCGGTCACCTGATGGACTGGATCTACCGCGTCCTCCGCGACCGAGCCAACGGACAAACCAGTCCGGAATTTCGAGCCCCCTTTCTCGTACCGGCCGTGCTGCTGGCCCCCACTGGCCTCTTCCTGTACGGCTGGTCAGCTGAGAAGCACCTCTCGTGGGTGGCTGTCGACGTGGGCACGGCATTGTTCACCTGCGGCAGTTTTATGCTGACGCAGGGCATACTGGCGTATTTGCTGGATGAGTTCAAGCATGCGGCATCGGCAAATGCGGCGGCGCGCATGTTGTCCAACATTCTGGGGTTCGTGTTTCCCATCTTTGCGCCGCAGATGTATCAGCGGTTGGGATATGGATGGGGGAATAGCGTGTTGGGGTTTGTGTTTTTGGTGGTGGGCGACCCTCTTCCGGTGGTGTTGTGGGTCTACGGAGGGAGACTGAGAGCATATGGCCGAAAGCCATAGGCTTTCTTTGCTCAACTTTTTTCTGTTCTCAACTTTTTAGCTCGTCGAATCACCAACCCAGAAAGTCTCTGAAAAATTAGGGTCGGCACAGTCGTATGACGCCAAGAGTTTCCATACATAATCACGGTAAAACTCGGGGATGAATATTGTGTCCTCCAAGTACATACTCTCTGTACCTGAAAACCGAATTGATTTGTGGAGAGACGTGGGGCAATAGGCATGAAGGTACCGCCCCTAGACCTGTTCAGTCCCACTGCTCCAGATGGCATCCTATATTAAACAGTAGTCAACTGGTATGTCAGTTGTCTATTTTAAGTTTCCTGGAATAAGAATAACTAAATATTATGAATTATACTGTTTTTTGGGCTGGCACTTACAACTGTGTCTTATGTTGGTTTATTTTTTAGTCTACTTCTGACTATTAATTGCATAGGTATATAGATTGGATGTGCCTAATGTGAGCCTTAATAATAGTAGAATGATTGAGATATCACAAGTTTAAAAGGGCTAGTTTGTATAGAAATGCAAATTCATCGCTTGGTAGTATTTGCCGCTCGGTGGATGAATGCGTTAACTAGTTTGCTGACTACGAGATATGTATATATATACCACGCTGGACCGGGGATATAGACATAATAAGTTGATTTGGTTAGTTACCGGCACCTATAGGTTTTATCTACTCTAGACAAGTAGGGGCTGCAATAGGTTAGATGACCACCTGGTCCAGTTAATGGGATAATAAGCAGCAGGTTATTCAAAAAAGTATCTACATGCCCTCGTCATATCTTTAGGGTTACTTATACCAAAAGGAAACCGTAATACGGACTAGAGATCAAATTGAATATCGACTCGAAAGAAAGCGCTATGTATCATTAATGTACGCCAGAATCAATCGTCAAGGACAGTGGAAATGGCAAGCAGTTTGCTCTCGATTCCAGAGATCGAGGCCAACAGGTAAACAAAGGGAATCCTAGCAAGTACACCAACACCGCGGTCAACCAGGAAGGAAAGAAAAAAAATATAAAAAAAAAAGATGGAACAAAATGAAACCAGTTCGAAAGACCGTTCGTAGTAGACAAATGGAAATCTCGTGACGACGCTAAAACATCAATGATCGCGCCTTGTTGCGTCGAGCATCCGCGCTGCGAACTTCGGGCTGCGACTGCGTGTGCCGGTGTCGAGGCCGAGGCGATGCCACTGCCGGCTCGGGCACGCGGGACGCGGGGGTTTGCGCCACGTCCTTGCGTGCCGGCGGAGGGCCCGCGTGCGAGAAGCGATCTCCTGTCTCCCTGCGTGCCTTTTGACTGCGCTCATGCTTCAGCACGAAGTCAGTCCATGGCTTCACCTGGCTGCTACCACCGGTTCCCTTCCCGACAGCGTCAGCCAGCACCCTCATCCAGCCTTCCTTGTCCGCCGCGCTGTCGGCATAAAAATCAATCACCTCGCCGTTGCCGAAGCGGATCCGGAAGCCCTCTTCCACGAACATATACCCCTCTTCCTCTTCAGCGAACGCAGACTTGCGGCGTCTACCCCCCCGGGCCGTGGTCTCCTTTTGCGTCAGGGTAGACCGGTCGTCAATCAGCTTGGCGGCTTTGGACAAATTGATGGTAGCCCGCGGCTGCCGTGTGGTCTCATGGAAGGCGGTCAGTTTGGAGCCCTGCAGCTTAAACCACCGACGCCGCCAATACTGCAGCAAACTCGTCAGTGTCACGATTGACCGAGGATGGATGCCATCCTGGGGGACAAAACTCACTGGACAATCGCCTCCCTGCTGGGAGAGGAAACCTTCCCAACTGCGCGCCGACACACTTTCAGCCTCGCGCATTTCTCGAATGCAGGCATTCATGCTCTTCGGCATATCTTCGTCCTTCGCACCCTTGGGCCGGGGAACAAACAATAGCTGTAATTCTAGTTTGCCAATCTTGTAAGGGGGTCGGCGCTGGGAGGCGGAGCTCGAGGTACTTTTCTTGCTCTTCACACTACTGGGCTGCTCCTCAACCGCCCACTCATTGAAACAAGCGACGTCGACGGTGTAAGGGCGTCCGAATGCATGCTTTTCATGATCGCTAAGTGCCACGTATGCGCGAGCAAAGCTACCGTCACGCGCAATGAGCGACCGGAGTCGGTCCCACACCCCGGCATTGACATCTTTACTCTTCTGCTGCTGCTGCGAGGCAAGCTGTTGCTTCATGTCCAATTCCTTGCGCTTCCGGGGTGAAGCAAACACCCGGCTAAATGTCGACGTCTTCGGTCGTGTAGGCGACGCAGTAGGAGCCAGCTCGGGGCTTCGGAATCGGTCGTCGTCCACTTTCATCTGCAAAGTAAGCTGGAACTCAAGATCATTCTGCACAATAAGTTCAAATTCTTGCCCGATGGGGGCGGATTTTCCCAGCTCCAACCAGGCGGTTGTCACGCAATGTAGGCCATTGTCCAGTGTAAGAGAGAAGTATGATCTCTCACCTGATTCACGTTGTCAGATGCGATGTCAAACATGAAAAGCTCAGCACATACCACGTGGTACCGGAAGATCCAGATACTTCAGTCCAACGACCTTGACAAACAGGCGGCCACGTTCTTCTCCCTCCTCCAGGGCGTTATTTAGTGCCAGCTCGGATTCCTCGATGGTTGCCGGGGTCTCTTGAACGTTACTCTGCTGTCCGGGGAGTGGTGGCACGGAGCTGTTCACGGGCTTTTTCCGGATTGCACTGGAAGGAGTTCTTATGCTCGAGCGACGCGTCTGGCCGTTCCAGGGTACGGTGGTCCAGGTTTGCTGGCTTGCTTTACGCGGAGACGGCCCTGGGGATCTTGCAGCATGGGGATCGCTTGGGCCTTCAGTAGGGGGAGGGGCAGGCTCGTCCTCGGGGCGACTGCTGGCGATGATCATTCGCGTGTTCTGTCGCATGAGGTAGCCTCTCTGTTTGCGGGGTTGCTCGTCAGCATACGAAACTAAGGGATCCTGGGCCTGGGGGGTTCTCGTTGCACGGGAGTACAACTGGGAGAGGGACAGCTCAAACGCAACCTTTTGGGTTTCGATCACTCGGTCAAATTCCTTATCCAGGCCAAATCCAAGGCTCTCTTCCTGGATACTAAAGGGGATATCCAGTTTCATGAGACTACTCTTTCGCTGGATGGGCTCCTTGGCGGGTTGAGAGGCGGTAGGCTGATCAGCAGCATTCTCGGGTGCGTCAGGCTCCTTCTGACTGTTGGTGTAGGGCATTGGGGGAGGTTGTTGGCCGCTAACTTGACGCCGGGTGGCCGCCATCGATTCCACATCGGCAGGAGTCAGCGATGGGCGCGTCTTGAGGCCAGCTCCACGGGCTTTGATGGTCGCAACCGGTTCTGGCACGCACTCCTCAGACGGCGATGCGTCACGATCACTGCCATCGCTGCCCGTGGGATGTCGAATAACCGATTCCGGAGTCGAGGGCTCCGACACTTGGTCATAACACTCCGGTGTCATGGGTCGCTGCTGAGACTCCCCCCCCTGCTCCTCAGGAGGCGGCTGCTTGCCTTGACCATTTTCGGTCCGGTCTTCAGGGACAGGTGTTGTCTGACCTTCATCGAACTGGTCCGAACTGTGTTCAGGGGGGTCGCTGGAGTATTGGCTCTTGTCATCAGTAATATGCTTGTCGTTCAGGCTCTTGAACGAGGAGTCCTTCGAAGGGACATTTTCATAGTAATCAGGTATGTCATAAAGGTCATGTTCGTGCTCTTCTTGCTTGATAATAACGCTTTTGGCATCAACTTCATCGTCATCGAAATCGTTATCATGCTCAAGCGATGGGATGGGAACATCGGGGTCATAATTCACGTAGTGGTCAGGATTGGACTCAACCTGAGAAGAGGTCTCAAAGGAATCATCCATGAAACTCTCACTCTTGCGAAGATCCCTCAAGATTGAGTCTCTAGAGATATGGGGAGGCGAATACCTTCCAGGTGCGTCCGCCGTAGTTTCATCCACCGGTTGGTCGTCGCTTACCTTGACATTATCTTCCTTATGGTCAGCATGGTCAGGTTGTTTTTCGACCGCTTTCGACTGAGGCTCTTCTCGACTCTGGTGCTGAGGACCGTCTCCCTCCCGTTCGTAGTCCTGGATCATCATCAGTCGCAGTCTATCGTCTATGGACATCGAAGTATGGCCCAATTCGGCGATGTCAGACTTGGTATAGGAGGCTGGACCAGGAGGTGATGGCAGAACCCGCTGACCACCACTCCCCCGCTCAAAAGCAGCGGCCAGCTTGCCGGGCGATGACGCGCGCGGAGAGAATGAGGTTCGACCAGCTGCGGGAAGAGGGGGTAAAGGACGGCGTTCTTCATTAGATTCTAATGGCTCGACATGCGAGTGCTTCCCAGATATTTCTTGACGGGATGACGGCCGCAGATCAGCGCCGTGGCTTTCATTGTCATCTTCGGTAAAGGGATCCTCGTCCTCTTTCACCAAGTCCTCATTCGCGTTTGATGGGCTCATGTAGCGCCAATCCTCGGGTAGAACAACGGGGGTTTTTTCGAGGTCCTCTAGCGAAGCGTCGAAACTATCCTCACGGTCCATGGAAGATTCACGATCGAAGCTGATGTCGGCTTCATCGTACTCCGAGTCGTAGCTACCATCGCGTGACCCAGATGCGACAGAGGATGGATCTGGCGTGGTCATCTCATACTCATTCACCTGGGGTGGCGCGGCATCGAAAGTGACACTTTTGGGGTATCGGCTGTCGGCGTCCGACCAGATCTCGCTTTCAGGGTCGAAGGCTGCATCCTTTACACCAAACCGGCTCGCTCGGGACAAAGAGGACTTCGCTGGTGGCACTTGATCCTTGCTGGGAGATGGTGGTCTGGGTCCTATCCGCTGGGTGGTGTCTCGGCCACGGGGGATTTGCGATGGCTGGGCCGTTGACGATTGCTGCTGCGGCAACTTTGCTGTGGCCAGTGGTCTCTGGGGAACATAAACATGAGCTGGGTCGTACTCCTGATTGTAGTCACGGAGCATGTGGCTGTTCCTGACTCTCGATTGGCGCTTCAGATTCTCGAGAGATGGCCGCTTTGTCGGCGTAAAGGACGCCTCTGGGTCATAAGGGGCCTGATTTTCTGAACCCCTCTGGAAAGGCGATCCGGATTCGCGGCCTTGCCAGAAGAGACGCGGTGATGGAGCTTCATAAGGTGATGACTCCATGCTCTTCATCGTCTAGGGAACTGATGTTAGTTCTGCAGTTTCCAGACCTATCCAATGCCAGCAAGACACTCACCTTGGTGCTCTGGCTCCAGACTGGTGAATTTCGTTGTTGAGCCATGGGACTCACTTCTGACAATGGCCGCTGGCCGAGTTCAGGGTTCATGTTGAGACGGAATACACTCGGCAGACGCGAAAATTAAGAGAAAAGAATAAATGAAAAACAACGCTGCGGACGGAAAATATTAGCTATGCTCGTTTCATCATTGCACCAGGGCCACCGTACTTGAGGAGGCCCCTTGCGGTATGTGGCGCATTACCTATTTCAGATAAACAACAACAACAGAGGTGGAATAGAAAATTCGATACAAGAAACGTCGGAGGAATTGAAATCCCAATATTAATGGGTTTTTAGATGCGCTGGAGACAGAAATGGCTCATCAAAATCATCAGGGAAGTGGATGATGCGTCACAATGATGACCGGTTATACAAAACGACAGCCGATTCGTCAACAATGTCTTTCTTTGTTGTTTTTGCTGCACGACGGGATACAGTGCGACGGTAAGTAAGAAAAGAATGTAGAAAGACCAGCCCGATGGGAAGTGTGCAACAGGAAGAGAGAAGTGGAAATACAACGACGTAGAGGGTCAAGTCAACAACAACACCGCGTCCACCACGGGAAAGAAAAAAAAGAAGACGAGGAAGAGAAGGAAGAACGCGACGAGAAACACAAGCAAGGTACGATGGAGGAAACGAGATAAGTAAGCCTGAGTGCGCAGAATCAGGATCCCCGACCAGAACTGCAGAGCGCAGCTGAACGATGGAGACTCGAGCGATGTTGACATTCGCCAGCCGGGAGTCTCCATAGCAACTGTGCGGCCCCTGGGCACCTGAGGGTCTGAGTGCCTGGGTGCCTGGGTCCTCCACGGATCGCGTTAGTCCCAGACAGGCTTAGCGCTTTGATCGCCACTGACCGTCACTTTTTCTGCGTTTCTTCTATCTGGCGCGCTTCTTCCCATCTGGAATAATCCATCACCTCACTCATCATGAATCGACTAGGTCGAGTGCCTCTGCCCTCGATATGTCTGCTCTGTCGTGGTCGGAATGTCTTCGTTCGGTCTTTCTTTGGAACACAATCCGTTCGGACCATGGCTACCGGTCGCCTTCGTCGCAAAGAAATTGCGCGTAAAGCGCTGTCACCGAATGTGGCCAAATCTTCCCTAAAGTCAGAACATCCAAAGAAACACAAACGAGGTCCCTTTGCAGGCATGAACCAGACAGAGGCTCACATTCGAGAGACCCCTCGGCCGCAATCCTCCGCATCTCAAAAGCGATTAGGGAAAGCAGGGAAACCAGAGCTTGCATCTCAGAAAAGCGACAGTCCTCTGTATAAAGCTTTGAAAATGCAGACAACATTGGCGTCAGTTTCCTATGGCCGTCGAACGGCCATCAAATCTAAAATAGCCGACCTCACAAGTTTCGATCAGTTTCCTCTCCTACCGGTCGTCCGGAACTCGATCTTCTCTCAAGCTCTACCTGGTCTGATTGATGTCACGCCTACTCCAATTCAACGTCTGGCGATTCCGGTGCTTCTGAGCGACTCAGATAATCATATAAAGTTGAAGAAGAAGAACAAGACAGATGACGTCGAGCACCAGTATGATCAATACCTTCTAGCAGCAGAGACGGGCTCTGGAAAAACTCTGGCGTACTTGGTTCCGTTGGTCGATGCTATCAAGCGGCAAGAGGCAGAAGACAAGGAGAATGAGAAACGTGAAGAGGAAATAAAGGTGCGAGAAAGGGAAGAGCGCCTGAAAAACCAGGCCTTCGACATCGAACCCGAGATTCCCCCGCTGTCCAACGCCGGTCGACCGCGAGTGGTGATCTTAGTACCGACAGCCGAGTTGGTGAACCAGGTAGGCAGCAAGGTGAAAGCTCTCTCTCACACGGTCAAATACCGATCAGGAGCAATTTCGTCCCGATTGACGCCCCGTCGGATCAAGAACACCCTTTTCAACCCGGATGGCATCGACATCCTAGTTACCACTCCACACCTGCTCGCGTCGATCGCGAAAACGGAGCCTTACGTTCTCAGCCGTGTCAGCCACCTGGTTCTCGACGAAGCCGACTCGCTGATGGACCGGTCTTTCCTGCCAACAACCACAGATATCATTAGCAAGGCGGCTTCGTCTTTGCGCAAATTGATCCTGTGCTCGGCTACCATCCCGAACAGTCTCGATAAACTCCTCCGGCAACGCTACCCAGACATCAGACGTCTCACGACGCCCCTGTTGCATTCCATTCCACGTCGAGTCCAGCTGGGCGTGGTGGACATTCTGAAGGAGCCCTACCGTGGGAACCGTGATCTGGCATGCGCGGACGTAATCTGGTCAATCGGCAAGGCCGGCGATGGCGATCCCACCGATCCATTCGAATCCTACGGCAAGCCCAAATGCAAAAAGATCCTCGTCTTCGTCAACGAGCGCGAGGAAGCCGATGAAGTTGCCAAGTTCCTCCAGTCGAAGGGTATTGACGCCGAATCATTCTCCCGGGACTCGAACGCCAGAAAACAGGATGAGATCCTTGCCGAGTTCACGGAATCGTCGCCACCCCCTAGCCCCGAGGAGATCATGCTAGCTCAGAAGAAGCGGCGTCAGGAGGACGCCATTCCCTTCGAAATGCCACGGTCATCCAACGCAGGGGACAAATCTCGCCGCTTACCCAATACCAAAGTACTCGTCACTACCGATATTGCCTCTCGCGGTATCGACACACTCCCAGTCAAGACCGTTATCCTGTACCATGTACCGCACACCACGATCGATTTCATCCACCGTCTAGGCCGAATGGGTCGGATGAACAGACGCGGCCGCGGTATCGTGCTAGTTGGAAAGAAGGACCGCAAGGATGTGGTGAGGGAGGTGCGCGATGGTATGTTCAACGGCACAGCATTAATCTAGCGGATTGAAAAACGGGCTTGGATTTTGGTATATTATCAACAGTACAGTCAGGTGTTAGGGCGGAAAAAGAACAGTAAATTCCAATGGATGATGTATAATATTGTACAAAAATGTAGTATAGTATAGACTTGATAGTTATCGGACATGGATACAAATATACCTATAATATTCCAATAATATTCCACTCAGCACTTTCCTCGCATCTACACTGTATATTATCTACTTCGTTGACCCGGACAAGATCATGTCCATGATACTCCAGTGACTTTCCCACCCACTGACCTCCATAGGTCACATTCCTTGAGAAACGTCACCGGTACATTCTTAAATCGAGTCCCAGCGATAATAAAACTCAAGAGGGTTCGAATGTTGGATCAGATTGCAGAGATGCTGAAGTCTCTTCGGTATTATCTATTATAGATGCATCAGAAAGTGGGCAGAAGCATGAAGAAGATAACTTGATTGACACCAACAAACCCGAATTGTATACGTACAAATACACGCCAAGCAAGGCTGAAGGATGCGCGAACCTGAGGCTCTATCCAGAACCAAAAATAAAATAGAAATCGTGAACCGCAAAACATTCGACCAACCACACATACTTGGAATCAGACTAAGTTCTAGAAAAAAACGCCACCTCAAAGTGTACAGGAATACTAAGGAAATGCCCAGGCATTGCTCCCATCCCAACTCCAGCTCTAACATCCAGTATTACATAGAAAACCCCACCGTTGATATATGGCCAATCGTTACATAGTCATCCGAAGGGAACGAGTCCGTCGTCGACTCGCCCGCGTGTTGCGTCGCTCCTCGCATGTTTCGCTGTCCTCTGTCTCCGTACGAGGCTCGGACAGCTCCGGCGTGGGCGTGATTCCAAAGCTGACCCCTCGGTCTTTGCGCGAGATGCGAGTCTCCTCATCCGGATAAAGAAATCGATGGACGGTCCGGTGGTCCATCACGCGCTCCTCGTCGTCCGATGGACCCTCGCGTTCGGTTTTAGGCCAACGGAATCCGTACAGCATGGAATGGCGCTCACACCGGGGACACTCTCGGCGAGTGAGGTACGAATTGTGCTGGACGAACCAAACGTTGCAGGTGTGGCAGTCGACCCACCGGTCGTAGGTCTGCGCGAGCAGCTTCGAAGTCTTCGTGTAATCGCCCGGAACGCGAGCCCGGTTTGATTCGGCCTCGACAGATGGGACAACGGCGGATCGGCTACGAGAGGTCCTGGCTCTCTTCGTGCGTTCGACAACCATACCGAGTTTTTCGTCCAGTTCGAGCGAATCGGATAGGTCGGATAATGCGTCGTGCTCGCTACCCCGACGTGACTGCCTTCGGTCTGGCTCCCCCGGGATGGCCGCTCCAGTGTTGGCCGTTGCTGTCGAGTCAGACTCACCCGAATCGGCGTCGACGGTCTCCTCGACCTTGATCTTAACATCAGAAACCGAAGTCTGGGCTGTAGAAGCTGAGGAGCGCTGAGATCCGTCGGTCTCTAAGGACGAAGGCGACTCGCGACTATTAGTGGCAGCGGGCCCGGATGGCGAAACGGTCGCCTCCTCATTGACGCCAGGCGCGACCGCATTTCTAGTAGCATTATATTTCATTTCTACTGCAGCCGCGTTCGAAGGAAGGTCCAAGGTTGATTGCAGAGAAGGGGTGACTTCGACAAGAGACACCTCGGATCTCAGTTTCGAGCTCTGCCGCATAAACTTGGTTCTCTTACGAGGAGTCGAGCAAGGAGATATTTCAGAATCAGCGTCCGGGCCCTGTTTACGCTTCCGGGGAGAAATACGGCTGTCGATGGAGAACGAGTCTTCTTGCAAGGCTGGAGTCGACGCTGGGCTCGACCCTTCCGAGTCCACCTGCGGTGCCCACCCATTACGGACCGCGCGTTCGCACGTCAGACAGAGACATTCGCAATTGTCGATGCCAAAATAATCGTCCCCGTAGGAAACGGTGATTTCTTCCCCAGTGTAAATATTTCGAGTCGCAACGACCAACATGCCCTCGGAGCCGCGGGTCACCAGACGCCCGTTTGCATTACAGTCATGGTTCGCGAACCGAGCAGGTCCCAGGAAGAAAGACGGCGTCTTCCGCCGACTCGACATCACGATACTAAAATCCTTCCTCTTTAAATCCAGATCTCTCTCCTCTTCGCGTGTCACAGGGACGAGGGTGCCACCCAGATATTTGATCTCTTCGCCCTGTTTGATGAACTTCCGCGCACAGATTGCGGCCTCGTGCTCGGTGATGGTGTAGCGATTGGTCGTCATAACCTCGAACGGACATTCGGGGAGGTACATCTGGATGTACTTGCGTAGATGTCGACGGAACCATTCCTTCTCGCGGTCGTTGGGAAGCCTGGCCATGTACTTCTTTAACCCCGAGTTCGTCAGTAGTTCCCGTTCGGCTTTCACGACGTCCTTGGCGACAATCACATCGTGCAGAAGAATGTGGGCGATATTGTCGTCGACAATCCCTCGGATGGGGATATACTTGGTCCGGTTCTTACGCGTGTTCGTCCAAAAATAGGCCTGTGGTCATCAGATGGGCAGATCCTGGAGGATAGCTCGCACATTGGAGAACTGGACACATACACGGTCAACCAGCGCATCCGTCGCAACGTCGTCATAGCTAGCCAACTTCGCAAGCGTGAGCCGATCGCGTCGTTCGTCAGACGGATTAGATTTCGCTTTCGAAGACGGCATGGTAATCTACAAGGTCCTAGGAGGGCTCTTCCAACAGCGATGGAGCCCGTCGTGGATTTGCTGGTTTAATTGTTCAGCCTCGCGGTGATATAACCTATGCGTGTAGGGGAACTGGAACCAAGCGGAAAAGCGGAGAAGGGAAGAGGTGGGATTGCACCAAATAGAAAAGGAAAATGAAGAGACCAAAAAGGAATGTGAATGGTCAGTTAGAGAAGAACGATATTCCACGTCGGAGTGGCCAACATCATGAAGAGCGAACAAGTAAAACAAAGGAAAGAATTCCCCCTGAGGGAAATTAATTAGCGCGTGCACGAAGGGCAATATCCAAGCAAGCAGCAAAGCATGAGTGACTGAGACTACTGACTGACTGCAGCGGTCTGGGGTCGGCGGTCGGTGAAAACCTTCCGGTCCGTTTCCACGGAAATCTTCCACCACGACGTGCAAGACAATCTCTGATCCTCAGCGCTCACCACGGCGTGTGATCAAGATGATTCAACTCAAGGTATTATGCTCTAATTCCCTAATTACTGTTGGGATATCGGTTTACTGACAATGGCTGTGCAGACGTTACTGAACTGCATCGACAACTCCGGTGCCGCGGTTGTCGAATGCGTGAATGTCTTGAAAAAACAGCGTCCTGCCACTGTGGGTGAGTGTCACCTCCTAATCATGTTTTCTGGTGGTCCTTGTCTATCAGGCTGACATGTATTGCTGCTTGTAGGTGACCGGATTGTAGTGGTAGTCCAGAAGCAGCGAAACTTCGGCCCTGAATCAATGAACACCAGTGGTATTGCGAACAAGGTCCGTCGAGGAGATATCCGACATGCTGTTGTTGTCCGAGCAGCCAAGGAGATGCAAAGGCCTGATGGGTCCACGGTGAAGTTTGACGACAACGCCTGTGTACTGGTAAACAAATCTGGAGACCCGATCGGAACGAGAATGAATGGTGAGTTCGGTCGCGACATCCATCTGTCGTGTTTGCATCCTGATCTCACCCTTTCTAGGAGTCGTGGCTACGGAACTACGAGGAAAGCAATGGTCGAAGATTTTGTCGTTGGCGCCAGTACATGTATAAATATCCCGATGAAAGCGAATGGTTTTAGTTACATATCACTTGTCTGTATCAATAGAGTTGTTTTTCTTTTTTATCGCCATAACTCCCTGACCATGCAAAATAATAATAAAATAAATAAAAAAATGCAAAATAAAACAGGAAGAACTGAAATATTGGGTATCGGATATATCGCGATGAAACACACATCAAAGATCAAACGAAGACGTTACCGCACGCGCAACAGACGTAGTAGAGTTTCTAAGGAGCAAGTGTCAGTGGATCTTCATCAGCAGCAGAGCCACCAAGGGGCATCTCACCATCCCCGTCTCTGCAGATCGCTGTTGAGACTGGAAGAAGACTGCTTCGGCTTCACCGCAGCTCGGGCAGAGCTTGTTGGACCGGGGAAGCTAGGTCAAAGAATAAATGTTAGCCACGGAAATTTCAAGAAATCTTGGTATCTCTCCATGACACGAGACAGGGCTACTCCCGCCTAGAACGGTGAAAGTCCTTCATAATCATCTTCAAACAAGGTATGTTCAAGAGCCAACCCGCATGTATAACAAGTGATCTCTTCTCCGCAATGGGTGCAGAATCCTGGGAGACAAACCGTCGGATCAGATCCCACATCCTGAGTCACCCCGGCGGTGTCTCCGACTTGGGTATTCAACTTGTTTTGGTACACGCAGTACGTGCTCGCGGGCTCACCAACATGGCAAGTTCGGCAGGTAAACATCAGACGATTGTTCACGCGGTCTTCTTTTGGGTACAGCAGGTTGGAGCTAGATGCCAGCAGTTAGCAAAAGGTCTCGAGCGACAGGGAAAAGACAGGGTAAGCGCACCATTCGCGACAAAACCGGAAATGAACCTGCTCAGCGGCTTTCGTCTCGCCACCAGCAGACGAAGATGGAGTAGCAGACATTTCGAAGGTAAAGGTTATTCGTGATAGTTTGAAGTTGGGAGCGTCTACTGGAGTTAAATAATGCGAGATGTCTCAATCTGATCCAGTTAGTGATGACTGTGGAGACGCTGGACCAGAAGAAGCGATGACACAGACTGATATCTCAAGCGCCTTCGAATTGGCAGCGATGGAGGTTCGCAGAGGGGCTAGACTGTATCGGGTGCTGTGCATAAACTTTTGCAGTGTTTGCAATGTTTGCGCTGTTGGCAGCTGCGTCCATCCCCCGCAGTTTTGTCCCGCATACAAAAAGCATCTTCGAAGCTTCCTGACATTCCTCATGCAGTAGTGACACTGGGGGAGTCTGTAACTATTCTCTGTCTTTCTCTATAATCCTCTGTGTGCATATTTTAAACCAAGACAACCATGGTTTGTTTTCTCATAGTTCACCGACAACATTCTTCGTCAAGCTGGAAACTGACCGGCTTGCCCTCCTCGTTCAGGTAGAGACAGGTCTTCCAGCAGGATGGGAGGTCCGCCATTCCAACTCCAAGAACCTTCCTTACTATTTCAACTCCTCGACTAAGGAGTCTCGCTGGGAGCCGCCCGCGGGAACAGACACAGAAACACTCAAGGTTTACATGGCAAATTACCATAGCGGCCCAGCAGGTCGGCCTGATGGCCTAGGCAACGGCGAGGGAAAAATACGCTGCAGCCACCTCCTGATTAAGCACAGAGACAGCCGACGACCCAGCAGTTGGCGAGAGGCCGAAATCACCCGGTCAAAGGAGGAGGCCATCGAGACCCTCCGTGGCCATGAGGAGCGTATCAAATCGGGTGAAACTACCTTGGGAGATATCGCAATGTCCGAATCGGATTGTAGTAGTGCTCGAAAAAGGGGTGATCTGTATGTTCCGTCGGGAGTAGATCTTCGTATCGAAACTAATTGCGCTTCAGTGGTTTCTTCGGGCGAGGTGAGATGCAGAAGGAATTCGAAGACGCGGCTTTTGCTCTGCAGCCAGGTCAGGTCAGTGGTATTGTAGAGACGGCGTCTGGTGTTCATCTAATTGAACGGTATGTCTCCCCTGGACAATTGAATATTTACCGCTAACCAAGTGGCCGTTGAACAGTGTCCAGTAAATAATGGAAAACATAATATAAAGAAGCATGTATTTAGATATCTGGGAAGCAGTAATGGTCTTTGTCTTCCTATTTTTTTTTTGTTTTTTTTTGCCCTAGCTATCCTCGACGACTTCTATGAGTGCAGTAAGTTTGCCAATTTTCTAGACAAAGCCAGAGAGCATTTTACCCTAAATTACTAGGCTTGATTTAGTGGATCTCATAGGCCAAATATTCTACTTAGATACCACAGTTGGATAGTCTATAATGGCTGGCCTGGGTTGTCTTCTGACATCATACTAGGTGCTCACAAAGCGAGATATTCCATAAAACTATGGCTTGTTGCCTTCAAGCAGCTGCTTCCAATTTGCTCCCAGCAGTGAATATGTTTTCTCAAACAGTCCCCGTACTACAAACAAGTTACACCTTTGCCTTACTGCCTCTTGTTTACACTCTACTGCACTATTCTCTGATGTGCTTCTTTGTTTAAACTCTACGATAACTTTTATTGCTCTTCGCTCTACTCTTTATGTTTAATATGGATTGCTGCAGAATTTGTCATATTGATCATATGTGCATTTTTGGATCCATGATTAGCAAACCCTCATGCAATCCAACTGGGGATACCTATACTGACCCCGAATCAAGCGGCATCGACACATTTCACAGAGAGAGACTGAAACTCCCATTGCACCTCAAACCAGTTATTGTAGGAGAATGCCATGACGCATTTGAGATTTGCCGTCATGCAGCCATCAAAGCACACAGACATCTAAGACAGCTCAACGATCTCTGCAGACATCGCTACAAAGCCATGTGTCCCAGCACCGACACATCCATCGCCTATCTCCATTCCAAGTCTGTCCAGCGTCTCCTCGACTGGCCCTCGAACTACGTCGCCAACAGCCCAACACTTGCTCCTCCTGCCAAGATTCCAGCAGAAGTCCTCTCTTTCACGGTTGATCAGCGCGCCTACAACGCATATACGCGGCAGTTCAAGACCGCTGTCGATACCTACCTTCAGGGAGACTATCAGCTGTTCCTAGACTCAAAGGTTGGAATGGAGAACTTGATCGCCAAGTCCAATATCGGGCACATGGAACATCGTATGTGGGAATATTTCTGGTATAGGGTCTTCATTCCTGAGAACGCGAAATGGGAGGCTCATCTTAGGGACCTCGCCCTGCCGTCTTGGGAAAGTATCGTGAGCGAGATGTATAAGGCGATTGTACAACGCGTTGAGGGTGCCGATAGATTGACTAGAAAGCTCTGTGCTGGTAGAAAAACGTCGGGCTTGCATTGGGACGATAAGTCTGGTCATAGTAAGTGTCATGGTAAATTAACATGCCTGTCTGCTTTATTGACACTTCCTTTAGTCGTGTCTTTTGATTCCGATATTGTTTAGAAGTCTCATATTTGGTTTCTAGGATCTGGTTGGGTCTCCATTTGAGGAGTTTGCAATAAAGAGCTCTCTGCTTGCATGGACTATAATACTGCTGGGACTCGTGAAATTTGAGAAATAAATTGAAATCAGACTGACGTCAATATTTTCTCTTGGTTTTCTTGTTCAGAGCTTGGCATCATCTTGAGACTTCCTTGTGCTGTATGATAGTCAGGCATATACAGGAAAATATCTGCCATCACGACCCTATTTAAACCTCTATGCCTACTATATTCAGTCTAAGTTATAAGCCGATCCAAGTCAGTTCTAACAGAATTATATTCCTTGTCTTCTCACAATATATCAGAATTTAGGGCCATGGCAGACGAGACATGACCCAGCACGCTTGTTTCACGAGTCAGAGTATACGCGTACATATAAATAGGCAGAATTGTCTTAGATTTAAACAAAAAAAGAGAGAAGTCAGCCTTCTTATTTACCTATACACTAAGTTCTTTCAACAACCCGCAGCATCAACCTGCCTAGTGAAAGTTTCTATCTACTATCGCATGACTTATTCTACTCCATCTACCACCTTACCAGTCTGCACAATTCGTTAGATAAAGCAAGTCTACGATAATACCACCGTTGATTTTCTTGCTTTATGGCTCTTCAAGCTCACAACAATGCTCTTTTCCCCATCTCTAACAAAGACCATGGTCCCGAAATACTATATATATCTCTCTCTTACAACACCCACATCATCAAAACACAGTTCAACCACAAAACAGCTAAACCGTACCTTATCGATATACAAACAAGACCTCACAACTAAACCCAAATATCCAAGACAATGTGCTACTTCTGGATCTGCAAATTCACCCTCTGCGGCTGCATTTGGGATGAATGGTTCCAAAACTGCGGACACGGGAGCTGGTGCTACAAGAAACGACTGGTCCAGACAAAATACGATCGAAGCATGTGCGAGGAATGCTGCATACGAGCGGGCGAGAGATTCCATTGGATAGATCTGATGGCTGAGTTGGAGTACCAGGAAAAGAATGGTGGTGTGAGTACGACCAACTTGTATTCCGCGTCGTCCAAATCACAGGAGGTGGTGGCATCGGGTCCTGGTTCTGGTTCGAAGAAGCCAGAGAAAGAAACGTCCGAACCTGATAAATGGGAGCAGGAGATTCCTGTGATGCTGGAGATCAAGTATACCGTGCAGAGGATTATTGACCCAATTAACCTGGACGTCGTTCGCGACGAGAGACGCCAGCGTAGAATGCAGGAGTTGCGCCAGTTATTGAGAGAAGAGGGATTGAAGATTACCTTTGAGCACAATGGTTTACTGGTCGTTTCTAGGATCATTGGGGATCGACTCCAAGACAAGGTTGACTGTATGTCAAACAGATAGATTCAATTCATGGGATATTACACAATCATATACTTGGAACCGTCAAGACAAACTATGTAAGCTTAGAACATCCATCATACAGGGACCGGAGATATAATTCAGACCCAATTCTATCAATACTAGACGCTTGCATTTAGACGTTCTAGCCGAGACGTAATTGCGTCAATCACAGCAGATCTAGATACTAAATTAGCAAGCAGATCCAGAGTACCAGTAGGAAGGAGAAAAAGGCAGGGTAGCTCACTCTCGTTCTACCATCTTCATAGCATCAGCTACCTTCGCCCGCTGAAGTCTCTGAGGAACTCGGGGTTGGGTGCCTTTAGGGGTGGCTGGACTTGGCTCAGCCGTAATCGGGGCTTTGGCGGAAATCGACCTCGCATCTGACTGCAGTTTTGCTGCAATTTCCTTCACCTATGGGAGTGGTAAGCACAGTGCTATTCCGATTATGAACTGCCTCACACTTACAGCATCAATCCGCTGAGACAACTGCTGGCCGTTCTCCCGACTTCCGTGTTTGGAGGCTTCAAACGATTCTGATAATGCGCTGACCTCCGAGACCCAAGACTTCTCTTTTGCACTAAGGGGCCGGCCACCAGATCGGTGAACCTTGGTCCGGAGAGTTTCATATCGTTGAACAAGTTCAACCTGTCGGTCTTTCGCACTCTGCATCCTCTTATTTAGAGATTCGTTCCGAGATTCCTGCTTTTGTCCATCTCCAACGTCACCAGATACACCCTTAATTCGCTCGGCTACATCAGAGAACTGCTTGAGCTGATCCTGCATTTCCCCTTGCAGCCTCTCACAGCGACGGAATAGATCCGATGCAGCTCTCTCGAGAGCGTTTGTGTGAGCGGACAGAATCCGATGGGCAGCAGCCACCATGTCCAGCGTTGCCGGCGACAGACGTATCTGCTCTTTAAGCGTGTGACGTTGGCGGTGAGGGACACAATTATCGACAAAAAACTCCAGGGGAGGCGCAGAATAGAAAATCGAGGGTACCTGGTAAGGGGGTCGTCGAGGTGGAAATACGGGGGAACGGGGAACCTCTCCATCCGAGCTGTGTCGCGGGTCTGCGAATGAGGGGAAAGATACTTCAGGGGTGTCCATAATAGCTGCATAAGGGTGAGAGGCGAGGAACGTTATCAATAAGTAGCCAAGATCGTAATCATAGTACACGACGGAAGCTGGTAGGTGGACTGTTGGATCTTTGGCACCAATGTCGGCATCATCCACCTGGATAATCTGTTCCATTATGGAAACTGTTCCTTCGCATAAAACTTGCAAGCGGAACGCTGAGCCGGCTGTGTCCTCAGCCTGCAGCTCTGCTTCCAATCTTTGCACCCAGGAAGAAAGGGAAATGGACATAACGTTTTTGTCGTTGGTAACAAAGAAGCTGTACCGTGAATGAACGTCTCTTGTGAAACTAGGCCAGTTTTTCAGTGATTGTTGTCCGTCCTTGAGTGTATCCAAAGACTCCACCAGTATAAGATCGGACGGCTCGGAGATAGGAATTCGGAATGCATTTTTCTTTGCCCTAGGGAGCCATTGTCCCTCCACCCCATCGAGTTCAAGGCAGACATAGACTCTACCACTTACAGTAGAGAGACAGATAATCGTGGCTGACAACCTGTCATCCGGATTCCCTTCCAGGGCAATCTCATTATCTTCACCCAGCATGAGGGCTTCAGTGTCGACTTTAGCTGCAATGACGATGAGGTCGCAAAGGTCCAGGTCATCAACCTCATCACCGGTGTCAATACGGAAAGGCCCCTGCAGTCTAGGAATCGCACTGGGACTGGCAGGGCGAGTGAGGATGTCCGATGTGGACCCAGTTTCGAAGTCAGAGATATTATACAGCGGATCTTGATTATCAATTTCGGCCAGCCAGTCATACTGCTGTCGACATGCCGTTAACTGATCCTCAACTTCGATAGAGTCCTCCTCCAGTGCCGCCAATTTCGGGAGGATAGCCGCGGACAGCGAAGGAACTGTGGTGACTGGCGCCCTCCATTTGGAAGGGAGCAGCGGACAAAGTGCGTAGAGATCACCGGGCTTCATCGCAACCCACAAGGTCATTGGTGCCCACGCATCTTCGTCTTCACTTCCACTCCCCCCAAAGCAAGCTGATGCCACCTCCATATCCACATAGTCAGCGGAGAATCCCATATTCTTGCCAAATCCAGAAGGAGAGAAATCCTGATCGGAAGAAGTCCCATCCACCAACTTCCTCAAGTCGATCGCGAGTGAAGGGCGATCGAAAGACCAATTGTTATTCCGGTCCAACTCCCAAACCCGAACCGCGGCATCTGCTGTAATTGTCACGATGCAACCGGTCAGATTGCTGTATACACCGAGCGGATGCCATAGTGCTGATACTACAGGCGATTCCGGGATTACATGTGTCGTAGGACCGAGTTGGTAGGTTTTCACGCGAATAGGCTTATCATCGGTTCCCGAAAGGTGCGACGGATCCGGAAGCACAACAATGTGTACAGTATGATCCGCCACAACTGCTAGGAAGGCACCATTCGGAGAGGGGACGAGCTGGCGGATGTCTTCATAGACGGGTACTACCAACTCCTAGTAGTTATCATCAGCCACAACGCCTCGGACTATTCAAATTAGAGAGGGGACGCTTTCCATACCCTGTAAGGCACGCTGACATTGCGATCTGTCTGTCCATGTGAAGCTTCTTTCCGGTCCTGAGATTTTGTCTGCTGCCACTCATCCTTCAATCGGGCCAGGGTAGACCAGCGGATCTGATTGCCCACTACCGTAAACACCTCATTTCCTCTCTTGGCCAAGATGCGTGTTGGGCCCGTATAGCCCACCTCCTTTCGAAGCCTTTGAGAGGGATATTCTGGAGCTTTTGGGACTGTGTCGGCGAAGAGCGAAGCCCCGGGGGCAGGGCGGGAGAGCCAGGGAGGAGTATAACTGATCACTTTCGGCATTGTCAACGCGTTTATTCCAATGAAAGTCCGGAGTTGCTAGAAAATCCCATCCCTGATCTGCAGTAAACAAGTGAGAGAAAAAGGAACCTGTCACAGGATGTGAAGCGGCAGGATAAAGCAATGGCAACAAATGGCCTCGGGGGAAATTTTGGAATGGGGAAGCGTGCCAAGAGCGGCAAAGCAACTGACGCCTTTGTTAACTTGGCACCAGCGAGAGCTTACCAGCAACCTCTGATCATCCCTGGGAACTGTTATCTCTTACATCACAATTTGCAGCTCAGAACACGAGCATATTTCTTTGCATTATGAGCACGTTAGTCTACAACACAGTCGATAGGCTGGACCGGCCCAGCGCCTACTATGTTGGAAAGGTATGCTCTGTGAATTTGCCATTGATTGCTAGCCTGCAGAAAATGGCCATTAACTCGTCCTTTCAAATAGAATAAAAGGCGCAAGTTCAACCAGGATGAAGCAGAAGAACCAGAAGATCCATCAGTCAAGCTCAGAAATGCCACAACTCTCTACGTTGGTAATCTGTAAGTCCTAGTTAGCCATTTGAAAGCCGGTTCCTTCGCTAACTCCCCCAAGCTCTTTTTATACCACAGAGGAGCAGATACATGAGCTTTTCTCAAAGTAAGACGTTACGACCTCATTATTTGGAATCGTAAACTAACACCAACGCAGATGTGGCGAGATTAAACGGCTTGTGATGGGACTCGATCGATTTAACAAGACGCCGTGCGGATTTTGCTTTGTGGAGTATTATACTCACCAGGATGCGCTAGACTGCTTGAAATATATTGGAGGAACCAAGCTTGATGAGAGAATTATCCGCACAGATCTTGATCCGGGGTTTGAGGAAGGACGGCAGTATGGGTACGTGCATTATCCTTTCATTTTCCTTTTTTGGAGGGAAAGGGAAACGCCAAAATAACTGTGGATCCTGACTCTATCACAGTCGCGGTAAATCCGGCGGTCAGGTTCGCGATGAATACAGAGAAGAATATGACCCGGGTCGTGGAGGTTATGGCCGAGCATACGCCGATGAGCAACGACAACGGGAAGAAGAGGAGTACGGTGCAGGTAGGTGAGATTGGGGATCTTTCTGTAGATTTTGTTTTCTTTTTTTTTTTTTCTAGTGCAATTGGCGCATGTATGGCGTTGGCATCAAATCTATTTCTATCAACTCGGTAGAAGACAACGGCGCATCAAGAAAAGAAAATTCCAACAGGATACCCAAAATCTCCCAAAATCTCCCAAAATCAACTATATAACTCTTCATGCAAAGATGCAGGGTATTAGCGTTGCTCAATTTCATGTCTTCGTTTGACAGACTCCTCCACTTGCCGCAACCACCATGAATGTATTCTGGCGTCGCCGGTCAGTTCTGGGTGAAAGCTCGTTCCAAACACGTTGCCCTGCTTAACAGCAACAATGTCCCCGGCCTCCGGTTCTGGGTCAATGTGCTTCCCCACGCTAGCCAGCTTCGCAGCCCTTCTGGGAACCGTGGCTAATACTTCTACATGGCTTGAAACTGCATCTAGAGCTGCGGCATCTTTTGCATGCTTCGAAGGCGCAACAACGGTTTCTTCTCTGGAGATTTCCTCTACTTGGATGCCTTCATGATGAGGCAGAATCTTCTCCACCACTGGGGCCCGGATGAAGACAGCTGGGTAGGGAGGCTGAGGGCTCGAAGGATCCAAAAAGGGCATGTCCAATTGTGCCTGGAAACTCTCGGTCTGCCGACCAAAATGGTTCCTATTCACGCGCACATCAAGGCCCCCAATGAGTTCTTGGCCACCTTGTTTGGTCCTATTCGCAGACTCAGCCAACAAGATCAGGCCGGCACAGGTGCCCCAAGTTGGTTTGCGATGAACCCTGTCATAGGAAGGACTGTCAGCGAAAGGACCGGCAAATCCCGTATAAGTTACTGACTTACTTCACAAACTCCCTTAATGGCTCTAGCAAATTCGACCGGGCTGCTACCAACGAGATGGTCGTGCTTTCGCCTCCGGGCAGAATAAGACCATCGCATCGTTCCAGCTCCTGCGGGGCGCGCACTTCAATGAACTCCCATTTTGAACTGCTCTGTCCCGAGGTCAGAGAAGCCGCCGCCTTTTTTAGCAGCTGCACATGCTCATAGAATGCGCCTTGTAAGGCGAGGACCCCGACGGTAATATTCATTGATTCCTGTAAGAGTCGATCAACCATTGAGTCAAGGCCTGGCCACTCCGACTGGTCAACATAGATGGGCTTATATAATCGGATTAATGTTGTGCCGGTGTTATCAGCACGTGCAGCGTAGCACTGATAGTGTAGACCCAATCAGGCACGTTGACTGGCGATCTCTCCGATGTTGACAGCGAAAGGGAGTTCTTGATTTTTAATTCTTTTCTCCTGCATTGCATAGACCAAAAAGTCCTTTGGATAGAGCTTTAGAGCTTTCAGGCGACTTGTATGTTTGCACGAACTATACACCAACAGCGGTAAGATACGGAGTACATCTACGTCGTTGACGTGAACCCGCCCTTGAGACTAGAAGCACTGAGATAGCGCCGTTCATATTCACCTTTTCAAGGTTATATTCACTGTCATAATGGGGGAGGAACAGAGTACATCTCAATATCCCCTTGTGCGGTGGTACATTGACACTCGTCTCCTAACATCGACCAACTCCTCGCTACCACTATTGGAGACCCTGCAAGCAGCAGACCAGGAAACCGTCCAACGATTTATTCACATCAAGGACAGACATATGTCGCTTGCTTCGTACCTGCTCAAGTATCTCTTTATTCACCGGAGCTGTCGCATTCCCTGGGAGAAGATCAACATTAGCAGGACTCCTGCCCCGCACAAGCGACCCTGTTTTATCACCCCGGCCTCTCTGCGCCAGGAAACAGCCACCGGCCAGCCCATTCCCAGCATTGAGTTTAACGTCAGTCACCAAGCGTCTCTCGTGGCCCTCGCAGGGACCATCATCCCAGCCGCAAACGACAATGAATCCCCGCCCCGTCCCGATCCCAGCACCACATTCACGACCCCCGATCCATCTTCGACACCGCCCATCCCCCAGGTCGGAATCGACATCACATGTGTGAACGAACGACGAAACAGCCGATCCCTAGCCCCGAGCTCCCGGGAAAAATTCATCGAGTTCGTCGACATCTTCGCGGAGGTATTCTCTGAGCGCGAACTAGACACAATTAAATCCCTCAGAGGAATGCCCCAACACCTTCGCAGCAAGGGCGAAGCAGAAGAGATTGAGTACGGCTACCGCTTATTTTACACCTACTGGGCTCTTAAAGAAGCTTATATTAAAATGACCGGCGAAGCACTCCTTGCGCCCTGGTTACGGGAATTGGAATTCACCAACGTCGTTGCCCTAGACCCTCCTCCCCCTCAGGCGGGAGTCGGAGGCCAGTGGAATGGACCCGACACGGGTATTCAGACCTGGTTGTATGGGAAAAAGGTAGAAGATGTGCGAATTGAAGTGGTTGCCTTTGAGAAGGATTATCTCATTGCGACTGCGGCGCGCGGAGGAGCGGTTGGTTCCTCTGGAAGTGGTCTGATTCTTCAGGATATTTGGCAGAAGTTGGAGAGTATTGATATCGAGAAAGATATTCGGCCTTGTGCAACGGGTTTGTGTCGGTGTTTAGAGTAGCAATTTTCCACATTTATCTGAGCGGGCGATATTAGTTGATCTATGACATGTCATTCCTTGATGTAAAGTTCAACTTTCATAAATTAACAACTTCTTGCATCAAAATTGTGTTTCTCTCTTATGAGAAATTATGTTATATACACTCTAGTGGAAAGCGAGGTCCCAATTAGAGGGAAGTGCAATGCGCTGAACTTAACACCACCGTCTACCCCCACGCTTTTTCTTTTGTTTCTTCCACCAACCTCCTGTTTATGGCATTGTCCACTGAGATAGTACCTCGCTTCCACGGTCAACCATTAATCTATCTATCTAGAGTATGTTTGAATGGGCCACATCTTATCATCAGATTTCAAACAAACAAGGAATAGATCTCATATATCCCACAGCAAGAGTATGAGCAAGGATATGGGGATCTGACTCGGGGCTAAAAAAAAAAAAAAATTAATAAAAATGCAGGATGCACAGTCATGTCTCATTTCGCGCTGGTTGTCGTATTTGATCCGTTTTCCCATGTGCAATCGCGCAGGTCGATTGACATTCGTAAAGCGAGAGATGGAAGTAAGTAACATAACTAGAAGACGGGCACCGCCGGCGGCAGCGGGGATGAATGGGATAACGGTTGCGATGTGGTCATCATGCATGAGTCATGATGAGAAATTTAGATCTCAACCGCAGTTGAGGATGCCTTGGGTTGGGCGTTGAGTTCAATTTCGGCTGATTCCTTTCGGGAAAGCTCTAGTAGGGTTTTGAGCATCGATGCCTGAGTCGCCTTGGTCAGGTCGTCGACGTCCACGGCGGTCAAACCCTCCGTGCTAATGGGAGGAAGAACTGTAGACTGCGTAAGTAGTGTTCTGGGTATGAGGGACGAGCGACGTATATACCCTTGATGTTGATGGTGCCGGATTTGAATCTCATGGCTCGGGGAGAAAGGACATGCGAGTAATTCTCCGCAACGACTGGAACGATCGGCACGCCGGCTTTCACGGCAAGGTGGAAGGCGCCTTTCTTGAACGGTAGCAAATCTGGCTTGTCGGAATAGCTTCTGGTTCCCTCAGGGAAGATGAAGACGCTCTGCCGGTGGATGCGCATTTCTTCTGCGGCGCTGTCGAATGCCTTGACGGCTGTCTCGCGATTGGCGCGGTCGATGAAGACCGTCCGAGAGAGAGCCATGAACCACCCCAAGATAGGTACGTGCCGTAGCGATTTCTTCGCCGTAACACTGCAGTAGGGCGGGAAGACCTCGCCCAACATGAGAACGTCCAGTTCCGACTGATGGTTGGAGATGAATACGGCAGGCCGGGTGGAGAGGTGCTCTTTGCCTTCAATAATATCGAACTGCACACCAGTGGTACATCGCATAACCCATTTAAAGCTGCGGGCGGTCGCCCATTGCGATACTCGCCCGTAGCCAGCGAGGCGTAGGATAATCGACGCGATCACTCCATAGATGGCACAGAGAAGAAGCGAGCCATACGCTGCAAAACATCGAGCAAAGAATGCCGCGCGGGGAACCTTCTGGCCGAGGGCAAAGAGTGACAGGGTTACGGCGACAAACGAGCTGACGCCCGAGACGATGTAGGAAAAAACCGACATGACGAGAGGGATGCGGTCCACAGAATACAGTCTTCAGACTTGGTTAGAAAAAAGGCACGTATGTTTATGTATAGAAATCGCCGAACTCAGGTAGGGGAAAGAGGTTTCCTTACCGGTGTCTCCAGGAGCCACGGAGAACCGGTGGATGATGTGGTCAGGCGAGAGATTTGAGAGGGGGATGATCACAGCGGAGATTCACAAGCAAAACTGGGACATGACAGGGTTGATGCACAATGGGCCGGAGAAAAAGGATAGGCAGCAGTGGGACGAGAACAGAGAATCAATCGGAGAGGTTTCGTCGCACTTTTGGTGCCTTTCACTTTGCCGCTCACCGCCTTGGCTGCCATTTCTTTCCGACGACGAAATACTTCTCTACATCATTCATTCACAGGCAAAAGATAAGAATGGATTGCCTAAGAATGGGGTAATAATGGAAACTGATTATGCGGAGAGCCTGGTATGACAGACAGTATGTTCATGACTCTGTCGCCCGGCGTCGTCGTCTCTCATTCGTAGCCAAATGCCCTGCTACGACACAGCCAACCCACGCTAATATACAGAATCAAAGAGCCTCGACAACATTTCGAGAGCTGGATGCATGCAAAAGCATCCTCTACCCAACCAGCCTGCTAACGCCCGTAGAATGCTGATGCGTGCGCAAATGGAATCCAGGAAATGAAAACGCCCTCCCTCATGGATATAGATAGATCCCCTTGGAACAGGATCGGATCGAACAGATCAAAAAGAAAAACAGAACTGGGGAAAAAAAAAAAAAAAAAAAAAAAAAAGGAAAAAGAAACCAAGGTGTTATCATGCCATCTCTTCATCGTCCTCCTCGTCGTCATCTAGGGACTCCATGGCGTCCTTGATGTACTGCGCCGCCTAAACAGAGATAAAAAGCAGTAAGCGATCCGACACCCTGCTCGAAAGACTTGGTTTTTTCTTACCTTTGGATCCAGATTCAAAGCCGTCGTAAAATGCTTGATGGCGTTTGCTTTATCATGTAACATCTTATACAATTTACCCAGGAGATAATGCACATTGGGCTCATCCGGAGCTAGGTCTTTAAGTGTTTTCAAATCGTTCAGGGCGGGCCTGAGTTCATGCAACTTCATGGACACGCGAGCCTTCCGGAATCGAGCAAGGACGGAATGAGGTGCTAGGGAGCAGGCACGTCCATACTGAGCCAATGCACTCCTAGGATTGTTCATCTTCTCTAGCACCAACCCAATACAGCATACCAGTACGGCGTTGGTAGGATTGATACTTGCGGCGTTCCGGAAGTGCTGTTCCGCGAAATCAAGCTTGCCCATCTTGTCATATACCGTTCCAAGACCGTACCAGGCGTTATAATGTCTGCTGTCCGCGCCGATGCCGCGCCGGTATGCATCCAGTGCTTTGTCGTATTCCTCGTTGGCGACATACTCGTGTCCTTGAAGAGTAAACCCGTAGGCGAAACAAGGATCGAGCTGGGTCGCCCGTTTGAAGCATTTCAGTGCTTGGTCATGATCCCGTTGATGGGAGAAGGAGTTGCCAACAGCACACCATGCTTGGGGCGATAGGCGATCAACATCCATCAGCTCATGCGCAAGGTATGCGAGTTCAACATCATTCTTCAAATGCCATAGGACAGTCGAGTATATTTCCATATCCTCCAACCTAGACGGCACCATTGTCCGCACCCGGATGAAATACTTCTCCGCCTCAGAATACATTGCTTGCTCGTAGTACGCTCGGCCGATCTGGGACAGAACCCAAGGCGTCTCACGTTGGCCTTGAGAAAGGGCGTTGAAAATCTGGATAGACTCAGTGCATTTGTAGCGATTCAAGGCAAAATAACCGGAAGCTAACTTGGAGAATAGTTCCAGCAGCCAGGTCAAGGCCTCTACTGACTTGGACTTTTCAATTGCGGCACTCCTGGATGAGGCATATTGAACCCCATATTGTGTCGACGAGGTTGATCGGTGCTCTTTGCCGTCATTATCATGGACGTCACCGGGCTGCTTTCTATTGCCGCTTACAACGCGGCCCATGGTTGTTCCGGTCGTAGTGCGGCCCTTTGCACCAGTTGCTTTAACCTTCTTCAGTTCCCTGCCATCTTTCACTCCCAGCGTCGTACCTGAGAGCTTGCTGGTCGTTGGCTTGATTTGATTGAAAAGTCGCACACTCCGCCGCTGAGGTGCTCCGGGCTCTGTGGGCTGTGTCGCAGAGTGAGCCACTTGACCAGAAACCGTTCGTTTACGGTCTCCTACTCGAGAGCTTGGTACGGCATCCTTGTCGGGTTGAGATGAGATATGCTCTTCGGGCTCAGCTCTTGTCCTTGTCTTTGGTCTGATGCCTGTAGGTTTCATCTTGGGAGGAGGGTCCACCCCGTGGTCCACGCCTATTGTTTGAATTGTCCGATTTTTCCTCGCAGGGGCAAGTGGGGGCTCCAAAGAGGTATCTCCGTTCGCTGCCCCATGCCCGACACGAAATTCGTCGGACTCGCTACTTTGTCCCCCTGGCGTTTCCGTACCTTCATGTACCACGGGAACCGATGCTCCTGTAGAAGCCACGCTGACAGTACTGCCATTCAACTTCTCCCACAAGACAGAACTTCCATGCGTCATATTCGGATCGCCTCTGGTTGTTGCAGATGTGAAGGGATCCAAGCTTGAGTTTACGTTAGACTGTGCCTGCAAAGGTCCGCTTGCAGAAGTCACCCTATCGGAAGCGGAATCGGCATCTTCCTGGGCCGAGGAAGAAACTAACGCGAGCAGTTCAGAGTTCATCTTGTAGATATTGGGAACCCGGACATTGACACCTTCGAATATTAGTCAGTTACTGTTGCTGTCAGACAAAAACCTTTATGCTCACCAGTCTCGCACAAGCCCAGAAAAGCATCCCACATGAACGGGTTCAACTTCAAAGCCTCGACGTAGCATTCCACTGCTTTATTGAGATCCTTATGGGCATGCCATAATTTACCCTGGAGGCATAACACCGCAGCCGCATCGGGCAAATGTTGTCTTCGTGTTTCACTGTGCTTGTCTAATTTGCACAAGATCAGCCTCAATCGACCTATCTTGTGCTTTTCTTGTAGTGGAACACAATGGATGGATAAAAATCCGGGAACTTACTCCAGTGGTTTTTAGAAGCCCATAGGGTCTTACTCCGCTCCAACGCCGTAATACCGTCCAAATACTTGCCTAGATCTAAACATGCCTGAGCATATACGTAGGAGCAGCCCACGTGGGTACCCCGCGACCCAAAATTCCTGCTGTAATCCAAAGCAGTCTTCACCTGGCCGTTCAGAAGATGACACAGTGCGAGTAAGTATGAAGCTTCCGATGTTCGAGGTTCATAGGCGTGCAAACGACCGGCGAGGAATAGAGCATTGCGAATCAGATTGTTGTCAAGATGATAGTATATTAATTGCCTTAACTGGCTCGATATATGAGACGTGGACGGCGACATGATCAGAAGTGAACGGGAAGCCTGGTGCTTGACAATATGAGAGAGTAATCATAGACTTCGAGAACAAGAAGCGGTGTCGACACTCTCCCCCAGGGAAAGAAATGAACAAGAACGGAGGGGATAAAAATTGGAAAAAAGAAGAATGACGGAAGGTGGAAATCATTCAAGACGGGAGGAGCATTTAGATGGGCTGGAAATCCGGTCTTGTGTCCTTTGGCGACACCAGGAGACGGAGGTGAGGAAACAGCGATGTTGTGTTGCTTTGAACTGACTGCGGAGAAAACCGTCAAAAGCTCAGAGGAAAACAGACGGAAGAGCCTCCAAGACAACAGCGGTTGCGTTCAGATTCTTTTCAGAGAGCCCCTTCTTTGTATCCTTCTTTCTTTCTTTTTTTTATTTCACTGTTCCTGGCCCACGATTTGGAATACGCAGGGGAATACCACGTCGTGTCTAGGGCAGGAAACGACGTCCAGAAGACTCGTGATGCCCCTTTGGGCCAACGAAGAGCTCACAGACAGACAAATTGCATATCGAGAATGGCGATCGGAAGTGGGAACGGGGGAGGGCGCACGAAGCTGACAAGAGCCTGTCGGGGAAGGGAAGGGAGAGGAGGAGATGCAGATGCGACGGATCAGGCAATGCAGACTGTCGTCACGAATGGATGTCTTTGTCGATGTTTGGAATCTGGTGAGTGATGATTATTCCTCTGCGTGGCTGGTGGCGCGGGCGCTTGTCCGGTTGTGGAGGGCAACGCCATTCCGTTTCGGCTCACTTCTACCTCTGTCCTCTTATTGCTTCTGACTGTTCTTATGATAGCTCGGTGATTCTTTCTTTCTCCTGTCCTCTCTTTCTTCCTCTCTCTCTGTACTAAATTTCTTTGGTTACTCTGCCGGACACAATATGGCTCAGGTGGGTCCTTCTCATTTCCACTGTACAATGCCTCTTTGAATGGCGTATATGTCCTGTTCAAGCCCATGTGTCATTTTGATCTAGACACAAGAACCAACAATGAACCCAGACAAGCAGAATAAGAACAAAGAACATGATCTGCAATCCAATATATCGCTAACAGTCTCCAAGAAAGCAGCCAAAACTCTTGCCGTGCGAAATGCCTCTCTATTGCTACGCACCCACTTCACCACTCTTGGCATACATGCCGTCTTCCTCTTTCTGCATTGGACCTTCAACCGCCCTCGCTCAATGACTCCTTACTATTGTATGGCCTGCCCGACTCTCGCCATTGAGTTCTACTTGGACCGGTTGGGCCGTCCTCGGTATAACACCGCCGACGGGTCTCTCCGCTCGCCCGGCGAGGATCTGGGAGCTGCCGGATTAACGGAGTACATGTGGGATATCCTGTACTGGACCTGGGGCTGTCTTGGTGCGGTTTGTATATTTGGCGATCGTGCCTGGTGGCTGTGGGTTGTTATACCGTTGTACTCCGTCTGGTTGGCATATACAACCTTCACTGGGGTTCGAAGCGGATTAGCCGGAATGGGTGGCGTGGAACATTCCGAGGGAGAGAGCAAGAGGCAGAAGAAGATGGAGAGGCGAGGACAGCGGACACAGTATCGTTAGAGATTGCTATATGCAATGTAAATTGTTGGATACTATCATAGTCCTTATTACCATAAGGCTATTTTTACCGACCCAAACATTCCGACTGCAAAATATATAATTTCATGCAATTGATCATACAACGACATAGTATGCGTATAGCCACCCTAGACATATATAATCTTACAACCGTCATACCTTCCAAACGAACCCATTAAGTTGAACAATCAGTAGAGATGAATTGCATAGATACGTGAAAGGGTATGAAATGGGAGAGGAAATAACAATAATAATAAAAAAGCTCATCAAAGCAACGTGATATATCGTGGCACAGTCGTAGTAAAACTATGTGGGGAATAAGCAAGGTCGTGGGCAATCTGGGACAATAATCAAACCAGAAAAGTAGAACTGGGATATCTTGCGTGTAACTGAAAGTTAGATCAGACAACGTGAGCATCAGTACACCCAGCCAGGAATCACTTGACAAAACAAGAAAAAGCATCGAGAGTCTTACATTATAGCTCGCCTCTGTTTAGTGTATCCTCGACATGATCGGCCAAATCATCATTCTCTGCCGCAATGCATGAGGATGCTTCTCCAGAGACTTCCAGATACTCTGTCTCGTCATCGGGATCACCATTGATCCCAAGTTGTGTCTGCTCACTTGCACCCTCTACATTGTTGTCGAGAATCGGAACACCGGTCGTAGACACGGGCGAGCTATCACGCGTATCCTGGGCATGTTCAACGTCATCTGTAGGGGATGGAGCAGCAGAAATTGATTGCCCATAAATGGCATGCAGTTTGTTCATCACATCTTCGGCAAAGGAAGACTCTCTACCTTCAAGTAGTAGGGCGACAAGATCCTCAACTGCTGCGTAGTGCGGCAGTGGTTGGTCAGAAGTATCTTGGGGGTCGCTATCCTGTTCAATAGTTGACCTCTCGCCCAAATCAGGGCTGGACGACGGTTGGAGCAAGTCCTCGTCGAAAGTTTTCGTTGCGGCTGCAACGTTGTCGCCAGCTGCACCCAAAATGTCATGAAGCACTTCAGATGATTGACCGTCTTCAGAATTATTGTCTTCTATGTCAACATCAGCTGCAGCAACCCCCCATGCAGATCGATCTCCGTTATTTTCTCCTGCATCTTCTTGTTCACTCGTGGCTGAATTCTCGCCCTCATCTTCACTAGAGAAACTGGGAGAAGAATTGATGGACTGCAAATCCTGTTTACGCATTTCCTCATCATGGCGTAGGGACTCATGTTCCTGATCGTCCATAAGGGGTGCATCGTCGAGACCCCGGCCGTGCTCTTCTGTTTCACTATCATCAATAGCGGAGCCAGAGGCAGAGTTCGTATCAGTATCATGTTCTCCACCCCGTGAAACTGGAGTATCCTGTTCATCCTGACCCTCAGCATCATTCCCTGGCGTATGGCTTATTGCTGTGCTGCATTTTGGTAGAGGAGGCGGCGGGCTAGTCCTAGCATTAAAATCGTCGCTAACTTCTCGTGCCGCAATTTTCCAGTTGCCAACATCCTTGAGCCTCGCAAGCTCATTCGCAGCTGCTTTGGCGCCATCCATCCCATGTGACAAGATGTTGTCCGACAACGCTCTAGCCTCATCTATTTTCGCATGTTGCATCCCGACGTCGCGAATGTGACCTCTCCAGTCGTTGAACCCTGCCTTTAAGGCATGGTAATCCGCCCAGTCCTTATATGTTACCCCATCCATCCAGGCCCATCGCATGCCTATCTCTTGGAGTCCTAGATCACGGACACTATTCAATACATCCAGAGTAGAATCTACAGCAGCAGAGACACGGCGTTCTATCTCTTGGTCAAACGTTTCATGCCATTCTCGGAGTGCATGAGCATGATCTCGTACGATGATCGCGGCTTGTCTGATCTCTGTCAAAAGTTCATCATGTGCCGTCGCCTCTTCTTGAGGAGCATCTTCAGCAGGCAGTGACTCGACTAGTGCGTTTATGCGAAGCTTGATCTGTGCTAATTCATGCTCAAGAACCTCGTCCAATGATACTAGAAGGCTTTCACCACGACCTTTTGCCCCTCCGGATATATAGCTCTCAACGATCGTATTTATACGTTCTTCAAGGTCCTCGATCCCCTTGTCAGCAGCAACTGTGAATTTTTCCTGCCATATTCGAAGGTCAGAATCAATCTTCTCACGAGCCTGAGCCGCCAATTCCGTAGGAGAGAGTCTATGCGGAGTTGGGGATGACTCTACCGCCGTTGATGTGGCTGGCGGTTCATTCTGAATTGATGCGGAAGTCATTGGGGGGGGTTGTTCCGAAGAGGTTATACTATGTAGTCCAAGGATTAGCTCAACTGAGATCACCCTTCCAGTCTCAAAACTCACCTTTCAGCGTCATCCACCACATTTTGCAATTTTCTTCCCTCACGATAGCTTGCTAGCCTCTGTCTTATTTTTACCAGTTGAGGTTCGACATTCTCCGAGTAGAGACCAGTGATCTTCGGCCATAACGAGCTGTTTGCAAAGTAGATGACCGAGGACCAGGTAGTTTGTGCATAGGGCATAACCGTAGTTGTGAGTATATCTTGACCAGAAGTATACGTTTTGCCAATGAATGGCTTGGACTGGGCACAGAAAGGTAATACATATCCATGAAGCACCGAGCTCAGTACGGCCTTGGTCTTCAGACAGTACGGTGACAGAGCAGCCTCAACACGTTCCACGTGAGGCGCTATATTGGATTTATACAGTTCGCCTGCGGTGTCCTGAGCGGACTGCAAATGAGGAACGACTTGTCTTTCCCAGTGTTGCCGGGTGTATTGTTGAGTCCTGTCCAAAGCAGGAGCCCCATATCTGCCATAACTCCATTTAGCGGCATTTGAAACAGGCGTATAAACCTTATCATTGAACCCTCGTGCATATGGACGTGTAATTTCAACGTAAGGCGCACCGTAGGTTTCATAATAGGGAGCAACATAAGGTTCAATATAGGAGCGAGCGACGAGATACGGTTTGCAAACTTGCGGCGAGGACTCATTCAAATCTGAGAGATGGGACGGACATCGAAAGATCGGCGTAAGTAGTGCATACCATATACATAGGCTGGAGTCATGAGCTTATCAGACCAGATGTGCAAAGACTCTTTCTAGAATACTGAACCAACATACCGTACAATTAGGCCAAGTGTCCACCGAAATAAACTTGTCTTCTTCGGTTTCGAGCGACTTTCATTGATTTCAGTACCGTGCCCGGCATTTTCCAGGATACAGCCATCGTCCGGGTTGGTCATGATTATTTCTCCTGTGACAGGGGTGCTCCTGCGTATGAAACAGTCGGTGCTCACGTCGGTGCTCACGTCGCGTCCCAAACGAACGGGTATACAGACAACCTATCAATAATTCCTATGGCATCGCAGAAAGACCACCGGTTTGCAAAATTTTTAGTCGCCTGATTAGGTAGCTAATCAGAAGTTGGAGTTCAGTCAGCAGTCAGGCATGCGTATATGGGTTCGTCGCAACAAGATACGCGGAGCACACGCGACTATGAAGCCGGCGGGTCTTGGCACACTTTTTTTTTTAGTGAGCTGTGTATGGAGTTCGCCTCTACAGGCGGCGAAGTTCTGGGTGGGATATGAAGGGAGATCTAAAAATGACCCCTAGGATTAATCAAATGAAATACGGTGTCAAATAATAAATCAGCGTATAGATTCTACGGCTAAAACCGATGATGCTCGTTTCCCTGCTCTGGTCAGTGAGGTCATTGGCATTGATAATGGAACAGCTGTCTTGTTACATGCCGTTGTATTAATACAGTAAACCTGTGGGTTTGAGCAGAGGTCTCTGCGTATCTTACTGTATTATCACGTGTAAGACTCATGTTGGCTGAGTCATCATTGCCTTCCCCGAACCGCACTCATCGTTGATTATCAACCTCGACAACTTGCCACAACTTGGATCAGTCGACATTCTCAAGGCCCATTGAACACGCATCTCGCTCTGGGGTAAAATTTTCAACTATATTTGTTGTGGAGACACTTACTGCTTTGAGTGTTGCGCCATCAAACTCGAACACACGCCTTAGCGGGTCTTTGAATATGATATCTGGCTATCAATACTGAAGACGACTGGATCGTCGACTTTGTCACAAAGATGGATTTCCCAAGACATCTAGCTCCCAGCTTTACAGGAACGCCACCCTTTCCGGATCTGATGAATGATCCGGCCTACGCTACCAACAACAAAGGCAAAGAAAAGGACATGGAAGAGCCGGATACTTGTCGAATTTGTCGTGGGGAGGGGACTGAAGAAGAACAGCTCTTCTATCCTTGCAAATGCAGTGGCAGTATAAAGTTCGTTCATCAGGCCTGCTTGGTGGAATGGCTGTCCCACTCCCAGAAGAAACATTGCGAGCTGTGCAAAACACCGTTCCGTTTTACTAAGCTTTACGATCCAAATATGCCTCGAAGTCTCCCAGCTCCGCTGTTTATAAAACAACTTCTGATCCATAGTCTCAGGACAATGGTCACATGGCTACGTTTTATACTTGTGGCGTTTGTCTGGCTTGGATGGCTACCGTGGTCTATGAGAGCAATCTGGAGGGCCCTTTTCTGGCTTGCAGATGGTCGCTGGTCTGGTGGTGATACCCCTCGACGGAATACTATGCCTGGTCACCTTAATAAATTGGTAGAGAACAGTACTGTCTCGTTAATTTCGCCGGTGGTGGGCACAGGATCCACAATTCCCACGGACACCTCTTCAAGCACGACTAGTGCCCCAATGTCGCAAACATCAGTTCCATCAATGTTCGGCTTCTCTTCTGGTGAGCCATTAATGCTCAGCCTTATAAGGAATGCCCTCTCTAGTATTTTCTACCCCGCAATGTCCTCTGGTGCTGGCAACACAGATACAAGAACGTCGAACTTGACCATTGGGCCATATAAACGACGCTCCTCATGGCTTTCTGATGTCAAGTTTTTGAACTCTTTGACGCCGTCGCCGACAATAAACAATATTCTAATTGATACGCTAGAGGGTCAACTGATTACTCTGCTTGTCGTTGTCTCGTGCATACTGATCTTCCTTATCCGCGAATGGGTGGTTCAACAGCAACCAATGGCGAATATCGCAGATGGGGAACGCGAAGCAGCTGTTCAATTAATCGCAAATAATCGTCAAAATGAACCAGATGATAGACAAAGAGCGGAGCCCAACGACCGTCCACTTCCTTGGGATGTGCCGCCCGAGAACCTGCATGAGCATATCGACAATAATTCAAATGGCCCAGACGACGCTCTCTCTCATTCGGACATAGACACGTTAGGTGACCATTCATTTATTCGCGATGGCAGTCCTTCCCATTTACAACCCGCGGAAGAACCTGGTACAGCAGCTTTTTTTCGCCCTCACAACAGCAGTGATTATATGCAGGATGTTGAGCCTTCCGACGAGCAATCGTCTTCTCATGCTAGCCAGGTTTGGCCCGGGGTTGAAATTTTCCGGGATCTCTGGTCACGCGCTCAAGGTGATCCTGAACAAGTCTTAAGGATCATTAGAGAAGAGAATCGACAGGACGAATTGAGTTGGATAGTTACCGCAATGACGAAACTTCAACAAAATGATGGTTTTAGAGCGTCTTTGAACCGTGATGAGATGGTAGCACGATCCTCTGGTATGGATGCAACCGCTAGAAGATTCAGTAACGCAGACCCTGCGTTGCAGGCAGAGGGTTCGCAGTATGCTACTAGACGTTTGTCATCAGATCGCGACGTTCTGCCATGGGATACTACCGATTCACATGATCCAGACTTCAGAGATAATGAAAGTACAGATCCCCAACAAAGCTATTTTGCTTCGAATTTCTCGGACCCAGAAACACACACTACTCATAAAGAAGAAGCAAACCCTGTCTACCCGGACGATGATGGTTCTCATGTCCCACAAGCCCTTATTCCAGATGAAGCCGTAACGGCAACCGCCAGTGGTGATTCATCAGAGAATGTGCCATCATCTACTCAAAATGACCATCCGGCTGCTGCCAAAGCTCCTCCCAAAAATATGGCCACCAGGGTTGTCGACTGGTTTTGGGCCGATATTACCCCTGACAACGAGCCTGAGGAACAACCACAGCCAGATGAAGAACACCTAGTTGAGGATCCTGCTTTAGAAGCGCCTTTCGTGCCTGTGCAGAACAACAGACGCATTGCTGAGCGTGCCGCGCAAGATAATCAAGGGGTTCTTGCCGACGCTGCGCTTGAGGCAAACGACATTGACGCTCTCGAGGAAGGTGATGATCTAGAAGGGATCCTGGAACTTATTGGTATGCATGGTCCAATCTTTGGACTCCTGCAAAATGGCGTTTTTAGTGCCCTCCTCATTTCATTTACGGTTGCAATTGGGATCTGGCTCCCTTATCTGTGGGGGAAAATTGCTCTTGTTCTCTTAGCGAATCCGATACAGTTAGTCTTTGGCGTTCCCATGACTGCAGTATCAGTTTTCGCGAATGTCACACTCGATACCCTCATTGGTAGCCTTGGCTATGTGATGTACTGGGTCACTCTTCTCTGTAGAGTGCTGCTGGGTCCTCTTGCTGCCCTAATCCCACTAGGAGACTGGATTCCTCACACTAAGTCTATTACAAGTGCTTCGCTTACACTCATTGATGCTAGCAGTCAGCGATTGAAAAATGTGGCTAGTGCGTTTTTTGTCTTCCATGAATCTGATGTCCCCATATTCTCTGTGCTCTCTCACCAGGCTTTGAAAATTCACCAAGCGCGAATTACCAGCCTTCTACAGTCAGCATTTCTCTTAGTGAAGTTTATATTGCGCGATCTTCCTATCCAATTGCTATCTGGTGGAATGCACAGCGCCCTTACATTTGACAGTGGGACCATGGAATTTACTAGTATGCTGTCGCAAGCACGAGGTCAAATCAGTATCTTAAGCACTCAATTTCTGGCCTCCTTGAACGGCACAAAATGGTTCAATACAAACATTGTGGCTGGAGCATCAATTGGTATGGGTATTGATTATGACCTAGCAATGTGGGATACAAAAGACCGTGTGATTGCTATCATTATGGGCTACCTCCTCATGTCAGCTTTAGGTCTCCTTTACCTACGTGTCACCGGTTTGATATCTGGAGTGGCTCGCGGGCAGAGGGTGGAAGGCATAGTTGCTGATATCCTCCACCAAGCGGGAGGGGTGATGAAGGTCATCCTGATCATTGGTATTGAAATGATAGTGTTTCCGCTCTATTGCGGCTCCTTGCTTGATGTTGCCTTGTTACCCATTTTTGAGGGCGCCACTATTGCGTCGCGTCTCGAATTCACTTCGTCATCGCCTCTCACTTCTCTTTTCGTGCATTGGTTTATTGGTACCTGTTACATGTTCCATTTCGCCCTCTTCGTCTCTATGTGCAGGAAGATTATGAGAAGTGGTGTTTTATGTAAGTGCTGCCACCTTCAGGGCCCACTAAACAAGCACTCACGCGAACTAGATTTCATCCGCGATCCGGATGACCCTACGTTCCATCCCGTCCGAGACGTCCTGGAGCGTAACATCACTACGCAACTTCGCAAGATCGGCTTCAGTGCCCTAGTCTATGGTGCTCTAGTCATTGTGTGTCTTGGGGGCGTTGTCTGGGGACTATACTTTGCATTTGAGGGTGTCCTGCCCATTCACTGGTCTGCCACGATTCCAGTCCTTGAATTTCCAGTTGACCTACTGTTTTACAACTTTGTCATGCCGCTTGCAATCCGGTCCATCAAGCCTTCCGACGGTCTACACAATCTTTACGGTTGGTGGTTTTACAAGTGCGCTCGCTTTTTGCGGTTGACGGACTTCTTTTTTGGTGAGAGGCAACTCGATGAAGAAGGGTATCATGTGCGCCGAACTTGGTGGGATTTGTTAAGAGGAGCCAGGGGGGATATTGGACAGCCTGTCATTGACCACAGCCAGCTGCCTGCCACTGATGACAAGCATGATGGCGTATTCTTTGCACGAGACGGGAAGTTCGTCAGAGCCCCCGCCTCGGATCAGGTTCGCATCCCTAAAGGCAGTCAAGTCTTTTTGGAAGTGACCGAGAACAATGAGCGCATTGATGGAGCCCCAGAGACGGATGGGGGGTTACATGGCCGGAAAAACGAAATGTTCACCAAGGTTTATATCCCTCCATATTTCCGGAGCAGGGTTGCAGCCTTCATTCTCTTGATTTGGGTATTCGCGGCTGCCACTGGCGTAGGCATCACTATTATCCCGCTGATTGTTGGGAGGAAGTTGATGTCGTCATACTTTCCCAATCGACCGCTGAATGATATCTATGCCTTTTCTACTGGCATCTGTATGGTCGGCATGGCTAGCTGTATCGCCTGGTACTGTTACACCAGCGTCACAGTGGTGAAGACCCATTTAAGCCCACATTTGCAGTCCCCCCGAAAGGCTTGTTTGGGAATAGTGAGCGCCGTGCTCAATGGCCTGCGCCTCATCTACGTCTTCATTGCATTTTCAGTAGTGCTGCCATCGATGTTCGCTTTGGTGATGGAGCTTTATGTGCTGGTCCCCGTGCACACATACCTAGGTGGCACTCAAGCTCATGTCATCCATTTCGTGCAAGACTGGACTCTAGGGGTTCTCTATGTCCAAATGGCAATCAAATTTGTTCTGTGGCATTCCACCTCACGTCCCGCAGCCGCTCTAAATGGCATCTTCCGCGACAGTTGGCTCAAGCCCAATGTCAGTCTTGCGACGCGTGCATTACTGCTTCCGATTACGATTCTTACTGCAGTTGCGGTCACCTTACCACTTTCCCTTGGATTTATTTTGAATTCAGCCATGCTCCACTCGGCCCCCGATGTGCAGTCGAAGGTCTACCGCTACGCGTACCCAGCAACTTTACTCATGAGTCTACTGGTCTGGCTCAGTTACGCGGTACGCCGACAGGTGGAGGTCTGGCGAGTCAACATCCGGGATGATGTGTATTTGATTGGGGAACGTCTTCATAATTTCCGTGAGAAACGAGCAAGGGATGTGGGTGTGCCTCGACAGGTGATCACGGGGTGACCAGGAGGGATGGAGAGTGTGATGGTTCATACGTATAGTAGTAACCTTTTGACTTTTCTATAGTTTTTATGGCTTACTATGTTTTATTTATTTTATTTGTTCTTCGTATTCGTTCCCGTATTCGATATTCGTTATTGCTATTACTAGAAGCCATAGAATGTTGGCTGTTTCAATTGAGTATTTCAATTACATACTCCAATTAATGGGACGCGGGATGAAAAGGTTGTTGCCTAGTATGGTTTTCTTTTCTGCCTGTTGTTGTCGCAAAGTCTTCCACATCTGAACAGTCAAGAAAAGATGTTAGATATGCTTGAATCCCACACTCGCGAATAATAAACCAAGCTCCGCTGGGGGCCATCAAATAGACTCAGTTCTAATCTCACGATCGTAAGAATTGCCTCCAGGACTACAGCGTTTACGAAGACGGCCAGTGCACGTGCTCGCCTGTGACCGGCCGCCAATCAGCGGCGGCGAACGGGGAGAATCGCGGCTGCCTGCCACGTGACGCGCCAAGGTTGCGCGGACTTGTGGCTTGGCACATGAGGCTTTGCTTCACTCGCCACTCCCTATTGGTTAGGCAACAGAATTCCTGCCCACCTGAGAATCTATTCTTATTTCTTATTCCGCCTGCCGCTCTTTTGCCCCTCAGCCATAGTGGATGAACTAAAATATCGCGGCAGTGTTCATCACCTCTTCTCACCACACCACCGACCCCTGCCTTTCCATCAGTCGATCTGACGAAACCATGTCCTTCCCCTGTTGACCGTTTTCGGATTGTCTGCAATGCTTCTGCTCTCCCGCTAAATTTTGTCTATTCCGACCGCGACCGGTCGGTCTCTGCGTGCCAGGATGTCCGTTCTCCGTCACGGGGGTTCCTACCTCCAGCGACGCCTCACCAAGATGTATACCGACACTAAAACCTCGTGTGAGAGTGTAACTACCGCTTCCAAGGCCGTCGACGACCCGGAACTGGTCGCCCTCCACCGAAGTTTCAGAACCCAGCGAGACAGACTTCTAGCATGGGGCCTCGACTGGAGCGACGCCAGTGCCGCCCAGCCGAATGACATCGATGAGTCGCTCACCCAGGCGGGTTTCAGCGACGTCGTGGCCAGCGTTATGTCATCTATCCAAGACCTCCTCAACAAGGCTGAACGCCTACAACACACGGAAACGTCCGACCTACCTCCGAAAGGTGGACGAGCAGATCCGCCGTCGAAGGACGCTCTGAGCCGTCTGCCGGTGAAGACGCAATGGACTAACGAAGATATTAATCGCTCGAAAAACTTGTTGGCTGAGCTGACTGCGTGTATTGACACTCTCTACGACCTGTCTCACTCCAGACGCAATATGACCTCCAGCGGACAGTCTGCCTGGGCACGACAATACCCAATATCCCCAGCCCCCGTCGCAGATTCTAAATCCTACCACGGGTCCTCCTTTGAGACGAAGCAGATGTATTCGAACTCCAAAGCAAAGGAGGTATTTGATTATTCGCCGTTTTCCCATCACGGTCTCGATCAACCTAAGCTAGATAATCCCTACAGCCCCGCGTCCTTTTCCTCGAAAAACTACCTCATTGATCGATCGGCCCTACAGCTCTCGGGAGCCTCGCACGAAAACTGTCCGCCACCGTATGAGATGGTGGCAGCGTCCACCAATTCACGCGCTATCGGTCGCATAAAGACCTCCGCATCTCCATTTTTGCGTGGCTCGAAAGACTCGACTGCGACTATTCTGGTTGAATACATGCCTATGATCCTGGAGTCCTCGGGCGCCGTGGCAGTCCCAGGGAACAAGCGCCTCGATCATGTGCATGAAACTCTTGAGCAACTCGTACAGAATGCCAGGGTCTCGCATCTGGGTTTGTTAAAATTCCTGGGATATTATATCGATATGCCAAACTCCCGCTATGCATTCATTTACCAAATGCCGATGGCCTACTTTCCTTTCCTGCGCAATCCCACGGATCTCTTGCAGGGGCTGAAACCGAAGCCGCTGGTATCTCTGTTCCAGTCTAGCGAAGACTATCAAACTCCAAATCTGGAGACGCGTTTCCGCTTGGCGTACGATCTCGTGATGGCGGTACTTCAATTGAGGAGCCAGAATCTTGTGCACGGCAATATCAATAGTGGCAACGTCCTTATATTCCCGGGTTTGACAAACTCCGCCAACGATGAAGTCAGCCTCACGGAAAACCTGCAACGGCCTTACTTAACGTCATTTGCTCAATTCTCTGGAAACGGATCCTCTCCAGAACCTCTGTCATCGAGCATGTATCGCCACCCAGATGATAAACGGTCCATAGAAGACGATGCCGCCTGGGCTTACGATCTTTATTCGCTGGGCCTTATATTGATGGAAATTGGCTTGTGGGCCCCTATCAGCCGTCTGTGGAAAATGAAATACAACAATTCCATGTTCAAGCAAAGGATCGAAAACGTATACTTGCAGAAATTGGGCCCCAAGTGTGGCAGTGCCTATCTACATGTGGTCCAGCTATGCCTCGATGCGCCAAACTTCCACCTCTCAACGCAGCCCTTTGACGATCTGAACCTCCGAGTGCCACAGACCTTCCACTACCCGGTATTGGATCTTTCGGAACCCGACAGCATTTTCTCATTTTCAATGAACTTCCTCTACACCATGTCCAAGATTGTTTGGTCATGCTGCAGAATCGACATCTTTTCGGCGCCAAGTGCGGACGAGTTGGATGACTGTCTCCCGCTTGCTCTTGTTCCCAGACCCGAAGTGCCGGCCTCGAAAGAGGCCGTGAGAGAATATGAGCCCGCACATACTCAATCTGTCCCAGTCGCCGAGCCATTTACTATACTACCTCATGCTGATATGAAGGCATTACGGGAAAAGATGGGTTTGGATGAGAGAAAACCCCGCAAACGGACTTTCAAAAAACTCACAAACGTCGACATCCCCCAAGAACATTTGAACCAGTGGAATTTCCATATGCTCCCTAAACTAAGGAAACTTCTTCAAAAAATCCTCAAAGACTCCACCGAGTCGTGTGGTGTAACTTTGATGATGACCGGCGACACGATTGAAAATGCCAGGACCACTATCTGCGTCACCTGTGCGAGCGCAAAAAAGGTCCGTGCAGCGCTGAAGAAGTACTTTGTACTAGACAGTGAGGATTGGGATCTTATTGTCCTCCGGGGAGATATTCAGCGGTCTAAGGTGCCGCGGAAGAAGCGCCGCAGGCCGGCGAACTCTGGACCGAACAGGACCGACTCGCTTGCTTCTTCCCATCAGGACCCAAACCCTCATTATCAGCAACGGCCCCTCTGCGGCGCATCCATGGGTGCGTTTATGAACGAAGAGCATCTACCTCCTGTGACGTATGGTGGTGCCATACTAGTCGACGGCATGCCATATGGAATGACCGTTCACCACATGCTTGAAGCACCTAGCGACCAAGAGGATGAGTACCAAGATCCCGTTGCTCCACTGCGATCTTCTGGAAATTGGCCCCAAAATCAAGACCCGCAGGAGGCAGCGTTCATGTATAGTTGGTGCGACCAAGATCCGTCGGAGCTTGACCATGAATTTGAGATTTCGGAAGATGAATATGGGGATGGCTGTTCAATGGATGGAAGCTATGATGACTTCTGCCTCTCTGAGGGCTATTCTTCAGATGAAGACCCGTTCGGGGGTGATGATGATTATGAAGACGAGGATGCAGCGTCGATAGGTGACACGGCGGGCATTGAGCCTGGGGATGAGCCTCCCTGTTTCGTAACCCAGCCTGCTATAGACGACGTTCGTGATGATTTCTTTCCATGTCCTGAGGATCGCGATGATGAACACCTGGCTTCTCATTCCTTCGGATTCGTTCACGCGTCCTCTGGCGTCAGACGTTGGACACGCAAAGGGATAAAGCACGAGATCGACTGGGCGTTGATCAAAATCAACGACGACCGCATCGACGCGCGAAATATTGTGTACGACAAGTCGGCATCATCAAGACCAGGAGGATCGAGACAACGATACCGTGACCGCAGCCCACTGCCACAGGGTGAGGTCATATATTTGAACGACATCGCTCGCACGGAGGATCTCGGTGGTTTACAGGTCCATTGCTGCGGTAGAACCAGTGGCTTGCAAAGCGGACAGATATCAAGGGCGATGACGATCGTCAAATTACACGGCCGGCAGACCTTCTCGACGAGCTTCTGTGTTGATGGGAATTTCGGGGGTACGTAAGCGCACCACACCCTAATGTAGTGGTTAATTCACACCCCTACTAACAGTCTGCAGTGCCCGGCGACTCCGGCGCATGGGTCTTCGAGCGGTCGACCGGTCGTGTGTGTGGCCATGTTCTGGCGTGGTCCGACAAAAGCCACACGGCGTACATTGCCCCTATGGAAGTTCTGTTGGAGGATATTGCCCGCAGTCTCAATGCGTCCTTTGTTGCTCTCGCAGGGGGGCCGGATGGATCTCTGGCTTACGCGATGCCTCATTCCAACAACCTGGAACCTCAGAATCCTCGCTACCGTGCACCTCCTCCGCTGCCCGATCAAATTCCTGTTGATATTGGCCGACTCCGTCTCGACGATACCGGCATGGGGCCCGTAAACACTAGTCGTGGCCTTCGGGAGGTTTCCACCCCGTATCGCGGAATGCCACCTATCTTGACACAACCTCGCAGTTTGGAACGACAACTTGCATAACCCGCACTTTCATTTATCTATCTAATCCATTCCTTTATCTTCCCTGTATTCTCCGTTTCTCTACAAAGTTGGTGATGCTTATAGTTTCGTTTTTATACCCTTCTTCTTTGATCTCTGATGTTGTGCGACTTTTTTGAATGAGTGGATGGGAATCAATAATACCCCGTGGCGTTTTGTTCTATATATGGATTGAAAGCCCTCATATTTTTCGGCTGGTTTCGATTATCCATCATATAGCCAACTAGTTGCCAGTTTGATGTTAGATATCTGATCTAATTACCTTGCACAATCTAGCATTATGTCAATAGCTCAGTCCCTTGCCCAGTCAGTCCCCGCATGATACGTACAGTCTGTAGAAACATTCCACTACGATAACACCTCTAATTAGATCAAATCCTGTCCTTTAGCTTAACTTACAACTGGCCTGCTGTACTCGATTCTATTAAGATAGCAAGCGTAGAGTTCCGGAAACATGGATATGCTTCATATGTTCTCGAAATGGCAGGACGAGCTTCTCAGCAGTCGACTTCTGCTTGTAGGTTTGTCTCGGGCCTACCCTCTCAGCTGCTGTAGAATATTTTTAGTATTAATTTTGTTGGCCTCACACATTGTTGGACAATCAATCTGCTAGAATTAAACTAGGCTAGAACCTGATCATTACCATAACTAAGCTGACTAAATGAATAAATGTCCACAATCCAAACTATAAACATCTCATGCATTAATTGGAGTCATAACGTGTATGTAACCATGCATAGATATCGGAAAAACTCCCGCTCGCCCAATAAAATATAAAAAAAAATCCCTTTTATGTAATTATATTCCCAGAACTGAATTCATGGTGATCCCAGCAATTTGAGAACTGCCTCCTTTTCCTCGACAGGGAGCATGCTCAGAACCTGTTTGACTCCCTTCAACCCTCCCTCCTTGTCGCTGATCAATAACTGCGCAACGTCACTAGCCACGCGCTCGGTGTGCAGCGACTCAACCTTGGTCTGAATAAATTTCTTGTTCTCCTCAAACCACATAGCCACCCCCTGGTCATCATTCTCTAACTCATCTTCAAGCAATCCGGTCCAGGAGCGCAAGGTGCGGAGATGCGACGCGCGGACCGATTCCGTCGACGCCAGTAGTCGGCCAGGAGCGTTGGCCGAAGAAGCACCATTGTTATCCTGAGCCGCAGGAGTCGGCACCGCCTCGACCATGCGCTTCACAATGAGCTCTTCACTGAGGCGACGACGCAGACGCCAGTAGAAGAACCGACGAGCGTTCTTCCAGATCAATGGGCGACGGATAGTGTTCTTAGCCTGCATACGACCCGCGCGATCATGGAGATCAGCGAACTGCAAAGCAATCTGCATATACACAGGCAGGAGTTGTTCCTCGCGGGCGGCCATCTTGGATTTGATTTCGGACAGTTGCTCCTTGCTGAGGGACGAGTCCTCGAGAGAGCGACGGAGTTCGCCGTACGTAGGATCCAGGCGAGCCATCGTGTCCAGCTGTTTGTCACGGCGGTACTTGATGTTGACAATACCCTCCGGTTCCAGGACACCACCACGAGCCTCCTCATCAGCGTACATTTCCATCTGGTCAGGGTTTATGGTGGGGTCGATGACGACCTATGAATTTGAGTCAGTATAATCAGACTACAAAAGTATTGTGGACAAGATGGGAGAAAACGTACCCATGAACCGCCACGAAGCTCACCGAAGGGTGGAATGTAAACGAAGATGGGCTGCTCATACTTGACAAGAGCATCGACAATGTACGATCCATACTTGAGAACTTCATTGTACATATCACGCTGTCCACCCGAGAAACCTCTCCAATTGGCAAGGATCATCACAGGAAGCTGTTCACCGTTGTTGAAGTCGCGCAGGGCTTGAGCGGTCTTGAACGCGGAGTTAGGGTACCACACTCCACCTGCTTCGGTGCTGATCACTTCCATCGAGTCTGGGTTGGCCGGATCAGCCGGAGTGACATTCTCAACGGAACGAGTCTCGACAGCAATAACACCCATAGGGATACCGCCCAGCCTGGCACGGCCAACAACAACAGTGCGGGCCCATCCGCCCAGGGCTTCTTCGAAGGAGCCCGTATCAAACAATCCGGGGAGGAAGCCATCCTCATCGTCCTTGCCGGCGATGAGCCAGCGAGGATCATATGCCTGCTTGTTTGGGGGATGGTATGCCACGTCTCGATCCCAGTTATCGGACCAGGGCCGCACCGGGTTCGGTGCTCCTTTGCTTTCTGGGACAAAGGACATCCACTCAACAATCTTCTGAACACCTTCGAAGTCATCGTTGGCAGTCATGTGGGAGACACCGTTCCTGTACATGATCTGGGTTCCACCAAGTTGCAGGTTCGATGTGTAAACCTCTCTACCCAGCAGCTTGTTGATGGCCGGTGCACCGGTCAGAATAATCGGCTGGCCTTCCACTTGAATGGCCCTCTGGCCCAGGCGGACGAGGTAGGCACCAATACCGACAGAACGGCAAGTGACCAAGGTGATCGTGAAGATATCGTCATAGGCTTTCGAGGTGGCACCGGCAATAAGACCAGAGCCCTTCAGGCACTCGACACCTAACCCATCTTTAGCACCGATGACTGTGGTGATCTTGTGCCGCTCTTCGCCCTCATCGAAAACTTGCTCGGTGATAACCTCATTCTTCCTGGCCGCGTCGAATTTCTTCTTAACCTCAGGGGTCAAGTACAGGTACTTAAATCCCGCCTCAGGCTTGTTGGGATCATTCCAGGCAACCGAGAAGTAGGGGATGAGTTCGTCAGCCATGCCGATACGGGCACCTGAGTTTGCAGAGAGATAAATGCGCGGGATACCGAGCTTCCTTGCCAGTTCGGTACATTTGTTGAAGAACTTGTCTTCCAGAGGGCCGAAAGATCCAATCTGGAATGTGATGTCATTGGCAACGATGATGAAGCGTCTGCCGCAGGGGTATTCCGGGGTACGAGCGGTAACGAGCCAACTCACCATGCCGTGAGTGTTCGTACCAGGGCCTCTCGAAATCTCCACGAGGTTGTCGGTATCATCAAGCACAAGCTCTGTGTAGTCAATGCACTCGCCTACAGGGGGCTGGCGGTCCGCCAACGACGGGACCTTAGCAATAGCGCTGGCCCAGCTGTTTTGGACAGCTTGCCTGAAGAGCTCCGGGAAATCATACACATACTGGGTACCCATGAGATGAGCTTTGTATCGCTTAGGCTGGAGCCATTCCTTGGTGGGATATGGCGTAGAAACCGGACGCAAGTGCATGGAACCAAGCTTATTCGTTCCGCCGATGCTCTGGAAGATGAACTCGCCCTTCTCGGACTTCTTCTCGATGTACAGTTCCACCTGAATGATGAAGCCGTAGGTGTTCGTGATGATTACGCGCAAGGGGTAGGGCAATCCAGTGGCTGGGTCGGTGCACAGAATACGAATCTCCGCACCGGTCACACGAAGTCGCCAGAGACGGCGGCCGAAGCGATCCAAGAAGCCAGCCAGCGCCTCCTCAACATCGTTTGGTTGTAGGTTGAATACAGGGGAGAAGTTGATAAAGATATGGTTCAGGTCAGAGTTGTTGTTGCCGATGATCTCCAGAGCATCCAGGATATCATTCATCAGTCGGTCAGCCTCCGAAATTAGATACTCCGCCGTCGGGATATCGTCACGCAGGCGACCCGGGCGCACTACCGCACGAACGAAGTACCGTTTGTCCACAGCCTTGTCATTCTCGGGACCCTTGCCAATGGCTTCATACACGTGAATGTTCCTGTTTTCCGTGAAGACTGGTTTGATTCTGAATTTGCACAGACGGCCCAGTTCCAGCTGGAACGCCAAAGCAGGTTCACTATGCCGAATGCTCTCATCCTCCTCGTAGGTCGGTCCCCTAAACGTGAAATAACCTGGATAGAAGCCATTCTTGCCACAAATGAAGGTTACCCGGCGGACACGGCGAGCGAGTAATTCCTCCCTGACATCGGCGAGGAGTTTGTTGATCTGGGCAACGATCTGACTATCATCCATATCCTCGACATCGCGAACGGCAATGTTGAGGACACCGGCCAGCTCGGTGTCAGTTTCGACCCGAGGGGCGACGGGTCGACGCTTGCCCTCCAGGTCGGCGAGGAGGCCATTGTCACCGGGCTTCCTAGCTTTTCCAGTTCGTGGGAAAGCTTCGATAGCCCTGGGGAGGAATTCCTCGGCATCCTCCAGATACTGGACAGGCAAAATAACGCCCTTCCTGATATCATCGCTGCCACGGCCCACCAAGTAAGACATGTCACTGATGGAGTTGATCCTCTGGAGGGGGTTATGAATCTCTGTCGTGGGTGTGCTTGGAGTAGACGGGTGCGTCGACGAGACGGGACCGAACTCAGGCTGGCCGAGCTTGTCCAGACTGAAATCCCAGGAGAGCAAGGGCTGTTCCCCGGAATCATCGTACTGCATGCTCTTCAGCGTGTAGGCGCGGTAAGCGCGGCGCACGTAGACCTCAAGGGCAGCCAGAGTGACCCAAGCGTCCTGATGCACGAAGAAGCGCGGGAGCACGTCGAACACGGTATACTTCGAATCGACCACCTCCTTCAGAACAGCTAGATCGGGCTCCCGGTGATCCCAGCCAGTCTCACCATACTGGGATTCAACAACCGAAGAACGCAGGATGAGTTCCATCTGCGACAGGCGCTCCTCCAACGAGGGAAGGGCGCACTGGATAAGAACCTCGCGGGCCTTGAGAGTAACCTTAGCAGCCGCACGCGACTCGAGTTCTGTCAGTTTCTTGAGCACTGGCTTGAAATGCTTGCCGACGTTGCCAACTCCCGGCTGATTTGGGCGGTACATGGCCAAGATGGCAAGAATGAGGTTATTCTTCGCACCAATGCGGCTGTGGGAAAGCACTTTCTGGACGACGCTAATGATATCATCCTTGTTCTCATCTCGCAACTTGAGAATAGCAACTTCATCGCGAGTATTGCGTCCAGAGAACAGTTTCTCCACCTCGTAGTACTGTTCCAAAAGTCCAATGAAGACGTTGAACTCATGGGTCTTCAGGCCATCCATATACTTGTTCATCACCTGCACCAGAGGGAGAAGAGTGGTCTTGAGGATTTCTGCATCTGCAGGGTTGACATTCTCTTCAATAAACCGCATGAGGGTCTTCTGTAGCTGTTTGGCAGGGAACTCTGCTTTCCGTGCGTGCGCGCGGTCGACGACATTTTGGAGCTGGGTGTCCAGTCTCTGGGGCATACGGGAATGCAAGGCCGACGACTGAGCGTTCCATTCACCGTATGGTAACTCAGGATCACGGAGAACCTCCACGAGCTCCTTGAGGGTGGTGCCCATGATGACCTGGTTGTCAAAGCCTCGCAAAATGTTCTCGAGAATGCTGTGCAGAAGGACAAACCTCTGTGGAGGCTTGTTGCCAACGACCTGAGGAGGGCCCAGGTCGGGCAGCTGTCCGGTGAAGGGCTGAGCGTGCTTGACACGAGATGGATCATCCAAGGCGAGAATGCCCAGAATATCACCGGCCTCCAGAGTGGCGCCAGGCTGCTTAATCAACTGAACAATGCCATCCTCCTGCGCGATCAAAGGCATGTACATCTTCATCACCTCCACCTCAGCGTAGGCCTGGCCGGCCCGAACGTGATCACCATTCTCGACCGTGAACTTGACAAGTTTGCCTGGAGAAGGCGACCGGAGCTGGGTAGGGTCATTCTCTTGTTCCAACAAACAGGTCTTTCCATCCACACTGATACGGGTGGCGGCCGCTTCCTCCTTCCAGTAAACATTGTGGCTGCGACCGTTCAAGAGGACGAGGAGGCCACCGTCTGCCAGCGCGCGGACACCCACAGAGCATTTGGAACCGTTGATGAATACGTGATAGCTGTCCAGAGAGGCGCGAGTGGCGGTGAACTTATACCGTTGGCCTTCGTAGATGAAATCCACGGGGAAAACCGTCTTCAGGACATCTTTCGAGGGAACCTGTCCCTTCTCAAGCCCCTTGCGATATTCTTCCATCCCTGCCTCACTGGCTTGATGAGCCTTCGTGACAGCGCCACACAGGACAGCCACAATGGTGTTGGGGCGCTCGGCAGTCAGCTTGTTGGAAATGAGTTGATCCAGCCACCCGGTCGTGATTGTGTTGTCTTCAAAAGCGGGGGTCTCCAGCAGTTTGATCAGGTATTCAATAGTGGTCCGGAAATCGCCACGAATGCTCAATTCCTTCAGTGCAACCACCATGTGTTTCCGTGACGCGGATCGATTCTCGCCGTAGGCGAAGATATGACCAAATTGGCTGTCTGAGAAACTGTGGATACCTCCGGACGTACCGACAGAGAAGTAACCCCAAACGTTGGAGGAACTACGGAAATTCAGTTCGTGCATGGTACCGCTGGAGGGCTTGAATCCCTCGCCAGGATCCTCCGATGTGATACGACAAGCGGTCGTATGACCCTTGGGCTGCGGACGGCGCTGAGTCTTGAAGCTGTCTTCATTGGAAAAGTCGAAGTCGATCTCGGAGAAGGTGTTGGGGTCAACGCCGTAGAGGAGACGAATGTCGCGAATGCGATGCAGGGGAATACCCATGGCGATCTGGAGCTGAGCTGCGGGCAGGTTGACACCAGAGACCATCTCGGTCGTAGGGTGCTCGACCTGGAGACGGGGGTTCAGTTCCAAGAAGTAGAATTTGTCATCCGCATGCGAGTACAGGTATTCGACGGTACCAGCTGACACATAACCGACCAGCTTGCCCAGGCTAACGGCGGCCTTCTCCATCGCTTGGAAAGTCGTCGGCTTCGCGATCGTCACAGGGGCTTCCTCGATGATCTTTTGGTGCCTTCGTTGAACGGAACAATCTCTGCCAAACAGAGAAATGTTGTTCCCGTATTGATCGGCCAGCAGCTGAACTTCCAAGTGCCGAGCGTTACCCGCGAGCTTCATGATGAATATCGGCGATCCGGGGATTTCATTGGCAGCGGCATTGTAGAGGCTGATGAATTCCTCTTCTTTGTCGACCTTACGAATACCTTTGCCTCCACCACCTTCAGACGCCTTGACCATCACCGGGAAACCAATTTCCTTGGCTTTCCGAAGACCTTCTTCAGGAGAGAAGGTGCACCCCTTGTTGTAGGTATCATCCTCCACGGTAACGATGCCTTTGTCGTCAATCTTTACCTCCTCAACCCCAGTTCCAGACCACGGAATGCAAGGAACGCCGGCATGCTGAGCAACAATTGTCGATGAAATCTTGTCACCCAGTGAGCGCATAGCCGAGGCAGGAGGACCAATGAAGATGATCTTCTTCGGCGAAGCAGCTAAGGACTCCGGAAGTCGAGGGTTTTCAGAAGCGTGACCCCATCCAGCCCACACGGCGTGGACGTCCATTCGCTCGGCAACATCCACGATCAACTCCACGTTGGCGTAATTGTTGTTATTCGTACCGCCGGGGACCTACGAATTAACATCAGCAAGTCTCTCCAGGAGAACTCTTTTTCCGTGTTTGAAGGTGAAGGTAGAAAGTTTGCACGACGTACCTCGACATATTGATCTGCCATTCGAATGTAATCCGCATTTGCCTGCAGATCTTCCGGGGTTGCCATGACCGTGAACTGGATAGCTCGCTCGTTTCCAAACGTCTCGTAGGCCCATTTTCGCACGGATCGGATTTCTTTTACGGCGGCAATACCGTTATTGGCAATGAGAACCTATGGAAAATACAGAGGTTAGATTGAAGGACCAATGCGCAAGACACCACACACTCGGATCGACTCACTGAACTGATGACGGAGTGACCATCGTGTTTGGCGACAAAGTCCTTTACACTACTCGGCGGCGCGGCATCGAGGTTGTTGCCACCGATAAAATGTGAAGGAAGATTGTGCTTAGCAGCCTTGGAGCTGACATGACCGTTGGCGGTCGAGGTTGCGGTGGCGGGTGCCATAACAGAAGCAATCAGTTAAGGATCATATACCTCCCATATAATTTCAAGAATCCAGTCAAAAACTGTGTAGGGAATGAAATTAACGGCGTAAGCAGAGAGAGGTGTAGAAATCGTTTCGCTCGTAATGGTACAGGTCGATGAAGGTAATAAAAAAAGTGATAAAAAAAAAGTCGAGAATTATTGAATAATAGTAGACGTGATCCTCCCCAGATGGAAAGAAATCTTCACACGGTGTCAGGAAGAATTATGGAACACGTAAGGACGGGAGAGAGTGGGGGTTGTGAGATGACGAGAGGCGATAGCCCAGCTGCGATAGCAATTCCCAGGTCAGCGACTAGTTGCAGGGAGAGAGGCTGATAGAAGGAGGTAGAATCTGTCAATACGAAGAGAAGGACAGGAAAGGTACATCGTAGGGCAGACCAAGACGGCATTCGGGCAAAACGGTAATGTCACCGAGAGCTACCAGCTTAGTCTTGGGGGAGATAGGAAAGTTGCGGGAGCTAGGTAGGAGGAGTGTCATAGGACTTACAGAATTGACACCAGGCGGAGAGGAGAAGCAAAATGAAGATTAAAGGATTAGAAGAATGTAAGAAAGGTGAAAAGAAACAGAACGATTGTATAGTCCCTATTAGGAGGATGGGGGTATCCGGAGTACTCATACCGGAGTAGGAAACAGTCAAAAAAAAAAAAAAAAAAAAGAGCCGGGTGGGTCTCACCGCCGAAGTCTAAGAAGGGAAGAGAACCCCAACTGGTTCCCAATTTCCGCTTGTTGGGGCTCATGACGTCCTTTCCCACCACTTTTGGCGCTTTAGCCTGGAGTCCGTCAACAGTTGTTCCTTAATTCTGCCTTAATCTAGGCCATTTCATCTCTGTGCATTGATCTAGTGCTTCATCGACACTAGCGTCGGTAATGTAGTAAAAGTGCTACTGGACATAAGTACTCCATCTGTACTAACGGAGGCCGACTGAAGGGATCGGTCATCGGTCATCGGCCAGGGCCATCAAGTTAATCTTCTTCCCATGGGCCTATAACGGACGTGGTTTAATTAATCCCGTCGGAGGGATCTCACCTTGAAAACTTCCGCCACAAGTCCGGACAGAAACCTCCGAACCGGAGACTTTACTGTATCACGAACATACCTTCTCCATAGTTGTTCTATATCGATTGTGTATAATAAATAAAAGTATGAATTCAGTGAATATACTTGTATCTGTCCAGATAGTTACTACCCTGTGATTCCAAACCTGAGATACATGGAACCGCACATGAGAAAGACAAAAGAAAAAGAGGAAAACAGGAAGATTGTCATCCCCGAACACGAACAGGGAAATCCCCGACATCTGAGGTAAGCAGAAATTGCCGTCTCACTCTGACTCTCACTCTCACTCTCACTCTCACTCACAAAGAGAGGCGATCATCCATCCCGATACTTACTGTATACGTAATACATAGTTTATGTACCTGTCTCAACCAGACTTGGAATGTTGACGGTTGGATCCCGCCGTTGCCGTTGGGACTCACCTCTATCCAGTAACTAGTAGTACAGGTACCTTAGTAAGTATCTGCTCCCGACATCATCTCTGGACTTGAAAGCTGTCTACTATATTTATTGATTGGCATTCCAAGTGTTGGATATATCCCTCAAAGACACTCACTTTGAATAAGTCGTTCAACATTTGTCATGCGCAATGGCGTAATATACATTTCCGCTTGGTACCACTCTGGTATGGGCGTATTAACTTGTGTAATGCGCATCATGAAGAACATCTCGAGGCCTACATAGACGAAGTCTTTTCTATAGCTATCTAACTGAATACAGGTAGAGATGTTAGCTCGGTAGTATTCAACTCCACCCGATACACATTATTCTGACCAAAGATATACAACCAATTCGCAGCCCAGGCCATGTTAACGGCAACATCGCCAGCAGCGACCTTGGTCCGCCCGAGCAAGGTTCCATGCCGATCAAAAATATCCACGGAGCCCGTGACAGCGGCGTAAACATGCCCATGTCTATCTGTCTTGATACCGTCGGGGAAGCCGGCGTCGACGTAGGCGAAAATCTCCCGATGGGCGATTCCTGTCGGGACGACATCTTAGACGTAGATGGTGCAACCGCCGTGGGGATCGGAGCTGGAGTTGCCGCGATTCGTGACGTAGATTTTGGACCTATCATGGTTGAAGGCGAGACCGTTGGGGTTAAAGAGTGCTTGTTCGGCGGCCCCTGCCACCATCTTTATATTTCCCGAGTGCATGTCCCAGCGATAGATGCCGTTGGGGAGCTCGGGAAATAGGGTATAGTTGAAGTTGTCCCAGCCATAGTAACCGTCGGAGAAGAAGACCATGCCGCTGTCGGAGATGACCAGGTCGTTTAGGGAGTTGAAGCGATGGCCGTAGAAGTTGTTCTTCACAACCTGCGTCTTCAGCGTTCGTGGGTCCATCTGGATGATGGCGCTGGGTGTAGTCGTGTTTCCTTCCTGTGACCAGTACATGGATCCGTTGAAGTGATATGCCCCATTAGCGATGGTCAGCGGCGGTGATAGATACACCTTATGTGTTTAGGGAGAGGCTAGATCCGAGATATCCACCTTCCACTCGTACGGGATGGACTGCACTGAATGCCCCGGTTGGGGGGAGAAGAATTCCGCTACGATAGAGCGCCTTTCCCTCCGGTACGTAGACGGATCCATCGTGGATCTGTCTTTGAGCGTATGGTGGAGGCGGTGGAAAGTGGAAGATCTTTTCTACGTGCTTCTCATCCTGGGTATCCGAGTTGCCCAGCAAGTCATAGAAAGAGGGATCGTAGACGATAAATAAAGAATTGGCAATCGTGGCCAGGTCCTCCTCGATCTGTGAATTGTCCTGTCCATTTAGCAGAGCAGTACCTCACATGGCAACCGTGGCGTTGCGGTTGAAGTTCTCACTCAGGGGGAAGGGAGGTGCAGGGAGCAATACAGACTACAGGCCTAGCAGCCTGATTTACAGCACTGGAACAGATTCTTGCTTTATCAGCAAAGCACTTGCATAGCTAGACATGTCATAGTCTGGCTCCATCAGGTTAATAGAATTTGAATTAAAATTGAATGAGAGTCGATTTTTCTTAATAATCATTAGATATAGCCTGTAAAAATTCCCTGCAGCAGGCAAGTAATACTTGTTAGATGGGTGTTGTGTGGTACTCCATCTAACCAGTGCTACTATATAAGGCGCTTAGGAGAGTCTGAACCTTGACAGATTCAGACATAGTGGGCCTTTTGGACTGCTGGAAAGTCCAGACCCTAAGCTGAGCGTAACAAGACTACTCTTTGTAGTCACAGTTTAATTTCCGAAATATCTTGTCGTACCCGGCTATGGATCCGCAAAATCCTTATTAGTTAACTGATACAAACCCTTCCCTATCTCTCCATTAATTTTACACTTCTCCCCAACAGCAAGCTCCTCCGGGATTTCAAAATTCCGCTGATAGCATGCAGATATATTATTAATATCCATTCCCTCGCCTATTTCAAGACGCCCCTCCCGAATAATATTCCGGTAGCCATCCAGGAAAAGTAACCAAGGCTTATCAGTCTTAAATACCTCTTTATCCAAGATTAGAAGCATCAACTAAATAAAGCCTGTCTGTATATTAAGAGCAGCATTCTTAATAAGCCTCTCTTTATCCTCCTTCCACATATTCGGCCCATCCTGCTTTATTAAATATAGCAAATACTTAAACACTTCTTGTCTAGACCTAAGAACTTCCTTATCACAATGGCATCGCTTTAATGGGTGCATAGGACCAGCCATCTCTGGCAAAATATCGTATATACGCTGTTAGTTAGAGCCAAAATCGAAAAACTCTGCATTGCTAAGCAAGGCTTAATGTTCTGCACTGCGGAACATATTGTCATCTCTAGTCTATTCACTTATTCTGGCGTCGGCATCATCTTCTGGATTATAATATGTGCGAAGTATAACAGGATATGTATTATTAAACATCCATCTTGCTTTTCAACGAATGTTATCGTCGGAACGCCAGGGCCGAAGAATAACATTAATTTCTTCCTCTGTTGGCAGACGTGGAGGGGGGTCTTTGAAAAATTCCCAGGTTTCAGGAACATCCTCCATCTCGAGAAACTCCTGAATGAGTCGTTGTCGTTGCTGGTTCGGTTCTTTAGGCGAGGAATAAGACCAGTTTCTCTACTGAAGTTAGCGCCCATATAAAATAGCCTGTTTACATAAATAAAGATTCTACAATCAGATATTGTTCAATGATGATTGTGCCCCAAGGAGGCGGATAATCATCGACTTCTTCCTCCATTATAAGCGTTCATGACTGTTGGAAGAGGAAAAGAAAAAAGGGGGACTTTAGGTGGCAGGTCCGCGATGTTCGGTGGAGAGCCAATTCTACTAGGTTTCCAGTGGTTAGCCACGCCACCCAATAGCCGGCCGAACTGTACATAATCCTGTCCCTGAAGCGTCTCCGGAAACGAGTGGGGGGGCTTTGATTGTGAACAGTCCTATGGCTCCCCTATTAAGTATCACCAACGTTCTTTCTCGGCTATTAAAAGATGTTATTCTTGCTCTTGGTTATCGTTGTGGGTGGATTTGGTTTTCTATTGTAAGATTTTCCGCGTCTATAAACTAGTACATCCCCGTCCAGTTACAAGATAGATCGAAAATCTGGATGGTCATCGCCCGAATTCTGTACATCATTAGACAGATCCGGCACGTCCATAACTCCGTGGAGTCTGTCACGTCGTCGATTCTCCCTCCGCATCAGGAATCTCAGCACCTGGGCAACGATCGCAGCAAAGAACAGGAGAGCAGCACTGATGGCCATCCCCTTGACGTAGAACGGTCCTTCTTCCTTGGGAAGAACCGAGAACCAGCGATAGATCCTGACTGGCCTACCATGCCAAAGATCACCAGCACAGAGCCGCGTTTCGATACCGGGATGGGCTACGACATTACCCATACAGCGAACCAAAGCAATTCTACAACGGAGTTACTCAGGATGACATTTCATCGACCGACAGGATCGGTATCCAAAGTAGGTCGCCTCAAGAGGGCCCAGATAATGCAGCATACCTCGATCTGACTTGTTAGGATAGACATCGCTGCGCACCCGATCGTCACTCGTGGAGCCCTTCTGGATTGGTATGCTTACGCTCGAGAAAATGGTCTGCCGCATAGTCCATTCACAAACCAGTCCATCCACCTAGAAAAGCTTCTAGAGATTGCACGCGTATAGGAGGTTATCTTCCGTCGAGGAGATGTCCTACTCATCAGAACCGGGTGGACTGCAGAATACTCGAAGCTTAGCGATACAGAATAAGAACAACTCGGAGGCCGGGACGATCGAGCATCGTGTGGCGTCGAAGCTACCGAGGCGGCCATTCGCTGGCATTGGGAGCAGGAAATTGCCGCCGTGGCTAGCGACACCGTTGCCTACGAAGCCTGGCCTTCGCCCAAACCATGGGGGGTTTGTATGCATGAGGTGAGTTTTCCCCCATCCGCTGAGAATAACCTGTGGCCATCAATTAGTCGACTTCCCCCAATTCCCTCAGAGCTGGCTTGAGCTTTGTGTGTTGAAGTAGAGCTAGGGGACAGACAGTCAGCCAGCCTCGCATGACACCGAGTGGCAGACTCACTTCGTCGTCATTTGCATGTCCCTTGGCAATCAGGAAATGCGCACAACGCTTTCGGCGGGGGTTCATTGATTTTACCCGGACATTCAGTGGAAGGCTACAAACCTGACGTCAGCGTCGCGAAGGACATGTAAAGATTTCTGCTCGAGATACTTCAGATTGATCGCTTTGCCTAAGAAGACTTCTGACCTGGTAGCCCGAACGACATCCTCACTGATCAGATTCAATGTTCCCAGTTCATCATTCCCTCCCCAAAGTCCCCATGCGGAGCCTTTGGGGTCTCCCTTTCTCAACGGCAGGTTGTCGAATGCGGGCCGAGAGACTGTCAAGACCGACGTTGAACTGACTGGCGAAGGAGAGGGCACCTGACAATGATCCTCTCTACTTTTCTTGAAGAACCACGCAAAAGGGAGTAGTTTCGCTAGTGACATCCTGGGATCAACAGAAAGAGATATCAGATTGCACGTGCGAGCGACGTACATACAAAGATACAAATAGATGCGAAAGGACTACTCAGGTCTTCCAAGTGGATGGTAGATGAACCCACTGTGAGTGCCTTAAAATTATTATCATTACCAGCAGTAGTAACTGAGTTCATATTGCGGCTGCTTCATTATGTTCGGTCTTGGTATGTTCCTGCCTCTCGGAATCATGCCGATGGCAGCAAGGATTATTTAGACCCAACTAGTGCCGCTGATGCAATCCGATGCCTACAAAGCATGTCCAACGCCTAATGCCATGCTCGGCTATGGCTACCGAGCGGAGCATTTCTGGTATGGGATTGAGAAGTTCGCTCCCAAGGCGATCATTGTGGATAGTGGCTCCATCGATGGGGGGTCTGTACAAGCCCGGGTTGAATAAGATGACCTGCGGTCGCGACTCGTATTTACGAGACCTCACGCCGATCCTACAAGCCTGCTTTCACAAGACGATCCAAGTCCTCATCGAGTCTGTTGGGGGGATGGAAGCGATAAGCATGTCCAGAAAATGTTCGAGATCGTCCAGGAGATTGCCGCCCAGGAGAGTTTCTCGTTCAAAGTAGCCACCATCTCCGCTGGGATTCAAAGGCACCTGCTGAATGAGCGCATCACTTGCCAAAAAGTAGCACCATGTGGTCTGGTGGAGGAGTTAATGGTGGAAAGTGCTGACCGCGCCATCGACGGGGAGAGCCGTACGTATCACCCACAGCTGTAAAATATGGTGTCGGTTGATTGAATTGACCCTGTCTGACGACTCCAAGATTCACCAAGACCCTAGAGTTGAGCCCGGATATCATCCTCGGCGGTCGCTGTTATGATCCCGCCCCGTTTGCCGCATTCTCCATATACCATGGCGTACGCCTGGGCGTGCCTGGCTTGTGGGGAAGATCTTGGAGTGTGGAGGGATCTGTGCGGTGCCCAAGGGACGGTCGATGATTGCCACGATGCGCGAAGACTCCTTCGACTTGACGCCACTGTCGCCCAAAGAGCGGTGCACTCCCCTCTCAGTCGCTGCACACACGCTGTACGAGAAAACCAGGCCGGATCGTCTGCCTGGTCCCGGAGGGGTCCTAGTCCTGGACAATACATCGTACGAGCAGCTGACAGAAAAGACGGTGCGTGTCAGAAAGGGGGGGGGGGTCATCTCAACTCCCGTCTATCAGGTCTAGCTGGAAGGTGTGGAGAAGCTGGGATACGGCACCATCTTCATTGGGGGAATCCGAGATCCTATTCTCATCGGCCAGATCAATGACTTCCTGGCCGACGTGAGGGCCTATACGCAGAATCTGTTTCCGCAGTTGGACCAGACATTTCAATGAAACTTGTCTTTCACTTCTATGGCCGAAATGGCACGATGGGCCCCATCGAACCAACCCCCATCGCGGGCCATGATCTGGGTACTTTTAGCGAAGTGGTTGCCCCATCTCAGGAGCTATCGTATACGATCGCCAACAATGCTAGGGCATCGATCCTACACATGCCGTGCAAGAACCAGGTTGCCACGACCGGCAACTTTGCCTCCCCGCTGTCACCACACGAGACCGCAGCTGGTCCTGTCTTCCGATGCAATATCTATCATCTGGTGGATCTGGAACTGGGCGAAGAGATTGGGTTGTTCCCGGTCAAAATGAGGACGATAGACAACCCTCCTGCCTATGAGGGAGATCCTACCCTCGGACTCGCCGATGTCGAAAGAGATAGGCTAGTGTCCGAGAAGCTGGAGCCATTGACGGTTAAACCGGTTCCTCGGGGCAGTTCCTCGCGGCGAATGCTAAATGCTGGAGATCGCAAAAATCATCCAATCCAATAATTCGGGCCCCTTCGAGTTGACGTTTGACATTATGTTCGATAGCAAGGAGGCCTATGAGAGAGTCAAAAATGCCAATGTCTTCACCAACCAGCGCGTGATGAGCCTCTATCATCTGCAGGAGGAGAACATTATCACTAATATGTTCTTTGAACCCGTATTAGCATGGAAATGCACGATTTGCCGACCGTGCAACAGGGGACCGTGGGAGTGCGAGATACCCTGGGAACGCAGCAACATGGCCCCTCTTGACTATTACGGTACCCAGCACAAGCGACATTCCTTCTACCAAAGGCCTCTTGTTCAACAAATCGCCCCCTTTTCAGGACCGCTCCACCTTCTCGGCGAAGGATAGCGTGGAATACATGTGGAGGACACTCGGTCTGCCTTTGAAGACCCTGGAACACCTTCATCTTCCTGGTAATAGTCTCGGCCTGCCCTCCTCGTTCAAAATCGCCCACCTAGCTCAAGCGTCTGTCGGTCTCCCTGCCCTACTAGCCTCGCAGATATATGCGCATCGCAATCACTCCACCTCTGTCCCCGACGTCGCCGTCCCCTTGCAGCATGCCACCATTGAAGTCAAGTCGGAGTGACTATACACTCTGACCGGTAAACCAGCTCCTTCACCCTGGGGCCCGATCGGAGGACTGCACCAGACATCTGACGGCCATGTCCGCGTGCATGACTCCTTCCCCAGCCACCGCGACGGTGCAAAGGCTCTGTTGGGTTGTCCGGCGAATTCGACCCGGGAGCAACTGGGTACCCAGATTGCTGACTGGCACTCCGTTGACCTAGGAACCGCTACCTTTGATTCAAAACTAGTCATTTCGGCCCTGCGTAGCTATTCACAGTGGGACATGCTTCCCCAGGCTCGCGCGATTGCCAACTTCCCTATCCTCCTGCGCAAATTAAGCGACGGACCCGCTGGCCTACCGCCGAACATGCAATCAACCAATGCCGACAAATGCCTCCCTGGGCTGCGCGTTCCGGAGCTCTCGCGTGTGATTGCCGCGCCTCTGTCGGGCAAGACGCTGGCAAGCTCACGGCGCCGTTGTTCTGTGGGTCACTAGCCCCACTCTTCCCGATCTCCCGACGATGGACCGCGATTTCGGCCGCGGGAAGCGCACGATCCAGATCGATTTAGCATCGGAAAACGATCAAGGGGACCTGGACCGGCTATTGGATGACGCCCATGTCTTCGTCCAAGGATTCCGACCCGGGGCCCTCGCAGCATCGGGGTTGTCGCCTGAAACCCTCGCCCAACACTTCCAGCGCCGCGGCATCGTGTGTGCCAAATGTCTGCGTATGGACCTCATGGTCCTTAGAAGGACCGACGCGGATTCGACTCCCAGGTTCAAACTTGCTCGGGGATGAATGTCTCCGAGGCCGAGCATTTTGGGGCCGGAGACGCGGCACAGCCTACTCCTGTCAGGCACCGGACCACGTGAGGGGTTATTTCCTGGCCGCGGGCATCATGGCGGCCCTATACAAGCAGGCCACTGAGGGAGGCTCTTGGCGAGTGGATGTCCCTCTTGCCGGCGTGATGAAATATCTGCGATCGCTGGGCAGTGGGAAGGACGTTCAGGGTTCGAGACGCGGAACTACTCGTTCACTGACGATGTACCACAGGAATACCTGGAAACCCGTGACACCAGATTTGATCCCATGACGGCTGTGGGCATTCCGCTGTGATCGATGGTGTTGAGGTTGGTTGGGATGCGATGCCCAAACCACGGGGATCAGATGAGAGGAAATGGCTATAGCAGGGCAAGGTCATTCTGATGGCACAAATCTGGATAGACTGTCGTTAGGGAGGATGAAAAGAATGAAAAAATAATACTGACACCAGCTTAATCTATAGACCCTGCTTCTACAGTCGTCTCTCCTGCCTTAGATATGTTCTCGCTCTTTTTGTTATACTAATTGAATAGAGGGAATGTAGAGTTGAGACGCGTTTGGTCTGGTAGAGTACTGTAGTGGGAGGATCACTACGAGACAATGAGATACTAAGAACTCACAGGAGAAGTGATGAGGAATAAATTTAGCCGGATAGAGAACGTGACTGCTCTGGCCAGTGGGAGCCACTTCATCCTCGATACCTGAGCTCATACTAGTAGTACCTAGTAGTATTGAACTTAAACTAAGAAAATTCATAAGAGGTATAATTTTTCTCCTACATGTATTATCTATGTTTATTATCTACGTTTACAGGACTCAGAGTTGAAACTGTAACTGGGTATTGTTCAACAGGACATAAATAGAACCAAAGAAAAGTAACTGCTGCGAAACAGCTTGGACGCCGATGGAGCAAGAATCCCCCGGCTGGGTAATTAATCGATGCGCCATGGAACCAGACAAATTTGCTAACTCCGCCGAACTGGATTGTACAGACAATGACGATGGAGCAAAACACGATTGGGATATCCCCGAATTCTATGAACAACCAGCCCCAAACCAAGTTCAACAAGATTCAGCCCTCAACATGGGGCGACTCAAACACATGGAACGAACTTTACAAAGGGGTAGTTGGTTCGAAAAAAAGTCACAGAGAAAAAGAAATCGATAATAAAGATAGCAGTCTGAATGGTATGAAATTTAGCAGATCCCGCGAACCAGCCGTGAACATCGTAAAGCCCCTTGTAGATTGGCCACGGGGGTATAACAAGGACAATGACCGCAGGGAACATTTAGAATGTCTCACCCAAATCGTGGACCTGGGACTTTGGATCAATGCTGCTTTCCGGCCGATCCAATCCGGTACTGGCTCGGAAGCTTCGAGGAGCTGGGATGGCAGAAACTCCACTAGGGGTACGCTTCTTCAGCCCATTAGGAGTGGAAATCGAACCCAGGCGGGTCTCGCGGACCTCGCTAATCTTCGCTCGCACAGACATGCTCAAGGAAAGATTCGCGTCTTCGTCAATGTAGGTCATACCGTTCACGGGAGGGCCTTGACCGGACGGATTGCTGACGGATGCCCGTAGCTGCCGGCTTTCAGTGGTCGGGTTAGTCGAGTAATGTCCTAGTGGCGTCTTGGTGCGGCTCTGACGACTCTCGGGGCGAGTAGACGGCGCCATACTGGGGTGGGTGCTCTGGCTGAAGGAGCTAGAGTAGCTCGTGCGGCTGCTCGGTCGGCTGTCCCCCTGAGTCCGCGTGCTAAAAGACGGTCGGCCTTGCGGCAGGTACGACGAGGCACCGTCCCCGTGAATCGACGAGCTGAGGCTGCTGCCACTCAACCGCTTGCGGGAATTCCTTCGAGTCGTGATCGTCGAGGCAACCGGACTCTCTCCCACCACGGATACGGATCCCGAGCGAGAAGAGGCACGGGATGGGGAATTCGAAGGAGGGGGCAGCTTAGATTTGGCCGACTGGACCCTCTCTTCCAGCTTCTGCATCTTGCCGATCAGGCCACGGATCTGATACAGGGATCCGGAGTGGGCTAGTCCGCCCTGCCGAGTGGTTTCATCGGATACGCTGGGACGGGACAATATGGACGAGGTGGAGCGGCCGGTGCTATGAGCAAAGGAGGTTGCACGAGTGTGGGCGTTGTTGTTTCTTTGCGACCTCGTGTCGTACATGGACCAAGAGCCAAGCGACTTCGAAGCGGACGCCTTTTGCCGGGGAAAACCAGGTGTGGCATTAATAGACTTGCGCATACTATTAGATGATTCGGAAATTGGCGGCGACGGGGGAGTTGCAGCGGCAGAGAGTAGGGCGGGTTTCATGGGGGGGGTGCTAAACAAGGGGGACGACACCGTTGACACCCTTGGGGAGCGATCGAAGAACCCAGGAGTCTGCGGCGTGCTTGGGCTGCGGAACAAGGAAACCGGCTTCTTGTGTCGACCGCCATGCAATTCCGCATTGCGGAGCTTCTCCTGCACTATCTCCGTCTCAACCCTCAGCTCAGACAGTTCGCCACGGAGACGCTGATTATCAATGCGTAGTTTCTCCCGCTCCTGTTCCCCGTTCTTGATCTCCTCCTCTAATAGGACCTCTCTCTCAATAGCCATGTTATATTTGGACTCCAGATCCTCCAGGGATGAAGTCGTATGACGAGCCTGACGTTCATAATCATCGTTCGCCACTTCGATGTCTCGCAATTTCAAGTGTAGTGTTCGGTTGGTATCCCGGAGCGAGGTGATCTCTTTTTGTAAGACATTCTGAGCAGCATCACCCTCCGACTTGGATTGCTTGTATTTGGTCTGTGGCGAGAACAAATGAGTTGGGCTGGCCAGGGGATGCAAACACCGCCACCACCCACTCCGTCTAGGGGGGTAGGTAGGTAGGCTGGGTGAAGATAGGGACCGGGTCTGTATCTAACAGCATACCTTCCATTCATCAACCTCATATCTCAAACCATCCACCTTCTCCTTCAATTGTCGCTCTCGCTTTTCGGATGCTTCAATGTCTTTTTCCAGCTCCGCCTCCAACTCCCGACTGGACGCTTGGAATTCGGACAACTCGGCCTCTAATTGCTCATATTGTGCCTTGTAGTATGCGAGCTCCTCCCGGCTGGAGCTGGTCCCGTTGGGTTTGGTGGAAGTAGACGAGGCGTCGGCCGAGGGCATTGTTGCCGTGCCGGCCAATGATGCCGGGACAAGGGAGGCACGTTCGGCAGGAGCACGTTGAGAAAACCGTCACCGGTAGAACAGGGGGGCGCACGTAACCAAACGTATGGATAAGGTTGGGGGCTATAAAGTAGCGAACCACGGATTGAGATCATCCACCGGGGATGATGTCAACAACCGCGCGTGAACCCGTGGTGTTGTGGTGGAGGGGCCAGGGGAGGCGGTGTCGCAGTTGTCGGGATTGCGACAAAGGCCTTTAACGAGAGAGGAGGCCGAGGAAAGGGAGGAAGAACCACGAGAAGAAAAGAGATTGAAAGCGCGATGACCAGAGCAGATTCTATGCGAATTAACTTACCTTTTTGGCTCTGTTCCCTCGCAGAGGGGAAAGGGGGGAGATGTTTTGGAAGAGGAGTGATGCTATCCGCAGGCGTGGGCAGTGCCGTGTCCACGGGAACAACAGGCAAGAGGCCAAAAGCATGGTACCGGTACTTGGTAAGGTACCTAGTAGTCAGTACCTAACGGGAGGCTAACAGGAAGTTCCTTAGTGGTACCGGGTACTTCGTACGTCGTCATAACAATAACAATCCACAGGCCCATTCCTCAGTGGGACTAGCGGCACCTGGCATGCCGGGTCTCGTGCTCACCGCCTGCGCTGTGCGTCTTCCGAGGAAACCGCGTGGGTGACTCTCGGGGGCAAAAAAGGTCTCTCTTTGCCTAGGTTTGTTTAGAGATCACCGATCGTGGTAGGATTGATTGTTCCCAGTGAGTTGTAGCGTGTCTCCTTTCTGTCTTGTGTTTCCCATCCTGGTTGGGATTCTGGATTCCCGTTCCCCGTTGCCTGAGAAGATGGTTCCCCTACCATCTTCCCATCTACGTGATGATCCGCCTTCCCTCCCCCAGATATGCTATGTCCACGCACGACAGGGTCCCGGTTCACAACAGAAGTCTGCTGCCACGCACTCATCTAGATCTCTCTTCTGATATCCATGTTGATGTTTTGGCTTCTGCATTTCGTCTGCTTGGAATTCTTACAATGATTTGTCTCTTGATTCCGGCTCCCACCATGATGCTAATGCTACATTTCAGACCTCTCGCCCTTCCCTGTGGAGATCCACTCTCGATTTATCACAATGGCTGACCCCACTGATCTGAATCTGGATGCGCCGAGCGATCTCCAAGATATCCCAGAGATGTCAATGCAACTTCTTCCCCCTCCGGAAGGGACATATCCGGACAAGTAAGTGTGGCTCATTCATCCCTGGAGATGCCGGTGGGAGAACCCTAAAGGTGCTACCTGTAGACTGTTTTCTTGATACATGTATTTATATACAATATGCTTGTTTATTCATTTACACTCTACTTACGAGAGCGACGTGTGAAGGGCCTCTCTTCTGGCGGCTGTCCAGGCTCACGGCAAAGCGCATGGATACAATGTGGTGGTCAAGTCGTCTAGTACACCCACTGAAAAGAAACCGGGACGCACAGCAAAGGTTTGGCTCCGGTGCGATCGGGGCGGACACTATCGTCCACGGAATGGTCTTACCGAAGAGACCAGGAAGCGACGGCGAACCTCGCGGTTGATGGATTGTCCATTCATGCTGGTTGCAGCTGGAACTCCTGGTATTTGGACGTTGACCGTATTGAACCCGACTCACAACCATGGCCCGGTTATTGAGAAGCCTCGACAAGTTCCTCATCACAAGGTCCGGAAGGGCCAGATCGCAGCGGTACCTTATGACTGGCCGCATGATGCCACTCTGACGCCGTATACGACGGCGTTAGTCATTATTGACATGCAAAAGGATTGTGAGTCCACAGATCATTTTAGATATTTATGTGCTGACGATGCAGTCTGTTCACCCGGTGGCTATATGGAATACCAGGGTTTCGATATTTCAGCAACGCAGGCACTCGTTGTCAAGTTGCAGCAGCTTTTGAATGTGTTTCGCTCGTCTGAATTCCCGGTTTACCACACGCGCGAAGGTATGTAGAATTCAAGCGCCCGTAATGTCCACTATTACTGACCCCAGCAGGCCACCGGCCCGACTTGTCCACGCTGCCGAGTCGAGAGGCATATCGGTCCCGAAACAATGCGCCTGGAGTGGGGATTGGTTCTCAGGGACCGCTAGGGCGCCTTCTCATCCGCGGGGAGGTCGGACACGACACGGTCGACGAACTATATCCGATCCCCGGGGAGCCCGTGATTGACAAGCCGGGACGTGGGGCATTTGCGCACACGGACTTTGAACTCCTTCTTCGGAACAAGGGAATCAAGAACCTGATCCTGGCGGGAGTGACGACGGACGTGTGCGTGTCCACAACGATGCGGGAAGCCAACGATCGTGGGTTCGACTGCGTGATCCTCGAAGACGGCACGGCGGCCAGTGAGCCATCGCTCCATGTCAGCGCGCTAGAGTCAGTGAAGATGGAGGGGGGGATCTTCGGAGCAGTGGCTAAGATGGAGGATGTGATTCATGCGGTGGAGAATTTCAAGACTGTTACAGTGAAGAAGCTGGCTCCACAGATGACGGTATAGTTTGGTTTTTATTTTATTTTATTGCAATTCAGCGAGACGGAGTGATTGGATTGGCATAATTAGACTGGAAATTGATTGACTTGACACTATAACTGACGCTGGAAACAACAACAATAATAAAGAGAATAATGAAATACAACGTTATAACCACTTTCTCCCAGCAGCCGCAACCTTATTCCTAAAAACCGGACTTTTAATAACCATCCCCTGTCGATAAAACGGACTCATCACCGTCTTGACATAATTCTCAAATACCTCATTCATGAACTGCCGCACGGCCTCCTCCGTCTGCGGCGCTGTCGGATTCGCAGCGATGGAGCTAGACGAGGCCCGAGACGAGGATCCCGCCAGCGCAGAGGAAGAGAATGAAGACGCAAGCAATGAACTCCCTGCCGTCCCTGACGATGATGACCCGGTGGTGTTAGTGGAGGGGAGTGTAGGCGGTTGGTGGAGAAGGAGGAATCGTGCGCCAGAGGGGGTGAGAAATGCTGAGATGTAGGATGATGCGGGGGGGTAGGTATCAATATGCTTTAGGTACCTATCATCATATCCATCATTAGCATATATACTATAATATAATTTATATAATGTGGTAAATTGGAAGGAGGAGGTACATATTCCCATTCATCCATTGCGCTTCCTCCAGAATATCCAAACTCGAATGGATAATAAACTGGTTCATGTATTGCGCTGTATCAGGGAATCGAAACCTCGCGATGCCATCACCGCCGCCTTTAGAGGTTCCAAAGGCGATGTTAAAGAGGGGGACATCTCTGGGCGACAGGATGGTGAAATAGTAGGACATAGTGCTAGTTAATAGGCCAGTAATTGATGTAATTCAATTATTCGATTCAATTGATAAGTTGACGGCCATGTGATGGTCACGTGGTTGATAAGATAAACACCATCTGCAATATTGAATTGAATCTACAACTCCAGTACAGAGAGTACAACTTACGAACCACATACAGAATATAGTCAGATATGCCACCCACCATATCCTATGGTCTCAATCTGCCGAATAAAAAACCCCCGGGTGGTCAAAAACGTAAGAAAGCTATTTTCGACTCCGACTCCGACGACGAAGACGGAGGAGGAGATGATGACCGCGGCGTGGAAATCTCAAGCCTAGGCGGACTGGACGAGCCCGACCCCAAGACCAACCCATCGAGGGGACCCACTACGAAACGCAAACTGCCATTCGGCGGCCAGACGGTCAAGCCGAATGTCAAACCACTGAGTAAGAAATCGATCTTCGCGGATGATGACGACGACGAAGACGGAGACAACAAACCCGGAGAGCAGCTAGGCAAAAATACCACACAATATGGATTAAACACAGCAAAGACATCCAGCGAGGAATACACGAACCTATCCGCCCTCCGCAGCAGTAAAAAACACGCCGAGGAGGCCGAGAAGCTGGATCCATCGATATACTCCTACGATGCGGTATACGAGAGTCTCCATACGAAACCGACGAAGACGCCCGTAGCAGAAGGAGAGAGTGAAACGCCTCGATACATGACATCGTTGCTGCGGAGCGCGGAGATCCGCAAGCGGGATCAGCTGCGCGCCCGAGATCGCATGCTGGCGAAGGAGCGCGAGGCGGAGGGTGAGGAGTTCGCGGACAAGGAGAAGTTCGTAACGTCTGCATACAAGGCGCAGCAGGAGGAGCTGCGACGGGTGGAAGAGGAGGAGGCGGAGCGGGAGCGACAGGAAGAAGAACGAAGAAAGCAGAATGGTGGATCGGGTATGATTGGATTCTATCGGGATATGCTCTCACGTGGAGAGCAGCAACATGAGGCCGCTGTGAAAGCGGCCGAGGAGACAGCACGACGGGTCCAGGCCGGAGAGGTGTCCGAGGAGACGGAGGATACGACCAAGGAAAAGTCGGAAGCCCAGATGGCGGCGGAGCTCAATGAGCGCGGTGCCCGCATCGCTGTTAATGACGAGGGTCTGGTGGTCGATAAGCGGCAGCTGTTGTCAGCGGGTTTAAACGTAGCGCCGAAGCCGAAGAAGCCAGACGAGACGGTCCGCTCGAAGACTGCTACACGCCCGTCGGCGGCAGTCAACTCTCGGTTCGATGGGGCCGGCCAACGGGCTGGTCAGCGGGCCCGTCAGACGGTGATGATTGCGGCGCAACTCGAAGAGCGAGTCCGGCAGGAAGAGGAGGCCGAAGCAGCGCGACAGAAAGAGATCGCCGAGCGCAGTCGCAGTCGCCGAACGGAAACCGACGTCTCGAGTGCCCGGGAGCGATACCTAGCGAGAAAGAAGGAGCGAGAGGCAGCAGCCAAAGGGAAAGAGTCTTAATGTGTGGTTCCCTCTATCGTTCTATATGGTTGCACGCACGGCGTTGGTATGGAGTTACTTGATTTTCAAAATGTATACTATCAATCGTTCATAAGATACGGCCCAGAGCACTCAATTTTCTAAGAAAAATGTATTATATATAGTAGGTTCCTGGAATGATACACCGTCGCTACCCATCAAAAAACTCTCAAGAAACACTTGTCTCACTGGTCATGAACAAATAGGGGTCGTCACTCGTGGCAAAAATGTAGTACTGAACTCCGGATGCTATCGTATTTTACTCCCGTCATCATTCTATTCGGGGCTCGACTTCAAACTACGGATCGTATGGAAAGGTAAAGAGCCGTCCTGCACTCATGCGGTCAGGGCAAAACTGAGGCCCATGAGACCCATCCCACCAATGGCAAATCCGATGCACATTCCCCGGCGATGGGTAAGTGCTAAGCCTTCGCTGAACAACTGCAAGGCCACTGAGGTCATGACGCCGGCCGTTGCCGCAAACATGCCTCCATATACCCCCCACGCGGGACCAGAGGTATCGTCACCGGGTCCGCCAGTATGTCGAGCACCCCATATCCAGAGGGCCGCCAGCGCTGCACCAGCGGGCTGACTGATGCCGCCCAAAAGGCTGGACCAGAACATGGCCTTGGCCCGCGAATGGAGCGCAAGGTAGAGGGGCAGGGCCATTGCGAAGCCTTCGCTGATGTTGTGGATGAAGAGGGCCAGAAAGACGGTCGTGCCCAGGGTCGGACTGGCATGGTTGGTGGCATAAGTAATGAAGCCCTCGGGCAGCTTGTGTAGTGCGATAGCCACCGACGTCTGTAAACCGATGGACAGAAAGGCGTTCTGCGGCACGTGGTGGTGGTGTTGGTGGCTCCCAGAAGGAACCGACTTGATCGCGTCCGCCGCGGGGGTCCCTGGGAGTCCCGTATGCGAAGAAGAGGAAGAGGAAGTAGCGTTGGTCTCACGCTGTGGTGTTGGGTGCGAGTCAAGCGGGTCCGCGGTTTGACAGACCAACTGATCTGAGTCTCTTGGTAAGGGGGTCGCGTTGGAACGCGAAATCGGCGGAAGAAAACTGTCGTCGCCCACCGCAACGAGGGTTTTCGAGCATTCGTGGCCACAGGTCTGCGAAATGCCATAGCACGGGCCACTTTCATCACACTGCGTTTTGACACCCCCCATCAGGCGGTTGAAACGCCGGACTATGCGCATGCGCCAAGGTTCGCGGGGTACCGTCGGGATGGATTGGTCAGCCCGGGGCAGCAAGGAAGTGCGTTCCGTCGGCCTCCCGTTGATCTCGGTGATTGGGAAGTCATGATGACGGCCATGCTCAAGATCGGCTGGGGGGTGCGGTTCGTGGGAGTGGGCGCAATCCACGACGTGGGAAGGAATGTAGTGGTGGAGCAGGGCAGACAGCAGGCGGATAACAATGACACCGGCCAGGAAGAGACCGATCAACGAGTAAGCGGCGAGGGAGGGTGATAGACCAGCACGGGTGAGGTACTCAAGCGAGGTGGGAAGCATGCTATAGAGCGAGGTAAAAAGCTGTTCATGGTTAACTGAGAAGAGCAGAAGCGGGGGAGCAGGAGTACCATAACGCCGGCACTGAGGCCTAATGAGGCAGATAAAAAGGCATTATTGTTCACGATTTGGAAGTTCTTTCGGTGGGAGAAGCGGCGTAGGAGTACATCGATGCAGATAACGGAGGAGCCCAGAACGCAGGCTGAAGAGTTGTCAGTTAGGTAGCTCGCAGGTAGAGTGAAGAGAACAGGAATACTCACCCACACCGGAGACGGCACTCATAATCCATCCCCGGAGATCGCTGCTGGCAGCCATGATGGATTGTGGGAGAGAGGTGAGAGATGGAGAGGGAAGAGAGAGAGAGACAGGATCAGTGAGAGAAAAAAGCGGATGAGAACCTTGAGGGAGATGATCTCATAGACCGGTATAACTTGATAAAAAGGAGACAGAAATGCATCAGCTTACAATTCATCTTGGATTCTCGAATTCTCGGATCTTCTCTGACCCTCTTTATCTCCATATTCATATTCTTATTCTTGATCTCCAATCCTGATCGTTTTATTCGTGAAAAGATACGGAGCGGTACTCCATCTTTGGTGGTCTCCATCATCACCACCATACCGGTATCTCTGAGTACCTAAAGACTCGAGATGTTGTTCTGACTAATCTGTATATTTTTTTTTATTTTTATATCTTTACTTCTTGATACGATCTGGTAGAGCCAGTTTGGATTAATTACCGATCTAAATCAGACAGAAACTGCAGTTACACAAGTTCTATCACACGGATGGTTAACTGTCTAGATCAGTCACTTGAATTCTTCATAGATATAAATATAATACAAATATATCTATCCATCTATCTATCTATTCAGTCCTTCTACTCAGGCCTACCATCTCTACTGTATTTATTCAAGATTGTTTCGACTGATCCGGTCACCTGATTGGTTAAGCTTCCAATTTACTCCACTAGGCAATTCATCCTCTCTCTCTCCTCCCTCCTTTCCTCTCCTCGTTCTCCCTTCAACCATGTCTAAAATCACCGTCGCCGCCATAGCTGCGGCCAGTGCGGCCACCGGAGCCGGTCTGACAGCCCTGATCTATTCCTCTAGACCGTTGCAACCTCCCCAACAACAGCAACAGTCACAGAAACTCCCTCCGACACAGCTGGGAACCACCATACCTCCCTCCCAACCTGCGCCTCCTTCTCTCGCTTCCAAAGCTTCCGGTGGTTCCCCCGTCGACCCCTCCGGTATCTACCAATATGGCTTCCCCGGTCCCGTGGCCGACACCCTGAACTCTCTCCCCCTGACAGGGGCATACGATCGCCGCATGCGCAATCCCGCCTGGGTAGCCGAACACATCACACCAGCCTCCCTGGCGCAGAAGAACGCGGATCGGAAAAACAGCACCTTCTTCGAAGACACCACCATCCCAACGGCATTCCGCGCCAAACTGGCCGATTATTTTCGCTCGGGCTACGATCGCGGCCACCAGGTACCCGCCGCGGACGCCAAATGGTCGCAAGGCGCGATGGATGCGACCTTCGCGCTCTCCAATATGTGTCCGCAGGTTGGTGAGGGCTTCAACCGCGACTACTGGGCCCATTTCGAGGATTTCTGTCGTAACCTGGCAAATAAGTACCCCTCAGTGCGGATCGTGACGGGACCTTTGTATCTGCCCCATCGAGACCCGGATGGGAAATGGCGTGTTTCCTACGAGGTGATTGGGAACCCGCCGAACGTGTCTGTGCCAACGCATTTCTACAAGGTGATCTATGCGGAGGAGGGGCCGGCGGGGAAGGTGGCTTTGGGCGCGTTTGTCCTGCCGAATGCTCGCATCTCGAATGATCGACGGTTGGCTGACTTTGAGGTGCCCTTGGAGGTGGTGGAGCGTGCCAGTGGACTTGAGTTCGCGAACAAGTTGGAGCCGAGTCGTCGCAAGCGTCTGTGTCAGGAGGTCAAGTGCGAGGTCACGGTGCGTGAGTTCAACAATGCAGCCAAGCGGACTTAGTCTGTATATTTTAGATTATTTTACACTCCGATTGTCTGACCTCCGCGCGAGAGGCTGTCTGTATGTATACATTAGGTCGTTCAATATCCACCAGCTTGTTTATCCCTCGTAGGTTAACATTGAAACGCAACCCCCGACTTGGTGGCTATGTTTCCTCCGCCTCCTGCAAACCCAGTTCCCTCGGAACTGACCTCGACCAACCCGGGCTGGATGCCATCTTTCTTTTTCTTCTTCTTGGTGCTGGCATCCTCTGGAGTGACGTCGGTTTCGCAGACGTAGCAGAGGATGCGGCCGTGTAGCGCCGCCGTCTGCTCCTGTTCTTTTTTCGTAGCATGGGGATCGGGGGCATCGTGGGGAGTCATGAATTTAGAGACGCAAGGTTGGCAGATGACATGGCCGCACGGTTTAGTCACTATTATAAGGCATAAGGTTAGAGAGGCATATAGGTATATAGAGAGAGAGACACATACGCATAGCTTTGAGACCATTCGTTAGAGTCTTCTTACAACTAGGACAGATACGAGCAACAGAGCCATCGGTCGTCTTTTCCTCAGTGAAATGCACGTCGACCAGCGACTTGAGCGAATAACCATGGCGTTTATCCTCCGAGGACGCCGGACAGATCGGAGTCAACTTGACGGCTTGATTGGCAGCGATTTCGTCAGGGTCGGTCGTGGGCGTCAACGAGGGGACCCAAAAGGAGGGTAAAGCGGATTTGCTCTCGGACTATTCAATAAATGTATCGTATATACGTATATATGTGTAGGGTGGATAGATTGATGGATACCTTTTCCCTCTTCAGCTCGGTTTTCAATCGTTCTTGTTCCTCACGAGCTACGCGCGCAAGCTCCTTCTCATCCAGCTCGAACACCTTCTTCCGTTTCCCGTTGACTTCGACCTCGCGGGATTTGAAAGCCAGAGTGTCTGATGCGTCTTCGGCTTTCCGCTTCTTATTATTCTGATCATCCTTACTCTCATCCTTGTCCCTAGCGGGATCCAATCCCATGCTCACGAGTTCGAAATCGTGGAGATCGCGCTGTCGCGCCTCTTCGAGAGTGCGTTGTTCATCGTCGGCGAGTCGCTTGCGGGCGGCGTCGCGACGTTTCTCCAGTCGTTTGATCTCCTGATGCTGGGCGAGCAGGTCGTTGATGGCGCATTCGCGACAGAAGAGATCACCGTGCGAGGCGCAGGCGACGACCGGGTTGCGGGCGGGGTGAAGACAGAGTCGACACGAGTCGAAGGGGAGGAAGGAGTCACGACCGATGACGCCGCGCTGCGTTCCCCAGGTTGAGCGCAGGAGACTGCGCTCGTAGGAGGTGAAGTGCGGTAAGGAAGTATTTCTTTTCGAATGGGCCATGGTGTTGGTTGATGAGAAAGTATACTACTACTCCCCCGGGGCTTAGTGAACTCGAGGATAACTAACCAAATTATGCGCATGACATAATCATCCATATCATAGTTAACAAATTATAATGGACGTAAACATAAATCAATTGGTCAAGCCCTTACTATTTGTACCTCTCTACTTCTATCTATATATCCTGTAATAAGAACAGATAGGGATCCTGACTCCAGATCGGTCACTCTCTAGAGTAAGCCTCCATTTGGGGGCCAACAATTTACCAGATATTCAGAGACAGAGACAAAGACAACCACCCCATCTTCAAAATCGCTCGTCAACAATGGCAAAAAGACCGGGGTCCGTCTCGCAACACAGGTATTCATTTCGCGAATGGATGCTAACCCACCAAATCGGTATCTCCTTCCACCCGCTTTGATCAGAAATATACTAAACTGACTAACTTACACTGACAAAGGCCTCTCCCTAACACTCATCGCCACGCTTCTCTCCATCCACAGCCTATATCCCTCTCTACAACCGTATACCGCCCCATTCTTCCAACTGTCCTACTACAATGCCGTACAGAACACCTACCGTCCCGGAGGGAAGGACATCTCGCTGGTCGTCAGCGCCGCTCTCGTCCTAACCGCCGTGCGTGCCGTCGCCATCGAATGGATCCTGCAACCTCTGGCTCGACGGGTCGGATTGAAAACGAAAGCGGCTCTCCGAGTAGCGGAACAGGGATGGGCATGTATTTATTATATGATATTTTGGCCGTGTGGGATGGTTTGTCCCCTCTCTTCCACTCAGCATACTACTTTCTACACCACTTATATCACTATATGAATGGTATATGATGATGCTAATAAGATAGTACCTCTGGTCCTCCTCCAGCTACTGGGCCGACTACTCCACGTTATGGACTGACTGGCCCGCACGAGATATGTCTGGCCGCATGAAACTGTATCTCCTCGTGCAGCTGGGTCTCTGGATCCAGCAGATCCTGGTGATTCATATCGAACAGCGACGAAAAGATCATTACCAGATGCTGATCCATCATTTGATCACCTGTGCCCTGTTGGGTTCTGCTTATACATATGGGTTTTATAACGTCTCGAATGTGGTGCTTTGTTTGATGGATATTATTGATTTACTTCTTCCGGTATCCCTCCTTTGCCTATATTATATTATACAAATAATGGTGTTGATTATATGGAAATAGGCGGCAAAAGTCCTCAAATACCTCCACTTCGAAAAATCATGCACCCTTGCGTTTGGAACCATGTTACTCGTATGGCTCGTCACCCGCCATATCTTCTTCCCGCAACTCTGCTGGTCCATCTACAAGGACGTCCCCACGCACATGCCGTATGCGTGCTACTCCGGAGCCACGGGGGAGATCCTCCTCGGGTATCCGGAGGGATATCCCTCATCTAGGGACACATGGGCTACATACCTGCTGTATCTGTATCCTTTTCAGGATCTGGATGGTCCCATCTGCATGAATGCCAGTATCAAGTGGGCATTTATTGCGTCATTGGTTGCCTTGCAGGCGTTGTCGCTCGTGTGGTTTGGTATGGTGGTTAGGGTTGCTATGAGGGTTCTCCGGACTGGAGTCGCGGAGGATACGCGCAGTGATGATGAGGAGAGTAGGAGCCATGGTGCCGGGGCTACGGGATTCGATCCCAGTGTGGTACGACGTGTGCGCGATCCTAAGGCGCTTCTGGGGAGGATCGGCTGCGAGAAACCAACCTCTTAGTTGGATCCCCTATGGCTATAGCACTCCTGAACATAATTTGTGGTATTACCGCTCAGAAGATATCTACTGGACCGTATTGTTACTAAAGCAGACAATCATGAATTCCGAATCCGCTATCGAAAATAAAAACCCACCGCAAAAAGAACAAACCAAAACCTAAACCAAGGTCAAGGGGTATAATCGTCGTAAATGGAGTAACCAATCTCGATAGCTGCGAGGCCAAATCATGCATGCACTGTCTGCTCCGGAGTACTAGCCGGCATTTTCTGGCCCGTGTTTCTCTCAACGCCGTGATTCTCAGCCGCTATTGAGTGCGACCCCCGATCTTCGTCTGACACTGTGGCGCTCTCCTGGATCGGGGGGACAACATGGACGAGTGAAGCAGCGGGCTCCGTCAACTTCGAATCCAAGTCCAGCGTGTCCTCGCTTTTGGCTTTGATCTCCCCGTAGAGTCTCCCCGCAGCCTCTTTGGCACCGTCGGAGTCCTCCGCAGTCGGGATGCTCTGCCTGGTGGCCGTACTAGGTCGGCGTAGAGAGAGTACGTCTCCCAAGTTCACCGGCTCCGAAACAATGGAGTCGGCGCTGCTGCCAATTCCGGGTTCGCGGACCCTCTGCTCGTCCGACGGAGTCGGCTTGCGCAGTTTCAGTCGCTCCTCCGGTGGTATATTTTGCCACTCCGACCCAAACGTCACGATAGAAGCCTTCTTGCCGTGAACGGTGAAGCTCGCCGACTTCCGTGACAGACCTTCTCCTCGTACTCCTTCCGTAGCTCCCTGTCCGTCCTCCGGCGCGGTCATGTTGGATGCAGAGTCGCGTGATTTCTTGCTTCGAGGATAGTTACCGTGATTTCCACTCGAAGTGTCTCGCAAGGTGCGATGTAGACTACGGCGGACTCGGCTCATCCGCTCACCCGCATACGCATCCGACGCATCGTCGGCCTTGGAATCGCCATCGCCCCCCTGGCCGGCGGAAGACAGCTTCCGCGATTCATGCGAGCTGTTGACATCAAGCAAACCAGTCTCGCGAAGAAGGCGTTCTTCCCCATCGTCGAAGCTTGCGGGAACCGTGAGCTTGGAACCTCGTGACCCCAGGCTGGAAACATCAAATTTACTAGCAGCACTGAGGACGGATGCTTCACGCTCCAGTCGATTTGTTGGGGTCGGTGACCAGGAGTCAGTCCGCTCTTTGGGCTGGTCGACGGAGAATCGCCTACCAGCACGAGGGGCCAGCTCGGACGAGGCGACAGAGGGTGCGATGGAGGGAACGACGCTCGGTCTGCGGGCTTCAGAAGGCTGTGCGACTGCGATCTGATGCACTGATGTAGGGCTACCAGGGTCCGCATGTGGGAATACATCCTCAACGGGAGACGCCAGCTTGACGGGAGATGCCAGCTTGTCGGCATGAGCTACTTCTGACGCATCTAGAGTCGACGGCACAACGTTCGTCGTCGGGATCTGCAGATGCAAGGGATTCTGCTCCGTGACCCCCTGCTTCTCGTCTTCAAGTTCTTCGCCGTCCAGGTCCCGAACCAGGACTTCCCGATAACACTTGGTGCGCCAGATATCCTGTCTCACCCACTTCAGTTTCGCTTCCATGCGTCCTGCAGCCATAATGACGTTCTCTCGTGCCCTAGCATGCACGGGTGTCAGGACCTGCAGATGTCGGGCATTCCGCAAAAGTTCATCCAGCTGCCTCTGGCCCACAAAGAGCTTTTCATTCGCCTCTCGGATCCTTTGACGTAGAAGGTGCCTCCGGGCTAGAACTACGTCTCGAGCGACATCTGTATCTGGGTTAGGCGAGGCTGGCTCCCTGTCGGTGGACACCCGCGAGCCGCTGGAATGAACGGAACCTCGGCGGCACATTCGATTGCGCTGGGCTTCATAATTAGTAGCGATCATTCCTTTCGTCCGTACACCAGTAGTTCGAAACGTTGACGCGTAATTGAGCTTGGCCAACCAATCATTCATGTCCGCATCCGTGTTGGCTAAGAACACTTCCTCCAGAGCATTGTGGCGCACGAAAACAAAGGCATGTTTGTGCTTCTTATAGCTGGAATCTAGCAAAGCCACGGCACCCCCAGTCGACATGATGCCGTCCGGTTTGAAGTCTGTGAGAGGCGGTTTGAACACAACCGCTCGACGGGACCCATCCCTGTGGTGAGCTTCGTGTTGGGCCATGAGGGACTTGATCCACGTCACATCCTTAAAAAGGTAGAGCTGCGACAGAGTCAGGAGAGCGCCCCATTCCTGCCATGGCGATCGAGCTCTCTTCTTCTTTGGGTCCTTGCGCCAAAGCAAACCGACCTTGGCGACCTTGATGTCCACCACCCCGGGGTTGGAGTCGGCGGGGTTTTCCAGGCTAGACGGCATGAACGCATCAGGCCGCGACCGGGGGGACAGGATCTGCAAGATACCGGACTTGGCAAAATCGTGGTGGAGGCTGTCCATGTCGGGCGGCCCATCTGTGCCATCACAGCGATAGGTATCCTCCAGGTTCATGACGTCCTTGAGACTTGGTCGTAGAGAGTCGAGCTTTCCGTCCATGATTAGGGTATAGGGATCCACTGGTTCCCGCGAGACGCGAGCCAAATGGTCCGAGCTAGCGGTCTTCAGCAAAGGACGTCGGGTTTTCGAAACGTGACGCCCGTTTGCATTCGCCTCCTCGATGTGGATGAAAGGGGTGTAGGAGATGTTTTCGTAGAAACACTCCAGAATGTCCTCCGCTAAGCCTTCACCGCGACAGTTTTTCACGTAGTCTGGTTTCTGCATTTTGCGTTTATTGTTCTTGTTGAAAACATCGGTATGCAGGATCAAGATAGAGAAGGCGATAAAGTAAGCTTGATCTAGATGGTATGTGACGTTAGGACACCAATGTGGGCTATAAAGAAGACTAATAACATACCGGTTGAGGCGAAGATCCCCGGGTTACACTCATGGTACCTGTCAGCAAAACTCTGCAGAAAACGGTCGATCTGTTGGGTCTCCTTCGGCAGCTCCACCTCCATCAAGAGTTTGCGGATAGCCATATCAATAGGATCTCCGAAAAAGGAAAACCCTCTCATATACTTTCTTAGTGCGTTCTTATAGAAGTCGTCATTTGCCTGGGCCAGCACTCCGGCAATTACACTCTTCGGGATGGTCTCTTCCAACCGAGTCAAGTACGTCGCCGGTGTGTCGTCTTCCCGCTTCTCTGGGTATGACGGCAGACTGGGGTTCGCAGGAGGAGTCCCGGAAGCACTGACACTAGGAGTTCCGAGTCGAGGGAAGGGGGGTTCGGAATTTTGCCTCAACAGCTGCGTGATGCTGAAAATATCGCCGAAGCTCTTCCGCCCGCTGGTAGAGGTGGACGTCCGTGCGGAAGAACTTAGATGAGGGGACAACCGTCCGCCATCCTGTGCGTTGACTAGGGAATCCAACGTCGAAGATCTTGGTCGGGTCGTCGGTCTTGTCTGGCTCCTACTGGAAGGGGTAGAGCGGACGGAATGGGTAGAGTTTGCCGAGTTCTTTCTGGGCAGAGGAGGTCGTGGCGACGACACGCCCACCGACGATCGAGAGGGAGATGGCAGCGGAGAGACGTGATCCTGTTCGTCCGCGTACTCGGGTTTCGGGACGGACTTGGCTGCAGTCGAGTCCGGTGCTGCCGGCTGTGAGATGGTTGGCTTTGGAGGCAAAGGGAATAGCGGGCTGCGATTTCGTTTCAACCGCGGCATGCGAAATCGTTTACTAACGGAAGTCGCCGGTTCACGGCTGGCGCCAGGATCTCCAAGACTCTGGTCAGAACGAGAAGACTCGGAAAACCGAGCATCCGTCACTGATGATCGCTGGGAATCCTGCGGGTGGTCGCGACCACTGCTCCGAATCGACGTCGTAGATAACCGTCCCGGCTCTTCGCTACTGGCTTGAGACGCTGATAGAGTAGGATCCGCCCGCTGGCTGTCAGTTGATTCCTGAGCTGCATGTCGAGACTTCGCATATGGATTGGGATGTTGTGGAGAGGACCGGGCAGAAAGTTCCTCGGCGGACGGCTTTTTGGAATCTGGAAATAGCTTGAACTTGGTCTTTCGCTTGACGAGCTGGTCGGTGTCCTGGGTTGTGGGTGCAGTGGTGATTATGGTCGGGGCTGTTGTCGACGACACACGTAATCATTAGCCAGCTGTTCAGTAAGACGTCGTGGTGCCCCATCAACTTACGTGGTAGGGACGGTACTGGAGGGATATCCTCCTCTCCCTTTGCGTACGACTTCGAAAGCTGCGGGTCGGAGGCATGACGGAGTCTCATAAAGCTAAAGCGATTTCTACGCCAGTTTGAACCGTCTTCGGGGGTCATCGCGGGGTTCACTCTTCGGGTGTTGGCCGTCGAGTTACGAGAGCGAGATCCAGCGAGTTGTACGGCGTCATCATTATCGGCATCATGATCCCCTTCTTCTACTTCCTCTGACCCAGTCAACGGTGGGGAACGAGGAGCAGACTCTGAATGTCTGGGAGCGAGGTTGGTGGTTGAAAGGGTAGGACGAGGCAGTTGCTCGCTGTGCCGGGACAACGATTGAGGTTCGGTCATGCTTCGTTTTTTGGATTCGTCGCTGTCCGAGGTACCCAGCCATAGACTTTTCCAATGCATGGCGAGCGACAGACCGCATACGAAGTCCTGGGTTATCGGGGGGCAGAACTTGTCCCAGTGTGGCCCATTCGAAAGGATGCAGCTGCGCCGAACGATTGATGCAAGGTATTTGGACCAAGCCAATCCAGGGGCTCCGCCGGTGGGGGAGGTGAGGGTCGAGTCAGACGACACTAGGAGGGTAGTATAAAGGCGTCACCCTTAATTGGAATCAAATTGGCATTGCGAACAAACCGGTGGAGGGAGAGAGACCAGTCGCGAGGAAAAGAATGGGCAGTGGCGGGAGGTGGAGGCGCGGCTTCGATAAAAAAGGGGGAAATGGAGACGGTAAGGGTCAATCATAAAAAAAGAGTATTCTTCAACAATATATAATCAGGAGGGAATCGTGAGGAGTTTTTTTTTTTTATTTGTCATCCGACGATGTTAACTAGTTAAGGGAGAGGGAAGAGGAAGGAGAGGAAGGAAGGGTCTCGAGAGAAATGGGGAATCGTATGGTCAAAAAAGTCAGAGGTGTAAAAACAGACCAAAGTGTCAAGGGGGAGAAGCTTTTCTTTCTTTTTTTATTTTTTATTTTTTTTTTGAACAAAAAGGTATAAAAAGAATAAAAAGAAAAGAAAAAACCAGGAAAGAAATAGGAAGGAGAATATCCAAATCAATCCACAAAAAGAACGACCAGCGACGAGCGGATACGGAGAAAGAAGCCAAGAAGGCGAAGAAGGATCGAGGTGACGATGACGAAGTAGTTGGTTTCAGCCGGCACGTGTCAGGTACCTGGTTGGGTCGGCGAATGCTAATAAATGGAATCGTGCGGCAGAGACACTATTCTTTCACATGGAGTAATGGAAGAGATGCAGAGTCAGTCAGAGTCAGAGTTGGAGGATGCTAAGGCGACCTGAAAATGGTGGAATTCCATAACTAGCCGGTTAACTTCTTAACTTAAAAAGAATGATGACTAACCCGACATGGCATCAATATACTATAAATAAATAAATGTAAATAGAATGGTAAATGTAAAACTGCAGATCTATCAGTTATTTACTATCCAGAGGTTATGGTATATAAAACCGACGGTTTTAAGACGAGGTAGGAATATAAAGGTACATCCCGGGTACTTTGGATAATGATGAAAAGACTCCATCGACAAAGTACCTCTAAGTACCACCCATAGCCTTCCAATTGGTAATTAATTCCACCTGCATTTTATATTTAACATGTCGAACCTTTCCCGGATGGACCGAGACCGAGAGTAACAGAGACCGAAAAATAATGGGGTCTCGCAGTTCTACGCCTATACCCGGCCACAGAACGGCTTCGTCAGCAGCTGAGCAGAGACAGCAAAACACAGCAACAATAATTAAGATAACATCAGATGAGAAGTCCAGAAGGGCCGGAAACCTTATCGAAGTGGGCCGGTGGGGAGAGACAGATTGACCAAGTGAATTCATATGGAGTAATAAATAGTATCCGGTGTGGGAATTGAATGAATTCTTAGTTGATCGAGCTATTGGTCTCATGAGATGGTGATCAACAGGAGAATAAGGTCATTCCGTGAATATATATGAAGATGAAGACATTCCTATAATACAGACGACTCCTAAGATTTGATTTGCTGCTCGCCGCTTGTGGCCATACCCGATGTGGTGTAGGCAGAAACCAAAGCCATCCTCAACATCTCTCTCTCTCTCTCTCTCTCACTCTCTTCCTTTCACTTACACACGCTCTTTCTTCTCTCCTCTTCTCCCCAAAGGATGCTGACTTAGAGGATTCAATTGGTGATTTGATCACTATCCAATATGCGTCATCTTCTGTCTCTCGTCTTTCTCCTGGTCGCATGGGCCACCGTCATCTCCGCGGTCCCCGCCGGTTCCAGCATCACTCCTCCACCGCCCATCGAACCGGTTCAACTCCTTTCATCACAGCCTTCTACCCCTCGTCGCCCATGGATCCGACTCCGAGATTGGGTCATTGAAACGATATGGGGGATCCCAAATCTGACCTCCCCGCGCTCCCCATTCAGGGATCCCTCGCGCCATCGGCCCCCTTCGTCTCAGGTACTGGCGCGCTATGGCAGCGATGTGGTCCTTCGATTCCACTTGCGCACTGTTAAGGAAGCCGAGGCTTTGGCCCAGGCCGCCGATGTGCTCTTCTTGGATGTGTGGGCATCGACGTCCGAATTCGTCGACATTCGGCTGGCAGAAGAAGTGGTGAGCTTAGGCTCCCAGATTTCGCCTATCACATGAATTCATCGGTTCTAATCATGGCTCTCCAGATCCCCTCGCTGCTCGGCCTCTTGCCTAAATCCCTGAAAACAGCCTATATACCTCTCATTGACAATCTGGCGGAGATGATCTACAACTCGTACCCGACTCGACAGTCTATAGGTCTCGAGCAACCGGCCAGACTCGAATCTCCCGCCCGACAGTCGGCCCAAGTGGGGGATCTGTTCTTCGAAGAGTACCAGCCGCTGTCTGTCATTGTTGCGTGGATGCGATTGATGGCGTCCATGTTCTCGTCACATGCTCAGCTGATTAATGTGGGATTTTCATACGAAGGCCGCGAGATCCCCGCGTTGCGGCTGGGTGCTCGTCGTGACTCTGGGTCCAGGCCGCGGAAGACCGTAATCATAACCGGTGGAAGTCATGCGCGGGAGTGGATCAGCACGTCCACGGTGACCTACGTCGCATATAATCTGATCACGAAGTACGGCAAATCAACGGTGGTCACCGACTTGTTGAACGACTATGACTGGGTCCTGGTGCCCACGATCAACCCCGACGGGTACGCGTATACATGGGAGGCAGACCGCCTGTGGCGCAAGAACCGACAGCCCACAAGCCTGCGATTCTGCCCGGGGATTGATCTGGACCGTGCGTGGAGTTATGAATGGGACGGCGAGCCCACACGCTCCAACCCTTGCTCGGAGAGCTATGCCGGTGACGAGCCCTTTGAAGGCATCGAGGCGCACCAGATCGCTCAATGGGCGCTCAACGAGACGCAGTCCAACGGCGCTGAGATTGTCGGGTTCCTGGATCTCCATTCGTACTCGCAGCAAATCCTTTATCCCTTCTCATTCTCGTGCTCTTTGGTGCCCCCGACCTTGGAAAGCCTGGAGGAACTCGCTCTGGGCCTCTCGAAAATCATCCGACTGACGACGCACGAGATCTACGATGTCACGTCAGCCTGCGAGGGAATAGTCACACCAGCCAAACACGGAGCCCAAACAACCTTCTTTCCTGTTGGAGGCACCTCCGGCGGCAGCGCCCTGGACTGGTTCTACCATCAGCTGCACGCCACATATGCGTATCAGATCAAACTGCGCGACCGAGGCAGCTACGGCTTTCTTCTTCCGTCGGAATACATCATCCCCACGGGCAAGGAGATCTACAACGTGGTTCTTACCCTGGGCCATTTTCTCACCAAAAACACAGCGGCCGTGGACGACTGGTTCACCGAGTTCGGACGCACGGATGAGCCCGCACCCCCGTCGCATCATCCGGATACGGCTGACACAGCTGACACAGCTTACACAGCTGGCTCGAGAGACGAGCCCGACATCGAAGACTTGGAAATGGTCGATTGGGAGGAACCCCATGCGTGGGACCTACGATGACGATCTGATATATCTATTTTATATCTATCACTGTATTACAATACGGGTGGTGTTCTGGATTTGACTTGGTAATAATTGATTGGTTGGATGAGATTATGACTGATGATGTTTATACATTGATTGAATTGACTGTCGGGTATAATAATACTTTGATCGAGTAGGATAAACAGAGTAACTGAGACAGCATATGCTCTTCTCTAACTAGATATACAGTAATTACCCGACAACAGCAACCATAAGTAGCCTAAAACTTGTGGAACCTCCAAGTGGCAAATCACGTGCCTTGGTTTGCCTGAACCCCCAGCCACTCTCCATATTGCATATAAAACAGCGATCTTTAACTAATAACTTCACGAATAATAGATTTTAGATAGATATAAGTCAACTATATATAGCTTATATAAATAGTGTAAAATATATGATTTTGTTTAAAAAATTTAACCCCTTTTTCTAGCCTATGATAGATAAATAGTAGTAATATAAAGGAATACAGAGGTAATTTATTTTACAAAGGTAAATAATTAGTCTCTAGATTCATCTACCTAACATACAAATCTAACCTACTACATTATTTAGTAGCTTAAATTCCAGCACTTCTAGATACTTGATTGGCGAGATATACAAGTTTAATTAATTTCATTACCTCGACTTTATAATATCAACATAACCCCACCAATGATTATTCAACTATGTTATCTAGACTGATCTAGACATGCCTAGGTATTAAAAACTACAAGCACCATAGGAATATTGTATTTTGAAATCGTGAATTCAATAAGATATAAACATAATTATGACCAGGGGAATCAGAATCAGAATCAAATCAGAACAACCAAGAAACAAAAGTCCGATAAAACCAATTCGCATTCGCATTTTTTTCCTCATTAGCCGCCTGCCGCGCGAGGAACTCCGCCTCTTCACGATCAATAACATCCTTTCCGGTCCAGAGATCCGCCTCGTGGGGATTAACCCCCTTAGTGCCCATGATGTACTTGTACCCCAAGAGGAAGATCAAGTAGAGCGGGATACCAAGGTACGCCGTGATGAAGGTCTTATAGTTGAAGTTGCCATAATCCGGGCTATACGTGAAGACGTCGTAGCTCTTTGTTATACAGATGATGATGCAGAAGAAGAGGGCGGCATAAGAGCCGTAGACGCCGAACGGCGCCTTATAGGCCAGATCGGACTCGGGGACCTGTTGAGCCTTGCGGGCCCGCACGAAGAAAATGTGCGTGACGAGGAGGGAGACCCAGGTCAAGAGACCGAAGATGGTGACGAGGTCCACAAAGTAGCCGAAGACGGTCTTGGAGTCGTTGGACACGTTCATGAACGCCAGGCAGGCGATGAGGGAGCACAGGATCAGCGCGAAGACGGGGACGCCGCGACTGTCGGTGCGGGCTAGGAGGGAGGGCGCTTTTCCTTCGCGCGCCAGACCGTAGATGGTCCGCGTGGCAATATAGAGATCTGAGTTGGCCGCGGAGAACACGAATAGCAGGATGCAGGCATTGAGGATGTCTGGTAGGGCGGGGATTCCCGACAGCTTGATGGCAACCACGAAGGGCGATGCCGCGGCAGAGCTGCTCGCTTTGTTGGCGAAGACCAATTCTTTGTGGTCGAACGGAACGAGGGTGCCCACAAGCAAGACGCTGATGACGTAGAAGACGACAATCCGGTAGAAGGTCAGTTTGATAGCCCTGGGTATGGTCTTGCGCGGGTTCTGCGCCTCGCCGACAGTTACGCCGATTAACTCGGTCCCCAGGTAGGCGAAGGTCGCAGAGACCATGGTGGCCCAGAACGCGTAGAATCGACCCGCTGCTTTGTTCTCATGATCAATATAGGTGTTGAAGGCGCCGGGGTCCTTCCAGTAGCGAAAGCCTTTGCGGTCATGGTCGGGCCCTCCACCCAGCATCAGGATGAAGGAGACCAGAATCAGGCCAAGAATGACAATCACCTTGAAGGAGGACAGCCAGAATTCAAATTCGCCAAAAAACCGTACTCCGAAGTAATTGATGCAGACGATCAGCACCAGGAATATGGTAATCCAGGCGCCTGCATTGACTCGTTCGGGTTTGATCCAGTACTGTATGACTAGCGCCCCGGCTGTTAGCTGACTCGGCGTGAGGATGATATATTTAAACCAATATCTGTAGAAAGCGATGCCGTCAGCAACGATCTGGCAAACAATTAGGATCGAAGAAAGTCTTACGTCCAGCCCAGCGCAAATCCCAGCGCCGGGTCAACGAAGCGCACCGCATAACCCGTGAAGCCAGAAGGCAAAGGTAGCCAGGCGGCCATCTCTCCGAGGGCACACATGACCAGATAGACGATGAATCCGACGACGGAATAGGAAATCAGAATAGAAGCGGGCTAAATAGTCAGTTGCGTCCTGTTATATCGCGTGGTTCCACTTACACCACCTCTATGGAGATCCGTAAGCATAGGGTATATAGATTTTGGCAGAGGTTTCGTCCAACTGACCTTGCAAGAGCCTTTCCCGTTCCAATAATAAGACCCGTACCAATCGCGCCTCCAATGGCTAGTGGTCAGTTAGTACCTGTAATGGCGCCGTGGACGACGGAGCCCTAAGCGACGCATGTACGTATGTACGTACCAATCATAGTAATATGGCGAGCCTTGAGGGCGCGATGGAGGTCTACATGATGCTGTTGATTCATGACACCCTCCTCGGTAGCGGAGATTTCATTTTTGATGGGCATCTCGTTGGAGAGCCCATCGTTCTTGTATTCCACTACGCCCATGGTGGGCAGAGAGAGGTGTTTCTTCGGCAACAATCACGGGATAGCGGGCAGGTACGCTCTGCTAATGACTCTGATCCGAACGAGACAAGAAAGGAAGATAATAAAAGGGGAGGAACACCGAGAGAAGGAAGGAAGAGAGAAAATAAATGGGAGGGAGGAGTATTTAGAGCATCGGGAAAAAAAGGTAAGAATGGAAGAAACGAATCGTGCCACGGACTAATCATCTAATAAGAATAGTCATAATTATATATTAATATATTAACGACCAGAATAGACGGAACACGAGGTCCATAATGATAAGCGGGGAGACTACGAAAAGATTATACGACGTTAGTACGGAGCACTGCGTACTATTTCTGATTGACCAGGCTTCGAGGCATCTTCCCCTCCCTAGTATACAATTACACTCGGTACAGACCATTCCGAGAGTACAGAAACCAGGAACTCCATTTTTCGGGGCCAGAAAGTGGCAGACATCCATGGAATATTAACCGAAGCGATTGGATCTGGCGAACAGGCGGACGGGCTTGGCGGACTTTTATGGAATAAAATAAGCGTGAGACTGTCGACCCATCTGGGGAAGAAAAGGCTTGGATGTCGCGATTAGCTTTGGTGTTAGTCATGGAAACTGATTTGGATTTGATCCGGGGAAGACGAATACGATATGCTTTATTTATTACTTCTTTCTTCCTTCTTCCCTTTCTTCTTTCTTCTTTCTTTCGTGTACTTCTTCCATAGTACTACCTCGTACTACATGTTCCTCTTTACAATTTACATAACTGTCTGTAAGATGCAGCCGAAGCAAAGCGAGAATGCGGCAAGATCCCCGCAGAGCACGGCCAATGGGGAAGAATGCCCGACGGTCTTGGCACGGCTTGGCTGCCACCGTGGCTGGAGATTAGGTGGCATACGGAGGACGACTCCTTTCCTATTACGGTCTTAGACTCTTAGTACGATGTGGGAATTGGGCCGTAATATGGATGGCTTCTGCATACGGTGCCCGGGCCGTCGACAAGCACGATACCATGAAAGTATCGGTTCTCCCGTCAACAACATTACGGAACCAAGACAGCCGAGCCTCCCTGGGACGCCAAGATTTCCTATCAGTTGTTTATCTACACAGCCCCTGTTTGTACCAATTACCGGACCTGGCTTATCTCCCTGCGTTTCGAGAACCTTTCAGTTGCCATGTGGTATCTTGCGTCGGTATACCGTACCACTACCAACTAGATACGGAGTAGGTAGTAGGTAGTAACCAACAGAGTCCAGGCTATGACGCTATAATTTCATGGTCCCTCCGTAAAAGTGCTACACAACGAATCCTTGGAAGGATCCAACGGACACCATATGTGGATACCTCCTACAATACGTTAGGTAATGGAATCCATATTCCCCGGGATCTTATCTGGATGCTGGAGGGACTGAGGGATTTCCGGTATCGACTCCGGACTGTACGACGCAGTTCTCCGGTCCCAAGGTATCTGGCCAGTACTTGGATAAGTCCCTCCGTAGAACCTAGCTTAGTCGGTATGATTCCTTCATCCGGGTCAGCTCGACCAGCATCTCTAGTCAGTGTATATTGGGACTCCGCCCAATGGGAGGGCAGCGGAATCGATGCAGCGGGCGTTTGTTCGATCAGGGGGTGCCAAGTCGAGTATATCTGAGGCGTTTCTTGGGTCTTGGAGTTGTATTATCTCGATCTTGATTGGGCCGTTTTCTGAACGCTCTCTGACTAGACCTTCGTAGTAGTAGGTACGGAGTAGTACTCTGTAGGTGGGTTTGGATGAACCTGGAATCACTCAGGATGTGCAGTAGGCAGGTAAAAAGTATATATACCTTAGTATCTGGACATATCATGAGTCTCTTCTCTAGTACGGATATCCTCCAAGACTTTCTAGCCACCTGGGGCCATTTTTTGTCAACGCCTTCACCCTTCTGTCAGATCTTGGAGTCGATGCTGGATCAGACTTTGGCATACAGAGTATCACTCGATTGTAGTATATCTGGCATATAGATATATTGATATATATTATTGAAAGGTAAAGAAAAGAAGAGGAAGAAGTATAACCACTATGGAGTACATCTGAGACGGGTGGTTGGCCCAGGCATAAAGACAGAAAGTGGACGAATGAGAAGAATGAACGACTCGTGTCACTTGATCTTGCCGAGGGATTATCATTGTAAGGATGGCATTAGAATACCGCTGAACACGTCCAGGTTGAGTGATGGCGTATATTTGGCCCCCACATTCATGCATTCCAGTCTGCATACGCTGGATAAAGATGGACAAAGATGGATAAGAATACTTACGATGATAACACAGACTGACAAATAGGACTCGCTTCCATCCCTCCACAATCAACTCTCCTACGTGGCCACAACGTTGATATCAGGATCAACTCAGCTCAGGCGGGGTCATGAGAAGGACTGGTCCTCCATAACCGAACACATCAGCCAACTTCTCGAGCCTCCTGTGAAACCCCCGGACGAAGCGCGCAAGCTATGCAGACAATCAATAGTTTCTGCAAGTGCGGACGCAGAATGTGTGTCTCGTGCGGGGTTAGTGACAACAACAAGCCATTCAGAATGCAACGCAGAGTTAATTGATGCTATTTTGGTGTGCCGTGTACCAATGAGATGGCCTGAGGCACTGAGGCGACGACTGCTCGGCGCTTAACGTTATTTATATCAACAAGCTTGATTGGGTTCCGTCGTGATGGCACTCGCAGAGACTGGAGGAACAACCAGGAGATTTGCTATCATTAGAACAGGAAGAAGGGAGTAATTTGTCCTGGTTCCCCTCACCCCCTTTTCGGACGATTCATGGTGCTCCTGAGTTAGGATGGAGTATATTTTCAGTCAGACCTCCCTTCGGTCCCTGGGATGTTTTCCTCTCCATCCAGTGTCTTTGGGCACACGATACGGAGTTCTTCATTCTTCTCTGACATATCTACTGCTTAATATCTATATACCACCATGGGTGTGATGAGGCTTCCTCGTCCCACCGGCGTGTACGTGCCCAACTCGCCCACCCGCAATCTCACCGTCGATATGATCTCGCCACCGCTATCTCCGGGCTTCAACTTCGACTGGGAGACGCTACCTACCTCCATCCTGCCTGCGCTAGAATACATCTCCAGCAAGCTGCAGCAGAAGATGATGCACGTCACCTTGCTCGTCGGCCGCGGCAAGCCCTTCCCGACTGGCCAACCCTCCGACCTGATGGTCATCCCGATCACCGCTCTGGACGCACAGGCATCGCGAGCGCTGCACCGCACCATCGCCAAAGCAGCGAATAAGTTCTCGCTGGGCTCCAGCTGGACGGACGCGCTGGCCCGCAGCCAGTACGAGCGCCACGCCAACGAGTACCTGATGCAGCAGTCGATCATGCAGAACGAGGTCGTCTTCAGTCGCGAGGGTCTGACCCTGTTGACAGTCGACCGCATCTACACCTTCAAGCGTCGGCTCTGCATTCTCGCCCACCGTGGACCCAACCCGGACGAAGAGTCCGTGGCCTCGTGCGTGCAGCTCCTGCACCGCACCATCCAGGATTTCCAGGGGCGACCCTTCAGCAAGGCCTTCTTTCACCGCGTCTACGAGCAGTTAGACGTGCGTGACGACCTGCTGGCCCGCATCGCTAGCATGTATCTGAAGGAATTCGGCGAGGAGGGCATCGTGATGCCGTCATCGGCATCCTCGTCTTCCTCCGAGAAAGAAATCCCCAAGACCAGAGCCAAAACCATCCGCAAAACCGCTTCCTCTGTCAAAACCACCGCCACCACGCAGACAACCAAACCCGCTACAACAGTGCGGAAATCACCGATGCACAGTAGTATTCGGGCGCGCAGAGAACCTGGACCACCGCGATACCGAGCTCCGGCCAAACGAGGACCGAAGACGCCGTTATCAGCATCGGATGTCACGCCCATCACGCGCAATGAATGGAACATGTTGGTGGGGACGGATTTCCGACACGTCAAAGCGACGGTGACGAAATGGACGCCGTCGCCGATTGTTCTGGCGGCGGCGTAGGGGGAAGAGGGGTACGATGCCGATCATATCGGATTGACTGATATATAGACGCCCATATCATTTTTCTTGATAATATGCAACAGTCAAGAATTCGGTATCTCCACCGCGCTACTGCACGCGATGAGATATGAGCCATTGAGAAGCGACGCTGCTTCTTGGTGGCTGGTGGGGCGATGCGCTCGGCGAACGGCCAAGTCCCTTCACCTTCATTCATTCCTGAGATTTGGATGAACTGGAAGAACTGGATGAGGAATGGGCTGGGCTGAAAACTGGATAGGACCTGTACATATAGCTATGAGATGATTCCATGATAATGAGATATGAATAAAAGGGAATAAAAATCAACAGAAGAGCATTGAACCTTATGCAAGGAGGCCGAGTGGGGGATCGGCCTCGACCGGCGGTGATGAAGCTGTTCAGGACCTGTATAAATTCTACAGAGTACCATCGAAGATTTTTTCTGAAGCATTGTGCTAAGTCTGCTGGGTGTATCTCTGGATCTGTGGGTTTGGATTGCTCGATAGGATTAAAGCTTATCACCCCACATCACCTACGTTCTTGTTACCCTCCTCCCCTTTTCTTTCCCTTTCTTCTCTTTAAGTTTAAATCTTTTTTTTTTTTTTTAAAAAAAAGTCCTAATATGGACGAGTCAACCGACAAAGGTAAAATTAAAACCCTCATTCGCCATGCCCAACGCTCTCACCGTCGTCTACCCGGGATTCGCAAGGTGCCTCTACGGGCAATTGCAGTGATCCTGTTGGTGGCCATGATTAACGTGCTGGTTTGGATTGCGGCGGCCATCGTCCTGGTATGTCTGCTTGATATCGGAGGTTCTGAGCTAACGAGAATAGCGATACTATCCGTATGTTCAATCCTGGGTTGGTGGAAATATCAACAGTACTGACTATCCAGATCGCTCGTCTCTAACGCCGTGCTTTCTTATACCCTCGGACTGAGACATGCGTTCGATGCGGATCACATCTCGGTATGTCTTGATGTCTCTAAAGATATTCAGTGCTGTCTAACCAGATAGGCTATTGATTTGATGACCCGACGATTGTTGGCTACCGGTCAACGACCTGTCACTGTGGGCACATTTTTCTCTCTGGGACATTCCACGTAGGTTCTAATTATTCTTTCTCTCTATCTTTCTGTTGGATTTTTATCGTTTATTTAATTATGTGAATAGAATCGTCATTGTTACGTCGATTGTAGTGGCCGCCACCGCAGCCGCTGTTTCCTCACGGTTCGATAGCTTCAGCACCGTCGGTGGTATTATCGGCACTTCCGTGAGTGCAGCCTTTCTGATCCTCCTGGGTCTCATGAATGGCTATATCCTGTATAAACTGTACAAGCAGATGCAGAAAGTGCTCAACCTCCCGGAGGGCCAAGAAGAGGAAGCCTGGAAGATCGAGGGAGGGGGGTTTCTCTTCTCCGTGCTGAAACGCATGTTTAAACTGATTGATCGGTAAGTCTTTGGCTGCCACTTTATTCTAGTTCTACTGACCATCCAGTCCCTGGAAGATGTATCCGCTAGGGATTCTGTTCGGGCTGGGTTTCGATACCTCCTCAGAGGTTGCTCTGCTGGGGATCTCCTCGATTGAAGCTGCCCGTGGCACTGATTTCTGGGTGATTTTGATCTTTCCGATTCTATTCACCGGTTGGTACTTTGTCATATAGACTGGAAATGATTACTAACACGGATAGCCGGGATGTGCCTTCTCGACACGACCGACGGAGCCCTGATGCTCTCACTGTACATCCAACCGGCAGCGAACTTCCTCCCTCCCAAAGACGAGGGCTGCCAGACTTCAGGCGAAAACGAAAACGAAGACGAAGTGGTCCCCTCACAGAACCACCGGGACCCCATCGCATTCCTGTATTACTCGATTGTACTGACCACGCTGACGGTGATCGTGGCCATCGTGATCGGCGTCATCCAGTTACTCACGCTGGTCCTGAACGTGGCGGAACCCACGGGGAGATTCTGGGATGGCGTGGAAACGGCCGGCGACTACTACGATGCCATTGGCGGCGGCATATGCGGCTGCTTTATCATCTTCGGTGGACTCAGCGTACTGGTGTATAAGCCGTGGAGACGCTGGATTGCCCGTCGACATGGCCGGCCAGTGACATACACGGATGAGGAGGCCAGTCAGGAGGTGATGCCTCGTCCGGATACGCCGATTTTGCAGGAGAGTGGGCCGGCGAACTATGGAAGTACCAAGGGGAAGACACAGGTGACTGTGAGGGATGGAGATATCTAATTGTTCTTATAGATCTTCATCTATACGAGTTATATCATCTCGAATAGCTACTTATTCTTAAGATCCTTTGATCAGGAACCCAGCAGAGAACATACACCGATGATGTACAATGAAGCAAATCACGTGACACAATCGAATGACTACGTCACATTCTCCACATCTCATCTCAATTACATCTATCTATACATAGAGTATGTCCATGTATTAATCTATAATATATAATATATATAATAAATGTTCAATCTCTCTTCTTATCCCCCCATTTTTGTCCTCCCGACTCATTTATCACTGGACTCGCTGCACCAGATCGAAGATACCCTTGTGCAAGCATCCGCCCATTTGACATATGACATCACCGAGGCGCGTCTGGTTCTGAGTCGATCGACTCAGAAGAAGCGCGTGGCATTGGAGTTGCGGTCTCGTGGGGTTTGGACGGAGGAGGCTCAGATTGAATATAATCATGGATATGAATCGGAACCTGAACATGGACATGGACACAAGCATACATCTGAAAATGAGCATGGATCAGAACCGCCAAAGAAACGTCTCCGAAAAGGCATGGTCGACCTAGAAACAGAGACTGAAGGTGATGGTATAACGCATACCCAGAAACATATCTCTGGATCTACCGTCAAGGTTGTGAAACTAGACTGGTTGGACCAATGTCTCGCCGCCAACGAGATCCTCCCTCTCGACTCATACACGATATACCAAGCTCGCATAGTGAAGCAAACTACACCCACCACAGCGCCTACTACTACAAGACGAATTCTAGCTGACACACATCCCCTACAACTACACCGAACCACCACCTCCGAAGAAGACCAACAAACCAGCATCCCACCACCACCATCCTGGGTCCGCAACCATATCCTCTACGCCTGTCAACGCTCCGCGCCCCTCCACCCACCAAACGAACTCTTCATCACCCAACTAGAACAGATCCGACGCACGCGCGAACTCACCCTCGATGAGGTCGGCGTACGCGCATACAGCACCTCCATTGCGGCAATAGCAGCCTACCCATACTCCCTCCGCCATTCCCGGGAGATCCAATCCCTTCCCGGATGCGAGAACAAAATCGCCACTCTCTTCACAGAATACCAATCCAGCCCCGATGGCACCCTTGCCGCCGCTCGCGCCTTACACAGCGACCCTGCTCTCCGCACCCTGGACCTCTTCTCCTCCATCTGGGGCGTGGGGGCCCGCACTGCGCGAGATTTCTATTATCATCGTGGATGGCGTGATCTCGATGACATCGTCGAATACGGATGGAATTCGCTGACGCGCGTACAGCAGATCGGAGTGAAATATCACGATGAACTTCAGCGGGGGGGGGTGTTTCTCGCTCCGAAGCGATGGAGATTGCGGATGTAGTTCTACAACATGCGAAGCGTGTGCGTCCGACAGCGGGGCATGATGGTCGTAGTAGAGTAGAATGTATCCTTGTTGGTGGGTATCGCCGGGGAAAGGAGTCCAGCGGGGACGTGGATATTATCCTCACGCATCGCGATGAGTCCGTCACGAGAGATTTGGTCGTTGATGTTGTGGGTAGTCTGGAAGAGGAGGCTTGGATTACGCATACCCTTGTTTTGAATGTTGCTAGTTCTCATCGGTCGCAGACTCCGAAGTCAAGCGGTAGTGGTAGTCATTTTGATAGTTTAGATAAGGCGCTTGTTGTTTGGCAGGATCCACATTTCGACAAGGACGCTCACGCCCAGGAGAAGGATGAGACCCAAGAGAATACCCAGGAAGGTCAAGAAAGAAAACGACGGAATCCAAATCCCCACCGTCGAGTCGATATCATTATCTCACCCTGGCGGACAATAGGTTGTGCCGTGCTAGGCTGGACGGGAGATACCACGTTCGAGCGGGATCTTCGTCGCTACGCGAAGAAAATACACGGCTGGAGGTTTGATTCCAGCGGCATACGACAGATCGACACGGGTCATGTAGTGGATTTGGAAGACACCGGACGGACGTGGGAGGAAAGAGAGAGATTGGTGATGGAGGGATTAGGTGTGGGATGGAGACCGCCAGAGGAGAGATGTTCACGATAATCTGTTTATCTCTATATTTTTTTTTTATGGAATATTGAGCTGTGTGCTATAGTATAATATAAGACATCGATGCATTGACTCATTGTCCAGCTAACTAACTAGACACCAAACAACCGCCAATCATCTACACATACATGACTAAACTAATCAGAAGAAAGAAAGAAAAAAAAAAGAAAACATATAAAAAGATTACACCAGCGCCCGCGAACTAGTCATTTCTCCGTATCGACCTCTGCCCCTCGTGGTATCATAAGCATTGACAACGCGCATCTGTCCGCCCTCGTCGGCCTGACTGAATGCATACCCACGCTGTTTCCGCATCCGCTGCACATGGCGTACCTTGCGGATCGCCTTCTGGAACTGCTCCATGCGTGGCCGGTAATCCTGCACGTTGTACTTCTGGATCTCCTGCACATGGTGGTAGTGTTGCGGGTAGTACATGCGTTTGGCGTATTTCCATGCGTAATCCCGTAGCAGACAGATACACGGTAGCACCACCGCCATGAGGTAGAAGACGGGCGATTTGAACAGTCGCGGGATCGTCCCGTAGTATTCGGTCGAAAACCCGATGGCTGGCGCCGCGTAGCCGTATGCCGGAAGGAATCCCAGCCAGATCACCATCGATCCCGGGATCGCGATGAATGTATACTTGGTCCAGATGTTAGTGATCAGTGCTGCCTTGCCGAGTACTGTCGCCAACACCGCCGTGTACAGCGCTGAGCCCCAGACCCAGTGGCCTGCAACCTTCCCGTCCGCTTGAGGCAGGTCCCAGAGGAAGATCAGCTGAGAAACGATATACAGCAGTAAGGAGTGGTAAAAGCCGTTGGCAATCCAGGACCAGAAGCTGTGCCGCTTGAAGAACATGCCTTTCTGCCCCAACTGATACAGCTGGGGATAACGGTCTAGTAATCGAGCGGAGATAAACTGGTCGCAAATCCCCATGGCGAACGGCGGAAGAACGGTGAAGAAGACATTGTAGAAGGAAAGCGTCCATGATTCGTAGATTACTTCGCCAGAGAAAGCGTTTTGGAAGGAGTACTAGATCCCCAGTCAGCCATTAGCCATGAGGCACATCAATCATAGAGCTTACCCAAAATTGCGTCATATAAAGTGCAATGTTCTTGTAGAACGAATACAGAATGACTCGACTAATCCGGTGGTAACTCCAGGCACCATGCACAAGGAGCAGTTTGCGAAGGTAACGGAACTGAGCAATCGACACATCGGCAGACCGGGCAGCCTGAAGACCTTCAACGCCGCTGATGCCAACCCCAACGTGCGCCGCCTGAATCATGGAGACGTCGTTGGCGCCGTCGCCGATGGCTAGAAGTAGAGACTTGAGATGACGCTTGACGAGCTTGACAACTAGGGCCTTCTGAAGGGGAGAAACACGACTGCACAAAACCGTTAGTGCTGTTACATGTGGAACAAAATGGAATGATTCTTACCAGCAAACCACGGCCTTACACATGACCGCCAGATCCAAGAAGAGTTTCTCCATGTCCTTCTCCAGTGCGTAGGTCAGCGATCGACCATCGATAACAAGGGCCATCGCCTCCATTTCCCCCGACGCCCCCTGGCTCTGAACCGCCTGAAGCTTCTTGGATAAGTTATCCTGAGTTGCCGGGGCTGTTTCCTCGTTGACAACCAAGAGGGTCATATCCTCGGAGATCAGTTTGCACGACATGCCGATGTTGATGGCGGTCTCCTGCCGATCACCCGTCAGAACCCAGACCTTGATGCCAGCGGTCTGAAGGGTGTGGATTGTGTCGGGAACCCCGTCCTGCAGGCGATCCTCAATAGCGGTGGCTCCGAGAAGAAATAAGTCCTTTTCTATCAGCTCCGATGCCTTGTCGAGCTCGTCCGCACGGTTTCCGCTCACCGTGGTGGCGGCCTTGTCGTATATTTGGTACCATTGCTGAAACTCCTCCTCGGGCACCTCGCGCATCGCCAGGCACAGTGTTCGGAGACCTTCCGAGGCGTAATCCTCCAGGTGCTGCAACGTCGCTTCAACCATCGGGTTGTCAGGATTCAGACGCTCAAGTATGACCGTGTCTGCTCCTTTGGTATAGATGCGGATCCTGCCATCGGGGCACCGGAAAATTGTCGACATCCGTTTCCGGGAAGAGTTGAACTCACACACCGCCAACAGCTCGTATTCATATTCCTGCCCGGCCACCGTGATGATCACCGACCGAGGTCGTCGGTTTGTGAACCGATAACCTAGTTGCGCCGCGCCTTCGACTAGGGCGCCCTCGTCCGGAGACGCGGCTTGATACTTGATCACATCTGGCTTCTCGTCGTTTCTTTCGGGAATAACCGTGTGGCAGATGGCCAGAAGCGTGAGGAAGTGGTGGATCGCATCTGCCGTGGGATGAGACTGCAGGTTCTCTCGGAGCCTTTTAAAATCGTGGACTCCGACTTCGACTCCGTCCTCCACGGTGGCACGTTGGTCTTCCGGGATGTCTTCGCCGTACTGGACACCGGATATCGTGCACTGCTTGAACTCCATCATGTTGCAAGTCAAGGTGCCGGTCTTGTCGGAGAAGATATACTCGATCTGGCCCAGCTCCTCTACCAGCGACGACGTCCTACACGTTGCCGGTGTATCAGTTTTCTCGTAGTAGATGTCGAGGTCCGAGTTGATCAAGAACGCTTGCGCATATTTGACAATCTCGATGGTGACGAAAAGAGAGATGGGGACCAGGTTCGAATAGAGGACCCAGTAGGTGAATATGTCGAGGACGAACTGCTTCGCGGGATGCGTATTGCCGTAGTCGAGGTAGCTGAGTCGGTCGGATGCGGTCTGCCGAATGATCAAGTCACCGACCGAGCTGATGACACTGAGGGTGATCAGAATGCCAACCAGCATCAAGATCTGGATGTTGACCATGCGCTCGACCGCGGTCCGCTTAATCGGGGTCGCCGTGGCATTCCGCATCAGCTTGGTTTCGTGACCGGTGAAGACCACGATTCCGTGGATCCACGGCGTATTCCGCAGCGTCGCTCCTCGAAGGAGGAGCTGATCCGGGGCGAGGGGCAATTCCTTCTCCCCTCCCCCCGCGTGCATCGTCAAGGTCGCCTCGTAGGTGTAAAGGCTGCTGTTCGGCTGTTCAGAGCGAATCCGGCCACTCAACCGACTGAGGTCGGCCGGGCTAACGAGATGTGCAGTTTCCGGGATCGCCTGCTTGATCTTCAGGTTGGTCTCCCCATCCAGGTTGGCCGTTTCGATATAGCACAGGCCCTCTGGCTCGGAGGAGGCCAGCAAGACCAAGTCGGCCGGGAAGGGCTGCTCAGACTCGACCCGAACGATGTCACCCACCGCCACATCGATCCATTTCGTATCGTGGAATGCGGATCCCTTGAGCACCTGTGTCCGGGAGAAATTAAGCGATTTGTCCGACGACCGCCGCTTGTAGTCCTCGACCAGTTCCTTGATGGCGGACACCAACAGCACGATCAACAGCGGACCGATGGTGGTGTATCGATTTGTCGGGGACACGTTCGGAATCTGCTGGAGGACGGCGGTGAACAGGAAAAATAGGTTGGCGTATTTAGAGAATTGTTCGAAGAGGAATTTCGGCAGGAAGGTGAAGATATTGTACTTGGCCGTCGATACGTGGTTGTCCACGAACTTGTGCACCGCATTGGCCGGCGGATTGTTCAACATGATCATACGTGGGCCCAGAGTCGAGGGATCGACCTTCCTGCGTCCAAACCCGAACTTGAAGCCGGGCTTCTTAGGTTTCCTCCGGTCGTGCTGGGGAGCGGCCGTCTCGTCTGGTTCTGCGCTGTCGACGCGAGCTGCCCTGGCTCCGGCCTCTGTCAGAGGAAGATCCATCTCCGAGTAATCGGGGCCCATTCCCAACATGTGTTTTGCGCGTCCCATCAGGCCACCTCCCAGTCCCATGATGCTATTCCTCTCCTTTGTCTGCCGCACGCGGTGGCCGGTATGCATGGGATCGTCCCCGTCATCCAAATTATAGTACCCTGGTTCATCAGCATAGTCGTCGATGGAATAGCGACGGTAATTGTTCAAGCCCGATGTCTGCGAGTAGGTTCGAGAGGCCTCAGCCCCCATATACGGATCGTTCAAATAGGGCCCGGACGGGGCCGGGGGATGCGCCGTGGTCATCGCATGGGCGCCGACGAGTGGCGGCGGCGCTTGTCCGCCGACAAAGTGATCGTAGGAAATGGAGGGTCGCGCCTGGGGTTGATCGGAGTCGTTGATATTGAACTGTCGCAACAAGTGCTCGTCGTTGACGGGTGGACCTTGCCCCGAATTGTACATGGGAGCTGGCTCTTCCAGCTGCAGCAGATCATCATCGCGGCCAGCGGCTGGATGATGTCCTGGAGGCCTACCGCTGGCCATGATGATGGGGGCGGACAAACACCGTCAGAGCAATGACGAGCCCCTGGAGCATTGATCAGGAGAGTGGCAAAGGAAGGAAAGCAAAATCGAAGAAAACAGAGAGACACAGAGTAAGCGAGAGAGGTGAAAGGAGAGGGCAAGGAAGGAAAAATCGGACCAACGGAGGTGACTGGGGCAGAGGACAGCGAGGAATGAATGAATGAATGGATGGATGGATGGATGGATGGATTATTCTGGCGGAGGTTTTGGAAGATGTGAGACTAGTCCGGGCGGTGCTGAACTCGGAGTGGCTGGGCATGGACATTAGCACACAACGTATTAAAAACAATCAATCCAGAAATAATCTTATTTTTAGAATATTAATTTAAGATTGGGAAATAATCCTCTGTCAGTCAGTTCAAGGAAATCCCGGGGGATGTCGAGGACTTTCTGAAATAACAGAATCACGACTCGTTCGTGAGAGCTACAATACAAAACTCATGGCGCATTATCTAGATATTGTACATAAAAAAAAAAAAAAAAAAAAAAAAAAAAAAAAAAAAAAAATACTAAAAAAATCTACTCTGATCTGTGAATTCATTTCTTCCTCACCGATAGTTCTCAGCTCGAGACTCCTCCGCCAGACCATTTTTGGACCGTTTCGCCAGATCGGTTTGAAGCGCCTTGTCAATTATGCCGTTGATCTCTTTGACCTGGTTGAGCGCCACAGTCGTTTTCGACACAAACACCATCGCTTCCACGGGCGATCCAGAGAATTTAGACAGATAACAGACATCCCCCGCCCCGTTCATGCCGATAACCACGTCGGCTTCCGCAGCCTGTTCCTCCTTTCGAGTCGCATCCAGAATCACGCGTTTTCCCTCGTCGAACGTGTGGAAGGTAATGGATAGCGGTTTATGGGTAATGTTCAACGGAACCGGGACCCGTTCATCCAGGCCATAGACGATCACCTGTCCATCTTTCACGACCGCGTCCGGACGTCGGAAATGCTGCAATCCCGCCATCACGCCGATACAGGCAGCATCGACAATGTTTCCATCGTAGTCGGTGATATGGACATCGGCCCGAACACTCCAGCAGCTCACACCCTTGAGAATGCAGAGCGATTCCGTATCCAGAGCATTGGAATGACGGACCACTCGATCGAGAACGTTAGTCACGTATGTTTCGAGATCTCCTTGTCTATAGCAAAATAGAGATATTAGTACACTCAGGAAAACTTGTAGTTGATCAATTAACATACCGGCCGTTGTCCCAAGCGGGTGATCCCATGGCCGTTAGCTCAAGAGCAATTGTAAAGATTCCATCGAAGGGACGGTCATCGCGAGGTTTGGACACTTCCGATGAGATGCGGACGATAAGACTGAGGACAACATTAGCCTAGCTAAGTCGAAGAGAACTGGACTGGGCGGCATTTTACCTGGTCTTGCCCAGTTGCACCTTCACATGGCCGTATTCATCCCCAAACGACACGGTCAAGGGACGGAACTGGTCTGCCTCGCGACCATCCAACCTCACATCCTCGCGCAGAGCATTGAGGATGAAGTCACGCTCAGCAATGGAGAGCGGTGCTTCTTTATTCATGATTGTGGAGGCGGACTCGGCCCCAGTGGGGGGTCTAGGACTTTTTTTTTTTGTAATTAATTGGCAGCGTCATGCTGTCCCGGCGGATTGTTGTTCCTGCCGTCCAGGGCGGTGTGCATGAACATGATGCGGCTGACTCAGCCCAATCCTGAGGCTTTCGGAGTTCATTCTTTCGTTACAAGATCGATCTCCAATCGCCAGAAGTGATACTGGTAACCACCATGACTACGGGTATAGTCCTATTGGAGCTCCTATGATGTGGAATATGCGCTAACCTACCACCAGCCCACAGACCCACGTTCGACCCCGTATGTTCCTCGTCATTTATATCGGTCTATTTGCGCAAACGTGCTAATCACGTCAATAGGCGCAAGGAAAGGAAGCCCTGCGCGGGCCTGCATATCACCAGCGACTTCTCCCGGCACATACGTACCTGAAGACCCGGTATGTTACACCCCAGTTCCATTGTGGTTTACTCGTATCTGACCTCATCCAAGTCAACTCGGCCAGGGTAGTGAGCAGGAATCCCACCAACGCGACTTGCGTGCCGAACTCCTCCAGGCAGAGGCCGCCCATTTCGCCAAGAAGAACGGTGTCCCAGTGGGCGCACCAGCAGTCGAAAGCGTCGCACCGAAGCACCAGTTAGAAGGAGCTCTGCCTGACGGCAGCGACGCGGGCGGGATAGACGAAGAAGACATGGAAGCCAAACGACGGCGAATATTAGAAGAGACTCGAGATATAGACGCGGACTCAAACGGTTCGGAGGACGAAAGTAGCGAGGAAGACAGGTGGGTTGTCCTTGCGCCAGGGTGGAAGCTTGGCTAATTGTGCTTAGTGATGACGACGAAGACGAGGCCGCCGAGCTGATGCGGGAACTAGAAAAGATCAAAAAGGAGAGGCTCGAGCAAAAAGAAAAAGAGGTATGCGTGATGGGCTGGGTTGGTGGTGTTTGCTGATTGGTATATAGGATCGGGAACGCGCGGCTCAGGAGGAAGAACAACGGGAAGTTGATATTGCCAGGGGCAATCCCCTGCTGAATCCTCAGGACTTTAACTTGAAACGGAGGTGGGATGACGATGTTGTGTTCAAGAACCAAGCCCGAGGCACGGAGAAAAAAGGAGGCGAATTTGTCAATGTATGTGTGAGGTGGCATGTGGATGGTACAGGGCTAATAGTAATAGGACCTGCTGCGATCTGACTTTCACAAGCGATTTATGGTGAGTTCATTCACAGTTAATGGAATGTCGCTAATGTACCTAGTCGAAGTATGTTCGGTAGATACGACCTGCTATTCGCATGAGCACCGCCGCGCAACTTAGCTGCATGACATTGAGCGGTTCCGGCTACAGCCATTCGCATACGATATAGTCCAGTAGAATAGTGCCTGTCATCGAGCAGTCATCCTGGATGGCTGGGTTGGACCCTCCTTGTCCTGGTGGTACTGATGGATTGATGGATCTAGCTGGTCCTAGACAAGGATGCTGATATTTAATTATCTGTATTTGATCATATGGCCTGGATCCAAAATCTGGAATTCAGAACCGAAGCGTTACCTGTATGAATATAAATTTCCATCCTGATTCCAGCGTGTAGTCTATCCACTGTAGTACTAGGATATATAAATACTGCCGGCAATACCACCGCCGCCCTACCGCCAACTCATCGCAACACACGGCATCATTTGTCTATCCAGCAAAAGAAGACCAGAGCAGAAAAGATGGACTCCCAACCATCATCGAAAGTACTACACAGTAAGTACTCAGTCACATCCAAAGGAGACAAGAAACCAAAACTAACGACGCAGACCGCATCAACACCAATGTCTCACAATTACTACAACGATTCGAGAACATCATGGCCACTGCGACAGTATACTCAACCATAACTAGGTACCTTGACTACAATACTGACGAATTAATTCCAGGTCGATAGTACCAGTCACACGGCCACCGCTGTCGAGACATACCAGCTTGATGTGGAGTCGACAGCATTGGTACGTGATATCTCTACCTACTTAGCACCTAATTACCTACCTGCGAATTACAGTCCATGGTTATAGAAAAAAAAAAAAAAAAAAAAAAAAAAAAAAAAAAAAAAAATAGTAAATATTAATATAATACAGGTCCGCGCTGCAGAAGATATCCTCGCATTGACACGCACGATGAAAGAAACATGGCTATTTGGAAAACTGGATACCCTGGGCGAAGATGAATCGGAGGTGAAGAGACGCGAAGAGCTGGAGAAGAACGCGGCTGTAATCGAAGGGGTGATTGATGAGTTGAAATCTTAATTCTACCTACTTGATCATACCTTATTTTTGCTGGCGTTGAGATATAAATGATGTACATAGATACCCTACTGATAATACCTGTTTTCTATCCATTGAGTTGCTAAATTCCGCGCGGGGCATCCACTTCTATTCCGCCCTATCGGACTATCTTCCATCTCACAATACAACATCACCACCAACACCCAACCCAAACAACAGAAAAAAGAAAGAAGAAAGAAAAATGCCTCCTAACCCCCTAACCCTAATCGTCGCTACGACACCTATAAAAACCAAAACCACCAAACCCGCGGTGCTCAGCGAACGCCTCGGCATCGGCCACGGCGGGGCCCTTCCCTGGCCGCGCATCAAAGCCGATATGTCTTTTTTCGCACGGGTGACGACGCGCGCACCACGACCGGACACTACGAACGCGATCTTAATGGGTCGTAAGACATATGACTCTCTACCGGTGAAGCTGAGACCGCTAGCCAAGAGGATTAATGTTGTTTTGACGAGGGATCCGATAAATGTGGGACGGATGGTAAGGGGGGAGTTGGAGAATAAAATTGCTTCTTCTTCGATATCGGCTTCGTCTGGGACAGAGCAACAGGAGACCCAAACACCTACAACAGATGCGATCGTTGAGACAGGACTTGAAACAGCGTTGCAGACACTGGAGACAAAATACCAAGGGGGGAAACTCGGAAAGATATTTGTGATTGGGGGCGCGGAGATCTACGCGGCTGCGTTGCGAATGGCAGGGTCACGACCTTTGAGGATCGTTATGACGAATGTGCAGAAGATCAACCCCCAGGAGGAGTTCGAATGTGATACGTTTTTCCCGGTCGATGAGGAGCTCGTTCACGAGAGAGGATGGAGGAAAGTGATGCCGGAGGAATTGACGGAGTGGGTGGGAGAGACGGTCTCGTGTGAGTGGAAAGAGGAGGGCGATGTTAGGATTCAGATGGTGGGATATGAACGGATATGATATAGTATGTACGGAACACTTAGCTCATATGTACGGGATTTTCACACAGCTTGATGGTGCTCACCCCTCGCCGCATTTTGCTCACTGAGCAGGGGCTGAGCAGAATATTCTGTTTTAATTCTCCTATTGTTGTGCCTTAGGCCAAAATTCCAGCTCAATGGCCTCCGCATAATAGCCTTAATACTACCTACATACGCTGCGGATTGTGTTTGCGTGGTACAAGAGAGTCTGAATTTAACTAGCATCAGATCTGCTGAAATACAGGGAAAGGCTGTACGTGGACGATGGCGATGGCAGTCAAGACGTCCGGAATGAGGAGCAAGAGAGCAGTGGTGATTGCCAGGACCAGTACTGACGCAGATACGACTGAGCAATGAACTGAGACGTCGAGCTTGACTGGACTCAGGCGGATTGGCCCCATCGCTCACGGAAGGTCGTATTTCGCGTCCATGACATGAGGCCGAAGGAGAGGCGTAATTACGGATGATACAATAGAAACGCAGTGGGATTGGCAGAGATGAGCAAGTCCAAAGGGGATTCAATTCAAAGTACTGCCTTTTTTTTTTTCCCCCCTTCAAATATCTGTCTGGCCCATGAGTGAATCGGCCATGAAATCAGGTGAGCCCAATTTGGTGACGGAATCTGAACATTGAGGCAAGACTGGTGGTTGGATGTCTTGTCCATATATCAATTGTTAGACTGAAATAGGAGCAGGTGGAATACTATCTACTACGTCACAATATTAGTGTCTACACCTTCCTCAAATCCCAGCCGCCTTTCTTCACGCGTGCTACAATTAAACACAGCGCACCCAGGGCCATGATGGCGCCCGACAGTCCGATCAGCGAGGCCCAGTTGCCCGTGTTATCGGCCAGAGCGCCGCTGGCCGGGATGCCCACAAGAGAACTGGAAATACGGTGAGAGAAATTTCAATAGGTTACTACAGAGGGAAACTCACCCAAAGGCCAGACAGATGCAGGCAATGCCGAATTTCAGACCCAAGTCAGCCATGCGGCCGTCAACCAGTGCCACAACACACGGGGAGAGCAGACTGGTATACCCCCCCGACACAAACCCATAAAATGCAGCAAAGAAAATTATCCCGCCGTCCGTGGGTGCGTAGTACACGGGCAACCAGATAGCCAGCAGCGCGACGGCGGACAAGACGCTAACCAGCACCATCACGTTAAACTGTCCCAGGTGGTCCGACAGGAAGCCTGGCACCACGCGACCAACTATCGAGCCGGCATTGATAATGGCTAGCATGTACTGCGCCAGATCGCGGTTCATGCCTGCCTGCACTGCCATCAGTGGGAGGTAGTCAAAGGGAACTAGTAGTGAGAAGGTACAGCAGAAGATCCCAACGCAGAATGCCAGCCATGCTGTCCCATTGTGCCGCAGCCCCGCCCATTTACTGGTGGGCTTCTGCGCATTCCCCCCAGAGATGGCCGCCCTCAGACGCTCCGGGTCGTCGCGGCTGTCGGCCTTGAAGTGTATCGAGGAGGATGCACTGTTCGCCTCTTTCTTGCTGAGGGCTGCCATCTGCTTCGGGGGGGAGGGTCCCTCGCAGCAGATAACCCCTGTCACCATGCAGATGCCGACGACCACGGTTGACCACTTGATTGCCGGCGCAAAGCCGTGGGTGTCGATCAGGCGCGAGACCATGATCGGGAAGATAAGACCGCCAAAGCTGCTACCGGCGCTGGCGAGTCCCACGGCGAGCCCGCGCTTGGTCGAGAACCACTGGGTCACACAGATGACAGCGGGCAGTGTAGTACCGGAGCAGGCCAGGCCGAAAGCGACGCCCTGGCAGAGGAGGATCTGCCAGTAGGTGCGACAGAGACTAAGCAGGCCTAGTGATATTACCCCCAGTGCGGCGAAGGGTGCAATAATAGGACGCGTGCCGTAGCGGTCGACGAGAGCGCCGATAGGGATGCCAACGCCGAAGATCAGGAAGATGGCGATGGTGGTGATCCACCCAAGCTGTGATGTTGAGTAAGTTGGCAGCATGACCTCGGAGTAGTAAAACATGAAGACACCGCATCTACTGGATATTAGTATCGAGTATTGCATAAACGCTTTATTTAGCTGGACGTACGCTGTCACGTAGCCGTAGGATGAGGTCTGCAGCAAAAACGAGCCGAACACAGTGCGCCACGCCTTGAAGCCGCCATTGGGGGGCTCCAATTCGGAGGAGGCGTTTATGGAACCCATAATCCAGAGATAGAAGGAAAATTATAAAATTATGGCAATTGCTCATCGAGACTGCATCAACTGATAGAGGTATATATGCGACTCATCTCCGTGGAGATATCCCAAAAAGGCAACTCTCCGCGGACTTGTGCTGGAGTCGGTCTCCGGATGGAGATGCATTTAATATACAAGGAATGCTGTCTCTATTGCTTGAAATTAACGATTCCTTGGTCATTGTGGTCAGTTTGAAGTGGACTGGAGACAGTGCCTAACCCAGCATGGCAGGAAAGTCCATGGACATCTCCGATGCCAGTTGACCGTAAGCCTGCTGCATCCTCCCTGCCTGCCTGAGCCTGCATAATTCCTTCTTCTGCCCAAGCCAGCAATATGCTACATAATAAGCCCTCTCCCACCATGGACACCGACAAGAGGTCTGTTCCCATAATCTTCGTGCAGCGCTCAGCCCGACGTCCCCTCTCGTGTGGCTTGTGTCGGACCAAGAAGCTGCGGTGTGATCGCGGCCATCCCTGTGCCAATTGTCGCCTGCGCAAGAGTCCCTGTGTCTACGCGGGGCAGGCAAAGCAGAGAGAGCAAGGAAAGCCACATTCCACGACGGAATTATCCTCCGTAACGCCGGATGTCGCGATAAACAAAGATGAGGTACAACAAAGGGTATTCAATGGCAGAAAAAAGCCTCGAGATATGTCCGAGGTCTTCACCCGGTTGAAAGCGCTGGAAGACGCAGTCTTCTGCACGAGCTCCAACACAGCGCCACAGCTGTCCTCAACCCCATCGCCCATTGTGCCCTCCACAGGCTCAGAGGTATGCACTGTTGCTTTCCCGTTGCGATCAAGGTTCCAACAAACAACTAACGATTTAATAAAGACCTCTCGCACAACGACCGGCTTTGGGAACCTGCTGCATCTTGCCAACCCCGACCACCGCCAGAGTCCACCAGACCTGGCCGTTATCTGTCGCTGTCTCCCCACTGTAGAGCATGCCCGCGTGCTCTTCGATCATTTTATCCACAGTATGCATGCCAACTTCGGCGTGCTCCATGTGCCGTGGACTCGCACCGTGATGGAGGAGAGCTACTACCAATTTGCCCATGGCGAGACCCCCGCTGCGACGACACTGCTCCTCTTGCTGAGCATCTTCGCCAGTGCTGCCTGGGTCTGGACGCCATCGCTGCTCCAGACACTGCGCGCAGCTCCTACGGAGGCCAAATCCGCCTACGTCGCCTACAGCCGTCTGGCCCTGGGACTCTTGGATCACACGGTGTCGCCCTCGACGGCGGCTCTGGCGGCTATTAGCAACCTCACCTATCTGCACACCAATGCTGAGGGACTCCCGGATAAGGTGCATTTGCTGCGGGCGAAGGGCCTATTGATGGCGCGGGCGATGCGCATCCATTGTTTAGACTCGCCCAAGAGTCGCGAGCAACGCCGGGCGAACGGAAGTGACGCCGTCGAGGTAGAGTTGCAGCGCCGAATCTGGTGGCACATGGTATCCTCGGACTGGTATTAATATTACTTAGTTTTTTACAGTTCTTTGCAGAAATCTATACTAACAGAAAATATAGGCTTCTTGCCTTCTCCGGGGGCTCGCAGGAATGCACCTACATCTTCCACCGCAAGCACATGCTGGTACAGTATCCCAGAAACGTCGACGACGAGTTCGTCACGCCCACTGGCGAGATATACGACTTCCCCCGAGCCATGCCCACCACTATGTCGGCGTCGATCGCGCGCATCCAGCTGGCTGAGCTGTGCGAGGAAGCTGTGAATCGACTGCCCTTTCTCGGACTGGGTCCCAACGATGGTGACTACGAGGCTGTGCTGGCGCTAGATGTCCAATTCCAGGATTATCTACGCAATCTGCCCTTCTTCTTCCAGCTGGATCCGACCAGCATCCAAGAGAGCCAATTTATCTACCAGGAGCGACCATACATCGCCTGGCAGCGACTCATCCTGCAGTTCAGCACCCACTCGCGCCTCTGCTGGCTGCATCGCCGCTTCCACCTGGCGAGCGCCGTCGAGGATCGGTATGTCTACTCGCGCGAAGCAGGCCTGCGCTCCGCCCGCATGGTGCTGGATCTCCGACGTCTCATGGATGACACGGCGCCGCTGGTCAACATCAATCCCTCTCACCTGTGGTCTGTCATGCAGCATGTTTTCCATGCTGCCATCCTGCTGGCTACCGACGTCTCTCTGTATCCCACTGCGTCCGACGTCGCCACGCGCCAGGCTGAGGTCCAGGCCGCGTCTCGCTTGCTTGAACGGTCCGCTCCGCATGTAGATGGCATTCCCAGCGTGCTGCAGACGCTGCAGGCAACGCTGCAGGAACGACGGTCGCGCAAGTCTGCACCGGGAACGTCGACCACAGAGTCGACGTCACTAGGTTCTCCAAGACCTCTTTCAACAGCATCGTCGCACCCGGAGGTTGACAGTCGCGTGTCCGGGTCATCATCATCGTCCACCTCGCCTCCACCGTCGATGTCCACCGTAGGTGATGGAGGGAGACAAGAGATCGGAGAGTCGAGCTGGAGCCAATTGTGGTCTGAGTTCGTCCATACCGCGCCGGAGCTGGACCTGCACCAGTGGACGATGTTGTTGGATGATATTGATGACACGCTGGGTGAACCATTGGGGGGCCAGTGGGATGGACCGGACCATGTAATACTAGGGGCCAGTGACTGCAAGTCACCAGAGGCATGCGGAGCGTAGTACTTGTTGAAATTTTAGTTGTTTTTATATGTTATGAGTTGAACCCTTTATTCCTATTATTCCTATATAGGACGCTTGTGGGAGTCTTCTGAGGAAGGCTCTGGCATTTAACGTCCGCAACTTCAGCTTTACCTCGGAAATGGTTAAGCGAATTGTCAATCAGCACTATCGGTCTTCCATCTTGCATGATCTATTATTCTACACGCGATGCCGCTCCATGGGTCAGTAGCCCCGGTACCCCTACCATGAAGGCGTCTGGTACTAAACGAGCAACTCTTATCTAGGTTCATCAGCAAAGCAGGAGTTTTTCTCATATACCTCTGGTTTCTTTATAATGAGAATATTCGATTACGTGAACGCTACGTTGATCTTGACTCCATTGCCCTTCTATGAGAAGCAGAAAGCATATTGCTCCTAGCCACGGACACGTTGCGTGCATTACCAAGCTCGCCGAAGGGGGTTTCAATCGAGATTTTCTCCAGGTCAGGCTAATAATGGTTTATTCTTAATATAATGAACCAACAATCCAAAACTGAAATCATCAGTTACAACAAAACCAATCGGTAACGCTTAGCATGCAAAGCTTCGGGATTACCGTGTTCCGTCACTTCTCCGAGTCACTTAGACGCTGAAGGCAAGTGCTTTATTTAGACGCTCGGCTTTTCTAATAACGTCAAGAAGCCATCGATGATTTATCCCTAGACCACGTAACGGCGTTGCTCGCTCTTCCCACTTCCCGTGTCTTACGCTCCGCTGGTAAAAACGGAACTCTTGAGAGACTTATCGAACCTTAAACAATTCATTCTGATAGCTTTGATGCCAACAAACTTGTCCCATTGCTTGCCACAGTATTGACCGAGGAGCCCGACGGAATATTAGGTGGCAAAGTCCATGCTGCAGTTATCGACTCCACCCCTCCTGAAAATTGCTACTTTTTCTCAGTCAAAACTATTTGCATACTGCAAGTAGTTTTGTTACCTCGTCCGAACAACGCAGGCGTGTGGATGTTGTGCTAAGAGAAGAACTTAGGCCAATTTATGTTGGCGTATAAGATTCTATGAGGCATACTTTGGTGGTATTGACGGCTTAGAAGATGCAGGGGCGATGGTATTCAGGAGATGTCAGGGAGGACGTAACACCCATTATTCACAAGTAACGGCTGACGAACTGGCGTGAGAGTGCGAAGGAATGGGAGGCCTTGGACTGATCTTCTGCTTGGGTCAACAAGATCTGCAGCATTGCAAGTGAGGAAGGTTATACTATAAATTCACATTGCACTGTTTAGACTCAACCTTTTAGAAGGATCTACGACCAACCGCAAGCTTGACACTGGTATCAGGAATGGTGCCACATCTAGTTTTAATTACTAAGGTTATCTGTGTTCCAACAGCTAGTATCCTAGCTTGGGGGAATACTTGTCCATACAAAAAATCACATGGTCTGCGTCCAGGGGATGACGTGATAATGAATTTATCACGTTCTTTGGTGCGTTGGCTCTCGATTAACTTGCAAGTAATCAGGTGTCGGTGGAAATAATCTGTAATATCACGCTAATAAAAGGCGCGGTATCCGGCCTCCCAGTGGTGGCCCGCCAATAATTCTTTGACAAGAGTCTGGGTCTAATTCATCCAACCTACGGCGTTGTAGGAGGTTTCGTGTGCCTTATGGTTATAATAGAGCTTCCACTTAGAGACTCTGCCACCAGGATTGCGAGTATAAGACATCTGACAGCTGTATTTAGGACAAATCTGTTTTTCTTCACTAAATTCTGGTAGCAGATCACTTCTTCAGCGAGGGGCGGCAAGTCTGCATTTAATCCAGTCTGGATGTTATATGGTGCTCTATCAGCGTGATAAGGCTTGGGATTAGAGTAACAGCTTTTACTTTCACGCTTTCATGGCTGACTGGGAGTTAATAACTGCGCCAGTAGCAGCACTTGCAAGCAGAGGAAGCAGAAGTGGTCGTATAAGCACCTTGGCTATTGTTAAAAGACTTGCTTGCACGACAGACTATTTGCGGAAGAGTCTTATTATGCGAAGGATAGTGCATTGTGATTTGTGGCTAAGTGTGAATTTCCAAGATTAAATAGATATCTACTAAGTACCTTGCCACATTCACAACACCGAGTTCTTAACATCTTGCAATATCTGACCGTCTTCGCACTCTTGGTACTGCCACGAGTCCTTTGCAATAATAGGGGTCTTACTTTCATCATATAGATGGGCTTTCCAATTTGACGACCTGGCCTTGGACACCGCGCTCAGGTTAACGCGGTGAGGTGATGTTTATATGGTTTGATGTAGGCCGTATTGGGATAAGGAAGGGTGAGGGCACAGGGCTGGGGCTGGGAAGCTTCCCATCATATCCTCGCTCCTCGCCATGACAACGCCCTTCTACCTTCTTCCTTTCCTCCCCATCTTTAGTATTCTCGATATAGGACTCAATGTGATCTTATCCATCTGATCTGTCTGCCGTCACATCTAGCTCGTTGACTGCGGATATTAAACAAGACAGTCCTTCACCTACACAGCTGCAACCTTGTCTAGTATGTGCAATATTAAAATATATCTTGCTGATAGAACTTGGACCATTTACTTGATGGTTGAACCAGGTTTATTAAAATTAACTCCAGGATACAGTTATAACCCTGCATTTGCACGAAGAATATGGGAAAACCCAACCTGATTAGGGAAAAAAACATAATAGAGCCTTACAAAGGAAACAAAAACGGCGATGGAAGTTAACCCTATATTAAAACAGACCATGCACCGCACCTAATAATGCGACTTAATATTACAATGTACCGACAGTGGATCGTAATAGTAAAGATCAGGCCAGTTGCCTGCGTCAACGGTCCCTAGGTAACCACTGCAACCTTGGTGCCTAGACTGAGTTAGCTTGTGTTTACAGATAAAGACCTGATCCCATACGCAAAAATATAGCAGTAATCTTAGAATAAAGCATTCTAATTGTCACTTATACCAAGAGATGTATTGGTGGCAGGTAGTTTGATAGGAAGTGGTTATTAAAAAATAAAAGATGATGGACATTCGTATAAGCAATACAATAGTGCTGAACGCAATATTTATATCTGTAGCTGTGGCCATGAAAAGCACTATCTATCCGTTGTTTAAACTGCAGCGTCATTTTCAGCAGTATTTATCTACTCTAATCATCATAAGACCAATATCACCTACTGCTGTTTTCGGACATTTCATACAGTCTTTGGTATAATGCTCGATGATTTGGAGCCACTGCACAGTGATATCAGGATGATGAGGTCCATACTTACTGTCACATTCTTGTCGCTGATACATGACATGCAAACACCTCTAAGCATTTCTTAGTTGTTTCTTGTAGTTGCTGCGTCTAGATCCTGTGCTGCATACGATGACTTCCCTGAGTCTATGATATCATTGTGTAACGTATCAGGCTATAGTAACTAAATTACGGCCTGTAATAGAAGCTTTAAACTTAAACTTTGGTTAAACGACATTTTCCAATATGGTTTCTGGTCCCAGAGATTGTAACATAATTTCAATGATGATGAATCAATAGTCATATTATGCTTTTAAAGGCTATGCGGGTAAGGCTAGATCCGACCCGACTGAGCGCGGCCCGTTCCGATAGGTAAAGATAAACTCTTTGCTCCACTATTAACTAGGTATGGAACGAAAGCATTTTCAAAGAGACCAACCAAGCATTTTAGTAATCCATTGTTGCATACCAAATATATCAGGTTTACGTCTCTATGCAATGCAATATTTAAAAATATCTAACCAGCCTGTCAAACGTCATTATTATGATTTGTTTCTTTCCAGCTACTGGCAGTTGTTGTGCAGTGATGGGGGGCAACCAAAAAACGTCACTCCTCTCACAGCACCGAGGATAACTTGTTATTCTCTGATATTCAAGGCAAGAGTTTTCATCGTGGTGAACAGCCAAAGTCCCCCGAGAGAAGCAGGAAATAGTCAGCCCTACGCCTTCAAAACGGCTTCGAGCTCCCGCTATATTACCTTCAAGTGAAAATACCTTCACCACCCCTTATTCTCACTTTATGTCTGTGCCGCTTGATAAGCGTTTGCAATTTCTTTCTTGGCTGTTTGAAGGTGCACTACCACGTTGTATGTCTGACCCCGTCTCTACAACATGCAATAATGGAAATGTGTGTTCAAAGAGTTGCTCGACGAAACTGCATTAAATCTCGCAGACTCGGCATAATTGCAGCGAGGCCCAAGGAAACTCTAGAAAGGGCATGCTATGGTCAACTAAAGGGATAGAACTTTCTGCTAAAGTTAAGAAGAGATGAGAGAGTTTGGTCAGAAGTCACAAAATTATTCTCGGACCAATATACGGGAAGAAGTTCTGCTTTAATTCAAGTATACTAGAGTATGACCTTTAGAAAAGTAGTACAGAATAGTATTGCATATATGGCAGTCTAAAAGAAATAACATGCTCATGGGAGCAGAAGTGGGTGCTGGCCTTGATAGGGCTATACAGGGAATTACGGTGGTTTCTGTCGAGCCCAAGATAGCAGTTGGCTTAGGAGCCAATTTATCAGCTGCTGGTGGTAGTGCATTATAGATAATTATAATACTCACGTTTGACACATACGACCATAGGGTGTGGAAAGCAGGGCTTCCCGTCCGCTCAGCCGTACTTAAACCATGAACGCGGTTAATTGATACTTAAGCCCTGCGCTAGTTGCCGCTTTATGGGTGAGCGCCGCTAACTCTGAAGATGAGCTGGGTGAGCTGGGTGAGCTGGGTGAGCTGGGTGAGCTGGGTGAGCAGGTGGGTGAGCACAATGATTTAGGGGTTGAGGGGGAATTGCTACTGTAAAATAAATAGAGGGCACCCTGCTTTCTTGACCATTGTTTTCTTCCCCTTCCAAAGAACTCAGGAAGATTTTATTCGGCAATCGACCATATTATTGTATACAACATTATGTCACGTGATTACAAGTCTATTTTACTGGAGGAGCAAAGACAAAGAAAAGTTGAGGAGCTCCGAAAACTCGTTGAAAAACGGGGATTAACTATAAAGTACCAGCATGAGAAGAAAAATAAGGAAAATAAGTTTTCCCATAAAAAGAGGGCCCCAGCTACTGATAAATGTTACAACCGTGCTGTTAAGAATTAGAAAACTGTGGGGTAATTAGTAACTTAATTAGGCTTACAAGCAATTACTAATCCTATATTAGATAGATGATAACTGTAGATAAACCTGAAGATAGGTACTTTACAAAGCAAGAACCGGACCCTCCTGCTTAAGTCCTAAAACTCTTCTGTGAGAGTTTTATTTGTCTACGCAAAGGAAACTTGCCTTCTTAATATAGTGTCTGTTATAACCTTTCTTGCTTTATTACTAAATAGGAGAAAAAGACTTCTAGAGTACTCCCAATTGCAGTCAAAAAAGATGTTTATAATGCTTGTTATTGATTCCTGTCTACCAATGGCACTCGCTGACATCTTAAGTATATTCGAAATGACTTGACACTAAGATACGGGCTTTAGACAAAACATAGAGAGAAGTTCCATGTTACAGCAAAAGACCTTAATCTTTTTTAAGGCAGTTATTCCAAGATGATAACTATAACTATATCTATAAGCGCTCAAGATTTCAAGATTCTTTTGCCCTCTTATTGTTTTTGGCCTCTGGAGCCAGAGCTGGTGCTATCGTCGAGTCCAGCGCCTATACAACAAAATAATCTTGGTGTGGTCTCCAACGTGACTCTGTTCAAACATTCTGCTCGTGGTCTTTAGTGACCTACAACTCAACTAGTCGCTATAACGTGTCTTACTTAAATGGCTATTTACGAATTCCTCCCCAGGGATGGGGCGGAAAGGTTTGTTGGAAACCTCTCTCTGAGGCTGTCCTTTGTTTCCTTTGTGTTTTGGTTTGGTTTTGCTCTGTTTCTCTTTTTTTTTTTTAAGGGATTTGTAAAAGCCGCGGTCCAGAGGGGCAGCATAGCATAACACCAAGGCAAAAGGGCCATCACAGGCCTTGACGAGGCTCTAAGTTCGTGCTAATAATAGACTCATGTAACTAGATACATACAGAGATAGCTATAGTTAGTTACCTGCATATCGCCGAAGGCGAGGGGTCAGTGTATGAATACTACTACTACTACTACTACTACTACTACTACCCCAAGGTGGTTGGGTACCGGGAGAGTGGATATCCGCGCGCATGCGATCGTGACAGGTTGGGTTATAATACGAAGAAATCAATGTGTTGTAGCAGAAGCAGGGGCATCAAGTATCAAAGCATTAATTGCAGGGACATGTTCACATTAGAAAGAAACTCAACGCTCCGAATGCAGCTAGCAAGAGGGATACGCCGAAAACAGCCAGTTGCTGGGCGGCATTCTCATCGTCCTCCGGGCAATCAGCCGGCGGGTTTACGCCCTTACACAAGGTGGCAGTCAAGGAGGCAGACATACTTGCAGCAATAGCCGAGTCAATATCGACCCGACAAGGATCTGGTATCGGCATCGGGGTAGAGGACGCTACCACTGCACATGTGTTATTAGTGGAGTCACCACCAGGCCAGTCCACCCACAGTGGAACTTCCATGGTTTTATCGGTAACTTTGATAGCAACCCCGTGTTCCCCGGGACAGGTCTTGTTGGCTGTAGCAGTAACAAGATCCACCTTGGGAGCGGCATTTTGGATGGTGAAGAAGATACCCCAAGATGTGGAGTTGTAGATCATACTCGCACGGGGAAGACTATTAGAAAAGGCGTACTCGTCGCAACTCTCCCAGGTCAAGCTCCAATCCAGCTTCCAACGACCCTCAGTGCTGAAGTCACTGAAGTATGTGTATGCAAAGTAGGGGTCGTGGCTGGACCAGTTTGTCCATCTTAAATCGTAAGATCGAGTAATAGTGTCGTTCCTGTTATCCCAGTTCCTTATTGTGTAGGAAATATGAGGGTTCAGGTATTTCGCGCGCTCGGCATTCTGGAAAGCAAAAATAATAGGGAACAACTCAGTGGGCGCATATGTTTCGTTGCGCGGGAAAACCAGGTCCATTTCCAGCACGCTAGAAGCGCTGACCATGGCCCCCATGCAGGCAGAGAGTAACCAGCTCGCCCGCGAGAAGTGCATGTTGAGGCGAAGCAAGGATTTTAAAGCGTGGTGAATAGAGGGCGATAGAAGGCCGAGGTCGGAAATATGGGGAGCAACAGCGCGATAGAGAAAAAAAAGGTAAAGGCCTCTTGACAATGGTTCTGTAAGGTTCTGCAAGCAGGCGATAAAGGATTTGCAGTGAAAGTGGTAAAATAGGATAAAAAAGGGGTAGAGCTAAGTGTAATATTTTACTCTGCAGACTAAACCAAATTGTGGCTGGCAGGGGTCGAGGTCGGACTAGATAGGACCTCGTGGTTAACAATATAGGAGTTTCCTGTCAGAATAGGCAGATACCATTATTACATACAAATTGAAACAGCGCTACTTTTTGTGGTGTAGTGGTATATCTGACATTTCTCTGGGGGATTAGCACGGTTAATAGTGGAGACGCCGAGCCACTGGGTACTGGGCTAACCCAAAAAGGAAGTAGAATCTGAATGGTGAAAACACTGTAAAGGGTTGGTAGCTAAGAACAAGCAGAACAATCTCTAATCGCATAAAGTAACGCCTTGGCGGCCCACTAGTAATCTTACAATAAGGCTAAAATCTCTGTATCTTACCAGATAAAACGCTAAGACAAGGCATATTTAAGATTACTTGCTAAGAGTATGTTATTGAAATACCAGAGGCGCTGATTATGGGGCGCCTATTGCCAAGGCTTCACTTTATGTGTCCGGAGGCACACTGCAGTGTTACATTGCCTTGAAATTATTCCTCAACTCTCACTGGCAGTTGCATGGGCTCGGGGGGATGAAGTTCCTCAACCAGTCCGCTCAGAATGGTTCCTGGCACGGGCATTCGAACCCCCCGGCTCCGGCGGGTTGAATTATCCTATTTCTGCAGTTATCTACTCCGGAGACTCCGCTGTCTTTCTTACTGCCTTGCCTTGCGCAGGAGCAAGATTCGACGTTAGAGTCTAAGCTTTGATGGTATGCAGTCCTTCAGGACTGGGATTCCTCATGCAAAATGTCATATGTCATATGTTATATATCCAATCATTGGATATATAACATCACATAGACCTCGCCATAATGCTTTTTTGGGTACCCATGGGTTACCCAGCAACCCGCCAAGAACCCAAGTCCAGATATATTACGGTATTACGTATTAAAATCCAGGGATTCTATGAACGACGGTGTAAAATTTATATATATTACCGCTATTTACTTTTGGCGGGTTTTCGGTCAAGGGTCGAACGTTTTTTGGCGAGGTCTAGATTTTAATCTTGGCATCTAACCCTCCTAGGTCCCGGGTGTGTCTCCCATCTATACAACTAACAAAAAGCCAGCTCTCTGGAAGACAAGCGGGGCATCAAGTGAGTTAAAAGACAGGTATAAGATGTGGGCCTGGAGTCTGCCTTGATGAGTTATCTTGCTCTTATGCCACCGACCTCTCCTCTTCTCTGTCGGCGTATGCGTATTGATAACACGGCTACTCTGTAGAAGGTGGCAGTAAATAGCGTCCAGCACCTTGCTCCACAAAGGAATTAATAGATTCTGACAAAAAATGCCGAACTCAATGCCTAACGTATATTTACCCTATCAAGATATCTCCGGTTTGCTGTTTCACACTCTCTGGCCTCCCTCCATACAATGATATCCACTTTTTAAGCTAGTTATTTATACCGCATAAAACATGGCAAGTAATGTAACAATCAGCTGAGCACTTCAAAGCTTCAACTATTCCTAAAGCAGTCGAGAAGTAAATGAAGTATAGCACGCTAAGTGGGTGGATAGTAGGTATCCTTGGATGCAGACCAGAGGGTGTAGCGCAGGAAATGTTAGGGCCTTAGATTGCTATATAAACCTCTATACAGGCCGTAGTTAGCTGTCAATCATTCCCTTATTTAATTTGAGTCTATATTACGTATGTGACACTCGACTCCCTAAGCAGCGAACCCTCGCTAACGCTCATATTCTCTACAGAGTCCAATCTAAGACCAACATAATGTACCTGACACACCTTCTTGCCGTCGGGTTCGCCCCAGGAATGGCCGCGGCCCTGTCCCGCCGCGCAGTTGAGTGCGACTTTTCCACCACTGCTGACGCGGGTGCTACATGCTCGAGCTTTGCAAGCAGCTGGGGACTCTCGGTCGACACTCTCCAGCAGCTGAACCCTGGCATTACCTGCCCTAATTTTGATACTAACAAGTTATACTGCGTGATCGGCACTGTCAGTGATAATACCCCGAGCACCACACTCACGACGACAACCACCACCGAGCCCGCGCCCGGCAACTTCCCCACTATGCCCGGCGTCGCAGACAACTGTGATAGTTTCTACAAGGTCTTATCCGGCGACCAGTGTGATACCATTGCTGCGAAGCACAGTATCAGCGTAGCCCAGTTCAAGAGCTGGAACAGCGAGATTAACAACGGTATGTCTTTACCTTCCTCCCCTTTTCTCTTTCTTTACGCAACCAAGAGCCATCCTATCAGATCCGAATCTAATATCCATCCCTTTGGTGTATAGACTGCACAAACCTCTGGCTGGACTACTATGTCTGCGTGCACGTTTCCGGCGCAACCACCACTTCGCAGGCACCCAAGCCAACCGACGAGCCCTCCGGCCCCACGCCCCAGATGCCCGGGATCGTCGACAAATGCAAGTCCTTCCACCTGATCGAGGACGGTAACAACTGCTGGTCTATCTATACGGATGCGGGGATCACGTTTGCGCAGTTTCGCGCATGGAACACGGAGATCAATGCGGCGTGCAGCAACTTGTGGCTGGGATACTATGTCTGTGTTGGTGTTTAAACTAAGCTGTGCATGGAGTTGGACATTGCGCAGTAGGAGGGTACAGTTCCTCCGAGTCATCAAAAGTGTACCCTAGAGCCACCTCTACACCAAACATGAATCCATCCATCATTTCCATCCAATTTCCTTCTTTCCTTCTTTCCTTCTTCATGTTTAGTTTTCTCGATCGACACTACCTAGGTATGGAATGATATCTGGTTTAAGCAATCCATTATATGACTTAGGTAGACATTAGGGATGGTAAAAATCCATCTACTAAATAATTGACAGAAATATTATGACTCAGTCTAGTAATCCAATCTCATCTTTATTATCGAATGTACCAGGTAGTTGCAACGAGAATATCAAACATGAAGAAGAAAGAAGGATACATAGGAGGTGCGGGGTCAGGTAAACAAGCCGTACCGTCGGTGATCACCTGACGCACGATTTTGGCAATACAACGACTTCTTGACATGGAATTCAAACCTCTACAATTCCACCAAAATGGGTTCAATTGAAGCAGCTCTTGAAGAAATAGAAAGCCTAAAAGAAGGTGAAAAGCTCAATTACACAAAAGTTGCTGAAAGGCATAGAATTAGCTGATTAACGCTGTCAAAACACCATCGAGGGATACAGCAGTCCCAAGCTACTCAGTACGAAGCCCAACAATTCTCAACAACCAGCAATCCAAAGAGCTTATAAAATGGATCAATACACTTATCGATCGAGGCATTCCACCTACCCATGAAATACTATGGAATTTTGTCAAGGAATTTACTGGAAATAAGCCTGGAACACAGTGGCCGGGGCGCTTTATAAAGAAATATTATGATAGCTTGTTGCTCATTATACTACTGGAATGGATGTTTCAAGAAAGCGGGCTGATTCAGCATATAAATATGCTTTAAATTTTGAATTTATGGCCCGAAAGATCGAGGAATAGGATATCCATCCTGAAGTTTATGTATAATATGGATGAAAAAGGCTTTCTTATTGGAGTATTATCTAAAGGCAAAAGAATCTTTTCCCGGCAAAGATATGAGCAAGGAGGGATCAAGCAACGACTCCAGGATAGAAATAGAGAGTGGATTACTACAATTGCTTGTATCTGTGCAGATGTAAGCTTTCTTTCTCCAGGTCTTATGTACCAGGCAATTTCAGGTAATATCCAGGATTCATGGCTTCAGGACTTCAATTCTAATAACCACAGCTGCTTTTTTGCATCCCCTCCTTCTGGCTGGACAAATGAAAAGCTGGGATATGCTTGGCTTACAACTATTTTTGATCGGGAGAAATAGGAGAAAACCCGGAGGCGCTGGCGCTTTCTAATTTTAGATGGTCATGGATCTCATATTACTATGAAGTTTTTTCCGAATTGGGTGTGGATAATAGGCGGCCCATTTTAATTTAGCGTATAAATTCTCTTACTGACTGCAAGGTGTATCCTTCGAAACCGGACCAGAATCCTATAGAATTGGACAGGTATGTATAGACCCGGCCAGATCCCTGAGCCGGATTCCCAAATAAACATCAGCATCTCACATCTTGCTGTATTTGTATACTTTTTTTTATAATGCTCGCTCTCCGTCTATCTCTCCTGTGCCGGAGGGATTTCTCCCATGATCCTGAAGCCCTCGCTACCCTTCGTCTTTTAAATATTTTCGACATTATATTGGAGACTCAAAAGTAAAAGAAAAGGGGGGCATTTAGAAAGTGATTTGATATCTCTTGCATACTACATCCTAAGAAACATAGGAGTGTATTTATACTATAGATGACTTATTGGTATAATAGTAATTGATCGTTCTTGCTGAAATCAGGTAGACTATAGTAACCAGTGACCAGTAAATGAGATGCATTTTCAAGTCTAAAAACAAGGGTATGTTTATACAAGCCTAGGTTACCTCTAACTCCCATTTTTTGTAGGGTACTGTATCATAAAATAGAGGTGCAACTAAAAAATAAACCCAAAAAGCTTTTGGATGTAGACAGTAGTTTACTAGGGGATCAACGACAAAAGCACTTTGAAGTTTAAATTTACATATCTGAGGGCGGCGTCTCTACTAGATAAGGAGGGGCAGTTGGTTAACCCATTGTCTTTATTTTTAACCCTAGAACATTATAAGGGAAAGTGTTTGGAAAGCGAGGGTATTTTTACCCACCCTCAGTACCGACAGATAACACAACTACTAAACGGTCAACAGATGCCAAATAGTTCGGTGATGAACTACAGAGGAGGTTTGTTGGGGGCAGCGCTAGCAAATTTCTGCTACTATATTTCTGCCCTGCCTTGTCTTTTCGACATTCGTCCCTAAATCAACAACCAAGTTCGGACAGCCGCACAAATCTGAAGGCCTTAATTCCCCACCTCAATTAACCTGGGTAACTGAGTGTTGAACATCCGCTTGATTGGGATCCATAATCATTTACCACTTACTAGGCATAATATTTCTGGTGGGTGAAGTTCATTCTGTAACGTATAATTTTCTCCTATTTTGGACGCTTCAATTAACCAGATCTGCTTTCCATATATCTTGTAATCACAGCTAATTTAGTGTGACCGCGGAGACGGTAGATAAGTGAATTGGGAGCCAGACTTGGTATTACCAAGTCTAGTTGACCTTTTTGCAGTGGCGTGGCAATTGGGTGTACCCTGTAACCTAGTCTTACCCTTTTCGGACTAAGGAGATTACATAATTATATTTTAAATGTAAATTACCATTCACATAGAAATTTACGCATTATTTGGTGGAATAAAAAATCATCGAAAAGTGCTAGTTTGTATGGGAAAGGTGGTCCGATTCGGGGGGTGGTCCGCTTCTAGGTGTCCCATCTTATATACTGTAGGCGGGGGCTATTATTGTAGACCCGCATGTATTTTATTTCCGCGCATGCACTAAGAACCAATCCCCAAGCCCAATTTTTGAAGCCTAACCAGACCAATGTAACACCGATTAACCGCGGCCGGTGGATTTCTAATAATACTTATATTAATCTAACTACCTGGCCAGGAATAGTATCCCTCCTTGACACTAATAGAAGCAATGCACGGGCGGCTGAGTCCCAAAGTCACTGCTAATAAGCAACTGCGGTAGAAGTATGCAGTGGGGCCGAAGACTACCAGGATTTAAGATATAATTTTATGTTTATTGGTGACCTCACGCATATTCGGCTAGTACCGAATAGGAAAGTAGATACTATTCTTGAAAAGATGTTTGAACGACTACTTGGACAGTTTCTTAATTATATTAATCAACGTACTAATCAATATAATCATTCTTGTGATTGTTATTATGGATAATTCTCTAGCTTCTTCAGCTAGGTGTAGGGAGCTCGTTTTACCCCTCTTTTATAACATAATTTACGTCACCATTACAACCACGCTTAAGCCGGTTCCTGCATCGTAGAAGTATCGGCTCCTGCCAAGGGCACTAGTTTCTTACATCCGTAGGAATTGCTCGCCAAGAGTGATTATCGTCGGGCCGGGGCTTTAGCCTCCGATACCAGTATGGAGACGAGGCGTTCCAGCGATGTTCAAAGGAAATGCGTCACATATGTGCTTAGGCCCTCCCCAGGCGTACTACCTTACTGTGGTATAAGCTAACATGGGAAGACAGTCTTTACTAACCTAACCAGATGGGGAAGGAATTGATTGAACAAGGTTAAAGCCGAGGTTGCCCAGGAAGGCGAGAAAAAGCGCCTCCGAAGAAATTTGCACCCACTCGGCTACTTGCCTCCGTCCGTCTGGCCTCCACTCCCCAGTCTGTATTATCTCACATTTTAAGACGATATATTACAAGCGTTGACAGGCATCTATCTTAGTTTGCCAAGAGTAGGTCGGCTTCTAAACCCAGCAAGCCAGTGCTGGTTGGCCAGTTTGCGTTAAAATGTTAGGGGGTCCAGTCGCCGCCACAAGACAAACACAATACCTATGTATATCAACCGAAACAGACAGCAATTAAGGGCCAAGGCAACGCCAATTGGTGCATACAGATACAGTTTAGTACTATGAGATGAAAAATAACGGCCTCGGTATTCGTTACGTGTAACGCCAACTACTGCTGGACATGGTGAGGAAAACAGCTATGTGAATGGTCATGAGAACGGTCATACAGCCGCCACTAAGCATCTCCATTATGAGAAATTCTCCATCATTCGCTCTTCATGGGCTGGAAGGGCGTACAGCTTCTACGCCCTTCTCGCCAATACTTCCTTGACTACATCGTTGGACCGACTAGTTCTCGTCGCCCGCACCCCTGCCCAGCAGCTGGCGGATTCCCTGAGCGGAGATCTGAAACTGAAGTCACCCTCGCCGACCTCCTCGCCCAATCCTCATCGTTGCTATCCCCCACCACACTGGATGTCTCCACCGTCGAGCTCGACAAGGTGGCCCTCGCGGAGGCCAACGAGGCCAAATACAAAGTAATCAAACATATCGTGGCAGAGGGGCCGCGGATCGCCTGAACTACCGGATTAGGCAAGCAGGACGACTTCGATCCAATGCAATCTGTGTTCTCGGGGCTGGCGCGCGCCCATCATGATCGAGCAGCCGTCGACGAAGATCTTCTCGCTAGAATTGGCTCCGCGAAACAACCCGACAATCATCTCGCGCGCTGTGGCACGCATACTCCAGACCGAGGTCACATCCTCCTCCCCCAGCAACATCGACTATATGTACCTTCAAAACGGCGCAGGTTTGCTAATCAGTCGCGCCGTGCCAGACAAGCGCATGAATGAGCGGTTCCGCGAGCGCGAACAGGGCAGCGCCACGCTGATGCTGCTCTCCGGTGCCGTCCATGCGGCGCTCTTTGTGCAAAAACCAGGCCAACTGAGCACGGTGGACTTTGTCACGAAGAAGAATCCTCCCGCCGCAGCAGACAACGACCACGTCGTCGTTAAGGTAACCTGCACCGGACTCAACGCCAGAGACGTAGAATCGCCTTTCTCCTAAGTAGGGCTAGGGGTTGGAGTAGGTGGAAGGGCCCGAAAGGGTTTACCAATTAAAACAGATTAGACATGGCGTGAGCTCTCTCTCCGGACAATATATTAAAATATTAAAAAAAAGGTACTAATCAAGTACTCCGTACATCTCCGTTAGTACACAGTACACCCGGATACTTAGACCCACCGGAGTTTCCATTACAATAGAAAGATAGGTAATAAGGCTATTATATCTACCAGTAGCTTACTTCTACGGAGATACTACGGAGTAATTAAAAGCAAGCTATACACAAAAGGCCATGACCCTGAGGCTAGAATACCAAGGCAGCAAGACTAACTCTTCCCTGAGTAGGTTGGTACCTAACCACACCACAGTACCTAACCACACCACACACTAACATAACTTCAATTCGCCGCTTACCACCCTTAGGGTTTGTTTTTCAACTATCCCCTCTTCTTGCACATGCGCCGCAGTTAGACAGCTCTGCATAGATTGAAGATTCAGCCCCCAACAATACCAAGGCGCTAAAATTGACCTAGTGTGTAGTAAGTTTAGACAGGTCCGTGGACCCCTTCTTGATGGTCAGATGTTCACACGTTTATATGCTGAGGCTAAGAGACCCTCTACGGAGTCTACACGAGTAGTACGGAGTATGGTTGCATTAATTCACCAATTTGGAATTTCCCATCTTCACCGGCCGAAATCCTTGCTAGGGAGCCTTGTAATGGCTTGTACGAGTACAACTGGGGGACTAATACAGTAGGGCTTCCAGCTAAGCTGAGATGAGGTGGGAAATGAGCCGATGCAACGTCCAGGGCAAGCGAGGGATGGGATGAAAAGGTACGAGAAAGAGAAAGCTCAGACTCGAGGCGAGGATACGAGAAAGGGGTATAGATGCCGAAATAGTATAAAACACACTGCGCCATGTCTCTCTCTTGTGGAAATGTCTTCTCATCATTCTTTCATTATTTTGACATTCTTTAACTTGTGTCCGCAGGAATGGTGACTTTGTCATCCTTCATGGCAGTACTTGGGGCTGTTAGCGTTGGCCTCTTGCTCTCTGCCAATGGAGCCGTGGCCACACCAGGATTCAGAAATTCCGCCAGTCCAAGCTATCGCAGCGCTGAAGTCTGTCCTGAGCGATGCAGTGTTTCTGGGCCTAGCACGGGGAACTGGTCTGTGTATCCCAACTTTAAGCAGATCAAGAAATGCAAACAGACCATGTTCTACGACTTTTCTCTCTACGACCCTGTTGACGACCAGGCTAAGAATCACAAGATCCATGCTTGCTCGTCTTTCGGTCCTGATTTCTCGCAGATCCCCGCTTTGGGCGCACGGATCGCTTCCGTGGAGTCTGTTGATGTTAAGTTTGAGATGGGGTGGTGGAAGGAGGGGTTTGGGCTTGCGACTTCGGGACTGCGGTCACTTGTCAAGCAGATTCGTCAGTATGCTGAGAATGGACATGGAGCCGCGGATAGGCCCTTTATTATCTATGGCCAGTCTGGTCAGGCCACCATTGGTCTCTATATTGGCCAGGGTCTGCTGAACCAAGGCCTCAGCGAGTCTGCCTTAAAGATCTTCCAAGATAACCTCGAAAACCTCAACGTTTCGACACCGAGTTTAGCCATGCAGCTCTGCGAGCAGAACTATGACAGCACACACATTTTCGGAGTCATGGCCATAAGCAGTGGTACGTTCACTCCCATCCAGGACGCTATTAAGTCTTGGGCCAACGCGACGTGCCTGTCGTTCGAGGGGTCCACCAAGTTTCCTGGCCTGGCCATGTTTACCACGCCGCGTCTACACGTGAATCCCACCATTACCACCACCAACTCAACTGCTGTGACTAGGAAGCTCCACGCTCGTGCTGAGTGTAGCACGGTCCAGGTTGAATCTGGCAATGGCTGTGCGGACCTGGCTGCAAAGTGTGGTATTTCGAGAGCCGACTTTACCAAGTACAACCCTGGCGATAACTTCTGTTCGACATTGAAGCCCAAGCAGCACGTTTGCTGCTCCAAGGGAGACCTTCCGGATTTCAGCCCCAAGCCTAACAAGGATGGCTCATGCCATACATACCAGGTCAAGGAAAATGATAACTGCGACAATCTCGCTGCCGAGTACAGCCTCACGAAGGAAGATCTTGAAGACTTCAACAAGAACACCTGGGGCTGGAACGGCTGTAAGCTTCTGTTTAAGGACATAATTATGTGCTTGAGCGAAGGTACTGCGCCTTTCCCTGCCTCGATTGCCAACGCAGTGTGTGGTCCCCAGAAGCCAGGGTCCGAGCCGCCCACCGATGGCTCGGATATTGCTAATCTCAATCCCTGCCCGTTGAACGCCTGCTGCAATATCTGGGGGCAATGTGGTATTACCAAGGACTTTTGCATTGACACCAATACCGGCGCCCCGGGGACTGCCGAGCCGGGCACCTACGGCTGTATTTCCAACTGCGGGATGGATGTTGTTAAGGGCGACGGAACCGGCGCTATTAAGATTGCCTACTATGAAGGTTACTGCTTGAGCCGGGAGTGCCTGTTCCAAGATGCCTCCCAGATCGACACCTCGCAGTATACACACATCCACTTTGGCTTTGGCACGTTGACACCCTCCTTTGATGTTGAGACTGGTGATGCGCTGTCCTCGTACCAATTCGGTGAATTTAAGCGTATCTCTGGCGCGAAGAAGATCTTGTCGTTCGGTGGCTGGGACTTCTCAACTATGCCTGATACATATCAGATTTTCCGCAATGGAGTCAAGCCTGAGAACCGGCTTACGATGGCTACGAAGATTGCAAACTTTATCAAGGAGAATAACCTTGATGGCGTCGACATTGACTGGGAGTATCCCGGGGCTCCTGATCTTCCGGACTTCGATCCCGGTACTAAGGAAGAGGGTCCTAATTACCTCGCCTTCCTTGTTGTTCTTAAAAACCTCCTGCCCGGTAAATCTATCTCCATCGCCGCTCCTTCCTCCTACTGGTACTTAAAGCAGTTCCCCATCGCGCAAATTAGTAAGATTGTGGATTACATTGTCTACATGACCTATGATCTCCATGGTCAGTGGGATTCCCACAACAGTAACTCCCAAGAGGGATGTGACAGGGGTAATTGCCTGCGCAGTCAGGTCAACCTGACAGAGACCAGGCAGTCATTGGCGATGATCACCAAAGCAGGTGTTCCCGGAAGGAAGGTAATTGTCGGTGTGACTAGCTACGGGCGATCCTTTAAGATGGCCGAGGCAGGGTGCTGGGGCCCCGACTGTATATTCACCGGTGACCGGCTGAATTCAAATGCGAAGAAGGGAAAATGCACCGGCACAGCTGGGTACATTGCTGACGCTGAGATTGCTGAGATCTTGAACAAGCCAGGCCGAGTTGTTAAACACTTTGTCGACTCCAGCAGCAACAGTGACATTCTTGTCTATGATAACACGGAATGGGTCGGCTACATGAGCGCTGCAACCAAGAAGACACGCACAGCCCTCTACTCCGCCTGGGGTCTGGGAGGCACCTCTGACTGGGCCAGTGATTTGCAGAAATACCATGATGTGCCCGGACCGGCAACGAGCTGGGGTGTGTTCAAGCAACTCGCCCTCGCCGGGGAAGACCCCAAGACGGACCACACGCGGAACGGCAACTGGACCGAAATGGATTGCACGCATAAAATGATTGTCGACTCTACATGGTACACGCCCTCTGACCGGTGGAAGACTTTGAACGCGGATGCTGCATGGGCGGACGTTGTTAGGATCTGGGAAGACACGGACGAGCCAAGACACGGGATCAAGTTTATGCAGTCGGTCTCAACTACCCTCCATATCGGAGCTGAGGCCAACTGCGGGGAGTTGGTCTCGAACAGCTGCGTCGCGAAGGACTGCCCAGATGGTGCGAACGGTGACACGTCGGGACCCGCGGCGCAGCTTATCTGGAACTCGCTGGTGAAAATCCATAAACTATACGCGGACTATCACAAGACTCTGTTCGAGGCCGCAGCGATTGGCAGCACAGCGCTCGATGATCTGGAGAATAAATTTGCGCCGATCCCGCCCGAGGAGGACAATACCTGGCGCTTGCTGCTTATTGACCTTATCACCCTTGGAGCCCTCGGGACTGCTGGGCCTTTCTTCAACACGGCCCTTAAGAACCTCCCTTATTTCCTCGAGAAAGGAAGCACCTTTGACAATGTCAAGGATACCACCATGACCGTGATCGGACAGGGTACAACCATCGCCAAGGACGTGTTACCCAGTAAGGACGCCCCATGGAAGCCGGAGGCACAGGATGAATTCTCAAACTATATGGGGCAAGTCATCAATGGCTGGGCCAATGTTACCTCTCTTGCACTCGAGGAATTATTCAACGGAAGCCCGGAGTCGATCAAGATCCTTGAGGACACCATATCCAACGGAAAGCTCATCGAGGATGGTAAATTCGAATCAGAGCCCCGAGAGACCGGCAATGTGAAGAATGAGCTACGAGCCAATATTCAAAAGTGCTTCTTCGGCTACTCCATCCCTGCTCTCTGGCAGGTTTCGAAAGCCTACGCCTTTATCATCGACGCTGGCCACGGGTGTGATGAAGGAAAGCAACTCAGCAACTACCTCGACGACGACACCATGGACGCCACAGGCGCCTGCGTCGACGGGCGACAATACTACCTCGCATACCCTGACGGTGACGCCGTAGAATGCCACTGCGTGTACCACGACGGAGGACACTGCGAGCGCGTATGCGTAGACAACAAATTCTCTGCCCCCCCAGGCCTCGACTCCCTCGGCAACGGCAACTTCGGCGGCATTACCAGAGACGACCTGATTAAGGGCTCTGTCCGCACGTGGATGAAAAACGGCAAGGAAAACGGCGGCGGCTTCGCGGACCCGACTAACGAGGGCACAATCGACAACCTGATGGACGTGGACGTCACAACGCCCGGATTCATGCGTATTCCCGTCTGTAGCCCCGAGCGTGCCTTTCAATCCTGGGACACGGCCAAGGCGGGCTCGAGCGACTTCTACCCCTGCGATATCCCGCCGGGCAAGGACACCTGCGGGGACTCGACGTTTGTGGACCAGACCAGCGATGCGTCACCTAGTGTAGACGACTGTCTTACCATTATTAAGAATATCGAGGGCGACGCTAGCACGGACTGGACCACCCAGGTTGTTGGCAAAAACCAGCGCAAGGTTGCCTCGCATGGTTCTTGTGCGTTTGGCGTGGAGGCTACCAAGGTGGACGGGAATGTGAACTTTGTTGTTGGTGGGCAGGATGTTATTGATATTATCAACGACAGTATTAAGCAGTTTGCTAGGGATGGGAAGGTTGGAGCGAAGGGGAACATGGATTGTAATGGCAATATCAAGAGTCAGCCGGTTCTGTGGGGGCTCTACTAGACAATTGATGTTTAGCTAGTGGGTAATTGGAAATGTCAATGCCATTAGTAGATGCGTCAATGGAAGTCGCTATACGCACTTTGGTAAATATTCAGATGAGATTTTGCTATGCCCGCTGAACCAGGACGTGAAATATTTGAATATTTTTGCTTTCAACATAAACTCACCTTTAGTAGTTATCTCGGAGCGGGAGCGAGAGTCCTTCTGTACCAAATTACAAGAAATCCGCCAGATCCAAAATTTTGCCGTACATCGAGTAGCACTGAACACCAGCACAATCAGGAGATATGAAAAAATTGCTCTTGGTGTCTTAAGACTTGCGCAAAGGTTAGGAGGCGAAATGTATACCCCCCTAACCGACCCCTGCGCTAAGGCCTCCAGGGTCGCGCCTTGCGCGACCCTGGCAGCCAAATGACCAAAAGAGTATATCGAAAACTTCAAGAAGCAATAAAATCATTAATTTTTAGATATTATATAAATTTATATATATAATGAAAGCCTGAATTTTCTATTATGCTTGCTTCCGCTTCCTAGACCTTTTTGCAATGATTCCTCGATCAATTGTGTTGCGGCGCTGTACAACCTGACTATATAAAGCGAGAATAGTTCAAGGACGCTGTCCTTGAATACTAGTCTTTTGCTCCTGGCACAGCGGTTTTCTCGATCGAATGTTCCCGATCCGGCAGGTCGTGTCAATTTACAGGTCTTTTTCTTTAGCTTCTATATCTTTAGTTTATCACATACTCTATCTTGTATAATGGATAGATTTATTCGCCCTCGTCCACAAAACGCACGTCAGCAAGGCTTTTGGAAGATTGCAAATGGTGGTAGTGATAATAAAGCTAATCTAGAAGATTAGATTAAAAGCCAGCCTACAGAAGCTCTTAATAATATTAAACAAGTTTTTATCAATTATCCTTCTTCTCAGAGTAGTCCCGTTGTTCCCAGTGATTTAGTTTCACAGATTCAGCTATTAGCAATACAGTATACTATTAAATCCTTTTTAAGCCTCCGAGACCGAAAAGACGGTGACGAGAAACCTCATGGGCCTACACTTACATTTACAGACAATTATGGAAGGAAAGTTCATTTTTAATAAGCAAACTGGGAAGACAAAAGTTAATATATAGTATGCTTGTCTATACTGTAAAGCTCCAGGGAAATAGGTTACTGTTAATTCAGTCACCAAAGGCTTAACCTGTAATTTGCAGAAGCACCTAGGGGAGAAACATGGTATCTATAAAAATCAAAGCACTCTAGGTATTTCTATTAGTATCAGGATCTTTTAGACCTTTGTACTTCTTGGTCTCGCCAGCTAGGTACTGAACAGGCTTTTGCCTTTTAAATCGAAAAGTAGATTTGCTATGATTAGTTAGTTCTTGAGTGAGAAGAGTTCTGTATCCCACTCGACCAGCACATTCAGGGGGAGAGAAAGCTTTGACCCCTGAATATGATGGGTCATATATCTCAACACTGGCAATTTTTCTTTTGTGCAAAAAGAACCGGTGCCCTCAAGTAGGAAAACAAGCGGACATAAAACAAGCGAGCAAAAAGAACAATCCTCCTATCCTACCGCGCATTGTTACGCACGTAGATCTCGCCATACCCTATTACCTTCACTCCACCCATCCCTCTATGCGTACTCGTAGGGTATTCGTAGTGATGAACTTCTCCAAGGCCTTGTTGGGATCTGTCTTGGTCATTGCATCTGCCGGGTTTTCACTTCCGTCGATCCATCGTATTTCCATGATCTCCCTTTGTTCGTATGACTGGCGAAGTGCCATGATATCGATCATAAGGCGCTTCTCCTTGGTGGTTCCGAGTTTAACGAGGCATTCATAAAGAGAGTATGAATCTGTGCACACGATGGTAGCGATCTTTGCAAAGCCAAGTTGGTCCGTGATCATCTTGATTGTTGTGCCGACTTGCGCATGGGGAGTCCCAAGAGCAGCGTTTTCGGGCACAGCAGTAGGCATGGTTCACTGGGAACCTCAGGGATCCCTAATGTGCTACTTAGGGTCAGCGTCACTTCTAAAGCTGACTTAGTTCTCACTCACTTCTGCTTCTTCCGTCCACGGTAGCGTTTTGTTTTGTGTGGTCTGACCTTCAACACCATATGGGGTCGCCCTCTTCCTGTAGGAAACAACGTCACAGCCACATCGTTGTGCAGCATGGTAACCAGCGCAGCCGGGCGATGACAGGTGATGCCGGCGAGAAGGATGATCAGAGCAAGCTGCAGCGGGTCCTATAACTTGTGGCCAACATTCCACAGCACCTTCAGCAGTTCGAAAACATCTTTAGACCAAAGGATTGGCTTTTTTCTCTTCTCTGTGCGAAGTCATCTTCTGCCAATTGGTCACGCGCCTACTTGTTTAATTGGCAAGTGCAAATCAAAAACCCGTATTTGAAAAGCCTCTTACCCCAATTATCTGGTCTTTGACTAGAGGTGGAATTGCGAGTCCGCACTTTTCTCGCCGGATCGTTATCCACACGTTCTAGTAAGTTTGCAAGTTAGAGGCAGCATTGATATATTGTCAACACTTTGTAATCGTGTAGTTAAAAAAGGTCCGAAGCGTTTTTACATTCGGAGGGTCCTTGCTTATAAGTGCTAGAGCGTCTCGTCCTGTCTCCCCACAGAAACTTTATATTATAAGATATGCTTTCGTCACTGGAAAAATAAAGAAAAAGCGGGGGTCTTGCTTATACCGACTCCAAAGTTCCCAAACCCACTTTTGTAAAATAATCGATTTCCCTCTATAGCTCCGTCTTTGTATCTGCTTTTTATCTAGATTATTCTCTTCTTGGAGCCAATCACGGGAATTTTTTACCTCGACGTCGGTGTCCGAATTAGATAATAAGGATATATATTTCTCGCTATCATTATCGGCACTATCCTGATGGCTAATGTTATCCTCTATGCTTCGGTGTACCCTTTTTCTTAAACATATGTTTAGTTTTTTTCCATTTATCTGACAAGTCAGAGACTTCCGAACTTGTGCTACCACGCCAACAGCGTTTCTGGCACTCCTTGGATGGCATCGTGCATATTGAAGCAGGCGAGCACACGCTTTGACTAGGAGCACAATAGAACGAAGTCAGCTTTGGTTAGACATTATAATTATTTATAACGATAATTATCAGAACAGCTTTGCAATAAACATAAACATGACAGGGAACAGAAACCAAGTGTGGATGGCCACTGTTGGAAAGAACGATCGTACTAATAGTTTTTAAGCTGGCGCTTGCCTTGGACAGAGCACAAGCACGAACCGACAAGAGGTGTCCACACTAGGGACAGGGGAGAATATGGGAAGGTTAAGGCGCTGGGAGGGGAAGGGATAAGTAGGAGGGGGTGAAGGGGTGTGGGAAAGCAAGATATCAACTAAGCTCCATATGGGACTCCAGTACTCTCAGCTGTAATAAGCGCCAGCTGGGAAGGTTATTCAGGATCGACGAGAAGAGGGCCTGCCTTATATATCAGGGGGCCAGTTTGAGGGATGGCGAAAGACCGGGCATTGGGATTGTACACGGTGGTGGATGGGTCTTTAGCGTCGTACTTCGGACATTGGATTCGGCGCCCAGGATCCTCTGGATCGCCGGTGAATCCGCGGAACATCCAGAGGACTTTTGAACACCACCTTGAGTCCTTCTTCTCATAGGGTGCGAAGAAGACCGCATGGGTCCACGAAGTCTGTGTCGGTGGGCCGTCATCGGAGAGTTCCGTAGTATCAGTGGCGGTTCCGACCACCCACCGCCTTCCGGCAGCGTAAAGGAATTTTCAACGTAGAGGAAGATAATCAATTTCCTACTTTTTTGAAGCCATACAAACCATAAAAAAGACCTAAATCGCCCGAAATTTCAGATATATACGTAAATGAAGCCGCTGAAGCCGCCCGTCTCGAAAAAAAAAAAAAAAAAAAAAAAAAAACCAATATCGCAAATATCGCGCGAGAATTAGGGGTTCCTTATGGCACACTCCACGGCCGCATCCATGATCGAAGAAAGCCTCGTACGGCTCGAAATGCACCAAATAAAACGCTGAATTAGTATCAAGAGGCTGCTTTAAGGCAGTGAATTGCTAAAATGCGTGATATCCACCTCCCCGTGACTATCTTATTGCTTTTAGAATGGGCGAACCTTACTATACAGCGCGTTGATCCTAAGCACAGCGTTAGCCGATCGTGGGCGTATCGCTTTGCTAAAAGGCTTCCTTTTGACCTTAAATTGGGCCCTGTGATTTAAAGAATGAAGGAGAAGAAGCGCTTGGATGCAGAGGGCGTCAAACAGCTTTAGTTTTAGTATAATTAGCTCACCAACTTGCTTAAAAATGCCCCCGCTTGCCTCGTGTATAATTTTAATAAATACGGTTTTCAACCAGGCAGTGGAAAGCCTTAAAAAGTGCTCGGTACGAAGGGGAGAGTTCCTGATTTTCCTAAAGCCGAGCATGCAGAGAATATTACAGCGCTTAAGTGTATTACTGCAAATGGCTGGATTATAACCCTGCTCTTTATCTTTAAAGGAAAGAAATTTATGGAGGCCTGGTACGATAAAGCGATTCCTAATTACTATACTGCAGTCACCGATAAAGGCTATATAAACGAGGAAATCACGCTTAAATAGTGTTAAAATTTTCACGAGGAGACCAAAGATCATACAAAAAAAGGAGAAAAACGCGTACTTCGACGGCCATACAGCTTATAAAACAGTTGAATTTCTTTAACTCTGCGAGACCTACGAGATCCTCCCCTTTTATTTCAAGCCTTATACAACTTATCTCTGCCAACCGCTCGATGGAAAGCCCTTTCTCACATATAAAACGCATTTTCGCAGTGCGAATAACCTCATCGTGCAGTGGTATAGAGTTCCGGGAGATAAAGCGAATTTTCTACGCGATATTATTACTATACGTGAGAAGACCTTCAATCCATGCTTTATTCGCAACTCCCTTAAAAAAAACGCAGTATCTTCCCTATAGATGGATCTTTAATTATCAAAGCTATCTAAAATGCTTTACCACCGCTACTAGTGATCTCTGCACCCGATCTTCACGCGTATGGCGAGAATACGCTTCCTTTAAACCCTTTATCTTCAAGCGCTAAAAATACGCCTCCAAAAAGCGCGCAGCAAGTCGGAAAAAAATCAGAAAAAGCTATTTAAACTGCTAAATAGTGATACACCAATTAATCCTCGCGTTGAGCGCTATCTCAAGCGCTTATTTTATCAGCAAAAACTTCAATCCGAACAGCTTGCCGTCATGAATTCAACTCTTAAGCGAATTGAGGCCGCCCAGGCACCCCGAAGGCGCAAAAAGACTAAGCAAGAGGTTCAACGCCTCGGGGATAGTGGTATACTAGGCGTAGAGGATGCGAATCGGTCTATCGCGGACAGGAAGGCCAAAGATGATAAAAAGAATAAGAAAGCGGTGAATAATGTGTATTTGAAGGCGTACAGTCACCCCCCGCCAGCGCCCTATACAGAAAATAAAACTACAGCTTCATATACAGGATTGGCAGAGGAATCGGGCGATTAACTTTATTTTATTGATTCTACAGGCGTTTAGTGGTGATAATGCGAATTGCTTCCTTTATGTTGAAAATTCCACTGATATAGAGTTAAAGCCTGGTGCAGAACAACCACAAAGGCGGCACCGCGACGACCATAAAAGAGGCAGTTCTTGCACCGTAGGAGCGTTTCAGTGTATAAAGGAACCCCAAGTAAGTTAATCTATCTAAAAAGTCGGTGTTAGATAAAAAGTGGGCGTCAGGTGACCGGGTACAGTATTGCAGTAGATTAATACCTAAAGATCCTAGTCTGGATTGGCCGCTTTCTCCTATCCAATCATCCTAGATGTCAGCTACCTTCTTGGTAGAAAAGATTAAATCACAGAATTACAAGTCTAGAAGGCTAATTTATAAAACTATTGGGACGAGGTGGTAGTCTTTCAGCGCCGGGAGGCAATTGGGCAAAGAATCAAAGCAAATAGCGACCCAGATGTTTGCATTCGTATCATAATGGACTACGGAGGCGTGCACCAAAAGTTCTTGCGTTGCGCTAGTAATATTAACCCACCCAATTGGTATGCCGTCTGACGGCTCCCCTAGTAATTTATATGGGACTAAGTCTTTGTCGGTCAGCTGAATACGCGTATGAGCTAGTATCACCGATTATATAAGAATATGGATATGCATTGAAGAAAATGAGGTCTCTAAGGTCTCTAACTATCTGAATCTATCTGGGAGAGCTGGATGAAAAAGGTGAAAACAAAGGAATAAAGTCGGACCGAGCGGATGCTGAATAATGGGTAATATTGGCCCACTTTGGTCGACACACCCCCAGTATCTGCGAGGTCAGATGTTGAATAGCTGAATGAATAGATGATTGATTACTGCAGTTGAATGCATGAATGTTGCCTGTTTAGGCCAGAATGCGGTCTTGAATGTTGACCAAACCAAGCATCTTGATGAACTCTTGGTGTTTCTGGTCAGGGGAGGAGCTTGGTCAGTCCATCTGCGGGCATTTCCGCGGTGGGAACCCATTGGACATGGATGTTTCCATTTTGAACTTCCTGGCGAAGCCAGTGGCCATGAATATCCACATGTCTGAGCTTTGTGCGGAACATGGGGTCTTCCTTGGTGAGTAAACCGATTGTTTGGCGATTATCACATTGGATTGAGATGCAGTGTTCTGGGTCAAAGTTAATTGCATTGAATAGACGTTTCCACCAGAATATACTCTTCGCAGCTTCTGAAATTGCAAGAAGTTCGGCTTTAGTGGTTAAAGTGGTAACTGTGCGTTGTTTTAAAGCTCTCTAATCTATTGGTCCTCCATAGAGCTTGCAAAGGAGTCCCTCTGTGCTTTTACGGTCTAGGTTGTCTGCAAATGAAGCGTCGCTTGCACATAGAAAAATGTGGTTCTGATTAGTCAAACCAGAAAATTCAATAGCGTAGAAGCGGGTAAAATAGAGATATGCAATAACTCGGTCTAGAGCTTCCAAATATGCTTGCGAGGGATTTGATATAAACTCTGCTAGCTTATTAACTGTGCGTGCGGCATCCGGCCGTGAAATAACTGTTGTATAAAGAGAGGAGCCGATCTTTTGCTGGTAGTGATGAACTTAAGCTGGTAAAGCAGTTTCCTGGTTAGGAACTAGGTTGTGGGATCCTCCAGGTGTTTTGGGATAGGTGGTCAGATCATTCAGATGGTATCTTGTAGCCATGTGCTCGATGTAGGCGTCTTGGCATAGCCACAGCTTTCGGTTAGTTCTATCCCGAATACTCGAATTCCGAGGAACCAGCTAAGTTCTCCCATATTGCGAGTTATATTAGCTTCAAGCTTGTTTAGCTTTTGAGCATTCTCCCGGGCTCCTGATTGGGCATATTGCAATGATATGTCGTCCACGTATACATAAGAAGAATATGGTTATTTGTGAAGAGGCATTGGTCTTCGTTGACTGGTTCAAGCCCAAATTCTTGAAGGGTTGCAGATAGATCTTTCTGCCATAATCTAGGTGATCTGCGAAGATAAGAGCTCGAAGAAGCTTCCATGCTTTTCCTTTGATCCCATATCCCTGTGGCATTGCCACATAGATGTCTTCATCCATTAGGGCGTTTAGGAAAGCATTTACTGCATATACTGGGTAGTTTCCATGTCAAAGCTGCAATAAGTGCGCATATTGAGCAAAGGTCTTGGCTGCAAGGGTGCTGCGCGCTTTTCTTGCATGGAATGCTTGAGATCTCCCGTACACAGATGCGTGCTTTTGTTTAGGAGATAGCCATCTTATTAAATTGTAGGCAAATACCCAACGTAGTGGAATAATTTGGATGCCTGTGATTGTTCCACCACTCTAACTGTTCCTTTATCTTGAATTGTCTTGTATTCCAATGCTGCTGATGCAATAAATTGGTCTCGAAGTGGGTGTTTAAGCATTTCATTCCATGAATCTGGAGGAGAAGGTAGATCGTCTCGATGGATCTTGCGCATGGAGGTGGAAGGCTGATGGTTTAATCCTATTGCAAATGCACTTAGTAAGCTGTCTGGCCAATGAGTTGCCGAGTATGCTTTAAGATAAGGGTCATTTGGCTTTTTCTTGTTGCGCTTTCCTAGGATAATGTTGTTTTCATCAACTTCCTTCCTTGGTCGTCGTTGCGGTGGTAGTTCTTGTTGCGGTGGTGGTTCTTGTTACAGTTGCGGTTCTGCTTCACCCCCAGATTAAGTCCAATAGGTGGGATTGATCTGAATTCAATGAATCTAGGAGTATTCGGCTTGGCGAATCAGGTTCTTCCATTTTAGGTGGTGCAGGAGGGTCATCTGGTTGCTCCAATTGGTAGTCTAACTGACCAGGTAAGTCAGGTGGGTGGTCTGCAGGTGGAGGTGTTGTCTCCGGTGTTGGTGGAGGTTGGAATAAGGTTTCCTTTACTGGCTGTTCTGGATAAGCTTCTTGATAAGCTTGTTTTTGTGGTTCTGCCTGATTGGTTGAATTGGTATAATTCTTGTCTTCAACCACTGTTACTCCTTCAGGGGAATCATCAATCTCAACAGTAGGGGTTGCTTTTACAATTTTTGGTATTCTAAGCACCTCGGTAGGTGGCTCTGGTGCAGTTTCTTGGACAAGGTCTTCAAGGAATGGCTCGGATGGGTTGTACATGCAAGATTTATCGAAGGTAACATCTCTGGATTCGATGACCTTTCTCTGTCTTGGTTGCCAGATTTTCCAGATATTTAATACCTTGTATCCCACTAGATACCCAACGAGCGCTCTAGGGGCCATTTTTTGTGTGTTGGCAAGGTCCTGATCTCTGAAATATGCGCGGCAACCAAAGGTGTAGAGGTTTGCAAGGTTTGGACACTTTCCGGTAAGCATTTCAAATGGGGTTTTCCATTCCAATTGTTTTGTTGGTGATCGATTGAGAATATAAACTGCGGCGTTTATTGCTTCAGGCCATAGATCCAATGGTATTCTTGCATTAATTAGGAGAGGTCGAGCCTTTTGGAGAATCATCCCCCAGAACGTTCTCCTCGGCTGTTCTGTTCAGGTTGACCGCGTACAGAGGTTTGATGGATGATCCCATTCTGGCTGGTTAGGCTGTCGAAGTCATGGCCTAATGTTTGCTCATTATCTGATCGATAGATCTTGACTGAAGTGTTCCATTGGTTCTTGACTAGATTGGTAAAGTGGTTAATTGCACCTTGAATCCCATTCTTGCGTTGAAAAGTGTACGCAAAGTGCATGTGTGTAAATTCATCATAGAAATGGCCACACCATTAATGTCCATTGTATGCAGGTCTTAACTGGATAAGGTTAAAGTGGACATATTCGAAAGGCTTGGTCGCTTTCTTCGATGGTCGTCGAGAGATTTGGCGTGGTGCATGGGAGATTAAGCAAGTCTGGCATTTCTGATTAAAGCCTTTTAATTGGTTGATTTGCATTCCTGTTGTTGCCTCTCTGGCAAGTGCTGAATTGCGTCATGGTTTAGATATCCTATTCAGCGGTGCCATGTGTGTGCATCTCCATCCAGAACTAGGGGTTTTTCAGACTTTTTAATGATTTCAGTGCAAAGGCTTGTTCAGATGGCTGATTATCTTCGACTACCCATAGATCTTAAACTGTCTTTAGTCTGCAGATTTCCATTCGGTCACTCTTCCTGCAGATTCGGTCGTTGTTAAAATCCCATGTATATCCTGCTTCTTTCATGCGGCGAGCAGATAGAATATTGGTATGGAATCCTGGGACGTATGCAACCCTCTAGAGACTAATTAGATTTTCCTTGTTAGGGAAGATGGTGACTGTCCCTAGCCTTGAATTGCCATGGTTGAATCTCCTGCTCGAAGGATCCCTTCATATGCGGGATTGAATGAGGTAAACCGTGATTTATTGTTGCAAACATGGATAGATGCACCTGAATCCAGAATAGTGCTGTCTTTTAATCGATAGGATAATTACTGTTGCAAAGCTGGCTGGGATTACCGCCATGACATGGTGTTCGTTGGTTTGAACTGCCATGACATGGTGTGCATCAGTTTGACTGTCTGGTTTTTGATCCTTTTGGGCTTTTTCGATTGCGCGTTTGATTTGCTGATGCTTTGGACTTAAGATTCTGCATGATTTATTAATTTGGCTTGGATTGTTGGATTTGGCTGCTATCCTGATGGTCGAAGTGCTTTATTAAGGTAGAAGCATCGGTGGAAGAAGTGGATCCGTCCACATATACAAGGTTTCAGGGCTGATTTGAGCTTGTATTCTTATCAGATTTCTTGGTATCTGATTCCTTTGACTGATCTGTTTGGCCCTTTAGAGTTGCATAAGCAGCTTCAAGCTTGGAAGACTGTCTGATCTGCGTAGTCCTTGCAATATATGCTCGAAATTCGCTCAAAATCTCCGGTAATTCAATGGATTCATCCTTATAGAGGACATCAACGTGACATTCGGCCCAAGCTGGTTGAGTGTTTTGCAATTGCATCAAGAAAATCCTGTACAGCATGATCTCCTTTGGCTTCTAGTAGATCCGCAGATTGGCATTCGTGATAAGCTGATTCAAATAATGCAAGCCATTGGTCCAAATTGGTGTTGCTAACCGGTGTATCCCGTGCCTTCTTATATTTTGCAAAGATAGACTGGGCGGTTTGTCTCTTCGTTGGTTCAAGCTGTTTCTTTAGTGATCTAAGGATCTGGTAGGTTAAATCCTTATAAAGGTGATGCACTAGTAGAGTTGAAACAAAGCTTTGAATAGTTTCATGGACAGCTGCAATCCCTTGTTTGATTCGATCATATTAATTCTTTTGGGCAGTGTATAGCTGCATTCTCATCTTCCAAAAATCAAAGTAATCTGGATCGTTCGGCATATCTGGGATGACTGGGTTGTTCGGAAGTCTGGGTAATTGGTCTTCCGGTGTGCTAGGATTAATGTAATCCCACACGTCTCGAGCTTTTGCTTGGCTCTGGATGAGGCTATACCAAGCGCGCCAATCATCCTGTGATTTCAGGATGATGGAGACCTTTGTGGGCGCTTCGTTGCTCATTTTGACTGGTTCGATGTGATTGGCCGTTTCCAGGGTGTATGGAAAGGTATTGCTTTCGTGCGTTTAAACGAATCGATTCCGGTTCAAGGGGTTCGATCGGTGGAATACCGCGTGCGTTGGAATTCAGTGGGACAGCGCAGGGAAAGGTCTGAATAGCTTCAAGGTTTCCTATTCAGGGTGCCTAACCGGGCTCATAACTGTCGGTCAGCTGAATACGCGTATGAGCTAGTATCACCGATTATATAAGAATATGGATATGCATTGAAGAAAATGAGGTCTCTAAGGTCTCTAACTATCTGAATCTATCTGGGAGAGCTGGATGAAAAAGGTGAAAACAAAGGAATAAAGTCGGACCGAGCGGATGCTGAATAATGGGTAATATTGGCCCACTTTGGTCGACAGTCTTTGAGCAGTTTGACGGATTAAATAAACATGAAGCTATTCAGATCACTATATCTACTAGATATCTTCCCAATTCGGCGTTGGAGATAGTGTAGAACGTGCTGAGATCTGACCTTTCAGCCGCCGGCCCTGCCATCTGCGCGTTTCTCTCCCTCTACGCCCTTCTTTATACTCATTAACTATACCTAGAGTGCTTGCTAAATTGTCGAGATCAAAAACTAGGTTACCCAGGTCAACCGAGAGTCCACTGCAGAGTCTACTTAGTGAGCTTTGCTGAGGGCAGCGACTGGAAGGGCCAGGAGGTCTACTTCCAAGATCTCTACCTCGGCCCTCGAGGGTATCAGCAGGATTCCATTCCCTCGTGAGAGGGGTTTGCATGAGATTTGCGACGGAAATTATTCTTCGGCATGATCCAAGCGAGAGGCGAAGTACGGCTACAATTATCCCACATGTTTCCCGTGTTGACTAGGGGAAGGCTCGATTGAGCACTTTTTGCCATAATGTTCGGGATCTTACAGAGCTCCAAATATTATTGAGGAAGCTGCAAAGCTAATAGAAGTTCATGGTTGTTCAGTTTTCGAAGTTCGTAGTTAATCGACGAAGGCTACCAATCGTTACATACAAAAGACGGGTTTTTACAGAGTGACATTTCGACAGGGAAACTTATTCTAAATAATGATGCAGAAAATCCATCGTGGTCAGCATTCTTAATCGATTTGGACCTTCCTATCAAGGAGTAAACAGAACATGCCTCTGAAGCTTGACGGTAGACAGGAACAAGAGTATTCATGGCAATAGGTCTGCTCTTGGGTGAGCAACATTCTTTTAGACATGACCTTGAATCCTTCTTTTGGGTGCTATTCTGGATATGCATTCACTATGATGGCCAGGCAAAGAAATTGGGCCAACTGATTTTTGACTGTTGGAATTATGAGGATGACAGAAAGTTGGCTCGTTCAAAGGGTATAGTTGACGACGAAGCCGATTTTCTCAAGACTGCAGAGGAATCATTCCTTGGGTCAACAGATTGCGTAGAGTTATATTTCCGGGAGGAGTGTGAAGAAAGGATGAAGACTGACGTCTCTATACTCAGATAAAGAGAATTTTTGGAGTGCGGCTAAAGATCCAAAGTTATTAGAGTCCTAGGTAATAATTAATCAATCAAGGAGCTACACATCGCCACCGGGTCCTGACCCCATACAATGCCATACTCTCAATAGCCATCGCCAAAGTAATCGCGAATGAGGACAACTGCTTTGTCAGTGCCGCTGCCATAGTTATGGATCCATGGGTGCTGTGTTCTGACAGTCCACATCCTGTAACGAAAGTTAGCTGTCTCTTATACCGACGATATATAATCGATCGACGTTCCTAGATTCATGAATAGTATTTCGATGACGTTTGCAGCAATGTTTCTTCGATATACATACATACCACGGATGGCCCCTGCCAATTACAAAATGTAGAGTGAACTCAGTGGTCTCATTCAAAGCTGAGGAATATGTTCAATTGCTTCCAGTCTGAAAATTAATTACAATGTCAGATTTGGCATTTTAGAAAATTTCGTAAAATCAGGAATTGAGTAAGGTCTAATTGTATAATCGCAGGCAGCTTGCTGGCAGAATGGCAAACTGTCCTATATGCGTAAAATGGAGTCAACTCATGCCATTCCGTGGCAACAATAGGTTCGAAATCCAATGGTAGCTGAGCTCGTTATTAACGTAGTATACCAATGACAAGATAGATTCAAAATAGATCTGGTTGCTAAAGATGATTTCCTTTGTATATAGAAGTATCCTTGGAGGGCCCTCCGGTGCTAGGCAGGGCGCACCGACTTGCGCTTAAAATAGTGTGTTTATCGTGATGGCGAAAGTTAACCTTCAGCGTATCCTGACAATTTGGGCTCGTCCAAGAAGGCTGATGCAATACAGAAGCGGCCTCGTACTCGCACACAGTCGTCACCTGTCGACCCGCAAGGATAACGTGCCTCGAAACGTAGATTGCGACCGTCCACAAAAATCACGAGGTCAAGGTCCACCTCGTAGTATTTCTTAGGGCGCTGCTTATAGAATCTATTTCGTCGTACTAGCTTCCGATCCACAAGGCCTCGGGTTTTCAGATCCGTCATATCGACAAAGATCGTACCTGCCTCCTCATACCCTTTGCAGTACATATAATCAGCTTGGAGTCAAGTTCGGACCAAAGAGCTGTGTATGTCTACCTATGTTCTCCGGATGGTCCTTCTGATAGCTACTTCTATGACTCCCATCTGACACATAGAGGATTTCCTTGCAAAGGAATTGGTTGGAAGATCCTGTGAAAAAGAACTTGGATGGAATGATGAATTCCTGTTGGGGCTTTAGTACCTCACCCTATTTACCGTTAGTTGCTTTTGCATTCTCGGTCGGCGGGATTGTAACAGAGCCAGGCATACGAACTTTATTCACGAACCAAGAAATCGTTTCATGTATGTAGGACTTCTTAGTGATGTTGTGGCTTTTCCGGGCCCGTGGTTGCGCGACATGGGCCGCATTTTTTGGGTCATATGGTTCATCCTGCAGGATACCAAAGCTGGAGAATGTGGTCCGCGCAGGGCCGTTGTCTTTTCGTAAGGCCTGTAGAATTGCACCGGATGAAACTGCCGCTGCTCTTGACGCTTTTAGCACAAGATCGGTGACAAAATGTGATCACTGGGGGAGGATTCCATCTTACGGAAATCTGAGACGTTGAAGTAGTCGTATGTCTCTGCCATTCTCTAGTGAGTATTCTCTGAGTTTATCGTCAAGGTGGTGGAAAAGTGCGGGAGATGCCGCAAACCCCCCGATTAGAATAACTTTCTGTGATCCGAGGTCAGCAGTATGAAGGTACTCATATCTGCAAATATCTCTTACTTTAACGAGGATATCCTTCTCACGTGCCTGTTCGAGTTGCTGTAGCATCAGACGCGACGTTCTTTCAAGACAGTCGCTGAATATTTGCTGCATTTGATTCCTTCGCTCGTACGTATAGCTATCAGCATAACAAAACAAGTCTATCCTCAGGCATGGTAGGTAAAGAAAGAATACACACCTGGAGATATACATCCTGTGAGGGCCGAACCCTTTGTCTCTGTTTGCCCGTAGGCCATCGATCTCCAAAGTATCTGTAGCTCTTTGTTTCGAAGGATCGAATGTTCGTTTTAGTTTGTCTTCGAACTCTTGGGTTGCCTTGTGAATCTTCATTTCTTTGTTTTCCAGATAGCTCTCGTCCTCGAGGCGACCCCTTATTAACTCCTCAAACCGCTCATTAAGGTAGGTCGAGCCACAAAGATCGCCTGAGTCATGTTAGCCCCAGAATACGTAGATGGCAGTTAAAGACCCTTGTGGCATACCTGCAGGAGGTACAGCCTCCATTTCCAATTTCAGTGGTACAGTATGCGCGATCTTATAGGTAACTGCATCGACAGTCCCACCACCGGCATCAAGAAGCACGAAGGATTCGCCAGCCTGTTGGCGTTGAAGATCAGCAGAAAGTCGTCATTTGCACCGACACATTGCCTAGCGGCTGTGCGACATACCTTGAAATCTGGGAAGTAGGCCAGCACATACGCCGCCGCCGCCTCTGGCTCATGAATAATGAATAGATCATCGACATCATGGTACGCTTCGGTCAGAAACTCTGCCCAATGCAAAGCGGCCGTCATGGCTCTTTGCATTATCCGACAGGCCTTCCTAGTCCAGATAGCGGGGATACACAATGCAAATTCCACTTGTTCTCCGCTAGTATAGCCGTATTTTGCCCGCATCTGCTCTCGTGTGTGTTGAAAGAGCGAGTATAGGTAATCCGCAATAATGTCCACTTCCCGTTCTTTGCTTATCACCCCTTCTTCTTGAATCTTGTCCAGCCTCGATGAGAGATTCGCTCGTATGTTTCGGGTCAGGTTGCTCTGATCAAGAAGCAGCTTGAATCGACAAAGGCGCCGAGGCTTGCAGGCAGACAGGTCGTCATGACGCATCATTGCTCCCTGCACCTCATATCCCCAGTAATACTCGCCAAGCTGGTTGTCTATGTCCATATACTCGTATTCGTCGATGTCATTCATTGCAGAATCCACCAGAGCGCCATCGGTGTGTTCGTCGTTCCGCTGTTCGAATTGATCTTCATTGCTCAGTGCCTCGCCTTCATAGGTCATCTTCAAATGAGTGACAGGTTTGCGATGTTTTGGCACTCCGCCAGGATAGAAGCATTCCGTGGGGACTTCAATTCGGTTGTCGTTGTGATACGAAGGTGCCTCAGGGTAATTACAGATATTCCATATATCCGAAAGCACCGCATGCGAACTCTGAAGTTGCGGATCATTCAGGCAGAGGACCGACACAGACGAAAAGCTGGTTCCAAAATCCAGCCCAACGATAAAGCGCCTTGACTGCAAAGGTTCCGTCTCTGACATTGTGTCTGTCATGGCGCGGTAGAAGTGGACAGGCTCCGGCATTGGAGGCTCTCCCATAACTACCTACTTAGATGCTGGCGGAGTGATTGATCCTTCTCTCTCTCTTTTTTTTTTATGCTACCTTATTGCGCAGACAGTGGAACCCGGTGATACTTAGGGAGAACCCCGAGGACAAGGGCGTTTTTCTAGGGAAGCCTTTGTGGGTTCACGAGGCTGGAGAGGACAAGGATGTTTGAATAGCGCCGACCATGGTTTCTAATTCTTCTAATCCATTCGCTGGACGCATCCATTCGCTGGCCAAGAGCAGCTAGTTTAGCTGACGGATTTTTTACAAATAACGATCCCTTACGCAAACCCCTGTCCCTGAGGCGCACCGAGTCAGACCTGAATTTGCCTCTCCCATCGACCACCGTGTCTCCTCCTCAAGGCACGTCAGCTGGAGCCTTCATCTTTCTATATCCAGCCCCTCTCGAATCATTAATGGGCCGCAAGAAGTCCAGGACCGCGCGGCGAGCTGAGCCGCAGTGGGAGATAGATGATGAACACCGCATGCTTGGCTGCCTGGATGCATATATCGACAAAGATACCAGCGGAAAGGACGTTTTAAGCAACTATATTAGTAAATACCTGCAGGAAACCCGAGGGAAAAACTTCGCAGTGGACAGAGTTCGCGAAAAGCTTCAACAGCTACAGGAATTCGCCGTGCGGAACGGGCGACGGAAGAGCATCTTTTCCAGTGGAAGCAGGGTTCTCAGGAACGTCGGTGTGTGGGATTTCACCGAGATACACAAGCACAAAGATGACGTGACAGGCCGGATCACTGCCACGATCATAGACAAAGGACGTCGTTTTCGGCCCACTCCTTCGAGAGCAACAAGCTGCTCGATCAGTTCAAACCGTGGAGCGTCAGCCCAGGTGCAGGCCTCAGGAACACCGACGCCTACCAAGCGGAAGTTGAAATCTTGCCCGCCAAGTCGATCAAGCCTGCGAATAAAAAAAATAAAGCTGAATTCAGAGATAGAGGAGACACGTCGTCCGCCAGTTTCGCCGACCCGCAAGCTCGGAAAGAGTCCACAAAACTCACGATTACCCTCCGAAGATAGCATAATAGGGGATAGTGGCGATAGTAATGGCGATGACGGTGAAGATGCGGTTAAACTCTTACAGGTACCGGCATATTCCCAGAAAGCCGACCGAGAGACAATGGGAGAGATAACCTTCAAGGAAGAATTGGAGATGCTGCGGCAGAAGTGCACGGAAGAAGTCAGGGCTCTGGAGATCAGATTGAATGAAGAACGAGCCATGCACAAACTGCAATTAAACGAAGAAATGAACAAGCTCAGGCAAGCAGAGAAAACACTCGCCTCTGTTCGACTCCAGTACGAGGAAACCTCCTTAAAACTGATTTCCCTGGAACGAACCCAAGCGGAGGTAGAGCAAGGAATCGATGGTGAACTGATCAATAAGCTCAAGTACCAAGAAGAAAGAATCAATTTTCTCGAGCCGCGTCTGCGAGAGACCCAAGACAGTGTTTCCTTTGCTGGCTTATCTCCCGACGATTCATTCGGGCCCAAGGAGTCCACCATCCAAAATGCTATGTCCCGGATGCACACCAGCATTAGAAACTCGATGGACTTATTATCCAGACAGGGCATGCTTTGCAGTCCTGACGTACACCAAAACAGTGACACGCAATCTCTCCTGTGCCGTAGCTTGGGACTGGACCTGCCACTATTGCCTGGGCCACTTCCAGTTGACCTGGGAAAGTTGGGACTCGAAGCGGTTTTACGCGCCACGGCAGCGGCGGCATTGTGTGAGTGGGTTTTTAAGAATGAGTCTGAGGCAACCATCGCTGGTCCGTCTCTATTGTTAGACATGTATCGGCATCACATCTCTTTGATAGGTACTAACTCTTCAATCCAATTCTTCTTTTTTCTTTCATTCTTTCATCCCCCTTACTTCCCATCTTACAATAGAAGAATGCGACTGACCGGCCAGCAGGAGGACAACTCACGGTACGCAATCTTGACCTGGCCGCTCACCGGTCATTATTCAAGAGTGAAGCCTACCTTGAGATCCAGGTCCCCTTCCACGCTGGAACCTTGGCCACAAGGCTGTTCAACGCACTGGATCCCTTGATCCAAAAGTCGGGTGACTCTTCCACACCGGACCCGGACGGTTTTCCAAGACCACTGAATGCAGATGAACGGAATATGGTGATTGATGGCTTCACCGACATATTCCGCGATGCACTGACACTGAAGGCGGACCTATTGGCCAGCACTTGTCAATATGCCCTGGCATTCTTTTCACCACTCTCGGAGTACATGGGCAACATTATGGAGGCAGAAACCAGAGAAGGGTGTCGGATTTCTAACGCTCGCAATGGCTCTTTACAAGTGCAGCTTTGTATCCTACCTGCGATTTTTACATACGGCAGGGATGGCTTAGAGCTGCCTGGGTATAAAATCCCGGTCGTCAAGACACTCGATGACCTGGGGAATCATGCTCTAAACCTTCTCTACAAAGCGGTGGTTATAACTTAGATACAGTCAAGCCCTAATTATTTTCATATGCGTAATTAGCCCCATTTACAACACAGCGACTGCATCTAGAGTTAGATCACATAAGAAAACGAACTGATTCAGTCCACGTCATAGAATATTAGTGGCTACTTCCCCGACCAGGCTCTCTGCCCAAGCTTTAATACCTGCACGGTCGGCCTCCTGCACCCCACGTCCACTAACCTGATAGACACTACCGTTGGAAAGAACCTGTAGAATTTTCTCCCTCATGTGCTCGCTATCTTCAATATTAGAACCATCAAAAACAACTAAGCAATACCTCGGGCAGTGAGAGGAGTACCACGGCGAAGGTCTCTTCAGTATTAGCGCCCCATCCATTCGAGTTGTTTTGCTCAACCTCACGGACTTCACGATGCTCGGTATCTCAGTACACTCTTGCCCACAGATTGTCACTAGTGCACTAGAGTAGAAAAGAATTCCAGACAAAGAGATACTGGGGGTGTTAGCATCCAGCGCCTTCCAGACTCGATCTACATATTTTCCGGCCTCCAGTGCCTGCTTCCAGTCACACCGGATGCTTCCTTCTTTGTGTTGATATAGACATAGAGAAAGAGCCTGGGCCGCCGCGGCGGCTGATTCCATGCCGAAGAGAGTGCGCAGTGGCTGCACTACGTTTGCTGTAAGGTACGGTGTAAGAGTTGGTGACTCGGTTATTATAGAGTCGAATCCATCGAATGCAATGCTGCCCAATGTGTTGATAGCGCGTATGGATGCCGTAACACAGGAAATGCTCCGCACAAGCTGCCAGTCTGTAGGCCTAAAGTACGACCGGAAGGAAATAAAGGCTAAAACCGGTTCACAATCACACCGATCATGCTGACTAGGTGCCCCTGTCCAGATTTCCTCCATCTGATACAGAAACACGTTGTCCACAATCACTGGATGCTCAATGCAGAAATTATTCAGCAGGCTTTTCGCAGTTTCGGCTGGACTCTCCATTAAGGCGATCGAGGTGAGAATCAAGAGAGCATCCGATGTGGCTTCGGGGATCATCAAATGATGAAAGGTGAAGAAGACTTTATCTGCGCTCCGGATCACCGAAGTGTCTCGAATATCATGGAGTAGCCCTTCCGTCGCCCAAGGTGCCAGAATGTTGCCTGATGCCGGGTTAGTGCCTCCCATTGTCACATCATCTGACGAAATAGACAATGTTGATTTGATGTTGAGGGTATCATCACCATCAGTGACTGGAATTTGAATGGACGAGGATGAATTGTTCTGGCCATCGATGAATGAGCCATTGACATAGGTGAAGCTGTCCGAATCATGAACGGAATTTAAACCCGCAGTGATTGACGGAGATTCGTATTCGTGATGTCTTGTTCCGCTCGACGAAAGACAGCTGATTATCTCTTCCTTGTATATATCTAACGCCCAGTAGTATATAAAGTCAACAATAAGTTGTAACTGAAGCGCACAGTCGTGCCTCTGAATTGTCCCATGCCATAGTTCAATTATCCTCTGGGCGACGGTGAGCACTCAGTTCTACCTAGTCTACGTGGTTTATTGCAAGACTTACAGTTTCTTGGCTCTCTGGTATGCAGCCATATACCTTCCAAACATCGCCCTGGTAAGCTAAAAACCACACCAATGGATCTCTCTCAATTCCAGTTCTTTCACTCAACGTCTTCTGAAGGTTGATAAGGGTTCTGATGGGGAATGCAGTCTGGGTCTCGACGGCGTGGAATCCTGGCCCCCCTATTTCCGACTTCGCCTCCAACACAAGAAAGGGAAATAGAATGCCTCGATCTTCCTGATAGGGGCTGTATGGTAGACTTTCATGCTTTCTGAGGAGATCCTTTATCCGTGCGCATCTCCGCAGCCCGATAACAGTATCTGGCTTTTTAACTCCGATCTCACTGGGCACAGAGGGGTCCACGAATGGTATTCCGACTCGAGTCACGAAGGGCTGGGATTCGTTCGCCACCTGAATAGTCTTAGTAGAACATACTGTTACTCTGCTATGGGACAGTTATGATCTATACCTCACCACGGATCGTTTCAAATGGGTTGCAAAAACACAGTGCCCTTGTATCGGCCTCTCCAAGAGCTGGAAACTCGGCAACCCAAAGAGGTTTCTTGCAAGAATGACTAGGGGCACAGACGAGATCTCAGCACGCGGCACTCTTTCATCGTGAGGCTCAATCTTGAAAATATAAAAAATAAAAATACCATTCAATGTCCTCATCAAAATGCTGCAGCAAGTGCGCCTCCGTCGATCTCCGCCACTGCTCCTCATGCAGAGATGACTTGCGACAGTCCTGGGCCGCTCGTATCAAAGTATGGACTCGATTTAAGGTTCGAACTCTCTGGACTCGTTGTGGAGAAGAGTCTAGGCTTGATCGGTATTGTTCGTATTTTACGCTTTCAATTTCACGGAACTTCCGAAAAATCTTACGATACCGCGTGGGCCATTGGGAGCTGAGAAGGGGACCTTCGAACCTGATGCGATAGTCTTCAATCAAGCGGCGCTGCTCTGCCATTAGTCGAGCGCTGGCTTGGTTGGCCATGGTGTTAATAAAAAAGGCTTAATGAAGACCTTGAAGATATCAAGGCAGAGTAAGACTGTCCTTGAACCCTCTTGTAGACTAATGGGAATCTATCTATTCAGTCAATGAGCTGATGTTGAAGTTTAGATAAGTGTCCGGGTGTCACTTGACAGAGCCCCGCACGAAAGAACGCCTTGCCGTGCTTAGTGCTTTTCAATTCCATCACAAACATAAGTGCGGCGTCTGCCTACTTATCTGCAAAAATCATTGGCGACTACAGTACAGACGATTACTTCTTTCATTAGTGGGCTTTGCACTTCTATTCTAACCTATTTCTTCCAAGTTTACTTACCTGTCCCCGAGTGATACCCAATGACCTTGTTGGCCAACTTCTTTTCCGCAATGTGATGCCGAGTGGAATATCAGCCTACCAGATATAGAACAACATATGCTTGCATATGTAAATTGAGCAGCTTTTCGGGAACATATGATGTCTATTGTCTCATACATCCAGGTTGACAATGAAGAAGTGCATGATCTATCGGAACGACCCGGAACGTTCTTTAGACGCTCGATCAGAGAGCTCGTGTAAGCGCTTGCACTTTCAATAACTAGATAATACTAATACGTAGATTCTGAAAATGCCAAGTGATGTCGTGGCCATAACCATACATGGTATCTCCGTAGCATGCAATACCGGCTCTCTCCTCCGGGTTGGCGTTTAAACTGCTACTGCTGAACGCCATATAAGGGTTACCCTCACCATGGGGCTAGGAATATCTGAAACTTAAAAATATGTTTGAAGTCCGAAGAAATACTATGCACTACCACATTTCTGCCTGTAGTGAATAAATTATCTTGTAATATAAAAAACAAAGCATTCCCTCTGGGATTGGAACCGGTGGCCTTCCTGCGCAGAGTTAGTAGTAATATACTAACTAATGTAGCAATCAGTGTCACGGTTTGGTTACCTGCGCCAGTAGAGGTAATACCTACTACGCCATCCACCTTTATGCTTGGCCTTTCTTCCCTATACTCGGTATTGTCGTTGCAGGCACCGAATAGAGTTGATGTGGCTCCATTAAGAGAGAGACAGAGAGAGAGAAGCTTTGTATAGTGTAAAAAGAAAGGACTGATTAATAAACTATAAGCTTAACGACTCTAGTTAGAACAGGAAACGATTCAATAATAGCTTGAAGTTACTATTTATATATAATGATCTCTCTTGGATTTGAACCAGTGACCATGTAATATACTACTCAATGTTGTAATCAGTACATTACTAACTACTCCTACACATCCTACCTTCCGTACTTGCTTTAGTGGATGATCACGTAGATAGAGAAATAATGTAAAGAGCTGGGGCCTGTTAATTACTCGGGCCGATTAGCCCTAGTGTTCCTACAGTCCGTACAATCTCTACAGTCCCTACAGGCCCTCGATGACTTATTATTGGTGCCAGGCCCACCACAAGTGACCTGCCTTTCTTATTTGTTTACGTGTCTCCTTTTGCCTTTCCTTTCTCTTCAACGATTGGACAAATTCCAGTTTGGAAGTCTTACATGGACAAGCTGGGCGTCAGGCTTATATAGATTGAAGTAACCGAGCGGATCATATACTTTCGAGGAAGATATTACTCAATTTGTTTTTATTCCACTACAATACAGTCATCTAAAACGGCGTCATGGTAACTCTTGCAGAACTGGCCCAGGAGGTTCAATCTCATATCGCTGTGATTGATAACTATTTGGAGCATAACCTTCCACAGCCCACATTCGATATTGATAGCCCAAAAAGCCCCCCTCCCGGACGCCAATATGCAACGAGCGATGACGTTACTCGAAGACTTCAGCCTAGAAGATCTCGCCACAGCACTGCAGATCACTTGCTAGGGCATCAGATGACCGTTAGTAGATTTACTGGCTTTAACTGAAGAAAGAGAGCTAACCCACTAACCAGGACAAATATGATGGCACCGCTATGCATTTCCTGGCAGCTTTTAATGTCTTTGATGCGGTTCCTAAAGAGGACTCCATCTTGTATGTCTAGCTCCCTGAAAAGGTTGATGTGTCAGAACATCGATTGGGTCGAATTTTGGCCCAGGCCTACACGCAGCACTGTTTCTACCCACCGAAGCCGGGCTATGTCGCACACACGAGCAATTCGGCTATGGCAAGTGATAGGACGACATGTGCCTGGATTTTCCACAACATGGAAAGGCTCATCCTTGGGATGCAAAAAGCTGGTCGACACGACTTGTAAATGGGAGACTCTCACAACCCGCTGCATACGAGTCCGGTATGACTCAGAAAGCTGTTTTGCACATAGTGGGACCACTAATGGCAAAGGCTTGCTACCTGCGTACGATTAGGGCAGACTGGGAAAGGGACAAGTCGTCACGGTCAGTAAAATAATGGTGATGATGATACTCCATGCGCAACACTAATCCGACCGACTCCAGATTGATGGTTACGCTGGCCATCTTCTATCAGCGGTTGCACTAGCCTACCCCGATCTCACTTCTGTCATTCAAACGAAGTTCTCGCCAGGGTATGAGAAGCGGTTCTATGAGAATTTTTCTGCCGAGCTCAAGGGACGAGTGACCTGCATGGCACATGATCAATATGCTGAGCAGCCTGTCAAAAACGCGGATCTGTACTTCATGAGCACCTCGCTACAGGAAGAGAACCAGGAGACGGATGCTAAGATCCTCGCCACTGCGTTGATGCAAAAGTCGTATCCCCATTCGCGATCTTGTCATGGATGGTGGGGACCCCCTACCAGAGGATGGGACCATCAACGGAAAACTATCAATAGGGAGCAAGGGGTATACGATGCTGGTTTGGGTCTTGCGGGTTTTATCACCAGGTTTAGCATTGGTACCGATTTGCAGATGATGTCGGTGATGAATTTATACCATTGCAGGCAGGCGGAGTGGGTTGTCCTGTTCAAGAAAGCTGATCCTCCATTCGAGCTCAAGAAATATATTCAAACCATGGGTAGCTGCACTTCACTGATGGAGTGGGTTCTGGAGTAATAGGTGAAGCAAGTGCGTCCACTGGCAAAAGAAACCGAGACCCTCAAGGTACAGACGCATATCTTGAACGGAATAGTCTAGGTTTGTTGTTTGAATTAGTCATAGTATGGATACAAATGATCTCCACGGAAAAAAGTTCCCAAAAAAAACTTGGGGATTGAAAGATTCTTTAAAATTAAACAGCAGCAGCAGCTTCGGCTTCACGCTCTGTGATGGCTTCGTTGGCCTCTTGAAGTAAACTCCATGTTGCTTCCATGCAGACTCAATCTCAAGATCCGACTTGCCATCACTAGAAGGCATTATGGTATCAGATCCATCGTTGTCCATTGCGTAGACGACCTGATGCTTCTTGCCCAGTGTCAATATGATGTCACTCTCGACAAAGAAATTCGTGCATATTTGTGCGTGTTATCCAGGAACACCCCCAGCTTGTCTCCAGCTGGCACGGGCCATACGAGGACGGGGGTGATCAGCTACATCCCCAAAGGCGAAGATAGAGATATCCTTTTGCGGTCGGTGGAGTCGAAAGCCTGTATCGTTGGTCGGACAACAATGCGGGAATTCTCCAAGGTGGTGTTGGAATAGACACCATCGAGAACTGATGAATTGGGCCACTAATCGGTGCAGCCAACCTAGGGACTAGTTTCAGCAGGTTGAACATCATGGAATTGCAGAAGCCTGTGTTGCGGATGTGCAGCGTACAATCAGGTCAAATTGTTCCTGTCCATCGGAGAACATCAAAGAGGCTTCTCGAGCGAAGTTTCCAGCAGCGGGCATCGTTGTTCATTCATTCAGCAGAACTCGGATCTTCAGCTCATCCCTCAGCACAGTCAAGCTGTAGTCCCCAAGTGGCTTGCCAAATGGCTCATGAGTTGACCACGAGAATGAATCTGGATGACCTCCTTGTCCGGATAAAAGTCCTTGATGTCACTGGCAAGCTCGAAACCCACAGCTCCGCCGCCGGTGACGGCAATTTTCTGGCCCTCCTTGATGGTCTGCTGGATATCCCGTGGCACGTGACAGGCCTCATTGTGTTCCGTGGAAGCTAACTGCACAGGCAATGGCTGAGATGAAACTATCGCGATGGCGAGGTATGCATAATCGATATTGTCTCCAGATGCTGGAAGTACTTGGTTCTCCGCGACCATAACGGACCTGTCCTGGATGCTGGTGAAGGTTCCCGCGGGTGCTCCCTTTGCAACGTCGTCGTACGGAATGAAAGCCGTCTGCTCATGTCCCGTTAAGACGGAAAATAGTGGGAAGCTGAACGAGTAGTTGAGGTGGGAGTTCTTCTCGTCCCACACCGCATTGTATTCATTGGCAGTGTCTCAGCCAGCTGGTTCACGAACTCGATGCCCGCGAAAGTTCCAACCAGGACCACGACGTTCTGCGCATCAGGTGCGTTGCGCCATGTCCATCTATGACAGTATGCGGCGACGCATCGGACAGCAACACGGCCAAAGTGGGGGACGAAGAAGCCCAACAAGGACTTTGAACTTGTCGGAAGACAACGGTTGTGTGGGGTGTTTGCTTTGAGAATTGGAAAATAATGAAGTGAAACGTGATGAGTGCCTGGGCCTCAAGGCGACGGGACGGCCCGGACCGAAATCTCAGTACCTGCCTTATCAGATCTAATCAGATGGACAGCACCGGCCATTTGGAAGCCCTGAGATAGGCGGTCAGAGAACACTGAAAGAGAATTAATGTCATTAAAACAGCATGGCCACATCAGCTCGGCTGAACTGTATGAAAGTCCGGATGACGAGGCAGTCCGCGGGAGCTCCGCGGAGGTATTTCTTAGCACGCAGGGGCCCTACCTTAAGGGAAGCAGATGGGGTATATTCCAATCTCCCCGTGGACCTCCGTGGAATGAGCGAGCAGTGTGTCCACAACCCGCGAAGTCCCACCTCGTCCCCAGTTGGTCAATTCACTATGTCAGGGGTCACATCTTCCTAAAAAAAGTCTTCGATCGCTCCCTCCATTCCAAACTGCTTTCACGTACCACTTTCGAAGCTCATCGCCTGGCATCTCAGAGATTTTATCCAAGCGCTAAAACAAAAATGACCGAGACAGAGGCTGAGGTCGTCCACTCGACCGCGTCGACTCCGCTCGACACCGATGTTGAGCGCGGTTCTGCTGCCATCAAAACACCCAATAAGACAGAGAAGCCAATGGGTGGTCGATTTCGAGGGACCGGATGATCCTGCTAATCCTATAAATTGGCCGGCAAGAAAGAAGTTCTTGAACATCTCGATCGTGTCCCTGATGACCAACCAACTCTCAATCAGGGCATCAAGAAACCCCGACAGAGCTAGGAACGACACAATTTGAAATAATAATTCCGCCGCCATTGTCGAACTTTCGAGGGGCGTGTCAGCTGCCAGAGGAAACTTCCCGTCTACCGCCGGAAGAAGAACAGCTTTTGTCTGGCCATCGGTGGATATCAGCCCCTGTTGCGGAAAGTTCACCTTCACATTCCCAATTCTATGAGACTTTCGCGTATAAGACGCATCCAGCTTTGATAAGAAACTCGGCTGCTATATCAATGTCTTGTACAAGGAGATACAAATAAAATACAACTGTAGGAACGCCATAGTGGTATAGGGCATCTTCAAACCAGATGACATAGGGAATTTGGTGACGTGTATCGTTTTCACGATGATCTGAATAAATGGTTCTAAAATTGGTGTTGACGAGGGGCCTGACTTGTATTTGCTAACAGAATATACCATGCGTTGTTTGAGGAAGGATGCCTTTCTCGATATTTAGCGGCTGACAATGGGCGCTTAGGAAATTTTATAATCACGGAAAGAGCCATTTATTAGTTTGTCGATGCTGTCGGAGGGGCGAAAACTTTTGAACAAAATCAGAACCAGCTGGAGTACCCTGCCTCGCAATATGATAATCTGCGGGGAGTAATGCAAGAGAAGGAGTAAAATATTATGTGGATTAAAGAAAGGCACTAGACCATTTAGCCAGAGATTTCCCTAGCCATGTATATATTGATTTCCGGTAGTGATTGTCACGGATGGGTTCAGCTGTACTGGCCCTAAGTTATATAACACCAGATACAGTAACAATAACCACGATAACTATTACCGTCTTATGGGTGCTGATAATTTAAGGGCTTGGTGCTGTCCGTCAACGAATTTTACGCAATATCTTCTGTGTCTCGAGCACAGACCCAACCGACAGGATCGACTTCAGGTTCGGATGTAGTCATTTGAGCCGACGTCTTACTCGGAGAGTCAGACATAAACCGATCACTTATATATAGTCTGGCTGGTAGCAGGCTCGGCCAAGTTTGAACTCTATTTTCTCTTTCCTTGTGCGCGAGAGTTGCGATAAATATAAATGCTATGGGGCGGGAAGTCGTGGTTTTAACAAACGGGTTTAGCAACATTGCCATAATACTTTGATCCATCCCAACAGGCTAAAACACGCGGGATGCCACCGCAGGGGAACAAGCTGGGCCAGGCTTGGCAAGAATAAATTCTAATTCGAATTAATGGATGAATAATCATTATCCGAATAAGAATAATATATTCGAATAGTTTCTATTCCATCGTCCGTACCTGTAACAAGATTCTCGCCCCTCCTGATCTACAATGGGATGACGTGGAAATGTTTTATGGCTTATATTGCTTTTTCCTATTTCTGTTGTGCCTATCACATATAAGAGCATTCCCCCAGCTTAAGGAATGAACTTAAGCTTTAGTTCCTGTATCTATCTGATCCTAAACTGGAGTATTGCTATATACTATGTTAAAAACTTAAAATTAAATATATTAGTAGGCTTGCTCCGGCTTCTAGAGAGCTTAATATACTAGTTCTTTCAGCTTTTTGTTCAGTAAATCACTCCCTCCGTTGAGTAATTCTCAATAATTATATCCAGGGATCCTCTTGGCATCTGTTCAACATCTGATGGAAAGCCGAACACGTAGTTATGTCCAAAGGTCCACAATCAGTGGGGAAGAAGCAGAGGGAAAGAAAAAAGAACCGTTGACACCTAAATCCCAAATCCTACTGAAAATAAACCTTTGTATTCTTATTTCCAGGCTTGGTAGCTGGGTCACAAAAATCGCAGCTAGCTTTCTGCCATGTTGGTAGCAGGGATATTGCCGCTGACGCCCCGCGGATATTCCACGGAGTACCGCGGAGTCATGCTCCACGCGAAGGCAGGCCGCGTATATATCCACGCAATACCCACGGACGCTTGGGCATGGACTTGAACATCCGTCAACATGCCGCCACCAGGCGAAGGAACACGCTCACATCGCAAAGGCTATTATTCGTGTGATTTTGCAGGGCACGCAGGCTCCGATGTGACCGCCCGTTACCGTGCACGAACTGTGTATCGCGTGGAAAGACGTGCCACTTTGGCCCCTCGGCCGGTCAGAACTCTCGTCGTATTGACAGGGCAGACATATTGGCAGACCATAATCTTCCGCAGCAGCAGCCTCCCTCAAGCATTCCTCCCCATTCTACGGCCCCATCTCTGGTATCTCCGGCAGGTAGTTCTGATCAAGGACAGTTACTCGAGGAATTGCAGTCGCTCCGGAGGCTAGTCACCGACTCGGAAAGGTGTGTGGTTCAGACCACCAACCACCGGTCTCATGGTGGGGACATTCAGTCGACCAGCTCGGCCCAAGCACACGTGGATCTGCGGGGATCGCCGGGCCTCGACCAGGTCAAGGAGATGGTGGCCCAGCTGGAGCGGGTTTCGATGGTCCAGAGCTCTCGGGTAGCCAATACGGCCCTTGTTGTCTGCAACTGCAGCTCGCTGATCTTAGCGTGCAGGAGCCAATCTACGTCGACGACCTCGTATTCAAGGTCGAGCACATCCGGAACATCCCACGAGCTCCGAGTTTCACGGTGCAGGGGGGCAAACCAGCACGTTGCGTATGGCTGCCACTCCAAGACGAGGCTCGGGTTATTCTTGACAAATTCATTACCAACGTCAGCTACATACACCATGTCGTACACCATCCTTCTCTTCCGGCCACGATCGATGACTTCTATCGGCAGATCGAGAGCCGGGGGCCGATCAAGCCAGGCCATCTTGTTCTACTTCTCGGCATTATCGCCAGTACGACCGAAGTATGGTCACGGCACGATGATGTCGAGACCAAGGGCTCTATTTTCCCATCTGCCCTCCATGCGAATGCGCAAACTCCCCTGTGGATTAAGGCCGCAATGGACGTTCTCAAGAGCGGCCAAAATGGTCCGGCGCTTGCGCTGGAGGCAGTTCAGGGAATAATACTGTTATCCTTCGTCGTGTGCAACACGGAAGGGGTTTCTTTCCGTTACCGGTCATTATTATCTACCGGTCTATTATTGAGCCGTGAGCTAGGGCTACATCGCATCGATCACGAGTCAAACGCAGTCACCGCGAATACAGTCCCAGCCGAGATCGGCCGTCGCGTGTGGTGGTACCTCGTTGCTACTGACTGGTATGTAATTTTTCATTCCTCCTTAATAGATCTGCTGTGCTAGCTAGAATTTTAACATATGACCGCAGGCTCTTGGCTGTGATATATGATGGCCCAAGTGAGGGTGTGTACCTGGCTCACCAACGGCACATGATAGTCAACAAACCACGCAACATAAACGATATAGACCTTGTGGACAATGGGTACCAGATGGAGTTACCAATATCCCAACCAACTGAGATGTCATATTTTCTACAGCGCATCCGCATGGCAGAAATCGCACGGGACATCGTTGACCACAGCCCAATGGCCACGACCGGCTCTGGTGGGCCAGGCTACTCTGCGCAGATCATGGGAATGGACTTCCAACTTGATCAAATTCATTCATGATATTCCTTCCTTCTTCAACCTCGACAATTACGAGAACAACCCGGAGTCCACGTCCACCAGCATTTTCGTTCACGCCTATCTGCTCAACTTGGTCATCCATACCCAACGGTGTAAACTGCACCTTTGGTACCTCACATCCGGTCCGAATAACAACAACCCGGCGTACACCACTTCACGAGACATCTGCCTCGAGTCCGCACGCCAGCTTACACGAGCCGAATCGCAGCTCGAACGCGCCCAGCACCCTTTCGTACTCATACGGTTTCGCTTATCGGCAATGCTGTATGGCGTCTTTCTAGCTAGCATCGCATTGCTGATGGACGCATACATCAACAGGTCAGGCTCATTGCAGGATGAAATCCGTCATGGCGATGTAGCCGAAGCTCTACATATCGTCGAGAGTGCACGAAGCCACTCTTGGGCTGCAGAGAATCTTCATCAGTCGCTCACACAAGTTTTGGCTAAATATCGCGCCCAACACCCGCAGCAACCATCCACGCAAGCTCCATCAACCCTTCTTCCAATGCCCAGTGTGTCTACTGCTACTTCTACGCCAGTGACGAATGTTGCAACCACTCGAATGGCCCCAAGCCCCGATCAGCTACCGCCCATGCTAGATCAACTCCCGGTACCCATCAGTCAACCACCATATAGCAATCAACTGGCTCAGAGTCTGGAGGAATTGATGCATGCAGATGGTTTTCAGTGGGATGACTTGTTTCCAGGTATTCATTCAGCCTCATTTTTTTGATCGCTTGTAATATTAGCTACACCATCGCTTTACAGAAATATATATGCCTTATTGATTATTGACCATGGAAAGAGCTCCACGTAAATATCATATATTAACTTTCGGCGGAGAACACATTAAATAAAATATCGAAACACAAAATTATTCATTAATTCATGAACTTGATATAAAGCCGACCAGAATCCCACAGCAACGCCGTTACTCACCATGCCTAACTTCGCCCTGCTGATATACCGATCAATGTCAAAACTCCACCGAACACTGCTTCCCACAACAGAGCGAGCTCGCGTTCCTCCAGTGATAAATTTTGACCAGGTCCCTCACCGTTCCGCTCGACAGTTGAAAGATCAATTGCTTGAATACCCCTTCGGTAGATCTTTCCATTTGGCGTGAGGGAGGCGATCGACCGCGACAATGAGCGAGGGCCGCATGTAAACTAGCAGAGGCAGGCGCTGTATTAGGTTTACCGTTCAATTCTCGTGAGATTCTCACCATGTCCCTGATGCTGTACAACGTGTGCAACAAGCGTTTCCGCCTCTTCCTCCCCGCGAACCGTGACAACAGCTTCGGCCACCATATTATCCTCGCTTGCACAGCGGTGTTGGCCACATCATCAAGCTCAATTCTCAACCCGTGCAGTTTGATCATATTTTTGCAGCGGCGTTACCCACAGATGCTTGATCTTTCAGTTAGTACACAGTCACATCAATTTCAACATGAGAAAATGCTCCTTGATGACTACTATGATATAGTCAAGGAAGGAGACTCTTTACGGTGGAAGTTTCTTAGTGACCCCTTTCTCACTGTTCGGACAGATCCCATTCTCTGGTACTTGCGTGTTGGGATCGGGAAGATCTCTTCTCTCTAACGCAATACCCCAATTACAATTACAGCTGTTGCTCACTGGGGTGATATAGTCCATAGAAAGACCCCATGCCCAGTCAACTTTACTGACGAACTGCTGCAACACCAAGTGAGATGGGCCTCCTCGAAGGGATTTCAACAATCATGCACCAGCTACAAGATGAAGGACTTATTCCCTGGGTGGTATGGTGCGACAGAAGTACTTTAAACATGCTAGGGAACTTAGCGATATCTTTAAACAGGAGTTCGTGGACTTGGCGGAAAGCGAGTAACAGAGGGAACTACATAGGAGAGTATGTCCCTATGATTGAAAGGACCAGTTTCTATTTTAGTGTTAGTACAAAGCGAGGAACGAAATAACATACTCCATGGCCGTCCTGTCCATTTTCCACAAAAACTTGCAATATATTGCTACCTGGACAGGCTGCATGTAGCATTGCGTCAGATTTTACGAGATTCTGATTAGGAGGCCTGAATTGATTGTATTCAGAAAGATGCTCTTCCCTACTCCTCTTATGAAGTTAATGGGTATATTTACATAATGTCCCAATCAGGATTAGCTCATTCTGACATATTGGTAAATTCAGTATGTGCCACAGTTGATTCGTGTTCAAGTGTTGGAATTTGGAAATAGTATAGTGAATAGTGAAATAGTCTACTTTGACAAACAATGCAAATACCTGTAAGACTCCAGTATAATTTGTGGCATCCCACCAGCCGTGCCGTAATTAGATAACTTTATAGGTCAAGTTTGAGGCTTTATGAAGACTCGGGTGCTAGCTTATCGTGGTCCAGAAAATACGCTAAAATTCTGTCACCGCTCTAGAACCACGATCAGGTCTTTCTGGGCATATGCTCAGTGTGGTCCAAACCGCTTTTCGGGTCACCTGATTAGAAGTCTTGGCATACCAAATTATATTTTCGCATATGCAATAGTGAGGTTCAGTGGTGACCTAGCAGTGATTCTCTTCAACCGCTTCCGTATTAGGTAGTCAGTGGTTACAGTTTGTTTGTACAGTGAATAGCTCTGCATAGGTAGTGCTGGACCATGCTCAGCTGTAGACTGATGGTTGTAGGGTGGAGAAAAAGCTATAATTTGGTACTTGTGCTCAATTAACCACTAATTTCACACTGCCTTAGATTTATGATCACTGTTAAGTAAATAAATACTAAAGAACTTTATAATTATTTGTAGGTAAACTATCTCCTCACTCAGAGGCGAGAAGTGGATTATTAATCATTGACTTCCCGCCTGCTCCTTATCTTATCCTTCATTTTCTTTCCAATCCATTTCTTTCCCGTCACGTTCAGTAGTTCTGAGTCCGAATATCCGAGTGGTAAAGCCACCATTTGACCAAACCATCCCAACAGATGATAGCTAAACCAGGCAGAGTCAATGGAGGCCAACTCTGCCACAACGAGGGAACAGTCTGAGGCCCCGGATCTTGATCCGTCGTCGCAACAGACGCCGTCCGATCCGAAGACGCACCTGGCTCCTACCGCGTAAACTCTTTTCATTCCTACTGCTCTCCTCTCGTTCGGGGCACAATCTCTGACAATAGGACCACAGATGCGATATCTGCAAAGCTAGGAAAGTGAGATGCGATCGAGCCAGGCCCTCGTGCGGGTGGTGCACTCGGAATTCACGGGTCTGCCTCTATAGAGGAAGACAGAAGTCGGGGGTCAGCGCTGGATACATACGCGAGCTTGAGAACAAAGTCAATCGCATCGAGGCAATGCTCTTGGGTCTAAGTTCTCAGGTGGAAAATCACATCAGCACCTCACCTCCGGGTTCGGGATGGCCAAATATCCTCGAGCCCATTGACAGTCAACAACGACTACCCCACTCCCCTGGAAGGAGAGCAGTAGCACCACGCTACAAGCAGCGCACCCCACCCTATCATACCCCGGAGTTGAATATTTCTACCCCAGTAATCGAAGCCCCTGAGGCAGTATCCAATACGGATGAGTCGGACCTGCCTCCCGTGGAGCTGTTGTACACGCTAGTCGACCTGTACTTCAAACACATTAATACCTGGTGTCCCATTCTGGACCGCCGAACAACGTTTGAGCAGTTCTTCGGCTTCTCCGGTCTTCATGGCGTGGGATCCATTGTATTATATGCGATTGTCGCGATCGCCTTGCGGTTCAGTCAAGATCCGTCATTGACCCCTGATATCCGCCGACGATACCGCTCTGTTGCTAAGACGAAGGTCCTCCTCCACGCGGTGGAAAATCCCTCCATAGAGTCTCTTCAGGCCCTCGTGATTCTGGCCTGGGACTTCCTTGGTTCGTCTGATGGCCTGCAGAATGGAAATATCATAGCTCTTGTTACCCGAACAACGTTACAGCTAAACTTGCAGGTCGAGTCGACTTATGTCCTATCTTCGCCTACGCTGGCTCTCACCTCTCCAAGTCGATTCCGGGACAGTATCTTACCGAAACCTGGATCCTGGATAGAAGAGGAAGGACGCCGGCGTCTGTTCTGGATGGCGTACATCCTCGAGCGCTATGCCGGTATTGCCACGGGCTCTGACTTTGTCCTGCGTGAACCCATTATTGAACGCTTCCTCCCTTGCCGTTATGACCTGTTCTCTGAGAACCGGCCAGTGGAAACGCGCTGGTCCGGTAGGGCTAGGAGAGCAGCCGATATGACCATTGATCATCCGGAAAATCTGGGCAGCTTCTCCTACCACTGTGAGGTCGTCCGCACGCTCAGTCGCGTTCAAGACTTCCTCCAGACTCCCGTCGACATTTACTCCCTGGCGGAGGTGGAACAGTGGGAAAGGACATATGAAGAGCTAGACAACGAGCTCAACACCTGGCTTAAGAGCGTGCCGGACGAGTACAGCAATGTCTCTCAGTTCTGCCATTCTGATCCGACAAGCAAGATCTCCAACTGGATCATACTCCATGCAGCATTCGTCATCTCCGTGGTACGGCTGCACTCTTGTGCCGCGTATCCCCCAGTCCAATCGCATATCTTCATCCCTTCCTTGCATGCATTGCAGCGCTGTCGCGCTGCAGTGCAGAGCCTACGCGAAATCGCACAGGACGTCTTCGACACTGGTATGCTCAACCTGCTAGGACCCCAGTTTGCTTTTTCGCTATACGTCGCTGCCCGGCTCCTGCTCGTGCATACTGGGAGCAAAGGTGAGGATCTGGACTCCAGTTACCAGTTCTTCGTTTTTATCCTCGAGCAGATGGCTCAGCAGTGGAGCCTGGCAGGGCACTACGTCACAATATTAAGCGCGGTGTCCCATCGTACCCAAACCCGATGGTCCTCAGGCTCTTGTGTTGTTCCTAAAGGACTTGCCAGGATGCGGAGGTATATATCCCCATCCCCCAATCCCCTGCATGAGACAAGTAGTTTTGTGGATAAGAATAGAAAATCTGATAATCGCCGTAGGATAGCTTACGAAATTTACCTCTCTACCACCCGCCTTACATCCTCGAGCATCCTACCCATCAAATCCCTCTCAGTCGAAGATCTTGAATGTCTCGAACTCTTCGACTTCTTCAACTACCCCCGTCTTCCGCCGGCCATGACCGTCACTCCGAGCATGTACGCTCCATTATTCAACCGCGGGGATCTTCTTGTCAGCTAAGAAGTATCTCATAACACCATCCCCCAACATATCTCCTACGGGCAGTCACCTATATTAACCAGGAAGTTTTATTTGAGATCTAATGAACTTGGATACATATCTATATTAAACTCCTCCAGGAACCGCACAAAAAGAATATATAAAAGGGAATGTTCATGATAACAACGCACCTGCCTCCTCCTCCGTCAACCCCATTGACCGCAGAAACCTTACAGTCGCTGTAAACTCAGCCTGTCTCCGACCTTCCCCCCACCCCAACTCCTCCGCCATGATATCAATCACATCTGGTAGAGCTTTCACCGCGGCCTGGACGTCCAAAAACGCCAAGCGCGTTCGTCGAGCCAGGACATCCGCCGCGGTCTGGGCGTACTCGCTGCGCACGGCGAAGCGGACCTCCCCATCAAGGTAGGGGTAGGCATCGCCAGCGATGCGGTGGGAAGAGAGAGAGGCGACTTCCCAGGAGCGATCGCCGTAAGATTGCGCGAGGTGGTAAGATACATCTGGTGGAAGCTGGAAGGAGCGGGTAAGGTCTGCGGAGAGGGTCGATGAGTAGCCATGCGTGCCAATAAGTTTGAGGTTACGCGTCTGGCAGGAGCCATTGGGGGGTTCTCCGTCTGTATTATTGATGGTCGCAACGCCGGCGATGTTGGGGGGATTCCTCGATTGGGGCTGAGGCGTTAAGTGGAACACGTCAATTGCGGTGTTCACGGCGTCTTCGGCCATTTCACGGAAGGTGGTCCATTTTCCACCGACGCAGGTAAGGAGGCCCGAGTTGGAGACGGTCAGGAGGTGGCTGCGGGTGAGGGCTTCTGTGTTGTCGGCCGCGGAGGAGGGATCACGAACGAGAGGGCGGATTCCAGACCATGTCGCCAGGACATCGGAGCGTTGTACGTTTTTCTCTGGTGATAAGGTGCTGTTCAGCTCTTTGAGGATCCAGCTCACATCCTCCTCCTCGGGGACGGGGTTGGGGTTAATATCGCAGGCCCTGTCGGTGGTTCCTGCTATCATCTTGCCCTCCCATGGTAAGAGGAAGACGACGCGGCCGTCCGAGGATTGGTCGATCAGGCCGACATCCTTGGGGCCTACGCTTTCCGGCAGCACGATATGCACCCCACTGCTGGGCATTACGATGTTCTTGTGTGTTGAAGGCTCGTCCAGTTGATGGATTGCGTCAGCGAACGGCCCTGTCGCGTTAATAACACCGCGCGCTCGTACCAGGAACTCATCGTCGTCGCCCCCGTTTGAGGTTCTATCACACACGCGCACTCCGCAGATCTTGCCCTGGGCATCCTTCTCTAGCCTGGTCACCTCGGCGTGATTCAACACCGTCGCGCCGTACACTACAGCTGTCATGGCTAGGGTCACGTTCATCCGCGCATCGTTGTGCTGTCCGTCGTAGTACACCAAACCGCCGACGAGCTGCCGTGCGTCCAGTGTTGGGAACGCCTGTAGCGCTTTAGCCCGCGGGAGAAAGTATGAGCTCTGCAACCCCTCTGCCCCAGCCAGCAGATCGTACAGTTTCGTGCCAATCCACAGATACGGCGCCTCCCACCACCGCCGAACGGGCAGGAGCAGCGGTAGCGCCTGTGACAGGTGAGGCGCGATGTCTAAGAAGTACCGCCGCTCCTTGAGCGCTGAACACACCAGTTTATATTGTTCATAATCTAGCTCCTTGACGGCTTTCTCAAGGTACCGAACCCCACCGTGTACAAGCTTCGTGCTCTTACTGCTGGTACCGCTGGCAAAGTCGTCGCGCTCGACCAGGGCGACTTTCAGACCACGCGTGGTGGCATCCAGGGCGATCCCAGTGCCGGTCGCACCGCCGCCGATGACGAGAAGATCGTATACAGCACTAGGGTCCGTCGCGCTCTGTCGCAATGCAGCGAGTTGTTCGCTTCGATGAGGGATTCGGGGGAACAGTGCGGGAATTGTGGGAGAGGAGGGAGCGCTGGGAAGAGCATTGTGCGATCGACGAGGGCGTAGTGCATAGAATGTAAGCGAACCTGTGACGGCCACGGCAGCGATCGCGGTGGCCCGTCGCCAGAAGCGAGGCGATGACGGTCGGTATATCATGAGTTATTAGAATTGATCTCTTTAAATAAAATACTCTGGTAAGAAGGTCGATGAGACCAGGGGCTGATAGCCCTACTTATACCTGAGACCTGCACATTTTCTATTTTTGGGAATTAGCATCAGACAGTCACAACGGATAATTTTCTGACCCAAGCTCGCTGATAGACCACCAGTTGTGTAGCTTCATTGGTAAGACGTTCTCGATGACGTGTGGGTCTACATTGTATTTGCAGATCCCCTCGGTGATTCGCAGTCCGAGGTGTGAAGAGATTTGTCGTTCCTCTCGGTGTTTTCCACCGAAGCTTTCCCGCTTATGGAATAGTTCGTAAGATTTGTGGAGACTTTCCCCCACACCGGCTTCAGCCATGTCAGGAGGCCTTGAATTTCTTTCGGTGGTCCTATGTTCTGGTCCTAACTCTCGCTACTCGGTTCCGACCTCTTGAATTTTTCTGCTCGGGATGATTCATCAAACGACTTTCTTCCGACTGTCGATCAGCCTCTAGACTTCCTCGTTCGAGACCTTTCCATTGCTATTGCTCAGAGTGACGAATTCCGGGGTTGGAATAGGTGCAGATTGTATCTGCATGCCTTTTCTGACCTCTTACGACCGGTGGAAGTGGTTTAACATTTTGTGGCCTTGACACCTAATTCGTATACGTCCGTCACGACTGAACAGGCGATCTGATTCTTGTAACCCTCTAATGTCTCCTATATAACTGTCTGCTTTAGTACAAAACAACTAATACGTATAAGGATCGAATGGCGTGACCACTAGCGCTGTATAATGCAACTCGTGGAAAACAAATTTGCATTCTATAACCAAATATAGATTAGCGGTATTTGTCAGTTTGACACCTTATCTCGCTGAATTGTCGGGATCCCAGACGCAACCTCCATCGAGCCAGGTGTATTGTAGCCCCCACCCGGCACACAACCTCAGCCACAGATGGAATATCCTGCGATCAATTCAAGTTTTATTCATTTCTACTCAGGATCTCCCCTGAATTTGAATACGCTTGTAAAATCGGTAAATTAACTGCCCAAAAACACAGGACAGCAGTGAAGGTGAACCACGTCTCGTTCCTTCTGACGACAGGTAGTCGGAGGTTCTTAAGTTACCGCGTCGAGCCAAGCTATAGTTGAATTGCGTGTCATTTCGTTGATTTTCGTTGATATTCCATGAACAAGCCGAGGTGGGCGTTAGCAGAACGTGGATCGTGTCAAGATGCGTCCTGAATAGATCGACCAGCAATGAGTTGTTACGGAAGAAAATCAAGAGTGGATGGTATACCATGTGCTCACCAGGCCTGAAATCGCTGTTCATAAGTATTTTCTTTCAATCCTTCACCATAAGCCCTTCTTGATCTCTTGGTTCTGGTTGCTATCGATGCGCTTCATATTGTGGATCCATGGGGGAAGCGTTTCCATCAAGAGCATTCTCGGTTACAAGTGCTTCGGGCACGAGTTGATCTAAAAGTTCATTGGTTTAAAACATCTGCAACCCTGGATTCAGTCATGCTAGAAACTGTTAAATATACTGTCGGATTCGACGATAAGGTCCGAGTTAATTGCGACAAACATTGACCGTACAGATCTCTTCTAACCTTTGTTGGGCTCTGGCCGCCTCTCCCTCCAAACAGATATGCGTCATCGAAATTGGCACGTCCAAATCTACGTCTCACCTGTCGACCGACGCATACGGCTGGTTAGAAGCGCCTTAGTTACCAGTGCACGCTGTGATTACTATTTGCTTCAAGTATCTCTGTGCAGAGACGGACGACAACGCACTTACAATATCCGTCCGGAGACCAGGACATCGATTGACTGATATTGACACACGGAACAATCTCTACCCTGCTTCCCGGACAGCGCGTGTCGACATGTGGAATAACGCTGGCTCTCTGCCCGTCTCTGGATTCTATCTCGATGTTGACACACTAGTGCTAGTCTCCACTGACGAAATTTGCCTTCCGTTGGAGGTGTTTGTCGACCGCGGTCAACCCTGGAGAACATGACATGGTGATAACGAAAGACATGCTACTTGGGCTTCTGCAACAGCTATGGGAGTATCGTCGGCAACGGCGCACATCAATGTAGCGCCTTAGGGCCTTTACGATGTTGCACAGCGTTTCGAGTGCTTGGGTTCAAAGGCATGGATCTGACGGGCAGAAGTCATGTTTCTTGCTACTGATGCTTGTTCTTTCGCCTTGATGGATTCTGATCCAGTTGAAGCTACTCACGGTGACTCCGAGCTCAAGGGATGAGAGGAGAGGGAGGAAGAGAGAAGAGGAAAAGCGTTGTTCGTCAAAGGACCACCCCGATTTATATAGTTGGGATGGGGTAAAAGCGGTCAAGGACGGCGCTCACTTTCCCTGGTCGAGCAGCAGGGTAATCGCCCAGAGCGGGCTGTAGCACAGCAGTACGGTGGTGCAATGGGAGCCGTTTCAGCGCGTCTTTGGAATACTTTTCAAAAAAGGCTCATTAGTCAAAGTCTTGTAGAGTAATTCTACCGTGAATTCTGCGTGCTATCCTATTTATTCTGGCCAACACCTATCTAGCGTTAAATATATGTGAAGTTTACATGACGCTACTTGCAGCAAAATACAAATTTGAAGCTGTCTGTCAAAGTCTTCGCAAGTCCAGCAGACAGGTTTCTGAGTAGTGGATGCGGTTTGAGAAAACATTGAAGCCAAGCCCTCTAATGTTGATACCTTCCGGAAGTAGGACAAGCGCAGTGCTCGTACTTGATTCCCTCCGTGGTATTTATCCGCGCGGGCTCAAACTCTGCGACATTCATGCTTGTTATTGAAGTAACTGAATACAACCAACCGGCAAACTACTTCCACCCGTCAAAACATGGCCCCATCTAGATCATGGACCGGCCGTGTCTTCATTGCCGCAAGCCTGGATGGTTACATCGCCCGCCCCGACGGCGACATCGAATGGCTTATCAATCCAGCTCCGGATCCCAACCACTTGCGTCCTTCCGATCCACGCACCGTGGATGATTTTGATCAGCACATGGCCCGCGTGGACTGCCTGCTTATGGGCCGCAGATCCTACGAAAAGGTCATCTCCTTCCCAGAATGGCTGTACGGGACCAAGCGCACGTTCGTCCTCAGCACAACCCTACCTACGGGGACCTGCTCGCATGATTCGGCCACAGTTGAGGTTATACCATCGCTAGATGAAGCTGCGGAGGTCTTTGAGCGAGAACGTATTCGCTGTGTATATATAGATGGTGGAGAGGTCGTTCAGGAATTTCTAAGACGGGGTTGGGTCGACGAGATTATCCTTACGCATGTCCCTGTGCTGCTTGGGAGTGGGATACCACTGTTTGGCTACTTATCGCAGTATGTTAGGATGACCTTGTTAGCTGTGGATGTTATTGAAAATGGGATGGTTTCAGCGCATTATCGCGTGTTGAGTTCTCCGGATGGGGTGTAATTCTGATTTTTCTGCCTCTCTTCTCCCCTCTTGTTCTTTTTTTTTTGCCCCCAAGAGTATTGCTCAATTATTTAGCTCCATGGGAGGCCACTCATGCTTCTATAGGATTATCCATTTAGCTTGGAGAACTTGCAGCTGGCAGGGAAGCATAATAATATGACTGCGAATTTTCATGATATAGTGCTTAAGTAACTAAAGAGCGAGGGGGTGGTTAGACAGGCAGCCCTTGACATCTTGTTTAGAAATTTATATGAAAAATGGGTAAGTGTCTGCTTCGGCACAGCAGCCAAAATATTGTTTTTTAAAATCTACAGGAGGCTTTACGCGTATTTCTCTTGCATTTAACTATTTACGGTCCTCAGGACCCCAGAGGTTCGTTCCACAGCTAAGTTATATTTGAAGGCTTGGAACTATGCGCTGTCCTAACGCGTAAGAGGGCACCTTTGGGTCTGGAGTATTTTGTTAATCTACGGACGTGACTTTGGGTTTGTGAATTGGGAGCTAAATAATAAAATTAGTATTATAATACAAACTAAGAGTTAACGTACTCGTCTGTCCTGTCAAGGGTTGAACCCAATGTATTGCTCAGGCATGGCCTTCGCTCCTATATAGGGCGCTAGATGCGACTGATAGAAGATCAGTCGTCTTGTACCTTTTTATATGGTCAAGTGGTTTTATCTCTACTACCGCAAAGACAACCAAACCATCACATGTCCTCCATTTTCCATATATTTGTCATGATTTCTGCAACAACAGAATAAATTTAATTATCTAGAAGAAGAAGCAGACTAAGAAAAGAATAATAAATTGTTATTATTTTATAGGAAATAATAGTATATTATAAATATCTGGAGAAACTGCAAGTCTCTCAACTACTAGGGGTAGACAAAGTAAAAGAATATACAACAACATTATCTAGCACACTTTACCACACACAAGAGGCTGGGGTACTATTACACATACCATAGGCGCTTATGCTAGTAAGTGGCTATATGTTTCTACTTCTAGATAGTTAAACTTATTCTGTTTGTTGCAGAAATCATGACAAATATATGGAAAATGAACAGGACAGAGGTGGAGTACGTTAATGTTTTTACTATTGTTATCTAATAGTAACCAGTCGGAACCAGAAGTAAACGTTCAAAACTAGTTAACAAAGTGAAGTCATGGTAGCGCATACTCAGCACACCAGAAAATGAGGCAACAAGATCTGAGTGACAGTTAAGTTACATTATAGAAGCCAATCTACAGCACATTGAAAAAGACCATCGAGTTCTGATGGACGCGGGGTAGCTCACATCTTGGAAATTATACCCCATATTTGAAGACAAACAGGCTCTTTGCTCTTTTCATCCAGTGTATCCCACTTCTCTTCTAGAGGAGATCCCGGAATAAGAGCCATCTCAATCCTCGCACAATCAGGACTAAAATTGGTGAAAAATACTTCAGGCACATGAACTGAGGTGTGCTTATATACAAGTCTCATTGCTTCACCCTCCGCAGGTCGCACTGCATGCCGAGATTTGGTCACGTAGGAGAAGTCATGCTCAAGTATAATCCTGCCCATCTGTTTGCTGAGAACGGTAATAATCTCTTGATCTGGGGGAAGGTCTGAGATATTTGCGAATGATGGATATGGGAACAGGGTTGTGCCTATTTTAATGTGTCAGTTCCCTTCTTGCATACTTTGTATTTGAAAAAGGAATGCCGCCAGAAGAATCGGTCGTCTTGTGAAGAAGCTGTTGAAATGTTGGTGACAGTCGCTTGGTTCTCCGGTGATATCCCCTTGAGCAGAGGAATGACGAAAGAAAGTTAGGTATCTGTCACTCAGAAAGTAAAAGTTCACTGATGTGGAAAACATGTTTAAGAATCTGCTATTATTGGTTGACACCTTTTCAGCCATCAGTTTCTCTTTCGATTACGTGCATGTTGGACAACTCTTAAGCTTGACTGTAGGCGTAGTATATTACTACTACTCAAAGGAATGAACGGATTTCGTAGAGAAAATGGTGCATTCTATTAGGTAGGCTACGGGAAATCATGTAGTTTAAAGGTCCAGAAAATCAAGTCAGTATAGGTATACAATGCAGTTCTATGATCTAACATGCAGAACAACTCCGGCTAATATACAAACGCAACACCAAGAATTACATATGCAGCCCAGATATATACAGCAACAAATATCTTACTCGTTCTCTTTCATAAATTTCACAAATGCTTTCTTGTGCACCAACCCCGCGTACTGTCCATTCTGGAGCACACAGAGATAGCGCAGGCCAAGTTTGGCAAAGCACTGGTAGACAAGGTCGATGGGGGAATGGATATCAAGAGAGATAGGAGCCTAGCGAGTCAGCATCATCCACGGTACAGGAACGGGCGGCATACTGGATCAATGTATTGGCCGAAATCCACTCGATCAGACGCGTGGCTACCATCACTATCGGATAATGTCGATGTCGTGTCCAGTGCCATGAGACATAGCGTGTTCTCCTCATCCTCAAGACTATCAAGCGCATATTCAAGCTCCGGTGCCGGAATCAGCCCCGACAATACGTTGTGCCGCAATATCGGGAGGCCGCTGTCTAGCTCACCCGCGACCAGCAGGTTCTGCAACTTGGACCGCAGCTCCCTCGCTGGCACAAACGGCGAGTCTGAGATGTCGATGACCCGGCTCTTGCGCACCGGCCGAACGATGTCTCCTAGAGCAGCATCGGAGGCAATCTGGAGTTTGTTGTCCAGGAACGGATACGCATTCATATCGGTTAGCAGATCCTAGTAGAGTAAGCATGTAAACCAACCAACCATCTCAGCGCACGTACGTAGATGCTTCTCGGCTCGATAGCGTCGGCGGTCCATTTGGCGCAGAGCACCGCCAACGAAAAAGGAAGCACATGGTCCAGGCTGCCGGTGAGTTCAAACAGGATGACGGCCAGTGTAACCGACAATCGCGTGACGCCGCACATCGTGGCTCCCGCAGCGACCATGGCATATACACCGGGGACCACGCAGGACTCCATGCCAAAAACAGCAGAACAGGAGGATCCGAACAAGAAAAACTCGGGGTACTTCAGGACCAGGTACTGGACCACATGGCCCACGATGCGGCCCAGAAGACCGCCAACAACCATGGATGGGACGTAGATGCCGGCCGGCACTTTGATACCAAACGTCACCACTGTGAGGAGGCTTTTGATGACAAAGGCGATGAGAAGATATTGGACGATTTCACCAATCCCATCTTCGCCGGGGCACATCCCCGTGGGCGACGAGGACTTGCGTTCACAGGGGCTGGCCAGCTCGAACAGCAGTTCCGAGACCGGCAGCTTGGTATACCGGTTCCAGAAACTGACCAGCCCGGTGAGCAGCGCCACGAGGATCACCTCCAGCATGGGCCAGCGCTTGATGATCGGGATACGTCGGAAGGACTGTGCCCATAGACTGGATACCTTGATGAAGAGGGCGCCCAGCGCCCCTCCTAGCATGCCAAGCAGGCTGAAGATGGCCAGTTCAAAGAATTCCCAGTCGACAACGTATCGCACCTCGAACAGAACGATCTTGCCGGTGCCATAAGGGTTCAGGAACTTCAGAGACAGGGCTGCGGCAATACAGCAGAAGAAAGTCCGGAACAAGGTCTTGGGGGGGAAGTAGTAGCTCACTTCCTCCAAGCTGAAGAGAACCCCGCCGATCGGTGCTCCAAAGGCCACGGCAACACCACTGGCAGCACTAGCGCTCAACACCTCTCGTCGTTTCCCGTCGTTGTGATTGTACTTGGCGAAGAGCCGACAGCAGATGTTCCCCACGCACGTCGCAATGTGGACGTACGGACCTTCCTTGCCGAGGCTCAGGCCGGAGGAGACGCTGAAAACCAACGCAATCGTCTTGATGGCCAATGTTTTGAACCCCAAGTACCCGTGCAAGACAAACCCACTGTTGATGACCTTGACCTCGGCTACGCCGCTCCCGGCAGCAGCATAGTACACCATGTCACGCTGGGTGCGGATGGGCACATAGGGTTGAGGGCTGCCCTCATGTTCGGGGGAGTCGTCCGCATCGGCATAGGGCCTCGGGCTCCGTGATGAAGCGGCACCCAGGTTCTCATCCAGCGTCGTCAACGAGATAGACGACGGAACCACCGTCTTTGTGAGTAAGGTCAGAAAGCAGGAAACTATCGAGAGAAACAGCACCCAGGCCACAAACATGGCGAAATCGATCCACTGATTGCCAGTCCCCACTGGTCTCATGATCTGCGACCACGACCGCCATGCGGGACAATATCCGTCTTCCACGCAGCAGCTCTCTCGATTGTGGAACCATTTGGTGGTGCAGAAGCCCTCTTTCAGGTCAAACACCAAACCCTCCGTGACATCCACAAAGTAAGCGATGGCGGCAGTGATGCAGCCGATCACGGCAACCAGGATCCAGCCCTGGGCGCCATCAAACCAGGCAAGGAGGCGACCCCGAACATCTTTCCGTTTGCGCAGCTCCCGGAGACGAGCACCGTCGGCGATACTGTCATGGACCCAATCGGTGGAGGTAAACTGGTCGTACCACATCCGTTCATCCAGGAACGAAGCGGTCATACCGTCTTTGGTCGACGCTGGTAGGCTATCCACTTGGTCGGCATCTATACTACTCCGTCGACTAAACCGCAGTGTCTGGGAATTCGTGCGACTATGATGTCGCGATCGACGCAGGCTCCCGGCCAGCAGCGAGTGTCGGAAAGGAACCTCCGACCCTGAGCCGGACGATAGATTCGTATATGAGCGTCGTGGTATGCCGCGGCGGTTCTCCTGAGTCTTGCCGAGAAGGCTGGTGGTCTCCCCCACTTCCAACGGCGGTTCCAAGGATTCATAACGGGTGTGGGATTCGGCAAGAAGGCTGTGACTTCGTTTGACATCGGTCGGGGAGGGTGGAACGGTTCGAGAGGCGACTCCAGGACGGTCTGGATCGCCAGAGTCTTGGTCTTCCCCAGTGGGAGCAGAGGTAAAGTACGAGTGGACTGATCGAGGCATCTTGAGATAGGGAGGAGAAAAAGGGGAAAGGAAGCCGTGGTTTGCTTTTGGGGGCTAAAATCCGCGGACTATGGACAAGTTAGCCGGTCGCCATCCATGGACCTACACGGGAAGGAACCAAACCAGAAATTCACAGGCCACCGACCACATTTACCAACCAGCATAGCCTTTGGAGCTCTAAACGGCTCTAACGGATCTAAAGGAAAGAGGGGAGAGGAGACAAAGAATGGAACGACTCCATGTAGTTGGGAGATGTAAAAAAAAGGACAGGACATGTCTAGCTGTAGGTCTTGTGCAGGCAGATGACGCGACCGAAGAGGCGCTAAAACCATCATCTGATGGGGATCGGATCGTTGGAAGAGACTCTGTCCGAAGTGGAAATGGGAGATAAGAAGACGGAGTAATTGATTCCTATTCACATTCTTGATCCACAGAATGATCCATTCTCGGGGGTTCATGTGCCGCCATGCTGTGTCACCCGGATGGATCGAAACAAAAGTCAAGAGATCCAAGCATCATTTCCAGTCGATCTTTACTGGACTGACTTCTCCGCACATCACTCGGGACTGAACTCGAGAAACTAGTAGTTCTGACCCACCCTCGTGCAGCTGCTCTACGTGACCATCGTAGGCCATCCCAGACGATGATCCAGTTACGGTATTCCTCCGATCCCAGGCTAGTCTAGCAGTCGACGTACAGGAACTAGTATTTTCTATAAATCCTAGAGGTATTTCACGAAGGAAGTTAATATAAGAGAGGCAAAGAGAGGAAATTTCTCCTTCAACCACACTTCTCATGCTTGTATACAGTTTTATTCCCATTTCATCACAACTTTATCCTCTATAGTCTGGTTGTTGGGTTGCTCATCCAATACTAGTGCGAAACGTGGACAGGATGTTGCATTCCCTGGCGGAGCCGTGGATCGAAGTCTGTAGGTGGTCACGTGTCACACAGCTAAGGTGGAGGGATGTTGTGGCGTAGGGCGCTAGCAATGGTGCCTTTGTGGTCGAATAGTATTTTTTGTCTCAGTATAAATGCCAACGAACCTGGGAAGATTTTATTAGAAACCCAGGCCTTAAGAATAACTGAGAAGCTCTGATCAAAGCAACCAGGGATGTAATAAGGATGAGCTCCGCCCACTGGGCAAACTATACTGGCGTGTGCACAAGTTGGGCAGCTAATATAACCCTCACCCTCAGCAGAGAAAACCAAACAGCATGGATGTTTGGTGGCAAGCGAAGCCATTGAGCAGCATGGTACCTTGAGGGGGTTGCTCTTGATTCAATGCAACAAATTCACTTCAGCCAGAAGCAAACGAGGTCAAAAGTTCTCATGTCACACAATGGATGGTGAAGGATGTTGGAAGCCCGGGAGCCACTCTCTGTTTTGTAAGCGTTGGAATAGTACTAACTAACTTAAGTTATAATCTAATCATACCACACAGGGCAAAGAACACTTGGAGTTTAGCATACTTACCGATTACTTTAAGGTGACGTACTAGGCGATTTTTCAGAGACCAGCATAAGATACTATACTGCAGTCTATTCTCACACCCTAGATAACTGTCTAATTCTTCGGTAACCTACAATCCGTCAAAAATACAGCCAAGAGACAGAAACATTTTCGGTTATGCTCGCCTATCGAGAGCTGAAGAAAGGGACGGTCAATATTCTGAAATATGGGTACAGTTCCACTGGACTAAAAAGGGTGCCCGGTCCTAGGTAGTCAAGGAACACAGATTCACTGAAATATTGACAGAAGTACACTCTAAACAAGTTATGTCGGCTGGATTTTTAATACCGGCCGTCGGCTTTCATCATGCCAATTAATTCAGAATGCAGGATGAATGGGACATTGCAATGGCCGAACCGACTGACTACGGGACGCTCAATTATCAGGCTAAGAATTAAAAATGATAATATATTCTTCCTATTTTTATTTAGTTCTCGACTTAGTTTTCTGCTTTTAGCTTTCGAGTAGTAAGAATATGCTTATCTACCATGTATAGAGAATTTCATTCTATATCTTTAAGAACCGTAATTAGCAGCTTTTATTGAACTCAACCGTCTAAAATCAAACCAAGGTATCCGTCAGAACTTGCAGGAAAAGATCAAGTCGCTATCATATGTTTAAACAAGAAGAACCCTATTGTCTGTTAGTGACAAGCCAAACCACAGAGAAGGAGTAACCTACGCATTTACACAACCGTCGTTCTCGGGGTTATCTACCGTCTGGATCAGCATGTCGTGTCCGAGCATTTCCATCATCATCCACTTACTGGTCACCTGGGCCCATTTTCCCCAAACCACCTTTCCCGAGGTCGTGACCATTCCCAAATCACTGACGTTGACTTCGATAATGGTACCACGACTCAACACCCCAAGACGGGTGTACAGAGGGTTATTAGGGTTCTTCTGCACACTAAGGATGGGACATTGAACCGTCACGCCCAACTTGGGATGAGTGACATTGACCTTCTTATAACGCAAACCCATGGGCCTAGAGACAAAAAATTCGTTAAAACGCAGACCCCAGAATGCCAGACAGACCACTAACCGAATAAACCGTTCATATTTCACATTCTGTCGGGTGAAATCTTGACCCACAAAGGTAGGCTTGGTGATCATTCGCTTCCACGACTTCTTATGCGTCTTCTTGCCCGTATCGACAACCTTGAACATTTCCTCCTCCGAGATGCCGCGCACCTTTGGGATAGGCACCGCGAACTTGGCAGCCTTTTCATTACGCTTATCCTTGATGGCGGAGGACAGGGCTTTCGCATTGGTGGCCTCAGACCGATCGAGCAGATAATGAGGCACGGCGGACGATAGGTCGGCGGCTTCCGAGTTGGACTTGACGTTGCGTTCCTCTTGGGCCTTGATGCGCTTCCGCATCTGGATCTTCTCCTTATGACGCTGCTGCTGATGCAGCTTGGCGCGCAGACCCCGGAGGTTCTGCGCATCCTTGGACTGACGGTGAACCTCACGGGCTTGACGTTTTCGGGACCGCTCTTCGGCGTCGAACCTGGAGGGTTAGCGGGGGACGGTGAATGATGTGGAGGGGATAATTACCGCTTTCCATGCAGTTTCTGCCATCGCTCGACGTATTCGTTCTGAGGCATGGTGGCGGTGGAGAATGATTGATCTGATGATAATCTTCTGAAGATTGTTTTCTCGATGATAAGGATTGCGCGGGGGTTTGTTTTTCCGGGGCAGAAAACTCGTGGGCGGTGAGATGGCTGATTTATGCCTGAGGCAGTATTACCTATGACATCATCACCACCCTCACGCCAAAACTAACAGCAGTATCATCTCTGCCACGACAGAAACAGTTCAATAAACATACCAAACGTGATGAATGTATTTGACGAGCGCAGAAACATCATCTCCCTCTACTCATATCCCAAATCCCAAGATGGAGCAACAGCCGCCATCATCTTGGCCGAACTCAAGTGCGTATACGACACATTCTACGACCAACGGTTCCCACGCAATAATAAGTACACCACCTAACCAATAAACAGGCTCCCCTACGATCTCCACCTCATAAACACACCCAACGAAATCCCCAACGAAATCCTATCTGAATCCCACAAGTGTCTCCCCGTACTCACGGACTTCGACCAAGCCGGACGCCGCGTCTCCATCCGTGGAGTGGAACCGATCGCATCATATCTGATCGTGCAAGATCATGAGGAACAGCTCTCCCGGGGGGGCGTTGATATAGAGGAAATGAAGTATTGGTTGTCGTTTTTGTCCCATGAGTTTCCTGACGCTAGGAAAGGGAAAGGGACTGGGACTGCGCATACGGATAATACGGTCCGACGGGCTTTGCATTTATATCTCCATTTAGAAGACCATTTGCATAGATCTGAATGGGGTTATCTTGTTGGGAAGAGGTGGTTAGCATTCTTTTTCTTCTTATATCTTATTTCCCCGCGATGTATCAATCTCTTAAACTGAGCTAACAAGTACATAGTACCCTGGCGGATCTTATCCATTTCCCCTGCGTAGCTGCCGCAGGCTCTCTGGGATTAGATATCGAGCGATTCCCTGAATTAACGGCGTGGTTCAATCGAATCAGTCAGCATGGGGCCGTGGTGAACGGGATGGCGGCGGTTCAGTTGAATGTGGATGTATATTCATAGTTGAAGTACTGTATAGTAATGTTTATCTTAATCGTGTGGGTATATCCTGAATGCATAATATAATATAATGTTTTATCTGATCGATTTGTATTGCCTCATTAAAGAACCACTGAACACCCCATTTGCGCCACGCATGAAAGCTGCAAGGATGACCGTGTCGGTCGGACAAGGTCAGGTCAGACCACCAGTGCAGCCTATCAACACGACTTATATAAAGCGGGGCCCGGATGTAAACATCATTACTGAATAGAACTTCCACCATCTATCTGATATATATAGTAATTTATATTATGAGTCCATCTCGAATTGGAATCCTAATTTCTGGCGGCGATGAACCTGGTTCTCAGTGGGATGATGCCCTGGTGTTATGCGGGGGAGAGGGGGGAGTTTAATGGGGCCACAGCTGTTTCGATCAGAGTGGTCGAGTCTCGTGCAGTAGTTGATCGATAGAGGGAAGTTGACTGCGGCGCAAGTGGATGATCATCGCAGTCTAAATGTCGTGGGACTGCTGGGGTCCACTGATACTGATTTCCCCAGTACGGACGCGACATTCGGGTGTTATTCGGCGTTGTGACGGATCTGCGACGCCGAGGATGATGTCTTTGATACGTCCAGTTCGCATCAGATGGGTTTTATCATCGAGGTCATGGGTACAAATTGTGGATGGTTGGCTCTCATGGTGGCTATTGTTACGGGGGTAGATAGGCTATTTATCCCTGAGAGACCGCCGCGGCCGGGATTGGAGGAGGATATTTGTGCGGTGATTCTGAAGGTGATTCTCTCTCTCTGTGTCTGTCTGGCGGTTAGTTTATGGATATAGAATCGTACTCGAGGCAAACGATAGACTATCGTGATCATCGTCGAAGGCTCACAGGACCATAAACTGCAGCATATCTCCTCGGAGACCGTCAAAGACATCCTGAGAACACGACTCGAGCTCGATACGAGGGTCACTGTCCTGGGCCACATCCAACAAGGAGAAGCGCCGTGTGCGTACGACCTCTGGCTGGCCACCCTGCAGGGCATGGAATTAGTCAGGTTGTGCTGCAGATGACGCCCGACTCGCCGTGACTCGTGGCGATGATCCAAGAATCAAGACATTATTATTGGCAGAGAGACGGTGACATTGACCAAGCCGGCAAATGCCTGTGCAATCCAAAGACTTCGACCGGGCAATGCGACTCCTGGATCCGGAATTCATGAAATATCATGGGGCGTATCGCCGGTTGAGCACATCAGATCATCCCTGGACCATATTGTCTCCGGACAAAAAGAAAGAAGTAGCTATTCCTTGGAACTCACCCATGTCTGATGATACTGATCCAGAGTCTAGAGAATGCGTATCGCAGTCATCCACATCGGGGCACCAACAGCTGGCATGAACACCGCCACTCGGACCATAGTCGCCTACTGCCTGACCAAGGGCCACACACCCATCGCCATCTATAACGTATTTCCGAGTCTCTGTTGACATCATTCAGACAGTCCCATGGGTTCGGTACGCGAACTACGCTGGCAGACTGTGAGGACTAGGTCAACGACGGCAGATCCGATATCGGGTCAAAAAGCGGTCTGCCTGCGGACGATCTGACCACGACGGCGCAATGTTTCCAGGAGTCCCGGCTCGATTCCCTGTTGGTTATCAGTGGCGTCGAAGCCTTGACTACCGTTCGTCACTTTCATCAAGCCCGAGACCAGCACGCGGCGTTCCGTATACCCATCGTGCTTCTCCCCACCAGCATGGCCAACAACGTGCCCCAGATGGACTACGCACTAGCCAACGATACTAGTCTCAACACGCTAGCCTGCTTCTGTGATGTGTTGCGGTAGTGTATCTCCTTGATCGCTGCGTGTTCATAGTCGAGGCCCAATGCGCCTCGTCCGGATATCTCGCCGCTGCCGCTGCTCTTGCCGCAGGCGCATGTTGTATACGCCACCGCGAACCATCACGCTGGACCGACTAGCCCGTGATGTTGAGTATTTTCGAGAACAGTTTGGCGGCAAGCATGGTGCCAGTCGTGCGGGCAAATTGATCATCCGCAAGGAGCATACCGCACCACAGTACAGTACAGAGATGGTGGCGGGGATCATCCAGGACGAGGCGCACAGTTGCTTTGATGCGCGCGGTGTCATCCCGGGTCATTTCCAACAGGGAGATGAAGTATCTCTCATAGATTGGATTCGCGCGTTTCTCCTGGCGATCAAGCGCAAGGAGCACTTGGAGAGTTTTGCTGGTCGGGCCGCCTACGAAGTTGTCATTGACGACAGCTACGTGGCGATGATTGGTATTCGCAAGTCTAGAGTATTGCTGTATTCGCTGGGAGGATCTTCAGAAGTCGAAACAGTCAATGCAGATGGGCAGTCGTGATTGGGGCTGCAGAACGTGGTGGATTTCTTGTCTGGACAGGAGGGAGATGATGATGTGGTTCTGGCTCTGTCTACTTGTCTCTTCAGATGCACTTTCAGACAAATTTCAGCTGTGCATTCAAGAATTCCGATGCAGTAATTGGTAAATTAGATCATTTAGATGCATGTGACAGGCTATATATTCAAAAACAGGAAGACTTCAGTGGTCATGTGATGACCGTACCCTAATTGTCCGCGGAATCTCAAAATCCAATCCAAAAGAAGAGAAAAACGAAAGATGCACTGATTATAGCTCACTACCCTCCAATGAACCAGCCAATAGATCTAACCGTTGACCCATCTCCTCGCAGAGACCCTCGTGGCGTCCTGCACCACAGGTTTCGTTCTGTCGACTCAATACGTCCACCAGCCGCACCAGACACAGCCGAGCTCGCTTCAACTCGCGTAGCAAAATACTGCGGCAGATGGCTTTCTGCTCGACAAAGTCGATCTCGAACACCCCAAACCGAATCAACCGGTCCACACCGCCCATCAACGCGTGCCCTTCCATCCGTGCCAGGAAATCCCTATACCCCGCGCTGAACAGGGAGATGACCTTGCTCAGAGCCACTGTGAAGAGTAGGTGGGCATCGTAGGCGTGTTCGAATCCCGGTATCTCCGTCATTTGTAGCAGCGTGCTCAGATATCTCTGGTTAGCCGCGAGGACGGAGTCCAGCGTATGGCCGATCGTCGTGGTCTGCTCGATATCGTGCAGGAGATACAGGTAAGTAGAACAGCTGACCGACTCTACATGGTGGACAGGATATGCGGCTGACTCCTCGAGCACATTGAAATCAGGGGGTGTAACGGGGTGGCATAGAGATGCGGTGCTGGTTCGGCTAGGGTCAACGCTACTGCTGCTGCCATCGTCCATCTCCCATTCATAGATTTGACCCAGTCGGCGGTCGGAGGGTAAGGGTCCCTTGGCTATGGCTGGTATCTCGAGACCCGGTGTGGGAAGTCCGCAGGAGCTGAGCTGGTCAAGCTCGGTGGTCCAGGAGAGGTGGCTGAGATCCGGAAGCCCGAAGTCAACATTGGCTGGACAGGCGTAGGGGGCATGGGACGGAGTGGGGAGAACATCCGGCAGGGGTAACGACGGATTTGACGCTTCATTGGGACAATCCCCGGTATAGTACTGTATACTGCTCGAGTAGTCCTGAGCCGGAGTAATAATTGAAGAGGGATCCTGGGCAGAGGCAGGAGCAATTGCAAGGTGGGGTGGTCGAGAGGCAGCTAACTCGTCTTCCTGCGGACGTTGAGCGGGCTGAGATGCACGCAAAGCTTCACTTGACGGTACCCGGTTCAAGGGCAAAGTTAGAGAGGTGGAGGAATTCGAAGTGAGCGTTGATGAGGAAGAGGAGGCAGCAAGTGCCGCAGCGGCTGCAGCAGCCCGATTTGCCTTGCTTCGTTTCCCTGGGACTTTGCCTATCCTTGAGATAGAAAAGATACAGATCAAGCCCAGGCTGGAACAACGCTGACATCCAGATTTCTCCCCAGAGCAGCGAACCTGCCGAGTGGATGGCTATGTTAGTCCGGCTGCATACTGTTCTAGGAAAAGCCACCTACTTTAGCAGCATGACACTCATTGCAGGCTGCCCGGAGCTTGGGGGGCCGTTTGGCTGCAGTGCATAACCTAACAATATAAGTCAGACTGGGAGAACTTTGTCAAGGGAAGAGGGAAAGTGCTCACGATGTCATTGTCAAAGGGTTAGGCACAACGCTCCGAGGTCCAGAAGAGCCAATGGCCGCAGCATCAGCAGCGCAAAAATATTCGTGAAAATTGAAACTCACCAAGCGACAAGACTAGCGATCTCCACGTATCCTGGATATACTTATGTACCAGGGAAGGTGGAGGATGTCGACGCCTATCACCGTCCCTGTCTGGATCCCAGGCTTGGGAGGGGATCCACGCAAGCGCGCCTGGAGCGCATTACAACCGAATGCATAGGAACTTAACCGTAAAGTAGAGGATCTGATCCGGTTGTTCGAACGATATGATTTGGCAGGTGGGGATTCGCCGTCTCTGATAAAAATAGAGGAAGGCCGCACAGGCCATTGCAAAGGCAGCTCTCGAAAATTAACACGCAGCCCGATGATGACTGTCTTGATGCATAATCGTCTCTTAGATTTCAAACCGCACGGGGCTCGTCGACAGCGAGACTGTTCATCGACGTAGCTAAGACAGTGCCTCTCTCCATCCTTCTCATTCAACCCTCCCATCATCTCCAACCTTACCTATCCCATCGATTTATCAGCCCGTCCCTACACCTGTCAATCCCGTGATCAATATAATTCTCTTCAAAATGGATCATATCATGTTTAGCCCCTTTTAGCCAAAACACGCATATTTCAACCCATCTAGCAATTCAGGTTTCACCAGATGCTGTGTTACCGCTATCACTGCCCCATAACAATTAGGAATCCAACGTTACGGGCCAAAGCATCAACTTAGTTAGCCAGCATAATTAAGCTCTAGGCCAGGGCCACGGTAGCACATCCAAACCATTGTGCCCAGTATTGTAGACGGGTACAATGCCTGAGCTGTGCTACGGGCCTCAAAGTCGTGGTATTTAGGATTCGGTTATCCCGTTGGTCCAATGGTAAGGGATCCGGAGAGGCACCAAGGTAGATATGAACCATTCCATGAATATCAATGGTATCCGGCCGAAACCCTTTATTTCGGTTTGGTCTAGCCACTTCTACCTGTTGCAGAGGGTTTGGTCGTTTGGTGTTGGAAGGGCACCCACCAGACCCAGTGCCGCTCTGAAGAATTGATTCGTTTTGCTAACCTGAAGTGTCCAACGTGCTAGGCTATCTCATGTTCTCGTGGTAATAATGATGCCAGTCCTTTGCTTCTTAGTATCAAAACCAGTGAGGATTCATCTACTCCGATCAACCGACGGCCATTCCAATTGCTGTTGTAACTATGTTTGCTTTCTTCGTTCAAGAGGCATTACTCCGTACAAAATGTTGGATACCGCAATGCATGGAATCCGTACGATTATGTCTGTCAAACCGAGGAACCAAGGTACCTAGCGGGGAGGTGCCAAAGGTTCACCAAGCAAAAACATGCCACCTTGTCTACGGCCCATGCGCAGGACTTGCTGGTAGAATAGTAGACAACAAAATGGAAGAACGGGGCTCAATCCTTGGTGCGATGATATTCACTGCACTATGATTTTGGAGGTGCTATAGGTTAGTGTTGCATGTCAGCTTAGCAGTTATCAGCTCGAGATTCATAACCAGAAGAGAGCGACTCAACACAACCGCTGTTGAGATGCTCATTGCTGGTCCGGTAGGGTTCAAGTCAAAGAAAGTACTCAGCAGATGGAGATCAACACAATGATCTCAAGGGCCGAGGCTGATACAGACTTAAGGCCAATTTCGATTTCAGTCTGGAATGGTCAGGATCAGAATCCATATCCTGATCTGCGACGCGAGAGTTGAGATCCAGAATAGCGACTAGTCAATGAGCCATGACAGACTCTGACTACCGTTGACTCAATTTAAATACAAAGAACACCCGGATAGATGCGTCGAGCACTCCGGTCCTTGAGGCCAAGGAATGTCCTACATTCCGATCCGGACAGTGTCCAAGTTACGCCCGATCGCATCAAGAAGCAGGCTCCGCCAATCCCGACTCGGTCGTCATTCCGCTTATTGCTTATTTCTGCCGCTTTGATATTTCAGTTCGGTCTGTTCTTTACCTCTGTTATGCACAGACCTTGTCATTTTGGGTATGTGCGCGCAGTTATCGTCATGACGATCCGGTTGGTCGCGAAATCCTCCGACGTCGGAGAGAGTACGGGCACCACGGATTTGATATAAGCTCCCATGGCCAGGTAGGTTCATAATCCGGCCTTGCTAATCGCGTGGTCACCCTGACTTTCTTACTCCTTCCTTTCTAAACTTGACGGTTGTTCTTAGGCCTGCATATGTCTCCCCCGAAGAGCCAAGGCACCTATGGAGTCAGAACAATCAAAATTTGGGAGCAAGCCGTTGTACCTGGGACATGGTAGACATATATCCCAGTCCATGTGCTACAATTAGGAGCGTTCTACTTTACCGGAGAAATAACCAGGAGCATCCTGGATGAGAAAATACACAACGATCAGCCACGCCAGGAGATAATACATGACCTACCAGACATCATGTCGAGACTTACCTATTCAGCCCACATGTGCTGTGACGTGATATCCCAGCGATTACTCACCTTCTGCCAGACAAACTCACCTCCTTCTATACCTCGAACAAACGAAACCTTCTCCTCGTCCACATTCAGTGTACCTGCTAGGTAATGCAATGCCATATTCCCATCCACATCTTGTGCCCATACGCCTGACTCGTTCCATTCCAGTAATACCTGTACTGTCGCTTTCTGTGCTTCCTGCGCTTCTCGCATCATGGGCCGTGGTTTCCTAGTCAACTGTCCTGATCGTATGGATTGAGTGTGTAAAGGACTGGATAATCCAGGGACACCCATGCAGAATCGACTGTGCGAGTGCAACGATTGCTTCGTGATAGAGTGGGATGCAGAAACAAGTTTTGTTCTCAGCGGTCTTCGGCAGCGCCACAATGTGAAGGAGTCTATGCCATAGATCAGTTGTTCCCGCTGTAGAAAGTCCATCAAGAAGGAAGTCCGTCAGCCATGAGAGAAAATGAGGGTCATGTGGGCGGTCGCAAAGTGGAGCATGTAGACATCGAATACGGGTGTACACAAGTGAGGATCTATCAGAGGATCAAACAGCTCAATTAAACTGGGTTGTACGCGGGGATTGGTAAGGTCGCATCGGGCAATGACAAAGGAGAGTGGTGATAAAGCCACGATGGGTGCAGCATAGGGTTGGTAATTCGGCGAGTGACAGCAGATAGTGAACAGATGCTGAAGCATCGCCAGATGTCCTGCCACTAGTGCTTCATGCACAGGTGAGGAAGTTGGACGAGTAGAATGAGCTAGTGACTTGCTGTCATTGCAGCACAAAGGAGCCGTCTCCGTCTGCCAGAATGACTCGTCCGCTCTAGCGGCCCGAAGACCTTCGAGGGAGTCTATGCATCCACACTGGGCTGCAACCTCGAGTACAGTGAGCGCAGAAGTAGTCCGAAGCCACCGGCCCGGGAGATTCGGTCCAGTCAAAGTCGAGGGAAATCCATACAACATTCCTCTATCTCCTGCTCCGCGAGAGGAGCAGTCCGACGATAAATGCCTCAGGCCACAACCTCATTCAACAATTGCAAACGCGGAAGAAACCTACTACATACGTCGGCAATCACATCATGGCCTCGAATGAAGCGGACTGGTTAATCCTCCAAATCCTTCTGTAGGATGCCATTGGGGTCTGCCCCCGCCATCAGTAGGCCACAGATATTGGCCGAGGATTTGGTATGGATAGCAGCGATCAAGGGATTTATAAGCACCAGCTATGTCACCAGAGAGAGGCATTCGAAGAGCTTTTTTTTTTTTTCAGGATGAATCGATCTCGACGAGGTTCTCTTGGCTTGTCTGTGTATATAGTAAGCCAAAAGCTCTTGAAGGACGGCGGGATAGGAATTGCGGGCGACGCAGATCGCAACAGTTTCACAGTCGACAGCAAAGTCAAGGCCGTTACAAAGAAGGTCCCTTGGAATCAATTCGGTTGGGGCCATTGGAATGAGTGGTCCAGTGAAGGAGGAAAGATGAGATGGAATAACGGTAAATAGATCTATATGTTAAATTACATCACATGACAAACAAGCGATACCATACGTGAAAGAAAATGTGATACCATTACTTACCAGTACCTCTGTGTACCACTTCTGTCACTGAATCTCTGGTACCCTAAAGGTAACCTTATCAAGGTCCGAGCCGACAAATACGTACTAAGCAGATTAAGTACACTAGTGAAGACAACAACTCAGAAACCCTGGTTCTTCACGGAATCGACACTGATCCATATGCGTCTGTCCTAAACAAGTAATCTCTCTGCGCTAGTTATCTGGACAGGGACAAAAATACGACGCCGTAAAAAGTTCCCCGGCGATCGTCGGTAGTGGCATGGCAGCCAATTAACCACCCAGAATGGTCCCCGACATGGATCCAGTGTACGGAGTATAGTTTAAGTACAAACGATACGGGACAGGGACAGCCAGTTGGCCTCAGTCAAGCATAGGAAACGATGCAGTCGATCAATTACCTAAGAATCAAGCCCACACGAAGGCAATATATACTGACTATAACATTCTGACCACACCAGATCAAACGTGCCCGCTTGCAGAAGGGAACGAAAGATGAGAAAAACGCCATGCCAACGCCACGCTCATAAGTCAGACAATGCCAAAAAAAAAAAAAAAAAAAAAAAAAAAAAAAAAAAAAAAAAAAAAAAAAAATACTCAAGGAATGAGATTAAATAGACAGGAACATGGAATGATAGTAAAAGAATGGAGAGGCCCAGGTATTGTCGCTTAAATAAAACAGCAAGAAAGCCAGAAACAAAAAAGTATTGATGAAGATCGATGACTCGAAACCAGGCTTTTCCGTGGTCGATAATGAAGGTAACCCAAATATTCAGCAACGCTAAATCCAAGCAGACAAAGAAGGATAAATAGAGGTCTAGGAGAGCACTGAGCAATAAGAGATATAATATCTCAATAACGTCTCAGCCGGTTGGCTCGGAAAGTGGCCAGATCCAGCGACTCAATTGATTCGGAACCATCGTCCACTTCAATGTCTTCATTGTTGGTAGAGAACTTGTCATGTTCCACCATGTTCGACTTCGCCGGGGTAACATCAGTTGCCTCTTCTTCGTCTTCGTCTTCGGCATTTTCATCCCGCTCGGCCTGGAGGCGTTGGACTTCTTTGCTTGCCAGTTCGAGTAACACCTTAAATTTTTCATCCACACAGTTCAATTGGGTTGAGCAGTCGCCCGAGCGCAAAAACTGGTATGCCGCAGTTTCACACATGCTGTGGGCTACCTCGAGATGTTTGTCAGCCAGATCAAATGACGAATCTTTCGTTGCCCATTGATTAGGAGGACCCAATGGCCCCCGACTCCGTGCACTGCGAATGTTCAATAGCAACTGATCTTCCGGCGTCTCTTGTGCGGACGGTTCTAGCCGTCCCTGACTCCTTCTCGTGCTCCTCCCGAATGCCCCGCCACGGAAGCCTTGGAGTGGTAACTGGGACATCTTTCCGCGACGGATGTTATTTCTCGCAGTGCCAATGTTTCGTACCATATCCTCCAGAGACTTCTGAGTGTGGCCATCGTAGTGAATGATAAGGTTATGTCGCATGCTCACAAAGGTGTGTCGGTCGTCTGGGTCAATCGAGGCTTCGTCGGTTCTGCGTTTTCGAGGGATTCGGGGAGCTTCAGTCGACTCGACTGCACCGGTTGGAGTTGGTTGGTCCTCATGAGCACGTTCAGCGGTTCGAATGGAGCAGATGGAGCTATTCTTGCGACGGCACGGCATCACCATCGCATGCTTCTTGAATTCGTCGGCATATTCCGCATGTTTGGCAGCCGTATGAGCGGCCAGATTAGACAATTGAGTGATCCACTCGGGCAAGTTGTCCGAAAGATAGGAGAAAGCACCTAAGGCGTCCATCGAACCAGCTGGCATGGTCTAATGGGCTATCCTGGGATGATTCGAGCCGTATTCCAATCACCGGACAAAATTCCAACAATATGAAAGACGAACAATGGCCAAGACAGAAGGATATGTGGATCCAGCAGAGCAATCGTGCCGTCGTGGAGTCGTCTGTGTGGTACTACAGTGATTAGTACCTGGATATCGATAACGTTGTTCTGCCGCCGCCGGAGGTTCCAACAGAATTCGGGTCACTGGTAGAGTTCCATGGATCTAAGAGAGCAAAATGGGGCCGTGGTGGGAATTCCTGGGTCGTGGGAAATGAAAAGGAGGGGGAGTAATTGAGAGAAAGAGAAAGAAATACGAGTCAGTCGCGGGAGCCAAGGAAGAAATGCGACCGGGGCCAAGAGACGGAACGGCAGCAAGACGCAACTGAACAAAGCATTACGAGGCCAGAAGCCTGAGCGTGGGGCCGAGATGCGGAAATGCAGGAAATGTAGGAAATGTAGGAAATGCAGGCTCATAACCTGGGCTCCCGCTGGTGCGATTCATACTTACATACAATACATACATGCATACTGTATCATACATACATACATCTTATACGTACCATTCAGATGCATTCTTTCTCGTTTGGGAAGGGAAGTCGACACTAATTTATTAGTCCTTCCTCCTTCTCCTTCGCCATCTCCTTCTTGCATCCATCCTGGTCTGGTCGAAAAAGCGGTGAGTTCGATTGCTCCATTCTCACTGTCCGACTGTTCTCTTCCTTCTGCACTTCTGTACCATCTTGTTGCCCCATCTCGAGGTCAATACTACCTTGCACAAGGTTTCCTGGATCCACTGGGAATTACCCACTTACGTTGGACGAGATCCTCCGAGGGATGAAGGATCAAGATCGTCGCTCCCATCGGCCCAACAAATCCTGCATATCAAACGGTCTCGTTGCCCAGAACAGGGATGACACGTAACGGCCTACCGCCTGTCAGTAAGAGAGCTAACGAACTCCGAGGTAAGCATAACGGAGACAAGAATTCTCGTCGGATTTGGCGGCTTCGTTGAAACTGAGATGGTCAGAACAAGGACGAGGGGGGCTAACCCGACCATTGGATAGCCTGTGCTGGCACACTTGGCTGCAAGGAATAATAACCAGACGATTCCTGATCTTAATTCCCACCTCACTTCCGTATCGTGCTCTGTCAGAAGCCACTGGTTATAGTAGATCCAGTGTAAAGTCCGCGTTGTTATGCTCGAGTCAGAATAGTCCCGCAGTTGACCTAGCGACTGGTGGTTTACTTATACTACATTCTCCTGGGAGACTGCAAGCGCCATCCAGTGCCAGTAGACCGATCAATCAGTCGATGTGATCCATGGGGATCGGAAGCCTTAGAAATAGTAATCATTGATCATATGTATTACTATTAAGATCGGAATCATAAGGTACTCCGTAAAGTCGGTTCTTCTCTACGGATCCTCTCGGAAGGCAAACATGTCTACAGCAGTTGCACCACGCCGCAAGGGTGTAGAAATTGCATATGCAGGACACAATGCCTCCTAGAGCGCATCTCGGCATGAGTGGGCGGGCATACATACTGTATGAGCATCTGCTGTTTAAGGGAGAGTTCCCTTAATCTGGTCTTGCCTATGCTAGCCAATAATGACTTGCTTGAAGCGATCGCGGGCGCTAACAACGATGTCCGTTAAGTATGTCTATTACGTATAGGTAGGCCATCTCTCTATATACCCGTGAGCCTCGCTATCTAATTACTGTCCTTTTCGCCACGCCTCCACCCAGTTATCCAAAAGTCCCTTGGCCTCACTGAGCGAATCAATGGCTGCTCGCCAGTTCGTCTCACATTCTTCCAGTTTCTCTCCTAACTCTCGACTCAAGACTGCGTGCACGGACAACTGTGCCGACCCGTCTAGACTATCCGAGGCAGAAAATCCGCGAGATCTCGCTGCAGCGCTAGATCCTGGGGCATCCACCGTTTCACTGGCCGATGCCTTTTCCGTTGCCTTACAATCCCACTTGGTTCGTTTGGGCGGAGGAGTTGTCTCCAGGATAGGATCCGGGGTATCCTCGATAATTTGATGCTTGCGAGGTCTCCCGCGTGGTCTTTTCGCAGGCATAGCTGGCTCTGCCTCTGGTTCTGCCTCTGCGACTTCCCTTTCCTTGCCCTTTCCTTTGTCTTGGGAGCCACATCGCAGTTTAATCTTCTTCAACGCCGATCGAGCAAGCTCTTGGGATTCTTCTTCAGACTGGTAAGCAACTTTGGACTCCGGAGACTCTACTTTGGCTTTTCGTTTGCATGTCTTGACGGGTGGTTCGGCCTGTTCGGACAGTTCTAGGACATACGGTTAGCTCTCCACGCACTGGAAGCAGGGAACTACAAACGAGAAGAATGCACACCTTCATTGGCACTGACTGCGCGGCGGTGCCGACAACGTATCTTTGACCTTTTGCAGCTATCGCATGCTGGGGTCAGTTTCGTCTTGTCTGTGGCCTCCCCAGCCTATACGAGCGTTAAGTTCTGCATATAGAAGAGACCAACAAGCAATAGGCGGGCGTATCCAGCACTTACCTTTCTACGGGAGCTCCTTTGAGTCTGAACCCATTTTTCAGCGTCATCGTCTTCCGCCGTCTTCGAGGATTGGGAATCCACACGGCACTGTTGCTGTGTAGATGGTTCTCCTGATGGACCGGCTTGAGAACAAGCAGCACATGCCTCGGAGTTTCTCTCGAGGGAGCCGTTGCTCGTCTTGCATGTCTGGTCTCTTTTCTTTGGAGGCATTTTGAAGGCTGAGCAAGATCCCTGAAGTTATCTTATGTCTACGAGAGACAGAATACGGCTTTCTTCTGATGAGCCGGAAGGTAAGTTTGAGAACGTTGGCTGTGATGGGATGAGTGAAGAGAGTATCGGGAAGATTTCTGTATGAAGAATTCAGTTTTCAAATTGGAACGAAATGGGAGGAGAGAAATATTTGTAGACGAAGCTGGGATGCAGCACAACTGTGGGGGCATCTCAAAGGGCTCAAAAATGTTTGAGGCAGTGAGTGAATGGTTGAATAGGGCATATTGTTTAGCGTTTGTTGCTTTTATTCACTATTGAGCCGCATGGGTTCTATAAAGATCTATACTGGCTGTCTCATGCCGTAAAGAACCCAAAACAAGTCTCAAGCACAATGGTGCATATTGTCCCGTATACAGAAACAATAAATCTACAACATCTATTCACAAAAAAAAATAAAACATCATTCACGTCTCACGTCACGGCCATAATTCCACCTCTTCCCATTGTTCATCACCCACCAGCGTCCACCGTTGTCGTTCCAAATTGTCAATATCCAACCGCTCCAGCTCTTCAGGACGAATAACCACAACTCGGAAATTACGCCGTGCCACTGGATCATGCAAATCATCTACCTTCTGACCCAGCTTTAGATTTGGATCTGTCGGACACTGAGCCCTAGGCTGACCAGGCGGAGGATTTTTAAAAGACCCTGCATCATTCAGCAAACAAAAAAAATTCAAAGACCAAAAAAGTCAGACAAAGAAAGAGTAAATAATAAAGAGAGAAAGAACCTACCTCTCATAACAGGCGAATGATTCGCAAAATAGCTCGTCACCAGCCTATCCCAACTCCACCTCTTCCCATCCTCCTCCTTACCCTCCTGTCCCAATTCTCCACATCGCATCCCCTTCAGAATCTCATTCCTAGAATTATTCTCCAACTCACCACCGTCCGGATCTCCCACCACGAACGCAACGCCCTTTATCCTCCACTGCTGTCTCACATCTGCTAACCAGAACACCCCCTCGACGAGACCCCCCGACTCACCAATCTGATGCGTCTTATCCATACGCACATCCGTCGTCAGCGAGAGATAATCACTCTCGTAGAAGGCGGGGTTCGGCCCGTCTGCTTGGGTGTTCAGGGCTTCAAGGGCGGTAGGATGGAGAGCGGGATTGGGAAAGAAGCCGCGGAATTCGCAGGTGCGCGAGCGCGGGACGGGGCGGTTCGCTGCATCGTAGGCGACTGTGGAGAGGGTAAATGATGTGGTAGAGTTTTGGGAGAGATGGGTGCTGAAGAGGGTGCGCCAGGGTGCTGGTGCTTGTCGTTGTGCTTGTTGTTGGGTCATTGTTGATGCGGATGTGGGTGTTGAGGTGTGGAAGGGAAGGGTGACATGGAACGCTATAGTGATTCGTCGGCTACAGGTTCGGGAAGCAACTTTGGTGTCTGTATTTCGTGGATGGGTTTGTGGTTTGTTAAGAGAGAAGTGGATGAATTGACGGGGATGGCTCGAATGATTATGATGCTGCGGGCACGTGTGGATAGCCAGCCATCTTATCTGATGGGTCGGAATTGCGGGTTTAGATCACTTGATTTAATTGATGCAAAATTAATAATTATTAGCTAGATTATTATGCTATTGCTATTAAAAGTGTGATCAGATATTCATATAAGCATCGGTACTACTAACAACAGAAAAATATTACTACTTCGCGATCTCCAGGGTTTTAGCACAATATCGTCAGATACAAACTTCTTGCCAGAACTCACTGGGCTCCGGCTAAGTACAGACTCTCGAAACTTTGGGATTGTCGGTCAACCACTTCTTTGGCCATTTACTAGACTGCATCTATGCACCTAGTGCACTGATCGCCAGCCACTTCATCCCACTTCCTACGCAACTGAACACCGAGAGCATTCTCTATGATATATTCGCTGCAATGGTATTTCGGTACTCATGGCATCGCAGCTCCAGTCGAGTATTCTAGGCATGGGAATGGTAGTTTGCAGTTTGCAGTTTGCACCAAGGGGAGAGTTCAACGTCTATCAGGCCCATGATTCGACTTTTTGCACGTTCTCTCTGCCAGCAACACATGATGGGTCTTCCCAGTTTCACGGAGAAAATGTATGATATATTGTTCCAAGCTAGAAGCCATGAAACATTTCACTTTCCGGAGGGTTTGAATAATATCAGCTCGAATGTACGTCTCGAAGAGGGTCAGCATAGTCGGCAAGAAAAGGTGCTCGAGCTACACGGAATTTTTGCTGCCGTCAAGCAAGACGACATGCTGAGCTCGCCAATTCGGACCGATGATCTGACTCTACAAAACCTCGTGCACCTCCGTGGGTTGTGTACGTGATTATGGGAGACCGATCTACAAAGCGAGCTCTAGCGCTGTCCTCATCAAAACGGTAAAGCAGTGTGTAGAAGGTAAAACAACATGTTTTCATTATTCCCGAGTGCCATGTATTACTTGTTATGGCGACCCTATGATCAACGAAGAAGACAACAATTACTCGTCGTCAGCTTTTCTAATAGACCTTGACCTTGCCATCAAGGAAATGAGAGAGCATACCTCCGGTGCAAGACGCAAGACTGGAACTAGGGCATTCATGACCATAGGGCTACGTCTAGGGGAGAAACATTCATTCTGGCATGACCTGGAATCCTTCTTTCGGGTCTTATTTTTTTTATATGTATTCACTACGACGGCCCTGGAAAGGAGATCGGACCAACAGACTTTGGCTGGTGGAATTACAGCGATGATCAGAAACTGGCCAACGCAAAGAAAGTTAATGTGATTACGAAGCAGATTTTGAGCAGGTTACAAGGAAGTATTTTACACCGCATTATCAGCTATTGGTGCCGCGGTATACCGTACCCGATCACATGATGACCGTTTTCACCACTCGCCCGATTTTTTGGGTTAACCACAAATGCAGAGATGAAGCCATACAGCCACAACGAAATGATAAAATAAGTATATTTTTTGGTGGAGTAGAATAAAGTATATAAAGAAGCTATGTAGCTAATTTTTGGTGTCGCGGAATCGCTCAGGAAGCCGTATTTGCCTTCCACGCCTATTTACAGTAATAGGTGTCTCTTCCACTTCTTGCACATTTTTCATATCAATATCTTCCTTTTCCTTTGCTGTAGCCGGCCCTATAGCCTTCTTCTTATCCTTATTGGCTTGTTTGATGTCATTTTGAAGCTGTATAGCAGCTTGTTTTGCGGCCTTCTCCTCTTCTTTCCGGTGTCTTTTTTCCTCTGCTTCCTGCATCCGCACACTCTTATTAAAAGCCCTTATTCTCTTTCGTTCTTCAATCAAGCATTGTTTCTCTTCCTTCTCCTGCTGCCGACGTATCTTATCTTCCTCTTTAGCAGCTCTAGCAAGGCGTTGAGCTTCTTCCTTCTCAGCCTGAGCATTACGGGCTTGTTGAACCTTATTAGGACTGTAGAAGATTGCATTGCCATCCTACGGGGGCCTGAAGTTAAAGTTGTAAAGGTTTGCCACGCTTTCGCTTCTTCTTCTCATTCTGTAGGGCGTTTTTGACGCCCGTAAGTTGTAGTTTAAGAAGAATATTCTCGGTAGAATGATGCATCATGGTATTATTTAATTTCCGGACCCTCTGGTCATAAACATCAGAAACCACTTGCTTAAGAAGCTTTTCAATACGACGCCAGTCTTCTGCCTTTAAAATAGATTGTGATGACTCACTAGATGAAGGTCTTTCATCTTCTTTTTTGGTAAAGCGTGCCAAAACAATCTCCGGATCCCAAGGATGTAAACCAACTTTTTTCCATGAACTGTTAATATTTTCGATTGACGAAAAGCCTTGTTCCAACTTGGCCAAAAAGTCTAAAAAAGTCCGCTTTAAAGATGGCTCCATCCTTGACATTCATGCATAAATTCTTCCATTTGTTACTGTATGCCTGGGAAAGAGGACCAAAAAGACCAAATAAGTGGCTGAAGACTGTGTGTTGAATGAGGTGGGTAAATAGCCAAAAGATTTTATTCTTATCACAGAAGTTAATAAACTTCATAGAGATATGGGAGCTGTGCCATCAAGAATTAGAAGCCGCCAACTCTTCTTGCCTTGGCTTTTGTTTCGCGGTCAAATATAGTTGTTAACCATGCGTATCCCAGCTCATCATTTGTCCAGCCACTTGGTGATGATGTAAGAAGCAGTGGTGGTTATTAGGATTAAAATACCTAAGCCATGTATCTTGAATATGTCCAGACACAGCCTGGTAAATTAGACCAGGTATAGAGATGTCCCATCGGCGCAAATACAGGCAATTGTAGTAATCCACTCTCTATTTCCATCTTGAAGTCGTTGTTTAAGCCCTTCCTGCTCATACCGGCGTCGTGAAAAGATTCTTTTGCCTTTTAACAGCACTCCAATAAGAAAACCTTTCTCATCTATGTTGTACATATCTCCAGGCTTAATCCCATATTCCTCAATCTTTCGGGCCATAAGTTCAAAATATAGTGCATATTTATATGCCGAATCAGCCCGCTTGCGTGAGGAATCAAGTGCCGGTAGTATAGTGAGTAACAAGCTTATTATTATGTCTCTTTAAAAAGCGGTACGGCCATGACTTTCCAGGCTTGATTCCAGTAATTTCCTTGGCGAAATTTCGTAGCATTGAATGGGATGGTGGAAGGCCACGTTCAGTAAGAGTATTTATTAATTTAATAAGCTCTTTTGACTGTTGGTTGTTGAGGAGAGACTGATTTTCATGATGCTCTTGTAAATGGCTCTGTATACCGCGGTGGTGTCTTGACAGGGTTGACCGGTTAACCCCATGCTTTTCAGCTAATTTTGTATAATTTATTTTTTCTCCTGGTTTCAGGGATTCTATATCTGCAAGCGCTTTTTCAATTGAGTCCATATTGATGGTGTTGTAGCCTTCTGAAATGTGTGCAAAAAGTCGGTGTGTTGGCGAAAAGCGGGCGAGTGGTGAAAACGGTCATCATGTGATCGGGTACGGTAACAAGCTACGCCGGGTCATTTTCCTGGAGGATCGCGAAGGAAAAGGCAGCGATAGAGGAATCTATCTTCAGATAAAAAAAATCTCCTTCAAATCACAACTGAAGAATCAGAGGTGCTAAGCGAAAACACATGATTGATACTATGGACGTCTATCCAGTTTTGGACTTAGACTGTCTATACACGCCCCTTCTTCGGGATCCAAGCTCCATCCTCATTGTCTGGTGGTAAGTTGGACGGCCTGGCTGGCGCCCACCAATTGGGGTTGTTGTGCATCTGCTCAAGCAGTAGTTGGGTAATGCCCTCGGCCACAAACGATGCACGCCATTTGGGATTTGTGACGAGTATGGAGAGTCATTTAAAGTCCCCAGTGGTACTGATGGTTACACTCAAGTCCGAAAGGGAATGATCTCCAACTAGAGTTTTATTATCTCTCGCCTCGATCGCTTGAGGGCGACCTTAGCTCCAGTTTATTACCTTTGCCATATCAGTCCTACGACGGATATTTTCCTTTGTATCATCCACTTTCTCATTCACTTTGACTTTCTGACAGCCACGCATGATTATGATTTCAAAAGTTCATCAAGGACCAATTGTTCCATTCGCCATCGCGACGGATCATGTTGAATTTCACTCCATTTTCAGAGATCAAAATAATGGGATCAAAGCCAAGTTGTTCGTCAATTAATCAGCAGGAACCCCAAAATCGTAGAGATACATTTCAGAGCTCCATATTAACTTCGAAAGGGGATGACGCTACCTACGCGATCAAACTCCCAGAGTCGATTATAGATCTATAGAGCGTAAAGCCCAACACAAATCGGCGTGCTTCTTGCGCAGTGAACACCTCTCTAACATACCTACCAAGATCTCGCCATGTATTTGGAGTCTTATCAAGCCCACGGCTGCTTTTCATTCCCCTAGGACTAAGATATGCCACCAATGAATTGTTTTGCCATCTATGGTGATTGGTTGACTAGGAATGATCTAGTGCCACCGTCGAGTATTTATGATTTCCTTCGGGTTGGCTGAAGAGATACGGCAGGTCTAGTTGCCATGCTATTATAAAACGGCCAGTAAGAAATATAAAAAGGCATGCATATGCGGATCCATTCATTCAGTGCACATTGATTAAAAAAAGCCAAACACCTAATAACCCCGTCATACAAAGCTTCTCTTTAATTAAACTCTTAGTAACCTGTCCCATGACACATCTTTCAACTATCACACCTAACCTGTTTGATATATTACAATTGCATCTTGTCGGCCTCATCATCGTAGCCCACACCAAATGCACCACCAGGTATCCGACCCTCATTCAGCTCCTTCTCTAACCTCGAGATCTCTTGTAAACTCTTGGCCTCCCGGATCATCTTTTCAACTCGCTTCCTCTCCTGCTCGGTCAACTTGACCCTAACGGCTTTGTCGGCGGGTGTCCGGTCTGCAGGACCTCCAGTTGGAATGTCAAAGGTACGTGACTTGATACCAACAATCTTGGACGCAAGAGCCGACGGTTCCTCGGCGGTTCCAAATAATTCCTTGGCCTTTTCGCGCTCGGCGTCTTTCACTTTCTGATAGTCGAGAAACCGAACACTGGGAATTCGCCAGATGACCCAGGACCGGTAGTGCTGGGGAACGTTAGCACAGTACCCCCTCACTTGGGAATCTCCGCATAGAATAAATGCGCAAACGGGAAGATACATACCTCTTTTCTCGTAATAGGATTCTCTATCAACACCAGATGGGTCAGCTTCGTGAGGTTGCGCAAGGGATCCAAATCCGCCAGCTCCATCATATGGTTCGATGTCAACACCAATGTGTTCAGGTTCGGAATGGAGGATGCCAGCGAGGGCTGGATATGTTTGATTCGATTGCGCGCGAGGAGAAGAGTATGGAGGCGGGGGAAGAAAGGGAAATTCCCCAGAGAGGAGATGTTGTTATCTGTGAAATCGATTGCATCTTGTTCCTGTCGTTCGATAAGTCTGGGATTTCTCCAGCTGCGAGACGAAAACCAGCGACTGTCCTACCTTGGCAATACCCAGGTTCTCAATCGCGGGTATCTTGTGTCCTATACGACGCAAAATACAAATTGATATCAATCCAGCTCATCTCAGAAGTGTAGTATCTATCCTTTTCAGGTCCATATGTAGAACGCACCTCGGAGATCTAATTCACGATCCTTCAATGGATTGATGTACGACAGGGAATTCTGGATAAGTTCGACGGTCAATCGCATGGCGGTGGTTCGTGAAGAATGTTTTTCTCTATCAGGGTATCATGCAAAGAAAAGAGAGACAAAATGCGGGCGGCACGGAAAGCCCGGGAAGACAGATCAAAAATAAGTGATCAACGACAACAGACAAGAAGACATATGAAACGAAGCGCCTTTGCGCAGGCCAAATCGGTAGTCGCAATTCTCCCAAAATTTTGCCAGGGCGGTGAGAGATGAGTCAGCAAATATAACCACGTGATATCAAGGCCAGCAATTCAGCATCCAAGTACTTAATTTAAGAATAGGCCGTCAACAATACTCGGAAATGTAAGGATTGAATCAATATATATAGGCATGACTAGCAGAATATGCCTAAGATTGATCTTCGGCTAGCTAAGCGTCGAGGTCCATTAATACATACAACATCATTAGGTATAACGTACAATACCCTCAAACCGCTCCAATGGAAACAATAAAGAAGCAACAGAAGTCATGTGCTCCAGAGCACACTGAGAAGTGTAATAAAAATCGCCGCCATTGAATAGGCCCTCGTAATCCTGACATGATGGCAGCTTTCTCCCCTGCCGACGCCAAAATGACAAAAACTCCTATAAAATATGCAAAGGGCAAAATAAACAGCGAACGTGATCGTTTTACAGCATTAATCTTGTGTCAGTGGGGTCGTGATAGGCGACCTATGCGGATGGGACCTAGATGGACTGCCAGCCCTTGAGCGCCGTCCGTTTGTTGTAGGCCCTAATGCTATCGGCGCTAGGTGATCCCGGCTTTCAGTCCTTACAACCAGACCGGCACGGTCCATCGCAGTCACACCGGAGCCGGCGATAATCCCCAGCCCGATGGTCCCGGATGAAGAATTGTCTAGACCAAACTTCAGGTTAGGCGTGCTACTGCCCCAACTTGCTGCTCGTTTTGGTGGCATGAAACTAGCAGAACCAGCATCAGAAGAACGGCTGTCGTCCAGAGAGCTTCGACCAGAATGCGGGAAACCTAGATCAAACTCATGGGCACCGTCTTCCAGAACACGCTCATATGAAGGGCTCCTTGAGCCAAAGAAAGGCAACTTGCCACCAAAAAGCTTCCGCCTCTTAGGATGGTTCGGGTGTGACGGTCCGCCCCCGCGGAAGCAACTGCTAATTTTATGGTAGACACGCACGCGGCGGTTTCGCCCACAGAGGAAAAATGCTGCCATGGCGATAATAAGCAAGAACAAAACGAACCCTGGGGCTCTGCTGGAAGAATGTTCATTGAAGATGGCATCATGCCAGGAGCTAGTATGAGGCCCCTGAGGGCCTGGTAAAAGCTCGGCGCTGGGATACTGGAAATCATTCGGAACACCAGCAACATTGCTGCCAAATCCAACAGGGAGGACTTCCTCCACTTCAACAGGAACTTGGGAAGATGCGTAGAGAACAATCTTCCCCAAGGTCCAGCTAACTTCGGTGGAGTCTATCTTATTCACGGCTTGAAAAGGATCAAGGTAGCCCTTGTTCTCAACATGAGTAAGCACCTCCTCGGTCCCGTTGTGACCAGATCCCGTCGTATCCTCCAGCCCCACGCGAGGGATACCAATACCATCGTGTAGCACATTGATGATCCAGGAAGCCTTGAAGCAAAGTGCATGGGCTTTATCCAAATCAAGTTTCTTTCCCCACTTATGTTGACGTATGCCACTTTCTATCGTGTCCCAGTCTTGGGAGCAGAACGCCAGCACACGATCCTGGTACGTGTTGAAGTCGTAAGATTTGTCTTTATGTCCCATTTCAAAGATGTCATGAGTCGTATGCCAGTATTCACTAATACCGATAAAATGGTTCACGTCAAAGTCAATGGCAGGCACATGTATTCCGTGTAGGAGGCAAGGTTGGTCCAGGCAGGGTGCATCCTTGTCTAGCAATGGATATGTTTGTCGAAGGCATTCTTCAAATTTCCCGGTCCCCAGCAGGTACTTGCTGTTCGAGTCTCCTGCCGCGAGAGGCTGGCCATCGAGAGTGGTTCGAAGCCCAGCCGGAAGACAAGGATCGGGGAGTTCCTTAATAGTATCGACCCCACTAGCTGCTTGGATGGATTCGAGGTAGCGTCGTCGAGCCTGGTGAACTCCAAACTCAAGCCAAGACGTAACAAAAACCCTGTGCTCCTGGGTCGACCCATCAACATTGCGCAGGCGCAGCAGCGTCAAATCATTCGCGTGTTTCTTGGCTTCGGTGGCATTGGGAGCGAATGCAATCTGCGCCGATGCGCCTCCCATGTCCAAGAAACCATATGTATGGTGACCCTTTCCATGATCGTGCTTTTCAGGGGCATCGAAACTTCCCAACAGGTAGTTAGTCGCAACCCAGCCATACAGACCTTCAGTTACCCCTGGAATCACTTGAATGTGAACATTGCAGTCGGGCAACAAAAAATCGTAATTTGCGTGAGCGTAGGAGCAGATCTGATCTAATAACAATTTTCGTTCCACGTCACCAAGTAGTCGCATTCCGGCAGTTGCGAGGAGAAAGATCGGGGTCTCTTTGATAGCCTCGTCTGGCACAATTTCGCGCGCATGTTCCAGGAGTTCTGCGAGGTGTTGAGGTCCAACTTCTTCAGGTCGATTGGCAAACGAAGACACTCCTACAGGAGAGAGATCTATCAGAAACTGGTACATGATCCTGCTTCATCGCTGTGTTTGGGATATACCTGGGTGGATCTTTTTCGTCCAGTGAGATTTCATTTTGATCACTGGCAACGATTTTAGATGCTTCGCATTAGACTCCTTCCGCGCAGCATCGTTGTTTAGCCAGCGATAAACATGCGCACGAGTCCCCTGTAGCAGCTGTTAGAGACGAGCGAGATAGTAGATTCCACGCCACTCACAGACGATCCTGCATCCAGGACGACGCCATAATGCCCTGCTCACGGCGAAATAAGTCGTCAGCATCTATTGACCTTGTGAGGAAGCGACCAGGGAGATTGTTACATTTGCCCATTGGAAAAAGTATTAAAGATTATGATTAGAAAATTTGGGCGATAATCATGGCCACTACCGGGCAAGTATGAATTGAACGAATGGAGAGGAAACGATCGGGTTAATCAATTGCCAGCCTCGACACCGTAGTCGTTTCTTAAGTTGTGAAGGTGAGAGAAGAACAACTAAGTGCCAGGGGGGGTACCTCGTCGTGACGAGGAGGGTGGTTGGGAATAAACGAATGGCCTTGCTCTGGGAGCAACATAAGACAAGCACGGGAGAAGATGGGGGCAAATGAAAGCACCGTGAGGAACCTTATCAACAGTTCGACAGTACGGTACCTTCTCTGAACGGGGTAGATGCGGAGGTGGAGGGGAGAGGAAGAGGAGGAAGCGGAGGAGAAAAAAAGTGACAGATTGAAACGATAAGACGGACGGCAACGGATGGCGACAGGATGGACGCGACGGCGGCCAGCCTAAGGCATGTATTTTGCCGCATCGGGGAAAGCGCGAAACTAATGGAAGGGTCTGGTTTTATCTTAATTACGTGTATTACGGCCCAATTACGGGAAATGATATGGTGACATTGGCTTGGCTCAGTTGGGTTAATAGGTTTGCACCTTGGAGATCAAGGGCCTACGAGTATGATGCCTATTATCTCACCTTCGCGGATTGAAGCCCCGACTACAGAGTACATACGTAGAGCATCTTCTTTACTGGTTCGAGTCCATCCTCAATATTCCACGCAAGCTTGACCAGGCATGACAAATAGCTACTTCAGTTCATTAATAGTACTTTGTGGTTTAGTTACTTCCAGGTGAGTCATTAACTTTGTGCAATGTGACCTTCCTTTTGCGATAGGACATGAGGTGCAACTATAGTGTACATGCTCTCTAAATACTTCCACCTACAAGTGAACAATACCAGTAGTATTGCAGGGCTAGATCACGAGGCGGGCCCTCTCAAGTCTATGTTGCCACTAGCTTAGTTATATATAGCCACCTATTCCTGGACGATTGGGCACCTTTCCTAGTTGGGATATGCGTCCGAATTTAAGAGCCATTCTAGACTGCCATCAGTCAGAGTGATAATTTTTTTTTTTTTTTAATTAAAGTAAAATAAAAGCACACCATCAAATTGACAAACTATAAAAGGCTGTGTAACTTTCCTGTATTGATTCGATACCGTTACCGATAAGAAGAGATAAGACATACAGAAAAGGTTTAAAGCGGGATGCACCCTAGTCCGATTGACGTAAGCTCCGACCCTTGAGTCCCAGAGACATGCAGGTTGGGCCCATCCGACGGTTTGATTGGTGCACTTGGCATCAAGGCCAGATTAGCAATTGAAGCTACTGCAACAAACTACACCAGCCAAGGTCGGGGCATTCGTCATCACCATCCACGATGCTCCTCTTTCACTACCACAGTGGTACTGAAGTATACACCTCTGAATACTGCCAACTCATTAGTATGTTGGCCTATACGCTGGATATTCATAGCTGATCCGTAAACGATCCGGACTGAATGGATATCATCTATTATACGCTAGCCAAGACAATGGGACGATATGACATGCCATCTACAGCTCACCAGATTTCACTTTCTGCTGATCTCGTGTATCCCTCGATTCGGAGGGCTCTTTTGACACCCAGTTGGGAGTGTTTTACTCCTGCGCAATGGACCAGTCTCCAACTTCCTTTTCGAAGAATTGTGCTTGAGCTAGCCGCACGATCATAGAATCCACGTCCACTCTCAGCACATGCCGGGAATGTATTTTAGGATAAGGAGCAGAATGTACTACACAGTAAGGAATGACTTGAGATTCCACACAACTATCAATGGAGGAACCTTCCAAAGATGAATCAAGCTTCTTGCAAAAATCCCAGTCAGGAACGATTCTACCATACCGCCAATCCCCATGTCACTCGAAGAAATCCATACCCTAGTCAGTCTGTAGCAGCTATCAGCCAATGCCAGTGATGAACTCAGGGCAAGCCCCGAGCCAGATGGGACGCTCCGGGCATGATTCCCACCAGTCCAGCAATGGTACCATCTCAAGAACAGAAGATCAAGGATGGAAGGATGCCATCTTGATCGAATACACCATTGATAACGATCATGACCTGCATACTTTAACATTTGTGTCATTCCTACTAAGGACGAAGAAAATATTAAAGATAGACACAAAGAGATTGTTTTCGCCTTAGCAATCTGGCACCAACTTGATAATGCCAGAGCCCAATCAGGAATGTATGCCAAGCCAGCTAAATATATAGGCCTTTTTATTGGTGAAATGGGATTCTCGAGACGGTGGCTCCACTATTATAAATATGTACATGTACAACTACAATGTTCTGCTTCACACACAACTCTATGGCAATTAGCAACAAGAGAAGAGTCATCAACAGTAGCTTATGAGTCCTTATCGTGCCAACAATGTAAACATACTTTAGCCTCGCTTAACTAGCGCGATTAGTCGCTGGTATAAATTACCTCTACCCAGCCATGCCATGACTTTCCAATTGACAAATATCAGAAGAATTTATCTTGCCTAACTAGCGCTAGTACCCTTCTTAGTGCTGTGGAATTTTACTGATAATTGATTGCTCCATATCCCTCCTTTTATAATGCTTCGTCGAAGTACTGGCTTCGATTTGACACCATAGTTAGCCTGCCTAGATTCAAACTTCTCTTCCCTAGTTGTTTCAAGAGAGTATCTCCCGCGTTCGTTTGCTTTGAGTTGCGTTTTCCCTCTGCCTTGTTCTAGACATTCAACAGAAGTGAAAGTAAAGTTGACAAATTACAAATTTAGAAGAGAACAGAAAGTGACGCGGCTGGCTCTATCCCGATACACTTCCCTCATATGAATATGAAAGTTACGGTTCGGCCACAAAGGCACCAGTTTCACTTTGTGATCACTAATTTAGTATTATCATGTGTACTTTTATATTGACATCTCAGGATTCTAGGTCGGGAGATCTTTATCGATCAACATAAATCTCGGAAGAGTAGTTATACCTCGCAGATGTCTACTTTATCGATTGCATCCTCCCCAGTTTCTGGCTTCCTTGCTAAAAAAAAAAAAAAAAAAGTCAACCACATGACAACAGGTCATGTTCGATTGTGTACAAAGACTGTTCGAGATACAGCAGATAGGACTGTGACGAAGTTGAATTTCTACAAGGACTTCGGAATATCATCGACTAGATTCGCCAAAGAAACTACCAATAAATTCCATAGGCTAAACTAGTTAGCTAGGCAAATCTTCTGGTATGCTGACAGGAACATATGAATCCTGGATATCCAAAAGCATATCATTAAGCAAGACATGGAAGAGGAACTTGAAGAGGACGTTCATCAGGCTCTATGAATGAGCACATCAAACGTCTGCTACGGCGTAGACCATAACATGGCAACAGATCCATAATATTGGTCTAAAGCGAGACCACGAACCTGACCTTGAGATTTTCGAACGTGCTTACATAGATTTTATTGTTCCTTGGGTCATGGGTACTTTAGGAAAGCAAGCCAAATATATTCACGAAATACGATCAATATGAGTTTCGAAAAAACATGGGTTGAGAGTAGGGATGACAGCATATTCACAAGATGTATAGGTCTTGGCTGTGCCTTCTAGACCTCAAGCAAATGATTTAAAAGTAGACTGGATATTTTGCCTAGAAGGCGAGTGGAGTACCTAAAGAATAGTATAGCGCCAGAATAATTTCTATTCTCTAGATAGACAAAAGACTAGAATAGAAGTCCTAAAATTGGTGACTCACCTGAACTAACTACAGGAATCCCCACTATCTATGTATTAGATAAGGGAAACACATACATTAATGTACAGCACAAGAAGAAATAATCACATCAACCAAAGAGAGGGGTATTTATTTATCAGCAACACCACAGCCACCCATATCAAGTCCTCCATGCTAAAACATACATTAAGAGACTATAGTTTGGAAGGCGTCGTGAGATCCTTTCTGCGCGTCTGTCGTGGCGATACATCCACGCTGTCCTCGGGATTAGGGCTCGCCGCGCTCTGAAACAAGATACGCCCAACGGCGTCGGACATGGTCAGAACGCGCGAGGACACGGTGGCTCCGTCGCGACGGTTTTTTCTTTACATCGTAAGTAAGTATTATACTGGACGAGAAGCATATAGAGACAGGAGACTCACCCTTCACGTCGGGACTGGGCGATGAGTTCGGTAAAGTCCCAAAGACGTCCTCGAGCCAACAGCTTGCCGCTTGCGGGGTCTCGCTCCGGCGTCCATTCGGGTGCGATTCGCATCACGGGCGAGGCCCGGGGTTCTTTGCCCTTGACCACAAGGATAATACCTTCCTCTGCGAACCGTTGATATGAATTCTTCAGCGTCTCTTTGTTGACGGCTTCGAAGTACGATAGATCCCCTTGATGGTATAGGGTTTTGCCCAACTGGGTAGATCCGAAGATTAGTAACTAAATCAAGTATTGATTAGTCACGGGAAACGTACGAGTTGTGCACTGTCTTGGGCCTTTTTCAGGTCAATCCAGACGTCCTTCGGTCCATGGAGGGGTGGAGTAAGTCCGAGGAGAGACACCGTGCCAAGCCATGAGGCTTCGATGAACGGCCAGACCAGGAAACAGTAGAAATCGTAGTTCTCGCGCCCACATATGCGTTCGGATTCACTAAGCTCCACGAAAGTCGGGACACCAGAGGATTCCCGGGTCACCGTGATCACACCATCTTTCTCCAGCCCCTGGAGGGTTCGCTCTAAGTTGGTGGTCAACCCCTCAGGAGGGAAGATAAACTCGCCACGGAAAAGCTGCGCGGAATTAGCAGATATCACACAACAGCCATGGGGGACTGCACCTGTGAAAGGAATGAAACTTGATTCAGCAGATCCGAGTAGGACATCCGTTGGAATGAAGGACCACCCCCCTGCTTGATCCGAGTGTACATGGCTGCGGATACTAACGCCTCGGTGATGAACAAATGTATCGTCATGTTGCGGTAAAAGGACAGCTGGAAGCGATCTACAGCGTAATATGTCGGCTCGACCAGACCGGCTATCTCGCCTACAATATTGTGTCCTAAGACCTCGATTGCGCGGTCAACGACCACATCGGTTGGGTGTCTGTAGAAATGCGCTACCCTGCCTCCTTTGGCACGCACGCGTTCGCAGAGCCAGTCAACTCGTCGGACCAGCTCTCCTTTGCCAACTCCTCGTCCACGAAGCGTCAACAACACTGTGCCTACTAGAGCGGTGGGCATCATGACGGACACGTTGTTGATGTCGGAGAGCACCCTGTAACCCATTGTCCGTAGAATCCGGCCCCTTTCTGCTTGGTTAAGTTGTGTTCCATTATTGAGATCGAACTGATTGGGTAACCGGGTCAGCTGCTGAGCGATGAATTCCTTCAGACTCCATGGTTTGTGGAACCGAACATCAACCCGCCCTAGTTTTAGAGACAACACGGAAGATGAGGAAAGAAAATCTGCTAGGTTCTCTTTGCGCTTGGGCTGACCAAGTAGCTCACTGATATAGGACCTTCGCAGTGTTAGCGATATGCTGGTAGGCGATGGCCCTCGGTGGGTGACGTACTCAGTCTCAATGACCTTGTCATACTGTGTGCTAACGGGGCATATAATCGTGTCATCGACACGGCCCGATAACACGCTGTCCAGAATGAAGCTGAGAATGCCAAACTTTGGGGACAAAAGCTTCCCGGTGCGGGATCTTCCTCCCTCGATGAAACATTCGAAGTTGAAACCTTGCTGCAGCAAGGTGTCGATATACGCTTGCACAACTGTATTATATAACGGATCATTTCCGAAGCTTCTGCGGATCCACATGGCCCCTGAGTCGATTAGCAAAATCCCATCAGCTGTCTATGCGGTCCGTCATACCTGCATGTTGGAGGAACGGTCCCAACAGGGGGATGTTGAGGTTGTCGCCCGCAACAACCACCGGAAGCCCAATTCCCAAGCGATAACAAATAAGCTGAAGAGAAACATAGTCCACATGGGACTTGTGGCATGGCAGGAAGACAATGGATTGCTTCTTCTGGGACGCCTCCTCAGCGACCGATCTTAAACGTAGGACTTCCTCACTAGAGACATGGATACCTAGTGTGTGAATTTCAGTTAGTACAAGGAGCCCGCGCCTCGCTCAGCATTCTCAATTGAATCAACTGACCTTGGTGATAGGCACGAGTAAGAAGCTGTGTAGAGAGATAATACGCGCCGCGAATAAACCGCTTGCTTTCCATCTTGCAGATCATGTTGTCTAGTATCGAGTCCACCACCTCTTTGAGACTGGTCTCGAGTTCATTCCGACGTTGCGTTCGCCGCTTGTCTAAAGGCCCCTGTCTGATCTCTAATAGTCCTTCCTTTTCTTCGACCGACAGCCGCAGCTCGGCCAATTCCTTAATTTTCCCCTGCAACAAGGGACTCGCAAAAATGTGTGACTTCATCCTCTCCGAGAAACCGTTATAGTATATTGGCTGCCCAATTACATTGTCGTAGGCGCGCCACCCAGTCCCGGACATATACAAACTGACCTCGCGAAGGAAGTCAAACGGGTTCGCACGAAAACGCGCCATATGATGGACAAGATTGCGCTCGGTGATCTGATCATTTTGAGATCCTGGTCCCCCGGTGAAACCACTAGGATGGATGGTGAGCTTGTCGCCCACAATCTCCAGATCCGGGGGGAACTGTTCGACGGGAGCCTTTCGCAACGGCATTGTGTCAGAGGCGGCGTCGGACAGAGAAAGGAGGAGGGCGGGAGGGAAATAAGAGAGCAGGCGCAGGTCAGACAACGCGGTAACCGAGGGCCATCGACGGAGGAGGGAGTACGGAGAACATAGAGTCAGGAACCCTGCAGGGCTGCCAACTGAGGGGAAGCAGACCCTGGTGTGATTGACTTTCCCAACAAAATATTATGGTCCCTCCGCGGCTTTTCCCCAGAAATACCTCGGGCGTCACGCTGACCGCCTTCTGGGAACAGCTTGGTACGGCAAAGCGTATGGTGTACGGTATGATGAGGTATTGGTGCCTGAATGGTATTGTTATGCCATGAAACCCTTACGTACGATCGACAATGTTGGAGGGGACCAGGTCCGTCCATGCTGCAGACTCCAGCACGCTCCAGCAGAGGTAATCAGTCCATCACGTATTGGCTCATGTCTACGAGGGATTTCTCCGCTTGAAGTCCTGCTCTGTCCCTATCGCTGTTGCTGTCGCTGTCACCTAGGTGATTGGCTCCACTGTGGGACAGAAGAGGTTGACCGACGGTGACAAAATAACGTGACTACTGTTCTTCCTTTGCCCTTTTAATTATCCAGGGGATTTTCGGAGATGTTTCGCTGGATGAGGGCGTTCTCAAGTAAGACTCTGTTGGCTTCACCTCGACCCAAGTCATATCAACCCAATTAACCAGTCAATTGATCTCAATCTAACCTTTTCTCTTCTCCCACAGCCTCCGTCTCATTGCTAAAAACCACCATGCGTTCCAGCCAGCACTCATTCCAGGTCTTCCGGGATGTCCCCCCTCTCCGACAATGGCGTCGACAGCTCCTGCTGGACAGGAAAACTCTCGGCTTTGTCCCGACCATGGGAGCCTTGCATGAGGGCCATCTCTCGTTGATGCGACAAGCTGCGGCGGAGAACACAGACGTCATCGTCAGTATCTACGTCAACCCCACCCAATTCGGCGTCAACGAAGATCTTTCCAGCTACCCACGGACCTGGGATAGCGATGTGGCGAAAATCGAGCAATTGAACACCGAACTAGCTGCTCAGGGCGCTCACACGGGCCGAGTCACGGCTGTACTGGCTCCGACGTCCAAGGTGATGTACCCGATATTACCGCCCAGCTCGGAGGTCGACGGAGATGGATCATTTGTCACGATCATGCCGATCTCGAGGAAACTAGAGGGCGCGTCCCGACCAGTGTTTTTCCGTGGTGTTGCGACGGTGTGTATGAAACTATTCAATATCGTGACTGCCGACCGTGCCTACTTTGGTCAGAAGGACGTGCAGCAGACAGTTGTTATCAAACGAATGGTGAAGGACTTCCATATCGACACGGACATCCTAATTGGTGACACCGTTCGCGAAAACGACGGTCTAGCCATGAGTTCGAGGAATGTGTACCTCGGGAAGAGACGGAGGGCTGTGGGACTGGTGCTTTTCAATGCCATGAAGGCTGCAGAAGAGGTGTACAACTCGGGGAAATACAGCCGCAGTGATATTCTCGATGCGGCCAACCGCGTGACGTCCCAGGTTCTCTCCGAGCAGCAGGCTTTGGCGCCGTCCCAACGGGCGCTCTACGAGGTCCACTACATCTCTCTTGCCGACCCGGACAGTATGGATGAGTTGGATGTGGTGGATCCGTCCAAGGGAGCAATCCTCAGTGGCGCCATCAAGATGACACCCCTCGAGGAATCGACATTGGGAGAAGACTGTGGCCTGGGCGATGGGAAAGTCCCTGTGAGACTGATTGACAACTTGATCTTCAAACCGCATATGTAGATTTTTGTAGAGTATATATGTATTTAAACCTGTTTGCATCAAGCGACGTAACAAATTCAAGGTATACCCAAATATCAATAAATCTAGCACCGTAGAAGAATCTCGAGAGTTCATATCCAATACCCTCTGGATCTCCGTGCTGAACCCCTATATTGTAGTATAGAGTATCTGAGATCACTAGGCATTAGCAGCGCACAAAGAGCATATCTATTAATTTGACTCTTCCCAAGTATGACGTGATCTGGGCATCATTCATATCTTAATGATGATGCATACTCTATCCACCTTTAGATACCCCCAGTATGGGTTTTGTAGACTGGAGGCTTGTTGTAAGCCTGTAGCTCCAAAATCATCCCCCCTTCCCCTTAGGATATATCTTGACCTTGCCTTTCACAGGTTGTGTCTTTATTATTCAACTTTATAGGACAAAGACACCCGCGTTTCCCCTGACAATGTCGTTGGAGGAAATCAATATCATGACACCCAGGATCGAACATACAAATCAAATTCCGCATCAGTGCTTATGTTCCGATGGTCCAGCCGGCGTCATCCTGCATATTCCCAGCTGTACGAATATTCCAAGCAAAACTGAACCCGCTCTGTAAACAAGCTAGCAGCGGCAGTGGGGCGTGTTGCAGAACCGCGCATATGCGACGTGTGGAGAACTCTTCACCGTCATGTTTTACCCTGATGGGGACCTTGAACCGCTCAAAGCCGTCACGGATTTCTTCTCAGCTGGGGCTTTTATCGACGACCTCATGGACAACACCACGACATGCTGATCGTGTTGGACGTGGCTAGCTGGTATCGAGCTGCGGTGGAGGGCTTGCTGGCGGAGGTTTGATTGGATCCGTAGACTAATATTCACTGATGCAAGTTGGGAACCTGACATGCGACGACTTGCACAGGCGGAGATAAACCGGTACGTGGACTACACCTTGGTCCTCCGGGGAATAGAAGTGGAGCAACGAGTGGTGTCGGTCGAGGAGTAAATTCAAGTCCCGGGCGACTAATACGTTCATGGACTTGATGCATCGCCTGATTTCGTTCGCGCAGTCCGGTCTGGCCAAGAATCTGACGCGGATCAGCCTGTGTGAGCCTAGAGTCTTCCGGTGGGCATTAGTGTCTTACGGCTCCAGTATAAGTGTGATGTTAGAGCTATACAAACTTAACGGAGAGTATCGAAGATTTGCGAGTACACCAACATCGTCAAAATCATCTAGCGCACGTCGAAGTCCCCGCAGTAGAAGGCAGTGGATCGATTAGTGAAACTGTTCCACGAATACGAGGACAAGTTGGCTGTTGGGCTCGAGCGTTCAATCCCAGTCTTGCTGAGGCTATGGAGTAAGTGATGTCTCGAGGTATGGTCGAATGGTTAGAGATGATGCCGCGGCGATAGGTACGCGAGGATGTCTGACAATAAGTAACAAAACCAAGGCTCCTTAATGCATTATCATTGAATCCCAGTGACCGGTAGTTACTACATATTTAAGAATCATCCAATAGCTCTACTTTGTATACTCCAAGAGTAGATAGCAACCAAAGAGGAAATTAGGGCACAAATCCAGGGTTCGGAACGTGATCGGCCCGCGAAAATTTCCTTAGCCCGAAACATACCCATCACCACCACAATACCACCACCAACATCAACTCCTACACCAAACTCCGACAATGGCGGACGACGGTCTCTTACTAAATTTCTCTCTGGGCTCGGAGATTATCAAACCTGAGACGAAGCTGAAAGGAGGCACATGGCGGGATCGACTGAGCGCGAAGAAGAAAGCGCAGAATCGGGGGACGCGGGGGCCACGAAAAACGGACGGCGATGGCAACGAAGAGAAGTCGCGTCCAGTGCGGAATCCGAATCATATCCAAGTGATGGGGGCGCGGCCGCCGAAGCGAGCACGCACCGAGGGGGAATTTGAGGCGGGGAAGTCGTCTCAGACACATCAGCAGCACCCTGGACAGGTGATTTCGTCTTTATTTTCGCGGAATCCGGAGCCACGGAACGCGGAAGAAGTAGTAAGGGAGGGGGATGAGATGAGGGAGGAAGCGAAGCCGAGCAATGCGCCGTTGATGGATGGATTAGATACATTTACGAATCTAGGACTATCAGCGACCTTAGCGGCGCATTTGCTGACGAAGATGGAGTTGAAGGCGCCGACGGCGATTCAGAAGGCGTCGATGCTGCAGCTGTTGAATGAGGAGAGCGATGCGTTCATTCAGGCGGAGACGGGGTCGGGAAAGACCCTGGCGTATCTGTTACCGTTGGTGCAGCGAATTATGGCACTGTCGCGGAAAACAACCACAGAGGAAAAGGAAGGAGAGGCGAATGTCCATCGGGATAGTGGGCTGTTTGCGATTGTGTTGGCACCGACGCGCGAACTGTGTAAGCAGATCTCTGTGGTATTGGAAGGTTTGTTGCGTTGTGCACATTGGATTGTAGCGGGGACGGTGATTGGAGGAGAGAAGAAGAAGTCGGAGAAGGCGAGGCTGAGGAAAGGGTTGAATATTCTGGTTGCTACGCCGGGACGACTGGCGGATCATCTGGAGAATACCCAGGTGTTGGACGTGAGCAATGTGCGGTGGTTGGTGCTGGATGAGGGCGATCGCTTGATGGAGTTGGGCTTCGAGCAGGAGTTGCAGGGCATCATCAAGAAACTGGATGCGCGACAACGCCCGAGTCGCATCCCCGGGGTGCCTACGAAGAGGACGACTATTCTCTGCTCGGCTACGTTGAAGATGAATGTTCAGAAGTTGGGCGAGATCAGTTTGAAGGATGCGATACATATCCAGGCAGACCCGGAAGACGAAGAGGGCAAGTCTAGCAAGAATGACGGGGAGGAGTCGTTCAGGGTGCCTGCCCAGCTCAAGCAGTCGTACGCTATCGTGGCAGCCAAGCTGAGGCTGGTGACGCTTACGGCTTTCTTGAAGCGAACGTTCATGAGGAAAGGTTCCGTCATGAAGGCGATTGTCTTTGTTACCTGTGCAGATTCGGTCGATTTTCACTTCGAGGTGTTTACACGAAAGCAGAACCAGGAAGCCGACGGGGAAGAAAACAGTTCTAGTGAGAAAGAAGACAACACAACCAAAAACAACCAGCTCTCTCCTCACGGTACCATCGCCTACGGCACGGCCTTCTCGAACCCCTCCAACCCGGTCACCTTGCACAAGCTCCATGGCTCTCTTCCGCAGCACGTGCGAACCTCCACCCTCGCTTCGTTCGCGCGTAGTCGCGATCCGTCCGTCCTCATCTGTACGGATGTCGCCTCTCGAGGACTGGATCTTCCGAACGTCGACCTGGTAGTCGAATACGACCCGGCCTTCAGCTCCGACGACCACACTCACCGAATTGGTCGTACAGCGCGTCTGGGACGGGATGGCCGGGCCTTGATCTTCCTGATGCCCGGGTGTGAAGAAAACTACGTCGACGTTCTGAAGCGCGGCTACCGAGACGGTGGCAAGGCGTTGACGCGCACCACAGCCGAAGAAATCATCAAGCGCGGATTCGGCAGCAATGTGCAGTCTGAAAGCAAGAACTGGGAAGAAAAAGCAACGGATTGGCAATTGGAAATCGAACGTTGGGCCCTCGAGAACCCAGAATACCTAGAAATGGCACGACGGGCATACCAGTCCCACATCCGGGCATATGCTACACACATCGCCAACGAAAGGAGCATGTTCAACATCAAAGAGCTCCATCTTGGCCATCTTGCCAAGAGTTTCGCTCTCCGGGACCGTCCGAGCAAAATCAACGTGCCTGGCCTGCGACCGGGCAAGGAGGATACGAAGAAGGAGTTCAAGGCGGAGCGTACATCAGCCTCCGGCAAGAAGAGAAAGGCACCGTCTGGTGGGCAGAATGACGATGCCGATGTGCGTTCTGCGCATGACACCACCACGGCAGCACAGAAGATGAGAGCCAAGATGAAGGAGCACATGGCCGGAGCAAACGAATTCAATCTGGCTTGATCGTTCGTTTCCTGTTGACATTCGACCTATATGTAAATAGCCATTGATAAGCAGCTCAATAGATATCCCACAATGAGATCTTTCCATCTTTCGAGCCAACAGCTAGCCAGTGGGTTCCCTGTACTTTATGATTTCTTTGACGCTGAACACTCGCCAGCGAGAACTCCCCTTCCCTTCTCGTAAGTTGTCCATCATTACCACCATCGCCTTGCAATTCGCCTTGCAATTCCCCCTTTCCATCTGTCGACGCACCATCGTTCATTGAAGCCAAAACCTCGGCAAAAGCAACGGCATAACATCCCTCCTTATGCCACTTCAGAACAGCCAATTCCTTTAACGTCCTACACGAATATACCCGAACTCTCGAGTCCCAGCCAGCAGTAGCGAAGATTCTTACATCCGAACGAACACGTAAGCTTTGCTGACCCGCATGTTTCGTATTTATCATTTTCAGTGGCTTCTCGTCAGGACTGACGCCACCCTGCGAATGGGAATGAGACCCACGTCCCAGACACGGAACAGGGTGTTTCACAAGCACCGCATCCGCCGAAGAAGAGAAGAAGTAATCCCTCGTAGCCGAGACATCAATTGATAAAGCGGGTTGCGTATGAGCACGGCAGATGTAAAGCAGCTCCCATTTCCAATCCGAAGGATTACAAGAGACATCCGGATTGAATGGGCCCCGGCGAGCGAAAACCATCACGTGGCCATCTTCGTAGGCAGAAGCGATGTACATGTCCCCGGAAGACGAAAAGAACAGGCTTACAGCCATGACCATACCTGTTTTCACAGAGGGAGGGATCGTACAGAGTCTTCTTTCCAGCGGGAGATGGAAGACGTCGATTGCGCCAGAGTCTAGAGCATTAGGGACGGCGATTAACACCGATGACTTTTTGGTTTCCTCGAGTGGTGAAGATCTCATGTCTGTGACTGCATCTGCATCTGTGTTTGGGGTCTTCTCAAGCCCCCCACCCACAAAAAGCATTGCAAAAGCACAAAAATTCAACGCATTCACATGAAGAGAATGAACCATCCAGGGCTGATTCCCCGACCATTTCTCACCCGTATCTACGGGGAGCGTCTTTGACAAGATGTCCTCATCCTGGGGTCGGAACTTCCATACGCGTAATTTATGGTCTCGACCATGACTGAGACAAACATTAGCAAGTTATCCAGTATCTAGAGTAAAATAGTATTGAGAATCTTACGTGTATATTTCTGTGACTCCATCATCCAGGGTAAATCCTTTAACTTCGAGAAGGGCACCTTCATGAGCCTTCCATACTGCTACTGGACGTTTGGATACGAGATCCCAGATGACAATCCAGCCGTTGGCATCGCCGGAGATCAGACGCAGGTTATGATGGAAGACATGCAGGCCATGGATTGGGGCGGTGTGGCCACGTAGAATGTATGTGGGGGTTGCTGGGGGGAGATGTGGGGGGGATGAGATGCTCATTTGGAGGGGTCAGGATAGTGGGTTGTTAATGATCGAGTTTGATGGCGGTTTTATTGTTTCTGGGTTGATGGAAGGAGAATTAAGATGAAAGCGGAAGAGGTGGACGATGGTCTTGGCATTCGATTACTCAATATCACGGGATGGGATCAATGGATCTGGAGTCGTCTAAGAATAATACACATATTTGCTTGTAATTCTAATAATATATGGGTGAAACATAACCAGCAGTGACTGGCAAAGTCACTAGAACAGCATATTTGCAATCATAAGGCATGGTATCATAGTGAACATCCCAAGGCTGATGATTCTCACCAACGCCAACCAAGACACTATACAGAATAAAATGGGAGACTTCCATGTTGCTAATGGCTGAACTGATTAGGCGCGACATAATATCCTTGATAAGGATAATTCTCCAGTGAGAAATCAGCAAATGCCATCAGCGGATTCACAACTACAGGAGGCATCTTCAACAGCGTCGACGAAGGGTCCGGGTTAAACGCCTGGTCGTTGAATAATGTATCGACTTCATGATGCACCGAGGTCCAGCCCCATGCTTCTTGAAGTTCGTCTTTGATGTGCTCGGCCCGACAGCCTGTCTCCCTGATGATACGGTCCACAGTTCCCAGGATCTCTTCCTGGGCATCTCGCGTTGACAGACAAGCTGCGGCAACGGCCAGGAAACGGATGCATAAACTGGAAATTCCCCTGTCTCAGGTTAGTGCGGCGCAGTTAGTAGGTGGTAGTGGGACATACCCATCTTTTATGTGCACGACGATCCCACAGATGTCATGCACATGACTCTGCTGCATACTCTGCATTTCCGGGCTAAACTCCGATTCCACCGGATTTACTTTGGTGAGGAGGATGCGCGCAGTATGATAGAAGAGTTGAGCAACTATCGCGGACCGCTTGATAAGCCTATCGAAGATGTAAGCCGTGGGAGTCCAAATGGCACCAGACACAAGGAGTAGTCACCATATTTCTGGAAATACGGATTTCGAATTGGTCTGCCAGGGCTGCAGGTAGCTAAGCGGCACCATGGAGCGCGGTACAGCTTTAGCCCAATGGTCGCACCACTCGTTATAAACGCACCAATCCCGATACTGTTTCTGGATTTGCATCGGCGAGTGCTCGACACCGTGAACATGTGAAACAGACGACCGGAAGTTCGCAATCTTGGCGCAGATGTAGACCATGCGATGGGTCCACATCTCCTCACTACCCGCGACGTTGGTCTTATCGGTCTGGTCTTGTTCCATATTCGTATCTACGCCCCATGTGTCGGGATCCCAGGCGAGTGCCCAATTGAAATGCACACAGTTAAGCAGCTCCATGCTGATGTTCAGCCAGAAACACGCTCCACCCAGACCTTGACTTGTTGCATCCCAGCGACATTCCTTGATGAGAGCTCTTGCGCCAGCGGTGTGATTCATGCCATGAGGGGCCAACATCAGTTTCGAGCACATCAGTTCGTAGGTGTTTAATATGACGGCTACCGTCGCGCACAGGGCAGAGTCCCGATCTGGATCCCGTAAGTGGCTGAGGAGACTCTGCGTAGCCAAGTCATAGAAATACGAAGCCTTTTCCTCTCCATAGGAGGGATTCACATGGAAGACATGGCGGGCCCCACACGCCATGAAGGCCTTTTGCAGCATAGGCTCTGAAAGGGTGTAGAACGGCAAGATCTCAGTGAACTGTCATGGATCAGCAATAGCGGAGGAGCAGGCCAACACTGAACTCACATGTTTCATTTCATCTGTTGAATCCATCCACGGCGCCACCTCGTCAACAAAAGCCCGCATCAGGAACGCCTCCTCCGGGTCGCTAATGGCCCAAACCGTTCTCTTTTGTTTTGCCGATTTGAAAGGAGAATACGACGCACACCGATCCAGCACTTGGTGAGGTATGAGATGGGCATGGCCATTAGGCGAGCAGTTCATACTTTCCGCGTGGGAAACCCCACCCCCCGGCTGGGTCGAAAGCACTATACGCATATTATATCTAGACGATGAAGGCGGGCTCACGAGACTGTTCTTCCCCACCGATAGATCCGCCTGTGGAGGAGGGTATCTTTCAAACCCGCCCACATATTCCGACGCTATATGCCTGGACTCGTCCCGAAAAGTGACCCGATTCCCAGAAGAAGGGGTTAAATCATGAGGAGGAGCCACTACTTGAGTATCGATGAAATTCAGCCGCACTCCGCGCCTACAGATCCTGCCCGATTTTCGACAGTTCTGACAGCGATGCAAGGCCTCGTCACATTTCAAGTGGCGCTCTCGACAGGTCAGACAGCCGGTGCGGACCCGCCTCGACCTCGACTTCCGGACCAGGGTGTCGCTTCGTCGGTTGGTGTCGCTGCCCGGGGTGCGTGATGTCGAAGCGCTGTTTGGAGTTGGGGCGTCGTCGTCTTCACAAAGGCCTGCTTCTCGAAGATTGGCATCAACGAGAGGGGTTTCAGGCACCGATGCGCTATCCTGATTGGTCTCCGGGGCAGGGATCTCTGGTGCAATATCTGCAGCTGTGATGTCAAGCGGGAGGTCTAGGTCCAACAAGGGAAAGACATGGTCATTCACGATAGAAGCCATATCAGGTGACACGCTTCCCAGTGGGAATGCTTTCCTCGAAAATAGACAATTCCAAAACCGAGAACGTTTTGTATGCCTCGCAATCAACCCTTCAGGTTATGATGCTTGCGCATTTTGCCGACCCGTGATATCCTATGTCTCCAGACTCCGCCAATCGTCTATACCATTCGGGTAAATTACGGCAGAGGAAGGTAGGAAGAGCGAACTGGATGAACAAAACGTGGGAAGGAATAGACGAGATCGGTGCGAATCAAGCGGTGCATTGAAAGGCGATGTATTTGAATCGACTACTTGGACCGAGTCCAGTCAGCAACAGTGCACAGAGAAAACCTCACGTGGAATAACACAAACAGACAGCCAATACCAATGATGTAAACCGCACAGGCTCTGACCGAAAGAGTGTTCACGATGCAGGGTCGGTCCTGGCGACAAATGGGCAAAGTCGAGTTGCGCCGAAAGATTTGCGGGGAATTCCGATCCGTGCCGCTAAACCCGAATTGGTCTAGGGCTGCACAAGTCGGATCTGATAAAGCAGCAAAAACGCATTCATACAAGGATTCGAACAGACGATGGAGGCTACTAGTATTCTTCTGCAAGTTCTAACTTTTGTACAATTCCCGGGGGTTGGATATTTCTTATACAATTTGTGGCGACAGCTCCGTTACAGCGTTACTGCCTATTTCAAAAGCCAGTACTTCCAAGTCTCGATGGAAAGCAAATAGAATGCAGATGCGGTCATCTTTAAACCTTGTTGCCCAGTCGAGGCAGTCGGAGTCCAAAATGCATGAGAAGCATCATTGCACCCCAGAGGGCCGCGGAGCCAAAGGTTACACGAAGAGCTGCAGCATACGCGCCAATCACTGCAACGGTTTTAGCAAGAATGGCTCACCAATCAAGAATCCATAGTATGCAAGGGAGTCCTCGGAGGAAAAAGAGAAAAGGGCTTACCTTCGTGTTGGTGGATAGGATCCAACGTAGAAATAGCCTGAACAGACTTGCGAACAAGGAAGATAATGGTCTCCTTCTCCGGCCCTGTTACCATCCGCTCGAGATGGTAAACCAGAGTATTTTGGAATATCCAGCTACTCGTTGCCACGCCCATGACAGAGCCCAGATTCCGCCACAGTCCCAATGTTGTCGTGGCCACGGCCTGCTCGTCTTGTTCACTCGTGGCAAGGACGGCGACCATCAAGGACGGAAAGGAAAATCCCTGTCCGAGACTGGAGAGAGAAACACAGACCATAGCAACTACATCAGGAGTGCACACCTCCATGGAGGCTGCGGCAAAGCCTCCAAATAAGAGAAACACGTCCCCGATCAATATAGTGGGCTTCAGGCGCTTGGACCAGGTAATGAGAAAGCCTGTGGCAACGCTTGAGACCGTCACGGAGAAAGTGGACGCGACCAGCCGCAGCCCTGATTCCGTGGGGCTGGCGAGTTTAACGGCCTGGAAGTACAGCGGCGCGTTAAATAGCATGGTATTGACCGACATGGATCCAAAGAAATTCCCGAAGATGATACTAGCTCGAGGCTGTTGCGACAAGAACGAAATGGGCATCACCGCGCGCTCTACCGTGCGCTCGTAGCGCACAAACACGACCGATAGGACGGCTGCCATGATCAAGGATGAAATCACAATGGGATGGGTCCAGCTGTAGATGTTCCCGCCCAGGTTGAGCCCCATGATCAAGGCCGTCACGCATAGGACTAGGATCAACGAGCCTACCAAGTCGATCTGCTTGATCAGCTGGCGCAGGGGCGCGCGTTCGGCTCTTGCTCTCTTCAGCCCCAAATCCCCCGGGGTAGTCCAGGCCGCGACGACGAAGTAGATAAAAATAAACGGCAGTTGAACATAGAACGCACCTCTCCACCCGACCTGGTCGCAGAGATAGCCGCCGAAAGCGAGACCAAGGCAGCCTCCCAAACCGAGGAACAGATTGATATAGGATTGGTAGACCCCGCGGTATTCAATGCGCACCAAGTCACTGGACAGGATCATGCCCATGGAGAAGACACCGCCGGCGCCAAGGCCGCAGAAGGCTCGAGCAGCGATAAAGCTCCCGATACTCTGGGCGGACCCGCACCAGGCGGTGGTGAAGAAAAAGACAGTGATGGAGAACAGATAGACGGGCTTCCGGCCGAAGGTATCGGAGATGCGCCCGAAGAGCGGGAGAAACGCCGTGGAGGTCAACAGGAACGCGGTAGACAGCCATGAGGCGGCATTGGAGGCATGGAAATGCGAGGTGATGACTGGGTGGCTGGAGGCCATCAACGTAGAGTCAAAGAACCCAATGGCATAGCCAATCAAGATACCCGAGAAGACCAGCCAGAACCTCACCGGCGAGACGTTTATGAAGCGTGATGCATAGCCGGTGTTATCACTGAGGGATTTTCTCCCTTCTGGGTCGGCGATTTCTGTGGATTTGGCGAGGGAGGGAATACGCTTGAGGTTGTGGTCAATCTCGAGACCTTGGGGGAGAGAATTGACCCGCGAAAGACTGAGTGACATGGGATCATAGTCACAGGTTAACACGGTGGACGAACCATTATCCACGGCCGTGTCAACCTCGCCGGAATAAGAGGGCAGTGATGAGGAGTTCAATAACGGGGTAGACTCGTCAGCAGGCATTTCATGGAGGGGAAATAATAGTGGAATGGAAGATGAGAATCAAATCTCTCATTGAGTCAGATCTCCAGACAAGAAGGCCTTGGAGATTTGTAGTGGATGGTTGGGATATACGCCGATGGCGGCGCGCTAATGCATGGAGTACTTGGCCCTGGGTCCACGTCTTCTCGTGCAATATGCAGTACTGTGTTAATTGAGCTGATGAGAGTTGGGAGTCGAATACAGACAAGTGTAGCTGATCCTCATATTCAGCCAACGAAAGACAAAAATGCCTCCAGATATACGAAAAAGCCACCCAGTGGGAAATAATACCAAAAAGAAATTTAAATTAATTAAATTGAAAAAAAAAAGAAAAAAAGAAAACCCCTGAAACACTAAACTAGTCTGATCCACTGCTTAACAAGCTCTCCATATCTGGCCCAACCACAGCGGGTTCCCTTCCGTCTGAAATCCACTTAGTCGATTGATCAGACGTGACCAACATTGTGTCATCGGACGTATACAGTAAAAAAAGCATATAAGCAACGCCTAATATAAGCAAATATCCAAGATAGCAACGAAACACGACGTCCGAATTGATTTTGCTGCTTTTTGCATACAAATTTGCTTAATACTCTAATATAAGGTCATTGCTTAAAATTTTTATCTCTCCCATACAAAGTTGCTAATATTCGGTTATAGTGGGTTTCTTTTATCCAATTATATTAATTTATTTAGTCATGTGACTAAATAAAGTCCCCGAACCTAGTCGTCCTGCAAAAATACGTATATTTTACCAAGTAGAACACCATACACATACAATTTTTTTATAATATCTAGAGAAATAATAATCGAAAGGTTATAGAATATTTTACTTCACTTTTAAAGAAAAAAAATAAAAGACCGGTTGAAAAATAACTAAGATCCTATCTTAAGCAAAATCCTACTATAAGCAAATTTGAAGTCATTTTACTTTCGTTACTTATATTCGTATTTTTACTGTATTTATTTTTTCACTCTTTATTCCGGAAGCTTTCTTATCTTTTCACCCTCCAAATTGTAGTTCTATTTACTGGTTTTTCTTTATAGGAAACTTGCATAGTTTGCTCGGTCGGGACCTGAAATTGCTAGAATCAATCGACTGTCTAAGTCACTCTACAGTATATTTTATTGTTTGCACCGTATACCTCTCGAGCAGTCATATTCTGGGTATAGTGCGAACTATGAAATCAGTCCGTCTATTTTGCTTCGATCTCGCCCACCACGATATTACCCTTTTCCGATGCCTCAATGGCGCCAGTTTGCACCCCTTGCTCCTCATCCAAAACTCCATGGGCAGCACCCTTTTCATGCTCAATAGGAACGTGATTTCTAACGACCAACCACGTAGGGAACACCGCGAGACCTAACGGGCGATTAGATCATATTCACAAAGTACCTTAGTAGTCCGGATAGGAAGAGGACCTACATAGAAGAATGGTGTTAACAGCGAGGGGAACCCTCCCCCCGTGCCAATTCCGAGTATTGAGCCCAAACGAAACCGCCTGGGATAAACTCTCCTGTCCACGGAGAATGCCGGACAAGCGAGCTGGATACAGTCAGTGGCTGGGACACATATCTGCCTCTGGGTTACGACTACGGTTACATACCGAGTTCGGAGATATTATCCGTCATCGTGGATACAAGGTAGTAAAGCCAGTTTTGTAGTGCTTGCTGGCTGAAATCTATATGGACTGGTTAGTAGAGTCAAACAGAAGTATCGGAGGGAATGTTACTCCATAGCATTATGACGAAGAATCCCTCGACAAAGCCTTTGTCGGTCCAGTCGTATGATGGTGGATTCGCCGTGTATTTCTCCTGGATTACCCAGGCATAGACCCAGGCGATTATGTGGACGACAGTCACGTAGAAGAACCTGACGATTTGTTCAGAATTTGAGGGGGTGGACCCATTAACGCGGCGAACTTACCCATAGGTAATGCGGTTTTTAACCGATGTTCCCTGATAATCCAAGAATCGGCTGATAAGTCCGGATGAGAAGAGACTCGCAAAGTTGCCTTGTATCGATTAGCCAACATATCCAAAGGCAATAAGCCTAGATCAGCACTTACTGAGAAAGCCGATCAAAGCACGCGCTCGAACACCAAAGTAGTACGTTGAAAAGTCTTAACAGTCAGCGCGCCAAAATACGATAGGTATAGGAGACGGAGTCGTACTTGAGCTGTATTGGTTAAAGTACGCTGCCCAGAACAACGGCAAAAGCAGAGCAACCTAGAAGTCCGATGAGCCACGTTATTGCGCATCCAATCGAAGCATAAGCGTACCTCTTTCCGACAGGACAGTCTCCAAAGTTCCAGCATCTCGGCACGCCACGAATTCTGGAGGACAATCTTCACCTTGCTTCCATCGCTGCGCTGGACCTTTTCAGGTGGCGAGAGAAAGATGGCCAGAGGAGTGCCGAGACATTGCAAAGCGACAAAGATGAGATACGACTCTAGATATATGGTTAGAGATTTCTCTATGGAACCTGTCAACTCAATTTAGCTGGACATACGTGAGCCAACTTTTCCCTTGTTCTTGGCATCGGCAGAGCTATTGTAGAATGAGCAAGAGACTCAAAATTCATAAGGACCTAACTCACTGGTTGAGTGCAAGAAGTATAGCACCGCCCACCAAAGGACCTCCGGTACGGAACCAAAGCCAGATGCTATAAATGATCAGCTATGGATTGCATGTAATAGTAGTGAGTGAATTGCATGCATGACTAACTTCATATATCTGCCTCGTTTGGTCGGTTCGGGATATCCCAGTGCTACGGCTCCTTCGGACGCCCAGAAAAGACCCGCCCTAGTATTCGGTAAGACAACGTCAAATTTAGTGTAGAAATACTATCATCACTCACGATAACCCGCATGCCACGGATCCAACGAGTACAAACCAGATGTTCCCCTAGAATTGCCTGTTAGTATGTTCACAGATGCGAGGCTGTCCGGGTTATGTACTATAGACGTACATAACGGTTATTGGTGTACAATGCAGCCCTGGAATATATACCATGAGTCGTATTCCTCAAAACAGGAGGCATGATAGACATACGAGTAAATCGGAAACCCGATCGCTCCTAACAGCAATGTCCAGTTCAATCCAATTCTGTTTGAAACTGGGCCTCCAAAGAGACATAGGATACCCACTATAAAACCCAACGTCAGTACTCGTTTTCAAACGCTAGGAGAATATAATCCGAAAAAAATGCACTTACTGAGAGCAAAAACCAAGGCATTTGCGGCATTGATTAGAAACGGCGATTGCGCGCCTCCCGCACCCAGACTATTCATGGCATTCCACAGCCCAGGAGCCATGAATCCAACACCGCCGATAACGAAGGCATTGAACAACGTGGTATGGTACCATATTCTCTTCTCCTTGTGCACGGACACATTGTCGGACAATGCCGAGATAGACACTTGACCTGCCATTACACCTTAATTATTCAATTTATTCTCGCAGGGTAACCCGATTCTATAGCATCGGTCGATGTAATACAAATCTCTGCTTCCCGAAAACAATCCCGGGAACTCCATGGTAGAAATAGTAGTTGTGGTTGTGCACCTTGCTCATTTTCCTCTGATCTTTGCACAGGGCCTCATTCATGGGCCAAATTGCGTGCTTGGGAGGGTATAGAGATAGTGTACCATCATGATGTTACTAATATTCCCAAGGTCAGGACTCTTAGCCAATCACCGCATCAACCAATGCTTGTGGGGATACAAAGATTTTGTACACCGGCTTGGCACGGTTGCCAGCGGATATATTATGTACTGACCCACTGAGATGTTTGTTTACTGCAGAATGAATGTCGAGCGCCTCATAAGCTAATTTAAAAAATATATATATTTTGACCGAAAGAAACCCGATACATGGAAAGACTATGTACAAGCTGATCCATATTCAGCAATTGGCATCGGTGGCTCGGTGACTGTAAGTGTACTATGGTATCTTGATTGATTTCAGCACCGACTTCAACACTAGGTATTATAAATGCCATTATTCAGGTACAACCCACTAATATAAGACACGAATCTGGAGGGAGACAGTTGTAATATTTTTATCCTGAATAAGACTTGTCCTCTGATTCCTAAAGATACAAAGCAGGCAAACACAGTGGTTATACCAAATTGCAATAGTTGCTTCCAGTTCCAAATGATTTCTGTTAGATAAATATGGTAGGAACATTAGGTATAGTATATTAGGAAATAACTGTTTAATATTGGGTATAGGTAATATTAGGCATACTGATGTGTTTTTGTTCACTTATTTTAGCCAATTGCCTATGCCCTGTATCTAGCTCTATTAGAAATGTAATACCTATTTTCCTAGATTAATCGATGAAATGACCCGAACTTTGTATGCTAGATAAATAGATCACTGCTGAAATATACTCTAATAAGGGGTATTTTCTGCACCTTTTCCACTGGAATTCTATGTATATGCATATATATACCAAGCAATCAAGTCTTCACTGCATTTTCCTGGTCCCGTTCATGAAACACTCTCAACGTTGCCTATCCCATCCTCACACCATGTACCTCATTGCTACCATCCATCGACGTCAGAACCCTCTCAATCTCACCGAGACTCTTCCATTTGTCTCCATCATGAAAACGAAGCACACTGCCGTCGTGAGCGCACAGGAACCAAAATAAGAAGTAAGCTGCCGAACTACTTTTTGATAGCAAGTCGGGACAGATAAAGGCCACAACCCCAGTAGGATAATAAAATGCAAATACCATAACATGATCACTCAATTCTGGCTGTCCCGTAGCAGTGAAGGTACCCTGTCACGAGGCCGACATATATCATGAACTGGGGACCTGATGTTAAAGGTCATCAGATACTCAAAGGTGAGTTCCACAGACGTACCTAGGCAGATCGTCGGTGCCTCGAGGACCTTTCAAGGGATGGGGATGGGACACATACACAGTTAATGTCTTGAAATACAAACCAAGCCCCATCCCCTCGACCACCCTCCCTATCATAAACATGGCCAATCTGGCCGCGCCGGCTTCGAACGTGGCTCCAACGCCAAAGACGGCAGAGTCAAGAGCAATCGATTGCCATCATCCTAGAAAATCGGCGGCTCGACCGACGATGAAGCCTATCACAGAGGAGAGTAGGATGTATGAGACGATAATACCATGCACGGTGGGTGAACGTGAGCCGAAGTAACTGACATAACTTGGCATGACTGTCACTGGACCGGTGGTGCTTTTGTCACGCTAGAGGACACATGTCAGAGTGTCTCTGGGAGATGAAGTCGAGAGAGAGAGAGAGAGAGGAGGGGAGGGGTGTTATGAGATCCAGATTATCAGCACCAACTTTACGACCCAATCAGGAAGCTACCCATGGCCGTGAACACATTGGCGCGGATATACCGAGGTGGCATCAGCGTCCAGGCGCTCCCTCGAGCCAATGCAAAAGTTACACGCGATCTGGAGTTGTGCTTCAAATGGTATCTTGAGTCGAAACGGAGCTGGACAAGAAAGAAGATAAGGATTTCGGCGGCGGAGAGACTTCATTAGAGGTGGAAACGACAAACAATATTGTCTGCTACCGTGCCGCTATCCAAAAACATCATAGTACACGCGTGTAAATAATTAATTAGTCCATTGCTCGCTTGTTTCCCTTTGCTGCATTAAATACGTGCAGGAGCAGATATGTCGTACCCGTGTAGCATACCCAAAACGGCATACTATACGCGCCAGATGCATTGCCACTAATTATGCTCTTTAGGGATACTATAAAGTTAACGCGTATGGATTCCATTGAGTGGCTTCATCTGGGCTCTAAATGGACATCATGAGTAGATGTAATATCATTTCAAACTTGCTGAAAACAACGTAGAATGCCAAAAGAATTCTAGTATACTACTATGCATCCTATTACAAACCATTGTCGTCTTACCTATTCTCAGTCAAAGTTGAAATCAACCGATCTAACAAAGAAAAGAAACGAAGAAAAAAGATGACCGTCATGCTGAACTTCTACCTGTTTCCCATCCTGACCCTCGTCCTCGTGCCCTTTCTCGTTGTCTCCCGCGCAGTTATTGCCTACCTTCAAACCCCCAAGGGCTTCTGGAAGTATCCAGTGCAGAACTACCTGTCCGCTTTCACCAAGCTGGGCTATTTCTGGGAGATGGGCTGCAAGCATCCATGGATAGAGGACAAGGTCGGTGATGAGCCAAATAGTACGCTGGACAGGATTGCCGGTCTGTGTGGCTCCCAATTTCCTCCTCTACTAAGATTGCAGCATGGAATTAGCGAGCTGCATAAGGTAGGAGTTGTATTGAATACCCCATTTCTGCGGTGATGTTTGGTCCAACATGTTTACCAGTCCCCATAAAAAACAGGCCTTATAGTTTGCGGATATTCTCAGTCAAGAAGGGCCGTCACTTTATTCTGCTCATCATCATAATATTTCGGGGCGCAATATCGACATGTGTGCACAAAGCAGTCAGACCGCCCCAACATGTCAGGTAACTGATGCTCATATCGACGACTCTCGAAGTGATAATAGCGCTCGAAGATAAGCGCTCACAAATCTGAATCATCCATCAATGGTTGGGGCGGATCTCAAATCCTCGAGTACACGATCCCTTAATTCAGGGCCATCAGCAGCACATTGAAAAGGCCTTCAAGCTCTAATGGACGTGGGATAGGCCGCATCTCGGAAACTAGGCTCCAGACTTGTAGACTAACAGACTCTTTGACTCTCTCATCCAGTGTATCCCACTTTCCCTTCTGGGGGTGGGGGGAATAAAACTCATCATAATCCATCCATGGTCAGGACTATAATTCGTAAAAACAGGTTCAGGTACAGGAACGGAGATGTGCATGCATACTGCTCAGGGGGAAGGTCAAATATATCCACAGATGATGAACATGGGAATAAGTTATTGCCATCTTTGATGTATCGGATCCCTTCTTCGATATTTTTTTTGGAAATAGAACTCCACACGGGTAATCACCCACCCTTGTGGAGTTTTAATATCTATGTTCGAAATAATTGTACAAGTTTTCCGACAATAATAAGCAGTCCTCTGCTTATCATGGTCACTACCTCTAGGCAGTAAGCATGGGCAGGGTATGCAGCTAAACGTGATTCAGGGATAGCTCATCTTGTGTTAGAAATATTTACTAAGATCGTGACAAACGACGAGAAATTTCTGAACTACATTCAACTACATCCCGCATATAGTTGGGGGAAAAAATAACTTACCCTTACGTGCCCCAGAAATGAGCCACTTTTCGACTCCAACTACTCCTATAAAAACAATCGGTCTGGCAGAGATGTGCGAGGCCAACTGTCGTCAGTTTAGACGAAAGGGCACAAAACTATGGGAAGAGTATAAGCCAGAGCATATGGACTCCGTTAACGAGTCCGAACCTATCTCTCTCTTGTTCACAGAAACAAGGTCCAGGGGAGCCTTATCATTGGTATCTCTTTGTCGCCCGTGAAACTCAAGATGGTCTGGTTTACCAGGTCAAGGGAGATGCTGAGTATATGACATACGAGCCTTCAAATGAACCTATCAACATACTATCTTCCTAATCCTGTTCAATCCTCTATCAGTTAGCTGTCGTCACTAAGGAGCAGGCCCTCGAGCAGCTAATCGACAGTCTGCCAATGAGAACTGCCAAGCTGGTTGAAAGAGGTATTGTACCAAGTGCAAAACTTCAAATGGCGAGATCTAATCTATTATGCAATCATTCTAAGGCGGATAGGTATCAAGTAACTGATACGCCGAAAGCAGAGGGGTGGGCCGAATAGCACTTTTTAAATGTTCATAAATCGTTCATACAGGCATGCATCTATCAGCATCTCCAGCAGTAATACTGATCAACCAGATACCTAATTCGGCCACTTAATGGAGAGTACATTAATTGACGATGGCTTCAATATTCGTGGAGTTTAATCCAGGGATGACTAATAAAGGCGGTGGTAGTCGATAGCCGATAGGAGAAGCCATCGCGAATGACTCAATCGGTATACGGCTTTTGTCCAGGCTTCATTTTCCATTGCATAGTCGAGTGAATTTCATTCCCAATATCTGTGTTCTGGGACTGTCTGTACGGTTGACTGAATTTGTCTTCATACCCACATCCATTTCACAATGCGTCCTCCCCTCCGAATCGCAGTCCTGGAATGCGACACCCCACCGGACAAGATCAACACGAAATATGGAGGCTACGTGGGGGTATTCACATCGCTTCTTCACGAAAGTACCAAAGCCTTAAGACAGTCAGATAGGCTGGATCCAGAATCTGGTCTAGATATTACCGGTTGGGACGTGGTGACGGCACAGGAGTATCCCAAGCTCGAGGACGTAGATGCTCTTTTGTTGACTGGATCCAGTGAGTGTTTCATCTGCCAACTCTCCTTTCGGATTTCCACTCATCAGTAATTCCCAGAACATAACGCCTTTGATAACTATCCCTGGATCGTCAAACTCGTCGAATATACAAGGAACGCGATCGAATCCAGTCGAATTAAAATCCTCGGAATCTGTTTCGGACACCAGATCATCGGGCGCGCTCTGGGGGCCAAAATCGGTCGAAGTGATATTGGATGGGAAGTTGCCGTGTGCGACGTGGACCTGACAGAGAAGGGAAAGGAACTGTTTGGGAGGGAGAAACTGGTAAGCGACACTTTTGATTTGCCTGGATATTGATTCCACACGTCATTGTATCAAAACTGATCGGCTTTCAATCCTAGCGCATCCAACAAATGCATCAAGACTTTGTCTTCGACTACCCCTCGAATGTCATCTCTCTCGGGACTTCTCCCCGATGTGCGATGCAGGGCATGTATTTGCCTGGCCGTTTTATCACCGTTCAAGGCCATCCCGAATTCACAGAGGAGATAGTTACCGAAGTCGTCACCCTACGGACCAAGGCTGGTGTCTTCTCCAAGGAACAGTCAGAGGATTTTCTGGAAAGGGCGAAAAACCAACATGATGGGATCGCGATCGGCATAGTTTTCTTGAAATTCTTGCTGGACGCATAGAGTATAGGCTATGACGATGCATCTTGAGACATGCGGCTATGATGTATATATGACCCGCTGTTTCTGGATAGATGGATATAGATAGCATAGATATTCTTTTATTACAGAACGCTTCAATGCTATTCACGCTTCAATGGCGATTTCCTCAATCATGGATTCCGACGAGGAACTTCGTAATACTAGCAAATAGAACAAGACATAACTCAGACATTCGGTACGCAATAACCGACAACACAAACCCATATAAATACAATCGCAAATTACGCTTCAACAATGCAAGATGCTATACACTCTGGACCAACCATAACCATCACCCCGTAGTATTCGGGTCCTCACGCTCCAAGAACGTCGGATCCATATCAACACGACGCTCGAACTTTGTCCACCAGTCCCTGAAAGCCTTCAGAGGAACAACGTCTTGACCCTTGTTGCTCGGATCCGACGAGGCAAAGCTGGCGAGGAAATTGAACGCATTCCCGATAATGCGTTGAGCCAAGACCTTCGTGGTCACCTCCTTTTGCCGTCTCGTTTGCCGCACGAGGTCTGTCGACGGTGTCGCACCAGGCGTCTCCGCCTCCAACGCAGCCAACTGTGGCGCAACATTCTGGACCGGTTCGATTGAGATCCCTAGCGTCACCATCCCGGTTGCTGCTGCGCCTCCTGCTGGATTACTGGAGCCCTCGTCCAGCATCTCGTTGTCATCTTGGGGCCCTGTGCGCTGTGGCGGTCGAACCTTAAACACCGACGATGGTTTCTCATTCACAAGGCCCCCTATCAAGCGGAACTCTGAACCGGGGAATTGGACATAGATTGCGGCTGCGGTGTCCTGCGGGAGAACCGTGCCAGGCAAGAAGAAAACGACAATCTCGGTGAAGGATGGGTCCAGGGGGAATGTGAATGCGAACTTTGTGGCTTGGCCGTTGGGCTGTGCATCGACCGGGACAATGTCCGTCAGACAGGGCCTGCCGGGAATGATGACGGAAAACATAGCGTAATTGAAGCGGCGGGTAGAGGGGCGATTAAGAAGCGTTGTCTGGTTTCAAGATCATAAGGGTATTATAGTATAGAAGAAGAGGCAGATATCAAGCAAATTGGGCAATTACTATATAGCCGGACAAACAAAGCAGAAGGGATTGCATTATTGAGCTCCGAGCTCTAAAGAACTGAATTTGCCGGGTCGATGATGGAATCGTACAGAAAGAAAGTCTGCGGCGACGATAAGCCCTTATCGATAAGGGCTGTGGGCCTTCAAGGCATCTTTACCGTTGAGGCTTGGAGGGGTGAGGTTGATCGGTCTATTGTATCAATTGCTATTTATTGAGACAGTCACTTTACTTATCATTAGCATTGGTATTGCTGAAATTAATCATCCGACATCATGGTGAAATCGAATCTCGAGCTGGTCAATGAATGCGACACGTAAATCTCTCGTTCTTGGTCTCTTCCCTTTCCATCTCTTGGACAATAGCGTATCTAATAGTCATGCCAATATAGGTTCCCATACTACCAGGATGATGCGGTATTCTACGCCACTCACATGAAGAATTACCATCATTTCCGAGTCACTGGATGTGATGCTGTGCTAGGATATATCCCCAACTCGGTAGTGGAGAAGTTCTTCTGGCCAGAGGACTGCTGGACTGTTGACTCCACGAATCACACCGTGACACTGGTCACTCCGGCTGATGCAACACCAGAGATTCGCAGTCAATTAATCGCGAAGACCCTTGATGAAGCAGTGAAGCGGGGCAGCTTCGAGGTCTTAAAGGGCTGGCGCAATGAGAAGTATCCGATCTACGGCCCGGGAGGGAAATTCCTTCTGGATATGGAACGGTCTGCAACTCCTCTATTTGGTGTAGTGTCGTACGGTGTCCACTGCACTTGTTACGTGGATGATGACGGCGGTCTACGTATCTGGGTACCCCGACGCGCGAAGACAAAGCAGACATACCCGGGGATGCTGGATAATTCCGTGGCCGGGGGTATGAGCACCGGTGAACCACCATATGAGTGTCTGCTGCGTGAAGCCATGGAAGAAGCATCGCTTCCTGAAGATGTCGTCAGGAACAATTCCACGGCTGCCGGCTGTGTCTCGTATATCTACGTGCGAGACGCGCGAGCAGGCGGCGAAACAGGGTTATTGCAGCCGGAGATAGAGTATGTCTATGACATCAAACTCAAAGCCGATGTTATCCCTAAGCCTGGAGATGACGAAGTCGAAGCGTTTCACCTATACACTGTTGAAGAAACCAAGAAGGCATTGGCAAATGGGGAGTTCAAGCCCAACTGCGCTGTTGTTTTGATTGACTTCTTCATCCGGCGTGGGATTCTAACGCCAGAAAACGAGCCCGATTTCCTTGAGATAATAACGAAGATACATCGTCGTCTACAATTCCCGACAGCTTCTTATTTCTCCCAGTGAGCTACACCTGACGGATCTTCTTTATTTACCGGAAAACACATGTCCAGAGAAAGAATGATATTCTATTTGACTTTGCCCAGTCACCAAACAAACGCCGACGCTGCAACCAAAACATCCAATCAATGCACACGTTTTTTATGACTGACCAAGAAAACAATATTGGACGGTTTTGTTTCCATAGATTTCCGAATACAAGAAATGGTTTAAAGGACGAATTGCCTTTCTATTTCTTCATGAGCAGATACACGTAATCGATTCTCAAGGGCGCCAGCTTCTTGTAGGGTCCTTCAAGATACAGCAACAATCCACCGAAGGAAACAAACACAGCCCTGTAAGGAAAACCAGTCAGTGGTAACTTTCTAGAGTCATAGGAAATGTGCCAAACACAAGTCATTCGGTGCAGCACTGGGCTTACATGTTTCCGGAAGTCGATCCTTCTTCAAACCGATAAACCTTTCCATGACAGACATAATCGTAGTCATTGGCCAGAGTCTGCTCTCCCATTCCAACTTCTCTCCAGCCTGCCTTTGCTCCGCTATCATCTTTGCCATCCAGGGAGAGAGTAGACGCGAGCGCCATCGACACGGACTCTCCGACAACACAGGGGTAGAGCTCTGAGTTGATATCGAGAGTGAAGCTGGAAAGCGTGTCCGACGAGGTGCAACTCAGCCGAGAAACGCGGTCATATTTCTGCGAATTGATAGCGGTGATCGTGAAGGTGTCTTCGAAGAGGAGTGGGTCCGACATGGTTGCGACCGTGCAACAAAGCAATCGATCAATCCAGTGAGTCCTAAGATGTATGTATCAGAGCTAGCAGGAATGGAAAAATTGTGTGGGAATGTAAACAGGCAGGTAAAAAGTGATTGAGAGGTGATAGAAAGTGCTTGGCGGAGTTGAAGATGCAGCTTTTTTTTTTTGCATGTCTTTTAGCACACCGCCGCTTTTACTGCCGCCCGGGACTGCCCCGCAACATGAAAAAAAAGTACTGAGACTTGCCAGACCATCGCTCCCAAACTGTTAGGCAGACCAAGATGTCGTTTCGCAAAAGGAATATAGGCTTGACAGCAGGCACGGATCGTGCATCTGCTCCTAATTCCTCTGCGCCGCTGCAGCACGCCGCATCTACTCCGGAATCAAGCCCCGGCATCCGGCCCTCTCCCGACGATGGACGACCAACTACTTCAACGGGAACGCCGTCACTAGATAATCTCCTTGCTGGGCACGGCGGCCTTCCTATAGGGAAGGTCCTTTTGATTGAGGAGAATGGTACTACGGACTTTGCGGGCGCATTGCTACGGTATTACGCGGCCGAGGGTGTTGTACAGGACCAGAAGATTCACGTCGTTGGGATGCCTGAACAATGGGGTAGAAGCCTTCCAGGACTGGTCGGCTCTGCCGATGCCGCGGACGATAAGAAAGACAGGCACAAAAGCGAGCGTATGAAGATTGCCTGGAGATATGAGCGTTTGGGTGAATTCGGGGCGGGCGTTGCGGGATCCAGAGGTATGGCGCTTGTTGCTCGGCGATTCTACGAGTCTTCCGAGGTATGGTACTGATGGCTACAGCCCCTACTGCCAATTCAGGCGACCAGTGTCCAAATGCACAGAATAGAAACCAAGCAGAGCAGCCAGCTTTTTGCCATTCATTCGATCTCACAAAACGTCTTACTCATCCTGGCATCACAAACATCGCTTACGTGCCGCTCGCACCGTCGAGAGAGCCCTTGTTCGTCTCGGTCCACAAACGACTTCAGGCCGCCATCTCCCAGAGCCCACCGAACACAGTCCACCGGATAGTCTTGCCCTCTTTGCTGAACCCCACGACCTATCCACCTGAAGTCTGCCAGCCCGAGAATCTTCTGCCGTTTCTTCACTTCCTCAAAGCTCTGCTGAGTTCACCTATGGTGCGCGCCACGGCCATGATCACAATCCCATTATCTCTGTTTCCACGGTCTTCCGGCCTGGTGCGATGGATGGAAATTCTAAGCGACGGAGTTATCGAGCTGTGTCCCTTCCCCCATTCGGCCGACTCCCTCACGACATCAGGGGCTGCAACAGCCCACGAGGAACCGCCACAGGGAATGCTGAAGGTCCACAAACTGCCAGTTCTGCATGAACGAGGCGGAGGTAGTGATCAGAATATTGGACAGGATTGGGCCTTCACGCTTAGTCGGAAGAAATTCGAAGTGAAACCTTTCAGTTTACCACCCGCCGAAGGAGACAGGGAAGCACAGGACGCAGCAGCACCAAGCGGGATGCCGAAAAAGGCAGATCTTGAGTTTTAAGATACCGTCGTTCAAGCATATAGAAACAAACCATAGAGATCATTCATTGCGATCTGATTCCACCAGCATATTATCAAGCTCGATTTGCTCAGACATGGCAGACCCGGAATTGGCCATTGTTCGGAGATAGTCTCTTCCATAGGCATCGAGTCCTGGTCGAAATGAAACACGGGGGAACTGGGAACGAAAACGATTACCTAGACATGACGACAGAGCAAGCCATGCTTCTCTAATCAGCCACAATCGGAAGATGTGAGAGAGCTAGGATACCTACCTAGGAAGAGAAGAAGAGGTGCAAAGAACACAAGAAAAAGCAACAGGAAGAAGTTCATTGTGACTCGGACTAGTGATAGTGGGGTTGTGGTGGGAGTTGGAGGTGAATAATCCTCATTCAGCGTGACGGTATTGTGGCCTTAGGCATAAATGGTCTGTGCGGCAGCTCTGCCCGAAGAGGAAAAGCTCCGGGGCTTCTTTTTCGTTTGCGGCGCCCACCGATTTTTTTCTTCCATCCATCTCCTCAGTTGGAATCTGCTCTGGTTTTGCTGGACAAGTCCAGGGCTGCATTCTTTTGTCATGGTGTAACTAATGGTAAGTTGCATTATATTTTCCTTTATATCTTTCCTTGTCTTTGAATGATTATATAACTACTATAATCTGTCAATCCCCTGAAGCTCACCAAAATTATCTCATTTAACGAGCACATGTGATTGAGAAACGTATTGAAAATGACTGCATTGTTTTACTTTATCTGTTATTCTGGCTACTTATCAAGACCAATGCTAACATTGCCACCGGTCGCAGATCTAATAATCTGATTTGGTTCCATTAAAATGAACTCGCAACTCTCCCTACCTATTCCGATCTCGTATATCGAGGGGAACTACTTTCTCTTCTCCATTGATGCAGTCACGTATTTGAGGCGAGAGCATCATATCTGTGGTGTACTGGCCGGCACTCTGCCGCAGATCCCCCAGCAAAATGTCTTCCTAGGTCTACCCCTACAGCTGATGCCCGAGGAGGCGAGGTTGCTAGTGGAGAAAGGTGTAGCTTGCATTGTAGACGAGGTAAAAGCTCAGAAGGACGGAATGAAGGCCCTCATGGAGCATGACCGCAAAAAGTACCTGCATGACCTAGAATCCCAAGGCCTTGAAGCTATGCGCTTGCAAAACAACCGCAAAGAGCAGAAGAAGGAAAAGCATCTTCAGAAAATTGCTGAGAAGCAATCAACGAAGGCGAGAAAGGCGGCTGAGACTGCATCTGCTGACGAGCCCAAAGGGGAGTCTAAGGAAGAGTCTGTGGTGGACCTCTTTGCAGACAACCAACAGTCCGGGCCCAGTCAAATCTCGTCCAGACGTGTCTCGACGACAGTCCCTACCAACTCTGTCATGGGGATTACTCCTGCGACATCCTATCGACTGATTCCGTCCCAACCGTCCGCCGATCAGCTGATGGCGTTGCCTGCAGTGCCATCATCGTATCCTTTGTTTGCTCATCTGCATTCCGAAGGATACTTTCTATCGCCGGGTCTTCGATTTGGCTGTCAGTATCTTGCCTATCCCGGTGACTCTTTACGTTTCCATTCTCACTTCCTGGTTGTGTCCGCCGAATGGGACGAGGAGCTTAATCTGATGGACCTGATTGCGGGTGGTCGTCTGGGGACTGGTGTGAAGAAGGGGTTCCTTATTGGGGGAGCCGAGAAGACCGAAGACACTGAGGGAGAGAGGGTAAGAACATTCAGTCTGGAATGGGCAGGCATGTGAGATAAAAACAAAGTTTCGGATTCCGTGACAGCCTGTCTTATTCTGCTGAAATACGCCTTCTATATCAAGGCACACTCTTGGGCATTTGTCCGAGCAATGCGTATGACGAAAGTCTAGCACTATGATGCTCGGTCTGTATTAGACAGATAATCAGACGTGAAGCATCAGTCGTGTATAAGGGTGGATCATGTACTCTCGCAACATTGGAAATCCCAATGCGGAAGCGAAGACATGTGCCTATACTCTGAGGTCTGTTAATCTCTAGACCTTAACCAGGCCTGTCAGAGTTGTAGCTTTGACGGGCAGCAGCACAATGACACATCATTTTATCTGTTTATCATGTACATAGTATACTGATCTAGGCCTCGATACCTTGAAAGTATATACAATTGAGTGGGCATCATTAGACAGTAGTAACGACTTCAGTATCGGGTATTGAAGCATCGTAGTGGTATAGCACTGCTACCTGAGAATATGAGCGGTTTGTTTGAAATCCGGCAGTTCGTGACTCCTACGACAGGCCATGCAACGATAATCGCGAATGCAACCAGAGTCAAGGTCTGATAGACATGCCGTGTCGCTGTGTCTTGCGCAGATACCAGGCTCATTTATCCTTTCAGATACCTTTCTCATATAGAAAGACAGCATGTCCTCTGAAATTGCCGTCGAGCAGTATTAATGATATAAAATCCCGTCCATTCAGAATAACAGAACGGCCCCGACTAAAGGTAATCCACATTCCGCCATTTAAACTTCTTATTTGCGCGATCGACAGGCCGATTCAAGAACTGACTCCCATGAAGCTCGAAGACGAATTCTTTCTTTTCTGCAGGATCGTTCTTTTCCGACACAGAGGAGGATGGTAAAGGCACCGTGAATCGGAAGATGGTCTGTTCTTTTGGAATAGCTACTCCAATCAGTCCAGCCTGAACCACCACAATAAAGATAAAAATAAAAACAAAACTCACTCTTAACTTCATCCCCCTCCGTAACCACCACAAACGTAAACTTCGTATCCCTAACCACAATCCCCCTCAACCCCACTCTACCATGACACCTGCTCCTAACGACCTGGACCTCTGAGCCATGGAAATCCGCACTAGCCAATTTACTCCCATGCGACAGCGGCGAAATCAACGCATCCGCAGGATCCCGCGTCTTCAGATCCAGGATCTCCTGCATGTAACTGACCCACAGGGTATGCAGGCCCTTAAAGACGGCGTATTTGCATTCATGGACGGGGAGCTGGTGGATTCCTGAGACGCGTTTCTCGCGTGCCGATAGGGGACGGGGCTTCTGTTTCCGTAGGAAGTATTCCTTCTTGCGGAGGCGGTGGTGACGACGCCGGTCGCGGTTGTCAGAGGGTGAAGGCGAGGTAGGTCGTAGGTGGAGGGGTTTTTGTTTCACACGTTCGGTGAAGAGTTGGGAGGCGGTGTCGGGGGAGTGGGCACGTGAGAGGAGGGTATGTGCAATGTGGGTGGACATTATTTAGGATTTAAGGATGGGTTGGGTTCACATTTGCAGTTGTGTACGTGTGCTGTAGGAGGGAGAATGTAAGGTATTGGAGAAGTTGAGTTTGTTATCGCGATAAGATCACATGGTCTTGTTGCCCTAACTGACAAGGATGCAAGATAGGATATTAATAAATCATGTACTACTGGGAAGTTTACATATCGTAGTAATCTACTCTGTGTGTGATATTTCTGCTGTTCCCATCCAATGTTAACCTATATAATCCGATGTACGGCCATCAACTGTATAGTCCAAAGCATGCCCAACTACATATATACTGCACTCGAAGCCCATCGATCCAATCCATGCTACCTTAGTAATAAGTCCCATCCATCTGCCAATAACTACAAGAAATTCATCTAAAGCATGGGCTAGTCGGCAAAATAGTAGCCGGTGCTGTCCAAATCCTCGGTCTATTCCCTGCATGGACTCCCCATATAATCCTCCTTATCCCATGGAACCATATTCGGCATAACTAACCCCCCCCTTTCTCCCTCTCCCTCTCCTCTCTCTCTGTATATATATTTCTATCAAAAATGGAGCAGGATTCCTTCCCTGGACTTCCACCATTTCCAACCCACGTGTCCACCGCACCTCTCGTTCGTCTCTCGCTGGAAAAACTCCTAGCCCACGACGTCGCTGAAATCAAACGCCTGGTGCAAGCCAGTGAAGAGATTGGGTTCTTCTATCTGCATCTGGACTCATCGAGCGGTGCGCAACTGCTCAGTGACGCTGACCAGCTCTTCGCGACCGGCGAGGAGCTCTTCCTTCTCGATCTGGAGGAAAAGCAAAAGTATGACTTTAGCGACCAGAATTCCTATTTCGGATATAAAGCGCAGGGTGCAGTTGTCGTTGATAAACAGGGAAATTTGGATCGGAATGAATTCTACAACGTAAATTATACTTATCCCTATTTACAAAAGAGAATGAGAGAAAGAAATACTAATAAACCAGCAATTAAGGTCTCCAAGAACGATATTCTCGGTTTAACCTCCCCCCTCCCAGCACCGACCATTCTTCAATCGACCCGAACCAATCTCGAGTCCTTCATCACGGCCTCCCATTCCATCATCACTCTCCTTCTCTCCCATCTGAACGATTCCCTCAACCTTCCCCCCAACACTCTACCCTCTTTGCACCGTCTACGCGCCCAAAGCGGCGACCAAGTTCGCTTCATCAAAGCACCCCCACAACCTATAGATGACCATCGTACTGCGATGGGCGAACACACTGATTTCGGCAGCATCACGATCCTCTTCAACCGGCTCGGTGGACTGCAGGTTCTTCCGCCGGGAGAGGATGCGATCTGGACGTATGTGCGGCCGTTGCCCGGGCACGCGATTATCAATCTGGGAGATGCGATGGTGAAGTTCACGAATGGACTGTTTCGGTCAAATATTCACCGGGTGGTTGCGCCGCCCGGGGAACAGAGTACCTCGACTAGGTTTAGTCTTGTGTATTTCTCGCGGCCGGAGGATGATGTCCCCTTGAGACGGTTGGAAGGGACGGATCGGATCCCGCCGCTTGGGGAGGACGATGTCGAGGAGACCGTCTTGAGCAAGGATTGGGTGATTCGGAGGGCACTAGGGAGGAGAGGGAATTTGGAGGATATTGATTTTGAGAAGTCTGCTGGGACAGAGCAGTTGAGTCGGAGGATTAAAGTGTGATCTAGTAGATGGGTATCAATTGCAATCGCTACGTGGCAGAGAGGAGGACTGGTCTACATGGCTCACTCCACTCTTTTACTTGCAAGACTTCTTTTATTCTGGACACTATCTAAATATCAAATGCGTTACTCTTCTCGCTCTCTTATCAGATATCGTATACTAGTATTCGCATTTCATACTCTCTCTCCTACAGCCTCACATACATTTCAGATCTCTGGTATCTGATACACTAAAGCTTCAAGGCTTCAAGGCTTCAAGGCTTCACTGTCCAACGTTTCCTCAGTTTCACCTCTCCTGAAGAACAGTATCTAAATATTTCATGATCAACTCATATGTGAACTATATGCAAAAGCGTTGTCAAGTCATCAATGGCGCTATAGACACTCATCAGTGACAAGTCGGGTGGGCAAAAAGAATTGAAGATTTTAGATAATACATTGATGAAGTTACGGAGGGAAGGTCAACCTCTGCATTTAATTCACGAGATAATACTTACCTATAAATATTCGATACGTCTGTATCTTCTGGGCGATGCAATTCCTGAGCCATGCATCCTTGGATCCCATATTATAAACAGCTCTGGGAAATTTGTGATATTAAGCACCCTCATCCAGCAATTCATTATGATTGAGCAGAAGAAAGTTGTAATTTTCTCCGGATTTGATCAGGCATGAATCTGTGCGAGGACCCTCTTACAACGATCGAAGGTGATGAGGAGATATTCAGACGCGCCAGACTCGATGGTAGTACGTCGAGTGCCTTGCACAATCTGTCAGTTTATCTCTTCCAGAACGATCCTAGGCATATGGTCTTTCCGATCTCGACAAGGGCTGGAGGTGAGGGTCTTAATCTTGTCAGTTTATCAACAGATGTTTTTATTGACGAGGTCTGGAACCCACAGGACAAACCAGGTCAGTTGATGTATTCCATTTACAGGCAAGGTGGTCCGTCGAAGAGCAGATTTCAAAGCGGGTAGGGAAAAAAGAATATCTAGCCACTGCAGCGTTGAAAGGAAAGTCTGAGAAGAGTAAACGAGCCCTTCCACCGATTCTATTCAGCTCCAACCACATCTTGAAAACGAAGCCGGATCAGACGTTTTCCACGGGTCATTCTTCCATAAAACAGATGCTTCGCCAAACCCCTGCAACATAGTGGACATGGATGGTTGTGATTGGGAAAGGTACTCAGAAAGCTAACACGGCTCGTGAAATGGACTTGCTGTCTCGTTCGGAGCGTGTGAGAACGAACATTTTCAATGAAGGAATCGACACCAGTGCTAGGCTCTCTTCTATCTACAAGGAATCTATTTCAGTGAATCTTTCTCAAGCAGACCGCCGAATTGGAAAAGAGCGGACGGTAATTATCCATGGCTATGAAGCTACTAAAATAGTCTATCTCCCGATGCTGGTTTCCAGTTAAATGTTGAAAGCTTAGCCACGGTTACATCCCCTAGCTCAAAACATAAGATGTTGCATGAAGTCGTGAGTCATATCCGCAGGTTTTCAGTCCGAAGCTGATGTTCTAAACCCGCTTTTTATGTCACAGACTTAATCCTGTAGACTGTTAAATATGTCCCTATGCTTTTTATGAGAAATGTTTAGAGCGACTTGTGGGAAAGCATAACCACAGGAAGAAAATATGCCAGCACCACTATGAAAAGAAAGCCTCGCAGGCGGGAGGTCTGCTATTTGTTGTATACGATGAGAAGGATGTCTCCAATGGTCGCAGGCCCATTTCGTAGGAAACAACCAGGCCTATGAGGAGCTAGGATACTATCCACGCAATGTGTTCGTCATTCAGTGTGTAAAATATTCGACATGGGAAGGTAAAACGATACCTTGAGGACGAGACGATTGTGATAAACGTGCTAGAGTCGTATTGAGACATCAGATTGGAGGGTTAACATGATGGTACTGGATTTCAAAGGTACCAAGGAGACTGTTTGTTAGTCGTGGACAAGTTAGTCGAGTCACATGCAGCACATGGTCTGAGTTGATGCATGTAACCAGATTGGTTTATTCAATCAGGCTAGTTCAAGAATGTGGAGAATGTTTGAAAAGTACAAAAAAGGATGAGAGCAGACAGAGCTCGATTCCAGCAACAGTGGCAAGGGAGATAATGCCACGGCCAGAATGGCATGCTGCAGTCGGCTATCTCAGGCAGGTGGACCTTGCATCGATGCGACTAGCTGCATATCAAGACGCAAACCGCATACGTCGCCAATGCATTGACGGGGCCAATCCCGTTTGCTTCCACTCTAGCGGGACATGGTTGCCCTTCTGCATTGGTGATTTTGGAAAGTGTTGATTGTGGGATTTGTGGCAATTGTATCACACAGTATATACCATTATACCAATATGTAACTAAGTATACTTCTGTACTTTACTTGGTATTGTAGGATTTGAGGTTTTCTCTTTTTCTTTCCTTTCCCTTTCCCTTTCCCTTTCCCTTTTCTTTTCTTTTCTTTTCTTTTTCTTTTTCTTTTTCTTTTCTTTTTGTTTCTTTTCCCCCTCAATTTCCACCGATGGGTCGAACTGTATAGCAACATTGAATGTAACCGCCTCAAGTACGATACTGCCAAATGTTCTTATAATTAACTTTACATATAGTTTAAGACATTGAATTGAAATCAACATACTCTGTATATTTATGTAAAGAGCCTTGCTTATAACTTAAAAACCAATATATCAATGGTCAACACAATACTTATAGTACAGCACAACACATCTATACACCTCCATAGTGGTACAACTGCACTTTCAACCTGATAACAAGGGCCAGATAGCGAATTCGTTAGTCATACAGACAGACAACATTAGAAACAGGAAAAACCCTACTATAATTTATACTCCAAATCTTAGTAGCTGAGGGCAACCAAGGTTCCACCACCGCGGACCGGGCCGGCCGATACATGCCTTGGTTCATGGTACTGGGACTCTAGTATATGTAAAGATAGACATAGAAGCCCTCTGCAAAGTATTTGTCAGAGTATACGTCACATGTAACCATCCTGAGCATCCCATAATAATACGTAGTAGCATAAATTAGAAAGTGCGGAGAACCGTCTACTTCTTCTACCGTCTGACAATTCGTACTTGTGACAGATATCCAAGTACCAATAATGAGCCAATGAAAATTAATGTCTCCCCACAGGTAGTATCAGTCAAGTGTCAGTCAGCCCAATGATATCGAAATTAGGGTAAGGAAGGCCCCTCGATATCCTCCGTAGCAACTTTCCTCGGAAAGTTATCCATTGGCCCCTCACGCCACTCGTGCCAGACTTATGCTACAAGGCTGAGATGGCGGGGTGCTGCTATATTGTAGCGTGCATCTGGTCTCACGGCTCGGAGGGAATTCCAAAATAGGTAGGAGACTTACATACTATCATTTTACATTATTTATATTATTAATATATTAATACTAATATTAATATACTTACCGTCTGCTTGTTTTAGCAGCAACGGTCGCGAACCTAATCTATCTTTATACTATTGTTAGTTCTATATACAATTATGTAGACTATATAGATAGGTAGATCAGATACAAGCTAGATCAATATGACTAGCTACCTACAAAACTTAAATTAACTACAGTACTCCGTACTTCTTACTCCACGCTCCCTCCCACGGAGTATACCAACGATAGGATACAGATAAAACACGTCACCTGATCCACACTGCTGGGTGGCTTGATCCCAGCTGCAATACCAAGTAGATCCACTTGGCACGTCAACCTTAGCGTCGGTTCGAAATTCTACCAACCTATCCAGTGTACTCGATACTTCGTACCCTTGCGAAGTGTTTAAGAATTGATAAGTACTAGTACGACAAATCATCCGACCCGCCCATCCGGGACGGAAGCTAGACCGTCAGAGAAAGTACCTACATATTACGAGTCAGGGCCCGTACGCAACTCCGTGGTGATAGGATAGTACAGTACAGTGTTATATTACTCTGTAGTAGGACTTTGTTCTGGCTATTATCTACCTACATATCATACAATATAGGTGTACTACGTACTTATGTAAGGAGTGACAAGATGTTAGGACTTGCTATGCGCCCTGCCGAAAACAGTAGAGATTTATGAGTCTGGATTATCATAGGGTAATGGGGGCTTGCTCGTACTGTCTGTTAGATGGTACGCGTCATTTATCATTTACCAATTCGTCATTATTTTATAGCTTATATAGACTAGGTAGTGTGTTATAGGTGCTTGTATCTATTGGTAGTCGTATGTGTGCGGTATTTTATACCCCTATCTATATAGTAGTGGGAGTGTTGGATCATGCCACTAGAATGGAGTTTTGTCCCTTCCGAATATTTACCTAGATCAATACTATCCTGATTATCCTCATCAAACCATCGTGATGAAGTAGGACAGTAGCTTAGCATACTGGCAGTACATCATTAGTCCAGACCATCTACAGTTGAAGACTACCACATACTATCTCTATCATTGGTTCAGCTGAATACCACCTGGCTTGTGGTGGTTGCAGCAGAACGTTGTTTGCTGCGTTGGGCTTCATTCGAAGTACCTATCTAGCTACCCAAGGTACTTACTGTAAGCTAGCGTACTGCTAAGGTTCCATCATTGGTGTTACACTGCAGAAACATGAGAAAACTAAATGGATCTCAAGTGAGTGGATCATAGTAGGACATTTACAGATGGTTCAATCTTAGAGCAAGGAAACATGATCTTATTCTGTGGGTTAGAATCGTGACCATAAGGAGTAAAAATGAGCACTCTTATGTCCATCAGCAAAAGAAAAGAAATAAGAAAGAAAAGAAACTCAAATGTCAACGATCACCCCGTGAGTTTGACACTCGCCAGTCGCTCTTCGACCTTTCGGACAATCTCCGGATCTGGCTCTAGTTTCTGCTTCTGGGGTCTAAAGATGGTTAATCATGAACACCCAATTATAGGAGTTACATACGGAATCCGAATGCTACTTGGCCCTCTCTCCTGGCCACAATTCGCGCATATTTTTTGGCCTGATCTGTACAAAGTCGAGCACACATGGCAATAATATCGCACCCTTTGCCGTGGCTTTCTCCAGGTTCGTGCGGGTGGCTCCACAGGAGGTTCAGCATCTCCAGGATATCCATCTGGATATTTATCCAGTTTGGGTCTAGATTAGGTAGTTAGTTAAAGCATCTCACTATGAATATATGACTAGGCTCATACGGGTCTCGAGGGCATTTCTTGCATCGAACATGTTCGCAACCACTACACTCTTTGGAATGCGCAGCGAATGTAGCATGGCAGCGATGACAAGTCCGTCGCACTCTCTGCCGCACCGGCTTTCGAATGAGATCCTGGCCTCCGGTGCGCGATGGAAGCGTGAGAACCGGTTCCTTTGTTTTGCGTCGCGGAGCAACAGCAGCAGTAGTAGCAGTAAGTCTCTGGCTCCGACCCTGGCTCTGACTCTTCTGGGCAAGTATGGCCCGGAGAGCAGCTTCTGTATGATCCTTGGGCTTGGTTGATGGATGCCGAGGACAGCTCTTGCAGCGGACATGCTGGCAATTAGCACAGGTCTTATCAGGACCGAAGACCGTCTGGCAGCGGTGGCAGCTACGGCGAACCCTCATGCGAATCGGCTTGGCCACGCGCAGGACTGTCGTGTCGGCGGACGATTTCCAGTCTCCCATTTCCAGGTTCAGGCCGTATTTAGCAAAGAGGGCGCGGGTTTTCTCCTCCTGAATGGAACCCCAGTGGGAGATGACAAATGGCGCATTAGATGAGATGGGGGGAGGTTTCTGGGCTGGAGCAGTTGGGTTCTGAGGGCTGTAGTAGGTTAGTTTGAGGGAATGATAGAGTAAGAGACAGAGAGGGGAAGCACATACGCTGCAGCTTGGCTTGGTCCAGAATTTCCAGATTCCGGCACTTTGGACCCATCGCTCGACTTAACGGTCGAACTCCTTCGTAACACGGCCCTCATGCGGTTGATATACTTGGCCAGACCTTCCTGTTTCGCCTCACCGGGCGGGTTGGGTTTCAGTTTACCTGGCATGATTCTGAATACATAAGACCGTGTGATATTGAATAGGTTTAGACGAGATAACGAGGTACCAGTGTGGAAAGGTGAATATTATTGATGGTTCCAATTGACCTTCAGCGTTGGAATGAGTATCCTGCGCACTTGACGATACTAAATATTATCGTGCATACCTCGAGCGGAGGGAACGGAACAGCATTTATGAACAATTAGCTGTTGGGGACCAATAATTCCAACCGGTGGAACTGGATGATGTATATCGACTGCAATCGCGGTAAGAAAAAAAACCAACCGCTTGAGTCGAACAACAGTGTTAAGTAGTGGCCAATAAATATGCTAGGGGACGTGCCCCGAAACCAGAGACCTGGGACGCCCACCGAGAGGGTGAAGAGCAAAACCCACCTGGCAGCACGCAGCACGCAGGAATCCGGGGCTGATTGGGCGAGTGGCGGTCAGAGCACGGTCGGTAGGTCCACTGGATGGATCAAAATGAGAGACGGTTGAGTAGATGGACGAGAGAGCCAGACAGTCGGCTAAGTAGGATGATAAATACAAGTAATAGGCTTCTGGGGACAAGCAAGAGGGGGTGGGTATGGAGACTAAAGAGTGGCACATGGTTTATGAGGTTGGTTGGTTGGGTGGGTGATTTGATTTACATTTGAATTGTATTCAATGACTGTAAGCTTTGCAACTGACTCGACTGTATCTACTATGTATTCTATAGTACAGGAGCTCTTTGGCCAAAGTACAAAGCATTGAGACTATTCCGATTATTAAATCCAAAGATTCGACATCCTGCCGGGAACTCCGCTTCTTCGCTTGTAAAACAAAGCCAAAAAAAGAAAAAGTAGACCAACAGTACGGAGGAGATATCCTAAAGTAAAAGTTCCACCCCGGTACCGCTCCGTACCGTGGAAACTGCATGATCCGTGCGGAAATTACAGAACGTACCATAGAATATTACCATAGACCGCTGGGGATCACCACTCGTATTCATTCACAGTTCCGCTCCGCATCCGAGTCCAGGCCAACCTCAGAGTTGGCTGCAATCATTATGGTGTCTCTTAATATTTACCTCCATGAACAGACATAGTAGACCTCTAACCGGTCCATACTTACTTTCTCATCTTGTTCAAGCGTTATAGATGTGCAGAGTATGTACGTATGCCGTACAGTATTTCGATATTAAGTACCTACCGATGCAATTAGGGTGGTATTCAAAATTGCCTTCATGAACAGCAAGGATCTTGGATCCCGGGACTACGTACTTACATGGGAATAGCCGGGCTAATTAAGTGGACGCCACCATGCAGAACACTCCGTACCAGTCAATGCCTCAGTGGCCGGGCAGCTAACTTGCTAAGGGGAGGGATCGTCGCGATCAGTTGATTCTCCTGAAGGGTTCATGAATAATGAAGAGTCTTCCGGTGGTTTGGTAGCCATGAATATCCAGTATGTCGCTCCTGCATCAAGGTCTAGACTGGATCATCTGATGAACCCTCGGTAATATAATCAATACTACCGACTGTATCCCGTCCTACAATCCAATACCGTCCTACTATTCCATAATCATTGAATTAAAAGGATGAAATAGCCTGACAGGTGGATTGGTGGATTTGCATCCCGGCTCGGTAACGCCGTAGAAGGTAATTTGTGTCCAGAGTTATGGATACCCTCCCAATGGAATTAATTATGCTCGGATAGGATGGACTCGAGTTCTTGGAGGGGTGAAAGATAAAAAGAAATATGAGAACAGTATGCCGGCCCATCCGGGTCAATCTGACACCATGTTCATCTTTATTATTAACTACTGAAGCATGGTATCCTCCTCCCCCTCCAGTCCATCTTAACAATAACAATAATCCATACAATCGCGTACAACAAACCCCTCACCTCGAGCACGATCGCACTGCCAGGCGAGATTAAGAAGCTCCAGTTCGTCCATGCACGATGCACAACACGAGGGCCGTCACCGTCACCACGAAACCGGAAAACCGCGCAACGGCTTCATGCAGGATGGGCTGCAGATTCGCCATGGACTGTTGTTGGGACTTGGGAGTTGGGACCAGGCGGGGACAGTGCAGTAGTACTGATAGTCCGTATTTAGGCAGCTCTAGGTTACAACGGACCATATTCGATGCCTGCTTCTAGGTTCTGAGTATTGGTCCTCTATGCAGGCTGACGAGAGTAGGAAAAAATCCGCCTATTGTGTTTTAGATCGTGGTTATCCCATTGGTTGGTGAATTATTTTGTGATTACTACCCTGATTTTATTTTCATTTTAGTCTTGGAACTTATACAGCACAGAGTAACCCATATCTCCAATGGGGAAGAGAAACCAAGTGAAAGACATGCGAAGTCAGAAAGTAGACCTCTTACCAAAAGGACGTTAGAACGGCATTTTCCTCTCTAATAACTTTGATTAGTGATCTGAAGTATTTGTATAAAATAGACAGTCATATTTTAGTATCATTGTTCTTTGTTGGTTTATTGTCTGTATTGGTTTATAGACTGTATGTAATTCGGATTATTCGTAAACATTAGAACGGTCATACCCTTCACAATAAATACTGATGCACTAGATCTCATCAGGAAGTACCTATTTTCTAGGGCAAATCGAATAACAGTCATCCGTTCTATCACATACAACACCATTATTTTAATTCCAGCCAGGTTCTATCCATGATAACCAGGAAGACCTCAATCTTAGTGTGACACTGTGATACAGAGCATGTAGGACAACTTAGCACAACTGGCGGATAGTCGTACAGAATGTCCACATCAAATCTAGGAGTAGGTAGCCATCCATCGAACTAGAGACTTTCATTATGATAAGAAAAATCAACCAGCCATGGGATATAGTATATAAAATCACCGTATCCCTCGAGTATCGAGTCTAGAAACAGACCAGACCAAACAGTATTCCAGACACAAAAAAAAAAAAAGAATAAAAAAAAACCCGTGCACATAGTTATATCACATGCTTCAATGCTAGAAATCATCAAGAATCAAGCCGGATCTGTCAATATCCAACGCCGTACCATACACTACTTCTCACGAAAGCTATAGCCAAACAAAGGACACCTCTACCAATATTCTAATCCGCGGCCTGCAGTTTAGATTCAATAGAGATAATATCATCCTCCTCTTGGATTTCAATTACTCGGTTGACTTCGGCCGTGTTGCGCATCAGCTCCACGGCCCCTGCGTACATCATTCGCATGGACGGGTTGCAGTTCACGGGAAGGTAGTAAAGGAGGACATAAGGGACAGTGAGGCGGCCGGATCCCTGAGATTAGTAAGTATATACAACATAGCTCTATATACTCCAGGAATTCTCACCAAGGTCAAGGGGTAGCTGAGTAGGATAAATCGGGGGGATGATTCGGGTAGTTCCTCGGCAAGGTCATCCATCTTGGCGTACACCTCGTCATCTTCAGGTCGGATCTCTTGGTTCTTTCCGTCGATCATATCTATCAAATTGTTTGTCAACTTCTGGGTATCTCGAGAGCTTTAGGGGACAGCCGGAGGGAGGCAAGGGGAGGCCGAAAACGTCTCGGTGATCGGTTTTCGAGTATGGGTTCGGGGCACATGGCGGACCTACAAATAACAGCCTGAGGTTCTTTTGCTCTGGAAGTCCCCAGACGGAACTTGCGAAGCTTTTCCTTTGTCTCCGGAGAGAAAGAATACAGCCGAGACTCAGACTGTGCGGACATCCGTGTCAGTGTATACGCAACTCCTAGAATAGTGCGGGACAGTCTCACCATGACGCTTGGCTTAAGTCAACCAATCCGTAACCCTTGGTCTAAATGATGGCTATATTTAACCGAAATTGGATACAAAGAAAATCTATAGCGGAGCTCAAAGGGGAAAAAAAGGTGCAACGGTGTTGCGACAGCATTGGTCGCGGAGCAGAAAGTGGGATGGATTGCGGGTTTCCCCACCTGATGAGCCGCGTTTGTCCTCTGCCTGCTCTTCTCCTGTCCTTTCCAACCATTAGCTTACTCACTCCTCCTCTATCCCCTTCATGTTTAGTCGTATCAGTCAGGTTGCTCGTCATTTCTCACGTCCTCTGCTTAATTCAGTTTCTTCTCCTGCGATATCCTCGTTAGCACCCTTGTGTCGTGTCCCATTCTACCCGAAGATGACATCATCCGCCGTGCTAAACGGTCAGAAAACAATACACACGGCGGCGTGTCTTATTATCGGGGATGAAGTGCTAGGTGGAAAAGTACGTAGGTATCATTATGCACTGTCCCGTATTCTGGACTATACCACAAAGCATTAATGGACCTATATATCTCCGGCTAACAATACCCCAGACAGTGGACACCAACTCCTCCTTCTTCGCCAAATACTGTTTCTCTCTTGGAATTGAGCTAAAGCGCGTGGAGGTGATTGCAGATGATGAGGCTGAAATCATCGAAGCCGTCAGGCGAATGAGCAGCAAATATGATTTTGTGGTCACCAGTGGAGGTATTGGGCCAACGTTTGTGCATCCATTACTTTTGGTCATTGGCCTGCATTAGGAATAACCAGGACTGTGAACGCTAACTTGTACATGCTATGCACCGGAAGCCACGACGATATCACCTATGAATCGATAGCCAAGGCATTCGGCCTCAAATTGAATCTACACCTGCCCGCCTTTGAGCGAATGAAGAGACTCTCCAAGCCTCACCCGATGCAGGCGCAGTTCGATTGGGATACGCCCTCACCACGCCTTACTGCAAAGTTACGCATGGTTGAACTACCGTATGATGAAAGTCTTCCCGAGGAACAACAGGCTGTCTTCGTCGCAGATGATACGTGGGTGCCCATTGCTATCGTCAATGGTAACATCCACATTCTCCCCGGGGTCCCTCGGCTGTTCGAGCGACTGCTTGAGCATTTGAAGCCTTCCCTTCTCCCGCGGTTGACAAATCCCGAGGGTAAGGGCATCTATCGCTACATGATCAGCACCCCACTCCCGGAGAGCACAGTAGCACCCTACCTATCAGACCTCGCTGCCAGAACTTCCTCTCGTGGCACTAAGGTTGGAAGCTATCCTCGCTGGGGAAAGCAACGCAACACTGTGACGTTGGTTGGAACTGATAAAGAGTTTATGGATTCACTGGTCCCAGAGGTGGAGCGGAATGTCCAGGGCAAGATGGTGTCCAAGGAAGACGAGCTTGACCCACCCTCTGACGAGGAAGGGGAAGCGAAAGAATATTCACAGTGATTGACACATACACGTGATGTAATCCGATTGTTCGGGTGTGCATTTAGAGAATATTAGACTATGTTTGGATATCATGTACAGCTGCCTCGTCACACTACCCAACCAATAATCGTAGTCAACATGGTGACTGACACGCTACGGTTCTTAAACATAGGACTTGGCGGGCTAAGATAAGGTGTGCACTTTCCGCAACAGTAAATGAAAGTCGAAATTCCTCCAATCGAAGTCTTGCCACTGCCAGATTTAATCCCGCATGAAAACACATCGTCCGCCCTGACCACAACGGAACTCAATTCAAGTCCGGCTCGTATTCATCCGGCAAATGCGGAGTCGAAGAGCCTCTATGCGACAACGTTAAAGAGTGTAGACAACTAAGATTAACAAATATCTCCAATGTATATAAGCAAGCCCACCAACAGGAGGATATAGGCATGCCTTCAAAAAAAGGAAGATGGGATTATGAAAATTGGAATCGCGGCGTGGGACAATGTCAAACTCGAAGTACAAGGTGCAAAATGTAGCGCTAGCATCCAGCAGGCTCCGTGGATCCCGATCATGCCTGCTGGTTGAACGTCAGCTATTTGGGGCAAGGAATGAATGAGGGAAAAAAAAGAATCCAAGTGGGAATTATACTCCAGATATCACACAATATAGACTGATACACATGGCTGAAAATAGCAAAAGACAAGACAGCAGTTTTGCGGTCCTTAAATACCCAGATATGGACCATGACAATAGCATGTACCTATATAAACGCACAAATCTATTGACAGGGTCATCCCTTATTCGGCGGGATAGGGGATAATCAAGAACAATCTTTCCAAAAAAAAAAAAAAAAAAGGAGGGGGGGGGAGCATCAAATGGAGGAACAAAGGGGGAATCGAACGTTCATGGAGACGATGATAGCATTAGGGTGAGAGCTGACATCATCTGATAACGAGCCTCGTATGGTATAAAGTCACAATCCAAACGCATCGACAAGTCACAATCAGGTCCGAGGCAGCGGCCTTATCCTGTCGGCCGTTTTATCTTTATAGTCGAATATCTTCTTTTTTTTCCTTCTCTTATTCATGTGTTCTGTCTCCTTTCGTATCGCGCTTGCATCCTATTATTAAGGTCGATGCCCGTGAAATTACATCACAATACACTTCCCACAGCAACCAGCATTGCTGCCGGGCTCGCTCACATCCATCTTGCCCTCTGGGGCGCGTGATCCATATGCGCCTGAGCCTGATGGGTACGACGACATCTCCTTGTTGTATCGGCGGATTTCGCGGACAAGGTCGTAGAATGCGTTCTCAACGTTGATACGAGACTTAGCTGACGTTTCGATAAATTTGCAGCCGAATTGGCGGGCCAAAGCTTCACCCTCTAGATGAGAAACGTTAGCACCGAATTGGTAGAGAACGAGGAAGGGCGTCCTAGCAGAGAACCAACCTTGTTCCGAAACAGCCCTTTCCTTGTCTAGATCACACTTGTTCCCTACAACGATGATGGGGAAGTAGTCCTTGTCCTTCACCCGTAGAATTTGTTGCTGAAAGGTCATGATTTCTTCGAAGGATTGACGTGATGTTATCGAGTAAACGAGAAGAAATCCCTCTCCAGTCCGCATGTATTGTTCGCGCATCGCTGAATACTCTTCCTGACCGGCGGTATCTAGGACGTCCAACAAAGCCACCTCATCGTCGATGACACACTGCTTGCGATACGAATCTATTGTAAAGGAAATTCCGAATAAGTCACGGGTGATCGAGTAAAAGGTAGGAGACTTGGTGCCCACCTTCAATTGTCGGGTCATATTCATCCACGAAGTGGCTCTGAATCAATTGAATCGTCAAGCAAGACTTTCCAACACCACCTCCTCCAACCACCACCAGCTTATATTCTCTTAAGAACTGTAAATCATCCAGAAGTGAGCCATCTATTCATTTCCATCACGAACGAGGCCGGAAAGGGGACAACAAGTGTGGACGGCCAGCTGTAGTTAAGGAGCAAGACGATCAAGGACGGTAAGAAGGCGTCGGAGAGATTGGCCTACCTTTGAAGCCATAACGGCGAATTCTGTCTTGAGACACGTTCAGTAGCAAGGGAAAGGGGATCAGGAACGGTGATTGGAAGTGATCCCAACGGGGGCAGCGGTAGCGGGTCAGAAGAGTAGTAGCAGCAGCAGCACAATTTTCTTGTGCAGGAGGGTCGAGAGTCGGGCCCAGCTTGCCGGCAGTTTCGCGCAAAATCAAAGGCGCCTAAAGGGGAGAGTCCACAGCAACGGCGGGTCAAGCGACTTAGGCCAAGCTTAAAGAAGTGGACGGGGGTGGTGGGAGGATCAGGGGGGAAAGGGTTCGTGGAACTTTACAGCGGGCGGGATTGAAGACCCGGGAGGCTGCACCTGGTTTGGCTGTGGGAATTCGGAAAGCAGTCGCGCTTCTCCTCCTACACCCAAAACTGTCTAGGGGACAACCGATTAAAAGGAACTCCTTTAAGAAAAGGATGAAAACCTTGGGTGGATATTCAAGGAGGAATAGAAAGAGCTGTGGAGAAAGAGAGGGGAAGGGGGGTGGAATGATGATTAAGGATTAATGCGAGCAATGGAAAGGTGGGGATCAGGAGGAAAGGCGAGGAATAAGCAGTGCTTCAGCCTTCAGCCTTCCAGAGAGAAAGGAAGAAGAATTTAGGGAGGGAAGGGGAGACGGTCAAGAGGAAACGATAGAGGAAGAGGAGATGGGTTAGTAAGGAAGTGTGGTAAGATTCACCTACATAAGAGTACAGTAGTATCATAGTAGATGGAGTCAAAATAATTAAAAGAGAGCGTTGATTGGCAACATTAAGACACACACAACAATCCAATAACCATCGTTGCAGCCATAATAAAAAACACACACAGGTAATCCGCAATACCAGCCGGAATTGAAGAAAAATTAGAAAGAAAAAAAAAAAAAAAAAAAAAAATAAGGGGCTCGTACGTGGCATTAGTGTAGCCGCGTGGGCTTAACTATGATTCACCCATCTTTTCCACTCCAATTCCACCAGCGAATGTGATGCAATCAGCAATACAATACTGTAGTTCTTACCTATCATTATCCCAATATTAAACGATGAAAAGAAACAGTACATCTGAAAAGGGGGGACCAATCTCCTTCATTCATTCGCCATAAGTTTTCTTCGGGCCCGATAATTTGCCAATATCCTCCCAGACCCATTTATTCCAGATTAATCTTCACCCAGGTCCACTTCTTAGCGTCAGTCCATAATCATCCAATGCTTCTAAACCATCCACCATCCCACTGGAACCCTCCCCCCTTTCCTAAACCCCTGGAAGCGTCTGTCACCTTCGACTGCGGTGTACACAGTACGAGGGTAGCAAACGAGCAAGTGGGAATCCACGCCAATCATATTTCTTGCAGAGAAGGTTGAGAACTACTCATTTAACTTGACCTGCCGTCTCTAGTCCTTGGCTCCAAGCAATCATTCACGTAGAAGTTGGGCCAAGCACAAGGAGCAAATGACCACCCCTAGATAGTCCACTGCGAATCCCGAGGTTGCATTGGAGGATAAGTCTACAACCTCGTTAATTAAAGAATGAAATTTTTAAAATCACGAGAGAATAAATATCATTGTCGATATCAAGAGATTGGCGTTTCATTTACTTAGATCGGAAAGAAGCAATCAAGAGAATACGGAGTAGGTATCCAGTCCATACCGGCAATCGACAGCCGTAGCTTCTAGAATTATCATCAGCCTTAAAAGGTATAGAGCACAAGCAACATGACAGCTCGGTTTACACACGCTTACATCATAGTCGATTCTGTGATGAATAAATCCCAACTTTATGCCCGAACCTTGTCGGATCAGGGTTCCATGGATACTCGTTGCCTGAGGTACGAGAAACGAGCATTGCGGCTAAATTTCTTAGCGCACGATTTAAAGCAGGAGAGACTAGAGTTTTCCCCACGCCTCCACTTCCCAATAGTAATGGTCTGTGTTCCGATCCCTTGCTCTGTCAAGCACGGAGGCCGAGTGTGATCCTCGTTGGTGATAACAGATGGCAGTAAGAACTTACGGAGTACAGAGAGAGTATATCAACATCAACAATTCGTCCTACTCTTGCAGGTCAATCACAACTATGCGAGGATCAGCATCCTCCGAGCTCCTCCATCCATACACCCTTTGTCTGAATTGCATCATTTCACTTCGGCTCTAGAGCTACTGCATGAGTATGGTTGATCTTTCTACATCGGGGCCCTTACAACACTCGTTGCTCACCCTAAAGCTGTAGAGGGAATATTCCGAGGCCAACAGTCCCAGGATAATTTCTCCATTCACATCTAGATGGACAACATCTCGCTTTAGAGTAGTGTGGATCGTGGGAAAATATTCCAATGCTTGACTTTTCAATTTCCTCCGCCATGCAGAAGACTAACTCCATACATGACATTGTGGATTATCGAGGCCTGAGCAAGCCCATACGAACGACTAACAATCGCCCTAATCTCTAATATGCGGCCAGTCCACATCCCGACTTCATAACGTTGAACCTTGGGACGGCAAAAGGAACCGATTTACTGTTGGTTTCCAAGAGTGACGATCGCCCTGTTTGGGGAAAGCGTCACAACTTCCGTGCTTGGCATTTCTAGTGTGCGTGGGCATTAATAGTTTGTATGTAATATGATCGGCCCCTACTTTTACTAGTTTGGGATAGGCTGGTCTTCCATACAGATGTGCTTCTCTGCCAGTTTTCCATGCATAACAAATGAACACCAAACCATGGTCTAGTAAAAATAGGTTGGTGTCATCCCATCTGTTCCATAGCAATTAGAGGTATCATTTTCCCGTCAACACAAAAGGAAACAAAATAAAGAATCCATCCGAAAAGGGACTATAACCATGCGCATTGGCCTTGCCCAGAGACAAATCTTACATGATAATATCTCGTATAGGCAGCTCTCCCGCAGCTGCGGTAAATTGCCTCCGCAGAATTATCCAGCCATTAGCTAAACAATCTAAAATCCCTGAACTAGTCCCATGTCCCCAAAAAATAAAATAAAATAATATGACACCAAGGATAACTCGGTCATACCATGGTCGGGGGTATAACGCTTATACTAACTGGCAAGGTAGTAACGTACTCCACGACCGAGCCGCGGATTTTTCTGCAATCCTTTCATAATTTTTGAAGCTTTTCAATCACAACGCCGTTAAATCAAACTGTATAGTAGTTGAATATATAGCTATGTACTAGGACAATTTCTTATAGTATGTCTAACAATCCCGCCACTGCAGCGTGCAGGAACTCGCTGGCGAGGCCTAGGTGTAGGCTCATCAACCTTCTTATTAAACTGCGTACCAAGCTTCTGAAGATTGTTTTGACCATTCTGCACGGATAAAGAAACATTATCGTTTGTAGTAGCATGGTTCCTTGCCTTCTTTACTTTCCACTCATTTTCAGCCCGCACAGCCTTAATTCCTCGTTAAAGAAGAATATTTACATTCATATCCATCTGCGCGTCCTTTTCAAGATGGTGGGTATGAGACATTGGACTGCTACAGAGCTTTCTTTTGTGGGGGCTTCTCTGCATACTGCAGATCTTGCAATCTAGGTGATGGGGATTTTGAGGTGTTTGAAAAGCAGAGGAGATTGAGCTTTCAAATTCAACTAGAGGTGATGTTGGTGTACGAGTTGAAAGCTAATCTTTTCAAGAACCGGTCTTTATTAAGTAGCATAAGACCAGCTCCTGTAAAGTAATTGCATATATTTCTCTCAATAAAGACTGCTGCGCGTGCAGAGATCGAGAAAATCCTGTTTATCAATATGATTATTTCCAGCTACCGTCATCTGCTTAGTTAATTTAACATATGTACGTATAGGCGGCCCAAAAACCTCAACATCCAGTGGTTGAAGACAGAGATGAATGTGGAGGCATATAAAGACAGATAATCGCATTCTCCTTGCAGAAAGCAGTTTGCAGTTTGGTGGCTAGAATGACATCAAGAACAAGCAGTCGCATTGCACCAGTTGAATTCTGCCTGGTTCAAACGCCTCTTTTAGCCAGCAAAGATCTATTTCATTTGTTGTCCAGCCATTCTCGTTCTTTGCAAGTATCCAATCCGGAAGAAGTGCAGGTTCTTGATACCAAGCCACCTGATGTTGTTTTGCCTTTAAAATAATCACTGGTGGTACAGATACACCCATTGAGCTCATGCATTCAATAACTGCAACCTATTCGCGACTTCCCTAGATAACTGTACGAGTTCTCTCCGCTCAGCTGCATTAATAATCTTAGAGATTGTACAGAGTCTCATAGCAAAGCCAGTTTCATCAAAATTCCAGATATTATCCTTGTGTATGCCATGCTCTTGAATAACTTCATATACGGTCGCAAACCACTGGTTTATAATCTTTGAAGAATGTTGATCTAGGGATGCAGGAAAATCCACAGTTCAGCGGTATCCGCGGCTCGGCCGTAGAGTACGGTAACTTGCATACTGTATAATACCCAGCTTTGGTGGAGCTAGTATTCATTGCCCCTTTTCGATTTACATCGTGGTCCGGAGGGAAAGTTCCATGACGTATCCAATATCTTCTTGGGAGTACAGTGCTAGATATCGCTGTCTGGCCATGGACTACTCTGAGTATACGGAGGAGGCTGTCACGCGAAGAGCATGATGGCCTTGCATGGGGTGGATATTCAAAGCCCACATTTATGGCCGTGGAGGGCATTTAGTGGTCAGGTAGGGAGTACCGAGTAATTATTGTCTAGGTGTAGATTTAACTATGCTTTTGATTCGATGTGAATCACATGTCTCAATTGTTTATGGATACCATATTGAAACGTATTATCTATCGGGAGGAAAAACAAATTTCTAGCCAACTCGCTCCTCATCTTCATCATATTGTGTATTTGTGTTTAGTTGTATATATCACCACTGGTATGTGTGTTTAATTCTTGCGGTGCATTGTGGTAGGTGACGCCTATAGATATACTTAGAAGTTAGTACTGAATCTAGTTCCACGTGCAAGAAACCAATATAGTTGGGTCTGACGATGCAGCTTCTCTGGAGCAACTGACCTGGTGACTGGGGAAGATCAGAGTATCTGCAATCACAACATTTTCCGGTCGGCCCGCAGTGAAAACAACAACTTCAGCAATGTCATCCGGTGTGAGTGGTTCGCAGCCCCTGTAATACTCTGTCAGTTCTGGACAGACAGAGCCTATGGAGAGGTTGTTGGCAATCTTACGCATAGACCGCATCGGCTTTGTTCTTGTCGCCATAAAATCGGACAACGGAGAACTCCTAAAGTAGATCGATCATCTATTAGTCTCTAGAAGACCAGAACACGTCACAAAGAGTACACAGGGGTCTTTACCGTTTCCACCTGACCCGGGTCGATCTCAATGATCCTGATCCTAGAGGCGACAAGCTCCTTTCTCAGCGCGTCTGTAAAGGACCGGATAGCTGCTTTCGTAGCGCAATATATGCTGCCTCCTGGGTATGCTTCGCGTCCAGCAATGCTACCAATGTTGATGATATCTCCACGACCCCCATCGGCTCTCTTCTGGAAGATGGGGAGGATGGCTTGTGTCATATTGATCAGGCCGTTCACATTGGTGGAGAACATGACATTGATGTCCTCAGGATCGATCTCAGGTGCCTTGGCGACGCCCCTCACAAGTCCACTAATTTACTATTAACTTGCCAGCCCTCGATCCAAAGACTGCGGTCAACCATTAACGGCTACACTCACGCATTATTCACTAAGACATCGATATCCTGGAATTCAGCCGGCAGGGACAACACGAAGTTCTTGATCTCTTCGGCGTTGCTGACGTCCAACTTCACCGGCAAGACCTTGACACCATCGCCGACCTCATCCTTTATTTCCTGGGCAACTTGGTTCAAGGAGTCGATGCGTCGTGCCGTCAGGATAAGCTTCAGGTTTTTGGATGCGGTGCGGGCGAATTCCTGAGCGGTGCTCTTGCCAATACCCGATGATGCACCGGTCACGAGGATTGTCTTGCCTTCAAGGCGCTTGGCCATCGCAGTCGCCATTGTGCGTCTGAGGAATGCCGGTTGGATCGGAGCCGTAAACGAGTTCGTCCGAAGGGGAGAGAATGCGGAGATTGGTCCCGCTGGAGACGAAGAGGTGAAGCGTCGAAGAAGTCCAATGGAGTTACTGCACGCTCTCAGATACTTCATAAAGACTGTCTTGTCTTGTCTTGGAAAGGAACGCGGTTAAGAATAGGACGATTCTCGAAACCTCCGAGGGGCCCTGGATACGACTTAAATCGTTGATGATAACGTGCGGGGAAAGGGGCGCCGTGATTCGGCGTCATGGCCGTGGGGCCTCCCCGGTTGAAGGTTTGGCCGATCGGACTTCCATCCGAACATCTATGGCGACTTCTCTTTCACTCTTTGCGAATATCGAATAAAAGTTATGCATTAGCGTGTTCAATGAGGCTGACTCTTGTTCAAGCTGGGATTCTTTGATGTTGTCGATTACCCGATCCTTTGTTATGTCATTGCATCCCTTCTTTGCATTAAGCTTCCTAGCTAGCAGTCTATATATACACTAACTCCGTTTATTGGTACTTATTGGTTGGCTTTATGATATTTCTTAAACCTACGTACGAAATACTCTTTATGACCATTCAAAGGCACTGTATTGTGTCTTGTTCCGGTATAAATTCCGAACCCTCCCTTTGACCGATTCAACAATGGCATTCGAACTTGAAACGGTCGAGGAAAGGAAAACCGTTATTTGGAGAATTCCTTTTGCTCTCAGGGTCCGTGAGCACCAAACCAATGATATCTGTGGAATATGGAGCGGCGTTTCCGAGTTCTAAATGGTCGATGGGCTTGGGTTGCCTAATGTGACGGGAATGTGGTATGCAATGAGCAGTCATTGGGATTAGTTGAGTATAAGTCCATATCAGTACAGTTCCATAATCGTCGTGAATTGATTTAAATGAACGTTGTTAACTCAGGCAGATCCAAAAAAAACAGGTAGATACAAGACGCTTTTTAAATGATAATAGCTAGAACTTTATCATTTCAAAACATAAAAATTATTTTTGAAATTGCATAGGATATTTAAGAGTACTATGCTTGCAAATAATTTTTCAATGCTGTTGTGATTACAAGAAGTTGACGAGTTCCAGATTATGATGCCGCTGTCTAAGACAAAGAGGTCCTTCCTTTGAGTTACAATAAGAACATCTAGTACTTTCCATTGTGACAATAACACAGTATATCCCACTACAGTAGGATTCCTTGGATCATTGTGCAATTGTCTTCTTTGCTGCTCCCATTATACATGCAAACAATAGAAACTTGTCTTCCCACCGATGACTTTCAACTTCATCAGAACATCCCCATTATCTCGGATGACGACAAACTACTATTCATGGTTCATGCAAGCAAGACGTCATTATGATAGCCCTACATATAACAGAACACCATCCTCGCTATGCATCAAGGTTTTCTCCTTCTACCTTCTCCTTTTTCCTTAAAAAGTGTCATTTCACAATCCACAGACACATCTATTTTCTGACAATTCTGTCTGCCTTAACCACATCGTACTTACCACCACATCGGATTGACAGCAAGTTTTCTCCTAGTAGGTAGCAGGTACTAACACTGGATTATCATAACTATCAGTTGACCAAGCAATGGAAGATCTTCTGAAGCCCTGTCATTTTGACTGGGCAGACGAGGATGCTTCCGAGGACTACAACGCCAGTGGAGACACCACAGAGGAGCTGGACGTGTCCAACCATCGAGAAGAAGAATGGCTGGAGGCAATAGACATAACAGACGACACACAAATCGATGAACCGGAGGCCATAGCAAACCACCCCTTGCCATTTGACGGCGCAGATACGAACTTGACAGGAGGTTACAACTTCTATCGAAGCATTAAGACCTTAGATATTAGAGAGACGATGCTTAACGTTATACAGGAATTTGCCTACAGGAACAGTTGGGTGCTGTCTGCCGACGGCGAGCGAATCCATCATTTTAACTGGATGGGATTTCCGGTTTCCAGATACAGCGGAACTCCTCCTGAAATATCACTGCTTTTTCAACTATCCGACCCGAAGGCTCCCCAGCCCGGGGATGAGCATCGTTTCCAGTCGATTTTCAATCGGGCACTTAGGTACATTGACCCCGTGATTGTCAATCTTGAGAACAGTGCTAAGAGTGAGGGTCTAAATCATCTGATGCGTTTGAAAGGCTACGACCTTGTCCGCTTTACTACCGGCCGGGTCACGAAATTCTATAGTCCACATGGCTGGTGGATGAATGATGATCGTGGGAAGGAGGAAAGGACTTCTATTGATGATGGAATCCTTGAAGTCTACATGGATGAGAGACTGATTACCGGCAACGGATTCGTGAGACTAGGCAACATTTCAGACCGCTCCCAGTGGGAAGAATCGAGGGACGAGAACCTCGATAACCCCCCTAAGGCCAGGAGGCGGCATTCTAGGTCCAGAGACAAGGCCTTTAAGCCATCACCCTTACGACAGGTGATGACAGCTGAAGACCTCCCTACAACAGGTAAGACAACAGGAAAGGCAAAACCGACATCTTTTCCACGAATGCCATGCGCTAACTCATGTAGATACAGAAGTCGAAAACGAAGGCCCTCTGACCTATGCGACTCGAACAAACTTCCCAGTATATGCCCGGTACCGTTCCACTGGGACCATCGAGCAATACTCCAGTACAGCATTCACGGCTGATGCTGTTCAATCCCGCCAAGGTAAGCGCGCGCTTCCGCAACTCTAGAACTGCTTCGAGGCTGTTCATTAACCACGACTACAAATCAAAAGATGAACGCCATCCTTCGACAGCATTAGATAATTACTTCGAATCATCGAGTCGGAGCTCCTCTCCTCCTTTATCTATATCTACAGCTCGCTCTAGCTCTCCATCAACTTCGTATTCATCGTATCTCCGATCTCACAACTACGAAGTGGATATCACAGAGCCCTTGTATTCCATCGAAGAATCTCATAGCGAGGCAGAATACCATACCGAACCACCGACCAGCTCCCCTCGTCATCTCAAAAGCTGGGGATTGATCCCGGGAAACCCACTAAAAATCGACAACTGGCGAAAAACTTTACAACGCACTTTAAGCACCAGAAGAATGCACTTTGAGTTGATTTCCAATCCTGGGTCTACCCAGTCGACTCCACCACTGGAAATCGAAGTGCACGACGAAGAGGAAGAAGACATTTCACCAACGGCAAACGCTCAATCAGGTAACCGGTACTCCCATTCTATCCCTTTCATCCTACCAGATTACTCTCCTCCGGATGTGGAATCGGAATTGGAATCTCCGCCGACACATTTAGATTTATCTTCGCGAACCCGCTTTGCTGACAGATTCAGATCAAAGAGCCACTCTCTTTAAAAGAAACTTGGAAACGGAATTTGCCGTTTGTCCCTCTCGCTGCACAAGTTAAAGCAAAATAGATAAAAGTTCTGGATATGTCATGTGCGGTCTGATGTATCATGGAATTTACGCTGAGGAAAATGCCCTGCAAAAGTTTGACTACTTTAGAGCGGATTGTTATATGCTCTGCATTGGATGGTACACAATTTGAGCCAGATAATATTGGTCGCTACTTTGAATAGTTACTAGGACTGGGAAGGCAGCATGTGAGATGATGCAGTTCTCGCAGAAGACAAATATGATTTCCTACATAGATTACCAGAATATAGGAATATCAAACAATGTATTGCTAGACTGTTTACTACAAGTGTTTACCTTGAATAAATATACAGTTCTAGTCAGTGGAGATTGGTGATGAATACTTGATTTAATATACAACTTTTACTCACTCTCTAGCTGTACCCTGTACTCTGTTGAGGAAACCAATGTCTTAGAATTATATTCAATGCACTGTAAAAATATCAAGAAAACGATAAACACCATAAACCATGGACCAATAAGGCTTACCACCAAATCAGTCGACGTCTATCCTGCTCAGTCTACTATTATCCATATAAGATTAAGCAATGAATTATACTACACCTACCTACTACATATCTGACTGCAATCTTCTGACTGCAATAGCATACCTAATAGAACTAACTCAGTTTAACATACATCCGAGATCTATCTATCACCCATTCAACACCGTTGCAATCTAAACGAGCGCCAATTCCGAAATTAAAGTTCAATCCTCACATATTCTGTGATAAATGAGAAGAGAACAAAACCAACCCTGAAAAGGAAATCCGCCCTGTTAATATCTTTTCTGATAACCCGCTGATCCCGCCTACGCTTGGTAAACTGGAAAAAAAAAAAAAAAAAAGAGGAAAAAAAAAGGGGACTTTTCCCAAAGCATTGCACAAACCCCGTACAAATAAATCCAGTGTTTTGAAATGGTATCTCCTCAGGTGAACAACTGCGCCGGGTGTACTAATTGAGAAAGATGAGCAAAAGAAAATTTCGTCACGTCACGTTGTGTTGTATTATTGCGCTCCTAGTTCCGCCAGTTCTCGTTCCTTCGCTCTCAGCATCTCCCGCATCTCTTCGGCTTCCCGCTGTAGTTTCGCCCGACGGTCTTCCCGGAACCCATCCAGCTCTGTCAACCCGGGCAAGGGCTGTGAGGGTGGGGGTGCTAACGGCGGCTGATGGGGGTGTTGCTGCTGACGGCTGAGCGCCGCGAGAGAGGGGTCCAGACGCGACTCGTCATGGCTGCCGGGATGATTCAGAATCGAGGAAATGGAGCTGAGTCGTGTAGGAGGGGACGGATTGATCGACGACATGATAGGAGGGAGCTGGTTCGACCCGGACTCCAAAGTAGTCGGCACCGCGGCTGCCTCGGCGGACGACGCAGTTTCTGCCAGTGTGCGTTTCTTGGGGTTTGCTGGGTTCGGAGAAAGAGACCGTCGACCGAACTGGGGTACGGGTGAATGGCTAGGCGCGATACGATCCGGTTCTAACAATCGAGGTGGTGGAGGATGGTGGGGGAGGGAAACGGTTCCAGAGCCAAACCCTGTGAAATCGACTGGGGGCGGTGCGAACCCAAACTGTCTGTGGGTGTGTGGTGACACTCTGTCGGCCGACATGTGATTGTAGTGGTCCATCGGTTCGCTGCTGTAGTATCGATAGTGGTCTTCATTGCTATGCGCCAGCGTAGCTGGGGACGCTTCTGGGGACGCAGAGGAACCGTTCGACGAATGCGTAGCTCCGGTTGGGGAGGATTCTCGCAAAGCGGGCACAACTCGCTTCCGCCGCTTGATGATGGTCTTCTTCATTGTGGTAGGCCTGTAACATCCATGTAATTTGTAATAGAGCCCTAATGTGATGCTTAGTTGGAATTCTGGGAAACTGCAGAAAAAAAAAAAAAAAAAAGGCATACCACACGCATTGCAGATAGGATGCCCGTTCTCATCCCGCCGCCACAACGGCGTCACCGTTGTCCCGCAATTTTGGCATGAAACCAACATACTGCCATCAGACGTCGTCGTGCCGTTCTTAGCCGGCACATCGCCTTCAGGTAAGGGTATCGGCTTGTCGCTAGCTGAATTCGTCGCTCGGTTCCAAGCATGCAATGGAACGGTGCCTCGAAGAGTTGACTTGTAGACTCGATTATTATACGCCGGGCATCCATCACAGCCCTCGGCGCCCCCGGTACCATTGCAGTTTCCTCCGCCAGGGCATGACCCCGTAGAGCCATGACATCCTCCCTCAGTCGAGGGAGCCGGGGGATCTTGCTGAGGATTAGAGGACGGTTGGACGCCTGATTCCGGACTTGTCTGTACACGGTTGCGCTTGGTCGGTCGCGCGACATTTCGGGCTTTCAAATATAGGCCACACGCATTGCATATCATCGCGCCAGTTGGTGATCGTCGCCATAGCGGAGTGCTCTTTGTTCCGCAGTTACTAGATCTAAGTCAGTTTTGCATTGACTGGGGGGAGACGAGGAGTGCAAGACTCACCTGCAGGAGTGTCCGAGAAACGAAGTGTCCTTCTGAGATTTCGGTGATGACGATGACTTTTCCGATACTGGCGCGTTTGCCATAGTTTCAGAGGACGGGTAAGGTGCCGGTGTATCCACCAAGTCTTGTCCCCTGCGAGTATGATCGGCCTCGAAGCCTTGCGTTCCAGTATCATCACAATTCCGCTCCACGGGATGCTCCCGGCCAGCCTGGGCCGACGAGATCAGTTGCTGAGCAGCATCCAAGTCCTCCGCCGAAGGATGTCGCGGAACGACGTCGGGATTCCGAGGGAGCGATCGCACCGTCTCCATCTGCGGCATAGAAGCTAACATTGCCACCAAGTATTCAGTCGGAGCAATCAAGCCTCCTTGCTGCTATCCCCCGACAATAAAAGACGAGGGAAGAACGGCGAACGCCCGGAGACAGTGCGGTTGAGTCGAGATAGTCGGTCGAAATAAGGGGAAAACGAGATGGAGAAGGGTATGTCGCACCACAGTCGGGGGTTGTAATGTATGGTATCACAAAGTCAAAAGTCGGTCAGGATGACAGCGCAGGAGAAAAAAAATTAAGAAAAAGAAAAAGAACGACTAGATGAACGCCTGGCTGGAAGGGTGAACCGGTAGGTAAATGCAGCTAGTGATACTCCAAACCCAACCAGGGGGAAGAGACGATGATCCCTGACAGCGATCCAGAAAAACCGGGGCGAAGTAAGGTTGAAAGCGCAGCGATCAGAAGGAAAAAGAAAAGTGGCACTAAAAAGAGAGTCGACTCGAGGCACTGGATGGTCACGCGTCTCTAGAAAGGGTCGTTCTGTGGTTCGATGAGGCTGAAAGGTGGCAATGCGGCGTGAGTTTAGGCAGACACGCTGGAATAAATCAGAGAAGTGGACGCAGGATGGGGGAATGGCAATAACAACAATCAAGAGATTTAAATTTTAAATGTATGACGAGGATGGTTTGGAGAGGGGGGAGTAGCAAAAGAACAGGGGAGGACGCAGCAGGAGATAAGGGTGGTTGTTAGGGGGAAGTCAAGAACGATCGGCGGCGATCAATCGAGCGGTGGAATGTCGGATCAGATATGATGTGGAGGACGGAATGAAGAGGGTATATATGGCTACCTAGGGGGGAGTGATGCAGCGTGATGCAGTGTAGGGAAGGAGGAAGGGAGAAAGAGTGTGAGTGAGTGATATATCGATCCGAAAGATTGATTGATTGATAGCGAGATAGAGAGATAGAAGGAATGGAAGGACAGAGAAGGCCAAAAGTGGGTAATGACGATGATTTTGGTGAAGATGACTGGGTCCGACCGGAGGGATATCGTTGCTTACCAGAATTGTCACGGCGGGATGCTGCTGATGATGCTGATGGTGATAGTGATGGTGATATTGCCTCAGTGGTTCCAGTCTTATCGAGTTCGTTATCGATCTCCCAGGGGATCTACAAACAATCAGTCCTGTTTAGAATTGCTCCTCGGTCGGGCAATTTTCTGCCTCTGCTGTTCTGTGTTTTCAGTTCAATAGTGTCAATCCAAGAAAAGAAGTTGGAAATGTGAATCTGGCCAGAGAGACAGGTCGGTAATACCATCGATACTACTGGATGGATGGAGGATCAGTAATATCGGTGGTCTTCCGTTTGATTCGACCGTCTTTTTTTTACACCATCCAAACCGGTGGATTCTCTTCTTGTCGAGGATACACTCCAGTCTCCAACAGATTCTAGGGCAATTCATCATCCATCCTTCTTCTGCGTCTTTTCTCCCCAGATCGTATCATCTGGGATCCACCGCTTCCTCATCCGGACTAGACTAGTGGGTCTTTTAGAATGCACTTTCCCAAAATAGCTCTTAGCGCGTCTGTGCACAAATAAGCCTGATTCTCGGGTTTCCGATTCGCTGAAAAACTAGCAAGGATCATGTCAGCAACATTTCTGCCATACCTATTGGTCAACATGCCCTGCACTTTTGCCATCCGCGGCATTTCTAATCCACGACGGTTGACTGCTCGCAGAGGCGTTGAACTTGAACTTGAATCGCATAATCTCCACTCTTCCTTTCGGCATGGTTGGACCGACCCGTCACGCCTTGCCAGACTCAGCAATTATCGTGTGAGTATCTTAGTCGAGGCTTCGCCTGATCTATGCTAAGGCCCTCTGTACCCCTTTTTTTTTTTTTTTTTTTTTATATTTTCGCTGCCTAGCCCCCTTTCCTCAGAGGTTAGCAATTTGCTAGTTATTTCCTGGCTGACGAAAGATTCCTTTGATCTATCGTCCTCTTGATTGGTCCATTGATTTGGTTCAGCGAGTCTTCCGATTCGTCTTTATGCGCCTCTGTTTGGAGAGTACGATTACGACAGTGTCTAGTAGTGTAGAGGGCATACAATAGAAGTAAGACTCTAGAATTATGACTGAGACGGAGACAATGGATTCGGATTCCACGGACCTCCTCTTGTCTTACAATGCCCCCTTTGCCGTCGGTATCCGGACTAAAGTATTGGTCCAGACTCCATGGTGTAGGACGAATGCATCAATGCGTAGTACTGCTATGTCATAAACAACTCAGTCGTATCATCGTATGAGTCTCGACATAAAATAGTTCCGATCTCTATGTGGTATAGTCCTTCGTAAGTTGATGAACATCTACATTGCCTCTCTTGGATCATCCGTTGTTTTATAACTCAATAACTTGGATTGCTTATCGACCCATTCCAATAGTTCGGGTGATCCGTAATACTATTCCGTACTTAAGAGGAACATGATCTATCTGGATTAATTCATTAATTAATCTTACTATTTTTACGTCTACCTTGTACATACAGAACTCGTCCTGATTGTTTATCTCCGATCGGCAATACTCCGAATCTGTCAAGTGTCAAGATCATTATGGTGTGGCCTTTGTTGGGCTTTCCTAAATGCGGACTACGGCAGATCTAATTGGAGCCGGGATGTGATCAGTCATCCACAAACCTAATCAATCTAACCATAAATCAATTATGCCACGCGGCCAGATCGAATGGGGTGAGAAAAACACAAATCCCCTTTCGACCATCGCTAAGAATAGTAGTGAATTGGCCCTCCTTATAATACAAGGCTCACATTGCAAATGAAAAATATCAAACCCACCATGCCATCTGTGGTGGTTTGGGGATGGAAATTTGAAGGACCTCCCGCAAAGAAACAAAAAGAAAAACAAATGTGAAGACTATACCAAAGCCATCCCACCATCCACGGGCAAATAAATCATGAGATCGCCCGATGCAGCGCATCGTTGGTAACGCATCGTTTCATGACCCATGGGGAACAAACTTCCAATCGAAACCATCGTATAGATATTTCCTTTTTTCATCGCACTCGTACATCGATCATCCATCGCAGGTTTCTGCTGACGATTCTCATGTTCTACTCTGCCCCGTGCTCCATCAGTATCGTCTTCGGTCAAAGCGAGCAGTTGGTCGAGCCGTAGCGTAAACCAACAGAGGATCATACGGTCATCGTACAGTCCCAGTTGATCCAGAGCGAACCCATAATCCACGTTTAGACCTGTTCAGCCCCCCAACTCTGATCGGCCTCGCGCATGTTCGAAGGGGGCTCAATGGAGGGGACGAATTCGAGAGCAAGGTATCCCACGCCGATGATTCCGACAATGGAGCCCGCGATCTGTTGCAACACGTGGTCGTGCAGCATAATACTTCCGACAAAAATGTAGACTAATCAATCCGGTCAACAATCCAATGAACTGGGCGCAGAGCAGGGAATAAAGACTTACAAATACCTCTGCCAAGGAACGAGAAGAGGAAGGACGCATAACGGTAGACATAGTCGGGGACGTTGGGCAGGAATTCCAGCCCACCGACCACTAACAGCAACGCAGCATAAGTATCATCACCAGCTATCAACTAGCCATCGAACGGTCCTGATCGACTTACGGAGACCAAAGACAATCACATATGCTCCAACAATTATGGAGCCCAAGGACGGAGGGAAAAATTGGGCGATACCACCCAAAACCATGATCACGCCGACGGCGATGTTGATGATCCGGCTACCACTTGTTAGCTACAGCTGGGGCCTGCGCAGCCTTTCAGAGCGCTCATGGGGTCCAGATGTGGCGTACAAGATGTTAGAGAGGTCCATTCTGATGATTATCGGAGCAGCGGCGAGTTCTCAATGCTATGCAATCGATCTTCCAGTTGGGTAGGGTACGTAAAGTGGGTTCTCGACAACGGAGCAGTAAGAGTAGTGTCTGAACGAATGTAAATGTCAGATATAATTGTATCTATAACCGTTGCTCGACTTGAAGTGTGCTTTCTCAACAAGAAGCAGGCTGAGAATGTCGTGGCCCAAGCTCCGTTTGGTAGTTACCTAGGACGAGAGAATGGAGTAATGTATGTCGCGTAGCTGGCGAGAGCTCGATTGGATGGCGGCCAACGGAAGGCTGGGAGAATGAAAGTCACCTTACAAACCCTAGCACCCAAGGGACAGCAAAACAAAGAGTAGGGAACAAAATGTGCAGAAAATCAAGGAGATGGCGAGGCTCAAGCATCAAGTTGTGCCGTCGCAAGCAGCGGGCGGGTCTGCCAAGAACATCAACGGATGACTCAGCATGCCCAGTGCGTACCTAGACATTTGAAACGGCTTGCAAGACACAAAAGAAGATATGCTGTTGAAACCATTGATCTAATGCTAGGGAGGAAACGAGGCTCTTTATTCCCCCAAAATCTATCTTTAGAGCCATGGGCGATCTGGGATCACCCAATCCAATGTGGAGATTTGATACAGGAATTGGCATCCAATACCGATCGACAATGTTTCATTTCAATGGATTACATGTACTGTTTTCGGCGGTACCTTCAATACCAATTCTTAACCATGAACATAGAAATAGAAAAAATCACACGCCCAAGAGCTCCCCCTGTTGCTTCTCCAGTCTAGCTGCAGACAACCCATTGGCGAGTCTGCTCATTTTCATGGAATCTCTGTCTAAATCCGCGAAAATTGCATCCAGATCCGTGCCGATCCCAACCTGCTCAGCCGTTTGCAGGCTTCGTGTATCGACAAAAGGTGCAATATCAGACCAAACACTCTGGACATTGTTAAAAAAAAGATCAACTCCCAGATCACCGAGTCCTTTGATTTCTTTAATCAATTCCCGCGTTCTAGCTCGGTCGTGATGGGCCTCCTCCCAGAGATTGTTCAGGTCTCCATCTATATAGTTCCCCCAGAGTCAGAATCCGAACCGGCAACAGCTATGGAAAGAAGAAAATATAACACCTACCATATCTCTCATTGACTAAATGTGCCAATTCTCCTAAATTCGTCGCACCTTGTTCTCTGTACCGATTATATCCCCCATCCTGTAGCACCCCTGTTCTCTCCTCCCAGCTACTCTCCCCTAACTTCCGGATATCCTGATATCCCACCTCAATCACTTTATTGACAGCTCGCTGCGACAAATCACGCGAGATCGGCCTCGACTTCAACATCGCATCAATAACCATCGCGAGCACGATGTCCGCAGACGCCCGGAGCGGCTTCTCCGCCATCGCCGTACCATCAAGAGGAGCCCTTCCGAACCGCTCAATAACCCTCTGCACTTTCGCTTCGTCTATGACGTCTTCTTCGCGTCTTTCGTCGTTTTCTTCCTCGTCCGGTTCGATGTCTTCGTCTTCGTCCACCTCGTCGACGTCCTCTTCTTGTCCCTCGTCGTCACTTCCTTGGCTTCTCTCATAGTCGTCTTCGAAATCGTCTTCTTCATCCTCTTCGTCTATGCTGTCTTCCTCCACAGGCACTTTAGACGTCTTGGCTGTCTTGCTCGGGGGCTGCTTTTCATCACCAAAGTCGGGACCTCGTCCCGAGGTTGCTGAGAGGTATTCAAGGCCGCTAGCATCTCGTTTGCGTTTTTGGGCTTCTGTCGTTTCGTCGGTTTCGGGGTATTCCTCTACTTCGGGGACTTTATACTTCATTTTTTCCCTTGGCATATTCTTTCAATGATATATGTATAGCTAATCCAGAAATTGAGATCAATTTTAGTTTTTACACACACACCAAAGTGGGTTGGGTAGTCTGGAGTATATTTTGAAATCGGTGACGTCGTGATGATGGTAGGACCCGCTTCTGGGCTGAGCACTACTTTGAATACAGAACTCGACATAATTGAATGCGATCCAGTGATTTGGGAAATCCTATGCACTATGTACATATTCTAAGACTTGTTGACTCACAATTTAATAGACTATCCCAAAAACTACAACTTGGCGCTATCCCGTCGCTGAAGGGCCTCTGCCACCAATTTAACCGCTTCCATAGCGCATCCATACGAAGCTTGGTATCCAAAGCCTCCGTGACCGTAATTATGCACGACTGAAACTCCATCGATCTTATCGATCTCTATGCGGGGTCCGCCGTCGCGGACGGGACGTAATCCAACCCCATGTCTGATAATATCCAACCCCTCAATTCCTCGTCCTTTGCTCACTAGCTGGGGACGGAGGGCAATTGCACGTTTCATAATGCGCACCGCCAGATTCGGATCCGGCAATGGATCCCACTGATCCTTCTGGTACGACCCGCCGATAACTGTCCCGCCACCGGCAGCGCGGGTCATCATATACACTAACTCGTCCTCGGCATCATCTGTTCCAGAGATCGAAACCATAGCACCAGGGTCATTCCGCACTACTACGACTTGACCCCGGTATGGGTGGAGCTTGTCATCGTTCACTCCGCCCAACTTCTTCGATGAGAGACCGGTGCAGTTGACCACCAGATCGGCTTTCTTTCCAGAGTGATGTGCATTCGCTGCCTCAGCTATGTGCTTGAAGACTGCACGCTTCAAGACCACACCGTTCTTCCGGCATTGGCCCACAAGCCACGGTAGATAAACCGCTGTGTTAATGCATACGGAGGTGAAAGTTGATGCATTGTCGACTCCAGGGGAGAGTTGGTCATCGGGTACTTTTTGGAACTGGGGAGACAGGTCAGTCAGATTGGAAGTTGGGGGGGCTCTAGATGGATGCATAGAACAACACACATTGGGAACGACATCTTTATACCCAGGATCCTTTTCAGTTAGACCAGCGAACCATGCTCCTGTTTGAGACATTCGGTCCTTTTGACGATTATATACGACCGTATCTGTTGTTGTTCCGGTAAGAACTTGGGGTCACGATCATGCATTCCGTTCAGACCATACCTTGGAAATGGATCCCAGCATCTGGCTGGGTCTCTACCAGCTCCTTCAAGACTGGCCATGTTTCACGTTCCCATTTGGCATGGTTAGTTCCTGCTTTACCCGTTCTAGATGATGGGTGAGTACTGAGTCTACAATGATGCTGGGATTCTACCATACGGGAGATAGTTGGCTCCAGCCCACGGAGAACAGTATTCGATATCATAGTCTCCGGGCATGTGCTTTGAGACGATTGTGATCGAATTGGAGGCATCCTTGGATAGTAGATAGGCTGTTGTGAGTCCAGAGACCCCAGCTCTAGCGCCTTGATGTCAATTCGAAGTCGAGGACTTGTAAGCTTGGGTATTGGACTTACCCCACAATCACGATGTTATTCTTGGTGGACATATTGGTTTGTGGTTTGCTCCTAGGACAGTAAGGTGGGGAAGTGATGGAATGTCAAATGATCGCTCACAATTTGAGCTTCAGAGAAACTGTGAAGAAAGTGAAGGGTCAGATATATAGGAACCTAGATAAAGGCCACGGACTGCAGGTACGCCCGCCGGGAAAGCCAACAAAGCCGGCGGGAATGATTGGAGGCTTGTGCCGATATGTTGAGTCCACTCTGAGCGGAATGCAGATCGATGTACTTACCATGAATGTATGGAATACAGACGGTATGGAACTGTATGTATTTGTATGGCGGCGTAACTGTCGGTATGGGATGTCATATCGATGCCCACACCTGCCTATTCTGGAGGTATATATGTACGGACCATAGGGACCCTTATTCCCCCTTGGTCGCTCTACAAATAGGAAGAGGAGGTAGGGCTGAGCTATCCCCAGTCTGGGGAAAAAGGGACTAGCCACTTACCAAACCAGCTTTTTATTCCAGGATCCTCGGCCATCTCAGTAGGACAGATTCTCCAGCTTTACTCCTTTCGTCATCACGGAGACGGGCCTCACGTGGCATCCACCAATCACCGCGCCCATGCAGGTTCACCGCCTTCCCTCGGGAAGAAAAGTCTCGCGTTGTGCGTGTTTTTGATGGCGTTGCTTTGCCTTCGAGTAGATCCTGTTTCTTCATCCCGACTGTTCGGTGCTGTTGCTCCTTCTTCTCTCTTATTCTTCTTACCGTCTCCCTCTCCCTCTCCCTCTCTCGCCCTTCCACGTCTCTGGCAGTCTGCCCTCTGCTCGACGAAGCTCTCTTCCATCTTCTTTCAAATGAGGGCCTTTCGTCGGGCAGGGCTACGTTCCAATCATGGCGGATCTTCCCAACGGTGGCAGAATCGTGCCCATAGTTTCGCCCGCCCGTCAGCGTTACGCCCTTACTCCCCCCGATGATGAGGTGGAGGTCAAGGATTCCCAGCAATTGCCACAGCTTTCTGAATCCAGGCCTTCAAAGCATACACGCAGCAAAACGGTGGAGACAGAATGCTTGGAGCTCCCGTGTCTCACGGAGTTAGGGCTATATGCTCTTCCCACCGAGGGTGATGGTAAGCATGGCTCTTCTATGCACCCTCCTTCTCTGCAATTGATTTTTGTTTCTTCCGGAATCTTTTCATTTATTTATTTCTTTCTTTCTTTTGACCGTCAATTTGTAGGGAACTGTCTGTACTACGCCCTCTCCGACCAGCTCTACGGCGACTTCTTCCATGCCGAGCCAATACGCATTCGTCTTGCAGACCACATAGCCGCTAATCGGGATTACTTCATAAGCTTCATGGCAGCAGTGGGTGGGGAGCGTAGAGCTCCCAGGCGTGCTGCCGCATTGGCGGCCAGACATGCTTATTATTCCTCATCCTCTGCTAGCCCCGCGCCTCCTTCGGTCAAAGACAAAGAACGCAGCTTCGATTTCAAGGTTGCAGAGTCCCGGAAAAATGGGGTCTGGGGAGGTGCAGAAGAGATCCAAGCGTTTTGTCAATCGTTCAAAAAAGATGTGAATGTCTACACCATGTATGGGATTCAGAATTTCCGTGACGTCCATGCTCCGGATGAAGAGGAAAGAGATACCGTACACATTGCTTTTCATGTGAGATTCTTATTTCTTTCCATTTCCCCTGCCAAGGACCGCCCTTCTCATTTGTATAGGACTTCCATCATTATTCCTCCGTGCGGCATATCCATGGTCCTCACCAGGGCTTACCGCATATCCCCAAATTCGACAAAACACTCAAAAAAGAGGCGTCTTCGGCACCAAGCACGGTTGTAGACCTGGCCAGTCCATGGAAGATATCGGCGATTCAAGAGGGACTAGGGGGCAAGTATGACCGAGACGCGATCGTCGAAATGCTTCAACAATGTCGCGGCAATATTGACCGAGCATTCATCAATTTGCTTGGCGAAGGCGCCAGCCCACATCCAGAAGTAACCGCTTCCAAAGCGATCATGAAGTCTCGTTTCCAGTCATCTTCTCGATCATCGTCGCCCTTCAGCACAGGGAGTAAACGCTCCGCGGATGACTCGGATTCAGAGGAAAATCCTCGACCCGCCGTTCGGCGCACCAGGGCCCGTGAGCAAAAAAGACGCATCCTTCCTGATGTTACCGTGGGGATAGCATTCCGGGACGATCAAAACGACCTGGTGTCTCTCCGTCTGCGGGTTGGCCCGGGCGATGTCTCCGAGAAGACGATGGCTAAACAGAATATAGAGATAGACGGGAGTTCGGCTGAATCCGCCACAGAAAATTCTAGGCCTGCTTCTAAAGACGCAAAGACCAAGATTAGGCCGAAGGCCGCCACGCCCAGTGAGACGAGTCAGTCAGGGTGTTCGAGCGATGAACGAAAGCTACGACGAAGCCAACGTATCTCACGGGGTCGCAACCCGCCTCAAGCAACTTAACCTCACATTTCTAACCGATTCTATTCTTTGTTCCGCAGTTCTTTGGATGAGATTCCTCATGGATACGAAAGTTACGACCATCTTCATGTACTTGGCTTCAACAGGTTCCTGGGTCGCATTGTCAGCGCGTTGGGGTTTTCTATTCTCCCACTCTAGAGACTTGTGTTCTTATTTTTAGCGACTAGCGATTATGTTTTGTCTCTGATCTTTTACCTTGTTCTTGTTACCTTGAATAAGGTAGATTTTAAACAAGCACCTTTCCCTTTACCCGCACCTACACACTTACACATTCTCTCTCTCTCTCTCTCTCTCTCTCTTTTTCTCTTATAAACCCTCTATTCTTCCATTTCCTGTTTATTAACGGGCGTTACCAAATGGGTGGCATACATTGATTTGATCTTGCATTGGGTTTGAGCATCAAAAGTTTAAACCGATCTGGCGGCATGCTTTTTATCCTCTTCCCCCCCCCACTTTTGAGATCTATTTTCTTGGACGCGATTCTAAATAAAGACCGTCAGTATCAAGCTACGTCAAGTCTTGGAATTGGTCTCTTATCTCAATTTCAGGTTGTTTTTTTAATTCAATCTATGGGTGAAAGACAAAAGGTAAGATGGCTTAAGGGCTATTTTATTTTATATTAATGTTGCTACTCCAGTATGATTACTGTGGACTGGAATAGATAAAGTAGGACCTCTAGAAAATTCGGCATGCACATATATTGGTAGATATAGACATTAGACATTCCATTCCATTTCGGACTTTCATTATTTACTAAGGTGTATTCTATAATTTTCCGTAAGAAAACGAATGACACCGAAATCAAGAGGTATAATATTGTAGCGACAGGGACATAAAAGATGAATGAGTCAAAATGGAAGAAAGACAAGGTTCGTTAGAGAGTGACACAAGTGGTCCCCGCATATGTAAAATCAAGTGTGCAGTCCTTGGTGTGTGGGGTCTGCTATAAAAGGGCGGTTGAATATAAATGAATCATGCAGGATGTCGAGATATCCGGCTGTCTTTATGGACGATGGAAGGATGGATGGGTAGTTAGGTGGATTGATGGGTGGATTTCATTTCAAGTATGGGCTTGACGAGCCACGCAGGTGGCTATGATGGCCGCCTTTATATAGCGAGTCCTTTCACAGCAAGATATTATTCTCCATTGTCTTGCCCTTGATCAGCTGTACTGTGCTTTGCACATCACAGTTGTCCGGATCTAGTCCTTGTGACTCCGTGGATGCTCTCAGAGGGTAGGATAGAAAGAGCTAGCTTACTTCAGCTCAGGTGAGAGATAATGCACGCAGGTATTCTGGATCAGGCCGTAAACGTACTCCCGGCGAGTAACAAAGGTTGTAAAGTTCGTCGACGTAGGTGTGGGATGCCATTTCACCGGCAGTCACAGTCGTGTGCGAAGAAGTACTTCCCATGGAAGACTTGACGGCGGGCTCTGCGAGTTTCGACACATCCACTTTGACTTCCCGACGAACCATGATCTCGGGCATCCGCTTGTTGGTGAGTGATTCCTGCGAAACGGTTCGAACCCCATTCATGGGATTTTTTTTCTGCCAGAATCGGAACTTGGATCGAGTAGGAGAAGTAGGGTCCGAGTCTGTAGCGGTGTCTGTGCTAGAGAGGACGTTCGAATAAAATAGTTCCTGGTTTATTTCTTTGGCGAAGCCACCAGAGTCGGATATGCCGTCGTTTACTTGCTGCTGCACGCGGAAAAGTCGAAGTGGAGTGAAGGTGTAATCCGGGTTCGAAACCTTCGTGTCCAAGGACGCCACGGCACAGAACGGTAGGAGAATGCAGTCCTGTCGAGCGGGCATGTCTGGGCTACGACACGGCGCGATGAGAGGGCGTGCCGAAAACTTGGACGCTGCACTGACATCGGTTGGTAGGGAAGAGGACAGCTTCATCATTGCTCGGACCAATTGCTCACGAAACTCGTCAAGATCCTTGTATAATAGCGCAGCGTCGGACTTCAGCCAATTCAAGCATGTCGATATGGCCCATCCCTCCATGTGAGTTATCAGCTCCAGGTGTTGAATTTGTAGTCGCTGCTGAGTCAACAAAGTCGATGACGGCAGTGGGTTGCCAGTACCCTTCGCGGTGAGAACCTCGAAATGGTCGTGGATTGTAGGACGCATGACGAACGAAATAAGGTGCACGCCTGACTCGAAATTCCGGCCAGACGTGGCGTAATCCCGCATGTCTCGGAGGTGAACCCCCAAGCATGATGTGGGGACATGGATTCGACGAGACAGGATGTCGGTAACGTTCTCAATGCTTGTGAATCGGAACCCTGCTGAGGCCAAACGGGAGGCTTCCTGCTTCTTAAGTTGGCGCACTGTAAATAGTAGCTGACCTTTTCCGGCACGGAGCCGAGAATATCCCATGGCGCGAGAGAAACGCGAATACGGGGCAGACGTAGCCAACACATCATCATATAGCATCCCCAGATCTGGCAACGGCTGTCGAACCTCATCAGCAAGTTCCTGAGCAGCCACGCAGAAGTGACGCTTGAATATATCATCAAAGTCTGGCTGCAGCTCCGTATCCTGATCCGAAACAACGCCCTTAGAGACGTAGTGTTGCATCATGGTCTGATCCGACTCGATACGTGTTCTCATAAAGGGGATAAGGTCCTTGACCAATGGCCAGTTCCTACTTGCTCGGAATGCCCAGAGAAAGGCGGGATGGGTTCGGGTAAGGTCATCGTCGTTGAATGTCTATATTGTAAAAGAGTCTGGTTAAAATTACCCTCTAAAAGTGCAGTGATTGGGATAGAAAGCAACGCACCCGGCCAATGTAACGATCGACGATTTTCCGGCTAGGAAGCAGCGCATGCGGTGTCACCATGATTCGACCTTCAGAGTCGAAGAAGGCACAAGTCAAGACTAGCTGCTGGGCTCGGGATCTTGATCTTCTGCGGGAGCCACTAGCAACTATAGCACATACTGATAAGACGCCGCAAGCCACGCATGCCTGTGTCTTGTCAGCAAACCCGAAGCATTATTTCCATGACATCGTGATTCCAAACTGACCAGGACAGCACAGATGATCACAGTCTGGCTTCGAGACAATTGAGCGCCACGGCGGATAGCTGGGTTGTAATCCTTGTACATTGTCCCGACAGCTGCTGTCCAATGCATCCCCGAAACAGCAACGGCGAGAATGCAGCCACAGAGACCACGCCTCCACCAGCTATCCGTCCAAGTCGCCCTCCATCGAAAGAAGACCGTCAAAGCGGTGGTACTGGCGAAGACGGCGATGATAGCGGCTCCAACGACATTTGCCGGGTGATAAGTGCATCGATAATTGGCGATACCAAGCTGGCCCACGTAATGCATACCACAGACCGAACTGCCGGTCAGCAATCCGCCCATGAAGATGCGGAGATATCCGGCTTTCTCGCTAGTCCCAATGGCGTAGAAGGCTACCAGCAACACCACCACGGGCAATATAAACGAGATACCCGTGAAAGTTACGCTGTAAAGAATTTGAATGCTGGGAAGCCCATCGCCCAGAACAATCGCTCGGTTTCCGATGAAATGCATACACCAAATGCCAATGCCACCCATGGTGACCGAGGACGTCAGTAACAGATACCTAGACGAAAAGGTCAGAAGCTCACGAGCTGGCAATGACCTCGCGGTCAAGATCGAAAGTCATACCAGTTGTACAGCCCCGACCCCGATGTCCGTCGATGAAGAAGTTCCAATGTTGTTGCGCAGCCCATGGTGCTTACTACATAAGACAGAATGATATAGCCCGCCAGGTATGACACCCCAATGTCGTCCCCATATTTGGCGATGTCTACATTCGACATGTTTCGAATGGGATGGTTGATGATCGCTTCACAAGTCTGGCAAGGTCATTGAGAAGAGAAGAGTGAATGATTGATCAAGGAGTGCTTAGCGCATCAGGAGATCTGTGGAGGGCAATAAATCTACAGAATATAAAAAGAACGAAGATCAACAAAAACCAAAATAAAGAACGAAAATATTTAGAGTAATAATAACAACAAAATCAAGCCGACACAAGCAGACCCGATGGTTCACGAGGAGACCTTATATTTAACGGGTTTCATCTACCGTATGGACAGAGCTAACTTTGCATGCGGCCGCGCCTGGAGACGACTCCTCTTCGTTCCAGGGGCCTGATAGTAGCCGTGGATGGTAATTGGAAAAGTATGGCTAGGGTGTCCAGTCCTTTGCCTCGGGTTAGGCACCGGACTCATATACCCTGGTTCACTTCTGCCAATTTATGAGAACACTGCTTAAGCAAAGCAAGTGCTTTCTGCATAGCCACTCAAAACGAGCCGCTGGGATGAAAGAGTGGGAAGCTCCTTAGTAGAACACTGGAATCGAAGTTAACTGGTTGGATCTATACTCTGAGTAGATCCGATCAGAGTTGGGTACCTACCAGGACGATGGGGTAAGCTATGAGTCCAGCCCTTTTTTTTTTTTTTTTTTTTCTTCTCATTGGTTTTATTGGGTTTATTATTTTTATTCTATTTTATTTGTTATTTTTTAGCTAGATATTAAACACTAGAATATAATCGGACAGAACGGGTCTCACCTACAGCAGGTAGCGGCGTATGGACGTTGTCGAACATCTTTTGGAAGCCGCTAAACCCGAGAGTTCAGCTGCGCCGCCCAAAATTAATTAAATGCCTCGTGGTCTTCCCATCCAGTGGGCTAAATCATCTTAGCTGTGGAAACAAAGGATCGTGCCAATAATGGAACTCTTTGCGCGGGACAGTCCTTCAGGAACGATTCACTTATCGGGTGGACCATGGTTGTACTGTGTAGGGAAATAGTTGAGGATGCATACTCCGTTATGATGCCAATGAGACGTGATCTACAGTCAATTGGAAACGCCAGTTCCAACTGTCGACTGGAGGGAGTACATGGAATCTGAAATTTGGATCTTTGGAATTGACTAACTTTTGGGTTGAATTGGGAAGAGCGGGAAGAGTTAACCTGACAGAGTTAGTACTCTTAACTGAGTCGTTAGTGCCTCCGTGGGCTTGGCGAATTAGTCAACCACTGTCGCGCCCAGGGAAAAACAGACGTTGACATCAACCAAGATCGTGAAATTCTTGGTCCAACTGAAACCAGGCCTTACTCTGGCGTGTCAACAAGACAATTCAACCGTGGAAATGTGGTTCTTGAGCAGCGAAAGACTCGGACTCAGTCCGACCCTCTGAACGGTATCGGATAGCTCGAGATTGTCGGAGGACCTCGACTCCGCCTATCTCGGTCGAGACACTGTCTCACAACCTTCTGTAGTCCATGCAAGGTTCACGATCCATCGAAAGCCCACAATTATCTTGTTTAAGAGGAATAACGCCTTCTCTCGTCTAGGGTAAATCGGGGTCCTTCTCCCTCAACGTCGGAGGCCCGTTAAGGTTCCTTCTAAAGAAATAACTTCGCAATCCCGAGATCGCTGACACGCTTTCCTATCCGGCTTTTCTCGTTCCCCCTCAATGTAGTCCATACATGATCTAGATCTCTTTCCCGTCTCGTCCAACCCAGCGCTCGTGCTGCATACTTAAACCAGCGAACGGATCGCCGTCGGTCGGCTGATCCTAGACTACAGAGTTCAAACACCCCATGCCAGGAGAAAAACCGAAGTTAATCACCAAAATAAGATGACGCCTCGGAAGACTCGGTCTGATTAGTGGCGAGTTAGTTGACTGGCGCCCGATCTGCTAATCTCGTGGTAGGGTTAATATAGGAGGTAATATGTGGACAATATATTCTGAAGTCGTTCCGGCCCGAATTAATTTAATATGGTGCAGCCGGTAAACTAATATCCACCCAGGTCGTGAAGTTATCTAAATTATTTATTAACCAGATTGGGTATTGTATGTAAGGTACTCACCTACCTACCCTGATACTCACCTGTGTAGCTAGCTAGGTATAGCCAGTTGTAGATAGAATACTATTCATCTATAGCTGCCCAACAATTGGATAGCAATAATACCACCTCACGTAAACCCCTCTTTGATAGACGATGCAACGTACTTGATCCCAGTCCCTAATGGTCGTAGAAGACAGGGGACTCCGTACCTAGTACCTAACCAATCTAAGTATTTGTGGCTTCGTGCATGCAGCTGGAGCTGGACCCCTGCATAGAGTAAGAACGTGCGGCGCATACCCATACACATACGCATATGCAAACCAGCGCTAGTAGTTTCCACCACAACTGGGTGTTCATTTGGATATTGGTCAATTAATATTAATCAATTGAGTCGGCGCCATGATAGCCGAGGGCGATTTATCGATGGATTTCACTTGTAGACGATAAATTAACTTGTTTCTACTTTTACTGAATATGATGTGCCAATCTATGTTTATAATCTTTAGTATTTGTGTCTTGTATGTCTATACTCTGTATACTACTGCTGATGTAGATCTATTCAGGTACTGGCGTACATTACTTCGCGGGCTCCTATGAGTCGCTGTAGCTGTACTTCAAGGGTTATCCAGTCCATACATTTATCGGTCTATATCTAAACAATAAACTAGGTAAGATTAGGATTAAAAGCTGCTGGTTTTAAGAAAGTTCAATAGTACTCGGTATTGTTCTTATTTTTAGCCTAAAAAACAAACGCCACGCTACATTCCGCAAAAATCGTACATCAAAAGATCCAGACTCAGATCCATCCTAGAGATAAACCTACGATATGATACCTTGAAAAAATAAGACAATAATCCATACCAGGTATCTTAGCTTCAATTCCCCAGAACTATTTATTCAATCCGCCTCACCATACTCCTACTTAGTTAACTATCGCTTGCCGACTAAATTCCAGAAACACTACTTTATCCTGGTCATAGTAAGTACTCTAATCACGTGCCCCTGATCGTCCTGATCAGAATATCCTACCATCTACTAACAATACTCCGTCCGGTTCTACAAGATCTACTCTACACATGCGCAACCAGAAGGTTAGTTGACTACATCATACATCATGCAAAAACCTCAAGACACAAGCTAGGGTCATATTCCCTGAGGTATCAACACAGAATATTAAAGTCCTTCAGAATCCTCCTATCAAGGCACTCCATAGCTCGTTTACGCCACCAAGGCCTTGATACCAGCCTCCAGAGCTGGGGGGTTGGCGCCAACAACATTGTTGACCTTCTCTCCATCATTGAACAGAAAGAAGGTGGGCATGGCGCGGACTCCAAGCTCAGCGGCGACTGCGGCGAGGTCGTCAACGTCGATTTGATAGAACTTGGCCTGGGGATACGTCTTGCTGAACTCGGCTACCTTGGGAGCAATAGCCTTGCAAGGACCGCACCACGTGGCGAAGCAGTCGACGACAACAGGTCCCTTCGAATCTAAGACCTTCTCCCTGAATTCTTCGGCACTATTCAAAAGTTAACAATGTACATACACATTATACGATAATAGACAAGGGAGTAAAGGGAAGGAAGCGGGAGATTAAAAAAAAAAAATAAATAATAAGTAAATAAAACAAAATGAAAACATACGTGGTGATAGTCTGAACATTTCCGTGGTCAACGTCAGACATTGTGGATGAGGGTGTAAATCCGAGAACGGGAGTGAAAGAGAAGGCTCGTTTGGTGATAGCGAAGTTTTGACTCGTAGGAGAGCGAAGTAGGGAAGTCGAAGCAATTGATGCTCTAGTCAACGATCTAGCAGAGAGAGAAGAGAAAAGGCGGAGAGATGCCACAGAAGTCGGGTTGAAACTATGGACACAAAGGTTGATTAGCTCCGAATGAGGGGCAGCCAAGGAGGGGCACAAATGGGATTTATAAGGAATGGAAGTCGCGAACGAATCCCGAAATGACGTTGGTCGGCGACAACCGAATGAGTAATCCAACGTGTGTGCAAGGCAGCACAAAGGCTGCGCCGAGGAGGGCTTACCAAGACACTCGGGTGAGACGAAGGAGATTTGTGGCAGCTCGATTTGTCAAGCTAAGGGAATGCATTTTCTTTCTAGGTTACAACGTGACTGACTGGCTGCGTGAAGGTGCAATTGACGCTGTTGGCTGATTTGACATTGTAAGACTTGTTGTCTGTCTGGAAAGTGCTAGTAACTACCCGAGCTAAAAGCGGCGAATGCCCTGCTTATGAATCAATACCGGTCTGGATCTCCTAGCCCTATGTGCCTTAGGCAGCTCAGCCAGCCAGTGTTACACCAGGAGCCTCTACAATGAGTCAAGGGACGTAGGTACGCCAATTATCTAAACCAGGCATAGCATGACGAATGAATTCTAATAAAACAGTTGTACTGTACAATCCTCTATCCTCCAAGAATACTCGCTACCAAGGCAACAACCAACACGAAACATCCTGCATGACAGAACTAATATGTACATTGAATTGAAGAAGAATATTCCAAGTCTATCAGAAAAAATATATAGTCCAGAAGATTACCAGACTCTTAGAACCATGATATTGCAATTGAGGCAAGCTTCATCCAGACTTCCGCTGATGTGGGGTATCAACAAACACAAGAACTAACAAGGCCCACCAACACTAGAAGCACTAAGCCAATCATTCGCGCTCATCTTGTACTGGAGCATTCAAAGGTACAACGATGGCAGCATCAAGTGCCACTGGGGCCTTGAATCCATATAAGAATTGGAAAGGGAATAAAGGAGTGACAAAGGAAAAATGGTGCATCAAAGGAATGACTGGGGTATATAGTACTAGAAACATATTAAATGCCCAGGACAGAACATCAATGGGTCAGAAATAAACAGTTCAGTGAATGCTCCAGCATGTCACAGGATAAATCACTACAAGCTTGCTGAGGGTGCATCCCCAGCTCTGGCACCAGCGGCTTCACACTATGCCGCACGCTCAATGGCCATTTCCACTGTCATATCCAATTATCTTCAACATAATGATATTCAGCAGAATGCTCCTCGATAGGACTAGAGATGGGAGACAATGATTGAACAGTGTTCAGAAGCCCTTCGTTTGATTTTGGTCGAATAATGGGATTCACGAGAACCGGCCGCCTGGCAACATGATCATGCCAAGTTTCTGCAGCGGGCTCCGGCGCCTGGACCATATCAAAGTCGTTGTCATGCTCGCTGATGGCATGGCTGGCTCGGACAGGCTCATCAGTGTTGGTACTGAATTTGACTAATTGATCATCATCAACCCCCTCAACTCCCTTCGTAGGGCTTTCACTACCTCCATCCAACCTGTTCCTGGAGGAGCTAAGACTGGGCCGAGCTGCATTACTAGTCCTCTGAGAAATGCGGCGTAGGAACTGCCCTGACATCCAAGAACCTTCTGAGTCGATCGATGCCAGCGACTGGGACAGGGGCACATTCTCCGCATCACATTCAAGGCTTTCACCAGCCCAGGATTGATGGCGGTCTCCATTGGTATCTTGCAGCTCCGAATCGGAATCGGGGATGGGATACTGGGAGCCAATATGCATATTAGTCTTTTCTTTTTCGACCTCCAGTTGATCCATAGGCTCTTCTGGGATATCAGGTGATTGAAGTCGTGAGTCAGGGGGCGAAAGAGGCTCATCCCCGAAATGTTCAGTGAACTTGGATTGTGAACGTTTGATGGCACCAGAGTGAAGGAATGTCTTGGGAGGGACATATGGCGGTGGTCCAGATGACTGGGTGGAAATCTTGAAGAAAGATTCGTGTGACGTGTTTGAGATTTCTGAACCCCGATCTTGGAAACGTTCACGGTATCTCCGTTTGAGACGTGAACTGCCTCGTCTGAAAATCGACGATATCATATTCATTCGCCCACTATTGTCGGACAGGCGTCGTTCAGAATCGACGGTCCTCGATACATCCGAGGCTGACTCTCGGCCCATTCCATAGACCTGTGACGAGGATGGGCTGTTGAGCCCATGTCGAGACGGCGACTGCGAAGGCGACAAAGTACTTCGCGACATGCCCATATCTTGGGATGGGGCAAAACTACGTCGGATATCGAGCTTCTGTCCCTGAATAGAGCTATCGACGACGTTGCCTATGACATGGGCACTTTCGAGAGATTCATGGGCGTTTCGATCAGCGTCTTTCGAAACGTCTCGCAACCAAGAATCAGTGGGCTCGCCAGGCTGCAAAAAGTTTATCGTGTCTACCTTGGAAGTATCTTCACCGGCGCGAACGAGCTCAGCTTGGTTTCCAGCACCTGGCCGACCCCGCTGAACCTCCGATGGGACCTGCTTTTCATCTAGGTGATCATGGGACGAGATGAGTTCCGCTTCCAGTTTCTGTTGTTCAGCGGCGTGTTGCAGTTTGCGATGCAGCTTTTCTTGGTCTTCAACCTGTTTTCTCTCCCTTCGCCGACGATCTCTTTCTAACAGCTCCCTTAAAGCACCTGCATCGAGATCATCTGCCAGCCTATCTACTCTTTTCCTTGAGCAAGCACTCTCTTCGAAAACGGAGACAGCCGGTGTCTTTTCTTTCCGGGTTGAACCCTCGGATGTCTTCTGGCTTTTGGCGGTCGGAACTCGAGGGGCTTCTACGTAACGGATAACAGGACGAGGGGTCCAAGCAGAGAAACCGTTCACCTTGAAAGTGTATGATTCGACAAGGTCGGACATGGAAGACGATGAGTCACGGAACGAAAGACTGGCATCTGACTGATGGTGGTCTGAACGTCGACTATGACTCCTTGGGGGTTGTCTGGTATCCACCGACAGGTGGTCTAAAGGTAAAGTTGCTGACCGATAGGGAATTTCAATTGGACATGAGGCCATCAGACGGATTTCCCGCTCTCTAGCGATCTCATAGGCTTTCCGCTTGCTCAGCTTCTTCCTCAACACCGTGGGGCCATTATCATTTCGTTTAGATTTCAAGAGCGATGGATTTCGATGTAGCGGAGGCTGATCCTGACCAACAGTAGAACGTGAGGCATGGCCATCGGGACGGTAGCCTACCCGGGAAGGTTGGTCTCGTGTACCTCTCATAGGGCCAACTTGCTCGCCGTCTGGCGTAGGTGGAGGGTGCAAAGTGGGCTGTGTAGAAGGAGGCGAAGCTTCATTCAACGGGTGCGAAAGATCGACAACGGGGTTCGAATGCCTGTTTTTTTGACGCTTAGACTGCTTGCGTGAAGGTTTTCTTCCCACTTTAGTATTGTCCAAACTATGACGAAGTTCCTGCGGCAGGTGGATATCTCCCATAGCACCTGCATCCAACTGGATGGTATGCCGCTTACTTTTCCGACCAAACGGCCATATCGCCATGGCGTCAGGTCACATGCACCCGCGCGAGTCAAACGCAGACGCAACTGTTATCGGAAGTACAGTCGGAACAGACGGCTGGAGTCATGAGGAAGACAAGGTGGCGTTGGCACGAGACGGATACGTACGGAACTCGGGGGAAGCTTCCCAGTGGAGTGTCAGAGAGAGAAGAACCCAAAAAACAAAACAAAAAAAAAAAAAAAAACCGAAGCTAGACAATTAATATCGATCGAATATAGAGAGAAGATGAGGTAGTTTGCTCGGAACGCAAAGCGAACGGTTGAGGAATTAATAAGGCTTAGGAGAGAATAGAATAGTGTTTAGAGCAGCTAGGTACTGAATTCCAAGTATTGGGAGGGACCGAGGAGAAGGCACTATTGGTTTAGAACGAACGGATCGAGGAGGTAGCAGAAACGCTACTGCTTGGTACTAGTCGTGGTGGTGAGACTCCAAGCCACACACCACATGAAGAAAACCGCTCACTAACAACAGCACGGTGGAAAACAAAAAGGACCCCAGTAGAAGAATTAAGAAGGCAGACAAAAGGGAAGAAGGGGGGAAAGGGAAAGGGTAGGAAAGGTAGAAGAAAGAACTAAAGAAGTGTGAGGGAGAGACGAGACCTAAAACCCCAATACCCAAAAGAGTCAAGTCAGAGGAGACCGTGAGCGAGGGACAATGATGGTCATGACCAGATAAGTAACAGACTAACTAGGAGTTAACCGCAAAGGCCGAGACAAACAAACCGCCCTTTTTTTTTTTTTTTTTTTCCTGGGTCACTCAATCAGGGGATCGTCTCTGCCGTTACACCATGAATTCCCCCAGGCTGTCACAAGAGACAGGACCACCTGGACCAGGTAAGGAAAGGAAAAAATAAATAAAGAAAAAATTAATTAACTAATTAATTAACCATGCACAACTTTGAGATGGTGGCGGTTTGGTTTGGGTGTTATCATGGCCTTGGTGGACCAAGTACCAGCATCTTGGAGGGTAATTTTACAGCTTAGTCCAGTTTATATGCAACATCCCGTTTTCTGATTTTCCTCCTTTTTTACCCAAAGTTAGAACAATGACAAGAAGAATAATAATAATAAAGAGAGAATTATTATTTATACTCTGTACTCCGTATAATAAAAAGCTCTTCCAAGAATATAATATCATACAAGGTACGGAGCAGGAAAGAAACCGTGAAAAAAAAGCAAAAACCAATCGGGAAAAGACCAAACAAAAAACCAACAGAGTGTTGACCTTGAAAATTTTCTTCAACGGTGGGGAAACCAAATCCACCAACTGCCAGATTGAAGCCCAATCCCATTGTTACCGCGGACTACAGGGATGAGTGATTATTGGTACCTGCTTTAGGGACCGCCGATAGGTGCACAATCCTCGGTGCCGCACTCCACTCGCCATTCTTAGAAACAAACTGAGAGTAGGCTGGGTAAAAATACCACTAGGTAGGTACTAGGGTATCAAGAACCCATTACCTGCCCACCCGGAAAACCATCCGCTATCAAATACATACATAGCACATACGTGCTGAGAACCATCGCAATTGTCTCCAACATGGAATGCATACTGTATGCATTCTTGGCATTGGATTGTGTTCGGGATACCTTACCGTATAGACTCATGTTCAACATCAGCCTAGTACTGGGGAGAAATATGCTCGACAAGAGATGGACAACTCTTGTCGCCCTGTCCTCTTTCATAAGAGAGGCTTCGTTAGCACGAGTTTGCGAGAAGGCTTGCATGTGTGGATGAAATCAGGGTGCTATAGTAGTCGACGTCAGAAAACCAAACCCAAAACATCTAGTCAGTATGAATATGGTAGCTGCCAGTCAGCAGTGTTTGGGATTCAATCTCCGGCATAGTGTGTATCAGGCTGTCTATCCAAGCTCCATGAGCGACAATTGTTCCCCTCCGTAAGCAATCGCATTTCGAATCATTCTGCAGATTACTCTTGCACTTATCGCGAACGCGGTAGGATAGCCTATAAACGCATGATCTTCTGGTTATACTGCTTAGAGTTCCTCGGTGGCCATGATTTGATGGTAACAATACTCGTACCAACCCATATGCTGAGGGACACTCGCCCCAGGTCAGTACATACATGTGCGTACAACATATCTAAGCACCAGGAACCAAGTACAAGGACGGCAACAAAAAGCGATGGTGTCAGCGGTTCTCTGCAATAACTATAGAGGATTATCGGGCGTGGGAAATGAAAAAAGTGACGAGGGCCAAATCATGAAGGATGGAATGTTTGAGTGGACCTGTATTCCTCACTGGCGACACTAAATTTTAGCTTCGCTTACGTAGGGCGGAGACCAAGCAGGCAGCATTTCCACTGTACATCGTATAGTAGTGACAGACAATCAAAGTCGACAGGTTGTCTTTCCTCGGTACTTTATGGTCAATGGCGGTAAAACCCTATGCCATGCTACAATCTCGACGTGGTGAACGTATGTATGTATGTGCATATATATACGGAGTACAATTAGGATACGTTTCCTGTCACCCATTGACAAGACGCGCATGGACCAGGACTTTCCAAATCCCACTTCCATGACATTCTAACGGTCGCATCTCGAGGAACTCGGCCAGTCCGTGGGGCTGTCTTGGTGGGCTAAATCCTTAGGGTCCCAAGGCTCAACTCTACAATTCTCCAGGCTTGAGATTTCAGAGCCGTATCCGTCGATCATCCCGATGGCTATCCCTGGAATGGTGGAAATGTGTCAGTCTCCGCCGGTCTGGACGTTCTTCGAACATACGTAGGTGGAGTTAGACTCTGAACATCTCCAATCGTCTTAGTAATTGTTAATTAGCACCAACCCTTTAGTTACGGCCAGTCTGGGTTTTAATCCCCGCCTTTCTCTTTCGTCGAATCCATCGCGGTTAACTTGCTTCCTTACAGATTCCACTCTCCCGAGTGGGCTTTACATAATGCATGGTCAACAAGGGAAGGAAGAGGGGGAGTTATCTTCAGTAAATGAACTAAATCTCTGAGTCTGGTACCTTTTTGACAGAAATACTGAAACCGGCCAGTCCATCCATGGGACAACTTATCCGAGATGTTAATTGGAACCACTCCTCGGAAAATATCATTGGTGTGCCTCGGGCCCCAGATCTCCAGAATCCGTAGTCAGGACACAAAACCCGATCTTGCCGCCAATGCTTGTCCACTCTTTACACGGCGGTGCCTATAAATCCGTCACTTTATCATCAATTCTATTCCCCCGGTGAATACGAGAGGGCGCTCTGTTGAGTAACCTGGACGGTGTTGAACAATGAAGTACCTGGACCAACGCTGATCAAAGGCTCTCCTGCAAAGTCAGTGGATCGTCTGTTCATGTATCTAATTCATTCTTTGACCTGGCCAGATCTCAAACCAATGAGGAGAAACTAGGAGAGTGAAACATTCCGTCAACGAACGAAAGAGACTGAGAATGATAATCCGAACTGTACTCCGTGGTGTTCCTTGCATAGACACAGCGGGTACCTACGACCGAGTGCTCACCTATCCACCAGGGAGGATCTAGAATAAGAAAACATCCGGCCCTTTCCCAGGATACCTAGACATTTTTGGATGTATAATCCAAGCCATTATATAGTGTAACCATTCAAGATACAGATCCACCATGCACGTCATCGATGGATTGGGCCTGTCACTTGTGAATCCCCTCAGCACTATGGACCCGGTGTTCATAAGATGTATCGGCCTGAGAGACTGACTGATCGTCGCTATTGATAGACATATTAATTTCATTTCATCAACGTCTGTGGGGCTGATGTCAGCCGCGGCTTACCAGAATTTGTAGTACCATGTAACCATGATACGGGACCGTGGACGGACTTGTATGGCGTAAACTTGGTAACTTGAAGCTTACGAGTATGTAATAGGTATATCCCAAGCTCTGCGGAGTACGGAGTACGGAGTGAGGATCTGATATCTTCATATCAACTTGGTACTATAACAAACCAATCGGGAATATCGTAGCAAGTGCGGCGTTCTGTTAATTTCAATAAAAGGTCAAAGCCCCACTTGTTTTCCACGATAGCCGCCTCGTTGCACAATGAGCGAGGGGCTTTTATCCACTTACTAGACAGACCCAAGGATCCATCATTTGGGAGACAAGACACCCAGGGTACATGGAATAAGTCGCATGCATCTAATCATATTACCTTCATAGCATACACAGCACAGGATTCACTGATCCTGGTCAGATATCCTTGATAACAGTGGATTGGTCATATTTGGCAAAGATAACAGCTGGGTGGAAGAAAGTGGGAAACAGGTAGCACTACTGTACAAAGTTCATACATGACCTGTCTCTCGTTCTTCACAGTGGTCATTCAGGTTCAAGTTCCGCTGCAGCTGCTGTGGCGCTAAATTCTTGCATGGGCCTAGAACTAGGACCGAGCGTTGTAGGGCACCACGTTTGATTTGTGTTGGCAGTGATATAAGAGCGGCACTTCTAACTTGCGAGTAAATTCCTAGAACTAGTGCTTGGGATATTTCCTCTGCATTTCCCCAGGCTCTGCTTTGCCCGTCAGTTATGGTTTTATTCTAGTTATCTTAACTCTGTACACCTCCATGGCTTTCCTCCTAAGTACATAACATCTGCTAAGTCCACCCTTAATCCTCTTGGTACAGAGACCTTACTCCAAACCGAAGATGACTGGAAAAGAAGCAAAATTAAAATAAAGGAAAATCAGAACACCAGCCCAACAAAATCACAATATATAACTAACCCGTCACAAAGACAACAAGAGAATCCAACCAGTAGGACTCATAAACTGATCCTATAAAACGTATAGGACCAGCAAGACATTTATCAACTGCCGTCTTCTGATGGGAATACAACTGCTCAATAGATAGGTATCCACTATGAATTGAACTACCCAGACCAGCACCAATCTATCGACAAGTGTCCTGGCCTTATAGGGACAATTCATAGTACCTTCGACCACGTCCCTATAACACCAGGATAAGCTTGGCCTGGATCCAGAAAAGGTAAGACGTGACAGGATCCACGCACAGTCGACGTATACTTTCTAAGCCACCAGCTGCCATTATTGGGTGAAACGTTTCCTGAGTCGGTTTGGCTCCTTCTCCAAAACACGATACCGACGGCTCACATGACGGCTCAGTAGTCTCTTTATTGACCAGGAATCATGGGCGTCGTTATTGGTACCAGTTGTTGGGCGAGAAGGTGAACCATGACTGTGTTTTGCTTCGGGATAGATTTGGTTCTGACCGAGTCGGAGGGCAGTGGTCAAAGACTCAGAGCCCATTCTCTTATAGAACAGTTGGTTATGGGATCTTTTTTTTAGAAAAAAAGAATTAAATGATGTGTTTCCTTCACGACCTAGTAACTACCAGGATTCGACCAGATCAATAGATTGATATGGCCTGTTCGAAATTAAAAAAAAAAAAAAATAAATAAATAAATCGATCGTAGACTGCCGGGATTTGTTCGGCAAACAAGGGTGTAGTGAAGGATCCCAGTTGGTTGTCAATGAAGGTGGGGTTCTTTCTGAAGCCACGATTCTGTTTTGTTGTATTGACCACTGGATAAGTAATGATGAAACAGGGATCAGGATTTTCCCGAAGAAAATGCAAGTATCGAGTCAGAAAGCAGGCTGTTGGCCAGCGTGAAGTGTGTTTATGACTACGTGGACTGTCTAACGGCTCTTACTGTTTTTGTTGATTTCCGTCTTACCAGCCTACTCCGTACAGTGTCCGTCGTCCCGTCCGGATATGCCAATGAGACAGGCTGCTGGCAGAAAGGTTCCAAACTGCGGAGGGGCAGACGTTGGAGAATGAGGCAGGCACGAACAGGCCAATCAACGGAGTGGTTGTGTGATTGGTCCCTTAGCGAGACCTGGCCAGCACGTGCATTGATGCGTGATCATTGTAAGATATTCAGATTTATATTCGCAAGATATGAGAATGTATTATGTCAAGGGTGGTCTTGCAATATGATATAACAGGCTTTGTGCAGTCTCCAAGTACATCTAAGTATGTACGATGTACTCCGTAGAGTAGGTTGTATATATTCCTTTTGGATGAATCACATCATAAATATCCGTAAGACTTGAGCTGCATAATTATACAAGGAACATAGGATTAAAGACTACAATGTCCTTGACATTGACACGACATAGGTGACAATAAGACAGCTCGACCAAAGAAGGTTGAAACAATGGTCTAGACATTTCCACTCTATTCAGAAGCACATACACCACATAGGATCTGATAAGAGGGCCAATGCAGCGCCAAAGCGCTTAAGTATTGTCCCACTAAAGTTCGATCCTGTCTGAGCAGGAAAGCAGAGTAACCCATCAGGAATAGAAATCGGCCTTCATTGGTTGACTTGGGCAGAGTTGGAGCCCAATATATCTCCATATATTGCCCAATGCTACATGTAGTACGGAGTACCTACTGTATGTCCTCGAAGAATGGCACCTCCTGCGCGGAGCATCAGATCTTCAAAGTTTAACGGACTCGCATTAGAGTAGAGATGACGTAGATCACAAATGGCCCTACCTCTCGATTTGGTCAGTAAATCCCCAGGCGCATTAACCAGAAGTCAGGTGTACAAAAAAAAAAAAAAAAAAAAAAAAAAAAAAAAACGGAAAGAAAGAAGAGTAGGTCTTCATATCCCCATTGGCTTGGATGGGAAACCCCAAAAGACCCCGCTTGGCACTCCTTTCCTCTCGACATATTGCAGGGATATGTCGACACAAGGACTGCTACCCTTGCTACCAGATCAGGACGCAGGTCTATTAACTCCGGGGAATTTCTGAGAGTTCATTCGTATCCCCAGGTGCTATTGAAGCCCAATCCGTCCCTGCTGTTCCGACCCTGTCTATCACATATTCACATTTTCCCTATCAGACTATTATTAGTTTTATGCTTACTGTTCGAGAGAATAGGGCGTTGACCAACCTCTCTTTCCTGACCGTCTGTTTAATTCCCATGGCAAACGTTTAACGAAATGGAAGTGCTGTGGCTATTCATCGCTTTTGGATATCTGCTCCTGTACGCTTTTGCTTCGCCGCAGGAGCAGGCCATCCATCTTGGATGCATTGCAAACTGAAGCCGCCTGTTTCGACGTTGCCTCGGTATTGATATATAAATTATGTTAATAAAAAAAGTTTACAATAAGTTATACCACGTTCTCTATACCGGCCAAGCCGTCTTGAGTAGCCCTCAATTGCACTTGAATCTGGGCAAATATTGATGGAATGCCGGCTTGAATCACTCGTCTCTTTTCTGCAATCGGAACGAGTTATCGATGGCTCGAAAGATCACTCAAGACAGCGCCAAACTGGCTTCGACGTGGATGTTGAATCTGACCGCTCCATTCTTTCATAGGACTTCAGATATTGGGTCATCTATGTGGGTACAGCTTATTGCCCATTTGTATGGATGAGGGAAACATCGTGTTGAAAGAGAGTGTACATACCGAATTATGAGGTTACGAAAAACGGTACAATCGATACGACGGACTATGCTACGAAGTTATCATGTTTAAACCAATTTATGACGATTTGGAAGTGGGACAGGGCGCAAACGGGTGTGAGCAGAAAGTATTCTGCGGGAAACAATAAAAGCTGGATACCATGTGCTTTTTTCGTTATCAATGCCTCTTTCTTGGTTCTTCTATGAAAGCGGTACTGGCAACTTGGAAGTTATAGGTGGCCTCTCTAGATAGATCAGATCATCCTCCTCTTGAAGTATTACTCTTCTCTTGTCAGATTCCTGCTTTTGTATAGCAATCTGCTTCCCTTGAATAGCTTTGCCTCCGGCCATTTCCAGTTCAAAACAATCATTGTTTTCGTCACTTAAGTCAGTCGATTGGTAGTATGGCTTGTGACCGAAACCCATCGAGAGCGTATGTCCAGAAAATTTCACGCTACTTCATGAAAGCGTAAGCCTTGATCTAACGCTCGCTCCGGATATCATTCCTTCTTTGAGCTTCTTCAGAGCTGTCAAAGATATCTCTGTTCAGGCCGACAAACTCTTTCGAGCTGGGCATATTCTGAGCTCAATGCTAGATCTAATCATCTAGTTCAAAACAATTAATACTCAATATACTCCCTCATAGAAACAAGCATTTGTCCATTAAAACCATATTTTAATTAGCTCTTCACTAACAGCACTTGGAGTAAGGACACCGCTGTCCGTAATTAATGCGGATATTAGATGGGGCGGTGTGAAGTCAACCACGTCGGAACTATGCGCCAGGGACTGTTGCTTGGCTCCATCGGCAATGTCCTCTTCTGTTTTGAAGTCGATCACATGCTGTTCAATAGGTAGATCATATTGCCCAAGCGGATACAATCGGACAAACTTGTGGCTTTCTGCCACGACGTAGAAAGGCTTCCCCATGGCCTTGGCCAGGAGACCAATTTGATACGTCCCCATCCGCGACACGATGCCTCCGTTTTCAACCACACCTTCCGCACCAACGATGACTATGTCGGCCTTTCCTAGAGAATATGCAACGGCAGACTCGGGAATTGTAGAGACAGGAACGCCCTTTGCGCGTAGTGCACGCACTGTCTCCATACCCTCAGGCTCCGCGGAATCGCCCTTTCCGGGAGACAGAACGTATATTACGCGGAACCGCACCGCGGATGGCCCGCCTTTCTCATCGGCAGCCTGTTGCAATAAGGAGGCGACCACTCTTGATCCACCATTTGTTAGCACGGTACTTCCATCGCGAACGAAGCCCCTTCCAAATGCAGCGATCTTGTCTCGGCTTTCTTTTGCACGTCTAATGAACAATCGGCCGTTCGAGAGAAGGTGTGCCCTGATGGCATTAAAATCTCCTGCAGGTCCTAGCTGTCCTGGTCTTTGTAAGGTGGTTATGAGGTATCGCTGAAAAAGGTCGGTTCCCGCCGAAAGGCCAATGGGATTTGGGATCGATTTCTTCAAGTGTGTGGTTGACTTTTCTAGCAAATCAAGGGTCTCAGATATTGTAGAGGAAGGGGAATGTGTAAGAAGTAGGACAAGCGCTTCAATAGCGGCGATTGGCATCGTTAGGTCTGGGTCCGAGCGAAGCAGTTCATTATATGTTGCGACAATGCTAAGCTTGAGATCAGCAGGCATAACATTGGAGAAAATTCATTGCCGAAAACTCACTCAAAAGGCTTGGAGGGAGACGACGAGCTTGGGGCAGTAGCTGCCATTGTGACGGAGAGCAGCCTAGGGCTCTTGATGGGAATTAGAAACTTTTATCGAGCGAGTCTATGCTGCAGTAACTTATGGCCCGAAGAGTCATCGAAAAGAGGCCTGCAGTGGACATGTTTGTTCGGTTTGCATTTGATGCCCCTCCAAAATGCGCTAGACCGCTTCTGGTTGCCATGCGGGAGGCCTTTGCGGTAAACAATCATCATAACATGCTCATTCAGCTGAGCGGGCAAGTTGCGGCCACACCTTTGCCCTTGGCGTTCTTCGCACAGTCTCAAATCTCATTACTGTTAAAACAATACTATATTGAGATGGCGTACAGTCATCGAATGAGCCAACAATTCCAAGGCACCCAGCAGCATCACAACAGGGGCCGTAAGAAGGACGATGAAAACGATGCATTAATGCGCCTGGTTAGTTGTTGGGCAGACCCTGTACCTCTCATGGATATATGCGCTTTACTAACAGCCCCGACAGCCTGATAAAGAAATTGCAGGATGTATCAACGATATTGGTATCCCTTTCACTGCGGCCGACTTGATCAAGCCGAATCCGCAGCAAATTCAGATGGTATTCGAATGGTTCGCAGAGCTCCTTATGAACATAACTCGCGATACGGTAGAACCTGCGATGCGTGCGGCGGCAGACGATGTTGGCGGGGACTACCCAGATATCGTGCCAACTGACACGCGTAATCTTATGGGGTTTTTTGTGAGCGTACGGAGATTGATGATGGAGGTGTGTATTGCCTGCTAGAGGAATGTCTCTTGATAATAGCAATATATATGGCAACAGCTGACTCTTCTTGGAAATACTAGTGCGGAGTCAACGACTTCACTTTCACGGACATGACAAAACCTACCCATGACCGACTAGTCAAAATCTTCTCATATCTCATCAATTTCGTTAGATTCCGCGAGTCTCAAACCCCCGTCATCGATGAGCACTTCAACAAGACGGAGAAAACCAAAACGCGCATCGATACCCTCTATGCAGAAAACCAGGAAATGGAACAGCGTCTTGAGGAAATGCGGCGCAATCTGAAGGCCAATGAGGCACAGGTGAAGGACAAAGTCAAAAGAAATGATGAGCTCAAGGCACGGTTGCTGGAGTTGAGGCGGAACCAGGAGAACGTGGCCGAAACACTGGAACGAGTGAAGAAGGACAAGGCCAGGCGTCAAACGCAATTGGAAGAAAAGAAGGAGAAATTTGTGCGCACCCGGCAGGAGGTCGAGAAACTTCAGCCGTACGTTATGGAGAGCCCGGGTAGCCTCCAGTCATCCCTAACAGAACTTTCGGAGAATTTATTGCGCGAGAAGGCTCAAATAGATGCGATGGAAAAGAGAGCGAGGGCACTGCAGACCTCGACGGACACGTTTACGGTTGTGAGCAATGATGTGCAGGCTTGTATCAAAATCCTCGAAGAAATATCTGTGGAGCTACAGAAGGAAGAAGAAGAAGAATCGCGAGCAGCCAGAAACAGGGAGGCAATTTCTGATCGAGGAAACAATGTAAGAGAGGTGGAGCAGGCGGAGAAATTACTCCAGCGACAACTGGCGCGATGGAATGAAAGAATTGAAGCACTTCGCAAAAATGCTCAAGCAAAGGCAGAGGCGGCGCAAGCGCGGATGGAAGAACTAAGAAATATCCAAAAACAGCTTCGTGAAGAGCGTGCAGAAAAGCAACGTGACATGGAAAGAAGAAGAATCAAGATCGAGCAACTCGAGAAGAAGGTATGCACTACCCTACTGCTTTTTCCGGTTCTTATATGTGACTGATTTCGGTTCAGATGGCGGATCTCAAGGAAAACATCGAGAGCGAGGTCCAAAGCGCCCACGACGAGTATTTAAAGTTAGAGTCGCATATCAAGCTTTACATTTCCGACATGGAAAAATGCCTATAGTCATGGGCGTTTTCGTTGATATAATTCAGGAGTTACGGCTGGCACTAGGATACCCGGGTGGTTGAGTCTCATGTTGTATGGATGGATAGCTTATGACAGAGATACATTGCCTTCAATTTTATTTTTCTTCTTTCCCCCCCCCCATCTTTTTTGGCGTCCTTTAGAGACCCGCGATACTCGTGGTGGGACTGTCGGAGCTACTGAATTCAAACCATCTTTGTGCTATTTGCTTCACAGGAACAGTCCGTCCACCCCAAGTACTTTCGTCTCTTCCTGTTCGCACAGAACTATTGAGTAATGGCACATAGACATGCCACAATGCTCCACCACGTCTATCATTGTCAGAGCCTGTAGAGTCTTGACACTCGCAAAGCACAAGGTCCATTTGCTCCCGTGAAGAAGTTTCTACAGCAGCAGCAAACGTTCTAGACAGCCCCTGAGCAGAGAATTCAGAAGTGGATAAATGCAGCGCCACCAGATCAAGAATCGCTAGTAAGGGTCGGTGCGCACGTTTCCTCTCGCCGGCAATCGACTCTTGCTCGGAACCGTTTTTCAGGTGAATCACGGAGATATAAGCTCGAAGATGCTCCAACGTTGGACAAAAGGCCAGTTTGATTCTGGTAGACTTGGAAAGTAGTCCCAGAGTTTTTGTTAGCAATTGGTGACTATCAGTGGTCTTGTTGGGCTGGGCGCAGGTATTTGCGACTAATCGGCCGAGAAATACGTCTTTTGTAGAGCAGATAATAAGTAATGCTGTTCTTGAATCACGGTCACAAATATATTGTAGAAAGCCCATTACTCGGTCATCAAGGTATATTTGCGGGATGGTCCCCATGGCCTCGGATTTGTAGCCAAGATCTGTTTGGGACTTAAATTTCGTAGTAAATGAGCACTTTGTTAGGCCCCATCAGCCCATTTAGCTCCTTAGACCAACATTCGACGTGGTGGGCGGTGGGTGTTAAAGAGGTAGTAAAGTATAGAATGGGACTGCGGGGAGGCTCGCCAGTCACTCCGCCATATCGCGTCACCTGCCGGTACTCCGCCAAGCTCCCTTCTTCTTCCCAACTTCAGGGAATTCTTGCTCCCCTCCAAGCTCAGTTCGTGCGTGTGCCCTTTCAAGGGCCTTGGGGGCAAAATGGAGACAATTTCCCGGATTTCCTCGATGCTGGAAACAGGTAAATCTGTTATGGACACCTCGCTGCTGGCAATTGTGTTGGCGGGGGACTCTGGCTGACAATACGTGTGAATAGCTCGAGAACTCACCATCGAAGCGGCGCAATCAGCAGCCGCTAGTAGAGGACCGAGTACGGGTCATTCGTCTCGTAATTTAAGTGAATCTCACATCAAGAGGCTCCTCGACAGCCGCAATGACCGAGAAGTCTTGGATGGTATGCGAAGGGTCATCACGGTAAGGCTCCCACTAGTTTGATCGACCGAAATTATTACGCCCTCTAACAGTGCTTATTTCTGGCTCAGTTGATGTATCGCTCTGAACCATCCGTTCCTTTCTTTTCGGCGGTCGTCAAAAATGTGGCCAACACTAGCCTCGAGGTCAAAAAGCTGGTCTACATCTATCTCGTTCACCATGCCGAAACGGAGCCTGACCTCGCGCTCTTGTCCATCAACACCATCCAGAAATCGCTCACGGACCAGAATCCCCAGGTCCGTGCAATGGCGCTTCGTACAATGTCTGGAATTCGGGTACCGGTCATCAGTCAAATTGTGTCCCTTGCGATCAAAAGAGGCTGTGGCGATATGAGTCCTCATGTTCGCAAAGCAGCAGCGCTGGCTATTCCTAAGTGCTATCGTTTGGATCCGAACACTCTACCACAGTTGACAGGCTACCTTTCAACGCTTCTAGGGGATACCCAATACTTTGTCGCTGGTCCTGCCATCGCTGCATTCTTAGATGTCTGCCCAGATCGAATTGACCTCATCCACAAACACTACCGCAGCTTGATCAAAAAACTGGTGGACATGGATGAATGGAGTCAAATAGCAACCTTGCGACTTTTGACTTTCTATGCCCGGAAATGCTTTCCTCGAAAGATGCAGAAAAGGAAAAAGGAGGTGTCCAAAGGGTTCTATGACGATGAGGATAAGGAAACTCACAACGGTGGCGAGGAATACGAGGTTCTGATAATAGACCCTGACCTTGAGATGTTATTCCGATCTTGCAGGCTGCTTTTACATAATCGCAATTCCGCAGTTATCGTGAGCGTTGTCCGTTGCTTCCTTTACCTGGCTCCTCCGGAGTACCTTTCCGCCACCGTTGGTCCATTAGTCGCCCTCCTTCGAAGCCCTCAGGATATACAGCATATTGCACTTTACAATATTGTTGCTGTTATATTGCGTCACCCAAAGCCTTTTACGAGATACGTCTCGCACTTTTTGGTCCATACTACAGATCCCCCTCACATTTGGCACCTCAAGCTGGAAATTCTTACGATTCTCTTCCCGCATTGTGGGCTACATCTAAAAGGCGTCATAGTCAGCGAGCTGCAGCATTTCTCGCAGGGCTCGGATCCGGATCTCGTGCGCGAGAGCGTTCGCGCAATTGGGCGCTGTGCACAGAGCGATCCCAGTACAACTGGCCACTGTTTACAAATCCTGCTCAGCCAGATTACCAGCCTCGATGATAACCTGGTGTCAGAATCTTTAACTGTCATCAGGCACTTGATTCAGCAGGATCCAGCTTCACATGAGCAAACGGTTATCCAGCTGGTGAAGCACCTTGGGATGACAAATAACCCGGATGCAAGGGCAACGATTGTCTGGCTAGTGGGAGAGTTTGCAGGTGCGGAGCCAGAGAAAAACATTGCTCCAGATGTCCTACGAATCCTGGTGAAAGACTTCGCCAATGAAGAGGAAGTCGTGAAGCAGCAGATTATCCTCTTAGGTGCCAAAGTATATTTGCACCATCTTCTCCGGAACCCTCCGATAGAGGAGCCTCAGCCAGAACCTAAACCTCAGCAGGAGTATATTAACGAGTGGGCTGATAATCAAGATGATAAAAATGCCGAGGGAAACTACGAGGCGGCGCAACAAACAGAACCGGAGGAAGATCGGATCACTCTCCTGTGGCGGTACCTCCTTCTTCTGGCGAGGTACGATACCTCCTATGACCTGCGGGACCGAGCACGACTGTATAAAGCACTCCTTTCCTCTCCATCCTCGACACAACTTGCTACTTTACTCCTCCTTGCGCCGAAACCAGTCCCGCACGTTCCGAGCCCGTCGGAGACCCGCAAGGGCTTACTGATCGGCTCAGCGTCACTCGTAGTAGGATCTGAAGCCGGAACTCATGGCCTCAGAGGCTATCAAGACTTACCAGACTGGGTAGTAGAAGGTCAAGAGCCTGATGCTAGCCTCCGGGAGCCAGACGTGAGACCGGAGTCAGCAGATAAAGCACCCTTGACTGCTGGTGAAAAGCTTGATAGGGCTCTTAGGGAGCATGAAAGTAATGTCGCAAGCTCGAGCAAGGGAACAACTTCAGCGCCCATCCGAAACAAGTCACTTGAGCAGTGGTTGGAAGACGAGGAAAGCGAAACTGAGGAGGAAACGGAGTCAGAGGAAGAAGTGACGGAATCGGAAGAAGAGGAAACCGAAGAGGAGGAAGAATCCGACGAGGAATCGGAAGAAGAAGGGACCGATTCTGACGAAGGTGAGGAAAGCAGACAGCTTCTAACCCGACGAGATGAAGCCCAAATCCAGGGTTCTTCAAAAGCCATGCCTTGACAATTATGATTTAACTATACCAGCACATCTTTTGGTCCTATAACAGAATAATCAAATAGAGCTCGATTTGTTTCCTGTTCCTTTCGTCTATATCCGTATAACTATACAGACCGAAATCCTAGACGATTGTAGCTTTTCTCTTCTAATAAGACGCCGCCGCTGTTGTAAAAATACCCACGGCTTCCTAAGGAGTATTCGGTACCGAGATGGATACGTCGTAGTAGTGTCTTCACTGTTTGTCAGGGGGAAAGAAACCATAGATAACTGAGTAGAATTTGCGTGAAGTAGCTTGTAGTAATTTCTAAACTCTCTGTCTTAACAACGCCTGATCGTTCCTCAATGAGCCGTCTGGAGATATAAAGGATCGAGAAAAGTCAGGACGACGTTTCCAGATACGAGTTTGATTTTCACGACTCCGGACATCATTTGAAGTTGCTTTGTCGTCATGTAAAGCGACTTCTCTGCGTTCATCATCCGCCTTGCTCTGATCAGATTCTTGTCCTACTCCTATATAAGGAAACTTGCCTCGGTAGACTTAGAGCGTTAGATTTCAGAGTCTAAGGCGCTGCAAGGCCCTGTTAGTGGACTTTTGGCCTACTTTATCCCATGACCTTGTCCACTCCTCTTTATGAATCTCTGTCGCTTTTAGTATCCGGTTGCTGAAAAAGTAGTAAGTAGTCGTAGCATCATCTAGACTGCTGGTTTGTATGGTTTAGCATTATCCAAAGCAAATCCTCATTTGCAAAGGACGACGAGAATAAAATGTGTGCTTTTTATCCACTATATGACCCTACTACACGTTCTCGAAACCCTTTGTCTCTTGTTCAGCCCATACGTCTTCCTGCAGGGGTATGGTGGTGTTGAACATATGATATCTGGTCCTCTCATTCCCATCAAAGCAGAAGTTTAGAATCTTCTCATGCATGGATTGATCGCTCAGTTTGCAGCCTGCAAAGAAGAGAGGTAATAAGGCCTGTCTGGACACCATACTTTCATCGCAACACGCAACCACATGGTCCACGATAACCATTGCGTGATGCACACTGCGCATCCGGATGCTGTTTCCAGGCTGCCAATGAAACACCCTCGCAGGGGAAACGTGATGCCAGGACTCAAGTGCCTGCCCGAGCTCCCAGACCACAGCAATGTTGAATGTGATGTACCGCATCGAGGACGATTTCCTCTTCTCTGCACTCAGGCGTGCCAACTGCATTACTATCTTCACGAGATTTACTGGACACACGCATAGTCCGAAATTATCCCAGTCTTGACCATTATGATTCGACAGTATGGCTTCGAAGTATGTGTAGGGGAACACGCAATCTTCCATGGATACTAGACTGGTTATTGCATCCCACCTGAGAAAGTTAGCCGGAACTTAAAGAACGATTAGCAACTGGGGCTTCATGTGCCGTGTGAGCATTCCTATTTGAACCTTTACCCTAGGGGACGTGGTCCACCCTTCAAAGCCACCGCAAGCTTCGAGGAGACCATAGGTCCCCATAAGATGCGTCCTCCTGTTTCTAAAGGCGGACTAGGTTTCCTAATACCAACTGTCGGCTTTTGCCTGGACTAGCCCTACATGGAGGGGGGACTAACATCTAACGAAAACGGGACGATGATTACGTCAAACAAGGAATATCAATCCCCCGCAATTCTGTACAATTTGAGGCTCTCGTGGAGCCGTTGGAGTGCCGCATAGCGATGATTCTGAGATGATGTACTCTTGACATGATGGCCCGCAAAGGCCACAGCGTGAACGAGAAACATAGGCTCTGGATCGAGGTCTGTGAGGTATCGAAATGGATTTACCGGGAGTTCGGACGCCAGGGGATTCTGCGAATTCACTGTTGTCTAGAATTTGTTTAGTGGATTATAGCAAGAGCAGATCGGTACAGAGAAGCATACATTTATCGAGGACGGGCTTAAACCGTTGTAAAAGCATATTGTAAAAAATACTCGGCGGTACAGAAGTAACGAGACCTAGCTCTACAATAGCAAATTGACTAGACATTTCATAGGAGCTATAAAAACCGATGTTGTTCTCCTCAAATGTCAGCAGTTGCCTATCGGGTATTGATCCAAGTATGTACATTGGCCTTCGCTGTGCACAGGTACGGGGCCGGTTCGGTCATTTGATATATGGTCTCCAGGTCAGGAGATTCGCCACTCCTACTCAAGGCCCTGAGTGGCGTCTCAATAGAATGGATAGCTTCTTCGACAGCTCTGCCTTGGGAATGAGCCCCCTGTTTGTCTGACACAACAGAATGGTTACTAAATCTTAGATCATTGGCAAGGGATAGGCGAATACCATTCTGGTCCGAGCTTGCCCGACAAGTAGTGAAGAGTTCAACAAGCGCTGCTGAGTATGTGAAAGCAGTGACTAATGAAGAGGACTGGCTTTCCATATGGCTTCTCACAGGGCACGCTGCAATAAACTCAAACTGCAGTGACCCGTCTGCATTTCTCAGTGCTCTCTGGTTGGTCCTGCGTGCTGTTGACCTTTTTACGGGCTTCCTGGACAAAGAAAACCCCAGCTGCCAAGAGAGCCGCATTTTCCGGCATTCTGTCGATACTTACTTATGCGTTGCCCATATGGATACAATGACAATCTAGATGTCGGTGTTGTGTACGTAGGACATGAGTTTTGTTAGTACACTTAATCCAAAGTAGCCTAGTGTAATTGTTCTAAAATTAGCCAAAAAGCTTAGTCGCACTGTTCTACAGCGTAGCCTCCTGCCTAATCAGCACAGTTACCTCTTTAGTCCCCTCATGAGCAATGCCGTTGCTGGCATCGTATCGAATAATTTTCAAGGAGATGGAGCCAGGAGTATACTGTTTCTGGGTCTCGGATGGGGTAAAGAGATCCGGTCTCGCCGTCCATTCATGAAAGAGGCCATTATAGACCGACGAGAGACGTTAATCGGATTGGGGAATTCGGGACCAGTTGCATTTGAGGACTCCGACTAGTAAGTAAATCTACATTTTTGCCTCTTTTCTTCTCGGTTGTCTTTTCTTTCCTTTTTTATATAAATAATATTGTTGTATCCGAAGGCGACTGTTACATTAACACTCACCTCGCCAACCGAGAATAGAGAAGTGAGATCGACTGGATCATACAAGTTCACCAACATCGTCAGATTCAGCGTTTGAGTCGATGTCATCCAGTTTCGATGGACACCCACACTCCCTATCTTGTATGACCTGCTAGCCAATCAGACTGGGAGGCTCTGGGCCTGATCGATACGATTGCATCTGCTGGGGACAGCGGACGACAGGCTAGCATACGCCGTTGGTGTGAACAATGCCTTGCTTAGATAGCGGAAGACGGGTCTCAGGCGCTAGGCTACGTGGTGCTGGAGTATACATTTATTGAACAAGGCTTGTGACCATGCTCATGGTTGCGCAGGACACTCGCCGGCGCGGCGTGGGACATCGTCACCTGCAAGAAGTCGCCGCGAAATGCACGAACCCGAAACTATTCACCTCGACTAACCTGTCGAACCAACAGATGCAGCGTCTGCTGCACCAGGCTAACTGGCGTCTGATAAGCCTTCTTCATGGCTTGGATTAAGAGGATCCGGAGCTTTTCTACCTCCGTACGACATCGTATTCTTGAGCCTAACTGAACCGAGCAAGTTCTTTCGTATTCAGTAATTATTCTTCGCTTTTGATGTATAGTTTCAACAATCACTGTATTCCATATCACTAATACTCCAATAATTACTGACTTCTTCTGTTTTATTAAGAGATGTTCTGATAGGTGGTTAAAATATAGTAAACTACCCTAAGAAAACCGAGAACAAGTGAGTTACTCGAGAAGCTCTATAATTACTCACAAAGCGGTGGCCTGATTTGATATTGTCTTGCACTATACATGTTAAAGGCTTTATACATGTTAGACTAGATAGCATCTTATCGCCTTGATTAAAGAACTGGTACATCTATGTCTGCTTTTTGCTCCCTTGAGATCTATTTTCTCGTATATTAAGCTAGATGCATAATATTCCAAACAACCCATATCTATTCCGCTTTCGTCTCCTTATGAAGTCCCTCGTTGCTGCTTCCACCCGCGCTATAAGGAGTTCCACTTCGACTCGTTTGAAGTGGATGGAGCTCGATCTGCTCTACCCCTGGACCTCGGAACACATGCCGTTGCCAGAGGTACCAGGCGAGGATAGCGTAGGCGGTAATCATCACAACGACAGCTCTGGATAATCAGCCTTGGCCATATACACAGAGAGAGATATAGATAGAAGGTATACTTACGGAACCCAATTCATATTGGTAGCCGTCACCGGTAAAGTAGTAGGAAAGCAGGCCACAATGTCCAAAAAACAGACCCACACACAACTGAGGACGTTGACAAACAGTCCCCATTTCCCAAGATTAAAATGCCGTCCTGGAAGAACTTGGGAACGTCCCCTCCAGGCTACGATGCCCTGGGGAATCACGTACGAGGTCATCATGAATACGATGTTGGCGCTGACCATGGATGCGAATGTCGTTGTGGATCCGAGGAAGATTAATCCGTAGCACTGTAACAATTAGTCTATCACTATGATGCAACACGGATATCACGGAAGCTTACTGTAGTGAACATTCCAGAGAGACAGGCTGCGTTTACGGGCATTTGAAGCTCAGGATGGATCTTCGCCAACCGCGTCGACTGGGGATAGCAGTTGTCCCGAGATGCAGCCCAGATTTGGCGACTTGACCCAGTGATGTTGGCCACAGCGCAGCCAAACAAGCAAATGGTAAACGCGGCTAAAAGCAAAATGGTCAGACCATTGTTACCTGTCGCTTGATAATAAATTTCGATCAGACCGATCCCACTGGGCGGGTTGATGACTTTTTCGACGTCGGTGACCACATACATACATGCAACGGCAAATGGCCATGCTACGGATGTCAGAACAATATCAAGGGCTGTTTTACGACTGAAATCATACCTGTTGCTAGTCCGATGAAGACGGGATATATCTTGGTAATCAACAATGAGATACGTGAATGATTGTGGATGTGAGACCTACTATAACCTTGGGGCCATTGATCGACGGAGAAGGGATTTCCTCGGCCATATGAGCACCCGCATCGGTGCCCATGAATCCATAAGTATTATTCAACAAACACAAGATAAATAGGAATCCTTTATCATACGACTGATTGGAATTGGTCGTATCCGCAAATACCCATGCGCTGGACTGGAAATCCGGAGCGGCGCATGCCAGGATAACAACGATAGTTAAGAGGAGGGTTGACATGGAAAAGTAAACTGCATAAATCTTAGCAGATTAGCTGGTTTTAGGCATCCCTTCTACTCACGAATAAATTGATTGAATGCGGGGAGGAACCGCGTGCCAAAAATGTTGAATGCAACGGCTAGCCAGAGAACTGCCACATAGCAAAGCCATTGATGAAAGGGACGGATCGTGTACTCTTCAACACACAGATGTACCATAGCCAGCACCATTGCCGCAACAAAGTTGCACACGCTTGCCAGCCCTAGCCACCAACCGGACGTGCTGATACAGGCTGACCTGGACAACATGAGCAACGTTCATGAGAATGAAAACATGCATATCACGTACATATACGACGCGAAAGGTGCCCATTCTGGACTCGCAACACGAAAGGACCAATAATATTGCGCTCCCGAGTTTGGATAAGCCGAAACGAGCTCTGCCATGCCGAGAGCAACAACAAGGTTCATCACGGCAGCAATAATTAGCGTCCAGATAGTTCCAAAGGAGGAAGACTCAGCCATGCTTGTCCCAATTGCACTTCCAAACCCATTCCAAGTAGCTGTCAGTGCGAACCCTAGAGAAAACAGCGATAATAGCGAAAACCTCCGAGGCATTTCCCGTGTATATCCTTGAGCCTCGAGCTCGCGGTCATCGGCATCGCTCTGATCATGCATGGTGACTACAGACGAAGGAAGGGTAGTTACTTTCCTTGAAGGCACATAGGAGATGCACTTTGGGTGTTGAATAAGTGCACCAGGATTTAATATAGCGTCGACACAGCCGGCCTTCCTATCCCGGATTAGATGGGTCATTATATCACGTGATGACACTAACATGGTCTTGGCTTATGCCTAATCCAACCTCCCAAATCTGTACCTCCCATTGAAACCTCGTAGACTCAAGGAAGTTAGTCGAATCAGTCGATATAATGGGCTGGAATAGACTGTCTGTACTACGTATATCACTGCATTGTGTAAACCTTCAACGTCCTTGTCGATCGGCCAAGAAGACAGCTTGAAAGAGTAAGATGGCCGGATGTGGTAAGTGGCTCAATGCGGCAAGAGGCTAGATCTGGCAGGCAAAGACCCTGCTCAATGGAGATCATTTCCCGAAGAGGTATTTAGACAATTTCCTCAGCACCGGTATCAACATGATCAACTAACAGTGACTGAATGGTTTTGGCAATGCATCGACATGAGGGGAAAGGCAAGTCGCCTGCACTCCACACAACGGTATAACGGCACCTTGGCAAGGGGGAAGGCGTCAATACATTTTACTGTTCGCCCACAAAACGAATGCTATTTGACGATAACTAGTGCTTGATATGCTTGCCATATCTGTGACTTGTTTACGTCGGCGACTCAGTAGTACTTCCTCTGCACAGCGATATTATCGGCGACTGTATCACCTGATCGCTGAGCATGTAATAATAACTTTTGCACCTTAACCAAGTTCAACAACAACTACCTTATCCCAGCCCAGGTATGAGCTAACCGTCAGCATGGCCTCTGGACTCTTTTTCGACCCCATTGCGGCCCTGCGTATCGTCCCCCTTGTGATGCGACTATACCCTGTGTCTCGCCTCTAACCATACACTCTTCCTGTCTGTCTTCAACACGCCAGAAAACCGGAGCAAGGGCAAAGATATCCTCCCTTCCTGGTTTGGAATATTTTCCCCCAGGGGCCTTACCCGGGTGCTGATCCTGCTGTCATTGACCATCACCTCCTCGGTAACCAACCATTTTATCAACGGACTGTCCTCGGTGGAGAGAGAGACAGTTCTTGCGCTAGTATTCAGCGGGAGCTGTTTTTGCTGCCAGTCATCTCTTCTTTGTGCCAGCGGTAGCCCTAGAATCAGAGCCATTGTGGACGACACTTTCAAGGGACATAGTACGAAGGATCTCGAGGGTTGGTTGAATATCAATTTGATTCGCACGTTCTCCGTGGTTCTACTTGCATGGGCGTGTTTTGTTATTGATGTTTTGTGCAATGTGAAGTTGTGACTCAGTGGTCGTTGGAGTGGAACTGATCAGTTAAAGTGATATACACACCATCAACTTAACCAAACCAGGACTTTTGATTCCACTCATTCTAAGGAGAGCCGTCAAACGCTGGGATTGTCGGATACGATTTTTACAATATTCCCAATCGAGTTAACAACTCTTCCGCCAGAGATCAATTCTTTTATGACTCTCATACTCTCCAATGCGTTACTGGTTCTCCCTGTTATGTTGTTTGTCCTTGATGCAGTGTCTTCTGACAGTCCAAGGCAATAAGATCATGACGCGAAACACTTGGCTGCGAACGAGGCCCGGAACGTCGGTATATTCACCAGTAATCGTATAGGGCCTGGAGCAAATAAGGTATTGAATAGCTTGCATTTATCTTGTCCATATATAGAGATCTCATGGAACTATGATGATATAGAACTAAAGGATTTAATGTTCCACAGTCTTACATTGGAGTCTGGCGCTTTCCTAGTAAGGATATATCAAAAAAATATATATCCATAACAATAATACCAAGTAGAGCTCGCTTCGAGCTCATGATGTTTTGGTGGATTAACGGTATTTATTTAAAAAGTGAAAAATGTAGGAAGAGGAGATTGTGGAGCTGTAGATTCAGAAATGAATTACATACGTCTGACCCTTTGGAAGAACGTCGATATAGGCTTGTATTCCACTACTACCCACCTCTAGCAGCGAATAGCGACGATCATCATGCTAACACTGGAGTGGAAATTAATTCTGCGTCGGTTCCCATCCTGTCATGGCAAATATAGCAAAATAATATTATATCCCCAACATCTCTCACTCATCATTTCCAGTTACTGACTAACTGCATGATTATGTCTGCAAATATATTCAAGGTGACTGAGCATACAGTTCCAGGCTGTCATATCTGCGAATATCCTGGGAGTATAAAGTAGAGCCAGGAAGATATCTTGATGCTACAAGTCAAGCGATATACACCTTTGAATTAGGCTGGATATGTCCCCCCTGACGGGATCACTTTGATTGCACTTCATGGCATTAGTCTTCCCAAGGTAATGGTACCTATAAACCCAGTGACACTATCCTTAGTGTTGAATAACCCAGCAGGAACTCCACGAGCCCCTCTGGGACGAGATCTACTATCAGTAAAAGAAGAATGGTTTTGCCATCTGAAGTATCTGGATAGCCGATGTCGCGAGCATGGGCACAAGCGGCGTAATCAATGAAGACAGCCTCAGCACTGACTGTAAGTCCTCGACCACCTCTTTCTTTCTGCAGACCTGGCTCCTCCAGTTTCATTGATGGATCATCCTCGCGATCTCCTTTTGATGATCAACAATTTCCGGAATCAGATGCCGCGGCCCCTTGTTGGAATCGGCCTCAGTTTTGGCGGGACATTCTTGTATATACGCATCTCGCCTCACGTCTGAACAATCATAACTAGGTCTCTACCTTTCTAGAACGAAACCTGCGCTGTTGCATCCACACTTATTTACTTCCGTCCTTCTTCTGGACCCAGCTATTCCTCCGTGCCGGATATGGGTTTTGGATCTGATCCCACTGGTCCAATCAATTACACCGTTGGAGTGATATTTGGCCAAACCGGAAGGCTTCTGCAGCGGCCTACTCCAAGACGTGGCAGGGCTTAGATTGCCGTTTTCGACTTGATGGCTCAGTTTATTTCGCAACATTCCTACGGCACTTTGTCCTGAACTCCCGGATGGTGCAGATCGTTCTGACTGACTCTCGCAACTACCAAGTACCGGGATGCTTTAAGCCATGCGCGTGCGAACTTTTCCGCCCCCACCCCAGGCGGTAGAATCGACGTTGACCGAACAACCCGTGCTGATATGGACCCTCTGAGTACTTTTAAGCCACTCTATCGTCCAAAACAATGGGGTACTTTATACAGGCTCCCTGCCCTACGGCCTTAGCATTATGGCTACTTGGAACCAAGAGCTTTTTAAGACTTGACGAAGTCAGAGAAGGTATTAAAACTTGTGGTCAAGGGAACGGGGCAGTGGAGGTGCGCCACATTGCAAGGTCAAAGTCGTCAACCTGCCTGGACTCAGCCACGTGTTTCCATTTGAGGATGCGGGATAGACAGCGAGGCACTGTGCAAATTGCCTGGGCCATGAGATGGAGACATACAGGGAGTCGAAGAAGGAAAGGTATAAGAAAAGGGGAATCAATAAGTAAACATGACCATCTGGTTACTTGAGAAGGGGTGGTTCAAAATTGTTAGGCCCTCTGCTAAGCCACGGATGCGGAATGACAAACTGTAGTCCTCGCATCTATAGTTCTTGCTTAACTATTCGTCCAAATCCCAGACAAACCGTGAAGTGTTTTGTAAGCAAACCTTCTAGACTACTCACTAAACCAGAAAAGGTAAGACTGAGTGTGCCTGGAAAATATATTGCCTACTTGGCCTTCCAAATCAAACAGGCGGTTTTCCCTGGCAGAACCGCTAGCTCCGCGGCCAAAGAACGACGGTGAGTAGTGATCTTGGGATGACAGCCTCTGTATTACGATTCCTATCGTCAATCTTCGTGTCTTCAGCTCTGGATTCTTCCATGGACTATACGCCAACATTCGTCCGACACTAACGTCCTGCCATTAACGAGCCCCCGGACGTCGTCGATTGGTATCCTCTTCATCTAGTTAGGCCTTGCGCTACACGGGTTCCGGCCTCGCTGCCCACCCTGCTCTGTCTTGTGGCTTTGTCAGTCATAATGCGAATTACTGTAGGAACCTCTCAGACAGACATAGGTATCCCTTCTCGAGACGACCCGCATACACTTCGCCTTCTAGTGCCTCTTCGGCCTCTCTATTGGTTACATCGTGCGCCTGCACAAACGTTCTCTCTTCCGCATTTTATTTCCTATCATTCTTATCCTGTACCAATATAAAAAGGTTTTCGGAGCTTATTTATTAGCTCTGATCTGATCGCAATGCCTGGGTTACCGGGTAAGTTTTTTCTTCACACTTGTTGTTTCTCTACGGGGGCTCATGGTTTGGCAGCTAGCATTGACCTGGACGAGTGCATCGAGAGGCTCTATAGAAAAGAGCTGCTGGCGGACTCGGTGATTGAGGCAATATGTGCCAAGGCGAAAGAGTTGTTAATGAAGGAGAGCAATGTGGTCCACATTGCGGCTCCGGTCACGGTGGTGGGAGATATTCATGGGCAGTTCTTCGACATGATCGAAATCTTTAAGATCGGCGGATTCTGTCCCAACACAAATTATCTGTTCCTCGGTTAGTGAGCCCTGGCTTGCCGGATTGGTTTGACTAAATGACACGGGATGGTTGTGTTGACGGGTTTATCCTCCTGCAGGTGACTACGTCGACCGTGGTCTATTCAGTGTCGAAACGATTTCTCTCCTTGTCTGCTTAAAGCTGCGCTACCCGCATCGTGTTCATCTAATTCGTGGAAACCACGAGTCCCGTGGCGTTACGCAATCATACGGGTTCTATACTGAATGTGCCCGCAAATACGGCAATGCTAACGTCTGGCATTATTTCACCGATATGTTTGACTTTCTTACATTGAGTGTGGTCATCAACGATCAGATTTTCTGTGTGCACGGTGGCCTCTCCCCTTCCATCCATTCTATAGATCAGATTAAGATCATCGATCGGTTTCGCGAGATCCCCCACGAGGGGCCCATGGCAGATTTGGTTTGGTCCGATCCCGACACCGAACGCGACGAGTTCTCCCTCTCCCCGCGTGGAGCCGGATATACGTTCGGCGCGCAGGTAGTTCGAAAGTTCCTGGAGGTTAATAGCATGTCCCACATTCTGCGGGCCCACCAGCTATGTCAGGAAGGATACCAGGTTCTCTACGATGATCGTCTGAGCACCGTATGGAGCGCCCCGAATTACTGCTACCGGTGCGGAAACCTTGCCAGCGTGCTAGAGGTCAGTGATACGGGTGAGAGGTATTTCAATATTTTCGACGCCGCTCCGGAGAACGACAGCCATCGCGAGCAACAACAAGCGCAGCAGAGCAAGGACGGTCAGAATCCTGTGATTGATTACTTTTTGTGATACCCTTTTTGTTCCCTTCCAGTTTTTATTGTGTTTTATTGTTCGATTTAGGCTCCGTGTGCGATGTTTGGAGTTTGGTGCATGTAAAGTATTTATAGATAGCATTAAGATGGGGTGCATCTCATAGATGACAACTATACTAAGTGTCATGGCGATCCTAGGCCCAGTGTAGCTTCTGTATTACTACATAAGCATCAGGACATGTATGCTTCTAACGATGGCAAGAAAAAAAGAAAAAAAAAAAAAAGAGAGAGAGAAAGAAAGTTCAAGGAGTCAAGTCCAACGCTTCTGGATTTTAAAACAAGAAAATATGCTGTTCACGCTAGATTCGCAGTTTCATACGAAGACAATCAGTTTTCCCAATTCTTTGCAATATCAAAGGACCATTCAAACAACAGATGGGTATGTTTGTCGTCGTCCACAAACTTGGAGACCGCATTGTAATGGCCACGTGCCAACATTCCCGATGGCGCCTGTTCCTGATTGACTACAGGGATCTTTATTAGCTAACGGTCCACTAGCAACGAGAGCAGAAATCACTTACACTTCTTCTCATACACTGGTTTGTCAGTGGTGCTAGGGGCATAACTTCCCTGTGGACGGAGTTAGCCGGCTCAGCTTTTCGTATTCATCCATCCTCTCTCTCTACTCACCAGCATCTCTTCATCCTTGCTGACGGTGATACCCTTCCGCTTCACCACTTGCAGATACTTCAGGCCGCTCAGAACCTCGTGATTGACTTGAAACATGGCCTTGATTCGGAAAGTAGCCCCCTCCTTGATGGTAAACGGCTTATTTTTCAGATCCTCGACCGCACCGGGGGCGGACAGTTCAATCACGACGTCGGGTCGTCCCTGAACCTCCAGGGCAAGACTCTTGATGATACACTTCCTGGGATCTTTGGGGTCCCCGATTGGAGTACCGGTAGCTAGACCCAGGGAGGCCTTCCACCGGTTAAGGGATTCGTCATTCTTATCTGCATGGAGACATAGGTGAGTAACGGAGGATTAAAATAAAGGATAGACGGAATGGGAATTTTCCACCATCCACAATCTCTGGCTCAACTATCTAGCTAGCTAGGTAGGGAGCTATATACCAAGCTCTGCAGGAGGCAAGGGGCAACCCCACAAGGCCGCTTCGGTGCAGATTGGAATCCAAATGACGGGCGGGAAGAAAGGATCCACAATACATACCAAGCTCTGTATATTCCTCAATGGTCTTCTTCTCACCCACCTTGAAGCCCTCGGTGGTAGAAGCGACAAGTTCATCGTCGTGGTGGGGGACTTCACTTGTGGTCATGTTTTCGGGTTTCAACTGATTGTTTGGCGGGGTACCTGATCGGGATTTAATTGGTGATCTAGTCAGGGGAGGAGAGGGGAATTTACCGGAGATGGGATAAAAAGAATCACTCACGACACGATATATAGAATCGGACAATAGCTAATGCCAATAAGAAGAGAAGGAAGAGAGAGGAAGAGTATGGGGGAAGAAAAGGAATCTCTCTACCTTTACTACTAAGAGGGGTGTTTTGGCTGTCCAGCGACGCTCATTCGCTACGCTGCGCCCAGTGGGGTTAGATAGGCGGTGAAGCAACGAGTCTGATTTTGTAGACGAACTAATACTTGGATATAATAATGTATCTAGGAGACTTTGGGGTGGAATGGGATTGTATAGGTGGCGAGTAGTTCAGGGTCTTACTCACAGGGTCGGATGCCGATGTATCCAGCTTCAAGGTCTATATATATTTTACTATACACATACCGAGATTTCCACCCATTCAATCGAACCCAATCAGATCTATGTCAGTAATAACCCGAATATTCAGAGAGATCTGAAGGGTCGTCAACCCCGAACTGTTATGTCAAATTCATTGACGCAGCGACAATTCCGCGACGTACTTCCCGGTCACGGGGCAACCGGTTTCCGGCCAGATTCCTCAGGCGATAGGGCAGCGATACCGTACTATACAATCATTGGTCTCACCAGATACCGGGGGATGGGCCCGAGACGATGATACATGCCAGATTGGGTAGTTATGGTGGAGTCCCTCGAGTGATTACTGGTGGATATCCACCATGTCAGGATTAGCGTGGTATGGTTCTGGGAACGGTACGGTATGGTTGGGTACAGGCAATCGCCCACCCCATTTTCCTCCCCATTATTATTTTCCTCCCCTACTTGCTTTCTCTATCAGACGTCGGATTGACTTGATCTCGACTCGATTTTTTCTTTTACCCTTTCTTTTGTTATCATCTGACTGATCGCGGACATTATCGTCTCTCTGCCACTGAGACTGCACCGAGTCAATCGTGGTGCCTAGATATCCTCTCGGTGGTGACGTCTTAACCCTCGATCTTCTGGCGAGCCGCGAAAGACGCGCCTGCAACGTGGCCGACGGTTTGGCGTCGCATCCTATCTCAACCCTGCCCCGGAGAGCCTCTCCCCCTCCCCCCCCCCTCGGCCCGGTCGAAACACTTCCTCTATAGCCCGGCCCTTTTTTGTTTGATCGAGGCCCTCAACCACTATGGCGCGAACGCTTCCGAAAAAGAACAACCCTCTTATCCAGGCGGCTGAGGCGCCTGCCTGTAAGTTCCGATCTTTACCCGTCGCGGAAGGCCCTAGCCCACGCATGTCGCCTCGACCGTGGGCTTTATAGTTGCGCCGGACTAACGTATCACTTCCCGGTGACTGCAGATGAGGAACTCCTGGCGCGCCGTCGCTTGGGAAAGACAAATCTCGCGGTCAAGCCAACTCAGGTTGGCACCTCGAATGCGACAAAGCCCGAAAACCTCGGACCTTTCGAATATGCTCATCTGCGCGCCCCGTTGCCCAGGGATCTCAAAGGCTCTGAAATCTTCCCATCACACTCGCCCCAGCAGCACCCGGAAACATACTTCCTGATGGTAAGTCGCCTTTCCCCCAATGCCCCCATGCGCCCGGCACCGCGGCCCCATGCAGCAGCGATTAACGTCATATGACTTTCTGTTGAAAAGCGACGGAGCAAGGATGGTTATGTTAGTGCCACGGGTATGTTCAAAATCGCCTTCCCATGGGCGCGCTTGGATGAGGAACGGTCCGAACGTGAATATTTGAAATCCCGAGACCAGACCAGCGAAGACGAGATTGCTGGGAATGTTTGGATCTCGCCCGTACTAGGTAAGTGCAGCCTTCCCGTGTCAATAATGGATAGGTTGGGTGTGGTTCTGATCGTTCCCCAGCCCTTGAACTCGCGAGAGAGTATCAGATGTATGACTGGGTTCGGGCCCTGTTGGATCCCACCGACATCGTGCAAAGTCCATCCAGTGCAAAGAAACAGATCACGCTGCCACCCCGATTCGACCTGCCGCCGATTGAAGCCCCGCCCCAGCTTTCGGCGCCTTCACTACGGGCCAGAAGCCGCCGATCGGCCTCGCCGAGCAAAAAGGCCGGCTCTCCACGCAAGTCGCGACAGACTAGGGCCATGAAGGAAGCCACCGCGGCGGCAACCAGCGAAGCGAACGCGAATCTCCAATCGTCACTGGACGCCACAGCGCATCTGGGACCAGCCAATGGCGTCATTCAACCAAGTGTAGAGAACGACGAGGAGCAAGTGGAGACCCCCTCGAAATCTGCCACCACTTCTAAAAAGTCCGACGTGACATCCAAGACAAAGAAGTCTACCAAGTCCGCTCGACGTGCGGAGTCACCGGCCGACGAGAAAGTCAAGGTGGAAGCTGAAAGCAATGCTGATGCCAACAAGGAGGGTCGAACCTCGCAGACTACCGTTTCCGTTGAACTGCCCATCACCCTCCCGGAGGCCCCATCTGCAGAAGAGACAAAGAAAATGATCACCCAGGCGAAGGAGATGGTCAAGGAGGCCGTCAAGCTTCAAACTACCGAGAAGGAGCCGGCCGAATCATCAATAGCGGCAGCAGCCAAGAAGCGCAAGACTGATGCGCTCAGTGACAATGAGGAGGATGAGGAAACAAAAGCCGCCTGTCTCCTACGTGTAAAGAGAGCCAAGGTTTTGGAAGAGAAGCTGAAGCGCGAGCGAGTGAGGAACCGTGCCCTTGTTGGCGTGACGGCTGCTTTTGCACTGGCGTGAGTATCCTTCTACCCAGTGTATTGGATTTGGAATGCTAATAGGAACCAGAGCCTCGATTCCTTACTTTTTCTAGAGTTATTTAATTGTCGAAATTGAAGATATCCGTTTCCCCCCCACTCCCTCTTTATCCCAGTCTAGAGGACCGTGGATAACTTTCTACCCTACACCTTGTCCATGTACCCTCCTATCTATTTTCTCTACCTCTATGCTCGAAGCCCTAGTTCTTGTTCCCTAAATGCGCGTTCCCGAAGGATATTGTTTTTATGCTGATTCTTGATGTATCGTATTTACATTTTCACATCGTTTTATTAATTATTTCCCCCCCTTGGTTGCGAGGAAAGATGCGCATTCTATTGGAGGAATGGGTGGCATCGATGGCTCATCCTTGTGGTTGGTGGTCCTGGAGATCGAGGAAGAAACATTGGGTTTCAGTCCGTTCCTTTGATGTTGCAATCTCCTATTCCTTCCTGGATACCTGATATACCTTTTCATAATTGTGTGGTTCAACTCCTTTCGTCTTCTTCCATCTCGTTTGGCTCTATCTCCAGGGTATCCCTCGGGCGATGGTGTAGATTGGGACTGAACTGTCCAAACTGGATCATCCGAGCGGATTGGGGGAACAGTTGTTAGGTAGAAATGCAGATGATACTGATGTGTTTCTTTGTATAACCGCCCTGTCTGGCGGTTGATGCATTCTTCCTGGCTTTCCTTGTAGATGCATGTGTGCGACAGAAGCGGCCAGGCAGATACGTCGCTCGATAATATAGTTCTTGCCACCTTCTATTTCGATGCTTTCCTCTTCTATCTGTAGGTATATTTCGCACACTTCTGGTGGAGATCAAAGTCACGTGCAATATGAAGCAAACAGTGCATTAAATGCAAACTAGCCAAACATCGTCATGCTTTCGATTGTTCGAGTATTTGACGGTGCCACAGACGCTCGCTTCCTCCTCTTCCCTCAGCAATGCAATGTCTCTTCCAGGATTAGAGCTCACGCAGCCGTCAGCGGAGAGGGAATTTGTCCCCGCCCCGCCGACGCAGATCAGCCTGTCCAAGGGCTCGGAATGGCGCTTTGAGGTCGCATTCGGGACCACCGTTCGAGTCAAGGTGGGTCACCCGACTTTCATGCATATTTCCCATCCCTTGAATGAGACGGACAAGGGCTGACTTGTCCCCAAATATTCAAATGGAGGATGCGTTGTAGCTCCTCGCTGGTACTGCAGAACTCTTTGGCACCGAACTGGCCCCCGCCCAGACTTACACCTTCTCCGGGACGAAAGCGGCGATCTACACCTGGCATGGCTGCACACTGGAAGTCAGCGCCGGCGATGCAATATCATCGCTGGATGGACTACCGTCCGCAGGCGTGAATGGCGCAGCCACTCGTGGGCTCGGCGCTGGTGGGTGTCAGAGCGAGTACACTGCGGAGGAGACTCCGATGGTGGAATACGCGAATGTGCACTTTGCGTTGGAGATGCTGCGTCAGGAGGCCAAGGCCATGGGCAGAGATGGACCGCGGGTCTTGATCCTGGGGCCCGAGGATGCGGGAAAGACGAGCCTGTCCAAGATCTTGACGGCTTATGCGACGAAGGTCGGCAGACAGCCGATCGTGGTCAACCTGGATCCCACTGAGGGGATGCTGAGTGTTCCCGGCGCGTTGACGGCGACTGCATTCCGTACCATGATCGACGTGGAGGAGGGTTGGGGTAGTAGTCCCATGTCGGGACCTAGTGCGGTCCCGGTGAAACTGCCGCTGGTCTATTTCTACCCGATGCACAACCCGCTGGAGGCTGATGGGTCGATCTATCGGCCCATTGTATCTCGGCTGGCGCTCTCAGTGACCGGGAGGTTGGCAGAGGACGAGGAGGCTCGCGAGACGGGCATAATCGTGGACACACCCGGGATTTTGAGTCAGAGCAAAGCCGGCAGCATCGAGATGATCAATCATATCGTAACAGAATTTGCAAGTATGTGTTTTGTTCCCCTCTTGAGGAAGCATTGCTTTTGCTGACCTCTTTGCAGTCACTACGATCCTAGTCATTGGCTCGGAGCGCTTGTATAGTATCATGATGAAGAACTACGATAATAAACCGAGTGCCAGCGCCAGCGCCGCTGCGTCGGATGAGCGCATCTCGGTCGTGAAGCTGTCTAAGTCTGGCGGATGTGTCGACCGCGACGCCACGTTCATGAATGCAGTGCGCGAATCCCAGATCCGAACGTATTTCTTTGGTAATCCGATCCCCTCGACGGCTTCAGCCGCTCTTTCACTCTCGACATCGTCCACCACCAACGTCACGCTATCCCCGCACGCGCAGCAGCTCGACTATGACTCCCTTGGGATCTACAATTATACCATGGCATCCCTCGATGACGACGAAGACGAGTACGACCCGTCCCAGTTCGGCGCGAGCGATGCGTTCCTCCCCGGCGGAGGCCATGAAGCGGACGCCACCACTTCTCATGTACACGAGGAGGCAGCAACGCCGTTGCCCGGTATCATTGCTTCCACCGAGACTGCGGGCCCGTCGTCCATGGGTACGAATGTGCCGCTAAAGAAGACGCTACCGCCGGCCCCGTCGACTCTGGCTAACTCCCTCCTGGCGGTCACCCATGTACCGCCGACTGCGCGACCCGCCGAGATCCGCGATTCCAGTATCATGGGCTTCTTGTACGTGGCGGACGTGGACAGCGAGAAAGGGAAGATCCGGGTGTTAGCCCCTGTGGGAGGACGAGTGCCTCCACGGGCTATTGTCTGGGGGAAGGGGTGGCCAGGAGAGGTTGTCGGATTAGTTGGGTAGTGATTTATTTTATTTTTGTTTTGGTGTGTAGAATATATGGAGTTCTGGCCATGGGAAGTTATCCAATTATCCAATGAATTGAAAGAATTTGAGACATGCAGCTGCAGTAATGCTTACACTTATACACTTGGTCAGGGTGAGCACTGCCACGAAGGAATAATAATACATAGTAATAATAATAATATATATATATATATATATATGTAGTCCTTAATACCATCAATATACAATATATCCAAATGTCAGACATGAATTGGCTGCGCAAATTATTCCGGTTCAAAACGCGGCAAGAAAAGGCGCAAGAAAAGGCCGCCCGACAACGCAGCCGCCGCATTCGCGCTCGCGAGCGACAACTAAGACGTCAACGCGAAGGTGGATCTCGATGGTATGTGCCAGGAAGTCCGGTTGACTTTGTGTTATGATCTCTCTTTGCTTTCAATGAATTAAATTCAGCTCCAATTTTTTTTTTAAAAAAATGCTACTTCCAAGACGCAAACTCCGCCGTCTCGTCATTATGCTCCTCCCTTTCCTTCTCTCCGCACTCCTTCTCACCCCTCTCTACTTCATCTACAAGCCTCCGGGACTATTAATTCGCTACTTTCAGTACCGCTGGCCGGATGTCCTATGGCATGTCCCGAGGACATCGCCTTCCTCCTCTTTGACGAAACTCATCGCGTTAACCATCGATGACGCACCCTCCACACATACCCGCGACATCCTCTCCGTACTAAAAGCCCACTCCGCCACCGCTACATTCTTCCTAATCGGATCACATATCCAAGACCATGAAGACCTCCTCCATGAGATGATCCGCGGGGGTCACGAACTAGCGAACCACGCTATGCGCGACGAGCCGTCCAGGGGACTATCCGACGACGAGCTCGAGCGCCAACTACGTACTGTTCAGGACTCGATTCGCGCGGCGTACAACGCCGTTGGGGAACGGGAGCCCGCGCGCCGGTTCTTTCGTCCCGGGTCGGGATTCTTCAGTGATCGGATGAGGGATGTGGTGAGGAATCTGGGGTTTAGGATTGTTCTGGGTAGCGTGTATCCGCATGATGCCCAGGTATCCTGGCCCAGGGTGAATGCTGCTCATATTCTTAGTATGGTCAGGGATGGGAGTATTGTTATCTGTCATGATCGGAGGAGTTGGACGGTCCCCATGCTTAAGGTGGTTTTGCCGGAGTTGGAGAGGAGGGGGTATCGTGTTGTTTCGCTGTCGGAATTATTGAATGAGGAGGATCGTTCGTGATCGTTTGTTTCATACCTTACTATTGGATTATTTTGCGATGGGCTGGATGACCTGTGTATATAATGTTTACTTGGTTCTACCTGTACATATCTAGATCTATACTACCAACATGATGATACATTCGTACATTTAGCAGATAAACAGCAGAAAGATCAGAACACAAAGAAGCAAAAAAGGACAAAGAATAGAAAAGACACTTAAAAATGAAAAACAAGAAAGACAAAGAGAAAAAGAAGTGCCTGCACTACTCCCAAATCTTCCATTCTTCTAAATTCTTTCGCAACTCCGTCTCACAGTCATACCCCCGAGCCTCGTCCTCTAGCAACTCCTCACGACGCTCCCGGAACCGTCGCTCCGCGTCATATCGTCGCAGCGCGATAAGTTTGAGATAAACCAGGTCGTCCCGCTGCACCGCATCCCGAAACCTGGCCCTCATACGCGGCGAATATAGCTGACAGCTTGCTTCGCGACACCGGGATGGCCCCTCGCCTGCCGGCAGCCGCATCAGAGCCGAGAACTGGCGCGCCATCGGCTGGTTGGCCTTGACCAGCGGCCAGACCACGTCGTCATAGCAATCCTCGCACACTGTCAATTCCGGCACTTGCGGCATATAGTGCCAGGTGTTGAGCACTAATCGGTCGCGACGACAGTCCCGAAGGACGACCTTGCGTCGCGCGTAGGCCATGAACTCGCTCAGATCGGGCGCCGAAAACCACGCTTTCTCGGACCGGTTCGCCGCGATGTCCAGATAGTCGATGTATCGCACGAAGCGCGGGCTATCGGTCACAAAGTCACACACGCGAGCCTGCGCCGTGGTGCTGCGCTTGAACGTGTCCCGGTGAGGGGGCATAAGAGTCCGTAGATTCCTCACGCATCCCGAGCACACATTGAATTTCGGCAGGAACACCCCCGTGTCGGGGTCAATGATGCGATACCAGTGCTGCTCGCTGATGATGCGGCCAGTACAGGGCTTGTTTCCGGATTGGTTCCGCGCTATCTGGTGAAGCAGATCGAGGTGGTCCAGCTGTTTCTTGAGTGTCTGCATCCATGCCAGCCGGATCCATGGCTCGCTCATGGAGCAGCGAATCTTCTCCCCACGTGGTCGGGGGTTTCCAAGGACGAAGGCATCGCGGAATTTGGACTTGCGCATCTGTTTCAAGCACGAAGGGCAGATGTTCAGGTGCGTTAGCCCTCGGATCGTGAACCAGTCCTGGTAGCCTGCGACCGGGATAGACCTGGGACAGGGTAAAAGGTAGGCGCTAGAGTTACTGGGCGAGGGCTGACGAGCAGCACCCTGGGGGGACGTACTCCGGGACGATTGGGGTTGCTGAACAACATCTGGTGCAGCGTTCCGGAGATACGACTGAGGCTTGGGCGCTACCTCGGAAAACGAGACCGCCCGTCGAGTGCGAACTGCGGGCAACTCGTCCGATGTAAATGACCGTGGTTCCTGGACTTCCCCTGTGAACGGGCGTTGTGGCGCGTTTGTCATAGCTGGCGCCACGGAAGTAGCAAAGGGGGGCCGCCGTTGGATCCTGGTCTTTATTGGCCGCACAATCAGGCTTTGGGAATGCCGATGCAGGTCCTGTCTGTGATCCTTGAACAGGGGGCTCGGCAGTGGCATTGCCAGGTTTGGTAGCAGATAAGGGAACAGATGAGCCATGGTGATCCTGCCCGGCACCTTGTGCAGAAGACTTCGAGTCTCGCTGCTCCTGTCGCTGTCTTAATTTCTCTTCCAGTCTTTCAGCCAAGGTGGGCGTGTTGGGAGAATTCTGCGAAGTCTTTTGGTTTTGGGGGGGGGGGCTGAATGGGCTCTGGACGGTCACCCTTGGCCTTGTGCTTGACTGTAGCTGTGTCAGAGAGGTAACCAGAGGCAGAAGTCTGCTGTTGGGTGTCGGTGGCCGAGCACTTCAAGGGTCGCCCTGACTTCACACTCTCGGAACGTCTGGGAACAGAAGACGAAGCGGAGTTATATTGCAGTCCGTTTTGAGTGTGTGCCCGGGAAATTGCCTTCCGAGAATCTGGAAGAGGAACATCCTTGGATTTTGCAGGAAAGTTGTCATTCTGGGTTCGAGAGCTCCTGGGGCTGGAATCTAGTTGGTGGAAAGCTGATCTCGATCCCTTCCCGGGAACATTGCTCTTAAGGTCCTGTCCTGATTGTGAAGGTCTCCCGGATGTCTGGCCCTGAGGAAGAACCTTTTGCGATGTGAATGGCATAGGAACGGAGAATTTCCTCAGAGGACCCTTCCCTAGGTGAGCATCGCCGGGCGGCGTTGGGGGCCCGGTACTGTCATCCGACGAATTGATTTCTCGGCAGAACTCCTCCACAATGGTGGTTTCAACATTAGAAAAAACATCCATAATCACGGGGTATTGATCAACGGTTCCTCTGGCGCATACTCCTTCGATCCCGGGCATGTCTCCAAGGCTGGACAGTCCGTGCCATTCACGGGCGAGCGATTCCACTTCGTCTTCTACAGACGGCAAAGGTGGCCATTGCGGCCTCTTGCGCCAGAACGGCATGGTTCACAATGGGTTCTCACAAAAAATGGGTTGTTGCTAGTTCCAATGGGGAGGGGAAGGTGGCGTGGCTCCTTGATTTGCGACAACAGCTATCCTGTTGCAGTGGCACAGTGAATTAGAGTCACTTTCCTGGTTGCAGTTGGCATGTTATACCCCTCGTGTCAACTCACTCGGGAGTTTCAAGGCAAAAATCAAGAAAAACCCCTGTGGTAGAAGAAAAATACCAAAAATAAAAAAAAAAGAAACAATTGATCCGGTTAGAGTACAAACTGCAAGACTAGGAGACAATGAGGTGCAGACCACCAGGGCCTTTGAAGCTATTAAATATTAGGTAAGAGACAGAAGGACCAAACTTTTCTGTTATACATCTAAGGATAAAGAAGAATTAGAGGGAGGTTGCAGAGAGGTGTATATAAATCCCAATGGAAAACCTGGTCGGGCAGCGCCTCTCGTCGTGGTGGCCCTATCACGGCCTGGGCCCTGAAGGTTGGGCGTTAAGAGGCGACGAATCAGGCCATGCAAGATGAAACACAGCGACTATGACAGGACGTTGACAATGAAAATGAATGGTTCTCCAGAGGACAAGTCAACAGGCACAGGAGTCGAAACATGGGATCCCAGCCAGAGGATAATGGCGTCCATCACTCGCTACGATGTCGCTAAGTAGAGGGATGCCAATCCACTAGGTCAGGTATGCTGGCTTTGTTTTTCCAGTCCCCCCAATGGGCAGCCGAGCCAGTAATCACGCACAACAGGGAAGAATGGACAACCCAGTGTGGAGAGACTGAAATGTGGAGGATTGGACCGTGACAGTTCATGGGCAACGATCCCTAGGCAGGGCTGTGGAGTACGTCAAGCCTTGACTCTCTCAAGGAACGGCATCCTGGGCGACGTGCGGTGGTTGGGCCTTCTTGTGTACTGAATATGCCCACCGCATTTCAATTTTTTATGTCGATCAGGTTGTTCTGTCAATTCTGGTGTGATGAAAGCATGGGATCCTAGTTTATTAGTCTGTTAGTTTGCATAGGGGCGATGCTGATGACGATGTTGATGGTGAACTGTTGGATATGGGAAGGATTTGGCTGTTCAATGACGCCAGAGGCAGTGACTGAAACATCAAGTGAAGCAGCATGACGATGAGGATGGCAGGAGAAGATGAGTTGGATCAAATTGAGGGAAATCCAATTGAATCTATTGTTCATCATGTGCCCATTGCCCAATAGTTAACTAAGTTTGACGTATTGCACGGCTGAGCGGTAAATACAACCGAACAGAAAATTTTCGTCACAACCACATCAAATTTGAAGCATTACAACCACACACACACCATTAAATTAGACTATTCAAAGCATAAAATAAATAGATATTTACTAGGGCAAATTTGTATGGTATGTCCAATTGTCCCACAGCCACTGCAGCGTGGTGGAGCTCGCTGGCAAGGTATAGATACAGCCTCATCAACCTGCTCATTAAGTTGCGTATTGAGCTGCTAAAAAAGTATTAATACCTACAGTAGCATGCCTCTTTGCCCTTTTTTTTTTCTTCTTTGCAGTTTACGGACCTTGCGACCAAGCTGACGAGTATTTTGAGGCACTTGAAAAGCAGAGGAGATTAAGTCTTCAACTAGTGGTGGTGTTGGTGTACGTAGTTAGAAGGTTATTTTTTAGGAACCCGGTTTTTATTAAGTGGTTTAAAACCAGCACCTGCGAAGCCATTACATATATAAATGTAAAAAATCCTCCTTGTTAACATGGTTGTTTCCAGCAACTATTATCCCCTCAACTAACTTGCCATATGCACGCTAAGCAGCCCAAAAACACCAACATCTAGTGGTTGAAGATGAGATGTATGTGGAGGCATGCAAAGACAAATAATTATAGTTTCCTGGCAAAAATGTTAAATTCTGCAGTCTGGTGGCTAGAATAGTCATCAAGAATAAGCAGCCGCTTTGCACTAGTTATATTCTGCCTGGAATATTGTTTAAACATCTCCTTTGGCCAGCGAAGTCCTACGTTATCTGTTATCCAGCTAATATCACTTTTTGCGATTCTCCATCTCTGTTCCCATCCTTAAGACGTGCAGGTTCTTGATGCCAAGCAGCTTGATGCTGTTTTGCCTTTAAGATAATTACAGGTAAAGTAGAATCTCCTTTCAAGCTTGCACAATTAATAACTGTAACCAATTCGCAGTTTCCCTGGATAACTGTACGAGGTCTCTCACTGCACTTGGCTGCTGTAATAACCTTAAGAGGTTGTACAGAGCCCCATAGCAAAGCCAGTTCATCAAAAATACAGACATTATCCTCATGTATGCCATGTTCTTGGATAGCTTTATATATAGTTGCAAGCCACTGCTTTATAATTTTTGGGTCCTCCTGCTTTGCCCGCTGGTGTATGCAATTCTCCGGTTATATCTTGTATACAGCTCAGGACGTCGTTTGGCAAAGGAATACGCCCAGTTCACTCCAAGACTTGATGTTAGATCTTGTGTACGCTCGCGAAGCAGAAGCAAAATCTGTGCCATTCCATGTAGAAGCTCCGGTCCCATTGAAAAACCTCGCTTATCTGCATCTATAAGTTGCCTCAAAAGAGATTCTTCTTCAGTAATGGCCAATTTATGGCCATTAGCACTCGATTCTTTACGTGGCTTTCTTCCTTTTAGTCGAGCGCATAAGTTAGTCAGAGATACACTAAATATCTAAGCAACTTGTAATTTTGATTTAACTGTTGCTCGTTATATGCAGCAATGGTCACTTGTCAACGAGATTCTTGAGATAAAGGCATTTTGTACAGAAATAATAAAGAAATGGCGTGTCGTAGAATTTTAATTCAAATATTTTGGTGGGAGCCGTGAAAATTTTCCGTTTGGTCGTATTTACCGCTCGGCCGTGGAATACGTATGTTAAGTCGCCCACACGGTCTAGTCGTCCGTTCCGTGTTGCATATAAAATAGCACTTTTAGAACCTCAGTATCTCGACAACAACGAATTCAGGGAACATGAAAATTTAATAGAAGAATAATATGGTAAGAGATAACTATATATTATAACCATAAGTGTTTATCTAGACTGGTTCTTTTATTATAAAGAATGGCTTTTGTTACCGGACGGTGTGGATGTATTAATGTGTTTAAAGCTAAAAGTTTTCTAGAAAAAATAACCAGCACTTCTTAAAGCCAAAATTTACTGCAATTAAATATAAATCTAATAATACAGATATGATGTTGTTGAATATATAGAGGTTAGAGAAGTGCTATGTTATATGCACAACGGAGCGGGCGACTCGGCAGTGGAGTACGTTACAACGGAATAGATCCGCATCTTGAGTAGTAGTTACTCATCGTACCCTCATGTCACCCTAAGGGCGGATGTATACGACTTAATATTACTGATTTGAAATCGCCATAATGTCCCGAAGCAGGCTCCAGGGGTTTACTCACTCCATTTATATCCGAATCTATCCACCCCCTCCATGTATCGCAACCACATTTTCATCTCATCCCGCATCAACTCTCTGCTCCGTCCAGTTTCCTCGACCCTCGTGACGGCTTCACCTATTACCACTACCCGTCTTTCTGCTATCTACTCTCATCTTCACCCCTCCCCCCTCTTTTATTCCTCGCTAGCGCGCACCATGTCGGTCCCATCGACCATGAAAGCCATCATCGTAGAGAAAGTCGGAGGCCCCGAGGTGCTCGAATTCAAAACAGATCATCCCGTGCCCACCCCGCAGGAAGGCCAATTGCTCATCAAGAACCACATCTCCGGCATCAACTACATCGACACCTACTTCCGTACAGGTCTCTATCCAGCCCCCAAGCCTGAAATCCTGGGCCGTGAAGGAGTTGGCACCGTGACCGCCTTGGGGGCCGGTCCAAACCCTTACAATTTCCAGGTGGGCGATCGAGTCGCCTGGCTCGCAGGCGGGGGATACGCGGAGTACACGACCGTCCCTGCCGTCAAGGCCGTCAAGATTCCCGACGGCATTTCCGATGAGGATGTGATGGCGGCGTTTCTGAGCGGGATGACCGTGCTCTCGCTGACCAAGGAGACTCATGCCGTCCAGAAAGGTGAATGGGTTCTCGTGCATGCCGCTGCTGGTGGGGCTGGATTTCTCATGACTCAGATCCTGAAGTCCGTTGGCGCTAAGGTCATTGGTACCGCGGGTGGTGCGGAGAAGGTCGCTTTGGTCAAGAGTTTGGGGGCGGACGTGGTCATCGATTACCGGAGTGAGGAGGGCAAGGACTGGGTCAAAAAGGTCAAGGAGGTCACCGGAGGCCAAGGGGTCGATGTCGTCTACGATTCTGTTGGACAGGATACATGGGAGGGAAGCTTGGAGGCTGTCAAGAGAAAAGGAACAGTTGTCTGGTTTGGTAATGCCAGTGGTCCTGTACCTTCTTTCAATATTCAGTGAGTTCGGTGGCTACTGTCCTGCCGTGTTCGGCATTGATGATTTTATAGGAAACTTGCTCCCAAGTGTATCAAGATCGCCCGACCGATGCTGTACGGATACATCGATACTCGCGATGAGCTGGAATTCTACGTGAATGAACTGTTCAATCTACTCAAGTCCGGCCAACTCAAGGTCCGGATTCACAAGGTGTATCCTTTGGAGCAGGTGGCTCAGGCACACATGGATCTGGAGGGTCGAAAGACCACCGGAAAGCTCTTGCTGAAGCACTGAATTAGCTAGCGGCGTGTATTTAATCGACAACATTTGAGGAATAGGAGGCAATAGATCACCATTTTCTTGCCTGTTGACGAAAAAAGTGTCTTTATTTGGATGTATTATGTGTCAATGTCTTCTGCAGCTCAACAGGACCTATCTACAGAAGTGAAGGCTGCGCATTACGGATTGCCCTATTTCTCATCCGCATTGTTAACCTCCCATCCGCACCCTCTTCATCACACCTTCGTCGTCGTCATCGCCTTCCTCTACCGTCACGTCCCTTGGCTTCTTCCACCCCAGCATGAGATCGTTGCAAAGAACCGTGTAGACGGAACAGTATGTGGTATGGATGTCTTCAAAGTAATGAAACCCACAATTCAATTCCCACACCGAAGTTATCACCTTCATGCCGGGGTAGCAATGCCGGAGTAAATCCTCCTCCAGGAAAAACTCAAACTCGGGCATATGTATGTTGCCAAACGACCATTCAAGGTGCTCTTCAGGACTCAGATCATAGCTCGGCTTACCTGGATCACAATAGGCTTTTCCAACCAGCCTCCCGACAGGATTCAAGTCGGGGGCATACTCCTGGTAGAAAGAGCGGACGTCATTGTCAGGAGGGACTACCTCAGTGACCTCAAACCCATGGATATCCTCCACAAGCATAGCACGAAGGGCGTCATTGTTTGCATGGTCCCGAAACTGCCCGGCCTGCGCGTTTGTTCCAACCCCGGCCAGGGCAAACTTGACGACCTTCCATGCCACTTTTTTGGTCATACGAACGCTATCGTCTTTGGGATTCTGCCATTGATCGTCTTCGACGTATATATTGTAGAGAAAACCGCCGAAGAGAGTAGAGCAGGCTGTGTTAAAATCCCCAGGTGTCTTGGCTGTGAATTGCTGGTTATCCCAGAGTTCCTTAGAGGCAATATCGCACGACTTTCTGGCCTCATCGATGTTTTCGTTGTGTTCTGGGCACACGTCGTGATAAAGCAGATAGGAGAGGAAGTTTCGAATCGTGACAGTGGCCATCCTCACCATCTCTTTGGTTTCAGGGTTGAAGAAGTACGGGAAATATGAAGTGCTATAGGTCGTCCATCAGCCATCGATTTTGATTCAATCTGTAGGCCCTTACAGGTAGCCTTTGACCACCGCATTGAAATCAACAGACAGGTTCAGCTGCTCGCGTTTGATGCTTGTCTGCCCTCTAGCCACCAGGACCTGCTCGCTATCCATTTCCTGAAGCTCCTTGTCATCCATACCGGCAAACATTTTCTGTCCGACGTCCACGCCGCCGTATGCCAGATACCTCATGAAGACATGTCGTCTGTCGCTTTCAATGCGACGGTTTTTCATATACCGCAAGAGGGCGTCTTCCATCCGGCTATGGTGGTATTAGTATTGAGAGTACCCCTAGCTAGGAATTGGAATGGTGGCTACGCACTGAATGAGAGGCCGAGAACTGTTCACATTGTCTAAGTCAGCTCTCAGTCTTCGCTTCAGATCAATGTTTACTTACATATCGTACAGCTCCTTCTCCTCCTGGTACTGTTCGGGAGTCATGGGAGCATCGACATAGAACTCTTCGAACCCAGTAGGCTTATTCTGCAGAATTTCAGCTTCTAGAACTGAAGGCCAGAGAGATAAGATACTTTTCCTCGTTTGCTCTTGGGCTTTCTCCTGGTCTTCTTTTTCTTCTTCGGTCCTATCAAGTCCACAATGGCAGTCGTCCCATTGCCCTCTTCTCCTTCTCTGTCGCCATCGAGTGCAGGAGGAGTAGACTTGACGAGGTCGCCCATGTGATCTGGAGTGATTGACACTTTCTTTTGAGTACAGTGGCTATCCTCGTAGATAGGAAGAGAGGGATGGTTCTTCGAGCTTTCCTGAGAGTGCTTCATGATAACAACAGACGCTGGTGGAGGAAGGAAAGATAGATGAGAATGGAGAAAAGAGGATGTTTTGGTACTTGAATCTTCAATAAAAAAAAAAAAAAAAAAGAACAACCGGATTTTAGGTGGCAGTGAACGTAGAGTCAATGTTAAATGGAGTGGGCAGGTAGGTTGTTGTGAAAGGTCTTCACTGTATTAACAAACAAAATGTCTAGAATAGCCCAATAACTTGGCTTAATCACTACCCATTTCAACTGCTATTTTCCCACATTGTTTGGCCCCTGCAAACAGATAAGCCTCAGTTTACTTCCTGGCTAACACGTGAATAGGCAAGTGAATGGATAATTGCACATGATGCTAAGCTCTTTGTAGAAGTGGAAAAAGAATATACTAATATTCTATAGGAAACGCTGGGACTGCTACATCAAAGTTTTTATATTGTGAGGTTTGTAGCTTTTGCATTGAATGTATATAGCTATTCTCGATTCACTGTATTCTCAGGATGCTTCAGTCTTCAGCATAATATCGAATTGTTATATCATCGAGAGCACTCTTAAAGCAGTACAAGTCTAGTCAACCATAGATCAGCTTTGGCACTAAATATCTCCGCCATTTTGCAGATAGGCTATCTCCTTGACCGCTGTCCTGCTCAATGGCTTGTTGCAAATGCAGGTAGAGACAAAAGCATGCTTCTTCTGTCTGCTGTCAGAAGACCTGGCAATAGCTCTCGGAATCAGGATCTATGGAATTGGACCCATCCTGGATCGGCTCTTCTAGTCAAGATCCTTTGAATACTCCAAGTCCTGAGACATCTGTTCTAGCAATTGCAAGGTACCAAGCCACCCAAGAGGGGATTCGACGCTGAAAGTTATCAGAAATTCGGCCCGTTCGGTTGTCTCTCAGATGGCTCCAAAGCTGATAGGAATTGCTGTTTGGTTGTAGCCCAGATGCTCATTCATCAGAAAAATCAGCTCATCGACACATGCTCACACAGATGACAGCTGGGGAAACCGAGACATGACATTGATGTCGTCTACACTTGTCTAGCAACTGACTGTGGGCAATGACATCACATGACGTGGAGGACGGGGGTTATAGTTGATGAGAATCCCACGGTTCAGACGCAGATCTGTCTCTGATAGATCCAACTTCGCCAATTGACAACCGTATAGCACCAGATTGTATGTCAGAACGGAGAAGGGAGGAAATGGATGGAGGAAAGGTGGTCCTCGGAGTCTCCATTTATTTCGTAAGGTTCTGATCATTTCCCGTCGATCTATCATGAGCAAACACCAACCAAAACACCACCTCCGATTTGTCTCTCCTTGTCTGCTTTCCTATTTCATTTAACTGGACAATTTTGTCATTCTGTCATTTTCTATCTTTTTTGTCCCTTTCTTTTCTTGTCTAGCTGAATTCAATCTGTGGTCGTTTTTACTAGTCCTTCCTTTCCAACGCCGCTGCCTGCGAAGGCTGCGATCTTCCGGGCTCATGCAAAGTACTGTACTAAGACCTGTCCGCCTAGCTTAAGACTCTTAAAAAACAGGGGAAGATATGACAACACCGCCCTCAAGGTCGGAAAGTGCCAAGTCGGCCAAGCTGGACAGCGATAGCTTTGTCGCGTTCGATCACGCTGCGGCTGGACAGTAAGTGTTTGCAAGACCCTGGCCCTGCTCTCCAGATCTCCTGAAATCGAGCCAGGGATGTTCACGTCTCCATGGCCCATACAGGGTTCTACGCTATACGGTGCCATTGATATGTAATCGATTGTCAGATACTGATGTTGGTTCTCACAGTGACGGTGTTCGTTGTACCCTGTCCGGCGCGTTGATCGCGAAACCCTGCACCCCCGAAGAAGTGGCTTTCTATGACTCCTGCGCCCTCCACCCCGCATTCAGGGAATTTATCCCCACCTACATAGGCACCTTGACATCTGCCGATCAGCAACAGACGCTCGCCCTCGTCGCTTCTCAGCAAGGTGGTGCCGTCACCCTTCCTGACTCCGATCCATCGTCCGCGACCAATATTCCCACTGAAGCGTCCCAGTCCAACACATCCTCACATACTGCGCCGACGATAGCGGAACCAGAAGTGCCATGGGTACCTTCCGACGGGAAAAAGATCGAGACTGGCTTGTCTATTGTGTTGGAAAATGTAGCTTCGGGATTTACCAGGCCAAATGTCTTGGACGTGAAGTTGGGCGCCCGCCTGTGGGCCGATGACGCGCCCCCTGCGAAGCGTGCGAAGCTGGACGCGGTGTCGAAGGAGACAACCAGCACCAGTCTCGGGTTTCGCATTGCGGGTATGAAAGTATGGACCGGCGAGAACGGGGAAAATGATGCCGGCAGCAAGACGGATCCTTACGATATCCGACATGAGGGACGCGAGGGTGCCAAGGGCGAGGTTATCGAGAAGGACGGCTACAGGCGCTACGACAAATGGTATGGGCGGTCATTCAGCGAGAAAAATGTCAAGGAGGGTTTTGAGGCTTTCCTCGCCGGGGCAAAAGCGGGATCCATTGATCGGTCTAAATTCTTGTCGAGGAGACTGGCCGATGAGCTTAGACGTGTACAGCTGGTTCTAGAAACGGAGGAAAGCCGGATGTATTCTTCGAGTGTCCTGATTGTCTACGAGGGTGACCCCGAAGCTTTGGAGAATGCTCTGGAGGAAGAAAAGAAAGCCAAAGAGAGGGCACCGGAAGAGTCCGAGTCGGAGGATGAGGGGTTTGATCTCCAGCTTCAGGACGATGGGTCCTATAGGGTGGTGGAGCTACCAGCTGGCCAGGATGGTGCGCTGCAGCAAGCTATTAACCTTAACTTCGACCCTGAAACCGCCCAGCTGGAAGACTTGGATGAGGAAGAGGACGAAGAGGCTCCTCCTAAGGTGCATGATCTGCGCCTCATTGACTTTGCACATGCCAACTGGACCCCTGGTCAAGGACCAGATGAGAACGTTCTCATGGGCATACGGAATCTGATCAAAATGTTCGACGATCTGGCTGCCGAATAACAACAACTACACTGGGTACTTCCAAGCAGTCGCTGGCGGCTATTGGACGCTGTGTCACCACATGTATCATCATTGACTCCATTGGCTGTAGCGTATAATTGATAATTCAATAGACTTTACACAAGTAGCTTGTCAAGCATAACTAGTGCTCCGGTATGATGGTTATTTTCTAGATATAGCTTAGTAAGCCGACCTCTGCCGGACACAAATTAGTAGAAGATCGCAACGGCGCAACTTCCCGAGGAGAGCAGCCCAACCAGCCAATATGTTTCCCACTCGTACCCTGTTGGGGCGTTCCGTTTGGAAAGGTCAGCATCTACTGCGAACTCAGGTTAGATGTATAATCACTAACACTGTACTGCAGGCCCGAACATTGTCCCGTACGTTCATGTCTTGAAGAGAGACCCTTCTACCCCAGCTCCCGAAAGAGAAGAAACGAAAAGAAGAGCAAAACAAAATACGAAATTATAGTAGATCTTCTCACTAACTATTAAAATTTTTGACAGCCTTCCCCTCCCGAGGAAAATGCCCCCTCCCCCAGGTACACCACCGATCAAGACGCAGAAACGCGGCGCTACCATCCTTCCTAATTTTGTGGGATTGAGGTTCTCCGTGCACAATGGGAAGACCTATCATGATGTTTTTATCACCGAGGAAATGGTGGGGAGGAAACTGGGGGAATATGTTCCGTATGTTTTCTCTCTCTTTCTCTCCCTCGTTCCGGTTTTCCAGATTTGACCTGTGCTGAGGTGGATTGATTGGTTATGTGATGTGATGTGTGAATGGCTAATATGTGGTGTTGAATAGGACTCGCAAGCGGTTCTCGTATAAGATGTCTAAGAATAAATAAACTGGACTGGTGGGCTGGTTGATTGTCTTGGTGCTGTGGTTCAAGACATTCGAGATACGAACGAGGGTAGATGTCCAGGGCTGAGGATCTCATTTGGGTCTCGTTGGCGTTTCTATCATAGCTTATGCTATCAATTTGTATATCTATTGAATGTCATGTGTAAAATTAGCTTACAGGGAGTTCTTTGTTGGATGTTAAAATCATCGTGTTATGATGTGGCTATCATTTCGTCCTATGTTTAGCAGTTTCTGCTGAGACTACGTGGATGCTAAGCATTTATATGTTTGTAGATGGTGGATGAAAATGGATTGTTCATATCTCTCATCAACCTGATAGACGCCAGATGCAAAGTTTGGCAATATAAGAAAACAAACAAGAATTTTAAGAACCAATTTAGGATATCGTTCGTCCTTGGACCCAGTATTTACGCCCGTAAGCAGCAGCAAGAGACATAAAAAAAAAAAAAAATAAATAAAAAGAACGAAAGAAAGAAAGAAAAAGAAAAGAAAATAGAACCAACTGCATCGCCTTCATGCCGTTCGATGCATACCCAGTGGAAAGCCTCTAAGGCGGGTATTTCCATCTTAAATAAACGGCTCGAAAGATGTGAACCAATTTAATCCCGTAGTAGGCGTCAGGATAGCGTGTAGGGAGCACACCTTTTTTATTTTTTTTTAACAGCACGATCGGCCTTTACCGATAGAACTCCCCTCTCTTAACACTCACCCCATATTCAGAGACTGCCATGCCGAGATCTTCCATGGTGAGAACCGTCCGTCCCTGTCCTGACCCGCCGGAGCCACCACCTCCAAATCCAGGTCGTTGAATTCCCAGATGCGTGCCGGCCTTGCCCTTGCTTGTTTCGCCCCCGGAGACACCGGTTGCGGCGCTTGTGGCCCCCGCGCCCGCAGCACCCGTGGGCATGTTGAGTCCCGAGGCGGCGTTGAGACTACCCATGGGGTTGCTGGCGGACGAGCTGTTGGAGGCCCGGATACGTGCATACTGATATGAATCGGCAGCAATGTCGGCGATAAATTTCTGAGCGGCCAACGCCAGCAGACGGGCCAGGTGAGGCGGTGTTTGGTTTGGTCCGTTCCCAGGAGGAGGTAGGCCGGCAAGAGTGAGGTAGTGAGCTGTTACGGCGTCGGGGATCTATCCGGTGTTAGATTGAGTGCATGTGAGATGGCGATGAGAGAAAGATAACCGTCTGAAGGAGAGGAAGTCTTACAATGGGCGCATATTCATCCATCTTGCCCAGGAACTCACGCAGACTGGTCTCCTTTTTAGGAGGAGTTGTGCCTGTTCCTAAGGCGTCCGCTGATTCTGCACCCTGGACTGGGTTGCCGAGTGGGACAGAGCCGTCTGGATCGGTTGCGTTGGCCATATTATTAGCAGCCGTATTGTCGGCGGCACTGTTAGCTATATCTTGGTCGATGGACGCATCGAGGGTGGTGGTATCTGGCACGGGCTCTTGCTTCGGTACGACTGTTGGCTCCGGGTTCTTTCCCGATTGTTCTCCGGCTGCTGTATTTGAGGAAGATGGGGGTCCTTGTGATGCAGTCTGCGATGCAGTTGGCGGTGGAGGTTGCGACGAGAACGTCACAGGAGGCTGCGATGACAATGGATCGGCCATGGTTGTGGCAGAGTAAAGAAAATAACGCACGGCAGGGACTGGGCGACCGAATGAGTGAACCAGTACCAGTATGAAGTAATCCCGGGTTTGGACAGCGGGCGAGTGGTGAGAGGTCTCCGTTTCGGTCGCGATGGTTCAAGGCGGAGAACTTGCCGTGTTCGGCTGATTAAAGATCTATTTGAGTTTATTGTGTCTATCAAATATCTTACGAGTTTACGTGATATCAAGAATAAACAGTTATAATAAAGTAAAATAAAATAGAAATTAATCTTAGTGGACTAAAGGTGTAGTTTCTATAATCAGATCCTATGAATCGGGTCAAAATTATTATCTGCTTGATCTTTCTTTCCGTCCCTTTTTTCGTTTACAGTCAGAAATGGTCGGATGCCTGCTTTGAACTGCTTCATTGCCGTAAACCACTTCTCGATACTTCATCCAATTTTTTCCACATAAAGATCGGAAATTCTCCTTCCGATTCGGTACCAACATACATGGAGACATCTAACCCAGCTACCTTGAATCCCATCTTGAGATAACTCTGGATAGCAGGATAGTTGACATTAGACACCTCTAGCCATACGTGACGGACCAAGTACCTAGCAACGCCAATACTCTCTGCAAACTGCACAAGCGTAGGTCCAATCCCTCGACGACGGTACGCTGGTTCGATCTCGATATCCGTGACTATCAGACGAGAGTTCCAGGAGGAAAACTTGGCAGATATGAAGCCAGCGACTTTACTCGAGGCCTCGCCACTTGAACTGTGGATATCTTCGACGATAATTGTAAAGTTATCCTGTGCATCATCGTCATCTTCGTCCGAGTCTTCCTCGTCTGGAAAAGACTTGTGTAGAGGACGATCTAACTGGATCGACTCTAACTGGACTCCAAGACCCATCATCGCTGAAATCGGACAAGGACTATCGAACTTCACTTGGAAGATGCGGTCTGTGTTGAAAGAGCTGTCAATAGTAGACAAGATAGGTTGGTCGTCTGGCCTCGAGAAGCGGTAGTGGAGGTTCCTTTCTGAGTCGGTGAAGGGCAAATCAAGCGTGCGCATTGCAGTAGTCTCCATGACGAATGACTAGAAGATATAGGACCAGTATGCTCTGTACGGTCCGGAGTAGGAAGTCTTGTAACGGATTGTCTCGTTCTTTATGTGGCAGACACGAATACGAGATGACTCAAAAAAAGGAAAAACCAGCAAACCTCAACTCCATCCAGAATCAAACTACACCAAACAGTCTATAGTCATAATCAACTGTCTGACAGGGGGCTACTAACTCCCGACCACCCCGGTCCATGAGCAAAACTCGTCCTTCTCAATTACTCCTGCCTAACTTCTCAGTCCGCTCCCGACGAGTCTTCAGCATCTCCTCCAGAATTTGCATCTCGATGCGGAGACGGGTCTTTTCATCAATCGCTTGCGCGGGATCCGGGGAACCGGCTTGTCCTTCCTGGGAGTTTGGTATTTCATTCGACTCATTGGTTTTAACGAAGCCTAGCATTCTCCCTACGCAGAGGAAGAGGAAAGCAACAAAGATGATACCAAGAGTGCAGGGGATTGTAAATTTAAATACGAACTCGATTGTTGTTAAAAACGTAGCAATGAAATGTTTGTAGTAGGGTGCATCGGATGACGGCATTTTGGTGTTTATGGAAACCATGACGATGGTGTGTGAAGATAGAGAAGACTACGAAATTGGTATGTAGATTGAAGATGGGGGTTGAATGAGGATCGAAGAATCTTGGGCAACAATCCATAAATAAAGAGACCTTCCATCAGGTAATGCATCTTGACGGGGGCTGTGTTGGAGTCAGACTGCGAGGCTCTTAGAACACTCGACGCTTTGTTGGATAGATCTCAACCAGTAGAAGAATGGTGTACACAGTGGCGGAGTTGTGGCTATACAGCTGGTAAGAAACTCCGCCACTGTGTACACCATTCTTCTACTGGTTGAGATCTATCCAACAAAGCGAATATCACCGACTAGTCCAGTCACATAGCTGTACGAACTCTTCGCTATGTCGCGACTATTGATTCTTCATCTGGAATCCCCGGGTAGATTACCCCTAAAATACATACGTATGCCAAAGATCCACCCGCATGGGCCAATTACTTATATACTCGTACAGAATGACTTGGTACGATCACGTCAATCGGCTTATCCTTCTCCATCAAGCGGGAAGATTTTCTGCCGTTAGCGTTCGATAAGGGCGAGATTCCACACATCTGAACAGGGAGAAAGAAACTGACGTAAAAAAAGGAAAGAAAGAAAGCAAAGAAAGAGTATCAATCTACTGCGTAACCCGCATATTTGGATCGACATGATCCTGGTGGTGATGTTGGTGGTGTTGATGCTGGTGTTGTCCAAATTGGTCCCCATGAACTTCTTGACCAAGAGTCTGCATCAGGTTCTGCTCTGCGGTTTGGTCAAATGCTGCATGGGCATGACTGCCAGGGTCCGGAACCAGACCTGGTGACGCCATGGCATCGTGGCCATGCCCTAATGCGACCTGCTGAGAATGCGCTCCGGCAAGGGCCATCATTCCCTTGATTCCTTCCACATGGGCCTTGTCCTCTTCACCTTGCTTTTTTTGGCGCTCCCGTGCTTCCCGCTTGGCTGCCTGAGCGGGTGCGCGCGTCTTGAGCTCGCCGGTGACAAACTTCAAATAGTAGGGGACCTCGATCCCACTTTTTAGGAAGAAGAGTTTCAGGTTGCGCGCCTTGTCCTTGAGCTGAACTTGATTTCGATCCTTCAACGCTTCACTGATGGTGCCCCCCGGGCCGAACATGGCTAGAATCTGGCTCCAGTGGGGGCCCTTCACCCGATCAAGTCCGGCCATTAGAGCATTCTCCTCCTCGGTGGTCCAAGGTCGTCGCTGACTGGGTAGACCGGACTTACGGCTGCTTGGCGAGGCTTTTGCCGATGCGGCCATACGGGCACGTTCGTAGAGGACCTGTGTAGGCTGGGATTGTGAATAGTGAGGGATGCCAGGCATGTAGCCATGGTTGGCGGCGGCTGAGGCGGGTCTTCCCGGCATAGGCATAGGAGTAGTCTGATGGCTGTATTGCTGGAAATTCTGCTGGAGATGGCTTTGCTGGAACGTAATCCCTGGCGATTGTTGATATCCTGAAGGCGTCGGGCTAGGTTGGTAGTGGTCTTGGGGAGGAGCTTGTGGAGGAAGTTGACTGGCTGGCTGTGCCGCCGAATATCCATGAGGAATAGGTGTACCCTGATGAGACCCAGGCTGGGACAACTGTTGCTGTTGGTGTTGCTGTGGCTGCTGAGACTGTTGGGCCGAATGCTGTGGCTGTGACTGAGGTTGCTGCTGCGATTGCGGTTGTGCGGGCTGCTGTGGTTGCGAATTCTGCTGCTGGTTTTGCTGCTGGGATCGTCTCAACCCATGGCCCTGCAGTGCGATCTGTGCTGCGCGAGCTGCACGAGCAACAAGATCTCCATGCATATTTCTGTCGACGGGAACATCATGAGTCGGTGCAGCCACCGGAAATTGACCCTGGAGAGGTGCGCTGGAGGTCTCTGGGGCATCGCCACTTGACGAAGATGGCTGTCGTCCCTTGGTCGCCTTCTTTGTGAGGGTTAGCACCGATTTTTAATCGAATGGAAGGGTCTTATAAAATAAATACGAACCTGTTGGTTGCTAATAGCGTCAAAATTCTTGGTAATGTATGAGCTGAGGTCTCTAAGGAAATCTTCCCAATGATATTTATCGGGCAGAGCTTTCATCGCCTCTTCATTATTGATGTCGTTCAGGAGGATATCACGGCGTGACCCAGCACGCTTCACAAAATCAGTTTCGCTCGGGGCTAGCTGGCGGGTCCCAGAACGCCTGTCGAGCAGACGCTGCTCCAGATCATCAGGAAACAGATCATAGAGCATCTCTGTTCTTGATCGCTCCGTGGTGTTCATCGAGGCGATGAACGCTTGCGTCTTTAGCTCCAGGAACAAGGCGCCTTGTACCTTGAGTAAACGACCGCCTTCTGGAACGAATACGTCGAGGAAGTTGTCATTTAATTCAGAGAAACCAATTTCCTGGGTGCCAAAGATGCTAGACACAAACGACGCTAAATTGGCCTTCCTGATGATATCAACTTGAGAAGACTCCGTGAGGTCCAGTTCGATCGCAGATAGGAACGATTTCTTGGTCGAGTAGACCTTCTTGGTGTGGTCAAAGAGTGAACGCATGGTCGCATACGCTTGTCCATTTTCTGACTCCGGTTCAGAGACGAATGAGGTGATGTCCTGGTAAGTCGACTTGGCCAGTAGGGATAGAATCTGCGTCGACTGGAAGGTCGGTCAGGACCAGTCCTATACCATATCATAAAGAAAAGAAAAGAAAAAAGACTCACCAGATTGTCCAAGATAGGTAAACTCTGAGTCTTAAGGTGAGAATTCGCCTTCACAAACACCATGCCCTTCGGTGTCGATCGGTCGGAGTTGTTTACCATTTGCTGCTGGTCAATAGCACATTGCTCCTCTACCCGTTCTGCATGATTCATAATGTTCGAGATTACTGTTGCCATATCTGTGTCGATTTCCTCCTGGCTAGTCTCTGGTGCCACAGCAGCCTCTGCAGACTTATTGATCAGACCATGTTTGTTGTCATCTTGGGTCTCCACCGTGCCAACTACACCAGTCCCCAAAGCCGATGCCAATTCCTCTTCAATCTGATTTCCTGGGATCTGGTCTCCCAGTCCATGTTGCGGTGCGGGGAGAGTGAGGTCGCCTGGTTCGGATTCCAGACGTCGCTTTTTCGAGGCGCGAGGAGAAAAAGAGTCGTCGTTTTCGTCGAGGGGATGGGATAATTTCGGGGAGACTACAGGGTATCGATGTCAGCAGGCATCTCTCATCCTACAATAAAGAAAGAAAAGACGCTAAGAGAAAGGGAAGGATGATGGTCCTCTCTACTGTCCAGTCTGCTAGAGTCGGGCGGTAGGGAGGGATCCCAAATATACTCATGACGCGGTGAGTGAAGCTTACCATGCTCATCTTTCTGGGGCAAAGGGGAGGGAGGAAGCTCAGAAGGCGCTTTTATATCCGCAGACGGAGCTGAGACTCCCGAGTCCGCCATGTTCTGGTTGGTGAAGGCAGGATGACAGGCGTTGATTCCAAGAGCAGAAATGAGGGCTTAGGGGTAGGGCGCAGGCGTAGGGCTTGCGAGGTTGAGACGGTCGGAATGGCGTGACAGATTTTTTGCCAAGGAACCGGAGAAAACTGGAGACAAGAAGATTGGTGCGGTTGCAGAATAATTTGCAAGTTTGTAGTTGTGAAAGTGGATGGCAGTGATTTAGACCATGGTATTTGCTAGACTTTCTTTAAATTAATTAATTCACCAAAGGCAACTTTTTATACCTCTTAAGAAATTACATTTCTTCACTTCACAACGTATCTTAGTAAGCCTCTGCTATCTCTCACGTGGATTGCCTAAAGAGGCATCAGGCACCATATTGTGCCTTAGTGCCTGACAACAGTACCTCGCTAGAGAGATCTCCTGCACAAAAGAATAACTACAAGGTTCCCTCCTTGTTTTATTCTAAGGGTCCTATTTTAGGATTTTTCCCCCAGTTGCTCACTCATCTCACATCATATCTTTTATACCATATACCACCCTCTGTGGGAGTTTGCAGCGCAATGCTACCCTACATGTCTACACGTCATAGACTTTTAGTTCTCCTATCACGCAAGATGAATTGGAATCGGATCCTCACCCTGTGACAGACTGATATTCTACAATTATCGCATGTTGAAATTCCTTGTAGAGATATCAAATTGTTGGGGATCCTATTACTGGGGTACATTGGGGAGGTTCTTTCCGATGCGTGCCTCAGTTCTGGGCCCAATGCGTCAAAATGACCGCAGCCTGAGTTTATTGAACCTATGGCCCCTGTTATTTTGAGTGTACCAATACGGTTGCTTCCAGGACCCGGCTGGGCTAGCGCAATGAATATAGTATTTATGGCGTCACGTCGCAACTCCAAGCGTTGTCGGGGTCTGGACGGCGATGATACCTCGATTTCGACGTTTTCAGACAGAGGTTCCTCTCTATCTCTATAGCCTTCCTTGGTCTTGCATACTACTTATTCCGTCCATTGCCCTGTGGGTTGCTAATCAGTATTGGCTATTGTTGCTAGCGAAGATTTGCCATTTGATGGTGGCCGAAAAAGCTAGGGTAAAAACACATCAATTTCATGCCTGACATTCATCTGTGACCAGGAACCCATTATGTTGATCTCTAATGGTTACGCGTCGGCCCTTGTTGCAGCATTATATGCCTCCTTGGGCTGGGGTCAAGAACTCAAAGAGCAGGTCTGGGGAGTTTTCGCCTTTACCCTCCATGGGGACAGTGTCCCGGCAGTTATGCCGCGGCCTCCTGCATTAACTCCATATGGGGCCAGGGAACTGTATACCGCTGGGTCCGCTTTCCGAAGCCGATATGTTGCGATCCAGTCAAGCAATAATGGTCCCAGCACGAGAATTGAGAGCTTATCTCCGTATGCAATAGATCCTGGAGATATCGACGTCCTGAGCACTACCAAACCGTCCGATATAGCGTCTGCTCAAGCCTTTATGCAAGGACTCTATCCCCCTCTTAATGAGTCCTACAGCGGCACGTATGTCGATTCTTCGTACCGGCTGGCGAATGGCTCAGTAGCTGCAGCTCCCTTAAGAGGATATCAGTATCCTCAGATTGTGACTGTGAGCTCAGAAGATCCTCGATCCATTACGGTGGATGGCCAATCCGCCTGTCTGATTCACCATGTGGCAAATTCGGAATACAAATCCAGTCTTGAGGTTCAGGAAATTGTGCAAACCTCGGAGGGATTCTATACCAACCTTTATGACCAGGCTTTGTCTGGCGTGCTTGATCGGTCTTCGGCCAACTATAGAAATGCTGAACTCATTTCTGAGTTCCTGGACTACCAGTCGGTGCACAACGAGACCTTGTTACACCACCTGAACCAAGGGGATATAGACCGAGCCCGGTCCTTTGCCGATCAATATATATTTGCAACAAATGGCAATACAACTTCTTCATCAGCTATCGAGAATAGCACGATTCGTACCATCGCTGGTCGCACTCTGGCATCTAGTATCTTGGATGCGTTTGACAAGAACGTCAATCTCCAAGGCACTGAGGGGATGATGACACTTATGTTCGGTGGTTATGAGCCAGTTGTCGCTCTCACATCCCTCCTGCGGCTGGCATTGCCCCAACATAATAATTTCTATTCTCGTCCCATACCTGGTGGCTCCATTGTCCTTGAGCTGTTCAGCCTGACAAATGAGGCTAATCCGACGTTCCCTGGCCCATCTCAGCTTTACGTGCGGTTCCTCCTACGCAACGGTACTGACTCCCCGGAGTTCCAGTCCTATCCGCTTTTTGGACATAGCCCTAGCAATGACGCTGTCCCATACACAGAGTTCCAAGCAGAGCTAGGAAAGTTTTCGCTAGGGTCAATCCAGCAGTGGTGCCTCCAGTGTGCTTCGGAAGCTGTGTTCTGCTCTGGGGTTATGGATGTGGAACATAATGCGTCTACCAGCAAAAAAGGGCTCAACCCTGCTGTTGCCGGCGTTATTGGAGCCGTCGTCACCCTCGTTGCACTAGCAGTCCTGGCCATTACTGGGTTTTCATATTTTGGTTTCCATTTCAACCGTTTACGCATATCAGGTCTCAGGGGGTTCAAAGGGAGCAACAAGATGGCAAGCGATCCCGACATCTCCTTTAAAAACCCTACATGGGAGGACGTTAAGCCGGTCACCAACCAGGACCCTCACACCCCTGGCGCTAGGGGTGCCATGGTAAGAGGACACGAACGGTTAGGTAGTTGGGAACTACAAGACCACAATGGCAATGACCATACTAGTCAAGGCCGCAGAGAAGGGGTGGTGTCTCCGTTTGACAATGACAGTGAGGCGGAATGGCGCACGCACAGTGCTTTGAAGCCCGTCGCACCTCGTGAGAGTGTTTGATGCGGATTGGTGTCCTAGGTGCTGCCGTTAATATTGGAAATCTTTCATGATTCTTTCTCTTCCCAGTTTGTCTGTTTTCTGTTCTATCTTTGTCCTACTACTGCCTACCGTTACTGCTTACCTAGGTACTGAATAACATTTATTCTGCTCAAAAATCTCCGCTTTTCTCTGGGCATCTGTAGGCCTCAACTGCCATTCACTGGTAGATGCTGATGCGCACCTTCCTGATAAGGGCGATGACATTGCCAGTCCAATGGAACGCTGGATCCCACGTTACGTTGGTGAGTCGACTCATTTCCTCCCTCTTACTTCCTGGTTTTCTTCTTTCTTCTTCTTCCTTCCTCCCATCTTCCCAGTCGCCGTAATATCGGATCCGTTTGTTATCATTTCTTCTATCTTCAGCAACAAACACTCTTGCCATGCCTTCTAACCAAAATATAAACATGCCGAAATACGATATCCAAACACTACTGACCATGAGTCCCAACGGACGCATAGCACTAGATCGATTCACTGACCAGGCTGTGGACAGTATGTGCTTCCTTCCTCGGGAACTACTCACTTTACTGATTCGGCCTATTTAACACAACCCAGACAATCTAGTCCGTCAACAGCATGTAAACACGAATGCTCTCTCTGAGCAAACCGCTAATCAACCAAGAACTGTCGTAGATCAGTCGCGCCAAGACGACGCCACCCCAGGTCTACAGGTTCATTCAAGCGACAATCCGCATCTCTCAACTGACTCCGGGTCAGTACGAGGAGACGGCGGCTTCGCACGATTTCTTAAAGCGCACACCTCTCCAAAGCATCAACGCGTCACTGCTGGCGGTCGTATCGTCCCAATGGAGCCACACTCTGGTTCTCCTAAATGTAACCTGCCTGTAAGTCAGGAAGCAAAGGGACACGATGGCAGACCGTCGGCGGCTCCTCAGAATGAACAGACTGCCCTGGAAAACGTGCCCACCGAGTCTGGGGACATGGCTTCTGCTACCAGGAGAGCCCATGCTTCTGTGGCGTCTTCCAGTTCTTTCCCAAATATTGAACGATTGCAACTTTCTAATACTACACTCGACAACCCTTTCCAGGGCCCAGGATGTCCTCCCGTCCTGCCGTCCATTGCAACTACTCCTGGGCTGTTCCTACAGACCAACATACCTGTGGAATTTAAGAATCAGCATCAGTTTCCTAGAACCGAGAATCCATCTCAGGGCACCTATCAACCTGTATTTGCGGACTGTAATTTTTATAGCCCTGCAACCTTAGGGGCGGGTACTTCCACCTGGTTTCCCAATGTGTATCCGGCCTTGAATGGCTCCGCGCCGTCCATAGCTGCGACTTCACAGTCGAATACACCAGCCTCGACCGCAACCAGCTTCCTGCCTGGCAATAATGCGGCCACAGTCGCCCCATCGGCCTTTAATCCGTATTCCTCGGGGGTCGATCCATGCTATCCTAATCTTGCGCCTCAGTGGTGTCAGGCTACGGCCGGCCAAGCCCTAACCTTCACTCAACAACATCAGCAGCAACAACCCATTCTTGTTGGGCCTACCTCTCAAGAGATACCCTGCTACAAGTCGTTCGAGGAAGCCAGGAAACGGCATGAGCTTCTCTCCGGGCAACTGTCTCGACTTGATAGGTACACTGCCCTGCACTCGTGGGAGATTGACCCGCAGTCGAAGAAATTATTTGTTGAACAGCGGAAGAGCTTAGTGAGGGAACTTGATGTACTGCGGCTGTATAGAGAGCAGCTGGATATGATTTTCGGAGGGTCGAATGCGAGTACGTCTAGCGTAGCGCCATCTCTGCCCGCCCTACCGAACCCAAACCCACCAGGAAATATGACAAGAAACCGTCTTTCCAGGGGGCTGGATGTGTCCACCTCCAGTTCCAACTGCGCGGGACACACTTCCACAACCAAGTCTCTCGCAAAGACCACTTCTTCGGTCCCCTCAGTCGGTGGGTCTTTTAGAAAAGAGTTTCTGAAGCAGAACAGAGAAAATGTCAACGCCTTCATTCGCGGAACTGGACCCAGGAATGTCCAGACAAGCTCTGGATCCGTTGCGGAGCCTGAGCCGGTTTTCCGTGAGCGAAGGAGGGACACAGCCCTTGCGCTGAACCAGCGGGCTATTCAAATGCCGACCCGAGCGACACCTAGCGAGGGGAGTATGTACAGCAATAGCAACGGTTCTGCGAGTGCTATGAAGGACATATCCGCGCAGCTTGAACAGTTGTACCATCGAATTGAGGAGACGAGCAGCCGGCGTGAGCCAATTGACGGGCTTCTTAAAGAACTGTCTATCATTACTGCTGGACTTCTGAGGGACAAGAACGAAGAGACCGAGAGGCCGTTCCGGCGCAGCGTTGGAGCAGATGCCCCCCGGTTTATTCAGAACACCACGGCAGGACGCTCAACGAACAACAGCCATAATCACGCCCAGGGTAATACCCATGCTTTAAAGCAGGTAAGAAGGCTGTGGGAATCAGAGCCTCTCGACAGTCTTGTGAAGAAGTGCAGCGAAGCCTCTTTTGAAACAGACGATGAGAATGGCAGCGGACTCTCGTCCTCATATGTGTCAACTACTGATTCTTGGACCACTGTGCACAAGGGAGAGTAAGAACCCCATGACGAGGCCGATCCTAAACCATTATGACAGGTGCTGATGTATGGCAGGCGCCATTTTGACCGAGAGCCGCTTGCAGGTGAAACCCCTGGAAATCGCCTAGCATCAATTTGGAAAAGGTATAGCAGTTCTTCATAGACATAATGCAATGTATTTAGCTAACTATACAGCACGGCAGGCCTAGTGACCCGCTTCACAGCATGTCACCTCCCCAGGCAGAAAGTTCCATGCGCGGAAACGCTAGAGGCTGGAGCAACGGAACCAGCACAGGGTCGATATCTGCAGCACCACTCAGCAGGAACAATAGCGTAGACTTGCAGAAGCCATTTGCTCTGAAAAATTCTCGGAAGTGCAAGGCGCAAGGGGCACTCCATGTGTATGATGGTGCTGGAGATGCGCCGGATTCGAAGACCACAGGCCAGAGCCACAGCCAACAGAACAATACCGGTCAGAATTCCAACCAGAAGGAACGGCCATGGTACATGCCAACGGAGCGTGTCAAGGCCAGCTATGCGGTTGTCTGGGATTTCTTTCAACGTATTGAAAACGAGGAGAGGCGGATGATCCACGAGTATCAGGGAACAGAGCCAACTTCATGGAGACCGAACTGATGACGGCTCGATTCGCATTTCCCCTTGGAATTCCATTTGCTATATCCTCCTTTGTCTCAATTTCACCCTTTATTTTTTTTTTTTTTTTTTTTTTTTTGTACTTCCCAGGACAAACGACCATTCCAGGCGAAGTTGGTGGTGATTAGGTGGTTGGGTTGATCTGGAAGTTGATTATTGCATGGCAGTTACTACGTGATTGACAAGCCCTTGTATATCTTACAGGACACCCAGGCGATTGGAGGATGTGAAATTTCTGCTTCTTTTGAATGTAACACACTACCTAGCATGTATTCAGGTCTCGGAGGCGTCGTCGTCCAGCTTGCCGAGAGAATTGGCTCTGGGAGTCAGCTTGGGCGATCAACACTTACCAAAGCCCAATCACTCGGGGCATCGATAGGAATATGAAGTGATTATTCTAGCGTGACCGGTTCTTGTTTCGACTTCAATATCTGATCAATAATGGCTGGCTATGCAAGGGGCTTTGGCGTTTCCACGTAGATCCGATTGACCTCTATTGAATGACTGGGCTCCACCCAATGGGACCGACTGAGAGTATATCATCATTCATGTGTGCTGGAGACATGACTCCGGTTGGATTGAGGCTAGTTGTGCACCAAAATGAGGGCCAGGGATGGCTGGTCCTGCAGGCCATAGGTGTAGGAATTGTGAGGCCATCCAAGGGAAGAAAGTCATCCACGGCATGTAAGGGTCATATGATTTCTTTATTTTATATTTTATTGTTATATTTTATTTCTCGGGGTCTGATATCGCTTGGGGTGGTGTTTGGGGGGCAATAATTTGGTAATATTAATATTAATTTTAGATTTTTTACTTATATTTTTATTTAACCTTTTTTAAAAAGGGGAATTCATGATGGCGATTTCCTGGGAATGTCACTGTACCACGGATGGCCAGCCGCTGGACCAGGCCAAGCCCGTACCAGATACCTCAACACAAGTTGGGGAAACCCTTGACTAATCCTGGAATGGCTCCACCTCTCCACTTTCGCCTCTCCGACTTTCTCTTCTTCTCTCCTTCTCCCTTTCGTCGTACCTCGCCCTCGCTGTCTCCTCGTGCCTTCAGTTGAGAATCTCCTGTCTTTCTTTCCTTTATCCCGACTCTCTTTTATCGCCCCGTGGCTGCTGTTCCCTCCGAACGGATCGCTCCCTCCATGCCCGCATCCGTTCCCGTGCAGATGTCCCCTTGATCTTAGACCAGCACCGCCTCTTCATTCCCCCCCCCCCCGCGGTTGGCTCCGACCCGGCAACGCATTGATCGATCGATCTATCTATCTGCGAAATTTCCCGTATCTTTAGTCGTATCAACTCCTCTCCGAATCCATCCTCGTCTCAGTGATCGACCGCCCGACATGACGCAGCTTTTCGCTTCCAGCCCGTCCAATGTGACACCCGAAAAACGAGGAAGTTTCGCCGGCCTCTCCATCGCCTCGAAGAAACATCCCAGCGAGTCGAGCCATTTGCCCACCAAAATCAAGAACTTTTTCCGCATCAACAGTTCGGGCAGTAGTTCCTCGCACCAAAGTCATCATCACAGCGGCGATCGCGACCGGGATAGTCCTTCCGCAATCACCAAATCGCCATTTCGGCAGTCCCGTTTCTTGCCCACTATCGGCCGCAATCGCTCAACCACCGTCGCCAGTGAGGGTAATCCGTTGGACGAGGGTGTGTCTCCTACTGCCACGGCCAATCCCTACTTCGTTCATCAGGGGCAGCCTACCCTGCAACATCGCAACGACGGTTCGGTCCCCTCGTCGCCCCCGGATACCCCCGAACTACAAGTTGATGGCGTCTCCGCGGAGGAGCAGGCTACCACGGCCAACAAGGAGGAACTAGCTCGGAAACTCCGTCGTGTCGCTTCGGCGCCAAATGCTCAGGGTCTCTTTACCCGGGATGGAGCCGGCGAGCGCCCTCAGACGGCTGATCTGGGGAAGGAACCTTTGGTACAGCATGCGAGTGCGATAGAGTCCCAGCTCAGCTTGCCTGATGACAAACAGGTGAATCTGGTCGTCCCCAAACTCGGCAACGACAGCAAGCTCCCCAGTCCGGGTCAGATTCGGGATGCGGCGACTTTCCGCAGGACATATAGCTCCAATTCGATCAAGGTTCGTAATGTGGAGGTTGGGCCCGGCAGTTTCGACAAGGTCAAATTGATTGGTAAGGGCGACGTGGGCAAAGTCTACCTTGTCCGTGAAAAGAAGTCAAGCCGCTTGTATGCTATGAAAGGTAAGCTGAACTGCGTCATGCCCTGTTTCGAGACTTGAGATGTGATTGCTGATCAATCGTGACCAGTTCTAAGCAAGAAGGAGATGATCAAGCGGAACAAAATCAAGAGGGCTTTGGCTGAGCAGGAGATTCTCGCCACGAGCAATCATCCGTTTATTGTTACTCTCTACCACTCTTTCCAGTCCGAAGACTACCTCTACCTGTGTATGGAGTACTGCAGTGGTGGGGAATTCTTCCGAGGTACGTATGGCCGTAGGAGTTAGACTTCGAGATGACCGCTAAAATGTGTACTTGTACAGCTCTCCAGACACGCCCCGGGAAGTGCATCTCTGAAGATGCCGCACGGTTTTATGCCGCGGAAGTTACTGCGGCTCTCGAGTATCTCCATCTGATGGGATTCATTTACCGAGATTTGAAACCAGAAAGTATGCAACACCTGTTTGTAGGCATTATTGCTCAGCTGACCGCCGCTTCGCACAGACATTCTTCTACACCAGTCGGGCCACATTATGCTGTCGGACTTTGATCTCTCCAAGCAGTCAGGCCCGGGCGGAGCTCCTACCATGATCCCGGGTCGCAGCGGTAACTCGACGACATCACTGCCCACGATTGACACGAAGTCCTGCATCGCCGATTTCCGCACCAACTCATTTGTAGGCACGGAGGAGTATATCGCTCCGGAGGTCATCAAGGGGTGTGGGCACACCAGTGCGGTTGACTGGTGGACCCTTGGCATCTTGATCTATGAGATGCTCTATGGGACTACTCCTTTCAAGGGTAAGAACAGGAATGGGACATTCGGGAATATCCTTCGTGATGAAGCGCAGTTTCCTGAACACGCCGGGGCGCAACAAATATCGAAGTAAGTCGTGGCCCTACTCTTGAGCTCTATCTACCGCCCGTTGCTAACTGAGGGGGGCAGCACTTGCAAATCATTAATTCGCAAGCTACTGATCAAGGATGAGACAAAACGTCTTGGAGCCCGAGCGGGCGCCTCCGACGTCAAGACGCATCCCTTCTTCCGGCAAACACAGTGGGCGCTCATCCGCCATATGAAACCGCCCATGATCCCGCACCAGGGTCGAGGGACGGATACCATCAACTTCCGCAATGTCAAGGAAAGCGCTAGCGTTGATATTGGTGGGAAAAACCCTTCCAAGATGAAAGGGGTTCCCATGGATTCCGGGCTGGCGACCCCGAACGGCGAAATATCCGACCCGTTTGAAGAGTTCAACAGCGTTACTCTGCATCATGACGGGGATATGTAACATCAGCCGTATCATGAAGCTAACGACCGACTTGCTTTGAGCACTCTTTGTATTGCATGAGGCTCATTTATGACGATGATGCATGAAGATCTTTGTATGCGCAAGCCACAATTTCTTTGCCGCTATAAGTTGGAGTATGGGTGCCTAGAGTTTTGATGGGTTTTAATTCTCCGTCCTATTTCCATGTCTGTCCTTATCTTGACAGTTCCATTCTTACATTCACTGGCCAGGATGGTCCTGGCTTCTCACCCATTTCGCATATGGGATAATTTCGGGAGGATTGCTTTATATGATTTACCTGGATGCGGCGTATAAACAGCTTGCTGCCTTTGTTGTGTTTACCTTATCGTTATTTATTGCAGAAGACGGCGTTTGCGATTTCGGTTTTGCCATCTTCTCCTTGGTCAGTTATGCCCCAAGGGAGAGGATTTTACTTGGGGATATTGATTTTGTTAGATCAGGACTTTGGACGCTCGGTCTCTCTGTTGACAGGCCCGGTGCCATGTATCGCGAGAGGTATAACAATTATCTTTGTTGTATGATTTAGCTCTAGACTATTAAACATCTAAATATGTTTATGCACATATTGGTAGTACAAGTAATCAAGCGTCCTTCCTACCTTCGTAATGTTGAGACAAAACAGTCGGTCCCGCTGGGTCCTCACCTCCGCGGTCCCAAACAAACCACCTTTTTTCAACATCTCACTACAATCGACCCCCATCACAAACAGAACATATATACTTATCGAAACAATTCCATCCTTCACTTCCTCGTTTCTACATACAAATCACACGATGTCCACCACCGACGATGACCCCACTCCAGGCGAAACCCCGCGCAACTCCGTATCCGAGAACCCTCTCCTGCGCGCATCCAATCCATTGGTCTCCGACCTCGAACAAGAAGTCCTAGATGAATATACACGATTACTAGGAAATGTGAATCAGGTATGATACTATACGTGTATATGATATCTATACGACCACCCCCACGCTCCCCATGTCTTCCCCTCCCTACCGAATTAAGAACCAAACAATGAGATCCCAAGGCTAATAATATGAAATAAATTGTTAATATAATATAATAGTTATCATCTAAACTTGCTGATCTCTCTGGCTCGCCATCTTCTCTCACTTTAGATGGTCTGCGTTTACTGGAGCGAAAGACCGCCACCGTGTGCACCCTCCTCAAAACAAGTGTTTATAGTATTGTTTTGCAGCAGCAGATTTTCAATGAGAGTGAACAGCAGCAACAACAGCAGAGGGAGGATGATCACGATCAGGGGATGGAGGGGGATGTGAGTTTTCCGGGGAGGTATTGATTTATCCTTTCTCTATCTCCCTCTCATGATTTTTTTGGGGGGGTTGATTTAAATGTTGTTACTGGCATGGTTCTATTGGGTGCCATGATAGATGAAGTGATGAGAATATACCCCCTTTTTACTACTTGCTGGAGTTGAGGGACGAGGACTGGTTGGCTAGTTATATGATAATGGAATCTTGCAAATACAAATACATATCACAGTACATAGAAAGAAAGAAATAAAGAAGATTATATACACAGTCATGCAATAGCCCACTTGCCAACTGTGTGCCTCCATAGTCGTACAGTCAGACCGAGATATCTGGATCATCCGACAGATTGGATACATATTGGTACCCTAACAGGCTCTGCTCTAGGTAAATGGGAGCAAAACCAGAGTTGCATTCCTTAGGCCCGTCCCGAGTAGTAAACCTTGCGTACATCAACCAACTTCTTGCCTCGCGCCCGGGCAATCTCCTCTGGGTCCCGCTGGCTTTTCAGCGCTTCGAAGGTCGCCTTCACTGTGTTCATGGGGTTTCTCGATCGACCAACACGGGCGGCGAGATCGTGGATACCGGCTACACGACACATTTCGTAAATCAGATGCTGACACCGGAGACCGAATCCTAAGAAGAGTTAGCAACGAAAGAAGCGGACTTCACCAGGGTGGAGGCTCACCTGGAGGACGGGTCATCAACTTCAGCTCGACAGCTCCCACCTTGCCCTTGACATCGCCAAAGATGGTCCGATCTTCGTACCGCCGGACGGGCTGCATGTTTCGGATAGCGCGATACCGCGATTGAGTGTCGGACTCCTGGCGTTCATCCGATTTTGCCTCCCCGATTCCTAGAAGACCGTTCCCGTTCCCGGCAATTGACAGACAGTAGGAACTACGGATCTTACCCAAACGCGTCTGGTTGGCCACAGACCGGACAACGAGAGTTTTCGTCTTCAAGGCCCGGATTTGTTCCACAGAGTAGCCCGTAGCCAGGAGGAGTTGTTTCAGCGCATCGGTCATGTCATCCGACTCCTTGTTTTGGGCATTGGGTCTCTCCAGCTCAAAGATTCTGGGACGCTCGGGCTTTTCCCCCGACAAGGTTTCCCCGTGGCTAAACAAATCAGGTACCATCGCGCTGTGAGGGTTAAGCTCGTTTTCCTCCTTGCCCTTGGTCATCCGCATGGTCTCCAGAAACTGTATCCAATCGCCCGCAGTGGCATTCTCGGGCATCTCGGCGAAAAATCGAGCAAAGTCATCCAAGAAATCCTCGTCGGTCTTGAGGGTCGCATTATAGTCAGAATTGGACTTGGGAGCGCGCACATGCTTGTCCACCCCGGGCTCGATGACGGATAAGTCGTCGAGATAACGCAGCTTCATCGGATCCCGACGGATGGCAAACTGTTCTGCCATATCCTTGGGGTCAATGGCCGATTCACCGGCTTCCACAGCCTCCATCTGCTCGGGGGTATAGTGTTCTCGCAGGACGGCCTTCTCCTCCTCCGAATACGGCTTGAAGTCTTCCGGCTTCATATTCCGGGAGATCTCCTCCAGGGTTTTGCCTTCCTGGACCGGTTCATTGGGAATCTTAGGTTTCCGATCCGAGAACTGCGGCGGCGAAGGATGGAATTGACGACGAGGCATGCGAGGGACAGTCGAGGCCGCGCGAGAAAAGCGGCAAAACAGACATCTGGCGGGGCGGGTGAAACTCATTGTAAATGACCGAAAGCTCTCTGGCCAGCAGAGGCCACTTGAGAGCTATCAAAGGAGGGGATGGAATAGGGGAGCTGATAGAGAGAGGACAAGAAATAGTTGATGGGATAATGGAAGAATCTCAGAATTCTCAGCCCGGCGGCTCAACCAATCCCCGCCCGCCTTTTTCCTCAATTTTTCTGCCCGCGATCCTGCCATCTCTTTCCTCTCTCCTCTTCCAGTTCGCCTTCTTCCTCTATATATGCTTGCATTCAAATCCCTCTGGTCATTCTCTAGAACCAATTGGTCACGTCTCTCCACGAGCACTCGACGTTTCGCCCACGTCAGCTCTCACTCTGTCCCTCTCCCCAAAGCGCATGTCTTCGCAGGCAAAATGCAGAATCATCCCATGAAACCAGACCATGGTGCGAAGCGCCGCAAGAAAGCAAAGACGGAGCGAAACAACAAGAGCAGTGGCTTTGACGAGGTTCTGCAGACTGATATCGACCAGCTTCTACGCAGGAATCAGCCAGAGACCGAGGTCGCCGCCGAATCTCCGGCTGAGACTCCCAAGCCTATTCTCCCGGAGCTCTTTACAGAGATTGAAGTGACCGTCGCCGAGCTGTCGTCTACTGGTGATGGTCTTGCATTGTCGGAAAATGCAGACCATGTCTATGTCGTGCCGTTTACCGTTCCCGGAGACCGGGTCTTGGTGAAAGTCGTGCGACACTTCCCGTCCCTTTCCTACAGCGTCACGGACTTCATTAAAGCCGTGACACCGGGTCCCAAGCGTAATGATGCCCTCATTGGGTGTCAGTACTTTGGCAAATGCTCCGGTTGTCAGCTCCAGATGATGTCGTACGAGGACCAGCTGGCCCATAAGAAACGCATTGTAGAAAAGGCCTATGCCAATTTCTCGGGCCTCATCCCCGAACTCATCCCCGCCATTGGCGATACTTTCCCCTCGCCGCTGCGGTATGGCTATCGGACGAAACTGACGCCGCATTTCACAGCCCCTCCCGGGAAATCCCGGCGACAGAAAGGCCCCAGGGAGCCTCACAAGGAGGTACCGCCCATCGGATTTACCTACAAGAACCGACGTCTGGACCTGGACATCGAGGATTGCCCGCTGGGGACGGACATCGTTCGGAAAGGCCTCAGGAGTGAGAGGAAGAGGGTTGCGGAGAATATTGGGCGGTACACCAAAGGTGCGACGCTTCTGATGCGCGAATCTACCGCTCGAATCCCCAAGGATGCTCCAGACACCAACACCGAGTCGAGCGCAGGAGAAAAGGAAGCGGGAAGAGACTCCGGGGACGTGATCCGCATCGAACACGACCAGTATAGCGAAGAGAAGCGCTGCGTGACCGATCCCAACGCGACCTCGGTCGAGTACGTCGATGACTACATGTTCACCAACAAAGCCGGTGCCTTCTTCCAGAACAACAACTCCATCCTGCCCGGCTTCACCGAATACATTAGACAGCAGGCTCTGCCCCCACACAATCAAGAAGACGCCAAACCCCTCAAATACCTCCTCGACGCCTACTCCGGTTCCGGCCTATTCACCATCACTCTCTCCACTCTATTTAAATCCAGCCTGGGCGTAGATGTGGCAGGCGACTCGATCACATCCGCGCGCGAGAACGCGCGGGCCAACGCCCTCCCCAACACCGGTTTCGCTGCCGCGGACGCCTCCACGCTCTTCAAGGACGTCCCCTACCCGCCGGATCAGACGCTCCTCGTCATCGATCCCCCTCGCAAAGGATGCAGCGAGGACTTCCTACGCCAGCTGCTCACTTTTGGCCCTCGTCGTGTCGTCTACGTTAGCTGTAATGTCCATACGCAGGCGCGCGACGTCGCTGTCATGGTCCAGGGTGATTCGGAGAAGAAGATTCGGTACGAGATTGAGAGTATCAGAGGGTTTGATTTCTTCCCTCAAACGGGCCATGTGGAAGGTGTCGCTATCTTGAATAGGGCGTCTATATCGGCGTAGATTAATCTGATCAATAATATTAAAGCCATTCGTGGTATTATGAACATGATACTATTATATTATAGGAATATTCACTGCACGGAGTTGGCGTGATAGAGTTGAAAAAATGAGATTATAAAATGACCTCTTGTCACTACATCGGTGCGTAGAAAGAAATGCGTTAGCCCTCTTATATAAGTTATTGTACCCCCTTGATGAGTACGATATATATACATAAATAATGACTAGATTGGGATATTCCATTCTTTTATCGTCAGGTGAGAACAAGATGAAGCGTACGTATTAATCCGTCTCTATTCTTCTCGTAATCTACCTCAACCCCTTTAGGAACCCTTTGGCGTCAAATTGGTCGAAATTCTTGACACTCATGAGAGAAACTGAGAAAACTATGGACAAAAATGGCAAAGAACAGCTAGCAAAACACACACTGACAGTCCAATTTGCAGATTACGAACTGCCTGGTCCACCGAGGAGAGCAAACCTGCGGACAATGCTGGGGCCTATCTCATCGTACTCTGCCTTGGTGTGGCAGTAGCTCCGGAATTCCGGCGTCTGTCCTAGTAAGCTTCCTCCAAACCATGGGCCATGTCTCTGTCGCTTGTGCGTCACAACAGCTACATCCAATCCACCGCTCCGGGCTCCACCGCTGCGTGCTTCGGAGGCACGGATCCGAGCATCTACTAGGTGTCGGATGTCACGCTGCAAGCGTCGACCAAAGTCCTTGTATAACGTAGATCCACCAGACAAGACAATGTTCTTATACAGACCCCTCCGAACGTCAATGGGGGAAGACTGGATGACGCCGTCCACGACGTTCGGCAAGGGAGTCAGGAAGTCGGAGGAATAGATTTCGGGGTTGAAGAAGATCTCAGGGGCAAGGAACCGCTCGTATCCGACGTCGACACTCACGCTGCGGCCGTTGGGCGAGATCACAGTATGCTTGAGGAATCGATCCGGCTCACGGTCATAGCGAGCAAATTCCTTGACGATATCGGGGCACACGTAGCAGTATTCTTCCTTTACCCTCTCTGCCGTCTTCAGACTGCTGTCAGGCTCGCCTCGGTCACGAAGAAGGCTCTGGACGAAATAGGTGATGTCTCGACCGGCAATTGGTATACTCTTAATAGAAGATCCGATGACGTATCCTTCGGCGACGGGGATGACGTGGGTGACACCGTCACCAGAGTCGATGACAGTTCCTGTGAGAGATCGGTCCGTCACCTTGGAAGAGGTCCACGAGGCCGCAAGCGCAAGCACAGCTTGGACAGCGATATAAAGACCGGCACAGTTGAACGACTCGAACATGATCTCCGCAGTGTTCTCGCGGTTCTCCGGGGGGTTCAAGGGCTAATTAACAGACACATATCAGTATGCAAGTCTTCTGGAACTTAGTTTCAGGGAGCGAGAGATCATGTATTCCTACGTACCGGTTCAGTGAGAAGGAAATAGTGATCTTCAGGCTCCACGCGCAAATACTTGAAGATCGAGTTCGACCAGAACCGTTCCATCGCATCCCAATTCTCAATCTGGCCATGTCGAATAGGGTAGTTTATACCGTATCCGGGCCCGTTGGCTGCGGTCAAAGCTTCATCGCCAATGAAAAAGTCCAGGTCCTCTGTTCCACGCTTTGAGGACAGGTGTGAACCTGCTCCACCACTACCGGCCAAAAACGAGGGCTTGTTCGCGACGGCAGGCCTTCCGACTGAGCTCCCAGTGCTTCCAGCACCAGCCTTGCTAGCAATTGCCGTAGGGAAGACGAACGAGGGCGAGTCGTTACCGGCGAAACCTGGTTGTCTTGTCAGCCTGGCCTGGTTGGGAGATATGCAGTCCTGTACTTACCAAGCTTGGAGTAGCCAGTTCCGCTGAACAAAGAAGACAAAAGTTAGTCATAGGCATCCTAGGGCAGGCCTATATGGGGATAGCTTGACATACTTGTCCATGACAACGGCTGGGGTTTGGGACGCCATGACGGATGATGAACTAAGGCGTTTTGTTCACAAAAGCCTCCCCGTAACTTCGCGGGCAGGAGGGGGAGGGTGTACTAGCTGCCGGCTGGGATAGTCAATTGGATCAGCCCAGGATAATTCGGAGACGATTAATAATTGTCTGGGAATTCAAAGGAGAGCATGAGGAATGGCGGAGGAGGGGGAAGACGAGCGGGCAGGCAGGCAGTATGGCATGGATAGGGAGCCGCAGCGGTACAAGCTCGGGGCGGTAAGGACGGTATCCATACCTCGTATCTTACGTACCACTATACATAATACTGACCCATATGACATAAGGTGCCCAGCCACAGTCATGTGCCATCACATGAGATGCAATGCCCAATGGAGTAACAGAAGAAGACGAAGTAGAAGTAAAGCCTTCTTTCATTCATTCTTTCTTTCCTTCCCTTCTCTTTCGCCGTTTCGTTTGGGCAGCTTCACCAGAATGACTCCCATCTCTGCCAAAGGAGGTAGCTGCCCCCGCAACCCGTTAAGCCACTCCTGATCAAGCAATGGAAGGAGCAGGAACTCCAGCCAAGCAATCAATCATTCACTGAATGTCCCCTCTGGCAGAGTCTTGATTGCCCTATACATCTATCCTGATCTTCTTCCTAAGCTTCTTTTCCTTCTCTCCCCCTTTGTTTTTATCCTCTTCCTTCTCCTTAATGAGCCTAGGAATTGCTGTTCATTCTGGAGTCTTTCATTTTTAGACCACACATCGTTTGCTGTTGTAGTGGCTATCTTTCTTTCAGAGCAGCCCAGTTCCTCTTTGTTCGTTATTCTTCCCTTCATTGTATTATTTACCTACAAACCTCTTCGGGACAAAGCCGCTGGACCCGCTTCTTGTGCCAACAAGCTGGTCGTGCGAGAGTGAAGAAATCCCCCAGCTGAGGCAATGTCGACCTAGTGTAAAATACCAACCATTCCACCTGGGTGAATGGCAAGAACTGAGTCGCCTTTAAAATCTTTGGTCCAAAGCTGTACGCAGGCACTGTGGGACTTTCCACTATCTCCATACCCCCAACAACTCGCTGCACATCCCCGTCCTGACTCTCCAACTCCGTCAACGCATCCGTCCAACCTCATCATGAGTCCTCCAAGGAAAGGCAATGTCTCTGCCATCTTCGTCCATGCGGGGGCTGGCTTTCATAGCGTAAGCAACGAGAAAGCTCACTTGGAAACTTGCGAAAAGTAAGTTCCAGTCGCCCATGCATATCCTCCGGCCTCCATATTTCCTTCTATGGCTAGTATCTAATTTCAGGCAGTGCAGCTAAAGTCGCAATGTCGGTTCTGAAGAACGGCGGCTCAGCTGTTGATGCTGTCGAAATTGCCATCATGTTGCTTGAAGACGCAGAGATCACAAACGCCGGCTATGGCAGCAACTTGACCATAGACGGTCTAGTCGAATGTGATGCTACGATTATCAACCATCTCGGCCAAAGCGGCGCAGTGGGTGCAGTCAGTAGTGAGTCTCCCTTCATCACATCTTCTGTTTATAAAGTAGCCTGTTCTAGAGTTGATAATGTCTAGATGTTAAAAATCCCATCTCACTGGCACGGGTCATATTCGAGTCCTCAATGCGACCATTGTCATTGCAGAGAGTGCCTCCAAATTTCCTTGTGGGGCAAGGTGCGACAGACTTTGCGTATGAACACCGGTTGGTGGTTCTTCCTGACGATGGCCTGATATCTGCTGCGGCGCGTGAGAGATGGCATCGCTGGCAACAAGATTTGGAGTCATGCGAATCAGGGGAAAGACAGCAAAAATCAGCACACCATCAGAACGGCCATTTTAAGGCATGGCTCCGTCGTCCGGTGAATATCCACCCTGCACAGTTACTGTCTTGTCCTTTGAGTGCACAACCCCCATCGTCTGGCCCTCCAATGTGTGATATGACACACGATGCGAATCTTCCAGCAGACGACACTCACTTTCATCCTAGAAGCTTCGGTGTCACTCCCCCAGCAGATGTTGATATGACGTCATCCCCCTCATCCAGAGCTAGAGATGGTGAGTATGTCGATGGTATGATTCCTCAACCCGAACAGGTTTCTACCAGAATAGAGTCGAACATATTACCGGATTCCACTACTGCGGCCAATGCTTCAGGTATGGATAATAATAATCCAATCCCGCAACCGGTTGGCACGAACACGCACTACGAGCAGAAGGACAGCGCCCCATTCAATCTAGCCATGGACCAAATAAATGATACAGTCGGCGCTATTGCAATTGATAGCTATGGCAACACTGCTGCCGGTTCTTCATCTGGTGGTATTGGGATGAAACATCGTGGCCGAATTGGCCCTGCAGCGCTGGTGGGCATAGGAACTTCCATAATTCCCGCGGACCCTAGTGATCTTGAGAAAACATGTGTTGCCGTCGTCACATCCGGAACTGGAGAACACATTACTACCACCATGGCTGCCAGTACCTGTGCCTCGCGGATCTACTACAACCAGAGGAAGTGCGAAGATGGTACATTTGAAGAGGTGACCGAAGACGAGGCGATGAAGACAATGATAGAGACCGAGTTCATGGGTAATTAGATCCCCTTGGGAAACGTCAGACGTACGCGATGGGCTGATACAGAAACTATTCAGGTCACCCTGGCGTCAAAAGTAACCATTGTCAGGGTGCCATTGGAATTATGGCGGTCAAGAAGACGGTTGACGGGGCGTTTCTTTACTTTGGTCATAACACCGACTCTTTCGTAAGCACTATTGGGCGGTCCTCTCTGCTAGCCTTCATTTACTAACATTTATATTGTGTTTTAGGCCCTTGCGTCCATGAGCAGTGAGGATAAAAGACCGACGTGTGTAATGTCTCGCAGCAGCGGAGGAGGGAGCGTCGCACAAGGTGGCCGTGCCTACCGTTCTAGAAGGTAGGAGATTAAACAATGAGCCCTCCATTTGCAAGATAGACAGGAATGGTGCAAACCCACGGATTCTACAGATACAAGGTTGCTGGCTCATGCGCATAAATCGATGCCCACAGCCCGTGGTGTAGGTTTCTCTTTTGCTTGCTGGTCAGGCCTATTCACTAACTTTATGTTTTAACACACCAAAAGCTAGTTCGCGTTGCTCAAATTCTTATCTATAATTTCACGGCAAGAGCAAATATCCCAATGAACGACATCCTTATGGATAGTCAAGACCCAACTGTCTTTGTATTCTCACTCTGCTTTCTCATTGATTTACGAGACCTACCATCATCCGGCAGTATGTCCCGGACAGAGGTGATTTTGCCTGCTCAGATGAAGACTGTTTTTGAACAGCTCTCTGGATTAAAGCGATGACCAGTATGCAATGTCTACGGTGACTGCGAGGAGTCAAAGCGGTCCGCGTTATTGTACGAACCTAGGATACCGAATAGACGGAAATACCATTCTCCACTGTACCAGTTGTAGAGTAGGACTAGTGCAGAATTCATGCATGAGGCCGGAGAATCACGCAAGAAAATACACCCCGAATGCGGCAATTATTTCTTAAGTACTGTGCACGATGTTGGCTGATTTTTAAGCCGATGATCAAGGACCGGGAGTAGACGTCGGTGTGGGTGTAGCTGTTCCTGATGGACCATTGGCACGCGCTTTCTTCTTTTTCTTTTTCCGAGCAACCACGGCCGGCTTGGCCCCATACTCGCTCATTTCAAGGTGGGTACCACAAGTAAGACAGTTCCCATTCTCCGGAGGCTCGCAGAAGATGCTCAGGCAGATGGAACAGACAAACCCGATATCGACCACGCGGCGATGACAAAAACATGCAGCACGGAAGTCGACATCAACACGACTCGGCAGTACCAAGTGTCTCCGGGAGCGCTGATCCGGTAAAAACGCCATCATCAGATACTGCAGTAAGCCCCGTGGCTCAGACAAGGACATGTACACCCCTCGGGTTGCGTCAGACGCCTGCTGAAGAAAGACCGCATCCCCACTTAACTTGCACACGTCGATGGGAATATGAAGTCGCTGACAGGCGAAGATCCCGTTCATCATAGGGATATACTGATGGGCGGAGTCGGCTGATCCACTAACAGAAATGATCAAGACGCGCGATTGTAGGCCTTCAGATCCAGTCACCGCCCTACCACCACTACCACTACCACCGCTGCGGCCGCTAGATGTCGTCTGAGTCGCATCCGTCACCGATGTATCAGCACCATGCACCTCTGCCCATGCAATACTCCGTCGATTGATGTGACTCAGAGCCAGAGTCAGTGCGCCGGCCATCATGGTCGCCGTTGTGGCCTGGACATCAGCGCTGGTGGTCGAGTCCATGAGTTCGCGTAAATTTCTAGTGACCTGTTCCTCCACGATACGGAATGGGCGGTACTTGTTTACTTGCGCAGATTCACCGACTATGTTGTTGTTGTTGTTGTTCATGGAGATGTCGCCATCTTGATCGGTGCGTGGCTGCCGCTGCTGTGGCTGGTTCTCGTGCGGATACAGCCATGTTGCTTTTTGGCTGTGCGATGCAACGACGGCTACCTCGTTGGCGTAGTTGCAGGCTAGATGCGCATTTATGAAGACAAGGATGTTGGCTATTCCTTTGGATAATGGGAGAGATTTTTCCAGGAGAGCCCATGCGTGTGGGTTTGTGTCGATTATGACAGCTAGGAGGGAGGGGGCAGGGTCTAAAATGGAGATAGAGTGAGCTCAGTGCCATGGACTAAAGAATTAGGTCTTACCATTTGCACTGGTTCCATGGTGCTCTGTCGCATCTACTGCGTTCATTTCTCCTAGGTATGTACTGTATCGTATATTCAAGGGTTCAAAATGGAGGGTTTTAAGCAGAGAGAAAGCACAAAGTGGGGAAATTAGAGTCAAAGAATGAAAGATACAAGAGCTCAGTTAGGTCATAGCATCATGAATATTAACAAATTATCAGCACAGGCTTATGGAGGAGAAAATTTAATTACTTTTATTAAAATTCAAGAGCAATGTCCGCTACTGGGACGTGCTGTTGGATTTTGGGTGGAGTTTGGCACTGGGAGAGAAGAGCGAGTTGAAGCTTTACAAACTATATGGGGGTGCACGTGATAGAGGCCTGATATATTAGGCAAACATACAAGCAAGACAACAAACAGCAGAGAGGGAAGAGCGAATCTTGGCATTGTACAAATACTTGCCAGTTGTTAAAACCAGCGACTTCTATTAACTAGAAAAAAATAACTTGTCTGAATGTCCTGGTGACAATGTACGTACATGGATGTTTAAATGCAAGTGACCCAGATACAACTCACAAAAGGAGCAGCCAGGACTCAGGTGCAATGAAAATATTCAGGACAACAACATTGAATATCCTGACAGAACTTATGTTGAAGGTGTCTTGAGGATAACTGATAAAAATCACAAAAAAACTTCTGGCTTGACATGGAGGTGATCCTCCTTGAATTCGGTCTTGTTGAGAACCGGTATCGTGAAAGACTCTTTGAGGGGATCGGAAGCAGTTGGTTGAGCAAGCGGGCTGGGCTGAGGAGTAACGGAGGGAGGCGTATCGTCTTTCTGGTGCTCTGTAAGTCCTTTCCGGATAGCAAGGACAGAATCCACAATGACGGCATCGATGCCTTCGGCGACTTGGAGCTACAGGGCAACTGTTAGCGACCTTCGGATCGGGGCAAGCCTGAACTCTTTGAGGAAGCAGCTTACCTTGACACTGGCAGGCTCGTTGTTGATAGCACCGTATGACACGCAAACCAGACCAGACTCCTTCACCACTCGGACTAAACGAGGACAGAGCACCAGTGCCTCAGCCTGCGTGACAACTCCAAGCAAGTTCCACCGGGACGCAAACCGGATAGCTTCTTGGAGACTGCAGGCGCGAATATCACCGGCTGGAGTGGATCCCGAGTCCGTCAAGAAAAGCACAGGAATAGACGGCTGCTTGAAGGAGAGCAAAAGGCAGATATCCGGGTTGAAGCTGGAGAAAATCATGTTACGGCCCTGTCCCAGGTCGTAGACCTTACTAAGGACCGTGTCTACAAACGAATTCAACTCCACCGCATACGTGTCCATCTCCTCGTCTTCGCTCTCGAAGAGCATGGGGTATTCTGGCGATCCCAGTCAGATCGTCTCGTAACTGCTCTTACAGGGGGTTGTATAAACTCACTCAGTTCGATATTAAACCCAACGGACTTGGGTAGTTTCTTGAAGAGCTCTTCCAATGTGGCAAACGGGGCCTGGATGTGATTGCCACGGCTATTTCCTTTGAAACCTTTCTTTTTGAAGTCGCGGGTATGCTTGATCTTCTCATTCAATTCCGAGGGGTCATATTCTGAGCCGCCCACAGACATTGACCTCTGGCGCGTGCCCAAATCGTCCACTAGCTGCGATGAAGAAGACGCAGGTTGACGAGACGGCCCTTTGTCACCCAACTGAAGAAATTGCTCCAGAGTCAACGTGTGGACGGGAGCATCGATGCCCGTCTCACTAACCAGGAAGTCATGGTAGATTACCGGGACGTGATCCTTAGTTAACTGAACGTCAAACTCCACATACGAGGCCCCCAGATTCGCAGCTGCAATAAACGACTGAACCGTGTTCTCTCCCAACTGTAACGAATTACGGCCGGCCATGTTCTTGCCCAGGCCACGGTGGCCGATCACCATCGTCGAGCTCATACTCTTCCAATAAGTCTTATCACCAGTGATTGACATATTGGGGTGCTGAAAAGGGGTGATTATGAGGAAGTTGAACGTGACAGTGCCAATAACTTCCAATGTGTTCGCTGCCACAATTGGGACCGTCGAATCGCCCTTCAAATTGATACGGTGAGAGCCCACTGTTGGCTTGATGCTAGACAGCAGTGCAACACCTCGCCCAACGACCTGATCTTTCGAACCGGCATAGGTAGGGATCAGATCAAAGATAAGTCTGACTTTGGACGCATCCGCGGCATGGAACACGATTGGCTCAGTCGAAATGTTGTCTTGAACAGGGAGATCGATGATTTCGGGTTCCCCGTGAGCCCCACTGGCCGAAACAGCGAGGGATAGAGCGGTATCAAGCTGGGTCGAATGCGCATTTTCCATGGGGATCCGGTCCAGGTTAACGGAGTGAACGGGGTTCCGAGTATCCATGGTCCCCAGACTAACCAAGATCATGGTCTCGTCGGTGAGATACCGGTGTCCAAATGACTTAATAGGCTCATTAACCCGTAACCCAGAACTCCCGGTGGATGTTGAGGAATTAGATCTCCTGTCCGCCAATGAGGACGGTGGGGGCGAGGAGGACAGAGCGGCAGAAAGTGTGGGAGCAGGGACGACAGGGTCGACCTCCATAACTTCGGGAGCGGGGGTGACTTCTGCAAGACACCGAGCGATGTCAAGATGACCTCTTAGTGCAGCATGCTCCTTCGCCGTCCATCCGGAGGAATCAAGTTTCTCCAGATCGGCGCCGGCTTCGATCAGCAATTCCACAACGCTGAGAGCTCCGTCCACGCAAGCAATGAATAGAGGAGTCCAAGAGTACGTTTGTTCTGCCAGCTCCGTATCTGCCTTCTGCTCATCATTGCCCTCTAGCAGAATCTTGGTGCACTGGTGGTGATTGAAGCGAGCTGCCACATGTAGCGCAGTTTCCCCTTGTTCATCTTGGTAATTGATGTCAACACCGGCATCCACCAATAGTCGAACGATATCAACAAAATTCGCCTTGGTGGCCAATGCCAGCAACGCACTGGACCGGGAAACCCGTTTTCTAATGGCCGTCATCTCTTCATTTGGCCCCTTCCAGTTCTCAGCGTCGAGAAGAGCCCGAGTGGTTAGTGGATGGCCACCAACTACACTCAAATGCAGAGGCGCCCAGCCGTCATTATCTTGCCACGAGAGGCCATCGATGCCTTCTTTGACGTTGAACATATCCCATGCCTGGAGGTGTTCGATGATGACCTCGCAGACAACTTTGAATCCGTACTGAGCCGCGTAGTGTAACGGGGTACGGCCAGAGAGGTCCTTGGCTCGCAGAGCGGCTCGTTGGTGACCCTGGAGCTGGTCCAGCAGATGCTGTAAAAGCGACACAGGTGGATCAGACCGGTCTAGATGCTGTGGGAAGTCCGACTCCTTCACCACAGACCGAGGCGCTTGCAGGGTGGGCAGGGCAGCAGGGGTGATGTAGTTCGATGTCTCAATAGGGAAGTCAAGGACCATGGAAGCAGACTGTTCGGAGTCTGTCGTGGATTGCGCGCGGCCGATCGATATCACCAATCGATGGATACAGTTGCGCTTGTTGATATCATCGTCTTCATCAAGGCTATCAATCCGAGGCAGGAGACTTGATATACAAGACTTGGAGCGGTAGTGTATACATCGCTGGAGGAGGCTCTTGAGCACTTTTGGGAAAACACCCTCTCCGCTGTCTTCTGCAGCAGTCTTGAGCGTCTCCAATAATTCCAGCATCACATGCATGTCATCTTTACGTAGTGCTTCATCGACCGCTATCAGTAAGCTCGCCGGGAGATCCAAGTTCGGGCGGGCAGGACCCCTCTTCAGCGACAAAGAGGAGCGGGTAGAACTGGCATCATCAAGGACCTTCTGCTCCCCCAGGACGGAGAGCCAGTCATTGATCCTCTTCAAGGACTCGGTGACCCGAGCATTCGAGGCGAAGGGGGCGGGATCTACCTTGGTTTCGACATACATCTGCTGCGCACGAGTGCCTACCTTTTTGTCCAGCTTCTTGGTAATCTTGATGAATCCACGGCGGTTAACCTCGCCGTACCACTGCAATTTGCGGAATTGCCCGCGCAGCTCCAGCAAGGCAGCCAAAAGGTCTTCGGCCTCTTCGGCGTCCAGACGATGACCAATATCCAAGGATTGGCCATACCGTTCTTCCAACAATTTCAAGCGGCGCGCAAACTCCGCATATTTTTTGTTATAGAAGTGGTCCACATCCTCGAGGTTTCGATCGAGAGAGTAAAAAAATCCTGGGGGATCGAGTCAGGAAGACCGCTCTGCGGTCTAATATGTAGAAGAACAAAGAAACGGCTCACCGGTGAGGTCGGCCTCTTGACCAGCCTTCACATTTTCCGCAGCCGCTTTAATGAATTTTTTCAAAGCCTTGTACTTAATGTATGATGCACTCCACTCAGGGACAACATTGCGGGGCAAATTGCGGCCAAATTTCATTTTGGTGACTTTCCGGTCGAGTAAGTGAGGGAGGAGATGTAATTCGACGAGACAGAGCTGAAATTTCTTTTCGAAGTCCCTATTTAGCAAACGTCGTAGTGACGTAGAGGTGATTCACCGGTAATAGGGATTCAATCCACCAGGGAAGGAGTCCGGGGGAGATTTGACTATATAAAAAAGAGAAAGAATAGAAGGTTTAGATCGAGCGCAGGCGGATGCGAGGAAAAGAAGAGGGAACAATCAATTGAAACGTCGAATACAACAGCGCCATGTGTCAGTTGGTCACAAATATCATGGAAGAAAGACCTTTTTTTTTTTCTTAATTTTTCCCCCTTTATTCTTGCTCCAGGTTTCCGCCCTGAAAGCTAGTAGGAAACGGTGGAAAGCCAATAAACCGGGAACCACTTCACTTGGATGTATCGGGCGTGGTGGAAAGGACTAGCTGGTGTTAACAATGGAGTCGCATCAGCACGTGGGAATTGACTAATGGACAAAGAAGGAAAACTCCACGGGCAAGCCAAATTAAAGAGGGAAACCAAAGAGAAATAACAATCTCAGCGGAGTCGAAGGAAAAAAAGAAAGAAAAAGACAGGAATAAGAGGCATGAAGGAACAGTGTCATACTTAATGATCTCAGATTGATTTTCTAAAGAATGTCGTGAATGTTCCAAGTCGAAGTGGCGGAGTCTCCGCGAGCCACTGACTGCTCGGCGTGAGACGCGGGCTGCCTCTGATTTGTCCGCGATGTCCCAGCGGGTTCCGCGGTAGAATGAGAGTCCTTTATGTCCTAAACATAAGAGAAAAAGAGAGGGGGGGAGAGGATAAATGGAATCAACAGGGATAAGTCACAAGCAGTGGACTTATCTCCTTTTTTCCGAGTACCTGCGCCCTCTCGTCTCCCCATCGTCGTCTCATCCACGGATTGGTGAGAGTCCTCGCACCCCTCTCTTCCCCCCAATCTATTAGTAGTAGACATGACTAGCCCATCCTGCCGTGCAGAACTTGGCTCGGAAACTTAGGTTCTTCCCCAACTCGACCGGTCGAGGCAGCGTCAATCCTTTCCTTTCCTTTCGCTTTAGATGTGTCTATGATGTTGCTGTTTCGGGTGAAGCAAGATGGGGTCATGTGACCATATCCCGCCCATTCTTCACTTCCTGTAACTAGTTAAACTATCAAGAATCATACATCTCTTGTCATGCACATTGTATATCTTATATTAATCATAGTGCAATCTACAGTTTAATACTGGATACTCCACAACTATGTGTATTCTTAGATATTCCACCTACATAATCCATTGTTTCTGGATAAGTAAAGTGCTTAAAGGCAACAATGCTTGTTTCTTATCTTGTCCAAGTATATTGCAATGGCTTTGTATATATATTATAAATTATTTATTATATAATCTATTAGCTCTGTCAAGGGCATATCTGTGTTCAGGATGGCTCCATTATATCAACAAAGAAAATACCCACTCCCATTTAATCTAGCTTATTTCTGTGATGATAGCGGCATGTCTATACATCTAGGTATAGGTCTCTATTATAGTCAACATTGACAACACCATTACAGAGTTTCCTTGATGATAATGGCATCTCCCAGAAACACCATGGAGTATTCTATCCGATGACTCTATCTTCCATAAGCTATCATAGTTAACCTGCAATTATAAATAGGATTATTATTCACCCTGCTGGTTTTAATCTTCTCTCTACCACCTCCCCAATAGTTAGCACGAACACTTCCTACCTCCGCTACCCTCCAAAATCTCAACTGACCGAAAAACCAACCAATCATCCACAAAAGGAAGATGCATCCAAAATGGGCATCCCCGAATGGGCCAAAGACATGGAGCAGGTCGCTCTCCAGGCACGAGGAATCGAAATTCACCAAAGAATCCGTCTACGAGCTCCCCAACGAAGTTCTGTTCAAGTTCAATGTCTCGCGAACCGCCGGTGCTATGGTGCTTTTTTTTTTTGGGGGGGGGACTTTCAACGAGCTAAGCATTCGCATCCATAAGCTGAATTAATTATCGCCATCCCACGGCCGAAGCAGAGGGGCATAATTCCAACGCGTCAAGGTAACTATGGCCCTTGCCCCCGAAGTGAAGACCGCTGATGATGAGTATGCTCCGTTGGGTCCTTTATCGCAAGGCAAATGAGCTGCGTCCTCTTTCTTCTCTTCTTTTAATGGGGAGGGGTTGGAGATTGACTATATGTAAGTGTTGTCATCTTGCCTTTCTTTCTCTACGGTGATTGTTGATGATCTAGAGTTGGATACGGATTGTTGCGTTAGTTCTGGAAACTGACAATTTCTTTCGTTGCAGGATTTTGACTCGTTCGGAAGATTTTCAAAAACCAGGGGAAAACAAAGAAAGGAAAAAAGAGAAAAAGAGAAAAAGAGAAATAAAAAAAGGAAAATACACACCGTGCCTGAAAGATATGGGATTTTTTAAAAGTATTCTTCCTGTTCCTTGTAGAATTGTAGTAAGCTCTAAGTTTATATCTTTTAAGATAATGTAGTTTGTTTAATTCAAAGTACAATTAACCAGCATACATGCAACTACTGCACATACGTCCTTTACATACATACACTATGTACCTGCATGTAGGCTGGGTATTATCAGAGGTACTCTATAGATTGTAGTAGATCGCAATGCTTACTATCAGACAAGCCCCCAATTATTGATTCCCCTATCCTCATGGCTCTGCACCATGATTAATTGATATATCATCACACGGCTTGGCATTGTCATCCTGGTCGAGAAAATAGCATGCCAATGGATGAGTTTAACCCGAAGGTCCCGAGAGACTGACCAGTATGAGGTCTTACTATCCCCGCTTCTTCGGCTACTGGTATTTTCCCCTTTACTCTTTATTAAATTAGACAAAAACTCATCGTGTCGTTCATCAATAGACCTGCTACCCAACCAAGACTACCTAGGCTTTCTGTGCACATAATATGGGAATCTGTTAGGGGTCCCAACACTCATGGCCCAGAGAGCACCTATATAACGGAGTAAACGAAAGCATATCAGAAATCCTTGAGAAAAGGATAATCACTGCGAAACAGAAAAACCAAGACCACGTCCTTAAGACATAGCTGAAACAAAAAAAATAAAGGTGAACGCCAATAATGAAAAGCCAAAAAAGGACAGAACACCAGATAAAGAATTCCGATCCCCCGAAATTAAAGCAACGCTAAAAGTAAACAGAGAAGGGAAAGAAAATAAATAATAAATAATAAATAATAAATGAAAAGGAAAGAAACCATATCGCCGCCCGTCTAGTCTATTCGACCAAGGGTTTCAGAGCTTCCACCCCTGTCTGCAAGATAGCAGGATTCGAGGACTTCTTAAGCACACTAGTAAGCTTGTCTACGCCTCCACTATTTTTCACGGCTTCTCTAGCACGCCGGCCAATATCCCCCGAGGCTACGGAGGTCATGTTGCGCACACAGGCGACTCCGCGATGCACTAGCCCTTCGTCATCTTCTTGGCAAAGTCCCAACAATAGTTGGACTCCACGGGGTCGGTCGAGGACACCAGCAATGACCGCATCGAATTCGGTCAACATAGCCAGGCCACCACCGGCGGCACGTCGAGTCGCGACATCATCAGCATCGGTGAGGGCCAGGAGAATGTGCAATCGTTGCGCAGCTCGCTTGGAGCCGTCGGCGAATTTCACAATCCCCGATTCACAGGTCATCAGATTGCAGACCAGTTCGCACGCAGCTCTCTGGATAGCGGTGGTGTTCGAAAGGAGGAGATCTTCCACGACAGGCCAAGACTGGCGGACAATAGCATCCGCCACAGTTTCATCGGGATACGAGGCAAGATTGGTGAGAGCAAGAAGGCTCTCGAACACGGGCAAGAGATCCCGTGGTTGTTCAGCCGACAAGGTGGACGTTTCAGGTGACTTCAAAAGAGATGTCAAAGGTCGAACAGCAGAAGTAATCTGAGAAAATCCAGATGACGGGAAAACATGAGAAGGGTTTACAGAGATTAAGATGCGTGCTAAGGCGTGCGACCCATTCTGCATCGATTCGTTCGAGATTGAGCCAGAGCTTCCCTGTCTAGGGGTCGCTATGTGAAGCAACAGTTTGACGGCCCCCTTCTGGGCTAGTATTCCTCTCAATTTCTGGTCCCGGGAGAGAGAAAGCAAGATTTTGCTTATCAGGCCCTGAACCGATGGCAAGGCGGTCTTGCCACAGTCTACCAAAAGAGGCATAATGCCAGCTGCGACGACGGCGTTGCAACGAGCCATGACATGTTGATCACTTTCGAGCGGATTCGGCCCCGTTCTGGCATTGGGAGAAGCCTCCGCATACAATTTCAGCTGAGACACCTTCTTTTGTTCTTCGGACAGGTTCGGAAGGAACTGCGTAAGGTTCACGATAACCATTAGACCGCCATAGAGAACCGACGAGTCCGTTGAATTCTGCTGCATGGTGCTGATCAAATCGTGCAGGAAGCTCGAGTCTTTGGCAAGTTGTTCTTTCACACTTGGTTTGACCGACGAGTATGCCAAACCTTCAATCACATTTGGTATAGTTTCACCCTTATGTTTCGACATCAGTCCCTTGAATCGATCAACCAATTCCGCAACCTTACTTTCTTCCCCCTGAGTCTTACCGTTTGCCTCCACCCCATTCTTTGCAGATGTCTGGATCTTCGCCAATATTACCGCAGCTAATTCGGAGCTCTGGTCATTGCCGTTGGTCAACGTGTGGGAGAGCCAGTCTGAGAGATCCTTGGAGATGGTTTCTCGACACGCCTTGTTGATGCACGCTGCATTTAACAGCTCCAACACGGCGATCTCGATTTTTCGGCGTTTGGCATCCCTGGTAGTCACAGGCGCCAACGAGGGTATGAAGCCTTCGGATAAGAAGAGAGAAGCTGCCACCTCGGGGACCACAGGGAAAACCGCCGCCGTGGCAGAAAAGGCCACGATCAGATCATCAAACCGACCTTTGGTAGTCTTGGCAGAGATGAGCTTGGAGAATCGCTTTTCCCCAGTCTCTCCCGAAGCTTCGAGATACTTGACGGTAGCCAGGGTTGCTTGGCTCCTCAGCTCAAACGGTAGCCGATTATCCAGGGATGATAGAATCACATCTAGCCCTTCATCATCTACCAGATCCTCTAATTTAATCACATCGACAGCAAGTAGTCGCGCAATGCCCTTGAGGGAGCGACCGTCTTGGTCATGACCTGACTCCATAAGTTTGGCGACGAACAGTTGAAACAGCTCGCGTTCACAATGTAAGCGAGTGTCCTCTGACGGCCATACAGCATGATCCAAAACAACTGTGTCCAGACACACTGCGGCGTTATCGCCTCTATCATAGATTTCATCAAAGAACGTGGTCACCGAAACTTGCAACTGGTCAGAGAAATATTGTCGGACGCTGACATTCTGCCGAACTAAACCCGAGAGAATCTCATCCTGCAGCGAGGAGAGCACATGCGCTCTTTGCATCAACAGAAGCTTAGCACATTCCAGTGCGACGCCCTCGGGAGGCTTCAGACCATCGGTGCGAAGATACAGGGCAGCGTCTTTCCCGGCTTCCTCATCCTTACGAGAGGCATATCGTCGGCAAAGATCTAGCAAATGGTGACTATTTTCCTCCTCTTCCTGAATCTTCAAAAACGCATCTCTGACGGTCGGGTTCTCTGGAGCTAAAGAGAGGGCTTCTCGGAGATTTCGTGAGGCGGCCTATCATTATGCCCGGTGAGGGGCAAATGGTTAGTTCAATCGTTGGAAGAAACAGGGGGGAAAGAAGAAAAACTATACCTCGCGATGACCAGCATCTACCAACTCAATAGCCTCTCTTGATAAGTGTACAGCACGTTCGTCACTTGTTGAGTGGACCATTTCAAGTCTTGCGTGGTGAAAGAGGGAAGAATGGACGCGACGCGGAAAGAGGAGAGAGAAATTTGAACGTTGGCGATTCAAACTAAGTTAACGGTAGCGGGAACAGGAAGCAACTAAACTTAACCTATGTTCAGGTGTTAACAGCAACCTCCGTAGCGACTATGCAGCGCTCTGTGGTCATGAGGAGGAAAAAAAAAAAGGTGGCTAAAGGACAAAGGATCTCCGACTGATAATTGGAATAAAGAGAAAAAGGAAAAAACGGATGGGGTCTCGTTTTTGATCTACGTGGGATTGCTTTTTTAAAAAAAGAAAATAAGAATCTTGATTAGTTTTGTTAATTAAATTGATGGTGAAAGATAAGTTTCATGGGCTGGCTGGACTACCTTTTTTTTTAAGTATTCATTTATTATCACCTGGGAATGTACGGAGTATCTCACCTGGGAATACATATCATGGTGCTATTGTTCATCGAAAGGAATGGCAGATACGCCTTTACCGCCAATTACAATCGGGCCTTCGATGACCTGTCATGATACCGTATAAGATCTGACACTCGGCCCCCTTTACCTTCCTGGTACGGCTGTGTCGGGGTTCCATCGACGTCGGGGGTTACCCCGACCACAAACAGTTAATTAATAAGTACTGCGTAAGTATCAGTTCTTTACGGTCTGATTCTGACGGGTACTCGATTGGGTACTTTGTTGCGACCTCCTTAGAGGCGGGGATGAGTACTCCGTGGTACTTTGCTTCCATTCCCAGGACTGTGTACATCATGTCAGCTTGCTAATGTCGAATGTGGTGATATTTTATTGACCTTGCTGCTTACTTCGTACTCGGGGTGTACATACATGCCATCCTATCCATAAAATACTCCGTAGAGATCTATAAGGCCCGAAGAAACTTCCCGATCTACTCCGTACAAAATACTGTAAAGTGTAAACCAACCAACAGCGCCCTCCCCGTCACGTTTCTCATCCGGCAACTTTCTCCCAAGACTTCCTGCGTTCCCTAGTTTCATCGCACTATTGAGCCAAGACATCTTTCAATCTGCACTCTGCACCAGACTCACACCAGTCGAACAGTGTAACTTGGTAGCTCTATTTGCGAACTCGCTAGCTTTATTAACCGACTACCTACTACTATTGTCCTCTGTATCCCTTCTTGGCGCTTGCATTCCTGGCCAAGCGGGACAGTACATGTGGATAATGAGGCTGGTTTCCGCTTTTTGGTCCACCGATAGTTTTCCGACTGGCAAGCAATCGTCTCACCTGACATGCTGCTTATCTTACTGCTCCCCAGCATGATGATGATGATGCCTAAATTCCACGGCCAACCTCCATGGGTACTGCCTAAATTGTACCCAAGCCCAAAATGTCCATAGCTTCTACTGAGAAGTAGGGTCGCTGATGTACTGCATGGATCCACGTATTATTGATCTCCCTTATGCATTGGTCTTGCTTCTGGATCACAGTTCGATACCCAAAATGTCTTCACAGCTCCGATATCTTGCTTCTTTTAGGTTCGTCTTTTTTATCTTATCTCAGCCTGCTTGCTGGTCGACACCAAATCACACGGCTGAAGCCACAAAGTATAATTAACTAGTTACAATGGGCCGCGCTTACATCAGACATCCCTCCTTAATGCTTGAATGCAGATCACTCATTCCCACCCTGATCCGGCGCACACCTCCTTGGTTGATGCCTCTGCTTTGTTGTGACTTGGAGGGACCGTTGTTGTCAGTACTGGGAGATGAAGACCTAGCACCGCTCATCACAGGAACAATAGTTTCCATGGTGGAAGTCTCCGCGGGAGGTTCAAGGGCAAAGACTTCAACCATCCATTCATACCAGACTTTCTGGTCATCTGTCTGTCGGTACATGGTGACAACAACCTCACCATTATCAGGAACATTTAGAGGGTTCTAGATCGCCCGAGTCAGCTTTCTGAGGTTCATTCCGTCGGTTCCCGGCTACCGACCTCCCCCCCTCTCACCCTCCTCCGGGAGATCCGGGGTGCTTACCTTTAGAGGAAAGTAGATTGGAAACCAACTGATCATGTTGGCACTTTTGCTATCCATAGTCACTGGGTTCGTCGAAAGCTCTACATCACGATACAGTACAGCCTCAAAAAAGCCAGCAAGGCCGTGGCAGACACCACGATTCTGAATAGGGAAGGCCAGCCGTGTGCGCCGGACGTTGTGAGAGTTAGAAATGGTTGACGAGGCGAAAGACTGAGGTGGGATGTGCTTGTTGGGATGTGAAAAGGACCACGCGGTTTGTACAAATGGGGGTGGAGCCTCAGGCCCCGGAAGGGCCGAGATAGAAGATCGAACATTGCCGGAGTTACTGCTGCTCATATTAATGTTCATGGCCGTGGTATCAGAAGGCTGATTCGTTGAAAGGAAATCAACGGCATGTAGCATCACCACGTATGGTGTCTCCGGAGCCGCAGGGTTGGAAGCAGTCTGATGCATGACATCGGCATGAAGTTTAGGAGCTGAAATGGGCGTGAAATGAGCCGTGTAAGATGCCGGTATGGAGATACCATGTACAGGATTCATAAGGTGAGTGATGCCGTCCAGGCATTCCGGCGACAGTTCGTTATCGCCAAACGAGCCTAATAGCTCGGAAACCACAATGTCAATCGTAGTATACGCAAGCTCCGAAGCAGCCGAGTTGGCTGCGGATCCAGAATATTGCGTAGTGTTCTCTTTCTCGCTACCGGTGTTATATAGAAATGAGTTTTCAATGCCCAGAGACTTCCCCACCGGGGCTGGTGGTTGCTGACGAGAATTTTGCTTGCCCACCCGGGGCCCCTTCCAGCTGCGCATATCTGACTGGACAAGAGTGACCTTTCCACCCCAGAGGCTTTGGTTATGGCGCTGAAGTAACACGAAGGCGTTGGGGTTTTTCTCCACGACCCATAGGTCAATCTCGACCCCCGTTTCCGCGCTTGCTTTGAGCGCTCGAGTGACTAATGGCCCTCGGCCGGCACCTACTACGGCCACAACCACCCGACCATCCGGGTTTGAAGTGGGCTTTTTCTGCTCTACCCAGTCAATTAAAGCTTTTGCAATGGCCCGCTCATACCATTCATATTTGATAGGATCCTTCTCAAAGACTTCATAGGTGATACTTTCCAGGTTGACGGTCAATGGCTGCAGGGGAGCCTGCAGATAGTCTTGATAACCTATCCCAAACCTTTCGATGGCACTTCGTGGCGGTTGCTTATTTTGGAGATTCCTAATGTACGACAGGTGCGGGGTGGGGTCATGATGCTTCTTGTTTGAAACCGCGGCCTGCGCAAGGCTCGGATATTCTGAGCCAGGCAAATTCATGGTTTGTAAGTCATTCGCGTCATTCCCTGGAATAGGGCCAACATCACAGAGGAGTATCCACGGAGGAGTACGAAGACGCATAAATCGAGCAATCAAAGCTTGATGGGATTTGGACAACACCGGGTAGCCCTTTTGATTCTTAATGAAGGAATTGGCATCAATAGTAAGCATGTGAACCGGTTCAGAATGCCACCGAGACTGGACAGGCATAGGTGGAAGATACTTTGGTAGTGAAAGTGCTAACAATGGTGTCTTAGCAGCAATATATCAGTGTGTCCAACAAGCCAAAGAAAAAGACAGACAATGAATGGGGCGAGAAATGCATTCTTACCTATGAAAAGTCTCGAGTGATATTTACAAGTTCTTCTGATGGTGTCCCAAGCTTCCCAAGTTCCAAACGAATCTAATTTTGACGATGGATTCCCAGATGAGTCTGCAATGAACTGCGCGCGAGAAAAGGGGGCCAGGTCACCAATTTCATCTGCCTCAAGATCGGGGTTGTCAACGGTCCTCATCCAAATGTGGAACTGAATATAAGGTCCTAGATTGACTGCGTCGTGGATTGTGCGAGCATAGTAAGCCAGTCCTTCCGAGTGCATATTTCCGTGATGCAATTTAGGCCCTGGAGCCAGCAGATACCCAATGCCGCAAAAGGCTGCGTAGGCAACTTCCAACATGAAAACCTGCCGGGAGATATCTGCGATCAATGGATCGGGAGAACAGAGGTCAATCCAAGGACTAGTGACCCCCACCAGTTGGGACATTGCCTCATTCGGAGTCAAATGGGTATCCAATGGCCCTAGAGGTGGAATTACTAGGGGCTGGGTGTTTTCCGTGGTTGCCATAGTCTCATTGGCACCAGCAGACACTGTCTGCACATTGGACAGGTGTGAGGAGAGCAACCCGAGCACTCTGGATTGGAAGTGAGGAGTGGTTATCGGAGAAGTAAGCATATCATACTACGCGCGGAGGTATTGTATTAGCAGGTTGGCGGGTATAAGGTAGGAAAACTCTCGGGAAGCAGTACATACGTTACTTTCATGAGCAGCTCGTACCGCCTGAGTGGTAATCGGAATGGTGCGCTTACTCTCATGCTGGCCAACGCAGAAAGTGATGTTCACCTCCTCTGGGTTGTAGTCCATGTTGATAGTGATAAACAGCAGCGGTAAATTGACTCTGATCGGAAGGACAAAGTATATAAGCAGATAAATAGGGAGTAGATTGCTTCCTTCTATACAACCAAAGAATCAAGATATAGCACCCAAAATGGAATAGTAGTATTCGTCCCAACAACTGAGATCTTTATATCAGAGTGGGCGGTTGTTGACACGGAAGAAATGCGTACAGGACTAGGCCCGAATACTTGATCAATGGAGGGTCTATCTGCTCATTTACACCCAGTCATTCCGGGAGAAGGTTGCAAGAGAATCGCAGACAACGTCGATCGAATCCCAGAGCCGATGGACGCAGGACCATGACCCCTTCACTCGCGAGGAGAAACTGCGTCGGGAGCTTTCTCTTGGCGCTTTTTTTTCGTAGGGGTTGGGCCGGCAGAATCCCCCGGGCGGTGAGGCCCCCGTGGCGATGGACGGGGCTTGCCTTATCGAGATTTTTTTTCTTCTTACCTCGGAGATTCAGTTCAACCTCCTCTCCTCCTTTCTCCGGGCGAACATCATGGTCGATCGACGCGTGGACTCTGAGGACGGTTCGCGAGCTAAGCGTCAGAAGATGGACAAGACCGATACGGATCCCAGGGACAATCCGTACCTGGCCCACATGTATGCGGACTCGTCCTCGAACGGTGGCTCTCACTCATGGACCGATGGCACTATAGACAAGGACTTACCCTTCGCCAAGTTGAAGAGACATCAGACAACCTCGGCCCAGGCGAAAGAGGTTGAGGATGGAGACGTCAACCCTTTCAACAACCGGCCGTTTTCCAGCAAGTACATGTCGATCTTGAACACCCGTCGCGATCTCCCTGTTCATGCCCAGAGGTGAGTGATATGTGACTGTCTAGACTCTATTTGGACTGTACGCTAACTGGATTCATTGTAGAGATGAATTTCTGCAGCTCTATCAGCGGTCCCAAATTCTCGTCTTCGTCGGTGAGACTGGTTCCGGAAAGACCACCCAGATCCCTCAGTTCGTTCTGTTCGACGATTTGCCACAGACCCAACGCAAGATGGTCGCTTGTACTCAGCCTCGACGAGTCGCCGCTATGTCTGTTGCCCAGCGTGTGGCTGCTGAAATGGATGTCAATCTGGGCGAGGAAGTGGGTTACAGTATCCGTTTTGAGGACATGACCAGCTCCAAGACAGTCCTCAAGTACATGACCGACGGTATGCTGCTGCGTGAGGCCATGAATGATCACAACCTCAACCGATACAGCACTATTATTCTGGATGAGGCTCACGAAAGAACCATGGCGACGGATGTCCTTATGGGTCTTCTCAAAGAAGTTGTGCAGCGACGGCCGGACTTGAAGATTATCATCATGTCTGCTACTTTGGATGCGCAAAAGTTCCAGCGCTATTTCAACGACGCGCCTCTGCTGGCAGTTCCCGGTCGTACTCATCCGGTAGAGATCTTCTACACGCCCGAACCCGAACAAGATTATGTCGAGGCCGCCATTCGCACGGTCCTTCAAATCCATGCAACCGAAGCCGAGGGCGATATCCTTCTTTTCTTGACGGGTGAAGAAGAGATCGAGGATGCTTCACGTAAAATCTCTCTGGAAGCAGATGAGATGGTGAGAGAGGTCGACGCTGGTCCTTTGAAAGTATACCCACTGTACGGCAGCCTTCCACCGCACATGCAGCAGCGCATCTTCGACCCAGCACCGGGCCCCCGCCGTCCCGGTGGCCGTCCTGGCCGAAAGGTTATCGTCTCAACCAACATCGCTGAAACTTCGCTGACCATTGACGGTATTGTCTACGTTGTGGACCCGGGTTTCTCCAAGCAGAAGATCTACAACCCTCGTATTCGGGTGGAGTCGCTCTTGGTGTCTCCCATCTCGAAGGCATCGGCACAGCAGAGGGCGGGCCGTGCTGGTCGTACGCGCCCTGGAAAATGCTTCCGTCTATATACCGAAGGTGCCTTCAAGAAGGAATTGATCGACCAGACCTACCCCGAAATTCTGCGTTCGAACCTGTCGTCCACCGTCCTGGAGCTGAAGAAGCTTGGGATTGACGACCTGGTTCACTTTGATCTGATGGACCCTCCGGCTCCAGAAACTTTGATGAGAGCTTTGGAAGAACTCAATTATCTGGCCTGCCTTGACGACGATGGCAATCTGACTCAATTAGGACGTCTGGCGTCTGAATTCCCTCTGGACCCGGCCCTTGCCGTCATGCTAATCAGCTCCCCCGAATTTTACTGTTCAAATGAAATCCTCTCCATCACGGCCTTGCTTTCGGTCCCACAGGTTTTCGTGCGACCTGCTTCCCAACGGAAACGCGCAGACGAGATGAAGAATCTTTTCGCTCACCCCGATGGTGATCACTTATCTCTTCTCAATGTCTATCATGCGTTCAAGGGCGCTGATGCGCAGGAGAATCCAAAGCAGTGGTGTCACGATCACTTCCTCTCATTGCGGGCTCTGCAATCTGCAGATAACGTGCGTATGCAGCTCCTGCGGATCATGGAACGCGAGGAACTTGAGATGATCTCCACGCCGTTCGAGGACAAGAAATACTATGAGAATATCCGGCGCGCATTATGCGCCGGCTTCTTCATGCAAGTCGCCAAAAAGGAGGCTCAGGGCAAGAACATGTACACAACTGTCAAAGACACCCAAAATGTTCTCCTGCACCCTTCCACTGTGCTTAGCCATGAGGCGGAGTGGGTTTTGTACAACGAGTTCGTCCTTACCACGAAAAACTATATCAGAACAGTTACGGCCATTAAGCCCGAGTGGCTCATGGTAAGTACCACTTCTCCACACTCGATGTTAAGCACCTGGCTGATCGCTTTGGTTATAGGATATCGCGCCTACTTATTATGACATTTCGACCTTCCCTAAGGGCGAGATCCGCTCCTCCCTCCTCCGTGCCGCGGAGAGACTCTCACGCAAGGAAAAGATGCGTTCTGATTCCTCAAGAAGACGATAGAATATTTTTCATGTTCCCGAGCTTATAGACCTGCCACTGTGTTTTATAACGCTTTCAGACCCGTTATTTTCAGGGATCTTCGTTTGAAATACCATTCTGGGCGGTGTTGTTTCCGTCCGTTTTTCTTTTGGTCACTTTTCCGTTAGTAGTGGTTGTATTGTAGACCTGATCGATCAATCGGTTTTATCAAAATCAACGATGTTCTTTGAAATATGGAAACACTGCTGCATATGCCCCCCCGCCCCGGGGCGGGGCTATATTATGCGTTCTGGTCGAGGACGCTCCCTAATCCAATCCCGATAGATATAGCTTAGTGAAAATATTGTTAAGATAGGAGGGCGAAGCCTGTCACCTCTAGCAACGTGCTTTTAGGCCGGGATTATTGAGAATGCACAGACTTGGACATCACCATTCTCAACGACGATTAATTTGGGGGAGAAAAATCTCTAGAGATGTGGATAATTCCAGAATGGAACTGGAATCGAGTCTCAGTTCATGATAATGTACAATTCACTCAGGTATCAACAATATATAAAACCAAGAAGAAACCCCTACCATGCCCTCTCAACATATCCAAAACATAGGAAGGTAGTATGGGAAAAACACATTATACATGCCCCTTCATGGATAAATGCAACTACTCGTTCCCTAACGAGTTCAGGATCCCAAATATCGGACAGTTACCTGTCTCGGTCCTTCTAGGGTAGCGGGTTTCGCAGAAGTAAGCTGATTCTTCAATTGTCCCAGGCCATTGGGAGGGGGCTGTTGTCCATGTACAGCTGCAGGCTTGTTGCTTGTGGTTTGGCTTAGTTCGAAAACCATCCGTTTCAGCTGTGCGACTTCATCCTTGAGACTTGAAATCTCCTGCTGGTGTGCCTGGGCCATGTTTTCGGCCCTGTACAGCGTTTCGTAGTCCCGGTTCGATTGAGAGCCCCCTTTTGGTTGGTTCTCTTGCTCGGCGCTCATTTTCGACTCGTTATACTGGGCAGGGGCACCAGAGACCACAGCTGAAAGGACTTCTTGAGCGTAGGTTCCCATCAGTTTTTGCCACCGTCGTGCAGAGTCGGTCTCGGGTAGGGAGAGATCGTTCAGTTGCTCAGATATTGTGTTGACGAAAGTATAACACTTTTCCCACCCAGGCTTCTCTTGCATCTCATGTGATGAAGAGTCCCTTACAACTTTCCATCGTTGGAAATGAGGGTCTGACGAAAATTCGATGTCTTCTTGCTTCTCGGCCGACCTCCAATCGAATCCACTCTCCACTGCCGCGGTGATTATCGCCTCAGAAACCTTGTATTTTTTGCATGAGTCACATAAATGCACCATCAATGCGATCAGCCTTTCGAGTTGATCGACCGAGTGCTCTGTGGAGGAAGCTATGAAAGCTAGCGTCCTTTTTATGGTTTGCAGACCCCTTTCCCAGTCACCTCGGATAGTGTAAAACTTGAGATATGCGTTGAGAACGGGGAAACTATCCATGTACCCCGCTGCTCTAGCAGCTTGAAGATAAGCATCAGCCCGGTCAGGCTGATCAAAGCGTAAGGATGCCATAATCAGTGTGGAATAGACAACAGCATTTGCGGAGCTCACTGGGGGAACTGAAATTTCGACACCATTGATCACCTTTCGCTTGTAGTAACCAAGATTTCTCATGTCCACGGGGTAACTATCCCCTCGTAGCATTTCCAAGAACAAATCGAAGCCTTTCAGGTTTTTCGATTTATAGTAGAAGTTCAATATGGCAAGAATCAAAGAAGAAGATAGCGGGAACTTATTAGGCAGTAGCGCCTTTAAAACCAAGTCACCCAGATCATTCTGGCGAGTCTTGGTGAACGCCAGGAGCATCAACCTCAGGGTATATGTTCGATCCGGATCACCAGTCTGCATTAGGTTGTTCGCCAATCTTATGAGAAGTTCATCAAGGGACATGTCACCTATTAGGTAGTTCTCGGTATCGCTTCGGACTTGTCGATCCAGCTTAAGGTTCTCATGCTGCATATCCTTCATATTGCGCGTCCGGATATCTACCGTTAAATCATCGATATCGGCATCCCGTCTGGTCTTGAGTCGGAGCATTCTGCGCCGAAGACTACCAAGCTCGGCTAGAAGGTCACTTGTTCTAAACCGAGGCTGTGAGGAATCAGAATCATACCGTGCCCGAAGACCCAGGTAGTTATGGGCAATCTTCGGACGCAGCAACAATCGGATGGCAAGCTGTTTCAAAGCGATTTTTCGTATGGCTTTCATGCGGACTATATCCCTTGCAAGCCATTCCGGTACTGTGTTATCCTCATAACTGAAACCTCTTTCGTCCCTCAAATTGAATGGATCATCGCTCTCCCCAACTAGCTCTGAAATTGATTTCATATCCTGCCAGTTTTCAGAATCACCATCTGCGATATTTTGAAATGAATTATCGGATGAACTCGTGGGTGGTGCCCGTGAATTATCTTGGATGGGTGTACTGGTGGACTCTTGGACGACGTCCCCCAGACTCTCTTGGACCGTGGTTGATTCTTCCCCAGCATCTCCACCAAAGTACTCGCTGGCATCCGTTACTGTCTTCTCCACAGTGGCTCCCGAATGATATGAGCGAAGAGGCGGGCGACTCAAATGCCTGGGGAATATCTCGGTGGACGTTCGAAAAAAAGGGCTGTATTGTGATGTGTAGGAGAATCCAGTGGAGGATTTGGACTCCCCTCGTGACTTCAAGGCCTTCAATATGCGTTGTTCCTCATCCACAAGTTCATTGACCTCCTCCTTGACAGCTGCGATTTTTTCCTTCCATTCGAGACGCCGTTTATCTTTAGCCTGGGCATCTGCCAGAGCTGCGGCAGCGAATATACTCGTGTACAACGCTGTAACTGAATTCCCAATCCGAAGACGACGCTTACTCGCCGCCGACGTTGCCCTTGACGCTAATCCTCCTGAGCTGGTACTCAGACAAGAGACGCATCGACAAGTCGACTGCGCCGGAGCAGCGCGGGACCATAGGCGTTGCATTATCCTGTCATTTCTCTCCCAGAGGCCCTAAGAACGAAGGAAACCAAACCGTGAACCCGACGAATACCCCTGGAAGGGCCAATGGTGGATGAGTGGGGAAGAAATTGGGAGGTGAGGATCTTCTTTCCGACAAAAGTCGTGACTCGTAAAGTCGTAAGATCCTCTGCAAACACTGCAAACATCACGATGGCCCGATATATCGCTCGTACAGGACATATTGCTGACACTTACTCCGAGTGGTTTACACGGTGTCTTTGCATACTCACTCATCGCATTCTTTACTCCGACAGAGTGTATTCTCACTCGTCCTAATTTACAATGATTGCCCGCTCCGTTGCTCTCGTTACGGCGTTGCTTGCCCTCGGTGGCAGCTTGGCGAATGCCCATGGATCTCACTCGACTGACCAGGCTCCTTCTTCGGACTGGGCAACGCGACACATGCAAGGTGAGCCTTCAAATGCAGATAACAGAAAGAGTGGACATGGAAGAAAAAGAGCATAAAGAAAACAAAGGGAATACAGAATACTAATACACCATAATACTAGAGGAACATCACGTTGACAACTTCGACGCCTCATCCTTCTTTATCCTCCACGATTACGACGATTCGGGGACCTGGACCGCCGATGAGATCCGAAAGACATATGGCCTTGACGATGAATCAAACGCGGGCGTGAGCGAAGAGCGCAAGCAGCAGGCGGTTCAGGAAGTGTTTGCTCTCTTCGACCCTGCGAACACCGGTGTCATTACCTCGGACAGTTGGATGCAAATCCTCTCAAAGGGTACGCGACTACCCGACTTTGGTTTCGGACCGGGTCATCATGGTGATATTGAATACGAGTACGAGATTCATCACTTTGAGAAGTTCCATGGGGATGATGCTACGATGGAGGATCTCACGCATCCGGAAGATATTGAGCATTTTCGGAGGCATGACGAGGAGGACCTTGCTGCGGGGAAGCTCGAGAAGCTCGAGAGTATGCAAATTGTGGAGGCAAACATTCCCCAGAAATTCCTCCGGCGGGCTTAGATAGAGCGGCGAACTGGTTTCTGTTGCTGTACATACATATGTTTTGCTGACGTTAGTCTACCCTTCATCTGTTGTCCTTTTGTCCGATTTGATGAGAATGCGTGATTTATGTACATTAGGAGAACATTGATGTGATGTTATATGATAGTACTGAATCCTCGCTCAAAACCTATACTCAGTACCTCTCATACTGGTTTCCCCAAGTTGGCCTCCATACAGGATGGTAAGTATACGTCAAAGACACAATGCATAACCCCTGGTGCATACGTCTTGACATGTTCAACATGTCGACACTTCACTGCAACGCTCCGGATATCAAGCACTTGAGCTCGCAATCGCCCCATTTCACAGGCAATTTCTTCTTTTTTCTCCTCAATTTTCTGCACATCCACGTTTTCATGGACATGGATCCAGCCGCCTTTTTGAACGTCAATCATCTTGCAAGCATTGCTCCATGCTGCCGACGACGACGGGAGGAGGCCTAGATTGACATGTCGAATGCTGTTCAACGACCGCCGAGCTTTCAAGTGCTCTGCGATACCCAGTAAGATGTCTGCTGCGAATCTGTTGTCCCCATGGAAAATGACTACCTTGTCTGAGTCTTGGAGACCCTCCACCAAACTGGGAATTGTTTCGCTCAAAGATCCATCCTCTCGGACTCGCACGACCTTACATCCCCATCCGTTTTCTATACAGCCCCTTCGCAGACCTTCCACCGACCAGCCATTGATCTCCCATCCCCATACCCGGTTGACACCCCGTTTCAGATACGAAAAGACAAAGTATCCGATGCCGGCATACATGTCGATCACATCAATATCTCCAACTGTATCGCCTTTAAGGAAATCCGCATCAAGTCCCTCAAACACAGTCCCGTAGCCCAAGATACGCGCCTTTTCCGTGATATTCCCGCGAGAAAACATTGTGTAGAGCGGGGACCATATCTGGACAATCCCATGATTCTGCACCGTGCGAACCCAAAAAGCCAACTGTAGATCAGCCTCCGTTGGCTGTCCGTTCTCATCTTCATCCTCAGAGGGTAGGGGTCCAAAATCCCCATACAGCGGGACCAATCCCGCAGGACTCCTCATTCTGTTCTCTTGACCCTGAATATCTGTCAGTGCGATGGGCGCATTGATAGCAACATGAGAAACGCCCATGTGGCTGAACGCCTGAGCTATCAATGCAAAGAGAGACTGCTTTTCCTCGTCACTGAAGGATTGGTAGAGCGCACTCCAGGCTGGAGGGGAGCTGAGTGCGTTGACGGGCAGGAGCAACATGGGCTCATAGATGGTATATCGTTTGGGCAGCGAGGATAGCAGAGTGTCTGGGGATAGGCCATGGTCTGAAAGACGAGACGAAGGTATATGTGTGGTCACATATTCCTGTATCCCCTTTTGTAGTGGATTCAGATTTCTTGCCGGTTGTTTGCCGGCGTACCGCTCGTTTCTAGAACTTCTGAGGACGATATTTGGGTTGAGTTTTTGACCTGTGCCCTCTGTACCCATTGTGATATGTTCTGGTAATGTAAAAAACTAAGCTGACGAGGAATATGCAGGACTTCCACCGTTTGCATGCCTGGTCTGTGATTTATTTGGTCAAAAATTCAGGGTACAGCCAATGACTAAGTTCAGGATTAGGTGCATAATGAAATCATAAATCGCGCTATACTGCCTATCCTCCACCTCATAGAGTATCTGCTGGATGTCCAACTTTTGGGGAGCCTCCACTCCACTTCCTTGCCCATGTCATGTGACTGGATATATACCATTAGACTAGAGTACGGACTAACAATAAAAGATTTAAAAGTCTCATTATTTTTAGCACACATGAACATCACAAGTTAAACTATAGCTAGTGTAGGAATCAAAACCCAAGAGGCATGATGAGAAAGCTAGAGCTGTGACAGACTTCGACGCTCTATAACGCCAGGGTGGGAGAATCAAAAGAACATAAAAACATTCGTCGTAGGCATTTATATTGGAGAAGTGGATTATAATTATTGACCATGTTGCAGCGGGGTTAGGCATCCTAAATAGACTAGCGACACCAAGAACTACTCAGTGTGCTAGAGACCCGGATAGAACAGCAAAAGAACATCATCACTGCTAACAATGAGCAGTAGTTTTTGAGTAGGTCGTAACGAGCGTAATGCGCTAAAATTACAGCGTCAACAGAGACATTCAGTAGTCCGTTATAGAGTACCCTAGCCTGTCATTCGTATCTAGTACCCTTATCCAACCAGTTAGTAAGTATATTGGCTGAGGGCAAGAGGGTGCGACTAACGAGTATTGTTTGGTTAGGGTTCCCTCGCCTCCCTTAGAGAGGTCAATGCTAAAAACATAGAAATTGCCGTCACTGGTCACTACCATCACCTGCGGCATGTTGCTGCTCATTGCAACCACGCTCCTCAGGGGACCAGTGTTCCCGTTCGTCCCAGGGGCTTGGTTTGATTTGGGAAGTTTGATCCAAGCAAAGTCTCGTGCAGGCTCCCACATTTCACTGACACCTTTGGGAAGGTAACCCCCAACCCTGGCAGCAAAGGAACTGCCAACGTTTTGCGAAGTCCGTCGAATCATCCCCATTAAAGTCCCATTGTGTTTCCTGCTGGGTATTTCTGAGGAGCTTGTATCTCCTGTGATGTCTTCTGTGTCGGGAGAATCCCCAAGGGAGCTTTGGCTGAAGGCCCTCTCGCGACCCGGTGGCGAAGATGACGGCGAGCCCTCCGAATTCGGGGTGTGGTGACTCAATTTAAATAAATGTATCGTCTCCGTGGAAGAAGACACACACAAGAGAGTAGATGTCGTGTTAAAGGACATGCTATAAATCCGGGAAGGTATCGAGCCTCGTCGAAATTGATAAAGCTTGTGGCCATCAGGAACCGAGAAGACTCGAATGATAGTTCCTTTGTCCGATGCCGTTGATATAAGAGTACCGTCACTGTTAAGCGTGATACAGGCGAGTGGTGACCGGTGCGCTTCGATAACATTGATGGCTTCCAGTTTCAATGTATCGAAAATCAAGACTTCGCCGCTCGTAGGAGAAACATGTGTTGTTCCAGGAGGGGCATGGGATGGGGGGGTGAACGATGTGGTAGGAGCCTTCTGAGGAAGCGGGTATGCGAGATAGCAATTATCGGAGGACGGAGATAGGGCGCAAATCGCTGCTGAATATTAGCATCTTGGAAAACTCTTCCCACGCTCACCGGACACAGGAAAATCCGTACCGTTAGGATTCGGTGAGGTTTCGATCGCATATAATAGCTTCATAGTTTGGATGTCATATAGGTAGATTTGGTCTTCTAGAACGATCACGAGCCGTTTTCGGTTCAATTTCACAGCTAGGACGGTGGTCGGAAACGTTAATTCGCATATTGTAGATTGGCGCTATAAGAAACAGAGAAATGAAACTAAGTGTTAGCATGCGTCGACAGTTCAAGTGCAGAAAATTAACAGAAGCTTTCCATCTTTCTTTCTTCTCCCACTTATTGAAATTGTGCCCTTAACATGTCTGCGCAAGGGTTTCCTACGAACCTTAGTGTTAGTGATTTGAAGACGGCGTGGTGATAGGATGAGAGCAACAAGCGACGTCGAGAATAGCATCTCAATGATTGCGATGTTCCCTTCCTTCGTCTCATAGCTTTTGGCGAAAGGGTCCGTTGTGAAGATGCGGAATCCTTTGGATGTCGCTGATAAAGTTTAGATGTACTCCATATACACGACACAGGCAGACAACTCAAGGGGTGCTCTTACCTACAGCCAGATAGCTGTAGTCCTGGTTGAAAGTAACGTAGTTCATTGACATCTTGTCCGCAGACGATCACCGGGATCTATGACGTCCAGTCGACCTCTCGTTCCGAGTGCGCGCTGCAAACTCAAGCACTCCACAGAGAGGTTTACTTTTTTAAGGGGTGTTGGGGGGGAATGGAAATAGACGATCGGCAATAAAGGAAATTTGGTCCACTGGGTTGAATAAGCTTGAAGTGGAGGGGTTAAACAAATCCCAACACAGGACTTTTCCGTCATCAACGATTCTTGCTTCGCATTTCCAGTTCTCAGAAGTATCCACGATAAGTCTGGATTACAGACCTCACAGGAGGTGCATGCGCATACACGACCGCGACCTGACGAAAGAGACAGAGAGAGGTGTGTTCTATAGGTGAGGAGGATCTGGGGGATCGCTGAACCGCAGTTCGCTCCTTTTGCCGCGGTCTGCGGTTGGCGCGGCAAGCGAAAGTGACGCTTGGGCCACACCTTGATTAGGCAGCCTGCGGAAGAGAAAAAAAAAAATTGTCCAAGTCTAAGGTCATACAAGTCATACCTTTCTACGTCCGAACAATTTACAAATAGCTCCCCATACGCGCAAGGGAAGCCAACTCCATCATGGCCATTGAAAAGAAACCAGCCGTGGCTGGGACCCTTTCCAAGGCTGAGAGGGATGCCGACTTGGTCATGGGGGTAAGTCCTATGAGGTAATGCGACTGTGGATATAGTTCCAATACTGACTCGTTGTGTGGCTTTACCCTCACGCATATTAGACAAACAATAGCAGTATCGTATCCAAACGAAGTGTCGAGATGTCCTACTACCCCAAGCCTCATTTCTTCCGGTATTTTGTTAGAAAACCTCAGAGACGGTCGCCTTTGATCAACCGTGGATACTGGCTTCGTATGCATGCGATGGCAGAGACTGTCAGACGGTTCATGAGGGAGCCGTCGGATAGACCGAAATTCGTCTTGAATCTTGGGTGTGGATTGTGAGTCGTAGTATAATCTCCAGAATGCGGGGCTGAAGAACGCACTGGACCGCATGCTAAGTTGGATATCGTAGTGACCCTCTGCCGTTCATGCTTCTCAGTACCGAAAGTTCGTTGTGTAGACATACAACTTTTGTGGACATCGACTATGAGAAGCTGATGATAAATAAGAAAACGGCTCTCCGACAAACAAATGAGATTACACAATTCCTCGAGGATGTAGAATTTCTACCCGATCAGGATACCTTGCAAATGCGCAGCAGACAGTATCTAGCTATCGGCTGTGACCTAAAGAGCTTGAATAAATTGGAACATGTGCTAAGGACGGAAGTGCTTCCTCCCCACGCTTCGGTTCTTTTTCTCGCCGAGGTATCTTTAACATACATGGATGTCAAATCCGCAAACGCGGTGGTAAATTGGGCTTCCAAATTGAGTGAAGGTTGCAAAATCCCTTTTCATGAATATATACCTTCCCTCTTCATGAGACAAGCCGCTGACACATGATAAAGACGCCCAATTTTGTTTACTAGAACAATTCTTCCCCGACGGGCCCGAACATCCTTTTGCTTCAACCATGATGAAACACTTTAAGAAACTCGGGGCGCCTCTTTATTCGATAAACGTGTATCCATCATTGAGTGAGCAGGAGCAGCGTTTCAAGAACGCTGGTTGGGAAAAAGCCCATGCGAGAACTCTTTGGGAGTTGTGGTCGGACAACGAATTCATAGATAGGACATTGAGAACCTCATTGGATGAGGTTGAACCATTCGATGAATGGGAAGAATTTGCCTTGTTCGGCTCTCACTATTTTCTTTTGCATGCCTCCACAAGGCAGCAGAGATCAAGCCCATGTTCAGAACGATATTAGCTGGAAAGATACAGGTCAATTCCTGTGATCAGTTTAAACTTCTTCCCAGATGCCCTCCTGGAAGTAGCCAACGCAGATTTGGGGCCCTAATCCCTGATAATGGAGACTGTATTGGCCACCACTCTGGGTTGGGTCGCCAGACACGGCTTACATCGACTGATCTGTGCACCAATTCGAAGGATGGTTCCGGCCCCCAATATCCATTCCCTCCGAGAGATGTGTCGGCAAGAATGTGTCACACGGCAACTGGTCTGAGCAATGGTAAATGTTTGATTGTTGGTGGTAGAACATCACCCGCGAAGGGGTTCGACGATTGTTGGCTACGAGAAGGAAAGCAATGGCGTCAGACTCAAAGCCTGCCAACGAGTCGGTTTAGACACAACGCCGTTAAGGTAATCCTTGACTCCGAGTGTGTCCTCGTCTATGGTGGTAAGGCCAGCGATGGTACAGTGCTGGGTGATTGGTTGATTTGGAACAGCAATGGAGACGGATGGGCAAAAGTTGAAACCAGTGAAGCCAGCCCAAAGCCGCGATTTGGCGCGAGCATGATAAATGTCGACAACACCTCAGGCTTGGTATTTGGTGGAATAGGACAAGATGGGACGATTCTGGAAGACTTTTGGACGTGGAAATTGAACCAACGAAGTGACGGGTCGCTGGTATTGGATTTCACTGACCAGGCTAGGTATCTAAGAGAAGCCTCGCCTTTGGTCAAATTTGTTCATCGGTTCGGAGCTACGGTCAATGTAACCTCATGGGGAGTTGTCATTGTTGGTGGTATTATTCCAGATCAGATCATTCCTCTCGACAAGGAAATCATGCTTCTTGATTCAACAGAGATGCTAAAAAGCCTAAATGGTCGTTCATCATGGAGCTCTACCATTCTGTCCACAATCGGCTTGGGGGGTGGGTTCAGAGGGCCGCGACCTTTGCTAACAGGTCATGTATCCTATGCCATCAATCCCCACCAGGTATTGATACTCGGTGGTGGAGCTGTTTGCTTCTCTTTTGGAACGCATTGGACTGAGGGCACTTGGGTCTTGAAGCGGGCAGATTCGGCCATCGAGAACGAATGGACACTTGTCTCTGAGAGCATGCAAGCCAAGCAATTAATAACACAGCCGGAGTCTTCGACCCCCCTTCGTGGGGTCTCCGAAGCTGTGCAAGAGATCGTATCGATTCCACGTGTCCGGATAGAACATGCTGCACAATTCCAGCAAATACTTGCAGACGGCAAACCAGTTATCATCGAAGGCTCTGATATTGGGCCATGTACAGACCTCTGGACGAAAGAATATCTCGCAAATGCCGTCGGTAGAGATCGCGAAGTAGGTCGACCTAAGTCAATAGATCACCATGCTTGTTTCCGTTACTAAACTATCCCGTCAGGTCGTTGTGCATGAAGCCAAGTCTGCAAATATGAGTTTTCAGGCCAAGAACTTTGCCTACACGGCGAAATCATTCGGCACTTTTCTTGACGAAGTGTATGCTGGTGGGCGCCTGTATCTTCGAAGCATCTCCGCTGAGCAGCCCACCAAACTGCCTGCCAGCTTGGCCGCTGACTTCCCGAATTTGAATGATTTCCACCTCCCAGAGTCACTCGCCATAGTAACTGAAAATGCCCATAGCTCCCCACTGAGGATTTCAGGACCTGTCACCCTATGGCTCCACTACGATGTAAGTGCAGCCAGATAACGGAATGCCGCGGGAACAATGTTAACCATTTGACTAGGTAATGGCGAACGTTTTATGCCAGATACGTGGAGAGAAAAGACTGATTCTTTTCCCACCCCAAGACGTACAGCACTTGTCTGTTCCGGCTGGTGCTTCGAGCTCAACCATCAACATTTTCCAGAGTTGCGACGATGGGTCAATCACATCAATTCCTCAGACCTCGCCACAGGAAGCACTTTTAACCCAAGGAGACATCCTGTTTATTCCCCCTCTGTGGCTTCATACAGCATCACCGACTGGCCAAGTCAGCGTTGCCGTCAATGTGTTCTTCCGTAACCTGTCGAAAGGTTATGCTGCTGGTCGGGACGTCTACGGGAATCGTGATCTGCAAGCCTACGAGAAAGCGAGAGCCGACCTCCAAAAGATAGAACGATCTTTCGACGAGCTTCCAACGGACATGGCTCGTTTCTACCTGTCGAGGCTCGCGCAGGAGTTGAAAGAGATGGCCGAAAAATGATCGGGTCGAAAATCCTTACAGAGTTGGCGCGAAGAACCTCCAATCCCCGGAATTTGGCGTCAACCATGATATCAGTAAGGACACTCATCAAGCCAAGTTTACTATGGCGCAATTTCTCTGGATCCACCTAGCACATTGAGTGTACTCCCATTTATCAGCTGGCAGACGGTAAGAAGCCTAAACCAGGAGTTGGGGCTTGTTTGACCAGCTCAAATGACGATCCTTTTGGCTATGCAGACATTTGCGTGTAGTGCAAGGCCAGGTTATTTTTAAATCCATCTTTTCGAAATGATTGCAAGTTATTCAAAGAGCTGCAAAGAATAGGGGTTGACCAACAGCAGCGAAGGGGCAAAAAATAAAAGAGAGATAGAAGGAGAGAGAGAGGATGAAGTGCCAGCATGGTGGCTTCTTTCGAGGACAACACAGTGTTCGACACGTTTTGATAGCAAACTGTTGGTAGAAGGACGAAGATCAAATTTGTGCCTTAACATGAGCCACAGAGTTTGTTCCGTTGTCCCTGCACCAGAAGATGACTGTGTGTGTGTGTAGTGGGAGTGTTTGTTTATTCGAGCTGATATACTACTGAACTAGATGCCACGAAAAATCACTGGCTAAGGAAGGATATAAAATTGACTTTGGTAGAAAGATGCCTGGTTGCCAGTCTAAGGTTAGGACAATATTAGGAGGTCACTGCAACCATGGTCACCACAGATGAAATAGGTAGTGGTCAAGCATCCAATCATAGAGAGAGGCTTTCAGATGACTTAGGTATTAAATTGAAACCTACTGCGAATGCTGACAAGTGGCTTGACATCAACGTCCCGACTTGATTGATTTCCAGTCCCGTAAGAGAGTCGTAGGCGGAACAGAAGGAGACCAGGCGTAGTTAAGGGGGCGAAGAAGAACAAAGGAACGTACCGGTTCACTAATAGTGAATACGTACTTGGTTATGGACCCGAAACAAGAGACGACAGCAAAACGATGGTCGGACCATCGCTATCAATCTGGATCCCTCGCGGCTCGGAAGTCCAGCATCCATTTACCAAATGTTGTCGTCATACAAACCAATCTAATCAGTTCCACCTGCAACAAGAATTCCAAAGGGGCCAGAAGAACGCATGACTCGAAGGAACCATGGAGTCGTGCCACCAACGGGTGCCTACTCAGAACAGAAAATACATACTGTGGGACGGGGGATGGGGAAATTCCCAATACCAATGACGAGGCCAGGATGGCTTGCCTGAGTTTGAGACTAGTAACCCTGCATATGCTGACGGAATGGGGGGTTTCTCATTGGTCCAGATAACGGGTTTGATCTGGGATGTCGGGGGTCCTTGCGGCCCTATTGGGCGTTGGACGAGGAGTGTTGGCGTCAAGACTTTCCGGGGTTCTTGGAGGAGTGGAGGAGGGTGGTGGGGAGGAAGGTACGTTCCAGCAGGGAAGAGGGATGGGACGAGCCTATCATCGATCGTCACCGTATCTTGGATCTGGCCTGGAATGGACGGGGGTGGGAGGGTCATTGGCCGCAAACAGCATCAAATCGATTTAATCGGTCGTCGGTACTACAATACCTACCTACCTTATGTGGAGACGCTGCCCGAAAATCCAGGATGCGAGGGAGTGTAACAATGAAAAAGGGAAAATCGTACCTGGGAGGCTGTGCCACGACAATGAACATTGTGTCTTTTCCCCCTCAGTTATATTTGAACACATTTATATGAAATAAATAAATGTGTAAAATAAAAATAAAATAAAACGACAAGAGAGAGGGGATCTGGATAGATGTATAGATCCCATACAGACTCCCTATACCGAATACTATAGTTAATGCTACATGTCTAGAAAAACGAAGATCCCAGCACGAGCCACTGCAGGCGGGCAGCCCACTTGGTGACCCAAGGCAGCCTAGTCCGGTTGCTAGTTCATGGCCGACCTGCTTACCCCTCCCCACCCACGTACTTGCTTCTCGCCATCCAAACACGGTCGTCCTCCTGCTCCAAGTACGAGATATACTTAGTTGGGTCCGAGCACGTATCGCCTATATTGTTCCTCTTTCTTCCCTTCTCTTCGTCGCTATCTTTCCCATCTGCAATTCCGGCCCCAGGTGGGCTCCCAGAAGCACGTCCCTCACTGATCGCTGTGGGGTTATCCACGGTGGATATCCTCCAGAACTAGTACTCTCAGCACTACAATTGGTACGGGTCTCCTATGTAGTGGTTCCTGTCCATTTCGGTTTGAAATCAACTAATTCATCCGCTCACCATCCGCTGTTCTTCAGACTCTTCGGTGACCTCAAGTCCACGACAACGTATGTCTCTTTTCCCATCATTTGACTTTAAAACAGGTGAGCTTGTTTTAACTGTGGATCCCCCAATGTTAACGGGCAACGATTGAGATAGGCATATATCATACAATCCTTTTCAAAATACTGTGTGTCAGATGACGTCCCATTGATCAGCAATTGATGCTCGCATAAAATCCTCTGATATACACTGTATATTTGCCTTTACATCATACACGAGAACTATTTGGTCCACTGCCGAGCATGGCAACGGTTGTGGTGCAGCAACAAACGCTGCGGCATTCGACACCTCCCCCGACAGGGAAATCCCCAGCATTGAGCCTGAACAAAAATTCATCTCCAATCCCCAACAAACATCTACCCGTTTGTCCGTCAGGCTCATCCTCTATTACCTCGCAACCCACGTCCCTCGCTTCCAAGGCGGAGAACGGCGATCCAACCTCCTCGCTTCTTTATCCACCGGATAATTTCCCACAGATTTCGGACTCGTATCGGGTATACGGAATCGAACCTGAGCAGCTCGCTTCGGCCCTGGCGCATTGGGCCTCCCAGCCTCTGCCAGACCCTAACCAGGTCTTCCCGTGGTTACATGGACTTCACCCCGATAATCATCTGCAGTTGGGATTCTTCACGCATCGGAAACGGTCCCTTCGACGAACCCCCCGATGTTGGCGCGGTATTACCATTATAAAGGTGGGGGGTGATTTGAGCAGTGCTAGAATCAAAGGTGCCGTGTCTCCAGAAGAAGTCCTCGAGTCGTCAGGCATGGAATTCCTTGCAGTGGATCCTCGTGAAGGATTCTCGGTGCGGAACTTCCAAATTCAAACCGCGAAACTGGCCGCATTGTCCGATATTGTTCTCTATCGTGATGAAAGTGTCAGCTATAGACAATTGTTGGATGCTGCGGAAGGAGCTGCGATTGCCCAAGCCCGGTGGCAGTTTCATAATGACCCGGAGCACATTTTACCGGCGTATAATACTTTTGTTGTCTCTTGTTAGTTCAAGTGCGCCATTGAACGTGTAGATGAGTGTGCTAAACTCTCCACAGGTCCTTTCTCGGAAATCGAGAAGAAGTCACCGAGCTTGGTTGCCATCAACTCTCAGGGTCACCTAACTGGACATGTCATGGATTTTTGTGAGCTATTCGGCTATTTTCTTCACTGACTCAGATGAGGCCTAACGCATGATTAGTTCAATGGGAACGGATTGAAATGTGTGAAATGTCGCGGGCTTCAGAAGTATCAACCAATGTTTGGCAGGGTCCGACCCCTGATAGTCTGTTAAGACCTGATTCCTGCCAGCCTACATTGGGCGAACCCTTTGATCTTTTGATTGAGTCGAGTGATCAGGCGAATATCCCGGGACCGCGCTATCTCGCTAGACTCGATAAGCAGCTCGAACTTGGACCTCAGCGATTGGATTTCCCTTCATCTGGATCTATTCTTCTTCCGTCAGGTGAGAATCGAGAGTTGGATGACCTTGTGAGCACCATTCGGTGGATCTACTATCTGGCAAATCCAGATGAACCCGATCATCATCCCGATGCTAACGGGGATATTACGATGACTTCTCTCTCACAAAGACCACGCAAGATCCTCATGCATTGCCCCGATGGATATACTGAGAGTTCGTTGTTGGTGATTGCATACGTGATGTTCGCAGAAGGCATACCAGCCCACGACGCCTGGCTCAGACTCCATTGCGACAAGAAACGGAATTTCTTCGCTTATCCATCTGATGTCACGTTCCTAACCGATGTACAAGACAGACTGCTACGTGAGAGTCCTGCAACACGGTCACACAAACTCACTGTCTCCCCTGCTCCATCTTGGTTCGACTACTGCGATGGCTCCCTCCCAAGTCGCATTTTACCATACATGTACCTTGGTAATCTAACCCACGCTAATAACCCAGAAATGCTTTGGGAACTTGGCATCAGACGTGTATTGAGTATTGGCGAATCTGTTACGTGGAATGATTCGGACATTGCCAGGATGGGCTCGGAAAACATCATGCATATCAATCGGGTCCAGGACAATGGCATAGATCCGTTGACTCAGGAATTTGACCGATGTCTAGAGTTCATTCGTTAGTCCTCCAACACCACCTTTTGGATCACAGTCTGGCTGATGCATGCCCTCTCCAGGGAAAGGAAAACATGATGGAGCAGCTACATTAGTGCACTGTCGAGTGGGGGTTTCGCGATCTGCAACCATATGTATCGCCGAAGTCATGGCATCCATGAACCTTAGCTTTCCTAGAGCATAGTAGGTCAAGTATTTTTTTTTTGTCCAGGGCATGAAAATTGCTGACGTCTTCCACTAGTTGTTTTGTTCGAGCAAGACGACTCAATGTTATTATACAACCCCATCTACGTTTTGTGTAAGCGGACTCTCACCATTTCTATATGTTTATCTGTTCTCCTCTCGCCATTTTCTCATCTCAGCCAACATCCAACTAACGGATCGGTAAAGTTACGAGCTTCTTAAATGGGAAGAACTTCAACTACAAAAGCATAATAAGCCATTGAAGAGAGAGCTCGAGTGGCCCATTGTGGCCCGTGAGATCGCACTGATGAATAAACCCTACTCGAGGTAGCTACGAGCAACGCCCATCAAGCGATTTTGACTTACTTCTTCTTCACCCATTGCTATAGCTACGGGATGGCATTTATACAAACTTCAAGTATTTACAGCAGACATAAAACTCTCGATGATGATTGATATGGATACTATGAGAAACGATGGATACGAAAGGATGGCCAATGGACATATTTTCTCAATTCTTTGTTCATTTGCTTTGTATTTTGGGCGTTTGACGAACATAATGTATCTGGATGGCATGATGTTTCTTAACATATTTTATGACCTGTTACTGACACGGTGATCTACTTTTTGGCGGTGTTTTGTGATATGATTATATACTGGGACTTTTATATTTAAAGCAGACTTTTATCGAGAACTGAATGTATTATTCATCTGGTAACTCGTTCAATTGTAGAGCTTGGTATATTATTTAGTCAACACCCAAATTTGTTGAGGTCTCTTCGTATTAACTGCAAACAGACTGGTAGCATTGACGGCATCGCAGACTTCCGGCATATTTTGTCTGTTTGATAACCATGTGTTTGCGAGTTTATTTTGTTTACTTTCCGATGAAGCTCGGGTGATAATATTGTAGTGTTTTTCTTTATATTTTTAAGATTAGATATTTATCGAGAGATGGCCTTAACCATGAGGATTTTAGTAAATGCCAGCAGCTATTAACTGAAGTTACCAGTCCCAGGGCTTTTGGACGCCATTTCTATTTAAGTCCGAACCGTTTAAAGATACAATCTTGGGACCCTGCAACTAGATATGCTTTTTCAATGAATTATATCGCTCAAACGACATATGTCATGTAGGTGACTGTAAACCAGCTAATTAAATCTGAATACCACTCGGAGAGTTCAACATCGTTCAAACACTCGATATAGACCTTTCAGATCAGCGACCTCTACCACGCCTTGGAGAAGTCTTGTCGTAGCAACAAGACGAGCCCGGAGAGCTGGAAATACCACATGTTCCATCATCCGAGCCATTTGCAGCCGACGGTGTCTAATCGTCTCATCTTCTTCGTGAGGACCTTGTGATCTCGCGTTCTCATCGGCTTCTGAAGTATCTGCGGCGGAGGAGGTCTGTGGTGGCGGAGGGGGAGGGAGTTGTTCCGGCGTATAGAAAGCTGCGAGTTCACGCAAAAACGTGCGAAAGCATTCTGCCTCGCTTGTCCAGTTGACGTAAGGTCCTAGTCGGAGCAAAAACCGTGGTAGTTTCCCCAACGAGGGTAGGTAACCTTTGAGTAATAGTGGGATGGAGAGGAGTTCGCCTTGCTCTGAGATATCTAGTGAGAAATACTCATTGAGCATTTCCCGTCTGTCTATAAGTGTCTTTGCTACTATGTCGGGGGCGTTGCTGAAGATATCATATTCTTCCTGTTCTCCCTCTCGACTGGCCCTTTCCTTCTGCTGAGTGTATTTGGAAGTTTGCCGCGCCTCATGTTCTTCGCGTTCGACCTCTGCACCAATGCGGAGTAGATCTATAATTTTGGGTGCCGGCTCCAGCTTGATAACTCCGAAGTTGCCAAAGTCTGTTAAGCCTATTTGGTAGAAAAATTCACTGCAGAACATCCCATAATCAACTAGATAGAGCTTCACACCCGACTGTATAGCGGCTATGCGCCGTCGCTCGTCAACTAACCCTACATAAGTATGGCAAGCGATTGTTTCAGTCAGGTTGTTGTGCATGGTATTGCGAACACTTGCGCGCAGGCTTTTGACAGAGGTAAGCGCGATCCGAATTGGCTCGCGGTCTGTCGTCTCATACACAACTCCTTCGTCAAGAACAGTAGAAGCAGCCTCTGCTTCTACAGTTTGAGGCAATGCGGGTGATAGCATGGATGTGATTTTGCGCACTTTGGAATCTGTACGAACCAGGTTATGCTCGTATGGTTTTTTGGTTGTGGCGGGTGTTTTAGGGACTGACTCCCCAGCCTCTATCAACGTATCGGCCTGTGTTGTTGAAGGCTCAACAGATCTCACCCCTGGAAGGAGGGTTTGTGTCAAGAAAGTTCTACTTGAGTCCACTTGCGCTAGATTCGATCTGATTTCATTGCAGATGCATTCGATGATCTCGTCTTCATTAAGGAAGCTCACTTCGCGTTTTGTCGGGTGCACATTTACATCCACTCGCTGAGGTTCAATTTCCAGATCAATATAGACAAAAGGATGGCCCCCTTTTGGTAAAAAGCTCACGTATGTCTGCTCAACTGCCCGCTTAACCGCAGTGGATTCAACAGAGCGGTGGTTGATGAAGAGAAGAATGACCGTTCTTTTAACATGGTAATTCGCATTGGTGACAAGACCAGACGAGCGAAAACCCAATTTGGGATCCTCAGACTTGAACTCTATGAGTTCGTTGGCCACTGCGCTCCCATGAATCTGACGGATTCGGTCGACTGTGCTTGCAGCGGCCGGCGTTGATATACTCACGCCCGAATCTCCATGCTTGCGGCAAGAGAATGAAACCCCGGAGCAGTGGACTGCATAGCGCCCAACAACATCTAGTATTTTCGCATACTCTTCGCTTGCTGACCGGAAAGCTCGGCGTCTCGTCGGCACATTGTAGAACAAATCCTCCACCTAGTAAAGTTATTTTGGCTATCTATACTGCAACATAGTATTTATACGTACGGTAATCTGAGTACCACCTCGACCTGCCGTGGCTTTGGGAGCTGTGCTTTGTCCTGGCTTAGCTGGGACGAGACGTCCGTCGCCATAATGAGCTCTCCATGCACAGCTCGATCCAGCAGTCTTTGTGGTCACGGTAAGATGCGCAATATGGCTTATACTGGCGAGTGCCTCGCCTCGAAATCCATACGTACCGATGGACGAAAGATCTTCGAACTGCTTTAATTTGGAGGTGGTAAACCGTTCACAAAGTATGGGGAGGTCGTCTCGCTGTATTTTGATATTAGTAGCCTTGTTCCAAAGTTGAGTTCTCAAATGCCTTACATCTATGCCATGGCCGTTATCAGTAATCTGCAGCAGTTTAAGCCCGCCATCTTTCACGAGGATCTCGATGGATGTAGAGCCAGCGTCAACGGCATTCTCGATCAGCTCTTTCATGGCATGCATGGGAGCCACAATGATCTCCCCAGCCGCAATCTTGTTCACCACATCTGGGTCAAGGGCCTATTTCGGTATTAGCAGGGAAATACAGGCAAGGTGACAAGTATTCGCAGGGACGGACTCTGATTCGTTTAGGCTTCAAAGAAGCCTCAGTTTCTTCGGCTGGTCGTTTCGTGCCGCGAGGTTCGTCCACATCCATATCAGGCTCCATGGCGACCCACTAGATATTACAACGTCTCTCCTTTAAGCTGTTTTCCTTTTTATTTTCTCAATTGTTTTCCCTCTCGCGTTCTTGGTACTCTCTGGTCATCACCTAGTTTGTCGCCTAGTTGCTTGAGACAACCGTCTTCGGGGGAAACGAAACCCCATGTATAAAAATAAGTGACAGTTATTCCATCCCTGACTGTATTGAGATCAAATAAGGATGGATTAGAGTGTGGTGGGCGGAGCAACGGCCCGGGCAAATTGTTGGAGAGGACGTGGAGATGAATTAATGTTCCACGGCGATAACCCACTAAGCGATAACGAAGAATGATCGGCTTAACTCCTGGCCCAGCCTCATACTCATCACTTTCGCTCCCTCTCGTCACCAAATGTCATTTCAATGTTTTCGAGCTCGCTCGGAGCGGTGTTACCCATGTCCAAACAATGCTACCCTCCTGGAGGCGGTTTCTAGCCGATGAAGAGCTTGGGAAGAAAGACGGCGACCATCGGCTGCGACCAAAACAAGGCCCGCTATGGCCCTTGAAGAAGCAATGGAAGCCCCCTCGACCGCGACGCTTCTTACTCGGAATCGCTACCTTGTGCCTTCTGTGCTTTTTATTTAAGGCCATATTTACCGGTCTTGTTACTGCCACCGAACGATTCAGCCCCAGCCTCTCACAAGCACGACAGAAAACTGGAGTGCCATGGCCCCATTTAATGTCCCTCTCCTCCGCGGTTTAAGCCTGTGACGGATACGAGGAAGGAGTTCTACTACGATGGAAAAATAAAGTTGACTGCCTTGGCTAGGACGGTACTACGTTTCCAGAAGCCACGGGGCAGCCCTCACCAGTCAACCAACCGAGTTGTTCTCTTTGGTGGCGCGAGTTTGAGGAGTGTATCGGATCTTCTCCCTTTAGCTTGCCGTATGGCTGGTCATCAGGTAAACGAAGTTCATTTTGTACTCATGGGGAGAGATGTCGTTTCTACTGAGGCAATTCAGCGCCTGAATGGCATAGATATTGATTGTCAGATTCATTGGCATGGTATGTCTACACCCACCTAGATTTCGCAGGGCCCGCAAGCTAATACCTGATACCTGTAGATGCTCGCCCAGACTATTCCCAGTGGTCAACCGAGTGTCGCATGGAACAAGCTGTAGTGGTTGGTCTCCGCTACATGCAATCGTATCTTCGTCCGCAAGTGATCATAACACAGGGTGTGTCGTTCGAAGACTCGTCGTTCTCGCAAGGGGTTAGATCGGTGACCCAAAAGTTTGGGATTCCTCACATTGCTCTCCCTGGTCCTTCTAAGGATCTTTTATGGTTGTCCAGCTTGGAAGGTAGCGCTCTTCGAGGTAACTATCCTGTAGCATCAAATAGATGCCACGCGGATTACTCTGCTTACTCTTTTACAGCTTGGAATGATATACATATTGAGGTTCTTCTTCAAGTTCCTCCAAAGTCCTCTGGGTCTGTAATAAGGTTAATCCGCTCTTTGGAGGAAGCCGACTACCTCGGTTCGATACCCAGTTTATCTATCGAACTTCCTCGTCAAGTAGACCCACAGCTCCTTCGTTTCCTACAAGAAATTAAATGGCCACCACAGTCGTCGAGCAAGGTAACCCTGCGTCGGTACATACAACCACATCCCATGAATTCAGCCGAAGCGTCTTTAAAGACCATTGAAGCATTCTATCCTAGGGATCCCAATATGTCCCATGTCCTGATGCTCGCCCCACAGACAGAGTTGTCCCCCTCTTTTTATCACTATTTAAAATACACTATATTGAGATATAAATATTCCAAATTTACTGAGCGAGAACCTCTCAGACTGTTTGGAATCTCACTGGAACTTCCATCCACGTTCCCTAATAACGAAGAACCCTTCACCCCTCCGCATTCTGACACTTCCATTGTCGCGCATAATGAAGAACCTCTTCCACTCTTCCTATGGCAAGCCCCGAATAGTAATGCGACATTGTATTTCGGTGATAAGTGGGTTGAGCTTCATTCGTTTCTTTCAAATCGCCTTGCCGTCCAGGAAGCTGTGCCCCTGCCTTCGCCTCAGGAAAAGACCTTTTCAAGGAGATACCCAGCTGTGATGGAGTATATTCTGGAATTGATGCGTACAAAAGGCTATTACCTGCTCTATCCAGGATTCCTGGGTAGAGAGAGTGCCCTGGCAACTGTCCACAGTGAACTATACCAACTCTCGGAAGAATTTTCCCAGGATGACCCATCAAAACTAACCAAGCCTGAAATAAATGGTCATTCATTTAAACAGCACGCTATAGATTCTGCAGCATATTTAGGGACAATAGAGAAATCTTTGAGTCGAGCCTCTACCTCCTAAATCAATTCTCACCGAATCTGTCCGCAATTGACGCATTGCCTGTGCTATCATATACGGGGAAAGAGCTCTCACGTACAACCTTGGACCAAGGTACTAAGGACTATATGCAACAGTTCAGAGTTCTCTGAGGTTGTCCGGAGAAAGACCGATGCCAGCTTAAAGTTCTTGTTTTGCATTCGTGACGATGTGGATACTGTGGGACATGTAAAGTGAGAAGCCTCAGGTATGATCATGGGCTACTTAAGAGACAGTCCGGTTTATGTACATTATCCAGCCTGTATTTGTTTGTAGTGGTGCCATGTAAGCCATCGTTCATAATGGAAAACGAGCGATTTCTTGGCATCGCCTTGTTACATAAGCAGTACGAAGCTCCACAAGGAGCGCAACGCCCGAGCGGCCATGGACGATAGAGCTCTCTGCTTTCATCAACAAGCTTATGATTCAGTCTCTGTTCCATCACCTGGTGCACAGAGACTATTTATAACCAACTCTATCATCCTAGCTATACTCCGCCTCCCATTCCTCCCTTCTTCCCCCATCCCGGATTTCCGATCCTCACCCGGACCTACTCGCCAGATTCCCGTCAGAAATGGCGAAAGAAGGCGAGCGGTCAGCTCCCACCGACAAGGGCAAGGGCAAGGTTGACGATGTGAAGGAGTTGTCGGGAGAGAAGAAGCCTCAGAGTGATGAGAAGCCACAAGCAGATGGAAAGAAGAAGGACGAAGAGCCCCAGGAAGGTGAGATCGTGACTGTCCAGTCCAGTGCGAACTCCGGCAACCCGGCGTCTTTGTGGCATGCTAACACGATAAATCACTCAGAGGAACTCAGTGAAGAGGATCAGCAGCTGAAAAATGAGCTGGAGATGCTTGTTGAAAGGTTAAAGGTATGATGTCGCAGGCAGGCCTTCTGGGACGGTGATCGATGACATTAACCGTATTCTTCTATTTAGGAGCCCGATACTTCACTGTATGGCCCTGCCTTAGACGCTATTAAGACTTTCATCAAGACCTCGACTTCTTCGATGACTGCGGTGCCCAAGCCTCTCAAGTTCCTACGACCATACTATGATGACCTGACGGCGCTTTATGACAAGTGGCAGGCTGGCTCAGTTAAGGTGAGGTTTCTTGTCTGACAAATCCTCCGGCGGAAATGCTAATCACAACAATGTTCTAAATTACAGGACTCGTTGGCAGATATGTTGTCGGTTCTTGGAATGACCTACGGAGATGAAGAGAAACTCGAGACGCTGAAGTATCGCCTTCTTACGAAATCCGAAGACCTCGGATCCTGGGGCCACGAATACATCAGGCACCTGGCATTGGAAATTGGTCAGGAGTATCAGAACCGGCTGAATGCGGAGAAAGATGTCCAGGACTTGATCGATCTCTCGCTATCCCTGGTCCCATACTTCCTGAGCCACAACGCTGAGGCTGATGCTGTCGACCTTCTGAGTGAACTGGAGATCATCGAGGAGATCCCGCGCTTTCTGGACGAAAATACATACTCGCGCGTTTGCCTGTATATGGTCTCCATGGTTAACCTTCTTACATATCCTGAAGACCAACAATTCCTCCGCACGGCGCACGAGATTTATGTCCGTTACAAAGAACTCACGAAGGCCATTGTTGTTGCCATTCGCCTTAACGACTCTGATCTTATCAAGAGCGACCTGAAAGCCACTTCTGACAAGGCACTCAAGAAACAAATGGCATTCTTGGTTGCCAGGCAGCAAATTTGGCTTGATCTTGGGGGCGAAGAAGAGGAGGACGACGAATCATTCATGGAGTGCCTGAACAACACTTCAATTCCCAACCACTTCAAGTCGCTTGGAAAGGAATTGAATATTCTTGACCCCAAGATGCCAGAGGACATATACAAAACGCATCTGGAGAGCAGCCGTGGAGCTGGCTTGACTAATGTCGACTCCGCAAGGCACAATCTTGCGAGTGCCTTCGTGAACGCCTTTGCAAACTCTGGGTTCGGCAACGACAAGATGATGCTCGTTGAGGGTGACAAGGGCCCATGGGTTTGGAAGACAAAGGACGACGGGATGTTGTCCACTACTGCCTCGATGGGTATGCTTATGCACAGAGATCCTGAAAATGGCTTGGACAAAATCGATAAATATACGTATGCTTCGGAAGAGCAGATCAAGGCCGGTGCCCTGCTGGGTATCGGTATTATTAACTCAGGTGTTCGGTTGGATTCTGATCCCGCTTTGGCCCTATTGAGTGATCCCGAAAACCTAGAGGCCAAGAGTGTGCCCATGAGGGTCGCATCCATCATGGGTCTTGGCCTGGCTTATGCCGGCTCCAATAAGGAAGAACTCCTTGAAGTCCTTCTCCCGATTGTTGAGGATGTTTCTCTTGACATGCAGCTGTCTGCTATGGCAGCTGTCTCGTTGGGTCTTATTTTCGTCGGCTCGTCGAACCATCAAGTGAGCGAGGCAATTGCCACCACATTGATGGATGAGGAACGGCAGCGACAGCTCAAGGATAAGTGGACCCGCTTCATGGCACTTGGTCTGGCACTGTTGTACTTTGGCCGCCAGGAAGAAGTCGACGTGATTCTTGACATTCTCAAGGCCGTTGACCATCCCATGGCGAAGCCTACCTCTGTTCTGGCATCTGTCTGCGCATGGGCGGGAACCGGGACAGTATTGAAGCTGCAAGAGCTTCTCCACATCTGCAATGACATAATTGAAGAGAACGATGAGAAGAAAGGCGACGAGCTGGTCCAGTCGTATGCGGTGTTGGGTCTGTCGCTGATTGCCATGGGAGAGGACGTGGGTCAGGACATGATCCTTAGACAGTTTGGGCACCTCATGCACTACGGCGCGAGCAACATCCGGAAGGCGGTTCCTCTCGCGATGGGCCTGATCTCTCCCAGCAACCCGCAAATGAAGGTTTACGATACTCTCTCCCGATATAGTCACGACAATGACAACGACGTCGCCATCAACGCGATCTTTGCTATGGGTCTGTGTGGCGCGGGTACCAACAATGCTCGTCTGGCACAGCTGCTCAGACAGTTGGCCAGCTACTACCATCGCGACCAAAACTCTTTGTTCATGGTCCGGATTGCCCAAGGTCTCCTGCACATGGGCAAGGGCACCATGACCTTGAACCCCTTCCATACGGATCGCCAGGTTCTGTCACGTGTATCAGCCGCCGGTCTGCTCACTGTGCTTGTTTCTTTGATCGACGCCAAACAATTCATCCTTGCGGAACATCACTATCTCCTCTACTTCCTCATCACTGCCATGTACCCACGGTTCCTTGTCACACTTGATGAGGATCTGCAGCCCCTCACAGTGAATGTCCGGGTTGGACAAGCTGTGGATGTTGTTGGGCAGGCTGGACGGCCCAAGACGATCACTGGCTGGCAAACACAGAGTACCCCTGTGCTTCTGGCGTACGGCGAAAGAGCCGAACTGGAGGATGAACAGTACATTCCTCTCAGCAGCACACTAGAAGGATTAGTCATCTTGCGCAAGGTAAGGATTTCTTTCACCTGATGGTCGAATGGCGAAGCTAACACGGAACAGAATCCTGATTGGGAGAGTCTAGCCTAAGTACGATGATGATATTTACTAGATCCAGTTTTTGCCGGTTGGATTGAGGGAGGCTCACATGGGTATAGCTAAATCTAATGTATTCAGAACGAGCCAGAAAATAGCATTCGCCACATTTGAGAACCAGTATTAGATGTTTAATCAGCCGTTGGTCCTGGGTAGGAGCCGACTGGAGATCTAGAGTCTTTGTATAGTAGCTGGCCATGTCCCGAAATAGGAAATTAGGGCATAGGGCATTTCCCCCATGAAGTTTTCCCGCATCGACCGCCCAGCAACGAGATCCAGTTCTAGCCAGGCCATTTGCGCAGCTACTCCAAGTCTAGTTCCAACAATTAAAGATCGCAGGTGACCATGAGACTTGACGCCAAAGCCATTCGTTACCTCACTTCTGAAGATTTTCGCGTCCTCTCAGCGGTGCGCCCCACCTTGCAGCTTTGGTCGCCGCATGGCCAGACTTGCTAACCAAAGTGTCGTGTAGGTGGAAACTGGGAGCAGGAATCATGAAGTCGTCCCTACCCCTTTGATCGCTCAGATCTCCGGTCTTCGCGGTGGTAGCGGGGTGAATCGCGCCATCTCGAATCTGGCCAAGGCGAACCTGATTGCAAAGGTGAAAAATGCGAAATGTATGCTCCAGCAGACGAGTTTCCAATTGATACAACACTCTAATCTTGACATTTACGTTTGATCTAGATGACGGCTACCGACTCACCTATGGAGGGCTTGATTATTTGGCGCTTAATGCCCATCAAAAGCAGAAGTGTATCTACTCTGTTGGAAACCAGATCGGAGTTGGCAAAGAATCGGATATCATAGTGGTTGCAAATCACGATGGGACGCAGCACATTCTGAAAATCCACCGACTTGGTCGTATATCTTTCCGAACGGTTAAAACCAACAGGGATTACTTGCGGAATCGAAGCACAGGATCGTGGATGTACATGTCGCGTTTGGCGGCGATGAAGGAATATGCATTTATGAAGGCACTTCGGGAAAATGGGTTCTCTGTACCGCAACCCATTGCGCAGAATCGGCATACGATCGTTATGAGTTTGATTGATGCATTCCCACTCCGTCAGATAGCGAGGGTTCCCAAGCCTGCGCAACTATACTCGGAGCTGATGGATATGATCCTACAACTGGCACGGTTCGGCTTGATCCATGGTGATTTCAATGAATTCAACCTCCTCATCAAAGAGGAAGAGGTCCCCGATGCGAAAGGGAAATCCCCAGCAGATGCGGATGAAGATGACAGTGAGAATATCCGGCTCACCCCGGTCCTGATTGATTTCCCGCAAATGGTGTCGATCGACCATGTCAATGCGGAGATGTATTTCGACCGTGATGTGGATTGCATTAAACGTTTCTTCAAGCGGAAGTTTCACTTCGTGAGCGATGAACCTGGTCCCTTCTTCTCCGATGCCGAGAAACAGCTCCTCCAGAATCCTGGAAAGCGACTGGATGTGGAGGTTGAGGCATCCGGGTTCTCAAAGAAAATGGCACGAGAATTGGAAATCTACATGAAGGAAGTTGGTGCTAATGGTGACGGAAAGGGAAACAATGAGATTGACAAGAGTGAGAGTGAAGATGAGAACCAGTCTGAACCTGACTCGGAGGGTGAAGCTGCCGGCGATGATAGCGAAGCCGAGGAACCCAAGGAATCACAAACCGATGAAGCCCAAGATAGTTCGCAAAGGCTAGAGAAACTACATTTATCAGACTCGTCTGGAGGACAGTAGGGGCTCTGGGATAGACAAAATGCATTGAACGATAATGACCATGATGAGCAAATATAAGTCTTGTAATTTCTTCTTCCTCTTTCTTCGTAAAAATATCTGTCTCGTAGGAAATGCCTGTAATCTCTATATTATCACTCCATTGTTCGTAGTAAGAAAAAATCCCTACGGCACGTAGCGCGGCCACAAGCGCAATTTTGGTCAGCGAAAGTTCCGCTTAACACCTTCCGATATCAACGAAGCACGGCCTTTTTTTAATTCCCTGTCACCCGCTTCCCACCCTCAGTTTCTTTGTTTCGTTGCTCCACCGATTCAATTCGCTGTTTCGGAGCATAGAGCCCAATATGGTCCGGAAATTTTCCAAGTTTCCCAAGAAGCCTGCGGGCTGGCTACCTCCTTCAGCGCCGCTATCCATGCGGAAGCAGGTTTATCTGTAAGTCCAGACTGTCGTGACACCCAACGGACACTGCATTTCAACCGATGCAGAGTCCTGTGTCTATGCAGAGAGATTGTATAATCTAACAAAAACCGGCAAAATAGTCCCGACTTCACGATCGCTCTCATCCGCACACCCTATCTCCCTCCACGATATGCCTCTTTCTATGTGCCTCTGAATTTCAACAAGCTTGATATCCGTGACTACCTACAGCGTCTATACGGGGTCGATGTGCTCAGTGTCCGGAGCTATGTCGAACAGCAGAAAGTCACCCGACTTCGACCAGACGGCAAATTCGGATACGGCAAATGGAGGCGACCCATGTCGAAGAAAAAGATGACCGTGGAGATGAAGCAGCCATTTGTGTGGCCTGATGCTCCTGAAGATATGGCACCGTACGTGATGATTGTCTCTCCTTTGTTTCTGTCCTTTTTTCGTTCTTTCAGTTGTCATTGGTCTTTCAACCGCTTCACGATGACATGGGACGAATGAGCTGACCCGTTGTGTTATTTGACAGATGGGAGAAAGATCAATTCCACAATGCCGCAAAATACCAAAAAGATGTCCAAAAACAGCAGCAACCTGACGCAGCCATGAAAGCAAATAAGTCGGAACGCGAGGCCTTCAAAGAAGATGCGAAGAAGCTGTTGGACGGCTCAAAACCCTGGAGACCAACCTGGCAGGCATTGGGTCTCAGCTACGATCGATCGACAGTGATCGGATCAGGGAAGAGATCAACTTCGACTAGTTCGTGAACAAGACTTTCTGCCACTCTTGCTTCTCGTGTTTTCAGGTTGTTGGGGAATAGAAAATGGACTGTTTGCACCTTTGGGTTCGGTGGTTCTTGGTGTTGTAAACCTTTTCTTTTGTCGCCGTTATGTGGTCATTGTCGACAATGTATTATATTTTTATTTTTCATATAAATATCCATTGACAATATTCAAATTACAGTCGCTTAACAGAGTCGAGTTGATTGGAGTAATACCACAATGTGTATTTACAGTCATCGGAATGATACCAGCGATAATGAACGCCTCGGTAATCATAGCTATGTACTAGGGCCAGATCAATTGGGCTCCGCTACACGCTATGCAGAATGAAACTCAAACCAATCAAAAGTATTTGTGGTGCGCTGAACGAAGGACGAGTAAGGTGGGAACATTGCATCGGACACAGAATTGTATACACGTAGAAGCAATTTGCTAAACATGAAAATGGGGGAGACGCAATTACAGTCGGCTCTCAACAAAGTTCATATTGTGTTGACCAGGCCAGTGAGCATCAGGCCACACTTGATGGATGGCCTCCCAGATATGCCTGTGGCTATATTAGCATCAGTTGTAGCTGAACGAAAGCGGGAACATACTTGACGTAGGTAATCTCGAGGCCATCGCTGACCTCTCGCGGGACATCCTTAACATCTTTCCGGTTCTGGTACGGTAAGAGGACCGTCTTCACGCCAGCACGCAGTGCACCAATAAGCTTCTCTTTGATCCCCCCGACAGGCAGTACCCTGCCGCGAAGAGACACCTCACCAGTCATTGCAAGATGCGGAGGGACAGCCTTGCCTGCGAACAACGAGATCAAACCAATTGTGTGCGCAAGTCCAGCAGATGGTCCATCTTTCGGGATGGCTCCTGACGGACAGTGAACGTGCAGGCTGCGACTCTTCATGATATCTTCGTTGGGATCCGGAGTCAATCCGAGCTCGTACGAGTGTGCCTTAACCCACGTGAGGGCCACTTCTACACTCTCTTTCAGCACGTCTCCCAGCTTTCCAGTAAGTTGAACACGACCGTTTCCTGGCATATCCGCAACCTCGATGAACAAGATGCTGCCTTGGCCTCCGGTGGAATAGGCGACAAGGCCGGTGACGACACCTGGACGGCCGTGTTTCTCGGCAATCTCCTCATCGAACCGCTCAATTCCAAGAATCTCCTCCAGATCATCCATAGTGACAATGGGGTTGTACGTATCGGAGTGGCCTGCATCCCCAGCATCTGCATATTGAACAGCTTTATAGCGACAGATCGAGCCAAGCTCACGCTCTAGATTGCGTACTCCGGACTCACGTGTGTACGAAGTGATAGTTTTGTCGATCACTTCATCGGAAAGAATGACTTGGCCTTCCGAAAGCCCATTGGATCTCACCTGCTTAGGAATTAAATGCCTCTTGGATATGTGTCGCTTCTCGACAGTCGTGTAGCCAGACAACGAAATGGTCTCCATACGGTCAAGCAATGGCGCAGGAATAGTATCCAAAGAGTTAGCGGTGGCTATGAAGAGAACCTTACTCAAATCAATAGGAATATTGATGTAATGATCGGAGAACGAATGGTTCTGCTCAGGGTCCAAAACCTCCAGCATTGCCGCGGACGGGTCGCCCTGGAAGTTGGCACCGCCAACTTTGTCAATTTCGTCCAGTAAAAATACTGGGTTCGCGACGCCAACTTTTTTCAGGCCGCTGACAATCAACCCCGGCATTGCGGCAACGTAAGTTCTCCGGTGGCCTCGAATCTCAGCCTCGTCTCTGACACCGCCAAGAGAGATTCTGTGGAACTTGCGCCCAAGCGAGGTGGCCACAGATCTTGCAAGACTGGTCTTTCCGGTGCCAGGAGGCCCAACAAGTAACAAGATCGGAGATTTGTCAGTCATCTTTCTAGATTTGAGAAGGTGCAGCTTTGCTTCAATGGCGACGCGGTCTGCCTCCGATAGAGCGGGGAGATCCTTTTCGAGGTCTCCATGATCCGCCGCATCGAGATCTTTCGTCAATTTAATAATTTGACGTTCAACCTCCTGGTTGGTGGATTGTTTGAGCCTCAGGACAGCCAGATATTCAAGAAGTCTCTTCTTAATCTTCTCCAGTCCGTAGTGATCATCGTCCAACTGTTGTCTAGCCCTCTTCAAAGTCTCAGGCCCGAGCTGATCCTCGGTGACTTTCATCCATGGGATATCCGCAATGTTTTCGAGATATGTCCGGCACACACCGTATTCCGCGTTTGCCGGGTTCATCTTGCGTAGGCGCCGCAGCTCTTTATCGGCAACTTTCCTAGCCTCTGGGCTAAGCTGCGCCTCCTGTAGCTTCTGCTGAAGTTCGTCAACTTCGTTCGCCTCCTTATCATCACTGTCACCGCTTCTCCCGCTTGCGTTGGCTCCTGGTGGTGTCAGGCCCGTGAGGCCAGCCATGGCCCGTCTCGCCAGAAGCTCGCGATCACGTGGGTCGATCTGGTTGATATCAAACCCTGCTGGTGGAAAACTGTTCGTCGAGATGGTGGTAACTTTGACGCTACTTTTGATATTCTGGACATGCTTTCCAAGAATTTCGACGACCCTTTCCAGTCGGGTTCGTACGTCCAACGACGCCAGAATCCGAAGTTTTTCCTCAAATCCAGGGTCAGCAACATCGGCCATAAAATCTGCCAGTTTTCCGGCCTGTGAGAGGTCAGTCTTGGAGATGAAGAGCTCGAATTTCCGAGCAATGAGAGGCGACAAGCGAGTTGATGGGGAAGGCAATAGCGACGAAAGGCGTAGTAGGGTAAGAAGTTCGCGCGAAAGCTGTCTCAGTTGCTGGAAAAGTTCGGTGGTCTCTGCATCGCTGGAGACGGAATCTATCCCAATCCATTAATCTCTGAAGCAAATATCCGTCGATGAAAGATCTAAGGAACCAACCTTTATCGTCAAGAAGGATTGCCTCTGCTTCGAAGAAAGGTCTCTCTCTAGTGACCCGTCTGATAGTGAAACGTTGGACTCCTTGAACCACCAGCGACGCCTCCGAGTAAGCACGGCGCTGAACACCAATCACCTTTCCAACGGTACCATATCGAAAGAGATCTTCCTTCCTAGCCTGACTTGCTTCAACTAAATCATACTCTTCTTTCTTCTCGTCATCCAAACTTCCGTTGTCGATTAGGTGCTGGCCATCTTTGCTTAGGAAAGGAGAGCCAAGGGGAACGCAACCAAACGTGATCGTATTGCCATCGCGCTTGGAGGGGGCCGTCCGGTCCAGTAGAGAGGAAAGAAGATTCGAAATATCCGGGCGGTTGATGACCGGGATGCGTAGTGTAACTCCCGGGAGTAGAACCGAACCCTTCGGGAGTGGCACCAAGGGCAGCTTGGTGGTCCTGCCGTGGTTGGAGCCCATCTCAGCCTACCACACCAGAGGGGAAAATAAAAGGCGATAGGGAGGAAAAAGAAGTAAGATAATGATAGATAGTGTCGTGGAGTGTAGTGTGTATCCACAAAAGGGGGGATGAAACAGGAGGAGACAACGGAGGTTATAAAGCTGGGCAGTCGACTAATGGGGAGTAAGGTTCCAGAACCCCATAGAGATGGAGAGACTCTGGGGAGGCGATAGAAGTCTTCCGATGCCGAGGTTCGCCTGCGCTACGTCAGTCTCCGGTCAAGCATCTGTCAAACAGCGACAACAATAACGTCAAGTATCTTAGGGTGGAAAAGATATCCAATATTGATGGCAGAGTATCACACTTTCTCGAAGAATCCAGTGAAGACAATCTTGTCAGGCAAAAAGAGATAGAGAGAGAGAGACCAACAGGCTGATCATGTAATCACCTCATCCATGGTCATCTCGTGATTTGAGTAGTATCAATACCGGTACAGTACAGTATGTACCAGTCATACCTTACAATACCATGTCAAATTCCGTTTGACAGTTGAACGATCGGAACAGCTTAGGATCTGCTTGATTCCATCCATGTTCACCTGCCTCGCACCTTCCGGAGAAAGTCATTGATTGGGGTTGTTATCGACACTGTTTCTGATCTATTTAATTTTACTGGAAGTCTACTAAGCTATCATATTCCCAGCCTGTCCTTTAAACGTGTCACAATGGCTTCTACCCCGCCTCCTACTTCCTCCAGCCCCGCCAACTCAGCGCGGAAAGTCTTCACCGTTGGTACGCGCAAGTCCAAACTTGCTCTTTCCCAGACAGATCTGGTTGTTGGAGCTCTCAGGAAGATATGGCCGGATTATACATTTAATATCCATTCTCAGGAGACTGCAGGTGACCAAAATACTACCATCGCCCTCCGTGAATTCACCACCAAGAATCTATGGACTCAGGAGTTGGAGGAGCTTCTAATGGCCGGTCAGGTGGACTTCATCGTTCACTCACTGAAAGGTATGCTCTGGAAGTCTTGTCACTGTTATGATTATATTGTGCTGAGCAGTTGCACTTCTCAGATGTTCCCACCCTTCTACCCCCCTTATGTACCTTAGCCCCCACAATGAAGCGCGAGGATAGCAGAGATGTTCTGGTGATAAAGAAGGGTTTACCCAATATGAGCCTGTCCGAAATGCCCGCAGGATCTGTTGTGGGCACTTCCTCGATCCGTCGCACTGCTCAATTGGCTCGTCGATACCCTCACCTGAAAATTATGGATGTCCGCGGTAACATTGGTACACGATTGGCCAAGCTAGACGCGGAGGACAGCCCATACACTTGTATCATCCTGGCCGCTGCCGGTCTACTGAGGCTGGATCTGCAGGACCGCATTTCCCAGTACCTTGATTCGAAGAATGGAGGAATGCTGTACGCCGTGGGGCAGGGTGCCCTAGGTATTGAAATTCGGAAGGACGACCAAATTATGCATGATATGCTGCGTCGCATCAGTGATGAGGATGCCACATACGCTTGCTGGGCCGAGCGTAGCCTGTTGCGAACCCTCGAGGGTGGCTGCAGTGCACCACTAGGTGTTGAAACAGAATGGGTTCAATTGCCTGATGGCTCGCGGAAATTGAGAATGAGGTCTATCGTAGTTAGTGTTGATGGCAACGAAGAAGCGAAAATTGAAATTGATGGGGCTGTTGACTCGGCGCAATCGGCCGAAGAGTTTGGCGTTATGGTGGCCAAGGAATTGGTAGTCAAGGGAGCAGGGAAGATCCTGGAAGATATCCAACAAAACAAGCTCAAGCAAACTTCTTAGAGAAACACAGATTATATGGCCTGCTATCGACGACATCCGCGGAGGTGCTGGTCTTCTCCCTGATATACAAGATGAGGGCTGTGATCTAGACGGATACCCGTACAAGAATAAAACATGTGAACATACTCTGCTCAGAATACAAAACGGTCCTTCTACGTGTACTATGAAGAAGACTTTTGTCTCACCCAAGACCAAGGGTTAATCCCAAATGTCAAGCCTATGTCCCTGTGTTGAATATTCCAGGTTTGAAAGATGCTGCCTCAAAAATCACAATATAGAACAGATTAAGTTCCCAATCATATCCATGCGTTACATCGTAAGTCGCGTCGTCAGCCTCTGTTCAACGTATTTCCAGAGCCTCTCGGGTTCGCTTCTTTATATTCATCCCAGGCACGCGCTTTCATGGTTTCTTCATCGGCTCTGTCCAAATCGTCCTCGTCGACTTCTTCTTTCATACCTGACTTTTCTCCTCCCTCTATGATGCCGCCTCTTCTCCTTTCTTCCTCAAGATATTCATCAATCGTCATAGTTGGCAAGTTATGACTGGGCCGGAAAACCCCTTGCTGAAGCTGTGACCGACGATCAAGCAGCGTAAACGGCTGCATTGGCCTTCCTTCCTTGCTAAGAAGTGGACCAAATTTTCCTCCTTGGAGAAGCTGAGAGATCGGAGGATCGAGTCGCTCGGAGTAGGTTGAGCGGTCCTCCCCATTCCGGCTCCTGGAGTCGTCCCGTTGGGCTTGTTCGAGGTTGGGCACGGCGTTGCGAATGCTTGACAGCATAGAAATTTCCTGGGAAAGAAGATCAAGTGACTGGAACGTTTGGTGGACATATAAATTGATCTCCGCGAGGTAAAGCTGCCGAACATCGTCCTCGTCGCTTTGGAGTCGACTTTGGTTATTCGACAAGTACTTAAGCTAACGTAAGTAAAGTTCTAGATCCTTCAGAGCACGTTGCATCCAACCTCGAGTCTTTGTTTAAGTTCCTTCTCCTCCTTAAACCTTGTGATTTTGACTTCTCTTCGGGTAGCAGCGTCATTAGTCGATGTTAGAGAAAAGGAGATCGGATTAGCCGTATATCGCTCGTAAAGTTTTTTGTTACTGTCATTGAGCATTTCGTAATTATTCAAACATGAAAGGTATTTCTCATAGTGCTCCAATGCGCTCCGAAGACTAGACTCGCGATTGGAATTATAAGATTTTTGGAGGAGGTCGGCAAGGTGATAATCAACTGCGAGATACCTACAAACCACCACGAACTTAGCTCATCCAGCAGCATGCACAGGGTGAATGGCATGAGATAATACTGTAAATCACCCGTTGTTATGTCTTCTAGTGGTTCATTTGAACTGAATAAAGATAGCAAGCTCACGAGCCGCTGGCATTCCTCAAACTTTGATATTGTTGCGCTGACATCATTGCGATACTGATCTGTGTTGGTGTCAGGACGAGCTTCTAGTGCAGCTTTTTCCGCCTTCGCTGCGGCGAAAAGAGATTTAAGATTCTGAGGTTGCTCCATTGTCGTCCCTGCAGTGACCCTCGTGATGGTTGCTAGGAATGATCTCCGCAGTGAAATTAAATAAGGGCGAATTTAACTGCGGCAGAAATATTGGCTCCGCCCGAGCGCCCCGCAATGGCGTCGGGACTTAGAAATATATGTCCACCGTCCTAGATCTATGGATGCAAGTCGAGAAGTTTCATGTGTATTGCAAAGGTTTGCCGTGTAGATATGTGTAAATAAAGCAAATCATTGACGGAGTACTATCACTAAGGGACTGGACCACAAGTGACTTCGAATCGATCGGCGTATCTAATGGCTTGTTTGTTGGCTCGTTTGCTGCGATCTGTTGGCCTCTTGCCTTTTGCTCATTCACTATTCACTCCCATCTCAATGCATTCTCACTCCCAGTTCCTTACTTGTTTCCGCGAGAATCCATCTCTCACAACAAAAATTTAATCATCTGCACTTAATCTATCGGAAGGGTCTTGTACTTTCCTTGGCTCGCTGGACTAAGGTGCAAATGTCGTCACTAACATCCATTGAGCCAGAAGACTCTAACACAAATCTGGCATCCAGTGGGTCCAGATTGGTGGCTTCCAGAGATGCGGTAATGGAAACAGATGCAATTGTTGAAATGGATAATAGTTCCTCTGATGAATCGAACTATGATAAAGATGAGGAAAGGTTTAGTCAAAGGAATGCTTCTGAACGACGGAAGCTCCAAAATGTAAAGTTCCAAGCACTGTGAGTTCTTCTACCTTTAAATAATTAGACTCTGGGTATTGATCTATGCATAGACTCTCGAAACGGGCTGATGCGGAATCTGTTGATGATGTCAAACTCTCAGTCCCGAATCTACCAGATGCAGAGCTCTCTACAGCACACTTAGTAGCAAAGCAGGATCTCGGGATAGGGCTCTTGGATCCAAGGGAATATCAGGTGGAGCTTTTTGAAAGGGCTAAGTCACAGAATACTATTGCTGTTCTCGATACTGGTATCTTCATACAGACCCCATTATTTTATTCCCCCAATGCTTTTTCTGACACCGCTATAGGATCAGGGAAAACCTTGATTGCAGTGCTTTTGCTGAAGCATATTATCCAAAATGAGTTGATAGATCGTGCGGATGGGAAGCCACACCGCATATCGTTCTTCTTGGTATATGCCCCGTTCAATTCACTGCTTCCGACCACATGCACACTAACATACGAATAGGTGGATAGCGTCACACTTGCATATCAACAGGCTGCTGTTTTGCGCAACAGCATAGACCAAAATGTTGCACATTTCTTTGGGGCAATGGGAGTTGATCTCTGGAGCAAACAAACTTGGATCGAGTATTTCGAAAAGAATATGGTCATAGTCTGTACAGCAGAAATACTGTACCAATGCTTGCTCAGCTCCTACATCAAAATGGATCAAATAAACCTGCTCATCTTCGATGAGGCCCATCATACAAAAAAAGACCACCCTTATGCACGGTTTGTGTTGCTAACCATAAAACTGGAAACTTTCTGATGTTGCCTTAGAATTATAAGGGAGTCGTATTTCAAGACAGATCCATCACAGCGCCCCAGGATCTTTGGAATGACGGCGTCACCAATTGATACCAAGGGGGATATTGTAGAAGCGGCTGTGTACGTCTTGCATTTAAATGGGTACGCAAATCCAGCTAACATATCACAGGACACTTGAGAAGCTTTTAGACAGTAAAATTGCTACAACCTCAAATCCTACTCTCTTACGACAGGTTGTCAGTCGCCCGATGGAGAAAGTGTGGACATACGACAAATTGGAGATGCCATTTGCAACCACATTATATAAAGCTTTGGAGGATCGTTTCGGTGACATGGGATCCTTGGAAAGCACTTTCAGGTTTGCTAGGCAGGCAAGCTCCGAGCTGGGGAGATGGTGCTCGGATCGAGTGTGGATGCATGCTTTGGCGGATGATGTTTTACCGAAGCTCGAAAGCAATGTTAGCAAACTCCTGTCGGATAATTCGGGCCAAATCCCAGAATCTGCGTACAAAGAAATTTTTCGAATCAAGGAAGCCAGTGATATTGTGAAAAAGCATGTGTTCGGACGCCCTGACCGTCCAGGTGAATTAAGTCCCAAAGTGCAGCTCCTTTGTGATGAGCTCAGAAAATGCTTTGGGTGTCCAATGGAAACAAAGTGCATTGTCTTTACAAAGAAACGCTATACTGCTAAAATGCTGTTCGAACTTTTCACACAGTTGGAGATCCCTTCCCTTCGACCTGGAGTCCTCATTGGCGTACGATGCAACGATGCTGCTGGCATGAATGTCACCTTCCGACAGCAATTCCTTGCGTTAGTGAAGTTTAGGAATGGAGAAATAAATTGTTTGGTAGGAATTACCCTACAGTGAAAGACGCCTACTGACGAAAAAGTTCGCCACGTCGGTAGCGGAGGAAGGTCTTGATATTCCGGACTGTAACTTGGTTATTAGGTATGCCATTAAAAATGCGCTGGCCGGGATTCATGTATTAATCTGCTAGGTTTGACCTATATAATACACTCATTCAATATGTGCAAAGCCGGGGCCGTGCCAGGCATTACACTTCCACGGTAGGGATTATTCGCATTGAATATAAACAGAGCTCTAACAAAGATAACTTGTAGTATGCAATAATGATCGAAAAAATGAATGCCACACACAGTGCGTTGTTGGATGAGACCAGGGAAGCTGAAGTAAGATCTGCAAATCTTTTTTTCTTCGCCACAGGTTCTAAAACACATACAGAAAATCATGCAAAACTTTTGTGAAACTCTTCCTGAAGATCGAATACTGTATGGGAACGATTACGACTTAGAATCCATGCTCCAGAAGGAAGGAAAACGTACATTAACGATTAGGGCTACGGGGGCAACACTAACATACCATTCCGCCATCGCTATTCTTGCGCGCTATGCCAGCTCCTTGGTGAGTAGTGTCTCTCTCAGATTGATGGTCCTCTAATAAAATGGCATAATAGCAATATGAGAGAGGCATTGTAGCTCAAGCCGCTTATGTTGTTCTTCCTGTGAATAACACGTTCGTTTGCGAGGTCATTTTACCTGAAAAGTCGCCTATCCGAGGATTTGTAGGATCACCCGAAGTGAAGAAATCTACTGCGAAACAATCTGCAGCCTTTGATGCCTGCCTCATGCTTCGGAAACATAAACTGCTTGACGACTATTTCAACTCAGTTTATCACAAGCGCTTACCGGTTATGAGGAACGCGAAACTAGCAATTACCTCCAAGCGGACAAACTTGTATGCCATGCTATCAAAACCGTCCCTTTGGGATAAGCAACTAGGAACTCTTCCGGACCAAATTTATGTCACTATCATTTCGTTTGTTCCTTCAAAGGAACTCTCTAGGGAACTTGGGCCCTTAGTGCTATTGACTCGCAAAAGGTTGCCAAAGTTCCCTCCCTTTTCTATCTTTCTTGAAGAGGACATAGAAACTATGGTCCATTCTGCGTCACAGGAGGAAAGCTTGTTGATATCTTTTCAAAACTTGGACTTATTGACAACGTTCACACTTCGAGTGTTTCAAGATGTCTTTCACAAAGTCTACGCCAGAGAGACTGAAAAACTACCATACTGGTTAGCTCCAGCAAGGCTTGAAGAAGGATCCGCAACGAGTATTATTCAAAACAATCCAATAGATTGGAGCACGTTATCGTTCGTAAGCGATAATGAAGAGATAATATTTCCTGCGAGTACAGCTCCGGAGCATTTGGTCAACCGGTTCGTCTATGATAAATGGGACGGAAGGTATCGGTACTTCACAGTAGCCATTGATGAAGCATTGTCTCCCTCAAGCCCACCACCATCTTTCGTGCCGCGACGAAAAAACATGAAGGACATCATGGACTATACTTTAAGTCTCTCTAAAAACTCACGGGCTGCTTTTCTGTCCAAATGCAATTGGAGCCAGCCCGTCTTGCGAGCCGAATTAGTGCGCCTACGGAGAAACTTCCTGGATAAAATGACGGAAAAGGAGAAGAATGTTGAAACAAGATGCGTTATCTGTATAGAACCGCTAAAGGTTTCTGCGGTCAGTTTCCTGTTGATGTGCTTATACCCGTTGAAGGAATGTTTAATTGCTGACTGGGTGCCTAGATTCCGGCTTCAATTGCAGCATCTTGCCTTGCTTTCCCGGCAATTATAAGCAGGCTGGACGCATATTTGATTGCCCTTGAAGCCTGTGAAAAACTAGAACTAGTTGTTGATCCAGGATATGCTCTGGAGGCATTTACCAAAGATTCTGATAACACAGAGGAGCATCGAGCCCAGCAAATTCATGTCCAAAGAGGTATGGGCAAGAACTACGAACGTCTCGAGTTCTTGGGTGATTGTTTCCTCAAGATGGCTACTTCAATTTCTCTCTTCACCCAGAATCCGGATGATGACGAGTTCGACTATCATGTGAACCGCATGTGCCTTATCTGCAATAAAAATCTCTTTAATTCAGCAAACAAAAAGAAGCTTTATCAGTACATTCGCAGTCGCAGCTTTTCAAGGTAAGAAGTAGCAGAATAGTCTGTTTGAACAAACCTAAGCTTACATTGGCCTTAGACACACTTGGTATCCCGATAGCCTGGCTCTATTGCAAGGTAAGGATCATAGCAAGAAGGTCTCTGCGGAAGGTAGACATGCTCTTGGGGAAAAGACGATCGCAGATGTCTGCGAGGCGGTGATAGGTGCATCACTTCTCTCAGGTGGTGTAGACCATCGGTTTGACGTTGCTGTCAGAGCAGTGAGTGCTTTAGTTGATAGCCGTAACCACACAGCGTCATGTTGGAGGGACTACAGTGATTCCTACACGGTGCCTAAGTACCAAGCTCAACGTCCAGATGGGTTTGAACTTGATTTAAGCAAAAAGGTAGAAGAGAAGTTGTGTTACCGGTTCAAATATCCACGATTGTTGAATTCGGCTTTCACTCATCCGTCTTACCCCTCGGCATGGGCCAAAGTGCCTTGCTACCAAAGACTAGAATTTCTCGGCGACGCACTGCTCGATATGGCTTGTGTGGAAGATATATTTCAACGGTTTCCCGATAGGGATCCACAATGGCTGACAGAGCACAAGGCAAGTTTGCTCATAATAACTATGTTGTTACCAGAGAGTTATTAATTGTAGTCTTCAGATGGCAATGGTATCCAACAAATTCCTTGGAGCCTTGGCGGTGAAGCTAGGGCTCCATACACACCTGAAACATTTCAGCAACCCCTTGCAGGCACAAATAACTCACTACGCCGAGGAGATACAGGCTGCAGAAAGTGAAAGTGAGGGTGCGGTCGATTATTGGGTCCCTACTAAAGATCCACCCAAGGTATGAGGTTATCCAAGATCAAACAACGATCCCAACTGAGTAAGTTCATTAGTGCCTGCCGGACATGGTCGAGGCCTACCTGGGAGCTGCATTTGTCGACTCTAATTTCTCCTTCGAAGTTGTAGAGGAGTTCTTCCAGCGTCATATCAAGCCCTACTTTCAGGACATGACAATATACGACACTTTTGCGAACAAACATCCCACGGTAAGACTGCTTCGCAATCTTGAAATTGCATATAGAAGATATAGCATGTCCCTTTCTTACAATACTAACCCGAAGTAGACGTTCTTGCACAACAGATTAACGAATGAATATGATTGCACAAACTATTGCTTGAAAGCAGGTGAAATACCTGGCGTGGACGGAAATGCCGTCAGCATTCTGGCCGCCGTAATTATACATGATACCGTCATTGCTGAAGGAACAGCATCTTCAAGTCGTTATGCTAAAATCAAGGCAAGCGAGCGAGCGTTGGCAATCCTGGATGGCATTGGTGTGCCTGAGTTTCGCGCGAAATACCACTGTAACTGCCGAGAGAGCGATAATTCTCCGCAAGTGGATATCGGAACCGCCATATGAGGATTTCCTTTAGCATATGTAGGCTTATCTAACAGGGTAGAGCAATAATAAATTGAACTTGACATAGTACAGCGTAAATTTGTGAACAGTCTACCAAGCTAATAAACAGGTTTAGTAAATAGTAATGCCGTGAATATGATGCTGATCAGGTAGTGCATGTGATCCTGCAGCAGCTGGTGATAAAAGAAGGTGTTTCGACCTAGATCTCTAGACAAAGAACTTGCATGATGGAGGTTCATGTCAGGAACCAGGATGGGACCGACAGCGAGTGAGCCATGGGTCGCAAGGATGTTATCTGAAGCTAGTCTACTTCAGGGATAGCGCGGGTTCCCCTGAAGTAGACAGAGAAACGCGTCCCACTGCGCCAGATGTACCCAAACCAACGATCTCACTAACGACCAAGAGCCAGAGAAAGAGAGGGACAACCGGAGCGTAGGCCATGACGTTTTGATTACCTACCGGTCCCTTTCATCTTTCTTCTCGTTGAAATTATCTCTGAGTTTCCCTCTAGTTGCTCTGGTTTCTTTTTGTCATCCCCGTTGAGAGCCGAACACCTGACCTGTCGCGACCTGGTTGCTGTCAACATAGCGACAATATCCTCACCGTCCCTCACTCTCGATGACCACGAACAGCCATTTCCTATAGATATTTGCAACCATGGAAATCGCCTCTGATGGGGTGTCTAACGGTGTGGCGGCGCCCACACAGACGCCCATGGTGGATTCGAACGCTGTGATCCATTACTTAGTCGAGGTGTTGCAAGTGACCTTGGGAGCTCTGAAAACTGAGCTGGAAAGTGCTGGTAGCTTGCTATCCGAAGCTAAGTATAGCGACACGGTACAGCGATGTACGCGATTTGCCTCGGAGTCTCAGGTGGCCCTCTACGTACAGAAGGATCTCGTGGGCTCGGAGGCGACAAATGGGACAGATGATGGTGAAGGTACATACATTCCTACAGCTGTGTTGGAACCTCCAGGTCAAAAAAATGGTTAACCAAGTGCAGCATCGTCTACCCAGTATGTGTATAACCTCGCTGCTGAAATCTCTTCCTCCTCTACCACGCTCGCATCGGTAGCCTTCATCAAGCGTCCTGCCGCCATCGATCTTGCATTTCCCATATCTTCTCAGATCCAAGTGATGAACCTTCCTGGGTTGGCATCTCTGAATAACCAGACCCAGCAAGGTACTTCACTATCGCCGTATGAGATTCTACATCTGCTGGTGCACCATGGTCTGAGTCCCTACTTCGAAGCCTACGCCCGAAACCAAGATACCATCGGCAGCATGAAGCCTAGAACGGACACAGAGGTGAAAACCGGTGTTCCGGGGACTAAGAAGAAGTTTGCGGAATTGGAACTTGGACTTTTGCACCTGCAGCAGAACGTTGAGATTCCAGCTTTGAACCTGCCGCTACATGAGGTAGTGCAAGCCGCGCTTGTAGAGGCTGAGAGGCGACAAACCAAGCCTACTGTAGAGTTGATCGATTCAAGAGTACTCGATAGTAGTGCTTTCATCAACAGTATACAGAACAATGTGAATGCTTGGATTCGATCTATCCAGACCATTACGAAAATGTCCCGTGGTGTGGATAGCGGATCGGCAGCCCAGGAGATTAATTTCTGGTTGTCCATGGAGACTGCACTCGAAGGAATAGAGACCCAACTTCGTGGCGATGGTGTTCAACTGACCATGGACATTTTGCGTCATGCTAAACGATATCAAGCGACTCTCAGTTTTGTGGCCGATACTGGCTTGCGGGAGGCCACCGACCTGGTCCAAAAGTACAACCAGCTAATGCGAGACTTCCCACTAGATGAGCTCTTGTCTGCTACCACCCTACAGAAGGTGCAAGAGTCTCTAAGTTTGATCTTCGCCCATCTTAACAAAAAATTGAAGATTTGCCCCTACCCAATCAAACGAGCTCTTGCACTTGTCGAAGCTATCTCGGGAGACCTAGACACTCAAATCCATACTTTGCTTCATGGCAGGACAATTTTGCACCTGGACTACCGCGAGTTCCGTTCCTTGATGAAGACCGCGGGCGCTATATGGAGGACCTGGGATGAAAACCTCAAGGACTTCACCAACGTTGCTCGGGAGTCTACGAGGCGTCGAAATGAAAAATTCATCCCAATTAAGATCGTCGCTCGTCACGAAAAGACGCAAGAGAGATTGAAATACATCAATACATTCCGAGTCAATCACGAGCAGCTCCAGAAGACCATTGTAAATGTTCTCGGTCCGAAGAATTCAACTTCAGGAGAAACCGCTGCCGGAGCCGGTTCCGAAGGCGCTGTAATCGTTGAGGAGATCGGAGATGTCGACGCTGTCGAGGAGGTTGCCCAAGCTTACGCTGCTCTGAAGAACGTGGATGTGCTGGATGTGTCTCCCGAGGGCACTCAGATGTGGATACAGGAGGAGATTGCATACAATGAGCGTACATCCCGCGTTGAGAACTCAATCATTGCCCGCCTACGCGACCGTCTTGCTACTGCGAAAAATGCCAATGAAATGTTTCGTGTTTTCTCGAAGTTCAATGCACTTCTGGTGCGCCCCAAAATTAGGGGTGCGATTGGGGAGTACCAGACTCAACTTATTGAGAATGTTAAACAGGATATCTCGTCCCTGCATGAACGATTCAAGCAACAGTATGCTCATTCCGAGGCGCATGCCATGGCGCAGCTACGAGATCTTCCTCCTGTTTCAGGCGCGATAATCTGGGCGCGCCAGATCGAACGCCAGCTTGATGGGTACATGCGCAAAGTCGAGGATGTGCTGGGAGAAGATTGGCACCTACATGCTGAAGGCCAGAAACTTCATGCCGAGGGGGAACTCTTTCGAAAGAAGTTGGAAACAAAACCGGTTTTTGACTCATGGTTGCAAGATGTTCACCGACGTCATATCACGATATCCGGCCGATTATTTAACGTTGTGCGCAACCGCGCTGCAGGGAATAGCTTGGAGCTTGTTGTCAACTTCGATGCCCAAGTTATTGCTCTGTTCAAAGAGGTCAGGAATCTGATTTGGCTCAATTTCCAGGTCCCTCATGCTGTTAGCAATATATCTAAAGAAGCGAAACGTGTATACCCCTATGCCATCAGCCTGATGGAAAGCGTCCGCACGTTGCTACAAACAAATCGTTCAATTTTAACAATGACAGATGTTGCGATGCTGCTGAACGGATATGTGAATAATGCGCAAGCCATGATTGTTAAAGGCATTCCTCTCCGGTGGGAGTCATTCGTTCATTCTTATGAATTTCATGTCAAGCAATCGGCATTGGCCAATGGTGCTGTAGAGTCGGCTATCCCAGGCAGAGGAGAAAGCAAGCATGTCCAATTTGTTCGAGAATTCGCGGGATCGGCGTCGGTTCTTCAGTCCAAGACAGCCGTTTTGGCTTCAATACATGAGAGTATTCAAAAGGCTACTCATGAGCTTAAAACATGTCCCTACGATGCCTCGGCTTTTAAGCAACGCCTGGATGCCATTCAAACTGCTGTGGATAAATTAAACCTGGAGAATTACGTCAACCTTGGATATTGGGTTGCAAATTTGAACCAGAAAATCGAGTCTATATTGCATGACCGCCTGCATCGTGCAATACGCGAGTGGATCAGCTCTTTCCAGGATGCGAATGATGAACATTCCAATTCACAGACGACGAGCAATACACAGTACCTCTCGCCTGGTGAAGCAGAGAGCCCAGCCCACAAAATTGAATTCTCTCAGCTTGTTCATGAGATATCTATGCGAAATCAGGTACTCCACCTGGACCCACCTTTGCAATTTGCTCGAGCGAGCTGGTTCTCGCAATTCGATAGTTGGTTGGGTGTTGTGTGTAATCTTGAAAAAATCAAGTCGTCCAGATATCAGATCTCAATTGACATGCAAAAGGTCCAATTGTCTGAATCATGCTTCGCAAACCTCCCACAGAATTGCACAAATGAGCTTAGTCGGGTGTATAATGCGGTCGAGACTAGACTGAAGGATGTATCTGAATATGTCGACAAGTGGTTGCAATTCCAGTCTCTATGGGATCTACAGTCTGAGCAAGTTTATGATATTTTGGGCGACGACTTGTCCCAATGGCTTCAGTTACTTCAGGAAATCCGAAAAAGCCGTGCTACGTTCGACACGTCGGAAGTGAGCCGGTCTTTTGGAAACATTAAAATAGACTACGAGCAGGTGCAGACGAGGGTCAATGCTAAGTATGACCAGTGGCAACACGAGATTCTTTTGAAGTTCGGGTCAAAGCTTGGAGGCCGTATGCGAGAAGTTCACTCTGAAATTGCTTCAGCACGGCGAGATTTGGAGGGACAAACCTTGGAAGCTGCTTCTACGGCTCACGCCGTCTCTTTCATCACTATAGTTCAGCAGTGTAAACGCAAGACAAAGGTCTGGGAGCCGGAGGTCGATCTCTTCCGACAAGGACAGGCCACGTTAGCACGCCAGCGCTATCAATTCCCAAGTGACTGGCTTCATGTGGAGAATGTTGATGGCGAATGGGCAGCTTTGAATGAACTACTTGCCCGCAAGAGCAAGATAGTACAGGACCAAACTGAGGGCTTGCGCGCGAAAATTGCGGCCGAGGACAAAGTCATTGGCGACAAGATCGCTGAAGTCATTGTTCAGTGGAATGATGAAAAGCCTGTTTCAGGTACTATTCCTCCAGATGAAGCGTCCCGGACCCTAGGCTCGTTCCAATCACGCTTGGAGTCTTTGCAGTCCGAATATGGGATGGTATCCAAGGCCAAAGAGGCGCTGGATCTCCCAGCAAGTGCTGAGTCATCTTTGCCCTCTATTATTGAAGAAGTCCAGGACTTCATGTCAGTCTGGGCGGCATTGTCCACAATCTGGAAGAGCCTCAATGACCTCAGGGACATGCTTTGGACGAGTGTGCAACCTAGAAAACTCCGTCAGTCAATTGATGGTTTAATTAAAATGACAAAAGAAATGCCTAGCCGAATGCGTCAATACGCTGCCTTCGAACATATCCAAAATGTCCTGCGGCAGCTGCTGAAAGTCAACCCATTGCTTTCTGATATGAAGTCTGAGGCTGTTCGGGAGAGACACTGGCAAAAGATCTACAAAGCTCTTAAGCCAGGAAAGAGGTTTTCCCTCGTCTCCCTCAATCTTGGAGATGTATGGGATTTGCAGCTTGGGGCCAGCGAGACTGTAATTCGCGATATCATTGCTCAGGCCCAGGGTGAGATGGCATTGGAAGAGTTCTTGAAATCAGTCCGTGAGACGTGGCAAAACTACTCTCTCGATCTTGTTAACTATCAGAACAAGTGTCGCTTGATCCGTGGCTTCGATGACCTGTTCGCGAAATGTAGCGAGAACCTGAACTCTTTGCAGGCAATGAGACATTCACCTTACTACAAAGAGTTTGAGGAGGATGCCTCCTCTTGGGAAGACAAGCTAAACCGAGTGCATGTCCTTTTCGATGTGTGGATTGATGTTCAGAGACAGTGGGTTTACCTTGAGGGCGTGTTTACGGGTAATGCCGATATCAAACATCTGCTTCCCCTCGAATCAAGCCGCTTTCAAAACATCAATTCCGAATTCTTCGCCGTTATGAAGAAAGTCTACAAGTCTCCATTCGTGCTTGATGTGCTTGCTATCAATGGTGTGCAGAAGTCCCTGGAGCGACTGGCTGAGTTGCTGAATAAGATCCAGAAGGCGCTTGGTGAGTATCTGGAGCGGGAGCGTATTTCTTTCCCCCGTTTCTATTTCGTTGGTGATGAGGATTTGCTGGAGATCATCGGCAACAGCAACGATATTTTCCGCGTAGCGAAGCACTTCAAGAAGATGTTTGCTGGACTGTCAGGAGTGATGATGGATGACGAGAGCAACATAATCGGCTTTACTTCCAAAGAAGGCGAGGAAGTCCGGCTGAAGAAAGAAGTCAATCTCCTAAAGACCCCTAGGATCAACGATTGGCTTAGTGCTATCGAGAGTAACATGAAGTTGACGCTGGCGGAGCTTCTCGCTGAGGCAGTGCAGGAATTTGAGCCTTTGTATCATGCCTCCGAGATCGATAGTACTGCTTTCAATAACTACCTGACCAACTATCCTGCTCAAATTGTTGTTCTTGCCTGCCAGGCGGTTTGGACCAATGCGGTGCAAAAAGCCCTGGAAAATGGTGCTACGCTATCTACATTATTTGACGCCCAGGTCCGAGTGCTTGATTTGCTTGCCGCTACTGTTCTCGGCGAACTAGATTCCATAACCAGAAAGAAATGTGAGCATATGATCACAGAATTCGTCCACCAGCGAGATGTTATTTCCAAGCTCATCACTTACAATGCTTCCACGCCGATGCACTACTTCTGGCTCCTTCAGATGCGCTATGTGTATCAACCTGAAGGTGACTTCCTCCAACGACTTTATGTCCACATGGCCAACGCGAAGCTGAACTACGGGTTTGAGTATCTCGGTGTTCCTGAACGACTTGTTCGCACGCCTCTTACCGATCGTTGTTTCTTGACACTCACCCAAGCTCTGTGCCAAAGACTGGGTGGCTCACCTTATGGCCCAGCTGGTACAGGGAAAACAGAATCAGTAAAAGCTTTGGGTCTTCAGCTTGGACGTTTCACTCTTGTCTTTTGTTGCGATGATACATTCGACTATCAAGCTATGGGCCGAATCTTCCTTGGAATTTGTCAAGTTGGGGCGTGGGGTTGTTTTGATGAATTCAATCGTTTGGAAGAAAGAATTTTGTCTGCAGTCTCCCAGCAGATTCAGAACATCCAAATTGGGTTGAAGAACGGCGAGAGTGACGAGAAGGCCCAGATTGAGCTTGTTGGGAGGAGGTTGAGTGTTAGCCCTAATACCGGAATCTTTATCACCATGAACCCGGGTTATGCAGGCCGTTCAAACTTGCCTGATAACTTGAAGAAACTTTTCAGAAGTGTTGCGATGTCCAAGCCGGACAAGGAATTGATTGCAGAGGTCATGCTGTTCTCGCAAGGTTTCAAGCAAGCCAAACGCTTGTCAACGCAGACAGTGCCCTTCTTCGACCACTGCTCTTCACAATTGACAAAACAAGCACACTATGATTTCGGTCTACGTGCTCTCAAGAGTGTCTTGGTTAGTTCAGGCGGCCTTAAAAGAGCCCGTATTGCCAACGCACAAGGGGAACTTGGCCCAGATGAAATTGTTGAGCCTCAGATTATTGTCCAAAGCCTTCGGGAAACGATTGCTCCTAAATTAGTACGAGAAGACGTTGATAAGATGCTAGAGATCCAGGCAGAAGACTTTGCGGGCGTAGAGTACGTACCAGCAAATTATGAGAAGCTTACAGCGGCTATCCGTGAGATTGCTCAGGAGCAGCATTACGTCGACAGTGAAATGTGGATTACCAAGGCTCTGCAGCTTTATCAGATCCAGAGTATCCATCATGGTGTCATGATGGTCGGCAAGTCAGGTTCCGGCAAATCGACCGCTTGGAAGATACTTCTCCAAGCCTTGCAGCGAATTGAAGGAGTTGAAGGCGTTTCCCATATTATCGATTCCAAGGTCATGTCCAAGGAAGCACTGTATGGCAGCCTTGATAGCACCACAAGGGAGTGGACAGACGGGCTGTTCACGGGTATCCTGCGGAAAATTGTTGATAATCTTCGAGGAGAAGATTCCAAGCGACACTGGATTGTGTTTGACGGTGACGTTGATCCCGAGTGGGTTGAAAACCTGAACAGTGTTCTTGACGACAACAAGCTCTTGACCCTCCCCAATGGTGAACGTCTGAACCTGCCCCCGAATGTCCGGATTATGTTTGAAGTCGAGAGTCTCAAGTACGCTACACTGGCAACAGTTAGTCGTTGTGGTATGGTCTGGTTCAATAGTGACACTGTCACGCCCTCTATGATGATTTCCAACTACGTCGAGTCTCTCAGGACACAAACCTTCGAAGATTTGGATGACGATAGTACTCCTGCAGGCCAAGCCGCGGCCAAATCACAGGACGCACAGGAAATGGTGTCTGAGACTCTCAAATATCTTCTCCAGACTGACGAACTCGTACTCAGGTCCCTTGAGGAGGCGAAGAAATACAATCATATCATGGAATTTACGGATATTCGCGCCCTCAATACCCTGTTCAGTTTGTTGAACAAATCCTGCAGAAACGTCCTTGAGTACAATATCCAGCACATCGATTTCCCACTGGACTCGGAACAAATCGAATCATACATCTCCAAAAAGCTGCTTCTTGCGCTTGTCTGGTCATTTACAGGTGACTGCACATTGGGAGACCGCCAGTCATTTGGCCAGTTCGTGTCTGCTTTAACAACAACCGACCTGCCGCCCGACAGTGTGTCATCTCTCATCGACTATGACATTACTCTTCCAAGATCCGAATGGACAAGCTGGCAATCGCAGGTTCCTTCTATTGAGATCAATACCCATTCCATCACACAGACCGATGTTGTGATCCCCACAGTGGACACTGTCCGCCATGAAGATGTTCTGTACTCTTGGCTTGCAGAGCATAAACCACTCCTGCTATGCGGTCCTCCGGGTTCTGGTAAAACCATGACCTTGTTTGCTGCTCTTCGGAAACTTCCGAATATGGAGGTTGTCGGCCTCAACTTCTCTAGCGCCACTACGCCTGACCTCCTGATCAAAACTTTTGAACAGTACTGCGAGTACAAGAAGACATTGAACGGCGTGGTCATGTCCCCGAACCAGATCGGTCGCTGGCTAGTAATTTTCTGCGATGAAATCAACCTTCCTGCCCCCGATCGATATGGAACCCAGCGCGCCATTTCTTTCTTGCGCCAACTTGTTGAGCAAAACGGTTTCTGGAGGACTTCAGATAAGACATGGGTTACTTTAGATCGCATCCAATTTGTCGGTGCTTGTAATCCTCCCACAGACGCCGGACGAACGCCAATGGGCGAGAGATTTTTGCGCCACTCTCCTTTGATCATGGTAGACTACCCTGGAGAGCTCTCGCTTACGCAGATCTATGGAACGTTCAATTCCGCCGTCCTGAAGATTCTTCCCTTGCTGCGTGGTTATTCCGAAGCCCTCACTAAAGCTATGGTGCGATTCTACCTGGAGTCTCAAACCAGATTTACCGCCAAGATCCAACCTCATTACGTCTACTCTCCCCGTGAGCTTACCAGATGGGTCCGCGGTGTATACGAAGCTATCAAACCTCTTGAGAGTCTCTCTGTTGAGGGCTTGGTCCGAATCTGGACACACGAGGCTTTGCGTCTCTTCCAGGATCGACTCGTAACGGAAGAAGAAAGGAACTGGACTGGCGATGCGGTTCAGCGCATTGCACTTGAACACTTCCCAACTATTGACGAGGAGCAGGCTCTAAAGGGTCCAATCCTGTTCTCCAACTGGTTGTCTAAGCACTATGTGCCTGTGGAGCAAGAGAAACTACGTGACTTCGTAAAAGCCCGTCTAAAAACATTCTGCGAAGAAGAAGTTGACGTCCCTCTTGTATTGTTCAACGATGTTCTGGAGCATGCTCTGCGTATCGATCGTGTTTTCCGCCAACCCCAAGGCCATCTCATCCTCATTGGTGTTAGTGGCAGTGGTAAAACCACGTTATCTCGTTTCGTTGCCTGGATGAACGGCTTGAAGATCTTCCAGATCAAGGTGCACGGAAAATATTCTTCAGAGGACTTCGATGATGATCTTAGGACCGTTCTTCGTCGGGCTGGATGCAGAGGTGAGAAGATCTGTTTCATTATGGACGAATCAAATGTCCTTGATTCGGGTTTCCTCGAACGTATGAATACCCTCCTAGCGAATGCTGAGGTACCTGGTCTATTCGAGGGGGATGAGTTCTCATCCCTTATGACTGCATGTAAGGAAGGTGCTCAGCGTCAGGGTCTTCTCCTCGATACCCAAGAGGAACTGTATAAGTGGTTCACGCAACAGATCGTCAAGAACTTGCATGTTGTCTTCACAATGAACCCTCCTGAGGAAGGACTGTCATCGAAGGCCGCCACCAGTCCTGCTTTGTTCAATAGATGCGTTCTCAACTGGATGGGTGATTGGTCCGACCAGGCCCTTTTCCAGGTCGGCTCTGAATTAACGCAATCAATTGATCTGGATAAAGCAAACTTTGTCGCCCCCGATAGCATCCCGGTGGCATATCGGGAGCTGAGCCTTCCGGCATCTCATAGAGAGACGGTCGTGAATTCGATGGTTTATATCCATTACTCTTTGCAGAGGTTCAACCAGCGCCTCCAGAAACAACAAGGTAAAACGACATATCTAACACCCCGTCACTATCTTGATTTTGTTGCCCATTACGTGAGGCTTTTCAATGAAAAACGCGAGGATCTAGAGGAGCAACAGAGACACTTGAACGTCGGTCTTGAGAAGTTGAGGGATACTGTGGACAAGGTCAGCGACCTGCGTGCTAGTCTCGCACAGAAGAAAACGCAACTGGAAAAGAAAGACACGGAGGCGAATGAGAAACTCCAACGCATGGTCGCTGATCAGCGAGAAGCTGAACAACGCAAGGCTGTATCCCTCGAAGTGCAAGCGGCCCTCGAAAAGCAGGAAAAGGAAGTAGCTAGCCGGAAGGAAGTTGTGCTCAATGATCTTGCTCGTGCCGAACCGGCAGTTTTGGAAGCACAAAAGAGTGTGAGCAATATCAAGCGCCAACATCTCACGGAAGTCCGATCCATGGGCAATCCTCCAGCTAGTGTTCGTCTTGCACTGGAAGCTGTCTGCACTCTGCTTGGTCACAGGGTCGATAGTTGGAAAACCATCCAAGGCATCGTACGAAAGGATGACTTCATTGCTAGCATTGTGAATTATGACAACGAGCGACAGATGACGAGAAACCACCGAATCAAGATGCAAAACGAATTTCTCTCGAAGGAAGACTTTACCTACGAGCGCGTGAACAGGGCAAGCAAAGCATGTGGACCCTTGGTTCAGTGGGTCGAGGCCCAAGTGAACTATTCGGAAATCTTGGATCGCGTCGGGCCTTTGCGTGAGGAAGTTGACCAACTTGAAGAGCAAGCCTTGCAGACAAAGGCAGAGGCCCAGGCGATCGAAAACACCATCCAAAGCCTCGAAAGTAGTATCGCCACCTACAAGGCCGAGTACGCTGCTCTCATTAGCGAAACCCAGGCCATCAAAACGGAAATGTCGAGGGTCCAGTTCAAGGTCGACAGAAGTGTTCGTTTGCTTGACAGCTTGTCATCTGAACGCACAAGATGGGAAGAGGGCAGCAAATCCTTTGAAACCCAAATCAACACTCTTGTCGGCGACGTCCTGATCGCTGCTGCGTTCCTTGCTTACGCCGGTCTCTACGACCAGCAATTCCGAAAAGCTATGGTTGATGATTGGGTCAATCAGCTGGTTCAATCTGGAATTACATTTAAGCCACATAACCCTATAACAGAGTACTTGTCAAATGCTGATGAGCGTCTGACATGGCAAGATCATTCTCTTCCGGTCGATGACCTTTGCACGGAGAACGCTATAATTCTGAAGAGATACAACAGATATCCTTTGATCATTGATCCTTCCGGCCGTGTTACAGAATTCCTGCAAAAGGAAAGCACAGAGAGGAAGCTCACAGTCACCAGTTTTTTGGACGATTCATTTGTCAAGCAACTGGAGAGTGCCCTGCGTTTCGGAAACCCAATCCTTATTCAAGACGCTGAGCATCTTGACCCCATTCTCAGTCATGTCCTCAATAAAGAATATCAGAAAACTGGTGGACGTGTTCTCATCCAGCTTGGCAAGCAAGAAATTGACTTCTCGCCATCATTCAAGCTCTTCCTGTCAACCCGGGATCCGTCGGCATCTTTCCCGCCAGATATTTGCAGTAGAACGACCTTTGTTAACTTCACGGTCACGCAGAGCAGCTTACAGACTCAGTCACTCAATGAGGTCTTGAAATTCGAGCGGCCCGATGTGGACGCGCGACGTACCGACTTGGTGAAACTGCAAGGAGAATTCAAAATCCATCTCCGTCAGCTTGAAAAGAAACTTTTGCAAGCATTGAATGAGTCCCGTGGCAACATTCTGGATGATGACAACGTTATCGAGACTCTGGAAACGCTGAAAAAGGAGGCGGCAGAAATTTCGAAGAAAATGGTCGAGACTGAAGGAGTTATGACAGAAGTAGAAAACATTACCCTCAATTACAGCATCATTGCTCGCTCTTGCAGTGCTGTGTTCGCCGTGCTGGAACAGCTACACCATATCAATCACTTCTACCAGTTCTCTCTTCAGTACTTTGTCGACATATTCAGCTCGGTTCTTTACCAGAACAAGCGCCTTGCCCAGGAGAAGGAACATTCCGCCCGAGTACAAATCATCCTTCGTGATCTCTTTGTAACAACCTACCAGCGGACTTCATTGGGATTGATCCAGAAGGATCGTATCACACTGGCCATGCTCCTTGCGCAAGCCTCCCCTTACCCCATGGACAAGAACATCATTGATACTATTCTCGATGAATCAGTGGAAGGGGCGGATTTGTCGACATCCCCCAAACTCAAGGGCCAGGTGATGAACAAGATCTCCAGCATGTCACTATTCAAGTCGCATTTCCCAGCAGTACCCCAAGAGCAATGGGATCGATTCGTGTCTGAAGAACTAGCAGAAAGTTGCGTCCCCACTCTCTGGGAGGAAGATGTAGAACCGCTTAACCGGCTACTGCGGTCATTACTCCTTGTCAAACTATGCAGACTGGATCGGTTCGTACCAACTGCGGAGCGCTTCATCGAAGCCGTATTTGGTCGCGAATTGTTTGAAGGCAGTTCTGATTTGAAGGACATTGTTGAGCAAGTCACTGCAACTACCCCCATTGCACTCAGCTCTAGTCCTGGTTTCGATGCCAGCTATAAGGTCGATGCTCTGGTTGAGCGCATGCAAGCCAAATGTGCAAACTTGGCAATGGGCTCCAATGAAGGTCTAGAGACTGCTGACAAGGCCATCAGCAGTGCTGCGACTGCAGGAACCTGGGTGTTGGTGAAAAACGTGCACTTGGCACCGTCATGGCTGCAAAGCCTTGAGAAGAGGCTCGACTCCCTAAAACCTCATAAAGACTTCAGGCTTTTCCTTGCGATGGAGTCAAGCCCCAAGATCCCAGTCAATCTCATCCGTGCTTCACGCGTACTCATGTACGAGCAGCCTGCTGGTGTGCGCGCGAACATGAAGGACTCTCTATCTTCTCTATCTGTACGGGCTAGTAAAAGTCCAGTTGAGAAGGCGCGCGTGTATCTTTTGCTCTGCTTCCTGCACGCCGTTCTCCAAGAACGACTACGATATGCACCCAACCTTGGCTGGAAGGGCTTCTGGGAGTTTAATGATAGTGATGTAAGTTTACAGATTCAACTTTTTCCTATGTCGTAAGAGCTAACATAATTTTCACCTCGCAGTACGAGTGTTGTGCCTTCATTATCGATCACTGGGTCGATGCTATTGCCCAAGGACGGTCCAACGTGGCGCCTCAGAAGCTTCCATGGGACATGCTGCGCACTCTCGTCACCGAGATGTATGGCGGTAAAGTCGATGATATTGGTGACTTTAAGCAATTAGAAATCTTAGTCCAAAGCTTCCTCACTCCAGCTGCTTTCGAGGACGAATATAAGCTTGTTTCGGGCGTTGAGAACGACGAATTTTTGACGCTTCCGGGGCAGACTGGCATCCGGGACTTTGTTGAATGGGTGAACCGACTGCCTGAGCGAGAACCACCAACTTATCTTGGCCTCCCAGCCAACGCAGAGAAGTTACTACTGGTCGGACATGGCAAGAAGATGATATCCGACCTGGCCAAGGTGACAACGTTGTTGGATGAAGGTGAACAGTTGATGATTGATGCTTAAGAGTCGCCGTATTTGATGTTTTGCTTTGTCTTTTTCTCCTTTCTATCCGTTGAAACTTGACCTGGGATATAGATAGATCCATTGGATGCCGCGGGCGGATCACTCTCCAGTCTTCTTTTTGTAATAATGCACCCTATTGTACACATTTTAGATTCAGTTGTTTTTCTTTCTGGTCTACATACAGTTTGTTGTCTTTCCTTCAATGTACTTTGTATGCACAAACTTTACAGTGTTTGAACTTCAGATCTACTTGAATTTCAAAGTAGCCTGGCCTATGGATTCCCCAAGTGACCTTCATAATACAATCCTCATATTTCCTTACTAGGTACCGTCACAACATATTAATGCAGAAGAGAAATACCCTTGTAAACTCCAGTATGGGTACCGTCCGAAACAACTAGTTATCCGCTTATCGCATTTATCCACAATCTAACTCACCAGATTTGATACTACAGTCACAAAATAGCACATACACTATTTTCAGTCCTGTCTTAACGTATTTCCTACTTGATTGATATATTGGGAGTTCAACAGAAAGAGTAAAAAGATCAGGATCGCCATCAAGAGTGTGTACATCATCATTCCCGTCAACTGAACCCATATAATGTCGTTCCCAACTAGAATAGATATCCGTCGTCAGTATACAGATTACATACATAGATGGAGAAGAAAGACATAGGGTCTCTGGATTGTACTGAACAAAAGAGACAGACAAACTTACTCTGTTCAACGCATACACCACCTATCCATGAATCGAGTCGAGTTGAGTTCATATCAGCTACTTGCTACCGTACCTATATTTTCGCGGTGGAGCATGATACGGACTCACATCTCGAGATGTCACGACCTAGAATCGAATTAGATCATTTACAGAAGGGATATTTATTATTGTTTGTTGTGGTTGTCCTTACCTTTCGATTGCGCTTGTGGGTGGTTGATGAATCCAAGATGAGAACCACTTGTTTGAGAACCTATAACCAGTTAGTTTTGAGCGAAGAACAAAAGAAGACAAAGACAAAGAGTCAAGTAAAGGGTGAAATCAAGAATCAACTACAAACGGATACTTACAACCTCTAGCCTACTTCTCACAACCGTCCGAACTTCATCATAGATCTCTTGCTTCATACGTATGACTCCTCCTCTGCGAGCGAGACGGCTGATATACGTGGCTGTTAGTGATCTAGGAGCGTTGAGTTTGTCAGAGGGACTGATTTTCGAAGCAATGTCTAGTTACCGGATGGTTGGACGAGCTACAGAGTTAGAATCTGTTTTGGTTCCTATGACTATAAAGGGTGTCTGGATAGAAAACTCACTGATCCCCATGATGCTGTCCCTGGGTTTCCTGTAGAATTGACAGGAGATTAGCATTGTAGGTTACCTAGCACATGCGAGATATTTCCCAAAGAGGAAAACCTGGGTTTGTTTTTCGAGATAGTAGACTGGAAGCTGATTTACCGGTTCTGACGCCTTAGATGAGGAGGGAGGACTCTCGGATCCATTTTAACGCAGACAGGAAGTCAAACAAACTTATGAGAGACAGACGAGAATAAAAGAGAGAGATGGTTCTGGTGTAGAGAAAAGGTGGGCTACTTGTAAGACCGCTGACGAGGTTGTTTCAGTGAATAGGACCATACAAGTGGAGACTAACACATGTATTGATTAAGTAAAGAGATGGCATAGGAGTGAAGTATATGTATATTTATATGACAGAATATCAGAAGTGACATTAGTGTTTTATCGTGATTGTGAGTTATTAAGAACCAGTTCTGAGTTGTAGATAGTATGAGGAACGAAGATGTATCGAGTAGCACAAAAACGCCATGGACGAGTCCCCGAAAATCGTGTTCTATGTACGTCGTTGAATCATCAGGAGATGAATGTCGCCTCGGAGAACATTGTTCCCTCTTCGGCGAATTCAGTATCGCCGATTTTGACCTTAAGAGTCAGCTTCTCTTGAGGTGAATACTAGACGACTGTTAGTGTAACCCAAGAAACAAATGCACAGGAGAATGTCATACCTGGAAGATATATGGCCGTGTGCCAGCGACACTGCCAGCGATGGATTTGATGAACCCGGGAACTTCGGCCATCACGTCGATACGGTCCAGTCTTTTGCCGACCGGTCCATCAAGTTCAGCGGAAACATCCTTACCATCCTGTGTCTTGCCCTCCCACGCCCATTTGATGGACTTGGGCTCGGGCCAATCACTTTCCGGGTCCTGGCCTGCCTCCGTGTGTGTGGCAGAGTTATTGATCCCGGCATAGATAATTTCTCCGTCCTTGACAATGGCACCGACATTGACCACAGTCGACGCGTACGACGGGGGAGTGGTATACTCCATCATAACGGCCGTGTACGAGGGAGTCTGGAAGTTTACAAAGTTCCATCGCGCAGCTACCCGTAGTCAGCACCATCAACCCCCAAGGGCGGATTTAGAAAAGAACACGTACCAGCATGATGGGGTTTCATGCCCTGGAGACCCTGAATGAACATGCCCCGGCCTTTCATGTCATAACTCTGCTCCTTGGCTGTGATTGTTCCCTCCACGGAACAACGAGGCCAAAAGGCATGACGCATGGAGCCCCATGGGTTCGCAGGGTCCGTGCCAAAGTAGGTGGTGCCGTCCTTGCCGATGACGAACCCCGGGGTGGCGCGGGCAAACGTCAGATTCACCAAACAGTCATCATTCACGGCAGACTTCAAGGTATAGGTGTCTCCCTCCTCGTTAAGGGTCAGAGAAATGTTGTCGGCCCAAAAGGCAAGCATGCTCTCGTCGAACATGAAGTTGGATAGGGGATCGGAGTGCCAAATGTGGGGTGCGTCCCCCTTGAGATTGAAGATTTTGCAGTTGAACTGAGCCGTAGTGTGGATTCCTCTGCGACAAACAGACAACGTTAGACAATCAAGGAGCAGGATAACAGGGGCATCGGGACAATGGACTCACACGATGTTGCTGTAGATGATCTGAACAAAGACTAGGGCGCCATTGTCGGCCATAATGTAGAAGGTCTGAGTCTCGACATTTGTGTAATTGTACGCGCGCCACCGTAAGTCATTCTTGGTCAGTTCAGTATAAGGGACTTCTTGCGCCTGTTGAGCGATGGGCTGAATGGCCTCTGGACCGTAAACCGGTTCTTGCGTACCGGCAACGCTCGCGAGGCTAAACTCAGTATGAAGAATAATCAGCACATTTAAAAAAAAAAAAAAAAATCAGCGAGGAGTACTAGAAGAAGAAAATATAACATACGTTGATTTAAGCCAGTTCATGACGGGTGGGTTAAAAAAAAAAAAAAAAAAAGGACGTGGTAGGGTGATTCAAGTAGAAAAAGAGAGGTAGTAACTTGCTCCAGTTGGGTAGGAAACAAAAGAGAGAGGAAATCGAAAGCGCGTGGGGTCAAGGGAAAAGAAAGAAACAACTATCTGGTGGACAGGACAAAGCAAGCTTTGCTCGAGATGGGTTCAGCAATAGCAGATCGACCAGCAAATATCTTTCTTAGCCAAGGAGGCGACCGAGGAACGAACAATAATCTACCTGAATCATGATGAAATGACGTCCGGCTCTTTTCGCTTGCGGTTCAGAATGGCAAGTAACTCCGTTCCCGCCGCCATCCCGAATCCAGAATCCCCGAAATTCTTGGCCGCAAAAATCCAACGCAGTGCTCTGCTCTGCATTCCACATTCGGCTTCTCCCCGGGGTTGCACATCAAATTGTTCCACCATGGCGAAGAAGGCATTGGCCAAGGATCAAATTGTGAAGCTCATTGTGGGGGCTGGTCAGGCCAGTCCCAGTCCCCCCGTCGGTCCGGCCCTGGGTAGTAAAGGTGTCAAGAGCATGGACTTTTGCAAGGTATGTTGGACAATATCCCCTCTGACCAGATGATCAAAGAGAGTAGTATTCTCACTGTTGTGCGATTCGATAGGAGTTCAATGCCCGCACTGCACACATCAATACCGGTGTCCCGATCCCGGCGCGCGTCATCGTGCGTCCCGATCGCTCATTTACCTTCGATCTCCGGACTCCTACAACTACCTGGCTTTTATTGCAGGCAGCGTGCGTGGAACCTCGCAAGAACCGTATCCGTGGAGCCATGAACCCCGGCCATGAGATTGTTGGCAAAGTGTCGCTCAAGCATGTATACGAGATTGCCAAAATCAAGCATTCCGAAATGAGGCTGTCAGGGTTGAGTCTGGAGGGGCTGTGCAAGAGCGTGATCGCACAGGCAAAGTCCATCGGCATTCAGGTTGACCCATAGTGTGATCGATGGAGGGGGCGATGGATTTGACTATAATATGTATATGAGACACTGCGAATTGCGCAACTGCGGCGACTACAGCCTTGGTTCATGACAATGGCGTTCAGGGATGGTTCTTGTCATCAATTGTATTATAGGGACTGCATGTGATATAGAAAGCGTTTACAAGTGTCCGGAACATCTGCACAAGATGGGACTTTTTCTTTTTCTCCATTATTACTACTATTATTATTGTTGTTGTTTTAGAGCCTTGGTACCTCAGGTTGCTCGTCCTATCGTTCAGTAAAGGGCCTAGTCTATTGCTAGTACGATCTTTATTCTGCAATGCAGATGGCCTCTTTGCTAGATCAAGGGATTCAGCTCCGACGAGAATTTGAAATCCTGGTTTATATGTTTGCTCTATCATGCCATGGGGCCATTAAATGCAGAAAATCTAACAATTGCTCTTACATGGGTATATAACTACCGCATTTATGTGCCCCAACCCCTGACAAATAAAACTGGGATGAAAAATGGAGTGCAAAGAAGGGAGAGGAACCCATAATCCAGACCCATGGATTCGTATATCATTCAGGCACAAAAAGCAAGGGATGGCTCTAAGGTAGAAATTGACAAGGGGCAGAAATAAAAAAAAAAAAAAAAAAAAAAAAAAAAAAAAAAAAAAAATTTAAAAAAAAAAAAAGGGGGAAAAAAAAAAAAAAAAAAAAAAAAAAAAAAAAAAAGGCCGCAGTGAACGATCTAGATACTTGAAGCCTGAGATTAGCGCCAAGAGAAGGGCGCTACTCCGTACAATCATTATCAACGTCCAGATTCTAGGCAGGACGATTTGCACCTTCGTTGGTATTACCTCAGATGTTCTCCAGGGACTCTGGAGAGACTCATGGTGACGAGACCATTTACTTGGCGGACCCATGTTCATCCGACCTGTGTCATGATTTGCACGCAATCCCTCAATAATTGAATGCTTGGCAATGGGCAAAGGGGAGGAAAAGTGGCAGCTAGGTCGCAATTCAGAAATACTTGCCACAATCCAGGCTGTCAGATAGGGAAGACATCAGAGGTGCCACGTTGTGATTCTACTCCATGCCTGGTATATAGAGATGGAGACTGTTTCTAGTTCCTATATATACTATCCATGATTCATAGGTACCTGTAATATGAAAACAATGAGATCTCCCGGCTAACCGGGTCCGGTCTAGCGCCCACATCGCCGAATCAATTCCCAATGCGGGAACAAACTCCACTCCCCACTGCAATGTGTCATATTTCACGGCCACCTAGGCAGGCGTTACATATTAGGTAAAGAAGACAGGAATTCAGGATGGCATGGACAGAGTAATTCAGAGGATACTGCCTCTTGAGGAAATGTCTAAGATGTTGGTTGATTCTAGAGTAAGTATCAATCAGTAAGGATGTTGTCCTAAATGATAACGATCAGGTGAGCAGCTGTCCATTCCATCTGCATGCATAAAAAAGCCACGCCAGATGAAATCCAGAAAAATCTAGTGGGTCATCATGGACCAGATGAGGGTCGGGGGCCCGTTCTCGAATCCTGTTCGCGGACAGACCATGCTGAGCGGCTAGACGGCACGGTAAAATACCCCTCTGATAGATGAATATGTATCCGTATTGCGTAGACATATACAGAGTACAGAGGCCGCTGCACTTCTGTTCTTCCCATGCATGGAAGCCCACCCAAGTCAGTCATACATGGCGGAGAAGACAACCTGGAGTTCCATTGCTGGGAGGTAAGGTTTCCGACTGACATCTCACATGGCAAATCGATTCGATGAAGTCGACGAAACTCTCCTAGGGAATGCGGTAGCCAACTCTCCGTGGGTTCCGACTGGAGGGTTAAAGTAATAATAATAGATAATCCCATCAGTGATGAATTATTGTCTCTTTGTAGAGTAAATGACTGACTGTATGGATAGTACATGTAATGCCAATACTAATGAAAGTTTACTCTCTTTTTTTTTTATGAAATTCTCTTCTTGGCCCCCCGTAAAATCCCCTTTCTTAGGATAGGAATGAACTCGACCAAACGTACTGATTTTGTTCAAAAGAAAGGTCGTCTACACCACCAACGTAATTAGTATCAATTCGAAGGAAACCCCGGTTTCTGTCCGTACTATATAACTACCGACCTTAGCCCTATCCATACCTCCATTACGAATTGATATGGTCCAAACTCCCCTGGTGGAACCTGAACCAAGTGAAACCAGGGTCTTCGTCGATGTAATCCAATCCATCCTCCGTCCATCGCCGCCGCTATTGCCGCCGCCGCTTCTTTCAACGCTGCACCTGCTTTCCTTTTCTCTTCCTACTCTCTCCTGTGACTTTCTTGACTTGATTCTCGCTTTGTCTGCCTCGTTCACCTCTCCCCTCTTACTTAGATTCCATACCCTACTGAATACGTCTCAGTTTCTTTCTTGTTCTTTCTTCCCGACCGTTCCTCTTGACTTATCCTACCCCACAAACTCCCCATTTTCTTACTCTTATTACTTTCCCTGTAGCAACTTTTTAACTTATCGTCGTTACCTGGTCTTTTTCTTTTTCTGTTTCTTTCTTTCTTTCTTTCTTTCTTTCTTTCTTTTTCTTTTTTGGATGAGCTCGAATCCCGACCACCTACCAGCCCAAAGCTCCGTGAATTACAAACGCTAAACGGAGCCTTGAAAGATTTGTTCCCGTTGTGAAATCCAAATCCAAATTCCTCCACGCAGCTCCTTTTTGTCCCACGGAGTTGTTGCCGGCTGCAGCTTCCAAGTATCAACCACCGTCATACACTTCGTCGTCCGTACGCCAACCCTCATTCTTTCGTCGCCACTACCTAAGGTTGTCGTGATCCGCCTTAATCCCGCCCACGGCATATTCCTGGCGGAGGGGCATGCGTCCCGCAACCGTGGATTTGACGAGCTAGGTATGACGTCTGAAACAACCGATCTGGTCCATGCAAGCAATATGGATTCAGGTGTGCAAAGCTCTCTCCCGCATCGGTCCAAAATCATTCTCTAACGCAATTCCATCACTCGCTAGGATCTGGCACTACTCCGAGACCCGTTGACATGTCTGTCGACCAAGACTTCAAGTCCAAAACGCAACCCGGTCAGGTTCGTTTTTCGTCGGTAACGGAGGAAATTGAGCCGTCGGATCCGTCGGCTTCTGTTCAACTCTCTGAAAACTACCCTGCTGAGGATCAAAAACAGCAGGTGGACCAAATACGGTCGCTGGCCGCAAGTCTGCAGAGGTCCCAATTACAGGAGTCTCGACTGGGGAAATTTTCATATGAGCCGGTGTCTCTTCCTTCTTCGAGGGTATGCCAAACCCAGTCGGCAACGGAGACGAAACCTGTGCAGCTGGATGGGACTACTCCTTGCTTCACCCCGCATCATTTATCAAATAAAAACAGAAGCTAACCAGTGGGTTTCCCCTTGACAGGTTACATCCCGAGAGTCGAGTGATCGCAGCACACGAGGAGCTAATGGATCTGGTTTGCCGTCTCCCCATGCCTCCCCACTGGTGTCTACGATACAATCACCGCCTCTTACACCTGCGGCTACCAATTCGCATGAATCCAAAACTAATGACACTTCGTCTGTGTCGATTACGACAGACAGGGGAACCGCCGCACACTCAGTGGTGATGACTCCGGAAACTTCCCCGCCCACCTCGTCCACGAAGAGCAAAGTCCCACAGAGCGCGCCGACGTCGCGGCCCTCTTCTACCGAACAACTGTCTTCTAAGCAAGGCAATGTCTCGCAAACATCTTCCCACCCATTGAACGGAGCAAAGCACCGGGCACAGTTCTTTATCGGTCCCGATGCAAGCTCCCAGGAAGAAAGCCCCCCAACCACCCCGAGAGACATTGAAAACTTTACCCCACCAGGCGCCATTACGCCCGTTGGGGAGCCCAACGATCCATATGCTCGCAGCAAGCGACCGCCACAGCCCAAAAATCTCTCGCAACTTGACCAACGATTCATCTTCGGGGGCCGTGATCTCAAACGACGAGCACACACTTCGACTACCTTCCGCTCCGGGACACCTCGGTCGGCCAGCTTCAGTGACCTCAAAGCAAGCGACAAGCGTAGTGGAATTTTTAGCAGCAAGAAAGACTTGCGGCAGCAGGAATCAGAAGGCAAGCATCATGGCCATATGGCGGAGCTGAAGCGGTTCTTTAAAATGGGTCACAACAAACACAAGCGTGGGGATTCCCCGGCGAAAAAATCAAGCCGCGGTTCTGGAAAGAGCACACCATATCAGATGGCCCCCGACAATATTCCGTTCGCCGACGACCATGGCCTCAATTCCAAGTACGGGAAACTAGGGAAGGTCCTCGGCTCTGGGGCTGGAGGTTCCGTCCGGCTCCTAAAACGGAACAGCGATGGCGTGACGTTCGCCGTGAAGCAATTTAGAGAGCGCCATTCTTGGGAGACGGTGAAGGAATATTCGAAAAAGGTGACAGCCGAATTCTGTATTGGATCCACCCTTCACCACGGCAACATCATCGAGACGCTGGATATCATTCAAGAGGGAAGCCATTGGTACGAAGTCATGGAATATGCCCCATTTGATCTGTTCGCCATTGTCATGACTGGGAAGATGGTGAAGGACGAAGTGGCTTGCGCATTCAAACAGATCCTTAGCGGAGTGGCATATTTACATGGCATGGGCCTGGCCCACCGCGATTTAAAGCTTGATAATGTGGTTGTCAACGAACATGGTATCTTGAAGCTTATTGATTTTGGGAGTGCCGTGGTTTTCCGGTATCCTTTTGAAAACGACATTGTCCCTGCGTCGGGTAAGTTCGCATGTGTTTCCCGACGGGCAGAGAGTTTGTCCAGGCAAATGAACGGCTTCAATTAACAACATTTTAGGTATTGTCGGCTCTGATCCATACCTCGCTCCTGAGGTATACGATGAAAAGAAATATGACCCGCGCCCCACGGACATCTGGTCCTTAGCCATCATCTTCTGCTGCATGACCCTGCGTCGATTCCCTTGGAAGCAACCGCGTGTTAGCGACAACTCCTACCGGCTCTTCGTGTCCACTCCGACTCCAGGAACCCCGGTCCCAGATGCAGACCCCAAACGCCATCGTCCTACGCGATCAACTCCCGACCTTCCCGCCTCTGCCCGCGAGCATCAGCCTTCACAGTCCTCAGAGAATAAGAGCGGAGTTTCTGAGCAGCCTAATGGGCAGCAGGATTCCTCAAAGAACCAATCGAAATCAGAACCAGCCACCCACGAAGAAAATAACACTTCCGCGAGCCCTCAGGAGGACAAGAGCCCAAATACCGGCTCCGAACAGAAAAACAGTGCTACTGGCAACAAACCCACACGCACCACAAGCAAAGAGGCGCCTCCACTCCCGGCGTCGGCTCAGTCGTCCGGCCAACGTCAGGAAGTCATCAAGGGCCCCTGGCGACTCTTGCGACTTTTACCTCGTGAAAGCCGGTACATCGTTGGTCGTATGCTCAAGGTGAACCCAAAGGAACGCGCCACCCTCGATGATGTCTTGACCGATGAATGGGTGCGAAACATCAAGGCCTGCCAGCAAGAAGTTTCCGGAGAAGTCATCAAAGCACCAGGCCATACACATATCTTGGAGCCTCCCTCCTCGAGTGTACCAGTGGCTAGTAAAGCCAAATAATTTGGTCAGCCTTGGTACTGTCTATAATGCCACGTGCGACGTTTGGCCTTTGCAAAAGTTGACTGTTCATTCGTCTTTTTATATTTTTCTTTTGTTTGATTTTTCCGTTTGCTAATATATCTTCCTTATTCTTCCCCCTTGATTCCCTTTGCTTGTGGTGCTCCTTTCATTTAGCTAGCATACTGTACCGTACGGCGGATATCACTCGCTTGCCTCTCTTTTCTTCACCTTCTCGTTTTTGAGAGATCGTCGCATATATGGATGAGGTCAACGTCTTTTCTTTCCTACTTTCCCTGTTTTTCTTATCCTCCCCTGACTCTTATAGCCGCCTGAAGAGGGAGCAAATAATTTTTATACCTCTTCATAATCTTCACCATTTTCGCTTCCTTCCCTTAGCTCCCCTTTCTGTCTTCCGTTTCTTTTGATATGGGCGTTGTGGTCACTGTCTAGTGGAATGGAATTGCTTCGGAGAATTTACCCCTTCCCCCGGCAAATAGAGGGTTAATTGCTAGATTTCTATTGTTTATTGGCCGCTCATGTTCTCCCTGCTTGTTTTTGGCTTGCACGAAGTCCACAGAGTGCTGTTTGTTATTCATCTGGCCTGGCTCTTCTGGCCAAGATGTCATTCGGATTGGTCAATCATTCTACTGGTCCCTTCTTGTATTGATCACCATTAGCTTAGTAGATATTATAAACCAATGGACAAACAATTAGAGACTATCTATTCTCAAAACCGCGTGCATGTGAGTTCCCAGTAGTTTACATAGTATATAGTCTCTTCGACGTAAACTGGCCGACAACGCGGAGATTGCGGAGTTTACTCCTCGGTGCGATAATCGGATCCATCAAAAAGCTTCACGCCGATCGGGTGGAGCGGCAACTTCCAGCCCGAAGCCACTTTCCCCTCGCTGACCTTGGACACTCTTTACAGTTTAACTTTTCTCCCTCGGATTCAAAACAGGCGACGCTGCAGCGGATACGTCCATTTGAGAAGCGACCTACGAGCCGGCAGAGGATGACCGCTCGTGGAAACGCCTCCTTCGCCATACCTTTTAATTCCGCCCGCCTACAATGGCCCAACCACCTGAGTCGGAGCCATTGGTCGTCTCTTTGTGGGCCAGATCTTTGATCGTACGTTTGAGACCTACCCAGAAATGATTTGTACATTTACATGTCTTGGACCGCCAGCTAACCCTCTACGCTTCCCCTTAGTCAGGCTCAGTTGCTGGCCTCACCGTTGATTGCTCATTGTACCCTTTGGATACCATCAAAACACGCCTCCAGAAAGCCAGGAGCCATGTACCATTCGCTCCTGCGCCTAGTCTATCCTTGAAACAAACCATCCGAGGGATCTATGCCGGTCTCCCTTCCGTCCTTTTCGGCTCGGCACCGTCCGCAGCGTCCTTCTTCATTGTTTACGATGGCGTGAAACGCTCTCTTCTGCCGTCCTCGAGCTCAGAGACTCCATCACGAACACACCTGATCCTCACGCATTCGCTCGCTTCTTCGATGGGAGAGATGGCTGCCTGTGCCGTTCGGGTACCTACGGAAGTAGTTAAGCAGCGGGCACAGGCGGGTCTCTTTGGCGGCTCCAGCCTGCTCGCTCTAAAAGACATTCTTGCCCTGCGCCATCCGGACGCCACCGGTGGTACGAAGCGAGGCTACGGACAGGTGGTGCGGGAGTTATACCGCGGCGCAGGCATTACCATCGCGCGAGAGATCCCGTTCACAGTGCTACAGTTCACCATGTGGGAGTCGATGAAGGAGGAGTATGCCAAAAGCATGCAGCGTGAGAGTTCCGACCCATCTGGAGGAGGCCAGGTCCCGGCCTCCACGAGTGCCATGTTCGGTAGTGTTGCCGGGGCCATCGCAGCGGGACTTACCACGCCGCTGGACGTCATCAAGACGCGGGTGATGTTGGCTCGACGAGGTGAAAAAGGTGCCCGTGTGCGCATCAGGGATGTGGTGCAGGATGTCACCAAGGAAGGGTTGGGGGCTTTTTGGAGAGGCATTGGGCCGCGCGTGGCCTGGATTGGCATTGGGGGTGCAGTGTTCCTGGGCAGTTATCAGTGGGCGTGGAATACCCTGGAACGGAAGGGTCAGTCGGAACGGTAAAGAAGAATTTATAAATAATCTCTCTGGTTATGTTATAGAATTGTATCATATAGATTATATACAGTCGGTCAGACAGCCAGCAACCTTTCCAGAGTATCGACTTCAGGCCCTCTGAATGAGGGTGTAGATGGTGGGATACAACCACAAAGTATCAGACAATGTTTATAGGTATGATATCAACCATCGAGGCCATACTTTGTAGGAACCACGAGAAGCAATAGAGACAGAAAGAAAGCCCCTGCGATGGATCTGGAACCGTGCCTGGCGTGGCGCGATGCTAGCCACCATTATCTGCTCCTTTAGTCTCGGTCTCCCCCTCTCGCTTCCTTCTCTCTCTTACTCCCGAGCCTCTCGTTCCCCTTTCTCTCCTTATCCTTTCGTTTCTCCCCACTTGCTTCTTTTTGACTGGAGTCGTCTCCGTCCATCGTATATATACTGACTCATCTCCGCGTTTCTCGCTTCTCGGCCTGCCTGAGGAATGCGGTCTCCGAGCCTCCGCATTATCCTCCGCACTTCCGCCTCGTCCACAGTTTTCGGAGCCGTCACCACGCGGCATGGCTAGGAGACTAAGTCATCAGAGGGTCACCTACGGTACGTGTCGCGTAGTCTATTGCTGCGAGATCAATTTTCAGCTGTTCCTCCCCCTTCACAGCTCACCTGCGGATCTTCTACTGACGGTTGCCTGTTCGTTTTCGCAGTCCTCCCTTTGCCTGATGCTCCAGGCGGCCATCGACTGGGGGTCAATGGTTTGACCATTGACTCTGATAACTCGATCCTGTGAGTCTCCAGCGTCTCCTTTCGACGTCGTTGCTGGTGTGGACGACGTGTATACGTCGGCCTCAAGCGACCAGTCCGGCGCACCCCCATCGCCTACCACGTCGCAGTCAAGTCCTCCGATCTCTGACCATAGTTTCCGGAACAGGTATTCTGCTGGTCGTGATGGTGTTGTTTGCTCGTGGGATCTCAATTTGTCCCTTTCGAACCCCTCGTGGCCCTTGGCGGACTCTAAACCGCCGCCGACAACGTTCCGCAACCAAGTCCAAGCGCACAGCCACTGGATCAACGACATCGTCCTGACGCAGAACAATTCTGCTTTGGTCTCCGCCTCCTCCGATACCACGGTGAGATTGTGGCGACCGCACTCCGACTCTACAGAAGTGCCGGATCCCATTGGCAAACATGCCGATTACGTGAAAGCCTTAGCTACGCCCGGAAGCCATTCAAGTTGGGTGGCCTCGGGTGGCCTGGATCATAAGGTTTGCTTGTGGGATCTGAACGGCGGCGGTGATATATTGAATATTGATGTCTGCGGCGAGGATCGCACTGCAAAAGGCTCGGTCTATGCGTTAGGTGCCGTTTCTTCGGTCCTTGCGAGTGGCGGGCCTGAAAGCGTGGTCAGGGTTTGGGATCCGAAATCCGGAAAATTAATCACCAAATTTGTCGGTCATACGGATAATATTCGAGATATCCTGATTAACCGGGACGGAGATACGATCATGACGGCGTCGTCCGACGAAACAATCAAGATCTGGTCCCTGACGGCAGGAAGATGTATGCACACCCTGACGATGCACAATGACAGCGTCTGGTCGCTCTATTCAAACCATCCGCAATTATCCGTCTTCTACTCGAGCGACCGGTCCGGCCTGGTTGCCAAAACTGATACCCGGCAGTCCCCAGATATTGAGCAGGGGATTTCTATCGCAGCACTGCAAGAGCACGAGGGCGTAGTAAATGTTGTGGCTGCGGGTGATTACATCTGGACTGCGACTCCTAAGTCCAGTATTAACCGATGGAATGATATTGACACCACGGCTGAGATCGAAGCCCCTGTGCGAGAGCGCGAGGCTTCACCGGACAAAGGAAAAGAGTCTACGGTAAAACAACGGTTAACGAAGATCCCGTATGAGTCGGTCTTGCAACTCTCCAATACTTCGACACTTCCCAAATCCCGTGTCCCGGAGGGAGTGATGTCTCGATCTACTACAAATGGACAGCCGCCATCGTCGGAGTCAGACATGGAAGACGAATTGGGGCTTACGGTCCCCGTTTATTCCTTGCCGGATGACACGATAGAGGGCCAGCATGGATTGATTAAACATTTCTTTTTGAACGACCGAAGACGAACATTAACTCAGGACTCCGCCGGTGAGGTGGTCTTGTGGGATCTTCTAAAGGTAAAGGTGACAACTTGTCTATGTCTTTGGAGGTAGCGATTAACAAATAGATTGGTAGTGCGTACCGATACAATCATTTGGTAAGCGCCATATGGACGATGTCGCATCTGAGATCAACACGACTGAGAGTATTGCTCACTGGTGCACAATTGACATCCGCACTGGACGGCTCTCCGTGATATTGGAACCAGGTCGTTGTTTCGATGCCGAAGTCTACGCAGATGAAGCGGATCTGCCGGAGTACAGCCAGATCCGTGAGGATCAAAGGAGTATGTTAACCCACTTATTCTGACTTTTTTCCCCCGCCCCTCCTGACCATCGCGTAGTCAACCTGGGGAAGTGGATCCTGCGGTGGCTTTTTGCCCCATTGGTGGAAGAGGAGATCCAACGAGACACTCAGTATCGTGCAACCGCAATAGCAAAAGCAGAAGAGCTTGCTAAACAGAGCATGTCGAATACAACTGCGCCGATGGACATTCCGTCCATAGAAGGCTCTAGAAGCTTTAGCACATCACTTGATCCCTCAATATCATCATTGCGCCCTGGGTACGATATGCTGGGGAGCCCTACAATGTCCGGGTTTGGAATCGGGCTTGCCAGCAGTCCAGGGTCAATGGCAGCACCGATGTTTAATCAGAATGTTTCCCATAACAACCATTTCGGGACGTCTCCTGGAGACTTTTCCGACTATATGACGCTGCAGCAGACCGCAGAAGTTGCAAGAAACTCAATGTCAGATAAGTCTAGCGACTATCTCTCATCGCCCCGGATGCAGGGTCTGCCTCCCCTGGATACAGACAAAGCGTTGCCAACATCCGGGGAGCCAACACCAACAGCCCTTCCTCAATCGCCATTAGAGCCTGATAAGGAGGAACGCAAGAGAGGAGGCTCTCTGTTTAGCAAAAAGTTCCGAATGGATTTCCCAAAGAAACTGGGTAGGACTTCATCAGAGGTCAAGCCGCAGATCCAAGAGGAGAAGGTGGAAGAGTCCGATAAGTCGTCGGTTAAAGAAGAGAAGGTGTTTGAAAGCAACCTCGGTGGCTTTATTGAGCGCACTCATCATGAATACGAAGAGTCGCTTGCTGCAAATGCTTCACAGGAGGTGCCTTCAGCCTTTACGCCGAGTCAGGAGAGCGAAACACCCCTATTAGCCATTCCTCCTCACACAGCGATATTCATCCAAGAAGAATCCGGTGAATCCGCTGTGGCGTCAGACTTGTATCGCGGCAGTGTAGGCCGAATCAGCCAGGAGATCGACAAACTGGAGAAGTCAATACCCCTGTGGCTTGCAGAGCTGCTACTTAAGGTCAGTGGTTAAAATAAACGTTATCAACGAGTTCTATCTAACAGCTGCCATAGAACCAGGTGCCCCTGAAAGAACCGGTCAAGATAGCCTTCACTTTGAAGCCATATGATGATCTGCTGCCACCTGTAGTCAAGTCCGATGTGTGCGTACAGATAACATGCATTTCCCATGTCGAGAGACTAACACGTATTTCCTCCAGAGATGCCGCCAATGGCAATGCGAACAACAATTCTCGTCTGAATGCCAACCGCATGCTCCGAGCGAAGAAGATCCTCGCCTACATTGCGGAACGAATCGACCCGCCTAGTACCGACGAACCGGAAAAAGACGTGATGAAGCCAGAAGAGTACCTAGAGCTGTACTGCCAAAGGACGGTCCGTACCTTAACCACTCTTCCTTTGCTCATGCCACATACTGACGTAGATTATTTAGCTACTGCCTCTGAACATGACACTTGCAACCATGCGCGCACATATCTGGCGATCGTCGGGTGATATGGTCCTTTACTACAAGGCTAATGGGAAGAAGGAGATCCGGGTGCCTGACGAGGGCAAAGAAGGCGATCAGAACCTTCAGCCTCTTGAATCTTGGCCAAGCGCACAACGGCTTGCTGAACCCAGCAGAGTGGCCAACGGGGAAGGTGGAAATGCGCCCCCAGGGAGTATCCATTCTCTGACAGCTTCAGGGTCTGCATCAGCCATCAGCAATTCTTGATGGCGCATGTGCCGAGGAGACATTTTACGTTCTTTGTGACATTATTATCATTTTTCCATGGAAATATGGCGGTGGTGTGCTGTATGAGACCTAGTGCAGACATCCATGTAACCCACCTTTTTCTTTCTGTCTTTCTGTGTATATTGAGCGATCACATTCAGATTCCAATAAGTGCGTACTCCGTAACTAGCAGTAGTCGTCTTTCTGCCTGAGCGTCCAGGTGTCGATGCCAAGAGATCATGCCTGTACGGGATGGCATCACTATCTTTGTCTCCGATCAGTGGTTTCTTTTCTCGATTCTGCATCATTCTGTCACTTCATCCATTTACAATCCATGGCAGGGTCATGTCTCCTGCCCTCCAGCCCCAAATCCATCACTGTCCCCCAACTCCTAGAGAATTTTCGGCGAGCATGGTTCGAATTCCGAGTGCTACGGGCCAAGCGGAACCAGGAGGCGAGTCTCCCAAGGCGAATAGGTATGTAGGCTGTTCTATTTGTCTCTTGTATTTCTTTCGTATTCCTAAAGTATCGATAGGTCTGGCAGTTAGTGGGGGGGCCGATTCTATGGCTCTAGCCTACTTATGTCGACAATGGGAGAAGGATCAACTCTGTCATGGCCACGATATAGCCGTCACTGCATTTGTGGTCGACCACAAAGCGCGAGAAGAAAGCGCGCAAGAAGCCGCCATGGTGAGCCGATGGCTCACTGAACTAGGTATTTCCTTGATATGTCGATATGTCCGGCGGCTCCATCGTCTGCTAATCGAGACGATAGGTATCAAGACGCAGATTCTGGAGCTCTTATGGCCACAAGGCGCTCAAACGCCATCCCAAGTGTCCGCTTTCGAGACCCATGCGCGCCGATTGAGATTCCAAGCTCTCGGCAGGGCATGTAGAGACCATCGCATTGAGGCCTTACTGATGGGCCACCATCGCGATGACAACGTCGAGACTACGCTTTGGCGGCTCTCCTCCGGTGCCAGAGGAGCTGGTTTAGCTGGGATTCCTCCAGTGGCGCGTATTCCTGAGTGCCATGGTATATATGGTGTGTCTGAGAGCGGGTCAGCGGTTGTTCTACAGCCTAGACAAGACGTATCCTCTACAGGCTGGTGTAGCACGCCCGAGCAGACCTCTCGTGCCACTGATGACAGCCACAAGACAACAACACCACACCCGAAGATTTACATGTCTACTGGCGGGATTCTGATCTGTCGTCCACTGCTTTCATTCCCTAAAGCCAATCTACTCGCCACCTGTCATGAGAATCAAGTCCCTTACGTCTCAGACCCAACCAACTTCGATGCCACTCTCACCGCCCGAAACGCCATTCGGAGTCTCCTCTCTTCCAATCGACTCCCACGAGCTCTACAACCCCCATCTATCTTATCTCTGGTCAGAAACAGCCAGGTTCTCCTCCAAGAAACCACCGATCTCTCAAATCAACTCTTACAGCAGTGCAAGATCCTAGACATAAACCTAACCACATGCACACTCATTCTCAAATTCCCCCACCCCTTATCAACCCCAACATCAACATCATCTTCGACGAACCCTCAATCTCACTCAACCGCCAGGCACCACAAAACCCATCAAATCCAAACACTGACTCTCCGACGTATCACTGAACTCATCTCACCATTCCCTGAAAACCACTTCCCCCTACGCAGTTTCGAGCATTTCACATCCCGCGTCTTCCCGGCCCCCTCCACCCGGAATCCCATCACCACCATCAGCACTCGACAAACATTCACCCTCGGAGGCGTCATGTTCCAACCTCTTGATCGAAACCCTACTCAGTTGACCCAAGGTGATTCTACCATCGCCGACGGCTATCAATCTCATCATCACAACAATGAAAATGATAGCGATAATAATCATAATCAGAATTACAATTATAATGGTCATGGTAATATTTGGCTACTCTCCCGCCAACCATTCATCCGAAACCGTCTTCCGACACTACATTTCGACGTTCACGTTCACGTTCCAAAGCAGCATCCGACGCTCGCTACCTCGCCAAGTCAAAGCGAGATCCAGACTCAATGTCCATCGACAGACCCAAAGTACACACCCTGGCGTCTCTGGGATGAGCGATACTGGTTTCGGTTTTCCGTCATCTTGGGGAGTACGGATTCTCTACAGGATTATCCAGGGTATGAAAATATCATTGATACTATTTCTGGGATGGAAAAGATACCTTTGGTAGTGCGAGGGTTTCAGAAGTCTGATCTGGCGTTCATCCGGCAGATTGCCAATGAACGACCCCGATACCGATCCCGACACGGGAATATGTCAAGAAGGGCTAATAAAGATCCTGAGTTGGATTTACTGACGCAACGGCTGTCTAGGGAAGCTCCTGGGCAGACTCGATTCACCCTTCCTTTAGTTTCGATCACAGAAGGGTTTCGAGATCTTGATCGCGACTTGCCGTTGGCCTTACCAACAATGAATATGTGGCTTCCTGGAATGCATGATTTCCTGCGTACTCTCGGTCCGTGGAGGATACAGTGGGAATGGATGTATAAGATGGTTGATACTGAGCCTCTGAAATTGATGGGTGGGTTGGAAGCCCCCTAAGCTATTTTACACATAGGTGAAATGTAGTAAAGGTAAATGTGACACAATGAAGGGATGTGTTAGAAAAAATAATGGAAGAATAAACAATAGGCATGCTATTCCAGTGCAAGTGGATGTGTTCAAAATCAGCCCAACTGAACCCCGTTGGATGCATTCAGAAAGCCAGGGAAAATCTTTGCAATGTGGTACAAAATGAAGAAGAAATAAAGAAAGAATAACAACATAGTAAGCAGGGAGAAAAAACATTATGATACGAAAAAGACAGAGATGGGTATTCTCCAAGAGAAACCGCTATCATTCACCAGGCTGCACGAAAAAAAAAAAAAAAAAAAAAAAACTATCAAAAGAGGCAGAAAGAAACCAGCCAAGGAAATAAAGTGTCACTTTTCCTCGGCTATACGCGTGTATTCATGTCAAATCCAAGAATTAATTCTTGGCTAATCAAAGGAAAAGCAAAAGAAGGATAAGTCGAAGCCTCATTCACTCGCCTTCAATAAGGCAACTGCTGCTTGCTGCGCCCGTAATCCAGCAACTTCTCGCTTCAGTCGGAAGTTTTCCTTCTTCAGTCGTCCGATTTCGTCTAATGCCGAGGACAACTGGGACTTCAAGGCTTCTTCAGCATTCCCTGATCGAGCGTCTTTTGCTATCTTGCTCAGCTCCGAGTTAAACCGATCATACAGCGCCTCGTTCTCCGCGCTAGCTTCCCGGTATAACTCGTCAAGCTTTTTCGCCCGCTTCTCGCTAACTACGAGGGATGACTCTAGATCTTTCTCTATAGAAGAAGTCCGGCCATTGAACTCCCCAGAGAGCCATTCAAATTTCGTCTCGAGCTCGTGAACACGAGACAGAAGAGCTGCGCTTGCATCTGGCGAGAATGGTTCGCCCAACGAGATATTGCTGTGCTCTGCCTTATGCCCGATTTTCATTGCTCGTAATTCGTCTCCGATCAACTCCAATTCGTCCTTTAGACCCAGCTGCGCCGTGGCCTGAGTCCTCCTTTCGTTTTGCAACCGATCTCGAAGCTATTCGATAGTTAGAAAAAGAAAATGTCTCTCCGCAGGGTAGACATGGTAGACCTACCTTCTGTGGGCTTTGCATTCGTAGTTTTTGCGGCTTCTGGGGAGACGATGACGAATGGGAGCACCTCCCATCCGAGCCATTCACTGGGACCGGCCGCTCTTTCAATCCAGGATTTCTGGAGGACGGAATGCTGGTGGCTCGCAACCGTCTCTTGCCGTCTTGCGTGGGTGAGATGGAACCCTCCCCCTTCTTTCGTGGAGATCTTTCCACCTGGGATATCTTGGGATCGATGTTCTCTTTCCGACTGGGGGTAACGGGACGCGTCGGCGATCGTCGGCTTGGTGAAGTCATCCGGATAGGGGAGCAGCTTTTGGCGGGAGATGTGCTTCGGACCGTAGACCCGGAGCCATGGCTTGTCTGTGGCCGTTCCAACTCCGTCGGTGTCGTCTTTTCATGCGGGGCACGGTTTGTGGAGGATATTGGAGTTGCAGGACTTTGCTCCTGTTGTGGGGAGATGCCAGAAGTATCTGTAGACGCCGTGCCAGGTCGCAGATCTGACAATGAGCTCCTTCTCTTTCTACGCACCCTCACCACGCCATTTGTTGATAATTCTCGGATCGATGACAATGACGTGGTCTCTGCCTGAGAGCTGCCGGGGCGTCGGATGTTTTCATGCGAGGTGGATGAACCGGGGCGATCGCGCGAGCCAGGGCGTAGCAACTGAGCAAGACTAGCGTCTATATCTATCGACTTTGAACGCAGTAGTGACCCCTTCGGCGTGCCAGGTTCCGAGTCGCCAACGCCTTTGCTTTTGCTCAAGGTTCGTAGGATCGACGAGACTTTGCTCTCTCCTTCCGATTTTGAATTATCCCTATGCAGGCTGAAGCCGAAACGCTTGCGGAATGAGGAAGCGTTGGAGCCAATAGACCCAGCTGTACGCGAAATGGACTGTGTCTGATCGTAGTTCAAGGCTCCCTCTACCGAAGCACCGCCGGGGATAAAGTCATCAAATAGGTTATCAAAATCATCAACGAGACGATCCAGGAGGGAAATATGTTGCATTGGGTCCCCTTCCACCGTCAGAACCTCTGCAAATGCCGCAGTCAAAGCACCCCGGTCGCCATCGTTCCCAGAGGCGTCGAGCAACTCGGCAAGTAACCGTACCAGGGAAGCTAGCGCACGGCGGTTTTGGGGGCTTATGTCTGCAAGAAATTTCCGGAAGTTTTCGTCGAAATCTCGGGGAAACATAGTGTCGAAATGACTCTGAAGTAACTTCATTGATGATGAATCCAAAACCGGCCCCATGTGCTCTCGCCACGCGTTCGCCATGAACGTCTCAAAAGCCACGAAAAGTGTGTCAACAGGCGCCTCAGCCGCCATCTGTATCCTTCCGGGGTCCTCCAGCAGGACGTTATAAAGCTCGTTGACAGAAGAGCGATCCACATTGTCCCTCGCACGGAGGGTGCGCCCCACGATGTTTCCACTGCGAGACTGTAGGGCCAGAACATAAGCCGAAAAAGCCTGTTCCAGGACGCTAAAGGGGCTGTCCAGCTCCTTTGAGGAGGTCCCGCTAACCATGGAGATTTTGCTCGAAGTCTCTTCTTTTTTGTCTTCCTTCCCTGAGAACGCAGAAGGCATGGTGTTGGAACGCGAGAGGTTAGTACGTGGCGGTGGCATCTTGGGAAATTCGCCCAGTAACGTTGCAGAGGTGGGCGCTTTGGAATTCAGAGTGTTCGTATCTTTCGAACCCAAAAGGCTTGAGAGTAGCTTGGTGGGTGAGGGAGGGCGAAACCCACGGGGCGACTTCAGCTGCGACGTAAGATAGCCAGTCAGGTAGCGAAGTATTTCGAAGTTGGAGTGGACGATCGATTCCGTCATGGTCCGGTTTTGAGGGCCATGCAGCGGTAAAAGCACATTGAGGACTACAGTCGTCAGCGTTAAGAGCCGGCGCGCATACTCGTCGGTTGTTCAGGTGTGCGAGGGTACTTACGGCGTTTGGAGAGCACAGGCACGAAGCTATCGACAGTCACGATATCCGAGGCTGGTGTGCCAGCTATTGAGTCTATATCCACTCGAAATTGGTCTTCACCCGACAGCGATACCCCAACAATCACCTCCAGGTCCGAAGAATCCAACATATTTCTGCAGGCGGCCCTTGGTGTGTCAAACACGATCCTAATCTTAGACAACCCGGTTCGATTCATCAGCGACCCTTGACCATCTGCACTCTTCTCGTCCTCGAACACACATGCTAAGATTCCGAGGTTTCCCACGGTACCCGTGGGACTACGGAGGGTCCATTTGCTATTTTCCCGCTCTGACTCGGAGAAGCGACCTGCAATCTTTGCCTTCACAATATCTTCAATGACACGAACGGCGCGGCCCTCGTATATCGAAGCCAGCTCCAACGCGAGGAGGTCCACGGTGGTATTTTGATTCGGCGCCGATTTGGCCGACGTTGGGGCAAGGAACAGGATTCGGCCACAGGTAGATTGCATACAACGCACAGAGTGGAGGTCATATACCTGCACCACTCGAATTTCATTAGCGGGCAGCGAACCAGGGGAGCCGTTGGGCGCTGACGCAGCACTGTCCAGATCTGCTAGCAAGCCTCGCGCCATGATTTTACTCCCAGCAGCTTTTGCAAGCAACACCAGGCAATTTTTGTAGATAAACATAATACCCACGCTCGGTTCCGAGGATGGAGGATCGAGATGATAGGGTGGTGACAACTCGTTGAAGTCAACCGCTGTGATCAAGCGGCCAGTGGGCAAGATGGTTGACGGCCAACCGTCCACCAACTCTTTTAGTCGACGAAAGCTCCGATCATGGTTCGTTGAAGACGAATCGTCCAGAGCACATATATCGTTTATGACGTCCCGTGCTTTTAGGAATGGTCGGATTGCCGGATGAACCAAAGGGAGACTCTTCATCATGGTATCAATCAATAGACTATACCTAGGGAGTCGCTGAACAGGCTCCATGAGCAACGATCGTAGCATCTGCTCTCCGGTGTCATGCACGCGCTTGGAGAAGCTGGATTGCTTGTCTGTCATGAAAGAGTTCAACACATGTGTGAAGCTGTTGTGGGCATTCATGTAATCCGCGTAGGGTCCCGAAAATCGCGGGAACCACTCGAGAAGGGCATTTGCCAACATCACCGCCCCAACCGGATCATCTGTCTCCTCCTTTGACGGGGTGCGCTGTGACATGGACGAGGACAGTTCCGTATCTCGGGTCATGTCTTCAATCGCATCTTTCTCGGTTTCCTCGAGAACATGACGTATTACCTCCAAAAAGCCCATGTTGACCTCAAGGATCTCGTTCAGACATGAAGGGAAGAGCTTGGCCAGGTCTGACTCGGTGGGACTCGTACTAGAGGTTCCTCTACCTTGAGCCTTGAGGCGGAATTCCTCCGCCACGTTGCGCACCAGGGTATAGAGTTTGTTCACATATCTCTCTTCTGTATCCACAAACTCACACATGGTCAGGCGAAAAGCCTGCTTCTGACTCGTCGAGAAAACTCGAGATCGGTTCACTTTGGTAGGTTGGGACGGAGCTCTTTTCAATCGTGATGTTGGCAAAAACATGGGCTTCCCCAGCGCATGAATGAGGGCCGAATATTGCCCGTACTGGATATCAAGGCTGTCCTCCATGTCGGCTAGGTCATCCAAATCATCGCCACTAGGCCGCTGGGGTGGCTGAATGGTCCCTGGCGGAAACATGACGTCGACATCGACCCAGGGGACTTTGCGCTCCTGAAAGGCTCCACGGATGTCGCGCACGATGTCAGTTGTCTGGTCCACTTTGGTCATGCGATTCGCGAGGTCGGCGGCATGCATTTCGTCGAACAACTTTGGGATCTGTGCCCCAGACCTTCCTGTGCGAGCGACAACCTGCAAGCATTCCTTTGCGGGGTCGGAGAGCTGGGCGAAATACTTCAACATCCCGACGGCTAGACCGCGACTTACCTCGTCGCCCTGTTTGTCGCGGGGTAGGTGATTGACGGCAGCATACAACGGAGCGGCGGGGGAGATCGTGATACGCGGGAAGCTCTGAAAGCCTGCGGGGGTCAAGATATGCGCCTGAATGCGCGAGCTGCTGACGGTGGCATTGGCAGTTGCGACGGGACCATAGAAGACGAAGACGGAGGACAGGAACGGATCGGAGGCATGATAGAGGGCGAGCTGTTCCAGCGGCAGGTCTGACGGGGCGCTTGTCACGGTCGCCATCGTGGCGGAAAGAGAAGGAGCGAAGCTGGCGCGCAATGAGGGAAGGAAGGTCAACCAACCAAGAATAACACCCAATGTATGGAGATTATAAAAAAAAAGAAAAGCCAGCTAGATCGACAAAATATATGAAAATAAGCACATTCAACAAACACTCAATAAATGAAGGCGTCGTAAACCAAAATGAAAAATTGCCCGTCGGCGTCCAACAGAAGCAATGAAGGAGGGCGTTTCACAGACAAGACCGATCCGATCCGACTCTAGAAAGAGACACTAGGAAAAGACTGCGGCGAAGGCATAATAATCATCGGAATCAGGATACTAAGGATCGAGGCGCCGAGGAAGAGCGACCTAGCGAAAGACAGTCCTCATGCAGTCGACGGAGGAAGAGAAAGGGTTCCCCTCCATGGATGGGGATGAGACGCGTTTTGTTCCCTGGGGACAACCCGGGGAGGGGGAAGGAAGAGTAAAATCACTGGGACATGAGTGATGGACTGTTGATGTATGGATGGGATGGGAAGGATAAATTGGATGGAGGAAGAGGGGGTGGAGACCAGGTGGTTGTTGTGGTGAGGGACGAAGAAGGATGGATGACTGCCGATGATTTGCATCCAGTCGAGTTGTTAGCGACAGGAAGCCCATGCATAAAGACGAGGGGGCAACGAAGTGGGGGACTCTTGGATTTCAGTTCTATGGAATATGGATAAACAAATACTACTTCCAGCCAGCCATTTAAGAGACACGTGTGGACTCTCGGAGATTAAGACAGAATCATCATCGTGGAAATCCAGAATCCAAAAATCCAGAATCCGAACTGGTGGAGATGTAGACATGGAGAGATCCATAGACCCGGTACTTCCTCCCGAAGTAACTGACGCGGGACCTTCCCAAGCAACTGTACTCCGTCCGTGTACCTGCTAATACTACTACCACTACACTATATCGAAAACACCGAACTGAACCATGGATGAGAGATGGAGATCCCGATCTAGAACCAGCAAAAATAAAGACTACTCTACTCGATCCATTAGCGGAGAAATGTTTCATCCAAGGGATTCATTCATTCATTCATGTCTTTCTTTCCTTTCCCCCTGCAGCACCCGATCGACGGATGCGTAGAGGATCTTGTGTTCGATTCAGATAGAATTTTCATTTAGAACTATAGAATAGAATACATTATCTAGACTATACATATAAACTCCCGACGAAACAACATCAGTATTTCTCCAACCCTACATCTATAGAGCTGATATCCCTTGCTTCTCGGATGTTACTCGAGTTACTGCCAATGTCCCAGCCAAGTACCTTCCTGGCGTGATTATTGCGAGGAGGTACCTGGAGGTACATACATACATACCTCAGGCCCATTAGTGTGTGCCGCCCTGGAGGCGGTAGGCGGAAGGGCCGGTTAATTACCTTATAAGTTAAAGGACGAGAAACAGGCTGAGTCAGCGCATCTGCAGACAAACATTTCAAACGGATGGACTAAACCGCATTGGGCCAGCAGACAGCTGTTTGTTCCTCTCCATCCCGGTCTCTTTCTCTCTCTGCGTGCCTCTCTTTCCCACTTCTCTCGCTCTCCTTCTCTCTATTGCTCTATTTCTCACTCGAGAAGGGTCATGATCTGAAGATTGCTCTGCTGTCGGGCAATTTCACATCCCCTTTATCCCTCCCCCTCTCCCAATTCCCTTCTCCGCCATGTCGTCCACCTCCCTTCCGATTGCGGTCGATCCGGTCGCTTTAGTGACTACAGAATGCATCACCGTCACCTCCGCTATGCGCAAACATGCCCGCTGGGCTCATTCCTCCGTCTCGGCCATCCTAGGTGGAAGTACAGTCTCCCGGATTTACGACCGTGATACCTCCGCCCCTCCGAGTCCCCGTGAGAGCGCCTTAACTACACCTCGACCCGGATCCAGATCCCTCGCTGTCGATGACGATCATGTCCTGGCCAATCGATGGGGGTTGAGGGGGAAGAAAGGCAAGAGCATGCAGGACAACCCTCTAATCTCTGCCTTCACGCGACTGCGGAGCGATCTCAAGGGCTGCAAAGACATCCGGACCTTTGATGCTCCCGCTCTACTCCATCCGTTCCTTCAGGTCATTCGCTCCTCCTCGACCTCCGCCGCCATCACCTCACTCGCCTTGGTGGCCTTGACGAAATTCTTCGCCTACAACATCATCGGCCAGGGCTCCCCGCGACTATCCATGGCCATGCAGCTCTTATCCGCCGCCATCACCCACTGTCGCTTCGAAGCCAGTGACTCGGCAGCAGATGAAATCGTCCTGCTGAGGATTCTCAAGTTGATGGAAGGCATGCTGTCAGGACCAGAGGGTGAATTGCTAGGTGACGAGAGTGTTTGCGAAATGATGGAAACCGGGTTAAGCATGTGCTGCCAGGTCCGTCTCTCGGAGGTTCTGCGCAGGTCTGCGGAAATGGCCATGGTCAACATGTGCCAGGTGATTTTTATGCGACTATCACATCTGGATATCTCAGAGCTATCGGAGGAGGAGCCGGCGCTCTCGAATGCAGGCGAAGCCCAACCGACCAATTTCAAGATGGACCCTTCTGTCGACGGAGATACCGTTACCTCGCAGCATCCGTCCGCCATGGGTTCGGATACGGCCGTTCCGGATCGCGACTCTAACAGTAGGGATGAGACCCCTGAGCAAACCCCCAGCGGCAACGCTGTCGCCGCTCCTCCCAACCCGCAGGACGACGTTGGGGACGACGTTGCTCCCTACTCTTTGCCTTCCATCCGAGAACTCTTTCGGGTGCTGATTGATCTGCTGGACCCCCACAACCGGCAACATACCGACCCCATGAGGGTCATGGCGTTGAGGATCATCGACGTCGCTTTGGAAGTGGCAGGTCCAACGGTGGCTAGGCATCCTAGTTTAACAGCGTTGGCCCAAAACGACCTCTGTCGCCACTTGTTCCAGCTGGTCCGATCGGAAAATATGGCCATCCTGACTGGGTCCCTTCGAGTCGCCGGGACCTTGTTGCTGACGTGCCGTTCTGTCTTGAAGCTCCAGCAAGAGCTTTATCTGTCCTATCTGGTCGCTTGTCTTCACCCACGGGTAGAGATACCCAAGGAAGCCGGTATCAATCCGGCCCTTTACGACGGGGTGCCACAGGTGCCCAAATTAGTGAAACCCTCGCCTTCGCAGTCCAGCAGCGGTAGATCGACACCGGTTCCCGTGAAAGATCGGCAAAAATTGGGACTGGAAGGGGGCTCGCGGAAGCCGGAGACGAGGGAAGCCATGGTCGAAAGCATTGGTGTGCTGGCCCGGATCCCAAGCTTCATGGTGGAGCTGTTCATCAACTACGACTGCGAGGTGGATCGGGCGGACCTTTGCGAGGACCTGATCGGCCTTCTCTCCCGCAGTGCGTTCCCAGATTCAGCCACGTGGAGCACGACCAATGTGCCGCCACTGTGCTTAGACGCCCTGTTGGGTTACGTTCAGTTTGTGTACGACAGGCTGGAGGATGAACCCGTGGAGGAGGGATTCCCTTCGCGGGAGCATTTGAGGAGCCAGCGCAAAACGAAGAAACTCATCATCACCGGCGCGCAAAAATTCAACGAGGATCCCAAGGCCGGAATCGCCTACTTGACCGCCCACGGTATCATTGAGAACGCGGACGACCCCGTTCTGGTCGCGAGATTCCTCAAGGGAACGACTCGGCTGTCGAAGAAGGTTTTGGGCGAGTACATTTCCAAACGATCTAACGAAACCCTTCTCGAGGCCTTCGTTGATCTCTTTGACTTTTCAGGAAAGACTGTCGTCGATGCCCTTCGAGATCTCCTCGGTGCCTTCCGTTTGCCTGGCGAATCCCCTCTTATCGAACGTATCGTCACAACGTTCACCGACAAGTTCATTGAGAAAGCGCACCCTCCGGGTGTTGCTGATAAGGATGCCCTGTTCGTATTGACATACGGTATCATCATGTTGAATACGGAACTGTACAACCAGAACATTAAATCGCAAAATCGCATGTCTTGTAACGATTTCTCACGGAATCTGCGTGGCGTCAACGCAGGGCAGGATTTCGCACCGGAGTTCCTACAAGAGATCTATGATTCTATCAAACAGAACGAGATTATCTTGCCCGATGAGCACGACAACAAGCACGCGTTTGATTTCGCCTGGCGGGAACTCTTGTTGAAATCCAGCTCGGCCGGAGAGCTGGTGGTGGGCGAGAGTAACATCTATGACGCGGAGATGTTTGAAGCCACTTGGAAACCAGTGATAGCAACCCTCTCATATGTCTTCATGTCTGCCTCGGACGATGCCGTATACTCTCGAGTGGTCCTGGGATTCGACCAGTGCGCTCAGATCGCTGCACGATATGGGTTAACTGAAGCCTTTGACCGCATACTTTTTTGTCTTGCTTCCATTAGCACGCTGGCCACGGATAAACCCCCAAGCACCTCCCTCAACACCGAAGTCCAGGCTGGGAAGAAAAGCGTGATGGTTAGCGAGCTTGCAGTGAAATTTGGCAGGGACTTTCGGGCACAATTGGCCACAGTGGTTTTGTTCCGGGTTCTGGCAGGGAATGAAGCGACGGTTCGGCGAAGCTGGGCACATATTCTCCGCATCCTCAACAACCTGTTCATCAACTCTCTCATTCCTCCCTTCGATAGCAGCCTGAACGCCGAGCTTGAAATGCCTCCTATCCCGCTACAGCTCCCGTCGCAGGTTGTGGACCGCGATGGACGTGGAAATGAAACAGGGCTCCTGTCTGCTTTCACATCTTATCTCTCCAGCTATGCAGCAGATGACCCTCCGGAGCCATCCGATGAAGAACTCGACAACACTCTGTGCACTATAGATTGTATTGCAGCCTGTTCGATCAACGATGTTCTGGCGAATATTAAGTATGTGGACTCCTAGCCCTTTGTCCCAGCGCTGGTGACTTGAAATAACCCTGTCTAGGTCTCTTCCTTTGGAATTGGTTTCAACGGTGGTAGACTCATTACTGGTGCTGTTACCCGAGGAGTCTGCACCGGCGGTCATTGTCGTGAAGTCCGAGCGACTGTCCCCTTCATCGAGGCTACCGAACGGCAAGGCCGATGCCAGGCAGTCGAATTACGATCCCGGCATGATGTACCTCTTGGAGTTGGCGACGATCATCACCCTTCGTGACGCCAAAACGCTGGAGACACTTGGCGAGCGACTCTTAACTACCTTGCAAGCCTTCATTCGGGATGCCAGAAACCTGCATTCGCTAGCCTTGTCACGAATAGTTTATTATCTATTTAATCTGCTGCGACTGAGCCATGTATGGATGATAGAAGCTTCCCCCTACAAGCCCGAGTATTACTGACCATCTGCTAGGACTACTCGTTTATGCGGGTGCCAGTTGTTCTCCACGGTATATCCGGTTTCGATCAAGATATTTTGGAAAGCGTCGCAATACCTACAGTGAAAGGACTCTCTCGCTGCGTTTCAAATGGAGGATTCCTACGCAATGAGATCACCGTTTCCCCTGATTTCTGGTCAATCTTGCAAAGACTGCACCAGCATAAGGAAGCGGGTCCTTTAGTGTTCGACCTACTTCAACACATTGTGGACTTCTCACCCCCCATTATTACCGCAGATAATTACGAGTCGGCTGTTTGCCTTGCGAACGATTTCATTAGTGCCGCTAGTGTGGGTTCCATTGACGAACGGCAGAAGGACGCGTTCATGCGGCGCTCCAAAGGTGCAAAGCAGCGCAAATCCAGGTTTGTGCACCTACCTCTTTTTTTATTTTTTTTTTTTTTTTTTGGTCTTTTATCAGAAGTTGACCGGGACGAACAGCGAGAACGAAGTTGTATACCGTGGCTTCAAGGCAATTGAACTCGTTTATCAGCTCACCGGACGGGTTCCAGCTCTGATTAAGCAGTCTCATCTTGAAGAAAATGAAGGTTTGTACTACTTGCTGTCTTTACGTGGCCAGCAGTGGATCTCGATTAACATTGTGCGAATTATCAGCCTGGTCTGCTTACTGGTCCCCGATTTTCCTTTCCTTGACCTCCCAATGCGTTAATCCTTGCCGGGACATTCGGCATCATGCTATTTCGACCCTACAGCGGTCTCTTCTTTCAGTCGAGATGAGCTCCACCGATAATAAGGAGTGGATTGCCATTTTCGACCAGGTTTTATTCCCACTCGTACTTCGCTTATTAAAACCCGAGGTGTATCATTCGGATCCACTTGGAATGAGTGAGACACGAGTTCAAGCGGCGATCTTGGTTTGCAAGATCTTCCTGCGCTATCTCGATCAACTTCCGAACCAGAATGGAATGCTTGAGCTATGGCTTAAGATTCTGGATGTCCTCGACCGGATGATCAACAGTGGTCAGGGTGACAGTCTGGTAAGTTATTATTCACTTTGATGCCAACTTGCCACACAAGTGGATGAGTACACAATGCTGACTATTCCTGCAGGAGGAGGCAATCCCGGAGAGTCTGAAGAACATCCTCTTGGTCATGGCTGATGGAGGATACTTGGTACCGCCCTCCCAGGATACCACCAAGGAATTAGTCTGGAACGAAACCAAGAAGCGTTTGGATCGATTTCTACCTGACCTTTTCAAGGAGATCTTCCCAGAGAAACCGAACGAACCATCTACCCCGAATTCCGCCGTCACATCTCCTAGCCCATCGACGCAGGAGCACACCAATGACCAGCAGTCCAGGGAGGATGGGACGGCTCCTGGTACTCCTGAGGATGCAAAAAACACCAACGAGCAACAGGGTGATGATCCCTGATTAGACTCGTATCCCATCTGTTTCTCCCCATTACATCAGGCATCTATAGCGTGAGTAGTTTGTATGTGCAACTCCATGTAAATATAATTTGTTTTTGATGGCATGCAGAACGCGAAAGGACGGATGCCAATTTATCCGTCTTTTTTTTATTCGTTTGGCTTTTGTTTTAAAGATTCAAGGTATATTTGCAGATGTGTCTTGTGTGAGTCAACATAGCGTTTGGTCCTTTTTTCAGTTTATTTTTTCTTCTATTTTTGTTCTTGAGGGAGCATTCATTGATCATGATACACCTTCAAACACATTGCATACATACAATATTTGACTGACTAGGGACTCTCCCTCAATGTTCGAATATATTCCGTTACAAATGTAATCTGTACTGTTGTAGACTTCATAGCATGACTGACTGGGACTTAGTTGTATAAATCGAGAATGAATCAAATGTTCATTTATACAGAACTCCAAAGGTATCACACAGATCACCAAGACCACATTGACTGGTTGAGAATCACGCAACAAATGGAGCTGTGAAAAAAAAAAAAAAAAAAAAAAAAAAAAAAAAAAAAAAAAAAAAAAACCAACAGGTGGTACAGTACAGGACTCGTCTAACCATCTCACGGAGCCATCAGTTGAGGAGACTCAGCAAAAACAGGAAATTTGAATGAGAACTGGCAGGAAGGTGGCCTGATATGTATTACAAGTAATGGGAGAGGTAAAAAAAAAAAAAAAAAGGAATGTGACATTCACACGCAACTATCCAACAGCAGAGAGCAAAGTGCAGACAATCGATGGAGGGGAGGCAAAGGGGAAAGGGAAAGAGCAGAAAGAGTGATCGTGTTTTCTTCTATTCAGCATCCATGTCATCATCAAGGTCAATAGCATCTGGGTTGACCGGGGCAGCGGGTTGCTGTTTCTCTGGGGGCGGATGGTTCCCACCTTCGGGCCCTGTACTGGCGGCGACGAAACCCACTGGAGCACGTGCCTGCCGCTCCAGAGCTGCCATGGCATCCGCACGCTCTGATGCACCATCGATATATTCCTGCTGGCCTTCGCTGTCTTTGCCGCCGTCCTGGGTCCGCTGTTGGCTGCGGGCAATCGCTTGGGAAGCGATAAAGTTGACGTCCGTGCTGTTGTGCAAGAGTTAGCTTTCGTCCTTTTGGTTTTGTCCTTTGGAGGGGAATTGACATACTTGTATTGTGCTTGAACGCTGCGCTTGATACGAAGCATCTCTTTGAAGGTGTCTTCGTTTCCGTGCTGGACTTCGAATGCTTCCCATTTCTGCCAGAACACTGCATTGGTCCGAGGGTCGCAGAATTGAGAGGCGTGGCCGTAAATCGCACGAGCTCGGTCGATTTCTCCCAGTCTCCTTTCCATCTCGGCGAACTTGAGACACATTTCCTTGGCCTCCTGGTCGGGAAGAGCGGCGATAGCACGCTCGTAGATAGGTCGGGTCGATGTTAACCCGAAGTTCGAGGCTGACTTCGTGATATAGAACTCAAACATCTCAAACCGGTCCTCATCCGATACCGCCCTGGTCGCGCGCTCGTAAATTCTCATTGCATGCCGGGCCAATCCACGTTCCTCTTCCAGGTTACCATACATCAGATAGAGTGGCTTCGCGAACTTTGGGGGGCATCCATCTAGCGCCTGTTCGAAAAGATCTCGAAGCCTCTCAATGCCAATCTTGCGGTCCACAGCTTTGGTCAGATAAAGGTTCCAAAGTTCAAACGCAACGGGGTAACTGAAGAGATCAAGCCCTCGTTCGTAGATCTTGAAAGAGTCCTCAAAGTACTTATTCTCCTCTAAGAAGTTGGCGTAGTTGACGACTGTTTGAGGAGTGGCAATGCGTAGCTCGAATATTCTCTCGTACACGTTCTTGGTTTCTTCCAGTGAAGCCACGCTTTCCACGAGATCGATGTAGAAGCTCCACAGCTTCCAACTCTTGTGAACTCGTTGCTGAGGAGATAAAGTCTCATCGAAGTAGTCGACTGTCGACTTCTTCGGTGCTTGAGTCGCCTTGGCCATAACTTCAACTGCCTTGTCGAAATTTTCGCTGCGGAGTTCCATTTCCGCCCACTCACACCACGTCTCGGCGAGTTCAACAACTGACTTGAAAGGAACCTTAACGGCCTTCTCAAATATGACCCTAGCGGTGTCTGGATCGCCACCAGTCTCGTAGAATTTTGCATAGTTGACCCAGAGCTCAGAGAACTTGCCATGAGCCTTCTTTGGGTTTATGGCCGCAATAGCCGCCGTGTAGGTCTGGACAATCTCATGTTTATTGTCACCCCACAGAGCAACCCTTTTCTCCCACTCAATCACGTTGTTTGGATTCTGCCTCAGCAGCACGTCATTGACAAGGAACGGTCGTCGATCCATTAGTTGTTCAAATCGCATCATTCGGAGGTCGAGGTCAAAATCAGCCTCTTCGTCGGTCTGGCCGTTGTCAGCGCGAGACGCCGCGGATTCCATGAGGGTTCCGATGATCGATTCTTCAAACTCAACGTAAGAGTCGAAAATCAGCGTGAAATCTCGAACGGTCATAACGGTGACAATGCCCTCTTCAAAGACATCTCTCGCCCTCTCAAAGTTGCCCCTTGTAATCCAGTACGTTGCCAATCCGGCCCACAATTTACCCCGCTGGTCGGCAAACCGTTCGATTCCGCTGCGAAGAATTGCATCGACATCAATTTCGACTTGCGGGCCTGTTTCGATCTGCTTCGCCTTTGAGACTAACAAATCCACCATTTCGGTCCACAATTGGAAATGACTCTTTCCTTCCTTTGATTGAAAACGCGGGTTGTCAAGGATGTCCATGTATCGCTTCACAGCATCGGTGTACTGTCCCATTTCAACGAGTAGTTCGATATATTCTTCGGCATTTTCGGGGTGAATCTGCATATAACGAGCCCAGATCTTCACTGCTGTTTGGCCGGAGGCAGAACGAGCAAACGTTTTGTAGAGTTTCCAAAGCCGGTTGTGTTGAGTAACAGGTAACGCCCGCAAAGCACGGTCGAAAGTCCGCCGAGTTTGTGTCACGAGGGGCTGCTGGAGTAAGAAAGAAAGATACATTTCCCAGATCCGGGGCATTTTGTTAAGAAGGATCAAAGCACGTTCAAAAAGCGCGTTCACTTTCAGAAACTCAGCCCGGTAAATCGTCGGATTACGTCCCCGAAGGTGATTCGCCCGAAATTCCAGGTACTGCAAAGGTCAGTACATGTAAATGGTATGGAAGAGAGCCTCTCAGAAAAAAAAAAAAAAAAAAAAGGGAAAAAGAAGAAAAGAAAAATTACCATCTTCCAGAGTTTGTAAGATCTGGGAAGTTGTTTGCACGCACGCTCCATGACCTGGACAAGACAAAATAAGTAATCAGCAAGGTCATAAAAAGATGCGCGGCAAGGAAATGTACAAAAGCCTGTTCGTAGAGCGTGCCATGCTGCTTTTTATACTCGATATAAGCAAGCCATGGTTTGATGCTGCCGGGATCGCGAAACAAATCTTGTTCATATATTGTGTCCTGATCGGCCTGTGATCACATCGCAGATTAGTCTTGCACTGCTCACAGCTCAATGCCACTTTACTTACGATCAGATAAAAGTCTGGCCCAGAGGCCACTGTTCGGTCCATCTGTGCGTGTTGCCGGTGTGATCTCGGGGGCAAGAGTGTCCCTGGCATTTCGCCACTCAGTCGAGCGGGATCAGCTCACACGGTGAACACGGAGTCAGATAGAGGGGTGTGTCGCATAGACTGGAGAGCTTTCTCGTGGCGCTGAGAAGGAATCCGATCCGATGTGAGTGAAAGATGAAGTCGCACTGCACGTGATCTTCTGCCATGCTGGACACGGCTCACGGGGTGGTCCAAGCTCCCCTTCATTATCGCGTTTCGTCATCTTACCTCGTTATCGTGGCCTCTAGATACCTATAGTGTATTGGCACAGGTCTACCAGTCATGTCGGGTGCCGTGGTGTGTCTTCTCTATCATTGTAATTTTCTTCGATAGCTGAATGCTCGCTAACCCGTTTGCGATGGTGTAGGGCCGTGAAGCAGTCTTCCCGACTCGTCAGTCATTGGGGTTGATGAAGGGTAAGCTGAAGGGCGCAGAGATTGGCCACAGCTTGTTGAAGAGAAAGAGTGAAGCGTTGACAAAGTAAGTCTACAATTTATGGTGCCATGGGGATGGCGATACTAAATTTATGCCCCCAACAGACGATTTCGCGGTAAGACCGTCAGACGTCCAGAACCAATGCCTCCTCCCCGCAGTAGCCCAAAACTGATATGGGAAGATAGAGATCACTCGACGTATCGATGAAGCCAAGCAGAAAATGGGCCGCGTCATGCAGATTGCCGCTTTTTCCCTAGCGGAAGTGAGCTATGCTGTTGGAGGCGATATCGGCTACCAGATTCAAGAGTCCGCTAAACAGGCTCGATTCCGTGTCCGAACCAAGCAAGAGAATGTGTCCGGTGTCCTTCTTCCTCATTTCGAGAGTTACACGGAAGATTCAATCAACGACTTTGGCCTTACTGGTCTTGGAAAAGGAGGTCAACAAGTGCAGCGATGTCGGGAAACGTATGCTAGAGCGGTAGAGACTCTGGTTGAGCTTGCCAGTCTACAGGTACGGAATGATGCTAGTCTATGGTTTATAGTATATACTTACTAAGCATCTTCAAATAGACTGCGTTCGTCATCCTGGATGAGGTGATTAAGGTTGTCAACCGGAGAGGTAAGAACCCAGGCCATTCCAAGCTAGTTCCTGCTTAACGACTGACTTCGATCACAGTCAACGCCATGTAAGATATCACTTTCCAAGAGACTATAAAGACAGTCTGCTAACCTCCTGGCTTAGTGAGCATGTTATTATTCCTCGTACGGAAAACACTATCAAATGTCAGTATACCACTCCTATGCATCATATTCACCCACCGCTAAGTTGTTCTAGATATCAACTCCGAACTTGATGAACTCGACAGAGAGGAGTTCTACCGACTGAAGAAAGTTTCAGGCAAGAAACAACGAGACAACGCCGCCGCCGATGCCGAGGTCATGGCTGCTCGAGAGGCAGAGAAACGGCTAACTGAAGCAGAGCGTGAAAAGGAGGTACCCGATGCCCCCGATGTTCTTGGGGAGCAAGAAGACGCAGATGTCATCTTCTAACACCTCTTTCCTTTTTCATTCTTATCCTGTAGCGTCTCGTGTAACTAGCATACTTGTTTCTTACCCTGTAGTTGTTTTGGTATTGTTCATAAGCTATTTTGTTCTCCATACACAGCCTCTCCACATTCCTTCTCCTGTTACGATACTGGGTTTTACACAAAGAGGGCAAAATTAAAAGCAAGATAAAAAAGGCCAGGACAATCGCATCCCATTATGGAGCATTCGCATGGTTTTTCTGCAAATTCTAAATAAAACTAAACCAGTGAAACCCACCCCAACGCCAAAACTAATTTGACCACACAATCACACCTCACTTCATTGTCTCTGGTAGGTAACCCGGATAGGCTTGCCCTCGCTCCCCATAGGCATACCCGAGGTAGCTTCCTTTGCACTGATAGCCCCGGATTCGTTCTCATATTCGACAAAGGCAATCCCTTTGCGACCGGGCACGAGACGCACCTCCTGAAACCCCTCGAAACGGCCAAACACGGCTGTAAGGCTGTCCTGGTCGGCTGAGTCGGGCAGGTCCCGCAAAAACAGGATCTTGTTTGGAGGCAGGTATTCGTCTGGGATGACAGCCGCGGCAGCACCACTGGTAGGCTTGAGACCGGCTCCTTTGGTTGTTTTGGCTGGGCGAGCAGTATCGGGGGCACCAGGTGGACGTTTAAGCTTCTTCTGGGCTTCAAGTGCCTCATGAGCTTGTTTACGTTCTATATCGACGTCACTGTGTTAGCCACTCCCATTCACCCAATATATAGTCCAGAAAGGCAGTTGGGGGGTAAGAAGTAAAATTGCATAAAAATATGCGGTAATAAAAGAAACAAAACAAACCTACCCTTCTCAGCTAACCGCCGCCTCTTATGTATCTCCAGCTCATCATTTCCACCCTCGCGCAAAACAGTAGCGTCGCTTCTCGTCTTCGCATAGTCCAAAACCATCGGTTTATCAAAGAGCTCAAAGCCGTTAATTTCATCAATAGCACGAGTGGCAGATTCGACATCGTCGAAGACAATGAACGCCTGACCCTTGGCTTTCAAATTCGTCTTCGCAACGATCTCAATGATGTTTCCATATTCCGAGAAGATCTCCTCGAGCGCAACCTTCAGCTGGTCGACTTTGATCCGCTCCTCCAGGTTACGAACCTAATAAATCGCAATGTAGTGTCAGTGAGCGCTCGCGGCTTGCAGGCGTTTTGGGGGAAGGTTCTTGGAGGTCGGACATACATAGACTCTGCGGAAACGATGTAGTTAGATTATCGTTGCTCTGAAGGAATGGGGGAAAGAGAGTAAAAGCAACTTACGTAGGACTGGGAGGAATAGTTGCTGATATGGTAGCCATGGTTTCCGACAGGACGGGCTTCTATCGGAGAGCTTGTGGTGATCAATGAATTTCGAGAGAACTATCTCAATTAAGTTGCGGGAAGAGGAGACTTGGGAGACACTTTTAATAACTTATTATGTTGAAGTTTTCTTTTCTTGTTTCAAGAAAGCAGCATCATTGGTCTAGTGGTAGAATTCATCGTTGCCATCGATGAGGCCCGTGTTCGATTCACGGATGATGCAGTTATTTTTAGGCATCCTTTTCTGTTCTCGTTTACTTCCCACCCTCATCCTACCATGCCTTTCTTTCCTTTCTTTTTAAAAAAAATCAAAAAATCAAATGCTCAATTCTTTTTCAAATAGTCCGCAGATTCCTGTCGCGTCAAATAACTATTTACAAAGCCCACGCAATAAATCATCTACTAGACCTTTCAGCTCTTTGGGCGGTCTAGTCCAATCCTCAAGCTTGACCACGTCTAGTCCTGTCTCCATGAACAATGCCTCGGCAATGCTATTTCGAACCTATATTCGGTCATTCTTATGCTTTTATACAGTGCAACATTCAGACATACTCTTGGAAAAGGATGTAGAAGCATCCCCGTCATTTTCTTGAGAACGTCAAGCCGTAAAGGTTCTAGTCGTGATAAGGGGGCATAGACTCCAATTGCAGCTTCTAATCTTGCAATATTTGAGGATTTGAAATGCGCTTTTTGCACAAGAACGAATAGTTTTTGGAAACTGCTATTCGGTCAAATGAAGCTGGGTTAAGTATAAAAAGAAGAAAAGAACTGACCTTGGCTTTGATTTTTCAGGAATTGAGGAGATGTATCCATCCACTAAAAAGGCCAGGAGCTCCATAACTGGCACGGTATAACGATCAACTAGCAGGTTATCATTCAATATAATCAAAAGATCTTTGATGACGGAGACAACAGCGGCTTGCTGATGTACTCCCTCACGGCTTTTGATCCTTTGCACCAAAGCCGAACGAGTAGAACGAATAAGTCTTTCAGTTCCTGCAGCAGCGGAAGTTGCAATACCCTGTAGTAGCGGTACACGTAGCCAGTCAATGGCGTCCAGCTCAAGAATCTGAAGGAAATAGTCTGTTGAAGAAACATGACTGAAATGTTCGTATCGTCTGCTACAGTCAGCATAGACCTTCACCTATCTTCCAAAGCTACCCGAGTTCGCACCTCTGTAATGGCGGGAAATCCTTGGCTGTCTCCCAAAAACTCTGCAGGCATAGCCAAGCTTGAAGACGGACCTTGTCCAACTTTTCAGTTGCAAGCCGACATAGACATCCGACAATCGTTTGAATACGCGGAGTGAAAGATGCAGGACTCGAGTCCTTCTCAAAGATTATCTTTGCCGCCTGAATCGCCTCCAGCCTAATCAGGGATCCAATATCACCCCGCCGATCAGTTGTGTAATCATTCAAAAGCCTAGTTATATGGTCGGCGATGGTATCCGTCACGTCTGTTCTATGGTAAATTGCTGCCCACTTAATTCTATGGAGTTGCGTACCTATATGCGGCAATACCGCACTCAAGCTTTTCACCGCTACTACACGTTTTTCGATCAACTCTTCCTTGTCGGCGCATCGCAGTAATTCTTCTACGATGGATTGCCTCAGACTATTCTCGGGATCAAGTTGCTTGAAAACGGCACCGAGCACTGAAATCTGGCCGCGGCTGGTAGGTAACTTCCAAGTCGCGTGGATGTGTGACAACCAGTCTTGAATAGTTTCATGCTGTTTTGTCAATGTTAGAAGGGGAAATAAACTAGATAGTGAAGAAGAGGATGTCTCGATAGAAATGTCTTCACCTCTCGAAACGCAAAGCAAAAGCGTTTCAAGCGCTTTGTCCAGCAAATCAGTAGACGGCTGTGGACATTTCAGGGCCGTTCCATGAGACACTGACCGGGATAGAGAAAATATCAGACACGACGCTGCTTCTGCAGTCAACTCCGGTCGTGAAATTTGAAGTGTTAGGTCTTTTTTAGTAGGACCAGCTGCAGAGTTGAATATGCTCCAAAGCTCCCCAATTTGGTGTACAACATCTCTTGCCTCAGAGGAGTCCTTCATATCCTGGAAAGTCTCTCGGTGGTCATTGAACGCTTCAACTATAGCAGAAAGTGCCAGGAAACAGCCGTGTCTTGTTTCAACGTTACTCTGAGGAAGACTATTAAGCTTATCGACCAATCTCCGAAGAACTAGTCCCATGGACTTATAGGAGTCCTGAGTGCTAAGAGCCCCTATTGCTTTTGCTGCTTGCCTCCTAGACTCGGCGGCAGGTGACCCAATTCCTCTCCAGTGCATTAACGATTCAACAAGGGGACTCCAGTAATGAGGGCTTAGGTCGACAGTCGCCTTTGCAACTTCGTTTATTGCCCTTGAACGTCGAGACACAGCGTGGTAGTCCACAACTTGCACAAGTGATATCCCCTCAGCAACAGTATTCGGATGACGCCCAACCAATTCCTGTAAGGCAGCAGAAGCGCCTCTCCGGATATTCCCCGATGGATCCACGCAGGCAGCACACACCAGTTCTATAGCCAATATCTGCAAGACGCTTGTTTCATTTTGATTTGTAGGGGTATTTATTGCCTGCGGTTTCAACTCCAACAGCTCCTGGGTTGTATACTTGCGGGATATAGCCCATATACCGAAACATGAGGCATCTCGCACTCCAGTACCGACGGAATTTCCAGTTGATGACCTTTGTTCGAAATCAAGCCCAGAAACAAGAGGTTGAATTACTTCAAGAAGTTGCCTTGTTGGCGGAGCACGACGAAATAAGAGATGACCCAGTGTTAATATCAGGCCCTGCCATCGCTGAGGGTCAACTGCGCTCAGGTTTCGTTTCAATTTATGCACCCCGAGTACCCGCGCATCTAATGGGGTCACAATGGTACCATCACTCTTTTCATATAAAATATTCTCCTCCAGTGAACCAGTGACGGCTTCAATGACCTCCCTAGCCATGTCCAGGTCAAGCTTCAACGTGATTACACTCAGAGCTTTGCTAGCAGCGAATCGCACAGGTGTATCCTTATCAGCGAGTGCCACTAGGAAGTGATCGATTGCCTCTTCCAGTATTGAAGAATATATGTCATCTGAGAGCGGGTTACCTGGCCTTTCGCTGAGTGACAAGGCCATTACTGTCACTGTGCGGATGATTTTAATGATAATTTTCCTTGCCAGCGCAGAAGACTTTATTACTTCAGACACCTCTGACGTCCCCTGTGCAACGCGTAAAGTCTGGTCAAAGACTGGCACGATCAAAGGGGCAAATTCCTCGACCTGGCCAGATGTCCCCAAGCGGGCTAGAAAAGACAGTACACCAATACAAGTGTAGAGGGAAGGAGGCTCTGACCTGTCTGTGGGTTGAACGATAGAGAACGCCCACTCAGTAAGAGTAGTCAAAAGTCCTATGGTCTGCATATCTCGACGCAGCACAAGCCGCGCGAGAAGTGCAGAAGCAGCCTCACGCTCTTTTCCAGGGACATTGACATAGTTCAGTGACACTGACAGGAGAGATTTGGCAAATGTTGATGTCCCGCTTGGCAATGAACCAAGCCGGTTTAGATTGTCGTACGGGACTGGAATATCATCTGATGACATAGACGTCAGATCAAAAGGGGCAAGCAGCAGATGCGAGAGCCAGGTGAGCATTATATAGCGCTCTTCCCACAAAAGCCGTTGTGAATACCTTCCAAGTGAACTCTCAGTATCTTCTTGACTAACTGAATCCCATTCAATAAATGCCCGCAGTAACGGATCAAGATATTTCGGCTCATTGTTCAAAAACCTGCTAATAACTTTCACCCCACGAACCTTACAGAACGTGTAAAGGAGCCTACAGGCCGCCCTCGGCAAGGGATAAAGTTCCTGAGTTTGCTGGGAGCTGGATGGCTGAAGAGCATATTGATCACGATGCTTGATCAGGTACGCTAAGAAAGCATCAACCAGGTATGGCAAAAGCGTTTGCAGGTATGGATCCAATAACTGAGGCCATTCTTGAAAAGGTTCTAGCTGTAGTGAATCCCATTGTTAGTAATCGAAGAAGGTCTTTCGATTATTCATTTATCATTCTTGCCCTGAGAGTGAACCCGTAGACTTACAAGGCTTACGAGTTTCTCTGTCTTTGCCGCGTGCGCCCATCTTCGTGGAACACGGGTATCACCACCCTGCTCGGTTCGAGTTTTCCAAAGCAGAGACGGCAATTTATCTGAGAACTCCTTCATAAGGTCCCCAGAAGCACGCTGGAGTTTGACCTCCCTGTCATCTTCTGCATCCATAATGGGGCTCTACACCTAGAGGATGGAAGCCACCTCTCCTCGAATGCTAACAGGTCGCATGGCGGAAATTCGGTCAGCGTTGAAAGTGGTCATGTGACCTGTATAGGTTCCAACAACTATAAGTTTATCCAAATCTCTATTAATAATTAGGAGTTAGGAGCGCATATTCATTTGGATTATATCTCTGTGATGTATCTATAGAAAAAGTGCCAAAAGGATATTCGTAGAATTACTATGACGATAGCAGGAGGAAATATGTATCCACATAGATCTATTGCATTCTTTAAATTCAACAAGATTAGGAAGCATATTATTTGCGCCTATGAAAAAATCTGAGTATATCAAATATCAGGATCCGAACTAATATCTTCATCAACAGGAGTCGTCTTGAATCCAGCCAAGCCATCCGCTGCAAGCTGACCTATGGTCCTGCGGATGTGCATGCCTGTGATTGCAATTGCCAGTGAGTTCCATACATCTTGACCCCTTTCCCCAAGGTCAAACTGGCACATGAATGTGCTGTCCGTTTTTTCGGTGCTACTCGTGGGGTCCGCATTGAGAGTTAATATGACAACCGTTGGACCGGATACAATAAACCCGATGAGAACAGGATATTTTCGGTGGAAATCATGACCAGCTTTCCTTGTATTAGGTCCGGCACTGTGTGAAGTATTATATTCACCAACAGATGCCACACTCAAGGTCTTGTGGTATTGACTGACAAGCCAATGGAGACGTCGGTTGAGCCTCTTCAAGGCGTCAAGAATCGATTCGTTTTGCCTCTGAGCATAAATAGCGTGTGCAGGGACTGCCTCTGGACCTACGTATATCTTTGCATCATCCATAGCCCAACGAATATACTTTCTGATAGCTTCCTTGATCAGAGGTTCTGGTCTCTTCCGCAAAATCTTACAATCTCTGACACGCCCCCCGAGTGTGAATAGAGTGGCCAGTGATTTGATTGCTAGTGTGCGTGTAAGCATGGCCTCCCACGGAATGGAAGCATAATCTATCTTCTAACTCACCATAGAACTCGGAGCGTCCAAGTACCTGAACAATCGGCTCAAACCCTTTATTTGGGCGAGGAAATAAGGACTCGGGAAGTGTTGGAAAATCAAACTGCCAATGTCTTGGGAAAACGGGCTCGAACCCGCGCATGGAGAGCCTGAAATAGAGGTTTTTCTCTTCTTCGTTGTAGATATTCTTGGGGAGATTGACGGCATCAGTCCAACGCCCGGCCCTCTCCATGGAGAAATCAAAGACCATTGCGGATTTTTCGTTCTTCGAAATGCGCATAGACGCTACACTATCAGTCTCATAATCCTCATCACCATTATGCTGAGGTACAAATGAGGATGCATCCTTTTTTGGCATAGTAGTTTTCTTTCTTGTCTTCGTCTTGTTCAAAGAATTGGCATGGTCTGTTTGGAGAGTAGATGAATCAGTGATAAAGCGTGGCGAGCCATGTAGTGCCTCGTCCGTTGCATCGATTATGGAATCGCTTAGGAGTTCCACTGCAGTATCGCTAGAGTTTGAGGAGGCAAGCACAATCCCTTCTGCATCTTCTTGGTCTACAGATGTGTTCCCCTTTTGTTCTCCAACAATCTTTTTTTTTGAGGGGGATTTGCTCTTCAGTCTGGCTTTGGGGAATGGCATAGGCGTATCGGCAGGGCTGAGTTTCCTCTTCTTCCGCGTTCGCTTGGGTATGCAAGGGGCCTCCTCTAAGTCGCTGTTGGCAAATTCGGGAGCATAAGCGGCATCACGGGAATCCGTCTTCTGTGACTTTCGCTTCGGTGTACGAATAGTCTTTTCGCTCAATGAGAGCTCTTCCATTTGCGTCTCCTGGTTATATTTGTGAGTGATGTCTTCCTCCATCATTTTTCTGAATTTGAGAAACAAACCGAATCCCAGTCTGTCTCCGTATGTGATTCACTGATATCCGAGCGCTGTCCCTTCGTAATGACAAGGTAGTGGGCATCAGCGCGCTCATGAGACGCCTGTAGATGAGATCCGTTCATTGTCAGCTGAGTTGAGGATGAAAGAGTGTTCACTCGGTTGTTTGGGATCTTATCACTTGTGGATGGCGTTAAAACTGTGGGTTTATTTACTTATGCCTCATCGATAGTAATAGAAAGGGGAGGGAACTGTGTTCCACGAATAGCTGAAGCAGCGAGGGAAGCAGCGGGAGTTCATTTAATACGAAGAGAAAACGAGTATGTCAAGTCTGAGTGACTCGAATCACACAAGGCAGGTCCGGGCGCTCAATTGTGTGGCCTTGGGCTGCGGACAATGAAATTGGATTGCAAACATCCTCTGGACTCACCTGAAAGGATGATTGGGAGCCCGTAATTGGATGAACTAGGCATTTCTATTCTGGCATCTTCTTATGGGCTTGGTCTTTGTTTGGATGAAACGGATGTTGGGACGAGATAAAGAGTAGTGTGGAGGCACTGCAGATGACGGTGGAAGAAATCGAACCGGATACAACTTGCATGGCATGAACAGCAAAACACATGCGGAACAAAGAACACACGATTCAAGCAGGAGCCCCTTTCAAACACGGCGAAAAACTGCTTGACTGACAGAGGAGATTACGAAACCACCGGGAGTGAAGGCATAGGACAAGATGGACGCAGAATTACAATCAGAGAATGGGAATTAATTAAAATCTTCCAAGGCAATAAACCGAGCAGCGCAGAATGCTGGACACAACAGAAGAGAAAACACCCCGTCCCCAGAACAAAACCACTCATCTCGTCAGCATCCATAAAAGCCCTAACGGCGCTCACGGCTCTCGAAACTCTTAAGGGTATGTGAAACAACATTCCCGGCGCTACCAGCGCCGAAGACAACTGGCGATCAAGAAGACAGGCAAACGCAGAATTCCAAAGTCCACAGCAAGTAGATGTAAATATTAAATGTAGAGTCCAGCCCGATAGTTCCCAATAGAGGTAGGTCGAATCAAGCAAAGTCCGCAGTGTAAGAGAAGCCGCGGAACTCCTCCTGCATGGCCTGGGAAAGAACTGTAATAGTGGGCATTAGTACATGGAGAAGTATTATGAAAGTCCATCACTGTCTTACCTGACTGTACGGGCGTGAGGACCGGCGTAACGCTGGTGAATTCCTGGTCGAAGTTGCTCGTATCAGTGGGACTCGTGATCGTAGGCATAAATGGCGGAGGAACGCGCTTGTGATAGATATCGTCCCAGTTGACATTCCGGAAAAAGGCGTGGGACATGACCTCCTGGGCATCCGTTGGTCCCGAACCAAGTCTCAGTTCCGGCTCACGAGTGAGCAACTTCTGGAGGATAGACACAGAATCGCGAGGCATGTGGATCGGATATAGCGGTTCATCCGCAAGGATAGCATCGTAGATTTCATCTTCGTCTTCACCACGGAAGGGAGATTGTTGCAGAAGCATCTGGTAGATAAGCACACCAAAAGCCCACCAGTCAACTGCTCGGCCGTATTTCTTATCCAAGAGAATCTTTGCGCGGCATCAGTAAGCAGAATCCATGTTAGATTTACTAGGTAGTTGCTATCTGGACTTACCTCGGGCGCCATGAATTCTGGTGTACCACAGAATGTGCTCGTAGTGGCACCATACCACATGTTCTCTTTGCAGAGACCGTAATCGGCAATCTTAATATGACCATCCAGGGTCAGGAGGATGTTGTCAAGCTTCAGATCACGGTAAATGACACCGTTCTCGTGGAAGTACTTGAGCGCCAATAAAACTTCTGAAGCATAGAACCTATAGAAGACGCTATTAGCCTCCTTTCATCTCGCGAAACAAAGAGTGTCGAGTTTGTTGAGAACATACTGTGCTCTCTTCAGACCGAACTGGCCGCGTTGGATATGTAGCATCAGATCACCACCACTAATGTACTCCATGACAAAGTACACCCGGGTCTCGGTCTGGAAGCAAGCATGGAGGTTAAGAAGGAAAGGGTGACGCTCCTTGTTCGCAATCAAGAAGACGCGCTTTTCCGACTTTGTGCTTTCCACTTCGTCGTTCTCGATGATGAACTCCTTTTTCAACACCTTAATTGCATAAAGCTTTTTGGTGCTCTTGGTTTCCGCCAGCATGACCTTTCCGAAATTACCTTTACCAAGGACCGCCAGGAAATTGAAGTGGTCCAGCCCAATCCTAATCGTTGGTTGCTGGGGAGGGATCTCTTCTTTCACGGCCATTTGCTGCGGCACTACTTGCATAGGCTGTTGTTGCGGCATGCCGTAGGGTGAGGCCACCGGTTGCATTGCTTGGGGTGGTGGGATGCCCTGCTGGTAAGATGCGTACACCGCTGGATCATAATGAGCATGCGTAGGCGGCTGGGGTTGCACAGGACGGCCCGTATCCACTTAGTCACCAGCTATCAGTTTCAACGTTTCTCTGGCAAAAGCGGTATTAGGAACATTGGTTAGACAAACCTTGTGGCTGCTGTGGCTGCTGAAGCTGGGGAGAGCGCAGGCCCGTTGCCACAGCGGCAGCGGCGGCAGCGGGGCTGGATGAGGACGAAGTTCTTGGGGGCATGTGTTGTCGCTGTGCAGCAGCGGGTGACTGCGGGGGTATATAAGAGTTGGTTGCGGCGCTCACAGCTTCAGCGGAAGGTTGTCTCTGAGGAGCCCCGTATGGGCTCTCGGTAGGCTTCTGTGGGTAGGCAAGAGCGGCGTTATCCGTCGGGGCTTGTGTTGGCCCTCCTGTCCGAAGGGTCCGGCCACTAAGACCTGAACTAACAGAGGCGGATTTGTTGTGGTTCTTGGCCCGAATCAAGGTCTCCAAGATCTGGTTGGCTGCCTCCATGGACATTCCACAGAAATCAGGTACAAGGTGAGTACAGTGGGCATGACATGTAAGGCCACATTCTGCGGGGAACATATATCCGTCAGCCATATCCTATAGGTCAGTTTCCCGGTTACTGTACCTGAGCATCGTTTGGCACTTTTGCGCCCGAAGGGCAGTAAGTACCCGCAGTGGCAGCACCAATTGGCGGAGAGGTTGGAAAAGCCCTCGAAGCGATGTGGGATACGGTGGTTGATCTTCTCCTCGTCGGGATCCGTCTCATAGTTGGCTTTGCTGATACACTTGGTGACAACCTTTGGATAGCATTTACGATGGCAGGTGTACTTGCAGTCGGCGCACTGCATACCAGCCGCATACTTCAAGAAGTCGCCACAGAGCGCACAGCGCATAATATTGTAGAACTGCTGCGTGACGAACTTGTGACCCTGTTTCTCATGAACTTCCTCCTTCTTCTGGCGGACGGCACCTTGACGGTTGAGACCAATGTCGAATGGCCGACGATCCTTCAGCTGCTTGGCTAAAGACAAATGTTAGCACAATTTGGCTCCGCAATACAGTAAGTATCAGAATAGAGACTTACCGAAACCCAGTGATAACTGAATCCGACCAACGGGCTCCAACGCAAACCAAGAATCGATCATCACAGGGCCTGCACCCCCAGCCGGGCCTGGCGCACCTCCTGGAGCTGAAGCACCAGGCTGTCCAGGAAAGACAGCAGCACGGGGCGATCCCGCGGGCCCGGCGGTGTCAGGCCGTCCAGGCGTGCTTCCATCCTCCATCTTATCTGCGGAAACCCAACCAGACGCATTAAACTCCGACTCGATCTTTTTGCGGCGCATCTCTTCCGCGATATCAGAAATGCGCACCCACAGCATACCAATCGGCGTGGGCCTGTCTCCTGATTTGTCGTATACGGTAAGCTCAATTTCGTTCGCCTTGTCGATATCGATATTGAACGACTCGTCCTGCCATCTGTCGGTCCGAGTTGCTTTGGTCCTCGCCTTGATAGCATCTTCAACCTTGAGAACCACAAACGTCTCGGGGCCTCTGGAGAATCTTGAGCCGGCAGCGTGATCGACATCCTTGACGGCAAGAATCCGCAACATTAAGGAACCGGTGAGGGGCTTTCGCAGGTTTGGTGTGCTTAAACTTTCATCTGGTGGAGGGCAAAATAAGGACATGGGTCAGCTAGTGAAACGGCGGCGACTCTGGGCCGAAGGAAGTCCCTACCATCCGGAGTGTCTGTTGATTCGATGTCGACATGAAGATCTTCATATCGCTTGAGCGCCTGCTTCAACAGCTGGATCTTCTGATTACTCTCAATCCGCCGACCTTCGGCATCCGCGCGACTCTTCCGGTCACCCTCATCCTGATAAAGGCGGACCATCTTTTCGATTCCAGCTTTATATTGCTTCTCAACGCTCAGCTTGAATTCAAGCTGGGACAGCATAAGTTGGATCTTTGGACCAAGATAAGGAGTATCATATTTGATCAGGTCTTGAGACCGAAGACAACATAAGTTAGAAAATCTGCTCACAAGTGTTGCATTTACCAGGAAGGGAAGGCCTACCAAGCTTCGTATAATTTGGTCGGGCCTTGGGCACTGAAGCAAATGGTCGAGGGTCATTGTAAGGAGCGCCTGATGGCATGGAGCCGGCTCCCCCGTGCGGATACGGGGTTGAGGACTCCTCATAGTCTGCTTGTTCATTACCCTCGTAGCCCGGCGCGTAGTCCTTGGGAGGAGGGACCGGGCCTGCACCAGGAGCAGGCGGGAGACGCTTCTCTGTGGGGGAGCCACCTTCCTGCCCCATGCGGCGTAACTGCAGCTCTCTCATCTTCTCCTCCAAATACGCAATGTTCTTCCGACCATCGCGAATGTTCGCATCGACCCTCTGTTGTACCAAGGGGTTATCGGTGGACTGGCGCATATTTGATGCAGCAGTGATAAGAGCCTTTTCCCGCTCGATCTTGCGGTAGACTGAGGCGATGAGGTCGTCCCCGTCCATGATGAAGGGAGGACCGACAACGATGGGATTAGGCAGGAGGAAGGAGGGGAGGGGGACAAGGGAGGAGAGCGTGGAGAATGCGACCTCCCAACAAAAGAATAGAGGCCGAGAATGGGACCCCAAATGACTCGATAGAGCCAACCGATGGAGTTAGGGGAGGAAGGGAGGGGTGGTCGTGGGGCTCTCGTTGACAGATGCAGGAAGAGAGGGGGAATTGATGGATCGATCGATCGCAACGGAACTGTCAACGTTAATTAATGCCACTCGGAAAATGGTGAGACAACCAAGCACACCCCTCTCGATCGAGCAAGAGGCGACTATCCCACCAGGAAGAAGAGAAAGAAGGAACGAACAAAGATACAGAGCGAAACGAAGATCTCAAAGGAATCATTCAATCGATTAACGGACGGAGGGATAGTTGGATGGATGGATGGATTGGTGGTAATTTGTTTTTGACCGCCCGCAATCCCCAACTTGTACCGGCACCAGGGGTGAATTCCACCTAAATTCTTGCTCGACGATCGATTTGTCTATGGTAAGAATACTGGGCCAGAATAAAGAATAGTCTAGGAGGAAAATTCTATCTGAAAGGAAAGGACGGAAAAGAAACTGCAGAGCGAAGGACTAGACCGGTGGAGTTGGAAGAAGTGTTTTTCTGGTCTGGTCGTGGCGATACAAATCCACATTCATCATCCATTCACATGGTCTTGAATGATGGCTACCTTTTTCTTTCCCCCTTACTCTCCCACTCTCCCTCCCTTCCCCGTTTTCTTCTTACTTTTGCCCTTTAGTTCTTTCTCACTAAGAGGGCAATCCTTAATGAGAGTACTATCATGATACTCATCTAGCCATCCAAATTGATATGAGACAAGCTCAATATTCGGAGGCTAGTCATTGGGACATGTTCATCTCTTCCAAAAACAAAATAACCAGTACGTGGAAGACGCCTTGCTCCAGGTTCCTACGGCTCTCCCTCTGATCCTATGTATTCACCATCTTTCCCAGTCCATTCCTTCAAAATAATAATAGTATATAAATTAAGGAGCAGCAACTTGTCACCACCATGTTTCTCGTTTGGTGGTCTAGAGAATGGATGTAGTGCAAGTCTTATGCGCCTAGAGTAGTGTGCCTGTCTAGATAATAGCTGAGGTGCTAGAACAGCATGCAGGGGATACCTACTTCGTCCCCCTTGCTGGAGAGTTAGAGTCAAATGTCACCCAGTGTCATGTGATGCACCGATGAATATCTTGCCTGGAAGAAAATGTGCATTATATCAGGCGAAGTGCTGTTGTAGATTGCACCTCCTGCAAGTGTCCCATGTGGTAACAGAACTCTTCAGGGTACAGTCTCCGGATCTAGCACATAAGATGAGCGATTGGTACCTTATTGCGGGTGACATGGAAAAGAAGTAACAAAGAGAAGGGCCGCCAGCCAGTGTTTGGATATGGTAAGGTACTGGGGCATGTAAGCATGGTCACGCGTGAGTATCACCCATATAATCCAATGCCAGTGGAGTTCAGAACAGTGTTCTTCATATCAGCAAGCTTTTTTGTTCTCCCTGTACAGAATTGTTCCACTAAGACTAGACTGGATAGAAGATGCATGAGTCCACCACGAGTTGCAGCCTGAGAATCAGGACCAGTTCCTTCTCTGGATACGTATTTTATCCCCCTCCTTACTATCCTCGGAGGAAGAGAAAGTTGGAAATTATCTGGTTATACCTGTGGTGGAAGAACTTGGTCTTGTAAAATTTATCCACTATCTACGAGAGCAGGTCAAGGTAGCTAGCTTGTGTACGTCTACTGTAAGCCATAGAATTCTCATATATTCTTTGTGCCTCTAGGGACAACCATCACCTCGTCAATCAATAAGTTGAAATAATCTGGCTTACATAGAACTTAGATTAACTTCCAATACTAGGGTGTCCAGCAGACACTGTATGTCAAATATAGTGGCGCAATTGAGTGGCATCGAGTTAGGAATTGCGCAAATGCAACTATCAGCCTAGCTCAGATGGGATACCCTTATTTATGTGGCACCGTATACATACTTAGGGTGTACTATATGCAGTCTTTTTTTTAATTTTTTTTTTATACTTCTGCTTGGGACAGTGGAGAGCCAACTCCTAACTGGTCCCTCAAGATCAAACACACACTGTTCGAATGCTACAATGTTTACTCAGGCAGCATGGATACTGTGTTGAAGAACTTGATTTTCCATTTTTTGGGGGGAGGGGTGGGGTATATTGCTAATTGTGGTACTCCCAGAAGTATCAGGAAAAAAAAATTCGAAGGTCGTACCCGGGATCGAACCGGGGTTGCCGGAATCAACTGCGTAATATATTAGCTTAAGATCTGTGAAAAGGAAATCTGAAACATACAATCCGGAGGGATAACCACTACCCCATACGACCGTGATTATTAAATTTTTTTTTTTTTACCAATTACTCTCTAGCAAAGCTGTTTAAAAGATATCGAGCTCTTGTCTACCTAATATGGAAAGGTCTCCACATTGACTTCCACAAATCAACATATTTTCTTTAGCTACCTTCGATATCCTCCAATCCACCACGCCGGATTCTCAAATTCTTGACCCAGATATAACCGAAATTATAAATTCGCAACGATTTGAACCGAACACATTCCCTTCTTACTCGGAAACCAAGTTATTGATACACCATCAGCGATTGCGACCATGCCCCCACCCCGTCGAAAGATGCTGGCCACCGCGGAGGAGACCCTAACCCCACCAGATGAGCTTCTACTAGGACAACACATCGCACGAGCAATTAAAGCGACTGGCAATAATGTCTATGCGGTGGAACTCCCTTCCAAAGAGTCGATACTGGTAGAACTTCCCTCCCGGTTTCGTTCCACCATTTGGATTAAGAGGGGATCCTACGTGGTGATTGACACCAATACTCTTGAAGGCCGAGACAACAAGCTCAGCGGTGAGATCATTAACATTGTTCGAGATGAAAAATCCTGGCGTAAAGCACCCTACTGGTATGTCATAATGATTCTTTCATGTGTGGTCGCTTCTGACACTGTCTTGCAGGCCAAAGAAGTTCGACAAGAAGCCCGTTTTCGCATCGGATGATGAAGTTGAGTCCAATGTGGGCAGAATGCCACCGTCAGACGATTCTGATGCATGACATACTCTAAGTTCTTAATCACCAATGGCGGGGAACATCCATGATCGTGGGCTCTCTTCTGCTTGGACGGGGATACCTTGTATTCCGTCAAACGTGATACCTCGGAATGCGAGCATTGAAAGAGAAATGGATGAAACCCATATTATTTCACGTGTTCCTTCCTGGTCTGCTTGGGTTGCCTGTTCTTAAATGCCTCTGACCTATTCAGAATCACCCCAAACACCTGGACGAAAAGTGAAAAGATGACGGCCAAAGAACTTGACTTGGTGCTAGGATACGTATTCCAGGCCCATTCTTGAAGCGCCCATATCGCGAATAGGATGATCGGCTGAACGCCCGCTCGCCAGAGAAGAAAGGGGGTCACCCAGGATATGTAGGCGAAGAATTGATAATGAAGTGACCTGGCACACAACAAGCCAATTGCCAAGGAGTTCAACAGCACGGTCATTATGAAAGGCTTGGAAAGTGGTACTGCTCGGTGGCGTCCTTTGAATAAGGATCGCAAGAAGCCGGGCAGACTAGATCCGGAGGGTTTCAACCAAGCCGTGACTGCAAATAACCCTAGCAGATATACGTGCAGAGCTAGCAAGATAAGGGAAAATCTTTTAGATAAGAATAATTCTTCACCCACAAACCTCCAGTTGACAGTCCACTTGAACATAAACTGTCTGGTTAGTTCAAAGGCTCGTGAAATATACCCTACAGGGTTTGCCTGCAAGAAAGGTATAGCGAGCAAGACCTGCCCGTTGATTAGTTGACTGCATACAAGCCTTTCAATGGATATTAAAGAGGTATACCTGAATAAGCAAGGCCAAGATTCCAAGTCGTAGGCAGGACAGAAAAGAATGGCTGAGGACCAGTACCGCCGCAATTGCTGGAGCAAGAAGCAGCAGGGTCATCTTGACAGCCACCCCAGTAGACCATACAATAACTCCAAGCGTCCATTTCTTATTCTGGAACAAAAGTATGGCCACCCACATAGCGAAAGCCGCCAGGCCATCATTGAAAAGCCGCAGCATGAAGACGCTATGGAGTCGTTTGGATAGGATAAGAAGCGACAACAGATATGGAGGGGTCCTCGACTGCTGGTAACAAATCATCACCACCACCAATGTCGCGAGATAGAGGATGGCGAACAGGATTTGGCCAAGAAGGATATCCCGGCCTTCGTTAGTTAAATGGTAGAGGGCTGTGTAGCTGTACACATGGGCAGCGGGGTACACAAGAGGCCCGGTGGACCCCTTGATCAAGGTATAATCGCGCTCTCCAGAGATATATAAGGATATCTGCTGCATATACGTATTCCAATCGATTTCTGTGTCTAAAACGCAACGTCTTGGATTAGCGCATTGTTTAGAACACGAGGCAGCGTACGAGGTGCTTCTGGGGTCTGTGGCTTACATGGAACTTTCCAGATGATTAAGGCGCAAAGAAACGCGTCGCCCAAGACAAGGAGCGGGGCTATCCATTTTGTATGTCGGGGATTGAGACAAAGGTCGCAAAGCGAGCGCTTCAGATCCATTGTCGACGTTGTGCTGAGCTCCATGTGGCTTTCTGACGGGAGAGCCAATGATATCGGTCCCTTTTCGGCTTAGCGCATCATGTCGGAGTGAATGGCTCCATTTCTCGCATTAAGAAATGCGTCAACCAAGCATGAATAAAGCATATATGAGGGGGGTGGAGGTCGAGATCAATAAACTCAAATCGTTCATTCAATTTACAGGCATAACTGTGTAGTAATCAATCACAGATTTTAGTACATTATCTAGCTGTACAAGGGTATATTGCTGGTTCTGAGGATCCCCAGATACCTTGGGCGACGGTAATGACCAGGACCAGCTACATTTTCAGTCATAAAATGGGCTTCAATAATTGTAGCCAAAAGTGCCTTGATTTTCCTCCCAAATTGTCCTTTTCTAGGACTATATCACAGATTCTCCTGTCCCGAGACAACCGATCGTTGACGCCCGCTCCCCGGAAGCTGTTGCCACTGTACATCCTTTTGAGAGGAGAAGCCTAGCAATTCTCCTAAAACACCACGAGGCTTTGGAACAGGGCACTCTCTGCCAGTCATGGCTAGTCTCTTTGCTTCTTCTTCCAGTTGTAGGAATGTCGATACTTCGTCGTCCGAAGTTTGTGGTGTATGAGAGAGCGTGTTTTCCTCCATGCCGGGTGGTGTATCTTTCCTTCTCCTTCGTCGAAGTCTCTGAATTGGTTGTCCATCCTCGTTGAGCATCATCTCGGAATCGGCCAGAGTGCGACGTGGGGCGGGACATGGGAAAAGATGCGGCATGCCGACGACGAAGAGGGAAGCTAGAAGGGTGGCGGCGAACAGAGAGGTGGTCGATCGCGACCGGGGATGTAGATGTGGCGGCATATTCTTAATCAATGAGAGAAGAAATGACTATAGTGAGGACGTGATCCGTCACGCAGGCATGGGAGGGGTGTGTTCACTGCGCAGGACAGGTCATCAGTCGCAGGTCAGGCCACATATGACTGAGGACAAGGACGTACCTTATGACAAGAGGGGTGAGAAGGTATCAACTGAACTACAGCGACAGTGACCAATCTCGCCAAAATGAGGGCATCGTCTTTCCAACGGCAGCGCAAATCGACCTCGACCTCCGGGCTGATGGGGAGTCACGGAAGAAACAGGCGACGTTCTTTTGGGGAAGAATTCGGACGTGGGCTTGGCGATCAGATCTAATCTTATCTACGGGCGCTTTTATTGGACCGAGGCTGCCCAGCGCGAAGATGGGCGTGACAGCGCGCCACTGAAAAGACCTCGTCAGCTTCCTCCGCATCTCTCTCGGCCATCCTCCCTGCCTGGCCCTTCCTTCACCTTTCCCGGGCGCTGTACTAGACGAGAAAGATGCCTGCCCTTCTTCAATACACATAGTGGTTTTTGTTTTCTTTCTTTCCTGGGTTCCCCAAGTCCAATCGATTCGACTCTCCCCCCCTTCAGCGTCAGGAACCGCCGATCAGTCTCCCTGCGTGGACGCAGCTGCTTGTTCCTACCTTTTTTTCTTTCCTTTTCGATAGATCATGATGAGTGACCTAGACAAGTACCGAGACTTCGTCCCCGTGTTGGGAAAATGGTGTTGTGAGCTAACTCCTATCTTCTGGTGCTTAGGGCGATCGCGCAACTACGCGCTTGTCGTTTGATACCCGAGACGCAAGTTCGAGAACTCTGCTACAAGGCGCGAGAATTACTGATAGAGGAGGGAAATGTTGTCTGTGTGGATGCCCCCGTCACGATTTGTGGAGATATTCATGGCCAGTTCCATGACCTTATGGAACTCTTCCGTGTCGGAGGGGATGTTCCCGACACCAACTATCTGTTCATGGGCGACTTCGTTGATCGCGGTTTTTACTCTCTTGAATCCTTCCTTCTCCTCCTCTGTCTCAAAGTTCGTTATCCGGATCGCATGACGTTGATCCGTGGAAACCATGAATCCCGCCAGATCACAACCGTTTACGGCTTCTATGACGAGTGTATCCGCAAATATGGCAGTGCCAATGTATGGCGGTATTGCTGTGAGGTATTTGATTATCTGGCACTAGGTGCCATCGTTCTTGGCGCAAGCTCGGAACTTGAACCTTCTGGCCCCGTGGTTAATGATTCGACTCAGTCCACCATGGCCATCGATGATGGGGAATTAGAGACCGAGGTGTTGAACTCGAAAGGGGAGGTTACGATGAGCACCTATCGACAGAGACAGCGCGCGTTGTCGGATACCTCTACAGATTCTAGAAACATCTCACCCCCGAGGGACATCTCAGTCGCCCCAGGCCAAGCCCCCACTAGAACAGGTGCCCCCGGCACGGGAGCTTCGGGAGATGGAGCAGGCAGTCTGTCCAACAAAACAGGTGCCATTCTTTGTGTTCATGGTGGTCTCTCACCGCTTATCGACACGGTCGACAAGATCCGCCTGATCGATAGAAAGCAGGAGGTTCCCCACGAAGGTGCCATGTGTGATCTGTTGTGGTCGGACCCCGACGAAATCGACGGCTGGGGATTGAGTCCGCGTGGTGCTGGGTTTTTATTTGGCGGCGATATCGTGAAACAATTCAACTACAAAAACGACTTGTCGCTGGTTGCGCGTGCTCATCAGCTCGTAATGGAGGGCTACAAGGAAATGTTTGACGGTGGGATTGTCACTGTCTGGTCGGCCCCGAATTACTGCTACCGCTGTGGAAATGTCGCTGCCATCCTGGAGCTGGGCGAAGATACCAGTAACGGAGGCACAGTTACCAGAAGTAACGGGGACTACGGGCGAAGCAATGGTGCATTAGCGACAGATAAGCCTGGAATGAGGAGCCCTGGACGGAGATACAGGGTATTCGAGGCAGCTGCGCAGGATACTAGAGGCATGCCTGCGAAGAAACCTGTTGCTGATTATTTCTTGGTAAGCGGCCCGGAAAATTAGCCCCAACTCGATGCGAGTGACCTATACTGACTTTGATCTGATCCAGTGATACCAATGATGTCCACGATTCCCGTGCATTCAACTTTCTCTGTGACGTTCTTCATCTTCTTTCTTCTCTTTTGGTGCTTATATAGGCTACACCATGCGACTATTTATTTCCTTTGAGACCCAGTGATGATTTAGATGTGTATTTGGGAACTGAAAGTCGGAGTTATCTTCTGTATTGTCTTATGGTTGAACGGAAAACAAAAGATGCAATTCAGTATATTAACTTGTATGCCTTGATTCTTGCTTTACACGGAGTGAGTTGACTAGACTTATGAAGCCAACGCACATAGTGTAAATACACCTTAGCAGAATTGATTGACTGACAATAGTGGGGAGTAAGACATGAGACTATGATAAGTGACATACTACCACTTATAGGTGGTACCGTACCCATTCGCTATGCCGGTGCACCAAATTTGATTTTATTTTTAAAGTCTGTTGATTACAGTTGTGGGATGATCTGCAAGTGTAAATGCTGTCCAAAAAATTTTCTTGCGTGAGAATATATCAAAGTATATCGAAAAATTAATACACAAGAAGTGAGCTGTAATATCTTGGAAAATCACAGTAAATTTATTCGTAGCCGCACTTTTCCCTATAAAAACGTCTATAAAGCGAAATAGAACGGAGACATCCAATCATGAAGAAGCGAGGGAAGGGCCTGCCCACGATTACATACCATCTAACGAAAAATTCAAAACACCATGTCATTATACAGTTCCTCTAAAAAACGCTTCCAAGTCATTGCGGAAAATTGCCCGGAAAGTTCATGCTATTGCGACCGGGTATGTTGGGGGCTTGAGTAGACGGTACGGCACCAGAGGGGATTGAAACCGGGTATCTTGCTGGTTGTGGTAGTCTATGGGCATCGCCAGGTTCGGAAGTTTGCCCAGCACCAACCATATAGTTTTCGTAGCGCAAGTCAGATGTCGTGCCAGTGATCCCGGGAACCCATCCCTGGCTCCATCTTTCCATTCCAAGGTTAAGTACGTTCTGGTCGCGAGACCACCAATTTTGGCTCTCTTCCACTAGGTTTTCGGGTGTGCCAAAGGTAGTCACTGGAGGCGAATCTGTCGTGGGTGGCATGCTCTGTCCAGAACCCATTGCACCAATCTGTCCTTCGTTCAGACCATACATGGCATCATGCTGGGGGAGCGACACAGGCTGCATTGGGCCATATGCATGAGTCATGGGCTTCAAATACGTTGGCTCTGGGAGATGTGCATCTGACCGTGTAACAACCTGGGCGCTTACGGGCTGGTGGATTGTGCGAACAGCGGGCACAGCCCCTGGATGTGATATCTCAGTTGGATATCGATAGCCCATGGATCCAATCGAACTCCGATGTATTGAGGTGGGAAGGTCGCTGTATTCGTTAATAGCGACACCATGTTCTGGAAACAATAAGGAGCTTGCACCGGCTGTTGGAGGCGGGTCCAGGGGTGAGGATTTATCTGAGTTAGAAGGGGATGATGATGCTTGATCCCACGAACCCCACGAACCCCACTTTGAATGCGTCTGTTCGAATACAGTTATGGCCTCATTAGGAAGCCCAACCTGCCATTTATTGGCGGAAATGTCCAGAATTCGAAGTGTGCGTCTGGCGCATAGCCAACTCTCGCCCATCTCCTCCAGGTGCCGCAGACCGTGAACTAGGTCTCTCTGGGCATTTTTCTCGGGTAGATTTAGCAAATGGATAGTGCAGGCAGTATGTGTAATATACACTGCAATATTGCAAATCTGCTTGAAGCCATATGTGCGTTTATATACTCGCAGAAGCTTGGAAATGGCCGAAGCCGCTTGAGTACATAACTTACGGGGGGAAACATGAGGAGGAAGTGGGGAGTTGGACTTGGTATATTTAAGAAAAGGTCGATATAGATGCACAAAGAGTAGTTGGTAGAACATGCTGCATGATGGTCAAACATCAACTTCTGAGGAATGGAGTTCTCGACTTTTATCAACTTACTGCATGAGAAGGGCCTGAGGAAGCTGTCCTTCTCTCGGTTCCAGCTCTTTTGGCATGTCTTTCTTCCAGGCTTCCAGTTTCGTATGGACCTCGCTGAGTTTTTTGAGTTCAGCCTGTTTCGATGGAAAGCGTTCCCTGGGAGTCGGGTCATAGAAAAACACAAGCAGAATGCCACTAATTTCACACAGCTTGGAAAGTTGTAAAGCAACCGTTCTGGTGCGTGATGGTTGTGCATCTCCATGACCCTCTCCGGCATCTGTATAGGGGGACCACAGTCCGGCTTCCTCGTTCGGCAGAATATCCACCTTTGGTATGCTGACATTCGAGGTTGGCAATTGTGGTTGACGACCGAGATAATTAGACCAGCACCTACAGGAGAACATAGAAATAGTTAGAAAACATTCAAGCATTAGTTCATAAGGCGACAGGGGATGACAGACTTGTCAAAGAGAAAACAACCCCAGAATGTAATTCGCCGCGCGTCAAGTTCCTCTTCGTCGAGGTCACGCGCTCCCAAGCTCGCTGAATCAAAATTTAAACCCAGGTCCAACGCCATACGAAAACTCATCCCACTGTAAACCCAACCTTTTCCTTCTCGGCCGCACCCAGCCTCTCTGACAGACATGAGAGCGAGCGCTTGGACAGTACAGAGTTTAGCATTCACATGTTCATCGTTTTCGAGAACCAGTCTTTTTGCCTCTTTAAAGAAATGGTCTCCAGCTGTCGCTGAGTTCCGAGGGTCTTCCCGTGCGCCCTCCCAGGAACTAAAATGACAGCCCAGGGCTAGCATCGCATTGACCAATAAAGACGAGCAATACTGACTTGAAATACCGCGAACATAGTCACGGTAGAAGAGATCTTTTGAAAGGGTTGTAAAAAAGGGGTAGTGCCATGCAAAGTACATGTTCATGAGATGGCTGACCAGTTGTTCATCATCCGTGACTCTCGTCCATTTGGTGATTGAACAGGTCTGTGACTGGTCTAGTCCATTGCCATCCATAGATGGATTATGCTCATATAACTCTGAACCTGGCGGTAAAAATATGAGGTTTGATGTGCCACCGATGAGCTTGCGGGAGCCATCCAGCATAAGCTCACTCATCTTTCCTGCCAATTCGGATTCAAACTGGTCCGTCTGGGGTAGAGCTTCATCCCCACTGGGCAGGGTATCCCCAACAGCAGCCATGGAGTTCTTCTGCTCACCCATTATCGACTGTGCAACATCCTCCAGGTCGTCGCAGGACCGAATCTGCCGGACCAACTCGAAAGCATCATCTTCCTCATAATTCAAAATGGCTTGGATCAGAGTCAGCAACGTCGTGTTCTTCGTCCTTAATGTGTCTGTGTCTTTCCTGTACACGCCTTTCCGGCGATGGTCGGAATTGGGGTCATAGACGCCTGGGAACCGCATTAGCTAAGCAAATTGGGCCTGTGTTTGTTCACGGAGGCAGGACATACAAGGCGTATGGTAAACGGAAGAACAGGCTGCGCAGCTCGGTAGATTCCCGTCGCACTTTAAGACGAAGGTTAGATAATATACGAGGAGATAGGGGGCAATGGGCATGTCTACCTTCGATTTCCTCCTCCGACAAGCAATACAGGCTGTGCTGACACAGCGTCTTTTGGATGTTGAACAATTATCCTGAGTTGTTGTCTGAGCTATCGCTGTTGTCGACATCTTCCCTCGAGATACCTTGCTCCCAGGCCCCGAGTTCGTCTCCTGCATCTTTTCCGCCGGAGTTCCCCCCATCATTGTCAAGTCCCAACGAGAATATTCAAAAAAAGTGTGGAACTAGAACGGATCATGCTTGTCGGGGCAGGAAGAACTCGGCAGTGTGTTCTAATGGGGGGCCCAAAGGCTTCTGCAGGGACAAAATGAGAGACGAGAAATATGCTGTGGTATCAACTGCATCGGCTCTGGAGTCGCATTAGTTACACAGGCACTCTGCACATCCAACGGACGTGATAGTACTAACATAGCTGCATAATGAGTGCTCACAAAAAGGCCGTATGCCGCAGATAATCAGCAATTATGCTGCTCGAGAGTCGCAAGCCAGCGAATGGGATTAGAATCGAATATCAAGGTTCACTCTCAGAGCCTCTATGGCCTGCTGTTGAGGCGGGGGGCCGGTGATGGTGGAGGGATCGCAAGGAGGATTCAAGGCAAGCTGGCGGCGATAAGAGACGTAATGAGAGCGTGACTGATTGGACAATGGCAGCTAGTCAGTTTTAAGGCAATATGCTGTAGGAACTAACGAAGATCTGCTGGCAGCATGTCCAGATCTTTTTGGATGAAGCAAATCTTGGCTGGGTGAGCCACCGCGCAGCTGACTAATCCATAGACCACGGTCCAGGTCGCTGATTCTGGCTGATTATGACCCTATGTTTTCGAGCACAATTCTAGCACTTTAGCTAATCTCTGCCATCTGTTTGATTTTAATGGATGTCCTGGGCGCTGAGGACATTGGATTGATCCAATACTGGAGCTGGGCATGATATTTCTTGGGTGTACATTACTTTGAAGACGGAGTACGGAGTAGAGGAGAAAGATATCGGTATTCATACGTAGATAGTTTATAAATTATTCGTCTGTTTAGTAGACCGAGTCGTACCTCTGAGCGCCTCCTTGAGAGTCTCTTCTTCTGAAGGCGAAATCCTAACCCTATGCTGTATACTCTGTAAGTATCACTGTATCGAGTGCGTGTCTTCATTAACCCCGTTTACCGCTTTTTCCGACGTGGACGAAACTATTACGTTGGATACTGTATGATTACTTGATGCCAAGATGGCCTGCAATGTGGCCGATTATTAATTGCGGCGGAAAGAGACGGTATCACGAGTCATTGTCCAACTTGTCCAACCCTAAGTCCTCGAATGGGACCAACGGCATCAAACTAAAACATCATTAGGTAACAGTTATCAAATAGAACATTCTTTAGTGGGGCACATAAAGGCTTCTTTCTGTACTCAAGAGTACTCCCATCCAGCTGTTGGTGTAGGTGTAGGTAACAGTAATCAGTCCTCGTGCAGGCCACAACATTGTCTTGCAGGCTATAAACCTTCTGAATATCCTAGTTAATATCCATGGATTGGAAGATGCTGGTTGTGATATTTTTTGGTGTCCGTCTTCCTAATGAAACCAAAGGAGTAATGAACGTAGTAACTTACTCGGAGTAGTTCTTCCGCATCTTTGTTCACAAGGTTCGGTTAAACAAGGATCCTCGAGCCATAGACGTCAAATGCTCTTGAGTCGGTTGGCTGAAGATAAGAACCCGGATGACATCCCTGCATGGATACTCTTTATGGTAGACATATTGAAAATCACTTGAATAGCAAGGGCATTCTGCCTACTCTGTAGAATCTGTTTTATGGAGGTTTTGAAGCGTACCATGTATGGATACCAATACCGATACGGTATTTCCCACTGTTTCAGGCGAAACTTACGCCTACCGCCTCCTTGCCCAGCCACACCTCAACTCTGAAATGTCCCAAACTGGGTCACCGCTTCCATTTTCTCCACCCCTGAATGGGTTACGTTTCAGCGTAGGATCCACTTGGGCCCGATGTTACGGTCAGAATCCTGGCAGAATTACCCTCCCTCACTTATCATCACGATTAGTGTTATTATTGTTTCGGATTAGGCTCTTGGGGTCATTCTTCGCCTCCGGCTGACTGTCTTTCCTCTTGTCGTGTTATTTTTTCTCTGGCGTCTCACTACACCTTCCTATTCATTTAATTTATTTACTCTTCCTCCTGAGTTTGACTCCATACGGAGTAGTATCACTACTTCACCCATATCTTGCGACTCGCGTGCCTGCATACGCATCCGGGCTTCCCGCATTGGGTTCACTTTGGGCTTCCGCTTGTTTGGGTTCTACTGCCAACACACCAACTTGCAGTCGCCTTACCTACTTATTTTCGTTTACTTCCCCCTGGGGAGCCTCCACTGTGGACGAGTCTACCTCCCAGCTCGTTCTACCATCCATGTATCTCGCTCAGACCTTCGATCAGAGTGCCTCACCGGGCCTGAGACTCCTTACCATCACCAATCGCCAATCGTGTTGTGGTCCTAAATCGTGAAGATGATGGTCCCTAGAGCTTTTCTTTTTACCTCTGTGCCATCGCCGATACCTTCCCGGAAGCCTGGCAAAAGAAATCAACCGTCGAAATCCACACGAGACTTCGTCGCGGTGCAAGATATCTCAGGACTGGACCTCCCCGACAAGGAGGCATCAGAAATAATACAGACCACCAGGCCCGTTTTTATCCCCCCTAAACGCGGCCGCCGTGGTTCAACGGTGCATTCGGATTCTGGCAACAATGGTCCTAAAGTACCAAAGAACTCAAGGACCGTTCGCAGACCGTCAATCGCCTCGATTCTAGAGGCTACTGCAATCCCAGTTCCTCGACGCAACTGGACCATTCGGGAGTCTCGCAAACTACCCCGAGGTAATCATGTGCAGGATTTCAGCAGACTGTTAATGGACGGGGTTGAATCCAGAGAGAGCCACCTTCTAGAAGGCGCCGGGAACACTCCGCTCGACATCCTTTTAAGCCCCCCCGAAGGAAGTGACAAGTCGGTTATTGGAAGCGATTGTGATAGCGAAACACCGTCGTTTTCTGGCCGTTCCATGTCACTTGAATCGACACCATCACTGGACCCTGGCATGGAGTCCCCCGACTCGACCTTGTCAGCTCTGCTCACTCCTTCCAGTCACCGTAGCCCATCCGAGAGACGGTATCGACGTTGGTCGCAGTGTGAGAACTGTGCATTCGACCATCCGCTACTTGAAACAGAATCCCCTGACCCTGGTGAGGATGGTGATGATGAGCCGACAACTCCGAGCTCGATCACCCCTAGATCTACAGCGCCACTGTCCCGGTCATTCCCACGACTTGGGTCAACGTTCAAGTCTAATTTAACAGCCTCGTTGCGAGCTATTAAATCTGCGGCACAGTCGGTGTCCACATTCGCAACTCCTTCGGTGCAACCCGATGATTTCCTTACGCGATCTTTATTTACAATCTCCCCAGAGATGACGGACGACCGTCGGCCTCCGCCCATGGAGGAACCCCCATCGCCGGCGCTACGGCGGTACCTCAACCCAATCATAGCGTCACCGGCGGAAATGTATCCCTACCAGGACCACCCGCATGAATCGCTTGATCCTCGAAATTGCCCTGTCTCCGTGCAAATGCAGACTTATCGCCGCTCGAGCAAGCGCGGTAGCCGAAAGAGTGGTTTCCCCCTGGTTTGTTTTGAGGGTCGAGAAGAACAGTTTCTACCGTTTGACCCTGAGATTCCCCCAATAACACGTCAGCGGGAACCGCGAGAGAACAGTGACTTTTTACGCATGGTGGTTCTGGAAATGAACATGAGACGCAGCGGTAAACTACGAGATGATATTCCCACTCGGGCCCGAGTCTGGCTCCCTCCGCGCAAAGGCAATCAGAACCGGTTCAATCCTTACGATTCCTACGAAGATGTAGAAGAAAATTCCATCCCATCACGATGGGTAGGAGTTTCAGTGGGAGGAGTATAATATTTGGCCCCTTTCTCTCTCTGTTCCTTTTAATTTTTGTTTTACCGTTTTGGGGAACCCGACTCTCATTAGCATAGCGCTTGGCATGGTATGGTTTCATTCCATTACCTCCCCCTTTTTGGTGTATTTTTTGCTCCCCCCTCCTTCTACTGTACATACATATTGGGAGAATTGTCACTGGCTGGAGCATGTAAAGAGCGGGCGCAAGGCGTTTTCGGAAGCAGAGAGAATATCATTCTTTATTTGATCCTTACACTCCTAGGCATACATAACTAGTTAGCACAAGTCAGCGATTACATCATCATCGCCTAATTGGGCTGTCTAAGGGCTTTGCCTATTTAGATATCATCATGCGACTACCTAGCTTATCATTGCCACTGCCATACATAATGAGATCATGGGTTATGGTTAACTTTATTTACGAGGTTCCATCATCCACCATCACCGGTTCGGAGTAAGTTCAATACCCCAGCCAAAGTCTATACCTTCCTGATCACTCGTCTGAGACAATGAGATGGGAGTCTTATCTCCACCCAATCGAGTCCGCGAACGGAGAAGGGCCTTGTGGGTTTCGATGTAAATTTTTGATGGATATTACCAGGTCCGTGTTTGGGTAGGGTTGCAGATAAGGAGGATGTTGACCTGTCAGATCACGATTCACGATTGATTATTACTGCGGGTGCATGGTGGGGCGACTGTATAATGGATGTGGAGTGTGAGAGGTACTAAATATTAAGAGCAAATGGGAATAATCATAGTAGAGTTCACTGCCCTACGAAGGAGTGCCAGAGGGTGGGAATCCTATTAGGAAAAGGGGTTAGATAGAGACACGGGTATATGTATGGCGACGTACTCTCTTCGTCCAGGAGCGTATGGTCCTTCCAGCTTTCTTCGATCCATTCGATGGTGACAATATGCGGGAGCTTTTTCTGATGACTTTCCGACAATGATTGGCGTAGCGATGTGATTTCTGAGGATGGACAATCGGGGTCCACAAGAATGTGAGTGATGGCTCGATTCGTCGAGGAATCGACAACACTTGCCGCTGCAAACCTGGCTGTGTTTCTTGCCAGCTGAAAGCGACATGGCTGGCTGGTGGAGGAGGATCCCTCTGTATCATCGCCGGCCTTGTTTGGCTGAAAGTAGAAAGTCAGGCCCTTGAATAGCCACCCGCAAGGCATCTCCCATCCGGAGTCGGCCTTTCCCCGGATTTTCTCGTAGAGCTCTTGCATTTCTTCGGAGTCCTGTGAGAGATGGAACTGGTCGATCTCATTCATTTTCTCCAGGATCTTGAGGCCATTAGCAATTTGAAGACCATGACGTTACTTCCGTAGTAGAACTTACCTCGTTAAGCTCCTCCCGAGTAGTGTTACGAGCATAACTGTCATTGAATTGATCAACGTTGGCGGAGACCTCTTCTTGCTTTTCAGGTGTCGCATAAAACATATGTCTAGATATGAGGTTAACCAGGTCGTCAGACTGAGGCAAAATTACACAGACCTTGGTTCTGGGGGAAGACGAAGCTCTGAAAGCCCTGCGTCAACTTCATTTTGATGGATACAATCTAATATCCACGAAGGCCGTACGATGTTGACGTCTCCTTTTTTCTGTAAAGCGGCTGCCTTTACCGTCCCTATCCAAGAGTCAGCTGATGAATGTGCTCAAGATTAGCATGGACCATGATTCTTACTTCGATCTGCGACACAGATTGTATCTGGAGCAGCAGTGTTTGTCTGATAGATCTTGCCCCCATTAGCCTTGACTATCTGCTCCAATTCCGGCTTGGATTTCTTGGTAGTGCCAGTTGAATCCGTCAAAATGTCTAGTCCGGGGTCAATAAGAAGCGGCCAAGTAAGTAGTCGGAGCGGGCGGACAACATACAGAAATTGAGTCCGTCGAAGATTTGCCCAGAAGGCACAGCATATTCGACCTCTGCCTCCCCATCGTCGTACCCTGCAATAGTATAGGTCTTTTTAGTTGTCCTCTTCACTCGCTTCCTCCGTGAATCATCAACATTGAACACTTTCTCCTGGTGTTCCTGCTCCACATTGGATTTGAGGTCCAGAAATTCTTGCACAGAGAGAGCACTCTTCCAGTCCTTGTCCATCCGTAGCTTTTTGAACCGAGGGAAACGTAATGTCAGTCCGATTCGAAACTGATCACTGATAGATACCGAAGCTGCTTTGACACAAAGAACAACGGAGTCATCTGGCTTAATCCACATATCAGGACGCTCATGTTGAGCATCACCACCAGCTAACTCGATGTAAGCCGTAGGAGGCTTTTTAGGGTTCCATTCCTTCCATTTGCCGTCCGTATGGTGCCGAATGTTGGCGAAATCGGCGGCATTGAAGCCTCCCCCTACCTTACAGAAAGAGTAGCATTTCATCGCATTTTGCGAATTGGGGTCATCGGCTCTTAATCCACACAGGAAACTTGCGAGAGCACCACCCCGATGGCCACTTCCATAATAGCCACCGATTACGATCAGATCCAATGACTCGCCAAACTCAGTCATATACTCAGGTTTTACCTTCATCCAATCGTCATGTCTTTCATTCAGGCGATAGGGGGATCGAGGGTTCTTGAGCACCAAACCCTCCGAAGCCTCTGCAACCACTCTCCTGAGCGCTGCTTCAACTTCAGCTTTGTTAGTAGCCTCCTCGTAGGGGTGGATCTCAAACCTGCGATGGACAGGTATGACGCTCTTCTGCAACGCATTACGACGATCACGAAGTGTGTACCGTGTGAGGTCTCGTCCATTGAGATACAGAATATCAAAGATACGGAAGAGTGGCCGGGAGCCATTTGCAAATGGGTTCTTTTGTTCGGCCAAAGCAGCGGTCTTGAGCGTGCCGAACGGCGCAGGGGCATCTTGCTCGGGGTCCCAAGTGATCATCTCGCCATCCAATATCAGGCTATCGGCCCCATTTGCAAATGCATCTTTCAGGTGCCTCGTCAAAGCACCGTTTTCGTCATATATACCATTTCCATAGAGATAGGTGTACTCCTTAGCTTTTCTTGACCAGAAACGAAACCTTCTCCCTCCCGGAACCGTATCATCGGACTCCATATGAAGCTGCATACGTTCGCCGTCGAGCTTTTCCTCAATCCAAAAGACAGGGTCTTCCTCGGTCGCCTTCATCCGACTTATCATCCGATCCAGGGAATGCATCTGGAACTGAGCCAATTGTGGCTGGTAGCATTGCATTAACGCAATCCCTCTCTCTCCATCCTCCAACCGAATGTTAGGATCATACAATTCCCAGCATACGCGCCGAAGGCTACTGGAGATGCTGAACAGATTCTCCGCATCCGGATGCCATACATGGAAGAAAGTCCGCTCTGATGCGCCTACTTTCATTTGCCGGAGAATGATCCGGACCAGCCACATGAGCTCTTCGGGATTCATCCGCCGGTAGAACTCTGTAAGAATTGGTAGTTGGTCTTCTTCCTTGGATGCCACAGATAGCTTATCAAGTCTCTCATTCACCTCCTCGATCGTCATATTCCCTACCTCCGTCCGCATTGGTCGTTTGGAGATGATATCGAAGCATCGGCCTGCGAAATCGCCCGCCATTCTAGACGCAGCCGCTTGGCCAGGTAATTTCCAATTTAAAAGGTTGAAGCCATCCTCGGAGTTCTTGTCGATTTTCATAATCTTAACAAGCATCTTCCCGATCACCTTCTCCTTAATCCCATACATCGCCCGATCACGATCCTTGTCGGGAAGAATCAGCCGAAATGCGGGATATATATCGTCGCCAACTTCCTTCCTCCATCGAGATATAAAGCGCTCGATTATATCCCGTCTTTGTTCCACGGGATTAAGATGTGCAGTAGACTGGCCATATGGTCCGACTTTTGGACGTGAAGCTGAAGGTCCTGTAGGCTTCTTCTTGATCTCACTTAGAGGGTTGAAAATTGCCCGAAAGAGCTCGTAGAATGGCAACGTAGGAGAATGATTGCGCGGTCTATTTGGAAACCTACATTGCAGGTAAAAGTAGTTAGCTGGTTCCTGGATTGTTTGCGTGGCTGAAGGAACTGGGCTAAGGCAATGGTTACTTTGCATCTAAGTCTACCTCATCTTGCTCCATGGGGAGGTTCGGGGGCCCGTCGCTCTCCATTGCGTCGTCCAAATCCATATCATAGGTATTCCTGGATAATAGACAGGACTGTGTTGGGAACGACGTGGGACATGAATAAAACTACATGCAGAAGTCAGGAGTGACTAGGCCAGTTATATGGTTCCGATCGTAGCTTTCACGCATCTACAGGCTGCAGCAGGCACCGATAAGATAACAGACATGTGACCATTACATCACCGATCCAGAAAGATTCCTCATATTTGCCATAGTTAGTACTATAGTATTAATACACTTTATTTTAAGGGTAAAGATGGACGAGTGAAGACGGATACTACAATATCTATACAGCGGCTAGGTCTATGGATTAACTCGCTGTTGCCAGCTGCCTAGATGTCAGCTCCGCAAGTTTGGCAAAGGTCACAATAAATCTCTTGGATATTCCCCATGAACTGACGCCTGCCAATGTCGCACAACCAACCCGTAAGATCCTTTCAGGTCCTTGAGGTCCACAAATATCTCCCACGCCAGTAATGTTTCCTCTCATGGTTTGGCCTTCACGCACGAATAATTGGACCAGTTCGTCATCACAAGGACGGTCCAAATGAACAATAGTCGATTCGTTGGATGACCTATTCCTCGGTCCAACAGAAGAGCTTGTTTCTAGCGATTCTTGAAAATGACACAGTCCGTAAGCCCATAAAGTAAGTATAGCAAGAAAGGCGGCAACAGGTTCGTGGAAAGCATTGGTCGAATATCTTCGGATGTGATACAAACACGTACCCGCATGTATGATTGCTAGACGGGCCTTGTATTGGTCGTGTTTGATCCACTGCAATATGTAATGCCATTCTAGGGTTTGCTGTCTCTCATTCCAATGAATTTTCTCTGTTGCTAGAGAAGTAGCTAATGACCGGATTTTGTGGAAGGGCGTCAGTAGCACGATTCGGGCTTCGTGGAGATGCAGCACAGTAGGATGTTCAAAGCCAACAGCTTTAGAAATCGCGCTGTTTGCTGTCCAGTGGAGAATGTCCAAGCAGTCGCAGGCGCTATTCCGCCATTTTGAATATGAAGGGATACCCGGAAGCCACACAGAGCCCGAAGGGATTGCCGATTCTTGAGATTGTTTCCTCGCAGTTGGGTTCCAAAATGACAAAGGGCGGCGAAAATAGTCCTCCACCTCCCACATCCGATGATAAAGAGCATGTATTAGGAGAACATGACTGAATTCTCCCATACCAGGGGCGAGCCTTTTTTCGATATAGATAACGAGAAGCGCATTGTACAGGGAAAGGTTCTCTTGACCTGAAGGTATAAGTTAGATAAAACAACGGTGAGCTAGAAAAGAGATGTACCTAGAGTCTTATCATGAAGCTGTTTCCAGGCACCGGCGGACTTTGCCTCCCAGATGGTTTCGTGGGATGGCAGTGGAGCAAGGCCATCATCAATAGAGAGTATTGGGTGGCTGTCAAACTGATATGTACGTGTACAGTCCAAAAGCTGTCATATTTCGTTAGGTTCGCTTTAGTTATACAGAGTTTATGGATTACCATACCCAGATTAGATAGCCTGTTCGTCTCCTAAGCTCATCTTCGATCCACAAAGCCCATTGTTGTTCCTGCGAGTTCTCACTCGAGAAGAGGGTCGCCTGGGTCGAGCGAACTAACAATCCCTCATTAATTACGAGGTTGACTAGTTCGCCAAAGCTTCCAAGAGCGTATGACCTGGCGCGTTCATTATTTCCGTGAAGCAATCCGATGTGGTTAAGCGCCAGTGCTTGAAGCAGCCAAAGAGGCGTATGCTCTGCGCGGAATTTCTCCTTCTAAAATGGCTATAGTTAGAATTAGATTGCCTAACACTGAAGCGTTCTTCATACCTCAACAGCTATGGCTCGTCGGAGAAACTCATGAAATGCCGAGGTGCACTCTTCACGTCCAGGAAGATCAGCAGAGTGACAACCTATTGCCGCAACTGCTAAAACCACTAGACAGTGGCACTTATTTGGATCAAAAGTGGGGGTGTGAAATATAGGATATACTGGGTGAAAAAAATCGAAATAAGAGCGGATAAAAAGTGACAATGTTTCCATGGACGGGAAGTTGGCCGACTCATACTTCGAGAAGAGAAAGTTGTCCTTGCAACATAGCTGGAGAAAGGATTTATAAATACCATCATATGTTGTAGATCCAACCTGATAGTTGAAGGCTGCTTCCTCATTAGCAGGGGAGATCCTACCTGTCCCTTCAACCGCGGGGAACGAAAACCCAGGTTGATCAGGCTGTTGTGCGTAAGAAACAATGCTGGAGAGCTCCGTAGGCTGTACATGCCAGGAACTCCGCATACGCCGACGCTTAGGAAGTCGAGCACTATCGCCGTCTATATAGAGATCAGCCGAGCGTTTGATAGTACTGGATCCCGAGTGTGAAGATGATGGCGACGATGATGATAATAAAGACTGTCTGATAATGCGAGTACGTTTCTCATGGTCTTCCATATCTGAGCCGAGGGAAGGATTCCCAGATGGCACTTGGGAGGCAATATCTGGTAAATTCGGGCCATGTCCCATGGGGATAACCGGAGGAAGCCATGCTGCTCGTCCCCAAGAGCTGTTGAAGGCACCCCATTGAAGAGGGTCTGATGACAGTTCGGGTGCAACAGACCTTTCACCGGCAGTAGAAAGTAGCATATCATTCGAAAGCCAGTTTATGGTGGAGCCCATTGTTTGGTTCAAAAAGGGCGAGGCAATATCTGTTTGCACCTGCGAGCTAATTCCCGGCGAAAGATCCTCATTAGTAGTGAGAGTCATCACTTCTGGTTGGAAAACTTTTGCATGATCATTTGGCCTCAGCCTACGGTCGCGAGGGAGTGTACCCTGGTCTTCGGCATGCGGATACAAGTGCTTAGAATCCGGTCCTGCATATGCATGTAAAGATATCCCACTAACATCGGGCGGCCCGCTTGCTAGGAGATTTACAGATTCAGAAGACCTTTGACCATTATGAAGCTCCTCTGATCGGCTCCAGAAGGGATTATGCGGGTTGTGGTCGCTTGTGTCATTTGAAGACGAGCCGGAACCCTTTGTACCAGGTAGCTGAATTTGAAATTGGCCAACCTGATGCTGGAGAGGCTGATATGGCGATCTCGCTTCATTTTGGCTGCGACACACGTCGGCATCGACAGTCAATGAAAATGTGCGAGCGGAAGTGTTTGCAGGTGGCACATCTTCCTTGGCTAGAGATAAATTTTGGGGTCCGTCTCTGCGTGCCTTCGTCTTGGGGCGTCTCTCGGTTGGGTATTGACACTCGAGAGATCGATTTGCGCAGCGTACGCATGGAGTGCTTCCACTACACCGGACCCTTGCTACGGCGCATTTATAACAAGCCCGGAATGTCTTGACTGTAATTCGATGTGTATGATCTTTCCCTCCGGTTCCCGAAGTATGATGACTCAGTTCGTGGCGATGAAGGGTATCCCTGATCGATCATGTCAAACTGTCAGACTAACAAGTACATTGACCCTTGGTTGAAGAGGAATCATACGTTCGTGAAAAGTGTCGGCCACACTGGGTGCATTCAAACGGCTTCTCCTTGGTGTGGCTACGAAAGTGGCGCTTTAGATGCTCTGGGCGTCTAAACGAGCTCTGACAAACCGAGCATTTGGTTTGGCCGGCGGTGGTATTAGGATTGGGTTGGACTTCGCTGCCATCATCGTATCTCTCATGACTTATCGTTTCATCATGGCGGCTTGCAACCTCTAAATTGTTTACGTTAATGTGCATACACCATACATTCCTCTTTTCTTCCATAGTTCGGGATAGAATAGCTGGAAGCTGGAATCATTTACATACCTGAACCAGAATCGCTCTTCTCCGGCAACATGGCGTCTCATGGACGATGGTTTCTCAAGACACAGAGCAGAAGAATGTTGCATGGCAGCGGGAATATTGTCTAGAAACTTGAACCATAAGACAGCCAAAGACGCATCGCCTGTGGCGCTATCATCAACATAGACGTCACTGGTCAGGACCTCCAAGCATCACAAGGTCTAAAGGACATGGGGAGAATAGTCAGCAGCAGAAATTGATTGTCACTCCAGACGGATGTCTTCCACTAGAAGTTAACTTGTCGGGGATTTTGATCGAGAGCAGCCCAGGGTCAGGAAGTGGGGAAAAAGCCGTAGGGGCCCACGTGCATGGCGAGCTGCTGTTTTCCCCGCGCCGTAATTAGTGTGTTGTCGGGTAAATCGGCTATATGCAGGTGGTAAATAAAAACAGTGAAGATCCTGTCCTCACCATTGTTCGGAATACCTCAGAGGGATATATGATCCTACTGGTAGGCGTAATAGGCAGATTGGCAGATAATTACCCGGAACTAGAAGCTACTAATGCTAAATGTTCCCTAATCTCCATAAAGCTTCATTATATAAATAGATACCAATTCTTTAATAAAGAAGCAATATAATAATACATTTTCTACCCAACTGTGGAGGTAACAGAAGGAATGCTAAGAAATGCTTGTATTAAGTGAACGTTTAGCATAGGGGCTGGATGTATTTAAGACTCTGTCTCCAGCGGTCCCTCCAAACATGTTATGCTGTCTTCGTAAACCTCTCTCCTTCTCTCCGCTTTTTCTCTACCTGAACACCCACCATCATCAATTTGGTGGATAACTCTCCTACTGCCCAGTCGCCGCTGCGAATTGGTACTGAAGATCGAATCTGGCCGTCGTCCAGGCTAAAGCATCCGTGGCAGTCTGCAAAAGGTTGCGCCCGATCGACCGCACGAGGTTGAAGCCTTCCGCACCCTTGGCGACAAAGACCAGTCGACAGCGCTCCAAAACTTCGGTGCAAAGAGTCTGTGGACGGCGGAATTGGAGGAAAATCTCACTTAGAGTCAATTGGATGCCATCATGCATTGTCTCAAAGGTGAATGAATCCCTTTCCTCTTCTCTCCATTCGTGAGGGTGAACGACTCCATCCCTGTTGACTTAACCAGGTATACGACCAGGCTTCCCGACTTGTGCGAGCTAGCAGCCATTCCTCTCCGCGATGATTCCTATGATGCTCTGATAGTTAAGACCAGCCTGCCTTACACCAGATTGAAGACGCTCCCCAAATTCGCAGTAGTGGGCACTTCGTCGGTACGGCGCTCGGCGCAGATTCGCCGCCTCTTCCCCCATCTACGCTTTGCCAGCCTGCGGGCAATGTCGAGACCCGCCTGGCCAAGGTCGATAACCTTAGAGTGAATATACCTGCATGGTCATGTCGGCTGCGGGCCTCGAGCGCGTGGGCCTCAAGCATCGCATCAACCAGTACCTGGGCTCCAAGGACGGGGGTATTTTGCATGCGGTTAGTCAGAGGGCGCTTGGCTTAGAGATTCGCAGGGGAGACAATAGAATGCAACAATTGCTCAACCAACTGGTCGATCAAAGTCGACTCTCGCATGCCTTGCGGAGCGGTCTCTCATGCGGACCCTTGAACGCGATTGGAGTGTCCGGATCAGCGTCGAGATGGAGTGGATCGGTCAATCAAAAGCTCTGAGGATGAGCGCAATAGTCGTCAGCCTGGATGGCTCCCAAAGCGCCCAGGACACCACTGATACAACGGTGCACAGTGTCGACGAAGCGACAGTACTCGGCTAAGAATTGGCTGCAAGACATGTGAAAGCAGGCGCAGATGCAATTCTGGACGACATCAACGACAACCGACCACCCAAGGACATATGATGTTACAGAGACGGTAGAATCAGCTTCGAAAGCGGGCTTGGAAGTCCTGGAAAGCTCACCTATTCAAGGCACCCGAAGCTCTATAACGCTCGCAAGTAGCGTACTGTAACGTATTCAGAGTACAACTTTTTGCAGCTCGAGGGCGGGGTACAAGCCATCAACTTCGAGCGACACCGTAGTTTCATCATTGAGACGTACTGCGATGGACCAGACACTCCGTTTCCGCCAAAGCGTCACCATTGCGTGGTCGATCAATGTCAATCCACAACCGCTGGGATCCAGGCCTCAGGCGCATCAAATCCATCTTGGTTGAGAAGGGTTCATGGAGTGTTTGATTCTGAGGACTAGCCTTGCTTTCTCCATAGTCGGGTTGAAAAGAACCCAACACCTACAAATTGCTGTGTATAGATGTCTTTACTGTACCTGATTCAAGGCATGCCTATAGCAATTTCCTTGCTATGGAGCTGAATATGATTTCTCATGCTTATCAAGTGTACTTTCCTTTTTGGCTTGAATTATGTGGTTCTATTATTTGACAAACGCATTTAAATCTATCTGAAAGGACCTTCTGATCATATCAAAAATATTTTGGTAGTAGCAAAAGTAAGTTTGTATGATTCATATCCTAATCGTTACTATAAAGCATGCATTTGCAGGTATTTAGTAGTATTATGGAGATAGTCCGACTGTGACTACAGGGGAGGCATTCTAGATACTAGTACCAATTTAGTTACTATATCTTGAGAGTGAATACTATCGAATATGGAAGAAGAAAACGCATTGGTATCGTGTGCTTTTTCGAGAAGGCAATACTCTCCTGCTCCATATTACCATGTATCAAGCAACCGTACAATAACTAGTTAAGGTACCGCAGTTGGCTAAAATGATAAAATCATGGAAACTACAAAGTACTAAGGTACAAATGCCAAGAAATAATCATGTGATACGGGGCATTATCTTCACGTGGCGGATCCATTATCTTCAAAGCCCGAGCCAGAGTTACGATTCCAGCGTTTTCCGTGAATGGCGAGCTCGACGTCCGTTCTAGACCCACGCCCAACTTCCCACTTGACCCTCATCAATGCCAACTCCCTGACAGCTCTACAAGGGGCCGTTACTGCCTTCCATGGAATACCTTCAAGGGGCGTTTCTCCTGCTGCTACTCAAAGAACTTGCACAGCCATGGGTGCTGGCCGTGGTTCCGAACCTCACTCTGAGGTCGATTCCCCGGAACTTGGCTCTGTGAAAGACAAGATTGGGAGGTTTACGTCACAACCACAACTCTTGAGGCTACGGAATACATCTGAGAAAGAGCGCATGGATACTCCAACTTCCAAGCAACGATCTATGCATCAGATCGCTGCTCAGCTTGCTGCGGAGAAATCCGCAATGTCACGCGAGACGACAAAAACATACCCAGGGTTTGTCTGTTCGACGCAAGATGTAAATAAGATTCAAATTCCGCCTGTCCAAAACTCCAGAAACCAATATGTGGATCTATTAACCGGGAATGACTATCCTGTAGAGGGTCCGGAAACGAACAATGAAGTGCCTCCAAGTACGTCTTCAGACGAGAAACGATTGCCAGCTAGAACTGGGTCTATTCAATGGAAGCCATTAGAGGAGACATCTATACCGCCAGAACCTGAACCACTGATTGTGGTGAAACCCCGTCCTACTCCACCGGTGCCTCGAAATACTCGCCATGTGACTGGAATACCAAACCCAACCCCTACAAGTGCTCCCCTCATTCAAAGCCAAATGTCGAGTCGCGAACCATCACTAAGCTCCCGTTCTTCTGTTCGCTCCAAGACCTCGACTGCCTTCTCAGACGACAATCCACCTCCCCTCCCGGCTCGACCAGGCGGGCCATCTTTACGCAGCAGGAATATGAGGGACTATCGACAACTTCTTAATAACAATGAGTCTCCAAGCCGGACGCTAAGCCCGAGTATCGCGTCCATATATGGGCGTTCTCAACATAATAGCAGCCCCAGCCTGATAGATATGGACGAAGAAGCTCTTTCGAATGCAATAGTTGCATCATCGTTGGCATCCAGCAGATCGTCACCAACGAACAAAATTCCTCCCCCTCCTCCGCCACAGCGCCGGCCAAGATCTCATTCAATATTAAGCATGCACTCTGGCCAAAATGAGCTCTCGCGGACTTCCAGCCCCTCTAGCACCTTGCGGCAGACTCTCCGCACTCCAGCCAAGTCGGACGAGGAGGAGGATTATCGCAGTCGACACAGAAAGCACCTCATTCGCAAACATCCACACAAACATCATGAGGGAGATCGAAAGAGATGGCGGAGTGAGATTACAGAGAAGGAGCGAAAACGGTACGAGGGGGTCTGGGCCGCCAATAAGGGGTTACTTCTGACTCCTGATCTACTGGCAATAGAACCGTCCAGCTATCCTACGGCTGTCTCGGAAATGGTTGCGAATGTCGTGGTCCGGGACATCTGGTCTCGAAGTCGCTTACCAGCCTCTTTCTTGGAGCAGATATGGAATCTCGTCGATGGCCATAAGCTTGGGGCCTTGACAAAGGAAGAATTTGTCGTTGGCATGTGGCTGATTGATCAACAATTAAAAGGACACAAACTTCCCGTCAAGGTACCGGACAGTGTGTGGGCAAGCGTGAAGCGAGTGCCTGGTATTACACTCTCCGAGTTCAGCTTGATCTAACTGTGAACCAGCCCAAACAAAGGGGCCACAGTCATACTACCTAGTTAGAATCTATGTATTGATAGTGATGCAGCGGCCCTGGAAGGTTTCTGTTACTATGACAGATTGGGAAGTATGTAAATATAATTTTTCAACACTAAGAGTGTCTTAGGGCCAGCAAGTGCTAGGCAGGGTACGGTAATGTCCCTACCTAGATGGCCACGTATTCTACATTAATTACATTCCTTCATGGAGCCACGAGCGATACAATCGAAACATGATCCACTTACAGGCCGAGCGAAGGTGGATAGTCTACTCAGACTCGGAGCACATGACCGTTACGTATCATATGATTTACGGAGTATATCGACTGCTGCCACCGTCTTAACGTCATGCCTGCATAACAAAATTAACTCTCTGTCCCGCGGAATATTCAAGCTATATATGCACAACCGATCTCAGCGGCGTTTGGTCATGCAGAGGTACATCCCATACGGCCGAATTCGACAATAGGACCACTTCATGCTGACCTTATCTCAGCCCCAGCTATAGACGACTGAAGAAATCGACAGACCGAGGGACATCACCACGCATACTTTTCCAGCGAATGTGAGAATAAAAACAAGGTCAATGCTTAGCTTAGCTGTCCGGTCCGCGCTCCCTCCCTTCCGGACCGTCGCAGCAATTCTCGCGTTTCCTTTTAGAAGCATCGAATCAAGAATTGATTCTCGCTCCCTTTCAGGAGAATAGGGGGATTTTAGATTGATCCGATCTGGATCAGAGCCCCACTTGATTCTACTTAGTGCCAGGTTGACGACGATACTGCGAGTAACCGGGAATGGAAATCTGTAGATACAAAATCGATGGTTCATGCCCGTCCCCATAGACGTGCATCACACATTACCCTACGTACTACGTGGTACTTTTGTCTCATTAAACGAGAATCAACCAGCGTTACTTATCTATGTCTCTCGACCTTACGTGCCCCTGTCACTTTGGAGTTCCTCCCCCTTACCCAAAGGATTTTTTATCCCCACTTGGTGCGTTCCAATATTTGGAATTTTTCTGATCCATACTCGGATCTCGGATTCCAAGGCTGTCCAAGGACAGGGCTGGGATTTTGAAATTACCCTGTACAGTGTGGTTTACTTATCAACTGGTGATCAAACGCTACTGGTTCTTGTATGAGTAATTTAAACTTTTTGTGCCCGAGCCCACATAGCTCATAGAAATATAGCCGCACTTAATGGCAACCGAATCCTTGAATGAACCAGAATGTACTCCGTAATGGATGAAGGAATACCCTCTGGTATGTCATGGTCGTCATCTTCATTCCACTTATTATTACCATCGGACCATTCTCTGTTTAATATATATATATATATATATTTTTTTTTTGGCCTTGCCTTGCCTTACCCCCGCGCCGGGCGGCAATTGGTGCCCCTGTCTTACTTATTCTTCCCCTTGGTTCTATTTATTAAATTAGTCTATTACGAATTAACTTCCGCCTCTGGGTGCTTAGCTTCTACAGGTAACTAGTATACTATGGAGTAAAACTCCTAATGCACCTGTAAGAGCCAATCATCTTGCGTCGTGCAAATCAGGGGCGTAGTTGAATGAAAAGGTTTTCGGACTTTTCCCGGAGCTCTGACAGATCTGAAGGATCGTTAGTAGGTCTGATGTGCGAGCCGTTTAGATGTCCCATTCTGATCGGCCCTCTTTGTACGGAGTACACAGTAGCTAGTTGAAGGGCTTAGTCACATCTTCTACGTTTTCTCGAGAATCTGAACAGTCAGGTGGAAGATAATTCTGATGATTCTGTACGGAGCAGTGTTGGTGTTCTGCATTTGATAGCTGCGATAAGAGAAGAGAAACCATAATAGGCATTGGTAGTAACCACAGTTGATGTACATAGGGGCAGTGGGAGATTGCTTACCTCAGGGGCTCTGCCAACGGTTTCAGCTGGAATATCTGGAACTGCAGGTTCTATTTTCATATCAATGTTGTATGCAGGACGACTGGAACATTGTCGATTATTACATTTCTTTGCCTCCGTGCTCCGTGTCTCCTCACGTGACCGGAGCGACAAGATCCCGTGCCTGCCGAATCAGGAAAGAGCTAAATCGGAGCGAGACAAAAAAAGACTCAGGAAAAGAAAGGCACAAAAACAAACAGACTTTGGGAATGAAAAAAGACGATCCACAAGCGCATCATCAACTTTGATGAATCGTGCACCGCCAGGCCGATCTTCCACTACTTACTTACACTTTGATGCAGACCCGCATGCCTTTTTGACTAATCATCGCGAATCCTGCGCCACATTGCGCTTTGCCTGGAGAGAAGCAAATCCCGAACCGGGATTTGGATTCACTGCGATGGATGATTAAGCCCCGGTGCTACCACCCCAGCTTTTCGATCGCTGTATATCAGACCACACCCTCGGGTCCCCAATTAAAAAGACCGGGTCTGGGAGATATACCGAGCCCTCCCGTTCGTTTGTACGCTCTGCGCTTTGTAGTAATGCGCCTTTTGGGTGTATAGCTGGTGGAGGACGCCGCCGACGACGACGGTAGTACGCTGAGACGCTCGCTCGCTGGCGGCTGCATGACTGAACGGTAGCCCGAGACATCGTTCTTGAGAACCTCGTCGACTCTCGGCTCCATTCGCCATGGTTCTGGGCAATTTCCAAGGCTCTTATGAAAATGGAGTCGCTACGGCAGTTACACAGCCCAGGATGGCCAGAACCACTGTGGTCCGCAAGAAATTTGCGAAACCCCCGGTTAAGGTAGCCTGTTTGTCTTGGTACGTTTGTTCCATCTCGATGGATTCTATACATTGACGCCTCCATACTTTGTCTTGCCCGATGCTGATGATACTGATGTTTGAATAGTCGTCAGTCAAGAACACGCTGTGACGGGCAAGATCCATGTTCCAACGTAGGTTCTTTTTGCTTTATCTTTCTTTTGTTTATGCAATCATCATCATCTATACAGTTGGAATGTTTCATTTTTAAAATTGAATCCCAATTCGTGTTGACTTTCAATGACCTATACAATGCAATCACTTTTATTGTCACATCCTCACACATTCTATCTCTACCCTCCCTCAACTTCTCTATTACCTTTTAAACTACTCCATTATGGGCTATATGCTGAGATCAGTGTCTCTTGTGCGAAAGTGTCTCAGTAAGAAAAAGAAATGCTCTTACTTGCCCAGTAAGCGAGGTGGTCCCAGAAAAAAGAAAAAGCCGTCCCTTCCGGCAGAAGATATATCCCAACATAATGATGTTTCGGCTTCGACCATTCCACCGGCCGCTTCTGGCTTTGATGATTGTACGTGGCTTCGTTCATGTGCCCCCCACCAATGATTCCGCTGACTTGAGGTGAAGCGTCGGTGATGTTCGGTCAAATCGATGTACTTTCAATACCCGGCGCCGGCCTGAGGAGCTTAGATTTTACGTCAGATGTCAATTCAATGTTTGCTGATCTCTTTGCTCCTAATGATGACTGTCATCCTCACCCCCAAATGGAGCCTACTCCCTCGCCATCCAACATATCGTCTCCTTCCTTGGTCAGGGCATACACTAGTGAAAATGATATGTGAGTTGCATCCCATGCCGCATTCATCCTTCGACTTGTCTAATACATGGCCTAGACTGAATGCCTATTATTTCTTCATTCATTCTTATTTTCCTATTCTTGCACCCAGAGTGGCTCCACCATCCCTTGATTGTCCAATGGATGGCGCTGGGTCTTATTCTGATTCCCCGTCGGAAGAACCTATTTTGTTATATAGGCCACGGTCTCCCCTAAGTCTTGCTCTGTCTGCGATACTGGCTCTAATACCGCATCCAAATGACTTGGAACCGTCTTCTCCAGTTTCTGTCATCCGCCGCCGGGCGTATGCCCACACATTTGCTCAAATGGCCAATGCCAGCATTGAGGCCGATTGTGAGCTCCATGCCTCATCTACAGATCCTGCTCAGGCACTATCGAGTGACCGTCCCGCTATTGACCGAGAGATGTTTCATCCCCGGACTCCCGTGGAGCTTGAAAGTATTTTAGCCTTGCTGGTTCTCTCCATATACGAATACACTCAGCGAGGTAACCTCCTCAAAATGAGATACCGTGCCGGTCAAGCGCTGGCTATAGCATTGGACATGTCACTTCACGCCCTGGGAGAAGAGTACGATGAATTTGCAGAAGCACGAAGAAGAGCATGGTGGATGACGGTATGATATTTTGAGCCCAGTTACATCTTAATCACTAACCTCTTTGCACAGTACTACTGCGTTTTACAAGGATCAATTGTCAGCACGACGGTGAGCTTGAACTTGAAGCCCCCTTTTCTCCCACTATTTCTTCGTAGCTAATGCTTAGGAAAAATAGCCACTCTCAATTCTTGCGAATGACCCGCAATTTGTGACTCCTTATCCGCGATTTGCTGCAGACCCAGATGTATGACTTCAAACTAATCGCTGATGTGTCCATATTTTAAGATTTTAATGCATTTCATAGGGCTGGTCCGTTTTGATGCAAGCCCAACAAGTATTGGTTTCGGCGACCCAGTATATCATCGATCTGAACAAATGCATTGCGACAAGGACCAATATGCATTACATCTATGAGAGAATGCGACAGCTTGATGCCTGGGCTAGTTCTGCGCTGGCGCAGTCAAATTTGCTCCCAATTGTTCCCCAGTCTGTAAACGGAGGTAGCGACATTGAGTATACAACAGCTCAAAGTATACGTGCAATTTCGCGTATTAAGTTATCCAGGTGAGTACATACCTGACATTGTGGTGGCCATTATAACTAACGTCGTTCCAGTGCGCAAATCAAGGTCCATCGGTTTAGGGCATTCTCGGACATCCCCATTTTCATTAAAAAGCACTGCGATCTCACTGCAGCCAACGCCGGTAATTCAAATTCAGGGAATGCAGCGAAACAGGCAAAGGCTCAAAATGGAATATCCAACATCCAGTGTTCATGTGGTGGATTGGAGCCGTTTCAACAAGCCTCGTCGAGCGAGTTTACACCATCGTCCGCCTCCTCCACGTCATCTGATTATAACTCGATGTCGCAATACTCGTTCACTAATGGCTTCCCATTTAGTGTTCAAAACTCGGCAAAGGTGTGCCTTAGGGCAGCCCTGTTAATCTCGCACATGTTCCAAAGCTTGCCCTTTCCACAACCGCTGTGCGACGGGAGTAAGAGCCAGCAGGGCATGCAATTATTACCACCGAATCAGCTACCGCGAACTATGCCGTCGTTTGCATGCTGCTTGATGCAAGGAAGCTATGCTATGCTGATGATATTTTACAAAGCGCGAGTAGAAAGGCAAATGTCGCCGGATTATGGGAACAAGAGCCCAGACAATCCTTCGGATCGACTCATCGAAGAAATAAAACAAGGGCTAGAGCGTATTATTGCGACTGTGTCCAATTATTCAATTGCCTTCGAGGCGTTGGATGGCATGAGAGGTAAGCTGTTTTCCATGGCCATTGTAGACTCCAGTTGACTCGTTGGATTTACATCAGATGAAATTGAAGGTGCATATCAAACGGCGTTTCCGGAAGCTTAGAGTTTCTTCTATCTCCCCTCTATTTTTCTTTTCTTTTTTTTATTGTTCTTCGGTTCTTTTATATCCATACATACACCCACATATATAATACAAGCCCTCGTTCCCAGTAAAGGGAATGAATGCAGTTGATATAGGATCGGAAATAAATCAAGGTATTTATTGGTTTGGGCATGGAAAATTCAGACGGAATGGATTATAGATGGGGAAATAATCCAGGGAAATACTACTACTTATTCTGTTCTATTTTGATCCTAAGGACCAAAAGTGCCAGCTAGCCTTCGCTTTTCTGGCATTCTGACGATGATGATTACACTCAAGAGTATATTGATTTCTTTATTTAATTTTCTATCTTTCTTTTATCATTATGATCAATCGCTTCGCTTTCACCTTTGTAGAAAGATCCGTAGGTACTAAAGCTGCTTGACAGCATGTCGATAAGTCTATCCAATCACCAACGGGTCGTTCATCTTCTTGTTACTGTACGATGAATACTGGTTTCACTTAAAAAACACTCGTTACACCTGGAATGAGAGGTTCCAATTCCACAAGTCACCTGAAGCGTAAGAGTAAAATAAGGTCAGAAAAATGGTCTATTTATGTATGAAAAAAGTCTTAGTACAATAGACAAAGATAGCTGAGGGCAAATGGTTAAAGCTTCGATCGTATTCCTTCTAAGCGGAACTTGACGTCCTTGAGGACTTTGCTGGTGGGCTTCCACTCGTCAAATTGTCGCAAGAGCTGAATGGTTTCATCATACAGTTCACGACGAACAAACTCCTCTTCTAGAAGGCCACGCATGGCGAATGGCAAGATGTAAGGGTTCACTTGGGAAGAAGGGTGGCTACGTTTGATTTCAATGGTTGCACCTTGAACACTTGACGTTTCCAAGGCAAATTCAATAGCCAACCTATATTGGAAATTAGGACTGACTGGCCAGTCATTCTGGCTAAGATCCGCTTACCGATAGACCGCCTCATCGTTATATAGTTGAGAATGACCTTCTCCAGTATAAAGGCTTCCTGCTAGTGGAGAGCTCAATTCTCGAATCAGGCCATGGTCCGGGATCCCGAGATTTCGAAGTTTGAGGGCGAACCCAACTAAGTGAGAAACACTTGCGGACAGTTAGAAGAATTGTCGCAATAGGGAGAATTGTGTAGACTATAACTTACAAACTTGGTGCGTGGACTCTGCCGTCAACAAAAACAGCGCGATAAATATATGGATGGGTCACTGGTGAAAACAGCGACGACTGACCTAAGTTAGCTCATAGACTCACTTCGCATTTGAACAAACGCGACCAAAACAAACCTCGAGAGAAACAAGTTGATCATCTATACTTCCAACGTAAGATATGCGGACGCCAAATTCTAGTGAAGTCTTTAGTGCTACTTCATAATCCTTTGAAACCTGGCTGTAGGGCAATGCAAAATCAAACAGCTCCCCGGCAGAGCCACTAATCCACCGAGATCGGAAGTCAGAGAAGGGCCCCATGTTAACGCCAGCCATAGCACAAACACCGACTCGAGAAGCATTGAGACATCCGAAAGATATTAACTTTGCGACTAACATGATCGCAACAGGAACCCCCTGGCTATGGCACGCAACCAAGATGAAATCGGCTTTCCTTATTTCTTCCATCCAGTTAAGTAGTAATTTCCACAGGAGATCCACACGTTCCGCGATGCGACCTTCACCTTCTAAGGCTATCTTCTCAACTTTGCATGTATATCCATGATCGTCGACCCATTTCTGTATAGCATCCGCAGCCATATTCGAGAATCTGATGGATGTCCCTGTCGGCTGACCAAGAACGGTTCGAATCAAGGGGGCAGGGAAGTATCCGTGTATCCCTATCGCTAACGCATTCTTGATGTATGGTGGATTCCTAGCCATATAAACGTGTTTATTGTTAGATTCCTTGTTATAGTTTAGGAACCGTCCGATGGTCTGCAGTAGACTAGGCCTTTCTTGTAAGGCAAATGTGTCTTTGAAATGTGGGAGGACTTGGTTTGGTAATATCTTCTGTAACTGTCTAGAAGCAGCAGCTTCGGGAACATTTGGCATCGGAGTATTAAGTACGACATCTGGTCCAGGCGTGATCTTGTTAGGCGCTGTGGAACCACTCTTGGGGGATTTGATTTTGATGGTTCCTTTCTTTGAGATCTCTAGTTTTTGCTGTGACTCCGATTCGATAATATCGGGCTTCTTAAAAGATTGCTCTTGTTTAATAGAAGCTTCGGCTGATTCAAGTTCTTGAGGTTTTCCTTGTCCAGGGTCTTGTGAATTGTCCCGAAACCAGAACGACCAACTGGAGGGCTTGACATTTGTAGGGCCGGCATCGGCAGGGGCACCGATAGGGGCATCGGCTGAATCATCTACCATACCAGTATTATTTATGTCCTGATTTGGCCTTGGTGTTGAATGCGACAGCGAAGGAATGGTTTCCTCAACTGGAGGATTTCCATTTGTGGCAATTTCCTCAAACTTGGAAGAAGACGCGCCGTACCACATTTGGAACCAAGATCGTTTTTGCGAAGTTCCTGGGATTTCCGAGATTTCGGAGGAGTTATCCTGCGTTGTTGAGTCTTGCTCGGTAAACGGAGCGTTATTCTCCTTAGAAGTTTGATGCTCGGTGGAAGGACCGATCGGGGTTTCTACGACTGGATCGCCTGAGGTATTTGCTTCTGTTGTGGATGGGCTGTAAAACCATGTGAACCAACCTGTTTGTTGCCTAGATGCTGTTAATGGTCCGTTTGGTCTCGCAACTTCAATATTGGGATTGATATTGGCGGCTTCGGTTGCAGTGTTTGGTTGCACCTTATCAGCGACGGTCCCAGAATTTGTCTCCCTATCAGTCAATGTCTCTTTGCTTGCCGGCTCAGAGCCAGAGCCGGTGGGATCTGGTTGAGAGTCCACTGCAGGTGTAGAAGTAGAACCATCGGAGGCAATGTTGATTCTCGTTGTTGTAGCGTTGGCAGGAAGGGATCGGCTCAACGCGCCCGCTTTTCTCGTAAGTTGAAGTGAAGGGTTGCGAGGTATTTTGGTAGAATTAAGCTGAAGGGCTGATGAGGAAGCGATGTTCGACGCTACGTTCTTCGCAACTGAAATGCTCTCACGGGCAACCTCGGTAACTGGAACGGCTTTTGGTGATCTAGAAACGGTGGGCCAGACACTTGGATACCAGTTCTAGAAAGCTCACATCTTAATAGTCACGTATTAAAATATTCTAAAATATTTTATACAATATTCTGCCTTCCAAAAAAATAAAAATAAAAATAAAAAAATAAAAATAAAAAGACTTACGACTCCTTGCTTTGGTGGACTGGAGCATTCATTTCCCGCGGGAGATAGTGCCACCCCATCATTCAATGTTGGGGTGGATTGGGAGTCCGCGCCTGACGGGCTGGGCTTTATTCTCTTGCGAGATCCCGTGAGCGCCATGGAAGTACCAAAAAGAACATTACCAAGATAAATAGTGAAGAAGCAGGATCAAGCGGCAGAACAGCCTCAATTAAAAGCCGCTGGGATGAAAGACAACGCCATGTCAGGATGAACGAACGCCCGCCACGATGGATGGTTTCCCAACGCTGATATCACGGCACATGTCGGACGGGCCTGACCGCCTTTTGGTGCCTGAGGTGTAGACAAGGTATGGCTGTGATACTGCACCGCCACATCCAGAAAGGGGAAATTTTTCATTTGCGCGCGGTGTGGAGCCGCTGACAACTTTTTTTTTTTTGCGTCCATACAACAATCTCAACTTTTCAATCCAAATTTCAGTCGTAACCCACAATCACCTATTCGGGGGTTGGGGTTCTGGTCGACCCTTCCTTGGTGACCATCTTTTAACAATGGCGATTCAGAAGAAGGTGCGCGTGATTTATTGCCTTCAAAAATCGTGAAATACCGTTTCTTGTACTGACCAGTTGTAGCATGGTAAAGGCCGTTTGGATAAGTGGTACCGCCTTGCTAAGGAGAAAGGATACAGAGCGAGAGCTGCTTTTAAGCTAATCCAGCTAAATAAGAAATATGGGTTCTTGGAAAAGAGCAAGGTCCTTCTGGATCTTTGCGCTGCTCCCGGTGTTAGTCCTCGCTTTCCTTCCCTCCAATTCAATACCATTTCCTTCTAACAACTAAATCAGTCCTGGTGTCAAGTAGCTGCGGAATGCATGCCTGCCCAGAGTATCATTGTCGGTGTGGATCTTTCTCCGATTAAACCGATTCCTCGCGTGATCAGTTTTCAAAGCGATATCACAACAGAGAAGTGTCGTGCTACGATCAGACAACATCTTAAACACTGGAAAGCGGATACAGTGCTTCATGATGGTGCACCCAATGTTGGTACGGCATGGGTTCAAGATGCTTTCTCTCAAGCTGAGCTGGTGTTGCAATCCTTGAAATTGGCTACAGAGTTCTTGACCGAAGGTGGTACATTCGTCACCAAAGTCTTCAGATCAAAGGACTACAATCCTCTGTTGTGGGTCTTTAAGCAGTTGTTTACGTCGGTGGAGGCTACAAAGCCCCCTTCGTCCCGGAACGTGTCGGCGGAGATCTTCGTGGTGTGCCGCGGCTTCAAAGCTCCGAAGCGCATCGATCCCATGTTCCTCGATCCGAAGCATGTGTTCGCAGAATTGGCCGATCCCACCCCGAATAACGAGGCGCGTGTGTTCAACCCGGAAAAGAAGAAGCGAAAGAGAGAGGGTTATGAGGAGGGCGACTACACTCAGTACAAGGAGATTTCGGTTTCTGAATTCATCAACACCACCGATCCGATTGCAATTTTAGGATCATACAACAAGCTTAGTTTTCAACAACTGCCCGGGGGGGATATCGCCCTTGCCACCATAGATCGACTTGAAGAAACAACGGATGAAATTCGAAAATGTTGTGAGGACCTCAAGGTCTTGGGTAAAAAAGAATTTCGCAATTTGCTGCGGTGGCGGTTGAAAATTCGCGAGAAATTTGGGCTCATTGTGAGGAAGGGGCAACACAAGAAAGATGAACCCCAAGAAGAGGTTGCTGAGATCACCCCCATGGATGAGGAACTGGAAATTCAAGAAGATTTACAACGTCTCAGGGAAAAGGAGAACACGAGAAGCAAAAAGGAGAGGCGGAAGAACAACGAGAAGAAACGCAAAGAGATCCTTCGGATGCAAATGCATATGACAACTCCTATGGATATCGGGATGGAGCAACTGGGCCCCATTGGCGAAGATTCTACCTTTTCACTCAGACCCGTCGATAGGGAAGGGGCAAGAGAAGCGATCGAATCCGGTAAGGAGGCAACGGTGGAGAGCGACAGTGAGGACTCGCAGTTGGATTCTGAGGATGAAGATAGTGATGAGGAGGGTGATCGCTTAGAGCAAGAGCTCGACGCGATGTACGAGCAATATCAAGAGCACAAAGAGAATGGCGACTCGAAATTGAGAGCCAAAAAGGCTAGAAAGGATTACGAGGCCGAAGAATGGGAAGGATTCTCGGATTCTGGAAAAGAGGATGAGGGGGAGTCCGACAATGACTCTGTCGGAGTGCTCGCTGCCAACAAGGAGTCCTCAAAGGCTGGTGCACTCTCCAACAATGCAGCATTGTTCTTCGATCAAGATATTTTCCAAGGCTTGGAGGATGTTGATGATATTGAGGATGATGACGAGAATGACGCCGTTGACCAGAAGACTAGCAACCTTTCCTCGAAGGAGAAGAAGAGCTCTAAGGATACGAAGACAAAAACGCAAGAGAAGGATGACTTTTCCGATGACGAGCCGGAAGCGCTTGGGGACGATCCACGAAAACAGAATGGCCAGCTCGGTAAGCCCTCAGTATTTTTTTTTTTTTTACATCTGCATCCACTCGGCTTATCACTAACTACCGGATCACAGACATTGACATTATTACTGCTGAAGCTATGTCACTAGCTCAGCAAATGGCCTCTGGCGAGAAGAAATCCCAGGATGTGGTTGATGATGGCTACAATCGGTTTGCTTTCCGAGATGTTGATGGTCTTCCGGATTGGTTCCTTGACGACGAAACCAAGCACAGCAAAATGAATCGGCCCATCACCAAGGCTGCGGCAACCGCAATCAAGGAGAAATGGCGTGCTATCAATGCTCGACCGATCAAGAAGGTGATGGAGGCGAAGGGAAGGAAGAAGATGAAGGCCGCACAAAAACTGGAGCGGTTGCGCAAGAAGTCTGCTTTGGTGGCTGAAGATGAGAGTCTCAGCGAAAGGGATAAGGCACAAGCGATCTCCAAGCTGATGAACAAGGCGACTAAGAAGAAGCCCAAACAGCAGGTGAAATTGGTTGTTGCCAAGGGAAACAACAAGGGTATCTCTGGTCGTCCCCGTGGAGTGAAGGGCAAGTACAAGATCGTAGATTCTCGGATGAAGAAGGATATCCGGGCTCAAAAGCGAATTGCGAAGAAAAAGAAATGAGGACATGCCTGAGATGTGTGTTCATCTCTATCAGTGTATATACAAACTCGGAACAGTTGATACCCATATGGAGGGTGTATATTCAGAGATATTCTTTAATACACGACTATGATAGTTTTTCCATTCTTCATGCATGCAGCCAAGATCAGGATAAATGGTGTCCCATTCTCCACGTGTAACAGGTATAGATCCACAAATGTTTTTATTGCCTAGAGTGGGTGTTAAATAGTGCTTGGTTTTTTGTCTACTCTTCGCACTGTAAACACTCAGCCAGTCCGTTGCGAACCAACCGTATGTCCATTTTTGTGTATATCCATATACAATATTTATAGCAGGTACAGTGGTAGATCATCATACGTGAACGCCAAGTCCAGCTCCGAGTGGCGGCGCCAAGCCCCATCCATCGCCTTATCGATCGTTGGCGGTGCCTGACTTTTACTGGCCCGCCCGCTTTTTGCGGCTCCGATTCTTCTCTGCTCACTTCTTCTTCACATTCATGCTGCTTGTTTTCTTTCTGCTGTTTTAGAGCCTTCGATTTTTTAGATTTGCATTCAGTACATATGCTCCATCAAGTATCTTGATTTACTTTTTATTGTCTATAGATCTCCACCAGCCTTCCCCGTATCGGTTCTTATATCCGCCACACTACGGCGACCCGAACGTTGCTACATGGGTTTTTTTGACCACCTCCAGAAAGGAGGATCGTTTTCCCTGCAGCCAAAAAAGCCACAGATTCGCAAAATCGTTCAAACACGCCCTGCACCTTCGTCGAGATCCGTATCACAAGCCCCCACCACTTCGTCGCGAGTCTCACCGTCCGAAATACCGAAGAAACCGCGCGGTTCAGAGAGCAGATCGCTTTCGAGAGATACAGACCATCTTTCTTCGAGGCGACGGAGTACGCCACTACAAAACCGAAAGCGACAAACACCAGAGCTACGGCTGTCCAGCGACGACGATGCGAGCGACACGGACACCTCTTTCGAGGTGCGCAAGCGAGCCCGGACAGGCGACAGCACTGAACCTGACCTGGAGAGACGAGTGCGCTCGTTGAAGGCATTCTCTGAGGATAATGTGAAGCGCTTTCCCATGGTTCATGCTGCGGATATTACTATCCAGAAGGCGGAGAATTTTAAACCGGCTTTCGGGGAGAATGCGCAGTCCACGGAAATCGCATTACAGTATCCAAGTGCTTCTCCTAAAGAAAGGTGCGTAATAACTTAGCGGAAGGCATATGGCAGGATTCGCAAGGTTGTACTGATGAATTATCATCGTTTCTAGATATAACGTTGTGGTGCCTCGCGACAACGACGATTTCAAGCCAATCGACGATATTTTCTCGGTTATCGAAGTAGTATCCCAAAATTACATTCCTGAAGAGGAGGCGGACGAGTTCAACAATGAAACCACTGGCATCAAACGAAGACTGCGACGAGCGCTGGCCCATGCGTCTGAGACGGATTTTAGACAAGTCGTGACCGATTACAATCACGCGATAGAACGGTTAAGGCGCAGTGGCAGCATCGCGAAGAAGTTGGACTCGACACATCGTTTGAACCTACCTCTCGTGGAGCGGATCCTAACGCAAATATACTCGCGCACCGTCTCACCTCGAGTTGAATCACTCCGCCGATATGAAAACGGCACGGACAATGTTTACGGGGAACTCCTACCTCGATTTATCACCACGATTTTCAAGGAAACCAGTTTAAAATCCGGTCAGGTCTTCGTCGACCTGGGGTCTGGTGTGGGCAACGTCGTTTTGCAGGCGGCCTTAGAAATTGGCTGTGAGAGCTGGGGCTGTGAAATGATGCAGAATGCATGCGAGCTGGCTGAACTCCAGCAGGCCGAATTCAAGGCCCGGTGTCGCTTGTGGGGAATTGCACCGGGCAAAACGCACCTAGTCAGTGGTGATTTCCTTAAGGAGCAAAGTATCATTGATGTTTTGAAGCGTGCAGATGTTATTCTGATCAACAATCAAGCCTTTACCCCACAACTCAATAATGAGTTGATCAATCACTTTTTGGATATCAAAGAGGGATGCCAGATTGTATCTCTCAAGTCATTCGTCCCAGCCGGTCACAAAATTCAATCTCGGAACTTGAACTCCCCTATCAATCTCCTGAAGGTCAAGCAAAGGAACTATTGGTCTAATAGTGTGAGTTGGACCGATGTTGGAGGCACCTATTTCATTACCACCAAAGATAGTTCTAGGCTGAAGGCTTTTGTGGAAGAGACGGAATGAGAGACTACGAGCCACTACTTCTGCACATCTTTCTTGGATAGCTATGGGTCTTTTCCCAGCTACCTCGTGTCACTTCCATTTTCCCGTCTTCGTGTATTTGGTAGATAATTTGTTTTTCCTTTCCCTCGCTCTATATTTTACTTCTCGGAAATATCTCCCATCCTGAGACACGCTACCATTCTTCTTGCACAAATGTTGTCGGTTGCACATCACTATATCACGGCCATTGTTTTGGTTTCTTTCTTTCTTGTTTGGAGGGGTGCCGATTTCAGATGTCTGCCTTTTCCTCGCCATTTTTAGCCATTGTGATTCCTTGTTTATAAAACAATAAGGTTGATTGTATTGGCATTGTTATTCAGGTGCGGTGTGGATAGATCACGGGTATCATCATATACATGTTTAAAGAGAAAATGGACATAGATGTGTTTGCCATCCCGAAGCAACTAGCTTCCGAAGTTTCAAGATAGTTGATAGCCAAAAGCTGTGGGCTATCGCATGATTTGGCCTGTCACAAAACCTCACGAGAACTTAGAAGCGTCGTTCATAGCGTCCGCTTCCTTGCCCATTCGAGCCATCCAGCGATCGACGAGATCCTGATTTTCACGTTTAAGGTTCGCAGACCGCTCCTCCGCCATGTTCAACTGCAGATTCAGGGATGCAAGTTCATCTTGGAAGTCCTAAAAACCATAAAAGTCAGTGGTACACAGAGGCGGAGAGGAATGGTTATGAGACTATACATCTAGCAATTTCGCCTTTCCCTTCAACTCCTCGTCGCGATCCTTTAGACGTAACTGGAGATGTGTGATCTCCTTCTCCTGAGAACTAATTCGCCGAGTGCTTTGCGTACTTCTTTTCTGCAGTTTTTCCAGCTCGGCTTTCGTACGAGTAAGTTGATCTTGTAACTCGGAGCGGGACCGCTGCGCTTCTGACAAATCTGCTCGGGTTGCGGCTAGGACGTCTTGTGGAGACATTCCTGGTAGTTCGTTTGGATCCTTCCTGGAATCTCTCCCTGAGGAATGGGGCGTAGCACCCTGGGCTTCGGTAGGGTCTGATAATTGAGTAGCCGTTACGATCCGGCCGGTTCGATCCGCAAGTTGAGTATCTAATCCAATAGGTTGAGACGTTAGCTGGAGCAAGCCCACAGGTAAGGTCAACAGTAATGAGCTTTCAAAAAATCGCACAGGCATCATAGATGGCGAGATTGGCTTTTTCTCGTCGATCTCGAGCCGCCAAAGCGGCGGAGTACTCGTCCCTCCAATGGGCCATTTGATACCCGCGAAAAGGCAAGTGTATCGAATGGAATGGAACCTGCTATATTACAGACGCATTATAACACCAGACATGTCAGAATCCAAATGGAATTACATGCAAGATTGAAGCATGAAACCAAGGACACCAAGAGCCCTGGAGTCAATGAACAACAATCCATGAGTGGCGCAGGAGTGACTAGCAGCTCGTGCAGCCAGCAGGTGACCCAATGGAACGATGTCCTCACCGCCTGTTCTACCGCCTGCATCATCGAAACCATCGGCCTCCGCTAGCTCCTCCTGCTAATGATCTACCTCCCTCCTCTCCTACTTCATTCCTGACGACAGACTCGGTCAGAGTGTCCCAACTGTTCCCCATCGCTCGCAGGATCTTTACTACGAGCCACAATCTTGTTCTTTCTGCGTCATACCTCTATTCTTGTGCCGTTTTCCCCTTAAGTTTGCGTCTCGCATATCCGCTTATCTCTTCGAAGCCGCAACCATGTCGTCACGGAAGAAGGTCTTGCTGAAGGTAGAGCCAATTCACCATGTTCTTTAGCTGCGGAGACTATTCATCCCTGCTTATCTATATCTCCGATCCTTTAGGTGATTATTCTAGGCGATAGCGGCGTAGGGAAAACAAGTTTGATGAATCAATATGTCCGTGGGCCTAATCTCAGCATATCGATATGATCCACGCAGGGTTTGCTAATAAGACGTCGGAAATAGGTCAATAAGAAATTTAGCGGAAGCTACAAGGCAACGATTGGAGCCGACTTTTTGACGAAGGAAGTTCTGGTAGATGATCGACTAGTGACGATGCAGGTATGTGCCCGTACCATTGAATCCGATACCAGCATCGTGGAGACTAACCTATGGTGAATTAGATCTGGGATACGGCGGGCCAAGAGCGATTCCAGTCCTTGGGCGTTGCATTCTATCGCGGAGCCGACTGCTGTGTCTTAGTATATGATGTAAACAACCCTAAGAGTTTCGAGGCCCTAGACAGCTGGAGGGACGAGTTTCTTATCCAGGCAAGCCCTCGGGATCCCGAGAGCTTTCCATTCGTAAGTTGACCCATTCTGCGTCCTTCTGGTTCTTTCTGGTCGTCTTCGCAGTTTTCTGGACTCCAATGATTCATTGATTGATGGCTGTATAGGTTGTGATCGGCAATAAGATTGATGTCGAGGAGAACAAGCGCATGATATCTTCGAAGCGCGCAATGACTTTCTGTCAATCCAAGGGCAATATCCCTTACTTTGAAACGAGTGCTAAGGAGGCTGTGAATGTTGAACAGGCATTTGAAGGTATGTATTTTGCTCTCGCTGTTCAATGTATCCCAGGCGCGTCGCTGACATATTTCAGTCATCGCTCGGAGTGCTCTAGCGCAGGAAGAAGCAGAGGAATTCAGTGGTGAATTTAGCGACCCTATCAATATCCATCTCGACGGTGATCGTGATGGTTGTGCCTGTTGATACCCTAGTGACCGACGTGACTTATTTTTTAAATGATCCGTATTTCATGTCAAGATGTGCTGCTTTCTATTTGGGTTTCTGGGTGTTGTAGAAAGGCCTTTCTCCCTGATCCTGATCTGAGGAGCCTGGAAGAGTGTTCTTTGTTCCCCACCAGTGTTCATCTTATATATTTTGGGAGTTCTTCATGTACCCAATTTCCTACTTTATGATTGTTTGCCAAGTCGCATGGGGCTTTTACTTCTTTTCTTTTTACAAGCTATTCTTCTTTGTCCATTAATTCCTTTTCTTTTCCCTATTCAGCGTATCACTACACTATCTAGGAGTCTGGAATAAATACTACTTCTCAGTTCTCTTCTACATCCAATCCATCTGAAGCAGGAGACCTAATCGTAGCAAAATGCAAGTTGGGGATCATCATTCCGGTGACCGGTACCCCGTGCCATTACTCCATCTTGTGATACTTGGCGGTGTGGAGGATGTTACACTCGCCCCGTTATTCATTGCCGACTCCACCGGTTTCATCCCTTTCTGTTTCGTGCATGACCTCAACAACACCCTTGACTTACTTACTTACTTAAATTACCACTGCCTGGTTCTCCACGTGCCCCATGATCGACTATCAATCTCCCCGAGGAAGATCGCATGTCTCTCGCCTTGATCGATGAGCGCAAAAGCGGCAGAGTACCCCCGCCCATCTTCCCATGCCTTGTACTTCTATAGAGTAACAACACCTCATTCGCATCAACTGTGCTTTTATTAATGCATGGAGAATTCTCTCATGGATTCTACTCCCAGGGCCACGGGCTCAGGGCTGAAGGGTGTCGCGAGACGGTCCCTCGGCATCGGTCTGCTTTTGATTGTAGTGGTCCTATGGACGGCGTCGAATTTTCTAGCTAGTGTATGTGTTTAGCTCTCTATGGACTTTCTAGCATGAGTTTTTTTTTGGCTACACGATGCGATCTTTGCAGTGTGACTGACCGATCATTTTGCGTGTTCCAGACAATATTTGCCGACAATACCTACTCCAAACCATTCTTTGTGACCTATGTCAACACCTCGTTGTTTATTCTTCCGTTGTTTACTATAATTTTTGGCCGAATCTGGAGATTATGGCAGGCTGGGAAATTCTCCCGAATCCGTTCGTTTCAGAGTCTGATGCACCATCTTGATTCGCACGATCCCGACGCGGAGTCACAGAGCATATTACGCCACAGCGCTGGTCGCGACAGTGACGATGAACTAGAGGACCCCGAGGGGTTGAATACGGATAGTTTTATGCCAAAGGGGAGGTGTAATGAAAGCTCTAAGCTGGGCTTAAGAGCGACGGCGAAGCTGAGCTTCGAGTTCTGCATGTTATGGGTAAGAACTGCCCCTCATATAGAGATTACTTCTCGACATCTCGGATACAAACATGCTGACGGGCCTAGTTTCTTGTGAGTAGCCCAGCGGTTTTGGAGGCAACCCCGAAGTCGCCGCTGTTTTGACTAATGCCGGATTTGTGTTAACAGGCCAATTATTTTGCCATGGCCTGTTTGCAATACACCACCGTAGGGAGTACCACCATTCTAACTTCAACGAGTGGTACGTAGCACCCATCTAGTGCCCAAGAAACCATGATGATTTAACCTGTGTCGTCGCAGGCGTGTGGACCCTTATCTTCGGGGCCGTCATCGGGGTCGAGAGATTCACCGTCCGCAAACTCGTCGGCGTCGTCGCCTCCTTAGTGGGAATCATTCTGATTTCCCGTGTCGACCTCTCTTCTCCCGAAACACCACCGGTAGACGATGGCGGCAGCAGCAGCATTTTTCCGACGAAAACCCCAGGCGAGATTGCACTCGGCGATGCCATGGCGGGATTCAGCGCCGTCATGTACGGAGTATACACCATAGTGTTGAAAAAGCAAGTTGGCGATGAATCCCGAGTCAACATGCAGTTATTTTTTGGTCTTGTAGGCCTCTTCAACATGTTCCTCCTTTGGCCTGGGTTTATCATCCTGCATTTAACCGGGATTGAGACATTTGCGATGCCCGATACCGGGAGAGTATGGGCCATCATTTGGGTATGAATTTATTTATCATCGTTATCCCTTCGTTTCTTTACTCTTTGCTTTACCCTTTTTCTAACCTTGACAGACAAATTCTTTCGCATCTCTCGCATCAGACATCTGCTGGGCATACGCTATGCTCTTAACCACCCCCCTTGTCGTCACGGTCGGTCTCAGCTTAACCATTCCACTGTCCTTGGTGGGTCAGATCGTCCTCCAAGGACAATATGCCAGTGGTCTGTACTGGCTCGGTGCCACGATTGTATTTCTATCATTCCTGGTTGTCAACCATGAAAGTCAGGGCGGGGCGGATCCCGACGACCTGTCCGCGACTGATTATGATGCTCTTCCGAATGAGGAGACAGCTCGATGAGTTAATCTTAAGTATGTCCGTGTCTATTTCTATATCTATGTTTATTTTTTTATGTACTTGGATATTGTTATGTGTAGAGAAAGACTATTTTCGGTTGTTTTATGGTTTATGCTTAGAATTATATAGCCAATCCTATGATAAGAAATGGTGTTCATACGGAGTATTTGATAGCTGAAGTGGTATACTTCAGTCAATGTGAATAAAAGCATAAGTATTACACTATATTTATACACTGATGAGAAGAGAATAGAATATTGACATGATAGGGGAAACTCAATCCACTTCAATTACAATAGGCTAGCAGTCCATTGATTAGCAAATATTTAAAACACAGTGGAGTCCAACATCGCTATTTGTTGGCAAGCTTTAAAACCGAAAACAGAATGAGAATGACAAAGAATAGAGAATTAGAGTAAGATAGTTAAAGTTGCAAGAAAGAATGACAGGGAGGACAATATCATCAAGAATGTCGGGGGTATGTATGTCATAAAGTAAGATATTAAGAACAAAGAAAAGAAAAGAGATAGTACACCGTCAAGGTTCTTATAAACACAATTATAATAATGAAAGGGTGCAAAAGGGAAATTGAAGGAGTGAAAGAGGGTCCATATTCTGGACTTTAGATGTATTACTGTAACTATGCAGCTTTCACGCGGCCATGGCAGCAGTTCCTAGTCCTGAGGCTGGTTCTTGTTTCTTGCGAGCAACGAGAATGCTCTTAAGAGACCCTAGCCACTTTGTAAGGGACTCTTCATCTGGGGCGCACAAGCGGAAGGATTTCTCTTCTGCGATGATCTGCAGACAATAATGTTTGGAGCGAGACATTGGATCGACTTCGGCAGCATCAATCACTTGCGACATGGGGAGAATCTTAACAGCAGAGTACTCCTGTGGTAAATCAGTTGGTGTGTTGCACATTACGGAGTAGGGTGAAGAAGGCCAAAACGGAAACATTGCTGGATCACAAGGCCATACCTGTTCATCTTTGTAAAAAGCAAGGCTTTTGGGCCGTAAGACAACCCACAAACGCTTCCATTGCCGCACTGTTCCTTTGATCCGGAGGCATTGGAGATAGCCGTTACAAATAACCCTTTCCGGGTCGCGCAGAACCCTCGACTCACTGTGTCGGCCTGCATCGTACGACAAGGGCGAGTATCCACCAGTGGGAGCAGATACAGATAGATTCTGAATCGGGGTGATCGGTCTTTGGTTGACAGTAGCGTTGCTTGTAGGCCCATCCGACCATTCCGAGAATGATGTGACATCATCCAGTTGGCCATCAAGGTACTTTGATCGATAGCTCGGAGAAAGTGCCCTTCCCAATTCAGGTGAGCTAGCTCTACCAGCTTGCTCCATATCAGAATGATCAGTTGTGTCGTCAATGCGCTGATTATGGGCCGCCATGGACTTCGCTTTTCTCGACAGTGCCAGGAAAGCTTCCTCCTCTTCGTTAACGCGCGTTTCGGCACGAATGCGCGCGACCCAGTCGTCGGCTTCCTTTTCCGATGCTGCCTGAAATCGATAGTTTTTCGAAGGAGAGTAGATGCCAAAAACGTGCTGTCGACTCGACCGCGGACATTTTACGGACGCAACCGCGGTGACTTCAGATAAAGTAATGGACAACCGTAACCTAGTAGTTTCCTCGTCTTTATATACTGATAAGAGATTCGGCCGGAGAACGAGGTACACTGGTTTCCAGGAGGCGCTAAATGCCTAGAAGAAACAAACGTTAGCCAAGATGGCTCACTCAAAAGTCCCGGGTGAACTAACATGTTTGTGTTTAACTCGACGATTCACCTTCCCTGTCTTCAGGACTCGATCAAACTCGAAACTCCCATTTTCGTTGACGGGAGAGAAAGTATCCAAATTGACGTGGCCATTGCGATAGGACGATGCAGGAGGTGGAACAGGGAGAGGTCGAGAAGAACGTTGGATGGTGCCATCCGGGAGGTGGATTTCTGGAGCTTTGGCAGCGTCCTCGCGCGAGGGCGACAACGGCTGGCTCATAGTATCGCAAAATGTCTACTAGGCGATAAATGAACCGGTAGCCTTTGAAATCGAAATGCGAGGGAAGAAATCAAAGCGAACAAAACCTGCGCGGTGCAGATAAACAGCGTTGATAGACTCCTGGCCGCACGGCGCAAACACACATCTGGACACGCTGGGAGCTGCTGAGGGGCGAGGAAGAGTGGATTTAAGAGGGGCTGGGGGCCTGGGCTCTGGACGAAGTTAGAAAGGCAGATGTATTCAGAAATGTGTTTGACTGCGAGGAAGAATGAGGCGTAAAAGAGCCAGATGGGATATGAAGAAAAAAAGAGATGGGGAAATAACAGGAAAGGGCCGAGAACGCTGAAGATCCACCCACTGTCACGGATGGATGCCTCCTGACAAGATCGGTTGGAAGTGGGCTGTCGATGACGCACAACTCGATTTAGGTAGGATTTGTTGTTGTTGTTGTTGTCATATGTGTGTGTGTAATATGTTTTCCACCTGGACATTTCAGGAGATCATTCCTCCATCCCTTTTAGACAGAATGACGATCCCCTCACTTGACACTCGTTCCACGTGGTCTTGATCTCCGGATATTAATTGAACTGGTAGGAATAAATATTTACTAATTAATAGTGAGAAAGAACAGGTGACAAAAAAAGAGAATAAGGGTCTTCTCAATTCTTCAAGCCTGAGTGGATACCATCTGCAGTATGTGACGTGATGCTATACTCAACACTGGCGGATCAACTGTGGCGAAATGTCGACGTCAACCCAATGCATCTTATGAGTATACAATAACAACATATCCCCTTCATCTATTGAACCAAAAAAATCTCGTTTAGTAGCGACAAGACAGACATGGGATGGAACAAGATGAACTACCCATAAACAGGTATGCTGCTACCTATTCACTGACAAGCGATAGGCAATAGGCATTTCGTGAAAAGAACGTTGTACTATACACATATATCATCACATTTAAGCCGCAATTCAGGAATATCTTAGCCCCCCCCCCCCCGAACCAGCATAAGATTGGACCATATAGATATCTTATGCACTGATAGCATTGCATAGTCTCAACAGGGTGCCTCGAAGATGTGGATTTGGCCCAGGGAGGTTCTAAGGCAGAAGCAGCATTCATGATGACATTCAACTAGCCGACTAGATCTGACTGAGTCAGTGAGATTGCATGTTCTCCCATGGAATATATATAGCTCTTTGCATCAGCTTGTTCTCCGGGCAAAAACACCAATCCACGGACTTATACAGGAAAGCTCTTTACATGAATTAGAGATGATGTTATTCAACAGAGGTCCAGATCAGAATTTCTATCTCTGTGCCATAGGTCCAATAGCTTAATGTACCTTATCTAATTGATCTTTCAAAATACCGAGAACTGTTCTCGAAGACGGAGAGAAAAAAAAAAAAAAAAGAAAGTGAGAAAGTATCGATTTCCGAAATATCATCATCGTCCCCTTCAATGCAGTTATACGATATCGAGGAAGCGACTCATCACTCAAGACAAGTCAGCCTTGAACTGCCGACTGAAATACAGCTAAAGGAATCGTATGGAACATCAAGTCGGTATGGGCCTGACCTACAACTGGATCAAACACACCCTATTTAGCCCCTTTATGCATGTTTCGTGTACCTACATACTGGCTTTCTTAGGGGCTACGCACGGAGTACATAAACATTGCCCACATACATATATGGCTTGAGAGCATGACTCCGGCTCCCCAATTAAAAGCCAGAATCAAGTGGGTTCTGCACGACAGCTTTCGTAATTATGCTGTAGCGTGCTGATATAATCAATCATGCATGGCTAACTAGTTACTCGGAGTATATGATGTTCTCTCCGTTAATGGACTGGGGCATCGTTCAGATGGTCCCAGGTATATGACATGACACTCGGTATTGCCTTAAAAGGCCACATCGACTGATCCGCCAAGGTGGCTGTCGGGATAACAGGATCTGGACACTCTTCTTAAATTACCAGTTGGTATTACTGTTGTTCCTTTCAGTATCTTACACTATTTATAGTGCTACCAGATACATATAACGGTCAATCTAGGGTCTTGACGGGCCGAGTCCGCTGTCTATAGATATTAGGTAAATGAGCCCTGAGTTACGTACTTGTTTCTCAGTTAGCTTGGGAGGGTATATATATATATAAAAATAAAAAAAAAAAAGATGGAAAGAAAGAAAGATATGGTTCGTTATCATGCAGCCTGTAGTATCATTAAAGACTGATATTATATTGCGACATCATCGCCATCTATGTTTTAGCCATCGACTGTTGGCAATTTGACAGGAATTATCCTATCGAATCCGCCGCCATTTTGAGAACACTGCCAAGTGAAGGAGTATAATACTAATAAGTACTAGTAATTCGTTATAGGTGCTAGTTAGCATAATTATTATTCCCTATCTTTGAGCCCCTTATGTTTGTATAGAACCCTTTCAATAATGCGATAAACTAAACCAGCATTTGTACGGAGTACTCCATAGGTAGAGAGTACCTACTAAGTACAATTTGTGCGACAGGATCCACTTATTTGTTTAAGTTTTAAAGGAAAGGTAACCGTCGAATTTGAACTATGTTCCCATATTCGAATATCATTTAAAAAGGCTGCACGAGAGGAGAGAAAAACAAGGGAGACTCCTTGGAAAAAAGACAGCTCTAGGTGTTTGTAAATAGAAAACTCCCGTATATACCACTTTCCTGCGGCTCTTCTAGATTATAAACCCAATCAGAAGCTCTGAAACGTCAAATGTGCCTGATTCTGTTCTGAAAGACTGTGAGAAACCCGGATTCTATGATATGAGGGAAATTCAAGCAAAAATTTACGTCAGGTTACTTTATTACCGAACTATCGTGGTTTTCTCTTAGGTGGTCTTGGAGAGAGTAGTAGGGTATGCTATCACCTTAGTTATAACCTCAAGTACTTGTAGCAATTTACCACTTCCGACTGCTTATAGGTCCAAGTTACTCCGTAGGTAGGTACCTATTATAGGAATGTAGCCTCGCCTCCTAAGGAAAAAATTTTAAGAAATCAAAAATTCTACACATATTACATACATACAGCAACCGCTTACCGTACGGAGAGCCGCCGCTCCCGATTTGGACTGGGTAAACTTACCGTCTGTGACCGTGACCGTAGCCGCTTGCGCCTCCCTGGTCTTGGCGAGACTTCCAGTCATCCCCATCCCCAAAATAATCTTTTCAGGCGTTCGCTTCACCTCGTTGATTGCCTCCCGCAATTCTCGACCTCCCGCCCGGAGTTGTGATTGATGAGCTCGCCCACTGCCTCCGTGCTTTCGGCCTCATTGCTCTGGACTTCAGTCCCCTGCGTTGCTCTCAACGCTTCCCCAACCAATCTCTCTCTGGCCGACTGAGCAAAAAAAGTTGGAGAGAGAAAGGAGGCTTGCCTCCCGACACTCGTTTATCTATCTTTTCTTCTTGTTTCCTTTTTCTTCTTCTTTTCTCTTCTTTTTTTAGCCAGGCCCTTCCATTCCCATTTATTACAATATCACGCTTTATTATTATCACGGCTCACAGCTCCAGAGCATCAATACGGCGATCTTGTCTCGTCGTGATCCGCGTGCCGGGCTGTTGATCATAGTCGCTTTAACTATTCTCCCAAATTCAGCGCGTGTTAACTAGCACTTGGACTTTGGGAAGGTTTTCTGCTGTGTTGGGCGGGTCTTGATACAGGTGCTTCATCCTGTTCCCCTTGAGCCGACGCAGTCTGGATACTCGTACCAATGGGCTTGAAGCAGCGGATTTCCAAATGGCTGCCCTCTTCGCCGAGCTTGCCATTAGATGATTCCTCGCGCGAAAAGGGCCGCAATGTCTCTAGATTCGCTTTCTTCAAGCGGAGGATACGGTTGAAGGGCAACTCATCGATCTCAATACCCCTGGGATTTGTGTTGCTATTCCCATGCGTTGTAATAGTCCTTGTTCTGCTTCTATTTGTCCGACATCCTTCATCTCCCGGTGGAATCCTAATTCCTGCAGGCGCCCCGCCATCTATAAGGTTCGCTAGACCCCTGACTTCCAATAGAACTGCCGTGGCTTGTTTTACTGACTGTATCAACTCACCATACAGAAAGATTAGTGAAAAGTATGATAAAGTATTTGCAACGGGATGTCGTACGGTTGAGAAAGAAGTGAAAGGCCCGCGAGCCAACGCTGCATTTGTCGTACTCGCCAGAAACAAAGAGTTGGATGGCGTGATCCAGTCACTCAAGTCGATCGAGAGGCACTTCAATCGATGGTTCCACTATCCTTATGTATTTTTGAATGACGGAGATTTCGATGATACGTTCAAGGGTACGGTGAAGAACTATACAAGTTCTCCTGTGGAATTCGGCAAAATTGATGACACCATGTGGGGTTTCCCTAAATGGGTTGATCAAGATGTAGCCAAGGAAGGCATCAGGAAACAAGGGGATGCTGCCATCATGTATGGAGGGATGGAGAGTTATCACCACATGTGCAGATTCTATTCCGGGTGAGTGTCCTGGGTCGAATAATTTGAGTGACGCGCGCTAATATTCCCCCCCCCCAACAGACATTTCTATAAGCACCCCCTTCTCATGAAGTACGAGTGGTATTGGCGTCTTGAGCCTGAAATCAAGTATTTCTGTGATATCACTTAGTAAGGACATCTGAATTATCTACACTTTGTTACTGGTTGCTGACGTACATAACAGTGACCCTTTTCTCGAAATGGCCGCGGCGAATAAAACTTATGGGTTTACAATTGCTGTCAAGGAATTGCGCGAAACTGTCCCCAACATTTTCCGTTACGCCTCTGCTTATATGCGAAAGAATAACCTTAAATCAAAAGGTCTGTGGGAGATGTTCCTCGAAAGGCCTCCGGAGGAAGAGCCTAAACCCGAGGAAGAGAAGCAAGACAAGCTACCCGAGGAAATCCTTCAAAATGAGCCGGGCAAGAACACCGTGCCCGATGTTGACCCAGAGGCTATGGAAGGCGAGAAGTACAACATGTGCCATTTCTGGAGTAACTTTGAAATTGCACGCTTGGATTGGTTCCGCAGCAAGGAATACGAAGAATTCTTTGAGATGATGGATAGAAGCGGAGGATTCTGGACAGAAAGAGTACGTATCTATTAGATGGTCGTTTCCCTATGATTTCTCTGGCTAACAATGTCATAATAGTGGGGCGATGCGCCTATCCACTCACTCGCCGCAGGTGCTCTTCTGTCCCCCTCTGACATCCACTATTTCCGTGATTTTGGCTACCGACATACCACCATTCAACACTGCCCCGCCAACGCTCCCGCCCGACAGTTGTCTCGAGAACCGTGGCTTGAATTGACCACACAGGATGAAAAGGAGCGCTTCGAAGAAGACGAGTACTGGGCAAACCCTGACCCTGTAAAGGAGAATGGCGTTGGCTGCAGGTGTAGATGCGATACAGATATCGTGGATGTTGAGGGCAAACAAGGCAGCTGTCTTGCTGAGTGGGTGGATGTTGCGGGAGGTTGGGCATCGCCCTAGGCCTTTTGATTATTCGCTGTATAACCTTCGCCTCCTCGTTTACGTACCTATCTGTTCGACTATGAGCATTACTCGGGTCGCTCTTGGAGTTATTTGCTTGAGCCTGCATATTCTGTTGGGCTGTGGGGTTCTGGATGGCGTTAAACGGATCTGACGGATTATATCAAAGACGGTGTGGCCAGTCTCATAAATATTGGCAATTTCATCTAGCGTGCCTTGTATGTTTCATTTGGATTGCCACCTTTTTGTCCAGAACATATCCGATACCGGGGAGCCTCGGAAAGGTGTCATTGCTCGCCTACGAATCTACGTTGCAAGTTGGCCAATTGAAGTCTGCGCCGACTAGTCTGTGTCTAGAACGACAATTGTCTGCAAAGGACTCTTGTTTATCCTGGGTCATCGCAATGTTGTCCTTACTATCAAAGGCCAAGGATGAACACTTCTTGCTCACCAGGTCTCCTTTCATTGATAATCTCGGGGCCTTGTCTTGATCTTCGTCCTTATTTCCGAACGCTGTATGATGATGGTTCCAGTACCATGGTTGCTTCTTAAGGTCAATGATGTGGATAGGGGGTGGATGAAAGGGTTAACAGTGGCAGGACTCACGCATCTAGGTGGTTCGTTTGGCCTTACATCGACTGCTATAGTTCCTTCCACCTTGGTTTCTTGATTTCCCCTTTCTCTCCATCTTCTCTCGCTCAATGTTTTCCATTACTGCTTTGCCCTGGTTCTGCCCCCCGCCGTTTTCGCATTAAACATCACGTTATGAAATGTACATATATTGTTTCCTCGCCTCCCCCTTTTTGAAACCCTCTTGTGAACCCAGTGTTTTGATTCCCACACGCATATAGCTCTGCCATCCTGAATGACTAATCCAGAAATGTCGGTTTATAGACTATGCAATAATTGTAGCCCTGTGAAGACCTTGGTGCAATTGTATGCTTGTGAGCATATTGAAATGACTAGCGAGTACAAATTATTGCCCAAATGCTCCTGCATGCCCTCTTTGTCCGGCTCGATTCACGAGAACTTCAGTAAGGAAGAAGCCCTCAGAGGAGCGCTACTATGGCTATAGGGGCTGAATGAACCACACTACTGAATAACAAGATATTTAAACTTTTCTCAATCGAAGAGTGTAAACACACTACCGGTTTCTTGGAGGAAGCCTTGAAGGGAGATATCTACCCATGTGGGACGCGAAAATACAGATATACGACCTAGATTTGTATACATTTACAAGAGGATTATTCCCGCTACAGAAGAGTGAAAGGGATTGGTGACAGAACTAGGCTGACATGATTTGTTTTGTTTGCTAAGGATCTGTAGAGTATTCCGGCGTACTACAGCCCAGTAATGAAGAGAATGACTGAGCTTCGCATGTTCTCTTCCCATACTTGCTATATAAAGGTTTAAAAGTAGACGCGCATTTACAGCCTCCAATTATGAGACTCCACGGAGTACTAAGCAGATACGTACCCACCAGACTTGAATTAAGCAGAAGAAAGCCCCACTTCGGAGGGTCTAGCCGGATCGGATACTGGTCATCGTTCATATTCCACGACTTAGTAGATAGGAGGTACCTCAACAGTATAAGTTGCTGGAGAAGATACTTGTGCCACTTTTCCCCTGTCTGATGGAAGAATTTCGTAAGCTGGTCTCGTCATGTGCCCCACGTTTGGCAGTCACGCCTACCGAATCGCTCGCTGCTGGACGAACTGAATGACTGAGCTACTACGATCCTGTTATCATCGAACTACTTCTTTGGACGATCCCCACGGCTCCTCTTCTTATCTGCCCCTCTTTCTCGTTCTACCCTCGATCCAGTGGATATACCCCTCCTCTCTATCCCATTTGAAGACTCCTATACCTCGTAGTCTTTCCGCGACATAATCCACTGGCACCTGGCTTACATGCTATTCCCGCCCGATTTTGTCTTCCACGTCCCCACATCAGTGTCTGCCGAGCTCGTCATCGGGCATCCGCCTATTAGCCTGAGCTGATCTAAGGAAGCCTGTCGACAACTCACTCTCTGTCGTTCACAAAATAGACCAGAGCGGAAGAATTAAAAAAATAAAAGAGAGAAGCTCCCTCTGAGAAGTTAACGTAACCTCCCGTTGACCTACCGTTTTATTCTCTGTCTTCTGGGTCCGAGTCCTCACCCGCTACTGTATTCCCGATCGGCGTTTCGCTCTACTTGATCTACCTCCATCCCCTCACCTCCGTTCCCATGACACTTACGATCTATCGGCATGGCTGACTCTCCAGAGCCCCCTTCCAGACGTCTAGCTCCTGCCTCCAACGATTCCCATCTACGATATCCTACTCTCCCTCCCTTGAGTGGTTCGGTTGAGGAGTGGCTATCCCGATCAAGGCCTATCACGATGACGTCAACGCCACTGTCTGAACACCCGCCCAAGTCACTGAGCGAGAGCTGGGCAACGCTGAGTGCATCTGATGTCCACTCTGAGGACGGCGCTCGGTCTGAGCCAACCGATGCTGGATCCTTTATTGATCAGACCGGGCCGGACGATGTTGCAAGCCTCGATGAACGGTACACCAGCAGCGAGGTTGACGGAAATGATGAAGGGGGATTTGATGGAGACGGCTACGATTCTAAGAGCAACGTCTCTGAGTCACAGGAGCTGCCTGCCATTTTCCCCCAGATAGGAACCTCTATTGATGACAGTAATATCACGGCCAAGACCGCCTTCCGTCAACCGACTGAGTCGATCGAATTTATTGAACCCGAGGAATGGCCTGAAGTCGAACGGGTAGAGCTTAAGCACACGATCCGTGTAGTGGAAGGAGCCGAAGCTGCAGAGCTGCAGAATCAACTGCCCTTCAGCCTTCAGGACTCGATCCTTACGGCCACTGTCCAACAGACAACGACAAAGAGGAGCCTTGAGACTGACAAACCGTTCCGTGTGCTGTACATTGGCAGTCCCGAGTTCCGGAACATCATCCTTGACAAAATAGGAGATGTTCTCGTATCTAGTACCTGCAATGGTTTTGAGACCAGCTCCGCAGAATCCTCCAGATACCATGTTGTCCCGACATCATACGGCACGGGGGCCATTCCAAATTTTGCGGAACTTCTTCCGATTCATTTCCAGCTTGTTGTTGACGAGTGCCCTGGAGCCGTCTCGGACGGTCGAACCGATAAGCCCAATACAATCACCTTAAATTTGAAGAACCGACCATCTTGCACATCCTTTTGGACGGGCAATGAATATTGTATCTCGTCCCTATCAGAATGGGCAGTACCCGATGTAGCTATTATTTTCGTCTCCAGTGCGGACACTCCGGCTGTCATGGATACTCAGAAGTTAGCTCGCATTGTGATGGAAAGGCACAATGTTCCAACTATGGTCATATCAGAGCAACCACTTTGGAAGATGGCCAGAGAAGCAATCCCTCTAAACCACCAGAGCCTTCATATGTGCCTGGAAACTCGTCATCTAATAACCGGGAAGACAGCTGTCGTGAGACGGTATCCTATTGATCTTAAGACCTTTGAGAGCATAACTCCCCACCAACTCAACCGAAATCTAGCGTCCTTAGCGAGCAGCTACCCTAATAAATCCAGCAGAGTTGCTGCTGAGAATTCCAAGCTTGCTCGCAAGAGACTTTTCTTCGATACGAGGAAGTACGCGAGACATGTCTCTCCCCTTTTCTATCTGAGCGACCGATACGATTTGACGTTGGTTTTGCGTCTTCTTCTTGTGACTCTCGTTTCTGCCGTTTCTATTACAGTAGGCCTATCGCTTCTCAGGGTGACCATTATTTTCCTTTCGCAGTTCCTTGCCAGATCTGCTATTTCCAACGGCCTAGAAAAGCCTGCTATGAGCATGAGTCCCGCCACCAGTATCACGCGAATTGATGGGCTGAAACAAACGTCGCTTTCTGTACTGCATTCGTCTACCGGGGATGTGCAGACCTTGGGAGACCAACATTCGACCCGAGGTCGGTTGGAAGACATGATAAGTGAAACGGCACTCCCGTCTAAGCAAGGAGACAAGTCAAGTGGGTTTGAAATCCAGGTGGTGGGCGACTGTCATTTGATCATCAAACCTCCCAACAAGACATTAACAAGTAAAAAACAACCGAAATTCAGTGTTCAGGTCAGCCGACGTGACAAAGTACTTGACTATGAAATTTCCAGGTTGTTCGAAGAGGTATACACTCTCAAGCTGGACCGCGGGGATGCATACGGAATCGTGAATGTTACTATCAGCACTGGTACGAAGCCTCCCATAAATGAGACTATATCCGTGGACTTGGGAACACCCTGGTTGAAAATTGCGAATTGGAAACGAGCGGCACAGGTTATCCGATCACAGCTCATGAGAGAGTTTAGCATTGCACAAAATGGGCTGTCAGAAGCATATGGCCGGCTCTGTACTGATTTGCAGGTGCTTATGGGTGATGTGGTGAAGAAAGCACATGTCCTCCGCCACGAAGCCAACGATCTTCGACGTAATCCAATGGGACTTTCTCTCGAGTCCAGAGATGTGGTTCTTTCCAAGTCAAGACAACTCTCTGAGGTCGTCCGACGTACCGCCATCCAGCCCTTTCTGGCAGCATCGTCGGTGCTACAGGACCATACTAAGAAAGTAAACAGGGAGGCGAAGGAGCTTATGATCGGCACATGGAAAAAGATCAGCACTCATGCCCATGAGTTTGACGTGATCACATGGGTGGACTATGTGCGCAACTTGAGGAAATGCAAAACTTTGGACAACGCCCAGAGGAGAGCCAAGGGGCTGATGAGGCGGAGGAAATGCCGACGCTCTGAATGTGGCCGATAAGGGCTGAAGTAATGACACTTAAATAGTAGTATGGGGACTTCACGTCTTCCTTGTACCCTTTCCCCCTTTCTTTTTTTTCTATCTTTTTGGGTTGGGTTAGTTATTCTCAGGCGAACAGGGAGGCGAGATAATTTTTTTCTCTTTTATTTTCCTTTTCCCTTGTGCTCTTTTCCTTTTTTTTTTTTTTTTTTTTTATACACCTTTCAACCGTCTTTCACCCTGTGCTGGCTCCCATCCAAGGAGTTCCTGGGACTTTCTGACTGATGTAAGAACGGAAATCTGGGCAATTGCTACTTGTGTCATCAATAATAGTATTTTATGACGACTCTTGTGATCATTCGAGGATTGGGAAGGAGCAATAGCACACGTTGATCTACAGCGTCTAAACGATAGATGTAGGAAACCTAAAGGGTGGCAATTTGTGGCCTTAGGCAGACAACCTCCCCCCCACCTTGTAGAACAAAAACAACCGCTCATATTTTCCCACTTTTTCCCCCAGTGATATTCCTCTCCCATCGATCAGTTCTCTTTCCCCCTTACCTCTATAACCAGGTACGGTCCGGTAGCCCTGAAATTGTGGGAACTGCATTTGACTTATCTAGATTTACAGATCTCCTTCCCATCCTTACCACTATGTCTGACGTCGCTGACACGAAGCCTGACCCCACCATCGCCGCTCCTGAGGCTCAGAAGGCCAAGGAGACGACCCCTGCCAACACTGAAGAAACCAAGACAGAGGAGGCTCCGAAACCCATGGAGGAGAAGTCCGTGACTGAATCCGCAGTCGACACGGCTAAAGACACCGCCACCAAGACCACCGACAGCGTCTTCTCCATGTTCGGCGGCGGCCCCAAAAAGGAAAAGAAGGAGGAGCCTGAAGATGACAAGAATGAGCCTTCTGGTTCATCAAAGGCCCAAAAGGCTAATGACGAGGTAAGAAAAAGATATATATATATATATTTAAAAAAAAAAAAAAAAAAAGTCCCCTTTCCTGTTGGCACTTTGGGTTTGCGCACTAGTCCATCTTTCCTTCTGAATTTTCATGATCTCTCAGAATTCTACACACCCAGTTCCATGGAGTGCAGAAACTGGCAGGAAGGAAGATGGATATGAGTCCAACAGAGATGATTGAGCCCGTAGCTAACGCTGTATCTTCTACTATCAGGACGAAGCACCAGAGTCCCCGGAAGTTCATTTCGAGCCCGTCATTCGCCTGACGGAGAAGGTGGAGACCAAAACCAACGAAGAGCTTGAGGAGCAGATGTTCAAGATGCGTGCCAAGCTGTTCCGATTCGACCGTGACAGCAAGGAGTGGAAGGAGCGTGGTACCGGAGATGTTAGGCTGCTTAAGCATAAGGAGAACCAGAAGACTCGCCTAGTCATGCGCAGAGACAAGACCCTTAAAGTCTGCGCTAACCACTACGGTACTTTTGAGTCCCCCGATACTTTCCTGAGATGTGTGAGAAGCATGCTAATGAGAACTCAGTTGTTCCCGACATGGAGTTGAAGCCCAACGTTGGCAGTGATCGCAGCTGGGTTTGGAACGCCACCGCCGATGTCAGCGAGGGTGAGCCAGAAGCGCAGACATTTGCCATCCGTTTTGCCAACAGCGAAAGTAAGTTGATCAACTTGGACCATGGGGACTTTGAGAGCGCATTGTTAACCCGATTTCCAGACGCCAACCTATTCAAAGAGTCTTTCGAGAAGGCTCAGCAGGAGAATGAGAAGATCCTTTCTCAGCAGTAAAATTTCCGAAAAATCCGGGAATCGCCGTTTACTGGAACGATATGTTTTAATCGTCGTATTGATTTGATTCCCTCCATCTCCATTCGGTCTACTTTCATGACCGTTCACGAAGATATCGTTAACCTTTACCCCTGAAATTCTTTCCCCGACATCCTATTTTCCCCCTATTGATTCCTCCCCTTGCCCTATCCCCAGCTTTCCCGATTAATGACACCGGTCATGATCCGGTTGTGAGTCGAACTTATGGCACCAGTCCGACGTCGGTCTCACATGACTAGATAGACTGTCGTTCGGGGCCAAGTCGGCCGTAGATAGACGTTTCAAACCTCGAATATACGTTTAAAATGCTTGAATGCCTCGATTTGATTGATGTATTGAGATTTTCGAAAATGATAGACTTGCTGTGGCTGTATCTCTCTCTTCTGGCCGACTAGAATCTTCATTACTTATCGCCGTAGGATGGCTGAATGAGAATAATAACAAGACAAGGACAGAGTAAAGGACCATAGTGATAGATTTTCTCTCAAACGGCATTCTCCCTGGGGTTCTGGTGCTTCAGGGTTGGTGGACGACTGTCGGGGCGTGAAGTCGGATCGCTTCATCTGCCGTTTAGAATCTCATCGTTCTTCCCCCACTCCCAGCTTCGCTCTCCATCCCCTTTCTCGCTGCTGCCATACGTCCACTCACTTGTGTCCACCTTTCTGTTTGGACTTTTTGCCTTGATTAGGGTTGATATATTCTAGCTGTTGCATTCACCTGGGCTTGTGCAAATCAATACACCAGGCCCAGCCAATTAGCCTCCAAGCTCGCTTCACATTGCAGTCGCGCTTGCTGGACATTCCGGTCCCTTTCTTATTCACACACCAAGTCCGGTCCAATTCACCTCTTCCGTGAGCTTGATTTAAAGCCTGCAAACAAGATGCCTGATGTGAGTTTGTGATTGCTGTAGCTGGCTAAGATTCCTGCTTGTCACTCCACCAGCGCGTGATGCTGGTCATGAGCCAGTAATTGTGCTGCTTTCGCATGTTGCTAACACGATCTTTTCTCCCCTTCAGGTTAAACGGAATATCCGACTAGTCACTGAACAGCATGTTGTGTATGTCTTGAAAATCTCTCTTCCGCACGCGCACGCCTCCTGGCGTCGAGAACAGCCCTTCCTTCCCTTCACTACTGGCCCTTCCTACCCTTGCACTCTTACGGTTGATGTCGCATGGAATTATATCTCCTGCGCTGGCTTCTTTTCCTTCCGCGTCGTATATGAATGGTGATTGGAATGGGTAGGTGATTTACCTAGCTGACTATTCGCGTCTACAGGAACAAAGACTCGGGCGTTGAAGGGTTCCCTCTCCGATCGTGGTCGATTGAGATCTACGTCGTCAATGATCACGGAGAACAAGTTGCGGCAAATGTTTTCGACAAGGTGACATACACATTGCATCCTAGTTTCGGCGATCGAGCTATTCAAAGTGCGTCTTTCTATCTACCTTCTTGCACTCCCTTTAATACCGCCACATGCGCATCCTGCTTTTCAAATTTGGATGGATTGAAGAGAGCCTGGCTGCAGAGGTATTGAGAACGATAGGCTAACGTGTAATTGACAACATTAGCGTTCAAGAGCCCTCCATTCAGAATCCAGGAGGAAGGATGGGGTGAATTCGACCTGCAGATTGGCCTCACTGCCGCTGACAAGGAGCACTACGTGACACATGACCTGAACTTTGCGCAGACGCGCTATGAATCCAAACATGTCATTGTGAGTAACTGGCGGCCTATGACTTATAGTCCACTATACTCATTCTAATGACCTATCTACCTAGACATTTAAAAACCCCAAGCCTGCTTTATTGGCTTTGCTTCGTGAATCTGGCCCCGTCCCCGGGGACGAGAATGGTGTGAAATCCAAGCGTTCCGTAGGAGCCGACGAAGGATCCAAGAAGAAGAAACGGACAGAAAAGAATGTGAGTTATTGCAAATGACGCACACCTACGAGGCCACCGTCTAATTCTAAACTTAGGTCGACATGGATAAACTTGCCGACGGCCTCCAGAAACTTGGGGAAGACGACCTTCTGCAGGTGGTGCAGATGGTGCACGACAATAAGGCACCAGACTCGTATACCAAGAATGATGTTGAGCGTAAGTTCCCAAGCGACATACGACCGCTATTCCTTCCCCCGTTCTAGTTATCATGACTAATTGAGGTCCAGAGGGCGAATTCCATGTCGACCTTTATACCCTACCGGATAATCTAATCAAGATGCTGTGGGATTTCACGCAAGAGAAGGGTGCTCTGTGAGCGGTTGGAAAAGCTTGGATAATCTAACTATCACTTGCATTTTGTCTCCTCACTCTGATTCTCCTTTTTTCTCTTTCTTTCTTTCTTTCTTTCTCTCTCTGTCTCTCTATCTCTGTCCATCTCTTTGTCGTTCTATAATTTTCTTTCTATTTTCGTTTTCCCCATCTCGCTTACGTTATTTACCCGGGTTTGTATCTCTGATTTTAAGGATCGTACAGCTCATGAAACAAAAAAGAAGACATGCAACAATAACAACGTACTATTATGAAATAACAGGAGGCCAAAAAAAATTTGATAGGGAGATGGACTGGGCTCGGTGGTCAATGGGTACGGAGAGCAGGACTAGAATAATATGCATACGATTACTGAGATATTGATTTATTGATTGCGTCAACTTCAGGTTGGTGACACCTAGGACACATAGTACAATTTATGGAATGGACACATCTACATACCTTCGTACATAGTAAGTTTAGGTTCTAATCTGAATGGATAGCAAATAATGATCAGATAGGTGAAGAAAATCAGATCAGCTATACAGTACATGAACAAGTTGGATATCTCAAGTTCAGATCAAACACACGACGGACATACATAACATAGATCAGTTAGGACGTAACGGAAATTAAAAAAGGAAGAAAAGAAATCAAAATTGTTGCCAAGCCGAACGCCTGTATATCCATTGTATATGCAACCCAGGATAGGAATTGGAACCAAGGAGAGGTGAAAAAAACTCGATGTTTAAATGAAAGAAAAAAAATTTGGGGGGAGCTCTAGTAATCAACACTAGAGTTGAAGGGAATAAGACTCAACGCCTGTTATGCTTCAATCTATGAAACATTCTTGCATTGGAAAGGATAGTATCATATCGGATGATAGGGAGTGTAAATCACAACACACGGTGCCTGCAATTAGATATTAAAGTAAGCATGAGAAATATTCAAACACAGGAAAGGGAAACAGGGGGCACACACGTTTTGAGCAAATCTTCCAAGCTGTCGGCCGTGCAGCTTCTCCCTTTGGAAATCTGTTGGGGAATCTCAACAATGGTAGCAAAGACATCCCCACCCTTGTAGGCCAGCAATGCGGGAGGCCGGATGTGGTCCATCTCGGCGATCTCATAATGAAGTTTGACAAAATGGACAGCAGGCTGACGACAAGCGATTGTGCCCAGGCAGTCTTCCACCAGAGCACTAGTCTTAGACTTGAAGTAGTTAGCATGTGATGTTCGGAGCATAACTTCCTGATATCCACATACCTCAGGATCATTAACACAAACTACAACCGTCGTATCCGAGGGGACTTTCTCAATGGCATCTAGATATCCGACTGCATCGACAGTGTCCACTGATCCGTAGAGTTTCCGACGGGGACTTGGCCGTCGGTTGGGCACCTGCCGCAATTCCGCCATGCGCGACTCCCGCCATTTGCGTATGAACCGGCCCTCATCTTCACTAGCCGAACCATCCGGCGGCGTGGCTTTGTGCAGCAGAGTTGCGTCGTCCGTGACGGACTTGGATGTGCGTGAGAAGTCACCCCCGAACAGGGTCCTGCGGAAGGAGCCCTTGCGAGCCCGCTCAAAAGCCTGGGCATCCGCGATGACACCTTTCGGGCCGGTGTTGGCGTCGAAAACGATGTTGGGGACGTGATAGGTACTTGTTCGTGTCATGGCGGGATCGTGGTCTTCGGAGTCGGAGTACTGGGGATAATTGTTGGCGTAGTCGGAGTCGGGATTGGAATCAAGGTCAGAGTTATCGTGGTCTTCGGGATGCGTGGAGAATTTTTCCCGATTATTACGGGCAAGGCGATTAAATTCGTCTTGTGCAGAGGACATTGTGAAAGAAGAAACCCGAAGGAACGCGTGGGGGAGTGGAATAAGGCGACCTTTTTATAACGACCAACGAGTAAAGAATTAAAATTAAAGTCGGGCTAATCTGCGTCAGGCAAACGGGGGACCTTGTTTTGCTTCCTTTTTTTAGGATTGCTTTCCAAGCCCTAGGAAACCTACCAGCGATACAAAAGGAGAGAGAACTTTCGGACTCGTATCAGAAGATGACGACTCGCGGGTCCAGGTGGTTTCAGATGTTTCGCTGCCTTCCCCAAGAGAGTAGTGGGCCAGTTGGCGAAAGCTAAACCCAAGGACGATGAGAGGTCGGTCAACTGCTTCCGGCTTGAAAGTGGCGGAAGATGAAACACGCGACCCAGGGTAGGAGAAAAAGATGTAGCAGAAGGACGGAAGAAGATGAATGGGGCTCAGGAAAGGTCATAGGATCGTCATCCTCATCGAATCCTTCTTAAATCCTCCCACGTCTCCTTATTTAGATTTTTTTTTTTTTTTTTTTTGCCCTTTTCGCTCCTAAAAAGGAGGTTGTTTTAGAAAGTGGAGGCCGTCTCAGCCACCTAAAAGTGGGGTGGAAGAGGCGAAGAATATTCCATTCGATGGTTCCTTGGCCATTTGCACTCCCAAATGCCAGTAGTATGTAGTTTTCGAAAGTTGGACCCATCGGATGACCAATGTCTCCATGATGACGAGGATGGGGAGAGAAGACCACGCGAGGAAAGCAGACGTGAAACGACCGTTTCCATTCCCGGAGCCACGTGGACACACATTCCCAGGTCCAGAAATGGATGGATATACTTTTCCCTCCCTTTCCCTTTCCCTTGTATTTTTCTCTCCTGTTCGTCGTCACGATCTACAAAGTATGTAGATAGATCGGTCGATCGATGGACTGGTTTCTTTCCGCACGGTGCTGTCTCATATTCTATTCCTTCCCGGCTGCTGATCTGGACAATTCAAATACGAAGCAAAGATGACATGTATCCCGATAGGCCTCTCTAGATCTGGCCAGTTCGAGTTTCAGCAATGTTCGATCCCAAATCCTCAGAGGGTGACGAAAGCACAGGGACTGGTGGGCCACAGTCGAAGCATTCGATAATCGATGCACCTGAATGGACACGAGAAGGATGCATTGATTGCTGGGGCGAATCCTCCGAGCATGCCCCGAGTAGGTAGTCGTTTATAAATAATATTCATCCAAACCACTACTCGATTTCCTGGTTCCCAGCAGTCAAAATTTCAAATACTCCCTCAGCCTTAATTATAGCCATTTGTCATATTTACAACAGCTCTTCGGCACCATCTCGGTTGCGTACCACATTTCAGACAAACTACCGGTACCATCCATACGAAGGATTACTCATTGATCGTTTCACCTTTGTCTTACCTAACTACGAATCGGGGGCTAATAGGATGCAATGAAACAACAGGGAAGGGAAAGGAAGCACTGGAATGTGTCAACCCCCGATCAGGACAGCCCCCCAGATATACTAATGACACATGTACCAATCTTAATCTCAAAAGACAAGTTAGTTGATTAGTTGGGAAAGAAAAGAAATCTCAAATCATCATGGCCTACCCGGAAACATTCCCTCCCGTCCCATCAGCGATATAAAAAAAAAGGAACAAGAAGCCAGAAACGTAAGGAGATCAATGCATAAGGCGGCTTAAAAAAAGAAATAAAAAAGAGGCACTCCAATTCTTGGAGGTGGGGAAATAAAATAAGAATAGAGAAGAAGAATAGACATGAAGGTTAAAAAGAACAGTGAGAAATGGGAAGGAACACAAAAGAGACAAAAGGAAATAGGTATGATCTTGATGCTTACAAGCATGGAGGATGACAAGCATCACAACCACCTTGTGACTCCACAGATTGTTCTCGTCCGCAGTTCATCGATCGTCGATCGGCAACTTTGTCACAGACCACCACGCTAATCATCGAATGTTGTCGCTGCCTTGTTTGCTTTATCCTTGATCCTTTTTTTATTTTTCCCCTGTTCGGACTCTCCACAACATCAGATTGCCAAAGAGTACAGCCCGAGTATCAGCCACCTGAGTTCAACCTCATGTTCATTATTCAGTTCTTGATAACCTCGCCTGTGTTTCCGAAACAGTACATATTATGGAATAAAGGCGACCAACTGCTCCTCGGCAAATAAGATTATCGTACAATGGCGGACGTTCGATATATTGGTGAAAGAAAATGGAGAATATTCCTGATAAGGACATTGCAAAAGACAGTGACAGGGTATCTTTGCTTTTTTTTTTTTTTTTTTCCCAGTTTTCGTGTTTTTACCAGGCCCAGACCTTGAGCTGCATTACGAGTAAGATATTAGTCGGCTGCGCTGTCACGCTGAAGGACAGCTATTTCTAGAACTCACCAACGAATCCCAAGATCCAGTGCACAGACTAATTCCATCATTGCTAACTCCCAAGCAGCTTACACGGTTCTCGTGGCCACTCAGAGCACCGACCTTGTCGCCTCGGAGAACATCCCAGACCTAATTACAGTCAGCCGGTTTCTACGCTATGGCCAGAGGAGGTAGGGGTTCGTAATAATAGGAAAAACAAAAATATCAATAAAAAAGCGTACCTTGCATTCGAAGTCGTCGTATCCTGCAAACAGCAATCTTCCAGAGACAGAGAAGGCAACAGATGTAATTCCACACAATATTTGATCGCTCTGTATCAACATGTCGGTCAGTTTCTACCAGCCTCGAAATATAGCCTTTGTGAGCTTACCTGGTAGATGTTGAGTTCCCGATCGGCGCGAATGTCAAACAGACGGCATGAGGTGTCATCGGAGCCGGTACCAAAAGCATTTCCATCGGGGAAGAACTGGATGGCGTTGATATCTGACTCGTGACCAGCAAATGTCTGGACAGCCTTTCCGGTACGGATATCCCAAAGCTTAGCGAAGGCATCACAGGCACCAGAAACGAAAATATTCTGATTGGTAGGGTTGATGCTGATGGACATGACGTCGCCAAGATGGTCCGCGAATTCGGTGACTTTTGAGCCCGTTTCAATATCCCAGAGCATGCAAGTCATGTCTCCCGACGACGTGATGATTCGACGATCATTGATGAATCGACAGCAAGAGAGATAGCCGGAGTGTCCGGAAAGCTCGCGCGCGACACGAGTAGGGCCTTCATTGGCAGAGACATTGTAAATCGAACAGATGTTATCCAGACCACCACAGGCAACGTAGTTCCCACTGGGGGAGTAAGCACAGGTCATCACCCATGATGACCTCAGCGGGATCGCGTGGATTTTGTTTGTGGTGTAAGCATCCCAGATAATGAGTTTTCCATCCTGCGAAGCAGAGACAAGGTGACGGCGGTCGGTGGCCCAATGCATGGCATAGATCTTGGCCAGGTGTCCCTTGAGTGTGCGTCGGGGCTTCATTGCGATCCGGGGTAGGGTGTCTGTTTGGCTCTGCGCGACTTGACGAACTGTTCGACTGGAGTCAGTAACCATAGGAGGGCCAATGGGGTAACCACGAGGGCGCAATCCATAATAGTAAATGTGAACCGTTCGATGGGAGAGAATAGGGGATGCATACGAGTTGTGTCCGCCAGTTCATCCTTTCTACGCTTGATCTTGTCCTTCAAGCCTTCCGCCTCGCGCCGGGCCGCGGTAATTTTGGCCTGCATCTGCTCGCCGCTCATATCGGCTGCCATTATGTCGGAGCGAGCCCCTGGAGAGAGTGGTTGTCAACTGAAGGGAATATGGACGTGCCTTGGGGGGAGGAAGTGGGCGGTGGAGGAGGCTGGGAGTTATGATTGACCAAGGCGGCGTCGTAATATCCAGGGGACGAGGAAGACCAGGAGGGGGCGCGGGTAGAGGGCGGTCGGTCAGGTAGGTTAGGTTAGGTTAGGTTAGGTAGGTAGTAGGCGAGAGGAAGGAGAAGGAAAGGGAGAAAGGAAGAGAGGGCAAGGGACGAGGAGGGGGCTGATTGGGTGTGGAGCGAGCACGGCGGAAGCGACCGAGCGAAAGAAGAAAGTTTCGACCCGGGGCAATCAAAGGTGGTTCGGGCGTTAAAGCAGGGGCAGTACGGAGTAGTTTTTCAGCTCTGGTGCTGAAGAGAAGAGGAGAGGAGAGAGGAAGAGCTGGGAGGGAGGGAGAGAAAGGGGGGAATAACCCGGAAGATTAGGAACCAGAAAAACAACCTTGTAGTTAGTTAGTTTGCTTAGGGAGGTAAATCGTAGCTGACACGATAATTCTTTCTTGAACTGGCCAACAACAACAACAATCATAAAGAATTCAATAGTAATCCTCTATGCTCTTCTTATTACTTCTTGCTCCTGTAAAGTGGCTCAGTCTTCCTAGTCAGGAAGTGGAGGTAACGTAAGTAGGCAGGTAATAATATAGGGTTGCACCAATAGCGTTGCCAGGGACGGGTCTATCAATCGAACCTGGTAGAGTCCCTCGTAACTCTACTGCCTGCGAGGGAAGGGTAATATTAACACTAATCCTCTACGGACTACTCCGTACCCTGTCGAAGAAAAAATTCTCCTAGACGTCTTCTATAACTAGTGAAAGAGACAGGTATGGACAGTTAATTGCCTACGGCGCACTTATTTTCCTTAGTTGTCATTCCAATACCTATTATTAATTAGCATTCCTGGACATGTAACTAACTAGAATAGACAATTAGTAAGTTAGTTAACACTTAACTTTCAACCTAACACAACAATCGTCGATTACCTAAGTAGGGAGGAATCAGATGGCGAATTCTGTCTATTCTGTCCTGTCCACAGTCAGAGCCTCCTGATGAAACGGAGACAGAATACATTTCCCGGCCCTGTATGGTCCCGTATTCTGCCCCGTAACTTTAGCAGCTATGGAGTACTACGACATAATCCAACTTACTGCGGTCTTTCTCCGTGACTAGCATTTGCTGGGTAGTGGGCACCACTTAGGGTAACTTTAGGGGGAAACAGAGCTCCAAGGACTAGTGGAACTGCTCGGTCTAGAGTTCATCTGGTTGGCCATGCTGCTGAAAAGTGGAGGGGGCCCGTAGTAAAGACGCAAATAAGTTAATAGCAGTGGGGGAAATTTTCATGATCTGGAAAAAATAGTAGTAGTCTTCGGAGTCGACAACAGAAGGGGCATAAAAGAGGATGGATCATATGACCTCTTTCTCGTTGTTGGGTCTAAGATTCTAGTCTGTACGTACCCCAGAGATCGAGCACAAGGGAACTTCCATCTTTATCATTGCTATCATTATCATCATTATCATCATCATCATCATCATCATCATCATCATCTTCTTCTTCTTCTTCTTCTTCTTCTTCTTCTTCTTCTTCTTCTTCTTCTTCAATCCTTCAAATATCGAAGGATCAGCATCCGACCATTTCATCTCACATATGGAGTAAGTAAGCACGGCCTGCCAGACATACCAAGACGTAATTGATGCATCTCAGCTGCGGTGCACCAGTCTTCATAAATTAAAATTAGTATCATCTTTGTCCAATCACACCAGTACCAATTGAGAATCCAATGGGCAGTCCATGTCAGTAAATTTTGTCGGTATTGATCATGTTCTTTCTATCTGCTGGATCAATGCCAGTAGTCATTCATCGAGTGTTGCAGTGATCCCACCAATAGTCTTCCGTCCTGCTAAACTACGAGGATCATGATAGTTCTCCCTTGCCAAATATTTGTATGGAGATCTTATTAGCTTTTATTCTCTCCGACCTACTAATAATAGTCCAGTGAAATATCCTTTGGCATGTTCTAAGAAGTGCGGTTGAGTGCTTTCGGCTTTATACTTCTCTTTATAGCTTATACGTCGATATTCATTGTCAAAATACGCTTGCAATCCACATACAGTTAGCCAGCTTGTATTTAACCCGTATTCTAACACCTTTAGAGCGTTCCGTATTATCTCGTCTTTCAGTACCTGCATTAATTAGGTGACTAGATTAATTTTTGACCTGAATCCAACTTTACAGATACGCGAGACCAATTAATTGCCTACCTTTGTTGTTTATACTGGTCTTACGGTTGCCATTAAAATAATACGACACTCTATGCGCCATACTAGGGAGGAATGAGAGTTGACTGTCTAGTGGCATCTTATCTGTAGAGAACACCATTATCGACGTTAAATTTTACTGTACCCACATATGCCCTTCTCTATCAAGATAATTATTATTTTCTGGGTTCGAGACCAAATAAAACTACATTAACAATGATGTGCTTCGCTAAAAATTTTATAGGTAGTTATGGAGTATGTATATAAACTGGCAATTGTACAGCAAAATCTTCCGATTTCGGTGGCCACGTCTTGTCCGAAGTACGTAGCTATGACTTGTGAGGGAAATGCTCGAGCGGGTCTCTGTCTGGAAGAAATTGACCATCATCCATCGACTAGTGACTACATGCAGAAGTAGCCTCTATATTTTTCTATCTGGAGACATTCTCCCCACTGGTAACCTGATCGCTTCAAACAATCGAACCGTGCTTGGCTAGCTCGGCGGAAACCCCTTCGCTGAGGTCTTCATTAATCCTGATTATTAATGATACCCCCAGTCTGTTTGTATGGTGCTGACAATAGCTGGACTCCGTATGAGCGCAGGATTCCTCGATTTGTCAAGATTACGGTTATTTGGGACTTAGAGGTGCTTAATAGAGCCTCAAGCGCACCATCGTTAATCATACGCTCTTTTAAACGGCGCGGTCGTTGAACCGAACACAAATACTTGGGAGAGCCAAACCCTGTCTAACTGGTTCAAAACGTGCTAACGGTTCGAATCAACCAATTTTACATTTTTGGAAACATGACCAGTTGAACCTACCCCAGGTACATACTAACGACTAGTGGTACACCCTAAAATATCTTCTGGATACGCGCAGCGGCTGCATATACATGGATACTCTAGAAACTGTTTACATCTTTAGCTGCCATGCCGCAATGCTGAATCGTCTGGTTTCAAATGACCTGGAGTTCGTCACTAACAAGAATCTGAGACTGTCTATACCTGAAATGCCCCTGCCAGCGCTGGCTGATAACCTTGGGTTTCTAAATATAAAGATAATCTAGGACATGGGGTAGAAATAAACTATTCTGAAACAAATATAGACATACATGTACCCCATACAGGCCCATGGTATATATCCATCCATTTAAATCACTTAAAAGACACCCGGTGTTCTGGATGATACTGATACTAGCCCTCGAAGGGCGGCTAAGCTGGGCCTTGTCGGCAGTGTTTGCACCTATGGCTGTTTCTAATCATGGAAATGCAACGATGTCCGTGCGTCGGCGATGGACGGAAACCAGCATTCTGAATGGCGGGTTTTCCCCCGCCTCCTCAGGGATTATATTGCACCATTGTTTGAGAATGTCCAGTTGTGCTGATGGGTATTTATAATCCGCTGGGAAATAAACGGAGTGTCGAATAACGAAATAATCCTGGAACGGAGGCTGATAACCTTCACTACAAGAATGAAGAGAACTGGGCATGGGCTCTATTTTACAGGGCACCAAATGAAAGAAAGCAAATTAAGATAAAATAATGAAACTGTCGGACAGATGTATTAACTAATTAATTAAATTGGATAAAATATGGTCAGAAGACTTCATACCGATGCGTTAAGGAAATGATAGTATGAGATTATCATTAACATTACCTAACGGCAGTCTTTAAGTCCGAGCATTTTAATGATTTCATATCTATAATAGGGTCAACAGTGGGTTCTTGCGTTGGTCTTTGCTTCTGGATCTACAGATGACTCCGCCTATCTAGGAAGCCGGAGAATCAACCAATACATGTACCCACTATGAAACCTTGGGGGTGATGGCGGCAAAGGAATGCTTTCAATAAGAAAGAAAAAGGGGAGAGCATGCTTTTCAGGGCAGAGACATCGAAGTGGTAACATGATGGTCACGATATCAAAGGTGGTGGCAATATCAGTCAGTTATTGCATGGGCATCACCGAACGGGATTTCTCTCGTAATTCTTCCCTTCTACATCGGAACTAATCTGGTCAATATATCTGGAATATGATACGGAATGTATCATTAAATTATTAGACGGAAAGGGAAGGAGGCGCAAAAAAAAAAAAAAAAAAGGGCGTAGTCAGATAGGATTAGGTGAGAAACTTCTGGCGGTGGCTTCGGAGGCAAAGAAATGAAGGGTGGCGGGAACAGTGAAGAAAATGAATCATCATGGAATAACCATCGGGAAACCATCACTTCCAAGGGATTTGAGGGTTTCTCAAAATAATCATAGCAGATCAAAGAATAAAAATAACCATCTCGATAAAAGCGTAAATCCTACGACCAGGTGAGTGGTAGATTCTTCAGCCCTCCTGTAACTCGACTAAGGAGGAGGGAGCCTGAGGCGCCTGACGAGAGAAACTCCGCTTTCGCCTTCTTGGCCATTCCCGACCTCGTTCGGTCTCTCCCTCTTCTCTTTCCCCCCCATTGATCCTACCTAATCATTACATTTGCATCCTATTTCATCTCACGCATATACCGATCTTTTGGGGGGTTTCTGGTTTCTGTTCTGGTTTTTGACTTCTTGTACAGCGCCTTCACCGTCTCAGCTGATTCCTCCCACCGTTTCTGTTCACCTTTCTTCCTTCGTGATTCACCCGACTCTGACGGACCGAGTGTCTTGGCTCGAACAAACCTCCCTTTTACGTCTCATCAGTTTTGCAAACGTCTTCATCACTCTCTCATCATCTTGCGCTCGAGGATTTACACCCCTCTGATCATTGCAACATCTCAGGCTTGTATCCCATGATCTGCCAGTAAATACTACAGACCCCTTTTTTTTGGACTCTTTTCTTCCTTCCCATCGATTTCTCCCACCAGGTCACGTTGCCGACAGGATTCTATCTCATTTTAGGGGCTGAAGCCAGTCAGCCATCCTTGATCGAACCTTCACCTCTTTAAACCCCTATCCGACCGAGTATCATCGAGTTGGCCACTCAACCTCTCGCCCAGCATGCGGGAGGTCAATTTCAGCATTCCGAATGTCAACAAGGCCTCTGTCAATATTACTACCACCCTCTACGACCGGCGTGCCTTAGATTGTACATCCACATTGCCTCTGATAAACTCTCTTAATCATCTCGCGTATCTCACTACGTCCTCTGCGCGGATTCGCGATATCCTCACCGTCGATGGGGGCATCGAAAGATTGGTCTGTATCCTCAAAGAGGGCAGGAGTCGAGATTTGATGGAGATGTGGAAATGGAGCCTTGCCTTTCAGTGTGTTGTCAACATCGGGGTGCGGGGCTCAGAAGGTGTTAGGACAAGAGTCGTTGAAGCTGACATGGTGCCTGTCATCGCAACGATTCTTGACAATTACATCAAAGTGGTTGATAAGGCACGGGCACGGGCGGACACCGAAACCCAACGGCATTCGTCGAGGCATCACACCAAGGCCGCCCCCGGCATCACTGATACCACTGGACGTCCTTCATTCCTAGACCAATCATCAAACATCGATCAACGTACCTCTCGGCGCCATGCTCCTCCACCGAATATCGAAATCCCTTCGTTCTTCCAGGAGGCCCAAGCTGCCGACTCCAATGCCATGGACGTTACCTCCTCGCCTCGCCTGCCGATGACCTCTCCTCCAGAACGCAGTACTTTCGGACAGGAGGCTCATAGTCACAGGCCAAACGACACACGTCATCATTTGCACTCTGGTCACCGTCATAGGGCGATGCAGCCCCTTCCCACCGCATTGCCACCAATGGATGCAGCCGATGGTTTCGGATTGCGTCCTGTTCGTGACACCGAAAGACTCCCAAGCATGCTTCCCGCTTTGCACAATGGAATTACGTCTCAGCCCGATTCTCCAACTACGCCTAGTGGACCTGTGCAGCCTCGCAACATTACTCAAGCCAATATTGCGAGACAACGGCCCACTCTTAGACAACAGCAGTCAGCTTCAGGCGAATCCGATGATGGAAACGGAGAAGGCTCTACAATGGAAGATGAAACGGGATCTGGGGAAGCGGCCGAGCCTATCGTTGGTCTTCAAAATCAAATGGAAATTGATGAAGTCAGCGATAGGCAAGGTATGCTCGATGGCGTTTCTAATGCGCATGATCTGACGTTGACTGATCCATCCGAAGGACAAGAGGCCGAGACATTTAACATCACTCATCGCTCCACCGTCGATGGTAGCATCATTAACAATGATACCACGCAGACCAATGGTGCGCTGGGCTTGTCTCCTACCCAAGCCGTCAACAATGCCAATTCTCCTACTCTCGTTCCCAGTCCATATTCCCTTTACTTGCGTGACCGATCGACAACTCAGAACGTCTTGACAACGATGCCTCGTGACGAGGATGTTTTGATGTCCCTTCAACTTCTCGCATATGTCTCGAAGTATTGCAACCTTCGTTCATATTTCCAGCACTCCCACCTTGTACCGAAACTCAAAGTCGACCGTGAACTTCACATCCTAGAGGAAGGACACTCCCCGGTAGAGCCTGCTGACGAAGAAGACGAGTATCTACTGGCCGACAATGTTAACATATTCCCTCTCGTTGAGAAGTTCACTGTTCGGCATCACTCCAAAGACATGCAGTACTGGGCATGCGTCGTCATGAGAAATCTTTGCCGAAAGGACGAGTCAAGGGGTGGTATTCGTCAATGTGCCTACTACAAGTGCGGGAAGTGGGAGGAATTCCAGCGACAGTTTGCAAAATGTCGACGTTGTCGCCGTACCAAGTACTGCAGCAAAGATTGTCAAAAGGCTGCGTGGGTTTATCATCGTCATTGGTGCCACACCACGCCATGATATGAGCGTATGAAATTGTCTAATTCTCCTAATGCATACTGGCTTGCATAGCGTCATATCCGCCACGTGTTTCTATTTCGATTCTTCGTTTCCCACGGTTTCATAACTACAAGTGCATGGCATTTCAGAACCTGGCGGCGTTCCTATTCGTCACAAAGATACCTTTTGTCGTCTATTTATCTTTTTTATTAGTGTCGCCATCTCTTTTTATAGCACTGCCTTTTGTTTTACCCTTATTGAATGCTCTGTCTTCTCTCTTCCCCCCCTCCCCCAAATATGTTTCATTAACGCTGGGCGTCAGCCTTTTTGCTGCAGATGTTGGTTAATATTGGTGGTCATGAATATGCACTCATTGCAAAACAGCCATTCTCCTATCATGCAATCCTTGTTTCTTTTGTTTACAGCATCTCCAACCTTCTATTGGTATTTATTCTCCTGTCTTGACGCCGGATGATTCTCCTTTGTCAGTAGCTATTTAGCATACACATCCACCCTACAGTCCTTGTGGAGCGATTTTATTTGGTTTTTCGTATTCGTTTTTTGATATCCCATCGTTGGCAATTCTTGGTCTTGGCCTTCATGTCTGTGCCGTCGATGGCCTATCTTGTCTATTGGCTCGGATGCAATCATGTGCATAGTATCTGTTATGTATCTGCTCCTTTTTCCTTACAAATTGAATAGTCCGAGGCCTGATGGCTTTATGGCTTTTTCAAGTTTACCTCTCCTGATATCATTCGTATGGTGCAGACTTTAGACCTTCACATAACTTGTCCAACATGGCAATGTAATGGCTACATCGAATTGCGATCCCAACCTATTCCTTCCTGAAACCATAGGTTGCAGCCAGTCGCGACTCTAAATGCTCACGAGCTGTCAGTGCTCGTTTCCCAGGTTCCAGCTGTCCTGCTCCCCCACCGAAGCCAACCTTCTCATCGTGCACGCCGTTTTGCTCACATTGTTTACGATAGGCAGCGACCACCCCACTGGGGACCGGGACCAACTCTGTGTCATTGAGAGGATGGCAGAAAAAGACAATACTGTACCGATCCCGGGGATTGGGACTCCGCTGCTCGGAGAGAGGGAAGACAACTCGATGGACGGTCGACTTCAACAGGCCATCGGTCCAGTAGCTGAGTAGGTCTCCAATATTGACCAGGATGGGCGGGAAGACGAAAGTATCGTCTTCGTTTTTCCCTTGGACAGTCTGTATTGGTTGCACGGGCACCGGAGCCCAGATTTCCTCTGGCGTCAGGATCTCAAGGCCTGGCTGTCCGGGACGCTGGAATAACAGTGTGATACTCCCGTAGTCGGAATGTGCTCCGGCTCGTACGTCGATTTCATGCTTGTAGGTGGATGTCGTCGGGGAGAGAATGGATGGATAATAGAGGTAGCGCAGGATGCTGCCTGTTGAACCTTTGTTGGGATCATGACGGGTCGTGAAGAAGTCATCTGGGATCTAATGGGATGATATGATGTGAGCCCAGATTGGAGTGTATTACGCATGAGAGATGGTTTGATGGCTGTGGTTGGTACTTACCCCCAGGCCGAGTGCCAGCAGTTTAAGAATTCGGCTGCAGGTCTTGTTGCAGAGATCTGCGAAATGTCCTATCTCTGTCTCGTGCGGAGCCAGAGATGGAGGGAGAGGCTGTTGGGCCCGTCCGTTTTCGAACTCGCCGAAGTTGAATCCTCTAGGGGTATGGTTAGCTATATACTATGGACGGGATTGTGACCAATTAGCCAGGTACATACTCTTTAAAGTCACCTGTCTGCATCAATTTAGTCAGTTACTGTCCTCATAGAGTAGTTCAGAGGTTATATACCCGTTGATGTTCGGGGTCAAGTGTTTCGACATGCATCCCGGACCAGCCACGGTTCTGAAGACAGTTAACTGGACTCTTGCTGGAGTAAATGAGAAGCGTCTAGTACGCACGTTGGACTGGATTCGACAGGTAGATTTTTCTTCCACGGGGGACATGAAGAAATCCTTGGACTGCAGATACTAGTGAGTACTTATCTCTCTCTTCTTACATATGCAGGGGACAACCGTACCAATCCAAACGCCTTCTCCACATCCTGAGCCGTAAAGTCCGATCCTTTACTGTTCACATAGAGAAAGCCATATTTGGTGGCTGCGTCCATCATTGCCTTTCCTACAGCGGTATCATTGGGATCCGAGATATCTAAAACGGGAAGCTGAATAGCTGGTCCAACGGCCTTGGAATCTTCCATGTTGAGATATACGAGAACCTGAGGGGTCTGAACTAGAGAAGAGAACAGAGTTGGACAGATTATAGATATGGAGAGAAGAGGATAAATGTTGGGTCTCCGAGCGTTTTTGTATCTTTAATCTCTTATCAGAGAGAAGGAGGAGGAGGGGGGGGAGAGTATCGGAACGGAGCGATGCGATGGAGTTCAGCGATATCGACTAAATGGTGTCTCAATACTAAGTATCTACCGTTCCCCGCAGATGACTCAATTGGGGTTGAAGGTATATTAATTTGTTTCTGTTTTAAGTTGACTTTTGACGTGTATCATGTGTCAATCTGTCGGAGGCAAAATATGTCCCGTACATATAACTATACTAGGTATCGATCCATTGATCATCGAGGGAATAAAGAGAAGGCGGTATACCCTATGATCAATATCCAAGACAGAATGCAGATAACATTTCAAGAGACATGAGAATTGATTAAATTGAATGAATAGTGACAACTGATCGATGTGGGACAACCCAAATTCGGAAGCGCCGCTTCGGCTCCCCGTGATTTCTTGCCATTCAATTTAATCCATCAATTCATCTTCGGTGTAGTTGTTTGTCCATATTCTTACCTCGTCATCCCACTCCCAGTTCCTCATCGTTCTTCCTCCCCCTCTCCCCCTCCCTCGTCTCTCTATCCCCTCTCTTTTCCTTCTCCCTCCCGCCCCGGGCTCTCCATGCCTGGAATTGACCTCCACTTCCTTATTCCGTGACCTCACCTCCAGCTGCAAGAATGCCGAGTAAGCTAGCTCCCTCCCTCCTAGAGCTCCTAGTGAGCTCCCACCTTGTCCTGCTGGCACGCGACTAACCCTTTTGGTCTGTATACAGTCCGTCTGTTGGATGAATGGGCGGTTACCCGCACCAATTCTCTCCCTCTCTCTGCTCTCCAAGGGGCCGTCGTCGGTATCGATGCGTCGCACTACATTTCCCAGCACCTCCTCAACCCCGCCACTCGTGAGCCTCTCCTGGTCGCACTGGGTGGCTTTCCGTTCGCATTGAAGAATAATATTGAAAGAGAGCTTCAGGCCTTCAAGGATCTAGGCGTGGCCTGTCTATTTGTGTTCAACGGCCTAAATTTCGGCACCAAATATCAACGGCCTACCGTGGAGTCGGAGTCAGTGCGGGCCTTCGAGCAAGCCTGGGACCTTTATGACCAACAACGGGCTGACCAAGTGGTGGATGCATTCAGTGGTGCTGGTAGGTCCTCTGTCGCACGTTCCAAGAATTGAGCTGTTTCGCTCGACATGCGCTGACAGGCCTTGTTTACCCCCAGGCACTCCGCGACCGGAGTCGCTGTATCGCTTTTTGCAGCGTATTCTTCAAAACAATGGCATAGACTATATGGTGGCCCCTTACAGTGCCGCGGCTCAGGTGAGATTGGCAATACCGTGCTCTTCGCTACAAGCGGTGCTTTCTGACATGTGGTTCTGCTGCTTAGCTCTCTCATCTTGCCAAAGGCTCAAATCCGCTAGTCGATGCAGTTTGGGGCCCGTCCGAAGTGTTACTCTTTGACGTCGACAAAGTAATTACCCGGGTTGATACCGATCCGGCACAGGTTGTCTGGCTTTCTAAACACATGTGCCAGGAGACAATGGGCCGACTGACGAGTGAACAATTCCTGGAATTTTGCTTGCTTCTGGGATCGTCATTCCTGCCAACATTCCCGATGTTCGATAACTCGGGATTTCCGGGAAAGAGCCCAAGTGTTCGGGACGCCCTACCGATGTTCAATGCGGCCGGACGGAGCGCCCTCGCCCTTTGCGCCCAATTCGAGGACGACCGCCGTCTGGAGGAGCTGAACTACACGGACCGCTACAAGCGTGCGTATATGACTGTGAAGCACCATGTGTTCATGGACGAGGATGGCCATGTCGGCCCGGTGGATGTGGAGAATGCCTCCTCCGACATGCATGAGCTGATCAGCTTGCGGCTGCCAGAAGAGCTGTATTTCTATCTGTCAAAAGGCGTGCTTGGTTCTGATGTGCCCAACTATCTGACTTCCGGCGAGGTGTTGATCTCTCAGCCTTTGGGAGTAGAGGATACCGAGATCTATCGTCAGGTCACGAGCAGTATGCTCACGCCTATCCGAACCCAGTCGATTGGATTGCTCTCGAACTCACTTCACAGGTTTTACCAGACCAAGGTGATTAGCGTGCGGACTTGGTACGACGACAACTCTGACATAAATATCAACCTCAAAAGCCTTCCCTCAGTCAAGGAGTCAATTCAATCCTGGAAAATCCGCAGCGACCAGCTCCCCGAAACAGTGAAGAAACTGCAGGTTAGACTGGCCATAGTTCACATATTCTCGCTATGATATTGACGGAAAGGCAGGGATCATACGGGCATTTCAGATTTGCAGCCCAAAGCTTGAGGGAGCCCGAATTTGCTCCCAAATCGTTTTCGCCTAAGGACGCCCCTGTATGATTTATGCTTTTTTGTGAACTCCTAAGGAGACTGACCGCTACTAGGCACTCTCATCACAGGAGGAAATCCTCAACAACGTCTTCTGGCGATTCCTACAGCTTCGGGGCTATATCGATGAATCATCGCATCAGCTTACCCCCTGGGGCGTTTGTCTCGAGCAAGCCCTCTCTGTATTAGGCCCCGATGAGTCTCTAGAAGAGGCTACATTCCTTGCGATTGAGATGCTCCGGCTTGGACTCCTCAATGCGAAGCCGTGGTTCTCTGAAGTCTCTGGGGGGCCCATGAGGGGATCAGGTAAGCCGTAGACGATCCTGGATATAGTAGTGATGGTAGGAGTGCTAACTCCTAGACCGTTCTAGATGAGGACAAAAACTTCAATATGTTGGTTTCGCGCGTTGCCTGCATTGCCAAATTACAACATAAGAGTATTGGCTACTCCGGGCCTCTGAGCAGACAATTGCTGTGCTACCGTTCTCTGATCACGGAGGTGCGCGCTGCGCTGCGAAACCTGCTTGAAGTCGTCTTGACGGGCCTCTTTCTCAGCGGCGATGCTGACCGGGACCGGAAGGACTGGAGTGAAATGAGTGTGAAGTAAGTGAATCAACGCGCTGCTGAACTGAGACTCTTCTCTGACGGGCCCAGGCTCCCTTTTATCGATGACAATGACTGTGGGCTGGGCATTGCCATGCGCACGTATCTTGATGACTTGCCTCTACAGTCGAACCCGACATCACCGGAGGCGCGGGCCGAGGTGAAGTCGAAAGGCAAGGATTGGTTCCAGCATAGCGAAAGCTTCACTAGCAACCTGGACATGGCATTCAAACTGTGGGATGCGGTAAGTGATTATTCGAGATATCCTCCATTTGGTCTACGAGACTAACAGGGTATTTCTTGGTATACTACAGGTCTACAAGGGAACGCAGAACGCGGACAAGGAGTTCAAGGACGGACAATTGTTTGAGGAAGCAAATAGCTGGTTGGCCGACAGACGGTGATGGGACTGCGCCATGAGAAGTTGTAGGGAAATCGATCTAGGAGATCTAGGAGCTGCCATAGTCCAACGAGTCTCTTGACTGGAGTGCTTAGATGACCATCTACTTGGTTACTGCTCTATTCGTAGATATACCTGTATGGTTATGTGGCATGAAAGTAGATAACTATGTGCGTAGATTAATTAATAATCTGTTAACGTGTCCTCTTCCGACCCACTTTTCCGCCCACCAACGTCAAGAGCTGCCTATGCACCCATGGCGCCGACCACTCCTTGCATTCTCGACTTCATTCTCCTCGTCATTTCAGCGGGAGAAGCACGGTGTGAACCCACATTTGCAGTATCCTCCTTCGACGTCGTCCTATACTCCTCAACATGGCGCGTCTGAGCATCCTGCTCGTGAGCTGTCTCACCTTTCTAATCGGCATTGTCAGAGCCGACTCCGCAGTGGTGGACCTGATCCCCAAGAACTTCGACAATGTCGTGCTAAAGTCCGGAAAACCTGCCCTGGTAGAATTCTTTGCCCCGTGGTGTGGTCATTGCCGTAACCTGGCCCCCGTGTATGAGGAGCTGGCCCAGGCCTTCTCCCACGCGGAGGACAAAGTAACCGTGGCAAAGGTCGATGCGGACGCAAACCGGGATCTCGGCAAGCGGTTCGGGATCCAGGGTTTCCCTACGCTGAAGTGGTTCGATGGTAAGAGTGACAAGCCGGAGGAATACTCGGGCGGTCGCGATCTCGAAAGTCTGTCGGCGTTCATCACGGAGAAGACGGGCGTTAAGCCTCGTGGTGCTAAGAAGGAGGCTAGCAAGATTGAAATGTTGACCGATTCGTCCTTTAAGACTACCATTGGAAGTGATAAGGATGTACTGGTGGCGTTTACTGCGCCTTGGTGTGGACGTACGTAATTGTCCATTTCTTCCCACGCACTGCGTTCGAACTGGGGTTTGGATTAAGTGGGGTGTTTTTCGACTACTGACCGGTTACTCGCGAACTTAGACTGCAAGAGCCTCGCCCCTACCTGGGAGTCCCTTGCCAACGACTTCGCTCTCGAGCCCAACATCGTGATCGCCAAGGTGGACGCAGAGGCTGAAAATGCTCGGGCTACAGCCAAGGAACAGGGCGTCACCGGGTACCCGACCATTAAGTTTTTCCCCAGGGGTTCCAAGGAGGCTGTCGACTACGCGGGACCTCGCACTGAGGAGGCGTTCGTGAATTTTGTGAACGAGAAGGCTGGCACCCACCGTGCTGTCGGTGGAAGACTCGATGATAAGGCCGGGACGGTTGTGATTCTCGACACTCTGGTCGCCAAGTATACTTCGTCTCAGAGCTTCGATGATCTTGTCAATGAGGTGAAGAAGGCTGCCAAGGGTCTTCAGGACAAGTACGCTCAGTACTATGTTAAGGTTGCGGAAAAACTGAGCCAGAACCATGAATACGCCAGCAAGGAATTTGCTCGCTTGAAGAAAATCCTCGAGAAGGGTGGCTCGGCGCCTGAGAAGATCGATGACTTCATTTCGCGCAGCAATGTGCTGCGTCAGTTCTTGGGCGAGGAGAAGAAGGATGCTACGAAGGATGAGCTGTGATTTTCCAGGTTTTACCTGCATGCAATCTAGGAATAAGTTATATCTACTACTACTCACGACCGTGGAATGTATGTTGCATGATTATTAAATGAGTTTATAGTCCAGGAATTACCAAGCACTTCATATACTGGCCAATACGATGCACAGAAGTGACCATAATACACTTCAAAAAATAAAAGAAGAAATATCCCTCTAAGGGAAGAATAAATTAATCTCAGGGTATCTCAAAGGCCCCATGGCCCGAAAATACAAACAAAGACCTCCACTATACAGTATACAATTCACAGACATGTAGAACTCTACCAAACAATATCGCTCTCCTAGAAATCCACTTGATCTAATAGGGCAGAACGAGAGACTATTTCGCAGGACTCGTAGGATCAGCATCAGAGGTATTATGCAACGAGGCTTCCAGCTCGTCTAGTCTTCGCACCATTTCATCCACTATCGATAAACCATAATTATCAGCATTTATCTCCATGGAACCACCACCTGTTAATTTACACCATATCTAACGGAGATTGTCGAAGCAAAGGAGGAGCGACTATACGCACACTTTCCAAACATCTCGCGCGAGACATTGTCGAATTTATGCTGTAATTGGTCAAGAAGGTCATCGACGGCGGCTGTCAACTGGCCCTGAGGATCTGTAGCCTGTATATTGCGCCAGTTGTCTGGTCAGTGGATATGATATCTAATGGATGGGTGGAAGTGGCGGACCTGTTCACCAGAAAGAAGAGAAGGCGAAGAGACATTCTCTGACGTTGCGACGGATTTAGTTTCTTCAGTCATGATGATGAATAAATACTCAACCTGTCAGAGGGAAAGCCTGTCCACAATAGGTATTAATACCCCCTGACAAATCAACAGTCAAAATCAAGTCTTGTATACCAGCTGTTCAACTCGAGCCTAAAGCGGAAGGTCCGAACCCGATAAGCGTTCCGGATCAACTGATCTTCCTTTGTCCAGATGCAATCTAACCATATTTAGACCAGTCTACTCTTATCTTCAGACATAGCCGTATACAGACTAGCGTCACTCCAAAAAAATTCCCGTGCTTGGTTTCTAGTGAAGTTCGAAGCTGTGTCTAGCGCTCACTTCAATCCGTATATTTTTTTCTCTTTTTCTTTTTATTCCTGGAGGGTTTGTACTTGGTGTGTCGTACAAAATGGCCAAGAGGAGTAAATTGCTTCAGGCACTCGATGACCACCGTGGTCGCGACTATGATGCAGAGAAGCAGAAGAAGCTAGCCAAGGCGGCGGCGAAGAAGAAGGCTGGGAAGACAGGTGCTGCTGGTGAAAAGGATGAGGTGTGTTTGGATTTTGACTGTTCTATAGCACTTGATTTGTTTTGCAAATCGTTTTGGAGATAGCTTGAGGACTAATTTGTTCGTTGAAGACTGAACTGGCAACAGTGAAATCTAAGAAGCGCAACGCTGAAGAAGACCCCGAGGATAACACAAGCGACGAGGAAGAAAAGGAGGAAGAAATTGACACGGCAGAGGAAGGCAAGGAAAAGTACGACGAGGAGAACGAAGAGGAGGAGGAGGAGGAGGAGGAGGAAGAAGAAGAAGAACAAGAAGAAGATATTCCCTTGTCTGACCTCTCCGACGATGAAAGAGACGACGTGGTGCCACACCAACGTCTCACAATCAACAACTCGGCCGCCATTAACACGTCCCTCAAACGCATCTCCTTCATCACCTCTCAGACCCCGTTTTCCGAGCACAACTCCCTAGTCTCGAAAGAGCCGATCGATGTCCCTGACCCCAATGATGACTTGAACCGGGAACTGGCATTCTACAAGGTGTGCCAGGCGGCTGCCAATTCGGCGCGTAGCATGTTGAAGAAGGAAGGTGTGCCGTTTACTCGACCCGGTGACTATTTCGCCGAGATGGTCAAGACGGACGAGCATATGGGCAAGATCAAGAAGAAGCTGTTTGACGAAGCGGCTGCTAAGAAGGCAGCTGCCGAAGCGCGCAAACAGCGCGATCTCAAGAAATTCGGAAAACAGGTGCAGGTGGCCAAGCTGCAGCAGAGACAGAAGGAGAAGCGCGAGACATTGGAAAAGATTAATGAATTGAAAAAGAGTAAGTTTATCTATCCTTCAACCCTGAGGTATTAAGAAATAAAGTTCGTGTGTGCATTGTTAACATTTCACTTCTCAGAGCGCAAGGACGACACCTCTGGCCCTACGGATGATACCAACAACCTGTTCGACGTTGCTATTGATGATTCCAACCCGTCTGGTAGCCGCAAGCGAGGTCGTGCCAACGAGAACGGCGGTCCTTCACTGAAGCGCCAAAAGAAGAACGAGAAATTCGGCTTCGGCGGCAAGAAGCGCTTCTCCAAGAGCGGCGATGCCGCCTCCAGTGGAGATATGCGGAACTTCTCAGTGAAGAAGATGAAAAGCGGCTCGAAGAGACCGGGAAAGAGCAGGAGAGCGGCCACCAAGGGACGGGCATGATTGATTAATTGATTTTCGTCTTGATTTTCGTACTACTTCTCGCGTTGTTATATCTGCATGCTCCGGTATGGGAATCAAAAAGCTGGTCGTTTGGGTGCAAACGAGAAAGAAATCCTGTCTCATTATCTGACTCCTTTGTCATCCAGTCTGAGGAACCGGTGATACCTGGGCCACTTCTCTAGTCTAGATCTCATGGGTATATTGATTTGATATATGGATATGACCTATCCACATACATAGGATTATCCTTACACCTTCACGATCGATCTACAATGAAGGTTTCTGGGTCAATAGAGACAATGCCTTGGTAATGGCCAATCAATCCTCTTAATCTCATCTAAAGAGGTATCATCTGGAAAAAAAAGTAGCAAAAATTTGTAACATCACCCGTATGAGTTCCCATACTCAACACACAACGCCACTCTCCTCTTAGTCCATTTGACACCGGATTTTGCATCTATCATGATAGTGAATTCGCTGCAAACCCCATTCCATGCCAATTAAGCATTACTAGTGGCAGTCAATTCTGAAAATGTATACCTTGCTTTTCGCCCTGATGAATTCAATTCCTGGAGTACTTTTCACCTCTGCTATATTATAACCCGGGAGATATAGACCCAGAGCAAACTGTGTGAGGTTTGATCATTCGTGAAATGAAATGAAAAGAATACTCGCCAGCGTGCCATGTAGAAAAACAGCGAGCCAGCCACTGGGACCTCGATATGATTTCGTTTTGTCATCCCCATGCGTAAGAAGTCTTCTTGGAGCAGGAAAAGACTTGGTCATATGGGGAGGGAGAAGGTTTACTTTCTGTGCAGTACGTGCAGTAAATTATGCCCCTATACCGGCCGTGCCATTGGTCTCGCTAGGCCCTCCGTTTATGTCGGGAAGTCCGTCAAGGGTTCCTATCCCTTGGATATGGCTGAGGAGATGATCGACGCGGACGCCAATGTTGAGTCGGTGTTCAGCAAAGACTAGGTCGACTTTGGCTTTTGTGTCATCGGCATGAGCCAATGAGTGGTCTTGGATCATCTCTTTTCCTCGTTTCGTGCTGCTTTTGTACACGACTTTCCCGCAGCCTCGAATCTGGCACATCCATGTATCAGATGATACGCCGTCGTGGTCGCCTTTGGGAGCATCCGCATCGGAGGGGTCTTGGTCAGCGAGGGAGACAGAATTGTTTCGACTCTGAAGAGTGTCCTGCAGCGGTGTCTTTTGGAATGAATTTGACTCGGAGTCAGACAGGATTGAGCGAGTCCTGCGTTTTGTACGCGTCGATAGAGGATCCCGGATGAGATCGTGGCCACGAACTTTGCTCGGCGTGGCAAACTCTTCCATTGCATCCGGGTTGTCATCCGATAGATCTTCTTCCTCGGTTGCGATGTGTCTTGTTCGCTTGCCGGTTTGCTTTGTCGCGACAGAGCTTTTGGGTCGCAACACCGACTTGCGGACGCGCCGTTTTCGTTGCTTAGGTTGGTCTTCTTCATTGTCGCTGTCTTCTTCGGACTCTGCGTCGTCCGAAGATCGAGGCCGCAGTGGAGTGAGGGTTACATGCTGCAGGCCGTTTTTCTTCGCTGCAGCCTTCAATTCTCGGTAGATAACCTTGCGAGACCAATCGAAGTTCGACGTCTTCGCATCATCCATTAACCCCAGGATAGTATCGGCCCTGGAGGCTATCATGTCCTGTGCATACTCGACACTACCGATCTCATAGCGCTCTACCAACGTCGAGGCGACAAGGTGAAGGTTCAGCTGTCGCTTCGCCAAATGTCCCGCCTCTTTTAAGCCAAGGATCACTTGATATACCGTATCTGCCTGGGTTTTGGGGACCGCAGTCGGATCCAGCGAATGGGCCTTCGATTCCGGCTTCACATCGTCCTCTTGATCTTTTTCTGCATATTGATCGTTCTCAGGCGGTTCTTGTAGGGCTTTAATCTGTTCATAGTCCTCCTTCGTCGAGAAGTTAGAAACAACCCGTCACACACGAGATCCCATGGGGTTATTGATCAAAGGGGGACGAAAGCGTACTGGAAATTTATCACACAGATGCTCAAAGATACTCGTGTTAGTCCATTGCACGCCTTCCTCGCCCTTGAGCATTCGAGAGAGTAGAAAGGCACGATGTTTGTAGAAAACTTCGGCGGAGTCATCCCCATCCTCACAGATGCCATGAGTATGGTTAACGTACTAGCCACGATATGCGAGTCAGCCGTCTGCAATTCCCACCCACGGCGGGGTACACTTACTTCCTCACAGAGATATTCAACGCTGGGATTCCAATTCTTCCCCTTCCGGCGCTTGGATTGATGCCTATCGGCTAGGAAATACAACAGATCGATGGCCTCCACCACGTCATTGAACATGGGCCGATAACCCCTCGCGGGCGAGATGGAGAACCAGCCCGCCCGACCAGCCACCCAGAATCCAACTTCGCCGTCATTATGTTGTCCGTAGGCGTAATGGGTGACATTATCTAGCACAATGCGTTTGGCAAGGTAGTCGGGATCGAGAACTAGAGCAACAAGCCCGTCGGATGTCAGTTGAGAACGGAACTGTATGTATCACTTCTGTACGCTACCGAGCCTTTCCTGCTCCTCTTCCACCTCCTCCAGGGTTCCAGTGACCTGGACAGGATTGTCTTCGGAAGCTGCAAGGAGATTTGCATAGCGTGATTTGCCTGGAACCAGGACTCTGACCTCGGTCAGACTGAACTCTTCCCAGTCGTTCTCGTCCGTAAGAGACGGGTCTCTGGAGGCCAAGACACTATCTTCTCGCGATGTCATGTCGCCGGAAGCAGCATGATGCCGTGACCAACACACGAGGGGAGATTGGGGGGACTTGGGAAGGTAGATCTAGACGAGTTGAGAGGAATGATTCGACGTGCAGGCGAGTGTGCGAGTCCACGTTGTTTGCAGGGAACGAACCCATTATGCCTGGCCTGGTAATTACTCACGACCTCAGACAGCCGGCGCGTAAATTACGCCGGCGGCGTTCTCGCCGGTATGAATATTACCGGTCGGTCTTTCGACGGATCTGGAATTGTTTCACGCCGACCTTCAGCGATTTAATCTGTCTCGCTCTTCCTCGATTTTATTTTTTATTTTTCCCGTTGCTCATGGGATTCCATCGCGGATTGAAATTATTCCGCCGTACCATGTCTGGAGAAAAGATCTACGAAGGTGTCTTTGGTATGCTTGTCCTCGGAACTGATGATCTCTCAAAAGATTTAACGGAGGTGCTATAGCGGTTCATAAACCCCAAGGTGTCAGCTCGGCCGATGTTGTCCGTCACCTTCAATCCCACTTCAACCCTTCAAAGCTCTTCGAGCCTTGGCTGGAGGAAGAGCGTGCCCGACGAAGTCGTGAGAGCCACTTCCAGCGCAAGCGCCGGCGTACCCAGCAAATGGATGTGAAGGTCGGCCATGGCGGAACCCTCGATCCGATGGCTACCGGCGTGCTGGTGGCGGGTGTAGGCAAGGGCACGAAGAGTCTGAACGACTTCCTGGGATGTACTAAGGCATACGAGACCGTCATACTGTTCGGAGCCGAGACCGACACCTATGACAGGCTGGGCAAAATTGTTCGACGAGGTCCGTACGAGCATATCACGCGGGAGATGGTTGAAAAGGCCTTGGAACAGTTTCGGGGCAAGATAATGCAGCGGCCGCCCATCTTCTCGGCGTTGAAGGTGAAGGGCAAGCCTCTGTACCAGTATGCTCGAGAGGGTAAGCTGCCTCCGATTGAGATCCAGGATCGGCCCGTGGAAGTGACCGATATACGGATCGTTGAGTGGTATGAGCCTGGTGCCCATGATTACAAGTGGCCCGAGACGGAGGCTACTGGTGAGGAGAAGGAGGTTGCGGACAAGCTCCTGGCGCAGGACGATTCCTCACCGACTGCTGCATCCACAGAACCAGCTGAAAACACTAAGCAAGAAGACTCTTCGACAAAACGCAAGTCACCGCTCTCTGCGGACAATTCGAAGGAGGGGGAGGTTGATGCCTCAGCCACTACGGACGCGGATTGCGCTCCCACGGCGAAGAAGCAGAAGGTATCTGCCGAAGGAGATGAGGTTGCAACGCAGAAAGAGCAGTCATCAAAAGTTACAGAAACAGTGGAGAAGCCTGCCACATCACAAACCAACGAGAATCCTGCTCCTCCCCAACCGGCGGCGGTGAAGATCACCATGACGGTCACTTCTGGCTTCTACGTTCGTTCATTCGCACACGACCTAGGCAAGGCCATTGGTAGTTGTGGTCTCATGAGCTCCCTCATTCGAACTCGTCAGGCGGATTTTGAACTTGGTTCAGACAATGTACTAGAATACCAGGATCTTGAGGCTGGTGAGGAAGTCTGGGGGCCCAAGGTGAAGCAGTTTCTCGAGCAGTGGGAGAAGAAAAGGGTGGCTGCGCAAAGTGCCAGTTGAAGTCGGACGATCATGTTTGATATGAGCAGTTGATGCGGCTGCGATTCTGTATAGTTCCATATACCCTCCTTGAGGCCGTGGCGAAAGTTTTGCGGTAGATTTCGTACAATATACTATCAAGAGAACGCTGGGTAGCTCTATGTGAATATGCATGATTCTGAATCGGCACGAAGCAAAGAGTGAATGTCAACAGAAGATGGACATTCCTAGAAAAATATATCTAATATATTATTACACATAAAACCTGGCACATCCTGTTGTATTATGAAGGAATATGAAGCTATATTCCTTGACTTATTCAACTACTTCAATGCCAAGCTGCCTTGACAAGAATGTGACCACCTTTTAGACCTTGATCCTGACCCCGCTTCGACCTCCATAGAAACTCGTAGAATTAGACCCTATTTCCTAATTGGACGATTGTGTAACTATTCAAGCAAGCCATTCCATGACTTCTTAGAATGGTGGAAATGAGGACGTAACGGTCATCATTTGCAGGTCAAACCTATTGCCCACTTCAGTGAGTATTCTGACCGATTTTCTTCAAAACATTCCATGTCTATTGACTAGTATATCCAACATTCTTCATATGCCAAACCATTACAAACCACCAGCTTTATCTCTTGTCCTAGCTAGTTCTGCCGTTCATCAGGCTTGCAAGCATCCCCCCTCCCTTTTCTTAACCAATCACCCTCCCCCATGGACCAATTGTGCCATCCAACACCTTCAACGCGGCCTTCACAAAGTAGAAACACGCCGTATCTGGCGCCGATTTGCCAAAATAACGAGGAGAGATCGTCTTGCTAATTGCTTCCCAATACAAAAATACTGCTAGCAACATACATCTAGACCATAGACCATATAGATGCCAAAACAAAAAGAAGAAGAAGAAGAAAATGAAAACAGAGACGAACACTTGGAAGTCGTTATGTCGTTGAAGTGTCCACCAATGGTCTCGTTCATAAGCACTTGAGTAGATGGCTTGGTTAGTCGACAACTTGCAACCGACGACTGGGCCCTTGTATAACCTTGAAATGATCCGCGGCATTAGTCCCTTCCCACCGGTTGAAAGTAAAACCATCCCATTATCATCGCTTCATTTCTTGGGTGCACAGGGCTTGATCCGCACTGGCCGACGACATAGGTCGTGTCCGTCTCCGTACAGTGTCGCATGGCGGTCTAGGCTTGATCCTTTGTTGCGAGCTCCATGAAGCAGTAGGATGGGTTGCGGCTCGTGAATGGATCAATGGACATATCTAGAAGTGTGCCGAGGAGGGGATCATGGGTGGTTAGTGGGGGTTTTCTCTAGTTTTGCTCTTCTGCATCATGTAGGATGTCCATGTACGTACATGGTATATTGATCTCCTGCGAATAACGATTTTACATCATTTGATTTCGCAAAGTACGGTAAATTGCCCGCATATATACGCCTTCCCTCGGCGATCGCCGGGGGGAGTATCGGGAAGAGATTGTTCGTCGCAGTAACTGGAAAACGAAGGATATGACTTTGTGTTGAAAGAAATATGGCACCAGGGTTGGTCTCTGACGCATTGTCACTCCCACAGTCAACTAGTCTAGAGCGCCAGTTCTGGGATGCAAATGTCCGTCCTGTACGAGGCTAGTTCTCAGCATGATTAGTCCTGGTGTTGTTGGTGCTGGATATGGAGTATAGTAGATGGTAGTTATTGGGTAGGAAAATGCTTATGAACTTATCATTTTGTCAGGATTGAGATGTGGTTCAGGTTCTGGTCAGTACAGGCAATTTATTATTTTTATTTAGCCATTACGGAGTAGTTTGTAATTATGAGAATGCATTGTAACCATCATAATTTGGACGAACGGTGGAAAGAGTAGTACGACTGTGCGACCAGCCGATCGGACGATCGAGTGGCATAATTGCGGGGAAGACAATCCCAAAGAGTGGACGAGACCCTGGACCATCTCTGTTCCATTCTGGTATATGCTATCGAAGAGAAGAAAAGAAAGTGTTATATCCTCTACAAGTTTATGTCCCTCAAAGAGAGACAACCAAAACCCGCCGTGGGAGGTGCCCATCGTTCCATCCAGGATCTCTTCCGCATGGATGGACGAACCGTCCTCATCACCGGCGGCGGAGGCGCAATGGGATTAGAAGCTGCGCGGTCTGTTCTCGAAAGCGGAGGTGACGTTATCTGCGTCGACCGACAAGATGAACCTCTCCAGGAGCCGTGGGGTAACTCTTTCTTCCTTTCTTACTTTCCATCTATCCAGATTTTCGCTAAGTCCACTAGAAGCCGTACAAGTAACCGCCTCCCACCACAGTACGAAAGTGTGGTACTACCAATGTGACGTGAGCGACGACCAGCACGTCCAGCAGACTGTGACCGCAGCGGTATCCCAGGCTCGATTCCCACTGCGGGGACTGCTCTGCTGTGCCGGGATCAGTGGCGAAGGGCCATCAATTGACTTGCCGGTGCAGAACCTCCGACGTATGATGGACGTCAATGTGACAGGGACGTTTGTCTGCGCACAGGCAGCAGCTCGAGAGATGCAGAGACACGGTCAACCGGGTAGCATTGTGTTGATTGCGAGCATGAGTGCCCATGGGAGTAACAAGGTAGCTTCTCTCTCTTTCATATACACAGGTAGAGGCTATAACATGGTAACAAAACAATGGATCTAGAGCGTTGACACCACTGCCTACAACTCTTCCAAAGCCGCCATCGTGCAAATGGTGCGCTCACTCGCCGCAGAATGGGGCAGTCGCATCAATATCCCCTTGATCCGTGTAAACTCGATCTCCCCCGGATACATCCGGACGCGCATGACGGAGAGGAGTCACTGGCAGATCCTGGGATCGAGAAGCAGTGGACGTTGGATAATATGTTGATGCGATTGAGTGAGGCCCATGAGTACCGAGGGGCCATCATGTATCTGCTCAGTGATGCGAGCAGTTTTGTCACGGGGGCGGATCTGCGTGTGGATGGAGGTCATACGGCGTGGTAGAGCGTTATCCGGTTGTTACAGTCTGATTTCTTCCTATAAAAGAGTATCTAAGTATATCGAGTTATATACCAGACTAATCCTTGATTCCATTCTGAACAATTTCAGCCCTTCTCTACAACCCGTGCATCCTGGAAGATGTCGACATTTCAGATGACCACTGCCGAAGGAACCATGCAGGCGGCAAAAAAGGACAAGTTCACCGCGAGTGTGGCAGATAATGGGAAGTGAGATGGGTGGATGAGTTGATGTCGTACGAAATGGGCTGACAGCAGCTTCCAACACAGCAAACCACAGTACTGAGCTGGATAATATTGCATTATCACGGTTAATAGTCCCGGTAACCAATAGAGGCTGTACATGAGTTGAAGCCGGCCAACATGAGGATGTATACACACACGTACAGCTCGAGCTCGAACGGTGAAGTATGTGGCGTTGTTAGTTAAGAACGCCTCGAGAAAAATAATGCAGAACGTCATAGATAGATAGCAGGAGGAGGATCTCTCTTTGACAGACAAGCTTACACGTAGCGCAGAACTCTATGTTAAAGTCCCTAGATAACAGGATCGCCGCACTAACCACTAGTCTGAAAGCAGAGGAGAGCCGTCACGAAGGGACTGAAGTCAGGACGACGGCGCCATTCTCAATGTCACTCATTGGTTCGGAATTTAAGGTCTAGACAATCCTGCGATATTGAAATCATAGCATGTGCCATTACCCATACATAGACACAGGCCGATTCGCTGGGTTCCGCCGTGGGGATGCTGGGTCTATCTGTGTGGATTCTATGCTGGTCAAAAACTTGGACGCAGGTTTTTGGTGGGATAGAGGAAAGAAACGTGATTCCGAGCAGAGAGATAAGACAGTTAAGATAGAGTCGAGGTGCTCTATCATTATATATCTATGATTCTCTGGGTAATATGAATGATTAGTCCTAATTGTCATGGATTCTGTTTGGTATCCGCCCAGGTTTGAGAACGCTCGGGGAACTGTCCCGGAGGTATCCAGCCACCGATGTATAAGTAGCCAGCCACTGATGCAGAGATATTGATGGATACTCTGTCGTATTAGAAGAATACTGTTAATATGGCCGATTTTTCACGGTTATATATAGGGCCGCTAGAGATTCTATCCTCTATCTAGGCCAAGGATTAGTCTAGCTATAATGTTACTCCTATCTTCCTAGGATTGTGATTCTCTTACTTAGTTGACAAGCTAATCTATCCTGCATAGTAGATCCACCACGCCTGCAGTCTATTCTCATAGCTATATCCCAAGTATATATACCCACGGAATAAACTGGGGGGCCTTGCATCATGGGGTTTGATAGGCTCAAGCTTCTCATCTGGGGGGACCAGAGCAGCATCAGCCGGCATATGATCACAGAGACATTACTCCATTCTCCTCTGACCCACGCACAAAATGAATTCATCAACCACGCCACGGGGTCCTTGAGAGCCCACATTGATCGATGTCCAGGTTATCGAAGAGGATCTATCCCCTCATTCCGGACAATCCACGATCTGGAACAGATCTATCGTGAATGCAACAGTCCCTGCTGTCCAGCCATTGCGAATGCGGTCATATGCATCACACAGTTATTACAAGCCATCAGGTATGTTCGTACTAGACGGAAATTTTATCCAAAGATAATTTATTTTGTCAGGTTCTCTATACTAATCTTTTGCTCCATGTGTCTAGTTACGTCGAACGGCATGGATTCCCTGCAGCCCCGGGCCAAGGAGAAGTATTGCTTGGCCTAGGCACTGCCTCCTTGGTTGCAGCAACATTCGCAGTGTGTTCGAGCCTGGAAGAACTCAAATTATTAGCGGCACCAACCGTGATAATGGCGTTTGAGATTGGGCTTCATGCAGATGCTGCGAGTAGACTGATCCATGAATACGATCCCTTTCCTCAAAGCTGGTCTATGGCAGTCTCCAAGGCCACCATGGAAAATATACATAGGAGATTGGAAGCGTATAACTCCATGCGATGTCTAAATTCCGGCAATACGTGTTATGTGAGCATCGTATGCCCCAGTGCTGTGATCGTCAGCGGTCCTCCGCCGATATTGAGGAGCCTTAAGGACCACCTCGGCCATAAAGAACCAGACTGGGAGACTTCATGCATACCAATATACGCAGCATATCATGCACCGCATATCCACAGACATGTGCAGATTGCCCACCTGCTCCAGAGGTGTAGGATAGATCCTCAACTTCTTGTTCCTTTCGAGCAAAAGAGAACCGTCATATCTGCAGCAACGGGGCAGTTGTTGCAATCAATGAGTGCCTTGTGCCTGCTAGAATCCATGATTAATGACATATTGCGATCCCCTCTCCGCATCGACCGAATCATCGATGAGTGTCTATCCCTTATCAAAAGTAATGGCTTGTCGTCTGTTCACATCGTCATGGCGTCACCGTCAAATGTGTGGGAAGAAATTTCAGCAGGCTTACAAACAAAAGCGAGCTTGAATGTCACAATGGGCCAGGTTTCCGAAGAGGATGTTTATTCGCCACAGCGTTCCAGGGGGCCCATGTCCCAAGGCCGAACTCCTCTGGCTATCGTGGGAATCTCGGGCAGATTCCCTGGAGCAGACGACACGGAGGAGCTCTGGAAAGTACTCGAGGCGGGCCTGGATATGCATAGAACCGTGAGATTGAAGAGCCACAGCTGGGACACACCGTACTAATGAGTGGCAGATCCCTCCGGACCGGTTTGACATCGAGACCCATGTTGATCCTACGGGCTCAGCAAAGAACACTAGCTGGACCCCTTATGGCTGTTTTATCGAAAACCCAGGATACTTTGATCCTCGGTTTTTTAACATGTCCCCTCGAGAAGCACGCCAAACGGATCCGATGCAACGTTTGGCTCTGGTGACGGCATATGAAGCCTTGGAAATGTCCGGCTTTGTCCCAAACCGCACTCGCTCCACCACACTCAACCGCATTGGGACATTCTATGGCCAGGCCTGTGATGACTATCGAGATATCAACGCAGCTCAATGCATCGACACCTACTTTATCCCAGGAGGGTTCCGTGCTTTTGGTCCAGTGAGCACTCCCATTGTATACATTCGTTGCAACCACGGTTAACTCTTCCTCAGGGCCGTATCCACTACCATTTCAAATTTGGAGGTCCCAGTTACGTTATTGACACTGCTTGCTCGTCCGGCCTGTCCGCTATCAAAGTAGCCTGTTCTTCACTCTGGAGTGGAGAGTGTGATACTGCAGTTGCAGGTGGCTTGAACATTCTCACTTCTCCAGACCGCTACGCCGGATTGAGCCGTGGCCATTTCCTATCTAAGACAGGACCGTGTAAGACGTTTGATAATAATGCGGATGGTTATTGCCGGGGGGAGGCGGTAGGCAGCGTGGTGATCAAGCGTTTGGATGATGCCGAGCTTGATCGGGACAATATCCTGGCGGTGGTCCTAGCAGCAGGCATAAATCATTCGGCGGATGCTATTAGCATCACACATCCACATGCTGGTGCCCAGGCTAGTCTATATCAAGATATTCTGCAACAGGCGAACACCGACCCAAGAGAGGTAGCGTACATCGAAATGCATGGAACGGGAACCCAGGCGGGTGACTCCATTGAGATGAGCTCCGTCTTGGAAGTGTTTGCACCTGAAGATATCAAGCGCGAGGAGTTGATTGTCGGATCACTCAAGGTGTGTTCCTAAGGAATTTCTGCTCTCAGAGTTTGTAACTGACATGAGTGGATTCAGGCAAACATTGGACATAGCGAAGGTGTTTGTACTCCCTTCAAAAAAGACCCCGTCAGTTATCGAAGAAGCCACTAAATATTTATCTCCAAATGACAGTCCTCGGGAGTATCAGCCTTGATCAAATCCATCTTGATATTTCAAAAAGGGGCCATTCCACCACATATCGGAATCAAAGATGAGATCAACCAAAGTTTCACCGACCTAACTGGAAGGTGAGTAACGACAGCTATCGGAGTGTATATTGCCTACCGAGCAAAGGGGCTGATACTGAACCCATCCAAAAGAGTTAGGATACCTACAAAGACAACACCACTCCCGAAGACCAGGATGGAGACCACAAAGATCCTGGTCAATAATTTCGGAGCCGCAGTGAGTTGTATGACCAGCAATAAACAAATCAAATTCCTAATCCGACTTCAAGGGGGGGAATTCCGCTGTCCTGCTGCAGGAACCACCGACACCCATCCGGAGTCGTACGGTACATCCGTGTCCATTGCATGCAGTGACAGTGTCCGGCCACACAGAGTCTTCTCTGAAGAAGAATGTAGAGCAGCTGATTAGATACCTGTCCAACAATCCGACTGTCTCCCTTGGTGACTTATCGTACACCACTACTGCGCGTCGACAGCATCACCGATTCCGCTTCACCGTGGCAGAAAACTCAATTGACCGCGTGCGGGTAGCCCTGCAAAAGGGCCCAGTCCCATATACTGACTATCCAGGGGCCAAACAAAAACAACAGAATGTTGCATTCGTTTTTACTGGCCAAGGTGCTGCGTATCATTCACTGGCCAGTGAATTATACGCTCATTCAACCCAGTTCCAGGCAGATATCAAACAATTTGAATGTATTGCCCAGCAGCAAGGTTATCCATCTTTCCTCTCATTGATAGATGGGAATCTGACAGATATCACGTCCCTCTCCACCGTCCAGGTCCAATTGGGTCTGGTGTGTATCCAAGTCGCCTTGGCTCGTCTATATTCCTCGTGGGGGATAAAACCCTCTTTTGTCATAGGCCACAGCTTGGGAGAATATGCTGCGTTGCAGGTTGCCGGGGTTCTGTCCATGAATGACATGATTTTCCTGGTCGGTCATCGGGCGAACTTGCTGGAGAAACGATGCGACCGAAACACTCACTCGATGTTAGTAGTTGCCGCATCCTGTGCCCAAGTGTCCCCGATGCCTGACGAGCTGGCTGGGAGAGTGGAGCTGGCATGTGTCAATAGTCCCACGGAGACGGTCTTCTCTGGTGAGGCTCAAGCCATCGATCAGCTGGAGGCGCATATAATCACCCGCCAAGTTCGGTGTAAAAAGCTGCTTCTCCGGTACGCATTCCATTCATCGCAAATGGACTCCATCCTGGATGAGTTAGAAGAAGCCGCACAAGCGGTAATGATGGGGACCCCCCGAATATCCATCATCAGCGCCGTCACAGGTAGGGTATTGGGCCCAGATGACCATGTGAATGGGGCGTACCTTCGCCATCACTGCCGACAACCGGTTCGATTTTCGACGGCACTCGAAGCAGCAGAAAAATCTGGGGATCTCGATTTGTCTACAGTCGCGTTTATCGAACTTGGTCCGCATCCTATAAGCTCTGGTATGATCAAAGCTACCCTGGGAAGAAACGCCCGTAGCCTGCCCACATTGGTGCGAGATATGAATCCATGGGAAGTCGCAGTGAAAAGCCTAGCGCGGCTCCACGACTGGGGTTTAGGGGTGAATTGGGGAGAATTCCATCGTGAATTTGAGAAGAACTATTGTCTCCTTTATCTTCCGCGCTATGAATTCGACAACCAGAACTACTGGATTCAGTATGTGAATGACTGGAGCCTTCGAAAGGGCGATCCATTGCCTACGTCTGAGGCTGGCATAGAGACGCAGGCCAAACCAAAACTGACTTCCTCTGTTCACCGAGTAGTGGAAAAAAAAACTGGAAGCTCAACCAAACAGACTGTAATATACGAATCCGACCTCTGGGAGCCCCTTCTTCACTCCGCGCTTTGTAGCCATCGTGTGAATGGTTGCGAGCTGAGTCCCTCGGTAGGCCTCTTCCTTGCCGTGATATTGATAAAATTACCTATACTGATGGGGTTGGAATAGTCTGCATACGCCGACATAGCCCTAACTGTTACGAATCATATTGTCCACAACTCCATATCCCGAGAGATTTGTGGCTTAGTCCTTTCAGACTTGGCCATCCACCAGCCACTGATTATTAAACCCGCCGGAGAGGACCGTGTTTTGAGGATATACGCCCAACAAAACAAGGAAACTGAGACTGTTCAGGTTGAGTATGCATCCTGTTCTCCGGATCTTGGGAATCGCACCACACATGCCGTCTGCAATGTGCATTATGGCACCAATGACAAGTGGTATAAACGATGGCTACGCGGTTTCCATTTCATCCAGGACCGTATCGACGCTCTTGAGGCTCGGGTGGGGCGTGGCGAAGTCAGTAAAATCGGCACAAGCGTGGCGTATCGACTGTTTAAAAGTGTTGTTGACTATGCTCCTGGGTACCGTCGTATGGATGCGATTCTCTTTTCCAGCGAATCGCTTGAGGGTTCCGCTACAGTCAAATTGGAGATCCAGAAATGTGATGAAGGTTTTATGTGCAGTCCTTACTGGCTTGATTCAATGGCCCATCTTTCCGGGTTCATCATGAATGCAAATCCCATCATCGACACGGATGAAGTCGTGTATGTTTCTCGTGGCTGGGAGAGTATGGGACTATTTAAGCCCCTTCTTCCCGACACACGACATCAAACCTACGTGAAGATGTGCCACACAGATAAGACGATGGTTAGCGGCGACGTGTGGGTCCTCCGTGAAGGCGAACTGGTGGGAGTCATCAGTGGCGTTCAGTTTCAACGCGTCGCCCGGGCCGTTCTAAATGTGCTTCTCCCAAACCCCATCCCCAACCAACGAGAGTCCATGCCGCGCGTCGATACTTCTGCGCCGGGGATCAAAGGCATGGGGACGGTCAAACCCAAGCGTGAGATGGTCGGCAAGGATAGCGTTTTAGGAGTGCTTGCAAACCACCTGGGAATCGATCCATCCGAGATTTCGTACGATGATGTGTTGCCCGAGATCGGGCTTGATTCACTCGCCTCTTTAACCTTAATAGCCAGTCTACAGAAGTTGCTTGGGCTCTATATCTCTCACCATCAATTAGACGGATGCTCTACAGTCAGTCAGCTTATCGATGTCGTGTTGGAAGCCCAGCATTCCAGTTCCCTAGTCCATGATAGCGAAAACTCCAGTGGTCAAATATGTGGTACTCCGTCAACATCAACGATATACAACCCAACGCCTAATAGTCCAGGTAATCGTACGGTGGACACCATTCGAGCACTCATTGTGGAAGAGACTGGGATCTCCGGGGATGAATTGGATCCGCGTACTGAGCTGAGTGAGCTCGGCCTGGATTCCCTCATGAAGCTCACAGTTTTGGGAAGGGCGCGCGAGGTCGGACTGGATCTGCCTGTGGACTTCTTTTTGAAACACAAGAACATGGATGACATAGTACATGCCTATTGCAGAAGCGGAAGTTACTCCTCTATGGAGAGCGGTTCTGGTAGTGCACTTGACCAAGATCTTGGGTGCCAGATTTACGAAGATAAACCCCGCAAGGATGAAGAATCTGCTCCAATTGTCCCGCTCCAAAGTCGCCGGGACACCCCCAATGTCAGACGATTATTCCTGCTTCCAGATAGCGCTGGATCGCCTGTTCCCTATTCTGCCTTGGGAGAGCTACACCATACTATTGAGGTGTACGGTTTGGTGTGTCCCTTCATCAACAAACCAGATGGCTATCCCAGCAGACTAGAGGATACGGTGAGACACTATGTGACTGCTATTAGAGACTGTCAGCCAAGAGGGCCTTACTACCTTGGAGGCTGGTCAGCTGGAGGAATTCTGGCGTTTGAAGTCATGAAACAGCTGCACGATGCAGGGGAGGAGACGCGGTCTCTAATTATAATAGATTCCCCATGTCCCAGTACCCTGCCCCCGATGCCGCCATCATTGATTGAATCTCTCAAGATGAATGGAATATTTGACGGGATTGCCTCTGAGAAATGCGATCAACTTGCGAAGAACTTCCATGCTATTGTAGACCAACTATCCTCCTACCAGTGGACCAGCTTCGTTGCTTCCAAACAGGCACCAGAGACACTTATTGTTCATGCTGAAGACGGTTTATCGGAGCGATTCGAGGCCCTTCGACTTCAGGGTGGAGATTCGCCTATCCACCGCTGGCTCCTTGAGAAGCGGACCGATTTTGGTCCACTGGGGTGGGAGAACCTCCTTCCGAGCGAGAAGATCTCGACGGTGTCCACTGGAGGCGACCATTTTTCAATGATGCAACCGCCCAATGTAGGTTCCTGCCCTGAAATTGACAGAATCGTTCTTGTGTTTGGCTGATTATTCTATAGGTTGAGGCGATTACCAAGCGGATACGGGAATTCTTATACTCCGTGCCCTAGGAATAGTTGCTATACTTTGGAAGTGGGAAATTTAGGAATAACTGGGGGTTTAATAAATCGCCTTCCTATGATGATATAGAATTACCCTAAAGACGTATGTTTCATTGAATATATTATTTCCCATCCTGAAGTTCTAATTCACCAAGGAAAATACTTGTCATTCGAGCAGTGATAAGATTCATCAACGGTGTCCATCTATTCAGCCAGCCACAGTCGACAGATATGCCCTAATATCACAATATACCCTAGGTTACACGCATACCAGATTCAACCGTAGCTAGCTATGCTTCTTCAGTAGTCTGCTTGATCCATTGCAATAATCTATTCTGGATAGAAATATCTAAAAATATGATACAAGAGCGGTTATCAGGTTGGATTACTATGACTGTGTACAACAGACAATTTCATGAACCAGGAATCATGCTCATCCGTACATAAAAGAAAACACTCTACAGTATTTATTGCCAAATGATCATCGCAAAATGAATACGATTCGGCCACTGAGCGAGAACGTTGTGCAACGTCGTAATAAACAAGAATTGGCCGGGAAGGAAATGTAGGTCGTAAAGGGCTTCCTGATCCGGTTAACCCATTATTCATCTACTAGGCATGACAGACGAAGGATTAAAAATAGGAATGGAGGTCCTCTTCTATTATTGAATTGATGAATGCAGCTAGTATTTGCTTAGTACGGGAAATTATTCGAGTTGGTACTGGAGATCGGCATGGAGATAGAAGAAATGCGTTTCTACTCACTACCAAATCAGATAGAATTTGTCCTACAAATTTAATTAAGCCCATGTTTAATAACTAATCCTATGCATTCTCGGATTACTTGAAGCAACGTTCATGTCCTCTTCTCGATTCTCTCGAATATCCCTCCTTGGGAAATTATCACGTGATAAATATAGCCCTAACACCGCGACCAGCAGAATATCAAAACACTCAGGAACGCTTTTTTGGATGTGAATAAGGAAGCGGTACAGGCTTAAACTCCGCCCCAGCCTGCACGATCGCATATGCCTTATTCTTTCGAGTCTGATCCTCGAAGAAACGCTTCAACCGCGGCGGGAACTCCGCCTCGGTGTTGCCGTAGAACGGATCCCCGTACGCCTCCCATATGGGGATCGATCCCTCCCAGATCTTTTTCCGATCGGCGGATTCATAGTCGGGGGCAAAGTTGGCGATGCCATGACGCACATGCACATGGGACTTTTCTGGATCGATATCCACCCGAAGCATGAGAACCTGGTCCACTTCTCTCTTGATCACCCGGCGGGTGTACTCCCATTGACCCGGAACGATCCCGTTGACGATCTTGCGCAGACCGTATAGCTTTTCGTTCCCGCAGACGTCCTCATCTGTGATGTGGTCGAGGTCCTGCATGCCTGGCTTGTCGAAGACGAGCATGTGCGCAGTCCCGTTGAGGACCGTCGATCGCCAGGTGAAGCCGTGTCCGTATGTGGATACCGCGCAAATGATGCTTTCGATTTTGCAGGTCCCCACGGTAACGGGGAGTCCGGCGGAACCGGGCTGGAGGCGTTGAAGTAAGTGGCATGGAAGCCAGCCTTTGGCGTGGAGGACCATTTTTGGTATCCCGTTGGACAACGGGGGCGGTTTGGGCGATTCTTCCCGGTAGGTGGATTACATATGCACAGGGTTCATGTTCCTGTTGGAATACGAATTGTAGCACGTGGGAGCTGTTGATGAGCTCTTAGGCGGCGGTGGGATACCATGGGTCTGTCCATATTAGCACTCATTTGGATTGGATAACAGTGTTTAGGTAGTAGTATAGTAGTACTTTGTGACGAGGTTCCAGGGTATCCTCCTTGCTACAGTCCTGGGACTTGAACTTGGAATCAGTGCTTGCCCCCATTGTTCGGTTTATAGGAAAGAAGATAAGTAGGTTAAGAAAGTTAAGTTGAGTGTACGGGATATAGACTTGTTATTTATACTTGGTGGAGTAGATCCTTTTTTTTTTTTTTTAGCTCAATTCTGTCTAACGGATACTAGTATAGCATGTTCAATGGACATGTGCACTTCCGTTTTCTGCAGCTATCATTCCGCAGTCTGAAAGCGGCATTAACTGCTGGATATATCAGAAAGGCACCCGATACACGACCACGTGCGATACGCCATGTCTTGGATATATTCTTATTCTTAATGTACATGACATACCTCACTGTATTTAGTAAAAACAACAATTATAAAAAAACAAGAAATCAGACAATAGCACCTCCCGAGTTCTGCTATCGTGGTCTCTCACCGCGTCAAATTCCCCATCCTTTTTCTGCAGTCGAACCACGTGTGAAGTCCTTTGCTTGGGGAGGGGGGCTCGTTGTCAAAGACGGGGATGGAGCAGTCTTTCTGAGTTAACATCAATGATTGTAGGAAAGGCTGATCCGATGATATACCGTTCATTCCATTGTTCATGATGATTCTCGTTTCCGGGACCATCACCCGGCTGCCAAAGTAGAGATTGACCGAGGTGATCAGGGAAATGGCCAGTCCCGAGTCATGGCTACAACCACGTAAGAAGTTCCTTTTCTCTTGTTAAAATTCGGGATCTCCCAGACGCTCTCTGGTTCCAGTTAGCCACGGTCAGGGATATCGCTCAGATCGAACCATACAGCACCCGAAGCTTATCGCCATCAGGTGGCGCTACGGTTCATCTGTTTAGGGTCCGAGAATTCGGCGTAATTTTCCAGGAGTTTCAGAATATTGAGTGCAAATGCGCCGCTGACTGGTGCCGCGGTGCTGACCGCGAGTAGTCCTTATAGGTGGTTTTATAGCAGATCACAATGCTTAATTTTGTACTCTTTCAGATCCTCTACTGTCATAACCGTCCTCCACTACTCCACTACTCCACTACTCCACTACCCCCACTCCATCTACGAATACTACGCCGTACTATAGGAGAGAAATAATAGATTCATCCTCTCTCTTTCATATTAATAAAGTACCAAGGAACGATAGTTAGAATGTGACCGCCCCAGCTTCTCCTCGTCCAAACCCTTTCTTTCTTGACTCCACGTACCTCATCAATCTGTCATTCAGAAAGTCAAAAGATCCCATACTATGTCACCCCTATCCTCTCAGATGATGTCCTAATCTTAGCACTAATAATCTCTCCTCCATCGCGTGCGTCAGCTTTGTGGATGCCCGACCAGCGCAATTACCGCTGGGTAAGGCTGCGGACGAACTCTAACCTCGTAGTAGCCTTTGGGAAGCAGCTCTCAATCTTGAAAACTCACCAGCTTGGCTTGTATGTCTGTGATGTTAAGCTGAACAGATTCCCATCCGTGTACCGTGGGCTCGTGAAGCAATATAAACCATGTGCGCCCCGGGTGATATAAACAGGCTCAAAGAAGCAATCCAACGAGCAGGTTTTGACTCTGCAGAAACGCAGAAAATTCTAATCTATCCTTTTCAGAAAGATTCCAACCTACACCCGAGTTTGAACTTTATCGAAAGTAATCTGCCAGAGATACATGCAACCCGAATATTGCCTCCATGAGATATGCTGGGGTTGGGATCACATCCTGGCGATAGCCATATAAATCGTCGAGATTATGTATACTGACATAGAGTGGAGAGTAAATAGCGGATGCCGAATCCTGAAGGGCTGAACTCTGAATGTTTCCATCTTCGGAGAAGCTTAGTAGTCGTACTACCACCATATTTCACATCGAGTTTGTATGTATTTACATGAGCTCATATCCCTCAGCTTGGCTGTGCCATCATTTGACATACGTTGGCCCGGACAAAACGCATCCCTTTTCCGACCGCTCTCGCGCAAGGAAAAGCCCATCAAAGAGTAGATTCACCTTGGACAATGGGAACAGGGGACTTAGTGCTGATCTGGACTTGAAGAAGCATCTCAGAGGTTTCGAACCCGCGTGCCAAGTGGACCGCAAGACACAACACCAGGCGCGTAGGCCACCACAGGCTTTGATGAGGCTCTAGATTCATTAGAATGTAATGGAACACAGTAATAAGAGGAGGATAGATAGACTAGTTGTGGTAGCCTGCATATCAATGGCGAGTGGTCAGAGTATGAGATCACCACCATCACTACCAGCTTCTAGTAGTACCTATGAGGGTAGCCAGTGTGCATAAGGCATCGGTATACTGCTGCGCCCTGAACTAACGAAAACCTAAAACTAGGAGTTTGAAAGCAGAAACCATAATTCCTCAAATACCTCACATTCGGGCTCCGCCAAATCATCGCCACGGACAGCAACTGTGCTACAGAAAATGCCCCAGACAGCTTTCATCTGCATACTTTATGCCATCGCATGGACCTCTCGAATAGAAGTCTGAATGGCAATACAGAGACTTAAGGAAGAACTGGAGACAAGGACTAGGGAGCTCGGAGACTCTTATTTACTTATGAAAAAGGCGCCATGATATTACCAGACGTCTGATGCAGGTAGGAATATACGCTTTGCCCCCTCAGCTTTTCTCCAACTGGACTATATATTCTTGCAAGTTCCTCTACTGCAGCCGCCTCTTATGTTAATCTGAGCATGCCTATCATACCATCAATACTTCAACAACACTCATTCAACCCGTTATTGCCTCGGGCCGATCCTTACATCCATCCACACGCAATATGTGTTCTTAACGTCTCGCAAGTGGACTATATTGGCAGCTGTGGGTTCAATGTATCCGAGCCCCCTGCCCTCGAGGATTTTGAGCGCAGGCTGTGCTAAATCTGCGAACAGACAATGACGAAACTCAAACCTGGAAGCTGTGCTCGTGTATCTTACCTCAACGATTCGTCCATATCCTTCTGTAATTATGTACGGTAGAAGAGAAAATAAAACGAAGATACGGTTGGAAGATAACGCTAATGGTAATAATAGAACATTACATCATTACAATATGGGAACCTAGTAGATCTCGAGACACTTACGGCTATCTGGATAGCAAGATTGTGAACGGCACTGTGACTCGAGCTAAGTCCAGAAATGGTAAGTGTAACTCTGGATCTAATGATAACCTTGGAATTTTATACCCACTAATAGCATCATCCTGGTGCGTACTGTCCTCATTAATACCTCGGAATTAGGCGGAAGTGTACAGAGGATCCAGGTAAAACAAATATTAAGCAGATGTACAGGCAGAATGACCAAAAACTCCAGCCCATGCTAGCGAAGCATGTGGATCAGCGGCAAGTGCGTTGGTTACAATAGCTTAGTATTCGGATCAAGTCCAAATGATACCTACATATATATACAGCTTACATCCCTTTTCTAGCAAAAGGGAAACGAAACAGTCCTATTGAGTTGGACAGCCTCGCCCAAAGACACTTGCATTGCACACAAATCCTCCGGGTGATTATCAAAACACCCAAACATCACAGAGTCTAAGCCCAGAAGAGTCTATTACGCCACACCAATGAACAGGGCAATATGCGAAAGGATGATGATATCAAGCCGGTTACTGATCCAAGACACTCCTGCATCTCATAGAGAGAGAAAGACGGGAACAGAGAGAGGCTGCCCGGCAAGGGCTCTACATCATAGCATCATGCATCTCATCAAGTAAAAATGGCAAAGAAGGACGGCTGATATGCTAGGTGGAGAAAAACAGAAAAATAAGCGTGAAGGGCGAGACTCAATCGGTCAAACCAATGAAATCGTTTTTAGAGGGGTATACCGCAGAAAACACAGAGGAAGAACATAGGGAGACAAAAAGAGAAAGAAATAAACGCAGATGAGAAACGAATGCGCAGATAAATCGACCAGATAAAAATGTAAAGGAATGCTCTACTAAGATGGAGTGTAATGAAGAGAGCGGTGCGCAGTGACAAGGGCTAGCTAGCGTCAGTATATCTATATAGAAGCTGTGTAGACGAAACGAACTTACTGTGAAGTACTAAGGCCTGCCCCTGTCTGGATTCGCAGGCACATTGCAGTGTCCCCCCATCCACAAAGTCCAACAGGATACTGTTGGGAAGTTCCTGACGATCCTCATCCGGTAGACAGGGCGTGCGGAATTCGGTCAAATGATATCGCTTGATCATGTTGCGATTGCTTGAATCGACGTTCCCCGGCGTTAAAACCAAGAAGCCCCTGTTATCAATGCGAACAAACCGTCGTTTCCAAAGTAAGGTATCGGGGAACTGGACGTTGACCTCCCCGATGTCAACGGCCTCGGATATTTGAGTTTCATCAGCTCCGCCCTCTTCTTTCACCATGGGGCTCAGTGTACCGACAGCACCCTTCCTGGGATGCGCTGTGATAGATGACATACGACGGAGCAGACGAGATGTACGAGATTCCTTCTTATCTTCAGATGAGGGCGCATCGGAATTTAACGGCAGAGCCCCTTCGTTTCTCGACGCAGAGGAAATAGACATCTCGCTTTCAGGGCGTTGAATAGAAGGCAGGATAGACTGGTGACCAGAGCTGGCGGAGGATGTCGACATGTTTCGTTTCTCCGATTTGTTCGTCCCTGACTCTGCTATCAAATTCTGCGAAGGCGGGACCTCAGAAGTCTCATGTTCAACAGTCAATTGACTGGGATGGAGATTGAGGACACCCTCCCCGGAGGCCCCATTGGTTTGTTCTGAAGTCTCGCCCGACTCGCGGACAATTCGAGCGGTTACGGAAACTGAATTTAAGGTGCGCTTCGCACTTGTACTAGAGTCGCGGCGTCTAAGGCTTGAAGCTCGTGAGAATGTCTCGGGGCTATACGATCCATGCCTGGATCCAGATGGATCAGAGTGCCCACCCAATGACACCGAAGCCCTCTTTCGAAGAGTCTCAAAGGAAGAGGAGGCAGAAGGTGCCGCCAAGTTCGAGGAAGCAGTCGACGGGATGTCGCGACCGTTGGAAAATTTTTCCAAAGCCTTGATGCGTTTCGAAATCCCAGAAGATACATTGATCTTCTTTGCCACCAGAACAGGGTTCACTGCGCCGTCCGCGTCTGTGTAAGGAGTGGACACCGATCGACCAACCGCAAGTGCATGCAGGTTGGCGGGCTGGCTGCCTATAGCACTTGGGTTGGAGACGGCGCGAGAGTTCTTCCAAGCATCCGGGGTAGATCGATCATTTCCACTGTTCGAATAACCCGGCGACAACGGGGATTTTCCGACCGATATAGGCTTAGCTTCCTCCACAGTAGCGCTCTTCAGTTCCTCCATCAAGGAATCATCCGAAAAGTTATCGTCATCCGAATATTCTGGGGTTGGAACTTGGATTGGTTCGAGGAGAGGCTTGCGTTTGTCTTTCCGGTGATCAGCTTCAGGGGCTAGGTCATGCTGCTCCCCGGTAGCGTCCGGTGTTATGACGGTCGATGGATCGAGAAGGGAATTGGGCTGTGAGCCAGAGGGTGGAGAGGTATGCAAAGGGATGGACTGGGGATGAATCGGCGACGTGGTGGAGTCTCCTGTGGGGTCTGTTGCTGCCTGTTCACCGGAAATGGGGGGTTTTTCAGTTGGTTGGGAGAGTGTAGCAATTTCTTCTGGAGCTTTCAAGGATTTGTCCTCAGGTGGGACGTTGATGACGGCGCTAGGCGAGCCGGGGCCACTTTTAGGCGCGCTGTCCACAGGCAAGGCTGAGTCGCCTTCAACAGCTTGCGTTTCAGGTACGCGATGTGTCTGTGCTTCTGGAGACCCATCAACCTCTGAGGCTTCGTTACGGTCGGTCGAAGGTTGCGCATCTTCATGGGTTGCCGAAAAATCTGACGTGTTATCGGCAGGGGTATGGGTTGCGCTCAATTCTTCGGTTGAATTTGGCTTTGCCGTCTGATTAGAAGGGGTGTGTACCTTATTATGGGGTTGATCTGTTGACTCCATAGCGACAGGTGGTTGAGTTTCCGTCATAGGGGGCTTGCTGATCTCGAGGGTGACTGGCTCTTGCTCATCAACCTTAGCATCGCCAATGTTCTCCTTGTCCTCACTTGAGCTCACTGTCGCTCCTTTGGATACACTCTGGTCCTGATTCACTCCATGTGCCTTCCTTTCCATCTGCGTTTTCCGAAGCTGGAGTGCCTTCATGAGTCTTTCCTTCTCATGCGATGTTGTAGACGACGATAGAGCACTCAAGGACTTTGCACCAGGTGATAATGGAGGTCTTGAGATGGACGCCGATAGTGGAGGTACAAGTAACGGAGGCACAAGAGGGGCCGATTTGTTAGGTGTGGAAGCCACGGTGCTACCATGCGATCGAGGACGAGCGGTAGGGAATGGGTTGCTTTTTCGGAGCGAAGATGACCGAACCCCAGCCGGTAAGGAGGCGACCGGCCGCTGTTGTTCTATGCTTCGAGAGAGATTACCTGCAGTGCGCGGCCGCCCACTTCCATCGACGGAGGGTCGAGGACCACGCTTGACCTTGGGTGAGTATATACCTGAACGTTCCAGGTCTCGCAGTGACGGCCTAGCGGACTGGGAGGACTTGCGTGGCTCGGTCGATGGGTGAGAGAGTTCCTCCTGCAAATTCTTAACCGAAGCTCGGCGTTCAGCGTCCCGGTCACCAAATACGGAGGGACGTGTGTCATTGGAGTCCTTCGCGACTGTCGGTGGTTGGTCCCCATTGGAAGGTTGCGTGTCCAAGGGAGCTGGAGGCGCTACAATCGTGGATTCTGATAACTGACTGAAAGACCTTCGCCTTCCGTCGCCATTGGGAGACTGGGTCTCTGCCGCATCCTTGCTACCAGTATTTTCCTCTGCATCTTCGGTGATCTCCATCAGCCTGCGACGGCGGAGTGAGCTCGAGGAGGAGGTGATGGAACCTGAAGCAGTATGGAGCAAGCATGCGGACGACAACGAGCTCTCGGTGAGATCAGAGGATTTTGCGAGAGTAAAGACTGTATCATGAGGGGTGAATTTGTCCAAGATCGATTGAAACTGGACGGTGGTACGGGCTGCGCATTGTTCGAGATCATATCAGTAAGGATCGGGGGGTCTATGGAGGCTGGAAGATCCCACATACCTTGGATCAGTCGAGATAGACCCTCCGGCAGATAGCTTAACACCACCTTCCTGCGACGATATTGTAGAAACCCGTACAATGGTGCGACTTCCTCGTATCCGTCGATTGTGTTCCGCACCTCCGGCACCCCGCCTGTTCCCCGATCGAGGAGAGCGACTTCATCCCTCGAGACGTAGTGAAGGAGAAACCTAATGTATCAATGACCGTATTTTAGCGTGGTTTCACAGCCAAATATTCAGACGAAGGATTTCGCGATCGGAAAGCGATTGCGGGAAGTATTAGGGGCAGAGAGGAAGAGAGAGACATACCATCCCCCCGCTTCACTTAGAGCTATCTGGTAGGCTTCTAAAACCGCGGGATTTTCTAACCCATTGAGAGACATAACGGGAACTGCATTGGAGATAGACGCCCGGATCGGAAAAGATCACGACTTTTGTTCAGCCGGACGGGAAGGGACAGATAAGGGTGAGGGGGAAGGAATTAGACGCAACAACTGGGACGAGACAAAGAATAGGATAATAGTCTGTCAAGGAGAGAAAAAGACGATCTAGCCAAGGTAGTAGTAGGTAGAATGGGAAGACCAGCCGACAAACTGGGAAAGTTACACACAGTGCAGTGATTTACCCCCCTGCGGTCCGAGAATTACCTCAGAACGGACACTAACAACTAACACGAGGCAATTAGATATCAGGAGCGTAGGATGAATGATATTCGAGATGGTGGTGACTTTCCACGAATCTCTCAGGAGTTCAGGGGCTCCCTATTAGTGGGTGGCTCGGTGCCTCCACTTTCTGTGATAGCGAAGTTTGGTCGGTCTCCACGTTCCTTGGCTTTCAGCCCAGACGTTCAGTGGATGGGAGATGGACTGGAAGATTGGAGATCTGGCGAGATTTGGAGATTTATAGCCGATGGACGGACTGAGATAGATCAACAGGCAGCCTGGATGGAGAAAACCCGGTCGAATGGATTCATTCTGCTCGAGAAAATGACGGATGAATGAAGCCATCGAAGAGCTCCCGACGCGGAGTGGTACCTGCTTGCTTGCGGGTCCGAGGTACCCGTCACCTGCTCTGCAGTTGGGTAATACAGCAGCACGGCGGTACTTACCAGGTCCGTACTCCATGCGTACTCTTTGCGTACAGGCCATCACATCGAACCCTGCTAATTTTCAACAGAGAAATCTCTTAAGGTCCATTCGATTTTCATACCAGCTACTCTATCTTCTACTATGTACGGAGTCATATTGCCATCCGTAGCCTTACTGGTAGGCTAGAACACTTGGAATATGGCGATACAGGAATCAATAGATGTAAGTACCTTACGCCAAGTACGATATCTATCGATGGTGTGCAGCGCCGTGGACTATATCAAGGCCATGGAGACTCGGAACTCGATCCCGGTGCCCATCCGTCCTGCGTCCGGATTTTAAATCCTGCAAGCCAACCACGACAACAACCAGTAGATCGATACGTATAAGCCGGACAAGACTCTGCCAAGCGATTCCACGGCTTCAATCATGGCCTAGATTTGTTCTGCCAATTCCACCCTGGAGGTCTCCGCCCCGCTCTCGGAGTCTCCCGATGCCGGCGATAGCTTATAATATCCATGGTTCCATCCACTCTCCCTCCAGAAGTATTTTGTCCTCATTCATTTATTCATTCATTTATCATGTCCTCTAGTCTTCCCCCGTCTGGATCCCTGTCCTCTCTCCCAGAGGAGCAACGGTTCCAAGTCCTCGATAAGCTTTTCGAACAGTCTCCAGAGCTCCATACCCTGATGGCCCCTGTGCTGGCCAACAAGTCCTTCTCTTCATATTCTAGTTTAATCAACGCAGTGGGTGGTCGAATGTCCGCTCTCTCCGCCGCCAATTCGCCGACCAACAAAGCCGTTCTCGTAGGCATTCTAGGATCTCATCCCCGCTTGGGACGACCAAAGGAAACGAATCCCGAACATCTGAGCGAACTCAGCAGGCAAGAACAGGCGCAATTGAACACCGGGGCTGAAGAGCAAGCGGAGAAATTAAGACTGTTGAATGCGGAATACGAGGAGAAATTCCCTGGATTAAGATTTGTGTAGGTTGCCCATGCGACTCTATATACGGAGTATATATATATATATAGAATACGGGACTAACTTCTACGTCTACTGATTGCTATGGATCAGAACGTTTGTCAATGGGCGGAGTAGTGAGGCGATCATGGTGGAGATGCGTCAGAGGATCGATCGAGGGGATGTCGATCGAGAAGTGGAAGAAGCCATCCAGGTGGGTGTTTAGAGTGATCATTTGCGAGTCCATGAATTGACGAACTGACCTGCGATAGGCCATGTGCGATATTGCGAGGGATCGGGCACGGAAACTGAAGAGTCCGTCGCGGATCTAAACAATCTATATACTCGGAACTGAATTGGGCAGATGCATATTATCTATCGACTTGTGGAGGAGTGTTAGTGGCTATGCCCATGGTGGCGTCACACGAGACCCTTGGAGTTATCTCGGGGACATATGAACCAGTGGAAATAGTTCCAGTCTTTCTGGTAAGTGGAGATGGAATGCTTGGTTAGAATTGTGGTTCGGCCAGACTTGAATACGAATTAATTGCGATGCTGTGGCGATGGAATGACGCTAATGATAAAACGCAATGAACAGGCCAGAAATAGGATATTACAATAGAATAGCATTCGGTCAAGACGCAAAAATAACATTGTCTTACTTTGGTAAGAGTAGGAAGAATACGTTAAGTAAAAGTACAAAGAGGAAAAAAAAAAAAAAAAAAGAGTGAGAGGACAACATCTGATGTCATCTTTTCTCCGACAGAAGCCATCCGAAGATTGCCGTGAAAACTGTTTTCCAAATCGTTCCGTAATCATGTTCTTTCTGCTTCCCTCTTCATCTCCCACCTCCTCGGAGGCTTTCTAAACCTATCCTCAATCCCACATGCGCCGTTCTGGGCGTCGACCTATCCATGGCGGAGGTTCGGCGAGTGCCCAGGGAGACTGAGAGGCGAGAGGTCCCTGCAATCGTCACCAGCTTTGCGGGTTCTACAGCTGCGATTCCCACGAACAAGGTCGACAGTGTCAGTCCCACTGTCAACAAGGATGACCACAGTCCCGCCTCTGGAAAATCGGGGTTTTTGCGAACTTCGCAGTCGTTCCCTATCGGTAGGTTGTTATTACACGATCGGATCTGATTGGATTCGACAAGATCAGATGCGACAGGTTCGAGCCTGGGCTTACCTAGTGACTGGATAGGTTCGTTACCGTCAGATGTCGCCGATAGTGGAAAATTTCAGGATGTAGGAAGGAATTCTCGACCACTCAATGGCTCTATCGGCGTTGGCAGGAATTCTGTCTCATCGCCAACCATCAGCGCCGACGCCAGCGCAATCGATCCGTTGTCCCAAGTAGGTGCTGACGCCCATGGCATGATTCCCCAGAGCATCAGGCTGATGAATGGCTTGTAGCATATCATTAAACGTACCAACACGCAAAAATCCATTCCCCTCAAGCTCCTAGGGAGAGCGTCATACGAGGCGGAAGTGGGCGGAACAGAACATCCCAGTCCGGTCGAGCAAAGCTCAAACCGGGGAGATGCAGTGTTACACCAGAAACCCAATCGGGATAAGAAGTAAGTGATGCTTCGTCGTGTTGGGTTCCTCAGACATAACCCGCTCTGCAAGAGTTCTTGCTCGCGCGTCTCGTTGAGGATCCCATGCTCTGCCTTTTCAATCCAGGCTGACAGTCGATGGCCTTCCCCCTGCAGAATAGGCGTCTCCTTCCTCAGTCGCATCATAGGGGGTAAGAAGAAGGGACCATCCCTCGGCGACGAGGAAGATGCCTCGGAACCCGAAAATGCTCGTATAGATGCCGGCACCACTGCGCAACCGATCGGTTTCATTCCTCGTTTCCCTCGTCCCCCGAAGTATATCCGAGTCCGCGCTCACAACAAGAAGGAGAAGACGTTCAACCGGATTTTCGTGGCGCAGGAACTCGAGGGCACCGATGATGAGACGTGCCCGCCCGACAAAGATACGCCCACGTCAACAACAGGGGCGCCGACCAACAAAAGCGCCGGGAAAGCCGTCTGGGCTCTCATTTTCTCCAAGGATGGTAAATATATCGCTGCCGCTGGACAAGACAAGAAGGTCCGCGTCTGGGCTGTGATTGCATCTCCAGAGGACCGGCGAGAACACGAAACCGAAGGCGACGGCAGTCGCGAGGAAGACGGGCCTCCACCGTTGAAGGCGCCGGTGTTCAAGGCGAAGCCGGTTCAGATATACGAAGGTCATACAGGAAGTGTGCTGGACTTAAGTTGGAGCAAGGTATGAGCTACCGGTGCCTGGGAAACTCCTCTCCTCTTCTCTCCGTTCCTAACCACTCTGCAGAATAACTTCCTTCTCTCCTCGTCGATGGACAAGACCGTTCGACTGTGGCATGTCACCCGTTCAGAGTGCCTGTGCTGCTTTCAACACAGTGACTTTGTGACTTCAATCCAGTTTCACCCTCGCGATGACCGATTCTTCCTGGCAGGATCGCTGGACACCAAGCTCCGGCTGTGGAGCATCCCAGACAAGACCGTAGCATTTGTCACGACAGCCCCCGACATGGTCACCTCGGTCGCCTTTACCCCCGATGGCCGACACTCAATTGCCGGATGTCTCAACGGGATGTGCAATATCTACGAGACCGACGGGCTAAAGGCTGTTGCGCAGATCCACGTCCGGTCTGCGCGTGGTCGCAACGCAAAGGGCAGCAAAATCACCGGGATCGACACGATAACCGTTCCATCGACTGATGCCCACGGCGAGGTAAAGCTGTTGGTCACCAGCAACGACTCTCGCATCCGACTGTACAACTTTCGCGACCGCACCCTGGAGGCCAAGTTCCGCGGCAACGAGAATACCTGCAGTCAAATACGGGCTTCCTTCAGCGACGATGGGAAGCATGTCATTTGCGGCAGTGAAGACCGCAGAGCCTACCTCTGGCCCACGGATACCACGGAGAAGACATCAGCCGGCAAACGTGCCGTGGAGATCCTCGAAACTCAGTCGGCGATGGTGACGGCAGCCGTCATGGCTCCGTCTAAAGCCAAGCAAATGCTGGGATTCTCGGAAGACCCCATCTTCGACACCTGCAACCCTCCACCGGTGACGCTGGTGAACGAAGCTGAGGCAGCCGCCTCGAAGGGAAAAGGACGTCGCAACCGCAACTCGGGAGCCAGCAAGGCCGCCCAGGAATCCCCGGCATACCTCTCGCGCTCAACCCATCCGGACGGGAACATTATCATCGTAGCCGACTACTCAGGCAAGATCAAAGTCCTGCGACAAGATTGCGCGTATCACAAACGCCACTACGACAGCTGGGATACGCATTCCACCATCTCGCGCCGACTCCTGCGACGCACCAACTCGGCACGACACAGCATCGCTTCGTCCATCGGGAAAGAGTCGCACAAGACGCCCTCTGAGCGCATCATCTCCTGGCGCAACTCCGTCATCGGACACCATCGCGATGGTTCCCACCAAGGAGGCACACGCACCCGCACGCCCTCGCCACATCGACACACCGACCCAACCCGGGTGACCTCCAGCCCCCGACACGGCGTCGAGTCCCGCCCGCCTTCAGCCTACAGGTCCAGCATGGAATATAAGATCTCCATGGAAAGCGCGCGGCCCAGTTTGGACGCCCGTCGGACCTCCTCATACGGTGGGATCGGACCCAAGCACATCAAGGAACCCAAACCGAAGGACGCTCAGATCCCTACATCCGCGGCGGCCCTGATCTCCAGCGGACGAGAGAAGGACAACCCGCTGTGGTTACGGGGCGACCAGAGTTACGCGTTCTACAATCGAATTGCGCTCGATGCGATGGCGCGGTCGCAGCAAGATTCGCCGGATCTTCTCAGTCCTGATCGGCCTATGGCAGGTCAACGCCAACCCAGCACGGGCAGTGCGCTGAGCAGCGACTACGGGTCATCGCATGGTGAGAGCGAGGAAGGTGATGTCCTTCGATGTGGCCGGTGTCAGGGAACGAATTTCCGCGCCACTAACGCTCGTGGAAAACAGAAGTTGGTCTGTGTGCGTTGTTCGCGACCGATTAGTTGATTTTTTAAGATGATTATGATTGATGATCTAACTTTATTTGCTCTGTCTTGTTACATATATGTCTTGGCTTTTTACTTGTCTTTTCTTTTCTTTTTTTTTTGGTCTGCACTAGATGTTTGTATATATACATCGGGATTTCGCCTAGACCTGTGCCGAGATGATGATGGTTGTATTTATGCATGTATAGTACGAGTCAATGACGAGATGGATGTAGATGTTAATTGATATTAAATTAAGTGAATGGGTGGCAGAAAGAAATTACCTTGAGAAATGTCGTAGCCTAGAATAAGAATCAGGCATACATATTTGGATTCATAATGACCAATGAATCCATGAGCCCATAATAGCATTTATATTTCAGATAGACTTTTAAGACATGCATCAGCCTACTGCTATACTTGTCCGTACCTATCAAAAGCATCAGTCCAATGGATAGAGTACATACCACATATCAATCAACTCCATTGCTAATAATCCAAAACTAGCTGTAGTGCCTAGCGATAGACGAATTCTGCCCCCAATGACTGTGATGGTGATGACGGGTCTCAAGACTACTCGGTCAGTCATCTCCCTCTATCTACTGCAAAGTATCATATGATCAGTCTCTACTTCACTAACTGGTGCCCCTCTCGCCAGCTTTAGCGCCCCATTTTCTCCGTTAGACTGGGTCTACACCACTATATCACAGGCCCATCTCGACGAGTGGCAGTGTTACAGTAGTGGATGGCGACGGGATGGCCACAAACTACGGGACTTGGACCCGAGGCAGTGCAGCAGACTATGATCTTTGGGGACGTATCGTGTGTGATCACTCCTGAAGCTATGAGGGGCTCCTGCCGTACTTAAGAAGACCGAGACGAAGACGCATTTTGACCAGTAGTGGATTCCACCGTGCATGGTGTTGACGGCCCGATTTATAATGTGTCTGTGTCGGCCAGTAGCCCGGATCAAAAGTATGCGCTGAAGGAGCCATTAAGGGCTGCATGGGAGAGAAGGTCAGTTGGGGCTCACCGTTAGGGCTGGTCGAGCTAGTGGAGAACTGAAGAGAGGGCAAAAGGCAGTTGTCAAGTGAGGCGTATGAGATTCCGCAAGACGGAACCCAGGTGATAACGGAAACGGTTCTGATCGAGGAGCGAGATGGACTGAAGGACGAGACAGGTGTGGATAGCCGGGGGACAACAGTACTTCGCAACGAAAGAAGTGGTTGTCTCGGCGGGGGCGTATCGCACGTCGCATGTGTTGATGCCTCAGGTATTGGGCAAAGAGAGGAACTGGAAAAGTATCATATCCTGCAGGCCGTCGATCGTCGATTCCCCCGAGGTTGGATGGAAAGCGGATCTCATATGTTCGTCGGCTTAGGGAATAGAAAGGTGTCAGATCCATAAGTTGAATATGGATGGATAGTTCGTCAGGTCTGCGGTATAACAACGATTTCCTGGAATTCTGAAGCACTCGATATTGCTCTGCAACAAAAGGGCCAATAACATCATGTTTGCGAGTCAGCAAACCAATTAGTGCGAGAGAATAATTGCTGAGATTGGGGAGAGTTCAGCAACCAATGGCCAGAGAGAGATTCATGGAAACTCAATCGTAGCCAGTAATGCCGCAGGGATGCTAATATTGTGACTCTGAAGTTGATGAACCAATGACTCCCTTGTTCTTATAAGTTGTCCTGCACCTTGTACGATTTGTGCTCCACCTAGGTGCGAGAATGAATTAGCCCTTGAAATAAGTAGAATATGTTTAAGGAATATAAACCTTCAGATGTCAAGACAAACCATTTGCCCAAAAAGCTCAGGCTTTCTAGTGAAGCTAATACAGTGAGTTAAGTCATAGGAAGTTTCAACAAGAGATTGGTCAAGTACCTCGCATTACGTCCATGACGATCATATTCTCATGAAGACCGTGGGCCGTCCCGAGCATGTAATCAAGTCCCTAACCCTATCATCATACTAAATTATGGGTATTAAACCCGCATTATGCATAAAACTAAAGAAATAAGACCTTCACAAAACTCACACCAGCCGAGAAAAGAAAGATAGTGGTGATGAACCTGCATGGATTGGAATAATATTAGACGAGTCAATGACTGACAGATCAATCCAGGAGGACTGCCTGATTCTGCCTAACTCCACGGCCTCTCTAACCACGACACACCATCGCGAAGTCACCGCCTTACGAGATTCAAAGTCAAGCGGCTTCAACTCGACATTGACATCTCCAGTTCGTCCCAGCCCACCATCCAATTCACCATGCCGTACCTACCAACCCCACAGGCTTTCCTGGAACAATCGGCCTTATTACTAGAAGCATACCCAGATACGGTACGTCGTCTTCAGCCGAATTGATTCCGATTCCGATTCCATCCAGCAAAACTAACCCAAGCGGATTTCCAGACCCGAATCACAACCAAATACAGCTTTCCCTCCCACAAACCCAAGTCAACGTCCACAGTTGATTCCGCTTCCGCAGACCCTAAATCTCAACCCCCAGCGACAACACCGGTTGCCACGCTGACGCTGAAAACGTACAATCCCTCGGCGGGTCTGTGTCTCAAGTACCGCACTAACAAGGCCGCGGAGGTCGGTCGTCTGATCACAAGTCTAGGGAAACTGGCAGCTGGTGCAGATGTGGCTAGCTTAGGGTTGTCGGGAGCTGCGCCGGGGACCCAGGTTGCTGCGGATGTGGAGATGATGGATGCTCCGGAAGAGGGTGCATCTACACCTACGCCTGCGGCTGCGAGTATGGGGAAGACAGATTCTGGTAGTAAAGGAGGGAGGTCGAAGAAAAAGGGAGGAAAGGGAAAGAGGTGAGAAGTATGGTTCGGTAGGAGCTGTACGGACACGATAATCGGTTTGTGGTGACGGGAGACAGGAAGAAGGCCTAGTTCGGCACCTTGAGTCTGGTGCAACATTACCACTGGACAGAATGACGAGCGTGTCTGAAAAATCTTATAACTTTGGCATCTCAGGATGGAGTGGTCCAGTTTGGGAGTGGCCTAAGGCTATCTCATATTTTCTGATATACTTCGTCTTCGAGGAACGGGCTGGACTGCATGAATTTCACTCACGCATGCTCTACCGGCCAACCCAGATGTGAACATTTGGAAGATGACGCTTAATGATGCAGTATGTCCTGTACATAAAAAGAAACGCAGTACTCTTCACTGGAGCGTCTTAATTTCCAACATCTACTCATTCTACAACCTTGTCCGTATTGACAACAACATCGCCATTAATACACCAAGGAGGTGGATTTTTGATCGGGTGAAATGGGGTTGCGAAAAAGGACTTGGCTACGTGCCTCTTCCTTAAGGCTCTTTTCTTAAATCACACCCTGCGACAATGTAACTTTGCTAGATGGAAACCTTCAACGATACGAAGATGCTATAATATAATCCGTTGATTCTAACTATCAGACAGCATTAGAGATATCCAACTGAATGTACAATGATATCCTTTTCCTTTGATATAGTCCGCAATCCATCCCATACAAGTATGTATCGAATGCAGACGGCACTTTAATACAATCAAATCAACATTTCTTGCCAATGAAACGCCAGTCCCATGCGTATACCCGAATAACCTCGTAACTCAATAAACACAGACAAAACAAAACAGGAAGGGGAATGAAAGAAATGAACTCATATCCAATGGCGCTCACTGGCCGGGTATAATCGTGTTGCATCAATCTAAAAGTCCTCGTCAAAGGCGAGGCCTCTATCGCCGGACTGGGTCTCCTCCTGAGCGACATCCTTTTTGGTGCTGGCCATGACACCGGCCTTCTGGTAGTCACCCACCCGCTTCTCGAAAAAGTTGGTCTTACCAGCCAGGGAGATCGACTCCATGAAGTCAAAGGGGTTGGTGGCATTGAAATACTTGGGGTTGCCGAGCGCAACCAGGAGACGGTCGGCCACGAACTCGATGTATTGGCACATCAACTTCGAGTTCATGCCCAGGAGCGCGCAAGGAAGAGCGTCAGTCAAGAACTCCTTTTCAATGGCGACAGCTTCGACAATGACGTCCTCCACAATCTGCTTGTTCGGGCGGTTGTTCAGATGAGAGAACAGGAGACAAGCAAAGTCAGTGTGGAGACCCTCGTCACGAGAGATCAGCTCGTTGGAGAAGGTAAGACCAGGCATAAGACCACGCTTCTTCAGCCAGAAAATGGAAGCAAAGGATCCAGAGAAGAAAATACCCTCCACGGCGGCGAATGCAATCAGGCGCTGGCCGAAGGTGGACTCCTTATCTTGAATCCACTTGATGGCCCAGTCAGCCTTCTTTCGGATGCAGGGAACTGTGCCATATGTCAGCAACCAATCTCCAACACCTCCAAGCCGAACAACGGTACATACTGGTATCAATAGCATCGAAGAGATAGGTGCGCTGCTTGGGCTCCTTGATGTAGGTATCAATCAGAAGAGAGTAGGTTTCCGAGTGAATGTTCTCAATCATAATCTGGAATCCATAGAAGCAACGGGCCTCGGGAATCTGCACTTCTCCGCTGAAGCGCTCCAATAGGTTTTCATTGACAATACCATCCGAGGCAGCGAAGAAGGCAAGAACCCGGGAGATGAAGTAGCGCTCATCGTCATTCAGACGATTGTTCCAGTCGTGCAGATCCTTCGAGAGATCAATTTCTTCAGCTGTCCAGAAAGAGGCCTCGGCCTTCTTGTACATTTGCCATATCTATTTCGTCGAGACAAGTTCTGTTAGCAGGGGGCAATTGGCAATAAAACGCGGGCGGCAAAGCGTTGGCAAGGAAAAATCACTTTACGCGTGACGTGTGTTGGACGTGTCAGCTCACCTCATGATACTTGATGGGGAAAAGAACAAAACGATGAGGATTCTCTTGGAGCAGGGGCTCGTTGGCTTCAAGTTCCTTAACAGTAGGAACAGCCTTTGGAGTTTCCTCGGGCTTCTCTGCAATCGACTTGGTGGCTGATACGTCGACGGCGGGGCAGGACGCATTCTCCTTGCCGGCTGCTTCGAAGTTTAGCTTCTTCACAGGCGAGTCGTTCATCTTGAGGTTCTCTAGGGAGGATGCAGCCTATACCACGAGACACGGTTAGCCCATGCAATAGCAGCGACGCGTCGACAGGGGAGGCGAGAATGACATCACATACCTGCTTAGAGGGAGTAACTTGTGCGGACATCTTGAACAATGTGTGAGAGAGTGATAGAATAAAAGAAGCAAAGGAATTGACCACACTGTCACAGAAACACGCCAGGCAATGAGTCTGAGGAATTGGGATGAGAGAGAGAGAACAGTGAAACGGGAGGACTGAGCGAAGAAATACTTGCTTTGGACGAGGAACGTGATCCTTAGCGCGACGGGCTAAGTCACGCTGCACGTGACATGGCGCGCTTTCGGGATGGCTGGTTCATTGTTGCGGGCGCGTTTTTCATGCCCTCCTCTCCTTGCAGAGGGCAATCGTCCATCGCTTGCTCTGGTTGGGTCAGACCACTGGTGTTTCCTGCCATCCGGTGTTTGAGATCTCCACCTGGAATGTACCTCGTCTCCACAATCCTGGATTCTTGGAAAGTTGGAAAGGTATTACCGAGACTAGAATGTCGCGTCTGGGAAAGATGTAATCTTATCTGATGAGATTTTATCTCTCACTGTAGTCGATCAGGCACTCGGTATTTCAATCGTAAATGCTAAATATAATATGGATTTTCACTCTGACCATTTAGAGTTCTTGTGCACCAGGGAAGACCGATATTGTACCCCTAAATCCATGCTACCTTTTTGGGACTTCGCGTAGCTACTCGTCTATAAGGTAGACCACTTCAGCTACTGCTTACGCTGGACACGGGCGCCATGATTCATCCACATCCTCAATAATAAGTTACTAGTAATTAGCAATAAATGGGAACTGCCCACTCGTTTCCACCGCGTTTGTGGGAGTCTAGATTTGGTAATAATCGAGTAAGCTAGTCTCTTCGATGGAGTAAACATTGCTGCCCTTGCAGGAGCGACGCGGCAAGACCCTGCCGAAGTGGGCGCTGCTGCTTCTGCCTGTATTAGGCGTCCACTCGGATTTACGGATTTGGAGGCCAACTTGGGCCGACGGCTATTGGTGCTACGTTGAGACTCTATGGGGCTTGTTTGTTTTCTTTTTGCGGCGATTGGTCCAGATGATGACATTGCTATAAACAGAGACGCGTCTGCAAAGATTAGTCATTGGACTTGGTATGGCATCTTTCCTGCTCCAGCTTTCTGATCATCTATGGCTGATTAAAGCAGATCTCCTGCTGCATACTCTACTCATGTTTAGGCTATGACGCAATGTTACCACGATGATACCCTTGACTGTTTATAAACCCTTGCTATGTATAGGGTCGCTGGCCATATTCTGCAGTCTACATGTGATATTGCTCCATATGTACAAAATGCTCTATAGTAATATGACGTGATAACCAAAGACAAAACGCCCCTTATAATACCAACAAAAGCCAAAGATCGAAAGCATAGAATTTTATTCTCCACAAGGGGCCTTATGACAATTCACCCTTATCATTCTTACAACCGCGCCTTCATGTCATCGGAAAGAAACCGGTCCTCTAACTTGCGCATGAATTTGTTGGTTTGCTCGGCCAAGGAAAGGGTCAAGATCTAATGAGGGTCAACGGTCTGTCCTGCGGAGCGGAATTGTGTATAATGTCGGCGTCCACTTACAGTATGGGGCAGGATACGAGCCAGATGGGCAAAGTAGCCTTTATAGATGGCGAGCAAACCTTCCGTGCGAATCGTCTTGTACAAGCAATCAAATACACCCTTGTACAAGTTACCAGTCTGGTTATACATCCGTGACATGATGGTGTCTAGACACATTAGTTAACCGGTCCGTACAGGACAAGAAACGCTACACAGCATACCTGGTGGGTGCATGACGCAGCAGACAACGAACCCTGAAGCTGTACTACTGGCCAGGTGAAGTGCAGGGCCGTCTTCCATTCCCAAATGTCTCATAAGACGTCGCTTCGCAAAGAAGTAGGTCGGTAACTGAACAGAGCTACCAAATCCAGTACGGACCATGGCTGCACCTACACCTCGGTACAGCCCTCGAATACCCTCAGAAGTATAGATTTTTTGGAGTCCATCGAATGAGTTGCGGTAGCTGTGTTGTGTGCCAACTGGGAGGAACGGAGAGTACGACTGAAGACGAGTTTTGACGAGAAAGAACGGAGAGCCGGCAGCAGCACCAATCATACCCGACGAAGCTCCAGCGAAAACATTAATCCACAGAGATTGAACCTGGGGATCATTATAGGCTGCGGTGGTGAGACCCTTGCGCACCGGCTCGTAAAACCCCAAACGACATCCATTGAGCAAAATTTGGTATATATACTAGATAATCCCGGTCAGCTGACACGCTGTATTCAGCGGTCCTCGCATCACATACAGCAACCCCTATCCCGCGGAACAGCCCTTGTGGGCCCTCGTTCTGTAGGATAACCTTGACCGCGTGCGTGACGCCCTTGTATTTTTTGACCGCATCAGTTTTTGACTGTAGTTCTCCTTGTAGCTGCAATCTGCACGTCGAATCGAGTTAGCCATAGGGCCGAAATAACCGTGTGCGCACAGTCGGGTGGCAGAGCAGTCCGTACCGGATCTTGACGGTTTCAAAACTGTGTGTGACGGTGACCGCTCCACATGCTGCAATGCCGCCCGCAATGAAGGCCCTATCGATAGCATCAAGGTTAGTTCAATGCATGGCCTTGTCTGCGCAATACTACAGCAACATACCCTGTTGTTGTTGCCATGTTTCGCCAAAATAATACCCCCGAGTACGGGATACTGGGGTAGGGGAATGTCTTCCGGGGAGTGTCTTCCAGGTAGTGGATAACGGAACGAAATGTAAATTGACAGAACTAAAACAGATAGGAGTGGAGAGTGTTCGAAATGAATGCTCTGGTGTTAATGGACCGTTCGGATATGACCACCTTATCAAAAGAGAGTGTGAACTGTCAGATCGGAGGTGTAAGAAGAAGCAAGCTGTATTCTGTCCACCAGTACTAATTTAATGAATATCGGGGCACCCAGCCTAAGCTTCGCCGATTGGATTCCACCGCCTTTAATTGGCGGGGCCACGTGTTCCACAGTTAGTCCTAAGGCATCCAGACTTCTCCGACCTCGGGCGCGTGGCCGAGCCTAACCGGCGGAGCGGATTATCTGGGTTGCCGAAGGGAGCCGCATTATTCCTGAATAGGTTAGCCGCAGCCAAACGCGTCAAATTCTCTGGGTGAGCGTGTGCCACGGAGAGAGCTCTTTCTGTTGGCAAGCTCCATTGCAAGCGAATTGGATGCTGCAACGCCAGGCATCATCAACTGCGGGTTGGGTGTGGTTATCTATTAGACCTAGGCACCGATATATACTGCTTATCCTATTGCGGTGTCCTTTCTTCTAGCCATAAAAATGGGGGACGGCCAGCAACAGCAGGCGCCGCCATCGCAGCAGGTCCAACAGCCTCAATCTATCCAACAGTTACAGACTCAGAGGGTGTCGGATATTGTTCGTAGCTTTCGACCTACAAAGGTTCGTGTAAGGTCCTTTATGAGGCCAGCAGCAGGTGACCGAATTCGGCTGATGACCTTAGGCATTCAAACTATCCAAGCCAGATGCTCAAAACTTTGTAACCTCACTGGATTTCGATGACCAGGGTGACTACTTGGTGGCGTCGGGAGATGATGAGACGATACAGATATACGATGTCAAAGAGGGTAAACACAACAAGTCGGTTCCGAGCAAAAAATATGGTGCCCATCTGGCAAGGTTCACACACCATTCTCGTCAGATTCTCCACGCTAGCACGAAGGTTGATGGTAGGTCTCTACGTGGATAGCTGCGCTAACTGCCCTCTGCTTACTTGCTCCTAGATTCGTTGCGACTACTTGACCTCCACAACGAAGGATATGTGCGATATTTCGCCGGCCATACGGACAAAGTGACCTGTTTAGCCGTCTCTCCGGGCAGCGACTCATTCATTTCTTGCTCAAAAGATGATACTATTGCACTGTGGGATCTGGGCTCAAGAAACGCGCAGGGGAAACTGCAACTGGCTACGCCATATCTTGTTGCTTTTGATCCCTCCGCTTCTGTTATTGCAATCGCAACGCAGTCAACATCTTCCATCCTCCTTTACGACTTCCGCAATTATGACAAGGCCCCGTTCTCGACTTTCGATCTTGCCCCTTACGAGGAGAAATATACCCCATCCACGCGTGGCAGAGCCTGGACACGTCTGGAATTCTCTAATGACGGGAAGTTCTTGCTCGTTGGAACCGATTACCATGGTCACTTCATCCTTGACGCCTTCGATGGTACGGTGAAGACTTTCTTAGTCGGCAGGAATGGATCGCCTGGGAGAGCAGCACCGGTTTCAACAACGGGTAAGCCTCTCGGCCAAGGGGATGCGTGCTTCTCTCCGGATGGGCGATTTGTTCTCAGCAGCTCTGGAGATCATCCGGATGTTCTCGTCTGGGACATGCAGCAGATATCCCCTGAATCCAACGGTTTTCTACAGCCGACGTACAAGCTACCTCATCGCAATCGGACCGCTTTGATTGAGTACAACCCGAGATACAATATGATTGCTTCTGCCGATAAGGACATTTTCTTCTGGCTACCAGAAGATAGCTACCGCCCCTCGGAGAAGTAAACCGGTCTCAGCGCAAAAGCAACGGAAACGAACCGTGGGAATTCCAGATTTACTTCCAAGCTCAACAACCGGATCGTCCAATCCAAGGGATCTCGGTCGAACTGTTACAACTATGGAGACGTACCTTTGTAATGCACGGAAAATGTTTTGATGATCTAGCCAAAGGAAACTTTCTCTAGTTTTTTCGATCTTTTCCTTTACCCACTAAACTCCTAGCCGTGTCACAAACCCATATCGATGGTCCCTCAAGATTCTCATTACCGTTTCTGTGATTTTCCACCGTGGTCTCAATCTGCTTGACAACAGTGCGATTGCTGGATATCGTCGTCATACCGGCGGCCCATCCATACATGAAAACACTGTAATTGATATCGGACAATATCCCCGTAACTTGGTGGGATACTGGAGGCAGCTGGCCATTTTGTCTTGCCGAGTCAATTACAGACGTCGCATGCACTGTCTTTATGGGAAGCTTCCAGTGTGGCGGAATTTCATAGTCAGATAGTTCCTGGAGGTCTTGAATGAGGGAATTGGGATCGCGTTGGCTGTGTGGAGGGTCCCCCATGATGATCTCCGCCCTTTTCTTCTCAGTATCGGTACCAATTACATCCACAATTTCACGCATTCGTTTTGCTGCCTCATCCGTGCAAACCAGCTCGTGTGCATTCATGGCTGGCCAGAGCTCCGTGGATAACAGAGGACGCTCACTTTCCACCTCGAGTTGGCGAAGGATAGCTCTATGATACGACGGAGAAGGAGGTATGTTTTTGAAATGAGACAGATCCGACACGAGTGCAAGCAACAGCGTACAGTCCACGTTCAGGGCGGAGGTGAATCGTTTGAATGGGGTGGGCAGAAGCTGACGCAGTTCTTCTTGAAGAGAAGTCATGGGCTTGGGATGTTCTTCCTTATCTGAATTGCAGCCAAGTGCATTCTCCCCACAATCCACTACGATCCCATAGCTTCGAATTACCTTTAACAGATCGTCAATTTCAGGACTTTCCCCTTCCTCGATCTTCGGGATCACAATGCGTAGACGAGGATGTCTGTAATTGATCCTAGTACTATTGGCAGCCTTCCTCATCTCACTTGCCAATTTCACCAGTTCAATCTCATCATCCTCATCTTCTTCTCCATACCCTTCCTCGTCCCCGCCCTGACGACCATTGAAGTTCTGCAAGATGGTGCGACCTTCCTCTACCGATCCTGCCTCTGAATCAGCCTCCCAACCCTTCTTAGCCATCTCAAACAACAGCCTCGTCTCCGACACCGTCGACACCTTCACCCATTCCTCTCCATCATCTGCCACAATATCCACATAGACACTCTTCCGTTTATCCTTACTCGGCCGTTTCTTCGCCCCATCCCCATCTCCATCTTCCATCCCTCCTTCTCCCCCCCAGTAAAACCGCTTTCCAAACGTGACCAGTCCCGAACACGTCCTCTTCGCAATCATCCACACCGTTTCGTAAAAGGGTAGATTCGAGGACCGCAGCGCATGTATCAGTGCCCGCTGCGTCTCGTCATCCGGATCATCCCCGACGGCAAGCACCCGCTCGACTAGACCGTCGAGGGTTTTCAGCTCCGAGAGTACATTCGACCGTAGAGAGCGCACCTCAACGATTTGTGGGTTGCGTTGCGTTTGTACGAGGAGGGTCTTGAATGCGTCAAGTTCGGAGAGGAGAGTTTGACATCGGTGAACGAGGGAGGTCGCGAGGGGTTGCGGGGTCTCTGGCGGTGATTCACATGGTGGTAGTAAGGGGGTGGTCTGGGACATGGCGGAGTGATAAAACGACGAAAGGAGATGAATGTAGGTTAGGTTAATATTTATAGAGAGAAATGTTCATAAGGGAGGTCTGGATTGTCTCGGGAGTTTGTTTATAGTTTTGTAAAACCATGGGTTGCGTAAGGACCACTTCGAGTCATTCTTTCTCCTGGTCTGAATTTAAGCCTAAATGGGTAAGTGTGGACTCAGGAAATATGAAAACTGTCTCAATGGGAATCTGCAACTGGAATGCTCTTTTTATAATATTATTGACTTTATATAATATTATTGACACTCTCCATTCTATTATCGGCTTCCGGTTAATTCATAATATGAAAATAGGAATCCATCCTTCATATTTAAAGATATCGCCGTATGTATAACTAGACAACATAGAAATAAAGTCACACCAACAATTTAAGAGAAAATTAAAAACCCAACAGGCCAAACGCCAGCAAATGCCTGCCAAGGTCCAAAGAAACATACCATTTTGATTCTTCCGATTAATTGACAACAATGGGGTTAGACACCCCTAGGTATCAGTACAAAATGATGCAACCGAGTTGTCATCATTTATCTTAAAAAGGTGGTCTCTCATATAAGAAAACCAAACTGATCCCTAATCCTTGCTAGTAAGCCGCTGTCGCTCGCCGGAGTTGCGGGGTGATTCGTCATCATCCGACCATTTATCACCATCTTCGCCAACAGCGAAGATCGTCTCTCCATCGAGAGACTCCCGGTGGCGCGGCGCAGAAGGAACAGGTTTAGGAGGCACAGGCGATAGGTCCCGGCGCTGCTCGGAGCCGTGGTGTCCCTCTGCATCAGCGAGGACGTCTTCTTCGTCCAATGCACTACCAAAGGACCGGATCTCAAATCCATCGTCGTCTTGCGCAAGCTGTAGGCGCCATCAGTATCGACCGTTGAGAGGGGAATTCGTGTTCCGGCTTACCTCGTCACTCATAGCGAAGCGTCTGTTGTTGGCGGTAGGTCTCCATAGATAGGCAACGAACGCAATGTCAAACAAGTAAACTATATTTAGCCAGCCGTCCAGCACAAACCACCTGGTCTTCCAGTGGTCCGGCACAAAGCTCGCGTCGCTGCGACCCGCAAAGACAATCGAGTTGATGAAGAAGAAGCCGAATATCACCATAATGCTGCCCAGGATACACCACCACAACTTCTTGTACATCATCGCTTTGACCTTCTGCTTCCTGTCAACCAGGTCTTTCATAGTCGCATTCAGCGAGTTCAACGTCCACACATAGAACGCTGTCAATGTGCCCGCAAGTGGAAGCACAATCAGGAGAACAAGCGGTCCAGCGCTATCAGGGGTTATCGACAAGCTTGCCACAGCATAAATCACGGCGAAAACAAAGTGGGCTATAGCGAGAATGCGCACGTAAACCATGGTGCGACCAAGAGAGGGCTTGACAACACCATAACCCATGCAGACAATGATAAGAAGGAAGAATGAGAAGGCATTCCGTCCTGCATTGAGAACAGCGACAATAACCATCAATGCTTTCGCTCCCAGATTTAAGCCGTTACGGTTTTGATAGTCTAGGCCTGTTAGTGAACAGGGATATCGGCCATAACTCGCGCAGACGTACCATAGAAACCCCAAGTCATCAACTGTTCGACAATCAAAAAGACTAATATAGCGGTGATATAATTTTGCACGGGCACTGCGAAGCGTAAGCATCTCTGCATGTATAATGTCCGAACATCACCCACAAATATCATGACGGTTTTGCACGTAGAGGAAAGCCCAGAATCTGTTTCTAATGAGCACTTTTCCGATATCTAAATCAATATCCCAAGACACGTACATTCCAATAACCGCGTAGACAATTGTCAAGCCCCCATAGAATGGCAGTTTAGCGATCTGCGCAGCGGGTAGTTCACCATACGCATTTCTAAACTCGACCACCGCTCTATAGCCCTTTCCAGAGTAGGCATAAGTGCTCACGCAGTAGAAACCCGTTTTCTTGACCGGGTATTTCACCGCCTCGAGCTTATTTAAATTTACCGCTTTGGAGATAATCGGGAATTTCGAGGTCTCGGTTGCGTTCGGAGCGAGGATAAAGGACCCTATTTCGTCTTGCTTACAGAGGTTCGCTCGAACACTGGCTTCATCACAGATGGTCTCTTTCTCCTGTAATGTACTTATAAGCATGCTGGCAATCTCTTGCTGGCATCCAGAGCATACCTCGGCGTCGTTGGACACGGGTCTCCCAATTAAGGACTCATCACTCCATTCAAATATCACCATGCTGACTAGAGGGTCGCCCTCTCCTCCACCCGATTCTGATATAAATTTGGTCAATATGAACGGATCAACTTCTCCACCCCAAGCTTTGCGACTGTACATCCCCGAACACCGCTGTCTGTGGGCCTCATCCTGTGTCTAGAAGAACGCGATCATTAGACATTGGAGCTTTCCAATCTATTGGAATATGCAGACGCACCAATTCAACCTCATTTGCAAGCGCCCGCCCTGCCAACAAGGCAGTTAAGCCGAGTGCCTGGAGCCAGCCCTTCATCGTGACCGTAGAATAGGAGCTAACCAGGTACTACTACTAGGCTCCGGCAATACCGAGCGCAAGAGTGTTTGATCACAGGTCTAGGGTCATAAGAGGAGGAAGACGAAGAAAAAGACAAAATAGCGTAGCAAACCCAATCAATAAGACAGAGACGAGGATAGATAGATCCCCTAACCAAACCGGGTCCGAGGGAGCCAATATTCGTTGGCCTGTTGTTTCGGAATAGTTAAGTTAGTAAGAGTCGTGGCTACAGAACGGGGAAGCCGCGTGTTGCTAATTATCTAAGCCCCTCGTACCGCCGAGAGAATTCTGCCTTGGCCTTTCGTGGCAAACCGACTTGGTCAACCACTGCGCATGAAAAAAAATCTCAACGCTTTCAAACTGCAGAATATGCCCGGAAAGGAGTTAGTAAATCCGTGTGTGGATTGTCGCGAGGTCGAATCCTGTTTGACCCTCCGCAAACGGCGTGTGTGCGAGTATGTTCACTGATCTATAGCCACGTGGGGACAAGTACAAGAACTGACTGGGACGTTTTACCTATCTTCTTTGATACAGAGAATGCTTCAAACGATTTGTCGACTACAAGGTATTTAGACGCACTGAGAAATATCGTCTCCGTAGGGACCTGCCCAAAACCGGCCAATACAAGATACTTCTTCCCCTCTCTTACGGCCTCTCTTCGTCGGTCCTTCTGCACATGCTGCACGAGCAACTTCGAGTTCAGCGAGCGAAAACACATCCACCTCCAGGATTTGATCTCCATGTGCTTGTTATAGATCCATCGACCATCTCTTCTTCGCGTCCGGCGCATGATGAAGGGTTTGACTTGGCACAAAATAGATTCCCCCTCTGTTCCTTCACGCGCATCCCTTTTCACCAAATATTTGAATTCGTCCCTGATATCCAAGACATGATGTCTAAGTTCACTGGCAAGGGCTTTATGGATGACCCAAGTTTGTCAGACAGAGAGCGCCTCGATGCATTTCGTTCATCGATTGAGTCGGCGACTTCGAGAGCAGATCTTGACCAGGTCCTGATGAATCGACTCATTGTCGCCTTTGCAGAGAAAATGGGCTGCAAAACCATTCTATGGGGAGATTCGGACAGTCGACTAGCTGCGAAAACCCTCGCCAATGTTGCCAAAGGGCGTGGTTCTTCGTTGATCTGGCAAGTGTCTGACGGGATGTCTCCGTTTGGGTTGGAATTCGCCTTTCCGCTGCGAGACCTGTTTACAATAGAACTGCGTAATTATGCAGGCCTTTTCCCTGAACTTTCACGTTTGATCCTCCCAGATGAACTGCCCTCGGAAACCACACTTACCAAGAACCTGTCTATTGATGAGCTGATGATGCGCTATGTCCTAACTCAGGGCGAGAAGTATCCTGGCATCATGTTAAATGTGACGAGAACGGCGAGCAAGCTTCAGTCCTCCGAAGAGCTCACCGATCTGTCTCAGTGTGCCTTCTGCAGAAGCAGAATGTGGAGCTCTGAAGATGGAGCTGCTTCCATGCAGAGTCAAAGCTCTCAATTCTGCTATGCATGCACTCGGTCTCGTCCTGATCTAGCTGCTAACTGCGAAGTTTAAATGCTTTTACTCAACCACGAAAACAGTCGTCGTTATAATACATCAATGGGTCACCAACTCCTGAAACACTATATTGGGGTATATGCGTGTTAAATAAACATTCCGATCATCTAGTACTTCTGGTGTTGCCAACCGTACCCGTTTCTAGGTCATCGTCCGGACGAGCTGACCCGCCAAACCATCCACGTTGCTGTCGATGTCTCTGCGGATGCTTCGCCGCTTGGAGCTTGGCTGGGGGTTGGGTTTTCTTGCGCTGTGGCCCGCTTCCGTGTCTGGATAGACCAGCGTCATCCACAGTCTCGTCGTATCTGTCAAACTCCTCTGGCAGACTCATATCTACCTCGACATTATCTTGTTCTCTTTGCTGCCTGGCAAGCACCCGGGATCCTTTTTCCCTGAGATGCTTCTCCAAGATTATGGCATTTCTCGTATTACATTTGTACATAGCATCGGCGACGTCTCCTACAAATGGCACCAGACCAATAACAAAATCGATGAGAACGTTGACGGTCATCTTCATCCTGAGCCGTGTGGGAAGTCCGCCATCGACCTTTTCGCAGGTATTCACGACCATCATCGCGAGTAGGGTGTCAGCTATATCCCCAGCACTAAGGCAACTCGAAGTCAGCAACAAGGGCGAGGCGGAAACCTAGACAGACCAAAAAATAAATAAATAAAAGTAAAGACTTACAAGGGAATTATGGCAATCATACTACTCCAACCGAACCGGAGGCCACACAAGCTGAATAAACATAAATCTAGTCTATAGGCTCGACGCTTAACCTGAGTCAAAACTTTCTCATCGTTTTTGGATAGACCGGGTGGAGCGGCTTTGCGACGCTTTTGCGTCTTTTTACCAAAAGCGCGGGATAGACGTGACGCGGGAACTTTTTCAAAGTATGGGTCCTGTTCCAACAGTGCTCCTGTTAGCCTAGCCTGTTCGCATTTAGGGGAGTCAAATTGCGACACCTACCTCTTGACCAAAATGATTCCTCGCGGATTCAGCCAGAATCCTCTTCCCCACTAGAGATATCAGTGGACCTGACATGGCTATATTCTTGGGTTGTTTTTAAATGAGGCTTTGGTATAGAGTGAAATAAATCCAAATAGGGAGATACCAGTATTATCAAGCTAACCAAAAGATAAGCGCTTAGCCTTCGTCTGTGCCTAGCAGTAGAAAATGATAAACGAGAGTAACATCGTGCACAGGAGGTGGAAGTAAACAGGGGACCTGGGGGGTTTTAAATTTTAGGTCTAATTTCCACAGACCAGACAACTGGTCCAAATCGTGTAACCAGATCATCCCAGGAACGAAACCTGTCTGGCTGGAGAATGAACGTCATTCCGATCATTTCCCAGTTACGGTATGATTATATAATTCGATTCTTCCCTAAATGGTTTAGCTTCAGTAGCCACAGCGCCACATAGTGTGGCACATATTTGTGGCGCATGGTTCTGCCATTGGGTGACTGCGCCGCAGGTCACCTGTGGTTGGGTGGCAGTCATCCAGCTCAGTGCTTCTTTCAGCTGTCAAGAAGCCGTTGTTTCCCAACATCCATACTTCCTGTCATTCACGGTTTGCCATATCCTGTATCGCCGATAGACAAACGGTTAGCTTGCGACTATCACTTGCCTCATTTCCTTTTCAGCCACAGCTCGCTTCAGGGTTGGCGCTTTGCCAAGCACCCTTCCTTGAAGCTGCATCATCGCTGCGCTGTCCCCTCCAAGCGCTTCCTTCCTCTCCGCGCTCCTGACTTTGGGGGCGTTCTACTCGACAATAAGTTGTGTTGAAATGTTAAAATACGTCGGACAGTATGATAGAAACAAAAATGCGGTTGGAAGATTGTATATCCTCGCTTTCCTTTGTTTTCATTCCCCCTCCCGGCCGTGGCCCAAATGCCTGATGACTACGTCACGACATAATGCTAACTATGTTGGAATACACCCAGGGCTGGATGACTTGTGTGTCCGTTTTATAATAAATTTACCTCGTGAGGAGTTGGAATCTGTCGAACGGATTTGTTTCCAGGTAGAGGAAGCACAATGGTTCTACGAGGATTTCATCCGTCCGTTAGACCCTGCTCTTCCCTCCTTGTCACTGAAAGCGTTTGCCTTGCGGATTTTTCAGCATTGCCCGCTCATGTCGCAATGGTCACATTATCACCACATCACGGCATTCTCGGAGTTCTTAGCCTACAAGACCAGAGTCCCTGTTCGGGGAGCCATCTTGCTCAACCAGGACATGGATGAAGTGGTGTTGGTCAAGGGCTGGAAGAAGGGAGCCAATTGGAGTTTCCCCCGGGGGAAGATTAATAAGGGCGAGAAGGACCTCGATTGCGCTATTCGTGAGGTTTATGAGGAGACTGGCTATGATGTCCGCGAGGCCGGACTAGTTAAGAACGAAAACGATGTCAAATTCATCGAAATCACCATGAGAGAACAGCACATGAGGCTGTATGTGTTCCGGGATGTGCCACATGATGCACACTTCGAACCTCGTACCAGGAAGGAGATCAGCAAGATCGAGTGGTATAAACTGTCAGAGCTGCCAACCTTGAAAAGGAGCAAGCAACAGGACCAAGAGTTTGCGACTACAAATGTGGTTACAAATCCGAACAAGTTCTACATGGTTGCCCCGTTCATGCATCCACTGAAGAAATGGATCGCCCAACAGAAGAAGCTCGAGATGAAGTCTCCCCTGGAGACTAAGCAACTGTTGCAGAATGAACGGGAAATGTCCACGGACGGAGGTTTTGTGGCTAATAACGTTATGACGCCTAATCAAGTACCGGTGGAAATGGCTGCTCCAAGTCCACTGCCTGAAGTGTCATGTCAGGATGCTTCCGCTCATCTCAAGCGTCTTTTGAACATCAATGCGACACTTCCTCGACAAGGCACTTTGAACACATCGCAAGCTTCTGGTCCTGACCCCTCAAAATCCAATGCTCTATTGAAATTACTGAGAAGTGGCTCTTCTCGTGGTCCTTCCCCCCAAGTGTCGAGTTATGAGCAGACGACGCCTCCGCAAGCCGTGTCAGGAGCTCAACCCTATCCTGTGACGACCTTGTTTCCGGGGTTTCCTCAGCAAAACCAATACCATGGACACATTAGCAAGTCCGCACAGACAGCCATCTCCTGTCATCAGGGGCCAATGCCACAATTCCCGCCTGTAACTAACCAACATGTGACCCAGCATCTGCCTCCGAATGCAGTGGGTCGACCTTTCCCGATGAAACCGCAGGGTCCGTCAGGTGCACATGAAGACCTTCCGACTTATGCTTTCCACCTGCACTCCACGACGCCCTACCGAGAAGCACGCTTGCCGTCAGGACAGCCAACTGCGCCACTCAACCAGGCACCTATCCCCGCACCTTACCAACGAACTGGAGATCCTCAATTCGCCCAGCAGGCCCAGCCTTCCCATGTCCAAGGAGCTACTGTGCCTCCTGCCAGTAAGCTACCGCCACCAAAACTTACGAGTCACTCGCTGGCACTCTTGAATGTGTTCAAGGACGAAACAACGAAAACACCTAAGAACGGTGGCGCGGCTATGGCGGCTGTTCCAACAGAGGCACTGGGAAGCGGTCGCAAGCCATCACAACATCAAGATCAATTGTTAAGCCTTCTCAAAGGTTCCTCGGTCACCTCTGCTTCTGTGCCGGTGGAATTATCGGGTCATTCTGTTTCCCCTGCCAAGAAGCAGATTCTGCAGCGGCCTCGGGACGATGTCAACAGGCCGCAAGAGCCGGTAACCGATTTGTCGGCTTCTCCCACAATGTCCAACTCTCCAGGCGCAAAATCTTCTGCCAAAAAAGCACAAAGCGCAGCGAAACGGGGGACCAACAAGGGAAAAAAAATTTCTGCTTCACCCATAACAATACTGCCCAGGCCCCAGAGTGCCAAGAAGGAACATTCGCCCGCGGCTGGTGCCCAACCCTCACGTCATTCCCCCCGATCTCGTCCGGAGCACAAGACAAAGTCTCCCGAGCTTCCGAAGCCATTCCAACCGCAAATACTTCGCCGCTCCGAGAATCTAGACGGTATTCTGCCGGTGCGAACGAAAGTCACCCCGGACTCGAAACGAGAAGAAAGCTCCCAGCTCCCTAGTTCTAGTGAAGGTGGGAAGCTGCAGGCAAACGCGGGGCGCCGACCAAGTCAGAAGGCTTCCCAAAAAGAGATGCTTCTCTCCCTTTTCGGCAAACAACCCACTGCATCCCCTGGTGTATCGACTACGACACGGATTAATCTCCAAACATCAGTTCCGCAGTCATCAGGCACTTCATCCGTTGTCAGCCCACTTTCTCCGCTTGATCTCTCTGCCGGGGCTGTGACGGATCCCGGGGCGCCTAGTGTGGACGTGAACGCCAACATGGTCGCGTCACCGGATAATAAAGCATTTCTCCTAGGTTTCCTGGAAGGTGTAGCCAAGGGAAATAAATAAAGCCCATGTATCTTGCTGCCTGGTAGCCATTGTATACCCACAGTTGGTCTATCAACATTGCTCAGATGAGGGATGGCATATTTTCAACCAAGCCACCCAATGTTCAGCATTTTTTTGCTCCTGTTCTCTGCCTATATCTTGCTTTAATTGTACCCATTTTGCCATGCTAGCGGAAGAAATAGTGTCAATACAAGACCTAGGCTCTATGACCTGCCGGGCGACTTGAAGGCCCATCGAAGAGAAGTTTCCAAAACGATGTAGACTAGTTAACTACTTAGCGTAATCAATCACGGCGAATTTTCAAGCACATAGCCTCTGCGCCACTATTACCAGTAACCACCATGAATTATGATGAAATTAATATATTTCTAGATAATAAAGAAATAAAAGCTATTCGTTCGACGTTTCAAGCGGTTATGGCCAATTTGGCCATAGTTGCTACACTTTTGGGGCATTCGTTGCCTCCGGATATCTCTTTCTCCCGCAGCTGCTCAATTTGTGTGTTGTTGGGTTTCAAAGCCAGTAAGACTACCCCCATCTTGAATAAACTTTCTAGATGTCTTCTTCGTCTTCTTCGTCTTCTTCTCTCCTTCTCCTGCACTGAATAGAATTAGGTTTGACTGTGACAATAAAAGGTTGTTCTTAATTGAATTGATTCCTCTATTAATCATCTCTGCAGTACCCCTATTCCATATGCCTTTTTTAGTGGAGGAAAGCAGCTCACATCAAGTGGTTGCAAAATATTGTAAAGAATATGGAGGCAAATATAAAGGGATAATCTTTCTGTCTGTATAAAGTTTATCAAATTCTGCAGTTGCATAACTGGAATAGCTATTAAAAATTAATATCTAGAGTTTACTCTTATTCTTTGAAGCTGTACACTTATTAATACTTCTTAATGCTAATTAAAGTCAAGGTCATTTGTTGCCCGTCCATTATCACTCATACTAATCCAATCTTCTTGTGGAATTACAGAATACCGCTGGCATTGATTCTTCTCTTTAGCAAAAATAATCTAAGCAGTTGAGGCCGATCCAGTAGAATTAACTGCAACAACAAAAGTTACCTACTTCCAAGTCCCTGTTTCTAGATCATTCGCTTGACTTCTTCTTATTTTAAGGCACAAATAACCTTTGCAGTTAATATAGCACCTATCTGGAAGCCAGCTCTATCTATATTATAGATATTTTTATGTAGAATCCCAATACTTTAGCTTAGTATTGTGGAAGAGTTTAAACCAGTTATGAATAAGCTCTTGATCTTTACATTTTGCGTGTTGATAGTTATGCTTCCAATTATGTTTGCATTATAGATCTGGACGATGCTTGACAATCTGGTTTACTCACTCCTCACTAAGTGTTATAGGAGATAAGGAGGAGGATGATAGCCGTGCATAAAGTAGTAGAGTTGCTAAATACTGAACCGTTGCTATCTGAGGAGCTGAACCATGGTGATATGCATTATTAAGAATTCATGCTAAAAGAGTAGGGTCTTCAGTATATAATAGCTTTCTACAGTTTGCAAGCCTTATCAGCATGTGCAGGGACTATTTTAACACGGGGTTTGGTAGTTAAACATCAAAATGCTACTGCACTCTTTGGGATAGATGTATAATGGTCCTTTTCTAATGCATTAAGAGCTTGAGGAGTTCGCCCTTCTTTAGAAATCTCCACCATTCTGACGATATGGATGGATAGGGGACAGTGGTGTTGGTTAGGAGGAATTACCCTGATACTCGGTGTCCGGGGACACCGAGTCCGATTAATTTGTCACAGCATCAATAACAATTGTAAATTCCTCTATACTATCTACAGCATCAAATGGAGGATGAATCATATGATGAGACCTCTCCTGGTTCATAATCGATTCAGGGGTAGCAGAGCAAAAAATTCGGACACTCGGCGTTCGATTACGGTAGTAAACTAGGGTGAAGTCCGATGATTATGTCATACCTAATTGTCCCATGTGCGATCGCCCGCTTCCCGATGTCATCTATGGGATTTGTAAACTCCGCTTAACACGTCCAGTGTGAATTATCTATTCAACATGATGCGGCCCAACGCATATTCCAGTACAATATGCTCCCGCTGCTTACATCGCGGCCGGTTGTTCTCAACCGCAACTCAGTTTCTCACATCCCAGAAGAGTGATGCTCTTCCGGTCTCCCCACCCACCGCCGGTTATTCGCGCCTCACAAACCGCGGACTGATCTCTATCACGGGTGTGGACAGCACCTCCTTTCTTCAGGGACTTACCACGCAGAACATGCTTGTTGCCAATGATCCACACCGAGCAACCCGTCATACGGGGACATATACCGTCTTCCTAAATTCCCACGGTCGAGTGTTGAACGACGCTTTCCTCTATCCGCTGCCGGAAGCCGATGCGTCCGCTTCCGAAGACCCCGCCTGGCTCATTGAAGTGGACAGAAATGAGGTGGCGAGCCTTATGAAGCACCTCAAGAAGCATAAATTGCGTGCAAAGCTGAAGCTGCGTGCACTGGACGATGGGGAGCGCACGGTGTGGGCGTCGTGGAAAGAACATACAGAGCCGCGCTGGGCAGCGTACAACCTCGAATCAGCAGCATCTTCACCATTCTCCCCTTCATCCTCCATTGCTGGTTGCGTGGATATCCGGGCACCGGGCTTCGGGTCCCGGATCATCACTCCAGGCGCGGAAGACCTTCGAACACATCTTCCTGATGAGACGCAAGTTGCGGGCTCCCGGGTGGACCTGGGGTCATACACTGTGCGCCGTATATTACACGGAGTCGCAGAAGGACAGATGGAAATCATCCGCGAAGTGGCTCTTCCGTTGGAATGCAACATGGATATGACGCGAGGTATTGACTTCCGCAAGGGCTGCTATGTGGGTCAGGAGCTCACGATTCGTACCCATCACACCGGTGTGGTACGCAAGCGTATCTTGCCCGTTCAGCTATACACAGACGGTCAAGGTATCCCGGTATCCGCTGATACTCCAGCGTATAATCCGGCGGTGACGCTCCCATTGCCCCCGAGCGGTTCGAATATCTCCAAGGTGAGCGCGCGGAGAGGCCGTAGTGCAGGAAAGTTCCTCGGCGGTGTTGGAAACATTGGTCTCGCCTTGTGTCGTCTGGAGATGATGACCGATATTTCCCTCACCGGCGAAGGGACCCAGTACACTCCCGAACAGGAGTTTAAAGTGTCGTGGGCTGGGGCAGAGGCGGGACCGTCTGATTCTCAAGAGCCAGGAGAGGTAAAGATCAAGGCAATTGTGCCGTCTTGGACCCGAGAATTCATTTCCTCTGGTGGAGCAAGGAACGCCTCCCAGAGAGGTGGCCAGGAAGGTCATCGAGCTCGAGATCTCGTGGAACAGTTGGAGGAAGAGGAAGAGGCACGACGCAAGTATTAAATGGCTCTAATGTATCATACCTATCATGTGTATATCGCTATATATATTGAAGACACCATCTGTACAGTATCCTAGAAAGTAAATGAAGAATAACATTGTAGGGTATCGTATCTTGAAAGTAACAAGTCTTTTTATCTTGCCGCAATAAACAACGCCAGGAGTTCTACATACTCCAACTGTATATATACATTTCCAAGTAGTCAACCAAAACTCATGTATGCGGACACACCAAGGTTCGTTATAATTGAGCTCCGGTGGCCGCAGCCTCTGCTGCGTCTGCGGCTTCATCCTCTTTTCTGAGCTGCTCCTCCAGAGCCTTTCGCTCTTTTTCACGCTGTGCAGTTTTCAGTCGCATCAACGTCACCTCTTCCAAGCTAGGAGTCGTTGGTGCGTTGACGGAAGCACTGGAACTGGGTCCTGATTTCGCTGAGTTGGCAGCCGCAGTAGAAAACGAAGCAAAAGACAACTTCCCGGGCTTCTTTCCAGAGTCACTGGACCCTGTCACCTTCAGGCCTGGGAAGTTAAAGCTGGGCTTGGGAGAGGCCGATTCTGAAGCTGGAGACGTCCCGTTCTGCTTTGAGGGATGAGAAGCTGCATGATGATTCTCGCCCATGCTTAAATCCGGCTGGTTGGCAGATGCCCAAGTGACCGAGTCGATCAAATTCCAGTCGGTATCTGTCTGGCTAGCGTGTTGGCATTTCTTCTTTTCGCTGTCTAGCACGGCAGCATGTGCACTGACGATTGACGCGAAGATCACAACGCCCGTGGCGATCGTCTTCTTCTCTCGCTTGTCCCCGAGACGCTGTCGTTTGTCCTTGAGGATGAGGATATTTTCGATTTTGCCAAATGGAGCGAACAAAGATGTCAAGCGATGCTGATCCAACTTCAAACCCCGACCCTCACGAACCCAGCGCACTTTCACCCCTCGTTCCAGCTCAGGCACATTTGCGCCACCTTCCTGCGACCGATCGACTCGTTGACTGCTCTTATCCGCCGTGCGCTGAGCCGCTTCTTCCTCTTCACGCATACGTCGTTGCTCGTCCTCCATCTCGCGTTTTAATCGATCTTCAACCTCGCGTCGTCGCCGTCGTCCATCCTCTGCAATCCGCTCGATCTCCCGCTGCAGCTTCTCCTCGGCATCCTCGGCATCTGCATCAGTCCTAACCATGCCCCATGACCGTTTCACTCCTCTCTGGGCCCCGGCTCCGGTTCCGGCGCGTTCTCGAGCTTCCAGATCCTCTCGCATCTTCCGCTTCGCCGCATCCATCATGTCCCGCTCGCGCTGCTTCCGCTGTCGCGCCTCCCGCGCGTTATCGTACAGTTGTCGGATGGACGGATCCGAAAGCACATCATAGGCGATCTGGAGTAGGTGGAATTTGTCGATATCTGCGGGGGTGGGATTTGCAATCTTATCGGGATGGTATTTGAGCGCGGTTCGTCGATAGGCACGTCGAATTTCACTCTCCGATGCTGCAGCGGGGATATCCAGGAGAGCGTAGAAATCTTGGTTCGAGGCCGCATGGGCCTTGAGGTCATCGTTGGATGCCATGGTGGCGATGAACTGTTGTCACGATAGAAGGGGAAGCGATTTCTGTCCGGTGATGACCAAGGTTGATAGAGAGGGAAAGAGTATTAAATGGGGCTAGAGGGTCTTGCGGAGTGGAGCGCTGAAGGCTGAAGAGTGGAAAAGGAATTTGCGGTGGGTTGTTTAAGGAAAACGGATTCGATGGCGGTGGAATTCACTGGTTCGGGATCGGCGCGTTTATTTATTGTCATCGATCTATGTGCAAATATCAATCAAGTCGATGGCATCATTTTCGATCAGAATTTGTGCTGATACGGTGCATCTGTCTGGTTGTGTGTTTTCAATTGCAGGAAGACTGAATTGATATTGTTTAATCGAAGGTTTTAGCTTCCTGTACTCCTTTACCCCCTTGGAACAGCCACACTCACTTTTGAGCTATATCATGAATCTGCTGTCCGCGAACAAGTCTGGTATATCAGTTTTATGGGCTTAGTCTTAAGACCAGTAGGCAGGATTATTTGCATGAAGAGAGCTTCTTCTGATTCATTCTCCATATGAATACTATTCCCTAAGATAAGCCAGAGGAGTATTCAAAAGAGATAGGTCCATATTGCAACAAAGACCGAGAGAATATGATATCTGGTAGAATTGCCTTGAATCCATCATGATGGAATCTATTCGATTGCAGACATGCTCTTCGGCTGGCACGTGGTCTCCCTGAATGTCGAGACGGAATGCCACGAAGAACTCTCCTACGCATCGACTCCATCTTCCGCTATAGTATATACCCTCGATTTATCTACTGAAAATTTCTTCGACAAAATGGACCATGCGTCAGTTCCCTCCCCGGCCCAGTTAGCACTGGCAGTGGCAATCGTCAAGCAAAAGCCCGTCGACCAGGACATCAAAGGCAAGTGATCCTACAGCCGGGCGTCAACTTTCAGCCTACCTATTTTTTTCAACTAATACAAGCTGCAGAATACATCCTACAAATCAGACAACACATCAAGGAAGTCAAAGATAACGATCAATCATATCCCCAGGAGAAGTTCTTCGACAGCGTGTCGTTCTGGCAGCAAGCGTACGAAAAATCCGAGGCAGAGCAGAGTACATTGTTAGATCGGATTTACGAACTAGAACGGCGCAATGAAGCCCTTTTCTCCAAGTTACGGACACAAGAAGGGGATCTGGAAAAGGACCAAGGATCATCCAAGAGGAAAGCTCCCGCAGGGAAGAATGGCGCTGCGACGCGGAAACGGGCAAAGACCCAGGTATTCTCTCGGACAAATGGGCCGTCTGGTTCTGGTCCTGCATCGAATGAAGATGGAATAGGGAGTTTCGAGTATTCGGAGGAAGGTAAGTAGGACTGACCCCGGTTTCGATCTATTTGAGCTGACGGAAGCTCATTCAAGTTACGGCGCCGTTTATGAGGCAATTATATACTCTCCAAAAGGTCCTGCAGAAAAGGTCTACTCATGTAGACATTGCTCAAGCTGCAGCGTCATTATGCAAGGCAGCATCGGATGGAGTGCTTCGTGCAGGTAGCCAAAAAGGAACGACTGCTGGTCGCTCTAAGAAGGTCACAGTACGGAGAAAAGAGCCTGATGTTCCTGCGGTTTTACGCAGCGTGGAACACACTTTTAAGCTTCTATCTCAGGCGCTGGAAAAGCTTTCGGAGTCTGAGCATGATTCTGGCCAGGTAATCTATCATACTGTCAACCTGTATGAGTCAACCCTGAATGCTCTTCAACAACGTTGCAGGGTTCGAAGCGAACAGGCTCCTAGCAAGACAAAATCGAATAAACAAAAACAGCCTGCAAAATCCAAGAGGGCTACAAAGAACCAGTCTACTGATACACAGTCCAATGCTGAGGATGAAATAGCGACGCAACTCACCCGTCTCCTATATAGTATGACCCTCACCTTTGGCCCTTCTTTTCCGTTACGCCAGACTCCCCTCGAAGGGTTCCTATCCATTCTTCTCAGTCGCGTAGGCAAATTGCTGAGTCTCTTCGTATTCCAAGATTTACAACTACAGCCAGATCTTCAACTAGATCCCGCGAAACTCCCGCTTCCTGGCGGTTTACGGGAAGTTGATGTGGATGAGAAGTCACTGTGCGCAGCAAAAATGGAAGCGAAACAGCTCGTCTGGCTTCTAGAAAGATTCCTAGCCTTATTAGACACCGTTCCAAGTCTGTCTTCGTCGCTAGTTTCTCAGGAAGGTGGTACAGGTAGTATATTTGTTTCAAATATCAAGGAGAGACTTCAAAGCACTCTCCTGCAAGCGGTCTTTGGTAAAAGCGTGGGATTCAAGAATGTCTTGCAATGTCCTGTTCAGCCTGAACAGGCAGACCTCAACAGGTTCCAAACATCTTTTCGAACTTCAGAACAAGATATCCCCGACTGGTTTGTCCAGGAAGTATGGAGATTGCTAGGCTGGGAAATACTCGCAAACAACTTGTAGAATTTTTCTACATATGTACTGCAACGAATGAAGAAATGGTATATTCTTATTGGATTTCCCACTGGTAATGCCAATGCATGCAAAACAGCGACCTTCAGAAGCCTTTGTCTCGCGCTTTGTCCTAGCCCCATAGTGATGCAATCAGAAGATCATACGGATCACCTCAAGTCCAAAATACGGGCTGCATTTCCCCCCAGCACTCCTGCCACCTCTTTGGCATCCTGGTCAAAAGCCGCGTGGATTGCCTTGTAGTTTGTTGTCACACTCGGCCATTCGGCTCCTTCTTTACTGTCCAGCGGAGGGAAGAATGGATGGTCAGTCCCTAGTGATCAGTCAGTACATGGTCCAGAGCCCCGTCGAAGTTCATCATACCAAAGAGCAGTCGATCTGCTCCACCGGACGCTTCCACCGCTGCTTTCAGACCGGCCGTGCCGTACACAACCGCATCCAAGAAGATATTCGTCTTCAAGACATCCCACACGCTACGCTGCGGACCTGGCACGTCACCCCCATTGGCTATGAACTTACGCTCATGATGAATACAACTCTCTATACGTCCTGCCAAAAAGGGCAGTGTGCCTCCTGAATGCGCCAACAGGATCTTCAACCGGGGAAACCGGTCAAACACGCCTGCCAGGAGCATACGTGTCAAGGAAATAGTCGTCTCGAGGGGGAACCCCAACGCGAGAGGCAGGACATGACCGTACCGGTTCATCGCGTCCCCACTCCCGAAGGCTTCGTCAGGCAGTCCATAGTGCGGATGGAGAAACATCAGGGACCCGGTTTCCTCAAGCGCCGCCCAGATCGGATCCAATCGAGCATCATCTAGCCCCTTTCCGAGCCCGGTGGTGCCCATGATCACACCCCGCAGATGTGAAAGGGACTTCAGTCGTTTGATCTCGTTGACCACGATCCCGGGGTCCGGAGCACTCAATGGAAGCGCACCAAACGCATACAATGTCTCCTTCTCATGGAGGGTGAGGGTTTTCTCCGGGTCTGCAACCCGGTTCACCCGCGCGCAGGTCTCTTCCAGGTTATCGTTGATGCGTTCCGCCCACGACTGCGCCTCGTCCGGCTCGAGGAAATCCAGCCAGGGATTGGCGAGAGAGATGGCGCTGCAGTTGATGCCGTGACGACGCATGAAGTCCAGCTTCACGTCGATGTCCCAGTAGGAGGCGTCTACCGGTCGACCTCGCTCATCAAGGGGGATAGATGGGTCATCGTCAGAGGAAAGAATGATCAGGCGGGGATCTGCATCTCCGGCTGGGTCGTGGACATATGGGACGGTCTTGCGTCCACGCAGCATCTCCATGTATGCCGGTGGATAGACATGGGTGTGGACATCCACGACAAGGGGGGCCATGGTTCTAGAAACTGGGGTGGTGTAGGTAGGAGAATCGTTGATTGCTGCGTTGAAGAGAAAACGAATGCTACGTGATAAGAGGGGAATGCGGGGTTTGCATTGGGCTAGTTAATTGGAAGATTGAGTTTGCATCATGCATATGAAGAGAGAGGAGGAGAAAGAGAAAGAGAGAGATTCCTCTCTTCTATCATTCATCATTCATCGAGATACGCTCGAGGTCTCTAACGGATCATTATCTATTCTCCAAACATCCCACGGATCGGAGAGTTGATCCTCTTCTCGTCCTCTTCGCTTCCACCACCACTCCAGGTTCGATCTATTTGTCTTTGACACGGTCGGATCTTCTCGTAAAGAAATCTACGGCTGATCATCGAATTGAATCTCACGATGGAAGGCAATTTGGCTCAACAGCGGTGTCATTCAGCATCCACTGCCGTGGACCAAGATGACCTCGTTATCCCAGTGAGTAGTTCGAGTCTCATCTCGTTAACAGCATCTTCATTTGTCGTACGATTCCTCGGGTGTATTTCTGACTAACGGTGTCCGGTAGATCATTGACTTCAGTCCCTTTCGGAGTGGCACACCCGCTGATAAGCACGCCGTCGCGGTGTCCATCGTGGATGCCTTCAAATCATCAGGGTTCCTCTATCTCAAGGACCATGGTATTCCGTCTTCCGTGGTCTCCGAAGTGTTTGGTTCGTCTGCGCGTTTCTTCGCACGACCCCAGAATCAGAAGGACAGTCTGGGCTGGACCACCCCACAGGCGAACCGTGGCTACGTGAAGACGGGACAAGAGAAGCTCACTCTACCCGGTGAGGAAATCATCCAGGCCACCCCAGATCTCAAGGAGACCATGGAGATTGGTCGCGAGGGGGTAGACGGGTTGCCCAACCACTGGCCGGACGACATGGATGACGAAGGGAAGAGGTTCAAGGAAGCGATGCTCTCGTTCTTTGACATGTGCAAGTCTCTACACATGAAACTCATGCGGGCTATAGCTCTAGGGATGAGTCTGCCGGAGCATTTCTTCGACTCCTACGTGGACCAGGGCGATAACACCCTTCGACTGCTGCATTATCCCGCCGTGTCCAGGGACGTCTTCAAAGCCAATCCGTCCCAAGTGCGCGCCGGAGAGCATAGTGACTACGGGTCGATCACACTGCTTTTCCAAGACGGTCGTGGTGGGCTGCAGGCCCGCAGTCCCAAGGGAACCTTTGTAAACGTGATGCCCATCGCGGACACGGTGGTCATCAATGCCGGGGACTTGTTGTCTCGATGGTCCAATGATGTCATCAAAAGTACACGGCATCGCGTCGTGGAGCCCCCGAAAACCGTGGACGACGGTGTCATCGATACGTATCCTGATCGCTACAGCGTGGCCTACTTTTGTAACCCGAATTTCAACAAGTTCATTGAAGCCATCCCGGGGACCTATGGTGAGCACCAGCAACAGGCTAAGTATCCCGGTATCACTGCCGGAGACTACCTGGTGCAACGCCTGACGGCCACTATTTAATTACCTTGTGCTTGTCATGTAGGTTTACGGTTGTTCTTCAACTAGTTGGCATATTCATGTCCACGTAGTCTTCGCTACTTATCCGAATTCATCTATTATGGATATATCCAATTCTCTCACCTGTCTGCCTGTACTTCTAGCGCACATAGTTAATAAGTCGAGGGTGTCAAACCCAGACGGCCTCCATCTACCACTGTAATATTCCCATTGAGATAGCCGCCCGCGCCACCGGCCAAATAGAGGATCAACCCACCGATATCCTCCTCGCCACCGGCGTGAGTGAGGGGGAGTATACTGGAAGGGAACGAACCATCGGAGATGCCCTTATCATCGTCGCTGAAAAGCCCGGCCGACATTTCGGACAGGAACAAGCCGGGCGCAATCCCATTGACTCGCACATGGTACGGGAGGAACATCGTCGACAGGACCTTGACGAGATGGTTCACCGCGGCCTTGGACAGATTATATGCGATACTGAAAGGCACAACGCGGTTATACCCCGCAATGGAACTGGTGATGATGACCTGCGCGGTGGGCGGAGAGAGCTTGTTCTTCTGCGGCGGCGGACGTCTCTTGTTCGCTGCCTCCAGCAACGGCAGAAAAGCAATCACCGTGTAATACGAGCCGGTGACGTTGACGTCGAAAGTTTTGGTGAAATCCTGCATGGGGATCGACCAGAGGTGGTCTCTCAGGTCGGAGAGGGTCGATGAGGAGGAGGGCGACTCGAGCTTTGCGGCTGGGCTTCTGGCCTTGGGGCCCACGATGCCGCTGTTGGCGATGAGCAGATCAACGTGGTCGGTCTGCGCGGCGACGGCGTCGTAGGCAGCCTGTAGGGACTCCTTGGAGGAGACGTCGGCTTTGATAGGGATGATGGAGCCATTGGCAGCCTGCGAGGCCGTCTCTCGTAGCGCCTCTTCCCGACGTCCGAGGATGAAGATCTTGGACGCTCCGTTGGCATCCAGTGTATGCGCCATGATCCGGCCCAGTCCTGAAGAAAGAAGGTTAGGTCGAGATTCTGCGGTTTCAGGGCTGATGTGGTTTTGAACAGAACCCACCACTTCCTCCCCCCGTCAGGACGACAACCAGTCCTTGGACGTTGAACAGCTGCGAAGCTTGGAGATGGGACATGCTGAACTCCTTTGATGTATACTGACGAGGATTGATGAACAAGCAAAGAAGTGGATTGGGTTAGGGACGGACCGGGACATTATAAAGCGGGTTTTGGAGGGGTCAAGGGATTATTAAGAAATATTGCAATCGGCTATCGGTCTTGCCATCTTTAGCCTTTCTCTTTTTTTTTTTTTATGTCGTGAGTCACCCCATGTCGATGTCTGTCTGGATTCATATCCTGATTTCCAGAATAGTCGGTAGAGAGTTATTTTCTCATCCTGACAAGGGATCGTATCCGATATTCTGATCCTCCGGTTTTCGTATCGGCTTCTATCCTCATTTGACCCTCTGTTCAGAGAAGTCCGCCCAGTGACAGTGGTGGTTTACAGTTAGGTGAAAGACTTCACTAGAACAGTTGATCAATTATAGTCGAAACACTTATATCCGACGTTCCTAGTCCACAAGTTCCATGACGGATGCCACCGTTGATCCTCAATGCACTCGATAGCCATTTAAATCGATACCACCGGGATAGACCACCGTTGACGATGCCCTGGAATCACCGATTAATTCTCAGTTACCTGAGCAATTTCCAATGCAATCGTTGCTCGGGCTACTACGTCGGCACCGGTCACCATCTATCCAACGTTACCATTATTCCCATCCCTGGGATCAATGCTGAACCTTCCCGTCCTAGCCACGAATCAGTCCAACTCAACCAAGATCACCGGCATGTCCGTGTATCACGAAATATACGGCGGCGAGCGACTTGCACCTGTGACCGCGCGTCAATGGCGCCATTCGGATCCGTACTTGACTCCGTTCACACTTAGCATGATCAATCCGCATGAGGTTGCTGGCTGATTGAGCGGTGTCTAGTGTGTACTAACATGGGAAGTAGTCGTATTGATAATGATTGATGTCTTAAGTGTAGTACTATGCAATCGAGTAGTGTCTAGTGTCCAGGTAGTACGGACTCTCTAAACAATTCAAAATCATCTGCCCTTTAACTCCGATAAGTCCGGCGGTTACTGCTTTTTTTCCCTTCCAACTCCGAGACTAGACAACAAGACACCACGACAACATCAACTTCCACCTCCATCTCGCCCTAATGGATCCTCCTAGAAACCGAAAACAACGGAGGGTAGCTGCTGCTGCTGCCTCCTCATCGAATGACTCGACCTTTGATCTGTCCTCGATTCCCCTGGCCCACCCGCCCCGTGATACCCCGGAGAAAAGGAATGGAAAAACTTTAGTGGAGTTGATTGCCGAACGACAGCTGGAGCTCCAATCTCAAGGAAGCAAGTCGAGTGGGACAAACGATGCAGTTCCGGAGTTAGGAACACGATTTGTGACCGTCGATCCATCGACCGGGGAAATGTTCGACTTTGACGCGTCGAAGCACAATCCAGGATCGGCCCAGGAGATAGAGGAGGAGGGAGAGGATGGCGAGAACAAGGAAGAGCCTCCGATTCCACCACTTATCGACACGCTCTTACTCTCGTTTCCTCTGACGACGCTCCATTTGACGCTAGCCTACCTTGCTGCTCATCAGTACGCGGAGAAGGTCCAGATGGATATGCTACTGCGCGAGTCAGCGTTTGTGACTTTTCCAGTGTTGACGTTTCTGATTCATCTCGCCCATGGACATATCGTGACGTTGATAGGAGGAAAAAAGGGAGGGGATAACGAGTCGGTGTCACTGTTCCCATGGAGTCGGGACAAACTGTCGCTGGCGTTTCTTCGAAGGCTGGTTTTTCCGCCGGCGTGGCGGACTTTAGTATTTCTCCCGATCGCGGTGTTCCTCGGAGCCAGGTTGATGGCTATCACGAACGAGGAGCCGTACTACGCGGTCATGAAGCGGGCTCCGGCCCTGGGGACCATCTGGGTGTGGACCATTCTGGAGATTCCGCTGGGGGCAGCGATTCTGGGAGCGCTGGGACCGATGGTTTGGGGCATTTGGTGGAAGGGGTACAGCATACTGTAGGCTGAGAAGGCGACCGGGAAATGCAGTTCATTCTACAATTTCTTTTGTTCATGAATACACGTGAACAATGGGACTGCTTCTGATGGGAAAGGAAATCCCTAAGGATGTAGGATACTATTGTTACTCAATGTTCTTTTTGCCCCTCCTCCTCCTCTCTCTTTCGGAGTACTTGTTGAGGGTCATGTGTGCATGTGTGACAAATGTGCTGTGAGAATTTGTGTCGGACCATGATAAAATCCCAACGTCATTTCACAGGAGACAAGTGCATATGTGCCAGGAAGACTGTGTCACATTCTTCCAAGCGATACGAAGTGATACAGCATATATCGCTTATGCAAAACAGTCATCTACTCTGTACAACAGGGTCGTGTTGCCTGTTTCTGCACTTGGGTCTGGAGCATAATTCCAACGGTGAAAGAGAGATACCTGCAGATATACTGCAAGGGTGGTTCAAACTGATTATAGAATCAAGAACACCGCCTTATCCGATAACCACATCCAAAATAAAATAAAAGAGAGAGAGAGAATACGATCGAAGCCACAAGGCAGCCTTGATCCCTGCGGACTTCTATACATAGACAACCCGAGAAACACATTGATCCAGACATACCACACTGAACACGTTAATATATTCCATATTAATAATTCGAATGCACAAGCACAAAACTCACCACCGATGTGGCAACACGAGTTGGAACCGTTACAAAGCTAAACCCGTCTCCTGCATGGCTAGTGTATGCAATAGGTAGGGAGGGGGAATACCGCACCATGTACGGAGTACCATGCACCAGAGTAGTACGTAATGGATGGATGGATGGGATCTTCCTGGAGCCATTGTGGACTGAGCTGCATGTACAGCACATTACAGCTTCATTGATCATTGACAATGATGTCGTCGCATGGCATGGCAGGCAGAGCAGTAGGGCGAGAGGATCACATGATACAGCAAGAGCTCGGTAGTAAGTACCGACTTGCTTTTGCTTGATTGCTCATGCCCTTAATAAGTAAGAAAGGATTTATAAGATAATATGATATGATAATATAGGTGGATCTCCACTGACCCGAAAGAGGATACGATCGAGTGGAGACACCGATCGACATTATCATCATCAACTATCTTTTCCGGGGAAGTACTGAATAGAATACAGAATCAAGTTTACAAAAGACAAAAGATGAGTTCACAGAACACGCGACCGATGATCACAGATCGAGCTGAAACGTAGATCCAGAACGGGAAATGATGGGAAATCTAGACAATGAACATTGAACGTTTAATATGGACTAGTAGACAGACATATTATCAATGGATATTATACTATTAGAATGGATACATATTCTACTATCGAGAAAAAGTACCGCGTACTACACAGATTGCTAGCGATGAACTCGTGATGGATTATTAATTATTAATTCAAACAGAGTAGTCCCTTACTGGGTTCCTTGGATCAAGTATGATCAAGGCATATACGACCATCTCATTCAGGCTATTAGATCATAGGTACTAACTACTATATCGTAATCATCAGTCCTCGGATCCAGTTTCAATCCCAGCTTACTGGCGGCCCTTCCATCCTGCATGTTCCGCTCGAAATTCTTCGCCCAGTGCGACCTATGCAGGGCCGATGGGCCGGTTATCCATCGAAGCAAATGGACATGGAATTGTCCAGTTCAAACGCCAACCAAAAACGCCATCCACACTAACGCCATGCTGGGTCCAGATTCCAGACCAGTGACTAGGCTGGAATGTGCTCGGAATGCATCAGCCCAACCGTCTGAAGACTAGCGCTCTTGAACCGCGCCAGCAGGGATGTCACGATCTCTCGGTACGTGTTCATCTGCGACAGCTTGAACCGTTGAATCTTCCCGCTCGCCGTGCGTGGAATTTCTTCCACGAAGATGATCCCCCCATCCAGTGCCTTGTAGCTGGCCAATTGACGTCGCGCGTACTGATAAACTTCGTCCGCTGTCAACCGAGTCGTCGACGGCGTCGAGCCCTTAGTACGCACCACAAACGCTCGGGGTACTTCGGTGCTGCCATCTCGAGAACTCACCCCCGTCACCGCTGCGTCTTCGATTCCGGGGTGTTTCAGTAGCACCGCCTCCAGTTCGGCCGGGGGAACTTGCCACCTGACAAGGCGTTAGCCTTTTATTCTTTTTCTTTTCCATTCCTCTTTTTTCTTAAAAAAAAAAAGGAAAAAAAAAAGAATAGAAACTCACCCGCGCACTTTGATTAATTCCTTCGTTCTCCCAACAATATAATACTCCCCCTGGTTCGCATAGGCCACATCTCCGGTCCGAAACCATCCTTGTGCATCCGTGGTTTCGTTGCATCCCTTGTACCCAATGAGCAGCCCGGCGCCACGGATATAGAGCTCACCGGGCATATTTGGCTCCCATACCAGGCGGCCGTCGCCGCCCACGAGCTGCACCTCATATCCCGGTAGGACTGGCCCGATACTTCCCGCATTGCCCGGTGCGCCGTATCGGTTCTGGAAGGCCACGCCTACCTCGGTCATCCCCCAGAGCTGAGAGGCTTGGGCCTCGCCATGGAGTCGCTCCTGAAACCGTTGCATGGATCCCGCGTCAATGGGCGCTCCGGCCACCCCCACGTAGCGCAGCGAGCACAGATAGTCCGCCACCGGTAGCGGGGTACGATTGAAGGCGTGCACCATGGCCGGGACCATGTAGGTCTCAGTGATTTGGTACCTGTACACCGCCGCCACAAAATGCGTGATTTCAAAGCGGGGCAGTACGAACAGCGGCTGGCCACATCGGATGGGGAAGATGTGCGTCCAGAGCGCTCCAAAGAGATGGAACATAGGCAGTGACATCAGCCGGCTCACCTCGTAGGGGGTCTCGTAGTGGATGCTGAGATGATGCGACACAATGGCATGATGCGACAGCAACGCCGCCTTAGGCAGTCCCCCAGTCCCGCTGGTGGAGAACATGGCAGCCGGCGTCGACTTCGCAATGGCTTCGTCCTGGAACGAGATCCAATCATTCTCCCCATAGCCCAGCAGGTGGGCGAAGTTCAGATAGCAGCCATCCTCACTGCCCAACACGTACGGGGCGCTGGCTGCAGCATAGGCTAAGTGCCCCGCCAAGACGAGGTGCCCGATGTGATCCGGTGCCGACTCATCCAGCAGGCAAATCTGGCTGGGGAGCATGCCTCGGCTGGAGGAGACATTGAGGACAGTTGGCAGTGCCTCGCGCGAGGTGATGATCAACTTGGGCTCGGCCAATTGCAGGATATGGTCTAATTCATGGGGCTGGCTGCGAACATTCGAGCCCATGAAGATGCCTCCGGCGCCGATAATGCTGAAAAAGAGGGCGGGGTATATGATCTACAGAATGAATGAAGTCAGTCAGAAGCAAATGCAACTCGGGAGAGCGGTATAAAAAAAAAAAAAAAAAAAAAAAAAAAAAAAAAAAAAAAAAAAAAAATGTGCACAATGCCCACCAATCAAACAGGGATGTAGATTCGGTGTAGATAAACTCATGGCGTACATTATTGCCCAAATGGACCAACACACAATCGCCACGCTGCACATGATGTGCTTTTAAACCGGCAATCAAGGTTCGCACCAGCAATTTGAACTGACTGGCGTTTAGCGAACGCGAGGGGTCTTCGGCTTCAATAAACAATGGACTCTGTTGGTCGTAATGGATCGGACCTTGAAATGCGAAGGTCAATAAGTCGGTGTATACAGAGTAGCCCGCCGGGGGCTCCGCCGCGGACGACTCCAAGAGACCCATCGTTGAGGGGGGAGTAGCAAGACCGTAGGTTCAATGACGGACGGCAATTATGAAATTAGAACAGATGGAAGGAAGTGAATAATAATAATGTAAACAAGAACCTTAAGGGTCTCAGGGAAAGAGTTGAAAGATCTCATCCTCAAGCAAGAGAAAGCGCGAGAGATAAATACGAAAGCGTCCATAATGGCCTTCAAAGGAATGTCGGGTTTTTGTCATGCTAGAGCCTTTCTCAAACAGAGGCCAAACGGAATACAGCCCTCTAGGGATTTCTTTTGTTGCTGGGATAAGAGACATCACCGTGATTTGGAATTGTTCGGGCGTCGCGTAAACCCGACACATCGTCACTCGCCCAGGCTCCACTGAGATCGCGCCGCTGATCCTTGGTCGCTAGTCAGTCTAATCACCATGCGCGACGCCAGTTCAGATCTCAGCCGGTGGGTCTCTAGGTCCTCGCAGGCGAACATGTCCCTTCATGCAGACGAACTAGGTCCATGATCACCTGTCTCCATAGCTTAAACCAATATTGGGCATGGGCATCAGCACGCACCTCAGCCCGACTTTGTCCCTGTCAGTGGCTTAGTTGCCCTCTCATTGGACTACTGGCCATCAGAGGGCTATCTGAAGTTTCGTCAATTCCTTCCTGTGCAGCTGAGCCCGTCCAACCCTCCCTCCTAGTACAAACCACCTATCATCTGAACCGAACTAGTGATTTAAGGTACCGGGGGGGGGAGAAGGTGAAGGGGGTGACTGACCTTGACGTCGGTATGGAATGCTCGACCTGGCGTGAGCCAAGTATAGTTAGTACCCACTACATCCCCCGAGGCCCCAAGCCAGGCTGACGTCTTGCTAAAAGTGGCATTGAATCCCAGAACCTCGTGCAGCAAAAGCCACTACTGGTGGATGTCCTCGTTTCCTGGGAGCGGCGACCCTGGCTAAAGAAGCTCCGTTCGCTAATGTCGGCCAGGGTCCTTGGTAGAAAGGACTAGACCAGGCCAGTGACCATTGACTCATTGATTCCTGATTTGGGACACCATGCCATTGTATTGGATCTCAGCTAGGCCCATCATTATCCGAATAGACAATCCCCCTCTCCCTCCTTCACAAATGATCGTCCCTTTCGGAAAAAAAAGCAAGAAAAATCTGTGCGTCGCGCAGGGACTGGCTGATGCCTGCCGTCAATGCGAAATCTTTAGATCATACCCACTTCGGTGTCCCCCGATTGTCCGATTATCGACCCGCATCGCTCGTTATGATCTTGGAACGGTGGAGCATGCGTGGCGAGCGCCTTGTATTACTGTCGTCCGTTCTTCTTGAGTGTACACCGATCCAGAGATCCCTGGCCGGACTGCATAGCCCCCTTCGAATGAAAGACGCTTGGGACTTTCCCACCTCTTTAGCACTATTGCTAGAGCCGTAGACCAGAGACTGAGACCGGGATCCATTTCCCCTCGTCGCACCGTTCATTGGTTCTTTGCCATTCCATATCGGGGTGATGGAGAGCTGAAGTGAGAGAGGTATCATGCCATTCTCTATTGCCTATTGGTAAACACTGTTTCAGACTAGTCTTGCGGGACATCTTCCGGACAATAGTTTTGTTCGCCTTGAAAGTTGGGAGAGGGGGGGAGGGGGAAGGAAAAGGACGGGGAAGTAGAAACTGACAATTTCGAGATGAACCGCGTGGTATCCTGATGGTATCCTGTCAGGTGCGATTGGAAGACACACGGGCTATGCTCAAAGATGTAATTACTGTCTAATGTACGTTCACGCTTCGGGAAATCTCCATCCTGGGATGAATGTCGTCATGCAGTAGGATTTCCCAAGACGCATGTATCCATCCTTGTGAGACGTGCCTTGCCCTAGCTGCACTAGCCAAAGTCATTTGTCCATTTCCCTGATGGTTCTGTTGATATATCATCAGTAAAAGAAGTTTATGTCCAGTGCTCCAGAGGGTTGTCCCTAATCTCTTCTGTTTGCCTGGTCACTTACTTTGAAACTGGGCCAATCCCCTCCTAGCCCTCTTTTCTATATGAACAATCATGGATTTGTCAGAAAAGAATGTTGTGTCGATACCTCCTGTGGCCAAGCATGCCTGGCGAACAACCTGCCCTAGTGATACAACGCTGGCAGACATCGAGCATACTATAGACAAGAGCGTTCCTAACTTAGATGAACATCAATGTCCACAGACTGGTGATTCATTTGATGTGGAAGCCCAAGTCAACCGGAAGAAGAGATTTGCCTTAGTCCGGTATGCCATCCTGGATATATACCGTCGTCTTTTCACCCTGGTCTTCTGTGCCAACGTTGCCGCCTTCGTGGCCATCCTGACATCGGACGAGAAGCTCCTGGCATTGGTGAACGCAACCGCCGCCAACCTTTTAGTGTGTGGTTTGGCTCGTCAGCCTCTGGTGGTGAATAGCATCTTCTTCCTTGTGTGCTTGATCCCCCGGACCGCTCCCATGTTCCTTCGTCGTACTGCAGCGAAGGTATATCATTATGGTGGCGTCCATAGCGGATGCGGCGTCGCCTCTTTTATTTGGTACGCAGGCTTCGTCGGATTGATGTCCAAGGAATACTGGGCTCCATCGACGGCCACGACCTCGATCTCAGTTGCACCTGTAGCCCTGGCATATGTCATCCTGGTCTTGTTGTTGGCAATAATCATCGTGGCCTATCCCGGCTTCCGCTTCAAAAAGCACGACTACTTCGAGCTCACCCATCGTTTCTCTGGATGGCTCATAGTGGCCCTTTTTATTATCCTGCTGCTGGTCTTTGCCGAGGAGACCAGCCGGGCTGCACAGATCCCGCTGGGTCAATTCTTGATTCAGCTCCCTGTCTTCTGGTTTTTGATGGTCACTGTCGTTGCCATCATCCACCCGTGGGTGTTCCTCCGGAAAGTCCCTGTGCGGCCTGAGTATCTGTCCCCTCACGCCATCCGGCTTCATTTTAGCCATACCACCACGACCTTCGGTAAGGGCATCCAATTGGCCAAACACCCCCTTCAGGACTGGCATGGCTTTGCCACGTTCCCAAATCCCGACGGTCAGGGCTTCTCCTGCTTGGTCTCTAAAGCTGGCGACTGGACCTCGGCCTGCATCAAAGATCAGCCCACCTATCTCTGGAAGCGCGGGGTGCTGGTCTTCGGATTTGCGTACGCGATGCGGCTGTTCAAGCGAATCGTCGTGGTCACAACGGGGTCTGGTATCGGGCCGTGCCTTTCATTCTTGGGGGATGACAACCGACCGGAACTCCGAGTCGTGTGGCAGACCCGAGCCCCGTTGAAAACGTACGGGCCGGATGTCCTCAACCTGGTCTCCAGAATGGATGCCAACCCGGTGGTGATCGATACAGATCAGTCAGGGCGGGTGGACATGATACCGCTCATTCGACGGCTGGTCCAGGAATTCGAAGCAGAAGCAGTTTGCGTGATCAGTAACCCAGTGGTGACAAAAAAGGTGGTCTATGAATTAGAATCAAGCAGAGTACCGGCGTTCGGGCCTATATTTGATTCATGAGCAGTTGCTCTTTTCTTTTTCTTTTCTTTCTTTTTTGGCCACCTGTTTTGTTGCATCGCCCAAAAAAAGGGATAGAGATGATCACTACACTGTAAATATCCTAGGATACCTAGTACAATATGGAGTGAGAAAAATAAAAGGACGACAGCCGACATGTTGATGATAACCTGTAGCTACCGACGTTCCAAGCGCCAGCAGGGATGGATGAGGGAGTACTAAGAGACTGCGCATTACGCGAGGCTATCTGATTGATATATTGTTTGGAGATATGTAAGGGATAGTCGGGGGTGGAGTGGAGGAGGGAAAGAGAAGAAGCGCACAAGAGAGATGGGAAGACAGTATGAGGAAGAATGAAGCCTTACGGGAGTTACTGATGCCTGGATGGCATCCAGACACACACTTGTATATATATTTGCGATCGATCTAGTAGCCTCCGACCCGGTCAATAAAAGAACGAATATCAATTTCGCTATATATTACTTTACATATAGATCAAAAGAAGGTCTATGGTAACGAATTTATCCAGACCCGGATATAACCTTTTAATAATATCACCTCTCCCGTCCTTGACACCAAGGCATCCCCAATTGATGAGGAAACACTGTGCCACCGATGCCATGCGCTTCCTGGGATGGTTTCACTCTGATTGCATCAACATGATGCTGAGTATTGTTATGTGCATACCGATATACGTTTCACGTCAAGAAGATACTAGCGTAAGTATGAAGAATAAAGCTAACCAGAGATATCCATGGCATTACCTCGAAGATTTATACACATTCAATACAAAGAAAGTAAGCACTATATGAACTGTTGAGTCTACCAACACCAGGATGGATGTGAATATAGTATATAGCATTAAGACTGTCTCTAGTGTCTGTAGACACAACCATCACGGGGTATAGAATAAAACAGACGAAGATAGGCCCCCCGGACAGATATGATGGGTATCATGCAAGAAATACAGATTAAGCACAACTTTTTTTATCCCGATCCTGAAAAACTATAGCACGGGTATCGCTGAAAACGAAGGGAAGAGAAGTATTAAGTTGGTAATATGACTGTTGAAAATATAACAAACTGCCGAAAGTAACAAACGATCTTGGGTGGTTTTCGAGTGGAGGTCGTTCCGTTCATCAGATATTCATAACGTCATAAGCTTAAGCGCGAGGGGTATACCCATTGTCGCAGTCAATTCGTTCGGACACCTGAGAGCTGGTTGATTGCGCTCGCGTTCGGTTTCCGAGTTCCATCGGCTCTGCCGTCAGATCATCGTTGGTCAGGCGAGACCGTCCCCGAGAAGACGAATGGGTAGAGTCGCTGTCCAGGCGGAGAGATTCCATTCGCTCCAGATCTTCATATTCCGGAAGTGGTAAAGGAGACCCGCTGTATTCCTCCATGACGCTGCGACCGCCCAGCATCGTGTATCCTGGAGGGCTGGCCGGCACATCTTCGTACACGGGCGGCATCTCCTCATCCCAGCTAATGCCCAGTCCGCTTCTTTCCGTGACGTGCAGGTGGAACTGCATTCGGAGCACCCGTGCCGCCCCCGTGGGGGTAATGAGCCGAGTATTGCGGTTAGGGCAGAATTCTTCGGCGACGATCAACTCAATGACGAGGTTGTGTTTGGCTTCCAAGCCACCGGGAGCTTCGAGGTCGCACACCGGGTTGCACGTAGGGTTGATGCTTGCCTCGAACTGCATGCTGATCTCGCCGCCAGCGGTGTCAAAGTCGGTCTTCCAGCCTTCCTTCTCTTCATTATGGCCGATGATGCGGGTCTCCTGATGCATGACCCCTTTGCCTTCACCCCCGATCTTATACGCATGCTTGGGGCATGCTGAGGACACAATCTTTTGGTGTTCCTCAATGCGCCACATCATTTTGCGCAAGCGCCAGCGCGTTTGGGTTTCGTCCCCTTTATCTACGACGCCGCTGAGTGTCATCTGAACAGGGAACGTACCAATAGGGTGAACGACAGAAGGAAGGACAATCCGACCCGTCAAGTTGGTTGGGGGAAAGATACGAATCGAAGACTTGTCGTTTCCGGGGAGAATGGCTCGCTTGATGTGCAGTGGCATTTCGAAGGTATATTCCTCCCCGTTGACGTTTCGGGCATGGGCAGAAAGGAAATACTCGATCTTACCCAGTGATCCATTGCAGGACGCGGGTAAGTGGCCGGGAAACAGATAACTAAAGGGGAATTCATGATCACCGCTCTTGAGGCTCAGTGGCTCTGTTAAGAAATTCCAGCCTGTCAACTCTTCTGTGCGCGAGGCGCAGGTAGGGCATTCTCTTGAAACAGGCTTTTTGGTCGTGAGTTTGGTCTTCAGACGCATGTCGAACTGATCTAGAGAAACCACGTCTGCTGATTCGGTGATAGTGATTTTCAAGCGGCCCGAAAACAACGCACCGGTTGAGTTTGCTGGACTTCCGTAACAGACCAGAGGAGGAGATTCCACAATGACGTCCAACTTCGCCGAAGCTGGTGCGCCATGATCGTTGCCGTTGCGCTCCTTTGAGCGAGACGACCGTCTGTGTCCCCGACGCTTCTCCTTGCTGTGGTCCCGGTGGGGGTGGATTAAGTGGTCCATTGCAAACGACAGTCGACGTTCTGGCGAACGTGCTCTTTCCGGGTGAGCATGCACAGTGGGTTTCTTCGAAACCACGGCGGTATTGGGGATCTCGTTGACGGAAACGGTAGACGATGTGTTGGAGTGCGAAGAGATTGAAGAGGGGTGCGAGTATGAGCGAACAAAGCTGGGAAGAAGACGGCCAGGCATGATGTCTGAAGTCAAGAATATACTACAAGGCCGCGTCGACGAGTAGAGGCAAGGATATGACAACAGATAAACCAGCGACCTTAAGAGTAACCAGATGGCTCTCCAGTAGGGTGTGTTCTCCGAGACGGTGGTCGACAATGGGTGCGATTCACTTTACGATTCAGTGCGGTGTTGCAAGAGTTGAGTTGCTAGGCAGACAATCCAAAACATAATATTCCAGTCGGTAGAAATCTAGGTGGTTCGTCTGAGGTGAGTTGACCTTGCAATCCAAGCAGGCATGAGAGGACGGAGAGGGATTAGGTGGCGTAGAAAGAGAGAGAAAGGTAGTACAAGTACAGCAGTAGGAAGGTAGGAGGCAGTCGTATGGATCTTGTCTAAACTCTACCGGATCCGAAAACAATGTGAAAGAAAGCGGAAAGAAGTGGGTGAGCAGCTGTCTTTGAATGACTCCGTTCAAGCTTTTTCTCCATTCACTCCAGAAAACCAGAATAATTATATACTTCCCAGATTAGCCTCTCCAGACTAGAAATTTTTTTTTTTTCTTTTCCCTTTTTTTTTTTTAGCCTGGTTTCTAGGGCGTTCCCACTATGTAACAGGTACCATTTCTTCCCTGGTCTGGCCACTCCCATCTCTCCGTCACATCGGGCGGCCGCTGGAGTTCCAAGTGGGGTGCGGCAGAAAAGCGTCTTGGTGGGTCTTACCATACGCTTTCAATACGTGACCATACGGACAACGCCTCAGGTGTCAAATGGGAATTCTTCCATCGGTCTCGGTGGACTCGAATTTTCCACGGACGAGACATATGACTGACTTGACCATCATTTTCGGCTAGCTTGCGTGTTTGTTGCTGACAAATTTGGGCTAGTTTCTACATCACCAGGCCAGGGATAATGATTAATAACTCTCGGTTCTTTGTAGATTTGGCATTGTGTAAATGTGTTGTCAAACAGTCTAGATCCATGAATTGAAGACACAATCACGCAACCGCGTCAATGACAATGACACCAGACTTTGGGCTAATTGTCTGATTGGCTTATCCTGAATTGGAAGATCTCTGTGGTATTTTTGGACAAATCTACATTACCCACAATCACATCATTGTCTTCAGTAAACATAATTAAGAGATCCACATTTTAGGTAGTGGTAGTCCCTAGATCCAGATTTTAGGAGTTTATCTGGCCGTAATAAATACACTCGCATCGATTGTCTACCTCCCTATAAGTCTTGCATCATTTGACAACATCCAAAGAAGATCACAATATACTTTTATGATAAAAGTCAACACATGCTAATCTGCACCCATTAAAAGCCCGTGCGCTGTGCGTCACTGCTTGAGTACCTAGCCTGAGATCAGTAACGAATGCCATGGGTTCCAAGACCATCCAAGCCCATCTGAGCCATACGTGACCTGGACGGCGCTCCTTTGAAAGCACATCCATGATCCTTGGTGGATACATACTCCGTACTCCGTATAGTTATGCGGAAGTGATTACTTGAACTCAACAGGACCTAGGATGCTGCCAAATTGCAAAGAATGTTGTCATTTGTCTTTGACAAATGAACCAAGGATCCTAAGGCTGAGTCAGGTTCTAGACAGACGCTATTCTAGAATACATGTTCCTCGTCCGGCAGTCTGATTGGTTGGTCATACTTAGAACGAAACAGACAACCGTGTCGGCTTTCATTGATGAATGATTGACGCCGATTGATGGTTTTATTTTGTACTAGAATCTAGTAGTAACCCAGGAGAGAACGATGGGCATTGTTTACGGGATCTGAGTCCACGGCACCGATTACCCAGAGTAGCAAAGCGAGACAACTTCTCTCGCGCATTCGTTGCTGCGAAAAGCAAGTCAGCTGCCGTCATCGAACCATCACGTGGCGTCATTCATTGCCCTCAAGGTCCGACATTCATAGGCGGTCTGGCGCAAATCTTGCCCGTACCAGCGGTGACCGGCACCGTTACGCGGGTGTACCATACAATACAGGCTGGCCATTGCCGCGCTAGAAGGCGATCCTCTGGATGCGTGATGACGCTTTTCCTTTTTGGCTCTAAGGAGGGGCAAACCACGACGCTAGGCCCATCTGAACCGGAAATACCTGGTCGGATTAGGAAGTTTTCGCAAGGAAGAAAACCTTTACAGATTTTTTTTTATCGTTGGTAAAGTTGTGTGGTTGCAATTCAGTCAGGCTCCACTGAATGGAGGGGTGAGAAGGAAAGAGCCCAAGCAAAAGAGAGCCAAAAAAAAAAAAGAAGCCATTAAGGAACTTAATTTTAAGAAGGGATCCGAAAAAGGCCCTATGAGTCAACCTCCCAGTAAGATCAACTATGCTATTGTACTACTAATTTGTAGGGTGTAGGAGCAATTCTTCTCCTTGGAGCTGCCATTCTCGGACAAGGCCAAAGTGTATGATCGATCCTCCCAAGCAACATTTTCCGCGCAGAGATTTCTTCGCTCACCCCGCACTGCAGGAAATTGAGCACCTGCGGGGCATGGCATTGCATCATCATCCGACCGTCTTAGTGGTGATGATTGTCTGGGGTGAAAAAAGTAATGAGATGTATGAAGTCGCAGATACTAGACGGTCAATATCAGTTGACACTGGCGCGGTATACGGATCTTCAAACCCAGCTATCCACCGCCTAGTTCTAGACGCCATCCATACTGTCAGGAAAGTGACCTGTGCGTCATATGGTTTGCTGGGGGGTTTTCCTTTCTTGACGAATCGTCTCTATCCATTACCTAACAGTTTCGTAGACCTCCTCGCCCATTGGAAGCACTGTGACCGTGCGATGCTTAGGAGAAGTCCCTAATGGGCAAACGGTGATCAACTTGGTGATGTCCGACCCGACTTGCAGAGTTTCGGCATGAGAAAGCGAACCGACTTGATCATGCCAGAGGAATCGGTATGGCCATTCCGACTGATCTACCACATACGTACGGACCACGTAGTATGTATGTTGGATGTACTACTACTCACTATGAGTGGAGTAGTGTCCGGAGGATTTCTACAGCTCTTGCGTCTATTATCTCCTATTGGATTGATATTCGCACGGCTTGTCCAGTGGTATATCCCGTGGTCCGGCCATCCGTGATGCCACTTCGTGAACTGATCCGAGATGGGTTGTTGTCAGATGTACTTGGCGGTCTTGCTGACTGGCGTTTCAGTATGGGGCATCACCGTTGGGTTTATTGTTTCCAATGATCACGCCAACTTGATTGGGTGTCAACTGTCAAGGTGTACGTAGTACGTACGATTGGCGTGAGGGATTATCAGTATCATATCCACTGCAAGCTCTCCACTAACAGGTTACCTGCTCAAGGTACGTACTTTGCTCCAGGGTCCCTACCCCTAATCCCAACTTCCACCAAGGGGCCTACCGAGTACAGGATGAGCTGGATCGAGTCCAGATATGTATATCCCCCGAAGCATGGACCTCTGGACTCCATGGCATGCAGGGTAGGATACACAACAGCTGCAGCAAGCTTGCACAGCAATTCTCCGACAGTGCGACTCCATCGACGGTAAACCCAATTCCAGTCAATTTACAGAGTAACCCCATCGGGTCTTTCCGCGGGAAAGCAAACGCCTGCTAATCGGTTAATTGACAGCTAGTGAGGGACCGTGGCACGCCATCGCCCTGACGGACTATTCACAGGACACGGCCTTTTAGCGCACTCCGTCCGCAATGGCTTCCGTTGATAGCATTAGTGCTTCAGAGTTTTTCCTTCCCCGTAGCAAAATTCTTAGGCGATTCAACGGAGCCCACCCCGACGATACCCATTCCCTTTGGTTGGCCTGTTAATAACGATGTCGGCCTCTTCCGAAGGATACCACCTTATTCATCAATGGTAGGGAAGACAACCACCCCATAGTACCGTCCACAGAGTAAGGGTCAAGTCAACTTGTAATCAGTTGCGGATCGCCTTGAGGGGCGGTAAATTGAACCACCTGTTGGACTTACCTAGTAGGGCTGTTGCTAACGTTAACTAAGTATCTGGCGGGATTGGATGAGCGATTATTCTGGTCCTGGATTTGATGGATCTTGGCAGTTGGCATGGATTTTTGAAGAGGGAGCAAAAGAGCAAATAAATACAGCAAAAAAATCCATGGCTTTCATCTCCAGTCCATGTGTGGATGGCATAGATCTCCCGGGTGAATCGCCGTTAATTAGATCTTGAAAAATACACCCTTTCGATTAAGTTAGTACAGATAATTTATATTAGATAATATATATATACTTAATCCAGTGGTGTATATAATTATTGCTACGATCTTGGTTTCACGTCCCGCAGTTAGGGATATACTCCAAGTATACTGGCCTCATACGTATACGATCCACACGTCAAGTGTACGACCTCGAACAAACAAGCCTATATATACAATCTATTGAGAAACCCATTCCACCGTAGCATTTTGAAATCGGCATCATATACTCCGTAGATGATTATCATTAGCTTGTCACGTGGTGATACACGAAGCAGCGGGATCGACAGTTCAAGCTTCACGTTCATCAAGCCACCGTGTCTTTTCAATAAACCGTGATCCTTTACGAACCAGGTGTCTAGGACGTTATGCTGCAATTTTGAGATGATCTTAATTCACTCATAGGGCAATTCGTCGCAAAACTACGCAAGACAATTTCGGAGTGGTAGTGGTCTGGTGGGAGAATGTTGGATGCTCTCCCCGCTGCGTAATAACCTGGAGCTTAATCATTGCTCTGATCCATAATTGCATGGGAAAAACTTCTCATCTAGTTTACTGTTAGAAGGGTGAAGGCCCCTCTACTGTATGGACACATCCATCGATCAAATGAGCCATCGCAGTCGATCCATCATGACACCTTCAACATTGCTTTCAATAGGCATTGCGATTGCGGCCGTTTTCATCTTCTGGACTCTGTCCTCGACCTCGTCATCGCCCTTTGCTCATAACTTCCCTCGCCTATACAATCAACGAATATGTCTCTTGATTGCGCATCCCGACGACGAAGCCATGTTCTTCGCACCCACCGTGCTAGCTCTGACAAAGCCGGAGCTCGGCAACCATCTCAAGATCCTATGTCTCAGCAGCGGTACGTCCACCCCGAAACCCACAGTGCATGTTTCCCGAAAACTAACCGAGGTGGTATCGGCGATGGCAGGAGACGCCGACGGGCTAGGTCACATTCGCAAGAAGGAGCTTCAGAAAAGCGCAATGCAGCTCGGTCTCCGCAACGAATCAGATGTCTTCGTCGTTGACGACCCATCCCGATTCCCCGATAGTATGGCCACCACGTGGTCGGCGAACGAGATATCCAGTCTCCTGGCCGCTGCGTTTGCCCCGGAAATCAAAACAACAGGCAGAGAATCTAAGACAAACCGGAGCCCGACCATTGATGTGATCCTCACCTTTGATCAACACGGTGTTAGCAACCATCCTAATCATCGCTCTCTTTACCACGGGGCTCGGCATTTTCTTCACTCCCTCATGAAAGATAAGGCCGGGTACTCATGTCCTGTCTCCCTGTATACGTTGACGACGACAAATATCCTGCGGAAGTATGTGGGGGTGCTGGACGCGCCTCTGACCATGGCACGGGGTGCGTTGGCATCTGTATTCTCGACTGTGTCTCTGGTTCGTAGGTCAAGGGAGTCGGGTCCTCCTTCGAGGTTGCTGTTTGTTAGCTCCGTGACAGATTGGATGACTGCGCAGTCGGCCATGGTGACGGCTCATAAGAGTCAGATGGTTTGGTTCCGTTGGGGTTGGATCACTTTTGGTCGGTATATGGCAGTGAATGACCTGGACCGGGAGAGGATTTGACCTGGTGGGGAAATATTATTCATATTGTACAGTAGTTTAATTTGTAGGGAAAGGTATATGATTCATGTTGGACGAGGATGGTTCTTTAAGATATTTAATGAACTAAATGACAGCAGGAGTTGGTGATAATCAAATAAATCTATTTGTCTACCTGTTGTGTATAGATATAGACTTCATTTATAAACGATTCTTGAACCTATGGGAAAACAAAACATCAAATTAAAACGGTCATTTCAGTCCCGAAACAGTACCCAGGGACGGGGTACCGACAAAATCAGAGGTATCGAAACTGAGATCATCCGGGATATGCGCGAAAGAAAACAAAAGCCTATCGCAAGCATCTAGGCATACAAATAATAAAAAAAAATCAATTGTAAGCCAGGTTGAAACCGTTGGGTTCGACTACCGTTGGACTATCCCTTTGTCTCGAGATACTATTCAGGTCAGTATCAGTCTCCGACTCGGGCACACAGGCAAAATCAATAACTTCATCATCCAAATCTTCCGGTTCCACGGAGAAACCAGAACCAGTCACTTGCCCGTTCAAACCCTCGTTGATATCATAGGGTTCCGGGGCTATGGTATTGACTCTTACGGAAACGCCGGAGAGGAGACGTTTTAGCGGAGGCAGGTCGAGGTTGATGCCCTTCGCGGACTGCTGGAACTCTTCCCAGATGAAATCGTCGTCCAAGTCTGCAGCCCCGCTCCACTCGATACCATTTGCCGCAGTGGCACAGCGAGTAGGCACATATTGATGGGACGTATATCTTCGGTGATTCCAGTGCGTTATCCCATGGAATCTCACCATACCGCCGGCGGTGGAGTAGTTGAAGTTATGGGGGAGGAAGTTTCGCCATTCTTCTAGTACCTGCGGAAGAAGACAACGTTCCCAAGTGACAAGATTGTCTCGGCTGATCCACCTATGGTGGGTTAACAGGAGTCGTGCAAGCTTCTCCATGATGAGCGTCTGCTGAGCCACTTGTAAGCGCAGAATATCGTACGTATGCACGGCTTCAGCAAACGCAGGGGATTGCAGGACCGTCGAGTTGACCAATGTAGTGCTTGACGACGCCGCTGACAACGCTTGCTTTTGTAGATATCCTTCTAGAATCGAGCGTGCGGTATTCGATTTCCGTCGTGTTTCTTCCAAAATCTCATACGCAAGCTCCATGTGGTGTTTGAAATCCTTCAGTCGGCATCGCTCCCATGCTGTTTTGGCGAGGTAACGGTGGACTTCAATCGTCGGGCGGACTTTGAACGTCTCGGAAGTCATTGTGTCGTATAAAGAGAACAAGAAATCCCATGAAACCTTACCTCTGGACTTCCTGTCCGTATCCGGACCGAAGCGACGGCGGGACAAAACAAACGCTCGCTCCATCAACTCCAGCCAGACGGTGTCCGGGATGGGGATGTTATATTCTTCGGAGATGTGCTCAATGGCCCTCAATCCGGCGAGAATGTCGTTCGTCGTGCCAAAGGTATGTGCCACGGCAAACAGAAGTCGGTCCGAGGGGTACAGCGGCGAAGAACGCTCGTAATCGGTGACTGCTGGTAGGCGTGATTTATCGGCATTCCTCAGCAGCGCATCCACGTCGACATTCCAGACGGTCTTGAGGATGCTCTTGATTCCGTGCACATAGCCTACTCGGGCCGATGCCAGCATCACATTGATATAAGTCATCTCGTCACCGACGTTCCCTTGTTCCGTCATCTCGTGGAATATGCCTAGCACTTCCTTTCGCACACTTCGACCAGCGGTACCCCAGCCTTTCCAGCCTGCACTGGGGTTGTTAAATCTCCGTTTTCGATAGGAGTAATGATGGATTCGCAGCCGATATTTTTCCCGTCCGGTGAAAGCCGTATCCCATACCTTGGCTGCCATGTAGTGGTTGTAGCACTGGACATCAGGGACTACCTCATCGTCGATCATGTTATTCCAGACATGCTCTGCCATGTCGGCATCTGCCATCGACCAAGCACAGTCGAGAAGATGAGTGTATTCGGCCAGTCCAAGGACGTGGCCTGCCGACTGTCTGATCTGCACGATCGTTGAGAGATTTTTGGCGAAGTCATCAAAAATGGTGTCCAGTGGTTTATATCCCTTAACATGAAACGCGACCGGATGCACCGGGCGATGGAGCTCCCGATAAGGATCCAAAAAGTATGCGGGTGAGAGTAATTGGAAGACTTCCACAAAGACACTCGAGGGCATCCCTTGGACCAGATTCTTGAAACGGGGGTCCAGCAGAGCATCCATGATCTGATCCGGTTGGCCATTTTGAATGATGGTTCGGAATTCCAAGCGGTTCTGCTCTATAGCAGTAGGAGTAGTAGTAGGGGTCTGCTTGAGCGGGTCGGGATTGCTACCAAGAACCGGGGTTTCCCTCGTTAGACCACGGTTCAAATCGGTCGCTTGACGCTGGCGGTAGTGCTGCGCATTCCAGCTCCAGCTGGAGCTGTAGCTTGATTTGGGGCTGAACGAAGGAGAATGGGTGTATGGGCGCCTGGAACTCAGCGACCTCCACTGGGTGGAATTGCGGGTGCGTATAAATCGAGTGGAGCAAAGAGAGCCACTCTGGGCCGGAGACCCAAATCTTTCGCTCACTCGTGCAATCTTCCGCATCATCAACTTGATTCCCAATTGTGAAGGGAAAAAGAAAGAAATCAAAAAGAGGATCAGAGACTCGGTCTGCAGCTCAGGGGACAGACAGCGTCGACGCAACCTGTTGTCATTGGACTTGCGGGGGCTTGGCGATCAGATCCCTGTCCTTCTCCTCACTTCAGATTCCTATCTCTGTCTTTCTCTCTCTATACCCATCCTTCATTCTCTATACCATGGCAGACTCTGAAGATGCGGGTGGCGCGTCCGTCTCCGAACCGTTGGATCTGGTGCGTCTGTCGCTTGATGAGATTGTCTTCGTGAAGTTGCGTGGTGATCGTGAGCTCAAAGGTCGTCTACATGTGAGTAGAGGTGCTGTCTTCTGGCAGGTCACGGTGACTAATGGGGATTTGTCCCTTTTAGGCCTACGATAGTCATTGCAATTTGGTACTGGGAGATGTTGAAGAGACTGTCTATGTGGTAGAAGAAGATGAGAACGAGGAAGAAACGATCCGAGTAGGTTCTTTATTTAAACTTCAATTGTCCCAGCTTGTCATGATCATATATCAAGCTTTATAATCGCAGACTAACCGATCAATCTCTCTAGACAATTAAGAAACAAGAAGAAATGCTTTTCGTACGAGGTGCGTCGGATCCAGTTCAACCTTCATCCATGTCGAGTTTTTTTTTTTTTTTTTTTTTGACAGCCCAGCTAACAATCTATCCTCTATCTAGGAGATTCTGTCGTCTTGATATCCCCTCAAGCGTGATCTGACCCAAGGAACTAAATAGGGAGGAAGGAAAGAACAATGCGATGGGAGATGTAATGATAGGCATGTCTTAGTAGAGGAAGGAGACAGTATGGGGGACTATTGACTCTCTCCTATACGGCTAGATCATGAACATGCGACTATGGCACATGGCAATGAGCAGTATTGTCCGAAGAAATTCCATTCCGATCCGTTTTATATGTCGAAGAGAGGTCGCAGGGCGATGGGTTTTAATATGGGCGTGAATGGTATCATGATAATAATTACAACCTTCGGAATAGAACCAGAGCCAGAGCATCACGACCCTCGTAGTTCCCCAGTCTCCAATTCTAGTCTTATGCAACTATGACTCCTCTGTCTGATGATCCCTGGCTGTGCTTTTGCTCTCTCCTGTTGGTGCTTATGACTCAACCGCCGGCTATCGCGATATAAATGATCCATGATCCTTTCCTCCTTCCCTCCTTCCCTCCACTACTGCTGTAACCACCTTTTTTTTCCATTCACTCTTCCCCTCCCATCCAGCATGTGCTAGTACGGACGCTTTCCGTCTTGATATCTCACTCTCAAGAACTCAGAGTGAAATTATGATCCCTCGAATACGTGTCTAAATGCCCCAGAGGCGGCTTTTCAACATATCCCTTCCCCTCCCCCGCCCTTCCGACCGTACACGTCGTCTAGTGCTTCCTATTGATAATATTGCTCACCATACTCTTTCCGCCCACCAATTGATCTATTAATTTCTTGATATCTCTTAAGAAAATGCCCACCACAGGACCGAAGTCCTTGATGGAAGAACGGCGAAGAGGCGAAATTGTAACCCTCTCTCTATGCATCCCCTTCGCAATCCTCTATCCCACCACCAGCTGACAGCCTTTTGCCGTATACCTAGGCGCTCAGCGAGTTCGCGGAATACGCCGAAAAGCAGCAAGCGAGTCGCCCGGTCCCCGGTGTGCCCAGCGACAGCGGCTACTCCACCGCCAGTGTATCTCGAGTTCACGAAGAACACGCCGAGCTGGACATTCTCGACCAGCTGGGGTTGTCCGACACTCCAAAATCAGTCCGATTAAAAGATAACTTGTTGGGAACGGGCGACCAAACCGAAGATAGTCTACAAGACCTTGCCAGTCTCCTCCAGGCTCGCATCGATGAGGGCCATGGCGAGACGATCTTCGACTTGGGACTCGAGGACGGCGGCGAGTCGATGACGTTTGACCTGGGGCAGTGGAATATGGCCTTGCGGCGCCTGAAGGAGGCGGCAGACACACTCCCAGCACACTGTCGCATCCTCTTGACCTACAATGTCGGCGGCCCCGAGGAGTCCCGGGTCCGGAATGATCGGGTTAAAGGGGCTTGGGGCAAAATCCTCATTCGGCAGCCTGCGGATAGCGTCGAGGAGATGGCGGAGATCCGAGTTGCCGTTGTGGGAAATGTGGATGCCGGCAAGAGTACCATGCTTGGAGTTCTCGTGAAGGGGAGTCTAGATGATGGTCGAGGCAAGGCCCGTGTCAACCTTTTCCGTCATAAACACGAGATTGAGAGTGGTCGGACCAGCTCGGTAGGATTGGAGATCATGGGGTTCGACAGCCACGGGGATATCGTTGGCAGCGCACAGGGACGCAAGCTGTCCTGGGAGGATATTGGCAAACGGTCTGCGAAGGTGATCTCCTTCACCGACCTTGCCGGCCATGAGCGATACTTGCGGACTACAGTCTTTGGCATGCTGAGTAGCAGCCCGAGCTACTGTCTACTGATGGTTGCGGCGAATAACGGTCTAATTGGGATGAGTAAGGAACATCTGGGGATTGCGCTGGCGCTGAACGTTCCCGTCATGGTCATTGTCACCAAGATTGATATCTGCCCTCCCCAGATCCTGCAGGAGACTCTGTCCCAGCTTAATAAGATCCTTAAATCCCCAGGGGCTCGCAAGATTCCCGTCTTTGTCAAAGACATGGACGAGACCATCAACACCGCCACTCAGTTCGTCAGTCAGCGGATCTGCCCCATTTTCCAGGTGTCCAACGTCACCGGAGAGAATCTGGACTTAGTCCGGACATTCCTGAACATCCTTCCTCACCGGGGCCAGTACAACGTCAACGCGCCCTTCGAGTTCCTCATCAACGATACGTTCTCGGTGCCGCACGTGGGCACCGTAGTGTCAGGAGTGGCCAAGTCTGGTGTGATTCACGCCGGTGATCCAGTGCTGGTGGGCCCCGACTCCCTGGGCCAGTTTACCACCACGACGATCAAGTCTATTGAGCGCAAAAGGATTGGAGTGAACGCCTGCTTTGCGGGACAGTCTGGTTCGTTCGCCCTGAAGCGCGTTCGCCGGAAGGAAGTCCGGAAGGGCATGGTGGTGCTCAAGAAATTGGATCAACCACCGAAAGTGTACCGCGAATTCGTCGCGGAGGGTACGATTGCCTCCCCCCAACCACCAACTTGAGGAGCCTACTTACCGTGAGATAGTTCTGATCCTGTCGCATGCCACGACCATCAAACCCCGGTACCAGGCGATGCTGCATGTTGGAGCGGTGAGCCAGACCTGCTCCGTCATTGACATCGACCGTCCATTCATTCGCACCGGCGATCGCGCACTGGTGGCTTTCCGGTTCGTCCAACGCCCGGAGTTCCTGGCTCCAGGCGATCGAGTGCTCTTCCGCGAGGGTAAAACCAAGGGGCTAGGGATCGTCAAAAGCGTGGGATACGATCCGGAGACGCCTCTGAACCCGGAAGAGAAAGATGCGTCGGAAAATAGCCATTGAGATTGAGGTCGATGAGTAGTGTTGGTGTATTTCCTGTGGTTGTTCTGTGTATTTGCTTTCCTGTTGCTATCGCTATCCATAGGATTCTCCAAATCCCATGAATCCAGTCTTGTTCGGTACCACGTGATATGACGTCAGAGATGACATCAAGGGCAGTTGGCCTCCTCGTCTTCCATGGCGCGACCTTTCCATGGCGCGACCTTTCCATGGACACCCTCGACCGCCTCGCCCATAACTCGAGTCCTAATAAATACCCGTGAACTGTCCAGCTCTGACCCCGCGCAACGTTGGGCAATTGGCGAAACGTCGACCATCCCTCCCATTGTCCATCTAGAAGCCAACTCATCCGCATTCGAAACATGGAGACCCTCGATAAAGCCTGGCACACTGCTGCCGATGCCTTGCGAAATGAAATCCACGCATACCAATCCTCTCTGAAACATTGGACCGACTACGGCGAGGAACCGCTGTCGGGAGTCCAAGGTAAAGGGACTGCGACGGATCCCTACGATGCCGGCAACCGAGATGGTGAGTTCGTTCATGACGACGTCATGCCTTCTGTTCCCTGCTGTCTAGGGAGGCTAGCTAACCATTTCACTCGTCCCATAGAACAACCCGGCGCTCCTCGCAGTCAACAGAATACCGCCGTTGTCCCAGAAGCCCTGGCTTCCATCTCCGCCGACGACCCCAAGATCACTGGTGGCAGTCGACCGGTTAATAAGCCTGTAGGTGATTATGGGCCCATGGGAGTCCAAATGGACTCAAATCCAATAGACAAGGTCGTTCCCCAGTCTCGGGTTCCCGAGCAGAGGGACGGTCTGGCCAGTCAAGACCAAGCTGGTGCTGGGGGATCTCGGAAGTCCGACTATATCAACGGGCAACCTGCCATCTCTGGAGAAGTGGAGGAGGGTCAGATGTCGGTCAATAAAGGGCATAATCGGAAATTGAGCCTAGGCAACAAAGAAAGCTACACCGGTGCAGACATGAAGAAACATCAATTGATGTATGAACAACGGGTTAGCCAGAGCCAGCCTCCCCTCACGAATGGCCAAGTCAGCGGCCTGCATGGCCAGAGGAACGAAGATGGCTTCGCCATCAAGTCCATTGGGTTATCTACTTCTGGCACACCGGGCACCCCCGGCTCCCCTGACACTACTTCTAGTGCTCCAGCCCATCCCCCGACCACGTCTAAAGCAAGTGAGGAGGCTCTCAAGGGACCCCAGTGCCCATCACGAGCACCATATGAGTTTGAGAAGGAGTTAGATGAGAAGCGCAAGAGAAGGTCGAAATCGGGTTGGTTCCCTTCGAGTACCATGATCTATCCCTTGATAACTAACATGTGTATCTCTATATAGGCAACCGTTCAACCCACAAGCGTGACAGTGGCTATGGCTCTGGCACTGGTACTGGCACTGGTATTGGCACGACCACTACCTCTAGCATGACCACCGAAACCACTGCACGAAAGTCCTCCCCAACCGCAGACAGCCCACCCACCAAGAATGGCTCAAAGACTGCGATAGCCACCATGAAAGAGAAACTCGAGAAAGTGGTACATTTTGGACATCACTCGAACAAATGATTTCTTCGTATTCCGTTTTCTGTTGTAATTTCCTCCCCCACACTTGTTTCTTTTTAAATTCTACTACGTACGATGATATCAATACTTTATTTCATTTGATGACGACGATTACGCCTGCGTATTATTGGTATTTGTTTTGAATTTTATATCTAATGGTGAAATCTACCTAGTCTTAATACGGTGTGTTATTATTATATCAGGTTTGGTTGGTTTATTATTTGATGTATGGATATCTATCTTGTATTGAAATTGAATTTTTATGAATTTCATACAAACGTAGTATATTTATTCAGGTAGTGCATTCATCCAATTGTTCTATGTACTATGTATCAATCAATTCAATTATTCAAACAGTAATCTCAACTCCTCGATTCTCTCTTTCTTCTTCTCCTCTTCCGATCCATCACCCCCGACCCTCAACCCTAACGACCCGGCAATATTCATCTTCCTGTCTTGGACCCTTAACATCCGACCCTCGATGGAATCCTTCACAATAAATCGCGTCACTGACACGTTCCGGAGCTGGCCCATTCGATGAACGCGGTCGATAGCCTGAGCCTCGATGGCGAAACTCCACCACGGATCCATCATGAATACGTTACTTGCAACGGTAAGATTGAGCCCGACGCCTCCGGCACGAAGACTGATGAGGAGGACTTTGGGGATGGGAGGACCGGATCGCTTTTTGGTGGTAGGGTTAGAGGAGGATGGTCTGGAGCGCAGCGGAGGCACGGCGTTACCTGCTTCCTCGGACTCGTCTTCGATGTCTTCTCGGTCGTAGGATTCCATCTTGTTGAATCGGGCGAGCACGTCGGCTCGTTGCTTCTGGGGCATCGTCCCGTCCAGACGCAGGTAAGAAATGCCTGCTCGATCGAGTTGGGGTCCGATGAGGTCCAGGAAGCTGGTGAACTGCGAGAAGACGACCGATTTGGTGTCGGATGGGACGCGGTGGAGGTGATTGATGAGGGAGTGGATCTTGGCGCATGTGTGAGCAGAGGGGGAGAGAGGGTGGATCCGTCGAAGGGAGATCCGCGGAGTGCCTTGAGTGCCGGACGGGGGAGTACTGCTGTAAAGGTCGTCGTCGGCAGTTGTCAAGTTGCTCGACGGATGACGCACGACCTCGAAGATATCCCGGCTGCTGACTGCTGCGCGGCACGAGAAGCATCGCGGAGACTCGCCCTTGTCCGACTGATGCCGGATATAATCCTCCAGGCACTTCTTACATGCACTGTGCCAACATGCCGTTACGGCTGGGTCGATCATGGGTTCTTCGGAACAGATCGGACACTCTCCACTTGACTCATTCTGAATCTGTTTCAAGGCATGGGTCGTGAACTTGATTGAGGAGTTTGGTTGCTCATTGGAGCCGGCAGCCTCAGTTGCCGTCGTAAACCGGTTGATAAGATCTTGCAGATCCATGTCATCCTTCAACCCATTAACGCCTTCTGCGGCGGCCGCGTCCTCCTCTTCCGCAACAATCGCCTTGTTACGGGTGAGGATGGGGTGACAACACGTCTGACGAAGGCGGAGAATTTGAGCAAAGATCGTCGTAAACGACTTGAGCAGCGTGCCAGCTTGCACGTTGTCATTGAACGTCCGCTTTGCGCGAGTATAGATATAGTCGTAGATTTCACGCTCCTGATCCGAGAGCTCGACCTCTTCGACAGTGATCGTCCGACGGGGCAGTGGCACCAGCGGCTCCCCTTCTGGTGTCTGCATCGTTTTGGTGCGTCGAAGAACTAAAGGTTCGAGGACAGTCTGTACAACATTGAGTGCGCGGACATATTCCTTGGACTCGAATGGAACCGTGATAAAGGTCTTCCAGTACGAGAAGTTGTTCCAGGGCTCAACCTTGAGGAATCTCACCAGGCTGAACAAATCTTCCAGGCGATTGACAATTGGTGTTCCGGTCAAGACCCATCGATGCGTTGCTTTCAGCTCGTAGCACGCTCTAGCTGATTTGGAGAGTCGATTTTTAATTACATGGGCTTCATCCAAAATAACGCGGAAGAACTCGACAGAAAATAAACCACCTTGAGGAGCGGACATCTGCGACAAAAAACTGCGATGCTCCGAAAGTACAACACCATAACTAGTGACAATTACATTGGGAGCAGTCAGGTTGCTTGCTGAGCATAGTTTCCTTAGGTCAATGTTTTTGTCGTTTCCATAATACATGTAGACCGTAATCGACCCTGGTTGAGACGCCTTTAATGCTTCACTCTCCCACTGCGAAAGCAGTGAAGTTGGAGCAACAACGAGTGTGGTGTAAGGGGCAGGAACAACCCTAGCGTAGGTACTGTGTAGAGGAGGGAGATCGCTGACGGAGCTAGGTGCATCCCAGGCTTGCCTTGGAGGCACATTTCGATGAGTATGGATCAGGCTCAACATCTCAATTGTCTTACCCAGTCCCATTTCGTCAGCCAAGATGCCACCTAGGCAGTGCTGTTCCTGTTCTGGAAAATCAAGACTGAGCTCCCCCGAATACGGATTGACATAGAAATGGTCCAAACCGTCAATGGCAGGGAGATTGCTATCATCAACGTCTTTGGTTGGCCACAAGTACTCTTCCCATAGTGGGTGCATTGATCTTTCCCGGCCAGCCTTGTTGTCTCTCTCCTTTGCAAGCATCCAATGTAGTGCTTGCTTCTGATATTTTCGAAGGCTCATGGTGAACGTCGATGAAGGCTCTGCTTCTGGCATGCTGAAATCGAACGATTGTGCCTTTTTGTAGAGCGTATCTAGTTGGTCTTCCGCAAGTTCTGCGGACTCTTCTTCGTCCGATGAACTACCATTCAACTTGCCATCCTTTTGATTCTTGTCGTACTGCTCCGCGATTTCCGCAGCGCGTAGCAATCCCTCTTTCTTGTGCTTTTTAGTCATATCATTAATCGACGTGGGATCGAGGCCGATTTCGTCAAAAAGACGCACTAGGGCTACCTGGCGGAGACGTAACCGCTTCTCCTCTGCGCTCTCTTTTTCCTCGAATATTGTGATGGATCTATTATCATCAGAGATGCCATCTGGGATCCCAGGCTGGAATGCCTCGATGCGAAGATAGCACCATAATTGTATATAGATCGTATCGTTCACCCGGATTGCGTCCGGGGCGAAAACGCAGACACCTTCAAATTTGCAAGCCTTCTGATCGATCAATGTGGAGACCCATTCAGCCGTTTCTCGAGGCAGTCGTCCAATCTCTTGGCCGGAATTATTCGTGAACCGTGTCAAAACATCTCCTTTCTGGTTTGTTATGAACCTACCACCACGACCACGTTTCGAGACCGGCTGAGACCTAGCCCTCTCAATATTCACCTTGTCTCCATGCTTAAGAAGCCTCACTCCACTCCTCGTGGCCCATCCGCCCACGCCAAATGCACCGATGTATCTCAATGAGGGCTGGTCTCGGCAAGCCGGTGTAGCTACACGGGGTGTCCTTGTGTCCAGCATAGACACTCCACTAACTGGCGTCGGTTGCAGGGGAATTGTTCGTCCCTGCAATGTCAAAGTAGTTTGAGTTTGGGGTGCTGCACGAGTAGCGGAAGTTTTCCAGGACCCGTCAAAATAGACATTAACTGCTCTCTCCAAATCGTCGCCGGAAACACTCCGGATCTTCTGCATGGTGTCTGACGAGAGATGTTCGCCCACAATGCTAGTAAAAGCCTCTGTATCGAATCCATCCGTATTGCCCTGCTCGAGTGTCTTCCCCACAGTCGGTTCCTCTCCACGAGGCTCTGGATCTGCATCGTCCTTGCGGACAGTAGTTGGGGTGCCATTCGTAAAAGAATCATGATTTCCAGACTGTAAGAAGTTAAATTGGCTTGTCTGTCCATCATCGCCTATTCCATAGTCGCCATTACTCTCATCCAGACGAGAGGAACAAGGACTAGACGCGTTGTGAGCGGTGCTCGGAATAGCAGTGGTTTCACTGGATTGAGTCGCATCGACTTCCTGGTCTACAAAAAAGCGCCTCTTTTTCAACGGCCGGTCATTCAGATCTCCCAAATCCATTACGGATTGATAAAGCCCTGAATCGGGAGTCGGCGGACTCGATGGTGATGCAGGCAAGTGACGAAGAGAAGAGGATCGTTAAAAGAGACGCGCCGAGAGACGCGAAAAGTCGCCGGCCCGACGTCATTTAGTCTTATTTTTATTTCTCTCCTCGAATGACAGCCAGATCACATTTCCACATCTACAGAGAGCTAATCTGCAGGAGAATGTCGCCATAGTGTGTCCAGAGTATGTATTCCTGATCGAAAGTCTTGAAATGGTGATCTGCAACTGACGATTGACTCCTGTGCAGACATTTCATCCCTAGTCGATAACAGAGCGTCATGTCATTACACAAAGATCTATCTCTCGTCAACAGGCAAATATGGCGGCCGTACTCGCGCTCCACACGATTAGAAACATTTCAACCGCGACACTTCAGTCGATATTCAGTACCACCACCAGCAGCATCCGCCCCTAGTCCTATCTCTGGAGCTGCTGAGGCCGAAGTCCAAGCTGCACGAAAATACTGCACCGACCTACTCTTGTATGGACGATAAATTCAATCTCCTTTTATTTCAATCCATCTGAATCCAAAACATCTAGCTGACTCGACCGACCCTTCGTCATCCAGAAAATACGACCGCCCCTCTTACACACTAAGCACATTTATCCCACGAGATGCGCAGATAATGTACCTCGCTCTCCGAGCGCTCAATGTTTCATTATCGATGATCCCGGACACTACATCCTCATATACGATTGGACTGATGCGTCTCCAGTTCTGGAGAGACGCCGTCGCAAAGACTCTATCCGGGTCTCCACCCAAGGAACCCATCGCGATTCTCCTGGCGTCTGCGATCTCGGACCTCGACGCGCGCACGCAGGGCCAGGCACGCATCAGTAAAGGCTGGTTGAATAGGATGATAAATGCGCGGGAGCAGACCTTGACGAATGATCCGTACCCGAATATCGCGGCGCTGGAGTCCTACGCCGAGAATACGTACTCAACTCTGATGTATCTGACGCTATCAGCCATCCCCATGGCCTCTGTCACAGCGGATCATGTTGTGTCCCATATCGGGAAAGCAGCGGGGATTACGGCCGTGCTACGGGGCCTGCCACTCGTGGCGTTCCCTTCCCCGCAGAGTCAGCATTCGAACCAGAACCAGGGGGGAACGAGCGTGATGGGTGGCGGAGCCAAGCAAGGTGCTGTGATGCTTCCGCTGGATGTCATGGCGCAGGCGAGGGTGAAGGAAGAAGAGGTTTTTAGACAAGGTGCTGAGGCTCCGGGGCTCCGGGATGCGGTTTTCACGGTGGCCACCCGTGCGAACGATCATCTTATTACTGTGCAGCAGATGCTGAGCAATCTGCGGGCGGGCCGGGATGTCGGCCATGAATTCGAACATGAGGGCGAGGAAGGCCATCAGTATGGTTCTGAATCTGGAACTGATCATTCCAGGAACCAGCGCGACGAGACGCCATTGGACGAGGTGAATCGCGCATTTGGTGTTTTCATGCCTGCTGTGGCTACGCGACTGTGGCTGAATAGGCTGGAAAGTGTTGATTTTGATATTTTCAGACCGGAGCTCCTTGGGTCGGAGTGGAAGCTGCCATGGAAGGCCTACATGGCGTTCACACGGAAAAAATTGTGACGGTAAGGCAGGGATTTTTGTGGATGTTGGAAAATATGAATAATTATGTATTATACCACGGCTCTATATATATATGGGTTCTATTCCGTAGTGAGTCCTTACGCACTTTTTGTATCCTTCTCTCGACGCCGTTGCTTCCTGGAACTAGTGATTAGACGCCTCTGGGCGAGTAGTACTATGTATCGCTTAATTTTATCACGCCTAGAGCAGATTAATTAGCAGGGTCCGGATGGCAGGGAGGCAAGGGATATCACATTAAGAATAGAGTCGTTGCGAAAACGAAAGGCACTGCAATCATCCAAAAGTATCTGATGAGCGTCATGGTCAGTATATCGTAGCCCCACAATGTACTCGATAGATCATACGTACGCATCACTGTGCTGAATGCCAGAAAACGACTCGAAGTTCATACCAAAGTAACCCTGGTGTGGATTAGCATATTCCAATACTTATGGGAGGGACCCGGCGAACCGTTAGGAATGTCAAGGGGAGGTAGAGACAAGTCACAAGAGTCAGTTGCTTCATGCTTTCGTTCTGATATGCTCCTGTATGTCATGAGAATATTGCCAACCTCCATTAGAATCTCAGTCGAGCATAGAAGGCACTCACCGATTGTGTTGAAGATCAAATCGATCATGTTGTCAGCAGCACGTCTCATTTGGTCATAACCTTCGACGATTGTGATGCAATGGTCCAATGCATCGCCCAGGTATGTATAACACATCGGGCTGATTGAAACGCTCGTGCCGGTGAGACTTTTGAGGTTTTGCGTACTGTTCCCAAAATACGTTCCTGCTCCGCTAGGGCCCGGTGGTCCCAAATTCCTGAATAGGCTCAGGCCGGGGGTGCTGGCAGGGTCGGACCGATGATCTCGAAGGGCATTGATCACTGTCACAATCGGTTGAATGGCATTCCGCAGAATGGCGATCTCAGACGTCAGTATATAGAGGCTCTTTGACTGGTCAATATCTGGGTCCGTGAGAACATCAAGCTCCAGGTCGCCAATCGCATCTTGATATGCCATGGTTACTGGGATGGCCAAGTCGATGATGGCATCCAGGATTGCCTGCACTAGCATGCTAGCATCACACGACTGACGCAGCATAGTCTCCGGAGAGTTGAGGCGCTTGACTATAGGAGCTTCGATGTCATCGGCACTTGCTTCGAAGAACGAGGTCACGGTGTTGTCCCCGTGGAGAAAAATGGATACTTGCTCTAGAGTAACGCACAACCCTTTGGGTGCCAGGACAGCATTGTGCTCCATGAATGCAATCCTGTCTTCGTTTGGACCTCCTCGGTAACGCTGGATGCTGCGAAAGGGATTTCCAGCACCAGAAATGTTGCCAGACTGGGACGCGGACTTGCCTGAGGGACGGATGCCTTGGCCAGCAGTATGGCCATCAACTAAAACTCGCCCGCGTGATCCCACCCCCAAAATGTCTTTCAACGCCTCCAGAACAACACCATGTCCGGTGGGCCTGTTCAAAGTGGTGCTTTTGTTGCTTCCTGCTGAACCCCTTCGATCATTCTTTCCCGACGGCTGCCCTAACTCTTGCTCTTCCTCAGATTCACTGATTTCCTCATGTAGCTTTATCAGCTTTTGCAGCGTGAGCACAATATATGCATGGTCCGAGTACCAGTCCACTTTGGTACGATTTGTGGTGTTGATTAGATCCTCGATCGCAAGTCTATGCAAACTCTTCTGGTTCCCCAGGGTTCGGATAACATCCCAACTGAGGCCATTGACATTGATCCATCTGCATTGCACCCATGGCTCCCTCTCCCTGGCGAGGAACGCATCCAATGTGTCGTTGGAGAGCTCGTACTGTCGCATTTCATGTTGGGAAAAGTCGACCACAATAATTTCACACCTCTTCTGAAGATCCGTTGGCAAAGAGCTTAGCCAGTCAGCATTATAAGCGGGCAGCGGTTTGGTAGGATCAATACCCGGCTCGGTCCCTGGCTGCCAGCTGGAGTCGGGAGCTACTGAGTCCGGGTGATATGACCGAGCCGTATTGGAGCGTCGTGTGCGATTTCTGATTGTATCCCGCGACATGGTCCTCGTATTAGGAATCATTTCGGGAGAAGATAAATCCTCCGTAGAGGGGGCAATATGAATTCCGGGAGAAATCTCCCGCCGGATCGAGCCCGCGTGTGCTTCGATATCAATTGCATTCGGAGAGTCTGATGGCATTTGTGCTGTCTCAAATTGGTCAAGGTGATAGCCGCTCATTGTGATGACCATAAAGTTTTATACTCGCCCTCAGTAAGTATCGATACTCACTCACGACGCACTACTCTGGCTCTGCACCACCACCATAGGCTAAGGCTCAAGGCCGCCCACCAAGAAAGAAAATAGCGGGAAAGAATGAGAGAAAGACGTAGGGAAAGAAGAAAAGAAAAAAAGGACAGAAAATAATGAGCACGGCAATAAAGAAAGGCAAAAAAACGACGAGCACGACTGAAGTAAAAAGAAAGAAACTGGCGGAAGTACAGAAAAGAAAGAAGGCGGACGAAAGAAAGGAACAAAAGACTAAGGCGGAGGTAAAAAAATAGAGCACAGCGGAGGTCAGAGAGAAGAGTAATAGCGAACGGTTTCATTCAACATGTAAGATGATCAATATCCACAGCGAATATAGATAGCTAGTAGTAACTCACTGCTGTAGTAGTCTGGAGAAACCCCATCGCGGGGGAATGACGTCTTCGAGCAGCAGAACGATCCTTCCTCCATAGTCGATACAGACAGACACAAGAAAAGACAAGCCCAGAATTAAGAAGGACGCAATGCCATGGAGGGTAGTCGCTCTCTTTTCTTCATGTACCTCCAACTCGCGAGGCAACGTGAAGCTGCGGAGAATTTGCAGGGAAAGAGCTCGAAGCTTAAGTGTTGAGCCAGAGTGGGTAATCTACTTGACACGGGAGCTTGGCGCATTCCTAGCGTCGTGGCGAAGCAGTTCTGCAGGTCAACAATGCTCTCTCTTATTTCTCTAATCATCTACTGGTATTCGGACCCCTCGTTGGCAAGAATTCCTCGTCCAGCTTCAATCTATCAAACCACAGACCATGTCACCTGTCGGTCGGATGGAGCGTATCTCTAGCGGTCATGCCGTGTCTTGAAGACCAAATCCTCGCAGCAAATATCTTCCGTGCATGTGGTATGCGACTAAGAGAAGCGTACTGTATTCTCGGGTGATGGTAAATTACTAGAATTGGTATATTGTGCTTATTCAGGTATAGCGTGTCCATGCCGCTTGGCATCGTGATGCCTCTCTGGTCAATGGCAAGATGATCACATATTTGTTCCACACCAAAACAACTAATAAGGCCGTCCGACGACCAATCTCTATTATATAGTGGAAAAGTAAAAGTAAGGCTAGCCCTGATATTCTCCGTGGGATTTTAGCTATCTTTTTTCTCACTACAACACCGCAAGCTGATGGTTTGTTTTTTCGTCATATCAGACTGTGCTGGATAGCAACCTGCCGCCTCTCAAAGTCGTCCCATAGTTAGATAAATAATATTTGTTAGTAGAATTGCTCTCCCAGAGCAGTCTATTTATCCCAGATAATTGACTATGAGTGATAGGGATGGCTGTATTGGCCCCCGGCTTTATTAAAAAGAGATTAATTCTATCCCGCTAATAAAATACCTGCTGGAACTTTTCGTTAATGCAAATTTCTTCTTTAATAAGATTACCAACTATCTTTCTCCATTTAATTAAAAGTGCTAGTTAAACATTGGGCTATCGCTGATTAACTAGATCTTTATATCATCTTGTAATTTTCTCCATAATTCAGACCATGCAGTCTCTCTGTCAAAGGTTGAACCCAATGTATTGCTCAGGCATGGCCTTCGCTCCTATATAGGGTGCTAGATGTGACTGATCTCCGATCAGTCGTCTTGTACCTTTTTATATGGTCAGGTGGTTTTATCTCTACTATTATCACACTCTCTTACTATTGTCAACAGGCAATTGGTATTAGGAGTTAGTACCCAATCTAGCTCTTTACGGGAAAACTGGTATAGTACAGCAAAGCCTTGTAAAGCTGATATAATTAGTATCTATATATTATTTAGTATATTCATAAATACTTACTTGTACCAATGCAGCTCTGGAAATGGCACTTTTCAGCGACGGATAGAAAGCCGAACTTACATATATATTTCAGCTTAACTAAAATTCACATCTACGGCGCGTTATGTGATTCTTGTTGGCATTATACTGGCAGTAAGTACTTTTGCTCAGGAGTTATATTCTATGCTTTTTAAATATTAGATTTTGATATATAGTTGTGGGAGATATATACTGTGGGCGAAGTCACCTTATATCCAGCTCTTCGCAGAAGGGACAGGGGAGGGAACAATAGTACTACTCTACAGGTCACACAAAATCCCAGAATTACCCATCATAGTCAGCTAAGCTGGGCAGACACTAAGAAGTTGCAACTTAGTACGCCACACTGGAGATATGCAAAGGAAGGTGTGCTTGGAAAAGAATAAGCTGCCGCAGCGACTAAGTTCTCCATTTGGTCATCTAACACCACCGTTCCGTTTTGGACTCATGCACCTCGAATATGGCTTAGGGGCGAAAGCTAGCTACATGCCGACTCATCTGTACGCCCTTTTTAAATCCGAGACTTATCATCGTTTGATCGCACGCTTTCGATTCGGCACTATCGATATTTCTGCCGATGGTGGTCCTGACGACCCGCCATTTTCAATTACGTCCATCCAATGCTGGGGTCAGCCAGCGGGAGTCGCGACTCCCGTAAGCCGAGAAGCTCGCACAAGGTTAACTCTGCAAGTTTCTTTATCATGGCCGCCTCATCAATATCTGCGCCCTCACCCATCTGCTTCTGTGCTTCAGTAAAGAGTGGCTTCAAATAGGCCCTAAATCTAATGCTATTGATGGGAGTGCCATGGCGGCATTTCGGCCCTTAAGATACCATCAATAGTACTTGCCTGAGACAGTATTCAAACGGACAGTGCGCAGATCATCATTGCTAGTAAAAAACATCAATATCAGTGCTATTCAGTCCTTCCTAAAGATTATCGATCAAGTCTTAGCGAGAATGGCTGGACTAATGATAATCTACAAGAGTCTTTGATAAGCATACAAGATCTCGCACTGTTGGTCAATATCAATTGCTTATCTTAGATGGCCACAGAAGCCAGGCGAATGCTATTTTTAACCAGCATTGTCCAGAGCAGGCAATTATTTCACTTTATATGCCTCCTCATTCATCCCATCTTCTTCAACTTCTCGATGTTGGCTGTTTTCGACCTTTAAAGCACTTCTGTGATATAAAAGTGCAAGAAATGATGAATAGTTGTATTAAAACGATTGATAAGATAGATCTTCTATCTGTCTTTTCCGTCGTCACCCATAGTTACTCCGAGAAGAGTACTCCGTATCGTAGGCTAGAAACTCCTTGGTTAAGCTAGAAAAGACTCGGAGCGAACCACGAGCCTTCAGCACCGGGGTCAAATAGGAATCGATGCAGCTACCTAGGCCTATACATAGTCCCACAACCCACACCATTCTGTTTTCGTTTTTGTGTTGTAGGATATAGCTGCTGTTAAATTACCCATTTGGCTGTAGAGGATCTCTAGGGTACTATCGTAACAGACAAAGTACGTCGTATTCGGTCCAAATGTCATTACGTGCGATCTACGGCATCGTTTCTTTTCCTCGCCGTCAGTTTCAGTTGCAATGGTATGAGGTTTCTTCGCGGGCCCGGAACATCACTTCGTGTAAGGGGCTTTCGACAAACAGGACAGGTGCCTCGAGGGGTTTTCCCGGTGCTATCTGCGCGTTGCTCTTCACTGAATTTTAACGTGTCGATGATACACTTATGGCAAAAGAGGTGTCCTTAAGTAGAGTCAGTCTACTTCCCTGGAACATTGTACTACGATACATACCACATGCAGTGCTGGTCGCATCAACCGGTGTGTCCATGCAGACGGGGCATTTATATGCAGTTAAAACTGATCGCCCTCTCTCGTCATCCACCGTGTGTTGAGCCCTGATTGCATCTTCTCGCTGCTTTGCTAGAGTTCTCGAAAGCGACGACGACTCGTCCACCGTGGTCAAGTCGATGGAGGCGTAGAGTTCATTCTCACCATCGTCTCCAGGATCCAACTCTGAGGGCACAGATACTGCACCAAAGTCTGAGTGACTTAATCGGCGGCGTTTTCTCCCATGCGAAGTAGAAGCTGAAGGCCCAACCGGCGAGTAGCTACCCGAAGGTTGATCATCGGGGTAGGAGGAGTAGTAGTCAAAAAGACCCGAGGCGTAATTACTGGGATTCATGGTTAGGGAACGCGAGGGACGTAGACAAGTGAGACCATCGAGGACAAGACAAAAATCACATATGATGCCAGAGGAAGCTAAGAGTCGACATTTTGCCGAAGCCACGCTCTTTCTTCCTTTTCCTTGTCCTTGCAATGAGAAGGAGAGGCTCGTGACCTCACCTGATGATAGATAATTAGCGAGGGGTTGGCCTATCTAAGAAGGCGGTGAGTATATCACGGAACATCGCTAATTCCGCCTCCGGGCTTCATGACGCCGAAATGCCGTGATAGGAAGCCGGCTCGATCGATTCGCAGTTCCCTGCAACTGTCACGGTATCATGGGATGAATTGCCTTGATCTCTCGTTTTTCCCCCTCGCACCAAAATGCTGTGGAGTCACTCCTGTGCTCCCTATTCCAGGGGTTTGATCCATTCATGCTCGCAGAGATTGCGCTCGCCACCGGTTACCTGTCCGCGACCTTTGCGACTGTTAACGAGATATTATGCTACCCAGACTAATGCTCCCAGTGCTGATGAAGTACTACGGCAAAGATCTCTATCTGGTAATTTCAATCTCCGTTTCAAGTGATAGGGAAACCGGCGCAGATGCTAATGTCGTAGTTCCCGCGAAGTCTAGGTTCAATGAAATCGGAGTCCAACAACTGAGCGATCATGTTTATTCCCAAGTCTTCCCCTTTAAGGCGACGCCCCCGAATCCAAACTTGGTTTCGCTATCAAAGGACCACCTTGCGCGACATGATCTGCTTGGAAAATCCCAAGAGGCAGCAGAACCGGTTGCATTTGACTTGCCGAAGCTCCAAGGGCAGACATTAGACGAACATTTTTACAAGCTGGGAATGGATTCGTCGGAGCCTTATCTAACATATTCAAAAGACTACACCTTGGTCAGTTCGCCGTATATGCCGCGCAAATGGGTCAAACGCAGTGGATGGACGAAATACAACAATGACGGCTCTTCGGAAGCAGTGGATGCGCCGAATGAGGCGATGCTGACATTCGACACAGAGGTCATGTGGAAGGAACACTCATTTGCCGTAATGGCCTGCGCTGTCAGTCCGACAGCTTGGTATGCCTGGATATCACCTTGGCTCCTGGGCGAGTCGGAGAATGAAGTCCAACTCATTCCCCTGGGTGATCCGTCGCAGCCAAGGATTGTTGTTGGACATAATGTCGGTTACGATCGTGCGCGTGTTCTTGAAGAATATGATATGAAACAGAGCCGAAATTTCTTTATCGATACGATGTCGCTCCATGTGGCTGTGAACGGAATGTGTTCGCAACAGAGGCCCACTTGGATGCGACACAAGAAGAACAAAGACCTCCGGGACAGGATTGCAAATGAGAACAATTCACTTGAGATTGCAGCATTGCTTGAAAGCAAATCGCTCAGCGAGGAGGAGGAGGAACTATGGGTGGGAAGGAGCTCGGTTAATTCCCTCCGTGATGTCGCTAAATTCCATTGCGATGTGACAATTGACAAGGCGCAGCGGGACGACTTCGGTGAGCTTAGTAGGGAAGATATCGAGGGAAAATTACAGGAACTTCTCGATTACTGTGCTGCTGATGTCGCTGTTACTCACCGTGTGTACAAAAAGGTGTTCCCGAACTTCCTTGAAGTCTGCCCGCATCCAGTCAGCTTTGGGGCTCTCCGACATCTTTCCTCTGTCATCCTGCCTGTCAACCAGACATGGGAGGAATACATTACCAACACGGAAGCGACTTACCATGGGCGTCTTGAGGATGTGCAGCGAAGACTGGTTGAACTGTGCGAGGAAGCTTTAAAAGCCAAGGACAAACCGGAAGTATACATGAAAGATCCCTGGCTACGACAACTGGACTGGTCTGGCCAGGAAATCAAAATGGTCAAGGGCAAGAGGAAGGGCGATCCACCCCGACCGGTTGCAAGACAAAAGAAGCCCGGCATGCCACAATGGTACAAAGATCTCTTCTCCAGCAACAAGGCAGATATCAACCTTACAGTACGGACACGGATTGCGCCCATTCTTCTCAAGCTCTCGTGGGATGGGTATCCCCTAACATGGTCGGACAAGTACGGATGGACGTTTAAGGTTCCCCGCGAGCATATTAGTAAATTTGAGAACCAGCCCGTCGTTCTTTGCAATATGGCAGAAGAGAAGAGCCTCGAATTACAGAATGACAGGAAGAACGTATATTACAAACTTCCACATAAGGACGGACCAGAAGCCCGGTGTGTCAACCCCCTGGCTAAAGGGTATTCACAGTACTTTGAGCGTGGAACCCTTACCTCGCAATATGCCCTTGCGAAGGAAGCTTTGGATATGAACGCTTCATGCTCCTACTGGATCAGTGCTCGCGACCGGATTATGAGCCAGATGGTTGTCTACGAGGACGAAGTGCGGGGATCCAGCTCGAAGAAAGATACCGGGAACAGGATAGGATTTATCCTACCGCAAATCATTCCCATGGGCACCATCACTCGACGAGCCGTGGAAAACACCTGGCTTACAGCAAGCAACGCCAAAGAGAACCGCGTTGGATCCGAGCTAAAGGCCATGATCAAAGCCCCCCCTGGATACGTTTTTGTTGGTGCCGATGTGGATTCGCAGGAACTGTGGATTGCCAGCCTCATTGGCGATGCTCAGTTCCAAATCCATGGCGGAAATGCAATTGGTTTCATGACTCTAGAAGGATCGAAAGCCGCGGGAACTGACATGCATTCACGAACGGCCCAGATCTTGGGCATATCCCGCAACGACGCGAAGGTGTTTAACTATGGCCGTATATATGGCGCGGGAGTCAAGTTTGCTGCCACATTACTACGTCAATTCAACCCTTCGATGACAGAGAAACAAACTCAGGAGGTTGCGAGCAGCCTGTATAAAGAGACCAAGGGCACTCGCACCAGCCGTCGCCTCTTAAGTGACCGTCCTTTCTGGCGTGGGGGGACTGAATCCTTTGTCTTCAATAAACTCGAAGAGTTTGCCGAGCAGGAAAGACCCAAAACTCCGGCATTGGGAGCGGGCATTACGGAAGCCTTGATGCGACGCTTTATCAACAAGGGCAGTTTCATGACATCTCGGATCAACTGGGCAATACAGTCATCCGGCGTCGACTATCTCCATCTCCTCATAGTCTCCATGGACTATCTGATCCGGCTCTATAACATCGGTGCTCGCTTGGCGATTACAGTCCATGATGAGATCCGATACCTTGTCAAGGAAGAGGACAAGTACCGTGCGGCTTTGGCTTTGCAGATAGCAAATGTTTGGACCCGTGCGATGTTCTCACAAGAGGTTGGTATCAACGATCTTCCTCAGGCTTGCGCCTACTTTTCGGCGGTCGATATCGATCATGTTCTCCGAAAGGAAGTAGACATGGATTGCGTGACTCCATCCCATCCCCACAAAATCCCCCACGGCGAGACCCTTGACATTATCCAGCTCCTGAACAAGAACCAGGAGGCTTTTCTAGATCCTTCTATCAAGCCGCTATCACCGCCGTCTCCCCAGAACTATCCCTATACTCCACGGAAGTCCGTGATGTCCTCACTGCAAACGTCAAAGGATCCCGCGTTCATCCGAGCCCAGATCACAAGAGATGACAGGGAACTTCGGGAAATCATTAAGGAGGTTTCCAAAGCTAAACTCACCGCCAAACAGCCAGCAACTACTTCCAAGGCTCGCACGAAGTCAGCCAATTCTCCATCCGCACAACCTCAGAAAGCCGTCCTGGTTGACGTAGGCTCTGGCCTGTACCGTGATTTCCAGAACCTGCCCCAGGGGGGCCGGCCTCCCAATACAGTTGGCTTTAGTCGTCAAAATTGGAAACCCAGGGCGTCAGCGTGAGCATGGTATTGGTCCTGGCGACTTCCATGCCACTTCTTCTCTCTTTCCTTTCTCTTTATTTCGCTCTGTACATATAGCATTGATCTGTCTACAGTGATCTGATCTTGGTAAGCGTTTTTCCATCATTTGCTGGCTTCTTTTTCCTTTTACCTCTTTGTTATTTAACAGTGGTTTGTGAAGCATTGGGACGGCGTCATATTGGCTGATAGGAGTGGTATGAACTATCTCATATTGGAATGTGACTTGTTCGTATGATTGGCATGTTGACGCATGATGTAATATTAAATATGAAGAGTCAATTATAGAAGTGTGTACTCCGTAGCTACCAACGTTATCCCACCTGGTGAAGTCTACGATGTCAATCGCCCAAAAATAAATAATAAAAGAGAACGATTAGTATAGTATGTAGTGACGCATGACGAATACGACATCAACCTGAGGGAACTCGTCTTTTCTGTCCAGGATCCAAGGTATTCCTGCGACTCAAGGCATTCCCATCAGCTCCGCGAAGCATGGCATCACCTTTTTTTCCCAGCACGACTTCCAATGCCTGCACGAGCGCGGTGGAGTCGTACTTCATGCCGACAGGGGTCTCAGACCCATCCGGGGCGATGGCTACGATCTTCCGACCGTAGAGGCGGAGAGTTTCGATGCCCATCTCGGCGAGACGGTCGCGATCCACGCAGGGGGTACCGGGGCCTTCTAGGTGTAGGACATGAGTGACGTAGGAGGAGTAGGGAGCATCAGGATAGATGGGAGAGGAGGAGGGATGGTCATGATGCTCGGGGAAGTAGAGTTTCTGTCGACCGCGACTTTCCTCCCCGGCGCGAGTGATCGCCGCGACGAACTCTACGGCAGTGAAGGGTTCGGAAGGGGGACCAGTTTCGCGATCCAGGGACCCGTTCAAGATGAGGATTTTGTGGCGAGCCGGACTGGTGACGATAGATTGTCCGACGCCGCGGAGGATTAGTGAGGGGATGATGGAAGTGTAGAGGGAGCCGATGCTGTAGATGATGGCTTGCGCGTCGTGTAGTGCTTCAAGGACGCGCGGATTGGCTGGGGGTCGGATCTCTTGGCCGTAGGGGTTAATATACCAGATCCGGGTGATGCGCGAGGGGAGATCCTCATTCTCGGTCTTGGAGAATTGGATATTCTTGTTGCGCAGCGTGGGTAGTGACCCGGGCATGTGGTCATCTTCGTAGGAGATTGAATCCGAGACATCGGGCGGCTCGATGTCTTCGGCTCCATCGGCGAGAAGCAGACTGGGCCGTCGGGATCCTGGTCGCGGCTGCAGGGCAGTTGCTTCGCTAGGGTGGGAAATGCTGTTTTGGCCGACGATGACGGTGTCGTCTGCCAGGGAGGCCGAGATGTGATGGGAAAAATTGGAGTTGATAGCAGGGATCACGCGCACGACGTCCGAAGGGACACCACAGATACTGCTCAAGAGGTAAATTGCACTCTCGAAACTGCCGCTGAACAGGCGGGCCCCGGTCAGAAATAGATTGCCGACACTGGCGGAGGTGAAGTCAAATGTGGACGAGGGCGGCCTGGCGCGTTTCAAGATTTCCAGGTTCAGCAGGTTGAAGAATGAGCGGATCAGCTCCTTCTTCGCGGGCGTTATGCACCGCCACAGATCGGAGGTGCCATCGACAATTGACTGCCACTCCGCCGAGGCTGCAGCAGCGTGGGGGGGCAGGCGATGATTGACAAGAGTCTTGATGGCGGCCCGTTCAGAATTCGGCGATGACTCGGGAATTAGACGGACCAATCGACCTGGAGAGAGAGAGAGTAAGTATAAACTGAGCACGTGAGATAGAGAAGAACGACTAGAGAGGTGTACTTCGCACGTCACCAATCCCAGGGCCCCCAAAGATCCGGATCAGCTCCGAGGACGAGCCTCCATTGTCACTGATGGGGATGATGTAGCTAAGCAGACAGTTTTTGCTCTCACGCACAGCGCTGAACACATCGACCAGATTGTTCGCCGCACTTCCTCCCGAGAAAACCACAAGGCCGCGGTTGGGAGTGGGCGTAGAGGTCATGCTCAATCAAGATGGGACGGTGTATAGATAACTGGTCTTTTTCTATCTTTATGGGGATTTCGGGCGAGATTCCATGGAACTCGACAGCGCACAATCCACTCGTCGTGACTGAATATCATGCAACGGCGAGGTTTCAGAGATAGATTCGAATGAAAGCGAAGAAGGCGACGAAGGAGACAATGATGATGATGATGATGGAGAAGAAGAGAAGAAGAGAGGCGGAAAAGGCAAAAAAAGGCGCTGGCGGAGTATCCCGATTAGGAAGTAACCTCCACCCTACGAGATTCTTCTCTATAGGCAATAATACGGAGACATATTCAAAGTTCGGAATAATATCAACACTAGACCCCCACTAAGACTGGCTATCCATCTATCTATCCATCTATCTATCCATCCATCTATCCATCTGTCTACACCTCCTTGCTCCTTCAAGCGTATGCGGCCCAGCCTAAGACAAGTTAACTTGAATTCTATCACACAAGGTCCATGGGATCGCATTCAACCTACCGCAGTAGAGAACTGCCAGGTTCTTGTCATCCGTCGCTTGCTGGATAAGTTCGTTGACGGTCGCAGTGACGCTTAATGTTTTGCTCAGCTTCTTCGCTACAACCGTCAAGGCACGGTCAGCTTCACTCGGTTCGTTGGTGGACCGTTGGTCCGCCGCCCCAGGAAGCACAGGAGCCCCTTCTGAATCTGGGGCGTCCTGCATCTTCTTCATCCGTAGAGGAGATACAGTCCAGCTGTACAGCGGATCGTACCGGAGAACGTCAAGAATGGTCATAATACTGTACGACTCCTGGCGGAGTGCCTCCAGCGTGAACTCGCAGCAGCGACGGAAGACTCCCTCGGTCTTGGTGATCCCCATCCCATCAACCAGGTCCCGTGTCAACCGGAATGGAACAACTTCAGGAACAGGCAAGACCCGGCCTTGTTCGAACGCCACCCCCAGGTCGATATGCACGACCTCACCGGTTCGTTCGTCAAGGAGAATGTTGTGACCGTGCCGATCTCCCAGGCCGAGTACATGGCCCAGGATAGAAATCGCCGCAGTGCTGCGGGTGTACGAGAGTCGTTTGGCGAACCAGTCGTCCGGGTTGTTGAACTTCTCCATGAAGAAGAACCTCATTACGGGGTGAAAGTGGTCCGTCACCTGGCGGTACGTCCTCACGCGTTGTTCAAACGACCGTGTCTGGACATCACTGATGTGCTTTCGGCATACATTCGGTTTCATATCCTTCGGGAAATACTTCTGGTGTGCTGGCATCAAGTAATCATGCAACGGAACCGTGTGGGGAACGAATTCAATGATGCCTGCATTCGACGTCAGAGGGAGGACCTTGTACGTGCGAATCCCCAGGTTTCGCTGTCGAGTTGTCTGGTGGTCTTTGAGAAGGCTGCTAACTTGCTCAAATACTTGTTCCATAATAGCGTCCTGGCGCAGGTCGTCGTTACCTCCCTTGAACTATCCAACTCAGTCAGTCAGCCCATCAGATATCTACAAGGGTGAGAAAGGTATGAAGCCTTACCAGCTGTTTATAACGCTGGCCATTACTGGCATAAGCTGTGATGATTTTCGGTGCGCTAACACCAGACGCAACGGTAAACTCCGGGTTATAGCGAACCAGTTTGGGAACATCGCTGTAGTCACAATCGATGCGAATATCAATACTCATTGTAGGCGGCGGTAGCCTCTGGGACACAGCATCTTGTTCGAGGCGTTGGCCACTCGGTAGTTTCTTCAGCAGAACTTTGGCGCCGCTTTTTAGCCTTTCATCCAATCGATCAACGGCGAATCGTACGTAGCTAATGTTTGCGTTATGGACAGCAACCCATGTTGGCCCTATACGCTCGTCGTTCCTTAAGAACTCAACCAGCTTGAGAGCTGCTCGATTGCGTGATTGCGCCGACTTATCCTTGCCGCCCTTGGACTTGCTGCTCGCAAACATCTGGTACATACCATGAAACGGATGTTCCACACAGATACGAAAGATCAAGGAAAAGAGTATCTTTTGGAATTCGTCGGGGACATCCAGCAGGCGAGAACTCAGTTGATTCATCAAGCGGGCAAACTTCCTGCTTGGGACTTGATCAAGATATTTCGAAACCGCGGCGTTTGCAATATCACTGTCCAACGTAGCAAGCCACAATGCGCAGAATCTGAGGGCGTCGTCGTTGTAAGTTTCACTCTCCCTAAGGCAAAGAAGATAGTTCTCAAGGCACTGCTGGAGAAACGCCTCACGGCTTCGCCGTAAGCGCTGGTATTCACGATCATCAAGATCAAACCATTGTTTTGTTTTTGACCGATGAAATCTAAGCGTGTCCCTTTCCTTGCCTTCTGCAGCTTTCATCATGTCTTCTAGAGCTTGCACTTCTTTTTCTTTGCGGTTACGTATTTGTTCCAAGCGCCTGAAATCTTCCAGCCCATCGGGGTTTTGCAATTGTTGATCACAGAACATTGCAAAGCCATGATAGACTCGACCAGCTTCACCTCCTGCACGGCTTTTTAGTTCTTTGACTGCCGGGACTAGGTACTCTTGAATGATGGCCTCGGGCATTTCCAGACGTGCTTCTGCAACGTGGTGACCCTTTTTGGCATTGTGAGAAAGAAGTCATCAAGAAGGTACGTTAACAGGAGAGGCCAGATTATGAATAGCACTTACCAATGTTACTAGAAGCTCTGCGCGACTGATAGGTACCGCTTGCTTATGTAGATCATTCCTGTCATAGAGCTGTTGGAGCATCCGAATAGAGGCTGTCATCTCACCCTGGTCCCATAAAACATTGGCCAGATCAAATTTTGTCGCCCCTTCAATATTTATGCCGAGCGATGTGCAATGCTCGGCAAGTTTGGAGAGACAAACGGCAGATTTTAGCGAAGCTTGTGGGATGCCATGATTTCTTGTGGTTTCGAGAGACTGGCGGATGACTTTCACTTCCAGAAGCTGTGCATCATGGTCGCTTAAATTCATGGCGCATTTCAAATAGTCCTTGCATTTTATGGACGAGAAAAGAGCCTCATGACAGCTCAGTATTTCTCCCACTTCATGATCGCTGTGTATATTAGCGAGACCCTATAGCGGAGACGAAAGTGGAAGCCTACCTAGTGGTCTTTAGCCAATGACCTCTGTCAGCAATTCTTTGCCATTCGGTGCTAATATCTTCGGTAGACCTGGCATTTAGTACGTCGCCGACCTCAGTCATAATACCTAAGACTCTCATCGCCGTTCGTAAAGACATCGCCGACTGACTGGTACTGGTCAATGAGCCAAGAGTTGTCAAGAGGCTTTCATCGATAGAAGTAGACACATCCGGTAAGATTGCCGAGGTGTTGATTGTTTGAAAAGCCCTAAAGATTGTAGCAGACGGTGAGTGATTCAATGGGGAGACCGGGATATCCCATTGCCTCAGGTTAGTTGCAGCTTGAAGCATGCTGTCAAATGAGGTCGCAATCTCCTTGGTACCTCCCCCAGGAACAGCGAATATGGAATTGGCAATTCCTTGAAGGTTGGTGGAGTTAAGCGCCTTCAGTATACCAAAGCTGCTTGCGTTTCCGGACATCTGTACTTCACTATCATATTGCGCGCTTTGAAAGAGAAGGTTTTTAAACCCAGAGCTTTCGTGTTCAAGCGTTTCCATGACTGAGGCTAAGGAAAAACTTTGCTGGACGCCGTAAAAGAAGTCCGGATCGTCTATGCTCTTGAAAATCTCATGCAACTCGTCTGGCGGAGCAATGTTCTTAGCAACTGAAGAACGACGAGATGTAGATGTCGCCCGAGAAGCATGTATTTCAAAGAATAGGAGTGCCGTCTTTGGTAGTCGACACTTATTCGCAGCCGTGGATGCTCCCGCAAAATCTATAGCAAGCCATTCATCGCGCTCCACGATTGTCGACTCGTTCGGTTTTGGTTGATTCCGAAGGTATAGGATGCAATTGATAACTAGTCGTGCATGGGCAATAGTCTTATCATCGACCTTGTGTAAGGCCTGGTTGAATGCCTCAGAAATTGTTTGGCGGATTTTCCCATTCCCGTCAAGATCGGTACATAAGACATCGTGGAGCATGTACGGCAAAATATGAACTGCCAAGTCAGGAATAGTATGGAGAATGCTGCTGAGTGGCCCAATGACTGGGTCTTCGAACGCTGCTTTTGACAAGAACAGCCCTATTCTGCGAGCCCAATGCGAGATTGAAAGACCTGGATCCCATCCCATCATGCCATCATGCTCCTTCGGTTCACAGATGACAGGACACTTAAAAGGATTCCAAGTAAGAGCGTTCATCAAATTGGGAGGGATAACAATTGCAGCATCGTCATAAGTGGGTGATCGTCCAAGATTACTGACAATGAGCTGCAATGTCCGCTCGACGAGACCAACATTTAGGTGACTACTGCTCTGTAGCATGTTGCAAAGAAATTGGAGTATGCTGGCTTTTGAGTAAAAATATACACCTGACAAATGCGAAAGCTGCGATTTAAACAGAGTCCGGTCTTGTTCTCTCAATATATCATCATTGATCTTGCCGGTGGCAGCAAACTCCCGCCCAAGGACTCTGGCAGCCCATAATTTGTATTGAGTACCTGTGTTGAAATTTTGCAGGGTTTCATATAGAGCAACAATGTTTGGCGTATATTCACCTCCAACTGTGGCATGATAATAGTGAGAAGTCTCGCTGAAGTCGACACAGAGCAGTGATATGACATGATCTGATATGGGCTTGCTCAGCAAACTTTTCCTCGAGCTTCGATCGTCAAGCACATCAAGAAGCAAATCATGCTTGTTTCTGTCATTGGAATCTGGCTCGGCAGTCGAGGTTCCCTGAGAGGACTTAACCATTCGCCGAAATAATTGGCGGGTTTCAGCATTGAGCGCTGTGGAGTCGTAGGCTTCCAGATACTCCTCAAACCAGTGCAGGAAGTCTCGAATAGTTGTCAATGCGAGTGTGGACTGGCTTTCTTGTATTTTATTTGCAGGAGAGGATGCCATGAACTTTTTCAGGGACAATAATGTCGACACTACTATTCCAGCCGTGAGACCTGGGTTTTCGATCAAATAATCTTTACCCTCCTCCAATAGATACCAAAAGATCCCCAAGGTATCTTCCGCACAATATATATCGGTGAGAAATGGCCTGAGTGCATGCAGAATCATCTCAAAGGGATAATCTTTCAACATGACGGGCCCAGCCACACAAACCAAAATTCGGATCTTCCTAATGACTGAACAAGCATGGAGGGAACCAAGGGCTGGATGGATAGACTCCAACAGAGTGCGACAGACATAAGAGGCAAGCGTCGGTGTCCATATTGTCTCGAGCTCGTATCCGCTCCGCTTACAAAAAAACTCAAGCTCATCAAGAAGATAGCGTGCCCTGAAGGATGGCTGCTGATTCGCAGGAAGGACAATCTTGGAGGCACTCTTGCCAGTGATATTTTTCATGGCCCTGAGAGCATCACGATAGCTTTCTCGCTTTGAGAAGGCTCTTTCTATCTGTTCATACTGGTCTAGTGATGCAAAAAATGTTGCCACTGTCTTTGCAAAATGCTGATCAATCGACTCCAAAAATCTATCGGTACCTAGCATTTTCTTGATTCGATTTTCCACGCCTTGGGCCTGGCTCCCTTGCCCGGGAGGGGTGCTTATATCTCGCGCAATAGTGTACGCTTCTGCTTTGTAGAATGACTCTACTAGAAGCTCGGTCCAAGGCTTTTTCATGTACTTTGAAAGCTCGACCGTGTCACGCTCACTTGCACGCATCATCATTTGACCAACGATCTCATCCTGGACGTCACCCAGCATGCTCTCGAGATTCGCATAGCCAAATATGCTAAAAGGCATTGACGCAATTGACTCGGTTTCAGTCCAAGTGTATACGATCTGGGACGAAAACAAGCGGAAGAGCTCTTTCGGGTCCTCCAGCCCAAGTATTCTTGCAACTTGGCGCACGCATTTCTCAGCGTACCAAAGAGACTCTGGCACTTGGGCCGGGGTCTCAAACATATGATAGATGCCTCTCCGCAGTAACGTATGCCACTGGGAAGCTAACTGAGCTAAGATGAACAAACGAATGGAAATCCCTTCATACCAATCCGGATCTCGTGGGAGACTTTGCAGGACGTCATCAAAGATAGCATCGTGATCTTTTAGTGGATATTGACCAAACAGTTCTGGAACGAGATTCCCAGCGCTGAATTTCACTAGGACGTCGCCTTCATGTACGATGGTAAGGAGGCTTGTCCTCGGTGACGGGTTCGACGGTCCGCTTGTGTATGATGTATTAGATCTAAGAACACCTCCCAAGAGCTCAGTGAACCCGATAAGTACTGCAGGTGAAGCGCATCCTTTCGCTAGTAGCACGTCGGTAAACCAGGCATATATATCCGAAGCCGAGTCGCTCAAATAGTCTGTTTCACCCGACGCCCACGAGTTGACAAAACTGTGCATCATATGAATGCAAAGCAAATGAGAGTTCTCGCAGCGCTCCAGCTCATATGATTGTAAGCACTTCTCACCCATATCTTCGAGTATTCTGAGTAAAAACGCACGCTCCATTTCCGAGCACGCACGGTAGACATGAGGTAAAAATTCCCGTGCAGACAAAATGTCAACTTCGTCTAATTCTGTTAGATATTCAACCAAATCCTGGCTAGCTGAGCCGTCACTATCATCTCTAGGTGCCCGCAATTTCTGAAACAGGGAGAGCTCGATAGTCAAGCAACGCTGAAAGGTAGCAAAGTCGCGAAAAAAGGGTATGGCCTCTCTGTTCATGTTGATGATGCAAGTGGTCTCATTTGATCGATCGTCGGAGGTAAGCAATGGATCGTCCAGTTCCATAGGATCTTCCCCGTGAGAAGACAGTTTTCCCCTCTGGGTTTGGCGGTGGCCTTCGAGTACCTTGGCTAAGGGAGGAACGAGTATGCGGAGAGCTTTGAAAACAGCAGATTTAGATTCCGAAGAGCACAGTTTGGGTCCAAGAAAAGGTGATAAGAGTAGTAAGCAAGCTTGCACAAATTCTTGTTCACGAGCGCGTACAAACAAGCAAATATTTTCCCACAGGCTCTGGGTGTTCTTTTGCAAAGTTTGTAAATGCGCGACAGTTTGCTGCGGCATGCACTCAGTATACAAGGCAGCGGTAATGCAAAAGGACGCCATTATTTGCAGAACATCTACAGTTATATGCATCAACTTATCTTCCGATAATGATCGCCAATTCTGCAAAAACACCTCGGATTTCATTTGCAAAAGATCCAAAATAATCGTGTCGTTTGGCTCCTGCTGGGTGAAGGATTTCAAGCATAGCTCCTCTTCTGAGCCCCATAAATCGATATCCCTGAGAATTCCCTCCAGGTCAAATATATAATCTAGCAATTTCCTGCTTCTATGGTAAAATTGCCAGCCTTTAGCAACAAGGCCCACTGGTCCTCTGAACCGAGACATTGGTAAGACGTAAGGCCTATTAGTGCAAGCCGAAATTAAGTTCAAAAGATCCAAGGGACGTGCAAATGAAGCAACTTGCGCGGTTAGTGCCCTGTCAGTTATGGTCCCTAAATTGTCATTAGCTGACACAGTCATCTAAGTTCGCATACAACAAGGACACACCGATCGTCCAAACGTCTCGTAACCATGCACAAACCTGCTTTGATGCATTTGTCACAGATCCTGGATTTGATTGGGCAGTCGTCCGAGTTATTGCCGCCCAGAGACCCAGGGACGAGTCTGAAATCACAGAGGGCCCGTTCAAGCTGGCATATGAAAGCATTGAACCGACCGCTTCCGCACCTGCTGAATATTCTAAAAGTTCGAATTGAAGAATGCAGTTCATGAGTGCGCAGGCAGCTCTTGATGTAGTATTGGAAGTAGAAGCACGAGACGTGAGATCCCAAACTTGTCGCCAAGATGTACGCAAAGAAAGCGCGTCTGCACCGGGACTGCCTGCAATACTATTTGTACGAAGTCAGCTAGAATGTGACCAATCCTTGTCAGCAACCTCCTACCTTGCAATTGCCAACATTGTCCAGGAGGATATTGCGGCGTTATCATCGAGTACATTGGGCACTAGTCGCTTGAGCAGTAACATCCTTGATTCAATGCTGTCGTTGTGTTTGGAAAGAAAAGGTATCAGCTGTAAAGCGCACAATCTTTTAACACCCATGGATGCCGTTGAGTCACGATAGACGTCCTCTATCATCGATGTGAGACGTTGCTTTTTGCTCGAAACCTCTCCTGCATCACGAGACGAAGACAATCGTAATGTTAAGTCCTCTAGAATCTCCATCAACCTTGCAATGATCCATACTAAAGTCCAGTTGTGCTCAGATCTGGCCATTTCAAGGCGAGGACCCAATAAGAATCTCTGTCTGTGCGCATAGTTTCTTTGATAAAAAGACAGCTCATCGATCTGCAGGGTCTCCTTTTCAGGCCTTCGGGCATACTCTGAGTACAAAGTGTCCACAAGACTCTCAGTTGAACGACATACCGATTCCGATGGTTTTCTCAGAGCTGTATCCTTCAAGATAATGACACAAATCATGATAGAGACAAGTAATTCATCTTTCAAATTTGCCAGCTTTGTCGCCCACAGGTGTCGAATCACCGGAATCAAATCTACCATGAATTCCCGAACGAGCCTGGACTGGTCAAACATGACCCGCATAGCCACTGAGTTTATGCTATTAAATGCAGCCTGGTGTCCATTTCCAATGATGCTGGAAGACTTCACGTAACTCCCCAGGCTATGGAATATTCTTTCGGCTGATCCTTGCAAGGGAGCGTTGGGACTAGCGGTGAGCAGCTGAATACAAGTAAGAGCCTCACTTATTGCACTTTGGTCACTCCTGGGTTTTTCCCGAATATTTAATGCTGGTGTCGTTCTAGAAGGTGTTGAACCACTACCACTGCTAGCCAAATAGTCGTCCAAATTGGACGGACGATCGTTCCAGGAGAGATGTTCGCTTTCTTCATCCTCTAGGAGGCCTATGCTTCTAAGACAAAACCTCATGAGCTTCTCCCATTCGCTGACACCCAGATGCTCAACATGTGGGGGGTAGCTCAGAATTGTGGACAAGCATTTTGTGTAATCAACACTCAGGAGATCGAATAGATCATTTCCTGGAGTCACTAAGGTATCGGTTACATGGCCAATGATTGCCCGGACAGACTTAGTCCGCAAGTTGTACAAGAAAACATCAATAACCGTTCGTATAACGGATGCACAGATTGATAAGCGAGAAGCCGATGGCCCTTTGGAATTGGCTCGGGTATACAGTGATTTTTCAGTCGTAACGAATCGGAAAAGCGATTCAAATATTTTATGACAGGCCTTGTCATTCAGTGAGTCTCTAGAGAGCAAGTGCATGTCAGCTTCCACAGACTAGAGTCACCTTGTGTAAACAGCAACCAAATCCCACATACAATTTGGAGTTCCGTTTATTCTGCTGGAAAATATGTTTCAAATCTATCCAGTGTCAGTGAAGACCTTCGAAAGCTATATTCTGTACATTCGCCTACCAGCTAATCCATCTGAGCGCTCTCTTTGCTTCTCAGAAGATAGAAGCACGAGCGCTCTGTCCAGGGTAACTTCCCCCATAGCGGCGCTGCAAAGTAATTAGTACACAGACTTAGGCATTATTAGCCTCCCATCACTATAAAAGCTTTAAAAGCCCTCATTCTTGGCCGCAAAGCCGTAGGATCACAACATCAGTAATTATGCGAGCTTCACCAGATATAATCCTCAATCGTGGCCGCAATACTAGTTGATAGGTCAAAAGGTGGTTAACCCTATGATACGCGGTGGAAAGGAACGGATGGGTCTGGCAGTGCGGCTTTAGGCTCGGCGCTGGTGAGAAAGGTTCGCCGCTTTAAGGCCGGAATTTTGATCGCGTCCTCCGACATTTTTTGGTCTGGGACAAACATATGCTTCGTCTCTTCTTCTTCCACGGTACCTCACGCCAACTTACAGACGATCTTTGAGCATGGAAGATCAAGATACCCTGGCAGGCCTTCGGGGTCTGTACCAGGATCTTTCTGCACTTTCGAATTCGTCTTTCGTAAACATTGAGCGTCTCCGTATTGAGCTGGAGGCTCATATTCAAGATTTCAGGAAACTCCTGGACAAGCCCACGAAAAACAATGCCAGTCGCCAAGCTGTTCTTTCAGGTACGCATATCCGAGTTTCTGATTCCTCCGAACGACATACCTGGTTGCTATTGTGCGGAGGTAAGTCGCTAATCTGGTTTGCGACATAATCTAGGAAAAATCACCGTGGACGAAATCCAATACTCGATCAACGAAGAATTTCAACAAGGAGCACTACAGCTGGCCGATGCCCTGAATATCGATGAGCTGGAGGCAGCAGTGTTATTTTTAAATGCCCAGGAGGATGCTCAATCGTTGGATAGGTCCCCTCTCATCGCTGCGATCATGCGGTTCCACGAGCGTCGGCATTTCTTGCTCGAATCCCTGCGACTTATCTTCCAGGAATCCTTCGAGGTAGAACGCGAAACTGATCAAGTACTTATGCAGGAAATTTTGGCCTTCGTTGTTGAAATAAAGGACGGTCCATTGCGAAACGCATCGTTATTTACACGGAAGTGCATGACGTCGATGGAAGATATTGAGAAATGGCTTTCACTACTTAGCGAGCAAATTCAGAAAGTGTCCATCGTTGGCCAATCTGAAGACTTAGATATAATGGAGGCTATAGAGTACCAGCGCAGCAGCTTGCAGCAACAGCATGAATCGCTGGGAGCAATTCTGTGCTACCTATTCAAGGGCCCGTATACTAGTCCCGAGGATCTCCGAATACTTCTAAACCGCCTACGGAGGCTGGATCGATTTGATGGATTGCTTGTTCATTACATTCCATCTGTTGTCTCCTCATTTGTTCAACATGGATCGCCTGAAAGGTCTGGTTCTTACAAAGAGGCTCGAAGCCTACATACAGCTATAACATCCTCCAAGGACGGTCAGCCATGGCTGCTTCCAACTTTCCATTCATCAGTTATTGCTCTCTGGCTCGCAGTATACAGTGGGTGGGACTTTGATGGCCCGTCTTCACCGATTCCAGGTGTCGACTTTGGGAAAGAAGCTGAGGAGAGGACAAAAATGTTCATGTCTGCGCTCGATGATGGGGCATTGGACTTTATGCTCGCTATCTGCTCTGGAGTTAATGATGAAGAATGGGCTGACCCAGCTCGTAGTGAATTGGTCGCCTTACTACTGAAGGAGAGCGCATCTTCGTTTCTCGAAGACTCTTGTTCCGGATATTTCAAAACTTTGCTAATGGGAAATTATGAGGTGTTCGCAGAGTCATGTATTGCAAATATGCCAGATGCAGTTAGGATGCTCAAGTCGGAAGAGGACTCGCAGAGATTAGACCAGATTACCGCACTTCGAGATGGCCTGACTTCAAGCCTCCACCGTGGCCTTGTGGAGGCTCGAACGCATCTCGAGACCTTTCTCGTGATAATGGCTTTTTCCTTTGAACACCGACCAGATGCTGCACAGGAATTCTGGGCTGATCCGGACGGGAATTTGTATGGCTTCCTTCAGTGGGCGTCAAAAAGACAGACTGTTCCCCGGGTCAGCGCGTTTTGTGAGTTGATGTTTTCTATATCGGGAGGAGAAGACAACGCCGCTGCAGCATACCGGTTTCTCTCCGAAGAAGACAAATTCGTGGCTTCTAAATTCAAGCGATCCACTTCGATGAATTGGTCACAAATGTTTGCTGAGCTGCAACTCTATGCAACAAGGGTCACTGAGAAGCCACCTTCTGCCTCGCACGCTATACTACGTGCCAGGAAGTCCGAACCGTCTGACATGAGTGAGCCAGAGAGCCCTGTTATGTTGACATGCTATTTGCGATTGATCGGACATTTATGTAGAGAAAGTGCCACTATCAGGGAATGGATGCTGCACCACCCGACGTTTAGCATCGTCACCACATTATTGACGTTGTCCAGTGGGCCCATACCAACCCATCTGAGAGCAACCGTATTCACTACACTTTCAGCATTGATGACTGGGCGGACATCTTTCAATGGGAACGAGATGTGGCTTTCTATCGATCAGTGGATTTCTGGCGGATCAATGAGTACTTCAGGTCTTGGGAAAGTTCCTTTAGCCTCAAACCCACTTGTGTGGCATGAGCAACAAGCTTTCCAGAAGATTGGCGAGAGCTTCGACCAAGCCAACGCTTTTGTGGGCCTGATCTATTCCCTCGTGTCACCAACCGCCGACTTGGAAGCAAATCACCTTGCACTACCTTTTCCAGAATCCCTAGGCTCCTCCTACCGCATGCCTGGAATTGAGCCTTATATTGACTTCGTAATGGGTCAGGCCTTGTCGCGAAAAGTTCCGGACCTCAACGAGCGCCAAGTCCGCTTGTTAACTTACAACTGTTTGAATTTCGTCGTGACGTGCTTGAAGCTCTTCAACGAGAATATTGTTACCGTCCTCAGCCAGCCTCCTGCGTCTTCCGACTCCACACCCAAGACCTCATCCTTGCTGACCTATGTCCGCCTCCATCCATTTGCACGGGTTGCCGAGTGGTTGTTTAATGAAGAAGTGATAAAATCGATATTCGCAACTGCTCATCAGGATGTCACTGATGTCGCTAAAGCAGCCGGCGATTCCGTCTTGGTCCTTTCCTTGGTGAGAAGTCTCGAAGTCATGGACCTAATGATGGATCTTCAGTCTACCTACTTCAATATTGTCCGACCGCTAATCGTGTCTCAACCCGGTGGGAGCAGAAACAATGTAGCGAATTCTGCGCTCGCCGCTTTTGAGGACAATATTCTTAACAATTTGACAATCATCCCGGCCCTGTGCCTTTACTGCAGCACAGGCCATGAGCAGCTCACTGTCACGTCGATGGCACTCTTGGAGAAACTGTCCAGCTCCAAGAAGTTAAACAAAGTTTCGTCCCCTGAACTAGCCAAGTGGCGATCTTCAAATAAAATTATTGAAGTACTGAGTTCAGAAGTTGATGTCGACAGCGTTTCGCGTCCGCTTGTGTCCCAAATGCAACCTGACCTCAGAGAACTGGATTTTGGTGCAAAATCATCGGGTTACATTATTCGCGAGAGCCTGTTAGCGCTTCTAAACAGCTGCCTAGGGATGATTACAGACCAGCCAACAGTAGCACATCTTCTTCTCGGGTTCAGCAGCGTGGGAAATACACTTGACGTTCCTTCAGACGGACTTTTCTCACGAGGGGCGTCATTATTGCATGCCATTATCGGTTTTCTGCAAAGCTATCCAGATGAGGCCGATGGGAATATATTACCGTGGATGGTACATCTCAAACGTATGGCGCTGGAAGTGCTGAAACACTTATGGTCTTCAAAACTTTCGTCCTACTTCACTCTTTCTGAAATGCGTTCCTATAATTTCCTTCCTAATACACTCACAAGTCAGCCCATTGTTGGACTACACACACCGTGGGATGGATTGCCCATCGTGACCGAAGAGTTTTGGGTTTCTAATTCTACCACTGCCCTTGCGGAGTTCTTGCTGTATAGAAGCTACCTATATGGGTACGCTGCAACTGAAATCCGCTCAGCCACTAAGCTCGGTTCACCAACCCTGCAGGCGCACATTATCTCAACGTTGCTTGGAAATTCGGCCGTAGAAATCGGGGATTGTATTCCGACACCCACGGTTTTTGACCTTTTCGATTTCGTGGATTTGGATATTAGGCACCCACTTCAACCACCTGTGTTAAGGCTCCTTGACGGTATCAATGTGGACGTGTGTGCAAAACCGCGGGCGGATGATTCACTTGTTATCTACAATTTGGCTGAATTGGAAGAACTTATTCAAGTCAAGAAGGAAGATTTAGCGGCAAACGGACAGTTACGACCTCAGGATGAAGAGCACTTTGTAGCCGAGGCCGAAAATCTGACTTTATTCATCCAGTCAGTGAATCAGTTTAGGCAGATCAATTACAACCGCTATCTGGCCCTTCGGTCGTGGACAGAACTTATTACAACAATGCTCACATGTTCTGGACTCGATGGCGGGCGAAAATCGACGTTTATCCTCCATTCCATCCAGCTAATTCTCCCCAAGCTTGATGCTGCCGTGGAAGACGATACTCTCGAAGCTGTTGAATTGGCACGCCTTGCGGAGACTTTGGTTAGTGAATTGGATTCCACTGCAACAGATGGAACTCTCGCCCGGCGCAGTGGAGATGTCATTGATGAGAAACTTCATCAGCTGTTCCAGATTTGTGTCCGGGGAATCATCCTTGCCACTGGCAACACTAATCTCAGGGAGACCTTCTATAACATCTGCTCTCACTACATAGCCCGTATCATTTCTCCTGACACAGCACAGGGAAGCATGAAACAGCATAGCCAGCAAGTGATCAAAACCGCCGGGCCGGCTCTAATTGAAGCAGTATGCGATGACGCATATGCTGGTCAGGAAACCTGCCGAGTGTCAGCTCTTTTGTTATTAAATCTCTTGGCAGCCTTGGATAAGCAGGAAGACTCTACCCTGGCAGAGTTAATATCTCAATCGAATTATCTGAGCCTCTTTTTGGACGCGATCAGAACGCTCCACGTTGAACTAAAGAATACCCAAGCTAGTGGTACGTCAGTCAAAGATCATATTGAGAGTATTGCTAACAGTTATATAAGACACTCCTTTATTATTGTCGTATTATGAGTCTTTACTGTCTCTGCTTCAACAACTTTGTCAAACGAAGAATGGTTCTATACACGTTCTCGGGAATGGTCTTTTTCAAGCAGTACGCGATTCGCAGCTGTTCGCCGCTGATCCTGACCTTGGCATTGGTTCGTATTGGTCCTTCTCATGACGCGATTGACATGGTCTGACGGCGACAGATATTGATAATCCTGAAGCCCTCCGAAAATACTATGATCTCCTGCACTTAGTGCTCCGTGTCATTGTCTCGGCGGTCTTTTCCCGGGGTCTTCACAATGAGCAGATGATGGAGCAAACACGGGCGTTCCTCACGGAAAATAGGCAGAGCATGGTCGGTGTCTTCAAGCGAGTTGGCAAAATCGGCGGCAGGGGCGCTGCAGATCACCACGTTGCCCTTAGTGACGTGGCCAAGTCGTATATGGCGCTCATAGCCGCAACGGATTTCTTGGAGGTATGTAACCCCTGCAGGCAATGTTGTTCTCCCTGCATACTTACGTGATTCCCAGTTCGAGGAGAACGAAGTAGAGGAAGACCTGGGCCCCAGACTGTTCTCATAAATCCATTGGCCCAGCAATAGGGAGTATCGGAGTGCATAGTCTATGAAAATGGTGCATATGGGCATGTTTTAGTATATGAATAACAGTTGCGATTCCATCCCGAATCGCTCTTAGACCCAGTAGGGGAAATAAATTAAGCTATACTTTATTAAAAAAAATGAAAGAAAAGACAGTCCTGAATTTCAAAGAGACCCAATCCAGTGCATGGTTTCTCCATGGCTGCAGCTCGGCACCGAGACATTAGCCGAGCGACAGGCCACACATCTGCCAACCTCCCCAGGTCTTGGTCGGGTCGTCACTGGGAGCAGGAAGAAGATAGTCCATCATAAGCGTGACTAAAAGAAGAATAAGAACAGAAAACCCCAAGTTCACGATAGACATGGCATCTGGGCCGCGAGTCAGGTGCTGACCCGCGGACGTATTATCTTATCTCCGACTCACCCACGTCAACGGAACTGCAGAGAGCGTGTCGTGCGAATTGCCTGCCATCATCCATCTATCTGCGGCTTCCTATCACAACACTCCGTCACCGCTGGACAAATCTCCCAAGTGAATCTGCCATGAGCTGTTTATCTTCAGCGCTTCCTGGTGCTTTTCAACGCTGAGCGCTCGTCTTCACCATCCTTGTCTGGAGCAGAGCCGAGTCGATGCAGCATCACTCTAGAGGCACCACCGAGCAGAGGAGCGGCAAGCGCAAGGCGACCGGTAAGAGGAAGCTTTCGGATCAGGAGGAGGCCTCACGGCACCCTCAAAACCAGCAGGCGTCCATCTCGGAGCTCCTCTCCAGGAATCATACCACCTACGGCAAAGAGCATCCGCAGAACTCTACCGCGACGAACAAACGTCCCCGGCTATCGCCCTCCCCATCGGGTCTGCTCCCTGGATCGTGTCCGCAAACTCCCTCGTCATCTGACAGAATGTACAATTTCTCGAACCAAGAAAACAAGGCGAGTGGGTTGTTCGGACAGAGCATGTCCGGCTCTTGTCACCTCAGTGCGGCGGCCAAATCTCGTCCTCCCAATATAGCATCATCGCGTCAGAGCAACTTCACTCCTCATACGGGTGCAAAGAAACTTGTAGTAAAAAATCTCCGAACGGGTTCTCGGTTCAATCAGGATTCCTACTTTGAGAAGGTCTGGAGTCAGCTTGATGCAGCGCTGGCCGCGATCTTCAACGGTGGCAAGCCTGAGGTCTCGCTAGAGGAACTTTACAAAGGGGCAGAAAACGTGTGTCGTCAAGGACGGGCTGCCCATTTAGCCAAGCGACTACAGGACCAGTGTCGGGAACATGTTTCTGGAAAACTACGCGACATACTGGTGGCAAAAGCTGAAGGTGGCAGTAATATTGACGCAGTACGAGCTGTAGTTGAATCATGGGCAGCATGGAAGTCAAAGCTGGTATGTAACGGCTACGTGAAGACTCTTCATTATCTTCCAGGGCTGACTCTCTTTCAGGTTACCGTTCGTTGGATCTTCTACTATCTTGACCAGTCGTTTCTTCTCCATTCGAAAGAATATCCCGTCATCCGTGAAATGGGTCTTATCCAGTTCCGAAATCACATATACTCCGACCCAAGGCTAAAGTCAAAGATTTCACAAGGCACCTGTGATTTAGTTAGGGCAGATCGCGATGGGAACACTAACATAATAGCGGATTCCTCTTTACTTCGCAATGCTATCGAACTATTTCATAGTCTCGATGTCTATACCGACAGCTTTGAGCCTCTCCTTGTTTCCGAATCAAAGAAGTACTTCACGTCATGGGTTCAACGAGAAGCGCCGGGGTATCTTGCCACATTTGCAGAGAATAGCCACAGCTTGATTGAGCGAGAGGTAAACAGGTGTGAATTGTTTACTCTGAACCGAAGCACCAGGCAAAAATTGTCTGAGCTTCTCGATCGAATCTTAGTGGCGGATCAACAGACTGTTCTACTCAACCAGCCCGACGTTCTTGGCCTGCTACGCACAGGGAATAATGTTGCCCTGGAGAAGCTCTATTCACTTCTCGAACGAAAAGATCTCGGTGCGAAGTTGAAGTCAGCATTCAGCACCTACGTTATCGAAGAGGGCTCTTCGATTGTTTTCGACGAAGAGAGAGAGGCGGAGATGGTAGCCCGCTTGCTAGAGTTTAAACAGCAGTTAGATGAGACTTGGGCCATTTCTTTCCATCAAAATGAGGAGCTAGGTCATACCCTCCGCGAATCTTTCGAGAATTTTATGAACAAGGGTAAGAAGTCTGAGGCGACTGGAGGAACTGACAATCCTAAAACCGGCGAGATGATTGCCAAGTACGTGGACCGGCTACTCAAGGGTGGATGGAAATTAGCTCCCGCACGAACGGCGGGGGACATGCCTCTTGCAGACGAGGATGCGGAGATCAATCGACAGTTAGACCAAGTGCTAAACCTATTCCGATTCGTTCACGGAAAGGCGGTCTTTGAAGCGTTTTACAAGAATGATCTTGCTCGACGGCTACTGATGGGCAGGAGCGCCAGTGATGATGCTGAGAAGAGCATGCTTTCACGACTCAAAACAGGTTTGTGTTATTATGCCACTAGTCATGTTAGGAAGCAGAGACGGAGGCTGACCTGGCGATTCAGAATGCGGATCCGGTTTCACTCACAATTTGGAGTCTATGTTCAAGGATATGGATGTCGCTCGGGATGAGATGGCAGCGTATAGCTCTATTCAGCGAGAACGTAAACAACGATTACCGGTAGACCTCAGTGTCAGCGTACTGTCAGCCGCCGCCTGGCCAACATACCCGGATGTTCAGGTGCGGATACCGCCGGAGATCGCAACAGCTACCAGCGACTTTGAGAAGTTTTACTACAGCAAATATAATGGGCGGAAGCTTAACTGGAAGCACCAGTTGGCACATTGCCAGCTGCGGGCCAGGTTTCCAAAAGGAGACAAGGAATTGGTAGTCAGCTCATTCCAGGCGATTGTACTGCTGCTGTTTAACGAACTCCCCGATGGCGGAACGCTCAGTTATTCTCAGATTCAGGAGGGAACGAAATTAAGTCAGCTTTCCTCCTTCGCATGATTGGTTTGGTCTGTTACTGATTGAGCCCTCTCTACAAATAGCCGACAAGGAGCTCCAACGGACTCTTCAATCGCTGGCATGCGCCAAGTACCGAGTACTCAGCAAGAAGCCCAAGAGCCGAGAAGTTAGCGCCACGGACGAATTCTCGTACAATGCTGGATTTTCAGACTCGAAGATGCGGATCAAGATCAACCAGATCCAGCTGAAGGAGACGAAGGAGGAGAACAAAACGACACACGAACGGGTGGCGGCCGACCGTCACTACGAGACCCAGGCGGCGATTGTGCGGATTATGAAGAGCCGCAAGACCATTACGCATGCCGAGTTAGTAGCGGAGGTGATCATGGCAACACGGAGCCGTGGGGTGCTCGAGCCCGCTGAAATTAAGAAGAACATTGAAAAGTGAGTGTTCTGGAGGATTTGGCGACGAGTTACTGACTACTTGGACCAGGTTAATTGAAAAGGACTACATGGAGCGAGAAGAGGGCAACCGGTACCAATATGTGGCATAGCGTGTGTTTATAAAGATTGGCTGTGGTAGGTATACAATAGTTCATTTGGCATGACAAGCAACCGACTGTAAGCGCGCTACGATAGATCATCGGGATTGAAGGCAGAGGTGGATTCCGGAGATGCTCTGGTCCCACCGAAGCGGCTTCCATATAGTTCTTCGGGCTATGAGTATGAGTATTATGAATGGCACTATGATTATCGGTCGTCTCTCATAATCGACCTCCTGTGAAACCCGTAGACTTTATGTCCGGATATCATGATGACGTGTTGACAGATGAATCCGCACTGGCGTAACATAACCCCGGTCATAATGGCCCATTGACCTCTCTGAACATACATAAATGATGAGATGATGTAGACTGTCTGTATCACCACTCTGGTGCAATATGTACGTAGGTAGACCAAAAGCTAGGAGATCTACACTGGTTGGGGAAGCAAATCGCAGCACTCGTCCGAGAGACGGAACTCGGCAGAGAAACGCTTCGGGAACCTGAGGCGGATTCGAACCCTCGCCGGAACAGGAAAGATCGAAATATGGGCATCCCGTTCATTCCATCCGGTAAAGGCGGAAGCTTACTTTGTAACGAAATGAAACACTCACGTGGAAGTCTCAGCTTTTTCAGGGACAGACAGAGCATATTCAGACAAGACGATGAACGTACTCCGTAGTCCGTACTCCGCTACCGTATCCACGGTAGAGTCTTGATGCAGTAAGGATTATCATGATTGTGGCCTTTCCCAAGATCTGACAGCGGAGAATCCAGCAGACGCTTATTTTTTTTTGTTAGGTCCCATGATCGGTTCTGTTGGGCCCTTGTTTATTGATTAGCTGGCACTCGCAGACGAGGCACGTCCCAGTTCCTTGGTCTCCGAATGAGTTTCTTGGTAGTGTACCACTATGGATCACGCCATTGGCAAGGGGAGATTAGGTTTGGTTCCTTCTGCCAGCACAGCTCCATGACTAGGTAATATGATAGCCATTTCGCGGCTACATATGCGGCGTACCTATAAATCATATGCAATCCTGTAGAGCACAATAGTTCCCAATAATAGCAACTAGATAGTAGGTATGTACCTATACATGCCCCATAAGACATCTCAATTGCAGCTCTGTATGAATTACGTACAATAATCACCCCAATGTGCAATGCGAAGCATTAGTTGAGCCACCCGTTCGAATTTGAGGCTATCTTTGGGATCGACATGTGGGTATTTTGGTGCTGAAGGTACGATTGAAAACGTGATCATGGAATTCTCCAGGGAGTACGCAGACAATAGTGGCGGTAAATCTTCCCTGTATGGTAAACCCTTGCGGATGCTCTTTGAATGCAAGACGAATTCGGAAGGTTTACCTTGCTACCTAGTAAATTCGATGATAGGTCCATTCTGCACCAGCTGCCTTAACATTTACAGTAGATTCCGAGGCCCATTACTCCGAGTACGACCCGGTATGCTCGATGCAATCTGGACCGAGAAATTGCCAAACAAGCGACTGCCTAGACATCCTGCCCCAGGATCCCCTATCCAAAAACAGGACATGTGAGCGGGATTCCCGCAGAGGGAAAGCCGAAGCGCCAGTCCGGGAGGTTCCAGAATGCCAGTCCAGACGCGTGGGGTTCTAGCGCGGAGTTCATTAGGCCAACACCCTGTATGTATATGTCCTTACGGTACTATTCCACCTGCCTATACGGGTGATGGGTCGTCCAGGATGTGTCCATGTGAGCAGCAGAAAATGGGGGGAGGCGGGAATAGAAAATTAAAATAACCGGATTGTCTAGATGGAGCATTTGTGCTGGTCGAGTTATGAAATAGCGATTGCAGCCTCTTGGGGGGAGGTATTTATCCCACTGCTGTTCCCCTCCCCTCTCTCTCCTAGGACCTATACATCTCTCTCTCCTGTCCTGCCCTTCTTAAAGCCATTCGGTCTCGGGTTTCCCATTCATCCATCTATCCTCTGTCTAATACCTTGATCCAGTGGCCAGCATCTCTAGAATCGAGAAATTCGTACACATACCCAACTAGATTCATAGATACCCTCTAATTGCACTCCCATCAAGCCTGGTCCACCTGTCAAATCACCGTGAGTTCCACTGGCTAATGATCATCCCCTCACTCCCTGTGATTCCCCATTTTTCTCTGCAGACAGATGCGTAATTCCAGTGAACTCTACTCCACTTTTTCCTCGCCACTGACAGACTGAAAAGCGATCATCCCAACTGCGCTATCACGATATTCGCCTATCGGCCTGGTGTAGCCGCTGCGATTTATTCCGGATATCCTCTTTCGAGCAAATTCGCCTAGAAATTGGCCCGAACCACCCTTGTTTGCTTTCAGAACGAGGGGACCTGGTCTATAAAAGGAGGGGCAATAGCATCTTGCTAAACAGATATCCTTCTGTTCTCTATCTCTCGTCCGGTTCCTACCAGTCCCTTCCGATCTTATCCACTTTGAAGACGGTGTGACTTTCAGAGCATCCAATCCGGATTCGAGCAATTTATCTATTTGCCGTAGTCATTATTACGCAATCCGTTCACAATGCAGAGTATGCTCCCTCATCTTAATTTGTTTTTGGCCCAAGTGGGGTTTTGCATTGCTATTGTCATTTGTTCCTGTTTATGAACCTTGTTTCTGTTCCTTCCTGACGATCAGACCCATATATCATCGTGATATCAGATGTTCTCCACATCCCCAGATATCTTGCTTCAGACATACGCTAATGCAGCCATTCAGCTAAACACTTCTTCTCTGACCCAAACCACCTGGTTCTTACTGCCCTACATTCTCTCACCCTCACAAACCCGTCCCTCGCTTTTGACCCCGAGAATAAGATCATTTTCCGTCGCCCCGATGCAACGACGAAATCCAAGGTCGCTATCGTCTCCGGTGGAGGCTCAGGCCATGAGCCGGCCTTTGCAGGATATGTCGGTAAAGGTCTCCTGGATGCGTCCGCGGCCGGCACTATTTTTGCTTCTCCGGCTGCGGAGCAAGTTCGCAAGGCTGCTATAGATTGTGTCGACAACGAGAAGGGCGTCCTCATCATCCCCATGAACTATACCGGTGATGTTTTGAACTTCGGTATGGCTGCGGAAAAAGCCAGAGCCGCAGGAATAAAAACCGAGTTCTTCGCCATCAACGATGACGTCGGCGTTGGCAAGAAGAAGGGTGGGAAAGTCGGGCGACGTGGTATTGGTGGTGGAATTCTGATTTTAAAGATAGTCGGTGCTTTGGCAGAGGCCGGGTAAGTTGAACTTGTATCTGCACGGTTCTTTTGGTATTGTGTGGCGCTGACGCCGACTTAGTGGATCTCTCGAAGAGGTCTATAACGCTGCTCGGTTGGCGAATGCTAACCTTGCATCTGTTGGTTCTTCCCTGGAGCATGTCCACATTCCAGGTAGGGCTATCCAGGATGACTCCGTGCCAGAAGGTGAAATTGAGGTCGGAATGGGCATCCACAATGAGCCTGGATCCCATCGAGTCAAAGCCACGCTTCCGGAGCTAGTCAAGACCATGCTCCTACAGATCTTGGATCACAATGATCCCGACCGTGCTTACCTCACGCACAAACCGGGAGATGAGTTTGTACTCCTGATCAACAACTTGGGCGCCGTCAGCACTCTGGAGCTTTCAGCTATCACAGATGAAGTCTATCGCCAACTCGAACGAGACCATAGTATCAAGCCAATCCGGGTCATTCAAGGAACATTCTTGACCAGCCTAAATGGGCTTGGCTTCAGTATATCCCTGCTGAAGCTTGCAGACACAGGGCTCGGTGCCGGGAAATCATTCTTGGAGCTCCTTGATGCTCCCGCGGAGGCAGTTGGATGGTCCGCTCCTATCCATGCATCTACCTGGGCTCGCCGTACCGATGCTCCAGTGGAACTCAAGAAAACAAAGCTTGCTGAAGAAAACCCTAGCAACCTGAAGTGTATGTTGATAGCCTTACGTGTGATAAGAAAAATACTGACCTGAAAACTGTATAGTGGATCCGGCTGTTCTCAAGAACGTGTTAGGGGCTGGTCTCAAGCGTGTCATCGATGCAGAGCCGTTGGTTACCCGTTATGACACCATTGTCGGAGACGGTGACTGTGGTGTAGGCTTGAAACGTGGCGCAGAGGCTATTCTTTCGCTCCTGCAGGACCCCTCATCTAAGATCACGGATGACGTGGTGAACGCGGTGAATCGCATTGTCACTGTTGTGGAAAACACCATGGACGGCACTTCAGGTGCTATCTATGCGATCTTCCTAAACGCTCTGGCTCACGGGCTTCGCGAACAAGATAGTGATACGCCCGCACCCGCCACTGCTGACGTCTGGTCGAAGGCACTCAGCTATTCAATCAAGGCCCTTGGAAAGTACACTCCTGCTCAGCCTGGCGACCGTACACTGATTGACGCTCTGGTCCCCTTCTGCAATACCCTCCTGGAGACTAAGGATGTCCACGCTGCGGCCAAGGCTGCGCAAAACGGTACCGAAGCGACTAAGAGTATGAAAGCCAGCTTGGGACGGTCCGTCTATGTGGGCAGCGAAGATGAATGGGTGGGCAAAGTTCCTGATCCTGGTGCTTACGGGCTCAGTGAGTTCTTGACTGGAATTGCGGAGGCTGTCTAGTCATGCACCTTTTCGGTTTTAACAGTATATAGTGCATCTGATGGTGTTTTTGCCCTTCTTTTTTATAATAACTTGATGACGATCATGATTCTTCTGGGCAGATATTTGATATCTACTTTTATTTTATTTTTATTTTCTAACTTATGGTGTTTCTATTCTTTGATTTAATAATAACCTTGGTTTTGGAATGAATAAATAATTTCCTAAGTGAAATCTACGCATGACTAGCAATGAATAGATATCCTACATCAAGAGATCGACACTTATATCCTCCGTTGTCACTCTGTAAGTGACCTTATATTTTATTATTACATTCGGTTTTAATTTCAAGTAAAATATCCATTCTCACTCATCCCATCCTATTCGATCCTTTGTCGATAACGAGTAGTCTTGGACCACTCTATCGAGGGAGACCCTAGGTGAAATTATTTGATATACGAAAATGAAACACTCTACCGCACTTTTTTTAATTTAAAATACTTGACCAGAAAACGCCAGTTTTGCCCCTTTCATAATTTAAAAGAAATATCGGATACGGATAGAATAGATCCCAAGTAAAGGGAATCAAAGACGAAGAGATGAGGTCTCTTTCTAGTTTGATAGGCGGATGAGAGGGCCCAACCAAGGAGTGATGGGTGATGAGTGACTTAGAAAGAAACCTCGGAAATCGCAGAAGAGGGTATCGATGTTCAACCGTAGATCGTCCTTCCGACTCTAAACTTCTTAACGGAGAAAAAAGGTGTCGAAGTCAAATCCAAATCCCAACAGATTTCGCACGTCACGTGCACTGGACGAGGAGGCCCCGTTCAGCTGAGCAGAACGAGGATAACAGAATCGCCACGCAAGAACCTATACGTGTAGATGGCATTATTAGAGACGGTCCTGAGGAACCCGGGGAAGAGAGTGATAGGGAGAAAAAGCTTACATCTTGCTAATGAAACGGTCCTTGTTAACGCCCTTGCCCTTACCACCCTTGGGCTTTTCTGTCCACATCTCCTTCACGTTCTCCAGCACCATGTTGCAGTGGCGGTCAAAAGCCTTGACACGCGCGAGTAGCTAGTGGGATGGTCAGCAAACAGAAGTCTCTCTGGCGAGGTGATGGACTGATGTGGATAAGCCGGATTCTCGGGAGAGGGGGGAAAGGTGTGCAGTAGATAGAGAGGAGATTCGCATACCTTACGGTTGTTTCGGCAAGAGATCAAAACCTGGGTGTGTGTGCGCGTCGCAGTTTGGAGAAGAGAGAGGGGACCGGACGTGAGCTCATGTTCCTCAACGAGAGAGACCTCATATTCACTGAGTTTGCGGGTTGATAGGTTAGCTGGTTAATGTCTGCGATGGAATGAGAGTCGCGGCAAACGTATATCCCGCAAGGCGTGTATGGTGTCATCATGTGAGACCCTCTGCCAGAGGAAATATCTTCCAGAAGGCGGGACATAGGGACGAGACACATGCAAAAAGATAAAATTGGGGGGATGGGACGTACGTGAGCTCGTTCTTGGGCTTGTTAAGCAGGTCTCTGTGGTACCAAGTTAGCATGAGATTGATCAGAGATTACGCCATGACGGACGAGATAAATGAGTCATAGGCGGCAAATAGGATGGAAGGAAAAGAGGGGTAATTACTGGATCTTGGGATCGGTAGACATGGCGGCCGAATATAAGAAGGGGACGACTGGCAGCAAGCAAGCTGTTGGCTCTTTTTCGACTTGACAGACTACGACTATTAGATCAGCTTTGTCACGGCTCTTGGAGAGTCACGTGGTGCGTGTTTGCCGTGTTTGCGAGGCGGCGCTTCCCGAGGTCACGATTGGCTGCGGTCACGTCGCGTGCGACACGCTCTTGAAGTATTACTTCCTTTTAGACATGCAAGGCGTCTTCTCTTCTTTCCTCCCAACCTCGCTCCAGCTTGCTCCTACTTCCTGACTTCCCGACTTCCCCTCGAGAGTGAAAAGTACATGTACCGTACTGCACCTCCTGCATCTCCTTCCTTTCTCTCCATCCCTCTCTTCTTCTCCTCCGACCTTCAACGCATCTCCCTTCGCTCGTCCCGACCTGGCATTCCAACTAGCTATTTCCCCGCGCGCCCTGTGGCATTACATACCGGTGCTTTCTCCCAGTCGACGCCCCCTCCGATTAGATCGGCCTGGGTGGTCGATAAGGCGAGAATCGTGCATTAGAATCGGTACCTTGCTTCGCTTCAATCTTCCTCTCTCTTTTCCTAGTCACGCTGCGGCAATTTTTCGACACCAACTCCGACCAATATTCATCCTTGAATCCTCCCACTCCCTTTTTCGACACAATTCCTATCTATCGGCTTGCATTATCTTTTTTCTAGTTTTGCTTATGGTTGATATCTCAATTTTGGTGGCATGGAATCTCAGGACGGAATTTCCGTCCGGCCCATGAGGCGTGAGTGTCTGTTTTTCCCCTTTTTACGCTAGGGAGGTGCTGACCATTGGGCTGTTAAATCTATAGTGAAGGTACTCTATACGTTTGACGATGCCAGTAAAACCAACTGCTTGGCCCGATGGCCTCACCTTCTCGACATTCAGACCGCGGCCTTGGATGAAAAAACTCAGGTTGGGGTGATCGAGTTGAAAACTTGCATTCAAGCCATTGTCTCTGCTAGGTCGGTCTCCCTTCCTTTATTTATAGATAGTATTAATACTCACTGGCACTTGCTTCCGCTACAGCCCGGAGTTGGTGGCACAACTTGGACAGGATTATACGGTATATGCCTATGACTACTCGGAATATGAGACGCCCCTCGTCGGTCAAGGAATGCTATCTTGGCTTCTTGCCTCCGCTTCTCCCACTCCGAATGCACCTGCCCACCAATCCAAGACCATGGTAACTGGTCGGGTCTGCAAAAATGGACTGGGTCTTTTCTCGAAGGGAGCACAAGAGACGTTGGAGGTCAAATTGCGGCTGGTGCCAGTTCCTACCGTCATGCAAAACGAGTACCTCGATAGTATGCAAAAATATCGGGAAATTAGCAGCCCCATATCTCGTGACTTCGACACACAAAGCTGGTCAAATTTTCTCCGTCAGAATCCCAATATGCCCCCTTCACACATTCAAGACTCGGCCCGGACAGCTTCTCCCATGGATCATTCCGGGATCGAGCGATTTCATCAACTGCTCAGCGAGGGATCCACCCCGAGGGAATTACCATCCATGCCTGCAAATGCGCCTTACCGATCAATATCACCAGCACAGTCAGCTTTAGGGCCCACTGGCAGGGTTCCCACCCCTCTGGGCCAGAACCCTTCATTCCAGCAGGACCAACACGCAGTGCAGCAAGTACAACAGGCCGATAGAATTCAAGGCGATATCATCCGTCCTTCCTCTAGTGCTTCTATGCGTGAATCGGACTTCGCTTCCGACGCACGCTACCCCAGCCGTCGGGGATCCGTTCAATCGGGCTACGCTAGCTATGATGAATCGGCGGACTCACAGCCTCGCAGACGAGCTAGGTTGTACCGAGCAGAGTGGCCTGGAAAGTCTGACCTGAATATCGAGAGGCAGCCTAGCTCCTTGCGGGTAGCGGCCAGCACCGCTGCGTCTGTTCGCATCCATCGTCCTACGCCAATCAACCCTTCCATTGCCGCTGCTCAGAACTCGAGTGAGGAGCCCGTTCGTCCCCCAACCCCTATCTCTGGTGCAAATGATCTCCCTCGCCGAGTACGACCCCCACCGAGCGCTTTGCGCGAGTCATCCGTTCAAAGCAATACTCGGTACACATCACCCTATCCTGTGAGTGATGACCAGACACCCGGGGAACATCATACACAGTCGCCGGAAGAGTCCCGGTATCAAGGTCTCTTTGAGCCTTCATTCAGCATGCCCTCGTCTCCTCCTGTCCTCGACTGTGGATTTCCCAACCGATCCAGTCCCGTTCTCCCACCTATGGCTACTGATCCCGATTCGGGTTTCATGAGTGGGGGCATAGATGAACTCCTAGACGAAGATATCGGCACCCCATTGGACGAATGTCCACCGCCAGTCTCCAACGATGTACCGAAGGAAAAACGAAATGTGCGTCCAGCAGTGCAGGCCAGGTCACCTGCTAATGTACAGGAAAATACTGAAGACCAAAATGAAAGTAGCGCTGCGAGCAGTGGATTGCCGGAGCAGCCTGTTAAAGAACTCAAAGAAAGTGCGCCTGCACCCTCTCGAGGCCCTCCCAGTGTGGCAGGTTCAAGACCATCTTCACGATCCAGCTTCAGACAGGCACCCAAGCCGCTGGCCCCTGCTCCGATTTCCCAGAGTGAGCTAGAACAGCTGATGAATGCAATTCCAGCAAGTGATCCAGTTATGTCTTCACATGGTCCCATGAGCGATTTCTCTACCGCTGAGACTCCCTCTGCGCAACGCGTGACCGAGGATGGCAAGGTACGGAGTGGAGCAGGTGCGAGACGGCTCAGACAGGTTCAGGCGCGTCTTGACAAGTGCATCCGTGACGGGCAAGCGCCCCCTTTTTGTGAAAACTGTGGCGTGATTGAAACCCCTACTTGGCGTCGGGCGTGGTCCAAGGAGATCACTGGCAGCGAGCAGGAAGCCAACGAGCTCACAAAAGATCCGACCATGTTCTTCTGGCAGGCTCTGGAGCGAGACGACCAAGAAAGGGTCACTAAATTCAAAATCTACAAGAAAAGCCTGGCTGATACCGATAACGACTTCGTTCAAATCCTTCTTTGCAATCGTAAGTGTTACTAATATGCTTCAAATTTTTTTTTTTTTTTTTTTTTTTTTTTTTTTTTTTTTTTAAATTTTTTTTTTTTTTTTTTTTTTTTTTTTTAGTTTTACTGACACTAGAATCAAGCCTGTGGACTCTGGCTTCACAAGTTCAAGTGCATGCGCCCTGAGAACAAGTGGAACAAATGTTCCAGCAACAAGAGAAAACGTCCCCCAAGGAATCGTAAGGCCGGCGGCCCGTTATCAACCAACACTACTGCGACGAGGAGCAGCAACAAAACTGAATCAGCCAAAGCGGATGCATCGTCCCCTGGTGTGTCTGATGCATCGTCACCGGCCGTCGAAGATCCCACGACACCACCCGCAGAAAATATCAACAACAAAGCCCGCAAAGACAATAGCGAGAATACCCAGGAGAATGATGACGACGTGGAAGACCTACCATCAAAACGGCGTCGAGCGAACAGCTTAGAGCCCCGGAAGTCATCAGACAACGCTGAGAACCGCTGGCAAGAGCAAGATGCGATTGAGGCGCTTCGGCGGGCTATTCAATCTAGCCCTGCCCGGAATCTTCAAAACAACAGTTCTGCAGCGGGTGAGAAATCTCTTACTCCCAAGCCTGTGCGGAGAGTACTGTTTCCTAATTCGCAAGAGGGAGTGGGGCCTTTGAAAGCTCTAGGAGATTCAGTCTTGAACAGTCCGAGACGTAGTCCTCGTATCGCGTCTCGTGAATCGGACAAGCGACCTCAGGGCAAAGAAAACAGAAGCAATGCCGACCTGGACCACCTCTTCGAGAGCCCCTCGTTCGAGTTTGATCTACCCACCAGCCCTACCCCCCGGCGACGGAATCCTCGCGCAGGTCTGATGAGTGAAAAGCGACTTTCCTTACCATACAATTCGCCGTCATCGTCTAAAGTGCGTAAGGACGTCTTGTCCCCGACTAAGCTTACTGCACAAAGATTGCAGCGCATTCAAAGCAGTCCTGGGTCAACGCCGCGCGAGGGCAAGACGCCCAAGCACACCCGCTCGCAGATGTCCGAGCTGCCCTCTTTACCCGATGATGCATTCAGCACTGAAGCGTTTGGGGCGATGGATAATATGGTGGTTGATATCTTCTCGGAGGATGCAGCTTCTGCGACGCAGGCCGACTCCCTGTTTGCGTTTGAGGCGTCCAAGTGCCCATCGAGCAGCAACTGGGCTGACTGGCTCCCGTCGGACTATGTCTCGCCGGCCGGATCAGACGAGGAGCAGAATCACGATTCTACAGACCTCATCAGCGCAATTTTGTCCGATCCCATTATGGGGAAGGAAAACATCGACGCATCTCAATTTGATATATTCGATTATGCGGACTCCAATATCTTAGATTCTGGGTTTTTCGGATCCGACTCACTCAATGCCGACCTCATGGCTCTAGGCATCAAAACCAAGCCATCGGCGGAGGAGCTGAGCAATAAAGACAAGGCGCCAAGTGCGAATAATGCTTCATGAGTTTCTTTTTTGTCGATTATTTTACGACGGGTGTCTTGGAATGTCTGTCATTGCATCATCTCATTTTACTATGTGATACCAGCGATGGCGTTTAGCGGTGGATCCGGCTATTGTCTATTGTGTTGTCATTTAGATTACCCATATTGCCTCCGGGACTTTGGTTTTATGTTAATGTCTTATGCCTATGTTTTTGATGGTAGTGGTGTGCCACCTGCGAACACTCTTTTCTTTTTCTTTAAATAGTATTATTCTTCAGTTCATGGCGAAATCCACCATGCTACGATTACCTGATATCTGAAATGGACGAATGAATGATGACTACTGGGAATGACTGTCCATTGTTATGTAGGTTTAGTAAAACAAAGGTCCATAATCGTAAAGTACGAAGTTCAATTCGATACAACAAGGATATCATAAAGCCGTGTAGTGGCAGACAATTATCTTCCAACGTACATCTCCAGTGAGGAGCATAAGAGTATCCACACGCCAAAAATAGGTATGTTCATTCATCATAAAAGATCGATTTCACCCGATGTGTCGCATCCACCAAACTTTCGTAAATTTTGTAATCTATACTCGTTAGGCCAGTAAGGTATAAACATAAATAAATAGAATGAAAATAAAAACATACCACACTTCTCCGGACTCCCCCAATCAAAGCTCCCAAGAACCCTAACACCAATTCCCTATCAAATCAATCAGCTATATCCAGAGACAATACATCAATAAAAAAACCATAAAAACATAAACACCCAATAACGCAACCAATAAATAAGCAGAGTTAAAAGAAGAAAAGGGAACAAACCCCCTCACAATCCGTAACCTTCCCAACAATCTCCACCAACTTCCCCATCTGGAGATGTGAATCGGCCTTCAGAACCAGATTCACGTCGCCATTGGTACCACATGAGAGGGTCGCAGTGTCGCCGCGGAGGGAGGTCACCGTGCCCAGGAGACGCACAGTATTTGTGGATCGAGGACCGGTGGTATTGGACGGATGGAAAGCGTGAAGATGGGCGGGGAGGACGCGGGGGGTTTGGAGCGACATTTCTTTCTTCTCTTTCTTCTTTTCTTTCGGTCTGTTAGATTTGTGTCTAGTTGGTTTTGATGATAACGTCTTGGATTTGTTTGGGTTGATTTGATTTAAGTAGGTTAGGATAGATGGTTCTGATATTCGTACTCCGAAAGTAAAAGATAGAGTCGCGCCGCGAGAGACGCGCAGTCACGTGGTTAATAATTCCAGTCAGGCGGTGCAGCGCAAAGAATGGATGATAATACGATTCAACCCACCACTACGTGGTCTACATAATATACAATAGACACCATATTTGTTTCCTATTTTTCATTCATAAATTATTCGATTAAATCCCCGATATGCCCCCCCCTCTACCTTCCTCCCATCGTGGGATGACCGCAAACCCCATCCGACCCGGCCGATATCGACCTGGAAAGCCTATCGCCGAGGAACCGTCATCCGAGGAAGAAGATGAGGAAGAATACGATGAGGAAAAAATTAAGGAAGAAGAGCGACGCAGGCAAGAACAGCAGCGACAACGGGAGAGGCAGCGGCAGTTGGCGCGATCTCGGGCGGCGCCCAAGGCGAGTTCATTTCCTGCCGGCGCTGTTACGAAATGGGTTAAGAATGTGAGCCTTGAAGAGGATGAAGATGACGATGAGGAGGGTTTTGTGACGGAAGAAGAGGAGGATAATGAAGAAGACCAACAGCAAGTGAAAGTGGCACCTCGCGTTGCTGGCGACAGTGAAGGTGCTGCGGGTAAAGTTCGAATCTCAGAACCGACTGAACGGATAGGTAAAGAGGAAGAAGACGAGGAGGAAGAGGAGGAGGAGAGTTCTGAGGAAGAAAGCAGCTCTGAGGATGAAGCTCCGCGAAGGATTATGTTACGACCTACATTTATCAAAAAGGATGAACGGAACAACGCAAAACATGTACAAGATGGACAAGGAACAGCGCCTAAAGTTGCTACAGCTTCTGCCACAGAGACTGATTCACGTCGAAAGGAAAAAGCCGATATGCTACTTCGCGATCAGCTGGAGAAGGATGCCATCGCTCGGAACACGGCGAACCGGGCTTGGGATGACGACGAGCTAGAACATGGCGAGGAAGGATCTATTGATGATAAAGATGGAGTAGACCCAGAGGGGGAGTACGCAGCTTGGAAACTCCGGGAGCTTAAGCGGATCAAGCGAGAACGCGAAGCGATCGAGACCGCCGAAAAGGAACGAGAAGAAATCGAGCGTCGCCGAAACTTGACCGCGGAGGAGCGCGAGCGCGAAGACAGCGAGTTTATTGCCAAACAGAAAGAAGAAAAGGAAGCTACTCGTGGGCAAACTGGATTTATGCAGCGTTACTTCCATAAGGGTGCCTTCTTCCGCGACGACATGGAACGTGAAGGGCTAGATCAGAGAAATATCATGGGGGCTCGATTCGCGGATGATGTTGCGCGCGAAACCTTGCCTCAGTACATGCAGATCCGTGATATGACGAAGCTTGGAAAGAAGGGACGGACACGATACAGGGATTTGAAAACAGAGGATACCGGACGCTTTGGAGATGGGTTCAACAATCGATTCCGTCGTCGCGATGGTGTTCCAGAAGGGATTACGGACGAACGATTCATTCCTGATCGCAGAGATGACCGTCCCACAGGCCCTACGGGCGCCAATGCTGGTCCAGTCCGCGAGAGACGCCGGTCGAGTTCTAGATCTTATTCTCCCCGACGAGGTCGCAGAGACCGTTATGACCGTGAACGCTTGGGAGATCAACATCGGCCTGATGATAGCAGTCGCAGGAAACGAAGCCCTTCGCCTTATGAAGACCGTGACAAGCGAAGACGGGTAGCCAGTGATACGTAAGACGCAGAAGACATGCAAATAAAACCATTCTATTCCTATCGGCGTTTCTGGGTATCTTCAAAGCATGGGTGGTTTAAGGTTATGACGCACTGCATTGAGAAACTGACGTGTCGTGGCTTTTATTTCTCCTTCCTGTATTTAATGAGGCCTTGTGGAGGTAATGAATTTATACCGGGATGCCTTCCAGTCGATAAACTGGACAGTAAATCCAAACCAGTCATCCGTTTCATATACACAATAGCCTCCAGCGCAGTATTCATGAGCCGGATCCAGCGGCCCCTTCAAACAGAGAATCGACGTAATACCGCCGCTGTAGATTGACTGCCTTGAATAGCGTCCTTTTCCAACTGGTAAGGCACCTTAACACCGAGCCAGGCCTAACTGGCACTGCAGCCTATAGATCTTCATCTATTATATGATTAGTTCCTAGAAAGAGATCCACCAGAGACATCAACTCCGTCATAAGAAAACACCGCGCAAGTCATTTAGTGGGTAAGTGAAAGTAGTTATTTCACACCGGCTCTTTCCAGCACCTTTTCTCTCTCCATGACGATCTCGCCAAAGCGTAGAAGGAAGATTGTTCTACTAGGCCACATTTCTGTCGGTTGATTGTGGGCCGTAACCTTGGCCTCGAAACCACACCCGTCACAAACGCCCTCAATAATCCCAGCCACAAAGGCGGCACAATTGAGCATGTTCATCTCCTTGGGAACACTGATATAGGTGTTGACGAGCGGGTCGTTGTCCGTGATCATGTATTCATTAGGAGTGTCAGGGGACACCGAATGTTCGAGGGCATCGGCGGACCGATTGAATAGGAGTCGCCAGAGGGGGCCGTGGATCAAATGCAGCAGGGGAAGAACGCGGAGAGGCCTATTGGGAGGCGAGGCGGAAGTCGACGAGCTGGACAGCGATGAAGAGGTAGAACTGGACATAGTACGATAGAAGAGAAGATCAAGGAGACGGAGACCCAGTGGGTACCCTTGTTCATTCAGACTGATGGATTGTCGGGTTCAGTACAACACTCCCAGTAACCATTCGACCCTCACTTACCGTTTCTCTAAATCCTGTATACCTGTTACCCGTCTCTGGGCATAGATAACCATCTCTGCGAATAGGAATGCAAAGCTCGCCCGGCTGAGTTCTGCATTGCGACTCCGGTTCAGGTGCCGGTCGTAGATAGTCTTGCGGTTCGAGGGGACACGTAATCCGGGGGTCGTTGGCGGGACGGTCTGGATCTGTTGTGAAGTCTGTTGCTTTTCTCCGACGCCAGATAGATTTGACCCGCTGTTGCTGAAGGAAAGCATCGCAGTATGTCGTGAGGATTGTGACATGGTTGGAGGATGACAGTGTGGACGCTGAGAGTATGTAAGAGCAGAACAAGATTAGACTGAATCAGTGACAATGCCTCATGATGATCTACACAGTAGTTCAGAGAGAATAGTACATAGAACAGGTTCTGGTTCTGAACTGAAGCTACAATAATTGAACGGGTGGAGTTGTTGATCGATCGAGTTTATACGGTCCGGCATATCACCACTTGTGCACTTCGGTTTTTTTTCTACAGACCACTTTTCTACAGCCTCATTTACAAATTACAACAGATTTCAAGTGACAAGAATGCAGGTCAAATATCATTATTTTTTATTGAAGAAGCTTGATTGAATTATATTAACTGGGGTATCTCTTGGATTCTTAGTACGGAGAATATCGTTCCCTAGACTGCACAAGCACTGTTAGCACTGGCTTGACACCATAAATAGACATTTCAATTCCATTGAAATTGACCAACTAATCAGACATCCAAGGAAGTATTGCGCACAGAGCACGTCTTTGATGGGTTCAAGCGACGGCTAGCGTGGAAACTGCGAATGTAGGAAAAGTTTTCATCATAAGAGCCCGGAGGCAGTTGGTCATGATAAAAGAAGAGAAAAGAAGAAAAAGACTTACCAGTTAGTATGTTGTAAAGGGCACCGAAGTATGAATGCTATTAAACATTAAAGCTATCAGGAGAAGTTCATGAAACTTCTCAGGCAGAATGTAGTACGATAGTGAGTGAAGAGAAAGAAAAAATTTTCAGGAAGAAGCTCCCTTTTATAGTCGGCCTGAGGCTGCCGTGGAAACGCACCGACCGACGAAACTTCTAGCGAACGGTGAAAAATCGATCCCAACCTCCACTGCTCCAGCCTGCCTTTCCCTATTCGTTTTGAATTACTCAATTTGTCCAGAATCTGGAAGCCGGTTGTGTGGTATTTATGATAAATCTTCAATTTATTAACGGGTTCTGTACGGGTGTTTTCCTGTATCATTTCCCAGATAGTCCTGCTATATGCATCATGATAAGCAAACCGTCAATGTGCTCAAAAACAATATTTAAAAAATAATCCCAGATACCGCTAAAGATATCCCCCTTTCCATTCGTACCGGTCTATATCTACACGCTACCTCGCGGGCTTCTGCCTTTGTCTAGAGTTCCAGTTCAAGGTCTTCGAAATACTGTGCATCCAGCCGTTTCCGCGCCGATCTTGGGGGAGAACATTCGCGAATGGGTATCGCGACGCTGACACGGTCAGATAGTCACCCGGGAATAACTCGATCCTATCATGGATGTCAATTTAGCGCAGCCGAAAATACCTTGGTCGACAGCATTCACCTCTCTCGTCCGTCAAAGCTTGCCCATGAACTTGTCCGGGCATCGTAGGGCACTCCCATTCGTAGAACGATTGTATCTGGTAGAATAATCGGTCGGAAAGACAGGGTATGAGCGCATATTGCAGTGACGAGAATGACGGGGTTATCTGGATGACAGAGAGAACCCCCGGCAGCCAGGTTGTACGCAGTCGAGCCCGTGGGCGTTGCTACACAGGCTCCATCTGCCAGGAGTGTCGTGAAATATTCATCGTCGCCAAACAATTCAATAGATGACATCGCTAGGTTGCCAGTCAGCGAAGGTCTCTAAAGGATGGATGCAGGATCATGACAGGACTGGCCATACTTGGATTTGGACCCCGATCAAGGACAACGTCATTCAGAATTTGAACAACCTTGTCCGGTTTATGAGTCAAGGTGCCCTCAACTTCTTCTCCGATCAATTCTTCCACCAGATCTCGCTTTACATGCCCCGAGCCCTCCGGTAGTGGGTTGCTCCTCATGATTGTACATTCAAACCTCAGCCTCAGGCTTACGGCAACCCCGTCCTTAAGGGCAGATTCGAGCGTCTTCTGGTGCTGGTTGAAGTCAAATTTAGTCAAGAAGCCCAAGCTTCCCAGTGCGAATGAGAGGACTGGTGGTACCACATGCTGGAATAGCCAGCTCGTGTAGAGGACGGTCCCATCACCCCCAAGGGTAATGACAAAGTCGAACAAATGATCATGTTCATGCACAAAGTCCACATCCCAGTATTTGAGCCTCCCTGCTGCAGAAGGCTCTTCCTTTAATATTTGAGGGCCTGCAAATTCTGACTCTGTCTCCAGTCTTTTTTCCACATAGACAGTGTAGTTAGTATTGCGATCCTTGGACAGGAACCATTGTACGATTTCTCTTGTGTGGGCAATGACAGTTTCATCACCTGCCTTGGTGATAATGAAAACATTCTTGACTGAGAGTTTGAGCTTGATGCTGTCCAGCTTCTTCGACAGCTTGCGCACATTCCAGGCCATATCAGATAGCTGCGCTTTAGTCAGATGACGTGAATGCACAACTTTCTTTGTCGACTGGTCTCCCGTTTGCGTGACGATCAAATCGTCGTCCTCTTCAACAAGGATATCATCGTCAATAGCTGCATGTACGAGATCCTGCACATCCCGGGCCTGGTGTGTCGGGTCCCATTCGCCTGCAATGAGCGAATGTACAAAGCAAGCTGTTTTCTCATCCGGGCGATCCAGAAGTGGTCTCTGGTCTGAATCTCTAGCCATGACCAGAGACGACTTGCGACGATGGCTACAACCCGGCGAGATAACGACCTACAGTACGGCAGATGATATAATTGTTAGACACATCTGGAAACAATCGGGAAACCACAGGGGTATGGTCTACAATACCTCTAGCTTATGGTGGCCGTCCATATCTGCCCCTCCATCGACCTTGAATCCAGTCAGCTTCAGCGCTGTCATCATCTGCGATTTGGCAACCCACACGATTATTCCAGTGTTGTTCATTACTCATAACTCAATATTAATTGTGACTGCCTGATCTGAAATTGTAGGTCCTGTTGCTAGACTCATGGTGTTCAATATCCGGGTTGGCCGAGGAGGTTGAACGGATCTGGATGCGGCTATGACGTCGCTCCACGGCGGTTCTCCCCGTCAATGGACCAAAATCCAGTGTCGCCATCGCCAGTGGTAAACTGATGGATTCAATGAGATTTTTGTATGATGACTATGGTCGGGAATATTGTTCTGGTGGCCTTCAGTGTTTGGTCCGCCTATATGCGCGTATATATGAGTGAATATATATTTGACGGTGGTATACCACACGCAGAAAACCATCTGGTGATCTGGTCTAACATACCAGCTATCTCTAATCTTAAACGAAGTTTTAGACACCAGGGAATTTATGATTTAGCCATTCTTGTACCAAACATTGTCGCAAGTTGACTACACAATGACGAGTAGTTCCTGGCGTGCCATATCACCTACTAAAAGATTAAATGACCGTTCATTGATACAATTTGCATTGCTTTAATATGCTGACTTAGCTACAGATCTCGAATCCTTGTCAAGAAGGCTCGCACGTGATGATCTACCGGTATGGAATAACTATTGCTTAAAAAAAATTGTCTAGACTGAATCCACGGAGCACTGTTACTCTCTAAGATATCGCGTAGTCCCCAATATATTATGGTAGTTTGAGGAGATGGTTGTGAGTGCATACTTCAGAGCATCATCATCAGGCACTAAACAGTAACTATCCGTCGCCATGCAGGTATGTTATCGTTGAAAGGGGCCATTCGCATGAAGGAATTGATTGATGCCTTATGTTGGAGCGTCATCTCTGGACAGAATGCTAGACAAAAGGTACGGTACATTGCCATGCTGTATACCAATCAACCACAGCCAACAAGATGTCCAAATACGCTGCTTCAGCCACAATTGCTGCCCAGCCGCGCATCCCGAGTCGCAAAGTGCACCATCCATGATGGATAGACTAGAGAGATTGTTGGTATCGAGGGCGATCAGATCACAAGGCCATCTGCGCCCGGACTGTGGTCATTATTCACCCACCTATTGCCCGAAGCACGAAGCATATATGTATCGATGGGAGAAGCGAGATCGTATCATGCGACCTTTCCGTGGCATTGAGGTGGACCGGTCTGCGCGACTATCCCCGCATAGTATGGGATACTTCAAGGGTAACAAAACCAAATGGGTGGTTAATCTGGATTTCCGGACTAGTCTGTAACCACGATGGGCTCCTCTTGCACTGCGGGGGGCATCTCGTTTTTCCGGTGTAGTATCGGCTGTACTCTTAGGGGAAGGGGGAAGTTGGTGTGAGAGTTGATGCTTTACAAATGCCTTGCTGGAATGAAAACACCGGCGTCTGACCCACTTGCTCCTTTTCGCAGTGGGAGGTGGGAAGAAAAAGAAAGTAAAAAGGCTAGTTCCCTGCACTAATCCATCTTATGTAGCAAGGAATCCGGAGATCGGGCATCTGAGCATACCTACTGGTTTATGGAGAGTTACTCTGTACACAGTAAGTTATACAGGGAGCAGCTGGGGCAACTACTTGGCCATGATGGGAGGTCAGCAAGACACGCCAGGGGAGACTAAAATGGGATTCTAAGAATGTTGATAGCAAGTCGGATCGTTTAATAAATGATTTTTTTAGCGACCCCAGACGAGACGAGCGAACCGCCCGTGATCTGCAGTCACCGTCACTCCGACCATTTACCACAACCCTTACAGGTGATGAGGGTCTCCCTTTGTCTCACTACAGCCATTCACTTTGGAATGCATATGCACAACTGCTATGGTTTATAATCAATCACAATAGTAATCTTTTCATGTGATAAGAGCAGATCCATCCACCCATCCCTATTCTTTTCCGCAAACCGTGGTTGTGTCCCATACAGGAAACGACATTTCTTCGGTAAGCGCTGTGAGGTGTTGTCGTGTGTATTATTAGAAACGATCCTTCTGGATAGTTCATGTCTTGCATTGGCATTTCTTAACCTCTTCAACACGTGCCTAGTAATAACAGTAGATATTATAATTTTGGTGCCTAGAAAGACCGTGGCTATGGCATGGAGGACAAACTAGATGGCATTCCGGGTGGGCATCACCATACATCGCCCTAGCAGATGCAACGACATTAAGTACTCTGGACTTAATAATAATAACTCCTTGCCCTGCCTTGATGGAGATGGATACGCAGTATGCTCCATCTTGCCACCTAATCCACTAGAGATCTGTGCACTTGGGTCCTTCCCCTCCTTGCAAACTCCCCTGAATAGAATTTGTGTCATGTCACTTCTGTGTGGAATCTGCAGCGACCCGAGATTTTATTACTAATTCCAGCCACAATGAATCTACAACGCCCAATTCTATCAAGGGCTCTGTGTATAATACTAGTTAAGATACATAGGAACATCCACCTCTGGAATTCTTACCATTAAAAAAGTATAAAAGGATACTCATTGCATGGAACAAATAGAGTAGTTAGCGTTCTAGCGCATCTTACCAATAAGCTAAGAAATCTAACTAATAACTACTAGGTTCTAACTTCGATGGTTGGTTACATAGTTTGATCCATGCTAATACCTCCAGACTCATAATGGAGCCGGCCAACAACGACTTAATGAGAATAGTTGACCGACTGATCAACCCGCAACGTGCCAGTTTACCAGCCACCGAATATCCAGGCTCCACAGCAAAGAATCCTACCAGGCCCACTTATTGCCCCTCTATCAATAGGAGTGCAATTATTTATGTATGGATCCGGTTTGATTCTGCAATAAAATACGTCCAACTACCTACAAGGTAGCTACTCATTTCGAAGCAGGTACCTGAATATAGCCCCTTTATACTCCGTAGGTAGCTCATCTATTATACTTACGGTTGGTATCACACGCCTAAGCACATGTTTGGTATGCAGATATACGTTCGGTTGTTTTGGATAGTGAAAATTACCATACCTCCAATACTGACTAGCTCCTCGAATTTGCGGCTTCTGCTGTCCGTATCAACCGTGCCACTACCGAAGCATATCTTGATCCTTAAAGTGCCAGCGTATGAACTATGAAGTATATCCTTTTCTTCAATTAGATCGGCTAGGACAAATACTTCTCAAAAGAGCTCAAGATGTCTCCTTATACCTTGCTAGCCAGTATTTACAACAAGGGTGCAACACCGCTGATTGCGACGTTCACCAACGATTAGTACATGAGACTACATCCTTCCCGAGGCAGAAGGCCGTCCTTACTCCCAACCTGACTTGACGAGTCATCCAATGTACTGAATTCGACCGTGCGTATGCTATGTGCAGAACAATACATAGTAAAACCGTCTGACTTCCCCAACACCATGTTTCTCCTGTCGTTATTCCGGGCACGTTCTACGAAAGAGAAATGAAAATAATGTTTGGGAAGGTAATAGGAAGCATCTGGTATCATCATCTCTCTAGTCACTGACCCTGATTCAGATACTCGATAAATTACTCTGTACACGCAACGTTGCCTAGAAGGCTTTATATAGTAGCTGACTAATGGAGTAGGGAAATGCGTGCTGCGGTATTTTTCTTGAGTGACATATCTGGTATATCTAATTGTCTTATGAGTGGCAAACGAAGGAAACTCTAACGAATAGATTCAGTGCTGGGTTTGAGTCTTGGACGTACTATCATTGCCAGGAATGTTATCAGGGTATATCGACATAGAGTAATTTGGTGCCAGTTTGATGATATAAGTATGTTATCACAAAAGCTCTCAAGTAATGATATCATGCACCGTAGTATAACTATTTGGAATAAACCATATGAATTTAGGCCAAAGCTCAGGAGTGGCGAATCGCCGAATCGATTAATGAAAATCTTTGTGCTTGTGACTTCCTATTCAACCTTCTATACAGAGCATATATTTTGATCGATAGCTCAGAATTTTAGACCCATACCGATGGATACAATAATACGATAATTTCGGGACGGGCATCTGGAATGAACCCATATTAGGCATAGTGTGTTTCGGAAAACCAGTTATTTTCTGGATGGAACAAGCTAAATCAGATTAGGCAACTATTTCGTCCCGCGATCTAGCCCCGGCTTGCGCAATCGGAGCAGGTAGAGATTTACTCCGTATATGGAACAATCCAGACGACGGAAACAGCAGCTACCTAACGGAGTACTGCTACCGAGTACCGAATTTTTGCGGTGGGGAATGTCACCGTCACCGTTACCATCAGTAGGAGAACGGGAATTGCGCGGATTTTGACTCAGCCATGTGGCATTTCCACTCAGTGCCGGGACGGGACACACTAAAAAGGATGGAGGGAAGAAAGCTCCATACGATGGATCCATGGAATGGGAATAGACAATGGTGAGAATCCACGGGCAAGTAGACTCACTCGGCCGATATTGAAAACTAAAGCCTAGCTTGATCATCTACCAATTTTACCTGCTGGGAGTACGTCTGTACTTCAAAATTCAAACCATAGTAGATCCAACGGATGAGTTGGATATGGAGAGAAATCTGCACATCCATAGACTAGTCTGTCGTACCTGGTGGACAACAGCCAAGGGCTAGAATTCTGGCCCCTTATTTGATCATGCACTGGGATTGACCCACCAACAGCCAAACAATCATCGTTGGCGGTCATTATTGGTGGATCGATGGCTGTATTCGAGGCCTAGAGAGTGGGAAAAAGGCCACCTGGAGGAGCAACAGGAACAGAACACGTGATGACTGGGCAAAATACATAAGGATGATAATCAAATAAGAGCAATAATAATAACAAAGAATACGGTCTGTCATACCAATTTACATTTACATTTTACACACTTCAGTCCATACCCCGGCCCCACTTTGATCTACGGTGACACTGCAGCCAGGATCTTAGTACCGAATCCGATGATTGTGGCCCTTTTCTATTTTATTATTTTTTTTTTTTTTTTAAAAAAAAAAAAATTATTTAAATCCACTCTCAAGTAGTATTGTCTTGCCTGTTTCAGTAATCAGCCAGTGGAGAACTCCGACTGCTATGGGTCACAATGTTTCCTGACAATTATCGGGCCATCTTTAGCCTTCGTATGGAGAAGTTGGCCGGGAAAGGTCAGATGATATGTTGCACGAAGGATCTGTCTGGATTTCTTAGATCACTAGAGGGCAATGAAACGGGACCAGATGCTTCGTATCCCTTGACGACGTTGGTTCTCTGCGGAGACATCCTGAAGCTGAACAGGGCCAGAGACTACACTTGGGATCCATAAGGAGTAGATTTAATGCGACCGGCGGCACCAAATTCCTGCAGTACGGCACATCCCCAACCATAGATCCTACCCTATAAGATACTAACACGGCGGACTCGACTTACGGTCATGTGGCTACATCCAGCCTGCGGCATTATGTACACAGTGCGTATCCTGCATGATTTCCTATCTGCAGTGGACGCATGCCTGGGGGGTCACACTTGAGGGCCATCCTTCTTGCCAATCAGTACTGTACGTAGTTCTACCAACCTATGCCCTGGTGGGGATGTATGGAAGAATGCCCGCCCTGGCTCACATAGTCCGCTTACTATGACCGCTTGGGCAGTTAGGTAGGGTTCCGGACTAAGGATCATCCAGTCTAGTAAGGGATTAAGTAGGATTGGAGATGAATCCTTACTGGCTGGCTTATATGGAGATATATGGAGAATTTAAACCTACACCCTGACCACATTCTGTATAACTACCAGGTTTTAAGATCTGAGCTATGCAGGAATCCAGAATGCATGTATGTATATGTACTCCATGCCACTAATGTACTGTTGGGATACAAACATACATAGCAGCAGCAGGATATCTCAGAAACGCGATGTCGAGGTGACTTCCCCCCTCTCTTACTCCTTGCTGTATGACAAGAATTGTCTATATCGGTCTTCCTGCATACATATGCATGCCATTTGACTCATGGCTACCTGCAGCTTGGCCCAGGCGTGTCTGCCTTCGCTCAAGAATCTGGATTTGGTCCAAGACTTATAGAATATATGTACGTAGTTTAATCAGCACAACTATCCATCACGCCGTAGTCCGTATTCAAATGAACAGCATATTAAATATGGGAGTACGGAGTAAATAGGTTGATCTTGGAAGTCCTTTTGCCCTGCGAGACCCACTCGGATAGTTTGGTTCTCCACGCCAAGAGGGTCTATCGCCATACCTATCCCCGCTTCACGCAGCCTGATCATTATTAATAGCGAGGAAGGGAGCTCCAAAATTGCCATGACTTGAAAAAAATATGGAGGCATGGATCAAGGCTACCAAGCAAGAGAGGAAAATCCACAAGTGCAAGGTGGCATATAAGATGTGCCGTATCACATCTGCCCTGTCGTCGAAAACGAAAACCCGATGAAAGTCTGACCGCGACTGGAGGTGATGTTTTTTTTTCATCCCCTCAGTCAATCCAAGATGTAGTATTTATCACCATAAAACGGTTATCTACTTGCAATGCGGCTTAAATGCTAAAATCTTCCTTGATAAATTCCGTGGTGCAAGCTGGGACTGATACACTTCATGTGAGACAGATCATGCTCACCAATAAAATTGCCCTGTATCTATCAGAGCAGCTCCCTTGTAGTACAGACTAGGTATGTAAAAGATTCCACGGGAATCTAAGAAAAATGGTGGCTGATGACATGTCACTAAGGCAAGCCAAATTAATTAGCGCCAATGTTCTTCCATTGTTTGAAGGAAGTGGAGGTGCAGGACCAACATGGTTGGATCGCTGTTAATGAAGAACAATAAAAAATAATTCCCTACTCCATCGGTCGCAAAGCACAGACCGTGTCAAAATAAAAAAAGACAATATTCCTGTAAAATAACATTCTCTGTTCTTGTTTACTTTCAAAAACAGGACTATGACATTCCCTAATCTTGCGTTGCAATTTGATCCCTTGTCCCCCCTCCATCTAGTAGGGGGAAATCCCTACATGGCTGAAAAATGAGATCTTCCAATGTCTGGTGTGTACTCCTCATGTCTCGGACGGCGACCGCCATTTTGCATCATTTCTAGATTAGGCGTGGTACATTAGTTTAGGCGGAGATGCGCAGCCATAACTAGGTCTAGATGGATGATTTAATGTCCTATTATTAATAATTCCTCTTATGTTTGCTTAATTAGGTATGATTCATCGCGTTTCATGCTCAGCCCAGTGCTAGGATTCTAGGAAAGAGTTTCCCCCTCTCTCCCCCTCATTCGAATCGTCAATTTGAATGAGCTGTTTGTTTTTTATGGTCAAAGCACAGCTGAGCTGAACACCTAGGTGTATGTGCAGTGTCCTCCGTACACTGCAAGTGCTCTATTCCTTGTTCAAAGCGGGGGAAAGTGACTGTGAGGGGGTAGTAATCGCATCCCTGGCGAAAAGCGAAAAAAATTTATGTTGCTCATATCTCGCCTAGAATGATGGTGATGGTGACAGTGGTGTGGCTCCTTGGGATACAAATGACAAGACTATCTCGTACCGAGAATAACCTATTGATGTTGGATTATTGGGTGGTGGGGTTAAATAGTTATTATTAAGTATTAGGTACTCCATACTCCGTAACGAACTACTCCATATTCTTATGACTACACGAAACTAAGGATGATTTCCTCAATATCCCGTAAGCGCCAAATAAACTTAACCAGCGGAGATACTCCATAGATATGTAGTAATTAAGTAGAACATCAAGTTTGGTATCTCGTATGCAAATGGAACCACGGTTCTTTGTTGGGAAGGATCGGCAGATGGAAAGGAGAGTGTGTCAGCCAAGTGCAAGCCAAACGAAGGGACCTACGTAGGTGTGATGGAGCCGGACTGCGGTGGCAGCTAGTGACTTGAAAAGGTTCCGTCCGTGAGCGACACACTGACTCGCCCACTTTATGGAATCATTGATGGGACTAGATGGTAGGATCCCTGTCCCTAGGCCAAGGATCGATTAGTTCCAATAATTTTTTAGGAATGAGGATAAATGGAGAAGAGGACCCACTGTGGCCGGTCTTGGGGCCCATTCGCAGGAACCTTCAGCCCCTGACCTTCTGGAAATGTTTCTCGTTATTTCTAAGGCCGGTTTTGTCCGTCTGTCCGTCTGTCTCTGTCCGACCCCTGCGTTTCGGAGTGGGCCTGCACATGCGTTCCCGGTTGTCGTCCTGTATTCTCCGGTTCTGATTTGTAGAGCGACGATATGATGATCTCAATTGTCCGATTAGTCGTCGATGATGTCGATGACATCCGTGTATTGCATGGTTCCACAGATTTTATTTTATTTATTTTATTTTATTTTTGTACTCTGAAAAAAAAAAAAAAAATAGAATAAAATTTAATTTTAACCCAAGTTATCCGATTATTCACTTAAATTATTCACCTCCCCGACGACCCAGTTGTGGTTCTAGGCAGGAATCATCAGGCGCAGCCTTAACTGGGAATATATCCGCAGTTCATCCGGTCCGTCAACACAGTCTGGCGTTAGTACATAAAGTAAAACAAAGAATCAGCCTCTCACAGTCAGGACACATCTTAATATTGACCTGAAAAGCTATATACACGAAAAGCTACTCTCCATCCTCTAGCTTAGCAGTAAGACGATGTAAGATCAGGCATTTCTGCAGTTTCCAGATCCAATTCCCAGCCTTCCAAGTGGCAGAGAGGGGCAGGGTCAGGTACAGACCGATAGTAGAACAGCGGACTTAATAATACGAGTTATTTAGTGGCTTAGTGTGCTGCTAAAAAAGGGCCATGCATATAGTTCTAGATACCCGTCCTAGTATTAAACGAGTGCAGTGTATGTACTCATAGTCATGGATAACGGAGTCGAATTAATATCTATCAGTGCTTCTCTCCTCTTAAATTCTTTGTCGCTAAGTGTGATGGGAAGAGGGATTTGCATATGTAGGAGAGTGTGATGCAGATGGACTGGTCATAAAGAATACATAATTGGCGCCAATTATCCCGTACATAGCTCTAGCTAGCTAGCTAGCTACCAACTTACCAAGGCTAGGCGCCATAAAAAATTAGACTAGACTTTACTTATGTGTCTGATACTAAACCCCACTCTCTCCATCCGAGGCCAATTTTTTGCGCCTTGGAGTAAGTACATAGGGACTATCCATGAACTTTGTCAGTCACTTTGTCTATTTTAAGATAGCCAGGTTGCCGCTCATTTTTTGTGGCCGTCTGATCGTAGGTTTTAGGTGGGAATTTGCCTACTCGTGTCCGGTGATCAAACAGATATTGATGGTTGAAACATTGCCTCCACAATGTATATTAACAGACAGGCAGAATCAATTCCGAGAATTAGAATATTAAATTGTGATCTTGTCTGCGGAGTATGGCAACTAAAATACGGAGTTACTTCCTTGACTCCTTTTTATTATATTTTGTTTTGTCACCTTAACTTCTCACAGATTCTACCGTTTAGTTAGTTTATACTAAATATTGGATCTACTCCGTAACTATGGAGTGTTACATATCTATACATTCTACATTCAGGAATAAAGCTACTGGGAAGAAATCCCATGCTTAAAGATTATGATCACCTAATCCAGGTCGAATAATTACGGCTGATTTAACTATACCCTGACGTAAAGCGTAATCAATGCTCTAACATAGCCTTGATGACTAACTTACGGTCGAACGTCAATGTGACAATAATATAAAAGGTAATATAGGACTGAGGAGCGGTTGGACAAGGAAAAAGAACCAAGGATGGCGAGATAAGCGCCGGCGAACCCGAAAGGAATCGATCGGAGGGTAAATCCTGTCCTCTAAGTTGTTCTGTCCCTTTCTTTCCCCCTTGTTACATATCCTAATCCTAGATGGATGGAGGAGTCGCATCGTAATGTAATACACTTCTGGTTTTAGGTAGTTGCCCTACCAATGGTTATAAGTTTGGAAACCTTACTCCGTCAAATCTTAGTCCACACTCCATAGGGGAATTGGCAAGCCTTGGGACTTTTCATTTTTCACATTATGGTAACCCTTGCGTAACAGGCGTTGTGAGTGTGACGAGTTGGAAACGGTGAACTTGTGGGGACAATTAAAATCAACAGAGTCGATTCGAAGGGGGCTGATAAGGGGGAAAGAAAAATGGAAAGGGAAGGACGGAAGTGTTTGGCCACAGGGTTCAACTACCAGTTCAGAAGTAGAAGTCAGAGCTTTCCTCTCGCACCGACTGTACCGCGACATTCCTGTCTGTACGGGCGCAGAAGATTGTACCTGGAGATTACTAAGTATTTCTGGAATGGTAAGGTACCTAAAGGGAAGAAAGCCCCCAGTTGCTAAAAGCCTAGCTGATCACAGCGCAGGATTACTCCCACTAATGTAGGATATGGTCAAATCCCTGCCTATCGGTAGGTACCTGGATGAAGTTACCTACATGTACCTAGAGCGGCAGGGTTCTACTTCAGGCGGCCAACCCAATCCAATGATACATGGTAATACGGTATGGTAATGGAGATAGCCCCAGACTCCTCGTCCCATGGGGCTCTCGGTCTCACTCACACGGGCCTTACTGAGGGTTCGTCACCTGTCCGTTTACTGTTCCATTCTCAGATTCTTCCTGGCTGGAGCTTGAGTTCCTTCCCTCCTGGCCAATCGCGTTGCAGAACGGCCTATTTCCTTATTTCGCCTGCTGTGGATTGTAGCTGGAGTCACCTCAATGTATTGCTGATTGCCAATGGGTCTGATCATCCCCACCATCAACATTATTCACTACGCACTTCATCCGCCAACACCCCAATTACCACGGGTCTCAGGAGTCCAGAGTCTCTGGACTAGGATGGACACACCAAGGTGTAAAACATGAAAAATAATTAGACTTGCTTTTCTTTTCAAATCTTTTTTGTAATACTTTTTCTTTTTCAATAAAAAAGAGAGTGAGAGCGAAAATAAAATAAAATATCACAGAAATAATTAAGCAGCGATTACTTCTCCAAAATGAAAATCCAAAATTCAAATAAAATAAAAATATACTTCTGGTGGAGCTCCACCATCGTGTGGCATGGGCGCATCTGAATCATCGTCCTTCCTTCCTGCCTTGAACTTTTTTCCCTAACCGTCCACTGCCTGGACCCATCCCCACCGCCACTAAACTCGTTTCGTCATTATCAACGTCGCTGGGTGTCATCCCAACATGTGTTCTGTTAACAGTAACTGGGATCGTGGAGCTGGGGCGGATGGTAGATCAAGCAATGTGTTCCACTTCCGTGTATCACACACTCCCTAGGCGCTTGCCCTTTTGTTTTTTTATTTCTTTTTTCTATATATTTTTTTTTTTTTTTTTTTTTTTTAAAAAAAAATGGAACATCCCTGATTTAGGTATTTGTCCTCCACTTCGGCTGGTCCATAGGGTATGTTACTTAACTAAGGTACTGGAGAAGGCACTTGCTTTATTCTGTACCTTGCCTTATTACCTTGTGACCTTTGCGCCCCTGTGTCATTTTTTAATGATAGGTTCTGGATCATAATTCCATCTTGCCGCCATTATCCATGGAGCCTGTTTGCACTCCATATTCCTTATAACCTACTACCGTCTCACCACTCACACCTTCCCTACTAATCTACCTTGGGTGTAACTATGTCTATTCACATCGACTATTGCAAGTCCACCTCTTAAAGACGCAACCCTCTCGACCAAATCTTTCCACCTTTTCCAAGTCGCCTTCGTCGTTTCCATTTTCACTATGGCCGATACTTGGCAACCCCAATCCTCTTGGATGAGCTCGCAGTGGTATCAAGGCAACCACCCCAGTCTGCCTTCATCAACGTTTCGTGATTTGGTGAATGCTTTCCCTAAACCCAAACAAGCGGGTAGAGTGATGAAACCACGAAGTGCTGGCAACAGTCCTTCCAATGCTGGCAGACGGAGGATAACCGTTTCCAACACCTCACCGATATATCGACACCTTCCGACTCAGAAGTACCAGGCGTCTTATGATCCTGCCTACCTGGCGTCCGCCATTAACACGCACACAGCCACCCGGCCAATCAGCTGGCATCCAGCGTCGCTAGAATCCGCGGCGTATTCAGAGCACATTCAACCAACCCAGAACAACCTTGGAGCTATGGGAATGTGTACTCAACCTACCGACGTATCCCCTTCTATGATGACGGACGGCAGTATGTTGCCTACATATGTGTCAATTGATATCCCATTCTCAACTGAGACATGTCCTTTTTCCGGCGCGCAATATATGGCACCTATGCAGCAACCATCTTTCGTTGGAATGAACGGGTCGCAGGTAGATCCGGTTGCATGGGGCACCAACGGATCTAGCATGTCGGCGGCCACTCAGCCCATGTCCGACGGCTGGGCCTTCAACATGATGTCTATGAATAGCAGTATGCCTTCAGCAAATGTTGCAGGATCAGGCTATGCAAGTGCACCGTCATCAGGCTGTCTGACCGGACCATCGACTCCCGATTTCCTCCCTATTCAGCAGCCGGACGATAACTCGAAATCATTTTCTGCGCCAGCAGTGAATAAACCGAAACCTGAGGAAGAACTTGTAGGGATGGGCCTTTACAACCACCCAGACTCTTTGTTTGACACACCGTTTGATAGCTTTTCAGGCAAGGGTCTCAAGCTGGAAGAAACCTTCACACCATCGTCGGACAACGAGGCAGATGACAATAAGGATGCTGAAAACGAAGATGATGACGAACATGTATCGAACAAGAAGCAAAGCCCTGCTCAAAATCAGAAAATACCGGGCTCTAAGCCATACAAGCCCGTCAAGCCCGCGGAAAATATGATGCATAAGTCTTTCTTTTTCGACGATGACGACCTCGATCGGCATGTTATGTCCGGATCTCAGCAGTTCTTCAATCTAGGGAGTCAACCTTGCATGAATTATGGATATGGATGGCTTTAGTCGCTCTTTTATTTCTTTCTCAGCGTTGCATAGCATGGTGTTTTGTGTTGCTTTGTGAATGGGATACCCAAGGGATGGTTGTCTGAATACACTTGACTTTAGATTAGTGTTATAGGTATGAACAGTGTCGTAACAAACGAGCGACAACTTTACATTCCAGTATATTAGCCAGATATAGTAGCAGTAGGAAGCACAGAGAAACAGTGTTGGATCACAAATCATGTGCACCGTCTTATTAACACCATACCTAACCCGTCCTAGTGCAAGAGAGAAAAGTGCAGACGGACAAACTATTTACCGTCCACAAAAATCACCAGCAAAGCATACAATTATATGATGCTCTTCCAATGATATCTCTGATACAGGTGTATATCACCAGCTACGAGGATCAGAAATAGGATGCAATGGCGAAAGTCATTTTCACGCCATGGAAGGACCAGTCCCAATTAGTTGCTGTGCGGAATCAATTCTATCCTCCCCCAACATATGATGGACCGGACATGCGATCCAAGGCCTGCGCTACGGTATGTAGTACCCTTCCTGATCTGTATACCGTGTTATATCTGATGAATTCAAATAAAGATTGAATGTTGGAAGTTACGCGGGAATCTTCCTCACCCTGTCGAGGCTACAGCCTTGTTAACGGATGCTATTCTTCACGATGATTCGGTGAAAAACTCAATATTTTCAATTCGAGCTACGTATTCGGCGGCTTTTTGTCGGTATGTTTCTGATTTCTCCTTCTCTCTCTCTTTGTCTCTTTTTTTTTGGGTATTTTCCCCCATAACTGTAATTATATATTCTGCCTATCCGGATAGAAAACTAATTTACTTCAGATTTGTCACTGGTCTCGTTGACTCTAAACTCCACGGGCAGCGAAAAACCATGTTTCAAAGAGCCATGGATCTGGGACTACCGGCTTCTTTTGTAGAGCTGCGACATGAAGCGACTCATCGCGAACTACCGTCTCTAATTGTATTACGAAACGCCACACAACGGTCCCTTGAATGGCTCTGGGATTACTACTGGGCCAAGACCGATGTAACTGCCATGTTTGCCCCGGAGGTATCAGACGCTTCAGATGGCATGGGCAGCGGTAACTTGGGACCGGTCCAGGCCGCAATCAAGGCTAATTTAGATCAGTTACTGGGGGAAGGGGAGTCTAGTGAGCCACCGCTGAAAAAGAGGAAGGCGCAGCAGCATCTGACGTCGGTTGCTACGCAATTGGCGTCGATATGTAAGGAGTGTGAGATGGGCGCTGGTGTACTTTCAAGAGCTCTTGTTCATGATTCGATCTTGCTTTCTGAGAAGAAAACTGGGGACTCGGTAGTCGATGCGTTCAAAAAATGGGACCGGTTTCTCTGGACTATCGTGGATGAATATCCGGCTTTTCTGACGACGTTGACGGAGGAGATGGTCAATATGCTTGCGTTTACGCAGTCAGACAAGGAGGATGATTGTTGCAGAGGGGTTTATATGTGGCTGGACCATATTCTAGGCTCGACGGAATGGGAGTCGAAGAGACGGCTGCTTTGTCTTTCTTATGTATCGGCTGTCTGCGAGGAGAGTACTAATTACTGGGTAGGATTGCTAAAGGATCGCGTTTGCAACGAGGATAATATCGTATCCTTATCTGGTGGTGATGTATCTGCTGAGATACTTTCTAGCCCAGAGACGGTGCTGAAGGATGCTAGCATGGCAGGAATGACTGATCAGAAAGAATTGCAGAAATACGGGTGGGATAGTATAGATACATGGGATAGTCGACCGTTAGGGGTAGTATAAACATAAATGATGCTATGCCAATTTATTTCTAATTTAACTATTCTGTCCATATCCACATACCTCCGATACTGAATGTGGCTGTCAAATAGTACTAGCCATTCCATATATGTATGCACAAGCCACAATGTGGCTACCGTCAGCCTATGAGGTAATCACTATATCAATCCTACCATCTGGATTATAAACACCCCGCACCAGCTTCCTACTGCAATAAAAAGTCCGCGGCTCGGTGGTTGATTACGTTACATGATCCTCTTATCCATCATCCATGAGCTTCACGAGAGCTATCCAATCTTCCATTGGACTCAGACCCAGACTCAGCTTTAGACCCAGATTTCCCCTTCATCCCGTCCGAACCATGCATATTCAATCGATTCCGATGTGTAAGCAAGCAAACCATCAATCATATTCTATTCCATATTCTCTCCCATATTCCATATCCATGTTAAGTGTATTTATACTGACTCTATTCAGGGCCCGGAAAGGGCAATAACTACGCCTACCTGGTGACTGATGACTCCACTCGACAATCTGTGATTATCGATCCGGCTAATCCGCCAGAGTAAGTCCAGTCCAGCCCACTTTCGCAGTTGAGCATGCGTTCCTGCAGGGGTACAAAAACTGATTGAGTGGATAGAGTAGTCCCGGAATTAGACTCTCAAATAAAAGCAGGAAAAATTATCCTCTCGGCTATTGTTAATACCCATCAGTATGTTTCCGCTATAATAATAATAATAATAATAATAATGATATCGATATTAACATGCCATGGCACAAAGCCACTGGGATCACGCGGGAGGTAACAACCAAATGGTACTGTACTATGTCCCCCACAGAGACAATGAGGTCGAGTCTGATAACCATAGCTGGAAAAATTCGATTCCCTCCAAGTCATCGGTGGAAAAAATTGTCAATCGGTGACTAAGACGCCCGCACACGGAGAGACATTTAAGATTGGGGAGCGGATCACTGTCAAAGCGCTTCATACGCCCTGTCATACTCAAGATAGTATTTGCTATTTCATGCAGGATGGGGAAGACAGGGTGGTTTTCACGGGGGATACTTTGTTTATTGCGGGTATGGAATAAGCTTTCTATTTACTACCTACTGCTTTCATTTTTGTTGTAGTTTAGATGCTAATGATGTCCAGGCTGTGGACGATTCTTCGAAGGCACAGCACCGGAAATGCACAAGGCGCTGAATGAGACTCTTGCGTCTTTGCCTGACGATACTAAGGTCTACGTAAGTAGATGTTTCTTGACAGTGTTGGAATACCGATTGACGATTATAGCCTGGTCATGAATACACCAAAAGCAATGTCGCGTTCTGCCTCACTGTTTCGCAGTCGGAACCAATCAAGAAGTTGCAGGCGTTTGCGGAGCAGAATCGAGAAACGCAGGGTAAATTTACCATTGGGGATGAGAAGGTATGTTGGTCTCTGGATTACTCTACACTTGACTCCAAAGATGCAGGTCTAACAGGATACAGTTACATAACGTGTTCATGAGAGTTAATGTAAGTCTGAAGTGAACTCCTTAATCATAGATGTCTAACTGACGGGCTAGGACCCTGAAATTCAAAAGAAGACCGGGAAATCAGACCCCGTGGAGGTTATGGCTGCGTTGAGGGCGATGAAGAATGCTATGTAAGGTACAGAGTACCTGGAGGCCCAAAGGACTGTGAATCTGCAATCCACCCAATTTCAGTAAATCGAGAACTTTGATTCGGAGTATCTTGTTCGCAGCCTGTAGGTAGTCCAGTGACAAAGGATCTTCAGGGGCTCTTATACAATTATGAAAAGTTGAAGTTGATGCCTAAAAGCTCTTTATGCTAAACCTGTAACCGACAAAGTGACCTGCGTCCTTCGAATATCTAAGAATATCCTCCTCGATATTATAAGCCATCGCCTTCTGGCCCAACCCTAATTTGTCCAGCGCGAATAAGTCATAAATCCCCAGGTCTCTTGAAGTCACAAGCTCCTTGAGCCACAGACCCAGGGACCGGTCTTTCTTCAGCACGTTGCCATTCCGTTCCGCAGCCTTGTGCATCTCGTCCACTCGCGCCCTTCGTTTTTCTTCGTACACTCTGAAGACCGCACTAAGCGAGTGTGGATGGGTAGCTAGCATCTGAGACAGGAGGAAAATATATTCCAACACCATTGAAACTTCTTGGCTAGCATGAGGTTGGATCGCATGAGTTGCATCACCGATAATGAGACATCGTTCTTTGGACCAATTTCCACCTAACGGCAGTCGAAACACTGGACAGAACTTGAGCACTTGGGTCAGTTTGACGACCTCCCGTAGGGTCCTGCCCCATTCCGACTCCTTGATAAGGTCAAGTAAGGTCGACTTTAAGTTTTCCACTTTCTCTTTTCCTCGCTACTCCCACCCATTTCGTGTCACCCTCCGCCGGGATACGAACCTCACGAGAAAAGAACCAATAAGCATACTACCGTTCTGGGTGCAAGGTAACAAGGCCAAGAGCCCATCAGTAGTTAGAGTCATGTTGAGAATGTCAATCAACACCGCCCAGCGGTGGGAGCCAAAGAGAATATGTTAGAAATGCCTGAGTATTCGGGCGACATGCTAGGATCCACGTAATGTTTGCGGACCATGGAGTGGATACCATCACAGTTAAGGAGGAGATCTGCTCTGTCGCGGGTGCCGTCGGAAACACTAATACCTTCCTCATCTTCCTCAATGCCCCTCAAGCGCTTACGGTGATGAATGATGACACCGGCGTTGTGGGCCTCCTGGCAGAGGACTTCCATACGATCAATTCTCCATGTCCTTAAATATTCAAATCCAGTCTTTTTCCAGCTCCAGGAGGTTATGTCCATCTCGCTGATTACATGACCCTTGACCGCATGCACGGACAGAGTAGACGTTTCCACTCCTCGGGCTCGAAGGGCATCCCAAAGCCTCAGTCGACGAAACAGTCCCGAACCATTCGACGGAATACCAATCACGCCACCCAGAGTAGTGGGCTCCGTGCGAATTTCGTAGATAGTAGGTAATATGTTATTGTATTGATAAAGGCGTAGGGCCGCTAAGATATCGGCGGGACTGTCGCCAACGATTATAACCTAGGTAATCGAAGTTAATCAAATGTACACAAATCCAATATATTCATTATTTTTAAGTCGATCATCTGAAAGCGCATTGCAGTATTACAGTACACTTCGTAATTTTCTCATCTTAGATGACAATTTGCGTCTAAGCTATCCTTTGATACGCTGAAGAGACGGTGGAATTTTGTGAAGTGATATTTAACTATTGTTTGTTACGAATCTTTACTGCCTTTGGCCACTAAGTTGGAGGTAGGGATGTGGCTATTTAGTCGAATACAGGAGAATCACGATATCAGTTACAGTTTGTATGGGCGTAAACTAAGAATCCTTCCCATTTCCCTTATAAGGTGTGGTAAGATATTGGCAAGCTGGAGTTAGGGCTTCCGGTAGCCTTGCGTTTGCGCAACAGTTCAGAAAGTTTTATGTCTACTTTGGCTCATCCGAGGACAACTCTGTATCGCCCATTGGCCAAGGCAGCTGACTACGTAATGTTTCAGTGTTGCAGGGCCTTTGAAGGGTCAAGACTCGAACCTGGGAAACTTCGCTCCTGGCAAATCTTCGGGATTTTATCACTTGGTACCAACATGGCTGATCGAGCTGAATTTCGTGGGTGAATTTTATGAGCTTTATATACCGAATTATTACCGGATTGAGACGATTCACAATACATAGCCATGTAAGGGAAAGCACGGTATAAGTGGCATGTACAAAGTCTCTATTGTCTCTTCAGTCTAGTGGTACCGTTACGATGCACATTTAGTAACTTGGGGGTTGCTTACAAGGGTGCTAGACCTATTCGGTAGGCGGTGGCCTCGACACACCCAAGCCTATCGCCTGGAGATTTTGAAGCTTAAGGGATTTCCTAAAAGGGTAGGTAATCTCGGCCATTCAAGATGCGGAGACCTCGATCATTACAATTTTTGCACAGCTCTAAGAAAGTTCCCTTTTCCAACGGTTTCGTAAGGATACCCGCAATAATGTAATCGGAAGCGAGCGTTTCACTTCTCCGAATCTGACCCCGGTCAAAATACTTGCTCAACTTAACCACCCATCATGCCACTAAAAGCGCGTACAAATTTAATGATTCAATTGGGAAAGAGAAATGTGCCCAACTTGCAATTCAGCTCCTAAAAAACAAAATCAACGCAATACCTGAAGCAGCACGCGTTTTAATGTCTCTCATACAATCTTACACTGTCGACTTAATGGCATTACATGTCGCGGCGAGACACGTGCCAACAGTCATAAAATAATTCAAAATTAAGAGGAATCGCTTGTGCAACGGATAATATCATTAGACCGACGTGGGGCTGCTCCCTGACCATAACATATACAAGAAATGGTTAATATTCTTCTTGTTAAACGTGGTACAACACATATCCAGACAGTTAGTGATAAATTGGTGTATAACTTTGCCAAACGGCGCGATGAGCTTAAATTAAGATATTCTCGAAGATATAATTACCAGCGTGCCAAACCTGAGGATCCTAAGATTACTAAAGAGTGGCTTGATCTTGTACATATCAGAGTTATGCACCAAAGGATTGTACAAGATATTTATAATTCCGATGAAACTGGTTGCAATGGGCCTGGTAGCTACCGCTAAGGTAGTTACTAGAGCTAATATAGCTGGTCAGTCCTTGCTTGTACAGCCAGGTGATTAAGAATGGGTTACCTCTATTTACTGTGTTAACTCTTATGTACTTCTTGTAGTATTAACAAAATGTATACTCTCCATAGCCTCTATAGTCCCTGTAGTCCCTGTAGCCAATTAGCCACCAATCAATCAAAGCTCTATTAACCTGTTGTAGCCCGCCTATGTATTGTATAACATGGAGCGCTTCGCCAATGAAGCAATAACTTGAGGCTGAGCACCATAAAATCCCACCTTAATCCCACAAAAGAAAGACGGAATGTCAGTAGATGGCTGGCATAAACGCCAAGGGCATGGAAAAAAGACAGCGGATCGCTGTAAAACAAAACGAAAATTAAAAAGCCATGCTCTTTCTTGTCATCCCGTTTTGTCGCACTTGGAGTCGTGGCGCTGGGTTGTCAACCCCTTGTCTCCTGCTTCACCATGACGATATATGGCTTCCTGTATGTATTTCTTGCCAGGTAAGCTAACCACACGTTGGTACGGGGCCTCCTACCTATTATTCAGCGTCTAGTGCCATGGCGGCGAGGCCTCTTCTATCTATTGTTTAGTGCGAGTATGCCGCCAGCAGGGTCGTCGAGCTCAACTTGCTGGAATTGCTCGTGGACACCAGTTCGCAGCATAAACTTAGCAATTTGGTGTCATTGGTCAACCTGTATCGTACATGTGGCCATCTTGTTGAATATCATTGTCCATGACGCGGTGTGCAGTGAGCATTGGGATGGACATGGTTTAGGTTCTGCGAGCACTCCTCACAGCAACGCCGGTTGTTTTGAGATGCCTCGATATTGTAAAGTGCGCGAAGCCAATGTGCATGGTGCATATCTTGGTCCCTACTCTCCCTACTCTCCCTACTGCCCCTACTGCCCCTATTGCACCTATTCACAATATCTGATAGGTGGCTACTATAGTATTTTACGGCCACAGCTGCCCCCAGTCTGTCAGAAATATGTGCGATCGATCCAACTATGAAAACTCTGACCACTATACACCAATTTCTACTATTTTAAGACGTCGTGGGAAGCTACACTACGTAAAATAGTATGGTTTTCCAATGTAAAACTTGACTTTGTCTAAGTACATTGAACTGTCTTCCTACTACGTTTAAGTTATACTAATGCTGTTTCTTATGTCGTATATTGCAATCTTCCTACTGGTTAGCTGAAGGATTGGTTGCTTGCCGAAATAGACTTGCTTCTAAACACAAACGTGCGTTTATGTACTAAGCTGTAGATATAAAACACAACGAATACTAAACACCTATACTGTAGGGGGCCATTGTCAAAGTATCCTAATGAGTTACGGGTCAAGAAACACGGATATAGCCAGCGTCTATGCATTGTCAACAAAATCAACCTCTGTTTGACGTCGCCGTTTGGATTTTTTTCGGTACGTGCCTAGAACATCGGCTAGCTGGCTTCTCTGGAGGTTGCAGACTTGTATGCGAAGTTCAACCTCCATGTCATTGTTACAGAAGAGGTAGGTCCAGACGTAAGGACTCCTTTGTCCAATACGGCGAACTCGACCCCATGCCTGCTTATGGGTGCTACTCACCCAATCTACCTCAAACAGGATAAGATGGGCGGCACGATGCAGGGTGAGGCCGGTCGCCGTTGTTTTGGTGGTGGCCACCAGGATCCCAGGACTCTGGAATTCGTCGCCGACGTTGACCATCTCACCTGCGCGGCCTTCTTGGAATGCTCTAACCAATTCGAAACGCTTGGGTGTGCTCGCGAGCATGAGCTTAGGGAACATATGGGGGTAGAAACGACGGAGTGCCTGGGATTAGTTAGCCGTTTTTCCTGTCTATGTTCGCTGGGGATGCTGTTAGCCTACCAGAGACAGGATCACGGCGGTGGTTGGGTACTGTGTAAGGATCACCAGCTTGCGAGGGGCGTTACTGTTATCCTCCATACCTAGGCCGTCGATAACCTCGCGCGTTTTGGCCCAACGAGTGGAGCCTTCCATGATACTTGATATATTCTTGTCAAACCACGACCCTTCGGGGTTTGGAAGAACTTCTGCCTTCTTCATCCCATCCACTGTGAAGGGAATGGAACTAATGTCTTTATTCTGACGCTGGGCGGTGCGGAGTAGTCCTGGAATGCCAGTTGCAATGCGGATGCGCTGGGTGATACTTCTTAGTTGAAACCGCCAGTCCGCATTGCCCTGATACCTTATTTCACTAATTTGACTCTTCATGTCATTGAAGAAGCTTTCAATGTTGGCTCGGTCTTCCTCGCTCAATGGGCAGACAAAATCTTTATGTATCTGCTCCGGTAGGGTTATTAGTGGTCGACCGAACCAGTTGGAATTCTCCGTCCGTTTTTCAAAGTTAATATGTTTGAGGTAATCTCTCACATCGTCAAGGCATTGGGCGAGCGCTTCCGGATTAAGTGTTTTAGACCGCACGACCTTCTCGAACGCTTCCCCGATCCTCTGTATTCTAAAAGATCGGTAGATTTTGAGCTCCTCGTGGTTAGCCCATTCTGGTGTCTCCGTTAGTTCCACAAACCCTTTGATGTTCTTTGGCGTTGTCGGGCAGGGTGTGCCCGATAGGAACCACAACGCCGGCTTGTTGCAGCGATCTAGTTTCCTAAAGACTTGGAATAACCTGCTGGTGGTCTGCCAGGAGGAATGGCACTCATCTCGTACCACACGGGCGGCAATATTTCCCATGAGGGTCATGTCTCGTGGTTTTTTCTTAATGTGGGGGGCGGCCGGCACTTGTGCTTGGAGAGTAAGATAGCGCTGAACGCGTGACTCGTAGCTCTCTGGCGTAGTTATAATAATAAACCGTGTCATATCATCTGGAACCGAGAACTCGGCGTCATGTATCATCTTCGTGGTGTTGGTAAGCTCTTGCTCCTCCTCTGCAGTCATTCCGTTGTATTTGTAGTACGTCTTGCCTTGCGTTTTAGCCAGTAGCTCGTTGAACCGTCTGGCTTCAGTATAGACTAGCTGGTCGACACCATGTTGCCGCACCCACCCCTCAACTGTTGGCATGCCAAGGACAGTTTTCCGATGCCCAATAAGGACCGTCATTCCAGTCTCACTATTACCGAGTATGGGGTCCTGCAGATCAAAAAAGTACGTCCATTCTTGCGCCCAGTTTGAGAGTAGTATGAGATCAACAATCACATAGGTTATCCCTATCCGATAGCTCCTCAGTTTGTGTGTTGGGCTACTGGGGTGGCAAGGACAACATATTGGCAGGTCGTTTGCGTGGTTACAGGGATACACCAGCGGCGGAGAGCTTCTCTTTGCTTTCCTTGCTTCCTCTCTCTCTTTTGTAAATCGTTGGTTGGCGATATCTAACCAGCGTCCGATAATTATGGCAAGAAGAACAGAGACTGTCTAAGTATTACACAATATGGAGTTAGTTAAGAAGAGGTTTACTTGCACCGTACCAGAGGCTGGGTGAGAATATCGGATGGGAGCAGATCGCATATCTCATGGAAGAGGAAAGGGAAACAAATAAAAAAAGAAAACCATAATAACCAAAGATGGAATTATAGGGGATAAAGGTCGTTGTTCAACGCTTACCTTGCCCAATCCAGGATCGTTAGCCAGGAAGCCGCCATTCTGGACACTATTCGCCTCGTTGTACAGCATCCATACAGCTTCGTACAACTGGTATGGTCGGGGATATCTGTCCGGACGTACACCAGGCAGAGGGATGCACTTATCTGGGTTTTGATACGCATTATGGGGAAACCGAAAGGCATCAAGGGTTAGGCGCCAGATTTCAACGTTGAGTTCGTCATATTGGAGATCGTGGTTGAAGTCTCTCAATCTGTTTAATCATTAGTACTAAATAATAATAATCTAGCAATCCACTAGAGGGTAACCTACTGCTCCTCAACCCGTTCCTCGTTGGTCCAAAGACCCCTTGCCAACTCCTCATCTTCTGTATCTACCTGGTTTTTTGTGTTATCCTTGTTGCCAGTCTGCTCTTTAATATCTGGATCATTGTCTGTCTCATTGTTACTATCGCTCTTACTATTAATAGAAATGGGTGTGGTCGGCCCCCCTAACGGATTTTCTTAGCCAAATAGACTAGAAAACGGTTATCTGCTTACCTGTATTGGTTGGGTCTACTGTTTGCTGTGTGGACTGGCTGTGGTCTGGGTGGGTGACTACTTCACCAGTGGAGGGGTCTGTGGTTACTGTATGCTGAACGGCCACTGTTGGCTCTGTAGTGTCACTGATTTGTTCTTCCTGCTGGTTTGCGCCATGAGTGGGAGCCAGGTTGGGATTTATCGGCTCCTGTAGTTGATGTTGCTCCTGTAGTGGTTGCTCATGGGGTATGTTATCGCTAGGCTCCAGGGATGTACGGAGTATATTTGCCGACAGTCTCGTCATATCCTCATATGTATCACTGCCCTGCTCATAGTCCAGATGGCGACTCTTTGGACTGCGTGAGAGTAACTGCTCTGTTATCATTCCGCATCCTGGAGTGTCCTGACGACTGTGTGGTTCGTCCGTAAAGTTAAGGAAGGTCGGTATTGGCCTGCACTGGTGTGGGTTGGGGTCTTCCACAATATGGAACTGGATTTGGTCGGCATGGGTGTTCATAAAGATATACTGCAGCTGCATCTGGGAGCGAACCACCGTGTGCGTCCCTTGAGAGTTGGTATAGCGCATAACATGGGCCGTCGGTTCGAACCCACACTGTTCTTGGAGAAACTCCTGCCATTTCTGGTAGGATATATGGTCTGGTTGCATTGACCCGTCGGAGTGCGGCCGGGTGTTTTCGCGGCAGAGTAACGAGGTATGTGCGAGCCCATTATAGCTACCGTCGTCGAGACCGGGGACGGTGTTTTGAACCTCAATCATTATTGGAGGGATGGGATAGACGTATCGGTGGCGTTCGTTGGATATTCTTGACTGCGACTTAGTACTATAGCTGCGGGATGGCGGTTGCAGGGGCTGTGTAGACGAACTAGCACAATTTTCTGGCTGGGGTTGCTCCTCAGAACTGTGCTCAACATCATCTGACTCAGACTCAGACTCAATGGCGGCTCGACGCTTGCGCTTGCGTTGGGTGGCATTTCTTGACTTCTCCTTGCGCTGCTCTAGCCGTATCCTAACAGATATATTGTATAGGGCCTCGATCGCCCATTCAGGTTTATCCGCATGACCATTGCGAACGAACTTTGGAAATGCTGAGATCGATTCTTGGAGAATGCGTTTTGCTTGTGCTTTGCCGCCTGCGAGCCTAAGCTGATTCCATTCGGTCTTGTTGTTCTCCATAATGGTTCGGAGGGTACCCTTGGCGGATTCTCGTTGCCTCGTAGAATGAAAAGGGAAACAGGCCCATAGCTTACCAACGCCAAAGTGTTTATCTGGTTCACGCTGCATGGTTGATGACATGATATGTGGGGAATATGAGACAAATTAGCGAGAATGTCGACAGTATACAATAGCTAGTAGCAAAAAGACGAAGAGGGACAACCGTGGGGATAGGGCGAATAGTAGCGAAAGGATGAAAAGGGACAACGGCAGGAATAGGGAGTATTATGGGGGTTGGGAAAGAAAGAGTTTTCATACCTGATATATTCACTGTTCAGCCTGCGTTTGTTTGTCCAACTCCGTTGAGAAATAACAGGGGCGCTGCACCATGGTAACCAATGAAGGAATACTACAACCGTCTTTTATTCTATTCGTTGTGAATTCATACCAATTAATATGCGGGAGTTGGATCCAGAATTTATATGATTTTCACTACTACGGAGAGTGGGATTGTAGTATAGACTGGCATCTCTTCCGGGACTGTTGGAATGGTACTGGATAAGATAGAAAACAAGCCCCCCCCCCCAAAAAAAAAGGACAAGGGGGCAGCCAACGTCTACCGTTGTGAGATAGCTGAATATATCGTATTCTACATACATGGAACCTAGCATGGATTGTAGATAGGCTCGATAGTGCAAAGATAACCTGGCCAAAGGCACGTTTTCAGTGAATAGTCGCGACAGAGTCAGAATCGGAACCAGGACCAGCAGCGTCTACTTACATGCACCGGTTGGAGATATCACGGTTTGCATTTGAGGGAAAGTCAAACCAGGAACCCGTCTATAAAACTTGCTAGAAAGATACGTCAGAGTGGATATGTTCCAGGTGAATGCTTACGAATGTGTTATTGGTGCAAACGGGCCAGGCCATCCCTTAGTCTCTCTGAATTGTGGGAAACACCTCGGAAGAGTTCTGGAAAGCGTCAGTCCTTCACCCAGAGAGTAGCAGATGGTGAATATGTAGATGAACTTATTTAAATATAATCAGTCAAAAGCCATATTACAAACCCAAGATAACGTACATGTACAAGACAACTGGTCCGATTCGTCACCCACAACTATCGTGCTCTTTCAGAAAGAGAGACCAGCGGCTAACAGGAAGATGCATATAAGGGAAGGGCTTCATAGAGGATCAGTTATAGCCTTATACAAAGCTGAGAGACTCAACTCACAATCACAGTCAGGAATAGTCGACACGATCTGAATAGCACCGTAACCCAGAGACACAAGGCTTCGATCGCCGAGTATCCGACCCGTTCAAAGATAGTTGAGTTGTAGGCGTACATTCGATTAACTGGGTTCATAGCACCAGGTAGCACGGAATCAGATGGAGTTCGAATATTTTACCTGTTTGAATTCACCAGACGGCAGAGTAATTGGTCAAGACGCCCTGTAAGGGAAAAAAAAAAAAAAAAAAAAAAAAAAAAAAAAGTAAAGAACGAAGTATAGCAGTACGAAAACCTATGATTGAATACCACAATCTACTTAGAGAAAATTTCTTTTATTTAGTCTCGAACTAAGTTGGCCTCTGGTCATGATAAGGAAAGTGGAAAGCCTCCTATGGTTGATATTGAAATATAGGTCATTAGCCACGCCATAACACCTTTGCCGGTAAAGGATTCGTATAGACCATGATATTAGGCCCTGAATTCGAGGAGTAGATGAAGGCATGCCAGGTATAGACCATAAAGCCTCATCCTATGATTGTACATACAGCCAGGGTTATTTAATCTGTGATAGTTTCACTTTTTGCGGATACGGGATCAAACTCACTATGCGTCCAACATTTTATGGGCCTGAATATGCTCATTCCATCCAAAGTCCGCAAATAGAGAACACAGAGCATCTGAGATGTGCTTGCCATAATTGTCATTAGCAAGGAAATGTGCCTTGGGTGTGTCACCTCCCCAGTTAAAGTTAACGGTCAGATAATCCCTGCGCTGGCCGTTCAGCAGCTTTCTTGGGTATATCAGATTCCACATCTTCCGCACGATCTCAAATCCTTTTTCAATGTGTGGGCCGCTCATGTGTCAGCCAAGCGTCCACAAATCATAGATGTCAAATAAAGACGACGTATTTACCGCGGTACATATCTTGATCCGGGACTGGAAGGTGCTCTTGCAATCAATAGACGCGTATATGCATTCCTTCATAATCTCATATTCAGTTAAGGATAAAATACTCTTCTACCTTTGTTAACACTAGTCTGAGACTGTTGTTCTACGAAGCTTTCTTATGTTGTCAAACATTATGCGTATCAAGTTCATTCCAGTTGCGGTAAACATAAAAATCGGAATAATATACGGTTTGACTGTAAGCGAGTTTCCACGTAAATCGAGTTCAATTACCATCTGAGTCTTAGGACGGAGATAGGAGACATAATCCCAATACTGGCGTGCCTAACAGCTCGTAATTGTTATCTTTTTATCAAAATGTCGAACCAGTCTAAGTCGATGTCTGACTGGATATAGGTTAAATTCTGGAGAAGTTATCTTGGGGCGAGTTCATTGATGGGATCCGACTACGTACCGGCACGAGGACCAGTAGGTTTGAATGCGATGCGATATGCGCTCTTTGAGCCCTGTTGATAGTTAACACTGACATCAAAGACACCATACCTATTAGCCATAGCAGACATCCGGATCCCATTCCCCCGGGTTTTGCTAGGTATTGCCCAAGGCTTGGAATGATAACAGGGTAGAGAAATAACAGATTCTGATATTGTGACCTAATGCTATACCCTGTATGGCTCAAAGTAATCCGACAACAAGAGCTATCTTGTGCCACCAAAGTTTATAATTGTGATTTCCATACTGTAAAAATCGAGTCAACACCATCCATTGGATGCTCCTGTTGTCTCGTTATTACAATCTGCATCAGTTACCACCTCTGAATGCTCATAACGTGGAGCAGACAGGAGAGCCATAAGTTTAAGATAACTGAAGTGCGGGTGAATAGCGTGATTTCAAAAAATTGATTCGCGCAGTGTTAAATTATGAGTAGAAAGGCAAGTGAAGCCTTTTCCATTGACTATTCAACTTCTTGGATTGAATGACTGATAGTAAAATATTATTTGGATAGGAAATTGACCCCTATTTATACCTACCTTATCATGACTTTTCTTCGATGATCCCGTACACCCTGGTAAAATGGATAGATCATATCTAAGGTGGCGATCTAACGAACATTAAACGTAGAAGAGGAAGGAAGGAAGAAAGAATTCTATCGTACAGGAATTGTGGGAAAATCTCTATGTTGTGGGATCAACAGTGAATAACGTTTTGGTGCCTCAGGCAGGTTCGGCCCAGGCCCTGGCATTTTCGACCTTCAAGGAAACTAATAGGATTTGGGCTCCTCCTTCCTTCCTAGTCAGGCTGTTGTGTAAATATCAAAGACTCTGCTTTGCTATCTTGAAGCCATTCCGCAATGTCTCGGATGGTAAAATTCAACACATAGGGTCAGCCATTTCCGGTTCAAATAGATCGCTCACCTCGTTGACTTTTCCTGACAGAATTTCTTCAGCGCGGAGCATGTTTAGTTTCTTTGTATAGGAGGTTGTACTAGGATTGTATGCTCTCTTATGTGTTAAACTTGTGCTAATTACTCGCCTCTTGTGCCAATGCCGTCTTGATCTTCAGGCTCTTGGTGGTTCACAGGAGGTCCAGGTGTTCCTGGCGGAGGTGCGAGTAAAGTTTGGCCTGCACCTCGTACCTAGACTGCTGGGTATTAAATTACCTCTGTAGAGGCTGGATCTAGTCATCCCATGATGTGTTCTGTATGTTTAAGTTCGATATTAACTTGTTTATTTGCCCTTCCCTAGTCCACACGTTAATTATATTGCTGTAGTACTAGTTAATACTGTTTATATTATGCCTAAGCGTTTATGTTCTCCCGCTTATTCTGCCAGCTGGCCCGGGTCTGCATATTATGGTGGATATATAATTGCTATTCCTGTGCTAATTGCTGCTGTTCTACCGGAAATGATGTTGTTTTTTAAAAGTCGTGTTGGGCTTGCTACTGTGTAAGGATCTGCGAGTATTATTATTCCTCCCACTGCGTCTGCAGATGTTACTATTTGTCTTTAAACTTCTCCCGTTGCTGCTTGGTCTTGGTGATCTAGAAGCTATTAATCGGTTCTGGCTCCGCAGCCGTTGCTTTGGGTGGTAAAGATAGTTTAGACTTGACTTCTTTAACGGCCGCTTGGGTAACGCTGGACGCTTTTATTATTAGTTAGCAAGTTAGGCGAGACTTGGGGTAACTTGGGAGTAGTAATTAGGCTGGTTAAATAGCACAGATTCGAGTACTTATACTAGAACTATACAAGTTAATAGTATTGGGCATCATAGCGGCCGCGAAATGGTCTAATGCACCAAATAGAAACAGATATTGTGCACTTGTATGCATAGCCCGCAGCGTGCTGGTAATAAATTTGTATATGCTATAGCTTTCCTGTATAAATGGGATAAGTGAGGAGATCCGACACTTGTTATACCGACAGTGATTGGGAGAACATGATCTGGTCCGATAAGTGCTTGGCTGAATTGAGCTCCGGCCACCGCCATAGATGTGTTTCGACTTAATATGCACGGTGAAAAGTGGAAAAAAGAATACATTCAGCCATATAAGAAACGCAAATCAATCCGTGTAATTGTCTGGGCAGCTATTGGGGCACAAATTGCAGTGATTTTATCTGTTTGGAGTGAGATTTTAAGCTAAAAAAGAATGCGATACTGCACACATATATCTTACAGTCCTAGTGGAATTACTGCCTACTATTTGGGAACCGGGCCGTACTTTTATGCATGACAACGCTCCTATTCGTTCAGACAAAAAGGTTACAAAATGGTTGCAGGGTAATGATAAGCTGCATGGAATTGCCACCTTATTCACCTGATCTGAACCCTATTGAACACATGTGGTGTCCACTTAAAGGGTCAGCATATGACGTGTATTCAGAAACCAGCAAGGCATAGAATCATAAGGAAGATATGCTATGGGAGAATTTAGAGCAAACATGGTAGGGTTAGAGCAACCATGGAACTTGATCAGTCAAGATATTCAAAGCGCCAAGGGCTGAACCCATAGAACCTATAGGATAGGCTATGTACAAAAAGGAATAGTTGAAGAAGGAAGGAAAAAAGATAGGAAAAGGACAGGTAAATAAATCAGGAGAAAATCACGTGACGTATATTTTCGAGGGTCCGTAGGGCAATAGGGGCAATAGGGGCAATAGGGACGATAGGGGTAGTAGGGATAACAAGGTCAATGGGGTCAATAGGGTAAATAGGCCCGAGAGGTCAAAAGGGCTCCAGCGCTTTACACAAAGCGCAATAATAAAGAGTGAAAGATCGCGCTGACGCGGTTTTGGGGCAAAGGGGTGGTATACAAATACTAATCAATTTTTTGGCATAGTTTTATGATTCTTTACCGTTCATATTGTGTCGGTCAGCTGAATATTGACCCACTCTGGTCAGCATATTGCATATAATAAAGTCAAATTAATATAATCCCTGTTGTGTTGCAAGATACATTGTAAAGGGCTGGATCTCGGGCCTCTTGCTCCTATTGGCCTTCGAGTACAACAGGTGACTTTTCTCTTTCTTTCCTCTAACGATTCCTTTTGGCATAGCCTATCCTATATAGCATAGTCCACGATTTCGGTCCCTGACATATATAAATTTTTGTATGGACTCTATGGAGGGGCGAGCCATGGTTGGGTTGCCCCGCAACTGAATTAGCAAATTTTGGCAATTCCCCCCCAGAGATGCTCTTGGCCTTGATTAATTAATACTGCTTCAGTGTAATGTAGAAGACAATAATCCGTACAGTAAAGTCTCCTTGATTTTTCTTATTAATGAGAATAGGTATTAACTTAACGTATTTCACGGTGGAGCTACGTATACGGCCGAGATGCGCGTCTGTATTCCCATACAAGATGGCACTTTTTAACTTGGGATAACTCAACAATTCTTACATTATTATTGTTCATATTAAACAAATTCATTCTATATGGGTGTGTCAATAGGTATTGTAAATAATTTGTAAAGAAATTTGGTTTGGTCTCAGATACATATACCAGGCTTGAAATATTGGGTAATTTTATAATATCTAGTTAATTAATAGTACTAGCTGTTTAAAAATTATAATCCACTTGATTAAGCAACTACAGATTCCTCAGATTAAATTTCTATTAATAAAAAGGCAGAATGGCTAAGTTATGACGTGCTATTTGTATGGGAAAGCAGATGCGCAGCTCGGCCGTGTACGTAGCTCGACCGTGAAATACGTTAGTTGATCTGCGGAGTGGAAAATAATGGCAAGCCCCTGCTTTTATTGCCTTTAATATATAGTCTGATTGGTTGCATTGTCCACTCCTAAGTTAACGGTTGTGATTTCCTTAGTCACACCTTCAGCCAGACCCACCGAGAGTAGGAATTCTTTACTGTCATTAGCAGTATGACTGAGCGTCTGCTGACCTGTGGTACTGGTAGGGGTATCTTCGATTGCGTATATGTCTATTTGGCTGTTTGAAGACCGTTTCAGCTTTCGATCTGCGGCAGTCTCCTCGTGCCGTGTGCACTCTCATGAGTTCCAGAGTGAGGACGCTCGTCGCTGCAACTACAACCCCAGGTGACTGTGACGGCAGGCGGATCAGACTGATAAAATCATATTGAGTCCTATATCAAGAATACTAAAGATAGGGAGGAAAGGAAGAAGGTAGAAGGGGCGTTGTCATGGTGAGCGAGAATATGGTGGGAAGCTGCCCAGCCCCAACCCTGTGCCCTCAGCCCTTTCTTATCCCAGTACGGTCAGCCTGCAAACCACATAAACATCACATCACTGGGTTGAGCTGAACGCGATGTCTAAGGTGAAATCATCACATTGAAAAACTCGTTCATCTTTGGTTGAAAGTGCTCAATATGATTGCTTCATTTGGACTTGCTGTCTAGGATGCTCGAGAATACATTGACAAGTTGCGAACATTAGATGGCAAAGGTGACGACAAGGTCATTGTCAGCGCTGCTGATTCCATGTACGGCGGACACTGGCCCATAGATAACACGGGGGAATGCTGTCGATGATAACTAGTCGGTCTTAGGAACGCATGAATTTCCACCACTGACAGTCGTCCCAGTGCCGTGTAGCAACATGTTGATCGGCCATTGCACGGACTTCGCATAATAATAATCATCACTTCGACGAGCGGGAAGATGATACAGGTGAGGAACATCTAGGACCAGGCGCACCGGCTCTCGAAGAAGAGGGGTGGAAATGGCCTGTGAAGTGATCGGGACCTGACGCGTGATCCAGCAGAAATTTACAAGCCTCAGGCAAAGCAGGGCAAGCAGTTCTTCGCGCTGGGATGCGCCGGATGATGCTGGCTACCAGTGGTGCCAGATCCGCGGGCTGATTGTGATCCAGACAGAGCAGGATATGAAGTTGACTGTGTTGCATATTGGGATGGCGCAGGTTTCCTTCTTGGGCCGCCGCCGAGTCGCAGCATGAGATTGTCCGTGAGGGGCGGGGTAGCTCGTCGCGAACGGCGTACTACAATAACAACAGATGGACTGAGGATCTGATCTCGGCTATAAGGCAGTAGCGAGCTCCAACACGTTGATTGAGATTATGAATGGCATTTTCTCTAGGCGCAACTCGCCAGAGCCGCTGATTGTGGCCATTAACAATGTGGTGGCCAGTTGTGTTAAGGCGACATTCACAAGCAAGACCCAGGACCGATTAGAAACGGCGAGCAAAGCCGTGGGTGCTGTGTGCTGAGCTCTCGTGTAACAAGTGCAGGATATTATTCTGGAGAAGAGCCGGGATAAAACAGAGAAGGTTGACTATTCTAAACTTAGTTCGCATGAATTCAAGGCACAGGAAATAAAGTATCGGGTAAGCTCGATCTTCTATTAGCCGCTCGGACTTCTTTATTTAATTATAACTCTCTAACGCGAATAAAACCCATACGTCGAAATCCTCAAGTCGAGAACAGCCTTGTACTGGGACAGCGTCTGAGCGAAATACGCAAGATCTCGTGCTAGGAAGACTAAGATAGCTTCAGGGGAACTACAGAGTAACTCCACCATCTGTGCTATTATGTGCTTGTGGCAGTTTTGTGGATTTGTGATAATATTTTCTCCGGCTCCCCTTGTTCCTTGGTGATCTCCGGAAATATCGGGGTTGCCATCTAGCTAGCTCTTTATTGTATTGTAATCTCCTTAGTCCGAAAAGGGTAAGACTAGGTTACAGGGTACACCCAATTGCCACGCCACTGCAAAAAGGTCAACTAGACTTGGTAATACCAAGTCTGGCTCCCAATTCACTTATCTACCGTCTCCGCGGTCACACTAAATTAGCTGTGATTACAGTATTTTCTTTACCCATTTGTCACTGTTTTGGTACACCTAAAGTGGAGATTTAATCCGATCCTAATTTAATTCGTTTCGAACCCACTCAAACTAACTGCCTGTGCTTTTCAGAGCATGTCCATCCACAGTCTTATTGTCTTTAATCCATCTGGGCTGTAGCAATCCTATTGACTGTGTGCAGCAGAGCTGGATTACAGGCAGTTTATTGGAGTGTATAAAAAAGGAAATAAAAAGACAGGAAAGGAGAAAGAAATGAAAGAAGAAACATAGAATAGAATAGATATAGGCAAAGGAAAAAGAGAAGAGAGAAGAAAGACTGGAAACTAAAAAAGTAAAAGCGGATTCATCTCATCACACCATGGTCATCGTACCAAATGTTCTTGGCTATAAGAAATCTCGATAAAGATTAGAACGATAACATAAGTAGACAAAACTTATAATACAGGACACGATAAGACAAAAGTAATGTGATATTATGACAGTACGGAAAAGGAACATACGATTAAGAGCGACAGACAAGGAATAAACCATATCTATGCATTTCTTGCTAAATCTCATAGGCCATTTTTAATATACATTAGAGTGTTGAAAAGCCACAGGTGTGTTGTATGTTCATAAGGTCATGAGATATATGTGGAATCATAGGAAGCCACTGGTATTGTACAGTCGAGTTTCAGAATCGGTTTGTTAGATGTTGGGAGGCTTTGTGTCTGCCTGATCTGACTTCGCTTTGCTGTGATTGAAAGTCGGCATATTCATCTGTTATTGATATATTGCCCCTATCGATTCACAGAATCTAGTGCTCTATTATGAAAATATTAGCATTTTACTAAGAGTATCTTCTGGTATGCTTACTTTCAAGTTTGTTCAACAATGCAAGGCAAGTCTTCATTGCTCGGTAAGAGACACGATATTTTTCCAACCAGTCCCCTATCGCATTGTTAGTTAAATGGACAGTCTTCTACCCAAAATACTTACAAAATGCGTAAGCATCTTCGGGAGCGCAACGAGTAGCCTGCACGAGGACGTTCTTTTCCGCATCATCTAAGCGGAGACGAAATTCCATAGCCTCATAACAAATCTTCTGGGCTCGGACTCGATACTCGTCTCCTCGTGGATCAGGTCTCCAAAAGCTAACCCTTTCAACGACAGTTTTCCTTATAAACTCAGCAAAGATATAGAACATAGTTGTCATTGAGGGCAGCATACGTCATGTAGTACTCCTGAAGGCCAGCCCTGAAAATGAAGTGATAGCCATATTTCCTGGTGCACCGGGCAAGGTCATCATTTGCCTTCTTCTCCATAGAAAGAAGAGCTTGGTGGAACCTGAGTCTCTTTTCACCTCTTAGAGAACGCTCAATGGCAGGGTCAAGGATGCTAATGAGCTCGATAGGGTGACCCTCAATATCGGCAATGGTGGGAGTAATCCGATGGTCAGTGATGACGGGCAGCAGAAATTTGTTATGACGGCGGGCAGGCGTATTTGTATCTTCGGCCAAAGTATTAATTCGATGAGACGGATGAATCATAACTTCGCCTCTGGTAAGAGCAGTAACCTGGGCCATGAGACGACAAATGTTCTTGTGCATAAAGAATGAAATGCTAATGTAGGTGGCCTGCTCCCTTTGTTCTGAGGATAGGCTTGGATCTTGAGCAATGTTGGCAAGAAATCTCATGATGGTATTAATGAAAGTATCCATGATGAAAAATACGATTGGCAGGATACTCAAGATGTAGATTGAGATACAATGAACTTGTTTTTCTTGAGATGCTCCAAGAGGGAAGAGCTGAATAGTAGACAAAGTTGGAAAGACAAGGTGGGAGAGGGAATTGTGGAAGAAAGAAGTTGTGGGCTACAGAATGACTATGTTTTCTTTCAGTTCCTTGGGCAAATCTGAGAGTACCGTGGAAGCCCTTTAAGCTGAGACAAATAGTGAAGTGACTTTCAGACATTCACCATATTTGTCTAAGTAGACAAAGAAATGTACCAGCCTCCCACCATTAGGGGGAACACAACTTCACTGGCCATGTCCTACTGGGGCTTTCCACAATTTCTTCAGCGTGCTACTTCAAAACACTGCCTTTGAAGTACTTTTCCCTGTTCCCCCCCTGTTCCCTCCCCCCAATTTCTCCTTTCATGCCCAAGCCACGCCCGCTGGGACATGGTTCTTCATCTTACCTTTCACAACACCCTTTAAACGGATTTCTTTGCTCTACAAAACTAGAATGACTGCTCTACCTATCGACGTGAAGTCAACTGTTGACTCCACCGACAAGCTCACAGAGCTTCTTTGGCAGGATGCTTTGCGTCATCTCGAGTCTACGAACAACGAAGTCCTCTTGCCAATTAATATCACCGACTTGATCGGCCAGCGTAATGTCGACAAAATAAAGTCCCGTCTTGGGTAAGTCTCAATTAAAGAAAAACATGGGTAGCGAAACTCACGCTTTCGACAGTGCTCTCATTGGCGCTCCTGTTGTGGCTTTCGTTGACGAGTCTATCAACGCCCTTCGTGTCATGCGCACCCCAGCCTTTTCAGGCACGAATGTTTCAGTTGCGTCTCATGATATAATGCTCAATTTGGAAGGGGAAACTACTGGGTTTCCCGCGAAAATGCAAGGAAAGTCTTCTTTGCCTACGAAATCCGCCAAAGTCCCTCGCCCGCCCAATGCCTTCATCCTATATCGTCAGTACCATCATTCTCGAGTCAAAGAAGCATATCCTGCTTTTTCCAACAATGAGATTTGTAAGTTACTTCTTTCTCAGAGTTGGTCGAGCCTATCTAACAGGACTAGCTGTAATATTGGGAAAGCAGTGGAAAGCCGAACCCGATGACGTAAAGGTGCAGTTTCGGCAGCAGGCCGAGGAACTGAAGAAGAAACATGCCGAAGAACACCCAGACTACCACTACTCTCCTCGCAAGCCCTCTGAGAGAAAGCGCCGAGCTTCCTCACGCCAGCATCACAAGACCAGCCAGTGCGCCAAGTCTCCCCTGTCGGCCAACAAAGCCTTAAATGTGTCGACCCCCACTATGTATCCTGAGATAGAGATGGGCATGCCTGTAGACAATATCTTAGACCCCTTAAACATGATTATACCTTCTGAGCAGTTTGACTTTGATTCAGCGACATTTAATAGTCTGATCCAGCAGGTGCACGAGGACTACAACAAGGCAAATCTGTTCCCCCCGCATATGAGCGAGTCTTTGGAATTCTCTGATTTTATCACCGATTGCTACTGAATGGGAGAGATTGGGTTTCTGGAACGAGGAATACCAGGGGTGATTCATGGTTGCTTCTATCTTTTTTCTATAATCTTCGTGCATTCAGGGTTCTTCGGATTTTCGTTTTTCGTTTTTCGTTTTTCATTTTATGTACACATATTGCATCAAACATCCTGGACGGTGTATTAGGATGGTATATTATGATGGTGGCATGGTATCTATCTCTGCTTTGTCTTTTGTCTGTCCTTTCACAAACAAGTTACGACGGAATGACAGGGCTACAGCTTACAAATAGGGATTTTCTTTCTTCTATTTCTTTCTTTTCTCTCTTTTCTCTTTTCTTTTTCTATTTTACATAATTGGGATGGAATGGGTTTATTTACTGGCCAGGAATACACCAAGTACTGGACTAGTTAACAGGTACAAACATGTTACAGACAGACAGACATTGATAGTATCTACAGCTTGGTAGTTAACGTGAGCTGCAGAATCCACAGACTTCTTCAGGGGTCCATCGATCTTTGCACAACCACGTTTTCGTTAGGAAGGCCATGCTTCTGCAGCAGCCTCTGCATCCCCGATCGATCCATGATCGACCTGTTGGGCTCGCGTGGCTGGTATGCTGTGATACGCTTGCTCCCCAGCCACTTTCTTTTGGATTCTGCAATCTCCAGACTAGAAAGTTCCCTCGGTAGCTCCCTGCCTTCTTTTTCTTTTTCTATTCTTTTCCCTTCTTTTCATTTCTTTCTTTCTTTCTTTCTTCCTTCCTTCCTTCCTTTCTTTTTTTTTTGCAATTTGGTCCCTTCCCAGAAACAGTTGTTGGAACCTCCGATATTGTTTTACAATACACCACATCCGTTCTCTTTGCCCTGGACTATACAACAGAAGTAGATACATAGTTTTTATTAAGTTTTTTAAGATATAAAGTTGAAAAAAGACGGTCACTCCAACAATGCAATAATATTAAATATCTGGGCATTATATCCGAACAAACTCTAACCATTAACAACCCATTCCCTCTTATACAATGAATTCTGATCACTTGCCCAGATAAATGTCGGACACTCTAACCCCCCCCCTCTTTATTTCCGCTGGGTCCTAATAGTTATAGACAGATCTAAAACACCAGACCATAGTTAATTCCCGGCTCCTTTGTCGTTGTTCAAACACATGTTTCATGGTGGCGTTTACATTAAGGTAGAGGTGGTTTCTTCGAGAACAGTTTTGACCAGTCTTCCTTGCTAGTAATTAGGTTAATAATATATATATATATATATTTTAGCAACGCGGTGTTTGGGTGGTCATGGACTTTATATATTTAACTGGCAGAGGGTCGGGCCGGCCCTGTTGGTTTGTTTGCGAATAGCACCCTTGGGACTTAAAGCAGGTTAAGTATAGAGCTAGTAGTTGCCCTGTTAGAAGGTTCTACCAATATAAAAACTTTTTTTTTTTTTTCTTCTCAGAGAGATATAAACGGCCTCACTGTTAGGGAAAGAGTTGGGTTTAATGGCTTGTAAAAAATCATATCCTTAATACTTCTCCATTTGTTAAATTCCTGGATCAGATGTCCCGAGAGCGGGAGTAGGAGTTTTGGAGTATACTTAATCTAGCACTCGCTGTCGCGAAATACCCCAGAGAGATTTATTAGATCGCGGATTTAGACCTGGTTTCCGTCATGATGAACAGAATCTTTGGATGATATAAATGGGACAGTGGTCCGAACGCTGTATTATTTTTATATAGTAATTCACATGATCCAATAATGTAACTGGCAAGCGAGTCGGCCACTTTTCTGACTGGTGAAAGGGAAGCCATTCAAAACAGCCAAAAACTTGTATTTCTATACAAAACTAATTATTATTGCGAAATTTGCGATTAGGATATTGCAACCATCTAAGTCACACTATATAACAATCACTCCAGCGTGGGCTCGTACGCGTCGTTCAACCGTATGTGGCTCTGGATCTACTGGTATAGTATCCTGAGCTTCTTGGATTTTATTCTGGTGCTGTATATATTCGTGGGCCTCCTGTGTAAAAAGGCTCTCTGTAGTATCTATCTGTTGCTTATATTGCTTCTTTTATTGATGTTTTGCTTTATTTACCGTCTGTTGTTCCTGATTTTCTTTGATAAGAAAGGAGTCTCATTTAGGGCCGTTTTATATGCCTTTAATAATCTTGTCTAATTGTGCTTTCAGAGATGGAGGGCTCTGTATAAGTGATTTAAGCAGCGTTTTGAGTGTAGATGGTTCTCCATCTGCTTAAGATTATAAGGTGTTTTGGGTGCTGAGTTAGTTAAATACGCTATAGAAGAAGAGCTGATGAATTAAGGCTGTTTTTATTAGGTTAAAATTGCTTTTATAATTAAGCCGATATACTATAGGTTGTGTAAAGGGCTCTCGGGCCTATGGTCCCTGCTGTCCCTATTGTCCCTATTGTCCCTATTGTCCCTATTGTCCCTATTGTCCCTATTGTCCCTACTGACCCTACTGACCCTACTGACCCTACTGACCCTACTGAACCTACTGGCCCTTGATGGCCTATAAAGCGTGACTCTCCTTTCTTTTTCTTTTTTTTTTTTTTGACTGTCCCTTTTTCTCTTTCTTTCAACGAATCCTTTGGTATCACATGACGCGTGGTCAGCATGTCAGGTCCTGACACGCACGACAGTTTCTCTACAAGTTGTGTATTAAGAAAACAATCCAGGAAGCGGCGATTGTGGTGACTAATATAATAACAAAGCTGATTAAGGCTGCCACCGAATAGTCGCAGGAGATTGTTTGTGAGGGGCGAGGTAGCTCATCGCAAAAAACAACAGATGGACTCAGGGGCTTATCTCGGCTGCAAAGGCAGTAGTGAGCTCTACCAACATGTTAATCTAGACGACGGATGGCATTATCTCTGGGTGCAACTCGCTGGAGCAGTTGATTGTGGCTAGTAACGATGTGGTGGTTAGTTGTGTCAAGACGATATTCATAAGCATGACCCAGGACCTACTGGAAACAGTGAGCAAAGCCATGGGTGCTGTGTGCTGAGCTCTTGTGTGACAGGTGAAGGGTATCATTCGGGAGAAGAACCCCTGATAAGACAGAAGGTCGGCTATTCTAACTTATTTCGCTAAAATTAAGGTACAGGAAATAAAGCACCAGGTAAGCCCAATCTTCTATTAGCTGCTCGGTTTTTTTTTGCTTATTTATAGCTTTTTAACGCGAACAAAACCAATAGGTCAAATCCTTTAGCTCAAAACAGCCTTGCACAGGCCTGATAGCATCTGGGCGAAATGAGCAAGATCTTGTACTAGGAAGACCAAGATAAGTGCGGGGAACTACAGAGTAACTCCACCATCTGTGGTGTTATGTACTTGTGGCGGTTTTGTGACTTTGTACTAACTTTTACCCCCCTCTTCCCTGATGATTCCATGAAGTGTCGTGGTTGCCATCTAGTTTCTAGTTAGTTTTTATTATATTTTCTTTGCCAATTCTCTGTCACCATTCTAAAGTGTGTTGGATGTATACCAAGGGTAGAAGTACTGGATATTTATTTTACCATGCTTGGCTGTTCTTTTGTGTTGCTGCTGTTGATTCCTCAGGAAGCTTGCCGAATCGTGCCTTTCGTGGAGTCAGCCGGCGGTGGCGGTGGTCGGCATCTTGGCCCTATTAACCGCCGACTTTTTTTGTCTACTAGTGATGTCGAGGTATGCAAAGGAAACTATCTTTGTACGAGAGAATACGAGATTTAATTGACAAAGAAAGCTAGGGGCAAGAAGACGGGTAATTTATTGTTCTAAATTTTATTTTATTTTTTTTCATTTTGTGATTAGTTTCTGAAATACATCAAATCAATGCCTCCTGCTAAGATTATTCTGTTCTAAGTAGAGATATAATGAGATCTTAATTATTTTAACCACACCAAACTAATCACCCGTGCTATTTAGAGCATGGCTATCCATAGTCTTATTGCCTTTAACTAGCCTAGTCTATAGCAATCCTATTAACTTAATATAACAGAACTGGATTACAGTCTATCAGAGTATAGAAAGAAGGAAATAAAGAGACAGGAAGGTGAAAGAAAAGAAAAGAAAAACATAACGCAGAGTAGATGGAGAAAGGAAAAAGAGAAGAGAGAAGAAAGATAGGTGAAAAATAAAAGCGGACTTATCCCATCACACTATAACCATCGTACCAAATGTTCTTGGCTATAGAAATCCCGATAAAGGTTAGAAAACAAAATAAGTGGACAAAACTTTTAAAAATAGGACATGATAAAACAAAAGTAAGAATATGTTATTACTGGTCGCAGTATGGAAAAAGAATATAAAATCAAAAAAACAGAAAAGAAATAAATGCACATCTATTCATGCTTGCTAAATCTCATAGGCCATCTATAATATGCATTAAAGCGTTAGAAATCCATAAGTGTATTGTATGTTCATAAGTTTATATAATATATATAGAATTATAGGAAGCTACTAGTATTGTATAGTCTTAGCGTTACTTTGTTATACATCAGGGAACATTGTACCTTTTATTATTTAAATTGTAGTACCCAGGCTTTCGAAGTTTCAGAGATAGAAGTGTTCACCTAATTTAGGTGTTAACTAAATAATCAAATTTAAAAACCTTAAATAAATTGATAAACAAAGGATCACATTATAATTAGTGCCTGAATAGATGTTTTTTATTAGTAATTATAATCTAGTTATTCTTGTCTGAGAATCTGGCAGCTAACAGCCAATGAATCTACTGCGCCGCAGTGTTGTGGCTAAGCTCAGGATCTTAACTATTTCACTGGACTAAAAGACCACTATATCTGATCATAATGGGGATCAGATATTCCTGAGCTCCTTATATGGAAGCGCACTGTAATGTTAGGTGACGCACCCACGCCTAACACGCAGCTAGGTTGAGGCCGTAACGGACCAACAATGACCTAACCGGTTAACTTATATTGGGAAGTATGATATATCATAGCTACTGATGTATTACGACGTAGCAGGTGATATGATGGATATGGATATATAAAGGACAGTCATTACCATTGTAAATAGATTCTAGCTAGTGTGTCTTATTCTCAGTGACAAAGATAGCCTACCTTTCAGAATAATCCACACGACCTGTTTGGACTAAGTAATCGTTCTTATATCATTTGTTAGCAGAATACCTTAAGATCTCCTGATCCTAGGAAGGACTGCTAGACCTTATCTGACAATACCTAGCATTTGCTAAAAGAATATACAGTAACTTTTAATGAAGGTTGGGGAATAGTAAAATGTTAGTCCCGAAGACATAAAAGTATAATTTTAACAGCAGGCCGTGTAAAGGGCTAGAGCCCGTTTAACCTCTCGGGCCAATGTCCCTACTGTCCCCGTTGTCCCTATTGTCCCTATTGTCCCTATTGTCCCTACTGTCCCTACTGTCCCTACTGACCCTTTTGGCCCATTGGCCCTCGATCGATGTCACGTGACTCCCCACCTTGTTTGTTTACCGCTTGTTTCCTCTTCCTTTCTTCCTTTCTTCCCTTCTTCAACGATTCCTTCTTGTACATAACCTATCTTGTAGGTTCTATGGGTTCAGCCCTTGACAGGCCGGGGGGCTAAAAGAGAAATATACCAAAGAATAACCAGACTGCTATTACTTGCCTTGCAAGACCTCTGAGAGAAAGTATTCAGACTCATCACACTAGCATTGCGAGACCAGCCAGTCCACCAAGTCTTCCCTGTTGGCAAACAAAATATTAAATATTTTGACTCTTATTATATATCCTAAGACCAAAGTGGGTATGCCTGTAGACAATATTTTAATCCACTTAAATATAATTATACCCTTTACATAGTTCGACTTCTATTCGTCGACCTTTAATAGTCTGATCCATCAGGAGCATGAGGACTACAACAAGGTGAGTCTGTTTTATCTTTATATAGGCAAGTCTTCCGAAATCTTTGACTTTATCACTAATTGCTGCTAAATAGGAGAAATTAAGCTTCTAGAACCAGGAATACCGTGGGTACATTACAGTGGCTTATATTTTATTTTATTTTATTAATAATTTTTTTATATTTAGGGTTCTTTGGTTCTTCAGCTTTTCAGTTGTTTTTTTTTTTTCTTTTTTGATTTTTTCCCCTGTACGTACATTATATTATAAATATGGGCTTTGTATTATAGGGGCACGGTGCCTGCCTCTGTTTTGTTTTTCCTTTATTTTTTCTACCAAGTTACGATGGAATGACAATTATGCCATGCTACAGTTCATGGATAGAGTTTTTTTTTCTTTTTCTTTTTTTTCTTTTTTTTTTTTTTCAATTAGGATAGAACAGGTTAATTTACTGGCCAGGAATACAGCTAGTACTGGACTAGGAAGAGTTATGCACTATATACTACAGATAAACAGACATAATTACTACTTCTAACTCTAGCTTGGTAGTTGTCAGATATACCACTACCTAGTGTGGCCACGCAAGGAAAAGATGCGATGGGGACACTGTACTTGTGAACACAAACGTCGCCACTGCTCACCAAGGGGTAAGGGCAAGATCAGCAGCTAAGCCTGACCAAAGTGTACTGGAAATTATAAAGGTCACTCAGCAAAATTCTGCTGGAAATGTCAAAGACATAAAACTTATCCTGGCAACCATTTCTCGCTTTTAGTTTAGCTTGAAATCCGACGGTTGCTAATTGATGAACGAGTTTTCGATGTGTCTAACTTGGATTTTTCGAATAATATTTTATTACCACGTATGGCTAGCCTTTATAGTGACTTTAACTTGAATATTTAGTAGTCATATTTCATAGAATTCGCATAACCGGCACCAGAACTGGGGTATCTAACTAATATATACAGCACCACACAGCCCTGGTTTTTCCGACAAACGGAGTTGTACTTAAAGAAGCTTTTTATTATTCTACATGGAAATACAAACTAGAAATTACTGGGAAGAGAGTTTTTATTGGCAATTTCGCACCCTACTAGCAGTTGTGTAGGTACTGAGTCTCGTGCGACACTCTGACACGAAACCAACTGCAATTAAAACAGAATGGGCGAAGAAGCTCTCTGATATATGTGGTACAGAGCTCTGAGTAACATACTAACCGAAGCATGATTCCTCTCTGTTGCTACGGCACATGTAGTTATACCATATGTCCTGGAATCGAACATTGACGCGGGGATTAGCAACCAATAGCTGTACCATGACGAGATGTCCTCCGCAGCAGCCAGCAACAACGAAGTCCTTCCATCTGTGTCAACGGCATTTACATCAGTACGTGGATCTGCTAGCAATAGTTGTACTGTTATAGCATGCCCATCAGCAGAGGCTAGTCACAGCGCTGTCCAACCCTGACAACCTGTAGCATTGACATCAATTTCACGATCTTGTGATAAAGTAAACATGCGACTTCAGGATGTCTCATTGTGACTGATACGCAAAGTGGTGTTATGCCGGTTGTTGCATGACGTTGATTGATGTCAAAAGCATCATGCTTGATTGGCTCATTAACTACGTCAATCTTCCCGCCCTGCAAGCCAGCTAAGTGTGCGAGTGACCTTGAATGTCTTGGAGATTAGGTTGTATATCTGACTGTCGAAGCAAAAGCTTGACAGCTGAAAGATTACCGAGGTGAGTATCCTAGAGAGAGGTGTGAGAACCTCTAAGCAAGCATGGTAGTTGTCGTGGTCTAGGATATCAATATATCGCTCCCTATATTAGATAACTGGGTTGCGTGTAGCTGATCGATAAGTTTACTGCCTTCTTCTTCCCAAGTCACAGCAAAATACTTATTTTATGTCGACAATTATGGTAATATTAATCCGGCTCCTTACTCGGTCAAATGCTAGGGATGATACAACATCATCGGATCGGTGCTATTTCCCACGTTTAGTTAGCTCACATTCTTTCTTTGTTTATTTACATCGCCATATAAAGCGCGATGGTAGTTTAGTTGAATCAGAGACCCGATTCTTTTCGGATCGATGCTTGCAAATACGCGTATATTTAATGGTCGACATTTTATAAAAGTTGGTGATGGAGATTCTGACAGTCTAACGTGTGCCTGGCTGAGAAAAAACAAAATCATGGATGGCCAGCTGAAGGCTGCATATCATGTAAACTAGTCTGTTTATTCTGGACTACGTACGAGGAAGTACAGTTTTGGAAGCTAGTGATAAAAGTATTAATCTTCATTTATACCCACTCCTGTTATAATTTATTGCTGACTGTAGAGCTTCCATTGTCTCAGAAACATTATACTTAGCAGTTATCTTCAGTTACAGAAAAATTTCCACTTCAAACCTTGACAGCATGATGCATTTCCTCCAGATCACTGCCCTTCTTACTCTTCTTGCGCCGTTGGGTTTAGCTCAGGGTGATAATGGAATCTTAGTAGGTTACGAGGCTTGACCTTTAACTAATCTCTTGAACTATTTAATTCTAATATATATAGGTCAACGTAAATTCACACGGCACCAGTAGTGTATACTACCCCGAATCTGGTATTTGTACGCCAATTGGTGTTAAGTAAGTATATAACTAAGATTTGTCTCTTACTCTGAAGCTAATAGTTGGGTAGCCAGGCAGGCACTGTACAGAACTCAGCCCGCTGTGTTTTCTATATGTATGCAATAAATAACAATGAACATAAGGAGAATAATATTAACATACACCTAGACAACCGGGTTGTAATGGGCAGCTTGCCGTTTTTGGAAGCGGCGTCCACAGTATCTATCCTCCTGAGGATATTGGGAGTGTGAAGTGCTATGAATAGTATTGAATTGGTGATTGCTATGTCTGACATCTAGAACTTGGAACAGTCGGATTTTTCATTCAGGTGGAGGGATATGCCTTTGTAGTGTACTCACCTTAGGATGAGTGTTTTTTCCATGCTAGGTTTCTTATGTTGAAATGCAATGCAGAGGATCAATAGTATTGAATTAGCTTTGGTTTAGAAAATCTAAATCCCTGATATTCCTCTTCCTATAGTGACTTGTCACAAGATAATTCGGTAAACTTCCGAAACAAGTTTACGCCGTAGAGAGAGAACTCCACAGCGGTAACAACACCAGCCAGAGATTTTCAGAACTGATATACGATTCATCTCGAAGGGGGTCTGCATCCATATTGTACCTCTCTCGAAACCAAGACTTCGTGAGATCCCCAAGGCTATAAAAGCCGCCATAAAACACATGCTACTTCGAACCATTGATCTCACAGTTGCGTTTGGCCTTTAGCTGTATAGCTAGACTATTAGGGAGTTCTTCTGGGCTTTTCGGGTCCATGTATGTAACTCTGAATCTTCCGTAAGTGACATGACTAGAAGCCTGATTTGTTCCAAGAGGTCCTTGCCGGTCAGAATGACGGCCTTGTGGTTGACAGCTTCACTTCCATGTCAGACAGAACGAGAGGTCAGCGAAGCTTTTGGGGAATTTGAAGGGAAAGAAATACAAATTTATATTATCATGGCTCGTACCGTAAGCCTTAACGTATGTTCTAGACCTCTAACCATAACAGGGAGAGCTGTATTGTTATGACCTACGAAACAGAGGTACACTGTTGGGAAACTTTCGTCTTTCGTTCCATTAACATTCTTCATGATATTGCCAAAAACACTTCTGGTCCGTGTGTTCTCTCGCCCTCCACATTGCAAGGTTGGAAATGGCGTTTAAAATTTTTTCTAAAACCAAAGGTGACGAGATTACTGCGCCTACAGGATCATACGGCGACTTTGACCTTGATGATTGTAACCCAGAAATAATGGACGGTATCTTACAACCCATAATTGGTACAATCGGCATCTCCTTGTCCGATGATCGTCGATCCCGGGTTGGCCATTCTCCGACTGGCAATTCTCTAACTTCCCTAATAGAAGAATTCCCGCTGAACTTCAAGCATCGCATGGTCGTGGAAAAGGTCCTCTTTGAAGGCTTTTCCTTGGCCGAACACATTTTTATTCATCTTGGCTGTAACAGACGCTTCTCTGCGTCATGGGCAAAGGCGGCACGCGAAAGAGTCAGGTTTTGAAACTATTGTCGTCATGGATCTTTTCAATCGCAGGCACGAGGTAATTCTTGTGGCTCCCACCAGTGCAACTGATGATAACATTGGTGGGAATACCTACCATACCTCCTTGCCATATCAATCGATCGCTCACGAGCAGCGTCGACCACGAGATCTCGTTCCCAGGAGACTATGGGCCCGCAAGGCCGTCATGTTCGTAGACGAAGTAGGCATGGTAGATCTGACCATGCTTACCTTAACCAACAATCAGTGTAAAATTGCTAAATATTTAGGCCAGGGTTCATTTGAATTTTTTAGTGAACTCCTTTCGTTGTATTTATTGGTGACTTCTTCAACTTTCCGCCTGTTCTTAGTCCCGCCCTATGGGGGAAGCCTCTATTGAATAAAGACGAAGGCAAACTCGGCCAACAGTCCTAGCACTAGTTTAAGCAGGTGATTATCCTGGATGAGCAGATGAGGCAATCCGAGTACGCCCCCTTCCGTCACCTCCTTCACGAGCTCGGCCGTGCTCTGACGGGAAGCAATTTCTCCTTGAACAGTAAAGCGATCACATCCTTAGTCGCTCTCCACTGGAAGGCGCTACAACGCTGGTTAAACGGAACTCCCTTTGGCACCTGGTGAACCGCGTTCAAATAGGGAATTTTTTGCGCTTGGGAAATCAGAGAATCTATATCCAACCCTCCCAGCATGCCCGCACGAAATCCACCGGCCCAGGAAACTTGCGACCCCGCTTGGGTGACATGTATTTCAACAGCCCGATCACGACAGACCAAAATCCCGTTTCCTCGACTTTTTTGTACGCTGTAAACATGGCTGCAGTAATTCTCTAATATCTGCACACCTCTCGGCCAGGTAAATGGAGCAGCGGGAACTGCAGGCAATTATTTGTTGATCCGTCTGGTAAGTTCATATTCTGAAGGCATCATGTAAAGGAATAGGCTATTGGAGGACTGAAATGTGAGCCTTCGGAGCCGCAAGACAATACAGAATGTGTTCTTCATCCTGCCCGGTGAGACCATTCGTTACTCTCACTTCCAACTATACATGCACTCCGATTTAGTGACGTATGCAAACTGTCGGGGTTGTGAACGCAAGGTCACTGGATACGAATTTAAGGGAAAGTAGGGGAGGTAAATTTACTCTACTATTATAAGTTGAAAAATTCGAATATGGAGAATTTTCCGCTTCTGAGCAAATTGCGTGAGCTGTCAATAGTATATCATGTCATATATGGGGTTTCCCACTAGTTTAGCATCTAGGTGTCTCCATGCTGCTATGCAAATGCGAAGGCAACTGATTTTTCACTGTTATTTAAGTTTTATAATGACTCTGTGACAATGTTTGATGTGAAGTGTTGTATTTAAATTAAGCTTGGACTTTGCTTGATGCCTTCAAGAGCCGGAAAAGGAGGGCTAAGTTCTCCATAATCTGATTTTATCAACAGATCGCAGAAGGAGCTGATCATTTAACAGGGAGAACTATATATATATATCGCATGAAGTAAATCCAGGTGAGGTGTATTCACGTGTCCTAATGGAAATCTGTACTATGGTCGAGTTTTCTCTTGTGGTTGAGAAAAGCTAATCGATAGGCTGCGAGAAGTATAAACCTATTATTTGGCGGAAGCTTCATCTTAGATGTAGCAAGGAAGGTTGAGTATGCTCTTTGTGCCTCATCCCAGTTTTCCCATCTATAGTAGATATCACCGAGGAAGAGTAGACCCCAAAGATTAAGCCAAATTAGGGGAGCCGGGCTTGTTTTGCTGAGATTGATGACTTTCCGAAGCATCACTTCTGCCTCTTTCCATCGTCTTTGCACGAGATACATATTCGCAAGCGCAAGGCCAGACTCCAGCGTGTTCGGTCGCTCTCTCCAAACAGCTTATGGCGACCAGTGAACGCTATTTGGAACATATCTTCTGCATCCTGGTAGTACCCGTTTTGATCAAACGCAAACCCTATGGCAAATGCCCTAGCTAGCGTGTGTTCATCCTCCGGACTTCTATGGTAGTCATCTAATACTTTGCGAAGCCATGCTTGTGTATGCTTTTTTTGCTGTTGCGCTTTTTGCTGTTGCGCTTTTTGCTGTTGCGCATAACTGACCCCAAGCCACTCTTTGCACGCTATTGTAGCAGGTTGATCAGGACCTAATAATTCTTCGTAGCTTTTTAGTGCTTTCTGGAGGGCTTCCTCGGCCGCTTCTGCTTTTCCTGCCTTGGAATACGTAATCCCAAGTTTGCATAAGTGTTCCAAGGTTTCATAATGAAAAAAACCAAATGTAGCCTGAAACCCAGTGATGACCCAGTTATATGTCCTGTGCTTGCTGGAACTTGCCCTGCAACGAATACACACATGCAAGGAGACTTCCTATATGTAAGACTGGGAATTCTCGGACTTGAGCATTCTGGGCAGTCTGAATGGCTCCTAAGCATCGCTGCTCCAGTTCTTGATACATTCCTTTTTCCGCATAAATAAGACATTGAGCGAAAGTCAGTCCCAAACTCGCACTTTGGTCTGAAGTTGAAGTCTTTGCAATCGACCTTTCTAGTAGGCTCTCCGCATCTTCCCACTTTTGCTGTCTAGCGTACAGTATTACCAGGCCATTAATAGCCTGGTAATCGTCCACGTGGCTCTCCAGAATTCGTTGTAGCAAGTCAATGCCCTTCTGTGCGTTAGATTCCAGACAAAGAACGCCAAGTATCTTCGTCAGAAACAACGCCCATGATGAATTAGGGCCAAAGTTTTTCTCGAAATATGGCAGCAGACATGCTATGGTCTCTCTGGTAAGGTCAAACTGCCCTTGCGGAAAATATAAGTTCATGGCTATATTTAGCAGGGCTCCAAGGATACCGGCATCTCGACACATACAACCTCTAGTACCAAATAGGCACTTCGAAGCCATAATTGCGTGGGGGAGGAGACGTGTTCGCAACTTCCAGGGTTCTGGTTCTTGCGGTGACAGACATCGACTGATAGATTTAATCGCTATTACTGGATACCCCATATTGTTTTTTTCTTCGTTATCCACAGCACATGAATAGTTATGGCACCAATCTTGCACGACTGGATGCATTGAGTAGTTGTCACTTGCGTGACTAACTAGAGAGAAGTTTTGCAGCTGTTTCATTGTGTTCAAAAAGTGAATTTTTTGGAAGTAGTTTTTGCTAACCAGGATGGCTCAGAGCAATCCACACCCAGGCGAACCAGGTCATACCAAATACCCTGATTATGGTAGCATGATAGTAGCAGCAAGAGTTTAGCAGCTGATGGACATCTCTTGCGAATCTCCTGATAGGTAATCTCGAAGGATCTTATCAAATCACCGCTTGAATACTGACCATCAGGCTCCAATTCTTCGTGCACTTCTTTCCAAGATGTACAGTATAACTCGAGGTATTCGGATGGTGATATTCTGTCTGCTGGATGTAGGAGCCAGCAAGAACAAGAGCCAGAGGCAGTCCACCCAATCGGTTGGCGACGGCCAGGATATCTTATTTCGGTCAGCAAGTCAGAGTCATCATCAATCTTGGGTGTTAATACGTACCGGGGTCGGTTTAGACTTTATGTTGCAACACATGCCCGCCACAGCTTATAAGTAGCTGCGCAGCTTCATAAGAGGAAGACTCTGCAGAAGATAAAGATTTGGGTCTCCGAGATCCTTTGTGAGACCCCAGGCCTTTGTCGTGATTAGAATGGAGCCATTGTCCACGGAATCAGGAAAGAACTTGGTGACATCATAAGATCCTGAGCCATATTGACCACCAGCGGAATGGTGATCAACATTGCCATAGATCAGAAGCCATTTTGAGTTCCCCTCTTGCGACAGCCACTTGAGGGCCGCGACTGTTGTGTTTCTATGCTTCCAGCACTGCTTGTCTCAACTGCAGGAAGCTGCTGTAGAATAAAGGCAAGACGATGGCATAGCGTTTCCCGGGTCTTCCCATTCAACCAAAAAACAGCGGAGTAATTTCCCTTATACAACAATGCAAAATGAATTGCTAGCTGGGTTTTACCACCTCCTGGTATACCCTTGAGAACCAACATTTTTCTTCTGATAGAAGCATCTGGTTTGAGCTCCTGCCAGATCTTTTCTAGGTCCATCTCGCGCCCTATAAACGGTTCCACCAAAGGGAAATTTTGGCAGTTAAACTGCACGCGGAAGATAGGGTCTATGTAATGATTATTATGTGGATCATTTACAGCACAGGAAATTCTATCTGAAGAGGGTGGCTAACCTCCAACAGTCGTCGTACTCTCCACCGGAACAATCTCCAGCAGCTTTTTCGCGTATGCCGCCGCTACGGCTGCTGCATAGCTTTGCCAATTATCATTGCTATTTTCGTCGAAATCCGCATAGTCCGATATTCCCCGTATCACCAGGCTTGGCAAGCGATCCATTACTCCAGCTGCTACTCCAGCTGCCTCCGTTTCAATACAGAGCACTTTGTACTCCTGCATCAAACGATCTCTAGTCTCAGCATTTTTGATCACCTGGTTCCCAGACGCCACTAAACCGTGATGAATAACTGGGCCTCGGCTAGCCCTAACAGGTCGCTCCTCGTGCTTCCCATCCTTATAGAGGATGTCAACTCGGTGCTCATCATAGGCGTACCTATTTAACGTTGGGTGTTCCTCTGCCATCGCCTTGACAAGTTGAGGTATCATATCCGGCTTTCTCTCATTCATGCCTTCCAACTTCGCAACCGCTTGCAGAAGAATCTGGGGAGGTTTGTTTAACGACCCGGTGATCTGAAATCTTCCGTCCGCTAGCTTCTTTCCCACATCATGAGGTAAAACGCCCCCCCAACCATTGCCAGGAACGCTCACAACTATGTCGCCAAGACGAATATCATGTTCCTTGCTGGGAGCTGCACCGCCGATACCAACAATTAGGCCGAATTTGATATTTTTAAAAGTCCGCATCATGTCGGTGGCCAATTGTGCCGCTGGTGTGGCACCGTAGTTCCCCTTAGGAAGGCAACCAATAACAATATTATGTCCGCCCATAGAACCAAGGGTGTAGATGTTCGAGTCATTTGGTTGCCGCAACTTAAGTTCGGCATGTTCTTCATCAAGCATACAAATCAGCGCGTTCTGTTCTGTTGAAAGAGCGCAGATACACCCGACCGTGTACTGCTCAACGGGTAAGACTCTCATGGTCTGGAATAAAGGAATGATCTCAGTCGCAGAGTTCGGATTAGAGTATGATAGCGCCCATTTATATATACTTAGGTGAACGAAGATCGAAGGTATGGGAAAGCCCCTTGGATAAACTAGGAGGGCGTTGTTTTTGGGAATTGGCTCCAGGAGTGTGATATTGAATTTTTATTTTATTTACGGGGCAAGCCGCCATGCTTGGAGCGAGGCGCAGCTTTAATAGTTTCGCCTAGCTGACGTACCGCCAGGCCTGATAGGCGTAATTTTATGCGCCTCTCAGCTAGGCGGCTAATGCCAGCGTCTGATATGCTTTGCGGCTGACATGGGAAGGCTGAACCCAACCTACTCAAAGTACGGCGTTGTGTCGCGTTCTGGGATGCAGTTTGTTCCTCCTCCCCACGTTTGAAATTTTCATTAAATAGCACCAATTTCATCAAGTTGCTTGGCCGTCACATCCCTGATCATGAAGATCATGAATTATCAGTATTATGCCTATAAATCACACCCTAACAGCCATATCTCATATATCACAGTAATAAAATTATTAACGAAGATTATACTCAAGCTTATACGTTCTCTAGGTGCCCTATGATTGTTAGCAAGTGTGAACACGTCCGGTTGACGCCTTTAGTGATTCCCAATGCGCTCAATTTCGACGCCAAGGGCTCAACTTTTTTCAGTAAATAGAGTTAGCTATCTTTACCAGAAGTAGTTCGCACACAAGCTACAGCCCAACATCGTGCAGGAACCAACACAGATAATAGGAAAGTCCACTCCTCTACCGTGCCTTGTGTGAGACTACCGCCTGTGATAATCGATGATATGAGACTTTTCGTTAAGTGGGAAAGCGCTGTAAGAATATCACCCAGTTCCTGTATGCAATCCGCGATTTTCTTCGAGACAATGTCCCAGTTCCTGATGTATACTGGTGGCGCACGGAAGGAGAGGAGAAGTTTATCTCTATGGAATATACAAAATGACGAACTCTGGAGCAAGTAAGACGTGATGGAACCGGGTGGCCGAGTTTCGATCTGCTGTGAACTTCGAACAGTCTATGACAATTTGCGTCCACTGGAACAGGATTAATCTAATATATTCATAAATAAACCAATTCTCCCAACCTTCCAAGGCCTGTACGTTCTAACTCTTTGTATTTGCAGGCAACATTTTACGCGGTCCTCTTTATAATAGAGCAATCAACATAGAACACGTGTCAGAAGCCTGCCCATTTATCGCAGTTTATGATTTTCACAACTGGTTTACATTTCTCTACCGAAGACCAATGGAGAATCGACGTTCGGTCCCGATTGAACCGATTCGCCGTGAGCTGCCTAATAACTGTTCTATCAAGTTTACACACGGCGATCTACACCGAAGCTTTATCATTGTAACACACTTTCGGCCATATCATATTATAGCAATTGTTGACTGGGAGCATTCAGGATGGATACCTGCCTACTAGGAGGCCTGCAAGGCGTAGTATACTGCTAATAGGAGTGAAGAATTATCTATACAGAACTTACCGATAATTTTTGATCAGTATACAAGCACCTGGGATCCATGGGACTATTATACAATGGCTATGGAATGCTAGACCACACGCAGCAATATGGCATGATTACTCAAAGTACACAACAAAAAACCATACCCCAATCGGTCTCTGGAGAGGCTCTTGCATATATTTTGTTGGCTGGAAGCAAATTAGAACATCAGCTAGGAGCCTATAAGAACAAAGTGAGAGACTATTTAGGGTTTGGAAAAGCAATAGGAAACGGAAGCAAATCAAGACGAAGACACGGGTAATATGTAACCTGAAGTAGGAACACTAGGAACACAATTACAGAGTACGCTTGCATGCAATATAGTATCACAGTAGCCTTGGTGCATACTGGACGACCGAAGTAACGCTGCTTTCAACATAACCTTGCTCGGCAAGTTTCCGGACGTAATCTTGTCTCCAGTTTTGGAAATTAGGTGACTTTATCAGAGCTCAGTTAGAAGCCATGGAGGTGCTATTACTGGATACGCATACCTAAGGGTCAAAAGGTTTGGGGCTGCGGCCAGAGGGACTCGCCGTTGTGGAGGCTGACTCTACTCTGTCACGAGCAGCTGTGTCTGCCAAAGGCTGTCCATTAACAACGGTATCAGCTATATGTTGATTATTAACTTGAGACAGTGGAATTTGGTTTGCGTTGCGTGACACTAAAGTCGTAATTGCGCTTGAACTCAAGGAAAAACCCCGTGGCTGTAGTTCCAGTAACATGAATAAGTTCCCACCTTACCTGAGTCACCTGTAGGAACAAAAACAGGGAAGTGAGCGGGTCTAGCACCGTTAGAAAAAACAGCCAAGTCGATAGTGCGAGGCGTTTTTTGCAGTACTGATACAAAAAGAAAATATTTGTTGATATGGATGGTTCGATGGTGAGTGAAGTATAACTTGAATATTGGAAGGCCTGCGAACGTGTAGAAGGGCTGAAAAACGTGCAGAGAGCTCTGGGAATTAGGTATCTCATAGGTTTACATATTTCCTGCCCCTGATATTAAAAGAGCGTCACTCAAGCCCTCGATGGAATAGGCGCCTTCTGATGATCACAGGCTGAGAGTAAGGGAGGCGGTTAGAAATATATCACGCGTCCGTGTTTCAACACCAAGCAGAACGATTGAGACTATTGGACGAGACGTGCCAACTGTACAAGTACCAAGCTGCTTCCACTCTGACTTTAGGGTTGGTGGTGTGAGAAACCGGCACTTGTACATCAGCGATACGCCATAGATAGACCGTGCAGTAAGGGTTACTAATTTTAGAATAGGGATGTCCTCTTTCTATTGGACTAAACAGTGCTTACACTAGGCTGAGGAGCAAATAAGACGTTAACAGGCTATGCGTTTTCGCGCTGACCGGGGATAATGATATGGCTCCCTGGCTTCAGTTCTACCACAATGTATTATCGAACTGAGCCAACCAGAGCGGGCAAGAAATAAACGGCGCGGTTGCATATGGTACCTATGGTAATTATCGATGTATATATTCTGGGTACTTAATCAATGTCTATATTCCAGTAGTTTGGCCCCATGTAGTGCTATAAATTTATCTTATTTTGTTCTCACAAGATTACACTTTTATTGCACTGGAAACCTCGCTGCCTTTCTCAAACGACTAAAGGAAATTTATATGAACTCCGGGGACACTGTTCTGAGGACAGATGCGCCAGTGTGTTTTCTGATAATTGTGAGTCATACAGTGCAGATCCTATATCTCTGTTGGCACCTTCACCTCCGCGAGTCTTTAGCAAGTTGCCATGTCCAACAGCTTGAATAAACGGATATCTTCTTTCTGCCATTAAATAAGTGCATCATCCAAGCTTTCCGCCCATCTGCCGTCTCCAAAGTTTGCGGTCAAATCGTTGTTCGAGTAGAGCCTGCGCATCACCAGCGTACATAAAAACCTTCCCACCCACCTCCTTCGGCTCCTCCTCGTCCCTAAAGTAGATCCAGCAGTCTGCAACTGTATATGCATTTGTCTCGTAATATGATAGTTTTTGGGCCTCTTCCTTGGACCGTATGAGATACGCATATCCTGTAACTACCTGTCCTTGTCTCACATTAATGAGAGCGGGATAATCACCCCAATTTGCAATGGTGTACCCAAATATCTCCGCTTTTCGAAGTTTTGGCTCATCCGCTAAGTCGATAATTCTTTTCAACTGTGACGGAGCTGTTAGTGTTCCGTAGAAGAAATAGTATACAGGGTAATCGAGCGGGGATTCGTGTTGCTCGTCTTGTTGCAGTAGGTAGTCTTGTGGTGCTGACTGGAGCATAGCATAGAAGGGGGATGAAGGCTCCGCCTTGGCCGGGAAAAGGCTCGGAAACTTTGGTATCTTGGGATCTTTTGATTCCTGTGACATTTCGCCAGAGAGAACAGAAAGATGATAAGTTCAGAGAATTCAACAATAAAATACCAGGATGGGGGGCGGGGGGAATGGCATAGATGCGTAATGTTCAGAAAAGTTCCAGAGAGCAGATTAAGAATGATGAAATAGCGGCAACCAAGGGGGTGCACTAGCTGGTTCCTCCGCGCCTCTTTGGAGAAGGGTTGGGTGACAGGCACTAGATGAGATACAGTAGTGCTGAGCGCATGATATGTGAGCTAATAATAATTAAGTATATTTGTGGTGCGAGTCCGAGCTCGTTGATATTAAGTGTTGCGGCTCGGAAAATGTCTTGGGGGAACGCTAACTGATTTAGGTTAGCCCACCTTATCCCTTTAAGCCACCTCCTGTCAGATATATGGCTAGTCCCGAAGAGGAAATAGAGTACGATTGGTAAACAGGTCTTATTTGAATGAATTGGGCTGGTTGGGCTCTTCTTGATTATTCTTGATGATTTTTTGTTGTGTGCTCCGCGGGGCTTTTACCCCGATCTAGTCACATGATTCTGGTCCACCAACGGCCATATTATTTGACAGAAACCAAGCAAGTTTTTATTTCCAGGACTCTGTGGCGTTAATGGGCCCGACCAACACACGCCGCCATTTAATGAGCTCAGCACCGGGTATGAGTAGAATAATATCAGCCATGAACCATTCCATACAAGGATGTCCTAGGAACTCCCAAATATAACTATTACAGTTAATTCTCGGAAATTTTCAACGCATATTTCATCTGCCAAAATTTGTATAATAGGGAGCCAGGTACTACTCTTATGGCAAGGCTCGGTACAACTGTCAATTATTTTGGGCAAGAGTAACGTTACTGGTATGTATCTGTTGCGCACGTTGGCATTCCAGTTAAACCCAATGCGGAAATGTAACGTATCTGACCATTGCTACCTTATGTTCCTTGCTCTCCTGTTAATAAAGGCGACTCGGTGTTTCCTCTTTTTCCCATTTGCATCTATATAATATAAAATGGCACCCCGACCTCTCTTGCCTTTTTTCCCTACTGGTCGTGAACCGCATTATCGATAACCCTACCACTGCACAAATGGCCTCGTTCGCGTCCCTCCCTAGAGCCCGTGTGGATCCGATGTTAATGTTAATGGAAAAGGTTAAGCAGGACACTCATCAGCACAAGGTAGATCTCGGCGTCGGTGTCTATCGTGACGAGCAAGGAAGCTATTATGAGTTTCCAGCGATTAGGAAGGTATGGTCTTCTTGTTCGTTCGTTATACTTTATGAGCAATTATCTATTTCTAATGATTGCTGTTTAAGACTATCTGTTATAACTAACTTCAAATATGCACATTAGGCAAAGGAAGCTCTAGAAAAAAAGAACCCTGGTCACGATGTTGGTACCCATATGGCGTTAAATGGCGGCAAGTCCTACTAAACTTCCATTTAAATATAGTATAGTCCTCATACTGGTATACAGCCATTCGTGAAACTTGCGGCACAGTTCATGTTTGGGCATTCTTTTGAGCTTGAGCGGGTAAGTTATGTTGTTCTTTGATTTACAGATATCTCTGTAGACTGACGACCGTTATGACTTGTTAGGTAGCCTCCGTCCAAACGGTTGCGGGAACTGGCGCTAACAGGATTGGAGCAAGCTTTCTGAGGGCTCACTATGCGAAGGGTAACGAGGCTACTAAAGCATTTGTCGGCGTTCCGACTTGGGGAAATTATTTGCCTTTGCTTGCCCATGCTGGAATTTCCACTGCGACCTATCGGTATTACGATGAAAGCACTCATGAGGTGGATTTTATCAGTATTCTTGGAACTGCGAAGAATGCACCACTCCATTCAATTTTCGTATTCCAGGGGTGTTGCAATAACCCCACTGGTGCGGATATGACAAAGGAGCAATGGAAGGCCCTGTCAGAAGTTATTAAAAGCCGAAGCCATTTTATCTTCTTCGACATGGCATACCAAGGCCTCGGCACGACGAAGCCTGACGATGGATGGGAGGATGCCTGGGCGGTGAGGCACGTCGCCAAGCAAGGAATAGACATGCTTGTTTGCCAGTCCTTTTCTAAGAACATGGGTCTATACTCAGAACTTGCATGTTGTATGTGCCAGTGCTGATGTCGCTGATCTTGTGCGAGACGTGTTAGGGTGCCTCATGAGATGGGAAATTTCGACTGCCCCGGCGTATGGGGCAAGGCTTGCCGAGATTATTCTTCAAACCCCGGAGCTCCGGGAGCAATGGAAGCAGGAGCTGAGCGAGGCCGCTGCTCGGCTGGCGAAAAACCGGGAAAACCTTTATCGAGAGCTTACTACTGTTTGCAATACCCCCGGTAACTGGGACCACATCCTGCAAGATAAAGGGCTATTCTCCTTACTTGGTCTTTCTGAGCGGCAGGTGGACATGCTGATCGCACGGTATCATATATATCTCCCGAGAAACGGTCGTATTAACGTTGCTGGCTTGAACGACTCCAATGTTCATGCTGTCGCTAGGGGCATTGACAATGTTGTTAGAGACTGTTCCAACCCACTGATGGAGGAAATCTAAGAAACGGAGATAGCTGTCTTGGTTTATTTGTAGCAATGCAATATATAAAGGTGCAATATACAACACCTCAATTCAATAGACAAAATAGGTATTGTATAGCACATATTCTTGTACCTCCAACATGCAAGATACGCACCAGAAGTATTATATTATAAGGCTGTGATCAGCGCACCAAGGTGTTTAATCTAATGGAATTAACCTGAAACATTATCCTAAAAGTAATCCTATACAATTCGGCTAGATGGCTAGGCCGGTACCATATACTATTAACCCCATTTCCAAGAGACATGTTGAGAGCATTTTGGTTACTGTTAATAAACACACGAACCAAGGTGTCATTCATAAAATATTTGCTTGTGTTGGCCGTCCCTATAGTAACCGGTGATGTCAAACAGACCGCGAACGAATCATCAAGTAACCATACTTGCCTTTGCCTTGGGAGACAAGACCGGTTTCCAATTGACCGGATGATGGATAAATCGCTTAATACGAGAATTCTTTATATAGAAGATCCGAAATCCGGAAATCAGCTGATCTGTAGAGCTCAATTGTCGCGCATATCTGGGTAAGATCACTATGTTTAACTGCATGTTGTACGGCCTTTCTAATCCATTTTGCCCCATAACAAGTGCGATCGTCGATCGTGATATGGAGGACATGAGATACTTTATAGTTAGAATCAGTGTTGTCTAGGACTACACCACTAACAAGTTTATCATTACTTGATAGCAAACGGATATGTCTGCTACACCTGCGAAGTTGTGGATCTGCATCGCGCGAAAACTGCGACCCTTATACATGAAATTCCAGACTACTCCAAGACTGCTTACGAAAAGATCGCAGACGGGAGCAGGCGTGACTGATTAGTGAACTAAATAAGATTGTTATTTAGCAATGTTAAATTAAAGGTATAAGAATGAATTGTATTCTAACTTGCAGTTAAACTACCCAAGGCGTAAAACTAATAATCACAATTTCACCACATCGTACAGGAGCGACACAGAATGCTGTTAGTCTACTGCTTTTTCCTTAAGTAGCAGCAAGGATGGAAACGCTGCCGAAGTAAGTATAGTCGCGAACACTGGATTATGAAAACTGTTTAGACAGATTTAAAGAAATTGAGAATTAAGCGGCTCAGCTCACCTGGTAGGTATTGAAAACTAGCTAAGTAGCTGGACCGTACAACGTCTTGCAGAGGCTTTGGCAAAGTCTCTGAGAATCTGGCGTCATTCAGTATTCTCTTTATATCCTATAATATGATGGTCAACGACTCTAGGCAATACCGGAATAGGCATAGGAAATTCATGCCTGCTTATGTAGGGCCCCCTTTGGGTGGGTTGAAAGATCTTCTCTGAACAAGCGGAGAATCAAAGCCGAACCGTATGCTGGGCCAATAATGATCCCTAGCTGCTGGCTTAGATAAAAGGTATCATGTTATAGCCAAGCTCAGGATCTTAACTATTCCATTGGACCAAAAGACCACTTTGGGGATCAGATATTCCTGAGCACCTTATATAGCAGCGCACTGTAATGTTAGGTGACGCACCCACACCTAATACCCCAATACAAGAGGGTAGGTCATCCTCTGGGGAATTCGAAGACATTTTGATAAACAGGACTGAAAAGAGCACCCCAGGAGCGAATCCCACCACGAAAAGTACTGTGAACTCCCACCAGGTACACCATTGCGCCACGCAATGGCGATGTCAATAAACACTAATATGGTAATGATATATGGTACAAGGGACATTGTCTTGTACTGCCTCAGGCTCAGTAGTTATTCGGCAGTTAGTCAATATTTTTTTTTTTTTTTTTTTTTTTTTTTTAAAAAAAAAAAAAAGGATTGGAGTCCACGAACTGTTTAATGGCAAAGCCAGAAACGACGCCTCCCACTGAGACACCAGCTGCTATCTGGATGTACATCATAGAGGTGAGGAAGTGACTAGCCTTCTTAACACGTGTAAAATAGGGAACAATATTGGTTATCAGCTGCACCCAGGAATATTAGCATTGCAAATATCTAAGCCATGGGGAGACATACCGCAGTACGACCGGAATACAGTAAAATCTGGATAATACAATAAGCTCCTAGATCTGCAATCAATAGTCGCATGGGGACTAGAGGATTTTGTGTTCAGTATCGTTCATTTACAGTTAAAGCTGCACCTGAAATTATGAGTAATGGAACCAGGACTAATATTCTAACTACTTGATCCTCTTCATCCATTGCCACTGTTTGAAGCAAGAGCAGTAGCGAGACAATAGTAGCTGAAAGAAAGAAGATCCCAGGGAAATTAAGACCTCGAAGACCTGATAATTTACGTTTTGGTAAGGGCTTATCTTCAGAATCTTCACAGGCAGACGTAATGCGAGCATTATGACAAGCGTGCAGAACAAGATAATGGGGAACTGGTCAAAGAATGTCCTATAGAATACCAATCAGTTAGGTTTTCTCCATCTGTTGAGTTTAATTATTGAATATATTACCATCTCCACCCAACAGTATCTGATAAAATACCACCAATTGGTGCTCCCAGGCTACACCCGATAAAATTAACCACGTTCTCATAACTGCGGTAAATCGCAACATCCCTTGATGGGACTAGATCTAGATTATATCAATAGAGTATTAAATTTACAGTGCCACCACCCACCTACCTGTAATAATAAGAGAGACTAGAGATACCATCCCGGCACTACTCACACCGGCGAGAAGTCTTGCCAGGACAAACTGTGTTAATAATGTGCTTCCTCCACTGAGTATTATTAACTATCTTAGTCTTGGTCTTCTTGTCAGGTTGCAATTCTATCAAGAGTAGAATCTCACCATGCCAGACATCCAAGTAGGAATAGTATATTTAAAGTAATAAGAACATTCCTCCGCTCCTATAAGTCACTCAATGCACCATGCTGCTAAAAGGCTAAGGCTGTGGAATCCATCGAATTACCTGAAATAACATACGACTGGTAAGGAAACGCAGTAAAATTATAAGCAACAAGCAGCCATGAGCCTTGAGTGAGAGAGTGAAACTGTGAGGCGATAGTAGTAAACATGGGTAGCACAAGGGACTTATCAGTGCCTGCAATGAATACCGCCTATTAGTTTAATAGCCAGTTAGCCCTTTTCCTTTTCGCCTATTTTCTGCAACGGACCAAGGAATGTTGAATATATTATATAGATATCAGAACACTTTACACTCCTCGGTGATTCGTCTGGGTTTCCTGTACTAATGGATTGGAAGAGAGGCGATTCTTCATTCGGAAGCATGTGTGAGTCTTCCCACACTTAAGACATATTGTAGATCCTAATAACATAGATAGATGGGGACTGCGGCACTGTTTGGTGTTGCATAGCTTTTTGCCACCCTGTACTTGCTTATCTCTTTGGGTAAGCCCCTGCTTAGCATCTGTGCTTGCTGTCGAGTCCTCGTACCCAACGGTAAGGCTCCCACCCGCGGGCCGAAACTGGCTCGCAGCGATCAATCTCTAGTTTTATTTGCTCCCAGGTGGTTCACTAACGGGCCTGTGAAGGTTCCGAAAGATTTAGGCCCTAATTTCGATGCCCCTTATATCTTGTTCTGGCTTGTAATTTAAATGCTTAGACCACCAACACATTTATTAGACAGCTCGACTTAATATAGTCGCAGACCGATGCTTACATTATTACTCGTGGTACATTTCCTATCAACTTATATAGAAAAATTTTTTTATAAATCTGCCACAGCTCCTCAAGTTTCACGGCTTTTAAATAATGGATGCGAGTTAACCTACCTTGCCCGAACTATTATTATTGGAGATATTCCGGTTCCAGTGCCCTAATGCCTACCTATTAGATCTAACCAATGCTATACACCTTGTCGGTAGCAATGCTATTCAGCAACCTAAAGACCTTATTAATAACTGCGTATCTGGTTTCACTTCGAGTTTTTGTTCTAACATGGGAAAATTACGGACTCTTTTCCTATACAGCTAGAAATTATAAAACTGAGAGTAGCTCTCCAAATAGCCGTCATGCCCTATTTCCTCTGTCTTTTTTGCACATGGCCCAGGAAGTTGGTATACGGATTTTCCAGATTATCTAATATCTTTACGTTGTCATACGCATGCACCTGCAAAAGGTTGAGAGAATAAGGGTTAAAAGACCTTGCAAAGACAATACCAACGTGTTGACACCATTCCAATTAGCCTTGTTTTAGCGGAGTTGTACTACAACTAGGAAACAACGGATAGTGACACTCGGGATGCGAGGAGATTACGCTTTTAAAAGAAAAATTGGTAGGCAAGAAGGTGGTTGCTGGTAGCGTCTAGGCTTTCTTTTGGGACTTTTCTGGTTTGTTTTTAAAACACTCGAGCGAGAAGTGTACATGTATATTTATCTCAGCAGCTGTCTTTATATAAATACCTTGGAACTAATCTGTCTTGCAGCAACAATTACAGGGGGTTAACAAAGGCCAAATGGTGGCTCTAGCTATAACTATTGCCAGTAATTTTCCTGCAGTAGTTAAGACATTCCACCACCTTAATTTAACAACATTGTGCTTATTAAATCATGAGATAGTAATAACTAGTTACCACTGATTTAAATTTATTTAAGCAGATCGATGCACACCTTCAAAAAATATCGCCTTAAAAAAACTCTACCAGGGGACTTTCTACGTTGCACCTTAGCCATGCTGTTCCCAGTCCCGGCACTATAGAGCCCGATAGTCCAGCAGAGCAAAAAGCAGACGAGTCTACAACAACAGGGGAATTGTAGGCCGGATAGCTGATGGGATCGATCGATCGAGTCATGGAATTCTGTGGTGTTTCCATATCTGGTTTAGCGCCCTTTCTCTCGCCCGTCATGTTGGAGCTCCTGTTTTGATACTGTATTGATCTGTTATCCCGACCGCACTACTGCTGCGTTAGGGCTATATTCGCACTGTATGTAACCAGCGATACCAAAAGGCATTCTGCACGGTACGTCGTTTCGATTCACATAAAGTCTGTTAGAGTTCCAATACGTGACAGAGTCTCAGAAGACAGTATATAAAGCGAAATATTGATATACCTGATGAGGTGCCAAGTACATCAAGGGAGGGGAAACGAATAGCATTCAGCCTTAGATCCCTGGCTTAAACACCGTCAACCCTTAGTTACATACAGGAAAACGCAAAACAAGAATTCTTCTCAGCCCGATTTTATTTTCAATTTTTCCGTACGTGAGATTGTCCCTATCTCGGGGAATTAACTTAATTCCGGGATCAATATTCGGAGCGTTTGCAAAAGTCTCGGAATACTTGTATTTAGGTATAATAGCGATTACATTAACTCTTCATTATTGCATGTACAATAATTACCGTTGTTTTTTTAAAAAGAGTGAGACTGGATTCATTGTTCTAGTTTGCAAATTTCAAGGCCGAACCTCGGAGTTTTTAGACAAAAGGCCACATGGATCATCGCAGGTACTAAATGTGGTGGCTTTGATACCCCGAATCGCATGGGTAGAAACAGATAGTCTCTTAGACTCCACTTCCGCCGATGTCTCAATGCAGCAGTACTCCCAGAGCTAGCTATATTTGAGACGGGTTGCATGACTTCCACCAGTGGCTGGAAGCATATTTGAAGGTGAAGTTCTGATAGCTATTCAACACCATGGGCGAGGAAGTGGGAAATACGCCGAGAAGGTCCCATTGTCTCTTTAGGACCTATGAAGAAAAAAACACCGATATGGCGACCGTAACTACGCGTTTCCACAGACAATGTCCAGCTGTCGTACGGTTTGAATGATCTGATAATATCGAGGTTTACCCATATAAAGGATTTCACGATCCCCAATATTGCCCTATAAACAGGCCAATCACACAAGGAAGAAAGGAAAGGAAAGGAAAAGAAGAGAAGCAGGCCTGAACAAGATGGATAACCCAAAATTCAAAGTCATTATTGTGGGTGGGTCCATTGCAGGACTCACCCTCGCTCACGGCTTAGCCAGACAAGGTATTGACTTCATCGTACTAGAGAAGCGACCAGAGGTTGCCCCGCAAGAGGGTGCATCTATAGGGATCATGCCCAATGGAGGGCGGATCCTGGACCAACTTGGAATATTCGGGGCGATCGAGGAGCAGATTGAGCCGTTGGATATAGCCCATCTGTATTGGCCTGATGGATTCTTCTTTGGTACTAAGGCGCCCAGGATTGTTAATGAACGGTATGCGTCTACACTTGAAACATTGGGCCTCCTCTTGCCTTCTATTAACTTCAGCGGATAGCTTTGGGTTTCCCCTTGCTTTTCTCGAAAGGCAGAAGCTTCTCACTATCCTTTTTGGCTCTCTCACAGAAAAATCAAAGGTCTACTTCAATAAATCTGTGGTTAGTATTGAGGAGCATAGTGATGGCCATGTAGGTGTTCGCACGGCAGATGGCTGCTATTATTCAGGCGACCTCGTGGTGGGTGCAGATGGGGTACATAGTCGGGTGAGGGCCGAAATGTGGCGATTGGCCGACTTACAGCAGCCAGGATTGATCACTGAGATGGAGAAGAAGAGTCTGTATGACCGAATAGAAAGCAGATCTGATTTCGTTTGCATGATAAGTGGGCTGACAGTTCTCCATGTAACCGTGCTTAGGTATGACCGTGGAGTATGCCTGTACTTACGGGATCTCTTCGCCTGTTCCCGGGCTGAAGATCGGAGAGCACGTTACCAGTCTCCATGATGGACTGTGCATCCAGTCATTCCCGGGGAAGGACGGACGCGTATACTGGTTTATTATGGAAAAGCTGGACCGGAAGTACTCGTACAGCGAGGCTCCTCGCTATAGTTCGGAAGACGCCGCCAACCGATGCGGTCAGCTAAAGGAGCGAAAGATTTGGAAAGATGTGAAGTTTGGGGAGCTGTGGGACAAGCGAGAGGTAGTTTCGAAGACGGCTTTGGAGGAAAATGTCTTTCAGACGTGGAATTTTGGCCCGGTTGTTTGCATCGGCGACAGTATGCACAAGGTATGTCAGAATATGGCCATGGCTGCTTTCACTAAAGTGAAACGGTGACGCAAGAGCTGACCATAAGAGCGGTATATACACAGATGGCTCCCAATACTGGACAAGGTGCCAATTGCGCAATTGAGGATGCTGCCTGTCTTCTGAATCTGTTAAAAGAATGCTACTTGGAAGGATGTCTTCGCAAACCGTCCCGCTGCGAGCTCGACACCCGGTTGCAGCAGTTTACCAAGATGCGTGTTGAACGGATAACCCAGGTGTACAAAGCCGCAAGGCTTCTAGTGCGCATTCATGCTCGCGACGGCCTTCATATGAAACTGCTGGGACGGTATGTTATTCCATATGCTGGCGATGTGTCGGCAGATAAAGCTTCGGAAACGGTGGTTGGGGCGCCGGTGCTGTCGTTTATTTCTCCACCAAAACGCTGCGGCCCTGGCTGGACTTCGTTCCAGACTCGAGGGTTGATCACCATGCCGATACGGGGGACTGCCATGATATTATCGCTTCTTGTTGTGGGCATGACCTTGTATACCCTGCGGGTGTGGTGAAGAGAGGCAAGAAGGTGGTATAAGCTGGTATTAAATTATTATTAATTTATTATTATAGATAGGAGGGATGACTTCAAGTATGGAATATGAAATGGACCTTGTACTGTGTCAGACCTTTATTATTAAGTTATACACTAAATCTCCCCTACGTAACTTTATAAAGCTTATACCAAGTTTATAATGTTTTTTTTTTCTTGCTTTGAACTTAACCCTTAAACCGAATATTCATGCATCCAGTCTGATAATATAAGGCCCTGCTCATTCTTCCCCCCCGAATACACACTTCAAGCCAACTCCTCCGGCGACAATGAGAGCTAACGCCGCAGGCATTCCGACCAGCCTAGGAACGTATATGAGAAACATGCTTTCCGCAGTGAAAGCTTGCATGGGATATATCCACATGGGCGTGAGTATAGAAATCCACACTGTGGTCCACAGAAAACTGGCAACCTTTTGCCAGCATGGTGTCTCACGACGTCGAGTCGCTCCCGACGAGGACTTAGGGGCATTTGCATTTTCCGAAGTCGTCATGGCGTGCCAGGCTTGCTGAAAGAGATCCTCTATCATAATGCCCAAGGCGAACGAAGGGAAGTAGAACATTGAGAAGGACTTGTTGGCAGGGATTCCCATCACCAAGTCCGTGCCAAAGTGGACCAGGCCCGAAAGAGTGAAGACAAACAGGACGTTCGTGTATCGTTCCAATGCTGATCGTTTGGGAAGATCGAGCACCTCTCGCGTTAGGAAACGACTGAGAGACGTGAAAGGCCATCGGAAAATTTGGTGAAGGTATTTACTTTTGTGGAAGAGCGCGTTAGCCTAGCCTGTACCTGTGCCTCGGTAGAGTCCTGGGGGTAATAGCGTACCTCCATATATTGCGCACTGTATAAGCATCCCAGACACTGCCAAATAATGGCGGCCAATCGTCTGGAGAATCAATCCCGAGCATGACAAAGACGATCGAAAGGACCCGGTAGTCGAAATCAAGAGACAGAGGAATAGATACAAAACAAGTCATCCAAGACACCATTACCCGACCCAGCCACTGGTTGATTGATACAGTGAAGTAGTCGAGGTTGAAGCTGGGCTCCTTTAATAGGCTACGCCCCTGGGACGCGGCCTGCAGTGAGAGAAATGTGAGGACGTTGAAAACCAAGTAATACCACAGTGCAAAGGCTGCCTGCCGGATCAGGAACAGATATCGAGGGCTTCCTCGGCGAGTCAGGAATGCTGGCTGTGGTGGCAGGTCCCTGGCCTGCCACGGCGTCCCAATACCACGCAGACACATGAAAAGGCGCGCAGTGCGGAAAACTGTCTTGAATCCATTTGCAGATGGCTGGATGACTCGCTTTTGAAGAAGGTCGTCCCGGTCCTGGGCGTCGATAATCAATAAATTCAGGCTTTGTAGAACGCCCGCCGCAATCTGTGACCCGGCCTTGGTGTAATATCCTGCTGAACTGGCATGGGTTACAGGAAGTAGCAGATACTGATAGAAAATCCATGTGGAACATGGAGCCCAGAGGTAGCGTAGCAAGGACCGCTTTTTGGTATAGAGAATCAAGAGAGCCGGTACAAGGTTCTGTATAAGATAGACTGTACCAATATACACCCCTCCCGAGATCAGATTTCTTTCTGGAATGGGCATTTTGGACTTCGTCGTCGGCGTCTAGATTGTAGTGAAAAAGAGAAAAAGAAAAAGAAAAAAAAATTTGGGTGGTGGACCTCTACTGTTCGAGAATACCGACGAAGGGCTTACGAAGTCAAGGCCCTGCGCAGCAGCATCGACAAAGTATTCCCTATATCTTTTTGCGGAGAAAGGTAGCTATTGAAAATTACAGTTCTACGTGAAAGATTTTTATTGATATATTCTCCGAGGAATGGGGAAATAAAACAAAACCCCCCGACAACAGATGGCCGAAAGAAAAGCAAAAATCCACCGAAAATTACAATTACCTATTGATACACTAGGTTTTCGCTAAATAGCGATTACTTGGCATACATAGTATACTGGATGTTGCATCTGGAGTCGGAGCTTTGCAACGCCGGACGATAGCAGTGATCACTCTTGTCGGCAGTGTCTTGCCCTGCAGATGATACACGATAAAAGCAGAGACAAAGAGACATCTCGGACAGGTTGCTTCCATGTTGCCAACGCGGACCATCTCCCACCCTTCTATCGAACTGATGACAAGATGAATCTGCCTCAAGCTCCGATGCCAATAGCCATCATTGGCATGGGCTGCCGCTTTGCCGGGGATGCAACCAGCCCAGAAAAACTCTGGCAACTCTGTGCCGAGGGGAAATCTGCCTGGTCCCGATTTCCTTCGAGCAAGTTTCGTCAAGAGGCATTCTATCACCCGGATGGACAAAAGCAGGGCACGGCAAGTGAAGACAGGTCGTTCCCCCAAAGCCTCCCTTCGTCTAACTCCCTCACGTAGACAAATGTCATTGGGGGCCACTTCCTCGCAGAAGATGTATCTTTTTTCGATGCTTCATTTTTCAACTTTTCGGCAGAATTAGCAAGTGTAAGGACAACATTGATCCCATGGCTCTCCGATTGAAAAGCTTATGAAAGTATCTAGTCAATCGACCCACAATTCCGGCTGCAATTGGAGTCCGTGTTCGAAGCGTTGGAAAGTGGTTCGTGATATCCAGGGCCTCCTTGCATACATCCATCAGCATTGGTCTCTAGACCGTTGCGCAAAAAGAAATACAATGCTGATTCCTTATATAGCTGGCATACCTCTGGAGCAAATAGCGGGGTCCAACACCTCGGTGTTCGCCGGCGTTTTCTTCAAAGACTACAACGACAGTCTCATGCGAGACCCTGACAGATTGCCTCGCTACTTGCTCACAGGAAATGGAAGTGCAATGGCGTCAAATAGAATTTCTCACTTCTTCGATCTGCGTGGTGCAAGCATGACGGTGGATACAGGCTGTTCAACCACATTGACCGCATTGCATCTCGCGTGCCAGAGCCTTCGAGCGGGAGAGTCCAATATCTCAATTGTCGGAGGGGCAAATCTGCTGCTGAATCCTGAAATATTCGACAATATGACGAGTTTAGGGTATGTGAAAGAATCACATCGCATATGTCGCAGTCCAGCTCACTGAGGTTTGTCCGCACAGATTTCTGTCTCCAGAGGGAAGATCTTTCGCATTCGATAGCCGCGCCACTGGATATGGCCGTGGCGAAGGAATCGCTACGGTCATTCTTAAACCTCTTGAGGATGCTCTCAGAGACAATGACCCAGTCAGGGCCGTGATCAGACATACGGCTATTAACCAAGATGGGCGGACCCCCACGCTGACTTCCCCAAGCCAAGATGCTCAGATAAAGTTAATTCGATCCTGTTACCGAGATGCCGGCCTTCATCCATCCCAGACCGATTACGTGGAAGCACACGGCACTGGGACGCAAGCCGGAGATGTGGTTGAGGCAGGTACCCTAAGCACCGTATTTACGGAAGACAGATTGCGTGATGATCCCCTGTTGGTAGGCTCGGTGAAGTCGAATATCGGCCACACGGAAGCTGCCAGTGGCTTGGCGGCAGTGATCAAGGTTGTCATGGGCCTTGAAAAACGATGCATTCCTCCCAACGCAAACTTTGAGACGCCGAATCCAAAGATTCCGATGGAGGAGTGGAAGATCAAGGTTTGGCCAAATCAATCCCCGACGGGTTCCTGTTACGTCTTTTCGTGATCTAATGATAGTCGCCGGCAAGTAGGTCCCTACCAGTCTTACACCATGGTCTTCCTCATCAGAGATTCGACGTGCCTCGGTAAATAATTTTGGCTATGGAGGCGCAAATGCCCATGTAATTCTGGAAGCGATGCCGCCACAGGCACGACAGAGGAGTCTTTGTCAAGATGCTATTGCTGCGGCCGCAGCACCATACCGGGTATTCCTTCTCAGTGCGAAGGAGAAGACCTGTGTTCAAGCGATGGCATCCAACCTAGTAAAATACCTCAAGGACGTTGCCAGCACCGGAGAGGATGAAGAAGAGTTCTTATCGAATCTCGCATATACCCTTGGCGAGCGCCGTTCCTTCTTCCAGTGGACGGCAGCATACCCAGCATCCACTAGGGCACAACTTATCAGCGCGCTGGAAGACAACGATAATAGCGTTGGCCCCGCCCAATCTTCCGAGACACAGCCCAGGGTCGGCTTTGTTTTTACCGGACAAGGGGCGCAATGGTATGCAATGGGTCGAGAACTTATCCAAGCATACCATGTTTTCAGAGCTGCCCTAGTTGAAGCAGACGACTATGTGACAAGCTTCGGGGCTGAATGGAGTCTCATCGGTAAGAACTGCACCCCCCGTACAAAAATACGAGAATAAGCAGTTTGCTGATGATGTAAAAAGATGAGCTCATGCGAGACATGGAGACCTCGAACGTGAACCATCCTTCGCTCTCCTTGCCACTTTGCACCGCGCTCCAGATCGCACTTGTGGAGCTTCTCCGATCATGGGGTATCACCCCTGTTGCTGTGACGGGGCATTCCAGTGGCGAGGTGGCCGCTGCCTATGCTGCCGGGGCAATTGATTTTAAATCCGCCATGAAAATCGTGTTTTTCCGGGGGGCATTGGCGACCCGCTTGGGGGAGAGAAGGACCTCAGAGACTAGCGGTGGCATGCTTGCTGCTGGTTTGAGCCACGAAGATGCGGACCGTTACATCGCGAAGCTCACTATGGGAACGGTAGTTGTCGCTTGTATCAACAGCCCTAATAGCGTCACTATCTCCGGAGATCTCGCAGCCATCGAGGAAATCGAAGCCCTACTCGTTGCCGATGGAATTTTCGCACGAAGGCTGAAAGTCGGCACCGCCTATCATTCGCACCACATGCAAGCGGTTGCAGACGACTATCTGGCATCTTTGCAGAAGAATCTTGGGACAGAGAGCGGAGTTGATCAGACCGTCCCTTTCTACTCTTCCGTCACTGGCGAACGTATCGAGCCCGTGTCGAGGATCCATAATAATCCCGAGCACTGGGTGAAGAGTATGGTCCAGCCGGTATACTTCCAGGACTCGTTTACCAACATGTGCACGACAGTCATGCCTGGGTCGGCAAAGCCAAGTCAGAACGTCGACATTATTCTGGAAGTCGGACCCCATAATGCGTTAGCGGGTCCCATCCGGCAAATCCTTACGCTCCCAACCTTCCAAGGCATGCCGATATCCTATACCACATGCCTGGTTCGGAATGAGAATGCAGTGGAGACGATGCAAAAGATGGCGTGCACGTTGCTCCGCAAAGGACGCCGTGTAAATCTGCACTCGGTGAATTTTCCAACTGACGAGCAACATCTTCGAGTGCTTTTCGATCTCCCTTCGTACCCTTGGAACCACCAAACTGGATACTGGATTGAGCCTCGCGCGAGCAAGGAGCGCAAGTTGCGCTCACACGGCCCCAGCGATCTCATAGGCTGTTTATTGACAGAATCAAACAGCCTAACACCGACATGGACTCATCGCATCCGGGCCCTGGATATACCATGGTTGCAGGATCATCGAGTGCAGTCGGAGATCATCTACCCAGCGGCAGGACTCATCTGCATGGCCATTGAAGCCATGACCCAGACCCAAGGCTCCAAATCTAGAGACATCGCAGGCTTTAAGTTCCGGGATATTGACATTATGACAGCACTTGCGGTTCCCGATGATGGTGTAGAGGTTCAATTTTCCCTCCGTCCTGGTAGCGACAAGACATTGTGGAGCAACGATTGGCAGCAGTTTAGCATATATTCCTTGGCCAGCTCAGAGACCTGGGTCGAAAATTGCAAGGGATTTATATCCGCGACGTTCGTCGCACCTGATGATAGCAGCAAAGATGGTCCGCAAGGGGAGGATCATGTCTCGCAAAGACTACAATTCGACAGCGACTCAGGAGTGTACACGAGACGAGTGCAGCCGAGCGACGTGTACAGGACGCTCCAGTCTGCCGGCATCCACCATGGCCCTGCATTCCAAAACCTGCTTGCATTACGCGGTGGCCAGGGGCAATCTCTGGGCACATTTACCGTTGCTGCAAGTAAAGCTGCGTCGCCGACGCCGTCCCATCAGCAGCATCAGATGGTGCTGCATCCAACAACGCTCGATTCTGTATTCCAGGCCGCCTATGCTGCACTTAGCCCTCACGATCTCAAAACGAAAAATGCAATGATACCGAGGTCAGTGAAATCTATGTTCGTATCTTCGAACATCAGTCGAGAGCCCGGCCATGTGTTCAAAGCCCATACGGCACTCCAACGATACAATTCTCAGGGATTCACAGCCTCGGTAACCGTAGTCAGTGACAGGTCGGACACCGACCTGTTGCCGCAAATCGAAATAGAGGGCCTGCGTTTCCAGTCCATGGGAGGAGGCGTCGGTGGAGAGGAAGACCCTCGTGAGAATCGGGGCCGAACTTTCCTCATGAAATGGGCACCAGATATCTCCTGCAATCGACTGGCAACACATCTGAAAGGGTCCCTCCACCTTACCTGGGAGCCCTCCACAGTGGACATAATCATGGACATCAGGCGTGCATGCTTCCACTTTATCCACAACGCATGCCAGTCACTCAGCGAAGCGGATATTCTGCAGCTAAACTGGCACCAGAAGCGCTTCTATGACTGGATGAAACTTCAAGTTCAACCGCCAAGCCTCAATGGATTTGGCCGCCCTCGAGGAACATCCCACGGTGAAATTCTGGATAACGCAGATCAAGAGGTCCTCTTCAAGAGAGTCAGTGCTGCGAGCGTGAATGGTCAAATGGTATGTCGCATGGGACATAATCTCGCTTCCATCCTGCGAAACCAAATAGCACCCTTGGAGCTCATGGTGAAGGATTCGCTTCTACATACGTACTACGCCAAAGGGTTGCGGTGGAAACAGTCCTATGTGCAAATCAAGCAGCTTGTTGAATTGTTTGCTCATAAACACCCACGGGCCCGGGTTCTCGAGATTGGCGCCGGTACTGGAGGCTGCACTGAAGCCATTCTGGAAGCGTTCAGGACGGGGGATAACACGCAGGACGTCCGCTTAGCTCACTACGATTTCACAGATATTTCGCCTGCGTTCTTCGACAAGGCACGTCAGAAGCTGAGCCAGTGGAGGGATTTCGTGAGCTACAAAGCTCTTGACATCGAGAAGGACCCCGCGGAGCAGGGATTCGAATGCACAACTTACGACCTAGTCATTGCCTCTCAGGTTCTACACGCCACTAAGGCCATGGATCAAACCATGAGCAATGTGCGGAAGTTGCTGAAACCTGGCGGTCGACTCCTTATTATCGAATGCACTAGGGATGAGCTTGAACTGCAGTTGATTTTCGGCCCCCTTTCGGGATGGTGGTTGGGTATGCATCCAACATGCTCAGCATTCATTTAACATTCCGTTTCCTTACTGACATCTGCACAGGACAAGAGGAAGACCGCCAACTGAGCCCATCGCTAACCATTGATGCGTGGAACTCGGTTCTTTTGAGAACCGGCTTCAGTGGCGTCGAGTTCGAAGTCCCCGACAATGAAAACAGAGATCTCTACTCCCTGAGTGTGATGATGTCCAGCGCACGCCTTGCTGCTCCCACATTTCATCCACAGATCCTAATTGTGCACGATGGGACACCACCTCCAGACTGGTTAAACAGCCTGCGTGCATCCATTCAATCCGTGACCACCTTCACGCCGCAGGTAGAACACCTGAAACACGCGGTCGGAGAAGACAAGGTCTGTATCTTTGTGAGCGAAGTAGAGTGGCCATTACTCGCAGAGCCAAGCAAAGAAGAGTTTTTGAAGCTCAAGGATCTAACCACCCGTGCCAGAGGTCTTCTCTGGCTGTCCAGTGGTGGTGTGATGGCCTGTGAGCGGCCCCAGAGCAGCCTTCACACAGGCCTCCTCCGTACCTTGCGGTGTGAGTATAATGATAAACGATATGTTTCTCTGGATCTCGACCCAACGTCCGATCTGTATACTCCAGCCTCAATAGGTGTGATTACGGACGTTTTCAAACGCTCGTTCGATAGCTCGAGAGATCCTACCCTTCTGGACTTCGAATGCGCAGAAAGACTGGGGATGATCTACATCCCGAGGGTCTTTCCTGTCCCTGAGGAAGAAACCAATAGCCCTAATAATGAACTTCACCCCCGACTCGAGGCCTTCTATCAGCCTGATTGGGAACAACGCTTGGCGGTTCAAACGCCTGGTTTGCTCAGTAGCCTCGGATTCTCGGAGATCCCTGTTGACGCCGAGGAGCCTTTCGACGAGGACATGATTGAAATAGAGCCGCGAGCATTCGGACTGAATTTCCGAGACGTAATGATAGCGATGGGCCAGCTGAACGAAGAGATTATGGGATTCGAATGCAGCGGCGTGATTACGCGGGTTGGGACTGCAGCATCGTTGCATCAGTTCAAGGTAGGGGACCGAGTGTGCGCTCTTTTGAGAGGACACTGGGCGAATACAGTGCGTGTGCACTGGACTAGTGTGTGCCAAATTCCCAATTCCATGTCCTTTGAAATTGCAGCGTCCATTCCCATGGCGTTTACCACGGCCTACTACGCTCTTCACACCACGGCACACCTGCAAACGGGGGAAAGAGTACTAATCCATTGTGCTGCCGGCGGCGTGGGCCAGGCTGCGATTATGCTTGCGCAGAGGGCCGGCGCCGAAGTGTTCGTCACTCTGGGTTCGGCGGAGAAACGACGGTTTATCACCGAGACATATAACATTCCCGACGATCATATCTTTTCCAGCAGAGACCCTTCGTTCTCCCGAGCGGTGATGGCCATGACAGAGGGCCGGGGTGTGGATGTGCTTCTGAATTCCCTAGCAGGGGAACTGCTTCAAGAGAGCCTTAACTGCCTGGCACCGTTCGGACGTTTTGTGGAGATTGGCAAACGGGATCTTCAACAGAACAATTATCTAGAAATGGGCCCCTTTATCAAGAACATTACTTTCGCTGCGATTGATCTGATTGCCATAGGAACTTACAGGGGCCCAGACGTCGCTCGTATTCTGGCAGATGTCATAGCGCTGTTCGAGGAGAACGCTCTGCAGCCGGTACAGCCAGTGACGCCCTATCCACTCTCACAGGTCAAAGAGGCATTTCGACAAATGCAGGCAGGGAAACATATGGGAAAGATTGTGGTAGTCCCGACGAAGGACGATCGTGTCAAGGTGAGATTCCCTGTGGCTCCACTCTGTCTCCTACCTCTTTTCTCTCTCTTTCTCTCGCTCCATGCCCAGAATTAACTTACTCCAGATGCTCTCACTGCAACGCCCTATCCGCCTAATCCGCAACGCCACGTACCTAATTGTCGGAGGACTGGGTGGGATTGGACGCTCCGTATGCCAGTGGATGGTGGATCATGGCGCTCGACATCTTGTTCTGATTTCGCGCAGCGCTGGAACTCAGAACCGAGACCAGTCGTTCCAGGACAGTGTCCAACGATCCGGTGCTGTGGTTCGCCTTCTGAGCTGTGATATCGCGAATCCATCACAATTGAAAGCCACCCTCGACGAATGCAAGGAGTCTATGCCTCCAATCCGAGGCGTGATTCATAGCGCCATGGTGCTTCGGGTGAGTTGCGTGGAATAGTTACCCCCCACTCCCACATAAACTATGGCATTTAATGCTGATATTCTTTTGTTCTTATTTCTAGGATTCCATTTTCGACGATATGTCAGTGGAACAGTACCAAGCAGCCGTCTCGCCAAAAGTTCAAGGAACTTGGAACCTGCACCAGCTCCTCTCGGAGACGTACCTGGATTTCTTCATCATGCTATCCTCTCTCGCTGGGGTAACGGGCAACACCAGCCAGGCCAACTATACCGTTGGGGGAACTTTTCAAGATGCCATTGCCCGACACCGAAGCGCCCGGGGCATGCCCGCGACATCCCTGGATCTAGGAATGGTGCAATCTGTAGGCTACGTCGCCGAAACGGAAGGCATTGCACCTCGTCTAGAGCGAATGGGGTTCGAACAACTCGATGAAGCCGAGGTGCTTGGTCTCGTGGAATCAGCCATCCGAATGCCGCGGCGGAAGCTGGCAGACTCCCAGATCATCACAGGGATTGCTAGCACCGCCGCTGGTTTGCCCAACGCGTTCTGGAGTAAGGATGCCAAGTTTGCTGGGCTTTCTCAGCAGGCACAGAGATCGGCTGCTGCGCCACAAAGAGGCGAGTCGTGGGCTATGCTTACCGGCAGTCTCACGAGCCAGTTGGTGGGCATATCCTCATCGGACGGGAAGGTGGACCTGCTTTGCACAATCATCAGCCAACGCATATCGGAAATGTTTCTGGTCCCCGAGGAGGATATCAAGAAGGAGCATCCGCTGACGAAGTATGGCCTGGACTCCCTTGTCGCGGTAGAGATCCGCAACTGGCTGGTTTCACTCACGCAAACGGAGCTTACCACATTTGACATTTTGCAGAGTCCTTCTCTGGAGGCGCTGGCCAACAAAGTACTGCAGAAGATTATGGCCCGTCCAAGTTTTAAACAGTCGTGAAGCCGGATTGAACAATACCCAATACTTATATCGGGCATTGGAATATCGGGCTTCTCGATGTCGAGAAACACAGCGCCGCTAATATTTACTATGCATTAGTTTGAGGGAGCTACGACTGCGTCCGTTATATTGTGAATTAATCTAATTCGTGCAAGTGTGTTACAACTGAAAAATGACTGGAATAATTAACTGACAGCAGGCCACCATCTCTAGTATTCCATGTACAAGTTAATATGACTTTGACCCCGCTGCGTTGTATAATTATGTACCACTTTAAACAATGAGCAAATAGATGGAAGCTCTCAACGTCTAGTTAGTTGTCGGGAGATCTCTGTAGAATATTTCTAACTTTGGATAATAAGTGTTCAATGGTAGACTGTAGCCCCGATACTGTAGATGACGACAGATTCCCTGCAATACTCGAATTGATGGAGTCCAAGTGCTTATTGCGAAACGTCTCCAAAGTGTGACCAAACTGACTGAGATGGTACTGGAGCACCGTCGCCAGGAGAATCAATTGCAGCGGCCCGTGAAACTGTAAGTCTCCTATTCGGAACCCGATCGAATTCAAGGGACGCGAGCGTGACGTACTCGAGGCGATCGACATAGATGACGATGAACAGAGTGGCGTCGTGACGGTTCGGAGATCCTGCACGATCTCACTGTACGTGGAGAGGAGCACGGAAGCCGGCGAGAGGACCAGGTGTAAGGCAGTCTGCCAATCAAACGAGGGGGGCGATTGTGCGTTCTGCTCATTCTCCCCATGGGCATTCAGGAGGAGGTCGATGATGATATCCAGCGTCTCTTGTGCGGGCTTCAGGGCCACCTCTACAGGTCTGCCACGCCAGGACGGCGGTGACGATGACGACGACAATAACGGAGAAGAGGAGGAGGCATTGCTGTCTCTTTGGGTGCCGTACGTGGCGGACTTATACCGGAGAACGTCTTGCTGCAGGCGCGAGAGCAGTTCCGTTGTATGCGTAATTATGGTGTGAGACGGATTGGCCGCCGGTCCTACGGAGCACGATGACAGCTGAGGATCGACTGCGGATGCGTGAGGGTATCCTACGGGAGAATTATCGTTATCCGCTCGCCAGGTGCCACTCTCACCATGCGCACCGGGCGCATGGTCCTGGTAGTGGTTGTGGTTCGAGGACGCCGAATGCCCGAGCGACTCGAACAGCGTTGCAGTCTGGTGCCCGAGTGCCTCGAGAGGCTCCGTGTAGGCCGCCATGGTCGACAATCCGAACGCTGCGGCGGCCGCAGCAGCAGTAACATCGTCATCGTCGTCTGGGAAATGGAAGAAGTCGGAAATCAGAGCCTCTGGAGGAGAGGCCAGCTGTCTATTATTATTATTACTATGCAAGGCCTCGGAGGCCTTACTCGGGCGCCCGACCTTGAGGGCAGGGCTATAGATGCAGGTGAGCCGCTCCCGTACACATCGACTGCATCCGCTGGGATCTTTGGAGCACCGCAGCTTGCGCCTGTGGCAGGCGTCGCAAGCGAGACGTTTTTTCGGGCGAGCAGGTTGATGAGTGCGTTCCATTTGCTCGACACGGGAGAATTCAGAATCGTCAATCGAATCCCCTTGCTCAAGCGTCGTTTTGGTCGGTGACCTTGTTTTTAATCCTCAGTAGAATAGGCAAGCACGTTCTCATCGATAGGTGCTACAGTAACTTATGATTGCATTAGCGCCTTCAGCCGTCGGGGTCATTGTACCCACCATCGTGATTGATACTGTGGCATCGAAAACATCCCCACTCCTCCTCCTCCTCCGCGTCCGCCTCCGTCTCCTCCATCCTGCGAAATAGGAGCACTGGATCCTGCTACTCATATGACAGCCCAGGTCTACAAAACGGAGAAATATTGAGGCTCCCAGAGAAGCTAACCAGTCGCTTTCAACAGCAACGTCACTATGGGTGCAACTGAAGGGTGACCATGATGGTCAGTGTAGTAGTAATAGTCTTTTTCAGACTGGATCAACAAATGGTTTGCTGCGTGTTCGAGACCCACAAGAGCAGATTGATTGAGTGAACAACAAAGGTGAAAAAACAGCTCAAGACTAGTTATTCACGTATGCACTAGCCCTGTGAAGCGAGCGGTCTATAATCCCGCCATAGTGGATCATGATCCTTGGCGCTTCTGTCCGATCCCGGCTAGGCACTCCAGAAACGGCGGCCCAAGAAGGCTAATGCTTCAGACTATCGATCGGCATAATCCAGCCCAACGCCACTCGAATTAGTTCTTCAACTTTGCCGGCGGACGAGGAACTTGATTGGACCCTTCCTGGAAAGTGTCTACGGAGTATGGCGACCTTCAAAAAAGAGAACCTCCCCTGCATGTCTCAGCCACGTCCACGCTCCTCCGTTCCTCTATCGGTCTACGTACACGATGCCTGCTAAGACAAGCACCTCGACCCCTGTGAAGATACACTTTGCTGTTCTTCCGTTCTCCACCAGCCCTTGCTGCCAATCTTCAGTACCCTGGTTGAGGTTCACGAAGATGGTTGCATGGCTCAATCTAAATACAAATCTCGTCCCAGCGACACGCCTCAAGCTTAGACGGAAGTAGTTGATTAAGTATTGAAGAAACAAAATTGAAGCTTAATTGGCAGCGATGCAGATCTTCAGCCTGTATACGCCGTGCGATAGCCCACCCACGTAAAAACCACTCGGAACTCCTAGATAGTGCTTCTTTCCGCCTGTCGTGGCTGATGATTAAAGAATACATCATTCGACGCTTGAAAATAAACCACGCTACTAGAGAGAAGCCGTTTGCTCCGACTTCATTTTTGTTACCGGTCGATATTTCTTTATAAGCAGCAGCGTCCGCTTACTACAGATTGGATTCCCTCCGACTTATGCACTTTCACCTGAGGAGAGCGATCGTCAATGGTTTTCCGGACAAGGCTCCCACCACGTACAGACGCTATAGCTGGCCAGATGAGAAGTCACGTCTTCCTTGCCGTCTTCTAGGAGATGGACCTCCCATTATAATGCATATTATAGGACGAATTTCTATGCCACAGCAGTCCAGGGGAATGTATACTTTGCCAATGCGATTGCCCAAATCGAAAAACGGCCGGGGTGGTGCATCTGGATAGAATCAAGTTCTGGTTCCAAGACAGTCTTGATGGCACGTTGTGCGCATGTATTAGAATCATGCTAAATGGAGGCAGAGTCCTAGAACAGCTAGGATTCTTTCATTCTATAGAGCAACGAATGAAACAGTTAAATGCAGCTTATCTCTACTAGTCGGGTGGATGCTGTTTTGGCTCTAGAGCTTTGGCATTGTTTATAAAAAGTATGCTCCTGTAACTGACAAATAAACTCTGCTCGTTTAGTGGTCTAAATATACAAGCTTGGGGTCTTGTTTTTCTAGACAAGAATGTTAAAAGCGCCTCCGTGCAACTCAACTACCAGGACAACTACAGGCCAACTTAAACAAAGAAGCAGTCTGACTTGAAGTAAAAGAACGTGCCTTAACTGGTACAGTGACTTGTACAGTTACCCTGCCTACTTTGGACACTTCAATTGTAGTCACAGTAACAGAGGCATAGGGTAGGACACTCCCGGGCTTCTTATACTTTTCCTATCATCACAATGGCCCTCGTGGCTGTGGTTGGAAACTGCCATATACTAACTCCTTACCCGGTAGTAACAGCCCAGTACCGCATTGTTTGCTTGGTAAGATACATTGTCTTGAAGGCCCAATGTTCGAGGTCATTCATAAAGCATAGTGTACTGCGAAGTGGGCACGCAATTATGTGGAGTGGGTCCAACCTTGGCATCAGCGAGTCTGCCAAGAAGTTAATTCCCCCCTCAAGAGCGAGGCGCAGTACAGTATTTGGAATTCCCCAATCTATTCTATAAGATTTGTCAACAGTTCCGGGTACAGCGTCAGTATCCGACGGCGGGGCCGAAGAAAAGATATGCTAAAAAAATACCCCAGCATGGGCCTCTTATAACATCATTGGGAGGACCGATATACCGAAGTCCGGGTCTGGTCACCTTGAGAGTTGGAGTTAGTTCCAAGATATTAAACAATTGAAGCATTGTATAGGCCATGCTATTCTGGTGGATGATGCGCCGAAAAGACTTTCGATGTGCCCGAGCTGTTTATGTGCCAGTATGTCTTTCCCGTGTCCTGGCTAAAGATGATTTAGCAGAGCACATATACCATGACTTTCCAGGCGTTCTAGTCAAGGTCACGAGAAAATCGATATACTTTGTAGTTATCCATTGTTATGCTGATAATACTTACATGCCCAAGAGAGTTGGCATTCCTAGGTGATCAGCGGTTGTGAACGGTTGTCATTTGTAACAGCTTGTAGCCAACAGTACAGACTAACCTAAATTGATTAGGAACTCTCTGTAAAGGGCTAGAGCCCGTTTGACCTCTCGGGCCAATGTCCCTGTTGTCCCTACTGTCCCCGTTGTCCCTATTGTCCCTATTGTCCCTATTGTCCCTATTGTCCCTACTGTCCCTTTTGGCCCTGTTGGCCCTTTGGGCCATTGGCCCTCGATCCCTGTCACGTGACTCCCCATCTTGTTTGTTTACCGCTCATTTTCCTCTTCCTTTCTTCCCTCCTTCAACGATTCCTTCTTGTACATAACCTATCTGTAGGTTCTACGGGTTCAGCCCTTGACACTCTCCGCCTCAAGCTAATACCAGTTGGGTAGTCTATAACCATTATAATAAGATTTTAATACAGCATCAAAACTCTTTGAAGAGAGATTTAATCTAATATTTTAACTATTCTAGAACTACTAGTATTCAAAGAGACCGTTGCTAGTAGAAGTATAGAACCTTATTCCTACTATTAATAAGTATCTAAAATTGTTGTATTACAGTAAACCTTTTTTTTATATAATAACAAAAAAAGGGTACCTACCATTCACTAGAGATAAAAATAAAAAAAAAAAATTTCCTTTATTTACTGTACCTAGCAAGCAAGTATGTTGTGGTGGTAATCAACCTCCTGGAGCGGGCCGAGGGCCGGTTCGACAAAGCCACTGAATTGTTCCCTTTGGTTTGCCGGAAGTCTCCAGTGCATCGACAAGTTGCCTGGTTCATAAATAGGACATCCTTGTTGATATGCGTATTATCCAGGCTACTCGCGTTACAGGAATCTTGTTGATCACTGATAGATGCGCCTGGCGGATTAGCTCCTGAGGATCACAATCTTCGTGGTAAATAACCCAGCCCACGTGATGGTTTGGTGGTCCATCTTCTCCGTTCCCCATCTGGGCAAAGTACTGGTGAAACTTCCTCCTGCCATTCCGGCCGGGTGATCGATAGGTAAATGTCCGAACCTTAACCGTGCCCTCCTGGAGAGCAGCATAAATAAGAGCTTTTTATAGTTCAGAATAAGGCTGTCCCTTTATTTGCTTCAGTGTGGCATACACAGCTATAAGGAGTAGGAAGGTGGTCGAAGTCTATCCTCGTGAATGGTAATCCTTCTGAAAGTAATGGGCATGAAGATATCTGTCAGGTGACTAACAGTACACATTACGCCAAAATGTAAGTTATCGCAGGAGTTCTAAAGTATTATATGTGGCACTATCGCATTGAATACTCCAAGAGTAGCTACCAAAGTCTAGTCAAGGATCAGTGCAATAGGATAAGAGAGACCTAAGGGTTGCTGAGTAAGAAATGACACAACTAAAAACGATGGAAATAAAAGGCAAGCAGGAGTAGGCACATAAAATGCACCAGAAAAGCTGTATAAACGTGTGGTAGATAATAATGCGAAATAGCGCAACAAGCAGGCAGGAAGCAAAATAGTACACTAAACCCAAGAAAACAGAAGAGCAAGGATTAAAGGCCAATAAAAAAGAGATGGCTAGTAAATAGGAGCGAAGCATTAAAACAACGAAAGAGAGCGAAGCTTGGAACGAATTTGGCATTCAGATTTTGCGGCAAATCTCGCGGGCAGCTCACCTGACGGGGAATGGCCATAAGTAACACCCTTTAACTCGTTCCTCGTTTCAGGGCATGGAAATAGTCGTAGAATAGAAAATGGAAGTGGTAGTGGGATAGCAACTTTGGGGAGGTGACGAGGTCTTGCCGGTCAGACAAGGAGAAGCGGATGATCTTAATAATATAATGACCGAATTTTCCTTTAGCAGCCTGCTGCCGAGGGGAACAATGACTTGGAAAGGGGGAGATTATGAGATTACCATTGACCTTTCGTGCCCGAGGATCTGGCGACGTGCCTGGGTAAGTGCGGAACATACGATACGGAACGTGGATAGGACCACAGGACAATTGAGATGATCTTCGAAACGGAGGTGCTTAAACAACAATACGAGGAACTCTTGCTCCTAAAAAACGCTCCATGGAGGGAAATAAATGTCAGGATTGCCTCCAATTTGGAGAAGATTCCGATCGAGGGAATAGTCCAGCAGAATACAGATGACTCCTGTCGATACTATTATAGGCGGTGCAAGCCTTGACAACAAGACCAAGCCTTCACCCTATGCAATACGATAGTACAGTAGGAGTTTTTTTTTTTTTTTTTTTGAAAATTTAATTGGCCTTTGCATTTGCATAACAGTATAGGGAAAACCTAATATACCAGGGGAAAACCTATACCAAGGCAGAAACCAAAAATGGAGCCCTCAATATCACAATGTCCCCATAACAACACACTCTCCATCCAATCCCTTATTTGCCTCCTAACTCTAACTTCCGCTCTTTGCCTCTCCAGGCTCTTTGTTATCCAGTCCCGTCATAACCTTTACAATTTTGGGCGACCGACGTAAATGGTATACAAAACTTGATCTTCAAAAGTTCCTTTATCGATGTCATAACATCTGCCAATGTCGTCACAACCATAAACACAATTAGGTGCAGCTTGTCTTTCTTCTCTTGTAAAAGATTGTGCCCATTGTCTGCAACAATCTATTCCTTCAGTTTTGTCTTTAGATCGACAAATTTCTTTATCAAAGTTTTCAAAAAGTGCTTGACATTGATTATTGTCCCATTTACCTCCGAGAGGATAACAACAGTGAAGACAATATTCAGGGTTTGTTTGCTATTTATAATCCATCTTGTCAGGACTGTACCATGGTAGCTATATCACTCTATCTAGGAGTCATAACTTACTGATTGAACTTCTGTAGGTCCTTTTTTTTTTTTTTTTTTTTTGTCAAAATATCGATTACAACAACCTCTTGCGTCTTTTCCACATTTTCCTCTACGTTCTTTAAGAATTTCAGAAGGAATTTCAGAACCAGGAGGTGATGGAGGTGCCCATTCGTTGCAAGTTTCAGGAGGTCGTCCATTACAGTCCCTCCTTTCCATCTCTACACTCGCTGGCGTCGCGGGGGCCAAGGCAATTGTCATACCGAACAAAAGCTTCAATATAAATAAAGGTGACGTTTTCAATACTTGATATAGTAAATTGACAAATGATTATCAATCCTAAGTATGACGAGTAATATAGCTCTAATTGAATAGGATTGGCGATTGAAATATGTACGAAATTGCCCCTGAGAGTTGGCTATACGCTTGCTTAAATACAACCCTTGTGCTCTCTTGGACCGGTTAGTACTGTGATGGCCAGCCACTCCTACCACAGGGATATGGATAAGCTAGGACCAGCACAAAGCCTCTCGATTGAGTGGTTTGCTTTCGTTTGTTTCCCGCGCCAAGACTGTTGATGCATTTGGGTTCAGACACTGAGCCACATGTTTAAGGTCAACGTGATATAGATGCAAGGTCCCTGTATCCTGGCTCTCGCGCTAAAGAAGGGAAGGCTGGTAACATGTCAGTTGACAAATTTCAACCACCCGGGTGACTTAAGGGCCAATAAGAACCAGGGGCATAGGCAACATTAATTCTCATTAAAGGAGTTCTGGGATGCCAAGAGCCGGTCCACGTCATATGGATATCCGGGAGACTGTTGTAGCTGTGCTGACCGTCCGAGTCAGGGTAGATTATATGGAAACCTTGGGGACGGTCGTTGCTTGATAGGGAGCACCGTCGGTGAGTAATGCCAATAATAGTAATGCCAAGGAAACAAAGCCAGGGTCTAGGATAGATTAAACTCATGACTGTCTTCAGGGAAACGTAATACTGTCTTACTCCCATGAGTTTTCACAACAACAAAATTGCTGATGGGTTTCTATAGGATATAGCCGGTCCTGTTCCACAAGCTAGGCCTTTGGTTATTGATTGGAGGCTTGTTACCTAAGCATGGACGTAGGAGGTAGATGGATATATATTTAAAGAAGCACAGATGACAAGATGTCACTATGTGGGGCAGATTTGATGACGACGGGGACGAAGATCAAGAATTGTCGGACCCGTATTCTGGTAGAAATAAGAAGTGAGCTGCATGAACAAATGAATTTAACAACCCAAAGACCTTAAGTTTATGGCTTGTGATGGTGGCGGCTCTGAACTGTGTCATGATGTCGACAACGTTGAGCGAACAACCTAAACATCGACAACGCAATCATTGGGCGTCGGGTCAAGCCTGCAGAGCATGCAGCTATGGGAGCATGATTATGGAATGCATAAACTTGCGGGGAATGCATAAAGTTGTGGGGAACGGGAAATGGCAGCCAAAACCTAAAAACCTAGTATTGATTTGTTATCCCAGGGGTGACTAAGACGTAGAGTGCCTGACGAATATGGCCACAACACATAGGCACCCCCCAAAGACATGATCCCACATCATACGATTCCATATCGTATGATATGGGATCCCACGGCAGTACATGGAAGACCTTGGTAGACACTAGGTTAAATAGCGGTCTGCTACTTAAGGTAGCAGACCAGAGAGGGAGGCACTTCAAGCAGATAGCTTAGGCAATACATTCCTTCAGAAGACTCAATAGAATTCCCTCAGTCCTCCCCAGGGCCGCCATCAGGGCGACCCCTGGGGCCCCCTTCCCATGTTCGACTGTCCCTACGACTCATAGTGTCCTACTACCTCGTCCAGTCCCCTACCTCACCGGCCGTGTGATGAGCGATATTGCAGATTGTTTAAAGTTAGCCGAAGAGAGTACAAAGTATAATTAGCGGCATGAAGTTAGACAAATTCTGATTGTGAACAGGAACAAATCAGAGAGGTCGTGCGTGATACTGAAGAACTAGATTGGATGGGAAAGCAAAATGCTAGGGTTGTTTCTGGTAATTGAGGACAGCTAATGAAGACGCAAAAAGCTCCTCCCGATAATTACACATCATATTCAACGAATAGTTATTATTATTATTATTATTATTCATCAGGCTATGCGCGGCCGTGGGCTGCATGTAGCCTTCTTAGCTAGTTCTATCTAGACGTAATCAGCTATATACACGTGACGTTTATTATTCTCTGATGAACGCTTCATTTTCCCTTTCAAGTCTCCTAGTCCTTTTAACAAATCGGATTATAGCATTGACAATGCCCATGTTTGGAGTCCATCTGCTGTTTGTTTCTTTGCTGTGGATTTAATAATCCCTGGTTTGGTCTACCGCCTAGAGCAAGGGAGAATTCCCATGTTGTTGGTTCACTAATATTTTTTATTTCGCCACGCATTTCTTCCTACTTATGGTAATTAAAGAGAAAATATTCAACAGTCTCTGGTTCTTGCATACATTCGCATGTCTCATCATTGGTCCTACTAATTTGGCGTAGGTATATGTTCAATGGGATATGTCCTGTCTGGAGTTGCGCTAGAATTGATACTTGACGTCTTATGGGTTGGTTGTAGAGTTTTTGGACATGCTTGCCTGCCAAGACCGCATTAATTCTCTTGGTATAATTACCACCTATTGTCCTCAAAGTTCTGGGCCCGAGAGTGCTGGATTAATCCCCGTCTCCATCATCAGATAGAGTATGCAGTTGGGTATCTGCCGAGTTTAGTAAAATAGCCGGTCTTCTTTACTTGTATATACCTCAGCGTTCTTTGCTAGCCGTGTACCTGACTTGTCACTGTCTGTTGGAAGCCATGCGAGTCGTAAACCCTACTGCTGGTTGGTCCTGTAGCAGGTTAATTATCCTAATAATAAAGGTCTGCCCACCGTGATAGAGTGGAATAGATTAACTTTAGTGCTGTTTGGCTGTTAGTGTATATAACACAGTCTAGTGCCTTTTTCGGAACAAAAGGACCCCATTATTGGTCTATGACTTTTAAGTGCTTCGACGAGCGCTCCCAGATGTGAGAAGTAGACGTTAATATATTAGTTATTACCAACTCTCTTAGATATAATCCGAATAGCTTGGTTTTTAGCCAGGGCTACCACTTTAATACCGAGGAGTCCATGATATCCTGACACACGTGCATGAATTTCAACTCGAAGACGTTGGACTTTCTGTCTGCAGTCTGGCTTTGTTTTCTCTGTCAGATTGATAGTGTCTTTGCACCCTGATATATGGGGGCTAATAGGCAAAGATTTTCACTGTCTCCAGGTTAATAGGACAGATACTGGCTAGCTTAGTAAATGGTGATTAATACTTGCACCTCTATTCTGTTGCTGCCTTCCTGCACTGCCAGTAGAGGAGGTTCCTCCGGAGGGAATAACAAGTAATTCAGTGTTTAATTATTTATTGTCTGAGATGGATATCTAGGGGGTCGATACAGATTTAGCCTTAGCATTATAATGCAATACTATATAAAAGCTCCGTTATTGTTCTTGCAGCAGTCCTCTAGATAATCTCGAGTGGTTTTACAGTCTAACGTGCAATTTCTGTATATTTATTAATTAACACCCAGGCTGACGGAGCGTACGTTATTATTGGGACTACAAGAGTACTATAAAACTGTCGCGTGTTTCTTATGCTAGCCCTTTAGCCTGGCTAATGCTTGCACCGCGACGATGCCTCGTTTTGTAACCCTCCCAACATGTTCTTTGAACCGGAGCTATCAATCAAGGATCACCCCAAGGATCCTGGCTGATGGACTGGGGTAGATGTTCTATTGTCTCATTTAGAGGGAAAGGGCTGGAAGTCATTCTTGCGTTTATATTTTTTGTAACACATATCAATTTGTTTCTGAGCCTTAGACACGGCCCCAGACCCGACTGCCCACTATAAGGCTTCGGAATAACATTTGCTTGGATGGTTACTGTGCTTTCTTCTGTAGATTGTTCTACCGCCCAGCAGCTGTAAAAAAGCAATTGCACCCTTAGTTCGGTTGATGGCAGTCTCTGCCTGTCCAGTGTTAAAAAAAAGGTAAAGAACTTGGGATAGAGGAGAGCTTTATGGTTGCCAGTTGTGTTTAATTTCCATCTCTTTAATTCGTATTAGCTCACTAATATAGTTGCTCTTCGATTAGAACAAAATGCGTTAACCTAGAACACAAGTTCCTTAGGAATTCTTCTTGCTTGCAGTTTGTAAGTAGGACTTCTCTAGCTACCCTACTATATACTCCTTTAACGTCAAAGCTTACCAAGCTAAGGACCTTTTTGCTCTCTCCAGGCTTCATAGATTATTTTTGACAAGGATGTTAAGTGCCTGTTCACTGGACCTCCCTCTTCTAGCTCCAAAGCAATTATAAGGTGGTAAGTTGTGGGTCTTAGCTACACTTCCCCCCAGACTTCGCAGGGTATACCAGCCCGGAGTATATCGCATAGCCCATAGCGAGGATCCTCCGCGGACCCGTCAGCTTCGGTTATTTTGCCCACAATGGGTTGCATGGCTTTATTACTTTTAGCGATATGCCTTAAGTACAGGAAATACGATTGAATCGTTTGGAGCCAGTGGTGCCCTCGTGGGCAAGAGCAACTATGTATGTTCGGCATGGAACATTATTAATACGAAATTGTCATGATGAGATCCATCTCCATACAAATCATGTCGGATTTGCACCTCGAAAACCATCCGTTGTACAGCAGCTTCTCGTTCCCTCAAACAACCTCATATCTCGCTCTTCTAGGAGATATTGGACATGTGGCCAACAATCAACTTTTCTCATTTCTCGAGTTTCAACTGAGGCGCTGTTCAACGGTCTTTTTTCTCCTAGGCAACCATGATCCATACCACCTTTCGTTTAGGATCGCTAAAGCCAAAATACGTGATTTCCAGGACAAAATGAAAAAACGGCCCTTGCTGGGCGAATTCGTATTTCTTGATCAAACAAGATATGATGTCACCGGCAATATTACAATACTGGGGTGCACTCTATTTTCCCACATCTCACCAAAACAGGAATTCGCAATGGAAAGTCGCATGGTGCATTTTAAGGACATTCTAAAATGGACAGTGGATGACCATAATGCTGCGCATCGATCGGAGCTATCTTGGCTTAATGATCAAGTTTCCAAGATCGCTCAGCATGAGCCCCACTGAAAAGTCGTTATTTTCACTCATTATAGCCCTAGCATAGATCCACGACGTACGGATCCAAAGCATGCTCGCAGCGAAGTCTCTACAGCTTTTGCTACAGATTTAAGTGAAGAAGTATGTTGGGGTTCTCCAACAGTTGGGCATTGGTCATACTCACTTTAACTGTGCACTCACTAGTAAACAGGGCAAGATGGTTGTATGAACCAAATGGGTTCCAATTTAATCCCTGTGGAGGGGTTCAATCCTGCGCATGTACTTTATTCTTGGAGAACAAGTGGCAGGGATTTCACACTGGTTCTTGCCTATGGAAGGCCTTGAGAGAGTAAAATGCAATATCTTGACACAGCCATATGTCGGGGGCAAGAAGATCGTTGTAATACACTAATATCCTTGTATGAACTACACAATTAGGCCTGCTGTGGCTGAGCACTAACACAGGATTGTTATTGTGGATTTTGCTCCTGTAGAATAGAAATCATCTTTTGCCACCAAATTAGAAAGTGTGGCATTCTGTGCAGACGGTGGCCCTCGATGTGTATAGAAAAAATCTGGATGTTTCTCAACTTCCTCTGATAAAACCTTTCGTACTATGATGAAGACTTATAGTAAGACCTTCTGTCGGACGGGAGATGTTCATGTAAGAGAACGCATTGGAGACTACGAAAATTCAATAATGTTTCTTAACAAGTTTCCCTCCGGGAAGAGGAGCAATCTTTGCATATTTAAATCCAACTTTGACTGCTAGGTAAAATGTGAATGCGAATCAACCAGCGGAGGCTCCGCAGTGACTAAGTCAGGTTGCCTGGCGAAAACATATCCCCGCTCTCTTGTATCCCGTTCCAAGTGTTCCAGTCGTGCTATCTGTCAGGACCTAGGTCGAACCCTGCCTGAGGCACCAAGTCTGCTTTATTCACTGTTGATCCCACAATGTAGAGAATTCCCACATTTCCTGTACGATAGAATTCTTTCTTCCTTCCTTCTCTACGTTTGATGTTTCGTTAGATCGCCACCTTAGATAGAATCTATCCATTTTACCAAGGTGTACAGGATCATCACATTACATCAAACATCATCTCTTCTCTTTTTTAGAGACCAGTTAGCCGTACGAGCTAAGCTTGTAATTAAGCAGCGGCTCTAGCCAACCGATCTCTCCCTCAACGCATATCAGCGCGTTCCCCAAGCTGGTTAATCCAAATCGCTACGAAATCGAACCGAACGAACTCTGAAGACATTTAGAATGGCAAGACCAGGTCAGGAGGCAGGAGAAGACAAGCCCCAGAATTAACAGCGTATCTCTATCCTCCCTCAAGGAACCGATAGCCCAGAGACCATTACAAAGAATAAGTTTCTTACTAAGGCCCTGGATAATCCCAATGGACTTTTTGAGGAAATACTGCGGATGTGGAACCTGGAGCAAGAAGACAAGGTAAACAAAATCCGGGAAGTTATTAGACAGAAGAACGCAGCACTCGCGGATCTAATTAAGGAACAGGACAAGTACCGTGATGCCTATGCCCATGAATGTCTCCGCGGCAGGGAAACCAGTGTCCCTCTTTCAACCACTAAGACATGTAAATCAGCTAAGATCCCTGACCCCCCTCCTTTAAGCAGTGGAAAGGACCCCAAATTTAAAGACTGGTTGGCCCAGATAAAAAGTAAGATAGCAGCTAATACAGATTACTATCCCACGGAAGTTATAAAGATTGCCTACGTGCAAAGCTGTCTTAGCGGTCGCGCCGCAGAGCATGCCGCTCCCCGATTCCGTGAAGATTCTGGCTCTTAATACAAGACTGCTGACGAGATTTTTGAGCATCTAAAAAGTGTTTTCCACGACCCGAACCGCAAACAAAATGCTCGTCGACAGCTACATAACCTTCGAATAAAGCCTTCCCAGAAATACCATGACTTTCTAGCCGAGTTTTTACGACTGGCAGGAGAGTCTCAGCTTCACCAGGAGGATCACAAAGAGGAGCTTTTTAAGAAGGTTACCAAGAACCTAAAAAACCTAACCACCCGGGATTTTTACACTGCTATATCTTTTGATAAATACTCCACTGCATGTGCCCAGGCCTACTATACTATTTAGGTTAACAACAAGGCTAGACGCAAAGACGGGAAGTCTTTAACTAATCCCGGAAATTCTACGAGTACTGATGCTACCAACCCTAAGCCCATGGTAAAGGACACAACCAGTGCTTCGCGTGGTGGAATAACTCAGGAGGCTTGAATCCAGTTAATAAAGGAAGGTAGATGCTTTAACTGCAAGCAGCCTAGCCACGTAGCGCGGGACTGCCCCTTTAAGAAAATACCTGAACTGAAGGAAGTACACGTCGAGACTCTCCTGGAGGGTGTCACCAAAGAAACCCAGGAATTGAAAAAAGAAAACCCCTAGGCCAAGCCTCCTTCCTAGGGGAGATCTTAGCATCTGCAAGCAACGGACTAGACTTAACCCAATTACTTGGCGGAGACAGCTTTACTGTGCCTAGTTTAGTTGGTGAGAATGGATTTGTTTTTCAGACTTTATCTCTTGCAGATACTGGAGCGAATGGTTATATATTTATTACTCCCTCCCTTGCATACGATCTTGCCGACGATAGACCTACATTTACTCCTTACCAACCTCTTCCCAGTAAAAGGATTTAATGAGAGCCAGGGATACCTTTAACAATCTAATCTACTTAAATTTGCAGGTCGAGGCCGCCGATTCCTGCGAGAACCAATGTTAATTACCGAGCTCGACAGCACGATCTATATAGGTAAAATGTTTAAAGAAAATATCTGGCTTGACGTGCGAAATCAGCGCCTAATATGCTGAGAACCCCCGTTGCAAGAGACCGTGGCGGCTAAAAACGTGGTACATCTCCCAAGACAGATCCTTAAAAGACCAGGTCCAGTAGCTATTAAGTATCAGAAGGATGCTGATCGACACGACCATTTAATAGCCCAGAAGAACTGGAAGAACCCCCAGAATGGGCAGCGCTCTAGGACACGCCCAAGTACCGCAAGGGAAGAACAAGTCCGGAATCTTTAAAAAATAGCTCGAGCTCTTAGTGTGAATAAACTGGAGCCCCAGATAAAGGTACCACCAAAGCCCACGCCTAAATTAGTAGATCAACAGCCTCTGGTGTTAGTTAATATCGCCATGATTAGAGCCTCTGCCTTTAAGAGATATATAGGAAAGAAAGACACCGAGGTCTTTATTACAAGTCTTTATAAGATAGACATGGTTCTTGAAGACCGAAAGGAATCCCTAAAGGAACTGGAGATTAAGGACATTAAGGCTCAGCTCCCCGCGGACTATTAAAAGTACGCGGATATCTTTTCCAAGCGCGTATTAGATACTTTACCCCCGTCCAGAGGTTTAAAGGACCACCGAATTGAGTTAACAGAACCTTTAAATCTCGGTCACTCGCCCTTGTACAAGATGTCTACAGAGCACTTAGAAGCCGCCAAGGCCTATATTATAGAGAATCTTAATAAGGGATTTATTACACCGAGTAACGCCCCATTTGCCTCGCCGATCTTAATAGCTAAAAAACCTGGAGGAGGATTGCGTTTCTGTGTTAATTACCGGAAGTTAAATACAATTACAAAGAAGAATCACTACCCACTACCCCTAATTAACAAGGTCCTAGACTGTCTAAGCCGTGCGAAGATCTTCACCAAGCTTGATATCCAACAGGGATTCCACCGAATTCTAATACATCCTGATTCTGAAGAACTGACCACTTTTCGGACCCGGTACAGCCTATTTAAGTATAAGGTAATGCCATTTGGCTTAACAAACAGGCCGGCGTCTTTTCAAGAATTAATAAATAATCTTTTTATGGATTTCCTTGACAATTTCTTAACTATTTTCGTGGATAACCTTCTTATCTATAGTTAAGACGAGCTGGAGCATGTCAGGCATGTGCAAAAAGTACTTTAGTAGTTATAAAAGACCAGCCTCCAGGCTGCGATTTATAAATACGAGTTTCACACGAAGCGTACGCAATACCTCGGTTTTATTATCACACCGAATGGTATTGAAGTCGACCCTGAGAAAACTAAGGTGATCCGAGAATGGGCCACACCTAGTACTGTTCAAGGTGTGCAGTTATTTTTAGGTTTTTATAACTTCTATTAACACTTTATTAAGGACTACAGTCGCGTAGCAAAGCCTTTGTTTAATCTTACTCGTAAGGACATGTTGTTTCGATAGACAGCTATATATTAAAAAGCACTTAATTAGCTTAAGCAAGCACTTACCTCTGCTCTAATATTAGTTTACTACTAACCAGACTGTCCAACCTGTTTAGAAACTGACGCCTCTAATGGAGTGGTAGCTGGAGTTCTTTCTCAAGAAGTTAAGGGTATATGGCACCCGGTTGCATATTTTTTAAAGATAATATCTACCGCAGAAGTAAATTACGAAATCCATAATAAAAAGCTACTGGCTATTATACAATCCCTAGAGGAGTGGCACGCCGAACTGGAAGAACTTCAACGAGAAAACCAATTTAGCATTATTACTAACCATCAAGCTTTGGAGTACTTTATAACCACTAAGAAGCTTAATACACGGCAGGCTCGATGGGCAAAATTCCTATCACAATTCTACTTTCTAATTTAATATCGACCTGGCAAGGAGAACACTCTGGCTGATACTCTTACTCAAAGGAGCTATCCAAGCCCGATATCCAGGGACCATCGCCACCAGATACTACTTAAGCCAGAATATCTTAAAAAGGGGGTGGCCCTGTTAGAAAACACAGCACCACTACTGGCTCCATAGATTCAGATCTCCACGTAGTGGATCGAGTACTCCGCGCAAACCGTGAATCTTCCAGCCTGGAAAAAGATAGAGCAGTCGCCCGAGACGACAAACAAGAAGACTGGTCTATATAAGACGGACTACTTTTCTTTAGAGGGCGCTTGGTAGTGCCTGATATCGGAGACCTCTAAGCCCGCCTACTTAATAAAATTCATCGTCAACCCTTAACTGCACACCCTGGACGAGCGAAGACCTTGGCTCTGGTAAAAGCTCGCTACTACTGGGAAACGTGGAGCCGTGACGTGAAGTAATATCTAGATAATTGCATAATATGCAAACACAAGAATATTAGTTATAATCTGCCCCCTGGTCTTCTCCAGCCCCTACTAATCCCGGACAGGCTGTGGCAGTATATTTCGATGGACTTCCGCTCATTCCCCAAGGACTGCCATGGATATAATCACGTACTTGTGGTAGTGGACCGTCTAACTAAACAACCCGTTTCAATCCCGTGCTTAAAAAATATTAATGCCAAGGAAACAGCACGGCTTTTCCTATGTTATATCTACCCATGGGGAGGGCCTCCAGACACGATTGTATCCGATCAAGGTCCTTAGTTTATCTCTGAATTCTGGGACGAATTTTGCAAGATCTTAGGTGCTAAACAAAAACTCTCTACAGCAAATCACCCGCAGACAAATGGTTAGACAGAGATTGTTAATTAATATCTTGCGCAACGCCTGATTCCTTTTATTAATTATTTTTAAGATAACTGGTCAGAACTTCTCCTATTAATAGACTTTGCTGCCGCTGCTCTGCCTCACGAATCAACTGGCGTGTCCCCCTTCTTCGCAGAGCAAGGATATAAGCCCCGGACCTTATTTAACTGGACCAGCGCCGCCGCACCACAGAGACTCTTAGTTAGCCGCCAGGAAGCGCAAGACCTCGCCCATCGCATGGAGGAGATTTAGAAATAGGTAAGACAAAACATCGCACAGTCTTAAAAAACCTAAAAAAGACATGCAGATCGGCACCGACGTGAAGTAAACTTTAGCGTGGGAGATATAGTAATAGTATTAAAACAGGACTGGCGCCAACGGAATCCATATGGACAACCTAGTCAGAAACTGGCAAATCAGTAGGCAGGACCATTTAAAATTATTAAAAAAATAGGTAACTCTTTCAAGATTAACTTACCCCCGGGTATTAAGGTACATCCGGTGTTCGCCCCTGAGAAACTACGGCGTGCTATGTCAACGGAACCCTTATCTGCCAATACAGATCCCAGCCCCCAATCGAAGTTAACAGAATCTCGAGTATGAAGTAGACAATTCTATATCACACATATGGGGAAAGCTATACTATCTGTAAATGATGGCCATGACAGGATCCGAAGTGGTATCCAGCCTCTAATCTTAAAAACGCTCTAAAAGTTGCGCGCCTACCACACCAATATCCTGAACGCTACGTCCACCTAAACGCCTGGATGATGGTTGGAAGCCGCCCGAAATAACATTTAACCTGATCATCCCGATGATAATTACGCGGTCAGTAACCACAAGTTCCTGGCACAGTTGCTGGGGACAGCCAACGCCTTGAGGAGGGGGTAATGTCAGGACCTAGGTCGAACCCTGCCTGAGGCACCAAGTCTGCTTTATTCACTGTTAATCCCACAATGTAGAGAATTCCCACATTTCCTGTACAATAGAATTCTTTCTTCCTTCCTTCTCTACGTTTGATGTTTCGTTAGATCGCCACCTTAGATAGAATCTATCCATTTTACCAAGGTGTACAGGATCATCACACTATCCTGTAGAAAGTACGCAGACATAGCATTCCCCATACCATGCCTCGGGCCCTGCTCAATTAACCATGTTAGCCATTTTGGAATGGAGCTGCGAGGCCTTATGATTAAGCTGACCGGAGGGAGAATTTGACTGTACGAAGGCCAAAGCAGGACGATCCTAGCGTCGTTTGATCATAGATGGGCACAATAGTCATGTTAATCATGCCGATCGGAATTGGATTCTGGTCGCCGTGTTCCCATCGCATTCAACCCGTCACCTCGAACTGGTTGGTGATGGCCCATTTTCACCATTAGCGACATATTATGCGCAAGAACTCGATAGCTGGCTGGCCAAGAACTAAGGGAATTCCCGGTAATCAAAACGACACTTCTAGAAAATATTTCAGAAGTCTTGACAGTGCGCATTCACGCCTGAAAACGTCATGGCACGGTGGCAAGCGACTGGTTTGCACGCACCCGTTTGACCCGAAGAGAGTCAGAAGCGGAATTTACTCGCGAAAATCCTCCACACCACCTCAATCACCCCAAGTCTTACCTGTAAAGTCTCCAGGATCGTTACGCTCCATAAGACGGATTGTCCGCCAATTTCAAAAGCACGCCGATGCCAATTTCTCCAAAATTTTAGCGTTTACCCAGCACTCTGAAAAGACGTGTACCCGCTGTGAGAACTTGGAGCGCGAAAACAGCGGCCTAATTGACTCGTTCCAGGAGCAAAAGAAACGGCGCAAGCGAGGTTAGTCTCTGGGCTTGTATAGAGCTTAAGAGCACGGTGGCCGGCCGGCTTTCTTCAGCCTTGCCAAAGTCACAGCAGTGTGGCAGCTAGTGGCGGACACGGAGCAGGCCGATTTGCAACCCAAGTTGCAACCAACTATCGCTAGTGCAAAAAGGCCCACCAGTCGCTAAAACAGCGAGTCTCAGAAGGCTGAACGAGCGGCAGCCCGAGCGGCTCAGCCCGCCCAAAAACTGGAAGAGGCAAGGAAAGCCCAAGAAGAGAGGATAGTTCGAAAGGCCGAACACTAGGCTACCAGCAACGCTATTAAAGAACAAGCCAAAAAGGTTAATGATACCCAACTTTGGAGCAAAAAACCACATTGTGAGGATGAGCCTGGGAAGGGTCCCCAAAGCGAGTTCGGACAGCTGTCGCTCAACAACACACAAAAGTCGCACGAGGAAAATAATCATCCCCAAATCTAAAACAGCAAGTAAAGCGGGATCAGTTGCTTCTTTTGAAAAATCTTTGTCTGTCGTTCGACTATGGTCTAAAATGCAATGGACACCAGCTTGCACAGCCATTGCGATCCCGGCCGCACCACAAAGCCACCAGCTCCAATTTTGTAAGTCAAAATACAGTAGAAATTATTTGTACTGTACCTAATTATGTGCATCATATTAATGTTTAGTTTAATTCAGGTTAATATTGACCAGGTTGGCTTCATTTGAAATTGGCAGGTGGGCAAAGTGATATTATTGCACTGGTCCCATTACAGTCAGTACCTTCGGCCTGAGGCTTTAATGTCGATGTCACGCCGACCGCTTACGGCTTCCTCGGATTTACACCAGAGCTCTCATAATATAGTGCACTGTCTTCCCTGTCTTTCATCCGTGATTGCTCCAGTGCCTGTCTTTTTTCCATTCCTTTGCAGTGGGGCAAATCCCAGCCACCACCATTCCCCTCCTTTTTTATTTTTATTTTTGTTTTTTGTTTTTGGACGGGTATTCTTTGAAGCCCTTCATGGCCTACGATTAGCTCAAACACATGTGATCAGTTGTTACTTCCCAGTCTTTTAAATCGTATGTGCCCTTGAGGAAGTGGAGAATTCAGTTGACATGCAAGAGGTATTTTGTATCATTTAATATTCCATGTTGGATAAACAATGAGCGCAGAGCCTTGGTCAGGCAGTGAAATCGTCATTGCTCTTTATTTTTCCTCCAGATATATTAGCCCTCTAACACTGTCCTGGTTACTATCACGTCGGGGTTACAAACGTACGCCTTCGGCTATTGAACGCAAGGTTAGAATATTGTCCGTGGTGTTCCTTCACTTCGTCTTTCCCGGGGAAATTGGGATGTGGATGCTGTAGATCGGTGGATTGACGACTATCTGCAAGATCATGAGGCTGTTAATCGCCTAATTGCTTTCACTTTACAAGATGCAGAAGTCGTGGCACAGGTTGGTGTCCCTTTAAGCAAAACATTTACTTTCGGTTAGTGACTATTTGCTTTAAACTACCAGTGCCAGTCCGTTGACCAAACTGTGGGGGCAATTGACGATCTCAAATTTCGCTGGCTGAAGCTTCAAAATTTTCCTCCTCCGGTTCAAAGGCTGAAGCAGGAATCAGACAGCCCTATTATCAAGACGGAATGAACAACTTCAGCGGACAGCTCCATTCGGCGGGACTTTTCTAGTATATTCAGCCCCAACACTAGGTGAATTCAAGGAGGCCTGACGTAACCCTGCTATTGTTAGTTTGACCTGCACTTCACTAGATCCTAATATCCTAGCGCGTTGTGAATCTTGTGATATAGCCTACTGTAGATACAACATAGCAATTTGTGTTAAAGGGCCGATGCCCCGCCTTAGATATTGGAAATTATGGAGATAATACTATCTGACGTAGATGCTACAGGGACCTCAATAAATGAAGTTCGAGAGCCTAAAGGCAGTAAACTAAGATTGGACAAAAATATGTTTTTTCGCCTATCAACTCCATGATGTCTCCATTGCATTATAAGCTTTTGACCCCGTTCCTTGTCACGTCCAAGATTTCCAACGTTGGCCTGGTGATAAAAGGCACTGTCAATCAATTTTGAGTGGAATACTCCCCACACAGCATGGGCATAGTGCCTGTTTGTATCTTACTAATATTAGTCACCTAATTGGCTATAGAAAGAGAGATCACTGGAATCGGAATTTATTTTCACTCCTAATGTACGTCATTATGGACTTGTGACGGCACAACACATTGTATGTTACTATAAGTGTTCGCCATGTTCGCCAGGAACGCGCTCCTGGGGGGCAGCTTTCCATAGGTGTCGAATACGCACATTCGAGCTAAGATAATGCAAGTTGTACATAAGAAAGGCATGGAGCATGTTCTGTTCCTGTTTGAGCTGCCTTTTTAACCAGAAACACCGAACATTCAGCGACATCGGAAGACCGGCACTAGAGGTAAACTAAGAAGGCGACTAGGCGTAATATAGACCAGAGCCGAGCGGGGGTGGAAGAGCCATTACAGGCTTGCGTACCTGAATTTCGTTAAATAGGAGATAACGGGGGATGATTGGCCGTAAAAAGATGAATGAACAAATATGCTCAAAGCTCACATGTGCCTCTTGCCCTGCTATCCCCGTCATTTTCTCCACCCCCTCTAGATAACAGGAAGTTCCCGAGCTGGTCCGGACAGCAAGCCTGCGCCGTAAGTGGAATAATAGCACTCTAGAACCTGACCAATAAGTGTCTAAGATAGGCTGAGATTATCGAAGACTAGTAAGGTCTCTTACTCTCTAACTGTGTGATATAAACAAATCACATATTTGGCCTCCGGTACGAACAAGGGTACGTGGGTCAACCAAGAAAGTATATTATTTGCCGATTCTATAGAGAAGTGGGGGCGCTTAAGCGATATGCTTGAGCAGCTGGACTCATATTCACTCCCCGATCAAGGGTGGTTGCGGAAGACTTAGAAAAAATAGGAGATTAGTACAAAAATTATCTTTGTTCGTTCGCTGATCCTGAACTTTAATGTATGCCACAAGACCAATAGAGTGTGGTGGCAACTCATTTCTCATCGCGTGGCGGCACGAACCGTTTGACGCGCTAATTCGGGGAAGTTCAATTTGGATCCGAACCTAGTAAATGTGCTGGGCCTGAGTTGTGTAAGGCTAAACGCTAAGCGATATAACAAGATCTAGCTGCAGCGACGCACCTGCAAATTGACTGCGCCGCTTGATTCCAACTCCTCTCACCCAGTCATGTTCTAACGTGTGTATCGCGGACCACTTGCGCCCGGAATGATGAATGTCAAAGATCCGGATCACATTATGGAAAGCTGTTTTATGAGTGGTGCGTCGTCCCGATAACCCTGGCTTTCTGCGCAAACAGGGAGCCACAGAGAAACCTGCGCGTGTGGATTGAGATGTCTTCCCATCTCTTATCTCTTAGCCAGCTAAATACAGCTCAAGCTGAGCTGCCAGAACGCTGACCAAATACAATGAGCATCCAAGCGATAATCCATCGAAGCTCTCCTCCACAGTCTAGCCAATCTACATCCGATGAGAGCGGAGATCCCCACAATCAAGGGCCCTGGCATTCAATCATTGAGGAGATGGCTGACTACACCGAGAATGATCAGACTTATCATGGGTCTCATGCGGAAAAGTGCGTTACCAAACAATGAGATATACGGAGCAGGGTCAGCTATTGGAAATGGTCGGAACCCAAGGACGGAACAAACGATTGGGGTATGAGTACTGCACCACTTTTATTGTTCGCCCATACTGTAACAGATTGTCGGATTTAGAATGCAATCTCACTGAAATGGAGCAACTCGGTAAGTCAATCGCTGTTTTACTGTAGCCTTTTTATCCCTTCATTGTTTCAGGGTTGTGAGGCAGGGGGAATAGCGTCCCTGGGAATTAAATGGGGAGAAGAAGCGGGACAATCAAAATTATGCTTAATAGGCAACTTTCGGCATATGCTAAGGCCTTGTAACAAGTCGTTTCACGATGCCTAAGTAAGGGAGTGGACAGCCTAAGCAAAGACCTTATCGGAACTCTGAGAGAGCGAACATTAGAGCACGCCTCATCCATAGGGTCTTGCAATCCTACCCGATCGCAGAAGAGAAACGCTCGAAAAACTTGCAGTAAAATACCGCTTTAAATAGGAGGCCGCTTCCTCTACTAACCTCTATACATTTAGGATATCACACTAATATTAGGGAGGCGCCCCGTGTCGACTTACACAGTATGAAAGATAAGGTACAGGACTGTTCTAGGTGCTCTAACACATACTGTCTGCATCAACACCAGCGTTAAATAGGCAAGGCGGCTCATGAGCTCCAAGGGACCGTATGAGGCATATAATCAAATCAGAAAATAAATCTCTCGAGCTAAGAATCGAACCTGCACCGTCAAGAAACCAAGCTGTTGCCTCAATCTAGGTCTCCACACTATTTGCGCGGATGCTTGTCGCCTGGGCTATCACGCGTAATACGCTATGCTTATCTTGGTATAGCGTACTGGCTGCATCAGCATTGATGGGTAGATAGAAATATGCCTGCACCTTTACCACAGAACAGTGTCTATTATATCATGTTAATAGTCCAGCTATTGCAGATGTAGCTGACTACAGGAAAGATATCAGGGATCTTATGGATATATTGGCCCTTCCTTGCGGAACTGGCGAGCGATTGCCGAATAGCGCGAAGAGAGACTGGAGCCTTTACGTATCTCCTGATGCAGTTTGCCCCGGGGGGGGAAATATCACTCTGGCTGCTGATCAGGGACAATACTTTATCTGGATTGAGCGGATGGAGCCTAGTGGCTCGCCAACTAGCCTCGATATTTGTGGTGGTAAATGTGATCCCGCACATCTCGACAGAGTAGCCAAAGTTCCGTTTCGTAATATGAATTAACCCCTGACCAGTCGCCATTCGCTGGTCGTAACCTTGGGCATAGTAGGTGTAGATGGCAGGAAATAGCCCAATATCCAGTGGTTGAGGCGATGAGTGGAGTGTGGTGGCAACACCGCGTCGAGAATTCGAATCCGGCGGCATTGTCAATAAATTTAAGATTAATGTGACTACTACGACCGTCTAAAATTAAGAGCCGGTAGCCTCGTCCAGCCTTCTGCTTAGATACTGGTCAAATACACTCTGAAGCCAGTATGAACCTAGTGCGTCGCAACTCCAGTCATTTTCGGTGCTCGCAAAAAAGGCTACTTCGCTCGAATAGTTAAAATCTTCAAGCCAGAACTCCTGCAGGCCATTTTACTCCCCTTTGTAGATAAGGGCTGGCGGGAGGAGGGAGTAATCGGCATAAATCGCAGGGATTAGGACGGTGAACTCCCGGTTCCGATTGTTAGGAGCGCTCAGAAGCATGATAGCCAGATCCTTAGCTAAGATGTTTAGTCAGGTGCGAAGTGTTTATATTCGCACCCGCGGGCCTGAACTCTTGAAAGCCAGCGATTAGTTCTGCAATATACGTGGTCCTATCTTCTCTCCCATATAGACACTCCCTTTCGCACCATAGCGCCCCACTCAGCTCGTTACCAGCCCCACACATAACACCGATCCCTTTGTCGTCAAATTTATAAATATTTGAGGGGTGGATGTCATATTTTTCGATCTTGTCGCGGAGATAGTCGAATCCCGTCAGCAAAAGATAACTCAACCACGTTTGTTCACGTATTGTAGCTAGAAGCCACGATAAAACAAGCAATAAAAAGCAATACTACTAAACTGAAGGAGTGCTGAAATACCTGCTATTATCAGCCGTCTTCCGCGGATAGGATAGTCTATGGTCCGCAAATATAAACTGGAAAATCGGTTGTGGTGTCGCTTCCGGAAGCAGCACACCCACTTGATACCAAGTGTGGTTCATGCGATTTCCTCAGCGATGTCCTTCAAAATTTGAGGGGTTGGTGAGATACCACAATCAGTAAGCTTAATAACGTGCTCAATTAGAACCTCCTCCTGGACGCTGGTGAGTTTCTAACGCCACGTATAGTTCGCATCCTGGATTGAGGCGGTTTTGATTGGAAGCGACCCTATAATGTGGATTTCTCGATATTATATTTTCTCGCAATTTCAGCATATTTAGAGTGTTCCTGAAATTGTAATTCTCAAATCGCTTGCAATACCAGCGTTCTGGTCCAGTTCATGCTTTGTTGACGTCGACCTGAATGGGTCTAAATTACTGATTATTCAGCATCAGCTCTGTCCGACTTTGTTCCTTTGTTTGACCATTTTTATTCAGTTCTCCCAGATAGATTCAGATAGTCAGAGACCTTCTTTCAATATGGACGGATCCTTATATAGATCAGTGATACTAGCTCATACGCGTATTCAGCCGGCCGACAGTTGAAAAGGCGCGTTGAAAGACAGTAATTGTTACATTACGCGTTGTGTTACATGACCCCGTGATCTACGTTTAGCGGCTTGGCGCCTCTCAGTGTTCATCCACTTCTGATAAGGGCCATCTGACGTGACTTCGATGAGGAGACCTGTGTGCTATAGTACCATCTTGTCCCTTATTAGAAGGCTACATATGTAGTTATTAACTAGCTCGCTACATTATCAGAGTGACAACCTCAACTTACTCTACTCATTTGGAGCGAAACCAAACTTCTGCTGTGCAAAAAAAGAAAAGAAATGGCGGAAATATCTCACAATCTCAATCATAGGCTCCGGCCAACTTGGGGTAAACCAAAGTTCTCCTACACCGTTTGCCTGATTACCAAAATGCTTCAGAACTAACGCTGCCTCGGTTCACAAAATAGGATCAAACACATCTGGACGTGCATTCCAGTCCCAGAATTGGCGTTCCGGACCTGCTGAGGTCCCATGTCACGAAACTCCGCCTCACAACTCTCGTCCGAGAAATGGATGCTCTACCGATAAGGAGCATAAGTCGGCGCAGGGCGACAATAATCGGCAACCTGCACAGAATGCTTCTCTAGCAATTACTGAGGGAAGGCGTATATATGTTGGCAACTTGCCATATAAGGCCAAGGAAAAGGACGTTAAGGCCTTTTTCACTGAAGCAGAATATAATATGTGCGGTTTCGCCAAGAGACCTACTAACAGAGCAATTTACTTATCACTAATATTTCGTTTAGTACGTCAATAGATATCTCCATTGACCCTTTCACTGGGCGGAATCCGTCATACTGCTTCGTGGAGTTGGAAACAAAAGAGAGCGCTGATATAGCAATGCAGTATCTCGATGGACGCGATCTACTTGGTCGGCCCGCCAAGATCAAGCCATGTGTTCCCAAGAAAAACCGTGACGGCAACTTGATGACGCCTTCTGGCTTTGTGTTCGACCGGTGGGAGAGGGATGATGCGTCCGATCATTTTAAGGGCTATTCGGAGGCAGGCCGTCGTTTGCGGGTCAGTGGATTGCCAAAGCCAGGTACTCAAGTTTTCATGAATGAGAAAATTCGTGGATTCTTTAAGGACTTTAGCATGTGGGTTTCGCTGTTCATGATTCTCCCTTGATTGTGCTAATCTTGCGCTCCTAAACGGACAGTGAAGCGATAAGCAAGACGATTTCTCCTCATTATTCAGGACGATCCGCGCGAAACCATCCTCACTACCTCTATGTCGATTTCGCTAGCTCCCAGGAAGCTGAAGCCGCCTTGAGCGCTTTGGATGGTGTTGTAGGCCCATGGGGAACTGTATTGAGGCTGTCCAAGGCTAAAGGAGACTCCCAAAAATTTAATGAATAGGAGGCTTCTATTAAGGGAAAATAATCCTGGCTCTCTAAGGTTGATCCTCGGGGAAGGGCTCCTACGAAGGAAGGTTCCAAAATTATCCAAGCCTTTGCCTTGCAAAGCTGCCCCACCTATCAAAATTCTTCGACAAGTTTTTAAATACCAGCATCTCCATTGTTTCTGTTGCTATTACTACTGCGGGGGCAAAACAAAGTAGGTGCCCGCAGAAATACGATGCATTCCATTCTTTGACAAAGTTGTTTCAGGCACGAAGTGAGCCTGGTAGAGAGTGTGATGTACTGGAGGTAGTGCTCAGTTCCGGAAGCACAATAGAACTCACGAGAGCGAGAGGTTAAAACGGAATACCAATGAAAAGGACAATTCAATACAGCCTTAACTACTGGCAACGTCAGTATGCGGATGCAGACAAAGACATCGACAAAATTTTTTCCCTTACTGTAACGGCATGATGGTTGTTATCCAGGCACAAATCCACCATGTAACTGAATGACTGGGAGGTCCTGGGACCGTTACGTGAGGTTCGCAAGTGAGGGGATCCTGAGCAAGAGTTGAGTTGGACCGAGGAGACAATAAGTGAGGCCATCTCCTGGGAGCGATAAGCGGGCAAAAGATTGGTTTGGGAAATGATTGGGGAAGATAGCTTAAACAATTGGACAAACTCTTATCCCCAGGCGAGAACATCAAACTCGCACACCATAGCGGTGGAGAGGATTTACAGGGCCATTAGCTTAAGACAATAATTGGGAAGCATCTAGATCCTGCCTCGGCGTCGAACTTTTTACCGAGGACTTTCTTCCTCGCCAGAAGTACACTGATGTACTCATTATAATCAGATACACATTGTGCTTTGAATACTTTACCTGTTGTTTCCGAGAATACTCAATAGGAGAAAGTCATTCGATAAACGGCAGTCGACTTCTACTGTTCTATTGCACCGGATCAAAAAATCTATCAATGTGACTATCTACAATGCCTTTTGGATGACTTTACTTTTACTTTGAGTCGTAGCTTCTCAGCGGCTTTAATACTCATGAGGGCCGACCAAAAGAAACCAGGCTCTGTCTCCGTGAACTGCACATACAGCTGTCTAATCTCCCCCGTAGACTGATGCCCGCTTCGAGGCTGGAGCATTATTGCTTTAAGCGATTTCCTGAGCTCGAGGCGATCTTTGCTATCATGCTCAAGCTTCAGTGGAAGTAGGAGAGGAATCATAGTCGACCCCAAAAAAAAAATACTATAACGATAAAATCATTTGCTCAGCAAAGAACAACTACTGTAATCGATGCCATTAAACCGAATTAAAAAGTAAATAACTCGATCCCCAGGACCATCAGCATACTCTTTATACTACACCGTACAATCTTGCCTGGAAGGTTGAGAAAACGGACGCAGGGTGGTTAAAAGAGGGGATATTTATGGAGGTATACTCTCTCCCCTAGTGGAGAAGATATAGAAGTCGTAGAGAATGAGGACAAAGTCAAATTCCTGATGGAGTCGGTTCCCCGAATATGGCCGAACCCAGTGAGCACACGGTCACAGTACAAGGGGAAATCCTACAGGAGCCGCTTACAGAACATGAGAGCAGTCATAAGGACCAAATGGATAACCGCCCACGGAGAGATTGGTGTCCCAGCACTAGTATGGAGACGCCTATGGTCGCATCTTGGAAAGCACACTACCTATGTCTTTACAAAGTCATTGGAACTGAACTATTACCCCAAGTAGTTGTTCAAACTCTTTGATTGTTTAAGCTCATTCTAGCCACGAGATCATAGTGAGAAGAAAGCGGAAAGTAAACGCCTAACAATTTAAATAGACGAAGCCAAAACTCAATGTCGACTGCTAAAATTCGCATCTTACTTTCCAGCTGCTTCTCCTAATTGCTTCGTCTTGTCGGAGCATCGAGTGTACTGTAGGGCAGCTCGTTTCCAAGGTACATAATGTGTTCGAGTAAATGGTTGTCTGGAACCAGCAAAATGCCCCTGAATGACAAGCGGTAGGCGACGATTTGAGCAACTATTTTATAAGGGCCGAGTAGCTGCTATTGCAGACTAAAGTAGGAAAGACTGTTTCCGCAATCCAAGCATGTCTTTCTCGTAAGACCCATCTTAACGGGCGTCAAGGAGTAACAGAGATACAACCATCAACTCAAGGATCACACTGTCTGTCTGAATGGTACAAAACCGTCGCAAGTTGTAGACAAAAGAACCGGGCCGCGTCTGAACTTATCTCGCAAAGAAGTTAAGCAGGATACAAAAACCCGTACTGCCTATTAAGATGCAATCTCTCCATATTTTGTATGTCAGGACAAAACTAACGTTGCGGGATGGTCTTACGGCCTATTACACGACTGACATATCTCGGTCTCCAAAAGGCTCGATTACATATGAAACTGACAACAAAAGCTCTTCGAACCAGTTACCACAGTACTAAGCCCATGAATGGAGAGCATTGTGTACTACTATCCTGTGGCCATGATACCCAGCTTGCGCTTCAATGCAATTGAATTTGCAGAGAAACACGATCATTCGCATTCATCATCGAAACGCACTCGGTGGAAATTTAAACGCGCATGGGTTATAACACACCGAGACGCTAGATTCCCTTGGAGCCTACTCTGAATTGCCTTCAGAAACCTTTGGCCCAAAGAGTATTCAAAACAAAGAACACTATTATTAAAGTCTGAAACGTTTACGATATCGTACAATGAGTCAGGGCGTGTCAGGATAAAGTCCGGCAAAAACTCGTAAGTATACATAGGAACCTGCTTTCGAGTACACTTGTGACATGAACAGCTGTTTCAAAGCCTTGTATTTGAAAGAATATACAGGGAAACCTAACATACAGGGGAAAACCTATATCAAGGCTAGACTATTTAACCTGAACTAACCGTCTCTCAATGAGCGCAAAACATGGTTTCTTTTTTCTTTTTTTCAGGGCATTATTGATCGTTGCCTTAATCTCCCGCTCTGATTTGAGTCACTAGAAGCGCAGTACATTACTTTAGAATGTCAGCACTTACTTTCAGCTCACGTTTGCCCACGTCAATCCTGTGTTCGAGCAGCACTGTTAATCCGTCCAGAGGTTGTCACTTACATCCTGTTCACGTTCACCCAAGTAAATACCGTGATCGTGTACAGTCAACATTGTTCAACGCTGAGGGAAACCAGCGAAATACGCCTGCCAGGATTTTCGAGTTCCAAATTGTTCCTTATTGGAGAGGGTGCCCGGTAGATCTTTTGGAAGTATGTATCGACACTAGCCATCCTGGTGGTACAAATGCCGTACGTATGATATGCTTTTGGGGAGGTTTTTCGGTTGGAACCCCGATCGGCGACGCCGGGTCGACTCTGTTATATCAAAAAAGAGTTTTGGAAGAAAGGCCGATGAAAGGTTGCGGTTATGGTGGAGGAACACATGGACGGTGAATTTGGAGGTGGAATCAGGATTATCCATCTTGATCACAAATTGAATGCCCGCGGGGTTTTGGGAACGGCAAGGCGCGATGGGAATCAAAAGAAAGAACAACAGACAAAAGAGAAATTGGCTGAAGTTTTTACAGAGGATTTGTCAGACTTGAAGCGATGTGGGGGATGGCCAGCGCATTTGTATCATTACTTTGTATAGTTTCTTTTGCAAGGGAACAGCAGAAGGGGGCAGCGAAAACGAAGTTGTCAACATAAGACTTACAGCGATAACGGTGACCCCATTCGTTCCTTATATTAGTTATTTTGTAATGAAGCAGATTATTATAGAGAACACATCACTTAGACAATTATAAAAATTGTATCGCTTGTTCAGTCGTGACAGATGTATACGAATTATGTGTCAAGTCAACAGGAGTATCCTCTCGTCTGCAAGTTTTGCAAAAATTGGCGTCTTTTTAGCGCATACAACTCAGGTTAACGTCATAATTAAGCTCTCTAACAGAAGGAGAAGAAAAAGAAAAAAACACAGGCCTGAAGGCGAGGCTCAAAGTTTGCCCACACACACTCTCTCTCACTCTCTCTGTGAAAGAAGACGCTCTGATGTTGACAGGTTACTAAACCGCTGACATGACTTTGTAGTTGGTTGCAATCTTGTCCCTTAGTCTCTCAATGTCAATTAGAGAATCCTCTATTATCTTTATGCATACTGTAAATTAAAGCATAATATTGATGGAGAATACAAAACATGTCGAGGTCATGCTAAGAGGCGATACAGTAAAACCCCTATATAAGCAGCACCCGATTTAAGCAAAACTCCGGTATAAGCAAATGAACACGGTGTCTAATTTGATTTTCCATATTAATATGCTTAACCCCCCGATACCAAGATCTTTGCTTAGTTTTTCGCCTTTTCCTATATAAGTTTGCCTATATCGAAGTCTCAAAATTGCTTATTAAGACATTACACTTTGCTTTAAAAATAGTCGAGGACGCGTCGTGCTATTTCAAATAGCCATAAGGCAGCCCTACGCGCTCAGCATTATTTAAAGCCTTATCTTTCTCTGGTACCTCTTTCTAGGTGGTTTGAAGAGACATATAAACAGCCAATTGACCGCTCCCCTATTAGCCGAATCCTCTCCTCTCGATTTGCCTTCCTTGACGACATTCAAGCGCATCAAAACGAAGATAAACGACGCCTTACAGAATCCTGGCCGGGGTTAGAAAAGGCACTCTACAACTGGATACGGAGGGCTGAGGGACAAATAACAATATCCCAGGAGATTGTTTGGCAAAAGGCAAGGGATTTCTGGCCGGAGGTCTATCCAGAAAGAGAGATGCCGCAGTTTAGCAACGGCTGGCTCCGACGCTTTCAATCACGCAGAAATATTAAGTGGAGGAGTCAGCATGGTGAAGCTGGAAGCGTATCTGAAGATGCAGCTACTAAAATGGTTATAATCCGTCACGCTCTTAGTATATATGCGCCTCAGGATATCTTTAACTGCGATGAGTCAGGTCTATACTGGAGGATAATCCCTGACCGGAGTTTATCTACCTTGCTTCCTGGCCGCAAGAAAGAAAAGCTCGAATAACTGCGCATTTCTGTTGTAATTCAGACGCTTCAGAACTCCTTCCTATCTGGTTTATTGGGACAGCTAAACGACCTAGAGCCTTTACTGCAGCTGGTATTAATATTGAGAATCTTAACTGCACTTGGCGCTCTAATAAGAAGGCATGGATGACGGGTGATATCTTTAAAGAATGGCTGCTTGGTTTGATAGAAGATGCATGGCCGAAAAGTTGCTCTTTTAATGGACAATTTTTCTGCACACGAAGCTGCATATGAAGAACTATACCCCAGCTAAAAAACACTGGTTATATGGCTTCCATCCTGCTCAACGTCACGGTATCAGCCACTTGATCAAGGGATTATACGCACATGGAAGGCATATTGGAAAAAACGTGGGTTTTATATATGATGGCTGAGTACGACCGTGGTTTTGATCCGCTATCTACTATGACAATCTTACAAGCAATTCGATGGGCAATTTCTGCCTGGGAATTTGATCTGCCTAGAGATACAGTCAGAAACTGTTTTCAAAGGGCCCTTTCAATTGAATATGTCAATGAGCTTAATGATGAGCAACTTATTGATGATATAAAGCAAGGACTTCAACGTCTAAAACTCTCGAATAGTATCCAGGACATTATGGATATTAATCAGTTTTTGAATCCCACAGAGGAGCAGGTTGATGATAGTCTTATAAATATTGACTCTGCAGTTCTGTCTGAAATTGCACCGGCTCCAGCTTCAGATAGTGATGAGGAGGAAGATCTACAGTCTCTACCAATAATTACACCTACAGAGGCATTAGAAGGCTTATATAAACTACGCCTCTATCAGGAACAGCAGGTTGATGGAGATAAGGCCCTTATTCGGCTTCTTACACACCAAGAAAGGCTCCTTCTAGAGAGAAGAACTCAAGCTCAGCGTCAGACCGTTATCCGGCCATTCTTTGCCTGACCACCCACCTCCCCTTATTAAGCTGCGGGGCCCCTTGGTTGCCAAAAACATGCAGAATATAGCTTATATCTTATAGAATGATCATAATAATGTAAAGCACGCAAGCTCAGAGGAAGAACATGGTCAATTTCATTGATTAGTGTAAGGTTGAAGATGGAAGGTGGACGAGGTCAAATGCTCGAAGTATGAACGAACGAAGTAGGGTGACCGCTGAGAACCACTTACGCAGTTCCAACCCGTATGAGCGTGCAACAAATAATTAATATACGCGTTCTTCAATTCAGTATTGTGCAGTAGATTTATATAGAGCAATATAAATATACATATATATATATTACCTTGTTCTGTATAAGCAAAAATCCGGTATCAGCAAACTTTCAGACGGTCTGGATTCTTTGTTTATATAGGGGTTTTACTGTATATGCACATTAAGTCACTAACTGTATATGTACTAGTATTTTTCTTAGTGCTTGGGAAAGCTATCTTGAAGTTTCCAAGGTGGGCAGGGTAATTGTGCAAGTCACAGTAATGGAAGCTATTGTAAGGAAGTAATATTGTGAGTGTAGACGAGGTATACACTAATTGCAAAACCGCCGCAAGAGTCTTATACTCTCCGATTGTATTTCAAAACCTAATGCCAAGGCGAACTAAATCATATTAGGAATATTTAAGGAAAAGCTATTTTCCGGAAGTATAGCATGCATTGTACTAAACTGTTAGATAACAGTAAATTACGGTAGTTGTGTATGGTGCTTGCATTGGGAAACCATGGCATAACGTTCTGTTTTTACAATAATAATAATAACTCTTAAATTAACCCGCCTGATTTATAGACTTAAAACTCTATTATATACCCCCACCCCTGGCGACTTCGGCCCTGAACATATGCCATCTGTATTTTGCCTATCTCCTAAGCATGTATTTGATGAACCTTATACCCCCTTGTATTAATCCCAGCCCGACCAGCCCGGCTTCTTCCAGATGTCACGGGCTAGTAGCCGGTTCAACCTATATAATAGATTTGGACTAAAAGAACTCGCTGAAGAGCTTCTATCTGCGGTCGCGGCGGCCGAACAGGTAAATGTGTGTGCGAGGTAACCGAGATCACGTGATCGGGAGAGTTCTACACGACCTCGCGAGTGCCTGGTATACGGGCTCGAGCACTTTGCGGGTCCTGCCCGCTACACCAGAAGCCTGAAGAAAGAAATCCGGGACCACATAGAGAACAGCCATATATTCATTATACGATTGAGTGGAAGGTAACTCTAAATAAGCGCTATAACGGCACTAACGTTGATTGGAAACCTATAGAAAAGCAGCTTTTGATGTGGGGAAATCTGTTTTATCTTAGGAAGAAGCTTAGACTTTATATATCCATAAATTATATTAAGGACACAGACCCCCCTCTTTCACGGAAGGGCGATAAGAGAGGAAAATCATTAGTGACTAAGAGAATGCTCACAGAACAAGATGTTTAGGTTAATACTAAGTATATTTCTAGGGTATCCTTAGTTTAGTAAGATATGTATAAGATAATGCGTTACCCAGGGCTACTATATTACTATAATAAATAGTAGTATTGGCAGGACCCTTTAGGGAAAAAGCACTACAGACTTACAACACTTTATATAAGGAGACATGTCCAATATATTAAAAAAGGAGGTATTTTAGAGACCTATGATAATCTTCCGGACAATGTTTGTAAATGTTGAAAACCAGGATGCCTAAGGCACCTTCGGGTATCCTAGTCCTGAAGCCATCTGACATATCACACGCAAGGGGCTAAGGGGCTAAGGGGCTAAAGGACACGTAGACATAAGGAAGCGTTTATCTACGCTCTCTCTCCTAGATAGAACAACATACTCACCACGCGATACTAGATCGCACCGATAGTTTCAATATACTATCCAGTCACCGTTATCCTAGCACCTCACGACATAGCTTCTTCCCCGAGATTCTCAACATGGCAGTGTATTAAATCTCTGTATATCCAATTCGAACTTTGTTGATTCCAGACCCCTGGGAAGCATTCACTTCACATTCATCTTTCCCTCAACAGAGCCAGCAGCCCAGACAATAGCTAAAGTCCTGCTCATCATGCTATAAAGGCTGACAGTAGATCCACTTAAACCTTTAAGAACAGAATTAAGTTCCTCAAAGGCTTATTCTCCCCCATTGTGGCCTCAATGTCATCCAGCATTCTCAAAAGTCTTTGGTGGAGGTCTGCGAGAATACATCTTGTGTACTCTAGACTTCCCGCAGCATTCATCTCGGAGAGTATATATGATCGTATTTCATCAGACATGCCAATCCTGGCCCCACCAAATACCAGCCCGCGGACTCTGTCTGCAGTAAGGCTATTCTGCAGAGTGTGTATCAGAACAACTGAGAACTTGCCCTCTGAAAGATCCTCACAGAAGCCTTTTTTAGCCGCATACTATGTGATAATTAGGTGTTCATGCATATACAACGTGCTAAGGCTTAAATCCAAAAGTTCGCAGCAAGTTTTTAATTAAGCAAAAGCGGTAAATTGCAAACTCACCTCCTCAGATACCAAATTCTGATAATCATCTCGAATTTGGTAGTATCTCCCCAGGAGGGATATGAAACGAACCAAATCGCTGTCCCAAGGGATTGGTGAGGAAGCCTCTGCAGCCATGACCCGCATAACAACCCGGAAAAAGCCACCGGTCTTCTTGTCAATCATTACAAGATAGTCGCTCATTGTCGGGCATTGCTTGTGAAATTTCCAGTACAGCTCAAGAGCCTGACCCGAAAACAAGGCTTCCAATTCGTCTGCATGTGTGGTCTTGTTAGAGTCCCACAATTTTGTCAGCATGTAGTTAGTAGGGTATATACTAACCATACAAGACCTTCCTGCATGCACTTGAGTGCCTCAGGTCCTCACATAGTCGAAGCACTTTAAGTCCCATGTACGAGACAGAATTGACTGTCTGGCCTACACCGTGCACGACATGTGCAGCTGGCATTCCGCGTCGTTTTAGGGAGTCATCCTGAATATCATCCAGCCTAATACGTCATCAGTATTTCGACAAGAGATAGTTTAAGTATTTAGTAAGGAACATCAACATACATAAGCGAACTGTTGAAGATCATTACTATTAAGGCTTTGATGGTCTCAGAAGACTCGGTCGGGACGCAGAACCAGGCATGCATCGCGTCAACCATTCTGGCCATAGTTCCTTTACCAGGGAGAGATCTGATGTAGTCGTAGGGGGCCACACACAACTGTTCAACTTATTAGAAATAAAAAATCCATTATAGTGGTTATAACACCCCTTTTCTAAGTCTTTTTTCTGGAAATTTTCGGTAATACCGACATCCATACCTGTGCACCCACCTCTATTAACCAAGGCTTCGGAAGCCGCTTCTTGGCCGTTTCTTTCGAAATTATTAGTATTAGAAGGACAGTCTGAGAAGATGGAACATATCCCTAATATTGATGTATCGGGGCCATTAATCGCCTGCGGGACAGGGTAGTTTTTGAGACGTCGGACACTGGAAGCTGAGTTTCTGACAAGAGTCGCACGGTCTTTGGCTGTTGTTCTCAAATCTGTCCGAAAATACCGTTCCGAATGCGACATCCAATAGTTCAGTCCTCCAAGATATGTCAGAACTGTAAAGGCGTACCCCACTAGATTTGGCGATTTTGCCAGGTTGGAGCTATGCCAAGCGTGAAATTCCTCCAGCCCCTGCTTTTCAAGGGTCAGGATCTCTTGCTTAACGATACTCGCAGCCTCCCCCTCTTCGTAGCCATAACCGGACATAAGCAACGCCATCACGTTGCCAATCGTCTCTATATTCCCCCTTGCGCTGTGTTCCTCAAACTCTTTGTGGAAACTATTAAGGTCATTCATCAAGGAGGTACTAAGCATGAGCTTGTCGGTAAAATAAGCGATGGAGTCTCTCTCCTGCTGAGAGACCTGCTGACCATTAAAACGTGCTATCAGGTTTGCAAATAGCCTTGTGAATGACAAAAGTATTTATTAGCCAGGCTCGCACAGCGAAGATATATCGGTAGACCATATACTGTACCTGGATCCAGAATGCCTGATCTTGAAAGTTTGAAACTCTTCAAAGGACATGGATTTTCCAACATGAGCAGTTTGTGCTAGGAACACATCTTCGAGTTCTGACAAGAACGTGATCCGGTCCGGTATATCCAAGAAGTGGCTGAATGTCGCCATTATGCTGGAGTCAGATGTTCCAGGTTCGCCAGTAGGAACACTGGCTAATGCGTTCGAAAGGATCTCGTCATGCTATTCGCTGTCAGTTTGCAGAAATGGACCAACCGATAAATAACTCACTGATGCCTTGTCAAGTGTATCTGTGACATCTGCCTCCGTGTTAGCACAATAGAACTATCGTAGGGATTCTCACCCACCATCGAAGTAAAGCGTGAGCTCTGCCACTTCTGCCAAAAACGTAATCCAGGATGGCGGACATTCTGGAAATATCCACGAGATAATATTCCCGTGGGAAGTAGTTGTACCACTCCGAGCGAGGCTCTTGGAATTTGTCCCAAGTCTCTCTGCCAATTTTTCCTGTACCTTCTCTGCCTCGTTTTGGATTTGATCCGCGAATTTTGAGACACGGACCGGAAGAGTACTCTGGAAACGGCCCTGTGGGATCCCAATGGGCTGGAATTGTTCCGAGAATTGAAATGGATAACCCTGATATGTACTCATCGCGGCGGTTTGTAAATAAATAAATACCAAGAAAGGGCAACCTGAGGAAAGACAGGAAGACTGACTTAGAAACTACAATTAGACAAAGGGGAGAGGGTCGTATACTTATATTAAATCCAAGTTAAGGCAATTCTACTCTGCGCCAAACTGACTGTGTAAATGGCCATGAGCTCCAACCAGGCTATCCTCTGCGCTAGCGGTTGAAATGGCAACTATTAAACTTATCAGCCTCTATTGGGTCAACTCCGCTCCACGCTAATAGCGTGTGCATATGCCACGTAGACCCACCATGCTATGTACCAGTCAATTCAAATCTCCATTTCGTTAAGTAACACAAAAGAAGCAATAATTACAGACTATTAGAGGATAGCTTCACCTCTTGCAGCTTGATGCAATGCGCAAAACACATAGTGTATGCAGGAACCCAATAGTGAAGTACTGGGCTTAAATCACATCAGCTACCCAAACATAAGTCGATAACACTACTAACTAGATCACGGGACGTGGTAGGCATGGTTAACACGAAAAGGATGTTGTCTGCTGAAGCCTATATAAAGTGCCTTCGTTCCTCGTGCATGCAGGAGCATCATTCTGTCTCAAGTTACACACTATTATTGGCATTCATCTTCGAATCTGATCTTTCTAAAACAATTATGCGGTTCTCCACGCTCTGTATCAGCCTTTCCGCAGTTGCTAATATAGCATTTGCTCTCGGTTTCATGGCTCCCCTTCAGTGCTTAAAAATGAAAGACACTGCTGAAAACATCGACACTGATCGTGTTACTAAGATGTGGATGGAAGCTGCCTGCAAACGCTGTCAGCCCAAGCTATCTGACTATGGATCTGTTTTGCGCGACAGCCTGTTCGTCCCATTTGTGGAAGCTGCGTCCCAGTCCATGGGGACTTCCGAGCTTTCTCCCCACTATATTGCGCTTCTGGACAGTTTTGTTGAGATGGCCAAGGACGAGTGCGGTGCGACCGACTCAATGGACTTGTGCCAGGACCCCTCCCAAGTCAAGTCATTGGTGAAGTGCATTCAAGGCCAGGGCTGGTCTTTCGTTCTGCGAAACGCCCCTACCTTCCTGCCTATCCTCCTGGCAAATCCGTGCGGCAAACAGATGGATTATCTCTCCAGTCCAGATCTACTTGACAGTATCCTTCCTGCCTATATGAAGAGATATGCCGAGAGCTGCTAGGATGGTAAGCCAAAATATTCCAATAAGCGTCTTGAATTGTCCAGGTCAAATGGTTTAACCGTTGTTGAGTAGGTTAGGGAGATTATCCTTGTGAGAGAATACTGGATGAGGCCGTACTTGATTCTTCTTATCTTGCACTGCTGTGTCTCGCTTGTTCTTATCTTTCCCCTTTTTATCGCTTGGAGGAATGTTGACGTGGGGCATAGGTAGCGGGTGTCTAACTATGACAAGTAATAAACACCGGTGTCCCTTAGCCCCTGAATATGATATATCACATCGCTGCGGGACTAGGATATACGAAGGTGCCTTAGGCATCCTGATTTCCAACAGGCACGGCTAATACTGCAGGTTGTGACTTGTTCCTGGAACTTATCCTATAGAAATATTGCCATTTCGTCAAGATATAAGGTTTTTCAAGTAGGTAATTATAAAAAGCTTAAATTATAAGTGGCATAAGATATCACGGTCTTCTGCCTTTATTTAAAGGCGCCTTGATACAAGCGCATGTTTAAGCGATGCCTACTAATAGTATTTAGATAGCAGCCAGCAGCTTTAGCAATCTGTAAATTTATAAGCTCATTGCTTATTAGCATATCCTGGATAAATTTCAGGGTTAATTATGCTAGATTGGGTGCCATTGTGCAATTATAATGAACTAGATCCGGGAGGATCTCCTGGTAGGGTAACAGGAATACATAGTGGGGTAAAAAATATAGCAGCTGTATATCCGGTACAAGTAATATACAACAGCTAGAAGTATAACAGTCAAGTACAATACAATACCGGATTCATAAATTAGGAATATCCTAATGTAGTTTAGCTTATCTTGGTATTAGGGTTTGAAATACAATCGGAGAGTATAAGACTCTTGCAGTGGTTTTGCAATTTAGTGTATCGTTGTGTACGAGCTAAATTGTAGTGGCTGGCCGACTTGGCGCACCCAGGTCGATAGCAGAGAGCAAAAAAATGTATAAAAACGACTATGCAAAAAACTCTCTGTAGCTATGCAAAGAGAGGCATCGGTGAACGAGACCTGCTATATAAATCCAAAGAGTAGTGAATTTGGTGAAATTGGGAAGGGGATGGGGGGTTGCCCATTCCTATTTACCGGTGCGTTTTATCTTAAGCTATTGCACCTACCAGTTATGTTCGGCTCATTTCTTACCGGTCCTAGCGGGGCTCAAATATCGAGACGCATGCGAAGGCCTACTTACGCTGTAGAGGAAGTGTTAGGGTATATTGAAACTCGGCGAAAAAAAATAAAAATGAAAATAAAAACTGCTGCACGGCCCCATCCATGTAGCGTTGTATTATTCGGCCTATTTCGGTCTCGGCATTGGTATAGCTCTTTATCGTTTCGATCTCATGTTTCATTAAGAATATAAAGTGTATCAGTACAATATCCAATCCAATCCACAGTCAATAATACTTCAACAGAAGGCTCGGCAAACTCCGCTCGCTGAAGCCCATTTTTCATAACCTTCAGCTCTCTTTTACTTCCCTCAGTATGGAAAAAATTGATATCTCAAAAGCCCCGCCGGAGTACCGTCAGATCCAGGGGATTGTTAGCATCCTTCCCATTGGTTATGGCGTAAGTTTCATAATCTGCTACGGTGCAGTACTGTACCAGGCCTTCAAAGACCGGTCCTATGGGATGTCAATGATGACTATCTGCTGTAATTTCGCTTGGGAGTTAGTGTATGCTTTTGTACACCGGTCAAAGGACTCTACCCGACAGATAGTTTTTGTTGTCTGGGCACTCCTCCAGGCGATTATCTTGTATAGTGCGATAAAATTCTCCCCCAATGAATGGAAGCATGCTCCTCTAGTGCAGCAGAACATCCTGCTGATCTACACATTGTGCTTTCTGGGTTTTTTTTCCTGGCACCTCGCACTGGCCGCCTACCTTGGGCCCCTGGGCGGCTATTTTTGGGGCGGCTATGTTTGCCAGGCAGTTATGAGCGTTGGATCGTTGTCGCAGCTTATTACTCGCGGGAGCACGCGTGGCGCATCCTCCACCATATGGTATGATTGGGATAACACAGCCCTTAAGCAAGTGCATGCTAACTCTGACCTTGTCTGCTAGGCTTGGGCGGTTTTCGGGAAGTCTCTTTACCTTGGCAATTAGCGTTGTACATATTAATTACTGGCCGGAGGTATGGGGATGGATGGATAACCCACTTATGCGGTGGTTGGCAGTAGCGTTTCTACTTCTTGACGTTACATACGGCATCTGCTTTCGACGCATCTACCAACGGGAACGGACCCTCGAGTATGCCAAAAATCACGAAAGGTTGAAGCACACATGAAGCTCGGGGTGTGACCCTGGAGCTGAAGATATCTCAGGCTTTCATTGATCCTTACATCCCAAAGAATGCGGATCGGTGGTCCTAGAGGAATCAAGAACGAGGCGACTGCTCAACGGCCTTGGATATTGAATTGCGTTGTCGGATTCCATCTCATTATTCAGGAATAAATTGCCCTTCCGTGTCGTCGAGCGGCTGCTTCATGAGTAACGGAAGTGTCAACGCGTTTTATTACATTGTATATAACATCAATGTTATATAGAGAATCAATCGACTTGTTCGAGCGTAGCATATAGCCTAGCTCCGGTATGCAACTACCGCATAAGGTATGTATGATGAATTCGCGTCCTACAGTTCGAAACTGCCATGAACGTCGAAAGCCTCGTACCACGACCCCGAATACTATACTATAGGTCTGAGTAATCCAACTCACCGAGTTTTACTGCAGCCTGCTACCCGAAAACCTGTACTCCGGTGATATGTTTTCTAGGCACTGTGATATAATAATAGAAATGACGGCCTTTGGAACGGTATCTAGATCTGCTATAGTCCAATAAAAGCTAGAAAAGAACGCCATCAGACCAAGTCCGTCGATTCCCAATTCCAGGGGAAACAGTCCTCATTCATCCGGTTTTACTTTTTCTTTTCTTTTTTTTTGGGTCGGAAGGAAATGTTACGATCAGCGGCTTGTCCCGAGTTCTACATTGGACTATATACCAATAACTTTTAAGCAAACACAGAAATGTGCATTGGAGCATTTCCTGCGCGAAGAAAGACCTCAACCATACAGATAGCCACCGTCCAGACCCCAAGAAGAAAATTCTCCTTATGCAACGTTCCTCCGCTGGTGGGTTGGGACCCATCGAACCGAAGGAGCTGTCTCATAAGGTACACGGTCCAGACACCCATCCAGGTAACCCACAACCAAAGAGAGCCGAGAGTCCTGAGAAAAAGCGGAATACAAACCAGAACCGTGGTGGCAAGCATGACCAGGAAAAGGTGGATGTGCTTTCCAGCAAGGTTGTAGAAGGAATTAACCCCCATTTTGCGATCATCGACAACATCCTGATAACTGTACGCTGTGTTCAGGTAGAGGGTCCAGAAGAAGATCATGGTGCAAAGGGGGAGGCAGTGATGGGCTATTTCCCCAAATGAGAGCTTCTGGTTGTGGATCGCGGCGCAGCCAGCGATTGCCGGCCAGGCGATGGTGAATCCCAGGATGTATTGCGGGTATAAATGAAACCTCTGTGCCAGAGGGCGCTTTCCATAGGGATATAATATCGAGGCTACCGCGGCGGGGAGGAGAACACTCCACCTGTGGGGGAATGGTTCAATAAGTTAGTCGAGTCGGCTGGCTTCCTCCCATGCAAAAAACGACACCGATATATCTAAAGACAGGTGCAATACTCACACGTCCTTGCCGCTGAGCATAATTTGTAGAATCCCCCAAGAAACGGCGACTTGGACCATCATCCATAGCATTGCCTCCCCGGTCTTAAGCCTGCCTGCCGCTAGGGGCCGGTCTTTGGTTCGGGCGACGTTGGCATCAATATCACGATCAATCCAGTCATTCCATACCATGCCCGCCCCACAAAAGATGTATGAGGCAAGGAAACACAAGAAGGTTTGACGGGAGATAAAGACGTAAGACGTAGAAGTACGATCATCAGCAAGCTTTTCCGCCCCGGCGAGTAACGTAGACCAGACTACATGTGGAGTATGTGTTAATCTACTGGCCTAGCTAAGAAATCAACCGTTCACCTAGACCTACCTCCTGCAAAGGTCGCAAACAAGGGATTATATCTGTCGAAGCGAGAAAGACGGAGAAGATCCCTCAGCACATGAGATGTGCTTCTCCGAGGGAACTGGTCATTTTTGTTGGGGATCGTCATGGCGCAACGCTTCGTCGGATCTATCCGTAGCAAAGACATGCACCAGAGAGATTAGACGCCCTGCTCTTTATGTTGGCCACGGCGGGGGGGAGAGAAAGGGGGTGGGGAGCAGGCCGTGATTGAAATTCAGTCTTCCGACAGTAACTCTGCTCAATCGGGTTGCACACGCCTAGTATCCCAGCAAGAATCCGTCACGTTGGCTACCTGATGGGGCTCTCGGAGGAATCTTTTCCCAATACGATCGGTGGGTTTATGGCCCTCGGCCAATTCGTAGATCCCGAGTTGATGTACTCGGAGGTGCTCGGCGGATAATGACTGGGAGGCTGCATGAACATGGACCGTGTATCTACGGTCCACTGCCCGGCCATGGTGATATCAGGAACGTTCTATATTCCCACCAGTAACCCGTGTATCTCTCCGATCGATCATCGCCATGCGGGACAGCCCCAAGAACCCAAAATTCAGATGGATATTCAATGACACTTGCCACGGGAAACCGGTCACTAATGGGTCAAGGGGACGTCACTGGATGTTAATGCCCCGCGTTGAACCTGGCCTATCTGGCTATCTCGCATTTTAAGTGTCGATTACCTAACGAAAAGCTGAACCGTATACTGTGCCATTCTCCCTCTGTCTCCTTTTACTGCTACAGTAGGTATGAGAATATCTTTGCTATGCACCAAGAAGCGTCGATCCAAAATGACGCCAGTTTCTACTAATGGAGCCCCCCCCGTGGCACTGCCAAACGTGCCCTTTACTAACCCACCCGCTTCTTGTGATGAACAGAAGGTATTTCACTTGCTCAAGAGCTGTAGAGTCGTCCATTCCAGCTGACGCGACACGATCCACATAGGTCGTTCGCTCGCCACTCGATTACCTTCTCAACGTGCCTGGCAAGGATCTCCGAAAAAAGCTGATCTCAGCCTTCCAGGTATGGCTGGAGGTCTCCGAAGAAAAGCTGCAAGTCATCAACAGTATTGTAGGGTTACTCCACACGGCATCCCTCATGTAAGTAAGCATGTCCGCAGTGGTCGTTGTCCACTCTGACCCTGCCTTTACGGGGGTTATTATGTCTTACATTATTGTTCAACTAGGATCGATGATATCCAAGATGGGTCCAAGCTGCGACGTGGGATTCCCGTGGCCCATGCTGTATTTGGGGTGGCTCAGACAATAAACTCGGCCAATTATGCTTATTTCCTCGCCCAGCAGGAGCTTGCAAAGCTGGGGAACCCCAAGGCCTTTGAGATATTTACTGAGGAGATGCTCAATCTACATTGTGGACAAGGCATGGATCTCTACTGGCGAGAGTCGCTTGTGTGCCCGACAGAGGAAGAGTACCTCCGAATGGTCTCCAACAAAACCGGCGGTCTGTTCAGGCTGGCGATCAGGCTGATGCAGATGGCGAGTGAGAGCGACCTGTGAGTATATCCCCAGAAGGTAGGAAGCATCGGATGACGGGGAAGCAACACTGACTATCCCAATCCTGGGCCACATTCAGAGACTGTGTTCCTCTGGTTGACCTGCTGGGCGTCATGTTCCAAATCCGGGATGACTATCAGAATCTGCAGAGTGACAGCTACAGCAAAAACAAAGGCTTCGGTGAAGACCTCAGCGAGGGGAAGTTTTCCTTTCCCATCATTCACAGCATTCGATCGAATCCAGCCGACCTTCAGCTCCTCAACATCTTAATACGGCGAACGGACGACGACGATGTCAAACACGCGGCCATACGGTATATTGACTCTACTGGGTCTTTCGATTACTGTCGGCAGAGGTTGCGAGAAATAGGGACGGCGGCCCGTGATATGGTGCACAACATGAGTGGCGATGCAGACGCGGTTCAGAATATCTACAGGATCATTGAGCTCTTCGAGCTTTCTGCTTGATTTTTTGTGGTTGTGTGGTCTTTTTTCAGTGAAATTCCGTTTATTATAACTATACTTAAGTACCTCACCATGCATCTGGTAGGCTACAAATGAAATATGGCATGTCGGAGATTCTGGAACGAAGTTAGGCCCAGGAAGAAGAGAAGAAATACTCTCGAACAAATAAGTAAACAGATTTAGATTCATCTCCAGCTACAAATTTCTAGTGCTTCCTGGGCCAACTTGGCTACTCTGCTTTGTCCCAACAAGGCTAATTGGATGCTTCAATGGCCAAAGTCTCGGTATACTCTCCGGCACGTAATTCCTAACGGAGAATTCCAGTCTGAATTACGCCGAGCAGTCAGCGCCCTAGGACGTGGACTCGGCCATCGGTATTGAAATTACCTGCCATCGTGAAAAATACGCATGCAGAGAAGAAGCAGAAGAAGACACGCATTATGATCTCGACTGCGCGATCCTTTAAAAAGGCACAACGGAGACCTGTCGTGCACCGAGCCGTCTTGTCCCCCCGGCACCACCGTATTTATTATCTACAGGTTTGTGGCTCGTATTACATACCAACAAACGTCTATCGCTGTTCTGACGGGCACAGAATCATAGCCATGCCAATATCTGAGGAGCGGCCACTGCTCGTGGTTTGTGGTCCCCAGACTGGGCCACCAGACCAAACATACTTGTCCCGGTTACACTCGCATCTCACTCATGAGCCGGACCTTCGCGGGCTTAAACTAGCGGTGACAGAGCTTCCCATGATGTGGAAACTGCTCCTGAAGCATCAGCTGTCTCTGCATCAGGTACCAGGTGAACGACTCCTGACGAAGCTGGCCGAGTGGGCTACCACTTCGACTTCCGCAATAGAGGATGGGTGCACGTCGAACATGGTCCTGGCTGTATTAACTGTTATTTCGCACATCGTGGAGTATACAACCTATCTCAAGTACAATCTCGACGACGGGGGCGACGGGGACCCGTGTCTACAAAGCGTCCGTAACGGAGGCATTCAGGGACTATGCATTGGATTTCTTTCCGCCACCGCGTTGGCGTGCGCTCGGAGCACAGAGGAAGTTGTTGAATATGGTGTCGTCGCAATGCGTCTCGCTCTGTGTGTCGGAGCCTGGCTGGACCTCGACCAGGAGCTGTCCCAAGAGCAGGCGATCTGCGTGAGCGCTCGTTGGCCATCAAACGCGAGAGGAGAAGAAGTAGTGAAAAGCATACTTGAGCAGTACCCCCAGGTCAGCGTCCCTCTCCTCCCCGGACCCTAAAAGGCATCGACTCTTGTCTTATACTCATATTGAAAGGCCAGACGTATCTCTCCGTCCGACTGGAGAGCTGTAGTGCCACGATCACTACTACGAAATCCGCCGAGCCGGATTTGATCCGGGATTTGACGAACCAAACGGTCCTGGCGAGGCGCTTTGCCTTGCATGGCCGTTTCCACAGTCCCGCTAACCAGGCGATATTCCGAGAGCTGCAAGAGCTATGCGCACGCACGCCCATGCTGCGATTCCCCGAACACAGGCGACCTCTGGTGCCCCTAAGACGGAATGATTCAGGAGAGCTCGTCGGTAGTGATACACCACTTCATGAGCTGGCGCTGCGCTGTATCCTGGTGGAAACGGCTGAATGGCACGCAACATTGACCGCGTCAATATCTGCCGTGATGCAGCCAGGGCCAGATGCCCACGCGACGGGAGTCCTTCTCCTTGGTCAACCCGATTGCGTTCCTGGTTCGCTGCTGGCAAACTCTGGACTGCATCTTTTCCGTCCAGTGCCGAAGGAAGTGGCTTCTGACAGCAAAAGGGGGCGCACGTACCCGGAGCACTCAATCGCCGTCGTCGGAGCAGCCTGTAATTTTGCGGATGCAGGGAGTTTAGAGGAGTTCTGGGATGTCATCCGCGAAAAACGATCTACCTTTGGGGTACTGCCGGCCTGGCGATACGATGGTAGCAGCAGCAGCAACAGCAGCCACCCAGCAGGACACGCTGAAGCTAGGAACGCGCTCAAAGGGAGCTTTATCAACGCAGCCAACGCATTCGACCATACAGCCTTTCAAAAGTCGCCTCGGGAGGCACTTTACATGGATCCCCAGCACCGCCTCGCTTTGCAGCTAGCATATCATACCCTTGAGTCGGCCGGCTATTTCGCTCCGTCCTCGTCCGGCATAGGAACCGATGTGGGCTGTTATCTTGGCCTGTCGTCCTCCGACTACGAGGATAATGTTAATTCCCATGCCCCGACAGCCTTCTCGTTTGCCGGTACTTCACGGGCATTTGCGAGTGGACGCATTAGCCATTTCTTCGGCTGGAAAGGGCCATCGATTGTCATTGACACGGCTTGTTCGTCCTCTGCCGTCGCCATCCACACCGCATGCAAAGCAATCCAGTTGGGGGAGTGCACAGCAGCATTAGCAGGCGGGGTGAACTTGATCACCAGTCCCAATTCCCATCACAACCTCGGGGCAGCGACCTTTCTCAGTCCAACAGGCGCGTGTCGGCCATTTGGCAAGGATGCTGATGGCTACTGCAGAGGAGAAGGGGGAGGCTTTGTTCTGCTCAAAAAGCTCGCGTCTGCGATAGCAGATCAAGATCGCATCCTCGGGGTGTTGGTGGGCTCTGCAGTTAACCACAGCACAGGGACCACCACGATCACACTGCCATCGTCTGACTCACAGATCGATCTGTACCGCAACGTGATCCGTGCGGCTGGCATGCATCCAGACAACGTGTCGTACGTGGAGGCCCATGGCACAGGCACGCCGAAAGGTGACCCGGTCGAGAGCCGCAGTATTCGAGAAGCGTTTGGGGGCCGATCAAGTCAAATCCCCCTGCACATCGGCTCGGTGAAGGGAAATATAGGCCATACGGAGGGAGCATCGGGGGTGGCCAGTCTCATCAAAGTGCTGTTGATGCTACAACACCGGCAGATCCCGCCACAGGCTAATTTTGAGACGCTGAACCCAGATATTCCCTCCTTGAAGCAAGCGCACTTGGACATCCCCCGGGAAGCGAAAGTCTGGCAGGGATGCTTTCGAACAGCGCTTGTCAATAATTACGGTGCGGCGGGGACCAACGCAGCCTTGATGGTCTGCGAGCCACCTCCTCCTATACTCACCCACGCAAAGCCCACTAAGAAGGATAAATGGCTGAAGACGCTGGTCTCATATAGGTATCCGTTCCTCATCACCTCACACTCTTCCCGGAGCCTAGATGGGTATTGTCGGGCTGTGGATCGCTTCGTCGAAAACACCCAGGGTCACATTCCGGACGATGAGCTGCTTCCAAGTATCGCTTTCCACCTGAGCCAACGAGTCAACCCGAGGCTCTCATTCCGAAAGGTCTTCTCCGTAGCTTCGCTTGGGGAGTTGAAGGGTTTCCTTCGCAGCCAAGTTTACGAACCCGAGAACAAACTCAAGGTGTCTCGGCCAGTGGTGTTAGTTTTCTCGGGCCAATCTGGGAATACAGTTCGCTTCAGTGAGGACATATACCGGAGCTCCAGCCTTCTGCGACACCATCTCGATCTCTGCGATCGCATTGTTCAGTACATGGGCCTTCGCAGTTTGTTGCCGAGAGTGTTCACAGAGGAGCCTTTTGAGGACTTAGTAGATCTACACTGCGCTCTGTTTTCGTTGCAGTACACTTGTGCCGCCGCCTGGATAGATGCTGGGCTCGAGGTCAAGACTGTCATAGGTCATAGCTTCGGCCAATTGACTGCCCTCTGCGTTGCGGGCGTTCTTAGCGTGTCGGACACGTTGAAGCTCATCGCCGGCCGGGCTTCCCTGATACAAAATAACTGGGGACGTGAACATGGCACTATGCTCAGCGTCGATGCAGATATTGGAACCGTGCAAGCCCTGATGCAGTCCCTTCCTCCAGAGCTAAGGAAGAAGGTAGAAGTAGCTTGCTATAACACGAACTACAATCATGTTCTCAGTGGCGAAGAGGAGGCGATCAGCATGATAGAGGATCTTGTTCGCTCCAGTCGTTTCCAATCGCCCCGTCCGGTTTCGCACAAGCGGCTGACCGTCACTCATGGATTCCATTCGCAGTTGGTGGATTGCATCATGGAGGACTACCAGCAGATCCTCCAGGAGCTGACATTCCACGAGCCCATCATCCCAATCGAGACCTGCTCTCGAGAGAGCAGCTGGGGTCGAATTACGCCACACCTGGTCGCGCAACAGTCCCGAGACGCGGTCTACTTTGCCGATGCCATTGGGCGGATTGAGCAGCGACTGGGATCATGCACTTGGGTCGAAGCGGGTTCTGGCTCTACGGGCGTATCTATGGCTCGTCGTGCCCTGATGGATGGGCCAGCGAGCAATATCCATTCCTTTTATCCGATGAAACTCCACGGCCCGCATGCATTGGCCTCTCTCCGGGACACGACAATCGGCCTTTGGGGCGAGGGTATTCCGGTTCAGTTCTGGCTGTACCATCGCCGTCAAAGCTCTTATTTCAAACCGCTGGAATCGTTCCCTCAATACCACTTCGAACAGTTCCATCACTGGCTTCCCTATGCCAATTCGAGCAAGAGGGGCCAGTCGGAAAGTGACCGCCATTCATCGTCGAGCTCACCGACTGCAGCCCCCAAGCTTTTGTCTTTGGTCCAGGATCAAAGCAACGAAGGTGCGCAGGTTGTGGAGTTTGCCATTGACCAACGAAGTCAGGAGTACTCTGCGTACGTTAGTGGCAGGACGGTCCTCGGTCATATTTTATGTCCAGCATCGGTGTACTTCGAAATAGCCAGCCGTGCCTTAAATATCGTTTGCCCCGCGTCTGCACTCCCATCTCGTGCTCTTATTATGCTAGAGAATGTGAAGCTGCACGCCCCCTTTGGCCTCAACCTTGACCGGCACCTTCGTTTGCAACTACAACGCCAAACAATAGCAGCAGCAGCAGCAGCATCTAAGTGGGATTTTACTGTGACCAGTCACTCTAAAGATGGTAATCACCCCAACCACCGTTCCTTCGCCCAAGAACTGGCATCGGGAACCATCATGCGGCAGGAGCAAGGCAATTCTCTAGATCACCGGTCCCTGCTGCAGCGGTTAGTAAGCTACGGCTGCTGTCAAGCACTTCAAGATGACCCTGAAGTGTCCATATTGCAAGGAAGCTTTGTGGATAAGGCGTTGGCTGCAGTGGCGAATTACCGTAAGGCCTACAGTGGAATCCGGTCCATCCGGTGCAAAGGAAGTGAGATACTTGGCGATGTTGTTATGCCCACAATTAGCACTCCAAACTGCCCGGAGGCTGTCTTCAATCCACCTGTTCTAGATAATTTTATCCTGGTGGTTGAACTTCATATAAACAACAACATGCAGGAGCTTGCAGACAGTGATATGTTTCTCTGCAAAGGTTTCGACGCCGTTCTTCCATGTACTGGAGAAAGTGACCAAGGGCCCTGGAGGGTCTACGCGATGCTTAAACGGGAGAGAGAGAAGGAGATAATAAGCGATATCTTTGTGTTTCATGCCCAGCGCCGAGCGCTAGTGCTCGCCATTCTTGGAGCCCATTTCTCCAAAGTCCCTGTTCGCTCGTTCCAATGTGTACTTGACCGAGCAAACGGTAGCGCTCAGGCAGACATGACACCCGAAGAAGGCTTCCCAGTTAAGCTCACGGCTAGTGGTATTCAAGACAGGCCATTTAGCCCGACGGTGGACGACCCAGCCACCGCAGAGGAGAATGGGAGGCCCTTGGTCGTGGAGTCGCTTTTTAGGAACCTTGTCCATGAGGTCACTGGAACGCAGACAGAAGCAATCGTTGGCATGGCAAGTCTCAGACAACTTGGCATCGATTCGCTCAACTCGATCGAGCTGCAGACTGGGATCAAAAACCTCTTTTCATTGGATATACCCATCCAACACTACCGTGAGCAGGATACAACCTTTGCTGCTATATTGCAGGAAATTCACACTCAGATACGTTGTCGAACAGATAATCCCTGTTCATCGACCATACGTACACCAGAGTCACTGGATATTTCCTGTTCTTCCTCTTCCTCTTCCTCCACTTCTTCTTCCCCCTCATCCTCCTCTATCACTGTTACCACTGCAGAAAATAGCAAGCACTCACAGAAGCAGCTGCAGCAGAAGCTCATCCTCCAACTATCTGACCTCATTGCAGAGCACTTAAACTGCCCCAAAGGGCTCTCCCCCGACACCCCTCTGCGAGACATGGGAATGGACTCGTTAGTTGCCATCGACCTCTCATTAGCTATAGAGAAAATGGTTGGGAAAAGAATGGATCTCAAAATTAACGGCGACCTGTGTCTTTCTGATCTCCTGGACATGGCAGTCCTAGATGATGCTGCTGGCAACAAGAGATTGAATGGCGGCCCTGTCCTGCCAAATTCTGCTCCGGACATCGACGTGCAATGGCAGCCCTCCAGCTTCCCGACTCCGTTCCATCAGACTGCTCAGAAGGCGTTTTTCCATTTTCGCCAGACATACAGCCTATACGCCCAGGCCGCTGGGTTTGCGGGATTTTACTCCCAGGTGTACCCCAAGCAGTCTGCTCTGGTGTTGGCATATATCACAGAAGCATTTCTCGAATTAGGATGTGATTTGGGGCGACTCAATCCTGGCGAGCCATTACCAACAATCGTTTCCATTCCAAGACATCAAAAACTGACTGTCCAGTGCTGTCAGCTCTTGGAGGAAGCTGGATTGATCACGTCCACAGACAACGCTACGTTCATTCGGACAAGCAAGCCCCTCCAGCACATCAAACCGTCTGAGTCGATTCATCGGGAAATTCTTGCTGAGTTTCCTGATTACAAATCGGTCCATGAGCTTCTCCATCTGACGGCGTCTCGCCTCGCCGACTGTCTCTCGGGCAAAGCCGATGCGCTGCAGCTGCTCTTCCATGACCAAGCAGCGAGAGATTGCCTTGAGACCGTCTACCGGTCTAGTCCCATGTTTGCTACCGGAAACCGTATGCTAGGAGCCTTCCTGTCTCAGTTCTTTCTTCTCCCCATAGTTCCATCACTCGTGCAAGGCGAAGCACCAAATCCACCTCTTACCGAATCCTGGAAATCGGAGCTGGCACTGGTGCAACAACCGAATATGTCCTCGATCAGTTACTACAACACGCGCCGGACCTTGACTTTCATTATACCTTTACCGATATTTCAGTTTCCCTGGTCTCTAAGGCCGAGAAGAAATTCTCCGCCCGCTACGGCAACCGTATAGAATTTGCTGTCCTGGATATCGAGCAGCAGCAGCCATCACCACAGCGGATGATGGCGTCCTACGACCTCGTCATCTCATCCAACTGCATCCACGCCACCAAGAGCCTACCACGGTCCTGTTCGAATATAAACAAGCTGCTCCGGGACGATGGCATGCTCTGTCTTCTGGAGCTCACTCGACCGCAGGGCTGGCTTGATTGTGTTTTCGGGCTTTTAGAAGGCTGGTGGCGGTTTGAGGATGGTCGGACTCACGTCCTGTCCACTGAGGACGAGTGGAAGCAGGTTCTGATGGACTCGGGCTTTCAATATGTCGATTGGACCGATGACGGTTCGTGGGAATCGAGCCAGTTTCGCTTGTTCATGGCTTTGAAGCGTTTGAGCAGTGGAGCCATATAGATGTTCAAGGAGTGCCATTTGCCCAGTACACTTAACTAATATAAGGAGCGTGACAATGCCTACTTCTAGGTTCTATCCCCTTGGATCCATTGATTTCGTGCTCTTGGCATATTGGCTTCAGCCCTCAGGTCTGTAGCTCGTCAAGTTACATCATTCAAGTTAAAAAAAGTAAAAATCTAAATGTTGGGTGGTAGACGTTCCCAAGCCTAGGCAGTTTAAGAATCTCGGTAAGAGGATATAATCGCAAAATATCCAAGGTTCAAATCTGCCAAAACCAAGGAGAGAACTGTCCAGGAAGGCACGCAATGAATAATCCAGAACAGAACGGCACTAATTATCGGATTTATTTGTACCCACATAAGCTATTTTTTGTAGCCCTCATTACCATTCAAAAGTTCCCTGTTGTCAACTCAACAATCCTATGCAAGATTAACGTTTAATATCTGTTTATCAACACAGTTTACGAAGCGCTAATTGCCCAGGGGTGTCTCGCTAAACCATCCCAATAAAATAAACCTGCAAGGATTAACTAGTACATTTCAGTAGCTCCATCTATATATTGTAGATGCTGCATAGCTCACCACTGTGTATCTCACCGCTGTATAGCATAGATTATTGGTGCCCATCTGTTAGGAATATGGGACTCAAGGTATGTGGCCGTAGTCCGTATATGTACACGAAATCTCGCTTCCCTGCAGTAAAGAGATTTAACTGCACACAGCTGTATAAAAAGGATATATAGTAGATGACATGTCTATTTGTGTAACATCATCTCCTCTAATTTCTTTAGCTTACAAGCGATTAATCTATCACTTGTTCATGTAGAAAAACAGACATTTGGACTACAGACACAGGTATCAATTATTGTGCGTAAGTATACAGGCAACCTTACTTCTCTATTATAAAGAGATTGGACTCTTAATGTAAAGGGCTAGAGCCCGTTTGACCTCTCGGGCCAATGTCCCTATTATCCCTGTTGTCCCTACCGTTGTCCCTACTGTCCCTATTGTCCCTATTGTCCCCGTTGTCCCTATTGTCCCTACTGTCCCTACTTGGCCCTGTTGGGCCCTTTGGCCCATTGGCCCTCGATCCATGTCACGTGACTCCCCACCTTGTTTGTTTACCGCTCATTTTCCTTTTCCTTTCTTTCCTTCTTCAACGATTCCTTCTTGTACATAACCTATCTTGTAGGTTCTATTGGTTCAGCCCTTGACACTTAATTGCTGTACGACGAGGATAAGGTCGTATATAGGTGACGTGTTTATTAATGTAATTGATGTCTTCTCTAGGATAGTGATATTCGACTCCAAATGGTTAGATAAAGCAATTTCCTAATGTAGTAATTTAAAAGTATGTATTTAATATTATTCTGATTATTATGGTTCTATTTAATAGCCAATTAGATCACAGAAACAGGCCTTTAAAAGAGGCACGGTAAAAGCATCTGTAATTAGACCACGGCACGGCCCTTGATCCTGCAGGTGACCTCCCTGAGCCTCACTCACTCAAAATTTACATAAATATTAGATAAAATACATAAAAAGACGTAAAATTACAAGCTGTCAACCATAAAATTACACGTATTCGCAAGTATCGATCCTTCATTGAATTAGGTCTCTGATTCAACTAAACTACCAAAACATCTCGCGTTTATAAAGGCGAGGTAAACAAATGAAGAATGCAAACTAACTAATATAGGAAATATACGCGATCCGATGATGTTGGATCATCAACAACATTGACCCAGAAAGGTGCTGAATAATCAATATTACCATAATTGTCGACACAAGCTATTCCTATTTACTATTTTATTATTCCTATTTAAGGCATGCTTGCAGTTTTTGTGCACCCGCGGGTTACAACGTGTCAAATAATATGGCCGTTGGTGGACCAGAATCATGTGACTAGATCGGGGTAAAACCCCCGCGGAGCACATCAAAATAATAATCAAGAAGAGCCCAACCAGCTCAATTCATTCAAATAAGACCTTCTTACCAATCGTACTCTATTTCCTCTTCGGGACTAGCCGTGTATCTGACACAGCGCTACGGGTAAGGCACAGAGAAGGCCCGACTAGCGCGGGTCGTGCTGGGCATCGTAGATTGGACTTGGGACTAAAATGGCCGTGGGACCCCTGTACACAATATTCAAAGGGGTGAATATTAACCCAGCGATAAGATGAATGCGGCAGAATATCATAGGGACGACGTACACCGTCCTTCGGGGTTGTACGTAGTTGTTAGGAGTTTAGCCAGATCCTTAGCTAAGATGCTTAGTCAAGTGCGAACATTTAGTTATTCGCATCTTCTGACTGTCTTCTGACCTGAACTCTCGGTCAGCGATTAGCTCTGCAATATACGTGGTCCTATCTTCCTCCCATATAGATATATACTCCCGTTCATACCATAGCGCACCATTCAGTTCGTTACCGACCCCACGCATAACAGGAGTCCCCACACCAACATGACTTTGACACCAACATGATATTTTAACTATTTACACTCGTATCCCCACGCGAATCAAAATAAAAAAGAGCATTATTGCCCTCTCCAGCTGCTGAATTTGAAGTTTCTGGTGTTAAATTATCATTTTCCTTCTGTTGTTGCCATTTTCCAGAATCTTCACGCCCTGCCCTAGCCACGCACTTCCTATTCTCATCCATAGATCGCTGATAAATCTTTCGATTCGTGTCCTTAATTGTAGAGTATTCCATGTAAAGAGGCCTGGTGCTTTGGTTTGGTAGTAGGTTTTTTGTCCGAACTGTTCGAAATGAGTCGATTGTGGTGTTAAGTGCGGAGTCTTCATACTCAGTTACTGTATAGCATGTTAGTCTTTCAAATCGCCGTTCGTAATTTACATAGTCCCTAGACAGCTGGGTAGGCATAGGAAGATAGTATTTAGCCTTTGCAAAGCTTCGGCGTATACTCCGGGGCGTGGTTCGTGCGTGAATTAAGCTTGAAGATAGTATACACGGAGAGGGCTTTCGAAGCTCTCCACACGCTTCCGTGCCCATAGGATCAAAGCCAGTAATATTAGGGCATTAGGGGTTTAGCATCAAGAATGGGTTGAACAACAAATATAAGGTTAAACAGCCAAATTCCACTCTCCGCGAAGCTTTTACACACAATCCGGCGCGAATAGCCTTAATTTCTCCCTCGAGAAACTCGCCCTTATCTATCCCTGAACCACCCAATGTGTTATTTGACGGTTCGATTGTCGAAAATGTTGTTTATAGGTGGGAAAAGGATTGCCATCGAGAGGTGAGCGACATGGGTAGTATGCGGAACACAAGCAAAGGGAATAATAATCCGAATAACAATAGTCAGGCAACATAGCATTCCCAGGGTAAAGTGTTATGTGAACCACAATATTAAAGGGGTACAATGTTACCATAGGTATATATTATTGGGGTGATATTATTAACAAACCGAGCGCCTATCGGTGACTACGAACAGACTAAGTGGAATAGCGGCATCTTAAGGTTGACATTATCTAACTAATCAATGGATTCAAATACAGTAGGTATCACCACTATCGCGTGCAATATCATCAAGCACCGAAGTCCCGCCGGTTTTCCTCCACCCACTGGTAAAACATTGTCGGTTGCCCATTTGTGTACTTCTCAATATTTCCCACAGCTTGCTCATATACTGGAGTATTAAAGAGGCCCCCATTCTTGTCATATTCGCGAAACCCCTTGATCAGGTATTCAGCGACAGGTTCTGGTATTCCATGCTGTGTTACCATGACATGCAAACCTTCTTGCTCATCAACCTGTGTGACCTGGATATTTTTGCCTGTCGCTCTGGCAATAATGGCAATAGCATCCTTCATTGAGAGCTTCTCAGGCCCAAAAAGATAGACAAAGTTTGGTATTTTGACGCCCTTAATACCCTGCGATCCGTTTGCAAGGAGCATGCCGCACACTCTCCCAATGTCTTGAGGTGAAATCCAGTCGAATTTCAATTCCGGGTAGGGAAGTTTCACCTCACCATGATCGATGGAGCTCTTCCACCAAAGTGAATTACTTGCAAAAAACCCTGGCCTAACGGCTATAAAACGATCTGTTCCAAATATCTCCTCCAGAGCAATCTCAACTTCTGCATGCGCAAAAGCTATAAAATCACTGGGTGATATATCCCTTGGGTTGCCTTCGACACTGGAACTGCTCAAAAGGACCACAAATTCGATCCCGGCCGATTTCAACGCGGCAATACTAGGCCTCATCTTGTCGGACGAACCCATGACTGCATAAATGAAAGCGAGTTTGGCTCCAGTCTTAACCACCGCTTCGCGGACTGTGTCGGGATCCGTCAGGTCGGCTCGGACCCTTTCGAAACCACCCGCCTGTTCTTGCTCTAGACTGAGATCCGGAATTGGTTTTCCAAGATTTCGCATTGCGAGGAACACTTTCGCGCCGTGTTCCTGAGCACTGCGAGCGGTAGCCGAGCCGACCCCCCCAGTGGCGCCGAAGATTATGACCTTGGAAGTAGACATTGTGATATGCTTTGAAACTGTGGCTTTCTGAAAGAAACAGAGGAATAGGGTGTTTGTGAGTGCGTTACTAGCTTTTGTTGAAGATTCTAGGATTCTTATAGACCTGTATCCCATATTCTTTGCTCTTGAAGCATAACACGCTCGAGCTTCTTGCCTCCCGATGCTGACAAATTGCTCGCTTTTGCGATTGTCCGATCGCCGACCGGGTCCAAGACACTATATATCCACCTGGAAACTCTGGCATGATTATCAATGGTGCAAGATAAAGTTCCCATAAAAACACTGGAATGACTAACAGGTAATTTACTGTTTTCTTCAATGACGGCTATCTCAGCACGCTCAGACCCTCTGACGAGAGCTCTAACATAGCGCTGCGCACTGCATACACCAGGCCATTTTTGTATTAGTTTGAACTCCTGCGAACACCGGGGCCAATCAGAGGCTGCACTGGCGATTTCTTGCAGAGAATTTGTGTGGTACTGTTTTTGGTCTAGTGCTGTCTTCTAATTTGTCAGCGGCGACTGAGCTTACTGAGATGACGGGGCGTCGGCATTACTGTCAGGCCGTACTTAATAAGCCAGCATCATATTGACAGTCTTGGCATTGTCATGCGTGATGAGCTTACAGCTCGGCAAGGTTCGAAGTTAGCTTGGTGTGGTTCTAAAAATACGCGAAAATTCTGCCACCGCCTCTGAACCAAGATGAAGTTTTTCCGTCGAAATGTTTTCAACATTTAGTAATACAGCACTAGTTATAAACCAATGCCAAGTATACTATATAGATTATCTTGCCCATCGCTCTAGGGGGTACCTCGCTCGTTTCCACTCGCTTCTCAATCCCCTTCGAGGCATCGAGGGGACCCATCCCCCTGCGCTCGAGGGCGCTTGAATACATAAACACTAGGGCTGGTATGGCCACTACTTGTAGACGAGACAGCTGGGTGGAGTTGGACCATGATGACTATTTTCCGGTTCCGATGTCGAACGGCGCGGACTAACTTCGAACCATGGTCAGCTGGAACCCGCTTATGAATCCAACCGTAGTTTGAGATTTATTTCTCGTAATATTTCTCGCGGATCATCTCATACAGAACACCAGGAGGGTACCGAATCCTTCTCCACCGTAAAGTATAAATAGAACCTCGTAAGCGCGTGCTGTAGTAAGGTCCCGTGGATTAACAAAGTCTCTATGGAAATGGCAGGATATCGGACACTCCCAGTGCTTCTCTGCGGTCGGCTCGAGAGAGTTGGTTCGCTCGTCATAGAGGAACTGAAACCTGAATACGAAGGTATGTCAAGAAGCCACAGTGGCTCCGGCTGTATTCACTCTTTTAAACTTACGGATTATGCAGTTATTCATTTTATAACAAGTGTCGAAGACGGCACAATCAACCTTCCTCTTATCCTATCTGGAAATTTGCCAAAATGGGAAGGAAGTGGCTTAGGCTCCAAGATCTATTCTCGGGCACCTAAGGCGGTCATTCTAGGTGGTGGATATGATGACGAAGCCATCGAGAAACTTCGTCAGGCGGTTGCCATTTCCCAAGGGACAATACAAGTGCCTTGGTTAAAGGCAGATCCGAAGAAGACCGAAGCAGGCCCTACACCAGGTACGGAGGCGTACTGCCGATCCGCGGCGGCACGTATAAAAGAGACACTTGAAATCTTGGAGAAGACAGGGAGACTGGATGGGACTGAGGATGGAATTTTCTTTTGGTGAATGAGGAATAAACACCTGTCGCACCGCCCTGCCCCTCACTTTGCAGTAGGGGGTCGGCTACAGCTCAACGCAAAACACATATCAACGGCAAAACTCATTTTGTATGGGATTCCCATGCAAATCGCAAATTGCATAACATTACCATATCTTTACAACAAGACAAGTTCTATGTCTATAATTTAAATATCTAATACAAATCCTTTAGCTGCATTTAAATCCAAAAAATGAAGAAATTTATTTACAACATTTAAAGCAAAAAAGAAAATAACTATACCTTTAATCTCAGGCATCAAAATTACGAAATCAAGGAAGCTCTAGAAAACAATAATATTAAAGTTTGTTATATAGTATATAACTAAATAAATAGCCTACATTCTAAGTTATAAAGATCTATCTTTTCTTGGGGTGGAGCTATTCTAATTTTATACAATTTACGATTTGTTGCAATTTGTATGGGAATCCCATACAAAATCAGTTTTGCCGTTGATATGTGTTTTGCGTTGAGCTGTAGCCGACCCCCTACTGCAAAGTGAGGGGCAGGGCGCGAAGGGTAGGCCCTATCTGATTATTTGGTGTTTTTACTGTGATACTGTCATTCTCATGGATAATAAAACAGGGGCCCCAAATTTATCAACCTGCATGGAGCAGGCTACGCTGAAATCTGTACGTTTATGGAAAAAGAGTGGCAGACTTGGCTGCTAGCCTTGACACGCTGTATCATTTCAAACCATATCGCAAACCGCTACTCAGCCGTGCATATCGCGACATGCGGGCCTCTTCATGGCATTTGATCATCCTTCCCAATCGCGCAAGGTCCTGGGAAAGGTCGACCTTGAGCTCAATATGCCTGGTGACGGGGTATCTCTTATTCGAATTTCCCTGGCAGAAAAGAATGCGAAAACATGTTGGGCGAGGCCGGTTATGACAGCAATATTATTGCTATGCGAGTTGTCGCGGAGCATGTGTTCGACGGTATCGCAAGTTATATATAGAGTAAGGATAGAGAGCTTAGGAGACATGGTACGCATGTGGGGAAATTCAGAGGACCAGACAAGGTTTTCGACTGGTGGGCTAATAGCGGATCGGTAAGAGGGAGTGTGATAATGACGCGCTGGTCTGAGACGCTGAAAACGGATTGAAGGACATACCTCTGAAAAATATTTGGCCCAAAGACGGCGTTGACGGGAAAAGTGCAACAGGAACTACTTGATTTCCTGCAATGGAGCAAATATACAAAAGTTATGACTTGCTAACGCCCGCTGACTTTCTATATGACACAAAAACAAGGTTCTCTGGTAGACTGCTTGTTTTAACATATATCACTCCTCTGACTTCCACGGCACTTCAAAGCCAAGTCTTGCTACGCGACTCTCATGGAGGAAACGACGCAGCCCTCGAGCAGTACCATTCCATCCCAGCACCAAACCGCAGCAAGTCAGAAGTTTCCATCCCGATTGCGCCAGAGACGCTCCTTTTCCTGCTCAAAATTCTCAGTGTCGCTTAGATTAAATATTTGGCGGACAATCTTCCTACTCCTTGTTCGCAAAACCCCGGCTAACTGGGTGCGACGAGTAACTTTGATAAGATTTATAGGGGCAACCAAAAAATTTGTCACTAAAACATGGGAAGGATCCTCGTGTATTAATTCCATAGATAACGAATTGGAGAGGATATATATTATCTGGCGTTGCCCGGGAGGCTCATGAGCTGCTCTTCTTGACGCCAGTATGAGAGATTGGCGGCAATACAGGAGAGTCGATAACTCGCGATGAATGACTGACTCCCCAGAAGAGACGGGCATGGAGCCCATGATCTGTCGCAGCGGTTCATATATAGTACCGACAACATTAGGGGCAACCACCATGATGATGTGACCGAAATGTTCAGTCTGGACCTCCTTGTTTATGGAATCAGTCCAAGTAAGTCGAACTTCGTACCGACATTCTCGACCGCGGTTGCGCCGAAGCTTACGTCCTGCCCTTGGGAAATTTTCGCTTGAACATTTTGAATCTCACCAACAACAGTGCCTATAGTGCGGTCGTCGATAAGTTTTGTTTGTGTAGTCAATCGCATCCATGGCAGGAAAGTTGAGTAGCGCATCATACGAACAGATGGTAACACTTGACATAAGTGGTAATAAATAGTTCTTACTGAAACACCACAGCAACCTGATTCCCTCGAAATACTGCCCTAGCGTCTCATCCTCGCTGGATAAGGTGGCTGATTTAGGTCTAACCCAGAAACAGCAAGCAGTGAACTAGAAATAGCACCCAGCAAGGTATATAATTTGTAAATCTCCTTCATGTAATGATGCGTTTCCGGGAGTATAGGCGGTATTTAGTGATTACTGGACGGTCGTACATTCGCTTGATATAAGCTCAAGCACGGGCTATGTGGCCCCTTAAGTACATTCCGATAGGGGACTATGGGTAAGTGCTCATACATATGCCAATACTCGAAGAGCGACCAACCAGAACTAGCCCAACCGGCTCTATTAGTGGATGTGCTTTTATTTCATTGTCTCGCAGGTTGTATGCGGCAAGCAAATAATAGATCTAGAAAGACAGTCTTGCCTTCCATACTACACAGCAGACTAGGTAGCTATGCATCTCTGCAGTATAATCGACGATGAATCTAAACTACATAAGGCTGAATACTACTCAGCTTGACACGTAATAACATTTTACTTTCCTTTGTCTCTCTGTGGCTTTTGGATTTGTTATTCCTTTTGACTGCATCCCTATTAATTCCATGAATATCATATACAATATACTTCTCTTTAAGGATGTATCTGCATATATAGTCTATACCATCTTGCACGTTGAGAGAAAAAGAAAGCAAGTTGACCAAGTTAACTGTGCGTGGAAAGAGCCGTGCTCGTAAATCTAGAAGAGAAATGAGTAATGTTATAGTAGGCAAACAAATGAAATCATAATGAGTCCTGTCAACCATAAAAATACGCGTATCCGCAAGTATCGATCCTCAATAGAATTATGTCTCTAATTCAACTAACTACCAAAACATCTCACTTATAAAGGCGAGGTAAACAGACAAAGGATATAAACTAATATAGTGTCACGGGCTACGCCTGTATGTTGCTCGGCTTCACCTTCGCTGCAATCGACACATACGATTGGTCCGCTTATCGCAGTCACATGACCCCTTGTAGTATGAGAACGCACACTTCTTTCCCTTTACTTTCTTCCTTTCAGCGATTCCTCTTTGTGTATATCTAGTTGTTAGATAGCAAGGCATTTCGCCCCTTTACATATAGGAAATGTAAGCGATCCGATGATGTTGTATCATCCACAACATTTGACCGAGAATGGTACTGAATAATCAATATTACTATAATTGTCGGCAAGTCCTATATTAAGAGCACTAAAGTTAAGGAGGAAAGGAAGAAGGTAGAAGGGGAGTTGTCATGTTGAGCAAAAATGTGGTGGAGAGCTTCTCAGCCCTAACCTTGTGCCCTCTGCCCTTACACATCCCAATACGTTATAGCTGCAGATCACATAAACATCACGTCACTACATTAAGCTGAACGCGGTGTCGAAGGTAAGGTGATGATCGCATCTAACACACTGACCAACGGTATTTAATGAGAAAATGTCTGAACATATTTCTACGGGATATGAGGGCCTTTCTTTACCACTGATATATGTAGAATGTAGACATAAAAGTAGAACTAAAATAAATGATTGTATATAATACTAATTAGTTATACTATTAATACCTATGTCAGCTACCTGATATCGCATCGCATGTAATGCATAAAGTTCTTTGGCAGGCGTGATATGATCTGTTACAGCACTTCATCATGCTATAAGAAAACTGTATTGGACATCAGTGATTGACTTGCAAATATCTATTTCCCAGGGCTGTGTTGCATGGGCAGTAGATCTGCCACAACAATGATAGTGTAGATTATAGCTGGCGAAGCACCACTAGTCGCTGGCGTGCCTGACACTGTTGTTGCTTTTTTGAACGAAGAAAGAAGGTAGCTACCATCGGATACCACTGTGTATCCCATCGCGTTTTTGACGGACCGCATTTTCCGAATATCGCTATGTTTCGACATATCAAGGATTGGTTGTTGGGAGGTGAATGACGCAGGTCAGATGACGAGGTTGTATATAAACGTAACATAGCTCCAGTACGTACTTGCTAAGGGACAGCATGCGGCCTTCGGCCGCGAAAAGTCTGAGGAATAAATCAAATCAAATCAAATCAAATCAAGGGGCACCCCCCCGCAAGGTACCTCTTTCGAGGGTCCAGAGTCGGGTCGAGGTCTACAAAGGCTTTGATTCTGGCTTGTCTTCGAAATGTGCCAAGACATGCTCCAAAGTCAGATACACATTGGCATCCATCTATCTACCTTAGACACACTATCTAAAGCAAATTCTGGGCCCTCGGTTTTTATCGGACCATTTGGTGCGGTTGTTTTGGCGGTCTTGGCGGGCTCGTTTTATAATGTTTGTTGAAAACTTGGCGCAGGCAAGCTTCGACTTCCATAACTGACTAGTTTTTGGACCTGGCTTTAGTAAAATTGCTAGGATACCCCTAAGCTGGTGCGTATTCTGGAACCAGCGATGTAGAATGTGGTGCAGCAATAGTGCCTTTCTTACCCACTGCATCTGCCAGAGCCGGGGAAGAATTTGCTTCTACGGAAGCTAGCCAACCTAATTTTCGATCTTATCTAAGGAGGGAGGAATACTATTTGGCATTAATAGTGTATCGTTAGGAATACTGAATCTGGACGGGGTTAAGTGCTAAGGATACTAAACAAGCTGAGGCTAATATTCTCTCTTTCTATCCACACAAGGAGCGCTGTCTATTTCTCCCAAAAAAAAAAAAAAAAAAAAGGAATGTGGATCTTAGATTCAGACCTCCAAGGTATTTTAATCCAAGAGAAAACAAACTGTACTAAACCCAAACCTGAAACAAAAACCAGGACTTACCTCGAAGTATAAGGTTGTTAATCAGAAAGCTAGTAACTAAATTATCAAATTGAATCTTAGAGTCCTGTATTCCAGAAGCGTTGAGAGTGTTCTAGATTTTTTTTGCTGATGTTTTGAATCATATCACTTACATAATGGGCCCAATGTGTTTTGCCTTTCCGAGCAAGGGTGCATCTGAATCCTTCGGAATGAGCATTTTCAACAATGAGCCTGACGTAAACCCGGTATCGAAATTGGCTGAATGTACAGAAGGTGGATCGTTTATGCTACATCCATATCAACCACAGACATTCTGGACCGAAAAGCAGGTCAAAAGTTGACGGCCAAAAAGCGGCTTGATGAGTTAAATGATGAAAGGCTCTCGAACTAGAAGTATCACTACCTGATATGACAGGACAAGATGGGCACAGTAATACGGCTGGGGATAATAGGTGTTGAAGGAAGAAGCTAGATTTTTCTTATATTTTCAATTGGGTTGACTGATGTGGCAATAAAATGTATATATTGAACTCTTATAAATTATGCGGTAAATCATTAAAATTTGGAACGATATATTTAGCCGGAACACGATATTTGGCCATTCTCTAATATCAAAACCAGTGCAGCTGAGTATGGTATCCACATTGGCGTGCATCTTTTGAGACCTACTTCGAACACCATCTAGACTTTTTCTGTCAAAGGCAAGAGTTGTATCAAGTAATATGTGTCTATGTTCCAGCATGTAGGCCTAGCGTACCGTAACATCTGCGGTGCAACCTACTTGAAGTTGTGGTTTATTACAACTCAGATGATTGGTTTACTGCACACATACTGGACGTTTCAGTTTATAATAAGAGGGTAGCTTAACTATCCTGACGGAATGGATTAAATTGCCAAGGTTTCACTTCTAACCGGATCACAAGGTACTTCCCTCACAGTGCACCTGTTATACCGAAGAGGGCGTTTATCATGTTGTAAGCAGAAAATTATATATAGAGCGACAAGTTCAATTTTCTGAAATGTGAAATTATAGCAGTTACTTCTATCGTTGGCTCTACTTCTCGCCAGATTTCTCTGGTATAATCCCAGTCCACACGCTCAACATTGAAGGTGGTCTTTTTTCTCATCTTAGTATCTTATCCCGTCCATATACTCGAACTCGAAAGGACTCCATCATTTGCAACTAGCCACATAGTCTGCTCGATGAAGATCTCGACTGTTTTTACGTGTGGGCTCTTTGCATTAGCGAGAGCCAACCCGCGGGGCTTATGGAAATGGGAACGGCAGGCCTCAGGTCAGTATATTTATCCCTTGTTATATTCTATCAGACATACTTGAAAGCTTTGCTGTTGAAAAGATCCAGCAAATAGGCGCCCCATCACGTTTGGCACTCTAGTACTTTCCAATGTAATGGTTGCTAATATTACCGAAGATACTGCTGTGACCGCCGATAAATTCGAAAATTTTAAGCTGTTTGCTCAGTACTCCGCAGCAGCTTACTGTGACGTGAATAATGATAGTAGACTTGGGAATATTAGCTGCACCACTAACCAGGCATCGGCTTGCCCCAGTGTTGAGAGTGCGGCGGCGGAGACGGTTCTGGAGTTTCGGAATAATGCTGATGACACACGAGGCTATATCGCCGCGGATCATACCAATAGTCAGGTTGTGCTCGCCTTTCGCGGCTCACAATCAATTCAAAATTGGGTTACAAACTTTAAACCAGGTCTCATCAATTCAAACCTGTGTGCTGGGTGTAAGCTCCACAAAGGATTCAGCACTGCCTGGGAAGGTGTCCAGCAGGATATCATATCTGTCATCAAAAATATGAAACAGAAGTACCCCAGTTATAAGTTTATTGTCACTGGACACTCCCTTGGTGGTGCACTTGCTACTATTGCCGGCGCTCACTTGCGGAAAGTCGAAAATATTCCCTGTGATATTTACACCTATGGGTCGCCTCGCGTCGGGAATGACAAGTTCGCCGAACTTGTCAGTGAAACAGTCCTGGGAGATACAGCGCGAATAACTCATCTTAACGACGTTGTCCCCTTAGTCCCTGGGCCCCGACTGCCTATCCCCCGATTTTATGGCTACCAACACACGTCACCGGAGTATTGGCTTTTTACCGGGGAGGCGACAACTACTTCATATACTAGGGACGATATCAAGGTTTGTCATGGGACAGACACTAACAAGTGTTCTGGGTCTTTCAGGTTTGATAGAGTCCAGCTACTTAAAGGAATTGAAGCGCATGGATACTATTTCGTGAAACTTGGCTCTTGCGCAGCTCGCCAAGGCAAAGACGCAGGGCAGGACGAAAGATGGAGCGACGCGGAATTGCAAGCTCTTGAAAAGCAACTGGAAGACTACATGCAGCGTGACAACTGAGAGACTAGGTTCGTAAACTAGGGTTTATGTGAGGATTGGAGGACTAAAATCCTATGGATACAACATCTAGGACTTACATATTGATTGTCTAGAGGGGTTCAACACCTCTCCACAATTGATTTATAATTTGTTTCCTATTTTAGAAGTCTATATGACTTCATTTTATTTGTTTTATAGAAGACGGGGTATTGAACAAAGTGGAATGTTATAGAAATACTATAATCCAGCTGGCCTGTTGTGCGGAGACCTTAAGAATCCCATTCGACCCATGAACACTTTAGTGCTGTGGAATTCGGGAAAGTGATGCGAGGGTACTATAGATCAGCTACGGGCCAACCCTAGCCTGACTAGGAAGTAGATATTATCGGTGGAAACACCAGGAATCACAGTATCTCAACTGAGTCTCTTGCATTCCTATCTAAGGTGCTCAACTAAATGATTCAGGGGTAGAATGAGTCGTCGGATACTCCGCACCGCCTAAGTCGGTCGGCGCAGTGTTTCCGTAATATTTAGTTAGTTGAGCACCTCAGGAGCAGGTATGCATCTTAAACAGGAATGTAAGAGACTCTGTTGGCTGAGATACTATGATCCTCACTGTATCCACAGATGTAATCTATTTCTTAGTTAGGCTAATGGTTGGCATGTAGCTGATTTATAGAGCCCTGAATTCCACAACAAGAACCTTCTGGGGTGGATTGGTCATTGGGAGCGGATCCGCATGCTGTTGATGATTTTGGATCGACATCGCTGCACTTCGCCGCGGTAGGTCGCTAGCATACACCTTTTTAATAGTACAGGGGACCCTCACCGTCCATTGCGCCTGAACTACGAGGGTAAAAATATGAAGCCGCGGAAGCTGTGAGGCAGGCTAATTATAGGTAACTATTCACCATTTCAACTGGACGCGGCGCGGCTCGTTCACTGTAGAGTTTGAGATAAAACAATGATCGTAAAGACTGTGATTTACTTAGATTTCCTGTTCCTTAAGCCTGCCAATATCCTAGTATAATTAGTAGGTGAGTCCAGTATCCAGGAAGACGGTGCAGCAAGAAGATCTGCGACAGGTATGTCCACGATGAAGAAGACGTAGAAGCGGTGCAGGAACGCCACCACAATACTGTCGTTGCTCCACGCACTGGGGTGCGCGGACGCGTGTCGCTGCAGTACCGCGATCGAGATCATCGCACCCATCATGCCCGCCGTTACAATCTACAGACAGAGCTTACAGCCGAGCCAGTCTAAAAAGTAGATAAGGATCATGCACTGAGGAAGAGGGCAATACCCATGCCGCCAGTAGTGATGTTCGTGGTGTGGGGGTTCGTGATGCCGTCTCTTCTGAAGAGAACTACACCAAACATCATCACCAGAAAAGTTGGATAGTTTCCGGGTGAGAAAATGGGGAAGTGCACGTACCGCGTAGCACAGAATGGATTTTGTCCCCGTGATCTTCTGGAACCCCTGGATCTCGCAACCCGGTAGTGTGAACCGCAGGATCGGAATCGGGAATATACTGCGCTACGACTGCTGTCGTGCTTCTCCAGCCATAGAGTGGAATTTGTATATTGGTAAGATGTGGCCCAACATACTTGTTAAAGTATATTTAGCTAGTGGGGAAGACTATTGAATGGAAGAGCATAAAAGTGCTTCAGACTAATAGCTCCAAATCATAGTTGTATATTGGTGCCCTTCCAGGCTAGACCGGCTAATACTGTATGGAGTTAATATTATCAACTCCTCTTATTGTACTATCTGTAAGGTTAGATATCGGTATTATTACGGAATATTTAGAATCAAAAGAGGAAGTATATTATTCGACTTTAATCTTATAATTGGGATAGTATATTCTTTAGTATGATATTATTTTTGCCCTATTATTTTGCGCAGATAAATTTACACACTTCTAAATATTATACTAAGACAGTATTCCCTCCCTATTTTTCGATTTGTTGGACCCGTGTCGCGCCTCTCAGCATTCCGTCCCCCGACCTCACTGGCCGTATATGTTGTCGGAAGGGCAGACAGATAAAAGGGGACTTAGTTGTGATACCAGCTTGATAAAATAGAAATGGCCATCCAGCCGGGCCGAGTGGTGATATCCAACATACAGACTGGGCGAGGCTATTTGAACTCTTTGTAAAGTCTCAGTTTCAAGGGTAGCGGTGGATTAAGACTAACAGTAGTGGTCTTCCATTACCTGGTTCTAAGAAGAGCAATGCTCAGATGCATGTATTAGAGAGGGTTACGAAGCGTTATAGACGGGAGAATGTTGGATTTCATTATTATTAGTTATAATAAAGAGTAATTGTCTAGTATCAGGCTTGAATTTGGTTCATTCTAACCTTCATCTTCCATTGTAGCAGCTAGCAATAAGCACGTAGCCCGTAAATTACAGCCCAGAAACACATAAAATATGCACATGTTCCCATATATTTGCACCTCTTGACACCCCGTGCTCAGCGGGACGGTATTCAGATCCTGTACTAGCCCAGCCGGTCTATTCAGGCTTCGTGACAGCCTTCGTGCCTGGCAATCTGTCAACATAGTTCGCTGTGAAGATAGAATGACTACAATATCAAGGCTGAATACTTACGGCTGACACCCTTTTCGACCTGTTACTATTGTCAGCACATTGCCAGCCACAGCTAATTGTGGACTGTACATACATCTTTAAAAGTACCTACTCTCAGGAATTCTCCAGTGTTTCCGCCCACCTTATGTCTCATAATTCCAATAGGTTCCCAGTCATCAGTTGCAATTCGTTTTGCAAATCTATGGTACCAAATCAGCCCCTTAGGTCTTTCTGGTGTCATTCTCCGTGAACCTACACCGTGCGATAGATTCCAGGTTCCATGCCGTTGTTGAATACAGGGTTAGTCAGAGGGAATTCCTGAAGAGCTTTAGTGTCGAATTCACCAGGGTTTGGTATTTCAAAGTCGATTTTTTCGAAATTGGAAAAGCGATGTGGAAAGCCTATTGAGAACAATTCATAAGAACACAGCAACATTGTGGGAGACGGTGTGATTCTTACTGTTTTGTCCATTCTCTGCAACATATTTGCCACCATTTTTTAAAGAGGTAGTAGCCCGCTCTATCGACCTTTCGACGTTCCTCCATGTGAATCGTGTGTTAGTTAAAATATCAGGCTCGGGTTTGCTCTGTCCCTGGGGTTTGTTTTGTCCCTGGGGTTTGTTCTGTCCCGGGGGTTTACTCTGTCCCTGGGTTTCGTTCATCTCCAGCTCTGGCTCTGACTCTGTCACTGGCTCTGTCTCTGACTCCGTCTCTGGCTTCTTATTCATGCGCCTGTTCCTCCTTCTCTTCCTGTTTCGTCGTGTCTGGCCCCGTTTAGCACCTTCTCCCGGAGCCTTGTCTGCCGGAGGCCCCTCGGCCGGCGAGCACCACCAAGAAGACAGAGAAGAAACTATACCTCCACGCGGGCAAAGCTTCTTAGCTCCCTCCTCTGCGTCATAGAATGCTTTGTCTGCGGCCTTAGACGCTTCATCGGCTTTAATAGCTTGTTCCAAGGCTTTGGCTTCCTGCTCGGTGCCTTTGGCTGATTCTGCTGTGGCATCTGCGGCATCTGCGGCAGCATCGACTTTGTCTGCAAGCTTGGCTATATCTTCAAGCTTGGACGCAGCTCCAGCGCTTCCAGCCACATTGCGAACCTGATCTGCAACTATAGCTGCTTCTTCCGCCCCTTTAACTGCTTCCTCAGCGAATTTGATAGATTCTGCAAACTCTCCCACTCCTGGAATTGCTAACAGAATATCGAGAATGGTTGGGTGCTCTATAGTGTCGATGCCCAGTGCCAATAAAAATCCAAGGGGATTGTTACCCGGATGCCTGATACCGTCATCGGCACAAGTCTGCAGGGATGCCCTTATGGATTTGGGCACCAGATGCTCGTATGCCCAACCCTCTGCTTTTGCAACTGTTTTGAACCACAATCCTATCACTGGAATGTCTTCCAGGCGTGTGTTCAAAAACTTCCATCCTTCTCGTATGCCTGGATAGTTTAAAAATTTCGTTATTTCGGTACCTATTTCATTGAGAACAGATTTGAAGCCAGTCTCATCTGATACCTTAGTGAATTCTTTGACCATTGCATGCACTACCGGCAGTAACGTCTCCGACACTCCTTCACAGGTGTTGCCCTTGGCCAAGTCTATAATCCCCTGCACAAACGTCTTTACTGTGTCTTCCACAGCTTCAAATGGTGCTTCTATAACATCGAGAAATTCCTATTTCAGTTAATCAGGGAGCTCTAACAACATTTAATCCCAGTTGATGCTCACCTTAAGCGGATTTACCGTCTCGGCCGATTGCTTCTTCTCATCTTCTTCTCTTGATTCTTCTTCTTTCCACCAAGAAGCATCCGGGGCAGGGCAACCCGCAGGGAGATCAATAGTAATTCCTTTACCTTTGTAGTATGGGTTGACAGCGACCTCGGAAGTAAAACGTTTTTCTGCGCTTCCATTTGGTACTTCCTAGTAGTGGGAACTAGTAAGGATTTCATGTACAATGCGACACCAAGCAGTTTGGACCTTACCAAGTTAGCTGCGTCTGTGTACAGCGTACCAGCAACAATGGCTTCAAACGATGAGAGTCCAGTGGTATCGAACCGCCGTGCATCTTCTGGAGGGAGACGAGGAGCAGCGGAAGTATTCTGGACTGCAAGTACGAGGAGTGCTGCTTGGATTCCAACAAAAGACTTCATGGTTGAACTTATAAAGCATGGATAATGTTGACAATATTGAAACCAATAGACTAACAATTTGGGTACCGCCAAAAGCTGAATCGACAGATAGCGGATGAAGGCGATTCTCTCGTCAGGACTTTAGGGGGTTTTTATAAGTAGGTGAAGTGTTTATGAATTCTTAATCTTAAAATATTTCAAATTCATGCTTCTTCAATAGATTCCATTCGTACATCCAAGCTCTTGATGTCTATCGTACCCACTGAATAACTCTCAACCTTGAAAAATGGTTGGCGATTCCAAGGACCCACGGCTAAAACAAGCCAAGAATGATGGTAAACAAATGTTCCAGCCAAAAGTTCATAGTAAATACAACAAATGTCAATTATTGTATAGAGGTCGCCAAGGCCAACTAAGTGCAGACCAAAACGGATAGCGTGTTATTTGTCTCGCGTAGATTTCCAATTTCATGTCTATCTATATACTAGAAAACTTAACAACTGTGCCAAGGCTATTAATGAAACTAAGAAATCCAACTAAATTTAAGGTGGAGTTATGTGAATGAAACCTCTGCATCTGAACTGTGTTACTTACACAGCCCAGTGGAACAATCTTAAAATTATCCCAAGCCTTTGGAAATATATTGTCTCGCCTACAAGGTTAGCTGCCAAGCATTCTAGATTCATCACATCATACCACTGTCTACTCTTAAAGTTCTAGAGTATAATTATTTCTGTGGCATCCAGGCAACAGCAATGGTATGTATCTGTAAAAGAACTTGCTTCTTACCACATATCAAGTTTTGTGTATCTCACGGCTCCACAGTGGCCTGATATTTACAGCACTTATTTTGTGGATCTGAGGATTTAGAAAATGATAGGCAAATGACATCCAACGGTTTTACTGGTTTTACAGTGGACCGCTCTTTGGAGTGCAGTAGGGGCACAGAAAGGAATATAAATATAACCCAGACAGTAGTAGAAAATCATTTCGTTTATCTACAGGGACGTCAATTACCGCAGAAGCACCTTACTCCTTTCAATTCCAGATTTGACAACTTCGCCTCCACTCAGCTGGGCGTTCAAAATGAAGCCTATATTTTTGGTCCTCTGTAAGAAGTTCTCTCTTGAAAGAATGATTATCGGTACTCAAGATTGACCGGCTTGAGTAGGGGTCTTATCCCTTACTATGGTGTCTGCTACAAAGCAAAAGGATATACAGCTTGATGCTTTAGAGGTATCGGCTGAAATTCCTCCTGTTCATTCTCTATTCCTAGATGAAAATTCGGAATCCTTAGGCACGTCCTTTTCGGCTCCCTCAACTGTTATGAGACGCGAATACAACCCTGAAAACCCTGAGAGGCCCCCAAACTATTGCCTTCGAACTAGACAATTTCCAGCGCAATTTGACACTCTTTTAGTTGGCCTAAAATTGGCTAATGAAGATTGGGCTGGAACTAATTCAGATGTCGATATCACCATTACAATTAACGACAAGAAAAAAGCTGCAGCATTCAAAGGCAACAGTAGCCCGAGCGTTAATGCGCGTGAAACTATCACATTGAAAGCCGCAGACTACTTTGGAGCCGAGAAAGTCAACTTGACGGATCTAAAAGTGTTGAAGATTTATGCTTACCATAATGGTCATATTTTTGACGGATTCGAAGGGTTGCAGTTTAAGTTAGAAGGTAAGGAATATCCCGACTCGTGAAATATAGTTATCCAGACATTATTAATAAACTGCACCAGGGGTTGTTTTGACCGCCACTGACAACAACCGTGGTATTTCGTACAGTAATGTGCAATACGAGTTCGTAAATGAATGGATCAGCCCATCCTCGTCCTATCAACCGCGCAAAACATGGGACCTGGATGACAATCAATGGCATGCGAGCAAGCCTGGAAAGGCACATGCGTAAGCTACTAATACCACTGATAAAAGAGACCAAAAGATGAGCTGGTATGTGATAGCTAAGCTACAAAGCACCCTACTTTCTCATAGAGGCTAGTAATCAACCTCTTACACTTTGCTAATGTGGATTCTCTTATAGAAACAGTAAGGCACGGCCATCACCTCTGCTGCAACAAGGCCAATATTACAATATATATGCCTGTAGCCTCCCTTGTCTCCAATCTTTTTTGGTTCTCTTTTATGCTTTAGCCTTTGTTCATATGCTGACCATCATCTTACCTGATGGAGTGAAAAATTTGCCACACCATTGATCCCCGGAAATAGGGAGGAGTTGCACTGTTTACAGGGTTTATTCCCGCTTGTAGGTCATTGGCAGCAGCAACAGTCTTTCCAACTACTCGGAATTTGGTTGTCTTGTTGGTCTATGCATTATTGTTTGAACTGTTGGTCGCACTTTTTCGAGCCTTGGTGAGGGGCTTCCCCTAATGCTGTTGCTAGACTTCCCATATCTTTGGTACCAACGCAGAGGCAAGCTGTTGAATTTATTCTGTGTGGCAAATTAATGTTCCATGGCATATTATTTTAATTTCTTCCAAATCCCGAGGGATCTATGCAGAACAAATACCAGATTAATGTCCAATTAATCCGGTATAGATCCTTCCTAACCTGAATAGACATGTACAACTGGCTTGATTTTACCGCTACTCATTTTGAATATCATATAAAGGCGCAAGTCTAACATTACGGACGCTTTCCTGATGATGTCAAGTAGCCCAGAACATAGGCTATGCCCAGTTTGGTCACGAAACAACCAAGTATAATTGTTGGCTATAATTGCTAATTTCAATACCGCATAGTGTTGTTGAAGTTGTTAGCAGGGCGAACCAGAATAGAGAAATATAAGTATTTCATATTTAAAACTAATATTCACTCCACTCATCAGAACCATAAATTTCTAATGCAATTGAGTGCTAAGGCAATGTCACATTCCCAGGGTTGCCACTTTGAAACAGGTTTATTTTTTATCTAATTTGAATCGGTGAGAATGCAAACGACGTGTCTCAGAGAAGCTTGGTACAGAAATTCTATAGAGGGGAGTCCTCTGGGTTGGGCTAGATATTGTATCATGAGTTCCAGTTGGATACCGTACCCGATCACATGATGACCGTTTTCACCACTCGCCCGATTTTTTGGGTTAACCACAAATGCAGAGATGAAGCCATACAGCCACAACGAAATGATAAAATAAGTATATTTTTTGGTGGAGTAGAATAAAGTATATAAAGAAGCTATGTAGCTAATTTTTGGTGTCGCGGAATCGCTCAGGAAGCCGTATTTGCCTTCCACGCCTATTTACAGTAATAGGTGTCTCTTCCACTTCTTGCACATTTTTCATATCAATATCTTCCTTTTCCTTTGCTGTAGCCGGCCCTATAGCCTTCTTCTTATCCTTATTAGCTTGTTTGATGTCATTTTGAAGCTGTATAGCAGCTTGTTTTGCGGCCTTCTCCTCTTCTTTCCGGTGTCTTTTTTCCTCTGCTTCCTGCATCCGCACACTCTTATTAAAAGCCCTTATTCTCTTTCGTTCTTCAATCAAGCATTGTTTCTCTTCCTTCTCCTGCTGCCGACGTATCTTATCTTCCTCTTTAGCAGCTCTAGCAAGGCGTTGAGCTTCTTCCTTCTCAGCCTGAGCATTACGGGCTTGTTGAACCTTATTAGGACTGTAGAAGATTGCATTGCCATCCTCTGGGGCCTGAAGTTAAAGTTGTAAAGGTTTGCCACGCTTTCGCTTCTTCTTCTCATTCTGTAGGGCGTTTTTGACGCCCGTAAGTTGTAGTTTAAGAAGAATATTCTCGGTAGAAAGATGCATCATGGTATTATTTAATTTCCGGACCCTCTGGTCATAAACATCAGAAACCACTTGCTTAAGAAGCTTTTCAATACGACGCCAGTCTTCTGCCTTTAAAATAGATTGTGATAACTCACTAGATGAAGGTCTTTTATCTTCTTTTTGGTAAAGCGTGCCAAAACAATCTCCGGATCCCAAGGATGTAAACCAACTTTTTCCATGAACTGTTAATATTTTCGATTGACGAAAAGCCTTGTTCCAACTTGGCCAAAAAGTCTAAAAAAGTCCGCTTTAAAGATGGCTCCATCCTTGACATTCATGCATAAATTCTTCCATTTGTTACTGTATGCCTGGGAAAGAGGACCAAAAAGACCAAATAAGTGGCTGAAGACTGTGTGTTGAATGAGGTGGGTAAATAGCCAAAAGAATTTTATTCTTATCACAAAAGTTAATAAACTTCATAGAGATATGGGAGCTGTGACCATCAAGAATTAAAAGCCGCCAACGTCTTCTTGCCTTGGCTTTTGTTTCGCGGTCAAATATAGTTGTCAACCATGCGTATCCCAGCTCATCATTTGTCCAGCCACTTGTGATGATGTAAAGAAGCAGTGGTGGTTATTAGGATTAAAATCCTGAAGCCATGTATCTTGAATATGTCCAGACACAGCCTGGTAAATTAGACCAGGTGACAGAGATGTCCCATCGGCGCAAATACAGGCAATTGTAGTAATCCACTCTCTATTTCCATCCTGAAGTCGTTGTTTAAGCCCTTCCTGCTCATACCGGCGTCGTGAAAAGATTCTTTTGCCTTTTAACAGCACTCCAATAAGAAAACCTTTCTCATCCATGTTGTACATATCTCCAGGCTCAATCCCATATTCCTCAATCTTTCGGGCTATAAGTTCAAAATATAGTGCATATTTATATGCCGAATTAGCCCGCTTGCGTGAGGAATCAATGCCGGTAGTATAGTGAGTAACAAGCTTATTATTATGTCTCTTTAAAAGCGGTACGGCCATGACTTTCCAGGCTTAATTCCAGTAATTTCCTTGGCGAAATTTCGTAGCATTGAATGGGATGGTGGAAGGCCACGTTCAGTAAGAGTATTTATTAATTTAATAAGCTCTTTTGACTGTTGGTTGTTAAGGAGAGACTGATTTTCATGATGCTCTTGTAAATGGCTCTGTATACCGCGGTGGTGTCTTGACAGGGTTGACCGGTTAACCCCATGCTTTTCAGCTAATTTTGTATAATTTATTTTTTCTCCTGGTTTCAGGGATTCTATATCTGCAAGCGCTTTTTCAATTGAGTCCATATTGATGGTGTTGTAGCCTTCTGAAATGTGTGCAAAAAGTCGGTGTGTTGGCGAAAAGCGGGCGAGTGGTGAAAACGGTCATCATGTGATCGGGTACGGTATTGGCTAGCCTAGCTATTGCCAAGGCCAATTAACTAAACTTTGCTTTATGTCAGGAATCTCCAACATTCTCAATCCCGATTGCACTGCCACAACGAGTTCTCCATTCACGCTCTCTGTCTTGTATGATTCTTCTTTGGCATGCCCCCCAAAGCAATTTACATGTTTTGCGCGAGAGAATCTTCTCATTACACTGTTACTAACTAGTTCTAAAGTAGTTTCAAACTAGTTAAAGTATTATATATTATTACCAGATTGGTTGTGTAAAAGATTTCTGCCCGAAATCTCTCCTTTCTAGATTCTTCCTATTGTAGCTCAATTACCCTCCTTCTGGCCTCATATTGCGTATCATCAAATAAAATAGTATCTCTTTGATGGTTACTTGTAATCTGTTTTGGAGAAGGGATTGCAGTAACTGAGTGGCATCTAGAGCTAGTATTAAATTAGTTTGAGATTAGTTTATAGTTACTTTAAGATCAGTATTATACATACCTAAAGGTTGTAGATCGCATTTGACTTCTTCTTTCAAACCCTTGATCTAGATGTAGACCAAGGTATTGGTGATCCTGAGGAAGATACCCTAGATATATTTATTTGAAGGAATCTCTCTCCTGTGGTCTGGGTGAATTAGAATCTTCAAAACTAGAAGTTCTAGATCCACCCCGTCGCTTCCGTTCTAGACATAACTAGTTCCAAACCAGTTATTAATTAGTATGGGGGGTCACCCAACGTCACGAGAAACACTCCGGTAATACCGTGCGGATATACTATCTGTACTGTAAGAATGCCGACTATTAAGCTCATTTCGGGAGAGAAATTGGTCCATATCACGTTTATCCAGAAGGTGCGCACTAATAGCATAAGTAGATATACTATTTTAGAACTAGTAGATGACTAATTTCAAAATAGTCGGATACCTACTATGCAACATGTTGGAAATCAGGATGCCTAAGGCACCCTTCAGATATCCTAGTCACACAGCGATCTGATATATCACACTCAGGGGTTAAGGGACACGTAGATATAAGGAAGTGTTGGTCTACACACTCTCTCGAGGATAGAGCAACATAGTCACCATGCGATGCTAGAACCCACGATAGTTCCAATATACTATCTAGTTACCACAATCCTAGCACCTCACAACATACCTTCTTCCCTCTACGCACTTTAACATAACAGCCTGAACAAGTGGTAGTCTCTTACCTCACATATAACCCCTTTGGTGTGATTGCTCTCCTGCATTTGTATGGGGTTGAGCCTTCTCAAAAAAGCAAGGATCCATTAACGAACAAAATTTATTTAGCCCAGCAGCAATAACTGGTTCACTCTTATAAGCAGCCCATGATCGCACATTCTCATTTTCAGTAGCTAGTTAGGAAGCAGTTGGCAAGTAGTTCTAAAATCAACAAGAAGCTAATGAGTAAACGGACAAGCTCAAAGTATTCATTATAGCTGTGGCAATCAAGCAAAGATGCCATTCGGTTAAAAAGCCCAATACCCGAACCACGTCCCACTGTCTTCCCAATGCCCCGAAGAAAGCGAGCCCGATAGAAAATTAAAATATCCTATAGTTGAAACCCACGAGGTCGTTGAGCAGGATCAATAATTTGAAGGTATTGACCAAGTCCTAAATTGATTAGTGTTGAAGTGTATAGGGGAAGATGGTATATTGTGACGTGCTAGGATGGCGGTGACTAGATAGTACATTGGAACTATCGTGCGATCTAGTATTGCATGGTGACTATGTTGCTCTATCCTCGAGAGAGTGTGTAGACCAACACTTGTCAAGGGCTAAACCTCTATAACCTAATAACTAGGGTGGATACAAAAGGAATCGTCGAAGAGGAAAGAGAAGAGGAAACAGCGATGAGACGATTGCGAAGTAAGGGGGGGGAAGTCACATGATAGAGTGTACTAATCAATATACTAATCATGTGGCAGGCGAGGAGAAAGGAAACACGAGGGCTGAGGGCCCGAGTAGGCTGAGGGGCTCTAGCCCCTTACAACACTTCCTTATATCTACGTGTCCCTTAACCCCTGAGTGTGATATATCAGATCGCTGTGTGACTAGGATATCCGAAGGGTGCCTTAGGCATCCTGATTTCCAACAATTAGCTATATATTAGTTTAGAACTAGTTTAGAATTAATTACTAACACTTTATTTAACACAGATCCATATCAACGACTAGACTTTGTATTCCCGAGCTGTGAAGATAATGGAACTGAATCCTTACCAATTAATCTTTTGGAAAACTATCTAAAACATAACCTGATCGCCATCTGCATCCTCACTGTTAGTTAAGTCACGAAGAAGAGTGATAACTAATTTACAATTAGTTTAACACCAGGTAATAACTAGCTTATAGCTTACTTTTCCATGTTCAGGAACGAATGCAGCAAAAATAACCTCCTTTAGTCCATTTGCTCGCTCTCGTTTATAGCCCATATCAATCTCGAAGGATTTAAGAGACTTAAGGAGCTGGATCTGACTAAGAAGCCCACAAATATTACCGTCAGTGTTACTGATTTCATGAACATAGCTCTAAAATAAAAAGTTAGAAACTAATAGTAAACTAGTTATAAATTAATATAATGTTTCTTACCTGTATTTCTGGGGAGCTTTGACATTGATATCGCAGCCCATTTAAATCTTGTCCTTCAGGGTATAGGGCTAAGCGCTCTTTATATATAAGAGCACTATACCGATCCATATTAACAAGGCTCGGGTGAATCTCTGTGAGATGATTTACTTGATATCCCTGACAGAGCTGCTGGAGCTGAGGACTTTTTAGAAACGAAGCTAGACTAAAGTAGTTGTATATTAGTTTAGAACCAAACAAAATCCAGTTTATAAATAGTTAAGCCAGATCAGGAGTCAGAAGTTTTTTAATAAGGCTTTGAATATCTTCCATAACAGCATATGGCGCCTTTAAGGGTGGTGGAGATGGATGATCGTATCTGTTCAGCTTGCAAGTAATTACTAAAAATGATTCTGAACTGTTTCTCGAGTAGGATTTTGGCATTGAATCCATGGATGAATTAGATTGGTCATATGATTACTAGTCTACATGTAGTTGACCATGCCCGACTGGATGTATGAAGGTGACAAGACTTCTGAATCCCATAGTATATCCTATATTTCGTTAGTAACTAGTTAATAACCACTCCAGTATTAATTCTCTAAACCCACGAGAATGCCTTTTGCTTGGTGCTATCATCCCTTCGAATATTCCGAACTATCTCCCAGGTATTCTCATCAAGTTTTGAATGATAAAGGTTATAAAGAGCTAGGTGTAATTGAGCACAGATAGTAACACCTGTACAAAAGTACTTAGAGCGTAAGGTAGTAGTTCGAAGAGATGGGCAGTTTGAATTCATATTCTTGTAGGATTATCTGGAAGAATACTGGATCTATATAAAAAAACTAGTTAGTAACTAGTATGTAAACAAGTATTAACCCAGTTATAGTATTTAATTATCTACTTCATATCTCCTTCTAAACTAATTCGTTGATGGCGGCTAATTGGAGTAAGATAGGCACAGCCATCCTCTTCAGTTTCAGGATACTTTGGTAATGATACTACATGCTTTATATCTTGAACCATAAAAATGAGAGAATATGTGGTAAGAAAGCCTTAAAGTAGTTAGTAACTAGGTATAAACTAATATCAGTTTAATACTTACTATCTCCTCCTTATCACCCTCATCAGAGCTCATTCGGCTCTCTGAAACAAAGTCCCCGACATTACCTTCCGATTCCCGGAGAACATGATTCTGAAGTATTTGATCAAGTTCTAGGTCACTCATTTGTAACTAGTTGCAAACTGGTCAAGAACTAGTTTTGAATATGTGAGCTGCAGGGAAAAAAGAGAATACAGGTGTAGGTTCAGTGGTAGGTGGGTGGCTATCCTGTATTTATTAGGTTGAGGGGTGCACGGACCGAGTTGTGTGGACTTTGAGTGAACAGTGTAAACTAAGTTAACCGATCTTTTGGCATCCAGCCGAACTGGCTGCTCCACACGCCACTTTATTTTTATTTTGTGCCAAATCAACATCTACCATGGTTGCATTAACCCTTCCTTAGTTCCTGACTATGCCCTTTGGTAGACAGTTTCTAAATTCCACTGGGAATAACGAATTCTGTTTCGCTGAGACACTGAAAGAATTAGATAGTATTGTAGTTCGCCTCAGGCTTGCATACTCCATATCTATTTATCCCGCCGCTGTCGTATAGGTTCTAGAGAATTGAATATCACCCCCAAGGTTCAAAGACTACAAAGGATAACAATCCTGTATATTTTACATATCGATGTGCCGGAGAGGGTTGAAAAGAACTAGCGCCTTAATAATTTACTAGGATGGTAATCTTAAAGAAAAACTGTCGGTAATCATTCGTGGTAATTTAGATGTCCATAGCATCCGCTGCCGCTGTAGCCAAAAAAAAAAGTTCTGCTCAGCAATGTGGAATGGGCCTCTCAAATTCCACCGTAGCCTGAACACGGGATTACGGTGTAGTTTTACTAACTTCTCACCGAGTGGATGTCTGACGGCATAAAGAGCGGAATGTCAGGGGCTGAACCCGTAGAACCTATGAGATAGGTTATGTACAAAAAGGAATCGTTGAAGAAGGGAAGAAAGGAAGAGAAAATGAGCGGTAAAAAACAACGTTAAAGTCACGAGACATGGATCGAGGGCCGATGGGGCCAAAGGGGTCAACAGGGCCAAAAGGGACAGTAGGGACAATAGGGACAATGGGGACAATAGAGACAATAGGGACAATAGGGACAATGGGGACAATAGAGACAATAGGGACAATAGGGACAACAGGGATAATAGGGACATTGGCCAGAGAGGTCAAATGGGCTCCAGCCCTTTACACGGGATTCTCGAATCAGGAGTATTCCTAGTCAGCCATGTGGTCAGCTAGGGACTCAACAGTGGTCTGCGCTACCATGGTTAATCGGCTATGAGATCATCCATTCTAGTCTTTCGTCTAGTTCTTTATTACGACTACGATGCGTGATCACATAAATGGCAACGTTTTCACCTGCAATTAAATCAACTTTTAGGGGCCTACTAGTCGCCGCTAGGGCTTCGGCCCTTTTTAAATACCTATTTTTTTGTCTGACAGTCGATCATACGCCATCTGGGTAAATGTAGCAGCACCACTTCGGTCGTGATACGACTATTAATGAGACACCTTTGAGGAGTGGCCAAGGAATGATTCTACTTCTGTAAGGATGTGGTTCTGTGTTTTCCTTCTAAACCCGAGAGTTCTATCCGCTGACCCAAAACAGCCTCTGTCGACCATTAAGCACATTATCGACCGTACACCACACAAGAGAATTACCAATTGTCCCTCAGGAACCAAGATCGAACACCCTGTGCAGGAGTCTCCCCACAACACAACAGCTGATTCTTCCATTGCCATCTATTTGAAGATCAATCGAAGCGTGCAAATGCGCGGTCTACACCCTCATTAGTCACTTTCTCAACGGTCTTCTCTAATATATCAAGAATACGGAGACCGTCTTCTTGCGCTGCCCTCTTTGCTGATTGGATTGAAGCCTTGTTCAATAGTTGCCGGGTCGCTGTGTCAACCGCCACGTTGATAAACGAGTCACGAGCCAGCTTTTGTGCCTTTGGCTCCAGAGCTCGGGCAATTTCTTCCTCAAACGCCCTTATGGGAATCCCGCGTGTTTCGTAACAGTCAGAGCGGCTCTCGTATAATGCTTTGTAGTTATCGTTGCACCACCTCTCAGTACCCAGACATCGCTCCAATTTCTCGTTACAGTTAGATTGACCGGTCTCGAAAGGCGCCTCTTCTCGTTCCGATAGACAGTCTTTACCTAGTAGATCCTCGCTTGGATTACTCAAGCACCACGCTTCCGATCCCAAACAACGCTCAGATACCTCTGGGCAGTTTTCTGCCTGAAGCCACTGTTTTTTACCGTTTGTCTGGGTGGTCTGGGTGGGAGCTGCAGGAGCAGGTTGTCGGCGCGCAAGGCATTCATCCTTGTTCTTCCAGTAAGGCTGTGATCTTTCACACCAAGCGTCTGTGCCGAGGCAACGTTCATTCAGATCCGAGCAACCAGTTTGTCTGTGTATCCATGGACCGAGCTCTCTGGCAACAAAGCAGGCCGCCACTCGTTCCTGGGATTCAATTCCAGTACAGAATACTTCTGTTCCCCTGCAGGATTCGGAGTTATCTTCCATGCAACCTTCCCTCGGTTGCTGCCATGGAAGCTTGGACCCAGTCGGACGGGGACCTCTAGCGCTGAAACACTCGTCCTGGCTCTTATATCCTGATAGATGCAGGTATGCACTGCACCACGATTCGGTCCCTAGGCATACCTCAGACAGGCTAGAGTCTGGACAGCTTCCACCATTGAGCCACGGTAAGGCTTGACGCTTTGCAGAAGTAGAAGCCAGTGCAAGGGTAGTGAACTGCAAGGCTGCCGGGAATATAATAAAACGCATCGTAAATAAGGACTTGCACAAATGTTCTGTGGAATATAAAAATCCGAAAAAATTGAACCAGGTAACTTCATTCTCTGGTAATATGCGGAAAGGCCATTCTTATAGAGTTAGTTCATTTTGAGTTTTGATTCACTTTGTTTTCAAATAGCAGCAATGATTATTATCAGTCTGCATGAAACACAGTGGGGATCTAAAATTTGGCTCAGCCCCAGGGTTCTCAGGTGCACCTGTCAAGTAGGAGATATGCCCTTAGAGACTGTAACGGTGTGGCTGAAGAAAGTTTCGGTTTCGTTATGATGCTCTAGCCTATTCTCTACAGAATAAGGCTTCTAGATCTCATGCTTTACGTAACACTCCACTGGCATTTCCTTCGGCATGCCCAACTTGCACGGTACTATATACGCCAAGGAAAATGAAACCATAACTCCGTCTAATAAAAAAAGAACCCCACTTCAATAAACGGAAATATACCGATACCATTTGAACGAAATTAGCTCCGGGAATCAGATGAGGTTGTTTCAACAGCTATGCCCGCCTCTTGCGCTCACCAGGACTAACATAATATGGATTTGAGCTATAAAAAGCAATTGTTCCCCTAATTGTGTCTCAGAACCGCCAGAAGCTTGCATCTCATCGGTTCTTTTAAGTTAATAATACATAGTCATCCAAAATGCGTTCTCTCGCACTTATCGCTGTATTTCAATTTCTCGCGTGCCTCGTGGCTGGTCAACCAGCGGGCAGTCCAAGCCCAGTTTCTTCTGACATTTGTGCAGAACTCATCAATAGTATCAATGTGAACTCTCCCACATTTGATGAGGCGATGAGAAAGGCAACAAGTTTCCTCTCCTCTCAATGTAAGGTTATGATGTGAAGGTATGAATAGTGCGGCACTGACTGATTCGTTCCTAATATAGCTAGGTATCCCCATGGCTTCAAGAACAATGAAGGCCTGTCATTTCCAAGTGACTTTAACGGTGTGAAACTGTACGAATATCCGTATCTAGCTAATAAAGTGTACAACAATGATGGCGCTCCTGGTAGATACCGCGTCATGTACGTCTAGGCAAAGTTGTTTCTCTTGTCGATGTGAAAAACTAATGGCTATCCTTCTAGATTTGGCAATGCCAACAATGAATGGAAAGTTGCTGGTGTCTTGGAGCATCCAGACCTACAATCCAACACGAGAGATTTCAGTTTGTGTAAAGATATGGATCCGCTGAACATTGCGCTCCGGGAGGCAAAGAATGCCAAAAAGGAGGCTGAAACTGCCAAGAGTCTAGCTGAGACTGATCAAGATGCTACTGCGGCTGCTCAGAAAGCAAGAGCAGCGGCTGAAGCGGCTGAAGCAGTGAGCACAGGTTCATCAGGCGTTACGGCAGGCAAAGTCCGTCAGCTGGCCAAGAAAGCCGATCGGGAGGCAGAGAAGGCTGAAGCATTTGCGGAGATTGCTGCCATTAATGTTAAAGAAGCTCTAAACGCAGCGGATGCCGCTGGACATGCCTCGTATAGTGCGGTAAACGCTGCTGATGCGAGTGAGGCTCAAGCCAAAGCCATGGAGGCAAGGGCGGCAGCCAACCAGGTTAAGGCGATGGCAAAAAAAGCGAAAGAGCTGTTTAACAAGTGGGAACAAATTCAGGCTTCTGTTTCAGAAACAAGAAAGCAAATTGTTAAGAAAATCACGGACCTCACTGCAAAAGTAGCGCAAGATTCAGCTGCCTGGCAGTCTGCTTTGGAGGACGCTAAGCTAGAGAAAAAGACCTACGACCAACTCTTTAAGGAAAACAGTCAGTTAATCAAGGTCATTCAGGGAAAACAAAGTATTCAGGAGACAGCGAAAAGAGCCGAAACTGCAGCTGAGCAGGCAGAGAAGGCCGCGAAGGACAAATCCGACAAAGCAGCTAAGGATGAAGAAGAGAAGGCTGCAGGGGAGAAAACCAAGAAAGAGGTATTGGAGAGTGCGAAGGCTATTGCAGATGGGGCGCCTAGTGGGTCAATCTGGAATATCGTCGGGACAGGAATTGCCGCGGTCACGTCGGGCGTTGTCGCTATAGGGGGAGCTGCTGGGCTGACAAAACTTGCTCTGCAACCAGCTATCTCTATGGGCTCACTCTCCGGGCCAGTTTTTGCCGGTGGAAGTGCAGTGCCACTCGCTTCAGCTGAGGGAATGTCGGCAGTCTCAAATGCATTCAGCGATAGTCTTTCTAAAGTCGTCCAGGAAGGAGTCGAGAAGGCTACTAATAAGGCATTTAATAAGGCAATTGAGGAGGCTGCTGAAAAGCGACTTCTGATGAGGAAATTGGCTAAAAGAAAGGTAAAGGAACAACTCGAGCGAGCAGTTAAAAACGCACGTGAGGAAGCTTCGTCTAGTTAGAGGAAGCAAAGCCGAGAAAAGGGGAGGCGATTTATATGGCAGAATACGGGAAACCGTTCGATTCCTGCCCAGCAGGCACCTTGTTACGCTGCTGTTCTGTGGAAACAATTTATTAGTGGAATAAAGCATCAGGGATGGTAGTGTTATTTGTAGGTAATAAACAAAGGTCTTGTCAGCTTTGGCCAATCCAATCCTTGATCTAACTCTAGCAGTGCTCAATATAATTAAGATCAGGGACTATAATTCCTTGAGAATCAAACTAACCAGTAGTTTTTTGAGCAGTATGAGACTGTGCCTGTATGAATATATGTCCCAGTTCATAATAGATTAGAAGTTTTCCATTAGTAATTAAGTATAAGAGTTAGCAATAAACCCACTCCAGTATCCTTGTTATATAAATCTTTGCTATATCAGAGTTGCTAATATCTTATATCATGTCCTAATCATAACATTCACATCCTTGCCTTTATTTTTAGTCAGAAGTTTACCACGCTCCCAACACTGTAAAGACGTACAGAAGATCCCTTACACGTAAGCATATCGCTTCGCGTATGTGTTGACAGCTGCGAGAGAATTCACTGTGCTCGCTGTTTGTTATGTGGCTGATGAAGCTACTTCTACATTGCTCATTGACGAGCTCATCGTTTTTGTATTTGGTACAGTGCGACAAGAGGTAGAAAAACGGACCCCAGAGTTACTTATACCGTATCAAATGGGTCACCCAATTGCGTACAATTAATATTTAACAGAGAGACCCTCCGAAAATTCCGTGCCGTGCGTCGCGAAGGTGAATTTGGCAAAATTCTGCTGCTTTTCTTTGGCGTTAGTGATCTTCAGGAGCCTCACTATATAGACAAGGGAGCCATCCCCGACCAAATCCTCCGATATCTTCTACACCAAACTGAACTAGTTATGGTTGACTTCGCTTCAGCAGAAGCGCTGGACAATATGCTGGCTTACTACCAGGCGATTCTTTTTCGCACCGTACATCTACTTCACTTCCAGACTAACCCAATTTAGGTGGCTTTAAAACGGGCTGTCAACAACATTGCAAATGAGGCGGTTGAAGCCAAGCTCATGTTGTCGCTGCTGGATCTTCTCTCCCTAGTGGCTGTGTTTACATGCCTAGTAAACTGGCCACGCGGATTGCTGGCGAATCAGAAGAGAATTGGATGCTACGCGAGACACTTAACAGAAAACTCTTGGTTCTCAACGAAGTGTCAGAGACTTACAAGGGGTTTGTAGATAAAAGAGGCCATAGTAAAAGACCGATGCCGGTGCCGGATTCTCAATAAACTGGCAGAGTTAGGAGGCACCAACCTCGATGTCGGTTCTGTTAAATCCTACGTCACGGCGAACTTTGATAAAGACGTTCAGAAAAGTATGAGGACGCGCGGAATCCTTCATTAAGGTTTTCGAACAGATTATTTCTGTCGCAGAAGCCTGGCATATTACTCCAGAATCAGCCATCTATAATGAAGTGATGTTAGTTTCAGAATTATTAAACCAGACCACTTCTATTAAACTCCCAGAATTGGTTGAGCTAGCGATGTTGGAACCAGCGTTCGATACTCCTACTGAGGTCACCCGTCTACAGACAGCAGATAATATTGCAGACCGTACGATTATTAACAAGAAAAATGGGAAGGGATTAAAGGGAAGTGAGTCACAACGTCTTAAAAATATGGGAAATAGTATCCGTTTCCACCGTCGTTACTGTTTACTGACATTGAACGCTGTGTCAGGACTTTATCCTGAAATTTAGATTTTGTTCCTGTACGAATTTCGGCATCAGATCTTTGCAGGTGTATCCCGTCTAAACGAAAGAATCCCTTACAGCCATCTCGCATATTGTGATACTTATTTGCTTTTCTGAACCAGTCTGTCATAACAACATTATTTTGTTTACCACGTCTTACTCTACCCTGTCAGTACGAGATGATGCACTAGTCCATTGCGAAAGATAAGGATGACTATGCTACAAAACTGATTCTCAAGGAAGATGGAATGGAGCACTAACAAGTACAGCATATCAGTCTGGTTTTCAGAGAGTTAAACAAAAACAAATCGCCAGTGTCAGAGCCAGCCATACAAGGGAAGATCAGGAAGAATAATTGGCGTATCAATATGGGAAATCAAATAGGACAACGTCTGAGGACGGTAATGACAATACTAGACATGCTCAAAGTGCCACTTGGTTGGAATGGTCTTGCACTTTTCAGTAAGTGCGACCAAGAGGACCCGGTTGTTGCAGACCTTTCCCCTTCGCGCTCGGCGCTGACGTTGTGGTGGCTCGGTGTATACTCTGAGATCTCTGGCCCATCATCATATCTGTCACCATCTGCCCACTTCGGCGCACGCCTGCTGGCAGGGCGCGGACTGGCCGCTTTCTGCATCATTTCCACCTGCGTACACAGGAAAGTTATCTCTGCAACACGTGAGTCATCCCTCTCGGCCGATTTGCTGTATGCCCGGCTGGGGTAGGTCTACCGCTTCCCTTCCTAGGTGTGGCTCGAGAGGAAGGTTTCTGCAACTGCTCGACAAGTCGAGTCTCGCTAGGCTTACAATGTCCTTGTGGTGAGACAGGGCAAACTCTGCCAGGGCATACAGAAGTTCGATATGCCAGGCCACATACAGCAGGGTCAAACTTGCGGTAACTACCTCTCTGATGCCTGCTTTGTCTTCTACCTCTACCTCCTTATCTCCAGATATTGAAGTCTGCCTCATCCCTTCTCGCGGCCCCATACACCAAACTCATGGATGGGGTGGCGTTCTTTGCCCCGGGTGTCATATTGGAAATGGTCAGCTTTTCTGCGAGAGAAGGGGAGGGTGATTGTAAAAGAATTCTTTTTTAATATTTACGCTCCTTTCCTTAGATAAATTATTTATTCCGTTTAGGCCAGACTCTTGGGCACTCTGGTGGGAACAACTCTTACTTTCCAGGCTGTCGCCCAAAAGAAGGTCAAAAAGATATCGAGGAATGATAATACTCGAAAGGATGAACTCTAGTATAAATTACCATAACTATGCTAATAGGCGGGTGTGCATACAGGCGAGATGACATGATTTCCTTCAAGAAATTTCATAGACAAATTAAATTAGCAAGAATGTGATTGGGAGCTTCCCAGCCCTAACCTTGTGCCCTCAGCCCTTTGTCATCCCAATACAGTCTACCTGTAACCCACATAAACATCACGTCACTGCGTTGAACTGAACGCGATGTCGGAGGCAAGGTCATCACAATTCATCCCCAAATTTAATTTTTAGACCTAAGTAGACCAATATAACATTGATTGACCACAGCCGGTGGATTATTAATGATAGTTATTGATCTACCTAGCTAGGAATAGTATCCTTGCTTGACACTAATAGAAGAAATGCACGGACAGCTGAGTCACAAAGTTACTGCTAGTTAATAGTTAAGCAACAGTGGGGAGGATTATAGTAGGGCTGAAGACCACCAGGATTTAAGATTATGTTTTTTTATAATTGTAACCACGCTTAAGCCGGTCCTTGTATTTTACTATTATTAGGCCCAAAGATGGAGATCCTGCCAAGGGCACTAGTTTCTTATATCCGTGAGAATTGCTTGCCAAGATTGATTGTCGCTAGAGCTCGGGATGATTTTCTTTAACTTCCGATATGGAGACGAGGTGATCCAATGATGGGCGGGTTCAAAGGAAATAAGGTATACATACGCTCAGGCCCTCCCCAGGCATATTATTTTATAAGCTAATGTGGGAAGACAGTCTTCGCTAGCCTAACCAGATAGGGGAAGAATTAATTAGACAAGATCAAGGCTGAGGTTGTTCAGGAGGGCGAGAAAAAGCGGGAACAGGTCACACACACAGGTGTATGTATGCCACTGGCCTTCCGATCATACCACCTATCTCTTCGGTGAATGGGTTGAAATAAATATTGCTACAGCCTGCGCCGCCGCGCGGGGGCGGGGGAGCAATCGAAGCTGACCTGCAGCGGTAAACAACCCAGGTCGCTTCCACTTTCTATCGGGACCCTCAGCTCGCCTATCCAATAGTTCTTTCCAATAACTGTTCCGTAATATGCTGATTGGAAAGGCCACTATATGGGAACTTTATGAACGCTATCCGGAGTGCTGAGCTATGATTTCCACGTTGTCGTCCGGTGACCAAATGGGTATTAAAATATTTCTCGATATCTGGAATATGATACCAGAACCGCAAAACTGGTGAATCTCCAGAGAAGTAATGGATAAGCCTCGGCAGATGCAAAGTACTAAATTCTACTAATAAAATAGCCAGGCTTTGATGGCAACGGACTTTCATTCTCAATTATACCAAGTGTAAGCCAAACTTTGTTATTATTTGGCGTCCAAATGGACAAGCTAGTGGGGAGAAGATAAGAACCCAGTATCTACGTAGGTCCGCGTAGCTTTTGATTAATAATAGTAACCAATTCTCTTGATTGAGATTGCGGTTCCTTAAACAGCACAATCCTTCTTGTGCCGAATATCCGGCCTGTACTGATTTTTAATGATATCACCTTGCGATAATTGACGATAAACCTGGCTCGTGCTAATTAATATGGACAATGCTTTTTTTTAATCTTAGATAAATAAAAGGCGCGTATTTATAAAGCGGACAGGCTTAAATGCGCTTGCTACCCAAAGATATTATCTCTCTCACTGGCTGGATTATTACTGCACTTATCATACGCGTACTGTGAGTAGACATTTTGGTATCTCCCTAAAGTATTAGCGCTTTGGTTTATGTTGTGGATTCAGGGAAAGATAGCATTTAAAGGACAAGATGTAGATTAGCAGTATCTTGCCTGAATAGTTAGGGAAAAGATGGGGTCTCAGGGGATAATAACCCCGCAGCTTGCCAGCGCGCTAATACTTTATTTATATATTTATGTTCGATATAGTGGGGGGTCTGAATTGACTGTATTCAGAAGGATGTTCTGCCGAACCTCTCTATGAGAGATATCGGCATATATATTTCACATAATATCCCAACCTGGACTAGCTTATTTTTAATTAATTACATCTACCAAGACCTTCGAGTCATTGTACAATTAAGTACCGTGGCCTCGCCAATCTACTCACCACCGAAGACGTGTGGGAATTCAGGTGGAAGATGTGCTGGACCAACTGCTCCACGTCGGAGAACGGCACCGACTATGACAATAACCTCACGGACGAGGACGAAGATGGCTTCCACAGACAGGGATACGAGCCCTATCGGAGAGTGGTCTTCACCACCATAAAAGGGAGTCGTCAGGCGAACTTGACCACTCTCACCGTCCCCGCAGTAGGGTCCCTAAGCGGCGACGGTGTTATGAAGTGCGCTCTTCTCACGAGCCCGGCACCCGCTCCCAATCCTTGCAAATCTAGCGTAGCACCTGAAGCTGCCTCGAGTATCTCATCGAGCCTCACTCGTGCCGAATGCTCCTGCTGTTAGCAGCCCGTCCAAAACTGATGGGGCCGTTCGCGGCCTAGGTCAGGCAGCGTGGTGGACCGCTGGTGCCGCCTGGCTTGTTTACAACATCTTCTGTTAGTCAAATTGGTGTATATTTACATGAAATTACTACGAACCAAGCTTTGATGTTGTAATACGAATTTCCTTTACATAAAGTCTTCAGTTGGAGTGGATCTCGTATACTTGTGAACGTGAAAGCACAATCATTCGGGCCGTCGCATTACTCCAACCTTTAAATAATTCAAGAAGTACACGTCTCAAATACAATAGCCCTAGGAATGTATATACATATTATTGGTTTAATTTAGATATAAATTCTCTAAAGAATTTGTCACAGATCATGCTGCTAAAAGAAAATTCTGTAGCAAGTGTCAAGCAACCCTTTGGGGTCTAGTCAGGGCAACAGGGTCGGGTCGATAGACTTCCGCAAGACGGGGGCATAAATGCATATAGTGGAGTTCACGAGTAATTTCCATAAGACATAACTATTCAGCTCGGGGGAAGAGCTTTAGTGGGCAATGTCTTGGTGTTGGAGGCTGCAATATGGGTGTAGTAACTCCTCACGAAAGTAATGACTAGATTAGAAGAGCAATTAATGGCTGACTTTGTTGCTGTTGTTTCTATTTACACTTCTATTTCGCGTGGGTAAGCGCCTACGGGGTGGGATCGAATCAAATATCCGCCAACACATATTCCCTTACAAGACGCAAATCGATGACCGTCTTTTTGGCTTTGGCGTAGTAGTAAAAGCTCAGCACCACCATGCAGCCGGACCTGGATCCTCACACCCTATGCTCTGACAGCCCACCACGGTTAATTAAGAGGGTGAACATGGGCTGGACCCGAACAATGGCAGTAGTTAGTCATGAGATTTGTTGTACTCTTGCATATCCGAGTCGTGGCTTGTTCCCGTGGGCTAACGATGCAGAAATAACAATTACAGCAAGTTATGAATACATAGTGGACAAAGGCAATGGGCATACCATAGTAGTAAATTGGTTTTGAGCGGTTACTGTCATGGGTTGAACCCTTTATTCCTATATAGGACGCTAGAAGCAACTGATCGAAAGATCGGTTTGTTGGTATCTTTTATGGTCGAATGGTTTTATCTCTAGCCTAGCCTAGAGACAACTAGATCGTGTCATACTATGTATATTATTTTTTTTATCAGGGGCTGAACCCATAGAACCTATGATAGGCTATATACAAAAGGAATCGTTAAGGAAAGAGAAAAAAAGAGTAAACAAATAAGAAAGGAGAGTCACGTGCTATAAGTCATCTCGGGCCTATAGGCTGGAGAGCTCCAGTCTATTTACATTCAATCCCGTTCGGGACTAATCCGGCTGGTCTTCACCTAATCGAATGAATATCCTTCACCCGAACTGCCCAAAAAGTCGCATTTGCACAATCTGGAGAGGTACCATCAGCTATATAAAATATGTTATTTAGAGTCTCTGTCAAGACGGTCTTCTTTATCCACAACCCGTCCCTGCTTCGACGATCGAAAACGACAAGAAAGCGAGAGGATGAAAGGAAGCAAAAGTAAAGAGAAGAGGGGAGTTTCACTTATTTTAAAAGGAAATTAATTATTATTGCAACTGGGTCATGCAGTCCCTTTCTGCCCCCGAGTACGATAATTAGTACACACCGGTAGTTCTTGTTGCGCCGCTGTGTTATAGGTGCTGGGTAAATTGATACCGAATCTTAAGCTTCTTCGGCTTCTTCATCACGCTGAATGCTCTCCTCACTTTCCCGAATAGAAGCCAGTAGTTCATCACGCTCTTTGAGTAACTTAAGAGTGCCTTTCATCATCATCTCAGAGCCTTTGACAAACCGATTCAAAGCAGCTCTACGATGAAGTGATATGCTCGATGTACGTCCTCTAAATGATTCTTTGAGCGCAGATAGATTTGTCTCCAACTCAGTTAGATTGGCAAGTGCTTCTGCCGTTCTGGATGGTCTGCAGGCTGGTGGTGAGGGAGTTCTTAGTTGAGTGTTAGGCCGTAAAAACACTCTCTCTGGGCAGAACGGAACCAATCCAGTTTCTGCAAAGCCATTCTTGACGTTATCTGCTTTATATACCTCTCTGTGTATCTCAGGAAAGTGTTTAAGAAAGTCAAACTTGTCGATATAATTGTAACCAAACTGCATCTGATTCTCCGCCAAGCGCCTATAAGCGCGCTTTAAAGGTGGGAAACAGCCAGCATCAAGAGGTTGTAAGAGACATGATGAATGTGCCGGTAGGCAAATAGGAATAACATTATTATCCCTGCATATTTGACCAAATTGAGGCGTCAGATAGCTGTCTTGACTAAAGATGAGCAGTCGGTATCTCCCAGTTCTACGGCTAGTAGCAGGGATAAAGACTTTCTTAAGCCAGTACAATCGAATCTCATTAGTCGCCCAACCATTGGGACTGACTGCTATGCTCCAGTCACGTGGTAGAGCTTCCTCTTGATACCAGCCTTCAATATGATACTTCCCCTTAAAGACAATACAAGGTGGAAGCACATGCCCAGCAGAACTGATGCACTCAATAGAGGTAGCCCATCTCTGATTGTCTGGCCGTGAGAATAAGGACCGGTCAATCATATAGCCCCTAGTAACTGCTTTAGCAGAAGCTAAGGGGCCGATTGCAAATCCAGTTTCATCGAAATTGTAGATATCCTCCTGCGCAATCTCATGTTGTGTAATGGTAGTCTGTACGTGATCAAACCACTTCCTAACTGAGAAATCTTCGCATTTAGCAAGTTGGTGAATATATCGCCGGTATGTTCGTTTCGGATATGCTGTTTTGAGCTCTTCTCGTCGTTTGATAAAGTTAGACGCCCAATTAGGGCCAACGGTCAGGGTAGGTGTATTACGGCGCTTGGAGAGAAGTGTATTAGCCATTTCTCGTATTTGAGATTGCGGGGGCGCTGCTCCATGTTGAATCAACGATAAGATTGATTGTGTAAGTGAATCCTCTTCGTCTTGAGTCAATTTGTGGCTATTTGCACGTTTCTGAGAGCGACAAGTAACCCCATTGAGCCGATTGCGCAGTGTTGTTATGGGTACTTGATAATGACGAGCTGCCTTTCGTATAGAAGATATTTTCTCCTCTTTGATATCGGAAATTGCTGACAAGATCCTTCTCTCCTGTTCTTCCGAGAGTTTTGATCCTTGCTCTCGCCTTGGTGGCATGGCTGATAGTCAAATAGCTTTTATATGTCAGATGTAGTTAAAACGAAGGTGAACGCGTGAGGTGACCAGCTCGCGAAACTAACACGCAAGGGGGTGTTTAGACCTACCGTATTCGGTATTGTCACGTGTGATTTTTTAGTCACCCATCTAGATTGACAGCTCGCCTGAGCGAGCGAGCCCCTTGAATTGAAGAATCGTGCCTCGCGAACAACGCCAAGGGTACACGTGACTGTGAAGATAGGCGGAAAGGGCACTAAACCGAAGATGTCAAAAAGAAATTAAGAAATAAAAACACACAACAGCTAGCCGGGATTCGCTAGTGGTCTAACTGGCCATGTCTGGCTTGAATGCGGCCAGAAGTCATGTGGGTCTGAGCTTGGGTGAGTGCACCATGGATGGGATGACTCGCTCACCCAAGGCTCCCCACGTCACCTTCCTGTAAACCTTAATAACCACTATCTTATGATATGCCATCGGGATTGGCGACCTGCCCCATCACCGCGCCATTGGCTGACATGACACAACATCGCGAAATTATTGCCGCCTGGATGGACTTGAGGGCCTGATTCCCCAAATACATAAAAAATTAAACCCTGCAGCCAAATTTTAGGTGCGCCCCATAGCTAAGAGCAGCCCGTTGCTTAGTACACGCCTGCGACAGCCCAATGTGGTTTTGCTGTGGCTTTGCATGTGGCTGAGTTCATCCCATAATTGATCGCTCTGCCGGATTCTTCTCTTCTCCATTGTTTTGAATCTTCCAAACCATCTCCATGCTCATCTCAAATGATCCCATTTTTCAAATTTGCGCCCTGCGTTGGACAAGCTAACTGGTTAAGGGCTGGATGCTTTTTGTGATATTTTTTGAAGTACCTGTGATGATCTGAGCCCGCGTCACGGGCCAGCTTCCTTACGCAAGTTTGGCAAGAAGGTTCTCATCTGAACTATAACGGTAGTTCTCTCAGTGCAGTCAAGACATTGCCCTTAATCCAGTATCAGCGCTGCCTGCCTCCCGTCTGCTTTGCTTGCGCAACGAGAAGAATCTCCAGATCACTTCAGTGTGCAGTGGTAATGAGAAAAGAACCAGAACAGCAGGTAATCCTTTCCTGCTTTCTTAAAATCAGATCGACAGCTAGCGATAGAAGATCCAATTACCGAATTAAGACGTCAACCAGAGGAACAAAGAAAGCTTTAAGAGGAGGCAGAGCGCCGACTACAACTTATCACCCTTTTCAGGTTTCTTGATCGCCACCTTTCTTTATTGCAAGCTATTCGAGTTGAGATAAATGCAGAATATGGAACGGAGGGTGATGGAGGAAGTAGTTGGGATGAGTGAAGGATGAGGATGTTTCTTGTAGGACAGAATAATAGACTACCTTATGAGCTAAAAAGACACTTTGGTGCTAACTAATCTACACAATCTATTATCTGGCTCTAGCCCCATGGTCGACATGATATCGTTCAGCCCAGGTGATCTGGAAACGGTGAAACTAACTAAAAGAGGGAAATCACTGATCCTCGCTTTTTTGAATGAAAGGCTGATGTTAATCGACAATGTAAACTTTTTATATATCTATCCTTGCCTACTCAGCGCTCGCTACTTTACTGACTGAACATAGCCACGTCGCAAGGATTGTAATGTGTTCAGGAATTATTGGTTCTCTAGAAAGAAAATTTAAGCACTGAGAGGCTGAGGCTGCATGAATTAGAATGGCTTGCATCTACAGCCAACACTCCTTGCAGAAACATTTACAGTGTCTCTAAACCCGGTTCAAATGTATAAAGCTTTCAAGCCTTGACGTCTATCTCCTGCTCATAAACCCTGTAATTGGAGGTGGGCGGTGCAACCATAAAAAAATGTACAAGACGACTGATCGAAAGATCATCGCATCTAGCGCACTATATCGTAGCGAAGGCCTCTTAAGTCTGAGAAATATATGGGTTCAAGCTCAACCCATGACAATATATTTGTGAATGGCTCCATCTGCATAGGTAGTGATTTCGGAAAACTATGGATACGCAGGCTCTGGCAGAACAGAGTTGACAGAAATGGGAGCTACAAAAAAGAAGCAAGGCCATCACGAACAATATGAAATAAATTTATAATCTCAGTATATTCATAATAATATCTGTCTCCCGTCGTTACCACCCAGCCTCCCATTCCCATAGTTAAATGGGGTCCAAGCCGAGCTATCGTTCAGGGACATGTCCACCGAAGTGGACATGAATTGTTCATCTTGCTTCTCTGTCCACACTCGCGCGTTCTGGTGTTGAATTTCGGCAACGACGAGCTCTAGCAATTTTAGAAGCGGTTCTGCATGCAGATACAGTTATATGACAGGGATCAATTGGCACATTAACCAAGTAGATCCAATGGAACAAGTGTAATCATTATGCACTGGTTCTTGAGCCATTATACAGCATAGTAGGAAGAACTTGATCAACCCATGTTCTGTATCATGTGGTTGTACCATGTGGTTGTACCATGTGGTTGTAAGCTCCCAAACTTGCTGAAGGAAAGAAGAAAGAGAAAATTCCTGCCCACAAAAAATAGGGTTTTTAAACAGCCGTGCACGTGACCCCGACATTTTGTTCGCGAGGCACAATTCTCTGAATTCAAGGGGCTCAGGCGAGCTGACTATCTAGATGGGTGACTAAGTGAGGCCACGTGACCATACCGAATACGGTAGGTCCCTAACACATTTTGCCCAGCCAAACATCACACGATGCCACGCAGTAAGTACGGGGCATCTGTCCAGCAGATCAGCGCAATGCTCCAGAGCTAGATAGCTAATGGAGCGACTTATCCGTGCAGCCCTGAGACGGGCCACTCCAGGAGCAGTCTTTCGACTTACTCTCGATGGCGTGGGCCTGTTCTGTGCCTGCACCTTAGTCTGGGAGCACTTGATTACCGTGCAGCTCAGCGAAGGTCCCTCGATGTACCCCACCTTCAATCCGAGGGGTGACTATCTGTTGATCTCTCGGGTTCACAAGTACGGTAGGGGCATTGAGGTTGGCGATGTGGTACGGTTCTACCATCCGACTTTTTTGGGGGTCAACGGTGCAAAGAGGGTGATCGGGATGCCCGGGGATTTTGTCTGTCGGGATATGCCATTCAGTACGGAGGTTGGTAAGGGGCAGGAGATGATTCAGGTAGGAGAATTAACTTATTTGCTGAAAGACCTCGCTCTGTCGAGACATTTCTGACTGGGTTTTTAAGGTTCCCGAAGGTCATATATACGTCGGAGGTGATAACCTTCCCTGGTCCAGGGACTCAAGAAACTACGGTCCTATCCCCATGGGACTTGTCAATGGGAAGATTATTGGTCGCGTTTGGCCGCCTTCGAAGATGCAATGGGTGCACAACACGATGCAGCCGGCTCAATTGTCTGATGAATAATTCGCCTGGGACATATCTACAGCATGAGATCGCGGGAGTCTGGAGTTGGGAATGAATGGGATTTGTTGGAAATTTATGCATATATATTCATACATATCAAATTGTACAGTACACCTTGAGGACCAAATGATAGAACACCAGAAACAAAAAGGGAATACGCAGACGCGAGAGACCCTTCACCGGAAGGTTGAAGGGTTTCTCCTCTTGTAAGGCAGGGCCTCGGGCCTCTTCCGGCGAAGTTCCATGTCCACATCCGGATAGCCGATTTGCTTCATCACGTCTGCCATGGTCTCGTCCCACTGGGTCCTGAACAAATGCGCGCTAATGGCCTTCAGATGGTACCGAGCCTGCAGGGTTCGTAGGAGCAGGTTGTCGCGGTCCGTCTCCCTGGCCTTGACGGCGGCGAAGTCCAATGGTTTCGACTCTTTCTGTTCCATGATGAACACGGACAGTCGATGGTAGGGGCTGCCCTTCTGAGCAACGGGGGGTACCCATGGCAGGACCACCTGGGACTCAGTCGAAAGCTTGGTGAGGTCAACCTTGGTCGACGTGGCCGAGATGGGGATGTTGACGGCTAGGTAATGCATCTTGTAATCGAAACCGTCCTTCTCGACATTGGGGATATCCGGGTCCACAACAGCAATAGTGACGAGTTTCTCGCCCCGTTCGAATAGCTGCACATCCAGCTTAGGAGCCACCATGCTCAGCTGCGAGTTGACGAACTCTCCAGGCTGAACCGCGTTTCGACCAAAGTAAAGCTTGGTGTCCGCCACAGGGTCGCAATGAGGGAGGACGTCGGGGATGACCTTCATCTGCGTGATCCGTTGCACCAAGATCTTACGTCGATATTCCCTCCATTTCCGATCGGCCAGGTAACGATAGATGGGTTTGTTCATGTCACCTGCAACCAAGACTGGTTAGAGATCAACCTCGTAAATTGACGGTCAGGTTCGGGGCTCCATACCCTGTCCATCTTCGAATCTCTTTTTCACCAGCGGATCATTGACATCCGCCAGGACCTTCAGGTGCTCGAGATGGAGCTCCATAGCCCGGAGCTTAGACTTTCTCACTTGCTCCCCGCCCGCTTCTTCCGTAGGGATAGCCTGGAGTCGAGCGATCTTCTCCGCCATTGCCGTCATTTCCTTCAACTTCTCCTCCCGGTCGGCAATCAGCACTTTGCGTGCCTCCTGGAAACATTGGTACGGCAGTTGTTCGAAGGGGATGTTGGCCGAGGACTGTAATGCGGCACGACGTCGACGAGAACCAATGGGGGAAATGCCCTGCCGTAACAATTTCCGTTCCAACCGAGGACTTGACACCAATTCCGGATCGGGGTTTTTGTGAAAAGGCTGGCTCTTAGTTTCGGTCTGGGCTTCCTCGCGAACCAGAGCCGTTGTTTGGAAGGCCCGAGTCGAATGGAGCTGGAGGCCCTGGAGGCCTCTAGAACAAGCTTTATGTAGGCATTGAAGCAAAGGCTTGGAAGCTCGCTCACAATGGCCCATTGTGACGGATGAAGGGCGTCAAAGGGAGGAGAGGGAGGTGGTGATGGTGGTAGAGAGGAGTTGAGGCTGCTGGAGTGGAACTTTTTTCGCAGTCGAAGCCAAGCCTCAGCGGGCTAGCGCCGACCGCATCGTCCGAACTTTTTGCTGCTTCGTCTGCTCTGGTGACTAGCCCCATCACATTTCGACATCCCCCCTTCTCTGCGGGCTCTGTGAACAGAAAAATGCCAGGAAGTGATGCACTGCGAGCCCTGAGATGGCTCTCTCGCAGCTCTGGGGGACTCCTCTCGGGGTCTGAGACCATGACGGTACTGTTCTCCGCCCATGCCTCCCTCGGGTCTCCTCGTTGGGTTTTCATCGATTGCACTGAGAATACAGGCTAACTTAGACGATGGTCTGGTGTAGCAACGATGCCTCGCGAAGACTTTGTCGCGGTCCATGGCCACAGAGGCGCAGACAACCTCAGACCGTACCACTCCCAAGCCTGTCTGGACACAGCCCGTTCAGGCCACTACCTACTCCTTCCCTTCCATGGAGCCACTGCGGTTTGTCGAATACCCTCGAAACCATCTCCTTATGCCTCTGCGGAAAGATATTCTCCACCGAGCCGTGGTGTACGAAGGTGACATGACCCGACAAGGCACTGCCAGCACCAAGTGGAGGGACGAAGTGCATGGCAGCCATAGGAAGCTGCGCGCGCAGAAGGGCAGCGGTAAGGCGCGGGTGGGAGACAAGACTTCACCGACTCGTAAGGGAGGTGGTGTGGCATTTGGGCCTCGTCCGCGGGACTTTTCGACCGATCTTCCTCAAAAAATCTACGACCAGGCATGGCGGATCGCTCTGAGTTACCGATACCGACGAGGCCAATTGATCATCCTGGACAACGAGATATCGATTCCAGAAGATGCCACAACCCATCTGATCTCCGAGATATTCAAGGTCAACAGCTGGGGTCGGGAATTTGGCCGGTCAACGCTGATCACGGACCGATTGGATGAAGAACTGTTCGACAAGGTGCGCCAGGTGGGTGAGCATGCGAAGATCCTGAACCGTCAGGATGTGGATGTCAAGGATCTGCTGGAGACGGGACGATTGATCATTGAGAAGCAGGCGTTGGACCGTATTCTGGCTCAACATTCGAGGGACTTGACAAGCAAGGTTGCGAAGGCTTTGTATTGATAGCATTGGCTTGGTTGGCGATATGGATTTCTACCGTATTTGGACTACTTTTTATATTAACGTGTGTTATTTATCTGTACAAATAGATTTGATTATGTATGACAGTTCTCCTATGAGTCCATTCTATCCTATTAGTGATATGACAGGAATTCCTAGTGAAGCCCAGCAATTTAAAAATAAAAAATAAAAAATAAAATAAACGGAACCAAGACAAACCAAGACAAACCAAACTAATTGAAATCAAATAAAAATCAAGATGAACTTCTGGTTAACTCGGCTGTTGAGCTCGGAAGACAAGGAAAATCCCGCCGCGCGAAAAAACTCCGAGGTCAAGCGAGGCGGAGATCACCTTTGCCGCTTCATCTGTTGCTGCTGCTGGTAAACCTAATCCGCCCTCTTCACTCTTTCCCCGTTCGTCCGTCTCTTCCTTTCTTTCTCCTTCGGCCGAGGTCTGCCTGATGTTTATCCGCAGTTTTTACCGGTCCCAGACACCGTCGAGCTGGATCTCGCGGGCTTCTCCTGTAGCAATGCCTCTCCGCGCGAAAGCCACCAACCCAGTATTTGCCTCGACAGCTCGTGTATGATTCCAATGATGGGTGATTGCATTTTCCTGGCGGGTGTGCTAATGGACAAACTAGATGTCGACGACCGCGAAACTCCCTACCCCGTTGCCTGAAGACGAGCCCGATGATGTCTTATTCAATACGCTCTACGGAGTGCGGTTGATTGAGCTCAACCGGCCCAAGAAGCTCAATTCCCTGAATGGATCGATGGTTCGGAAAATCCTCCCTCGATTGCAGGTGAGCTACCTTGGCCTTTTTATTTGATTCTGTCCTTCTCCGCCCACAATGGAGTGATATCGAGGATGCCGTTGCTAAGCGGTTGACTTTAGGAGTGGGAGAAATCCCAGCTGGCCAACGTGATCATGCTCTCCGGTGCTGGGCCCAAGGCCCTCTGTGCCGGAGGAGACGTGGCTGCGCTGGCTCTACAGAATGAACAAGGTCTCGAGGGCCAGAAGAAATCGACCAACTTCTTCGGCCTGGAATACTCCCTCGACCATGCCATTGCGACGTATAGCAAGCCTTTCATCTCCGTCATGGACGGGATCACCATGGGTGGTGGTGTCGGACTCAGCGTTCACGCCCCCTTCCGTATTGCGACGGAACGAACTGTCTTCGCCATGCCCGAGACGACCATCGGCTTCTTCCCCGACGTGGGCGGCTCGTTTTTCCTGCCCCGTCTCGACGGCGAAATCGGAACATACCTGGCCCTGACATCGGAACGGCTGAACGGTGTCCAGGCGCTGTACGCGGGTGTGGCCACGCACTACTTTGATTCGAGCGTGTTGGCGAACCTGACGAGCCGTCTGTCGGAGCTGGTTTTTAAAGACTCGGCCACGCTGCCGGAGCGTCTGGACCTGATAAACAAGACCATGTCGGAATACTCCACCGGCATCCCACCGCTGCATGAGCAGCCCATGCTACTTGCGGGCAGCCTGCGCAGCGCCATTGACCGGTGCTTTAAAAAGAACACAGTGGAGGAGATCTTCCAGGCTCTGGAGCAGGAGACGGAGCAGAAGGAGTGGGCGCAGAAGACACTTCAGACGCTGTCGATTCGCTCGCCCACATCCTTGAAGGTGACGCTGCGGCAGATGCGCCTGGGCAAGGATTGGAGCGTCTCCGAGACCTTCCAGCGCGAACACCACGTCTCTGGCAAGTTCATGCGCCACCCAGACTTCGTAGAAGGTGTCAAGGCCCGTCTCATGTCGAAGCCCCCGCGCCAGGCGTCGTGGCAGCCTGCGACCCTTCAGGAGGTGACGAAGGAAGAAGTGGACTCCTTCTTCACGATCCCTGAGGGCGAGGATCGGCTACCATTGTTGAGTGAGACCGACTACCGTCAGTACCCCCATGCGTATGGGCTACCCAGCGAGACACAGATCGAGCAGTTTGTGCGTAGGGAAGGCGTGAGCCTGAGCCAGACAGTCGATCGGTTTGTTGAGAAATGGGACCACAAGGACGGAGTGAGAGAGAAAGTCAGCGAGGTGTTGGCCAGACGAACGACTAAGACTCCGGAGGGGTTGCGATGGGTCGAGTAAAGCGATAGACAAGAGAAAAGAGATTGATTTGTTCTATAGTTAGTTTTCTGCATCAGGGTATAATCAGTTCGTATTGGCATGTATTATCGATCTTTATTTTATTAGAATCTCTTATATCAATCAGTGTATTCTTATGGGTAATAGTTCTCGAATTACTATATCCGGAATACCGTAAGGTTATTCGGATCGACACAACCCGAAGCCTTTCCGGCCCATCCCATCTATCTCCCAGTTCATGGGTCGGCCATCAACATCACCATCACATTTGTCTATCCATCCATCCCTTCAGCATGGAATCAACTACGGTCTCTGACCTAGAGAACCAACAATTCCTGGGGTCTTCGTCCGATACCCCTCCTACCATCTCGAAGTCCGTCCTTTGTCGACTCTACGTCTCTCATTTTCTATCGACATGGAACTCACGCCTGTTTGAATTCGGTGCGGTGTTATTCCTAGCCTCCATTTTCCGGGACACTTTGCTGTATGCATCGGTCTACGCGCTGGTACGGTCCCTGTCGTCCGTGTTGTTCTCGTCATCGCTGGGCTCTGTGGTGGATCGGTCTAATCGGTTGAAGGCGATTCGCATGTCCATCGGTATGTTGATGTTGAGGACGATAATATTCTTCAGAGTCTTCGTAACTGATACGATCGATCAAGTCTGGCAACGACTTCCCGTGGTAGCATCCTGTGCCTGCTTCTTGGTTCTTCTGCAGCCGTCAAGCTCGTCTTACCTCTCTCCGCTTGTTTTTATTGCTGCGGTTCTGTTTGCCTGTGTAGAGAAGCTCGCTGCGTCGGCGAACTCGGTCGCCGTGGAACGCGATTGGGTGCGTTTCCCTAGCATCTGTAGCGCTATCTGTCTGTGATGCTGTCTTAACAATGTGCAGGCGATTGTTATCTCGAATGCTTTACATATCTCTAAACAAGGTAGGTACTTCCATCGGACAGTAAAGAATGGGCAAACTAAGTGTATAGATCTGAATGCGACCATGAGACGCATCGATCTCTTCTGTAAACTCTTGGCTCCTCTGGCGGTCTCATTGATCGATGGGTTTTCAACGAGGCTCGCCATCTGGATAGTTCTAGTATGGAACTTCACCACGGTGTGGGTGGAATACATTGCTATTGCGCAGGTCCACATTCCTTTTTCCTCTCCCATCTACTTGGCAAATCCAAGCTAAGTACGACTAGGTCTACAAATCCGTCCCGAACCTGGAACGACTACCAGACACGATAGAATCTACCACACAATCCCTCTCAGACCCATGGCGCGCCTACTTTGCAAGTCCCATGGTTCTCCCCTCCTTTGCTCTCAGTCTACTATACCTGACCGTTCTCTCTTTCGGTCCCACCATGACCACCTACCTCCTGCATAGCACCTCGTTCACCTCGATCCAGGTCAGCACCATGCGGATTGGCGCCATCCTCGTCGAGATAGCAGGGACGTGGGTGGCGCCGGTCCTGATGCGAAGAATCGGACCCATTCGATCGGGTCTGTGGTTCTTGAACTGGCAGTTTGCCTGCCTGGCTGCCCCGGTGGCGAGTTTTGCTATGTTCAGGGACGTTGTACAGCAGGGTCGGGCCGCTACGTGCTTAGTGGTAGGAGTCGCATTGAGTCGGTTGGGTCTTTGGGGATTTGATTTATCGATACAGTTGCTTATTCAGGAGGTATCTCTCTTTCCCTTCTCCTTCCTTCCTTCTTTCTTTTCCTCTCTATCTTTTTTTTTTTTTTTTTTTTTGGTCTTATTCCGAAGAAAGATTGCTAAGAGACAGGGCATCGACCCACAATCGCGCGCGAAATTCTCCTCCACGGAAATCGCACTGCAAAGTATCTGGGAACTGGTCTCCTTTGCAATGACCATCGTGTTTCCGCACCCTGAGCAGTTCAAGTTCCCGGTTTATATCAGTTACGGGGCCATCACGATGGCTGCTATTTGCTTTGCAACGTATGTGAGGAGGGAGCGGGGACATCTGTTGCATATGGATCGGTGTATGGGGGAGAAAGTGAGGATTCGGACTTTGGGTCGGTAGTTTGGGTTGATTCTATCCATGTTATGATGATTGTATTGCAGGTTCTTAGCGAGATTAAGCTATGAATACATGATTGATTCATTCCTTCATCAGACAGACAGATTCATTCTATCATAAACCCTAACTATACTATCCTATTATATTATGTTGTATTACTCTTATATAAAGGACACAATCCACATCCAATCACACCACGTGCCCGAGTGCGGGGTTTTCATAGAATCATCCAACAGCGTCTAACTCCCCTCATCTAAACCCCCTCATCTACCGTCATGATTCCAATCTACCATGGAGGTATACTATCTACTATCTTTCGTCATCTCGTATATCCTAGCTAATGACAATTACAGCCTCCCAGAGCTCGGGGATTAGGCCGATCAGGTCCCCGTCGACGCACTGGCTGTCTAACCTGTCGAGCACGTAAGGTACGCTGCGACGAAACTAAACCCGTCTGTGCCAATTGCATTCGTCTGCATCTACAATGTATCTACAAAACGATTGTTCCAGGCCTCGTGGCATCTCGACGCAATGGTCGTTCCCAGAGACCGGATCCTACAGCCACCTCTGTCTCTGTCTCTCCAACTCCGGAGCGACCAGATGTGAACTTCTTCGATACCGTTCTGCGTCCTGAGGAGCGTCGTCAGCAGCAGAGTCCCTTGCGCCTTATGTGTGAAATGGATGTCCAGGGGGGTGTTGACATACTCGGATTCAACGGAGAGACGACCTCCGATTTGGAGCAGAGACATCTGGATTTGACCAGCAGGTATTCTGATTTCCAGCTTCCCAGTACCGTGGCTTCTCCCAGCGCTCTGTCCTGGACGCAGTCAGTTGAGGAGGCCCCCGTCGCGAGAGATGGTAGTCTGGATGGAGTGGAAGCCAACCTCCCCGGTAGTAGTCCGTGGTCAGAACCAAAAGCGACAGACGAGGAGCAACAGCAGCAACAGCTGTTGATGCGTTTCCTGGAGTCCGAAGCACCTCCAACTATTTTCGGGTCGGTGAACCTGGAATGGAAATACGTGCGCAATGCAATAGTCAATCAGTCTCGGGATTTCAGACCCTTATTGAACAGCATCTACTGTTACGCTGATATCCACATGCCCACGCGAGAAGACAAACAGTGGAAAACAGCACCGACATATCACCAGCAGGCGAGCTCAGAAATACGTTCGCATCTCCTGGGAGATATGAGCCATTGCACGTTGAAGCGCATATTTGCGACTGTATTCCTCCTCATGATGTCTGAGGTCTTATCACCCTTCCCTTAGTAGTCTTTCAACTAATAGAATCGTTTAGCTGATATCTGTGCCTGAACTGTGTCCTCCGGGAGCCTCTTTCCTCCATTCTGCGTACCGGTTACTGCAGCGATTCCATCGTAAGACCCAGAAATGGACAGGGTTCGGCCATTTAATCGTTTCATGGGTATCTCTACTTGATATTAAAGCTCTGATCGCGGGTCGTGAAGGCGATCCGCTCATCGAGCTGGGCATTCTTTCCAACTCCACACGCGAGCATATCCCGGGCTCTGACTCCACCACCAACAACAACAACAACAACAACGAGGACGAGGAAGACGAGGACACCCTAGCCCAACCCACCTATCTAATCCAAACCGCCATCCTCAACCCATCCTTCCATTTCTTCTTTCAAACCCAACAAATCATCCGACGAATTGTTCATATCGATCTGCACCACCGCAGCCGCGGCACCGTCAGCGACGAATTCGAAGTCCTCCAGATTGCCCACCAGGTCGACGCGGACCTCGAATCCCTCTGGAACGGCCGTCCTCGAGTCCTGGATCTTCATCGCACTCCCGAGGCTCTCTTCGATACCCTTCAACCCCGGGTCGCTGTTGAAGTGTGTCGCTGCTTTCGGCAGTATATTGCTAATTTCCTAGCTGTTTTTATTTATCTTCATCGTGTGGCATTTGCTATTTATCCTCGGACAGATCGGGTGCGAAGTGCTGTGGATGGGATTGTTCAGTTGGCTAGGGTTGAGGCTGAATCTGAATCATTATCTTTAGCGTCCGGTGTGTCTGGTGTGTCTTCTCGGGCTCTTCCCATCGGTTTCGTCTGGCCGCTGTTTGTCGCGGGACTGGAGGGTTCATACGATCAGCGTGTCTGGATTATTCAGACTATGCAGCGTATGGCGATGTCGGATCAGCAGAATCAGAATCGCAATAAAGGCCATGATTCTCATCCGTCTCGTTCTCGTTCTCATTCTTCGAATGTTCATGATATCTCGGCGCAGCGCCATCCCAATGTCGAAAAGGCGCTGTTCCTGCTGGAAGAGATGATGAGACGACAGGATGTATCGCGGACGTGGGCGGATTCACGATGTGTACGACGTGAAGTATTCGCGGATTTCTTTGTTATGATATAGTATTCCATACCATACATATATACGGAGTACACTGTAGTATGTAGAACCATAATTCCATGCTAATCAATACATCCAATAATCATAAACATAGACATAGACATATACAAGACGACTACTACTTCCGCTGAAACCGCGGCGGCTTCCTCATAAACTTCTCTGGCTCTTCTCGCGCCCCCTTCTTCCAATAGTCGTATTCCATCCAGGCATTCTCAGGCATCTGCGCCTCGGTGGCCTCGATGAAATCCCCTAGATCCGGACTCAGCGGGATCACGCCCGTCTCGACAACGTATTGATCCCAGAGTTTCAGCAGCTGCTCCAACCGATCCGGATGCGTCTCGGCGAGATCATGAATCTCCCCCGGGTCGTCGACGAGGTGGTAGAGTTGCCAGCGCTCCGGGCCCTTTGGTTTCGGGATGTACACGATTTTCCAGTCGCCAAAACGCAGGGCGGCACGGCCGCAGGTTTCCCATCCTTGGATGAAGTCCTGGTCGTGGATAAGAGAGGATTGGCCGCATGCCCAGTCGTAGAAGCTCCGGCCGCGCAAGGGAACGACCTCGCGGCCTTGGTACGTGGGAGCCGGGTGGGTGACGCCGGCCATATGCAGGATGGATGGAGCCAGGTCCATGACGGTGGCGAATTGGTCGGTGATACCGCCGTCCCGGACATGGTCGGCGATGGGGATAGAGGTCGGGAATCGGGCGAGAAAGGGCACGCGTACGCCACCCTCGGTGGTGAACGCCTTGTACAGTCGGGAGGGGGCAGTGGCTGCTTGCGCCCAGCGTGGACCGTACCAGATAAAGGAGTCGGCATTCCCAAGGTTCTCTAGCGAGTTGTTGTAGTACTTCTGCAGATGCGGCATGACGCCGCTCTGGACCATGGGGTACGCTTCGTACGCGGCACCTTCGGCACCGTTGTCAGAAAGGAAGCAGATGAACGTGTTGTCGAGCTCGTCGACGGAGGAAAGGTAGTCGACGACTTTGCCGACGTTGGCATCGATGCACTCGACCATGCCGGCAAAGACCTCCATGGCTGTGCTGGACAATTTCTTTTCCTCGGGCGTGAACTCGTGCCAGGGCTTGACTTCGTCGGCGTCGACAGGGTGCGGCTCGACATCTGGATGGATCATACCGAGCTCCTTGAGACGTTGGAGACGCTGCAGACGGAGGGTGTCGGGACCGTCATCATACACCCCGCGGTAGTGGTCGATGTACTCACGGGGCGCTTGGAGGGGCCAGTGGGGCGCGGTGAACGGCAGATAGGCGAAGAAGGGCCGGTCATCTTCGCGATCATGCCAGTCACGCAGGTACTGGACCATCTTGTCGCCGTAGCCGTCGGACGAGTACCAGCCGTCGGGGAGCTTCTTCACATACCGGTCGTCCTCCATGTGCAGTGCGATGTGGCTGGCCTGGAGGAAGGTTGGTGTGACATCATCACCCTGCAGCTGGGGCTCGTAGGCATAGTGATTGGAGCAGGCGGGGAGATGGGCCAGGGATCGGTCGAAGCCGCGGTGGAAGGGGGAACGCTCCGGCGTGAGGCCCAAGTGCCATTTCCCCGACATGAGGGTATGGTAGCCGGCATCCCGGAGTATCTCAGGGAGAGCGACGACCCGTTCGTTGAGATAGCCCTCGTAGCCGGGCATGCCCCTTTGCGGGGCGGTGCTGATCTGGGAGCCTCTAGGACCGTTCTGGCCGGAGATATTGGTCCATTCCACCAGGTTACCCAAGCCAGCGATGTGATGATCGGTCCCGGTCATAATCATGGCGCGGGTGGGACTGTAATCTCGTTAGTTGGCACACTGGATTGTGATCCCAAATGACGCACGAGCAAGCAGCAGCGGCATGGAAATCAGTGAATCGGATGCCCTCCTGTGCTAAGCGGTTGAGATGGGGTGTGCGGATTTCTCCACCGAAGCATCCAATATCGGAGAAGCCGAGATCATCGGCGACGATGAGAAGAAAGTTTGGTCGTTTTGGAGCCATGATGGATATTGATCACATTGGTAAGAAGAGGGCAGCTGAACCATGGGGATATATAGAGTCATCGTCAGTCGGCTATCGGGTAGAGGAGATGGCAATTATTAATGACAATTATTACGTATGAAAGAAGAAACGAACGAAGAAACCAAAAAGAGAAAAGAAGTCGGCTGTCGGCTGATGCTCTGTTCTGGGCATGTGATGTCATCTGATCTCTGGAATTCATTCTCTCTCCTCCCTCTATAGTCCTAACTGACCAGCTATTATTATCTGTTATGTGCCTACTGAGGGATTTCTCTCACTCCAGTACTATCCAATCGATTCAAAACCCCTTCTAGAAACTTTAACAGCGCCATGATCTACATCAGAGAGTCAATCACCGGACCAAAATCCCAAGTCCCAAGGATATCATCATTTGTATGTTCCCTGGTTATGTGGAGTGGACTTCCTAATCTTCCCCCCTGGATCGACAAGCCACCATTCTACACTGTATCTTGAAGAAAAATTCCACTGACGCGGCAACTCGTCACGGACAGTCAATCAGTCTCGACATATTGATGTAGGATGGAAATGCGGAGGCCACCGCCTCCCCGAATACCCAAGCCTGACGCCCTGGTAAGCTACCTCCCACAGTTGAAACCATCTTCATGTAAAGTAGTCAGAATCATCAAGATATAGTGTACCCCACTACATGATGGTTGGATTCTATCCCTGTGAGCTGCTTGAATTGTCAAATTTGTCTTCTTCTCGGCTTCGTGATCTACCCAGTTCTTGCTCGTCGACACCACTGCCATGACATGTATGTATCTCGGGCAATCTCGTCAAGGGGTAAGATAAATCCTATGGAGGCTTGATGATGAGCCTCTTCATGTTGGGTGGATCTATTTGGGAGCATACTAGTCTCCACTCACTACTCCTCTACTGGATAGGATACATGTAAGAGAAATCGTCGCAGCTAGGTCCTAGTTATACAGTACCGTTTTTATTCTATCATTCTATCTAAGGACATTATTGATATACTAGGGATACTTATTCTTAAAGTAAGTAATATTCTATATAGGATGATGGTACACTAGCTATAAGTATTTTGATCTTTTTTCTAGCCGGTGAACACGTACAAATTGGCAGCGCCCAAAAGAGTCGGCACATAAGCAAGAATCCAATCCGACCCTCCCTTCAGCGCCGGAATAGACATTACCTAGATATTAGCAAAGACAAGACAAACCCAAGACTCCAGAAAATCAACCCTAGTAATATCAACCACCCTAGACATATCCTGCACAAACATACTGTTCACCGGGCCATTTTTGCATGTAATATGTCCCCAGACAAGTCAAGGCAACACTGTTTTAGGTGCTACTCAAAATCGCACCAATATCGAGCATGCTCGCCATAGTATTCACATATGATTGAACCCCCGACTCTCCGCAATTGATATGTGCAAAAACCATATTCTTTTGTTTGATCAGCTCGTCTTTCATTCCGTTGAGCTTGTCCTGAAATCCCTCTCGTCTGTTCACCAACTCCTGCGACCGTTGGATGAGGTCCGCCTCCTGGGCCTTCTTCCTCTCGCGGCATCTACTGGCCGCAATACGGTTGCGCTCGCGCAATGCTTGGCTTCTCGCGTAGGTAGCTGGCTGCTTCTTCATCACCTTATTTTTTGATGGGGTGCTGTAGGCTCCCCGGTCTTTGGTTGCTCTCGACGATGGAGTCTGTTCGCTGGAGCTAAATTGTCCGAATTGATTACAATCAGGGGGTGAAAGAGATGAAGAAGAAGAGGGGGGAGGACAAGTAAAGGTAACAGAATAAGAAGAGCAGCAGGAGGAAGAAGAGAGACGAGAATTATCCTGGGGATTAACAGTCTCGAGAGAAAAACTGGGAGGCTGGACTCTGACCCCTTGCGGACAAACAGCCTGGGGAGAAACATTCTGCAGAGAAGTATCCAGGAAAGAAGCAGGGTGTACCCGGACCCTCTGTGGACAAACAGCCTGGAGAGAAACAGTCTGTGGATAAGTATCCTGGAAAGAAGCAGGCTGGACCACAACCGCCTGAGACTGTGGCTTAAACTGAGCCTGATACTCATCAATTGTGTATGTAGGATAGAAATTGTTGACGTCATAGCCGTGGTTGTTTTCCAGATCGTCCACCGTATTCGGATTAGGTGATTTGCAGTGAGCCATCAATGCGAGAGCACTAACAGGATCCATGGCCGGGGGAGCACTGGAATGATCCATGATCGGCAGCAATGAGAATTTGATACAGCTGAAACAACTTGGATATCTTTTAGAGAAGTGATGAATTAATGGATAGACGAACGAATAAACGAATAGACGAATAGACGAATAGATGGGATGGAAGGCAGAGATGGGTAGAGAAAGAAAGAGTGAGCGAGAGGGATATTATACGATGATACGGATTCTCTCTGATTTTCCCTCCTCCACAGTATCGGCTCTGTTGGCTCGCTGTTATGTTGGACCTTCTTCTCCCGGCCTATAGTTTTCCAAGGAAAGTTCAACCGTCCTGCGAGGTCTGGACTCCGGGTTGAATCAACGACTATCTCTACCTGTTGAGGCAATAATATCATTCAACGGCCTAAAAGTCCAAGAGCTCCTACTGAGCCGTAGTCTTTACTATCTTGGAAGGCTTGAAGTCTCAACTGTCTCAACATAATTTGTAACCGACTTTTGATGTAGGTCTACTTGGCGTACTACGTGCCCTTAGGTAGATTATTTCCATAGTATACTCAGATACATCCCTCTCTATTTTATACTTTAAAACAACAATTTATACTATAAAATAATATACTATTTTCTGTTGAGAAATAGCCCCAGTCGTTCTACAGTACCTGGTACCTGAGTTGAATCCCTTCCATGTACCTGGGCCTAACGGGGGAATCCAAAGGTACAGAGTTGATCGTCATCGTCAAAACCCGACTGGGAAGCTTCTGGAGTACATACATACTTCGGCTGTACAGAGTGGGTCTTCGGCCTGGGATCGTCGGATGATCCACTTGGACCAATCAGTTTTATTTTTACAGCCTGGGGTGGGTCCTTTCCCTGTCACCTTTGCGTCAAGGAAAATAATAAGTGTAAAAGAGTACGTACAAAAACAACAAACATTAAAAATATATATATATATATTTAGGGAAGAGGGGAGGGTTATAAGAGAGGGGCAAACCGAGGAAAAGTTAATTTGAAAAAGCGCTCAAAATGACTCAGAAAACTCTAGCGACGTGTCATTCCCACCAAGTAGTTATTGCTTAATTCTGGCTCCGATAAACTCAGTTCTGATCCCCCAAACCTCTAGCCTATATCACATGGGCGGCTCATGCAAGGAACCATCAACCATGGCCGTTTACCTATCCTGGCTGCTGCCTCCTCGACGCGTACATGCAAAAGATGGGAGGCCTTGACTGTTCCATAATCGTAGTCGTCGGCTGACCCTCGGCCAACCTTCAATCAACATAACTGCCACCCTCTGGCTCTCGATTTCCTGCTCAATGGCGCGGAAGGTATCTGGTTCCCTCTCCCGCTCCTCATCGCTGAGGAGTGGCCCCAGAACTCGACCGAGGCTTTCCGCAGTCAACACCCCTGCCACTCCCCCATCTTCCAAGTCGACGGCGCGCCTGGTTTCCCCCAACAAGTGCACACTGAGCCCAAAGACGGCGCAGATAAGATTGTACTGCATCGGTCGCGTAAGTGCCAGGACCGCAAGGCCGATGGCTGTGGCTTGGGCCGAACTCTGGGCCGAGACCCCGTCGCTGCTACGTCTCCGGCCAATGCTCCCACTTGTGTGTTTGTAGTAGATATCCACTAACGCTCGATGGAGCTGGCTCGACCCCAAAATTCCCCCCGGAAGCCCCGCTAGAAGCGCCTTGAAGACCCATGCGACGCCGAGTACCTGCGCCGAGCTAGGACTGGGGGCCTCCTGACTGATTATGTTGACCAGGTCGACGGGCATCTCGCTGCTTCTCAGCGTCATTTCAATCCGATCCTGCTCCTTCTCGGCCGACAGAACTTGGTCGGCAAAATACCGATATGTCCGGGCGGCAATTTTCATGTCACCGGGATCAAGAAAGAGGTTCCGTACGTTCGGCCCTAGATTCGGCCTTAATGAGTTTCATCTATTCGAGCAGCCCGACACCTAGCTCTTGGACAGAACGCTTACCAAAGACTTTCAAGTACGTGGCAGTGGCAACGAAACATACTGGAAGCTTCAGTATCGAAGGGAAATGCTCTGCAGGGAGGCTCAAAAAGCTGTGACCTCCAAGCTGGGCCAGCCAGTCCAATGATTTGCCCCGGAGTGTAGTCATCGTATAGGTCCGAGAAGAAAAATGTGCAAATGTCTTCATTCGTCGCAGTGGTCGTGGTTGTGCTGTAACTGTAGTCTCTTTCAGGTGGCGGCTCGATCGCATTCGCCCAAAGATCCCATTCCGACGCTTCGAAACCTTCTGTTCACTAGTAGTACCAACGAAAGTCCCTACTTTTGGTCAGATCGAGCAACGACAAGAGACCTACGCACTGACCGTAGCTTTTTTGAGCATTGTTACCAACGTCATCGATGTTGTGACCGCTCTTGTCGAGCATAAGGGGGCTCAGGCCTAGTTTGGTGCCAAACTCATTAAACGCAGTAGCGGCTGCGTACTGATCAAGGAGCACCAAACGGTTGCTACCAATCGAGGATGTTCGAAGAGATGGGCCCCCCAGCAATGTACTGGAACCATGCTCCGTGAGTGGGGCACCTCCCGTCTCAATACTCTCTAAAGTATGAGTGAATTGAGCACCTGTGTCGGTCGAATCGGAGCTCTGCTGTCTTATGGAACATACAGCGGTATCATTGGAAGGGTCTGAAAAGGGATTGGAACTTGGTATTTCATGGATGGTTTGCTCGTCTTCACTGAATGGGGGTTGGCAAGCATAATCAGGGTCCACCAGAGCAATCGGCGTACTTGTGGACCTTGATGGATGGCGGCAGACAGTTCCGCTTGTTTGCTCGGAGTTGAGAGATTGAGTGGTGTTGTCGCTCACATTTCGAGACTCCAGATTAACATCCAAATAAATGCTACTTTGAATCTCCTTCCGAGTTTGTGGACATTGATCCTCCTGGGTGCCAAGGCTTTGAAAACAATCGTCATGTGCATGACTCGATCCCGATGTAGCGTCGTCAACGTGTCCGGATAACCCTTTACGAGTATGAGCCCTGCGAGGGTGAAGGAGTGTCATGAAGCCATTCAATCTCCTAGAGCCTCGGGTTGAACGCTTCGGCTGGGTCGATGAAAGCTGTGATTGGTTAGCAGTGCGCTTGGAAACTGGTGAGCCGGCATGAAGGCTATAGCAGCGTTGCTGGCGGTTGGATTCTGATTTGGGACTGCCGTTTCCAATTCGATTCGATTTCGTCACGTCTTGACTGCTATGTGCAGCCTCCGTCGATGCATTTCCATAAGTGTTAGCTTTCCTTATATGTGAATGTTTGATAGGCTGTGTGGTCGTCAAGGACTGTCTCAGTCGCAAGGGTTCTTTGGCCGCCCTGGATGAGGACCTAGAACGAAGACTATCAAGCAGTCCCATAATGAGAGGGACACTCCAGATGCCGAAAAATGTGCGGGGAGCCTTGGAAGCTTCCATGAATTGAAGTACAGCCGTTTAGATTATTGGGTGAACTCCAATATTGGGCACAAGAGTCATCGCAGAAGTCGCAGGAGCTACTGCCGACAGAATGCCACCCAACCTCCGTTCAACAATTAGTAAGCTCGCAACTTCCTTGTATATTCCAAATCCATAAGGAAGGCGCATCCGATCGTCTATGTAAACAAGGATTGGACAAAAAGAAGAGCAGTTGCGCATACTTCTGCCTTCCGACAGCTCGCGGCTTAGCTGCGGTATAGGACGGGGAAAATACAATATATATCTCAACAGATGACGAACATGTGAAATCTAGAAAATGCCACCCATGAGTAAAGAAACAAAAAGGAAATCTATTGTTGTGAAGCAGGTAGCGCCAATGCTGGGTAAACCGTTGGCAAAACATGAATTTGGCCGGGTAAGGAAACCGATCGAAAGCGAAAACTTAGGCTCATACAACACCTTCCTTTTATGTGTGCAGTAGTTTCAGAAAGAGATAAAGTTAAACATTTAATAAACGCCAATCCAATGCAATTTACGTGTACGCATAGCACACCGAACGCATTTCCCAGGCTCCGGTCATGATGATTCGTCATTTTCGCCTTCCAAGAGAATGTACTGCAAGATGTCACTCAGAGTAAGGACGCCTTTTAGTCGGAAGTTCTCGTCCACCACGACCAGCCGGTGCACGCGCGACTTGCGAATTGTGTCGAAGATGGTATCCAGACCATCGTTAAGAGAGCATGTGTAGATTCCGGGAAAGTCCTACAAAAGCTCATGTCAGCTGACCACGACATGAGATATTCAAGCTCAGAGCCACATACCTGAGACCTTTTTTTCAATGCTTCACCGACAGTTAAGCTCAGGTCGTCGTACACACCACCTTTGATCAGAGTAATTACATCAACGGCTTCAAAGACGTTATAGACGACCCCTAAAAGAATGACCCGAGTCGATTAGCAAGCGAGAACCCCGCTATAAGATCAAATAGCGTAGCTCCCACCTTCGGAATTTAGAATTGGTACGCTCGAGATGCTTCGCTCCACCAAGATATGAATAACGTCTATAACAGGGGTATCCATTGACGCAGTCGCCACATTTTGATAAGAACCCAGCCGGAGTTCTCCCAGAGGCTTCCTCAATTTTTGCGTCTCATTGACATTGACGGCTACAAACTTTAGAATACGATACTGTGTGACGACGCTTAAGACGTGGGACCGGTCGGTTTGACTATCATTAGTGACCAGAGGGATTCTCCGAGCCCGGGATTGAAGCATGCGCCGGCAGGCCTCGTACAGAGGTCGTTCCGGGTCGATCGAAATGGTTTCCGGCGGTGCAACACCCAGTGCCTTTTCCACCTCTGAGGCAATCCCTGCGTCAGCCCGGATATGATCCCATGGTATTTGTGGATAGGATATATACGCACCTCTGAGACTGTCTAGTCGGAACTGATCGATTTGGTCCAGAGCCGCGGGGTTCTGGAAATAGTACTGGATAACATTGATGTAGTCTGAAGTGGTCAAGAGACCGGCGAAGGTCGAAGTTTTGGAATCCCATAGCGGAGCTGATACGATACCTGTAGATTGGGCCAGCCATGCCCATCCTGTCAGCACATTGACTTCACGATCCAGGTGGCCCGCTGGCGGGGCAACTGATGCTTCGGAGGGGCTCGGAGATTGCGACTCGAAACGAGTGAGGAGGAGGGGCACATGCCATTCTGGATCAGAATATTTAGGCTCTCTTTAACCGATAAGGAGGTATCGAATATGATGAGACGGAAGCTAAGTGGAAGGACATCGTAACTGGTACGGACTTTGAGGAAGTTGCGAATGGCAGTCTACAGCAGAGCCGATAGAATGGACCGGGTCCTATTAGCCAAAGCCTCGACACATTTAACCGAACAAGTCCAACGGCGGTTATACACGCATCAACAAAACTTTGAGGAAGGGAGACTGTGAAGGTCAATTTGCCTTGACGATTCGGAAGCCTCAAGGGTTGCATAAAGCTCCAACGGAGATCACAGAAGAGAGGGGAGGGAGAGATATATAGAGAGAGCCAAAGGGATAAACCAAGCAAGACTGAAGAAAAAAAAAATAAAATGAAACTTACTAAACCCTGACGCTCTTCCCGATCAATCGCCCCCTCGGGCTGGGTTGAGGCCATTGAATGCGAAAGCCCTCGCGGCCGTAGATAAGAAGAGGGTTTCACAAAACCTCCCTCGTGATCGTAGCCGGATTTCCAATCTGGGACGGGGGAGCGAAATTGGTAATGTTGGTGGTGGTGGTGGTGGTGGAAAGGGGTGGTGATCGGAGGTGTAGCAGTGGTGGTGGTGGTGTACGTCGGCATCGTAGTGGAGAGCACACCTGCGGGTCTAGTAGGCGGTGGTTGCGAAGCGCTGGTTCTGCCCGTCGGGTCTTCATCCGCCGTCATGATTGATGGATGCTATCAGAGGGCTTCGTACCAGTAGGAGGAGGGTCTAATGGATGGAGGTGTGGTTAGATGGAGGGGATAATGGTAGTGGAGCAGATAAAAATAAATAAATAAATAAATAATAATAAAAAAGTATCATACTATGTAGTAAAAAATAAAATAAATAAAACAAATGCAAACCCCAATGTTCTGACGTTCCATGAATGATGGTTGGTTCACTGCCGCCGTTGCCGCGCTAGGTTTCCAGAAAAGGAAGAACTGCATGGTTCTTGGGATGGGGAGGGAGGAGTTTTACAGTTATTGAAGCAATAAAGAAATAAAATAAAATAAAATAAAAAAGAAAAGATTATCACCACCACCATCCAAAGCTAAAGCTCCCTTCCCTCTAATCAACTATGTCAGTCAACTTACTCTGGCTGGGGATCGACAGGTCCCATTGCTGGATGGAGAGTGGGGAATGGAGAGAAAAACAGGGACAAAGTCACAGAAAACCCCAAAAAAAGAAAACATGACTAGATGTCCCGACGCCAATTGTGTTGCACACCATGGCGACTAGCTTCGGGACCCGATCCTCGAGTGACATTAGGGCTGAATGTCCCCGGTCACAGACCTCGCTGTCCGAGACATGGACGACTGCCCCTCAATTACCAGGATCGTATGGTATATGAGTCAGGGAGTTTAGTTCATAGTCGAGGATATCGTGTAGAATGCGTCTATATGCAATTCGATTCTGCACGCTTTTGAAGCCAAAGTAATGCTAGGATATAGGATATAGAACGGTGACGAAATCAAACAATCCAACAAGTAATCTAAAAAAAAAAAAAAAAAAAAAAAAAAAAAAAAAAAAAAAAAAAAAAAAAAAAAGAGCAAGCCGTTATGTATAACAGGTAGAGCTTAATATCCAATAGGACGCAATGATAACGCAAAGCCACTGTCCTCTATAGGAAATAGACCAAAAAATAAAAATAAAAATAAATAAATAAAAGGAAAAAGGAGCGACCAACGATGCTGAAGACTGATGAGGCGTCAATTATTTTCTTGGCTCTGCGCCAGACTTGGACTGGCCCCGGTCTTCAGATAGTTCTCAAATTCTCCGATGCGCTTTCCGCCCTGGACCCACCGCTCCTTATAGGCGACTCTTCTCTGCTCGGTCAGTTGGATCAGGGTGGGCCAGTAGGTTGCATGGTCGTATCGGAACTCGACATCACCACCCATGGCCTTCATCAGCTGTCCGGGGGGAACGTGCTGACAGAGATCTTCGTTGAACTTCAACTTGAGCCGGGTTTGAGGGTCGATGAATGGCGTGATCAGCTTGAAGAATCCCATAATCATGAAGGGCACTGGCGCAACATCGATCAGGTTAGTAGGATGCATAAAAGCCAGGGAAAAATGGTTCACCCACTATTAATCACCAGAGCTCGACCCAGTCTCTCCGGATAATGGTTCTGCAAAAAGTTCAGGGTTTGCTTGGCCTGTCCGACACTGGCGTTTTGGCCCGACTTAGTATCGTTGTAATTGACAATCAATGCCAGAGTTTCCTGGTCCGGGCCCATCAGGTCGACCACCCGTTCCAGCATAAAGACCAGATGCTGGATCTGGCGATCACTCTTTTCTGTGTTCTGGTTCGAGGGCAGGAGGTAGAGACAGGGTCGCCCATGGATATCGTACCCAAGGATAACCTGCTTCCCTGTCTCATTCTCAATGGAAATATGTTCCGGGGTCAGCATTTCCACCCCGTATTCCCGCCGCCATGTTAGGGTTCGCTGGAGTCGGGCCACCGCTTCCGGTGCGTTCCACTTGGTCGCTCGCAAGTACCGCAGCAAACACTCGCGGGTCAAGAACATGCGCTCATTGTCGGTGATGGGTTCTGTGGGAGAGTTCTTTGCGGACGTTGTTGGCACGGCGGTCCACTCGGAGACGGCATCGAGGACCGTCTTGTATTTTGCTTGTTGGTCGGCTGTGAGTTCCGCGGGTGGAGGGGACTTAGCGGTCTCGAGAGGTCTAGCGAAGGGCTTCTGGATGAGACCGTCTGCAGCCGATAGTGGGAGATTGAGCTCGTTGTCCTTGCCATTGGTCTGGGGGTCTGAAGAAGTCAGATCTTGGTGCGTCTTTTCGGAGGACTCAGTCGGCTTCTGATCTGGCGTTTCCGAGAGAATTGTTGAGCTGTCCGTCGAAATAGGGGCGTCCGATGGAGCGGACATGGTAGTAGATGTACAAGCGCGCAATCGACCAACTAAATAGTTAACTAGGTTGTTAACTACTCCAGAGTAGTTAGGGAATGTTCGAGAGATGGACGTCCAAATGTGGTCTGTGGAGTGCTCAAGCCCCTTATATATGGGCAATGGACTTTCTAGTCCGTGTTCCTTTTCCTCTGGAGGCGATCTTCAAGGAAACTGAATACGTAATTGCAAATGAATTGTAATTGTAAATCACAATAAAACCCGGGTCCATGCGGGTCCTCCCCATCCGGCAGGCGGTCATCATTTGAGCGCGTCTCGCTTCTACGCGTCGTGTTCCTTCATTACGCCTTCAGACGACCACTGATCTAAATCCCGATCGCATTGAGTCGACATCATGGAGGACGTGGTCGGAGAGCTGAATGAGCTTTTCGCTACCCCTGATGGACTTCCCAAGGATGTCCTGGCGGAGCTGCAGTCCATTCTGCGTGTACACTCCATCTCCCCGCAGGAGCTGTTTTACAAATGGGAGTCTTATTGTTTGAAGATGGGCGCGGAGGAGACCAAATTGAACTTGAACACGGTTCGGCTGTTCAAGCGAGATGTACAGGAAAGTCTAGAGCGCGAAAGTCGAAGCAAGACAGGACGACAGGTGGAGAACAGAAGAAATACGACAGCGACCCCGAGGGCTAATACGGCCTCTGATGTATTTGGCATGTAAGTTGTATGTCGCTACGGAATGATCTGTCCGTATTGATTCGATTTTATTCAGGTTAGACGGCCTGTCTCCAAATACACCCCATGGTCGAAGCCCGAATACTGCCAATGGCTCAACGAAGCGGAAGTTCGATTTCGCATCGCCGTCTACGTCCAAGGTTGGAAAAGCGGCCAACCAGGAATCCCCGATTGGTGCCAAAACTCCCAGGAAAATGACGAACAGCGGGACTGGAGTTGATGGATTACAGTATGTGTTATGGAACTGGGGTTGTGAATGGCATCAATTAACCGCACCAGGTCGGTCCCGTTCGCGGAACGTCAAAATCCCGGGCAAGTTCTCGAAACCCTTAACCCTCAGTTATCAATGCCAGACACGCCCATAGCGCCTTTCCCCGAAGCTCGGATAAAGCCCACGGCGAATACGGATCTGAAGAAATTCGGTTACAAACCCATGGCAATGCGGCAGTCGGAGGCGTCTGAGATTCTAGACGATCGAATCGACGAGTTCATGGCGTTGTTTCAGAAACAATACGAGACTGAGAAAGTTCAGTTTGGCAGCGCGGCTATCCAGAGCACAAGCGAAATCGTTGCTGTTGGGCGAATCGCATCAGACAGCTTAGAAGGGAAGCTCAACCCGGCGTCCCTTGTGCTGGAAACCTCAAGACGAACGGGAGCCGGCTTGCGGGTTCCGTTGAAAATCGACTCGCTACCGTCAGTCAACTTCATCCCCGGCCAGATTGTTGCTCTCCGAGGCATCAATGCCTCGGGAAGTTACTTCTCAGTCAAGGAAGTACTCTCAATGCCGCTCCTACCCCCAGCTGCATCGTCCGTTGTGGCGCTGGATAACACCAACGAACGCCTCGAAGGGTTTGGACCGTCGCCACTAAATATCCTAATCACTTCGGGACCATATACGGCGGATGACAACCTAGAATTTGAAGCGTTGCATGAAATTTGCCAGAAGGCGGCCGACCGGTACGCAGATGGAGTCATACTGATGGGGCCATTCCTGGACATCGAACATCCGCTGCTGGCATCGGGGGATTTCGAACTCCCAGAAAGTAGCGGAATCGATCCGGACACAGCGACTCTAACGACTGTGTTTCGGCATTGCATTTCGACCCCACTACAGCGTCTCACAGCGGCAGTGCCTAGCATCACCATTGTTCTGGTGCCGTCGGTTCGGGATGCGGTGAGCAAACACGTCTCCTGGCCGCAGGAGCAGCTGCCGAAAAAGGAGCTCGGACTACCCAAGCAAGTGCGCATGGTGTCTAACCCAGTCACGCTGTCCTTGAACGAAACGGTAATTGGCATGGGCTCGCACGATGTGCTGTACGAACTGCGCAAGGAAGAGGTACTCCACGGACGACCCAAGGAAGGCAATCTGCTCACGCGACTGCCGAACTATCTTATCGAGCAACGGCACTTTCTTCCAATATTCCCGCCGTCGTCGCGCGTTTCGCTCCCCAGACCGGGGACCGAGGACGGCATAGCAACGGGGGCGATGCTGGACGTCAGCTACATGAAGCTGGGCGAATGGTGGAACGTGCGGCCGGACGTGCTGATCACACCGAGCATGCTTCCTCCTTTTGTGAAGGCAAGTCGAGACGGTTGACGACACTAATGCTATTGCTAATTGATTGCATAGGTTGTTAATAGCGTTCTCGTCATCAATCCCGGCACGCTATCCAAGCGGCGCGCAGCGGGCACCTACGCACAGATGGCGATCCACCGACGCGAAATCGACGAGGAAGAGCGCGAACAGAAACAGCTGGGACATAAGTTGTATGAACGGGCTCGAGTAGACATAATGCGGATATAACGATAATGACTGGGTATCAATAGGGCATACACTTCCACTTTAAAGTAGAAAGTAATTCTCTCTCCCCCCTTCTCTCCCCCTCTCTTTTCTTTCTTTTCTTTCGTTCTTATTTCGTTTTTCTTTTTTTTGAAAAAAAAAAAAAAAATAAGAAGGAAAAAGAGAGATCACCGTAAACAAACCACCCTTCTCCCTCCCATTCCCCTCCCCGTATCCAACACCCTCAATCCGCTCCTCCTCCCCCTTCCACTATTATTCCTCCCAAGCCCACCTGACCAAACCAACCCCTCGAGCCCCAGATCCCTCCACACAGCCTCCCTCCTCCTCTCCATCGCTCTTGCAATCCCAAACGCCGCGTGCTGGTCCGGAACCACATCGTCCTCGTCCTCCGGGTTCGGCGGCTGATACTGCGGCGCGACGTAGATGTCTTCGATGGGAAGGAACGAGGGTACCAACGTAGGTGATGAGGATCCGTACGTGACTGTGCCGTTGGCGGTTGTTGTAGATGTTGTGGCTGCGTGGGTGTGCGTGTTTGTGTTTGTGTTCGAGGAGTTGATCAGTTGTGGGGACGTGTGTGGGCGGGTGAAGTCTTCGTAGAAGTCGGCGAGTCGGGGGTGGTGCATGTGGATTTGGGTAGGGGAGGAGTCTTTACTCTTTTTTTTATATCATTTGTTAGTATTTGGTAGGGGAGTGGGAAGGAGGGGGTACCATTTTGGAGGGTTGACTGTGTTATGTTGTGAGGTTGTTGTGTTGTTGATGGTGGGTGGTGGTAGAGGGAAATATGCGGTTGCCAAGATTTACCATATGGAGCTATCAAAGCTATACCAAAGATATGCCATTAGCTACTAACAGAAACTTTTAATATCCCTACAGATTCGTACTCATCCGATGCACAATTGGCACCGCACTAGGAGGCAAACTACCCATTTCCGTCACAACCATGTCCACATACTCCGCCGGTGTCACGTCGTACATGATATTCAGCAGCTGAAGGTTCTTCGTCTCCTTCCAGTTTGCCAGAGGAGAGGTTCCGTTCGCCACGCCCGTCTGTTTCTGTTCTGTCGGGGGAGGCGCCGCTGGCTTACTGCCCTTCTTGGTCTCCGCTGACGCGCTCGTTGCAGCCGCTGTGTCCCCCAGACCGGTCAGCACCTGCGGAGAGGACTGCGTGGAAACCAACTCGTCCGCGTCGGCAATCTCGTTGACAACGATACTGTCCAGAGCCACCCGGTCGGTAAATTTGACCGTTTCGCAGCACACGATCACAGGGACTTCGACCCCGCCAGCCCGCTCTTTGGCGGACATGGCGACCAGCGCTGTGCCAACCCGCGAGTACAATCGTCCGTTGCTGGTCATGGCGTGAGCACCCAGAAATACCCGCGTAGCGTCCTTGATGGCGTGGCTGACGCCGTTGATGAGGGAATACTGCACGTCCAGACCGGCGTTGGCCAGCGTACGCGCCATGGTCTTGCCCTCGAACAGGGGACGAGAGTCGATGATGGAGACGCGGAACTTCTTGCCCTGTTTATGTGCCGTCAGAAGCGTCTGTTTCACGATCGAGCTGCCCGCAAACGTCACGATCACATCACCGTCCTGGATCTTCTGCGCCGCGCTGCCCGCGATCACCTGGTCCGCCACGGTGATCTTCTCGCGAATAAAACTATCAATGAAGTCGCTCAGCGACGACTTTGCCGTCGCCTCTGGCACGGACGGATCGATAGATGAGATAGCCAGCTTGAGAGCTCGTATGGCATTTCCCTGACTGATTGAGAGCGGTCGACACGTCGAGAGATACGTGATCTGGTGAGACAGATGGGTAGTCAAATGTCGAGCCAGGGAAGTGCCTAAGGGAGTCGTATACGCTTCGATCACCTATTCATAGCCCATCAGCGTCGTCATTATCACCAGCAGTAGCAGCAGTAATCCAATCACATACCCGTTTAAACGCAAGCAACGTAGCCACACATCGAGCACTGCTCCCACAAACCACATAATCCCTCATCTGCAATCCCAGCGCCAAAACAGCCGGATGCACCTCCTTCCCAGCTCCCGCAATCGTCGTCCTCCTTGGCTGTCCATACAAATGTCCAAACACAGCCACATTCTTATCTTCCTGCTTCTTCTTCTGCTCTGCGCCCGCTCCTCCACCTCCCCCACTACCACTACCACTACCACCCTGAGTCTGAACCGCCGATCCCCTTCTATATCTCTTATCTTTCTGCGCCGCGCTTGACGGCAACATCCCCTCTTTTCCACCGATACCGGAACTAGGTCCCGCTCCTGCTCCAGCTGTGCCCTTCTTCGCAGCCGTCGCGGCGCCTGGTCCTCCGGCAGAGGCACCTCCGGGTCCCTGTTCTCGCTCGGTCTTTTCGCGCGCGCGACGTGCCGCTTTCTCAGCCTTAGCTTTCTTCTTCAGTTCCGCGGGGGAGAGCTTCTGGTCGCCGTCGGCGGCAGCTGCATCGCCCTCTTTGGGTTTGGGCTGCTTAAATGGTTTTGCGGATTGCGACGTGGGTGGATGCATTTCGGACATGGATTGCGACGGTACTACCGGGGAAGATACGGATGTCGATAAGGAGGAAGAAAGCACCGGGTCGACTGGATTTGCCATAGTGAAGAATCAGGCGAGAAGATACGACGTCGAGGATTTTGGAAGGAAATTCAAGTCCAGTTGAGGGGCATCCATGAGTAATAATTGAACGAGAATTACCGAATCGGGCGATATTTTCTGCCTGGCGGTGAACATAATATAATAGGTTAATAATATCACGTGACAGATGCTGATATAGCACTCAGGCGCTATAGTTAATTATTCTATAAAGAAGATATCATCAAGTCATATTAACCTCATGCAAGAATCCAGCTATGACATACATCATCTCGTCATTCGTTAGGACAAAGGACATCAAGGCAAACAGAAGTAGGAGACGCAAGATACGTTGGAAGAAGCAACAACTTAGGACAGAAAGGCAAAATAACCATCCAAAACAGAGACATCCTAACATCCAGAAATTCAGGGTATCAGGGCCTCCGTAGTCCATCTACAAATCCACCAAAGTAAAACTCCGCACCAGTATAACACCGCGCCATCCAACAAAATAAAAAACAAAAGCCACCCAGTAGCCATTAGATTATCGATTGTTCACCCGGATATCACCCAGTGCTCGTCGACGTTTGCGTCCCTCGCGTCTCACAGTGGATTGGAATCTTTCGTGGTCGGACGCCAGTTTACGTTTGAAGACACTCAGGTCCCCCAGCAGATCTTCCATGTGCGATTGCATTTCTTGGGCCTCAAGCTGATCGGCTTCAACGTAGATCGTATCCTCATCCTCCCAGAACAAGTCGGGCTCTGGCCCCATGTCCGATACGGGAGACCCGGGGCGGTTCTCTTTACCCTGAGCGGACAGCCCCCTGCCATATTCCTTAACGGTGCTGAGACTGCTGCGGCGTTTCTCGATCGTTACCGGGGGGATGGGGTTCTTCAGGCTATCCAGGGCCAGTTTCAGATGATTGCGGAGGGCTTCGTTTTCGGTCTGCAACTGTTTGATCTTGCATTCGCTGACCATCTTCGTCTCCTCCATCAGACGCTGCAGCTTCTCCACCTTCTGCTGGTATTCTTCCAACTTTTCGTTCTGCAGCTCGCTCTCTCGCCGGTTGGCCGTGGCAAGGCTGACGCTGAGTTGGAGGGTGCGGATTGTCTCTGCCATCTCTGCAATCTGCTTATCGCGCTCGGCTGCGGACAGATGGTCCTGGTTCACCCGGGCGCGCGTGCGGATGTGCTTGGCCTGGTCCGCATATCGCAGGGTTGAGAGAGTCTCTTCGTAGTCCGACGGGGCAATGCACGCGATCATGGCCGTCTTCGAGTTGCCTCCCAGGCTATCCTTCAACAACCAGGTGAGAATCGAGTCCCGATAGGGCACCACGTCCTTGCCTTTGCGTTTCCCGGGGCGACCTTGCTTGGGATCTGCCAGTGCTGCAATAACGCGGCCTAGGGTAGTGAGCGATTTGTTGATATTGGACCCTTCCCGGAGTCTCTGGCCGGTGGCTTCGGTAGACTTGGCTCGTTCCGACCCTGCCAGATCCACGAGTCGGATGCGCGCCGTGCGCTCCGTGGTCTCGTCGGTGGACAGGTCGTGGTGAATCTGCTTAAGGGTGATTGTGAAGACGGCGTGGGAGCGAGACGAGGTATCGTTCATCTTGGTGCTGGCAACCGTGCGCGACATGTCGCCCTTGCGCATGCACTTCATGAGCTCTGCGTAGTTCCGCACCGTCGCCTCGGTCAGATCCTTAATATAGGGCCCCTCGGACGGGGACTCGCGGATGCGAAGATAGTGAGGAGGATCGGTGCGCGGAACGAGCAAGTCGCGTACATGCTCGTTGTACACCTCGAAGTAGGAGACGCGGACGTTGAAACTGATATCCGGCGACTGCGCACCCTCGATACGCTGGAAGAGATCTTCGCAGGTTCGGGGAATAAGACCCGCCTGGTCCGGGGTGCCCATCATTGTGTAACTCTTCCCGGATCCGGTCTGACCATAGGCAAAGATACAAGTGTGGTAGCCTTCGAAGTTGTGGTCGAGAAACTCCTCCCCGAGACAGTTGTACACATCCTCCTGGCAGGCGTAGTTCTCGTCGTCCGGATCATGGGACCAAAATGAATTGTCGAAGATAAACGACTTGTCCTCCAGGATCTTCCCCCGAGCCTGCGATTTGGGTTTCCCTTCATCCTCGGGTTTGAGACGCGGTGCCCGTAGCTTGGTCATTTGCGTGTGAGGATCCATGGTAATGAGGCATTCGGCATTGCGCTCGATTTCTACATCATTCCACACGTGAGTTGACCTGCATCTGATCCTGCATCGCTCAGACTCCCCCTTCTTTTCCTCTGGGCAGACATACCTCTGGGTAGGAAATTCCTCACCCGGACCACAACGCGGACGTTCCCTCCCGGCGAGGGACTGGCCACACCATCAGCACGATTGGTTGACATCACGACGCCCTCTTTAGCGCGCAGAGACGGACTGGAGGCCGTCGATCGGAGGGCCGCAGCCGACGCAATAGTCGAGCGTATGGAGGGGCTCGTGATCCCCGTGGCGGCGGAGGGCCCGGAAGTGATGGAGGATTGCGAACTGGGGCCAGAGCCATAGGGGAGGTTGGTATAAAAACGAGGATCCAGGGCCATATCCTGACAGGAAAGCCTCAGCAACTGTTCAAACTGAGTGACGAGCTCACGTTGGCGAGTCAAAAGGTAGTGGTACATACAGGCACTGGTACCACCGCGGATGCTGAAAAGAAGTCGGTTGGTTTATTTGTTTCAGGGGAACGCGACTGGATAAAAGGCCGAATTGCGCGGGTTGCTGGGTGCTGGGTGCTGCTTTCCTAGGGTAACGAAAGGAGACTCGATGTCTCGTTTACGTTCCTAGGGCGAGACACAGGGGAACTAGGGAGTGAGCGAAAGCGATGCCACCGAGATCCTGCTGCGATGGAGAATCAAAGAGAGAAACATGCAGAGCGCACGCAAGGGTGGATACGGGGAATAACAGAGGGCGGATGACAAGGGATCACCGTTATGGCATCGATCGAAGAATACATTAATCTCGTTTGGATTTTGCCCGATCGGGAATGGCTGAAGCCTGAGGCAGTAACCATCAGGGGGCGGTTGCCATAGCAATTAGATAGTTCTGATTACCACATACTTTGTGGAAGAAATATTCAATACGGAGTAATATCCAAAGAATCAGATTAATAAAACAGTAGCTGTAGCTATCTTGGTCAGACCAAGGAACAATTATCCGATCTACACTACGAACTCTGTCAATATCACATTTGAATCCATTGATAATATATTGAGAGTTACATAGATCCAGATTTGTCTTCAAATTCATAGTACAAATCATCTTTCACTCACTACTCCATAATATCCAGTCCAGTGCTAGCAGACTCTAGAGAATCTAATCAAAGTCCGCCGTGGCAGCTTCATACTCATCAGCCTCGTCCGGTCCTTTCGCCCCGTTGACCATTTTGCGCCCGTCCGTGAATGCGAATGCATCCGGCACAGGATTACCATTCTTATCCAGCGTGGTCTCAAGCTTCTCCTGCGTATTCCAATCGGGAATACCGGTGACGCCGCCAGAACCCGAGGATTTCTTCTTTTGTTGAGATTGAGATTGAGATGAAGAGGCTTTTTGCTCCTGGGACTTGCGGAACAAGCCTTCGATTTTGCTAGTCATCGGCATGACGAAGGAAGTAGTGTTTGTGTGTTTGTTTGCGTTTGCTTACTGTGATGGTTAGTTCAGATGATTTGATTCAGATATATATAATTCTATTCATCGCGGAAAGCAATCTGAAAAGACCTGCATCCACGTACCAGGTTCTTGGTTCTCAATACAATATATGCTGATCCATTTGGTTCGCCGAAAGAGACAATTGTCTGGTTGGGGGTTCTTATACGAGTGGGTGGCGTTGATGATACGATGATGACGATGACATTTCTGGTTGGGACCATGGGATTCCCTCCGCATCGAGCCAGTGAACGTGTCGAGGAACTACAGACAGAAATCTGATTGCAGGATATTTACCACGTGAGATCATGGTCGATGCGCGTCGTGAAACGTGGATGGATGATCCGTTCCATGCAGGAGATGCATTGTGTAATCGATGATGAGGGGTTGTAGGAATATTATTTATCCTTCAGTCAACATCCATCACAAAGTGAAATAAAAATAAACGTACGTCCGTACTCCCTACCTATACAAATCAGCCCTATCCGTGCGGGACGTGGGGAATTCCTCATGTCGCTATCAGGCAGCAGTCCTTTGTGATTGATGGAAAGAAACTGACGATGGCTGCACTAACGCATTCCATCGGGGACTTTCGCCGGACCCTCTCCGAGGCATCTTCAGCCGACGGGCAAATTCTGTCATTCTTTAATTTCAGATGATACATCCCCTCACTTTGTTTTTTATTCCATTCCCTCTTTTTAATTCCTTTTAATTGTTATCTATGGCGAATAAGTCTGATCTGGAAGCCCAACCGGCTCAACCGTCCTCGTTATTGCAGCGATGGAAACAGCCCGTGGATCCCAAGCATACAGATCTGATCTGTCTGCTACTGTGCCTCGTCACCGGTCTGTGTGACAGCAGCGCATACAATGCCTGGTCATGTTTCCTAGCGATGCAGACCGGTCAGTCTCAAACCAGTTTCCAGTTTCCTCCTATAGACGCGGGATACTAATACTACCCAGGAAACACAATCTTCCTCGGCCTCGGCGCCTCAAGCCAACCGAGCAACAAACCTTGGGGCTGGTTAAAATCACTGATGTCGATAGCAGCCTTCTTCATCGGCTCGTTTGTATTCTCGAACATCACGCGCCGCGTAGGCGCCACCCGTCGCGGGACGCTCTTCGTATCGTTCATGGTGCAAACGATTCTCATCATTATCGCGGTGGCATTGATCGAAGCAGATCTGATCCCACATACGGCGGAGGATACTTCGTTGACCGGGGGACGTCTCTTCCTGGAACTTATTCCCATTGCGTTGCTGGCGTTTCAGTCGGCCGGGTCAATTACCTCTAGTCGGGCGTTAGGGTTCAATGAGATCCCGACCGTCGTGTTGACTAGTGTGTATTTTGATGTGGCGTCGGATCCGAAGCTGTTGCAGGTGCCGACGGCGAATCCGAAGCGGAATCGGCGGATCGGTGGTGTCGTTTGTCTCCTTGTTGGTGCGATTGTTGGCGGATGGTTGAGTCGAAGTAGTGGGGGAATGCAGTCGGCACTGTGGATGGCAGCAGGGTTCAAGTTTGTGACGGGGCTGGGATGGTTCGTGTGGAAGGGTAAGACGACGGAGAAGTAATAGATAGAATAGATGGAGGGGGTATATTGGTGTATAGACAGATTAATGGTAAAAGTACGTATAGCTGGACCATTTCGATGAACAGATATCGCCAAATTGCGAGTATCAGTCATAAGCTTCTTAACACAAACACATGCGCAAAGCCACTCCCATGGAATGAAGATCATCCACTAGCAAGCTGCTTACTTCCAGTAATTACATCCCCGGCCGCCCTCTGCACTCCGTCGAACCTCATAAAAACACCCATCTCACCCTCCAGATGATTAAACAAAGCAGCAGCCAGGGTAACGAACTCCATCTTACACCAAGTATTCACATTCGGATACCTATACACCCTCTGTTTATGCACCGACGCATTCAAATGCTGCGTTAGACCCTGTGCGCCCTAAACTCCCGGTGACAGAGATAGCACTCCCACAAGCAACCATTGAAAGCGTGGCCTGCCACCAAGTACCGCACGTTCCGCATGTCGTCCTCCTGCCATCCGATCTGGCGCTTGGTGATGGTGCGTACGGATAGTGCTCGCGTACATCTGGTAGATCGTCTTGGGGTTAAGATGTGGAGCACAACACGATCTCCGCACGACATGGTGGCTGAGTCCGCTGGCGGTGTAGTTAGTTGATCTTGCAGAAGGGGCAGGAGATTTGCTTTCCGCGGTGGATGTTGGAATTGAGGTGCTATTGCGGTAACATTACAATAACACTGGTTTAAATAGAGAACCCGACTATTTTCACACCCAGTATAACTATTTTCACACCCACTAGTCCCTTTTAGGATAGCTCCAACGCTAACCTGACCGCTCGACCGTCCGCCTGCCTATGTGATAGCAACGTAGACTATATCTCTACTGAATATACACACATGTTTTAATAAAAATATAGTTATTTAAGCGCTTAAGATGAATAATATATATAATAAAATATATAATCAATTATTAAATAACACTTACTACGTTTCTGAATATGATTTTGATGACGATCCCGGTTTAGAACCTTCTGCTGAACCTGAACCTGCTGAGCTTAACCGCCCGATTCCTGAGCCACCAATTCTTCAGCATTTTAAAACATCTGAGGCTGCATTACTACATATAAAAGAGTTTGCACATAATAATGGATTTGCAGTAGTCAAAAAAAGAATAAAAAAGAGCCGGAAGTCTGGAGATATCTGGTATATCTACATGGAATGTGATCGTGGACATTATATAACACCTACCAGCCAGCCAGCGCAACGGCAATCGAGTTCCAGGCGTATTAATTGCCCATTTGATGCTGTGATTAGCTATAATAAAGCTTTTAATCGGTGGTCCTTGCGTGTGCAGAATCCCAAGCATAATTATACAGCTTATTATTTAAAGGAGCGCATCCAGCTCACCGGCGAGACGAGCTTCAAAAAATATGCAGTGGATAGAGGCTTAAATTAATAAGGCAACTCCTATACCTATATCCTGTCCATTTACGAAAAAGGATCCCTCTTGTTCTCTTACTGCAAGAGATATCTCAAATTTAAGAAGTCAAATACAGAAAAGACTCCTTAAAGGTCGAACCCTATCCAGCGTTGATTATCTCTTTACCGGAGGAAGAAGGCGGTATTTTCATATTAAACTATAAGAAAAACTGTGTTACTTCTTTATTTTGACACATAAATCTGTATTAAAAATCTGCAGGAAAACCCTTATATTCTATTTGTGGATTGTATATACAAGACCAACCGGCATAACATGCCTCTTCTTGACATTATGGGATTTAAAGCAACCAATTTAACCTTTTTTGTGGGCTTTGGATTCCTCTCCAATAAAAAGGAAGGCTCCTTTCGGTATATACTCTCTTGCTTAAGAGATTTGTACAGAGAATTCAACATCTCAATCAGCGCGCCTGTCACTATTATATGTGATAAAGATAAATCACTACTCCGGAATTTATGTATCTTACCTGGCACCGACGTGATTTTATGTCTTTGGCATATTAATAAAAATATTCTTAGCCATGCAAAGAAGGCTATATCAATTGCTTTACTAAAGTCTAGTCAGTAAATGATCCTGACTTTAGAAAGAAGTGGATATAAATGGAAAAAGATGCTAAGGATGTGGATCAATCGTGCAAGCTCTACAAGACCAAGTATAGCTAATGGTGGCACTTTCGGCAGGAGTACAGTATCAATTTATGCGAGCTTTTACAGTATATTAACACTGAATGGCTTCAGTATTCCACTGCGAAGCGATTTCTGGCTATTATATTAACCAGTATACACATTTCACCAGGTTACTACCTAAGGAATAAGAAATCGCATCATACAGTCAAGCAAGAGCTTCAATCAAGGCGGGGTCATATTCTAATGTGGTCCAGGCAATTCAGCGGGTGGTAGAGAATCAGTATAGTGAAATACGTCAAAAAACTGTAGATAACCATATTCAACGCCCTTTACGGCTTCATATTCCTCTTCTATGTGACTGCATGGGGTATATATCCATCTACGCACTGAATAAGGTATGGGATATGACCATAAAATACCTTCCACCCGGTCCAGGAAAGCGAGAGATAAAGGACTGTACAGGAGCCACTACAAAAGCTGTTGGAATTCCTTGCATTCATACAATAAGAGATATACAGAATGTGGGACAATCATTATCTCCAGACCACTTCCATAAGCAGTGGTATATTAAGCCACTACCGCAGAGAAGGGAGCCAGTCGATCCCCGCCTCTTCTTCAGGAACCCAGTGTTGTACAGGCGCGCGGGCGGCCACATGGTGCAAAAAATATCCAAATCGCGATCCTTCAGCATTTGAAATCACTAGATAAGTATAGAGGCACAGGGCCGACCGGTGCAGCGAGGTAGTGGGCGAGGTGGACGAGGTGGACGTGGCAGCAGTCAGCCAGGCTGTCAGACCGAGCCAATTTGTATAGACTAGTCCAGAATAGGAAATAAGTGTTGGTCAGTTTTTATTCCATTTTTGAGCGATGCATATCTTGCAGAGGTGGCGGGGAGGTAATGGCCCCAGCCAGGGGCCAAGTGCGCCGGTAGGAGAGACGTCATTAAATTTTCGAAAAGCCGGCAGAATTATAGTCACATGTTGAGCTATCCTAAAAGGGACTAGTGGGTGTGAAAATAGTCGGGTTCTAAATAGATCTAGAGAGGAAGGGAAGAACGTACCATTTTCAAGTTATCCTCATTCTGAAATCGCCGATTACACTCTTGACAGTAAGTCTGAAGTGAGCTACAACTCTCATATGCTGCTCCGCTTCGTCGTCGTAGGGAACATGTTTCACAAGGGAATCTCGGGGCCGAGTGTCCCAGGGAGGTCCTGTGCTGGCTGAGTGCATGCTGGGAGCGAAATTCTCTGGTGCAGATCTCGCATTCGAAGACAGGAGCCCAGTGATTGGTATCATCCATGTGCTGATTGCAGGCACGCCATGATTGAAAGATGTGAGGGAAGGTCTCAAATTAAGGCTAGTGGTCTTCGTAATCCATGTGGTCATCACGCACGTACGTGTCGTAGAGGTCCTCGGAGCAGGTGATACATTCGTACATTGCGGATGGTTGGGGATGTAATTGATATGAGGAAGTCAAGAAACTGGACACCTGGATGTGTTGGATTGAGGACTGCAGTAAAGTTCAGACAGAAAAGGGGGTAATGTAATCGGACACCGAGTTGCAAGGCTGCTTACCGCCCCCTGACCCCTGATATTTGAAGCCTTTATCTCTATATAAATGAAACAGTATTATAAAAAATTGAGCGTAGAACTATTTAGAAGGACGTTTTAATCGATTAAGGCCCTGCGTATTACAATTACTATATGTTATTATTCATCATGGCTTTGATGCCTGGGCCTGGGCCAACAAAGACTACATGGTTGTTTACGGCACTTTTAACATACCTGGTCTAAATTCTCAAATTCCTATAGAAGTTCTGGATTTTAATTCCAGACCCATCGACCCACTGTTACTGAAGTACGGAATAGACTATTATGGGCAATCATAATAACTATAAATACAAATAATTACAATATTCCAATATCCAAGCTATTGCTGCATCCAAATGCAAGCCATACTACTCTGTATTATTCTTCTTTAAAGAACGCAATAGCAACCCTACAAAGCCTTTCTTTATTTAACAGTATCAATTTGCCATACAAGTTAACTTACTATAGTATATAGAGTTAGAGCTATTTTCAAACACGTGGTACAGTCCTGCATCCCACCCGATTCGTACCTCGTCTCTTGTCCTTGTACGTCATATGCCCATATCCAGGATGTACTCTAGGAATATGTATGATGCATGTGCTGACGTACATGACATGGCATTGCACCATGCAGTGGACCGGCTATATTATTCGTCGTTGGTTGATAATCTCCTGTTAAGGATTATCCCTATCCTACCTACACCGGCCTACTATATAACTACCAAATATCTATAATAATTGGATAGGTAATCTAAATTGTCTATCGGACAGTGGTAGTGGGTGTCTATATACTTGTCTCTGCAACCGCTGAAACATTAGGTACTGCTTAAAGAAAGAATCAATCCAACCGATCCTGAGACAAGCAATTAAACTGCGTTCGCAGAATGGTATATGGTATCATGAAAGACAAAAAAGCCATCGGCTTCTCAAGACAAGACTGCAGTAGAGAAATGCACACTCCCAAAGAGCAGGCGCCAGGCAAGAAACCAGATCATCCCCGTCCCAAGAAGGTAACCAGAAGGAGTGAAACAAAGGAAATAAAGTAGTAGAAAATGGGATATCATCCGCGCTGATAGCGGTCATAGCGCTGATAGCGGTCATATCGCTGATACCCGCAGAAACGCACGAGCAATCCAGCCAAATAGCCAAACCAACGCGCTCAAAAGCATTCGAGATCAAAGATAGAAATAATACAGACCGGATGCGCTTCCATCGGTCTATGTGAAATTATCCGTGGACAGCAGCTTTATACTGCCGTCGGTCGTCGAAGGATATCCTCGCAGTTGGCGTCAAAACGCATGTTCCATAAACGGATGCTGTTCATCAATTTCTCCGTGTTCTCCAGCTCGCGGTCCCGTCCGAAAATCGATTCGACAAATTCGCAGCCCGCATTACGGCCCATCGACACCGAGCCCTTCCCCCCTTCTCGCTTCGCCGCTTTCCACATAAACTGTTCACAAGTCCTCAGCAATTTCTTAAAGCGCGACCATAGCCGCTCACCGCTCTCTAAAAAGTCCTCAACAACCTCCTGCGCGTCCGGACTCCGGATCCGATCGAAACATTCATCGGCCCTCTTGACCTTACCCGCTAGCTTGATCAGCAGCAACCACAGATCCCCCGCCACATCAGCCATCGGGGTTGAAGCGCCGTGGTGAAATACCGTCCAGTCGTAGATCCACTTGCCAAGAGAATTCGCATCGAAGACACTTCCCAGAAGGATAATCGGCATCTCCGTGGGATCCCAGTTCTTGATCGAGTACCCCGGGGGAATACCAGCCCGAGAAGCATCCTCTTCGGTTGCCTTGGGAGTGGGCTTGCTGGGCGCGGCGGTCGGTTTGGGCTTAGATGGGGTGCGCGAGGAAGTGGATTGACGGCGCGCACGAGACCGTTTTGGGGAATCCGTGTCATCATATGGGGGAACCTGGTTATAGTAAAAATATTGATCAGTGGGGGGTTTTGGCTTGCGCTGAGACGTAGACGGATATCGACGGGATTTGATGGGTTCCTCGCGGAAGACATATCGGGGCGCATCCTCGAAGACATCGTCAACCACATCCACAAAGACGGATCGTTTTCGCGACGACGGCGACGGTTCGGCAGCAACGTTATCCCACGGGTCCGCCGGGGCGCCGGACATGGTACTACGACGACGACGATAGCCACCAAAAGAAGCACTTACAGGATCGTGCTTGCGTGGCGGCGAGCCATACTCAGGCATCGCCTCGTAGAAACTTTGACCGTACCCGGGATACCACCCTCCCGTCTCTTTAGTGCCGGCGTAACTGGCTTTGCGGCTGTGACGTTTGGATGAACCTCGAGGAGAAGCGTAGGCATTGGCAAACTGGGTGGCGTAGTAGGCGTAGTGAGGAGAGGTCGGAGGAGAAGTCATATAGTCGAAGGACCACCCTGGGGGAGGACTGGTATAATGATACATTATCGCAGGACGAGCATGGAATCACAATGCGACGAATAGTTGAAAATCGATAACTTTTGTAGAGGGAAACCCTCAGAACCAAACAGTAACTGAATGAAAAATAGAAATAAAAAATGGCAACCCAGATATATTATACAGGATATCGTCAGAACAAGCCGATCGACGCCGATGCTAACAACGAAATCGGAGTAATGATAAAAAGGACCGTCACCGCGGAACGGTTTCTAGGGGAGAGGAGGGACAGGAGCGTGTGTACTGGAAGTACATTTGAACGTCGTCGGTCAACCGATCGCGAGGCGAAAGTAAGCAGCGGCTATGGGAGACGAATCTAGAAGGGAGGGATTCGATTCCGTGGATCGAAAGAGCTAGAATTCACGGGACAACGTGATTCTATTAGAACCGGTTCCTGGGAGATCTGTCTATCGATCTACCGATGGGGTATCAGAAAATCTGACCCAGGAAATAATGCGACTGGTGATTTGAACCCGGAAGGGTGAGGAAGAGGCCAAGGTGGTGAAAGGGAGGAGAAAGAGGAGGTGAGAGGGTGAGCTAAGGTTTTGTAAGATCGAAGGAAAAACGATGGCGTGTGGGGGCGTATTGTCGGCTGGTTTGGTCTAGTAATTACACCGTTTCGTTCTGAAGCCCGACACAGCCAAGGAGAATATGATAATAGATAATTATACAGAGTAGATGATATACTGATTCAGCTCTATCAGATGAGGAATAATCCTCCTGATGACGGGCTCGAAGAGAGGGCGAAACTGTACCACCTCTACCCGTATATACCTAGTAGGCAGCAGGCCTAAAAAAACCTATCCTAAGCGCCTGTTGGGCAGAACCGTCCATTTTATTGCGATATGGACGACAACAGCCCACTTGGTGCTATCTTGGTCAATGAAATACGTCGCATCCACGAGAGCAATCCGACAAATCCACTGATGGACCTCAACATGTCCCTACATTGGAATCAATAGCCTATGGCGCAACAGCCCCTACAGATCGATAAGAGTCATTCTGTGTCATTGGCGCATTCATCCTGCGCCAGGGACTCCAATGCAGTATTCATATCGAGCCTAGCAGATTCGTTGCCACAGTATACATAACCCCGACAGTGTCTTATCGTCTTCGCCTCGTTTACCAGCTGGACATACATAGAGGTGGGCACGAGGTAGTTGATATCAAGCCCGATCGATGAGTCAGACCGTTTATGGCCACGTTGGTGACTCAGTAAGGGACGAACACTTAGCCACTGGCTGCGAGTGAGATATACGATCGAAACGGAGGACAAGGTCCATGGGTTCAATACGGAAGAGCCCGCAGGATCCCATGGTTCTGCTCATACACCAGTAAACAAGCTCGTCGACCAGTGACTCCAATGGGACCCTATGGCATAAAACTGCTAACGGTTGGCATCGACCAAAATCATGGTTGTTGGGCAACAGTTGATCGATGGGCTTTACCGCCGCGCATCTGCTGGGCAGCAACCACACCCTCTAGGCAACGAAACGGTACTTCGTTGGACAGACCGCAATTTAGTGAGTTAAGGGCGGAAACTGGAAAATGAAACTCAGACCCTCTAAATACACCCAAGTCGGTGATATTGATGCAGAGAAAGTCGGCTGGGACTCGCTAGGACTATTGATTGCCTGTACATGAGACATGACGATAAATGAGCCATGGCAGGGAATATGGTCGTGAGGATCGCACAAAAAAAAATAAAATAAAAAACACTAAAAAAGAAAGGAAATAAGAAACTAAACGAAATGAAAGGACACGGTCAAAGCCACTTTCATTCCCAATTCAGTAAATTAATCAGTGTCGAGATTCCCTGCGAAAAGCCCCTGACAGGTTGATTGATAGGCAGCCTTTTTCTCAGCAGACAGCTGATTTAGTACTTCGTGGGAAAGGACTTGGATGGTGAACATTGAACAGTGGCACCGGCCATCGAAGATAGACTTTACAACGTCACACATGGCGTTCGACTGTCGCATTCTGATTTCCACCGTTCGGAGTCATTCCAGTCGACGACTCAATAATTCATCCTGATATGAATCCACCAGAACGGATGAGAGAAAGTACCTTTGCGGAGGGGGCAGCTCTACTCCGTAATTAGCAAACTAGCAAATTGAATCCCCACAACCAAGTACATAAGTCCCACCCGCAGAGTTTTCCTCATCCCTTGCTCGGGAAACGATCTAATTAATTAGACTAATAATTGATTGTTATTGTTTTGCTTCTCCTTGTCCGTCCGGAGCACGAATATCGTACGGTACGGTACTTACACCAACACATCCATACACGTACACATGCCATAGTACGTCCCTCAAATTGATGGTCTCGTCACCTGCATACTCAGCCCTGAAGCGAAATTCCATCCCAGTTAACCTCAGCGGCGCACCTGTCGTCTGATTCGGTCTTGCATTTTTGATCAGTCTTTAAGGCTGATTTTTTTACCTACAAGCAGGGACTTGGGATTCCGTCTGCCGCCAGCCGCATGCTGATCGCGAACTGGAATGATCCATTGCTGTTGGAATGAGAACCCTCTGTACTAGACCCGTAATAAGAATATATATTCAGGAAAATAGCAAATGTGGGTTACATGCCCTTGCCCTGAGCCCTAACAGCCGGTGCAATCAGCGCTGGACCTCTACGACCTACCGAAAGAAGTATTATTAGAACCCTTACATACTGCGTACCTCTTACCTGCTGGACGAGCACTCAAAGTACAGAATTACTTGCTACAAACCATCAATCACTGTGATCATCTTGATCCCAGGGACACTATTGGCCACTCTCAATAGTCATTCGACCAGCAGGATTGGGACGAAGAACAGCCGACGGAACTACTGCGCCCGCATGCAGCCTTCCGTGTTCCGCGATTGAGAGTGGTGGAGGGAAGAGTCTAGGGCTGTCTTAGTCTCTAGTCACATCGCTACAGGTAGCCTACAGACACACATTTATCTACCCCTCATCTGAGTGTTGGTCGTACAAATTGCGTCCTTTTCCCCTCCTTCCATCTTGTCTTAGAGGTCCAGATATGGTCAGAAAAAGCATATGCAGCTGAAGCTGACGCCCCTGAATCTTATCAAATACGGTGATTGATAAGGGGTAGTGCCTTAAGATATTAGTTACATACGGAGTACATGCCTTACAGGTTAGGCAGAAGAGAATATTAGGCCAAAATACTGTCCTTCCTAGCCACTATACTCCGTACTTTACCCAACACCGTGGAAATCACTCTCGGCTTTCCAGATCTGCATATTTATCAGCCCGTGCATCCTCTGTCATTGACACTCTGGCAATGACCGTCCAGACCATGCATCCAGCAAGGCTAATTGGCTCTGCCACACAAGCCAACAAGCCCGGTTTAGCCGTCCAAATCGCCCCGCTACACTACTGTGTAGCACCATGCGTTTTCCACGCGCCAACGAGGGAATATGCTGGCATGCTGGCACTCAGGAATGGCATTCAGGGACTGTTTAACTGGTGGTTTGATTCCGTCCTCACAATCGGAGAGGGATAGGACACGTAGACGAAGATGCAGGGCATAGGTAGTTACTCCTGAGTAGGTACGGAGTAGGCGTTTGGGCCTTGGGATGCCCAGCCCCAAGGACAAACGTCGTGTCAATCATGGCGTCATGCGGGGTTGAATACGATGGTGCATTAATCTTAGCCTTGTGGGTACATACCATATTTCATATTTCATACTGATGTGTTGTCTGGTTAGTAGGATGAATTGCATGGGTTATACAGATCGATCTGAAGCCTTAGTTTGTGCTCCCATTAGTGTTAGTTACACTCTTAAACAAATTCTAGATTGTCGATTTATTTATTTGTCATCCCTACGCTTACCCCAGATTCCAATGGCTTCATTTACCATAAATATCCACATCGTACTGAACGAATACGAGGTCAAGAGACATTGATTTGTAAAGGATCGTCACAATATAATACTTCAAGATGGACGTCGGCCATCAAATTTCACAACCTGTAGCCACCCAGTGTAGAGACTCACTCATATCCTACCCATCATGTCCAGTTTCTCCATCATCGACGTCTTCTCCCACACAGCCTACAAAGGCAACCCACTAGCAGTGGTCCCCAATACCCTCGACACCCTCTCAACCACGCAAATGAGGCTCATCGCTCGACAATTCAACCTCTCTGAAACAACCTTCATCTGTCCCGCCACAACCCCCGTCGCTACCTACCGACTGCGTTCCTTCCTCCCCAACGGCGAGGAAGTCTTTGGCGCAGGTCACAACGCCCTCGGCGCATGGTGGTATATCATCTATACGGGACTCGTCGGCATCTCCGACGCTGAAACGCCAACGCCAACCCCAGTGACGTTTCACCAGCAGTTAGGCGTCGATGTCCTCCCGGTGGAAGTCTCCCGCTCCGTCGAGGGGATGATTGAAATCGCCATGCGTCAAGGTCCGCCGCAGTTTCTGGATATTCATCGCGATTTGTCCGCCCTTGCTGCGGCGGTAGGACTGGCCCCGTCGGATATTGGGTTCGAGGTCCATGGTGTCCTCGTGTCCGAGACGAAGGTGGTAACGACCTCGCCGGCTCGACATCTTCTAATCCCCGTTGTGTGTGAGGAGGTTCTTCGTCGGGCGCGGTTTGATAATGAGGCCGTTGCTAAGGAACTGAGTAAAACAGATAGTCAGAACAGTGGAGTTTATCTTTTTGCTCCGGTTGGTGAGGCGGATGGTGGGATTCCAAGATTCGAAGCTCGGTTTTTTAGTCCCGGTATGGGCTGCGAGGATCCGGCGACTGGGTCGGCTGCTGGTCCTTTGGTGGCATATTTATGGGAGAATGGAGTTGTAGGGAGTCTCGGTCAGGACTTAGTTCAGGTGGAAGTGGTGCAGGGGCTGCAACGAGGGAGGGAATGTGTTATGAAGGTTGGCTTGTTGATGAAAGATGGGAAGCCTATGGGGGTGATGCTTCGTGGGAAGGGAACTTTGGTGGCTGAGGGACGTCTTGTCGTCCCTGATGGGATAGATTTCTGATTGGTTTTGTGGATGGAAGTATATGATGTTGGTTGCATATATGAATAGATCATGGATGTTCGCACATATGTTCGGTGTGCAATGTTGACTAGTACATTGAAGGCTTTCCCTGATGAGGAATTAGTTATTAACCCATCAAAACACAAAAATATAGGAATGTTCATATGTCTAGTTGCATAGAGTACACAGGCAGTTGTGCGCACAATCCTTAATTTTCAATGGCGATAATGCCTGTCGTTGAGCACTAGATGATATGATATTAAATAAGACCAAGCATGGTTTTAGTCCCTCAAACAAGCTGTCCCACTACTTCTCTATCTCTTGGCTGATCCTATGTACTATAGGGGTGTTGGTAATGCTTTACACTTCAAAAATAAATCTCTTACCACTTCTGAACAACACATCCTCCTGTCCTGTTGCTTTGTAACCATTCTTCCAGTATCCAGAGCCAGCATGTCTTTTAGTGGGTCAGATATATGCTTGTCTTCGGATCTGTAAATGCTCGACAGGATAGAGACCCTTGTATAGCCAATCGTAATGGTTTCAATAGAACTGGCGTATTGTAGAGTGGTATAGCCGCCATTCTGGCCCGGGCATAATGGACTCGAAGGAGCTCAGGATCAGATTCCCAACCGCAGTCTTTGACATATCGCTGGAGGCATAGTCCCTTGTGAGTTGAGTTCAAAAAATGAGGGACGGGGGAAGAGATGGGGCGGAAGAGTAGAATATGATACGATCACATGTTCAATCACGGGCTCCAGGTCAAATTGGCGCACAGTAAAGAATATCCTTTACCCCGTGTCAACCGTTTGGGCAGGACATCGGTCCCAAGCATCGACGTTGTCTTCCATCCAATAACTTTTACTTCGGAGTCTATCTGGGATCAGTTAGATAATTACAGGCAGTCCCAACCATGTGCCCTATCGATCATTTCGAAGGAGCATCAGTCAAATACGCTTCATTCACTCCATTGGCCCGCTCCAGAATGAATCTCCCAAGACAAAGTGTGGGTCACAAGAAAGCATTAAACTCCCTGAACGGAAATTTAGGCTCCCATTATGCGGTTCCTATGCCTGGCTGGTGCATAAATGGATTAAGCTTAACTTGACAGGAGCTTGGAGGGGGGGGGCACTGTAGAGCTGCCCTAGTATGGTTAACCTATGGAACATACGAATAAGCGTTTATATAAAGGTAGGGGAGCAGTTAAGGATGAGCAAGGACGCCTTCAGTGACCTAACTGTCGGGCGACTTCTACAGACTGTGCTAAAATAAAAGTATCGATATATAGCATCAATTTATTTGCTTTCCATAATCTATGGAAATCATACCTTAATGTCGACCATTAGCCATCCATTGGTCTTCACCCAGCTTCATCTTGTTCTCTTCTTTCCCTTCCCCTCACAATCGGCGATTTTTGCAACTCGGTGAATGACCCCTCTCAATCTAATTTGATGCTACCTCGCCATTAACTTAGATCAACCAGTGAATGTCCTCCATGAACAAAGAACCCGTCAGTAGACGCCATCAACCTATGCGCGATCTGGAAATATCGTTAGGTAAAGCCTATCCCCGAGTCGGAGAAATCGCGTGATAAGCAACTAGAATGAGGCAAATCGGGCGGCCCCATCTGGCTGATAAGCTTGCTTCGAATCTCTTAGTTATTAAGCACGCCAATAGCACGCCATCTCAAAGGACCCGCTTGCAGTCGGTCCTACGTTGCATTGCATGTAAGGTCAACTATGTCGCCATCATCCCCTGGATCAATTTCCCCATGTGGTCTCTGTGCCGTTCGCGGAACAATGCTATATAAACCATGGTCTCTAGTACATCACGACATCCAGTATTTGGTGCTTTCTCCTATCGACTGAGCCAATAAACCTTGCTACCGAGGTTTCACCGAGATGGGTATGTCTGATTCGCAAGTAAACATATCTGGTAGCTAATCTGAGGAGCGAAAAACAGGTGCACCGACCACTGATGACAAGAACACGACTGTCGCCTCCACAGAGGCGATTGCATCGATGACAGCAGATCCCACTCTAGGCGATCCAGAGAAGCATGCCAATGATATCACCGCTTCCTCTTCCACCGAGAGCAATGACAATGAGTATCCAGCGCCGACGGAGGAGGAGGAGAAGTCCCTGCGTAAAGTCGCCGGTAGTCTGCCCCTCGTAGCTTTCTCGCTCTGTTTCGTCGAGTTTGCCGAACGTGCATCCTACTATGGCGCCAAAACAGTCTTCTCCAACTTCATCCAATTTCCCCTGCCTGAGGGTATGTACAGACATGTCGCTTCCACCTGTCACGATCGAGTCGCTAACAATACTATGCTTAGGTGGAAATGGAGCAGGTGCGCCTCCGCGCGGCACTCAAAAAACGGCTGGGGCTCTGGGAATGGGCCTCCAGGCTAGTTCAGGACTGGTATTGCTCTTTGCATTTTTGGCCTATTTCATTCCTATCCTGGGTGGCTGGTATGAAACACATCCCATTTCTTCACTCAATGACCCCCGCAGCCACTGACACGTAATAGGTGGGCCGATGTATACGTTGGACGATACAAAGCAATCTGCGTCGGGGTGCTTATCTGTGGTGTATCCCATATTATCCAAATCATTGGCGCTCTGCCCGTCGTGCTGCACAAAGGCACTGCCCATTCCGCACCCCCATTCATCATCAGCCTGCTATTGCTGGCACTTGGAGCGGGGATATTTAAACCTAACATTGCTCCCGTGGTCCTCGACCAAAATCGTCACCAGAAAGCCTACACTAAGGTCTTGAAATCCGGTGAGAAGGTCATCGTGGATCCCGAGCTGACTAGCACACGGACGATGTTGCTATTTTATGGCTTCGTCAACATCGGTGCCTTTTTCATGCTTGCTACGACTTACTCCGAAAAATACGTCGGTTTCTGGCTCTCCTTCCTACTGGCAGGCATCATATACTTTCTTCTTCCCATTCTTCTGGCTCTAGCCTACAAGAAAACCCACAGAATGCCGCCCAGCGGAAACTCCGACCTAGGCAAGGCAGTCAGGGTCATTTCCACAGCCCTTCGACGCAACAAGTTCCAAGTCTGGCGCAAGAATTTCTTCGATGCCGCCAAACCCAGCGTTCTCGCAGCCCATGGTATCCAAGTCAATTGGACTGATAAGCTAGTGGATGACGTTCGCAGAACCCTCAGTCAGTCCTACCCCTCCTTCACCATTCAACCACACTAACGTTATCTCATAGCTGCCACCGAGATCTTCTTCTACTTCCCCATTTGGGTATTAAACGACGGCGGAATCGGCTCTGTATCTACAAACCAAGGAGCGTCTATGGTAACGAACGGAGTCCCAAATGACGTCCTCAACAACTTCAACGCCCTCACCATCATCGTCGCCATCCCCCTACTCACCTACGTCATCTACCCGACCATCACCCGCTACGGGATCAAATTCGGCCGTATCAGCCGCATCACAGCGGGATTCATACTCGCCATGATCTCCAGCATCATATCCACCATCGTGCAGTGGCGAGTCTACGAGACCTCGCCATGTGGATACTACTCTTCCACCTGCGATGATGTCAGTCCGATCAGTCTGTGGTGGCAGATCCCCAATTCCGTTCTGGGCGCGCTCTCGGAATGTTTCTGCAACGTTACCGCGTATGAGTTGGCGTATGCGCGCTCTCCGCCGAGTATGCGCGGTCTCATTATGGCGATTTTCCTCTTTATGAATGCATTGTCTAGTGCCCTTGGGGAGATATTGATTCCTGTTACCAAGGATCCGTGGTTGCTTTGGATATGGGCTGCGCCGGCAGTAGCGCTCGCCGTGCAGACGATTTTGTTCTGGTTCCGGTTTAAACATCTTAATGATGATGAGTATATGATTGATGAGAAGGATTATGAGCCTCATCGTGGCCAGGAGAGTTCGGAGAAGAAGGAATCATTGTGAAAGTGTGTACACTTACTCCGTACACATATAGTAAATAGGATGGGGTCATGAATGTCCAAGTATCTCGACGATGTATAGTGTAATAATGTATTGACTATTTCTTTAATGCGATGTAGCGCAGCTTATGGAGATGTAGGTCTGAGAAAGGACGCATTGGCTATTGCGTTGATACTTGAATAGAAAGCTAGGAGAAATCTCATCGCCTAAGAACATGATTTCTTCCTATATAAGTATCTAATATAACTGTGACTGGAGTACACTGTGTTGATCGAAATATTTTATTAATAGAATTTCGCCCACTTAGTTTATTCTTAAACAGGAGAAGTCATTCACACAAGGTTAGCATTGTCTCCTCGGTATGGTGAGCGACAGTGTGCTTCTAGCAGCACACCTAGAAGACGAAAGCTACGTTACAGACACATATATCATATTATAGTATAAGTATTAATATGGATGTCATGCCCCAAACCCCAGCTATGTACATAACTCTATCCATGGTATATTTATAATTCAACAAACCATACATCATACATGCTATCTCACCACATATCTTTCTTTCATGTTCCATCCCACAGTTGAGTACGTTATACTACCATATATTCCCCATCGGCCTGTCTGGCCTGCATCACCCGGTGCCATCGGAAACCGGGTTCCACGGGAACCGGCCTCAGTTCGCTTGTAGTAGGAGCTGACAGTACAGACCCTAATGGGCCAGTGGAGGTGCTGTGGTCTCCGGTCTCAGACAGCACAGGGCTGTCAGCCCATATTTTTTCCAAGAGCTCTAAACAGGAGAGATTGTTTAAGAATCCTGAGTCCTTGGCGATATCTCTACAGCGCTGTTGGATCACGGTACGGTGGCTTTTAAGTACACATTCGGATCCGATGATAAAGAGCGGCCACAGAAGATATACGTCCGATTTGACCGCCAAAATATGCTGCATCGTGCGATGCACGATATGCTGGATACGCGGAGTATGTGACGCTACGTCAGGGTAGGCCAGTCGCTCCGTATAAAGGATCGCGGCATGCCGGAATGCCTCGGACGTGTGATAAACATCCTCCATGTTTTCAGGCGCCACGGCAGAATTGGCACATGGCGACGAAGGTGGTGACATATAAGCCTGTGTCATGGTAGGGGTGCATTGAATACTGGATTCAAAGGGGCCGTGAGATCCACCGCAGTATGAGGGAAGGCGCCACGATTCCAGTTTCTGTCGATAAGAAAACCATTCGGCCCAGAATGTTGGGGACAAAGGTCGTCGCGTATGTTCGTTCGTCCTTATTGGACACGGGAATGGAAACAGATACGGCTCTGTTGCCCTGCACGTGCTCAAAACAGATGGATCCGAGGGATGGTAGACCATCGACGGGGGAAGCGTCGTCGAAGAGGCAAATATATCCGGCAATGCAGGGGCATGAGCCTCTTGGTCCTGGCTCAGCATATTCAAGCGACCTAGCTGCGCGATTAACTTGAAAAGTCCTGGGTCACAGCCTGCGAGGTTCTCGAGACCCCATTCGCCATCAGAGACGGTAGTAATATCTAAACAAGTACCACGAAGCTGCACCTCACGATCATTGGTAGTAGCCGTCATTGTATCGTACCACGTGAACATTCGAATGAACCATTTTAGCTCTTCCGACATTAGAGGTGAAGCGCGCATACGAATGGCTAGCAATTTCGTCACACCGGCAAACTGAGTCTTGAACTGAGCAACCCCCGTATCACAGACATGAAACAAGCAGAGGATCAACAAGGTGGCTAGAACCGAATCAGAGAGTCTCTGGTGTGGATCGGCCAGTTCCTTATTCAATTCCTTGACCGCCATACACCGATGGTATTGCTCCTCCTGTACGAATCCAGCGGGAGTTGAAATACCGTAGGAATCCCCTAATGCACCATCGGTCAAGGCCCGGTGCGCCAAAGACGACATGCGTGCAGGGAGGGTCCTTTCGGTCGACATCATCCTACGCTCTCGTCTCTGCCGTATATTACTGGTCGACAAAGTAGCAATAGCTTCCTGGAGGGACGTGCTTTCCTGCGCTAGCCGCAAGATATGCATGCGGAACGGATTGGTTGGCCTGTCGAAAGCGACAATCATCGGCGCAATGACTTCAGCATAGTAGCTGATCAGATATTGCAGCCGCGGTGTTCGCCCCACGGAGCGTGCCAGAAGAAGTTGTGAAAATGAGAGTGAGGGGCAGGCCTTCACCCACGATGGGCTATCACACCTTCTTTGCTCCCCATGATCCTCATGGTCGTCATGCTCTTCTCTTGCCCCCTGGTGCTCTGGAGAATAAGCCGCCGAGGGACATTGCAGCGCCACTTCTGCGGGCTGAATCTGTCTCGCCATTACTGCTGAGAGGTTCAGGGCGCCGATTATATCGGGTGGTGCTCCCACCTGGTGGTCCGGCACTTGTGTCCATGACTGGCTCTCTGATGAACAGGGTCCGGATGCGTTGGGCCAAGCATGCGCAGCGGACGGGCTGATGGTCCTAGTTTTATCACCAATGGCATTCCCCGTCAGCGATGGCCATTGCTTCTGGTCCCGTTGTAGTGAAGACGGTGTTGGGGTAGCGATCGGGGATGATGTATCCGGGGAAGGTGACAGGGTAGGTCGCGCAGGGTTGGATTGTCTCCGAGATCCGGCCGGATGAGAAGATTTTGGCGCATTTGTTGCTGGCTGAGAACCAGTCACCGGAAGCGACAGTCCCCGAAACTTTCCCCGACTAGCAACACCGACTCCCCAGGTCAATGTGGTCTTATATCCCGCACATTCTCGTCCCTGATCGAGACATTGAGAGCAATATGGTCGCCGCCGGTCGCACTTGGTGCCTTGTCGGGCACATGTAAAACAGTCATCGGGTGCACCGCTGATGACGGTCCTCTTGCGTCTTTTACGAGGAGGACCATTCTCTGACTCTGAAGGAGCCTTGCGAGATTGTTTTTGGCTAGGAGGATCCATTTTCCGGATTGTTTCGGAGATAGTCGGTGAGAAACCCGACGGAGAATCTACTCCTAATGTCATAAGCAAGGAGTGCGGAGGTGACCCGCGCTGCGGGGTCGCATTGATGGTAGAGCGATCGACGAGGCAGGTGCCAGGGGAACCGAAGAAGGGGAGGGAGCGATGAAGAAGGGAGGATGTGGGCTAACTAAGGAGGAAATCAAGAGGGGAACGGGAAGAAAGAGGGGGCTGTGATGAAGATGAACCGCCTAGAGTAGGCAGAAGAATCGGTCGAATCACATCCGTGATCAATCAAAGACAGTTTGGTCCTAGGGACACAACACGCGAGTTGGAGAGTCCGTGATAAGCGACGATCCTGCGGCATGTCCCGCCCCGTTAATATAAATTAGTTTTGGTTAGCCAGAGCCAGATAGATTCTTCAGCCAACCGGGGAGCCGGAAGAGGCATCCACGACCAGGAGAGCCAGGCTTGGCTAGGACTCTCGACCGTGGGACAGAGGCGATTATGGATCCGGGCTGAACGAACCCCATTTTTGGTGGGAAAGAGAGAGAGAGCGAGAGAGATAGGATGTAAGAAGGTGGAAGTCACGATTCCCACGAGCAAGTGGCGCCTGCGTCACGCGGAGGCTGAGTCAGCCGCTAGTGCCTCTGAGGCTGAGAAAGAATGGCATTCCGATGGTACTTAGGTATACCTGCAGCTACATGGCCAGGATTACTGCTGTAGTGTATTCCCAGGTACTCTCTCTGTGGGACTGGTGCTGATCCACCAGATGCTGTTCCAGACTTCAGGTCGTACCATAATTCGGACCTCCGTAGTACTCCATATCAGGCGGAATTATAACGCTCATAGGTCTCACTCAAACTTACTAGTTGGTAGTCGATGTTTATTGAGGAGTAGAAACTGCCAGGCAGGCGCCACCACCGACAATTGGACGGAATGTGGGAGCTAACATCAATGTCTCGTCGGTACTTCGGTCGGGAGGTCGGTCGGAGTGGTGGTGCTTGCCACAACAAAGTACCAGTGGATCTAGGCAGCATGGTGTGCAGCTTGGATCAACATCACTCCATTCCACGCTAGTGGCAAAAGGTACCCATAGTATAGTGTAGTTTTGAGCTAGTTAAAGATTCATACTGCTATTCTCCACCATAAAGCATGTCCCTTCATGCAGAGACTGGCTTTGTACTAAATTGGCAGGCGGTCAATAGACAGCATCCGTCAAGGGCAACAGCGAGTTTCAACTGGTCTTGGCACCGTATTATCTCTCTGGGCAGATTTTGGGGAAAGACTTGTCCTGACTCTTTTTACAGACTCTTCGTACACAGCTCCAGGCCTTGCCTGTTCTACCGGAAATTCTCTAGTTTGGGTTGCTTGATTGGGCTTGGCTGATTGTGGTCCACTTCAATCTTGGAGAGGGGACTGACGTCTTCCCGGTGCGACCAGTCAATACAAAACACAACTACGTCGCATTGGTTGAGGCTTGCTTCAATTCTTACAGCCGCAGCGATTTGGCGATTTACACGGCCATGCCAGTTCTCCGACCCGGCCGGTTGAGGACCGTCCTCTCGGTTGCGGGTGCATTGATTCTAATCTGCACCGTCTACCTCAATTGGACTCCAACTCCTGCCTCCGTCGTTCCCAGTACGGTCTTCGAAGTCCCTATCACAGAACGCCAAAATGCGTTTTGGAAAATATTCAAACCGATCCTAGAATCGCATGCTCCAGATTGCCCGTCTCCAAATATCAAGAACTCGGTAGGCGCCATCGGTTTCGACGCCGCTACGACCGACGCTCGACCAGACCTCGTTGAACTGAGCGATAATGATTTCAAGGTGTTGGAAGAGGCTCATGCGAATTTTATCCGCAACGTCACCGACTCGAAGAAGCTGCGACCCTTCCATTCTCCAGGAACCCGCGGTATTGTTTCGACTGGGGGAGGCTCGTATCTTCCGGTCTTCCTGGCGTCATTGCGGATGCTGCGCCGCACGGGGTCTACATTACCCGTCGAAGTCTATATGAAAGACAAAACCGAATACGAGAAGAAACTCTGTGATAATATTCTTCCTGAACTTAATGCGAAGTGTCTCGTCATTTCGGACGTTGTGGGCAAGGACTTCATTGAACACTACCAGCTCAAGGTCTTTGCGATTCTTTTCTCCTCCTTTGAAGAGGTCGTTTGGATGGATGCCGACTGTTTCCCGCTGGATAAACCGGAAATTCTACTGAACAATGAACCCTTCCTGTCCAAGGGCATGATCACCTGGCCCGATTTCTGGGCGTCCACGGTGTCGCCTCTCTATTACAACATCTCCCGACAGCCCATGCCCTCAATGGCAGAGCGACAATCATCCGAAACCGGAGCCATCCTGATCTCTAAGAAGACCCATTATCTGACGTTGTTACTGACCGCCTACTATAACTATTACGGACCTTCGCACTATTTCCGACTCCTGTCACAGGGAGCACCTGGCGAAGGCGACAAGGAAACCTTCCTCCAGGCCGCGTCCGCAGTGGGCGAGCCATTCTATGCCGTCAGCGAAAGCGTGCAAGCCATCGGCCACCCGAAGGAGGGTGGGGTGGCGGGTTCGGCCATGGTACAGTCGGACCCAATCGGCGACTTTGCGCTAACCAGCCAGGACAAATGGCGGGTGAAAGATCCCTCCGTGGGAAAGCCACCCCGAGTGTTTTTCATCCATGCCAATTACCCCAAATTCAACCCGGCAGAGAATGTGTTTGGGACGAAGTGGGAAACGGCGCCTACTGTGCGTCCTGATGGCAAAGATGGCCGCGCCTGGGTCGTGCCCGAAGACGTGCTGAAACGGTTTGGATCCGACGTCGAGAAATCCTACTGGGAGGAAATCAAAACGGTCAGCTGCAGCGCCGAGATTGAGTTCAAGACGTGGACGAATAAGCCGGAGACGTGTGCGAACGTTGTGGGCTACTGGAATAATGTATTCGCGGAGCCTCATGAAGACGACCCGAAGTTCTTCGAAGAGGGTTGATTGATTTAAAAGTCAGAACGAGATGAGGACGTAAAACCACCATGGCAGGATATCTTATGTACGCTCCTGCCTGCACTTTGAATCGATGTGATTTGTACAGTGGAAATCGCGGAGACAGACAGTGAGAAAGAGAGATACACTGGACCTCCAGTGCTTCACATGCACGCCGTTTACGAGCCGATGACCTGGACTACGGTCCTGTATATCCATTGTTAAGTCATGTATAATAGTATAGGTAACTGGACATAACATTGATTAACGTATGGACACAGTTATCTGGTCCATCACATAAATACTATATAGTACGTCACGCCACTTCATCTGAAACCAGATGGGTTTCCAAAATAAATAAAAAATAAAATAAAGTAAAATAATTCAATCCCCTTCTCCAACCGCTGCCTATCCCCTATTTCACGCACACGCTCAGTCTTGGTTCCCTTCGATGGCTCATTCCCATGTAATTTAGCCTGGATATGTCACCAAGACAAACAACCCCCAAAAAAAAAAAATAATGTTAATGATAAACAAGGGGAACATACCGGGAGCGTAGGATTCTTTACTGATTTCGGCCTCGGGATCATACACATCGTTCTTGTTAATGGTTAATTAAATCGGACTTCTCCTGGCAGGCTAATTTTTTGGCGGCGGAGCGTTGATCCTCTGTATGGGTTAGGATGTGAATTTTGAATTGAATTGATGTGATGAGTAAAGGAAAGAAAGAAAGGTACATACTCGAACTAAGATTCATCCGGCCCTGGTGATTATGGGGCCCGATGAACCTCCGACTGAGGCATCGCTTGTTACAGAGGAGAGCTCCTGGCAAGGCACATCAGGCCCCTGATACGAGGGGATATAGTAGCCAGACTGCGAAGAAAACGAGGCAGACTATTACGCAGACACGGTTTCGTCGACCAGCGAAGTGACTTTCTTACTGCTATAGGAGACCGAGTACAAGTGACGATCCGCGCTGTGATGCTACATCGACAGATAGTATACTAACTGCCGTTTCTTAACAATGCTGACAACGACGTAATCTCCAACTCCCCCTTGGTCAGGGCAACAGGGCCACTACCCGCGATTGGGAAGAGCCACAGATGCGCCCAGCCCGGCAGATCCGAAATATCAATGTAGTAGGCCTGCGACGTAGAACTGGCTGTTGCCGACGCTGGATTGGCCTGATGTAGACACTTTGATTGATTTGAGACCTTTAAGTGTAATGTATTCACGGAGGATTTGAAGATCGCAAAGATTCAAATAAATTTTAATAGATGGATAGGATGTTTGAGCATGTTTTATAGTGTCCTGTATGTATGACTGTGATGTCATGGGCGATTATCATAAGTTAGCGGAGACCAATAATGTACTTGCCTGGCTCCTTCAATCCTTTAAACTCTCGAGACCCACGACTCTCAACCATCTGAGAATTGCATTCAACCCAATACCACAGACATCATGTCTGCCGTAGTCGAAGTACGCTTCCAGGAGCTCTTCCAGGATCTCGAATCCCGCTTCCGCGCCTCCTCACTTCCCACCGACAAATGGATCATCCTGGCTATCGCTACGATCGTCACCGGTCCAGACCCGGAACGCGCCGACCAGCTATACCTCTACCTGATTAACCAGGGGGCGTATCACAGCACACCCGCACGCCAGACACTCATCCGCCGACTTCGCGAAGCACTCTTCAAATCCATCATCATCGTGGGGGTGTGCAAACCCATCGAGGCGATCCTGGCCATCAGCAAGCTTGAACGCGACGAAGACAAAGACTACAGCTTCACACGACAGGACTGGCAATGTGACGATGCCAACCACGAGCGGGGCACTGCGTGGTTGCAGAAGCTCTACGCGCGCAACACCACCGGTACATTGGATCTGTTCGCAGCGCATCGTGATTTCGCCTGGTTGTCGACCGAGATCACGTACGGGTTGTTTTTGTCGGATCGGCAGGCTCTAGATGATCTGGATACGCAGATGGTAGTGTTACCGGCTATTATGAGCCAAAATCTCAAGGTCGAGACCCATTGGCATATTCGGGGGACGCGACGGTTGGGCGTCTCCAAGGAGGATGTCCAGGTGGTTTGGGATTGTATACAGCTGGTAGCGGGGTTCTTTGATGTCAAGTTGGATAAAGTGCCTTCAGTGGAAGAGGTGGAGCACGACGTTTAACTAGAAGCAGGTATAACAAAGAAATACACGTCCTGCCATAATGATTATTTTCTGTGATCTCATAATTGTAAAGAGCTCAAAACTAATTACCAAGTATGGAGTAAATAGTTAATCTTAATGGCCTGCGTCAAATCCGGTTAGCGAGCCGAACTTTTTGCCCGCCGAAGATTGAAATCCAACAATCCTCCAGCACCTCACCCTGTCTCGCCACTCTCTTCAATCGCCATCACAATGGGAAAACGCAAGCAACTGAAAGACGGCGACGTCGATATGGAGGGCACCAACCCGCCCGTAGAGGATGACGAGTCCGACGAGGTCTGTTCCCTCGTCGTCTTCCCCCTCTACATGTATCCAGACTGACCGATACACAATACCGGCGCAGGACATGGATATGGTGAACGTAGACTTTGAATGGTTCGATCCTCAACCGGCAGTGGATTTTCACGGCCTCAAGAACCTTCTTCGGCAGCTGTTCGATACAGATGCGCAGATGTTCGACATGTCAGCTGTGTCGGATCTGATTCTGTCGCAGCCTTTACTGGGATCTACCGTCAAAGTCGATGGGAATGAGTCGGATCCGTATGCGTTTCTGAGTGTGTTGAATCTTCAAGAGCATAAGGTACGTACACACATAGATATGCTCCTCTAATGTGTCTGACTGACAATCCAGGATACCCCCGTCATTAAAGAGTTAACCTCCTACCTACAAAGCAAAGCTTCATCAAACCCCTCTCTCGCTCCTATTTCAACTCTCCTCTCGCAGACCCCCATCCCCCCCATCGGACTGATCCTCACCGAACGTTTAATTAACATGCCCGCCGAAGTGATCCCGCCCATGTACAGTATGCTGCTAGAGGAAATCGCCTGGGCCCTGGAAGAGAAGGAACCGTACAACTTCTCGCATTACCTGATCCTGTCGAAGACGTACGAGGAGATCGAATCCAAACTCGATATGGAGGACTCGCGACCGCAGAAGAAAAAGAAGAAGTCGGGCGAGTCTTCCAGCGAGAAGTTCTATTTCCATCCGGAAGATGAGGTCCTTGAGCGACACGCACAATGTTCCGGCTCCATTGAATATACCCATAAACAGGACGAGGGACTTTCCGATTCTAAACGCGCGTTCCAGGAATTGGGCATTCGGACCAAGGGGAGCTTGTTGCTCATCGAGGCGGACAAGTTTGAGGGCGCCATCAAGGATATGACGGAGCATTTCAAACCGTCGGTATAGATAAATTACGACTTATATTAGTCTGGTAAAATAAAATAAAATAAAATAATTATAGAAAAAGAAATTGCACATAGTGGCCCCTATCATTCGACGCTTATACAAATAGTTACATTTTTTGTTTTCTCGTCGCTCTATAAAGTTCGTCATAACATTTAGAAATCGTGTGACGGAGGTGTGTTCTCACGATCATTCCCATTGTGTGCCCTTCAAACGCTGCATGAGGTAGTCCACCTCCACTACCTTGGTCAGAGGGATAACATACTCCTGGCAGGATCAGCATCCACTCTCCAACAACATACCAAGCGACTTACCTTATACATGGCCACCACGGCATCCACATTGATCTTCGGGCCGGTCTCTGTCTGGAAAGCCGGGTCCGTCCCGTAAGTCCTCGCCTTCAAGGCCAATCTTTCTAGGACCTTCTTTTCCACCTTGGCATCTGTGATGGCAGCATCGATACCCGCACGGTCATTTTCCTTGATCATCTTGACGAACCGCTCCGGCTCCTTCTGGAACTTCGACTCGGCAACGAACTTCCCGAAGTGAATCCGGCGCGACAACGCCTGCAGGCAGTTGACATCGCACGTCGCCGACGATCCGTAGTTCTCCTGCGTTTCACCGCGATCCTCCCGTCCGAACACGGGACAGACAGCCGGTAGGATATCGTTGACGTAACGCTCCTTGATCACCTCGTTTACATTCACGTCGTTGTCGTGCAGGATCCGCGGATACTCGATCGGCTGCAGGATGGGCTTCTCCAGCACATCTGGGAAGAATGGGTACTCATCTGGGGATTGGTAGCGACGTACGCGCGACTGGATCCGTTCCTGCTCACGGAGCAAGTAGTCCAGTAGACTGATCTCATTGCCGGGGATTTTGACCCCGCCGTTGACGTAGATGGGTTTGTTGAAGGGGAACTGCACCCGCTCGATGAGATGGAAGGTGATTGTATCTTCGAGGCGGCTAGAATATAAGCCAGTGGGTTAGTTTTTCGGGGTTGATAGAAAATTAACCAAGTGTACAACATGAGCACCGGTGCTGTTGCAGTGGTAAAACAAGGACTGATAATGACGGTGGAGAAGAGACAGGGATCACTCACATTAACTGGAATCGGATATGGGCCAGATCCAAGGCCTTGGAGGGATTCGAGAGATCAATGGCGGTATCCATTATTGGATTGGGATCGAGTCGAGGGGCAGAAAGAATATGGAAAGGGTGTTTCTCTCAGCCCAAGTCGGAGGGAACGGGTTATGTATGGAAAGGAGCCGCTGGTCAGGGAAAAGCTCTAATCCGGTGATCTCGTTGAGCCTATATCGGAGGCTTTATGCGCTTATTGAGACCGCACACCTCTAGCTACTGTACATCTTTTCAAACGAGTCATTCTGTCGAGAGCTTTCGTCTTTGCGATAGGAGTAATTTTGATACTGCAGATTACCTTGCAAGGGCGGACATTACCGTCCACTGGTTCTGATCGTATTGGGCGTACGAATAGATCCATCCATGATAGATGAGGTATGAGAGTGTCAGTTGAAAGACAAGAGAAACCTCTGAAGAGGTCTGGTCAAGGTGAAGAGGCCTCGTATCCCTTCTCAATATAAAAAAATCATCTCTTCGCTCATCCTCGGTAGTGAGACCGGCCACACGCGGTAACTCGCGTGAAACTTACCTGAACTTACCTAGGCAAGGTATTACCTTAGTAGATCTTCCTTCTTTCCTCCCCAGCCTCACAAACTGGAGTCCCAAGGCCAACTGCCGACCTCTTTCTCCTGTCCACACCGCATGGGCTTTGAGCCTTGTCAACTCTTCTGCTCGGTGTCATGGACAAACACCGCCGCGATGAGTCTCCCTCTGGTCTGTCAGACATTGTCGAGCATGACGGTCTTCTAGGAACTGGCCTAACGGTAAGGCCTTGTTTTTTTATTACCTTGCTGTCGCTCTGCTAGATTATTCATGTTTATTCATTTTATTTTATTTTCATTTATTTGTTTTCATTATATACACCCAGGATCACGCTGATTGTATTCAACCAGACCCGACATATTGAGGCTTTTGGCAGAAAGGTTACCTCCACGGCGGGCCATCTGATAGCCTCGAACGCCGACTCAGGTAGCCATTACCATAGTGCCATGGTGGATATCCAACGAGAGCTCCGACGGCCTGCCGCACAGCGCAAGGTATTTTCACTGACCCAAACCACCCCGACCGATCTCGTTCGTTCCAAGCTGTCCACGTCCGAGATCCAATCGCGCGCCATCTGTTCCCTCCCAGATGAACTCCTCGAGAATATCCCCGAAGATTCTAGCTCCTACTCCTTATTCCAAGGCTTCCAGGCCTCGCAAGACGACCATGAATATCGCCGGTCCCATCGCCGGCGCTCCTCCAAGGGAAAAAAGTTGTTGAAAGATGGGGAGAGGGTGGCCCTTCCGTCCGCTCCGGCCGACTTAAAGAAGGAACGGGAGCTGCTGGGTTGTCGTATGGACTTGATGGGCGTGCGCAAAAACATGTGCAGCTCCGAGATCTACGAGATCGACAATAAGATCGCGAACCTTCACAATATGCGCAAGATTGTATTGGATCGGTTAGCTGGACTAGAAATGGAGGAAGCGGAGTTGGAACATGAACGTGGGTGGAGTCTTGAAAGAAAAGAACGTTTGTCTCAAGAGTGCCTCTAATATAGTCTAGTAACCGAGATCGACAATAAGCTTGAGGATATTCAAGAGGAACCGCCACAAACGCCGGGGTTAGCAGCTACACCTGGGCCTTTGGAAGGGAACGACGTTTCCATTGTCTCTGAGGATCCGGCCATGGACGCATCGTTCATGTCGGAATCGATTTATCAAAAACTGCCTTCACCAAGGAGCGTAAAGCAACGATCCATACGTATGTTTTTTTTTTTTTTTTTTTATCTTCCTTTATGAAAATATGTGCCTGACAATGGCTAGGAAAACGATCCATGCCTGTTCTGCACGAACATTTTGCTCCTGGATCTCTGATTAAGGAAATGCCGGCTCATTCTGACATGGTCACGGCCCTTGACTTCGACTACCCCTTTGGTACTATGGTCAGCGCAGCATTAGACGATACCGTGCGGGTCTGGGATCTCAATGTAGGTCGGTGTACCGGGTTTTTAGAAGGGCACAATGCGTCAGTTCGGTGTCTGCAGATCGAGGACAATATTGTCGCGACGGGTTCTATGGATGCATCGGTGAAGTTGTGGGACTTAAGTCGCGCTCGGACCGTGACCCGTGACAACCGTGTGAATAAGGGAGAGAATGGCGAGGATGATGCAGATGACGCTGTGTCCCAGACGTCTCATTCCACCACCCTGGAAGACTGTCATGTGTTCTCACTGGATGCTCACGTCGACGAGGTGACAGCTCTCCACTTCCGGGGCAACAACCTAATATCTGGCTCTGCGGATAAGACGCTACGGCAATGGGACCTAACTAAAGGACGATGCGTGCAGACGCTGGATGTCCTCTGGGCAGCGGCGCAAGCGTCGTCACTAGGAGGAGAATCCCAATGGCGACCGTCGGGCCGCGTGCCCGACGCCTCTGCGGATTTCGTAGGGGCAGTTCAATGCTTTGATGCCGCGCTGGCTTGCGGAACTGCGGATGGCATGGTCCGTCTGTGGGATCTGCGAAGTGGGCAGGTACATCGGAGCCTTGTGGGCCACACCGGCCCGGTTACATGTTTACAGTTTGACGACGTACACTTGGTGACAGGAAGCTCGGATCGTAGCATTCGGGTATGTTTTTTCTGCTGGGGTTTCTCTTGAGAGATTTGTTTCTGACCTCTTACAGATATGGGATCTCCGGACCGGATCGATATACGACGCCTACGCTTACGACCGGCCCGTCACCAGCATGATGTTTGATGCGAAACGGATCGTTGCCGCCGCGGGAGAAAGCGTGGTGAAGGTTTACGACAAGGCCGATGGGCATCACTGGGACTGCGGTGCCGGGGTCGGCGCCGACGAACCGGGGCCGTTCCCTGCAATGGTAGACCATGTGCGACTTAAGGATGGGTTCCTCATTGAAGGTCGCCAGGATGGGACTGTTGGGGCATGGACTTGTTAAAACGACTGCACAGTATATAAGGACCAGCCTGTTCGCGATTTCGCTGCTGCAACGTCTTGGATCTGTATCTGTACATTATCACTCATACCTTACTTGGAGTTATGATAGAAGCGAACTGTGAAGAGGACCTTTATGTATGTCTATTCGAGACTAGAATTACATAAAAAAAAGTATGAGCCCACGAGTTGAATAAAGAAGTGACTCGACGACAAAGATGCTTCCCGATCGGGTTAAATTAATAAATTACGGAATGATCATGTGTCTAGTAATATTACCGTTCTTGCAACAAGCGTGTCGTCATTGTCTGGTACGCGCTTAGCATCTTTGGGACAGTCGGCGTCAATTCCTGCCCAATCAGGATGCCAACTACACCGGCGGGTACAGTACGGTACGGTATGTCGACCTCATCAACATCGTCCGACACACTCTAGGGACGATAGGTTCTTCAGCACGCGTGGGTCTACAATCGCAAAGCTCTGCAGCTTTTCAACTCTAGTAGCATCTCATCCGGCGCTGGTTGTATCAATCCGGGACTGCAGTGGACGTGGATCGTCAGAGTGATCCATCCCGCGTCTTGCGACGCGCCTGTCCCTTGTCGCGAATGAAGAATTAATTAATGGACTGCACGAAGCGCACTGCATCTGGAAGCACCTGAAGAAGAGGAAGAGGAAGAATCAAAATCGATTGCGACATTTCATTACTCTTCTTTCATCTGATCGCATAAAGGAATTAGTGTGGTGGTGGACGTTGCCTTGTCTACCAACCACACTTTCTTTCACTTCTCATTCACCTCTGGCAGCATTCTTGGTCGTGCAGATAATTGTCTTATAATCTGCTTCAATATTTCTGCCTATTCTTTTGCTTATTTCCCCGTTAACAACTCTCTTTTTTTTTTTTTTTGGTTGGGCGACTGGCTTCACGATAGCATCGCTAGGCCTTCATGATTTCCCTGCCTGAGGCTCCAGGCCCAGTATAGTGAAATCTACTGTATGTGGATCTTTGTGTTGTGCTCAGGCATACGTCTACACATCTGTCATGTTAGATCTCTGGGTTTCATAGCTAATCTTTACGACAGAACGGAGAAATCAGGAGTTACTCTTCTGTCAAAAGCATCTGTTGAACTATCATCTTCTATATAATGCCTCCCAAGCGTACTTCGACCAGACGCGCCGGGTCGGTTCGCTCAAGTAGCAACGATAATTTTCTGTTGAGCCCACCGACAGCCGCTACTCCCGCCTTGCCTGACGTTCCTACCAAAAGTTCTTTTGCATATGGCTCATCAACAGCGGCTGCCCTTCCTCGGAAGCTTGCCATGCAGCCTCAGACGGGTCTGCTTGAAATCGCCCAAACGATTGAAGAAGGTGTAAGGGCAGCGGAGGGACGGGCTAATGGGGAAGAGCTGGCTGCAGAATCGGTGAGCACTCGAACTCGGAACAAATCCCAGCCAATTCCCTCCCCAGTTCGGCGCACTCGACGTGAGCCCACCCCGGATCAGGTACAACTCCTCGAGTCCCTGCGCGATGCCACCGAGTCTCCTCAGCCTACTGGAAATCAATCAGGCTCTACTCCCACGCCTACGCCACCTATTCCGCATACCCTGTCTACGGCGTCGAGTCCACTGGAGCAAAACTTCGCTTTGCCTACCGAACAACTTTATCCCTCCCCGCTTATGCGAGTTGGCTCACCTGCTCCTCATGCTAGCCCCTTTAGCCCAGCCCAATTTCAGGACTTCGACGGCAACGAATCAACCATATCATGGATGGTCGAACGCGACATTCACGAAGACAATCTACAACGAACTCGTGGAAATACAGCACGCGGAGAACCGCACGGGAAGAATATCAGCGCGCCCCCTCGTCGATTTTCGGGACTTGCGTTCGCCTATGAGACCATTGAGGAAGAGGAAGAGCCGGTCAATGAACGCTCGGTGTCCAAATCGAGCTACCTGGAGCCTGTGGCTGTTCAGCCCAAGCATGAACCCCAGTCAGACACAGACCCAGAACCTGAGCCAGAGCCGGAGCCTGATATAGAGCCTGAACCGGCACCACAATCCTCCTCGGCTCCTGCTAAAACCATCATTCCTAATGGCTTCCTACGACGGTCGCCATTTCATCAACCCACCTCGCCACCTCGATCGCAGCGACACAATACGGATGAGGTGCGCCTTATGAGGGGTGCTCCTCTGGACTTCTCGAAAGACGTAATCCAAACCGCCGCCATCGTAGTCTTCACGGTGGTGTCGCTTCTCATTGTTTACTCTATTGGAGGCCCGATTGTTGGCTTTTCGTCCCGCGACAGCTGGCGACAACCGTACAACATTCCCCTGAACACCACCGGCCTAGAAGCCGTCAACAGCCTGTCAAACGAACTTGTGCGACTGGGCGCCGAAGTGTCTGCATTGTCGAAGGAAATGAAGGTGGTAAAGTCCGACCTGCAACATATACCAGCGGCTACCACGATTGTGGAGAAGATAAGAACTCCAGGTCATCAGCCACCGCAACGGCCCAACTTCCTCTCGTTCGGCACGGGGGTCCTCATCGACCCGTATCGCACCAGCCCAACAGCCAAGAAGCCTGTGGGCTATTTACAGAAGATCTACATGCGCATACTGGGGTCGCCATGGGCGGACACTTCACCACCTGCGCAAGCCCTACTTCCGTGGGACGGTGTGGGTGATTGCTGGTGCAGCGCGCCACGGGACGGCATGTCGCAGCTTTCTGTGGTGCTGGGACGTCCTATCGTGCCGGAAGATGTGGTGGTGGAGCACATCCCGCGTGGCGCCAGCGTGCTCCCGGAGGTTGCGCCCAAAGAGATGGAGCTCTGGGTGGAATACAAGGTGCTCAACGGAACCCCCGACAAACCCACCACATTCCTCTCTCGCGACGGGGACCTCATTCTCGGAAACGGTCTATCCCTACACGAACAGGTAATGAACTATTTAGGCTTTGCGTACCACCATCAGCCTGAAAGTGCGTACTCGGATGATCCGATCCTGGGACCTACGTTTTATCGCGTCGGGCATTGGACGTATAACATTGATGGTCCGCACCACGTGCAGCGGTTCCAGCTCGACGTGGTCGTCGATATGGAAGAAATTCGCGTGGAGAAGGCGGTATTCCGAGTGAAATCTAACTGGGGGGGGAATCAGACGTGTCTTTATCGATTGCGACTACATGGACATCTATAGTCTTTTCTCTTTGCATTTCCTCATTTCTTTTCTTTTTCTATATTTTATTGTATTGAATGGCGCTCGGAGGGTATGGTCAGCGGCGTTCTGATTCATTTCGAATTATACCTGGAAGCGTATGATGAATAGATTACATATCCATATCTATTGAACTGTCCATGGTAGAGTAACCCAACCCAAGTTACTATAAACAAGGAGAGAAATCAAACTCAGCATCCACTGACCCCGAAAAAGCAGTCTTCGATCTGATCCTCCCACCAAATACATGGATAATAGCAAAGAATCCTGCCCCAGCAACCACGATAATGAGAGCCTGTGTGGTGAATGTCCAGATCCAACCGACGCATTCTTGCCAGGGGGTATAAAGAACTACCACCATTAGTCAATAGATATGGAATATTATCATTACAATAGAATTAATACAATGGTAGATGAGGCAAACCAGATGAAGAAATATGCTTAGATTCAATATCACCGCGTAAACACCACCGCGCTAGATGATTGAAGCGGATATCTATCTACTATGTAGCTGGTTATATGGGCATTTACGATTTGGATTCTTAATGCCAATTTACATTATCATTATTAACCCATCAGAATACTAAATATAGAATAAGATAGTGGAGAAAGAGGAAGACATACAGAGAAACAACTCAGCCTGCCCAAGCCCCGAATGCCATTCTTCGTTCTCCTATTAGCAAGACGATGAATTACTGCCTAGACAGTTCACCAATCTCACTACCCACCACACCAACAAACAAACCTAGGAACAACAGTCCTTGAATCTCAGGTGCGAAGAATGAATACGTCACTGGCATCATAGTAATCATGGGGAGAATCCACCAGTACAGAGTAAACGAGTAGATGAAGACTGCACCCGCGATAATGTGATGGAGGTTTATTACTGGGAGGGATTTGTTTCGTTATAGTAACTTCTATGTTATTGCTGGTGGTGGTGGTGGTGGTAAGGATTGATATAGATGGTATCTCAACATGAAACAACAACAAATATATATAATTAGAGAGAGAGAGACAAAGAGAGACGACGGAAAGACTAAAAAATCAAGGAACCGACGGTATAATCCAAAGAAATCAACAAAAAGCCGGCACTGATAGCCTCATCTATTTATCTATTGATATTGATACTCTCCATCCTACGTGTAAGCTTCTCTTTCTCCAACCTGATGGTAAGATACACTGCCTAACAATGATATGATATGATGATACAATAGTCACCCCTGCAGCTGGAACCCCGGAAACAGGCGGCTGGAACAACACGCGAACTCCGCACAATTATTCGCGGCTTAGACAGGTTGAATCTCATCTGGGCGGATATAGTTGAAGTGGCTCCTGTGTATGATACGAATGCTGAACTCTCAACTAGTATGTCTATTTATAGAGATTGGAGATTGGAGCTGATGCTGATGCAGTTAACCGGGCTGCTGCGGATAGATGTTGACGATTATATCGAAGAATGGACTGTTGTCGATTTCGAATACTCATAATTGTGGTTTTCATTTCGTTTCATTTTTATCTAGGAGAGATATATTATGTTGAGATTATAATAATAAAGAGTTATCAAAGATATGCGTAGCTTTTTTGTCGAGTCGTCCAGAAATGGGTTCTCAAAATATGACAGATCTAGTTGTAAAGAGCTAGAGCCCGTTTGACCTCTCGTGCCAGTTAACCCCTTTGACCCCTTTGACCCTATTGTCCCTAATATTTATACTATCCATATTGTCCCTATTGGCCTTACAGGCCCTATAGGCTCTGTTGGTCCCATTGGGCCCTGATGACTCACAACACATGACTCTGCTGCCCCCTTTCCTCTTTCTTCCCTCTTCAACGATTTCTCTTGTACATAGCCTATCACATATGTTCTACGGGTTCAGCCCCTGACACTAGTGGCAATTTGAAGGTATTGATTCAATTAAGAGATATTGTCAAAGCTTCTATGCCACATCTTAAGGAAGAGCTTAGTGTCCTTTTGTCTAATAGAGTTATATATTAGATTTCGTCTTAAATAAGCCAGATTATAAGGCTTTTTTTTTTTTAATGGCACGTATGTAAATGTAGAGTGAAGATAGATAATACTCAAGTCAAATTCGTGTATTTGCTTTAACACCTATAATGCCCTTAGATCTATTTACAGGCTTCAGGAAGCATGACAAAAAAGATATAGAAAAGCAAACTCTTTAGCTCTCTATTAAGTAGTTTGTTCACAGTATATCTAACCAGCTCGACAGTTGATATAGATGGAATTATGAGCCAAGTCTTGTCATGGTCGATGTTCCGTTCCTCCAGTATATAAATTATTTACTGCGAAAAGGGATACTCGCTTCGAGATCGAGCTCCTGTCGCTATCTCATAGCGAGGACAAGGCGCAATTGCGCTCAATCTGCCATTGCCATGCAAGATGGTGTCGATGGATCATCAATTCCTTTGGATCCTCTACCAAGAAAGCTTTCAAAGCTGTCCCAATAGCTGTAGTTTACAAATCCGGTCTCTCAGACATTCCTCGTCCTGCTGAGCCAGAAGAAACGCTGTAAGTGACCCCGTTTTCTGCGCGTTAGGCCCGAATCTCCCTCACAGTTCTTATCCAAACCGGGTTTCGGAGGGACCTGAGTCTATCCTCGATTTTGAAGAATGCCAGCTTGAACCATGAGGCAACTCAGATATAGTTCAAACTTGAAAGTAGCAAAAGGTCGCCACAGACATCACTATGAAATTTAAATAACATGTCGCTGACTTGGACCAGAATTTGGCTACGATTATTATCACGCGGGCAGGGTTTCGGCATAGTGTTTGAATGGCCAGGCAGCGCTACTTGACTCGTCATATAATACCTCTGTTTACCTGGCAGAGCCCTATATGTCTAAAAATACGATCCAGACATCTTAAACTAAAGAATCTCCAAGGTGCTAAGGAAAAACTCGATCCAATAATAAATAATATCTTCCGCTTCGGGACGACCTGTGATACTACACTACGTGATAAGTCGGTCAATCATTTCTCCTTTTATATCAAACATCAAAAATTATGTCTAGACATTTAGGACTATATTACCGCATTCGACCGATATATCAGCAGCTCCCCGTCCAGAACTATTAAGGAACTTCGCTGGGTAGACTTAATTTGTCTTTACTATCTCATTATAACAATAGTTCTCGAATCAGCTGTTCAGATTATATGAAATGGTCTATGGCAAGTACATTATCCAGATGAGCAAATCCGTTGATCTCTGCGAGCGAATTATCAACAGTCTCCGGGCTGAATATGGGAATAATCTTTCAGCTCTCCCAATGGACTTGAGTCTAATTCTAATATTATCCTAGTTGTATTTACATGCCGGGGTTGTAACATCAGATATCGTAAGGAGCAATTGAATGAGCATAGGATACGGTTTGTTATATATGATCACCACTGGAAAAGGAAGGATGAGAATTGACTCGGTGTGTGAGTGTAGAGAAACTTCATTACAGTAGTTGATCCCCTCAACGAACGTTGCGCCTGCCGCACGATTTTCAGAATCAACCACGAACGCAAAAATGAAGATATACAACAACGCCTATTTAATATAATGATCAGATCTCTTAGTGTATTCATGTATATAAATTAAGAAAAAAAATATTTATTTTTCAGCCTCCTATAATTACCACAAAAGCTATATTTGCCTTCCTTATCTAGTTATACTAGGGTGGTGGTCTAACCACCTGGTCGTAGTTTTACAACCACATTAACAGGATGACCCTCTTGCAATAAGGCACTCTTCTGCCAGTGTGAGATCTTCAAGAGCTACGGGATAGCGTCGACATTTCTTGGCTGAGAACTTAGGGATGGTTTCTCGAACTAGGGAGGCATGATATAAGTGATAGAAACTCCACAGGTCCCCATGTTTGCCACAACTGTCAAGGGCACATTCCGACACGCGTAGTAGAGGGTCACCGTCGGCAATTCGGTAAAGGCCTGTCGCACAGACTAGTTTCCACAGGAACAACTCACAGATCTCTTGGCAGCTGTGGTAATTTCTTTTTCATAACTGGCCACCGATGCTCGTATATAAAAAGGAGAGAATTGGTGGGAAAGCGTTTGGAGCACAACTCGGCCCTCATACTCAAGGCGCGCAGGTAATTTAAAGCCATGAACAACGTCTCTTGCACTACTGGAATTAGTAGTCCTTGGTTTCTTCGTTTTTGGACCCTGCGGAGGATAAGAGGCTCGTTTCTGGGAAGCAGGTTGTAGGGTCAACTTAGATGAGGAGCTGATAACCAACAGTGCCTGGGCGGCTGCCAGAGAGGTAACCTAGATATGAAGGGGATTACTGGGGGTAGATAGTACTTCAAAAGCTGACATAGTAAAGGTTAAAAAAGGATTAAAGCCAGTCGGTACGTGAGCTGTGCTTATTGGAAGTAGTCGCAGCCAAAGGGGCCTATGCTTGGGGAGCTGCATTCGTCACAGCGAGAATATCTAGTGCGTACTTGTACGGGATGTCCACAATTTTGACAGGCACGTAGAGGGGACATGATAGGAAACCCAGCGCGACAGATAGGATAGATATATAAAAAGTGGGAAGACATTCTCTGTTACAGTAGTTTTCTAGCAGCAGAGGGGAAAAAATAGCGCAGGAAAGTCATAATACCTGAGCGTGCATGATTTTATACACATCACATCTAGGCTAAATGATAATTAGTTATACCAGCAACCAATCACGGAGACGAGTGGTAACCAAGATGGCTAGCAAAGAAAGTGCATGCTAAGATGTACACTAAACCCGAAAGAGCGAATTTTCAAGTAATGCTGGGAGTGATCCCAGTAGCCCCTTTCCCTCTCCGTTCGATCGTTTCAGGGCGATAGGTGCATCTTTAACCACCTTCTTATACGATTAATAATAACTTCCTTTTTTTGCTTTAACAGGCTCGTTAGCTTTCTTCTCATCCTCACCAGCCTACTGGATGTTATTTTGAAGCTATATATTTACTCGTTTTGCGGCTTTCTTTTCTTTTTGGCATCGCATCCTCTTGTTCTAGCATCCATTAGCTCTTACGGTACCTTCACTGCCCGATGTCACTCAACACCCGATTTTCATCTATACCAACTTTTTAGATAGACCAACACCATCAACATGGGCTTAACTAAAGAAGCAATTGCAGATATAGAATGCCTGAATCCAGTTGAAAAGATCAATTACACAAAATTTGCCAAAAATCATGGCGTTGACCAGTTAACGCTATCAAGAAATCGCCGTGGTATACAGAGCTCTCGCAAAGTAGAGTGTGAAAATTGGCAAGTACTTAACAAGTAGCAGTTAAAAGAGCTTATTAAATAGATTAATAATATCACTAAGCGTGGTATACTACTATCATCGTCAATATTGCGAAACTTTGCCAAGGAAATTACAGGAAACAAACCTGGAGTATGCTGGCCAAACCACTTCTTAAAAAAATATAAAAATTAGCCTATTTCTTGATATGCTACTGAAACTAATTATTTATATAAGCAGACTAATTCTGCATATAAATATGCACCATATTTCGAAATTATAGCTAGAAAGATTAAGGAATATAAGGTTCAACCTGAAGATATGTATAATATAGAGGAAAAAGGATGTCTTATTGGTAAAACTACGAAGTAGTTGAATACAAAGCAAGATGCGGAATCGATATGGGCTCGATGGAGCACATGGGAACGGGAAACGGAGACGGACGGAGGACGGGAACGGAGTATGGGGGACGGAGGACGAAAGACGGAAGACGGGGATACTAGAGTGGAGGGCGAAACGGAAGGGAGTAGTTTGGGGCGGTCTTATGATCACCTAAACAGTTAATTCCATCGTGTTTGTGGGTGAAAATACGATATTAGACTGTAGGAGATCTGTCATATATTATAATAGGTTAAGTTAATGCAGAGGCGATGTACTGGTATCTATATCTACTACACTTCAATACATCCGAAGAGAAGATAGATTTTCTATAACAGCCTCTCACGAAACCTACATCAATATAGCGTAGGTATCCTGCTACAGTATACGAAACAAATCCTGGACATAGCTTCCAATACAGTAGGATTTCTAGAAAGTCTATGTTGATATGGTGTGGCGGCAATCCATATGGACACTTGTCAATATTTCAGAAAATTATCTAGCTAATCAGTTTACAACGCACCATTTGGTCCAGTGTAACTTTGACGAATTGTATGTACCGAATAAGAATTTTTTCCATTTGTCCCTGCCAGCAGGTAGACAGGTGAGGCGTCCAGGGCGCCGGTTCTTGACACGTCAGTTGAGTCATCAGCTGAGAAAAGAACCTCTTCAAAATTTGGAACTGGTAGAATATGCAATACATCGGCCATTTGTCAGATTATGGCAGAGATTGGACCGATTGTTTGAGCGGATTTCTGGGTCGTGGGGTAGCCTGACACGCTCCAGCTGCACTGCCTGTCGGTGATGAGGTGGCTCCAGCTATAATTTCTCTCATCCAGTGACAGCATCAGAGCTGAAGGTTTCCATTTAACACCTACCCAATGATAAAGTTTCCTGGGAATTGTGGAGAATTAATTCCTGCAAGGCTGAGGGTCAAGACAGCCAAGCATCGACGATTGGCCTAGGGTATTGCTTAGCTTTACATTTGTCATAACTCACGTTGCATAGTTCCTGCCCCAGCATCGGTGGTCAGGTAGTTACTAAAAAATAAAAACCAGTACTAAGGGATACTATGTCGGTATTAAATCTGCTCCAGATCGCTTCATGTCTATACCCACCATTTAGACCTTCGCAAACGTAAGGTAACCCCAAATATCAAGCCAATCAACCAAGATTACGGCAAGGACCTTGTGTTTTGTATTTGCGGTGCTGTTTGGTCTGTACTCCATTTAGATGCCCAAAACACGATGGATTGAAGATCTACTAGTTTCTTGCCATCCGCAGAGGGATGCCGGATCCTCCGAGTACTGGTAGCGTCAGACAGTGAGATTTTAGAAGTCCGCAAAATGCACGAATGTCTACGGCTGTAAGCAAAGAAACAAAAGGCTTAGGATCAGCAATAAGCAATATCTAGTTCAGGGGCTTCTCTATCTTATAAAAAGGTCGACAATACCTCTCTAAAGATTTTGAAATCATCATCTACAATCATCCTCAGGGTAGTATCATTGAATATCCGTGCATTATTTCTCAGAATCGTCGTCAATTTCGTTCTTTGAAGTCTTTATTTCATCACCATCAAAATGGTTAAGATTGCTACTGTCACCCTTGCTGTTCTGGGCGCCATTGCTCCCTTCGCCGCTGCGAACAACTGCAAGACCAGTCTCAACTACTGTGGCTATAACCTCCTCGGTATCGGTATGCTATAATGACTGACATCCACAGTACTCTGTTTTATGTTAGAGATAGATATTGACCCAGACATTAGGAAACTATGCCGCCCAAGTGAACAGTGCCCTGGAGGCATCCAACCAGCCAACTGATGATGCACACATTCGCGAGTCTCTTTTCCACTGTAATGGAGGAAACAACGGAGACATCTCTTTTATCTCTTACTGTGGTGGTGGTTGCCAGGATGGTGGATCTGGCAACAGCGACTTTTGCTAGACTGGTTCGGAGATTTATGAAGGCTGTGTACTTAGTATTTGGGCTCTTGGACCGACCGATAGTAGATCTGTTTGGGCGTATTCAACATAGCCTGATAGAGGATTACTGAAGTGAAATTGAATTTTGTCACTCTGATTCTAATGAAAATTTCCCAGGCCACTCGTTTCCCCTGGGTAAGTTACTGTCTGTATTTAACGTAACTTCATTGTGACTTGTATGGTTATTAAAAAGACTTGTAATATATCACTGTTTTAAAGCTTGGTTCTCAATGTGTACCTTAGCTCCCTCCCCTCCCCTTGCTTTCCTGACATGCCGCTGACTTGTACGATTACTTTGACCTATAATCAACAGGAGATAACGCAAGCGATGTATATAGCCTAGAGGCAATAATCCATCTACTTGGGGAATATTATACTCACACTAAACCTCGACCAAAATCGACATGTTAACAGCCTCGATGGCTCTCCTAACAGGCTCTGCAAACCACGGTTAATTTTCCGGTAGTAAACAAAGATAGTAATTCTAAGTATCCTGGACATCTGCCTTTTAATATTGCTTGACCGTTCTTTGACAGAGCGTCAGTAGTGGAGACACCAAAGTTGGTTGATAGATGTAAATGTAATTATATATAGATTTTTGGGGGCCCTTTCTTCTATGTATCTTTTGTATTCCTTCTAACACTGCCCTGTCCTTAGATATTTAATAAGAATACTAGTCTGGTCGAAAAGGTAGGAAGACTACATCTGCTGGAGGAATCTAATCTTTATTTACTAACCTTTACCTAGATAAGTTTCGCAACTTTGTGCACAGAGCTTGTATAAATAGTAGCCGAGTTCCGTGACTCTAAAAAAGACATATTATTACTTGCTCAAACATCCCGGCTGGTTTATCACCAGGTTATTTATATTCTTTACAGTTACAACTTATATCAGAACGGATCTTCGGCCCTTGCGTGGACCTGTTTGGAAGGGGAGATAGGAACAGTGCTTCTATCACTAAAAAACCATGCCAATATCAATACCGCTTCTAATAATAGAAGGACTCCTCTAAGCATTGCTGCAGAAAGAGGTAACCAGGAGGTTGTTCGAATACTTCTTAAAAACAATGCACAAATCCACTATATTAATATTATTGGATGGACAGCACTTTTTTGGGCCGCCCAGAATGGACATGAAACTATAGCTAAGGATCTTGTCCAAGCAGGAGCTGAAGTTAACCATGCCAGCATGGACGGTTGCACCGCCCTTTTTAACACGGTAGAAAATAGATATCGCGATTTAGTCAAGGTACTGCTCCACGCGGGAGCCGAAGTTAACAGGGCTAATAATAACAGTGATACTGCTCTTTTATGCGCCTCCTACTATAGCTATTATAAAGTTGTCCACTCTCTCATTCTGGCGGGTGCTAATATCGAGCATCCAAATAATAAAGATATGACAGCTGTTTCTTGCGCTGCCCTAGGAGAAAGTAAAGCTATAGTTAAAGAACTTGTCCATGCAGGGGCTGAAGTTAACCATATAGATAGGTGACTCGTGTTAGATAATTAAGGCTTTCTCTCTCATAAGAACCATGTAGGAAGCCATTGCCGCCACTTGCCTGGTGTGCGACGGGCTAATTAAGCATGTCAATATTGAAGAACTCCCAAAACCAATCATCAGTGTCAACATACGCCGAGGTACCCCAAACTACCGTCTCCGCTGTATGTGGGGGAGAGCAAGAAGCCATGGCAGGCGGGATAAGCTCTTCAAGTTTCGATCCAGGTATATCTAGCTGTCCGCAATGCTTTAGGTCCACATGCGGTTCTAATGTCAACCAAGCTAATAACGGACCGCTGGGAATCCCTGTCGTCGCCTGAAATGCAGAGTTCAATTGTCCATTGTCGGTCTGAAACCGTAAACTCCCCATCCCTTCGGTTTCGTCTGCCGAGGACAGGGTTTTAAATGGATGCAAATAGAGCCAGTCTCTCAGTTGGGTCATTATCAGGAATACTCTGCTCAGAGAATTTCGTTCATCGTTCCCGATGAGGCGCTTCGAAAGGACAATAAGCTGCTCGAGGTATGCTTCCAGGCGCAATTCGTCGGCATGGATGAAGTCGCCGACTCCCTTTGCTAATACCGTGATTGCTTTGTGCATTTCATCAAAAATATGACTGCGTATATCACACGACCGTCGTAATATGTGATGGTGAGGCAAGCATATCGGTTACTGACAGCCCGAGAAATGCATCAAGCAAGCCTTGTGACATAGCTATGATAGATTGAAGCATAGACAAGGGGGATGTATTCAAATACTGCGCATCGACAAAGTCGCATGTCTTCAAAGAATTTGCAGTAAAGTGTGCCGCAAACTCATGTATGCTGTGATCGACATGCCACGCCAGCTCATGCGCATACAGTGAACTGGCAAACCTGCCAAAGTTAACAAGAACTAATCGGTACCCAGCTGTCAGTTATCTACAACATGCATTGTAAGGTATTGCGATTTGCAAAGGTACTTCCACTTTTGCATTGAATCTATTGGTTGAAGGGGCAGCAGTCAACTCGAGATTGACAGTCCTGAATTTTGTCTTTATGGTTTCGAGGTCCCGTACGCATATCGACGAGGTAGAGTCGCTCGGGAATAGCTCCTGATCTATGACGTGGCAAAGACGCTCCGTCTTTAAAAGCTCGATAAAGAAGACAACTGTAGGGGATTCCTGGGTCCGCTGTAGGTCAGTAAGATAGTCGTCCATTTTTGCAGTCGAAGTAGTTGTACTGGGCCGTCTCGGAATCAGGGACAGATTAAGATTTGGTCAATCCCCGAAGTCGATCGAACAGTGCAACAATTACCTCGCAGATAGGAGAAAACAGCCGAGTCATGCCCGCTGTGCCTCTATGCGGCCCCAGTTGTCCTGGGTTTTGCCAACCGGCTGAAACACCTCGACCTTTTCCAGCCCGATTTACGGCCATGGTGGTTGCGATGTGAGCCAGCTGATTCAGGTTCATCTGCCTGTAAGAGTCTGTGGCTCTGTACCAGAGCGACGCGACTCGGAGCGCTTGAATGAGTTCGAGCAACTTCTCACCTCGAACATCAACACTGTCTGCTAGATAGCCCCTTAATGCAACCGCCAACTCTCTCTGTTTAGCGACAGTGCAGTATCTAGCGCAGGCAACGCTAAGTATGGATAGGAGTAGTAATGGCTTTGTCTCTCTTACAAGCTTACCTGTTGTCCCGGGTGGAAACACAACCATGGGGCATTTCGGAGCGAGGCTGTCGATGTAGTAGTGAAAGACCTGATCAGCTGTCTTAGAACTGAGAATAGAGTCGACCTTTACATTGAGCTGCTTCTTCCCAACGCATGGTAGTGACCGTGAAGCTGTCACGACCAATCAGCCACACTCAAACAGGCTTTTTAATTCTGCTGATCACATAGTCGGGCTTCTGTGAACCCCTCCAAAAATGCGGCAGATGCCTCTTGCTCCAAGTTAGAATTGGTGTCAAGGGGCTCATTTTTTGCATCGTTTGCAGGGTCATATGAAGATGTTTCAAGTTGAGGCTGTAGCACGTGTAATTCTCAGGTTGCTAGCAGTGGTGAATCTTCAACAAAAGGTACTGACCGTTTTGACCGGTTCAGGCCACACTCCTTGTTCAACCTCAGGCACCGCCGGCATTTTTCCTTCGCTCCATTAGGGGGCCTTTCGCAACGAGTTTTGGAGCTTTTACAATCGATACAGGTAGCATTGCGCCGTGAGATATTTATTCTTCTATGATTTGAATTAGATATAAACCAAAAATATGGCCTCGTCAGATTGGTTCCAACTTTTTGCTGCAACGAGCTGTAGAGTCAATTCTGGGGACACCGAGATTCTGATTACCTGCTACGACTCTCAAATTCTGTTCTGCATGAGTAGTTGGAGAGGTAGTGCATATTCTTTCAATGGATAATTCTTGGGAAAGAAGGTTGGTGGGTGATTTGTGCTAAGCGTGACCATCTTGCCACCTTGATGATGTTCGAAACACAGCTGCTGCTATAGGGGTCGAGCGTTCAGTAGGGCTATCTAGTCTGAATTTGATAAAAGACATGCCGAGTCCATATACCCGTTAATTCTGTTGCAAGTAATGTTCGTGCTGGGTCACCCACGGATATTTTCTGCTCGCTGTCAACCAGTACTTTTTTGCTGTCTGCACATCACGTGGGCAGGCACAGTCGTCAGAACAGCTGGCTTCTACTCCGACATCAATTCTTCAACGTCGACAGCCTGGAACCGCTCGATATACCTTTATTTCTAGTAGCCCACGTAACCCGTCATCCACAGCGCTAACAGACCACCATGTCACTTCAAAGTATCACCCCGAGTCCCCAGGATTCTTGCTTTCTGCGACCTTAACTCCACCGCCGACACATGTTATTTATTTTCGCAGTACTTTTGCTTCTCTGGTACCCACATCCTGACTGCTGGCTTTCAACTACAAGCATTCTTAGCATGTCTTGGCCCTCTTAGGTGAGAGGATGGCCATCGTTATAGACCTGTGCCTGCTTGTCGGGTCCACCAGGCCATCCTCTTCCATTTTACCCTCCTTAAGTTTCCCGGAAGGGCGTAAATGTACGCGGCTTCTTTAGCGTAGTTGCAACTTTCTTGACATCGCACTGGAGATGCAGCACATATAGTTCGTTCAAGGATCACTAGCTTGAATGCTATTCTGTCTAGAGCACGAGTTCCCAGCTTCCCAAAATTCCTCGGGTGTTCGGTCCTCTAGATCTACTACCTTTAGTCTTCGCACTTCTCACTTCCTTGCCTTCTTCATTCTACTAGTTTTTTTTCCTCCCTCACTATTTTGGACAAAGGCATACTTCGAATGACCCTTCCATGCAATAAAATACCATTCATTCTTCTTACAGCTCTCCTGGTCGTGTCATAGCCGTGAAACTTTTCACCTACATCCGTCTCGAAATTGCTTTTCGCTGGAACTTAATACCGACCTTGCGAAACCAGATGTAATTCTTCGGCTACTGAGTCGCAACGATTAAAGTAAATGTCTACAAATCCCGGGTGTCCAAACCAGCACGCATTCTCCTGAACTTCCACGGAAGTGGATTCATAATCTCATGGTACGGTACAAACGATGAATTAGCTCGTAAGTCGCTCAAGACACAGAGTGCAGAGTATTCAAAGTCGCCTACAGTCTAGCACCCGAATATCCTTTTCCCGCACCGAGCGACTGGAGGATAGTGAAATGGGTATTTTCGCATCCATGGGATTTTGACTCGTCCCGTATCGCTATCTCCGGCTTCAGCGCAGGTGGGAATTTGGTCCTCGTCGCCAGTTCCCAGTTATTCCCTAGGGAACTTTCCGATATATCATACATTCGATCCACCATCTGATCTGAAAAAGGATCACTTTAATAAGGTCGTGCCCAATCAGCATGGTAGTCCTCTCCCTGGATGTTGGATGTTTTTATGGATAGTTATCCCTGTTGCTGTTGATAGAAGGAGCCCTAGAATATCACCGTCCTATGCTGATGCTGAGAGCTTTCAGCAAAATACACTCGTCATTACTTGTGCTCGCGACAATCTGTGTCTGGAAGCGGAGGAGTTAGTAAAGAGGATCAGGGCTTCACATGGAGAAAGTGGTGCTCATGGAAAATGGAGAATTGTGGCCACGCGCTGAATAAAGCGTACAAGATAGGAACAGTAGAAGAAAAGGCGAAGGATGGCGCTTATGATCTGGTAATAAGGCAATTGAGACAATGGGTACTCTCGAATATTTATATCTATCGTGTATTTGAATAACCTGGAGACTGAACTGGTTTTTTTTGGTTGTTTCAGGATGAATATAGTATAGGTGTAAATAAGTGCCATGGTTGATAGCAATACACTTGAGGGTATATCTACGGGGTGCGGTGAGCGAGCTGCTAACTTTATCTCCCGTCTTCTACTCGCTTTGTCCATGGACTTATTTATGAGCGCCATGATATCATTCTTCACTCGTGAATCCTGCGCAAAAATAGGTAAATTAGCGCAGAGATTTTGTGAGTAAGATGATAGCTCTTCTCTGAACCTGTATTCCAGCATGTATGCCAGATCAGATAGTGTCCTCCGGACGTAAGCTAAAGGCCTGAAGGACGCCATGTCCCGTAATCTAAGCTCTTTATCTGGCAATTGGACATTACTGGGGCCAGGGAATATCAATGGCCTTTTGTAATGAAACAATGCCAGAGCTTTGGAGTATTTCTGAAGGCTCGAACTTACAGAAAAATGAGCTAAAGTTTGTCTATTATACCTGCCTCTTTTTCCTTCATTAATCTCTCTTCATTCAACGTCCACCACCATGAATGTGACGGGTCCCGGCTCTGCTCTGTCCCTGTACGGCCTTTGCGGACATCTTCACTTTCATCCCAAGGCTTAGGACTGAGTATGTAGTGTACGTTCTTCACATTCTCATCCCGCCAGATAGCATCATGCACACCGTCCCACCGCAATGTTTTAAGCGCATTATAGATATATGGAAGAGCGACCCAACGACCGTGAAATATGTCTGAGAGAAGAGACTGGTCTGCAAAGTCGTACTCCGAGGCTGCAGAAGTAGAAAGCTGGCCGATAATTTTGTCATAGATTGCTCGAGACGGGTTCACAACTTGAAGCCCTCCATTGGGCATTCCTAACCCTGTAGTCGGAGGAGCACCAGTTACTTGGGCTTCCTCGGGAGTACCATGTTGAAAAGTGTACGCACAGTTGGCCGGTACCCTTCCAGGTTTCGTGATGTTAGTATATGATTCGGACCACATTATTGGCGATTCTATGGGAAACCAGATACGACATACCAGTCTTTGGGGTAGTGCTGCTTGTGGAGTGGATTGCAGACACAGGCATGGCTAGCAGCGAAGACGCGATTTCCTGTCCCAGCCATGTCCGGCGGATCCAAGTCTATATCCATCAACTCATCCATGTTTTGAAGGACCAACATATCACTATCCAGCTGCACAACTCGCTCATATTCAATGAGTGAGAATGGTGTAAGCTTGCTCCAGCAATCGTAGAAGCGCACATCGTTGGTAAAGTCCTTCGAAACCGACGGAAGAAGATAAGGCACATGCTGCTTCAGTATGCCCCGGGCATCAATAGCTGCATGGCCATCGGCAGGAAATGAATCCGTATAAAGAACAACAAGTGGGTATTTCGAGCCGACTTTCTTGAGGGAGTAATCAAGGCCCAAAAGGCCTGGGAGGTAGTCGGTGTTTGTTATAAGGGTTGTCCATACTAAAAAGTATCATTAATCGGAAAAAGAAGGCAGTTGTCCAGTACAACAGCCTCTGATAGCTCGTACCTTTTGTGGTATTCATTGTGCGACCGGCGCCAATATCACTAGACCTGATACAAATGTGTTGAGGACTTACACATTCGTTCTGCCACGATGAAGCATGGAACCGATTATGTTCCCCATGAGCCAATTGGGCTAACTCGATTTAGGTTAGTGACATGGTGAGCATTTAGTCAGCAACAATAGCCTCATTCTGGCCAATAAATTAACGTCACGTGAGAGGAATGTAATGTCAGGAACTGGAATCCTATTTTAACTTCCAACGTACGTACTCTAAATCTGTTGGTCATTATAGTTCGTACCCTTTTAGATAGTTGATTAAATTTACATCGGTGCCAGTTTTGTTACAAGGCGGTTGCTCAATTGCCGGGCTCTTTCCTGTTCATGCCTGACAGTCAGCATTATTTCAACCAGCAAAGCGACCTTAATATAAACAAGCTTAGTATAGGTAGAAATCTAAATATTTTTACCCTCTTGATTTACTTTTTCAACAGTTCAAAACAGTCCGAACAAGCACGAGCCTCTATTAACAGACTAACCTACCGGCATTAGTTGATAACCCCTCACCATGGCGAGTGCCCTAGTCGCTGGCCTGCACCGGACCACATCGCGCAATCGGAATACCACGCAAGCCAATGAGTCACTAGGATTTTGAATAAGTAATGACTGTGCCACCCTACTAATCGAATAGACGGCGCATTCCTGGTGCTTAGTTTGTCAGTCAGTCTAGAAACTGTATATAAGTGCGGAATAGCCGCAGACGACTACCAAGATCTTTGCTAATACGAATATCCATTCTTTCCCGGTGGATTCAGGTAAGAAGATAGAAAAGAAGAGAAGAAGATATTGGCATTTAGAAGAGCTAAACCATTCTCAGCGGGCTTCGGACAGTTCCGGTTCTCTTTATGCCTATACAAGAACACAACAGGTTCTGATTAATACATGCTCCAATACCATATATTTATCTTCGCTGAATTCCGAGCTGAGGCTAATTTTCAGAATAGATATTATATCGACAGCTGCTTCCTGCCTCTCCTTAGCTGCTATAGTATTTTGATTGGGTTTTGTTGAAACCCAGTTCAGAACTATCATTAACCACACCGATCCGTATTACTTGTTCCGATTCGCTCGACATGTGGGAAAACGGTGGTTTCGACAACCATATATTTCATAATATCGTGTTGTTAACCTCCTCCCCTCGGGCCTATAATTCAAGCAAACCTCGCATTAGATTCTGTAACAGGAAGTCTATAGATATTAGTTGTTTGCTCCAAGCGCAACCTCCTGTTCAGGGTTCATAGTCAATACTGATCGCAGTCACTCATCCAACCCCTATAGCCAAGGGACAGGATCATCCCTCAGCATGCTCCCTGATAAAATTACGGCAGAAAGGGCGCACATAGTGGCACTTAATAGCAACTCATACGAGAAATTCAAAGCAACTCTTTAAATGACCTTCAGCTCTGTCCACTTGTGAAGTATAAATTGACTACATTCACTGTTATCTCTTGTGTGACTTTAATAGCATTATTCTGCGTGACAAATGCACTAACAGTGTTCCAACACAGCAATGCTTCTGGATACCGAGCTGCGTATGCATCTTATTGCGGTCAGTCGCTTGTGGAAATGGCCTCTGGGATACGTTGCACGTGTTCAGTTTGTTGCGCATGACTTGCATAGACTATGCAAAGATGTGTACCCTGCAACATTCAAGAGGAGATTTGACAAGTGTTGGAGATGCTGGCTGGAGATATCAGTGCTTCAGCACCTGCTTCCTTCAAATGTGCCTTTCCAGGAGGTAAGCGTTCCGGGAAACGGATTTTAAACTATGGAGCCAAGAGCTTTTGTGGTGCCCTTGGGGGAACACAACTTTACAACATGATAGGCAATGTGAACGATGTGGGCTTCATGAAAATAATTAAAGAAGAACCCGAAGTATCAAAATAAATGGCTATGCTTACTCTGCCTAGTACCGATGATGCGAATCGTGGTGTTACTCTATATGGTCCTAAAATGAATCTGCCGCTCTTAAAAAAGTATTGGATTGCCTTTTGTCAGAGGAAGTAAGACGGTCATATCCGCAAGTGCTGTCTGGGCTGGGAATGGAAACACGGGCGATGTCGTCAGAATTGCGACAGATATGTCGCTTATCTTATGAGCCGGTCAACTACATCACTCGGTGAGATCCCTTTTTGGAGGGACCCGAATACTGAGCCGAATTCTGTTCTCAACCGGATGACTGTCGTTGCTCTTGTCAAGTGCTTAGTCCTGGAATCGAGTAATGATTTGGGCTACTAGATGTACTATGACTTACCAATAGATGTATCTAAGACAAATGGCACTTAAGTCCTACTTGCAAATGTTGTCATAAGCCTTTAGTGTTGGTTGATAGGTAATCAGAATATGGGATCGCTTTACCTATGTGCGTCAGGGAATGTCCATTTTCACCTTGGAATGCACAAGTCACTCTAAAGAGCGTAGGCGAATAGACGAAGACCCACGCAGCAAATATAGACGTAGAGGCTTAGAAGTGAAATAATAAGACCTTGCGATGCATTCTTTAAACAGATATAGTCAGTTGGTGCTCTTCATCTGGGCGGATCAGCTTCATAGGTACGAGCACTATGGAGTTAGTAATACATAGCTATCTAATGCCGCTAATGTTTGTCAATGTTATATAAGATCTTTGCATATCAGATTCTCACCGAGCTCTTTGCCTATGGCAATGGTGACACCCTGTAATTAACTTTCGCCCTCGCAAACTTCACCTTTTAGCTATAGGAAGCTGCGAGGCTTATGATAATGAGATGCCCTCCCAAGCAATACCCGCGTCAGTGCCAGAGAAGCTATAGAATCCAAATATCTAGTTTAACAAGATAGAGATGATGTTAAAAAAGTAACGTATATACTCTGTAGAGAATAGTATTAGAATAGGCCAGAACTCGAGAATTAAAGAAGCTTTTCGAGGGCTGGAAGTATTGGAGTTTTAATTATAACAAAGCTAGTAGGTAACTATTGTAAGTGCTCTCATCTCATGCCTTCTAATATTAAAAGGCCTCGAAATCTGGATTAAACGAGAAGACACTGTGGCCATTAATATCTACGCATGTATGAACGGTTTTGTACACCGGCTCCTTACCTTGGGCGATATGCAGGCTGCCCATATGGCTGTCCTTACATTTACAGCAAACATAATTTTTAGCTCCGCTATTCTATAATATAATCTGTAGTGAAAGGAAGAATATTAGTTTATATGCAGTTAATGCAGGGAAGCTATCGGTTGTTACTATTTAATATAGAATGAACTCAGTCTCTTGTATAGATATTCAGATCTCGACTACTATGCTATTCTGTACGCCTCAATTAGATCGATGCATTCGATTATTCATCTCTATTACTTTCCTCGAGGGGAGATACCTGCAGCAGTGTTTTCGGTATCCATTCGACGCTGCACTCTGCATATGTAGATCAAGTCATTCGGACTACACTGTTGTTATATATATTCTATTATATGTTCTATATAAGTTAGGGCTGGAGATAACTAAATTCAATCTTGCTTTCAAGCATCTTCTTTCATAGGACTTTCTCTTCAAAATCTCAGAATCATTTAGCCATTTTGTGTATTGCTACAGCAGTGTGTTTAGCATTGTACTATTAAAAAAAGTCCAAGAATGCAGGAACCATATATAGGCTTTCTATAAGTCCACTACAGACCTAATAAGAAAAGATAAAGTAAAAGATAAATTAAGAACCTATGGGACATACGTAGTTCCATATTCCCAGTACCTGCAGACCTTGGCACTTGGACCCTTGCAACAGGGTACGCCACATATCATTCCAGGAGGGATCGAATTAATCTTATTTCTTTTTTCCCCTGGGAGAGTGTCTAGGGACAAACTATTGATCGACCGGTTCAACCAATATAGCCTATCGAAAACCGTTAATGCCAACAATTTATTGCCCGAGCTATTTCTCCGCCCTCCCCTTGCAGCTGTGTAGTTAAGACTTTCTATTCTTGTAAACTATTTTGTGATTTTCTTCAATGTGTAACGCGCTCCTGCGAAGTCCTTGCGTGGGTTTGTCCCTTGTACTGGGATGAAATCTATAATTTAATTTATTTTATTTCTTCGTCAGGCAGTAGCTATGTACTTGGAAATAGGCCATTTGTGTAGCAAAATATGTTAATTGAGCTGCTCATGTGATGGGGAGAACCCCCGCGTGCAGATGTGGGAGAAGATGAGCTACCCGTATATACCGAACACAGTAAAATCCTACATTATCAAAACAATCACCTACCATACCACCAAATACCCTTCAATATGGAAGCTCGCGAGAGAGCTATTCAAGCAGCTCTTAAAGATTTTAAAAGTCATAGAATTACCTCTCTACTCTTCATGGCCAGATGAAGGGCGCGTTTGAAAGGACTATTACTCATCAAGCTTCTCAGTGATTGACACCAGTTCAAGAGAGCTACCTTGCTGACTGGAATATAAGCCAAGATGTACAGGGATTTTCTCCTACCATTACCCGAACGCGTGAAATTGCGTCCGAATTATTCGTATTAATGGCGACTCTTAACCATTGGGAAAAGACTGGCTCTCTGGCTTTGAGAAACTACAAACTATTAATTTTAGATGGCCATGGAAGTCATGAACACATTGAATTATTATTCGCAGTGCCATGTAAATAGATTTCAAGAATTATTCCTTCCACCACATACTAGCCATGTTCTTCAACCTCTGGATGTTGGCACATTTTCAAATGTTAAACCTCATTAACGAAGTGAGGTACAATCTCTCACTTTTTGGGTGATGCAGCCCCACCTAAGAAGCCCTTTATTCAATGCTACCAGAAGACTCGCAGTTCAGTATTCAATGAATCTATACTACGAAGTGGCTACAAAGGAGCTGGTTTATACCCATTTAATGAAGAGAATAGACTTAATATCCGCTTTGTACGCTTCGATCCTCCAATACCTTCAACTCCTCCCTCTATTTAGCCAGCTTCTGAGACTCAATTACTTCATTCCGCCTCTAGGAATGAACACCAGGACTATAAAGTATTTCAGCTACTTCAAAGATCCAAAATTACCAGATGTGCCCAGATTTTCCTTCAGAAAATGAGCGAGCACATTGGCCAATTAAATTGAATACGACCCAAGCTTTCCAAGATGATTTATTTCCCACCTGCAATTTAAAGTCAAGACCTTGAAGAAGCCAAAAATCAACAAGCAGGTTGTAAAAGACTCAAATACTAGGCTCAGCAATATCGAACAAATCATGAAGGCTGCGCAGAAGGCCAAGGAACAAACTGAATGTATCATAGCCAGAGGGCCTGAGGGCAATGAATTAATGGCTAAAAAAGCTGCAGATAAATCTTTAAATGCCAGTTTAAATGCCTTATGTTTTGAATGGCAAGCTTATTTGATAGTGATGGTAAAATTTTTTTTTTCCCCTGCTTATAAGGATTCTACGCGGTGTTAGGGATATACGGGTGTTCGGAATGTGGGTAGTCCATTTTATAAACTTTCAAATTGTACGCTAAGTTCCAGACCATGGCTCGCGAGATCATCGTGGATGATTTGTGCTCCTGGGTCTCTGTTGCTGGTATGTCGTCTGCCGTCAGCTGGTGATAGAAAGCTGAAAAATGAGTCTCAGCCCAACTGGCTCCACTACAGTGCTGAAAGTCCTGGATATAGAACTTAGGTCTACGCGGTATGACATAATGGCTAATCCGATCAACAGGATTTCATGGAAAGTATATCCAACACGGGGGAGTGGGCTATATGCGGGATAGTTGGAAAGAATCAGCTCTCAGCCTAGTCAGTTCCACTGCCTAAAACTCTGTCTCAATCGTTCAATCACATTGATTCCGGTCAGTAGTCGGCAGTCGGATCTCTCGTGGGCTTTTCGATAATCATTACCGATCTCGATGCGAGACCAATGCCGGACGGGCTGAGAGATCGACTAGTGTTGGCGTGGCGGCCTGTTAGTCTAGGATAGCATATGGTTTCGGGTCCATCTTTAAAAAAAAAAAAGAAATCATTGGGAGAGTATCACATGGATGAAGTTGTATTGTGTGTCGCTGGTTGACTGGCTGATAAATTGCGACTACCCACAATCCCGGCACCGGACTTAGTGTCTTGGTGTACACAGTACCTCCTGGGTACTGTTCCGTGGAGGTTAGTGCCTGCGCGCGACTGGCGGAAGGTCTAACGGCTTGGACGCTTTAATTACGATCGGAACTCCACGAGATTAAACAGGACTGGGAGGCTGAGAACTGTCTCTGGCAGTCAAATTAGAACACCCATTCCCCTATTTTTTGCCATTTTCATTCTCGGTTATGCATCTCCCATAGCGATCGACAGGTCGACTCGTGGTTGAAGGGGGGAGAAAGAAAGAATGGTACCTACCTAGTAAGTAGAGACCACTTCATTGACTACCACAATGCAATCAGTCCAGCAATCAGGCCATTTGGATAGTGGGTTCAATTAGTTCTCCCGATCGGTGGGAACAACTACGCGATCCGTGTTCATCACGTTCCAATGGTTCGCGTCAAAATTTGAGATTGTACTTTCGACCTCGACTTGGTGAGATTAGGATAGATGGACTCCGTACAGAGTATAAATACGGGCTGGTTTCAAACACTCGAGAGACTTACATATTCTTCCCAGGATAAATGTGATCAGTATACAGCAACATCTGCTCAGCTCGACCATTACATAATAGGCTAATATGTCACATCATGTCATGTTGGTAGCGTGGCCCTTTATAGTTCGGACCGGTAGACCCGCTACAGTCGAAGCACCGGACTGTAACATCATACAATCAAGCTTCTCCACTCATACTGGTCTCAGAGGACAGACTTCATTTCGCTTGGCTGCTAATTTTGGTGCGAACTCCAAGGCTACTCCGTACATGTTTGACAGTCTGACTGGTAGTTCTCCAGTAGTTTATTTTAGATTTGTCGTGTGTCTCTGGGCCCATCTACTGCGGAGTAAGGACACCGTGGTTGTCTCCCCGTCGTCGACAACATCGGTCAACCGAGGGAAGAATCCCATAAAACTAGCTATTGTTTGGGCTAGAAGTTATCTGAGTGACACTATAACCCATCTTTACATATGTATGTACCCTGTAACACATCCAGTCAGGGTAAAAATTCATGATCAGTTACTAGTATCTCAGGCTACTTCCACTGTACTGATCTTAATACTGGCCGTGCATGCAATCCTCCGTGAAATCCCATCCACCCGCAGCGAACCGTGGAACAGCAGCAGGCCAAGGTTCCGGCCGTGCGGACAGCCGCCATGCATATTCCCAGGTAGAGAACAGTCGATTGAAAAACATCTCACTGCGCAAGAAAAACCCAACCACTCTGCGAAGTACGTATGGCTTTCTGTAACTCCTGGATTGTCTTGACATCCAACCACCTATGGAGTACTCAGAGGCTTGCCGATCTGGGCCTGGATCTTGTCCTAATTTCCCCTGTCGTCGTGCCGAATATTAAGCCGAACGGTACCATGGACAATGAACAGGGCAGGGCGTCAGTATCTGTTTCGACTATTTTTACGTCTCCCAGGATTGGAAGAATTTCTCCAGATAGAGACGTAGGAGTCCCTGACTATAGAATAAGATGGCAGCGGTATAATATTCTATTATTTTCTACTCCTGCCAGGGATAGTCATGGATGGAGTCGACCATCCCTAAATACGTTCCTGGATTAATTACACACTGCCCCTCTTTTGGTTCCATTCTAAGCATTTCCCTCCACTGAGTCCACTCCCTACAAACACCCAGTCCGGTTCGCTTGAACTTTGATGCCCCCATTTAACTCTAGTGCCTTTTCAGGAGAGTCCGTCTTTCCCTAACTTACTACAGATCACTCCTTGGTAGGAGTGTCCAGGGACTCTCTTACCTACCTACAGACAAGGTAAGTTCTGACTGTTCTCCAGACCTGTCACAGTGTCCCTTTTCTTTTTTTTTTTTTTTTTTTTTTTTTTTACCCTTCCACTTCTTCACTTGTTTGTCGGCCTGGTTTGGCTGCCTTGTCTTCCTGCCGCTGTCCTGGCGGGCTTCTTATACTTTCCAATTGTCTTTATTTTTTGTGGGGGTTTAAAATCTTATTTCTCTCTTATCCCTCTAACCTTGTCCACCATTTGTCAGATAACTACCACCAACTCTCTTTCCCCCCTTCTGTCCTGCAAAATAGGGGAAACGTTTGGTTTTCGCCGATTGCTGCCGGCCGCCAATATCGCGCAACTGACTCACCTAAGAAAGCAAATCAACAACAACAATAAATAATATTAATCAACCAAAAGAAAAACAACCAAATCAAAAATTCCCCGATCCGCAAAAAATCGGCAAACAATAACTGAACACTTACCCATCTCTGATGCGGCCCTCTTCTATTGCTTGACCCTACCATAACCCATCCATATCATCATACCTCCACGTCGATCACTTCGCCTAAAACTGAGTCTGCGGCCACATTTCTCATAAAAGGGTCATGACGGCCTCGCCGCCTGCGTCGCCGACGGGTGCCCCCCAGCGACCCTTCAGTGCCATCATGCGCACTCCCAGGAGCAATAGTCGCTTAAGCATGAGCTCAAAACATGGCGGAGGAAGTCGGGCATCGGACGAGGATGGCAAGACGGCCGTCAAAGTTGGTGTGTTCTTCTCGATTCTCCCTCATCTCCTTCCACACCACTTTCTCCCCCTTTTCTTCTCCCCGAAGACTATTCTCGCGGTGCCGGAAATATTATATATGCATGACCGTTGAGATCATATATTATCATCATCTCCACCATCATCATCGTAAGTTAGTATTGACGTATTTCCAGCCGTCCGTGTCCGACCCCCTCTGAAGCCCAACGACCCAGGCTACGAATTAATCCCGCAACGTTTCCAGCGCTCGATGGTCCACGTCACCACGCCAACCAGTCTAGCCGTCGATGTTCCCCAGGGTCGCAAGCTATTCGTTTTCGATCGTGTTTTTGCCGAAACGGTGGATCAGGATGGTGTTTGGGAATATCTCAGTGACAGTATCAATTCGTTCCTTCAGGGTTACAATGTCTCTATTCTGGCTTACGGCCAGTCGGGTGCCGGGAAATCCTACACTATGGGAACCGCGGGGCCTAATGAACAAAGTCACACTGAGGCAATGGGTGAGAGTTTCTACTTGAAATCGGTAGGATTGGCTTGGTGGCTGACGTGTTTAGGTATTATCCCCCGTGCTGCGCAACTTCTTTTCCAAAAATTGGAAGGCCCATCGAAACACAGCCGCAATAGCTCCACTGGTCTCCGTACCCCCGTGCGATACTCAATAAGCTCCACCTCGAGTTTCGCAAGACAAAGCGTCGAAAAGAACTGGCAATTGAAAGCCACCTACGTTGAAGTATGGAATGGCAGTGGTCCTAGACAATCTTTATTAGGTACTGACTTGCATAGATTTACAATGAGCAATTGAGAGATCTTCTGCTCCCCGATTCAACTCCGGCGAGCGATCGCAGCGCTGTGACAATTCGCGAAGATGCCAAAGGTCGCATTATTCTTACCGGTCTACACCAGGTCAACATCAATTCTTTCGAAGATCTTATGGGCGCATTAAGCTTTGGCTCGTCAATTCGACAGACTGATTCAACTGCCATAAACGCCAAGTCTTCTCGCTCGCATGCCGTCTTCAGTTTGAATCTCGTTCAACGTAAAACCGCAAACGGAGTCACCTCGCCCAAGGAGAAACGGATGTCGATGCCAGTAGATGGATTATCAGGTTCGGATCACAACGTTACTGTCGATAGTAAGCTACACTTCGTGGATCTTGCTGGCAGTGAAAGGTTGAAGAATACCGGTGCTTCCGGAGAACGCGCTAGAGAGGGTATCTCCATTAATGCCGGTCTCGCTGCCCTTGGAAAAGTGATTTCGCAGCTATCCTCGCGCCAAGCAGGGTCGCATGTGTCCTATCGCGATTCGAAACTCACTCGACTCCTCCAAGATTCCCTGGGCGGAAACGCCTACACGTACATGATTGCGTGCGTGACTCCCGCAGAGTTCCATCTAAGCGAAACATTAAATACTGTCCAGTACGCTCAAAGAGCCAGAGCGATTCAAAGTAAACCGCGCATTCAGCAGATCTCGGATGATAGCGACAAACACGCAGTCATTGAGAGACTGAAGGCGGAAGTGGCATTCCTAAGACAGCAATTGCGAAACGTTGAGGATCATGACCGACGTAGTGCTGCACCCCAGGAGCGAGCGGAGCGCCAGAACGAGAGGGAAATCGACCTTCAAAACCAGCTTCTCGATGCCCAGGAAAGCTATAATGCACTGAGCCAGCGTCATGCCAAATTGATTGCTGAGATTGCCAGGGATTCCGAGCAGCCGTCCGAGTCCGATCCCAGTGATGTCGCTTCAGCCGTTGGCAAAAACTCCGTCGAGAGGCTAAAACGGTCTCATTCGTTCGCCGAGTCAGTCGAACAGGTCGTCCTTGAGTATGAGAAGACCATACAGAGTCTAGAATCATCTCTTTCGAACACCCGATCTTCGTTGTCGGCGACCGAAAGCAGTCTGCTCGAACGCGAGACCAAGTGCGCCTACGTCGAGACGGTCAATTCCCAGCTTCAATCTCGCATCCAGAAGCTACTGGACCGAGAAGCCAGCAATGAGACCTACCTACATGAGTTGGAGTCTAAATTGGACGGGCAATCCTCTGGCGAGGAGAGGCAGGCGGAAGTTGCGTCTGAACTCCGCAAGGAGCTTAGCCGTGCCCGTGAAAGCGAAGCCAATTGTGAGGACTATATTTCTACGTTGGAAGAGCGTCTGGCGGAAGCAGATCAGGACATGGAGCTGATGCAGCGAGAGGTGGAACGCTTGGAACACGTTATCGAACGTCAACGCAGTCTCGGAAAACTTGACAATCTCCTCTATGAACTTGACCACGTTCAGCAGAACGGAACCAAGAGCAAAGTGGTCGACAAGGAGATAGAACCTCCTGCCTCCGCTGTCAAAGGCGCATACATTCCCCAGAAGAGAGCATCATCTCTTGACGTTTTGACCGAGGCCATCGAGACGGCCATCCCGGAATCAGACGAGGGCTTGGCTGAGCCGATTCCAGAAGTCGGGGAGGACACTGTAACGGAAATCGACAAGGAAGCGGACGAAGGCGAAGATCTGAAGACTCTGGAGAAGGCGACCAGCAACATCCAACCTAGCAACACCGAAAAGGAACAAAGACAAACCCCTAGCCCTACCCAATCAAACGTCGTTGCAGACAAACTCGACACAATTAGCCAGGAGCTTTTCGACTTGCGCATGCAGCATGAGACTACCCTCAATGAATACGAGCTTTTAGAAGCGAAATACGAAGAGACTCTCAAGGCGTTGGCAAAAACACAACAGGACGTCGCTGATGAATCCCGTCACCATTCGTCGAATGCGCACAGCCTCGTCTCCCCAGCCACTACATCTCGACCGGTGTCTTTTTTAGAAGATGCCAAGGCTCCCGACTCGAAAGCTGGAACACAACACTCGTTCTCGCAATCACTCTCATCGGAATTATCCTTGGTCGAGGAGCCTGTTGTTTCACAGGAATATTCTGATCGCAAGATAGAGCCAGGGGCAGAGAATCATGCGGGCCCCCCTACATCCGAGTCCAACGAAGTAAGCTCCCAGGAAGTAGAGCATATGCGGCAACTGCTCTCTGAGCACCAGGAGGGTGTCAGTATTATGACTCAGAAATACGCCGAGTTGCAGAGCGAGCATGAGGACACACTAAATCTCGTTGAATCACTGAAAGCCAAGATACAACGGTCCAAGTCTACCTCCCCGCCTGCGACACCTGGGTTTAAATCGCAGGTGATTCGGAGGAAAACCAGCCAGAGTTTGATGTCTACCGTCGATCGAGCTCATCGTTCTCTAGCCGCCTTGCGCAATATTGCCATTGAGGAATTCGAACAACGCCCTGATACAATGCAAAATTTCGAGGTCCACTTGGACTCCGCGATGCATGAGCTTCACAATCGTATGGAACGCATTCAATCGTTGGAGGCTGAGAACCAGAGTGTCAAGAAGGAGATGGAGATGAAATCTACCATTATCTCTGGTCTTACACGGGAGCGATCAAGTTTGCAAGGAGGCGCTTCTTCGGTGGACATGGGCCTTGTGTCCCAATTGCGTGACCAGGTTGTTCAGCAAGAAGGTATTATAAATGAGCTCAAGGAGGCACATGAAGCCAGACAAAAACAGTTGATCGATGAAATCCAAGAATTGAAGGATCTGCTGAAGTCTCAAGAAGCAGCTGCTCGGTCGCAGGATGCAGGTGCCGAAGAACAGTACAAGAAGATCAACCACCTCGAAGGAGAATTGGGCGAATTGAAGAGCAAGCACCAAAATGTCGTGGAATCTCTGCAGTCTTCTGAACAGCAACTCAGTGCCACTCTCGCTGAGCTTGGTAGTGCATTAGCAGCTGTGGATGCGATGCGGTCCGAGCGTAGAGCCGCTGACGAGGCAGTTGCTGCAGAGAAAGAGACCATTGCCAAAGAACTGGAAGACTCAAGGGCCCGACAGCAGGAGATTGTTGAGAGTCTTCAGCGCAGTATTGAGGAGCACAAGTCTACCGCCGGCGCCCATCTGGCCAGGATCGCCTCCCTTGAGGAATCATATGCCGCCGCTGAGAAGCAGTTGTCAGAGTTGGCGGCTGCGAAAGACAAGGACAGCAACGAAGTCGGAGTACATCAGACGCGTATTTCCGAGCTAGAAAGGGAGATCGAGTCCCACAAGTCAACCTTTGAGTCTCATAATAAGGACCTAATTGCCTTACAGGAGTCCCACCAACAGGAGCTAAGCGAGCTGGAAGCAAGGGCTAGCGCTGCCGCACAAGCAGAGTATGGCTTGCAACTGGCGGACAAGAACAAAGAACATGATGAAGCTATGAGAACCCTGAGAGCCGAGATTGCGGAATCGCGAGACGAGCTTTCGAAATTACTCAAGATGGTCTCCGAGCTTATTAATTCTGATGTTACTACAGACAACCTGGCAGATCAAATCCAAGACATCTTGACGCAAAAGCAACACTTCTCTGAAAAGTATGCGGATCTGCTCGATGCGAATGATGATCTTCGCAAGCAATTAGAACAAAAGGATGGTGAATCTACTCTCTTGGAGGAGCTAACCAAGAGTAACTCCGCCAAGGATGCCAAGGTGAATGAGCTGGCTCTTTTGGTTGCTACTCTTGAGGATACCTTACGACAGAAGGACGACCAAGTCAAGAAGAAAGAAGCACTGGTCGCCGAAATCACAGCCGAGAAAGAAAAGAGTGTCCGCCTCGTAGAAGAACTCGAAGAGCAAATCACCAGCAGTTTTGATCAGCATCATAATCGACTCTCTGTGATCCAACAGGAGCGCGACCAGGCTCTGGAAGATGCTAAGGCGAAGATTGTCATCCTTGAAAAGGACATTGAAACCTACCGGGTGCGAATTGAGCAGCTTGAGGCAAGTAGTGTTGTGATGAGTACGAATCGTTTATCATGGCTAACCGACGTACAGCTTCAACTCAAAAACAGTTCGGACAGTTCGCACGACCGCAGCAGCTCCATTACTTCCAACCTACGGAAGAGCTCTTCGGCCACTTCTCTTCCCTCTCCGCCACCAGCCATTCCACTCCCGCCTCTCCCTACCATTGCCTCCACCACGAATGGTACATCTGGCAGTATCTCTCCCCCGAGCTCACGACACACTAGCAAGGAACTGGTCAGCACTCAAATTGTTGAGGACCAGGAATCCCGCATCCGCACTATTGAGAAGCATCTCTATGCTGAAAAGCAGCTTACTGCTACGCTAGAGGAAGCGCTTGGGGACCTCGAGGCGCAGAGCAACAAGGTTAAATCAGACTGTGAAGCGTGGAAAAAGAAGGCATGGCAGTTGGAGGAGGAGCTATCAACTCTTCGCAAAGAACGCAATTCGCAGCGTCTTTCTCTCCAAGCCGTTGAAGAAGAGAGAAATGCTCGCCGTGAGGCCGAAGCTGCTAGAGCCCAACTGGAAGAGCGCATGAATGCGCTCAATAAGAAGAAGAAGAAGAGCACTCTCAACTGCTTCTAAAACCACCTTCTCCCTCTCTCGCGTTTCTTGTTTCTTTTTTCCGTTTCCCTTCTCTATCATTACTTGCAAGACACGATGTTTAGCTTCTATTCTGTATTATGAATTCGACGTCGATTCCCCTTTTAGCTTCGCTGATACCTTTCTTTCTCTGTGTGTATTCGCACCGTCCTATTTTACCACCATGCACATTCCTCCTTTTCCATTATGATTTTCTATTATGACTATTTTTGCATGGTGACTCATTAGCTTAGACTAATGGGTTTTTGTATGTATGTACATTTTTCGTCGACTACCCTACCTTTTTGCCATTGAACGTTTTGACTGAGTTGAGCTTACTGGGTCTTGCTGTTTCTATGAACTCAGCCGTTTCTCATATTTGTCTTCTCTCCATGTGTTTTGGAGTCTATTGTGGATACCAGTTGTGGTTCTAGTTTTGGTACAGTGCAATTTTGTCCTCAAGATTGATGCAGACATCTGTACAGCAATCTGTATGATAAACGGAAATGGCGATATAATGTAGAGTAGTAGCTGTAGAATAACAAAAATATAACAAAATATATCTACTTGTCGAAAATCAACCATTTATTTACAAATACCGTTTCTAGATAGATGTTGAGGATACGTATCACATGACGTAAACATCCGCCGCGTGTCCATCAAATACTGTATTAAATTGTCCACCCTGGTTTTTTTCTTTACCTACAGGAAATGACCCTACCTCTCCCAACTGATCAATCTACCTCATATCCCTACTTGAGACCGTCATGCCAAGTCTCCAACGCTCCAATGTGATCATTATCCACCCAGACCTAGGCATCGGCGGCGCGGAACGACTTATCATCGACGTGGCGCTTGCGCTCCAGGCCCGCGGCCACCGAGTTACGATCTACACCTCCCATCGCGACAAGACACATTGTTTCGAGGAAGCGCGCGATGGAACCCTCGACGTCCGGGTCCGTGGAAACACTGTGTTTCCAGCCCATGTGTGCGGCCGGTTACATGTTCTCATGGCGATTCTGAGACAATTGCATTTGACTGTGTCAGTGTTGAGAGAGCTGGGATCTGCGCCTATGACTCTGATTCGGGAGTCGAATAAGTCGGATAAAGATGGGGAGTTCGAGTTCGAGGATACTATCTTTATTGTGGATCAGGTCCCTGCTTGCGTGCCGTTTTTGAGGACATTAGGACCCCGGCAGAAGCAGCAGTCAGAACAGAGGGATCGAAGAAATCGACAGCGGATTTTGTTTTATTGCCATTTTCCGGATCAGTTGCTGGCTCGTCGGAATGAGGGTAGTTCGCCTCTACGGTTCGCTAAGGTTCTATATCGGTATCCGTTTGATTGGTTTGAGGGGTGGTCGTTGAGTGCATCAGATAAGGTTGTTGCGAACTCCAAGTTCACTCGCGGTGTTGTGAGTAATATCTTTAGGGCGAAGCAGCTAGGAGATGTTCGGGTTGTTTATCCTTGTGTTGACACGGAAGCTGGTGGTGCTACGGTAGTCAAGGAGTTGGGTTCTGCTATTGAGAATGAGAAGCTATGGGATGGGAGGAGGATTTTATTGAGTATTAATAGGTTCGAAAGGAAGAAGGATATGGCGCTGGCTATTCGAGCGTATCATGGTCTGGGTGAGAAAAAGCGTAGGGGCACTCGGTTGGTAATTGCTGGTGAGTTTTCTTCTTTCCTTTCCTTTATTCTGAGACTCTACCTGTTTGCTTTGCAGTTTTTTTTTTTTTTTTTTTTTTTTTTTTTTTTTTTTTTTTTTTTTTTTTTTTTTTTTTTTTTTTCTTAACGATGTACAGGCGGTTATGACAATCGAGTTCAGGAAAATGTACAATATCACAAGGAATTGGACGAGCTCGCGATCAGTCTGGGGTTGCAAACTGCTACGTCTAAAACGGTCATCTCGGCGCTTTCTGTCCCCGATTCTATAGACGTCCTCTTTTTACTTTCCGTCCCGACGGCATTCCGCGATACACTGCTCCTGCAGTCGAAGCTACTCCTCTACACACCGATCAATGAACACTTTGGCATTGTCCCTGTGGAAGCGATGCGTGCTGGAATTCCCGTCCTTGCTTCCAACACGGGTGGCCCATTGGAGACGATCGTCGAAGGCGAAACAGGCTGGCTTCGCGATGCAAAGGTGGATACAGAGTGGACGGCAGTGATGGACAAGGTCCTTTATGGGATGGAACAGGAAGAGCTGGACCGCATGTCTGCTACTGCCAAGAAGAGAGTGGAGAGCGAGTTCTCTCTATCTGCGATGGGCGACAGACTCGAGGAGGAGATTTCTGATATGCTCCTCTGTGACCGACGGCCTTTCAATGGTTTCCAGCAGATTCTTGTCTTTATAGCTTTGTCGGGCTTTGCGCTCTCTCTTGTTTCCATGCTAGTTTTCAGAGCCGTCTAAGTACTTAATAAATAATACCCATTTTATGCGTCAATTGTATAGACGATCGAATTCACTCGTCTCTTGTATATCGATAAGTACACCACGTGACTCCGTGTCTGCCTCGCGCTGAGGTCGCGACACGTCCGTCTCGATGTATTCCATCAAGAAACTCAAGTCAGTCAACAACTCCAGGCGCCCCAATCGAAGGAAAATGCCCGATGTCATCGACCTTCTCTCCTCTACACCTCCGTGCCCGAGAGATCCCCCTCCGCCGCCATCCACAAGATCACGTTCTCTCCCGCCTACCCCTGCACCCTCAGCTAGATCGCAATTTATCCCTTCCTCAGACTTTGACATCCCACTCTCCATCCACGACGATGAGATCGAAAATACATCCAAAAGAAGACGTCTAAGCTACCAATCTATAGGAGCATCAAGCCAAAATCCTATCTCCAAATCCGCACTAAATAGCCCCGTCCCGGCCTCCCGAAACCCGCTTTTCTTGTTTTCCGATGAGGATATTCTCCCTTCACCCTCTGGGGGACCGACTAATGCGAGACTCTCCGCTTGGAACGGGGGTGATTCGGATCCTGTTGTTTTTACTTCTTCGGCACCAGAAACCGTGAGAAGGGGTGGAGTGACGGAGACGAGGACTGAAGCGATTACGATTACTATTGATGACGATGATGATGACGATGACAGTGCGAATCATGTATACGCGGAGCGGCGCAAGAGAGATGAAATTGAGGGGTTTAGTGATGAGTTGGTAAAGCCAGATTTGAATGGTATACTTGCGATGTCATCGAGGAGTTTTGAGGACTGCTCCAAAAATGACAATGATCGTACTGGTCTGAACTTTTCTAGTAGGACTGCGAATCTGCTAGCTAGTCTGGAGAGTCGGTCCAATTCGAAAAGCTCAGGGCGGTCTAAGCCCCAATCCACAACGTCGCGCACGCAGTACGACCGTGATGTTGTCGATGTCGAGGAGGATATCTTAGATGAGATAGCAAAGCCACGGAATACAATACGGAAGAAAACGACGACAGCCAGGTTCATGAGTGCGGAGAAAGAAGCGCGGGCCAAAGAACGAGAAGCTACGAAGGCTCAGCGTGAACGTGATAAACTGCAAGAGAAAGAGCGCAAGCAGAAGTTAAAGGAGGAAAAGGCTCGGGAGAAACAGCTTGCTGCGGATATTGCTCAGGTCAACAAACTGAAGGTGGACAAGAAAGAATCTACGCCCGAGATGATAGTTGATCTTGCGTCCAGCTTTGAGGGAACGAGTGTAGGGAACCAGACGGTTGAGTTCATGCACAAGTTGGGCGTTGAATTGCATTTCTGTACAAGCGAAATGGCAAATATCGTCCGGTGGAGAAGGAAAGTAAAGGCAAGATACAATACCACTGCTGGTCATTGGGAACCGTGTCCATTTCACATTCGACAAGAGGAGCAGGTTCTGGTTTTCTTGACAGCACAGGAATTCGTCGACATGGTCATCTCATCTCCGTCTACATCAACCGACACAGCACCGGCCAATCTAGATCGGCATGTACAAAAACTCAGAACCACATACACTGACTGCAAACCCATCTACCTAATTGAGGGTCTAACAGGATGGATGCGCAAGAATCAAAACTCGCGAAACAGAGCCTATGTCGCCGAAGTACGCCGACAAATGGACCCAGAACCAGCCTCCTCTCAGCCCTCATCACGCAAGAGGAAACCCGCCGCCAACAAACCAGAAAGCAGCCCTCCAATTGACGACGACACTATCGAAGATGCCCTCCTCCAACTCCAAGTCGCCCACTCCTGCCTCATCCACCACACCAACGCCGCCCCGGAAACAGCAGAATGGATCAAGAATTTCACCGAACACCTGTCCACCGCCCCCTACCGACAAGAAATGATGGACGGACGTGACGCCGCCTTCTGCATGGACACCGGCCAGGTGAAACCGGGCGATACCAAATCCGATACGTTCATCAAAATGCTCCAGGAGGTACACCGCGTCACGGCATCAATGGCCTACGGCATTGCGGTCAGATATCCCAGTGTCGTTGACTTGGTCCAAGCAATAAGACTGCATGGTCCTAGCTTATTAGAAGATGTAAAGGTATTCATATCCTCCCTCTCTGTCATTGCCAATGTCTTCCGCCTATTATCGTATCCAACTCCTTCCATTATAACTGTGCTAATCGGACCCAGAAATCCGCTAACAGGAACGGCACCCTGACGGAGTCCCGTATAGGTCCGGCCGCTAGCAAACGCCTGTATAAAGTTTTTATGGGGGTTGATTCATCTTCAACCGATGTTTAATCTCTCGTCGTCGTCTATCGACCTATCTGTCTATGCAATATTCAATATTGAATAGGCGGTACCCCGTACCACATACCATACCCATATCCTTGTTCTTTTAGGAAGGTTTAGGAAGGCAGGTGTTCTGTTATTCTTTCTGTAAATTTTTTACTTTTGGCATTTTTATATAGGGTAGGTACTGGATTAGTTGTATATCTATTGGTTTAAAGTTATGGCTACACATTGATTTGGTGGTTGGTTGAACATGCAAAGGATTATAGTGCATCATGCTATCAACTTGTAATGAACATTTTACCCAACTCATGCCCGTTAACCAAGACCAAGCACAGAATTCGCTATATTTTCCCGAAACACACCAAGCTAGATACTTACCTAATCTATGCCAAACTAAATCCCAAGAATGTTCAACCACTATATATATGAAATTAAACAGAAATGCCCTTTCTCTTCCACGATCGCCAAGCAACCGACCATGATGCAATAGCTATCCACACGCTGAGGGTACAACCCATAGCCCAGATCCCATAGCATTTCCAACCGTGACACTGGCCATCCGGGGATCCGTTCCCCCCATCCATAGCATCTTGGTAGCCGCGCGAGTAGATGATGCCCCACACTGCGGCCCCGACGGCTGGGACCATAGCGACAATGCCCCAGTTTGTGCCGAAGTTCTCCACGCCCCATACTACGGATATAATGATAGGAACTAGGGAGAATGCGCTGCCGTAACCGAGGCCAACAAGTGCTGTGGTTATGTGGGAGAGTTCGGGACGGTGGAGAGGCAAAGGAGATGCAAGGAGAAGATATCCGAGAGATAGAAGGAGGGCCGAGAGTAAAAGGAATGAGAGCCGGGAGAGGACGAGTCGGTTTCCCGTAGATGATGACAATGAGACATGGCCGTCTTCAACTATGCCAGCGATGAAATGAGTCGCTGGAGGCGCAAACAAGTCTGTAAGTGATCCTGTGAGGAGTCGAGCAATTGTCGATGTAAGTGCAATGTTGGTGACATGTGTCGAGGGTAGACCTGCTGGGGATGGGATATTGGGGGTTTTGGGTAACGGTGCTAATGTCTGTACAATAGTTCCGAGCTACAACCAAGAACTCAATGCATTAGACCAAACGATATTTGCAGGTACTACAGTCCAGATGACTTACATTGTTGATGTATGCCTCCCCTGGGCCGGTGACTAGGAAAAATCCCGCCGCAAGCCACCACATGGTCTGATCTTGGAGGAAGACTTTGGTTTCGTAGTTCAGTAACCAGTTCTTCTTCCTCCGCTCCTCTTCTTCGCGTTCCTTCATAATTCTAGCGGCCTCGCGCTCTTCCTCGGACTGGTTTAGTGTCCGCTCGTCATCTGTAGGATCCCCGTTTGCCTGCGAAAATGTCCCATAGGCCTCTAGGACCTCGTTTCTTGGTTGAAAGAACTGACTGTTCTCGAGGAGACCACTTCGCTCCAGTTCGTCAACTGCCTCATCAATGTACTTTTCTTCGTCATCCACGATCCTTAATGCAAACGTGCCAATGACCCCAGTCCCAAACAACAGTGCAGAAAGGAATATAAAATAGCGGAACACGTCCACGTCTCCACAACTTCCGTCGTCTAGACGCTCGCATAAAATGTGTGCTCCCACTTGGCTCTGCCACATACCACTGAGGCCAAACCCCGCGATAGGCGCGGCCAGCATAATTCCTTTATGCTTGCTTCTGCCAAAATTCTTGGCACATGTTGCCACCGCAGCCAAGTACATACAACTTGTGGCCATCCCGATGGCCACAAAGGCCAGCACCATGATGCTAAAAGGCCATCCTTGTCCACCCATGTCAGACGGGGGCCCACTCCTATAGGTAAACGCGGCCAAAAGATAGCCTACTCCAAAAACCACAGCCGCAAATAAAGCCAGTGGGCGTGGCGTGTATCGATCACAGAGATACCCAAACAATGGGACAGGGAGATACATGGAAATCTCCGCCGCAATCGAGACAGCGTTCACTTGGAGTTGAGAGTAGTGGAGGCGAGTAAGGAACAGATGACCATATAGCGAAAACGCAGTAATACTACCGGCCCCCAGACTACCACAAAGCAACAACAACATTGATCAATATACAGTGAATAGAGAACGAAGGAGTAGGTGATATGCAAAACCACTCACCAGCTAATCACTCCCCAGACAAAGCTGCAAACCCGCACCACTTCTTTGGCCATCTTCCTTCGATCCCGCTCCACAATCTCATCGACCACATCGTTTAGCAAGCCATCATCGCCGTCAGTGAAACGACTGCCTGTGGAGTGGCCCGAGCCCGGTCGTATATACAAGTGTCCATGTGCGGCTCTATCCATGCCAGAACCATCGCCATCTAGTAGCGGCCTATTTGTATCGAAGTCCCGCTTATCGATCGCCGCCCTTAGATCGCCATTCGACCCGGTCATGATACGCTATGTTTTCGCTCAAATGCCGCCCAGCTCAGCACGAAGTCGGCCGTGGGAGCAACGCGATGTAATCCGTTGTTTAATACTGTTGGGTCATATAGAATCATATACAGTAGGCCAGAAGAACTGTTGTTCCGATGAATACTGTCTCGCCAGATAGGGGGACCAGTTGACTGATTGGGCTCTGGTATTAGGTTCTCCATACGTCACTAGCAGAGCAGAAGGGTCATACTAATATAGATTCTAGAATGCAGAGGAACAGTGGCTCGACGAAAAATAAAAAGACCACAACAAAGAATACATCAAATACTCTCTGAATCAAAAGCAAAACAACAACTCATGCAAGGATCGCGGGAAGGTATAGACAGATAGGAGAGGAGAGCATGAGGGGAGAGAGGAAAGTCGAAGCCAAGTCACGGGATGACAACCACACCGCTTATCGTCGTGGACACGTGATCCATTCTGCCATCACAGTTACCATATTTATACTTTAAAGGGGTAGTTTTTTTTTTTTGGAGCAGCCTCACGTGACAACTACACTGGTCAGTTAGTACTCTTACTGACGGGGGACGTTACGGTCTAACGCGTTTAGGTCTAAGACCACATTGACAGCCTTGCAGCCAAACTCTACGCACACTGTCCCTCTTCTGCACGAGGTCACCAATAAACTAGCTTGCGTCAAGTTGTGATATTCACTCTTGAGCACAAACATTAGTTTATCAAACCTTGGCCAAAACAAACTGGTCTTTTGCCACAAGGAACACTAGCAACAAGAGTACGTCCCAACATTTCGACTCTTTCATAGACAATGTATGGACGAGAGACTCTGCATTCTCTCCACATTTTTGGAAGGTTCCCTCAAGGCTATCCAAGTGGAGGCTAGGCGACTCCGTACGGCACCACACAATCGGTTCCGCGCTTCAATACAATCCCTGGCTTTAGCAAGCAGTGAGCCACCTGTCTGGCACATTGTCCACGGCTATTCAAAAGTCGCTTATGCTGGTCTTGGAGATTGGAGCATATATTAGGTAAGAATTGGTGTAGAAAGCACTTACATTTATGCTAGGGAATATTTCCATCTAGGCAAACTAACCGCTTCGGCTCTACTATGCAGCTACTACGAAATACGCAGTAATGAGCTGGACAACTATATGGAAAATACCATACTAAGCGGTCATGGTGTGGGTATGTTAGCGCAGCGGCGATCGCAGAGACAAAATCACTTGTACGACTTGGCATTTAGTAGCTTCCACGTCTGTGAGAGCAGAGCTGATGCCTTGGCTTACGAAATCGATGCTAGTATTGCAGGTCACAATTCCTGTGATAATCTCATTGAGGAGAACATAATCCCATCGTAATAGCAGTTGCTCCCCAGTTTGGAACGAAAGTGTATTCTGTGGCGGATGCCCGTATGAATTCCAAGCCAGGCCGCACGTCACAAAATCTAGCAGGCTCCCTTTGATAATACTGTAGGTGTTTGTGGTGAGTGATTAGATATTTGAGTGTTTTTGATTTGGTTATTATCTCTAGAAGAAGCAGCAGAGGTCCTGTGATACAAAGAGCGTCGTCCTCGCCTGCACTCACGTAATTCCACTGCCCTCCTGTCATTTTGTATGGCACTCTTTAGGGTGGATCTGTGAAAAATTAAGACGAACTAAATATGAATTGTAAAGCACTAAGTCTCTTTGAACATCCTCGACAGAGATTCCATGTCCAGCTGAGCATACCCACTTTTGCAGATCAGAAGAACACTCGTATTCTCCAGCTCCAGAAGTCCCAGGATGCCCTTGAGTGACTACGTCTAACTTAAAAGCGATCTTGACGTGTGCTGCTCGGGGATTCGGCAGTGTCTAACCAGCTGCTTATGGACCTTTAGTCTAGATGTCGCGATTTGCGACTAAATTATATAAACTTGCTTAACTCTGGCTCTTATGTTTTTGATTAAAATGTGCCACGCACTCCACAATCCGCCAAGCTCACCATTGTCGGCATATCCTGCCGATTCGCTGACCCAGCGTCATTCTGGGACCTGCTTCAAGCTGGGCGTGATGTTAACACTCAGGATCCGCCTGACTGGTTTGATTTGAGGACTTAATACGTCCCAACAGAAGCAGAAAATGCTTCACCGACACAATTTGGGAGCTTCATTGATACCCCTGGTTTCTGTGATGCAGCTTTTTTTTAATACGTCACCTCAAGAAGCAAGTATTTGTGATGTTACTCTCCAAATATTGTCGACTGACTAGAGATATTAAGGCACGAGAGACCGATCCGCAGCACCGTTTGGCCCTTGTGACGGCCTGAGACGCTCGAGATGGTTGGGTAGGTTAGCGGCCGGACCCCGGCTAGTGATGGGAAACGAGTTGCAGTATTCTACAGCCAGGTCGGAGATGACTGACTTGAGCTAAATGCGAGTTTGAATATCGGACATTATGCAGTATCTGGTAGGGAGGGGTCATTGGCAAGTGGACGCATTAGTTACCTCTTCAAGTTCTCCGGCCCTAGCTGTAGTATAGACGCCGCATGCGCCAGTGGCTTGGTTGTAGTTAATATAGCATACTCGGCACTTTGGTTAGGAAAGGCCGATACAGTGGTTATTAGTGTACTGTATGTTCTGACCCACCCGGATAAGTTTGCCAGACTAGGCAAAATTAGGCTTTCTATCGCAAACCGGCCAATGCAGTGTGGGATAAGGATACTAGCAGCTACTGTTGGGCAGATGGTGTAGGCTCGATTGTTATTAAGAGGTTTAAAGACGCTGTTCGTAACAACAACATATCCTGGCAGCTATACTGTTTACAGCCACCAATCACTGTGCCAATGCAATCTCGATAACCCAACCCCATGTTAAAGCCCAAAGGTATCTTTACACTAAGCTCATGTTCAATGCCAGCGTCAACCCATTAAATATAAGCTACATCGAGCTCCATGGCACCAGTACTTAAGCGGGCGATCCAGTGGAAGTAGTATCTGTGAAGGCTGTCTTCGCACCGGTGCCGACCAGCTCAGCATTATGGGCTAAATGCATTATCTGCCATGTCGAGGCAGCGACTAGTATCGCGTCCCTAATTAAGGTAATTTTAATATATTAAAACCATCGGATCCCGCCGCGTGTCGGAATCCGCTTAGAAGCTAAACCTGCTCTCCCAAAAGATTTGGAGGCTTGCAATGTACCTGTGTCTCTACGAAGCCCGGTGGCCAAAACCAGGGAGAAAAAAAGCGCTACACTGTGGTGAACAGTTTTGGCGTACACGCACGAAATAGCGCAGTACTGCCTGAGGATGGTCCGGAGCAGACACGGAGCAGCAAAGATCCGCATTAAGTACACGTGGTGGCTATTTCAGCCAAGAATAAAGCGTCACTAGGGGAAACCTCCAAGCCTACTGGGGTACATACAACGTTATCCAGATGTACAGCTTGGCGATCTTTTATATACGACATGTGCCAGGCGCAATTATTATAAGTTCCGCAATACAACTGCAGTTAAAAATAAGCCACACCTTTAAAACTCCCTGAAGCTCAACTTGGAGAATGTTGAGAAGGTCGAACAATTACCTACCAAATCACCCGGGGTCATATTTGCTCTCACAGCGCAACGGGAATCGTATGTCGGCATTAGCGCCCAGACTTTTAACATATTCCTATTCTACTGCTCTTAGGTTCTTCAGCTGAATTACATATACCATTTGCTTTCCATAGCAGACAGATTGGACGTGTGCTACCCCATTATAAGGTAGTTTAGACACACTGAACTCAAAGGCTCCCGCTATAATAGCCCTATCACCACTTCTGGGAGAGTGTATACTAGCCGGTGATTTGATTACCCCGCGGTATTTACAGCGAGCGTTAAGAGAGCCTGTGGATTTTATTAGCTCTATTAAAGCGGGTCCGCGCCTCGGGATAGCTACTACTAAAACTATATAGTTTAATATCGGGCCCTATCCTATCTGCGGGGAGCACATGCGGAGGGACAACCTTGACATCTCCGTTGTTTCGTCGCTCTGCCGAGGTGAAGATGAATTTCCAGTCATTGCCAAGAGTATGGCAAGGCTGCACTCCAAAGGGGTGCCTAGTTTCTGGAATAAGTACTTTAAGCTATGTAAAAAAAGGCATATTTTTATTTACCTTTGCCTAGCTATAGCGGTGACGAGAACTATTAGATCCCTTACATGTCAACATGGGCTTTGGACAAGGCACATAGCGGCAAACAAGCGAGCAGGAATTTCTTAGAAACAACCCAGGGGCTCCAGACATCACTGATCCACAGAATTACCATTGAAGAAATTCACGGTTCGAGAGGGAGAATACAGGTTATCTCTGATATGGCACATCCTAAGTTTCGCCCCGCATTATTTGCACCCTCCTGTCTCTTGTTGCTAATTATATAGATTTATAATGATAAAGGGGTTCTGTGGATTATACTGTGTAGGGGAAGAATTATACTTGATAGTCTCAGCGGCTCATATTCATCGCCTTCCACACAAGACTTCTTAATCTATTGTTAGAGGAAGCCAATAAATTTGCTAAAAATGAGAACAAGGTTGGTCAAGAAAAAGGAATTAATTCCAATGGACGATGATGAAGGTTATCAAGGTTATTGATAATAAAGAGATGGTTGTGCAGAAGATAGATATAATAAAGAGTGAAGATGAGGCTGTAAAGTGAGGTAGATGTCAATAGTTAGGATAGAGGCGAAGATGGGTAAGGTTCCTCTTTTGGTAAACAGTAAACTCTACATTAGTGTAGCCTAATTCTTTCTCAGTATTCACTAATCGGTGAGCTTTCTTGTTAGTAAATAGCTCCTAAATCACTTCAGCTCTTTTCCCATATTTCTTCCACTGGTGTTCCTTGCGATATTGGGGTAACTCCCACTTTTTAAAGATACATCTTACGGCCAATCCCTTCACTTCTCCTTCTTCGTCCTTTTTCCGGGAGCAGAAGATTTAAGATAACTTCGATTGTTTTATTAGCGATCTTCCCAGTAAGAAAATCCTCATGAATAGATGAAGTTTTTCTTTCTGCGGACTCGTCTAAGCTTAAACAGATTAATCCTCTTAGGTTTGGGCTTTCTTCCCTTATTCTTTTTACGATCACGTTCCACAGCAGCACTATGTCTCCCTCCGGCATAAATCTGGTAAGATCTAATGGTTCGAACGCTTTATAATAACTGCCCAAGGCATCCTGTAGCTCGGTAAAACGTTCGAGGCAATTTGTTGCAATCAACATGGCTTGATAATCTACATCCATATGGTCCCATTGCTGATGAATAATATTGGAAAGGAGTTGTTTGGTAACAGTTTGTTTAGATGTACACGGCTTGAACTTAAGACTTTGGCAGGGACAAATCCGTGTTGTTGGATGAGACAGGTGTTGTGACAGGCAGGTTGTAGGAATGAATCCCAGTCAAAGGCGTTTAACAGGTCTTCAATAACTGCCGTTCTCAAATAGGAGATAATCAATCGAACGACTGTGACACGAAGCCAACTGACCAAGAAGCGGTGATGGGTGCTGGAATATGGCGAACACCAAAGACAGTCAACTGCGTCGTCAATACCTTAGCGATAAAATGCAACCCGTTATCTGTCTATAGAACTTACGACCAACCAGGACCTCCGCTACGTTTTTTTTTTAGGAACCCAAACGTAGCAACTACTGTAGCGTTTGGAAATACTTACGAATCAGCTAAAAATAGTCTGATGCAGTAAGGATATATCAATTGCTAGATAGAGAGACAGGATTGAGTGGCAATATAATTTATTGCCAACAGATCTATTGGATCCATGATTGCAGATAGACGAGCAGTATCTTTGGGGATTTTTGGTCCCATTAATTGATAAGCATGACAGGTGTTGTAATAATTTTGAATGGTGAAATCAATTGGGTTAATACATTAGTATCGGCCAATTGCTCTTCCAAAGGCAACCAGGCCACAGAATTGCTATGCAGCTCATGAATCTCGTGAACTAGCGTCAGGATAGGCAAAAAGCACAAGTCAATATACAAGCAAATTGCCAGAAGCTTAGTGATCTAGAAGAAGCATCATTAAGGAAGTAGATTTAGATATGGACAAGCGAGGCCTTGTACGCAATATGGCAGATATACTGCTCTATGAGCAAGAGAGAAAATCAGTCGGTAAGAGATGGATCACTAGATTTATTATACATCATAAAAATCTTACATCAAATATACCCGCAAATATAGCAGTGCAAAATGCAAGAATCCAGAGAATATTAAGCAGTGGGTGGTTTAATCTTGTTCAGAATACTATAGCAAAATATGGCATTCTTAAACAGGATATCCCAATTGGCAGGAATGGAGATTCCGGTGCCGTCCTTATCAGTAATGCTCTTGTTCCACTAGACTGTGGCATCCAATACTCCGATGGATATACGAGGAATCGTGCAGCCCTGACACTTTCCTACCCCCTGCAGAGAGCTTGAAGTCAACTTGTGCAGCTGGAGATTGGCAGAAAGCGAGCGGAATTGAAGCGTAAATTGGTCAAATATCCTGGGACACTGGAGGAGGGGGAATATCCTACTCGGAGAGAGGACAAACCATTACCTACGGACTATCCGCACAAGCACTGGAATCAAATCCATAATCAACTCGAGTGTCCTAATGAAGTTTTTGTTCGCCAGTGACCAAACTAACTGGAAATCACTGTCCGCCTGTGTATTTTGGGCTCATAGCTTTTTCTAATACCGTCATAAAATCCAGGGTGCACCGAGACATCGCAGCCGAAACGGAGAATATTATTGGAATCGAATGAAAGGGTGGGGAGTGTCTATTAATAATACTGTACTACCGCAATACCTAAACTGAAATTAACGGTAGGTGGTTACTAGTAGTGAAAATAAGAAGTAGTTGGAGAGTGATTATATCTTCTGGTGTACACGTGAGATTTGAGGCTGTGGGGATGACGATCTTCTCGCCCAGTGAGCTGGTGCCAACTCTGGAAGTGTATCCTAATTAATTACAGCTGCTAACATAGTACGTACTCCCCGGCACTCTCAGTCCCAAAAAAGGAAACATACGATCATGAATATTATATAGCACGTTGACTCCATAAAAAGCCGGGAATGTCAGTTGAAGGATATTGGTGAGAAAACTCCCTGTTCATCCTCGTCGGTATGATCGGTACCACAAGAACTCCAATTTGTCATGACCAATATCTGCTGGTGGTTATTGTAAGTAATTAACCAGTTTGGCACGAGGGATATGTTCAATTCTTTCTCGTTATCTCTAGGCTGCCTCATTTCTGATTGCCGGAAGAAGTTGAACCAAAATAATAACATCAGTTTCAAAACCAAGTCTCTGAAAGCGTCCAACATCGGAATAAATGCGGGGCAAATAGAACATCAGCAAAGGAAATATAAAGTGCTTTGATAAATAGAGTAAAGGCCTCGGCGAGTCCATTGATTAGGCACTTGTGTTTCTCGCGAATTGCATCCATGATTTGAATATTTCGCAGGATGGAGATGGGAGTTTGAAACAATGGAGAGTAAAGTGGTGCGGGGTGTGGATGTTACATATTTAAGCAGTGAATATCGTTATCCTTATTTACCTCTTTATGGTGTTTTATTTAATTTCCCATAAATGCACTACATGGGTGTTAAGGGCAGTTTATGATGTGAGTGTATACTAAGTCAGACTTTTGACATACAAACGTAATAGCTTAGGTAGGTATAGAGAAGAGAAGCATTGCTCTAGCATCATATCATCTAGTGACCCCATTTGTCATAATAACGACTAGTCAACCTCGTCAACAACTGGAACCCTAGTCTTCTCCTTTAAGAACCACACCGCATCATCAATTTCGTCGGGCACTTTATACCAGTGTTCATAATGCTCCATCGGCGTCAGACTGAAAGGGTGGCAGATCGAGAATATCCCGATATGATTGACCGCTTGGATGTGCAGCAGGATTTCGTCACCATCTGTACCGTGGGCAAACGGGTCCTTATCGTCTTCTTCAGCTTCTGATTCTGATTCTCCCTGGTCGCCTTCGTCAATTTTTAATAACCAGCAATCTGCCCTTGAAAAAGGTGACCACCCGCTCATCCCAATGAATCCCCCAAGCGGTTTGCTCTCTCCATCTTCTCTCACAAAAGGAAGTCCCCCCAAAAGACAGAATACAGAAGCCGCACATTCCTGACTTAAGCCCCCAATCACAACACGACTATACCCATCGCCAACAGCGGGATCATTCGACAAGAGCTTCGCCTCTTCATCAATCAATGTCCGAAGGAATTCACTACTTTCCAGTAGTCCATCAAGCTGTAATTCAGTCCGGGTATTCGGATCCTCAAGCGAATAATTATTGAACCACTGGTTGATAGGAACCCGTTTCAGTCCAGTAGAACGCCGTTTCCTCGCGGTGTGGAAGATGAACTTGGTCATTGGAAGGCGCTTCTCGATGTCCGTTGATTCGATAAAGACGTGGCCAAAGCACTCGCTATTACTACCGCGGCCGTGGAGGATAATTATTGTATGCGTATACTAGTCAATCCTAAGAGAGTGGATGACAAGGGGAGACGGATAAGGCTTAGAAGGCATGATAGGTAAGCAATTCTTGAGTACTCCTGGGTACTCACTAAATATTGAATAAGTGTATATTGACTGCTCAGGCGGCTTCCGGAATTCTCTAGCAGTCTGTTAATCTGCTCTATAACTAATCTAGGAGGAGATTATGTTCTTGCTTGTAGTCCTTTTTATAATAGGAATATAGCGTTTAACGCTGTTACTGGGATTCTCGATTGGGGGCTTCGGATTATTTTCCAGTGTGGTGGGAATTTGCCTGTGCTAGAATAGTTTTAGTTCCGAGCACCAGGAGTGGAAAGCTATGTTGCGGATGCCTTGGAGTTTTAGTGGGATTATTATTCCTTGTCCAAGTGTTATCCTCATCTGAAAATGACTGGGCAGCCTCGTTCCTCGGGGAGAGGTGTCTGCACCGCTGACAGCTGAGAGAGGGGTAAAGCAATTTACATCTATGATAGTGGGGGTGCGTACCGCAGCAGAGTTTACCTAGAGGTATTAGGTACATATAGAGTGTCTACGCAAAACCTGTTGATTCGACAATAAATACTCCCTTGTTTGCTTCGCTGCAAAGTAGATGCACTGGGGGCGGGACAGTTCGCTGCAGTATATTTCCCATGCATCTCCGACGACGGTCCGAGGGAGCAGATCAAATCCTATAGGTGGGGGTTGGAGATCGGCTTTAGATCGAGACTAGAATAAGTATTAAATGGAGCCCAAAATAGTGCCCAATATATATATGTGACGTCACTTGCAGCCGGGTTGATCTCTCCTGGCTGAGCCCCGTACACAGATAAACCATTCTACCCTCCACCATTTCTCCTTCCACGGTCACACCCATCGGTACCTTTACTACGTAAGCAACTGCTTTTCCTGAACCCCACCGTCCAGTCAGAGTCAGATCTTGGTCTATCCTTTCATCATGTCTGTTATTGCTCTCAACAGGTAAGACTTGAAGGCTCTTTGTTGTGAACATTTTTCTCTCCCTAAACACATCAACTGACCGTTTAATGTGTTGTTTTAGCCTCTCCGAATTTCGAAGTTTAATAAATTCAGGCTACACTGTCATAATCGACTTCTGGGCTACATGGTGTGGCCCCTGCCGAATCATCAGTCCAGTGTTTGAAAGCCTTGCCACAATCCCCGAATTCAGTGACATCAAGTTCGTCAAGGTCGATGTCGACGAACAGACGGAAATTGCTGAAGACGTCGGAATCAGAGCCATGCCAACCTTCATTGTTTTTAAAGATGGTGTTAAAATGGACGAGTTAGTGGGTGCTGATCACAATAGCCTGCGAACGCTTATTTCGCGCAATGTACCAGCTAGATCTTGAGTAGATAATATGTCCTAGCCAACGAGATAAGTTATATATAATGCTTCCTATATATGCGTAGAATTTAGCTAGCCACTCAGGGGGTACTCAGATCTACTCATTAAGCAAAAGCGGCGAGGGGTGAGCACTAAAGCGTAGAAGGGGTAAACATCAGTTTGTCTAGAAAACTCAAGTACGTATGTACAGGCAAGCTTACGGTGGATTGACAATTAACCGTATAGATTATCAGCTCTTGTTTGTCTAATAGCCTGCCACTTTATGTACAAACACAATCATGGAAGTCTGCCTGGTGGAGCACATGAAAAGTCCAGGGAATCGGACGAGTTCCCAGGAGGTATAATCAGTAAAACATGTCCGAGAAAGTAAAAAAAAAAAAAAAAAAAAAGACAGGAAGACAGAGCAGTAAAAGCAAGAAAAAGAAAAGACAATTTCATACACGCCAACAGAACGGAATTGCTCTCCCACAAGTCCTTCCACGTATGCACCAGGCATGGCTGGAGAGAACCAGAAGGGGAGCTGTATGCCATAATTAATCGTCAGTATCGTATCATTTGTATGACAACCCCAGCAGTATTCCATCTCGGTCAATATGATGATGTTGTCGACATAATTGGACGCGTGAAGGGCAGAAAATAACCGCAACAGTGAAACAGAACGAGAACGCCCAACCCGGTGTCATGCAATCTCGACGCCATATCCCGACCCACAAATGGCTCTTCAATTAATGGGGAGCTGAGAATAATATGGAAACAGAAAATGCACCCGCTAACTCCAATGGACGAGGAAAAGAAAAAGGAGGGAAAAAAAAAAAAAAAAAAAAAAAAAAAAAAAAAAAAAAAAAAAAAAAGGGGGAAAAAAAAAAAAAAAAAAAAAAAAAAAGAGAAGAGAAAAAAAGTAGGACGGAAGGATCATCTTTAGAAGCTGACTTCGCCCGGATCACTTTCCATTACTCCCTCATCCCAATATCGATCTGATGTATTCTGGTGGCCTGATACTTGGGACCCCAGGGCAATCGCCTCCTCGCCTTCGCCTCGCTCAATATACTCATCTTGGCTAACCTCCTTCACAATACGCTGGAAGTACATTCGCAACGTTCGAAGTCCACGAAGATAGCCGCGATCAATATCATCCGGATGTTTTGGGGGGCAAGGCGCGTCGGAGGGGATCTCATCTTCGCCTGTAACGCAGTTGGCGAAGTCGACAATCTTCAACTGAACATCAGCGTTGTTATGACCATCGTCAACAGCACGATGGTGCAAAGGATCCCGTTGACTCTCTGCGCGAACGTCATCAAGAGGTCTGGCCTGTTCGCCATCATAGAGAATCAAAAGACTGCTAGCATAAAGGCGGTAGCGTTTAAGCCTTCGGATCATGTTTTCCAACATAGAAAGCTTGTCCAAAATGACAGGGATCTTCCTCGCCACGCTGGTATAGCTAACCCCATCGTAGAGGAACCGGGTGAGAGCATCCTGGAACTCTCGTCCGGACTTCAGATCTCGACCAAAGTATTTGTCTTCAAAGGAATACTCTTGCTTCTTCACGTTCCAGGTCTGCATGCCACAGAGCCGGACGCCAAGCTGCTGAGATGTGGTGGACTGACATTTTCGTCGCTGGGACTTCTTCTTCTTCTCATTGGCTTCCATGCCGTACTGGCGCGTTCCCATCTTCAGATCCAGCACGCACGGTTTATTCATGCCAGCCGTAAGATCCTCCAGCAGCAGAAAAAACTGCACCCTTTCGTCCTTCCGTGTCTGTGCCTCCTTGGGATTGCTTGGAAGTTGAAAGCGATTATCGTCTTCTTTCCCTTCGAGACGAATTGAATGTTTTGACGGCGCATTGCTAGCAGGTGGGCCCGGCAGTTGTACGCCATTTTTCGGAGCTAGCGAGGGAGTCCCATTCACATCGGGGCGGTCTGTTAATGGCATGGAGGCATCGCCTTCCATGGAGAATATTCCATCCTCCTTATCGCCGCCATACCCATCGTCTTCGAAAAACATGAGTTCCCCTCCCTCTTTACCGGAAGTCATACTCCTTCGCCGCTGCAAACCACTTCCCGAATGACGACGTCTAACCTGGCGAGCCCGAGAGACCGAACTAGAACGCGGTGGGGACTCTTCTGTCCGGACTTTCTGAAGACGGTTTTGATTGGAGTCCAGGGCAGTAGAGGCCGACGAGGATAGCCCACGTTCGTCATTTGACAGCTTTGTAATCTCAATGGCCGCAGTCCGCGGTGACTCGGTTGGCGCTAGCGCGGCTCGATGACTACTCGCTGTTTGATCCTCAGAAAGATTAGCCCTCCGCCGAACAACATCTGAAGACGTCCTTGGCAACGTGAGATGACCTCGGGCATGGCGTCGGTGATGATGGATAGCCGGAGGGCTAAAGACTTCGCGCAGAACTTGTTCCTGGAGCTTTCTATTCACGGTGGTCGCGCCCCAGCTAATTATGGGTTTCCTTGGAGACTGATCAGACGCCTCGTCATCTACGATACTATCCCAAGCATTCTTGTCATCAGCGACATTGCCGACACTGTGAGAAACTCGATGTTTAGTAGACATCGTGCCGTCAGAAGTCTTTGGCCTCTGACAGCGGGAAAAGAGGTCGGCAGGAATGATATGGCGATTGTTCTCGAGGATCACTTTAGGTATGATACCTGTAACCTGGCTTTGGCTGACAATGCGGGGCTGGTCTACGGCTTCCGACAGTCGGGATCCGTTGGCAGGCGTCAATCCAGCAGTGTGGAGGTCACCGAGGTTGTTCGTGACATGCCCCGTGTCACTGCGCTCGACATTGCCTTCTTCTAGTGGGGTCTTATGGCGCTTCGGAGTTTTAGAAAAGGTCACATTGAGAACACCGATATACCTGAAGGCGAGGAAGAATAACATAACTAATTAGCCACACCATAGCACAAATCAATTGCTACAGACGTAGAATGTGTACACACCTTGGCAGGAACATCAGCATTTCGGGATGCCTGCGTTCGATACGCTCGTAGAATTCATTTTCCCGGTTGTTCAGTTGTTTGCATACAGCGCGCCTTGAGAAGCGGAAGACGGTCGTATGGCCGCCCACTTGATGCCGATAGGGCTTCAGTTCTACTGCGCCGAGGGGGGCCGATCGATCATGCTTGCGGCGTACACGTAGAAACCGATGACGCTGGGTTGGTGTAGCTGTTGGCGTCATCTCCGCGTCGTCCGTGATGCTCGACTCCTCATCCTGAACTGACATCCCACCGCTATCATCCGCAGAAGCAGCTTCCGATTCACACGTGGAGGACTCGCCGCTGCGTTCTGAGATGGCACTAAGAGACTTTTCATTTAGTTCTTCTAGTGAAGGGCCCGGTATGTCTGGTAGATCGCCGTGCAGGTATTTACTGTCATTTTTAGATCGAAGAGAGATATCCACATAATGGGCATCCTGCTCATCAGATACTTTATGTCTCTTTGGCACTAGAACGTGACTACTCTTGGCCGGTACATCAAATGGCTCCACGCCTTGTGGGCCTTGTGGAAAAGGCTGAACTCGATCCACTTCATCAGACACTGTGACACGTTCATGAGGAAAATATACGGCAGAGGAAATCTGTTCATCCTCCTCATCTTCAAACTGCGCCGAGCTGCGACGCCGTCCTTGGTCCATATCCGAGCCAGGTGAGAGGCTACCAAAGGATGCGCCACCCTTCGAAGTGAGATAGTCTCTGCCTCCTTCGGCATACTGAGTCGGGATACTCTTTGAGAATGAAGTACCGCGCGCGCCACCGGGCGTCAGATGGAAGTTTCGAATCTCCTCGAGCAAACTGCGGGGCAAAGTCTTATGTTGATGCTTGTATACATCATCAATGGAGCTTAGCTGAGGAGGTGAACTCTCCGAAGTCGGAGGAGCGATGGGTGGAACATCTGTCAGGGACAGATGCGACAGACTCTTGGAACTTCGGAGCCCAGAATCCTCTGGTGGTGGCGGCAGCTGCAATTTCATGTCTGATCGCTCGGGGATGTAGAGAGGCTCTGAATGAACCGGAGCGGCCTTATCATACGATTCCAATGGCTCATCATGTCTTCTTCCACGATCTTCCCTTCGTTTGCGGTCCGGCGACGTAGTGTTCTCCTTGAAGAGCCCCAGGTAATGACTGGACTTACGGCTGCGCACATGGGAAGCCGGCTCTGCGTTGGTCAGATTCGCCTCGATGGAATGATCTACCCTACCACGCCGGCTTCGGCTGGAGCTTCGCTCCATTTTCGTCTCCGCCACATTGTCTCTCAAGCCCGGTTCTGACACATGGTGAGAAGCGGAATCGCGGTCAATAGCTGTAGAAAGGTGATCTAGCGACGGCACCATTGATTGATGCGAAGACAAAGAGGCATCACTGAGAGAGGCAGAAATAAGACTGCGGCGGGACAGCGACCCCTCTAGAGTGGGCTTAGCACCAGCACCATCGGACTTGGTTTTATGAGGGGGTTGCAAACTCTCCCAGTCAGGAATCTGCGACTTTTCATCCGCCGTTTCGGGTCTGTTCTCGGGGCTCACGTCCGAGCCGATCAAGGCGAAGGGGGAAGGATGAGAAGGGCTTGCCGGCGGAAGCAATGGCGGAGAACGCAAGGAATGGTTTCTGCGGACGTCAACTTCCATGTGGGGGAGGTCGACGTGACTGCCACGGGGGAGGACCTTGGAAGAAATGATGGTGGGAGAAGGAGGCACATTTTCCGGTTCAAGGGTCAAACGGTTCGGGGTCTCATTTTCTATGTCTTTCACGGGCGGAAGTTGCGGTGTAACACTGGACTCGTTATCAGAAGGTAGATAATGGGTTGCGAAAATGCTATCCCTTTCAGACAACTGGGGGCTATGAGACCGATTAGGGCGAGCAGGCTTCTCCGGGGAGGTGGCCGTCGTCCTTTTAAGAGGAAACGAAGACGCCGGTTTGGCCCATTGACGAGCCGTGGGGGATTCGGCGCGGGATGGAGAAGGAGCTTGCTGGACATCTTGGTGTATGAGCTCATCCCGGGGATGGTGGTGGCGTCGCTGCTTGCCGTGGCGGAGGTCGGGCCCTCCAGAGCAATCACGTTGGGCAGACGCAGCAGGTGTCACCAAGGGTTCCGACAGGGTATTCTCTGACGCAGACGGAGGTCTTGACATGGGGAGGACATTGGTCGGGGCTGCTCGGTGAGGAAAAAGTGGAAGGAAGCCGAGAGAGAGAGAGAGTCAGAATGCGACGGGTATGGTTGGTGTTTCACCCAAGACGGAAGAATCGCAAGAGTAGTTTAGTCCAGCAGAGGATCTGGCGTCACCGGGTTAGCCAAGGAGTGGAAAAAAATTGAAAGATCCAGGGATATTTGCCACGTTCTGGGGAAAGGGCACCTTACAGGCTGGGATTTAGCGCAGTCGGCAGGATGACGGAGAGCTTCTCACAGGGCAATGGCTGAGTTAAGCGGGAAGAATGAATGATGTATGGATGGAGTCGGTCAAGTACTGCTAGGAGTAGGCAAGGCAGGGGGAGTATGTAGTATGTAGTAGTGCTTAATGCAGTTTAAAGCACTGGAAAGTGGACAAGCGAGTTACCAGGGGAGTTTAGTGGTAAGAATGGAAGGAGACTAAGAAGAAAAGGTGTTGGCTGAACCAAGAAGAAATGACGAGGATCTCCGTCACCGCCTTTAGGTAGGGAAGGATGGTAAAAGATCATCAGGAGAAGGGTAAAAAATAAAACAAAAATAAAAATAATTTAAAAAAATTTAAAAAAAATTTAAAAAAAATTAAGGAGGTGTCCCGACAATTCCAAAGAGCAGAGGGTCCCACCTTCATTCACATCCAAATGATAAAAATGAATTGGCAGAGGAGTGAAGCATCATCCAATTTCGAGGGACATGAAAAACCGAACACAAAAATAAGATACAGAATATCAATGCTGGAAAGGGTTCAGCCAATAATAATTGTAGGAAAACCGGGGACTGGGGTCATCGGCTATGCACTAGACCAATCTAGGTAAAGGGCCACCTATCCGTTCCAGTAAGATAAAGTCACGGGCTGTACTGGTGGGAATTTCGATATCTCTAGAAGGGTTCCAGATGGGAGAATTCCTCTGGGGTAAACGCTCCGAACAATCCTCCCCTACTGGTGCTTCCTATCAGAAAATGGGGACGGACTTTGACTCTGAACCAATGGACGGAGGCCGGGGATGTTAGAAGGATGCCGGTATCAGCATCATTGACTCGTTTCCTTTAGAGATCGCCAATGGAGACTCAACTCAATACCTATACAGAGTGGTAAATATATAATACAAATCCAGCAAGGCTGCCCAGACATCGGAGCCCTCGGAATGCGATCTCATGTGCATCACTTGATGACAATCTTGGGTACAGATACGTCAGATTGTTAAAATCGAACCAGTGAACAGCATTTAGTTGAACAGGCATGAAATCTCAAGATCTGGTTTGCTCTTGTACCTAGACACTACATAGTTCTTGAGAATGCCCTGGTAGACCGGGAGTACACTACAAACAAGTCCTCAGTTCTTCGTACACCGAGCCATTCGACATCAAACAGCCGCAAACAGTACCAGGCAACAACAATCCAAATTCCTCAGTGAGCGATTAATTGAGTTATCGACCTTGTTTACTCCCGTAACTTGGATGATTTGAATTGATCATACAGATCATCCCTTTCCATTCCTTCCATCTTTTCCCCACCTGACCAGACCAGCCCTGTTCTGCCAATCATTGAGCAACGTGATCGACCTGCTGGCCATTTCCTGCCGATAACGAAGTCCCGATCTGGCACCGGTCAGAAGGAACTCGGGTGTATAGATAGAGAATCCTGGATAATAAAACTTGCCCATGCCATTGCATTATTATTTTCCTTGCTTTGAGTCCTCCTTGACGATTGGAGTTAAATTCCATGATACCAGGCCGGTATTTACCCAGGTGTACACACCATCAAGTTACAGCGATGAGTTGATTAAATCTCTCAACTTCTGAAAAATCACAATGCACGACTTAACGCACTGGATGGTCTACATAGAGGACTTCATAGTCTGGAACGCTGCAGATTCTCTCCCTTCGGATTCTTGCTCACCATCCATGTTAGCACCACTCAATCCGATAGTCAAATCTCGTCATTGCTGCCCAAACCAATTGGTATTTACACATCGTACTGTGAAAATTGGACAGGCTACTACTTTAGCCTTCGATGGGTCCAGTGTTGACAATTCTACGAATGCAGCTATCTGCAGCCAACCAGGGTGGCAATTCGGTGCTTTATATCGTCAGATTGGTACGGAGTACTCGTGAAGCTTATGCTGTCGCTCATACCTTTTTCTCTTGTCTTCTCTTCTCTTTTCTTTTCCTTTCTTTCTTCCCCCTCCCCCTTTTCTGTGAGTTAAAGAGTCGTTATCTCCAGTGTTTTCTCCTGATAGAGAGCCCCCTACGAAGGTCCCTCGATGACTTGCCTGAGGACCTTGTCCCCTTCTACTTACATTCATATACTTATCATTTCCTCCCAGTTTCTGACTTGAAGCTGAATGATAATTTCGCAGTTGATATAAACATGAGAGCGACCATGTGCATCTATCTAAAAACACATAATTTTCAGGTAGGTTGATAGCACAGATACTTCTGTCGTATGAGTATCTATATTATGCCGTCTTGGTAAGGAGTATAGAGTAGCATGAACGTGGCAATGACTGGGAAGAATGTTACTCATGGATTTCACCTTGTGGGCTGTTATCCAATGTGGCCGAATATCTGGTCTTTGTCGTCACGTTGCCACTTTTAATACCTCGCAGGTAGAACTGAACGATCAGTGACTTCTTGGTGAGTATTGTTATATTATAAAGAATAATAAATACTATCGAAATCAGAACGCTAAGATACCTACTCGATGTATCTGGTAACAGACAAGTCGCCAAGTGTAAATCTATATTACGATTTCCACGCGTCTCCCTGGGTGAACCTTCATTAGGAGATCGAGTAGCATAGTAATTCACACTCTGTCGTTTACAAAATCTCACGTTTGAGAACAGGGAATAGAAAGAAGTTTTGACTCAGCGTCCAGAAATAAAATTGTTGGTCACAAAAGATGCCATGAATCTCGTCAATATAGACTCCACAACTATTTATTAGGTAATCTAAGTGAGATTCAGAGGCATGGATTAAATACAAAGCTTGATTGACATCAGATGTAGCTTGAAAGACAAACGACAGAACATTCCTTGCAAACATATATAGGCCGCATCAAAGTGATCTCGATCAACTCCAGCCGTATTTTTGTCCCTGCATTATCCTAAAGCAGCTTGCTCTAAACTCTAAGAAGTTAGTGGGCACTTTTCCTCTTGGGATTTTCTGCAGCTTTCCTCGAGACCTGTTAATCACATCGCCGACTCTTCTCACGATCAAATCTAACTGGCTGGGCCTTTTGGCGCCTATGATGATCACCTCCCAAGTGCCCGTCAACATTGCGGCGCAGTCAACTCGCTTTTACGGGCAACTGTTGGCTCGTCCAATGTGGTTGCAAAGGGGGAAAATCGGCAACACCCAAGTGTGACTCGACGGACCGGCGATGTGACGAGACAGGGCTACCAATCCAACGGGACGTTCCGAACTGCCGCCAGACCAACAACAATCCTTACTGGCGTGGAGGGCCCGCCGAACGCTGGCCTACGAGGTTGGCGCGGTGAGTGATACAAATGATCGAGGTGCAGCAGGTTTCCGAGCTCTGACCATTTGGATCGCGTCCTCCCCGCAGCACGATGAGTACATACTCCTCAAGCGCTGTCTCTCCACTTGCACGAGCCGGCCACCTTCACGGGAGGTTACACTTAATGCTGCTGCCTCCCTCAGTCCTTCCCTCTTCTTCCCTTTCCCTACGGTCTATATCCACTTGTTCTTGGTGACCACCGAGAGTAGTGGAATCGGAACGGTGGAGGAGCTACGCACCGTTGGTACACACTCCATGTATGGATGGATATACATGTAGATCTTCACGGAAGGGCTACATCTGTGGAAATTACAACAACTCTCATCGGCAATTTATCTCCGAGCAGTGCAAAAACCACTGGGCATTCCCAGGCCAGCCCCGTCTTATGCATACGTGACTAGTAAATTTCGTCTACTAGAGCGTGAGTACGGTGTGGGAAACGAGGATACCCATTGCAACACAGCTGCAAGCATGTCCCGGCAACTCCATCTGGATACCTCCAACTTGGGGGGGAACCCCAGGTATTCCTTCCTTGAGACTCCGCTGGAAATGCATGCTGGCCACCAACATCTTCATCAGCAGCCAGCGACCGTACCCGAGGCGAATGCTGCGCAACATCAACAGCTGCAACCAGCTACCACCGAGCTTGCTCAGCTGCCATTAAGTGAAAAGGCGCAATACCTACCCGAGGACCCGGCTATCTCTCATCATCCCAGCGGTCCAAATATCGAGCATCACCCGGCCATCTATGCTCCTTACGCTGATGATGTGCCTCAACAGATTCAGAATCATGACGCAGTGGTGCCTGACTACTCATATGTGGTGCCCCCAGGCTCTCCAGGACCACTTCCAATTAAGACAAATCCGGCGACCATGAGACAAATCCAAGAAATTCAGACTGTTTCGGTAGTGCCCGATGCAAACCCGTTGCAGACGCCGCAGTTGCCTCGTTTCCCACAACCCGTCGCTGTTGGACTACCGCAAACACCAGTCATGGATAGTCTCATGGTATACCATCAGCCAGGGCAGATAGCTCACCCAAACCAAGTGATCAAGGGCGGATCCTGGAGTCACAGTATGTGCGATTGTTCAAACATTTGGACATGCTGCCTTGGGCTCATATGCCCCTGTATTCTATACGGAAAGACCCAGTATCGCCTCTCCATGTTGTCCAGGGACGAAGACCCGACAAACATGTTAGGCTATGAGACATGCAACGGATCATGTACTGCAATGGCTGTGTTGTGCGGATGTCAATGTAGGCCCATGTGTTCAGTGTATTGTATTGAATTGACCGAAAAAGTGAAAGCTGACATGGTAGTCTAGGGTTGTTGGCCACGATTCAGCGCAGACGGACACGCAAGGCATACGGGATCCGGGGCGACATTGCATCTGACTGCGTCCGGGCCACTTGTTGCATATGCTGTACCCTCATTCAGGACGAAACAGAGATCAAGACGCGCGAGGAAGAGAGGGGGAAAGCTGCTAGAGCTACGGGGACGCCTTTGATATCGCCCTACCTTCCTCCAATGCAGATGTCATATGGGCTCCCGAGGTAGTGGCTCACTGTATGAAATCTGCAGGTCAAATTCAACTGTGCATAGACACCTGGGAAGTAAATGCTTAGAAGTCAAAAATCAATGTCGGTGGTAGGTGATCTGTTGGGTATTCTCATTGACTTTATTATGTCCGTCTCCTTTTTACCTTCCTTTTTCTTTTGCATCTTCTGTGCCTGTGTACTCTCTGCATTTGGACCCGTTGAGGGTTCACGGCAATATGCAACTCGTGGATTCCACTTCTAGGTATATCCTTTCTTTCTTCTGGGATTCTTTTTGCATTAAATAGGCGTTGTGCATGCTGGGCGTTAGTTTTTTTTGTCTGTTTATTTATTTTTCTTTTAATTTTTCTTTTGTGGATGGGCCTCGAGATGTGATATACCCTCATGTACAGAGATCACACACTTGTATAGAAAGTAGTGTGACGGTGAGATGTTCCACTGAAATGGAACCTAGGTAGTGTCTGTTAGTTACTCAGTGCCCAGTATACTATCTGTGCATCGACCCTTATGTGCGACTTCTCATTTACACAATAAGGGGGCCGGAAAATAAAGACAATGCTACTCCTGCTGGATACAAGGTCCAATCGAAGGCCCACCAGCGTCAGACCCTCCTGGATCTTTTCTCCCTGTTATACTTGATATACCTGGTTTGTTCCATCAACTGCAACTACTGCAGTCGTAATCACATGACACGCAGGTCAAGGGTTGATGAACTGGCAAAGGTAAGGTAGGATTCATTCACCCTCCACACGGCCGTCGCACATAGGAAAGCTGAGGGATCTATCCAGGGGTTTACGCTCGATTTAACCGCATACGACCCCGGAGCTGAGCCTCACCCCACCTGCAGTATGACCGTCGACAACGCAGCTGGCTTTGACTTAGATCAGGGGCAGAGACTCGCTCTGGAGACTTTCACACAGCTGTGTAAGGATCAGAGTCTCCTGGATCACCCAGACGGCCTTGCAGAGCAAGATGCGCGGGATGCCATCAATGATGAGACTACTCTAGTGTATGAACCATTCTTCTAGTTTGTATCATTAATTCTTGGATCCTGATGATGATCATGATAGACGCTTTCTACGTGCCCGCAAGTTCGATCCCGACGGGGCATTCGAACAGTTTCGCGAGGCGTGTCGGTTTCGCAAGGAAAACCATATCCACGAGGTGTATGATGGGATTAGGTTGGAGGATTTCGAGACCGCTAGAAGAGTGGTGAGAATTCACTCCCTCTTTCCCTCCCTCCCTATTTCTCTTTTTCTCTCTCTACCTTTATCATTTCCACTCTGATTGAGTCGATTGAATTTCAGTACCCTCATTGGACTGGTCGTCGGGACAAACGAGGCCTTCCGATATGTATCGCCAATTTCATCAACATTACCGGTGACACTGTGACGGGGTGGAAAGGAACCCGATATCTACAAGGTACATCCAGTGAGTTACGCCAAGTTGATATTCTACAGCTGGGCTCGGTCATCTTCGACAGTATTACTCGCTTCGCATTCCCACTTTGTTCTGCGGTGGCAGGGAAGCCGATCACCCGCGCTGTGATTCTCGTTGATGCGTCTACACTCTCCCTGAAACAAGGATTCGATCTCAGACTGTTCGCCCGGGATATCAGTGGGTTACTGACAACATGCTTTCCGGAGACTATTGAGCGGATTTTTGTACGGTTTTCCCTGTCACTTTTCTTCCAGTTCTGTTCCTGATCTGCGTGGATTGATTGATTGATTGATTGATTAATTGATTGATTTCTACGGCAACAGCTATGCAACTGTCCCTCTTACTTTGCAGCGATCTGGAAAATCTTAAAGGGCTGGGTGGATCCCGTCACCGCTGAAAAGTTAGTTTTCTTGACACCCGTGGAGGTCTTACCAACTCTGAAGGAATATATCGACCCCGAGAATCTTCCAGTGAGTCTGGGTGGGAAACTGGACTTTGAGCACGGAATGCAATACGATCTAGATGCTGCGGTCCGCAAAGTTTTAGGCCGTGATCAATTGGTGCCGGGACCGATGAAATGGGTGTACGATAATCGGGGGAGAATGAGCGCAGTGGCCGTGGGCAGTGTGGATGGACAGAAGCGACAGGCAACCGTGGCGACCTTGGAATGAGAATCAATCCCCGTAGAGTCTAAAATCGTTCGGAGAGATGGTAGATATTACATGACGATGATGATGCTGCAGAGTAGACGGTGGAAATGCTGAATAATTAATTCTACGGCCCAACGCTGGTCGGAAGGCAAATGGCCCGGCGAACTTCTTACCTTTCCTCTTCATCCTTTCCGCTTCTGCATCGAATCTAGTCTTATCTTTTCCATCCTTCGCTCTTGGGCCCATCAAGCTTTCCCACCGACCTAGTCGATGCCACGACATCATCGCCCCTGGGCGTCGCATCATGGCGGCTGTCAACCAGAACATGTTTGACGCCTGCATCTCCAACGATCGGCCGCGGGGAGGCTCGCTAATGGTCTTGCCATTGAACTTGATCGCTCTCATTGTCTCCTACGTATGTCCCCTTCTTCCCTTTGACTCAGGGGGAGACTAAGCTCTATAACTGACGCGTCTGGTGGTCTGTCCAGCTCGATGATCCAGGTGATCTAGCCCGCCTATGCCGAACATGTCGCGTGTTGAACTACATGTCTTTACCCCAGCTCTACAAGAACATGACTCTGACCTCCTATGACAAAATTCGATACCGCGGGGAAGCGCCCGAAGGGATGGGCAGTGCCAGTCCCTTTTCCATGGGTCTCAACGCGGTCATAACCCGTCCTTTCGCGTCACTTGTACGGCGGTTCACTCTGCGAGGGGATTGGCGAGAGCTGGAGCTCGAGGAACATGCGCGAGTGGGTCGGGTACCGGATTCATCGATGATGATGAACATTGCGGTGCGGGCGGCGGTCGATCGGATGCCCAACTTGGAGAGCTTCAGCTGGGAACTCAGCACGAAGATGCTGGAGACCGTGTATCTGGGGCTGACGCAGTTACCCAAGTTAACGTCTTTAACCGTACGGTTTCCCTCAAATCGTCACCCTCGGCCCATGATCACCATTCCCGCCATGCCGCATTTGCGCTATCTGAAGATCACCGACATTGATCCCCTGTGCTATCCGGATGATATATCGACGCTACTATGGAAGTCCAAGAAGTTGCGCGATCTGAAGCTACACTGGTCGCCGCGCATGAGGACAGCGCAAGAGCCTAGCGTCATGCTTCACGACTACTTCCGGAAATGCATTGCGGCGAAGCAACCACTATCACTTAAAAACATTGGTCTTCACAACCTATACGCTCTGCACACCGAAGAATTCAATCTTGCCTTTAACCAGGAAACCGTGGAAAACGTCACGATCCTCAACAATGTCGGGGTTGACGACTTGAACTTTATGAATACGTTCGTCGACAGTTCCTGGCCGAACAATCCCCCCCATAAGCGCATAAGAATCAAGAGTCTCCGGCAAGATTCCTTATCCAGGCGACATGCCGATTTCCTGGGTTCTTTCACCGGGTTAGAAAAAATATACTTTGTCAACGTGTCAGCCAATCCGCAGGAGAATATCAACTGCCCCCGGCAGTGGGCGCCCCCGGGGGGCCTCACTCCCCCTTCTCTGGACCAGAACCATTCCCCCTCGAATGAGGCGGTGGCCCCAACGCCCGATTCCATCCAATCCGCCGGTATGCAAACCAGCGTGCGCGACAGCTACCTCAACCCCCTCATTTCAAACCACTGCGCAACGTTGCGACACATGTTACTGCCTGCCCGATGGCCGCTGTCCAGCAGCACGATAGCGCGTCTCGTGCACGCCTCGCCCCGGCTGGAACAGTTTGCGTTCGCAACCGAGTTTTCCAGCATGGAAACCTTGGGGTTGGTCCTCCCATTTCTACGGAACCTTGTCGCCCTCCGCCTTCTCGTACCGACCAACAACGGCAGCAAGTTGCAATCCACCGGACTCGGCCCGTGCCATATGCCGAAGCCATTGGCGAACGGTTCGAACGTGTTTACGTCGGCGCGGTCCTTCGCCGACATCGTCGAAGCTGACGACGAGGTCCTCCTGGAGAAATTGAGCGAATCGCTCGCCGACCAGCAGGTCTTCAGCCGTCTGCAGCTTTTCGGTATGGGACGAAAGGCATTCCAGCTCGGCGAATACTACACCATCCCCGCCAACCAAGTCGAGCAGGAATCTCAAGTCTGCCAATGGCAATCCCCCAGCACCGAAATCACCAGGGATGACAAGAGTCCATCCAGTGCACCGCCCCAAGAGGACGACTCCCACGCCAACGGTGTTCTCACCCCTGCCGCCGGTCCTACCGCTCCTCCGTCCACGGCGCCCTCTACCGGCGGCAACACGCCGGTCCGAATAGCCCCTTCAATTCTGGGCAAACGCACGCGAGACGACCTCATCGTAAGCAATAAAGTCGACACCAAAGAATCCATCGCTTCATCTGGCTATACATACAACCCCTGTTTACCTGTTATTTCCAACGGTCCTCGCATCTGGCGTCGACGCGTCCGTCGAGTCGGCTGGGACGTTGTTAAAAATTGGGAGATTTGGGGATTAGATAAACAGGAATTATGATTGATGATCTATGATATACGTCTATACCATATACAGGTATACATAACCCGGATATACAGCGACATACCTATTTTACATTGGATGGATGGGTGGATGGATCCTGGTGCGATGGTCGGGAAGGTCACACATAAGCAGGACATCGTAAGGTGTAGCTACATACATCCTGCGACCTTAGTTATATATGCTAATTTCTGCGTGCTGAGTATATATAATATCAAGGTTATGAAGGGCTTTTATATGGATACCAAATAGGACAGAATATATTCCACTCTAAGCTTTGTGACCTGCCTATCTATTTCTATCTATTCTATTCTCATCGGTTGTACTCCGCACTTCGTACTGAATGTGTAGAAGAATATTGGGGATAAGTTCTATTGAAAATGAAAAATAGACCTATACGATGAATATAAAATAGGTGTATATCCGTCACTATTCAAAGGTTCTTGTCATCTACATCAATACAATGAAATCAACATAATACACCAATAATGTCCATTCTTCCTATTGTATCACCATATATCAATCCATCAATTCATCAACTATCATCTTCCGTCATGTACAGTATCCACATCCACCATATATACATGATAAATCATAATAATTAAGCCTGCTTAGCAAATCCCAACCTGGGACCCTGCGAATCAAAAACAACGTACTGACTCTTCAGGAACACATCACCGAAGATAGTGAATCCAAGACCGGAGTTGCTCTGGATACCACCAAAGCAGCTCTGGCTGCCTTCCTGCACGGGGGCATAGTTGATGTGCTTTCCGGGCACTACGGCCTTGTAGCTGCCGATCACGACGGTGAAGTTGGGCAGTTCAGTGGAGCAAGGGAAGACGTAGCCTCCTGCTTGTTGGTCCTGCTTGGCGCCGTCGACATTCTTGTAGTAATCTTCGACGACGGTGTCGTCGATTAGGATGAGGGTGGTGCCGGTGTCTTTCATTAATTAGCTTAATTTTCTAAGGATAGAAGTATAAATGAACGACGTACCAGCGATACCGGTGATGGAGTTGGAGTTGGTCTGGCCGTCTCCAACCCCATAGCCATCGGCGGTAAATTGCCAGAAGCCCTGAGAGTTATCTACCTTGGCGTAGGCGATTTCGCCCGTGTACTTGCTCTTGTCGATGAATCCGAAATCATAGGTACCCGGGGCATGGTACTTCAGGGTCACAGCGAACAGAGGAGAGTCGAGCTGCGACTTGACGGTGTCGAAGAATGTGGTCTGCGGCTTGGGCTTGACGGTGTTGATGGAGCTGAACGCCAGACCCAGCAGACCGTCATTGTTCTTGTCCTGCGTGAACTGTTGGCTGATCTTGCTGGCGGCCTCGACGGCCTGGCCATTGGCTGTCACGCCGCCAATGTTCACCGTATCCTTGTAGACATCGCCGCTGGCGGAGCTGCCGTCTCCGTATGAGATTTGCCAGGAGGCACCGTTCAGCTTAGTGGAGTTACCGCCGGGCTTGTAGATACTGTGGCCGGTCTGTTCATCGGCGGGGAGTTCGGACGAGAAGACCCAGCTACCCTCGTTAGTTTTGAATTGAAACAGCGAGAGGGGACCTACAGATCGGCGGAACCAGTGTCAAAGTCCAGGTTCAGAGTCGATCCGGCGATTTTGACCGGGGTTAGGTACTCCGAGTCGTATTGTTCCGGCTTCGTGATGGCACTACCCTTCTCGGCGGCCTCCTTGACACTCTGCGGCACCTTGGCTCCGTACTTGGACAGGTAGCGGGCATACATGGCAGGCAAGTTGATAGTCTTGGGACTGGCAGCCGGCCGGCTCAACTGATTGACCGTGAAGCCTTTGCGCGACTGGGCATGAGGCAGGGCGGATCCCAAGGTTGAGAGACCGAGGGCCACGGCCGTGATTTTGCTGAAGACAACCATACTAGCTGGTTTGGACAAGAGAATGTAGATGCACCAAAGAATGAAAGGGACGAAGGAGTGAGATCTCAAGCTCGCTGAGGATGAGAGTGAGAGTGAGAGGCATTGTGAGACGCTGAACAATGGGCTCCTTTATAGCTTTGCGAACAGTTGAGAGACCGATGGTAGACATCATCAAGTTCCTATTCCAGGCATATCCACCTGCAGATCCTCTTAGTCAAATATAGATAGAGACGATCCAGGACCGCCAAGATACCAACAAACCAAGATGACGAAGCATGGCACCAGAAGCTGGGCCGAAGAGAAACAAGCATTCGTGTACCCCTGCGGGGTTGCTTGGACAGGAGAAACGCTATGGAAAAGAGCATATTGCTTGTTCGGGACAAGATTTGACAAGAAGTCTTGGGCAAAGCTGCGCCAGGCACGGACATGTCCGGTCGTCGTGTATCACGACATCCCAGACAGGATGGTACATTCGGCACCGAACTGTTATTCGACGAAGGCTGACGATCGCCATTCGAGAGAATCCCGAAGCCAAGAAGAGGGGAGCATCCTGATCGATCGAGAGACAGGGAAAGAGAGACATAGAGTGTGTATGAAAGAAGAAGAGGAGGAAAGATGGACGTGTGCCTGAGGCCCGTCGGAGCCCTGACGATCGCCGTTTTTGCGCTTCATTCCATTCAATTGGCAACTTCCACACTTCCTTCATCTCCCATCCATCCAATCCCATCAATCAGGATAGCAAGTCGGGGCCAGATAACTTACGAGTTGATCGGCGTCTCCTATCTCTCCAGTGAGAGTCAACGCACGATGTGACGGTAAAACTTCGACCATCGTGCCCGACTCCACACGCTTATTTTAGTTGGTCAATAGTCTTCCGGCCGGAGATTGAGATGGATATTCAATCAATCCGTTCATCGATACGAGTTGTTATACAATACCAGCCAGAGGAATTGAATCAATCAAGACAAATCACGGTGGATACTGTTGGTCCCGACACGGAGTATACCATACCACCGAGTACGTATGGACCGGATTGCGTCGATTGCGTCGATCTACAGCCTGAATGCTAAATGGTGCCAACTAGAACTGTCGATCGCGGACGTGATAGGTACAGATTAATTAGAACATGTTGTCTGATTGTGTTAGATCCTGGCTAATGCGCATGATAAGGTACAAGCACGGTACTCCGTATTCTTTTGCATACCCAGGTTATATATCTACGGCTGAGAAATAGGTGAATTTGAATAATCCTGTTGATTGGTAAGTAATAGGGCTGATATCATCTGGAAATAAGATCACTACATAGGTAGATGATAGCAATTCCACTATAATGATACCATCGACAAGGATCCTTTTCTTATTCTGATTCTTATTCATATTATTCATACGTATTACATACTATTACTACGTGTTTACTATCATGTGAAGACCCATCCAAACTAGATATCTGAAACACCTGACACCACCAACCCATAGTGACAGGGAAGCTTCCATCGGAGCTCCGGTCTATCACCTCTACTCCTTCTACATGGTATATTGGAAACAGTGGCGAATTCATCCCTTGTCGATCCATCAAGAACCCCTACTTACATACAGGACAGTTAATATTCTGTATGTAATCCGTACTCCGTACCGCAAATGCATACTCCATCATCGTTAGAGAAAAGAGAAAAAGAAAACAAGAAAAGAAAAAATCCATCAGAATTATGTCCGTATCTCATTTAGTTTGGGGTATTGGCCTTATCCACTATGTATAAACACTAAAATCACATTCATAATACAGGGTTCCCTGTGTCCGCAGATCCACAAGGCTTAACGGCTTCTTCGTCGTCATTATGCCTGCAGGAACTGCGACGGGAGACTGCTGCCGCCGCCGCCGCCGCCAGCCGATTCCAGATGTTCACCATGTCCATCATATTGCTCGTTAAGGAGAACCTCTAGCATATCAAAATCGCCTACCATCGGCCCCGTACCTCCCAAACCCTGGTCCACCACCGCGGTACTACTGTTGAAGAATTGGTCCAACGGCAGCGCGAACCAGTCCGGAAGCCCGCTCGATGTCCCGGCGTTCTCCTGGATGGATTGCGACGCCACGGTCGAACTCTCCAGGTCTCCCGTCGCCGGCGTCGAGTTGGGGTCATAGTAGTTGTGGTACACCGATGGCGGTGGGGGCATGAAGGAGACATTGATATTCGATGAATTGATCGGCTGCGCTGGGATGCCCGCCAGCGGGTCGTGCACTGAGCTCATCGAGCCTCCCGTCGGTTGACTGCTACCGCCTTCGACGTATCCGAGGTTCTGCGTCGCATTCTGCCCCGGTGTCCACCCTTTACTCGAGGCATCCCGTCGGCTCTGCGCTCCATCCCGCGGTCGTGGTGACTGGGCCCGCGATACGGGTGCAGACGTGGTGCGGTCCTGCGACTCTCCGTCACCACCACGGTCTAGAGGTGCAAATCGCAGGAACCGCGTGCGAATATTCGTGGTGAGCAGTTCGAGGAGCCGGGCTATCGCATGGCTCAGGTGCACATCGTCGACGACGTTGGTCCGCAATGCCTCCATGGTCCGATCCTGGAGATCGAGAGAAACACGGACATCGTCCTCTTTTGCACCTAGTGTGAAGGTCTGTATCGGGTTAGCTTATCGTCCGATCTTTCTTTGCACCATTTGATGCAATCTCACGTCAACATAACATACTTTGAGAATAAAAATCATTCCGGACAAGATCCGGAAGCAGGTGCGGACCGGAGCGTGCTTGAGATGGTCACCGGGAACGAGCCCGTCCAAAACCGTCTGAAGAATCTTGCGGGATGCATCGACGACTTCCTGGATGTATTGCTCATTGACACGATACAGCTCCATGAGCACGTGGAACCATCCATTGCTGGACGAAGATCCAGAGGCCGATCGGGCCTGAGCCTGAGCAGCTTCATTCGACATGGTCGTCCAGCGGTCCACTACGGCTTGCAGAGCCAAAGAATTCACGTACAGTCCTTGACGCCCGTTAGTACCCTGAGTTTGGGCCTCATGGACCATATACTTACGGGTATATTCGTATTCAATCATCAAAATCATTCTCATAGCAGGAGCAACTACAACACAGTCAGTCATTATAATCAAGGCTAAATGATTCCCAAAAATTAAAAATAGGAATCAGAACTGAAAAAAAGGCACTCACGGTCCAGCGTGTCAATATTCTGTCTCCATTCTCGTAGAAACGGCTGGAATCGGTCGATCTGGTCGCGATATCGACCGCTGCGGATCAACTCCGACGTTTGTTCATTCGACGCGAATAATAGCTGGTTACTCTGGTACATGATCTTCGAGATACCAATCCAGCAGTCATGCATCTTGTCGATGGCAGAATCGCCGCCCTTGCCAGCTGTCGCGGTGGTGGGCTGGATATCGTTGGCCCACTGCGGCAGCGGCAGCATCGATGGGATTCCCAGACGCCCGCTGCTCTGCGTGATATACACCAGAATAAGCCGACGAAGCCGACGTTTCCGCGTTTGCTCCGCCGGCGATTCCCCGGCCGATCGGGACTCGCTCTTCTGGTCGAATACCCCCAGCTCAAATGCCAACGCTTGCGCTGTGCTCAGGAGCATCCAGGACATCCGGTCGGACCGCCAAGCGGGCTCCAGCCACTTCTGGAATGCCAGTCGGCCCTCCCCCGTGCTTTGTGACAATCGGTTAGCGGTGCCCTCGCCCTCAGTATCCAACCCACCGTCGAGACGCCCGCCGTGCGCCTGGGCATCCACGTCCAGAAGCGCGTTCTCATCGTCTCCCGGGGGAAAATGTAGATTCCGCGGGTGCCAGTCTGTCAGGACCATCAAAGCCTCGATCGTCCCTAATGATCGCAGATTGCCCTTGGCATTCACCATGGCCGACGTAGGAGCCAGGTCAAAAGACCGCGGCTTGTTCATGCCCGTCCCACTGCCGCCGAACTTCTCCTGGCCCCAGAACAGGCGTTCAATCATACCACGTAAATACGACCACAGACGGTCGTGGATATAAAAGGCACGCGTGTAGGCACCATCGCCTTTCGGCTTCATATGTCGCGACGCGGTGGTGAGGATCATAACGGCCAAGACCGGCTCATCGGTCAGCATCGTGCGATGGGTCGACGGATGGGAGAAATCGGGGATTACAATGGGACTGAGAGGGGCAAGATGTTCATAGTAACTAATCAACATGGTCAGCCACACTCAGTGCACCAGAAGTATATGCGAACGTACTATGCCACATAGGCCATGGACTCTTCGACGGAGAGCCAGCCCGCACGAACAAAGCGTAGTCGGGACCATGCCTTGACCGCATCCTGATATCCAGGATCCTGGGGATTATCCGAAGGACCCGACTGGCCACGACCCTCGGGAGCTTGGGATTCCACCGACCCCGACGTGGCTGCCGCCGGGTAATAGGTCCCCATCGGCATGGGGCCTGACCGGGCAGGCCGCGAAAACGATCCTCCCGCGCTTCGTGGCGTCCCGGCCTGGGTCAGTGGGGACATGGAGGAATTGAACGACGAGACCGACTGTCGGGCGGTATATCGATTCTCAAGGCTCTGTCGGTTCAGGTCTTCCGTCCTTCCCGCCGCTTCCGACAGAAGATGCAGCGCATCATGACTGTTGCTGATCGCCGGCGATAGCAGCTCGACGGCGGTGCGGTTCATCATCGGTTGCCCTCCCTCCAGGCTGAAACTTGGAGCCGACGCTCGGTCCCCCAACGGGTACATGGACAGTCGGGGCTTCCTTGCATCAGGAAAATGCGTCGTCGACGACGGATTCGGGGGGTACGGCTGGGTGGTTGCCGACGGAGGAGGAACCTGGGCTGTGGTCGCCGCCGGGGATCCCTCGGACCACTTCTGTGTCGGACGAGTGCCGTTCTGGTTGGGGTCGTACGCAGTCGGGTCGGCCGCCGTATAGGACGAGCCATCACTCGGGGAGCCATTCGAGACTGCTTCCCCCACCATCATGCGTTTGTCGCGTCGGAGAACGCCCTCGAAAACCTCCTCGACCTCGGAGGGTTTGCGTTTGCGGCGTGTGGCGGAGAACTCGCATCGCTTACTCTCGCGACGGCAGCGAACGCAGGGTGGAGGACGGGGATTATCAACGCCTAGTACCGTGGGGGTCAGCTTCCGGGAAAGAAAAAAAAAAAAAATAAAATCCCGGGAAGTCTCGATCAAAGAATCTGGGGAAGAGATCGTATGATGCGACGCCAATGACTTACTGCCAAGATCACATTTGACCTTGCGTTTTCGACATGGGTCGCAGGCCTGGTATCCACGGCGATGTTGGGGATGTAACGAGGGCGACTTCTGATCGGGCAGGTAAGGACCGGTGTCCTGGTCGTTGACGGATGATGAAGATAGAGGAGGTTGCTGTTGTTGTGATTGTTGATTTTGATTTTGATGTTGTTGCTGCTGCTGGAGCTGAAGCTGCTGCTGGTGGCCATTGCCTGCCATCATGATCGAGCAACCGCCGTCTGGTGCCGGCGCAGGAGAGTGGATTCACGGAGATTGGGGCAAGGTTGGGGTTTGCCGATGCAAAGCGAGAAAAAGCGGTGGGGAGAATGGTTCTTAAGTAAAAGCAACGCTCGGCGACTTTTTTCGCCTGCCAGCCAATTGTACGAGGTCGTACGGGGCAAGGGAACGATAGACCACGATGAGAGGAATCGTAAAACTGAGAGAAAGAGAGAGAGAGAGAGAGAGATTGATGAGAAAGAGAGAGAAAGGGAATCATTGCCCTAGAGCCTAGGGAAGAGGCAAATGCGGGGTAGAAAACGAGAGGACGAGAAATTAATTCCTTGCGTACTTTGGCATATCTGTTATCAATCAGAATGCAATCGACTCGGTCACTGCACTATATTAAACTAGCATTAAGTTAAATAATGTATAATAGAATAAATAATATATAACAAGAAGAATAATCTGAAATAATGATTATAATTATAATGCTAATAATAATCTGAAATAATAGTTAATAATAATATTATACTAATACCAGCCAGAAAAGATCAGCAGAGCACTCGAATACATCTGGAAGCTGCAAAGAATCCCTTAGACCATCGCAACGTCGAGGAACGACGCCACGGTCTTCTTCCCCTGGTCAGCCGCCATCCCCCCATTGGATTTCATCGTCGACCCCAACACTCTTCGGGCTAGCCCTGACTGGCCATATGTAACGCTATCCTCGCTGCCGCGTCGCGATGACCCAGGCGTGAGGCGCCCTAGCAGCAAGCCTCGAATCCCTCCCGCTTTACGTGCGGGAATTTCCGACGTCCCCGCCGTCAGCACGTACAGCAGGTATTTCAGGTTGGGGAGCGTCTGCCGGATGTCGAGAACCCGTAGGCCTTGTCGGTTCAGCAGGAATTCGATGTCCTTGTTGAGCAGAAACACCCCGTACTCGAACCGGTAGTGCACGTTGACTGGGTACAGCGGATACGTTCGTTGCGGGAGCGAGACCGACACCGGGTCCTGGATCAGCGAGTGCGAAAGGTACGGGTGGATGGGATAAGGTACACATGCCGACAGGTAGAACGACAGCAGATACACTAGGTGCGCCGTACACCCTAGCGCCGCCGCTACAGTCTCCCGGTCAATGTCGTAGAAGTTCGAGTCGGGGAGCGCCAGCCCGGCGATCGTGAAGGCCAGCGGTCGGTCTGGAATCGGTTCGATGGGGTAAATCGCAAGGAGGTCCTCCGAGATCCGTCGGATCTGTCCCTTGGTGTCTTCGATCGTTTGGCCTAGCAACTTGACACTGCTGGCCAGTTTCTGTTGCGCATCTGGCAGATGACTCCGAGCTTTCTCCTGACTTTGACGTCCACCGGCCATTGCCTCCCTCCTCGCCCGGATGCTGGCCAGAAGTTCCTCCTTGCGTTTGCCGCTCATCCGCAGCCGTTTTTTCTCCAGCGAAACGACCTGTTTCGTGAGGGCCAGCTTATCCCGCGCCCGCGATGCTTCACTGGTCATCGCTATGGATCGCCGATTCTTTTCCAATATTGAGCTGATCTGCGTTTCCAATCTCTCCCGCGTTACCAGCGCATCTTGGATGCATTCGTCTAGATTTGCCAAGCGCATCAAGGCATCGTAGGAAGAGCTGGGCAGCCTAGCTCCATCGAGGGACCGCGGGTTCTTTGCGGGAAGCGTCCAGACCGGCGGGAGATCCGTGAGGTTGGTATAGACACCGTCCGCGAAATGGAAAAGAATCGAATTCGACGGGAGGGGCTGGTGGAAAGTATCCAGAGACTTCCCCAGAAACTGTAGAGATTGCAGATGAAGCTGCAATTCAACTAAAAGTAGGTAATCCACCATAGCTGCCGATTTTGCCCAGAGCTTGATAGTCAGCTGGTCCAATCGAGAAACCAATGGTCCGCACATGTTCAGGTCGAATGATCGGAAGCTGGGGTTCGTGGCATTCTTCACAACCTCGCTCACGTAGACAGGCGTCTCGTGTCCATCGCAATGGATGGAGAACCACGTATCTGCCATTCGACTCCGCGTAATATCACCCAGCTTGATCTGTCGCGTGTGCGGATTAGGATCGTTCCAAGGAAGAGTGTTTCTTCTAAACGTCGGGCGGGGTGGCTGTTCCTTGCGCGTTCGATCCTCGTGACGTGTGGGTGTAAATTGCAGATCGGTAAACGACCGTGACTGATGCAGGAGGCGATTCGCATCCTGGGCGAGAATCTTCGATGGCGATTGTAGAGAGTTGGGGATATCCTCGTCGTCGATCGTCTTCCCACGAGCCTTGCTTTCGGGTGTGACGCTCAGGTTCCGGACGGAGATCCCCTGGAGATGACGAAGTCTGCGGTTCTAGTAGCTCTCATCAGCCATTGGACTGATTCATAAACAAAGGACAATAAGATGACAGGAATTACCGATGGGAACAACCGGGGCCTCTCGCGACGACCGCCCGCGTCGATATACTCGACATTGACACCATCCCCGACGGTTACTGTCAGCGACATTGCAAGCAATTAGGAAGAAAAGCGACGGGCACACAATGATTGACCAGTCATTATAACGCAGACCAGCGCAATTTCCCTCGATATTGTCCGTTGCGAGGAGTAGACAGCTAAGCTAATGACTTCCTCGAGAGACATGTGGTCCATTCCTGGAGCTCCGCATCGACGCTAGGGCGGTGGTGCGGACGGAATCGCCCGCTCGCTGTCTCTTTCACTCCGTCGAAAAATTGGTCCACACCACCGTCAGTCCACCTTCTCCCACCCTCACCACAACATCTACTCCTCCGTTCCTCAGAATCGCCATGCGGTAGAGTGAAGTATATTATATTCGGTTCATATACATTTTTGAGGAGTAGGAAAGACACATCGCAGCGTTTCCGGCCGCAATGGCTTCCCACCAAGTGTCGAAACCCTTCCAGAAGATCTTGGATCCGACCAAGTTAGGCACCTGGAAAGTCGTCCGTCGACCACCGATCGAGAACCATAGCGTGATCCAGGGCAAACCTCGGGAGCAGAACTCCAACGCCTTTAAGGATCATCAGTCCAAGGAGGGAACCCGACTACGAAAAGCCCTGAACGCCCTCACCCATGGCAAGAACATTTTCGTTTATCACAACATGCGCACCAACCAGGTGGTGTATTCATTGACGCGGTATCTAGAGGTAAGTAGATTCCTGTAAATGATGACTGAGCCTCTGCTTGATCGACGTGGCTAAACGTCCATTTTTGCGCTGCTTTCTAGAAAAACAATGTCCTCCGCCAATTGGTATATCACGGCAAGAAGACCGTCCCCGCCACTCTCCGGAAAGATATGTGGGTTCCTTACTACTCGGTGCATTTCCACGACTCCAAAATTGGTCTTCGCGCATACCACTTGCTCCGGGAGTTCGCCATGCAGCGTCAACTATCCCCACCTCGGGAGATGATCACTATCACAGAAAAATTCCTCGACCAGAAACGCCCGCGGGACCCCGAAGAGGCAGAAAAATTTAACGAGAAGTACGAGGGTAAGGTCGGATGGTTGATGGAGAAGAAAGACAGAGCCCGGGCCCTGATGGACCAGAAAGCGACCAGTGTTGCCGATGTCGCGGCCGTGCTGGAGATCCAGGAGGAGGAGATCAAGAACGGTTTTGCTGATGGCAAACGAGGCTATCTCACCCGCAGCGCTAGACGACGTCGGAGGGAGGCTCGCAAGAAGGAACAGGCCAAGGCCGAGGAACAAGCTGCACGCGTGGCTTCTTTTGAACAGACGTTGAGTACAACTCAGGTCGAATACAAGATCCAGGAAGTCGAGGACAACTCTAAAGCATTGGAGAACAACGGAGTAAAGATCCTCTGGACCGATATCCACGACGCTCAACGGGCGGAGTCTTGGCCGGAGCGCGTTCAACACGGCGAGCTGGATTTAACCCGTGACCATGTCATTCCAGGGCAGAAACCCACTTCCAACACTGAAATCCTAGCAGATGGCAGGTTCAAGGAGAGGCAGACCTAAAAGGTGGATTGGGATATATAGAACCGTGTGATGTGTGGTTGTTCACACTAGGAAATGTGTGCTTGTTATTTTCACATTATACAATTCTGTACTTTTACATACTATGTCTTTGGAATGATCAATGGCGTTTAGCAGACAATCAATCAATATACAGCATATTGCTGATTCCATATCATAAGCGTGAGGATGCTCAGCTTAAGAAAGTGGTAGCAAGGATGGCAGTTTCATTATCTAATGCACTTGGCCATTCTATTACAATTCTTAAAATGGCTGCTTTCTACTGCATCGTGTGCATACCAAAATTTAATCATTATACCCTCTTGTCTAAGTAGGGCCCATATTACTTGTCTTGATAAGTTTTCAGATTTGAAGTGATATTATACAATTCTGGGTGGTCTAGAGGTATGATTCACTTGGGACCAAATGCGAGAGCCCCATATTTGTTGTTGTGCCCTTTTTGTTATTGTAGTATCTTTGCTCTTGATTAACAAGTCTGTGTTTCTACATAAAAACCAACTGAATAACGGATGAGGGCCGGCAAATTCCAACTCGTATCATATCCACACCAATGCCAATATCGCAGGTAAGCCTTGATTGAAATAAAAGAGATATACCTAGTCGCACCCGGTTTTCGATCTCGTCTCGAAAATACGAGCAGTATATGTTCCGAAGTGGATGGTAAAACGGGAAAAGAGAAACTGTGAACAAAAATAAGAAGTACATAGTTGTAGTAGCCTTGTGAAGATCATGGCAAATCAACCAGGGAATTCAATCCGTTGATACAAAAAGAGCCTTCGAAACCTGGGGCCCATGCCAGCGAGCCCAGGAAGAATAATCAACGCAACAAATAGGAGAAATGACTGCATTGTCCGGGTGTAGAAATGAACCTCGCGTAGTTCTCTATCATCCTTCAAGGGAAAACATGACAATATCACATAGTATCGTGTATGTTCGGAATCAAGAACTCTTGCTAGTGTTGGAGGCAGACGATACGTTTGTCTGACTCACCAGAGGTGCCTCGCTAAGCTCGTTCACAGAAAGCTCAGGTTCCGGTTCATCGCCTGACATTTTCTGTAGTATTTCTTCCTTCACCCGCTCCGCGGTTTCCGGGTCATCCGAGATCCCTGCGTTGGCCATGCTCTTTCTTGCCCCCTCTACAATCTTCTCAGCTTCACTAACACCTTGCTCAATGTTCATTGCTGAATCGCCGTCTACACCAGTAGGGCCGATGGTACGGGTAGCAATATTTTTTACAAGCTCGGAATCAAAGCGAATCACCATACACGAAAGATTATCGGTGCTGAAACGCGAAAGAGCATGGTCAACAAGAATTTTAGATGCTTCCTGCGCATCGGGTACATTCCGGACGAGATCCACAGCTTCCTGATCGCTGCAAACGTCCCAAAGCTACCGACTCCTATTAGCGCCCATTTAAATGAAAGAGAGAGAGGGAGAGAAGGATCCCAAAGCAACTTACCCCATCACAAGCCAATATTATGAACTCGTCGAGGTCCGGCTGGATTACCGTCTCTGTAGTATACGGATGCCCCGTGACGAGATCCTTAAGATATGCATCGCCCAGAGCTCTGGTTACTGCAAGAACGCCGTTCACTCTATTGTTGAGTATCAATCCTCCTGCATTCGCTATCCGTTTGCCCTCATTCTCATCACTACCCTTATGGTCATAGGACAACCGCAGTGCCCTCCCATTGCGTGATAGAATGGCACGAGCATCTCCAACGTTGGCAGTGTACAATATACGGTGACGTTTGGTATTGTCCTGTGGTTTTGGGAACACGGGTAGAGCGCCAGTGGTGGCTGACTGCGTGGGCGTGTCGCCTGCTTCCAAAATGGTATCACTTTTTGCAGTCGAGTTTGTCGCTGGATACGAACCCGAGACTTTATCTTCCCATCTCAGAAGGGCAATAACGGCAGTGCATCCGCTGTTCTTCACGGGTAACTTCTCTAACTGCTGATCAGCAGCGGTAAAGGTTTGGTCCAGAAGCTCCGGAACAGGTGTTTTGGGGCTCTTTCGCATGGTTTCTTCTAAAATAAGATGTAGCTTTTTCCCGCACCACTCGGCGGCGAACGTGCCCGCATGCCCATCAAAAATGGCAAAATACCCGTTGTCGGTCTCAACGACACTGGTGGCTTCTTCAGTCGTGGGAGAAACATCACCCGCGTATTTGTTGCCGGTCTTAGCCGGAGAGGAGACCAAAGGCGACCCCAGGAAGTTGTAGAGATACGCATGCGTATCCTCCATAGTCCGACGACATTTTCGATTCCGATCCTCTGTGACGCCAACTCTGAACGACGAATGAGGAGTCGGTAGCGATTCTCCGGCTGAATTATTGAATGACCCCTGAGGAACGCTCAAGGCGGGGTCCATATTCCCAGCTGACTGTAGGGCTGGCGAGGAGTGAACCGTGTGGTTGTTGAAGGAACCTTCGCGAGGACTACTACTCAGACTCAACGAATTCTTAGCGTTGGTGAAGAATGTTGCCGCTTTGGTGACTGTACTACTCCGGCGCCTCTTCTCGGCGGTAGGACCCTGGTCTTCACTGGTCCGTCGTGTAAAGAAGCCACCTGGAGGAGAGAATTTCTTCTGTGACACACTAGCTTCTTCTGTAACAACGCCCTTGGACGGTGTGTCAATAGCGCTGGAATGTGGGATGGTATCCAGTCTTTCTTTGGGTGGGCTCGAGGAGCCACTGAACATTCGGTTCAGCAACCCACCCTGGCTCGAAAAACTTCTCCGCTTATTCCCTGCCAGCTTGATCGTAGGCTCTAAATTTGTGGGTATAAGATCAAATCAACCGCACGACACGGATGGCAACGGTGGCAAAGGGTCAAGATTGCCGCAGATGGGTGTAGGGAAGGAATTGCGGCGGAAGTGCAGGAATAAAGCTGGATAAAAGTAAACCGTCAGTAACTGAGCGCACTAGTAATAGCTCCCAAGCTAAATAAGGTTCACAGTGGCCATTTTTAGACCTCCGATGATTTCTGTCAAGCAATGCCATCAGATGACGGGTGTCCTAGGGTCTGCGTGGTTCAACAAACACAGGTCGAAGCGTCTTCAGTCCGTATCTCTTTTTTTTCCTTCTTGGGCATCACAGGAAATAAATAAAATAAAATAAAATACATAAAAAATAGGCTAACAGAAACACAGCATGAGCTCCAGGAGGTCATCACAAGTCACCGTATCAGATCCAGGATGACCTGTCACTCTGTAACTGGCATCCTGAGTATGTTGTGGCAGACCCCACTGCGCGCCAATGGAAATGAGAAGGTGCTAAGCCAGGGAATGGCCAGAGGTTGAATGGGGAGGTCATCAAAGGCACTCACGGAGACACTAGGATAAATATGTTCAATACTTCAGAGATCTTCTAGAAGAACGGGAGGAGTACCACCCCGTTGGCTAATGATTTGCAGATGTCGTTGTTGTCGTATGGTGTCCATGACGCTTGGGGGGTACCAGGTCAGGTGCCCCAGGGGCGACCTAACTAATCACGGAGGCGGCGAACGCCGGGTACGCGGAAACGCTGAAACTGCCGGTGGAGCCAACTTGAAATAGTTGTTAACTATTACTTACTGTATTAGTTAATTAGATATGATTAACTACTCCGTACTAGGCTACTAGCTAGAAGCCTAGAAGACGATCGCGGTCGAGGGCACGGATATGGACCATCCAGCGATGCTTCTAGATGCCATAGTGCCTTAAGATCCATGACAGGACTAGTGTCTCCTCCCTCCAGCCTCTTCGGGCTACCTTTAATTAACAGAGATGGTGACGTAGAATTACTACATTTATACATTTATACAAGATTCTATATATATAGCAAGTAACAGAGGAGAGGACCACAAAATATTGCCACTATGATTATAAAGAATCCCCCCATCAGTCCCAGGAACTGAAGTCACCAAACCCTCCCGTTCCTTTAAATTTCTTACGCATGCGCTCAGGCTCGGGCACTTCATCCACAAATTCAACAATTTCTTCCTCCTCTTGACCAGCCTGGTTGCTCAAGGCTGCCTTCAGGTACTTGCCAACGCTTGCGCCAGATCCATCACCCATAACTGTCGATCCGGACCCGCGAATTCTCTTCCCGGTCCAAGTGATGTGGTCATCATCCTCGCGTCGGGCATTCTGTTCGTCCTCTGCGGGGTCGGGCTGTGCCTTGCCTGCGACCTCTTCGGCCTGCTTCTGCTTCAAAAACTCCTCAAACGGATCCACAAAGACCGTAACGTCTTTGATTCGAATGTCTGGCGTAGGTTTATTGGTGGATGAATTTACCGGGTGGGTCTCTAAGCTATTCAGGGTCGTAAACGATGGTGTCGGGTCGTCGATAATGTGTCCAAAAATGGTATGTTTGTGGTTCAAATGAGGCAGTGCACGGTAGGCAATGAAACTGATACAGCCAAGTCAGCGTCAGCACAGTTGAGGGCAAATTATTAGAGCAGAAATGGGGATGGGAAGAGCTCACAATTGACTGCTGTTAGTGTTTTTCCCTTTATTGGCCATACTCAGGGTTCCGCGAGAATCATGTTTGAGAGGCCCTTCGAACTCATCGTTGAAGTATTTGCCCCAGATGCTTTCACCTCCGCGTCCAGTGCCCGACGGGTCCCCGCCTTGGATCATAAACCCTCGAATGTTGCGATGAAAAGTAACATCCTTGTAGTATCCTTTCTTGGCCAACTTAATGAAATTCCAAACGGCCTTGGGCGCATATTCAGTATGGAGCTCCAGGTTCAGATCACCAGAGGTCGTTGAGATTCGAGCATAGCCCTTCTGCTTTACCCGTCCCCTCTTTAGCATATATTCTTCATCCGACAGCAGTGCGAGCTCGCCGGACGTATGCGGTGTGAGCCCAGTGCTGGTAAGCGACGCAGCGGCTAGGCCAGTAGTATGTTTCGCCGCGTTATATGGCACCGGTTTCCCTGATTGCTGCAAAGTCGATTTCTGGGAGAGAGAAGTCGTCCCAACGGTGCCATCGGCTTTTGGTTTAGATAAAGCAGCAGAATCGGCACGTTGAGCTCTCTCGGAACGCGCCTTAGCCACAGCTTCTTTTGCCTTGAGAATCTTGGCCGAGCTTCCCAACGCATTAACATTGACGTTATTTGACTGATCTTCTTTCCCAGGTATTTCAGCACCCCCTTCCTTCAAATAGTTAAACGTGGTCATATTTCTCGACTCAACGTTCTGTGGGTCCTGTAGCGTGATGATGTCCTTCCTACTGAACTCCTCGTCCGATACTAAATCGCGCCACAGCTTGCCCTTGAGATTCAATCGCTCCACAGTATCCCATGCGAACACATTTCCCGTGTTGCGCAAAGCGACAATATGGGTGTTGTTGGTCAGGACTTTGAAGGTGACTGGGTCGATATATTCGCCCGACTCATTTTTGGGGATATGCAACTTGGTCAGGTCGGCACTCTTCAGCGGGGTGCCGTCCACTGGATTCGTTCCGTGTTGCTTAATCCACGGTAGAATATTGGTGAGGTCGAATATTGTGCCCGACGGGGTGCAAACGGGATGCACAAACGGCTGCAGGGATAGGGAGCAGAAGTTGAAAGGAAGGCGCTTGAAAGTCGCATCAGTTCCTCCTCGTCTGGCTTTCCCGGCCCCTGCGCCGGCACTGGCAGAGAAAGCGTCTTCCGATGCCCATTCGGAATGGGTGATCTATACACATTCGCGGTCAGTTTTTGAGTCGACAAGGTACGAGGACTTGCGAAGAACCGATATTGAACGGGGTATATCGTACATAAAGTTTATCCGTTCCTAATAGAACATCATGTTAGAATAAAATAAAGGTACAGTTCAAGACTCCGATCCATGAACGACTAACCTTTTCCCATTCTTAAGGTGACTGTTCAGAAACTGCAGCAGTTTCACATCAGCGGCAAGTCGAACGCCGCCGCAAAGTATGATGTATTGCTGCTGGACAGTTTGCAGGCTAGCTCTTTTGGGCTAGTGGTTCTGTAATTTTACCAGAGTTTACATGGATATAGTGCCATGACAGACAGAAGATTAGACATCACTACGACACAATGTTAGAAACGAAAAAAGGCTCTGTGATAACTGCACAAGAGGTAAGAGTTATAACTACATATATTACAGGTTGAAATTATCCTTTTCTGTGTGAATCACAACCTCAGATGCATTCACCAGGGTTTCATACCCATCCCAATCTGTAGTAAGAATGCCGAAATCCACTCTAAGCCTCCCAGTGTAAAACTCATTGAATGTCTTCATATCGAGTTAGTGTCGCTTTTTTTATTATCATCGTTTACTCGTCAGCCAAGTTTCTTTCGTTTTCTGCCTCGTTATTTCTATTAAGTGGCGGAAGATTGGAAACGCAGAGGGACCACCCAGCGGTTCCCAAAATCAATTCCATGCCGCCGACGAGTGCCGTATTTTCTCCAAACAATCTGTGGAACACCGATATCTGCCACTGCAAGATTCCAGGATAGCCCCTCTCCGAAGACCAGTGCATTTACTACACCGGTTTTGGGTGCTCCAAGACAGACTACGGACTTTGAACTCACGCACAATCGGCCGTCCTCGACGATGGTCACCTCACCTGTAGATCATGGTTATCTTAGCAATGTTATCATCACATTATATTGGATTTGAAGCCCTTACCACTGGAAGCAGACAGTCCGGATGGGACGTCGACGGACAGAACATCCAGATTACTCCGGTTGGTCCAGGCAATCATCTCAAAGGCGGTAGCCTGATCATCTGTGCGGAGGTCGTCGAAGGCTATGTGAATACCAAATATGGCATCCACAACCAAGTCTGGGCTGAAGTCAGAGGTTGATAGCCGGGCAGATAAGTCTTCCCATCTTAATACGCGCCCACCAATCTTCTTGAATACGTTAAGCTGTTTGCGACAGCTTTCGAGCAGCTCAGTCTCATGCTCAATACCCAGCATGCAAACGGTGACACGATGGCCCCGGTTGCGAAGATGACGGGCAGCAGAGACAGCCCTTGCTCCAGTACGATGGTTGCCTGTCAGAACTAGCATAGTCGGCGCAGCTGCGTCATTCGAAAGAAGACAAACCGCGGCTTCTGCAATCCCTCTTCCGGCATTTTCCGTAATCATATCCTCAGTTAGGCCAAACTCTGTGACGGCAATCTGCTCAACCTCAAGTGTCTGTAGAGGGCTTACAGTCGGGCAACTTCTGTTGGTGGTAGTGAGACGTAAGGAAGCTCCCGGCACACCCGGTCCGTTTATCGGAGATACTGAAACAGGGGTTTTATTTGGGCGAGGGCTGGTGGTGCGAGGAGTGCTATGTTGACCACGTCCGATGGTATTAATCTGTGGTGGGACCAAGGGCTGTCCGAGCATAGCACTTCCTTTCCGAGAAGTCTGGCCTCGAACTGAGGCACGCTCACGCCCTGAATAGTTCCCGCTGCTCAGCTTCGCATCGCTGGGTCCATGATCACTTTCTTCATTTTCACTCTCCTGAGGACTGTCGAGGACATTCTCTGTCCAGTGCAGGTTTTTCCCGCCGTTCGTGCCTGGCTTGGGCGTCCTTCTGTTAAAGCTGACAAGTCGTGCTTCGTCGGCAGTTGTGTCATCGTTTCTAATCTCTTCGAAAACCCTGCGCTTATCAAACTTTGAGAGGTTGCTTTGGAAATCAAATTCCCCCATCTCCTGGATATCTGTGGCGTCTTCTGTCGCCCATCCGTTGGGGTCTTCAGCGTAAGACCCGCGGTTCTTCTTCCTTCGACGTCGCCCTTTAACAGCCTCTCCTTTTTCTCCGAGTGATTTTGGAAAGTTCGCCAGGTGCGGATCGGATGGCTCAACGAAGGCAGTTTGGCGCCAGCCTCTAGTCTTCGGATTCGTGTTTGAAGCCCCATCATGTTCGTTCCAAGTTGCCGGGGCCCCATTTCGCAGAAGCTTTTTCTGCCCATTTCGGCGGCCTCGCTTGGAGGCATACTGGGCGGGTGCCTGTAAAGGCGCAAGTTCGTCTCTTGGACCGTAAACCGATTCAAGGAGTTCTTCCACCTGCTGTGTGCTTCGCGCCCCTGAGTTGCTGTCTACATTCAGCTCCAGGCTACTGAATGGTTCAGTCAGTACCGCGGTTGGCTCATGATGGATTTTCTGTGATGAGCTGGGCCGCTGAGGGTTCTGTCCACCAGGCAGGGTAGATTGTAGCTGTCGCGCACTCGATTCTATACCTTGGCTAGTTTTTTTGGAGGGCGGTTTGGAGAAGCTTAGAATGGCAGGATCAACAAAAGATCGCTGTGCCGAAGAGGTGGCCTGAGTCGTGGTTCTGTTTTCTTTAGCTGCAGGTAAACCCTGCGGGGGATCCTTGGCGGAGGATCCAAGGGACAGGTCCGCTATGTCGGTAGCATCGATGAAGTAGTCCGGTAACAGCTGTTGGGGGTTCCATGAGAGCCGCACTGAGAGCACTATGTCAGAAAAAAGCGACGGTGAGGGGTGCCAAGCTCTGATATAATTTTCTACTTACCATTTCGCAGTATTAAGCGCTGGCCTATGACATCGGACACTTCTCCTTGCACGGTTGCATTTGGCGGCGCCTTCAGAGTCACAAGAACATTGTAGCCAATAAATTCAGATGCCATAATGAACAATGAAATAGGAGTATATGGTCAGCACTGGATACACATTCTATGAAACTGGGGAGGGGGAAACGGAGTCAAAGAGACCAAGAAGACTCTCAGACTTGTACAGTGTCGCAAATGAGAATTGGCAGCCTTCCAATGCCATTGCAGCTCCCGCCGTCCGTCACGTGTGATAGGTTCTATCGATAAGAAGCAGCTGCCACCAAGTGGGGCTGCTGCCTTATTACCATACAATACAGCAGTCGTAGTATTTGAAGAGGTAAAGTGCTCTGTATGTACAGAGTAACAGCATGAGGGATTAATTGAGAAATAGGAACGCGAAAGATAATACAGTTGATCTGTGGTTTTATACTCCGTACACTGTTTAATGGTAGTCGCGAAACCTGTATATGTGATACTATATTATGTATCTTTATCGACAGCTAGCAGTTCTTATCTCTTCTGCTCCAGCACTACAGCTAATCCATCGTTCAGCCACTAGAGACTCAAGCTTTGACGAAACCTGGACTCAATAATGTCTTCCAGTCATTTCACCTCAGGATATTCTTTCATAAATGCAAAATAATGAGCCGAAATCTTCTTGCCAAGTCTGGAACAAAGTGTGACCGTTCTTTTCTCCTGCACACCGCCGTTTATCTCTATAGAAGTACTGTGTACAAAGTACAAGGAAGATTAAGTGTGACCCTGAGTAGGTACTGCCCTACTATGCAGTATGCAACAGATTTGATCTATGTATTTGAGAGGTCGAAACATGAGATGACCTGGCCACGGCATGTTTCTATCGCGGTGCCTACTTCTGATATTGGACTATGACAAATGCAGAACAGTAACGAGATCTACTACCCAACGGCGGGCTTCTGTATTGCATATAAAATAGCCCTCTTTAGTGTCAAAGGTTGAACCCAAAGTATTGCTCAGACGTGGCCTTCGCTCCTATATAGGGCGCTAGATGCGACTGGTCTTCGATCACGACTGTCTTGTACCTTTTTATATGGTCAAATGGTTTTATCTCTACTAACGCAGAGACAACCAAACCGTCACATTTAGTATCTTAATATTTGGACAACCAAGAGATATATAGGAATTATTAGAAGATAGGGGTTTAAGTATAGATAATAGAGTATACAAATTACTTTTTTTTTTTATTTTTTTAAATTATTCTTAGAAACTTTAAACTAAAATATCAATAAATACAAAAAATACAGATGTAATTAATCATACTTAGAGAAATAATTTAGTTATTTAGAGATAACTTCTTAGAATAACTTGTCACAGGCTGAACCTGTAACATACTATATAGGGCGCTAGATGCGACTGATCTTCGATCAGTCGTCTTGTACCTTTTTATATGGTCAAGTGGTTTTATCTCTACTAGCGCAGAGACAACCAAACCATCACATAACTATGTAAATATTAGATTGTTAATAGAAATTCGCAGTCAGACGTGACGGATCCTTTCCTGGAATTGACTAGTCACGTGACTCACATCTCTTGACGATAGTGAATTGTCAGTGTCAGAAATCAAGTATTTTAACACCGAGCTGAAAAGGTCATGATGCCTTTGGGAAATATAATGATCTCTGACGTTCAGACCCAGTTCTTGATAGATAGTATTCCGTAGACAGTCATATTTGAATGTTCTCTCCCATAGTTAGCAAACAGTCGAGTACTCTGTATGAGTGCGAAAGTTTGGTTGTCTCAAGGCACTAGTCAAGAGGTAAACCATTAGGCCGTAAAAGGTACAAGACGACTGATCTTTCGATAAGTCGCATCTAGCGCCCAATATAGTAATGGAACCCTTAGTCTGAGCAATACACTGGGTTCAACCCTTGACAATATGTTCTGTAAACTGTATACTGGTATGTCAGGATGAGTCCGGTAGTGGGGAATCTTTATTAGATATGATATTGTATTGTATACTTCATATATAATTTTTTTTCTCATAATACTTAGTATTGATTATGCGTACGGAGTTACGATCTCCTATATCCTCCTGCATAAATCTGTGATGTTGGTTATGCCAGAAAAACGGGCACAATGGGAAAATGCTGAATCAGCGTCGCTCCACTTTCCCCCAGAATTCCATCCAAAGCTTACTCTGACATATCCATGGGGCAAAACTTGGACGAATAGCACACCCGCTTCTCCATTTATGCAAAACTCCTTATCTCCGATGGACGCTGAACCACTGATTGCTAACCTCGTGATTGCTGGCCCTGAGCTGGGTCTACCAGGAATTTGGCCCGAGGGGCTCGAAGGACTTTCACAATCCTGCAATAACGCCAGCTCTGATGCCATACTCCGGGCTTGGTGGCAGTTATGCATGCTACTCCAGGATAAGATCTTATGAACGACCTCTCCATCATAATTCACTACAAGCCCATCCATGCCTATGGATCACTTTTTGCAATCATGATGCGTGATAAAACACCGTTCATCGTGGACAATGGCTGAGAAGGACCTGAAGTGGAGTGACTGTATTTCCGCTTTTACTTGAACTATGATTCCGAAGCCCATCCGCGCTTAACTCCGTTGTTTTATATTAGTCTTTCCAGAGGATCTGTTTCTGTCCCAGAGACATACCAATCCTGTTGACAAATCGATCCACTTTCCAGTCTGGTGCCATTAATTTTGGTATAAGCTACCTTTGATCCTATCCTTTATACCCATTCTTTCTTTTTTCTTCTTTTGTTTTCCCCCTTCCCTTTCTTTCATTGTTTATAAAGGTATCTTCCCTTTATAGAGGCTTTTTGGATTTCTTGTTTTGATTGCTGCTGTATAGTAGTAACAACATAGTAATAAGTCGCGGGAGAAGAAGGATAGCTTCAGACTTATTCTATCTCCTTTGGTGCTATGGAGCAGCCTCGTACTTCGAGAATTCCATACTGGAAGTTGCTTCGGGACCAAGGGGTTGTCACCGATGAGATTGTTAATTTTCCATATCCAGGGAGTGGTACTGAAAATGACCCATATCTCATCTCTTGGCTCCCCAGTGATCCCCGAAATCCAATGACGTTCTCCCAATATAAGAAGTGGTCGTATACACTCGCCGTGTCTATATCAACATTGGCCGTTGCTCTGGTATCCTCCGCTTATTCTGGTGGCATGATCGAGATAATGGAAGACTTCAAAATTGGATCTGAGGTTGCAACACTTGGTATATCGTATGTTTACATTGACCCTATTCAGCTCGGTTGCTTATCTTTTGTTCCACTCTCAGGCTTTTCGTCATCGGCTTTGCAATTGGACCTTTGCTTTGGGCCCCGTTGAGTGAGTTATGGGGCCGTCAATATCTCTTCATTATCAGCTACTGTGGTTTGACTGTTTTCAATGCTGCATGTACAGGGGCAAAAAACTCATGGTCCCTGATTATTTTCCGATTTTTTGCTGGCTGTTTTGGATCGTCACCACTCACCAATGCCGGCGGCATCATCGCAGACATTTTCTCAGCCCGTCATCGAGGATTAGCCATGAGTATTTTTGCATCGGCTCCTTTTATGGGCCCCGTTCTCGGGCCTATTGTTGGAGGGTTCTTGGGCCAAAGTGCGGGGTGGAGATGGGTTATGGGGCTTCTAGCAACCTTCACTGGAGTTGTCTGGATTGGCTGCAGTTTGTTCGTTCCAGAAACCTATGGACCTGTGCTGCTACGAAGAAGAGCTGCTCGATTGTCATCACTGACTGGAAAAATCTATATGTCTCAGCTAGATGTAAGGCAGGGAGGAACTCCGTCAGCAGCAGAAGCATTCAAAACCGCCCTTTCCCGCCCCTGGATCCTTCTTTTCAAGGAGCCTATTGTGCTCCTCCTAAGTATTTACATGGTAGGTGCCAGGTCAATAGCTACTCCATTGTTCTATAGAATAACAAACGTTCCTGAAAGTGCTAACAGAACATTTCTGAAGGCAATAATCTATGGCACGCTCTACATGCTCTTCGCAGCTTTCCCAATCGTCTACCAACAAAAGCGTGGCTGGAGCCAAGGTATCTCTGGACTCGCATTCTTGGGTATTCTGGTTGGCATGCTCTGTGCGCTTGCCTATACTATATGGGATAACAAGCGATATATCAACACCCAGGCTAAATACAACGGCTTTGCGCCGCCCGAAGCCCGTCTTCCGCCTTGCTTGCTTGCATCAATTGCTGTCCCTGTGGGCTTGTTCTGGTTTGCATGGACGAACTACCCTGATATTCACTGGCTTGCCAGCATCGCAGCAGGAGCTCCATTTGGATTCGGAATGGTCCTTCTTTTTCTGAGCGTGATGAATTATCTCATTGACGCCTACACTATTTTTGCAGCCTCAGTCCTTGCCGCCAACTCGGTTCTTCGTTCAATCTTCGGAGCAGTATTCCCTCTTTTCACCAGATACATGTACGATGGACTTGGAATCCACTGGGCTTCTTGCATACCAGCATTTCTAGCATTGGCATGCGTCCCATTTCCTTTCCTATTTTACAAATACGGGGCCGCAATTCGCAAAAGTTGCACATTTGCTGCACAATCAGATGCATTCATGCGGCAGATGGTCAAGGGAGCAGCCATCAAGCAGACTGAATCAGTGATGCCCACTACAGCAGACCAACACGAAGCTCCAGACATGGAGGAAAAGCACGAGCGCACGCGGTCAATCTCTGACACAAGCAGCACTAAGTCCGGAATTAACGAGCTGCATACTCAGCCGAGTCATCGCAGCCGGACCTTCTCTATGCATTCACGTCGGACTAGCTTGGTGGAGTCGAAGCTGGCTTACGAGGAGAACCCGTACGATATTGATCGTGTGAACACCGGTGACTCATTCAAAAAATAGGCATTTATGTCGATGGATGGCAGAGTGAATGCCTGCATCCGAGTTGAATATAAAAGGCAGCTGGAATCGTGCTGCATGTAATATGGCGCTGTTTATACCCATCATTCTCTCCGTTTACCTCTTTTTGTTATAACTTTCTCTACCCTCCTGTATACTTTCCCTAATCCCTCACTGGTTTGAAGGCTTAGCTTCTTGCCTATATATCAATGCGTTTATGTTCGGGTTGGATTAAGTTCACCTTTGTTTTCTTGTCTATATTTAGGCCATTGAAGAGCGTAATAGAATAGGTGAAACGACATAGTCGATGATCATCAATGCGTAACTAAGAGGATACATACAATACTCTCTATTTCCGTTAGTTTTAATAAGACTAAATTTAATGAAGTAATATGATTGCAGCTCATTGACGTTGCATCTTGTATTAGTATGGTACAGGAACATTTCAATCTTCTAGTACAGTGAAATAATTCATGTTTATCTTAAGTACAAACACTCATGATATCAATATTCGCTTCTTTACAAAGAAGAACAGTCAGACTAGGTAAAAATGGCAAAGAATTCAATCAATGCATGAAGGGAAGAAATTTCCACAAATCTGAGTGTCAGTACCCATACAAATGCTCTTTATCTATATAGTCTTCATTAAAGTCTTCAAGGTCATTGTTTGCACGACTAGGATGGGAATCCTTCTGTTCTTTGGACTTGACCACTTCATTGATAGTCACCAGTTTGGAATAAAACTCTGTGACCTTCGGATGAACCATGACTTTGCGTGGCTCGAATCGCGTAACCTGGAGCCCTTCTTTGCTGGTGGCACGACTGAGAGCGACGTATGCCTGTCCTCGTTCGAAAACCCGCCCGAGATCAACTTTGACCCGCTGCAATGTTTGACCTTGGGCTTTGTGAATGGAAAGAGCCCATGCGAGAATCAATGGCACCTGTTGCCGCTGGGCCTGGACCTCGCCATTGGGAAGCTCGATCTTCCATGTTTCAGGTTGACAAAGCAGATGTCTCTCGGTTCCATCGGGCTGCACAAAACATACGAGGGGCCATTTCCTGGTTACCACGATACCTCCATCTTTGTGGACCATACTTTTTAATTTCTTGCGAGCATGAAGGGCTCTCTCTTCGTCGTTTCCATCTGGAGGATCGCCGGAGAATTCGCTTTCGTTTTCCCTGTAGAAATCGAATGTCGTTTCATCCATGAAAGCAACAACTCGTCCAATAGATCCGTTCACTAGGGAGTCTTCCATGTTTTTGATAAGCATGACCTGGGCTCCTTTCTTGAGGTGAATCACGGGCGGGGCCATGCAGTTTTCCAGTAACTTGTCACGATACTGGGTCTCTTTTATGGTTCCTGAATCCTGAGCGGTAAAAGTCATCAGCTCACCAGAAAGCCTCTGCATCCGTACAGTGTTTGCGTTTTCCACTTCATGGCGTGTAGGGAACCTGAATGGAAACCTCATGTTAGCGCTAGTTTTGCTCCATCGTGAGAAAGGCATCGTACAGTTCAGTGGCCTCGAGAGCATCATGAAAGTCGAGGGGTCGAGAGAGTTGCTTGAAGATATCAATTGTATGTGGACTTAATTTGCCCAGTCTCATCTCATTAAGCATGCCAGCAAATTCAGGGTCTGCTTGACGGAAAACGTTGGTCAAGAGAATCGTGTGCTGGATCGAGGTGTTCCAAGTAGCGGCCGTAAACGCAAATTTCGCCTCTCGTTTATCCTTCTCAGGGACTGGAGGCAATTGAAAGAAGTCGCCCGTTACGACGAGCTGAATGCCTCCGAAGGGACGGCCATTGTTCCTGATGCGACGGGCAACCTCCTCCAGTTTATCGAAAAGATCTCCATCAACCATGGAGATTTCATCCACAATTAGAACCTTTGTACGCAGCCAACGGTTGCGGGCTTTTGGATTTCTTTTAATCTGCGAAGAGTTAATACAACCCAAATCTCACCGGGGCAATTTTTTTAACCTTTTTTACAAGTTCAGGAACTGCCTCTTTGCCCAGCCCAATGCCTGCGAAGCTGTGCAGAGTAACACCTTCAATGTTACAAGCAGCAAGGCCAGTGGAAGCAGTAACCGCCACTCTATCCGGCTCCCTCCTATATTTCTCCCGTAACTTCTTGATGATTTCTCTCATGAGGACGGATTTACCAGTACCAGCCGAACCGGTGAAGAATATGCTCTTCCCCTGCTGGACTACAGCATCAAGAACATGGCGCTGCTCGTCGCTGAGGAATAACGACGCAAGCTTCGACCTAGGTTTTGATACTGATGCTTCTTTTTGACTTTTATACTGCCGACGTAGTTCCTTTTGTTCTTCTTTGATTGCACTAGCAGTCTTATTCCACGGTGCTGTGGGTTTCGGGCGTGCGGGCGTTTCTGGGTTTTTATACTGAGTTTCAGTTTTTGAGTCCTTGCCATTAAGCCACGGGAGGGTTCGGCGATTGGCGGGGTTCTGGAAGTGGGAAGGGGGCGAAGAAGACCAAGGATACTGTATGCTGCTGGACGGCCCGCCACTGTCATCAGGAATAGGGGGTAAATCTGGATACTTCACATCCAATGAGTCGTCACTAATTGTGATAACTTCCGATTGTTTTGGCGCGGTGGTCTGGTTTGATGTGCCAATTGAGTTTGGAGTTCCGTTCGGTGTTTGTCCTTGAGAGTTCGGCCGTACAATTTTTGGCGGCGGAATAAACGGGTCTGGCTCCTCGAAATCCAAATCATCATCGTCATCAAAGTCGTTCTCATCAAAATACACGGTGTTATGCAAAGTTCCTAAACCAGACTGTCCGGCATTCGTCATTTCGATCTTCCGTTTGATACCTATCGATTGGGGTAGGGGTTTCGACTGGCTGTTCCCATTGCTGAGAAGCATAGATTGAAGGGACCTAACAGGTGGCCCCGAATGGTCCTGTACAGCCTTCTTGAACATTACAGCTTCCCTTGTCGCTGTAGAGTCGAGCGTCGACTGTCCGCGGCCAGTATGATAAGTCAGTATTGGTCCATGTGAGTGTAATCGGCAACGTAGAACTAGGTCGCTTGATTTGTGTTGAGCGTCACGTATAAACGGAATCGTATGGTTTTAGTTTCAAATAGCTCTCAAGTATGTCAACCATCAAAATATCCACTGTATTCGATTCCATTCACTCGGAACATACGCGAAACGCGCGCGTCCCTCAAGAGATAAGGATACGCGCTGCCTATCACACGTGATTGCGATAAGCGCCAAAATTTTGGGCCACAATAAACAATGTGACCTACTATGCTTACATGGAGAAAAAGAGCAAATAACGGGGCCAAACAAAGAAAATGGATGGCATATCTATTGAGTTATTCTCCCAATTATTGTACCGTGCATATAAAATACATGGCAACCAACAATTTCTTGGCATTCTTTTGCTTTCCAGCCCTGCCGAAGTATAGAGTCACGTGGTCGCGTTCCTTGGAAGGGCTTCGGCCAATGCGGCATCGGAATTATCAAAGCACTTCATGAAAGCGGACGAGTTAAGGCATCGACTTTGCCAATCATGAAGCATGGCAGAGAAATCAAACTCAAGTAAGCAAGTAGATTGTTTGCCTCTGATGCAACAAGTCGGAATTGCTGACTATAAACCAGACAAAGAGCACCCTCTTGCAGGGGTTGTCCTTTGCTTCACGTCTATTCTACCAGAACAGCGGGTGAGTGGAATAGAGAACCTCGGAGCTATTTCATTTAGTTTTGCTTTCTTTTGGATGTGGCGTGGTGTTTATCTGACAGACTTGACTTTTTCTTTTTCAGACTGAGTTGGCTACCATTGCAGGCCAGATGGGAGCAGCTCATAAATTTGATTTGACATCTGATGTTACCCATTTGATCGTCGGCGACATAAGCACCCCGAAATACAAGTTCGTCGCGCGAGAGCGAAATGATGTCATTGTTCTCAAACCAGAATGGGTCGAGGCGGTGCGTCAATCGTGGATGGAGGGAGGTGATACGGACATTAAAGCACTGGAGTATGAATATAGGCTTCCGACATTCGCGGGTTTGTCCATTTGCATAACCGGCTTTGAAGATAGTGAGAAGCTTTAATTTGTGGTTATATAAGTAGATTTCATGAGCACTGACGAAATCGAAACCAGTGGCCTTCCGAAACCACATCCAAAACACGTCCAATGCGAACGGAGCCGAATTCAAGAAGGATCTGACAAAGAGCGTTACGCACCTTATCGCACGAAATACAGAGGGTCAAAAGTATAAATTCGCAACACAATGGGATATCAAGGTTGTTACAATACGATGGTTCAACGACAGCCTGGAACGTGGAATGGCTCTAGATGAGGCTCTGTACCACCCCCTTCTGCCGGAGCAGGAACAGGGTGTTGGGGCCTGGAATCGCGCAGTATCTACAGCCAAAGCAAAGGGCCTAGAAAACGAGAGCTCGTCCAATCCTCGACCAAGAAAGCTACGTCGGATTGCCAGCGCTAAGCTGGTCGACCAAAATGAAGGGATATGGGGAGATATTGTAGGAACGGGGTTTGAGAATGGCGAATTGAAGCGGTCTAGGAGCAGTCAGCCACTGATAAAACAGACATCTATAGTCCAAGAGGCCAGGTCATTCGCCAGTGAGACCACATTCGCAGAAGCCCAGGGCCAGAAGTCCTCTGAAACAAGAAGCCGACACGATGGCTTTCTGCACGATTGTTTCTTCTTCGTCCATGGCTTTTCGTCGAAACAGGTATGTGCAGTTTGATGATGTCTTTACATTTGTATTGTAGAGTACTCATTTTCTCGCAGGCAAATGTACTGCGCCATCATCTTTCCTTTAACGGGGCGCAATTAGTAGGATCCTTGAGCGAATTCTCTCGACCAGAAATCCCTAAAAGGGGCAATGGCCTATATATTATTGTACCACATAAAACATCGCAAGACCAGATTCCTTCCACGGATGATCTCGCCTTTGAATGTGAGGTGGTAACGGATATGTGGCTAGAAAGATGTCTTGATGCAAAGGCTTTAATATCACCAGAATCTCACGTGGCAAACACTCCAGTTCGCAACTTTCCTATTGAAGGTAGGCCCTCTGGTTGATTTTCCAGCTCAAGATCTGACGATTATAAATAGGATTTCGTGAGATAAAAGTTTGCTCCACGGGGTTTTCCCGCATAGATCTTTTGCACCTGTCGAAACTCGTCGACTTAATTGGTAGGTTGCAACCAACCTGTAGCCAGATACCTTCCTATCTAATCCTCCAGGCGCATCGTACAATGAGTACTTGACGTCTAGTGCATCAGTTCTAGTCTGCAATGATTCAGCCACTGTGAACCAGGACAAGCTCCGGCATACTTATGAATGGGGAGTTCCAGCAGTCACTGCTAATTGGCTTTGGGACTCTATTCGCAGTGGTCAGAAACAATCATTCGAACCATATCATATTCGAAAACCCACTTCTCAAAGCAGTAGGGATCTAGAGATGCTCACTGGCTCGCGCCCCGAAAAGCGACCACTCGAAAGCATCACTGATAGCAACAAAGTCGCAGAACCGCATATAGAAACCCAAAGAACCGACCCAAGCCAACAACGCACGGAGACCACACGAGGAGATACTTTGCGGAAGTCAAAAACAGACGCTTCGCATAGTCCTACCCCCGCATCGCGCCCGCAATCAAAAAACCCATCACCAACAAAGAACCATAACCAAAACACTTCTCACTCCATTGACCTCTCCGTCGTAGGCGGGTTTCTCAAACAAGCCCGAGAAGCAACCTCACGCCCAGCATCCGACCCATCCGAGCACGACAGCCAGAACCGATTAAGAAAACGCAAGCCCCTACTAGGACGAGCGCCCTCACACTCCTCCGTCCGCGGCCTCGAACATTATCAAAAAGACTTCTCGCGCGCTAGCTCCATCGACACCCTGAACGAAGATGGCTGTGGCAGCATCATAGAAAGCATTAACAATGATAGAATCCCCTCCCTTGCAAACAGCGGCCGGTTCGAAGTCGCCGAGGACGAACAATATCGATTTCAAGACGAAAACGAGCCCCAGTCGCCGCCGATGACCCAATTAAACTACGAGGATCCGGATGCGCTCGCAATGCGCGAAAAATTTCTTCGCCACGCTGGTAAATTAACTGATAAAAAGCCATCTACAGATCAAAGTCAGGATATTGGGGAAATAAAAGATTTAGAGAACGCAGGCTGGGGAACTGGGCGGCGGACGAGGAATGCAAGTAAAGTTATCAGGGATGTTTAGAGTTGGTGTGCTTGGCTTGTGGGTTATGTGCTTTGCGTTAATGTCTCTTTCGTTGTGTTTATTCAAATGTATGGAATTGATTGCATGGCGGGGCGTCGGTCATTGGACTTTGTGTATTGGCTATCATTGAGATTTGATTCTTCATTAAGTTGGTTATGAGACTTGATGTTCTTGGAAGCAGTTGGATGCTAGTGGATAAAAAAGCTGTCAAATATTTAGGGCTTTGGTTCTAGAATATTTCGATGCCTGATTATATAAGTTAGGTGTCTGAACATGACTATTACAGAGCTAAAATTACACCGAAAAGAAAGGTAAATATATTCCTTTAAGGACTATGCTATGCAGTTTCGAAGACCCAATGCATGCTATTCTAACGAGACATATCGAATCGATGAGGGGAGCTGGATACATTATCTAAACCTGAGAACATAGCTCAAAGAAGCTATTGTATTAAAAAATAGCCTTGTTTGAAAAAAAAGAGGGAATGCGAAAGCTGATAGTACAATATGGGAATATTTTTTGGACGAAGACAAAATGCAAACCGCCAACAAAAGAAGAAACACCAACAGAATCCTCATACAGCATCATGAGTGTTTTGTACAAATAATGATTGCAGCTCAGGGCCCATGAGTTGCCATGGCACCGGGCAATGGGCCATCGAGATCTATAGATTCCACGGATCTTCTGTTCTCGCTGCTTTCTCTTAAGAGATTGGAGAAGTACTTGCTTGCAGTTTCGCTCTCGTGCTTCGTCTTGCCGACCTCGAGCTTACGTCTTCCGAGATCCTCGATACCTTGCGCGAGGCTGGCTTGGAGGCTGCCAGCCGGTAGGCGAAGAATCCGACGGACTTCCGACGAAATTCGGTTGGCATTAGAGTGAACATAATCCATTTCGGAGAGGGTAGCGGCAAGCTTGCGAGAAAGGCGAGGGGGAAGCGTGGTTGGGATAGTTGAGATCATATATGCAGCAGTCAAAAGGGCTGTCGAAGTTAGCAGCTGTTTCATCTCCCAGATCTGTGGATGGTGGAATGAAAGACTCACCAGCGGCGACTACACCAGGGAGAATAAGGCGTCGCACATTGTTGGGCCCGAGGATTTTAAAAGCACTGAACATGCTGTCAATCCAGCTGATACCACCAAATGCTCTGCCCCCAACGACAGTTAGAGCTGTCATGGCCATGCCTGTCCCTGCTACCTTCTCTTGTCGTTCCCAGATTCCAGCGATGTCAAAAAAGTCCCATAGTTCAACTTCCGTGTCGAGTTGCCTAGCAATTGTATGACGGCGACCTCGGCGGAACATCATATCGTCGCGGAATTTCAAGGGAGCAAATTTGTCCTTCCCAACATGTAGGAGGCCAATATTTTGAATAAACCCAACTCCCTGAACTGTCTTTCCACGCGCATAATCTTCGCAGTCTGATACCGACGACGATATTTGCTCCAACATGGCAAATTTCAGATCCTCAGCATACTGGAATGCAGACAGGAAGCCGGGGTATTCAACACCAAGATCAGCATCAGAAACACGATCAATGACGTTGGAAAGAGTCGACCGCGTATGATTATAAACATCATCACAAGAATCCTCGATGCATTTCTCCACTTGGTCACCTAGTTCCACCTGCTTCTTCTTGCCATCCTCATATGCTGGTTCAAGTTCAGCAAGTTCTTCTGTAACACGCTTAAGCTCAAATTGAGCAACATCACGGTTGATGGAGGCCAGCGAATTCAAGTCCGCAAGCAGGTTGAGAAGATACGTCCGAGCAGGAGCAAGTTTCGAACGAGAGCGCTTCTCGAGAACGAACCGCCGAAGAGAGCTCTCTAGATTTTCAAAGTCTTGGATTTTTTGTTTCTCCTTTCCCTTATCTCTTCCTTTTCCTTTATGATCATGCGAATCATCATAATCGTCCCCGTGAGGGTCCGAACCTCCACCGCCTCCCCCAGAGCCGGAGCTTTCGACGGACATCGGAGGTGCAACCGGAATGGCATTGCTGGAAACAAAGTGAACAAGTTCCGCAGCTTCCTTGTATGTACGAGGACTAAGCTTGCCAATTTGATCCAAAATCATACGCTCACATCGTTGCTTGTCCCGAATTTGGTCAAACCCGTTGACAACAATAAATATATAGGCTTTTTCATGAGCAGCGTTGTGGATAAAGTCTTTGGCCGAGAGCGTAAAGTGATTTGCGGCCGAAACCACAAAAACGACGACATCAATCTCCTCCTGACGGGCAAAGACGGCGGTTGTTTTCAAGGAATCCGAGTTCAAGCCAGGTGCATCAATGAGAGCAATATCCACCACGCCATTGTTCAATAGGGATTCGTCAATGGTTCGCACATCCCTCACGTAGACCTTGCACTGCATATAGTGGGAGTTGTCGATAACAATATTCTCAAGCTCCTTCAAAGAATACACATCATAGGTTCGTTCGTCGTTGCGGTTATACTGCCTGTCCTTGTGCACCGCATGTACTTCCTCAACTCCACTGTTCTCTCGTGCATCCAGAACTTCGCAGAAAATGCTGGTGCAGGGTTGTTGATCTTCAGGAAGAACCTTGCGACGTAGTAGAGCATTGCAGAATGTTGACTTTCCAGCATTTAGGTCACCGGTGATCAGAACCTTACTTGACGTATCCTCGATCCTGTCGCGCAACGAAAGGAGGTGCTTGACGCTCTGGCTGATCTTCCCGTTTAAGAGGGAGGCAATCGACGCCTTCTCCAATGAATGCACCAACTCCGCCTGCGACAAAGCACCCAACTTAAGATCTAGTTTCAATATCGAGAACTCCTGCGCAATTTGTGGACTCATCAACCTTGGGCCGGGCGAAGGTCGACGATCAGCAGCTGAACTGGATTCCGCCAAATCTTCACTGGTGGGCATTGTCGCCGCTCGTCTCATCATTCCAGGCCGAATATCTTCCGGTCCATTCGAATCTGCCTTAAACGACTGGGTGTGCTGTAGTGCGGGTCGAGAAGGATCGGGGTTCTGTACGGAAGGATAATGGGCGGGCCACTGGCGATTCATATCTTGGAGTTCTTTCAAGGTCTCAACAGTGCGCGAGATTGCACGACCCAGCTTAGTTCTGTTTGAGTTACTGTCAAAGCCTTTAGCATTTCTGCTCGCGTCTATGGTACTTCGTAAAAACTTACTATAGAAGCTGATGGACATGGCTCGCCACAACCTGTCTCTCCAGTTCCGCTGCGATTCAAAAATGTCAGCAAAAACTAGGGCTACTCTCATCTCATAACCTCAATACTGTTTGGAGTGACAAACCAGCAGGATTATACTGTCCCAGATGTGTGGGGGTATGCGCGGGCGTTGGCCTATCCACCAGTAGATCCGACCTTAACCTGCCGCCAGTATCGCCATCCATCACGCTTCCGCTCGCGACACTCCCTCCATATCCTGAATCCTCCTGCAATGAAGCCATCAAGGCTGTGGCACTCTCCGAGGTCGAGCCATTGCCGACGGTCATGTACGCGGGCGGAGCGGTTGAAAAGAAAGGGTTCTCTGATGGTTCGTCGTCCGGAGGATGTCTGGACGAGCCCTCACCGGCAGAGGAGCCACCTTTGCCGGGAAAATACTCCTGACTCATGACGAAAAGGGCGTTGTTTGCATGAGAAATTGATCAAAGTCGAGGCGACAAAGGCGGGAACTTAATGTTTTGGTTCTCGGAAAGTTGAATGGGCAAATTAGGTGATCTTCCCCAAAGGGTTTGGTGGGCGGCATCCATGTGACCCGTCGTAATGGCTCGTATCAAAGTTACCTCCGCTGCCTGGTGAGTAGGTAGTGCCTTGATGTCACCGTTGTTGATGGCTGGATTTTTGCAGTCTTCAAGGTCATCTTTACTATCCTACTAACATGAATGTAAGTCGTCTTTGGTTACTTTCTCTTGTGGATTCTCCCAACTGATTGTGCGCTTTCTAGATCGTCGAGTGGGCATTCGGAAAGCGCATGACGCCAGCAGAGCGCCTGCGCAAACACCAGAGGGCTCTTGACAGGACACAGCGTGAACTTGACCGGGAGCGGGTCAAACTGGAGAATCAGGAGAAGAAGTTGATTCAGGATATCAAAAAGAATGCTAAGAATGGTCAGATAGGAGCCTGTAAGATCCAGGCCAAGGACCTGGTTCGGACAAGAAGGTGCGTTCATGGCAGAGGATCCAGGGTCTGTTTCATCGTATCATGTCGATCTAACGAAGACTTTCCTGGCCAGGTATATCCAGAAATTCTACCAGATGCGAACACAGCTACAGGCCATTTCCCTTCGAATTCAGGTATGAGGCGCCCCGTGGAACCGCCGGCCACGTACAACTGCTTATCTTGACCCTTTAATATATTGACCCTTTATGCAGACCGTTCGGAGCAATGAACAGATGGTGCAGTCCATGAAAGGCGCAACGATGCTACTCGGGAGCATGAATCGACAGATGAACCTTCCCGCGCTCCAGCGAATCGCGATGGAATTTGAACGAGAAAATGATATTATGGATCAGCGACAAGAGATGATGGATGATGCGATTGACGAAGCCACCGGAATGGAAGGAGAGGAGGAAGAAGGGGAAGATATCGTCAAGGAGGTATTGGATGAAATTGGCGTAGACTTGAACCAAGCGGTTGGTGTTCTCTCTTGGAATATTAGCACAACTGGGCTCATGCTAACTTTTACAGCTGGGCGAGACTCCCACCGACATACAGAAGACCGCGGTTGCTGAGAATCGGGTTGCTCAGCCAGTGGGTGCTGGGGGGACTACAAGCGATGATGATCTGCAAGCACGACTTGATAGCCTCCGTCGTTGATTAGTTCACCCACATTTCTTTTCTCTTCATGTATCTTTGCCCCTTTGTTTGTGAAAGGCTGCAGCACATATCCTTGCATCCATTATGGAAACAACTTTTGGATCATTTTGTTTGGAGTCTTCGACTTGATCACAGCAAACCTTGAAGGTTTTATCCTCACCAATTACCAGAACATGGATGTTAATGCTTTAATGCCCTGGAGTTTTATGATAGGAAACGCTATAGAATGAATTCTAACCAACTGCACGCCAGCAAGTTTAGCCTTGCAGAGTCCAAACACACTATTAATGCCGATGGAAATGAAGGGCGTTAGAGATGTAGTCTGGTTTTTGTAGTTGCAATTTTTTTTTTTTTTTTTTTTTTTTTTTTTTTTTTTTTTTTTTTTTGGTAGAGCATAATCCTTTTGGGTTCCTGCCTTTTCAGCAGTCGAGAAAAGAGCTTCTACAGGCATTAGTGGATAGAGGGCTTGTGTGGGACAGATCGAGAAGAGTTTGGTCGGCGCTTTGATGGGAGAAATCCGAGATCACGGCCTTCATATAGCTAATAATTATTATCCCGACTCAAGAATGAGTTGACGTTTATGTGTTGTCATCCACTGTCCACAGGCGTTTCCTTCCAGAATCGTCCGCTAGCATCACCAGCAACCCTTGCAATTCACCACTCTTTTTCTTGCCCCCTCTTCTGCGTTCTCAGAGTGCCGACGCAGGAGTCTTCGAAATCAATGAACTTCGCTCCTTCATTAGTGATGAATATGTTGTCCCTGTTAATATCTCCATGTACCAATATGTCGAGATCATGAAGTGCTACAGGGATTTTTCTCGAATTTCAAGATCCAAAGTACTCGGACGATATCCAATAATTTCTTCGGATATGAATCCAATAACACGGTGTGGCGTCTCTTCGAAGACATAGCCTAAAAGTTTTGGGGACGATGCTTAATCGTCCAACACATGGTACACTTTAATCTCCCGTGCGAGCCAGCCAAGTTCAAACCCAGAACTGGCTATTTTAAGATACATCGTCTATTCCCTCGCTGGACACGGAAGACTCGGGTCTTTAGTGACTAGAATCTAAAGGTCGAAAATATTGACGAGCTCGCAGTCACCAAGTATGTGCTGCTTTTGCAAAGCGTCCGGATTCCACTGTCGTCTTAGTAAACAGTATGGGTATCCCATGTGTCGTACCATTCCTTGAGCTTGGATAGCTCACGTATCACGTCAGGGCCGTAAGTTTGCGACTCCTGTGGAACGAGATCCGAGTTCTTAACTGTAACATAGATAACTCTTCTATTTAATCTGTCGTCACAATATATTCTGTACAGACAATCCCTAAGACAGAGGTCAATGGACAGCAGAGTGTCTTTTGCTGCTATTTGAGGACGAGTGAGCACGTTAGAAGTGGTAGTGCTGAGGTTGACTGGGATGACAGCAGCTGGCTTCAAGGCTCCTTATAATGCACGTATTCTAATTCTTATTCTGCAGTACGTGAGATAATAAAGAACCGGACTTGAAAGATGACATTCCTCCAAAGCACCCGCTAGTTCACCGACAACCATATATCCTTGTCACGAGGCAGTACAGGTCAAAATAAAGGCCGCGTATCAACCTCATCTAGATACTGGGTAACCCTTTCTACCAATATCCTCCTAGGTTCTGCTTGATCTGGATCACTCAAGGCATGGGAAGCATTAGGGATAATCATGCTATTAGAATCCCATATTTCCTGGCCCGCAGCGACAGACCACCGCCGCATCAAGGCTTCTTTGTCCACCCACGGAGGCACAGATTGATCTCGTCCTGAGTACAGTACGAGGAGCTTGGACTTGAGAATCCCGCGCGATTTAATAGCCCCAAATGTCTGCTGGAGTTTTTCGTCACTCAAATCCGAACTAAATAGGTCGTCCTCGCCCGGGTTCTGTGGACTATCCGGACTAAGTAGACTGAGGAACCGGCTGCTACTCACAGACGTACTGTTGGGGTACCCGATTCGTGAAGTCACGGAGAGTGGCACAAGAGTGTCGAGGGTATCACCATCTTCGAAAGGCGACTTCTTTGCATTCTCGGCTGCTCTGGCGCAGAGTTCCCGCATAGTTTCTGGGCTGTCCCTGTCTGTCCCGGTGGTCATTACCCAGAGCATAGCTTCTCGGTCTGACACCGGTGCTTGAATGATAGCCCCGTCAATACAAGGCCTGGTTACTGGCTCCGTGCCCCTGTCCAAGACCGGGTGTTTTGGTCGCGGATTCACACAAGTGAGATAATGCATAACATCCTGGCTGCCTGTCGAATGGCCCATGACAACGATCTTCCCGGACCCGTATATCTGAGTCTTATACTCACGGATGTACCGCACACACTGGGCGATCTCGTCGATATCTTTCCCCAGATGGCTCAGACCCCATCCCCCGTATGACGAGGACAGAATCGGCGAGAAGATCGACCATTGTGTCGACTCGGCTGCCGAGACCAGGTCTGCGATATATTCCACGGTGCAGAGACCATCTCCTAAACCTCCGAGAAAAAGGAGCGTGTTGGGCTTCCTTCGAGCACCTTTGGTATACTCGAAAGCCACCAGTCCCTTTGCCTGTGGAATTCAAGAACCATGTGAGCTGATGATATAACACCATGATTGTGTCCGGGGAGAATAAAGGCAGGAAGGAGGCATACATATTCATGCAAGGACCCTGGGTAGCCCTTTAACAGTTTCAAGTTTAATTGCATATTTTCTACGGCGGCTTGGAGACCGTGGGTGCTCTTCGTCGGGGATAAAAGGAAGTGGGTCGGCAGGATCTGATAAGACATCGCTTGGCACCTTACCATTTCTGATGGATACCCACTTCGCCGTATGGGGCAAGATAAAGTCAAACTGGATCGGAATGCAATAAGTATAAACTATATAATTATACATCTTCCATAGACATCCCAAGATACTCAGAGCTAGAGCTGGCAGCTAAATAGACATAAACTGCACAGTTAGTGCCCCCTAAGTGTTTGTCTAGTGGCAAAACCACTAGACCCTACTTAGCGTTTGCACATCGTATGTAGGTAGGCATCTGTGCGCCATGTAAAAGCGCCCGCGATAGTTAACTAACCATCTATATTATGTAACATATCAATAGGCAAAAAGAATGTGTATCAATGTATTTCCCCGTTTAGCCCTAGGAGCAAGCACGGATGGGCGAAGCGCCGGCTATAAATAGAAAATACTGTAATTCACTCACTGCATTAACGAGCAGTTTTACAGAGTAGTAAGCGCCCAGCGGACCCTCTTCGATCCATGTACGTATAAGCAATGCACATGCATGGATAGGAGGAGGTCAAAACCTAAAATTAAAAAAAGGCGTGCAAATCAAATTAATAAGATAGAACTAAACATGTTATAGCCAAGTAAATCGCTTGCAAAAATAAGTTAGAAAACCAGGCAGAGCAAGAATTCTGGCCTGTAAAACTCGAAAGACGTACGTTGACTAAATAATGGTGCAACTTAGAACTGTGGACTATACGGACGCATATTCAACCTTGTTAGCTAGTGCTGGGCTGGTGGTAATACAGCTCGTGCGATTGGTAGAATTCCATAAGATGGCCTATCAGCCCAATCTAGTTAGCATTAAGCAGTTAGCTGGCGCATATGATAGCCAATCAAATCATCGTATGTTCCTGTGTGTAACCTTCAATTTTGCATTGCTGAAGCTGAGAACATGATATGACACTTAACTGGTTGTTTTGGGCATCACCAGCGCGTAGGACCGTAGATGTATGTCTTTGTGGAAAGCCATAATTTAGTGTCAGGCTCAGACTCCAATGGCTTCGGGCCGCGGCTGCTATGGATCTTATGGGCTGTTATTATTATATACTCCAAAAGTCAACTTCGCTCGGTTTGGTCATTTTCGCTTAGTTTGCTAAGCTTGCTAGTGGAATTGACTGAGGCAGCTCGAAGCATCTCCCTCTATTTTCTTTATTAATGCGGTACGACTTTCTGCTTCAAAGAAGTAAGTTCGGTTTATTTTCTTTCCTTTTTTCCCCTTCTCTTTTTCTATACATTCATCTTATCTCTCTACTTCACCCTCTATCGATTCCATCCACATTGTTCAACGGCATTTTCTTCGTTTTCATTTCTTTCTATTTTGTTTTTTTCTTTTTTCTTTCTTCTTTTACAAAAAAAATTTTGTTTATTCCTGAAAACGCGATCCTTAATCGCTAGACAGAGAGTATTAGAAATGCTGAACCAAATCATAGCGTCGGGACCTGATCGAGAACCGCTGATCAACGTTAATGATCAGCTGCAGACCTACTAAGATTCATTCGAATCAAAAATTGGGTATCGACTACTTCTGCGTGGAACCCACCGTTTTGGCTTCTACGAGAATGACACCTGGTGGCCATTGCCGATCAGCAAAGCTCTCCGCGCAATGGAGGACAATTCGGCGGAGTCGCTGAATCTCCCATCTGGTCCTACGTCCTTGATGCTGGATGTGGCGTCGGCCACGTGGTTATTAATCTAGCAACAAAATATGACTTCAGAATCAAAAGTGATTGACGTTGTTCAACAACATCTGGACAAGGCAAAATGGATTGTCTCCCGGTCAGCAATATCGGAGGGTTGGTTTACCGTTCAGAAAATGGACTATCACCATTTGGAGAATTTTGAAGGCCAGACATTTGATGGCATTTACACAATGGGAACATTTGTTCAGGACACAGATCCCGAGGCAGTCTTAGCCGGATTCTTCCATGAACTCCGCCCTGGGGGTCGTCTGTCCTTATTGAGTACGACCACGAGCTAAATGACGGCTCCACAGAAGTATTGTTTCGTTCCATGCGCAAAATTAACGAGGTTGCTGCTATGCCAACAAATAGTACGTCACATCCCGGGGTATTCCAACATATGGTTGAAGATGCCGGGTTTACGATGATGTGGTTTGGGACTATTCAGACAACATACGCCCAATGACACGACTTTATTTTTACTCGTCTATATTCCTTATCTATTTGTTACTTTTTTTGGCCTGGAATGTCATTTCATTAATACTGTTACGGGGGTCCTACCTAATCGAGGCCATGGGGACTGGCGGTATCTGGGTATCTTAGCTACGAAGCCAAGAAGCCCCATTGATACGGCGAAAGATCGGTGATTTGTACACCTTGTCCCCCGCTATATTTTTGTCAAGCAGACTGTATGCAAGTTGTCCAATTCTGGGCACCTATGGCTATCATGTGAACGAAAACGTACAAAGACGCACATTATACTGACAGGAACAAGAACCCAAAGAGAACTCGTATTTCTGGGTCCTGATCTGCGGAAATGTTTCTCGATCTGAGTAGACGTTCACAAAGGTCTCCTGGTTTTCTGACACTAGAGTCATCGGATTGGTGATACACAAGAAGAGCTTCGAGAGACTCGAAATATCCAGGACTGCATGGTTACCGACGTTGACTTTACGCCATCTCAACCAACAAGTAGAAGCCCCCGTATATTGAGAAAGCCACATGATATAAACTGCACACTGTCCATAAATTATTTTCGGTGTACGTTGAGGAAATAGAAGTACATGCAGCCAGGAGCAACCCGCTATATGGAAATACATCATTAGATAATATCCGACTGGTCAATCGGTTGGGCAATGGGAAGATACGTTGATAAATGGCTGGCTTTTGTTTTGATGAAGATACTGTCTGGGTTAGTGTGAGAGATCTCGAGCATAAAGTAGCCAATACAAAGGATAATGCTGTACACAAACAAGTACCAAAGCGCTGAAGAATATCTCAATGCCTCCAGCCATGTAAGAAGAGGAAGAAGGTAAACGGCGGCGGAAAGATGGTGAATATCGTAAACGAATAACAGGCGACTTGGTTTGCACACCTCCTTACCTCCATTCACCTCTCACTCTTAGGCTCCTTTCTGTGGTCCTCAATCCGTGAAAGTATCTCTGGCGCATAGTTCTCATATTCATTTAGAGCATAGCAAGACCAAATACCCCTATCACGAAGACTTTCTTTTCATTTTCGCAAACAAACATTTGGTATCAAGGCGGGCTTAACCCCAGGTGACCGAAAGAGTCTGCAAAGTATGCAACAAGGCCGAATCCAAAACATCCTCTCTCAAGAACTGCTCCCGCTGCAAATCAGCTCTCTACTGTTCCCGCGACTGCCAAAAAGCAGGCTGGAAAACACACTAGAAAAACTGTGCCAGTAGCGCTCAGGCCAAAGTCAACTCCAGTGCCTCTGTCTCTACCTCCTCAACCTCTGGCATTCCAGGGACTGCCCACGACACCACGGCCCACCGAAACTATACCCTAGAAGCTGTTCAACAAGCCCTTCCACAAACTCCACGCCACGTGGCTGCACGATCTATTCAAGAAAGACGTTTTCAAGCTGTTGATCGATGCGTACTTTTTGAGAATGGAAGATGATTACATGTACGGCGGCACCACCCGCGGGAGTAGCATTTATGACGGTGCCACCGACAGAGGAAGGTCCGGGTTCCTCCGGTATTTGAGGCTGGCCGAGAGCAAAGGAGTACTGTTTCCGGCGTGGTGAACTCTACTAAAGCGAACGAATGCATTGAATCAGGGCTCAAACACGGCGAATGGAGTAGACTGGAGTGTGCTGTCGAGAAGCAAGGCATTGTGGACCATTATAGCAACTCATGCAGATGCAGCCGCATATGTTCGGTGAGCAAGTGTATGGGACTGGACCGGGGGGATGGGTGGAGGAGAAAGCATGCTCCAGTTCCAGGTGATGATTGAGAAGTGATATATGGTCGATGTGAGCTCGAAGGCTCCTCGGTAGGCTGCTTAGTAAAGTATTCTGCTGAGGACTACTGACCCTATGGTGTCGCTGAATTTATGTTGCGGTACTGAGGGATTTACTTAGGATAGGGGAGAGCTTTCATTCTGTAGGTCAGTGAGAATGGCTAATATGGTTCTTATTTCAGATAGAGTGATTTGCCGGGCTAGAGTAGAAGAACATATACTACTGCGCTATTTCGCTCTCAAAAGTACGATCAATTTGAAAACTATCTGCCTTTAGTGACCTGAAATTCCATGGGATATTTATGCTCAACTTTTTTGCTATTTGCAAGAGTGAGACTAGCAATGTTAATTCTTCCTAACCTACAGAGGCATACGTAGCGAGATCAATCTCGTCCAGAGATCAACCATATCATAGACAGAGTTTATATTGATTAAAAGGACGTTCGGGGATCCTAATATTACAAGGAGACTAAAAAACCACGAGAATAAAATACTCACAATTTCATACTACAACATCCAGCTCCTTCCACTAAACTCAAGCGAAACCCATCTCAGCAGCTGTATAGTTCACAGATGACTGCGACAACCATTGAGAACGGAGCTAGTGCGGAGATCTCCAGTCAGACGAAATAACGATTGTCAGCCTCCACCAACAGGAGCATGTCAAGATGGAAGAGTCGTGAGTCATGGCGAGACTAGAGTGTATCCTATCAGAGCATAAAGTCGCAGCGGGGAATCGCTCAGGGATGACGACGATTAGAATAGGCTTGATCGGGGGGTTGAATATGCATGATAGAATTGTCCAGATCCCATATACAGACTGGATAAAGGACAGAAGTGTAGAGTCATTCATGTTGATGATGACGCCAGTCAGACTCCAGTAAGCGATGGTGCCTGTCTTGGCTGCATGTCGGATTGCCAATGAGCCCAATTAACTGCAGTCAGCCCGGCAATCTCAGCTGCGAAAAAGTCTCATAGTTCCAAGATGGTTGTCAACCTGCTAGGCTACCACTACTGTTCTGAAGTTCACACTGCATGCAATGAAGAATTCCATCGACTGTATGCAGCTAGAGATGTGCCTGGTCATTCATTGCTCTCTTTTTCTCAATACTTCCAACGATCTGGCCTTTGTTTTTCTTTTGTTTCTTTGTTTCCTTCCTTCCTTCCTTCCTTTCCTTTTTTTTTTTTTTAACTTTCATCCCCCTCGTAGACCAGCATTATTGGGGGGTACACTCTGACATTTCGCATAGCCCCTGATCGCGGCTGAAGCCTTCTCCTTTCATCATCCTCATCATCCGGGCGTTACGAAAAAAGAAAGATACTATTTTAAAAAAAAAAAAATAAATAAAAAAAAAAAATTTACCTCCCCTCCTGACAGATAGTCTCACTGTCAACAATACACTCATTTTGAGTCCTGTTGATCCCGTGTTAACGGGCACAGGGTGGACTTTTGCCCTTGTTGCCTGTTCACCCCATCCTGTCCCACTGAAGCTTCATCGTTCTATCCCATCCAATCCTATCACCCCGGAGAGAGCTCCAACGGCTCCTGAGTTTGGACCTCTCGGATCCTGAGCGTCTAGTCAACCAAACCAGATCGCAAGGCAGAAGTACAGGGATCCTCCCTTCCTGAAACATCTTTCCCTGACTGGAGGATTCCATGCTGAGCAGCCTCCTGCCTGCCTCGTTCTTTCGTCGGATATTTTGGAAAGCTGACCTTCCCACTCCCCCTTTTGATTTCCCCTAGACAACTGGGAATGTTACTTCTACTCTTTGTCTCTCCACTGTATATCATTGTTCATCTTTGTTTCTGTTGCAAACATCTCTCTCCTTATAAGACATATCCTGTTCTGTTCCCATCCCATCATTTCCCTCCCATCTTTCATCCCCCAAAAGGGACAATCTGGTGAGGAGACATGGTGCTCATCAATCAGAGCATGGTTCCTCCAGTGCCGCCGGTTCATCATGCACCAAGCCATGCACATGTTCATCCAGGAGAGGCCCCCCGCGTTCTACAGAACCATACACCCGTCTCCATCAACCCCGCAGGCCTAGCGGAAGAGATGTCCCGGCTCCATGTGAACGCAGACAGCTTCGTTGCCAACGACCAAAAGGCACGAAGCTTTACACCCTATAAAGAAGTCGAACCACGGGCCCCGCCCCAGTACGTGGGGTTTACTTTCTTCAAAGCTGATACGGCAGCTGGCCAAAAACCCACCTGGAGTCATGCCGAAAGGACCCAGATGCACCTGAGTCAGACGGACCTGCTCAAGATGGTGCAGAAGCGGGCCAAGAAGTTCTCTGCGACCCAACAGTACCAGACCTTGTCTAAGCTGAAGCGTACCCATGTGGATCAATTGATTAACCAACTCCGACAGAGAGATCCGCGGGGTGAATGGACCTGTGTCTATATCAAGGAAGAGGACAAACCGTTCAAGGGCAAAAACTCGCGTCGTGGGGACTATGAAACCGTCTCCATGGACGTCGTGATTATGAGGGAGCCCGTGGATCCCTCATACCCGAAGGCTTTCAATGTAGGGCCTGTGAACCCAGAGCAGCCTCACCAGGTCAAGGAAAGAATCCCAACAAATGTTGATGGCATGGTGGCCCACGATGAGCCGAGACAAGTGAACGTCGACCTTGAAAAACACGCGGCATGGGCAATACCGGGTCTCCATCAGGGGCAAATGCCAGCAATGATGAACAACAATCCCCATCAGGCACCGCCCCCTCGGCTTCAGCAACATGTACCTCATCACCAAACTCATCACCAAGTTCACCCAGAGCAGGGACCGCATGTTAACCAAGGCTCTTTCCCACAAGGAATGCCAGCTGGTGTCCACCCACAACCAGATATGCAACACCACGCCCAAGCTATGCCGGGAAGGGGACCCGGTATTGAAGTCTTGCAACACGGCGCCGAGGGCCTCCCTGGGAATATGAATCCACACCGCCAGGGGCAAGGGCTTAACCACGGCCACAACCCATTCGGTCAGAATATGAAGCAGCATCTAGGAAGAGAAAGTTTCCCTCATCCGCTTCACGTCAATCATGGCAGTAATATTCCGAGAGCACCGACTGTGCCGGAACCCGAACCCGAATGGGCACCGGAGTCCAGCAGCATAGGAGACGACGAGTCCGTTCTCTTTGACCATGACGAAGTCAGCTCCATCACTGATGGCTCGGAGGCGGAAGAGGGAGAAGAGTATGATGATGCAGACCGCGAAAAGTCACAGCCATGGCGCGGGAGTCTCTTTCGCCGCCATTCGTCGAAAGCACGACGCAACGAACCCGCCTACCGCTCCCATTATCGAAAACACTCCAAGACCGGCCATGAGGCCAAGCACGGTCGTGTCCGATACCCAGCCGGCTACATCGACGTGGTTCCGGCGGAGAGCAAAAACAGTACCCACCGGCAAGCGAACATTCACTCTCGGGAACTGTCCCGACCAGCCCGGGAACGGCCGAAAATTATCCACACCACGTCTGACAACCTCGACTTGGTGACGCTTGACGAAAAGTATCGCGGGCTACGGGCCCGCAATGACATTCGCAGCCGAATTCTGGATGACCGAGAAGCGAGGGTTGAGCGCCGAGAGAAAATGGTGGACTATCGGACGCAAATGCTGCGCGAGAGGCTGGATGAGGTGCGTCTCAACCGGTCTTTGTCTCTGCACGAATCGGGCCCCTTTTATCCTCGACGATACTATCTACACGATGCCCTGTAAAATGGTGCTTTTGGGTTATTCTCATTTTATCTTTTTTTTACCATTTTTCGGGAGTTTTTCGTGCGTGGGTGGGAGTCCATCGGGATAGGGTCGTTCTATGGATGGAGGGTAACTTCAGGGATGAAAACTATTGTACGGTACAGAATATGGACTTGCCAGTTCCAGGCGTATAGTATTAATAAAGCAATGAATGAATGCATGAATGAAAGAAAGAATGAAGAGAATGCAGTGCCAACACATTAACGTGACTTATCGATAAGCCCCACCTTTGAGTTTCTCTTCGTCATCGCTCGCTTCGTTTCTTTTCCTATTTGTACCCCGTGTCTTGTTTCTTCTCCCTCTCTCCCATACTATCCATATCATATTCACATTGTTGCCCCAAACCACTTTCCTACGACAACCAATCCGTCTCTTCAATTCTCATCACTCCATCGCCAAAATGCCTCGCCAATTCTTCGTCGGTGGTAACTTTAAGATGTACGACCCTCACCATTGCCCCGCAGTCCTCCCCCTCCCCCCGTCTCCCTTCTTTAAAAGCGCCATCATGCGGCTGTGCTGATGGAATCTCTCTCTTTCCCTTGACGAATACAGGAACGGTACTGTGGACAGTATTACCGCCATCATCAAGAACCTGAATGACGCCAGCCTCGACCCCTCGTCCGAGGTCGTCATCTCCCCTCCGGCCCTCTACTTGCTCCTTGCCCGCCAGGCCGCCAACGAGAAGCTTGGTGTTGCTTCCCAGAACGTCTTCGACAAGCCTAATGGCGCTTTCACTGGTGAGATCTCCGTGGAGCAGCTACGTGACGCCAAGATCAATTGGACCATCATCGGACACAGCGAGCGCCGTGTGATCTTGAAGGAGACTGACGAGGCATGTTCTGTTCCCTAGCTTCCGGTACTTTTATATTTTTCCGAGTGGCTAATTGAATTACCCTAGTTCATTGCTCGTAAGGTCAAGGCTGCAATTGAGGGTGGCGTTAGCGTTATTTTCTGCATCGGTGAGACTCTTGAGGTTAGCCGCCCTCTTCTCTCTCCATCTTTCTTTCATTCTTTTTTCTTTTCCTTTATTTATTTATTTTCTTTCTTTTCTTTCTTTCTTTTTGTGTAAAGCCAACTGATTTACCCCATGACAGGAGCGTGAGTCTGGTAAGACCATAGACATCGTGACCAGACAACTCAATGCCGTCGCCAAGGAGCTCTCCAGTGAGCAGTGGGCCAAGGTTGTCATTGCCTACGAGCCAGTCTGGTAATAGATCCACCTTCTGTCTTCCACAAGGCTCCCTTGTGGAGGGGCTTAAAGACCGTAAGCACAAGCTAACTGGTTTCCCAGGGCTATTGGAACTGGTAGGGTTGCCACCACCCAGCAGGCGCAGGATGTTCATGCTGCTATCCGCAAGTGGCTGAGCGAGACTATCTCCGCTGAGGCTGCTGAAAACACGCGCGTGATCTACGGCGGCTCCGTCAGCGAGAAGAACTGCCGTGAACTCGCTAAGGAGCCTGATGTTGATGGTTTCCTCGTTGGCGGTGCCAGCTTGAAGCCTGCTTGTAAGTTCTTTACCATATATTTTCGACTTCCTCTTGCCTTATTTTCCTTGTCATTTGGTCTGGTTAGTATCACAACTAACTTTCATGTAGTCGTCGACATCATCAACGCTCGTCTGTAAATGAAATCCGGGACCTTCGTTAAATAAGTACTTCTTAGTCAAACCTACAGGAAAGCAAGCAACCATCAAATCCCATCAAATTCCATCAAATAGTGAAAGAAAGGATGGACTATGCTTCGGGAATCCTGAGAACTAGTTGACGTTCCTTCACATGTATAAAGATCTAAAAATGGTTATGAGTGAAAGTCTTACCAAATGAAATCATGAACTGAGTGCCGGTCAGAAGTATCCTATATTTGATATTCAAGCCCAAATATATATATATATATATATATATATACAATATATACAAATCAAGTCATAATCATTTACAAAAAATACCTTCCAACCCAATCACGACGAATATAGCACCGATACCCCAACTCCTCTCCAATACGACTTGCCCGGACCTCCACCCCCTCCTCCACTCTGTCCTCCAGACGGATTCGTCCACGAAGACAACGACGACGGCGAGGAGGGAGAGAACGAACTCGGCCCCAGCCCAACTCCCGCACTAACCAACAACTCCTTGACTCTCCCCTCCCACAGCAGTCGTACATTCCATGACTGATCGACCCTGATTTTCAGCACCGATCCATTAGCCTCTTCCTCCTTCTTAGTGTTCGCATCTCTGCCAGGGCCAGGGCCAGTGCCAGTGCCAGTGCCAAGCACCTCTGCTGATGGAGGAAGAAGGACCGGCTGCGAGAGACGCATTTTCCGACGGGCCCATTCCAAACCGTCGTCGTTGTTGGTGGTATCCTCGTCGGAGAGTCGTTTGGACTGTTGCCATAGTTCACAGCCCGCTACCATTTCGCTTTCCCAGCTGTAGACGTTGAAGCCGAAGCGGGAGCTAAAAGCGAGATTGGGCGATGCGCGCAGCGAATATGTCGTTGAGAGAGAGCCCGTGAGTGGGGTTAAGGTTAAGGTCAGTGTGTAGGGGAAGGTGGAGAAGGGGGCGTTGTTATTAGGAGAGGGCGACGAGGAGGACACGGAAGAGGTAGAGGCAGAAGAAGACGAGATGACTGAAGAAGGAAGATCTGTGGCCGCGGGGAGAGTGCTGAATCTCAACCCGGTTGACATGCCCACGAGTGACGAGACTGGGGAATAGTAGGCTTCTGCGCCAGCGGAGAGGAGCGAGAGGCGGGGAGAGACGTTGTCTTTGGAAGTGCGCGGATCCGGGCCGAAATTCCATAGTCCGCGCCATCCAAAGAGCGCATTGTCTGTACTGAACAGGTACTCGTTGCTGTATTTCCCCGTGTTGTGGGAGAGCTGGGTCAGGAGGGAAGCTTGCGGAGCGGACTTTGATAGAGGCGGACCTCGCGTCGAGGAGACTGCCAAGGTGAGTTGCATTGTGGGCGAGATGCGGCGCAGGAAGAGCGCATTCAAAGTGGTGGGAGGAGGAAGATGCAGCGTTGCATGCAGCAAAGTGGCTTTCTGAGCGAGGGGAGTTGAAGCCGATTCATGGCCGCTTCTACTGCTGCTGCTGCCATCGTGCTTGGGATTCTTCTGGGTCGGCTCCAAGCCGGAACTCATTCCATCGAGGATCGAGTCCCAGCCCCAGTTCTCGACGGGGGCTACAGGCGGCTGAACTTGACGGTAGCCGGGGGAAAGCTTGCGGAGAGGGAGCAGGGCGCTTCGACTGGGTGTGTTGTCGAAGGGGACGGTGCTGTATAGATACGAGACAGAGCCATCGATTAAGCCAACGGTGCCGAGGGTGTAACTGGTAGCGAAGTGTGGAGTGGATAGGGATGAGAGATGGACGCGCAGGCGTTCCGGGGTTCTGAAGTCGAGGAGCGCTGTATGCTCTGCGTCAGATTGAGGGATGGGTGGTATTGGTAGACAAAAGAGGCTACATACATTGCGCGGTGGCCGTGAGCGACGAATACGAATTGTCACGGTTCCAATCCGTCGTGTCGCCGAAGGCGAGTTGGATGTAATCCATGAAATCAAGCATTGTCAAGTCAGACCGATCAATTAAACCCTTTGGCGATGGGAAGAGACGGTTTTGAATTCAACAGCTTGTTTCCCCATTCGGGTTGGCCCGATCGGATAAGCCGCGCATCAACATTAATCCGGTTGTTATCAGTGAAGAAAAAAAAAAGGAAAAATAATCATGGGAATTCGATTCGCCGAGTCGACAATTTTCCGCGCTTGGATACAGTGGGAACGTCCACTTCCTTCAGGATATCGAGTGGGAATTATTTGCCAGTCCTTTTTCTATTTTGGTGATTCCCCCAACTTCCACAATGCCTCGCTCCAAACGTGCCAGAGTCGTCCACGAGTCCAAGACCACCAAAAAATCTCATAAGGAACACACCCGGCGGTTGTATGCAAATATCCGCGAATGTGTTGAGAAATATGATCACCTGTTCGTCTTCGGGGTCGATAACATGCGAAACACCTACTTGAAAGATGTGCGCACCGAGTTTGCAGATAGCCGGTAAATCTTCCCGCTCCAATGTTCAACGAAATTTCTACCAAAGCCGGGGAGGGGAGGAAAAATCAATAACTAAACAGTGAACAGTCTCTTCTTCGGTAAAACCAAAGTCATGGCCGTCGCTCTAGGCCAGAACCCTGAATCCGAAGCTGCCACGAATCTGCACCGCCTCTCGTCCTATCTGACCGGTGCCGTCGGTCTCCTCTTCACTTCGCGCGATCCGCAATCGGTGATCGAGTACTTTGAAAACTTCCGTCCTCTTGACTTCGCTCGTGCAGGTACCGTTAGCACTCGCTCGTTCACCATCCCCGCTGGCCTCGTGTATTCTCGTGGAGGCGATATCCCCGCGTCGGAGGACGAGCCGGTCAGCCACACAATCGAGCCCGAACTGCGCAAACTGGGTGTCCCCACCCGTCTGGTGAAAGGCAAGGTCATGCTGGAGTTGACCGAGGGACAGGAAGGGTACCCCGTGTGTCGAGAGGGCGAGACTCTGGATTCGCGACAGACGACGTTACTGAAGATGTTTGGTGTGGTTAGCTCGGAGTTCCATGTTGCTTTGAAGGCATACTGGACTCGGGAATCGAGTGAAGTGAAGATCCTGGAGAAGCGTCAGGGAGAAATGGAGGTAGATGGTCAGTAAGGTTCGGGTATAGAAAAAGTTTTTCGAACTATATTTTATGTTTTTTGTCGACGAAATCCCCCGGGCATTTCATGGAGTTGGGTTAAGGCGCCTTTTTCTTTCTTTGAAATGACAATTACTATTTCAGATATCATCTGGTAACGGCCGATGAAAGTATGTGTAATCCTATCTTCTTATACTAAATTAAGCCTAGACGGTAAACGATGTGCGTGATCGAACTGGGCAGACTACCCCGACAAGAGCTTCTATTTGTCCTGACGGAATTACAATGCAGACCTAAGTCGCTTAAATCAATCAAACAAACACCCCAGATCGTTCATTACTTTGATTTACAACCCATACGAAGATACCTGGCATCGGTCATTGTTCCTGGAAGAAAAACCTTACCTGATCTTCTTACCTGCACGTCCATGGCTCCTACCATTATTTCCGCCCGAAAGAGATGCTGACTACCTAAAATACATACTTACCCCTCTAGAGTATCTGGAACCCTTGGAAGAGATAAAAAAAAAAGGGGGAAAAAAAAGGAAAAATAGCAAAAGGGATAAAAGCAAAAAAGGGAAACAACAGGAAAAATAGTAAAACAGAAATCAAACAACAGGATCGGAAAAGGATGGGGTCGTATCACTCAAAACCTCGTCCAGAAGATGTCGACGGTCATTATATGGCCCAATCGATGGATGAATTCCCCTCGTAAAATATATCGTCGTATAGTGGAAGAATGCATAGCACTTTGGCTGCTGTGAGTAATTTGAATTTGCGTCCAAAATCAGGACTTAAATCTCTGTTGACCTTGCCATGCCTTACCCATTGGCGTTGGGGCGGATGAATGAAAAGACGACCACTAGTCAGGAATACCCACCAGCATACCGTATCTGAGTAATAGGATGGGAAAAATCCCTCGAAATAACAAGAACTCAGTATCTTCTCTTAGCGCGAGGGTCATCGTACGCATCATCTTCGTGATACCGCTTCCGTCCATAATCCTCCCGGCCTCCATACCTGTCACGCTCACGCTCACGATCACGATCCCGGTGGCGGTAACTGTCCCTATCACGGTCCCTGTGACGGTCACCCTCACGGTCACGATCATGGTCTCGTCGATCACGGTCGGCGAACCCGTCTCTTGGCCTTATGGGCTCACGGTTGCTTCCCGTTGCCCCCCTCGGCTCACGATCATGCCTGCCACCGAAGCCACCGCTTCGCCCACCGCCGGGCCCAGAGGGTGCATTTGGTGGGGCCTGTCCACCAAATCCATTCCGACCTCCTTGATATCCAATACCTCCACGGCCGCCACCGAATCCACGATCACGGAAACCACCTTTGAATCCTCTACCACCGTAGCCACCGCGGAATCCGCCACCAAAACCGCCCGGTCCAGAGGGCGCTCCGAATCCTGGGCCAACCGGACGGGAAGGCAATGCCTTTGTGTAGCCACGACCTCCGAGACCGCCACCAAACCGACGAGGCTTCCAACCCTTAACAGTACGCCCGCGTTCAACATCCACAAGGACGCGACGATCTTTAATCCGAATCCCATCTGTCTCTTTGTAGGCCGCTGAAGCAGACGAGAAAGAACATTTTGGTCAGCATTAAATAATCTTAAAATGACTCTGCATGCCATTTAGACCACAAAAGTGTAGGGAATTCAACCGCAGTACCTTTCATATCTTTTTCACGTTCATATACAATAAAAGCGTAGCCCCTGTGCGGCTTCTTGGACCCCTTAGGGGTGATGGTGTCCTTAACAATCCGGATCTTGGACTTGTCAGTGGCATTTCTTACTGAGGGGAAAGGCCTTGAAATATCATGGCATCTGGGTGCTGTACCCTTTCAATAGGACCAAAGCGCCCAAACTCTCGTTCAAGATCTGATTCTTTCACATCATAGCTAAGGCGAGCAATGAAAAGTGTCTTGAACGGATCACCTCGTGCCTGTTGATCATTGGAAGGGTCATCTGAATAACAGTCAGAAAACAAACATATCGACTAAATTTTAATATTTTCTAGTTTTATTTTGGAGAGGAAGCATACAATCCCGGAGACCTTCTGTCAACTGATTGTTTAATCTTTCTTTTGCTTCCAATTTCTGGCGCCATTTACGCTGCAACCAACAATCAGTGGCGTTGTAAGGTATCTCCTCTTCATATTTTTTGATTTCCGGGAGAAACTGCCCAATGCCCCCGATTGTACTCTTTCTCGCATCCTCTGGGGCCCGGTCAAGGGGAGTGACATAGCGCAGGGGTGGCCGCGGCTGAAAGAGAGCGAGCAACGGAGGGGGAAGCTTATCCGTCATCCTGAACCCTCAAACTTGATGCAAGAGGGAAATGTTTTAGCAAAAGAAAACCTAGCCAATCAACTCTGCGTACTCATGAGGCGGAATCTGTTGTTGGTATCTTCGAGGTTGATGAGGTTCGCGTTCTGCCTTTCATCACTTGGCAGGCTCCAGTGCCGGGCCAGCTAGGCGCGCCAGCCGAGCTTGCCGCGGGCCAATGAGAATTAATGCGGCGGGCGGCTGTTGAAAAGTGCTGACTAGTTCCTAGAGGTGCAACAGGCGTATTCAAGAGCGATCAAGATACTTAACAATGCCGGTTCAAGGTATCAGGGCAGTGTCTACTGCAAAGGTAATGATTTCTAATTAATATACTCCTTTTCTTTGTTCCTACCAAATTCTGATAGCTAATGCCGCGTCTCTGCAGAACGGCGTGGGTGCCTTCATTCTACAATGCAAGCGTATAGATTTCCATTATTGCGACTGGGCAGGTAGCTCACGGGGCATGGTGTATGTTCATCCAATGTGCTGGACCTCGGAAAGGTTTGTACTTATATTTGGGACTATATAGGAGCTTCTTGAAGAACAAACTTCCTTCCTTCGCGAAAGCCAATCCCCAGGTCGAAATTCGAGTGTCCCCACGACCACACAAGCACCCGGTTATCAAAGGCCACTATATCAATGGACGAGAGAAAGCGATCTGTGTTCGCAATCTTGAACCTGAGCAAATATTCAACAAGGCCAACCTGTTAAAAGAAGCCAATGGCGAGAAGTTGAAGCGTACCAAGAAGCCTGTGTCGAGTATCAACGAGAGTGTGCGTGGCATCTGGTCACCGTATCATGGAGATCTTAAGAGGGTATAAAACGGCTGCTTTGCTTCTGTTGGGGTTATGGTAATGGTGTTATGTTTTGGATCGTGAATCCTTCCCACTTGTCATATTATGTATTATGTGCCTTCCTTTCCTGTCTTATTTATTCCCTGGGACAACCCAAAGCTACTTATATTATTGGCGGGTTTGCATCATATGTACAAAACGCAGTGATAGTTTTGATCAAAGAAACCACAAGTACCGTAGTCCGCTGTTATTAACTACAATTAATCCGATTGAACCGAATCATGTTTTGAACCTGAAAGATGTACACCAAGCTCTGTGCAGCCAAAATTTATCTGTAACAAGCAAATAATCCGTCTTCGAGATATTAACAATTATGATAAAAGACCTAGTCCCACCGAGTAAATGCAATGAGGGTATCAACAAAGTGGCTAATCGTGATAATCGAGGACGTCATCTGACCCTAACACCAGCATAATGCAACCATTGGAATATGTGTCAAGAGAGTTGCGGCCTCCCTTATAAATATATTTGAAACATTGATCGCGGAGCACTGACTGACTTCCCACAATCAGCCGCTTGACATTTTGAGAACGGCTTTGTATTTTGCATGACCTTCTTCGCATTGGACTTCGACCGATGAGTAGCACATTCGCCGCAATAAACCTTGACTGAACGTTAGAATCGGCAATCGAGGATTCAAAATTGGATAATACGAACATGGCCACATTGTTTTGCCACCCAAATCTGTTGTTTTGTTTCGTCGCCCGTCCCGAGCTCCGCGTCACAGTTCGGGCAACATACGACATCATCTTCCCCGGCAGTTCTTGTGAATCCCTCAGGTGCAGGGCTAGGTGGTTTGTATGAGCTTGGAGGTGGCCCTCTGTCGGGTGTGAGTCCCTGAAGCGGAAAATCCTGAAGCGGGAAATCCAAGTGCAGTGGACCGTCCCCATCAAGATTGATAGCAAAATCGACTGCGGTGCCTGGCCCTCCAAGTAAGAACGTATCCACATCATGAGGACGCTGATTCATACGACGCGCTCGCGCTCGTCTCGCTAATTCCTGTCGAACCACGTTCCTGTTCGATACATGACGGATTCGGGGATCGGGAAGGTGGAACATATGTAAAAGACTGGAACCAAAGCCTAGGTCTCTTGGAGGCTGCGAGCGAACCGAGGACCCTACAAACTGGACTTCTGGAGAACTCGGCGGATCATTCTGTATACTTGGGTCAGACTCTTCTTCCAGATCCACAACCTCAGTCATTATCTCTCTTCCGAAACGAGGGGGTCGTGGCCGTCGTGTGTTGGGTCGACTCTCTATGCTCTGGGAGTGGCGAATTTCTGGGGGTGAATCTGGCTCATTCGTAAGATCAATTACCGATCCTTCCTGGGAAGATGAGTGCGTGGGTCTTCGATAGTCGAGCCCATCTCCTGGATATCGTGCCGGTGGTGGCGAGGGCGGTTGTGTGGGATGGGCGCTGGAGGACGACGCTTCGGCATCTTGTAGCCAGGCATGACGGCCATGGGATTCAGACATTTGGCGGTGATCTCGCTGCCATAAGGATTCAATGGTCAGTAAATCCAGTGAATTCATTATCATCTGGCACGGACAACAAATGCCCCACCGCGAATGGACTGGGGACAAACCTTCCGGGACCGTGCGGCTACAAACTGAACACCTGAATCGTGATCCATCCCAGACTCTGAAGAAAACCAGGAATGAAAGGGTAATAAAGGAGGAAGGTGGTGAAAGAAAGAAGGGAGAACTGTCGCCGGCAGAGTTGGGGAAGCCTCCGCATTAGTGGAGGCCATGATTAGTAGTCGTACTGGAGGTAGTTTGGGTCCGAGTCAATGCAGTGGAGCGATGGCATACCCACCACAAATGGCCAACTTAACAACTGGAGACCACTACCCACTTCACAAAGAATGTATCTAGTGAAATAGAGGATGAAATAAGTGCGAGGTGCTAGAGGGAGGGGAATGAGGTGTATGACTGAGCATGCAGTCCAGTATGTTGGCTCTGTTGGCTCTGGTGATCAGACTGCAGTTGAGAGTCCCGTGATATCTATCTGATAAGCATTCGTTGGTTCATCGAAGGGATGTGAATCCACGGCATTCATTGATATTTTCTCTCAAAAGACATGCGGCTAAAAGTACAAAACAAAGAAACGGGTTTGATTTTCCAAAGGTATCATCATTATTACTGCCCACCGAGCACCGTGATCGCACCTTCACTATTCAACGCCACAATCCTTTGGGCGGTGACGCCCCATCCCACCGCAACTGCCGGAACAGCACTCCGCAAGGGCTCCGACCAGTCCTTGGCTGCCTTCGAATACTGCTGGACGGTCAGCCCGCTAGGCCCACCGGTCAGCAAAAATTGGCCGGTGTAGTCCCAGTTGAGAGAATCGATCTGGTTGCCAGTATCCAGGACCTTGACTTCCTGAGAGCTACGTAGATCCCAAACGGACACAGCAGTAGATTTGTCCGCCACAGCAGCCAAGAAAGTGCCATTTTCGGAGAAGAAGAGGCACTTCACGGCGCTAGACATAGCGAAATTGGCGGCCGCCACACCCGTTTTGACGTCAAAGATCTTGATTTGCCCATCGACACCTCCGGCAGCAATGAGGTGGCCATCAGGATGAAAATGCACGGACAGTAGAGCTGAAAGGGATATGTCAGATAAAATCGAGCCACCACGTCCACGAGTTGCTTACATGCATCACTGAAGATCTGAGTGACCACTGAGGTCGTTGACAAGTCGTACAAGACATAGCTCTTATCAGCACCAACAGAGGCAACAATGTCGCCGGTCGCATGCACAGCGAGGGCCGTTGCCGCCCCGGCATGGGAGTTGAAACTAGCGACTTCACTGCCGTTCTCAAACACCTTCACGGCACCAGTGGAGGAGGCAACGACAGCCTTTTCGCCCGCCCACACAGCGTCGGTAACCGGGCCATTCGCATGCAAGGTTTGGAGGACCTGCTTCTGAGATAATGAGTAGATACCAACGGCTCCGTCGGCTCCCCCGACAAGCGCCAGGTCTCCTGTTGCATTGACAGACAGTGCTCTGCCACCAGGGCAAAGAGGTTCGGAGCTCGCGGAGGGCTGATAGGCGGAAATGGCTTCGCTAGTAGCCCACCCTTCAGGGATAGGACGCTTACGGCGGGTCTTCGAGAGACTGTTTCTAAATCAGCGACATGACTAGAAGTAGGAATGACATAGGGTCGTCATACGTTGCCTGTGTGCTCTCAATCCGAGCCAAAACTGCCTCGGGCAGTCCAGTTGAGTCAACTTGCATGGCCTCAGCAGCGGCAGCGCCGGTGCGGCTAGCTCCGATGGTAACTTTTGACAGCGCATCGCGGGCCTCATCCCTTTCCTTCGTCAATCGAGCAATAACCCGCACAGCCGCATCATGCTGATAAAGCGCTGTACTGAGTTCCTGTCTGGTTTGCGCCAGAGTCTGTTGCAGTGTATATGCCTCCAAGGCCAGGGCATCCCATTCCTCTTGGAACACGTTGAGCAGAGAAGGGATGGAGGTAAGCGTAGGAGGTCGGGGTTTAACAACGCGCTGCGATTTAACTTCGATGAGGTCGCCTGTGGAGAGCTCCTCCCCATTCACAGGGTCTTTTCCATTCTCAGCGATGTAGGCCTCGATGAGACGTTTCTCGAAGACGCTGCCTAGGAGATATCAGACCTTCCGATGTCCTGGAAGTGCTTTTTTGAGGATGCAACATACCGCTCTTGGGCGAGACGACTGGCACTTGAGGTGCCTCTCCCGAAACTGCAAAAAATTTCCCGTCAGTAATAACTTAAGAAAAGGAGAAGCAGCATTATAAACATACTTGCGCACAGCATGATTGTGGTGGAGGGGTGGGTGATGTCAAGAGAGGGAGTTGGTTCGACGCGAAAGCTGCTGCCCTTCGGACTTTTCGACTTCCGCCCGATCTGGGTTTAGCCGCACCACAGAGGTTTGTGTCAAATGCGGATCGCTTGGCAAATCCTGTGTTGCTACGGTTGCCCAGCTCGACTTCCTGCGATTAAGGACTTATCTTGTGAAATTCGAGTATAACTCTATAGCTATGCGGGACATGGCGTGAAACTATCCATCCTCAATTTCCGGGTTGAGCGACTACTACAGATGTATGTGAGGTTGTGAGGAACAAACGACCGCTCTTCAATATCCCGAGCCATGTCATACAGTGCGAAGAACCTCACCTACGGTACAGTGTATGCCATCCACCGCTTCTGATATTGCGACTGATTCATAGAACAGAGGCAAAGGAACCAGCATTCCTACAGAGACTGAAGGGTCAGTATGGGAACACACCTGGTCGCCTTCAGCAACCAATCTCCCGCCCTCGCCGACCGAAAGTTGACAGTGGCGATGACGATGAACCTACATATGTTGATGAAGCGAGCAATGAAGTGATCTCGAAAGAGGAATATGAGGTCTTGGTTCGTGGGAGTGCCCAAGAAGAAGACGGGTCAGCTGAGGAGAAGACTGAGGAACCACAGACGACTCAGGATAAAAAAGACCCTCAGCCCAGGATAGAGAAAGAACATGCGCCAAAACAAAATCTCGCCGAGATAGGAGGACCTAAGAAGCGCAAACAGGGCAAGGCCATTGGAGAAAATATACCTGAAGCCGACAGCGAGGGACCACAGCACAAAGTGTCTGGATCTCGAAAAGCGAAGCAAAAAAAGAAGATTAAACTCTCCTTTGATGAGACATGATCAATGATTACTATTACAATTATTGTTCTGAATTTCCTATATACTTTGTAGTCATATACACCGCGTACCTCTGCTGAGTCACGATGACTGTAAAAGGATACCGAATAAGCACCATAGTTCCACCTTAAAAGGGTGCACGAATAATCCTATCACCAAATAATAACTAATTTTTGGTATACGTCAAACTCCACTGAGGCTTCTTCACCTCGTGGTGGTCCTGATCTTGTTCCATATTCTCCTTGGCTGAGCGATCTTGGGCTGTACAGATTCCGCCAGCAATTTTTTTTTTTTGTGCCCCTCTTACCAATCCAGAGCTCTATTCAGTCTTAGGCACTCAGCCACAAGTCCCAACCCAACTGTCATATTTGGCACCTTTTTTTTTGGGTCCTGGATGCTGGTAAACAGCGCCAGCCTTATCCAAAATGCCTGTTGTAAATGTGGACGATTTGGTCCGACTTCAACGGAAACCCGACGACATACGGAATGTACGTTGCCCCTCCATCCCACATTGATGTCACAGGCCCCGGCTTGTTGTCAAACAAGCAGCGCTAATCACACTACAGATATGCATTCTGGCCCACGTTGTAAGTGCCGATAGGGTCTAGCCCACAATGGAGTATTTGGATGTTGATTCTCCCTTCTTGCGAGGTTCCAGGATCATGGTAAAACCTCTTTGACTGATAGCCTGATCGCCACAAATGGCATCATTTCTCCCAAGTTAGCGGGTAAAATCCGCTATTTGGACTCCCGACCGGATGAACAGCTTCGAGGGATTACAATGGAATCATCCGCCATTTCTCTCTTCTTTTCGATGATGCGCCGTCCTGCTCCGGGCGCCGCCCCAGTTCCTAAGGAGTATCTGATCAATCTGATTGATTCGCCTGGGCACATCGACTTTAGCAGCGAGGTGTCGACAGCATCACGCCTTTGCGACGGAGCCGTGGTGCTTGTCGATGCCGTAGAGGGCGTGTGCAGTCAGACGGTCACTGTTCTACGTCAGACTTGGGTCGAGCAATTGAAACCGATCCTAGTCATTAACAAAATAGATAGACTAATTACTGAATTAAAGATGAGTGCCAGTGAGGCATATTCACATCTAAGCAGGCTTTTGGAGCAGGTAAACGCCGTAATTGGCAGCTTCTACCAGGGGGAACGAATGGAAGAGGATCTCCAGTGGCGAGAGCGCATGGAAGAGCGAGCCAGTGCATCTGCAGCCCAGAAAGACCGGACGAAGAAGCAGAAGCAGGATGACGAGTCTATATCAGGTAGCGTGGCTGATACAGCGGAGTACGAAGAACGCGATGATGAGGACCTATACTTTGCCCCCGAAAAGAACAATGTTATCTTCTGCAGTGCTGTGGATGGTTGGGCTTTCACTGTGAGGCAATTTGCCGCAATCTACGAGAAGAAGCTTGGGATCAAGCGTTCTATACTCGAGAAAGTCCTCTGGGGAGACTTCTACCTAGATCCCAAGACGAAACGGGTTCTCGGCCAAAAACATCTGAAGGGACGAGCTTTGAAGCCAATGTTTGTTCAGCTCGTATTGGATAGTATCTGGGCTGCCTATGAAGCCACCACCGGAGATGGCAAAGGCAAAGGGTAAGATAGCATGGCCCCTGGATTGCTCCTACTCTACTGACGATTGACAGCGACCCGACTTTGCTGGAAAAGATCACCAAGTCCCTGAACATTACGATTCCTCCATACATCTTACACTCCCGTGATCCCAGAAACGTAATGACCACCTTGTTTTCCATGTGGTTGCCTCTGTCCACAGCTCTTCTTGTCTCTGTCATTGAATATCTCCCCAGTCCTCGAGTGGCTCAAGAGTCTCGGTTGCCTGCAATGATTGAAGAGTCGCCTGGGGCAAGCTTCGTAGACGAGAAGGTAAAGAATGCAATGGTCCAGTTCAAGACTGGCTCAGGGGAGCCTGTTGTGGCATACGTTAGTAAGATGGTTGCGATTCCAGAGAGCGAGCTATCTGCGAGCAACAAGCGCTCTGGCACGATGCTATCAGCAGACGAAGCCAGAGAAATTGCTCGGAGAAAGCGTGATGAAATCGCCAAATTGCAGGCGGAAGCTAATGGCTCCGAGACTGATGAGTACGCACGCATCACATCTGCTTTCGACAAGGCCACATTAGACGACATTGATCAGCCTGGAGAGAATGAGGTAAAGGCGGATCCAGAGCACCTGATTGGGTTTGCTCGACTGTATTCTGGCACTCTTTCGGTGGGTGATTACGTGTATGTCCTCCCCCCGAAGTTCTCGCCTGAGAACCCTCACGCCAGTCCAGAGCTTCGAAAAGTGACGGTTACGGATCTGTATCTCCTTATGGGCCGAAGCCTCGAACCCCTTCAGTCAGTCCCTGCAGGTGTGGTTTTTGGGATTGGTGGGCTTGCAGGTCACATCCTCAAGACGGGCACTCTATGCTCACAGCTCGAGGGAAGTATTAACCTGGCTGGTGTGACTTTGAACGCTCCGCCCATCGTCCGAGTTTCTCTTGAGCCAGTTAACCCCACGGATTTGGGTAAAATGGTCTGTGGTCTGCATCTGCTTGAGCAGAGCGATCCTTGTGCACAATACGAGGTTCTTCCCAATGGCGAACATGTGATATTGACTGCAGGTGAACTGCATCTTGAACGGTGTCTGAAGGACCTCCGTGAACGTTTCGCCAGATGCGACATTCAAACCGGCCAGACAATCGTTCCATATCGAGAGACCATCATCAAGGCGCCGGAAATGGCTCCTCCAAGGAACCCAGAAGTGGGACGAGGAGGAGTTGTAGTTGTTTCGCCCTCGAAACAATTAACCATCCGTCTCCGAGTCGTCCCATTACCTTCCGCAGTGACCGAGTTCTTGACCAAACAAGCCGGCACCATTAAGCGGCTACAGTCTCAAAAGAGAGCCGCAGCCGAAAACACCTCGACCAACGGTAACGCTGAAGGTAACCAACGGATCGAAACTAGTGATGCGACGGATGAGGCCCGGGAAGGAAGCATTCTCTCGCTCTCGGACTTCAAGCACGAACTCAGCAAACTCTTTGACGAACACGGGGCAGACGACAAAGACACATGGGTTAATGTCGCCGACAAGATCATAGCATTCGGTCCTAGACGAATAGGCGCAAATATCCTAGTTGACGCCACTGCAGTCAACACCTGTGAGAAATTGTATGCCCTTACTCAGCCCAGCACTTTAAACGTTGGCAACTAACTCCCAGCAGCTTGCTCGAAGATCCCAAACAGCAGCCCACCATCTCTACCGAGGAATGCAGCCGCGATGCGCTATTTGTCCGCGACTTCTGTGACAAGATCGCTCACGCATTCCAGCTAGCAACAGGCCAGGGACCACTCTGTCAGGAACCTATCCAAGGCACGGCCGTATTCCTAGAAGATCTAGCCGTCAATGCCAACGAAGCTGAGCTCGACCTGGGCCGTTTAACCGGTGAATCAATCAGACTTGTCCGTGACAGCATCTCCCATGGTTTCCTCGACTGGAGCCCCCGAATAATGCTCGCCATGTACAGTTGTGAGATCCAGGCATCGAGTAAGTCATCCACTACATACGGACCTCCTCCCGTCTACAAAACACACCCATAAAAAAAAAACAAAAACACAAAAACTAACACACATAAAGCCGAAGTCCTCGGCCGTGTCTACGGTGTTATCACCCGTCGTCGCGGCCGAATCCTCTCCGAAATAATGAAAGAAGGAACTCCATTCTTCACGATCCTGGCTCTTCTTCCCGTAGCGGAATCGTTCGGATTCGCCGAGGAGATCCGGAAACGCACTTCGGGCGCGGCGCAACCACAACTTATCTTTGCGGGATTCGAAGCCCTAGATGAGGATCCATTCTGGGTTCCTGCCACGGAAGAGGAACTAGAGGATCTAGGAGAGTTGGCGGATCGGGAGAACCTGGCGAAGAGATACATGGATGCTGTGCGGAGAAGAAAGGGACTTGTGATTCAAGGGAGGAAGTTGATTGATGCGGAGAAGCAAAAGACGTTGAAAAAGTAAATTTAATTATGTATAGGTTGGTTTCAGGGTTTTTATTTTTATTAGTTTCTCCGCTTTTTGGTCGTTGGTTCTTTTCGTTTTAAGCAAGCATTAACGGGTGTTTTTGTTTTACTTGCGAGTGCTAGCTAGACATATATTGTATACAAGTCCTAGTCTAATAGTTTAACTTGAGGATGGCCGTTTACTATCTTTGCCATAATACCTAATTCGTATGGGACTGTTTTCATGCTGTACCCCTAATCGAAGAGTTTTTTCAGGTCCAACGGACTTTCAAGCACAGAAGTTATGATAAGGAAGATAAGTAGTCCACCACTCGAAACAAGTTAATATTTCTTGGGCGACGAACGCAATCCGTCATTGAAAAGGCCAAGATCATGGATATCAGAGGTGAAAGGATGATCGATTCCGGCTGCATAGTACGAGGACAGAACAGGATGTTGTCAAGTATTTTCGTTGGTATCCTCAGGGTATTCTAACGTAAACTTGTTCATAAATTCATAACACGCTACCACAAATGGCCGTGATTGTGTGACCAATACCATGATCTCTATATGAGCTGCACAACAACTCATCGCTCAGTTTACCTGCTCATCAAGGTTTGTTTGGTTTCTGGGACCCGTATAAAGGAGTCTACCCACAAACAGTCCTAGTCAGACAGGACAAGATCAATCATATAGACCGATAGGTTACCTTTATCGACGCCTTGATACCTGTCAAATGGAATCAAATATCGTCGATGATCCAAGAGCGGAATAGAGCCCCTGCAAGTGCTCTCATGACAGAGTTGTATAATGTGCCAACAATAATCAGATAGTCTGGTTGGAATACCGTCACGCATCTATCTCCAGTAGATGGGTCAGAAAGGCCGCGCCACCTTTCTCAATTCCGTGGCCCCAGTATTAGGATCCTTCATTTCCTTCCAGCTGGCAGGAAACATCATATTACCAGCCTCGCTCCGAGCCATCACAACACCGAGATCATTCCGAGCTGTAGTCAGGTAATAGAAACTTTGATCACCTAGAGAGATAACCGTGCCTCGCACGATATCGCCCACACGAAACATCTCATCCATAACAACACGATCTTTCTCTACGGCCCGGACGTCTTCTTTCCGAATAAGGGCCTGGAAGCGAAGCTCATCTGAGTTGCTGTGATTTTCGGGGTTCGCGGCAGAGGAAAGGATGGACGCGATGTTGTCATTATCGGAAGTGGTCTTGGAGGGAATCAGCGCCTGGGAACTGGCCAAATCATCTAGCACAACGAGGATTGATACGGTGGCCTGGCGTTTCTGTACTCGTGTTACCCGTGCCAATACAACCGAGTCCACGGTGGGAAGAGTGTTGTACTTCGATTTGGATCGGGTTGTCTTTGAAGATGACGAAGGGACTGCGGATGATATCGTGCTAGGTTCCTGCTTCTTGTCGATGCTTCGTGTCACGCTGATTGTTGATTTTACTGTTGAGCTGGACTGTATCGGGTCGACAACAATTGGACCAGCAATTGAAGCGTAAATATTGGCATTCTGCACATGAGTTCCGGGCCCAGCGGAATAAGACGCAATTGAGCCCAGACGTTGGCCTGGGATTGCCAGCGCCGGTAGTGTGCTTGTCATTTCAACAAGACAGGTCCAAGGAGAACGACTAAGAAGAACGCAGAGGGGAGAAGAGGAGACCACTTGAGAAATAAATAGAGAGCTAACGGATATCCAGCAAGCGAAAACTGGGAGTTCTTTTTTTCCGGGAGTCCGGGAAAATCAGTTCCCCCGAGGCTCCACACCAGCTATCAATTAATTAATACTAATTGCTAGTTAGTCTAGAATACATGAAATAATCAATGGAATAATGACAAAAATTTACACTAAATATAGCTACCACTACAAACCAAGTATAAAAGCTCAGTCTGCTCCGGCGAATACAGTCCGCGCAGGTACATCTCAGCATAGAAGCACTCAAGGGCGTACGCGGCAACAAAGGGCAACGAAAAGATGATTCCTATCAGACCGATTGACACCAAAGACAATGCTCGCTTAATACCGGCAACAAGTGAAGATCAATGTGCCAAACGACAACAAGATACTGCACGTCAATAATAGACTTTGGTTGGGGAAGAAATATAGCGTTCGCTTTCAAACGCAATTCCGTTGAAGGCGTATTAACCTTCTACCAGGGTCTGTCTGGGTCCATTTCCAAGAAATTCGAGGCATCGTCGGGCCAGCGCAATGACCTCACCCTCTCCATCCTCCGCATCCTCCTCGTCGGACTCAATATTCTTGTCTGAGATCGTCTTGACCATCTGAACAACATCATCCGATTTCGCAATGTACCCAACCAATCTTTGGTCTTCGGATTCAAGTAATTGCAGGAGGGTCCAGATAGCGATATGCTGAAATGTGGGATCACCACTTGCGAGGAAGCGGCTGAGATAGCCGTGGATCCCACCATTTGGATCGGCCCAGTCACGAACGAAGATCGAATAGTCCCCAACTTGTTTCCATTAGTCCCCACTAGATGTACGTGGATTGCGTCGAAACTTGGTCTACTTACCTTTAGAGGATAGATTGCCCAAGGCGGCAGCACTATTTCCCTGCACTTCGATACTCTCTGATTCCGTCAAGGGAATTAAGACGTCGAAAACCCCAAGACTGAGAAGATGAGGCTTCAACTCGTCGCTGAGGGCCAGCACAGCAATTGCAGCAGTCATCTCGGATTGAACACTAAGGGGTACTCGTAGAACCAGGTCCTTGCACTTTTGAACTGCACCGGCTTGGAGGACAAGCTCCTTGTTGCGGTCGGAGCTTGCTGCAAGATTTCGAAGAGTGGAAATAGCATGGCACTGGATTTCCTCATTATCTGTAGAGCCGAGAAGATCCACCAAGGGCTTGAGAAAGCCGGCATCGATGATCGGGGATTCGTTAAGAGGGTGGATGGAAATGTTGCGAATACAGGCGACAGCGGAGAGGATGAGGGGAAGATAGGAGGACTGCAACAAGCGGAGGAGCGGGGCAAGGCCTTTTGCTCGTACAATCTCGAGCTGGTACTTCTCGTCTGATGCAAGGTTTCTGAGGGCGAGGGCGGCTTGACACTGCACTTTTGGCGTAGACGAGTCCATAAGATGCACTAGAGACTGAACTAACCGCGACTCAGTTTGCGCAAGCCTCTTTCGGTTCGAAGAATCGACGGCGATGTTGCTGAGTGCTGTCGTACAATAGTATTGCACATCTACATCGGGGGAAGAGAGCAATTGAACTAGAACAGGTATAGCACCGGCATTCACCAGTTGTTGCCGATTGTCATCTGCTCCAAGTCAGACCAGCTCCAAAAGTAAAATAGATATAGCTCGGATCACAGCACATACCAGAGTGTGTCATATTAAGCAAAGCCCCAGTTGCATTGCGTTGTACACGCATATCCTTCGATTTTGCAAGGCGGATCAGTGGCCCTAGAGCTCCTGATCGTGCAATCTTCGCCTTATTTTCCTCATGGGTAGCTAAGTTCGTAATGCAACCCACTGCATTGCACTGAACCTCGACGTTGGGAGACATCATTTGTCGTATTAGAGGGGCCAGCCCTCCCAGTGCGACGATCAACACCTTATTGTCCGCTGCATCTTGTTAGCCAACGAACCGCCGTTACCGGCACATACGGTGGAAAGTACGGACCATTTACAGCAAGATTCCCAAGTGCCGCGCTAGCAGCCCGTTGGACTTCAATATCAGAGCTCTGTAGCAAGAAAAGAATGGGTTCAAGGGTATCCCGATCGACCTCTCGAACATCTAGAACACAGGCCACGAGCGTTAGCCACCGCAGAGCACCTTGGATACAAGTTACAAACCTCGCTCTGTGATTTCAGCGAACGTCAGACTAGCACTTCTTTGCAGGTCCACGTTATCAGAATAAACTAAAGTGCTCAGTGCACGAAGGGGTTCTCCAGAAAAGAAGTCCGTTTCGGCTCTCTACAAACAAAGCACCGTTAGCAACAAAATAGGTAATTAAATCAGTAAGTCAAAGGTAAAGAGTCGATCAAATGGCTGTGACACAACGCACATTTTCAAGATAGCCTAGTAGATCAGATACAGCTTCCCGTTCATTGTCGGCTAGAGTTGTCTCGTAAATTCCATCCCTCGAGCGACCACCACCGAGACAGGAGGTGATATGACACCAGCGGTCAACAGTCGACAGGCAGGAGAAGCACGCGTCCGCAATTCCACTCATGCCTTCAAGATTGTAGGCCCGCAGGACCAAACGGCGGCCCCGCAAGCGTCTAGCTCAATCAAAAACAAAGGAGGTTGGACTGACGTCAAATCCGACCGGGCAGTCTAAGTCCTTCCTTTCCTTTTATTGTTTATTTTAAATTCTCTTGAAGTGATAGCTTTGACAGCGGTAGCGGTTCGGTATTAGATTCGGAGCAATAAGAAAATGCGGAAAGGGAGGAAAGGCGATTGGCGATGAATTGAGGTCGGGAGGCTCTGCACAGGCCTCAGCTGGAGCTTGCGGGAGCACAAGGAGCCAGTGCGCGTGATAGGAGAGATTTCGGAGCGTAAACTGTTTTTATTCTTCGCTCCTTCGTCTAAGTCTTTTATTTGATAACAGTTATTTGTATTCTCTGTATTGATAATCCACATGAAGAGAGAATCGAGATGAATGGAAAAAGGGTGGTTGGTAGGAAGAAGACGACATGGGAGGACGGCAAGACGGGATTAGTATGCGACTAGCGGTGGTCACTGGGCTAATGATCACACGCATAAATGGAGCTTATGTCGTCTTCTACGACCACCACCATCTTGGTCACAGGAGCCCTAGGACTGTTTCTATTACTCCAATATACTCTTGTTCTGTTTATCAGTCTGGTTATAAAACCAATTAACACAATCTATCCCAGAGAGAATCCCAATGCCCAGCCTTCCTCTTCGTCAGACTCCAAGGGATGAATATCTCTCTCTCTATCAATCTACATACGAGTACAACGATCGCCTACTTCAGATTATCTATCACACATGTCCTAATCTAGTATTTCCTTATCCTGCTGGCTCTCCAATTTCTATACTATCCTTACTCTCTCACCCTTCTTGGGGATGATTCACTAAACAATATCGTATTACGCCCCGCAAATAGGCCAAGTACCCAACGCCACTCGTCGCCATATATATCTATTCACGATGACATTTTACAAAGACCTCCAGCTTCAACCTGCATCAGCGAAATAGCAACCGCGCAATACTAATCAGACTTGGGTCGTCCTGGCCCACCCCGGAAGCTAACCTGGAAAACCGCTCCCCATACGTATAATTATTGTCAATACCAATATAAACCTTGGAATCACCCATAACGAAGAGCATTTCTGTGTCGGCAGATAGCTACCGAATTCTGTCCTCATATATGTATCTAACATCTCCGGTCTCCGGAAGAATATACACTGACGAGGATACAAGAAACTGTAGTTTTCTAGTATAACTACGGAGTATATTTCAAGGTCGCCAGGCAAGCAGGATGATCCAATCTTCAGACATATACATGCATACATTTATTCCAACGTCCGGACAACGTAAATGACCAGCAGTTTGTTTGTTCTGAAGTTCGTTTCCCGCTTCCTATACGACTTGAATATCTTGTCCAGACCACAACTATCCCCAAAAAACACTCGATATACACATATAATTTCACGAGCAGTTGAATAGTTATTCTTAGCATTTTCAAGTTTCTAAGATTCCAAACTGCTGCCAATGGTGGTGCTGTCCCCGCATATGGTCTCAATCTTTCATCACATAGCGATGTACAGAGCATCGTGGGTTCTGTATTTAGACAAACACTATTAACCTCAGTAGGACCATTCATATGAGCGGCAGCACTAATTATTATAGAAATGATAATGGACCAGACATGATGTCCAGGGTGAACCTCTTAAGGGCATCTCAATTGGTCAGTTCCTGACTAACCCAAAATAAATTAAGGCTGAACACATAGAATGTATATGTTGTATGATGTCATGGTCAACATGAAGATCACCTACTCAGAAAGTACCCTGTTTCAGGGCTGAATTGATATCATTCTGTTTATTGTTGCTCCATACCCATTTTGGGATACCCGGCTTTTGTATCTCATTCTCTATTATTATGCCAAGAGTGGTGGGTGTTACTGTATGGGTCACAGGACTAGAGAAGAATGCTTAGCATGACCAGATCAATCATCGGAATGTTAGTAGACTGACGATGAAGATCCAGAGCTTTAGTTGTATCATGAGGACAGCCATCAACGGGACACAACTACCCGACGTAGAAGATTGTAGATTTGCGTCTAGCTACTCTATGAAGGATGGCCTATTAATCTTCTGCACGGGTCATCTGAACTTCCTAGATGAAGTCTATTCCTACACGCATTAAGACAAGTCTGATAGTCCGTTAATCATTTCTTAAAGCTGACTATCGGGTATAGTCAGCAAAAAAAGTCTGCCGTTCCGCTTTGACAGGTGGTCCAAATTTCCGAACGCAAAGCAAACAAAAAGTAGCCATATCAACACGAGGAACTAATCACATCTGTCGAGAGAGAGACGATTATGGTCGTTGAAAAATTACGCGACATTTACACCGTATATACAGGCTGACCATCCTGCTCCACGTGAGGATTCTTGGTCTCTAATTCAATTGGGTCACATGAGACCTGGTACAAACAGGCATCAAATCAACATCTCTCGTGAGACTACATCCCGGCTTCTGCAGAAGCTCTCCTCCAACTAGGCCTTGCCCCGCAGGCTAACAATGACACTAACTACACTGCGGAGGAAGTTAACGAGACTACAGATGAGGTGAAAGTGGGCTCGCCTAGCCGCTGGGAAGCTAAACCACTTTCAGGTGGTCAGGTGACGACCCGCCTACACACCCACAAATTTTGGCTTAGCGGTTATTTTTCATTTCCTTTCATAACAAATTGTCGATTCCACGCGCCCGCCTGGCTGTCAACAATGGCGGATCTCTCGAAAGAGGTAAGATAATGGCATGAAATCAGTTTAATACTGGTCGGAGAGTAATATTTACCTTATTTAGCCCTGCTACAAGGCGTATCTGCACAAGGGAGCGAAGGGAGAAATTGACTGGCCTGAGTATAATGAGGTAAGTTTTCACCACATTTTACCAGTTCTTAACTAGTATAATACTGATATCCTACTTTTAATTTAGGAGACATTTGAGGTCGATGACGGTGATGGTAATACAAAGACTATAACTGGGGTGGTGATTTACCCTCGGGAAGTGTTCTGTCGTGTAGAGGATTGCCCTTCAGGTTCTGTGAGTATATCAGTTAGATATCAGTTAGCAACTAGTTACTAACTAGTATTCTGAAACACCATGGATCTACAACCAATCTTCGCAAGCATGTTTCGCGTCATGGGATTATGGTTAAACCGGGCTCCGACGGGAAGATTAGTCTTGCAATGTACTCTAAGACCAAGAGTAGGAAAAAATATCTGACTGGTTATACACTAGTTACTAACTGGTTATAGAGTGGTATCTTTCTCTTTTTCCAGATGATACTTTTAAGTCGCAAAAGCGGATGTCTACTACGGTCAATACTACACCTAAGAAAAAGCAGGTTATTAATCTTACGAAGTATAATAATAGTCTATTACTAGTTTTATACTATTATACTAATTGTATTAAGTAGTTCATCTCCAACTGTTATTACTATACCAGCAGGTGGAACTGATGAGGAGCAGTAAGCTACTAGTACCCTGCTAACTAGCTACTAGTAACTAATTAATACAGACATGATGATTCTTCGCTCCCTGAGCTCCCACTCTTGATGGATAATGAGGTATGTGATTAGTTAGTAACTGGTTATATACTAGTAGCTAACTAGTATTAGCCTGATCATGATGCTATTCGTCGTTATGCTCGCTTGCATCATGGAAAGCGTTCCCCATGTGGTGTCTGCCGAAAGAGAAACAGTGGGCTTGGAATTAGTATGTTATAAATACAGGTTTAATACTAGTAGCTAACTAGTTTAGAATGTGGCCAACGCCCCTACTGTGAACACTGGAACTTGTTCAAGGTCACCTCATCTATTAACGGTAAGGGCGTTGACCAGTCTGGTACCAGTAGCAAACCAGTTCCTGACCAGTCACACAATGCTGAAAGTGACGATGGTGAGGAGGGTGCTGCAGGTGATACTGAATGTCATGGCGACAAAGAGTCTGAGGGCCCTGATGATGCAGATGCAGATGCAGGGGATGAGTAAGGGCTATTAGTTTCTAACTAGTTACTAACCAGTCAGCCACTTTATAAGCACTAATGTTGCAATTTGCCTGCTTGGGAACTGGCTGCAAGCTAGTTGGTTTATTCAGAAATAAGTTAAATACATGGACTTTAATAGCTACTGCCAAATAGCTAGCTGAAAGCTAGTTGTTGTTATTTAGAATATCAAAACCTTCGAGGTTATATAGTATACTTAAAATAATAACAAGCATATTATAAAATATATATCATAAGAATTTTCCCTACTAGTTATAAACCAGTAAATAACTGGTTCTATACCAGCCACCCACTCCCTGATGTGATTATATTTATATATAGTTACTATACACGGTAATTAATAATACACTATATAAATTTCTATTCCTCTAATTAAAAGACCATATTTGTTAGATATTCGGAAATTGACTAGATGGGCCCCTGACTAGTTCAATATCTGTAGGAGATGTAGCCTGTGCCTGGTTCACTTGTGGCTGACTCATAATAGCCTGTGTAGAGACCTGAAGAGGTGATAATACAGGTTCAGTACTAGTATATAACTGGTTAGGGACCAGTCCTATACTAGTAGGCCCTTGGTTTAGCAGGACACTTGGGTCTAGCCTCCCATTTGCCACTAGGCTTGTCAATAACTGATACCGCTCTAGCTGGGCTCGTTGCTGTAGCAAAAGTAAATCTGCTTGTTGTTGCTGACGAGATATTTCGGCACTATTAAGCATTGCTCGCTGATGAAGAGATGAAGAAGTACTAGTACTACTATAAGGACTAAAACTAGTTAGTAACTGGTAAATAACTAGTATTGTACTAGTACCTTGAATTTCTTGATTGCCTGTTTCGGGGCTGTTGTCTGCGCCCTCGTCCACGTGGTGATCTTCTGCCTTGAGAGCTCGAATAATTTTCTGGACGAGGAGACCCTGAAGATGAGACTCTTTGAGATTGTGATAGTTCATTAGCAGTCTCAATAGCCTCATTTGCACGTTCTGTAGGGTGCTGCTGTCTTTGATGAGATTGTGATCTCTCCCGCTCACGTTTACGCTCTAATAGTATACTAATAAGTAACTAGTATATAATTAATTAATGACCGGTATTTACTTACGACCTCTTCTTAAACTCTCTGCGAATAGGTCTGACCCACTTCGCTTAGAATAAGAATGCCGAATTCCATAGAGATCTCGAGTATCATATTGTGCCATGTCTCGCTTATCAAGGTGATAGCCACTATATACTAGTTAGGTACCAGTTAGGTACTAATATAAAACTAGTAGTTACTTACGTTTGTACCGCCTTCACAATACTTAAAGCTCTTCCCATTGCTAGCCCCTTCTCATGAGTTTGCTCTGCTGCATTAGTATGAGCTGTAGCTTCATCAAAGTCTTCAGAATCCATGCGAGAGCGGGATTTATTAAGTCCTGCAGCTATAACTGGGTCAGCTTTATGAAGAGCCCAACCCTCCTGTTTTGAATCAGGATCAGCAGTATCTGTGAACTAGTTAATAACTAGTATTTTACTAGTAGGGAACTAGTACTTACGTAGTAGATGCTGGACCAGCTCAATATAATCCTCCTCACTCTCACAGTCTAGTAAAGCCATCATTCGCTTGAAAAGCTCTGTATGCTGTTGACATTTTCCAACAACCTCTTCAACTCCACGTAGAAAGTGAATACGACAGAAGATCATAACATGCTCAACATGCCACTGCCAATCTTCATTACTATTAGAAAGGGTTTGCAGAAAATAGCCAAGTCCTAGAAAGGTACTAGTTAGTAACTAGTTAATAACTGGATTTAAACTAATACTTACCTTCCATTTGTCCTCTGTCCATATCAGCAATAATACTCCGAATTCCTGAGCCATGAAGATATTTAAATCTTAAAGGCTGTCCTGTTACCTGTTCAAGAAGCTGAGATACTTTAGTAAATATTATTTGATACCCTTCAGCATCTTGACGATTGATAAAAACACGAAGTAAAGTAATAACTAGATTTAACTGGTTAGTACTAGTTATTTACTAGTAATATACTAGTTATGTACTAGTAGTAGGGTACCTTACTCTTTCCATGATCTCGTGACATGATCGCAAATACAACCTCTTTAAGGTTATTTGAACGTAGTCGCTTCCATCCCATATCTATCTCAAATGAAGAGACAGATTGAAGAAGATGGAGTTGTGAGTCCAGGGCACATATTATTATAATAGTATCCCCATCTTGAAAGACCTCTCGAACATAGTCCTAATTAGTTAGCAACTGGTTCCAAACTAGTTTTATACTGATAATATACTTTTATTTCTGGCCTTCGGTTTCTCATCCACTGTAAGCCCATAAGGCCCTGTCCTTCTGGGTATAGAATAAGCTTTGCTTTTTGAATAATAAGAGTAAAGCGATCCATATTCACAAAGCTTTGATGAAGATCAGTAATATGATTAACATCATATCTCTGGCATAGAGCTTGGAGCTCTGGACTGCGCAGAAATGAAGCTAGAAATTAGTTAGTTACTAGTTAGAAACTAGTTGTATACTAGTAAGTAATAGAGTATACTTACACAGTGTTAGGTCTGGATTTTGCAGACTTTGGATCAATTCTCTAATATCTGCAATAAGCTCTGGTGGTGCTTTTATTGGTGGTGGAGGAGGATGCTCATGCTTTCCATGTGATGTTAGGAGTATATAAGGGCATTCATGGAGATTCTTTGGAACAATAAGATTAAACACCACTTTACAACCCAAATGGATAAGCTTTTGAGGTCCGGATGGGTGATCAAAACCTGTTGTACTAGTAAGTAAGTAGTATAATACTAGTAGTATACTAATAGCTACTTACCACAATCATCTTTTCGTGTTATATTTGCATCCATTACTCCACACTCCTCAATATTATCATGGACACGCTGGTTAATCAGACTGACTAGTAGATCAATATCTGTATTATTAGAAAATTCAAGATTTTTGATCATATGGTCATCTACGTTAGGCCCGGATTGACGATTAATACAAGCAAGAACACGTGAACGTGTTCCTGAGGGAGGTTGATACTGGTTAAAACCAGTTAGAAACCAGTGTAAAACTATTATTAAAAGACTTACCTGCTCAGACATAGTGATAACTACTGGTCGACAGGTTGAATTCTGTTGGCGGCATATAGTTCCACGACGAAATGCTTTTAAAATACCATAGTACTTCCTAATATATATTAGTACAGTATCCCGTTAAAGAGTGCAACTGGTAGAAAACTAATATATAACTAGTATATAACCGGTACTATACCTATATGCCTGTTTCCTTTTTTTTTTCATTCCCCCTATTAGTTCAACACTTCTTCGGAGTGCTTGTAGTGTAGACCATAGCTCATTATCTACCTTGTAGTGATGAAACTCTTTGATTCTTGATGGAAGATAGGGACAGATCTGTAATCCACGGCAAAAATACTTTGCTCGCCAGGCCCTAACACCAAGAAAAGGACATGTTGTCTCTACATCACGGTAATGCTGCTTTGTTGCATACTGAACCTAGTATATCAGTTAGCTACCAGTGGTATACTAGTTCCTTACCAGTACTACCTTTTGAAAAGTCTGTACTGGAGCATTCTTCAATTTTTGAGGATCTACAGGGATAATATATGTATATCCCTGCTCATTGCTTTGAGGATATTCTGGTACATCAAGTGCATACTCCATTTTATAACTAATCAGTGGTGTCTGATGTCCATTTGTAAGATAGCGTGGAAAATCTCCCTTAGTACTAGTTAGTAACTGGTATATAACTAGTACCATACTGATAGTGTACCTACCGATGCAATTTCATTTGCTAGATCTTCAAGTGTTGACTCTAGTGGGGCATCCTCTTGCTGGGGACTTCAGTTGAGAGTCCATCCTGTAGATTCAAGACAAGCTCCATGGTGATTAGTCAAATACTGGTATAAAACTGGTTACCAAGATTCAAAAATGTTTTGAAAGATGGTAAGAGGAATGAAAGAGAAAAGAGCCACTAAAAAAAAAAAATATTTCCCTCATAGGTGGGTCCTCACATGACCTCTAAAAATGGTTTAGCTTCCCAGCGGCTTGGCAGACCCACCTTCATCCCGTCTGCTCCCTGGGAAGTTAACTGGGTTATAGACCGTCCGAGGTCGTATTACTATTAAGTAGTCCATCTTGCTGTACGAAACTACGGAATATGCATTATGATACGGAGCCTGGCATTGAATTGGTGTGGTTCTATTCCGTATCTTTGGAGTAGCAGTACTGGAAGTGCCGAGTGTGATACCATACATACTGTTGCATATATTTATTGTATCTGCCAACACTTGATATTGATAACTGTTGAAAGTTTACAGTGACGTGAATCTTCAGGATTCTCGAATCTACTCATCCACTCTAATGGACCAAGAAACGTCAATTGGGTTAGACTATATCTGCTGCTGGGGCACAGCAATTCTCCCTTGCCAGACAGGGATTTGTTTATGGTGTGGTCTCCTATTATTATGCGGTATAATTACATTCCTGTCGCCCCACTGGTAGATCTTGCCATCCCTCTACTCTAACTTGCATACTGTGTAGGTACGTGCTTTACTTTTATTCTGCGAAGGAAGCTCAAACATGTCTCATTATTCATTGTTTTTATTTTTCGGCTTCCTCACTCCGCTCTTCTCCTCACTCTGTTCTCTTGATTGAATCTGCCCATATGCTCTGATCGATTCCAATACCTCTTTGATTGGGTCTTTCTCCAGTTGACCATTCGAACCATTGCCATCCTTGATCCTAGTTAGCCAGAATCACTCTCCGACAGATCTGAATTTACTCCCAGCAGAAAATCCCAGTTTAGGGCTGTTGTGTTGGTCTCACAAGATCTCAAAGGGAGTGGTTTGCTGGGTTCAATGCTGGTATTGGCATGATCATTCTACCATTAAAATTGTTTTGACCGATACCATTACAATATTTATAGAATTTTCTTTTTCTTTTTCTTTCTTTTTATAAAAGGGGGAGATTAATTTTTTCATACGTTCCTTTCCGCGTACAAGCATAAAACGCACCTGTATCACTTTTAAGAGGAGGCGAAGTGAAGAACGCCCGCCCCCCCCGGGAAAAAAAAAAAAAGCCAATCAACCCAAGCGGCATGTCGACCTTTGTTGCCGCCGCCGCCTCCAACAACGACCTTCCGTCCGAATCTCCCACTAGACCACTACGACGACTGAGCCAGCTTCGTGCCTATACCCAGAACCACTTTTCCCCTCAACGTTCTTCATCGGTCGCTCAGAGGCTTTCACGTCGTAACACTCTAGGTAGTCGGGTGTCTCGACTCTATCCTACATCATTCGCCTCCACACGATCCGAAACTTCTCCTTCCTCGGCTGTGGGGACTAGCAACAGCCCGGCTCCATGCCCCGAGCCTGAACAGTCCACTCTTGCCCGCTATAGCTCTACCATTTTCCCAAGCTATCGCGGATTAGAAATAGAGTTGCACCCCCAGGTTCACCCTCCCGAGTCATCAAGCTCGACCCCTTCGAACGATTCTTCTGGTGGAAGTTTATCACGAGAATCGATGGCGCGACTGCGAGGATCATCCCACCCCCCCAGACACTGCAGGCGACCCGGAGGGAACGACCACATCCGCTCCCGCAGGCCTCCAAAGCGGACTGTTGGACTCTCCTGATCCCGTTACCACTGAAAATTTTTCCTCGTCTCCCAGGCCCAGACAGAAGGCGACCATTCGATTCTTTCCCCACCAAGACCCTCACCAGAATTCCCGACCGTCGTTGCCTTTTATTCCTGTCTCACGAACCTTACCGTCGGAGAGCTGCGTGATCCGTGTTGGGCGATATTCCGAGCGCGATGGGCTTCCAGTGGCCAACCCGACCGACCCATCGGACACCCCTGTTGGATTTAAATCGAAGGTAGTGAGTCGAAGGCATTGCGAGTTCCTGTATGTAAATGGCCAGTGGCATATTAAAGACGTGGGAAGCTCTTCTGGGACATTCTTGAACCATATGCGACTGAGTCAACCAAACATGGTGTCGAGACTGTACACTATAAAGGATGGCGATATTGTGCAGCTTGGTATCGATTTTCGGGGAGGAGAAGAAATGATCTTCCGATGCGTTCGCATCCGGATCGAGTGTAATCGATCCTGGCAGCAGCAACCTAATGAATTCAAGTATGGAGCACTACGACTACGAATTCAATACTCTTGAGTACAGCAGTACTAATGGCTTGTCTAGCAAAAACACCGAAAGCTTGATTCGGAATCTGGGAAAAGGAGAGACTGCGGATTATTCTGGTTGTCGCGAATGCTCGATATGCCTGGGCTCGGTTCTGGTATGGCTTTGTCGATATTTGCTTTGGGACACAATCAATTGCTAACCTCAGGCAAATGAAGCGCCCCTATCAGTGCTTGTTTATGGCCGCTTGCGCCCATGTGTGGCATTATAAATGTGTCATGCGTCTAATTCACACTCCAGATTACCCTATGTTCCAATGTCCCAACTGCCGCGCCTACACCGATCTAAGCGCCGAGGTCGACGACTCGAATGACATTGAGGAGGATGGCAAACAAAAAAGTTTAGGGCTGGAGGGGAAACAATCGTCTTCAGAGGAGACTCAGACAGAAACACGCTCTCCGGTAGCAAGCAACCACGCCGCAAACCCTTCGCAGAGCTCCGTTGATCACCAAACGAATGACCTACCTTCAGAAGCAGGTCTTGCTGCCAACATCGAGAGCATGCGTTTACACGACCCTGAAATACCAAGAGAGGCAGTTGAAGTGGCTCCTCGCTCAGATCATCCTCTTACTGCCTCCAATGAAGATAGAATTGCCGCCAGCACTGACGTTCCCGGCTGGCAGGCTTTAGATCAATCATCTAGTTCCCTCCAGTGCCGGCAAGTCCAGCTTCGCTCTGGCACGCCTGTTCGCTCTGAGTCTTCAGAGGAAAATCTTCTGACACCAAGAAATGAATCTGGACCGTTGGTGTTCGATGGACGGGCTGGCATGTCGTAACAGAGACTGAGTGGTGCTCTGTTCTTAGTGCCATCAAAAGCCCCTAGTTTTTCGAGCCACTTCAAATTGCGACTCTTCTCGCTCGAGACATCTCATACTGCTTTTCATCCTCTCTTGCACACTCTCCTCGAGGCACCTTCGGCTTTTTGTTTAGTCATTTCATTTGCATATCTGCTTTTTACCACATTTAGCATTATCCTGCCCTCACAGCCCCGATATCCGGAATATACCCCATCATGCAGCAATGGCTTTTGTTTTACTTTGCGTTCTCGCCTTCAATCCGGGTTGTTGGCCTCATTGTCCTATCTTTATATTTGACTGTCATGCTCAATTTGTTTCTCCACATTGATAGGGGCTCCGATCCGTGCATTCGTTCTGGATAAGGTTGGCGCTTATATTGTCAATGACGATACATTGGAAGCTAATGTAAGCCTGATACTGTGGCTTTCTTGGACGCGGTTGAGGTTTTTCACTTCTTTACGTGCTTATCCTTAGCGTTCGTTGAACTTGTAAATACATATTCTATTGAATCATAGCATGTGGATCTACAGGTACAAGATGAAGACTGCAGCTCATCGATGAACCAAATATATCAAGTAAATTTTATCCAAGCTGCTACTAAAAGCATCATATACTACGTCTACAGCAATCTTTTATGACTATCCCTTAATCTGTACAATCCTTTTTGTATGATTCTTTATCTAGTTTTTGGCCTTATCGAAAGGAATTTTTCAATGAATAATAATCAACCTAGCTGCAATACAGAACAAATTCTCTTTGTAGATCTGATGTATAGAATAGTTGTTGGGCAGAAGAGCATAGACAAGCGTCTTTTTTTTGGTCGTCTGTTCCTATCACAAGCAGGGGATAAAACAAACCGACTCCCCGCATGCTCCAGACTGCACATGTTAGTTGGGACGTCATTCTATAGACGATCGTCGCACCATGCACTAACCATCCACCATTCCCCGCCAGGGGTCGACTTTCGAAACATGCTGTGGCTCTCAGTAGTTGGTGTGATTTTCTGGACTTAGATGATGTGCCCCTCTATCAGTTCGAGATAACTAAATCCGGTGTCATTGACTCCATCTACTGTTTTGGTTGTTGATAGTCGGTTGTCTGATTCTTTCCTGCCTGGAGGTGGCCTGTCTCAAAGATTGGACTAATTAATCACTGCTAACCGCTAGATCGACTTTCTTCCAACCTTTCTTGTCAGCCACTTTTACTTCCTTGATCATTGACAGAACGCGATAGACACCCAGCATCCAGGGAAAATGCGACTAAATTTCAATGACCCTCCTACACCTACTTTGAGCCATCAAAGCACGGGCCTTCTCAATGGACATCGGCCTCATCATTATCGTCAAGGCACGCATCCGCATCTTCTATCCACTCGAAGGAAACCTCGAAGGTACTCACATTGGCTCTTCAGCTTGCTTTTTTTTTATTGGATTAGCTGGAAATGTGTTGACATGGCCATGCTCATACTAGATGGCCCTTAGTCCTCCGATTCATCAAAGGTGCTATTCACGGTGCAATCCTCCTGCCGGCTATCTTCCATGCTATATTTTCGGCATTAGTTGTATGGCTTGACAGATATATTTTTACTACCGTCGGCCTTCCGAATAGTATTGTATGCTACGTCCTCAAACAATTAGATACTATCTCCCATGCACTGCTGACCGATCCCTGCAGATTCCATCTCTATCGATCGTCGTCGGCTTGATGCTCGTCTTTCGGAACCAGACTTCCTACAATCGATTCTGGGACGGGCGCAATGCCATAAACACCATCTACACCTGTATCCGGAACCTGGTACGAACCATCGTCACTAACGGATACACCACCAAGGGTCCTCCGACAGCTGCTGAAAAAGAGGACATCGAGAGAACCATTCGGATTCTCATGGCGATTCCATTTGCAGTCAAAAATCATCTCCGAGCCGAATGGGGTGCTGCCTGGGCGCTTGGAAATGATGTAGGTGAGGACGGCGTCGCGGCATATAATCCCGACTATGCCAGTCTTCTACCAGCTGGATTGGAAGGCCATGAAGATGAAGGGCTGGGATTACCATTCCAGCTGACTTTCTTTGTTGACGGGTTCATCAAGCGCGGTGTGGAGCGTGGCTGGTTTAATGCTCCCGGCGCCAGTCAAATGCAAGCTCAGCTGAATTCATTAATGGATGCCTATGGGCGAATGGAGACAATTGGGTTGACCCCTATTCCTGTGGCACATCTGTTAGTTCCCTCCCCCCCCTTACCTTAATCTCCTCTCCGCTCTACGCCACTTTTCTTTCACATCAGAGCACCGCAGTATTACTCACTCTCTAAAGCATTCATCAAAAACAAGTCCTCGCTCTCTTTTGCTGCGTCCTCCCATTTGGCATGGTTGACGACATGGGATGGTGGACCGTCCCAATAGTCAGCCTCGTAACCTTCACATTATACGGCATCGAAGGTATTGGTTCGCAACTCGAAGACCCATTCGGCTACGACCGCAATGACATCAAAATGGATGCGATTGTCGGCGACGCCAAGACGGAGATTGACGTTGTGCTTTCTGAATGGCGGAGAGTGATGCGATCAGTCGAAGTCGACTCGAGGGTTCGCGAGCAAACCGATGGTAGTGACGCGCCCAAGAACGGCGCAGAAACCGCGTTCATACCACCTGACATGTTCCTGAAGGTTCGAGCCATGCGGTGAGATAGGTTATATGGTAGGGGTGAAACCCAAACTCTCTTGTGAAAATGTAATTTCAGGAGTACTCCATGAATGGTCATTCTACTGTGTACTTCGTATTGCAGAGTGTATGCGAGTAAGAGTGGAGTTTGGTTAATTTGATATTGCTAATCGACGAGTATATGAGCTTGAATTATTGATTATACCATCATAGTTTGTCTAGTGCGTTTACTTAGGTAGTTGTCGGGCGTGTATATCGGGGAATAACCATTCAACAAGGACGATCCTGCCAAATGATGTATCTATATTCAATGCCAGTGTGTACATAATGAGGAGCCACCATCCCATTCGTAAGCCTTGGCCAGCCATTGAACTGATTTTGTCTTGCCTTGTTTTCCCCCAAGTATTGTCCAGGATGCATTTCCTAGTAATGATGTTAGATAGCTAGGAAGTGTTGTCCATCCAATCGCTGATCCAACATTTCACTGCTGCATGATTTTCGTCGCCACTACCGCCTGACAGGCTTGAAGGTAACTTCTCGTGGAGGCATTCGCTATCACCAGCAACATCTTCCAGGCCCAAGTCTAAACTATCGCCGTATGTACAGTGCGCTATCCAAGTATCGTCATGATTCGGCTCTGAAGGGGGCTTGCCTTCGGGATTTGCTAGCACCCCATGCAAATACTAATATGGATGCCTCACAGGATGTCTCTTAGTCTTGTGAGAGCTGGATGGCTGAATGTGCGTCGCCGCTTGTTGAAGAAGGAGATATTAGAGAGGCTCGCTGGTCTTGGAGTTGGACAGAGGTAAATATATTGTCATGGACTTTCGAACTATCCCGTAGATTGTAAGTCCAGTATTCGTAGATAAGGTGATGCCTTGGGCAGCCTGTGTGTTTGCATACGCAGAGCCCAATTTTTTTTCTTTACGTTTCCCCATAGGCTCCAACGGAGAGAAGGGAAGACTTTCATAATAGAGGCCATCAGGTTCCAAAATAGGAAGATACAATGGATGCCAGACGCAGCTCTGTGGATGTTATTTTGCCCAGAAGAATGAGGATGGATATATGGACCTGAACTTGCGAAGTCCATGAAAGTCTGCGGACAGCCTGTCCATGAATAATAGCCTTTGGGGTCGAGAGGAGGTGTACCGGTCTTGACAATATCCATGCTTTTACGTACCAGGCGACTTATAGCAGCACCAACCCAAGGGCGGAAAGTCACGGGGACGAATACCACATATGAGAACCACTATTTCAGCATAACGTCCTGAAGTATCAATTACCTCAACTCTCTGTGGTAATTCATTCAATATAGGATGTAGCCATGGACTGACAAGATTGCGCGGAATGTCAGGCCCCCAGAATGACCCGTAGAGACTTGAAATCATGACACTATATTTTCAACTGAGGGTTAAATAATAGGGAAGAGCCTCGCAACGGTAAGTCGCCCCGTTCTATTTCGCTCAACCGGGAATAACTTTTTGTTGGCTTCTGCAACTAACAGAAATTGGCAGTTCAACGGCTCTTTTATGGTGATAATGGGCTGGATAAGTCAATGTGGCCGCGAAGGCTGCATAGAATTGGCTGCCGAGGTCGTGGAGCAGACAGGACTCGGCAAGGAATTGAAGGCTGTCTGTGATGAAGGAGGAGAATAGACAGTAGACTGCCTCTCGAGTCCAGTATCTCCCCATATGATACTAGAAATTTGTCGCTCTCCAGAGACAGAGACCAGGCAGCGAGGTAGGCTTCATTTTCGTCTTCAGAGCTAATTGCCTTCCAGCCTTGTCCATGAGCCAATATGGCCGCCGATCATCGCTCGGCATACGCATCTATGTTGCCAATATCGATGCTATAAACTGATTGAGGACCACGCACATCGTGTGAGGGATGCCGACTTGCTGTGAGAGTTCGTGTATACAATCTTAGCGCCCTCGTCTCGTTGCATCTCCAGTATATGAACGGAGAAAATATAAGACCACGCAAGAGACATGATCCCAACATAGTTAGATTGACTTCGGCACCTATTATCAGTCATGACTTGTTGGCAAAAGCGTGTTCCAGACTAAATACACGACACTGGTTCTTAAACACCTATCAGTAAAGTCCCCCTGTTGATCTTCACTGTCTTGCCAAGAGCACATACGGTATCATCAGTCGGGCGCATTGTTGAGGATGCTATAGTCAAAATGGCTTTCGCAGTAGAATATGGGTTGAAAGAAATCTTGTTGCTGTCCACCCGCCTATCGGGCATTTGCACGAATTCGGCAAAGCACATCATGTAGCATGGTACACTAGGGTGTGATTCTGTTTTCGTGATGTGCCATGGCCTCATCGGCAAGGGCTTGCCAGTATGCCCGGACTTTGTCTGCTGGACTTTCTGCTTCTGGTTTGGTAGGCTGGAGCAGTTCCACAATGTCTGTCATTTCAAAGGCGACATCGTGACGTTGTTCAATATTATTGATGGTCTACCCTATAGATTAGTGGATATAAGTGTGAGAAGTTGAGGACACTCAAATAGTTATATAAGAACAGGAAGTTAGGGGTGTCGGAAGAACGAGGGGGTGTGAGTATGACTCTTTATTAGATGAGTTTATTTATTTAGAACTTCTTTGCCCGACTAAATCGTTAATAGGATGTTTGTTTAACATTCACGAGTGGAATAAATACTAGGCTATATCTTATTGGAAATGCTGTGATATGTCAATATATTGCTCTCTACACACTAGGCCAAGCTACGTACATCCGCATGGATCTAGTCTAGTAGAGAACAATAGAATATGTTTAGAATATCAGACAGGAGTCTCAAGAGTGAGTACACTTTCCAAGATAGTATCTGGAGTAGCATAAGCAAGAACTTGAGAAACAGCCTTCAGATCACTTCCATACTGCAAGCTGCGGTCATCTTCCGGCTTGGCCACAACAATTCGATGCCGAAAGACCTTCTTTGCAGCCAAGGCTACTATAGACGGGGTGAGATAATCGATTCCATGTAATGTGGCAAGAAGTCTGCTTCATTAGTGAACATCTATCACTTGCCGAGGAATGAGGGCCAAACTTACCTTGAAATAACTCTGAAATGAACAGTAGCACGGACAGATACACCCCCTGCAACTGCACGGCTGAGACGAAGAAATACAACAATATCCTGCTGATAGCGACAGATATCAGCGCCCGCTATAACACAGTTGCTGCTTCGTTCTACTTTGTCCAGAGTCTGACACATTCATATTCAAAGTCAGAGAGAATCACAAGTGGGAGAAAAAAGTGAACTTACTTTTTGGTCGATACTTGGTTGATTCTTCTTCAGGGGTGCATCTGACTTGCGCACAACGGACGAAGCTGACATCTGGCTGTCCGAAAGCCAGCCATCGTTATCCTCTAGATACACGTAGCCGTCTCCCGAGTCGTGAAAATGAGAAATTATAAAATGGTCATTCTTTTACCTACGTTAGTGTATTATATACGATAACATGGAAAGAAAGAGCACAAACCAGATGAGGATTCAATCTCAGTTGATCCTGTTCAGAATCGCGTACTAGGAGCGGAACGAAGATAAAATCTGTTGGAGCCTGGAGCACCGTATCTCTGAGAACGAGCTTCTTTGAGCGCATCAACTATTGACGCATCAACGAGATGCACATCGTAAATGTGGTAATACTCTCACCTCAAGCACCTCAGCTTGAAGACTCTCATGGATATGATTAAAATTCTTGGCTATCACAACATCGACCACCTTGTGCTCGACTGCGGTTCTAGTTGTAGCTGGTCTTCTGCGAGCGTTTGCTGGAATTATGTAGGTGCAGAACTCATCAAACGACGTGGTTTCAAAGCAATCGAGGATCGCATAGGTACGATTGAACGTGTTGGTGCATATCTGATAGGCTCATTAGCCAGCTGTTGAGTGCAGGATTCAATCGGGCCAAATACCAGTGCCAGCTCTTTGGCAACGTCATGGATGTTATCCGCCGTGGTATCGATACGACAATGCTCGCGCACCGCAAAACAAAGAAGGAGCGCGACTTCGAGATCCGACAGCTCCACGACCAATTTGTTGATATCCAAAGCATCATCCATAATACCATACGCCTGCATTCCTCAGCATCGTGACAAGATTAGTGTGCCCGGAATCGTGAAGAAGGAAAAGCCAAGATGGAAGTTACAATATGGTAAGTTATGGAATTCCCAACTAGGTTAGTGCCGGGAGCCATGTGAGCTGGAGCTTCCCAACCAGCAACGCTGCCTGGCATCCATGACCGACCGACCTCTTTCAAGTCTAGTCCGATCCGCTCATTCATGGTCTCAACCTCATAAATGGCGCCGTCAAACCCACTGGCAAACTGGGAGAAGCTGGGTGATAGTTTCTATAGGAAGGTGCCCATATATGATGCCGTCTTTGATGATGACGTCCAATTAGAGAACTACATTGTCGTCGGAGCTCCGTACGGAGGAGCTATTGGTATGCAGCAGACCACCTATTCCAAGGCCTGTTCGTTTTAGATTCTAGAATTTATGCTAACAAAATGTAACTAGCTTTGTACCGAGATGAGAGCAAACTCTTCAGATTTCGAGATGCACAAACCAATAAATCAAATATTGACATCTACTCATGTTCGGGTAAACACATTAATCGAATTCATGTTAGTTAACTCCTCCAATCTCTGTCGCTTATTTAGCTAACCACTTATAGTGGGAGTATGGTACCATCCGTGGACTGGGTTGGTCTGATAGGGAAGAGCTACTGGTCGTCACGGAGGATGGTATGGTAAGACGGTATTTTGGTCTACATGGTGATTTCACTTCATTCTCTCTAGGAAATGTAGGACCCTTGCATCTCCTAGCTCCGTCCGAAGCTGACCTCTTACAGGGAGCCGAGGAGTATGGCGTCCGAGCTTGCCGGTTCTGGACTTCTGGCTTTGTCGCTTTACTCTCTAATAACCAGCTGGTGGCTGTCTCTAACTATGATGAGCCAAGACCTAAACTTCTAGCACCATGCCCCGAAGGAGAAGTATCCTCATGGTCTTTAATACCCCCAGCCTATACACTGTCTCGCTCAGTTGAGGTATTGCTGGCTGTGGATAAAACTGTCTACTTGGTAGATCCAACCGAGTCAGAAGATAAAGTTCTCCAAAATGGCCCCTTCAAGCATGCAAGCGTGTCGCCGACAGGAAAATTTGTGGCTCTTATCACAGCCGAGGGTAAAGTATGGGTTGTAAGCAGCGATTTCCAAAGCAAGTACAGTGAATATGACCCAGAGTCCCGAGTCACCCCCCGAACTGTGGAGTGGTGCGGCGATGACGCTGTTGTAATTGCATGGGAAGATGAGCTACATCTTATTGGCCCTAGCGGTGTTGCTGCTCGGTGGGTGTCTCATATCCTCTATTATTCGAATCTGGGACCCTTTCTAATAGACGCAGATACTATTATGATGACACTGTTCATGTTATGCCTGAGTTTGACGGGGTCCGATTGATCACTAATGAAACCTGCGAGTTCTTACACAAAGTCACTGGTAAGTTTGAAGGTCGAACAAGCATTTCCAGAAGCTAACGAATGTGAAGATGTAACAGAGGTAATCTTTCGGCTTGGGTCTACTTCCCCGGCTTCAGTGCTGTTGGATTCGGTAGACCTTCTGGAAAAGAAATCCCCTAAAGCCGATGAAAATATTCAACGGATCCGTTCAAGTCTACCGGAGGCCGTCGATATCTGCGTTAAGGCCGCTGGACACGAATTTCATTCTCACTGGCAGAAAAGGTTACTGAAAGCTGCTTCGTTTGGCAAGTCAGTCCTAGATTTGTATAACAGCGATGAGTTTGTAGAGATGACCGAGAGGCTTCGTGTCCTAAACGCAGTGAGAGACTACCAGATAGGGCTCCCCATTTCTTATGAGCAATATATCCGATTGACTCCCGAAAAGCTTATCGAACGCTTGGTGAACCGCCATGAATATCTTTTGGCTATACGAGTCTCCGAGTATCTCCAACATCCTGCAAATAAAATCTACGTTCACTGGGCTAGTCAGAAAGTTAAGGTTTCGACAGTTGATGACGAGGCTGTCTGCAAACTCATTGTACAAAGACTGGAAGGGAAGCCCGGGATATCTTTCGAATTGATTGCACAGGCTGCGTACGACGAGGGTCGCGCCCATCTGGCGACTCAACTTCTGAACCATGAGCCACGTGCTGGGAAACAAGTTCCATTGTTGCTGAACATGGAAGAAGATGAGATAGCCCTAGAGAAGGCCATTGAAAGCGGAGACAATGATCTAGTAAACTATGTACTCTTGCACCTGAAGAGCAAGCTCCCTCTTGCTAGCTTCTTCAGAATGATCAACTCACGCCCTATGGCGTCGGCACTTGTGGAAGCGACTGCTCGGCTAGAAGATACCGAGTTGCTGAAGGATCTCTACTACCAGGATGATCGCCCAATCGATGGTTCGAATGTTCTTCTCTCGGAGGCACTGAATGAAACTGAACTATCACGTAAAACTGGAAAGATCCATCTCGCATCTCGCCTACTAGCAGATTCTAAAGATGCGAGTGTGGTCTTACAGCAGAAGTTACTTTCAGAGGCATCGCAGTTACTGAAGGTACAAGAAAGCTTAGACAAGGACCTTACTGATCGATCGGAATTCCTCGGTTTAAGCTTAAATCAGACCATCTACAGGTTGATCAGGTCGGGTTACGGCAAAAGAGCACAGAAGCTACAAAGCGAATTCAAGATGTCAGAGAAGACATACTGGTGGCTGAGATTGAGAGCCCTAGTTGCAAAGCGTGACTGGGGTGAGTTGGAGGAAATCGGCAAAAGCAAGAAGTCGCCAATCGGATGGGAGGTAAGTTTTCAACACATTGCACCGTATGGATGCATGAGCTCACTTTTTTGGGAAAAAAAATGACAGCCTTTCTATAATGAGATATTGGGCGCCGGGAACACAAAGCTTGCCTCATTATTTGTCCCAAAATGTACCAACCTGTCCGCAGAGGACAAGGTTGAAATGTGGGTTAAATGCGGAATGATTGTAAAAGCCGGAGAAGAAGCTTTCAGGGCCAAAGATTTTAATACCCTTGAGGTACTCCGGGGAAGAGCTTCAGGGCCTGCCGCCACGGAGATCGAAAGGATGATCAACCAGCTCAGGCCTAGGAAATAGCTGATTCCTTTGCATCTTTAACCGTTCCCCCTCAGGTGATATCGTCATCCACGTCAATACCCTTGGGCTCATCTACTACAGGATTCTGGACCACAATTTCTTGCCGCTGCTTAGGTTTCGCTTTTGCAGGAGCTCTGGAGTCATCGATCATAGCATCATCACCATCGTTGCCCTCAGTATCATCAAGAGCTTGGAATTTAGACACAGACGATTTTCGATTCAAGTCCTCCCATTCGGCCTAGAGTAGACTACGGTTAGGACCCATTTTATGCAACATCTAGAGGATTGATTCCGCTCATACCCTGCGTGCTTTCACGGTTTTTGCTCGACCGACACTCCTAGACACTTTTTTCTCCAGCTGATCTAGAACAATTTCTGCTCTTTCAATACCCTTTTGCTGTTTTCGAAGCTGCGATCGGGATTTGGTTTTAGGCTTTGATTGCTTTTTCGTCACGCCGGAATTTACGCGATCTGAAAGAATGGAGTCGCGCTGCAGCGCAGTCTCCTGGGCTCGAGGGAGTGAAGTCAGAGACTTGTCGACATCAAGACTCGGAGAAGCTGCCCGCCTGGCAGCACGGGAGTGTTTTGATTGGGCTAGTACAAATAAATAATGTTAGAAACGAACTGCATTCTTCTGCCACACATGAGAATAGAAGTCCACTCACTACTCCTTGCTTTGGCCATGGCTCTTGAAATGTGGAAAAATCTCAATCGCTGTCGTATAATATTTTGTGGAGACGCTGTATCGATAAAGTCGGGAAGGCGGTAGCAACCAGACGTGCAAGCGCTTGCTGACTTATACGAACTAAAGCGTTCGCCGAAGCTGTCATCAAATTGGTTCCTTGTATGGCCCCATGCAGACACGCTTTTCTTCCTCTTACACTCTTCGTGGATACTAAGCAGTCGTCTCTATGCGGCGACATTCTGTCTGTTTCTATCAATCATGAACGCTCGCAGAGGGGGAGTCGATGACCTCACCCAGAGTCCTTGGAACGCCGCCGCATCGAATGGCCATTATGACGCTGTGATACAGCACTTGCAGAACAATATAACCCTAGCCTATGTCTTAGTGACTGCAATATCAGTTTATTTTATACTGAACTATTTTAGTTCTGGTCCAGCTTCATTAACCCGCATCCTGTGGGACATCATTGTCTACTTAACACCCTCTAGAGTAGTCGCCGCTCTAGACTCGCAAGCGACGAAACTAAATTCGACGAACGCCCTTCCGAAGACATTCGCAGCCAAAAGTGAAGCTATGCAACGAGTACTTAGCTTAGACGACTCTTTTCTGTCCTCCATTCTTCATCGGTCGACAACGCTTTCGGACCTTGGTACTGCCCTTTTGGGAAGTAGGGATAGTTTACCTCCGGGGTTGGGGAACTGGGACAATTCATGCTATCAGAATAGCATAATTCAGGGACTGGCTTCTCTTGGGTCACTCGATAAGTTCCTGGAGCGCAACATTGATGTGCTGGGCGAGAAAGGGTTGTTTTCGACACACCAAGCTCTCAAAGAAATCATCGGTCTACTGAACAGTGCTGCTAATTATGGCCAACGGTTATGGACACCACCGGGACTAAAATCGATGAGTAGTTGGCAGCAGCAAGATGCGCAGGAATACTTCTCAAAAGTTGTAGATCAAGTTGACTACGAGGTGCAGCAAGCAACGAGACGACAGACCCGGAACTTGGGCCTAAAGATGGCAGGCCCACGCGAACATGTTATCGGATCTAGCTCTACTGATGATGTACTCAGGGATCCGGCTACTGTGAATCAATCCCTCGAACCACCGTCCTTCCGTAACCCACTTGAAGGCCTTCTTGCACAGAGAGTTGGCTGCATGAAATGTGGTTGGACAGAAGGTCTCTCTCTTATTCCATTTAACTGCCTTACAGTTCCTCTTGGTTCGAGATTCCAGTATGATGTTCGTGATTGTCTGCATGATTACATGAATTTGGAGCCTATTGAAGGGGTAGAATGTGCCAAGTGCACGTTGTTACATGCACAAAATCAACTCCAGAACTTACTCCAACAGATTGAAGATGATAAAGGGCTTGGCAACCTACCGGAATCACCCAAGTTATCAGACGCACTCAGAACCTCAGCGCGAGAGCGGTTGAAAGCTGTACAGGAGGCACTTGAAGAACAGGATTTCACGGAGAAAACATTGGCCAAGAAGTGCCACATACCTGCAAAGAACCGCGTGTCTTCGACAAAATCAAGGCAGGCCATTATTGCAAGGTCACCAAAGTGCCTTGTAATCCATGTAAACCGAAGTGTATTTGACGAGAGCACGGGCATGCTTAGGAAAAATTACGCCGCAGTCCGATTCCCAAAACTTCTGGACTTGAATAGGTGGTGTTTAGGAGGAGGACGGGAAGGTTATATTGAGAAGCGCATCGAAAAATGGGATATAGACCCCCGAGAGTCGATGCTTCCGCATCTCGACAATGCTACCGATGATTCTGATCGACATTATGAATTGCGGGCAGTCATTACGCATTATGGCCGCCATGAAAATGGGCATTATATTTGCTATAGGAAATACTCATGTGAGACATTCCCAGCCAACGTTCCGGAGTCAGTCATAGAAGCAGATGGAGACAAAGAGAAGTCCGAGCGTTGGTATCGGTTAAGCGATGAGGATGTCCAGATGGTTAGCGAGTCCACTGTTATGGATCAGGGCGGGGTCTTCATGCTGTTTTATGAAGTCACTGAGCCATACTCATCAACCGGAGTGGAAGACTCGGATGCTACAGGATCGGAAAATTTGGAAAATTTGGAAAATTCAACCTCGAGCCCAGAAGATATGTCCACCAGGTCTACAGCAACCGAGGGCTCCATCTCTGGCACGTCACGAGCGACAAGTGTATCTGCATCGGAGAAGGTTGAACAGCCTATTGAGAAATTACCTCCGTTTTCAGATATTGAATGAGGCGCCTCTTAGCAGATTGTTCTATTATTTTCCGTGTCTGGTGGAACGCCACTACGGAATTATGTATACCACGTGTTCTATGATACCCTGAAGATGCAATGTTACTGCATGAAAGGCGTTAACAGTTTTGCACTCATTACCTTTATATTTCTATGTTCTGTTTCTTGATACATTGGGCTTTACTTTCTGAATGACAAGTATTTTAATATGGATTTTCTCAAGCAATGCTTAGCCCGGAAGACAGCAGAGGCTAGGATACATACAATCGAAAAATTAACCTATAATACCTAATATAAGTACAAGTGTAATCGATTCAAACCAAGAAACTGTCAAACGCCCGCTGAAATACAGACCCAAAATCACAGCACGCTGCCCATAAAGCCGTCATAATATAATCGAGCTTTGAATTTCAGAAAACGCCAGCCCGAGTCATCACTTCGTGAAACTGTTCCAATGTCACACCAGCAGCTATTCCAGCCCCTCCGTTTGCTTCGATGATCATATCCTTTAAGAGATCATCGCCCAGTCCATCTTCCTTCAGCTCGCTCGCAATGCGCCTCAAGTGATTCAGAGTAATCGGACCGTCGGAACCCCGCGTAAACAGCTGGAATGCAGCATCAACTTCCGCGGCCATCGCCTCCTCGCCACGAGATCTCAACTTCGCCGCGGCGACGGATAGGAAAGGCGTATAGGGGACATAACCGGTATCCGTCGGGTCAAGGGCGGAGAGGATGGAGTGTAGTTCTTTGGAATCAGAGGGCGCAAGGCCAAGTGCTCTGCATACCGGAAACCCATTAGCGATGGGGCACGAGCGATAAATGTAGAGAATATGCAAATAACAAAGGAACAGGCACATACACTAGGGCCTTTCGAACATCTTCACAGGGTATCACACCCTCCTTCTCATTCTGGAATTCTTCGCTTGTGGTTGAAAATAGATGGAATACTTCTCTTATTTCATTCTCTTCGTCGGCAGTCAGGTCGTTTTCTTTGGCTAGTTTAGATTGTCGGACTCGTTTGGGCGCCGACGAAGAAGAGGGTGGTCCCCGCTTCTTGGGAGGCTGTGGGAATCATTGATTAGGCGCTGCGTTTTATAAACACTGGGGTTCAAGTGATGAGACTGCTCACCATCTCGCATAGAAAGATCAAATGCGCGTGAAGGAGGAAAGATTGGACTCGATGGGTATTGCAATGTCAGCGCGAAAGACCTGCGCGGGGTGAATGGCCATTAATAGATAATCTATGGATATAGGTAGAGAGAGACCCTGGGCGAAAGAAGGAAGGTTCAAAAGTCTATCATACTACACTGTAACTAGGCTCTATAGCTTTCTCATCATTTTGCCTTAGCCAGTAAGTATCATCTCTGATAGAGGGAGATAGCCGTCCATCGAAGGTCACCGAAGGCTCCTGTGACTGCGTGGTGCTGACGTAACCTGGAGAGCCTGTGCCCTCTTTCAGACTTGATAAATGCGACAATCCCACTCTTCTAGATGCAGTTGTTCTACGCATCGCACAGCTTGGGTTTCTCAACCTCTGACTCAATTTATCATTTATATTTATCTGTTTCTGACGTAGTTGACGGTTTCAGCCGCTGTACACTCATCCATCCACCGTCATGGATGTAGAGCTGTACGTCTACGATCTGTCCAAGGTGATTATTCCCAGAGCTGATACCATGTTACACCTAAGAAACGTATTAGCTAACATGTTCACAGGGTCTTGCCCGGATGGTGTGTATAGATTCTGGAACCATAAATGTATGGTGCCATGTTAACGCAGTCTAGTATTCGCTCCCGTTAATGGGCACGCAAATCGATGCCATTTACCACACGTCTTTGGTGTTAAATGGCATGGAGTATTTCTTTGGTCAAGGCATCCAAACCGCTACCCCTGGAAACACACACCATGGACAGCCCATGGAGAAGCTCCACCTAGGACAGACGGAGCTCCCCTCAGATGTGATAGAGGAGTATATCTCGTCGCTTGGAGAGATCTATACCCCAGAAGTATGCCCTTTCCTCTATACAAATCACAGAACCGAGCAAAGACAGACTGACTCTTTCCCAGTCATATGATCTCTTCCTGCACAACTGCAACAACTTCACCCAAGACCTGGCCATGTTTCTCGTTGGCACAGGAATCCCAGAGCACATCCGGAACCTGCCCAAGACTTTCCTGGAGACGCCCTTGGGGCAAATGTTGAGGCCTCAAATCGAAAAATCTCTTTCCGGCGTAACGCAAGCATCTGCGCCAAGCAGCGCCCGTAATTGGCCCGCGCCTGCTGTGCCATTCCACGGCAAGGTCCGAGTGGTTAACAATCTCCCGCAGCTCGAAGAACAGCTCGCCTGTGCGTCGCACTCCTGCGCAGTCATCTTCTTCACATCGGCGACATGTCCCCCCTGCAGGATAGTCTACCCTGTATATGACCAGCTCGCCGAAGAAGCCAGCAACAAAGCTGTCCTCATCAAGGTAGACGTCAGCACAGCCCGCGACGTCGGAATGAAGTACAGCGTGCGAGCAACTCCAACCTTCATTACATTCCTCAAAGGCTCAAAAATCGAGCAATGGAGCGGCGCAGACCCAGCCCGACTCCGAGGCAACGTCCGTCTACTTGTGCAAATGGCACATCCCTCCCACCACCACCGCCAACTCCATCTCCCCAGCCTCCAACGCCCTATCACCAACTTCGTCGCGTACAAGAAATCCCCTCCCCTGGAAAAACTCATCCAGAAACTCCACCCCCACCACGAAGACCCCCGTCTCCTCTCCATCATCGATTTCATCAATTGCCGCAATGCCTCCCCGGCCGACACCCCTCTCCCAGACTCTCTCCCATCCTTCAGCACCTACCTCCAAACTACCGCAGAGGCTCTTCCCCGCGAGAATCTCTTTGCCCTCGTTGACCTTGCCCGTCTCCTCTTCCTTGATCCCCGTGTAGCAGGATACTTCGCCGAAGAACCAGACCACAAGACCATCCTCACTTTACTTTCCCCCTCCGAAGCCCTCTCATCCTGTCCATACACCCTTCGCATCATCATGCTCCAATTCACCTGCAACCTCTTCCTTTCACCTCTCTACCCAGACCTCCTCGTCACGTCTTCGTCCTTCAAACTCCACGAAACCTGTCTCCGCCTCGCAACATCCTGTCTCCTAGACTCCCATACAAACCTCCGCGTCGTAGCCGCCTCCCTCGCCTACAATATCGCCGCACACAACCATAACGCCCGGTTCTCAGAAACTCCAGACAAACTCTCCGAGGAAGACCAAGTCGAACTCACCGCGTCGCTAGTAGAAGCCATCACCCAAGAGGAAGAGAGTCAGGAAGCGCTGCACGGATTGCTATTCGCCTTGGGACTGATTGTGTACGAAGCTCCAGACGAAGGATCCGTCGTGGACCTCTGCAAAGCCATGGGAATTGCAGACACCATAACAGATAAGAAGAAGATAGGTTCTTTGGCGAAGGAATCGTTGATCAAAGAGGTCGGAGCGGAGTTGTTGCGGAAGGGGCTGTAGTTTGTGATACATATCTACCTATCTACTTGTTTAATACGGAGTAGGTAGGTTGCTATATACCTGCTTTACTGTACCTAGAGGGAGGAATTGTCGCTGTAGGTCTTGGATCGCCCCTTTTGTTTGGATATTTGTTCAAGGGTCCGTGTTCTCGCTTGCACCCTGTTATAGAACAGACCAGTTTCTATAATATTGCATAGTATATAAATATGTTAACGATGTAGTTCGGCTTGAAATCTTAGTTCTACTAATACCAATACTAGGCGAGTACCACAGGGGATTCATGCAGTTAACCATCATGTTCAGTTGAGTGGCTATTTCACATTCACGTGTAATAGAATTAAAAAAGAAAAAAAGTTAGGTAATCGCTAAAAGGCCAAGGAAAATCAATAAGCCGCACAAAAGGGCCGGGGTATGTCGCTAAGCTATGCTAGATGAAATGAAGTAACGCTGGAGCTGTTCTGTGTAACAAGCTCGGGGTATGAGACAGACAATAGATGAAATATGCTGACATGAAGTACACGATGGGGTATCAAAAAAAAAAAAAAAGGACGCTAGAAAATCAGAATAGGATAGGAACGGAAACAGGTAGTCATTAGAACGGAGGAATCACCTAGGTAGAAAGGTGACGAAAACGGGGGTCCTTGGAACAACTTTCCCGAAATAGAAGAACAATAATAAAAACCATGACCAACTAACACTATCATCGCGACAACGCATGAAGAGGGCAGAGAAAAGGACATTAAAATGCGATGTAATCAAATAAAGGAGTCAAAGAATAAAAAAAAAAAAAAATAGAAAAAAACCAAGAAGTTTGAAAGTCAAGAGTGTGTGTGCCATGACCTTGGGCAACATCATCACCACCCAGTGAGTCATGGTTCCAAGGTATGATCCGATGTGCCTTGACAATGGCGGTGAGATTCATAAGGATGATAGGCCGTGCAGGGCTCTAGGGCCCTGTTCAGCGTGCAGGAGGACGAGAATTTAGGGGGGGGGAGATGGCGGATTTCTTCGCAATGCGCCGACAGCGACGGGGAATTAGGTAATCAGGCAGCGGCATCGGCCACGCAACACCCGTATCGTATTGGTATTGGTAATTCAGCCCCGGCTAGAGCGCGTAACGACCAGCCAACCATCGCCTTACGAAAATCCAGGGCGAGGCACGTGAAGATCCCTTCTGTCGTCATTCCCAGCATATGCCAAATCTCGTTCGAAAACAAGTCGGAATATGGCTCCATGCGCCTTGTGATGTCCACCAATGCTGGGGTGATACAATCGTCTAGCGGTGGAGGGTAATGTCACTGGACACTTTCTTCGGGGCTCAAGGGCGTTGTTTTGGCGTTTCGCCCAAATGAAGCCGGAAATAGAAAAACAAACCAGAAAAGAAGCAGCGGTGATCGAGAAATACTGACCGCAATAGACAGTCAGAATCTCTGCCGATCAATAACTCTGATCTCTGGAGGAAATAGGCCGAAGGAAAGAAGGCGTGGGGTGGAAGAAGTGGGGTGGTCGGGTATGCATGACAAAACCTGATAACTCCGTGGACCCTTTAGGCGCGAATGCTCTTGGAACAGGTAGCACGTCGCTTCCTATCGGGAATTGCTTTGCGTTTCTTCCGCCTCGCATTCTCTCGCTCCACTGCAGCCAGCTGAGCCACACGCAGCGCTTGCTGGGCTCGTGCATGAGCTTGCACCTGTGCCAGGAATCGTGCTCGATGAGCCTCCTCCTCAGCTGCAGCACGCATCATCTGAATCTGCTGCTCAGTCGTAAGGTCGGTATCTCCCATAGCGGGGTCGTGCGCGGCAGATTCTTCGTCGATCACGGTGTCAGCTGGAGCAGGGATGTCGAAATACAGGTCCTCGTCAGAGATGTAGGCACTGGCAGTAGAACCGTCCGAGTCGGCATTGATTAAAGAAGGTCGGTTGGGCCAAGACGGAAATGCACACGAATTGCTCATCCCGTAGGCACTAGAGAAAGAGCATTTGCGAGGGGTGATATCGGTTAGTGTGTCGTTTGGAGAAGGTGGTGGTGGTGGAGGCATCGAGATAGGTGAGCATTCATAAGCACTGCCGAAGCTGAAGTTGAAGGTAATGTTGGTAGTACTGGGAGATGCCTCACTCGGCGAGGATCTGATGCTCGACCGGTTCTGGCTCCAGGGCTGGAATGGATATATTCCGCCCGAAGAAGGCTTTGTGTACTTCATTATAGGAAGCAATATTGACTGAATGCTTGAGTTTGTAGTAGCGATGATGGGAGAGGATAGTGGTGGAAGTTGTAGAGGTTGAGTAGAGGTTGATTGAAGATCTGAGGGGAAGTAGGACAAGAGGCGGGAGATAAATAAGGAAGATAGTGGATATCTTCTCTGTGTTGTGGTGAATGATTGCAAAAGTAGAGGTGAACAAATGGTGAAAGCCGGTATAGTAGGTAGTATATGTACGGGCCAGATCGATCGGGGGAGGCGCCTGGACTCCCTTGCATGTCCCAACAGATAAGGCGTCGCGGGGGGTTGGCGTAGGGGGTTTATTATTATTATTATTATTATTTTAATTTTCTTTTAAAAAATATGATTATTCAGTTCTGAAATCAAATGTCAGGCCCCACTGACAGCCAAACCGTGACGCTGAGGGCCAAACAAAAATCCCAGATAAAAAGGAATATTCCGCAATACAGGCGAATCAAGCCTCTCACCGGGGAATGACAACCTGCGAGTCAAGCGCAGTGATCAGGCGGAAGGGGCGTCCCGGCAGCTGTACGATGTGTGTATGAAGAACTGGGTGGGCGAGAGTAAGGCGATCAAATCCCGACTGAATACTTGAAAAAAAAAAAAATAAAAATAAAAATAAAAAATGATCAGTCCAGTTGGGGATGTCAAAGAAAAGTACAAAGTACGGAGTATTGAGTGTAGTGTATGTGTCGAAGAATAGGAGTGATTTGACAGAGACAATCTGAGTCTGACAGCGGACCCCGGTCGGATGGGCGTGGATCTATCGTTTCCTTATTATACATGGTCTTTATCGGCCTGGAGATTAAATGGATTTTCTTTATTTCGTCGTTGCTAATTAAAATGATTCTTCCTGTTTCCCCTTTCAAACGTCGGTCCGCGGCCCGGGGAAGATCGGGTTTGGGGGCGTGGGGATTAGAAGGTCAAAGGATGAGTCAATAGTCTAGACTTTCTTTCTTTATTTTGTTTAATATTTTATTATTTTATTTCAATTATTATTCTTTTTTTATTCTCTTGTGCTTTTCCCCCTCCTTCCTTTCCGTGGAGATTCCCGTCCTTTCAAAGCGGAATCACCCGTGAGAGTCTGACAATATACAGAGTACTAAGAATGAAAGTCGGTCGGAAGCTTCCTGTCATCCTCGTTCCTAAACGACGCGCACTTCCCCGGCTGATGTTTCATACAAGGCAAGATTAAATTGTCCCCCACAAGGTAATATTCTGAGACGGTCAGATAATACGACCTCACATGTTTATCCTTGGGCCACCCACACAGCCCTGTTACATACAAACCGCCATCCATCCTCAAACCGACCCCAACGTATCATCATCACCGCCCCAAACCGATAGATAATCAGTACTACGTAGATATTAGATGTCTACTAAAAACTTACAGAAAATTAGAGAGCGCCTTGGGCGTTCTTGCATCAACAACTTTCCAATCTTGCGGTCTGTGTCCATGGGAGGCAGCTGTTCATCGGTATGAGGAATTGTCCTCCCCAATTTGACGTCCCTACGTAGCCCAACCAACCCCAACCCCAGAGTAGCTCAATCCCGATCGAATCAAAATGCATCAACCTGACCGCTTTATTCGTTGTTTGACATCCTCACAGTGTACAGCGTACAGCGGACGGATGTATGTCGACCTACCTGCCTGTATGTATGTATGTCCATATGTATGTAGGCAATGTTGATACTTGGTTTGCGTCCGTGTGTCTGCACCTTGGAACCAGGAAGGGAACAAACGCCTTCGATAAGGAGAGGGTTCAGATCTCTGGTGTTACAACACACCATGCATCCATCCCGCTTGTGTGTTTCTTTTTAAGCGGTGAGACAAACACGACCTGTCGACCGGGCTGTCTGCTGCTTTTCAGGCTCGAAGGTCCCTCCTTGTGCAAAACAATATTGATAATTAGAATGACGAAGGATGTCAAAGAGATATACGTAAAATTATTATTAGCTATTCTGACAGGATGCAGTTTGTACTCCGTAGGATTGATCGGGTCTTGAGTTTAACAAGCATGAGCGGTATCTGCGGTGGAGACAGGGCTATTTCATTTCCCAGTATTCAGATATCTCGTCAGTCGTCAAAAAACTGTCAAAGAAAAAAAAACAAAATCATTTCTTTGTGTTACTACTCGACTCCTCCAAACCACCGACTTCAGGGTCAAAACATTATGGCGGTTACCTGTCATGTCTCTCTCTTCCTTACTAACTAGAGGCTGGAACCAGAAGAAAGGAAAACCTGGATACCCGTCGGAAGACCCACCGGTTTGTACCAACCAACCCATCCATCACCTCTTTCTGCGTATGAAAGTAGCACTCAGGCACTCCGTAGTAGGTAACACAGAAAAACAAATTAGCCGGATCCTCTCAACACCAGTAAATGAGACGGTGTAGATGGAATTTCCGAACATTCTGTGATCCCAACGGCCCCCATGGCCGTTCCTTCGGGAGCCGCCCGTTGTTGCTGGACAGATTGCGGAGAGATTCTTCCGTCCTTCCGCGGTAATCCATATTGGGTAAAACTTGCGGTAAGCTCTACCAGTACCTAGGTACCTTCCGAACTACCTCGTGTTCTGGCGAAAGGAAACTGAAAGAGGATAAGCGTTGAGCCACGGGAAAAGTTCGGGTTCTGGAATCTGTTCAAGAAGAATATTCGTTCCCCTCAATGCTGAGCGGCTAATATTATATGCTGTTGGTTATTTACCCAATGCTATAGGTGAAACAGCCTCTTCTTTTCATTGGCCGGTACTGTTGTTCGATAATTGATGAATGTCTCATCCGGCAAGTCTGTTTGTCGAGGATAAAATCTACAAATAGTGTCGAGTCCAAATGACCTGCATCGGAAATGTCGAGTATTGTATGTGCATACGGAGTACTCATAGAGTCAAGAGTCAGCCAAAAAAATCACATGGTTTCCAAATCACCAGATCGAGGATAGGGACTTGAAGTCCCATGTGATAGATATATACAGCTTGTGACAAATTCCAAGTTGCCGCGATGAAGCGATTAAGCTTCAATAGTAAGTTATATACCTAAAACAGAAATGCCTCGGTTCAATCCTCTATTGACGTACGCTCCCTCCGACAGCTCTAGGCCTCGGTCTCTTCCATATTCAGACTTCAGAACTATATCAATCAACAATCGATAGTTCACTCGCGTATCAATGTAGCCCCTCGGGCGGATACAATCCCTTCTTCCGCTGTCGCAGATCGACCCGTTGGATTGGATTTCCCCACCGCCTCCCGACTTAAATTTGGGATACCTCACTGTGGCTAAATCGAGGAAATGGCTGGCGTTTGACTCTTGAGACCCGTCAATTATCCCGCAAGCCTGGGCCCAGTTTCCAGGACCCGCGGCGCAGACTGACGGGTATGCCCGCGGAAGGCGGAACAAAGTACGAACCCGTCTGGGGATGATTTATTCTTTTTTTTATTTAATTTATTCTGGCGGTGGGTAGGATTACACCCCCTACCCCCTTGACTTAGAAGATACTAGGAGTTAGGGATAGAGCTTTCTCCTAGAGCCAGCTCTCTACATAAAAAATGTTTTGTGATCCGATCACGATTGAATCTGTATGCAGTATGGTGGCAAAAGCCAAAGCCAGACTATTCATTCTTCTGCCATACATTCAACATGCTGTCCATTTCCACCCCCAATCATATACTCTGTAAGCATTTTCTTGCAACCGCCATCGATCGAGAGGCAAAGTCATGTATGTAGAAACCTTTTATGTACATGCAAGTACACTCTGTGCTGCACGTCCACATTCCAGACATCCAGCTGGTGGTGACACATTGTGAAACGATCATCGGATCAAGAGATCAGTCAATTGGTCGATTCGCTCCCATGATCCCGGATACCACCCTGCATTTCCGCCTACCTACAGCTCTTCATGCAATGCACGTCCATTTTCCTGGATCCAGTGGACGAGTGGCACTGGCGATGGGGGTAGATTACGTAGTACACCTCAGCTGTGTTCTTAGGACCTCCACAGGGGCTGATTGACCATGTCCAAGATTTGTATTCATGACTCCTGAAGTACGGAGTACCTGTACATCATGATTTGGTGGACCTTACTGATTAACTAAAGGTTGGCTACCTGCTTAATGAGGCGGTAGAGCCTAACTACTGTACTGAGATAGCTAGCTGCCTTTGCAGGGCAAAATGCGGTGATACACCCCTTTCTCCACTATTGGCCACAACGATGCCAGCAATGGAGAACACGGGATACCCGAAACTGTGGTACTCAATTAACAATAGAATAAAAATAAAATGGAGAAAGAGTTCAATTCTGATTGCGATGAATCATCCGGTAATGGCACCCGACAGTAGGAAACGATAATGTACGGAGTACGTACATAATTGTAGAGGAGAATACACATGTGATGAAGTCCGAGCTTGGTGCGGGTCACGGCCTTATACGGAGTTTATTGCCTCCCTTGTGTGCCGAGGGCAAGCAAAATGTACGGAAGGATCCGGGGAAGTAAATAAAGTGTACTCCTCGCAGCAGAGGGAGCAAAAGGGAACACCTCCCCGCTATCCACGACAAAATGGGTGGACTCTGTTTTCTGGTTCCGATAGAGTTTCTCAAGGGAGAGACTCCACCGGAGGCTTCCCCGGTCGATCTTCGCGCCTCCGCACGGGGATAGAAATCAGATCAGAACTCATGATACGGAGTACTACGTAGGTAAGGCAAACCCCATTATTATGCATGGAAAGTAAGCAGGGAGGGACCAAAGTAGGAATGAGATAGGTGGCAAATGCATCAAGATGATGAATGCATATGATATTGCAGAAGGATTCTCCAGTATCCAGAGCGACCGCCTGTTGGCCTGAAGACTTTGATCGTTCTTGTGTATACGGAGTACGAAGTAGACACGATATATTCCGTGCTTCGATCCCACCTATCCGCTATCGCTGGTGAATTGCTGAATCGGGTAATTCTGGTTTGTTTCGCCACTCGCTTAGGCGATCGGCTGTGCTGAAGACTAGAACAGTCTATATCGTCATTCGTATATAATTTCAGCTGTACGCAACATGGTCGAGAGACCTAATCCCCGGCGTACAGAGAAAAGAGTTCAATACTTGTGCAATATTCACCCGAAGTTGCGGTAAAATAAGCTTACATCATTCGAATACGACTCTTCCCCGTATAATCCATGTCGTCGTGTACTGCGTTGCAGTAGGACGGCGGTAGGGGTTGTGTTCGGCCGGTGTGACGTTGTATACTACGAGGGATGCTACTATATTTATACTGATGCTTTTATTGGCAGTGAGTGAGACAACCCCAATTAGAGAGGCAGGGTAAATGGGATTGTGATCATCTAGAAGCACAAAGCATGATGGGGCCTCTTAATTAGTACTGTAAGGCATAGATAGGCTAAGCCAGCCTTATATGTACTCCGGAGTAGATGAAAGGTAACGGAAAGGGAAATGGTGCCAGATCAGACCAAACTGGAATCAGTCAGCTGCATGTAGCTTTCTCTGCACTCCATTACCTGTCCGGGGTATGTTTGGCTTTGTTGATGCTCTCTGAAGTCGCGAAGAATGTGGGTATCCCTTGCTTTGGGTCAGTGATCTTGCTGACTAGGTATTTGAGGGTAAATATTTAGTACTTACCAAACATGATGGATTGCTATAGTTTTTGCTCGTCGTCCGGTCCCTTGCTACGGAGTAGTACCAGAGCTCAATTTCGCTTCCTGTGTAGATCTGAAGCATTAAAACCAAAGTACAACTTCTACTACTCTAGACATTTACCTTGACTTAAAAGAATATTTTCTACTTGCATGACTCCGTGCCTTCTGTGCATATAAAATATATGATGAGTGTAGAAGAGAATAGAATCTCAAATAAATTTATGCTGAAAATAAGTTACATGGTATTCCAAAAATAGTGCTGTCAACCAGCCTAGCGCCAAGCTTCAATTTCGTCAGTTTGACCACAAAACAATGATTCCTACAGACTCACGACTTTGTGGAGAATCTTTGCACCAAGCTTTGCTAAAATCTGATAAAGTCTGCCAACATACATGCGAAACGTGTCGAGGCATACATCAACCTACAAATGTGAGCTGACAACATTATTAATAACATCATGTTCTATAGTTCTTGAAGAATTTCTCCATTAGCTTTATTGCCAATCGCATAGAAATACTGAATAGGTAGTAATGGGGTTGTAAGCATTGGTAAATGTAAGCAAAGGGGAGCAAGAGTCGAAGTCGGCATTTATTTCTTCTTGACTTCGAATAAAAATAAAGTCAAGAATATTAGTCTTAAATCCATTGGCCGGGCCCATACATTACATAGCCTCATTGTGAGATATTAAATACTAGTTTCATATTGAATAACAGATGAAAGTACACGCCAGTTATACATTAATTATTGTCAGATGGTCAATGAAACCATATGGCTAGACTCAGCTTAGATAGTCATCGTATGCTACCCATCGTATTCAGCCGTGAAAGGTAGCATTACCCCGATAATATCAAGACGAATAAAGCAGTCTGACGGACCGCCGACCCAGAAATTAATATACGATGCAATAATTAATAATATAAACAGACGAACTACTTAGCTAGAGGGTGGTGTAAGCACGGCCTAAAATATTACTCCGCCGTTAAGCCACCATGTAACCCAAGACTAATTGTCCCTCAAGCCCGGGACATTGATCAGGATGTGGCTGTTCGAGAACGCTTCCATACAGTAGCGGCCAATGGAACAGATGTAATGATGGTGGCATTTGGTAGGCCGAGGCTTTATAAACATGGATTCTTTTGATTCCATTACCACCTTATCCCCCACTCGTTGGGGGAGGCGGGGATACCGTATTTAGGACCGGTGATCAATGGGGGTGGAGGTGGGGAATTGGGATTTTCTTTCTTTCTAGAAGCATGAGATTGCCAAAGGCCGCTGGATTACGCGCGGATGGATGTTTCGGTTAAATTTCCCCGCGGAGGTCCCCTCTCCGGCTGTAGTGGAACCGATTCATAGAATAAAATGGAACTATAGACTTTAAGGCTGTTGCTTGCCGGGCATTTATATAAAGCGTACAAATATCCTGCTGCATTTGTAAATATATACTTGACGAAATTGTTGGATATCAAGCCGGGCCTAGTGCCAGTATTGATATTTCGTCGAGTGGGAAGTGCTAGCAGAAATGAGAAAAATAATAATTATCTTCTTTGTAGTGGGGATGTTCATCCTCACATCGTCGGTGCTTTAGGTGTGAAGGGAGAAGGGAGAAAAATATGTTTGGTGCGTTCAGCTACAAGATATATAGCTAGAGGTGCTACTATAGATCAACAGTGGCTCTAAAGGTATATCTTGATCACATTAGTATAGAACTTCCTTATCTCTAAGAAAAATATGGCTATGTACACAAGTATACTATCTAACATCCTCCCAGTCATATTGGCCAGACCAGCCGACACACCAACCTATTTGCGTTACGCTTGAGTTCCTCATGTTTCTAATTCTCTTTGGGTTGCTTGTGTGCTTAACCGCGGAACGGTCAAGGGACGTAGCATGTAGGTATCTTGCTCTTATACTCGCAGTTACCAGTCCTGGGCTCATATGCAGTGCCACGGCCAGGACATAAGCCCGCAAGAGTGGATCTCCTTTGGAGGCACACTCGAAAAAGTTGTAAAAGCTTCAAACTTCAGGTCATGTAAATCCAATGTGACACACTGAAGGGTAGACAACAGCCACAGAGAAGAGGGTAGACGCGGCGAAGATTGAGATGGCCTGGTTGAGGTAGTGCATGTTGATGGATAGACTTTAAGCTCATTAGTTCTATATTTATATGATCATTTGGGGTGGTGTGTCCATACTCAAAAGGGTATCTGCGGTAAATATCAGACATAAGAGTAGATATATATAATATAAAGTATATCTGGAAGGAAAATACGGAAACGGGACCGTCGACAACGTCGTTACAGCTGTCTTGTTTTCCTCACTGTCACTGTTGAGCCAAGAGTGTGTTGACAGAGAGGCAGCAGCTCACTTTATAGCTTTCCAATGGATGCCGTATTCTGGAATAAAAGCCCAAAGCCAGGAGCTTACGAATGTACGTAACTACATTACTACATACATCAAGGCCTTTGTTTTAACAGCCCAGATATCTACTACAGATGACGCACGTGTTCCTTTGTTCCATTCCTTACAAGAGTACTGGTACAGTAGACCACATTTTCAATGTTCAGCCCTTCCCTTATACGTATTATTAACGATAATTTATCTATTTATTTATTTTTCTTTCCTTTAGTTTGTTCTCGGTTGGGTGCGTCTTATACTATTGGAATGCTGCCAGATTTATGATTGTTATCTGCTTAATTAGCCAACACGCATCATGGGTACTTTGAAGTAGACTAAATATTCTCTGTCCTAGATTATAGTATCCTGTTTATCTTTTTTGATCATGTATGTCAATGTCATATGAACTTTGGGATCTTCTGGATAAAATATGTGCACTGATGACACCAGACAATTAGAAATTGTTTTTTTATGGTTTATGTTACTACTATCAATAGTTTCGTTAGAAAAATGAAATATATGCAGTGAAAAATACAATTAAGAAGTATAATGAATGTTAGGACAGCTCTAGTTTCAGCCTGAAGCTTAAATATAACAATAAAAGATCTGCTAGACAGCTCAATCCGACTTCTATTCTTGCAATTTATATTAGAATAGATAGGTGTTAATTCTACAAGTCGTTGTGTTTAGTATTATACTATTGTAATGAATAGCTCGGGCAGATACTCCGGGGCATACTGGGGGAGATGGTGAACTGAGAGTGCGATAACATTGCACTTTGGCTGATAGAGACAAAACCATATTGTAGTTTAATATTGCGGAAACAGCATACGTTTGGGAAACAGACCCCAATCAAGCCTCCAGGCCTTTAACATTGGTATCTTTGCACCTGCAGTTCTGTGTATTTATTATCGCCTAGAATATCTATTGTAATTGCGACATAACATATACATTCCTAACTGATCACAGTTAATAACCTGAGAAAAAAGACAATGAGAATTATTTAATAATAGTCTTGACAGTTAATTAATTAATTAAAACTTTTCAATAGAGCTGCCTGGGAGCATTTGTAGCCTACTGGAGTAGATTAGCATATCTTTCTTTTGCAACTTAAGCTGTTCTATACAATACACCTTAAGACCCCTTTGGTTGGGGATTGACTTGTTCGATTTGAGTAGAAGCCAATCCTCGCTATCGACTCACGCTCATTTCGGCTGCCCTTCTACCTGCTCTCCCCCAGGCATTCAATTGGGACCGACCAAAAATTACTGGAACTACACAGCCAGCGAGCTAGCGAGCGGCACCTCCTCCAAAGTATGCAAAAACGCATACAGCGCAGAGATCAACTGCGGCGACTACCTCGTCCAGCTTGTGAACACAAATGAATCGTCCCTCTCTAGGTTCCATGGAGCCCCAGAACTTTGCCCAAACATGCACCAAGACCTGTGAGACTTAGGTGTCAGACTACATTGATAACGTTAACGCCCCGTGCTGAAAACCTAGAGACGCAACTGTGAAGTCACTGGGATACCCGGGCCGAAACGGGACCGAGAATGTCCCCGTGGAGACTATCGTGTCGATATTCCAGTATACGCTGATACAGGTGTTTGCCCATGACGAGTACGTATGACGTCGTTCTAGTTTATAGACCCGAGTCGAGTGCTGTTTATTTACTTGCTACTAGGGATGGAGAGAACTGTTGCCTCCAACAGAACTCATATCTTGATCCCAACTTTGACTACAGCTGGGCATGCGCGGCAGCATACTACTGGACTGGATATGTATATCCCTGCAGCGATTGGAGTCTAGGAGATATTACCGTCTACGCCTTTGATAAAGATAGAAACTGAGTTAAATTCGGCGATTATCTGTTCCTAGAAGAGGAATCTGACGATGGAACCCGATGGAAATCGGTCAAAAAAAAGCGGTTTGGAAGGAAGCAAAACGTCACCACAATTTGATACTGGGCTTTCAGAAAAGGGTATGGGTAATAACATAAAGGTGAATTTTACTGCTTCTTCTTCTGAGATTACATCGAGTATTGTGTCAGGTATTTCTTCTACTGGGACTCCTCCATTGACAGAAACAAGTGGCACGAAGAGGAACATCTACGCCACAGTTTCTTCCTTGGTAGCGGCTGCGGCTTTGTCAGGGCTTATGGTCTAGTAAGTCTTTGTCTGCTGTGCTGGTGAAAGTTTATATATTATTTAAGAAGATTAATGTATGATATGCTGGGGTATATGGTCTATGAGTTGAGGCTAAACAAATGAGCTTCCGTTCTCAGAAAATAGATTATCTTGGAACGTGATACGCACTGGAATTCTGTCCATAGACATCAACAATAGTCTGTCTAATGGTACATTAGTGTAAATGATGACACCTGAAAGCTTTTCGCGCCTGCTTTGTTACAAAGCACTGTAAAAACCCTTGTAGTTGAATTGTATGAGCACTGCACGGCTAGGTCTTTGTCACACTCACTGTCTTCCAGGATATTCGACAAGTTCAAAAGCAAGAATAGAAAGAGAGTTAAGTAGGAGAGAGGAAGAATTAACAGAATCCTAGGAGTCCTGCACGGTATGCTGTGCTGTATCTAGAAGTGCCCCTAAAGCCGCTTGCATGTTAGGGCCTGAATAATCGACACTCAAGTTCCTGCATTGTCCAAGATAATACCGAGTAAATATTGCAAATCTATCGTCCACATCCTCATGGTTATTGACGAATGGATTCTGCGAAAGGATTGGAAAATGAAGTACGCCTTCACTTCCTCCTCCCAGCCAGAGGAATCTGATACTCTTCAAGGCCGTAAATTCATCCTTCAGAACAGTCAATATTTTCCTCCAGCTCAAAGTACGCAAGCTGATGTACCGTAGATGCAGCGAACATAGAGTACCGCGCGACTGTCGAAGAAAGGCCAGGAGGTCTTCGCCGGAGAGACAGGCGGCAGTAGTAAAGCGGAGTTCGCGAAGTCGAGGGTAGGAATTTCCATAGGCGAGTCTACTCAGAACTTCTGGGGTTCCTTCCCCTGTATCGAAGTCGAGATCTAGTTTTTGAAGTTTGGGGGCACGCTGGATAAATTGCACCACCCATTCTGCCCCCCCAGCACGCTCCAGGGAATGATGGAGGATCAATTCCTGCAGATTGCCCCAGCCATTGATGAAGCCTGGTTTATTAATATCATCCAGGTCCAGATGCCGGGTATCCAATTCATAAAACGGTATTGTTTTATTATCGGGCATGAAGTCAACATGGAAGAATTTCACAGGGAGTGCTGTCTTGGAAATGAGGTTGAGAATAATGGTGATTGCATCGGTGGGGCGAAGACATCCCCTCTCGCAAGAAAGTTCTCCTCTATGGCTGAAGGTTTTGAAACTGACTATGAAAGACTTGCAGTTATTCAGTTGGGAGAGGGAATTAGATAGATGCAGGACACCTGGCGGCCATTGAGGAGAGAAGACGAGGCGTTCACCGCGTCGTTCCGGTATTCTGGGCGATTTCAGCCAATCTTTCTAAGCTCCGAAGAGAGAGATCGATTTCAGCGGTGCGAAGGAAGACACGTCCAAAGTACTCCACCGTTATCCCATAGAGCAGCTTGCAAGTGAGCCGTAGACAACACAAGTGTTTGGCCTCCAGGAACCCGGCAACCACTTCAAGTATTTCTATCGGAATGATACAGAGCTGATGGGGGGCATTATGCATGGAAACTGCTAAAGCTGGTGAGAATCTGTGATAGCAGTGATTACTGAGGACGACTTACGACCAGAGACACCTGCCTTCATTCTTGGCCAAAGACATCCAAGAATCGGGGTAAAGAAAGATCTAACAGGATTCTTTCTTGGACAACGGGGCGGCTAATTGTACGACTAAGTATGAAACAAGGTAGAATCGTGGACAGAGAAAGTTGTAAAGGGCAGAGTCACTAGGGAGGATAAAAAGGATTTCAAATAACAGAAGAATCCCACTTTAGGTAATACTGTAGTAAATATTAGTTGCAGGGTAGAAACAACCCCAAGGTTACTATGTAACATAATAAGTGAATACTTAGTACCTTGCATTATGAAACTGGTATAAAAGCAGCCCACTGAAGACACTTCTAGATTCTAAACTGTAATAAAATAATTCAAGTAACCATTATATACTCCATTTAACGATGACACAGTTAGCAGGCGGCCAAAACGGCTACCGTTGACGCTGTTTTACGAGTCATTCTAAAACGATGTTGTGAAATTAGCAGCCGCCCAAAACTACGACCACCTGCCTCTTCCTGCCTCATTCGGTCGTTGCCGCTTTAAGCGGGTGAGCCGGGTGAACCACGTGATTCGCTCACCCATCAACACCAACAGTCACCCATTGTCTCTTCGTGTCGACGTCAGTTCTTTAGCTGCTTCACCAAGAAAGTTACGATGTACTAGCTAAAGGAGATTGCAGGCATGGCTGTGAAAAATTGGCCACAGCTTGTCCCCTACAAATGGTGGACGAAGTCCGCTTCTCTTCCTCTCGTTCTTCCCCCCTGTGAAGCCTCCTAGGATTGTGCAACGTGTTTCCTTTTTAAGCTGCCTATTCATTTTTTGATTCTGCCAAACCACGCTCTCCTTTTTGATCGTATAGTTGGGATACGTGAATTACCCTAGATTCTGCCCCAACAATGTCCAAGGGAGGGAGGCAAAAGGTTGATAGGCGAGCTATTGCGGCAGCAAACGGCTACATTCGAGGAGCGAACCGGGAACAAGACCAGAATCGCTGTGAATATCATTATCCTGATGAATCCCTCACTCTCCAGGACAAGGTTCTGTCAGTTTATATCTTGTATGTGTTACTTTATGCCTTTCGTCTCACCGGCCGCCCTGCTGACTCTCCATTCCCTCACTTTTAGATAGGCATCTGAAGAGGATAAGAAGCTCCGAGTTAAAGGCCTTCGCATAGGGCAGCCAGTACCTGACCTTGCGATGGTGAAGGATTTCATACACTTTTACATTTTCTCTTCGCACGGAATAATCTCACTGCATCCTACGAAGTCTTCCGTGCTAAATTTTGTCGAGCGATTCTTTGCCGGATTTACGCGCCTTACAAAGTCGGTTTTTGATAAGAAGGATACTCAGGGTGTGTACAGGGTTTGTGATTTATTATCGGTCGAGAAGTGCTACCTCAGAGTGCTGATTGAGAATAGTGGATAGCAAAATCTCTTGTTAAAGAGGGAATCATTGAAGATAAAAGATGAGTGAAGCACATGTTCACGCATTGTGATCTTACAAATATTCTTGTCTCGCTGTGGAATAATGATGACCCCGTTTTTATTCACCCGAGGTACAGAGTGCAGTTGACATTTGCCATTCTTATATATTGCTACTCCGGGGCTCGAATCAGCATATTTATACCTAACACATTAAAAGCGGACTTGCGCGGACTAAGATACGAAGTATGCTACTCAGATCCAAAGAACTTCAATTGATTCTACTTTTAGGTATAGTATGCAATGTGACCAGACGTCAAACGAGTGGCGGATATTGTTCTGACGGTTCCAAGACATCATGATATATCATATCCCACTTTCATCCGGATCATTTGGTTCGGAGAAGTATCAGGTATACCCCAAATCGGACGTCTGACAGCTGCTTAGAACCTCCTCTTCCTCCTCCTCCTATACCTTGATGGATCAATCCCCCAGATCCATCTTGGTAGTATCCACCAACAGAGTATCCATCAGATCACTCAACTCCTTCAAGGTATCAATAACACCTTGAGCGTTGGGATCCTGTCCCACCAGCGGCTGCCACAGATTCCGCACCTGGTTAAGTCTACGGAGAATCCAGTATTCCGAATTTTCAATATCAACCACAACAACCTCCCGCACAAATTCCTGATACATCTCCCGGGCATGCAACTGCACCCCATCTACGGCAAGAACGCGGTCCTGGTAGTGCCCATAAATCTCCATGACATCATTCACGACGGTGGACCAGTTTTCATTGACCTGGTCGTCATTCAGATAGCTGGTCACCTGGATGGCCGTGCGAATAGTGTTGATTGCCCCTTCCACATGCTGGACGTCCGCAATATTAAACCCATTGCTATTCCACAGTTCATCGGACATGGGCTGGTGCCCGACCCAGATACGGGCCTTGTAGCCATTCAGCACGCTGTCCGCGTTCACCAAGACGTCGGGGTTGGTGTCGGACCCGTAAGCATTAGTGATCTGATCGATCGGTCGTCCATCGGCGGTATATGGTCCATTGGGATCCCACGCACTATAGGGTTGGAAGAGATAGCTGTTTGGGTCCAGATACCGCTCAGGCACAGGGCGATTGATGTATGCACTGCGGACAAGTGTACCGTCCCCGCGACGCGCCTGACCCGTCATCATATACTCCTGTGCGCGGGGCTCAGTCTGCCGCTCGTGGATATGCTCCGTGACAGGACGAAGGTCGGGATCATCACTCGCGGATGAGATATCCACATCTTCGCAGTTGCGGCAATCTGCGGCCCCATATCGTCCGGCATTTGGGTTCGCCTGTATCAAACTGGCTCCATCCCGTCCATTGGGGTATCGGTTCATGGTAACGGTCCAGCTGTTACCGCTGGGTGGGTTGACGGTGTAGGACACAGGAGCGCCATATGCTCGGGTTTCGATCGCAGAGCCTTCTTCATATGGCTTTCCAGTCTCCGGGTCGACATTCAGTGAGGGATCGAGCTCTCGCAAATCAGACATGCGAGTGCGCCTTCGACGCCGTCTTCGCGTGGTGAAATCATACGCATTACCGGTTTCGGGATCCAGATCGAGAGAGCGATCAAACTGGTCCATGGAGCTGATGCACAGACATTCCTGGAGACCGGAGCCACCACCATCACTATTGCTGCAGTCCATGAGATCATGGCCGCCGAAAAGCGCATATCCGTTGATGGTGGGGGCATCACGACCTGCCGGCGTCTCGGCCCCATCGTGGAGGATGAGCGTGTCACCATGTCCAAGGACTCTTTGCGTGTCATCATCCCCCCAAGGAAGGTCACCCTGAGTGAAGGACTCGACAGTGGCTTGTTGGTTGCTGAAGCTGATGCGTGGAGAACCATCGCTCTGGCGATTGATGCGGAGGTAGCTATCGAGGGTTTGATTGAACTCGACGCCGGCGGCAACCTCCTTGGCGCCGTAGAAGTGGAGATCCAATTTCATCTGGGAAGTGGTCAGGAAGCGCAGGCCGAGAATTGTTCCATCTCCACTGTTGGACTTTCGTTTGGTGTGGGTCGAGACGGACGATGCAGGGAGTGTCAAAGCGCCAGAGAAGGTATTCGACAACAGGGAATTGCTGACCCCGCCTGAATAACCGCCCGTTGATTCCGGGAGGCTGTCCGTGACGACGCCGTCGTTTCCGATAATGAACTTGGCCGTGAAGTCCCCGTTGATCTCTCCTTCTCCGGTCATTTGCGCCTCGATATTGACCCACGGACCGAAATCACATATGCCCGGGTGCGAAAACCCCCAGGCGCTGACGGGGCTGTTGAAGAGATTGGCCCCCGCCATACCCGCTGGAACCGAGAGATATCCCTTACCATTAAAATTTAATGCCCCGGTCAATTGCAGATTCGTGTCGAAATATCCATACGCTTCCTCGATGTTAAAACTGGGCGATATGGTTCCAACGAAGCTGTATCCGAACTCGAGTTCCTCATGTAATGTCCCCGAGACACCCATCTTGAGGTATCCATCGTCGCCCTTCGTGGAGCATTTTTCGGGGCTTTCGCCACTGAGCATGACATCAAAGGACTTTTTGTTGAGCGAACCTTGACCCAGCGTGATAGGGGCGGCGCTGTTGACGTGCCTCAGCTGGTCAAACTTGGACTTCCAGTCCGATGCGGAAGAGCTATAGAAGCGTTCGCTGAGGGGTGCGGCCGTTCTCTTTCGTTTCTTGGCCGGATCCCCTTGGACGATGGAGTTCCAGTACCCCAAGCTGTTGGAATAGTCGATTCGGATATAGATCTCGCCAGAATCCCGTTTGACCAGACCGAAATCATACGAGATCTCGGCGTCGAGGATTCGGGGATTCCAGGGGGCTGACCGGGCGACGTGATGTGGCAGGGATTTATCCGCGGCCGGACGAACGGCGTGGAGGACGCTGTATGATCCTAGGACTCAGATTAGTTGGTGGCGTTGGGGAGTGTTTGTGGCTAGATTCAACATACCAGGTCCACAGCCGTCAGGCATCCGTAGAACGGTCCCCTCCACTCCTCCCCGATGAATTCGGTCGCAGGTCGAATTGGCACCCTCATCCGAGCAGACTAGACGAATGTGGCTGCGGCCATCGGTCCGGATATTATGACAATCCAAAACATGCAAGTCCGATCCGTCTCGACGACGAAGGGACTGGACGGCTTCCTCCGGACCAACGATAATGATGAGCCCGAAGGTATTCGCATTGGTATCGCCCGTGAGAACACTGTCACCCCCGAGATTCTGCAAGTCGAACTGTGGGTAATTCTCGGCCGGTGGGAGAGTCGGAAAGACCTTGTCCAGCGCGACAGGCAAGAATGGATTGAGATTCTTGGGACTATTGCAGCAGAGCACTTTCTTGCGACTGTTCCCAACACAGCCACCACTACTATCTCCATACGTGTTCGTGTCCAGTTGCACGTCGTTGTCATCACACTCATTGTCGTCGCAGGTTCCCTTCCCCACCCAGTGGCAGTTTTGAAACGCTGCGTCGGACGGACAACATAATTCCTGTGCTTCGCCCCACAAGCACTCGCCGCGTTTCTGGGCTACCTTGACCATTCCAGATGTGTCTCCATCCCCGCACTTCTTCCCACACGAGGTATACTTGCACTCCTGGATCTGGCGTGTCCACGTCTCAGTCTCACAGCAGAATGCCTGGAAACCGGGACGAAGGCAATTCTTGGTGGCGTGCCGGGAGTGGAACAAGGTTACTTCCCCAGTATGACATTGGCCATGGCAGGAGGGTCGGCCGGTGGACGATTCGCCCCCTCGCCAGAGACAACTACTGGGCATCGCATCCAGCGGACAGCAAATGATCTTGAACTGGCTATTCCCACAAGTATCATGGAACCCGCCGCCGTTCGGGGCCAACCCGTATCCCGACGGACAGGTCGGGGGCAGGCCGCAATCGGTCATGATGCACTTTTGCCCGTTGATAGAAGTCCACTTGCCCGCGTCGGTGGTTTCCATGCGTTGGAGGAGGGTATTGTAGTCCTTGACGCTGCGGCCCAACAAGCCCGTCAGAGCGGAAAACTTCTTGTCGTCTTGGTCAATGGACCAGATCATGACCCCCCCGAGACCGACATCGTTCGCCCAGTCGATCTTCTGCTTGAAGGTCTCGTCGTCGTCGAAGCTGACCCACTGATCTGTTCCGAAGGTGAAATATTTGACGGCGGCCTCCTTATCGTGAACGACATGGGGGTTTTGGTCGGCGATGATGTCTTGGATCTCGAAACTGATCCCATGTCAGTCACCCAATGGACGGAGGAAAGAAACAGGAAGGTGTCCACCTACTATGCCAACGTTCCCGCATTATCTGTACAGGCCCCCTTATCAGCAGCCCCCGCAAACCCGCATCCCGGAGATGAACAGGTTCTACTCTTGAGCTGGAATGAACGGCCGTAAAACCCCATCCCGAACACGACTTTTTCCGGGGCGATGTTATTCCGCCAGAGGAGATCCATGGACCGCTTAATCTCTGTGAGATTCGTGTGACCCTGGACAATTTCCCCGATGGGGTTTTCCCTGTCCCACACCCCGTGCAAGTCGTACGTCATTACGTTGGTCCAGTCGGCGTATTTCAACATCCCAGGAACGTCAAACCATCGCAGATACCAGTATGAGCTGGGAATAGTGAAGGTGAGTCCGTAGGGTCCGTGTGCCGAGCTGTCAAATGTCTCCCGGAGGGTTTTCATCAGCAGCACAAAATTGTCCGTATCAGCGGGGTTGCCCCCTCGATCTCCTGCTCCGGGGTATCTGCGGAGAGGTCAGTTGCTACCCTCGAACTGGTCCTGCACTCCAGGGAAAGAGAAGAAGAACTCACTCCCAATCAATATCAACTCCGTCAAACCCATACTTTTTCATGAATTTCACCATATTATTCGCGAATCGCTGACGATTGGCCTCGGTCGAGGCGATTTTCCCAAAGGTGGGCTGTGTGGCCGTACCATTGTCGCTGAACGTCCACCCTCCCAGCGAGACAAAGACCTCCAAGGTTGACACACCGGACTGGAACGTCCGAACATCCGCCGTCTGCGTGAACAGCGACGACGGAGTGATATCGTCCATGGGGATAACCTCGAAGGTGGACGGATCAATGTATGCAAACGCGAAGTTCAGATGGGTCAAACCTTCGATGGGAATGGCCGCAGGAGGGAACGGGTAACATTCTCGTCGGGCACTCCAGGCCTCGTAGTATCCAATGACCTTGTTCGTGACTGGTTTCGCACTTTTCCCGGGCGGGATCGCAGGGCTCCCGCAATTGCTCTGGCAGCCCTGGGAGGCATCACAGAACTCGGGCGTGGTGCCACAGAAGCCAAACTCGCTGCAGCAGACGTTCAGCGGACAGGTCTTGCCGGGTGGATTGGCATATTGGCCACATTCCGGCTTTGCATCGCATTGACTGACGCAGTCCGACCCACAGTAGGTGTCTCCAAACCCACAGGTTCCCACATCACCGTCAAAGAAAGAGCCACCTGAGGAGTATACGTTAAATCATCGCGAATGAGGAGAGGAAGAGAAAGGACGTACAGCAGGCCTCCGTGTGACAGGGAATATCTTTGGTACATGAGTATGGATCCACACGTCGGAGAAGAGTCTTATTGAAAAATTCCGGGCCGTCGTCCACTTGCACTCCCTCGTCTACCGGTTGGTCCACGTTGGGGATCTTTGGTGTCACTGAACTTCCAGACAGCCATGAGAGAAGGACAACTAGAATGATTGAAAAAGAGGTGAAAGCAATGGGCAGGCTGGTGGATCGCCGAGATGGTTGGTCGGATTCCGACGACATTGTGACAGAGATTCGTGAAATTTGTGCGCTCTCGATGCAGGGAATCGTGAGAGGGCCATGATAACCCTAAAGTACCTCCCAATGCTTTGGACATGGAAAAGAATTTTGCGAACTATCTGTGTGCCCAACGGGTCTAAATCCCCTATTAGGATTAGACCGATAAATATTAAAATATTCATCGGCACTCCCTCTTTCTCCTTCAACCCCACCCATCACGGCAGCTCTCAAGCGATCATTTACACCCCATGGCGGTTATTCGTATAGGATTGTTTTCGTTCCTAGGTATTCTATTGTCCTGTGGTTCCGGAATCAATGCGCAGGCCTTTTTGGCTGAGCCCGATGGCACAAGATTGACTTTGGGATACCCTGACTCGCTCTCCTCTGCTTGCCAGTAAGTCATGTCTTACATGGGATGAAAGGGTCGAATACCGCTAACTCCTACAGAGTGACATTCAACACGTCCACTCAGTGCAATTCGGCTCTTGGAGCGATTGCCTTTGATGCTCTGTTCCCCTCTAGTGAGCAACTGGCGGTGATCTGTACGGACGACTGCCTCGGGTCTCTGCAAAACTTTCGCTCCCAACAGGCCCAGTCCTGCGAGAGCGAGTCTTACGCTGTCGACGGACAACTGGTCCCTGCCACGTACAATGTGGACCAGTTACTCTTCACCTACAGTTATACCTGTTTGCAGGATCCGTAGGTGATATCCCTCCCCCTTTTTGGAAACTTTTCCAGCACTAATCCAGGAACAGGCCCACGAAGGATTACTGTGCCCCCCTCGTCGATCAATGGTCGGAGGAGGGGCCAACCTCGGAGCAATCATGCTCTGATTGCATGTTGCGTACCTTCCAGGTGGAGCTGAACTCACCATTTGGCTATGACGATGAGTTTGCCGATTACTATCGCTCCTTGACATCCTCGTATGTGGAAGCATCGTGAAAGTATCTCCCCCCGCCGATGCTAATGCTCGCTGCAGATGTGGTGTCTTGGATTATCCCATCACTTCGCCGCCTCCCTACACTGTGACCAGGACACCGACTCCCACATCATCCCATACCAGTTCCCCCACTCCCTCGTGTGCGTCATACTATACTGTTCGAGAAGGCGATGACTGTCTCAGTGTCAGCAAAGCACAACGCGTGTCGGCAGCAATGCTGCGATACGAGAACGGTCTTACTGCGGACTGTACCAATTGGCCGGATGTAGGGACCTCCCTTTGCATCCCCGCCCCGTGTGAGCTTTACACGCTCCAGGCAAACGAAACCTGTTATGGCATCAGTCAGGCACATAATACCACCTTCACCGTAACACAGCTGATCTCCTGGAATCCTGATATCAACCGAGACTGCAGCAATTTGGAGGCGATCATCGGCACCCAACTCTGTATTAGGTATGACGAACACTGGGGGTATTTTGCTTTGTTGATGGTCATGCTGACAAGCATGAAGTGCACCAGGGGACACAGCAGGGCCAGAGATCACTACAATTCCTGCTATGACCACTGCAGTACCAACGTGAGTGTGCCCTTCCCATTGATCGAATTCGAGTTTAACTCGATCTCTCCATCGATTCAGACCGGCGCCTTCGAATGTAGCGAATGGGACCGATCTCCAGTGTGCCAAGTACTACGAAGTGGCACCAGGAGACACGTGCGCATCCCTCACGGTGATGATGGGGATCAGCCTGACTGACTTTTACTTTCTGGTAAGAACCTAATCCTCCTTTTTAGACAAGCCAATCTAACTTCTCCGTGACAGAATCCGGAGGTCAAGAAGGCAAACTGTACCAATTTACAGCCAGGGTCCTCGTACTGCGTTCAGGCTGTGGGTGACATCGCTACCTATACTGGATACGGGTGCGTTTTCCTCCACGGCTGTGTGTTTGATGCTAATCGAACTTCTATGCAGGGGTAAGACGGACCCCTGTATGACCATTCCTATTCCTATCAGCTGTCTCGCAACGGGCCCAGTTACCACCGATACTGCCTGGACGTTTCCCACATACACCACCACCAAGACCCCCCAAACAACATCCCTGCCCTTGGCCCCGGGAACCCTCACCAACTGTTCAGCCTATGCAGAGTACCTCACTTCGCCGCGTAACACCACAACAATCAACTCCTGCTACGTGGTGGCCAGTTTCTTTGATGGTAAATGAAAGAGCCATCACCGGACCTGACCGGACATGACTAACACGAGAGGACAGAGGACGTGGAGAACTTTGTATCGTGGAATCCATCATTATCCTATGACCCCGGTAGTCCAGGCAACTGTCAACTCCAGCCAGGCTATCAGTACTGTGCCAGGGTGACCGGGTACACCACCACTTCCACTCCCACTCCTACCTCGGCAGTAACATCCACGACATCCACACAATCCCCGACCAGCACAGGGGCAAACGGTGCACCCACACCGTTACCCATTCAGGTACACATCCCTCTTTCCTCTAAAAAAAAAAAGAAGAAGAAGAAGAAAAGAAAAGTCTAACGAATTTGCGTGTTTAGCCGGGCATGACATCCAATTGTGGTAAATTCTATCTGGTCCAACTCGACGACGGTTGCGAAGCCATTGCCACCGCCCATGGCATCTCCCTGGCGGATTTCTACGCTTGGAATGCTGCCCTGAACGGGGACTGTTCTGGTTTGTTCCCCCTGTACGAAGTCTGTGTGGGATTGCTGTCCAGCACCACTACCAGCACCACCACATCTTCCACCCCTACCGCAACTGGAGGCGTCCCAACACCAACGCCAACCCAAGTGGGAATGGTCTCTGACTGCACCGAATTTTACCTCGTGAAAAGTGGTGATGGATGTTATGATATTGCTGCTACAGATAGAATCGCACTCTCGGACTTGTATTCCTGGAATCCCGCCCTAAATGGGGACTGTTCTGGACTGTGGCCGGATTACTACATCTGCGTGGGACGGGGAGAAAGCATCAGTGCCAGTAGTGTTATTCCCACCACAACAACCACCACCACTGCCGCGGCGAATGTGACCCCCACTCCGACGCAGGCCGGCATGGTCTCGGGATGTAAGAGCTTTTACCTGGTCCAATCCGGTGATGGCTGTTATGATATTGCTGCAAGCCACGGGATCACGCTAGACCAGTTCTATTCGTATAATCCGTCGGTGGGGGGTGACTGTGGTGGATTGTGGCCGACGTATTATGTTTGTGTTGGTGTCGAGGCATAGCCTACCTCATGCAGAGACATACGATTGGGGAAGTGGCAAATGGGATGGATCATTGGATAAGTAGGAGGGGGTTGAGGGGGGATGATAAACAACTACGTATTTAGTATTGCTTTTATCTCTCTCTAAGTTCGGCCACCCACAACCCGAACACCCGTAGATTCCGAACACCGCGTTGCATCCCACTTTTTCAAAACAACCACCTACCACACCACCAAACATGCCTCAATATGGACGATCGCGAGAGATCTATTTAAGCAGCTATTAAAGATTTCAGATCTAAAAGAATTACATCTCTACGAGCTGCTTCAAGGCTATATAACCTACCCCTCTCCACCCTTCATGGCCGGATGAGGGGTGTGCTTTAGTTAAAAGACTATTGCTTATTAAGCTTCGCAGTGTTTAACTCCAGTTCAAGAGAGCGGGCTTACAGCTCGGCGTGGTTCGAAAAATACGCTAAAATTCTGCCACCGCTCCCGAACCACGATGAGGTTTTTCCGGTGCAATATTTTCAACATTTAGTAATACAGTGGCCACTATAAACCAATACCATGTATACTGCATAGATCATCTTGCCCGTCGCTCTGGGGGGTACCCCCGCTCGTTCCACTCGCTTCTCAATCCCCTTCGGGGACATCGAGGGGACCCCACCCCCCTGCGCTCGAGGGCGCTTGAATACATAAACACTAGGGCTGGTATGGCGACCACCAGGAAGTGGTAGGGTGGTAGTGGTGGTAGGAGTGGTAGATGTAAATATGCAGATGACTTTTAGACAGGTGGGTGGAGTTGGACCACGATGACTATTTTTCCGGTTCCGATGTCGAACCACGCCGAGGTAACTTCGAACCACGCTCAGCTGGAACCCGCAAGAGAGCTTTTCTTGCTGACTGGATTATAAGCCAGGATAAACAAGGATTTCCTCCTAGCATCACCCGTACGCGTGAAATTGCCCTCCGAATCCTCCGCATCAATGGCGACACTGCACCTTTGGGAAAAGACTGGCTCTCTAGCTTTAAAAGACGGAATCCACGCGTTCAAAGCTGTATAGGTCGAAGGATACCATCAAGCCGCATACAAGGAACCAGACCAGAACAGATCCGTGCTTTTTATAAGCTTTTCTAAGAGATAACCACCAAATACTGCATAAAGCCGGAAAATATGTGGAATATGGATGAGCATGGAATTGGTCTTGGGATCTGTACAAACTCTACAGTAATGGCAGAGAGTGAAAAAAGTATACACTTATTCAAGGGCCGGAAAATAGAGAGTGGGTATCAATTATTGAGACCATTAATCCACTTGGTTAATATCTTCGACCGTTGGTTATTTTTAAAGGTCAATCTCTTCAAACAACCTGGTTTCAACCAAACTCCGTACCAGATTGGCTATATGCGACCTCAGAGAATGGCTGGACATCAAATTCTATTGCTCTTAACTGGTTAAAACCATTTTTTACCGGAAACAGCTCCACCAGACGATCAAACCAGATTATTGCTATTAGATGGCCACGGAAGCTATTAGCACATTGAATTTTTATGGGAATGCTATAAAAATAATATTCAAGTCTTATTTCTTCCACCTTATACAAGCCATGTTCTTCAACCGCTTGATGTTGGTACATTTTCAAGTGTGAAATCTCACTATCGGAAGGAAATACAATCTCTGGCTTTTTGGACGATGCAGCCCCAATTAAAAAGAGCGTTTTATTCAATGCTACCAGAAGACTCGCAGTATAGTATTTAACAAATCTATACTGCAAAGTGGCTGGAAAGGAGCTGGTTTATATCCTTTTAATGCAGACAAGGTGCTTAATAACCGCTTTGTACGCTTTGATCCTCCCAGACCTTCAACTCCTCCCTCTACTCAGCTAGTTTCCGAGGCTGAATTACTTCATTCCACTCCTAGGAACGAACGCCAAGTCCGTCAAGTAATCCAACTGCTTCAAAAAACTCAAAAACTACCCCGAGATACCCGGATTTTCCTACAGAAAGTGAGCAAGCATATTGGCCAGCTGAATACGACCCAAGCCTTGCAGGAGGACCATATTTCTCGCCTACAATTTCAAGTCAAGACCTTGGAGAAGCCAAAGATCAAGAAGCGAATTGAAAAGGACCCAAATACTAGGTTTAGCAATATAAAGCAGATTATGAAGGCTATACAGGAGGCGAAGGAAGAAACAGAGCGTATTAGGGCCAAAGAGCCCGAATTAATGGCTAAAAAGGCTGCAGATGAAGCTTCGAAGGCAGGTTTAAATGCCTTATGTTTTGAATGGCAGGCTTATTAGGTAGTGGTTGTGAAATTCATGCATTTTTCTTCATATACTGATTTTACAAGGTGTTCGGAATCTACGGGTGTTCGGGTTGTAGGTGGCCGAACTTACATCATATCACACAGTTTGCTATCAAAATTCTGCTCCGCTCAGAGGAAAAGTCATCATCCACCATAAGATCCCTCGCTTCTCCTCGTACATTCTCCTCGTGTCTTCCTTTTTTCATCAGGTCGATCATGCAGCTCCGGTCGATTGCTTAGACAGCCTCAATATAGGACCAATCGAGCGGGTTACATGTAGCGAGCAGGCGGCGGCCAAATCATATCCGGATCCCCCGTAGCAGTTCGAGAGTGACTGGCTGCTTGATGAAGCATCGCGAGCTCTGACGTATGTCGATACGGTCGGCGTCTCGCCTCCTCCGTGGATAGATCCCGCTGGGTCAGACGAGCGAATAGTGTCGGGGCAATATGTTTAACATGCACCTTTAGCGGTGGTTCCTTGGTGTCTTCCGGCTCCCACAACCAGACAAATGGTCTCGGATGATCGTGTGATTGCAATGCCTCCTGATCCACGTAGAGAAAGGAGTCGGACCGCAAACCCGGGGGAAATTTGCCTCGGTCTCGCATCGAGACAAACTGATCCTGACAAGCATCGGCATGGTCACCCTCCACCCAGTGGAGAGTAAACCGGGCGAGGGCGGCTTCTTTCATCTGTTGCGGGCTATAATGCAGCCCGTGGTAGATGGCCGTTTCAATCTGCTCCTTGAACGACACCCACCCTGGCACAGCCGGGAAAAACACCACCAGTCCACAGGCCGTTGTCCCCGGGATGGCTAGAATATGCTCCTGCCACGGTACACGGAATGAATACTGAATATTCCTGACATCATCACTGTTCAGGGACTCAAATGCCGCCGTGCGGGCCAGGTTCCATCGTTTCTGCACCGCCTGGGCACTGGCCCGGGCCGTTTTCATCTGCTCTGTCATGGCGGCTTCCATGGCTCTGTGGGTGAGATCCCGGTCCGCTGCACTGAGCCGGGCCTGCTCACTCAGGAGACGACCGGCTTGATTGGGAATGACACCAGCGGTCAGTAGGTGGGCTTCATTGTATGAGAGGGAGTCTCCGTTTTGGACGGCTCTGGAGACCAGTTCAGACATGCTCTGTCCACAGGCCTTTTGGCAAAGAGCATTTTCTTCCTCTTCCGGTGGGCGGTGGGTAATGGTTCTTCGTTCTGCATCAGTCAGTGAGGATGGGTCGGCAATGGCTCGATCATAGAGAGTGCGAGTGGCTTCATTCAAAGTAAGAGGGGTTCGGTCTATATTGGCCGAGAGGGCGCCATTGTACATTTGGAAAGACATAATGATGGTTTGTTTGATGCGTAGTCGAAGGTAAAGGAAGGGATTGATTGATTGATTGATTGTATTTTACGGCCGTGGTTCACCGCCTAGAGTAACGGGAAGATTAGACAGATTCCGTCAGTTACCACGTGACGCCCGGGACCACCAAACGCCCGATTTTGGCCTACACCGACATTTTGAGACAGGAATTCAAACCTCTACAACTCCACCAAAATGGGGTCAATTGAAGCCGCTCTTTAAGAAATCGAAAGTCTGAAAGCAGGTGAAAAGTTAATTATACAAAATTTGCCATAAAGCATGGAGTTAGCCGAATAACCCTATCAAGGCGCCACCGAGGTGTATAGCAGTTATATAAGACTTATCGCGAAGAGTATTAAGTTCTTAACAACCAACCGGGTTCCAGCTGAGCGTGGTTCGAAATTAGCTCGTCGTGGTTCAAAAAATACGCTAACATTCTGCCACCATCCTGGAATTTGATTTTTTAAACTATAATTACCTAGATAAGATTACCTAATTAGAAGGCTTGGTATTCTAAATAAATTTTTAGCATATACGCAATCAAGATTTTATACATTGAAACGCTCCTACGGTGCAAGAACTGCCTCTTTTGTGGTCGTCGCAGTGCCGCCTTTGCGGTCGTCCTGCACCAGGCTTCCACTCTATCCTCGCCGTTTCCACGGAACTCTCAGATGACGGCCCACCGACCCAGACTCCGTGGACCCATACAGCCTTCTTCGCACCCTATGAGAAGAAGGACTCAAGGTGGTGTTCAAAAGTCCCCTGGACGTTCCGCGGATTCACTGGCAATCCAGAGGATCCTGGGCGCCGAATCCAATGTCTGAAGTACGACATTAAAGATCCATCGCTCCACCACTGTGTGCAATCCTAATGCCCGGTCTTTCGCCGTCTCTTAAACTGGCCCTGATATATAAGGCAGGCCCTCTTCTTGTCAATCCTGAACAATCTTCCCAGCTGGCACCCATTACAGCTGAGAGTACTGGGATCCCATCTGCAGCTTAGTTAACGTCTCGCTCTCCCATACCCCTTCCCTCCCCCTCCCACCTATCTATTCCCCTCCCAGCAACTTAACCTTACCTATATTCTCCCATATTCTCCCCTATCTCTGGTGTGAACGTCCCTTGAACATCAGTACGATCAGCCTTTCAAACAGTGGCCATCCACACTTGGCTTCAGTTCCCTATCACGTTTATGTTTATTGCACAGCTGCCCTGATAACTATTATTATTATTTACCACGATGTCCAATCGAAGCCGCCTTCGTTCTGTTGTGCTTCTAGTCAAAGCATGTGCTCGTCTGCTTCAACATGCACGATGCCACCCAAGGGGTGCTAGAAGCGCTGTTGGCGTGATATCACAAGTTCGGAAGTCTCTAAGTTATCGGCTAGAGGGAAAAAGCGTAAATAAATGTTCAAGAATAAGGGTACACCGAGACATTGAGGATGTTATATGCCATCAGGATAGTGCCGACGATGATAGCCATATATCCTTATTATCTAATTCGGACACCGACCCCGAGTCAGAAAATCCCCGTGATTGGCTCCAAGAAGAGAATGATCTGGATGAAACGCAGATACAAAGACGGAGATATGAAGGGAAATCGATCAGTTTGCAAAAGTGGGTTTGGGAACTTTGGAGCCGGTATGAGCAAGACCCCCGCTTTTTCTTTATTATTCCGGTGACGAAAGCCTATCTTACAATATAAAGCTTTTGTGCGGAGACAGGACGAGATGCTCTAGCACTCATGAGCGAGGACCCTCCGAATATAAAAACACTTCGGACCTTCTTTGACTACACGATCACGAAGCGTCGACAATATATCGATGCCGCCTCTACCCTGCAAACGTACTGGAACGTGTGGACAACGATCCGGCGAGAAAAGTGCGGACTCGCAATTCCGCCTCCCGTTAAAGATAAGATGATTGGGGTAAGAGGCTCTTCAAGTGCGGGCCTTTCATTGACTTGCTAACTGACCGAGAAGGTGCGTGACCAATTAGCAGAAGAACATGGACTTCGCACAGAGAAAAGAAAGAAGCCGATCCTTCGCTCCGAAGATGTTTTCGAACTGCTAAAGGTGCTGTGGAATGTTCGCCGCGAGGCATGGGACCCGCTGCAGCTCGCTTTGATTATCCTACTGGCCGGCATCACCGGTCATCGCCCGGATGCGCTGGTTACCATGCTGCACAACGATGTGGCCGTCACTTTGTTTCCCACAGAAAGGGAGCGACCCCATATGGTCTTGGAGATCAAACCACACAAGACAAAACGGTACCGTGGACGGAAGAAGCAGAAGTGAGTGAGGATAAAGTTAGCTTCTAAAGTAACGCTAACCATACGTAGTCCGACATTAGGGATCCCCGAGGTTCCCAGTGAACCGTGCCTACTGCTGTGTCCGAAGACTCTGCTCTTGGGACTTCTCTTGCGCAAGTCGGCCTTTCGCCACCTACATATAGAATCCGCTACTCAGCTATACCATCTCAAAGTTCCCACAGATGCCGGATCACTTCCACTTCGACCGGCAGATCCTGACGCTCGTCTCTTCGATATATCCGCGGGTACACTGAACTCTTGGCTGAAGCGTCTTGGTGAGCTCGCTGGATTCGATCTTCCCATCACTTCGTATTGGCTCCGACGAGGGGCAGGGGAGGCGGTTAACAGTAGTAGTAAGCGTGTGACATATATCCTCGAGTCGGCCAAGCTTAGTCTAATGACTTGCCAGGTGAAATCAGCGAGGCACAACAAAACCTGCTTCTACAGCACGCGTCAGGTTCTACATATCAGGACAGGTATGCGCCGGATTATTTTCCGGTGGACTTCAGTGCAGCGTGGCGAGACCGCCCGCAGCAACACAAAGTGATTCGAATGGCGAGCGGTCAGAGCCGGTCAATCAATCTTCGCCGACCTGTGGATCTCAGTCCAGCTCAAGAAACCGAAGCCGAAGCTCAGCCCGAAGTCCAACGCCGCAAGAGGCTCTGGCAGCAAGCCAAACACCAGGTGCAGCTAGAATATGGGACATTTGCCAATGGAAAGGGCACAGAGATGTATGAAAAAGCGCTCCGACAAAGGAACAGGTACCACACTGCCCACCAGGCCTCTCGTCGTGCCATGAAGGAGACTCTTAGAGCCCGGTTCAACCAAGAACAGCCCGTTCAAGATGTGATACGCCAAATTTATGGTTTGCCCATTAAGCCACAGACCCTGTGCGAGTCAGATCCTACCCCACCAGAGCAGAAGCGTGCTTTTGCTCTTCTCTTTCGTTTTGCCCCTTCCTCAGAACGAGAGGAAACCGAGTGCAGAGCGGCAGCGGTCGACGCACTCTCACACGTTGGGCCGAGCCTTAAACGTCGCCTTCGATCACTGCAGTCCGACCAGTCTACTTCTACATGGATGAACAATGCCCTATATAAACAACGACACGTCAGATTGAATAGAAGGCAGTGTATATTTTGTTATATGTTTGGTATCCGGGAACAGTCGTTCACCCGAGATTCTAGCTTTGAACGGCATGTTCGCCGGCACCACGACAAACAAATACGATGCCCCGATCTTGCTTGTCAGAACGTCCTAATAGGCCATGTCGATATCACCAATCACATGAGATACTTTCATGGAGCCTAGCTGTACCTGAGTTGAGACCAAAAGCATATTAATGTCAGAGAAAGCGAAAATAACTGAAGAAACCGAGAGTCGGGTTACAAAGCTGTTACTGTCTTGCTCCAACCCTTATATAGACTTTGTATTCTATCTAGTAAAGTAATAAAAAGTTAGAATGGAGTGGTAGAGGAAACTATATTGTTTTGTTGTGAAATGTTGAAGCAGTCCGGTGTCTTGTAAAAAGTTGAAGTTCCTCGGATGCAGCATTCCACACAGTCACAGAATAATTCCTTTATATTTATATACTGCATCCGCTGTCTATATTTCTTATGTGTAATTTTATGGGTTTATATTGTAACGACTGGCGCAGTGCCGGCTTCCGTTGACGGTTTGCAATGTCGGTTTCCGACGCTCGTTGTTTGTTCTATCTACTATGTCTGGTCGAGGGGGAACAATGGAGCGTGGTAGTATATGAGGATATCTACCCATCGCTTATCTTGATCCTCTTCCTTTCCTCTCCATGCTTTAGTATTCTCGTTGCAGGCACCGAATAGAGTTGATTTGGTTTCTGTTGTGGAATTCAGGGGAAGTGATGCGCAGGGAGCTATTCTATCAGCTACAGGCCAACTAGCCTAACTAGGAAGTAGATGTCATTCAGTGGAAACACCAGGAATCGCAGTATCTCAACCAACTGAGCCCACTAAGCGGTTCCCTATATTCTCACTGAGGTGTTTTACTGTCTAAAGGATTCAGGGGTTAAATCGATCGTTAGATACTCAGCACCGCCAAGTCGGGCGGATTAACTATAGTGTTTCCGTAACAGTTTCATTTCCATCTCTGTTTCGTAGGTTATAACAAGGGGCAACAGGGAGGTATAATCACGCATACGAACAATCCACTGGATTAGAGCTAGGGGTGTTCACTATCAGCCGATAATGCCGGTCCTGACGATACTATATCGTCAACTTTCAGGAAAGTTAGCTTTCAGCTTATCCGATACTTTCTGACAATAATTATCGCCGGCCTTGGGCTTATACGATACTATATCGGCGTATAACTTCAGATATACTGGACATGACATATATATATATATCCTGTAACTGTTGAAAACCAGGATGCCTAAGGCACCTTCGGGTATCCTAGTCCTTCGTGCCATCTGACATATCACACGCAAGGGGCTAAGGGGCTAAGGACACGTAGACATAAGGAAGCGTTTATCTACGCTCTCTCTCCTAGATAAAAGAACATACTCACCATGCGATACTAGATCGCACCGATAGTTTCAATATACTATCCAGTCACCGCTATCCTAGCACCTCACGACATAGCTTCTTCCCCGAGATTCTCAACAGTAACAGGTATATTTCCCCCCATAGATAAGTTCACTATTTAACTATTTAGTCCTAGTTCGCGGGTGCCTCCGTACCCCCTGAATCCCAGACTCCCCGCCGGATAATTGGTCCCCCTAACTTGCCGCCACGAATAACGAGCCACAAAAGCTGCAGGTCTTCCATGTTTGCTGTTTAGATACTGTATTGACATTTCATTCTGATCCCACTACTGCTGTATTAGGGCTAGACCCGTACTGTATAACCGGAACGATTTTTCTGACCATTTGTACCTAAACAGCCATCCCCCTCCACTGTAAAACACGAAAGCTCAGAGGAAGGACATGCGTCATTTCATTGATTAGTATTCAGTTGAAGATTGAAGGTGGACGAGGTCAAACACTCGAAGTATGTACGAATGAACTAGGGCGAGCGCCAAGAACCACTTATGCAGTTCCGACCTCGTACATGAGCGTTCCCACCTGTATGAGTGTGCAACAGCCACTTAACTATTTGGCCACCATTCCAATCACTCCAAATAGACAGCGACAAAGCCTCTAGAGGGCTTGGTATTTGGTATTGTTATGGATTCAGGGAAAGATAGCATTTGAAAGGAGACAAGACGTGGATTGAGCAGTATCTTGCCTGAATAGTTACAGGAAAAGGGGGAAGATTGTTTGTGAAAAACCCCGCATGCTTGCCAAGGCGCTAGCTATGCACCAGCTATACACCATATCTTCAACAAGTATAAACACGCATTTTATGATATATCAACGCTTTGGCTACGTCTTTCCCGAATAAATCCGCAGGTGCGTCTGTGATCCACGAAAAATGATTTTCTGTGTTTGTAGACCAGTTGTGGTAAAGAGAAGCAAACAGATCAAACATGCAGCTGAGCTTTGCCCGAAGAGGACCCAGGCTGATGTGGCTGACGCTATCCCATTATAGGAATAGCGTATCACGAGTGATAGCTCACACACGTGGTGAGGGTTCTTCCTTTTGGTTCAACAGATTATCAGTCTAGCTTGTTCAGTGGTGCAGGTTCGATCCTTTGCCTGAGCGATTTGTTTTCTGATTTCGTGATGATGTAGCTAGGGGTGAAATCGAATATCGAATATTCGAATATTCGAAAATAATTTGACTTTCGAATACAAATAAATCGAAAATAGGTTTTGTTGAAACAAGTGATAGTAAGATGTTTGTTGTGAACTCAGGGGAAATAGGGCGTAGGGAGCTATTCGATCAGCTACAGGCCAACTAGCCTAATTAGAAGTAGATGTCATTCAGTGGAAACACCAGGAATCATAGTATCTCAACCAACTGAGTCTCTTGCATTCCTATCTGGGTGCTCAACTAACTAAAGGATTGAGGGGTAGAATGGATCGGTAGATATTTCCGCACCGCCAAGTCGGGCGGATTATAGTGTTTCCGTAACAATGTTCAATTCATTGACTGATTAACAAAAGTTATCATTTACAGAGGCGGGATGCTTCATATATATCTGTTCCTAATCCCTGCAATAAGCCTCAGCCACCGTGATATTCAACAAATGGCTAGCCAAATATTTTCGAATTCGAATAAGGAAAATCCTTATTCGATTCCACTCCTAGACGTAGCACATTCCCTTATCTCTAGCACAAGATATATCGCATCTATTTCGCACTTCTTTGCCGCATCAAGCAAGGTCTCCATCTCAGCCTCGACAGATCTGCCGTTGAACTACAACTTGAGGAATAATTCCGAGACCTTTTTATTTTATAAATCCCGCAGGACATCGCCCACCAGAGCATCAGCGTCTTCCACAACACGCGAGACCATCTGCTCAACCGCAGAAAACTCCTTCTCAACCTCCTCTTTCGCCCAGACAGAACTGTCGTAAGCAAACTTCACTTTGTATTTATCCACATGCGCAGTTCGGATCACCTCGAACACCACCGCGTAAGGTTCCGGCATGGTAACTTCAGACTTGGCCATCACCAGCCACCTCTGGGGTTTTCCTGCTCCCCCAGCCGAGGATGAAGATGGCGCTGCAGGCTCGAATGGCTGGAAGAGGAAAAGAGCCTGATTGGCAGATTCCTCGCGAGAAATGCCTTCGCCACACGTTCGATAGATATCATCGATCCCGACCGTGCTGTTCTCAGTATACTGCCAGAAGTCATCCTGGGTTTGTAGGAGGAAGTCTTGGACGCGGCTTTGCATATCCACTTGGGAGCGCATCGGAAGAAAATTGGCACATGTTCCATTGATATTCTGAGGGTCAGGCAGGTCGACGTTTCGCCCCGTGTAGAGGTAGTCAAATGCGACGTCCCGCTGGCCACTGCGGAGGCAGAGCCAGATCTGGAAGATGGCCTGGAAGAGGATAGAGACAGTGACTCCGCTGGAGCGACTGAAGATTTCCAATTTATCATGTTCGATGACGTGAACTGCGAACGAATCGATGCTAGGGCGAGGTCGCTGCGGCTGTTGGGAAGTTTGACTAGGCTTTAATTGGAATTGAATTGGTTTCTTGTCTGGCTGCTGCCAGAAGGCCAGGTTTGGTCGCATCTGGTTGATCTGCCAGATGTGAAGAGCAAAGTCCTTAAACGAGGTGAAATTTTCCAGGGTCTCGCCGCGTTGGTACTTCTGGAAATGAGCATCGAATACACGAAGGAGGGTGCCGTCGTAGAGGCCGTGATCCAATTTGGTGACGATCTGGTGCTCGCCGTCTGCGAGGCGAAGGATAGCGTAGCGAATGAAGGGCTTTCCAAACACAAACTTCTCACTCCAGATGGAATCGAGAATCTTCTTTCTCTCCTCGGGGCTGTTGATGTCGTAGAACTCTACAACCGGAGTCGGATCAGGCAAAACCACCCCGTACCACTTTTCTTGGTGCTTGATGAACGTGGTGCGCAAGATATCGTTTGTTTCGGTCAGCCTCTTGACTAGTTCAATCCACTGAGTTGGATTTCCGCTATGACCCAGGGATCGGACTGTCATCAAACACCAAAAACCCTCTGGTCGGGCTCCCTGGGATAGGAATTCGGCCTGTCCCGGGGGACAGGGATAGATATACTCATAGTCATCACCTCCGAGACCGGCGGAGGAGATGATGAGATTCAACTCTGTTGGTGGTGAGAAGACAAGCGTTTGTGATATGGCTGCTGCTTCTTCGTTACTTTCGCACTGGAGATGCTCCGCCATCGACCTAAGCAGGGGGTATCTGAGTACGTCTCGCACCGTGATGCTGAGTCCCTTCCGTCGAAGCCAGCTGACGAGGTTGATGGCAGAGATAGAATCCCCGCCCAGACTGAGAAAGCTGGCCTCCAGGCCAAACCGAATATTCGGCAGCTGGAGGATCTCCATCCATCCTTGTTGAAGAGACTTCTGTTCGTCTGACACCACGGGTGTGATCTCTGCAGATTGTGATCCACGGACATTGTCAAAGGAGTATGGGGTGAGATCTGCCTGGCTCAGCGACTGTACTCGCGCCTTGAGCTCCTTGCGGTTCGCCTTCCCAGATGGCAGCAGAGGGAAGGAGCGAAGAGGCAGAATGAATTTGGGGAACATATAGAAGGCCAACCCGCTAAGGTTGGCTCTAAGCCTTTGCGCCTCCTCGGCAAACATGTCCATGGAGAGGAAACCTCCCTCCTCTTCGATGGCATTCTCTTTCACGCGATTGAAGATGACTGTTGCTACCAGATGGGCCGTATTGTTCTTTTTCCACACCGTGAGAACGCATTCCCGGACCTCGCCCGCTCGGAGGATCGCCTGCTCGATCTCTCCCAGCTCGATCCGATGGCCGTTGACCTTGACCTGGTCGTCCTTGCGGCCCAGACACTCGATATCGCCGCCCGGAATGTATCTGCCCAAGTCACCACTGCGGTACAATCGTTGACCGCCGCAGATCTCGCTCTCAATGAAAGCCGTAGCAGTTATGTCCGGCCTCTTGAGGTACCCCGACGATAGCTGAGGACCCCTGAAGCACAGTTCTCCCACCGCACCGTATGGAACTGGGCGAAACCCGTCCTGTTCCAGGATCACTGCGCTCACTGATTGGAAAGCTGTCCCGATATTACCCGTGCTCATGTTGGCGTTGACATTCTTCATTGTGACCATCACCGATGCCTCTGTGGGCCCATAGGCGTTGATTAGGGTGACCTTCGACGCCCAGGTCGTCACAACATCTGGTGTCAATGGCTCGCCACCTACCACCATCGATTCTAGTGTAGGGACTGTGTTGGGATCCAGCAGTCGGGCTACAGTGGGAGTCATGAATACATGGTTGACGCCCATTTCATTTATGACGCCCGCAAGATCACTCAGAAGACGCTCCGAGGAGGCAAGACACAGAGTTCCCCCGCTGTGCAAGGTGGCGAAAATGTCATAGACCGACGCGTCAAATATATAGTTGGAGAACTGGAGATGCTTGAAGGGCTTGCTCTGCCTTTTCTCAAAGTCAATAATGGATCGCATGGCAGCAGCGCAGCCGTTATGGTTAATCATAACCCCCTTCGGCTGGCCAGTACTGCCAGAGGTATAGATAATATAGGCAAGGGCAGTGGGTGAAACATCGACCTCAGATTTCTCCGTTGAATATGCGCATAGTGTGGCTGTATCGACCAAAACGAGGGGAACACTCTCGGGCTCGGAATCGAAGAACGAGGCGTGTTCAGTCTCTGTCAAAACTAATGTGGCGCCCACGTCTTGAACGATGAAGGCATTTCGCTCGACCGGGTTCTCTGGAGTCAGAGGCACATAAGCCGCACCGATCTTCAGAAGCGCCAGGATTGTTGTGATCATAAAGGGGGATTTCTCCAGGAGGACGGGAACGATGTCACCGGGGGCAACGCCACGTTCGGAGAGATAGTTCGCCATTCGGTTGGCCGTCTTATTTAGCTCGGCGTAGGTCAGAATTTTCTCATTTTGATAATTGAGAGCAATTTTTGACGAATGCTTCTCTGCAATGAGCTCAAATTGACCGTGGAGGGTCGTGGGATGTGGCTGCCGGTCTTCGTTCCATTGGAGAAGGAGATCTAACTCCTCTGAACTCATCATGCTGACGGATTTAATAACCAGTCGAGGAGCCTGGATAATTGTCTTAACTGCACAGCAGAACTGATCGAGAATGAACCCCAGACGACGCTGTTCCATGGTACCTGTGAGGGTGATCTCGATGCCCTCAACTCCCTCCTGGATGTTCAAGGTAGTATATTCGGTTATCCAGGCTGATTGTTTGCCCACAGTCTGAAACACTTCCCTGGTGATCTCATCCCTGTCTTGTTCTTGAACGAGGATGTTGACCATGGTATCGAATAGAGTAGAGCTTCCTTGGTGGCCAGCGGCCGCTAAAGCCCCCCGGATACCATGCTGCGAGTACTTGGTGATTTCCCAGAGATTCGCATTAACAGACTGTATCAACTCTAATAAGGAATGTTCGGGGTCGACAACCACTGCTTGAGGCACCACAGCGAGAGTAGGTCCATCGAGAGTTTCAATTCCTGGCACCGGCATCTCTCGCCCTGAGATTGCCATCGCCATAGTAACTGACTTGGATGCCGTGTGTGACGAGAGGATCAATGCCCAGGCAGCGTAGAATATTGCACTCTTAGGGATGTGGAGGGATACTACAGCCGACCTGAGATCCAAAGATAGCGTCTGCGTCACAGAAGACGTCTCTTGAACAGGAGAATGGTTCAGAATCGTAGGAGCCGCGTCGGCCAAATGCTGTCTCCAGAATTGATCGCACGCCGCCTTCTTCTGGGGCTGATCGTGCAAAAGCCCTACGAACGACCTCCACGATGCCCGCGGCTGAGGGAGTTGGCCGTAGTACAGGCGCGCAACATCGTCGAACATGAAGCCATGCGACCAGAAGTCAAAGAGTGTATGATGGACGGATACCACGAGGATAGCTTCGTTTAGCAGTGCCACTCTCATAAATGGCTCCCCGAGGGTCACACCATCGTTCTTGTCAGTCTCGAGGTACTTCACGAGAGACATTGACTCCTTTTTCCAAGGGATCGGGAAGTTGTGACGCACAACCTGCGCGAATCCCTTGGTGGCTGCCACGAAGGTGGACCGGAGAGTGTCACTGCGCCAAAAGACCACCTGAAACGCAAGCTGTAGCCTCACAAGATCGAGGTGTCGAACATCAAAGACTCTCTGATACAGATAATCTTGGTTCCCCTGGAGTGTGCTGGCAAGAATTCCTTCCTGCAGAGCCGTGGGAGGAAATGCATCAACCACTCCACGATCTGCCAGCAGCTCTGCCTTGAGGGTCTGATCCGATAGAAAAGCAAATGGCTCTGGCAGATTGAATTGATCGGGAGCCGCGCCCTTACCATTGGCCTCAGACGCATCGGCGATATCTTCCACACTCTGGGGCTGCAGCAGATCAGCCAGTTCGATATGGATACCCCGGGTGCGGAGTTCACGAATTGCTTTGATTGCTTCAATAGAAGTCCCGCCCAAGGCGACGAAGGAATCTGTGGGCAGAATGGACGAAGGGTGGAGATGAAGAACATTTGCCCATATCTCAACGATTTCCGAAGCAATCTCACTGAACATGTAACCTTTTCCCTCGGAGGAGGTCGGATCCCGGCCCAGAAGACTGTCAACATCGGCCGACTCTGCCACTGTCTGGATGGCTTTGAAGTCAATCTTGCCGTTGTGGTTTAGTGAGAATTCCTGGCATTGAAGCCAGTAACTGGGTACCATATATGGTGGAAATACTCGTCGTGCCTGGTCCCGGAGGACCTTCACCAGGTTAGCCCAACTCGTTTGGGGCTGGGGGATCACGGCTGCGACTAGAGACATCTTCTCATTGATTGACGCGCCGAGACAGACAATCTCAGCCACCCCATCCTGAGTGTGGAGCTTTTCCGCTATCTCCCCAGGCTCGACCCGCTGACCATGGATTTTGATTTGGTGGTCAATTCGGCCCAGGATCTGGAGGGTGTCATCGGATAGACGAACAGCCAAGTCCCCCGTTCGGAAGACAACGTTTGAGTCTAATGGATTCTTGACAAAGGTAGCAGTCGTCTCCTTTGGGCGATTGCGGTAGCCACTGGCAACCTGAGGCCCGGAGAGACAGAGCTCCCCTGGCTCACCCACGGGCAGCTGTCGAGTGGTACCTGGCTCCCAGATGACCGCCGTGGTGGTGTCGATTGGTCGACCAGGGTTTCGAGGATCATCGCCGTGTTGCAGCTGTCGGGAAAAGTTCAACTGAGCACATTCGCTCAGACCATACGACACCCGAAGGTTTACCTTATCCGCCCACATGTTGACAAGGTTTTGACTCAAGGGCTCCCCAACAGTGGTGATCTGTTTGAGACAGCTTTGGATTTCACTTGGAGAGAGCAATGATAGGGCTGACGGTGTAATTCCCAGCGCATCAATTTGAAGGTTTGTTAGTACTTCCGGTAATGCTGTTGCCAGACGATCCCGGCGAGCCAGGCACAAGCAAACACCCTTGGCCAGTGTCGTGAGTATGGTTCGCTGCGCCGCAGAAAAAACAGGGTTGTAGAATAGCAACCAGCGTTGTTGGCCGTTCAAGTCAAATTGACTTATTCCATGGGATGCGGCACGATGGCTTATCAACACCCCTTTGGGGGTTCCGGTGGAACCTGGATGAAAGAATATTAATTCCGAACAAGCAACAAACAGAAAGATCGATTTTGGGGGAGCTCTTCACCTGACGTATAGACTAGATATGCAAGGTCTGATGGACTGGCAACAGACCCATATAGAAGCTCTTTATGGGATGCTTCTGGTACCGTACTATCATTGGATAGGACTTTTTCAATGGACAGAGCTCGTTCAAAATTTGGTTCATATTTTTCATGAACGATCACCGCTCCGGCATCACAGTCTTCTGCAATGTCTCGATTTCGCTCCGCAGACCCATTGGGATCGAGCACCACGTATGCAGCACCACAGACCATGATTGCCAGCAATGAGGCCACAAATTCGGCTGTGGGGTCCATGCACACCGGAACGATATTGCCCCGAGCAAAGGGGGCCCTGGCCACAATTTGCTCAACGAGTTGCCATAGATCAGCGTAGGTGTACGGGTTCTCATCTTCGACGTGGACCGCAAATGCCTGCGGGTTCAGCTTTACTTGGTAACGAATGAAATCGGTGACTAGGCAAGGAGCAGATGGAGCCCTGGACGAGGAGGGGAAAAGGTTGACAGGTGCATCGAGGAGGGGATTATTGATATCTGCAGAAGCTATGGGAGCCATGATGTGCTGTGATCAAAGGGGGACCATATGCAACGCAGGAAAAAGACTAATATGTAATGCAGGAAGAAACTAGATTCTTGTCACTTATATTAATGCTAATGTGCTCCAAGGTTTATATAGGTTCTATATTGTGATCCTGCTGCCTACAACAGGACGCCTTTCCTCGCAGAACGTGCCTAGAGCAAGCCACTTTCAACAAGACATTGCTTCCATTAGCTCTCACTTCTTGGCGAGAGCAATTTCCGAGGCGTAATAATAGAATCTTACGTGCACAGATACATCAGTTGTTATAAATGTTGCCTATACAATCACCCTGCATTTCCCTCAAAGAGTAAACTAAGTGGGTATATAACGTCATACTCTGCTTGCCCACGCACCACTGTCCGTGTACATTTCTGACCATGCTCGATAGTAACGATGTCACAATTTCCTCTACCCAGTGTTGGAGACACTTTAGACGCTTATTCGATCCCTTAGGAATAGAAAATGTCTCTTACATGCAGGCATATATACACAAGGCAAGCATCCGTCTGGCTAGACTGCACCAATGCCTGAGCATATTGCTGACCATGTCCGGTAAAAACGATGTCGCCATTTCCTTAGCCCTCGGTGTTGGAGTCGTTTTAGATCCTCATTCGACCCACTAGGCATAGAACATGACTCTTACATGCAGGCATATAGATGCGAGGTTACATCTGGGTAGACTATACTCCTGCATGTCTGCTTTCGACCTCAGGGTCTTTTGACCTTCGGCCGGTCGAGTAATCTATATTAATGTTATAACCAAGCCCAGGATCTCAACTATTCCACTGGACTAAAAGAGGACTATATCTGATCCCATTGTGCTCCTAAACACCTTATATAGTAGCGCACTGTAATGTTAGGTGACGCACTACAACTGAATTAATTAACCAATCGCCATCAAGCCAACATGCGATAGTAATTAATCACGCAATAATATGTTCTCCAAGCCAATTAATCCTTGTCGTGATCCCAGTCGGCTGGGACATGTATGGAGAAAATGCGCCGGTTCCTCCGGAAGTGTACAAGCGGGCGCACGTTCCTGCACCTGTTACCATACATGCCGGGGCCTCGGACTGCTCACATGTCTCAAGGCTCCTGCTACCTTGAGGTTTCGGTGCTAGTCACGATACAGCCTCACAACTGTAGGCCAGGATAGATAGTCAAGCACTAGTAGACAGGCTTAAGCTTCCTTAGTTATATTCTTTTTAAATAATTTTGGTGGTTTTTGGCTCCACTGTATAATCCTCCCGCTATCGCTTATTACATATTAGTAGTGACTTTGGTACTCAGTAAGTCCATGTGTTGCTTCTAGTGACAAGCAGGGATACTATTTCTGGCCAGGTAGATTAATAGAAATACTACTAACAATCCACCGGCCGCGGCCAGGATGTAACATAGATCTGGTTGGAAACTGCGCTTGGGGATTAATTCTTAATGCTATGTGGAAATTAAATACATGCGGGGCCTACTATAGCTCCAGCCTTGTTGTAGTAACTCTAAAGTAGTTGGTATTATTAAGCTACACGTAATGAAAGATGTTGTATGTATATATAATACGTCTTTAACCCAGTAGGATGTACTGAATGTCACAATGATTATAATATAACGCTTCAGCATAGGAGCCCCAACGCTATGGTTGCATGGAACTTGCTATTGTTACTACAGCCTCGTCGAGCGTTCCGCATGCAAGCGGCGTGCCATTAAATCTATCCCGATTGGCTTAATCTGCAGCTAGGTTGGGATAGTATGACAGCCTGATTTTACGCCGTTCTAGTTTAATTTGGAGGCTGAGCGCCCCCGCCTTTTAAATTATCCGCCATGTATCGATCTACTATGTAGCATTAGTTGATCATTACTATTCATCTCTGCCCGAGGGTAAGTAAGGATGTGGAATATATACTAGCGTCTGTAATAAATCTGAATCACTTTTAATTATTCGGGATTCTCTGGGAAGGATTAACAAAAGTACTACAGAGTACTCGGATGCCTAACACTGGCTAGCAAGAGGGAATAGCTCGCTTAGCTTCGACGGTGTCAATGTATAAAAACCCGACTGAACACAACATAGAGACCTATTCTCAGCTCCAACCCCTGCATCGAGTCTAAATTTCCACTCCATATTTTCAGTCAGTTACAATGGTTGAAGCACTTGCCTTTTCCTATGGGGCCCCGAACCCAATTGCCAGCTTGCACCTGGCTAACCCGCCTCTCCCCGACTGCGGGCCAGGACAAGTTTTGGTGCAGTTTCTGGCGGTTCCCATTAACCCATTGGATTTTTTCGTGATCGAGGGCAAATACCCTGTCAAACTCCAAAGTATCTACACCAACGAGGCGGGCGAGCAGCTCGCTATTCCTGGTTCGGATGGCGCCGCCCGCATCTTACAGACCGGGTCAGCTGTCAGCGACTTTGGCGTTGACGACATTGTCATCCTTCGAACGCATTGTCGGGGCACCTGGAGAACCCATGCCGTGCTCGAGGAGGACGATCTAATTCGTATTTCATCCACTATTAACCCACGCCTCGCGTCCCTGCTACGGATGAGCGTGGCCCCCGCATATTTCTTACTGCGGGAATATCAATCGCTCAAGCCTGGCGACTGGATCATCCAAAACGCGGCCACGGGCACGATCAGCCATTTTGTCTGCCAATTGGCTCTATTGCTCGGGGTGCGAGTTATTAGCATCATCCGCAACCGATCAAGCGCCGATGAACTGGAGCGCACAAAACGGTCGCTGCGTTCCCATGGCGCGTCATTAGTGCTGACAGAGGACGAACTCAGCACAAGCACTGCCCTCCAGGGGAAAAGGATTACCCTAGCCATCGACTCAGTCTCGGATGATATATTAGCACGCACTATGGCGGCATGCATGATCCCGGGAGCCACATTAGTGACGGCCGGGTTCCTCGGGGCTGCGACAGCTCGACCCGATCCGCAATTGCGCCAATTTCTATGGCAGAAAAATATTACTCTCAAGGCGTTTCGGCTGAGTGACTGCCTTAGCAAACGGGACTTGACACAGCAAACCGCGCTGTTCGAGTGGTTTGGGGACTTGTTCGCTCGCAGAATCCTGAAGGCCCCAGCGCTGGAATACGTGCAGTGGAAACAAGGGTCCGAAAGGCGGCTCCAGGATGCTATTTGGAAACAGGAGCAGGGATGGGTTGGCCAACAGAAGACAGTTCTTGTGTTTGAAGTGTAGGATTCTTAGGTTACGAGGTTAGGTTCGTTTATGCAAGTAAGGTCTATCGGGCCATCAGGCTCTACTAGATTAAGGTAGCGGTATAAGCCTGCTATGTATTCAGAAACATTCAGAACACGAATTTGTTCATTGTACTAAGCTTTATATCCTTTTGCTTATTTCCTATCATCCTTGTAATTGGCCCCTCACGTCTCTGTTTCGTAACTAATTGTGGGTGGGTGGATCCTGTCACTTTACTCCGTAAGGCTCTGCCCGGCCCACTACAGCCGCAAGTGGAACATTTAATACAACTACCACAACAAGAAATCACGCAACCCTCTGGCCCCCTCTCGTCTTATTCAACGCCTGCTGCACGGTAAGTCCGAAAAGCCGAAGAGCTCATCGATGACAAATGCTCGCAATTCAGCCTTCAGCCTTGGAATTATTCTTGGGGAGAATAGCTCTATATTATAAACTAATAGGCTTTCATTGCATTGTTATACCTTATCTATCTCACCCATTCCGAGAACGATCCATACGGTATTTAAGCTACTGTAACCTGGCGCCATGTCTCTTCCTTTGCACGAGGACTTGTTTAATAGGCCCACCACTCCGCCCGCCGTACTGATGACCGACACCCAGGCATCAGATACCAAAAAACAAACGCCCTCGAGGCCGGCTGACTCGCCTCCCCCGCCGCCCGATGGCGGACTGACCGCGTGGCTACAGGTTGTAGGAGCGTTCTTTCTTTTCTTTAACTCATGGTGAGGATTCTTAGGTTGAAGAGATTAAAAATAAAAAGTATCTATCGCTAACCTCTCGAGGTACAGGGGCCTGCTTAATGCCTTTGGCGTCTTTCAGAGCTACTATCAATCTGATCTTATCCCCAGCTATTCTTCTTCCTCCATCACATGGATCGGCACAGTGCAAGGGTTCCTCCTCTTTCTGGTGGGTGTTATTGTGGGCCCCATATTCGACAAAGGGTACCTCCGAAGCCTAGTCGCCATCGGGGCTTTCCTGGTTGTGTTTGGTCTGATGATGACCTCCTTGTCGACCAAGTACTACCAACTCTTTCTAGCGCATGGAGTCACCGTGGGTATTGGTTGCGCCTTTTTATTCCTGCCCAGCATTGCCATTGTGGCCACCTACTTCACCTCCCATCGTGCAGTCGCAACCGGGATCACCGCGTCGGGCGGAAGTATCGGCGCAGTAATCTATCCTATCATGTTCCATAAACTGATTGACCAGGTCGAGTTTGCCTGGACGACGCGCATCATCGCCTTCGTGGCCCTGGCCGGTCTGAGCGTATCGTTACTGGTGTTGAAACGACGACTGCCTCCACCCAAGCAGAGCCGATCACTCCTCGACCTCGGCGCACTGAAAGAAACACCGTTCCTAGTGTTTGCTTTCGGGCTCTTCTGTTCCTTCGTGGGACTATACTACCCGTTCTTCTACCTGCAGAGCTACTTCACCTCTTACCTCCACGATGACAGCAGCCTGGCCTTCTACATTTTTTCCGTGTTGAACGCCACCTCAGTCCTAGGCCGTATCACCCCCGGTCTGCTGGCCGATCGTGTCGGCGGACTTAACATCCTCGTTCCTATTAGTCTCCTGGCGACTATTCTGGCCTTCGTGTGGATCGGTATCCGCGACGTGGCTGGAGCCGTTGTCTTCGCCTGTTTCTACGGCTATGCCTCGGGAGCAATTGTCTCGTTACCCCCGTCCATTCTCACGCGCATGTCCCCCAACATGACCGTGGTGGGCACGCGGCTAGGTATGATCTTCATGTTTGCCGGGTGCGGATTCCTGATCGGCACCCCGATCGCGTCCACTCTGTTGGATTTGGCGAAGGCGGAGTTCTGGAAGGCGCAGCTCTTTAGTGCCATGTTTGTGGCTGCAGGGACAATCTGCTTTGTGATTTTGCGGATGATGTTGGTGAAAAAGGTGGATGGTTGGAAGATTTGAGTTCCCCGACACACTTAGGAAGGAGTTGCACTGATTTATTAGCATTGGGCGAGACGAGAAAAGGGACCTGTTAATTGCCATCTTACCGGACTTTGCTGGCCCAGTGTCAGAATAAAGCTAGTCCATATTGGGACATCATGTGAATATATATACCCAATACTCCTCATAGAGGGGTTGGGCAGAAAATCCTTCTGAATACAATCACTTCAGACCCCCCAATAAAGCAAACACCCAGACATGCAGCAAAATAAGAACCAGACTATTTTCACACCCGCTAGTCCCGTTTAGGATAGCTCCTGACGGCTCCGACGTCCGCCAGCCTCTGCGATAGCCACGTAGTCGATATAGTTAGTGTTGTGAATCTACAGTAGGTCAGAGTAACTGGCATTGAATAGAGAAAAATATGCCATTGAATTGGATGAGCGAACTTACTTAGTATACAGGAATTTGCCTGTGGGAAGACATATAAGCGAGGACTTCGCTGATCCTTGGGGTAATCCTTCGGGCCGATCCCATATTCACAACCGTTACGGAGTAGTTACAGATACGAATGATACAAAATAACTGTTACATTGTATGACATCACAGTAGTAGTAGTAGTATTCATACACCGACCCCTCGCCTTGGGCGATATGCAGGATCTCCCTATCCTATCTATATGTATACTTTCCTTATATACATTGAACCATTTCTTTCCTGACGAATTTGGAGCCTCGTCAAGGCCTATGTTGGCCTAGTTGCCTGGTGTTCTGTTCTGCGGCCCCCGTGGCGCGCGACTTCGAAACCTCTGGGACGCTTCTGCAAAGTCCAGTACAGCACCTAGGACGCTATTATCTTGCAAGCGATACTATCTGTTGCAAAATTGCATTGCCAGTTCTCTTGGACACTTCCTAAAAGTTCCTTGGCGCGGGAGCTAGACCGACAACAGTTAATACTATTATTGTACTGGATTATGTTTAGGATTTTTTTTTTTTTTCTCTTTTTTTTTTGCGGTCTTCCCTCTTAATAATATTGGGTGTCGTCCGGTCGATGTTGAGGCTCCTCACTGGTGGGAGCCTACACCCTCCCAAGAATCGGTCCGTTCCGCAGCCCACAAAAGAGTCCCAAGGCCCGTTCGAAACAACAATATGGAAGGGCTTTTCACTTTGCCTCAACAATTTTTCAAAAGGCCGCTCCGCCAGATTTTCTTCGCCGTACTGTAAGCAGTCGGCACGAAGATCATTAGAACGTCTTAAGGTATCGATTGATGGGCAGCGAATAATACGAGTTTCCTATTTTAGCGGGGTGATTACGCAAACTCGGAGACAAGGCCGTAGGCACTGCCCTGTTCAGCCACACGGGCTTAAAAACCTGTTTCCCTCAAGTATGCTCCATGTAGGTGGGTCTCCCGAGATTTAGGATTCTATATACTGGATATCATTAAAAGATTCCAGACCATATGTTTATCTTTTGAAACTATGACCGCAACAAGACAGTCGAGACAGAGATACGATGGTCCTCGGCACGCGGGTACTTCCCAGCCAGAAAGGTAAACCATCCTCATAAGTCAGTCAAAGGATGCTAATCAAAACAGTTCGAACGAATCAATACCGCTAGATACCTATGACCAACAAGACGACTCCGACATCGATGACGTTATTCCCACCGAACGCCCGAAGTCGAAGGGATGGGTAAAAGGGGTCTACCTTTGCGCCTGGTCCAATACAGGAATCCTATTACTGAACTTGATTCTCACGATGATTGCCTACGGAATAGCTCATGCCAATAAATCTAAAGAATACATAAATGAAAGCCCTTTCTTCGGCATTCTCTACCAGGGGAAATGCGAGGTAACGAATGCGTGGTCGACGTGGTTACCGGTAGCTATCAACATCCTGAGTACGGCGATGCTGGCAACGAGTAATTACTGCATGCAGTGCCTGAGTGCGCCGTCTCGTGGGGATATCGACCAGGCTCATTCGCAGGGGATGTGGCTGGACATTGGTACTTTCAGTGCGAGAAATCTACTCCTGCGAAGCAGGAAGCAGCAAACATTATGGCTTTTGCTGCTTGTAACGTCGGCGCCAATACATCTAGTGTGAGTTTGCCTTCACCCTGCGGGTAGGGAAATATTAATTGTAGCTGGTTGGTCGCACTAGATATAACTCCGTCATCATATCCTCTCTTGGGGCAGTTAACTATGGGGTTGTTGTGGCGCCTGTCGATTTTGGGCCCGAGGACTCATTGATGGGTCCCGTGGCAGGCGGGTTCGAGTTCTACATGCATCAGACCTACGAAAGCCTGGAGGCTGAAATACTTGAAAAGAAACTGGAGAATCTGACAATAGAGCAGTGTGTCAAAGAGTATGCCATTGACTATCCCCTCAAACGAGGCAATCTCGTGGTTATGGTGGATCGCCAGGAGCTGTATGGGTATAAAAGCCGGTTCGCTGGGCTCTCCTCACCCGCAAATGACCTCGATCATGACACACACATGTGGATGTGTAGTGGACTAGAAAGGCTACCACCTGTATGTTCCAAAGAAATAGTCCTTGAGCAAGTCAAGTCGGGAAACTGGTCTGTATACGGGCGTCCTTGGGTGCACATCAATTGGGCATTGCATGTGGAACGGCCGGACGGAACAAGGATTGAGATCGGGAGCTGGGATACCCAAGCGATATTGCGCGGCGTTGCCGCGAATAGTTCCCTAACTGCTGATGTGGAGACTCTGAGAACGTACTTGGACAAAAATGATCCGAGAGAGCCCCGTTTGGATGAGGATACAAGACTTTTAAGGGAATTTTTGGATGACTCTACTAACTGGAAAAACAGCACCTGGGCGGCAAATACGGATTTTGGGCTTTACAAAGGCATTATGCCCTACGACGCGTGGAGGAGCGGGCATAGGGTCTCACCGCCGGCTCGTATACGTTCCTGCCTCAGCAAGAAGATGGAAGATAACTGTCAACTCTGGTTTAGTTTACCCATTGCGATGGCTGTGTTGCTCTGTAGTGCCACGAAGGTGGCCTGCATGTTCCTAACAGCACAACAAGATCGGCCCGAAATGCTTCTAACCGTTGGTGATGCCATGGCTTCATTTCTAAAATCTCCCGATCCATATACAACCGGAAGGTGTATGATGTCAAAGGATGACGTGGTTCGTGGGCCGCAATCCTGGCAGCATAAAGGACGACCGCTCTTCGAAGGTCTGCGACGACTTTTCACAGGGAATAATAAACAACCCCAAGATATCGGTCGACGAACCTCGAGCAGAGTCTTCCCTGAGGTACTCCCAGACCGACGGAGATGGCTGCATGGAGCCGGAATCCGACGTTGGTGTACTACAATAGCCTGGTAAACGTGTATCCAGCCCTTCTTGAGCCATGCCTAACAGCCATAGCACACTATCCTACCTCATGATCACTGTGCTCTTCCTCAGATCTGGAATCTCTAATATCAAAGCCCAGTCTCGCCCTACTTCACCCTCATACCTCTGGAAACTTGGCCTCGCCAATCCGAACTCAACTACGAGACTTGGAACCGTTCACGCAGATCCGATGATTATTGCATTGCTCGTGAACACACCGCAAGCCATACTCTCGACCATCTACCTCCTCTGGAACAACCTATTCACGCGGATGCTCCTCGCAGTTGAGTACAACGATTTTGCATCGGAGCGGAAAGCCCTACGCGTCTCGACACCTCAAGGCGACCAACGTTCAACATACTTCCTCAGTCTACCGTACCGATACGCAATACCACTGACGGGGACATCGGCACTCCTACATTGGCTTGTGTCCCAGAGCTTTTACTCCGTGCAACTTGTTAAGAGGAACACCGTCAGCCACCATCTGGGTTACTGGACGAGTTCTGTGGGATATTCGCCTATTGCCATGATATTTTCCATCGGGGTGCTGGCCCTGGCGATCATAGCGATGATTGGCATCGGTTTGCGCAGATTGAAAGCTCATATGCCGATTGCGGGGACTTGCAGTGCTGCCATAAGTGCAGCATGTCACCCCCCTATTGGGGATGAGGACGCTGCATCCAAGCCTGTGATGTGGGGAGAGGCTCCGAGAGATGAAAATACCGGGGAACGCGCGAGATATGCGCATTGTAGTTTTACATCGATGGATGTGAACTTGCCGAATTTAGTGAGACTTTACAGTTGACACAAACTGTTGGGAGCATACGGTCAATTTCATAGGCGTTACCTTGTCATCTCGACCTCCTGCTTCTATGACCAACTGGAGACACTTGCGGGCAATCAGAGGGCCTCATGTGAGCAACTGTCCATTGAACACTTAGCTCGGGCAGAAAATAAGTGCTGATTACACCTAAATTACAAAAAGATACAAGCCTGACTGCTCTACCCACACTGTCTCTATTCTCACGCAGTGGCCTGATACAGTGCAGTATCCTCTCGTGCAAGGCGGCTATTATCAATGATTACCTATTACCTTGGAGCTACGACTTCGTGTTCCTTTCAAAGCTGTATGTGCTGTTATCTGATCTTTTAATATCGAGAAATTGACTTGTACCAAAGTTGCATGGCTGTGTTTTATGGTTTTATGTAGCTTACTTTGTCTTGAAAAGTATGGGATGCCAGGTTAAGCTCAGGATTTCCCCATAGGGAGTGAACTCTTTGATTATTATCCAAGAGACTCAGTTGGTTGAGATACTGTGATTCCTGGAACGATCCTGGTTTTTCCACTGAATGACATCTACTTCCTAGTTAGGCTAGTTGGCCTGTAGCTGATAGAATAGCTCCCTGCGCATAACTTCCCCTGAATTCCACAAGAAGTTTGCAATTTCTTAGAATCCTGCACATTAATGCAATTTCAACATCTAAATTCCTAGAGCCATGCATTATTTATGTTTAATACAAGATGAGAATACAAAAAGGATATACGTATACGTCGCTTTTAATTAATTTATTTGCTCTGTGATATCTGAAATTAAATTATTCCAGTTCATGGCGAGGTTGTGGCGATGTGTGCTTATTAGTTGAATCTAATTCTTGATGGTTACGGGCTGCCGATAACTCTGAAGGATTTGCAGCTTGTATTGTACTTTGGTATACTTTTGTTTTTGCCTCCTGACGTTTTCGAAGCACGATATATATGCCCACCGCGATAAGAAATATAGCACCAGCAGCGACGCCAACGCCAATGCCTGCCCTAGCTCCGGTTGGAAGAGAAGATGTAGCAGGAGATTGTGTCGCCCTATCTGGTGGGCTACTCAAAGCTGTAGTAGTAATGGGAGAGGTTGTTCGTACGGTTGCTGATGTAGCTGTGCTTGAAGGAATAGAAGTTGTCATACCAGCGAACCAATATGTCTGCAGGTCGCTAGGAGCCAATGCACTGAAGGACTCGTTGGAAGGAGCCTGGCAGTTTGGTTCCTTACCAGCACTGCAGCATTTCCATATGTCATTGTCGGTATCGTAGACAATATCGGGATAACGGGTACCAGCTATTTTAATAAAAAATCAAAAGTAATTAGATCATGGTTTTCTGATTCTCAGCTTCGTTGTGAAAAGCTTGTTTATACTTACCACAGCGTTCAGCACATACGGAAACATTCTCTGTGTCACCGAAGTCTTCCGCATTTGCCGAACAGCCGGCGGAATAGTAACCGCTTCCGCCAATTAAGGTGTGGGTATAGGAGCAGATATTGTCGGAGAGACAGTAGTCGCCAACAACACAACACGGCATTACTTTGTCCGTCTCATTTATTGGGCCACATGGGGCGGCAGGCCTTATTATCATGCCCGATGGCCATGTACAGGTAAATGTTGTATTGAGCATTTAGGCAACAAAAGATGGCAACTAACAGAATGAGAGAGTGTCAGGAGACGTAATATTCCGCCGCCTTTGCTTTCTCATCCCTCCTTTATCTCTTCATCTGGTCACTGTTACGGAAATATGATGATCCACCCTCTTGGCCATGCGGGGATCGATCCCATTCAGCCCCTGAAGCCTTAGTTGAACAATAAATCAAACACCGTTGAGCATCAGAGTGCATCAATAGGAATACAGTCGATTCCTGGTGTTTCCACGTATGGCATCTATTTCCTAATTAATCTACTGGTTGACGCGTAGCTGATGAACCGCTGCCTGCGTCCCATCTATTCCCCTGAGCCCAGAGTTCACAACAGTTACCGGACCTTGGTTAGCGGTAATTAACTATTAGGGAGACCCCAGTCAGACCCCAGTCAGGGGAAGAGGCTTAGTAAGGAAAATACGTGCAAGTGTTTGATAACTAATTATAGCCAAATAATCAGAGCGTGTTGCTTATGCTCAGAATTGTTGTGGAACTCAGAGGAAGTGATACGCAGGGAGCTATTCTATCAGCTATAGGCCAACTAGCCTAACTAGGAAGTAGATGCCATTCAGTGGAAACACCAGGAATCGCAGTATCTCAACCAACTGAGCCTACTAAGCGGTTCCCTATATTCTCATTGAAATGTTCTTCTATCTAAAGGATTGATGGGTAGAATGGATAGTTAGATATTTCCGCACCGCCAAGTCGGTCGGATTATAGTGTTTCTGTAACAAGAATGAAGTATCTACACTATCTAATCAAGCCCAAAGCTGCAACAGCTTATGTTGAATATACTATCACATACCTACTAGTTTGTATCAAGAGTTCCGGGTCACTTGAGCCTGAAAGACATTGTGTCAAATATTGCTACGAGCTTCGCTCGCCATCGCCCTAACGGGTGATGCTCTATAGCAAGATGCAAAACTAGTGTAACTACGCGAAGGCACAGGAGTGTGAGCAAATGGGGTTGAACAATCGCCCGCAGAGCTCAGCTGACCAACAGTTTATTTGTGCCTGTATACGCTGTACTATATTTAGAGCACTGTTTATTGGCTGCTCAATCTTCTTGCTCCTGCAGTGGCTCTACCAGTTTTGCTTTATTTATCTCCAGTCGAGCTGTCCACTAAATTTATCAAATTGCCCGCGTTATCCCGCGTCATTTTTTCTGTGGTGACTTTCCTCAACCCCGTAGCTTTTCATTCAGACTCATTCAAGCCCAGTGCCTCATCTACCGGCACCGATTAGCACAAAGTCCTGCAGCATAGAAGTCTGTATGCAAAGCCTAGGAAAAATAAAAACCAAGATCTTTCACATGAACTTTGCGAGAGATTAATCACCACAATCCGAACCCTGCCTTCATCACATGGATCTTAGTGCCAGTTATCTTTGTTTCTATTTGTAAGCACAAAGTCATTTCCCTTCGCGGTATGGGTCATCCCGGGCTCAACGGTATTATGGGCTCAATGACACTTTTTACCACTACACCAATTTCTTTATCAATTTTCTCACTACCACCATGCCTGAAAACTATTCAGAAGTTGAAAATCGAATCACTAATGCTCTCAGCGCGTATTCCGATCGTGACAAGCCCCAAATCAAAGCATTGGCGCGGGAATTTGATGTTCCTTATAGACGGCTGCTTCGACGTGTTCATGGCCATAAATCTCGTTCGACACGCCCTGCTTCCAATAAAGTTCTAGATAATGCACAAGAACAGGCATTAATTAGATGGATATCTCTTCTTGATGATGCATGTGCTGCACCAACACCTGCAATGATTGAGAGGTGTGCAAATGAGATATTGGCGCGCAATGGTAAAGATCGACGTGTTGGTAAAAACTGGGTCTACAGCTTTATTAAACGCCTTCCAGAACCCTATAAATTTACCAAGCAAAACCAAAGGAGAAGAAAAGAATAGCAGCAGAGAATATCTGTACTATTTCAATCTGGTTTGACAGGCTGGAAATACTGTTTAAACGCCATAATATTGGGCCTGGAAATATCTACAATTTTGACGAATCTGGCTTCCAGCTTGGCCAGGGAAAGTCCCAGAAAGTTGTTACAAAAAACAAGCATACTGCAGCATATGTCGGAACTGGAGGAGTAGGAGAATCAGTTACAGCAATTGAGTGTATTGCTGCAGATGGTTGGATAATGCCCCCATTCTTTCTCTTCAAGGGCCAGTACCACATGGAGCATTGGTATAGGAACCAGCCAAATCTTCCAGATAATTATTATATTGCTCCAGCTGCAAATGGCTGGACAAATAATATTATTGCTTATCAATGGCTTCAATTTTTTCATGAACAGACAAAGCATCGTGTTCAACGTGGATCTTACCGCCTGATCCTAATGGACGGCCACAAGTCCCATCTTACAGAGGATTTTGCTCGATTTTGCCACCAGAATTATATTATTCCTTGGTGCTTTCCGCCAGATCTTACACATCTTCTCCAGCCTCTGGATGGTCATCCATTTCAGGTGTATAAGCATTATTATCGGAGGGCTAATAATGCTACTGTACAGTGGGGTGGCTCTGTTAAAGAAAAGTCGGATTTTCTGCGTGATATTCATACTATTCGAATGCAGACTTTTAAGGGTTCTACTATACGGCATGCATTTAGAAACTGCGGGATTTATCCATTAAAGCCTGATGTTATTCTCCAGCCGCTTCAAGACGCAGAATCCCCTGTTCCTGATCTGGTTGTTTATGATGGTAATGAGACAACAGAACTACCAATCTGGGGTCAAGAAGCTCAAGAAAAGACTCAAGAAGAAGCTCAATTAGAAGCTCAACTAGAGGCTGAGCTAGAACCTCAACCAGAAACTCCACCACCTTCAAGCTCTACAACCAACTCTCCACCAACAACAATTACCAAGATGCGGCGGAGTATTGCCAAGGCACAGAAAGATCTTGCTGCACTTCAAGCACAAGCTGATGCAGCTGCAGAATCTAGCAATTTAGTTAGTATAAATACTGATAAAATTGCTGCTCGTTTTGAGCGCATTTGGCAGGGTAGTCTTACCAACACAGAACTTGGTGAACAGCGTGAAGCAGACATGACCCGTATTCTTGCCAACCAGGAGCATCACCAGGCTCGAAAAACTCGTCGCCAGGTTCGAGCAGGAGGTCCTTTATCTGTCAAAGATGCAAATAGCCTTATTCTGTCCCGTGAAATAAAAGAGGCAGAGAAAGAAAGACAACGGTGGAAGCGGAGGGCTAAGAATGCCGCGGATAAACTAGCACAGAGGGCCACAAAAGAGGGATTCGGGGATGAAAATAGGGATGAAAATAATGGCTGGGTGGCTGGAGATGATGGTCAGCCTCTATATTGTATTGATTATGGCCCAGGGAGGGAATAAATAGCTTCGACGTGGCCATGAAGGGTAAAAAGTGTCATTGAGCCCATAATACCGTTGAGCCCGGGATGACCCATACCGCGAAGGCGGTGTGGGTCAGAGGTGACGGGTACCTCCACCCCACGCGAAAGCGTCTCAGTAACCTCTTCCGCTTCTTCATCGGTCGGTGAACTAATTCAGAAAGATGGAAGTCGATAATCAGGGCCCGTCCAAGCTCAGCGTTCCACAAAATATTATCCAGGCGAAGGTCCCGGTGCCTAACTCCTAGGGAACGAATTTCCTTCTTGGACCTCAGGATCTCACGCATCAATCCGTTGTCATGTTTGATTTCGCTAATACTCTCACATCCCCAGGCCATAATTAACATGTGACGAATCTCTCCGGCCCCATGTAAGAAGTAGATCTTGGCCAAGTCGATCGCCCCGAGGAAGACGGGTAACGCAGACCCCTGTGCTCGCCGAGTATACGGTACACCTCAGCTTCGCGCGAGACCTCGTTCCAGAGTCGAGAGGTTGTTCCCTTACCGACAACAGTATACCCATATGCAGTACACGTGATCTTGAACGTTGCCATTCTTGCGTTGAAAAGTGTATGCACAGTGCATGTGTGTGAATTCATCATAGAAGTAACGACACCATTGATGTCCATTATATGCAGGTTTTATTTGAATAAGATCAAAGTGGACATATTCAAAAGGGTTGGTCGCTTTCTTCGATGATCGTTGAGAGATTTGTTTGGTGTGGTGCATAGGAAACTAAGCAAGTCTGGCATTTCTGATTGGCGCCTTTTAATTGGTTGATTTGCATTCCTGTTGTTGCCCCTGGCAAGTGCTGAATTGCTTCATGGCTTAGGTGCCCCATTCGGCGGTGCCCTGTGTCTGCGTGTCCGTCCAGAACTAGGGTTTTTTTCGGACCTTTTTAAGTGCTTTCAGTGCATAGGCTTGCTCAGATGGCTGAGACTCTTCGACTACCCATAGAACTTGAACTGTTTTTGGTCTGCAGATCTCCTTTCGATCAATTTTCCTGCAGATTCGGTCGTTGTTAAAATCCTATATATAACCATCTTCTTTCATGCGGTGAGCAGATAGAATATTGATATGGAATCCTGGGACATATGCAACCTGTTGGAGACTAATCTAATTTGCCTTTTTAGGGAAGATTGTGACTGTCTGTTGCACATTCATACTTGTCGGAACTGCATAAGTGGTTCTCGGCAGCCAGCATAGTTCGTTCGTCCATACTTCGAACGTTTGACCTCGTCGACTTCAATCTTCAACTTTACACTAATCAACGGAATACCGTAAGTTCTTCCTCTGAGCTTTCGTGTTTTACACTGTCCCTAGGCCTTGAATTGCCATCGTTGAGTCTCCTGCTCGAAGGGTTCCTTCAAATGCGGGATTGAATGATGTAAACCGCGAATAATTGTTGCAAACATAGATAGATGTACCTGAGTCCAAAATGGTGCTATCTTTCAATCGATAGGATGAATCCGTTGAAAAACTGGTTGGGATAACTGCCATAACATGGTGTTCATTGGTATGACTGTCCTGTTTTTGATCCTTTTGGGTTCTTTCGATTGCACGTTTGATCTGCTGATGCTTTGGAATTGAAGGAATCTGGATTGTTGGATTTGGCTGCCATCCTGAGGGTCGAAGTGCTTCATTGAGGTAGTAGCATCGGTGGAAGAAGTGGGTTCGTCCACATATACAGGGATTCCGGGGTTGATTTAAGCTTGAATTCTTGTCAGATTACTTGGTATCTGATTCATGATCTGACTGGCCCTTTAGTGTTGCGTATGCAGCTTCAAGCTTGGAAGACTGTCTAATCTGCGTAGTCCACGCAATATACACGAAATTCGCTTAAAATCTCTGGTAATTCAAATGATTCATCCTTATAAAGGACATTAACATGGCGTTCAGCCCAAGCTGGTGAGTGTTTCGCAATTGCATCGAGGAAATCCTGTGCAGCATAATCACCTTTGGCTTCTGGTAGATTCGCAGATTGGCATTCATAATGTGCTACTTCAAATAATGCAAGCCATTGGTCTAAATTGGTGTTGTTAACTAGTGTATCCCGTGCCTTCTTATATCTTGCAAAGATAGACTGGGCGATTTGTCTCTTCGTTGGTTCGAGCTGTCTCTTTAGTGATCTAAGGATCTGGTAGGTTGAATCCTTAGAAAGGCGATGCACTAGTAGAGTTAAAACGGGGCTTTGAATAGTTTCATGGACAGCTACAATCCCTTGTTTGATTTAATCATACTGATTCTTTTGGGCATTGTATAGCTGCATTCGCATCTTCCAGAAATCAAAGTAAATAGGATCATTCGGCATATCTAGGATTATTAGATCCTTCAGAATTCCAGATAATTGGCCTTCTAGTATGTTAGGATTAATGTAATTCCATACATCTCTTGTCTTTGCTTGGTTCTGAATGAGGCTGTACCAAGCTCGCCAATCATCCTGTGATTTCAAAATAGTGGAGACCTGTGGGCGCTTCGGTGCTTATTTTGAATGGTTTAATGTGATTGCTTCCAGGGGTATGGAATGCGTTGCTTTCGCGCATTTAAACGATTCGATTCACGGGTTGGATTGGTGGAATATCGCGTACATTGAATTCAGCGGGAACAGTGCAGGGAAAAGGTCTGAATAGCTTCAAAGTTTCCTATTCAGGGTGTATAACCGGGCTCATAGCTGTCGGTCAGCTGAATACGCGTATGAGCTAGTATCACTAATCTACGGATAAGGATCCATCTATATTGAAAAGTAAAGTCTCTAACTATCTGTTAGAGCTCTACTTGATTATGTCGGTTGTGTACTGGGCCTTGTTTTTACCCCTCTTCAGTCACATGATCCTGGCCACGTATAGCCATTTTATTTGACACATGCTTATGTACTTGGACAGCCGAGTAAGCGGGGGTAAACCATGAGCATAGCCCCAATTGGCTGTTTATCATGACGGCTTAGCACCCTTCGGGGGTTTGCTATATAAGGCGATGGGCATATCAAGTACGGCGTACTTGATATTCTGGTCCTTTTGTGGCTCAGTGGTTAAGCACAATCGGTTGAGATCCTAGAAGCCCACCTATGAACAAGGCCGTGACAATGTTGACGGAAAGTATTTGCGACCATTGTCGAATACTTTGAATGTATAAATAAATCCAATAGTAAATGCACAGGAAAATGTTTTGAAACAATACCGAAATGGTATAGAGCTAAGTTTACCATTAACATCACAGAACAATACAGCGCACAAAAACCCCAAAAATGGTATCTAGCTAAATAGCCAAAATAGCCCTAATACTCCAGTGGCCTCTGATGAACCCTGGCCATGTGCTCCCTAAGGTTATCCTCCCTATTGAAGGATTTGGTGTGGAAATTGAAATCAAGGTCCTTATAGTCTATCGTGAAATCTGCTGACAGTCCATAGGTTGGAAGAGTCTCAACAAAGGAAGCGGAAGAAGCGGTGGATGCTGAATATTGACCAAACCCACGGCTCCATACAGAACCTGCTTGGGGCTCTGGGCTGTCTCCTCGGAAACTGAGGGTGGTGGAGGGAAGCGGAGCAATTGTTTTTTTTCTACTGCTAATGCCATTCCGAGAAGTAGAATTCTTATCGCAGGAGTAGATGTGTGTAATATGCTGTCCGGTCATGACAACGCCATTCCCCGGAGACGAGTCATTTTCAAAAGTAGTCGGCGATTCGTCTTCCTCATCACTGTCTGCCTTGACTGCAACGCACTGCACCACCTCGTTGTTAAAATGGACGTGGTGCCTAGGTGAGCCGAAACCAGCAGATGACGTATTGGCCGGGGTGCCAATAAAAGGAGTTTGCGGGGAAACACCAGAAACTTGCCTCAGGCTCTCCCCAAGGTTTGACTTGTGACAGTTGGATGATGTACGATTACGGTCATTATCTGTTTTCTGTGCCTTCAGACTTGGCCTAGCATATAGTAAAGTCTGCTGCAATAGGGGTTGTTTTGGAATAGCTTCAGAGAGAGTTCTCTTCTTCAGTATTGGCTTTCTGTCCTGTTGGATGGCTGGCATGTCAGGACAGCTTGGAAGTGGTGAGGCCTTCGAGACATTCCTGGGGTTCCTAGATGTTTTAAATGGACCATACAGCCATGTCACATCAGATTCTTTCAACCTGCAAGGACTCATTAGATCCCGGAAATACAGCAACAGAACAGAGCTGTTCTAGAGTACACTGACCAATTAAGTGTTTTGGGCGAGACTTAGACTTCATCAGAGCCCACGAAAGCCCAAGCCCAACCCAACCCAACCCACTTGTGGGCTGGGCTTTGGGCCAGGTTCTAGGGCCCATGATAGGCTATGGGCTGAGCCCAGGGGCCCACGGCCCACAGATGGGGCCCAAATGGGCCCCCAAACTAGGGCTAAACAGTGCAAACATGCCCCGATCTCATGACTGCATAACTTGTGCTTCTTTTTAGCTGTAATATTGAGTATTTCTCTTACATTATTTCTCTTGAAAATTGCTCTTTGTAATATCTACTCCGCCTGGTTATATTTTACATTCTTACTCACTGAAGCGTTCAGCATCGTGCAGAGTTTGGTTATCAAGATATTATTCAAAAGGCAGTAATTAAATACATTAATGATATTCAAACTCATTATCCTCCCTACTTTTCCGCTTTCTTCCTGAAACCCGTGTTTGCATGATATTCTCTGGCAATTCAGGCTCTGTATAATCCTGTATCACTGCTACTGCCTCATCATCTTCTTGTTCCTCAGTATCACTAATCGACTCTATCTCAATCTCCTCTAATTTCTCGTCTCTCTCTTCCTTTGCAGCCTCTATCTCATAGATAGAAAAGAATTCCTTGAGAAATTTTGCCTCTTGTTCTTCAAGATCAAATCTTGATGTACAAAGAAACATCATAATCCCCTTAATTATCTCAGACTTCATCCGACCGCGGCGGTAATGACAAATATCTCGAGCAGTATTAAAAGTCGTTCAACACCAGCACCTGTTGCTGGAATAGAGAGAATATCCCGTGCAAGGGCTGCAATAGCTGGAAATCGATATTCATTGTCTCTCCAGAATTGAAGGGGCTCCACATCGATAGTATCTTTTAGGAAGTTAGGATTAGACTAAACAATAAGGTGTTTAACATACGCTGTAAGATATTAGTTATTTCATCCCTACTGGCTTTGCCTGTGGTTTGTGCCCATTCAACATCTTATTAAGCCTTGAGCTTGGTCTTGCTGCGGTAGGGGTGGTTGCAGAGCCTTGAAGAGTAGAGAGACGTTCTTGATAAGGAACCAGGGCTTCTTGGAAGGATTTCCGGTAGAGGTCGCGCCATTGTTTATCCCAGTCATCAGATAGGAAGAATTGGAACTTATTATCAGGGGCAAGCATTGTACTAATTGCATAGATATGTGGTTTAACCCTATCTGTCTGCGAGTAGTACTCATCAAGTTTTAATCGACCAGCTTTAAGAGAATCAAGCATCTGCTTTTTCCACGGAACACACTTCCGCCGAAGCTGCTTCATTGATTTTTCTAGATGCTCGAAGAGTGCATTGTAAATCTTGAAAACAAGATATATTGTTACCTCTCGAGTCTTTAATAGCTCAGTTGTATAGAGAAAGAACGGCTCAGTAATATAAAGAAGATAGTCAATTTGGCGCCACTCCTTATTATTTAGCAACATCTCTTCACAATCATAGTCGGCACAAAATCGTGTAAAGATATCACGAAGTCGTTTCGCGCGACGAAGCATAAGAAAGGTTGAATTCCATCGAGTTCTCACATCTTGGATTGGTGTAAGCTTTGGATCATCTGTTTGAAGATTGTTGAATGCCTCCCGACGTGAAGGGCTTCCGTGGATATAAATTGCAAGAGAGCGGACCTTGTTTAAGGTATAAGAAATCTCATGCTTCTGGTGTTGTGTATTTGCCTTGGCTAAAGTTGACAGCCGGTCAGTCCACTTTGTTTCCTCGTGTGACGGCCTCGTCACCTTGGGTCATGTGATCTGCTGGTTTCCCCGCAACTGACGTTGTTATGATCCATCTCTTCTTCCTCTCCTCTCCATGTTTGATATTCTCGTCGAAGAGCTACCTAGTTAGCGGGAATAGATTCATTTGTTATATGAAGATCTCCTGGCCTAGACTGAGCCGTGACACCTCGGTATTATTTAGTGGAACTGCCTTGAGACGGTCAAGAAGCTGGTTCAGGCTAAGTTGGATAACATGAGCAAGACAGGGAGTTCGGATAATATTAACATTATTAGATAAAGCCTGCTGGAGGGAATCAGCTAATGTCTTATTATTCGATGCATTATCACTGGTTAATCCAAAGACTTGGTCTTGAATCTGATGGCTGTTTAGTGTTTCTAGAACAACACCACTCATGTTCGAACCAGTATGCGCTCCGTGAAGAGGTTTAAAGCCAGGAAGTACTTCCCGATATACCCAATCAGCATCAATAAAGTAGCCAGTTATAGCTAGAAATGCCTGGGAAAACGGAGATGTCCAACTGTCAAGCGCAATTGATATCTTCGAACCTAAAGGAAGCATCCTAAGAACACTTTGTTGCCGATCTTTGACAAGCACTTCTAGCCGACGACGTATCGTCATTGCAGATGGGATTTGTGGAGCAGTTGGTGCATTGTGGGCCATCTGAATCAAGCTTATAAATATTGGATGCTCGATTAGGTAAAAGGGAAGCCGATTGATTGAGAGAAATAATAAGATCTTCTCCTCCCAGGCTGGTTGTGAGAAAGGAACATCAGTCGGAGCAGATTTCTAGTAGAATAATTATTAATTAGTTAATGAAAACATAGTAATAGAACATTAGATATACCGTTTTTGGAGGAATTAGTGATTTCATCCTTCTGTCTGTTCTCAAACCGTTGACACGCAGCAGTCTTTAGGTGTCTTGTTATTGTTGATAAACCATGGCGCCCTTCCTTCCCTTTAGCATCCTTTTTTGTAGAGTAAGGATGTTCAAGGATCTGGCTGCAGCGTTTACACATGACCTTTGGTGCGCCGTCTATACTAGATGCGACCTGATCATAGTGCTTCCAAATATCTGAAAGGTGGTTTGAGTCCCAATGTATCTTACTTTGGGACCCATAATCAGTATGTAACCACCAGTCTACCCATTCACTATAAGTCATTTCGTTATAAAGCACATATGCCTTTCTTCTATCGGGCCCGACACGTTCAAGAGAGGATGGAATTGTAAGAGGAATAGCTGGTCGAATAAATAAAGGGACCGAAGTGTCAAGGGCATCAAATGTATGCTGGCTGCCAGATGGAGTGGTTGGGTGATTTGAAGAAGTTAGAAATGTTAGATTATCTATCTCTGCATCATAAAGAGATAATGCAAAGTCAGATTGCTGGCTTTGGGACATAATAAAGTAAGTATACGACACATGGATAAAAATAAGAGAAGGGTAAAAAAAAGGAGATGGATACATTACTAGGAGAAGGATTTCTGATTTACTTAGCTATGGACTGTGAGTCAAACAAACAAGTCTACATATCAAAAGAAAAATATTCAGCTAGTTGCTAATTGGATAGATATCACAAGTGAAGTGTGTTTGGCCCAACAAGGCCCAACAAAGCCCATGAGGGCCCATGAATAGCCCAACAAAGTCCAAGGAAAGCCTATAAAGCCCACGAATAGCCCATAGAGCCCATTAATAGCCCATTCCCAGCCCATTAATAGCCCATTCCCAGCCCAACTCGACCTTAGATACCCTCAAAAAATTTTCACCTGGTCAGATACAGAGACAGAATACTGGTAGAAAGAGCTGAATTCCTTTAAATTTCACTTCTTTATTCTATCGTTTAGGATTAGAATTCCAAAGTAGAGAAGATAAGCTTTTATTTCATGTAAAGAATGACTCATAATCAGAGCAGGCAGAAGTGGTTAATTTTTTACTTCTATCTCTTATTAAAAAGATGCACACACTCTCGTATATATGAAATATATATCTCAACAAGTTTGCAGTGAATTTATTCCATGAGCCATCAAAACACCACCATAACAATCAGAATATGGGATTTTTATGAGTAATTAACTTAAAACAAGCCTTACTTTCTTTAATTCCAAGAAGATTTCCTAGAATTTCTTACTATTTTAGGCGAGGTTACAACGAAGCTCAGTTGATGAACTGGAACAGGTGTAAAAAACAGTATTTTATTTTGATTATTTAGCAGCTTTATGAATGCCAAGACCAAAATTTTATGCAAAAATGGGCTTTTGCGGGGGCCCATTGGGGCCCATCGTGGGCCTGATGGTTGGGCTTGGGCCTGAAATCCGGGCCATCAGCCCACAGTGGGTTGGGCCGTGGGCCCGAGATTCAGGCCCATTTGTGGGCTCTGATGAAGTCTAGCGAGACTACACCAAGATTGAACTTCAATTTTCCCCAAGTCCTCCAGAGAGCATTTTCAAGCCTAACGCCCTTATCGAACGCTTTCTTTCTGGTGACCATATAACGCCAAGAGGCCCAAATATCCACCTCCTTCCACTCATGGGAGAGATAATCGACGTGTCTCGACGGCTCATCCTCAATTAAACAGTCGTCTACCACATGGTCCGGTATGTTAAAACGTTGCGTGCTTACTTCTAACTCGGAAGAGGCTTTGTTGAGAGCTTCTGATTCCTCTGGAACATAATGTCTTGCATCATGTGAATAAATATGATCATCGTCCTATTCATTCGTCACTCCAAGTGATAAACTGAACGCTGTGTGAGTGGAATATAGGCCGTTGGCGATAGTCTGGGCAGAATTTGGTAAGGGTGGGGTTAAATAAAGTGCAGATGATATTATGAGACTAGTAACATCTTTTAAATAATCATGCATAAGGGATCCTACCGTAACTAAGCTCGAGTCACAGAGAGAATAACCCTGGACAACTGACCACTGCAGGGAGTCAGAATACCGGGCATGCCTCTCATGCAAGTCGGAACGCCACCATGCTTTGAAGTTCATGAACATAATTGAAGGCGAGGATTTCTAAATTAATATCTCTCTAACGTGTCAACTACTGTGGACTCGTATACAACGATAATGTAGTGTAGCAAGTAAAATAAATAGAAGTAAGGCTCGGAAATTTTAAAGAAAAATAACACTTTTGTCAAGCTCATATAAGTATTGGCTATTATTAGTGTATTATTGAATGCATTGGTGGATGAGACACCAAGTGTCACGATTCACTCAATCGGGAACATTTGACTGGGAAAACCGATGCGCCAGGAGCAAAGACTGGGATTCAAGTACGCCGTCCTTGAACTCTTCTCGCTTTATATAGCCAGGTCGTACAGAGCTGTCACACCAAGTACTGTCAAATGTACCGGTTTAATGCAACACAGAGGTGATCGGCCCGTTTATCAGCTAGGCTAGCTAGCGTAAGCTCTCCGAGATTCGCTAATAGTTAGCCAAGATACATTCAGACTGCACCGGCTAAGGAACAATTTACGTTCTCGGCATAAATTGTTTGAACCGGTCCACGGTCAGAAAGAGAAAGACTAGAGCCTACAGGATGGAATATCGTGTATGGGAATAGCGAAAACGTTTGAGTTAGGATGGGGCAGACGGATATCTCTGAAGTACATACACTTTTGGTTGCATTTGGAAATCTCCGCTTTCGGATACGGCATGTGTTGTGGAATTCAGGGAAGTGATGCGCAGGGAGCTATTCTATCAGCTACAGACCAACTAGCCTAATTAGGAAGTAGATGTCATTCGGTGGAAACACCAGGAATCGCAGTGTCTCAACCAACTGAGCCTACTAAGCGGTTCCCTATATTCTCATTGAGGTGTTCAACTCTCTAAAGGATTCAGGGGTTGAATCGATCGTCAGATACTCCGCTCTGCCAAGTCGGGCGGATTATAGTGTTTCCGTAACATCATGAAAATATTGACACAGGCTGGACACTAATAACCAGTTTACAAGTTTATCCTTAATATAAAATTCTGTCCGCGAGCAGCAAGAGAAACTTATAAAATAATTGTCCTAATAAAAACGCAGACAACGAGTGCGAGCACATTATCTACCTTTCAGCGTCTTCTTCACTCTCAAGAACCCAACCTTCTGAGCAGCACGACCCCGCCAATTGGTAGTCGTCAAGAGCTTTCTTCTAGCTCGCTGAGACCGCTTTCGCAGTAGCATTCTTGATGACGGGCTATCTTTCTTCTCTAGGGTTATCGCTGGAAATCGAAGCTTTCTCTTAGCTTTCGATACTAGTCTTAGACTTTGGGAACTGCTTTTTTCGGAGCCAAGCGAGCACATGGAGACGTCTCTTCGGGATATGTGAAGTTGAAGATATTTGGATCCTTTTGTTTCCAATAATTGGCACTTGAGTAATGGAGCAAGCCATTCAGCTCCAGAGACATTCTTTGATGCGCGGGGTTTGGAACTTCTCCCCACTCGATTCTACCTGCTCGACCGGCAAATGCATAGTATCTGCAGATAGTTGATTCGAGTTCTCCGCGGATGTACCTGCACAGACAATGGCCGCCTGAGTAAACGTCAGAAACTGGCTGGATACCAGATGTAGATGCAATGGAAACGGGAGAGAATATAACAAATAGAGAAACAAAAATGAAAGTGTTGTAACACACTGAGGCCATAGACCCACGAATATCGGGGAGATAGCTATTTGGCTTGGACTTCGTTTTCAGTGGCGATTTGAATGGTGATCCCAACTTCATAGTAACAAGTGAAGACGCTGCCACGAATGCCCTTTTTTTTTTTTTTTGGAATCAACGAGATATTCAAAGGCCGTTATTTCATCTGTTGGCTGGTGACAAAAAGCACATTTTATGTTCTTATATTTTATTTGGTTTCCTACGTACGGTTCACCCGTTTCTATCGTCCATCACTGGACATATCAAGCCATTGGAATGCAAGGGTGTCAACAAACAAAGTATACCCGCCCTCCCAAGTCTTGAGGGCCTGACTTGGGGGCGGGTATCCCTTCGCATATATATATGTACTTCATGCACCTCACAAATAGCAGGTTTACCTGGTTTGTAGCCATCCCATCCCTGACAATTTTCATTTAATGCACGTATTATTTATATATCTCTAAAGTGTGAAGTCACTTCATCTGTACACTGTCCCTGGACGTAGGAAGGCTTGGCGCTTGCGGAACCAAGTTCGCAGAATTAATTCTACAAAACTAAATTGTCCCAAGAATGATCGACCTCCTTAAGTTTCAGCTAGCGTTGACATCAGTGAGTATTACTAGCCACCACACTTGGAAACACCAGGAATCACAGTACATTTGACCCTTTTATTTTCCCTTATTTGACTGTATCTCAACCAACTGAGTCTCTTGCATTCCTGTCTAGAGGTCTTCGGTGCTCGACGTCAAGGTGCTCGACTATCTAAAGGATTCAGGGGTAGAATGGATCGTCAGATACTCCGCACCGCCAAGTCGGGCGGATTACCGTACCCGATCACATGATGACCGTTTTCACCACTCGCCCGCTTTTCGCCAACACACCGACTTTTTGCACACATTTCAAAAGGCTACAACACCATCAATATGGACTCAATTGAAAAAGCGCTTGCAGATATCGAATCCTTGAAACCAGGAGAAAAAATAAATTATACAAAATTAGCTGAAAAGCATGGAGTTAACCGGTCAACCCTGTCAAGACACCACCGCGGTATACAGAGCCATTTACAAGAGCATCATGAGAATCAGTCTCTTCTTAACAACCAACAGTCGAAAGAGCTTATTAAATTAATAAATACTCTTACTGAACGTGGCCTTCCACCATCGCATTCAATGCTTCGAAATTTTGCCAAGGAAATTACTGGAATCAAGCCCGGAAAATCATGGCCGTACCGCTTTTTAAAGAGACATAATAGTGAGCTTGTTACTCACTATACTACTGGTATTGATTCCTCACGCAAGCGGGCTGATTCAGCATATAAATATGCACTATATTTTGAACTTATGGCCCGAAAGATTGAGGAATATGGGATTGAACCTGGAGATATGTACAACATGGATGAGAAAGGTTTTCTTATTGGAGTGCTGTTAAAAGGTAAAAGAATCTTTTCACGACGCCGGTATGAGCAGGAAGGACTTAAACAACGACTTCAAGATGGGAATAGGGAGTGGATTACTACAGTTGCCTGTATTTGCGCCGATGGGACATCTCTGTCCCCTGGTCTAATTTACCAGGCTGTGTCTGGACATATTCAAGATACATGGCTTCAGGATTTTAATCCTAATAGCCACCACTGCTTCTTTAGATCATCACCAAGTGGCTGGACAAATGATGAGCTGGGATACGCATGGTTGACAACTATATTTGACCGCGAGACAAAAGCCAAGGCAAGAAGACGTTGGCGGCTTTTAATTCTTGATGGCCACAGCTCCCATATCTCTATGAAGTTTATTAACTTCTGTGATAAGAATAAAATCCTTTTGGCTATTTACCCACCTCATTCAACACACAGTCTTCAGCCACTTGATGTTGGTCTTTTTGGTCCTCTTTCCCAGGCATACAGTAACAAATTGGAAGAATTTATGCATGAATGTCAAGGATGGAGCCATCTTTCAAAGCGAGACTTTTTAGACTTTTTTGGCCAAGTTGGAACAAGGCTTTTTCAATCGAAAACATTAACAGTTCATGGAAAAAAAGTTGGTTTACATCCTTGGGATCCGGAGATTGTTTTGGCACGCTTTACTAAAAAAAGAAGATGAAAGACCTTCATCTAGTGAGTCATCACAATCTATTTTAAAGGCAGAAGACTGGCGTCGTATTGAAAAGCTTCTTAAGCAAGTGGTTTCTGATGTTTATGACCAGAGGGTCCGGAAATTAAATAATACTATGATGCATCTTTCTACCGAGAATATTCTTCTTAAACTACAACTTACGGGCGTCAAAAACGCACTACAGAATGAGAAGAAGAAGCGAAAGCGTGGGAAACCTTTACAACTTCAACTTCAGGCCCCAGAGGATGGCAATGCAATCTTCTACAGTCCTAATAAGGTTCAACAAGCACGCAATATTCAAGCGGAGAAGGAAGAAGCTACACGGCTCGCTAAGGCTGCTAAAGAGGAGGATAAGATACGCCGGCAGCAGGAGAATAAAGAGAAACAACGCTTGGTTGAAGAACGAAAGAGAATAAGGGCCATTAATAAAAGTGTGCAGATGCGGGAAGCAGAGGAAAAAAAAAAAAATATTAGAAAGAAGACGAGAAGGCCGCAAAACAAGCCGCTATACAACTTCAAAATAACATCAAACAGGCTAATAAAGATACGAAGAAGGCCACAGGGCCTGCTGCAGCAAAGAAAAAGGAAGATATTAATAAGAAAAAAGGTGGAGGAAGTGGAAGAGGCACCTATTACTGTAAATAGGCATGGAAGGCAAATACGGCTTCCCCAGCGATTCCGCAACACCAAAAATTAGCTATGTAGCTTCGTTATATATTATACTCTGCTCCACCAAAATATATAATCATTTGATCATTTCGTTGTGGCAGTATAGCTTCATTTTTACACTCCTGGTTGACCTGAAAATTGGGCGTTGAGTGATATCGGGCGGTGAGTGATTGGGTACGGTATTGGGCGAGTTGGGATGCCCCACTGCCTGTTCAATTAACGTATTCCACAAGCGAGCCGGACACACGTGGCCCGGACATCCTCTAATTGGATACAAAATAGCACTTTTTTATATTCTTTGTTATCTTAATAACATGTCAAGATGGCCTGAAATATATATATAGAATTGTTGAGAATCACGGGGAAGAAGCTATGTCGTGAGGTGCTAGGTTAGCGGTGACTGGATAGTATATTAAACACTATCGGTGCGATCTAGTATCGCATGGTGAGTATCTTCTATCTAGGAGAGAGAGCGTAGATGAACGCTTCCTCATGTCTACGTGTCCTTTAGCCCCTTGCGTGTGATATATCAGATCACTACGGGACTAGGATATACGAAGGTGTCTTAGGCATCCTGATTTCCGACAAGAATAATATATATAGACACTAGGCCTATAGCGTTATAGGATATCTAATTGTTTATATTAAAAAAAAAAAAAAATACTTTAAATACAGTGATATTTAAAACAATTCTGTATTCTAGGCTCAGAAAATGTTAAAATATAAATTAAAATGTAGAGAGCATTATAAATTATTTACATATTAGGGACTATTTATATTGTTACTACTTATGTTGTTGTTGGGATACTACTGTCATAAAAGTGCTAATTTATATGCGATTATGTACAGGGTGTACGGGTTGCTTGTGCGTCCAGCTCCTTGTGAAGTACGCTAATGAAAGCGTGCCCAGATTAAACGCTCGAAGAAGTGCAATACTATTGGATCACTTAAATTGTGAAATTTCAACAAGTAAATATTAATTAACCTATCCATTTTTTGAACTTCAAATCGGTTATCAATGTAGGCTGAACGAACCACTATTTTGCCCCGAACAATTGCATACAAAAGACTCAATAAATTTAGGGCTAAACAGCATTACTCAGAAACCAACTCATACGCATAAAGGGAGATACATCTATTTATAATTCGAGGACCGTGCAAACCTCGAGCTACTACCTAAGTAGTCCTGGATATTGTTGAGAGTCGAGGCTTAATCAAGTAAACAACAGAGTTTCATACATGGAATAGATTCTAGGATCTGGTTAATTGGAAATCTATCTGGTGCTCACCTTGCGCATAAAATTTTAAAGTTTTTGATAATAAACATGGCAGAATTCCTCTTGATTACAACACATCCCTGCCTAAGTGGATTGCATTAACTTGTCGGAGTCCGACGGGTAGTTCGCATGATGTCCATCACCTCCTCCGCCTAAACACTCAAGACAACAAACATGCCGCTGCTCTTCCCCTCTTTTGTCTTCTCCTTTCCAAGCGATCTGGTAGGAGACCTACTCTATTGGTGGCTGAGAGCCGGCCCAGGGTTCACCTATATGCACGATACAGTTCAGCCTTGTGTCGTTGGAAGTAGGACTATTAGTAATTAATTATTGCGTAGAAACAGGTATTCAACATGCCTGTTATCGCTAACCAATTAAGCTATGACAACTCAATACATGCATTTAAAGGGTGGTTGACGGGGCGTCACATGCGGCTACTGGTAATATCAGCTCAACAATAAGGGATATGTGCAGCGGATTCCTAGGTATTCTGTGAGGTCCATAACCAAAGTATTCAACCTGCAAGAGTCAATATCACTGTGCGGAACTGTTATAGATCAGAGGAAAATTATTTGTTACCATTTCTCTTATCTGTAGAATTAAGGGTTTATATACAAGAGCATCGGAGTGATTTTCGAGAAATTACGCCAACCCACGTACACTAGGAACCGTCAATGGTATGCCCACCAATTGACGACGCTTGCCTATCAGATTTGGACAGCACTGTAGGATCGGTAATATTAGGATATCATAAGAGTGGTGACATGCCTGGAAGGCCGAGCCTAGGGCGACCTCCTCGCAGGGAAGCAACTTCTCTAGGGTGACAAATCTGCGCCGATATCGACAGCTACACCCTTCGCTATCATGCTAGGATACTTACGGTTCAGACCCGAAGAATTGGGGCCCTAAATGTCTCTGAATATCCTGTCCGCATGGATAAATCTTTACTCCTAATAGACATGTATGTCGCTAGAGGTACTTTTCCATGATGGTTTGCAGTTTTACATAATTCAAAGCTTTGGAATATTTACCTCGCGGACCTTCCATATCCTCTGCCCCTATTAATGCATTATAGATGGCCTCCTCAGTAGCATCTGCCGCACCTTCGAACAAGGCATTAATTGTCACATCCTGCACCACAGCAATATTCTGTTCGACTCTTGGTTTCCAGCTGAAATCTGGAGCTCGGGGAATCTTCTCGGCAGTACTGAAGGCAATAAAGATATCCCCGAGCTATTAGATCCCCATCCACCTACACGCGATAGACCCACAGTAGCTCTTTTAGCCAAACGCTGAAGCTGGGTAGGATGGAGCGGCGCGTCCGTTGCGATTACCACAATAATACTTCCATCCTTGGCTTTTCTTGCATCCTCCCTTTGCGATTCTTCTTCAGCAGTGACGATCGCGTCTTGTTCGGCGATTAGGCGCCCAACTGGAACTCCACCAAAGTGAAGGTCCCTTTTAGCACCATAATTTGCCTGGACCAAAGCAGCAACTGTATACATTACCTCTGCGCCGAACACCAGGCCATCAATAATACGGCTGGCACTGCCAGTGCCTCCTTTGAATCCTTGGCAGACCATACCCGTTCCTCCTCCTGTATTACCTTCCTTTACAAAGTCGGCGTTAGCTTGGGTCGATTCCTCGTACCACCATATCTGGTGTGACAACCATGGCACCAATATCATTCAGATATAAGTCACATGTCTCGGCCACCACCAGGAGCAGGAACCAATCCACCAGGCCACTTTCCTTATCTCTGTATTCGCGAACAGCATATTCATAAATACCCGTGTAACATGCACCCACAGAGAAAGAGTTGGTCAGTATGATAGGCGAGTTAAGTAGACCAGTCTCATCCAACCAGTGAGAGCCAGTCATCTCACCAGAGCCGTTAAAGCGAAAGTAGCCTGCATAACAACCATAATTGAACCAATCCCGACGGGGCAGAATCGTGGTTAAGCCTGTATTAATCGCATGGCTGGTATTTGTAGACAGTCGGTGTATGGATTCAGTATGGACTAATACACCAGGGACATCAGTGAGAGAGTTTAGTAACCCAGGGCGGTGACGACCAAGGTGAAGTTTTGGCAGAAGATCCCGGACACGAGGTCGAGTTGGAGGAGCGTTTGTGTTGGTATCTGTCATTGTCTCTCTCCCAAGTTGACAATGGATCTAAGTTACCATAAAGACAGAGGTAGATATTCTTAGTAGATATTGATGTGCCTCGGCGGTAAGCTCATCGAACAGCTGCACGGAACCAGCTGCCTAATATAGGGAACGATATATTGATATCCTAGACCACGATAACTACCATGGTTATTTAGATAGTTGACTCGCGGCCTCTAGAATACAGAAAAAGGGGGCAGTACTCGAGGGTGTGAACCCCGCACATTTGGCAACCCACCTAATTTGCAGATTATTACTTTATCAGATATGGAGCAATAGTTAGCTAAAGTAATAAATACTAAGCGAGCATACGAGCAGACTAGTCCATAATGAAGCACTGGTGATGCAATCCAGACAAGGCTGCGTAAAAGCTAAAGAATGTGAAGTCCCGTACAACGGCGGGCTAACGCTCAAGATTCATATCCTGGTGCGGAATTGGCAGAGGGATAATCCTCAATAGTGCAGTTTGCGCATGTAACCTACTGTATATGTCCAGAAAACCACTCTGCGAAGGATTGGAAATCCTATCCGCATTCACACTTAACTTGCAAAATGCAAATCTCTGCTAACATTTTATTTGGAAGGCCGATATTCATATGAATACAACGTCGACTTGACACCAAATTCGTATATATGTCATGATCGAATAACTACCTGGATTCTTGCAAGCCTCTAACCACTAATATCTCCTAAATATCAATCTGCTCCAGTGCATAATAAGTAATATTAGGATCAAAAGTAATGGTTATAGCGCTGTAATTTGCAACTTATATAGAATGCAAATTCTATATAGTCAAGTCTAGATTAGCAGTATTTGTCCGGTTGAATCACTCCTCCAGGGCTTATAGACAGCCTAAGTCAACCGATGGTGCCCGAAATGTTAACCAATCCTAACATCTTAACAAAAGACTCATACTCTGACGTTATAAAATCTTAGTCAACACGTTAGCTGTCATCCTAGATATTGGGATCCAATTGATTCGTATGCGTTGAGCTTGAACTCCCCGACGAAGCTAATGATGGTGAATATGTAACAATATGTCAGCCTCGTCCGAACGGTGACTCATATATAAGGTCTACGGTCATCGCACCGTATACTGATATCATGTGCTAATTTCAGTCCGATTGCGCTGAACAGCGGCTTCCCTCAGAAGGTAGGTCTGCTTTCCTGCTTCGGATAGTGCCAAAAGTTAGGCCTTTGTGGTCACCGTCATGACTGTCGTCTTTTTGCAGTCCCATTAGTAGATTCGACCTCCAAATAACTCGCTTAAGCATCCTTCTGTGCTTTTACGCTTTCTGTCTCTCCATAAGCCACATCACTTGGGTGCATAAAAACCTCACGTTCTCCCGACTTGAATATTCGGTCGCCAAATGTTTTGTTCTACACAGAGAGCGGATTGCACGTTCAACCCAGTCCTAATTTTTCTGTGATGGATTCCACGAATGTTCGGATTATTTTATTGCTGTACGCCGTACTTTTGCTCGAGTGACCGCAGTAGCATACAGAAGGGATCCAACATTTTGCCGAAACAAATTAACCTGTTACGGAATGGCATTCTCCTTATTCTGAATCAAGGACTGTCTTCCCATTGGGGTACTCGGGCGTCTTCTGTCCTCCAGGTGGTATCAATAGGCAATCTTCTCGATATATAAATCGTGGCATTGCCAAAGTTTCTGGGTTTCCTGACTTGGATCTCTCGCATTGCTAAGAACGGACTAATCTCTCTGAGGTCTCGCATCCGATACTGCCGCATAATCGCTTCTTTTGGTTCCAGTACCCTATGTCTGTACTCCTTCCGAAAGGGAGTAACTATAACATTAATAAAGAAAAGAATAGCTGCATAGACATTTCAAAGCAAACATGGTCCTTCTGAGATCTGCTTAAGTTCAAGCTTACTCGTTGTCTTGCAGAATTCCTGCCGCCATAATTGTGGCTCTCTCTACGACTCATACAATACCCTAGAACAACTAACACTATCCTTCCTGCTTAAAACGTTGAGAAAGCTCAATATGGACTGTCATCTAGCAAGCTGTGAATGAAATCGTTAATAGCATCCCATTGCTTGGATTCTAGATCAAACGCTGCTGCAATTGCCATGCGCATTTAAAACACATGTGCTGCCAATGTTGGTGCATATGGTCCTGTAATGTTAATTGCTGCAAATTACCTCCTGCACAAAGTCATGCCTTGTACTTGGTACGGTACCCATTGGCGGCAAACTAGGTGAACACCCAATCACTGGTATTAGTTGTACATTTGCTGATCTTTAAACTGTTCTCCATATCCCTTGTGACTCTACTCCTCGATACTCTATCGTTGCAGCTTCATAGAATCATCACGGTGCGGGTGAGTGAGCATTTCTTTACAATTCTTCAGCAGCAGGGGCAGCATATCTTAAAATAATATCAGCTCGTTCAATGCCACTACAAATGCTGCTAAGCATCCGGGAATATTTTCAGCTCCCTCAAGTTTGCGTTAAATATGTTTCTGATCTCCGACTGGATGGCTTCCGATTCAGTGGCCGTTTAATAATATTGGCCTTATCCAAATTAAGTCCTGCTTGACGCACTGGTCTCGGCTGAATTACTTCTGAAGTTGTGTCAACTCTGGCTGTCTCCGCATTAACACTGATTACTCCAATTCCGTCTAAAACTGCGTCTCCGGTAGTTCCTGTTAATCTTGCTGATCGAGCGTTGGATCTGGCACTATTTAATACAGTATCGTCACCACTTTGTTCACCTAGTTTACAATTCCGCTCAATTATCTACTCTACTGTCCAGTTTCCTTCCTCGTCGGTGGACGCAGGTGGGGCTTTCTTCCATCAGCAGTATGCGGACACTAAATTTGGTGTACTGTCAGAATAAAGCTAGTCCATATTGGGACATCATGTGAATATATATACCCAATACTCCTCATAGAGGGGTTGGGCTGACAATCCTTCTGAATACATTCAATTCTCACCTCCATACCAATATCCCATAAAATCTAACAATTAAGAGTCTCATTTGTTATAAAAGAGCACTCATATATATATAGATATACATCTATATCTATATTAACCCTATTCCACGATGTCAACCATTCAAGACACTACTGTTCGTCTGACCTCTCAGGATGACTGGGAAGACTGGCAGATCCAATTCGAAGGTCTAGCTAGAGGCAAGAATATATGGGATATCATCACCGGTGATAAGGTGGAACGGGAGCTTCCTTTTGAACCAAATGATGATGATATACCACCAGCTGGAAGCACTAGGAGTTCCTCTACCACATCCCATGCAGACTATCAGCTTGCTTGGACCATCTACCGAACGAGGCTAGAACAATATAATAAGCAACAAATGGATCTGAATAAAGTAAGGGAATGGATGCAAAAGACCGTCTCACCGCATATCTATACAGTTACCTGCGATCCATCCGAACCCTTGAAGGAATGGTATGACAACTTGCAAAAGAATGTTGGTATAGATAAGAGTAGAATCCAGGATCTTGCTATGGAGTTATATCAAAAGGCTTTAAAGACTCCTAAGCAGAAAGATATACTCAGCTGGCTCAACAACTGGGAGAATGCCATGCAAAAGGCAACTAAGGCAAAGCTACCGGTAGCTAGCTTTCCAAAACAGTGGATCAAAGACTTTCTGGGAGTTGTACGACCCCTAAATCCTGTCTGGGTAGAATCCTATTGGATTGCTCAAGAGGAAAAGATAAAAACAGGAGATCTGTCATTTCGAAAGGTTTCGCAGGACTTCCGCGATAGTCTAAGTAGGATACCAAATGCTTCGTTAGCTAAAATAGCTAAGGGATCATTTGGTCCTACTTTTGCCGCAAAAGAGGATGATTCCCGTGGTGATAATGACAGCGAGGAGGAACCCGTACCTACCAATAAACAAGGCCAAAAACGAAAGAGCGATAGCGATAGAAGTGGGTTCAATTCCCACCGAGCAGCTCAGAGGGTTAGCAATAGAAGTAGGTTCAATTCCTACCGAGCACCTCAATGTAAGGCATGTGGTCAGAGACATGACTGGAAGGACTGTTTTTATCTATTCTCTCAAAAGGCCCCCGAAGGATTCCGGGAGAGTTCAATTGTCAGAAGGTTGGTAGATCTTAATTTAAAGGATGATAAGGAATTTGCAAAGAAGGTGGAAGAAGAGAGAAGAAAAGCTCAAGAATGACTAGAAGAAAAACCAGTATCTCCTTCCTTTTTTGGGTAAAGAAGTAGGGAGAATATCTGCTTCTTTTGTCTTGCTTCCGTCCACATATCCTCTCAAGAACTCTGCGATCCTTGACTCCGGCACGACTATCCATATATTCAACCAGTTCTCTCGATTCGATCGATATCAGCCAGCGGTACCCGGAGATTTTGTGTGGGCAGGAGATTCAAAAGTCTCTATCAAAGGATACGGCAATGTCAGCATTAATATTAACTCGAAAGAACGGAAAACAAAACTGTGCCTTTATGATGTTGCGTACTGTCCCGGTATGGCATGCAATCTAGTGTCATTAAGACAGCTTCATCGAATGAATCTATGGTGGGATAATCAACCAGGTCAGAATGTTGTTCGCACTATAAAGGGGTTTCCAATCGCTTATCTGGAGGATCGACATGGTCAATTTGTTCTTGAATATATCCCGGTATCAACACATGCAACATTCGCTACCAGATCTTTATATCAGAGTTCGAAGTCAGTGCGAGCAGATGCTCAAAAGTGGCATCTCCGCCTGGGGCACCCAGGACCGCAAGCAATAGAGCACCTAGTTAATGCTTCAAAAGGTGCTAGGATCCGGGGTCCGACGACAGTGGAATGCGATGCTTGCGGAATAGCCAAAATAAAGCGTCAAATACAACGTTTTCCCCGAGGAATAAAAGAAGGACCTGGACTGCAACTGGCAATTGACTTTCATGACTTTGAACAAGGATATCAAGACTTTAAAAGCCTTATGTTGGTGACAGATAGATGGTCTGGCATTATCTGGGATTACTATTTTCAAAGTCGCACTGCAGAGGCAATTATCAAGGCATTAGAGGATCTATTTAAGACTCTAAAGCATCAGTACAACGTCGTGCCAAAGGTAATTGAGTGTGATAATGAGATAGTTACCAGAAAGCTTCAAGTCTACCACTATATCCTTGCTAAAGGCATCAAGGTTGAGCCTTCTGCGCCTAATACACAATCGCAAAATGGAGGTGCAGAACGCTCAGGGGGTGTAATAAAGGATAAGGCTAGAGCAATGCGGGAAGGTGCTAAACTACCTGCTTTTCTATGGCCAGAAGTGGTACGAGCAGCAGTTTACCTATTAACCGAACACCTTATTATCAAGCCAATTGGAAAACTCCTGTTGATAGGTTCCATACCTATATTGCACACAGCGAAGGTGTTGTGGTGGAGGATAGAAACCTCAGCAAGCACACCTAAAAGTTTATGGGTGCAAGGCCTTTGCAATGACTCCTGAAGCTCAGAAAAAGGAGAAAAGACTGCAGAGATTTAATCCAAAGGCATGGATAGGATATCTAGTTGGATATGACTCCACTAATATCTATCGAATCTGGTTGCCTCGGTTAAATAAAGTCATTCGGACAAGGGATGTGATTTTTAATGAAGAAGAACAATTCTCTGGTGACATAGCTAAGACCTTAGCCACCATTGCAGGATGAATTTCGACAAGTTCCCCTGAAGGAGTTTGATCAAATGGTGAAGGATATTGAGGTTCAAAGCTTGCCAATGGAGATGGCAGAGGATTCTTTGCCTACTGGACATTTTGATTCAGTTGATTATCTTGCACATATTACAGAGGATCAACAAAAGGAGCAAGATACTTATCCAACACCTCCGGAAACACCAGAAGCTTCTTTTAATCCAGCGTCATTATTTGCATCAGCAATGGGCGAAGACCCTAGCCAATTACCAACTCCGAAAATATCAAGACATCTGCGGACGTGGAAGGCAACATTCCTAGCTGGAAGGCTTGTACAACCTATTCGGAAACTCGGAGATCAAATTATCAACAAAGCAACTCTTGAACGCCTAATAAAACAACCAGGAGGACTATCGAAATCCAAAGTGCACCGTCGGAATTTGCCTCCAGAACCAGTATGGCATAGAGACCTGGAAGATCATCCACTAGGATCTCTATTTAAGCAAGCAGAGGAGGATCATCTCAAAGGTCATAGAGATATGAGGACCTGGGAAGAGATGGGAAAATCTATTTGCTATGGGAAGCAGATTCTTGATTGCAAATGGGTGTATATCTATAAATTCGACAAGCACGGCAGATTCCAAAAGTGCAAAGCTCGGCTGGTTGTACGCGGTGACCAACAAAAGGATCGAACTGATGATCTATATGCAGCAACATTAGCAGTCAGATCGTTCAGAGTTTTGATGTCAATTGCGGCTAGATTTGATCTAGAACTGGTCCAATATGATGTTACCAATGCTTTTGTCAACGCAGATATCGATGAAACTGTTTTCATGCGAATGCCCCCAGGTTACAGAATACCTGGAAGAGTGCTGAAGCTAAGAAAAGCTTTATTCGGCTTGAGACAGTCCCCGCTATTGTGGCAAAGACTATTTAAGCAAAGTCTTCAAGATCAAGGATTTGAACCTATTCCGCATGAACCCTGCTGCTTAGCTAAAGGAGATATCCTAGTGTTCTTCTATGTAGATGACGTGGTATTCGCCTACAGAAAGAACCGCACAGAAATAGTGCAGGATATAGTCCAAAAGCTGAAGAACCAGTATAAAATGACTGGTGGCGGAGAATTGCAGTGGTTTCTAGGAATAGAGATTATCCGAGACAGAATAAAGCATCTAATATGGCTAAGTCAGTCCTCTTATATAGATAAAATTGCTAACCTTTCAGAATCAGAGCCATCCAATACTATTCCCATGTCTCCAAAAGGAATGTATTTATATGCAGAGATAGCAAGCTATCGAAGCATCCACCAATATCAACGAAAGATTGGATCCTTAATGTATGCTGCAGTTGTGACTCGTCCAGATATAGCTTTTGCAGTATCAAAGCTATCCCAATTCCTTACCAACCCAAGTCCGGAACACCACAAAGCAGCAGATCAGGTGCTTAAGTACCTAAAAAGGACTCAAGACCTAGCTCTGCAGCTGGGGGGTGGAGATAATTATATCCTGTACAGTGATGCATCCTTTGCAGACAACAAGGATAGAAGAAGTTCGCAAGGATATATTATTCAACTATTCGGAGGCACCGTGGGATGGAAAGCGAATAAGCAGGCAACCGTGACAACATCTACAACTGAAGCAGAGCTATTAGCATTGTCTCAAGCAGCTAGGGAAGGGATGTTTATAGAGACTTTAAAGGATTCAACTTACCTGGATGATCATCAAGTTTATATTTAATATAATAATATGCAGACAATCTAACTTGTTAATAAGGATATTAACACTGCAAACACGGCTTCGTCATGTGGACATCCATGATCACTTGCTAAGGCAAGAGGCAGAGTCAGGAGGGATCTAAATTAAATATTGCCCTACCAACAAGATGTTGCAGATGGACTCACCAAGGCGCTTTCTAGGGAGAAATTCGAACTATTTGTAAAGCAGCTTGGTCTAGTTAACATATCTAGGCAGAGGACAAAAGGGGAAGATGAAAATCATCGACATTTTGATGAAATTAATAATATTCTGTGTAGAGAATAAATATGGGAATAGCTTCAAGTTCAGGTTTAAAGGATATTTTGGAACCTGAGGGGGTGTGTCAGAATAAAGCTAGTCCATATTGGGACATCATGTGAATATATATACCCAATACTCCTCATAGAGGGGTTGGGCTGACAATCCTTCTGAATACATTCAATTCTCACCTCCATACCAATATCCCATAAAATCTAACATGTACCAGAATGATCGTGAAACCTAAAAGTAGAGCATAAATCCATTTCCTACGTAATTTTCCAATCCACACTTGGCTGCAACAGCTTTTACAAATCGAGCTACTCTCACCACATATATCCCTGCATCCCCTTTGTGACCCAGCTCCTGACTCAGTCACCTGCAACTCCCACCTTGAGCTTACAACCGAGATAGATATCTAACTTACAGTGACTTACAGTGGTATATTTAAGCCCTTGCCAAAATCATCCGGAGTTGTATTTTTAAGGATGGCGTCGGATATTGAATGCCAGTTAGTCTTGATTCTAACAACTTATGGTAGCTCCACCTGTGGTTGGCTGCTCCGGCTGTTTTCTAATTCTACCACACGGTTGCTGTCCAGCTCGGGTCGGGTTTGATAATGCTGCCATGGCTGCTGCCAGAGTTGCATTGGTTTTAGTTGAGTTTGAAATTTAGGTGTTTGTTGTTTACGTCGTGATCGACGGATTAAGAACCATAATAAGCCCGCAATAATCGCGGCGCCTACCACTCCGCCAACGACACCCCCAGCAATGGCTCCTGTGCTTGTATTTGACGATTTGCTTGTCGCCTGCGTAGGGGCATCTGTGCCCGATGAGTGGAATGTGGGAGTGGAGGTGGATGTTGGGGTTGGTATCGTCGAGCTCGATGCTGTTAAACAAAGACTAGACAGTCAGTGATGTAAATGCATGTCAAATATTTCTTGAGTAGCAGTCGATGACTTGCCTGAAGCAGAAGCAATTATTGGCACTTTTTGCTCCCCCGACTGCAGATGATACCCGGGAATAGCACACCCATCGGATCCGCCACCCTCCTTCGCGAATGCTGTGGCTCCCTGCTCGCAGCAAAAGTAGCCGCCATTGTAATATAGATCCCAGGTGCTATTGGCACAAAATGGCTTGGCCTCGAGCGCACCATGGCACTTAGGTTCGGACGGGCAACAGGCGACATTTTTATCGTGCAAGCAGAAGGAGCCGCTTGGACAGCAGACGCGAAACGGATTTACCGTTATTCCGCAGTCGACCTCGAGATGTGCCAAGCAGGAACCATTCTTGCGCAGAGCCCATCCGAATGGACGCGCTTCGGATGCCATGATGGTGGATAGGTGAGGGATGACCTCAAAATATAACAATCGTAAGCGGGAGGAGAAGGGGGAAGAGACAATGAGATTAGGAGGAAAATCTACAAAAAGAGGCCCTGGGGTTGCTACGAGGCTCGGCTACAGAATAAGCCTAGAATAATAATATGCAGAACCCTTCGCGGCCATTACAAGCAAAAATTGACTAAACTGGAGAGAAATAACCCTTGCCTGCATATCACGTACAGTGAAGTATCGGGATAAATGAAAGTCATCATCATTTTAGAGCCTATCTGAACGTTACAATACCTCCTGTCCTCCCCGCAGCTAATTTCATGAGTCCAACATGGTATTAAACGACTAGGGTGGGTGGCTGTTGTTGATGTGAGTGAGACGAGGCTGCATTAGAGCATGAATAGTCCGACTGTTGACAGCGTAGAACCCTCCGTCTGCTGCCTACCATTGGTCCATCCTCTTTGTATGACCATGGAACACTAGGCCCAATGAGTGTAGCGCATATGCATGACATCGCCGATGCTCTCGCTCCAACCATGTCAATACGGCAAAGTATTTCTGGCCGCTCCAAACGTCAATGACTGGTGGTGTGACTCGGGGAGGAAGAAGGCAGTAAGCTCATCGAACAGCTGTGCGCAACCAGTTGCCTAATGTAGGGATCGATATATCATTGATACCCTGGACCACGACAACTACCATACTTCTTTGGATGGTTGACTCTCTCTCTCTAGAATACAGGAAAGAGGTTAAGTACTTGGGGGGTGTGAACCCCGCACACTAGGCAACCACCTAGGATGCAGATCATTACCTTATCAACTGGCCCCTCGCTCCCCTCATTCAGCGAAGACTGCCTCAGGCAGGGCTGCTTGGACAGAAAGCCAAGGGACGTCGAATTTTATTATCAAATTTTGTGGGGCTGTGTCATAGTTTTGATTGCCTGTGTCTAATAGCCATACTTTCCTATGGTGCAGTTGACTCTGACACATTCTATTAATATAATCGTCATGGTTTTCATCGCGTAGGCAAAAATCTAGCCGGGACAGCAGAGAGGGTGGAGCTTGTGAGTTTGTCGTCCTTGATACAAGGTCGGCACCATCAGTGATAGATAATGACTAAATGCTCGCGTTGTCACATGCAGCAATACAAATCCCTGAAAATTGGAAAGATCACTGTCGTAGATAGCTCTGACAATGTGTCAACAGCACCTCTGCACTAAAAAGGCGCCATAACGCCAATTCAGGCATAATACTATATTTTTCTTTATTGGCATAATGTTGCCTCAGTTTAATTTTTAGCTACCCCACCTACATGGAAAAAAGGGGCAAAAGAAGTTGATTTACCGCTTGCTCTTTCTCCAATTGATTGATGGTGTACAGAACTAAAGATATATAACGCAGTTTAATACTAGTAAAGTAGAAGCTAACAAATAACAGTAATAAGATCAATGCACAACAAACAGTGAACAACATATTTCATTATGAAAATAAGAAATCCCAGAAACATATAAAATGTATCTCATTGCCGAAGCAAGAGCATGACTCTGAGTACTAGGTACTCTTTCCACAAAACCTGGAGACTCTCCCAGATTCATGAAAAAGCATCTAGGGATTCTCATCAAGACAACGTGGCACTATCCCCTAACCTGTAGGTTTGCTGCCTTTTAGCGGTAATTAATATACTACTCTCTGACTGGTCAGTATTCTCACCGCTTGCTGACATAAGTGCCCATTGGCTTCATTTCCCAATATACTCACGCACTTTCTTACTTTCTGATCTATCAGATACTACATGTTTTACTAAATACTCTACTACGCGCTTTACTACGCGCTCTACTACGCGCTCCCCAGTATGCTCTCTACTCTGCCCTCTATCTTACTGTGCAACACTGACTATGGAATCCCAGACCTCACAGACCTCACGTGCGCCAAAGAGAAAATGCCCACCAAGGAAGCTAGAGAAACAAAGAAACCAAAGATTGACGAAGTGCCAGATTTACTTGCCCAGTGGCCTTCTCCAGAAAAATGTGATATTCGAGCCATTGATTATGAAAGGACGTCTCTCTCCACAGCCTATTTTACCGCCTGGTGTTGGTATAGAACCCTTATGAATTATTCTGTCTTTTTTATCCCCTGAAGATCTTTATACTATAATATCAAAGCATACAAATCTCTATGCTGAGCTGCACAATGCTGGACATAGAGGTCGCCCATGGAAGCCTACAATTCCTGGGGATATTAAGACCTTTTTTGCGGCAATTTTGTATATGGGCGCCTGGGGAGGATTGCCAGTGGATTCTTTTTGGCGGCCAGGTGAAGTTGTCTTTAAATGGCTCCAGGAGAATATTTCACAAACCCGGTTTGAGCAAATCCAGCGATTTCTTCATATATCCGACCCGCGTGTGAATGCTTTTGAGCCTGCAGACTCTGAGGACGAAGCATTATATGATGAAGCTATCCTAGATTCTCTATGGTGGCACAAAGTAGAGCCATTAGTAGGCCGATTCCGCCAGGCCTGTACTCAATATTACAAGCCTTCGGACTCTGTTGCTATTGACGAATCAATGATCCGCTGTTTTGGGCGTTCTTTACATACATACCGTCTCCATGATCCTTACATTTGTGTTCGAGTGGGTTCGAACTGCTACTGCCTAACCCGCTGGCGTTAGCCCATACAGGTGAGCGTTCTAGAGCTCTACCTTGGGATTTCTTCTCGTTTCCCATATTTGAATTTTTGACAGTGAAAATTAAGGTGGCCTCGCCAATGACAGTGCGTCCATTGTTCTTACTACCATGACTGGTAATTTAATGACTGGCCGAGTCGTTTACCATTAGTATTTCGCCATACATGCCTTTGTTAGAAAGCCTTCACATCTCGCTTTCTATCAACTAACTTCGGGTCAATATCGACAACACTATGGCTGCACAACCTCGTAAACCTCTCCAAGCACTAAACCCTAGCACTTCTACACCAACCAGTAACATATCAACTCGGCTGGAGAAATCCAATCCTGATGTTTGCTGCTCGATCCGTGATTTAGAAGCGTTGGCATCCTTAGATGATGATCGAGAACATGCGCACCTCCCAGAAGCTACCATACTTGCCCCTGTGGCTAAACATACCCGCTGTATCTCAGTTGGACTGCTGGATCCAGAGTACCCGAGTCTGATGGCCAGCAAGTCAGATGCTTCATACTCCGGCGCTCACTCTCGCGGTGATGGTCAGTTTTCTGTGCTGCAGCGCTGGGCATCACGTCCTACTTTACTGGAAGAACTGGGCTATGACACCGCAACTGTTGTCCGTGTTTGCGAAGATACAGGCGATAAGGGGAGTCCTAACAGTTCTGATGGGGGTTTCGGCAATTACACCCCAACCCAAGCCCGCACCATAGAACAACTTTCTAGAGAGAATGCATATTTACGCCATGCTGTGGGGCAGATGGACAGCAGCTTCAGAGGTTATGCAATGTCTTCTGCACTGGCAACTAGCCGATATGCAATTGGAACTGGCATTCACAATCCTCATCATACCCAAGGAAGTGTTCCGGTGGGTCTTCCAGTAGAGGACCTGGACGAGGTGGGAGATATTCCTGGCTACAGCCAGATTCAAAGCAATGCCGGCAGAAGGAGCTATTCCGAACACCCCGCCAACCAGGAGAAACAGTTTCCAGCATTCGCCTCCGTGGAAACCCGAACTCTGGAGAATGTCAAAAAGGCTCATTGGGATATTTCTCATGGCTTCGGAAACACGTATGATATTTCTCTCAGTCGGCGGCACTCGTTCGCGGATATCCCTATTCAACATATTTATAACTCTGCTGACTCGTCAAGGATCACGGTAGGAGACCAGGAAGATATCTATAGGGGTATCGGTGAAGACCTTGTGTCAAGTGCACAAGGCCAAAACCGTGAGTATCACATTCTTCACACGGACCCTCCCCAAGGGGACAAGAAATGGAGGCGGGGTATTAACGAGTTCATCGATTTGCAGAGTCCTATTTTGCTCGTAACCAAGCTCTTCATGCTGCCAACGGCCCGTCAGCGATTCCCATGTCTCGCTACTCAGCTTGTACAATGCCAAACACCGATGGCCGTCACCAATCGGGCCTGATGTATCCGCACCAGAATCAACTCTTCTATATTGTAACTTTTAAGTATCACCGTGTAGACATTTTCTCCATTCAAGACGATACTGGCCTTCAGGTGAAAAGTGGAGACCCGGTCATTGTTGAAGCGGACCGTGGAACGGATCTTGGGACCATTCAGCAAGCTAACGTTTCTATGCAAAAAGCTCAAGAGCTGAAACAGCAGTACGCAGAATACCACTACAAATGTTTGATGATGTTCTCTAGGCAAGGGCAGAGTGCTGCAGCGAATTTAGTGAATACTTTTCGGAGTGTATCTGGACTGAAAGGTCAGAGTGATATCGGTGGTATGCGCTCTCATGGGTCCTATGGGGTCCAGGAGTCTGCTGCTGAAACGAAGCCTAAATTAATAAAACGGCTTGCCCAAAACCATGAAATCCTGAAATTGCGCGATAAAGAAGGGAATGAGATGAAGGCTAAACAGCTTTGCCAGCAGAAGGTCGCAGAACATCGGCTCAATATGGAGATACTAGGTGCTGAATTCCAAATGTGCATATCGCCTTGAAAATGATGTGAATCACATTGATGTGTGCTAACTGATTTTTTTTCCTAGGGACTGGAAAAAGCTAACGTTCTATTATTTTGCGGATTCATACATCAATTTCAGTGCGCTTGTGACTGATCTTTATAAGATCTACAAAACTCGAATCTGGATGTCAGCAATCAATCCAGCCTCATTCGTCACATCTCCATCTGCTGGCCTGCAATCCCCAGATCCTCTGAGATATAGCCAGAAAACACATTGATCACCCTTATCAACATGGGAGTAGGGCATATAACCCCGCTCGAGACGGCGTAGATTCTGCTGGGACAGATACTATTACCGACCCTTTGGAATTGCTACGCGACACTGACCCGCAAGCCCAACCCTTTCTCTCATCTCCGAACACCTACATTGAGATGTTATCCATTCTACCCCTCAATCCTTTAGTTATTGAATACCTCAATGAGAATATAGGGAACCGCTTAGTAGGCTCAATTGGTTGAGATACTGCGATTCCTGGTGTTTCCACCGAATGACATCTACTTCCTATTTAGGCTAGTTGGCCTGTAGCTGATTGAATAGCTCCCTGCGCATCACTTCCCCTGAATTCCACAACAGAGATGAAGTTGGGATATCCTGGTTACTCCTTAAGGCCTGGATTAATTGTTAGTCTGACTTGAGTCTACGTTAGCTCAAGGGAAGTAAGAGAGTGGGTGAACTGATTCCCGAGCTGGTCGCTCTGCTATTAATATTATATTTGCTATGGGGCCTTTTATCTAGATTTCCGCATAATTACTGCTTCCTGAGTGTGGTCCAATGCCTGCGACCATACTGTCGGAGGACAAGCTCGCATGGCGAGCGGTGTGGTGAGTTTATTGTGGTGAGTCTATTGTGGTGAGGCTTGGCCAAGAGGTCTTAGACTGAGCAACTTGAGAAATTACCTGAGAGGCATTTTTCTTCCAGGCTCATAACCTGTTGTAATGCAGAAGATAGGTTGTTCTTCTCTTCTGTAAACACGAGGAATTATAACAAGGTGAATTGTTGATTAATACTGTTGTGAATCAAGGCTCGACCCGATAGAGGCGCTTCAAGTACTGGTTATTATCTGCTTAAAACAGATTAATAGGATATTAATTCGGCATTCATTATGTATATAGATCCTCAAGTTTATAGATGAGAAGATACAATAATTCAGGCTTCCTCTAGATAACAGCAACTATCGCACGGATGCACGCCCCAGTGATTGATTGTCAACAATATGGTGAATTGAAAGAACGGCTTCGTCAATTGCAGGAGTTAATCAATCTGCCGCCATCCCTCGTCGGTGATGCTGAATTGCGAGTAGTCATGGTCACTGCAATATTTATCAATGCAATTCCGCAATCTGCGCACCCTCTGGAGCATTAGGAACGTCGAATTCCAGCGTGTTTGTTCGTCGTGGAGCGGAAAGATTCGAGAAGGCCTGGTTATATAGGCCACGTCACCATGATCGGCCGAGCTCTTGAGAGAACTCATTTGTGAGACTGACCACATGCTTCCTGTGGTTTCGGTTGCTGAAGACACGGAATAAATCCAACAGAAGAGGCTCAAGTCGAAAAAAGGCAACATGCCAGTTGTTGGACCTAGTGAGACAACTTTGGAGCCATTAATTCTCCGAGTCAATGTTAGGTGGACAGTGGGAACGATTTCTCGGGCGGCAGTCGATCTATTGTTTGACAAAGACAGTTTGAGTAGGTTCTCTCACTAAGAGGATAACCAGGGCTTTGCTGATGCTGAGTCTGAGGTTAAAGTGGTTCATTATTGGCATCAGGCTAAGTATCGGCCAGAAAACGATTCCGACTTGATTGAAACTGAAGAAAAGGAATAAATATCGACTCTTCTGTTAACTGATGTATGTATTCCACAGCAACGTCGAGTGTGCGGAGAGTGTTGGGATGGAAAGATACAGTATCCAAACGCTGAAGTAGGTTGTCTCGTAATGAACAGGGCAGATTGACTTCACGGGTGGCACCAGGGAAAATAAAGGAAGCCAAGAGACGTTCCCAGAGCTCTCGAAGCTGCTGATATTCTGCAGATGAGGTTTCTCTAGCTGACGAGTTCCTATATATTTCCTGGAACCGTTTGGCGTCTCTGATAAATTCTAGATTTTCAAGACAGTGGTTTTGGGAGAGATAGGTAGTAAACTCTCTGAGAGAATAGGGCCACTCTGCTGTATCTGCTAGCACTTCGTCTAACGTAGGCCATTGTTTTTGACAGATGTCCCAGTAATCCATGTCTGAGCATGAAGAGTAGGGATACCAAAGTCAGAGAAAAGGTTGTAAATAGATGCTGATGCGTTATTTTGGAGAGCCTGGAATGTTTTGTTCTATCGCTTCAATGTCTTCCTTGCGGAATCGACGGAATTGCCGTTGGGTAACAGTCGTGACCCACCCAACGTTGCCACTCCCTCCGAGCTGGAAACAGGCTAAACCTTAACTAAGTACAGTAGCCAGCTTATCACCCAGTGAACCCACTCTTTTTTTCTTGCTTCCCGCATAATTTCTCATGTAGAAATACATTTATCAACAGCAGCCAACGTCCACTGCGACTATAATTATGTGAATATCAGTGCAACAGCGAAATATCACTGGCCAACATAGCAACGGCGTAGCCGCTGCCTAATTTTACCTGGCCCCCCCGTTTTTCCTACCCCAACTTCCGTCTTGAGGACCATTTTTATATGTGCACCAGCTCCCATGCCTTAGCCATGTACAAGCATATATTGAATTTAACATATTCCAGATATATATTTTTCCCATGTCTCCCGCCGAAAGTCCTGCCGACGCCGTCATTCTGTTAAGCTCTACTCTTGATCAGGTCCAGAAATATGTCATTTCCGCCTTTGCTGCCATTGTCTGGTACAACGCTATTGAGTTGGTGATACTTTGCCTAACTACCTTTAAGCGATACCGGAGCACCTACTTTTGGAGTTTGCTGATCGCCTCCTCTAGCCTCATCCCACACGGCCTAGGCTTTATCTTCTTTCTTTTCTCCCTGGGCATTTCTCCATATATTGCCGTTACTCTGATCATTGTGAGCTGGTATTGTATGGTAACTGGCCATTCATTTGTGCTATGGTCGCGACTACATCTTATCCTGCAATCACCAAAACTGCTTCGCGCCATTCTTATAATGATTATCGTTAACGCTATCCTTTTCCATATTCCCACTACTGTTCTATTATTTGGGTCTCTGTCATCCCGGCCATCTCATCCGAACCATTTCGCCGCGGGGTATAACGTCATGGAACGTATCCAGCTCGTGGGTTTTGCGGTTCAGGAATTCATTATTTCAGCCGTATATGTGTGGGAGACGACTAAGATGCTCCGTCTTCGGCCCGATCGATTTCATCGTGGTATCCTTCTCCAACTACTTATCATCAATATTATTATCCTCGTTCTGGACGTGGCAGTCGTGGGCACTGAGTATGCCGGGTACTACGCTCTCCAAGTGATGTTCAAGCCGGTAGCATATAGCGTCAAGTTCAAACTGGAATATTCCATTCTTGGTAGTTTGGTCCAGATCGCCAGGAGTCCAACTTCCAACCCGGAACAATTGTCGTCCAGTTTTCTTGGGTATAATTTTATTTCTTCTGGTCGAAATGGCTCTGGCAGAAATAGTGCGGCTGGCGCTGATGCTCAACAAATGACGATGCAGGCATAACATATGAAAATTTCGAATGATGATCCGGCAAGCCTGTCTATTACCCAGGAATCTCTTGCGTTTGGCAACCTCTTATCGGCCAAGAGTGGAACATTTTTTTTACGAACGCAATCAACGACTGAGCAGCCAACCACGTATACAATTCTACGCTCTTTATTATTAAAGCAATTCAACCACGTAGTCATCCCCGTCGTCAACGCCGCCATGCTGACCCGCTGCAACTCGCTGCTGCGCGGCCACTCGGCCGTGCGCCCCGCGGTCGTGCAGCACATCCTGACGCTGCTGGCCCACGGCATGACCCCCATCTTGCCCCTGCGCGGCAGCATCTCAGCCTCGGGTGATTTGACTCCCTTGGCGTATATCGCGGGCGCCGTGGAAGGGAATCCGGACATCTCCGTGCACAAGGACCGCGACGGGTCAATCGTGCCCGCCGACGAGGCCCTGCGCGAACTGGGACTGAGTCCGTTGGAGTACGGCCCCAAGGAAGGGCTGGGTCTGCTGAACGGCACCGCGTTCAGCGCCGGCGCCGCCAGTCTGGTCCTGGTCGAATCCACCCAGCTGCTGCTGCTGTCGCAGGTGTTGACGGCCATGGGCACCGAGGCATTGTTCGGCACGCGCCACAACTACCAACCGTTCATCGCAGACGCGCGCCCGCATCCCGGCCCCAGATCGAGAACCTGGCGCTGTCACTCATGCAGGTCGAGATCGAGCTGAATTGGACGACGGATAACCCGCTGCTGGACCCGACGGAGCAGCGCATCCACCACGGGGGGAACTTCCAGGCGGCGGCGGTCACCTCGGCCATGGAGAAGGCGCTGGGGGCGCTGCAGATGCTGGGCAAGATGTTCTTCGCGCCATGCTCCGAGATGATCAACCCGATGCTGAGCAACGGACTGCCGCCGAACCTCTTTTCGACGACCCGAGCCTGTCCTTCGCGTTCAAGGGCGTGGACATCAACATGGCGGCGTATCTGTCCGAACTGGGCTATCTCAGCCACCCGGTGAGTAAGCACGTGCAGTCCGCCGAGATGCACAACCAGGCGTTGAACTCGCTGGCGTTCCTCGCCTGTCGCTACACGGCCGACGCCGTCGAGGTGCTCTCGCTGATGGCGGCGACCTACCTGTACGTGCTGTGTCAGGCACTGGATCTCCGCGCTCTGCACCAGGAATTCGAGAGCACCGCTCGAGCGTCCATCGACTGACTGACGGCCGAAGCCTGTTCCCCGGACATGCCCGACGACCAAGTCTCCGACGTGCAATCCGCGGCGTGGGATCAGCTGATGCATAACTGGGCGCGCAACAGCATGCAGGACCTGAGTGACCGCGCGCTTCTGACGGCCAGTTACTCCGTCGGGATGATGCTGGCCCACGGGGAGGCGTCGGCCGCGGCCGACTGGCAGGCCAGTAAGCAACAGAGGGCTCAAGCCTATACCACCGCATCTGATTAGGCTTCAGATCAAGCTTTATAGCCTCTTTTACCGCCTCAGAGTCAGGATCAGGAACATGACAGAATCGCTTAATTTGTTGGAATTGCTTTAATCCGATGAACCTGCGTGGCATATGAATTGGCTCCTTATCTCTCCAGTAGAATTCATCACTAGCGAGATACGAACCCCCGTATATATGAGAATTGCAAAGAGCACCTTAATATCATGCTATTCCCGACCAGTTTCTCCTGTACCTTTGGTCCTTGCATATTTATTGGTGTTTTTTGAGAACATGATAATCAATTCCTCTGGAATAAATGAGAAGAGGCTGTAAGCACTGAGATCAGTCCCAAATGGGATTTGTGCACGAGGAGCAAAAGGCCTAGCTATCTCAAGAGGTCTAAAAGCGAAGGTCCTGCGGGAGAGTTACGCCTCGGTGCGGGAGCGGTTCCTCGCGGCCCCGATGACCGCGTCATATCTGTGCCGGGCATCGAGGACAGCTGCGGGTGCCGTTGCATCGGGGGATCGTGGATCATCCGACGTATGAGCCGGGCGAGGAGGAGAAGTGCATTGGGACGAGGATCAGTGAGGTGTATGTAGCCCTTCGGAGGGGAGAGGCACGTGGAGTGGTGGTGGGATGTTGGTAGGGGCTTATTAGATAACATCAATAATTTCCATTCAGATTGTATGATTTAAATGCTTCGTGCAGATGCCGTCGCCGGTACAATCAATGCTGGGGCTGTTAACTAATCGAAACCAAACTTGCGGAGCTTTGTATTAATATGTAAGTTATGTTCGAAATAGCTAATAAACCTTACCAGGATTTCTCTTCGATTTAGGCCATGATGGGGCTTTATGCGTGCCGAAGTATGCTAATTAGCAAGATAAACGTGGACAAATACCCAAAAAAATACGCACCCGAAGCGAATCGTGTAACGTAGATGACGGGGTCATGCAACGCACTTCCTCTCTAACAACCAACAGAAAGTCCTAATGGCGCCCAAAGTTATTAAGCACAGAGATAGTGCTCCCCGCTGTAGCCCTGGAAATTCATACTGCTACACTGCTGCAAACATCCATAGCAAGGAATTGGGATGCAACTTTCTTGACGAAAACATCACAATGTAACCCTATCTGAACTCTGTTGGTTAGAGCTTAATAAGTCTGTAGACCATTCCTATTACCTATCCAGTTACAATCAAACCGTTCTTTTAGATTATCTTGGTCCGTTTCCGGCACATAGCACTGCGCTCTTAAAATGTAACGTGAACTTTACTCCCCATCATGGGCTGAGGATATATAAAGCTGGGCCATGTACCTAGAGAGTCCAAATATCACTACAGGACTATCCACATTCATTCTGTTGACTATCACCAGTTTTACACGCTATTTTTCCCCGCTACTACCTCCACAATGCAACTTAATACTCTTTTCTTCTCCTTTGTCAGTGCAGCGCTCTTTAGCAGTGCCATTGCCGGCAAGGACGATTGCTACAAGATCGAAAATTTCGGACTCAAGGAAAATAACTGCAACGATTGTCGTCCAGGGTTTAAATTTGTCCCGAGCCACATTGCCTGTGAAGTTAAGCACCAGTGCTGCATCGGTGCCTGCTGCCCACATCACTAAAGGGATAGACTAGAGGGCATAGGTAGGGATCTACCATTACACATTAAAAGGGAGAAGGCTAATTTAGTCTTTCCCCATCTTCAGACTTCTACAGACAATTAATCAAGAAGAGAAGATGGTTTCTCTGTTATGAGCCTCCTGCTAAGGTGGATAGGGTTAGGAGAAAACACTTCTTTTATACGCTGTATGTTAGCAGGAGTACTCTCTGGTCTATTATTAATATCAAATTGTCTGATGGGTATATGTGTTGATGTCCTACCAACTATCTAGCATGTCTCTATAGTCACTCTATAATTGACGGTGTTCCTCAAGTCCCGGAATGCTCGCTTGGATATTTGATCATTATCTTCTATTTGCGTTAGATAGTGGCCGTCTAGCTAGGTAAGGTATAGTCATTTATTAGTACACTATACAAGTAAGTGGATTTTATCTAAGTTTCTCGAGTCAGTCCAGAGAGAGTAGTTAATAGGCTATTTTACTCTGTCATACCTGGCAAAATAGAGTAAATACAGTATCGTTTGTTCTCACAGCGTGCATGGTGTAATATAGTCTTCGTCCAATCACTCATGTACGACAAGCAGAGTGAAAGTCTTATGCTGCAGTCGACATCAATTATATTCGAACCAGGTTTCGCCGAAACATTCATGGCAGATTCACCTATAAAAATCCATAAACAACTATGCAGACGCATTAAATCCTGGCAGCTTACCAAAGGGTTGAAAATATTTGCCCTCATACTTGATAGGGTCTACATAAATGGGCACAGTAGCGTTCCAGTTTATCATTACCATTGCCCTGATCAGTCCATTGAACCGAGTCGGGTTTCTTGACCATGGGGCCGAGCGAGAAATTAACATACGGCCCGTCGTTATCTTATTCAGGATATAAGAGGGGTTCCGTCGCATTAGGTAGTCCTCCCAAAATACCTTGCGCGCGAGATACATGCTTCCATCAATACTCGGAAACACGAAGTTTCCGGTGGCGGCTGTCGGATTAAGAATTCCAGGGGGCAATTCGTTCTTCTGGGTCATTTCGAGGTAGAGCAACATGTTGTTTTCCCCACCGTCTTTGTTCTGGTCGCCATTCGGATCGGTATAGGGGTATGTCTGAAACTTGAGAGCTAACGGGTGAAGGTTTGGTTTTCCTTATCAGCCTTGTCTGGGTTATTGTTCTGCAGCATATATGCGGCCGTCTTCTAGTACAGGAGGACTTCCTTATCTTTGTCAGTTTCTCCCTGGAGGTTTTGCCCCCACACATCCCAGAGTGTGTCAAAGGATAACTTCTCAGTTGTCCCTGGTTACTGGTAGCTTTTGAGGTCGCTCGGCTTCTCACTAAATAAAATAAAATCAGTACAAATCCTTGTTTTGGATACAGACAGACACACTTGAAATTCCGCATCTTTGCGCCTGTGGAGGCACAGCCAAAGTCAGCCATGTGTTATATTTAGAACTAATAACATGAAGTGGATAAGTTACCCTTACCATTAAAACCAAGATACACCCTGTGGATGTCATACTCTCCTGGCAGGTAATAGCAATTGACTAATTTTTATGCTTATCCGATCCTGGAGCAACAATACCGTTGGTCATGTTAACGTCGAAAGTGATACTCCAACCTGCTATGTCGATATCCTTCCACTCCTCTCTTGCACCAAACCACGTTAGTGTAATGTATTTTGTATATTTTCCCGGTGTGGTACCCCAAAACCAGGGTTGTTCCTACAAAGTTTAAAGGCGTGGCCAGAGAGAACAGCGGAAAATCAACCAAGGCCTTCATCTACTTATAGGTTTCCGACGCGCTGATCACCCCACAAAGATGTCTTGATAGTGAGTAGTTAAACAGCTACGTACCTAACAGCCGCTGGAACAGTACTCAATAGATTGGCAGCCTTTTTAGTATTAATGCCGAATGGAACAAACTTGCTGACCTTCAGCTCCCCGTACCTCCCAACAAAGCGGGTTATGTATGCTGGCGAACTCACCCCGACCGTCCATTAATGCCCGAGCTTAGACGAAGACTGACCGGCCATCGTTCTGTCCCTAAATAGACTTTCAGCCCCGACCCACATATGCCCATAACTACCTTTGTCTCATCTGCGAATACATTCATTGAGAGCCACCCGTATATTCTTGGCCATGTGGTTTGACTTTATTAAGTACTGCCACACGGCGATTAACAATAATCTGAATAAGGAGCCAAATGTTCTTGTAGCCGCTTAGAGTCTCGCTGAGGGCTCTGTCAAGCTGTCAAGAACTTGCGCGGGTGTCAAGCACCTGCTTAGCAGTTTGCCATCGACTCTAAGCACTCCCATAAATAGGCAAGGTCAAGCTTTACCTCTGTGGGCCCAACCTCGGGGAGAGGCCACACGCGTGAGGCGAGCAAGTGAGCTGTACGCCGTCGTGCTTGGCACTTAGTTCGGGAAACAATAAAAGAGATAGGGATAAGGTGGCGACACCGGTTTCCAGAAAACTGCACCAAGTTGTTACATAGAAGTCTCCTAAGAATGTAGATCTATTTCAGTCCAGAATGGAAGGGCAAAATTAAAGATAAATTATGCCTAAGCCCCTGTGGGAGACTCCTTTGGTATAATAATATCTGAGACTTGAGTTCTGTTATTTTCTGCTTCAAAGCCCTTTTAACACTGTTTTCCCTTATAAGCCAAAGCCCCCTTATAACAGACCAATTCTGACTCTCTGAAGTGAATTTTTAAATTTCAAGTGAAGGGATAAGCAGTTTGAAGAAGCATGAGTAACCTTTGGTCTGACGCCGAGCTTATTGTTGCGGTATATTTTACGTCTCGTGGGTTTACCGATGCTGCTGTATCCCAAATACTCCGTGCTCGAGGTTTCCGACGCTCTTGTGCTGCAGTGTGTCGAAAGATGCAACATATTCGAAACAAACACCCTATTCTTCAAGCAATGGACCAAGACTGGGATATTAATGCGGTAGACTTATGGCTAGATGAACTGAGCCTGGATCATCAAACTGTCAACCATCTTATATCCTGTAGCGACCTCGAAGGAAAAATAGCCGCTAAGGTACGCTATTACTATTACAAACAAGAATATTGCTGACCAGACTGCTTCTAGCATGGAGTCACTGAGTCTATCTTAAAAAAGTTAGAACGTGTGAATTGGCGTTGGATGATTTATATTCACCCTAGCGAAGGAGAGAATTCCAGACCCCTGTCAAATCAACACTTTCTATAAACAGGAGAAATAGCCCTAAATTTACGGAAGCTTTTACAAGAAGCTCCGCACTAGGGCAAAATTGATGGTAGGATAAAAACTCTTCTAGCAGTCTTGTCGAGCGTGTCTAATTAATCTAGCGGGACCTCAAACGTCTCCCATTCCTTTTGCAACTGTATCACTATCAACACCATTAGGAGGAAACAGACTTTTCTAGATCACATAATAAATGGCGTCACGCATCGACAAATTGACGCTAGCGTGCAACAGCGCCCTCAGCTCGAGTCTGGTGAGTCTTCTTTAGACCTGCCAATTGATGTCCGCCACTTAGGTCTTCGCGAAACCAACAGGCTACGAAAGAGACGAGCAATCTCCCTGGAATCAACAAAATCATCGGGACTGGAGATAGCGAGAAATGGCGAAGACAGTGGTAGGACTATTATATAAGCCTTTCTATTTCTATAATTCATTTGTTTTGGATTTGCATTCTGTACTAAAGTGCTTTAGATTAATCAGCTACTACAAACGCCTAAGTGTGAGAACCGACCCCCCGGGGTACGGAGTAAATGCTCGGTCACGACCCATCTTCATTGTATTTCATATTTCCCTCGCCTTTACATTTTCTCGGATTGCTTTTTGTTTCAGGGCCACAGCGTGCAACAGCACGAGTGATCCAGTAGTGTTTGCCGAGCGCACTCGTCGATCCTTAATAGGAATAGCGTATCACGCGTGATAGACATGGAGTGCGTCAGAGAGGTTTCTTTGGTTATCAAGAATAGGACGCTTAAGCCCTGGCCAATCACTTGAACAGAATTCCCTAAAATTATAATTATTAGATACATTCATCTGGCAAGATGCCCTAAGTCCATAGTTGGAAAAGTTGCGTCACGCGTGATACACGGATTGTGGGTTGGTCATCGCCTTTTGATTGGCTTTTTATTATCTTAGAAGGATGACGAGTTTGAGAAAATCGCTCATTATTATATCTATTTAGTACAATTAATGCTGCCTGACCGAGTCATCTTGATAAGATCTTATTAGATGTACTTACTGTGGACCGAATGAGCCCTGGTGCCTGGGATTAGACCCTCGGTGGATGGCGCTGCACAAGCGTTGAGGACCATTCGTTCTATTCTGCTAGTAACTCGTAGAAATTCCATTTGGACCTGCGCTGCCATTTCCGGCCACCCGCCCGCCTGGGTTTAGCCGAGGCCGGGAGCTGCTCCGTTGCGGTTTAGCGTTCCTCGATCCGGTTTGGCGCCTCCCGCCCTCCTCGAACGGGAACTGCCGTTCGTGACCGCCCGTCCTCACTTATCCAGCTTGGCTGACTGGTTCCCATCCTACAGCGAGCTGAAATTTCTTCTCGTTACATGACCCAACGTCTCCACCGATGGACACAATTGCAATTCTGTGACTGGCTTCCTTCGGAATCAATTCACCTCCCCCCCCCCCAAAAAAAATGGAAAAAAAAATCCGTTCGGGTACCTAACATGCGCTGGGGATGCAGACACCAAGTAAGCGGTCTTTCCTCCTGGATGATACGGAGGGAAGAGGGAGGTTGCGGTTCCCCCCCACCTATTGCGAGCCTATTCGACAGCAGTACTCCTGTGATTACAATCCCCCTGTTTAGGCTTCATCTCGTTTTCTTCTCGCTTCCCCTATATTCACTTCCTCTCTTATCACGACAGCCGATTGGTATCCGGTACCATTGGGTGTCACTGTCGGGTGTCCTGTCCTCGGTACCAGATTGAAGATACCACGCGAGCCCTTGGTTTCCTCTCTGGCCTGCTACTCCGCCGCCAAATGGACATTCTGCCAGCCAATTTCAAATCGAGTCCCAGTGATACACCGCCCCATCGGCAGGCGTATTACGGCCAATAGTAAAATGGCGGGTAATTCTCCAGTCTGTTGCCCAACTGGCAATGCCTAGGACCAGCTTTATATAGGAAGGCTCTCGGAAGATTCAACCTTCAAAATTTCGAGGCGGGCTACAAGGGCGAGTCTCTTGTTCCCAGAACTGCTAAGAGTAAACCTCTTTGGCCAACCCCCACCCCCCAAAAACCCCGAAAAAGTGCCCCAAAACCAATCGCCACATTCCTCCAGAATGACCGGCCGCTGCTCGCCAATCGGCTCTTCCAGCACAACTAGATCCTGCAGCCTGGTCCTGTGGCCCCCTGCGGATCTGTAAAACACCGAAACCAACAGCCCGCAGTCACGCCGTGCGGTGCAATTTCAGCCAGTGGACATCGACTGAAGTAGTAATCTGCCGTCCTTCGGGGAAATGATCTGCAGGAAAGAGAACCAGCACCCACACCAGGACTCCGAGACAGACCGTCACCGTCCCCGTCGTCGTGGGCTGAGACAACTGAGGTATTTTAGACAGCACCAATATCTCCAATCCATCCCTCCATGGCACCCCTCCCATCAGGAAGAGTTCTGGTTGATCTCGACAATATCGAGTTCTACAGGTCGCAGCCCTCGAAACAATTACAACCGGAAGCACCTGCTGCGAAGGTGAGAGCTCCCTTTATCCACCCTATTTTACCACTTCCTGGCATGCTCTCCATTCCGACTGCCTGCTAAATCGCTGCTAGAAGCGATAGGGCGCCTCTATCTTCCGCTCCGCACGACGTGGATCCTGAAAATCACCCTGCGCGGTTAAATGAGTTCGATGTCGAGTTAGCGAAATCCGCAGAACCGGTGGACGTATTTGCCCCACTGGATATGAGCTGGGAGGGGGACAGTGGCCTCGCACGGCAAGGCAATAGCAGCATTGGCTGTGATACCGTTACTATCTGGAGTCCGGCAGTTTTTTATCCACTACAGCCACTCATGTTCTAAATAAGCAAGATTGTCTCTCCGGTGGGCGTTTATTTTGTTCTGTACACCTGCTCTATTATATGTCTTGGCTAATGCATTTTTGCAGATCCACTCCTTATCTAGAGTGACATCGACAACCAACCTCCTGCCCCTGACTCTTTCGTGAATGTTAACAGCCATGATGCCCATATCTCCTCCGGTGGTGACACGCAGCCCTCCACTTCACAGAAAGATCCTGGTATTGGCGACCGAATCCATTCGGATGCAGGTTTCCGCCATGATGTCCACCGCGAGACGAGCCCTTGCGGGACTCCCTCAAGATTTACGCCACAGAACGATGTAACCCCCGTTACCGCGCGAGATCAAGGCTACGAGAGCGATCAGGGTGATGTGGGGAGATCATATACTTTTAATGATCGCCTAGGTGGCCGCTTGTGGCCGTTTGAGCAGGAAGACTTAGGATCAGATCGTCATATGATGAGTCTAGCCGCACCCAGTCAATTGGCACAGCTTACAACTAGCTGTGAACGTCAGCCCACGGTCGCAGCGGTGGTCCCGCCACCACCTCGACGGAAGGCATTCGCGGTGGCCCAAGCACGAATATCTACGTCTGGAAGCCAGCAACCCCGCCGTTACGATGACTCTCAAGATGAGAACAACGCTCAGCACAACAGCCAGCCCGGTATGTCAGAATCCGGGGAATGTCAACATCGTTCAAAGAGAAGAAGGATTGTGACCCAGTCCGTGAAAGAAGCAAGTGACCATGCACTTTCTGGGCAATCCCCAAAGTCTCCAACTAGCTCAAAGCCTATGTCGACATCTTTGTCGTCGGCAGGTTGCTGCAAAACTCGAGATATTTTTGGGCGAGCCATCCTTACCGTTGAGTCTCACGGATCAGAGGAGTCCTATTTCTTCTCATTCATCCCAACTGCACCCAATCAGATCAACACACCGTCATTGCAATCCGCTTCCCACGAGACGCTGGGGCGCACTGTCGGCCTTTCGCATGCACCTCCTGCTAGCAACTCCAGAAAATCTGTGGGAAGAAGGCCTTATTCATCCGCGGAGGAAGCTCTTTTGGTCAAACTGAAAGAGAACAAGAATATGGATTGGGAGGAAATTGCCCACCACTTCCCTGGTCGAAGTGTAGGAGGTACATTATTCTACGAAAGTCAGGCACAACGCTGCTAGCCGTCGCCGGAGGCTTCCAAGAAGTTCCAGAAAGAGCAGATGATAGGTTATTTTATTTCATTATACCTGGCAAAATAGAGTAATACATAACAATTATGTCGACCAAAGTGGGCCTACTCATTATTCAGCATCCGCTCGGTCTGACTTTGTTTTTTCACCTTTTTTATTCAGTTCTCCCAGATAGATTCAGATAGTTCTTTCAATGCAGATCCATTATTATTATGATTGGTAATAAACTAGCTCATACGCGTATTCAGCAGACTGACACAATAGTGCTCCGTAGTGTGCATGCACAGTCCACCTCAATACGTTAAATATTACCAACATCTAATATATCGTTACCAGAATGGCCACTGTCACTATCAGTCTCGCAACCATTCGAGTCGCATTGGCAATCCAAGGTTTTCTCTGCTGAGCAGGCACTCAGCACCTGACGTGCACCATCTACATGATCTAGAAGGTGTTCATAATCGTCTTGGGACATGATACGGAAAGAAGAATTGCGGCGACCTTGCTCGGTCAGGAGAGCAGAATTGCGGCACAGGAGAAATTGAGTCCATCCGAAACAACGACCGTGTGAAAAGTCGCCGTAAGCGATGACCATTAAATTGGGTAGTCCGGATGGGCTAAACGCCCCATTTTGCGAAATCCAATAATATATTCTTCATAACTGTAATTTCCTTTGCAAAACTTTGCATATATAATTAAGGTAGTGGCAGCTCACGCTCAGTGAGCGTATTAATCCATTTAATAAGCTGCTGGTTAAGTAGTTTTGGTCCACCAGTTTAGAATGAGATCCGCAAGATTAAGGCCAGTTCCAGCTTGCGTAGCATCCTCTGGCTCAAACATCCTTTCATCCAATAACTCTATCAGCTCTTGCACAGATCCTTCACCTCTACTGACAATCTTAAGATTGACCAACGCCCGCTCTGTGTCAGGATGTTCACTTCCCAATGTGTCCTCTCTTGTCTCCAACACAATTTTCAACAATTCCACTGCGTCTTGTATGCGTCCTAAGGCGCTATAGCCAATTGCAAGGTTGGTCATCGCCTTGAGAGTATCAGAATGTTTGCTCCCTAGCCTCCTTTGCATTGTGTCCAACGCTTTCTCCGACTGTTCCACTTCCTTCCATGGACATCTTAGGCTTATATAGTTGACCGCAGCCCGTGCAGTGTCAGGATGTTCACTTCCCAGTGTGTCCTTTCTTGTCTCCAACACAGTTTTCAACAATTCTACCGCGTTTTGTGCGCGTCCGAGACCACTATTGCTGATTGCAAGGTTGGTCATCGCTTTGAGTGTGTCAGGATGCTTATTGCCTAAAGTCCTCTGCATTGCATCTGTTGCGTTTTCCAACAGTCTCGCGGCCTCCAGTGGACATCTCAGGTTATTATAACTAACTGCTAGGTTGGCCGTTGCCCGGAGCGTGTCAGGATCATGGGGGCCTAGCATATTCTGCCTTGCATGCTTGACCTCTTCATCCATTTTCTTACACTCCCGCCTGCGACCCACGCGCATATAGTTATTCGCAAGGTTGACAATAACTTTCATAGTGCTGGGATGTTTGTTTCCTAGTGCCCTCCGCCTTTCCTTTAGCACCATTTCGAACTGCTCCGCTGCATCCACCCAGCGGCCTAGTTCATGATAGATGTGTCCGAGGCCGGCCCTAGCAAGAAGAGTATCGGGGTGTTTATCACCGAGGTATTTCTGGCATGCTTTTACCGCCTTCTCGTTCAAACCTATTGCCTTCTGTGCATGGCCGTTTTCCCAGTACACAACTACGAATGCGGCGGCTACTTCACCGAGATCGGGGTTTGGATTCTCGCTTAAAAGCTGCTGGTCCTTGCATAAATTGATGCAAGAATCGACATGAGGGGCTAACGACTGTCGAAAACTGTAGTCAGAAGACTGATACTCCCAGGAAATTGCAGCAGCTAAAGTGAAACTGGCAATCTCCCAGTACTGCTTTTGCAGTTGCTCGGTACAGCGTTCTCTGGCCCAACTGTGCACCAGCGGATGCATGGACATGCGGCAGCCTCTTGTCTCACTCTCTTTCAAATCATTGTTGATTTTTACCAAAGAGAATGACTCCAGACATTTTACTGCTTCTTGGATCCGGGATAATTTGCATTGTGCTGACTCTGGGCCAGAATTCATGAAAAATAGGTTTGACGTCTTCTTCCATAAGCGTACTCTCTTTTGTCTGTTCTTCCAGGCCTGCTCGAATATCTCTTCTGTTATCCCTTCATGGTGCAGAAAACCAAAGACTCCAAGAATATGAACAGCGTCACTCGAAGTCCGATTCGACATATTTTGTATGGCTTGAATAGAAACATTAAAAGTTCCGTACACTGAGTACTTGTATGAAGATTGCCCTTGGAGTGAGCGATATTGCAGCAAATTTTTCTGTTGGTGCGAGTAGATATCGCAGTATTCACTCATGCTCCTACGGCAGTTTCGCATATATGCACCAGCTTGGTCAATGGCGAGTGCGTGGCAGCCTAACGTCTCAACTAGACGCTTTGCTTGGTCTTGTGTAGCATGTTGGTCATTAGCAGCTTTCAGGAGGAAATCGACTGCTTCATTCAATGGCATCCGTTCGAAATACCATGAATTCTGGGCTCTGGTAGCATATGCGCCGTTGCGAGTAGTCAGTAATATGCAGATCTTGTCACCAGCTGGAAAGTATTCAGAGACGTCTGACTTTGGATCGTCAGCATTGTCAATAATCAAAAGCCGGCGCCGGTTAGTGTTTGACAGCCATGTTTTGACCCTTTTAGAATCCTCTTCAATCCCAGCGATATGAGCTATTTCGACGAGACTTTTCGTCGCTGTCACACGGTTACTTGCATCGATACGAAATACCCCGTCAAAGCTGCACAGTGTCAACATTATAATGCAGAAAACTAATGAAAGCTGTAAGGTAGGCAACCTACCTCTTACGGAAGTCTTGCGCAAATTTTAGACATGTCTGGGACTTACCTGCCCCTGCCATGCCATGTAGAACAAATATCGTTTGATCTGTCGGCTTACCATCTGAAGCTAGAAACACCTCGCTAATCTTTTGGATGACATCTGCGCGACCAGTGAACATCCGGCTTGGGCTTTCAGAGACATTAGAGAGGCCTTCTATATCTGTTACTGAATTGATGTTAGTATTCTATTGAGCCCCCTTCGGCCGGATTTCGGTCCGTTCTATCTCAGTAAAGCAACTTACCAGACCTCTTTATGTTCCTGTCTTCTGTCTCCCTCAGGCGACATTGATAGTAGATATATTGACTCCCAGGGCCGCTGTTGCTATGTTGGGATCCGGATCCAGTGTTAGCGTTTTGGGTACCATTACTAGTATTGTTAAATTCCATTGAGAGGTTCAGAAGTATTCTGCGACGACTGAATGTACAGCCAACAAGAGAAAACCTTGACACACGGAATCTCATTCGGCAGTCCCTGGCATTATAACATAAAGAAACACCACTTCAGTCGATGCCGTTAACATACTGACTTTTAAAGTCTTGTGGCCTGCTCTTTGACTTTTCGTTAGAGGACAGCCTTGCACTCTTGTCCGTATTTTGGCTTATCACACTGCGTTAGCGTTGAGGGTGCCCTGGCCACATAGGCACGTGCTAGATTCATCCGGCCATTAAGACAGATGATCCAAGGACCTGTGCCAGCTACAACAACAGTGCTAAAAGTAGCTATTTTCCAATGGGTAGCAGCGAATGGATGGACGCACATCCTGTAGGGTTGGCCTTCTTTCCAACTCTCCCCCTCCAATCACACAGACAAAACATACGCGCGCTCTCTCTCTCTTTTCACAGCTCTATAAATAGAACTGGCTCTCTTGGAGACAACTCACCAACACTTGCATGGATTTTGTGATAACCTAATCGAAGTCTACGACATTCCCTTGCGTATCCAAGCAGCATTCTCAGGGTAATTTCTCAACCGTTGTTTCCTGCCTGCCATTTGCAGCTAGCAGAATAGACTAGTAAGTTCGCAAAGTTACGCAAGGTTATACCTCGAAGAAGTAGTTAGGACAAGTCATAACCCTGAGCCAAAACCCGGGCGGGGTATTATCCCTATCAGTACTTGGGTGGAGCGCTCGTGGTTTTTTACCGGAGCTTTCCACTATCCTTCATCCCAAGGTCAGCTATCATCAAAGTACTGTATCACAGGCAAGTCTTAAGAGCTCACCCATAAAGTATTCCTAATTATAACTGAAGGTATGGTAGTTATTTGCAGTTGATCAACTGTATACGCTCTCGTTGGAAATGCTGGATATTCAAGCCTCTGAAGTCATGTTCGCTATTGATAACACGTTGTTGACACTCGAGCACGTCACGGGAGTTTCCAGCCACATTAATAATGCAGACGATCTTCCCAAGGCCTTCAACGAGGTAGCTGTCAGGGTCCCCCTGGTTATACAGACTCTCACAGTCGTCAAAAGTCATGTGCAGGGAGAGGAGCGAGAGGAAAAGTTTTGTCAAGATGTCAAACATTCTGTAGATGAATGTAATGGCAGAGCTCTGAGGTTGAAGGAAATATTCTCAAAAGTCCTCCAACCAAACGATACTCCAAGAATGGAACGTTATCGTAGTGCCGCCAGGGGTAGGGATGGACAAGTGGAGGTTCTCATGAAGTTGATGCTAGAAAACATGCTCACGATAGCTAAGTATCTAGCTATACTGGGACTGACTACAGTACAAGTCAACGAGCTAGAGGTAGCGATACAAGATATCTCGGCATTACCCTCATCGCTGCCTGAGGAAGGTATCCCTTACTCATTTTACAACTACGGATTGGGTCATCAAAATGTCAATACTGGCACCGGGGATCAAAATAATAACACCGGCGCAGGCTACCAGTTCAATGGTACATTTCAGGGACCGTTCCAATTCCCCTCTCCTCCTTCAACTAGCTAGCTATCCGACGTGACGGCCCTCTCACAACCGTTCTCAGGGTAGTATTTGGCTGTTGTTATTCGGGGCGTTTTGTGTCTACAATATTAGGGCTTCCTCCCCTCCCATGTACTCAACTTGCAGGTAACAGTTTCTTCCTACTAGAGGAAGCCAAGTACTGGGAGGCCTACATGTTATTCTAGAAATAGCTAGTTCAGTTTTGTTAACCAGGAGCATAAGTATCTCACAAGCACGACTTAGCCTGTGAAAGGGCTTGTTTGTAGGACTCATATATGAAGCTGGTCGTTTGTAGTCGCGGCAAATATCGATCGAGTTCTATAACAGCTAGTGGGAGCCTGGCTATGAGCTAATGACATCCAGTCGGGTTCCAGCTGAGTGGACCCAAAAAAAGTTGACCAGGACCCAGCCGGCTCGGCACTATTATAATTCTGTTCTGAGTCCCGTTCAGCACCCTTACCTGAGCCCAAAATAACTAGGTTATTTTGGGTCCTGTTTCGTCAGCTGTATGCCCGACATCCATTTGCGTCGAGCCAATCTCTTGGTTTGGCTTATTAATTATTTCCGCTTCACCCAGGCTTCGCAGTCAAGAGGCTTAGTCCTTGACGCGTTGGCGCAGTATTGGTGCCCAAGTCTTGGCGTGGATCAATTAGGCATGTATGACAAGTGGGGTGAATGTGGAGTCATTGTCGGGAAACAAAAAGGTTAAAGTAGGAAGAGTCTTCCATTATAACCAGTTAGCAACTGGTTGGTGGGGCTGTGAATGTGTAGAATAATTTTTACTTAAGTTGGAATGGTAAATGAATTCTGTAAGGATGTTTTAATTAACCCTGAGCTTCTGTGGGTCCTCAGCGCACAGACCCCCAAAGCTCAGGTTTATCCGAGACCTTGGTCCACCCCACCTGGGTCCTCGGAATAAAGACTCCCCGTGACCCAAGGCCCATTTGATTTCGTGGTTGTCGCACAGTCATGGTTGACATTGGTGAGATAGAAGTTTGGGTGCTGTTCCCCAAGATTCTAAGTGGGAAAGTGATTACATTAACTCATTTTAGGATGCATAAGCTATTTCCTTCGTGTAGAACATAAAGATAAGACCTCCATTTGTGCTTTCACTACAAGCCATTCTTCTATCTACAAAAATTATCATGGATTGTCAACAGAGTACGTATATGAGCTTTTCTTGATCCTGAGAATCTCAACTCAGACAAAGCGGTCGCTGCAGTGAACTATTCGCCGTCCTTCAATTATGATATATCCGTGATGCCAGTCGCTGAAGTCATCACCACCTTATCGGGGATAAGTGCAAATATGGACACTGCTCTGCAAATCTACGGGGCCGAAAAAGATGCCCCTGGCCTTCCGGTGGCCATTCGCGACGCGGCTGAACGAATCCCGCTTGTCCAGTCCACTCTCCAAAATGTTAAGCTACACCTGAAAGAACACAGCCTGCATGAGGATAGTTGTACCTCAATTAAATCTATCCTAAAGGCTTGCAAAATCAAGTCCGACAGCTTGCAAAAAAATTTCGAAACAATGGTCTCTCGGAACAATAGACACGGGCTTGCCCGCTATTTTACTCAAGTGCGGGAGGTGGCGAAGAGCAAGCGGATTGAAGCACTCATGAAGGGAATATTTGAAGATGTACATTGTCTCGCAGAGAATTGTGCAGTAAAAGCAGCCACTGAATGGCAGGTTGGGAAGCTCGCCGGAATTAAAAACGAAGTATCAGCATTACCGCAATCAGTTCCGGAGCACCACGATTCCGTTTCGTTCCGCAATTTTGGCACGGGCTCACAGAATATTTTGACCGGAAATGGACCACAAAACAACAACACCAGCGCAGGTTACCAGTTCAATGGCACATTTACAGCACCCTTCCGATTCCCCAGTTCTCCTACCACACCATCTCCAGCACTGACTCGATCTTCGAACGAGAGAATGGGGACGTTGCAAACTTCTCTAGGCATTACAACCACCAATTCCTATTCATACGATTCATACGCCATCGCAATTATCTGTCCTATGGGCGTCGAAATGGCACCTGTTCTAGCAACGTTAGATAAAGAACATTCAACCCTCCCTTCTGCCAGAAAAAGGAATAATTACATACTGGGGGAGCTTAGCAACCACAACGTCGTGGTTACTGCGATGCCAGGGATTGGTAACAACAGTGCAACTGCTGTAGTCATGCAGCTACAGAATGACTTCAAATCTCTGCGATTTGGTCTGCTAGTGGGAATTGGAGGGGGAATTCCTGATCTTGGCAAGCATGATATCCGTTTAGGCGACGTTGTGGTAAGTAAACCAACAATGGGTTTTGGCGGTGTTGTCCAGTTCGACCGAGGCAAAGTAAACACGGATAGCTGCTTTGAGAGAACCGGCCACCTGAACAAACCTCCAGCAGTTCTGACAGCGAGTCTTGAGACACTCATTGCGCGGCACAAGTTGCACAGGAACAGAATTAGCGACCATATATCAGATATGCTCCGAAAGTTTCCACATATGGTTGAGCAACAGTATATACATCAAGGGGAAGAGAATGACATACTCTTTCATCATAAATATCACCACAAGTCTGGCAGCGACTGCAGAGATTGCAGAAGAGATATGGTCGTTAAACGGACTTCACGAGCATCGATCGCACCTGAAATCCACTACGGAACGATTGGTTCCGCGAACATCGTAATCAAGGATGCGGATACACGCGAGAAATTAAAAGAAGAGCTGGAGATCATTTGTGTAGAGATGGAGGCGGCCGGTCTTATGGATGAATTGCCATGCCTGGTTATCAGGGGCGTTTGCGACTACGCTGACTCACACAAGAATAAAAGGTGGCAGCCGTACGCAGCTGCTACAGCTGCCGCATTTACAAAGGAGCTACTATCCGTTGTTCCTCTTTGAAGTTTGTCTACTGTACTGTACATCATCAGTTCATCAAAATCAGAATCAGAATCAGCTAGTTCAATCAACAGACGGACTTGCACTGTGCTACTTCTTACTCAGTGAACCGGAAAAAAAAGATCAGGCCCCAACTAAATTGTGTCAACCTGACAAATTGTGACAGCTCAGGCGTGAACTCATGTGGAGACTTTCTACATTTTCTTGGAATGAGGAACAAATTGCGGGAGTATTCATTATTATATGTGATAGATAATTATACAACATTCAACTAGCTGCACGTTGCTCTGCTTAGTTGAATGAAGGGGAGTGTTATGAATATAGGATCGTCGAAGTCCTCGCTTATATACGTCTTCCACAGACGAATTCCTATATACTAAGTAGCCGTAGCACACCTACCCACACCACTTGCTACACTCATACAATTCAATGGCTTAGTCCTCTCTATTTAATGTCAATTCCCCTGACCTACAGTTGGTTCACAGCATTATGAAAAGGAATCATTATATAATACTCAGTGACCCCAGACCCCCACAGTAAGTGTGTACACAGTTCACGCGAACAAAAAGTAGAGATTAGAAAATAATAGAATACTACATTAGTGTCAATCTGAGCCCTCCCTGTTATTCTTGGCTATTCGGTTATCCCACTAAATCTGTCAGGAGCTCAAGGCCTAGGCCGAACCCTGCCTAAGGCACCAAGACATTATTCACTGTTGATCCCACAACATAGATTTTCCCACATTTCCTGTACGATAGAATTCTTTCTTCCTTCCGTTTGATGTTTCGTTAGATCGCTACCTTAGATATAATCTATCTATTTTACCAAGGTGTACAGAATCATCGCAACCAGGACAAAGATCCCAGGTCCATGAAGAGGGGTCCCAGCCACACGTCATTGGATGCCATATGCAGATACTGCTCTGCAGGATGATGCGTCTATGGCAATCGACCCCGTATAGCTTCTCAATTGGCGATTGCCGTCTCTTGTGCAATTCAAACACCTAGAGCAGGGGTTCAATCAAATTCTCGAAAATCAAATCAGGCGAAGCCTTCGCATGCTTCTTACGGGAGGACAGAAGATACTTTACCCGTTTCCAAATGAAAGCACACTCCTACCTCTACTCACGTCAGTGACGACACTACCTGACCCAAGTAGCTTGACTGCCCCTCCACCGGTCAATAAGTCAATGTATTCCGGGCGTGGAGGCCAGTCTTCAAGCCTCCGATCGCCCCAAGACCGATATTGTCGATCAAAGTGATTCTGCAGGTTGCAACTCCTCACACATATCAAACCAGAATGTACGGTCACGAGATGATATACATACTGAGGTCGATGAATTATCACAAGGCGTACAACTATCGGGATGCGTCGAACTAAACGGGACCTCGCCAATTCTTGGCGCAGGATCTTTGAAAATCCACATTGAACATACGTCAGGGTCAAGCAGCCTTAGGTACAACATCGAATGGCTCACACGAGAAGATGCAGCAAAAGTTGAAAAGAACCAAATTCAACCTACGTTGACGTGAATTCTCTCAATGATGAAGTCTCCTTACACAATTGCAAGACTGTTTATATTACACGTCGAGATACTGTAGTCAAACTTGTTTGGTGTCCAAAACTCTGACTAGACAACTAAGGATTCACGGGAGGTTGATTTTGTTGAGCCTTCATAAAGCGGAATTGGCAGAATTAAGGAATATCCCGAACAAGTTTTATTTTCTTAAGCGGCGTGACGATGCTGTGGGTGAGAAAGAACAAAATGCATCGGATTCTCTCAAGCTAATAAGCCAAATAGAATGATCAGCAGACGCATAGCTACTGCTTTAAGTGGTTTTCTCACCACCTTTTTTCTTTGTCTCGAGCCCTTCATTCCGTCGCATCTTTGGCTATATTGAGGCCCTTTGGTAATTCGTTTCTCGATGCTTGAATAAGCGAGTAGATAGCCTGAGCGAAGACCATGTCGGAACTCGAGAGCAAATATTAGAGCACGCCTCGTCCACGAGTCTTGCGATCCTACCTGATCGCAGATACCACCTCGAATGGGAGGCCCCTTTCTCAACTAACCTCTATGGGTTTAGGGTATCACAGGTGATAAAGTGTTATAGAGCTCCAGTTTTAATACTATATTTCTCATTCTTCCAGACCGCACTACTACTCAGGGAGGGCAACGATTAATCGAATCGCCGCCGATCGATAATCGATTATTGACAGCCGATCATCGATCATCGCCGATAATTTCTTGGCGCTGTCATAGAAAAATACAGCAAGTATTTAACTGTTACGGCCTACGAAACGGAGATAGAAATAAAGCCAAATCAACGTAAAATATCTTAAACTTCTTCTAAAACACCACTTGTTTGCCAGTGTTTTAGGCATTCTATCCTTTAATATTCTAGCTGATAGCTGCGCCCTTTCCCATGAGATTGTACACGTGCTCCTAAAAAAACAGTAGGTTATTACTCATTCTGGAATTAATAGGATATAATTGCCATGTAAGAAAGCCTTGGCCAGGCTTTTGTTGTTGATCCTGAGACCACCATGTAAAGCACTCGTACGAATTTATATGAGACTCAGAATTTTCTTTATATTATCCTGCTTGCAGGCCGAGCGAACTTGCGTAGGTCTTGAACAATTTATCAAAGTATAAGATCTTGACTTTAGACAGTTCTTTTATATAATGTACAACTATATAAAAGGTGCCCTTTCTCGATACTCTTCCCAAAGCTTTTTAACCTTTTGCAGTCAGGCTTTTGCCAGCTCTTTCTCCAATTGGCCTGAATGTACTTTGTACACGAGCTGGGTAAGAATAAGTGCTGCAGCATAGAGAGGCGAGTTATCAGATTTGCTGTAATACTTGTTAAAGATATCCCAGCATTTTAAATCCAGTACAGAATTCCTTATCTAATGCATGTTCAACCTGCCATATATATTAGAATAATCTTGTTATTAGTAATCAATGTAGTAATTAATGTAGTAATCTGTTATATTTTTTATAGGAAGTAGACTTACCAAAGCCTTTTCAAAATGCTTTATAATAACATCCATAATAAAAAGCACATTGTCAATTGTTGCTTGATTTCCTTGAGTTTGCAGCGTTGCTCGATCAAAAAGACTTAGGAATTTGCTTGTTGTGCGAAGCTTGTCCCAGTCTACTGGAGTTAGGTATTCTGTTTGAAGAGTATCAAAGTTCTTTTTTATATAGCTATCTACAGCACCTTTATACTGTAGAGCCACAGAAAGCATATAATACCAGCTATTCCATCTTGTACGGTTGTCAAGTGGAATTAATCTCCCAGCCAGATCTTTAAACTCCTTTGTACGACCAGCTGAACCACGAATATGTGTCACAATATTGTGAAGCTTTCCAAGTAGCCCTATTAAAAAAATATGGCCTGTTTTTGTATATTATTAATTTTATCACCCTTTACTTCTCCTATTGCTTCCTCCTCATCATACGAGCTAAGTTGCTCAAACTCAATCACGTCTCGAAACAGGAAGGCTTGTACAGCCAAGTTAATAACATGGCCAATGCAAAATATTCGCCGATATATAGGATCCTATTTAATCCCTTCTTCGTCTCTTAGATATGTGGCTAATGTACGGCAAAGCTTATTATTTGTAGTGTGATTATCACAAACAATAGATCCAAGCTTTTGTACAATCCCATAATCTTTTAGCACTGGAAGAAGAGTAACAAATTGCTCCTCTCCACTATAATTTGCCACTATACAAAGACCAAGGAGAGCTTTTGATAACTTCTCTTAACTTTGTTCAACAAAGTGAGCACAAATCCCAAGAAAAAGAAGCCGATTTGGAGAGGTCCAGATATTAAGTGAAAGGTGAATACTTAATAAAGCAGACTAAAGCTTTTTCCGTACAATATCCATCTGTGTCTGCTATAATTGTTTGATTTTTCCAGGGACTAAGTTATGTGCTGTAATAATACAACTCTCTGACTTAGGATTAAGCACTCGGCAAAAAGCATGAAACTCAGGCCATTCCACAATATAAAATAAAAGATTCCGTACAACAATTAATAAGACTAATGCCTTATTAATAACATCTTGATTTAATACCTTTTGAAGGACCTGAGAATCAACCTTTTCTGTTTTCCCTGAGGACTCTGCTTTATAATAAAGTTGCTGTAATCGATCCATTGTTGTTTGTTGTAGTGTGCTCAGGATTGGGTCAATAATAATCTAATGCTTTGACCGGAGATAATTTCGCATGTTAGTAGTAACTAAAGTTCTGTACAGTGATCCAGTACAATGTACACAATACTGGATTAAGGCGTTTTTATAAAATTAGGCCTCCCCATCTTGTGCTGGACGTGTATGAGACCATGTTAGCTGCACTGTGGCTGTTTTCCCCTTTTTAACTGCGTTTCACATGAATCTACCGTGGGCAAAGGTAAAAGATTAGATGAATCTGCGTCAGAATCCATTTTCGTATGATAATATAAAAGAATATGAAAAAGATAAAGAAGAAGTCAAGAAAACTGTTTATAGCGGTGTAGATAGTATAGGCGGTGAGAATCTGCCAATTATCAATAAATAATCAATCGATTATTGCCAAGACCGATAATCGATGATTAATCGATTAATCGGTGCGGGAATTTATCGTTGCCCACCCTGCTACTACTACTACTACTACATTAGGGCTAGACCCGTACTGTTTATAACAAGCGATTATCTGGGTTCAGTTTCGTAGTAGTATTCAATAGGAGACTTCAGCTCTACCCGTTCTCGCGTTTCTCGAATATAAAGATAGTGGCTTAGAGTTCGTCGGCCGCGTCCCAGAAAATGGACACTCTTGCTAGAGGCGGATTAACCGTAGGCGATAACAAACCATATGTCATCCAATTTCTAAGCTGGTCAGACCAGCGTCTTCGCGTGAGCCATTGTTACAGCCTGTTCAACAGCTTAGCTTAATGTAGCGTATGTAGCTATCCAAAGTCCAAGTGCATAAGCCCTTTTATCGGCTTCAAGGAAACCCTACCTAGTGTTGGAAGACGTGCTTCAGGCTGGAGGGAGAATCAGATATTTTGATGATCAATTTTGGCCGCAGTCTAGGAAATGCTGTCACGGCTCAGTCTAGGCCAGGAGATCTTCATATAACAAATGAATCTATTCCCGCTAACTAGGTAGCTCTTTGACGAGAATATCAAGCATGGAGAGGAGAGGAAGAAGGGATGGATCATGTTACGGAAACACTATAATCCGCCCGACTTGGCGGTACGGAGTATCTGACGATCGATTCAACCCCTGAATCCTTTAGATAGTAGAGCACCCAGATAGGAATGCAAGAGACTCAGTTGGTTGAGATACTGTGATTCCTGGTGTTTCCACCGAAGGACATCTACTTCCTAATTAGGCTAGTTGGCCTGTAGCTGATAGAATAGCTCCCTACGCCCCATTTCCCCTGAGTCCACAACAGATCATAAACGTCAGTTGCGGGGAAACCAGCAGATCACATGACCCAAGGTGACGAGGCCGTCACAAATGCAACCTTACTGATGCTATAGATGCTACGATACAGGGGGACAGTAGATCAGCAACAGGAAAACAGGGATTCCATTGCTCTTACTGTATTAAGAGGACACGAGGAACACTCTTCCTAGGAAGAGGACACAGGAAACGAAATGCAAAAACCAGTCAGGCCTCGGTCATCCGACCCTCCGCCTGGCGGAGGTGGGCAAGCGCAACTTCCATAGCAGAAATAGCGTCTTCTAAGGCCAAATGGCCAGTGGACAAATCCTCATGGACAGAAAAAGCAGGCGACATATCTTGAACACCGGGCAAGCGCAGGGCAGAAGCAGCATCGTCTAAACGGGACGTAGCAAGACGAATCTGAGCACTAGCTTCAGTAAGAGGAGTTTCGATCTCGCCTGAGCAGGAGAGTATATTAGCCCGAGCAAGACACATACATGCTCTATAGAGACTCACGAGATACAAGACAGCCAGGCGAGAAGGTTGGGCGAGAGGCACCAGCAGCAGCAGAAGAGCCAGAGACGCGGCGAGCGGACATGTTCGCGAAAAAACAAGCGAAGGGCGACTATAGGGGACCGTAGTTAGCAACACTGGCCCGAAAATGTCTAAAAGCTTCAGTCCATAATGGCTGCGACCCTGAAGAAGATAGAAAGATCTCAAAACCCACAGCCGCTCTAGGTCTGAGGAGATCAGGTGCAGAACAGCTTTTAGCTCTAAAAAAAAAAAACCTCGGACCAGGGGCAAGAGGAGCAGTACCAGCTCCAAAGAGCCAGAGAACCTTAAAAGAAAGATAAAAGAGAGGTTACCTACTGAGAGAGTAGACTAGCAACAGCACGCGGCAAGAGCAAGGACAGGATAAGCCGGCAGAGTGAGAGGCGAGAGGTACAAGGAGAAAGAAGTTAAGAGAGAAATAGGTGAGAAACTCAGGAGATCTGAAGGACTCGGTGACCATCAGGCAAGAATAGTGAATCAGGCAACGCCAGTCAAACTTCACTTCAGATCAGGTGAATATTGATATAATAACCTCTACTCTTACAGTAACTACAGGACTGCACCACAACATTAATCTGAGGCCACCCCGGACCTCTCCTGCATGCTCGCGCAGTTCGGGGACGTGATATACGAGAGAGGATCCCTGCGCCCAAGATCTTGGCTGAGGTCGCTGGCAGGGCTATTGCTATTCTCTGTCCTGTTAGTGACTACAGTATAGAATCAACATCGTTTGTCGCGCTTTTGTCTTAGCATTCGTTGTTATTCGTATGATCACCAGGGCTAGCTACCCTTGAGAGATCTAAAGACTCTGACTGAGATTCCCTTGTCACAATGTCAGCACTGCTCTCTCTGCTTTCTGGGCTCGGATCAAGTGGCTGAAAGCGATGCTGGTCTCTGCTAAGGGTGCTGTTATTTAGTGCTGGCCCCTCCAGTCGGCACCGGGTCTGGACATGGGCCTAGTTCTCGTCTTCCTCACTGAAGCCTTCGTCCAGCCTTCTTTTCTGTTTGACACGCGCCCGCAGTGCAGCAGATGTGCCTTTAAAATCAGTGGCGACGGGCTTGCTGAGATGGTTCTTAATGGCCTCGACATAGTGCAGTGGATTAACAGTCTCTGGAAAAAGAGCCAAGTTGGGAAGAAATGCTTCGGAGTAGAGTACAATATTAACATGGTGATCTCGTTTAAACTTACTTGAGAATTATATCTATGGGGGGATATATACCTTGTACAGTATATCTGAAGTTATACTCCATATACTCCATCCATACAGTGGATATCCTAAGGTAAAGCTTTCCATGGAACTATTAACATAGCTGTAAACACGTGGTAAAGATAGTCGTTATAGGCATCACACAAAAGTCTCACCGACTAAGCGGACTTGTTATTGGGTGTGGAAATTCCTGTGGGAATCCCATTACTTTTTAGCAAGGGATGTTAGTATATTAAACGACCCCGAGAAACACCCGGTTGGTCGGACTGGTTTAGAAGCCATATTATTGTTTGCCCTGGAAATTCTGAGGATAGGTAACCATAAGCCCATGTCCTTCCGTCGTGGGCACACCTGCAAAGAGATGCAGGAACTCTGGCGGTGCATAGCCTGGACGGCCTTGGTCGTATCGCTGTTGCATGAGTTGCTGCATGTATTGTTGCCGAACATGCTGCACGTCAACTGGGGACGGTACGGGCACATTATTGGCAATGACTGGCGGCGCCTCCTGCACGCCAGCTGGTCGTGTCATGGGAATGTTTTTGGGAGGGTAGAACTCGTGCGTCGGCGTGAATGAGTGAGAGTAGTAGGATTTCTGGGCGAGGAGACTCTGGTTATTCGCTACAGAGGTACTAATGGGGTTCTGGTATGAATGCTTGGATATTGCATCTTCTAAAGTTGGTCGGGTCGTCGTGCTGAGTGGGTGCGAGCGGTGATGTTTGGCCAAGGCGGTTTTACTACAAAAGCTGCGTGACGGCATCAGCAATACCAAGTCTCCACATCCACGTTCCAATCTCACCTTCGTTCGCATGTGGGTTCCTGGCAGATATAAAGCTGCTTCCCGGTGTGAACCCTTCGGTGGCGCGCTAGACTCGATGACTGGGGGGGAGTTGTTAGCAATTAAATAGAGATTAGGCACTATAACAAGGGGAGTCACATACATCGGAGAATGCCTTCGACATCCTTCGTGTCACAGAATGAGGTTTTCCCCGGTGTGGGTTCGGGAATGAAGTAATGCGCTCCGTGAATAAAGCTCTTGTTACAGTCCTTGACCTTGCAATGATGGGTCTTTCATTGGTGTGTGTTCGATAGTGCCTGCAGAGGTCGATTTGCGGTTGAAAGACTATTTTTAAGATACTATTAGATGGCCACTTTCGAAGGAAGTAAGACGTAAAGTACCTTGCCACAATACTCCCATGAACATTTAAAATCGCGTCCATTGCCAGGTGCCATGGCCGCGGGAGAGGCGCGCGGATATGTCGGGGAAAAAGTGGGATTACAGAATGAGGAGAGGAGAAACCGATGGAGGAAGATATTGGGGATAATAGGGCAATTAAGGGAGACGTTAAGATAAAGTAACAGTGAAGTAAGATGGCATGGAATGTTCACGGTTTAATAACAACAAAAGAAAAAAGGAAAAGAAAAGAAAGAAAGCAAAGAAAAAGTGTCAACCTGTCAAAGATGTTTATAACGTGGGTGGAAAAAAATCAAAGTTAAAAAAAAAGGGGGAAATAAAGAGGGGAGGGGCTTTATAGATATAATATATATAGGGGAAAAAAAAGGCAACCAACAGATATGGAGAAGCAGACTAATAAATAGGAGCGACGAGCGGTTCGGGGGAGGAATGAATTGGTGGATCGAAGGAAGAAACGTACACAGTAAGCGAAAAGTCGGGGAAGGTGTTGTGAAATTCAGGGGAAGTGATGCGCAGGGAGCTATTCTATCAGCTACAGGCCAACTAGCCTAATTAGGAAGTAGATATCATTCAGTGGAAACACCAGGAATCACAGTATCTCAACCAACTGAGTCTCTTGCATTCCTATCTGGGTGCTCTACTATCTAAAGGATTCAGGGGTTGAATCGATCGTCAGATACTCCGTACCGCCAAGTCGGGCGGATTATAGTGTTTCCGTAACAGAAGGAAAGCAAGCTGACCTTGGAAGAAATCTACTACGCGGATAATGGATCTAGCTTCCTTCTTGATGGGATCCCACATTGCTAATGCTCATTACTGTATCTGGCGGTATGTACACGTATAATAATAGCACTTCTCCTGTTCAGAGCACCTACTTACTCTATTCTGGGTATTTAATATATTCTGGGAGGTACACGTCCACTCTTATCGGAAAAGCCTCAGTGGACCCCAGTCATGGGTTATTCTGGTGGAGGCCACCTATCCTTGTATGAACATTGGATGGTTGTCAGGTAGGATAAGTATGAAAACGTCCACTTTTCCAGGGGTAATTAAGACGTAGGTATAGACATGTTAGGAATGGATCTACGTACCTGTCGCTACAGTAGGATAACCAGGGGGTTGTAACGCCACCATGTAACTAAGTCCGTATAGTAGGCATGATTAATTGGGTGGGACTATGGCACAAAGGCAACGAGCACTCATCGCGGGTCGGCCTGGCGCTCACCTTCTGGTATATCTATGACCACCGTCAACGGCTGTAGCTGGAGGGTTGCCCGGACCCGACGGGGTGGACGGTTAGTGACATTTTCCACCAGCTGCCCAAGAAGAGCTAGGACTATCAGCCGGTAGAGACGCGGGTCAAGGACTGGTGCTGGTGCGCGTGGCCCTAGAACAAACTTGTGCGCATTGCTGGCTCCCCGAATGTGCTATGTTCCCTCCCTTAGGAGATAAGATATTTCTCGTGCGAAGACGGGCCCTCCATGACGGCCTACCGAACGTTAAAAAAGGCGGAACTCGACACACTTGAGGCGCTTGTGCGGCAGTTTCGACCTCTCCTCCTAGTGGCCGTGCCGCCAACCTTCTTCGAGATCTTCCTCTACCCAACCGCCCCCCAGCCAGACTTTTTGCCGTGGAAGAGTGGAAGGAGCAAGAGACCCTGAGTGAGCCTTTGGATTCTGAGAAATTTAGCCACGCCTTTGACCTCATGCTCGAAGACTGCTTTTAGGAGAAGATAGATGCAGCCCCGCTTGTTTGGAGTGTCCGACATTTTAGATATTGCTCTATCAAACTAGGTCACTAATAGAAGGTGAGCAGGCAACTTCCAAGATAGTTTCTTTCTTACATTTTAACGATAATTATATTTATTTATTTAGACGCTCCCTGATGCTGTTGTTGTTTTTTAGCTGTATGGCTTTGGTGGTATAACTGGTATGTCATGCATAGCTCTAGTTTTTTACATAAAAAAATCGTATCTCGATCAGTCAAGGTCTAACATGAGGCAAAAATAACTTGTCTACTTTGTGCTAATTATTTAACCACTAAAACAGCCCTAAATGGCCTATAAACCTTGCCTACACGTCCATCTCTTTAGATAAGGTTCTCCACATCGAACAATTCTGGCTCAGACCTTGTGGAATTAACTCCATCTCTGTGGAGTTTGTTTGCAATCGTAGACGTCGTCCATCCCCAGACCCCCAGGGCTCCCAGTAGGGCGCCTCGTGGTATTTAAAATGATTGGGATTCAAAATTTTGACGAAACTGATCCAATAATGCATAACAACTGGCACAATAGCAGCATTCAAGCTGCCGTAGCTCGACGACTCGCTGCTTCCAGCGAAGCCAACCCCAAAAATAGCACTTAATTCAAATATGTGAGGAACCCCAAGACCCTCAGATATAAGCCTGGGTGCTTGGACGTTGTACCGATAATTCCATATATTATTGGGTAAGAAGTGGTCCGCCATGGAACTAGCTATTTTGATCCCAGGACACGTGAAGGTGGCGTCGCCATAGGCCGCAGAAATTGACGAAAAATACTCGCCATGTTTTGGTAGCTGAGATGTGCAAGGGTAGGCACGATGGATTTTCTCGAGGCTGTTAAAGTGGAGATTTGGATAATTCGCCTTAAAAAAACGCGACAAGTCATGTCTTCTAGAACCGTTGTATGCAAAGATAGAACCCTCGTCTGTGTCGTCACCGACTAGTAGCGGGACCTTCACAGTCTTTCCTTGCTCAAAGGTAGTATATAACTAATCCTTTATGAACCTACCATCAATCACAGGCAAAAAGTACCATAACGGTGGGAGATCACTGCTACCACCCGGGAAAGGTGTGGCAACATTTGCTGTCTGGATAGTGGCAATGTCTAACAAGCGTAGACAAGACATATTTGAGGACGCGCCAGAACAGCCAGTGTCTTTAAGAAACCGATTAAATTGAAATTCCATTTCTGAAACAGTACGCAATGTAGGCCAGAATGGAGACTCATACACAGCACCCATAAAAAGCCCATCATCCTGACCCCCGTAAGCTGCCATGTGATGGGCAATTGACCCAGCCCCGGAGGAATCACCGTGAATAACGACATGCTCCGGATTCCCACCGAACTATTTCAACGATTAGTCTGATGCATCGTGTGAAATCTCTCTACCGTACCTTATTAATGTGTTTCTTGACCCATAAAAGAGCTTTTCGTTGGTCAAGAAGGCCCACATTCAAGTCGCCATCCTCCTCAACTTCACGACTCGCCAGAAAACCCAAGGCCCCAACGCGGTAATTAAAGTTGACGAAAACAATCTCGTAGCCTGATTTTTAAATAACATTGGTTCCATTAAAATTTGCATTGGAATTGTTGGAATAGCCGCCTCCTTGTATGTGGACCCAAACAGGCAGCTTAGAGTTGAAAGTCGCGTTGGATGGAGTGAAAACGTTAATAAAGAGACAATCTTCGCTAAATATTGAATTGGACTTTTGATTGACCCCAATACAAGTCGGCCTGAACTGTGCAAAATGTATCTGTTACTTGGAGCCTTAAGAAGCAAATTTCTCAGCCTAATACTTACATAAAACGCATCCTGCACAGTTCCATTTTCTACAGGATCCTTAGGAGCACGGAATCTTAAATCATTTAATGGAGCTGCTGCGTATCGCATCCCAAGATATTCATCAACTCCAGCGTTAAGTCTCACACCTTGATACTGAGAATATCCTAGGTCAATCACTGGAGCCACTATCAGGCAATAGACACCGGTACGGATTGCCAAAATCAAGCAAAGTAATAGTCTCATCTTTGGGAATATTTGCTTATAGGTTAGTTTGTTTCTCTATCCCTACTTAGGAGTCTTCTCTGAGTGGCCTCAGTGTCACGTGATGATACATAACAATACAATGGCGGTTTTGTAATTTCAAAATCGGATAACCCATTATGAAATCCTTAAATTTTAGCTTTTTACACGTTTTAATTAGTTACATTTCAAGGAGCTCACTTTAACTAGTACCAATCATAAAACATGCAAATATAGTCCTTACTGTCACAGGCTGAACCTGTAACATACTATATAGGGCGCTAGATGCGACTGATCTTCGATCAGTCGTCTTGTACCTTTTTATATGGTCAAGTGGTTTTATCTCTACTAGCGCAGAGACAACCAAACCATCACACTTACCTTTCCTGTACTAGTGTAAATAAAATTCCAAATACGCTACTTTGGTTACATTTCAAGAGGTTGAAATTTCACTGTTGTTGCATTTCACCTCCCATACAATACACTAGTTATCTATTCGAATCAAGTATAAAATTAGCAGACCCAAGTCACCCAAATCTAGAGATTCTTGAACCGAGTATACTATGCGTTGCTTATAGAATAATTCTTTATATTTATTTCTACCCTACATATCGCAAGCGTGGGATTTATATATATATGTGCGGCAAACAAAGTACCGAGCGGCTAGCTTGTGTTTGAACTTGCCACCGACATTAATTACTGGCGTCATCGACTCTCGTTCAAAGATAAGTGTGGAGTAAAATATAGCGGTTTTTAAAGAAAGACATTTTTCGATCGTTCAAAGTTTGTTCACATGTGGAACGAACCTAACAGTGGATCGGTGCTTCTGGACCAAGGTATAGGCTTTGTAAATGTTTTATGGATAACAACAGAAATTAACTTTTTCCCTTGCTTTCTAAAGCAGAGCTATGTTGAAGTGTACTATTAAATAGCCCCGGTAAATTCTTCGTTGTACCTATAGAGTCTTTTATTATGAGACACACTATTCTTATCTATTGATCTATTCCAATATAAACATGGCTACACTTTCGCCAAGAAATATAACTACTGCGATTGACAGCAACACTTCTGTATCTTTTTTCGAATCGAGTTTGTCTGTTTTAAGCACCATCGGTGTATGTTTAACCGGTGTCGGGATCTGGGCGATCCTTATTACGCGGTTCACCCCTCTACATGCTATCCCTTTAGTGGCATCCATCGCTTGCGCAATTGCCAATGGTCTTTGCTATTATGCCTTCTACCGCCCATGCCCAAAAACACAAAAAGCAATAGCCAGCGTATTTGCTGATCTCTTTTGGCTAGTAAGCATAATCCCACTGAGTTTTGAGATATATAAATCAAGGCTTATTAAAAACACGGTGTAGGTCCAAGAAGCCGGACTGCTTCTTTACAGCTACCAGGTCCTTGCCCATATTCTAAGTGGGCGCACTCGCACTATATACATATGTATCTTTTGGGTAGTTATTTCCACTATTATAATGGTGCGAACAGTCATTGCTGTTATCAGGGCAATTAATATTTTTAACAATGCTGCATTATTGCAGGGTCTGATTAATTACCTTCATATTGGATATTTTACCTCGATTGCGTTTGTTGAGATTTACAGTGCAGTTTATCTTATTTGTCGCCTTCGACAGGCATACAGAAATGCACCTGTAATGTCTACGCGCCAAATTTTCCGGTTCTTGCTCCTGTCGACAGAACTACGGTTATCTAGCTTATGTCTCGTTGGCATTACGCGTGCCGTGACCTACCAATTTTGGACAGTGGAGCAGCATGCGGTTGAAATACCTGACCAAATTGATCGACTCGCATATACGCTGGAATGCCTGTTCCCAGTCGTGATATTGTAAGGAATCAATGCAATTGCAACTGTACGCTTACTAACAGAAGAAGTCTTGATATTCTTTCTCCCAAACCCCCCCAAAATTGTCGTTCAGGCTTCTCAACTGTCAAGTCACTGTCAGCTGAGACAGGGCAAGGGCCTTTTGTGCTCTCCTTTCCTGTAGATGGTTCAGAAACATCGTGAATATATTTTAAAGTGGCAAACATTCAACATTGCCTTTAATATTACAGAAACGAATTGTACATTCCTGGTGGGAAAACATAAAGTGTCTATTACCATACTTTTAATGGTCATCATAACATTAATGAGCGCAATGAAAATCTATATAACCAGTCTTATCAAGTATGGTTTAACCCTCATGTATTTAAATTTGGCTTTAAAAAATCTTGTTCGAATAAAGCAAGATTCTTTTTATCCTTTCTACTTATTATAATACTGAATATTCTCTTCCATGTCTTTCCCCCACACACTGCATCACGATGGCACTAGCCATTGTGAAACAACCATCTAATAATAACAGTAGCTGTGATTAACCACTAATATCGCTCAGGTGGGTATTATCTTGAAAAGGATTTTCCCGGAGATACACGTTTGAGGGTCTAGGGTTGGAAAAACCTTAATTGGTGGCGTTCAGTATTTAAATAAGTGATAATTACACCGGCAATGTTGACGCATGGAGATAAGTGCAATTCGGTTTGCCGAAATTGGTCATTGTACGTCTGCGCTCTGCCCTCTAAAGACTTAAATTAACAACTGACTTCTCGATTGTATTTTGCGCTCCTGGGGGATTGGTGTAATCTGAACCCTCCTGAAGTCCTGATTGGAGGCTTTCATTACGGGTCTGAGTAGTGGTGCACAGGGCGCGATGATGGCGGAAAATAGAAGCGCCTCGATGCATATAGTAACTGGAAATGTATCAAGAAAAAATTGTCGTTAACTTTGGGTGCCATGTTTAAGGAATACTGCTTCGGGAGATTGTTATACTAAGCAACCCACAATTTGTTAGATCACAGTATTTAGAGGATAAAGGAAGGTGGGAGTACATGACCCGTATCGCAAAGCAGCTAATAACAATAGCCTTCTTTCATGCTCCCATCTGAACTCTACAAACAGTGACTGTAGGCCAAATGATAAGAGCGACTTGTGCAATTAAGTTTTTGTTGAACTAAAGTAATTCTTCCATACTGGCTTTGAGGATGTCGTTAGTCTTAACATGAACTTTTATCTCTTAATTAAGCTAGAGCCACGTGGTTCTACATACCATACTAATGCACCTGTTAGATATAATCCCAAGGATGTGGGATTTAGCACTGGAATGCTGCGACAGTGAATGATAAGGTCCAGATCACAATTGCTGTGAGAAACAAAAGTTCACTTTAATGCTAAACCCTCTCAAAGGGTAAATAAAATGGCAGTACTAAGTTTAGAGAAGAACAGTACACATATCAAGGTCAAATTTGACCCATATACAACCTGTTTTATTCGAAGTCAGCTATATATATTTTTAATCCCAGAACAATGTTTTAGCCTAGATCATAAGTGATTAGTTCAGTACCTTTTGAATTAGGTGAATCTAATCGACAGTTAGACAATCACGTCCGTTTCCATAGCCATTGTGTGCTGCTACTACCAAGCATGTTGTGTGGGCGATACCGAATACCTGGGAAGCCAAGTCAATTAACACTGTTTTTTGTGTACTAAAAAAAGCTACGCCTATATATCTCAAAGAACATACAAGAGCAACGAAAATTGTCCAGTTATCCATGCATAATCGGCGTGCCATCCAATACTTCATTCCCACTCGCGATAACACAGCAATAGCCGCGAGGATCAATAAAATGCAGGCTACAACAGTAATGATTGGTGCCATATTCTCTGGTGAAATAGGCACCATTATAAATTCCGGTGGTAAGTAAAGAAACCGAATGCAGACAGTAAGTTAAACAGTCTAAACAAGTATTATAAAATAATCTGGTCTTCTAGGATGTGCTAAGTATATTTTAATATCGAGCAGAGTGAGGTGTTATAGAGTTGGACACTGCCAAGCTTTATTTGCGGTCACTTGCTTTGCCGCACGCAGTATATTTTTTCAGTTTGGTTACTAGGGATCTAAAATATATTAAGTTATACAGAACTTTTCCACACCGTCTTCCCCGGTTATAATTTTTTTTTCTTTATTTTACAATGTTTACTACGAAGCTTTTATCATGGCACGTGCTCTTTGGCAGCATGACCTGGTATCTGTAACTGGATTAGGGTGTTATGGCGTCAAGACTTTGGAATAAAGCGACACGCAACCCACATCGGGATTTGTTTGCCCATCAGTGGGTCTGGGTCTTAAAACAGTTTAAATGTGGTTGCCCTTGTTTGTTCCATGGAAGGTTAACTTAGTTAACTTAGATCTGGGTTTTATATAAGCACAAACAGTAGCAATACCTGGGTGTAATTTACCAGGATTACCGAAACAATGCGCCTTATAGTCTTGTTTCCTAATCCATGAAAACAGCAACACATTTATATCCAAAATGTTCGTAATTTTTAAACTAGATTTCTTATGGATCCGTTTGATCCTATCTGATCTGTCTCATTGTAACTTTCTTAGATGTTGAACCTTGTTTTTATTCACTAGAATTTGTTGAATTTTTGTAAACGAAAAGCCCGAGGAATAAAAAAATAAAAATAAAACATCTGCTTTTGCAGCTCTCAATTTACTCCGCATATGAGACTCCACCAATTGCTGAAGTTGCGAATAAAGCAAGCCACAGCCGATTCTTTCTTGAGTATGTGTATTATCATAGGTAAGCTTGCCTTTACCGTAGATAATGTTAACTGCAACCACTGACCAGCGTACTTCTGCTGGCCAAGATAGTTGCGAAACGTGTTATCGGTATATGTTGTAATACCTCTAGCGTTTGTACCTCTGCATCCATCTCCCTGCTGATCCAGTTTCGCAGCTCAACTGCCACCAAAGAATCAGCCCCTAATTCGGTAATTGACTGTGACTGGGAAATATCCTTCGACCCCATAGAGAGGAGTTGCTGTAAACGTAACACTAGAGCATCTGTGATGATCTTAACCGCGTCTTGTTTTGTCTTTGCATCCCGGAGCGCTGTCCTGACATTTAGGTTGCTGTTTGTCGTAGCGGGCTTGTTGCTTTCGTGATCGGAGGATAGAAGATGCTTAAACTTTGGGTCAAGCAAATGCTGCGGCACTATGCCCTTAGAGGAAGATTGGTCATATTGTAGCCCAACTATGGTGTGTGCCTGCTCCACTATCCTTAATGGGCTCTGTATAACCTTACTAAGTAGTCTTAGGAATTGGTCCAGTTCGACCTCTGCATACCCTTGTTCTCTAAGAAATTGAACCGCTTCGGGGTTCTCTGCTACGTACCCAGCGGACTGGATCATCCCAAGATCAATAGAATGTGCAGGCAGTCCTAGACGAACCCGATACCGTGCGAGGGCATCCTGGAATGTGCATCCGGCAGCATAGTTGGCTTGACCGGAGTTACCGACAATCCCTGCTGCAGAAGAGAGGAGAATGAAGAAATCCAGATGCTGCGTTAAAAAAGCATTATGTAGGTTTAGCGAGCCTACGACTTTGGGTCGCACAGCAGCAGAAAAGTCCGAGTAAGTCATGTTGTTAATTACGGAATCCTGTGTTCGCAATTACTAACCAAGAGCAGTAGCGAATATTGTCAAGTCTAGCCTACCTTGAGCACCATAGCAGCCTGAATAACTCCACGAATAGGCGGCATCTCCACCTGTGCCTGCTGAAGAGCTTTTTCCAGCTCAGCCTGAATTGTAATATCACAGGTGTATACTGCCAGGTTAACTCCCATTCTCTTAATCGACGATACCCACGATTTAAGCTCAGAGTCTTGGAGCGGAAATCGAGATAAGGCAATAATGTTTTTCGCCTCTAGTCTCCCCATCCATTCTATTATGGCGTGTCCAAGGCCACCAAGGCCCCTGGCTATTAAGTAAGAGGCATCTTCCCGGAACTGAATACCTGCTGCAGGTTTCGGCACAACCTAATTTTTATTTTAGCGGCTTTCCTCGGCTTTATAGGGAGGATACTATACCTTAACTCTGCTGTCCTGATTTACACGCAATATTACTTTCGCAGGCTTCTTACCTGTTTGGATTGTTCGAAACGCGGACTCTATTTGGCCGACGTTAAAAGTAGTAATCGTTGGGAGAAGCTTTAATACACCTGTATGTTGAAGATGGAACACAGATGAGATTAACCTTCCAAATAGTTAAGGGTTACTTTTTAAAACTTTGGTTATATCCACGGAATAAAAGGCTACATTTCGCTGCATGAATCGCATGTCTAGCCTAGAATTTTGAAGGATGTCGTAAACACCGAGCTCGACAAACCGACCAAAGAGTGCCAGACAACTGCATGACTCGCGTCCAATCTCCCCTGCGATGGAATTGACCAAGACATTTACGCCGCGGTCAACAGTTATTCTTCGAATCTCCCTGACGAACGCAGTTGAACGATTCGAGAAGATGTGATCATTGCTAATCTTGTACTGTGTCTGCAAGAATTCTCTCTTCAGGTTATTTCCGACTGTGACAAATATCTCCGCACCGATGTCCTGTGCGAGTATTATGGCTACTTGCCCAACTGCGCTGGCACCACTATGGATAAGAATGGTCTCGCCTCTCTGTAGGTGAGCGAGTTCAACCACAGCATAATACGCGGTGGTATATGCAACTGGGATTGATGCAGCTTTTTCGAATGAGATGGTGTTGTCTATTCGGTTGACTCCAACAGCCTTCATCCTAGCGTATGAGGAAAACCCACAGGCTAACTAGCCACAGACTTGGTCTCCAACTTTGAAGACATGTCGAATATTAGTGCCGACGGCTTTTACCACACCGCTGCATTCCCCCGTCATCTCAGACGCATCGCTAAATTGGCCAAGTGCGATTATGAGGTCGCGGAAGTTCAAGCCGAGAGCCTTGACATCAACTAGTATTTCGTCTAGCTCTGGATGAGACACCGGGCTTTCACACTCCGTCCACTGTAGGGTATCAAGTCTCCCGGGTACGGTAATATCGAGCTTCAGAGGCCGTGTGGCACGAGTGACTTTTAAGTCCTGAGTAGACACTTGTCCTATTCCTGTTATATATTTAGACGTGCTCTCATCCTCAACGAGGCGAGGGATGTATAAGCTGCCCTGTTTTTTAAGATATTCTGAATCCTTGCGGCCCTCTGAATCCTCGTGGCCAATACCTTGAGAAATATCCTTGCAGAATTCAACGATAGATTTTGTGGTTTTGCGGCATAAAGGCCTGGTCAGGTCTGTGTCTAGAGTAATGAACCTCAAGCTGTTGTTCTCGGACCTGGCAGCCCTAGCCAAGCCAGTGATGAGTGCTCTGTCAGGCACTTCACAGGCGTTAGAGCTCCCACGGGTGAGCCAAATAATTCCAGATGCCGTCCTCAGCATTCTCTGGATCTGCTGAAACTCACTTTCCGTGCAGGAGAGGAGCACGGGGCGTGTCAGCTCTTCCAGAACTATACAGATTTTCCCGTCAGGTTGACAGTCGGCGAGAGTAGTAGTGTAACAGTTCTTATTGCCGAGAGCGTTGGTCACCGATTGGCTTAACTCAGTAATGACCGCAGAAGCATCCGTACTGATCACGATTTCAGCCGCCTTATCAAGATTAGAAGACCTTGTTGCCACTTTTCGAGACAGTATAACACTGTACTGTGAGCAATCTCTATCGTCATAGTCGGGAATATAGACTTCGACCCCCGAAAATCCCGTTTGTTCCAGTACTACCTGCCACTCGGAAATATTCATACAGGGGCTGTTTTGCCGACCATCTGAACGGCCTGTTTCGTTTGTATTAGTTACAAGGCCCTTCTATTCTGTCAAGTGGCTGCCACTTACCAAACCACCACCCCGGCAAGGTGCCAAAGATCATGCCTATATATTCCATAGGCCTCGTAATTTCTAGGAGGAGGAGCCTACTAAAAGGCTTTAATAGTTGATGCACATTACGCATGGTGCCTTGCATTGACCTCGTCGCATGGAGTACATTTGACGCCACCACAAGATCATATGTGCCTTCGTCAAAACCCTGCTCCGTGGGATCCTTTTCGATGTCGAGTTTCTTGTAATGGACTGACGAGCCCCATCTCTTGAATTTCTCTCGTGCGTTGCTGAAAAAGCCCGTAGAAATATCGGTAAATTCGTACCTGTGAAACTTTGTTCCTAATGCCTCAAGAAGATGCTTAGTAGCACCTCCTGTGCCTGCACCGACCTCGAGGATTTTTAAGTTAGGCTCTTTCTCGCGGAGACAGTTGACATATCGAGCCAACGCTGCATAGCACCGCTTAATTGAATTCTCTTGGTAGAATTTATCAAGGAGGCCGTCCGCTGTTATGAGCTCAAGCGGCTTGATCTCTCCAAGAATTATCTTGGTCAACTGACCGCCAATACGGTAGATTATTTTTCCCACGGCACCTAACGCTTCGACATGAGTCTGTAGACTGCGATCGTTGATATAGGGATTTTCCTTTTCTCTGTGAGAAAGTTTACTCTTTATCCATTTATATAATTTTTTATGATGCTCAGAAGCTCGTGCTGAGACCTTATCTTCGCACAGAGCTCTTAGTGCTTGTTCCATCAATACGTAGCATGCGGCGCGAATCTGTGCCAGCTGATCTAAAGGCAATTCCAAGGAGAGATCAGAGGTGGTAAGCGCTATAAGCTCCTTTCCTTCCATTTTATCGACATCAGCAGCCCAATGAATGCGGTGACACATTGTTCTCCTGGGGTTTCGTTTGCCTTCATCTCCAACGCCACCCAGAGCTCTGTAGGTGAGGCCCTCAATGTACATGCGAGGAGTACCAACTGTATTCTTAATAATAGCTCGAACTTTGCATTTCCTCTGCCCTTCTGGAGTAGTCTCGGCAAACACTAGAAGCTTTTCTCCTGGATGATGCTCTAAATCCCCAGCAAGCGTAATTTTATCGCAATGGACGGGAACCATTGGGCACCCTAAGCAGTCGGCGGCTATTAAAGCAGTAAGGGGTGTTTGGAATACGCAATCTAATGTTGCAGGATGTAGTGCCTGTGGTAGTTCATAACCATGATTCATGAACTGGGAAGTGTTTGGAACGCACAGGACAGATAAAGCCTTGTGCGGTTTCGCCGTCACTCTTTTAATGTTCACGAATGGCTCGGAGAATTTGTATCCCAGATCGAGAAGGATCTTGTAGGGGTCTGGAATAACCTGGCCCTGGAAGGCATCTAGGGTACAGAAATCAATGTCCTCGAGACTATTATAGTCGTCATGTCGCACTAAGACGAGGCCTCGGCAGTTCTCGTTCCACATACTGCTCTTGGAGTACGAGCAAATAAAAAACTCTTGCCAAACAGAAGAAGCATCCTGTGTGGATGCATAGTACGGGCGTAATCTAATGACTATTTCGACACCTTCCAAATCATCCGGAATAACTAAAGCATTGGAGATATGAACGTCTCTGAACGTGACTTGTAAAGGTTTCTGGATGTTGTCTTTGCCGCCGGATATGAGAGTTTCGTGGCAAGCTTGAAGAACGGCGGATATATACCCTGCAGCTGGATATATAATTTGCCCTTCCACCATGTGTCCACGGAGCCAAGGGAGCTTATTGGTTCTAAGTATGTGGCGCCAGCTTGGCTCAAGGGGGTTCCAATCTGTTGTAGGAACGCCAAGTAGCTGATGTCGTGGCCGGTTTCGCAATCGATAATCAGAGCTTAGCCGCGATTCGGTCCAGTAAGTGACTGAATGGTCCCATGGATAAGCTGGGAGATTAGATAGAGTAACTGGGTTCGAATAATTACGGCCTTTAAATATCTCGTCGAGCTTGACCGGAAAGTGTTGAACAAAGAGTCTTCTAGCAAGTTTTAGAGCGGCCTGCGTGCTATCCTTATTGCGAATAAGACTTGGTAAGTACAACACATCTTCAGAGAGCGATAATCCTATGAGAGTTTGCTAGATAGGCCCCGACAGAGCAGAATGAGGCCCAATTTCCACGAGAGTGCGAATAAATGGACCTTGCGTTTCTACTCAGCCGTGGTGCTGATGGCTGCACATTGCTGTAATTGCCGTCGAGAATTTGACCTGGGATACCAAACTCTTTGCCCAATATTGGCTGCCAAGTTCTTTCCCTGATACAACACTGCCTTCCATACAAGAGAAGAACGGAACACTTCCTCTTCCTGCATGGATTGGTTCAAGGCTGTTCTGGTAGTCCTCGTTGATCATATCCATGTGGTGTGAGTGGTAGGCAGTGTCCACTGTTAATCTTCTTGAGAAGCATGACGACCGTTGCAGTTCTTTCTGCAGATATTTTACTGCATTTTCATCGCCAGAAATGGTAACACTAGAAGGGCTGTTAACGCAAGCTACTGCTATCTTACCAAGGTCAACTGGCACTACAGCAATATATTTTGCCGCTTCGGTTTCAGAGATGCCTGCAGCTAGCATAGCCCCTGCAGACTTGTTTCTAGACTTAGCCCTTGCCGCCCATATGCCGCGCAAGAATGACACTCTTGCTGCAGCTTCGGCACTTAGAATTCCTGCAGCATAAGCGGCGGCAATCTCACTGGATGAGTGCCCTACGACTCCTACTGGCTTGATTCCCCATGAATCGAAAAGGTCGACAAGTGCAATTTGTACAGCAGTGCAAATCGGCTGAGATATCTCTGCTTCCTGAAGACAGCTTTGTTCTTCATCCTTAAGAAGTTCATCTGTATACAAGTCAACACAGGCTGTACAGTATCCCAAGGAGAAATGCGCGCCCCCGCCACATACCAATGAGAAACCAGGAAGCCCCAAAGCTGCAAAGGTGCCTCCCAGTCTGTAGTAGAGATTTCCGAAAAATAGGAAATGCGCGAAGGAGCTCCCGGCCCATCTTCGGCCATTGTGCTCCTTGGCCGGTAAAATAAAAGCCAATGTCTCCCGATCGACTTTTATTGAAGTCTTCCGCCGAAGAAGTAGAGGTTTCCAGTGTTTGTACTAGCTCCTCCAGGGAAGGCGTTACCATAGCAAAGCGCTGCTGGAGATGTGAACGACGTAGGCAGAGCGTATATACTAGATTATCTAGCATGCTGCCTTCTGGTTCGGAAAATTCTCGCAGATACAAAGACAAATCTCGTATCATACTCTGGAGAGCTTTGTCTGTACGAGCACTGAGCACAAAAATACGTGGTATGCTCAAGTCATTTCTGCCAGCTTTTACGTCAATCTCCTCTTTGTCAGTCACGTCATTTTGAGTGCCAGCCGAGGGCAGGCACAGGAAGCCGGAACTCAGCGACGCTGTAGCAAAGTAGCTCTCCGCAGCGTCTAGAATTGCATGGCAGTTGGTCCCGCCGTACCCAAAGGCGTTCACAGAGGCCCTTCTATAAGACGCGTTGGGCCATGGGATACGCTCGCTGACAACCTGTGTATAATTAGCTAACTAGCCTAGAGAATTTAGGTTTTATTCATTATTCACCTTCATATGCCACTCATCAAAATGGATTTCTGGGTGAGGTATCTGAAAGTCATAATTAGGAACAATGACGCCTTTTTCCAGCATCAACACAGTCTTGATTAAGCCCGCCAAGCTTGCACAGCTTTCCAGGTGTCCAATATTCGTCTTTACGCTACCGACAAACAATGGTTTATTAGCTGTATGGGATTTTGCAATAGTTGATGCGACTGCTTTGGCCTCCACTGGATCTCCAGCCGGGGTACCAGTGCCGTGACACTCACACTGTCTCCGTTAGAAGAGTGGACGTGTAGTAGTCCACTTAAAATTTGTTGCTTACATATGCGGTGTCTTTCATATCTAGCCCAACACTCCCATAGGCACTATTAATCATAGCAATTTGGGCATCCATTGATGGCATAGTGATACCTGGTGTTCTTCCGTCCTGGTTTGCGAAGGTATTGCGGACGATTGCCTGTATCGGATTCCCGTCACGGAGGGCCATATGAAGTGGCTTTAGAATAAGCGATGCGACACCCTCTCCGCGTCCGTAACCATTTCCTCGGCCATCGAAGGTCAGGCACTGACCATTATCAGATAGGAAACTGTTAAATGAGTGAGTGTGTCTCTGTGACTCTCTGCGTTCTTAAGAGATCTATGCCTACCCCAGATTACTCATTCCAATGAGAAGCTCAGGGTCCAGAATAAGATTTACTGTAGAAACGATTGCCTGAGAGCTTTCTCCTGTGCGTAAACTCTGGCAGGCCTGATGCACTGCTACCATACTTCTGGAAGAACCGGTATCCAGCGTCATAGAAGGTCCCTTCAGATCAAAGAAATACGATACCCGATTGGACATTAAGGCGTCACCTGTACCAAGCGCCTGGTACTTAGGTATTGCTTCTGGATCACGCAAAGCAATAGCAAACCAATCACGGTTATAAGTATTAACAAATACTGCTGTATTGCTTCCAGCAAGGGCTTGCATCGTGATCCCAGCATTCTCAATCGCCTCGTAGGTACTTTCTAGGGTTTGGCGTTGCTGAGGATCCATAGCTCTAGCTTCTGGTGCCGATATATTAAAAAATGGTGCGTCAAAAAGCGAGAGGTCTTGCTGGATGAAGTGTGCCCCTACGGGGTTAAAGGTGCCACTTTGAGCTCGGTGAGGGTGATAGTGAGCTTTTATATCAAATCGAAAGCCTGTATCAGAGGAAAATGTGTTGCGGCCATCTTCAAGCAATCTCCAAAATTTATCTGGGGATGTGGCGTCTCCAGGAAATTTACATAAGAGCCCGATGATTGTAATAGGCATGGATGTTTCGTTTCCTCCGTATAAATCAGAAGTTAATCCGTTAACTCTCTTGTCGCCATAGCCGTCAGGTGTGACGTTTCCACTTTTAGAAGACAGACCCATATTTAGACTGTTCTTTAAAGTGCAAATTTAGAAGAATCTGGAGGTCCTGCAAATATGGTGTTCGTATTTTCCTCTTTCCCTTTTGGTTTCGATGGAAAGCAGTTCGCTGTATATGATATTTAGGGACTTTATAAGATTTGATCGTCAGTAAAGGCATATAAAGAAGTAGGTATCTATATAAAATTAAATTAATAAACACCGATATTCTGTGGGTCAATATCGTAATTCTCATTCTCGGAGACAATTTCCTTGACCTATAAAACTATGCTGTTCAGCTGTTTGCCTTCCGGATGATGAACAGACTTTCCGTTAGGCTTCAAATAATATATTCCTATCTCATGACATCAGAAAAATTCTATCCAGCGTGGCGTAGCTTGTTTCTTTTGGTTTTTAAGGGATTTTTAACGATGTACTTTAAGTTCGTTGCCGTTGTTATTCTTCGACTCCACGGACAGCAATAAAATTACTAAGCCGAATATGAATTTAGAAGTCTTCAGACTTCCTACTGCAATTAAAATGATACCACGTCTGCTATTGCATGGAGAGACGAGAAGTTCAAGAAATACGGCGAACACGTAGCTAACTATTATGATAATGAACACTGGCACCTGTGCAAACATTCTAACTCAATCTGGCTACTTCCCATGATAAAGATATGTTTGTCGCCACCTGCCAGTCGCCACCTGCCAATCCCCAGCAGGAAGAGTAATCTATTTGGTTTTATGATTCCTTTCGAATGTCTTAGGAGCTTAATGATATATCCGCGATTCCGCGATTAAGAATAGAGTTCCCCTAGCCTACTCCGAGTGCAAGGTTCCATAGATAATATTTTAAGTTCTGTTTGTATCCACTGGTTATAGCGTTTTAACCATGGTCGTCACCTAGCTTAAAGACATTAGAATGGCCATACGCACGAATTTAGGTTTATAGGCCGATGCAAGCTCTCAGACCAACCTTATCGTCCCGTGTTGCCTACAGTTCATATTAGTGTTTTACTAAAACCTTCCACTCTTTCATTCTTGTCGCCCCCCAACCACCCCGCGCCTCGCAAGACCAGATACGGTTCTAAGGTAGCAATAAAGCTCAAGGCTGTCGATATGAGAGTAGAATGTCTCGCGTAATAGAGTATTAATAGAGCACAAGTTATTCCTCCTAGCTGGAAAAATGCCTCCGAAACGACGTAGCACAAAGCAGGCAGATGCTCACCTGGGGCCGTTTCTTTTATAAAGCCATCACATACAGCCTTCTTGCGGGAATTGGTATGAGATTGCTGACCCCGCTTCCATCCACTGCACTTCAAAATGGAGAGATATCAACATCGTACTGTTGAAAATGAATCAGAAGGAAACACCAATAAAATTTAGAAATTGTTATGCCCTGCTTCTGGGTAACTGATGGCCATCCGATAAGGTAATCGGAAAGCGAGCGAGCCACCTCTGTGTTGCATATAAGATCGCTAATTATTTAGAGATTATAACTCAACAACCAGAAGCCTAGAAGGCCTGTTATTTCGAATACAAAATTGATATTATAAAAAAACATAAGCTTTTTTTTATTTTTTTTTGTTATTTTTGAGGTTAAAAAATTTTATATGTCATACTTGTGGCTCACTCGTTTACCGGTATCCAAGTTACAGAACACTTTAGCTCCACTAGATAGCTATCAATGACGACATACGGCTTGTCCTCCTCTAGTCCCACCCTTTCCCAAGACAACGTTCAGATGTGCTCATGCTTCTTATTAATATCCACTTCTTTTATCGTATGACTTCTTTTTCACTTGTAGCTGAAGGGATATATCTCTTGTGATAAAGGACCATGACTTTAAAAATTGTGCTGGAAAGCATTGCAGCAATAACAGAAACAACTAAAACGACAGTGTTGCAGGTGATTCTGCTGTCGGCCATTGTCTGGTTTATTGCAAATTCCATCAGAACTTGGTATCGGCTGCGGTATTTCAAAGGTCCATGGTTAGCCTCATTCTCATCCGTCTGGATGGCTTATGCCCAGCTATCCGGCCGAATGTATGAGAAATATCCCGAGGTGTCGCGGAAGTACGGTATGTAACTGATTCTTACTGTTTGCTTCCGAGGATGAAAGAACATAGCAGGTTGACTGTTTAGGCCCATACGCTCGCATCGGACCTAATACCTTACTGACAAATAACTTACAACTTCTTCGGTCTATGTCTGCCGCTCGTTCGCCCTACGGGAGATCGAACTACTACGCCGGTTTACAGATGGATTCTCGAGGAGAGAGTATACTTTCAATGACCAACACTGCCGATCATGATGCTCTGAGAGCAAAAATGGCTACTGCAGTAAGATCCCAGACTCAATACTTAGGTATGAATAGGGCTAATACGTTTTAACTAGTTTGCCGGTACGATTATCCTTATTCCAGGCTTGCGTCCTTCCACACACTTGACCACATAACCATCCAAGCTGTCGATAGTTCACAGCTAATACAGTAGCAGGCAAAGAGAACGATTCTCTCGAGTCTGATATTGACTCGCAGATTATGGAGCTAGTCACTCTTCTCCGCTGCAAGTATCTCAGCACTGATACATATACAAAGCTTGCCGATTTAGGAGATATTATTATATACTTTGCTATGGACGCAGTTTCCAAGATCGCCTATGGGGAATCATTTGGATATCTGAGGAGAGACGAGGATGTCCACAAGTACCTGACAACTTTTAGGCAAGCTGCAAAGTTAATAACTATTGCCACCGATGTTCCGGCGCTCAGGTCCTACCATCGTTTTATGATGAGATACTTTTCACCAACTGTCAAAGATAAGACTGGACTAGGAAGAATGATGGCGTAAGGAATTCCTTTTTTTTTTTTTTTTTTTTAAGACAAGGCTACTAGCTAACTATCCCCCTAATAGAGTCGGCAACAAAATCGTTTCACAGAGATACCATTCTGGCGAAGATAAGAGAGATATGCTAGGGGGTATGAAGAGGCACGGATTGACTAAATTGCAGGCCGAAATTGAAACTATTACAACACTGATGGCCGGTGCAGAGACAACATCTACTGCAGTGCGAACTGGACTATTGTACCTGATAACTTCCCCTGTTATCTTGCAGAATCTTCGCCTTGAGCTGAGACGGAATGGACATCTTGATTCTCCTGACGATCAATGCATTTCCAAAGCTGATGCGGATAAATTGCCATATTTGCAAGCTTGCATAAAGGAAATTCTGCGAATGAACCCACCCTTTGCGGGCATGCTAGAAAAAGCAGTCCCTGACGGTGGCGACTATATCAATGGGCATTATGTACCCGGAGGTACAGGAATTGCACATAGCACTTTTAGTCTACAGAGAGATACAGAGATCTTCGGTCACGATCCGGAAATATTTCGTCCAGAACGCTGGATACAGGCATCTCCAGAACAGCTTAGGACAATGAACGATGCTGTGGACATGGTCTTTGGTTACGGCCGATGGGGCTGTATTGGTAGGCCAATTGCGTACATTGAGCTGAGTAAGATTTTTGTCGAGGTAAGTGATCTTATTGTCAGGGAGACTGAGCGTTGTCTGTCATAGTCGCTCGATGCTAACGACGACCGGGACAGCTATTACGGAGATTTGATTTTACTATTGCTTACCCAAGGAGCCCTTGGAGGATGTACTGCAGAAACCTTTTCTTTATAGACCAGTTCTGGGTCCGCGTCACTGAGATATCATGTTGAACTTTCTAAAAGCGTGATATGTTTTTGTTTACAAGGAATGGGAACATGATCTGTAATCATGAGCTCGCATTGGTGGACGGAGTTGTCTTGGTGATTTAGGATATCGATGGGATCCCATGTTTGCAATATTTCTTTCTTTGAATTTTTTATTCGGACTTCTTGTTTCGTTTCTATATACAACAGCCTGACACTAACATAGTCAATGGTTGCTCTTGACTCGCTTTTTGCAGTTTTCTGAATCATGCCCAATGTCATTACTCTGTGTTATACAGGGTTTCTCTGGGCAAATGTTGTCCGTTGTCGGCTTTAACTTTTAAATGTCCTCGTTAAAGGTTCATCGGCGCTTTTGAATAACGCAGTTTAAACAAAGTGTGATGATCCTGTACACCTTGGTAAAATGGATAGATTCTATCTGAGGTGGCGATCTAACGAAACATCAAACGTAGAGAAGGAAGGAAGGAAGAAAGAATTCTATCGTACAGGAAATGTGGGAAATCTCTACATTGTGGGATCAACAGTGAATAAAGCAGACTTGGTGTCTCAGGCAGGGTTCGACCTAGGTCCTGACACAAAGTTCTCTAACAGAATGTATATTAAAAAAAGTAATGCTAAAAGCTATTTTTTCATTATCCTGCTTCTTATAATATAGGTGTAGATGCTAAAGCATTTTTACCAGCCACTGTTGCCTTATATATGTGACGACCTGGTCTTGGACACCGCGCTCAGGTTAACGCGGTGACGTGATGTTTATATGGTTTGCACGTAGGCCGTATTGGGATAAGGAAGGGCTGAGGGCACAGGGCTAGGGCTGGGAAGCTTCCCACCATATCCTCGCTCGTCATGACAACGCCCTTCTACTTCTTCCTTTCCTCCCCATCTTTAGTATTCTTGATATAGGACTCAATATGATTTTATCTATCTGATTTGCCTGCCGTCACACTGGGGTCCGTTTGACTTCTCGGGCCTATGGTCCCAGTTGTCCCTGTTGCCCCTATTGCCCCTATTGCCCCAACGGGCCCTTTTGGCACTTTTGGCACCATTGGCCATCGACTCATATTACGTGACCTCCTACATTTGTTTACCGTTCATTTTCCTCTTTCTTCCCTTCAACGATTTCTCCTTGTACATAGCCTATCTTACAGGTTCTACGAGTTCAGCCGCTGACAGTATGTTTCTTTAGTCTTCGGAAGTTGGACGTATTTCTGTGTTGGCAGAAATGCAATGTCTGTAATGTTACTTTTCATATATTTTTATATGAAGAGGCACTTTAAGCAATAAAATCAAGACAGATAATTATACATGTTGAAGATAGGATATATAGGTGTATAGCTAGCGCCTTGGCAAGCATGCGGGGTTTTTAACACCTGAGACTTCCCCCTTTTCCGGTAACTATGCAGGCAAGATACTGCTCAATCTACGTCTTGTCTCCTTTCAAACGTTATTTTTCCCTGAATCCATAACAATACATTATAATTGGCTAAATGGCCCAAAAATAATCCCGAAAAGTGCAAAATGATGCTATACAAAGCATTAGAATAATGGTCGATCTGCTAAACCCTGGCGTTTAGAGAGATACCCCCCTAACTCTAGTGTTTTCCCGTAAATCCTTTCCTCTACGGCTCTCTTTATATGGGTTTCCTCCTTACAACCGAATGATCTCTTGAACTTGACGGACGAGACGCCAATTCCAATGTTGTATAGGCTCCTGAGGCAGTTCATCCCAGGTTTTTTTCCGTGCAGATTCTGCAGTTTTCTTATCCCGCGGACCTCCTCTTGAAGATGTATGTTTCTTTAGCCATAGCCGCGCCCACTCAACTGCATTGAGACCTGGAGAGTTGCCTGGCCCATTTGGGACCTTTTCAGCACCATGACGACTAAGTAAAGTCTTTAGGGAGTGATGACGGTGAGCATGAGATCCACCCTCTAGAACAATAATATTAAGACGTTCGATCAGGCATTCTTTTGTAAGGGTATAAGCTTGGGCTCGAGGACTTCCTAAAAGAAAAAAAAGTAAGATATTATGCCATTTCTCTTAGTACAAGAAACACTTATCTTGTAGTATCGATACCAGTCGATTCCTCCTTTATCTCTCGCTCCAGCTTTCCATTCTTTCTTGTCCAATTCCATTTAGGCTCTTTACCGGGTGTTTTACGAAGTCATTCTTTCAAGTGACATATTCAGCTCCCATTCATTTCTTTAAAGGTTCGAGCTCATTCATAGCTGCAAAATCTTTAGAATCCTTTTTTGCTTCCCTGTCTCCGTTTACTAGATATGTAAAGGACCTGTCTCATCGTATGTAAAATATCCCTATACCGTAAAGCCAGACTTTCCCCTCCAGCGACGGCGAATACAAGAGATTTCATGGCTTTCATCTCTTGTATGCCGGATGCGTAGACCTCCACGGCGTTGACAAAGAGATACAGAGATTTCATCAGTAAAAGTAACGTTTTTAAAGTCCTCCAGCATCCAATCTTGAAGGGCAAGACAGAATTTTAAACGTCTTTTTTGCTCGTCAGTAAAGCCAGGTTTAATAGTAGGTTTAACTTTGTGCGATGGTAAGTGTGAATACCAACTGTAGCATCCCAGGAGGAGCTAGCAATGGAAGGAGTTTAGATATGTTGATATGTTTAATTAAGATTGTCTATTTGCATGGATTATCAAATCTTCAACATCAACGACCTGCCTAAAGGTGAAAGAGATATTTCGAACGGACAGCTTGCGAGGCAATTCAGTGGCGCTGGCGGTAAAGTAAAAGGAAAACTTATCTCACGCTCGAAGGCGGATTCCGTGAACTGTCTGGTAAAATATCTAATCGAATTTATAGTTAATAAAATTCCGTTTCTTATTCTACTGTAATCTCCTTAGTCCGAAAAGGGTAAGACTAGGTTACAGGGTACACTCAATTGCCACGCCACTGCAAAAAGGTCAACTAGACTTGGTAATACCAAGTCTGGCTCCCAATTCACTTATCTACCGTCTCCGCGGTCACACTCAATTAGCTGTGATTACACTACCATTAACACATAGAATGTTCCTTTAGGGGCCGGACTCGCCAAAAACGGCTTCCCTTGGCGCTGTTTTTGGCCGCTCTGGCCCCGGGAGCTAAACCGGAAGAGGAAGCTCCCACACGCTGCTTTAGAGCGCCAAAATTACACTGGCGGCACTGTAACGTCGTTACGGCCCCAGCGAGACCCGCTCGCTGGTGCCCTCGTTCTGAACTATCCCCTTGGCTGGGCTAGTCGTCGTTAGCGTCCTTTTTCTGCCGCAAATGACACGCCCGCTTCATCTAACACCACATACCGTAGAATTGACTGAAATATGAATATTTAAGCTATCTATGAACAATTTACATCCTTCTCACCTAAAGGGGGTCGTGGTGTATGAAAATCAGCCCAACATGACCTTATGTCAGGCCTGCGTAAGGGAATTCTGCAGGTCTTGCAGCAATATACTGTGTGGAATTGCTTTGGAATAGTATGACCTCGAGCCTTTGCTCTTTGAACCCGTACAACACAGAAATGGCACCATTTGCGAGGGTGAATCCTCTCAACCTGATGATCACCTTCATCTAATGGTTGAACTGAGCTGTGTTTTCGCTTTCGTTGAAGTAATTCCTCTGATCCTTGCTTAAATAGCTCCCTGTACAGACCTTTTCGAAATTCAAGATGAGTGATCTCCTTCATACCTTGCTGCCTGCGGGCTATCTTTGCAATGCAATAAGCATTAATAATAGCTATGTCAAGTATCCAAAAGAATATAGGCCACTATGAGCGTAAACATCTTTGATGAGTTTCATAGCTTGCACGTAGTTGATTTGCACGATCCACCCCTCCCATATGATAGTTGTAATCATCAATAATCCGGGGTATTGGAAGTTCCTTGGTAGGCTGATCACCAAATGGCTGACGGGCAAATTTTGCACTGGTTGAGGTCTTAGCAGGGCGTTTGCGCAAGCGAGGAATCCAATCAGTTGGCTTGTGTACAGTATGTACAGTTGATAATGCAGTAACAATATTATTATCTTGCCATGCAATACACAACACAGGATCAGTATCAGAGTCACCCAGGCTTGGCAACGATACTCCGATACGATACCGATCGATATATCGGTATCAGTGATCGATACTCAATAGTATCAGTGATACTTCTTGGCATTGTTTAATATGGTGGCAGTAATCGTTCTGAAGTATACTATTGCCATGGTAATTACCATCTTGATAAATTCCCATAGTAACATAGGCGGTGAGGCTCTGTCGAGTATCAGTGATTCCATCGATACCCGGAGGTATCGTTGCCATGCCTGGAGTCACCTGCAGGAGCTGCATATATACGTATCTGCCAGAAAACGATTCCGACTTGATTGAAACTGAACAAAAGGAATAAATATCGACTCTTCTGTAACTGATGTATGTATTCCACAGCAACGTCGAGTGTGCTGAGCGTGTTGGGATGAAAAGATATAGTATCCAAACTCCGAAGTAGGCTGTCTCGTAATGAACAGGGCAGATTGACTTCCCGAGTGGCACCAGGGAAAATAAAGGAAGCCAACAGATGTTCCCAGAGCTCTCGAAGCTGCTGATATTCTGCAGATGAGGTTTCTCTAGCTGACGAGTTCCTATATATTTCCTGAAACTGCTTGGCGACTCTGATGAATTCTAGATTTTCAAGACCGTAGTTTTGGGAGAGATAGGTAGTAAACTCCGAGAGAATAAGGCCACTCTGCTGTACCTGCTAGCACTTCGTCTAACGTAGGCCATTGTTTTTGACAGATATCCCAGTAAGCCATGTCTGAGCATAAAGAGTAGAGCTACCAAAGGCAGAGAAAAGGTTGTAAATAGATGCTGATGCGTTATTTGGACGGAATTGCCGTTGAGTAACAGTCGTGACGCTCCCAATGTTGCCACTCTCTCCAAACTGGAAACAAACTAAACCTAAAACTACCATAGGCTATACAGGTACCGTACCCAATCACTCACCGCCCGCTATCACTCAACGCCCAATTTTCATCTACACACCGACTTTTTAGATGGACCACAGCAACATCAAAATGGGCTCAATTGAAGAAGCAATTGCAGATATAGAATCCCTGAATCCAGATGAAAAGATTAATTATGCAAAATTTGCCAATAAGCATAGTATTAACCGGTCAACACTGTCGAGACATCACCGCGGTATACAGAGCTCTCAGATATGTCGAAGTTGCTCTACCGTGTTTCTTATCGCCCCTGCAAACCGTTAACCTTTACGCAGGCGATACACTCATAAATCTATTTAAAATAGGGAATATTTTTAAGTGGTCAAACCTAGTTGTTAGGTGTGGGTGCGTCGCCTAATATTATAGTGCGCTACTATATAAGGTGCTCAAGAATATCTGATCCCCATTCATAGTGGTCTTTTAGTCCAGTGGAGTAATGTCAAATAATATGGCAGTGGGTGGATCAGAATCATGTGACTGGATAGGGGTAAACCCCCGCGGAGCAACAACAAAAACAACAGAATAATTAATCAACATAATCAAGAAGAGCCTCAGTTCATTCAAATAAGACCTTTTTACAGTCGTACTGTATTTCCTCTTCGGGAATAGCCGTATATCTGACAAGTAATTAGTTAAGATCCTGAGCTTGGCTATAACACTAGTCGGCTGTAATTAACGTCGCACAACTTGGAGCCAGTTCAACTAGAACTCTACAGTTTAGTTGTATTAATCGAGCAGGGCCTTTAAGACACTTCATAAAAGTTAAAATGAAAAGAACAGTGGCCCCACCCCAAAAAAGGATGTCGAGGAATAATAGCGTATGTCTGAGTAGATCGTGATGGGGCGCTGTAACTTACGGGACGTGGCAAAGAGATGCCAGTGATGCAAAGCCTAATCGAACTGGTGGTACAGTACTAATCCCCTGGAGAAGTCAATGACCGTTTTTGGTGGGGCATATGTTAGTGGATAACAACCCACATGGCGAAAAAAGAAAAGAATAAAGAACTCGTACACCATGAGATACAGAAGATACATAAATTCTCTAATTTGGGACAAAAATAGATGTTACGGAAAAACTATAATCCACCCGACTTGGCGGTGCGGAGTATCTGACGATCGATTCAACGCCTGAATCCTTTAGAAAGTAGAGCACCTAGATAGGAATGCAAGAGACTCAGTTGGTTGAGATACTGTGATTCCTGGTGTTTCCACAGAAGGACATCTACTTCCTAGTTAGGCTAGTTGGCCTGTAGCTGATGGAATAGCTCCCTACGCCCCATTTCCCCTGAGTTCCACAACAATAGATATTAACTAGACAGAAGTCCCACGAACCCAAATGACGCATCTTTAAATTGGCACAAAGTACAAGACAACAATCACCTACAATAGGCGAGCTAATAAGGAGTAGGTTGTGGAATAGGACAGGTGAGATAGGCAGAAACATAGACAACGAGACAGCTAATAAGAGCGGAATGAGATGTACAGACGTACACGAAGAACAATAATAAAAATGTTAAAAAAATAAACTTAAACATGGCTAACAATTAGCTCCAGTATGGCTCATGAAGCATTTTTGCCATAGCAATGTTCTTTCTCTTGTCCTCTTCTTTCTTTCTCTTGAGCTTGTTAAGCCGATAGGCTGACATATTTCCGAGGGGTTTTGGCTCGCGAAGTGCAGTGTCGCTCTTCTCCGAGAAAAAGTGGTTTAGGTACCTAGAGTCATATAGCCCAGGAACTTTGTCTGGAAGTTTGGCAGCCTTCATAAACCACTTGAGGCCACCAACTGTTCCGGGAGTCTTTTCGAGCCTGTGAGGATCGCCCAGCCGAATCGCAGCTTCAACGAACGACATTGCCACCTCTATATAGACAAAGACATTTTCGGCAGATGTACTAGCAGCGCCCCTCCGAAACTCTATTGTACCATTGGGGCTGTTCAACAGATAAAGAAAGTTCCAGCCATACATTTTATCGTGGTTCGGATTCATGAGGAGAACCAGCTCTCTCATGTTGGAAGCTCTTTCTATGACAGCAATACTCTGTTTTCGTGACAAATTGCGATGTCCAAAATTTTCGTTATCCAGCCAATTGCTTCGCGCATACTCGTTAGAAAGTCTTGACTCCGGTAGGAGAGCCTCAAATGCAGGCTCAAAATGTATAATACTCTGGCAAATTTTCTTCAGATCAGCGAGCGCATAACCCCCAACCCGTGAGAGGTGAACGTGTGTGCCGCAGCTACTATTGGTGCTGATGCTGTAGTTCACTATCAGAAACCTCCACATAAAGTCAATATGTTGGCGCCATATTGAGTTTTTGTGAGCACGGAAGATTGGCGAGATGCTCTCTAGTCCCCCTGTGTAATGGGCCATTAGTGATGCGAAACCTTGAACAAATATATATGTGCATACATGGTGCATGGCCTTTGTTTGGCATCTCAATTGTTGAATCCGAATCAAGAGACCATTCTGCAAATCGTGGCCCGTGATATGATTCATCAATTGCGTTGTGCATGCGCGGGTGCTTGTCAGGTTCAAATTGAGCCAAGAAGTCATTGTAAGAAGATGCAACCGACTTGGAAAAACTGCGAATATCGTCACTGGCTCTTGACTTGTCACGAGGCTCTAACAGGAATTCAACTTCCACGCCAATTCCAAAGCTTCCAGTGGGGTATTTAGAGACATCAGTCTGGGCTACCATCCTCCGAGCTGAATTTAACGCATTAGTGGTGGTGGGTTATTAACTCCAAGTCAGAGGACTGACACACCTGTTGATGGCTGGGGAGGCGGAGGGGGCGGAGGAGGATTGCGTGCCATGCTCTCTAAGCTTCAAGGTGCAATTGCGCCAACAAGTTTAGCCTGTCTCTAATTATAAAAACAAGGAGAAGAGATGTAAAAGAGCAGGACAAAATTTGAGAGTTAACGGGTGTGCAGTCAACAATTGCTGATGGAAGGTGGAATAAAATTGAAGTCTCGAAATTAGAGAGTAAAAGGAGAATGTAGTGTCGACTTATATCTTCTGGCAAGGTCCAAATAACAGTCCATATCTAACTGCTGTACAAAGGTCACAAATATCAAAATAAAAAATACTGAGCGCTTAATCCACCCGCCTTGTTTTACATGCGTCACTTTGCATTAGGGTGTTTGAGGGAAGCTGGGTTAATGCGTAAGCCATAACGAACCAACTGGTTCTTCGATACCCATCCTGAAACAACCGAAACGCTGAGATCATGGTCACAAAAATAACTCAGGGAACTGTTGGTTGGTGATCAAAAGCAAGCATCGTCGAAGTGGTGGTTGGCAGATATACATAGACATGATGGGATAGACTGAAGCAATAGAACAATTGGTTAGCCGCCAGCCATTGGTTAGCCTTCCGATCCGTACATCTGATAGGTTGGGTTTTGAGATTACATAATTAGACTTCCATTGATAGGATCACAACTCACTCTTTGCTGCTCAACCGCTTGAACCTCAGTAGCATCCGCCCGCTCAATATCATCTTAGACACTTTGCTGTGGAAGATCTGCCTACATTGTGCTTCAATCTCTGTTTCTGTTAACCATTTTGCCAGAATGTCTACCCCTCCGGGAAGGGACACTAAGAACGATGGCCCCCCTCCACCGCCACCAGCCGAGGATCCACGCTCAAAAATCTCTCCCTTTGTTTTGAAGCTAAGAAGCGCTCCTCCCAACTATTATTATCAAGCACCAAAACCGTCTCCGATAATCGACTTACTTACTGCACCTACTGGCCCATACTTCTTTTATGGGACATTGACTGATCCATCCATGATTGCGGAGATTCTCAACCTAGAAAAGGAGCCTGAGCTCCGCCCGGCGTTTATCTTGGGTTACAAGTGCAGAATGTGGGGCCAATACCCAGCTTTAGTTGACGCCCCGGGCTCGATAGTTGAAGGCGCTGTGTACCTTGTCCGAACAGCAGAGGATGGCGAGAAGCTTGCCGCCTATGAGACAAGAAATTACTGCACCGAGTCTTGTCTTATTAGATACTCAGATAATAAAGGACCATCTCAAGACCTTGGATACACGTTTAAGTTTGCCGGAAATCCGAATGATTTGAGCGAAGGCACCTTCGACTTGAGGACTTGGTTGAAAATGATGGGAAGACAGACCGCCCTGGATAAATTAGATGCTAAAAAACACATAACCTATTAACCTCTTTTTGTGCACTTTTCTTTTCTACCCTTTTGTTGTTTTATCCCTGGGTGCCTTTATGTCTCTTGTTTCTTTTCTTTTGTTTCTTTTCTTTATTTATTGTTGTTTTTGCTAAGCGTGATCTTGTATTTAATTTATTTTCAGCTACTGTGCAATGATGTCGATCATTTTCCCTTGATATTATCTAGAATGGACACAGGAAAGGTAAATATCTTCATCAATGGAGACTCGAGAATAAAAATCTCGAACCCCATCCACAACTAATGCACTAAAGTCCTTGCTTAAACCAGGCTGTTAAGCAGCGACAATATTCACGCTGGAGAGCTAATCGGTCCATAACTAGAGCTAGAAAAAGAGCTACCAGACTCACATAATATCAACTAACTTAACTAACAATGTGAGAGATTCCATCAAGCAGGAAGCTAATTGTCAGATATATGGCTAGTCCCGAAGAGGAAATAGAGTACGATTGGTAAAAAGGTCTTACTTGAATGAATTGAGCTGGTTGGGCTCTTGATTATTTGTCGACCAAAATGGGTCTATATTACTGATTATTCAGCATCTGCTCGGTCCGACTTTGTTCCTTCGTTGACCATTTTTTATTCAGTTCTCCCAGATAGATTCAGATAGTCAGAGACCTTACCTTCAATATAGATGGATCCTTATCCATAGATCAGTGATACTAGCTCATACGCGTATTCAGCTGGCCGACATTATTCGTCTTGGTTATTCTTGATTGATTATTTTGTTGTGTGCTCCGCGGGGGTTTTACCCCGATCTAGTCACATGATTTTGGTGGAAGCATGAAGGAGTCTGGGATTCAAGGGGGTACGGAGACATCCACCCAAACCCGATGTTCCAACAGTGAACCGGAACCACGTGATTATACCCGCAAAGTTGCACCCAGTTTCTTGGGGGGTGGCGTAACACATGAATCGTCTCAACCCTTAATGTGAAATTCTTCAGTCTTGTGACAATCATCCCTTTACTATTTTCCGAAATCACTTACAGATAGCTACTTTGCTGACTTCTATACGGCGTTGTGGATGCATGGATGCCTAAATTGCCCGACTACCGCGCGACTTGAATGCTCTCAACCGAAAGCCCCGCACTTCACAAAGCTGACTGTGTTCCAATGTTGTTGATATGAAGGCTGTTCTACCAAGTCCTGCACTTGTTACACCGCCTACCTTTCGTATTCAGAGGTAATATTCTTTCTCACTCCCGTCCTGCGTAAGGTGCTCAAGTTAGTTAACGATTTCGAGTGACCCTTATAGGATTTGCCGGGCACCCTACCCAACTTCATTTGGCCGAAGCGGTCTCCTCACCATTCCTACAATTATGAAAGAAACGGAGATTGAAGAACCTGGTATTCCGGTGGATGACATTGCCAGCGACGCTACAAAGCTTGAAGAAATGGCAAAACTTGAAGTATGAATATTGGTATTTTCTCAATCGGACCTCTGCTGAGTCAAATCTAGTCAAAAGAAGACGTCGTACTAGATCCACATTGGACGGATGTGAAACAATTAGAGTCATCTCCGAGCGTGCGCGCCGTTCTCTTGCGGAAACAGATATCACCCGGGGGTGTTGCCAGAGTTGAAGGGAATCCGTCGCGATACACATTAACTGACAAAGTGACTGGGACTGTGCTTGTTGCTGCGAGGCCCGGGGAAAACATCATTTTACTAGGCTATCCCTCCGTCCGATGCTTCCGTCGCCGTAACCCATGAGTTGCAAATATACTGTCTTAGTTCGACCGCCAGCATGAGCGATAATTGTACTTTTGCACTCCAGCCGATCTTCGAATCGATTTTGATATCAATAAATGGCAAAGCTCCATACCATGGGATTATAAGTTGCAAGTGCTGCAGGCTGGGGCAACTTGCCTGGTAGTTTCGAAGCAAGCCGAAAATAGTTGCGAGCTGCTGTGGATTGGGACAGGTTGATTCGTAACGCTGAAGAAAGCCGATGAGCTGTGTGATATCAAGGTCGAAAACTGATTGAGGTAGTTGATCTCGGAGAAGGCATACTTGCAGTCCCGGCACATCGTCAGCGGTCAATATTAAGGGGCTTTGCTTTTCCTCGTTGCCATTAATTTGGACACCGACAGTGGTTTTCTCTAGTTCTATTGTACTTTCTACCTCTTGTCATTAGTAATCTTCTACGTTTCTTCCGGGGTACGTACGAGCAATGGTAGTTGCTATATTCAGTCGTGAAATTGGTGAACCCTGGATTTGCGGGGTTAGATTTGAAGGTTGATCATTGTTTCCTTGAGAATTTCTGATAGGCAGAAGATCAGAGATGCGCTTGCGTTTTCTTGGTAAAGGAGCTAAGTAATGTTAGTATGCAGACCGAAAAACGCAAAATGTATGGAAAGTAACGTAAGTACGTGATATTTTGTCCTCCTCGGAGCGGACTAATTTATCAATTTCATATTTATTACAAATGCTTTCCGCTATACTTAGCAAGCATTTAGCTTTGGAGGGTCTGCTCCACCATCTTCGAAGTTTGGGAAGGAGCTCTTCCTGGTTGAGCTTGCTCAGCTCCGTGACGGGCCAAGCCAAAGTACATAGCATGAACACTGCAGATCCAAGCTGCGAATAAACCTTTCGGAGAAGTTTGCGCACTCGTAGGATCCTGTATTGCTGTGCAGTTGACAGTGATTCGAGCGCTTGGTCGTGGAAAAGCTCGCAGCCTAAGCGAACACTCTCTTGTTGATCTTCATCTAATATAGACAGGTCGTTATCAAAACGCGCTTCTACTCTTCCGATTTGTTTGATAAATGTATCTTCCCTTGAAAGAACTTTAGCCATGGCAGAACGGTGGACAGAACGGTGGACAAGCGAACTTGTTGGATACGCAAAAGATAAATGGGAAAAGGTGAGATTGGAAGCGACTAAATACAAATGTACGTGAAGAGGTGAGAATGAATGCGAATAGATGAGAATGTATGCAGCCCAATAATATAGATTTGCCCAGGTCGCGCACGGGTATGATTGGCCCTATTGGCCCTATTCACTCATTTATTTGTGGATCTACAGGTCCCCGCCATCCAATCATGTCTTCTTGTCGCTGGAAGCATAATCCGTTCTCCTGGCGGCTCTCACACAGCATAGGTTGACTACACGGAACTTTGGGTGAGCAAGATGACATTAACCGCACACGGAATGACAGATCAGTTTTGACCATGTGTATATTGTGAACTATTTAGGGATAGCTATGCTGGATAATCCCATTTAGTTTAACAAATTCCAGGTCTTATCGCGCATCTCGCGGCCCAATGGATACGCTCGACACGATCGAGGCCATGACCATGTATCCTGCGGCACATTTAGATGAGATGCCGAGGGGGGAAGCAACGTATTGCCCTGAAGGAAGTGTGATAAACTGTGTGGTCGCTCACTGCACGACCGGTATAAAAGGATGTATGTTTCCCCAAGCCTCACAACATTGGACCACGAGAAGTTCATGTGTCCAACTAGACACTTTGGCCCCATATGCTCTTCGATACATGGCTCGTTTTAACAATTTACTTCACTGGTTAGATTCTCATCTTCACTGGCTAGGTAGGCTTCTGAGAGAACCACGAGGCTCAAACAGAAACCGAGCCTATTCACATACCTTCACTTGGGGGGAGGATATCGACCTCGAGTTTCCACCTCCTGTTTACCAATCTTCTCAACCCCTATAAACTGTCACGTCTCCTAGCTCACATTCCGCGTCCTGGTTAGACAACAACTCATATAATACAATACAACCTTACCCAGGAGTTGTGTAGCTGAGTTGGCTAGAGAGCTATTCACTAGTAAGTAATTGGTTATGTTCCCCCTTATCGAATATTGAAAGATCGCGATAACGGATCAGAAGTTAGCTTGACCTGGTACCGCTCTGCTTGGGGACAATATGTCTGGTTTCCAGAGGCAGTGCGACACCCTTAAACGCATTATACAGAACTCATCGATAAGGCTCATTTGCCCACAATGTCTTCGAGGTTTCCCCCGTTCTGACGCCTTATACCGCCATTTCCGAGAACAGGAGGATGATATCCACAAGGGCCTGGATATGAGAGACACGGACCATAAAACGTTCCTCTCCTGTTATCAAACGGCTATTGGAGCTTCTATTCCTGCTGTGGAGCTGCCCATTGGCGTTAAATGCTTCGAGGTCTTGTTTGTAGTCGAGCACTATAGAGAAGATGTTGAGAAGCATCAGCGCATACCCCCAGGCACGACCAGTCAGAGTGGTTCAACATACAGTAAGCGTGTATTTTAAAATTGAGTTCGATAGCTTGACTGAACTAATTTATGCCCAGGTCCAATGAACACATTAACTGAGTTAGTGTTACCGCATGGGCCTGAATCGCTCTTGGGTACGGAATTTTCGACCTCTGCTCACCATTCGCAAGGCGAAATAGTCGACGCTGAGAGCATCATGGAGTGGGACAACTGGTTACTTAGTAGTGTCGATGATATCGAATGGAATGAAAATTAGGCGGAAAGACGGCATGAGGGCACAAAATTTTGCTGAGAGACATTGCAATCCGTCTAGGTCGTGGTTGGGCGGGGATGAGAGAAGACAAGCATGAAACCAGTCGAAAGCGGTCCAGCGGTCATTAAAGATGGACTTGAACTGTGTCAGCCGAGAAGTTTCAAGTATCCTTGTACATTGTGAGGATGGTAAATGTCGTAATTATCAAATTGCTTCGCTTAGGTTGCAATGGAAGGGGCCTAAGGGGGAACGAAGTATTGTTGTAGTACAGAGGAAAGGTTAATTGCGCGGACACTCAGCTGACGGCAGCGAGAACGTCCCTTCAGGAGATACAGGAGTTGCACCGGTGCCTTCAAGAGGAGCAGCGACTCTGAGAAGAAGAACAGGACATCGAGAAGAAGAACAGGACATCGAGAAGAAGAACAGCGACATCGAGAAGAAGAGCAGAGAATACGTGAGCAAGCCGAGCGATCACAGATAGAAGAACAGCGACTCTGGGAGCAAGCTGAGGAAAAATTGAAGCTCCAGACACAAGAAACAACGCTTCCCGAATTTCTCGACGCCTGCCATGTGCACTTATTTCTCGGTCTCTCCATCCAGAAAGACAAACACTCATCCACAAAAGGCGACCCGGCGAACGTCGACCGTAAACTCTGCCCGGCCAAGATTCGAGAGTGGACCAACTTTCCAAATGAACAAGTTTCAATATTGGGGACCTAATGAACACCGAGTTCGTGACCAAACGCCATTCGTTGAGGGAATATGGAAAAGAGGCCCAAGAGAGGAAGGATGGTAAGCTCGGCTGGATTTGGGGCACCGTCAATGACAGACAGTTTTGAGTCACGGGTCGCTTCAGTCGTCAAGCTGCTACATGCGAATCTGCGACTTCAAGAAACTTTTTGCCTGAATTGAGACATCACCTTCGAAAACCACGTCAATGCTCTACTGGACAAGTCCATATAGTGGCGGATCTGAGTTCTCTGAGCCCAAGTTAAAGGCAACCACGTCGCTCTGGTCGCTTGGCCGCAAAATCGGGCAGTGCTGGCCTCTCGGCTCAGCTGCCAGGAACAAGCGGAAAACTACACAGCCAAGGAATTCCCGGCCTCAAGCCTACCAGTTTTGTGTTTATAATAAGGGCTCAGAGGGAAAGGTCCCGGCGTGTATTATCGAATACAAGGCGCCCCATAAAGTTTCTCTCACCCATATTAAGTCTGGACTACAAGACATGGATCTTGAAGAAGTACTACGCTTACAAAAAGAAGATATCTGTCGGCGCATTGCGGCAGCAGTGATCACCCAAGCATTTTTTACATGATTCATGGAGGTCTGGAGTATGGCTTTGTGTGTACTGGTGAAGCGTTTATATTTCTTCGAGTGCTTCATGATAACCGTTCCACCGTATACTACCTGTCAGTGCCAGCAGAAGATGTTGGACAAAAAAAAGGATGGACAGGAGATCCGAACAGTGATAACAGGCTGCATTTGACTGCGCTAGGCCAGGTATTGGCTTTCACTCTCCACGCTTTGCGAGCGCCGACACGGGACATCGCTTGGATAAACTCGGCAGTACGTAAACTAATGACCTGGGAGATGGTATAAGACGACATTGTGGATGAAATCGGAGAGAAGGACATTCCTGCTTCCAACTTTAAACCTTCCCCGCGAAGTCGGAACGAATACTGCCGTGCATCCCCAGTGAAGACCAGGTCAAAGTCTGCTGTTGTTGCTTCCTGTAATTCCTCGCAAGACCAGGGGTCGTTTAGTCATGATGATGACGCCGGGGATGGCTTTGATCCTAACACGCCTAGTCGACCGCCTCGAGAGCCCCCCCCGCCTTCCTCACCCGTCGGCATCTTCGTCCTTATCGACAGTGGAAAAATCGCAAGGTTCACGCTCCAAAGGTAAGTATCGGCAGTATTGCACACAACAGTGCCTCCTGGGTCTGGTAAAAGGAGGGAAATTAGATTGGAAATATCCGAATGTGTCAGACCATGGGATTGATCGGCACTGTCTGAGCCGGACAACTCTCATTCGACGGCTGGACCGGCAGTTCTCGAACGATACTCTACAGCCTGATTCGCAGCTGGGTTGCGAATCGCTGCATGTACACGGCAGTCCTGGGGCACTCTTTGAAATCACGCTGTGGTCTTACGGATATACCTTTGTAGGAAAATGTGCGCCAGTCGAGTTTGTCGAGCACTCGAAGCACTAGGAGCTCGTGTATTTGTATCTCACACCAATCCAAGGAGTATTCGTGCCAGTTTTACTTGGGCAGCCTGCAACTTCGCTGCCCATTCTTTATAACGGTATTGCCGAGATTGTTCATCTGATGTTCATGGGCTACGCCGGAAGGACCCTTGCGGGCCAGCATAATCTCGATCGCCATCGACTAATTCAACAAGCCGAGATATACTTGCAGGCGATTTACGATCTACGCGTGCTTCAGGGTGATCCAATACCCGGCAACATGGTCGAGGAGAATGGTCGGGTGATGTTTATTGACTTTGAGCGGGCAACGATGCAAACCCGACGAATACCACAGGGTGGCATTTCACCTAATCAGAAACGCAAGTTGGGGGGACCGCTCCTGGGAGAAGAGTCCAAACAAACATATTAACTGTCTTGAACGTGAGAAGTGACGCATGAGACATGGATTATGATGATGTGACCCTATCTCTCGAGCAGCACTTTTAAAATGCTTGACGTCGCCTAACATTCAAAAAGCGCGCTTTTGTTGAGTGCTTATTGCTTCAATCTCAACGCAACGCCAGCCTTCAGTTCAGGTTTACTGGAAGGCTAACAGCCAAATAAGCACCGAAGCCATCCTCGTGGCACTAACTTATTCAGGCAGAGAGACCTGATTCTGCCTGCACCCCACTGGGGGGGAGATGCTTGCAGAACGGCTGCGGCGCTAAGGTTGCGCCTCGGCTCTTGGAAAGCAGTGTTTCCGGTGTATTTCGAAACTCTTACAAGACTCGCCCTCGACCAGTTGCCCATCATTTCCGACATTCTCGAGTGGCTGTGCCACCCAGGCGACGGATGCCGAGCCACTAATATTGGCTCTGTCCTAAAGCTTATGAGGTGAAACTACCATCGTCTACAGTATCGCCGCGCGAGCGCACATCGAGTCAGGAAGACAACAAGATATCTCTGTTGTATAGTCTCCATTAAGTCCCTGTCCTCCCTCACTATGAACTATCTGACTGGTCGGTAGCAAACGTGGATTTCGAATTTGATGGGTCGGTAAAGGGTGGTTCCTAACTAGCGTACTACGCGTCGTACACTATTCCCCTTGCGAAATTAGCTATTATCCAAGATTCTCCCTCCAGCCTGAAGCATATCTTCCAACACCTAGGTTTACTTGAAACCGATAAATTGGCTTATGCTCTTGGACTTTGGTTCGCTGCACACTCTGTATTAAACCAACCTATTGAAGAGACCCTAAGAATGGCTCATGAATCTGAACCGCGAAGACGCCAGTCTGACCACCCACGGTCAAAGAGTCAAGAAAGGTACAGACTCCGCAAGTCATTATTTAAAAAAGCGAATAAATACGGCATTGAGTGTGATGCCGATGTATGCGTGATCCTTCGAGTCTGAAAAAGCAGTCAGATATTCACGTTTACAACCGATTCTTTTGAAAGCTTCCTGCCTGTATTGAAAGAACTGGTGGGTGCTCCTGTTACATACCATTATCTGCCAGGATACTTACAAAAGCAGGACCGGCACTATCCTCCTCCGATCAATCAAGGACCGAGGGATTTTGTTGACAAACGAATGACAGAATCTCGCTGCTGAGAAAAACATCAATTTTGCCATTTCTAGGAATCAGAATGAACAAAGAGAGCGAAGATCACTATCGTGGGGTATATACATGTTACGACTTCTGTTTCTAAAACTATTATATTGCCAATCCAATTATTACAGTAGTCAAACTTCGCACCATCCCAAAAAGGCCTGTCATACCATCTCTCGGCACGACCAAAGATCAGCCGATCGGTTGCTTCTAATACAGTGCCATTCCTAAGGCGAAGGAATCGGTATTACCTGTGCTGTATAGGTGTGACTGCATCTTTCGCAGCCATTTTGGAGTTCCAGATATCCGCCTCTAGGCTATGTGTAAGAGAACATGGATCCTACAGTACAGTATCAGGACTCGGCCCGAATACTCAATAATGGCTTTAGCTTCTGCCACTAGACTTGTAAAACCACAGTAATATGAAAGAAAACGGAATGTCAGGTTGATTTGTCCCTTCACTGTACTTCTGATTTTCCGGCGAAAGTTAGATTTATTAAACTAGTGTCCCTGAGCCTTGAATCCTGAATTAAAGTGCTAAAATTGCGGCAATACCACATATGTACCTGGGAAGCAATTGACGTGTTATATATTTACCTGACAATTCGTCGCTAGTATCTACTGTAAGACCATAACAGTTTGCGCATGCCTGCTAAATTAGATTACTTATGTGTTGTGCTATTGGCAAACGGCTTATTTGCCTCTAGCGAGCACGTCCATTTACATAGCCACTATCTTTATATTTAAGAAACGCGAGAATAGGTAGAGCCGAAGTCTCTTATTGAATACTACCAGTATATCAAAAATCAGCGTAGGGGGCATACAATAACACATTTCATTGAACCATGGAGGTATCAATTGATAGAGGTTTAGAAGCTCCCGTCCATGCTACAAAAGATTCCGTAATCCAAGCCGCCCACCGCTCGGCCCTTAGGTAATGGGAACGTCCGTGCCAGCCGCATAAATTCCGTGGCCGCGGATTTCGCGTCCACTTCTCTGCGGGAGAAACGCCGAAATGTAGCACGCTTTTCGTTCCTTGGCCAAGGATGTTCGTGATCTGAGAGCAGTCCAACCGGGTCAAGTGTTCTCCCAGCAGTATATTATGCGTGATAGATGCAAGGGACTGGAACAGAGCCCTGAGCCTTGGGTAGTTATTTTAAATATAGGTGAGGACATTGATCTTTATACAAGTAGGGTTTACAGTACACTAAACATATGTCCAAGGCTGGCAGTCATTATCAACTAATACATACAGTTTCTAGTATGGTCTTTATCTTGTTTTGAATTTGCTGGAGTAGATCAGAAGGCACCAGCTCTATTAGTTGCCTCTTTTGTTCATATGTCAGTTTTAGCGGGTTCAAGGCCTGAATCTAAATTTCCAAACGTACAGTATACAATATTGAATACAGCACATAATATAAATAAGACTTATTCTGGCCACTTTGGAAGCACTTTTGGATAAAATAATGCAATTAACTTAAAGCATCGGATATCGATGGGATAGCAAAATACAGTATAGTATAGTAAGTGCCTGAAGTTTAGCTGCATTCTGAACCCGCAAGATGGGGTACTGCAGAAGCTCGCCGTCGTGAATTACATGCTTGGCAAGTGCCATCACTTGTGAAGCTACTTTGACCCTCTCCTTGACAGGTTTCACACAATTGATGGTAGCAAGCAGTCGTCACAACTCTCGCATGAGTTGTTGCGCAGCCGTCACAAAATTGGACTCCCTCTGGTTCGTGTGCGATTCTCTGGCGTCGAATGGCTCTTTCAATACTTAAACGGTCCCTCAACAAATGGATGTGATGCTGTAGTCTTTCCACTGAGCTCTGGGTCTGCGTATTCGCCTGCAGCAATTGCTCATACTGATTCCGGAGCGAACTGTTATCTGTTCGCAACATATTCGCTGTCATTCTTTCCTGCGCGCCTGCGTTCAAATCACTGTGGAGTCTGGTAATAATCCATCTTTGCTCATCGCACCTCTGCTGGAGTTGGAAGTTGATTCTTTGTAGATCTTCTTTCTCTCGTTCCTGACGACGTATTTCCCCCGACATCGACTCAAACAGGTGGTTTGCAAGAGCAGGAAGGCGCGGAGCCGAGACTCCTGGATCCACGTATCTCTGTTAGTAAATCTTTCGAAGAACTATCAGACAGGAATGGCTTACCTGCTGGACGGCTAGAAGGTCTGTTAATGTTCCTTGGCATATTGATGCTTTAGATATCCAAAGTCACGCAGTCGAGAAGAGATGAAGACGGAACTAATACAAAGTTTATATACTCCCTTACGCCTCCATGCTACATATATACGGGCCGAAGAAATGGAATATAAATCTTAATTTGAACTGTAGTAGGTCTGTAAGCAATGCTTGCATTCCAGGAACATCGTCGGTTCGAATACCGACCTGAAAAAATGCGGCAAGAAAAATCAAGAAATGTATGTAGCTCCCTACCCCTGGAGAGGCCGATATTTTAATTCCGAGGGCCGCTCATATGTATGAAAACGGCAAAACAAAGACTCTCAAATATATAATTCTACTCGCATCTTAAAAGCAGAAACTTCATCTGATCGTACAAGAGAATTAGTGTATAATTGCTACAGGTCGATTGTGTTAGCTATCGTCTAAGGCTTCTCCGAGTTCTTAGAATGAAGCCGAAGTACAGTATTGCGGCGTACTCATCACAAAGCTGCTCATATTTCTCCTTCTCCTCACGTAGGGCTTCGTAGCGTTCCGTGAGTAGCTTGATCTCCTCTTCTGGTTTTTGAATACTGTATGAAATGGACAGAGTGAGTGTTGTGCTTCAGGTCTTCGTGATGCGCTTCAAGTTCTAAAAACTCCTTGCGCGACTGCAGCAATTTCGCCCTCAGAGTTTTATTTTCATTTATAGTCACCTCCATCACGTAGCCACAGTATTTATGGTCTTCGATTGTTTCCGATTCCTTTCATCCTGTCAATCGACCTCATTCCTAGGAAGAATCCAAGTATAACAACGGTAACTTACAGAGATAATGGTGTCACTCACGTCTACTGGGAAGTTTGATTGGGGTTTTCCTCGGCCACAGGTCAAAATTCTGCCCCCAAAGGGATAATTTTATTTACACTGGACACCGGTCTTTCGTAATATCCTAATTAGGAAATACATAAATCTCGTAGTGTTGAAACTAGGGATGGTAGTAAATATAATAAATAATTCCAAAGAAAATGGATTATTTCCCAGATGATAATACTCCTTCTCAAATACCTTCTCCTGAATCTGACACGCAATTTAATACTGCCTTAGAGGCAGAAAAAGCTGCTAAGTGCCATGCTCTACAATACAGCTATGCAGTTGTGGTTGTACGACGGAATAAGAACCGCAATGGATTGAAGAAGCAGTTCGAACAGCTGTTCATTCTGGATGGGCTCCCCTGAAGGTAGGGACCGCTGTTAGCTGAATCACTTGCCAAGATCTAAAATAGCCTACGACATGTCAGAGAAATATTCCGAGACGTAGACTTTGAAGGCAAGAAAGCCATTTTCAAAATCCCATTTCGTATTCGGTGCATGGTTGACTCTTGCTCCTGCATGGAAATCGCGCCATTCGGCGACCATCCCCGCTGCTTCTCCGCCTTCGCTATGGATTGATAGCTTTTCGCATACAAAACCATTTCCGCACCAAAATAGATGGAATTATTGCCTCCTAGCATTCTCCTCATAGTCTCTGATATGTACCATCTCTTGAACAAAATATCCTAATGAAATATGGGTAATTGCAAGACTCGTTTATTTAGCCCGCAGCTACGATACTGTTGATGCTACGTGCTGAGAATAAAATCGTACAGTACAAGCAAAGCCATATGGAAAATTTACGAGTTAATCTGCACTTACTTCCAACATACCATCGCATCCAGTACGATGGCTGTCAAAAGTTGCGTAATGAGAGGGGATTATGGTCCACATCTATGGATGCGCCCAATTCTATTTATCAACTCATTGCCGCCATTCAGCACCATCTGGACTGGTACAGCCGCCAAACAATTCCACTCATCTCTGTGTTTGAAGATCAGGAAAGGGCGGAAATTTGGGCCCTAACATTGCGCAACGACAACGTGCAAATTGCAGAGATTGATACGAGACTTCTCGGGGATCACACAGCTTTTCCTTGGAAAGAGTATGGCAAGTACTTGGTGCTCAGATCCCTCCAACCCCCCAGCATCGTGGTGAATTGCTAGTATTGCATCACATTCCAGCCGCAGCAGTCAGGCGAGGACTGGAATAGATATGATTCAACGATACAGAGAAGAGAGGACTGAGAGCCGTGATGAAGTTGCCTTGTGCAATATTTAGGAAAAAGTGAGAGCTGAACGACGACTGCATCGGTGGCAAAATGATCTGGTTTATCATTTCGTTACCGAGCTTGGAGGCTGGTATGACGAAGACGAAGCAGTGGAGGCACGTTATATTGCCGACGATATCATCAGAAATATTGAAGACAATTAGTGATTTTTTTTATCAGTCTGTCAAGGAAGAAAGCCAACCAGCTGTCGGACTCTACATACTGCATGCAGGCAAAAGTTTTCAATGGCTCAAGAATTGATTCATGTCAGCTATAACCTTATATACCTAAACACATTGATAAATCCATCGATGACTGATACCATTAGAGTCTATTCCTTCCGCACCGGTTGCAGGGTTGGAGCCTGTACCCACGACATTCGAAGATATATTCGCGCAGATAATAGAAACATTCCTCGCACGCATGAGGGCCATGTACATATTTTCAATTCATGGCTGCATTCATGGTTCTCTCGGAGCTCCTGGATTGTTCTTGCAACCAAAATATCTCTTGTTGTCCGAACACGGGTGGTGGGCCTTTCCTGCACGCACACCGGAGCTTCTGCAATTGCTTCATCTGCTGACTGAAGCTCATTAATTTCCGGTTGAGGTCCATTAATTTCTGGCTGAGCCTCATAAATATCAGCTTCCCGATCAATTATCTGATATGCACGTGCAAGGAGACGACGCTCATTCCATTGTTCACACGCGCAGTTTTTCCAGCGCTCCCTACAGTTGTAACAAAATTGGGCACCGCAACGACAGCTTCACCGCATTTGGTTAGCAAACGGTGGTAAGAAAGAAAGGAAAGATCACCAACATCATGTGATTTCAACCATGATCCAGTTCCACCACACGCCAACACGAGTAACACCGTTGCCATCCATTCGCCTGTGCGGTAGCTAGGAGTTGTTGCATACCAATATCGTTTGGGCAATCGCCTGTATGTGCTTGTCCTTTGCAGTTTGTGCAGGTCGTGAATCTACAATTGGGACATGTGGCTAACTCACCCTCGATATAGGATGGGTTGATAAAGGCTGAGCACTCAGGAGAGTAAAAATATGTTCTATTTGGAGCTTCGAACTCAGTCTTCTTCTTCTCGTACCGTTGCACGAGTTCAGTCTTAAGAAATATGCGAGCAATGCTCATAACGATAGGCTGTCGGCAGCAGCGCGGAGGGAATAGGGATTCGCCTGTTATTGAAGCGTTGAAGAGATCTTCCAGGCAGGGGCGACAATATTTATGATCACAGGGAACACGTGCCACGTTGACAAATTCCGTTTCTTCTCTGCACGCTACACAACGGCGTAAGTGATGGTGATTGTCTGGTTCGTCGTGCAGCCCAAGCAGACGACTCGGCTAGTTCAGTCTCTGAACTACTTTGCACTCCGTTTATGCCATAGTAGCCTCCCAGGCCAGACACATATAGGATCTGGAGTTTATCTAAGGTCTCATCATACAGGGCTGTTGATTCCGCGTTAGGCTGGAGACCTTCTACAGCCACACGACATCTGTTTTCTGTCCAGTAAAAAGCAATATCTCGATCATTAGCCGCATTCTCTTCTTTCGCTAGGTTCTCGGCTAGAACCCGCCCATCGGCTTGAACTGCAGCTGTGAAACTCATAGCCATTCGTCTATCCATGAGGAACTGGGAAATACTTCCCAACTCTTCATTTTGTAACTGAAATGCCAGCTCTTCATCTGTGGGCTCTCCATCTGTGGGCTCTCGGGATTTTTGTTTAGAAGATTCAAAATAAAGACCGGCATCTTGAAGTTGTAGTTGAATAATCAGATCTGCTGTAGGCTGGTCGAAAGGATGACGACAGCCGCATGAATCATTATGTGCTGTACGAAGGCGAGGTACTTGCCAGATACCCCCAGCCAAAGAGCCAGCAAACCTCGGGCCAGTCGACCGAGACACTCCCCCCGCTATTCGGCCACGAGGCCACTGACTATGCAGCCAAGAGTACCATGCGCATTGAGACCGAGTGCACTCGACCAAAGCCTGCCAGTCGAAAGAGGCCAGCGAGCGCTGCCTTGGACTCTAGTATTGAGACAACAAGCGGTCCCCGGACAAAGGGCTAGGGCTAAAGCCGAAACATCCCACTATTTTCCTACGTCCCGCAAGGTCCAGCCTTGTTCTACGGCCGAAGACGATCTCCTACGGAATTTAGTGGCCAGAGTGCTTTCGTGGGGGCAGATCGAAAAAGAATTCGCTCAGGTCTTTACTGGAAGAAGTTTGAGATCGTTGCAGGTGCGTTGGTCGAGGAGCCTGAAGTTTGCGGCGCGATCGGCGAGGCGTTCAAAGCGCCAGAGGGGCGACTGATGGAGTGAGTCGATGTCGTATCCTTGTCATCCCATGACTTATGATCTTCCTCAAGATCGAGAATGATCGCTCTCCTAGTAAAATTTCTTTGGACGTTCCATCATTGTCTTTGATTACACTTACCGGATAGCGGTCGCCCAGCCATTTAAAGGTGTAGTCATTCTTTGGTACACTTTATGATTTTATCTTGTCGTGGAATTCAGGGGAAGTGATGCGCAGGGAGCTATTCTATCAACTACAGGCCAACTAGCCTAACTGGGAAGTAGATGTCCTTCGGTGGATACACCAGGAATCACAGTATCTCAACCAACTGAGTCTCTTGCAGTCCTGACTCCTATCTAGGTGCTCAACTAACTAAAGGATTGAGGGGTAGAATGGATCGCTAGATATTTCCGCACCGCCAAGTCGGGCGGATTATAGTGTTTCCGTAACATATCTCAAAGTGATGATCAGATGCGATCAGAAGATGATTCATTCTTATGTCTCCTACCCATGAGATATCTACTCTACCTGACTACATACTGTCAAATAATATGGTCGTTGGTGGACCAGAATCATGTGACTGGGTCGGGGTAAAACCCCCACGGAGCACACAACAAAATAATCAATCAAGAATAACCAAAAGAGAATAATCAAGAAGAGCCCAACCAGCTCAATTCATTCAAATAAAACCTTTTTACCAATCGTACTCTATTTCCTCTTCGGGACTAGCCGTATATCTGACACATACAGAGGTGTCAGCCGCCTGGGCTAACCCGAAAGGGGGAAGCGGTGGACGAGATGATCCGCCAACATTTTATCCAAGTTCTTAAGTCACGTGTAGTCCGGTTATCTGCGTCCCGACACTTGCTGTTCGGCTGAAGGAATAATACAATGCATTTAAACTAAAATGCAGAATCATGCAGCATCTCCAATATCGACTAAGTCTCACGTTTCAATACTCCTAACTCGCTTAGCCGATGCAATTGAGCGAATGAACAAACCTCACTGATTTAGGCTCCAAACTGGTCCTCGAGTCAATCCTACTATAGATGTTATAGACGTAGTCCGGTATATTCAACCGTACAAAGTTCCTCTGGATCACTATATGGCTACCAAATAGTTGCCCCTTTTAATATAAATCCAGCTTTTCATTAAGTAGCCAGTTGTCTCTAAAGAAGAGGGATGGGTCCGGATCTAAACAGTTGTTGCTCACGATTCCGGGAAAGGCCACATCGCCCTTGCTTCATCAGGTGACTTTTCTCCGGCCATTCTCTTTATATACATGGACAGTAGTTCCCTGTTTTGCCTTCGTTTCTCTGCAATATCTAGCTGGGGAGCGACCCAGCCTTCAGCATCAGTATCCAGGCATTCCTGAGCGAGTTGTTGGACCTCGTTCCAGGCTTGGTATTCAGAAAACTGGTGTTCATGAGAATTAATTTCTTCATCATTGAATGAATAAGGGCACCGTCCAGTGAAGCCCAGACTTGACCAGTTCCGAGAAATTTCTATTAGGCATTCTCGGAGTGGCACTGCACCCACCTCAGAGATTTCTCCACAGCGGATAAAAAGTTCTCGGAAAATGCGAGGTATATTCATGGCGTTATGAGCAATTCTGTCTTCAAGGAATGTCGCAACTTCGTATGCTTTTGCTAGCTTAGACTGGGACCATTCCTGTAAAGCGGCAGCTTTATCCTCTTCATCTAATTCACTGAAGTCATCAGGGAGCTTGGGCTGCACAAGCCCTTTAATGTAATTCTGTGGAGGCTTTAGGAACACCGGCCACTGAGCTTGAAGAAATAACGGAAGGACTGATATGGACTGAAAATCAATTAGCGATACTATCCTTGAACTCTCTTCAGGCGCAACAAAAATATTTCCCATATGGAGATCACTGTGCCATAGTGTAGGTTGGGCAGATTTGGTTAACATTGGATGCGAGTCCAGCATCTGCATGACGTTCATGGTGTACTCCAGAAGCTGTGCTTGTTCCTGAATGCTTCCTTGAGTAAACGTTGGATGGTCATTTGAACGTTTGCATGAGATCCGGTATAGCTCTCGCTTTACGATTGATATCCCAAAATCTGACAATTTATTCCCTGGGCGATCTTTTAGCATAAGTACACAGCAGGACTGGAGGTTCTTACAAGGCCCTTGGTTAAGTTTCGCATGAGTTGATAGGTCCACAGTTGCATCGGTATTAAACGAACGATCACAAGAGGGGCCAATACAAAATAAGTTATATGGATCTATGCTCCGATCAAGCTCTTGGCATTGTGAATGGCCCACATCAGCTCGACGATACAGTCCTCCGTATGCAGGGAAAGGAATAGCCGAAAGCTGAGCTTCAAGTTTTGTTAGATTGTTTATAAGCTCTAGTTTCTCAATTTCTGGCATCTTTCCCCATTGCTCAAACAATGGAACTCCATCGGCCTTTTCCATGATAATATATTCGGCACCAACAGGATTTGAATCGTCCGAGGACCAGGAAAAGACGTGAGGGGTAGGAATGCTCGTGTATTCTCGCACTGACATAACATATGTAAGCAAAATGGGAAACCACGACCAGGAAAACACATACCATATTCCAGAACGCCTACTTCACACGCTGTTGTAAGTGAGATTGGTCCAGCGATACGACACGGAAGCTTCGCAATTACTTCCTGTCCATTTTCTTTTTTCATCAGAAGAGCTTTACTGAAGCCTCCTTCGAGCTTCTCAATAGTTTCGATCCGAGATGGGTTTCCACCGGCGGCAGCAGCAACATCACAAAGAGCCTCTAAGTTGAATTTTAGGTAGCGTCGATCAAGCTGGCGTTGTTCATCAACAAGGAAGTGGCCATTAGTGTATGCGAAAAGCTCTTCGCGACCGATAGATTTTCCTAATTTATTAGCGATGCCCAGTGTTATTATTGTTATCACACTCACCACGACAAAGTATGGATATACGAGCCATCTGCTGCCTGCACTGTGACTGTTTGAAGCTTCTAAGGAAGGATATCATGACAGATAGCAGAGAACTCAAGGTTGGGTAATATCAAATATCAATTGTGTGCTTAAATTCCGGAGGCCAGCTCTCCGTTAAATAAGGATGACAGTAAGGAGAGCCGCGCATTCCTTTGAGAGGAAGCGGCTGTGTCCGGTCGATCTGTTAACCCGAGCTAAAAAGAGTCCATGCTACCCAACAACTCCGATCCTTTGACGGCTTATTATACCGCCTTCCTATTCTAGTTACGGCATTTTAGGATGAGAAAGGCGGTGAAATTACATGACCATTCAAGCGATGATCGGATTTAATTCTTCAAAAAGACTAGCTAGTTCTGCAGGTTTTACCTTACAAGAGGCATGGGTCCTAAGTATATTTAGAGCCTTTGCAGCAATTCAAATATCTGGCACCACAACATAACAAAGTATAGCCGCGATTGGATAATTATGCATCCACAATCAAAACAGAGACTTGCCCTCTTGCCCCACCTAGCAGCAGCCCTGAGTCCAATTATTAGCTCGTTTCCCTAGTCACATGATACGTAACTTACCTGTAAGCGTTCAGTTGAGGTTCTCTTTCGCTTGCTTCGCCATTTCCTCCCAGAATTTTCTTGCAACTTCCTCTTGAGACTCAGCTGGAGTGTTCTCATCAATCGTACTCGAAGCCAAGTTGGCATCTGTCCCTTTTTTTTGTCTAAACTTGGCTAGAGAATCGTTTTTCGCCTGGGAATTGACTTGCAAGTACACGTTCTTGATCCCGTCCAAGGACTCGCCCGCGTCCAGACGCAATTGGTATTTGGAGTCATTGTCCCTCGCCTGCACAGGTGCAATGCGTTTTCCGGGTGTTTGTTTCTGAAATAGCTTTTTATAAAGCCCTCCCTTAAAAATAGCTTCCTCGAATTGCTTAAGGACCTTCGACATAGTGGTTGAAAGTAGTAGTTGTAGCAGTAGTAGGGATGTCAATATTAGCCTGTAGATTGTGGATGGGTACGATAAATGGGATGAGAGTAGACATCAATAATCTAAAGCTTTGGTGGATAGACAATACATATATAGTCCACTTATTGAATTGCCTTCCAACCAGGCTAGAAGGTATTAAAGCGGGGTTGTTCCCCGACCTGTTAACTAGCAATAGGGTATACGCTTTGGCGTCGGTACGTTGCTGGTAAGGTGTTATTATGCTTCACGTATTTCTCTAAGCCGTGCTGTGGTGGGTAAGCATGGTTAATAGGGTATTAAGTTGCACAATGTTAGCCAATACGTTCTCTTTTTTTTTTTGGCACTGTATGGAATAAGGAGCTATCCATTTATTGAGACGCTACACTAGCAGTCAAGTATGGCTAGAGACAGCCTCTCAAGGCTTCCGCATTGGTCGGCGCATAATGCTCTCCTGTAGTTGCCTGAAGTGGCTCCTCGCGATCTACACGTGAGACCATTCAATTAATGCAGGAGATATCACATTGCATATGCAGGAGTGGCTGCTAGCCAATGGAGCCATGGAAGGAGAGAATACCGATCATGCGATTGCACCTTGCAGAGACGAGGCTGACACGGCTGGCGGCTAAACATGTACAACTAATATGTGGGCGGTACTCTTCACATCCGATCAGGTAAGATAGGCCTTTAACTTTCCCCAACCCCTATCCGAAGAAAGATAGAATCTCTTATCTTACATATTTTAAATGTTGCTCGTGTCCATGTATGGATTTAGAAAGAATAAAGGGGAAATATTAGCCTGCTTTACCCCTTATCTTCCCAAATGATCTGGGCACCAGAATATGGATTTCCAACGTATACTGCAGAACCCAGTGGAGCAGATGTTTCGTACGGAAGGCACAACATCCTCCATCCAGACTTCCGTGCTCGACCAAAGAATTATTGAAGATTCAATCAAGGTATTTGAGCAACAGCTCGAAAAGAGTTGGGCGCGTCAAAGAGCCCCCAGAGGGTTAAAGAAACATTTCCTAGGAACCCGAACTTCCGATGCATCAGTAACGTCACGCATCTTCTTGGAGACTGGAGGGCTAAAATCATGGCTAGCACATTTCCTTGCAACAAAAGGAAAGGCTCATTTTAAAGGGCAACACCAGAGATCCACCACTCTTGCTGCATTTCACGAACTATCATTAGAAAACAGGAAAGCTGTCGCAAGAAAAGTGGCCAATGTACATCCACACCCGACTGTTAGCCGCGCCATTCACAGAATATCCAAAAATTTCACAGACGAGGGTATGCCAGTTAATTGTTTCTTTCTTCTATATATTTTCTAAAAGTGTTTAGGTCTCTTGGAGTCTTTCCACAATGAAAACTCTCGACACTCCTCCACAAACAGTGATTCGACCAGAGATCTTGCCATAGCCTCTATGGAAGGGACACGGAGAGACCCCAATTATGCCTTCGACAGCTCACGACATATCGAAGGACCTGCACAACATGTGGTGCTTGAAAAAGCCTCACTGCAAGGGATCGCGGACATTTTCGACCAGTATATGTGCAGTGCGATTAGGAAAGATAGAGATCAGTGTGGAGAATCCACTTGTCTTAAGGCTGCTGTAACGATGGACTTCCCTTTTGACGGATTAGTAGATTGCCTTATGAGCTTGGCTATTGACCAAAGCAAGGTCGAGTATCTTGCCATGGCATTGTTCAATCTGCATGTGGAATCAGCAGGGCAAGTTCGATACTTGATTCTCAACGAAGGGGCCAAAGTAATACCGAACCCTGATATTACGCTAAAAGGAGTGCTCGACGACGCTATTATTCGTATACTTGGTCCGGACATACACAGCGCAATCCGAGCTAGCCGAATGCGTAGAAAGGAACTGGAAGAGGGGAATCGTGTGACTGAGTGTGTATCCATGATAATTACAAACAAAGCTAATGAGGGCGCCATTATCAATTTGTCACTGGGTTTGAAAGACGGCGCTCAAATACAAAACAAGCTATATACATAAAATGCAACCCTTCTTGCAACCGCACCAGATGTCATCCTTCCTTAACTTGTCCTCCGACAAAGTACAGCTCAATACCAGTTCGTAGTTTTGCTTGACCGGTAAGCTTGCCGTGTACCTGTCCTTCTCCTCTGTTCTTGAACACAGTAAGAGCGCTGCATCCTTTCCAGTAAACCCACTGGTCCTTACCCTCAACCCACTTTATTGTGCTAGTAGGGATGGTCGAGAAATCTACCTCGGAATCGAGATCGTGTGGTTCAAAAGTCTAACTCTAAATTAGAGAAGATGCATAATAAACAAGGCTTCTTACCATTAAGGTGAATTCTGGCCTCCGTGGTTATATTATGATTATAGGAACAGGTCTGTTTATCAAAACCTTTATTTAGATTGTACACAGTGCAATAGGTAATAATTAATCCCGGTGAAGTGGTATGACTGGCAGTGGCTCATAGGTTATCCCTTTGGGTTACTGAAGCCAAACTTCCTGTTTCTTTAATGGACAACACAAAGTATTGATTTCCTGGAGAGTTCATGAGAAGGACAGCGGTAATGGAATCGCGTCTGCAAATATATAGTTTCAATATCAACTTTGGCTTTGTAGTAAATTCCTTCACCTCCGACGGGGAATTTTGGGACAGGATTTGGAGGGGCTCCGGTGAGCGGGGAAGTATCAGTCATGTGACTTACCTGCTGACTATTTACCGCCTTAGCAGCAGTTCGAGTTGGGCATCAATCAACCCGCCTTGAACGACGTAGTTAATTACAAGCTTCTCGCCCTTTGAGTTCCACGTAGTGACTCACCACAGAAGAACAAATAAAGAACAAGATGAGAGTAGCAGGCACGTGCCGGTGCGGATTCAAGATTATGCTCTGTTGCATTAGAATATTGTCTTTAGATAAGTTTCTTATAACCTCAACCAACTTGAGGCGGCGTCAGTGTAGATCTATGAATAATCTGAATGAAAAGTGGGCACATTAGCTAACAATAAGAAATGCTAAATACGTCAAAAACAACTTTATTGCTAGTTACGGGCTTAAAAACTAAACTTTGATGATTATCTTACTCATGTCGGTAAATTAGAATCTTATCTTTCTCCCGACCGCAGTCGACAAACCAGAGCTAGGACAAAGCGAACATTGACAAGACTAAATCTGCAGGACGCGCTGTGCGGTAAAATTTACCCTAGCCTGCATAGGAATTGATATGCCGTGACCAACTTCACTATTCCCCATGGCTCTATTCTGGGACAATACACAAGGGAAGTTGTCCATCACGGACAAGAATAAAGATAACGGGGATGGCAAAAGGAGAAAGAGACACAACGTCCATCAGATTCATAGCACACAGCATAGAAATAAGACGGGCGTGTCTGCCCCGAGCCTCACAGCATTAAACCACGAGGTTTCCATGCTTCTAGCTGAACTCTTTGACAACATATGTTCTTCGATACATGGATTGTTTTGACACCTTGTTTCACTGGATAAAGAATTTTTTTCACTGGTTAGGGACTCTTCTTTACCGGCTAAAGGAGCTTCTGAGGGAACCACGAGTCTCAAAGAGAAGTCGGCCCTATTCCCCTACCTTCTCTTGGGGGGAGGATATCGACCTTGACCTTCCACCTCCTGCCCTTCTTCAGGATAGCATCGAACCCAGAAACCCAAATAGGGAGGCTAGCTTGATAAAACTCCAAGGTTCTCGATTCATATCAACGACTGTCACTCCTCTTAGCACCCATTCGGCATCTTGGATAGACGAAGATATTATCGTGCTACCATACCCAGCTATATCCTATAATACGACACCAAGCCTCCCAGAAGTTAGCCAGCAGTAAGTAATTCTACTACAGATTTATTTTACTCTTATTGAACGTTGCAAGATGGCAATGACCGATCAAATAGACCATCTGTTCTCCGTAGCTTTTCGTCTTTTTATTGCTTGGTTTATCTTTGTTCCGATAGTTGTGCTTTGCCACTGCTTGAGACCGGTGTATCACTGGGTAATTCAGGAGTACAGATCCTATCGAAGATATTAATTAATATGCCTCCTTCACGGGAAAACGCTGTTAAGGCTCAACTTATCACAACTGGACACTGCAAAGCACATTGGACCATTACTCTCAGCGAGCCTGGCAGGTGTATTAATGCAAACCTCGAGCTAAACTCATTGAAGTGGAGCCAAGGCCACCCTGCATTACTTTTAAAAACCATCGAGTTTCGTGTCACTGATCACTATCCAGGGGTCGAAGAGATGAAAGGTTGCCTCTGGCCTCCAGAGCACCTCATGGAGAGACAGGGCCAATGCCATTGTGCGCAGTGGGTGTAAGTGCATATCCTGAACCTAAATATTCGCAGTTTAACGATTTTAGATGGGCGGTAATCTGGGATTATGGCAAGAGAGGCTATGTTGAGGAGGTATCTAGAGAAGAAGTCCCCCTCACGAATTTATTGGACCAGCTGGTTGGGATCCAATCAGGGGTCCACGCACTCCTTTCACTGTTGGCAAATCGGTGAGTGTTGTGGAATTCAGGGGAAGTGATGCGCAGGGAGCTATTCTATCAGCTACAGGCCAACAAGCCTAATTAGGAAGTAGATGTCATTCGGTGGAAACACCAGGAATCACAGTATCTCAACCAACTGAGTCTCGTGCATTCCTATCTGTGTGCTCTACTCTAGATCTTAGGTGCTCAACTAACTAAAGGATTGAGGGGTTTGATGGATCGTCAGATACTTCCTCACCGCCAAGTCGGGCGGATTATAGTGTTTCCGTAACAGTGAGGAACTGGTGGATTAATGCAATTTATGCGTTCTGCTCAACGTGGTAGCTATCACAAGAGTAGTGTCGTGGAAGGTAGTGTTGTAGTTCAGAGGAAAGGTTAATTGTTCTTGCTCCACCATCGACCAGCGAAGGCGACGGTGGGTTTCATGCCGCTTGAGAAGAAAAGGGGACCTAATTGGTCTGTTGTGGTATCCACCAATCAAAGCAGATTACATGAGCAACGGAATACGATCCAAACGAACAAAGAAAGTCCATTGGCTGTAGCCTACAATTACTCCTATTCAGGTTAGATACCCATCCTGGTGATTGTTCTCCTCACCCTTTCCCTCCTGGGCAAGTCTTGTGCAGCTCATGATCTCGACTTATCTCGTCAGGAAAGCTTGAAAAGCATGACGTATAATTATACGAATAAGGAATTATATTCGTACGAATATTGTTCAACTAGAAATATCTTGATTATTCGTATTCGTTTGCGTCCCTACTTGAATTCATTTTAAAAATTTAGAAAGGAATCCCAAAAAGCTGAATAGCATACATAGCCGAAAATAATCCAATTTATTGCTTCCTGACGATATGTTCTAAAAATGAATTGCTGCCCAACCACTGACCATTTCTCATCCAATGTGTGCAGCTTCGTTATTGTAAAGGTATCCTGTCAGATGACCCCTATACATATATCGATGACGTCTTTAATAGATTCATAATTCCCTATTTCAGTGGCACAATTCGGCAACGCATGATTCAAAATTGGTGCTGAACCCCCACTATATCACATGACCGTAGGTGACGAACTTCTGTTAACCCCTCTTTTTGATGCCCTTGTAGGCTGCTCAGACAGGCCCATGATACTGAAATCTTCTAATGTCACACTTTGCCCCGTGAAACGCATTGAAGAAAGGATCATTCTCTGCCTGCTTTTCTACTATTTCTCCATGGTCAACTTGTGATCGTTTCATTGTTTTCCTCAGCGGTGGCGGACGAGTGTACATCTCACCAAGGACGTTTTTTCAAAACCTGCGGCAAAAGCTCATCTACGTCTAAAAGCAAATTTATTCATCAGGCGGCGATCCATAAATTGGCAATGGAAACCAGGAACTATGTGCTTATATCGGACGAAATTTCACAGGATAAGGCTAAACTTGCAGAAGAAGCTGTAAATCATGTTTGTTATTGATGTAATCGTTTCTAAATCACATGAAGCTAACCGCTATCTTTAGTTTGGAAGTACTTTCGAGGAGTCGAAGGTGGACGTCGAAGAAAGTTGGGCGTCTTATAATGTTAGACTTTTCGAGAGCGCCCTCACAGAACGATTGGTGCTGTTCCGACCACCACCATCATCAAAAGTTTTCGGCTGCATAAGGGTCCGCGACGGACAAAGAACGGTGAAATGGGAAGCGGTCCGCAAAAGCGGGTTATACATGGGATTCATACCAAATGGGTGTCATTTCGAGGCTATGCTGGTAGACGTGAGGCTCATAACGCAGAAAGAGAGTTCGAGTTGAATATCACTGGTAAGGTGGACTGATAACCGAATCGGATTGCATCGTCTCGTGGTATAGAAATAACGATGCTTGCGACACGATCTGCAATGGGAATTGTGAGAATAACGCTATGAAGGGCTGCTGACGGAGGATGAAGTTTCAAGAGCTCCTCGAGTCTGGAAGGGGGAACGAGAAATGCAATCTCGATAAATTCTTGGGCAGCTTCTGCTTTTTGTAAGCCAGTCGTCTTCCTAAGAGCGTTGTGACACCAACCATCAACATTTGGAGCTTCATACTGCTGTAACTCCGCCTGTTGCATCTCTAGTCGAGGTTCATTTTGAGCATTTTCTGCGCTAACTTTCACCTCTGATATGTGTTAGTCTAAGTTTTAGCATATGTAAGGCGTACTTTCCATTTAAGAATACTTCAAACTCATTTGAACTTCGGAGTGGTTTTTCTGCTCCCAGCATACCCAATACATCATAGATAACGGTCGGCCATTGATGTGGCTTATCGGACTCCAAAAATTCGAGGACGAAGTCGAAAGTACTTTTGGACAGAACATTCGAATCCCATACGCTTGGTGCAAATGCTGCCGCCCATAAAATTATTCCATCGGGTTTCAGGCTTCGAATTCGTCCGCACGCTCGCGAGTTAATTTCTTCCTTGCCTTAACTGCTGAAGAATCAAGCTTCGATTCGATGGGAGGTATGAAGAAGAGCTGTATATTTCTCACGAAAGTGACTTGATTTTTTAGCCTGTGGGTAGCCATTAGTTCTGTTTTGACGGTCTCTGCATTGGATAATAGTCTCTGTCCTTCTGAGACAACTGTGCGCTTCCGCCTCTTTCCCAATGCCTGGACTTCTTCGAAGACGTTAGCTGCGATTTTGGCAAGACCATGGCTCGCAGTTTCCAGAGCTTCTAATTCGTCGCCATTAAACAGAAGTCTTCCATGCCTAATTGTCTCAAGGGCTGAATTAATCTCACTAGCGAGCTCCTGCACGCGATTGGTTGTAAAGGCTGGCTGCTCTGATCGGGATGACATATGGGAGGACTTGATCGCTTAGTTTCTTGGTCGGCTTTGATGAGGGGTAAAGTGGGCGAGATGTAGAGTTTAAAATATTTTAGGAAATGGGTTTACATATGTAAAATAAGGTCATGTGGAAATTATATACAAAGTTAGGTAAACATCAAATATGACCCAAATCGCAATGACCAATGGTTAAGCAGGCATAAAAGATCTGCAGGCTATGTGATACCCGCAGTCCAATCACGTCTTCCTAGACCTGGATAATTTTCCACTGCACGTAAAAAGATAAGCACCTAGGGCAAGAGCCAGTTATTACAAGGCTGTTTTAAATACGAACGTAGCTTAAGCTAAAAAGTCAATCGACATATGCCCTTGAAAGTATAGGAGAGCAAGGCGACATTAGTCGCATACGGAATGATAGATCCGTTCGGTATATCTCGAGCTATTTTGGATAGCTACGCTGGAATATCCCGTTTAGTTCAATATGTGCCAGGACACATTGTACATCTCACGGCCCAATGACATACAGCCTGACGCGATCAAGAACATGATCATGCATCCTGCGGCACATCTGAATAGGATGGCGAGAGGGTAGGACCACGACTCCAAAAGACATATAAGGAGGCATATTTCTTGGAACATCATCAGCTCTCACAGCATTACTCCACTCACCTCCGCTCCTTCAGGAGGTTGCTGTGCCCAGAAACCTGCATAGCGAAGGTGTGGTGATAGACATCGAAATTAAAGCCTCCTTGCCATATCGAAGCCTCTTGGCACTCATTCAACACTCTGGCAAAACGAAGAACTTATTAAAGAGCCATCACCAGTAATATCATACAATAGAACGCCATTCCTGCAGCTTCCACACAACGGGGAAGCCAATTAACAGTAAGTTGTTTGAATGTTGAAAGGTGGCAATAACGGGTCAAATAGTCTGTATATTCTCTCTAATTTTTCGTCTCTTTATTGCTTAGTTTATCTATATCCCGATTGTTGTGCTTTCACACTGCTTGAGACCGGTGTATCACTGGGTATTTCAGGAGTACAGGTTCTATCGAAGTTAACTTGACCTGGTATCACTCTTCTTCGGGACAATATGTCTGGTTTGCAGAGGCAGTGCGACGTCCTTAAACGCATTATACAGAAGTCCTCGATGAGGCTCATTTGCCCCCAATGTCTACGAGGTTTTCCCCGTTCTGATACCTTATACCGCCATTTCCGAGAACAGCAGGATGACATCCACAAGGGCCTGGATATGAGAGACACGGACCATAACACGTTCCTCTCCTGTTATCAAACGGCTATTGGAGCTTCTATTTCTGCTGTGGAACTGCCCATTGGCTTTAAATGCTTTGAGGTCTTGTTTGTAGTTGAGCACTATGGAGAAGATGTTGAGAAGCATCAGCGCATACCCCCAGTCACGACTAGTCAGAGAGGCTCAACATACAGTAAGTCCGCAATTACCATTGAGCTTGATAGGTTGACAGAAATAATTCATGCCCAGGTCCAGTAAACATATTCACTGAGTCGGTATTGCCGCATGGGCCTGAATCACCCTTGGATACGGACTTTTCGACCTCTGTTTGCCCATCACAAGGCGCAATAGTCGAGGCTGAGAGCATCATGGAGTGGAACAACTGGCTACTTGGTAGTCCTGATGATATCACATGGAATGAAAATTAGCGACAAGATGGCACGAGATCACAAAATTTTGCTGAGCTGACCTGCGTGGGCTAGAAGTTTCAAGTACCACTATTTTTGTACATTGTGAGGACGGTATTCTTAATAATTAAATGCTTCGATTTCCCGTCTTAGACTGTAACGGAAGGGGACCAAGGGCCAAGGTAAAGTAGTGTTGCAGTACAGAGGAAAGGTTAATTGCTCTTCTGGTTCTCGTCTGGTTCATGTTGCTTGGGAAGAGGGATCTAATTGGTCTGATTTTGTATCCACCCACCAATAGTGGCAGCGCATTACTGGAGCAACGGATGAGGTCCAGGCTGTAGACCAAACAAAATCATTGGCCGTAGCCCGCAAACCATTCTTATTGGTTAGGAGATTTCTGGCGGCATCCGCCCAAACATCTATCACAATCAGTTTGATGAACACTCAGCTTGACGGCAGCGAGAATATCCCTCCAGGAGATACAGGAGTTGCGCTGGCGCCTTGAAGAAGAGTAGCGACTCAGGGAGCAAGCCGAACGATCCCAGATAGAACAGCAGCGACTCCGTGAAGAGGAGCAGCAACTATGAGAAGAACAGCGACTCCGAGAGCGAGCTGAGGAACAACTGAAGCTCCAGACTCAAGAAACAACGCTTTCCGATTTTCTCGAAGCCTGCCAAGTGCATTTATTTCTCGGTCTCTCCATCTAGAAAGTAAAAGACTCCTCCACAAAGGACGACCCTGCGAACGTCGACCGTAAACTCCGCCCAGCCAAGAGTCGAGAGTGGACTAACTTTCTAAGTGAATAAATTTTAATATGGGAGGACCTAATGAATACCGAGTTCGTGTCCGAACGCCTTTTTGCACCATTATTAGCGTTGAAGGAATATGGAAAAAAGGCTCGAGAGAGGACGGTAAGCTCGCAGCTGGATTCGGGTTACTTTTAACGACAGACTGTTGAGTCACGCGTTGTTTCAGTCATCAAGCAGCTACACGCGAATCTGCGACTTTGACAAACCTTTTGTCTGAATGGAGACGTCACCTTCGAAAACCACGCCAATGCCCTAACGGAGAGTCAAATATAGTGGCAGATATGAGCTCTCTGAGCCTAACTCAAAGGCAGCCACGACGCTCGGTCGTGTGGCCGCAAAATCGGGAAGTGCTGACCTCTCGGCTCAGTCTCCAGGAAGAAGCCTAAAAATTACACAACCTAGAAACTCTCGATCTCGGGCCGACCAGTTCTTTGTTTATAATAGGAGCCCAGAGGGAAAGGTCCCGGCCTTTATTATCGAGTACATGGCACCCCATAAAGTTTCTCTCCCCATATTAAGTCTGGACTACAAGACATGGATCTTGATAAAGTACTCCGCTTACAAAGAGAGGAATAACCAGAGGAAGACATCTGTCGGTGTGCCGTGTCAGCAGTAATCACCAAAACATTTTCTTACATGATTCATGGAGGTCTAGAGTATGGCTTTGTGTGTACCGGCGAATTGTTAATATTGCGATCCGAATAGTGATAACCAGCTGCACTTAAACCACGCTAGGCCAGGTATTGGCTTTTACTCTCCGAGATTTGCGAGCGCCGACACGGGACATCGCTTGGACAAACTTGGCAGGACGTAAACTAATGACCTGGGAGATGGTGTATAACGACCTTCTGGATGAAATCGCGGAGAAGAATATTCCTGCTTCCAACTTTAAACCTTCCCCGCCCATGAGGCCGGCGTCCACTCTGTTGGGATTTATTTATGAAGACCCTTTCAGCACAGGCTTATCACCGCATTATTTTGATTGATAGCCTAACCATGGCAATAAATGAGTCTCCGAGAATACCGATAGGAGATCGGTTAAATGGTTTCGGTGACAGCTTTAAATCGACTAGAGAAAGTTTAGGCCTTCCTCGCTCGACCGACTCTTTGCGTCTGTGGGATATTGAAGGTGAGCGCCAACAGGAAAATGGTGATTTTACTAATTCCTCGGACCTGCAAAATCTAGCACTTGATCTCATGTCAGCGTTACGAAGCGTCCCCTGAATTGCCAACCCTGACCTCCGTTAATAGTCCGAAGAGCCTTTTGAGTGATGTCAAGAGGCTTACTTCTTCTATCAGCTCCGACAACTTAATAACTACCAACTCGTCTCCTTACTTGGCGCGGTCGTTAAGGAATCCGACGATACAATCTGGAATAAGATCCACACTGCGCATCGGATCCTCCTGCACCTAAGCCGCTCCCCGTTCTTTTTGAGATTCAACTGCCTCATTCAGGACTGACTCATCATAACACAGCCAGGAATTTTTCCCACGCTACAGTAGATTGATTTGGAATGATTTTGAGCAGTGCTTTGTGGGTAAGTCACGTTCTTTAAGTGCTTCATAGGGAGAGAGTACCTGGACAACGAACAGCCAATCAGTTATCTCATTGTCGGCTCCACAGAGAGGAATACATTTAGTTGGGGGCCTATGTGGGACTTTTAGACCGCCGACCTAATTTTTCCGCTCCGGGAAACGGGAATCCTGGGGGCTTTGCTTTAAGAACATCGGCCCCAGTTTAATTTACCATTTTGAGCTCTTAACATACTTGCTTACGCCTCAGATGTGAATAGATTGCCTGACTCTTTACTGACCTTAGTCTTCAAGTTCAATCCCATATGTTTCGCAGTGCTTCTCGGTCCTTGCTTTCTTTACACAGAGCTGGAAGTGTTTCTAACACGCGTTGTTTTCATCGAGCCACGACGGATTTCATTAACTATGACGCGAGAGGAAATTTGGTTTCCAGGAAGGTGCAGGTTATTATTGGTGACCCGGGAGAAACTTATGTCTTAATTGATCCTGGGGTTGGGAATGCTCTCCGTGCTGCCAGTCCTTTTACATCTGCTTCTGCTGCCAGTGCTGAAGATAGATGTAAGCTTACATTCTTCCACGACTCGCAACACTTCGGATTTGGTAAGCTGTCTTTGTGCAAGTGATTTACGCAATCGGTGTTAACAGTCTGTCTTCAATGGTAGGGCCATCGTGTTATCCTCGCCTCTATTTCCCGGGCCAAATTCCTCACCAAACAGAGTTAAATACAAGCCCTGCAACTTTATTCTTGAGTGGAAAGATGCATGAGATAGTTCTAGATGGAACTCCTGATGGTATACAATTAGAACACCAATCCTGCCAGTCTTACGGATACTGATCGATAATGTTTATATAGCAAAGTTTGCTGAGAATGCAAGCGCTACTGGACAGAACCTGGAACATGTACTCGGCCAGCTGAAGGATATGTAATTCCAAGACTGTTTTCCCTGTAACTATATCAAACACAGTATTTTTAGGACTCCAGAAGGCGCGTTGCTGTGTATCGATGGGTGAAAAGCGAGAACTTCCAATGTTGTTATTGAAGATGCCAAGCTAGTTAACCTTATGAATGCTTGAAATTTTACGTCTAACAATAACACTGTCTGGATTTGCCTGTAGTATTACGTCGGAGTCAATTCATACTTGGACTTGGATATTTACTGATCAATGCTGTGCTATGTCAAAGAGAGTGCGATGAAATAAATACATCTCAACACAGCAAATCACGGTAGATAAGGTGGTACAAATAAGCACAAAGCAATTTGCACCTTTATTCTCCTATGCTTTCCCCAGAATAAATGAAAAGACAAATAAGACTTTGAGCGGGTGAATAGCCCGTGGTGATAATTCCCACTTGAGGTTCACGAAACTGCATATGTAGTAGAATGGTGCCATCAGAAAATTACTTAGAAGTTGATTGAAATGTCGACGATTGCTGTGGAGGTTGGCTTCTAGTACTCGGTAGCTGAATTTCTATATTCCAAGACTTCTGCAGTAAATGGAACAAGGGGTGCTGCCACTGATTTATAGTAGGCTCCTAACTGATCAGCGGTCCACTGATTGGTAACAACGGCAACGTGAGCATTTGCCAGGCCTTTGTTGTGCGTATCCTCCGCGAATGGCACTTTCTGAAGATAGTAGCCGTTGATTTTCAAGAACATATCGGCCGCCAGTAAGGCGGTGCGTTTATTCCCATCTTGAAAGGCATGGTTTTTCATTATTTTCTCCGCAAGATTTGCAGCAAGCCGAAACACATCTTCCTCCATTGTGTAGTGTTTCATGTTCATCGGTGAATGGACTGCAGACTCCAGCATGCTTGGCTGAATCGGGACAGCATTGGAGACGACATATCTCGCATGAAGTCGCTGAACTTGGGAGGCTGTTAAAAAGAGAAGCTTTTTCGTAGCCATTCTTTAAAAAAAGGTGGCAGGAAGTGAGATGTATGTATAGATAACTTGTTATTTTCACGAAGCAACTATCGGTCACTCCCTCTAGGGTCAAATAGAAAAGATAGACTATAAGGAAGGCGCTGTTCTGCTCAGCCGGTGTCCAACTTTAATAAAATCAAAGATGGGAGCATTTATATTCCTTTTAATAAGCTGATAATCAGAGCTATCGAATCTTTTGTAAATATCTCACTCGTCCAATGCTACCTACAAGGCTGTTGGGTTGCAGCAACAGTCAACAGGCGCTTCCTATGCGCTAAAATTTCACCTCATTCACCAATGAGCCACTCTAGCCCCATCTCCTAGTACGCAGCTCTTCTGCTTGCATATAATAATGGAGTATGACTGGATGTTCCCTATTTGGCTACGTTAGCTGGCGGCAACAATACGATACAAATAATGCAGGATGATAGGGTCAAAGCACCCCTGCAACGAGCCTGAACGCCGGTTGGGCAATAGGTAAATGTACCTCTACTAAAAGTCCCAGTGCTGCTAGATGTACATTCTTAACTACAGTCAGAATATACTGCTCGCCAATAAACTGTTGGAGGAAGTTGTCTCACACATTCAGCTTATTTCTACCAGCTTCTCCTATTTCTACCAGCTTCTCCTATTTCTACCAGCTTCCCCTATTTCTACCAGCTTCCCCTATTTCTACCAGTTTCCCCTATTTCTACCGGTTTCCCCTCTTTCTACCAGCGTCTCCTATTGTTTCTACTAACTTCTCCTATTTCTACCAGCTTCGGCTATTTCTACCAATTTGTATTGCTACCCCACTGCAGTATGTCGACATTATCGGCCATTTCCCGAATCTATGATGATCTCCGATGCAGTCGCACAATACAGCCTTTATATTGGGACACCCTTGAAGAACGTCTTTTGATATTCTGTAAACCGTCTCTTCGGTTACCCCGCATACAAACACGACGTTCCAAGGGGGAGTATATGTCGCAATATAGACACAAAAAAGCGCAGGGGGTTTATTTAGATGTCCTAGAGAATTATACTCGTATCTTTCTTCCCTTCTTACTTGCAGTTTCGGCTCGAGCTTGCCCGCGCATTGATTTGGTCGCAGTTAGCCAACATCTAAGCAAGCAGCCTAGAATCAAAGTCAACCGAAGCACACGATCAATCCTTGAAAATGCAGCTGAAAAGGTTGGCGTTTTTGAAAGCACCAATTTTAAAAGGCTGGCCGAACTACTTTTCGTTCCTGGTTCGTACTGATTTATTATCATTATCATAATTATTAGTCTATACAGATCAACACTAATTTTCTCCAGATGATTGCCAGACACCAACGCCCACTACAGGTGCGGGAACTGAGGATTCATGGACATACAACGCATCTAATTTGGACGCTGTCGCCGATATTTTCGGCGAGCGGATTTATTCGGCTGTTGAGAGTTCTGCAGGCCGACTTATCGAGAAAGCAAAAAGTTCAATCTCTCGTATAACGGAGAGTATAAGGTCCAAGTTCCCTCGAAATAACTCTGAAGATGCGATTGTATGCCTAAACATCGGATTCGGCAGTGATCTAATCCGCAGCCTGTTTCCGACAGCGTACCGGAGTTTGTTTTCGCTCGAAACTAATTCGAGGGAGCAATTGGTCACAAATTCTGCAAGAGTTTTACTACAACAGCAAGGGCCAATTATATCAGCGACAGAAGATCGTGAGTAGTAATATTTCTACTAGATGTTGATGTGCTTATTTATTTCTAGTAGGTAATGCCTACTTTACAATTGAAGGTGCCTCTGTCTCAGCTATCGACTCAATCTTCGGTCCCCAAATCTGTCAGGCGATTCAAGAGAGCCAGCTGCGGAAGTGGGAAATTGAACATTCACTTATTAGGACAACAGACTGTGTTACTGTTGATATATGTCGCAAGCAGCCCCAGTACGGCATCATCCGTTTGCGCATCGGCTTCGGCCTTGGTATTATCATAGCGAACTCGTTACATGCATTACCAAATCACCTTTGACTTGCCCTGTCGTATATACACCATAATATTCACGGGAAGTACCATTTCCCCATCTCCACGTGTAGACCATATCTTTGCACTCTTTGATGTCAGAAATTCGATACTTTCGCATCCAAAGCAATAGAGCCTTCTCTCAGCATTTTCCGCCACGATATAGTTGAATGGTTGAACGTAACAGTCATCGAAAAAGGTTTCCGGGACAGTGAGGGGCTTCCAACGATTGCTCTGTGGATCATTAGCGTACAAAGTAAATACTGAAAAATTCTGATGGAAGTAATACCAATTCACTAGCCGTTTCCTCTGTCATGTCAAAGCCACTGTTGGTCCTGGATATTTGAAGATCGGTCGCAAATTTGCCGCGAATTGGACGCGATGTGTGCGGTATGGTACTTAGGAATTACCCTAAGAATAGCCAAGTGGAATAGCAAGATAGAGTAAGGTGGAAAATTCTCACATAAATGTCCACTGTGTGGCGAGCGGACAGTTTCTCTAAGAGTCAAGGAATTATGAGAAGCCATGAAAATGGAGGGGTTGCTTGCCCAACCCCACTATCTCATAAACGCAGGTTTATCACGTGCGTTATTTTCTTCAGGTACCTTGGCAAGATGGATCTAACCATTAGGTACGGGGGAAAAGGTTTCGGCTGGGACCTTGTCAACTATCCCAAACTTCTATTTCTACCAACTTCTATTTCTACCAACTTCTATTTCTACCAACTTCTATTTCTACCAACTTCTCCTATTTATAGCAAGTTCTCCTATTACTACCAACTTCTCCTATTTCTACCAGCTTCGCCAATTACCCGGATCTGACCCTTTCTACCCTTTAGTGATTCTATTCCCCAACCTTATTTATTACAATACAAAGTCAACTCTCCACTGACTACCGAATTTAGTGCTGTAATTGGCATGGAGCTAGGTGTCCGTGCCACGAATCTACGAAGCAAACTCCACTACATTTACGAAGTTCCCTGTAGTTCTTACTCGTTATAGGATATAGGTAAACCACATGTTGGCTGGGAGATTTACGTACCCCGAGACTATCAACGCGTAGAGATGGCGTGATGGTCTTATCTAAACCCTAATTGTAGCTGCAAAGCAAGGAGTACTTTCAGCAGACAAAGGATGGAATCGAGACAGTTTGTGAGGTTATAAGTATAGAACTGTACGCATACTATTTGCGGGTAGGCAGACTGCTCCCCAAATTGGTGTATCTTCTGCATCCTTCAAGTCTTTCCCGCGTCCCAAGTCCATCCTTATGTTGCTTGCTTCAGAGTACCAATGGATTGTTTCGCTAGAATAATTCCGCTTTGGAAGGGCATAAAAAAGAGACTGAGATTAATTATGAGCGGTGTCCAAAAGGATGAGGTCAGGACCATATTGCATCATAGATTGCTGGTCTAATAATTGCTTAGGCTATAGTCTTCATTGATGTGGGAAGAGGCGCTGACGATCTGGTGGTGACGATTCGCCGCGGTCTTTTCCCTGACTATCTCCTCTGGAGCGAACTAAAGTCAATTGGACCGCAAGCAACAAGTGCAGTTGTTGCTGCAGGGTGGAACTGCAGTGCGTTGGACAAGATTGCGGAATCAGTGCGGAAGGGACGTTTCCTTGAGGAGGAATTGGATCAACTTCGAGAAGAGGCCAAGGACAAACGTAAGCGGATTTCTATCCGTAATCCCTCTGATCCAGTTAGCATCTTTGAATGAGGCTGGAGAGGGGTTTGGAATCCACAGTATCTGGAATTAGCTGCATGGACTATACGTATTCTACCGAAGTAGATGCGAGAACTACTCCAGTCAAGGATCTATCTTAGTATTCTCCTAAAGGAAAAAAAAAAAAGGTAGCATCCAGACGACGCGCAAGCAATAAGGGGCCTTCCCTCTCAATCTAGGAGACCGTATTTTACCTTAGCTGTGTGCTCGAGAATGAGCGAGAGAGACGTTGACCAATAATTTGAGGTAAACAGCTTCTAATCTGGACTAGTAGACTACTTAATCCTCGATAATCCCGAATAAAAACATTGCTATCTTTAACCCGCTGTCATTCTTCTTCGGGGACAACATGGCTAGCGTTCAAAGACAGTGTGACACTCTCAAAGAGATTATACACAAGTCATCGATAAGGTTTATTTTCCCCCAATGTCTTCAAGGTTTCCCACGTTCAGATCTCTTATACCGCCACTTTCGAGCCGAAGAGGATGAGGTCCATGCGGGCCTAAGTGTCAGAGACACTGATTTTAAAAGGTTCCTCTCCTGCTATCAAAAGGCTCTTAGGGCTTCAATCCCCGCTGAGAAGCTGCCATTTGATTCTAAGCGCTTCGATGTCCTGTTTATAGTCCAGCACTATGGACAAGATACTGAGAGTCAGTATACATCTCCAGACACAACTCGTGATAGTGCTCCGGTTGCTGGTACGTGTTCACTGCTGTAATCAAAACGCTGATAAACTAAACCACTCCAAGACCCGATGCTCATATCCAATCGGTCAGCATGGCCGCATGAGCTTTTTTCACTCTCCGATATAGATCCGGTCCCGATTCCGTCCAATTACCTATCGCAAGGCGAAATAACCCACGCTGAAAGCAATACCATGGGCTGGAACAACTGGTCACTTGGCGGCCCAGATGATACCGCATTGAACGAGCATTAGGCTAAAGACAGCTTCAAGAAACCAGTGAAGAGAGTAGTACGGCGATTATTAAAAGGCTTGTGCAGTATGGAATACTCACAGCTCTACTCGAACAGAAACATAGACAGCTTTGTAAGGATTTTCGACGAACTAGTGATGGTATCCTAGTACTTAATGTGGATTGTTAGATTATGTACTAGGCAGTTGAAGTAACATGTTTGGTCGAGCTTTGGATCTTGGTGCCTGAATATATTCCTGTCGGCGTACAATTCATACGCTGAAAATTGTGGTGCCTAGATTACCTGTATAATTCGTCGTTCAACTATTTTGAGGTAGATTATTCGTCGTACCTAATGGCTTCTTTAGTACGGTAACGATTTACGTTTTACTCTGTGACCACAGCCAACAATGCTGTGATGGGCAAGACACAAGTGGTCCTAATCTTCCCGGGTCACCACGTATTTTTGTTTCAAGTGGGGTCAGATGAACTATATCAACTTATAAAATTACTGCATTGGCTTGAAATACCTCTAGACACCTTTTCGGCTGAACAGTAATTGTTCGACAAACTACTTCGCGACCAACTAGGTAATCTAAAGAGTCGAACTTTTCATACCTCCAACCTGCTGGTATTCCTCCTGAGTTCTAAACGCAAAATGCCTAAGACCGAGAGGCAGTTTAATACTCTGAAGAAGGTTATAGAGCAGACACCGATCAGATTTCTTTGTCCGAAATGTCTCCGCGGCTTCCCTCGCTCGGATACCTTGTATAGGCATTTTCGAACGGAGAAAGATGGCACCCACAACGGTCTCTGTATGAGAAAGACTGATTTCCAAACATTTATTTACTGCTATCAGATGTCCATCGGGGCTTCAATTCCCGCTCATGAGTTGCCCTACGGCAATAGATGTTTTAATGTTCAGTATATGCTCGAACACTATGACGAAGATTTGGAGAAACCCCATTGCAACAACCCGCCGACCACAGATAATACTCAATTGCAGACTGGTAAGATTTACTTTATCAGAGGCATCGAACAGATTAAATTAAAAAGTTTTTAAGGTCGATTACACCTGTCCACTGAATTTGTTTGCCCAAACAATTATGCTCTCCTCCGTCACCTGAATTATGCCGCCCCCATTTATTTCGACCGCCAGCCGCTTGGCCTCAAAAATGTGTACAGCGAACGCAGAAATTTGGCTTGTAATTTGCGATCCAGCAGGGAACCAGTTGCTGAAGGCTGGAGCAACTGTTCACATCATCTGCACGTCCTAGATGATGAGGAAGTGGAAGCTAAAATACTTACTCTTATTCCACAGATAAATAACTGGCTGGATGGGACGCTTCCTCTGCCAAGGGAGAGTGAGATAGGACCAGATGGCACGGGCGTCATTATCCCAAAAACTGGGATTGATGTGCACCTTATTCCTGTCAGGAATCTACTATACAAAGGCGTAAGGCCGTGGTCGTTTGACTAGTGATGGAATTCCACTGATTGTATTAACTAGATGGAACATTCACCCTCCTCCGCACGTATAAAACAACCTTCACTCCCCTGAACTTCTCCCAGGCTGTCTACACTGCGCTTCGTGTAGATGGACCCGGCTTGATCGGTAGTACGAACGTCACCCTTGGCAAGTCTATTTGGGTTAATGGCCGAACCACCCTATCTGCCGGCCTTATCCTCTTGATAAGCAAATCATCAGAGATAGTTGTTGGGCAGGACATTCAAACTGAAAGTATAAGCCAATCAGCGCTTGGTCCAGCGATATAGTGTCCATATTACGATATAGAAGAAGAAAGGCATTGGTGTATAAGACCAAGGCAAGGAGAGCATTGTTTATAAATCCTTCTCACAGGGTACATTGCCGATGAGCATCTCTTACCCCCATCTCTCCCGTGCCTAGGTTGAAATAGAGTAAAATAGTGTAGATGTGAGCACTAACAGGGGAAAAAATTTAACTATGGATTATAATCACGCATTTGGACTTAGTGTTATTTTCGTCTTTTTGCCGACCTGTATGGGTACATGCAAGGTATAGCATCCAGTAAAAGAAATAAAATTGTAATGTTATCAAAAAAGAAATAGGATGCTATACACTTATGGGAAAAGTATGGTAAATGAATATCTAGACACTTGAATTTTATTATTACAAAGTAACGCTTACTGTACATACTGTAGTATATTCCACTGAGATTGCTCTCCATCTACTGAGAAAATCCCAAAAAGTATAAGCCAAATCCATGCTCAAGAAAAACCACAAGCCTCTTGAATTTGGCTTTAAAATCCCCTAGCGTCAACTCCTGCTCCGACAATAGAATGTATCGGCCCCAGAGAATCTCGCACAGTTGCTTAATATTCACTGTTGGTCGAGAGAAAAATTTCAGAAGTTCTCGAGGAGGCAGGGCCGCTGTCGAAAAGTTATGAAGTGACGCGTCAAAGTGCCAAGTAAGGAGAGACAGCATAAGAAGCCCATCATACGAAAGTTTTTCCAGAAAAAATTCAGCGTACTCATGGAGGAGTTTGTTCTCTGACAGGCGACTTATGTCCACACTGCGGAATCTGCTTTTCCGGAGAGCCTGGCAAATATCCACGAGGGATTTGGCTTCAGGGCTAAGATTAAGCCGAAGGCTCGTACTTTCACAAGCCAATATTCCCAGTCCTCGTACCTGTAAACCCTTTAACGCCAACTGGGCTGGAAGGCGAATAATAGACTCGTGCAGGGGGGGCTTGAACAGTAACATTTAGCAAAATTGTAAAAAACGTATGGACATTTGACGAACCATGGTAGGCTTCCTGTTGAATGTCTGTTTAAAGTGTAGCTGTTGCCTGAAGGAAAATATATCAAAAGATAAGCAAGGATAAATGCAATATCGAAACAGGGCACTGAAGGCTGTTTTATAGACAGAACACTCACCTTATCATCTAGTAATAGGTCAGACAAAGGTGCCTTCCTTTCCCCCTAGTGCCGTTGACTATAGAATGACCCAAAGTTTATTAGCCGTATTAAAAATACTCCCGTGCTATGTAGTGATCATCCCATCACGCGCAAGATTTAATTGGACCCACTTCCAACATATTTTGATGTATTGAATATCTATGTATCAAAATAAAACCAAGGCCGTATAGAAGCCCTGTGGGAAAGCGGGGAAGTTAATCCCTACATCCCCCTATCTCTCCCGACACCATGTAGCAACAGTGGGATGCATGAATATTGGCAACCCCAAAGATCAGGAAAGGATGAATAGTCATGGTTTGTTCCCTGGCTAGATACTCTTACAAGAAGGGATCTAGTAAGGTCAAATTTCCCAAGTTTAATTAACCTAGTAACTACAGGTGTTACATACATACCCACCAGTTATATTATTGAAGCTCGTAAAACAAGTTCCGAATTTTTATTTACTTTCTAGTCAATTAAATTGGAGTAAGGCACACTCGGGACTTTTACTGACACGCTACTGCTAATAGAGTGTTTTAGGCTGGTCTGCTCAAAATATAAATTCTCACTATTTATCCTGCTGGTTTCTGTCTGGTGAGCCACCTGAATTATCCTCTCCGTTTTAAAAGTCCCACAGAAAACCACAAGTTCTTTCTTGTTTCCTCAATTGTTTCTTTTCCTTGCCATGTCTCACACATTGGAGTTTGCTTCCCGTTGCAACCCCGAACTTAAGATAGAGCGTATCGAAGTTTATTGTGATTCATCCATGGAAGTTGTGCGTACTTGGGAGCCCGGAGTTGCGGACCCGTGGAAGTCGGTAGTTTGTCAGAACCACTGGACTCTCATCTTCCATTACGGTCGCCACAAAGCCACAGCGACTAAACATAGAGGATATAAACTGAAATGGGTGGACAACGTCCTGACCAAACGCTCTGTATGTCTCGAGTTCAAGCCCCAATATATGTGCCCAAGTATGAGGGAGTTTGTATACATGATGGGAGCCCATGAATATCCGGACACACTAGACGATGACTGTTCTAGCTTCGTGTAAGTTTGATGATGTGAGAATGAGCACCTGGTCCTAATCTAGCACAGATATAAATTTATTAGCAAGTATCAAAAAGAAGGGTATATTGACGGTCCTTTGGAGTATTTGAGAGAGTTACTGTGTAAGTATCGGAATACTATAATAAACAGCAGAATACTCATGTTTACTGTCTTCTAGTTGCTCCTCCGGAATATGAACGATCTGCCTAGTTATAGTACTTGTCAGAACTGATCTCCCAACCGTCGTAGATCAAAATATACGTCTACTTATGACCTAAATCTAAATTGATGGTTCATTATAAGCAGCAGCTATGTAATAATTTGTGTTGTAGTAAGAAGTGTAGTGATAAGCAATTGGGCGATCCATTTTTAGAAGGATAAGGACTGGCTTACGGTACCTAAGTTATGTAATTGATTGGAATGTTAAACAGTGATTTTTTTGGCTAGACCCAGCCCAGCCACGTAAGCTGGCATGATCCACCAAGCTCGGAGGAGTATTAACTAGATACGCCAAGCATACAAGTCTCACACAGCAAGAGGTGCAAAGTAAATAATCCTACCCCATCAGCAGTGAGCCGGACCGCATTTACTACCAGCAATGTGCATTCCAAGGGTGGGACTCCCTGATTCGCAGATAGTATCGACCGAGAGTATGAGATGAACAATTGAACATCCCAAGAAGACCCACCACGTACTGTTGTATATGTGACAATCGACCATCTGAGCATCCACTAAGTATTTTAGTCTCGAAACGTTCCGGGGTCACTGTATTTATGGTTGTCGTTCCGGACGGTAGCGTTAACAGGTATCTGGTGGTAGGACTACCTTCTAGTATGGTAGTACTTATGTCACAGTAGCTGTACCGGTTCATGTAAGGGGGCCATAGTAATAACTAGTTTGGTAAGATAAGAGCTTAAGAGCGGAAGATCGGGAAAGTAGCAAATTGCCTCGGTTCGCCGTGCCTCAAGAGTTCTCTCATATTATGCAGGGACTTTCTAGCGTGCTTTGTTGGACTCCACTTTTAACATATTCTGGTGCATCGAAAACAAACGTAACGAAAGAAGAACCTGGTTCGTCTCGGAGGCTGCGATATCTACAACGAACCACGCATCCCTCGCTAGAACCTGTCCACACCAATGAGCCGTGTGATGGGTCCATTGGGAACAACCGAGCTGACACCGCTGTACTGACTAAATATTCGCTGGCTAGCGTTTGGAGTGGGTGTCTGGCCGTGAAAACGCTTGAACACTGGGAGCTACCAGGGGCATCACTATTTTAATATTATATAGTCTTATGTTCGTACCCTTGACTAGCCTAACTTCTAGTCTCACTAATTCACAGTCCCGGTAGTCAAAATATAAATTGCAGGTCGATATACGTAACGTACAATTATAAATTAAGGATGTGGAGCTCCAGATTATTTAGGCATAGGAGATAACATGTCCGTCACGCCTTCTACTTATATTCGGTGTCCTCCGCAGGCATTGCTGCAAGTTTTATATTTTCAGCTCGAATACGGTATTGATAATCATCAGTTAGAAAGAATGCAACTTAAAAAGGCCCACAGAAAGCGTCCGAAACATTTTATTGTGCTACAAGTTAAGCATAATGGAGAATATTCACGATCAGCTTCGTCGTCGATACGATACGGGAACATAATTAACCAGGAGATCGAGGAGAAATTTAAGGAAGAAGTATTAAGAGCTGAGGCAGCAATGTGTAAGCCCTTCTGAAACTACTATTGTAACGACTTAGTAATGTCTGATTTTTTCCTTAGGTGAATCGCAGCTCAAAGACAAGAATTGTTCATTACTAATAATGAATCTTAAGTGGACAACCTGCCGTCTACTTGCGCAGCAATGGTATAAGGTTGTTGAACCCTCTCAAAGTACGCTACCAAGGCGGAATAGGAGACCAGAATGGTGGCCTAAAGAGCTAAAGGAAGTCAGAATATGCGAGTTTAGAAAAGCTGGTGAGAGTTTACTTCCACAGCCCAAGTCCCATAGTTTTTTAACGCCCACAGATCTTTTCACGCTTCTGATGTCTATACTTCAACAAAGACCGATTGAAGAATATAAAGAATACATGCAACAAAATATCCATGCAATAGGATCTAATGAAATGGAGGTGATCTTCAGAATACTTAAAATTTTGAACACAAACTGCCACTCTGGCCCTGAAGTGCACCAGACGGGTAAGTACTGTACTCCCAGAGAGAAATCTCCATCACAAGACTGAATCAAAACGATGAAACCTTTTCAGGATCATTACAACAGGAGCATTGAACAGGATACAGTACAATATGTATCCAGAGTGAAAAAAGGGGCCCAACAAGGTTCAGTGTAGGCAAAGTGGGGAACTTTTTAACAAGCCCATCAAGCTATATAGTGGATAACCGGTGTCAATATGAGTATACTTCTTTTTTTGTACAGATAAAGTGAATATTATGTACCTGGCTTCCACATATCTCTGACGCTACAAATATGATTTCTAGAAGAATGGCCAATCGCACCTTTACCTTCTAATTGATTTTATTTCATCTTAAGAATCTGAACAACCGTTGGAATACTTAGTTGTCTTGGGGCTCTATTAATCTTTTTGCATGCACAGACTGCTCGCTTTAAGTGATCACCTTTAAATCTTTGTTAGTGCAAACAATGCCACACATAATACAGCATGCCAGTATATAATGCTTCGGCAGTCGTTGATCTTTTACGTTGTTGATTGCAGTAGTCCAAGAAGAATCATTAACTAAGCGAGAACTTGCATTGTCGCAGTCTATACTCTAAGGGATCATACATTCGCGCGGGAAATGCCTCTGACTGGAAAGTCGGAGGTGCAGCTATCTTGTTCCAAGCAGACGTCGGAATAGTTTGCTGAGCCATGGTTCAGTACAGTAAGTACAGTATGTGAAAATTTTCAAAAAATTTAATTACCTATCGACAGAGGACAATGCACGCTGTTTTGGAAAGAAAAAGCATATTTGATTTTCCATTTCCTTGAAGTATCGGCCTATTCCAAACCGCTATTCATGATTTTGGAGTTGTACTAGATTAATTGAAGCCAGCTAATCCAAGCTTGAAAAATCATAGGAATTGTAAATCCTCTTTAGGACAAATTAACCAAGACTATGCAGATCTCTTGGTACAAGTAGGCTCAGAACCCGTCGGTTTTAGCGAGAAAAACGTTGCAGTCACCGCATTCCATTAATACAGCAGATATTTGCTGTTTCTCGTTGTGGACTTGATTCTTCTCTCCTATACTAAGTATCATATCAAAAGAACCCGATTTCGATATCTGAACTTGTATACCCAACGGAACCTAGCCAGCCGCTATAAACTTCCAGGGGCGGATATAAAGTATATCATATTATCCAGCCAGCATATATCTGCGATCAACCAGTGGCAATATATAAATTTTGGACCCTAAGATGTTCATGAATTTGGCGCAAGCACCTCTTCTGAGGATATAGTATCTTTCATGCTTCTGTCTTGGCCCAATTTGGATTCTATATCAACAATCGCCAGTGATCCTGTGGAGTCAGAAAAGCTAATTCTACCCTCCATATTGGACCAATTACAGCCCTCGTGGCACCTGGCATAGGACCTCACAGGGATCGTGACTGCATGAGTGTTATCGCCCGCGATTTTGCTCGAATCCACGCAACTTGGGATTTTTCTGGGGCTGCAAATGTTGGATTCGTTGCGTCCAGGTTTGACAAGAGTAACCAGCTTTCTCAGGATGCCAAATTCCAATTTTAATTTAATGCTGTACACCGTGGGTTTGAGTGTTGTTTGAAGGATATAGAAATTGAGATACTCTAAAGAGAGAAGCGCAACATCCAAACATATGATGGCAATGTTGACTGTTATCAAATTGTATAGGGTCCGGATGCGCTTTGGATCTTTGCCCGGCCACGTCTGTAGGATTCTTGCTGTTTCGTAGATATAGATCCCAGATAACAGGATTTCTTGCGCACAAAACCAAGACAGCTGCAGCCTTTCCATAATGTTATAACCCGTGATCACCGTTCCTTTTCGTACATAGATCGTAGCATACGTGAGCACTGTTGTCGGAATGGTAAGTACGATAGCGTTAATCGTAATAAGGTATGCGATAGAACGTAAGAACTTGCGGTTTGGTACAACCAGGTGGAGGCGGGAATAGAGCACGACCGACTGCCCTGGGACCATAAAATAGAAGCCCACCGTGGAGACAGCGACAGCTAGCCATATTGGCCCTTTGGCGAAGAATTCCAAGAGATAGCCGACGGAATGGGGAAGAACTCCAAGTACTAATGAGAGCAGCAAGGCCCAAAAGTACAAACTGCGGTGATGCTTAAAAGTAACACAAATCATAACAACGAGCTCAATAGCATTGTACATGGCAATAGAACTGAATACCACGATAAGAATTTGGATGGCGAAACTCCCATCTTGGTACCCTCCGATGAGGCCGCTAGGAGGGTCTGAAAGAGAGCCAGTCATGATGAGAGGTTCAAAGAAAACACAAAAATGTGGCGGTATATATGGGTTCTAATGCTATGATTACAATCATTCCCTTCTACCATGTATAGGTGAGTCCTCGAATAATTATATACATAGATTAGAGTTCCTCAAGTTTCATACTACCAACAAGTATAGCAAGGTAGATAGAAAGGTTAATAGGTATTTACTTTACTAGATTCCGTAAATTGCAAGAACGAGCAAACCCCGAGTCAATGTTTTTGTTCATTGTCGCCTGGCGTTATTGGTGCGCTGGGTCTACTGGACTACTACCGCGCGGCATACAACATACCAGATCCTTGGAATTGTTGGGGTAGCGGAGACATTCCATGGATATGATCTTACTTGTAGCTTGATAATTTCCCTGAGAGCTCCATTATGTGTCATAGAATTAGTAGAATCTCTGGTTCAGGATGGTCATTGTATTGGACTGTGAAAATTGCCGCTCGGGGTTTGAGGTATTTGTCTGGCAGGCAGGCGGCGATGAGATGGACCCAAAACTTAAATACTCAACGCCACCAATTAAAGTTGTTTGAGCGCTCAAATCAACATACAGTATCTCCACACGAACCGTCTTGGCCAGATATTACCCACTCTGTGAGATCGCGGCGGCTAATCGCATTAGAAGGTTGTTTCGCAATGGCTAGTGCTATCTTTGTGGTAGAGAGAAGGGATGGTGGGCGAAAGAAAACCATTACTTGATTTGATATCAACCTGGGCAAGAAAATTTGGCTTCCAAATATCTCAACTTCGGTAGATCATAGGCAAAACATAAGAGAGATAAAGAGGAGTGCATGGCAATATATTTGTCGAAGCCATTTACTACAAAGTCGCAAGATTCCTGAAATTGGAAGATCCCTCTCTTCGGCGAGGACTAACACGAGATTTGTTTCATGCGGGGCTTGCAAACTTTATCCCAGGTTGGATACCTGAGAACAAAAATAACACACTAGTACATGTTTGGAATAGTGTATCACGCGTGATACGAAATTTCTTATATTAGGCACAGAAGAGCTATTTATCAGATAGTGGAGCTCATCTCAAATTTAATTGGTTATATTTTCAAAGGAAGATTGACTGATTGGGGGCGTAGATACTGTATGTATATTGGGAAATCAATCTGATTCTATACAGTGCAGAATAAATATATGAAGTTTTACAGTATTGTCCTTACAAAGGAGTCAAGGACAATAAGCAGCGTAGTTTCATGTCCTGCAAGGTTGCAAGTCCTCTTCGCTGTCTCATTTATGTCCTTCATGTTGTTGGCCTTTGATGGATAGTAACTGAACGGAGCAATGCCTCTGATGATTTTCTCATAAACCTGCGTTTGACTTATTCAGTGACTGATACAACGAAAATTTCAGGCTATCTGTGAGGAAGTGGGTTAATTCCAAAATGATTTCTCATCATATATTGTCAGTTTCTATGCCAAAGTAAGTCCCGCTATACAATTTGATATGTCATTACGTTAACTAAAGATTGAAAGCTGGCTACCTATATTTTCAGAGCGTCTCCTGGGCCTATATATATAGCGAAATAGTGTATTACTCTGAGGACAATTTTTCGCGAGCTGCATTTTTAGTTCTGCCAGGTCTGAACCAATACATAAATACTGCAATTCTATTTCTACTACCTTTCCAACTCATACCACAGTCCCCTTCCATCCACACCTTGCACTATTTAATCTTTTTTATGACAGTGACATCGGCACCGCCTGGGCCGGAGCCTCGACAACCATTCAGCACGAGCACTATATCCCTTAGAAGTGCGTTGGACCGCTGCAAGAGCAGAACTGCGTTTCGCCTCTAAAAGTGATCTTTCTTTTTGCTCTCTGCATGGTTGATTCTTCTTGGATAGTTCCCAAGTATTTTTAGAGCCGCGTCGCTCTTGAGTGTCTAATAGACCCCGGCTTCCATCACATCCATTGCCACTTGGATTTTTGTTTCCCGGACGAGCACCATGTTCCAGGCTTGAAAAATGAGGAAGAGTGCTTGCGAACTGAACCCTTCCACTTTTGCGCTCTAGCTGCCGTAGAACCAGCTGGGTATACCCGTCCATCATAATTGCTCTAATCTCCATCTTCAAGGTAGCTGCACGAATGGAATGGTTTGGGCAAGAAATTCCACTTAGGTTTGTGAAATAACCGTAGTAGTTCGGAGATGAGGTATTCTGTAGACATAGCCGCAGTTAGCAACAGTATGGGGATATTCACGTAGGGTAAGTACAGTCAATGTTGGGGCTGATAACTAGTCAAAACCAAACATGCGGAGCTTTGTATTAATATGAAGGCTACGTTTGAAATGGCTGATAAACCTTAAGGGCTTTCTTCCATTCGGGCCATGATGGGGCTATATATGCGTGCTGAACTATGTCAATTAGCAAAATAAGTATGGGCAAATACCCAAAAAAAAGGCACCCAAAGCGAATTTTGCGTTGGTCCTCTGCCACACTGCAGGTGTTGCTATGAGCCATGGGTTCAAAGTCGAACAACTATGGAAAGCTCAGGCTAATCTAATAGCTCACTGAATATAGTCACAATTGCGTTCCAGGGCAGAACACGTAATGCTCGCTTTGAGGGATCCCGGACAAGAGGAATAGCAAAAATGCTTACATTTTCTTGGCCGCTCGCGGTCACACTCGCCACTGAGCCAAGTGTAAGCAATATATAGCAGTTCAAATATACATACCAGATCCGATCCTACGATATGCTGGGACGTTTCCTACATCAACATGTACCGCAATGCAGAGTTTACGTGCCACAAGATCTCAGTAAAAGCCGACAATACGTCATGCCTGAGAGTAAGCTGTGCGGCAGGGGAGTTTGACTACGTTGGAGTTTAGCGTCTGGACTGCCGACCTTGGCTACCTTTGCATTTCACTGTTCTAAAGAGCTGTATGAGACATTGCAGAGCTTTCGGTTCCATCCAAAGCTAGTCTGCGATCTGCTAGAGGAGCTAAAGGCTTTAAGTGCTCCGCCAGGTGTACTCGACGATATTGTTTGCGCAAAAACAGATTTGATCTCTTGGCACTCTACTCGCCCTTACTACTATGCGGCAATGCTTGCAGAGAGTTTGAGCAGGTGACCCTGCGATGTTCTTGGCAGTCTGGTACCAATCTCATGAGCTTTCGTGCTTGGGCGAAGCTGACCTCCATGGGGTACGACGCCGATGGTTTTAGACAACATCTGTCGAGCTACAAGCTAACCTCAGCATTCCCTTGCCAACAAGAACCCGTGAGACTTATCCGTCGGATGCGAAGAGCGAGCCACTCTCATCCATGACCCGTCGATTCCTAAGACTACTTACATTGATAACCGCTGTACTGTATTGTACATTAACAGAGGGAGTGTTTATGCATATATTTCAACTTTCCGCAGACCGTAGTCGTCGTGTATAGAACACGAAGCCCCACAAAATGATAATCAATCACGGCCTGTTCCAGATAAAACCAGCACTTCGTATTTGTAGTATTCGATAGTAGTCTATCAAGCATATTATTGTATCCTTACTAGTAGTGCCTGTTAATATGTTAATTTGCAGAAAACTTAAAGCGTGCCGCTCTGTGTAAAAGAAGTATACATATTATTTACACTAGGAACAGAGAAATGATACTTCACTAAATGCTATTCAGATTGATAGACTCTAGGAAATTCTTACCTAGAACTATTGCTGTAATCTAGTTAGCTACTGGTCCTAAAGTTTTACAATTAACCCACCACGATGAGCAGTATATCAATAATCCAGACCTTCCCATGTCTGTTGCTGCCAGAATAATAACCACATAGGCTTCATGCTATAAAACCATTTCGGCTTGCTTAAATCCCTAGTTATTGAGATATATATGCCCTTTATACATGTAGCGGAATACCTAGCTCCGCCATATTGTTTCCCAAACCTATCGCTTAGATCGACCTAGAGTCTTAAACAGAAACAGTGACCTGCATTTTTGTAGAGAATGCATAAGAATTTAGTGGCAATCGTTAACTTGCTCAAATAATCGTATAAATATTCAGGAATACTTGTTTGCATAGATAGAAGCGTAATTTGGTTTACCGAAATCGGTGTATAGTACATCTGCAGGACATCCTCTACAGATGTAGTTTAGCAACAGACTTTTTGATTGTCACTTTCGCTCCTGGGGGATTGGTGTAACCTGAACCCTCCTGATTGGAGGCTTTTCATTACAGGTCGGAGTTGCGGTGCACAGGGCGCGACGATGGCGGAAAATAGAAGAGCCTCGATACATATAGTGACCGGAAATGTATCAATAAAGAAATTGTTATCACCTTTGGGCTCTAGACTGCGGAATACGGTTTCGCAAACAATTGAGATTATTATTCTAGGCAATCCACAATTTTGTTAGACCACAGCATATAAATAAGAAAGGAGGTAGAAATACGTGACTCGTATCGCGAAGCAGCCAATGACAATAGCCTTGTTTCGTGATCCCATCTGAACTCTAAAAACAATGACTGCGGGCCAAATAATAAGAACGACTTCTGTAATTAAGTTTGTTGAACTAAAATATCTCTGCCATACAGGCTTCGACGTACGGTCAGTGAACTTTATCTCTTGATTGAGTTAGAACCACGCAGTTGTACATACCATGTTAATGCACCTATTAGATATAAAATCCCAAGGACGTGGGATTTGGCACTGAAAGGCCGTGACAGCGAGTGATGACAAGGACCAAGTCACAATGGCCGCGAGAAACAAAAGCTCACTTCTGACGTTGAACCCTCTCAAAAGGTATATAAAAATGACAGTACTAAGTTTAGAGAAGCACAAGACACATATCAAGGTCAATTTCGAGACATATACAGCCTGTTTTGTTCGAATGTCAGTACATATTTTCAATCCGAGAGCGGCGTCTTAGCCTAGATTTTTAAGGGATTGGTTCAGAACCTTTTGAATAAGGCGAAACTGATCGGTAGTTTGAAAGTCACTTCGGTTTCCGTAGCCATTGTGTGCTGCTACTACCAAGCATGTTGTGTGCGCGATGCCAAATACCTGCGAAGCGAAATCAATTGATACTGTATTTGGCGTACTAAAAAATGCCACGCTTATATCTCTCAAAAGAACATACAAGAGCAATCAAAATTGTCCAGTCATCCATGCTTAAGCGACGTGTCATCCAATACTTCATTCCCACTCGCGATAATACTGCAATAGCTCCGAGAATCAATAAAACGCAGGCCACAACAGTAATGATTGGTGCCACATTCTCTGCTGAGATAGTCGCCATTATAAATTCCGGTGGTAAATAAAGAGCGTTGAATGCAGACGGTAATTAAGCAGTCTAGACAGTATTATAAAATAACCTAGTCTTCTTGGGCGTGTGCTAAGTATATTTTAATATCTAGCAGGGTGGGGTATACGGTATATAGCTAGATACCAATCTCTATTTGTGGCCACTTGTTTTGTTGCCCGCAAAATAGATCTCAATTTGGTTACTAGTGATCCAGTTATACAGAAACTTTCTGCACTGTCTTCCCTTGTTATCACTTCCTTTATTTTACGATATTTACTATGAAGCTTTCAATCACACCTGTTCTGTGGTATGACCTGGAATCTGTAACCGGCTCGGGACGACATGACATCAAGACTCTTTAGAATACAGCGCCACGCAACCCACATCGGGATTTGCGTGCCCACCATGTGGGGTCTGGACCTTATAATTGAAAGGGCCTTGCCCTCGTTTAGTTCCATGGCAGGGTAGATCTTGGTTTCATAAGGAAAACAGTGGAAATAGCTAGATGAACGTTATCCAGACTACTGAAGCAATACGCCTAGCGATATTGCCCCACTAAACCAGGAGACTTCTTGTTGGTTCGTAGACTAGGCAAACCTTCAAAGCTGGGGAAATATTCTTAAAAAAAAAAAAAACCTAACCCACATGCCCACTTTAGTGTTCCCCAGGATGATTTAGGTAAATCCGGAAATGGGAAGTTACGAATCATGTGACCTATATCCAGCTATTGTTTCAAACGAAGGCAATTCTGACACACTATTACATGTATACAGACATCATATCCAGCTGGTTCCTGTTCTTAGTTGGGGCGCAAGATATTTTTTAGCCGAGAGATATTCTATCACATATATCCGAATTGGTTTAGAATGTTTGGTAGCCGAACTTCCTTTTGTTTATTTGGGCTGTTGCTGGGGCATTCTCAAGCTCTGAAACATTCCGTACACCATCTTAATTATACTTACTTGATCGGCCCACACATTTCCATGGCTAACTATGAGCAATTTGATAGGCTCCTAGCCTTCTTGATTTAAGTTTGCCCCATTGATCTACGCCAATGACTCTACATAAAAGGCCCGCTTTTGCTGTTTGATCCACTTCTTCAGGAAATCCTGAACATAATATTCCCTTGTATTTCTCTCGCACGTTCCCCTTCGCCTTCGAGAAGGTAAGACAAAAAAAAATTAAATAATAGGAGAGAAACAAAAGAGAACTACTTCTCACTATTCTTCTCAGTTTTACTTTATCATTGAAATCAGGATTATATAACTGTTATCCTTCGCTACTTAGAGCTCAAATGACTTCACTGGGTATAAATTCTACCAAAATGAACAAGGAGTCGTGCGAATTGGAGGAACAAGTGCAGAGCAGCGACCCAAGAGAGAGAAACGTAACTCGAACAAAGGACGACCAGGAGCTAGTGCGTGTTGGCAAAGTTCCAAGCCTTCAGGTATGATTAACCAAACTCACAAAGTTTATGGTTTTCAGAAGTGCGTTCTTGGTGCGTGTGGCTACTAAAATCTAGTGTTAGCGGAGATTTGGATTCTTGTCCATCATAGGGTTTAGTTGTACTGTACTGGCAACTTGGGAGGGAGTTCTTTCGTAAGGCTCTTCGGTCATTTCTATTGATAAAGCTGAGAAAAAGTTCCAGGACTTTTACACTCCCACTTCAGAAGTCTGTTTTTTCCATGATAAACACCAATACACGATGAGTAGCAAGTCTGACGTATTGTTTAGTGGAGGTTCCGGAGGTGCGGTTTACAGTTATCTGTTTGTATGGTTTGGCACCTTGTGCACTCTTGTCACACTATCAGAACTTGTATCTATGTAAGTATACGTCTTCCACTGCCTTGACACTTTTAGGATTCACGAATATTTAGGGCACCGACATCTGGCGGTCAATATCACTGGGTTGCCATTTTGTCACCTCGGTGGTGTCACAAATTTCTAAGCTTCATCACTGGTGAGTTTGGCCACAGATACTAGTTTTCTTTTCGATATGATTCTATATGTTTCTCAAAGAGGCTTACCTAACCTATAGGATGGCTCATTATCCTGGGCTGGCTAGGAGGACTCGCTTCAGGTGCGTATCTGGCAAGCTCCCAGATCCTGGGCTTTGTTGCCATAGCACATGCTTCCTTTGAACCTCAACCATACCAAATTATGCTCCTATTTTGGGCATATGTTGCCTTCGCAGTGTTTATCAACCTTGGAGCGGGTACACTTCTACCTAAGTTCGAAGGATTTGCCCTTGTCTTGCACATTGTAGGGTTCTTCGTCATCCTAGTTCCACTTTCGTGTCTAGGTGACCATGTCTCTGCAAAAGAAGTCTTCGGGAGCTTTAATAATGAAGGCGCTTGGCCGGGTCTAGGGTTATCTATATTTGTTGGAATGTTAGGGAGCACTTTTGCCTTTACAGGCTGCGACGCTGCTATCCACGTAAGCAATTTCCATTCCATTCTCCGATATAAACATAGGGCTGACCCCCCGTGAAACGTTCTGCAGATGACTGAGGAAGTCCGGAATGCCTCAGTGACAGTGCCACAATCAATTATGATGAGTGTCGGCTTGAATGGTCTCCTGGGTTTTGGAATGCTTCTCGCTACGTTGTTCTGTTTGAGGGACGTCGATCATGTCCTGAAATCATCTACAGGATATCCATTCGTCCAGATATTTCTGGACGTAACCGGGTCAATTCCAGCAAGCATCGCGATGGCTTCAATTATGCCTATCTCGGGAGTTGCTACAGCATCTGGGAATCTCGCTGCTGCATCACGAATGGTATGGTCATTTTCTCGTGATCGTGGTATTCCTAAGTGGAAACATATAGGCAAGGTCCGCAATATGCCTCAAGGGTATTAAGTGAAAGTGTTAATTATATATGCGCTTAATGCAGGTGGATTCTAGAGCTATTCCCTTTTACTCGATCACAGCTATTGCCGTTGCTGCCCTCATGCTGTCACTTCTCATTCTTTGGTCCGGCGCTATTCTCGATGCAGTGGTCTCATTGACAGTCAGCGCCCTATTCTCCTCGTACTTGATGGCAACTGGGCTTCTTCTTTACCACCGCCTTACACGTGGGATTCAGTCCCACGAGGATGGAAGCTTTATCGTGAACACAACCGGCGCCCCTCTTACTTGGGGCCCTTTTCATATTCCCCGCAAATGGGGCATCGCAACCAACACTATCACAGTATGCTACCTGCTAATTTGCGTATTTTTCAGCTTTTGGCCACCTAGCCTACACGTAAATGTATCCTCATTCAACTGGGCTATCGTACCAACTGGGGGTACAATTGTGTTTGGTACCATATATTACCTTACTTGCGCGAAAGATAGCTTTACTGGACCTGTGGTAGAAATTTCATAGGGAAATGATATTTGGGGCCATCAAAGTGCCTGTTGTGGTTGTTACTGTCAATTTACTATATATCCTTTTCTGTCAGGAGGTATATTTAGAAGCACTTCTAAGGAAGACGCACATTTGGTCTTTACATAACTGCATAGAGTCGCAGGTTCCACTGTTTTCTACCCGGCAGGGTAAGGTACGAATTTCTTCGAAGCATTATCCAAAAAGCAAAGACCGCCAAAAGTTTAGAAATGGAAAACCCAAAAGACGACCGTTACAGTACTAATACACGAACCCGGAGCCGTCTGGTTGTGCCCTTCGGTTTTGTCTCACCCTTAATGGCCTCCTCATGGGGTACCAAGGTTGGACTAGAGTTCGTTTACTCTTTCGGAAATTCTAGTTAGCCTTCAACTCATTAGGCATATCATAATCACAGTCAGCAACAGAATAGGGCTATTTGTGTATGGGAAGGTGCTTCAATTCTGGAGCTCATAACTAGTGAAACAAACCTGCGGAGCTTTGCATTAGTCTGAATGTTATTTTAGAAGTAGCTGATAAACCTTACGGGCTTATCTCTTCCATTCGGGCTATGATCGGGCTTTATATGCATGCTGAAGTAAGCCCATTAGAAAATGAAAGCGGGCAAATACCCAAATAATAGGCACCCGAAGCGAATTGTGCATTGTGCCTCTCCCACCCTGCAGGAGTTGCCTTGAGCCACGGGTCAACAACGAACAACTATGGAAAACTCATGCTAAATATAATAGCTCACCGAATATAGTCAAAGCTGTGTTTTCCAAGCTCAATTTCTACCCTGTTCTTTCGTCGTCTTGGTTAACTATTGCAATCTGATCATTATGACACATGAACAAAAGTTTAGCAGGAAAAGCTTTGACAGGGCAGTACAAGTAATTCTCGCTTTGGGGGTTCCAGGACGGAGACGAATATTAGGAATACTTTACATTTTCTTGGCTGCTCACGCTCATAACGGTGGCTACCTTGGAAATCTCTCCCCTAATTATAAGGCATATAAATTGGGTTTGAAGGCGTTCATCTGCCAATGAGTGTATGGAGACAATCAGCGCTCAGGAGGCAAACTTATGGCTAGGACTTACGGCATTTTGCCAGTCACAAAATGATATGTATCAGATTTCCAAAAGATGGGAAATAAAGACTAAACTGAACGAGAATAGCTTCCACTAACATCTTACGAGATATGTACATTGATCTAAAAACAGCCTAAAATTGAAACAGCACATGCCTGCTCTCCCAAAAGAGATAAAAAATAAAATAAAAACATCAATAACTTTTAAAGTTGTCTGTCTATAGACATTGATAACATACTTTTATACATGGATATTCGAACTCAGCTCAGTAGGTAGCCACTGGTCTAGAATGCGCAGGATTTCACTAGACGGGCTTAGCATAGTTTCTGATCTTGTATTAGTTACCCTGTTCGGTCATTAGGTCAAACGCATGTTCGAACTTTCTGGAGTCAAGCGGTTCGCTCAGGATCTCTCGCTCCGTCCACTCTTCCATGGCAAAACGACTGGCCGGGAGGCGGTTGTAGAGGAAAATCTCGAAGAAAGTTGGTGGCACGGCCGCCAAGAGGAGAGGTCGAAACTGCTGGATGACCGCCTCAAGGACTTCGAATTCTGCCTTCTTCAACGTTCGGTAGTCCGTCATAGAGGACCCGTCTTCGTCCGAAAAATATCCCACTCCCTGAGGGAGGAAACAGAGCACATTCGGGGACCCAGCAATGCGCACAAGCTGGGCCCAGGGCCACGCACGCCGGTACCAGTCCCTGACCCGCTCCTCCACCTGCCGATAGTCCCAGCTTCCCTCGGGCAGCTGGTGGAAAATGTCACTGACTGTCTGCCCCATCGGGTCCGGGCAGCCCTCCTGCTGTAGCTGTTGACGGTGGTCGTGGATGTACCAGCAGGTGAGCGCCAGGCCGATCCGTGACGAGTGCTCGTTACTCTTGTGCCATAGCCCCGCCTCGAAAACCCCGGCTGCATTGCGGACAAACGGACTGACCGCCATGTCGCGTCGCGTGCGAAGATGGAGCAGCTGGCGTTGGATCTCAACTAGCACCGGCGGGGAGGCGATGTTGAACGATAGCTGGAGCAGCTGATCCGCTCGCTCCCAACCAGCGGCGGTGGCCGCACCAAGAGGCCTCTGCGCGATCTGCTCCCACGTCGCGGTGAGATCCATCGCGCCACACCGTCCCGCCAGCGTGGACCAGCGCCGCCGCACCACCTCCCGCCTCGTCACACCCTCTCGACTTGCGACGGAAGACGGTCGCGGATCGGTCCGACACTGGAGCACCTCGGTGGCAACCGCCTGAGCTAAACCTGATCGGAAAGTCTCGGGTGGCTGGTTGTGGGCCGGCTGCCCGTCGGCCCGCTGCGCCATGGCCCAGAGGAGAAGAATTCCGCCTTCCTGACCGCTTTGGAGTGGGCGGCAGTTAAATTGCCACTTGGAGCCTACCAGGATTGTCTCATCTGCCTTCCGTAGATGCCGAGTTACTGCTTCGGCAGCGGCTTGACAGGCAGAGCACCCGTGGTCGTGATGGTGATCCAAGTCTGAAGACGCAAGCTGTGACGTGGGAAAGAGATAGTGAGTGATAGTACATTGTTGTGTCTGGACTTCAATCAGCGACCACTGTCCATGACTGTGGCCGGGTAACAGCAACATTGGCGGTAAAGGGGACAAACGAAGCGACTCCCGATGAAGATGGTCTTGCCATTCCACATGGCCGATGTAAAGACTCTGAGTCTGATGCCGACAGGCCAAGCGGTTTCCTAAGATATTAACACTGAAACTTGAAAGACATCCCGGATCCTGCAGCTCTTGTAGCAGTCTTCGCACATCGGTGCGTGTCAACTGTCCGCCATAGACTGATACAGAAGACTCGTCCGTCCAGTGCGCCTCCAGGTTGTCGCACAGTTTTCCAATATTTGGTGGAGGGACAGTGTCATTGGTTAAGTTAAGTGCAGTCTGGTCAGTTTCGCCCCTATCCGTTGCCTGGGATATAGAGTCGTGTGTAAAGGGAGTTGGAAGGGCGGTGGGAAAGGTGTCCATGATCGCCTGACTGATATTTTCTGGCATGCTCCAGCTGCTGACCAACCCCTCTGCTTCGGCCGAGGACAAATCAGGGAGCATTGGGAGCGGAGCGGCGGTGCTTGTGTCGGTCATAGATGGCATTTGGCAGGCTACCCATGACGGCTGTGTTTGGCCATCTGACCCCTGAGCTCCGTACGGGACAAACAGTGCATTGGATGCCACCGGACTCATGTTATCAGTTTCCAGCATATTGTCAGTTGTCGGGGATTCAACCTGGCTTGAAGTACTAAACTCCGCCAGCATATGGTCAAATGCTGCCCCTGCCCTCTCCGGCGTGCTCGTTTGGTTCGGGAAAGCGACATCTGAGGTAGGATCCCAGCACCCAGAGTCTTGGACGGAGTCGCTGGCAGGACTATTGCTACTCTCGCTGCCGTCTGTGATAGCACAACCTACATTGTCTATCACGCTCTCACCCTGACTCTCATTATTATTCACGAAATCATTGGGGCTAGATATCATTGAGAGATCCGAAGCCTCTGGCTCTAACATTTCCCTGTTGCTATCAACGTTAGCACTACTCTCGCTCCCGTCTAGGCTTGGACCAGGTTGCTGAAGGTAATGCAGGTCTCTGTTGACTGCGCTGTTGTCTGATGCTGGCCCCTCCAATCGTTGCCTGGTCTGGACATTGGCCTGGTTCTCATCTCCCCCACTTAAGCCTTCGTGCAGCTCTCTTTTCCGTTTGACACCCGCCGGCAATGCGGCAGGCGTTCCATTGACATCAGCAGTCACAGAATCGCTGAGATGGTTCTCAATAGCCTTGACATAGTGCAATGGATTGGCAGTCTCTGGAAAGAGAGCCATGTTGGGGAGAAATGCTTCATACATGTTGCGCAGATATGCCAGCTGCCGATGACGATCAGCTCTCTGTTTTCCAGCTTGTGTCAAGAGCCACACGTCGGGGCAAGGCGCCTTTAGATGGCCCGAGGGGCCAGCCACTGGCATCTGAACTTACTAATGCCTCTACTGTACAGGCTGTTCTCTCACGGTCCCGTACCCACTGGCTACATAGTTCATCCACCAATGGCTTCTATATAACCCTGTTAACTCATACTTTGAATGATTAAAACAAGATACCTACCGCAATTTGCCAGTACTTCTTTTTTTCAAAGGTTGCCTCCATGCCTGTGGGACAGCAGTGGGCACATCCAGCAGCAGAATCAAAAGACCAGAAGTAACAACTAATGCGAACTTGTTCCTTCGGCACATAAGTCTGTGGGAGGGAGCCACCCTTTTCACTGGCCTGGTCTGTCACACCGAAAGCCATTTTAATCCCCAGTGCGCTGCCTGTGTTTATCCTTGGGCTAGGGGAAAGATGTCGAACCTGGCGACGGTTTTATAATGAACGACGCGCCCATTGTAGGGTGCCATCCTTCCATCAATACTTCTGATCCTTAAGCTGCGGGGGCTTGCGCCGATCTAAGGACTCTAGAGCCTTGATCCCCCTTTGTTCAAGCCAAAGCTGGAAGATGCTTCCTTGGGTTCACATGGCGACCTTTTCACAGACCCGCAAAGAAACATGGGAGAAGTAAGTAGATCCACGCCGCTAAGATGCCTAAGAACTATTAAGGCTGGCTAAGGGGGAACTTTGGCTTAATCCCTGCACACGCGGCGATAGTACTATCCGATTTTTTTTGCAGCGCGCTTGCAAAACAAGGTTGTGTCGTGAAAATGGCCGAGACTATTGTCCTTCAATATACGGTTCTATGTACCTTTATAGGCCTTGGTAAAATGGCAAACATCTTGTTCGTGGCATGATAGTACACTGGCAGAAGAATAAGGGCCATACTGGGGCCAACAAACTACAATCCATACTCTGCACTAGAGCCAGCTATCCAGGTCTCAAACTTAAGACGGTGGAGTATCATGTTTTACTGTAATCAGCTACTGAAGCACACTGCCGATCTCAGCTCTTCAAAACGTGGGTATTTTTATTGTCAAGGGGCAGTAGTGCCTATAAAAATAATCCTGTCCATGGTTCATGAGATCGAAGCTGATACTCTTGCACAGTTGGCAATGTGGGCTGACAAATATCATGATAGAATCAGGATCGCGTGGGGTGATGATCCACGGGTCATTAGTTCAAGATCGACAACCCTGAGGATCAACACATCAGTGGATTAATCAACCGTTTGTGACCTCCCGTGGACAACACTTTCCCAATGGGACAATGTGATCAATTGAGTTATAATAAGAATGGAACTAGTGGAGATCCTAACCAAGCATGGAGGTGGGTATTGGACCGATCGACAGAGTACAAAGCACTAAGCTTCTGACTGGCCCATAGGCTTTCTTACCCGGTCACAGCCGACTTTAGCCCGAACCAAAGCATGGTACCACCATTGGAAGCCCTGAATGATTCTTCTAGAACTGACCGATAAAGTTCATTAACGTGGAATTGATTGCATCATAGAGAATAAAGGCCATCTACACCCGATTTAGACTTCCCGACACTGGCCCCAATAAATCCTTCTGGCAAATTTGCGTTTTCAGTGGGTTACCCCTCCAAAGCCTATTTATAATTAAATCCCGCCTTTCCTATCGTCGGTGAGCGTAGGTGTCCACTTTACCTGGGGTTAGCGGATGGGGCTCTCCTCCACTATGCGGGATATTGTCCCCGGAATTCCACTCTAAGTCGCAGGAGGGGTAATTCTAGCCTGTCGCTCAAACCAGCAATAGTAAAACCTTACCACAAATCACAAAAGTCATTTAAAGTTTTTTCTACAAACGTGGAGGCAAACCCTCCTGCAGATATTTTGTTGAGCCCCTTGGATTGAGACTGAGCCGCAGGATTTATGCCCATACCAGTAAGTCTTGTTATTGTACAATGTCCAGCGCAGATATTACTGTAGTTCTATATCATTTGTAAAGCGTTAAGATCGCCTGATGCTGATAGGCAGTACTAAGACCATTTAATCAGGGATTCGGCGTTTAAATCAGCTCTAACCGATTCATAGAACCGAGCGTACACGTTCAAGGACAAATAAAAAGAAAATAATAACTGTATTCTTTAAGGTGGTAGTAGACGATGCTGAGCTTACTGTTGTATTTTTATAGAACATTATTAATTTACTATAGACGCCCGCTGTGCAGAGTAGGAGTTTGCACGGGCGATCCGAACTACCCGCCGAGCCTGCAATTGCCTCACACGTAGGTTGCGTCGTGAAATCAGCCGTTTCTCACACGCCACACAGTCGTCCCGGGAGGCCAGCCAAGGGCCAGAGAAACCAAACATTGGGGATACTCCTTGACGGTCCATAAACCAACGCATCGGGTTAGGAAACCCGCCCACGGGATACCGCGCCCCATCTTCCAGCCGAACCGACAACACGATCACATCGTCCAAACGGTCGACGGAGAACTGGACCGGCACGCAGTAACGCCCGCACTTATGGCACACTGCGTCTTCGCTCGCATTAATCCGCAGTGGTCGGTTGCCGAAGACAAATTCCTTCTGCGATGTGTCTACATGCTGGAGTGCACTAATCAACGCATCTCCAGGAACACGACACCGGATGACACCCCGGCATCGGTAGGACCAACTGTTGATGTCTCGTTCCGGGGCGGCCACTAGTTCAAAAAACAAACTTTGGGCTAGCAACCTTAGCAGGCACCGACGACCGTGATCTCCGACTCCCTGCAAAGCGGCCTGCTGGATCAAATCACTCATACAGTGAGCGGCATCCAAACGCGGCTCAGGTCCAGAGAGCTGGATATCTAGCCGTGACAGAGGCTCTCTCTCTGAGCATGCTGTGTGGTGCCAAAGTCGGAGCCAGGATATTTTACCATCCATGGTCTTCATGAACGAACGTAACACCGGCCACAAAAAATGCCTACGAGCCAGGGAACGAGGGGGGTGTGGTCCAGTCCGAGATCGGCATGCCTCTTCGGCCCTTTCGCCAGCGCCAATGTTCAAGAGAATGCCCAGAGGTGGCCGCCAGGGCCACATGTACTGTAGTTCCTGTCGGCACAGACCGGCTGGATTATTATTTTCCAGACCTCCGTCCCAGCAGTCGCCAAGGGTTGACAGCGCAAACGGACCAAATAGCCTATCTTCTGTTAGCTGGGCAACATGCCTCCAAGCCGCCTGATCTGACAGAGACTATTAAGTTCTTACTTACATCGGGACAGCCGATGTAGCACGTGCACTGTATGGGCTTTGGTTAATAGACAATTCCCACTAGGGTGAGGATACCAACCATTGCCAAATAAACGGCTCATCCTCAGGGCTACAGACAGAGAGGTCGCGGTACCCTGGTCGAGAAGCTTTTTATTAGAAAGTCTGCATGGTACAGTGCTAGCTCGGATGAAACCAATGCAGCTGACTTAGAACAAGGACGAGCCAGGTTGCGCAGTCCAAAAAATAAAAAGGTAAGGATGTTAGAAACACCAACAAAGGAACAAAGAGAGGCTTACCAGCATTTCTTGGCCGCGCTAACGAAGACTTGTAGTTGGTTAAGATGACTGTGTCCTCTGCAGTCGTCGTAGTTACAGCAATCTTGGTCCCCGACAAACCGCCTGGCCCAAAAAGCCGCTGGTTGCTGCTATAATGTTGCTGGAGAAGCGACTCGGCCTTCTCCGAATCGTACAGCCCACGACCCATGGCACTACGTATGATCCGACGTGGCCATGCGAGCAGGCGGCGGGGCTGTGGCTGACTGTTAAAGAAATCAAACAGAAGACGTTGGAAAGCATCGAGGCATTGGGCAATGGGCTTCCGCCTGGCAAAAATATCCAGCACAATAAGGCCACCTGTTTATTATATTCCATCAGCGCGGTCACTGTGTATCCGACGATATATAACAGAGCTGCCCGTCAAGCCAGGAGAGCTTTCATCTCTTACCGGCACTGGTCCCAAATGCGACGTCAAACAACTCCTGCAACAGACAGATCGGTCCCAGCAAATCCTGCAGTTCCATCAGAATCTGCAGAGACACTACACCTCGAACACCTCCCCCGTCCACAGCGAGGGCGCGCACAGCAGCGGTGCGAGGAAGCAGTGTCACGCACGCCGTGCATGCTCGCTGGCACAGCGGGCACCGATCCACCACATAGACAGATTCCGCCCGTGGCCGCGGGCTGCCGCAGCGCTCGACACAGCTGTCACAGATGGCATGACCACAGTCAAGAGAATGCTGAGGACTATAAAGAAGACAACTCAGACATGTGCGGTTGCTAAAGAGTTGCTGGAATAAAGGTTGCAGCTCTTGCAGGTAACACAAGTGGGAATCCCAAGGGGGCACTTGCCGCGCCAGCATGCAAGCATATGCGTCAACCAGTCGAGACTCAATCGATTGTGACCGGTGTACTGCTGCAGTGAAGCCCACTATGTGCTGCAGGGCGTCAAGGCACTGCTGCCAGTAGCGCTGTCGGTATAGATCCCTGGGGTGAAATGCTATCCGGATTCTAAACGTCAGCTTTCTTCCAAATACGATGGTCTAGGATATAGTGAGATACAGAGTCTATGCATAGATAGTGCACTTACCGTGGGTATCCGGAGGAAACGCGTCAACTAACAGGCTCGATGCAATGATGGCGTCCTGCGTCTTAGAAGGGATACCCGTCCCTTGATGGAGAAAGTGGCTGAGGTGTGTTGTCCATCCTATAGGGTCAGACAAAGGACGAGAGGCATCAATCAAGTTAAAGGGCTCCTGGGGGCTCCGTGCTGTGTGTCGGACCGCTTGTTCCAGCAATCCAGGCAAATGAGCTGCTGAAAAAAACGTTCCGGTCTCCTGTCGATCTCGAGCAGCCCAATCCAGGGCTTTGAAAATCTCCTCCTTCAAAGGTCGGTACCGAGCCTCGTCGGATAGTGAGTTCTGCTGTGATACGTAGAAAAGACGGACGCTAGAATACAGCTCCGGAGCGTCCGGTCGCTGGAAGAAAGGGAATTTATCAGGGTCATGTCCTTCATCCGCCTCGACCGCCACAATCAGGCGTGGTCGCATGGATGGTTGTGTGGCTCCGCGCCCCACACGTGCCCAACCGTCAAGCAGATTGGCGGCTTGCTCAACTCCTCCCAGATCTTCTGCAAACAGACATAATACGTGGGAAAATGGAAGCAGTGCCCGTGCGAGGAGGACATTATATACCTGCGGGTCTGGGTTGGGCGCCCAACCAATTGAGATCTGCTCGACTCTCGGTGGTGAGCTGACCCCGCAGGGTTGCCAGCTTTGGCGGGGGTCGCCGTCCGCGAAGAGGACAGGCCGCTGGGAGTACAACGTTCGGTGGTCCACCCGCAGTTGAAACCCGGTGGTTCTATGCAGTGGGTTGTCCGGGAAGAGACAGCGCAGCGCTCGGTCCTTACGGCCCCGACCCAAGAAGCAGGTCAGCACGGGATGTCGATTCTGCAACGATCCTGCGGTGCGCATTAATTGCAAGGGACGGTCCGCATCATAACACAGAGAAGGACCGGCCTCGTCTGAAACAAATTCAAACCAAGCCGATTGCCGGCGGGGGTGCATGACAAGGAAAGTAGGGAATACTGTAATGGATCAACTTCTGTTAATTACCATCGTAGAGACTCCAGGTAGTAGTGGCTTTAAATATTACTCCACCGGTGATAATAAGCTCCCTCAAAACTGCCGTGTGAGCCGCTCTCTCATGCACTTTGGTGCTGCTCACTTAACTTCACTAATGCCGTTGTTTTATTTGTCATTGTTTCCCCAAATTTCAGGCGCTACAGTAACTCTCCTCCAAGTTGCGAGCACACGGCCCTCTGCCGCAGAACGTCTTCTCTGCCATGGCCATTTTTGTGAACAGTCGGAGAAAAGACAAGGCCAAGTTCCCAATATGTAGGCAGCCGCGGCTCCAATTTACTTACGGCTGAATTGTGATATAACTTATAAACACATATAAATAGGTGAGAAGGCCTAGAGCCTATCCATCACTTGTTGTCAGACTCACACTCCCCACAGGATTTATTAAATAGAACAAGTCTAAAACTCTCTTGTTAACAAAAGGTCTTGATCAGATCGCATCGCAGTATCTATCTCCAGAGTTGCCCGGGTTTGCGACTTATAGAATCGGATATGGAAGGCCTATGGGAAAAGCAGCCTTGCTCGACGGCCGATCGCCACATCGTGGAGTCAGACAGCGCGGATGATTCTAACAAGGCAGCTGGATTGGCTTCCAATACCGGTGCCTTTAAGGCCCAGTTAGCTATGGCCAGCCATGCTTCCAATCTACTCACCTGTCACGATGCAACCCCTCTCTCGCCTGCAGGAAGGCAGAATCCCATGGGTGGGCCATTCCCCAAACCGCCCGGCCAAGGAGTGCCAGGTTCGTGGACACTAGAGGAGGATGCGGCGATCATCGCACTGCACGACCGGGGGGAGAAATGGGAGGACATAGGCCGACATCTCCAGGGACGCTCCGGCACTGCATGTCATTTCCGCTATGTGTTCCTCCGGCACCGGCCCGAATGGAATGAAGAGTGGAAGGACCAAGTCGCAGTTTGGTATCAGCGGTAAGACACCTCCTCTACAAGAAGTGTTCATATAATTAATCAACCACTGCCAAGGTGCAAATCTAAGCTGTGGGCGCAGGTAGCCAACAAAGTGTGTCTTTCTGAGCGAGATGTTGAAGCGCTTGCTTGGCAGCTTGGTCCATGGGAGATGGCGCGACGCGCTGCGATAACATCATGTGAGCAGTGAGCGGGGGTATATCCGAACAATCGCCGCAAACCATACAGTGAGGAAGCTGGTTTTTAATTTTTTTTTTTGGTTTGCCTTTTTTCTTGAAAATTGCTAAGAAGGAGTGGTAAAAAGATGAAACTGGGTTTTCTCTTGAAATCATTATGCTTCCGGTAAAATAACGAAGCTGTAAATATGTCAGATATTCGGCTAGTCCCGAAGAAGAAATAGAATACGATTGGTAAAAAGGTCTTATTTGGACGAATTGAGCTGGTTTTTGGGCTCTTCTTGATTCTTCTTATGATTATTTTGTTGTGTGCTCCGCGGGGGTTTTATCCCTCAAACCTTTAGTTAGTTGAGCACCTTAGATAGGAATGCAAGAGACTCAGCTGGTTGAGATACTGTGATTCTTGATGTTTCCATAGACATCTACTTCCTATTTGAGCTAATGGTTGGCCTGTAGCTAATCTATAGCTCCCTGCGCATCACTTCCCCCTGAATTCCACAACATATATATAGCAGATCCTTGGCAACAGATACCATAGGGAGTGTAAGAAATTTGACTATTTGATGTTATTAGTTAAACCCTAAATGGTTCGCTTGGAAAAAGGTTGATTGTGTTGTAATTCATGGGGAGATTAAATTGTTATTATTCTTATCTAAAAACTTGAGGGTTTATATAACTGGTGAACACTGGATTAATATCCTATTAGTCATATTCTAAACAGATTATATTCCGTGCATGAGGCTTTTCAATTTGACCGAGCCTTGATTCACAACAGACTGCGATTTCCGGTGACACTTCCCAGGCCGGCGGAGAATACGCCGCAGGGACAATCGAATAGTGTCACCTGGGATAGCTGGAATGAGCTTGCGTAATTATAATAAATGCTGCAGGTAGGACAAATCCGTTAATCACCCGTGCTTCTTAGGCAATTTATAATAGAAACATATTTCAAATTACACGAGGAAAAAGGAGATAAGAAGGCTACAGTATATTCCATAGTTAAATTGCTGTGAAGTAGGAATTTATTTAACGTTCGAATCTCAAGCGGATATTGCCTTTCCCTATCCTAGCAGAATAACTGGAGCACAGAGTATTTGATATGCCATTTAAGGAATAGCATTGCAAAGCTTGTGACCTTATCCGCGGCACTTTAATAAAGATTTTATTCTTTAGTTTCTTAGCAGCTGATCCATGTATTGCCATCGGGAGAGTATAAAAAAAAGAGGAGTCTTGTGGTATCTCTACCTTAGACCTGAGAGTGTGGGCGGAGTGATTCTACATGCGGTTCAGACACAGTGAATCCATAGGTGACGTGAATTCCCGAGGCACCTTCAGGAAGGTTATTCTGTGGGACAGGCGGGCCATCCACGTTGGTGTCTCTTAGGTTCCAAAGGCTGGTTTCGTCTTGTTGCAGATGCATCTGAATCCAATGCTTGCGAATTCGATCCAAAGCCTGCTTGAAGTCATCGAGGATCACAGTGTCGCATAGACATTTAAATATAAAAGAGAGCTGTCTCAGTCATCACTGTCAGCAAGGCTCCTGGTAGATCGGTTTCTTCATTGCTGCAAAAGTCTTACCTTCCAAAACGGTTCAATTCCAACCGGGAGTTTCGTGTGAAATGCGCCTGCAATAGCACAGGTGTCTATGATAACAAAGACCAAGGAAATGCACATTGAGAGGAGCATAATGCCAAACCGCGGGCTGATTCGTACAAGATCTAGTAGGCTTATTGTATAGTGCTGTTTGATTGTGTAGCACAGCATACACGTGGTAAACAGCCACCATGGGTCCCTTGGTAAATAGTTAGTGTAGTTTTTAAAAAAAGCCAGACACGCTAGCCAAATGGTCCATACCGAAAGAGTGGTTCCAGAGGCCGTGTTTTGAGAAATAAGTCATCATGCTTATTAAAGAAAACAAAATTTGCGTATATTTCCAGCACCCAGTAAGGTTGTGCCAGCAGTAACGTTGCAAGATATAGCCAAGAGCCCCATCTTGGCAAAAAAGGCTTAATCTTGAACCAGGCAATTATGTTATGCAAAGTCCATGACAAGTTTAACCCGATAGCAGTGATTGACAAATACCAGCCGTATGATGGCTCATGGAGAAAGATAAACGTCCCGTGGCAAATTGCCAGGATTAGCTACAGCCATTGTAAGAACCCAGGAGCCTAGTATGGATAAAGATAACTGAGTGGTCTACTCACTTCGACAATAACTAGCTTGTGAAGTATCTTTCTCTTGATCATGTTGGCTGCAGCAACAGATAGCATTACAACCAACGAGCCCACCATCAACCCCTGTCCCCATGCTTCCAGAACAAGCCCATCTGGGTCTTTAGGTCTCCCAGGGGATATAGTGGATGACGCTGATCTCGTTGCTTGGAAGGAAAGAGCCATAAATGTTGTGTAGTTAACACAGAGGATAATAATTAGAAGGATAAAAGCTTTCAGGGAAAGAGATAGCATAGATTTATATTAACCAAGGACTTCAGACTTGAAAAGCGTTCCTTGCAGGACTTATTTAACTGGCTACTAGCAGAGCTACAACGTGCAGCCCGGAAGAAAGCCAGACGGTATGGAATGTAACGGACCCAACTGATCCACAGTGGGGGCGGTTTGGCTTTGTATGTCCCATTTTATAGGATACTCCCATAAATACCACAAGCGACAGATGAATGGCGGAGGATATTGTTTACCGTATTCCTTAAGATACCTATGGGATCTACTATATCACCCGTGGTTCGTAGACCTCTAATACATAAAGAGAAGGCTGGAGGATGTTCCAGGAATATCTTGTTCTTAATATATGGCCGGTGGCTTATTCCAGCTCATTTGACTCACCCTAATTTACGATGTTTCTCCACAGAGCATAGTTAGTTTTCAAGCTGAAATTACGTGCAGGGTCTGTTACAGTACTAACAAACCTTAGGTAACCACTAAGAATATCTAGGGTTTATTGTATAGGGATGCCTTCCGCTAAGGACAAGTTTAATTTTAAAATAAAAACCAACAAAAAGTGACATCTGCAGCGCCCTATACAGGCCTTTCATAACTTAGACATTGGTTGTCAAAGAGTTTTGACAGCGAGGGAACACCCCATGATAATCACCGCACAGCAGGTGGCACCGAGACTGAGCCGTCCAGCGGGCCCTAAACTAACATCCTGGACAAATGATATGCCAGTTACACGCGTTTGCAATGCTGATTGAAGAGCATATATAATACCTGCAGACACGGAGAAACACACCAGACAAGCTAAGCTTGCGGTTAACATCACAGTCTGTTTGACCCGGCGATAACAGGGCCATGGCCACCGTGCAATTATTAATGGCGTCAGCAAGGCAGTCAAGGCCAGCACAAGCCCAATTGTTATAAGAGGTGTAATTGCTCCCTGCGAGGAAGCAGGTTCTCCAAGGGACTGGAAGCTTTCAACAGCGTCCTCGAATTTAGTTTGGATTGACTTTGGAAGGATGTTCGAAACGTTGACAGGCAACTGGTGGCATTCATTGGGCTTTTTATGGATTTTAGTGCATAGCTTTTGGGTACCGAGAGAGATCCTGTAAGGGAAAAGGTCATCGTCTAGAGACTGATTAAATTCGACTTTTTTAGCTGCTGTTTCTATAGCTGACGGGGTGGTGAATATTGCAGTCTCAATTCCGCCTCTAATACTCTGGGAGAGGTTAACATGGTGAAGTATAACGCGGCGATCCGTCTCTGGAAGTTTCTGCCAGTTCAACTAAACTCTATGTCAATATTTATGTCTATGCGTGGAAACCATGCATTGCTAGGCGCTTTGAGAGTCACTTACATTAATGGTTGCGATCCCGGTTTCTTCCACAGAGGTGCTGGTCAGCACCAGGAGAGTCAGGACAGTGGTTAGCAGCACAGCTGGGATAAAAACAATATAGATGGTCGTGATTACTCGTTTTCTTCGAGTTCTTTGCTCCAATGTGGTAACTGGAGCCAGAGCGTCATTTATTCTCCGCCGCGGTGGGGATGTGTCCTGTTGCGTAGACCGAGTGAGCTCCTCTGGCAGCTGAATGCTTGCAGGACTATCTGTGAGAGCAGCCATGTTACACCTGCTCAACAGGATTAACGAAGGAAGGGGATATATATAATAGAAATTTGACGATATTAAGTTCGGGAACTCGATTTTGGAGAACAAACGAAAAAAAAAAAAAAGGAAATAAAGAAAGGCAGCAGGAAAGGCAGAATTACTAAGTACTAGAGAGAAGAAAGTTGTGCTGGAGAATAGTGGATACTGTACGCTCTGATAAGACATTATCTAGTCTGAAATAGCCACACCATACCTGGCGTCGTGAGGTATTAATCTTCAACGGTGCGGACAACTTATGCTATGTAGATTCTCCGGTAGAAAGCTACATCGCTGACAAACCCACTTACCAGTAGTTACAGTATATATAGTAGAGTGCTCCCAATATCCTCTGCTAGCAGCTTCTTCCCCACAGTTTGTGTATAAAGACTCTCGAGCGTCCAACACCGTCCGCCTTTTATATTAGAGCTACTTGGACATAATCAATTATCCGTCATGGACAACATCCCTCAATCCTGTCCTAACACTCCTGAGTCCAGTCCGCTTATGGAGGGTGACTCCAATTATGGCACTTCTATAAGTACAGTCGACGTGCCAGGCCATCGGGATGCCCAGGACGGGTTTCCGAAGCAGAAGTTTACTCCGAACAATGATAGGCCTGTCACGCCTTTGCCTAAGAGACTGATGTCAAACTGTGGTGCTCCAGGGCCCTTCAATCCTCCCGGGGCACCTCTACGCGGTGTTGCAAACGTTCCGCCACATTTCTCTCGCCCAATGCTTCTGCCAAGCCCTCTCCTTGATGACAAGCCACGGCAGGCAATAGGGTTGTTCGAACCACAAATCTCCCGACGAAATGCTGTCGCGCGTATGATGCCGCTTCCTTACAGTCAACATTGCTTGGGGGACAGCAATAAGATTTATGATGAACTCGCCCATTGGTACTACCAGTACGTAATAAGTCTTTTTAAATCGAACGTTTCCACGCTCTCTAACCGCATTCCGGCAGATTTCGCCTCCAGATGTGGTCCCCAGTGGCATGCATGATGGGTATAAGCTGGGAGGAGGCGGAAGAGCTTGGATGGCGAATGGGCAAAGCTGAGATTGACCAACGGGTGTTCATATCTCCCCATGTTTCGCGTATGGACTGGCGAAACAATGTGATTACAAAGATGTAGGGGAGAAATACATACTCAGTTTGTGAAAATAGAACAAATATCAATTTTTGTTTATGGGAGTGTAATACTGTATAAACACAGTAATGTACCAACTTTAGCACTGAAATCCAGGATAATATCTCTGGACCCAGAGTTTCTGAAGATCCCCAGTCCAAATACCAGGATTTTGGCTTTGGCCTGCAGGTAACATTGACCCACTTGACTCCCTAGACATTTTGCTTGTGATCTGTGGGGTCATCTAAAGTCAGCAAACAGTAGAATAACTGTGTATATAGCTACCTAGCGAGAATAGTCATATTATTTATCTTTGCTAATCCCAAGACTCGCAATTAACATGATCAAGTAATTATGTGCTGGGGAAAATATACAGTCGAAGCGCTAGTCCACCAATTGTTTATTTATCAGACTATGGATCACTGGGCGACTTCAGTGCAACCATGGTCTGAGATTCTGGAGGTTAAGTTTAGGACTCGCTGGAAACAGGAATGGATTAGTGTATCACGCGCGATAAACTGTATCTATTGTAGTCTAGCACATCATGTGATTGATTAAACTAATCATGTGGTCTCTGTACGTGCCTTTCGATCTTATAGGACAGTGTCGATTCATTGCCGTCTTTTATAGGTTGTTCGAGGTTTCCATATATCCCTCCTTTCAGTGGGCTCTAAGTATACGAGCCAAACCAGGCTGGCGGGTATATGGGCGTCTCGAGATCTGGATAAACATCTTGCGCTACTAGTTCCAAGAATGCAAAACAGTCAGTGCTTTTCCCCTAAGATTAGACAATATGTATATGTGCACAATTCGTTCTGTATATCTAATATGTATCACAGCAATGCAATAGCAAGGACATAGCTGACCAAGTCCAAATAACAGGCGTGGTATTTGTCTGCCTGTTACTGTACGTTTTTTGAACTGTTTTAAAAGGTTAACAGGCCTGACATTAATTTGTTCTCTCTGGACGCATGAACGACTCCTGATTGCTATAATGTAGCCTCCACTGGTACAGGACATCAAATTCATATATGAGTGCAGAACAACCATCTCTTGGTAAAGTGCTAGGAGCAGGTGATTGGGATGAAAGGGAACAATTAGGATTGGTAAGAACAAATTATTTAATATTTTAGTGTTTATCCGAGCTTTTTAAATACCTATAGCGCTTGTATGTAATGAACGGAGTTCAATTGCATTTTTCTATTTCCTAAATCAAATTCCAGTTTCTAGGGAGACCAGAAAAGCGATGGTCCATCGGGATCATGTTAAGGACCTGCCGGTCAGAGCATGATTAACAGGGATTAAAACAGTTGATTGGGGGTCCCAATCTGAATATTCAGAGTGGAAAACCAGGCTTCCTGCTTTCTGCGAATCCCTGATTCGACCGAGGTGTTTGGTAGCCACCTGGAGAGCAAAGGAGCTGGTAATGTCGATATAGGGAATACCGTCCCTTGCCCCCCAACAGCTCTTGCTAGACGTGGAATCCCGAATGTCCCATGGTAGATTAAAGTGCATTCCTGCAAATTCAAGGCCGAGATAAAATGGATCGGCCCTAGTAAATAAAAAAAGGCCGAAATGCTTGACACGCAGTTTCTCTCCATGGACCGCGTGAGAATCCAGATTGACATGTTTATCCAAACTGTGTGGAAAATGCATTATAATCTCATCTGCGCACTGCCTGATAACCCTATTGTTGAGAATCTCCTCGCCTTCCCACTGGTTCTTTACCCTCTCTTCAATAGATAACGACCTCTGTAAATACTTATGCTTCTGGCTAACAACACGATTAGCATGCTTCCGAAAGTCGGGAGGAATTCCCACAATTCACACTTCAAGGGTAGCATGGCTTTGATCTTTTTTCTGGTAGTATACATCTAGGTAAAATATCCGCTCTCTCAGCCGAATAGTATCGGGACCGAGAATAAGAATATGGCATTTGTCGCGAAACCAGGCGTCAAAGATCTGAAGTGTATGGTCGACATCGCGTAACGGATGTAGTAATTTCTCCGCTGAGGAGGCCGATAGTTCAATTTCGAAGGCCACTAATAAAGCGCCCACATCTGATGCCGTTAATCGCTCCATAATATCGCATGCTATTCCGTAATATCCTCTGTGGTGAAACAGTAATGGCAATCCTTTTAAGGATTTTAATATCCCTGTCATTGTAGAATCAAGTGGTGATCGTGTGTCTTGGAGCTTGGCTATACGGTTATCTAAGAATTTTAGCAACTCCATTCCATGGATCGAGGCTGAGAAGTATGATAATGGGTATACTCACGACTAAGTAAAACTTAGACCTTCCTAAACCTCTCTGATGGATGATAAAAACCGCAAGAGGAACATCAGGGGGTTTATATAGCCAAGGTCGCTTGATATTAGTAAAGTGCCTTACAAAACTGCCCCACCTACGAAAATTCTTTAATAACTTGTTGCATTCCAGCACCTCCATTGTTTCCCTCGCTATTACAATTGCGGCGGACAACCTATGCAAGCAACACGAGGTCCTAATAGAGGTGCCTGTAGAAATATGATGTATTCCATTCTTTGGCAAGGTTGTTGCGGCATGAAGTGAGCTTGGCAGAGAACATGCACGTGCACAGCTCCGGGGAGCACCATAGCACTCACGAGGCGAGAAGCTAAAACAGAACATCAATGAAAAGGACAGTTTAATATTCCCATGCTTGGGAAGCCCTTGTTCGCGATGGATACGGTCTGAGAATAGGAGATGTAGGGATCTATAATGTCACTGCTTCGGTCCAAGGCGAGTAGCATTCTGATATGAACAATTTCTTATCGCTGTATACAAGTAGAGAAAACAATGTATATAGAGTAGTTATGCTTCAATCGCTATTACTATGACCTATGCTCTAATGCTGATGTCAATAAAACACGAGCAGATATTTGTAACCATTGAATGGCTCTTTAAGTGATCGCCTAAGTTAACAACGTAAATAAGCTGGCAAACATGGGTTAGTGTATCACGCGTGATATACTATGGATACAGTATTATGGATTATTATATTACCTGTGATAGATTCTAGGGTTGAGCTTTTGTTCCCCATACTGCGTCACGACCCCGTCCGGTTTCTCTGTCTGGTCTGTCGTCAGGTCTCTTTATACAGTATACTGCAGAAACTTCTTTAGCACTATATATTATTATGGGGCTACACATTAAACAAGATCAGTGGATAGCGCATAACGCGTGATAATCTAATCTTGTCCACACACTGGCCAGGGCAACTGCAGTGGCTGTCTTATGCTTTCTGGTTTGGATACAAATATTGCAAGAGTGGTAGTAAGATAAGATCCTTGATGGCTTTCGTGTCGTTTGTTACATCAGCAATAGCTATTAGACCTATTAAACAAGAAATAATAAACGCTGTTGGCTGTTTAAGGTGCAGGCCTACTTGCTGAATACCGCTCGGCCATAAAAAGACGCCATGACGACTAATTGCGGTTTTATGAGTATTTTTAACGCTAGATCAGAGTTAACACTATTCTATCCATCAAGGTTAATAGGGCCAATACGCTACCCCATGATGAGCATAGTGTATCACGCGTGATAGCCCATGCGTGCGGAGACTCCTATATGGAGGCCCCGGCACGTTTTCTCGACGGTGCAGGTTCGACCCTTAGCCTGAACAATTCATTTTCTGATTTGATCATGTAATCCTAAGTCTTATACAACACCCGTTGGGTGCTTGAGCTGCCTCTCCTGTTTACCGCGGGTGTCGGTGTAGAAGGGGCCTGTTGGAGCACCTAGAACAGTCCTGCAACTTATCTCTGTGTACCGTGACCGTCGACAAGTGTCGCCCCTTTTGGTTCAGCACACTTTATCACCCGTGATACTCTAAACCCATAGAGGTTAATAGAGGAAGGAGCGGATCTGCGATTAGTCCACCGAGTTGGAAAGAAAAATAGCTAATTGCTGCCGGGCTACTAAGGACCTGACCCTGGCACGGAGTAAATGCTTAGTTACGACCCATTTTCATTGCATTTCACATTTCCCTTGCCTTTAAATTTTCTCGGCTTGCTTCTGTTTCAGGGCCACAGCGTGCGATAGCACGTGTGTTCCAGTAGTTAGTGTTTGCCGAGCGCACTCGTGCGATCCTTAATAGGAATAGCGTATCACGCGTGATAGACATGGAGTATGTTAGAGAAGTCTCTTTGGATGCCAAGAATAGGATGCGTAAGCCCTGACCAATCACTTGAACAGAATTCCCTAGAGATTATAATTATTAGATATATTCATCTGGCAAGATGCCCTAAGTCCATACTTGGAAAAGTGCGTCACGCGTGATACACGGATTGTGGGTTGGTCGTCGCGTTTTGATTGGGCTCTTTTATTATCTTAGAAGGATGACGAGTTTGAGAAAATCGCTTATTGCTATATCGATTTAGTATAATTAATGCTGCCTGATCGAGTTATCCCGATAAGACCTTATTAGTTTTACTTACTGTGGACCAAAGTGGATGAGCCATGGTGCGTGGGATTGGACCCTCGGTGGATGGCGGTGCACAAGTGGTTGAGGACCATTTATGTTACTAAGATCTGGCGAATTCTATTCTGCTAGTAACTAGAAGAAATTACATATAGTGAGTAACACATATAAATTGCTGTTTAAAAAAGCAAGCTCCTAATCCTAACACACTGAACTAAACATCTATTCCATCATCCTCCAAAAATGGGTACCATTCCGGGTGTCCGCAATGTTTCACGACGTCGTGAGACCATTTTTAAAAAGTGCAACGAACTGAGCCAATTCGGCGTGCGAGTCTGGGTGGTTGTATGCTCTGGTGCGCAATGCACCGTGTTCAAGTCAATGAACTGCAATTTATTTGAGTCACTGGACCGTCAAGTTGTACGCCGGCGGAGATCCAACCCTTCCCCACTCTAAGCAAAAACATCGCTGATGTATATCCATACAGATGCAGGTCACACGTCGGCCAACATGGAAGAATAGTCATGACTACAATAGAAATATGCGAGAAAGACGCCCATTGCGGTTGATTGATCAGCTTCAGTCTGGGAATGGGCCTTATCCCCACGTCCAGTAACTGATGGAAATGAGTCTGGCAATGGAGGTGGACAGAATCTGTGCTTATGCATGGGATATTGCTGCAGTAAATAGTTAACATTGATCGGGTAATGATTATATAATTACTGTACTGTATCAATAGGATGTGCTTTACATAACCTAATAAGACAGTTGGCCTTATAGGGATATGTACTGAAAATTCGTTACTTAAGTTGTACAAAAGCCCTGCAAAATGTACAGTTTGGGAGTAACTAAGTGTGCAGCGTGAGCAAGAGCGACCAAAGAACAGGCATGCTTAAGAAAAATAAAGATATGCCTTATACTATATGTATGTATATTAATGCGTTACAGTAAATGTATCTACTGACGTGCCGATTATTGTGCTGTAGCGGCATTTGCAGTAAGGTGCTGATAACAACGTAAAGGTAACAGTGACTTTGGCTCCTCTTTTATGGCGACACAAGGCTGGCGGCCGCCCTTAAATCTCGTTCAATCCTTTAAGCTCATCTTTAAGCTACTAAGTTTGCAGTACATTCACAAACAGGTATGGCAGTATCAGTACCCAGCCAACATGAACATGCGCGGTGGCGGCATTGGATGGGGACATTTGCTAAGTCTGAACCCTTGACAATCCCGGCCGTGCAAAGTCGGTATGTAGACATGGTGCTCGAGGCAGAAGAAATGCCTCTCCTTTACAACATGGTTGCGTCAGCCGGCGCATGGCTCCTGCTAGCCGGATATCTGGTCTTTCCAGGGACCTTTACCTCTTTGCACGATTCTGCTGTGGTTGGAGAAATAGCGACCCATAGCCACGCCGGCTCGGTGGTATCTCATGCCATTCAGAATCCACCTCTCCTTGCCTTAGCAATAGTGGCTTGTACACTGGGCACTCTCGGATGCGGCTGGCTCTGCTGGCGATGGCGGTTTAACTTTCTGTGGCTGGAACAGCATATTTTCCTGTGAGTGGCCTGATAGCAAAAATAATCTACCTGGCCTGTGTGCTAATTTATAGACCCGTACTTATTCATTCCGCTACTGGCCTGGTTAATACCCTGCTCAATGTATACGCAGCCCGCCATGGGACATGGTCCGTGATGGCGATCGTGACAGTTGCTGTGGCCGGCTCATTTACGGTACTCGCGGGCATTCTCTTCATGTCCATTCAGTTAGTTGTGCTCCAGAAGATCAAGTGCGAGCACCAAACCCTGGTCAATAGTGCTGCTTCGGCTCCTGAGGCAGTGAACTTTCATTCCTCTGGCATTTGTGAGACTTGTCAGAGTAGGTTGTTTATGGAAGCTACGCAGGAGGAGGAGCCTAATGGGACAGATAATGCACGGCAACTTAACTGAGTCTAACTAGCGGGCGAGATGGATGATACAGTGTACGAGCTCGAGCACTAAACGCTGCACCAGCACTTTTAGCGTGAGAACAAATTGGGTAGGGTTAATGCTGTATCCGCAGCCAAGGTTGAACTGATTTTCAGAGCTTATCATTTATGTTAAGAATGCGCAATTTTCTGTACTGGTTGTACCTACTATGTAATAAAGGCAATGAAGCAGTGTTCTCAGCACAAACTATGGCAGAATCAGATCAGAAAAATACCGCGATCTATGGTTATGTTGAAATAATCATTAATTTCCCTCTCGGAGACGAAGAGATACAGTAAAGGTATCCCTCTTCCCATACACAACATGATACGTCGTGTAACCACAAGAGTATTTACTTTTTCCAAAGCTGATGATGGGTTTGCTGGCCTGTTATCATTGGCCGTGCAAATAGTGAGGCGATGGCTCCAATGCCTGCGAGATATCACTTGATAGAATGTGCTACAGTATTTGCCAAGACCCAAGCAAAGCTTAGAAATCAGGTACCCTACGGATATCGAGAAAAAACTCAGTACGGTATGAGGCCACATCATCTTTGCCACATCAAGATCTGAGGAGAAAGGCCATTTCTTTCTTTGTCCTTGCGGCGTCCATGTATTTGTGGGTCCCGCTTTTGGCGGTAATCAGGCCCAGGCTTCCGATCGGCCCTGAAAACTGGCGCATTTGATTGTGTCATATTTAATAAAATCCATTGTGATCCAATGAGAATACCGCTTATTAGAATCCTTTCCGGCGCCGCACGAAGAAGAACGGCCAAAGAGCACTGCAGAACATGTTGGATCGGATGGCAAGAGATTCGCCGTTAGTGGTCATAAGTTGACGAATTGAAAATGTCTCCATTAGCAATAAATCGCTTACGAAGTATTGGTCCGTATGGTTCAACATAGATGTAAACACTGCTTTAGGGAAGTCACCCTTCCTTGCTTGTTGTGTTGCTCCGCTATTGGTTGTCCTAAGAGTAGACTGCGGCAAAACCGCGGTTTTGGGTATTATAGTCAAAACCACAACCGCAGATTTGGGTTTAACCACGGTTACCCATGATAACCGCAAGAAAACCGCACTAGCATAACTCTCGCTTCTTTAACCAATTCTAGCATATCAGGTGACACTTATGCAGCTTGCATACTCTTGTTTTTAATTTGAAATACACCTGTTTGATCAAAACAGTGACCCCGTTTAACCTCTCAGGCTAATTGTCCTTATTGTCCCTACTTTCCCTATTGCCCCTATCGGTTGTAGCTCCTGTAACGTTTTATAGATGTGTACCCAGGCAATATGCTCCTGGGAGCGTATGATAATAAGCTATTACGAAAACTTGAAGACAAGGAATATGTCGCAGGCTACACCTATATATTACTCACCTTCGCCTTCGCTGCAATTGGCGCACATGATTGGTCCGCTTATTGCAGTTATCTAACCTCATAAGCCAATATCAAGTATACTACTGTCAGAATAAACTAGTCCAGATTGGGACATTATGTGAATATATATACCCAATACGCCTCATAGAGGGGTTGGGCAGACAATCCTTCCGAATACAACCACTTCAGACCCCCAAATAATCAAACAACTACATAGATCATCTTGCCCGTCGCTCGGGGGTACCCCCGCTCGTTCCACTCGCTTCTCAATCCCCTTCGGGGACATCGAGGGGACCCCACCCCCCTGCGCTCGAGGGCGCTTGAATACATAAACACTAGGGCTGGTATGGCGACCACCAGGAAGTGGTAGGGATGGTAGTAGTGGTAGGAGTGGTAGATGTAAATATGCAGATGACCTTTAGACAGGTGGGTGGAGTTGGACCACGATGACTATTTTTTTGGTTTTGATGTCGAATCATGCTGAGGTAACGTCGAATTACGCTCAGCTGGAATTTGACAGGGTCTGACCGTGTTAAGATAAAAAAATGATCTGCAACCTCGATTGGTGACTAATATCAGACCCACGGGTCGGGTTATTGGCGGACCTATTTGGTTTTGGGCGGTTTGTCGGTGCATATAAATACAGCTATCTCTTCGTCGAAACAAGAAGGGGAGCAGAAAGCATTTTCTTGGCACCGCTCCCACGCCCCGCTTCTGAAGTCCAAGGAAGCAAGACTTGTTATTTAATCAGAAATCGCGTCTGATACGATATAAATAATCCAACTTTTTCTCCGAAATGCGGCAAATGCGCCTTGACCAGTGGTTAAATATTAATCAGCAGCCTATAACTTCTTATATTCTTGCTCTTCCCCGAAAATACGGCAAAAATTTATGATGAAGCAGGGTTAGCTTTGGGTTGCACGATTAACCTCTGCTATTGCAAGGAGCATAATGAGGATTATGGCAATTTAAATGGGTGTACTAAAATTTGCTGTCACCCTCCACATCCAGATGATGTGTACTGGGATGGTTGTCCTACGACATACAATCTCCTACAGACATGTCGAACCATATATAATGATATTATACCGGTAATATATTCGTCGAATACATTTATAATCAACTACTGTGACCTTGAAACCTTCCAACCGCTGCGAAATCTCAACCCAAATAGTCTTGCTTTCCTTTCTCGGCTGGTTATCAAACTTAATACCTCCTGCTGCGAAACATTAGATTGCAAAACCAGCAATCACAAATGTCAAAAGGTTTATAAAGGTATTAACAGGAAATTGGAGGGAAATTCATATCAGGATAAGCTCAAACTCAAGGAATAGCAAAAACGCAGCTTGGCTGGCTAAGCATATGCCCCCAACCAGTTAAGAATACGGTTTACGTGCGAAACCAACGACTATAAAACTGCTGAGCAGATTCTGGCTCCATTTTCACAGCTTCCAAGTCTGAGGAGCTGCTGCATTAGGCTTAGTTGCTCTCCTAATTGGCAGCTGCGTCAGCTTGCCAAAGAGACAGCAGTCTACAGCACTGGTGGAATTATAATTAGCAGATTTTTATTCTGTTCCCTCCCAAGGGAGCTCCAAATTAAGATCTTATCTTTTTCCGACCTTGTTGCGCCGACGAATATTAGGTGGAGTCCTAGATTTGGCTTTCGGCTCGATTACATACGTCGAGGATGTGAACATGTATGGTGGGGATGTTACTGCCCAGTAAGCCATTCTGCATTTTATAGTAAATGCAGATGCTGGGCCCCACCATCTGCACTATTTCTTGTCAATCAAAATATAAGGCTCATGGCATTAGAGGTGTTTTACTCTCAAAACCGATTTATCATTGAACCTATAAAAGGGAAAAAACACAAACCTGTTAAAGAAAGCCCTAGCACTGTGGAAGCATCCCTATTCTTCGAGAAAGTAATTCCTCGATACGCTATGCGCTACTTAAGGTTTCTTGAAATTACTTTCCCTCCATTTAAGACGGAATATCTTCCCTCTACCTCTTCTGGTTATCAGAATTGGCTATCTTCTATTTCCTATCTTTCCAATCACGCCAATCTTCCCAAACTGACTCTGATAATTCGCATGGATGATGTGCATGAAGGCTATAATCTCCCATTCCGGCCTGGAATAACTAAGGATCAGAAGACAACAGTCTTTAAAATGTATGCTCGGGTTTGTTTACCACTTGTGGACCTTAAGGGTCTAAGGGACCTGTTTATTGATCTAATTTATCCAAGTGATGCTCAAGAGGGGTATATAGGAAGTGAACAATGGGATTTTCGGATCACATTAATAGAGAAGCTGGAGCGGATGCTGGAACAGAAGGTTATGGGCATGGAATATAATAGCATGGCAGAGGAAAGAGAAGCATAATGGGTCTCGAGCAAGACTATGGATCAACCATTGATGAGGATATATTCGACCGAGTGGACACAGATCCGTATTACTTTTAAAGCGGATTTCCGAATTCATTTATTACTGGGCCAAAGTCAGGTCTTGGATGCTATAATGCAATATTTCTCTAGTAATAGTACAATTATAGCAAACCCTCTATCAGGCTCTCTATTGGAGCATAGTTCCCCTGCGCTGTGGATTTCGATCAAGGACAAGTTACATAGACCGATAAGAGTGTCACTTGAGCTTCCCTCTCAGCTTCCCTCTGAGCTTCCCTCTGAGCTAGCCTCTGAGCTATCCGCTGCTTCTTCCTTTCCTTTTTTAATAATAAAATTAAAATGGTCTTCGCTTGTGAACCTGCGAAGCCCCAACCCAAGCCATTATTGTCTCCATGCTCGTAGTGGACATTCGGAATGGGCTCTTTATCCTCAACTGGAACAAGCTCAACCGGGGACTCTTCAGAAGGGCACTCTTTAAGAGTGGGTGGGGCCTCCGCGATGTTCAGACGGAACTTCAGGGCACTGTTCTCCATAACATTCTTCAGCAGGTTCAGGTTCGGGCTCGGGGCAAGCCTCTTCATAATATAGTGCAGCAGTAGGCTCTTTGATTAATGGCCCTTGAGCCGGACCGCTGTGTAGGTGGGCTTCTCCTCGGGCGCCGCTAGAGCAAGCTTACAAATATCAAGCTCGTCAGGCTCCCTATCCACCTCACTTCCACTCTCGGTAGCTTGAGGGGAGTGTCTCAAGCACGATAATTGAGCTGTGAACACTCTGGCCACCATCTTCATCACGGCTTTGCTAAGCACTGGATCGTCTGCAATTTCATCGTAGAACTCATCCAGCTGGAACGTTGTCTTATCTTTCACAAAGCTGCTAGAAAGCTTGGAATGGAGATAGCCATAAAACCATTTTTTGTCCTCAGAAAACCTTGAGAATATAATTCTGGCCCCCCGTAGGATCTGGAAAATCGAGAGGGATTCACTAAGAGTCTCAATGTACTTTTGGGCGGGCGTTTCAAGGCCGTGTAACTCATATTTTCTGGCTGCGTACTAGACCTGAACGCTTCTTTTGTATTCGAGCTCAATGCGAGATTTATCTGATTGGATTCCTGGGTAGGCGATCGTTTCATATTCTCCCTTGTATAGGAAATGTAGGACAGTGTGGCCAATATCCCAGTCGATGTCGCCAAGTATAATGCGTGAACTCCAAGTTTGTTTTCTTTGCGGTAGTAGGTATCCCAAGATATAATTTTCTGGAATTGAATAGTTCTTGTTTCCGATTGTAATGATAACTACTTGCGTAGGGACTACAGATATCAAGTCGGGGTTAGCAGTTATTCGCAATAATCTGAAACGGGGTAATTATGAGTGGTCTCACGATATTCCTGGTTGGTTATAATCAATTGCGGGCTAATCGCAAAAGCCATAAGTGCTTTCTCCTTTCCTTCGGATTTTTTGGAGTCCTTCTTTCTGCCGCCTTTTTTCATACTCGACAATGGCATATGATCGTATATATAGTCAGCGTACAAATCGAGAAGAAAATGTAAATCAAGACCTAGAATGCCAGCAAATATAAGATACCACCCTTCATCAGATTTTAGAGCTTTGGACAAGATGAGGGGAATGCAGGTCTGAGTTGTTTACTCCCCTACCTCTCCTCAGACAAACAGCCATCCAATTCGACCAACCCTACCACCAGTACGCAGTCCCAAAACCAGTCAAGAGCACCAGCACCTACGCCCATCCAGCGGACCCCTACTAGGCTCCAGCCGCAACTACCTCAGTCGAACTGCTCTCCTCAACCTCTCCAAGCGACAGCCACTACAACCACCATCTCCTCGACCCCAATCCAACGACCCACATATGCCTCCGTCCTCCAGCAACCCACCACGTCTACACCGCAGCCGACACCCACATCTCACCAATCCGTCCCTCCGAAAACCACACTCACAATCGAAGATCTTCACCGTCGTTTTCACAGTAAACCGACACCATTTGAGCTCGAGAAAAGGAAAACGAAAAGTCCAAAGACCGCATTAGCCGCACAGTGATTGTCCAAATTCTTAAATTCAACATTGCCAGCGCTCTCGCGATTTCTGGCGGAGATGCAGCAAACTGCGGACAACTGTTGGCCGCCTTACAGTATCTGGGAACTTATTATAGCCGCGCCATAAGGGCAGCCTAACACCATGAACGGCAAATAGGCCACGACAGGCCTTATCAGGTGAGGCTCAAAGTTCACCGCTCAGGAAGTTTGGAACAATCTCAGTGGATCAATTATCATGTATTTACAAAGTTGTTGTAACCTGCATATCGCTTTGGCGAGAGGTCAGGGTAAATGAAATCCATCCGTCCATCCATCCATCCATCTATAGCGTATCTCTGAAATTCTCTGGCCATATATCTTCTTTAACGGAGAAAGCAACTCACATCAAGTGGTGGTGAAAGGTGTGAAGAATGTGGAGTCATATAAAAAGGAATAATCTTTCTCTCTGTACCGAATTTATCAAATTCTGGAGCTGCATGGGTAGATTGGCCATCAAGAATTAACAACCGGTATTGCCCCTTAGTTTTTTCAAAAACCACTTGAAGCCATTCAAAACCAAGCTCATTTGTTGTCCATCCATTCTGACTTCGACTAATTCGAAAATCTTGAGGAATAAAGGACTACCACTGATCTTGGTGTTTCATTCCAGTCAGGTTAATCTGTGCAGGCAAAGCCTATCCAGTAACGTACTTTACCGCTTGCCGCCCGTCACCGCCTGCCGCTCAAAATATCTCCTCACCGACTAAACAACTGTAGATTTTTAAACCACCATAACTCATTCAATATGGATCCTCTGAAAGCAGCGATAGAAGCAATCGATTCCTTAAATATAGGGGAACGTTTTACCTATACTGAAATTGCAAATCGATTTGGTGTTGACCGAACAACTCTCTCAAGGCATCACCGCGGAGTTCAGCAGCCAAGAACGCAGCAATATGAAAAGCAGCGATTACTCAACAACCAACAGACCAGAGAGCTTCTGGATTACCTAAATAAACAATCTGCAAGAGGTCTTTACTGTACGCATGAGATGCTGAGGAATTTCGCCAAGGAAATTACTGGAACCAAGCCTGGAAAACAGTGGCCAGGCCGCTTTTATAAGAGACACCAGAAAGACCTTATCTCTCACTATACAACTGGTATTGATTCTGCACGCAAGCGGGCTGATTCTGCATTCAAATACTCTCTGTACTTTGAATATCTGGGCAAGAAGATAAAGGAATATGAGATACAGCAGCAGGATATATATAATATGGACGAGAAAGGATTCCTTATTGGTATACTTTCTAAGGCCAAGAGGATCTTTTCCAGGCGTCAGTATGACCAAGGAGGCAATACTCAACGCGTTCAGGATGGTAATCGGGAATGGATTACTTCAATTGCTTGTATATGTGCAGATCAAACTGCTTTATCTCCGGGCTTAATTTACCAAGCTTCATCTGGAAAACTTCAAGATACCTGGCTGCAGGACTTTGACCCTGCAGAACACCAATGTTTCTTTGCCTCCTCAGAGACTGGCTGGACCAACGACGACCTCGGATTTGCATGGTTAAAGCAGGTATTTGACCGGGAGACCAAGGCCAAAGCAGGCAGGCGTTGGAGGCTTCTAATCTTAGATGGTCACGGTTCTCATGTTACCATGAAGTTCTTAAACTATTGTGAAGCTAATAGGATCCTTGTGGCTACTTATCCGCCTCATTCTACTCATTCCTTGCAACCGCTAGATGTCAGTATCTTTGGGCCGCTTGCAACCGCTTACAGCAATAGTTTGGAGGCTTATCTGCAAGAATGCCAGGGCCTAAGCACTATTACAAAGCGGGAATTCTTCAGGCTATTCTGGCCTGCATGGAAAAAGGCCTTATCTGCAAGAAATATTGAAAGTGCATGGAGATCGGTTGGCTTATGGCCTTTTAATCCTGAAGTGGTATTGGCCCGTTTTAAAAAAATAGAGGACCAACGGCCCTCTTCCAGTGGCTCTTCTAGGTCCGTTCTACATGCAGAAGATTGGAGAAAGATCGAGCGGCTTATTAGAGATTTTTGCAGATATTAAGGATGAAAACACTAAGATGTTAAGCCGTACCATGCACCACCTCTCTACAGAGAATATCTTGCTTAAAATGGAGAATGCAGGCCTCAGAAAGACATGTGAGAATGAGAAGAAGCGCCGCCAGCGTGGAAGACCTCTGCAGTTTGAAATCCAGGCCCCTGAAGGTGGTGGTGCAGTTTTTACTCTCCAGGGAAAGTCCATCAGGCTCGGCAGCTTGACCAGGAGAAGGCTCTACAAATACAGCTTGCTAAGGCCTCAAAAGAGGAAGAGAAGCTACGCCGTCAACAGGTAAAGGAAGAGAAACAACGAAAGTTGCAAGAACGGAAGGATATAAGGGCCTCTGCACGAGAAGCCCGCCTCCAGGAGGCAGAGGAAAAAAAAAGCGCCAAAAGGAGGAGGAGCGCCTGGCCAAGGAAGCATCTGTACAGCTTCAAAATGACTTCAAAACGGCCAGAATAGACAAGAAGAAGTCCCCAGCAACATCAAAATTAAAGAACCAAGAAGTTGTTGCTGCCCCAGCGCCTGAAGTTGTTGATGAGGCCCCTCCCACCAGAAACCGTCGAGGCAGGCAGATCCGGCTACCACAGCGCTTTCGGAACTAAAAAAAATAGTTGTATAGGCGTATTAGGTGTTCAATTTTATTACTTCAAAAGATCTCTGTATAATTCTAATTGTATGTGGCTCTAAATCTTCATTTTCAACGTGGTGTTGATGTTGGGAAATTGGGCGGAAGGCGGTCTTGGGCGGCAGGCGGTAAAGTACGTTACTGCAGCATTAACACAGCCAATTGAATCCACTCATTCACAATTACCTGGTCATAGTTCTTTTGCTCGACTTTCTTCTTATTTCTGAGCTGCAGATACCCTTTGCATTTGATATTATTTATATATGCTTGCATCACTCCGTTATATATTAGGTTCCGTTTATCATACTTATAAATGGTATGCTGGTAGCCTAGTGGTAAAACTCTGCTACTCTCCTCTAGAGAGGCTGGGTTCGATTCCCAGTGGGTGGCTTTGATATGTCAATATCATCTTCATGTCATCTTCGACATGAAGATGATATTGACATATTGTCCGTGCCCAATCCTATGGAGGACCTCTGGATATTTTTTAATTATCTATACGTATTTTTAATAAAACATAATAAAGTCAATAACTATTTAGTACACCATATATTCATTTAACTGATAGCCCTCATTCATTGTTTGCTCTTGGTATTTCTGAACTTCTCGTTCCTGCTGGACCAAAACACAACAGGGACAGAAAAAGGAACTCAGGCAATCTCCATATATAGAGCCTACAATTTGAAGCTGCTTGCGTATCATATGCCGCTTTCTTTCATTAGCAGCACCCAGTGTAAGCCACAAGAGCCGAGACATGCAAGCAGACAGCACTAATACCCACGTTAGCTATTAGACAGAATTAATATAGTACTACAGTATAGAATATGGACTTACGTTTCTATTGCATCCCTGACAGCAACTATTTTCAATCCCTTCAGGATAGTCTAGCCGCGATGCAGTGTTCCCAAATAGATAGCATGGCAGAAGTGTCGCACACATACCTACAATCTAAATTAGAAACTGGTAAGAGCCTGTATATAATACATACATATGCTGGTGTCAGCGCAACAGTCAAGGAATTTATAAGACCATTGTCTTTCTCCTATACTCTCAGAGATCATACTGATGCCGAGGCAAAACTTGCCTTTCTAATAGTTAATATCTGGTACAGTAAAGAAGAATTTGTTGCCAGATTTACTTTTTAACGAACTCAGTGAAGTGTTGAGAAAATATCAATAAAATCTAGAAAGCTTTTCCATGCTTATATGCTAATTGATATGCCAGACCTAAAAAGATCGGCCACTTTTGCTGTATTGGTGGCGATGTAGTGGAGGCAAAGAATAATGCTTAGCGCCTTTTCTAGTAAGCTTCGGGCTACCAGGACCAAGTATTTCCAAAATAGCTTAATAAGATTATTACATACTGTACAGGTCGATTGTGTTACACTAGTAGTAGTAGTAGTAGTAGTAGTATTCATACGCTGACCCTTCGCCTAAGGCGATATGCAGGATACCCCTATCACTGCTCTATATGTGCATCTATTTACAGCAAACTATTACTTCCCGACGAACTTGGAGCCTCGTCAAGGCCTGTGTTGGCCGATGCCTGGTGTTCTGTTCTGCGGCCCTCGTGGCGCGCGACTTCGAAATCTCTGAGATGCTTCTGCAAAGTCCAGTACTGCATTTAAAATGCTACTGCCTTGCGTGGCATCTTTTAACCTACCCTTCTTACCTTGCCCTGCTCCTCCCAGCATATCTGAAATATTATTAAATGCTCTTCCAATCTTCCCCGTAGCTCTTGTCGTAGCCCGCTCAGCCGCGGGCAATCAATCAGTACATGGACCACAGTTTCTGGTGCACCACATTCACACTGTTTGTTATCTCGGAAGCCGTGTCGCATACCATGCGTCGCAAGCCATGAGTGGCCTGTTCGGAGTTGTGTAAGCAGATAGGCTCGATTCCGGGGGAGCGAGCCGTAGAGCCGGCGCGTATGGTTTGAGGGTAGGGCTGCGTCAATGCGACGGAGGTGCCCCCTTTCTTTGAGGCTCTCCATTCTCGTTCCCCTCCTCAGTGATTCTGTCTCGGATATGCGCTTTTTCGCGTGACAAAGAGGCCTTGAAAGGGGTGCCTTTTATCTGGACCAACTGCTTCCTTCGCCAGGCGGTCCGCTGCGTCATTTCGGGATTGTCACAGTGTCCCGGAACCCACTGGAGCCGTAGGGGGATTCCACGTGCTTTCAGCTCTCTAGCTGACTGATGAATAGCCTGGATAATTCGCTGACCAGACTTGTTCCATGTGTTTGCTATCACCTGTAATGCGGACATGCTATCACTAAGGATTGTTGCCGGTTCCCGATTGGAGCTTAGGGCGTGTTGGTTCTTTTGAGCCAGTTG